TTAGAATTCTGTGGTCGTTTTGAGAGAGAGGGAGCTGTTTAAGATGAACGTTTAAGTATTGTTTGTGGTATTCATTAATCAGATAAAATCGCCTAACTTACTTTGAGAAATCGTATAATCTTGATTTAAAATAAACCACGCCTTAGCCCACCCAACTAACTACAGTAATTCAAAAAAACTTCAAAATGGGAAATTTGATACTTGTTTCATACAAACGATAGTGCTTTCATAGACTTTAGTCGGACAAGATGCTTTTCTCGAAAAAAGGGACTATAAAATACATCCACAATCAATTAAGGTATATTTCAAGTCACGCCTAGATCTAGCCAAAATTTGATCTAGCGGCAATAGTAGACTTCAATTGACTGTAGTTCTTTTTGAGAAATTTCGATGAAACATTTTCTAGGACTCCTCCCATTTTTCATTAAGCCTATCGAAAACGTGATCTAGATACAGTATTCCGAGAAATATTCTTTGCTCCACTCAAAAAGTGTTTTCTTCTCAATTAAACTAACACCGTTAGACCAGAATAGACTCTAGTCTTGAGAAAATAACTAGTTTGTTTGTGTTTGTTTAGGAATTTGACCTTTCAATTGCTATTTATTTGCAACACAACAATACAAATCAATGAATTTAGTTGTATGAAAAATATTTGGGAACATATTATGATTTTAATGGTTTGTGCAGTTTTCAAAAAAATGTGGAAGAAATGTCATATTTAAAAATTGATTTTCAAACAAACTTGGAATTATAGGGGGCACAGCCCCTAGTTTCATTTCTAAAATCAGCTAAACTCATATTTTCATCAATATTAGGAGCATTATAACTTACTTCATTCGACCAGAAGATCAATCAAAGTTTGTTAGTATTTTTTTCTGAAAGTAAGAACTAACGTAGCTAAACAACAGAAACAATATGAATGAAGAAAATCTCAGAGAACATGACGTTTTTAAAAACGAAAAATCTTTGAGGGACATTTTTGGGTCGAACTACGAAGACTCTTTTAGCGGCATCGACAAAATCTATTCAAAAATCTTGTTGTCCTTCATGGGTTAAGAAAACAGACCACAATTAAACAACCAATTCAATTTAATTCAGTTTCAATTCAAACTATAGACAAACTATAGATTTTCGACGCTCTTGAGTCCACAAAAGATCAACAGCTGCACGGTGGGTCGATTGTTTGAAAATGAATAGAATATAATCATGGCGACATTTATTGTTTGTTTTTTGATCAAACTATAAACGACCAAATTTGAGATTAAGTAAACAAAAAATATGATATATTTGATTTTATAAATTATGTTTAACGAAATATTTGGAATTGTGTGACTAGGGGCGGTGCCCCTAGGCGAAACAGTCAGAAAATCCTCAAAAATTCTAAATTTTGAAGAAAACCCTATTAATATTTCTTTTAAAAAAGTTACGCATGGGAATACAAATTGTGAAGATTAAAAAAATAAATTCAAATAAACAGGAAATCAATAGTAATTATGAATTAAAAATTTTACCCAATATTTTTCAATGAAGCTCTAATCTCACCTGTTAGTTTTGTTGCTCCCCTTCCCCCCAAACCTCAAAATAAACTAACTTGACTGGCCCGTTCCGTGAAAAGTTGTTGATATCTTCGAATGTCCTGTCCAAACGAAACATCTTGTTATTCGGAAGCCTGAAACTTCGACATTCTCTTTCTCAAAATTTTCGCCTATTTTTAAACTTACATCAGAAAATGACAATTGTGGATTTTATGGGACCGCTGCATTCTGTGACTGTTGTCTCTAAAAAAAATAAGAAAATTAAAAAAATGTACCAAATCACCCCATTTATAACTTTTTCTGCGCTGAAAAAAAACCACTCAAAAACCAGAAAAAAAAAACAAAAAATAAAAATGTCGTGCAAAAAAAAATAAAAGAAAAACAACGATACTCCGCGTGCGCGTTGTTTAGTTCATTTTGTTTATTTTTTTTGAGAGAGTGTGAGAAATGGAGAGAGAGTTAGAGAGAGAGAGAGAGAGATTATATATATATACATGTTTTTTATTTGAAAAGAAATTATTGATTGAACGTTTTTTTTTCGAACTGAATCATTTTTCTGGTTTTTTTTCAGCGCAGAAAAAGTTATTAATGGGGTGGTTTGGTACATTTTTTAATTTTCTTATTTTTTTAGAGACAACAGTCACAGAATGCAGCGGTCCCATAAAATCCACAATTGTCATTTTCTGATGTAAGTTTACGAATAGGCCAAAATTTTGAGAAAAAGAATGTAGAAGTTTCAGGCTTCCAAACAAAAAGATGTTTCGTTTGGACAGGACATTCAAAGAGATCAACAACTATTCACGGAACCGGCCAGTCAAGTTAGTTTATTTTAAGGTTTGGGGCGGGGGTGGAGGAACAAAACTAACAGGTGAGATTTGAGCTTCATTGAAAAATATTGGGTAAAGTTTTTTATTCATAATTACTATTGATGTTAGAGGAAAGTTGTTTATAAATTACTATGTTCAAATGATTCGATGAAGCTTTGAATTACACTTGAAGCTATAGGATCAGCTTCCAGATTTTATTGAAAACAACCTATGAAATATTTCATAGGTAGACTAGGGTTGAGCTTGTCTCCCAGGCAAAAAAAAAGATTTTTTGCTATTCCTGATTATCATTTGGGAAAAAGTTCTTACGGAGTCGTCTTTTTGCATGGTTTTTTAGTAACTGCGGGCCTGAAAATCCCTGTGATTCGGAACTATTGACAAAAAAAACCAAACGGCGAACATGCATTTCAAGCCCGATCTTCGTAACCCCACCAAGGCCAGTAGATCAGCCCCCACTTTTGTAAACAACTCAAATAACCCTACCAACTCAATCCTCCACCCAACAGTAATATCAGAACCTCATACCTCCTAATAAGTGCCCATTCATAAACCATACCTTGCTAATTCCTTCAGCTTTCTTCCAAAACACCTTCCAGTTCTTCCTAGTTTTCGGATAAAATTCACATTAGGTAGAAACCAGAAGGGCTCCGCCGGCTAACGCCGGCTCCTCCTTCTGGATTGTCCCGGCTTCGCGCGTAGTTTTCTTTAGGTGTAAACAGAAACATGTTTCGTCTTAAAATACGACAGAGTTGTAGTTTTTGAAAAGTTGGAAAGATTCTTTCAACAAAAACCGAAATTTTGATTTTCGTTGAATTTCTCCGCTAGGTATGATTTTTAAAATTTCTGAAGAAAATTGACAAAAATGATTTTAAAAAATGTGCGAACAAATTTCTTGATTTTATAAAGAGGTTACACTGTGTTTTTTCCCAATAGAAAAATGCAATTTCGAGGAGACGCAGACACTCGCTGGTCTCGACACGCGGTGTGTCTGCCACACACTATTTCTCTCCCTTTTTCGGCGAGAGATTTGTCTGCACACGTTAAAGTCTGCGTCTCCCTCGAATTGCAAAAAAAATACAGTGGTTAATCCAAATTTTCTACGTCTCAAGAACTAAAGCACAACATTTGGCGAAACTGTTCCGAAAATCTAAAATCTATATCCAAAAAATCTATATCCAGAGAGAAAAAAAAAGAGCTTCTATGTTCCATCTGAAATTTTCAGAGCCGTGGAAGATAAAACCAAAGTACAGTAAACTCCGCCGCCCTCTGATTATTTTCATTGATTCATTCGGGCCGATTTTTTTCATCCAATTTTTTTTTGAAAAAACTCGGTCCGATTTTTTTCATAAAACGAGAAAACTCGGCCCGATTTTTTTTTTGAAAAAACCCGGGCCGTTTTTTTTTGAAAAAACTCGGTCCGATTTTTTTGAAAAAACTCGGGCCGATTTCTGTGATTATTTTCATTGAAAGAGGAAACGATTGATTTTCTCGGCCATATCGATTCTCTTCCAAGGCTCACAAAATTTTGGATTGATAATAATTGTTTGGGCTTAACTATATTGGGATTCCTAAACACATCAAAACTCACTATCAAATATTCACATTAAAGTATTTGTTTTTCTTTTTGTAAAAGAAATTATCCAATATCTGAAAGTTCGAACAAATTATAAATTTTTTAACAGTAATCTAACTCACTTTTTTTCTATTTATTTTTCAAACCGATTAGTAGTAGAGTAATAGCGAGAAATGATTAAAAATGTCCCGCTATGACTGAGCAATAAAAAAGATCAGATAAGAGACGTGACCTAGCCATTTTTTCTGATTAAAAACGTGCTCATTCTTTTTAGCATGAAAAAAGTTTTGATTTTTCACGTGAAAACTCGCGCACTTTTTGAAAAACCGAATATTAGCGCCTCAATGGGAAAGAATTTGGGTTAGCATAGTGAAGGTCCCATCAAAAATGACCTTCTGGAAGTTGAGAAAAGTCTTGCGACACATTTTTAAATCGAAAAATACATTGGAGTTTTCAAACTTTTGGTGCTCCGCGCACCCTTAGGAAAGTTAATCAAAAGTAGATGGTATGTGCACCAAGGTGCCAAAATTTGCAAACTTTTCATTTTTTGATCATCAATTTTCATGAACGTTGAAGACCCGAACGGGGCCTGGACAAACTATTCAGTTTCCAATTAGTAGATAATAAGTAGATAAAAGATCAGAACACTACTGCTTTCTTTTTTGATTAGAAAAATAAATGAGCCACAGACATCTCGTGGCATTTTTGAACACGTTATCCAGAACACGTTTTTTATCAGAACCCTCGCTTGTTTTATTTTGAAATTACTCGGGACGATGGTCGCTTGAAATGCGACAGTTTGGCGCGAATCTGCGACAGTTTGGCGCGAATCTGCGACCAACGAGTCGCACACAAAAATAAATAAGAGCGACCACTGTCGCGAATCTGCGCCGCAATGAGCGACCAGTGTCGCAAATCTGCGCCGTAACAAGCGAACAGTGTCGCGAATTCGCGCCGTTATAAACGTCCAGTGTCGCGAATCTGCGCAATGATGTGCTAACGTTTGTTTTTTGGCTAATAAATATCGGGTTCTTCAAAAATGAATGCTTTATTTAACATGAGTATTCATTCACATAATAAAATGGAAGGCAATTTGAATATTATAATCCAATAATTGCAAACCAATAGATAAAGTATAGAAATTCTACAAAAAATTGGGAATATTATATATTGGTTTTTGGGAGTCTTCAATTGTGATGCACGAGTGGTGGCGAGAGTTTCGTTTTGATGACGCAGTGGTGTTGATTTGATTTCTTTTTTCTTGCCAATCGTTCTTCCGATGGCCTCTGTAATTTTAAGTATTCGGTTAGAGCCTAAAAAATCCCAATTTTTGGGAATTTCTAGCTAAATGTTAGAGATTGAACAAATTTGCTATTAATTCTTACAAGATGTTCAAAGCGTTTTATCAGTTTATGTAAGATTTATCTAAATTAATCCAGCCTAGTGTTTTCAATTTGACAAAGAAATGAAAAAATTACCTTGAATGTCATCATAAATATCCATATCAGTAGCAAAAGTATGTTCTGATTGTTTAATCATTACTCGGTCTCCTTCTCACTCCCGCCATCTTTATAATCAATGCCAGGAGGAATAACATTACTTTCTTGATCGAACAACAATCACAGTATCCATTCCATTTTCATAGTTTCGTGACTGAAAAATGTTCTTTATTGTTCAAAAACCGCCCATGAAATTCTTACCATTTAATATCAGCCACAATAAACAAATCGTTTCCAAAAATTGATCGCATCACTGAAAATCAATAGATTTTTTCATGCATAAGAATATAAACTTCGGAAGAAGAAAAACGTTGAACTCATTAACCGCATACACAAAGAATTTCAAGAAAACAAACAAAAAAATCAACAAACGGCTAAAAAATCAATGATTTAAAAACCGCCCGTTTTTGTGACGTCACTGACACGCACACTCTTGTCGCAGATCTGCGCCGAGATGTGCGACGGTCGCGAAAAAAATTGTGTGCGACAAAAAACACTAGACTCTCTCGATGTCGCACTCATTGGCGCAGATTCGCGACACTCATTTTTCGTCGCATTTCTGCGATTTGTTAGCGACAATTCTCCCGAGTAGTACACGTTTAACACATTTTTGATTTTGCGAAAACTACGATCTTTTGATTTTTAAAAATGTTCAGTAACAATTGTTGCACTACAGTATTTTTCAGCACATCTGTTCAAACAAGAGATCAAAAGTGTGTGATCTAACAAAAAATAACAAAGAAATAAAAATATAAAATATTTACTCTCTTTCAAAAACAATTTTTATATGTGATCCAACATCAAAAAAATGTTTAGCTCATCCAAACTCCCTCAACTTCCACAAGTTTTCCATCAACTTTTTCTACATGGTTCGAAACCTTGAAAAAGTGTACGCCATTTTCAATTTTATGATGAGTATCCATATAATTCGCGTGTGATCCGGTGAATGGTCCAAACTTTTCATCGCATGAAAGTGGGCAACTTGGGAAGGTGGTTTGGGCGAACACCTTGTTTTGCTCACATGCCCACCAAACTGCGATTCCATTTTCTGAGCCACAGGAAGCGGTTTGGAATGGGGCAGACCAGCAATTCATCAATGTTTGAGCATATCTGAAAAATAGGGTTTGAAACAGTTTTTGTTGGAAAAAACTTCTACTTTTTCAAAAAGTCCATTGAAATAAGATATTAAGATAACAGTCAGATTTTTAGATGTAATCTAATTAAATTCAATACCGTACCGTTAAACTTCAAAAAAGGTAATTTTTTTAAAAGACACTTAAAGGTTAGAAGATAATATCTCACCGTTCTTTGAATAGTTCAGCATCACATGACTTTAATTTTTTATTGACAAATTACTCTAATGACCTACACCAACTTTTAAAATCTGACAATAATTACTGATCAGCATCGAGTATTACAAAAAAAAAATTTCAAAAAATTCCTTCACTACACCTCAAAACTTTTTTTTGATCTACAACGCAAATCATGTCACTGAGCCAATCCCATAATTCGTCGGTCACAAGTTTCACCAACTATATTTCATCCCCTCATTTTACGCGTGATTCCGGGTTGCCAGCCTAGTTGAATCTCGTTCCAGAAGCTCCCAGTAACCCATCTCAATCAAAAGTCACTTGTAAAGACTGGTGTTAAATTGCATTTACCAATTTGGGTACATGTAAGACGGGTTTTCGATGGTGCTAATCGTAGTGTTAGTACAATGTTGGGAACATGGTGTAGGAATGCCGGGATATTGAATGGAGTTGAAAAGAGTGGAGGAATGGGAACTTCTAAGTTGGCTTCCCTTTTGTCTTTTATTTTTGGGAATCTGAAGATTTTATCGCTCGACATTTTGAATGATCAGTTCCAATTCTATTTTAAATCTCAAATCTGTGTTTCAATTGTTTTGGATCTTGATTATCTTGGTTTAATAGAATTTGTGTTTCAATTTCGAATATCTATGAAAACCTTCTATTTAGGAACCGACGAAAAATTGATGAAAAGTAGCTGACAGCTATTTATATAAAATTTATCAAACATTTGTTTTTCAGGTATTTAGATCACCAAAAACCCAGAACTTTGATGTTCTAGGTTATTAGAGTCATGATTTTCTAGGCCTTTAAACTGCTTTGATTTGATTTCTATCTCCGTAGAACGGCATCATGTGTTTTAGTAACTGATTCATCTTATGTAATTTTAAAATCTTGAATGAAAGTTTTGGACATCTAGGTCTTTTTGAAATATTCCGACTTTTTTTTGCCGACACTACAAATTATTTGAAACTTATTGTTCCATTTCGGAGGCTGTCTGAAGATTGTATCATTTCGACCACCAATGATCACATTTTTCTCAATATTTTTTAGCGGTAATATCTTTCATGAAATAGGTCAGCAAATTTGATTGTGAGAAAAAAAAACAATAATCGGGGCCCAAAATATGGATATTTTTTCCTAATGAAGAAAATCTTACGTGCATCCATTTGCCTGATCATTTGCAACTGAAGTCTCATAGGAAGCAACACAAGTTTGCAAATATAATTGATAATTACTGACAACTCTTTGAGGACATGATAATCCTTCGTGAATTAGGGCTGAAAAAATGAGAAGTTTCGTATTTTTGATAGTTGGAAAGCAATCAAATCTTACTATTAATTCCTGGTCCACAATTAAATCTTTGATATTGTCGATAAGTTGCTTCAACTCCATAAGCCTGCAAAAGATTTTTAATACAAATGGGTTTTCAAAAAAAAAACCATGATAATCTAGAAAGTCGCTGACATTAATGGCCTCGTTTATTTTGCATATTCTTGAATTAGTTAGAAAAAAACGAAATGGAAACTCACATTGTTAATATCGGTTTTCTGAATCAAATTCGATATATCCAAACATCCTTGATTTCCATGATTGCACAAGTTGAAAGTTTCAAGTCCACTGAAAAATTAACTCATTTCATCAGGTCAAAATAAATTTTAAAAAACTAATTTTGAAAACCTCACTTGCAGACAGTCAACATATCTTGTGTAGTTCCTGGATTTTTTCCAGTCATCCAAAGGAAATAATTATACATAATTGTATAATCTTTGAAAAGTTTCGATGAAACAGTGTCATTTAATCCAATTTGTTGAGCCAAATTATATTGACATCCTTGAAATTTCGCATCGACACATGAAAATGGATTTTGAGCAGATGAGAATGCAAACAAAGTTAAAAGAAGAATTACTGAAAAACTTGGAAATTTGGTTGAAAAACTTACAGCCTTCTTAAAGACTAAACAACTCACAAGAAAATCTAGTCATCACTTCGAGTTTCGAAAAAGTCTTATCAAAAAATTTTCGGTGTCCTCAGAAAGTTTATTCAATATAAAACGTGTTGGTTTGGGTGTTGTTATCAGGAAAAAAATGCATAAAATTTTGATGCGTGGAATTTTTATTGAATTAAAAGTTGAAAGTTTTGAAAAGAATCATGTTTACAGAAAACCAATCACACAACACCGCAAAAAATTAGATGTTAATTATATGGAAGAACACCCCTCAATTTTATTCAGATTTTTTTCTTGAAAATCATAAAAAAAATTCAAAGATTTTTTATCTGAATTTTGATTGGAAAATGATGTGAGATCCTGTGAGATTTGTGCTAATTATTTTCAATTTTGAAAAGTTCGCTGAATTTTTGATCATTTATTTTTTTATTTTTTAACAAAAAATATGCTTTCAGAAAAAATAAAGAAAAGCGAAAAGAAAAGTTGAAAATAAACAAAATTCTTTTGCTTTTGAATTTCAAGTTTTTGTGAAGTTTTGCAAAAAAAAATGTTATTTCAGAAATTTTGAAAGTGCCGAAAATCGGTAATTTCAAACACTTGAAAAAAATGAATGTTTTTATTTAAGCAAATTTTTTTCAATTAAATATTTTTCTACCTTGAACCTTGTTAGTAAAAACGATTTCTGTCCCTTCAAATTTCAATATTCATCATCAGGTACATGGAAATTATTCGTAAAAGAACTTTCTAAAAAAGAAAGAATAAAAATAAATAAAATTCCAACGTTCACATAACAACTCACTACGACACTCCCTTTTGCCCGTTGTTTAACGGAAAATTTGTGTTTATTTTATTTATCGATTATTCAACTTTTCGGTTTTCTCCCAAAAATGTGTATTTCACAGCGTTTTTTAATTTTTTAAGTTTTTTTTAGTTCTTCACTGTTATTCATACCCTTTGTGTCTCTTGTATCTAAAATGATCTTTGTATACCGACATCAAATGTTTGAAATTCTAATTACCATTTTCAAAATTGGAATTATATGTTTCTGAACAATTGAAACGTAATCAAAACTTGATCTCTGTGAAAACGAGGAAATCTTTGAACTTATGAGAAATATCGCCATTTCTAATGCTGATTTTTGTCAGGTTTCCCATGAAATCAAATAATCATCTAGCTCTAATTTGTAAACCCTCTAAATCTTTTTTTAGTGAGATAGGAAGAAAGTTTGATTCTCATGCTACCATACTTATATCATCTATAAGTTTGCAAAAAACTTCCTTTTTTTCTGATTTTCCAAAGAATTCAATTAGTAATATTATTGTTACTCATTTTACTCCCTCAAAGAATGTACAACTAAAACACAAAAAAATGCAATTTCTTGGAATTTCTCGTTTGATTTTTCCAGGATGAATGAGCTCGTTAGGTTTTGACGTGAATAAATTGCGATTTTTTAGTGTGTGTGTGACAGGTGGAAAATGAGAGGAAGCAGAATTGAGAGCAGATGAAAAAAATGTTATTTTTGAAAATGTTACCGTTTTTATGATCAAAGAACTGTGAGTGTTTCAGAAAACATTTCAGTCGTTGAAAATTGACGTGAATATTTGAGTTGTGATAGAAATCATTTCAAATTCTTCGACGAATATTTCGTTAATTTTGGTATTAATCTACAGTCTAAATTTTCAAATTTTTTAAAAACCAAACTATGAACCTGTTTTTGTCTGAGATCCTGAGTTCTTACATTGAATACACTTCCTGTTCAAAATTTCAGTTCACAAAAACGTTTGCCTTCCTGAATCACCCAAATATTTGTTCTCAGAAATCAAAATCAACAGGTGAAATATTTGATTCTGATTTTTACAGCCATCAGCTCACATTTTCCTTAAAAAAAATAATTTTCTCGCCCAAATAATATAACTTTGTATAACTTAACTTAACTCGGCGGACACATTTCTATGGCAACACAAAAATACCATGTGTACTATTCATTCCCGAAAGAATAAGTGATATGATTTCATTATTGTTTACACTTTCTCATTATCTTTGGTCTTTGGGGAATATCTGAAAATGGGCGGAGTTAGGCTAAAGTTTTTAGTAATTGGTTGCTTCTAATCTATGTCTCAAAAGATTTATTTTTCATTTTTCCTTTTCTCGTTGTAAAGTAGGTAGTTACGCTAATGTAAGTCGTAAAATTTATAAATAAAATTTTGCTACCCGTTCCCCTAATTCCATTATATCACGCTAAGGAAAACTAGACATTTTAGTAACATGAAAAAAAAATATTTCTATATTTACTAGGAACTAATTCAATTTTTTTCTGAGCTCTTCATTATATTTTCTGATATTTATTTATTTTTTTCTATAGTTGTATTTGTGTGAGTTTTAATTGGCACGTATCTTTATTTATTTATGCTTCAATGTTTTTGCGTGGGTAAACTTTGTTGGCTATACTTTTGGAAAGTTGTCTCTATTTTTCTAATTAATTTTTTTTCACTGAAAAAAAGTTGGGCAAACGAAAAATGAGATTTTTTTGCTAATTTGATCCATGATTCATTTTTTCGCACACAAAAATTGCAGAACATATTTTCAGTAGGAGTATATATATAATTGCATTTTGACCATAATTATACTACTAGAAGGCAGAACTTGTCTATGACGTGGAATTTTTTTGATCGCGGAACTTTATTTTTTGTGTTAAGTTGTTTATTTTTTTGTGGAATAATTTATAGGGGTGTTTTTTTATAAGAAATTAGTTGGTATTTTTCATTTTATGGATTCGTAATTATATTCTTCTACTGCGTTTTCTGAATTTTATTTTCTCAAATAAGCAACTTAGCCTAACTACCTTTTGAAATTAATTCTGAGAAAAAAAAATGTTTTTTACTTTTGCACACGAAGTGAATTAATTAATTTTTGCTGTTCGACGTTGTATTAAAAATAGGAAATCTAGTTTCAGTTGAATAATTTTTAGTGAAAATTTCTCAGATCATTTTTTATTTTCACACAATTTGGATAACTTATGAATAATTTTTTTCTAGGAAAATGATTACTGAAAAGTTCAAGATGTCATGGAACATGTCTCAGTTAATTTTCATCGCTCATTTTTCCGGTTCAAAAATTCCAGGTTTTTGATTGTCAGAAAAACTAATGTGTTTTCCATTTCCAATTTTTCAACTACATTTTCTCACGTTTTTTCTAATCAATACAACTTTTCAGTCTACTTTCAGATTATCTTTGAACTTTGTTTAAACGAAAATAGATCAAACATGAAAGCAAAATTAATTACACCCTAATTTCTAGAGTTCCGAATCAACAAATTAGGTGTTCATAGTTCTGATTTCATATAAACCTATCCAAAAATAAAACGCACCTGCTTAAAATTTAATCTTGAACAAAACGCAAACGCGAAAATTCTTGATTTTCTGAAAATGCTCATTTATATTTTTCCAGCTGTTATCTTTTTTTTTCTTCTACATATAATTTTTTCTTGCATCTGATGTGAATCCAAAAAACCGAGCAAACAAAATACACAAAACAAAAAATCTAATTTGTTTCGTCCCATTATAAATTCTCTGTTTTGTTTTTTTCTCTCATTCATTTTTTGTCAAAAAATTCAGAGATTATCTAGTTCACCGGGTTTTTTCTAAAATTTGTGGTCGATTTTTTTTTTCAGATTCAGATTTTGATTGACATTTTTTATCAAATTAAGATTATTATCAGTTTCAGAGAAACCAGTTTCAAAATATATTTAGACTTGGTTTGGAAGATCTTTAATTCATCAAAAAATTAAATTGAGCTTCTAGGCCATCAGAACTGCTCACTAGGTTTTTGAATTGTTCAAAAAAAATCTATTTGGATTTCTAAACTACCAATACTAGAGCCATCAAAACTTATTCGAGGATTTTTTTTATTCTTCTAATTTTTCTGAAAGTTTCCTTTTGACTGTCATGTGTTCCATCAAATTAAGATCCTTACAAATTTTGAGAACCTGTTCCAATTAAATTTGAAAATAAATAGAACCAAACTTCCTAGAAAATGTACTTTATTTGATTTTTCCAGAGAAAAATTATTTTTTATTTACGTCAGATTCCAGCGCGACTAATTAGTGAGCAAGTCCAATTAAAATTCCAATTTTTTCGAGAAAAAAAAGTTTGCAGGAGAATAATAAAAGGAAATCTTTCATTTTTCCACACATCTCTTCTTTTTTTTCCGCAAAAAATTTGCTTTTTTTCTAGGAGGTACATAATTTATTCATTAGTTTTGTTCGGTTCAGTTTGATTTTTCAGCACAAAATTTTTCCAGCTTTTTTGTTTTGTTATTTTCCGAATTTACCTATTTCTGTGTTTTATTCCATTTATGAGCTTTACTCGGAACTTTTTTAATCTCATCCTATTTTTATAGAACCTTAATTTTTTCGCAAAAATCAGAAAAAGTTCCAAAATAAAATGAAATTTTTGATTTGATCTAATTTAATCCTACAGTAGGATTTAATTATTCACATATAACATTTAAGCTTATTGGTTTTTTTTCAGTGGGATAATATTAATATTTTTTGACAGGAAAATATCTAAGAAATAATGGTGAAGGCCATATAATTTTTGAAAATAGTTCAGCTCTTTCTCGATTTTTTTTGTTTTTAAATTTTCTTTAAAAATGATTTCCTGGCTTTACAGTTTTCTTTTTCTTTTCAAATATTTTTCGTACAAAGTATCTACTTCTTCTAAATCTCTAATTGTAAGTTCCCCTAACTTCTTTGATCCCTTTCTCCGTTCTTCATTCAAATAATTCCTTCATCGCGTCATTTGTCCCCTTCTCCATCCATTTTTTAATCATATAATAGCTCCAGAATTTCTTCTCATCTCTTTTTTTTTTTGAAACAAAAAATTCTATTATTTTTTCTGGAGGTGGCGGAGAGAAGAGTCCAAACTGAAAAAAAAATATATCTAATTAAGGCAACATATATAAAAAATGTGAGACTTTTTCCTTTTTTGTGGATGAAAATGGAAAATGAAGGATAATGACTTGGTGAAGTTTGAACTAAGAAAAAAACGTGTTTTGTACTTTTTCACTGCAATTGACAGGGTGACGTGCTCTCTAAAAGACAATTCTCTGAAATAAAAAAAGTTCATGAAGAATAAGATCTTTGTTCAAAACTTGTGATGATTTTAGCAAGTTTTAAGAAGATTTTGAGATTTCGAAGAGGCGTAGACCAAACATTCTCAATTTTATCACATAGGCAAACTATTTCAGAACTCAGATTATAACAATTAAGATTTCATGGTGCAAGGCCAAAAATTGGAGCTAGGCTCAGAATATTTATTTTCGGGTAAGGCTTAACCTTATAACCATGTTTCAAAAGTTCAGAAGTTAGGCTGAATTTCAATCAAGATCTCTGAAATTGTTTCAGTGTTCGGGATTTCTGATGTGTGGTGTGTTTTGCTTCAAAATCGAAGCCTTTGAAAAATTTGAATTTTTGAAAGTATGTATACAAATTTCCAGTTTCAGAAATAACATTTTAATCTTCTTAAAATTGTTTTGCTAAAACCGCCCATTTTTAGTCAGTCAAAATCCAATCTTATCATCAGTTTAGCCATTTTATGTTATTTTTTTGAACATGAATATTTTTCATATTTTATATCAACAAATTTGGACATGAATTGTTCAAAGTTTTGAAAACTACAAAATAATTTTTTCAACTTTATCAATTTTTTTTTCTGTCTTGAGACAGATAAAAACAGTTGAAAAACCTGATTTTCGAAATTTCATAACATTCAGAACTTCAAAATATATTTGAAATAGCGAAAAAATCATGTGAAAACTTTTTCCGGATATATTTTCATACGATTAAAATTTTGAAATTTTCTGGTTTTCAATCTGGTTGAAAAATTTCTTCAATATAAAATCTAAATTTTCACGATTCAAAAATTAGTTTTCTAATTGTTTTTTTGAAAATAATTTTCTCGTGTTTTAATTAAAAATATAATTTTCGTAAAAGTCAGATTTTTCCGGGTGTCATAGGTATAAAAAAATAAACAAAATTTGTGATTGCGGACCTATGCCACGACTGGATTGTGTGCCCAGCTAATCAATTACTCGTGGCTGGAAGGAAAATCACTTGCCGACTGTTTTTCCATAGTGAAAAAGTTTACACGTTTTGTTTATTTTTTCGCTGTGGGTATCACATTTCAAATTGAATCACTCCAATTTCAGACCTTTCATGCCTTTCAAGTTTTTTAAAATTTGAAAATGAAACTGTCATTTTTTTTAAATCACGTTGACTTTATTCTGTTTTTTCAAACTCTTAAATTATTAAAAACTTCAGAAAAAACCACAAAAAGAACGTGAAATCAAAACCGCATCATTTTCTTCTCATCCAATAATTTTCGGATTAAAATTTTGAGAATCAAACAGTGATAATCAGCTGATTCAGAGAATTTCAAGAAGCCTCAAATTTTTTCGTACTTTTTGTCTTATCAATTTTTCACATGAATCCTAAAACAACCAAAGTTTGAGTCACTAATTGATCAGGATATAGTTATTTTTGCGAGCGACCAGAAAATATTTTTAGTCATGACGACGAGCAGATGCTGATTTTTTTTCAGGAATAATTCTGACTGATTTTTTTCTAGTTTTTTTTTTCAATACAAACAAAATCTTAATTTCTATTTCGATTATCCAGAATCTGTTGTTTTTCTGCGCTTTTAATCAAATTTCTTGATCTTGTGGCATTCTTGAAAAACAATGAAAAAAACATCAGAGAACAATGGAAATCCAGTAAGGACAAATTTACATAAATATCTGATTACATTTGAACTTTATTTATTTTTCACCTGATTTTCTTTGTGGGTGTATTTGATATACTCAAACTACAAAACTTCAAAACCAAACGTCACATAAAAAATGCCCAGAAATAAAAGTTTAAAGTATCTATAGTAGTTTCTAGGCCATCAAAAATATCTGTTCAAAATTCTAGGCCAATATTAGTGCAGCTCAAATTTTTCTCAAAAACCAAGTATCAGAAACTGATCAAATTTCGCGATTCACTAAGCATTCGTAGAAAAATGAGTTGGTTTTTTTCAAAAATTAAAAAACAGTGATCTGAGCCGTGATACAATCTATTTTCAGAGTCAAGTATTCAAATTTCGAAAGTCAACTCCCTTCTTATCCTAAAAATTCTTAACTTTCTGTTTGAAAAAATCTGCTCAAGCTATTTTCAAAATATCTCTCCCTCCTAGTGACCGCAAAAATGTGTGCAATCATTTCCAAACACTTCCGGTCCGATGTGCATTAAAATTTCATACATATTCGATTAACTCCCCCTATGTGCACCTTATCAAATGTCTAAATCTGCCTCTCACAAAACAACACTATCTACATCCGAATGTCCCCTTTCTATTTCCAAATGTGGGCGGAGCTCCAAGCCTTTTTTCTTTCTTCTAACTAACTAGCAACAGCTCAATATCGTTTCTAACCCATTTTCGTTCTCTTTAAATAAAATGGACGACGATCCAATTCTAATTGAATATTTTGGACATGGTTACAGTCCGATAATGGCTGCTATCAACACGGATTTGTGTCAAACTCAACCCGATGGTATATTATTTTGTCCGAAGACCGCCGAAAACGACCAAGGTCCATTCTGGGTTCGCAATGTCTATCCTCCGATTCAGGTTTGTGAAATGGGTCTTTATGATTTTGAAATATTGTAAGACCGTGTAAAAAACCATACGTGTCGAGTAAAAATTGAACCCTTCGGCAACCTACATAAATGACTAGAGTGTAATATTTTCCTGGAAGTTCCGATTGCAGAATTATTTGTTCCTAGAATACTAATCACTTTGTTTTTTTTCGGCAACATCAAAAGTTTTTTCCATTCTCTATTTCTTTTGAAGTAAACCAAAAACAGGAAAGAATTTTTCGGATTCATGTTGACAACAAATATGAATAATAAACCCTCTATTCTTTCTCTTCTTTCCATCTTTTTTTCGAAAAAAATACCAAGCACGGCGAAAAATTGCTATTATACCACATAGACACCAGCTCAAGAAAAAATAAAATAAAATTATGTCCAGAAATTATTGTTGTTTTGATGTTAGAAATGAGGAAAAGAAATGAAATGAGATGAAAAATGAAACCAAAAAGTTTCGAGTTTCAAAACATGTGTACGAAAAGAGTTTTTTGTTTGGGATCAAGTTGCATAATTAGAATAAACTAATTATTTTTTGCAGGAACTTCAACCCAAAGTTTTGATTGTTGTGGTAATTTTCGTGCTCTGCTTTATTGTGGGAGTTTGCGGAAATTCGTCAATCATTACAATTATTCGCGGGGTGATGGAAGATCGGCAAAAACGGTGAGTGACTCAGAACTATATTGAATTAGGAGATCTCCAAAATTGTTTTGCCATTAATCATTCTCATTATCATCTTCTTAATTTGCAGAATGAAACGGCATGGTGACAACGCAATATTGTATATTGCTGCACTTTGCGTTTGTGATTTCCTAATGTCACTTAGTCTCCCGCCGGCGATTTTAGACAGTGTCATTGGTTTCTGGATTTTCGGAACAACTATGTGTAAACTTCATCATATTTGTGGAAGTGTGGGACGGATTGTGAGCACATTTTTGATCACCGCAATGTCGTTCGATCGATATGTGGCAGTTTGTTATCCTCATCAACATCGTCTTCGTAGCCGAAATTTCGTCTTGTCTACTATTTTGTGTAAGTCACACATCCATCACAAATTTACTATCTCTTGTTCTTGCAAAGCTTATTAGAAGCCATACTCGTTAGATAATTCTTAATCACTAATTCCATTATTTTATTTGTAGCCTCATTCAACGAAAAAAATATATTTGCAGGTCTCTCAACAATCGCCTTCGTCCTTCTCCTTCCAATGCTTACCTACGCAAAGGCTAAGGAAATGGTCCTCCATGAGCTGAAAGCTCACGATAGCCAGAATATTACTCGTGTTCGAGTCTTCAAATGTTCAGATATGATGCCAGCACCAGTTTTCTACTGGTTCACATCAACTACATTTATTCTGGGTTACGTTGTTCCATTGATCCTTATCGTGTATTTCAATCTCAAGTTGATCAACAAACTTTATGCACATAAAAGGTGTGGGAACATTTCTTTTCTAACTCTAATTACTTGGCAATTCTATTTTTTCACACGTTTTTGATTATTTCAGAGTACTCCCACGCTCCGCTATTCCAGTCCGCCGTGTTGTTGTCTACACAGTTCTCATCGCCGCTGTTTATTTTGTCTGCTGGACCCCTTATTGGTTCTCGGTTCTTTACGCAATCGTCATGTCTCTTCTCGAACTTCACACAACTAATTCTGAATGGGTTCTTTTTGCGATTTATTGTGTACATCTTCTTCCATACTTTGGATCGTCTTCTAATTGGATTCTGTACGGTTTATTGAACACACAACTTCAAATGAAAAATGATATGGGTGATGATCAATCGATAGTGACTACAAATGGAGGGCAAGATTTTCACAAACGGTTAGTTGTTGTGTGGAGATGTTTTCTCAACAAAAATTAAATATATAATTTTAATTTATTTTTAGATCTAACAGTCGAAGTATATGCGACGGCGCTAACAATTCTCGATGTCAATCCAACGCTAGCGGACAAAAATGGCAAAGTTCTCCATTGATACGTGGAAATAGCGAAACTTCGATGGTTTTCTATCAAGATACCGAGCAAACACATTTGTAATTGATTTCTTTTTTTTTTGATACGTTTTTTATTCATCGGGTGTCACCGTTTCTATTCCAAATAAATGAAATTATTCATGCGATTTGATGTGATTCGTTTTTTATTTATGCGATTCCTAGACTATTTGCACTCACATGACATTATGGGTTTGAAACACTTTTCCAAATTAATCGCCCTAATTTATTCAATTTTTGGTCTCTAAACAACAGATGAAAATATTCATTTTTGTTATTCTTATTTTCCTCGAAAAAAAAAGAAAATCTGGAGATAAAAAAAAACAAAAAAAAAGCTAAAAGCACCTGTATTATTGCTAATTCACACGCAATATGATAATAACAAGTCAGGGGATTTTTGAGAATGAAATATCTGATTTTTTTCGTGAGAAAAAAAACATGGAAAAGGGGGATAATGAGTGGGGGTTTGAACTTTTGATTCGAGTTTTATTGGTTTCGGAAATTTTTTTATTATACATACTATGTCTGGAGAATTTTTTAAGTCTGGTTTCTTGAAACTTTTCCCAATAAGGCAGAATATGGGAAAATAATGAATTTGAAGATCTTTGTTGTAATTTTTCAAACTAAAATTTTGTCGTTGTTTTTGTATGAAGAAAATACAATTGAACTCAAAACCACAAATTTTCAAAAACAATATTGAAAAACTCACTTTTCCTCCAGTTTTCCTCGAAATTCAAAATCATTCAAATAAAATTCGCTTCATGTTTCGATATCTCTCTCCATCATTTCGCTGACGTTTTTCCTATAAAGTAAAAATGAGTCAAATTTAAATAAGTACTTTAAACGAAAGAAAAATTCAACAAAGAACATTTTTTCATAAAAATTTATTTTTGAGCACCAATTTTTGTATAAAACTATCGTAAATCAACTAAAATAATGATATTTGTCCTAGGAAAAGATATAAATATGAATTTTACAACAAGTTTCATTCAAACTCATGGAAAAATAACAAAAAAATACGTGAATGAAAAATCCCAAACCTAAAGAAAGAACGGAAAAAATAAGAGTGTATGTCAACACCGACTGCCCGCAAATTTCCGAAAAGAAAAAACAAGAAAATAAAAGTAAAAATGGAAGTGCGCCCTATTGATAAAAAATTCATGTCTTGCACTCTTTCAAAAATGTGTTTGTTTTGCAATGTTCTTTAATTTTTTAAAATCTTTCTTTCTGGTCGGTTTTTTCTCTGAATTTCTCCTCTCACGACATAATCAATTTCAAAAATACATTTTTTTATTTTCATCAAACAGTTGGAACACTTTTGATCTTATATCTGAACAGATGATTACGATATGGTTTGTGACAAAGAATAAGTGATACATTCGAAAATATTCCATTAAAAGAACATTTGGTACAAAATATTTTATCCAAATTCAAAAAAAAATAACCAAAACGAAAAATGACTAGACTTGTATATACACATAGTAGAACCAAAACTCCGAAAAAAACCAATAATTTAAGCGTCCGCACTTTCATCCGTATCCATCGACAAATCACCGTTCCTATCCTCGCCTAAAATCTGGCACAATTCTTGAAGTCGATCTTTCCATTTTCCAACTTCTCCCAACTTTGTCTCAATTTCATGTTTCTCTTCACTCAAAGTCAAGCGTTCACCAATATCTTTCTCATTGAGGCTTGATAATTTGTATCCGCCTTCTCCGTCGTATTGAAGAAGATGAGTGTGGAATTTCCTGAAAATAGGATCATCATTCATTTTTTTTCGAACAATCGAAATGAATTTAAAAAAAGAAAGCCAAGCAGAGTTCGTTTCAATATTTCCATACAACCCCACTTTTCAAACTAACCATAAACTAGGACGATGTGTTACTGTGAGTAATGTGATTTCGGCATCTTTAATTGCTTGATAAATACTTCCTTCAACATCAATCGATACAGCTGAAGTACATTCATCAAGAAGCGCATATTTTGGTCGATGATAGAATACTCTTGCCATTCCCATTCGTTGTTTTTCTCCACCGGATAACACATCCATCCAATCATTTTTCGAATCCCATCCACCTTCTCGCTCAATTATATGTTCCAAATGAACAATTCTCAACATTCTCATCAAATCTTGATCAGTGATTCCTTTCCGTCTCATCTGAACAGTTGTGTCTGGATAAATCACTTGATCTCTCAAAGTTCCCAATGTCATATATGGTCGTTGTGGAATATAATACATCCGATCGGCCCGTGGTTTCTCCAATTCTCCTCGATAAACTGGCCAAAGTCCACCCAAAATTCTGAATAATGAACTTTTACCACATCCATTTGGTCCAGTGATCAAAACATGCATTCCAGAATGAATTTCAATCGACATATTTTTCACAACAACATCTCCATTTGGTGTGACAATTGGAACACTTTTCAGAACAATTGAGTCAGTCTCCGAATCTGTGATTGTTCCATCAATCGAAGTTGTGTCAAATCGTTCTCCTCTTGATTTTCCTTCGGTGCTAACTGTTCCACGTTGATAAATTCCCTTTTTGGCATCATCAAAAACTTTGAACATTTCATGAACTCTTCCAGTATATCCAGCAAGTTCAGTCACTTCTTTATAACTTGTCATTAATCTCTCAACAGCATCAGCCGAGTTGAATAACAAAGTTTTGGCGGTTGCATAGCCTTTGGTTCTTTCAGAGACTCCTTGATCGGGAAGATCATCAAGTTTTGTGTTTTCTGAAATTATAAAAAAAAATTAACCTGTTTTAGCTTTTGCCTTTTTAAATCTTACGTTCATCATCCGCATATTCGGCAGCCAAAATCGGCAACGCAATCATAACCATTCCAGTTCCTGACCAAACATATTTCATCAAAAATTGTTCAATCATAATATAAGGAATTCGTTTTTTGAAAATCAACAGCATTTGATCATAAAGAGAATTATAAGCACCAGCCAATTGTTTATATTCAGCTTGATGTCCTCCATAAAATGCGATTTCTTCGGAATTTGTGATAACTCTTGAATGCAAATAACGAAGATGTCCCTTTCTTCTGGCTTCTTCCGCAACCATGTGTCCAAATCTTGGTGATACTGCTTTCAAAATTTTTGCGGTGAGGGACACTGATAAAATTGCAAGACATGATGGGATGAAAGTGTTTTTGCCGGTTCCTCGTTGGAATGCCAAACGGAGCAATGTAAATCTGAAAAAAATATGGAAATTATTAATTTTCATTAAAACTTTCTTACGTAATCAGCGCAATATCCAATACTGGTTTTGTCAAATGTGAATACAAATGAGCTACGCTTTGAGAAAACATTGTGATGTCTTCGGTGAGACATTGATCAGCGTTTTGAAGTCGGGTATCCAAGTTTGACACTGCGTAGTAGGTTTGGTCCTGAAAAAATTGGAAATGAATTATTTTTCATTGGAAAAAAGCCACGTTTGACACGTGAAAATAAATTGTTTTTGAAAAATTTCATTTCTAATTTTTTTCGTCTTTTTTATTTTCGCTAACTTTTATTTTTGAAAAGAAAATTCCGAAATTCACAATTTTTTTTGATATTTTGTTAAAACACAAATAAATTTTTCAAACAAAAACAACAAGTTGACCTCAAAAAATCAAACCTCATCCCCACTTACCGAAAAATATTGTTTATAAGCATGTTCTGTCAACTTTGTTCTAAAAGCAAGTCCCAAATAAGATTCGAAAAATCGAATCATTGAATTAATAAATGTCGCAGGAACTGCAACCAAAATCCAGCGAATCAAATGCATCACAAATTGCAATACATTTTTCTCAACAATCGCTTGAACCATCGAACCTTCCAATTGTGCCACATAAATTGTCAAAAATGTTCGGCAAATTAAAACAATTGAATGCATTCCAATAATTCCAGCCTCTTTCGAAAACACTCCAGGTACCATGATTTTCAATAATTCTCTTAATTGCTTCAAAAACTTCGGGTCAAAAGTTGACTTCTTTTTCTTTTTTTCAGAATCTTTCAGATTTTTTTCCGATTTTTTAGATTTCTTCGCGGTCACATAATGTATTGCTACTGCTGAAATCACTCCAACTGATGCCAAAATCAAAGCTCGTCGCCGTTTTTCAGGATCTATTGCAGTTTCCAACAACTTTGATTGCACTGACATATTTTCTGAAAATATTTTTGAAAAATGAGGTGATGAAATGAATGAAAAATGCAGAAAAATGATAATTTTTGGAAATCGAGACCAGAATCAAAATAAAACAATACAATAGAGTAGAAATGATAAGAAAGTCGACTCATACTAGACTCCGATCAACAAAAAAAGACATTTGTTTTACGGTCGGAGTGTACTTTGAGCATTTATTCGAGAATTTTTTGATCAGAAAGTTTTTCCGGATTATTTTAAGAAAGAGCATAGTTGCCTGACAGAAATTATTCAACTTTCGATGAAAAATAATTCTAGAAGTCTAAAATTAACCTAGAAGCCTAATGAAGCTATAGTATTCAATATAAAAGTTGTGTATCAAATATAGCTCTTATTTTTTTGACAGACAAACGCATGAATAAATTCAGACAGCTCGAACAGAAAACAAAAAACAAAAGTAACAAAAAAACAGAACCATATCAAGTCTCAATAAAAAAAACCACCACCATGTAGTCAAAACAAAAATGTGTTTGATAAGAACTTATTCTCCCTCCTACCCAACTTTTTTTCGAAATGAAATGATAAACAAAAGTGCATGCATAATATTTTTGATCTATCTATTTTTTCTGATGAATGAACACGCGGTGTTTTACTACTAGAAAAAATAGGAAATTTCTTGGTTAACTAACAAATAAACAATAAAAGACTATTTGATAATTGAAAAGAAAGGAATAAAAGAAAGTGACTATTGTAACAAAAAATGAAACGAAACGAGAAACAAAAAGAGGGCAAAAAATAAATGTAAGGTGAAAATAAAAAAAGAACGCGAGAAAAAAAAACAAATGAGGTTACACTTTTTTTTTGGAAATTTTCGAGATATTGAAATTTTTGAACTCAAAGAAAAGTTTGGGGTTTGGAAAAATAATAGAAAATTATAAACACTGTTATTGTCTAAAATTGTCAATGAATTTGAACCTCGGATGTTTCATAAAATTTTTCGTAACCCAGGATTCGAAAAAAATTTCACTGCAAGATTTTGCATTCATTTTGCATTCACGTCAGATTTTGGAAGCCTGTAGTATTATTTTTGATAAAATATCCCAATAATAAATGTCTCTTCGCCTCATTTTTCCCCATAAAATGTATTTCTCATAAAAATCACCCAATTTCAAATCAATAAATCTCTTTTTTTCATGAAAAATATCATTCCAAGAAAATTTTCAACCAAAACAATCCATCAAACTTTTAATATCATATTTGTTCTGAAACCCTCCGAACAGTTGTTTGACATTTCAAAAAATGTTTCGGTTTTTCCAAAAAATCAATTTTTGCAGATTCATTTTCAGCTATATTTTTTGCTAATTAAAAATAGAAAACCCCAATTCTTCATTTTTTGTACATTTTCAATTAAATTGAATTGTTTTTGCCTACGAAAAAGATCCAAAAAAAAAAGTTCGTCCTTTCACGTTTTTTTGTTTGTTTTCTAATGAAAAGCCAAGTTCAAAAAATCTCATTAGACACCTTTTTCTCAAAACTTCCTCTAACTTTTCTCTTTTTATTCTAACTCTGTAGCAGAAAACGATAAATATCTATAACACTTAAAATATTCATTGGAATTCCATCACTTTTTGGGTTGAGCTGAGGGGTAATAAATATGGACCAACTCTATAATTTTTCCATTTTTTCGGGTTTTTTCGGCGCGAAATTCGAGATGCCTTTTGCACACTAATCCTCTTTTTTTTTCATTTTTCACCCAAAAAAGCATATATGTGTTATTAGTTGTCAGGTTTTTCAAGCTTAGGGTTCAACGTGTGGATTATGAGGTTTTGGTTTTTGAGCTCTGAGGCTTTTTCAGGCCTTTGTATCTCAAGGTTCACCAAAAAGAGCATATGTAATCACTATTTATAATATAAGTTTTCTAAGAAAAATTAAAACCCCATAATTTAGAGAATTACGGTAGATTTTTGCGAGTCCATAATTATTTATTTCTTCATTTTTATTCAAGATTTCTACTTTTCTTCAGAATAAAAATATGGCTGCGCCAAATATGAATGCAAATGAATTGGATGCACTTGCGGTTAGTTTTTTTTAATGTGTTTTAAAAATTTTGTGGATTTTTAGGCTTTGTTTTTGGGTGGTGCGAATTCTTCGGAAGAAAGTCCAATGCAAATAATGTTGAACGAATACGAGCAATTAAACCAGGAGGATTGTGAGAAAATTGGAATTGTGAGTTTGAATTGCAAATAAATAGGTTGAAAGGAATTTGAAATTCTTAGGTTTTTGTTTTTTTAGAATTGCGAAGACCGTGCAATCTACAAAATCCTTCATGGCTACGGTTTCCTGTTTATTTTCTTCCTCGCAATTTTCGGAAATTTCATCAACCTATTAATCTACAATACTGATCATATCAAGTATTACATCGCAATTCGAATGTTATGCAGTCGGCTATTCGTGAATTCAGCAACCCTTGTTTGCATGTTACCAGGAGCTCTTCGAATTATCGAAGTCTGGGAATATGGGTCCAATTTCGATTTCAGATATTGGGATTTTTATCGTTATCAGATTTATTTGATAAACTTTTTCGGATTCTGTGCAATGTGGCTGACTGTTATGATGACTGCCGAATGTTATCTTCACGTTTTCTTTCCATCGCATTCAAAATCGCTGCTGACAAAGAGAAATCTCTCCAAGTGAGTTGAAAAAAAAACATTTTTCAAGCTCGATCTTGATTTCACCAGCTTCTTCTACATACAGGGTGCGCCATAAATACCCGGACAGCTATAATTCAATATATTTTTCCAAAATAGAACAGTTTTTTGTGTATGGTTTTAAAAATACTTAATTAGGTCCCTAACGAGTAAATTAAAATCAAACTCTCTTAATTTGGTCAATTCTACGAGTCGGGAGAACATGTAATTCTACGAGTCGGGAGAACATCCTTCAGGGAAAATTTCATCACGGCACGCAGAACAATGAAAAAGTGGTCTCGCTATTTTTGGATGAAATTATTTTTATTGCGAAGGCTTCATTTGAGTTGTAAAATGTTTGAGGGGTTGTCTGAGAGTCCCAAGAAGCCAACAAAAAATATATATATGTCCACCATGTCTCACACCAAGTTCGGGTGGAGGTTTTTGGAACTGTCTGCTTGTTTGGAAGAAATCTTTGATTTCCCTCGAAATGTGGGTCGAAACCGGAATTAAAGTTGATATAAATGTAATCCTGGGCTGACATTTGTACCTAAAGACAAAACTCAACCTCGATAAAAAACATCAAGTGCTCTAGCCAATCACAGTACACAATAAGAGATAAAATCTCCCGAAATCGCTGCTGAGAAACAATTTTTTCGATTTGAGCAACGTTTTTAAATTGATATTATTTTTGTCAGAAACAAACCCATTGCATAATTCCTTCTGAATTAGTTATCGGATAGGGTCCAGGTAAACCAACAAAGAAGATATTCAGCTATACAGAAGCTAGTTTTCAAGTATTGGGACAATATGTCCGACAAATGCCTGCGTGCCGTGATGCAATTTTCCCTGAAGTTCTACATGTTCTCCCGACTCGTAGAATTGATCAAATTAAGAGAGTTTGATTTTAATTTACTCGTTAGGGGCCTAATTGAGTATTTTTAAAACCATACACAAAAAACTGTTCTATTTTGGGAAAATATATTGAATAAATAGCTGTCCGGGTATTTATGGCGCACCCTGTACATATGAAGTCACAAATATGTTTTCAGAAGTTATTTCATCATAATTGCGGTTGGCGCAATTTTGGAACTCATGTACTTCAACAGAACAATTGATGTTGTTATAACTTGTGATCAATACATTTTTCAAATCGTTGCATCCGAAGACGATTTTATGATTCTTCTCGAAAAAGTCCACACAATCGCAAACCTCATTCTCTCGATTATTTTGCCAATGAGTATTTTATGTTTCATGGCTTTCAGTATTTTATGGAGGCTTGTACTGCGGCGAACCGAGTTCAATTCTCATTTTACGTGGGTTTCTGACTAGTGCCAAATTATATACTAAGCTAGGATAATAAAAACTAATTACAGGTCAGAGAAACGGTGTGTCACTCGAATCACTTTAATTACAACTGGCTTGCAGGTTTTTTGAATCAAATGTTGATTTGCTAAGTCATCACTTTGATTTTTCAGCTTGTTGCCGAACTTCCACCAATTCCAGTTTTCATTTACGCAGCAATTTTTGGACCGGAAGTCACAAATCAATCGATTCTTTGTATTTGGAATACAATTGCAGTTTTTCTGGGATTGTGCAATATTTCTTTGTCGTTTTTTGTTTATCTCGTTTTTTCGGATAAATTCAGAGAATTGGCAAAGAAGTGAGTTAGAAAAATTTGTCGTTCGGAGGTTTTAATCTATAATCTGCGAGACCTCAAAATGTTCACCCCTTGGAAATTTCCTCTAACTTATTTTCAAAATTAATTTCTCCAATTGCAGAAAAATATCTGGATTATTCAACTGTTGCTGCTGTTCTTCAAACAAATCACTAGTTCATTTCGAAGATCCCCATCAACAAATCGACCCGAAAATTACAACAACTCTGATCTCAAAAGAATTACAACTTCCAAAAAGTTCAACAATCGAATCATCGATTTCAACAGAAACATATCTACTTGCCGAAAGAGGGGAAGATTCATTTTTATAATGAACCATGTGAAAAATATTCACAGAACGAACATTTCCAAACATATCATTTTATTTTCATAAAAATAAAGTTTTTCATATTCAAAAAGTTCATCATGCTCAATAATCTTTGATGCATACGGGCGAACCCAACAATTTTATTTGTTTTGTTTGTTTTCAAGATTTTTTCCACAAAAACATAAGTAAAATAAAACTTCATTTTTTCGAATTCAATGAAATCATATTTTTGAGATGGTTGAAAACATTGATTGCTGAATAAATTGTTGGAAGTTTTACAAATGATTTCGGATTTGGTACTGTGGATTCAAGTTGTCGATTTAATTCGAAAGTGTCGAAACCGACAAGTTGTTTATTTTTGTAAATTTCTTGTTGCATGTTGACCGGCTTGATTTTTCGGATAATTTGGATTTTACATACCGGCATTTGATTTTTCTAGAGAAACATGAATTTTGGTTTTTATTTTAAATGTTGGAGTTAACAATTGAAAGAATTATTTTTCAAACAGTTCTAGAACAAATCTTAATCCCTACCTCTTCCCTTCCCTCGCCCCAAACTCACATCTCTCGATCTCACAACTTTCAACTCCACATCAGTCCGATGGTTTTGCGTGATAATTCGTTGAACCTCTTCAATCATATGCTCGCAAAACTTCAATTCCGCCTCAAATCTCTTGACAAAATCCAATTTAGCAGCTTGAGTATGTGGTTTTGCCGGATCAACAGCATTACACAAATCAAAATCGGATAGATATTCAGCTCGAACTGGTTGACCAGTTGGATTTTGGATGATTTTCAGTGGCACGATTGGAGCAGGAACACGGAAACTTGGCTGGAAAGTAAATTTTGTGTTTTGGAATGAGTATTGTTTGTCGCGAGTCAAAGCTCGCAACCTTTTCGAATCAAATGGCGAAAACAGCGAAAAAATGGGAAATTCGGGAAATTTCGAAAAAAGAGGACGTGGCCGAGAAACCGACAAAAACATCCAATCGCGCCCCAGCGACAATTGCTTTCAAATAATTTATTTTTGTTCTGTTTTTCACCTTTAATCCATTTTTCCTGCCAAAACCCGGGTATAAAAGGCCGGATTTTCTCAGTTTTTCTTCTTGAACTACAATGTGACCCCCTTCCCTCTATTTTAGTTCATTCCTCTTTTTTTATTCTTATTTTTAGCATGTTTTTCATAATTTTAGTTTAAACTAGTTTCTCATAAATATTCTAACCAGATGAGTTTTTATAGCGGGACGATTGAGGGTTTAGGGGTAGTATTAGCTTCTAGAATGCTTTAAGAGCGACTTAGAGATGCAGAATTCGAAAGTTTTAGACGAAAATTTCTATAATTCTTTTCTAATTTTTATTTGTTTATTTGTCACGTACCTCCGCTTGTTTCTCCATTTCTGGATCAATTTGTTCATCAATCGAAGCATAAGATTTTGTATCATCTGTTTTTGCATAACACGAAACAAGATCATTCTCATATTCGATAACTTGTTCATCCATAATTTTAACCGATCTTCGAACATGTTTTCGTTCCGATCTATTACTACTCTTCGAATGTGCCCGAATCGACATTTCCGTAGTGTTTGAACTCGTATTACTTGCCGAACTCGAAACAGTTTCGAAATTCTCACCCTGCTTTTCAATTTCAGCTCGCATTACACTTGAAATATTGGCAGTTTGTTTTATAGTTGGACATCGCTTCTTTCTTGCTTTTACCATTTTAAAAAATGAGGCGAAAAATTTTCGGTTTTTTTCAGAGAAAAAATTAGGTTCACGTTTTACAAAAAAATATTTATTTACAAACACGTAGATTTTTAATTTTTCAAGATATTTTCAAAAATAAATAATGTAGTTATAGAATCTGTTCTCGAAGTTCAGGAGTCGGCAACCAAGCAACACGTAGAAAAACAGCCAACGCAGTAAGATTGAAAGTTTGAAAAACGACCAGAAAGAAATAGTCAAATCTCGCGAATACCCTTGACCATTCCTTTTCCACTAGTTTTTTGTTGGCTTTTGCGTCAGCTTTTCGTCGCATACTTCGATGTGAATCGGCAATTTCTTCCATCATATTGCAAATTGATTGAATTTCCGGAACCTTTGAATACATTTGGCTGAAATCACATGGTTGGAAAAATAATAGTTTTGAAGGAGAAAAATGATCCTTACTTATCACAATCTTGACTATGTCTATAATTATGTACACCTCGAAAGATTGTTGAGCGCCTTTTCCGATATTCGGTTAGGAACATCATTCGTAACAAACGTTTCGATGGCATTTGTTCTGAAAATCAACTTTCAAATGATTATGGCTCATTCCAATAACACTCTTCTTTCTATGTTAACCAACCTTTTTGTATGAAATGTCTACTGACAGCTAAAAATGCCATAGAAATTCCAACCGCCACCGCGCATAACACAATTACCACCAAAATATAATATCCAAGTAAAGGGATATCGTTACTCTTTGGCATTGCTCCGGCAACAATACCCAATAAAACAGTCATTGCTAACAAACTTCCCAAACCGAGTGATACCTAGAAATTGGAAAACCTTACGATATTGTCAAAAGAGCAACAAAATCAAGCTAATCAGAATAATATTATAAATAGTGAAATGTAGCATGCAAAACTGTTCAAAGTGGGTATAGTTAATGAAAATGATTGATATATTATACTTTGCAACTTACATTCTCATTACTTTGATTCTAGAAAAATGTATATTTATCATTCTTCACTGCAACAAAAAATAGGGGTTGGTGCTCAATGAGACCACGGCAAATTATGAATAGATATGTATAAGGTTCACCACAAAAAATGTTGCAAAAATATATGACTAACCTTTTCATTTCTCGGACCATCGTTGCTTCCGGGGCTGAAAATTCCGAGAATCGATAGTGCGGAGATCAAAAATGTTGGGGCTACGATAACTGTGATGTAATAAATTGGGCGACGTTGGAGATGGAAAATGTATTGAACTTCGACACGGGATTCGCCTTCTTCAGCAAATTCCATATGTCGGACTGTTACATTGAATAAATACCATTCAGCGTTTCCCTAAAAAAGTGGATGGCTAATCAGTAAAAAAATCTCGAGTATCAGACTAAGACTAAGACTAAGATAAACTCACAGTAAAATAAGAGTCTAGCGGCGGTTGAGTTGCATTAACTTTCATTTCTTTCACATTCAGCAAAGGCGATGCTAAAGCTACTGCACAAAATTGGCAATCAAACGGAAAAGATTCGGTTTGAATTCGACAAATCGCCTGAACATATTGCGGTATATTTATTTTGATTCGGCCTGTGTGATAAAGCCTAACATCTGCACGATTTTCGGTCAGCATGTCTTTTGATTCAAGGCTGAAAAAAAAACATCTGAGTTTCTTGATCATTTGTGCATTGAAAGGTACCTGTTATAGACAAATAATTTTGGTATCCAGACCATACTTTGAGGAACTATTACTTCACTTTGACCACGATAAAGTGCCGGTTCCCATCGTAATCTTTCGTCGTACCATCGCTGTGTGTGAGAGATGACATAAGCGGCTAATTGTTGATTCTCTTTCTGAAAATATAATCAAAAATAAGATTTCCGATAATTAGCTCAAATCAAAAATATTCTCACCAATTCAATAAGAATACCCAAAACAATTGTCATGTTCACCAAAACGGGACCAGAATTGAATGGAAGTACACGTTTATCATAGTCCGAAAATATGTCACGTAGAATATTTGAAGTTTCGTTGTCTGCAAAATCCATGGTTCGAGATTCAGAATGAATTGAGGTTTTTGATTTTCCCTATTTTAACAAAGCTTCTTTTTTTCTATTCATAACTTTATAAATTGAATAATCTTCGAAACTTACCCATTTTTCTACGTTTTCTCTTCTGATGTTAGCTACTTCAACACTTTTGTGTTCAAAAATCACTGAAAAAAAAACAAAGAGAAAATGAAGAGAAAGTTGAACGAAAAATGGGGCGAAAAAAATGTTTTTGTTTCTTTTGAATGTGGTTTTGCTCCTGACTTCTTCTATCTACTACTACATATTTTATCCAGTCGGCCGGAAATGTCGATTTTCTTCTTTCTTCAGGGACAGATTTAACAACAACAAAAAAAGAAAAAAGAAAAAGTGCATCATGTCTAACAAGAGGAAACGGAAAGAATCTGATTATTGAAGTTTGGGATTTTTCGGGGGTGAGTGGTTTTGAATTGAATTATTATAAATTAACAGAAAACATAATTAATTAGCGAAATTTCGGGATTTTTTTAGACTTGACTCTTTTTTGATCTATCAAAATGATTGAATGAGCTGAAAATTTTAGAAGAAAAGAAAACATTTTAAAGATAAAGAATGTCAAAATAAAGTAGTTATGACGTGGCAAAACTGACCAAAACTTTTAAATTTTATTAACAAAGAGTTTTTATTTTAATTTTGAGTTCAACAACCTCGGGTTCATTCTGAGTTGAAATTTTCAAACTGAGCATTTGCCACGTCATAACAATGTTTTTTTGTCAAATACTCCAAACACGTCAATTTTATTTCATTCGACTCAAAAAAACCTACGAAGACAGGAAAAAAACAAGTAAAAACCAATTTCTTCTAAAGTTTTTCTTTGGAATTCCTTTTTTCCCCGATTTGTAGTGAAAAAATAGAGAAATCGTGGGTTGGAAAAAACACGAGACAAAACTTTAAAAAAACTTGAATTTGAGTCCAATTAGAGTGTGATTCTTTTTTTTTCCAGATTGCATATTTTTTAGAGTTTGTTCTTGGTATTTACTAAATGAAATAGATGAAGTTGCAGAAAAATAAATTAATTTTTTTCCTCGAGTTTTTAGTGAGTAATTGAACTTTCTTCCTAATAACAAAAGCGTGTGAAAACTTTATGAGCTGAGCAAAAGTAGAAATTGAGCAAAGCACAATAAGTTGATGACTGGAAATATATATTAGGCCAACTAGACTCAGATACTTATTTTTGGATCTCTTGTTTTGACAAAATATTTTTTGAGGAGAATTCAGCTGTTTTCATTTTACATACGAAAAAATGACATTGTATATTCATGGGAAATTTTGAGGAAAAATAAGTGATTTTCAATAGAACATTTTTTAAAGATTTTTTTGGGAACAATCCAGAACTTCAGAAATGAAATGTTGGAAAATTTTGTCCCACAAAGATTATGCTGCTGATAATGTTATAATTCAACAATAAAATAGCTAAACATTGCTCTTGAGATACAAAAATTTTTGAATTAGAACTTTAGAAATGTAATTTAAATTTCATTTTTGGTATTGTTTCTGAATTTCAATTTCCTTTTCGTTTCCCTTAAAAAAAAACTCACGTATACAAATCGCTTTCTCCACCAAAACCAGCCACAAAAATGTTCCAAAAAATCCGTAGATCACCATTTTTTCCTGAAAACGTCTCAATTTTTGCATCATTATTCAGAATAAATTTAATTTTGTACTTTAAGTTAGGCTAAACTAACATCATTAAAATAATGAGACTTTTGAAAGATCTTTTTCAATTGAAAAAAAAAAAGAGTACAGCAATTATCCAGATGAAAATTGGACAATCTTTGATTTGCTATGAATCAGATTCTGTTGTTTTTTCTCGTGTTTAATCAAATTACCTATTTTGGTATGCAGAAAGAACAAGAGATGAGAAAAGGAAATAAACAACTGAACAGAACAGAGCAAAAGGTTCAGAGATGGGCCAACAGAAAAATATAAAAATAAACAGATGGAAACGGATTGCCGGAGGGTGTCAATGTTGCAATTTTCTAGAGTTTGTTTGGGAGAACTTTGGAAAATTGATTTTGAATTTTGGTTTCTGGGTTTTACCAACAATGTACTTCTAGATAATTTTGAATCATTGATGTTTAGGATTATTTTTGAGAAAAGTAATTTGAAAGTATTCAGAATCTAAAAATCAAAAAAAAATCTACTTAACATAATTCCGAAAAATATAGAAATTTCCCGAATTAAAAAAATCTTGAGGAAAAAAATCTTGAGGATCAGTTCTACACATGAAAATTCCAGATCAAAAATTTATGCAAAATCCTCCGAAAAATTCGTTTGAAAAAAAGTTGAAAAAGTGAAAAAAATGTTTCTTTCCCGAATTTTTTTGTCAACAACTCCGAAAAATGTTGCGAAAATCCGGATTCTTTTTCAAAAGTCCGAAAAGTTACTCAAAGGCAAAACTCAAAAACCAAAATGTAGCGTTTTTGGTCAAAAATATAATCAGGCCAATGAAAATCTTCAAAACATAGATTTTCTAGTTTCTGGCCTCAGAATCCTAGTTAGCTTTGTTGTTTTTCTTGTCGTTTTCTCGTTGTGACTAGAATAATTTCCCGAAGTTGGTTTTGTTGAACCAAAAAAAAAACATTTAAAATTCAAAAAAAAAAAGAATACGAAGAAAAACAAGGAATTCCTTCTGTTGGGTAACTTTTTGTCTTCAAACTACAAAGAATGTTTTCTTGAGAAGAAACAAGTGACAAGGTGGAACAAGAACGAAAAGTTTTGTGCATAGAAAAATTTATTATGCACAAAAAAGTGACTTCCGTTTGACTTTGTGGTGAGGTGTGGGCGGTCCCATGAATGATGATTTCGCATCGACGATTTCTTTTTTGTTCTCAATTTCATAGATGAATCTCTGTTTGAGATTTTGAAATTTCAAGAGAAGAAAAATAAAAATAAGAAACAGACAGACATGAATTAGATTTATGAATAGAAAATATTATTTTTTCAAAAGAAAAGTAGGAGATTTCGAAATTGGATAATTGAGGTCAAAAGTCGCACTTTTTTTTTCGAAAATAAAAAGAAATATTCAAACTATACTTGAGTAATAGAAAAGTTTGTTTGTAAACAAGGAAATTGAAAAATTGAAGAAAATTTTTTTGAATGAATGAAAAACAATTCTCTAATTGTTATCGACCCTAAAAATTCCAGCCGGACTATTTTTCAAAGATCTTAAAAATTTCTTCAAAAAAATTTTCAAAGCAAATTTAGTCCTTCGTGATTGTGGAAATAATTTTATTATGTTATGCCATTTTTTAATTTCCAGACTGACCTTTTGAATTATTTTGCAGCTGGATTTACAAAATGTTGTTATGTGGTTACCAATAAACGCGGTTCTTTTAAGTCAGATCTGTTTTTCATTCAAATAACGCATAGCAAAACCTTTATTTTCTCAAAGAAATTTAAAAAATTCAAATTCTCGAACTCGTCGCCATAGTAGAAACAAAAGTAACCGATTTTAATTTAGAATTATCTTTTGCGATCCAATTTTGTATAATGATTCTATATGGTTTAACCAAATAAATCGATAAAATTGGTGTTGTCATTGGCATCAATTCCATTGTTCGAAATGGCAAATTTTCATAAAAACATCCTTCGATTTTTTTGAAAAGTAACAGAATAAAAATTGAAGCTGCTGTTAGCCAAAAAATTGGGATGCCTGCTTGAAAAGTTAGAGCTCTCATCAATTGTTTATGTGATTCTCGAGCTGTTTGTGATAATATTAATCCAGCACTTGAAGAATTCAAGATATCCAACGTTTTTCTTCGCGAATAAATTATGATTGCATAAATTGGAAAACATGGAATACACATATAAGCAATTGCACCAATTGTGGTTTTTGTTAAAATACTTTGATTTCCTGATATTATTAGATTTGGCCAAATTGTTGAATCATTGTAGAAATATTGGGGATATGTGGTTGATATGAGATTCTTAAGATATTCTGGATCATCAACTTCTTGCATATAAAAGATCTGAAAAAGTTCTAGTAATTGTGTTTTTCTAGCTACTTTTTCAGCTTTCTCGTAAAATAAAATAGTTCTGAAATATTTTGAAACCCACCACAAACAAACATGAAGGAATATACACCAAAACACATAACTTGATCAAACTTGATATTTTTGGGGAAGCTTGTTGCAAAATATGAAATCGATAAATGAATGAAATCATCAAGATCCATTGTGAATGTGCGAGACAATGACAAACAAAAACATGAAGAAAATAACAAAAATATGGAGAAATATAACCACATACACCGTGAAATATATACGTCAAACTCCATCCCGAGAAAACAGTTCTACAAAGCTCAAACTTTTAGTTTAAAAATCGTGTTATTTCTTTTCATAATTCAACTCACTTCTGTAATTGAAGGATTCCAGACAATGAGCTCAAAAAATCACAAATTGCAAAATTAAACAACAAAATTGAATAGTTTTTCAAAATCATTGGAGATTTTTTGAGAATTAAAAACATGAATAAAAAATTGGCGAATAATCCAATCAGATTTACAGAGTATCCAAGAATTTTGAAGTATTGATCAATTTGTTTCACATGACAAATTAAAGCGAATTGTGAAGAGTTCATTTTGGAAGAAATGAAAATAACTCACTATTTCCACTCACAGAACAAAAATAGGAAACTACAATAAAAAGCAATCACCGGTTGGAATAACAGGAAAGGACTAAGGAAGTGTTAAAAATACAATTTTAAACTGGAATCTGTTTTTTTCCCAATATGTGAATGCACTAGTTGATAACAAACACATTTCATACGTTTCGCAGAACAATTCTTCAGAAACTTGAGAATTTGACAAAATCCAGATTTGAAACATTCCTCTCTCCAACTATAGTTCAAACGGTTACAGAAAAAATCTTTCCCACTTTTCAAATTTAGTTTGTGACAAAATTTGCTGATTTTCAATTTGTTCCGAGTTCGTTCATCATTCTAGAAATATGTTTTTAAAAATTTCAAAACTTCATGATGTGATTCCTTTGACAATTTGAAAACAGAGACTAGAGAATACTTATTTTGCCCTTTTTAACAAAAACAGGAATTTGATTTCCTACAGTACTTCTTAAAAATAGATTTATTGAAGTCTCTTAATATAAGAACTCAAATTAACTAATCGTAAGTTTGGTTAAATATAAATTAGAAGATCAAAGAAATGATTAATGATTTGTTGTGCTGACATGAGTCGAAATCGAATATCGTTCTGAAAAACAATTCATTATTTTCAAAATCACTAAACTCAAACATACTGATATTCATTTTATTGAAAATAAGTTTTGAGAACTCTCCATTGAAAATAATTGTAATAATTCCATCCAACATATGAACACAAACCCAAGCCACAGTTGACAAGAAAAATCTTCCCCAACGATATTCTGCTCCAACTTTTGGAGTGATAATGAAATATGTGATGAGTTCGAAGACAAAAACGAGCGCTTGAAGGCAAGCTTGTTTCAAGAAATTGATCTCATTGCTTCTTTTGCGGCAAGTCGAAGTGTTTTCCAATTTTTTGTTGAAAAGTCGAACTTTGATAACAGTAATTATATCAATTATCACAATTAAAATAACAATTGAGTTATACTTGATGAAATCAGCATACCAAGTGATAGTTTGACAAACTGGAGTGGTTGAAAATGTGAACACCCAGAAATCATCAATGTAAAAGAATTTACAATCATTGTAAACGTAAAGGTAAAAAGAGGGAAGAATTGCAAGGGTCCAAGAGATTGCTATATAATTATTTGTGTTTTTCATGCTGAAGATTTTCTCGTAACTCATTGGGAACATTATTGAGGAAAATCGGTTTAGAGAGATCAGAAGATGAGAATATGTTGAGATATCATAGGCAATCAAGAGAATGTGTCCACAATGTTTGGAGTTATTTTTGAGCCATTGGTTATCGCTGGAAATTTTTTGGTTTTTTCTGAGTTTCTGAAAAATATAGATTGTTGGCATAAGTTTTGAAGGATAACTTTAAATCTCCAAATTTTTTAAAGAATACAATTTTAATAGAATGTTTGAGTTGCATTTGAACAACAAAAGTTTCTCTGATTCTCTTCCTCAAAAAAGTTTTAAAATTTACAAAAAACACATTGGCACAAAATAAAAAGCGAAAAGCGATGAATGCATTGCATCTCCAATTGATTGCGATCCAGTCAATCTTCCGAATGCATTTTTCATCGATTTCAAATTTGTAATCAGAATCGCCACAGTCCAATTGGCACAAACACCAAGGAAGGCAAGCTATAAAGTTTGATTTAATTATTCTTCTAAAATTTTATTGCTGAAAATCTCACCGGAAAAACAACAATCGCCGCGATTTGATGATTCTCCATGATCAAAAGCTCAACTGAAAATAAATTTTGAAAAAAATTATGATTTTTATGCAAAAAAATTGAAAAAGCAAAAATTAGGAATATATTCAGAACACGTGTGTATCGTGAAAAATATGCAAATCAGTGGCATTTTTAAAAATACTATGACTAATAAATAATGCCAAAAAGTGAGTCTATTGGGGATTACTGTAGAGTTATTTTTGAATGAGGAAATCATATTCTGGAATTTTGATTTTTGAGCTTCCGATTTCTGCTAAATAATTTTTACCAGGAAGAGTTAAATAAAAACATTAGAAAAAAAGTTGAATTTTTTCGTGATTGGAGAAAGAAGACATTCTGAAGGAGACATATTTCAGAAAAATCAGTATCAAAGGGCGGAGCTACAAAAGCAGCGAAAAGGAAGAGTAAAGTTAAACCAAAATCAAAACAAGCGCAGAAAAAATCAGACGATAAAAGAAGACAAAAACAAAGGAATACGAGGTGCTTAATTAATTATTTTGAAAAGTCCATGAAAGATACAATAATTCGTATTTTTATAGGAAGCGAAAGGAAAAAGCACGTGCTCGAAAAAAATCGAGAACAAAAAGGACAAAGAAATCGGGTACGAAAAAAGAAAAAGGAAAAAACAAGAAGGGAAATACGAATAAAGGTGAATTGGGATGAGTTACCGTAACTTCTTCTAACAATTCAATATTTTGTCTAGCTGGTGGAAAAGATGAAGAAGAAGGTGAAGATGGAGAAAATTCGAGTAGCACTTCTTCCGATGAGGAAATTGAGATGAAATTCACTGGAATGTCGGTTGATCAGATGAATAAAGTGAGAAAACATGTACAAGAATTGGCTAAAGAGGAATTTTTGAGCACTTTAAAGGTGAGATTTCTATATGTACTTTATTGGGACAGAATCTGTATTTGAACAAAAAAAAATATGATTCTAATCATGAGGTACGATCGTTGATCAGTGATGTGAATTTTTAGAAGTCTCATCTTGTGATCAGAAAATAGAATTGAATGAGTGTTGATTTTACATTGTTAAGATTGTTCAAAAAACATGTGACGAATAAAAAAGTTATTTTTGAGCTTCTATAAAAGTTGGAAAATTATCGAAAAATCCAAAAGTGACATAGAGTTTTAACTGAAAATCTTATAATTTCTGAGGTATTTATATAGGTCTGATTAATATTTTGATTAGGAATTTTTTTTTAGGTAGATTATGTTAGAACAATGAAAATGTATTTAAAAATAGATATCTTTGACTTGTGACGCAGTTGACTTTATCGTTTGCAAATTCTAAAAATTAATTCTGAAATGATTTATCAGAATCAGAATCAGGTCACGCAAGAAATTTGTTTTTTGAATTTTTTCTGAATTTTTTTATAAAAGGGCTTTTTTCTCGAATAAAAAATTGAAATTTACTTGTCACGGGTCAGACGAAGAATCCTCACTACAAGAAATGTGTTATGATTATCTAATGAGTGCACATTCTTAACAAAAGCTAACTCATTTTTCTTTTAATTTTTCGGTGCATTAATTTTCAGTCTTTTGTTTACTTGATTAGACGTCATTAAAAAACAAAAAATGTACCCAATGTTTTTTTGTCGAAGAATTAACTTTTGATGTTTAGGATTTAGCAGAAGGCGGTGCTGAAAAACGAAAAATGGAAGAATTGGCAACAATCGAACAAAGAATGGCTATATTTCACGATCAAGAACAACCAACAAATCCATCTCGCGGACCTTTTCGCTCAAATCGATTTGGAGCTGTTTTTCTAATGCCCTTTGAATAAATCTATTTATATTTCATTTTTTGATATGTATATATGTACTTTGATAATGACAATAACAAAAACAAAAATTATTAGAATTCCCTGCTGAATCCAAAGATCACATTAGAACTGTATTGATCAAATGACGAGAGGTTGAAAATTCGGAGAAGATGCATTTCTTCAAGCGCGCGATCGGCACAGATTTCCACACCGCCGGTTAACATGAGCAACTGGAAAATTTTGAATGAGTTTTTGAATAGCTGATAAAATTACCTCTCCAAGTCTCACGGCCAATTCCTCGTTATTCATTCCTTGTTTAATATAATGTGCATGAAGACCACTAATAATTTTATTTCGCACCTTTTGCACCAATTCACCATCCTCTTTCGTTGCCACGTCATCGCCATTCACCTCGAAAAGACACGTAGGTTCTGCAAAAAAATCAATAAACAATTCAAATTAGATTAAGGCCAACTTACTCATCAACATGAGAGTTTTAACAGCCGCCACTTCTAAAGAACTCGGTTTCAGATGTCTCAGAGGATCGGCGACTTCTTGAATCAACATTGCAACAAATGGGGCCAGCAATTTTTGTTCCATTATAAGGTTTGGTGTGAGTAGTTTTCGAATTTCGTCGGGAATATTTACAAGATCACTAACAAGGAATGTTCGATCAGAGAGGAACCTGAAATTGATTTTTGGAATTTCGAATTTCAGATGAGATATGGCTTAATTCTTCCAATATTTCTAATGACAAATTCTAACCAAAAATCTAGTTTTGAAATTTTGCAGCTGCCAAATTTTCACAACTAGAAAAACGTTTATCAGGTTTTTTGAATTTCTAATAACCAGACTTGACCACGTCACAACTTTTACACAAAATATAACTCGAGCAGCTGCTAGATTCCATTTATAATTTCTGGTCAAAGAGTCAATTTTTTCCGATTAAAAAAAAATCAAACTCACCAAATATGTTTATGAGGTGGCATTTGTGCAGTAAACAGCCCGTGTTCAATGACTGTATATCGCAAACAGAATCGTCGCATCAGAAAATTTCGATATCTCTCGGATAGTTCCAAATAGCAAGGCACACCTTCAACCCATTCTTTCAGCAAAATGATATCAACTTTCAGCGATGGCCCAATTCCAGAATTTACAGAAACATTCGTGTAATCGCAAGTCTGAACTTTTTTGATTTTAAAATTTATCAGGAACTTCGGGTTGAACAAATCGGCGTCCCAATTCGGGGGATATTATTTCCACCTTTTTTATTTATCAAAATTTAACCCAAATTTTCTAGCGGAACTTCTGTGCACATTTATATTAGGAGCCAGATTTTTCAAAAACAAAAAAAAACACTCACCGGGCTATAAAAATGTATTTCATTATCATTCGATGTTTCGGGTTTGCCTAGAATGTGTGCGGTGCGAGTGCGAATCGATGTGTCCATTTCGCAAATATTCTGCAAAACATCGTAGTCGTGTTCGCAAAACAGCGCGATGCGCGAATTTATCTGCAAGCAGATTCCATTGACCCAGTTTCACCGGGGAAAAATAATTAAAATGAGTAATACAACATGCTACCGTTTCAATTTTTCTCAAAAATTAGACTCCCCCAAGATAAATGTTATGGTACTAGAAATTGAAAAAAAGTGTCAGTAACCAATTTGTGAGCATAAATCCAACCACGCCCAGGGGTTAACATATGAACGGCGCCAATAGTTATTTTTTCAAAATTTTAACTAAATCTACAGTGCCATCAAAATTTTAGAGTAAATTTTGGGTTGCTTTTTAAGTATTTTTGAAAAACAGGTGGTTTTCACCCTGCCAATTTTTCTCCAAAATCATCTCATCAATTTTTATTTTTTAGGTGGTATGGCAAAAAATTGAAAGGGTCACATGTTGCTAGCTCTTGTTTTTAAAAAAAACTTACAGATAACTGAGGTGGAAGTGATGGAGGACTGGAGATTGGTGATGAATCTACAGAGTGACGCGGGTGTCGTCGACCAATTACATCACGACAAGGATGAAGAGCTGGAAAATAAGATTTCTTAAAATTCCCGTATTTGATATTTTTATAGAAATCCTAATAATAAATAATAAAAACCAACCCTCTTCAGTCATTCCAACTTGCTTGCATTTCATATATCGACAACTTCTACATAATCTTTTCGCATTCACATTTTTCTCCATCGCACATTCATTTTTATTTTTACATTTCGGAGGATTCGGTTGCAAAACCACTCGTCGGAAAAACGTTTTACACCCAAGACAAGCAGTTACACCGTAATGATGACCAGTGTTTGCAACTCGACCACACACCAAGCAACATGGTCCCGATTCTTCTTTGGTTTGGCTTGTACATGCTTCTGGAAAAAAAAATTATGTAGAGGGATTTTCGAGTGTAGGTTTCTGGGTTTTTATTTTGTATGTGTGTTGGATTTTTTTTCTGATGTTATGATTGTATTCTTGTTCCAAAATATGTCCAGCTTAGTTTCTCTTCATCAAGATTTCTGATTTCCAAAAAAATCTGATGTGAGCCTAACACATAATATGTCTTAGTTGTACATGCTTCCGCAAATATTAAAACTACGAAAAAGGATATAAATAAATAAGGGACGGAGGAGGACGATCTTTGGATTAGTGAATAGCAAATGCACTAGTGTTTTCGTGATTTATTTAAAAAATAAGTTTTTTTTTGTAAAACTGAGATACTGATGTATGTAGAATGATGTTTGCAAAAAATATTAGAAAGGGAGGAATTTTTGGGTATTGAACAAGTTTAGCAAGAGAAAAACTTGTTCAAATTGATTTGAGGTGAGTTCCGAAAATCTTCGATAAAATCTTTTTCGCATGAAAGAAAACGATTGAATCAATTCATTTGTGAAATTTTCATCACGAGACGAACGAATTTTACGAAATGGCACGAAATAACAGAAACAATTGTTGAACAAATCTGCGATGAACTTTCGAACTCTTTTTTATTTGTTTAATTATTCTCACCGAATCCTTTTTGTCATATTTTTCTAGTTATATAAATAGAAAATCAAAATCATTCAAAAAAAAAAACAAAAGTGCATAGAAGTCTCTAGACTGATTTATGATCGGTTCGAAATTTTTTTCTAAAAATATTCATCAGAATCTGAATTGAGAAACAGACATGAGAAATTCTCATTTTCGGAGAAAAAATTTAAAAGTGCAACAAATTTATATCCTGATTAATTATCGGCTCAAAAATACGATTATCACAAAAAAATGAAAAACATTCGAATTATATTCACTTTTGTTTTCAATTGCAGTTTCAAAGATTATCAGATAAATTACCTCGAATATAAAATAGCTGGAGAAAATTATGAAAATTCCAAAGTTTTGTTGAAAAAAAAATTTTTAGCGCAGAAATCTATTTCTCCAAAAAATCCCACTTTGAAATTAATTAAAAACATCATCTCAAAAACGTCATTTTTCTTTTTTTCAAACTGGATATAACAAAATGCAAATTCATAAAAAATATTCTAAGAATTGTCTAGACATCCTTCTTATTTTAATTTAAAAAACAATAATAACTCACCATTTTGATCAAAATCAATTTCATCCATCGCTTCACTGAATGTCATGAAGCCTATAAACATCAAACATCTTTTTAAAATCAGACAAAAAGATTTGCAAACAAAAGAGAACAAGAAAAGTTATATCAAATGGCCAAATGATAACCAAAAATAATCAATTTTACATGACAGATAACAACATTGGCACGTGGTTTCTCACAGTTACTTTGAAAAAATAGAAAAACATCACATAAAAGTTATATTTGACGAAAAAAGAAATAATCTTCAACCTAATTGAATTTAATCAATAATTAACGCAAAAAGTGTACAACATAGAAAAAAAACGTTTATCGAACTAGAAAAATTTCTTTCTCTTTATGTTTCGACGTCTGCGTCTCCACTATTTCTCGCAATTTTCTCTGTCTCTCAACTATCTATCTATATTTACACAGACCTGCAATAACATGACTACACATTATTCTATTCGTTGAGAAATATAGAAATATTGCAAAAATATATATGAAAAAAGATTATGAATTTGTTGAAAGAAAAAGGGAGACCTCAAAGTAACTAACATCAGCTACAAATGATTTAATATAATATAATATTTCCGCATTACATATTCCTATGAAAACTTAATTAGGTATGGCTTCAGAACGGATTAGTTCTCTTATTTCATTTAGTAACTATTGTTGTTATCCTTTATGTTATTGATAATCAAAAGAACAATAATCAAATAAAAAATTAAATGTGAAATGTATACTTATGTCTGGCTTTCCCAAAAAAATACTTCGATGTCATGAAATAAGTTTTCGGATTTTGCGGGGGAATATTTCAGATTATAATCAGACTTTTGAGATTTTTTTAATACAAAAAATATGCCGTTAAAGATGAAATTATAAATTCATTTGGTGAAAAAAATGATTCGAAAAATTTTGCATGATCTACGGATTTTCTTTCTATTTGTCTGTTTTGAAAATAGATGTCGGAAAAATATGTGTAGTCTGAAATCGGGTGGGTATTTCGCACAATTATGATCGAATGTGAGATTATTCGAAATATCGAAAATATTCCGATTCTTGCGAAAAATCATATGTTTCGATAACCAAAAGATCAATAATCAATTAGAAAATAAGGAAAATTGTAGTTATCAGGGATTTTTATTGCAAAGTTTCCTCTATCAGTTCGTTTTTGAGCTTTTATCAGTAAAATGGATAATCAAACACATTTTCGGATTTTGTGGGCGAAATTAAAGATTAGGATCAACTCACAAGTGTTTTTTTTTTCTTCAAAAAACTGTGATGTTCAAGGTGAAATTACACAGATTCAAGTCTAGAAAGAGATTCAAAAAATTTCTCGTGCAAGTGTGAATACTTAAATGCGAATAAATACGATTTCAATCTACGGAAAGATATATATAGTTTCATCGGATCAAAAGAATAAAGAATCTTGATAATTAAGCAGCGATGGAGGTGGAGACGGGTCAAATTTTAGAAATCGAAATGAGATCAAATCTGAGATTAATGTTGCAAATTCCCTGACTCATGCAAAACTTTCTGACTTAAACGGAACTAAAATATATTTGGAGAAGTTGATCAAAACGTTTCAGAAAGGTAACATTTGTCTGAAAACTTTTCATGAGTCAAATCACGTAAAAACGTTTAACAAAGTGTAGTTAAAAATCGGTTCAGATGAAAATTATGAAAGTAATGAAAAAATCTTATTATGAAAAAACTTCGTGTTTCCAATAAATCGAAAATAGAATCACAATTATTCCAAACATTTCTCGTACAAATGTGAGAAAATCGACAGGGTTTTAATTTACGGAAAGATCACTAGAAATCAGACTAATATGATCATAGAGAACCAGGCCAATGCGGATCTTGATCGTCGCACTTATTTATTTCTACTTTTGAAAAAAGAAGAAGAAGGAGACCAAAAGATTACTCGAGAATTGTTGTGACTTGGGCACCAACTTAAATTGTAAGAGATTACGATCAGGATTGTGTGTTGGTTCGGTTTTTTTTTCGAAGGTTGTGTTGAGGAGTTTCAAAAGGTTAAACATCAGATAGCAAAAAAAAAATTTCAAATAGAATCCCTAAATAATTCCGAAGGAATATTAAAATAAGGAATCCTAATCTTGGTAAAACAGAAATAAACCAGACAATTTCCCTGAATACAATCTGATTTGATTTATCTTAAATCTCACTGAAGTTTTTATTCAATTCAATATCAAATTTATGTTTGGCATATTCAGAAAAAAAAAACACATTCCGTCATTTTGTAAAAAAAAGTTCATTTGAAGAACATCATTTTCTTTCTTTTCACTTTGCGTTAATATTTTATATAACCAAAGATCACTATATGATAAGAAGTATTTAACAATAATAACACGAAAATATATGTGAAATATCTAGTGTGAAAAGTAGCTAAATGGGTGGAGCTAAGCCAAGACCAAACCATCAAAAATTACACATCAAATCAAATCAGAATTGCGTCAACTAGAAAGTGATTATGACTAAAAAATAGTATGAAGATCAAAATGTTGTTGTAGGGTAATACGCAATTGCAGCCTTGTGTTTGTTTGCAGCTTGCGCCTGGAGGTTTCGAAAAATCGTATAAATCAACTGGCTTCGGGAAAAGTGAAGTACAATTGTAAGCACTCTAATAATTTTTGTGATTCCAATAAAAAGTTTCCTTGTATTTCAACTTTCTCAAAATATTTTGTGACAAAAATTTCAGAAAATCTCATTCAATCCAACTTTTTTTTGGCTTTCATCATTTAATCCTATTCAAATCTCAAGTTTTGCGTCACAAAGTCTTGCTCAAGAATAGAAAATCTTCGAAATTAAATGATCAAAAGAATAGACACCAATGAAAGACTAAACTTCATTCCCATGGTAACCATTACAGACAGAACTAACATAAATGAATAAATATAATTCTCAAGAAATTCTCAGAACACATAGATTGGTGCACTTTTTATTATTGAATTTGGAAGAAAATGAGAATTGATAGTTTTTCCGCATTCTTTCGGCAATTTTTCAAAAAGTACAAAAGAGCGAAACTATCGGCGAGACTACATACTATTCGCAGCTTATCTCACAATAACCTCCCACACATACATACAATACAGACATTTGATCTTTGGCGATACTGATCTTTGGGAGGATAAAAATGTATTTGAAAACCAGAAATCGCGATTTTAGGTCATGGAAAGAAGATGAAAACGTCGAGAAATTTGAATTTGTAGGATAGGAATATTTTCAAATACTCTGGATATTCTGAAGTGAATTACAGAAATTTGACGTTGATTTGAGCAAGTATTCATGAAAGAACAGTTGCATTCGGACCCACCCAAACGCCACAGCAAATTTTTCACTACGCATTTTCTCATTGCACAATTTCACGTGTCGCTACAGTATTTTCGCAAAAAAAATTTCTTTTTTTGTGTTTTTTTCAAAAAAATGTGTTTTTGAAGCCGAAACCGAAGGAAACATGCTCAAACTACATTTTTAGAAGTAGTTGATAATTTTTCAAGTAGTAATAGTTTTTTGAATCAAAAGTTTCTTGTCTTTCCTGGGAAAATCGAGAAAAATATGGAGAAACGTCATATTGAGCGGAATTAGAATATTTATAAGCAATTTTCTGTCTTCTGGACCTCCCTCAACCCTTCTTTGCTCAATTCTGATAGTGAAAAATCAACTTTTCCCTGAAATTCGGGTTCAAATCCTCAAAAAACGTGTAAAAACAGGATTTTATTAGGCTCCGCCCAGATGTGTGTGCCGCGTGTAAAACACATTCTGCAATGATTTTTTATTTGAGGTCACGTAGAAAAAAATTTGCTGTGAACGCGTTTTTGGTAGGATTTGTGACAATTGGATGCCATATAGAAATTGGAAATCTATAGAATAATAATAGAAATGTATTTGAATAGTGTTCATTTAAAATGACAAAAGTACAATTTTAAATCAGTTAACAAGGAAAACGAAATCCTCAAAAAACACATTGCGAGACAGAAATTAACTTCAACTTCGAAAATAGAAATTCTTAATACAACTCACGACTTCTCCGAAAAAAATAAGTTCGTAGTTTAAAAAAATCAATAATTTCTCGAAAAAAAAACAACGAAGTTAGGTCACATCTTTTCACAATCAACTTACAAAATCAAAAAAAAAACGAAAATCGTTAATATTATTGAATTAAAAACACGTGAGAAATAAAAAAGTAGGTCAAGTGATGTGGATTTGAAAACAGTATAGGTAGCCATGTCGTCAATTGCGATGCGGTTCTGCGATGCGTGTTGACCTCGATATTTTCCATTGAATTTGCCAAATTTTCATTTCTAAAAACGTGTCGCCCACACGCATCGCGACTGACGACATGGCTACCTATACTGTTTTTAAATCCACGTCACTTGACCTAGTTTTTTATTTCTCACGTATTTTTAATTCAATAATAGCAGATATTTAACACGATAATTCCACAAGCCTAATATATATCAAATTCTTTGTACAAGTATAAACACTAAAACTCAAAACGTTTCAGGGCCGATCTATAGAAAACCAACCAAAATCCCAAACTAATCCGCAAACTTCCAGCATAAAACAATAGGATTAAGTTTCAGTTTCATCATGTATAAAAATATGAATACAGTAATCTTCTGAAAACACTTTACGTGTTCGTTTGTTATCATCAAAATCACAAAAAAACCAATCAAAACAACGGGACAAACCATTCTTGCCTATAATGCAAATAGAAACACATTTGCATTTTTTGGAAACAAAAAACAGCGAACTGAAATAAAACTTTATTTTTGTTATGACAGTCTCATATGCCTATGCTGTTTCTTCTGTGAATTCTAGCACTTTCCTAAAATTATTTCGAAAATGGAAAGGCTCAATACTAAAAGCTGTTTGGAAAGAACTCTTAATCTGGTTGATTCTATATTCATTTGTCGGTTTCGTAGTGAACTGTTTTCTAGATACTGTAATTCGAGAGTAAGTTTCCTGAATTTATTTTCTAGAGCTCTAACGATTTTCAGACATTGCCGCGCTGAATTTGAAGCTATTGATGGTAAATTGGCGTACTTCGATTTGAAATTTATGCTAGGTTTCTTTGTCTCGGCTGTTGTTGATAGATGGAAAAACATTCTTCAAAACATTGCGTTTATTGAAACGTAATTTTCCTAGTTTTGTTAGAGAATTTGAAAATTTCATTTTTGAAGAACAGCACTGTCGATCAGCACATTAATACGAGGAAAAGATGATAATGTTCGATTGGCTAGAAGGTCTATTATTCGATATATCGTGCTCTCTCAGGTGAGTCCGATTCCGAAAAAGTGTGGGAGTTATTCGACTACGCATCTTAGAAAAAACAATAAATGAATCAGAATTTGTTCAGTGTTTGATTTTCATTGTGTTCAGAAAAAGACTGAATTGTTTCGTACTTTGGTGACAACACTGAGCGATTGAATTTTTAAACAAAAAATGGTTTGGTTTCCTGCTGCCCGATATTTAAGATGTCTTAACGGGCGGCCGTTACATCTAGATAGGACCAAAAACAGAAATTGGAGACTTTTTCAATGTTCGATTGACCTTCTGAATCATTTTTTGTAATGAAACATTTTTAGTAATGAGAAATTCTTTATCAAGCATTGAATTGAAGATTTTTTACTCTACCAATTCATTTTCATTTCTGAGAACTCATCTACCCGCTTTTTTCCATTTTTCTCACGTGTTCCAGTTTTTTGCGTGCTGTTACCAAAGAACACAAAATTTCCCAATTCCTTCCTGAACACAATGAAAATCAAATGCCAAACAAAAATGATTCATTAGTTGTTTTCAATATAACACAGTCAACCACACAAAAACGCATATCAGATTAGCACTCATTATCAACAAAAAAAACAACAATAACATCAAAAATCAAATATTTCTCAGATCTTGGTATTTCGTGATATATCTATGCGAGTTCGCAGAAGGTTTCCAACGATGCAAAGTCTTATTGATAGTGGATTTTTGTTTGAAAATGAGCGTAAAGAGATTGACGAAGTCGACACCCAATATAACAAATATTGGATGCCCATTAACTGGGCAAATTCGATTGTTTTTCGAATGCAAGAGCAGAAATATATAGATGTGCCAGTTTCAACAAACAATGTGTTGAATGTGAGAAATCTAGAGTTTACAATGATTTTTTGACAATTTTAGAATATCCGAGACTTCCGAAACACCTTAGACAATCTTTGTAAATTTGATTGGGTACCTTTGCCAATCGCTTATCCCCAAGTTGTATTCCTTGCTGTACGTGTATACTTTTTAATTTGTATTTTTTCGCGTCAACATGTGATTATGGAACAACAACCATATTTGATCCATCGTCATTTTCCGTTTATGACCGTTTTACAATTTGTGTTCTATGTAGGATGGATGAAAGTCGCCGAAGCTCTTCTAAATCCTTTAGGCGAAGATGACGATGATTTTGAGGGGAATTGGGTAATCGACAAAAATATTACGGTAGGTAAAAAACTGAAATGATCTTTGAATAACTAAAAATAGACTGGTATGCAAATTGTTGATGGCAGTCATAATGCCTGTCCCGATTTACACGTTGACAAGTTCTCCGAGCCCAAATTCGGACCAATGTATCCGTTGATAAATGTTAGCACGGGACAAATTGGTTTCTGTCAAGGAAGTGTGGCTGATGTTGTGTAAGTTATCTTCTTATTAGAGAACTCGGAATAATCTTCATTTTAAAAAATTGAAGGATTTGTGAATCTCCAACATCTTCAAAAATGGTTACAATTGATAGTGTTTCTATGAGTTCAAAGGATCAAAAATCGTCCTCAATGCGAAGAAGATTCAGTAAAATTAGTCAGAGACTAAGCTTATCGTAAGTTTAAAATTTAGGTTATCTCAATAATCTTACATTTTTTGAGACGAACAATATCTGGTGGCCCAAAATCGCCTGAAATTCTAGCAACTCCAACAAAGAATCTGGAACAAGTTACGGAAGAAGATAACGTTAAAATAGATATTGAAGATCAGGTCCCGAAGAATATCCAAAAATAAGAATTATTTTATATTAATTGGTTTCTGACAGGATAATTTATTATGAATGGTTCATGCTTCTTTTTCTAGTTCCTCTAAACTTTCGTCATACATCATTTTTATTTTGCAATTCTCTGACAATTTTTGGTTTCAAATGTTTTTTTCTCACAAATTGTTTCGTCATTTAATGTAGTCTGGTGTGAGAAAAATTGGCCAAAATAATTGTTTGATATCGATATCATTTTTTCGAAAAATCCCCAAGCTCTAATTGGTATATAGATAGACTCGTATAGTTTGTTTTTGAACAAAAAATGAGTGATCATAAGAATAATGCCTGTTCATTTTTTGTTCGTAATTCAATGTCTGATTATCATATTATTCTTTTTTTTTTCTAATACATAATTTTCTCATTCAATCTTTTCGAAATGTTCGTAAAAGAAAAAAATAGCGAAATGCTCAGCTAAGTACAACAAATCCCTTCTTAACTCGTCAATTGTTTCCTTTCCAACCTCCCCTTTCAATAATTACACTTTCCTGACGTTTGTCTAGAATAGTTAAGCTATTATATTTTTCCACTTTAGCAAAAGCAAAATCTTAATCTAAATAAAATTGAAATTCAATTAGTCCCCGGAAGTTTAGTAGATAAACAAATTATCGTCATATCCTCTAGTTACATATTTATTTATTTATTTCGTTTGATTTGGTCATTTCGTTTTATCTGAATATATTTCCAGATGTTATTCATCTATCTTGCGGTCTCACTTTTTGTAGCGGTTTCAGCGTCTATGAATCAATTTTCGGAAAACGAGTATGCTGACAGGGAAAATGTTTATGGCGAGCAACCCGTGAGTGTTTTTTTTCAGTGATCAGAAACATTGATAAGACATTTTGTTTACCAAAAGCTGCAAAAACATACTATTTGATTAAACATAAAAGTTCATTGCAGAGTCGTCCAAACCTTGACAAAATTCGAAGTGCGGTTGAACAAGACGTTGGACGGATCAGCGATGAAGTCAGTTATGTGAGCAAACAAATCAATTTCGTATTGAGCAACCCGAAAATCTCGCCTGAAGATCGACAGGAAGCTCTCGAATTGATAAATATCAAACACCCACGAGTTGCACCAACTATTTTGAACCTGGTTTCTGCTTTGAGAATGTTTTCTCCAAACAAGCAACGATTTCCTTGAATCAATATCTTGTATACTTTTGTTCAAAAAAACCTTTATTTTAAAATGTACATTTTTACATGTAAGTTGGACCTCGATATCCTCCTTGATGGTGTCCCCCATGATTCCCCCCTTGGTGGTGACCTCCTTGATGCCCCCCTTGATTATGACGTGGTCTCTCATTCGCATTTCCGTAAGCAGCATAACTTCTGTGTGGTTCAGCTCCTCTTCCAATATCATGATTTGGCTTTGGTCGAGCACCATCTCCAATATGACGACGTCCTCTTCCTCTCAAATTGATTTTTCGAATTGGTTTATCAGCGACAAATGGGTACATTGCGCAAATCGATTCATAGACACTCCATGTTTCATCCCACATCATATCTCGTGCTGTCATTACACTTTCTTCCCAACTCATCTCCTCATCAGCCATAATTTCTTCAATTTTTGGAATGAGTTCTGCCACGCGTTCTCGTGTTTTCTCGCGTCTTTTGGCAGCATCGACAAAAAGCTGTTTCATTGATTTTCTTTCGATTTTGAATTCTTTCTCATCGTTGCTTTTCATTTCATTCGATTTCAATTTAGCCTCATATTTTTCGAATTCAGCAAAGTCCTGCGAATAAAACTCGCTCTTTGAGGATAAAAGTGACACATTTCAACTTACTTCGTCAATAATATTATCTATATTACTAGCAGAAGCTAGAGCAAATATGAGACAGGTTGAAGCAATTAGAAGCTTCATTTTTTTATAGTTAAAATATAATAATCAATATGATGAGAATGAAAATTGCTGATTATCGTTATTTCTTTTATACAGCAAATTATCGATAAGAATCATGTAAAAAGTGATATTAGTCAAGTGACTTCTAACTTTTTAATTGACATATTTACCGCTTGGCCGGAAATACTATTTTGAATAGAAGGTTCATCTAATAGTCATCGGTTACGTGGGTTCACAGTAGAGTAAGTAAGTAATCAAAAACAAAACCAAAATTAAAAAAAACAAATATTTAGAAAAAAAATAATATACGCCAATTTATAACACCCCTCTCACATCTCGCTCAGAAATATGATACAGAACAATTTCGCCCCGAAATCGTCTCAAACTACAAAAAAAATTACATTTTTGAAAAGTTTCGCTCTTAAAATTGACTTGCGGAAAAATATCGAGCCGCAGTTCCAGGATTTAAATGTGATATGCCCTTTCCCAAAAAAAAACTCACGATATTTCTCAAACCAAATATCCAACTTTCCATAAACTCAATAAACACAGAAGTTAGCCAAAATTGAATCATCCGCGTGTTTTTCTGTAAAATTCCAAAATTTGTATGCCGTTTTGAATTCAAATATTTTGCGAAAATAAAATATTTCGCTTCAAAAATAAAACGAGGAAAAAAATGCGTGACCTAGGCCATAGAAAAAATTTAGAAAATTATCCAGAAAAGAAGCATTTTGAAAAATTTAATTCAAAAATCTGGTAATTAGGAAGTTGCAGTTTGCAAAAGTCTTGAAAATTGATATAGAAAATGTGAGTAAACTTCATATCTGAGACTAGACTCGAGTCGCCCACAGTGTCCCGAACGCGTATTGCGCCAGCACTCCACACTCCACACACTCTCTCGTTTTCTCTCTATCTCTCATCCGTCTCTTCAACAAAGCGCACTCTCTCATCTTTTTTTTGCGCTTTTGTTTTCTTGCTGAAAAATGCTGGAAATGTTATTTTTGTAACTAAATCGAATATGGAGAAGCCAGAGGAAGAAAAATTGAAGCTATTCCAAGTTGTTTCATGAAAAATGGTGGAGAATGAAATGAACAAGAGCTCTTCCAAAAATATCTTGTGCAAAAACATCATTTTTGACCCAGGAAAGCTGATAAAATCTAGTTTACTGCTTCCAAAACATTGAAATAGGACTCCTCGAGTATGTGGAATCAATAATAATTCAAAATTATGCCGTTTTTGTTATTTTCTTTTCCATCGAAATTCGCCCAAAATTGAACAAAAAACCAGATTTCAGAAGTTTATTTTGATCAAATGATTCTTAAAACACCTTGAAAGTATTCTAATTTACATATTTATCATGAAACAAGTGCCGAATCACATTTTTCCTTCATAAATCTTGAATTGTTTTTCTTCAAAAGATATTAACTAACTTATTTTGAATCCAATCTTCACATTTTTTATATCAAAACGTTCCTCTCATTATTCTCCAGAACATATAGCTCAGTTTGGGAGTTTTCATGCAAGTATAACTGAATTCTAATCGTTTCAAGAAAAAACTTAGTGTTAAATTTTCAAAAAACCGACAAACAGGCTTGTGCGCTCTACCGTACATGCACGAAAAATGCGCACAACTTTTCTCTGGCTACGCGTTGGGGGCACTGTGGTGCCTCTTTTCTCTTTTCCGCGAAAATTTTTTAAATTTTGTAATCATGGCCTCCTGGCCTAGGAACCGACAAAAGTGTAATTCTCTCGGACAATTTTTCATTCTTCTGTTTTTTCTTCTTTTTTCGTCGACAACTTTTCGCAAAGTAATCTTCAGATGGAAGGCGACTTGGAGAACCAAAATGTTGTTTTTATTGGTGGCGGGAATATGGCGAGTGCTTTGATTAATGGATGTGTCTCAAAGCGTGAGTAATTTTCACTTGAACATATTTGTTTTACAAAAAAGGTATTGCAGAATTCATTTCTAAGCGAAACGTGGTTATATCGGTGAAATCTCTCAAATCTGCTGCAAAGTGGGAATCTAAAGGTTTTGAGCATGTATTCACAAACACCCAGGAGATGTTGGAAAAGTATCCGACAGCGATTTATATTGTTTGTGTGAAACCGCAAATTTTCGATGAAATTGTCTCAATTTGGCCAGTCAATTCGCGACCAAGATTGATTATTTCTGTAATGGCCGGTATTCCCTTAAACCTTCTTCGCACAAAACTTCCACTTCTTGCTGTCAACACAACAATTATTCGAATAATGCCAAATGTGGCGAGTTCCATTGGTGCTGGCGCCTCATCAATGTGTTATGACGTTGACAACAAAATTGAAAATCAACAATTATATGTCGAATATGCGAAGAGATTTGCGGAATGTGTCGGAAGTGTTGGAATAATTCCGGAAAGATGTTTCAATCCAGCAATGGCAATTGCAGGAAGTAGTCCAGCATGGGTACGTAATTGAGTTGCTTTAAATAGATAATTGCTCACGTAGATCAAAAATCAACAATTGAATAGTTTAGGTGTTCATGTTCGTTGAAGCATTGGCTGATGGCGCAGTTTCTCAAGGTTTGGGAAGAGCTGAAGCGAAAAGATTGGCCGCGCAAGCTGTGATGGGCGCCGCAAAAATGCTTGTCACTCCGGAAAGTGGTTTCGACATCGAGACTCAACACATGGGGTATTTGAAAGATCAAGTTTGCTCACCGGGTGGAACTACTATAGAAGGAGTCAGGATTTTGGAGCACAACGGGTTTAGATCTGCAGTTATGGAAGCGGTTATTGGTTGCTCACAAAAAGCCGATGAAATGGCCAAGGCATTTTCGAAATGAGGAAATTGTTATTCAAAAGGAGAAAGGTTCAGTGATTTTTTATTGAAATTTGGTCGCTGATCAAGTTTGACTCGTTATCTTGGCTGAAAAATTATGTGACGTGGATTTTTTGAAGTTTCACTTTGCCACGTCTAATCATTTTTATGTTATCCACGGCTCAAACTCATCATATGACCAATTATCAAGAAAAACTTGAACCACTCCCTTATCAAAATGTATTTATTTATTGTTTTCCAGTGTTTTTGTTCAAAAAATTAGTTTTGATTTAAGTGATCTGTGGGGCTGGGTAGATTTTGCTACACTTTTTTGAGAGAAACACATCAGGAATTTTTTGTAGAGATAAGATACGATTTTTACGATTTTTTGAACACAAATGTTTTTTTTTGCTTTTCGAAACTTTTTGAAAGGAATCTCAAAAAGAAAAAAGTTTCTTATCATGTCAAGTTACTGATGTATTTTGACCTCTCTAATCAAAACTTCCTGGTTTCAACCATCCGCCATTTTTCTATTTGTGTTTCTTTTTTCTCTAAATACTCTTCCGACATTAAAAATGTGATAAATCAAAAATCAAACGAAAAGGAAATGTTTTTTTCCAAAAAATGCCTCTGTAGGTGCTATCCTTCTGAACGCGATCATCTCCCAGACCCGATGTCTGTCGCCCGATCGATCCATCAGCACACATCTCGGCCGATTTCAGGACCCCTGCACAATTCATCCTCGGCATTCCCAGAACTTGCCACCTCTCACTTGGAAAGCAAGCACACTAACCACTGCACTAAATGTGTGGTCTATAAGAAGTGGTGTTTGTGTGTTGAGAAGGGAAGGATTTTATGAAATGGAAAAAAGGGGCTTATATTTTCACACTTTGGTGTTATTTTGGTTCTGGGAAGTTTTCCGTTTTGGAAAGTTTTTTCTTGTTTCGGAAGCTCATATCTTTCAAAAAACTGTCATTCAAGTTCTCTCTATCAAAAATATTGTGGTTTCCTTGTTGTCCAAAAATCGAACATTTTTTCTGCCAAGAAAAAATCAGATGATTGAAAAAAATGTTCGCACAAAAGTTCCTTGTTTACAATCTAGAGAATAAACCAGTTTCAGATATAACTGTAAGATCAAAAAATTACACTGAAAAATTAGAAAATCATAATGATCGTCTAGATTTTATGCTATATTTTATTGGGATATCTGATACAAAATTTTAAGAATAAACTTGAGTGATAGTGCTTCAGAATTCGAAATATTCACAGAATTAACATCCAAACTTTCGGATAAAAAAGTTTTCGAGAAAAATCGTAGTTATAATTTTCTCAAAAAATGAGCAAAATTTACAGAATTAAAAAAAAGGAAAATTGACTAGAAAATTAAAAAAAAATTATTTTTAAGAAATCTCCTAAATTTTCTACGTTTCAAAAAATCAATAATTAATTTTCGAATTAAAATAGTCCGATTCCAAGATCGCTCCTAAGATCGATTCTAAGATCGCTCCTGTATTACTCAGAAAACGTCTCGTCAGCCGTCCGCGAGGTTGCGAGCTAGCAAACTGACAAATTAGTATCAGAATTCGACGGCCGTCTGCCGGCTCGCGGACGGTTGACGAGACGTTTTCTGAGTAAGCTTAAATTTCGCGCTTGAAAATAAGGAAAAAAAATAGTTTCTCACGATTTTCAGCATAGAGTTTCATTCTAGAAGAAAATGGTATTTTTCATTTTTTCGAATATTTAATTATTTTAATTATAAAAAATTATTTTTGTTATTACGATGTAATTTTCAAAATAACGTTCAGTTTCTGTCTTGGTACTGTTACGAAATCATTATTCATCCCCCATTTTTTTTGAAAAAGTTCTTACCGTACCCAACAAATGTATCTATCAAATCAAAACACAAATCAAATGTTCAACCCCTTTTTCAAAAATGTATGATAAAAATGATTAGTTTGCATGCTTCCTCTCTCTTCATTTTCTCATCAGATAAAACATGAAGAAGTATTCTTTGAGTTCTTCACCATCCACGTCACATTTCGACCTTTCACCAGTTTATCAACAGCAGTTATCAAAAAAACAAAATTGGACAGTAGGTCGAAAAACCCATCAAATAAGGCAGGTTTTCGCGTATATTTTGTAGGCAATTCTTTTTTACCAAAAACATTTCAGTTTTTCGGGCGTCGTGGCTTCGTTACTTCTCGGAAACACTAAATATTATTTGAATGCTACGTGGAATTTCAAAGAGTTTTTTGAAAAAGCATATTTTTGCGGGTACTTGAGGTTTCTCCGATTGATTTTTGATCGTAGGAAATATTGTTCCGAAATTGTAAGATTGAATGCAGCTGGATGTCAGATCAGGTTTGTGAATTGGGTGTGGTTGGACCAGAGATTAATTGAATTTTCGTTATTTTTTTCCACCTAATAACTATATAGAAAAAAATTCAATGAATTTGAGAAACAGAGCAGAAGAAAGGCTACTAAAACATACCAATTTTTCCAGTACTCCCAAAAACTTCCTGGAAGATTTCAACACAACCTTCGGTCCCGAAATCCTCGACAAAATCTTCCAATTTCTTCCATCCGAAGATCAAAAAACTGCTCAACTCGTCTGCCGTCAATGGAAAAACCTTCTAGACGCTCGAAAAAATCAATATGCCAAAAAACAGATTTCCTCACTGTCCGTATCATATAATCGAAAAATTGTGCGCATTTCGAAATCTTCGAATAGTTTGGAGATTTTTGGAGGATCAATGAAAAAGGCGGATTTGGCAAATTTCGGAAATTTGAGAATCACAAATATGGATTTGAGTATTCATGGGGTTCTCGATGATGTAGATATTTTAAATATGAAAAATATATATGTACAATTTTTATCGATTTATTTTTATAATGGTTTTCAAGATCAAGATCGAAGGTCAGTTTTTCTCTTCAGGAGGAATTTATTTAAATAACAAAGAAGTACCGTTTTTTTTTCAGAATAATGCAAAACTTTGTCAATCAACTCGCAGAAAATCGGTATGTTCAGAACCTTCAATTAATTTGCTTTGGAAATCAATTTCCAACTTGGTTTGAAACTTTTATTCAAACTTCGAATATTGAAAATGTACAATTTCGATGCTACTAATTTTTTGTAATTATTTTTGTCTGTAATTAATATCCAGCTGGCAGGTTTCCAGTTTTTCTTCTATAATCCGAAGCTGCTGTCATATATCCATTTTGTTTTGTGATTGGATAAACTATAGCTAGATTTCCTTTTGTTTCTTTGAGTTTTTGTTGATAATCGGATGCAAGTTTTTCTTCGATTTTCTGGAACATGGAGAGTTTCAGAATCTTGTGATTCAACGTTTTCCCCAAATCTTCTCACCTTTGAAAAGTTGACTTCAACCAAAGTTTCATACGGTGTCAATTGATTGTGCAATCTTGGAAATTCCACAATTTCCGCCGCAGTTTGTTTAACCAAAATGCCACGTGTCAAAGTTTGCGCAGTAGCTGAGATGATTTTTGAGCCACCAGTTGCTCCAGTCACCATTCGAACATCTCCAGATTTTGAATCGAAAACAATTGTTGGACTCATGCTGCTCATTGGACGACGGCCTGGTTTTATATAATTCGTTTTTGATGGCGTAAAACCCCAATGATTTATTAAATCTGGAGTAGAAAAGTCGTCCATTTGATTGTTGTAAATGAAACCGTATTTAGAGAGCATTTTTGAACCAAACCTAAAAATTTGAAATCTATTGAAATTATCTTGAGTTCACAATTTAGATTATTCAAACTCACGCTGTATTAATTGATGTGCTTGTTGAAACCGCATTTCCATCATCATCAATAATACTTGAATGCGAAGTTCCAGCATCATTAACAGCTTGATCATCAGAAATCATATAATAATCAATATCTTCTGGCGAATCAGGCAATCGATTACTCAATGATTGAATATAATCATCTTTGGTTAGATTATTAGCAAGCCAAATTGAATTTTCATCGAAGTTTCCATCTCCAAGATTTCCTCTTTGACCATAGGCCAATTTTTCTGCTTCAATTAATTTATGGTAAAATTCTGCATCATTGAAATATTCACGATTTTTATATTGTTTTTCGATGATTCGAGGAATTGCTTGAGTTATTGCCCAGGATGATGGTGGTGGTGGTCCACACAATTTATATCCTCCAAGTTCTGAATAAAGAGCTTCTTGAATATCAGTTGTATAAGTTTTCAAATCATCCGCTGTAATGATTCCTCCATTGATATCCATCTCTCCAACAATTCCCTTTGCAATTTCGCCATTATAAAAAAGTTCAATAGGATCTGCTGAATTTGCAATCGCTTCTAAAGTTTTAGCCAATCGATAATTTGTTACAATCTCTCCAGGCTCATAATATTTTCCAGTCATTTTATTGGTATATAATTTCTTCAGTGGTTTCACCTCATCTTTATCCGCATATTTTTGAATTCTATCGTAATAATCAAACATGGCTATATGATTTGGAAAACCTCTTGCTAATTTTGCAGCTGGCATTACAAGATCGCTCCATGGCACAACTTTTGAGCCGTATTTTTGATAGGCTGTGTAGAGACCGTGAAGTTCGCCAGGAATCCCAATCGATTTGTAGCCTAAAAAGAATTTGGGCACCTTTTTTCCAACGACTTCAGATTTTTCCAGTTAAACTCACCGAGTTGAGCTTCCTCCTGATCATTGGAAAACATCTTCTCAGTTGACGCGCTCGGCGCAGTCTCGCGAGAATTCAAAAACACGCACTTCTTCTGATCTCTGTAAAAATATGAAAAACAATCAGATATGAAATCATTGTTCGAAGCTCAAACTAACTTCAAGTAAATTATCATAAATCCGCCGCCACCCAAACCAGTGGCATATGGAAGAACAACACCATTACAAAAAGTGGCAGCGATTGCCGCGTCCACCGCATTTCCGCCTTGGATTATCACATTTCTCGCAATCTCAGCGCAATAAACCGAGTCGGTTACAACTGCGGCTTCTTTATAGATAGCAGATTTGGTTTTTGGGATTACTGTGATGTGCTGAAAATGAATTAGCTATGTTAGAACTTTAGACCAAAATTATACCTCAACATGATTTGTTGTGATATTCAAAGCCGTCGCAACAATCGCCCAAACAAGAAAAATAATACCAATCACAGAAAGAGACAAAACAGCTACATGATATTTTCTGCAAAAAATTATAAAAGTTATAAACTTTTCGACTTTTTGAAAATTGAGAAAACCAACTTCAACTTGGCTAGAATCAATTTTTCGTTAGCAATATCGGCTCGTGAATCAATAATCACGACCATTTTTATTAAAAGTGAAATTTTCTAACTTTGGTAAAAATTTTTTGATTATTCAAATCTGCACTTATGCTAATTCTGTATTTATAAATGTGTTCTGTGATTATGAAAACTTTAACCTCATAAAAAATTTTTATTTGGAAAATCCCTATTTTGTTCGAATTTTTATATAAAACCCGAATTTTCTCAGTTGTAAAAAATTTTGGCCACGTCATAACTATTTTCAAAAAAAAACAGATCATTTTTTCACAATAAAAAATTTTCAAAGAAAAATTGTACACGTCACAACTATTTGAAAGATGCTTTGATTGGCCACATCATATTTTTTTTTGAATAATCATCCGAAACCTTGTACACTTTCTCATTTTCCAAAAGAATAAAAATTCAAAAAGACATTTACTACTTTCATATAAATTTCTTCTGAAAATGCTTGACTACAAAATTCGTGGAAACGTCCAAAAGTTTATGTACTTTTTCCATTTTTCAAAAAAAAAATCAAAATTTAATAAAAAGTCCCCACAGCTCATTTTCATTTTTTTCATTCAAAATGAAACTGAATACCACATCAGTTTTGATTTTTCTATTGTCAATTTTTATTTTCTCTTTAATTTTGATACGTAGCAAGTATCAAGTAATCAAAGTGATCACAGTGAGTTAAAAATTAACCAATTTAAATAATTTATCAATAAAAATTAGGATGTAAAAATCAATGAAGATGTTGAAATCTATGCAAGATTGAATAAAATCAAAATGCGGCAAATTGCTTTGAATAAATCTGAAAATTCAAGAAATGAACTCAAAAAATTATCATTGACAAATGATAGTTTGGAATTTTATCGGAAAATTGAGATCGAAGCTTTTTGTCCGAATATTGTTCGAATTGGAGAAATTGGCGATGGTGGAAAATTTGTTTGTAATCCGAAAAAAGTTAGAGAGAATTGTGTGTGAGTTTGGATTACAGTTTTGGATTGTATTATCATATTTCCTCCAGTTTACTATCACTTGGCCTTCATAACGAAATCGAATACGACATCATGATCCAAAACATCACCGAAAATCGCTGTCAAATAGTCGGAGCAGATCAAGATCGTCAAAACGACGACACCCTTGAGATCTACAAAAATATACGTGGCACTGTTTTTGTCGGAAAAATTCCAAAAACTCTGAGCATCGCTGGAATGGTTCAAAGAGTTGGAGGAACTGAAGTCGAATTATTGAAAATCGATATTGAGGGAGGAGAGCATAAAGCACTCGAGCCATTTTTGAAAAACTTTTTCGTCTGTCAAATATTTATTGAAGTTCACGGAGAACCAAAACATCATTTGAACTTAATGCAAAAAGTTGCGAAATTGGGATTTCGAATTTTTTCGTACGAGCCAAATCCATCTTGCTCAAAATGCTGTGAATATAGTTATATCAATGAAATGTGTATGGATCAATACAATGTTTTGCCGTTAGCTGTAAATGTACCTTTTGAATGAAACATGAATTTTGAAATTAACACTTTTCCAATCTATTTTTAAAGATCTTATTGTTATTCCAATATTTTTTTCATTCCAAAAACTTCTTTTCAAATAAAATATTTTGAGCTAGATCTGGACGCATAATTGAGTATATTGTCATGGTTCTCTCTCAAAAAAAAGTGGGCTGAAAAAAAGCAAGTTAGTCAGGATATGATGATTTCACGAATTTTCATGGGATTACAACTAATTATCAGTATATAGCCGTACCTATCTCCAATTTTCTCTCATTTATTTTTGATAGAAATAAAAATGGAAATGGGAATATCGAATCAAACTGTTGTTTTGTTGGATCTTGCCAAAGTCGTTGATATTCTATCATTTTGTTTATCTTCGATTATATTTATTGTGCTCATCTATTTGATTATTAGCTATTCACCAGCACATTTTGGAAATTATACTTATCTTTTGATGGTGTTTTCGATGAACAGTTGGATTTTTGCCCTCGCACATGCGTTTTTACAACCGGTAAATTTGGGTTAACTTTTTTTTTTTTTTTTCTTAAAAGCCTTCCTTTTTTATGAGTTGTTTTGAAAATAATTTTTAGAAAATAAATTCCCGAAAATTCTCATTTAGAAAATCAAGTAATATTTGAAAATTCAGACTTTTCAGGAAAAAGTTAAAATTGTGCTTGAAATTTCCCAATTTTTTAAAAGCTCTTTTTGTCTTCACAAAGCTCCCTTTATTTCAAACATCTTTTTTATATCAGCTGATATAAAAAATGATGTTTGAAAAAAGAGCCCAGCTAAATTTTCCGTAGGCGTAAAAGGCAGCTCTTTGAGATTATTATTCACAAGGGAAAATTCTAGAAATTATAAATATTTTTTAGCGAAAAATATAGTAAACTTGAATAAAATTGAAAATAAACTCAACAATGAGAATTTCGAAAATGTTCACAATTTTGGAAAACAAAAATAAAAAAAAAAGTTTCAGGTAATCTCCGTCGAAAAATATGTACTCTTCGTCTTCTCGCCAACAAATTACATGCAATTTTCAAAAACAACAATTCGGGCACTTTTAGGTATGAATTTTTGGAAGTTTAGTTTAGAAAGGAACCTAGAAATCGACTTAGACCTATTCTAAATTTTCTAATGATCGGTAATCAACAATCAAATTGTTACATTCCGGATTTTCAGCAATCTACGGTATCAGTTATAGTCAAACAATTGTCTTCATTGCCGTTCAATTTATCTACAGATATTTGGCAATTTGCCATCGCAGTTATCTTTATCTTTTTGATCGAAAATTTCTAGTTTTTTGGTATTTGCTGATCGTTGTTTTTGGATTTAATTGGGGTTTTTGTATTTTTTATATTGCAAAAGAAACACCTGAAACTGATGCGATAATTGGGCCAGTTCTCGAGAATTCTTTCGGCTTGAAAATTGAGAATGTGAATTATGTTGCGGCAAATTATTATATGAGCAATGGAGTTGACTTAAATCTCAAGACGATTTTTATGGTGGTCAACTTTGCAATTATTATTGTAAGTTTTTCATATTTGAAGAAGTTTGAGCTAAATTCTTAGTGTTAAAAATAGTTTATTCAAAAAAGAGAACATATTTTTTTCATAATTAATTTCAGGGTTCATCGTTAGTTGTTATCACAATTTGTTGTATAAAAATTTGGAACAAATTCGGAACAATCAAAAATTCGCAAGACAGTCAGGATCTTTTAGTCACCGCCTTGACTTTCCAGGTTTCCTGCATTTTCATATTATCATTTTTTGACACATTTTTTTTCAGATGATAATTCCATTATTCCTTCTCTACGTTCCAATCCTGGTTGTTTTAGCTTTGCCAGTTTTCAAAATTCAAAATGAAGCAATTGTTTCGTTTACCTCGATTATAATTTCATTATACCCACTTTTTGATGCAACTACAATGATTGCAATAATTCCGTATTATCGAAATGGCTTTGTCAAATTAATGACTCCATCAAAAGTTTCAAATCAAATTGAGAATTTGGATTTTTAACTTTGTTCTTTTTATGTACTTTTATGTTTTTTTAATGATGATAAACCAATATTTTTGATGATTTTTTGGAAATTTTGGTGATTCATTTCATGATAATTTATGTCAGAAGAATTGTGTTTTGAAATTTGTTCTAAAAATGTACTAGCTTGAATTCTAATCTTCAAAATGTAACTTTTTGACAAAAATAACTCTGAAGTATATGTACTATGGTTTATCAGAACCAATGTCTCTTGTGAATGACAGTATGAATTCTGGGCAAAAACATGGTTGAAAACAAAACAACGTTCTAGAAAATATGAATGGGTACAAATACGTGTTCTAAAAACAAAAATTCCCATAAAATTTGAAAAAATTAACATAAGAATCTCATTAATAGAATTTCATAGCAACATTATCGAAAAATCGTCTTAAAAATCTTCGAAAAAATTTGATCCAAATCTTGAAGAAAACACAGATTTTCTAAGATTTGAATAAGTTCTGGAATCTCAAAAGAAAATGTCTCAACTCTACATAATACCTAGTTTTCTCATAAAACTTCCCCCATCTGGCGCAATTTGTCAGCAATAAATTTCCACCATCTGTCACTTTGGTTCAAATTTCAGTAACTTTTTGTCAAAAGTGCAAAACCCCTGTTAACCTAAAAACCTTAACCAGATAGATTAAATCTCCATCAATCAAAAAATAATAATCGTAATAATTTGTTGTATTTATGATTTTTTTGTTATGTTGCCCAAAAATTCTGACAACATCTACATCAAACACACACACAAACATTATTTTTATTTTTATTCACAAAAAGGCCTTGATGTGCACTATGAAGAGAACAGAGAGACGCAGAGAAATAAAGAGCAGTTGGCATTTTATTCCGAACGGCACTACGTGGAATCGATTTTTTTTGTTTTAATATTTTTTGCACCCTTCTTTGGGGGCCTTTTTAAAAGAACCCCCTGTATCCATAACTACCCCATTGTTTGTTCAAAAATTATTATTTGAAAATTTCTGCTTCCTTTTTGCCACGTAGCCAACTAAATTTATCTTATCAGCAAATTTAACTGACGTTGAAAATTTGAATTTGTTAGATAAAAATTACTAAAATTTTGAAAGTACGTGATTACGTGTGACCTATATATTTTTATCCACATTTTCATTATCAGGCAAAATCATGACAACAAATGGAAACGAGGTTTGATTTTTTGCACATATTTATCCCCGACTCTTTGTATTGCTTGGGCTATTTGAACAGCGGGTCTTTTTTCGATACAATTCTATTCCACGTATCATTTTGAATTATTATATAATTTAATTCAAATTTATTTTTATTGTCCTTTCTCATTTCTCTACTTTCTGTACTATTTTGTCTGTTTGAAAATGTCCGGTCAAGTGGTAAATTGGGTTTTTGCTTGGGAAAAATTTGGCAGTATCTTGATTCTCAAATGTCCGAAAAACTTGGGATTTCTTCAGAAATATTGGAATTTTTCGACTGAATTTTCCAGATGCAGAGAGTTTTTCTGACTTCTGTAGTTTCAAATTAAAAAAACACTTTTTTTGAAAAATGTAACTTTCAATCTATTTTTGAAACCTCCGTTTTTCTGAAGAATCCCAATATTTTTTGGACCTGAGTCTATCAAGATAGAGCCAAAATTCTAAATCATAAAAACATTTCTAGGGTCTCGAATCGTGCATTGAGAACAGTCACAATATAATGGCATCATCAGCTGCTGATTTAGAAGCGTTTCGCGCCCGAAAAGTCGCATTGATCACTGGAATCTCTGGTCAAGATGGATCATATTTGGCTGAATTACTCTTGTCGAAAGGTTATAAAGTTCATGGAATTATTCGGAGATCTTCGAGTTTTAATACTGCAAGAATTGAGCATCTCTATAGTAATCCCGTGACACATCATGGTGAGTTATTCAGGATATTTTATGGTTAAGTTGGGATGATTTTTTTTACCTAATTTGTTTACAAACAGCCACATCAAAGCTATTTTATCACTCCCTAAACGAAATCACTAAAAATTCGGCGTAACATTAAATGTTTCCATCAATAATGTGCAAACACCGCTTCGTTTTTTTTGAAAAATCAACGCGCGTTGCGAGACACGGGAGAAAAATTGTGTGCGCCTTTGATGAGGGGTACAGTAGAAGTATCCGTGAATTTTTATTTCTTTCTAGCTAAAGATTTTTGGGCCTAGATTTTGATAAGTTAGCCTAACTTTTTCCAACTATTAAATATTTTACAGAATTTTTTATCGATATTTTCAATTTTTCCGAAATCCCTCCCCAAAAAACTCACCAATCGCTTCTATTTCTCGAATCACACAAAAATCAATCAAAATTCTTGAGAAAATCGAAATCCTCCAAAGTTTCCACGTTATTGAAATTGAAATCCAATTTTCTTCTCACGCTTAGAATCATTTTGACCCTGAAGACACAAAAATTTCAATCGAAACAGTGTTTCTCTAGAAAAAACCCACTTTTCTTCGATAATCCTCGGATTTTCCGTTGGAATCGATAATTTCAGCTTTGTAGAATATCTAAAAATTCAATTTTTGACTGAAATCCACTGATTTTCCTCGGAAAACTGAAAACCCAAGGAAAAAAACAGAAAATGAAATTCCGCTAAACATCGGGCAAGCGGAGTGTCGTAGTAAAAGCAGCGACACTCGGCTTGCCTGTTGTTTAATTTTCTCACACTGTTTGAGCGGAGTGTCGTTATTTTATGTGTCACGTCACAGTGCCACGTTGCAATGTTTTTTTAAATTTAAATTTCACAAAAAAAAATAATACGACTTGCGATCAGAGAAAATCGCATTTTTTCTTTGAAATACGGATGTTTTTTCTGTTGAATTTTCTTAGCCTCTTTTAATCTTACCTTATTTTCAGGCGATTCCTCATTCTCTCTTCACTATGGTGATATGACCGATTCATCATGTCTCATCAAACTTATTTCAACAATTGAACCAACTGAAGTCTATCATTTGGCAGCTCAATCTCATGTCAAAGTTTCCTTTGATCTTCCTGAATATACAGCTGAAGTTGATGCGATTGGAACTCTTCGACTTCTCGATGCAATTCACGCTTGCAAATTGACTGAAAAAGTCAGATTCTATCAAGCTTCAACTTCCGAATTGTATGGAAAAGTTCAAGAGATTCCACAATCCGAAAAAACTCCATTTTATCCAAGAAGTCCATATGGTGAGTTTGTGAGAAGCGGGATTTTCATAGCATTACAAAATATGACTGCAAAGTTTTTAGGGCGTGGCAAATTTTTTGCTTAAAATAAAAATGTTTTAATTTTCTAGATTAAAAAAAATAATAATTAACAATTTCCAGCCGTTGCAAAAATGTATGGTTATTGGATTGTTGTCAATTACCGCGAAGCTTACAATATGTTTGCTTGTAATGGAATTCTTTTCAATCATGAATCTCCAAGAAGAGGAGAAACCTTTGTGACACGAAAAATCACCCGTTCGGTCGCCAAAATCAGCTTAGGACAACAAGAATGTGTTGAACTTGGAAACTTGAGTGCTTTGAGAGATTGGGGACATGCGAGAGAATATGTTGAAGCAATGTGGAGAATTTTGCAAAACGACAAACCTGATGATTTTGTGATTGCGACCGGAAAACAATTTAGTGTCAGAGAGTTTTGTAATTTGGCATTTGCGGAAATCGGAGAGATTTTGGTGTGGTCTGGTGAAGGTGTTGATGAGGTTGGCAAAAATGCGGATGGTGTTGTGAGAGTTAAAGTTAGCCCCAAGGTTGGTGTTTTAATGGGTGGAAAATATAGTAAGACATGAGTGAGTTTTCAAATGATCTGGGCGAAAACTCATATTTTGAGTTCGCTCACTTGTTTGGGTTTTGAGTTCGCTCACTCATTTCAAACCGGTTTTCGCTCAAATATCGCTCAGTTCTGATTTGATTAGAATTGGTGGATTTTTGGGTTTTCGGATATGGGAAATCGATTGGTGATAATAATTCGGCCTAAAAGTAACTTTTAAAGGCACAGGGCATGAAAAATGGATTTTTGTGAAACTTGAAATTAAATTGAAAAACTAAAATGATCATAACTTTTTTATTTTTCAAGCTTTTTCAAATATCTCTGAACCATTGTGACGTGCTCATCCTCAGCTAAATTTTTGCTCTTCGGACCAACATTCCAAATTTGCTCTAACATTTCAAATTTGCTCCGAAGAGCAAAAATTTAGCTGAGGATGAGCACGTCACAATGGTCCAGAGATATTTGAAAAAGCTTGAAAAATAAAAAAGTTATGATCATTTTAGTTTGGGCTTTTGCGCCGAATTATTATCACCAATCGATTTCCCATATCCGAAAACCCAAAAATCTACCAATTCTAATCAAATCAGAACTGAGCGATATTTGAGCGAAAACCGGTTTGAAATGAGTGAGCGAACTCAAAAAACTGGTTTCGCTCGAGTTTTTTCCAAACCATGTCCAACTATAGTGGAAAATTTTCTATGCTTTTTAGGATTAGAAATTTAGAAATTTATTTATTAGTTCTTATTAGCGAGGTAATTGAAGTATCCTTCAATTTCTCAGGAAAAAAAAAACCCATTTAAAAATAATCCCAAGTTAGAGAATTTTTTGGAATTCCAATTTTATAGTACTACCGTCCAACGGAAGTCGAAACTCTTCTCGGCGATGCAACAAAAGCCAAATCAATTCTTGGCTGGGAAGCAAAAGTGACAGTTCCAGAACTTGTTAAAGAAATGGTTGCCAGTGATATTATTTTGATGAAATCAAATCCAATGGCCTAAATTGTCCCATATTTTTTTCCTCTTTATTTATTTTTATGTAAAATTCTTGTTGGTTTGGCGTGGCTAGTCCAATTTTTGGTTCTGTGATTTTTTATCTTTCTGGGAGAGTATTTATTGTCTTTTTTTAATGAAATGAAAAACTAATAAAATATTTGGTATTAAACCTTAGTTACACATGTGATGTTATCAATTAATTCAATCAATCGATAATGCTCCCTTTTGGTTTTTTTGTATACTTGTTTTTGGGATTGTGCCAATTGTTCATTTCAAGTTTTCTTTTAACGACTATTCTGGTGAAATTGAGATTAAGGCAGAAATATTCTATTTTTGCGGGTGAGATAGGAAACTTTTTTCCAAATAATATTTTAAATTCATTCAGTAAAATTCATAGTTGATATAATTGTTGCGATTCTGCTGATCTCACTTTCATTTTTGGATAGACATTCTGATGAAAGGACGTGTAATGCGACGCTGGTTATTTCGACTTCGATTCCACTCTTACAGGTTGGTATATTTAAAAGCACAAGATAAGAAAGACATTTTTGAAAAATGTGAAAATCTGTATAAAATTGTATGGTCTATTACCTTTAAAATTAAAATTATTCCCACTGCTCTAAAAAGTTGAGACTAAAAATCTTGCAGGTTCTCCTACTCCTATGTGAAGTAATCGATTGGTCTCTTGCTGCATTTTCACCAGTCTACTTTCATCATTCCTCACTTTTCACAAGAATTTTACCATTTCTAGCCGGAGCTGTTTGTTATGCTGTAATTCTTGTCGCTCTTGTTGTCATTGGTAAGCAAATTGTTTTAAATAAATCGTACTTATCTTTGAAACAAAATTGATATTTTCAGATATGACAACTGACAACACACAGTGCATAGATTCACCAGAAGCTTCTGCTGTTACCCAAGCCTATGACTTTTCTTTGGCAATCACCACTGTTTGTGTTTTGGGTCTCGCAGTTTTATTGCACAAAAATTTGAATGGCGCATATTTCAAACCTGTGATGTTGCATTTTATCGCCACATTATTTCTAGAAGAATTTCCCCTGATTACATGTATTTTGCTGAAATATTCGAATAATGTGAGTTGTTTTCCAAATTCTATTTTTAATCTTAATTTATGACGTGGGATTGCTTATTCAAAAAATTCCAGAATTCCGCAATAATCGCAGCCGATGTCACAAATTGGCTTGTCTGTGTTCATTCATCTCTTCATTCTGCATATTTTATATATAATCATCAAGATTATCGGGTAATTAATTTTTGAAGGCTCCAAATTCTTTTTACAAAAAAAAATAAAACTGCCTATAAGTATTTCAAGTGTACCTAAATATTAATTTCAGGAAAGTGCGGTCCAATTATTCTCAAAACTATTGCATAATCGAGAAAGGTAGCTACCGTATCCTTAGATTAGAACCGCTCAACTCAACTCAACTACGAAATTTGTAAATAAATGATGAAAAATTGAAACATTTTGGTGCTCGCTTATAAATAATTGTTCTCGCTTTTCGTTCGCGGCTTATATTTTATGCTCGGTGGATCGCAAATTGGCTGCGTTTAAATTTTCGACTACGGTAGGTGGGCTTTTCCTGGTCAAAGGTTTGTAATCCAATAATTTTCATCCGTTCTGCAAATATTGTTTTTCGAAAAAAAATTAGAAAAGGGAAAATGTAGAAGTTATTTGAGACATCTGTTTGGCACATCCATACATCTGTCATAACTTTTATTTTTTCGCCGTATTGTATGCCACTTTTTCGTGTTTTTTAATGTAAATGTTGCCAGCTGGAATTTTCGTTGGTTCTAAATTTTTACTTTTTAAAAGTTTTCAGCTCTCAAAAAAAATTATTATGCCGAAATGAAAAAATTTCCAAATTTAAAAGTTTTCGGCGTTTTTGTAGTGTGGTTTCGGCACAAAGTTAACTTTAGAACGAACCGAGAATCTTTAATATTGTAGACCAAATAATTCTGATCCTAAAAAATGCCCTTTCATATGATCCAAAAGTCCCCCTTTCCAAACTAAAACTAATAAATCAAAATCAATGATGTCAAGTTCCTTTGTATCTACATGCGCATTGACATGAGAGTGACACATTTTGCCTACCAAAAACCCGAGAATCCAACCAACCAACATCATAAAAAAAGAGCAACTGTTCTTCACAATGTTATCTTTAACATTTCACTTCACCTCGTTTTTAACATAATTTGCTCCTCAAACAACATTACACAACAATAATACACCCGGGTTTGTTATTATAAGAAAATTTGAAGAAGAATAAGAAAAGCAAAAATTTATAATTGAAAATTCAAAAACTTTTGATTTTGTTTATAAAAGAGAGAAATTAGTTTATGTCTAAAGAATTATCACATTTCGGTCCATTATAAAAAATGTGCTAATTTTTGGCATTGTTTTTCTTATCTGACCTTCATATCTACAAATATGCGTAGCATAATTATTTGCAATAATGTTTCTTTTTTTGGTCCTTCTTTTTATTATTATTTTTACATTACCTTTTTACCTTACCTTAAGACCGGCTGTCGATAATTAGGTAATTTGAGATCCTCAATATTACCCATTGTTTTAGGAAAATGGAATTTTATGGTTGGGTTATTTATTTGATGTTTTTTTTCGGTGGTTTTTGGGTGGTACAGGTTTTTTATTTTTGTGGAAGAAAAAATACATATAGAAATTACTAGCGTGACCTATGACGTGGCAGTTTAGAGAGGTTTTTCTGGAAGAGCAATTTTTAAAAATTATTATTTAAAAAAAAATTTAAAAAATTTTTCTAATTACAAGATTTATACTACAAAAGCCTAACCGGCAGGTAACAATATTATTTACTTTTCTTGTAAGAAACCTATACATTTCGGCTAACTCGTTTCTGATTCACCCATTCTTCTCTATTTTAGGGTGTTGTAATTCTTTTTTGCCACCCACCCAACACAAAAATTATAACAATTAAAAGCCCAAACATTTTTGCTTTTGTCAAAAAACATTCGTCCTTCCACAATACACCCAATAATTTTCATGTTTTTTCTCATTTTTTGTATGTTCGCCATAATTATTTTATTTTACCTAACATCAATTTATGTTTTTTGCGGCGCTTTTTCTCGTTTTTTTTTGTGACAAATCACCCTGGTGATGGGCGACGTTTCACTTTCTAAAAAACCACATTTTTGAAAGGAAAAATAAGTTGTTCCGTTCCGTTTTACCTGAATTTCGATAAAATCTTCTGCCATTTTCCGCTCCAATTGTTGTTCACATTTTTCATGGCTGGGAACAAAACGGAAATTTGTCACAAACACCGTACTTTTCTTTCCGTTTGGCCCTTTGGGACCGATAATTTTTCCCCGCGATTTTTTGACAAAAATATAACAGAATGACAAAGTTTTTTTTCAGTTCTCCCTGGGAAAATGCGAATTTTTACGATAGCCTGGATTTGCTTGGTTTTTGGTGTGAAGTTTTCGGAATCGACGAAAATTGATGTGGATTTGATCAATGAGACGATTCGAAGTCTTTTGCATTTTGGAAATTCTGGACCAAGTGGGTTTATTTTGAGGATCATTTTAGTTAGCTTGAGATTCAAATTCTCGGAAAAAATCAGATATTTTTCGAATGATTTTTTTCGCAAAGTCAAATTTTTTGTAAAAAGTTCGGGATCTTCTCAAACTTCGAATCCCAATTTCAAAAATTCAGATGATACCGTTTCTGTTCGCCGCCCTCCCCATGTTCTCTCAAACTACATGAAAAATCTCTACCAAATATTTGTCGACGAAGATGCAAACGATGATGGAAATCTGGTTCGAGCCATTGAACCATCAGTCGGAAAACTGGAAAATCAAGAAGTGCTCGTGTTCGATATTGAAGGATTTGATAGAAATGAGGCAATTATGAGAGCCGAATTGCATTTTTATTTGAGACGTCATGATTCGTTTGCAAGACATCGATCAAGGCAAATTCGAGCCAAATCAAAATGTTTGAATGAATATTGTAGAGAACAATCTTTGCGTCAAATTCGAAGCGATGATGAGGAATTCAAAGTAGTTTGGGATGCGACAAGAATTGTTTTTGATTCTTATCATCTTGATACCAAACAAGCCGTTTTCAGAGTAAGCGATCAGATTTTTTTATTTGGGATGATAAGTTCAAACCAAAATTCAAAAGCTCTAATTTCAGATTTCCCGAGAACACTCAAAAATGCGTCCATATTCTGAAATGGTCCGCCGATCGACACCATTCCTTTTGATTTATTCCAAAGTCAATCATACGCTTGATATAAATACAGTACTCTCGCAAGCTGAACAAACAAAAAGAAAACGAAGAGATCTTGGAAGAGAGGATATTCGACAATATTATTCGTATACTTCAATTGCTTTAGATGAGGATTTGAAACCTGCGGAAAAGAAATCAAAAAATCGTGTTAAATATTCGGATGAAAGTGTTTCTTCTGAAGATGTTTGGCAAGGTTTTGGGGAAGAAACATCTTTTGAAGAAAGGGAAAGAAAAGCGAATGAGGAAATGGAAAATGATGTTAGAGTTGTTTTGTTGAAAAATAAGAATGTGAGTTTTGAGAAGTCAACAATTCAAAAAATTCTATAAAAGCTATATTAAAATGGAATGAAAATAAAACTCTTCTGAAAAAAACAAGATTTTTCTTCTGAAAATTTTCAAATTCTATTATTCCAGCGTTGTCACAAACAAGGAACTCTTGTTTCTCTCAAATATTTCGGATGGGATCAATACATCATTCAACCAAAAACCATTGAAACCTCATTCTGTCAAGGAAAATGCACAAAACCTCTCAGCAACAAAGCCTCAAATCATGCAATGCTTCAATCGATTTTTGCAGTTGAGCCGATTTGTTGTGCTCCAACAAATTTGAAGAGTCTCAATATTTTATATCGCGACGAAAAAGGTCGAACAACACTTCGAAATTACGCCAAAATGTTGATCGGTGCTTGTTCTTGCTTATAATTTTTCTCTTTTGTACACTTTACCTCACCTTCCCTTTTATTTGTTTAATTGATATTAAAATTCTAATTAATTACCATAATATTTCGCATTTACTCGAATCTGAATAAATAAATAAATAAAAACTGAATTTTAATTCTAATTTCAATTTCACCCGAGTTATTATTCATTTTCAAATTTTCCGTCGATGATGCGCGGTGTGCTCTTTTTTGTCTTCCTTGTTTTTGGAATCGCTCATGGCTTTGAAAATGAAGTTCATAAATATGGATGTCGATGTCTTCAAAAAGATCTTACTGTTAATCCATTGGTTCGATTAAGAGTCTTGGAGCAGGAAAATGAGAGCACTGGATCAAGTATTTATACAAAAGTAAGTTTTTGTTATAACTTTTCTGTTAATTTTAAACTTATGTTTAAATTTTCAGATCAATATTCTTCGAAAATGGCTCGCCAACTTAACTCTCCACAAAAATGGTCCCATTCCAACCACAACCACAACCACAACTACAACCACTCCTTCAAATCTTCTAGCCGAACCTTTTGACGAGGCTTTGAATAACTCGAGTTTTCTCTGGTTTGCCGGAAAAATGCTCGAAAAATATTTCAGACGTTTCAGTGAGTTCTCTTTTTCTCAATTTTCTTCTTCAGATAAAATCACAAATTTTTTTCAGCCAAAGAGATGCACATTTTCGACAAATTCGAATGTGTTTGCGATGGTGATTTGATTGCGTTGACAAGATCAAAAACTTTCATCAACATCAAAATTACACATGATTGATTAATTAAAAACAAATTTATTATTTTATATACATATATTATTCTATGAATTTCTATGATAAAAATGTTGGTGATAGAACATTCGCAGCTAGAGCAGAATCAGTGAAAACTGATGGTGAAAGTACAGATGGTGACATAATTGCACCACACAGAATTGTTGGTGACACAACATCCGGGCAAAGTACAAATGGTGAGAGAATAAGAGGGGACATCACATAAGGATTGATAACATTAGGGGATAAAACATAGGGAGAAAACACGTAAGCATTGAAAACTGCAGCTGACATCACATTTGGTCCAACCACATAAGGCGAAAAGATCAGAGGGTTTCCAACTTGAGGAGAGATTACAGGAAGTGACATAAGAAGAGGTGATAAAACACTTGGACAAAAAAGTTGGGGAGAAATGACTAGAGGGCCTAATACGGAGAGTTGATTTACTGTAGGGGATAGGGATTGAGGTGAGAATACTGTAGGATTCAGAAATACGACTTTGTATGCGCCATTGAGTAATGAGATTGTTTGTCTTTTCACTCTTCCACTTTTAGTTCCTTGCGCACCTTTTCCGTTGGCAATATTTCTAATCGTTAACCTCAACGCCTCGGTTTTCTGCTCGGTGGTTAATTGTTCCACTTCATTGATATCAAAGGGTAGTTCAGCTTGTGAAGTATTATAAACACCTTTCTCTCCATACAACATCCTCATTTGCTCACCATTCATATAACTGAATTTCTGATTAGCAAAATCTAGATTTTGAGTTTTAGTCAAAGTAGTAGCAAGGGATTGATAAGCATCGTCTATAAGTTTTGTCATATCAAAGATGTCCGTATCTAGGCCTTCTTTTCTTAATCCGTTCACGAGATCTAAAGCATCGTCGACAACAGTGTTGACACCACTAACATCCATGACTAACTCGAGAACTGAATCACGATCACGGGAGTTTAGACCAGCCTGAAAAATTGGATATGATTTTAATTATCACGTGCTCTTGTCATTACTTGTTTTACCAGTTCAGAAAAAAAACAAACCTTTTCTAGTACATTTGGAAGTGGAAGAATACTATTATCACTATCATCTTTGTACAATGGGAACATGCTTGGAGATAGCATATTTCTGAAAAATTATTTCTTAATTCAAATCCACAGTTTTTTCAAAGCAACCCACTTCTTCACTTGATATTTATCCGGCATAATCGGCAAAAATCTTGGTGACAAAAAGTTGGTATTCAGTTCATTTGTATGTTTTGACACCGAATCAACAAGTCCATAAATTCTCTCATCAACTAGACCTTCAGGAGTTATATCACGCATTCTATCTGTATATGATTTTCTGCGACGTAACGGATTTTTCTTGCCAAGAATCATATCCAGCATTCGATGTTTATATTTGCTTTTGGCTCGAGCATCCATAACTGCGTCTTGAAGTTTTTTCAAACTTCCATAAGAGCCTTCCATTGTTTTGGTATTGTTTTGTTTCACAATTTGTCTGACCAAATTAGTCACAATTTTCACTGGCGATTTTTTGGTGTCAAATAGACTTGGAAGTCTATCAGCATTTCTTGGTCGATAAATTCCACGATCTGCTTTGTCTATTCGTTTTGCCTCATCAGCAGCTTCTTTCTAAAAAATATATTTTCAATTATACTTCGAATCTCAAAATTTTTGTGACTCACATTACTGTAGAGAGACAAAACACTTCTCTTCATCCTCCGTCTTCTATTAATTTTATCCAGTTTTTCCAGCATTCTCCTGCTAACTCCATGCTCTTCCGCGTGACTTTGTCGCATTTTCTTTCGATATTTGATAGCTTTGATTTTATCCAGATGAATCTTTCGAATAATATTTTTAGCTTTCCTGCTTGCAATCGCTTTTACCAATTTCTTTTCTTTCGCTTTTCGCACGACTTTTTTAATATCCAATTTCCCGAGAGGAACTGTGTTTTGTTTATCGATGAAATCAAGCTTTGGATCTAATCTCGAAGAGAAATAATATTTTTCCTGAAAACAACATTGGTGTTCTGCAAGATTTTATGTGGCTCTTACCAATTTTCCATCAAAAGCTTTGACCAAACATTTGGCGCCAGCTTTGACGTCATGTTCTTTTTCGATCGCATCCAAACAGGCAACGAAAGCGCGACGTTCCGGTCTGAAACGAGGATACAAGTAATTAAGTCTTTTGAAGAAATTTACTAAAATGTCTTATGATTTTCAGCCTGATATTATTATATTTACACCAATAATTCTGCATTTTTTTGTTTCTGCAAACCTCTTGAAAATTCAATCAAAAATCACAATTTGCTCCAATTTTTCATTTTTTTTTCAATTTTAAAATTTTCCGAAATTTCTCACAGGAGCGCACTTGCTTTTTTGAGGTAATACTGTGAAACTCTGAAGTTCAATATGTGATAGATCTAATTTTCTAGCTGAAGATTCCGAACTTCATAATTTTCAAATCACTAACTTTTTCATTTTCATATACATTTGTTTGCCAACAGATCCAAGTAATGAAGAAACCGCCTGAATATACCAACCGTAATGAAGTTGTTTGAACTGAAATTTCGAATTTAATTGGTATCCTTCGTTTTCAAAAAAACATACCTTCTCAACTTGCTTTTCTGACATTTTCAAATGATTCATCGAATTTATTTTGTTATTTGGAACAGCATCTGAAAATTCCAAAAAATTTATCCCAGCCATTTTTTCTTTTCCGCATGAAATCTTATCACCTTTTTGTTTTTAACATGTTCTTTTTGTGAGATTAACGAGTTTGTCACGGAAAATGTGACGAAAAAAGTTGAATTATCAAATTTTCAAAAACATTTATCTGTCCTTTTGCGTTGTGAAAATAAGAAGAAAAAAGAAAAAGCCATAACTCACCTGACAAACAGACAAAGGCAAATAAAAATATCGCAACATGACAAAATTTTGGTTTTTTCATGCCTCAAAGCAATTGATAATAAAATAAGGAATAATAATTGCTTTAGTTTCATCCCTTTTATCCTTTCGAGATGTTTCGTTAATCCTTGTCATTTATCCGCCCATTCAAACAGTATCATTTTATTTCATGATTATTTGTGCTTTCAATTGATCAAAGTCAGATCAAATATATTTAGATGAATCTCATGTTTCTTTTTGTTTCATTTTGATGTAGAAAATTTTTAATTTATTAGAAGAATGCTATTGGAATATATACATATACACTAGAATATGATTATTATTATTTGCGAGGATTTTTTAAATCTATGACAAGAATGTTGGGGACAATACATTAGCAGCTAATACTGAATCAGTAAACACAGATGGTGAAAGAACTGAGGGTGAGAGAATTGCACCAGAAAGTACTGTTGGTGATAAAACATCAGGGCAAAGAACAAATGGTGAAAGAATCAAAGGTGACATCACATAAGGATTGATTACATTAGGGGATAATACGTAAGGAGAAAACACGTAAGCATTGAAAACTGCAGCTGATAAAACATTGGGCCCTAAAACATATGGTGAGAAAATAAGAGGATTTCCAACCTGTGGTGAGATGACTGGTGGTGAGAGAAGAAGAGGTGATAGAACACTTGGGCAGAAAAGTTGAGGAGAGATAACTAATGGGCCCAACACGGATAATTGATTGATGGCTGGTGCGAAAGCTTGAGGTGAGAAAACTGTCGGAGATAAAAAATACGATTCTGTAGAGGCCATCAAGAATTGTTATTGTTTGTCTTTTCTCTCTTCGTCCTTTGGTTCCCTGTGCACCTTTTCCTTTGGCAATATTTCTAATCGTCAAACGAAGCGCTTCGATTTTCTGATCCATACTCAAATTTTCAACTTCATTTACATCAAATGGAAGTTCCGCCAAAGATGTGTTATATACACCTTTTTCTCCATACAACATCCTCATTTGCTCTCCATTCATATAACTGAACTTCTGATTAGCAAAATCCAAATTTTGAGACTTTGTCATACTTTTGGCTAATGATTGATAAGTTGTATCAATGAGGCTGGACATATCAAAGAGATCAGTATCCAAGCCTTCTTTTCGTAGACCGCTGACAATATTCAAAGCGTCATCAACAACGTGATTCACTCCACTAACATCCATAACTAATTCTAGAACTGAATCGCGATCTCGTGTGTTCAAACCAGCCTGAAAATGTGAAATTAGAAATGATCACGTGTGCCTCACGTCAAAAATAATATACTATTTTTCAGATTTTTTTGGAAAAACAATTTTCAATAGGTCAACCAACCTTTTCTAGTACATTTGGAAGTGGAAGAATACTATTATCACTATCATCTTTGTACAATGGGAACATGCTCGGAGAAAGCAAATTCCTAAAAAAACATAAAAATTTTTAAAGTGTTTGAAAAAAAAAATTTAAAACATACTTCTTCACTTGATATTTATCCGGCATAATTGGGAAAAATCTCGGCGACAAAAAGTTGGTGTTAACATCTTTCGAATGTTTGGAAACCGATTCGACTAAACCATAAACATTTTCATCGATCAAACCTTCTGGAGTGATATCGCGCAATCGATCCGAGTATGATTTTCTGCGACGAAGTGGATTTTTCTCACCGAGGATTACGTCAAGCATTCGATGTTTGAATTTGCTTTTGGCTCGGGCATCCATAACAACATCTTGGAGCTGGAAAAATAAAAGATGAAATAGAAAACAAGAAAACAAAAATCTATAGAACATACCTTTTTCAAACTTCCATAAGATCCTTCCATTGTTTTCGTCTCATTTTGTTTCACAATTTGTCTGACCAAATTAGTCACAATTTTCACTGGCGATTTTTTCGAATCAATCAAACTTGGAGCAGTTTCAGCGTTTCTTGGGCGATAAACTCCACGATCTGCTTTATCTACACGTTTTGCCTCATCAGCAGCATCTTTCTGAAAAAATATTCAATTATCTTCTCGCTATTTTTTCGAAGCTTGGCTTACATTACTATATAACGATAAAATACTTCTCTTAATTCTCATTCTCCTATTAATTTTATCCAATTTATCTAGCATTTTTTGGCTAACTCCGTGATCTTCCGCATGACTCTTTCGCATTTTCTTACGGTATCGGATAGATTTGATCTTATCCGCATGCATCTTCTTGATAATACCGTTGGCTTTCTTGTTGACTATTGATTTCACAATCTTGTTCTGTTTCGCTTTTCTCGCCACTTTTTTGATATCCAATTTGGTCATAGGTACAGTGAATTGTTTATCAATGAAGTTCAGTTTAGGATCGAGTTGGGCGTTTTTGTACTCTTTCTCCTACAAAAAACAAACACCTACGCATAAAAATTAACAATAATCTAAAATCCCTACCAATTTTCCATCAAAAGCTTTGACCAAACATTTTGCGCCAGCTTTGACGTCATGTTCTTTTTCGATCGCATCCAAACAGGCAACAAAGGCGCGACGTTCGGGTCTGAAACGAGGAAATAAGTAATTAAATCAAGTAATTAAAATGGTTAGAAGTAATACTAGAATAATAAAACATTGACTAACTTTTTCATTTTCATATACATTTGTTTGCCAACAGATCCGAGCAATGAAGAAACAGCTTGAATATACCAACCATAATGAAGTTGTTGGAACTGGAAATAAAATTATGAAATTTTGAAACAAGTTCTTATTTTCAGGTTACCTTATTGATTTGCTTATCTGACATTTTCACATGATTCATAGAATTCAATTTGCCATCCGGAACAGAATCTGAAAAAAATACTGTTTGAGAAATATTGTGTTTTGAAACAAACACGGATTTTTATTTTTTGTTTTCATTGATCTTTTTATCCGTTTCGACTAAATGATAAAAACGAAAAAGACACATATGTTTTCGCACCTTTCTTATCATTCGATTTCGAAAAATCTTGTTTGTGATAGCCATTTCAAAAAAGCTTGTTCATAGGTTAACAGTCTGGATGGACTTTTATTGTTATGCTTGAACAAGAATTTACCAAATATATCAGGAAGTAACTTAATACCTACACTCAATTAAAATTACCAGAATTATATCAGATCAACAAAAAGTCTAAGCCTAAAATGTTAATCCCAAACTTCTAGCGAAACATCTGGGATTAAATCCAGCCTAGGCTTAATAGGCTTAACCTTTGCAATGAAGCAAGCCTAGCTTGAAAATCATTCAGAAAAAATTAGTAATGAATAGATGAAGCTAGCAAATAAATAAACAAAAATATTCACCTGAAAAATGAACCAATAAACATAGAAAAATGCCAAAATAATATAGTCGTCGCCTCATATCCAAAAACGAAATAAAACGAAAATGACAAATAATAGGCAACAAAATGCAATTTTATTAACCTTATATCCATCTCTGTTTATGTTTGAAGATTAATCGAAGCTTTTCTATCCGCCCCATGTACAATATCATCTCATTTCGTGGTTGTTCGTGCTTAGATTTTATCAAATCCAGATCTTTTCTCCTTATCCTCCTCCCACTTTTCTTCGATTTGGCAGCGAAGAGAACGAAATGAAACATTTTGTGGATACTGTAGGAGGATTTTGAAAGATCTGAGCCGATTTTCGAACCTATCATAAATGTAATTTACAGTAAATTATTTAATACTGTCAAGACCTGGGTTATTGAACATTTTGTGGTTATGTAATTAGCAATTCCAAAATGAAATATGATTTATCAATAAATTAGTTCTCGGAGTCTTTTCACGTCAAATTTTTAAAACAAGTTTTCAATTTTAATTTCGAAAAATGATTTATTTTTTAATTATCTCAAAAAAAACTTTTTTTTTAGTTTTGTGGGCGGGACTTTAGAAGTTTCCCGATTATTTTGGTCTACAGTAAACCTTTTGTTAACTTTGAAGTTTTATATTACTAGTTCGACTTTTTGGGCACTCGGGATAATGTTTGAAAGCTGGGTTCTAGCTTTTGATTGTTTGAAGCTCAGGCTGTTGGACCCAGGCTTTTGAATTGTTAGATTCATGCTGACAAGCTTCTGATGTCCTGAAGTTTTTGATAATGTTAGGCTTTTAGACAAAGGTGTCGAGGTTTCCACTCGATCTCTTATTGAACCTAATATTACACCAGCCGAATTCTAGGCTTCTAAGTTTCGAAGTGCTTTTAGTTTAAAAACTCTTATCTTAAGTCTAGACTGACCATCTCTAGAAAACAGAAACATGAGGCAAAAATTAAAATTTATTAGATTTTCAGAATCTTCTTCTTCATCACAATTCCCAAAATTTGCCCTTTTTCGTGGGAAACAAAAGACAATTCGTTTTCCGAGAAGATATTTAGCAACATGGAAGATTTATGAGTTTTAATTTGGAAACAGGAATATTTTCATTATTTTTCCTTTATGGATTTTTTTACAAATGAATTTCAAAAATATTGATTTCTTCGAATTATTAATCGAGTTCAAAAAATCAAATATATTTTTGATCCAGAAAAAGAGAGATTATTATCATTTTGACCAAATGTTGCCACTGGTCATTTACCGTATCAAAAAGTGTATCATTTTGTTGTCTTTTTTTTGCCTCCGATTTGCGCAGCAAAATTATTTGATCTATCACAATAAAAATTAATCTGTTTTTCCGCCAATAATTTGGAAGAATCACAACAAAAAGCAACATTTCGAAAAATCAAAATACAAACGGTAAATTGGGCGGAGTTATATCAATTTTCAATTATTATTTTTATGAGAGGAACTCGTTCAGCCGGTTGTTTTGGATTCAATCGGCGCAAAAAAATTGCGGTGGTGGTGGATCAAATTGGGATCAGAATTTAGAGAAAACGAGGGACCAATTTATTGAAATGTTGCTTTTAGCTTCGTTTTTAGAATACAGGCTTTCAAATTGCAAACTCTTCTAATCTTTGAGATTTTATTAAAATTCAGATTGTTAGGTTGAAATTTTATCGTTAAAAAATAATTAATCTGGAGTTATGTGCGATAGAAAATGAAACTTATTTTCAATTTTCAAAAAAAGTTGAACTGTAAATACTTATGTTTCAATTTCGTAAACCTCAGGAACATTTTTCAGTGTTTTAACTTATAATTGTCTGAAACTCTATGGATTTCAGAAACTTTTGATTGTATCAGGTTTTGAACATTGGAAAGATTCTTTAAACATAGTTCCACAACTTTCGTGTCTTCTTATTCCCTGAGCTTGCAGGCTTCCTATTCAAATTTTTCTGTAAACATTTTATCAATCCAGATTTTCTGGGAATGTTTTTGATGCAAATCAAGACACACAAATTTCAAACAGTCTTTTTTTTGTAAACTCTCAAACTTTAAAAGAAATCCATTTTCTGTCCAACTTCTTCCAAATTCCTATTCATTTTTCTCATTAAAAGCCGAACATCATAAAATAAAATAGCATAAAAAGTATCAAAATGTTACTTTTTGCGCAAGGCAAGGCAAAATTTATAATACCGACAGGAAGAAAAAGATTGAAATGATAACAGGTGTAAATTGAGACAAATCTGACCAATCGGTTGATCGGTCAAATTAGAGTACTGGCGAGAAAAAGTGCGAAAAAATTGACAAGTCTTTTTTTCGGTCATTGTTTTAGTTTAGTTTGGTTTTTGATTTTTCATTAACAATCGTTACATTTTTTTAAAAGTTATTCCGAAGATCACGGCTTTTTTATTTTATTTAATGTGTTTCTAATTAATTTTTCTTAATGTTCGAAAATATCACAAAAACTTTCAAAAAATCTCAGTCATTACATTTTCTAGATTTTCCAAATGAGAATCAAGAATGAAGTTCGAACCACTTGTGTCAGATAAATGAAAGAAAAAATTAGCGAGTTTTTTCTCGGGGTTACTGTATTTTCAATTTTTCTCATCCGTGGTTTTTGGGATGTTCATAGCAAAAAAACGTTTTAGGGATCAAAATGTTTTTACAATAAGGGGACCATAATTTTTTCAGTAGAAAAATGGGATTCGGAAGAATTGTTAAGAAATATGAAGCCTGTTTGATCAAATTTGTTGAACTTTGAACTTTGATTTTTGAAAATCGGGAGGATTTGATAAACATTTTGAGACTACAACGTTTGAATTTATTTGTGAACATTTTTCGCTCAACTCATCTTTTCTAACTTTTAAAATCAGGTTCGAACAATATAATAATTCATTTCAAAAACTCCATGGAAGTTGGTTTTCATTTTTTTTTTCAGTTTTTTGAAGTAACTAGAATAAATTGTGAAATAACTGTGATGTAATATATATGATTTGTGATCGGGAAAATTGAGCCTATTATATATGCAAGCTTGGTAAAGATTTTTGACCCCCAAAACAACTAACCTCTTTCAAATTTTCCAGCATAATTTTCCTCGATATTCTCTATTCACTCTGCATAACACCATTCCCAGCGTGCGCAGACATTTGCCTGATTTAACCAGAGCTCCATTGATAATTTTAAAGGTTGGCCCAACTCTCTGAAAAACTAATTCGAGTAATGTTTCGCGAAAAATAAACGTTTCCGAAAAAAACGCGAAAAAAAACGTTAAATTTTGAAAAATAACAATTTTTTTTTTTCCTATTTTGGTAAACAACGTGCAAGCGGAGTGTCGTTGCGAAAAATGCGGGTTTTTCAAATAGGAGGCTCTGTGCAGAAAGTGTTATTAAGCAAGTTCATTTATAATTTCAGGATGTTTTAATGCAATCCATCTAGCATTTTTCATATGAAAAATGACATTTTTCATTTTCTTTATAGTTATTTTTGAAATCTTGAAATTGTTTTCATTTCGAACCTGTTGTGATTTCAATATTTTTTAATTGTGTTTTGTAACCAGTTTATAAAAGTGCAACTCCAATAATCTCCTGAAAATTATTCAAATCCATTCTCATTTTCCCACGTTCCTGAAAAACCAAAGTTTCTTCTTTCCGCCCAAAATCTCTCTCTACAGTACTCCCAAAATCTCCAAATTCTTCCAGAAATCAAGTCGTCGAATACACATCCACCCAACACAAAAGGTATCGTTTTTCTCGACAAGAAAAATCCAGTTCTCTACAGTAATCCTTATCTCGTTTTCTCGTTTTCTCGGTTTTATTATTGTTTCTTTTCGACGGATGAAGAAAAATAAAAAAATTCGCGTTTTTCAAGAAAAAAAAACAAAAAACACACGAATTTTTTGTTGTTGACGTATGTATTTTTTTCTCGTGAAACCCATCAAAGTCAAACAAGTTGCAAGATGAAAAATGAGAAAAAAAAAGGAAAAAAGGTCCTCCGGAAATGTTCGACGGTCATATAATTGAAAGTGACATAGTCGACTTTTTGGCACATACTTTTCTCACCCACCGGAAGAAGAAGAAAAAAAGAAGACGAGGACAAGATGGAGGAAAAGAGAAAGAAAATCTTGCACAGATTCTGAAACATTTTTATTATTTTTTTTTGAATTTTGTTGAAAGAAGATAGAACTTTTTAAATTTTTGAAACTTTATTGAACATTTTTTTTACATTTGTAATTTTTTCATCAATGATTTCAATTGAACAAATCCGAGTCATAATTTTAGATTTTAGAAACATATTTCATATTTGAAAAATTTCTTTGAAGAATTTCTGACATTGAAAAATTACTACAAATTTAGCAAAATTGTGTCAATATTTTTTGAGAAGAATACAAGATTTTCGTAATTATACAGAATACGATTTTTCTTTATGGAACGAGAAAAATATATTGATTTTTATAACTTGAAAGTTATTTTGAAACATCAAATCTCGAGATTTTCGTTCTTTAAAATCCTCTAAATTTTTACTGTTTCAAAACTTCCGGCATTCCTTTCATTACATATTTCCAGGTGAAATTCTGCCTATTTTTCAATATCAAAACAAACTTTGTTTTGATCTCGAAAAAAATTCATTTAGCCTTCAAGAAAAACACGCATACATCAGACAGATAAAATTAATTGGAACTAAAGTGTTCCAAAAATTTGTTGTTTTTTCTTTTCTGCTGAATTTTCTTGTCTAGTTTTTTTTCAAATAAAATGGGTTTGCTCAAAGAGTTCAGAATTTACAGCATTTTTCCAGATGTTATTTTATTTTATTTGATTTGAGTTCGATTTTATCTCATAAAAACATTTGTATAACTTAGCCAAAGTCCATGCAAAATATAAAATAAAAAATAATAAGCGCAAAAAACTTGAGGGACCCTTAAGTGATCCAGGCCACGCCCATTTAATTGAGTGCCGCTTTATTTTGTTATTTTTTCATACTTTTCTCGAAAAAAGTTCATTTTTTCACAAAAAATAAATAAAATTTCTTGGGGGCCAAGGTGGCTTTTCCGGTTTATTCAATTTTCCGGTTTCATATTTTTTATTCCAAAAAAAGTTTTTCTTCTCATATTTATTTTTTCATGGATTTATGAGGCCAAGAAGGCATCACATCTCATTTTTTTCTGGTTTTTTTTCGATAGCGGAAAAAAACTTATAAATAACTCATCAGATTTTTTATGTGCTGGAAAATAGGAGTTTTTCTTGGATTTTTTTGTAGGAGCAGAAGAAGAAGAAGAAGACATTTTTGCTTATGATTTTTACACTTTTGTCAACTTTGCCTGTTTTGATTATTACCTCGGAATTAGATTATGCTGAATTGTCGGGAAGTTTTCACAATTTGGAGAGCAGTAAGTTTTTTTAAAAATTATTTTATTGAGCTGAGATGGTTAGCGAGAAACTATAGTGTTACTTACTCATAATTCGATAATTTCAAACCGTTTGCAGTCACCAGCAATGCCATCATGTCATCTCATCGAAACTGTACCCGTGACACAGATATTATCGATCAACTTCTAAATGGCACAGGCTATAACAAATTCCGAATACCACGTGAGTTTTCTCTAGTTTCCTAAAAGTGCATTTCACATTTTTGCAACTTTTTCACCGGTTAAAGATGCTACTTATGTTAACTTAGGCTAACTTGCTAACTACTTCGAAAAATAATAGTGAGTTATCCGAAATGCATCTAATTGTCTGACACATTTCCGTGTCGCCCGCAATTATTCGTATATTTTTCTATTTTTTATTTATTCATGAGCTCTTGAAAAAGGGACCCGCCTGTTAACAATTTCCTGTATCTTATGTGTTTTTTCTTTCAGAAGATGAAGGAATGGCTGTTGTTGTGGAGATTTGGATTCAGGCGATCACAGCAATCGATGAATTGACAAATGATTTTGATATGGATATTTACATCACTGAAACTTGGCTCGATCCGGCGCTCAATTTTCAGAATATGAGCCCATGTAAAGGTAGAGGAGTTCGGGGTGCAAATAATCCTAGGAAATTAATTATGACGTGGTAACAGAGAAATAAATAAAAAAATTGCAGGCAATCTTTCGCTCAATCACCAAGTTCTCGACCGCCTTTGGACTCCAAACAGTTGTTTCATCAATTCAAAAGTCGCCCAAATTCACAATTCTCCATTTCGCAGTGTATTCCTGATGCTTTTCCCAAATGGCACAGTTATGGTAAATTATCGTGTTCGAGTTAAAGGACCATGTCAATTGGATTTGTCTAATTTTCCGCTAGATCTTCAAAGATGCTCATTGATTTATGAGAGGTTAGATTTTTTGATGGAAGGTTTTGTAGTTTTGGAATTTTTTCTAGTTTCAACTACAATCATCAAGAAGTCGAGATGAAATGGTCCGAAATTAGTATTCAAATACTCGCGCCAATTGTTCTTCCCGATTTTGATTTATTCAAAGTGCAAACGGAAGGAAAACAAGAGGTGAGCTATTTTGAAAGTATTATTCTATGGATTACTGTGGTAGGCTTTGTAGACAAGTCAGAAATCGTCAGAATGATCTCATTTTTATTGGTTTCTCTCCATAAATGTGGGAAATTAGTCAACTGAAAAATTGGCAGCATATCTTCAAAATAATCTGGATTTTAAGCACTTTTTCTCAAAACTTCTAGAAGGATCAGAAAATATGGGCCATTAATTATTAATTTAAATAAACTAAAAGCTCACTACTCAAAAAAATGTTGTTCAGTCCTACCCAGCTGGAATGTGGGATGAATTACACGTCACTCTGGTTTTCGAGCGTCGATTCATTTGGTATTTCATGCAAGCCTATCTTCCCACATATTTGACTATTTTTATCAGTTGGGTTTCGTTTGCACTTGGTCCACGAGCAATTCCAGCTCGAACTATGCTTGGAGTCAATAGTCTTTTGGCTATTGTTTTTCAGTTTGGAAATATTATGAGAAATTTGCCGAGGGTTTCGTATATTAAAGGTGGGTTGGATTTTTTGTACATCGAAAATGTTTTTCTGTAAAAATTCGGGGAGTTTTTTTTAGGTATCGATGTTTGGATGTTAGTCTCGATGACTTTCATTTTCTGCTCTTTGCTAGAATTGGCTATTGTTGGATACATGGTTAGAGATGAGCCAGGAGCTAAGAAGAAACCCGTTAAAAAAGTAGGGGCTGAGAAATTGAACCTTCATAACCATAAAATTTCAGCTCTCCCGCGAAGAATCCCCTCATGGAATCACAACCGAACGACGCTTCATGTTTCCACCAGGATGTACAGATATCAGCTTATCAAAAGTAATCTACCTAATTTATTTCTCTCTAAATCAACCTAATATCAATTCCAGACTTCCCTCAATTCAACAAATTGCATGACTTCTTGTTGGACGCCCGAAAGAATTGATTCGCTGTCAAGTTTCATGTTTCCCTTCACATTTTTCGTATTTAATGTAACTCAAACCAATTGTTTTTTTTGTCAAAATTCAAAACAAATTGCAGATAATCTACTGGGTTTACTACATCTATCGAAAAGAAATCATCCGCGCTCAAATGGTAGCCGATCACGGAAAGGGAAATTAACACGTGTAAAAACTAATTAATAAATTATTTTGAAACAAATAATTACCTTTCTAATTAATTAATTAGGCTGAACCCGTAATACCATCAGATCACAGGAATTAACATTGGATCATAATTGCGCAAGGACTTCTAGTGGTTCTTGAACTCCAGCTTGATTTTCAGCATTTTCTGGAACTTGCTGAACTTCAGCTTCTTCTGGATTTGCAGCTTCAGCTCCAGCTTCAGCCTCCCCTTCATTTACAATAACAAATTCCTGATCGATTCTTGGCGGCACAACATATAACAAATGATAGAAGATTTCGCATTTCTCGGCGCCGAACTTTGTTCGAATCCACTTGAAAACTGGCAAAGTCGCCAGAAAATATTCGCGATATTGGTAGACTATGGCTGAAAAATTTCAGAGATTTTTAACTTTCGAACAAAACCTTTTGAAAATACTAACTCAATATAACGACCAAGAAACAAAGCAGAGTGTATATCGATTCGATGATATCCTCCTCATCCATTCTCACAATAATACTCGAATCAACATTTCCTCGATTTGCAGACCACTTTGGTTCCAAATCAGTGTATTGTCCAATAAACTTTTGAAGTTCCTTCAGATCCAAATTCTGATGATACATTCTAGCCACAATTACACCATTCACCCATAAAGCAACGGTTGGTGTACCAATCAAACCACTTCGAACATTGATTTTCGAATCTTTCAATTCAAATGCATTCATCCCAACGAAATAAATATTTTGATAATAATTGGTCAATTTGTTGAATTCCGGTGCGAGTGTGTAGGAAAATGGGCAATTATTCGAATATAAAAAGGTTATCATACACCAACTGTGGTTCATGTGATCCATGTTTAGCAAATTTGTGAACTCTTGAATGTTCAGATTCAAAAGCCCAGTGTCATCTGAAAAATTCCATATATTTTGATTTTCTTGTGCAAAAACTTACATTTTAGTTGGCATCGAAAATGAAACGCGTGGAATGGATCGAAAATTGGATCTGCACATGAAGGGTCGTAATCCAATGGGCATGTGTAGAACAACAAACTTCTGCAAAAAAAAGCAAAGGTTAAAACACCACCTTTTCCCTAAATTTCAAAATACCTGATTTTTTGTGCATCGTCGATATTTTTACACTCCGTCGACAAGACCACACCATCTTGAAGTTGAAATGGTTGCGAATTCACCAACGCAGTCAGAAAAATCAATAAGAACATTGTGATTCACGTGTTTCAGCTCGCACAATTTTTCAAAAAAAAAAATTCGATAGTTGTCCGAGAAAACAACACAAAACCTCGGCCATGCAGGAACTAGTCCCCCATTTTATTTTCGCAGGAAAAATTGCCAAAAATTAGGAATCGACGAGAAGAGAAGGAAATTGAACTAATGATAAGACTACGCTGTTGACCACACATTACAATATAAAAATGTTGTTGTTATCTTTATGAAATTGAATATTTTTCGATTTTTCAGGCGAAAAATGACTGCGCCTTTGATTGATAAATATCGGAAATTGGCGTCGTTTGATTGGCGAACTTTTAAAAATACTATCGAAGGAGAGGAACATGTAATTCTAAAGGTATGGTTAATTTTTAACTAAAAATTCCGAAAAATCTTCTTCACTTTCAGCAAAAAATCGTTGATAAAATGAAAGCGGAGCCGGTATTTCAAAGAGATTTTCGAGTTTTGAGTTTGGAAGAAAGTCGAGAAATATCGCATAAAAGATGGAAGAAGATTTGTGAATGGAATCTTTTCAAAGATGTGAGTGATTATTTTATTAGTTAAATCAAAAAGGGGTTATTGTACTCGTACCTTACGTACTCGCGGCGTTTTCCAAGAGAAAAAAAAAACAGAAATGAAACTTTTTTTAAATGAAAAACGTGTCACACCTTGTCACGTGAAAATTTAGTTTTTTTGGCGACATTAATTTCTAAATAAAAAGGTTGGAAAACTGCTTTTACCCCTTCAACTGGAATCTATTTAATTCAAATTTCAGCCATACTCGGATGTAGATCAATTCCACGCACTTGTCGAAGTTCTTGAAGGATACGACCAGGGAAACGCAGCTCGACTCTTTCTTCATGCAAATGTATTTGGCGCAGCTGTAAAATCTCAAGGAACTGAAAGACACGCTGAAATTATCAAGAAAATCGATAATAATGAAGTTGTTGGTGCATTTTGTTTGACTGAAATCAGCCATGGCTCAAATACAGCTGAAGTTCAAACCACAGTAACCTATGATAATGGAGAACTTATTTTTAATAGTCCGAATATTGGAGCGATCAAGTGTTGGGCTGGAAATCTATGTGAGTTATTCTTTCTAAAGCTCTAAATAAATTAATCTTGCATTTATCTCAATTTTCAGCTCACTCTGCAACCCACGTGGTTGTTTTCGCTCAACTCCACGTGGCTGGAAAGAATGAAGGTTTTCATGGATTCGTTGTTCAAGTTCGGGATCCAATCACTTTTCAAACTCTTCCTGGTATTACAATTGGAGATATGGGATCGAAACCGGGAGCATGGCAAGGTGTGGAAAACGGGTGGCTCAAATTTGATGTAAGTTTTTGTCGGGGGAAGTTTTTGGATGGAACATTGAATACATTATTTCAGAATCACCGTGCTCCTTTGATCGCTCTTCTGAACAAAGGCTGCGATATTACAAAAGATGGAAAATATGTGACAAGCTTCAAATCGGCCAGTGAAAAACAAAGTGTCAGCTTGGGAACTTTGTCAGTTGGAAGGTGGGTCATTTTTTATTTGAAAAAGTTCTTCGAAAAAAATTCCTATACAAATTTCAGACTAGGAATTATTGGAAAAGGTGTGACGGCTTCTATGATGGCATCAACAATTGCACTAAGATACAGTGTAGCTCGTCGACAATTTGGGCCCATAAAAGGTGTCGAAAATGAGATTCCGGTTTTTGAGTATCCACTTCAACAATTCAGACTTTTCCCGTATTTGACAGCTTCGATTTGTATGAGGATTTTTCAGAAAAAGTGAGCTATTTTTTTGGGAACAAACCTCTCCCAATACCTGGAATTCCAGGTGGGAAATTTTTTCCTCAAAACCTAGGTGGGTTAAAAATTTTAGGAACTTCTAATCTAGCTTAATTTTATGGATAAAAATAATAAATCGTCATTTCGTAGTTACTTCGAATTCACGATTTTTATTTCTAGCTTAATTTTATGGGGGCTAACAGCCCCTAGTAAAAATAATAAATTGTGAAACCTATAAAATAAACCTAGGTGGGCAATTTTTCACCCAATGTTCCAGGTTCTTGGGTGAGGTTTGTTTGGGAAGCTGAAAATCTCATTGAAGAAAATGTTAAACGTATCATTTCTAGGTTCTTCGAGCACTTTACTGGTTATATGATGCGAGTAATTCAAGGCGAAAAATCAGACGAGTTAGCCAAATTCTCTCGAGAAATTCATGCGTTATCATCTGGAGCCAAACCAGTTGCCACGTGGCTCGGAAATGAATCATTGGCAGAGGCGCGGAAGGCTTGCGGTGGACATGGATTTTTGCATTTGTCAAGATTGAATACGCTTAGAGATGATAATGATCCTTCAATGACTTTTGAGGGCGAGAATTTCATGATTTTACAGCAGACTAGTAATATTCTTTTGGCAAAGGTGGGTTCTGAGGAAAAAAATGAAAAAAATCTAAATGTTCAACTCCAAGTTTTGGAAGTTGAAAATTAGAAAAAAAATTGAAAAAATTTTTCCTTTATTTTCCAGTCAAAATCCTCTGCCAAAATCCTGACACCAATGAGAACCATGGAATTTTTCAATCACCAACCCATCAAATTCCAAGGCTGGACAAATGACACAATTTCCGGTAGCCTCTCCTCAATTTTCCTTTCTAATGTTCTATTTTCAGACGTTCTCCAAGCCTACCGTTTCCTTCTTCACCATCTCATTCAAAAAACCAATAGTGACGCAGAAATTCTCAAAAAATCTGGCAAAAATGCATTTGAAGTTCGAAACGAGACACAAGTTCATCGAGCTTTGAATTTATCAATTATTTATTCGGAAAACACGATAATCGAGTGGACCAAAGAGTTTTTGGAGAATGAAGTTGAAGATCGAAATGTGAAGGAAGTTCTGAGAAAAGTTCTTACACTTTATTCACTTTTTGTGCTCGAAAGGCATTTGGCTACATTGTATATTTGTGAGTTTTTTGTAGGGAAAACATTTTTTCAGAATTCTGATTCATTTTTCTAGAAATTTAAGTCTAAAAATATTAGATTATTTTTAATAACTAGAAATTTTGAGACATAAAAAAACCTTATCTCTCCAGCTGAATACACAACCGGCGGTCAATTCGGTGACCAACTTCGTGAAAAACTTCGATCCTCCATTTTCTCGCTGAAAAACGAGGCAATCGCTTTGGTTGACTCAATTGCTCCCGATGATTTCATTCTTCATTCAGTTTTGGGCGCATCCGATGGTCGAGTTTATGAGCGAATTTTCGCCGAATTCCAAAAGAATACCAAACAACCCGAGTGGATTTGTGATTTGGCTCAATTTTTGCACAAAAATTCGCAAAGCAGCAAATTGTAAATATTTTTCAACATATATATTTTCATTCAATAAATAATCACAGTACAAAAAAGGGACAGAAGATAATAAATTATGCTGTAGATCTAGGAACTACAGTAACCCAGAACTAAACAAAGACATGGAATGGTTTAGAACATATCGCCCAAGAAAAAGTTCAAACTGCGATCGATCAAGTAACATGCGATTAAATCGAATGAGACGGCGCCAACAAGTGTATTTCGCAACTGAAAATTTGAAAATAGTGTTTTTTCGTTGAAATTTTTGTTACCTCATCAGGTAGAATAACAAGTTCAAACTGTTTCATCAGATCATCTGAAGCACCCGTTGCCAATGTGAAAACAGCAGTTCCGGAAAACATAATACTATAAAGCATGGCTTTATTTTCGAAAAGCGACTCCATAAATGGTCTTCCTCGATAATTTACAGCAAATGTGCAAACTTGTAGAGCCATTGAAATGATATAAACAGTGGTGTTGAGAACATTCGGAGTGAATTTGGCTTCAAGATCAATCGGTCCATCTCTGTAAAAACATTGTTTAATTAATGATGAGAAGGGAAAGATTATGAATTAATTAATTTAAAAAATTAAAATTCTAAAATGTCGATGAAGATGGTGTGCACCCGGTGCCAATTACATCCAGAAGCGACCTTAAATCTTCACAAGAACATTCATTTTGGCGGGGATGTCGGCCCAAATTGCATAAAATACACAACCTGGTTCCTATCCGCCTCGGCGAGAATTCGAACCCTCGACCTCTCGCTCGCAACGCACACACTCTAACCACTAGGACACACAAGACGGCGGCAGCGAATGGCGATTTTTCGCATCAAATGAAAGAGAGAGAAAAATGAGAGATAGGAGGAGTGTAAACACGAGTTTTTAGTGGTTTTGGTGGAAATATTACAGAAATTTTTATATAGTTTTTTAGCTCTAAATATGGCGAACAGAATGATGTAAATAAGAGTTGAAAAAGTGAAAAATAAGTAGAAAAAATGCGGAAAATTTTAGAGAGAGAGAGATAAATTATTTTTCACGTGAACTTGGAAAACGTGAAACTAAAGATTAGAATTTCATTTTCAAAAAATTTTAACTGACATTTTTAATATTTAAAAAAATTTGAAATTACTCGAAATTTTCGGCCACTTTTCTCATTCAAAAAATCAAAAACAAACCTGGGATCCGCCAAATGTGCCAAATTAACCATATACAAAAGCACTGAAAAATGCACAACAAATTGAAGAGTGACTGTAAGCAAAGTATAGGCATTGAAAATATTAGCCATCGGTCTTTGTTTCGATAAATTTTCGAGTGGCTTCGATTTTGAGATGAACAAAAAGCATGCGGCAAGTAATAATCCTTGAATTGTGGCTTGTGTATCACTGTATTTGACACCATCCAAATAGAGAGCTGATAATGAATAGGCAGAGACAAGAGCATTGAGAGCGAGGATTTTGAACATTTGAAGAGTTGTGACAAGTGTACAACGACCTTGTTTGATGACGTGGCAGACTGAAAATTAAATTTTGTTAGGCATAAAATTTCAAATAATTTTTGGATTTTCTGTGTGAGAAATAGAATTTTGATGAAAACATAACGGTTTTCTAACCATAATTTGATGTTCAACATTCATTTGATCTGAATTTTATGATGTTTTTAAACTACATAATTCCCCCCTCCTTCCCTCTGAAATTCTCAAAACTCACTTGACGCAATAGATGTATATTTACTGGTGAATGGTGCAGCAATCGATGCATCTCCCAATTTAATAACCATCGCCTTCTCTTCCTCTTCCAATTCTTGCATCAATTTATCGAGTTTCGTTTGTGCAGCAGCAACTGCTGGTGGTGGTGCAGCTCTCGCTCTTGCGCCAGGCGGTGCATTATTTCTTGCAGCAGCCGCTGGAGCCAATTTATGTTGCGGTAATCTGGCTCCTTCTTGCACCAATTGTCTCGCCTCAGCGATCTTGCTCTTCCTTTCTTCCTCTTTTTGTTTCGCTTTTTCTGGATCATATGGGTTTGCGAGAAGTGCGACACCAACATTCGAATGTTTCAATGCGCCAACATCATTTGTTCCATCTCCACACATCAAAGTAATATGTCCCAATGATTTCAATTCATGAATAACTCGTTCTTTTTGCTTTGGAGCCATTCTTGCAAAAACTTTCACATGAACAATCAAGTCTCGCAAAAATGTGTGTTCATGATGTACCAAATATTGGAAAGCTGTTCCAGTCAAGCAAAACTCATGTGATTTGAAAAACACATTTCTTGCCGATTTTGGCGGAATCAATGGAACTTCAACAGTTCCATCGACAGATTTCCATGTCCAATCATCACCTTCTTTTGGTTCATCCAATACCAATGTTTGCACTCCTTTTTTGGTGAATTTCAATACTTTTGCCACGTGGCAAGCAGTCAATGGATTATCTCCAGTTATCATAACTACACCATGTGAACTGTCGATGATTTCTTTGATCATTGCTTTTGTATCGGTTTTTAATGGACAAGATATAACAACGAATCCAGCAAAAGTCAAATCTTGCTCCAAATCTTCTCGTTTCTTATCTCGCAATTCACTAGGCCGTGTTTCTTTCAGTTTTTTGATTCCCATCGCCAAAACTCGCGAACCTTGTCTCGTCAATTTCATATAAGTCTCATCGTAATCCTCCGGAACATTTTCATACTGAAAAAGGTGTTTTCTTAGAAACACAGAATATTATACTCACCATATTCCTCAACATCTCCGGTGCACCTTTAACCGCAACAATCAAAGTAGTATCAGAAGTGGCAGATTGTTGATATCCGGCAATCACAGTCATTCGTTTCATGGCCGATGAAAAATGATATCGATGGAAGATTTTGATACCCGCAATTCCTTTGGTGGATTTTGGTGGCATAACTGCGTCGCCTTTTGTCAGAGACCAATCACACCATGAAAGACAGGCTTTTTCAAGAGGATCACCGACGAGTTCTTCTTCGAATCTGACCAAACTGTGACAGGATGTCATGACCTAAAAAAAAGTGAGGAACTTTTTGAAAAATGTGACCGTTTTGAGATTGTTAAATCGGAAACATTTGAAAATTTAAAAACAAATGTTTTTTCATTCAAAAAATTATCGTATAACTTATGAAATTCTTCAATTCAAGTTTCAGAATTATCTTCATCAGAATATTTTCTTATTAAATTTTTAATGTGAAATAATAGTATTTCAGGTCAAAAAATACTGAAATTTTCATAATTTTCAAGTTTCACAAAAATGTGAATTTGAAAAGGTTCCCAAAAATCTACCAACCTGCAGCGATTCCAACGTCAAATCCTCCGGCGATTTAATCATTCCATCCTTCTCATTATTCATACAAACTCCTTCAACAACCAAATTATCCGTTGTCAATGTTCCAGTCTTATCAAAACAACAAATATCAACTTTTCCAGCAAATGGAATTCTGAATGGTTCAGTGCAGAAAATGCCCAATTTCTGGAGAGCCATCAATGATGAATTAACAGCCAATGATAGTTCAATAGGAAGTTCCGGTGGGATAACAGAAGTCAAAATCAAAGTGCATTCTAAGAATAGCTTATATTTACTTCTAGTTTCATCAGCAGTTCCTTTGATCCATAAATAAGCAGCAGCAGCAATTGCGAAGATCAGAAGGAAAAGAATAAAGCAAAATGTTTCCAAGTTATTTGCGGTAACTCTCTTTACACCAAACATAATAGTTCTCAGAAGTTTTCCTTGACTTGTATTGAATCCAGTTCGAACAACATAACAAATACAGTTCCCATCGGGTGATTTAACAGATCCTTCTGGAGCTTTTCCGGGTGTTGTATGTTGAACAATCTTAGTTCCACCAAAAATAACATGAAGTCGACTATCCAATTCAATATCGAAAATTCGATCTTTTTCCACATCCTCAATCGGTTCTTTCATTTGTGGCACACTTTCTCCGGTCAACATTGATTCGTCAACAATGCAAGGACCACGTAATAAAAGAAGATCACATGGAACAGTTTCATCTTCGCCGTTTCGACCAATTGAGACAATATCACCGGCGACGAGTTCTTCGGTTTTGATTCTAATCCATTTTTTGTTTCGGTAAGCCTGCAAAAAAAATTCGATTACTTTTTCAAACCGCATTTCAGAACTCACATTTATCAGGAAGCTCTTATTCCCCATATTTCTAATTTCCGACATATTTTTCATTTGCTGTTTAACCAAAGTTGCTTCAAAAGTCATAAGCATAAACAAAGTGAATAATGAATAATACCACATGTCTTCTAAACACCACAATCCAACACAAAAAACTTGGAACACGAAAAATGGGGCAGTCGCTCTTTCAATAAACAGTTCCATGAATTGTGGCACAACCATTTCGGTCTTATTATCACCTAGCAAATATTTGGTTTCTTGTAATTGCTCATCCGATTCGAAGCCATGTGCTTTTTGGAAAAACACCATAGGTTTTGCGGTATCCAGATTTTTCGTGGCGAATTGCTCGATTTCATCTTCCCATGTGTAATGAACACGTTGAAATTCAAACCAGAATTTGATTTGTTTGTCGCGTTTTGTTTTATTGAGCGGGACCAATTCGGGCCATCCATTATTTGTAGTTGGAGTGACACATACATGACTAGCTTTTTTCACATCTTTGATCTGGAAAATGTTGGTGAAAAAAAATAGATCTAGAATATTTGGAACTTGGAAAAAATTCGAAAATTTTTCACAAAATCCTCAAGCTGTAGAATCTTGTATTTTTTGTCTGAATATTTCGAATACTGAAAATCGAGCTTGAAAATCCGAGAATCATACATGGCATCTTCGCCCAACAGACCCCGCATGTAATGATCTCCCCTCCCCAAAATTTTGTTCGGGCGTGAATTTTCATTAGCTACCCGCTGAAATCAAAATTTCGATTTGGGCGGGCACCTAATGAAAATTCCGAGAATATATCATTTTGATCAGCGCAAAAAATCTACTAAATCACAAAGCAGGAATTTTCCAAAAAAAAAATCTTACATATGAACACATTAAAGCACATCGCACAGCGATCAACCAATGGCAAAATAATAAGACTAGAGCTAACAAAACGAAAATGATCGCATATCCAACCATTCCCAATTCATAATATTCCTCATATCCAAACTGATCCAGCCAAATATAGGTCCAAACTGAGGTTAATACTAGAAAAAAAACATTTCATGAGCTTGAAATAGGCCCAGGCTAATTAAAAATCAGTAAAAGTACCAACCTGCAAAAACAGGCACGTATAAATGATTCCATATCGGCCGTATATTATATGGTGTGATGGTTTCAACCAATTGATCGACACCCATCACTAATCAATAATAAATTATTAGAAATGTTATTACTTTTTTAATTTCTGAAGAGATATTGGGGTCACGCGCGTGTTACGTGTTTCTTTTTCAAAATTTTGTGAACAACAAGAAAAAAAAATATACACAATTCATTGATTTACCGGGAAAAAAAGAAAACAAGTGCTCCTGTATAATAAATAACACAAAATGATAACAATGCGAAACCAGCAAGAAAAAATAATAATTATAATCAAAGGATAAATTAGAGATGAGAAATAGGCAGGAGTTTTGTGGAACTACAGTAACCCTGGTGGCTACTGTAGTTGTTGATCTACTTCTTGCCAGCACCTGGTTTAGCGGCATGAAGTGGTGCTCCAAGGTCTTTTCCGCGCAATTTTACCTGAAAAAAATGAGTTTTTGTGTTCAAAATATTAGGTATTTTCAATTTTTCAGTTAATTCTAGTTTCTAAATCATTAAAATCCGCTTACTCCTAAGGCGCGTTCCATCTTCGCCAAAATTTGTTGATTTGGAACCGCTTTTCCACTCTCATACTCCGAAACAACTTGTGGTTTCTCATTAACTTGAGTCGACAAATCTTTTTGTGTCCATCCCTTTGTAGCTCTCGCTTGTTGCATAACTTTTCCCAAGGACAAAGTGACTTTTTCGTGATGAAGTTCCTCGGTTTCCTCATCTAATCTCAAGGTATTTTTATGGGCTGTATGTTGACGATTTCCACCAGACATCATTTTCTTTTCAGTTTCAATCTGCATTCCAGCTCTTTGTGCAGCATTGAGAGCTGATGCGGATTTCAAAGTCTTTTGTTGTGGTCCACGTTTTGAGATGACGGTGACTGAATTTGGATCGCAGTCAGAAGTTGGACATCCGTATTTCGACGACATTTTGAAGGGTTTTTGGTTGAGTGGGCAAGAAGTTAGCTGAAAATAACAAATTTGAACACGGAATAAGGGAAAACAAAACAATATCAGCTTCCAAAACCACAAACAAAATCGAAAATTCGAGAAATGAATTGTTGTCAAAGAGACGCAGAGAAATGTGTCAACACTGCGACGAACAATTGCACTATAACAATCAGCACACTACAGTAGGTTTCATTACAAAAACTTGAGAATAGGGGTAATTGGACGAGTTTTAGCTCTAAATATAGAACGGAAAGAGTAAAAAATTAGTCAGCTTTCATGATATTAGGCAATGTTTCATGATTCACAAATAGAAATGACGAAATTGTGCAATTTTCAATTTCTCAAGAGACGCAGACGGTTAGGTAGTGTCGTTGTTGCCTGTTGTTTAGCGTGCAAATAATTTTTGAATTTTTGTTTTCTTTTGTTTTTTTTTTCGGTTTTCGAAACTTGTTTTCGAATCGAATCTCAACTTGAAACTGCAAAGTTATCATTTTTCAGAAAATGAGTGTATTATTCACGGCAGCAGATATTTTGAAAAAGTGCAATAAAGAAGTTTCAACAAAAGAAGTTGAAGCGCTCGTCGAAAAGAACAACTCAAAAAGTGTGAACAAAAAATGCAAGGAGAATATTGAGGTGAACAGTGATTTGAAGAAAATGATAAACACAGTCGGTGAGTTTTATAAAGTCGAACATTTGGATTGGCTGAAAATTTGAGCTCAGGGAGAAGAACTTGAGTAAATCCACCTCAGAAAGCCTGAAAGGCGGACAAGATTTGAACAAAACCGATGAATTTTTCAGCCACAATCAAGCAGACAGAAGATGCAACTAATAGAATTGATAAACTCGACGCCGCCATCGACACTTTGAACAACAAAACAAAACATCTTCGTAAATCCATGAATTCGGCATTGTTTTCAACAGAAGTGGATCTTATGAATGTTTGCGGAGCTGCCACAAAAGACGCGATTTATATGTTGAATGGAACTAGTTCAGTTGACCCAGTCGCATCGGCAAAAGCCTTCAGAAATGCTTTGAAAATCATGTTCAATAGTTATCAGAAGAAAAAAGATGTTATCGATAACGCAGATGTCAATGAATTATTGTTTGACGAAGAAGATGAAGATGATCCGGATGATGGTTGTGATCTTGTAGATGAATATTTCGAGTTTTTTGAGGACGAAGATATTCGTAAGATTTATCTAGAAAAACTTCAAGATAACTGCTCAAAATTATGAGCTCGCAGGATTTCCTAAGAAGATTTCAAATTCTTTGAACCGAAACTCTAAATTTTTCTCTAGCCCTAACAAATGATATAATCTCCGTAGCATAGCAATTAATTGTTCCAGAAGAATCCAAGCGTTTCGCTGCGAATCTCGGTTTCATGGACCAACAATCTGGAACTGTTTCAAAATGGAGTGCTGGAAAACGCACAGAATTATTCGGAGATCGAGCAAAAGAATTGACCGATGTTATTTTGCCGGCTGTTTGGGAAAGCACAAATTGTATCGAGTTCATGTAAGTCTAGAGAATAATTTTGGGAAAAATTCTCGTGGCAAAGTTGTAAAAAGCTTTACGGAAATTATTTTAGAATATTATAAATTTTTTTGAAAATGTAGAAAAAATTCGAATTTTCTTTTTGATGCAGGATCTCACTTGTAAATGTGGCCAAACTTGAAAAAGAGAAGAAACCTCGAACCCGACAACAAAAAGAGGAAAAACCTGAAAAGGTGAAATTGGTAAAGCTAACTGATCGAAAAGAAACAATTCAATCACAATCCGAAGAAGTTTCAATTATGAGAGAGTTAGATCATGTTCACAAATCCCTCAGAAATGCTCTTCGAAAACGCAAAGCCGACTCGATTCCGTATTATGAATTTATTATGAATCCAACGGATTTTGCGAGAACTGTAGGTTCATTTTTCTGGAATTGGAAGAAATGGAATTAAAAAATTAATAATTGGATTTTCTTTTGCAGGTCGAAAACATGTTTTATGTTTCATATTTGATTCGAGATAATAAGGCTTTTTTGGAAGATGATAATGGTGTTCCGTATTTGAGTGAGTTAGCTTAACTTTTTTGGCTCTATACACAATATTGTGAATTTCATCCAGAATGCGCCAAACTAATGCAACCTGAAGCCGTCAATCAAGCAAAAAACGTTGGACAATATCAAGGAATCGCTCAATTGAGTTTCAAACATTGGCTCGATCTTTGCAACGTTTTCAAAACTCCTTGCATTGAGCACAAAGACATTTGACTTTTTTCTTTTCCTTTTTTCCTTTTCTTTGTTGTTGTTAATTTTTGTAAATTAAATTTCAAATTAAATTCCAAAAATGTTCATAGACAAAAAAAGCAAAACTATCAAAATATTATTTCTAAAAAAGGTTTTCAAATACTAGAGAGACGCAGAGAAATGGTGAATAACCCGTAAATCAAAAAATTTCGAACATAAAAAATGTGGAAAAATAATTTCGGCAAGAAATTTTTGTGAATTTTGTTTGAACCCATAAATTGACGGGGAGAAGATTTAGAGGAAAAATCGATATACTACAGGCAAAATTGGTGAATTCATCGGGATTTTTGGGGGAGAAGAAAAAATGGCACGCGATTTAAAATTAAAAAAAAAGAATTGAGAATTTCGGGAAAAATGTGTACAATTTTAAAACTTATTCGATGCGATTTCGTCGATTTCGTTGTTGAACTACTGAATTGTAAATATGATTTAGTGGAAATGGAATATCGAATCGACGTGGAACTGGTCTTTGAATATCTGATTCGAGCCATTTGAAAGCGCCGAACCAAAATTCTTTGCGATGATGATTGTGGAGAGAAGACTGGAAAATAATGGAGGTTTTTGGAGGCAAGAGAAGATATATGATGTGGTAAATTCATTTTGAATGAAAAATCTGTGCAAAATTTTTGACAAAAAAAAACAGATTTTTCATTTAAAATTTGAATGTCCTTAATAATTAACGATTCGTAACAGATAAAAATGTAAAATATTTTTTTAAAGTTCTTGAAAATTGTTGAAATTTTACAAAAAAAAATCCTCACCCTCAGTGTGGGATGCGCAGCCATCGTATGATAAATCCAAAAAACTCTGGTGCATATAAAATACGACAAAATAACATCGATAGTGTAATGGCCATGTGAAATCACCAAGAAGACGACACCAACAGCGGCCAAAATCCACCAACTGATATGAAGGAACCACCAACGCCGTGGCGAGTCTGCAAAATGGAAACTTTTGATGATGAATTGCGATAGATTTGAATTTTTGGAATAAAAATTGCTCACGAAAATGTTTTTTCGGTCACAATTACAATAAATTCATCAAAATTTTAATTTTAAAAATTCGCCTTACTTTCGTGGTCCGAGAATATACCCAAAAAATTCTGATTCCCTCCCGAAAACCCTCCGCAAAAACTCACACTCTGACATAAAAAGCGCGCTAACCACCAACACAATCGTATGTCCACTATAAATATAGTCTCCACACAACGTGTTGTCTCCATTCACATTCAACCCGACACCAACAATCATTTTGACTCCTCTCCAAATAATTTGCCACGCAGTTCCATTTCCGCCAAGTCGTGGTGCACAATGCCAATTTGGATCGGCGACTGGAACTTGGGTGACAATCATTGTGATACTACGGAGAAAATAGAGAATTGCTCCGATTGTGCATAATCGCCGTAAAACAATCCATCGATGACTGGAAGAAATTTGAAATGGAGGATTGAAGAAAAAAAGTTTTTCTTTATTTTTTCTATTTTTTTTTCGAAATCAAAATCAATTGTCTCCTAACTTTCTGTTTGGATTTTTTTATTTTCCAAATTTTCAAAATAACCCACCGATGGAATGCAATCAACGCTAAAACACACGAAAACGACACAATCATCAGAGTTTCACAAATCGCCAATCCTTCTCGATAATATGGAAAATGATCGAAGACAATATCAGGAAGTGGTGGCTGATTTATGGGGTACTGTAAAAAAAAACAAAATGAGGCTTCGTATTACCACAAAGTTCAGTGAAATTTCACACACTGGAAAATTCCAAAATGTCTTACCTTTTCATGAACATACGACAAAACAATCGTGTTCAACGCAGCCGATACAAACAACGTGATAAATGCAATCAGCGCTTTCCATGGTCTTTTCGGAAATCGATCATGTGGACTTGCCGGTTTATCTCCTCCAGGAATATCGATTCGAACAGCTTGTGATGATGATGATGTGGGACCATTATCATCAGGAAGAAGTGGAGCGTCGTCAGCTGTTTCAGAATCTGAACTGCTGGCTGCTGAACCACAGATTCGACGAGATGTTCGGGCTGGAAATAAGAAAATTATTAGAATCTTGCACGATCTAGCGAATGTTTATCCAAAACAACGTTTTTTAATCTATTTTCTCCAAAAGTCTCATCCAGTTCTAGATTTTTGTAATTTTCAAATTCTAGATTCAAAATTTCCCTCCAAAATCCTCTTACCTATTGTTATAACATCATCATCATCCATCGTTTGTGCCTGATTCTGTTCTCCTTTTTCACCTCCACTTTTCTCGTTTTCGTTCTCGTTTTTCTTCGGATTTCCTTCCTCCTCACAATCAGTTTGCCTAACTTCTCCACTTTCTTCGTCTTCTTTTTTCACCTCTTCGCCACCCGAAAATTGGCGATTTTCGTCGTCTGGAAATCAAATGGTTCGCTTTTTGAAAGTATTTAAGTTAGTGGTAAAAACAAATAAACAAGGTTTGTTGACTTATTTGGAAAAAAGACGGGGAAGAAGAAAGGAAGGAAAGAGGTGATCAGAATCACATTTTTTCAATTCGAAATTTTTCAGAGCAAAAGAAATCTCACATTTTTCGCATCAAAAAGGGCTCATATTTTTTTTCGATAAACAATCATCTTTTATTAGATCAAAAATCACATTTTTCATGATAACAAAATACTGAAACACTTGGTAGAGTCTTCAAAAATTATTCAGACTTTAAAATAGGATCCTTTTTCGGACGCCTGGAATTTTGACATAAAAATTCTACATAAACTCGAAACTCCCTAAATTTTCGGTTCCGAAAACCAATTATTAGTTTATCACGGGTCAAAATAAACAATTTCGCTCTCAAAATGACTAACCAAAATATTCAAATCTATATTTTCTCTCTCAAAAATTATCATAATCCTTATGTTCAGTTCCAAAAAAGTTTTTGGTCAGAAAATTGAAGTCCTAATTTTTTGAGTCATTCTAAAAATAGTTCAAAAAACCCACCAACACTTCCATAATTGGTATAACAATTATTAGACATATTTATGAGGAATAAAAAAATAATGCAATAAACTAAAAAAGTTTAGCACACAAACAGAAGAAGAGAATGATAAAAAAAACGATAATCAATAAAAAACAGATAAGAGTGGAGAAAAAATCACAAGGTGCCCCAGACAAAAAACAAAATTTTCTCTGGAAGCATCTGATGATCAATTTAGAACTTTTTCTCAATTTCTCAGATTATAATACTATCAGCGATTAACTTTTTGGCTCATAGAAAAGAAACAAACTTTGCAAGGAAAAAAACTAGTCTCATGGGCAAATATTTGATTTTTTGGAGCATTCGAGTTTATTTCGGGGGGTTCGTTAGGTTAGAGGTGTTGGAATCAAGAGGTTGAAATTGTCTAGGAAATTTCGAGATTCAGAGAAAATTCTTCCAATAAAGGTGTGAACTTTTAAATTTTTTTTCAAAAATTAGGTCTCTAAATTCAGATTCAACCCAAATCTGAACTTCTATGAAAATAATTTCCAAAAAAGAACTGTATACCAAAAAACCGAAATTCTGATCGATACAGTTTTTGTTTTGCAGGCCAACCAAAAAAACCACATAAATTATGTCGGATTATTTTTTATACCGTTCAATTTACAACAAAAAATGCTGACGGAATAATTCTGAATATGAATTTATTTACAATTTGCGGAAATAGAGTAAAAATTTTCAGTTTTTTTCATTTCGGGATCAAAAAAGAATCTAAATTATATGATGAAATGGGCCATAATTCTGATGACAGTGTGAACTTCTGTCTTTTTATCAGCTCCGCTTGTGACAGCTCAAACTACAGTGACAATTAGCAAAAAAAATTGATTTCACTCTCTTTGATAAAAATTTGTTGATAGATTATTCTGGCAGAAATCATGGAACAAAAAGAAAAAAGCGGAACTAATAAGGGTTGATAATACATTCCAGTTGACCAAATATTCTTGAGCAAAATTATGCTATTTCAGATATACGTTTGAATCAATGAAAATCAGCATATTCTTCAAATCCAAAATCGCATTCCTAATTTTCTGAAAAACTCTTTCAAAAAATGAACACTCTAAAAAAAATGTCGCAAGGAGCCATTGATAATAATCATAACAATAAAAATTTTATATTTATCAATCATTCCTCTTTTTCTTTTTAATATTTGTTTGCTAAAAAGACAAAAGTTCACATCAAATGTACCGAAAACCTAGTCTACGTGGCAACCATTGGCATAATATTTATCCACAGTGACTCTCAAGAAACCGTTTCTAGCCAGAGTAACTCTCTAAGCGCGGGTCCTAGACAATAAGGGTATTTAGGCTCAGCTATTCGATTCAAAAATCTTTTGATCATTTTTTTTTTTGAAAATCACGTTTAATTTTTATGCCAAAAATCAAAGTTTCAAACTTCTAAATTCAAAAATAAGACAAGAAAAACTTACTTCTGAACATTTTGGAATGCGAAATTTCAATGAGAGAATTTCGTGTTAAAGTTAAAATTTTAGATCGAATAGTGAAGATATCGAATACGAGTCAATCTCTAGCAAATAAAAACAAATCTACCAAGACAACATTTTTTTTATACTTATCACAATATTTCACAATAATCTAAATTCTAATTTCAGTGATATTATTACAAAACATTAACACATTTTGTAGCAACTACAGAAAAATGTATAGATGAAGAAACATTTCGGAAATAAAAACACTTTTTCAAGCCAAATATCAATTTTGGGAGATTTCTTTTACTGAAAAACGTTCGAGATTCCTGGGTGATCAGAATTCAACAAAACTACTTTCTATCCAAAAATCTGCCAAAACTATACAAGTTTGTCAAAAACCAAAAATGATAAACACATAGAAACAGATATATTGAAAAGGAGAAAAACAGATAGACGATATACATATAATTGATCCATCTCAATCGAAATCATATAACAAAAACATATATGAAGAAGAAGAAGAAGGCGAATAAAAAAGAAAGAAAAAGAGAAAAATGATAGCGAAAGTTCAGATGGCAAAAAAAAAAGAGAATACAAAAAATTGGTTGTAAAAAATAATATAAAACAATAAGACTTATATTTCTTGACAAACTTTTTCTCTCAATTGATTTTTTGATTTTTCTTCTTCTTCTTCCTAATGGAAATCTGTGGAAGAACACATTTGTCCAGCCACTGACCAGCCACCAAAAAAACTAATGTAAATTACACAGCTACACATTCTGGTCATTTTTCTCTGCGTCTCTCACTGACAATAAGCAACACACACAAAAAAAAACAATATCTGGCGGCTGGCCAAATATTCTCATATTTTTACACGACCTCAGATTTTTGGTGGTAATAAAAAATGAAAATAATAACAAAAAAATGATATCATAAGAATGAAGACGAACAATGTACAAAGACCGAAAATGTTCGGAGAGAATTTAACAAAAATCCGTTCAGAGTGACTGAATCGACGGAATTTTTCTTTTTTTTTTTGAGAAAAATTTTTTTCAGTTCAAGCGCTGATCGACAGACAATATAAAGTCCACAGACAATATAAAGTTAGCTCATCTCTAAACATGAGTTATGATGTGGAAAAGTTTTCGAATTTTCAATTTTGCCACGTTTCAGAATTATGGCGTCAAAAATATTAGTATTTAGAATCGAAAAACTAATATACTTCAGAAAAAAAGCACAAAAACCTATTAAATTAAATGACGTGGCAATTTCGAAACATCTAAATTTAATTTCAGAAGTATTTGAAAAAAACAAAAAGTCAACCTAACGTATGAAGAATCGTATGAAGAAAAAAAATCGTGAAGTCAAATTTTGTTCTGAATATGTCATAAACTTAGAAAAACTCAAACTTCCAACCTCTAGGTCGGAAATTCTCGTGAAAATACATAAATTTTTCACCTCCTTTCAAAAAAGGTCAATTTTTTTCCTTTTCCGAATTTTCAAAAAACTCATCGGTGTGGAAAAGCACAAAAACCATTCGTTTTTTCCAAAAAATGCAATAATCAGATAATTACTAAAAAATGTTGAACTCTGATAAAAAAATCACATTTTCCATGTTTTGACAAATAAATTCGTCATTCATAAATAAGTACCAAAAAAAATATAGAAACAAAAGTGAAACAATATTATGGTGAGAAAAAGGAGGGAAACCAGTTCTTTTTTTGCGATTCGATGATGATTTTCTTTTTTCATTTTTTTCTGACAGTCAGACATACAGTCAAAAAAACAACACATTTTTGTCGAGATTGAGAGAAAGAGGAAAAAAGTACTAGAAATTGAAAATGAAAAAAAACATGGGGAGATGAATGCGATAATGAAAGATGAAAGGGAAAAAATATGAGGAAAGAAAAACGAACGAATTGATTGACAAATGAATTATCTATGTCGAGAGTTTATTACGAATAACGAAAAAAAAAAGTTTGGGATAAAAAACTAGAAACTGTGATTTTAAGGAGTTTCGAATGGTTGTTTTCAGTAATTTTTAAGCTGAAGGAAATTCGGGAAAAACTCAATTTTTCGAGATTATAGAAGATTGAGGATTTACAAATGAGTTTTTCCCAAAATTTTTCCCAAAATATTAAAAGCCGGATTTGTATAAGAAATTCGAGTATTTTTCAAATGTTTTTGTTCAAAAAAGATGAATTTCTAGAAAATCCTTTGCAATGAATTTTTATTCGAAAATTTTATTGGATAATTTTCCTGTGAATTTTTTTTTCACGTGACATTTTGAAAAACATTTTTGAAAATTTTTCATGATTTAAAATTTCAAATTTTGAAGAAATGAGAAAATCCTGAACCAGATGAAAGAGAAATACGCAAATTCCAAAAAATTCACAGAAATTATCGTAATGCCTGGCCCAAGAAAAACAAAAAAAAAACACATTGTTTCAACAAAAACATGACTCAACATATGACAAATCACAAAAAACACCTAACAAGCTTCTTCTTCTTCTCATTCTCAATTTCTTGTTCTAATTTGATCCACTCAACGAAAAAAACTTAGAATAATAATTATAATTCCCTGATTTTTTGACCAGAAAAAAGTTACTAAAAATATGATTTTTTAACAAAAAAATCTTCAAAATCAATAAAAGCTTAACTATGAGAACATCGTAAAACAGGAAAACTTTCTGAATTTCTAATGAACCAAACAAACTGGCAAAAAATAATTTATTCTTTTTCTTTTCATAAAATAATGAAATAAAATCACTTTGGAGAAGAAAAACCAGAAAATTTGTGATTTCCGGTGGCCGGAAAACGAGTACTTTTTCGAGAAAAATAAATGTATTTTTTGTGCCTCAAAATATGTATTTTTAGTACAATTTCATAGAAAAATACGGTTTTTTATTTTTTTTTTCTTGGAAAAAACTAACAACAACAAAAAGTTTTGAAAGAAAAGGACATTACGATTTTCAAGGTCGAAATCAGCCCCAAAATGGGTATCAAACTAACTAGTCAACAAAAAAAACATTTTTAGATGGTCAGGTGATTTAGAAAAGGAACGAATACCATAACTTTACAAAATCGGTTTTGGTATTTTTTTAGGGAAAAAAAAATTATTTTTGGAGAAAAATCTGAATTTCAGGAAGATAATCCAGCTTTGCCTCAACTCAACAAATCCATGTTTATTTCAATTTTTGTGATGAATAGCAGCTTATTAGTGAGTGTAAATAGAAATACAAATCGAGGTCTAATCCCGAGGAAAATATTATCATTTTTTATTTTCAAGAAAAGTCTGGAACTTTTCGAGCAAAATGTAGCTCTCGAGGTCGAAAAATAAATACAAAAAAAATCTAAAATTTTTCATTCTCAATTTTTCGATGCTGCTAAAAATTGCTCATTTGCAATAAGGAACGAGGATGTGACATCATAAATCAAATCAAATCGGAAATTCAAATCATAGTCCAATTTTTGATGGTTTTCCTTTTAATATCAATTTTCCAAGAAAAATTTTAAACGTTTCAAAAAATGTTAATACCAGAACTTCCCGGTTAGAAGAAAAACCATTGCTCTCAAAGCCCGAATGAGTACAGAGTTCAAAGTCTAAGAATCCCAGAACATTTCTAAAACTTTGAAAATTTGGGGTAACTTATTGGACCAGAACGGCCCGGTGAGTCAATTCGCATGTTTTTAGAATTCGTCATTTTCAGTTGTTCAGTTTGGAAAATTTACCAAGAATTAGCGAAAATCTCAATTTCTCAATAAAGACCAAGGAAATACCTATGTTTTTAAAAATTAAATCCAATCGGAAATCCATGCTTGATTTCGTCTAGAGCAAAGAATTTCCAATCCAAAATAACAAAATTTTGATCGGAAAAATATATGAAAATAAAATAAATAAATAAAAATATGTTGGTTGCATCCCCCTTTTGCTCATGAAATTTATATGAACATCTGTTTCAAATATTCCCCCAATATCTCCCTACAAAAATAAACGAATTGAAAATGTATAAGAAAAAACTGGTGCCAAAAAAACACCCACCAAAAGACTGTTGAAAAATTCATGTCACCTAACAAAAAAAAACAATATTTTTATATTCTATATATTTTTCAAGGGGAGAATCGATGGAGAAAAAGAGAGTGAGCTAGACGAGGCACACAAAAAAGCGGAGCTGGAGGAGCCAAGAGGGTCCGTAGGGAGAACGAAAGAAATGAGAGAAGATGAGAAAAAGGGGAGAACGAGGAGAAAATTCGGGAAAAAAGGTGACATTTTTTGTAAGTACACTTTAATGTTGTTTTAGTCTGGGAAGATATCAACAGAAAACATTTGGGAGGAAAAATATTGTATTGTTTTCAGAAAAAATTCTATTGAAAACAAAAAATATCTCTTTGAACTCAAAGAAACAGCTGCTTTTCAGGAATTTTTTGAACTAAAAAGTATTTCAAATATTAAAAACAGTTCGAAAAGTTATGACGTGAAAAATAAATTGTTTATTGAAAACTATGGACCTTCTAGGCTTTTAAATTTACAATTCTTCGAGATTCTCAAACTTAGCCACGCCATAAACCATTTTAAGAGTTGAGTTTACTGAATATTCACAAAAGAACAATTTTCACCCGGTTAACAAAGTTCTTTCAATAAAATCCCCCACAATTTTCGTATCCCCAAAAACCACCCAAAAATGCTCACCAATTTCAGTTAATTCCACATCATTAGTCATCAAATTGTCGCTAATATTATTATTGTTATTAGTTTTTCGACACCCATTCGATGTCTCTGAAAAATCGATCATATCAAATAACATAAACAAAAAATTCCGCGTTTCGCTCGTTCTCACCTTCGTTTTCGTCGATCACAATCACCTTCATTGTTTGGAGACAACGAGTCTGGAAAAAAATCATCGAACATTCTTTTCTTGGAAAAGAATAGAATAAAGAAATGGGAGAAACTTCGAAGTTTTCATGTAACAAATTGCAACATTTTTTTCACGAAAAAAAGAATGTGAAAATGGAAGGGCGCTCTATCGCACACGCGCCAACGTGAAAATTCAAATTTATTTACTCAGGCAGTAGAAAACTCCGGAGTTTCGCCGAAATGGAACGAGAATGTCGCTAAAAAGGCTCCAAACCCGGTTCCGGATCTTTTCTCGGTACGCTTTGGCGAATCTCCAGAACATTTTTGTCGATTCTCCAGAGTTTTTTTGTTTTTCTCGCCTGCTTTTTTCGAATACATTCTAGTCTTTCACTCTCAAAAATCAATATTTATTTTCAACAAACAGGAAAAATTAGTTATTTTCTGATTGTTTCAATCTCCAAACGAGTAGAATATAAGCATCAGAAGATTCCTTTGGCATTCTAATGAAGATTTGGTGTTGACTTCGGCAATTTTTTGACAAGAACTTCTGTTTCTCATCATTTTGAGCCAACGAGGAGAGCTGCAGCATTGTGTGGAGACGCCATAAGCCATTTCACGCTGAAAATTGAGAAAGGATAATAGATTTATAAGGATGATTCTCCAATCTACTATATACTAATTGAAAACTGCTTTTTAAGAGGTGCGTATGTCCGATGGACCAACTTTTTTTCTACTTCATGAAAAGTTTCGGTTAAAAAAAGAAAAGTTTCCAAATAGTTGCAGCATGATGCAGAACATTATGAAATTTCAAAGTTTTATGTTGTAGTGCGCGGGGAAACTTTTAACTGAAAAAACTCCTGAAATTCAATGTATTTTTGAAAATAAAAATGTGTCGCCGACCGTAACTCAATTTCTAGAAGACCGTTTTGAATGAGACTTGGACCAACGTGTTCCAAATTTTTCGTAGATGATGCACGATATTCGAAATATTTCAAAAGTGCGCAAGTTTTCACGTGAAAAATAAAAACTTTTTTCGTGTAGAAAAGAATGAACACGTTTTTAATCGGAAAAAATGGCTAGGTCACGTTTCTTATCTGATCTTTCTATTTCATTCATAGAGGGGGGACATTTTTAATCATTTCTCGCTCTTACTCTTTTCCTAATCGGTTTGGAAAATGAATGGAAATTAAGTGAGTCAAATTACTGTAGATAAATTTATATACTGTTCGAACTTTCAGATATTGGATAATTTCTTTTACAAGAAGAAAAACAGATACTTTAATGTGAATGTTTGATAGTGAGTTTTGATGTGTTTGGGAATCCCAATATAGTTAAGCCCAAATTATTTCAGTTCCGTTTTTTTCTATGATTATTTTCAATTTTCTGTGGAAATCGAATTCATTCAAAATTTCTTTTTTTATCAAAAATTGACTCGTGGCAAAAAAATCGGCCCGAGTTTTTTCAAAAAAAAAATCGGTTTTCGTTTGATTAAAAAAAAATCGGGCCGAGTTTTTTCGTTGGTTAAAAAAATAATCGGCCCGAGTTTTTTCAAAAAAACATGTTTCGTCCTAAAATATGACAGAGTTGTAATTTTTGAAAAGTTGGAAAAGATTCTTTCCACAAAAACCGAAATTTTGATTTTCGTTGAATTCTTTCTTCGAAAAAATAATCGGCCCGAGTTTTTTCAAAAAAACATGTTTCGTCCTAAAATATGACAGAGTTGTAATTTTTGAAAAGTTGGAAAAGATTCTTTCCACAAAAACCGAAATTTTGATTTTCGTTGAATTCTTTCTCCGAAAAAATAATCGGCCCGAGTTTTTTCAAAAAAACATGTTTCGTCCTAAAATATGACAGAGTTGTAATTTTTGAAAAGTTGGAAAAGATTCTTTCCACAAAAACCGAAATTTTGATTTTCGTTGAATTCTTTCTCCGAAAAAAAAATCGGCCGAGTTTTTTCAAAAAAACATGTTTCGTCCTAAAATACGACAGAGTTGTAATTTTTGAAAAGTTGGAAAAGATTCTTTCCACAAAAACCGAAATTTTGATTTTCGTTGAATTCTTTCTCCGAAAAAAAAATCGGCCCGAGTTTTTTCAAAAAAAAAAGCGGGCAAAAAAAATCAATTGATTATTATCGCAAATCTCATCGTATCCACGCGCTCCACCGAAATAAACACGAAACGCAGACCGCGCCGCGCCACAACACACACACAAAAAAGGGAGGAAATTTGAATCGTTACCTTATTTGTGTGTGTTATAGCGCGGCGCGGTCTGCGTTGCATAGAACTCGGCCCGATTTTTTTTTGAAAAAAAAAAAGTTCGATGAAAAAAATCGGGCCGAGTTTTTGTGTTGGATGAAAAAAACATCGGGCCGAGTTTAAAAAAAAAATCGGCCCGAGTTTTTTCAAAAAAATAGGTTTTCGTTCGATCAAAAAAAATCGGCCCGAGTTTTTTCAAAAACAAAAATCGGCCCGAGTTTTTTCGTTGGATGAAAAAAAAATCGGCCCGAGTTTTTTCAAAAAATCGGTTTTCGTTCGATCAAAAAAAATCGGCCCGAGTTTTTTCGTTGGATGAAAAAAAAATCGGCCCGAGTTTTTTCGTTGAAATAAACACGCAACGCAGACCGCGCCGCGCTATAACACACACAAATAAGGTAACGATTCAAATTTCCTCCATTTTTTGTGTGTGTGTTGTGGCGCGGCGCGGTCTGCGTTTCGTGTTTATTTCGGTGGAGCGCGTGGTTACGATGAGATTTTCGATAATAATCAATTGATTTTTTTGCCCGCTTTTTTTTTTTGAAAAAACTCGGGCCGATTTTTTTTTCGGAGAAAGAATTCAACGAAAATCAAAATTTCGGTTTTTGTGGAAAGAATCTTTTCCAACTTTTCAAAAATTACAACTCTGTCGTATTTTAGGACGAAACATGTTTTTTTGAAAAAACTCGGCCGATTTTTTTTTCGGAGAAAGAATTCAACGAAAATCAAAATTTCGGTTTTTGTGGAAAGAATCTTTTCCAACTTTTCAAAAATTACAACTCTGTCGTATTTTAGGACGAAACATGTTTTTTTGAAAAAACTCGGCCGATTTTTTTTTTCGGAGAAAGAATTCAACGAAAATCAAAATTTCGGTTTTTGTGGAAAGAATCTTTTCCAACTTTTCAAAAATTACAACTCTGTCATATTTTAGGACGAAACATGTTTTTTTGAAAAAACTCGGGCCGATTATTTTTTCGGAGAAAGAATTCAACGAAAATCAAAATTTCGGTTTTTGTGGAAAGAATCTTTTCCAACTTTTCAAAAATTACAACTCTGTCATATTTTAGGACGAAACATGTTTTTTTGAAAAAACTCGGCCGATTTTTTTTTCGGAGAAAGAATTCAACGAAAATCAAAATTTCGGTTTTTGTGGAAAGAATCTTTTCCAACTTTTCAAAAATTACAACTCTGTCGTATTTTAAGACGAAACATGTTTCTGTTTACACCTAAAGAAAACTACGCGCGAAGCCGGGACAATCCAGAAGGAGGAGCCGGCGTTAGCCGGCGGAGCCCTTCTGGTAGTATTATTAATTGTCATTTCTCACTTTGAAATTGCGAACGACCTTTTTGAGATAGGATGTGATAATGGTCATAAACTTGAAATTTGGAAACTTTCAAAGCTCAAAAACTCGAAAAACAAACGTTCATCGATTTTCTTTCTCATGACTCACCTCATAAATAGAATACATCTTGTGATTCACGATTTTGGAAATATTGCAAGGCGATCCTCCAGAAATGAAAGTTGAGCGAGCCTCTGCTTTCGAATTTTCCTAGCACGAGGGATTCCAATTGAATCTATAAATAAAACTAGTATTCACTTCTGTTGAAGAAACTTCACTCACCAGGAGCAAAAATCGCTAATTGTATTCCAAGTCCAGGTTGACTTTTATCCATGACGATTTCGTAGGATGCACATTGCTTCTAGACGATTTCAATTGTCTGAAAATTATCAAATTAGGCAAAGACACTCTGAAAACTGAGCATTTTTGAAGGAATAGCAAAAATTAGAAAAACGAAAAAAAAAAATGAAATGAAAAAATGACTCGTCATTGTCATCATTCGATGGAGCGCGTTCGATCGACAGCGATTTGCTCCGGAGAATCGCCAAAACCAAACTAGAAAGGCGTGCCAAACTAGAAAAAACAGGCGCTCTCTCGATTTTCTGTACCCACTTTGGCCTATCTCCGGAGTTTTTGCGTTTTCTGGTTCCCCTCCGGAGTTTTCTACTGCCTGAGTATTTTCTTTTTTTTTTTGAAAAAAAAGTTTTTCAGCATTTTACTCAAAGGAAAAGAAGAAAAAACAAAAGTAAAGTAGAAAATGATAAAAGTACTAATGAATCAGCTGGAACAGTTGTGTTTTTTCTTGTTTTCGCCTGTCATCATCAAAATAACAAAGAATTATGAAATTCTTGTGAGTAAGTCAATCGGAACACGAACAATTACAAACCTAATCCGATCCGTTTTGGAAAACTATAAATATCTAAGAATCAGTCAAAAAGTTGTTTATTTTTTAGAAACTTCTAGAAAAACAAAAATATGTTTATTTCTCACCATTATCATAATATCGACTAAAGTGTCAAATTTCTAAACATTTTTGTACTTATGGTAAATACAAATTTCAATCAAATGACGCCGGAAATTCTTGTCATAAGACGAAAAACAAAATTCGTAATTCAACAAAAAATGTTTCGAAATTTGAATTTTCCCCCAAATATAAAATATGTTGAAACTGTTTTCCTGTACCTGAATTTACATGTTTTTCCCACCCATCAATCATTATTTATGATAACATAACACAACCTAAAAATAATCGATCAAAAATACCTTTTTGTCCTTAATGTTTACTTGTTTGTACCTGAAGTGCACTGGGACCAAGTCATTTCATCTACTCATCATCATAAAAAGCGATATTCTAATAACGCTCAAAATCTGTGACGTGGTCGAGTGGTTTACACGGTCGTTTTTTGCCAGAAAAACCCTGGTTCAGTTCTCCATGCCTGCCTATTTCTTTTTTTCCGAAATTTCAATATTCCCTTGAGTTTTTGCCCAGCCCTACAATTGATTTTCCTGTGTTGTACCGTAATCATTCATTTCATGTGATATCATATTTGATTTTTGCTCTTACTTCGTAACATTATCTATCATCTCCCTAAATAAGTATGTGTATTTCTGCAGAAAAAAAGGAAGAATTGAATTCTGATACAGTTTGACACCTTTTTGATTTTTGATCTTTGAGGTTGAATCTGGTTGATCCGGGTTTGGTTGTTTAGTGTAAGATCTTTTGGTTTGAACAGACACATAGGGTGTTATAAATATATCGAGATGGGATACTGTAGTGTACCAAATTCATGTTATCTTTGCTATCTTTTATTTTATAATGATATCATTTTATAATTCTGTAAACTAGTGTTTTTCTGCTTATTTGTTAGCTCAAACTTGAACATGAGTCGTGAAATGGCAACGTTTAAAAATCTTTACTTAGCGATTTAATTTGGCCAAGTTTCTTAATGTCTAATTTTTTCAAAATCTTTAACTTTTCCACGTCATATCTCATTTTCAAAATTCAAGCATTGAAAGTTATTAAATGTTATTAAATTCATTCAAAAATCATGGTTACACTTCAAGCTGGTGAAATAATTTCTGAAATACTGAGGATTTTTTTTGCAAAATTTCGAATTTTTTTGAGAACAAAAACCTAGCTTTGATGAATACTAATTATTTTCGGGTTTTGCTCAAGCTTATTTAATAGTTTCATGAATTGAACTCAGTTTTTGCGGTGTCTGAATTTCAATATAAAATATAGTGAAAAATTTGGAAAACTATTGATCCAAAAAAGTGATTTAAAATTATTTTTTTATTGCATTGTCCATTTGCAAAGACTGTTAACGAAAATGAAAATTCAATTCCTGCCTACCGTATGAAATAAAACATGAAAAAAATTTTTCAACATGCCATTTCAATGAAAAATAAAAAAATGAATTTAAATATAATAAATTTATTTTTTACGTGACCTTATAATGATGACGTCTCCTAAACAAGATGTGCATTTTCGACCACGGCCAAGCTGGCCATTTTTAGCAAACTCACAATAGACAATTAGAACCTTGTCTTTTTAGAAAGTCAAGTCGGAACCAAACTTCACAGTAATCATGCACAAAATTAAGAGCTAAACAAAAAAGTTCGATATTTTTCAACACCCGGAAAAACATAATATTTTTAAAATATTGGTTTCCAGTATATAATTTTTCAAGGATTTTAGAACTTGACGATCATAAATCTACTGTCGACTTTATTTTATTCATCAATTATTTTAAATTTAGAAACTAACCAATTCAGAATTCAAATATGAAGAAGATTAGTAATTACAGTTTAGTCTAATACAACCAAAAGTCAACAACATAAACTTTCAAAGAATCTGAATCTTTTTGAAACCAACCTCAAATTACATTCCAACGGTGTAAAATATTTAGCTGTCATTTTCTCCATGTTTTGAAATTCAAAAATGAATATTTCTGACACATTAACAAATTTCACGTTAAAAAATTTATTTTGACGTTTTTCGAAAAAAAAAATATTCAAGAAACCACAAAAGCCCAGAAAAATAAACAATAGAAACGTTTTCATTTCCTGTTTTCGTTCATCTGCTCTAACTTTCCTTAATTACAAAATCATGTGAGCCCACGAATTTAATTAAAATTAAAATCCCATTATTCCAAAGTTTTTGATCTACAAAATTTGAAAATTACAGTACTCTCTTTCTCCTCTCAAAAAAGGGGGTTGGAATTGTTTCATTGGTTCATTTCCGTGTCAACTTATGACGACGATCTTGGGAAAAAAATGAAGGAAAATTTCTATCTTTTTTTGTCAATTCATAACTATTATTTGTTTGAACTTGATATGGTTCGATAGTGAGAAGATCTTTTGCCTTCTCTTTTTTTCTTATATATTTTCACACACCTAAAGTTTTGAAAATTCTTCCAAAATTTGTCACTTTTCGAACATACATTTCCTGTATTTGTTTTTATCAGTCAGTCGCCCTACCAAAAAAAAACCATATATTTATTTTTTCTTCCATTCCAAAACATCAAAGAATGTCTATATTTTTTTGGGAGGAGGGCTGTCAGCGTCGCCCAGATTATCATTTTGTGAATGCCCGCAGTGGAACGTCTTTCGCCGGCGAATTTTGTGTCGCGATTTGAGAAGAATGATGTGATTTTGGTGAGGTTTGGCGGGGGGGGGGGGTAATTCAAAATTAATAAACAGAATGTTTAGAAGCTGAAAACAAACATTTTTGAAATTTTTAACAATTTTATGACGCAAACGCTTCTGAAACTAATCTCAACCCTCCAGACACTTTCCAAGTTATTATAAAAATAATTTTTTCTCAAATTTTAGGAAGAGCCGACTGTGGAAGAAAACCAAAGTTGCCCAAAATCTCCCACACAACCAAGAGCTACCTCATCATTCTCCCAACAAATTCAACTTCTCCGAGCACAATCAGAAGGTTAGTTCCAACTTCTTATCTTTTTATTTCTAAATTCTTTGATTTTTATCAGGAATCAACGAGGAATGCGAAGATTCGGAGGTTTCGTCAACATCTTCAACAGAGCTCAAATCGGCCGAAAAAGTTCCATCAATTCGAAAATCTAAAGAAGCCGAAGATATTGAAGAAGGCGAATTCATAACCGGGTACATTCTTTTTTTATTTTTTGTTATCATTTTTTTCTTATATTCGATCGAATCTCTAGTCGCGAATACGAAGAAAGTGATATGATTTATTATCAGTTTTTGCAATGGGCGAGAATTGTGTCAATACACACATTTAGTTTTTTCTAGACCGCTTCATCGAACTTCAAGCATGTCAGAACATCAAAAACCATTGAAATCTATCCTGAGACAATCACCATTTATATCTAAAGAAAACATAACATCATCTCAAGATATTTTGTCGAATCAAAATCAGAATAGTGTAAATTCCACGTCGAATTCGATGAAACATTTGAAATCAAGATTTTCGACAAATGTGGTGAGAAAGAAAGGGAAAATAAGACAAATAAATATTAGTTTCAGCAGCATTCAGAAGATCGAACCGAACAGGGAAACATTGATGCAATCGATAAATATTATGAGAAAAATAATTACACTGTAACAGGTGAGAAACATGTGGATAAGATAAGAAGTTAGAAACACACAAAAAATAAAGTTTGTGTTTTGCAAGGAATTTGAATATAAGGAAAAAAAGAAAATTCAGCAATAAAATTAATTGCTTTCAAAAACATCAGTTTCTGAAATTGTATTCTAGAAACACGTGAATTATGTAACCACTCAATTCAATTTTGAAATACTTCGTATTTTCCTGTTCGCCTTATATTCAACACTAAATTTTCCAGGAATCTATTCAAAAAACGGCAAACTAAATAACTATTTCAATTCAAATAATGAAGATGATGATCAAGAACAAGATCCAAATAAAACCCATGATAATTTGCCAAAAAGATCACTTTCAATGGCTCAAAGTGTTCGAAGTATGCCAATAATCCCAATCAATAATCGATTTCATCAATCATTTTATTGGTTTGCTCATAATCATAAGAAAATTGGTTTTCGACATTTATGCATGCTTTTTCTTGTATTAATTTATACACTTTTTGGAGCTGCACTTTTTTATACAATTGAATCGAAATATGAGCATGAGGTTATTTCAAATTAATTTTTAAATTCAATTTTTTTCTCTATTCAGACCCTCAAAATCCACAGCAAAAAACTTGACAACATAATTTTTCAAATTGCACAAACCCTGGAGCTTGAAATTTTGGACCCGGAAAAATTGACAAATATTACGCAGATGGAAACTTTTATAAAGGTATTTTGGAATATTTTTTTTTGAAGAAAATGTTTAGAACACTATGCATAGCTATGTTTTTTAGAGAGCTTATATTCAATTGCTGAACGCGGAAGAATTGTATAGTGGAAGTACATTTTTCAAGCAGGCAGATTTGGAAAATAATTTGAAATGGACCTATGGAAGTGCATTTTTCTTTTCGATGAATGTGTATACGACTACGGGATACGGTAAGATTTTTTGAACATTCAAGAGTACTGTATGGAATTTTTGAAGAGAATTGTTATGAAGCTACAGTAACTCGGAATTCAAGCACTTTTTTAAAGTAAAAGTTGTACTGTTTGTGATACTGTAATTTCTAGAAATTTTGGATGATTGTAGCTTATCCTCAAACTTATCTCAATTTCAGGTTCTATCGCCCCATCTTCAACTCTTGGAAAATTCTTTGTAATTCTCTACGGTCTAATTTTCGTGCCACTAACCGCTGTCGTAATTCGTGATCTCGGTCAATGGGCTTTATTATATCTCACCAAAATGTACACAATTATCACTGACAATTTTCGAAGAGTTCGTGGTTATGTTGACACACCGGATGACGATGAAATCATGTCACTTCCAATTAAATTTAGTGTATCAGTTATGATAAGTAGGTTTTTCGAAGATTCAGACACCATGAAAACTGAACTATCAAATACATGTTTTCAGTTTATTTGATAAGTTCAACGGTTTTTATCTTCGAATATGATGCTTTATCGGGTCCAGCTGGAACTGGTATCACATTTTTCCATGCTTTCTATTTTTCATTTGTCTCAATTTCAACGATTGGTTTGGGAGATATTATGCCAAATAATGTCACGGTAAGTTAGAAAGATAATGTACATTTTCAATTGAAAAAATATATCATCTATGTTTCTAGTTCTCGCCTCTCATCACAATGATGTTCTTCTTCGGTATGCCAATTCTTAAAGTCGTCAATCGTGTAACTTACATCTGTCTCGAAAATGGTGTGTTCGGTTCAATGACAGTTTTAGAAAACCGTTTGGATCAAGCATGGAGCAAAGCTACAGTAATTCCAAAAGATTTCGAAACTCAAAACGAAACAACACCCAACAAAAATCTATCAACTCATAAACCATCAATAGCTTCTGAAGGCTTGATTCCAACTGAAAATGATGGAAGTGTGCCAAATGAATATTTGAATAATTTCACAATTCGATCAATTGCCACGTTTATGCGAGCAAATGGTGATGTTTATGGTGGAGGATTTGGAAGAGTAAATATGAGAAGAGGAGATTTGAGGAATTTGACAAATTTGGATAATCAAGCTACAATTCGATCAATGAAACAATATAATTCTAATACCTGATCAGATTTTTTTCTGTTTTTTTGATTGAATTTTTGTATATAAACGGGTAATATTTCACAATGAGATCTTCAATATTTCTCTAATCTGTACTTCCTCTAACAATAGTAATCATGAATAAAAAACTTTAGCCAATATTTTTCATTGAAGCTCTAATCTCACCTGTTAGTTTTGTTCCCCCCCCAAACCTCAAAATAAACTAACTTGACTGGCCCGTTCCGTGAAAAGTTGTTGATCTCTTTGAATGTCCTATCCAAACAAAACATCTTCTTGTTTGGAAGCCTGAAACTTCGACATTATTTTTCTCAAAATTTTCGCCTATTCTTAAACTTACATCAGAAAATGACAATTGTGGATTTTATGGGACCGCTGCATTCTGTGACTGTTGTCTCTGAAAAAGTAAGAAAATTAAAATTAATAACTTTTTCTGCGCTGAAAAAAACCACTCAAAAACCAGAAAAAAACAAAAAATAAAAATGTCGGGCAAAAAAAAATAAAAGAGAAGCAACGATACTCCGCATGCACGTTGTTTAGTTTATTTTGTTGTCTTTTTGCAGGGTAGATGAGAGAGTGTGGGAAAAAGAGAGAGGGTTAGAGAGAGAGAGATATGTTTTTTATTTGAAAAGCAATTATTGATTGAACGTTTTTTTTTTGCGAACTGAATCATTTTTCTGTGTTTTTCAGAGCAAAAACTGTTATTAATGGGGTGATTTGGTACATTTTTTAATTTTTTAATTTTTTTAGAGACAACAGTCACAGAATGCAGCGGTCCCATAAAATCCACAATTGTCATTTTCTGATGTAAGTTTAAGAATAGGCGAAAATTTTGAGAAAAATAATGTAGAAGTTTCAGGCTACCGAACAAGAAGATGTTTCGTTTCGACAGGACATTCGAAGAGATCAACAACTTTTCACGGAACGGGCCAGTCAAGTTAGTTTATTTTGAGGTTTGGGCGGGGGGGGGGAGAGGAACTAAACTAACAGGTGAGATTAGAGCTTCATTGAAAAATATTGGGTAAATTTTTTTATTTATAATTAGGATCAGCTTCGAGATTTTATTGAAAAACAAACTATGAAATGTTTCATAGGTAGATTAATTTTTTCATAGTGTTATGCACGCGATTTCCAGTTTGTTTTGTATTTATATATTTTTTCTTTTATAATCTATGTCTCATTAAACTTCACAATTTTTATTCCCATGGGAGGTTGTCTAGATTAGACTTTTCAAAATTATTTTCTCTATCGATTTCCTATTATAAAAGAAATATTCGATGCAGAGTTCTCATAACATGCTGATATAAAACAGCAAGTTTTGAATTTGAGGAAAAATTCGAACGAGGTCATGAATCCGGGTGTCCGACATCTCGTCAGTTATGCGCTGCGCCATATCTCTCATTACCCTGACTCCGCCCACTCTTCTCTGAACAAAGGCAGTGCAGCAAGAGTTCCGCAAGCCTGCTGAATGTGTGGCAAGAAATCAGCAGCAGTTCAGCAGCCTTGCGGCTCTCGCAAATTGCGAAACTTCTGCGTCGTTTTCTCTGAGCAGGCGTAACTTTTTTAAAAAGAAATCTTTTTTCTCACGTCAGCTTAGCTGCGAAAAATAGGTTTTCTTCAAAATTTAGAATTTTTGAGAATTTTCTGACTGTTTCGCCTAGGGGCACCGCCCCTAGTCCACAAAAGAAAATGAAACACTTCATGATTACTGTCCAAAAAACCTATTCAAAACCGAAAATCTTGAACCGGTGTACTGTAGAACCCTAATGTTGTGCAACCTTTCGTCAACATTATTTCAACAAAAAAAAACGATCAATCAAATTATTTCATGTTTTAATTTGTGATAACAGCCAAACAAAAAACTATCTATAAAAATGGATAGCATTGTTCTATTTGTCAACTATATTTTTTAAACGATGCGAGTTATTATATTGTTCTTATTTCCTTTCTTATTAAATTCTACATTTGCCTATAATATTCTTATATATTCTCCTGCTTTTGCAACAAGTCATATGAATTTTATGGCACATTTAGCAGATACTCTGACAGAAGCTGGACATAATGTCACATTTTTGGTCCCAATGTCTGATGAAAAACTTCGAGATCGCATTAAAGTTCAAACAAAAAATATAATAATTGTGGATCAAGATGAGATTCAAAAATCGAACAAATGTTCAGGAATGAATAAAATGATGCAATCACTCTGGACTCATATTGATAGTCCTGAAACAAATCGAGCACGATTCAAATTATTTGGGAATCAGACAGTTGAGACATGTGCTAATTTATTGAGAAATTCAGAGATTTTCGAGAGGTTAAGAAAAGTTGGATTTGATGCTGCAATAACTGAATCATTATCAATATGTGGATTGGCATATTTTAAAAAGTTAGGAATTGATAGAACTATCATTGCAACATCTTGTACGATGTTTGATAATATTATGCAATTAATTGGTGAACCAGATCATCCATCTTATGTTCCAGGTATTTTGTTCGGAGAGAGGCTTATCATTATCAGATAATTTTCAGCATTGCAATCGTTGTATACTGAAAAAATGAATTTATACCAGAGATACCAGAATTCTAAATACAGTATTTCTCTTCAAAAAACCATGCGTGAAATTTTCGATCTGGAAATTCAACTATTTTCAAAATGGGATATTTCAAATTGGCATGATTTTTATTCTGAAACATCTCTGGTTTTTGTAAATTCAAATCCATACATCGATTTTCCTCGTCCAATAATTCAGAAAACAATTGCAATTGGAGGAATTAGTGTAAATGTTGATAAAATTAAATCACAAAAATTATCAGAAGAATGGAATAATATTTTGGATAAAAGATCTCAAAATATGTTGATTTCATTTGGAAGTATTGCAAAATCAATGGATATGCCAATTGAATGGAGAACTAATATTTTGAAAGTTATTGAAACATTTCCAAATGTAACTTTTATTTGGAAATATGAATCTGATGAATTGAAATGGGCTAATGATATTGAAAATGTTGTATTTTCGAAATGGACACCACAAACTACATTGTTAGGTTGGTTGAGAAAAAACTTCGCAGTTCAAAAAAATGAAACTATTCAAAAACATTGTTTAGGTGACAAACGAGTTACGGCATTTTTAACACACGGTGGTTTGGGAAGTACAAATGAATTGGCTTATCTTGGAAAACCGGCAATAATGATTCCAATTTTTGGGGATCAAATGAGAAATGCAAATATGCTCGAAAGACATAATGGAGCAATCAAATTATCAAAATTTGATTTGGCGAATTTTGAATTGGTGGAAAAATCAATCAATAATATTTTGAATGATGAAAAATATTTCAAAAATGCAGAAAAATTGGCACATTTATTATCAAAACAACCAATGAAACCAAAAGAAACAGTTATAAAATATGTTGAATTTGTTAGTGAATTTGGACCATTTCCAACAATGGATCCATATTCAAGAAATATGTCGAAAATACAAATTTATATGTTGGATATTTATTTTATTATGTTTTTATCATATTCTATTCTACTTTTTGCATTTCTAGTTTTTGGTCGATTTTTGTATAATTATTTGAATTTTAGAATTCTATTTTACAGAAATAAGATTGATTGAAATTCAATAAACTGTTTGTTTGAACTCAGAAAATCTAAGAAAAAATGCCCTGCGCTAGCCGATTGGAGTCAAACACGCTGTGTAAGGCAAGTCAGTAATCCATACTCACAATCAGCTCAACAACTTCTCTTCACACAACAATTTTATTTAAAAATTTTTTTATTAATATTCAATCAATTTTATTTTTGTTAAATGTAATTATAACATTCAAATTATTGTACAAAAATCTAACAAAAAATACAACAACAGAAAATAGAATAGAATATGATGAAAACATAATAAAATAAATATCCAACATATAAATTTGTATTTTCGACATATTTCTTGAATATGGATCCATTGTTGGAAATGGTCCGAATTCACTAACAAATTCAACATATTTTATAACTGTTTCTTTTGGTTTCATTGGTTGTTTTGATAATAAATTTGCCAATTTTTCTGCATTTTTCGAATATTTTTCATCATTCAGAATATTATTGATTGATTTTTCCACCAATTCGAAATTCGCCAAATCAAATTTTGATAGTTTGATTGCTCCATTATGTCTTTCGAGCATATTTGCATTTCTCATTTGATCGGCAAAAATTGGAATCATTATTGCCGGTTTTCCAAGATAGGCTAATTCATTTGTACTTCCCAAACCACCGTGTGTTAAAAATGCCGTAACTCGTTTGTCACCTAAACAATGTTTTTGAATAGTTTCATTTTTTTGAACTGCGAAGTTTTTTCTCAACCAACCTAACAATGTAGTTTGTGGTGTCCATTTCGAAAATACAACATTTTCAATATCATTAGCCCATTTCAATTCATCAGATTCATATTTCCAAATAAAAGTTACATTTGGAAATGTTTCAATAACTTTCAAAATATTAGTTCTCCATTCAATTGGCATATCCATTGATTTTGCAATACTTCCAAATGAAATCAACATATTTTGAGATCTTTTATCCAAAATATTATTCCATTCTTCTGATAATTTTTGTGATTTTATTTTCTCAACATTTACACTAATTCCTCCGATTGCAATTGTTTTCTGAATTATTGGACGTGGAAAATCGATATAAGGATTTGAATTTACAAAATTCAATGAGGTTTCAGAAAAAAAATCATGCCAATTTGCAATACCGTATTTCGAAAAAAGTTTAATTTCAAGATCGAAAACTTCTTGCATAGTTTCAACAAATGAATTGCCGTGTTGATAATTCAAATATCTTTCGTATAAATTCATTTTATCAGTACTTGATGATTGCATTGCTGAAAAATTGAATTTTTGAAATTTTGAAAACAGAATGAGAACTAAATTTTAGTAGTTCCACAATTCCAACCAATATACCTGGAACATAAGATGGATGATCTGGTTCCCCAATTAATTGCATAATGTGATCATACATACTACAAGACGTTGCTATGATAGTTTTGTCAATTCCTAACATTTTAAAATACGCCAATCCACAAATCGATAATGGTTCAGTTATTGCAACATCAAATCCACTATTTTTCAATTTTTCATAAACCTCCGTGTTTCTCAATAAATTAGCACATGTCTCAATTGTCTGATTTTCGAACAGTTTGAATTGTTTCCTATTTTTTCTCGGACTATCAACAAATGTCCATAGTGATTGCATCATTTCATCCATTCCTAGAGCAGTATTCATTTTCTGAATCTTATCTTGTTCCACATTCATCAAATATTTTGTTTGAACTTTTATACGATCTCGAAGTTTTTCATCAGATATTGGAACCAAAAATGTAACATTATGTCCAGCCTCGGTCAAAGCATCTGCTAAATGTGCCATAAAATTCATATGACTTGTTGCAAAAGCAGGAGAATATATAAGAATATTATAGGCAAATATAGAATTAACAAAAACTAGGAAAAATAATATGGCTTGCATTATCAAAAATGATCAGATTTCCAAACATAAAAATTGTTTTTATACATAGTTTTTCGTAGTTTTTGTGACTATTATAACCTGTAATATCACAAATCAAATCATAAAAAAACTTGATTGATCATATTTTTTCTGTTCAAATGATGACAAAATTGTTTCCAGCTATATCAATTTCAAAATATCTTTTTCATAACAAAAATTTGGTTCTGAAACAGGCGATTTTTTCTTTCACATATTTGGATCTGACCGCTCAGAGAAGGTCTGGCTTGAACGGCGCGGTTCGCGAAACCCAGAAATCTGCCAATCCGCGGCTGACACAAGAACTTTAGCGAAACGTCCGCGAAATTATACTCCGCTGTTAGCGAAACGTCCGCGCAATGCACTCTCGAAATATAAAAATGCTTCACTACCCCTGATAATTATCAGAAGTTAGTATTGACTTGTAGTTCCAACCCGGCCTCGATCCCAATCCTGTCGTTTTGTAGTCACCCATCTTCCTTGCTGCGCTATCCTCGTTGTCGCGTACGCGATACAATTTATCCTTTTTATACCCTCCTCTCGAGTCCATCCGCGAATCCGCGAAAAACGCAAAAATCAAATTTCCGAGTCAAAAAATTTCGCGGAATGCGCGAAATTAGACTCTCATTGGCTGAAGTTTCGCTGTCCGCGAAATTTTTTTCGCGGAATCCGCGTAATGATTTTCACCCAAAAATCGGTGAAAAATCGTCCGCGGACCGCGCCGTTCAAGCCATACTTTCTCTGAGCGATTGCGAACTGACAAATTGTTGATAGAGTTTTAAATTGCTATTACTCGTATTCAAAGAATTGATCAAAAACAATTTCGATGAACTCAATATATCTTGAAGTTTCCCAGAACTCAATATCACTTTTATATCGAATAAATTTTCAACAAATAATTGTAATCAATTCAAGTAATTTTAGTTTTGTTAAATCTCATTCTAAAATTCAAAAATAAAAATCTAACAAAAAATACAAGAACAGAAAATAGAATAGAATATGATAAAAACATAATAAAATAAATATCCAACATATAAATTTGTATTTTCGACATATTTCTTGAATATGGATCCATTGTTGGAAATGGTCCGAATTCACTAACAAATTCAACATATTTTATAACTGTTTCTTTTGGTTTCATTGGTTGTTTTGATAATAAACGTGCCAATTTTTCTGCATTTTTGAAATATTTTTCATCATTCAAAATATTATTTATTGATTTTTTCACCAATTCGAAATTCGCCAAATCAAATTTCGATAATTTGATTGTTCCATTATGTCTTTCGAGCATATTTGCATTTCTCATTTGATCCCAAAAAATTGGAACCATTATTGTTGGTTTTCCCAAATAAGCCAATTCATTTATACTTCCCAAACCACCGTGTGTTAAAAATGCACTGACTCGTTTGTCGTCTATAATTTTTTTCATATTAAATTTCGTGGATTTCTAAAAAAAAAAAGAGCTACTGTATTCCGTAGTTTAGGTAACTCATTTGTTTTCACACTCACCTAACAATGCAGTTTGTGGTGTCCATTTCGAAAATACAACATTTTCAATATCATTAGCCCATTTCAATTCATCAGATTCATATTTCCAAATAAAAGTTACATTTGGAAATGTTTCAATAACTTTCAAAATATTAGTTCTCCATTCAATTGGCATATCCATTGATTTTGCAATACTTCCAAATGAAATCAACATATTTTGAGATCTTTTATCCAAAATATTATTCCATTCTTCTGATAATTTTTGTGATTTTATTTTTTCAACATTTACACTAATTCCTCCGATTGCAATTGTTTTCTGAATTATTGGACGAGGAAAATCGATATATGGATTTGAATTCACAAAATTCAATGAGGTTTCAGAATAAAGATCGTGCCAATTTGCAATACCGTATTTCGAAAAAAGTTTAATTTCACGGTCGAAAACTTCTTGCATTGACTCGAAAAATGAACTGCCGTGTTGATAATTCAGATATCTTTCGTAGAAATTCATTTTATTAGTACTTGATGATTGCATTGCTGAAAAATTGAATATTTATAGCGATTTTTAAAATTTAGCTTACCTGGAACATAAGATAAATGATCTGGTTCTCCAATTAATTGTATGACATGATCATAATGTGTTGAAGATGTTGCCATAATTGTTTTCTCAATTCCCAATAACTTGAAATATGCCAATCCACAAATCGATAATGGTTCAGTTATCGCAACATCAAATCCAACATCTTTCAAGGTTTCAAAGATTTCCTCATTTCTCAATAAATTAGCGCATGTTTCAACTCGCTGATTTTCAAATGACTTGAACTTTTCCCTGTTTTGTTCTGGACTATCAATATAAGTCCAAAGTGATTGTAACATTTCATCCATTCCTGAAGAAGCCGTTTTTGATTTTTGAATTACATCCTGTTCTACTTTCATCAAATATTTCGTCTGAACTTTTATGCGATTTCGCAGTGTCTGATCAGATATTGGGACCAAAAATGTAACATTATGTCCAGCCTCGGTCAAAGCATCTGCTAAATGTGCCATAAAATTAATATGACTTGTTCCAATAGCAGGAGAATGAATAAGTACATTATAAGCAAAAATGGAATTCAAAATGAATACTGTAATCAATAATAATAATACTCGCATTTTAAAATTTGGTCAATTTGTTCTCTAAATTCTATCTATTTTATACTCACAATCAGAGAAACGGGGCGGAGAAAATGTCGTGTCAGTAAAATTGCGAACAACCGGCTATATCTACCCGATTTTTCTGGGATTTGTTTACTGTTTACTTGTCCGGAGGTTTTTTCCCGTGTAATGGTCTAGTCCATTTCTCTGAAATTGATAGTTTTCTGTAGTTAGTGTGAGTTGAACAAATATTAAAGCGTAGTATCACGAATCAAATAACTTGATTGATAATATTTTTCTGTTTTTTGATCAATGATGACAAAAAACTTTCCAAATATGATGACAAAAAGTTGTGAGAAATTGCAATAGATCGGTTTTCATAAATTACTTTCATCTGAAAGAACAGTTTTCTGAAATTTCTCAACCTGGAACGTGTCAAAAAAGCAAAGTAAATAGCATCTAAACGTTTATTGTGACAAAAATACCAAAAACCACATTATTCTAAAATTTATGCACATCCCACAATTGTCATCATATCATCATACAACTTGAAAAACTCCTTCACTTCTTTATCCCCACAACCCTCGGTTTTCTTGATTCCTTTTTCATAGCAATTTTTTGTTTCATTTTTCATGAAATCACAAGTCTTCTTGTCAGAACCACGACTGATTTTCATAACACCATCGAAAATTACTCTCTCACACTTTGTATCGGCATAGTTTTTCAAACAATGAGAATAACTACTGTTCTCCATAACAGTTGAAAAACAAAACATCATTACTCCTCGAATTTCACCTTTATTATCATCGCATTTTATTTCATCCGTGCAATTTTTGACGGATTTACACGTTTCCCAAAAACTGTCAGCTTTCTGTTGGACTGTTTGAGATTCACTCGCAGGAAACTTCGAAACATCAAATCCCTAAATAATTTCTTATTGAAAGAAAAATAACACTTCAATGTAAATCTTACCGATGAACATCCCTTCATCAAGTGGTATTGAAAATCTGTACAATGTTTAGATTGGACACAGATGGAAAGTGCAAAAAAGAAAAATATAATAGATTTGTTAGCTATCATGATTGTTTAGCAAATGAAAATGAAAGTTTTGTGGAGTTTCAGGTGCAGGAAAGAACAGTTGTCTGAAATTGAAACGTGACAATCGGTGAGAGAACTTTTTTTTTGTTTGGGGATAATTGAATGTTTATTGCAGAAATAATCAATGGCAAAGCATATTAAAAAACAAATAGTTGTCTGATAATTTTTAGTATGAAAATTCAGTATCAAAATTAAGTTTTTTTTTAACTGAAATCTCTAATTGAAATCCCTTTTGGGAAATTTTAACTACAGTAGTTCTTGAATCTAAATACAATTATGATTAATCACCAATATTTAGTGTACATATGTATTTCCACAAAAAAAAACAAATGTAATCAATTTATCGAAAGCTATACGAAATTTCGAGCGATTACTGTAAATTATCGGCCAAAAATCGTTTTCCTTTTCGAGTTACAATAAGTGGAAGTCGAGCATCGTCATTGTATGTCAACATACATTGAACTGGTGAGAAGAAACAATTTCTGTCGTATCTTTTTGCCTCAACAATCGGAGTTTCGTCATAAGATCTGAAAAAATTGTTTTTTGTTTTCAAAACATTGAATTTAGTGAAAATCCCCGAGAGAAATATAAGTTCCTGGTATATATGTAACTCTGCAAATTCAATCAACTAACTACTGATCAGAAATTATAGAATATTGTTTTGCTCAAGAACATCTAACCGTCTTGAGATTTGGTTTCGGAAAACAAAAACATGGACGATTCTAAGAAGTGGGAGTGTAAGTAGATTAGACTGGAATACATTTAGTTTGATTAAATTTTTGGCTCTTTTTTGATTTTGAAGAAGGATGAGCCACAGATTAAATCCGAGTGAAGCACTTGAAATTGTTCACAAAAGTTCTACAGAACTTCAAGAATACTGTCTGTCAGAAAATCGGGAATTTTAAAAAGTTTCAACGTATTTGAAAAAATTACTTTTGAACTGAAGATTTACAAAGTTTACCAAAATAAAGATCTTGCAATTCTTTACAGAATTAGCTATGATAATTTAGACTTTATTCCGAATTGTATTTTTGAAATTATCTTGAAAGAATTTTGAAACCCGCGAACTGAGCAAGGATTTTGGTTCAGAAAAACATAGGCAATTCTAAGAAGAATAGAGAGTATAAGTAGATTAGAAAGTTATTCGAAAAAATATATAGCTCTTTTTTGATCCGAAGATTCTACAGAAAGATTAGGACAAAATCAGATCAAATAAAATCCGCGCTTTGAAATCCGAATAAGATGAGCTACAGTAATCTAGAATAACAGTGGATTCTTTGCTCTCACAAGATAGAAAATAGTTCAAGTACAAGTCTGAAAAATTATCTTCAATTCATTTGATTTTTGGGAATCATTATTTGAGTGATTCGAAAAATTATCCATAAACTGGAGAAAGTTGGGGCAATTCATGATTTGAAAAACACAATATCTTATCAGCTTGTAATAACTTTCTTGAATTCGTTAGCTAGTTTCTTAACTATTAAACTAGTTTTGAAAAATAGATTTGAACTTTATTAGAATAACACAAATTTCTACAACACTCCGGAATTGCGGTGAGTTGTTATACTGAAAACTCTGGAAGTTCACAGTATTTCGCAACATCATAGCTAACCTTCAAAAAACAGCTCAAAATGTAGCCATAGAAATTCTTAACAGTTTTCACTACAATACTCCGAAATTACGCTGCAAAAACTCACGTGGAAAACAATTGATAACGAGCATTTCTCGGGATCAAAAACCCAGCGACACTCGAAAAAATCACAAGAAATACCAAGCAAAACTTTGTCATCGACATTTTTCGTGTTACCTGAAAAAAACGGAACAATTTTGAGTTAGGCTAACTTGTAAAAACAATAAAAATGATTTATTTTATTTTATAGCATAACATAACATAAAATAAAATAACGTAAGGTATTACTGAAAGAAAAATTGGATTTGGGCGGAATTATTTGAGACAAGACATGAAAAATAAAACGAATAAAGTGATATGACAAAAAAAAGTTGGGCGGAGAAATGAATGGAAAAGCGGGAGGAGATTTGATTATTTTTGGGTGGGTCGAAATTATTGAGAAATACGTAGATACGTTTCTGATTCAGTGATTTAGCTCAAATTCGACAATTGAATTAATCACGTGGAATTTTTGGTTGCGATATTTGAGATTTTTGACTGACAAAAGTTATTTTTAGAATTTTATTTGACACGTGAACTTGAAATATTGAATTGAGGTCAAAATTCTGAAATAAATTATTCAGAAAAACCCGTAAGATTCTGAATTCTGGACTCGGAACTAACAAAGGTTATCTCATGATTTTTTTTGGCTGAAAGTTCAAAAAATTCCCATCTGGATTTCAGAATTTGTCATCTGAAAACATGTGGAATTTTTTGACCAGTTTTTTTCTCGGCAACATTTAGAAACATATGGGAACTGAAAAGAGAACAGAAAACAGTCGTGACTTTGCAAAATCTAAAATTTCTGGGGCAGGTGATTTTATCAGAAAAATTATTGAAATGTTTGAAAAAATCATGGAGTTTTTTTGAACTCCAAAACAAAAAAAAGAATACCCCAATTTCTGAGAATTTTTGTCAACTTAAAACCCAAAACATCCAGAAAGTTCACAATAACAACAAAAAATAGAACAAAAAACTATTTTTTTGTATTTTTAAACCCTGAAAATGTATTTTCTGAGTTTTTCAGATTCTTTTCTCAAAAGAAATTTCCAGGTTAATTAAATCAATGTCAGAAAAAAGTAGTCAGCTAATTTTTTGCCACGTGGATTCTCAATATTTCCAAAAATTTTTCAAAGTTCAAGAGGACTCTGTGAAAAATAAATAAGTTTTTGAACCTTTACATATTTCTTAATTTTTTGAAAAAATCATTCCGAAAATTCGAGGGAGGTCAGGTTCCAGCAAAAATGGCTACGAACTTCTCACAATCCAAAAAAACACCAAAATTAATCAAATCACCGCGTCAAACAATTTTTCTTTGAGTAATAAAACGAAAAAAAATTGAATTTCCCATTTTCTTGGAAATGGGCAAAAATAAAATAAAATTGTTTCATGCTCATATAAATTCGAGGAATACAAATGAAGTCATCAAAAAACCTTTAGAAATTGGACCATAAATTTTTTTGTTGAATGAATGTCTGAAAAATTGCAAAAAATCCTACCCCTCATTTCTCAACCAGGAAATCCTAAGAAAATTCCAATTTTAATTCGACAAAAAAAAGAACTCTGAAACATTTTCCAAAATAAAAAGTAAAGGTCTCATGAATAATAAAACTTTAGTCATTTCTGATGGCCGGATTTTTTTTTGGCTAAAACCATAATCCATGACGTGAGGGCCGCCAGAACTTTCAAAGTTCTTTTAAATCTTTTTGATTTCATTCAGCCCCACGAGAAGAATTTACTTCTATTTAAGAATTTTTTATTCATGTTGTCATAGTTTTACACCATATTTATGAATATTCAATTCAAGTTTTGTATGACGATTCAGGTTTCAGATTTCGAGCAACTTCTCAGACTAAAATTTTTAGTTTGCTGAAAATCTCAGACAAAGAACTTTTTCTTGATAATTTATCATCTAATCTATAACAAAATTACCCGTCAAATTAAAAACAAAAAAAAATCCTAAAAGGGTAGTTGTGGAGTAGAGTGGATAATTTCCAAGTGGCTGAAAATAGTCTTCAAAACTCCGTATCTACAACAAAAAAAAACAATAGTGTCTAATTATCCTAAAGTCTACAAGATTCTCGAATTGGATCCATTTTCACAATCCTCCTCATATCAAACTTCCTCAAATTCACATTAATATAAGCGCCATCAAATAATCGTTCAGCATATGATCTTCCAGCAGCAATCGAATGCATAACTCCTTTTTCTCCAAATCCACACATCATATGCAAATTCGTATAAATCGGATGTTCTCCAATCACTGGAGCATCATCAAATGTATTTATATCTTGATATCCACTCCAAGCTGATTTGATTTTCGCACTTTGAAATGCTGGAACTCGATCGACTAAAACTGGCCAGATTTTTTCATAGAAATCATCATAATTTACTTCCAAATTATCATGATTTGTTTTTTCGTCTTCTTCTTTACTTGGAGTTCTGCCAACTAGAAACGTGTTTCCACAATCGGATTGTCTGCAGAAAACTCCGGAAGGATCGATGATAAATGGAAGATCAGCGGGGACATCTGGCGCGAAAACCACGAAAATATCTCGTTTTCGAGGTTTGACTGGGACTGGCACGGCAAGCATTCCTTTTCCTTTTCCTGAAAATATTTGGAGTTTTTTGGTGGCCGAGGTTGGAAAATTTGTTCAAAAAATTTTCAAACTCTGAAAAAATTCGGGAATTTTTAATTAATAAAATTTTTTTTTTGAACTGTTAGCTGAAAACATGTATAGAAAAATTTACATCTTTTAAAGAAAGAATTTTCTTTAATAAAATTTCTATGAAAAAAAGATAAAATTTTTGCAATAAAATATTCAAAATTGAGCAATCTCTAACTGTCCCGAATTTTTCTCCAGCCCAAAAAATCTCACCGATTCCCGCTTTCTCCGCAATCTGTCCAGCCCACGGTCCAGCCGCATTCACAATCAAATGCGCTCTAATCGGTCTCGCCGATGCGTCATTCATCTGTGGTCGCACCAAAACTCCAGTAATCCTCTGCGCTCTTAATTTATTCTCATCCGCTGTTTCATCATCACCAAACGCATGAATCTCCGAACTCGCGCGATTTCTCTCAAATTCAAATCCTTCAACTTCTCCCTTCACATATTGCACACCTAATGTAATATTCTTTTCACGAATCGCTGATAATAATTGCCACGTGTCAATTGTACCCTCGTTTTCGATGCCTAAACTGGCTAACATCACATCATCGGTATTCATGAAAGGATACTTTTCGGATAATTCGTCTTTTGATAAAAGTTGTACTTTGGCTCCACGCTCACTGAAAATTCGATACAAAAATTATTTTATTCTAATTTTGGTGACATCATTACTTTTTTGAACATTATTATGATTTAATAAAAATATCTTGCGAATTGTTTTCAAATTTAAAAATTACAATCTTAAATATTTCCGAAAAATTCCTCACATCTGAATTTTCCACGATTTGCGCATATCCTCCACTTCTTCTTCAGTTTTCGCAATTCTCAAATACCCTGTCGGAAAGAAATTAATATCGGGTTGCTGACTGTCAAGAATTCGCAAATGTTCTCCAGCATGTCGCAGAAATTCAGTTGTGAAAAGGCTCATATCAACGAATTCAGGGTTGGAAAATTGTTGTGTAATTCCGCCGGTTGACAACATTGTGCTACTTTTCGTGAAAACATCATTGTTTTCCACTACAACTACCTGAAAATAAAATAAAATTGAATTGAAATTTTTGAGAAGTTAAGATTACTTTGAAATCCTCATCCCTAAATCTCTCTTTCAACCAATAAGCTGTCGAAGATCCTGTCAATCCTCCGCCAATCACAACAATTTCAGCGCGATATGGGAAAACTTCATTATCAATAGTTCCATGTTTCATATGAGCAATTGGGTTTCGTCGCTTGAACGCGTCTCTCCGAGCCTCTTCAAATCTTCTCTTCCATCTTCGGAAATCATAAGTCAACCCGTGCCAAACTCGTTTCATTACATCCTCTCCTGGCTCAAAATGCCGCTCATTCTCGAATTTTTGCCAGAAAACAGTGTTGGACGTGTGTATACATCTTCTAGGATCAAATATTTGTCGAGAAATCTTCTGCATTACCCTGGAATTCGAAATTCTTTAAGTTTACAGGTTTTTTTTTGTGAAAAATAAAAAGAAAACAACAAGACTCCGTAACAACGCACTTGCCTGCAGTTTAGCGGGGCATCATTTTGAATTTTTATTTTTCGCGTCGTTTTTTTTCTTTTTCAGCCCTTTGAAGTCTTTTCAGCCACAAAATATTTCAGATAAAAATGGGTGAGGTTGTTGAGCGAATGAAGAAGAAAACGATAATAAAACCAATAGTTTATGGAAACACAACAACCGCTTTTGGCTATAAAAGAGAATCCGATATGCACACACATCAGTGGACCGTTTTCCTAAAACCATATCTCGCAGAAGATCCGACTAAATGGATTCGAAAAGTGCAATTCAAATTACATGAAAGTTATGCGAATCCCTATCGAGTTGTCGAAAAACCGCCGTATGAGATCACTGAAACCGGATGGGGTGAATTCGAGATTCAAATTCGCATTTATTTCATTGACCCCAATGAGAAACCAATCACTGCTTTCCATTATCTTCGACTTTTTCAACCGGTTTTTACTTTGCCGAATGGTAGTCAAATGGTTTCAGCAGAATATTATGATGAGATTGTGAGTTTTGGACGAGGAAAACGTTTTCTTTCTAAATTGAATACTTACTGACTTTTTTCTAGATATTCCAAGAGCCAACAGTTCAACTATACAAAGCTTTGCAAGCAGGAGAGGGAAAACGGCCGGATAAGCAAGCTTTTACACATGATAGTGAGTTGTAAAATTTTAGAAATGTTTTTGGTGTGACCTATCCTCACGTTGACGTAAAATAATAATTTCAAAAATATAAATAATTTGAATTCTTTTTTTGAAGTAACTGAAAAACGTCAATTATTGTTCGGAACTTTCAAAATTCGCAGAATCTAGAAAATAAAAAAAAACATCCCAATGTTCATTTTTCCAGTCGAACAAGTCAAAACACGAACCAAAGAAATCGGTGAATTGGCACAAAAAGAAATCGCCGCCGAAATCGAAGATCTTCGCGATGCTCTCAAGGAAGCTCACAAAATGATCGTCAAATACAGTGCCGAAATCAGCGAATTGCCGGAGCAAAATGATCAACAAGATTCGGGACAACAAACTCCAATTGGCTAATAATTCCGAATTTAAATTTTTGTTTAATTTTTTTGCAAAACTGTGTTTGTGAATATTTTGAATCTCTCAACGTTTTTAATTAATGTAATTTATTTTTTAAGTATAAAAAATTGTCGGGTTTCATTTTCGATAAAAAAAATAAAAGTTTTTTTCGCCACGCCGCCCGGTTTTTTCTCTCGCTCTCTAGATTATCGATCGATATCGTGAGAAGTTGAGAGAGGGATGAGAAATGCAAAGAGCCGAGTTTGAGAATTTGAAAGATTTTAATTTTTTTTTTGAAAATTTAATTTTTTTGGGGAGTTTTCGATGGGGCGCATTTGGGAAAACGGAAACTTTGATCTTTTAATATTCTAGGCGTTTTTTTCGAAATTGTGAAGATTCGGAATTCAATTTAGCCCAACTTGGATCAAATGTTTTGAGATTATTTTAAAAATTTGTCAAAATTGCCAGAATTTTCTACAAAATGCCCAGAAATGCACCGGAATTAAGATTTTTCAATAAAAAAAAATCATAAAATCACAGTAACCACTCTTTCAAAAACCTCCCGAAGATCTATATTTCTGAAACTCATTTTTGAATCTCTGAATTGTATCGTAGGAATTCAATTTTCGCAAAAATTGCTCCAAAAATTTAATTGTTACAAAAAATCACAGTAACCCCTTCACCCTCAGACCCCTTCTGAAAATCTCGAATTTTCTGAAATTCCTGATTTTTTCCAAGATCCGCTGAAAATCGGCCCCCGTTTTTCGCAATTTCGAAAAAAAGTATTGTCGCCAGTTCGCAGAAAAAAACGGCGATTTTCGTTTCGCTTCTCTGCGTCTCCTCGAAATGTTTACTATTTCGCACGCGTCAGCAGCCAAATTCTTTGGCTGAGTATCAAACGTGGGTGAGTGTGTGCGTGCCATGCAGCACACACACACACACACGCTCACAGAAAACGCTCACAGAATAGAAAAACACTCACTCACAGAAAACACACTCCGGCGAAAATTTCCTCCACTTCTGCCTCAGTGCAGTGGAGCGCGCTTGCATACTGTGTAGTTCTCTCGGACAATTTATTTATTTATTTATTTATTTATTTATTATACGCTATTAACGTGATTAAGTACACAAGAAATAATTAAAGAAAATAGTCACATAATAGAATTAAAAAGAAAAATAGGTGGAAAAAATAAGTTGAGGGAGAAAAAAATTGGTGTGGACGGTGGTAAAAATACGGACCTAGTGATAGGAAGTGAATTCAATTATTTTTTCTGTTTTTTTTCTTGTTTTCGGCTGGAATGCGAGTTTTGCATGAAAAAGACTAGTTTTTCGATCAGAATTCACATTTTTAGCTGATAATCGAGGTGGAGTGATGATTCGAGCAATTTTTTCATGGTTTTCGGAGATGGAACTCGGCAAATAAGGAGAATTTTCAATTTTTTGTGGATTTTGGGACATGAAACTCCGATAATGAGGAGACATTTCAATTTTTGTGGATTTTGAGCGAAATGAAGATAATTTAGAGACGTGTCGAAGGATAAACGTTTTTTTTACTGTGGATTGACCTCGAATTTTTGCATTTTCTTTCCGTTTTTTGGTTCCTTCTGGAAAATATTTTGAAAAATGTGTTTTTTCCAGATGAGTTCGTTGAGAATAAGCTGTCCCGAAGGTTGCGGACTAGAAGCGTCTCGTGCAGATAATCTGCGCCGACACTTATCAACCGTACACAGCTATACTCAACAACAAATCGAAGATTTCAACCGAAAATTAAAGTTAAGCAAAAAAAGTAATCGAAGTGGGATTGTTTACAAATGCAAGATTTGTTCAAAGGAATACACCGCTGAACAAAGTATGCACAATCACTTTATTAAAGAACATAAAGACGTAACAAATAGAACCGATGTAAGAGATTAGAATTGCGAAAAACAGGTCTCAAAAGTAGTTAGAAAATTTGAATTACAGCATTTCGAAAAATTTTTATGTGATCCATCTTTGAAAGTAAGCGAACTTGCTGGACCTAGTTTTCCAAAGGCTAATGCATGTCGTCTCGCCTGTCCAATTGTCGATTGTAAGATCAAAGTAACTGATAGAATCGAGCTGATCCGCCATTTCGCATCCGATCACAAGACAAATGATAAATCATATAATTTGGAATCGGTAGAATTTGCGACTGAACAGGAATTGGAGGTGAGGCCGAAAATGTTGCTCAAATGTTTCCGCAGTTACCAAAGTTTGAATATTATAATTTTCCCCGAGAGATTTTAGGAAAACTCATATGAATTTTGAAAAAAACAAGATACTTCTGAAAAATTAAAGACTGGAAAAAGACTGAAAAAATTCGAAGAGAAATAAAAAAAGTCCTCAAAATGTTGTCTTCCATCTTGAATTTGAAAATGTCACCAAAAAACCATAGAATAAAAACTCGTGAAAATTATTTACTCGAATATTTCGAAAGTATAAAATCTAAATTCAGAAAAATTTTGAATATATCCATTTTTCCGAATGTTTCGGATTTTTGCAGCAAAAATTTGATGAATTCACGAAATCTTGTGAAATGTTAATGATTATATTTTTTGTATTCAATCTTCACAAAATGGAAATTTCACGAAAATCTAGATATTGATAAATTTGGGTTTGAAATAAAACAGATAGAAATAGAATATTAAAATAAAAAGAGTTCGGGATAATAACTGTTTTCTGTATGCAGAATCTGCATTCTGTAAGTATCTGAAGTCTTGAAATTAAATTTAGGACTATATATCACGAAAGTGCGAGGCAACATGTACAAGCTTGATTGATGATAAAAAATGTTGTGATGGTGAATCAACAATCAAATATATGAGATGCAGCATGGAAGGGTGTTACACAAGGAAACCAAATTCAGTTCATGATTCCAAAAAAATTGTCAAATTCTGTTCGGCATATTTGAAAGTGAGAAAAACTTTAGAATTATTCACAAAAAAATTTAGGTCTCAATAAACCACAAAACGTCTAAATATTCGGCGATGGGAACATTTTGTCACAATTCGCACAATCTGGAATGGGCGAAACAAAATTTGACCAAGAATCAAACTGATATCATTGTGAAGTAATGGAGCTTTGAGCAATTAGATTAATTTAATAGTGTTACAGCTTATGCAAAGATGGTTTCTACAATAATCAAATTTTGGATAAGCTTCGGCGGACATACGATGCAAATAATCGACTTTATTACGTTGACAATGATCAAATAAGGTACAATTTTATTCTCTTCGGAAAAATTATAATGAGGGTCAGAATGTTTCTGGGAATTTTTTGAAAATTTTTGAAACATGTATTGTTTGAAGATTACTGTAGTCCGGAGAAACAAAACAATTCAGTCCTAAAACTTGTAGATCAATTCGGAAATCTCACGAACTGTATCCTGGTAGATTACATGAAGATGATCTAATGTCGATAAAAATGCTCGCAGAGCGAAATGATCCAGCAGATGGAGTTCGTTTGGTTATTCTTCCGACTGAGGAAAATAATCATGCTCTGAAAATCGGTATTTTTCACTTCGAATTTTAATTAAAAACGTTTAAATATTTATTCATAGTTATCATAACTCCGCAACACTTTCAAAATCTGAAACAACATGGTCATCGAGGAATATTAGCTGATGATACACATCACGTCTCAAAATATGATGCTAAACTAACAACTTTAATGGTACCAAACGATAATGATCGTGGATTGCCCGCTGGTATACTAATCAAAACTTGACAACAAAACATCCGGAGATTTGTTTCAGGATTTCTCATCTCGAACACGACCACTTCTGCTGATATTGCACTACTCTTCGGAGAGGTTAAGAAATTGTTCGACGAAGATGGTTCGACTTTTTGTCCGCGCCAATTAATGACAGATGAAGCTCATGTTTTTTGGAATGGATATGTTCAGGTAAACCAATATTCACATAAATAAATCTCGGAGTCGGAAAAAATGTAAAAAATGGATAAATTTTTCTGAAAATATAATTATTTTTCAAAATGTGTCACGTCATGATGAAAAAAAATTCGTTCAGCTCTCGTTTTTTAACAAGAAATTCAGCGCTGTTTTTCACAAAAAATACAGTAATCATCGCTGCAGTAACAAACGTTTGTCAAGTCAATCTTGTAAAAAATTGAAAGAAAAATCAGAAAAAAATCGAGGAAAACGTTTCTGAAAATTAAGATTTTTCTAGAATTTAAGACTGTTTCTAATTTTTCAAAAGTCCAATTTGAAAAAAAACTCATGTTCCACAGAAAGTTGAAGAGATAATGCCTATATAATGTGCTGGAATTTCAACAAAATAAATGTCTTATGTTGAGAAAATAATTTTCAGACATGGCCGGAAAATGCGCTTGTGACTAAACGACTCAATTGTCGTTGGCATGTCTTCAGGGCTTGGAAAAAGATGGCGAAGCATCATCTATCGGTCAAATGTGCAGGTGGGAAAAATAAATAAAAAATTCATTTTTCAGGATGTTCAACTATCAGCTCTGCTAGACAAATTGCACAGCATGTTGAAAACGAACGATGTTGGAATTCTAAATCATGAAATCAATGAATTGTTCAGTTTCTTGAATAATATCAAGTCTGCTGGAGCTCTACAATTCTCGCAATATTTCTACACATATTATTACCGTATGATAATATTGCATCAGAAGTGTTTTGTTTTTTACTAGAATTTCAGAAAATCAGAAGCTGGAACGTTGGGCGGCTGCTTATCGAGACTATGCAGTTTTTCATACATCGATGTTTGTAGAAAGTTGGCATAGCATTTTAAAACTCGATTTTTTGGCGAATAAAAGAGTTATTAGATTGGATCAACTCATTTATTCCCTGAAGGAAGGTTGCGAAACGATCAAACATCGGAGATTTGTGGAAGTATGTATCTTTCATAAAAAGTTCAACAAACACACAGCCAAGAAAAAAACAATTTTTCTGATTTTTTTCAAAAAAATACTGAACAACAAAAAGTTTCCTATTTTTCCGGTTCAAACAATTCGGAAATTTTTCGCTTCGCGATTATCCGAGTATTATTGCTCAATTTCAACAAAAGAAATTACATAGAAAAAATCCTTCGCTACAGTAATTTTTTTGGGAAAAAACAAAATCAAATTTTAAAATTGCTCATGTTTCCAGGAACAACGAGGGTTAGCGAAAGCAAATCCAAGACAGCTCGTTCAAAAATCTCGTCATGAGACTGCCGAAAAAGAGATTGATAAATATATAATTGAAAAAATCCCTGATCGCGAAGGTCAACCAGCATTTCGTTTAACATCTAACCATCCAACACCTCTACAAGTTCCATCAATTGTAAAAATTGGAAATTGTTTCTGCAACGCGGTGAATTTTTTCTCAGCTTGTATGTAAATTCAATATATCTACAGATAAATGGTCACTGCAAACGATGCGATGCTTGCCCATATTCATTAAGATGTACTTGTAAAGATACTCTGGCCGGAGTTTGTTGTAAACATTCCCACATGTTGAAAATTCATTTGGCGAGAACTCCAGCCTCTGTTGATGAAGTTGAAACACAGCAAGAAATTTTGGATGATAATGATGATATTATTGATTTGGACGATGAGGAAAATATGGTCCCTGATTTGGAAACTCTTGAAATTGTAGTTGATTATAATGAGTTGGAAGTTCAAAAAAGAAAAGATGAAATGTCGGCAGATTTTACATATGCACAAGGAGTAAGAAATGGGTCAATTGACTTTGAGACTCTTTTTCCTTTAGGTTTTTAATCGAGCAGAAAACGAGTTACGGAAGATGAGAAGGGATCCGGATGATGAAACAATTGAGAAAAATAGAAAAATAATGGAAGCTGTAAAATTGCTGGAATCATTGTTAGATGATCAAAATGTTTTAACTGTTCGTCGAGATATCCAACAATCGGCTAGAGCAAAAAGAAAAAGCGCTCGTGATACTATGAATAATTACTCGTTCGGACCAAAGGTGAAACATTTTTGACGTTGCCGTAAATTGAAAACCAATGATTACAGAGAAAATCGAAGAGAGTTGAATTTGATCCTAACAATCCCTATTTCTCATACGAACCCGACGAAATGACAGTTTGCAACTTGTGCAAAAAAGTGATTTTCGTTGAATTTCACAGAATTAATTCATGATTTTCAGAGTCTTCCTGTGGAATCTTCCTCACGTGCAGTGGTTAATTGTGTCGGATGTGGTGCTCCAGCTTATTTTTCGTGTGTTTCAGCAGGAATCATTTGTTTATCATGTCAACTTCCTTTCCAAGAATAGTTGATTTTGTTGTTTTACCTCATTTATCTTGTTTTTGCTTCAATTCTTGTTTTTTTCTTGTTTTTGTTTTCTATATTTGTTGTTCCGAAGATTCTGCACCTTTACATAAGAAAGTCATAATCGTTTTCCTCAAAAATGAACGTTTGACTTTCATTCCGCCCAAAATCCACAAAAAATTGAAAAATTCTTCTTATTTTCCGAGTTCCATCTCCGAAAACCATGAAAAATTGCTCGAATCATCACTCCACCTCGATTATCAGCTAAAAATGTGAAATCTGATCGAAAAACTAGTCTTTTTCATGCAAAACTCGCATTCCAGCCGAAAACAACAAAAAAAACAGAAAAAATAATTGAATTGTCCGAGAGAACTACACAGTATGCAAGCGCGCTCCACTGCACTGAGGCAGAAGTGGAGGAAATTTTCGCCGGAGTAGAAAACACTCATAAATTTGGCTGCGTACCTCGTTTGATACGCAGTCCGACGGCGGCAGCTGGGCTGTCGACCACGCCTCTTTTTTTGTGTTTGGTGAAGTGACCGCATCGCGCGCGTCATTTTTTCCTGGCGTTGCGGTTGTAATTGTGATTTAATTTTTTCAAATTTCAAAACTTGTCGTGCTCGATTTAACGTAACTCACGTATTTTTCTTGTTGCAGAGCTTCTGGAAATGGTAACTTCAGAAGATTCAGTTCAAATCGAACAACCACCACAATTGCAAGTTGAGGAGAATTCGGATTCCGAAAATGAGAAAATCCAGGTAAAAATTTGAATTTGAGTTTTTTTTTGCGCGCGCCACACATTTTTCGGCCGCGCGTGTTTTTTAAATTCCATTTTTTTCATTTCAATTTTTCTGCAAAAAATAATATTTTCGATACATTTCCGATTCTGATTACGATTTCGCAGTCTGATTTTAGTTAGCTCAACTCTGAAATTGAGCTATGACAAAGCGAATCGCTTCAATAAAGTCTGAATATTCAGTCTTGGTTTTCTATATTTCTGATTTTATACACGTCATAAATTTTTCGTATTTTGAGGGAAATTTGAACATTGTTCGTTATTTTTGTACTTGGAAACCTCTATATTCGTCACGAGATCGAAAAAGTCATCATTCGGAGCATTTTTCGGTTTCCGATAATTAGGCAAAGCCCCAGAGATTTCAAGTGCAACAATGATTCAAATTTTGTCACGTCATAACTTTTTTTTGAGTTCGCCAATGTTAACTAGGATTAACAGCTGAAAAATCACTAAAAATACATGTAGTTACCCAAAAAAAATTTTCATTTTTCAATTTTCCAGCAATTGAAAGCCGAAAATCGACTACAAAATGAGAAAGAAGATGAACTAACGAATGGAAATGCTGAAAATGGAGAGGAAAATGGGCACAAAGAAGTAGAAGATCAAGCTGAAAATAATGGGGAACCAATGGAAACTGCACAAACTGAAAACCACAAAGAGGAAGACGAAGAAATAGAAAAAATTGAAGAATCTAAAGGAGATCAAGAAGCATCAACATCGACATCAAATGGAAATGGTACATCGAATGGATCTGGAACAAAACGAGCTGTTGAATGTATAGATCTTGATGATGACGATGATGATGATATTGAAGAAGTTGCTAAAGAACCTGTTACAAAAAAGTTCGTTTGACTTTTGAATTTTTTCCTGAAGTGTTTGCTAATTTACACACACAGGCAATCCGCGAAGGATCCTTTAAGGACGCTTAAAGGACCGTTCATCCTTTTAGCGGCCTTTTTTCATCCTTAAATTTCAAAGGATGAAAAAGTCCGGAAAAAGGGAGGTCCAAAATGGGCTCATTTCATGCTCGTAGTGATAATAAATTGATGTCCCACACTCAAAACACTGAAATTAAATGATATAATCATGAAACAATACAAAATTCCAACAAAAATGTAACACTAAAAAAGTATCCTTTAAGTGAGCTTTAAGCGTACTTGAAACGATCCTTTAAGGAAGGCAAGCTCCGCCCCCTACACAAAAAATAACAGCGCGCGCAGCTCGCCACATGTCCGTCATGCAGATTATATAAATAAATCTTCTTTGCAAAAAAGGCAATGCAGATTTCTTTCGCATAAGTCTGTATTTAATTATAGTTTCGAACTTCTATTTTTGCTTATCATCTGTACAACAGATTTATCACCAAAATTTTCTAAAATTTAATAAAAGGTCCATTTTTGATCCATCCTTAAACCGTCCTTAAATCGAGCTTTGCGATGTACTTAAAGCCCCCTTTTTTGCAAAATGAAAGGATCCTTAAAGCGTCCTTAAAGGATCCTTCGCGGATTGCCTGTGCAATGTTCTAAGATGAAAAATCAAATTTTTTAACTTGGGCTGAACAAAATTATTCGATTAAGATTATATTATTTTTATTCTTACTTACTTTCAACCTAAATTCTCACATCTTAATTTTTTCCAGAGCCAAGACTTCTGATGACGATGATATTCAGGAAGTGAAAGAGATTCCCAAAAAAGAAGAAGATAGTCCTCAATTGACAAGCTCAGAAAAGTTATTAGATCGATTGCAAGAATATGTTGGTGAAGCGATTGCTTCAGGAACTGCTGTAAATCGAAAAGTTCTTGATGCACTCCTTGGCGCAATTAATTTGCAAGTTCAAAAAGAGCCACACAGTGTCAGAAAATTGATTCTCGAGAAACAATTGGTTCTTCCTAATACTATATCTTTTCCACCAAGTCAAACAGTTGATATGTTGATTGAACATGATCCAGATTTCCCGCTGACTAAAGTGATCAATAAAATGTTTGGAGATGAGAGACCAAGATTGAGTGATGCTGAAAAGAAAGATCGAGCTTATCTGAAATCAAATATGCCTGCTCCACACATGACAAAAATGTTGATGGACATTGGACAGGATTTGGTGCAAGAATCAACGTATTCTGATATTGTGCATGCTCGAAATCTCCCAGAGCCTCCCAAGAATTTCGACACTTATAAACAAGTTGCTCTTCAATTGAAACCAGTTTGGGAGACTTTGAAAAAGAAAAATGAGCCATACAAGATGAAATTACGCAAGTGTCACGTAAGCGATTTTTTTTTTGAAAATTTTGTTTTTTGTTAAAAATTTCATTTCATTTTTTCAGTTATGTGGCTTCCAAACTGAATCCGGATTGGTTTTGACAAATCATTGGGCTACACTTCATTTCATCGGCAATAAATATCAATGTGCATATTGTAAGGAATTTGATACAAATGAGCAGCGAATGAAGGAGCATTATTTGTGAGTTTTTTTGAAAAAAGAATTCGGGATTTTTTTTCTAGAATATAAGTAATTTTTTCTTTTAAAAAATATGGATCATAACACAAAAACTTACCAAATCCGTATTTCCAGTAACTCTCATCTTATCATTGCTAACTCTGACGACAAAGAATCCAAATATCCATGCGCGATTTGCGACGAAGATTTCCAATTCAAAGGTGTTCGCGATCAACATCTCAAACAATGTAAAAAAGACTATATTCGCGTCAAACACATAATGATGCCGAAACAAGATGATTTCTTGGTGATAAATAGATGGCTTTGGGAAAAACCGCCAGTTGATCCAAGTATTCTTCAACAACAACAAAATCAATTGAAAAAGCAGCAACAGAATCAACAACAACAAGTTGCAGCTCAACAACTTCAGAATCTCCGAAGGCAGCAACAACAAATGCAAGTTGTTCAACAACAACAACTTTTGCTGCAACAAAAACAACAGCAACAGAGACAGATTCAGCAAATGGCACAACTTATGCAAAGCAAAATGGGAAATACAAACCTTCTCGCTGCAATGACTGCACAACTTCGTAAAAATGGCGGAGCGAATACAGCATTGTTGGCAGCGAATTTGCAAAAATTACAAGCTAGCACATTGGCAGCCGCAAAAACCAGCGGAACGACTGCGATGCAAGCTGCAGTTGCTGCTGCATCTTTGAAGGCGAAAAATGTGTTGGCAGCAAAGACTGCGAAATCGAATGCGGCTTCGAGTTCGGGAGGAGCGAATTCGCAGAATTGCGAGATTTGTGATACAATGGTTGCTGATAAGGAACGATATTTGGGGCATTTGCAGGTTAGTTTTTTTTAAAGTTTGAAGTTTGAGTCTTTGAAGAAATTTGCTATAAAAAAGCCTAGTTAATTTTCAGTTCTTTCTGAACCAAAATGTTTCGAGAAAATTTATTAAATTGAAAATTCGTATTAAAGTTTTCCATCAGATATTTTTTCAATAATGAAATGATAGAAAATAAAAAAAATCACGTTCTCAAAAGATTTCTCTATTTCCTTTTAATTCCCTAACAATGAATAAATTATTTTCCAGAGCTCGCACAAACAAATGTCCGGAAAAACTGTTCAAGACATGTCACAAGGTGCACCATTGGCCTGTAGTCGATGCCGTGATCGATTCTGGACTTATGAAGGATTGGAAAGACATTTGGTCATGTCACATGGTTTGGTAACTGCTGATTTATTGCAAAAAGCTCAAAAGAAGGAAGATGGTGGACGGTGTAAATTGTGTGGAAAGGTTGGTTGTTTATTTTTGTTTTGAAAATTTTGCTCAAGAAATTATGTATGAAAATGTTTTCTGGAAAACCCGAAAATCAGAAAATAAATCTTTGTCAATTAATTTTTGAAAAATCTAGAAATAAAAAAAATATTTTCAAATGGTGCAACAGTTCAAAAATCTTTTGAGAAATTTTCGCCCAAAAATTTTTCGTCAAATTTTTACATCAGAGTTTTGCCACGTATTTTCTGAGTCCCAAAAAATCTAGAAATATTTAAATTTACTATACAAAAATGTCAGGATTGCCACGTGGATTTTGAGTCTTAAAAATGTTACTGTTGATAATTAAATTTTTTATTCCGCCAGTACTACAAAATTTTTGAAATTCTAAATTTTCCCATTTTTTAGCAATACGCCTTCAACATGCTCCAACATTTAGTTGCCGATCATCAAGTCAAACTTTGTTCTGCCGAAATAATGTATTCATGTGATGTATGTGCCTTTAAATGTACAAGTTATCAAACTTTGGAATCGCATTTGTCAACAAATCATCCAAAAGGATCAACGCCAGCTGCAGCGGTAAGAATTTAGTTCTAAATTCGTAATTAATTTTTTTTTAATTTAATTTTTTCAGCCTAAAAAGAAAGCGGATGATTGCATCACCTTGGACGATTAATCTAATCTTCCTGTTTTTTTTGTGAAAATTAAAACTGTGCAGGCACTTTGTTCTTTGTTCCTTTTTCTTTGAAAATTTTGTGATCTCATACTCTTCTCCTCCCTCTCCCAATTTATGTTCTTTTTTTTTACAAAAAACATTTTTCTTCGATTTTATCCCATCTCTGAAATACCCCTAATACCGGTTTTGCAAAACCTTTTTTCTTTTTTTTTTTCCTGAAAATTACTTTAAAATATTGTTTTTTCTCTTGGTGGATGTGTATTATATGAATTTAAATTATATCTTTTCGATGGTTTTTGAATCCGTTATTTTCATTTACATGTTTGTTTACAGTAATATTTTTCGTCAGGGGACCACCATTTTTTCGAGTTCAAGAATTCGAAGAAAAAAATCGGTTTTCTGGGTGAATATTTTGGAATTGCTCATATCAGGCTAAATTGATCTACAGTAATCTTTCGGTCTCATGACCAATTTCAGAGTCGAACATTCCAACAAAAAAATTCCAGAATAAGAATATTCGTTTCAGGACCAATGGAAGTTTATGCGACAGTAATAACGGGTTTCGAAAAAGTGGCAGCCAAAGAAATCAGCTCGAAAATTGAAAATGTTCGAAATTGTCAACCATATCGAGGAAATGTCAGATTCACTTTGGAAAAAGATTCACCATCTGAAACTCTGAAAAATGTGCTGAAAATGAGATCTGTCGATAATTTTTATGTGGTTTTTTATGAAAATGTTATTGAGGGACTCGGAAAAATGGAGAAGGAGGTGAGTTTTTAATTTTGTACACTTTGCCACGTCATAACACTTTCAACTTCGAAGATTTAATTTTCAGAAAGCCGTCAAAACTCTTCAAAATGAAATCTCATTCATGAATTGGAAAATTGCTATTGAAGCCTGGCAAGCTGCCAACGGAAAATCGATTTTTGGAGGAACTGATTTAATTGTAGAGCAGATGCGCAATTTCATGAAAACTGGAATAAATGCTGAAGTTACAGAAAATTCGCCGAGTTTTAGGTAGTTTTGCCACCTCATAGTTAATCGTAAGATCAAAAAGCTGAAACTTCCTTGAAAAAAGTTCCAAACCCGAAATTGCTTCAGAGTGACGTGCAAAAGAGCTGGCGATAAAAGTGCTCATCAATTTTCATCAATGGACGCCGCTTGGAAATTTGGTGGACAAATCAATAATGTTTTTGGGTGGAGGACGAGTATGAAACAATTTGATATTGAAATTGTAATGAGGATTGAGAGGGATTCGGTAGGGATTTGAAGGGAATTTTTGAAAAAAAATATTTAATCTGAAAATTAATTTTAAAGAATTAAATTCAAGGAATTTTTTCAAAATAAGTAAAATTTCTAGAATTGAAAGATTATTTTGAAAAGATAAATTCTTAAATCAGTTCAAGAAATTATTTTTTCCTGAAAAACCAATCGATTCCTTCATCCAAACTTATCCACATTTTCCTCAATTTCAGATTCTTGTAATGATAGCCCTCAACAATGAATCCCTCTTTAAACGAAATATATCAGCATATGGTCCAACAACAATGCGTGCAACAATGTGTTATTCAATGATATCAATAGCTGATCCAAAACCAGGAGAACTGATAATTGATCCAATGTGTGGAGGTGGATCCATTCCGATTGAAGGAGCTTGTGCTTTTTCGGACTCATTTTTTATTGGAGGAGATAATCATGTTTTGGCGTTGGAACGGTGTTTTGCCAATTTGGTAGGAAATTTCCGAATTGAATAATGCTTGAAAAAATTAAAAATCAAATTTTGGAAAATAGAATTGATAATTTTCAAATTTTTCGATTCGATTTTCGTTTGGAAAAATCTCGAATTTTACGTGAGCTGTTTCCAGTAAATTATACGTTTTAGAATTTTTAGATCTTTCGGATTTCATTTTTTCGAACACTCAAGCTTCCACAGTCTGATTTAAAAAAACAAGAAATCTTTCGAGTGAAAGAAGAGTTATTTACAAAACATGAACGTTTCTAACATAAAATAAATTCCGGATTTGATTTTTCAGTCAAATTTTTGACTTTTCAAAAAAAGATTTTTCAGTTTGAGTGAAAATAATTTGACTGATTATTTTGAAAACCACTATTTTTCCAGAAATCTGCCTCTGAACAATTTCCAATTCCTTGCAATTTCTTTCTCTGGAATGCTTGTCATCTACCATTCAATGATAATTCAGTTGATGTTATTGTCACCGATTTACCATTTGGCAAAAAATTAGGATCAGTGATGGATAATCGACTACTCTACCCGAAATTATTAGAAGAATGGAAACGGATTCTGAAAATTGGCGGGCGACTTGTTATGATGACACATGACAAAAGAAGCATAGATTCAGCGATTTTGAAAGATCGAGATGCTTGGCAAACCGATTCAACGTATATTGTTAATGTTGGAGGATTATCTTGTTTATGCATCCGGTTATCAAAAATTTGAAAAGCTATTCAGATTTATTTATCATAAATAATTTATAATAAATTATAAGGCAGGTAGAAGAAGACAAAACCCGAGATAAAAACAAAAGGAAAATCAAACTAGACACGATGAACTATGGCACCAGGTTTTTTCAATATTTTTTCGGCCGCCGGAAATTGTGAAAAATGAAATAGGACTTCGCTAGCATCAACAGCTTTCAGAATATTTCCACTACATTTGATGGATTTTGTGGTTTTTGGTGGAATTGGTTGGAAAAATGATGTGGAACCAGTGGCCGGAACAGAGACTGCACGGGATATTAAATCACATTCGGCTTTCTGGAATAATCTTGGTTAGTTTTTTTGGGTTATAACGTGGGCAATGTTTTATTGGAAATCTTCGAAAATTTTAATTTTTGGGCAAAATTCATTGAAAATACCTCAGTATTTCTCAACAAATTCAAAATTTTTGAATTTTCAACAAATCTAAATAATCATACATGAAAAAAACTAATTGAAACCAAAAATCTGCACCCTCTATTAATTTTGAATAACCAGGAAATGAGTAGCAAAAACAGAAAAATTGGTCAAATTCCGGTCACAAGTACAAACCTCGGGTTGTTTGCAATGTTGAACTAAATGATGTTTGGCTGAAAGACAAGGCGATGATTCGATTATATTGTAGAATTCAGTTAGTTGAGCGATCTGGAATTTTAGACAGTTATTTTTTCACAAAGTCAATAGCTAACCTGTTTCCTATTATGTTTCCATTTTCGAAATCGATAAACACAGAATATTCCAGATATTAGAACGGCTACAAGAATTACAGGCAGAAGAGCGATTAGGGAATAATCTGAAAATAGTATGAGTGAATTATGACGTGGAAAAAAGCTCCTAAGTTTGCAATGTCATAACTCATTTCAAAGTTGAGTTAACTCCTGAAAAATTTTGACCCAAAAACCCATTATATTTTCCCTCTACAAAACCCCGTTCCAACCTGACACTTCAGTTCTTCTAAATTTCGGAATCATGTACAATTTTTCGCGCAATCTCAAATAATACATTTCCAACAAAAATAGAAACGTATTTTTTGTGGGCTAGAAAAATCATGCTTCGACGACTTTTGTTATGTTTGTTGACAGGAAACCCCTCTTTTTTGTGTGTGGAAATATTTCCAGATATTTTTAAGAGTCTCTAAATCCAATTTTCATCTACACAAAAGAAATTCTGCAGCGGTGGATGTCGAACTCGAGATCTTCAGATCAAAAGTTATAGCCTACGCCACTACCATTTTGAAAGTTCAAATTCCATCTAGTAATTAGTTACCTGAAACAACTTGCATCCGTCCATCGTGATGAAAATTATTAAAATCCCTTGGGGATTGAAGTTTTCGTAAATCGAAAAAATCCATCACATTGAAGTTTGACGAATTGTAATAAGTTGAAAAAGTTGAATTTCTTGAAAGATCATTTCGTAAATGACTGGCTGATAGTAAATATGTGGATGATCGCTGAATTAAGTTAGGATAACTTTTTTTCGAAAATTAAATGAATTCAGAATTATGATCTTGTTTCAAATAGAGTTCTAAAAATTTTGTGAGTCAGAAATAATGAAAGTAAAAGAAAAGAATAGTGGAGAAATGGGCGGAGGTTGGAATTATTTAGATATTTTTTATATTTATAATGGTGTCGTATTACTTTGGACTTATTTTCTATTTTTCCTAGTTTTTTTTGGCCTAATACAATGCAAAGAAAAATAAAAATAGGGAATCAAAAGTTCAATGAACTAATAACATTTTTTGAAGAGAAAGGAAAAATCCGATGTGATCTTATAATCTAGAATTTAAATATGTGAATGGGGAAAAAATTATTGAACAGTTTTTGGAAGCCGAAAAATATGGAGGATTCTTGGAAACTTGGTGTTTAAGATTTTCTGAAAATTTGTTATTTGATTTTTTTCCAAATTTCTTTTCAAAAGATCCACAAAATTAAAGCTATTCGAAAACAATCTAATCAAAAACATTCAACAGATCTCTGAATTTCAGAATTTCGAAAAAAAATCTAAAAACGTCGCGTGCTTTGGACTAATTTTCCAAAAAATTGTCTCCAGAAATAATTTTAAGCCTATTTTTAGATTATTTTTCAAAGTCATTTGTAAAAGCTTGGGATCTTGAAAACATGCATTCCAAATTTTTTAAAAATCATGTAACCTAGAGTTATTAAAAATCTTGAATTCTTCACTCCGAGAGCCACAAATTTCCCGATTCAAGAATCCTTGAAAACACAAAGTACAAGATTATTTTTAGGTAAAGCACTCCAGTCAAATAAATAGTGCACGTAAAAAAGTATCCAATTTCAATAAAAATTATAATTTATTTCTTTTCATAAGTAAATATAAAAATGAATAAAACTCACATTTTTCTCTTTCAAAAGTTGTTTTTCATAATGATAATATTTAGCCGCATTCAAAGGGTTCATCATTTTTTCTCGCTACGAAAAAAATGATGGAGAAAAGTAGCGATGAATGAAATGCTAATTTATATCTAGTCACTTTTTTCGTCTTTTTTTCTTATTTTTCTCGGCCCTGGGAATTTTCTAGATTATTTAGGATAACTTAATTTTATTTCACAAATGTTTTTGAAAAAAAGTTTAGTAAAAAAACAGCTGAAATTTGAAGTTAAAATAGATTTTTGAAGTTTCGAAAAAACAGCTGATTTTTTCACGCTGAAAAAAATCTCGAAAACACTCGAAAACTCGAAAATACTCACTCAGTTTCTGTGTTTTTTCAGTATTTTCTTTTTCCAAAAAAACACGGGAAATTTAGAAGTTCAATTTGGAGAAAAAACAAAACAAGGATGTGAATTTTCTTTATTTTGAACAGAAAGAAAAAAGAAGAAGTTACAATTTTTGGGAAAAAAAACGGAGTACTTGAGATTTTTTTTGGGAAAAATGTACGATTTTGGGAATTTTTCCGAACTAAACATTTCAGACACTTTGACATTTCTAGCTTGAAAATCATGATTTAAAAATTCCTGTTCTGCAGACATATTGAAATTTATCATTGTAAAATCATGATTTTTGAAAAACAAATTTCAGACAAAATTTTCCACGTCAAAGCTTTCCAGAGCCAAAAAAGCGTCATTATTTTTCTGGTTGAGAAATCACGAATTGCAACATTTCGCCACGTCATAGTTAAAGTGGCAAGAAATCAGAAATTTGAATTTTTTGGACTTAAAAAAAAGTTAGAATATTTCTTTCTCTTGTTAAAAATAAAATTTCAAATTTCAACATTTTACCAGTAAATCCAAAACTTATCGAAAACCCAAACTTCGCAAATTTCGAAAAATTAAGCTCAACTCACACTAAAATCACCAAAAGAATACAACATAGTTAGCAGAAATTCTTCTTCTGTTTGTTTTTTTTCAGAAAAAAAAAGATAAAAGTTCGCCATGTTTTTGGTTCATTAGTTCCCCGAAAATTTTGGGCAAAACCAAGAAAAATAGAAAAAATGGGAGAAATTTTTATGAGGATAAAATATGACCTCTTTTTTTTCATTTTTTTTTGGAAAATAGAGAAATTCCAATTATTTTCAGTTAATTATCCAGAAAATAATATATAATTTATAAAATGTTATACTTTTTGACAAGAAGACTAAAAATTAACTTTTTATGGGAATTAGCGAAAATTTGCAAAAAAAAATTCGCAAGCGGCAGGAATTGAACCTGAGACTAGAGATCAACAGTCAAAAATGTTACCCACTCGGTCAACTCACACTTATTTGACGTAAGTGAAAATGTATAGAGAAAACGCTATTGCAGAAAAATTTAATTTCGAAACCCTTGTAAACAAAAAACCTCAAAAAAAGAAAAGAAATGGGAAAAGTGTCCTGGTAATCTTGAGAAAAATCCTATTCCCAAAAAAGAGCCCAAAAAGAGCATTCATTTTTCGCCGAAAATTCCATTTCCTTTTTTTGGTGCTCAGTGAAAGTGCAAAATAAGATAAGAAAAAGGATGAAAATGTGTGTTTTTTTGGGTTTTCGAAATGGAGAATTGAAAAACGACATGATTTATTTTGAAGAAATTCACAGAAAAAAACAATTAATTTTCTTTGTATTTAGCCATTTTTTCTAGATATTTTGTTATTTTTCGAAAAAAAATAGAAAAAAAAGAAATGAATGAATTGAGGAAAAAATGTCAAGAAGAGTCGAATCAACAATTTTTTCTCGAGAGCAAAAAAAGCGACATATTTGAAATTCATGTCCAGATTTTTTCATCGGAAAAAAACGCGGGGAGAAAAGGGAAATTTTATTTGGTTGACTTGAAAATGTTATGAATATTTTATAGAATTTTTTGACTCCAGATTTTTTCTTATTTTTCTCAAAATTTAATTTTTAGATTTTCAGAGCCACCCAAATTTAGCGCTAACTTTTCTGATCTACGGTTTGACTGAAAAAATAACTTGCAGAAAATTAGGGGCTGTGAAAAATGCATTAAAATTCTGCAAATTTTTAGAACTGCCAAATTTCTAGAGAAAAAATACTTTTTAAAACTCAGAAAAATATATTGAGAGTCAGAACCTCAAATTTTTTTTGCCCTAGAAAAAATTCAAGAATATTTTTCAATTCATATAAATCTTCTAAAGATTCTCCAGAACTCAGAAAAAATCTATAGTTAGAAAAAAGTTCCTAACCAATGTTTTTCCAAAAAAAACAACCAATAATTTCAGTGTTCCCACGAAACAAAAAACAATCATCAAGAATAAGACAACAAATTTTTCCCACCTACCTGTCTCAAATTTTTTCTCGCAATCAAAACAAGTCTATCAAACTCCATAATTTTCGCAAAACTTTTTGTAAAATGCAAAATTTATATTCAAATAAATAAATATATATAGAAAATATAGTTAAAGAAATGAAAATAATAATAATATTCACAACAAAAAAACACAGAGCAAATCTGAAAATAATTGGAAAAATCGAGTATTTTCAGATGTTGTTTTTTGTTTTTATGGCTCAAAAAGATTGTTCACTCGAGCAATAATTTTTTCATGTCTTTTATTATTTATGGCCAAGGTTTTTTCAGAATATCAGACAGGTAAAGGAAATTGTAATACAGATAGAAAATTGAAGAAAAATAATTAAAATTCTCTGAGCATCACAGATTGTTTTCGTGTTTTTCACAGCACAGAAAAATAAAATAAAATCGAAAAAAACACATAAAAAGTGCACATGTTCATCTGAGATGGATGGCCGTAATTCGATTACTTTTTCCTGATTTTTTTGTTAACACGGCAAAGAGCGAAAAAGGATTTTCGCTCAGTTTTCTTCTCTCATAAATTACAAAGCGGGGTGGCCAAAAGCCTTTTGCTTTTCAAAATTTTACTCCAAGTTCCATTCGCCGGTGAACTTTTTTGAAAATCAATAAAGAAGGGCCCCGAAAAAATGACTTTTGACTCACTTTTTTCTGTGAAAAGTCTGTGGGAAAGAAATATTAATAATTCATTTGAGATAAAAATAAATAAACACAAATTTTCTCGAGAAAGCAACAGACTTTCCTTGAAATTGGCTTGATTTGAAGTTTTTTCTCATAAAAGTTCAAGGTTGGAAATTGCTATTGGAAAGGAAAATGAAAAAAAAATAATTTTTCGTTTTTTATTAAATTTTTTTGGACCTCAAATCCACGTGAACAAAGAAATTCCATTTCCAGAAAAAAATCGTAAAAATTATTTTCATGATGACTATAAAAATGATGTATTTTATGGACCGAGAAATATATTCACATAAAAAAAATTGAGATTTGCTCTAGAATTTTGTGAGCTATTCAATTCGTATATGAAATCATAATAACAAAGAGTTCTTCCAGAAATGAATTGAACCCAAAAAGTGAGCCAGGTGGAATTTCAATTTTATTTCCAAAACAATCAGAAATATAGCCCAGTTTGAAAAATTAATTTTTCCTGAAAACCCATTTTTCCTGTCAACAAACAATTTTCCAAAAGTCGTCGTCACCTCTCCCAAAAAAAATGAAAATCCCAAAACTGACCATTGATTTGCAAAGGCTGATGATTGTGTTGTTGTTGTTGAATATCACTGCTGGCCTGAATCGATTCTCGAAAAGTATGTGAAGCTTGGCGAATTGGAAGTTGAGAAATCAGCGAGTTTTGGTATGTGAACGCCATCCATATCTTAAAAATATTCAGATTTTATCGAAATTAAATATAATTCAGAGCAAAATATGGGCTCAAGATGAACAAAACCCGAGAAAATTTCAGAAATTTAAAAAAAAAAATTCAACGTTCTTGGTTAAGATAAAACTTCAAGTAAAAATACGATTTTATCCAAATATTTGAGAAGAAAAAAAATCCCAATGGATTCATTTATTACGGGGAATTTATTACGTTTAGATAAAAAAGTCCGCCCGCTGGGAATACCATTTTGAACCAATAGGCCTGAGCACTAAAACACAAATAAATTGAGAAAAAAAACTTCGAATACTGCAGATATTAATTAATTTTTGATAATTAAATGAGTTAATGAGTATTTTGAAAATGGAAACCAAAAAATATTTTGAAGAAGAAATTTATGATTTCAATTTTATGTCATCGTAAAAATAAAACATGATTTATTTGATTTGGGCGGAAAAAATTGTCTTGCATAAAAATTTTTAAATAGAAAACTTCATTTTTTTCAATTTCTGAGATGACAATGAAAATGATTAATTTCTGCCACGTCATAACTTTTTTTTCATAATTTCAAAAAATTAAATTGGTAATAAAAAGAAATTTCGAAAATAGTGAAACTTCTTGAAAATTAATCATTGACTAAGAATGAATAAAACCTATTAGACCGGAAAAGTTCAACAATCAAATTTCAAAAATAAAGTTCTGAAACATTTGAATGAACAACCTTTAACTTGAAGAAATAACCTTTCTGAAAGAAAATCAATCAGAATTTTAGAGAAAAGAAAGTTGAATCTAAATTTGAAAAAAAAATCCAATTTAAAAGTTTCAGGGTCAAGAGAGATGAGTCTAATTTAAGGCTTTTAGGTTTTGATTTGCGTTAAAAGTTTAAATCACATATATAATTTTTCTAAACTTGTAAATATTCCAAACTTTTTCTGAGCTCAGCAAATATATGAAATTCCGAAAAATCACAGTTTCCAAGCTAAAAAAAACCAACAAAATTGACTAAAACACAACAAAAAAAGCAGCAGAAAAAATGAACTGAAAGGATATTGAATAAAATATGAAATGAAATTAGGCTCATTTTTTTTTGAAAACATGATGATTCTTCTTTTTGCAAAATTCACTTTATTTATTCATTTTGTGCTTTGTTTTTTGCAAAAACAACAAAAAGTGAGAAAAATGAATATTTTTGGGGGAAAATAAAAGGAAGAGGAGAAGAAAAAGGCATTTTTATGTATGTATAAAGAAAAAAAAAAAGAAAATACAATTTGATTTTTATATTTTTGCCCAAAAAAATCTTCGCCACGTCATAACTCATGAAAAAATTGGCCAATTTTCTTTCTCTCTCTCTCACAAAAAGGATAATAATATAAGTTCTCGTTATTTCTCTTTTTGTTTGAAAAAATATTCCCAGCCATTTTTTGCAGCATTCAGAATAAAACATTAATCAATTTTATGCATGTTTTTCTTTTTTTTTCGCTCCCAAAAAATATGGAAAATAAATATAGAAAATATAAAAAACAAAATGTCGAATGTTGATAAACTGCGCACCTCATAAATTTTTCTAGCTTTTTTCTCAAAGGAAAAACGATGGGGTGGAAAACAAAAGTGCAGAATTCTTCTGATTTATTTCAGAAAAAATGGTGGAAATGTGTTTTGCAGCATGAATATTTCATGATTTTTTAGGCCGCGTTGACAAAAAACAGCGGAAATTCGAATATGCTTGCTTTTCTGCCACATACTTGAAAATAATGCACTTTTCCTTTTATGTTCAAAAAAATATAAAATAAAAAAGCGGTCAGTACTTCTTAGAGGATTGAAGAAACATCACAACCTGTCAGCTTCAGTTTGTTATCGTCACACCGCGGCGGGCAGCGGGAATCGAACCGCTACCAATTTTCTAGCGAGCGCAACACTTAACCACTCGACCACAACGTCAACAATTGCGACGCGCCGAAATTGCGATGAAAAGAGAGAGGAAAAATAAATGATATTTATTGTGTTGAACAGAAAAAAAGAGAACAAAAAGAAAAGAGTGCGTTATTCGTATCTAATTGGACGTTTTGTTACATACCGGAATCGACGGCTGAAAAAATGAGTTAATTTATACTTAGTTTTGCTCGAAGATGTTTGGTGTTTTCGAGGAATATCTAGCAAATATATTAATCAAATACAACAATAACAAAATCTATTAAAATAACTTTATTATTTACAAACCACTTCACAACTTTTAAAAAACATTTTTCGCCAAACAAAAAACAAAATTTCAAAATTCAAATAATCAACTACGACACTCCGCATGCCTGTAGTTTACTTTTTCTTACTTTTCTTCTCCCCCTCTCTCTCGCTTCCACACTCTCTCCTATAAACTAGCGTCTTTTTCTTCTATTATCATTACCCTTCAATTTGCTCTTATTATTTATTCCACTCTTTTCTATTATTATTAATTATTTTATCTCATTCCTCCGCGCATAAGTTAGGTATAGCTTCCATATAAGGTCCAGCTTAAAGAGGCATCACTGATGAGACCTCCTCTTTGCCGTCTGATGAAAAGGTCGAAACGGCTTCCCTTGCGTTCTCTATTTACTTATTCACTTCTAGTTTATTTAATTTTCCCCTCTCTACTTTCTTTATTTTTCAATTATTTTCTCTTTCTTTAATGTTCAAAAAAATATAAAATAAAAAAAGCGGTCAGTACTTCTTAGAGGATTGAAGAAACATCACAACCTGTCAGCTTCAGTTTGTTATCGTCACACCGCGGCGGGCAGCGGGAATCGAACCGCTACCAATTTTCTAGCGAGCGCAACACTTAACCACTCGACCACAACGTCAACAATTGCGACGCGCCGAAATTGCGATGAAAAGAGAGAGGAAAAATAAATGATATTTATTGTGTTGAACAGAAAAAAAGAGAACAAAAAGAAAAGAGTGCGTTATTCGTATCTAATTGGACGTTTTGTTACATACCGGAATCGACGGCTGAAAAAATGAGTTAATTTATACTTAGTTTTGCTCGAAGATGTTTGGTGTTTTCGAGGAAAAAGAAAATGAAACAATGGGGAAATTGTCTGCTTAACTCTTTTACTTTTTAATTGTATGATTTTTTAATTGTCCAAACTTGAAGGAATTAAACACCGAAATCCCAAACCTAAAAAAAAGAACGGAAAAATAAGAGTGTCAACACCGATTGCCCATACAGAAAGAATTTAAAAAAAAATTTTTTTTGATCTACCCCGCTAAAATTTTTCTATTTTTCGCGAACTAAAAACTCATCGATTTTTTTCCATTTTCATTATTTTGTGTATTTTTTGGCCGTGCAAGGATGTGAGAGATAAGTTTTTTAGGGGGTTATTTTATAATTTCAAAAGCTTCAATAAATTTCGAAATCATAGCCACTCGGATCCTCAAAAACTAGAGAAAGTCTGCGCGCGCTCCCTGAGTTAGTACCGCCTACCAGCTTCTGAAACCCAAAGCCATTCATTTCACATGAGTGAGGATTCTTCATTGAATCCCTTTGCTGCGGCCGGAAAACAGTGACGGGAGTCGCATTGGGTTTTGCGCATCGTTTATGATGTTTTTCTGGTGAAGAGTGAGGCAAAACATGGGAAATGAAAAAGGGATGACGCTTTGAAAAAAACGTCATCCCTTTTTCAACGATTTTTCTATTTTCATTTTTGTTTTTTCTAGCAGGCGATTCGAATGTGGCTGGATGGATGGATTTGGTATAAGATCGAGGCGACAATTCATCGCAGTCCACTCTGAGGTAGGAGAATATCTCAAAACGTTATGAAAAACTGCTTTGTTAACAACATTCGATATCATTCGATAGGAAAACGAAAATTTCTCGAATATTCGAGAAATTTTCGTTTTCCTAGTCCAAAAAAAAAACAACTACAAATTATGCGCCAAGTCTCACAAGACTGGGGCAATTTCTGTGCACACTGTTTTCCCGCAAAATTTTAATTTTTTTTTGAAAAAAAAAAGATTTCACGTTTTTGTATTTAAAAATCAATTCAGTTATTTCTAGATCTACTATTAATTATAAACAGTCGAACAATTGCAAGAAGTCTGGGAATTTCAACGAAATGATGTGGAAATTATCAAAATTCTTAGTGAGTTTGGGGTTTTCGGGAATTTAAAAAATAATTTAGTGCTAGAAGGTCGAACTTTTGATATTTTACCCTTTCCTCATAAATTAAAAGGCTACATAATTTTCTCTAGCTTAAAAAACTCTGGAACTCATAAAACTCACGTAGTTGTTTCCAGTTCCGGATAATCTTCCTCTTCTTCTGTAATTATAAGTGGTAATTGTTCAGATGTTGTTTCGGCTCCGAATTCAGTCGGAACATCAATCATTTCTCTAGGCATAACATCTTCCAAAACTTCAGGAGCTCTTCGAATTTCATTTGAATAACCTGGAGCTTTTCCTCCGAATACGTGATCTTCGATAACGACTGGGGTTTCTGTTGTGGTGCTTGAAGTTTCGGTTGTTGTAGATTCCTGGGTGGTTGAAGTCGAGGGAATCTCGGTAATAGGCACAGCTTCAGTGGCTGTCGTTGTTATTACTTGCTCGGTTACTGGAGGAGCCGGAACAGCAATTGTCACTTTAGGCTCAGCCTCTGGTGAAGCTGGTGGTTGTGGAACCTTTCTTGTCTTCGATTTCAGAAGTTCCAGTTCCAGCGGACATGGACAGAACTTGATATCAGCCCCCTTGTCACCGGTGATACCTTTCGGTCCCCGATCTCCAGGATTTCCAGCAGCTCCATCCAACCCACTTGGCCCAGGCTGTCCAATAGGCCCAGGTGGCCCATAAATATAGTTTCGCTTTCCACGAGGCCCTTGTAAGCCAGGTCCACCTTTTGCTCCTGGAACTCCTTTTGGTCCACGCTCTCCAATTCCACCCATCGCTCCTTTTCCATCCGGCCCTTTTCTTCCACGATGTCCTGGAGGCCCTGGTGGTCCAATTGGTCCCTCTTCTCCCTGCTCGCCATCCAATCCATCTTGTCCAGGAATTCCTGGGATACCTTTCGAACCTTGGTCACCAGTCTCACCACGATCTCCTGGTGCACCTGTTGGTCCAACTTCACCCTGTGGACAGATAATACATTCTTGTTTTGCTTGCAATTCTTCCATAATATCTCGTGCATCTAATCCACGTATTCCCTTTGGACCATCTTGTCCAGCTTTTCCATCTAAACCATCTCTACCAGGTGGACCTGGATAACCTGGTTCACAATGGATTGGCGCTGATCTTTTGGTGATTTGCAAGAATTCTTGGTTAGAGAGTTCAGCGTTAATTTCAGCTTCCACAATCTGAATTTTTTTTTAGAAATTCTAGGGTTCTGTCTAATTTTCCCGATTCACCTTGAAGAATTGAATTCTCATCATAACTTCTTCATGTGCAGATTCAGCTTGCGAAATAATATAAGGTAAATAGAAAACATGTCCCATTAGAATGGTACATGATAAAACCGCTGTTGAGAATGCTATTGTATGTAGCCACATAGTGAAAACAAAAAAAAATGAAATGACTGATGAAGAAAGTAGCTGACCCAAATTAATGCTTGACCTAACTTTTTATCAAAAAAAGGGAAATGAGAAGATATGTAGAGAGAGAGAGAAAACTTCATTACAATTATAATTAGTCAGCGGATTTTTTGCAAATCGCAAAACTGAACTTCTGCGAACAAACCACAGTTTGTAACTCTCGATTTTCATCGATTGCTGTACAATAAGAAGCTGATGATCCAGCGATTTCATGAGCATTTGGATCAGTTACCGCGTTATTGATCCATGTTTCAAATCCTCCGAAGTATCCTATAAATTGAATTAAGTAAGATCACAAATAAATATTATCTAAAGAGCTGGCATCAATTGAAGAGTAAAGATTCTGCTTCGAAAATCATAGAGGTGATAAATACCTGCGACAAAAGTCGTTTCATCAGAAGTTTGGAGATCCGCCAACTCTCCTCCAAACGCATAGCAACCTTTCTTCGCAGTTGAGATATCTACAGGAGTTGCAGATTCGACGAGCTGAAAATACACAGATATTAGAGCCTGAGAACTGATGGTGAGGTAAAATAATTACCGAATAGCAAGAGTCCTTGAAAAACACCCAACCAGTTTCACATTTTGATTCACACGTGTAAGATTGTTTCGATGTTGTAGTGGATACGGTAGGTACTTTGCTTGTGAGTACGGTAGTCGGTACTGTAGTAGCTTTGGTTGTGGATGAGATAGCTGGTACGGTAGGTACTTTGCTTGTGAGTACTGTAGTCGTTACTGTAGTAGCTTTGGTTGTGGATGAGATAGCTGGTACGGTAGAAGCCTTGCTTGTGAGTAAGGTTGTCGATAATGTTGTAGGAGTTGTAATTTTTGTCGTTTTTACTGTAGTGACTTCTTTGGTTGTGGAAGGTACTGTAGTAGGTTTTGTGCTCGTGGTTGATGAAACTGTAGATGTAGGTTTTAAAGAGGTTGTGGTAGGTACCGTAGTAAGTTTTGTAGTTGTTGGTTGTGTAGTCGTTTTTGTTGTTGTGGTTGATAAAACTGTCGATGTGGTAGTATCACCCGGACAATATTTACACAATGCTGGAATACTCTCCGAACAATTGTATGGATTTGTCTGACCTTGCTGCGCAAATAAGTTCAATATTTTTGCAAGAAGTCCATCAATAATCTCAACACAACTATGATCCATTTCAACATCCGAATTATCGAAAAACCATCTAAAAACTTCGGTTCCATCTGTATTTGTCCAAACTCCAGGGATTTCAGTTTGCGATAACGCGGTCCATGCGTGAATTGAATCGAGAAGTGTCGAGTACTGTTCTGAAATTTCAAATCAAATGGTTTCTTGAATCCCTCAAAACTCTTACTAGCAATCCAGACCGATTCCTCTTTACTATGTAGCGATGCCAATCTCCCATATGGATGCAATGCTTGACATCTCGATTCTCCAGTCTCCCAGGGACCTCTTTCCTCGGAAACCAGATAGCAACATCCATTTCCAGAATATTGTTTCCATCCAGCGTCACATGATTCCGACGAATCCATTAGAACTAGATTTTGTTGATTTGAATCGGATAAATAGGTTTGATTCTGTTTTTGTTGGCCTTTCAAAATCGAGTATAGATCTCCTAACTTGATAGTTTTACCCTCCAAATGATGTGCCCATTGTGAATCATCTGAAATTCAGTTAGAACTTTTGGGAATTGCTAGTGAAAAATTCACCTAAACATGAAATACAATATACCGATACAAAAATAGAGAATAATTTCAACATTCAATCTTTTGAACTATTTTATTTGATTTAATCTGCAACAAAATGTTATATGATCTGAATTAAACCACGCAAAACTAGTGTTCAAAAATCAGCAGTTTTTCAAAAATACATTATTTCAAAACTCAAATTAAAACGATATTATAATTATTGTTTTTTGGCAACTTTTTCATAATTTTCATTTCGATTGGTCGTGGTTCAATTATTGAACATCGATTTGCAGTAGTGTTATCAAGAGAGCAAGTTAGACACATTTTGAATAAACGGGAAATAGTCTTACGATAACTATTGATTATAAACATATTTGGAAGGGGATCTATTGCGGGATAAATTGCAATTGTTATTGCAACAAATGAACTTGTAAACCCAATATCTATATGTAACATTGGGAAAATGAATAGAATTGCAATTGGAATATACATAAGAATTAACGGAATACATGTTTGCACAACTAAAGCTTGAAATAATTGTTGTTGAAGGCCTTTTGTTTTTCTTGATGTTTGATCCGATTTTCGAAGTGCTTTTCTGATCAGACAATAACATTTAATTCCGAAGTAAAATACTGCCCACATTGATGTCAACTGTTTAATTATAATTGGTTTCTTGGGATTTGATTCGAGGTAGAAGAGTTCTTAGAAATAACAAAGGGCAGTTGTTGTCACTTTAAATTAGAAAAGATCCTATTCCTTATCTTAGGCCCTAATAAAAATGACCCATTACCCCATCACCAGGTATTATTGAAAAAAAATCTTACGATTTCTATCCAACAAACTCCAATCGCAATAAACACTTGATAATCTGGATAACTTTGTCCATCTTCGTCAAATGGATGAAACAGTACACAAATATATGAAGTTGTTTCAATTTCAAGATCGTACGTTTCCAAAATAGTTGATCGCATATAATCATCTCGTTCTTGGTTCATTTCAAAAAATAAAAAACAAACGAGTCCCCAGAAAAATGAGTAGATCAATGGAATTGAGAAGAGCAAATATAGTTTTGTCCCTTTTAGATATTTATCCCAGAAGATTCTGTTGATAGCACCATATCTATAGATAAAATGAATCCCGAAAATGGCTAATGAGAATCCAAAAAATGCACAATAAATGACTATTAGTAGAAATCCTTGGTCTCTTGATAAATGGTCTTTTTTCAAGCTTAGAAAAACAACAAAAGCTGAGCCATAAGAATGAACATGCTGTAACTTTTTGTGTATGTTTTCAAAAAAAAGTTCTTACCGGTTCCGCAATCAAATCCCAAATTGAATAGACAATTTCGAAAACCGAAATATAAATCATCAAATATTTGTACATTCCAAGTTTTTTTGGTGACCGCAACAAAATTAGGAATATCAAAATTATGTTGAGATTCAACGACACGATTGTGCACAAAGATTGATTGAAACTGTGGAATTTTTCCCAAGTTTGAGAAAGCGCCATGGTTTTTGATAAGTGAATTTTAAGAGGAGTAGTAGGGCTTGAATACGAATTTTATAGCGCTATTCTGATGGGAATCGAATTTGATTGTTTTGACAAAAATGATTTCTGATGTGTTTGTGAACATTCCAAGAAAGGACTTGCCTAAAACTTTGATCTGAGTTTTCTTCAGAAAAATTTGAAAAACAATGGAAGTCTTGGCAAACGCAGAAAGGGTTCACGAAAGAGAAAAATATTTTATGATCTACTTACCAGAAATGTTTTGTAAACTTAGTGTCTAGCGGTGTGTGATAGTAAAATGTGTTTTGAAAAGCGAATCTGACTGCCCAGAGGCTTTTTCAACATCTGATCTTAAAAAATCTAAACTTGCTCGCAACTTTTATTTAACATTAAGTCAATCAACCAATATCAAGAAAAACCAATAACAGGAAAATTAAGCGCAACTTGTTACAAAAAATCAAATCTTTTTAACTGACACAACCCAGCAATACGTTCCATTGACTGAATGTTGAATGATTTCGAGTTTAATAGTATATCCATCTGATTCATTATCTGATATTTTATTAAAGATATCAATCTGTAATTTTCAAACTTGTTTTTAATTTTTCACCTCTTTCAACTTACAATATTTCCAAAATATTCATGATGTATTTGAGTTGGTTCTCCATATGCGATATGGGATGTTGAAACTTCAATAACAAATTTAATTGTGTTATGATGTTTTTCAAAATCCATAAGTCGATCAATTCTTTCGATAGAACTTTCACTTGTATGATTCCATCTTCCATGTTTGTTTTGTTTGAATTTTGATTCGAAAAAATCTCCGTTTAACATTTGAATTTGTGGATCATGAATAACTGACGTAACATGTTTATCAATCAGCCAACAATAATATTTCACAACTCCATTGATTGTTTTGATTGATGTTATAACAGCTCTACAAACTGTTTCATCCATGTTTTTTCCTACGTATCTTTTTTTAAGCATTTCTAATTTTTTTGGCTTGTTTTGATGAACTCTTGCAAACATTTTGTTCTCTTCTTCTTTAACATGTTGAGCACTAATAACTTTCCAAACTGCTCGTTTTTCTATTACAGTTTCATTCGGCACTTTACGAACAACTTTGATTTGTTTATAAACTCCTTTCGTATTTAGAATTCCTGCAGGGTCACTGAAAAAAATATAGTAATGAGCTTGCACGTTTTTTTCAGAAATTGGGAAAATTGCAATTCGAGAGAGACACAGAGAAAGAAACACAACACCTTCCAATCGAAATACGAAACACCAAATCCGGTTCCTCGTTTCGAGACCAAACGCGGGAAAAGTTTTTTTCAAATTTTATCGGATTGAAAAATCTCTGCGTCTCTCTCGATTCACCCTGTAAGAGGCCGTGCTTACAGTGAGATCTGATCCGGGGGTTTTCTTTTATCAAAGTAACTTACGAAATCAATCCGAGATGTTCATTTCTAATATCTCCTCCGTCATAATCTATACGAGGAATCGTCACAAAAATAGATTTTCCAACATTTTCTGTTTTCAAAATTTGATTAGATAGTTTTGTGAAAGAACGGCAAGTAAATTGTGGCGTATTCTCATTTGGTTTAATTGGGAAATGCTTTTCCAATTCAGTTTTTGTCAAATTCATACGAATCCAATCAGTTACATTTATTTGATCTTCTCCACTATTCATCAATATCATATCATGTCCTGGATATGCATTTCTTGTCCAAACATAACAGCGACTTGGATATTTTGGGAATTTATGAACAACAATTCCAATGATTTGTTGGGTTTTTGACTCCTCTTCAAATTCTGACTTTTTCATTTGTTGTGGTTTCACGGTTTTTGGCGGTTTTTGTGGACCAAAAGTCTGTGAAAAAGAAACCATAGGTGGCGTCTTGTTTTCATAATTTTTAGATAATTGCGTGACTGCTGCAGTGCCTGGATAATAATAATTATATTGTATTTTAGAATTCTCGAAATTCGGTTTCACTGTAAAAATCGGTTTTTGAGATTGGTAAATAGAGAAATCTCGATTTTGATGAGATTTCGATGAACTCGAGGATTCTGGCTCATTATTTATATTTATATTATTCATCTGATTCACGATATTTTTCGAGGACATAAGTCGTGCAGTCCATTTAAACGGCAAATTTATTCCATCGTTCCCATCCTGATACCAAACTTCGACGTTTTGAGAAGTATTCCACAAACTTGAGCCAATTGGAAGCAAGCTGTTCATTCTTCCGAACATTGGTGAATCGAAGTATACTGTGAAGCCATCATGCTTGACTCTAGCAAACACACCTTCTCCCTAAAATTATGTATTGTTGCGAAATATTGCATACGGGAGGAGAATGTTCCGAACTTTGGCTTTTTGATATTTGAATTCAAAGTTCATTTTTGTTTGCAAACTTACAATTGTGTTTGGACCACTTGGTTTGAAACGAATCCCACTTTTATGATTATCTATTTTGTTGATTTTGAAAATCAAACCGTCCTCAAAAGTAACCATACAAAAATCGCCAAGTGAAACATGAAACTTATTCAAGTTCAATTCACTTATTTCCTCGGATTTTGATCCATCGATCCTAAATTTAAATTGATTCTGAGTAAACTTTTTCGAATTTGGTGATTTATTTGACTCACGTAACCAGTAATATTTTTCCTAAGCGCCTCCGAACAGCAATCATCTCGAATTTCACCATTTTTAAATATAAGTTTCTAAATACTAATGTGTTAGTTGTGCAACTGATAATAAAATAAATGAGAAAAGTGACATCTACTTATTTATACCCCCATATTTCATAACCAATTTTGATAAGGAATTTGAGCAACAAATCTAATTTCAAGCAACTTCAAGAGATTCTCAACAATATCTGAATATATGATCTTGATCAGGGTGAAATTGTCTATCTGATAGGATGAGTTAGATTTTTGAGATGTAACTTTTTCTGACACACTTCCGCCATAGATTTGTTATCAGTTTTGGTTTTGTTAAGAACACTGGGTTATCAATGAAACGCTCAGTGCTTTTCGTTTAGAAAATATTTTTTGTTCAAAAAATATTCGAGATAAAAAAGAATGAACATGCTACAATTAATTTTTGAAAAGATTTGAGAGAGAAAAAAGTTCACACCGGTTATGCAATCAAATCCCAAATTGAATGAATAATTTTAACTGAAATATAAATCATCATATATTTGTACATTCCAAATTTTTTTTGAGGACCGCATAAAAAATAGGAATATCAGAATTATGTTGAGATTTAATGAGCAGATTGTGCACAAACATTGATAGATACTGTGGAATTTTTCCCAAGTTTGAGAAAGCGCCATGGTTTTTGATAAGTGGATTTTAAGAGGAGTAGTAGGGCTTGAATACGAATTTTATAGCGCTATTCTGATGGGAATCGAATTTGATTGTTTTGACAGATTTAATTTCTAATGTTTTTGTGAATATAATATCAAAAAAAAATCGGGACTTGCCCTAACTTTGATACATTAAAAACTGATGAATTTCTAGATCTCGTTTATTTTCTTAAAACTTTTGATTCAGTCAGTATATTAGTTTTAATAAAGTAAGTATAATTAAGTTCAAACAAAAAAACGCAGAAAAAGTTACAACTTTTTGACTGAAAATGCATGATTGAAAACAACCCAGTGATATGTTCCACTGACTGAATGTTGAATGATTTCAAGTTGAATAGAAGATCCATCTGGTTCATTTTCTGATACTTTATTCCAGATATCAATCTGTAATTTTCAAACTTGTTTTTAATTTTTCACCTCTTTCTCTTTTAACTCACAATATTCCCAAAATATTCATGATGTATTTGAGTTGGTTCTCCATATGTAATGTCAGATGTTGAAACATTTACAACAAATTTAATTGTATCAAAATGTCTGTCATAATTTAAAAGTCGATCAATTCTTTCGATTGAACTTTGATTTATATGAATCCATCTTCCATATTTGTTTTGTTTGAAATTTGATTCGAAAAAATCTCCGTTTATCATTTGAAGGGTTGGATCATGAATAACTGACGTATCATGTTTATCAATCAACCAACAATAATATTTCACAACTCCATTGATTTTTTTAATTGATGTTACAACACCTCTACAAAGTGTTTCATCCGCTCCTTTTTCTACATATTTTTTTCTATGGACTTCGAATTTCGGTTTGATCTCTTTTGGCTTGTTTGGCTGAACTTTTGCATACATTTTGTTTTCTTCTTTTTTGATTTGAGCACTTATGATTTTCCAAACTGTTCGTTTTTCTATTACAGTTTCATTCGGCACTTTGCGAACAACTTTGATCTGTTTATAAACTCCTTTCGTATTTAGAATTCCTTCAGGGTCACTGAAAAACAAATTATATTTGTGAGTTAAAAGTGAGGGTAAGTTGAAATTGGTCCAGGGTTCCGGACAAAACTAACAATTTGAAAAAATGACGTCCGGGCCTTTTCAGAGTGAGGGCATAATTCAAAAGCCTTTATGGCCGGCTTTTTCAATAAGCCTGATTTTTTTAAAATTTAAATACTTACGCTATCAATCCGAGATGCTCATTTCTGATATCTCCTCCTTCATAATTGAGATGAGGAATAGTAATCATAACAGATTTTCCAGCAGTTCCGGTTTTCAAAATTTGATTAGATAGTTTTGTGAATGAATGACAAGTAAATGGTGGCGTATTCTCATTTGGTTTAATCGGGAAATGCTTTTCCAATTCAGTCTTTGTCAAATTCATACGAATCCAATCAGTTACATTAACTTGATCTTCTCCACTACTCATCAATGTCACATCAGTTCCTGGATATGAATCTTTTGTCCAAACATAGAAGCGACTCGGATATTTTGGGAACTTAAAAACAACAATTCCAGTGATTTGATGTGTTTTTGACTCCTCTTCAAATTCTGACTTTTTCAGTTGTTGTGGTTTCAACATTGGCAGTTTTTGTGGGCCAAAAGTCTTTGACCAAGGAACCATAGGTGGTAGCTTGTTTTCATGATTTTTGGCTAATTGAGTGACCGCTGCAGTATCAGGATAATGATGATTTTGTAATTTAGAATTCTCAAAGCTTGGTTTTAATGGGACAATCGGTTTCTGAGATTTGTAATCCTGATTTGGATAAGAATTCGAATAACTGGAGGATGATTGTGGCTCATTATTCATACTCATATTATTCATCTGATTCACGATATTTTTAGCAATTCGTGCAGTCCATTTAAACGGCAAATTTATTCCATCGTTCCCATCCTGATACCAAACTTCGACGTTTTGAGAAGTATTCCACAAACTCGAATCAATTTGATCTAAACAATTCATTCTTCCGAACATTGGTGAATCGAAGTATACTGTTGATCCGTCATGTCTAATTCTAGCGAAAACACCTTCTCCCTAAAATAATCGATTAATTTACATGTGTTGCAAAATATTGCATAGGGCAGGGGGTTAGTATGAAAAAACGTTCAGAATTCAAAATTGGGAAACGTTGATTTTAAACTCCAAGATTCAGGACCATAATCAAACTTACAATTGTGTTTGGACCACTTGGTTTGAAACGAATCCCACTTTTATGATTATCTATTTTGTTGATTTTGAAAATCAAACCGTCCTCAAAAGTAACCATACAAAAATCGCCAAGTGAAACATAAAACTTATTCAAGTTCAATTCACTTATTTCCTCGGATTTTGATCCATCGATCCTAAATTTAAATTGAGTAAACTTTTTCGAATTTGGTGATTTATTTGACTCACGTAACCAGTAATATTTTTCCTAAGCGTCTCCGAACAGCAATCATCTCGAATTTCTCCATTTCGAAAGAAATGTTTCTAAATACTAATGTGTTTTAGTTGAGCAACTGATAATAAAATAAATGAAAAGTGACATTTACCTATTTTATACCTGCATATTTCATAACCATTTTGATAAGGAATTTGAGAAAAATGTGATTTTATGCAACTTCGAGAGATTTTCAACAACATCTGAATATATGATAATGATCGGGGTGGAATCATCTATTTGATGAAATCGGTTAGATTTTCGAAATTTAATTTTTTTTGACATCCGTTTGTTATGAATAATATGTATGTGCTTTATCAGTCGTAGTTTTTTTGATGACACTTTTGTTATCAATAGGGACACTTTGGGAAATTATGGTTTTCCAAATTCCAAAAAGGAAATTTCATAAGATCTAAAACATATGAGTCAAATATAGTTTCTCGAAACATATTCCACTGAAAAGAAAAACTTCAGAAATATATGCTGAATTATTTTATTTCCCAAACAGTTCAGAAACCCCCAAAAAATTATTGTTTCTTCGGTTTTCCGGCTCCAATCTCAACAGTGAGTTGTTGCTCGTTACTTCCACTGTCGTTTCCTTGACTGCTATCGCTACTATCATCTGTTCCATCTCCGTCTCCGTTTCCATTTCCATTTCCATGATTATGGCGATGTTTTTTGCATTGATGACGATGATGTCTTCCTTGATTTCCTTCTTCCGGATTTCCCATCGCTGAAACAGCTACGAAGAAAATGGCAAAAATAGTGAGAATTGAGAGAATGTTCATTTTTTGCTTGATAGTTTTCTAGAAATTTCGGTGTTTATTTATACCAGGTTTCTGTTTGTTTTTAAGGAGCCCTCATGAAAAAAACCATTAAGAAAAACAATTAGACTGTTCATTGAAACAAATACATAAAAACAAAATTGTTGACAGAAAAAAACCCGTAAAAATCTAGATATTACGATTTTATTTAAAATTGCTCCTCTTCTGATTGGATTTCAATTCTTTCCAAACTATCAGTTGATCGACGAATTGGTTTTTGTTCTTCGAGACCTGTAAGAAATACATCTTTTGAGCTCTGAAGCCCTGATAAACATACCCATTTCAATTCTAAACTTTTTGCGATCATTTAACAATGTCATACTTGAAACAAAATACAGAGCAGCTGAAATGAGCAATAAAACAACGCAGGCATAGGTGGCTGTGACCAGCGAATGATATTGATCTTTGGGATTTGTCGAGCCATGTCTGATCAAATCAGAGACGAGGCCAATCAAATAGGGACCAGAGGCATCGCCGAAAAGATGAGAGCAGAGAACAAAGTAGGAAAATGCGGTGCTTCGGCGATTTGGATGGATTACGGTCTGAAAGTAGGAATTTGAAAATGGGAAATTAGGCGAAAGGACTTTCAGAACCCAATTCAAAAAACAAAAATATTCTGGAAAATTCAAAAGCTCAGAATCTTTTTTTCAAATTTCAAAAAATCTCACCGTCAACATATCAATATTCAATCCCCAATTGAAACACAAAAATGTGAGAGCAAAGAACAACATAATATAAAGTAGAACCAACGAATCTTCCCCAAAAATTTGAGCAATCAAAAGTAGTGGAGCAGCCAGAAGAGCACCAGCTCCAGAAACTAATGGTTGAGCTCGTTCAGTTTGAATCCTCTTAAATGGTCCATATCCAATAGTCAACCATTTTGAGATCATTGATCCACCAATAACACCAAGTAATCCACCAGCAGTTGTGATTGCTCCAAAATATAAAGAGACACGATCTTTATCAGTACTTGCTAGATCTCGAGTATCATTCAATCCTTGATGCCAAGCTGTTAAATGTTGAACAGTTGTAGGTTCCCACCAGGAAAGAGTTCCCGAGACAAATACGAGTGCTGTGTAACCCCAGGTACAAGAGACAAATGTTGGAGTCAACAGGAGAACTTTCAAATCTTGAATGTAACTCGAATCGGAAGAGGATGCTTTTTGAATCGATCCAGTATTTCCAGATAATTCATTATCAGCAGCTCCTCTTTCAGGTTCATAAACCAGGAAGACTAAAGCAATTGTGACAAAGAATCCAGCAATCGCTGAAACTCTGATTCCCCATTGCCAAATTCCAGTTAATGTTGCCACGTTTGATCCAACAATAAATCCAAGACCACTTCCAACTGGGATAGCGAAATAGAAAATCATGAATACTGTACTCCTTTTTTGACCATTGAACATATCAGAGATGAGAGATGGTGCAACGTTTGAATAAGAAGCTTCTCCGATTCCGACAAAACTTCGGAGAACAAGGAATAGCCAGAAGTGCTGAAAATTTAAGAGAATGTAAGAGGGATATTCCCAAGAAATGTCACTCACATTAGCCGGCACAAAACTCGATCCCAAAACCGCACCCAACCAAATGCCCACTCCAATAATCATAATCCATTTTCGATTAAATCGATCACCCAAATATCCACATACCGGTGAGAAAAACATAAATGAGATTAGAAATACAGTCTGAATCAGACCGGCTAAACTATCCGATATTCCATAATAAGTTTGGACTTGTGTTAAAACACCGGCCACCGTGTAACGATCCACGTAATTCAAAAGATTGACGATGAATAAAACTGTGACACTCACATAGTCTTTTTGAGAATTTACCATGTTGATTCTGGAAGAAAATAAAGGAATTTTTATGAAGAGTTTTTTCGAGGGAAATTTCGAGTAACGGAACATTTTAAAAATATGAATGAATTTTTAAAAAAAGAAAACAGTTTGACAAAAAACCATTTTTATTCAAAATTTCAAAGTTCGATAATATTTTGGTATTTGATAGCAGATTTGTTTCCCCAAAAGGAAAAAGGGTCCCGTGCGAATTTGTGAAGCAAAACTTGGGAATTTTGAAACAGGAAAATTCAAAGTGCGCTCCAAACAAAGACAACAAAAATTTGTGATAACTCAAACATCAAAAATAAACACTTCCTCATTCTGATAATAATAAATACAAAATACGAAATCTGGGTAAATAAAATACAAATAAACGAACACTTATTTGAACTAGTACTCGATTATTTCGTAAAACTTACTCAATCGTGACTCACTTTATTTGATAGGTAAACATGATATCCTATCAGTTATTAAAAATTGTTAAACCAAATAAAAATTGAAAAGTTTGAGAGTTTCAAAATTTGAAAAAAGTTCAGAACAATAAAAAAATGTGTTATCAAGTTCAAATACCAAACGTGGTCTTGTTTATTTATAGAACAGATCATCTGGCTGTTTTTTTGTGACTAGGAATTTATAATTCTCAAAAAATGAAACAGTGGAAAAATAAGATTCTCAAGTGTTTTGGTAAACAAAGTAAATTCAAAATCTACAGTATCCAGAAATTCTTATCTCTTTTTTTTACTAAAAAATCAAATCATGAGAACCGAGAAAAAAACGGTTAGATCAAAAGTGAGAGCTGTTCGACAGAACAAATTTTTGTTTGGCGTTTTTTGAATTTTATTTGGGGCGGAGATTTTGACGGTTAGCAGTTAACTGACTCGATGAAAACGAAGAAAATGAAGAAAACAAATATTGATATTTGATAAGTTTAGTTTTCAGATGAAAATAATATTTTCATTTGTCTTTTTCGAGAAAATAATAGAAAGAAAGAGAGACGATGAGTTTGTATTTTTGAACTCAAGTCTGGAAAACAATTGATGGGATCAAAAACTGATTGAGGTTTTGAAAAATGAACTTTAGTGTTAAATTGCCCGCTGAAAAATATTTAAAAGACTTTTCAAGATTCGATACGGTAATTCAAAAATTCGGAACTTTTGTGTCTTCGCTTCTTCTCCCAGACAAAATTCAACCTGGAATTTTATCAGCAAAACAAAAAACACTGGAAAAACACCGACTATAAAATTGGACACAGCGCACTTTTCAATGACAGCAACAAGCAACAAAAAGTGTTTATGATGGTCATGAAAATCTGACGAGCGCATTTCTTCACACCTTTATTTGATCAGCATATAAACATCTGCCGGAAGAGTACACAAAAATAGAGAATAATACATAGATTTGCATATTTTCGGGGGATAAATAGATTGGGTCAATGTGGATGACTGTTCTTTTATCTATTTTGGGACGCATCATGAGGAGCATATTTTGGAGAGAACTCTTTTGAGCTACAGTAACCCTAGACACAGGTTTCAAGCTTATCAATTAATTTATCAAATCACTGATTCCTAATTTTTAACAAAAAATACACATTTTTCTATTTATGAACAAAAAATAAACCAAACCACAAAAAACATTCATTTCACACCTGATAACCTTTTTTTTTCATATTTCTACTTCAAACACGTTGTTGCTCATTTTATAGCATTTGTCGGCGTTTTTGATGATTTGTCGAAAAGTGTCGAGTTTGACATTTTTCGAGTCGACGAAAAAATCAAATTGCTTCGAAATTCACTGATTTTTCCTTGTTGCGTTAGAGCAAAAGTCGTAAGGAACCAAATATTTTTTAATGGACAACCTTATCATTTAGGAGAAGAACCTTACGACTGTCGAATGAAATTTTTTACTTTTTCTAGTGGCACTATAATCTCGAGTTGAAAATATGAGGATCTTTTGATAAATATTTTTCCTGATTTTCATTTCGAGAAAAAAAGTCAGGAAATTTGTGGAACGTAAAAAATTATCCAAAATTTTCAACAGCCAGTTTTTCTCACGCTTTTTGTAGTGACCAAAGTTTAAGAAAAAACTTCATGAGAAAAAAAATAAAATCAAAAAATAAAATGTGAGCTTCTTTTGGGACATGAGCAATACGCGGCATCGCCCCCTGGAACTCCTTCAATCCCCGCACTTCCTTCTTCCCCATCGCTTCCAGGTTCACCATCTCTACCAGGAGGTCCAACGATTCCTTCAGGCCCATCAGGTCCAACGTCTCCAGCTTCTCCATCGTCTCCAGGATTTCCAACAGGTCCCATTTCGCCAGGAGCTCCCGGTGCTCCAGGAGCACTAATCTCTTGTTTTGCAGATTGTCCAGGCTCTCCAGTTTCTCCGGGGATTCCGGGTTCACCAACTTCTCCTGGATCTCCAACTTCACCTTCAACACCTGGCTCTCCGTCTTTCCCATTTTCAAAATTATCCAATCCAGGTGGCCCAATTGGTCCAACATCTCCAGGTTCACCATCGAGTCCTGGAGGACCTCTTGGTCCCTCGGGACATTTTATGCATTGTTGTTGGAACATTGAGAAATAAATATTGTGATCGAAGGGTGGAAAACTTGGGCCATCCATTCCAGGATTCCCATCAATTCCATCATCTCCCGGAAGTCCAGGGACTCCTTGTGGACCAACCGGTCCAATCGGACAGACTCGAGAGCATCCACATTTTGAGCCGGATTGACGTTTTTCTCGATTGCTAGTGATAACAATCATCTCATCCCAAGCTTCACTGGCTAATTTCTGAAAATATAGATTTGATGGGGCAAGTATGCGATGGTTGCATTTAGGTCACGCCCATTTTTGTGAGAATAATCATAATGAAAACTTACATCAAATTCTCCCAATTCGCTCAAACTTTCTCTGAAAAACATCCGAACATCCGCGAAAATTAGAGAAATCGCCGAAATGTATGAAATCACCAAAACCGAAGTGATTAAAATTATAGAATTTATCAACTTCGACATTTTTCTTCAACTAACTTTTTCCTATTCTTCTCAGCTTTTTATAGCAGCGATGTTAGAAATTCAGCTCATAAAAACATTAATCACCTCATTAATTTTATTGTTATTTAATTTAATCGAATTTATTTTTATAGAGTCCAGTTTTGAATCAAAATATAATATTCATTAGAATTACTTGCGAAAAGAAAAATGACACTAAAATCCATATTTCTGCCGAGCCATTTGTTTTTGTTGCTTTTGACTCGCCCACTTATCCTTCAATGCTTCTTCTCGCGAAACCGCCAAATTCGCCAAATATGTGATTTGATTTCTTCTTCTCGCAACTTGTCCACCACTTGGTGCTTGTGGTAAAGGAGCAGATGTGGATTCGGCAAAAGCGCGATGGCTGAGATTTTTCAAGATATTTGATTTAACATCAGGTCCAATTGCTGCATCAACATTTACATCAACGATTGAATTCGTCATTTCGGCAATTGAACGTTTTTCTTCAGGTCCTATGTCGTGAGAGAATCGCATGAGCAATTTATGTGCTTGCTGGAAAAATATTTTATTAAAAGCCTTATTTCTTTTTGAATTATAACTAATGTAAAATACCTCATCTGTAATTTTTCCTCGTTTCAATTGCGGATCTTCTTCTTCCTCATCAACTCCAGCATAATTATACATTTGACTTGGATGAACATATTCATCACCAGAAGGCTTTGATGGTCCAACAACATCAATAGCACTGCTGCTTGTTGGAATATCCTCGTAAAATTCTTGTGTATTTTTTTGCTCTTTGGCAGAGAAACCGAAAAAATCGGTGGTTTCTTCATCGTCATCTTCATCGCTATCAATAAATCTTGGAGCGGGAACTGTTGCTGGTGCTGCGTTCAGTGGTGCAGTCTTTTTGGCGACTGATGGAGGAACGAGACATTTTGAAGTGGCAGTAGTCGTTGACAGAACATTATTTTTACCTTTGGGAGCGGGAAGGAATGAAAGAAAACCTGAAGATGCGTTAGAATTTTTAGGCTTTTCAACTTCTTCCTCCTCGTCACTGTCTGAATATGCAGTATTCCCTAATACACCAAATGCTTGAATTTGAACTTTCTTTGTCACTGGTTTTGAAATTTTCGCGATTTTCTTCGCCTCTTTCTTTGCTGCTTTTTTCGCCGCTTTCTTCTCTAGCTTCCTTTTTTGCTTCTGAGCCAGCTTGATTTCCCAATTCTTGGGTTTCACGATATCTTCCAATACATCGTTTTTGTTAAGTTCCAAGGGTTTTGCGCTAGACGATTCACCAAAAAATTCATCATCTTCTTTGGGCTTTTCCATCTAGAAGAATGAAAATAATAGAAACGGGGAAAAATATAAATAACTAACCTCAATATCTTCATCTTCACTGTCACTACCAGCATAATCAACAAGTGCCATATTGAACCTTTTTTTAAACAAGTTTCGAAACTCGCAAAAACCGAAAATAAAAATATTCCGAGTTAACGCGCTCTATTGCGACGGATTCCTAGGTCACGGCCATCATATGTTTATTTATTTTTTCATTTCATTTTTTTCGGAAAAAGGTTTCCATGGTTATAAACAATTTTTGAGGTCTCATATCAACCAAATTATCATGCTAATATACTAATATGGACGATGTGGTTAGACAGGGCTTTATTTGCCCGTTTTGTATGGAAGATTTTGGGGATTTTGAGCGATTGCAAAGACATGTTGATGATGAGCACTCGGAGAATGCAGATGATGGTGATATTACAGATGCTGTTGTACAAAATGTAAGAGGACTTTTTGATAAAGCCAAGAGAGGTATAAAGAAGCTCGACGCAAAAATAAGTATATCAGAACTTCCTACCGAAGTAACTAGACCTCTCGTAAGAAGCGGACCACCAAGACCACTTCCACCAGATGTTATTCCGCGTGGAATTACAAGAAGCTCAACGAATGAGTTCAGAAAACTTCGAGATGAATCCATAAACGAATCAGCAATCAGAACAAATATGCTGATTATTAGACTGGATCGATTGATAAATGGCGGACCAAAAGATCCATCAAAACGAAGAGAATTCGAGCGAGAAATTGTGCCATGGTTAGATGATGAGGATGTTGTGTGTTGCCCGCTTTGCGCTGCCAAATTTGGACTAACTCGAAGGAAACATCATTGTAGATTGTGTGGACGGGTATTATGTCATAATTGCAGCCAATTTTTGTCGTTTCTTTCTGCGAGTGAGTTTTTTTTGCTTTGGACAAACATCCTTCAAAAAATATTTTCAAAATTTGTAAAGTTCAAAATTTTTTTTAAATTAAAAGCCCACAAAAATAGAAAAAAATCCAACAAAAACTCTAAAATGTTTGGAATTTTTTCAAAAAAAAAAGCCTTTTCCAGGAAAACTGACAAATCCGGCAATCGCTTTTCAAATGCAAGAATCGTTAGCTTCTCTAAATTCCGACGCCGTCGAAAATATTCCCAAATCCTCTAAACAAAAACTAATTTCAATCACACAACAATCAATGGATCGAATGAAAAATCTAATAGGAAAAGTGCAAACTGTAACAACTGGAGATGATGTTAGCGTAAGTTCACTGTTACAACAAGAAGCCACGGAATGTTTGCGAGTTTGTGGAAGTTGTTTGAATGATCTTCATCGAAGAGAAAATATGATGGAACAGGGAAAAGCGCCGGCGATTGTGGAACAATATGATCATTTGAGGAATTGTGTGGGAGAGTTGAAACAACTTGTGCCAACTTATGTAAGATTAGCGACTAGTATCAAGTGAGTTTCCTATTATTTTCAAAAAAAAAAAATACAATTTATTTGTTAAATCATCATATTCAAATTCATAGCAACTCTTTTCTTGATTCTCCTAAAAGTAAAATCTCGATAAGGTTTCTGAATCAAAACCAGAATAATTGAGGCGATTGGTGAATAAGTAGACAATACAACAACTATATGATTATTGATTAGTTGATTATAAAAACCGGTGACTAAAGAGAACATAATATAAAATAATGGAAAACCAATGAAAATAAATGGAATTGCGATTTGAAAACATAAAGCAAAAAGGAAACGTTTATGCATTTGTTGAGTTCGAATCGACATATTCATTGATTTGTTTTTGAAAAACATGTGGAATAATGTGAAGATAATGAAAAAATGAATCTGAATTGATGTGCTACAAGCCTGTAGAACTATGAAGATCCCAGTTAATAAAGGGTCAGCAGTAACAAAAGTTGTCCGCGAATCGTAGATCAAAAAATGTGGGCAGCGAATTCGCCGAATTTCTATAAGCTTTTCACCGAATTGCGGGAATTTTTGAGAAATTAGGGGGACAATTATGAGAAAATTGATTATATAGTTATAAAAATAAAATATTATTCGACTCGAAGTTCGTTCGATTTTCCATTTTGATGTTGTTAGAGTATTGAAGAGATTTTCAGCAACAAAAAGACAAGCAGAGCACATTGCACCGCCTAAAATTAACGCACTGTAAACTTGAATTTCATATGGAACTCCGAAATTTGAGAGAACTCCTAAACCAATTCCACCAGTTGTTGGAATAAAAATATAAGGAGTTGCTAGAATATTGAATACAAATTCGAAAATCATATTTGTCACCTGCACATTCAATAACTTCCATTTCATATTTTTACCCATTTTCTTAGGTGTCTGATATAAAATACAATAAGTTGCATAGGCCAGAATTGGAATTGAGACAACTGTTGTTATCCAGAGAGTATATTTGACATAAGTATCTTGGTAGAAAAATGAATTCACTTGAAAACACGACATTCTGTTTGTGATGATTTAGATTGACTAAAAAACCAAAGTTGTTTTTTGTTCGAAAAGGAAACGTGCTAATTATTGAAGAGAATCACAAAAACAAAACAAAAATGGAAGGCATTTGATTTTTTGGAAGTAGAATTTTCCAAGCCATGTCATAATTTTTGCAGCAACGGTGAAACTATGTACACATTAAAATCGGCCGAAGAAATGCGCCAAAAATGTCTGGAAAAACAGCGACACGTGGATGTTATGAGTAAAAGAATAGCGGAGGAATCGGAAGATTGTGGCATCAGAGAACAGCAAATGAGAAGGAATATTAGAGCAACTACACTGCAAGTTCTACAGGTACAATTATTATTTTAATTAATTACCTGTTAATTAGAAAAAATTTAATTAGGGATTAATTGGACAAACAACATCTCTACCATCGGTGGAAGAATATGCGAAACTTGTTCGAAAACATAAAGAAGAAGTTGCGAAACAGGTGCAAGCCGCTAGAGAAAGATCACAATTAGCATCGGATAGAATTTTGAAAGCATCAACTTCGATGCCTTTGATTGCATCGAATTCTTCGAATAATCCAAGTACAAGTAGTTTGAGTTCGCTGAACTCTTCGAAATCTCCACCAACGAGGAAGACACCAGAAGTTGATGATGGATGGGTTCCGCAACAATCCAAGTGAGTACATTTTTCGAAAATTGTAGTTTTTTTTACTTTTCAATTCTTATCTTGGTTTTAATTACTGTTTTGAAATGAGAAGAATATGTGATTCTAGTTTTGTTTCAAAAGTCATGACGTTGCAGTTTTTTGTTTCAATGTTCCAGTTTTCTAAGAAATTTGCTCTAATTAAAATAAGAAAGTCACAATATATACAAGTATCTAAACTCTGACAAGTTTCAAAAATATCTCCCTGAAATTACAATTTTATTAGATCTCAGGCGTGACAGTCTTATATTTTTTTAATTCCTAGTTTTGAATCTAAAAAAAGTATTATTTTTCCAGATCCTTCAATCCATTCCTCGAAGACGATGAATCCATAAACTCTGTCAATTCGCCTCTCATCGAACAACGCGATCAAATTCGCGGATTCCTCGCACAAGCTGCCTCAGCTGGAAAGTTAGATGAAGTTGAAATGTTGGAAAGAAATCTGAAAGAAATTGAGGAAATTATTCGAAATATTGGCCTCGAATAGTTTGTTCTTTTAACGCTTAATAGTTATAATGCATATCACCTCAAACTGTGATTTTTAACATGTTTTTATTATGTCATTTAAATGCCTCGAAAAATTAAATTATTGAATTAATTAGTTAAATAATTAATTAGGTGGTTAAGCCATTTTTTCGAGCCAAAATTGAACCAATATTTGGTGTACTTCGAACTGGAAGAGCGATACCATTTTCATCCAAAACAACTTCTCTTATTCGCTCGCCGGTTGTCCATCGACGTGGAATTATCTATAGAAAAATAATTAGGTTAGCTAATTGACTATTTAATTAATTACCTCTCTACCCGCCACACTTCCAATTGATCTAACAAAACTTGGTGAATCTGACGGGATTGTTGGTGGAGCTGGCGAAGTTGGCACAAAACTTGGAGCTTTCATTGTTTTCCGCGGCCGGATTTTTCTGAACAATTGGCGCATTGTTAGACATTTCGATTCTGAAATTTATTGAAATCAAATTATTTTTTTTATTTGAAAAAGTTATATTTTATTTATCATTTTATCAGCAAAAAAATTTCATTGTTTTTCATCAAAAAAAGATAGTGTAATAGTTAATGATTTATCTTATTTACGCAAAAAAGTCTTTGAACCAAAAGTAGAAGAAAGATAAGAGTACAGTTTTTGTGTGATTTTTCATAGGAATTTTTGGACGTTAGAAAAAACATATGACTTGGAACTATTTCCTGTTGATATAAGTACAATAATTTCGGAAAACAAATGATATTTTGTTGTTTTTTTTTAACGTTTGGATCACTTTTAGATTCATTAGTTAGTAAATGAAAAATGTAATCATTTTGAGAAACATTAGCTATGACGTGGAAATGGTCTGATCTTCCAGTGGATTCAAATTTTTTATAAAATCAATGCATTTTGCAAACTCCAGATTTGCTTTTCTTCAAAAATACAGTAATTCTTTGCAAGAAAAACACGTTATTCGATTCGTACAAAGAATGAGAATCATAAATCAAATAATCAACAACAAACCTTCAATAAAAATGCAGAGAATTATAGAAATGAATACAAAAAATGATAGTGAGACTTGCATGACTGATTTTTATTGGTGACTTTTCTTTATAAATATTCGCTATGCTGTCCTAAATAACAAATGCTTCTGATTTATTATTTTTTTTGTAAGTGGGCGGAGCTTCGACTTGTTTTAACTTCAGCACGTCATGAGAAAGTGTACTGTGTTGGGTGTGAATTGATTTTTAAACTTTAATTTTTCATTTTTCATCAACCAACTTCAAAAAATCTGAAAAACATGATTTTGTGAAAAACAACAAAATATATAAAGTTATATATAATTTTTTTATTGAAAAGATGGATTAAAATTTTCGAAATTTTTAGGAAAGATTAAGATTTACCGTATATTTTTAACAATAAGAAGAGGCGGGAATTTATTTCATACGTTAAAATAAAATGAGATGATATTATGGAAAACAAGATTTAATTCTCATTTTCTTCAAAACGACAAATATGCTAGGCTCTGGCTCATTGAGCACAGCGTGTTGGAGATTGGGAATTACACCACCGCCACCTCCACCAATTACAACAATGATTACTACACCAACTGGTGGAAATAATAATAATCGATTGATTATTCCGACGATAAATATTGCGAGTCCAATGGGAATGAATTGTCAGAAAATTGGGTGAGTCATGCAAAATGTTCATTTTTTTTTGGTTTTTTGTTCAACAAACAGTGTCTTTTATTTCATCAAATCCCAAGTCCTCAAACATTTTAAAACTTGATAAAAAAATGTTTCACTTCAAATCTCACTGTTGCATTTTATTTTTAAAAAAGTTTCATCCAGAAATTGGTTTGGAAAGATTTGTGACGTGGCAAAAGTTTTGAGTGAGCGTAATATTTTTCGATCTGAAATTTTGCAATTTTTTCAGCGTAATTTTTTTTTCAGTGGAAAGTTACTTCTGAAAACTTTTCTGGACAATTTCATGACGAGGCAAACATTTGAAACATCAAAATACTCGAATTTCAAAGAACAACAATTTCAATTTTTAATCTTCTCTTCCAGACAAAGCTGTCACTTTTGCCACGTCATAGATTTTCTGAAATATTTTGATTTAAAGAACAACATTAGTAACTATTTTTTTCAAAAACGATTGCAAAAATTATTTCAAAAATCCAACTTTTTTGGTTCGAAATATTATTCGTAAAATCTATAGAAATCCTGATGAAATTTTTTGAAAATATTTTTTCGAAAGTTTCAATGAAACTTTTTCAGAAAATTTGATTCTGAAAAAAAAAATGAAAAAATCTTCCGGGAACGAAAAGTGCAAATATTTTTTTATTGAAAAAATTGTTTTGTTTTTTTCATTTTCTATTTCCAAATTGTTTCTAAAAAATCATTTTTTTTTCTATTTTCACATTAGGGGTTTTAATGATATTTGAAATGTCATCTGAAAATGTTGAGTCATTTTTTATTTTAATTTTGAAATTTGTAAAGTGCAACTCAGCTTTGAAAAATTGTGATAAGCTCTGAATATTTCGCTGAAGTTTACACGACTCAAATTTGAGTTCAAAGTTTTTAAAATTTCCCAAAATGTTTTGTGATTAAAAATCGTGCAAAAGGCCTCAAAAATACTTCCGCTATCCACCTCCACATCCCAATTATTATTATTATTAGTATTTTATTGGTAAAGTGTCAGCTTTTTGGTTAAATATAATATATATTTGCTCACCTTACGAACAGGGATAAAAAAGAAAAGAGCGCTAGATTTATCTAAACTAAATATTTATTGTTTTTTGATTTCATATATATATATAATATAAATTGCTTTTTAGCTCATTGATTTTTTTCGAATTCAACACAAAAAATAAATTTCTGAGAACTTTCACATGTAATCATAGATATCATTATTACTTTTCCATTTCTTTCAGCATAAAATAGTTTTTTGAGAAAAAAATCTAAATTTTTTAAAGCTTTTGTAAGCGGATATGAGTATTAAGTAGGCAAAAAAGGGAAAGTTAGGCGGTTATTTAGTTAGGATTTTAGATTTAGGATTTTCGGGAGATCCTATTTTTGTATGGGAAAATCTAGATTCTATTCTAGATTCTAGAATAAGTTTTGTTTTGAAATACAGTTTTCGAAAGAAGAGATAAATGCAAATTTGCTATAATGCACACATTTTATTGTGATTTCAAAAAAAAACCAAGTTCGCTCTACCGCGAAATGCACACTTCTTATGAATTTTCAAAACTTCCTCTTTCTCACCCACTAAACTTGACTTTAGTTTATCTATAATCACAATCTCATTTTTTCCGGCGATTTCCCCAAGCGACAAGCTCATTTTCTTTTCGCATTTATCTATCTATCTATAATTTCTAGTTAGTTTATATATTTTATTTTTCCCCTCATAAATGTTTTTTTCAGAAAAAAAGTCCAAAATGAATCGATAGTTCAAATTTCCTCTCTCTCTTTCAATTTTTTCGTCGTTCTCCCCAACCAACAAAACTACTTTAAAAGAGTGTCTCTAGAGTAGTTAGGACTTAGTGTATGTATGGTCGACTCTCCACTTGACACACTATCTCAACTACGACGCTATTACATTTCTCCCATCTTTTATTTTATATTTTAGTTTAGTTTATTTGAAATTAAACGAACCACTTTTTGGTGCTCATTTAGAAAAAAAAATGTTTTTTTACTGAAAATATAGATTTGGAAAAATGTGAATAAAAAAAATTATCCGGAGTTCGACTACCTCTCGGAGCTCAATTTTTTTCATTTTTTTCTTCAAGTTAGCAAAGAAAAACTTGAAAATTCTTAAGTATCTTGATAGAATTCACCTAATAATTAGTATTCAGTAGAAAAAGCATTAACATTTTCGTCGTTTTCCCAAACATTTTTTTATTATTTTTTCCTTTCTCCAATATTATAATTCTCCTCTTTTCTCTTCTCTCGGTCTTCTTTTTTCCTTTGCATTTCACAAACATCATAAACGTCGTTATTTTCCCAGATTAACAAGGAATCCTATCTGCGTCTCTCATAATTACTCACTATCTCGTTTAGCACCTTGACCTTCGCTGACTAGTAAATAGTCCATCCCTATTTAGAGAGTTATTAAGGGATTTCTATCTCTCTATCTACGCGAAAAACATTGAAGCCTACAATTTTTTATATCCTTAAGCACCTACATTTCGTGACTAGTTTTGAGCAGCTGGAAATATTGATTCCCCTATGCGTTTTTCTTCATATTTTCGGTCTGGTTTGTATGATATTATTTTAAATTGCTAATTAACCATGATTTTTTGTTGCTCTTAGGGCGTCGAAAGTGCAAAAGCTGTTTTCAGCTGGAAATTAGTAACAGCTCAGAGATTCGCTGGCCAGCTCGCCACCAGGTGGGGAGGCTGGCTGACCTGGGAACCACATGGAAACCATGTCGCCCGGTTTTTTTTGCTGGCAAGGTGGCCAGGCTCTGGCTAGGTCACGGCCACTTGGCTACCATGTGGTGGCCACCTCGCCGCGTCAAAATGAATTTTCATGAAAATGTCTGAAAAACTGGTGAATTGAGGCATTTTCGAAAAATTTGGCTCATTTTCTGTTTTTTCGCAGCACTTGAAACGTCAGGAAGTGAAAAAAACAGTAAAAAATGCAGTGTTTTGAGTACAAACCACTGCCTTGCCAGCTTTCCAGAATTTCAAACACACAGGCCACGTCGCCGGAAAACTCAAGGCGACCTGGCGGCCATGCGGTTTCCAGGTGGCCGCAGCGATCTGGTGGCGAGCTGGCCAGCGAATCTCTGAGAGGTGAAATTCGAAAAAATAATGATTTTGAAAATAAAAAATTCAAATTTAATTTCGCGGTCACGCTAAACACGTTGCAAGCGGAGCATCGTTGTTTTCTTTTTGTTTTTTTGTAAAATTATTTTTTTAAGGAAAAAATACACTTTTTTCCCCATTTCAATTCGATTTATTGAAAATTCCATTAATTTTTGAACAAATTCAAACTCCCGCGCACGCTATACCACATGGAAACGCATCGTTATCCGGTGCATCGTTATTCTATTTCAATTTTTTCATTTCGTGATTTTCTAAAAGTTCAAATCTTGATTTTGAGGTTATTTCCAAGCTCCATTGATTATTTGGCTCATTCTCAAGCCACTTTCTCTCAATTTTGCAAACAAAAACCAACCATTTTAAAGCCACTAAAAGGGACCATTTGGAAGGCAAAACGAGAGAGAGAACAGCAAACGAGAAACGGGTTTAAAGTGAGGGGCTCTTTTCTTTTCCTTCTTCTTCTTCACACTAATAACTACACAAAATGAAGAAGAAGAAAAAGAAGAGGGAAAAGCAGCGGCAGACTTCGCTCCGGCACCCCGTTTTTTTGCCTCTTCACTCGAATTTTTGGGGCGTTCTCTTAGTCGCTTTAAAACATATGTCTTTTCCACTATTTGTGTTTTATTATATACCTTCTTCTTTTTCTTCTTCTTCATTTATTCTTCTTCTTCTTCTTCCACTTTTATTGATTCTGACTTGGGGTTTAATGTGATAATTTTAGTTTTCGGGGCAGGTTGTACTTTTGAGAAGAGTATACTGTAAGGTTTTTCGGGTCCGAAAATTCTTCAGTTCACAGTTATTCTCAAAATTTCTGTAAATGTACGAGAAGTTGTGAACCAATTTTTTAAATCCTGAGCTTTTCTCGTAAAAAGTAGTATTTTTGAATTTTGAAAAGCTCAAAAATCCATTTATTTTTTTCGAAAATTCAAATTCTCTCGGTTTTCTGCATCATTCTTGAATACTAATCCATTATATAGTAATGCTCAAATCGAAAATTCGAATAAAATAAAATAAAATGAAATTTTAAGGGATTAGGATTAAAATTTCATATTTTTTAATTTGACTCACTCAAATTTAAAAACTTTTACATTAGTTCAAATTTTTAGTTAGACGCTGATCTTCTGTCTCATTATCATCATCAAAAAAATAAAAAAGACCCTAATCAAACGTTTTTTTTTCGTAGTCACTAATTTAAACCAATAATGGTTTTCGCTTCTTATCTTTCAGCTCCCTATCATTTTAATCAATTTGTTAACCACCTAAAATAAAGAAACACGCTTTTTTGTGCCTTTTTCCCGGTTCACCAAAAAATTACATATTTTTTCCAGAATGTCCACTGAAAGTTCGACAAAATATAAATATGCGTTGGTCCGAATTCCTGAATCAAATATGGTTGAATTTTTCTCATTGGTAGTTTCGAAAGGATATTCGGATGTTTCATTTGTCTCGAATTTGAGCCATGTTAATATTCGAGATGATCCAAATGATGATCAACCGACTACTTCGGGATCAGTTGAGGAAATGAGTGTTGTAAGTTCTCATCGCAACTTTCGGCACTTCTACTGCTACAGCACCGATCACCGATTTTTCGAACTTTTCAAAGATTTTAATTACAATTTTCAGCAGTTCAAAGTCATCCTAATCAATTTATTTTAAATGTTATCCTGTAGGGAAATTTTGATTTCTTGGAAAGTAAGAACTACAAAAAATAATCTACAAAACACTAAAAAAGTGATTTGATTGTAGTCTTCAGACTACATATTTATTGCAAATTTTCAGTTGCAAAAGAGTACATTTTCAGCTAAATACTAATGACTCAACATGATGACATTTTTGGCTTTTTGAAAACAAAAATTTGAGAATAACTTTTTTGGGAAAAATCCAGAAGAAATCAAATTACAAAAGTTTAACAAAAAACATCGTACATTTTCAGCTGAATGACGATGACTCAACATCCGAAAATCAAAAATCGACGCCACGTCGCCCGCCATCAGTTCAAATTGCACCAAAACTCGAACCACAACAGCAACAACCACAACAATTCAACCTGTTAAATCCAACAGCTCAAATCGACGCCGATATTTTAACCAACGGTGTTCCAGTCGATTTTTTCAATAACCTTTTCGGTAAAACCGATTATCAAAATGAAATCAAAAACTCTTCATCATCTACAAATCGAAGTCGATCAAATGGTTCGGCGCCATATTCGACCAATGGAAAATCCGATTATCAACTTCAAACTCGAATGAAAGGCTGGCAAAGGGAATATATTAAGGAGATTATCAATAATGGACATTATCCTTCGGAACAAGAATTGAGAGATATTGAGCAGAAATGTGACTTGAGTCGGAAACAGGTAAATATTTTCTTATCATTTTGATTTGGAGAAGTTGTATAATTGACAGATTTATGAGCAGAAACGCAACATTTTTGATTGTTTTTTGAAGTTAATTGAAACTACTGAAAATGACAGCTAGAATTTCATATAGGATCCGTCTCTTCACATTTTTTTCCTAGGTTCAAGCTAATCAAATCTTTCAATAAACCAATTTTCAGGTTCTCCGATTCATTGCCAAACGACTTGTCAACCCTAATCGAAAACCTCGAATCAATCATCACGACGAAAAACGAAAAGAGCAAGAAGATCGAGACGATGAAGATTCCAATCAAAACATCGAAGAAATGGGCGACGCCGAAATTCTTCAACACAATTTATTGAATGACGATTTACGCGGTTTAATTGGCCTTGACAACATTTTACAGAATATCAAAACTGAGTGATTAACCCTAACTTTATTTATATATTTTTTATGATTCTTATTTTTTTTTGCAATTTTGAGATTCTATTCAGTGTGTTTGTGTGATTTTTGTGTTTGCGTGCATAATTATAAAATGTTCAAAACATTGTTTTTCGTTGATTTTTGCGGGATATTTTACAGAATCATTTGAATTACTTCAAAAACACTGCATTTTTTAAACACGACAACTTAGCTTTTTAAAGATTTTTTCAAAAATTTGAAATTCTGCGAAAAATCTCCAAATAATTTATTTTTTCATTTTCACAAGTTAAAATCTACTCACTGAATTCTCTTCCATAATGATGAACAAGGAAAAGTGCAGTGATAAGAACGACGCCAAGAAAACCCATAATTGTTGAGAGCATTTTGAAGACTGAAAAATGTTTTTTTCAGATGTGTGACTATCTAGAAGCTGGGCTCGATTCAGAAATCATATCCTCAAGCTTTCCCAATCCTTAAAATCAAAAATAAAACTCACAATCTTGATTACAACTTTCCGAATGAATCGAATTATCGATATAAAAAACAGGGGAAGTAATAGATCCAGTAGCCGCCAAATACAATTTTGTATATGTCTTCACATCAATTGGGTTTGGTGAATTTTCAGTCAATTCATAAACAAATTCCAAATTTGAACTGCTACATTTTCTAAATTTATTCGAAATTTCAAAACGGAAATTCTCATTATTTCTAATAATAATTGCCGGTTTTGATCCTGAATCAATCGATATCAAATCATTCAAAAATAATGCACTATTCTTCATATTTTCAATAATTATACTTCCTTGAATTTTTCGAATACTTGAAAAACTGAATTCGACATTTTCGAGATCTTTGAGAATAATATCACCGGTTATATGAGTGCAACTTTTGTCGGTGATATTTTTTGTTTGTTGTTGATCGATGAAACTGACTTCTGAACCTGAGCAATCGATTTTATCGCTGGTTGCGAGGATATTTGAGAATTGAATGAACAGAAGAATACAAATTACATCTGGAAAAAATGGAGACTATATCAGGTGTTCTGGGAAATCTTTAAGTCTGAACTTGATTATTCTAGAAAATTGAAAACTAAATTGTTTTTCGGGCTGAAAATTATCAAATTTTTCCCAAAATCCGAAAAAATAATTGACTCTGATTGTGAGCCCAAAGATGGGACCTCAAAAATGGTTTTGTTTCCAGATAAATTAAGATTACGGCCTCAAATCCAATTTTCTCCAAAGAAAAAACTCACATTTCGATAGCATTTTGAAATAAACACAAAATTCGAACTGATCAAAAATCGTTTCAAAAAAACCGCAGCCACGTAAATTCAAAAAAGGTCACGTTGAAAAAATCAAAAATTGCATAAAATCAGTTTTATTAAAATTTTTCAAAAAACTGTGCATAAAATGTTTTACATACATGGAAAAAACACGAAGAGACAATATTTTAAAGCAGTGAAAAACATTTTGGATTTTCAAAAATCTGAAACAAGAAAGAAAGAAAGAAAAATGGGCGGTCTGGCGCTAAAAAAATGGATAAAAATATGAGAAAATTGACCCGAATGAGCTTGAAACGTGTGCTTTTTGTGTTGTTTTTGTAGTTTTTTTGCGATGATGGTGGATAAAAAAATCGATAAAAATAAAAAAAAGAAGAGAGAATTTTCGGTAACACCCTCCGATTTGAAACAACACAACAAATCAGATAAAAAATCACCAGTGTACCAATACCGGGACAATGAAAAATTAGTACATAAAAAAAAGAAAACTTGGAGCTAGAAGCGTACAAAAAAGACTTGGGGAAAATTTATTATTTTTTTATTAGACGAACGTCGATGTTGATCCCTTTTCAGGTTTTTCAGCAGGCATTAATGTCTTTTGCGGTACGTATTGTCCTGAAGAATTATTAAATATGTAAATAGTTTGAATTTTGAAAAATCTTACCAATAAAAGATCCATCTTCGGTGAAAACACCAGGATCTGTATCTCCATATTGGGCCATACTGTCCGTTTCAGATTCAGCCTTTGAGCCGGTTAATGATCGTTTTTCATCGTCATCACTGGAAAAAAAAATATGGTTTTCGCTGGGAAATTGAATTTTATATAGTTTTGGATAGGCATGAAACTAGGATAAGTCTAACAACCCAAACATTAAAAAAAACCCCGCCAAAACTCACAAATCTTTTTTGCTCAAAATCGGTTCGCGTCCCTGTTCTCGTTCTCTTTGCGATACAGGATAATTCTCACCGCGATGTCGCAACAAAACACACAAAATACAACAAATGAGCAATAATAGGAGTAAGATGAGCAATATCAATAGAATCCACCATGGGAATCGATTGAAGGCCGGCAAGAAGGATCCAGATCCTTTGGTTCGAATCGATACTGGATTCGAGTAGCTCGTGATTGGCTCATCGCCTTCTTCTTGTTTCTGATAAGCAACTCCTCGAACTTGATAAGTTGTTCCCTCGTCAAGCCCGCTAACTTGTGCATTCAATGTGTTATTTGGTGCCAATTTCGTCCATTGATCATCCCCAGTTTTTTGATATTCAATTCCAAATGAATTTCCAACCGGATCCGTATTTTCAGCAGGTGTTCCAGGAACAATTGTCACATTGAAATGATCCTTTCCAATTCCAGCCGTCTTCAATTCCGGTGCCGCTGGTCCAACTGAAAAATTCACATTCATAAGTTTATTTTTTTTTTGGATTTCTGTATATTTTCTTATGCTAAAAATGGGCAGCTGCTAAATATGCCAGGTGAAAAAAGATTGGAATATTTGATTGTGCAAAAAACGTCTAATTATATTATTTGAGCATAGCGAGCAGTAATTGAGCCGAAGCAAATATTACGGAAAAGTGAGACAGGATACTAGACCATATGTGAACTTTGTGTAAATTGATATTTCTGGGAATATTTTTGAGAAACATAATGGTCATTTTTTCTTTCTTTTGCTGATTTTTTGTGTAGCAAAGAAAAATTGTCAAAAATTTTTTAGAGAAATGTTGAAACAAACAATTTGGCGTACAATTTTTAAAAATAATTTCCAGAAAATTCGTAAAAACTACAATTTTATTTCATGTACTGTATTAGTTCGAGTATATTTTCTCTACTCAATATTTCGGTTGAATATTTTCAAAATTTAGTGGTTGTCAACAGAAAATTTCCCACGTCATAATACTTTCGAGCGGAATCGATCCAATTTTTTAAAACTTTTTTTTAAAATCAAACTTTGCCACTCAGTTTTCCTACAGCAATATTAGTCATAAAATAGTATAAAACACATCAATTTCTAACGTAAAAATCCACCAATCTTCTCTTTTTCATTTCATTCCTACATGTGTTCATTTTTTTTCCATTTCCTATTTGCAATGAGTGTTCCTCAACAAAAAACAATGCAACCACTTCGTCTAAAACCTATCAATTTCCCTTGTATAATTCTCAAGAGATTCCAAAACCAACAGTAATCCTTGCCTGCCTGCCATTTCAAAAAAAGAAACCAAAATCAAATTAACCCACATTCTTTCATTCAAATTTATCTAATAAAAAATGCACCAGAAGTGCTCTTCATTTTTTTTTGGTCTTTTTTTTTTCTCGGGCGGTTTCTTGCAGGGTTTCTTCGTATAGGGCGCGAAATTAAAGAAAACGTCGCTCCAAAAAAATGAGTATCGATTTGAAAATAAAAAAAAAGTGAGTGGCAGGCAAGAAGGATTAAAAAGGGGACGGCTGCTCGAAAATTGTTGCACATAAATAAATTATACAACTTTTTTGCACATTTTTCAACAAAAAAAAGAACTCACACTTTTTCGAATATACAAAAACTAGTAAAATATGCAAAAACAATACTAATTTCATATTTTTGAATATAGACTAAATCTTCTCCGTTTTCTCCTATTCTCTCGTGAAAGTGAAACTATTTCTATCTGTGAATGTGTGAAAAATAAAAATAAAATGAAACAAAATAAAAATAGTACTTTAACGAGAGTGAAAAAAAGGAGAAGAAGAAGACGACAAAAAAAGTGAGCCCTGAACAAAAATAGTGCAGCTGAGCCCTTGGCTCCGCCCCTCTCCTTCCAATTTTCTCATCCCTATGCACACACACACTTTTTGTGCTTCAGGCTCATTGAATAGAGCAATTTTCTCATTTTTTCTAAATACTTACTTACAACTTGAATTCACTCAACCTGACTTGACTCGATGAATCTATTGTGAGTTATTTCATTCATAATTTCAAAACAGCTATTTGCTCAAAAATGTTGGTTGAAGCTCCGATTTTAAATCAAAATTTTGGTGAAAAAATTTCGTGATAAAAATCTGGGAGGAATATACGACCATGAAAAGACATTCAGCCTCAGATTGTTCAGGAATTTCAGAGATTAGAATTAAAATCATTTGATTTCCAGGAAATTCTATAACTAAAACTCAAAATTAGAAGGTTTTCCAACATTTGCACAATCGGGTAGAGCTCTTATCTAACGTAAATCTTTCAATTAAATTTTTTTTTCGTAAATCTAGATTTCTAGTCAAAATTTTTTTGGTCTCAAAATATTCAAGCTCAATTTTCGCTCAAAAAATTTCCCTCTCAAAAAACCTCACCTCCAACAGCCGAAACTTCAGAAAGTGTTGTCGCATCGGCCGAATTCGGATCTCCGTCGCCGGCTGAAGTTTGAGCGCGCAAAACAAATCGATATGGTTGATCATTGTCCAAACCGGTGAGTCGAACCTGCAATATTTGTGATGGAATTTTATTTTTATGGGGGAAAACATATAAAATTTTAATAAAAAATACTAGATTTCAATAAATTGGGGATTTTCGCCACTATTTTTTATTATTAAAAAAATACTACGGAAAATAGAGGAATATTGAAAAAGGGGAAGCAATATTTTTGAATTTGTAGGATTTTTTAAAATTTATTTTCAAAGCCTTTCTCAAAAAAACAGTTCAAAATTATGAGATGCGTTAGATTTTGATTTTAGATAAAAAATCGTGAATTTTTTAATTTTCTTAAAAAACCTTGAATTCCTGAGAATCTTCTAGTGATAAGCTCCGCTTCCTGATTTTTTGTGCTCTCCCAAAACCCACTTCTCCCCAAAATTCCTACCTCACTAGCATCCGCCTCAACAACTTTTCTCGGACACGGATTCTCAATAATCCTTCCATTTTGTGTCTTGCAAATCTCCACTTCATATCGTGTCAATTTTCCATTTGGTTGTCTAGGTTTCTTCCAAGATAGTGCAACAACTCCCTTTTCTCCATCCTCATTATTATTAATTGGATAGGCACGGAAAGATCTAACTGGACTTGGAACTCCTTCATCCGTTTGGAAATCAATAATATCACTAGCTGCACCTTCATGTGCTCCATTTGTCACTTGAATATAGGCATGGTTCAATGTGTCAGGTTTCAAATCAGTGATTGTTCCTTGACTCGCATTCGGTCCAAATACCACAGTTTTTCGTTCAGCCGCATATCTTTTTACTCGAATATGTCTTTTCCATCTCATCGTTGATTCTTCTCCATTTCCATCTTCACTTTCTTCTTCTTCATCTTCCGAATCAACCCAATATGTCAATTTATATCCGGTGAAATTACCATTGGCAGTGGCTGGATCAACAGGAGTCCAGGCGAGTGTTACAGTTGTTCCGGATTTCTCCAACACTTTCAAACCCATCGGAATACTTGATGGAACTCCTTCTCCAGTTCGACCTTCAACAGTTTCTGGCACAATATTCGCTTTTCCTTCATTGTTGACAGCTTGAACTTGAACTTCGTAAGGTTGGAATGGTTTGGCGTCTTTGTCATCATCGAGATTGATTGTAACACGATCGGCAAATGGATCAGCCACTGAGATTTCTTTCCAATCTCCGACTCCTTGACCATCTTCTTTTGGGCGATATCTAGAAATTAACAGATTATGTTCGTGGAAATTTTCAAACAGGGAGAAACTATTAATTTTTCAATATAGACTTGCGAAAAATCTTTCAAAACTGAGTTTTTGTGGAAAAAATCACCCATTTTGTAAAAATTAGAAATCAGAAATCAAAAAAACTTACTTCACAACATAATGAAAATCGGCCCCATTCCACTCATCGCGTTCCATCGGTTTCCATTCAACCATCAAATTTTCGGGACTCGTTCCTTTCGCAGCAACTTCTCCAGGATTACGATCAGGTTTCTTGGCCGGAGTATTACATTGATCTTTGACTTTCGTGGCAGCACTATCACCAACCGCATTTCTCGCCAAAACACGGAACACATATTGTCCAAAAGGTTGTAGAGCAACAGTGGCTTTTCCTCGAACAGTTCTCAAATCTCCTTCAATTTGATCATTTGGATGAGCTTCGACTGGAACTGGATGAGTTCTCCATTGAGATCCTTCAGTTTCCGAATCCATCTGATATTGCACCCAAAATTCTTTGACTGGCGAGATGATATTTGCATTTTCAATGTGTTCAAAGGCAATTTCCGCCGATAATGAATTCGGATCACAATTTGATACATAAGCAGAATGAACAGGCACCGGAACATCTAGAAGAAGTCTTTATTTTTCAATTCAATCCGACATGAAAACTATCCAACCGTCATCATTTGAATCCCCTACCTAACAACAATAAAAATACTCACCTTTAATCTGAATCTTAACCTCCTTCTCAACTTTGTCCAATTTCGTACTAACAATACATTTATATTTTGCACTATCATATTGAGTTGGTTTGTAAACAACCAAAGAATGATCATCTTGAACTTTATAATGTCCAGGATTTACATTTTCATCGATTGGAAGTCCATCAACATGCCATTCATATTTCACATCAAGGTGTTCATCTGTGGTTGCACTACACGGTAATGTGATATCTTCACCGGCCATTCGAACATCTTCAGCTCGAGCAAATGGTTCGATTGTGGTTGGTTCTGAAAATTGAGAAAATTTTTATTTTTTGAAAAAAAAACATATATTTCTTTGAATTTCTCTTTTCCGAATGGTTTGGGGTTTCCTAAATGGTTCAAACAACATTATTATTATTATTCTTCAAAGTTTCAAATCCGAAAAATAATCAGAAAATATCCAAAACCCAAAAATGTTCACTCACTTCTGACCGACAATTCGATAGTTCCCTCAGTTTGTCCATACTTATTCGATCCAACACATTTATATTCTCCTTCCGATTTTTTGTCAACCGAAGTAATTATCAATTTTCCGACACCATATGCATTCGCAGGTACAACTGTATGCGGTGTTCCAGCCAAAAGAGGCGATTCCCAAGTAACAATTGCATTTGGACTAGCGAAAAATTTACATTCCAAAGTGACAGATTTTCCTGAGACCGCCTCAACTTCTTCGGTTCCTGGTTCAATCAATAATTGCGGTTTGAAAGCGAGAAGATTCAAATAGAAATTTGTCCATAGATAACCGTGCTTATTTTCGGATTTACATTGATAAACTGCATTATCACCACGTCCATTTAGACCTTTTTTCACATCATAAATCGTCAATTTTGTTCCATCAACGAGCCATTTGTTGTCTTTTTCATCTTTCAATTCTGAAACACGATCACTTTTTTGGCTAGAAATTTCACGATTTTCAGAAGAAAATTATTATTGAAATACCAGTTTCAATTTAAAAAAAAAAAAAAAACAACTCACCAACTCCATTCTTGTAAAAAGTAACTTTCGGTGCTGGTTTTCCATAAGTCGTACAATCAAATGTCACAGTTTCTCCTTCACTTGTATTTGTATTTGGTGGAGGTCCATCAGGCCAATAAGGAGCGGCTGAAATGTATTTTTGACTAGGATAAGAGGGAACTTTGATAATTTTAAGAAAATTGAAATAGTTTCAAGCCATAGACAAGGTTTTTAGGCTTAGAAACCACTCAGATACTCAGAACCGAAAATTTCGCACGAAAAAAACTCATTGATTTTGTTTTATTTCTCAATTTTCTGTAGCACATTTACACCGAAATTATATTTCATTTTGAACCATAATTGCTTCAACTTGTTTTGAGCCATTCAAATTTTCAATTTCAATATTCAAAAACGCACCTTCAACAATAACATTGAATTGTCTGTCAATATCATTCTGTGTTGAGAATCGACAATCATATTTTCCGGCCTTGTCCTGAGTCACATTGAATACCAAAGTTTTTCCAAATGATTCGAATTTGAAGCCATTTTCATCATCTTCTCCAATTTGTCGACCATTATGATACCAACGTGGTTTTGGTGCAGGGCTGCAAAAAAATCAATTTTTTTCGAGTTCAGGATTTTTTGATTATAGTTTCAATAGACATTCTCTTATTTGTATTCCAGACTTTTTCCATATTTCCTCCATTTCCCAAAAAATCCCATCATCTCCCCTTTTCTAATCCCTTTCCTCTTTCCTGCCAAAATTCTAATTACGGTTCAAAAAACATCAAAAAAGTGTGCCGTCTATCGGCCATTTGTTCGGTCATCTGTTACAATTATTCGAATATGTTGGGTTGTTAATAATAACCTCTTGCTCATGTTATTAAACAAAAACATAACAAAAAGTAGAGTAGAAAAAGTGAGAAGGAGAAACTAGTTACTTATGAGATAATAAAAACTAAAGAAAAATATTTCGATAAATGGCAATTTTTATAGATTATAAGTCATTTCGTAATTTATAAGGAAAATTTCACAGTAGGGAAATATGAGCCTGAAATCTACAGTCTTCTTGCCAGAAGCTTCCAGATTTTCCGAAAATTATTATAATTATTAGGTCCCCTGGTATAAACAAGACCTCAATAAGTCAAAAATTCTATCCACCCCAATAATATTTCATGCACTTTTCAAATAATATATTCATGAGTTTGCAACACCTGTTCTCCTTTTTTCCTTCTTTTTTCTTTTCCAGACCCCTAATGTTGTCATGGAAATAATTCTCCTTCTCCCTTCTTCTTCTAACTAATCCTCTATCATCCTAGTTCTAACAGCTCAAAACAATAATAACATCACAAATAGCCGGCCGCTTCAAAACTTTCAAGAAAAGGCAGCTAAAAACATTCGCGCGGCGACTTGAGGAACCTGGCACCATCCAAAAAAGCGAACGCCTTTTTTCTATTGCTGACCACAACATTTTTTTTTGGGAAAAAAGGAAGGAAAAAGTCGGACAGAGCTCTCTAATCATATATTTATGAAACATTTCGACTGGCGGCCAAAAAGAGTTTTTTTGGGTAGAATTGTGTCAAATTCTTTTTTTCGAAAAAGATGAAAAAACTCACTATCCAGAGAAGAAGCAGTGTAATTTATGTTGATGTCCCTGAAGGGCAATTGGAGAACTTTGATTCACATATTGTTCAGTTGGTGGCATATGAGTCACTGAAAAAATAACAAATAAATACATTTAAAAATATTAATTAATAATTGTTGTGTACTTTGTGGGTGTTTTAGAACGTGACTCAGTTTTTGGGAATTTTTAAGAATTCATTGTCAGTGAATTGGTTTCTATAATATTCATGAAATTGGCGAGCTCGAATTTTTTGGATCTCAAAACTTTAAAGATTTGGGAAAAAAAATTTTTTTTTATTTTTAAATTTGACGCCAGAAGTTGAAATTCAAATTTTCAAACCTGAAACTTTCACATCAAACTAGAATCTTTGAATTTTTTTGGTTCAAGTAGCTCTCCCAGAACATTCCGCATAAAAATTGTTTCTTTCAAATTTCCAGCGTTTTTTCCTATTTTCAATGTTTAAATCCCGGTCCCATTTTTCTCCAAACAAACGCAACATTTTTCATTTCATCATCATTTCCAACAACTGTTTTTCTCCAAGTGTTCCATATTTTTCGAAAAAAATATTGTCTTTGTTTACCTACAAACACACGAAAAAATAAATACAAACTGACAGGAATATTCAAATTGTGTCACATCGATTTATCATGTTCCTATTTTCCCAGTGTGTGTGTGGTGGGAATTTTTGATATATTACCATGTAAAATTATTTGGGGCTAGGTTGGGCAAACGATGTACATCCCAGTAAAAATAATTCAGTTCACCATCTAAAAATGTATATTTTCTTGCAAAAAACGCAAAAATGTTCAAAAATCTTGTGTCACAACGGCCGCATCTCAAAAAAGGGCAATCAATCTCGTCTCTTCTTAGCTTCCAAACACGAAACAAGACATCCGGCGACTTTTTGGTGCCATAAAAATAGATAGCTTTTGCATCCAAAGCATCCAGCATCTTTACTGCTTTTTTCTATTAGATGACGACAAAACATAGAAATTCGAAACTCTATTTCTTTTTTTCTCATTCTTCTTATGTTCGTTTGATTAGTTGGGACAAAGACAAAAGGATGAAGAAAATAGGGGGGAAATGTGCATTACTGACTGACTTTTGGGTTGGTGGTCAAGTGGAATCGTCTGCTGCTTCACTTGATGCAATAAAACGGCAAGAAAAATGGAATGTGCAGTGGAATGGAATTTTTGTGTGTGGAAAAGCGTAATTTACGTGAGAACCAAAACAATTAGGATAGAAAAAAACTTGCCGAATTTCTAGAAATGATCACGAGATTCTGTCACGCGAGAATGTTCGGATCTAATAACTTTGGCTCATTTTCAATGGAAAACTGAACGTCCATCTTAAAACTTCGAAAAACACGGCATTTTGGACTGAAAATACCTTCAGAAGGGCCTAATTTCGGCTATAGAAAAATCTTCAGAGAAAGCTGAAGCCACAACTGAAAAAAACTTGTTCCATAGCCTAGGAAAAATTCGAAAAGCCCAAAAATTCTCAAAAAAAAATGCAGAGGCTCCAAATGCCCTCAATTCACAAAAAACAGGTGCCAATTCAATTTCATTTCAAAATCCATCAATCGTCTTCGAAAACCCAAACCAAATCCATCATTTCCGGACCTTGTCCATTTCAATTTCTCATCAACACTATTATTTTTTTGTTTTATCTTCTTCCTCTTATCAACAACATTATTCTCTCTCTCATTTTTCGCTTGTTATTTTCCACACGAAACAGAAAACCATAAAGAAGTGTTGTTCATCGCGCATTTATTTCTGGTTCATCGATTGCCAAACCAAAAAAAATCAAGGGAGGCTGTGAAAAAGAGGGAGACGGATAATAGAATGCTTGATCACGGATAAATGAGCTTTGGAACACACACACAGATGTTCGATTGCCAATTTTTTTGTTCGGTTTTCGAAAAAATCAACAACAGCTGTTTTCTGTTTCCAAGTTATTCTAACCTAGAAATCATGGAATTTGAGAAGAGGAACAAGAAAACATCGAATCGATTGAACGTGTGAAATTTTTAGACATAAAATGTGGGAAAATCGTAACGATGGTTTTTATAGCAAGGAAACACGGGGAATTTATGGAATTTATGCAGAAAAGGAATAGAGGCGATTTTTTGCTGATATATGAAAATTTCAAGCGTATTTTAGATTCACTATCCTGCTGCGGTCCAATTGATTTTCGATAAAAAAAATGTGTACGAAAAGGAAGTCAGTTCAAATATTGGCTGAAAATCCCAAAAATATCCAATTTTCCCCAATTTCTCGCTCAAACTTCAATTCGGCCAAAAACCTCAAAGTGTATCAAATTTCCGATACAATTTTCTATTTGAATAGACCCTTTCAAATACTACTAAATACAATAATAATTATTATACCTATCTGTCTCTCTTCCATTTTTCTCTCCTAATATATAATATACTTATTTACACATTCCGTTTCCTCTTCAACCTCTAAATCTCTCACTTTTTTCCGGCCGGCTGCCCGAGGGTCGATCAAAACAAAACAAAAACAACCTTACTCAAAAATGTTTTCACAAAATGTTTTTTCCCATAAAAATGAGACAGTGTTGCCAATTTTACACGCCTTTTCAATCGATTTCGATTTCGAAAAAAAACTAGGAGACAACAAATAATTGGCCCCCGACAGCAACCAGTAAAAAAACTCTTGTTAGTGCAAATAGTCGGGAGTAGCAACAAAAAACGTGGAGGAAAATTGGATTGCCCTTTTTTGTTCTTCTTTCAACTTATATTGGGACCAAGAGAAGGTTTCAAAATTTTCGATGCCATGAAATTCGGGGAAAATTTGATTTGTTTACATTTTGTTTCTTCTGTTTTATTTTAAATATAATGTATATCATGTTTGCCACACACAGGCTATGCAAACAAAATTTCAACCGTTTTTTATAATGCGATGCGACACTTGAGAAACAATGAAATGTTGCAAAAAAGAAGTTGGAGATTTTGGGAATTTTTAAAGAAAAAGGTTCGAGATTTTCGAAACAGAAATGAGAAAAAATATTTTTGAAAGACCTTTTGTGGGAGAAAAAACCTCAACTTTTTTTTGAAACATCGAAATTCAAAAATTCGAGCTCTAAACTTTTTCGAAGTTTTTTTTTCCAGAAAAATCATTAAAACTTCAAAATACCGTGAAAAGGTCTGGAAGACCATGAATCAACTTGTTTTTTTCAGAAAAAAATTTTGTTACTCAGGTGAAAATATCAATAAATCCTCAATTTTATAATTTTCTGAATGAAATTTCAAAAATCACGAATTTGCCAGTTTTCAGCCGCATTTTTGGCAGAAATTTTTAATAGGGTCTTGAATTTAGCTTTTTTCTAGTTCTAGTCCAGCCCCTTTCCCGATAAAAAATTCAAAAAAAACTCACAACTCCTCCTCTTATTCTTCGTGATTTGCAAACTAAACTGATTTCCAAATTTATAATCCTTGAGCTCAATATTTTCAGCAGTACACGTGTAGTATTGATCCGACTTTAAATCCGTTTCATTAACATAGTGAAAGAATAGGGTTCCCTACAAAGAGAAAAAAAATGATAAAAACTAACCAATATTATAGAAATCCATATTATTGCCAGTAATCCTCGTAACACCATTTTTGCTTCCAAAAAATGAATTGAAAATAAATAATTTCAGGGCAAAAAAAAACCAATTAGAAAATACTAAGAAGATGAGAATAATATCATGGACCTGGACCACACAAATTTCGGACCGCCACAAAAAAAATCAGTGTGGGTTGTTAGCTCAAACTACTACACTTATTTTTTTCACTCAGTTTCTCTCTCACATACACGAAAAAAAGAGGCGAGATACGAGAAATCGCAGAGAAAAATACGAATTTTTTCTCTAGTCTCTCTTCAATTTTTGTGTTGTTTATGCGTGTGGCAGCACACACTACTAGTCTATCTCGAAAAAAAAGAAAGAAAGCTCCGCCCATTTTTGTTTGTGTTGGTTGTTGTTTCGACCCAAAAGAAGACGAAAAAGATGGAAAAATAGGGGATGGAGGGACGGAAGAAGAAGGAGAAGAAGACGAGTATAACGGGCAGTCGAATAAAAAAAAGAGATGAGAAAAATAAGGACAAACCATCAGGGAATTACCTAAAGCTGCATGCCTGATATATTCATTTTTGCAACATTTTGGACTAGATTCTTTTTCGATAAGACACCAACAAAAAATCACAACAAAAAAAAAGTATAGCGAAATTCTAACAATTCATCATGTTTATTTTATTTACAACATGAACTTTCATTAATAGAAACAATTTGAATGATCGATTACAACTAGTTTGCAATTAGTTGATTAAAGGAACCGCTGATAATTTGGGTGGTTTTTTATATTTGGTTCGAAATTAAATTAAAGAACTGGTTATCTTGCTCAAAATATGGAACTTCTGGTTTGAGATTTGGGATTTAGGTGAAATTTTGAAATACGAAAATCGAACATCCAATTAAATTCGGGAAAGCCTAATGGCGAACAAAAAGTGAGGTTAGAATTATTCCAATTCGAGAAAAATCCAGTTTCTCAAATACTTCAATGTTCAGTTCAAATGTTCGAGGTGTTTGGAGCTTATTAAATAGAACATCGGGCTATCAGTGTGAGTAGAGAAGCCTAAGCCTAAGCCTAGAAGTCTAGAATTCTACAAGGCTGAATTTAAATGGTTGAACTCACGCGAGTTGAGCTCAAACCCAAGAGCACAGCACGTTTCCACGAAGTGTTCGGAAGTTTGAAAAATTTGAGATATACGAAGCTCAAATTCGAAAAAACCAAGAATTTGAAAAGTTTTAAAAACCAATTAACACAGGTAAAGATTCCAAATTCCTCGTTTTTTGAAAACTAGAAGCCTAATTTTATCCAGATAGTTCAAATCTCCACACCAAAAACTTCTTCCTGTTTTCCTCGTTCCAAACCAAAAAAGGTCCGCCCTAATTACACCTTCCAATTCCGGGGGCCAAAAACCCCATTATGACACCTGACTAAATCTCGCCTACATCATAATAATAATAATGACATACACTTCCTCTCTTTTACTATTTGATTTCACCGATTGATTCATGGCTTTGAAAATGGCGAAAACATAATCCAATATTATATAACTTTTTTCAATGAAAAAAAAACAAGTTACAATATTTTCATGGGGCTTTCAAATTTCATCTCATTTTCATTTTCCTCTTCATTTTCAAGTGTCTTAATATGTCCAGAGCAATTAACGACCAAAGAAAGAAAATGAGAATAAGAAGAAGAAGAAGAAGAACGAGGATTAAATAGCAGCAGCAAATGCGAAATTGTCACAAGTGCATTTCTCAAAAAATCCTCATTTCAAAAAGTGTTCAATTTCGCTGCAAAAAATTTCTGGAACCTTTTTTTGCTCCGGTCGGAAAGGAAAAACACATGTTGAGAAAGGCAAACAACTTTGTATATCCTAACACAATTGTTTATATATTTTTTCCTATAGAAGAAAGCTGGCAATAAAAAAACCAAACTTATTATTACCACCAGAAGGTTTTTTGTTATTTATAAGGTCACTATAAAAGACTAGTGAGTAATAAAAATATGGAGTTTTGTTCTTGGCAAATTTTGACGGGGGGTTCAACTAGGTCCGATTTATCGCAACTCATTTTCAAATTTCGAAGTCCGAAACGAACAATTTTCAAAAAGTGGGAGGATTTTTCGGCTTCGTTTGAAATAAATAAAATTTTCTGATTAATTACAGTCCCAATATTTTTCCTAAAAACCATTGTTTTTGGAATATCGATTCTGGTGTTACGAGGATTTCCGACTTCCTAAAAATAGAAAAAAATTAAACTAACTTGTTCATTTGATGATATATGACTGCTACTAATTGTTTCGAAATGACCCGGCTCTTTTCCCATCAATATCCAATATACTCTGAAAAAAAACGATTTTCAATAGATTTTTGAGGTAAAAATACTACCAAACAAAATTTATAAAATTGTATTACTTTCAGAAAGTCTGGGTAGAAAATTGTTTTTCATACCTCAAAGTATATCATTTCCATAAAACATGTTTTGTTTGACAGTTCAAAATTTCAGGATATTTTTCAAGAAATAAAAAAATTCCAAAAAGTTCACGTTTTAAATTTTGAAAAAAAAACAGTTTTTTCATTTTCAATATTTTCAGAATTCGAGAAAAAACGAACCTCGCATTTGGATTACTGGCTGGTGGTGTGCAATTTCGATGATATGGATCTCCAATTTCGACTACAACAATTTCTGGTTCAACTACTGAGAAGTGTCGAATCCCTGGAAAAAGCATTTTTGGCAATTTTTTATCTGATTTTTTGACACAAAATAATTATATTGTTATTTTCTTTTAAAAATTAGGATTTTTTGTTAATTTTAATCTGAAATTCGTATTCGAAGATTAGAAATATCGAAATCTATCAAATTTTCGAGATCGTGAAATCCCAGATTTTTTGCATGAAAAAAGAAACCCCAATTTGAATCGTTCTGATTGAAAAAAATCAATCAATTTTTACAGATTCTTTTTCTTTTTTTCAAATTTTCATTCATTTTGAAAAAGGTTTACATTGAATTATGATCAAATTTGTTTCATTCTAATAAAATTTAAAAGCTATTCTTTTGAAAAATGTCTATTTTTATTTGAATTTTTTATTTCAAGTTTTCAAACTGGATCTTCGAATGTTTCTCAAAAATCTCCTCTTCAAAAAACTCACAAGTTTCTTGAATCCTAACAGATCGATCAACAGCCGTTCCATTTGTATTCGATGCTTCACATTGATAAACTCCAGCATCCGCTTCATCAAGTCGCGAAAAAACCAAGCTGCCTTCACCTGGTTTTTGAACAACTTTTTCAGGAAACATTCCAGGATCAAATGGTTTTCCATCTTTTTTCCATCGATATGATGGTCGCGGATTTCCGCGTGCCAGACATCGAATCGTTTGTTCTAATAGATTTCCTGGTGTGTTTTTCGATTCGTCAGCCACACCATTTTTTTCGACTTTGAAAAATACTCGATCCGAGTTTTGGTTGTGCACAAATTGTGGAGGTGTTTCGATCGATGACCAGTCAATACATGATATTTCTGCAAGAAAATTTCGGATTTATAATGCAGAAAAATCAGAATTTGGAGAAAGTTTTCATATGTTTAATTTCTCAAAACTCACAGTTTTCTGGCATCTCTTTTTTGAAAAATGCTTTTTTTTCGTAAATAAATTATCTTGTACGTGGAAATAATCAGAGTTCACGTTTCAAAAAAAAATAATTGTATCTAAATTTTTTTCCCCAAAAAACTCGCACTTTTTGCAACAAACAAGCATAGTTTTTTTTCTCACTTTCACCCAATTATAACATCAATCAAATCAGCTGGTGCGTAAGATGTAAATTATCCGAGTTTTTTTTTGGAAATTTTTTTCAGTGAAAAATTTGATTCTCATTTCGAGATTTTAAAATCTATACATATTTTTCAGAATAATTTTTGAGTGTTATATATAATTTTGGGGTTAAGTGAGACCAATTTCCGAAAAAAATTTCAGAGTTTTTTCTGAAATCTCAAAATTTTGGAATTTTGACTCATCCTGAAAGCAAATTTTCGCCGTGAAATTGCTTAAAAACCACGAAAAATTAGAATTATTGAAAAATTTTTCTCTGAAAATTGGCTTGTAGAAACATTTTTGACCCGGAATTCCGGATTATGAATTTTGTATGTGTGAAAGGATATTTTATCACCTAAATACACTAGTTTTTACTCTAAAAAATCACAAAGAGTTCCATCAGCCCAAGAAAAAAAACGCTAAAACTCAAAACAAAAAAGGAGGACTAGATTTAAATTTTTGTCCCGTGCATTTACTTCGGCTCATGGAGCATTTTTGTAACTTTGAAAAACTAGCGTACAACTTTTTGATAATTCAAAATTCTCTCAGCCAACCCCTCCAAAAATGCTCACCTTTAGCAATCAAAAAAATTAGCAAAAAAGCGAGACCGAATCTTCGTCTCATTGCTGTTGTTGATTCGAACTCTTTCGAAAATCGCCCGGCGTGTGCGCTACCACTAAAACACGCCCGATTTTTCGTTCGTCTTCGATCTGAAAAAAAACATCAAGTTAGATATGTATGGTAATTCAAAAGTGCGTGCGAGGCAAAAATATGTGACCTCAATCAACTTGAGAAAAAAAAGAAAACGGTGAGATCATGGGAAAATCTGTATTTACTTTTGATTTCTTCTTTTTTTCTTGAGAAGAAGAAAACGGAGGATAAATCAAAATATATAATTTGCATAATTCCATGAGAAAGCCAAGATTAATTTCACAGAATCGAATCTAATCTAAGTTCAGAAAACCTGCCAAAACTTTTCTCTCAATAAGTACCGATTAGGACATCAAACAAAAAAGGGAATAAATGAAAGAACGAAATTTTTCCTATATAGAGAAAAGAGAGAAAATGACAATGATGAGTGATAGATGCGTTTTGACCAACCAAAAACGCATGCGCGAATGGGGAAAATGATGGTCAAATAAATATGAAACAGAACAAAAAATATAGAATAAAAGTAGTAGGAATAGCAAAGGGAAAACAAGACGGATGATTGAATGTACTTTTATTATAGTTTGGAATGACAAGAAGAGGGGGGCGACAAAATGGATGACTATGGTGCAAAGATTGAAATTTTTGAAAAAGTGAAACATTGTCAAAACTACTCCGTTGAGATGAACAACAGATTTTCCAGATAAAAATAGCAATTCACTAACGTTTGAAACACAATTTTGGTAGAGTTTCGCTATCAATATTCTCAAAAACTTGAAACATCGATAATTAGGTCAAAAATGCATGTCACGTACTCCACTTTTATGACTACTAACAACAACAGGACAAAAAATAAGTTTGGTTGGGTCACACGATTACAACTCGTTGAATAAAAATATAAATGATTCAGACCCATTCAAAGTGAGAAATGAATCACTTGACGAAAGAAAAAACGGAGAAAAAACACACCAAGACGGTTGTTTTCGGTTATACGAAGGAATGAACGAAGGGACGAAGAAAGGAAAAAACTAAAGAAAAACATTGGCACGAGGGAATGACTAATGGATCACTTTTTGTACAGTGGGCACGAAAATAAACGATTTGTGCAATAATAAGAGATAAAAAAACGCATTTCAATTTGAAATTCATGACTCATTGATCATGCGATGAAATAAAATAAAGCAATTCGAAAAAAATATGGCTGGTCATGGCTAATCGACGAGAAAAATATAAAAAAGGCGTGTATAAATGAAGGATAATGTCACAAAAGGTTAAAACAATAAAATGACCGAAACGGGATGGGCGAATGGACAATTACTCAGAGAAAAAAAGAAATACGATTGTTTATGGCAGATTGCAAAGTGACAATTTATTAGTGTTATTGGTCATATCTAGACAACCGATTAGAAACTATCAGTGGGCGGCAGAAAAAAGGAATTCGAGAATTTTTTCTTTGAAAACATCGCCCGCAAAAATTATGTGGCCTAGAAACCGACGTACAATGGAGCATTTTTTGAGGAAAAAAACGAAATTTCAAACAATTTCACCAAAAAGCAAAGAAATCCAATGAAATACAAGAACTCCCTCTCCTATTATTTGTTGCGCAGAAGAGATTTTTGATGATTCAAAACGAAAAATTGAATTTTTCGGCCAGATGGAACTTTGAAAGTTCGAATTTCTTCAAATTTGCGAATAAATTAAGCTAGAACCTGTGAACCCCAAGTGGGATAGAAATAGAGACAATTGGCAAACATTTTCAAATAAAATATTTTTTGAAAAAGTAAATGAGCGTGAAAAATACCTTGTCTTTAAACCGACGTTACAGTTAACTTGCAAGTTAATTATGAAGGCATTTATCGAGAATTTAAAGAAAAAAGGTCTTCAGAACCCGAAAACGAAAAGAAAAAGGACCTCGATGAAAAATGTTTTTTTTTTCGAAAAAAAAAAATTGGCGGGAAACAATATGTGGCCTAGAACCCGACTCGGCCACGTTTAAAACAAAACATTTTCTGCGCACCGTCCATTTTTTGCATGCGATCGCGCGATGCATTTTTTTTTCATCGCGATGAAAACAAAACTTAAAATTTTCAGCAAGCAACAATCATTGTGTGTCAAGTTGGCAAATTCAAATATTTGGTCCGGGCCGTTCATTTTTTCAACTACGAACGGTACGTTATTTTTTGAGGGGTATTTTCACAAGCCGTGCTAAACATCGATGAAAATTAATTTTTTTTCGAAACGAGCACAAAAATAGAATAGCTCGAAATTTTAACATCAAAAATGAATTCATCTCTCGAAATTCGCCCTCGTAAAACCCAAAACTCGGGCAGAAGAAAAATGCCCATCGGTATACATAAAAAGAAGAAAAGGCAAAATATATACATGCACATAAATATATGTATGTTTGATGTGTTCGTTTTCTGTCTGTCAAATTCAACTGAACTCATTATTCATTCTTTCCTTTATTCTTTCCTCTACTTTCATTCCATCCAAAACTTTTTAATTATTCAAGACAAGAAAAACATTTGAGTGTTCTCACAAAGTTTTGATAAATTACTTTAGCCTAGTAGATTCTTATCGAACAAAAAAAAGTGCACGAAAAAAAGAGGACAAATTTAAATGATTTGAGGAGGAACAAGGCCATTATTCAACGAATGAATTAATATGGCGCCAAAAGAAAAAAACTGATTTTGAAGGTGAAAAAGTATTTCTTCTGACTGAAGCCCACTTTATGGTTTGGTTCACCAAAAAAAAACCCATTTTATATTCAACCATCTCATTCATATCTTACGAAGAGCAAAAAAGAAAAACATTGAAATTTTGCAAAAAAAAAAGACGACGAAACAGGAATTCCTTTTCCGGGAAATCCGAAAAATACAAAATTTTTTTAATTCTCTAGAAAAAAATGGCGGCTGCGGCTGTCAGATGAAAGGTCAACTCAGTCTGAAATTTCGTAATTTGCATTGGAATGACGAAATTGAGGCATATATAATATATACATGTTTTTTTCTAATGTAAGAGGGCTAATGGGAAAAAACGGCGGAAATTGGTGATTCGAAACAGAAAAAAATGAAGAGGTTTGCTTTTTTTGGAATACGAGGAGAATAAGACGATTTTGCTGTTAGACAGCTGGTTGAAAAAATTGGGCGCGATCGATTAGAAAACTAGAGATCGGGAATAATTTGGTAATAATTTACTGAATACAATTCTAGGAATTGAACGGGAATCTGTATTTTTTCCCGAGAAATTTCATTTTAAAAAATGAGACTGAAAAATAGAATTGAAATCCGACATTTCAGAAAAAAATCCAGTCGCAAAAGATCAAAACCCTCCTCATAAATAAATAAAAAATATATGATATTTCAATTTTACGAGTTACATATTTTTCCGATACAATCGCAAAAATATGGGATTTTTCAGTTTTATTACACAAAATCAATTTTATAATGGATTTTTTGGAAAATCTGGCAAGAAAACAGAAACAGAATTTCACGGTTGACCGTTTTTGCCACGTCATGTTGTGGTACACTATAAATTGAGTAATGACTGGTTTGGTTTCAAAAAAGCTGCGAAAAAAATTAATCCGATTATTATTATTTGTTGTTTCGGTAGGGGGAGGTATAGAATAATTAGATGAAAAAAAAAGAAGAAAGAAAAAACCACCTACAGCGAAAAAAAGAAGATAATTTTAGCCAATTTTCTTAAATTTAATTAAATTTCGTCGAAAGGATGAGGAAAGAAAAGTTTCCAGAAAAAGGTCCAACTTCAAGGTCCAATATCAACATGAAAAAAAGCAGGAGAAAACAAGAAGGACGCCTAAATGGTGGTAATCGAATAAAAAAGTCGAATTGAGGAGGAAAAGAATAAGACACACTTGGCGGCAGATGGTGTGAAGAATCACAAAAAAAAAAGAGAAAAAAGGAGAAGAACAAGTGGATAACTAATGCAAATATCAATTGGCTAATTAGTCAATACCCGTATAGATTCAACAGTTTTTCTAAACTTCAAGAAAGGTGGCAAAAAAGAGATGATTGAATTCAAATCCCTAAAAAACCTCCTGCACAATTTGCACTCAAATTGGAAAGCTGTGACGGTAACAGTACGGTATTTTCAATGGGAACCCTGAAAACTCACGAGTTTCACGAGTATACACTAATGGAAATGAACATTTCAAAAAATTGTGAAATATTTGGGACACGTCTGAATATTCACGCAATAATTGAATTTTTTGGAAAATTTCGAAAAACCTTTCATTTAATGAAGGCATTTTTTGGAAATCAACAATTTCCGCCAAAAAAAACTTGGTCAAAAAAATTTTCGACGTCGTCAAAAAACATACTCTTCTTTCTTTATCAAAACTACGAAATCTGGCAAAAGTCAACAAGATTACTTGGTTTTTTTTTTGGAAGAAAACTCGAATGATTTTTTTCCCAAAAAAAATTTCTAGCCAAGATTTCTGAAGAAAAACACCACAAACACCACACCAAAAAGGAAAAATGCGACATAGCAAAAAATCTTCCTCTTCTCAGATATTTTCTTCAGCCTTTTTTCGCATATATATTTTTTTTCTTTCTTGGTTTTTCTCCCCATACATTTTTTTGGTGTTGGTGGTTGTGGTTTCTTCGTTTCTCGCGCTATTCTCGACCCTCTTCAATATATATTGCACTCTTCTTCTACCCACTAACAACTTTTTTCTTCTTCTGTTGTATTGGTAAAATGGAATTTCGCGTGGCTTGGTTTTGGCGCGGGTGCATTTCGTGGGGTGTGAAAAAAATGAAAGTGAAATCTAATTTATCTCGGGATTATCTTGGAGAGCGGAGAAAAGTGTGGGAGGAGGGCCTCTTTTTCGAAACAGAGAAAAAAAAAAACTATCCATTTGACAAAAAAAACATTTTACAATGAAACTTTTTGTGAAAATTAAAATCTTCTCCTGATTTTTTTTGGAAAGGTTCTAGATTTCTACCAGAATATTGTGGCTTCAGATACCAAAGGGCAAAATTGCCACGTCATGGTGGATCCAATTTTTAATCGAAAAAAGTTTTTCTCACTCACTCTATTCATCATTCTTCAAACAAAAAAAACATTATTGAAAGGATTCGTGAGAAAAGCACTTTCAGTCCTGGTAGAAATGTGCAAAAAATCTGGGACCACCACAATTGAAAATGAGAATGAAAATGTACTTTTACTTTTAATCAGAGAGAAAACGAGAAAGGCGAAAATTGAATTGAGTCAAATTAAAGGCGGTGGGTGAAAATACTTACAAGATGACACCTTTTGGGTTTGCCGCTCGCGCGAAAAAATTCAATTATCGGATTTTTTTCGAACTTTGAAGGCGGTCAGATATTGCGGTTGGCCCAGACCACAAAGGAAGCCCCTTGAAAGTTGAATTTTTACTGTACAACAAAGTGCAAAAAAACGAAGCTTCAAGGAAAACCGAAATAATTGTCTAACCGCCTTTGAAAAAATGCATGATCAATAAAAAATTCGGTGGCCCAAAAAGAGCATAATTACCGGATAGCTTGGAAGAAATTAATGGAATAATTATAACCTTTGGATCAAAAAAAGCTTGAGTGAGAAATACATACATTTTGCAAAATTAAATAATTTTGCAGGTGGTAAAGGTCAGAATGTGTGCTCAGATGGCTATTGACTCGACTTCATTTTGGAAAAATGAACGGTGTATATTTTATTTAGATGGATAGGATTGGATTACAGAGTGACAGATGTTTGAGTCAAAAATATTCAGACTCTAGAAAAAGGACAAGAAAAAATAAAATAAGGAATTAATAATCACAAGAAAATGTAGAAGATTGTTTTACAAATCTTTGAAACATATTGTGCTGGCTATTCGATATGACTTCCTTGGTAAATATCATCTACAATTACTTTTTCTGCGTTTAATATTTTGGCTGCACTTTGTTTGTTTTGTGGCTCAATAGTAGTAGCATCTTGACCTTGTTTGGCGGAAAGATTTTGGCGGGAGGAGAATAGAAAGAATGTGGTGGTTTGGGAGAAATAAGGTTTCTGGGTTTGGTTGGGTCTCACCTCGAATTTTTGAACGCGAAAAGCGGTCATCCAATTCTTGAACAAACCGTTTGACCTAATTAATGACCAGGCTGACCAGATTTTTTGGAATAGGTCCTATTTTTTGAGAAAAATTCTAAATCGGACCACTTTTTGAAAATTATCATTGAAGCACCCGACTTAGAATTGACCTAGAATCCCCACGACAACCAAGATCATCAGTCGAAAACGCAAATATCCAGCAAAACTTCCAAAAAAAAACTACTAAACTAAAAAAGTGCACATCTTCTCAACACATGCATAGTAAGTAAAATTAAATGAATTTCGAAAATACGAGTGCAAAATTAAAATGAAATGTGATGCCATCTAGTCATCTTTAAAAGGAAAGAAGAATAAGAAGAAGAAGAAGACTTCATTGTTATTTGAGATAAAATCTCCTTCTTTGTTGCTCATTTTGAAGCACTCGAACGGAACATTTTGACATTTGAATAAGTAATTATATTATTTTATTTTGGAAGAGAGAGAGAAACTTTGAATAATGTGTAACTATGGTGATTTAATTAATAAGTTGAGATTTTCATTTAGAAAGTAAGTGTATAGGAAAATCTGGAAAAATGGAACAATTGTTTATTTTTTCCTTTATTTTCAAAAGAAAGACCTTGTTTGTCAACAAAAGTTTTCTAGCTTATTTGCACCAAAAGTGAGTTCAGTCTTCTGGAAAATTTTATATTTCTATCTCATATTAGGGTTTGCTTTGGTACTGACCGATAATCAAGAGGATACTTGAGATCAAAAAACATCAGCTTGTATTGTAGCACTTTTTTGATGTATTTATTTTAAAAGTACGGAAATTGCGAGAAAAAAGTGTTAGATATTTGAGTTGTCGAGGAAGAAATAATGAAAGAAACAACGGAAAAAAGAGCTCAATGACAGCAACAAAAAAATGATGGAATGAAATACAAAACATGTACAAATAAATACAAAAGGAGAATTGCGAAGGAAAAGAGAAGGAGGAGCACACTTGAAACACAACGGCAGCACAAAAAAATGTATGTGAGCGAGAAAAAAATCGCGGACATTTATCTATCTTGTGATGATATGTCATCTTTCAATAACATTTTTGTATGGTTTTTTCATACATCATGCGATGAGCAATGTTTTAAAAACAAAAAATGTGGGATTTTCTGAGAAATCGATTTGCAACTAGGATATTGGAAGTTTAACAACAAAGAAAACCATGAATATACATTTGAAATTGAATTTTTTGTGACCAAAACAACTGGGAATTTTTTATTATCTCATACAAATTGATGTGTAGAATCCCAAACAGAGTAAACTTTTGCATTTGGTGATGAAATGAATTTTTTAGTGAATTGACTTTTGTAGAGAGGTACAGAATTTATATCTTCCGGCGTTCTAGCGAAGGTTTCAAGAAGTCTAAAAACTTGTTTCGTACGAAAAATGTTCGATACTCAACTCACCGAATAGTATCTTGATTGATAGATGGATGCACAAAACCAAGAGATGCGTAACTTGAAACTAATGGGATTTGATGAAGAAGTGCGGAGAGAAGAGCTATTGCAGCATCTAGATTTTCAGCATAAAATGGAGAAACTGATAGCTTATTTTTTGATACAATTCGAATTGTCGCATATCCAACGACTTTATTTGTCTCACTCAGATCGAACACCACTTTTGTGAAGGTGTTTTTCAAATTGAACCAATTTGTCTGCATTTTTCTTCGATCTCTGCCACAAATTGTGCGATCATATTCATAAAGAAGTTCTGGGTCAACATCAGACCAGTCCTAAATATCTGCGTGTTTAGTTGTTTTCAAAGTAATCCGCGCACCTTTGTTCCATATTCCTCATTATTGATTTCTGGCATCACCAGATTTTGAGTCTTGATGGAAGTTATATTATTCCAATAAGCTGGAATTTTATCGAAACCGAAAGTCGATGCATACTTGTCAACCATCTTCACAGCTAAAAATTGGTACTTTTCGGTCAAAACCACAAAAAATAATTACCTCCTGTTAGAGTTGCATTATCATCTCCAACAATACTCATAGCTTTTTCGAAAAGTTGTTTGGCTATTGATTGTCCACGATATTTTTCAACGCAATAAAAGAGGCCAACACTGTAAAGCGTGTCTTTTGGATCATCCCATCGAGCCAAAGACACAGAAGCGACCAGATTTGTAGTTCCTGAATGAGTTTTTATTGAAAATCTAGCAGATTTTTAGAAAGAAACCTTTTTCAACAACTGTGAACAGCCAATACTTATCGAAACTTGTTGACCAATAATGATAATCGGCTAATTGATGTCCCCAATCTTCAGTTTCAGTCGTCCAATGAATTATTTGATCGAAAACTGATTGAGGTGGATTTATCAATGTTTCGAAGTTCATTTCTGTTAAATTTTAGTGAATAGAGAATTATTAAAAACGGAGAATGTCTAGACTGGTTTTTGGTCTTTATCGCAGAAAAGTTACAACAAGAATGATAACGATAAAGTAGACATATTTTCATTTCACTTTCTTACATGAAATTCAATTATCATCCTTTTTTGTGCAATCGGAACACCCATTAGATGCAAACATTTGATTTCGTTGTCGAAATGTCTAGTTGCTCTCTGTGAAAAAAATTTTTTTCTCCTAGAAACATTTCTGGTTTCTTACCTCAATAGCTGAACACATATCGTTAATTTGAAAAAGAATATCAGCTTTTTCATCAAAACTTGTGATATCATTCAAAATTAATTTCATCAATGCATTTCTATGTATATTTGATTCAGCTATAATTGCATCCCTGGATTCATCACCAATGTGGAAGAAATGTAATCCTAGAAAATTGAATTGAAGTTAGGTGAAATTATTGGGAATAGAAACCTGGAGAATAGAGAACACATGCTTTTAGAAGAGCAAAATGATGTTCGGAGAAATTTAGATTTAGCATTGGATGAACAACAAAAGAAAACAGTTGTTCGGAAATTGTGTTGAATAACTTGCATAATCTGAAAATATTAAAATAATCCTTGAATCTATGCAAACACGATTTTAGAGTTAGAAAGTGTTCCAGAATTTTTCAAAAGTTTCGGTGTGACAAATTTCAACTTTGTCAAGTCATAACTATCTTCAAATTTCAAAAATCTCACAAATCCTCCGGCTTGTTATCAATCTCCTCGTGCAATCGATACGGAAAAACATTCGAACATCCAAAAAGTAGTCCATCTCGTCTCTCAACACTCGAATGAAATGCCATCGAAACCAAAGTGCAAGGCACAAATCGATTGATAAACCAAGATCTCTTGTCATTTGCCGCCATTTTGTTGAAACATGGAATTCTGGTTGCAAAATCGAGAAAATGCACAAGCGATCTTGCCCAGCTTCTGACAAAATTATCCGAATTCAACATTTCGTAAGCTTTCCAACATCTCTGAAATTGGTTTTTCTAGGTTAAATTTTCTGAGCATTGTGTTACCTTAAATCTCGGGCACTGCGCAGTTCTCTTTCCCAAAAGTTCCGAAATCGAGCAAGACAACATCAAATCAATCAAACTGTTCACCGTGCTTTCTGATCTCGTTGGACCATTCGGAAAAATATCGCAATTCCTAAATTAAAAAAAACACGTCACGTGTTCCAAATTTTTTGTTGTTGTTCCCTCTCCGAAAAAATTCAGTTTTTCTAATTTGTTCCGCCCGAAATGAACGGTATATTTTTTCCTCGTAAACAATCCTTCATCCAACAAAAGTATTTTCAGATTTCAAATATGATCCTAGAAAAGTTACAATATCTATACTGATTATAATAATCATCTCGTTTTGCACTCCAGTTTCAGCTGAAAGCGATGATACAATTAAATTTCCAAGTATTTCGGATCCCAAGTTTATGCCTAAACTTGTAGATAGTATGATACAATTTATTCGTGAATTGAAAAAACAAATTAATATTTATGATTATGTGGATGATATAGATAATACAACGGTAATAATTGGGGAAATATCTGAGCCCAAGCTTGAAAAATTGTGATCAGAAATGACCTAAATTCCATAGCTTCTGTCAAAAATTGTTGATTTTTCAGATCGATGCAGATTCGGGCCAAACAGAACCTGTTGACACAACAACTTCAGCTGAAACTCAATCGCAACCAAATCAGGAAGAAACTCCTGAGGTTTTGGAGACATCTACAAAAGTGCCAACAACTGAAGAACCAGAGATAGTAACTACAGCGCCAGCTGAAACGACGCAGGATTCAACAACCACACAGGAAATTGAATCTTCGACTGAAGCTGCACCCGAACTTCCTGTGATTATACTTGGAAACACAACCTTAGCGCAAACTACAATTGAATCAACGACTTTAGAAGTTGAAACTACAACTTTGAAACTCGAAACTACAACTGAAGAACCGACCACTGCGGAAGTTGAAAATTCCACAAAAACAGAAGTTCCAACTGAATTCACAACAGCAGAACCTGAAACTTCTACAACTGAAGTTCTGAGTGAATCAACAACTTCGCAGTGCGAAACTTCTACATCCGAAGTCCCAACCACGGAAACATCAACAGAATCCACTACTACTCTTAAAACTGAAACTACAACTGAAGTTCCAACATCAACACCAGAACCAGAAACTTCCAGCTCGACCACAACAGCAAATCCACCAATTCCGCCTGTAGAATCAGAACCTGAATCTACAACAGAAGAATCTTCCACATCTACAACTGAAGTTCCAACAACATCTTTGGAACCTGTAACTTCAACAACCACAGATATTCCACCACCACTTCCAGAACAAGCACCACTTATTGAGAAAAATGTGCACTTTTTGACGACTTGCGAGGTAAGAATTTTTGCGGGCTGGAGAATTGAGGAATCCAGAAAATATGAACTTTGAAAAACTGGGCCAGTTTCATGATTATCTTCAAAATTAAAATGAACTTATTTGTTTCTGAATCGAGATATTCATAAGATCTTTCATTTTCTAAAACACCTCAACCTTCTCATTTCCTTTTTTTTCCAGGACAGTCATCAAAGTGAGCCATGTCCCGGTTTGTGTGCTGCATTGAAACCATCAAAAGACAATCAAAAATCTGGTTTTCTTCTGGCGTATTTCATTCCTGGTATTATTATTTGCTTGTTCCTAGTTATTATTATGATTATTTTAATCTATACAAGTATTTTGATCAAGAAATTGAAAAAGAAGAGAGGTAAGTTGAGCGTTCAGATTTTCATTTGACAAAAAAAACAAATTTCAGAGGAAGCGGAAAAGGCTCAAGCAAAAGCTGCTAAGAAGAAAGCCGCCAATGCACAAGTAAATGAGCAAATTAGTCAAAAATTAATTAATCAGGAGCAACAGCAAATTCAGCCAGAGAAAACTGGTTCAAAAATTATTCAAGCGGATTCAAAAGTTGTGGAGCCTGAGATTGAGCCAAGTGCGTCAAAACGAAAACTTCAAAAAGAAAAATCGGCACCAAACAACAGTGGTCCAAACACAAAATCTGAAGATAATACTGAAAGTTTTAAGCCGAAAAAACATTTGAATGATTTGAAAAAATTGAAAGATTATAATGAGAAAATGGACAAAATGCATGAAACCGATTGGAATTCCGAAAAGTTTATCAAAAGAGGTCCGATGGTTATGCAACATTTGAAACTTGGTGAAGCAGCGAAGCAAAATGACGAGATTGCACCGGATATTATTTTGGAAAAAGTTTATTATGAACCGGCTGGAAATGAGATATTTGATATTGGAACTGAAATTGAGAATATTGAATCATCAAGATCGGAAACGAAAAAGAAACAGAAGAATATATCGAAAAAGATGGCGAAAAAACTTGGATCGAGAGAAAGTGGAAAAAGTGCAAAAGGGGATAAAACGGTGACTTTATCATAAATTTCTTACTTGTTTTTTGAATTTCTGGTAAGAAATTTTTTTAAACAGCAAGCTGATTCGAAAATTTTACGTGGGTCAACTTCTGAGAATTCAAAAAGTATATTGTAGTTTGACTCCACGCGTAAAAGTCTCATTTATTTTAGTTTCCAATTTTCTGGGATTATATTTTGAACCTAATTGTTGGAATGATGTAAAAAAATTAAAAAAAAAGAGAAATGAATTTAAAATTATTTCACGCGTACGTGTGACGTGGGAGAGGTGACGGCGAATAAACCGCCTATATTTTTCATTTTGTTTTTTGTGTGGAATTTTTCCCAGTTTTTTTTGTTTTTGTGCGTTGCACATTTTTAAAGGGTTTTTTCCAGAGTTCCGAATTTCAATTCATTCCTAGTACAGTACTATCTAGTACCTTGATTGCGATGCACTAGTACATAAGACATTTAAGCAAGGCCTTGTTTAAAGGTACTGTTTAAACAGTACTTTCAAACAAGGCCTTGCTTAAAGACTCGTTTAAACAGTTCATTTAAACAAGGCCTTGCCTAAAAGTACTGTTTAAGCAGTACATTTAAACGAGGCCTTGTTTGAATGTCTAGGCCCTAATTCATTTAGACGCTACCTGTCTAGGCAAGATGCGGAATTAAACACGGAAAATATAGTACACTAGTACAGTACTGAAAATGATCTAGAGCTGTACTATAAGGCATGTTCCACCAAAAAAATTTTTTTTTTTGATTTTGAGGTATTTGGGCACGGGAACATTTTGGTGAGGTATACGGTCGGGAACAGACTTTTAAAGGCGCATGCCAGACTATTACACATTTTCCGAGATATTTTTCAAACTATCATAACTTTTTTAATTTTGAAGCTTTTTGAAATTTCGACAACCATTTTAACGGTCTTGAGGTGGGCTTCATTTTTTGTGTTAACACCAACTTTCCTACTTTGCTCCTAGGGTGTGAAAAATGCATTTTTATTCGAATTTTCATCAAAAATTGACATTTTATAGAGAAAAAACGTGTTTTGCACACCTTAGGAGCAAAGTAGGAAAGTTGGTGTCAACCAAAAATGAAGCCCACCTCAAGACCGTTAAAATGGTTGTCGAAATTTCAAAAAAGCTTCAAAATTAAAAAAGTTATGATAGTTTGAAAAAAATATCTCGGAAAATGTGTAATAGTCTGGTATGTGCCTTTAAAAGTCTGTTCCCGACCGTATACCTCACCAAAATGTTCCCGTGCCCAAATACCTCAAAATCAAAAAAAATTTTTTTGGTGGAACATGCCTTATAGTACAGCTCTAGATCATTTTCAGTACTGTACTAGTGTACTATATTTTCCGTGTTTAATTCCGCATCTTGCCTAGACAGGTAGCGTCTAAATGAATTAGGGCCTAGACATTCCAACAAGGCCTCGTTTAAATGTACTGCTTAAACAGTACTTTTAGGCAAGGCCTTGTTTAAATGAACTGTTTAAACAAATCTTTAAGCAAGGCCTTGTTTGAATGTACTGTTTAAACAGTACTTTTAAACAAGGCCTTGCTCAAACGTTCAGTACATTAGGCTGTTTAGTACTATTTCCTAGTACATGTACTATGCGGTACTAGTACTTCAGGCCTTAGAGTCGGAACCCTGGTTTTTTCTAGTTTTGTTTGTAAATTGTTCTTTTGTTGTATTCTGTATGTGTAAACTTTATCTCTACCTGTTCTATATTAAAAATTGCTTGTAAATTTTACAAAGGACCCTTTTTTACTCAACAATTCAAATCATGATGAAATGTTTACAATTCATTGATATGGGGATAAAGTCTCAAATTTTTGTCTCCCAATAGACCTGCGAGAAAAGTTTGAGGTAATCGTAATCTGGGTCACTCTATGCGAGGTCGAAATTTTTCGCAACATTTTTTTGGTTATGCATCGTCCAAAGTGAAAAAAAATGCGAAAAATCAAAAAAAAAACGTCCAAACTGACGCATTTTTTTTCGCAGAAATCGCATTTTTTCGAGCACTTTTTTCGCGTTTTCTGGTGTTTTTCGAGCCAAAATGGACAGAAATTGGAAGAATTTGTCTGAAATGGTGTTTTTATTGATACTGGAGGAAAAATCAGCGGTGAAACATGAAAAATGAGTTTGTCGAAAAAATTTCGAAAAAGTCGAAAAAATTTGAAATTTTCAAAATCGTTTTTTTTTTCATGTTTCACCATTGATTTTTCCTCCAGTATCAATAAAAACACTATTCCAGACAAATTCTTTCAATTTCTGTCCATTTTGGCTCGAAAAACACCAGAAAACGCGAAAAAAGTGCTCGAAAAAATGCGATTTCTGCGAAAAAAAATGCGTCAGTTTGGACGTTTTTTTTTTGATTTTTCGCATTTTTTTTCACTTTGGACGATGCATTACTGTAGATTGAAGGAAATATATATTTCCCACAGTATTTGGAACTTTTTTTTCAAAAAAAAAAGGCTCGAGGTTTTAAAGACCAATTTTTGGCGCTAATACTTCCCAGTAACCCAGAGATTCTTAAAATTTAATTCCCACTCACAGCTCAAGGTTCAAATACATATCTGCAATTCTCATTGCATCTTCATAACTTATATCAATGAATTTCGAAGATGTTGGAATTGCGAGTGTTGTAATATTTGGAAGTGGAGAGCATTTTCGTTTTCCTCGAATTTCTTCGGTTTTCAGACCGACTTCGAGACATTTTTTGTAGCGACATGAACTGCAGTTTTTGCGATTTGCTAGAAATTTTGAGAGATTTTTTGATAAAATGGATCCATCTTCAATTTTTTTCTTAAAAGGTTAACTCACATGCACTAATTTCACATCGATTCCCATTTCGACACTCTTTTTTCTCGTTGTTCAAAAATCGCCGACGAAAAAATGCTTTACACGATCTAAATTAATTAATTAAATAATTACGAGCCATAATTAATTACAATACATATTTAGAATAAAAACTTACGCGCAACAAACAGTTCCATAATGCGGTTTTCCTTCGAGTTCTCCACAAACTCGACATTCCATTTTTAAAAGAAAAAAAAAAGATATTTTTGAAGAAAATTTAATATTTGATAACAAAGTATGAGAAGGCTGTGTCCATAGTAACAGCGAATTAGACTCAGACTTAGCCTAACATAAGAAAAGATGAGAAAAGAGCTTTGATTTTTGAATCGAATGAACTATTTGAGTTGTGACGTGGAATATTGTCTGAAAAAAGTTTTCAAAAATAAGAATATCTATAGAATAGTCATTTTAATTTTGAATTAAGTTTCAAAAGTTGCAAATTGAAAACTGGACACCAAGCACCTGCATTTTAGAAAATTAGGGTTCAAAAATAAAAATTAACCTTGCTGGAATGAAAAAAAAACTTGTGAACCGAAGCATTTTCAAAGAAATTGGCTCATTTTCTGTTTTTTCGGAGCGCTTAAAACCTTAAGAAGTGAAAAAAACAGTAGAAAATGCAGTTTTTGAGTACAAACCACCGTCTTTCCAGCTTTTCAGGATTTTTCTCAAAAACTTTTTCCTCGCCATAAATTGTTTTTTTCTGATAATTTCTTGCAGACAAAAAACCAAACCAATAAAATTCCAATAAGTGCTTAAAAATTTTCCCAATTTCCTCATCCAGACAACCCAAATCCAAAAATGTCGTTGACTGAAAAATTCGAATTTTTCAGCCTATCATTTAACAGAACTGATATCATTGATAACACTCCAATTCGCCAAATCCCATTATTTTATTATTTTCGAACTATTATCCAATTTATAGCGAATGGCACAAATGTTCTAGTTTTAATTGCAATTCGAAAACAAATTTCAACCAGCTCATTTTTCTATTTATTTTTTCTTATTGGTGTTTTTTACTTGATTTCTTGGTATACTTATGTTTTTGTGGAATTGTGTACTTTTTACAATAACTACAAATTGTTTAACATTCGATATATTTTCTATGTTTCACATTTCATTTTATATTATTCTGTGATGCTTTTGAACATAATTTCAGTAATTAATCGATATTCATCAACTTTTATTTCCTATAATCGCATCTGGAAAACCAATTATATTAATTTAAGTGTCTTAATTACTCTGATGATTGGAAGTTTCGCTACTTTGTATGGTTTCAATTTGGAACAAACTTGGTATTTATCAGAAAAGGGGATTTGGGAAACGTTGGATTCAAGTAGAGATGGTGGATTTCGAAAAAGAATTATTCACACTAAAATAGTAACTGATGTCATTTTTGTGATTTTGACTTATTTAACGCATAGAAGAATGAAGAAATTGAGCATTACTAATCAAAAAGTGAGTTTTTCTTGTTTTTGTTAAAAACTGTAACTGATTGTGAAATTTTTTTTGGAATTCCTGTGATTAATCATGGAATTCTTGTGATTAATCACAAGAAAATTGAATATCAAAAGTAAGACAAACCAAATCCTACTGTACAATTTTAATACCCTATATATTTTTTTGAGAGCATTTTGAAACTTTTGATTCTTCATGTGCCGATTCAAATAATATTCTATGTTTATCAAACTCATGTTATGTTTCGAACCAACGAAGTAACTTTTATGGAACTTTTTGTAAGTTATTAGAACGTATGGGTTACACTATTTACTTCAATAATTTCCAGCTCAACACAATCCTAGTTTTCGAATATTCCGGGAATGCATTTTTATTGCTAATAACAAATAAAAGAACACGAACCCAGTTATTAGGCTGGTTCAAAGCCAAGGAAAATTCTAATAAAATTTCGACCACCATCACTTTTTGATTCAAGGAAGCTATGATATTGTTCGGCTCATAAATTTTTATTTCTTGCATTTTTGGAATTGAAATTGAATTGAATTCCTGTTCCAAAAATAACAAGAAAATATGGTTACTGAAATTTATCTATTTTACAATATTGAATATAACACAACTTCTGATTTCCAAAAAATAAAAATCAAACCAATTCCTTTACATTGGTATATTCAAAGTATTCTACGCTTCATAGTCACAGTAATTTATTTGTTGGTATTAATTATAGTTCGAAAACAAAGCTCATTTTATTATTTATTTTTCATAATTGGTATATTTTATTTAATCTCTTGGTATACTTTTGAAATCAATTGGTTTCTAAAATATCTTAATAATCAAATTCTTTTCAATATCGAATACTGTTTATATTTTATTCATTTTATTTTTTATTTCGCAGTGATATTTTTGAATATCTTATCAGTTGTCAATCGATATACCGCATCTTTTTTATTTTATAATAATATTTGGCGAAATTCATATATTAATTTTTATACCTTGGTTACTTTTATTATTGGGTTTTGTATCACTTATTGTTTCCTTGAGAAATCGGATAATTATAAATTAGATAGTTTGGGAAATTGGGATGAAAAGGAGACAAGTAATGGAGTTGTTTTTCGGTCCAAAATTATTTTGATCAAACTTGCCACTGATATTATTTTTGTGATTTTCACAATTTTGACACATCTTCGGATCAACAAATTGCAGAGTTCTAACCAAAAAGTTAGACTTGCTAATTTTTCAATTGAGAAAAAAATTATTTCAGAAAATTCTCCGACTTTTACTGTTACACATTCCTGTTGCAATTATATTTTACATTTATCAATTTCACATTGCTTTTGGTGTTAAAAAAGGTCTTCAGAAAGTTTTGGTAAGTTATTATTTCTCAAAAAAAAATCCAAGATTCTTCAATCACTAATTAACTGAAATGTTTAGTTAGATCAACTTGCTTTTGTTGAATATGTTGCTAATGGATTTCTAATTTTGTTGGTGAATCGAAGAATTAGAAATGAACTTATGAATTTGATTTGGAAGAGGAAGATTGCAAATGTGACGATTGTGTCAACAACAAGGTTTTGAGATTTTTTCAAATAGAATTATTTCTCCATCAAACTTTGTGCAAAATTACGAGTTAAATAGCAAGAAACTTAGGCCCCTTTGAGGACTTCAAAATTCAAAAAAAAAATTTATTTTTTCTCTGGACTCCTCTTATCTTCCATTTTATCCATTCGATAAGTTCTATCCATATATAAAGTATTATCATCTTCCGATTGTTCTTTGATTTGTACTTTTTTTGGTGGGGCAACTAATGGTGATTTCGAATTTTTCGATGTCGGCCTGTCAAAACAAGAATTTCAAATGAATGTGGTTTCTTCTTACCCCTCATTTTTTTGATAACATTTTTGCTCGGTTCTTTTTCCTGCCGCAAAACATTAAAACCATAACTATTTGAAAAATACATATCTGAAATCAAATTCAAAACATCTCAACTACTCATTTCACTTACATTTAATACTGATAAAATTTCCATGTTGTTTTTTAAAATGTTTGAAAATAAAAATGAAGTTTTTCTTCAAATTTTATAATACACGTGTTCTATTTTTTTATCTTGAAAAGAAGAAAATGAAATCACGTGAAAATTTTTGGAGACTCGATTCATTTTTGAATATTGGTTATTGAAAAAACGATGAATAAGAACGATTGTATGTTCAGATTACATAACACTGATGTGAGTTTTGGTTGAAAAATTGTCTAAAAATTCAGAAATCAAAATTTTCCAGACAACGAAAGAAATAATAAGCGCAGCTGTAAATGCATTTTGTGACATGAGAACTGATGCGTGTCTAAGTATCGATTTGAACTTTGAACGATGTATCAGAACCGACTCGATTACCGATACTTTCAGTCGAGTGAAAATCGAAGTTTTGAAAGCGGAAGATTATCGCGCGCCAGTGAAACCCGCGTTGAAATGGAGCGAAGATGATCAAAATTGGATTTCCAAATGTGGGGCGGGTGGATCAATTCGGAAACCTACAAAATATACAAAATTTGAGGAAAAGCCTGGAAAACCCAATCATTCTGCTGATTTCTTCAAGGAAGAACCGGAAGAGAAATTGATTTTGTTGATGAAGAAGAGGAAGCCAGAAAAACATCGCGCAATTTTTTGGGAAATACCATCTGCTGAAGTTTATGCTGTGAGATTTAGTGATTTCGGAAAGAGAAAGGTCAACTTCAGAAAATCAGCGACAGATGTTCGAACAGCTCAAGAAGTGCCTGCGGTTCGAGAAAAAGGTGACTCCAGTGATGCGACGGATAACGATGCAACACTACTCAAAACTGATGGATTGTCACGCGAATCAGCATCCGAGGATTCAACATTGGTTATGAAATCAAGACCAGTTGCATCTGTGGAAACAGTTGTGACTGACGAACTATTGAAAGAAGTTGATTTGAAACAAGAACCACCGAAAAAAATTGTGCCAAAGCGCGAATTTTCGATAAGAGAGTCAAAAAGAGAACCGGAAAAAGAAAAATCGAAAGAGACTTCTGAAAAAGCAATTAACACTGAAGAAAAACCAAAAGAAATTGCTGACAAATCTGTGAATACAGAAGCAAAAGAAGAAAAAATTGAACCAAAAGAAGATAAGGCTGTGAATACTGAAGAAAAAGTTGAACCGGAAAAACCCAAAGAAATCAAAGCTGTGAACACTGAACCCAAATCTGTGTTTGTAAGTTGAGACTTGAAGTAGAATCTATTCCATACAAATTCATTGAAATTTTTCAGATTCCATCAGTTCGACGTCGCGCAGATGCTGGAGATTTGACAATTTTGGAGATTGAAAATGGAATTACCAAATTCACCGCTTCAACACGTCATCTTCATAGAAAAAAACCGAAATTTAAAAAGAGTGCATCGAGAAAATAAGTCGAATAAATAGATGAAAGTTTATTTTTAAATTTAAAACATGTGTAACTGCTTTTCAAATAAAAATTAAATAAAAACTACAGTAACACACATTTGAGGAGCCGCCGGCTGTCTCATCTAGATACACTATATGTATGCCTCATTGAATATCTTCTCACATCCACTTCAGACACAGTTAAATCTTATGGCTTATAGGAATCGGAATATATAATTTTACTCCTCCTCATAAAAAAGAACCATTCTGAAAAAAATGATGATAGAACATCACTTGTTATATACTCTTATTTATAATGAAACAGATAATATTAGTAATTTACCATCGATTCCAGTTCTAAATTATTTGTATCTCTTGGTTTTTCTACGATTCATCATAAGTTCCGCAAATTTATTAGTTTTATCAATTGTCAAACGAAAAACTTCGACAAATTCATTTTACTATTTATTTTTTAACATTGGTATTTTTAATTTTATATCGTGGTATACTTATGAGTTTGTTAAAATAATCGCATATGTAAATAACTCATATTTTTTCAACCTACAACATTTTTTATACATCTCACATTTTGTAACTTATTTTTCTGCTATGTTTTTGAATATTGCAGCAGCATTCAATAGATACACTTCAACTTCTTTGAATTATAAAATTATTTGGAAAAGAGCATATATCAATATTTTTATATTATGTACTTTTATAATCTCATTTTTGATTACTGTATTAGCAATGAATTTGGTAGTCGTTTTCAAACTCAATAATAATGGTTTTTGGGAACAACAAAACATACCACGTAATTTTAGATGGATAATATTATGTTTAAAACTTACATTTGATTCTATTTTTGTTATTTTGATGTATTTGACACATTTGAGAATCAAGAAATTGAAAATTACTGAAGAAAATGTGAGTTTATTTTGCTAAAATTTTGTATCATAGAGTTTGATAATGGTTACTTGAAAACTGTGGTAATTTTAATTTCAGAAAGCCTTACATCTTCTTTTTGCACATATTCCATTATTGATTATTGTTGAAATTTATCAAATAAAAACTGTATTGTTTCCCGATTTTTCTTATGGTAAAACTGGTAATATTTTTGCGTTATTGGTTAGTTTATTTGGGAGTGTTTATATTGAGCAATAAGTGTTTCAGATCACGGAATTGCCATTTTTTGAATATGTTGGCTACACATTCTTTGTTCTTATTATCGAGAAAAAAATACGTTCCGAATTTATGGATCGGTTGATTTTTTGGAAAAAATATAAGAAGAATCAGATCTCATCTTCAGTTATAACATGTTGAACAAAAGGAGAATGATAAAACTTATTTTTATTATATCAAAAGATAGAGTTCCGAAAATGTCTATAACTATCAGGAAGAAATAAATTTACTTTTCTGTATATAAAATTCTATGAGCCATGTCTATCGAAGCATACACATTTTTAGTTGGCCTTATAAAAATTTATGAAAAATGGTGACAGAATTTCACCTATTCTATACTCTCATTTACAATAAAACGGAAGATATAAATAGTTTGCCATATTGTTATGTTTCATCTAAAGAATATTGGTATTGTCATAAGATTCATCATAACTTTGGCTAATTTATTGGTTTTATTAATAGTCAAAAGACAAATTGCAACAAGTTCATTTTATTATTTATTTTTTGTAATTGGTATTTATAATGTTATATCGTATTATACTTACGAAATATCAGTTATAGTTGAATATTTTAACGTATCCGATTATTTCAACCTGAAACTTGTTTTATATATCGCACACTTTGTAACTTACTTTTCTGTTATGTTTTTGAACATAGCATCAGTTATCAATAGATATACATCCACATTTCTGAATTATAACAAAATTTGGAAAAAAAATTATATGAATATTTACATTGTTTTAATTTCGATCATCTCATTTTTCATCAGTTTATTCAGTTTTGATCGTTTCGTTGATGTTTTTGTACTTAATGAAGATAATCACTGGATTATTCGAAACGGATTACAACCAAAATTGAGATCAACAATTATAGTTTTGAAAATCTTCACCGATTCGATGTTCATAATTCTGACTTATTTAACACACTTAAAAATTAAGAAACTCAAGATTTCAAAGGAAACTGTGAGTATTCCACGACTTTTTACGTTTACGAAACAAATTTTCAGAAAACCATAAAACTTCTTTTATTTCACATTCCATTGCTTATTATCTTCGAAGTGTATCAATTCAATATTGCACTGGTTAAAGATAGATCAGATATCTTATCGATTGTAGTGAGTAAATTGAGAATAATCTGAAGTTAAAACATGTTGCAGCTTGATGAACTATCATTTTTCGAGTATGTCGGCAACACATTTCTGATTCTCATTGTTAACAAAAACATGCGGAAGGAATTCACTAATTTATTTTTTTTTTTCGAAATCTAAAAATAATCAGGTCTCGTCTACATTCATGACTTGTTAGATGTGCTTTGTTTTTTTTTCAAATAAATAATTTATGTATGTTGTAATCGTTTTTTTTTCTTTCAAGCACAGAGAAAATGGTGAAATTTTATATGAAATCCAATGGGCCATGTAAAACCAAACATGTCATTTTTTCTAGTCCTCAAAAAATATTATTTTCGAAGATGGTGACAGAATATCATCTTTTCTATACTCTTGTTTATAATGAAACATATGATATAAATAATCTACCGTTTCTTTATATTCCAACATATAAATATCTGGGATTAATTCTAAGATGTGTTCTTACAGTTGCTAACTTATTGATTTTATCCGTCGTTAAAGCTCAAATCTCATCAAGTTCATTTTATTATTTATTTTTCATCATCTGTTCTTTCTACCTTGTTTCATGGTATACATATGAGTTCCCTCAATTTATGTTTTATCTTAATTCTCAATATTTTTTCAACTTGCAACAGATTTTTCTTATTTCACATTATGTTACTTATATTTCATTGATGTTTCTTAATATTTCTTTAATAATTAATAGATACACTTCAACATTTTTGTGTTACAATCAAATTTGGAAAAGAACTTACATCAATATTTATATTTTTTCAATTTGTATCATCTCATTTTTTATTACAATCTTCACTATCAGAATTGTATTTGTTTATGATCTTTTGGAAAATGGTATCTGGAAATTAAGAACTGCAAGTAGTGTTGGATTAAGATACACAATCGCAGTTATAAAAGGCATAACTGATTTGATATTCATATTTCTAACATATTTAACACACTTGAAAATTGAGAAACTGAAAATTACATATGAGAGTGTAAGAAATTAACAAAAATTTATTGAAATTTAATAGAATTCTATTTCAGATGACATCAAAGCTTATTCTTTCACATATTCCTTTGTTAATTATATCTGAGATTCATCAATTGAACGCTATTCTTTTCATGCAAAACTCTAATATTATAAATTTGGTAAGAAGCTAGGATAATCAAGACATAATTTATTTTTCAAAACAATATTCAGATCGATAATTTATCGTCTCTAGAATATTTTGCTTATCCCTTTCTGATTCTGGTTATCAATAAAAATATACGAAAACAATTTATAAATCGATTTCTGATTTGGAAAAAAAATAAAAAGAGTCAGATTTCTTTGACAGTTATAACATGTTGAATAAACCTGTAATCTTGTTTTGAAAAATTCAAAATTTCATTAGATACAGCATAAATAAATAAAAAATCACTTGCTAACGACGAGATCATCCAATAACTTATCATATTCCATGATTCCAAAAACACGTGTCATATGAAATTGCGATCTATGTACATCAAAAGCATGCCGCAATTGTGCCAACAACAGAATAGTGTCCGCAATTTTCTGCGCTGCTTCTTCTTTTGAACAAAATCCAATCTTTTCATAATACTCAAACCAGTTTTTTATATAAGTATTTCTTGCATTGAAAACCTCCATCCGATCTTCTTCCGATATTTTACCAGCTGCGATGTCAAATACGAGAATCGCAAAAAGTCCAAGAAATTCGACGTCCTGGGTTTTTGCCTGAATCATTGAGCCGCCTAAATCGGCCAACACTTCTTTTAAAGGATCATACAGTAATTTCATACATGTTTGTTTATCCCAACCCGTTTGAATATTGAACATTCCATCATCGAATTGTGCTCCGTTATCACTCAAATCTGTATAAGTTCCATCTGGTTGATATAATCTTTGAGTTTCGAGACCATTTCTCTGAATTGAGCGGTAGTATTTTTCGACGATTGCAAGGTTCAAGGCGCACGAACTCACTAGAATTTCCTGCAAGAAATTTTAACTTTTATTGGGAATTTTTGGTGTAAAAGGAGTCCTTGTTAATTTTTTAACACTGTTAAAAATGTGCTTTTTTTCTGTAAAACAGAATTTTTTATTATTAATTTTTCTAGCGTGACCCATTTTTCCCACGTGAACAGAATGTTCAGTCCCAATAAAAAAATTGTTAGCCAGTTCTTATTTTTCCAAATTTCCAAAATGCAAAATATTATCAAAATCACAAATCACTCGCTATTTGCTATTTTATTTTTAGTTCTAATTCTAATCGGAGAATCTTCAGAATCAAAACTTGATTGTCCAAAAATTGAATATGGAAAGCTTGATGAAAATAAAATTATCGAATATATTTCATGCGCCGAGTGTTTTGTGAATGTCACTTTGACCGATAATTCAATCAGTTCTGCTAGATTGAATTCAGGTTGTTATGATAAAAAAATTCATGATCGCTCAAAAATTGTTGTTTCGGATGATTTGAATGATATCTTCAAAAGTATTGCGTGGACTGCATTTTATGGGAAAAATGAGGAATTGAGAGCGGCGCTTGTAAAAATTGTGAGTTTGTGGGGAAAAATTTCTTTGGAATAAATCAGTTTCTGAAAATTCACCATAAATCAGATTTTCCCTGCTAAAATTCCAATTATATTTGCAGACCGAAAAACGAGAAAATGTGAAAGAAAAAATATCATTGATGACAAGCACACTTAAAACTGGAATTGCTGTCATCGTTTTGTGCTCGGTTTTGATGTTTTTACAAATCGCTTATTTCAATGATTGGATTTTGTATTGATTTTTTTCCGATTTTACCTGTAATCTCGAATGAAAATTTCTGAATGGTTCCATTGATCTCATCATTTCAATATAAATAATCAATTCAAATCGCATTTTATCTTTGTAATATCGCTCGTCGAATCGAATTGGCCGGGGTTTCTGAAAAATCTCAATTTTTATGAAACATTTCTACCTTTTTAATAAAATCCCGATTGGGTGGTGTCTCGATAGAAGCAGGATTTTTCAATGGGGTCCCCCCTGTTCTCATTTTTGAAATGTCGCAATTGCGACATTTTCCCATTTTTGCCGATTTTTTTCCGAAATCATACCTTCGCGAACGTCCAAAAGGATCCGATCCTGGACCTTCTGAACAAAAAACACGTGATCTAACCACTTGACCATTTCTGACATAAGAAATGACCATCAATTTGCTTAGAAATGCTCGATGAAAAAAATTTTGACGTGAGAAAAATAATCTACCTTTTTTTTCAGAAAAAAACAAATTTTTTTCTGGAAGCTTTACAAATCCATCATTATCGAGACAAATTTCAAGATTTTAGGCTTAAAATGATTGGAATTCATTTTTTTGAGCATGTATTAAATACTAAATGTTGATTTTTTTTTATCAACTATTGTCCCGCCTGGTAGCTAACAGCCCTTATCGAGTACATTTAATACAAAAAATTTATCGATGACTTCATCCTTGGCAAAATTAGGAAGCCTTCCTAAATTTTTTTTCACAAAAAAATCGGCCCGAGTTTTTTCGAAAAAAAATCGGCCCGAGTTTTTTCAAAAATTAATCGGCCGAGTTTTTTCGAAAAAAATCGGCCCGAGATTTTTCAAAAAAAAAAAATCGGCCCGAGTTTTTTCAAAATGAAATCGGCCCGAGATTTTTTGAAAAAAAAACTCATCGACTTTATTTTTACATTTTTGGATTAATCCAAATCTGTAACTTCTTACTTAGGTCTCAAAAAAAATCGGCCCGAATTTCAAAAAAAAAATCGGCCCGAGACTTTTGAAAAAAAAATCGGCCCGAGACTTTTGAAAAAAAATCGGCCCGAGACTTTTGAAAAAAAAATCGGCCCGAGTTTTTTCAAAAAAAAAATCGGCCCGAGATTTTTGAAAAAAAAATCGGCCCGAGATTTTTGAAAAAAACTCATCGACTTTATTTTTACATTTTTGGATTAATCCAAATCTGTAACTTCTTACTTAGGTCTCAAAAAAAAATCGGCCCGAGATTTTTTGAAAAAAAACTCATCGACTTTATTTTTACATTTTTGGATTAATCCAAATCTGTAACTTCTTACTTAGGTCTCAAAAAAAAATCGGCCCGAGATTTTTGAAAAAAACTCATCGACTTTATTTTTACATTTTTTGGATTAATCCAAATCTGTAACTTCTTACTTAGGTCTCAAAAAAAATCGGCCCGAGTTTTTTCGAAAAAAATCGGCCCGAGATTTTTCAAAAATTAATTAATCGACCAATTAATCGGCCGAGTTTTTTCGAAAAAAATCGGCCCGAGATTTTTGAAAAAAAAATCGGCCCGAGATTTTTGAAAAAAAACTCATCGACTTTATTTTTACATTTTTGGATTAATCCAAATCTGTAACTTGTTACTTAGGTCTCAAAAAAAATCGGCCCGAATTTTTTCAAAAAAAAAATCGGCCCGAGATTTTTGAAAAAAAAATCGGCCCGAGATTTTTTCAAAAATTAATTAATCGGCCAATTAATCGGCCGAGTTTTTCGAAAAAATCGGCCCGAGATTTTTGAAAAAAAAATCGGCCCGAGATTTTTGAAAAAAAACTCATCGACTTTATTTTTACATTTTTGGATTAATCCAAATCTGTAACTTGTTACTTAGGTCTCAAAAAAAAATCGGCCCGAATTTTTTCGAAAAAAATCGGCCCGAGATTTTTCAAAAATTAATTAATCGACCAATTAATCGGCCGAGTTTTTCGAAAAAAATCGGCCCGAGATTTTTGAAAAAAAAATCGGCCCGAGATTTTTGAAAAAAAACTCATCGACTTTATTTTTACATTTTTGGATTAATCCAAATCTGTAACTTGTTACTTAGGTCTCAAAAAATCGGCCCGAATTTTTTCAAAAAAAAAAATCGGCCCGAGATTTTTGAAAAAAAAATCGGCCCGAGATTTTTCAAAAATTAATTAATCGGCCAATTAATCGGCCGAGTTTTTCGAAAAAATCGGCCCGAGATTTTTTGAAAAAAAAATCGGCCCGAGATTTTTGAAAAAAAACTCATCGACTTTATTTTTACATTTTTGGATTAATCCAAATCTGTAACTTGTTACTTAGGTCTCAAAAAAAATCGGCCCGAGATTTTTGAAAAAAAAATCGGCCCGAGATTTTTCAAAAATTAATTAATCGGCCAATTAATCGGCCGAGTTTTTTCGAAAAAAATCGGCCCGAGATTTTTGAAAAAAAAATCGGCCCGAGATTTTTGAAAAAAAACTCATCGACTTTATTTTTACATTTTTGGATTAATCCAAATCTGTAACTTGTTACTTAGGTCTCAAAAAAAATCGGCCCGAATTTTTTCAAAAAAAAAATCGGCCCGAGATTTTTGAAAAAAAAATCGGCCCGAGATTTTTCAAAAATTAATTAATCGGCCAATTAATCGGCCGAGTTTTTTCGAAAAAAATCGGCCCGAGATTTTTGAAAAAAAAATCGGCCCGAGATTTTTGAAAAAAAACTCATCGACTTTATTTTTACATTTTTGGATTAATCCAAATCTGTAACTTGTTACTTAGGTCTCAAAAAAAATCGGCCCGAATTTTTTCAAAAAAAAAAATCGGCCCGAGATTTTTGAAAAAAAAATCGGCCCGAGTTTTTTCAAAATGAAATCGGCCCGAGAATTTTGAAAAAAAAACTCATCGACTTTATTTTTACATTTTTGGATTAATCAAAATCTGTAACTTCTTACTTAGAAGGAAAGTCTTTTGATGTTCCCCCCTGAAATAAAATGAGACTAGGTGGAATCAACTACATATTGATAGGTAAGAAAAAGCCCAACGGGATTAAGGAAATAAAAATCTATTTCAGGAGTTACGGTAACTCCTCAAATTTTGAGACACAAAAGCCTATGATTTCAAAAAATCGTAGTTTGGCTCAAAGTTAACGAAAATGATCGGTCAAAAATGCATTTTGATGCTAAAGTGCTCAATTTTTTAGTTAAATGGCGCTCGTAATCTCAAAAAATTTTTCAAAATGAAAATTTTTCAAAAAATGACCCCTTTCTTAAAATTTTGAAATTTCACCTCTAAAACGCTACGAGGGAAGAACGACGTCCGACGCACCGTGTTCTACGTCAAAAATTACGTATATTGACATATTTAAATATAATACCTACCGACCTTTTAACCTGGGAAAAAAATAATTTCAAAAATTTTCACACAAAAAATCATGTTTTCTCAGAATAAAATCATATTTTTGAAACAGTAATCATTATTTCTTTGTTATTTTTTTCTCAAAACATATTTTCTGATTGTTTTTCACCTTTTTGTATGATTTCTGAAAAATTAAAAAATTTCAGATTTTATATCATCGATTTTGGAATCACTTCGAAAATTAAAAATCAATTATAGCTCGATGATAGAAGTTAAGGACTTTTTTGGAAGTTCTAACGCATCACATCTTTTTTTGCAACTGGGAAAAAACACTTTTAATACTATATCTGTCAACGGACAATTTTAGAGACCTTCGAAAAAATTATCGATAAAAGTTTCATTAAATAATTCTTGCCATTTTTTCTCAAGATGATTATTTTCATCTGGGAATTGGAAGTTCAGATGTATAATTGGAAGTGTTTTTTCCCAGTTGCAAAAAAAGATGTGATGCGTTAGAACTTCCAAAAAAGTCCTTAATTTCTATCATCGAGCTATAATTGATTTTTAATTTTCGAAGTGATTCCAAAATCGATGATATAAAATCTGAAATTTTTAATTTTTCAGAAATCATACAAAAAGGTGAAAAACAATCAGAAAATATGTTTTGAGAAAAAAATAACAAAGAAATAATGATTACTGTTTCAAAAATATGATTTTATTCTGAGAAAACATGATTTTTTGTGTGAAAATTTTTGAAATTATTTTTTTCCCAGGTTAAAAGGTCGGTAGGTATTATATTTAAATATGTCAATATACGTAATTTTTGACGTAGAACACGGTGCGTCGGACGTCGTTCTTCCCTCGTAGCGTTTTAGAGGTGAAATTTCAACATTTTAAGAAAGGGGTCATTTTTTGAAAAATTTTCATTTTGAAAAATTTTTTGAGATTACGAGCGCCATTTAACTAAAAAATTGAGCACTTTAGCATCAAAATGCATTTTTGACCGATCATTTTCGTTAACTTTGAGCCAAACTACGATTTTTTGAAATCATAGGCTTTTGTGTCTCAAAATTTGAGGAGTTACCGTAACTCCTGAAATAGATTTTTATTTCCTTAATCCCGTTGGGCTTTTTCTTACCTATCAATATGTAGTTGATTCCACCTAGTCTCATTTTATTTCAGGGGGGAACATCAAAAGACTTTCCTTCTTAGGTCTCAAAAAAAATCGGCCCGAATTTCAAAAAAAAATCGGCCCGAGATTTTTGAAAAAAAAAATCGGCCCGAGTTTTTTCAAAAATTAATCGGCCCGAATTTTAAAAAAAAATCGGCCCGAGATTTTTCAAAAATTAATCGGCCGAGTTTTTTTCGAAAAAAATCGGCCCGAGATTTTTGAAAAAAATCTGTAACTTCTTACTTAATCTGTAACTTCTTACTTAGGTCTCAAAAAAATCGGCCCGAGTTTTTTCAAAAATTAATCGGCCGAGTTTTTTCGAAAAAAATCGGCCCGAATTTTTTCAAAAAAAAAAATCGGCCCGAATTTTTTCAAAAAAAAATCGGCCCGAGTGAAAATTGAAAATAATCACAGAAAAAAGTGAAACTGAAAGGAATGAGAAGACTGTTACGCCTGGGGGCTAACAGCCCCTAGTCACAGAATCAAAAAATCCGGTTTATTTTTCTAAAACCGGTTCAGTTTTTTCAGAAATTTCGTGACCAAATCAAGATGAGTAATCATATCACAACTCTGTTTAAAAACCTACCATTCCACTACCATTTATAAAATCCTGAAAAGTTCCATCGCAATAAAACATTTTCCGTCGCTCTTTCGCATTCTCATAAACTTTCAACAAAATTTCAACCATATTTTCTCTTGGCTCCATTTCTTCCTCAATTTCTCCTTCATTTTCGTCAACACTAACTTCATGTGAAACTTTATTATGATCTCTGGTATTTTGCACACCGCTCGGATTCATTCCCATATCCAAACATCGATGGAAACGACAAGCTTTGCAATTTGATCGGTGTCTTCGATCAAGTGGACATTTTTCAGCTCTGAATCAGGAAATCGAGGGTTTAGGTAGAAGAGAATGATTTAGAAAATTACACTCAAAAAGTATAAGGGTCCCAAAAAAAAATGGTCTGTTTGTCTCTGAAAACCAATGCTCACCTTGAGATCGAAAAATTGCGACACTTGTAATTCTTATTCAATGCAATAGTTCTTCGGAAAAACGCGGAACACGCAGCACACGCAATTTTTCCGAAATGAAATGAACTGTTCGGCGCGAAACAGACAACACAGTCGCCAATCATAACATCGTGACTGTTCGGACTATTTTCATATTTTGGCTTGATATCAGTTGGAAGAAAGCTGGGTTGAGAGAAGGTAGAAGAGTGCGACGAGGGAGCGGAATGACCGTCAATCTGGGAAAATTAGGAGGATTTTAGAGTTTTTATTTGAAAATGCATTCGACGTGGAATATTGGGGTCACGCAAAAATCGAAATACCAAAAAATGTATTTAACTTTTTAATTTTACTTTTTCCCGAAAAAAACCACGAAAAACTCACCGGAATCGGAAAATTGGTATATTGATTCAACATCGCAACAAAAGCATTTCTCTCTTCTTCAATTTTTTTTTCGTCTTCGTCCAAGAAAATTTCAAACAAGAATCATATAAAATATATTATAAAAGAAAAATGAAAAATGTTTGTCGCCTCTCGGTCTTCGAAATGTTTCTTATTTCTTTCTTTCTAATAATATTTTTGTGTTGCTATTTTTCAGACGAACACAAGAAAAGAAGAGAGAAATTGTTGTGTGTTTGAAAGTTTCAAAATAAAATAATGATAAGTTAGACAGACGCAGACAGTTTTTTTTTCTGGATAAAAGTGCAACTTTTTCTGTCGCACAGATGTTTGTTTACAGATTTTTTTCGTGAACGGGGGAACATGCCAATCAGACATATCAATTATATCAAGAAGGGCGTCTGGGAATTTGTTTTTCGTGATGTTCTTTGATTTTTGAGAGTTTGCAAAATATCATCGTGGCCTAGAAAATCTGAAATAATCTGGAGCTTCTCCAGATGACCTGTTGCTCCCATTGTTTCTGGTTGCCTACTCTCAGAGAAAAACAATTCTATAGAATCCCTTGATCAAAACCCATGTTATTAAAACCTATACAATTTTTTTCAAAAAATACCAAGGTCCATTATTGTTCTATATCATTTTCAAAAAATTTTTTGAATTCCAATTTTCTCTCCAAAAAATGTATTTTCTCATGACTTTTCATTTTTTGTCCAATTTTCGCACCTCGTCTATCTATAGTTTGAATTGAACAATTTTCGATCGAAAACAATTTTTTATCAAAAAATTTTCGAAAAAAAAAGTGTTGATTGAAAAAGTTGCCCTTTCCTTCCGGTTTGTTTTTTGTGTTCACATCAATCAAAAAAACTTTGGAAACAATAAAATGTTTATTTTTGATTTTATCGAAAAAAAAGATGATTGGAAAAATGGCCGGACTATAGAAAAAATTACCTGAAAAAATTGTTGGAAAAAATTCGTGCATTGCTCATATTAGGTTATAATTTTCAAGTTCAAGAACAAAGTCTTGAAATATGAATATACTTTCCACATCTGAAATTTAAAAAAAGGCTGAAAATCAAAGCATAATCTAATTCACGCCATTTTGATTTTCTGGTACGCTCGAGCACATTTTTTCCCACACACACACACATATCTAAATTACATGTGAGACAGAAAAAACCTCACTAATTTTTTTCTACCTATTCCAGCTGACTAAAGATTTTTGAGTTATTCTAACTTCAAGTATAATGTCATTCGCTTTTAACATGTATTTATATTTGGGCGAAGGATTTACAATTCTAGTGACTAACTCAATTTTATTGTGGTGTATTCTTTCGGATTCGAAAAATCGGCAGAGACGAGAATTCATTCTGGTCGCTGCTCAGTCAATTGCTGATTTATTTTATGCTATTGCTTTTATGTTGATTGCTCATCTTAGGCTTGGAATTTATCATGAAAATCGGTGTGAGTAGATTATGAAAAAAATTATTTTCGGTACAGTAATCTTGGCAGTTTGAAGTAACCGCTGCAGCCTAAAATATCTACAGTAGGCCTTGCAGTTTTCAATCATTGTTAGCTACAGTAATCCTTATCTTTTCGAGTTTTTTGCATAAAAATCGATATGAGTATTTTTAGACAAAGAAGTTTTACTCCGAAAATCAAATTGAGGCTATTTTTTAGTTGCCCGGCAAAATTTAATTATACATTTATAAATGTAATTTACGTCAAGCCTAGAAAATATGAAAAATGTTTTTCTGACTTTGGTTTTATAAAAAAAGCTAATTGTAAAGAAATTCAGTAGATTCAGATTTAGCTACAGAAACTTGAGTGAAAATCATTGTTCATCACAAGAATCAAACTACATTTTGTGACAAAAAATGCATGTAAAATCAAGCATGAAAGCAATGTGTTGTGTAGGCTAAAGTCACGTGAAACTTTATTTTTAATTAGAAAAAAACTCAAAAAATGACGTTCAATGGAGCCATCCAGATGTATGATTCTCATTGTGTGAAAATTTTCGATGGGCTCTAATTCCATAAAAATCCACATTATTTTAGTAAACGCCACGGTCCCAACTTCAGAATGTGCTTTTATCCCAGCTCTCTGGCTTCACAACATTGCAACTCCACTTCTTGGCCTGATTCCAATGACAACCTCCTTTAATTTTTTAATTTGTTCAGTTGTTCCACTTTGGTATATGAAAGCTGGACATGTTTATACAACAATGCTATTGTCTGGTGAGAAATATGTACATTCCAAAAATCATTCAACAAAAAATCAAAAGATTAGATTTCTGGGAAATATATTTTTCAGTTCCAACATTGATCACAATATCCCTCGTCTTCTCAAATTTTTATTTACAACTCGGAAAAACTGTCGAAATCGCAGCGATTTGTGTGGCCGCAAATGGAGCCGCCCATCATATAATCTACCAAATTATGATACTTTTTCGAATTTTGGCAAATTTGGGAAGCGCTGTGATCTACGCATTTATTCTGGCATATTTGAAAAGAAACAAAGGGGATTCTTTGAAAAAATTATCAAAACAACAGATAAAAACTCATCGAAATGCAAAAATTACGTTGGGAATGGTGACGGGTAATTCGATGATTCTATTGTTTATTCCAGATGTTTTGATATTTTTCAACCCGTTGAATATTTTGAAAAATTATTCGACACCTTTATATTCGATGACTTTGAGCAAGGTGATTTTTGAATTTTCAAAAAAATGAAAAAAATTTGCCATGTGGTCTTTAAAAAAGCCACGTGGCTCTCTCCACATAAAAATCTCCAAATCGTTTCAAAGTTTCCAAAAAACTTCCATTTCCACTGTGGAAAAATTCGTGAAAATGAAAAATGTCTTGCCACGTGTAATCTTAAAAGTTCACGTAAACTATAATTTTTATAATTTCTTTTTCATTTCAAAAAACAACACTTTTTAATTAAACTTACAGTAACTCAAAAAACAATAATGTTTATCAATTTCAGACCACAATCAACTTCATAGTTTATATTTGTCGATATCGCGAACTTCGAAACATAATTCTCCTCAAAATTCTGGGAATTATCCCGAAAAAATGGAGCTCACATGTTCAAGTCAAACTTTTCACGCAAAACGAAAAATCGACAACAAGAGCAATTACGGAAAAAAGTTTTGGGTCGAAAATTGCACCGGCTTCTCCTATGCAACAAATTGGACCCAGGGAACATTTACCCAAAGTTACAGTTGCGGCAAATCGAGTATGATATAAATTTTTGATTGTTTTTTGCACCTAGTTTTCTTTGTAAATGAAATTGAACATCGATTTTTGTTTATTTTCTGAAAACACATACATTTTTGAAAATCAGTGATCAGAACTCAGAAATCCCGGAAACGTCCTTTTTCCAAAAGTATTCCAGGTGAAATTTCTGAAACTCACATTTTCGAAATAATTTCATTGTTTGTTTGATAATCAAAAAAATAACAAACACAATTTTTTTCAAAGCTATGATTATTTACAAAATCCCTCGAACTACTAGTTAAAATCAGAAGAACTTTATATTTTTCTTGTTTTTTTTTCAATATTATGAAAAACAAATATCCCTAAAAATGGACATGTTACTAATTTTATCCGCAATCCTAATTTTGATAATTGGGATAATTGGAATAATTGCTAACTTTATAATGATAATTTATTTTGCAATTAATAACGCTCATCGAACTTCTTTTAACTTGATTTGTATTTCTCGAGCTACAAATAATATTTTGGTTTTATCAACAAGTTTTTTACTGATATTTTTTGTTGTGTCCATTTTGTAAGTTATTTTTGAAAAATGCATTCATTTTTCAAATTCTCAGGCCAAGTTCTCCTTATCCCAATTGGCTGGAATATTTTATAATTAGCACTGGAATTGGCTTATATTTAGTTAATGAATACACAACAGTTGTAAATGCTTTGAACAGATTTTTTGCAATTTATGCTCCGAATTTTTATTCAAAATATATTGGAATGAAATCTACCGGGTTTATAATTTCCATTTTATATTTTTATAGATTTTATGCGGTTTATCGGGATCTCAGTTTTTATATTCGTAAGAATTTAGAACTGAAACAGAAGACAATTTTGAAGTTTTTCAGCAAATGGATGTTATATTCTTTATCTAGCAGAATATTTGACATATTATCCAAGTTTCAATGAAAATTGCAAAAATATTGAAGATCTTTCAATTATTATTTATCTTGTTATATTTTTATTTTCAAATGTTGTAATTTTGAATATCGCAACATTTGTAAAACTTGCGACTTTTGCATTTGTAAGTTATATAGAAGGGAGAGATAAGAATTACAGTCAAACTCTGAATAACATCCGTTGATCAAATCTTAATTTTAAAAAAAACAGAATTTTTTGTTAGAATTCAAGAAACATGGACTCTGGCTCAAAATCTCGTCTCAAACAAAATGCTACACTTTTTCTGCAAACAATTCTTCAAGACTCGTTAATTTTGGTTGATATGATTTTCACATTCAAACTTGAATCCCTAAGTAATTCGAGGTTTTGGACATTTATCAGTTATGTTTTGGTCTGGGAACTTATTCACACGCTGGATGGATTTATTATGATTTTTTTGAATGAAAGAATTTCAGCAATTCGGGAGCATTTTGGAAGAAAGAATTCGAGAATATTTTCGACTAGAGTTCCAGCAACTAATTAATGATTCAATTAAAACAGTGTAGAAAAAGTAAACGTTATTTTTGTTTTGAGCTTTTAGGGAACAAGATTGACGAAATAATCTTGTTTAGAAAATCCAATTATTTTCAAAACAATAGCAGGTGAATTCGTTGAAATTATCATTCTCGTTGTCAGAAATATCTTGCTGATCATAAATTATTTTGTTCAAAGCTATGATTAGTTTTAGAAACTCTCTGAAATTATTCCAAATTTCTCAAAACTACTTATTCATAACATCAGAAACGCTAATTGTCTTGTTCTTGAAATTCTGAAAAAATTCACCATGGACCTATTACTAATTATATCCGCAATTCTAATTCTAATAACGGGAATAATTGGAATTATTCCTAATTTTTTAATGATAATTTATTACCTAATCGATAAATCACATCAAACTTCTTTTAATTTAATTTGTATTTCTCGAGCTACTAATAATATTATAGTATTAACAACTTGTTTTTTGTTCGAATTTTTTATTGTTTCGATATTGTAAGTTATCTACGATTTCAGTAAAAAGGCACAAATTTCAAAATATTTAGGCCAAGTTCACCTTATCCAAATTGGCTGGAATTTTTTCTAATCAATTTCGGAATTTCATTATATCTAGTTAATGAATACACAACTGTTATCAATGCTTTAAACCGATTTTTCGCGATTTATGCTCCTTTATTTTACGCAAAATATTTTGGAATGAAATTTACTTCTTCTATACTATCCAGTTTTTATTTATACAGGTTTTATACGGTTTATCGAGATTTGACATTGAATATTCGTAAGCGGGAGTTTTTTGTCAAAAACTCAAGAAAAAACTTATAAAGTTTCAGCAAAAGGATGTTATGCGGTGTATTTAATAGAATATTTGACATATTATCCAAGTTTTAACGAAGGTTGTCAAAATATCGATGATGTTTCTTATGTTATTTATCTTGTTATATTTTTATTTACAATTGTTGTTGTTACAAATATCGCGACCTTTGTGAAACTTGCGATTTTTGCATTTGTAAGTTTCTTAAAAGAAGGAGTGAAGACTTTTGTGAAAAATAAAAAATCAGACAGTTATGATCGTAATCTATTTACTGAAATTTCTACAGGAAGTAGGATTAAAACCCACGCTCTTACGAGAGTACCAGAAAACCCAGGCGACCTCAAACCTGAGTCTGGTGCCTCTGACACGAAATATTTGAAAACAGAACAGAATAAAAACAGAAGAATTCCTCTACTATTGAAACGTCATAATCAAAAAAATCAATGATTTTAGAATTCAAGAAGCATGGATTCTAGCTCGAAAAGTCGCCAAAAACAAAATGCTACACTTTTTCTGCAAACAATTCTTCAAGACTCGCTAATTTTGGTTGATATGATTTTCACATTCAAACTTGAATCTCTAAGCAATTCGAGGTTTTGGACATTTATAAGTTATGTTTTGGTTTGGGAACTTATTCATACGCTGGATATATTTATTATGATTTTGCTGAATGAGAGAATTTCAGCAATTCGGGAGCATTTTAGAAGAAAGAATTCGAGAATATTCTCGACTAGAGTCGGAGCAACTTGATAGAGACTAAAAATTGGTCCTCAGACAGCCAAGGTATCTCGACATATAATCGTTCTGCCATTTTTTAGCGAAACCTGTCCTTTTTTCATCCTCACCAGACCTAGTTCTATTTTTCTATCTCTCCCCTTTTCAATTATTTGTGCGCCCGACGTTTCGTTGGGCGCGCACACTGCTATCTTTTTCACAGTGAATTGTCTTTTTTTTTCTTATTGTTTTTTAAAATCTTCATTTCTAAATGAAAATAAAGTGTATTTTATATCATTTTGCGTGAAATTTCATGACCTTCGAGATAACTAACGTGCAAATTTATAAAATGCTCATTATTTACTCGAAATCCTATTCGAAATGTTGCGTCGTTTTGTTTTGCGCTCGACAATTTCTAGTTCTATTCCTAAAAATATCAGATATTCATCTACGTTCAAATGTGATTTGGGTAATCAATCAATTCAACAATCGGATGGTTCACGGCGTGTTAGTTTTGCCAATGGAAAATCGCTTGATCATTTCGTTGAGAAACATTCGTTGACGGTTTATGATTTGGTGAGTATGTGTGCTCTAATGCGGATTTGGAATGGAGAAATGAGATTTGAAATATTGTTTTTTTTTAATGAATGTAAAACAAAAACATTTCTGAGAAGCTAGAAACTCGTTCTTCCATAAATTCAAAAAAAATATTTTCAGCACCGCCGAGGTCTTCAAGTTGGTGGAACCAAAATGATGGGAAAAAGAGTTCTAATAAACAACGAGCTAACTTGGAAGTGGATGAGCTACGAAGAAGCTCAAATCGAATCCGATCATTTATCGCAAGCTTTGAGAAGATTAGATCTACCAGCTGGTGAAGAAGTCAGAATTGGAATCTATTCGAAAAATCGGACAGAATGGGTTTTGACAGATATGGCAATACATAATTTCAGCAATGTTACAGTACCATTTTATGATACGATTTCCAATGATGATTTTCTGTATGTTTCGAATCTCACTGAAGTTCCGGTATTTTTTCTGGATTCGGCGGATAAAACTGAAAGTAAGTCATGAAATCAATCCAGATTTTTCGCTTCTCGATATTCTAAACTACCACGTGGCGAAAACAAGATTTTCAAAATAATTCCGTTTTTTTTCAGAGATTCTATCAATCAGTGAACAAATTCCAACCCTTAAAACTATTGTGCAATATGATTCACTCACTCCAGAACTCAAAAATCTTGCGAAGAAAAAACAAATCAAAATATTCGACTATCAAGAATTTCTTGAATTCGGAAAATCCTATCAAAACCGTACCCCACACATTCCACCAAAACCCGAACATCTCGCCACAATCTCATTCACATCTGGAACAACTGGAAGACCAAAAGGAGTTATGCTAACTCATCTCAATTTGTGCTCAACTTTGCACACTACACGACATTTCAGCTTCAAAAAAAATGAGATAACCTCTTTGTCATATTTACCGCTTGCTCATATTTACGAGAGAATTACCGGATATATGATTTTCTATAATGGCGGGAAAATTGGATTTTTCCGTGGAGATCCTGAAAGACTTTTGGATGATGCGAAAAGTTTAGAAGTTGACACGCTTTTGACAGTGCCACGTGTCATTGAGAAAGTTTATAAATCGATAATGCATAAATTAGCAGACGAACCACTGAAAATGAAATTGGTTTTGGCGGCGGTGGCCTATAAGAACTTTTTGTACAGGATGACGTGAGTTTTTTATGAAGTACAAGTTAGGATACGGTAGAAGAATGTTTTGCAGTCAGATGGTTTTAGTGATATTAAAATTCTCAGAAACTAAAAATTTGCAGTCCGGGATACTGTAGAAAATATTTCTGACAATGAATGTGAAATATTTCGAGCTACATCAATAGATACTTGTCGTTTGTTGATAGAAACTACAGTAATCTTGCAAAAATCAACCTCATCGTTTTTCAGAAACAAAGCCACACGCGAAACTTTGGTCGACAAATTCATTCTCTCAAAAATCCAAGATCTTCTTGGCCCAAATTTGAAAAGAGTAATAATTGGAGCCGCAAAATCTGACGTGGAAGCTCTCTCGTTTTTCCGCGGCGCATTCGGTGTCCAAACTTTTGAAGCTTACGGACAGACTGAAACTTGTGGACCAGTCACTTTTCAAATCGAAGGCGACACAAAAATAGGATGTTGTGGTCCGCCAATCACATGCGCATTGGTAAAACTTCGAGATGTTCCACATTTGGATTATCATGTGGATAAAAATGGTGGCGAAGTTTTAGTGAAAGGAATGAATGTGACACATGGATATTTCAAAAATGAAAAGGCTACAAAAGAAGCGTTTACTGAAGATGGATTTATGAAAACTGGAGATATTGGAAGATGGAGTGATGAGGGAACACTTGAAATTATCGATCGTGTCAAAAATGTTTTCAAATTACCGCAGGGTAAATTTGTGGCCCCTGAGAAGATTGAGTCGCTCTTTATGACTTCGAAATTTGTTAGCCAGGTTTATGTGCATGGAGAGTTGACAAAACCGTGGCTTGTGGCGGTTGTTGTGCCAGATGAGACGGTAAGAGTTTTCTGATCTCACGTGTTAGGATTTTAGGTTCAGGCTATTTGGTCATACTCTAGTAACTAGATATTTTCAAGCTCATAATCGAGCCAAAAAATAAATGAACTATGACGTGGCAAAGTGCCTAAAATCCCAATAAAAATTCCAGCAAATCAAACTATTTGCTAAAAACGAACTTGGCCTAACTAATGAAACTTTGGAAGAACTCTGCAAAAATCGAAGAATCCACGAAGCCGTCTACAAAAGTTTGAACAAGATTACTGTAGATCATGGGCGACCAAGATATGAGGGAATTAAAAATATCTACTTGACACCGGAACCATTTTCACCTGTCAATGGATTGGCGACACCGACTTTGAAAAATAAACGAAATAAATTGGAGGAATATTTTAGGAAAGAAATTGATGAAATGTATGAATTTGTTGATGAAATTGAGAAAATGATTTGATTATTTTTTTGGAATGAACAAATGAAGACTTTTGTTGGAGAAATTTTGAAAAGGAACAAAAAAAATTGTGTCACGTTCTAATGTCACGTAGCTCACAGTTTTATTTAAACTGTATTTACTTTTTGCGAGAAAGGTCCCTCTACCTTTTAAAATCGCGATTACGTGGTGTCTCTATTACGAAACAAAAAGTTCACGTAAAATAAAAAATGTTAATTTGCAAAATTCACAAGAATTGGATAAATAAAAAAGTTAACAATTTCAATATGAAATGAAAAATCTTCTACTAATCTGCTGTAAAAATTTCAAACAAAAAAAAGAAACCTACTTTTCAAAAACTGCAAAAAACAATTAATATACCATAACAACACCAGGTGAACAACTGGCCGAATTAATCGAAAAAAGACGGGGTCGAACTTGAAAAGACGGTGTATCCAAATCGAAATGATCAATATTTCTTCCATGCAATCCACGCTCAATCATATCATTTATAATTTCAAGTGTTGAAGATTGCCAAGTTTCGGGCATATAAATGTAGAGATAAATTAGGCAAATTGATGAGGGAATTATGAACAAATATATGAAACATTGACTTCCATACATCTGAAAATATCGAGCTTAAAATGAATATAAAATAAGACGGCTTTCCCTCCAGATTTTCAAAAATTATAAAACTTACCATAAAAAGCGGAATAGTCGCAAAATCCGTCAGCGCAATCAACAAATTATGAATCGCAAAACATGCCGAAAAAATGGTGCATCGATGTCGTTGTGAGACCAATTCCGGTGCCACAAACCAGGATAATGGTCCCAGAACCATTCCAAACGAAATACAATAAGCGACAAGAGACGCCAGACATGCATATTTTGTCCAACCCGTATTATCAGAACCAGTTGAAAGCGTCGAGAAAATCGCGAACGACAACAAGAGAAGCTGGAAAAATATAGGTTTTTGAAAATATAAAAAAATCTCCCTAATAATTCCTCTTACATTTGAAAGCACGCCAAACGTCAAAATCAATGCTCGACGGGGGAAATGATCAATTATCGATGCACCAAAAATTGAGGAAAGTGTGAGAACAATTTGAGCAAATGTTGAACACCATTGAGCAGTTTCCCTAGAAAACAAAGAATAAATTTAGTTTTTGAAAAATTGTTTTGTTACATTGGAACTCCAGATTTGGCCAAGAAAAGTGTGGAGCTTTGTAGAATCGGATAAAACGACAAAGTTAAGGCAAGAGTTGCTAACGCCAGCTTCATTGCTTGTCTCAAATGCCATTTTGAAATCAAATCCAGAAAACTGGAATCTTTCTGATCTTGCTCAGTCATTTTTTCGGCTTGATACTCGCTCAAAAGATGATAATTCGAATTGCTTCGCCCTTGGAAGTATCTTAGTGATTTCATGGCTCGATCACTGTCTCCTCTGCAAAGTTATGATTTGTTTCTGATTTTCAATATCGATTAAAAAACTTACTTCACAATCATTAGAAACTTGGGAGTTTCTGGAAGCTGCAACACAAATCCCAGAGAGAAACAAAGTGGTAACAGTGAAACAAGCAAAAGATTCGATAAAGATGCTCCTAATACAGATTTCATGCCAAGAATCATTCCAAGAACACACATTGATCCATAACCGATTTCGCAAAGAAAAGATGACATTCCACGGATTTCAACTGGTGATGTTTCTTGAACATATAAAAGAAGACAAGCATCGCCTAATGGGGATACCAAAGCCGTCAAACTTCTTCCAAGTATCAATGTCCATGGCATGTAAGTTATTATTGATAAATATTGAATAAGTGTTGCGATAATTGTAACACAAACACATATTATATAACCAGCACGTCTTCCAAAACGATCCGATATTGTTGGTGTCAAAAGTGCACCAAATATCTGCGCAACAAACCAACAATTCAAAGTGGCAGATTGAATTAGAGCAACAGTATTATCGTCATCTGAATAACCTCGTAGTTGCAATGAAGTCACAATAAATCTGCAAAGCAAAACTATGACTTTTTCCAAATAAAATCTTGAAAACTCACTTGTGCAATTTTGCAACCGCGGTATTTACAGTTGAATTGGTGAATCCAGATGGAAAATTGGTGATGGCTGACAAAATCGAGTAGATTATTAGTAGGCGAACAGTTTGCCAGCGACCCATCGCGATATGTCACCATTTTCCGAATTTTTTTTGCAAAAACATCCGGACAGTGCAAATCAAAATTCTAGCGGCCGCGCGTTTTGGGTTTCGTAACGGAGAAACATATTTCGTTGTGTGCCTTTAAACATATCCTACGGTAGCTGTCGTGTGTTTGCACACAACATAAAATTTGACGTGAAATTGCACCTTTCTCGATGACAAAAACATTTCGAAGTGCTTCATTTCTTTACTTTTTCACGTGACCTCGTAAAACCAAAAAAGCCTAAAAAGATGTGATAGCTCGATGTTTCACATCAGTGTTTATAAATTGAAACGACTGAAATAATGGTGAGTTTGGAATAAGCTAAAAACTTGATTATAATAATTTATCTCGATTTTAGAACTTTAATGAGATCGACAGCTGTTTTGGAAATGACAAACGCGAAAGTGCCTACGATAAACTGAAGGCTGCTTATGAAAAAGGAGATCATTCAATTGATGTCCTTTGGCGTCTCGCTCAAGTTTGCCATGAATTGTCGTCGGTTGCTCCGAAAGCCAAAAGAACTGCATACGTTACTGAAGGATTGAAATATGCTGAAGAGGGAATGAAAGCTGATCCATCGAATTTCAAATGTGTCAAATGGTCCGCTGTTTTGACCGGTCAAAATGCCGAAGCTCAACAAACCAAGCAAAAAATCGAAATGGGCAATAAATTCAAAGCACTTTTGGATAAAGCAATCTCCATGCAACCGGATGATTTTGTTTTGTTGCATTTGCGTGGTCGCTATAAATTCACTGTTGCCAGTTTGACTTGGCTCGAGAAAAAGGTTACAACTTTGTTTATCAGCAAAGTATCTTTTTCCAATGAAAAATTTGCAGATCGCTGCCACATTCTACACAACTGTTCCAACTCATACATTCGAGGAAAGTATCGAAGATTTCCAATCTTGTTATAAAGTCGAACCAAAATGGATTGAGAATCTTTTGTATCTCGCAAAAGCTTATATTGGAGCGAAAGACAAGGAGAATGCGAAAAAGTATTTGAAAGTTGCGGTTTATGAAATTGAACCGCAATCTGATGTTGAAGTCGATTTTATTGCCGAGTGCAAAACTATTTTGAGTAAGCTTTGAGCTGAACCTTCTGAAATACAAATGAAACTTTTGGATTAAAATTTTAATAATTTATCGGGACAGTACCCAGCAAACCTCACAACCCAGCAAACGTGGAAACTTCATCTTAAGTAGGGACCTTTTTTTGCGGAGCGGTCTTCTCACTGTGAGATGTGAGAACTAGGCCATAAATAAGGCCATAAACATAACTAAATTCAAAATTTATTTATGATTCACTCTTTTTCTCTGATTTCTCACTTGCAAATTTTGAACTGCTCTTCGTTCCACAATCTGAACCACTTTTCTTTGATTTTTCACAACTTTCTGATTTTGTATTTGATTGAAGAAGAGATGGAGAATGTGTTGAATGACTCAAATTTGTGTTCGTTTGACTAATTATTGCTCCGATCCATTTTGCAGATTGTGCGCCTTTAAATTTTAGTGATAGTTTTTGTTTTTGCTCTGTCTTCAATTTCAGCTCATAATTATTTGAATCTTTCTTGACTTCTAAACTTTTCAGATTTTTTAATGAATAAATCACGCCAATTAGAGGTTTCCTGAAATAAATAAGTGACATATTCAAAATTATCAATAAAAATTGCCCCAAATCTAAACTCAACCCTGCACAAATTCCAAAAAGGAAGTACTTGTAAATAATAAGTCGAGCATCATCTTTCTTATTGTCTTGTACAAATATAATCAGACATTTTTGCCATTTCGAGAATCCAGTCTTGATATCGGCATAATTACAAGCCGCATCTTTTTGTGAGCAAATTTGTTCTTGTGGTGGTAATGAAATATATTTCGACTTTTTTGTGCACATTTTTTCTTGTTTTTATTCAATTTAGAAATGAGCGAGCATTTTGAGTATACAATAGTATCATTATGCTGGAAAATAGGACACGTACGTCAAAATATTCCGAACTACAAAAGGTATTTATTTATTTACTGTAACTCAAATATTGCAGGCTGCACAAACATAGTGTTACTTCAAGACTACAATGATTATTGTTCTTTGATGGTCGAGCTGCTAGACATACGGTAGGGGAAAACGCCAAACTACTCGGATTACTGTAGCTTCGGGATATTCAAGGTTTCCAGGGTACGTATAACAAGTAAACTTCTAGACATCAAGAATCACTACTCCGAACTGCAAAGTATACTGTAATTCATAGAATTTCAGACTGCAAAAATAATATAGCTCGAAAACTATCCCAAACTGCAAAGCAGTTGAGATTGGGGAAAAATTAAATTAAAGGTCAAATTTCATTTTTTTTTTCCAAAAAAATAAACGTGAAAAATTCGGCTTGCAATGTGTCATTTTACCTCTTTCCTAAAGAGGGAACATCTCGCATTTTTGTATTAATTTCTACTCAAATAATGCTGTCAAAATGTCTACAAATAACATCAAAAACCCATCATCTCATCAATTATTCTCATCGAAATCTCAACATCAATTTCAAATTCTGGAAAAAGCTTCAACCATTGTGCGATCTCAAAAACCAAACAGTAATTCTGGCAGATGGTTCAAGAAAAGCTGCTTGGCTCAAAGATCGAGATCTTGTCGATTCGTTTGTTCCAAATATTCATACAACTTATGATACAGTAAGATATGGGCTTAAACTAGCTGGAGACAAGGGAAAAATGTTTGGAGAACCTTTGAGAAATAAGAGTGGAGAAGTTGAATGGAAATGGATCAATTATTCGGAAGGAATCAAACAAGCTGATCGAATTTCACAATCAATGAGAAGAATTGGATTGAAAGCTGGAGATGATACTAAAATTGGAATATTTTCCAAAAATCGGACAGAATGGTTGTTGGCAGATATGGCTAATCATAATTTCAGTAATGTTACAGTACCATTTTATGATACGATTACTGTAGATGATATGGTTTATATTAGCAATTTGACAGAGATTCCATTGATTTTTACTGACTCAGAGGATAAAACCAAGTGTAAGTACAGGTTTAAGTACCAAACACGATTTGTTCTTACAATTTCAGAGAGATGCAGACTAGAAATATCTAGTTAGCGACTCTCAAACGTTGATGTCAATAGAATAATTTCTGATTTCAGTGCTCATCGAAACCAAACCTCGCTTATCAACTCTCGAAACAATCGTTCAATTCGATCCAATTTCAAAATCCACTCGAGACCTTGCAACTTCCCAAAACATAAAAGTTTTCGGCTTCAAAGAATTCGCCAATTTATCCAAACTCATTGATCCAATTCCACATGTTCCGCCAAAACCCGATTCCATCGCATCAATTTCTTTTACATCTGGAACAACTGGAAGACCAAAAGGAGTTATGTTGAGTCACATCAATTTGTGTTCAGTTTCATCGTTGTTGACAGATTTTGAGTATGATAAAGGGGTTGGCGAACGGTTTTTGTCGTATTTGCCGTTGGCGCATATTTATGAAAGATGTTGTAATGTTTCTGCACTGATGACTGGAGGGTAAGACTTTTTCGAAAAGAAAAAAATAAAACAACGTCACTCCGCTTGCACATTGTTTAGTTTTCTCTGAAACCGTAGTATCGTTGTTTTGTTCGCACTCTTTTCTAATTTTCCTTTATTCTTGCAGAAACATTGGATTCTATCGTGGAAATCCTGAAAATATTTTGGAACATGCTAGATCTCTCCGGGTCAATACATTCGCCACAGTTCCCAGAGTCATCGACAAAATTCACAAAGGAATTATGAGATCTCTTGTTAATCAACCAATAAAGAGAAATATTCTGAAAGCTGCGATTAATTACAAACTTCTACATTACAAGATCACGTAAGTTTTTTTTTTTGAAAAAAAACTCCAAAGATCCAATTTTCCAGCGGAACTTCAACTCGTGACACCTGGGTTGATAGAAAAATTTTGAAAAAGATTCAAGATCTTCTGGGCCCAGATCTCAGGCAAATAACCGTTGGAGCTGCGAAAAGTGAAGACCGAACACTTTCTTTTATGCGCGGTGCATTTGGTTGCCATGTTTTCGAAGGATACGGGCAGACAGAAACTTCCGGTCCAATTGTAGTTCAAATTCGTGGTGATATTAGTGTTGGAAATGTTGGAATACCAATTCCGTGTGCAATGATCAAATTACGAGATGTTCCACATTTGGACTATTACGTGGATAAAAATGGTGGTGAAATTCTAGTGAAAGGATACAATGTGACAAAGGGTTATTATAAAAATGAAAAGGCTACAAAAGAAGCATTCACAGAAGATGGATTTATGAAAACTGGAGATATTGGAAGATGGACAAGTAATGGAACCCTTGAAATTATTGATCGAATGAAAAATGTGTTCAAATTACCACAAGGAAAATTTGTAGCACCAGAAGGTGTTGAATCCCTTTATATTTCTTCTCGATTTGTAAATCAAGTTTATGTTCATGGAGATGTTCAAAAACCATGGCTTGTTGCAATTGTTTCGCCAGATGTTGCAGTAAGTTTTTATAAAATTCAAGCACAACTATTCAATTTTTGTATTTTCCAGCAACTAACTGCTTATGCTGCAAGTCGTTTCAACATTACTGGAAAATCGATTGAAGAACTGTGCAAAGAGCCCCAATTAATCAATGCGATTCAAAGAAAATTGATGTTGATTACAAAAACTCACGATCGTCCAAAATATGAAGGAGTTTATGCAGTTCATTTGACACCTGTTCAATTCACATCGGAAAATGGTTTGACTACACCAACTTTGAAGAATAAAAGACATAGTTTGGCAAAATGGTTTGAGAAGGAAATCAATGATATGTTTCATCAAATTGAACAAGATGAGGCCAAAAAGTATCTTGAATGAAATATTCAATAGTTTTGAACATGAAACATTTTGCATACCATACTTAGTTTACGGAACAAATTTTTCAAAAATTTCTCTTGAAAGATGTTTTTTTTTTCAGATTCAGTTTTTCTGAAATTTTAATAATTTCAGTAGTTTTTTTTGAAAAATAATTTTATCTGGGTCTCAATAAATAGAACAATTGGAATTTATCAAGTTTCATGGGACGTCGCGGCGGTTCGGAAGATTTTCGCATCACAGCTTTAACGAAAATTATTCAACACTTCGGGCGGTGTTTCGAACATGCATTGGACCGGTGAGAAGAAGCAATTTCGATCCATTTTTGGCACGCGGGAAGCGACCAAAGTCTCGCGACCATCATTGTGAATACGACTGGAAATTTGAAAGATGGGGAGATTTTTAAAGGAGATGAGTGGATAAAAATTGTGGGTTGAGTTCATTTCAAACTTTCAAAAAAATTGAATTTGAAATGTTTTCATTACTCATTTATTAAAATTTTGCGACGCGTCACAGATTTTTTTGTATTCCAAAAAATATTGTATTCACCACGCTCTCTTTTTCGTAATATTTTCAAACTAGTCACGCGATTTTACAACAAAAAAGTCCCGCACTCACCCCAAAATTTGATAATAATCCGAAACTGTCGGCAGATTTCTTGTAGCGCAAGTGGAAAACAAAACAACAAGCGCAAAAATGAAAAATGTGCCAGTTTTCATTTTATTTTTTATTACCTGAAAAAATCGATTTTACTAGAGACGTAATTGTGAATTGCGAAAATATTGGGGGAATTCTCTGATGGGAATTTGTGATGATGTATATATTTTCTGGTAGACCTGTTGATCAAAATTGTTTAGCTCGGCTCTGAATGAAGATATGACGTGGCAAAGTTTTTGACTGTACAAGATTGGTTTTAAAAAATTCATAGATTTGAAAAAAACAATTTTAAATGTAATTTTTGAAGAAAAAAATAATCTACAGATTCCGCAGAGCAAGAATTGATTTTTCTGAATTCCGAAAATAATTTTTCAGTGATCCTAATCACAAAAAATAGCAGACTTTGAGCATAAATAAGTCTAATTTTAGGCGTGAAAACTTGTAAAGTGTCAATTTTTAAAAACAATTTCAGGAACTGTGAAGTAAAAATGTTGCCACGTCATGACTCATAAAAAAATTTGGCTGCTTAATTTCTAACAAAAAGATCGTTCGTTCCTCAAAACAAAGATCAGATATCTACTAGAATAAGTTTCAAGAGGAATTCTAGTTCAAAAAAATGTCCTTTTCAATAAAAATCATGAAAATAACATTTCGTCAGAAAAATGGAAATGAAATGAATGAAAAATTGAACTTGAATGCAAAACAATTATGATTGAGTTATTATTATTTTTCGAAAATACCATGAGAAAATTCTAATTAAAAAGTGACTGGGGAAAATGGATGGGAAGTAGAAGGAGAAGAATGAAAAAGAGGCGGAGCTTATGTTAGACTTAATTTTTTGAGAAAAGTATATATTTTTGTAGCAAAGGAAAAAAATTGAACTTCAGAATTGTGTCACATGGATTTTTTGGTGTGATAAATTCATGTTGAATTTAAAAACTTCGCTAAGTAAGTTATATTTGATTTTTTTGAATTTTCAATTTGTTAAAAAAACGCGAAAATTTGAATTTTAAAATTTTTACGTGGATTTTTGGAAAGAAAAATTGATTTTTATCGAAAATACTGGTCAAAAAACTTCAAACTCTTGAAAACTTCCTGGATTTTTCAATGAAAAAAGGACACTTGTATCTTAATCAAATTTTTTCGTATTTTTAAGCTTTCTGATTACTGAAGTATATCTCGAAAAACTTGAATTCTTGGTTTTCTTAGGCTTAATTCATTTATTCTTTCAGAAAGGTATATACAACTATTCCAGCACACAAAAATGAATCGGGTTTTATTTTTTTGGAGGAAAGAGAAAAACGGGGGAAAGGGACTGAATTTGAAATAAAAAATAATAATAATGAAAAAAAGAAAATAAAATAGAATATACAGGAGAGACCAAAAAAGAATTAAAATGAATTTTGATTCAAAAAAAAAACACGGTGCAGAACTACTTATTTTTTGGTACTTGTTTTGTTGCTCAAACATTTGATGCCGATGCTCCGCCTTCATTATTTTCAGCATCAGCATTTTCAGATGTTGAAGTTATGACGGCTTTTTCATCGATCGAATCGCCGCCATCGTCTTTGAGTTCGACGTCGCCTTCGTTTTCGCCAATGTTTAGCCAGGACTGGAAAAAATTAGGAGTTTGAGGAGAAAATTTGGGAGATTTCAAAATTCTAGAATTAGAGGAATCTGGAGGATTTTGAAAGAACTAAGGGTTTTGGGAAAATTCAATATTTCTGTCTAATTTTTACGGGAAACTTTTTGTTCATTTTTTTTGAAATGTTCAGTGGTTCAAAAACTACCGTAGTTTATCTGATAATTTTCGTATTTTTAAGCTTCGTAATAACTGAAGTACATTTCGAGAAAAATTGGATTCTTGGTTTTCTTTGGATAAGAAACTTTTGGAATTTAAGAAAAAAAGGGTTGGTTACCTGTTCAACGATTTGCTGCACTCGTTTCTCATACTCTCGTCGATTTTCCTGATACAATTGTGCGGCGAGCGAATTTGCTGGTGAATTTGGATTGGGCTCGTCGAGCAATGATTGGATGGATGTCAGAATTGCGGCTACGTCATAGGTTGGAGACCAGCGGTTCTGAAATTGAAGAAATCAGTAGATTTTTGAAGCCCGAGTGCCCAATCAGTAAATTCGGAATCAAGGAAATTATTATTGTGTAGGACTTTTTGAGAAAATTCAACAAGTTTACAAACAATTCGATTCGAAGTATAAAATTGAGCTATGACGTGTCAAATTTCATAGTTTCTTTGAAAAACTTTTCAGAAATCAGATTGTTTAGGAGAAATTAATACGTAACTATTATTTTCAAAAAATGCAATATTTACCTGTAAAATATCCAAACAAATCGATCCATCAGCATATACATTTGGATGGAACATTTTCGAGATGAATTTGACAGTTGGTGGCTTGTTCGGATATTCTTCTGTGAATTCCAAAGAGAGCTGCAAAAAAAATTTGATTTTTTAAAACTTGGATACACAAAAATACAATGTTATCAATATTTTGATTCAATTATAAACCAGTAAAATTAAATGGTTAAAAATACAATGCTCAAAATATAGTTATGACGTGGAAAAGCTGTCTAAAAATCGAAAATTTTCGGTCTTGATAATTTTTCATTTTTTACACACTTTTGAGAAAAAAAAACTTTTTGCTCTTTCAGACTTCAAAAATTTTTCGATTTTTTCCTTCCCAACAGAATGCCATTTTTTCCACGTCATATTTATAATTCAAGGGAGTTTTGATAAGTGTAACTTTTGAATTTAGAAAATAAAGTTATGACGTGGATTTGAAGCTAGAAAAAAAACTCACCTTAAAGGTTCCATCCTCGAATGGTGTTTCCTGTGGTCCGAAAATGATGGCCTCCCACGCCAAAATGTTGTCCTCAGTTGGCGCGCCAGAAACACCAGCTGGCGGATCTTCTTGCAACTTTTTGAAGTCTCGCATTAAACGTCTACGACTCGGAGTTGTCATATTCAAATCCTATTTCCTGAAATTAGAACAAACTTGGAATTTTGGATTATCATAATTTTGTGAGAGAAAAGTTTGAAATTGACACAAAATTCCTTGTTTTCAAAATTTGCATTCCCAAATCAAAAAAAATCGAAGATATTTCAACGTTTTCAAAACGTATTATCAGATAAATTAACAAAAAACTTCAAAAAATACAAGATGTGTTTTTTATTATCTCAAAAATGATGACAAGAACTCAAGAGATCATACAAATCCTGAAATTCGATTAAATCCTCGTTCGACAAACTCGACTTCAACCTCTCAATTCTCGCTTGAATTCCAGCCAATTTCTCCAAATTTTCCTTCCGTTTCAGTTCAATTTTCAGCCGCAAATCATGTTCAAATCTCATATTTTCATCAAACTTTGGGACCATCAAAACTTCTTCAACTGCTTCATCAAAATTAGTCGGAACTATCAAAGTGGCCTCTTTTTGATTTTCTCGCCAAGAATACGAAATCACACATAATTCCGTATTTTGCAAAGCATTTTGAATATGTTGAGGACAAGTCGATTTAACTTTGACCAAGTAAATTTTCCTCAAAAATCCGCTTGTCGCTGTTGATGTTTTTCCGAGGTATCGACGACAGACAATCTGAAAATTGAGAGAATTTTGAAAAAAAAATGACTGGAAAAAAGTGCGAAACAGCTGTTGGTGGAAAAGTCACAAGGTTCTGATTTTTCTTTCGAACATGTGTTATTGTTTTTGATTTTGAAAAAAATGAAAATGATAATAATAGAAAGAATTTTTGGTGGAATTTTTTGTTAAAGGAAATTCTGAGAAATGAAAAAAAAATTACTTTTTAGAAGTTTGAAAAAATATCGAAAAATTGTTAGATTTTCCGCTTTTCGGAACGAAAAATCAAAAATTTGGAATCAGGTTAGGAAAATCTTTCATATTTTCTACGTAAAATTAAAAGTTTTGAATCCAAAAAACCCGAAAATGGTCGAAATTTCAGCTCAAAAATCATTCTAGCAAAATATTTTCAAATTTTCCAATTTCCCTCCCAAAAAAAACCCGAACCTGAATATCACAATCATTGGCCATCGTTTTTTCCAATCTCCACGAGCTCAAATCATCCGCAATTGAATAAATCGCTCGAAAATTCTGTGTTCCACCCGACGGTTTTTTCCATTCATTTCCATCCGAATGCAATGCTCGATGTCCACCACAAGAATTCACGCCCAAAACGAAGGTGATCGATTCTTGAACATACATTGGAAGCGATTTGCCATATCTGCAAAAAAAAATAAGATTGAATATTGCCTTTCTCCACAAAAAAACAGAATAGAAGTATGTTTGACTAGAACTCTCAATTTATTGATTTCCACTTGAAAATCGAGTTGATCAGCTGACTTTTTCCAACAAAACAAGATTTCTTGTTTTTGGAGCCTTTGAGTTATGACGTGGTTACGCTTGAGAAGCTGATTTTTCTTGAGAATCAATTTGATTTCAGTTAATTCAATTTAGCCACGTCATAGCTCATTATTAGAACCAAAAAAAGTCAAAGTGGTGCAATTTCAAAACCAAGAACAATTTTCAAAATGCAGATTCCCAAAATTTGCTCTGTCCTAACTCACAACTAGTCACTCAAAAAACACTAACTCTCTTATTTTATTGAAAAAAGTCAGCTGATCAACTCAAAGTTCAATAGAAAATCAATAAGTTTACTCAACACACAACTTGATAAATACTTATTTCGAAATAATAAACTGAAGCGAAAAAAGAGGTTTTTATGTACATTTTTGAGAAAAACGGGGATTTCGTAATTTTTTCTCGAAGAGAAGAGAAAAAATAATCCACTTCCTTTATTTTTTGCATCCCACATTTCACAAAAAAAATGACGTCAACTTGTTTTGAATGAAAAAACACGAATATTAATTGGAGGCAGGCAGCACAAAATATATTATTTTGAAGAGAAAAGTTTGAGGACTGCAAGAAAAAACTCTCACTACTTTAAAATTCCAGCACATCGCGTGACAGGATCACTCTCTAAAAATTGGAATTTTTTCCCCAAAATTTTCAGCTAAAAAACTCCATTTTTTAATTAGTTCCAAAGAGAACGCAGCGAAAAAATATACGTGTAGCTGACAAAAAACACGAGAAAAAATGAAAACGACTAGAAAATCATGAGAAAGAAAGAAAGAACAAGTGATGAGAGAGTGACAAAGTTCGAGGAGACGCAGAAGCATTTTGTGGGCGATAGGACAGGCAAAAGGGAAAAAAACGGCGCCGACAGCGGGAAAATCGATTGGCGAAAGAAAAACATTGAAAAGAAGAAGAAAAAGAGGAGGAGAAAAATGAGGATAAAGAGGATTAAGCCTAGAAAAAGAAAAAAACGAAGAGAGAAGAGGAGAGGAATTTTTGAAAAGGAACGAACATGTGAAAATCATGAGGGATTCCCTATCCTTAGAAAATATGGCTGAAAAATAAATAAAAAATTTATATTTACAATTAGGATTTTTATTAGAACGCCTGGAAAAAATACATTTTTTCGAAAATTTTGAGAGCGAAGAATGAGAGCTTTGAAACTCACTGTGTTCGATTAAATAGAAAATCATGAAATTCAAATTTTTCAAAATTTTGAATATTACGATTTTCTAGTAAATCAAAAACATCATTTTCTGGTTATTGGAATTTTTTAAAGAAAAAGACTCGGTTCATATATTTTTCAATCCAAAAAAACTATTATAATTTTGAAAAAAATTGTTTTTCTTTTTTTATCCCAGTCCAGCCCACTCTCAAAAAAACATGCATTTAAATAGTGTTTTTTGGTGATCGGGTACTTTTTTTGAACTTTTAGTACTTACTCGGTGAACTTTTCAGTCGAGAGAAGAATTGAGATGGCTGTTTGTGAATCGCAACCGTGTTTGAAGAGAATTGGTGCGTGTTCGAGGGAGTTGGCGCATTTCTGAATAAAAATAGTTGTACGATTTTTTTCGAAAATAAATGTTGAACGATAACAAGTAAACTTTTGGTACAAAACATTGATAATTGACAAAAAAAAATAAATATTGATTTACAAAAAGGGTTTTCACAAGAATTTGGGCCTCACGACCTTTATTAGTTTTAAATATCTTTAATAATAAATAGTTTCATTAGAAGTCCAAAGATCTTAAAACAATAACCTTTGGATGTTGTACTAAAAATATACTTTTAATCGTTTGAAATACACATTTCACTTTTTTTTGAGAAAATAGAAACTCGAATTGTCAGAGCCTGAAAATGCTGGTTGAAAAATTTTTAGAAACAAATTTCCAGACTTGATGATCCTATGTAGATAAATATTTTGTTTAAAGATATGTTTCAAATGTTTTGCCCCAAAAATTACCTTCCATGTATTCTGATGATATTGTTTTTCCATTTCTTCATAAACTGTTAATGGATGCGCATTTCCCATCCACTCATAACTTATCACAACCCAAGGAATCATATGTTCATAATTGTCAAAACCAGTGTAGACTTTTCGCATAAAATCGCCTCTTCCATCAGTTCCAGGATGCAAGAATTGCTCGCAAACTACCTAATTAATCAAATAAATATAATTTTTAAAAACTGTATTTCGCATTACCTTCAGATTATGATCATTTTTCTGTGTGATTTGCGGTTTTATATTGTTCCCAATCACATATTTTCGAACGAACATTTGAACGGCTTGCCAAGTTCCGAGACCATCATTATGAATTTCATTCTTATCCATATTTCCTTCAAGCTTAACTACAAATGTGCCAGTATTTGTATATTCTTGAGGAATTGACTGACAAATGTGAACCTCTGGGACAAGTGCAGCTCTAGTTGATATGATTGAAACTACGGAATTGAGAGAAATCGCATTTTCCATATAAATTGGCCAATCAAAATGCATACCAGATCCATCGTTTCGCACAAATACTCGCCATGTTTTCGAAGTTCCCTCTCCAAGTTCATCGTCATCCTCGTCTTCTTCATCATCTTCTTCTTCCATCTCATTATCATCAAATTGCTCGAATTGTTGAAAACTCTTGACTCTCGCTTCACGCGGCGGTTGTCTTCTTACAATTGGAATAACTTCTGCTCCTCTTTTTCGCCCAACTCGTTTCTTTTGCGTATCCCATACTTCAACATCTTCGGCAGCGATTTCTTGCGGATCCACATCATCTCCAATGTCGAAATGTCGAATCTCTTCAATGTTCGCAACATCGTAGACGATCTCCTCCTCCTCTTCTTCTTCTTCCATCAATATTTCCGACATTTCTCGTTGTTTTAGCTCAAGAGCTCAAGCTCGAAAAAAAAAATGAAAAAATTCTAGCCGAGTCGGCGCCTAGGCCATATTATGTGCAATAGCGCGCACTTGTTGTCTCACATTATTTTTTCTTCTTTTTCACGTTCCAGCGTAGAAATGGTTCTTTTTCGCCCTAAAAGTGTAATAAAGATATGGCTTATGACATTTTATTGATATAAAAATCATGCCTCTGTTATTCTCGCTCAAGAAAATTGACATGCCAAAAACACAGCGCGACCATTTATCGACCGATTTCACCTTTTGTTTGTCATCATTTTCCGTTTCTATATAAATAAAAACTGTCGCCTTCTTCTTATCGCGTCATGTTTATTCGACCACCATCAAAAAACCAGTCGTTTTTGCCTCTGTCCATTTTTTCGTTATTTATTTCATCATCATTTTTTTTTCAAATTTTATTAAAAATTGCAATTTTTAAAGAAAGATGGCCGAACTTTTCGCTGGAAAACCACTTATTAATCACGAAGGCGAGGAAGTTGTTGCTGCTGAAGTTTTGAAAGACAAAATTGTGCTTTTATATTTCTCAGCAATGTGGTGCCCATCGTGCAGACAATTGACACCAAAGTTGAAGGTAAACAGATTTTTGACTCTCTGAAACAGAAGTGACGTGCCAAAATTTTTCCCATGAGACTATGTTTTTTCACTTCATAGCTCATATTTGGATTTAATTTTTTCAAAACCTGAATTTTGTGATCAAGGAGTCAAAAATCCAATAATTAACCGACCACTTTAGAAATTGAAAATTTTAAAAAATAATTTTTATTTTGAAATGAGATGCTCAACTAGATCACGTAAATTCACGTAAAAATTATTTAATTTTCATTTCTAAAAATAATCGCAACCTCAATAGATGAGTTAATAAATACAGATTTTTCCAGAGATTCTACGAGGCTCTTAAAAAGGAAGGAAAACCAATCGAAGTCGTTTTGGTTTCTCGTGACAGAGAAGCTGAAGATCTTTTGGAATATCTTGGACACGGTGGAGAATGGTTGGCAATTCCATTTGGCGACGAGAGAATTCAGTGAGTTTTTCTCTGTGTTGAAAATTTGAAAAAAAAATTTTTTTTTTTCTGCAGAGAATATCTTCGTAAATACGAAGTTCCAACAATTCCCGCTCTCAAATTGATTTCTGCAAGCGGCGAACTTTTGGCCGATGCAAGAGGAGATGTTCAAGAAAAGGGAAAAGAAGATCCACTTGGAGTTTTTGATAATTGGGCATCTACTCATTCACTTTTGTAAAAATTTGTATTACTTTTATGTGCAAAATATTTTTTTTTGATTATTTTATTATATAAATTATGTTCTTGTTTTTTTGGTTTCTTTTTCTCCTTTTTCCATTAGCAACCATCGATTTTTTGAACTGCGCACAAACTTTTTTTATCATCAAAAGTAATAATTATCTCATGATACTACAATTTTCAGCCTAACTTCACATAACAACCATAATATATTTTTCAAAAATCCAATTATTTTTTCATTTATCCGATTAATTTTTTTGCAGGTTTTTTGTAAACAAAAAAATGTATCGAGTTTGGAAGCCACAATACGAAATCGAGTTGGCAAAGTGAGTTTTTTTGAGGGGAGGGTAATAAAATAAAAATCTTTCTATAATTATAGTTTTACGACGCGCTGAAATTTGTTCTCTTATCTTTAATTTTCGTGATAAATATTCAATTGTTTTCTGAAGAAAGTCCAATTTTTTCCTTTCTTTAATGCTTCTGAAATTTTTCGCTTATCTTAACTTTTTTTGTGAAAATTTCTGTATAAAAGTACGGTGTTTTAGTGATAAAAATTCATTTTCAAATTTTTTTCTGAATAAAAATTTTGCAAGTTCAGTCACAAAATTCTTCTGAAATTTTTTCGCTTATCTCATTTCTGTATAAAAGCACAGTATTTCAGTGATAACATTCATTTTCCAAAAATATTTTTTAAACTTTTCTAAAAAAATATTTCATTTTTCCAGTCAAAAAATGCTTCACGTGCCGACTGATGGATTGTTGGGCTCGAATTTCAGCTGGGAAGATGTGGAACGAACGATTGGTGATGATTTCAAGTTTGGTGAGCGGAAAACGATTGAGCCGTTGGGTGTTGGAGTGGTGAGTTTTTCAGCGGGAAGATTTTGAAATTTTGCGTCAATTTTAGATGTTACTGTAGATCAAATGTAAAAGAATTCATCGACCAATTTTTGGGGGTTACTGTAGATTAAAATTCATAGAATTTTTTTACCAATTTTCCAGTGGTACGGTAAAACCTCTTCAAAATTAAATGAATATGAACAATTTTATAGGAATTGTCGAAATATGAATTTTCTTCAGATCTACAGTAATCCTAAATTCCTCATAGTTTTCTATAGAAATCTAGAAAATCTAACCCTTTCGAAAAAATGTTCAATAACAACTCCAAATATTTTAGTACCTGTTCATTGTTTGTCTATCCGGTTAAAACCCGGACTTTCGAAATATTCCAAAACAATTCTTATCGCAGTTTTTATTGGGAACAGGACTTGTAACAAAAATAGTAGATATGATATCAATAAAAATGATGACTGTTTAGAAATACGAAAGTTCCGTGTTCAAAAGATTAAAAAGTTGTTTGTGTGTTTTGGAATTTGGACCTGATTATAACATGGCAATTTTTCTTTAAAAAAAGAAGTTTTATTTTAGGGTCTTCAATCGCTTCTTGGTGTAATTCACTCGGATTCCAAATCCTCGAAAGTTCCAGAAACTTTTGTGTTGAAAATCGGATCACCAATTGCTCTTCTCCGTAAGTTCCTGAAATAGTCCTGCAGTGCTTTAACTCTCTAATTCTCAGACTTTTCTCCAAAACTATTTTTTTTCTAGAAGCCTTATCTGATCAAGCTGCAAAAGTTCCACCAGAAGCAGCTGCTGAACTAGTCAAAGAATTCGTCAGTTTCCTTCCACCATGTCACAATTCGGAAATCTATTTCTACGAAAAGTTCCAAGCTCTCCCAATTGCCCATTCGCTTTCCCAAATCCCTCAATATTTTTTCGGCGAAAAATTGGAGGCTCTCGAAGGTGGAGATTATACCAAAGGATGTATTGGAATCGAATATATTGAAAATGTGTATAGTTTGAGCCCGGCGCAAAACTTTAGCGATGAACAAGTCAAACAGGTGTTGAAGGTTTTGGCGAAATTGGAAGTTGGATTTTTGAAAGTGTCGGAGAATGAAAGTGAACAACAAACTCCACATGATGGATTTGCTGGTTTATATAAAACATTCAAGGATTGGTTTTTGCAAATGAATAATCAACTTTTGGGAAATGTTCCACCATTGGCACAATTTGCACAACAATTCACTGAAATTCTCCCAGAAATTATAACTTGTGAAGAAGTTGATAAATTATCAACTGCATTAGGAATCAAAAAAGTTTTGGTTCACGGTGATTTATGGGCAGCAAATATTATGTGGAACTCGGAAACTAATAATCTCGAAAAAATTGTTGATTTTCAAATGATTCATTTTGGATTAGCTGCAACTGATTTGACAAGATTTTTTAATACTTGTTTGAGTGCCGAAGATCGAAAATTGAAATGGAGAGAATATTTGAAATATTTTCATGATTCGCTTGTCGAAGAAGTTGACGATCAAGAATTGCCATATACTTATGAACAACTCGAACTTTCCTACAGATTGGTTTATCCAAGAAGTTCTGCACAATTGTTACCACCGTTAAGTGCTATTTTGGAGGTAATTTACTAGAGAAATTTTGAGATTCAATCAATTTAATTTCTTCAGAATGTCTCTAAACTTCCGGATGACGAGGTCAAACAAGCGGCTTTGGGAACTGTGATTTCGAAAATCGCCGGAATTTATGCGGATATTATTGAGGAACATAAAAATCGTCCTAAAATTTAAATTTATTCATCTCAAAATTTTGAACCAGTATTTTTAGATTGAATAAATGGATAATGTGTTGAATAACAGATTAGTTTTAAGCTTTTTAATCAAGTGATAAATCAAATAAATTTATATAATAAATATATAACAGAAACACCATCATTGTACACGAAAACATTCAATATAAAATCTAGAGAGCACCATATTTCAACAGGATTATTTAATAAAAGGGTGGGCAAAAGACAATAAATACATTTGCAATTAATTATAAAAAGAAAAAAAAGAAGCTATCACTATTTTTGAAAACATCACGGGTTTTTGAAAATGAGGGAAAAGTAGAAATTTATGGCAAGGTGAGAAAAGAAGAAACTGAAAGGAGTATTTTGCTTTGAAAAATAATCTTTTCAGTTTCTGCTGGTGCTATATAAAAAAAATGAAAAATCTAAATAGGTCTACAATATGCGGCTGGAACATATCCAACTTTTCCATTATCTCGTTTGACAAGAAGCCATTCAGGATTTCCATCATCATCGGTTCTTTGTAGAACACCAACTTTTTCACCCTCATTTACATCAACTTGATTGGAACCTTGTGGCACGAAATCGTAATCAACTCGAACTTCGCAGAGCTGGAAAAGGAACACAATTATTTGGATTTTGCCACATCATAGCTTTAGATATTTCAAATTCTGAATGTTTTGGAAAAAACAAATTCTCAAGAATACGTTTGGTGACTTTTTTCAATGAAAATAAAATTGAAAATTATGGGAAATGTTTTCTAATAATTACGTTTCAAAGAAAAATTTAGCGTCAAATTTTCATTCGTAAATTTGTGGAGCTAACTTTTTAAGAAATATTTGAAAACCCCAAATCCAAGTGCCACGTCATAACTCACCACAGGTCTAATCGCCGAAGAAGATCCATTCTCACCAGGTGGTTGATCATAAGTATTCTTGGCCGCAGAAGTCGCGAAACTAGTTTGCGCTGGCGGAGCATCGTAAAATGCTGCTGTCGCATTAGAAAATGAAGATGTTGTTGGCACCACGTCATAACTTGGTGGTTGTGAATAAGAAGGTGGTTGAGAATAAGTCGGAGGTTTCGAATAATTGGGCTGCTCGGCAACTGGTGGAAGATCATAAGCGGAATTGAGTTGCGGATAGACGTTGCTGGTAGTTTTGGTGTTGGGCATCGGACGAGATGGGATAAGTGGTTGAGGTGATTCAGCGCGTTGAACCATTGAGGAAGAAGTGTTCATTGGCCATGCATTAGCAGCCGCCGATGAAGAACTGCAAAATTATCATAATTATTAGAGCTGTGTCGGAAATTTGATATTTGAAATCGGGAAATCGGAAAAAAGCTATAAAGTCTGGAAATTCAGGATTTCTAAACTTTCTAGACATCGAATGTTAAATTTAGGCGATCTGCAAGACTCAGTCACACCGAACAACTCTGAGAAAATCGATATTTTCCAAAATAAATTTTCCCGGAAAAGTTACGTTTCGGAAAACAATTGAAAAAAAAATCGTGTGATAAAAAAACAGCCGAAACTGGGCAAACTAAGTTGGGTCTTTGAAAAATGGTTAAATTATTTTTCTACAGTTTCAAAATTCAAAATAACACGTGGCTATTCATTAATCCGTGTTTTGTGTTTGTTTAAAAAAATGTAACTACACATTAAAAAATTTTGCACATTAATTTTTTTTCGAATAATTTTTGAAACGTAATTTTTCCGGAACAAAAATTTTGGATTTTTTACAAGTATTTTCGGTGCATTTTTTTGAACCTCGACATTTATGAAGTTGAATAATTTTTCGAAAAAAACTCACCGCTGTGCAATCGAAGTCGTTGGTGGAAGTGTAGCAAAAACATCATCAAAATTACTAGTCGCTGGTGGCGGATTCGTATAAACTGGCAAAGGCGGTGGTGCAGTTGGTGGCAGCGAATCAACATTGAAACTTGCCCAAGAGGAATCGCCAGTGTTTGCATAAATATTGGGAGCCGATGGAGTTCTTGCTTTCGATCCCCAATCAACAGAAGCCACGCCAGAAAATAGATCAGTTTCATCCAAATTATAATTAGCGCCAGCAAGAGGAGTTTCCACTTTTGGGCCTTGTGATGTAAACTGGGTGGGAAACTGAGTTGGAAATTGTGTGGGAGGTGCCTGCGGCTGAAGAACTGGGGCCAGAGGCAAAGATTGTGCAGCCACATTCCAATCAACAACAAACGAATTGCTAACTGGGATATTAGTTGGTGGCGGTTGGTTCAAAGGTGTTGGTTGAATCGGCGCGACTCCACCAAAAACATCTTCCAAGTCTAGAAGATTCTGACTTTTTGCAGGTACACTAGCAGGTCGAATCGATTTCGCCACATCGAATCCTGTTTCAATTTGACTTTGTTGTTGTTTATAAGGCTTCAATACATTACTAGGCAACATCGCATTATAATATCCATTATAACAGAGCCACATACTTGGAACTTCACGATTTACAGCCAAAACGAGATCATTTTGTCGAACAATCAATAGTTTTCCTTCGGCTAGGGCGATTTTTTGCATTCCGGGGTCATGTGGATAATGTGACGTGGCAACGAACATATCACCGAGTCTTCCCTTCGCCGTAGCTTTTTCCAGAATAGTTTTGCGCTCCTCAGCAGTTTGTGCACGGAATTTCGGAGCCGCATCTTGTTTAGCAGGAACAGGAGCAGCAGAAGGAGATTTCCAAGCATCATCAATTGGCACAATTTTATGACTGGGTTTATTATTGACTCCATTGGATGATGGATTTGCAGAAGTAGTCGCAGAGGAATTCGGAGAAGCAGATCTCGCTCGAATTCTGTTTGATTGCGCACTTTTATTAGCAATTTTTTGAAGAGGCTTCAACCGATCTGGATCATAATGTGAAACAAAACAAATAGTATTTGATAGAACAAGTTGCTTGGTTTGTGCATTCGGATCTGCGGCAGATATTGATTTCAAAGAATCGAAGTGTTTTTTCAACGCAGTCATCAAACTCGTATCTTCGCTTATCACAGTTTTCATCGCTTCAGCCAACACTTTTGTCAATTGATCAACACTTTTGGGTAGTTCTTGTTTCACCTGTGCATTCAATGCTTCATAATCCTTTTGGATTTCCACAAAATCTCGTTTCCCATTTCCTCGATGATTCGATTTCGCCGCTTCATAATCCATCAATTTATCATTTCGTTTTTTGATTAATCTTTTCGGAATTCCACGCAACGCTTTCACAATCTCATCTCTAACACGTAGTTTAATTTTGCCTACAAAATCCTTAACCGCCTCATTGAAACCATAACATTGATTATCGATATCTGCACTACTCAATGCCTTTTTCCTCGGTTCAATTAGTCGTTTATTAATTAGCACTCGAGTTTCATGAAACATCTTTTTCCAATAAATAACCAACATATAATTGAATCGAACCAGTCGTCTTTCAGCGCTATCCAATTCACAAACGAGTTGATCGAACTCGACATCTCTCAGAACTTTCACAACACCAAGTGATGAACCCATTCGATAAGTGAATCGATTCGATTTCTTTTTCAGCGAATGAAAAGTCATTTTTGATAACATTTCCCCGAAAGTTTGACGGTCTTCAGCCATATATTTTCGTGCTAAAATGGAACAATATAAAATGAGTCATAGTATTTTTGTAGTCACAATTTATTGAAGTGAACTATGTTTCCTAGTACATTTTAACCCGCTGATCAAAGTCCCGCCAAAAATTTATTAGCTCAACTTTGAATACGAGTTATGATGTGGAAAATTTTTAGTTGACTACAACGAAGCTAGTTATAATCTTACAGAGTCGGTCAGAAATTTTTGCACCTCAGAATTTAGCAAAGCTGTTTTTGATTAAGATACTGGGGCCAACAGGTGAAAATCAACTAGAAAAACTTTTAAAAAAATTAATTTCTGTTTTTAGTCATGTATTTTCGTGCTAAAATAAAATAATATAATATGAGTCATGCTATTTTTTCATAGGAAAAAGGGGCGCAGCTTCGTCCGAAAAAAACTACAAAACTTTTTTTGTATTTTCTCAACAACTCACTCAATTCCTTCCTCCTTTTCGATTCATTCATTTTTTGCCCCAAATTCGACATCGATTTGACCGCTTCCAACAATTTTGGATGATCCACATGATTCAGCGGTGTAACTTTGACAATCTCGTTCAAAAATAGCGGATATTTGAGGCATCTTTGGACAGGTCGACCGACTGCTGTTGCACCATCAATTACACCAGCTCCAGATTCACGCATTCGACGGACGACGTCATTCAAAGCGTCTTCCATGGTTTTTTCGGTTTTCTGAAATTAAACATTTTGAAAATGATAAATAACTATTTTTCACGTGGAAACGTGACCGAGAATTTTGAATTTTTATTTTTGTGCTCATTTCTAACTAAATGCAAGAAACTAACCGCCGAAGTCAACAATTGATTGATATGCTCAATATTCCTAAAATAATACCCGTAAGTTTGTGCAAACGGTTTTCGCAATTGTAAAAAGCATCCACCAATTTGTTGAGCATCGCTTGGTTTAACTAGAAAAAATAATTTGAAAAAAAAACGAATGGATTATAAAAAAGAAAAATTACTCTGCTCATTGGTAAGAAATTGAACCAAGTTGGCTGAGAGTTGGACGATTTGTGCGCAACCATTTTTCATAACCACTTTTTGTTTTGCACTGAGTAAAGAGCTTCCTTCGACAGCTTCAGTGTATGAATTGATATCTGTGATGAATTGAAGTTCCGAGCTAATAAGTTCTTCCAAAATCTTTAATCTTTTGTCTTCATTACTAGCAGCACCTGCGGTTGCACTTTCAATTCCCATCATAAAATCATTCGTTTGACTAAACATCGAACTCGGTGCAGTTGGTCTAGGTGGCGCCTGTCTTTCAGTCATCCCAAACATCTCAGTCACCGAAACAACATCATTCGGTGATGTGATTTTTGGCGGTGGAGGTCTTGCAGGTGCAGTAGCTTTTGGTGCAGGTCCAGCCATCCAATCATCTGCTCCAAAGGTCGCCCAATTACTCGTGGAATTCGATTTCATTGACACATTATCAGGGATACTATCAATCCTCGTCGAAGTTCGCCAATCAGCAAAACTACTAGTTGGCGCGACAAATGATGATCCAGCAGTGGAATTTGCTCGAATCTTCGCCGCGTTCTCCTCATCATCTTCATCGTCAAGATAAATTTCAAGAAAACCCAGTGGCACAATTCCAGTTCTTTCACTATCCGGATCTTTGCACATTACCCATTCATCATTCACCATTCGTAGAACTCTTACAGTATCACCAGCTTGCACATCCAATTCATCCGATTGTCGACCTTTAAAAGCGTGTCGAACATTAGCGAAGCCAATTCCATCATTCTCGTTGGCTGTTGCAGTGCTCCGTCTTTTTATCGACTCGGATTCTTCGTCTTCTGGGAGAGCAACAATAATTTGCACGAAAGATGCTGGAAATATTCCAGTTCTTCCTGTATCAACAGTTCCTTCAAGCCATTCTGCATCAATTCTTCGGATTAAAGTGATGATCTCATCAGCTTTGAATGTCAATTCATTCGCAAATTCGCCCCTAAAAACAAAACAAAATTTCTAGGTTTCCGGAGAATAAAAAAAACCCACTGAAAATCATAAATCGCTCTCGCGTACGGCGAAACGCTATAATTCGACGTAGCTGCAGCTGACGGTGGAGGCAAATTCCGAAACTTCACATCAACTTCAGCAAAATCGGTGGTAAATGAGGGAGTCATTCCGAAAGAGGTCGAACTGGGTGTAGAACTCTCAACTTGTCTATCCGATGAATTCGGAAGCTGCACTAAATATCCATCAGGAAGCAGGCCAGGGCCTCCTAATTGTGAGCCATTGTCAGTGACAAGATAACCTTCGAGGTATCCTTCGTGACGTTTTGATGGGGAGGCGACTGAAAATAATAATGATGATTTTGGAAATGAACAATGTGTTATTTTCACGTGAAAACGTGAAAAAATTGAATTTTTTAAATGTAAATTTTAGTATATTTTGATCCGACAAAAAAGGAAGCTAGTAAAAGAATCAGAATTCAAACAAAGACTTACCGAAAAGTGAAAAGGGTCCAAAAGATAAATCATCCGATCTCACAGAAGTATAAGAATCTGTCGAACAATAAATAAACTGTCCTGGTTGTCGAATTGGATCAGCTATGGGCAAAGTGAGAACTTTTGGAACTCTTCCCGAACTTCCTTCAATCGTTTGAATATGATACCAATCACCATCATCGCCCACGATTTTCACCACTTGATCTTGTGCTACTGACGATTTGGTTTGTGGATCCTGGGTGGCGTTTGACACGCGCACCCATTCCAATTTAGACATCAGATCAGTCTGAAACACTATCTTGATTTTTGAGCAATTAATAAATAAACAAAAATAAATAAATAAATAATTTCAAGAAAACACTGGAGAGAAAAGTACAACGCGCAACAGAAAAATATTTAGAAATGGACAAAAAATCGATAAAAGAAAACATGTTGGATGGAGAGAGGGAGAAGGGAAGAAAAAGAGACAAGAGAGAGGCAAATTGAGGGCGCCTTCAGTCATTTTTTCCTATGCGTATTTATTATATTTATAATAATAAATATGGTTTATGAATAAGTGTTAAAGGAAAAAAAAATGAAATCCTAGGAAAAAGTTTAAATTTCGAAATCGAATCAAATAAACAATGACGAACAATTTCATAAACAAATCTCTCGATTTTTGGTTTTTGTTTGCGAGAAAATAAATAAAAATATTTTTCGCAAACCGTAGTTTTTAAAAGGTTCACACAAATAAATAAAAATATCTCGTGTAGATTGGGTACTGTAACACACAGATAAGATGTGTCAAATATTTTTCATAAAATTCGAATTCGAATTTTTTTTCAGTGAAATTCAGTGAAAAAACTTCATTCTCCTAACTTTTTTGAACCTTAGCGCTAGATTCTTCATTCAAAAAATAAATAACTACAAATGTCTAATTATGAAAAAATATAATTAATCCTTTTTCGTTTTCGAAAACACGCTCGACCAAACTTTTTTAATAATTCCCTCTTTCGGTTTCAAGCCCATTTGTTTACGACTCTCCTCGCTGCTTGCTTTTTGCAAAACTTCTAATCGCAATCCGAAAACTCCAGAAGAATAGTTGTGTGGATACTTTTTCAGCACCTCATTATTCAATAATTGATCCAGGGCTGAAAATAAATTTTTAAAGGTTTTTTTTGAGAAAATGATTACCATTCAATCGTTTTTCACAAAGTACATTATCCAGAGCGGGTGTTTGAAATTGTGCCTCAACTTCTTTGCTCAAAAAATTGGCGAAATCTCGTTGCGGCGCTTTATTTGTGTCTTTCGGCCATTTTGAGACCAATCGCAAATATTGTTTGTACAAATGTTTGGAAGTCATCTAAAAAAATAGGGTTTCAAATTTTCGTAAGAATTTTTCAACTACCGAAATGAAAATTTTACAGCTAGATTTTTTGAGAGATATCAAAGGTTTCTGTCAAAGCCTATGTTCAAGTTTTAAAAAATTCCATCGAAAATTCAACAAATTTATATAACAAAACAAAAATAACAAAATATTCAACAAAACATTCCAAATCAAAATCTCAAGAATCTTCATCATCATCACTATCCAAAACCTGTGTCATCTGAAGTTTCGCCTCAATTTCGAGTAATTCCAAATCCTCAAACTTCTTCACTTCCAAACTCTCTAGCTCTTCCTTCAAATCCTCCAAAACCTTATTGATTTTTTCACTTTGAATCCAAACAATATAATCAGTGATGAACAAATCATTCAAAAGATATTTGAATTCGCCAGACGCGATAAAACAGCGATGAATTTCGCAAAGCACATGAAGAATCGCAGATTTTCCCGATCGAAACACGATTTTCAAATCATCCACAACTTTTTGGGAAAGTTGCCAACTTCTATAAAGCGGATAAGTCAAAGCTCTTCGAATTACACCTTTCACAGCTTCTTCTACATTATTCCATTTGACAAAATATGCCAAACTTGGTGATAATTTCGAACAAGTCCATCCAGATTCACAACTTGGTTCATCATCCCATTCATTTACTCTCGCATCATATAAATATGCATAAATTATATCAATAAGCGAATTGGCTATCGAAATATTATCGAGTTTGGAGAAATCGATGATTTTTCGAATTTCTTTTAGTTTTTCTCGATCTTCGTCTGTGATTTCTAATTTTCCACGGAAATCCGAAGTGATGATTTGATTGAGAACATCTTCAGGTTGGATGGTGTCAACTCTGGAATAAAAAAAGATTTTTGGATGTTTGTTTTGTTTTTGTGAACTTTGTTTCGTTTCGAAAAAAAAATTTGACCAAAAAAATTAAAATTTGAAGACAGTACTCAATAAATGCTCAATATATGAAATAATATCAATTTCAGACTGAAATCATGAATTTTGGCTTGAAAAAGAAGGATTTGTAAAACTGGAAAACTTTCCAGATTTACAAATTTTTGACCAAAAAAAAGTTGGTAAAAAAATAGTATAATTTGAAAACAGTAATCAATAAATCCAGTTTTACACGAATGCCTACTTAAAAACCTAATCATTTTCGAAATTTATAAATGATAAAAGAAACATGCGAAAAAATGGTTTTTCATCAAAATTATAAAATTTTGAGGATTTGTCTAACTGTTTCGCCTGAAAAACCACTTGAAAAAGGGTCGAATTTAGAGAATCTCAAGATTTATCCTGTGGAGAATTTAATTGGAATTTTCATGATTTCATTTTTAATTAAAAACAGAAACTTTTCAAGTATGTATGTCTTTCAACTAAAAAAACATTATTTCAAAAATTTCTATTCTTCCTGATTTCACTTGTCCCAAAAATCCTTGCCTCTCAAAAAAAACTCACAAATATCTTCCGGCATCAAATGCTTCCTCATCCAATTGTCCACATTCCCGTGCTCTTTCCCCAATTCCCAAATCTTCCGGATATTCCAAATCAACAACTCTTCCAATTTCATCCCTCAATCTTTCAATTATCCCATATTTCGTCCAGCCAAATCCATAGCCATTTCCTTTTTCCTGAGATTTCTCGATTTCCTCAGTCAAATCTCGAATATTATCTTGTTTTTCTAAATATTCTTCACCATCTCCCTGATCTTCTTCTTCTAGATATTCTCCAATTTCTTCAACAAGATCTCTAGCATGTTTCGGAGTTTCAGGAGCTCTTAAAAGTTCCGAAATCATATCCAAATCCTCAAAATGCTCATTTTTGTGCATTTTCTGTACGTAGATCAAAAATTCGCATTTGTCCGTGTCATACTGTATTTGTTGACCACGCCCACTTCCATATTCGTCAACCATTTGCTTAAAATTCAGTCTTAAAAAATAGGGTTGACATGAGAAAATGAACATTTGCTGGCTATGATCATAGTCCAATTCTTTGAGATTTGCATGTGGAGCGCGGATTCGAATTGTTAATTTTTCGCCATCTTGGGTGATCCAGAAAATTGGAGTGATCATCTGGAAATAGTCAGATTCGGGTTCAATTTTTCAGTTCGAAAATTCGAGATCAAAATTTAAAGAGATTTTCAAAAACAACTCGAAAAATGTTTGCCACGTCATAACTCAAAAATATTCAAGTGTAAATATTCAAAACACTTTTTTTCCTCACAAATTAAAAACAAATACAAAAAATCAATAATTTATTTCGAGCCTAATTCAAGTATCAAATTTTTCCAGCAAATTCTTTGCTCGCTAATTTTCTCCGATTTCAGTCGCGCTGAAATTTCCGACAAATCCCCATTTTCAGCACAAAATCTAGCGAATTCCATCACAAAAACACCACAATCTGCTCCATTTTTCTGCGAAGGACACGGTGTTTCCCGAACTTCTAGGCTGGAATCAGGAAAAAGTTCGATGCAATTTCTGGCGATTTTTCGAGTCCAGATTGAATTTTGATTTGCGGTTGGGGCGGAGTTTAGATGCAGGTATTTTTTCGAAATTTTTGAATAGACTAAAAGTGTCCAATGCGATCCGCCGGCGATTTTTGAGGCGTCCGAATTGTCGTTTAGCATGAAGCAAACCTTAAATTAAATTAAGATTGATTTTATGGTTGAAATAAGATTTTTTAGAATTTTTTGAGATAAAAGCGATTTTAAACTGTTTCAGGATTTATTTCATGAATTTTTGAACAATAAAATAAATTTTTTACATCAATTTTCCCGAGCAAAACCTTTTCCAACTCACTAAATTCTTCCCATCAAAATCAATCGATCCAAAACATTCAGCAACAAATCTCGAATCCGGGGCCATTTTGATCATTTCAACTTCAGGCGGCCCAAAAATATGCACATTTTCATATTTTTCTCCCAAATATTCGGCGCAAAACGATAAAATCCGATCGTTCAGCCAATTTCCCTTCTCCAATAATTTCAAATCTTCCTGGTATAAATTCACACCACCATATGATAAAATCTGTGACATATTCGGATGAATTTCTGAAATTCCGAGCCAAAATTTGTTTGAAAAAAATTTTCACGTCATAACTATATTCAGAAACTGTCAAAATCCAGGAAACATGTTTTTAAATAAAAAGGGACCTCGGTAACCCAAAAAATTATAAAATAAAAAAAAGGCAATTTTTTTAGATTTATGTAAATACATACAATTTTTCATCATTGTCCAACCCATTTTTTGCCAAAAACATCAGATTCTTCGTGTTTTTCGTCGGTTGTCCACGGTTTATCCGATTTTTGATATTTGACAATTGGATAATCGTATGGAAGTTGACAACGATTTGGGTTAGTTATGAGTACACCGATTTCGTAAGAGCGAATGCATAATTGAGTGTTGTTTTTCTGAAAAAAAAATTTAGGTAAGCTATGACTAAATTTGAAAATCTCTAGATTTCCACTAAAAACCCTACAGTTATTTACAAACCTGAAATTCTCCCCACGCAGCTTTCGATAAATTGGCACTTGTTACAACTTGCCATTCAATTTCCCCATCAACCAATTTAACATAACTTTTGCAATGTGGCATCGCTTTACTCCTTTTTGCATTTTCACTTCGCCATTTACAAAACAACGAGCCAAGCCATTCTTGTTTTTTATGTGTTTCATTTCGATAAGGCAAAGAACATCCCGCTTCATAACCTTCACAAGATTCTCGAACATTTTCAACTGTTGGATAAATTAGATATAATCTTGCTGGAGATGTTGATGGTGCTGGAGAAGAACCTTCAAGACTTTTAAGAAATTCCCCGCGGAGCCAAGAAACCGGAAATTTTCCCAAAGAACCAATTGAACTGCATTGTGCAATATAAAGTGGTCTACTATTTTGAGCCGTGGAAGGCTTAGGAATAATTGAAGATTCGATGAGTCTTTTTAATCTGGGATGTCCTAACTTTCCAATATTTTTGTGATATCCTGGAGCTGAGAAGATCAATCGATCCGAGATATTTGAAAAATCCGAACTTCTTATAATCTCTCTCCAAGGATCTAATGATTTCGGATAATAACTCAAATATTCCAGAAGATCTTCTTTGAAAAAATCAGGAGATTCTTCTTTTCTTTCCTTCGAAATCTCTCCACAAGCATGATAAAATTGTTGAGTTTTAAACTCCCAATCACCAGTAATCAAATTAGCCGTAGAAATAATAACATGAATATTTGTGGAATTTTCAAAAATCGATAATTTTGAGTGATGAGTTCCGAATGGAATTGGGAGGGGAGCAGCAATAACATTTACATTTTCATAGGATTTCGCTGATCTTCGAAGACTTCCAGCGTCAGAATCGCCGACGATTAGGGTTATTGGATTTTTGCGCAGTGAGGGAGGGTAGCAGCTGGAAAAATTGAATTTGGGTTGGTTCGCAGCAGAATTTTTTTTTGGAAAGTTCAGATAAAACAGCTTCAAAAATCATCAAATATATTCAAAAAGTATTTTGTAAAATTTGAGTTATGACGTGGCAACTCGTAGGTTCAATTCAAAAATACAAACCTGATAAGCCAATCAAAATCAATCATAAAATTAAAATGCACACTTCTTTCGGGCCTAATAATTTCACAAATATTCTCGAAACTCAGCGCATTTTCAGATGTTACCAAGGGAATCGATATTCCGCCGATCTGGAAAAAAAAAAGATTTTTTGACAGGAACAAATTTTCAGGATGAAATTTTGAGATCAAATTTTAGAGCTTCAAAATTTTATTTTCAATAATAATTGAACGCCTAATTTTGATCAGAGTGAAAACTTTTTTCGCACAAAAATTTCACATGGCAAAATTTCGAAATTAATTTTTTTTCAAAATCTCACCGGTGTGAAATACAATTTCGCTTGCTCCCAGCCTGAAAATTTGCTCTTCTTCTCATTTGTTGAACTGTTTTCCTCTTGAAGAGCTCTTTTCATCCCTAAATCAAATATTTTTTAGACAGCACTAAAATTTTTCAGATAAATTTTGAAGCATTGAAACTTCTAAGAAAAAATTCGCAAGGCAATTTACAAAGAAAAATTCATAACAATAAAAAAACAACAAATTCGAAACTTTTTCCAAATTTCAGCCAATCATATCCCGTTTTCTTCCGCGTAGTCGAATTTCGTCCAACTTTTTACCAACAGCTAAACTTTGTTTTTGAGATGCTTTTGAATATCCTTCGAGAACTCCAATCATAATTTGTTCACTGTTTATATGGGTGCTGGCGATGGCTCTTTCCAAAACGTAGAGATCTACACCTTTTTCTTCCGGTGTTACCTGGAAATTGGGAGATTTTTGGTAAAAATATGCTTTGCAAAAAATTGAATTTCTAATATTTTTTTTTTGGAAAATTTTTAAAAAATTTGAATTCTGAAAAATCCCGTTTTTCCAGCCAAAAACAACTTGAAAAATTAAATTTAAAATCTTTTTTTCAAAATCGCCACATCATAACTTTAAAAAAATCCAACCTTTCCCTGTCCCGACAATCCAAAATCAATAAAAACCAGCAAATTCTCATCAGAATTCCTCAACAAAATATTCGATGTCGTCAAATCGCCGTGCACCAATCCACCCAAATGCAATTTTCCAATCTGTTCACCCAACAAAACACCAAAACCACGAATTATTTCTTGAAATCTGTTATTATCAGCTTCAGCAGAAAATTCACTGCGTTTTGTCTCGATCCATAGTTTTGCCGTCGGTCCATCGATTCTCTCCATAATTATTGAATTTTTCTCACCGTCTATGAAGAAAATGGCGGGTGTTTGAATTCCGAGATCTTTAGCCTTCATAATTCCTCGTAATTCGGCTTTTGTTCTCGCCTTGTTTAATCGGCTATCCAGAATTGGGTGACGATAGGATTTTTGAAATCTGAATGAAACTCCGTGATATTTAGACTAAACCCGTAAACCATTCTTCAAAAACCAACCAACCTCTCCTTAACAATCGCATTCCTCCCCAAATATACACATTCTGTCAATTTCGCCTCTGCTCCCTGCTTCAAACTCGCCAAATCTATCGAATTTGCGAAGCCTGATGCAATGCAATCTGCTCCTTCGTCCATCTCCTCGTCAGATGACATTTTCTGAAATTTTTATTAGATATTTTTGAGTGAAACATAACAAAAACAAGAACAAAGTAAAGCAATAAGAAAAACAAAAAACGGGAAAAATATATAGATGAAAATCAATCCTCCTCTTTTTCTTCTTCTTCGCTATCATCACTTGGTGGAAAATCAACATTTCTCGATTCTTCTCGCTCTTTGTCCATTTTCGCTAAATATTCATTTTGAGCACTTATAACTTCATCAGGAGTATTGCAAGCGGCGTATAATTCGAGAAGTTCGCGATTTAGATCTATGAAGTGTGATCCCCAACTGAACGGCTTCATGAGTTCACTTGCAGCCTCGCGGTAACCTGAAAACGTTTATTTTGAAATTTTTCCAGATCCCCCAATCTCTCACCAAGAATATATAATCCGGCAGCCATCGCTTCTGCACACGTCAAATGACAAGGTTTCCCATAATTTACTGAATTTGCGGCTACAAGATATGGTAATAATCGATGTTCTGGTGCTTTTACACGATGAAGTGGTGTTCTTTCAACTTCTTTCCATGAACAATCAACAACACATAAACCATTTTGTGCAACGAATTCGCGATCTCTTGGAGCTAGTGTGTATTTTCCAGTTGGGCTTAATACCAACCCTGGAAATCTTTGTCCAAGTTTAACTTCATTGATTAATTTTGCGCGAAGAAGTTTACGCCCGGAACATCTTTTTGGATCGCATTGATTGAAATCATACATCGCTAATCTGAATGGGAATTCGAATTCCTCTTCTTCCTCATCTTCTTCTCCGGTGTCCTCATCAATTTCCTCTTCTTCATCATCAACTTCTTCCTCGTCATCTACTTCCTCTTCAACATTTCTTTCCGTTGGTGGTTTATCTCTTCTACACGGCTTCACCACTCGATTCTTGCCCTTTCCCATTGAAACTCGAAAATAACACAAAAACGGGTTGAAAAAATTCCCAAAAAATAAATGTAAAACTACAAGACTCCGCGTGCCTGTTGTTTATCGTAAATCGACACATATCTTCCCTATAAAAAAACGCTCAAAAAAAAATGAATCTTCGCTGTCCGCAATGAACACCATGACGCAAACTTGCACACATTTTTTTTGGGCAGCTTGCCAATTTTTCTCAACAGAGCGTAGATTAAAGGGAGGACGAATTGTTCGTTTGGGTCTCGTCGCGATGTGACGCGCTGCTCAAATGTTTTTCATTTTCTCTTTTTTTTCGTTTTTTCCCTTTTTCTCCGAGGTTGCGATCTGGAGGCTGCCGTTCAACTCAGCTTCAGAACAGCATGAGCAAGAATTGGAAGAGCTCGAAGCAATTCATACAGAAGGGGAATTCTGAATCGATAACAATTGATGGAATTGATGAGAAATTTGAGGTTACTCGGATTTTCGAGGCAATTGAGAAAATGAAAGCGGTTGCTGAAGAGAATTTGTGTATGGTTATGGTATTTGCGATAGTTTCAGCAATGCAAGAAGAAATTGAGGAATTATAAATGTGAAAAGGCGGAGATTGCTCGAAATCGAGCAAAAAGTAGGGAAATGTTGTGACGCCGAAGAGTTTACGCGCTTGGAAGGAGAAATTCGATGCGGAGCGGAAGGCGGCAAATGAGAGTGCGGAGAAGGAGCGATTGGCTGCGTTGGATGGCAGGTTGACGGACGGGAAGAAAATTGTTCTTGAAGGGTGCCACTTTGAGTTTGTCGGATATGACGTTGATTGGAGCACAGGATGAGGTCGAAATTGATGAGTCACTTTTTGATAGAGAGGTGAGTAACTTTTCTGGGAGAGTGGAGGGGAGGGGGTGGCACAAGGGTAAAAAGAGAACCTTTCCAAGGTAAAACCATATTTCGAATTTGCAAATTCACGAATCGCATCCTTACAAATTATTCATAAAATTTCGCGCTCACGCGGATAACTTGCATGTTTCCATATTAACATCCCAAATTATTTAGATGCCAACTCAATCGCCTCCATTTTCGACTGGACCATGCAATATATTGGTAATTTTAACTTTATGTTGTTTTTTTTGTCAATAAATATTATAAAAATAAGATGAATTCCTTCATAATGTGGTTCCTCAGCAATCCGGATCCCCGAAATTTCTCTTTCCGCATTGCCAAGAAAAAAATGAATATAATTTTTCAACGGAGTGATTCTACAGAATCTGGTTGGAAAATTGGAAAGCTGACAAAAATATTTATGTGCACGATTGCATTACGGTCTGTGCAGCTTTTGCGCTTTTTTTGATTTTTAAATTGAAGAATATTTCTCGAGCTAATTTGAGTTCCCGGGCGAGTAAGCTTTCTAAAAAGACCTTTCGGTCCAGTCTTTGTCTAAAAAACATTTCTAATGAGGTCTCAAGGCTTGGGCTTTGTCTTAAAACGACATGACCCAATCTTTCTAATCAATAAAAAATTGATCTGTTCACTAAATGAGCAGATGATAAGGTGGTGATTGAACAAGTTTAGGCATAGCGCCCTGGGTCCACTAGTAAAATTCAAAATTATTTTTCCGTTTTTAATTTTTTCTACACGTCTATCGATGCACTGGCATTCCTCTGACTGGCGAACTGGCGAACTGGCATTGTTAAGAGGTGAGAATTCAGAAATGGGTAGTAAAATTTTAAGGGTTTTCCAAGGTCACGCGGAAATCCAAATTTTATTGAGAAAAACATTTCCATGACGTGGCAACATTTTCAAAAAAAAAAAAAATTATAAATACCTCTCATTTTTGTCAGCCTACCCAGATTTCATAGTTGCGAAAAAAAATTTTTTTTTGAAAATTTGAAATATAGTTTTCAGCGAAAAAGAACCATTTATTCAATAAAAAACTCGTAAAAATTAATCACAATATGCCACGAATGGTTAAAAGTAGATTTTCGATGCCACGTCGAGACAAGGACCTGGAAGAAGTATGTTTTTTTTAGAGGGAGAAGGTTTCAGACGAAAATCAATAAAATCACCACTGACAAGGAAAAATCAAGTATTCAATAAATGAATCATCGAAAAGCTTCAACAGTGGTTGCTCTCCGTCTTCGTTCTGGTGTCACATCCAATTGCATCTTAAAATCAACCGACATTCTACGTTTAGTTCCGCGGACAAGCGAAGAACCATTGAGAGGAATACGAACACCACTGAAAGCATAGAGAAGAAGAAGTTTGAAAAATCATGCAAAAAATCAATAATTCTCGACTTACCACAAGTCCTCCTTCTCAATTATCGACATTTTTGGATGTGCATGAATTCTGGTACTCGATGTAAATTGATTGAAATCATCATCGGAAGCCAGAAATCGCCATCCAAGAAGTCGTCGCAAGCTAACACGAAACTTTCGCGACATAAACATATAGACAGCAAACGAAATGGGATGAAGTGTGATGACTGTGATATTCGCGAAAACTCGCAAATACACATTATTTATTATGTCAATTGCAACTTGTGGAACTGTTGTGACATCCATAATTTTGACAAGTAAAATGAGAAGTGTTGATGGGGCACGAGCAAGCATGTAAATCACAATTATCACAGTTAGCATAATTGTTGTGTGCGTTGTTGTTCGACGATTTTTGTGTCGATGAACTCTGAAAAATTTTCAATTATTCATGGGAAGGTTGGAAAATTCTAGGAATAGTTTAGGAACTTTATGTTCTAGGAGAAAACTTTCCCAAAAAAAACGAACCCCTGTTTCACTGAATCATGTGTCCTTATAGTTTGTATCAACAAAATCGTCACAACAAAGAGCAAGCCACTCGATATCACAGCCATTCCAATTCTAAACCAATCAAAAATCGCCAGTGTTTCTTCAGCTCCCATTGCCAAAGTCAACGATGAATATCCAACAAAACATCTTGAAATCCATTCATGTTTTCCGTCATACATAATACAAAAATGAAAAATGATACGAATATCATAAACTGCATGAACTGCGGTTAGAAAACCGGCTGTCAATAAAATCAGCTTCGAATATCGCCTAACTTTTCTTGGTGTACACCAACGAATTGATTGAAGTGGATATTGGACAGCGACGAATCTTTGAACACCTGGAAAAAGGTAAAATTTGAATAGACTTATAATCAGGCTTTTTGGGATCTATGCCTAGTCCAATTCTGAAACTCACCTAAGAAAATTGTGAATAAAGTGACCAATTGATTGAAGAAAAATGGAAGTAATTCCATACAGACTTTTTGAAGATAACACATGAAAAGTGTGTGATTTTTGTCGGCATAATGATTCAGATTGTAGTAATAAATTGTGAATGGAAGAGGTGAGATTGCCATGAGCAATGAGCTGAGAGCCATTAATAAAAGCGGCTCAACACTTGCTCGTTTCTGAAAAAAGTGAATTGTTTCTTTTTTTGATTTGGAGCAATTTAGGCTAAAACTTGAAGCATTTTCCCTAAAATTTTAGTTCAAAAATCTACCTTTTAATCTGACCCGAAAATTCCAACCTCACATTTTTTGAAAATGAACAAAATTATTTATGTTTTCATTTCACAAAAAAGTGACGTGATATTTTCTCGAAAAATCACACTTTTTTTTACGAAAAGCGGAAATCTGAATCAAGATATTTTTGATTTTTGAAAAATAGAAAAAAGGGATGAAATTTTCTGAACTCGGAGTCTGGAAATTCCCAGATCTTTTTCCCCAAATAAGGATCTAACTATGACTAAATTCAAAAAATAAAATAAAATTCCTCAAGCTGCTCGAAAAACCCACCGTTTTCTGTTGACTCAAAACCAAAACCACAATACTATTAGTTACAACAACTCCAACAGCTAACAACGGTAAAATGACTCCATAAATAATCTGCATTTTGTATTCATTATCCTGATCCTCAAATTGTAAAATTTCTGCATGAACACAACTATTTGTGAATCCATCAAAAATGCCTTTATCTGTACAATTCACCAGATTTGTGCCATAAACCTGTTTCGGATCGCACTTTTCTTCCATCTTTCTTTTTTTTTGTTGGAAGTTTTAGTTGAGCATTTGCAGGATCTGAAAAAAATATACAGAAATAATTCAGAACTTCAGGACTTGTTGAAAATTCAGAAAAAAATCGAAAATTAGTTTGAATTAAAAGTAGTAGTATTTTTCAGTTTAAAACTTCCAGGAACTAAAAATAGATAAAAGTTTGAACAAAATGGAAACTTTGAAAGCATCTGGGTCTCGAAGAAAAAATGCATGTTTTTGGGTGAAAAAAAGTTCTCGCGCTAATTTCTTTATATATTTTTTAGGCATGAGGAAAAACAAAAATATTTTTGATTTTGGCGGAGGAAAATATGATATACGAAATACAGTGCAGAGTTGTGAAATAAATCGTGGGAAAAATAATCGAGAGATGTCTGGAAAAATAGGACACCATTTTCTTTAGGTCAAGAAAAAATATTTTTTAATTTTCTAGAGCTAAAATAATGTGCTCATAGGAAAAAGGTACAAAATCAAAATGATGTGGGATTTTTTGAGCTTGGAAAATTTTAAGCTACAATTCTTGATCTGTATAAATTTTTTTGTTGCAATAAATAAGCCTTCTGAAAATTTGAAATAACTGCTCAAAATTCATGCAAATTTTCGAGACAAATTTAAATTTTAGCATTTTTTTGCAGCCAGTTCTCAAAGTGTAGGCATTTTTTGAAGTTGCCAGATGTTTATAATTTCAAAAAGCTCATAATTTGTTAGAACAAACATGTGAATTCGAAATTTCAAAATTCTGGGAATTTTTTATTGAAATTCCTAGAGATCCAGACATTATTTGAAGTTTTGTTCCTGAATTTATCTTATTATGAAATTTAAATCAATCAAAAAATTTATAATTAACCTTGACAGCAAACTTTGAGAACTAGTAATCTCCAATTTTCTAATACTCTATAAAAGTAATAAAAAACAATATCTGTCCGAAAACCCCAAGCAAAACTTTTTGATTTATCTTATTTTTGATCAAATTTCAGCGGGCCTAATTTAATCAAAAATTATTAGTCAGAAAATTGACCAAAAAATAAATTTAGAATAAGCTTTCAGAACTATAGCTTCTGGGGGCAGGTATTAGACTCAGCCTTCTAGGTTCAAGCTTTCAAGTCTAAGATTCTACATCTAGGCTTCCAGCCCAAAATTTCCAGAAAAAAACATTTTCTGAATATGACAAGAATTTAGTTAGTTTTTTCTAGTCTCTAAAATTTCGTCACTTTTTCAGCTCGAAAAAAAAAACAGGGAACTCTTTTCGTTTTTTTTTCTTCTTCTTCTCCCTTGTCGATCAAATTAGACTAATTATCGCTCATCAGCTTCTCTTCTCCTTTTTGTGCTGCAAAAAACCGAGCGAAGAAAAAAGTAAACAAGATGTAAGAAAACCGAAAGATGAGTAATGTTTTTGGATGAAAAATTCGGATTTTCTTTTTGAGAAGAAGAAGAAAAGTTTCTGAAAAAATATAATAAAAACTTGTGTTTTTTCTATGAATTTTAAATTTTCTATGTGTTTTTTCTAGAGATCAGTGATCTGGAATTCTAGGTTTTATGGACAACAATTTTCCAAATTTTCAGTTTAAAAAAATAGAAAAAATGCCTAGGCATCAAAGAAACCCTGAAAAATTATGAATTTCAAATTTTCTTTTCGAAAATTTGCATGAAAGCTTTTGTTCAATGATCGAAGAGAAGCCTCACAAAAATTAGATCAAAAATTGGAACTCGAAAAATTTTAAGGGCTCTAACGAAGCTTTCGAAATTTTAAGCTTTCGAAATTTTCCAAAAAAAACGAAGGAAAAACTAATTTTTTTCTCAAAAAAGTTATGAGCTCACGAAAAAGAGGATCCAAAATCTAATCCTTGACATTTTTCAAATCAAAACACACATAAGTTTTCTGAAATAACAAATTATTTCCTTATTTTGTTAGAAAAAAACACATAAGCACTTTTTGTGTTTTTGGACACTGGCAAAAATAGGAGATTTTTACGATGAGCGGAAATTCGAATCAAGTCATTTTTGATTTTTGAAGAAAAAACATTATGTCACAATAATTGAGAAACTAGAAAACCTGATTTCAGAATTTAAGCTCACATTAGCTCTAAAAGTTAGCTTAACTCAGAAAATGGACCTCACAAATTTAAAATATGATGTCAGATAGAAATTTAACCTTAAAATTTTGAGATTTCTAGGTTGTAAGACTTAGCTAAAACTCTAGGTTCAGAGTTACTCTATACTAAAATTTTTCTCTGGAAGTACTTATAACTTCCGCGCGCAAGCGCGAAAAAAAAGTTCTGAAAAAACACTCACAAAATTTACACACACACACTGAAAATAACCTAATTTTCTCCTGGCCTTTTTTTTGCCTCTGACAAGAAAAAAGTTAATCAGAAACTGAGAAAACTCGGGGTGCGCGAAAAAAAACGAAAAAATTTTTTTCGGAAAATTCTTGAAAAAAAGCTTAAAAATTCGTGGCACGCAAATATTTCGCGGAGATTTTTTCGGGAAAAAAGGAAGTTGGGCAACGAAAGAATCATCGCAAAAATCCGAAAAAAAAGTGAGAGAACTTTTCGACCGGAAATATCTTGTTAATTATGAAATGATGGATTTTTGGGGAAATTCCTGGAAATTTTTGGATGATTTTCGATAAAGCGCCGCTAGAAAAATGATCATTCGAGTTTTATTCTTTAACGACGCGAAAATTTCAATTTCAAAATTTTTAACCCGGAAATTTTTCTTAAAAACCCAGAGCCAGACAAGAAATGACGAACTTTTCAGGCATTTTTAATCTAAAATTTTTTGATCGAGTAATGAAAAAATCCTAGCCTAGACTTCAAAGCACAAACAAATAAGCACTAAAACCACAGTATTCCTCGATTCAAGGAACAAAAGTTCAAGAAACTGAATAATATTGTCTATATTGAAGAAAAAATAGGATTACTGTAGTTTGAAATTTTTGGAGAGGTAAAAAATTATGGAAGTTAAAGGTAAGTTAGAGGTACGGATATTTTTGAATAAAATTTCTACAGTACACCTCAGCTTGACGGAACATGGTGGCTTTTTTTTTCAAATTATGACAAAACATTTATCTGGATAATATTTCAAGTTTTTGAAAATGAGAATTGCAATTTTCGCGGTAGAATCTACAGTACTCTCTGGACCAAACTACAACCTTCAAACTATACTCTAGTCTGAAAAAGAAAATAGTTTGCTCCATTCTCGAGCAAAAATATTTGTCTCTGTTTTTTTGCTCCTCGAACACAATAATAATAAAAAAAACTTGGTTTTTCTGCTGCTAATTAAAAAAAGATCGCGAAAAAAGAAAATTTCGAAAAAAAAATGCTCGAAATTTTTTTTGGAGCTGATGATCATGCAAAAAATTGAATAATTCATCCGAACATTTTTTCCGAGCAGATTTTTTCGGAGAAAAAGTGATGATGATGCTAAATTTTTTCTTTAGGAATTTTTCTTGAGCCAAAAAAATGGGGAACTTTTGGAGAAGTGGCTAACAAAGTTTGTGGTCAGGAAAATTGGAAAAAAGGTGCATTTTTCGGTCGAAAAAAGTTGGCTAAAAATAATTATTCCAGAGGAACTTCGAAGTCTTGCCACGTGGCTTTTTCCAGCCAAAATATTGAAAATTCTCTAAAAAATGAGTAGATCCTGACAGGAAAATTGGAGCATTTTTTGTCAAAAAAAAGTTGGCCAAAAATAATTATCCTAGCTCTATTTCCAGCCGAAAAAAAGCTGAAAGTGCTCCAAAAAGTGGGCGGAGTCTGACATTTTCAGGGCGCAAGCAGACCGTGACTTTTTGTGTGCGCAAAAAAGAGCACAAATTCATTGGAAACAGAAAACAAATAAAACTGGCCCGGAACATTTTGGGGAGTAAAATTATGAAATCATGCCTTGGGCACCCGACAAAAATAGAAAAAATGATAACATGAACAAAAAATGTGAATATTCAAGAAAAATGTGGGAAAAATTGGGGATTTCTGTTAACAATACGATAATAATCCTTGAATTTTGTTGAGGAAAACTTCCATTTTTGCGCGGAATTGAATTCTGAAAAAGAAAAAATTGAGGGGTGAAAAAGGTGAAAGATAACTTTTTGAATAATTTATTTGAAAAATAGAAAAATGTATATTAATTAATTAATTATGATAAAAATGATAGTAGGTCACGTTTTTTGCAGAAAAAATTGGGAAATGAGCTTTGAGAGTTTAAAAAATATCAAAGAAAACATCTGATTGGAAGCAAATTTCAGGCCTATTTTTCATAATTCAAATTCTCCACAGCAAAAATTCCAGATTGTCAAAATAAAAATCCCAATCTCCTGCTAAAAAAACTGAAAAAATATGTTAAGCTACTTTTTAAGCAGCTAAAAATTTTCCACAGAAAAAGTGATTTCTGAACAACAACAAAATCATAGTTCAGTTTTTTTTTCTTGAAAAGCCTCTACAGTACACCCAAAAGAACCGGGAAATTAATTTTTGTTCGAAAAACAAAACAAAACTATAAAAGAAAACCAGGGGTTTTCGGCCAAAACTTTTAATAACCTATAAAAATGAGAAATTTCTTGTTTATCTTGAAATGAACAAATTAAGATCAAGAATCGAGTTTTCCGGGTTGGAAGGGATTTTTCAAAAAAATTAGTTAAAAATTTTGATTTTCAAATAAAAACCCTACCTTCCCCGTCGAAATCCAGGAATTGGCGGCTCTTTCATCAAATCTGTAAAAGCTTCTTGCAAAACTTGTTTCGCCGCTTCATTTGATTTTTTGGACAATAAATCACCAACATATTCATCAAAGAATCCCTGGGAAAATTTACGATTACAAAAATCAATTCCGATTTTTCAAACTCACTTTTTCAAACGCAATAATCGAATAGAGCGCAGCACAAGCTTCACTATAAATACTAGTTTCACAAGTGTTTTCCAAACAAGTCTCAAAAACGGTCTGAAAGAAAAAATGATTTGAATTTGACTAATTAGCTAATTATCCTAATTACCGGTAGCATCGCTCTGAATTGTTGTGCCAAATTTACAGTACATCTAGGCTTATTTTTCTCGCCGCCAAAATGAAAAACAATTTCGGTGAGTGATTCCAAAGATGTCGATGTGATTTCCAAGCCAAATTGTCCCGTCATTCCGAGCTAAAAAATATTTCAGATTTTCGGTTTCAAAGTTTAATTTGTCAAAGATCAATTTATTATTATCTAGTTAGGTTTACCGGAAATGCTTGCGGAAATTGGAGTTTTTTGGTTCGTGTTTGGTTTTCGAACATTAACAATATCCGGCATATTTTTGGGAGTAGAGGGAGTTCGGAAAAAAAGAAAACATGATGTTTTTGAGGAGAAGATGGGAGTGATTTAATAAAAACGTTTTCAGTTAATTTTTCCCCAAAACCCGTCCTAAAATCAATCACTCACCTTCATACATTCACACAACGACGACATCAAAACATCCGAAACCTCGGTCAAAGCTTCAGGCGAATATTCGACTAAATATAAAATGAGTCGGAAAAATTTGATAGCCACTTCAGGCATTTGCAACATTTTCTCATTCATAATCGTCAACAACATTTCAAGTGATGCAATCACAACTTTGGCGCCAGTCGAGCAATTCGCATCTCCGAGTGCCAAGAAATCTTTGGATAAAATATTGGACAAAATCTCGATGAAAAGCACCAAATCAGATGCTTTGTCTTCATCATCAATTTGCATTCCACTGAATCGTTTCATTTGATCAGCTCGATAACAATCGATTATTTGCAAAAGTGTGGCATAAAGTCGATTTGATTCTTCTTCATTATCAATATAAATTGACACTTTTGTAGTTACATCAAATAAGAGTTGGAGAATTGATGAGACAACTATTTCATTGTGTGATCGAGTTCGCATAAGTGGAACACATTGACATATTATATTATAGAGGAAGTCTGAAAAAATAGTTTGTCTACTGATAATAAATTGGCCAAACTCACTAAACAAAACAGCTGCTGAATGACTTTGACTTCCCATTGCAACACCATCGAAACATTGAAGATAATCAACAATTTGTGAATCAATAGCTGTGGAGGATTCAAGTTGACAAGCTGCCATAAATTGATCGGATAATGGAACAAGAATCTGAAAATTTTGGTGGATTAGGGGTGTTTCAAAATGAGAGCAACATTTTTTAATTCTAATTTTTTTTGAAAATTGATTTGAGCTCCAAAATTCCAGATTTTAAATTTTTGAGTAAAAATTCTGATATTTTTTTTTGAAAAGAAAAAATCTGAGAGTTACCATTTTAAACATATTCTCTTGTAAATCCAAATCATTCGCCGCAGCTCCGATCAAAACCAACGCTTTCATCAAATTCGCTCGATTCGGCAGTTTCGAAATATCCAAACTCTTCAAATATTCGAATAATTCGGGCGAAGTTGCAATTGCAGCAGCTCGTGATTCAACCAATCCCAATAAACAATCAATTGCATCTTGACAAAGTCTCTCTTCTCCGCCATAATTCAACAAAACCGATAGAACTTTGTTCACAACAAATCGGACAAGAATCTTCGAAAATTCCTCGTCATCCGGGATGAGTGGTAGACCATTTTCAGGTAATCCCTGATAACAGTTCCATTTCTTGAAAAAATTAGGGTGAAAACACACAACACAGGTTAGAAGGTAAAGGAAAGTGTGTAACTTTCAAATTTTGAGAATGTTTGGCTCAAAAAACCACGTGGCGAAATTTCAGAATTCATAATTTCGCGTCAAAAACTTTGAAATTCAAATAACTTTTCAAAAAATCCACTTGAATTCTATCCAATAGAAAAATCCACGTGGCAATATTCACGGGATTCTCAGAAGTTCTAAATACTCTACAAAATTCCCACACTTTCATACCAGATTTCAAGGCTAATTCAGAATTCAAGATGCTCACCTCATATTCTGTCACACTACTGGCCGCATTCAAAAATCGTTTGAGTGCAAAAAATGTGGATCTTGCCAATTCTGGAGAAGTCATTTCTCGTGAAACGGGATTCGTTGAAATTTCGTGTTCGATAGCTGACCAGGCTAGAAGTTCACCCAAAAGTTGGATGAATGGATCGATTTCTTGCGAGAATTGTGCACGATCGGAGGTGGGATTTTCCATGCAAATTTGGAGAAATTGCATTTTCTTTTGCGGACTGCAAAATGAATGAGGTTAGGCATTTTGTGAAAAAGGTTCAACTCACCAAAAACTCCTGCCTTCTTGAAAAAGATGATGTGTATTATCATAAACATCTCCCGCCACATGACATGCTCCATCAACTTCTTCACCAACCACCGAATTCGCCAATATCAACATCAACCAGTGTTGATCTTCTTGCCAACTTGGCAATCGAGAAGAATCCGAGGCTCCTGTCGCCATTTGTGTAAATTCATTTAATGATTTTCGCAAATTGATTGTCATCATTTCAAGATATTCAGGAATACTGTAGCAAATCATTGAGGATAGCGGAGTGAATAAATCATTGAACAGCTGAAAAAATAAAGCGTTTTAAGGGACAAAAAAAACTTGAATCTCACAATTCGATCTTCCGTTTCATCGCCTTCATCTTCATCCAAAGAATTCGGTCGATTTCCTTGTGGCGATGCCAAAACATTGACCATAAATGCATTAATAATCATTAGAGTTGGCCATTTGATAAGCTCATTGTCTGAAAATTATTTGAACATTTTTTGAGAAAATCTGGGGAAATTTTGAATTGGAACCGGTTTTTTACCAATTAAATCGGCTTCTTCTTGATTCTCGAACGATGTTCTCCATCTTCCACGTAGCAAAACAACAAGAGCATCGTAGAGTAGAACAAGTGAGGCATGATCATCGTGTTCAGCTTGTCCCTAAAATTTTGGATCGTAGACATTTCTTGGGAGACAAATATTCGGAAATGATAGAAAAAATGACAATTTTTTCAAATGAAAAACATTTTGAGAAAGGTCACGTGTGAAATATCAAGGAATAAATTATTTTCAACTTTTTTCGGGTTCTTCGCAATTTTTAAATGTTTTTTTTCATATTTTTCTCGCTCAATTTTCCAACACAAAAAAATTCGCTCACAATCGCTTTTTGCATTGCCTGTCCAGTGAGATGAATCGTATAATCCTTCAAAAACCCGAAAAATCGATTTCTCAATTCTGCTTCCTGTTTCATGATTGAAACAAGTGGTCGATAAAGGAATAATCGATTGATGATCATGCAAAAATGATTGGTTTCGGTTGGAGATGGACCTGAAATTGATTTTAGAAATTTGAAAATTGGGGATAAACAATCTGCTGAAAGAAACTCCGGTGTGCTGAGAATACAGCTCGAATTTGGATTAAAACCAACTATTCTGAGAAACTTAGTAGCTTTTTCTTGATCTAGGAAATTGTCAGTCAAGTTTTTGAAATAGGCTTTTTGGGTTAATTTTTTCCAGCTACACAAATCAATAAATACCTTGCTGAAACAATTCCAACAAATTCGACAGATACATCGAAACATATTTGATACATTTTTGTTGATCCGAAACCGGCATACAATCTCCAGTCAACGAAGCCAATTGAATCAAACAATTCATACTTTTTGTACACAATTCCTCATTATGTCTAATTTTTGCGTGCAATTTGAAGAACAACGTGAAAAACTCATCATTATCCAGCAAATCTTGCCACGTTGCAGGTGGGCGGAACGAGTTCGACGACTGTAAAAAAACGTTTTTTAAATTGATCTTTTTGTCACCTTTTAATTATGGGTTTTTGATCCGCTCGCTGGAGATAATCCTCACACAAAAAATCGCAACTAAAATCTATACTCTATTTGTTCAGTATCACAAAAAATGCGACACCTTTTTTCAGGTTATTTTGGTTCTAACTATTTTTGTCGCTGTGATCAATTCACAATATCCACTTACTTATGGATGTGTGGCACAAGTTTTGGCATATTCGCCAATGAATAAATTGTATAATGTGAGTTTGGGATAATTTTTTGAGTAAATTAGTTTTTGAATTTTTTCAATGACTTCTAGAGAACAATTTTCTCAAAACTCTGATCACAAAATTCTGGAATTCCTCCTTCTTGACATCAAAAAGACATTCCCTATCATAAATAACTAATTCTATTTTTCACAGTTCGTCAACAATTTGAACAACAAAGATACAACTTTAGCTCAACGAAAAACTCGAGCAAATAGCTGGGTTCCGAATAATATGGTAACTAGATTTTTGTTTGGAATTTGTTTCGTCTAATTTTCTATTCCTAGGGTACCCACTTATTCTCGGCTTTGGACATTTATTCATCAAAATCCACGGCTTTAGCAGCAATTATCAGTTTATTGGATCATCGAAACACCGTGGGACTTTTCTGGGACGATCTTTTCCCAGGAATTCAAACAGTCTTCAATAAATCGGTGGCTAACCAGGTTTGTTCGAAAATTTATGGACTGAAATTGAAGTTGAGCTTAGTTAAACTGCATTTTTTCAGTACAAAGCCATGTGGGCAAAAACCGATAAGGTTTATGACAACGCATTTTTCGATGCTTTGAATGAATGGTATGCTTACTGTCATTATCATGTAAGTTTTTTTGAGATATGACGTGATAAACTTGGACTTTTGCCACGTCATAATTTTGGTTCAGGAGAATAAATTTAGTAAGCTCGCAAGTATTTTTGAAAATTGGAAAACACAATTTTTCTCAAAACTTCTGAAGTTACTAATTCAGAAAACTTGCTACGTCATAACTACTTTTAAAATTTGCAGAGTCCTTCCGGTAAACGAACCGCACTCTACAATGCAATTCAAAAAGTGACCACAAAATATGTGAATGACACAAGCCTGAATTACGATCCAATGGGAACATCCTACACACTCAGATTTTTCCTAATGATGTTGCTTGGAATGTGGTAGACCTTTTTTGCAGCTCTAACTAAACATTTAAATAAACCCACCTGATTGTTCACCAAAAACCTTCGATAAAGTCTTGAGGAAAAATTCCAGGAGAGAATATTTTCAGAGACTTCCAAAAATCGATCACATAATCTGCGGGTGAAATCATTTTCGACAATGTTTTCCTGATTGCTCAGGGCATATAAAGTGGTGAGAGACATTTCTAGAAGACGGCGAAGCCCATTATTTTCAAATTGATTTTTGGCTTGGAGATGGAAATCCCAGGTGATTGAGAATTTCGAATTTCGCCAGGCTGATGAGAATTGTTCGATGAGAGCGCTGATAAATAAACAGCCAGCGGCTTGCTGAAAACAAAGATTTTTTAGGAAAAAAAATGTGAAATAGAATTTGGGCTTAAATTTTGAAAATAAAATTTATAACGTCAAAATATCTATAAATACTCACCAAACTAGCCGATTCATTTGTCAAAAGTCGATGAATAAATTGATAAAGTTCCTCCTGATCTCCGGATTTTCCATCCAAAATTCCGCGTTTGATAATCATTGCAGCTGATTTGAGAAATGCGCTAACAACAAATGGTTCAATTCCAGGCTTTGTAGCTACATATTCCAACATTGTTTTATATGCCATTTCAACATCAGATTGCTGAATAAGTGACCAATCTCTGAGAATGATTTCTCCAATTGTTTGACCGATTTGAAAAAGAACGAAGGCATTTTGTGATTGTTCTGAAAATTTTTTGGAATATTATTGAAGTTTGGGGATTTAAAAATGATAATTTTTCAGAAATTGACATAAGTTTCAACTTTTGAATCTAAAAAATAGGATTTTTTTTGAACTTTCTGTGAAAATATCCAAATTCAACAAGAAATTGAGACTTTTAGCTGGATTTTCGACTGTATCGAAAAATTCTGATTTTTCAAATTTTAAGATGAAAACTTACGAAGTAACATGAGACAATCACTAATCGAAATACTTTTCCTCAATTCTTCAAAAAGTGAATCCGCCTGTTTTCTTTCATTTTCATTGACCAGATTAGGCGGCGCCTAAAATCAATCGGATAAAATTAAATCGGTTTTTTTCAAAAATCAAATTACCAGTAAAGTTTCTGCTGCCCGTTCTATTGTACTGAGATCCATCTGAAAATCTAGTCTTTTTTTATGAAAAAAAAAGACAAAAATTAGTTTTTTGAACACAGAAATAACATGTTAGACAGGTAAACTTACTATTCGCAAAATGAATAAATAAACAAATCAGTTCCGGGGCAAAAATGATTGCAAATAAAATTTATTCGTCACTAATTACTCAAATGTATCACTATAACAACATTTTTCGGGTCATTCGAGAGGAATGACCAAAAAGAGAGGCGAAACTAGACAAAAAAAGAATGAAAAATTTAAAATAAAAAGGGAGTTTGGTGGGAAGCGATACTTTGAACAACGAGATGGTGAATAGTTTTCTATAGATGTTCCTTGCTTAAACGCATGCAGCTCCAGAGATAATTTCGATCAATTCGCGGGTAATCACAGCTTGACGAGTTCTGTTGAACGCCAATGTCAATTTTCCAATCATTTCTCCTGCAATTATAGATTTTTGTTGGCGGATTATAATTTTTAATCTCATCTCTTATTTTCGAAAATGAAAAATTCATGTTTTAAAATTAACAAATATTTGTGAATTTCAATAACGTAAGAAATAAAAATAGCCCAATTTATATTTCTTTACAATTGATCTACTTTTTTTGTTTCCCACGTGTTTTAAATTCAATAATATTTTTCATTTTCAAAAATAAATAGCTCACCGGCATTCTTCGATGCTCCGTCCATAGCAGTCATTCTTGAACTTTGTTCAGAAGTGGCTGATTCTTTCATTGCATAATAGATAAGTTGAGCCAAAGAGTATTCAGTGTATGATTGCAAAACATCATCATCAACTGAATCGTAGGTGTTGAGGGCTTCCTTGGTCTTGATGGCTTCAAGTGGGAGAACATTGATCTTTGATGTTTCGTATGAAACAACAGTCTTGAACTTGTTGAAAATGATGGTTCCCTTTTCGAAATCGAAACCTGCATCGAGGACGGCCTTGGCGGCAATTGAGGCATCACCGAAGGTTGGTGGTGCACGTCCGATTTCGTTTCCGGTGAGGAAGATGCTTTGACCTAAGAAAATGAGTGTTCTAATTAAATACATGCTTCATTCAAAGTTTAATACCGTAAAGTCTGCTGAGTCCAGCTCTGGCCTTGTCTCCGATAGCGAAAACGCGGATATCTTTACCCTCGGCGTTGTTAAGGATGTTCTTGGTCTCCTGAAAACATGTGTTATTAATAAAAATAACCAATTTTAATGTTGATTAATTTAATACCTTAACAATTGAAGAGTGGACACCTCCACAAAGCCCTCTGTCAGATGTGATGAGAATAAGAACTTGCTTCTTTGGTTCTTCAGCAGTGACTCCCTCGACAGCTGGGTCGATGTTGTCGAAGAAAGCCTTGGCTCCAACTCCGTAAGCGCGAGCTCCCTGAATAAAATTCAATTTGAATTTGAATGCGATTTATGCATCCTACCTTCAAGTCACGTTCAGCCTTGGCGTATTTGGCGGCGGCAACCATTTTCATGGATTTGGTGATTTTTTGGATGTTCTTGACCGACTTAAGACGGATGGAAATGTCCTGAAAAATTGATTCAAGAGTTGCGTCATACATTTAAAAGTAACTCACTTTTAAGGTAGCGAAACCACGTTGTTGTTCAGCATTGACAAAGCTAGTAGCAACAAGTTGCAAAGTACCCGAGCCTTGGCGAAGCATGACGACCCTGAATAAAAAACCAAGTTTAAAAACCCCCAAAATTAAACATTTTTGATTAAAATTCAATATAAAACGAATTTCCAAGAGCAAAATAACCTCCTTTTTCATCCAGTAATAAAGTAAAAAAACAAAAAACTTTTAAAAACTGCAATTTCAGCGACTTTTTGTTGCAAAACTGACAGAAATGACAACCGCCCGGAGAAAATAAATACACATTCGACCGAGTGCTACCGTAATGTGTGTCTCTTCGCGACAAGAGTTCTCTATGGCAATTTGCCAATTTATTTTCTTTTTTTTTCGTTTTTTGTTTGAACTTTTTTCGGCGGGTTTTCGAAGCTTTTGTAACTTTCCAATTTGTTTTTTTGTAGAAATGGCAGATAATTCGGATGAAGATGTTGAATCGCTGACAAATCATGAAACTTCACTTGAAGCTGCTGCAAAAGCCAGAAAACGACGATTATTAGCTTTGAAATCAAAAATTCATGGAGTTCAGATGGAGTAAGTGTTTGATTATTGTTATGAGAGTTCAAAAACATTTTTCAGAGAAGAAGATTATGAAACTGAAGAACAAATAACAAAGAAAAGCAAGGAGGCTTCTAAAGAATTCCGAAATCACAAACCGACTCAAGAGAGTGTTGGAGAGCAAAAAACGCACGTCGATCTCGATATTGTACAAAATGAAATTCAAGATCATCTTAAAGACGTTCTCCATGAAAAACCCATCGAAAGTGTCGATTTAGCGATGCTCGCTCCCCGAAAAATCGATTGGGATCTGAAACGTGATATTGAGAAAAAACTTGCAAAATTGGAGCGAAAAACACAACAAGCAATTGTGACAATTATTCGAAATCGGTTAGCAGAAGGAAAAGGAGATCTCGCCTCTACGGTAAATTCAAATTCACAAGTGTGATTTTAACCTCATAAAAATTATTTATTTTTCACCAATGATTTTTATACTGCTCAAAATACGCATCAGTTTTAACATTAATTCTCTCATTTAAATTGGTGATTCTCTCAATATTGATCCGATTCTCAATTTTAACAAAAGTAAAAACAAAAATAATAGTATATTCCGGAAGGAGAACAATCGATTCAGAAAGCGTGAAAAACAATTCTGTCGATATTTCGGCCGCATAATATCTTTGAAAATAAAATGTATTAGTTGTGAATAGCATTTGACTTATGAACATAGTTTGAATGGGTAGAGTTAAAGTCTTCAAAGATCTCAAGGTTTCCTCAATTTGATAGCGCCTTGTTAACTTTCCTCTTTCCAACATTTTTTTCATATGAATATTGTATTTTTTCAAAACATATAAGTTTATAAATGAAAAAATTTGTAGGATGATGATTGCAACGAAAGGCAGCGTATTTATCAAATCTCGATCTGAAAATTGTTTTTTTTTTCTTAAATCCAAATTTTATAAGAGAAATGAAACTAACTTGGTTTCGCTGTCATGCAATACAGTTTTTGTTGGCCAAAAACATAACCATAATATGTCATAAATGATAATCCAATACATCCGAAAAACTGAACAAACACTAAAATAATTCCAGTTATTCGATTTTTATGATAACTAATCGGTGTTTTAGTCGCAATAAATCTCTCAACAATAATACACGGTGCAGTAGTTCCACTAAACCAAATTCCATAATTAAAAATCATTCGATAGAAAAAACAATTTGTGCTATTCAATAAAATATCACAAGCAGATTCTACATCAGGGTAGATTATTAAAAATCGATATAAATCTGATGCATGTAAAAATATACGATTTATAAGATGTCCTAGTAAAATAATACAATGAGCAACTATTATAACTCGAGTATTAATGTGATATAATGAGTTGAATATTATTTTTCTGATCAAGAAAATAAGCATAGGAACTGCAATTGTAGAAATAGTTGATAAAATCAGCAAAGATATAGACAGTGGTTTGTAAGTGGCGACATTTAGCATATCTTCACAACTAGTATTCATATTTGTTCGAATCTTAAATAAATGACAATTCTGATGTGAATAACCAAATCTTGAATCTTTGAATTTTGTAGTATTAGTAGGATGATTATTATTACTCACAAGTATAGAAATTTGCAGAAATATCTGAAAAAAAACACTTAATTGATTTCACAGAGAAAGTCTAGGCGATTAATAACAAAGAGAAAATTCTGAGGAAAACTAAATGTAGGTTCTGACTTCCAATAAATTTTGATTGCAATCTGAATACGAATGACGTTTAGAGTTTGTTTCTCTGACTTTATACTCGTTAGACTTTGGAATGGTGATTACAAAAGTTAGTCAGTTTTGTAATCAAAATATTTAAAAAAAATCTTGGGTTGATACCATTTTTGAAATTTCGAAGTGAACCAATTCTTGAAATCTAGACGTTAACAATTAAAACACCGTGAGCATTTTGAAGATTTTTTTAGAATCTGAATAGAAACTCATTTTTATTTCCAAATAAAAGTTCATTAAATTTATTCTCTGCAAATATCCGGAAGTATATTCAAACTTTATTCCAAAGATCAAAACAGATGTTTCATGAATCACCTCATTAAGATGACTTTACTTATTTATCAGCAATTCTATATTTTCTGCAAAACCACTGAAATCTATAGCTTATGATTGATTTGTCACCAATGATTTTTATATTGTTTAAAATATGTATCCGGATCAATATCCATTCCTTGTTTCAAACTTGTAATTCCATCAATATTAATACGATTTTCAATTTTAACAAAAGTAAAAACAAAAATAATACTGTATTCCGGAAGAAGAACAATCGCTTCAGAAAAGGCAAAAAAAAATTCTTGATTGATTTCCGATGCATATCTTTGATAGTAAAATGTAATTGTTGTAAATATCATTTGACTTATAAACATAGTTTTAATTGGAAGTTTTAGAGTTCGAAGCGATCTCAAAGTTTCCTCAATTTGATATCGTTTAGTTAATTCGCCTCCAGATGAGCTTGATTTCAGGCTCAAATTATATTTTTTGAGTAAAAATAATCCGAGGAACGAGGAAATTTGTAGAACATTTACAGTGATTAAAGGTACAGAATTTATCATATCTCGATCTAAAAAATGTTTGTTTTTTGCAACTTTTTATAATTCGAAAACTTTCTAATTTTTTACGGAATTTTCAATTACCAAATGAAATAAAAACTCACGTGGCCTCGCTGTCATACAATAATATCGGCCCGCATCAAAAACGTATCCAAAATAGGTCATAGACAAAATTCCCACTGTTCCAAAAAATTGAACAATTGTCAGAATAACTCCAATTTTTCTATCTTTATGATAACTAGTTGGATATCTAGTCGCTATAAATCTTTCAATAATTATACAAGGTGCTGTAGTTCCACTAAACCAAATTCCATAATTAAAAATTAAACGATAAAATAAGCAATTAGTGCTATTTAATAAAATATCACATCCAGAATTTTTATTTGGATAAATAATCAGAAATCGATATAAATCGGATGCATGTAAAAGTATACGATTTATAAGATGAGCAATCACAAAAATACAATGAGTTATTAATATAATTCGAGTATTTATATGATATAAAGAGTTGGATATTATTTTCTTAATTAGAAAAATTAGCATTGGAATTCCAAAAAATGAAATAATCAATAGAAGTAGCAAAACTATGGAGAGCGGTTTATAAGTCGCGATTTGTGACATTGTTTCACAAGTAACATCCATTTTTTTCTGAAAAATCTGAAAAATGTTCTAGAGAATAACTTGAACTGCAAGAAAAGGTACTAATTCAATTTTCAAAAGCGAAGTCTACGTAAGGGAAATTATGTTTAATGAAAACACTTCGGGGAAAAACGAAATTCTAAAAAAAATGAAATTAGATTTTCTTGCAATCATAGTGAGATCAGCTGATCATAAAGTATAAGTTGAGTCAATTTTTTTTCTAGGAAATTTGAAAGTTCTGTCATCAAAATAAGTCACAAGTAATCTCAGAAATCAGTGTCTGAAAGAAATCAGAAGTTTTTTTTTCGAATAACTCCAGGAAAAAGGCTGGACAAAAAGTTCAAACTACACTATTTTATAAGACACAAAATCACAAACTAAACTCTATTTTACAACAAAAGAATTCGAAAAATAATGCACTTTTCTATGAATCACATAATTAAACTTTTATTCAATTCTAATCATTTCTATACATATATTTTTCCTTGTAGTCAGAAAATTATCGAAAATCAAAAGATCAAATCGAATCAAAATCACCACTAAATTTTATATTGTTGAAAATAGGCGTAAGTTTTTAAACTAATTTTTGAGTCCCTGAAGTTTGATGCGATTATCAGTTTGGATGAAAGTTATCACAAAAATCAATGTGTATTCGGGCAGAACAACCAGAGATTCGAGCATTGTGTAGAACTTCTCAGATTCCAAATTTGATAGTAATCGCTGACAAATGAAAGACGATTATGCATAGGATAATTGAAGTATGAACAACTGAAAATGGCCCGGAAAACAGGAACCCAGCGAAATTACATTGTAAAGTTATTTTATTATTGCACTGAATGCTTCCGAAAAATCTGATAATAAAAAAATAACCTAGTTCTTTCTCTTGGGACACTTTTTGCGGAAAACAAAGAGGTTTTTGATCAGGAGGAAACTAAAAACAAAAATTAGTCATAACTTAAAAATTAATTTTGCCAAGCATTTCTATATTGATTGAAATATTCTTCAGACTCGACGTTGATTTTTTGAGTCAAGTGTGATTTTCTTTCCCGACTGATTATTTTGTTATTCCGGATAAACAATATAACAAAAATCACACTATATTCGGGAAGAAGTACAAAACTCTCCAATGTAACATAATAATCCTCTTGGGCAAAGTGAAATCCATAACGATGACAGAAAAATGAGCAAGAGGTGAATAGAAATTGCGAGATGAACATTGTATAAATTGGTTGCTTTAGGGTTTTTAGGGATCGGAGAGTTTCTTCAACTTGATAACGCTTAAGAAGATGCACACCTTGTTCTTTGAAAACTTGCTGGATTTTCATATTTTTTTGGAATAGAAATTGTAATCCAATGACTGCCAAGACTTGAGTTAGTGCAATTCCAAGAAGTGATATTGATTTATAGAATGACATATCTATAAAAATAATACAATTTAAACAAAGTACACACCTTCAATTTAAAAAAAAAGGTTTTTTTTTGAGAATATACGTACTTGGTTTGGCAGTCATGCAATAGTATCGAGAAGTGCCAAAACTATATCCATTGTACAACATTGATAAAAAGAACCCGGACACCATAATCTGAGCAACAATCAGAAGAAATCCATATTTTTTGTCGTTTTGATAAGTAGTTATTTTAACAGTTGCTAAATATCGTTCAATAATAATAAATAATGGAGTAGTTCCACTGAACCAGATTCCACAATTGAAAATAAATCGATAGAAGAAGCAATCATTGCTGGTCAATAGGATATCACATCCTGAATTTGTTTTAGGCAAAGTAATATGCCATCGATAAAGATCAAGACTATGTAAAAATATGCGATTGAGAAGATGGAGAAGAAGAAAAAAACAATGAGCCAGCAATAGAATTTTGGTGTTTGAATGATAAAGTGAGTTATGAAATATATTGAAGATCAGATAGATAACCATAGGAACTCCGATTATTGAAATTATTGTGAATGTTAATAATGCGATCGATAGTGGCGCATAATTCGCGATATTTTCCATTTCTTCGCAAGTGGTGATATCCATTTTTAGTCAAAAATGGAGAAATATATATAGTTGTTCGTAGTTGATGATTTTAGGATTTTAGAATTATTAAAATGAATCATTTTCAGTCGATTCGATCCCTAGTGACTTTTATCTCCATGGCAATTAAAATTATGAAGTAAAGTTTTAGTTTGAAAAATAATGAAAAATAAAACTTCACCAAACATTTTTATAATGATTGAAATATTCTTCCGGCTCAATCATAATTTTCTGGTTCAGGTGAGATTTTCTTTCACGATTGATCTTCTCATTATTCCGAATGAAGAGCAATACAAATATCACACTATATTCAGGAAGAAGCACAGAACTTTCCAAAATGGTATAGTATACTTCTTGAGAAAAACCTGAGCCATATCTTTGGCCAAAAAATGACATTGAGGTGAATGAAAATTGCGAGATAAACATTGTATAAATTGGTTGTTTTAGAGTGTTTAGTGAACGAAGAGTTTCTTCAACTTGATAACGTTTAAGGAGGTGTACACCTTGATCTTTGAAAATTTTTCGGATTTTTAGATTTTTTCGGATCAAATATTTCAGACCAAAAACCGCAAGGAGTTGGGAAAATATGATTCCAAGAAGTGATGAGGATTTGTAAAATGACATGCCTACAAAAATATCACTTAAGAAACATTTCGATTTCTGGAAACTAACTTGGATTGGAAGCCATGCAATATACTCGTAACTGATCAGTTCCAAAAATATATCCATCATATAACATTGATAAAAATAGACCAGACAGCATAATTTGAGCAATGATCAAAATTATACCATATTTCTTATCATCTTGATAATTGGTTATCTTTCTAGTCGCTAAATATCGCTCAAATATAATGAAGATTGGAGTTGTTCCAATAAACCAAATTCCACAATTAAAAATAAATCGATAATAAAAACAATTAGTATTATTGGCAAATACCGAATGGGTTCGCAAAATGCCTCCGAAGGCATTTTCGAATGCCTCCGCAAAATGCCTTCGCGCTACCAAATCAAAAAGCCTCCGCGAATTCAAAATGACTCCGCGGTTCATATTTCAAAAATGTCGAAATGCCTCCGGGGCTTCAAAATGACTCCGCGCCACCAAATCAAAATGCCTCCGCGAATTCTAAATGACTTCGCGGTGAATATTTTGAGACTGTCAAAAATGGGTCCGCGAAACAAAGCCTTTCAACACGTTTTGAGCTACAATTTTGATTTGTTATTTTCCAGATGTTTACTAAGCCTAAGCCTTAAAAAGGAAAAATTTTTTCAATATTTTGGTTGTTCAAGTTCGAATTTGAGGCTTAGGCTTAGGCTTAGTTAACGTATTTAAATGTGGTTTTGAATGTTTCCTGCACCTTTCTGGGCGTTTAACTAAGCCTAAGCCTAATATCCTAACTTGTACAACCGAACTATCTTCTCAATTTCGAGGCTTAGGCTTAGTGAACGCCTTGAAAATAATAGTTCTCATTGAAATCAACTTTGTATCAAAAAATGTGTTGAAAAGTACACCTCGTTCGCGGAGTCATTTTGACATTCTCAAGAGTTTTACCGCGGAGTCATTTAGAATTCGCGGAGGCATTTTGATTTGATAGCGCGGAGTCATTTTGAAGCCCCGGAGGCATTTCGACATTTTTGAAATATCGAGCGCGGAGTCATTTTGAATTCGCGGAGGCTTTTTGATTTGGTAGCGCGAAGGCATTTTGCGGAGGCATTCGAAAATGCCTCCGGAGGCATTTCGCGAACCCATTCGGTATTTGCCGTATTATTTAATAAAATATCACAAGCAGAAGTTGATTGAGGCAAAGTAATGTGCCATCGATAAAGATCAAGACCATGTAAATATATACGATTTAGAAGATGGAAAAGAAGTAATAAATTATGCGCCAACAATAGAATTTTGGTGTTTGGGTGATAAAGTGAATTTTGAAATATATTCAGACTTAGATAGATAATCATAGGAATTCCAATTATTGAAATTATTGATAAAATCAATAATACAGCGGACAATGGTGTATAATTTGCCATCTTCGCTATTTCTTCGCAAAGTGTAGTGTTCATGACTGAAGGGTAAGGTCTAGCTGATGAAAAATGAAATGAATGATTTCGAAGGACTCGAATTTCAATGACGATTGGATAATATCAAAGTACACTTCTGATTGAATTTCCATCAATTCTTTTTGTTTTCTAGTTTGTCTAACTTTTCTAGTTTGAATTGAATTCGTTTCATAAGTCTAACAATTTTTTCATTATTTTTGTTTCAGAAAATAATCAATTTCCATACTTCTTGACTTTTTCTCAAATAAATTGTTAAAACTTTTATTATTCAAAAAAATTAACAATTCACCAAGCATTTCTATATTGATTAAAATATTCTTCCTGTTCTGCATTAATTCCTCTCGTCAACTGCGCCCTTCTTTCTCGATTGATTTTCTCATTATTTCTGATGAATAATATCACAAAAATCACACAATATTCCGGATGGAGCAAAAAACTTTCCAACACGAGATAATAATCTTCTTGTGCCAAATTCGATCCGTATCGTTGATAGAAAAATGAAATCGAGGCGAATATAAATTGTAAGATGAACATTGTATAAATCGGTTGTTCCAGGGTTTTAAGGGATCTGAGAGTTTCTTCAACTTGATAACGTTTTAGAAGATGCACACCTTGCTCTTTGAAAATTTTCTGGATTTTCATATTTTTTCGGGTTAGAAAATGTAACCCAAACAATGCTAAAATTTGTGAGAACATTATTCCAAGAAGGGATAAAGATTTTGAGATAGGCATATTTGGTTCAGCAGCCATACAATATAGCCTCTCAGCTCCGAAAGAATATCCATCATATAATATCAATAAAAACACACCGCATAATATAACCTGAGAAATTATAAGAATTATCCCATATTTTTTGTTATTTTGATAATTCGTGATTTTTCTAGTCGCTAAATATCGCTCAAATATAATGAAGATCGGAGTTGTTCCACAGAACCAAACTCCAAAATTGAAAAGAAATCGATAGTAAAAACAATGTGTGCTATTTAATAAAATATCGCATCCTGAATTCGATTTAGGCAAAATAATATGCCATCGATAAAGATCTAGACCATGTAAAAATATACGATTTAGAAGATGGAGAAGGAGAAAAAAACAATGAGCCAGCAATAGAATTTTGGTGTTTGAATGATAAAGTGAGTTATGGAATATATTGAAGATCAGATAGATAACCATAGGAACTCCGATTATTGAAATTATTGATAAAATCAACAATACAACAGATAATGGTGTATAATTTGCAATCTGTGCCATTTCATCACAAAGTGTGGTACTCATTTTCAATCGAAAATATAGTCAAGAAGAAAAACTATAAAATATGTACTTTTTGTGTTCATGTAGTTGGAAAGATGAAAATTACATTAAAAAATTCGCGGAATTAATAATTTTGGTCTCTAACTCCATGACGTTTGATATCTATCAAAATATGCTTGTGGTTGAATTGCCATCAAACTTTTCAATTGCTTAGTTTGTCTTTGTGCCACACGATTTTCAGAAAATATAAAAACACAGGCAAAAATGAACGCATATTCAGGAACACAAATTGCGAGTTCGAAAATGAAATAGAAAAATGGCAGAGACATTGAAGTGCTATTAATGAGAACCACAAAAATAATCGAGTTGTATAGGAAAGGTAATAGGAACATACAATAAATAGGATATTCTAAGGTTTCCAAAATTCGAAGCGATTCTTCGACTTGATATCGATTTGTAAGAGTTGATCCAGAGATATGAAGTTTTTCTCGAATTCTTTCGTTTTTCCGAAGAAGATAGTGGAAAATGCAAATTGAAACTAAATTGAAAGAATTGGAAAATGCAGCGGAGATCACGGAATTTAGAGGGAATCCTGGAAAAAAATGTGGTGTAAATGCGGAGTGTCGTTATAAATTTTCTTCGTTAGAACTCTACTTCTTTCCAGGGAATTCGAAATGATAGTAATGTTTTGTAGATCAAACATATCCAAACTCTAACTTACCATAATTCGTTGCTAAACAATAATACTTGACAGTTCCCAATTTAAAATGCCAATAAACCATCGCCGCAAAAACACTACAAAACATAATCTGAATTCCAATCATCCAAATCCAACTAAATCGATCTTTTTGCCACGTGGAAATTTTCCACGTTGCCATACATCTTTCAATTATTAAAACCGGTGTGCTACAATTAGCAAACCATAAAGAGCAATTGAAAATTATCCGAAAGCCGAAACATCTTTCCGGTGATGATAAAATATCACAAGCCGAAGATACTGTTGGCAAAATGATAAGATATTTGTAGATTTCTGATCCATGATATAAAACACGATCTATAGAATGGATTAGGAGCGAAAAAATGTGAACCAGAAGAAGAATTCGAGCATTGATGTGATAAAGTGAGTTTTGGAAAATTCGAAAAATTAAGTAAATCATTAGGGGAATATTAATTAGAGATAAAATTGAGATAGTGATAAGATATAATTGGAGAGGGAAATATGTGGCAACAGATTCCATTATTGAACAATCCATAATTTCAGACATTATCTGGAAAATTTTGGTTTTGTACGGAGAGTTTTGAATTGTAATAATTCACGTTTCAAATCGTAGGTACTTTCAAAGAAAAATAGGTCAGGGTTCAATTAAAACATTGTAAAACCCGTAGGTTCAAAGAAAATAAGATTTTTCAATCTTTTCTCTTTTTCTTTAAACTATTTTTCTCGTAAAACTCCTGAAAATTTCATTGAAAATATGTATAGTCTGAAAAAATGTTGAGAGAAATTATTTTCGAAGTATAATTGTTGAGAAATCAAATTATAGGTTTGCCAAAAAGTATATACTTTTGATTTGAAAATTTCGAATAAATTTTATTTTTTGAGAAAAAAAACAAAATTTGTCAGAAAAATTTTAGTCTAATTAATATTTTCTCAAAAAGAAACTCGTGACCAAAAACCTGAAAAAAACTGCCAAGAAATGCGTAAGCCATTTTATTATTATTATTCTTACAAATCCAATTTATTATTATTATTATTTTCTTGAACTTTTTCCGAACGCGAAAAACTCAAAAACAAACTATATTCTGGAAAATCACCAAATCCTCAGAAAAAAACTGAAAACTGGAGAAAATTTAATTTCTAGCAACACGAGCATGAAAATAACGTTTTTTCTCAGACAAGCAAAAAAAAATGTTTTTTTTTCTGATTATTTTTAATAAATTGGTTTTCTTGATATCTATCAACAACGTGATTATTTTCCTGGTTACTGTAGTGCATTTCATTTCGAATTCAAATTCGAATTTCCTTCTCTGCAAAAACTCCCACGAGATTTTTGAAAGCGAAAAATAAAAATATATTTTTGGAATTTTTCGAGAGTACTTACTGTATTTACACTTTATCTGATCAAAAATAAGTTTTTTTTCAAATAACAATTAATTTTTCTCATAATTTTATTTTTGCAGATTCAGAAAAAACTTTCTCTTACGTATTTATTTTTTTCAGCAAAAAAATATAAAAATTGTGGTTATATAATTCAGTAATTAGTATACGGTATAGGATTTTTTTTGAAAAAAAAAGAAATACAAAAAGAGAGAGAGAGAGAGTGTGAATAAAAAAAATGAACTTTGGAATATCCAGCTCATTTTCTACAGAAAATAATTCAATTTTTGGCCTTGAGCAAACTACATAGGATTATTTCATTTCATGTGCTCATCTTATAATGAAATAATGGAAAAAAAAATATAATATCGCGTGGTAGAATTTAAAATTCAGAATTTTCGCTTGATTGCTCTTTCTAAGATCAGAAACTCAAAAAGTGTATGACGAAATTTTAAAATTTTTCTGAATCGGATCGGAATATCTTGAAAGATATTCTGAAAACCTGGGAATAACACATGGATTCTTTAAAAAAAAACACCTTTTTAAATCAACATTTCAGATTTTCTAAATAATTTTCTAAAAAAAATCCACATTTTTAAAAACTCCAAGATGGATTAGAAAATTCATTTTCTGAAAACCTCAGAGTGGATTTTGTTTTCTAAACTTGTTAGTAACACACTTTCGTGTCAACTAGGTCAACCCAGGTTCAAATTATGCCAATTTCACCTGGAAGATTTTTGTGATGAGAATCTCCAAATTTTACCCCACAGCGAAAAAAAATTATTTTTTTGTACACAAAAAATTCGTTGCGGAAATTCAAAAAAAAAATAGGCGGAGTTTTCCACGTGCAACCCCTGGCAGCGTCTTTCTGCAATATTATTGCATGTGCGCACGGTTTTTGTGTGTTCTCCCCTTTTGTTTTCTGTTTTTTTCCTTTGTGTGTGCAAACACTTTCTGTTTTGCGCACCGTACCACACGGAAACAGAAAAAATAATTTTTTTTCGCTGTGTACCCACATTCTCTCAGTTTTTCGTCTGAACTCACATTTTGTTATTGTTGTCATCTTCTCTCCTTTTTTCTTTCTTTTTTCTTTTTTTGCACTTTTTGTCCTCTCTTCTAGATACTACTATTTTATTTTTTCATTCTCCACAACCGAACATAACACAAAAAAACAATCCATATCTTTTTTTCTCTAACCTGTTGTTGTTTTTTTTTTCTGGCTGAAATATTTTAGTTTTTTCTTTTTCTTCTTTTTCATCTATGTATCCCCCCCCCCATTTCACGTCATTTTCCATTGAAGCGTGCCTCCTGAAAAATGAGCGCAAAAAAAGTTTCAATTTCGCTCTCCTCTTGAATTTATAATAATGTGTGTGTAAGTAGGGAATGTGTTTTAGTTTCGTCTCTTTTTCATTTTTCATCTGCTCAAGTTCTCTGAAAATTGTATATTTCTCTTCATTTTTTTCAAAAACATGAAAAAAAATGAAATTTAAAAAAATAAAAAAAGGAAGGTTCCACCGAGATTTGAACTCGGGTCGCAGGATTCAAAGTCCTGAGTGCTAACCGCTACACCATGGAACCGCTGTTCGCCTGCATTCTAAATTCCCAATTTATTATATGTGTGTCGCAATAGACTTTCATCATTTCTCCATATAAGTTCAAAAATGTTTCATCTTATGCTGACAGCAAAGCACATTTATCGATTCATCATTTGAGAAAAAGAAGAAAAAACTAGAAAGAAGAAGACGTGAGCTTCTTCTACTTCTTTTGCGCACTCTTTTTCTTTTCCTCTCTTATGTATAAGCATCTTCTTATATATTCCTTGCTTTTTTTCATTTCATCCAGCTTTCTCGTTTTTTTGCTGTGTGTGTATCTCGAGATCACTTATTTACTTTGCTCAGTAGGTCACTCTGCCTTTTGCCGCACTGCCTTTTGACGATCAAAAAAAAGTGAGCAAACTGTTTGTTGTACCAGTTGGTGTGTGCGCGAAATTTTCGATTTTCTCTATTTTTCACACTTTTTGGTTGAAAATTCGAATGTGATGTATACTCTATTAACTATGACTCAATTTGTTAGCTGTGTCATTTCCTTTCGAGATAATTGTTTGAAATCCACATGTTTCGTCACTCAATTAGAGCGCGTTCGATTTTTTGCAAGGCTTTTTAAAATTATAAAATCAAATTAAATTAAATTCATGACGACAATTGGATTTGTGGTCCTGATTTCAGTTGTGCTCACAAATTAGACTTCAAGCCTATATCTAAATCTGATCTTCGAGCCTATAAAATAGACAAATTTTTGAGGCCAGAGTTAAGGCTAAAGCCCACTAATAAGCCTAATTAAAAACATAATACATTCTTGAGTCCTAATTAATTTTTGAACTTTTAAATATGCCACTCTATATAAGTCTCATTATAGCTTGAACTTCAAGGCGTAATTTTTGATTTATTATTTTTGGAAACTATTACCAGAAATTTTTAAAGTTAGAGCAAATCTCAGCCTGTGCCTGATTCAGTGTAGCTCATCTTTGATCTCCCCACCTAAATCTATCTGCGTAAGCCTAATCCTCAGTCAAACTATCAGAGATAAGCCTGAGCCCGAATTCCTCCAATTAGTGATCTTTGTTCCACGCACCTGATTTTCCCTCAAAAACCAATTCGAATAGCTTGGTTTCTATGGCGCGTTTTTAGCTAAACTTTAACCAACCGACAATTATTTGTATATTTCTCTGATTTCTGAACTTTTTTTTCTAAAGTTTGTCACGTATCTATCAACTAAAAAGTTCCCACGTCCAGTTTTTTTTTCTGTTCGTGCATGTCATTATTTTTTTCCATGATCAATAAATGTTATTTATTTATTTATTTGATTTTTTTAATATGCCATTTGAATCAAAATTCAACATTTTGTCGGAAAAATAATTGAGCACGAATTTTTCGCCCACAAAAGTAATATATTTTCAAAATAAAAAGTGCAAAATTTTTTGTTTTTATCAGGTTTTTTATCGATTGCTGCAAAAAATTGTTTTTTTTTCTAATGAAAAAACTTTGCTGTTAGCCTTCTAGAACGTTTCGGCTTTCCGTTAGGCTAATTTTTAGATCTTTTCCAAACTGATTTTTTTCTTCAAAAATAGTTGTTTCAACTTCGAAAAACTATTTTCCAGAATCCATGCTCCCCCGAAAATGTTGCTGAAGATTTTTGTTTTGTTATCAAGTTGGCTAACTACGGTAACACCATCATTAGAAACTCTACCTTCCTCTGAAATTGTTCATCACTTCAAATCGGATTGTTCAGAAGTGCTGAATAAGGAAGCGTCGTGTTTGGTGAAACTCGGTGAGTTCTAACTATGTTCTAAGTTAAAGGTGTTAGGCTTTGGTTTTTTCTTTCTTTTTCTAGTTTTGAGAGGTGGAAAGGGACCAAAGTTCTTTGAGAAACACTCTTTTTTTCTTTTTCTGGTTCATTGCGGAAAAAAGAAACAGAAAAAAACGAAGAGGAGGAGAATGAAGAAAAAAGGATTGTTTTGGTCTTTTGGTTTCTGCGTGACTTTTTTCATTTAGAATTTGAGAGGAAACAGAACTCGGCAGCAATTATACTAAAAATAAAATTTGAGGGGGAGGGGTTTCGAACATTGGTTTAGGCTTCAATTTCTATCTAGACTCATTTCTTTTTAGGCTTTTTGATGATGTCACATTTTCTTTCAATTTTAAATTCACAAGTTAATGCCCAAGTTTTTTGTGATTATGTATTTCTCAGAATTTTAACGACTAAATTCTCGTATCATAAATTTAATTCTTTGGAAAAGAATTTAATTGAAACTTCAAATGACCAAATATTTTATATTTGGTATTTCCAAATTTTAATTAGATGAACTGCCACGTCACTAGATCACGTCAAAAACAAAAATTCTTGATTTCAAAACTAATATGAGAATTTCTAAAGCAGTGAGACAAATCTTTTCACAAAAAGTGACAATGTTTCAGTTGACTGCTCCGATCCAATCTATCCGTTAGTCGAGGATGGATTACAGCCACCAAGTGCTCATGATCTTCGAGTTGCACCAATTGTCAAAGCAGCTGGCGCAAACCAATTAAATGCCACAAAACACAGTTTATTCGTTGATATTTCGTGGCAAATGCGAATCGATGATATTAATCATTTGGAGGCTTTCAAGCTTCACGTTTATTCTACTCCAAATGGTCAAGATGAGACATGTTTTGTTTTTAATGTCACGCAACACAATATTACTGACTTAGATAGTCATTCATCGGTAATTATTTGAGAATTAATTTCACTTCAAATTTTGCAGATTGTGAGCTGAATTTTGAACATCACTTATGACGTAGCAAAAATTCTTAAATTCACAAAAATTATATTCAGAATCAGTTTTTGATGATAAGATTTATCAACAAAAAAAACAGTTCCGAATCTGAAAAATTTAATTTTTCTCATTACAGTCAAGATATCGATTCTCCTCGTCCACCTTGTTCAAATATGCGAGACAATATCACATCGATATTCATAGTCTACCAATGTCGGAGAACTTTTCGCCAGCAGTCGGCACCGTTTTACAAATGCCCGAAGATCCCGAAAAGATCAATGCCGAAGATTTTTGTAAATACAATTCAAATTCACAAGCGTCTCGATGGGCTGCAAGTTTTCGCAAAATCTTCAGATACAGTGAGGTGCGAAAAATTCAAATCGAATTTCTCGCCGCGCCGCCAACAATGTGTTTTGAGGAATATGAAGTTCGATTGTTAGATTCAGATGGAGTTGCTGTTGTCGACAGTGGATTTATAACAAAAGCCGATCTAAAAACAGAAATGAACAACGGAAAATTGGTGACATTTGGAGGATATAACTTTACAAATCTTCAATTAGAAGTAAATTATATTCCATCGGTGATTCCTGTTGAAAGAGCAGAAGATGGAAGATGTTTATGTCCATCAAGAAGTGGATGTGGATGTTTAGCAGCAGAATGGAAACATGTTAAATTAACGAACAAATTCAAGAATACTCTTGTAAATGTAACTATTCCAAAAAGTGTCGAAAATAGCCCGAAGAAAAATGATCCAACAAATCCTTATATAATTGTTTTGATAACTGGATCAATCGCAACTTCAGTGATTCTCACTTTTTGTTGTTGCATGGCTGCTTGGTTTAAAAGATATAAACAGAAATTGAAGAAGGATGAGAAGTTCGATTTTATTGGAAATAAAAAAGTGTATGGACAATGTGGAAAAGATCCACTTATTATGCAAGGTAACCTTTTTTGAGTGAAAAAGGAGAAGTACAAAAACAGAAAACAACAAAACATTTTCAGAAGCACTTTCGGTGCTCATTTTGTATTCACACGATTGTTCACAACACGATGCGGCGGTTCTGGCGTTTGCTGAATTATTGAGAGATGTTTATAGGTTGAATGTTCATGTGAGTGATTTTTTTGAAACTTGCTTTCACAATTCAAATAATTTCTATTATAGCTTGATGTTTGGGATGATCGAGAAATCGAGGAGAATCGCGCCGAATACGTGAATTCGTGTGTAGTTCGCGCGGACAAAATCATAATTGTAAACTCAATTGGCAGTCAGAATATTGTAGGAGCAAGAAGATTGCGAGAACCACATATGGAACGTATAGTTCCCGGAATGTTGGACAATTTGTTTATTCATCAAATCGATCTAGCTCTACAGTAAGATCCAAGACTAATTCTAATCCGAAATCTAATAATTTTTTGCAGACATGTCAGTGTTATCTCCGTGCGTTTCCCTTATACTCCAAAAACATGCACATTATTCTCTTTGACTCCTCTTCTTCAATATTCGATCCCGGAAAATATAAATCAATTTATCTCAAGACTCATGGACACACCTAGGCCAATCAACAGACTCACAGGCTTCAACCCACAGTTTTCTAAACTTCAAGCAGCTTTTTCAAGAATGCTGAACTTTATAGAAGAAGAACCTTATTGGTATGAGCAATCGCATCATAGAGTTCCAATTATTCCAAGATCTTTGGAGAATTCAACAGAAGTTTTGAGGATATCTGAAACTATTGAAGAGGAAGATGAAGATGCATTGGAAGGAGAAGAAGAAGAAGAATTGGAAATTGAGCTCGCTGAGCCAAATGATCAAAATGATTCTGGAATCCTTGATTCTGCCTATGTCAGTGGATCTGATTTTTCAACACAATTAGACAGCGATGTTCTTTTTGACAAACCTCGAATATCCGAATTCACGGATTTAAAGATTCCCAACAAACATCAAGATTCTGCCTATCATGATGAAGTTATTGATGTTAATTGATTTTAAATTTTTATTTGTTTTTCATTTTTTAAATATCGTTTCATTGTAACTATTTTTCACGATCTCGAAATTCTAGTTACCGGGTCTCAACACATTTTTCTTCGAATATCTTGTAAAACAACGATATTTGTTTTTCATTGTAGTACTTTTTGTTAACGGGTATAATTCAATCACATATTATTATCATTTTGATCATTTTTTCTCAATTTTCGGAGAAATAAATACATTTTTTTTTCTTTAGTGAACAAATAAATCAAACTTGAGATTTTTCTATGAACTTCTTTTCAGATAACGGTACAAATGTTTAAGAGAGTGCCAGACGTGCAATTTCTATCAATGGGGCGCAATTCCATTTTTACTTTTATTTGTTGTTTTTTGTTGTTTTTCAAAAACTAGATTGTTGGGCCTAGATTTTTGATGAGTTAGCCTAACATTGTTCAATTTTTAAAGATTCGTTACATATTTTTCCAATTTTACAGAATTTTTCAATCGATTTTTTTCAATTTTTCCGAAATCCCTCCCCAAAAAACTCACCAATCGCTTCTATTTCTCAAATAGCATCGAAAATCATCGAAAATTGGAAACTCCCAATCAAAATCCGAAATCCTCGTTTTCCGAAATTCAAGTTTTCCACGTTATTGATATCGAAATCCAATTGTTTCAAGCTGAAAATCAGAAAATTTGAATTGAGGTTCACAGCAATATCTTACCCAAACCCATTTTTCATCGAAATTTCAATCGAAACAGTGTTTCTCTAGAAAAAACCCACCTTTTTTCGATAATCCTCGTATTTTCCGTTGGAAGCGATAATTGCAGCATAGTAGAACATCTGAAAATTCAATTTTTGACTGAAATCCACTGATTTCCCCGGAAAATTGAAAACCCAGCGAAAAAAAAAGAAAAATGAAAATATTCTCGTGTTGCGCTAAAGAGCGGGCAAGCGGGAGTGTCGTTGTAAATTCAATAAATTTTCTATTTTTGTGCCAATATTTTTTTCTCCATTTGGAGAGAATATCAGGGCTCCCAACTGTTATACTTTTTAAATATGTGATCCTTTCTCAAATTCAGAGACAATGTACTCAGAAAGTGTCCTGACAGCCGTCGGCGAGAAAATCTCGCCAGCTAGCACGCGAGCCGGCAGACGGCCGTCCATTTCTCGCATTTTTCTGGCGAGACCTCGCCAGTTCTCGCTGCTAGCTAGCGCTTGTCTGTTGTTTTTGCAGTTCATAGAGCTTGTTTTGAAAGAATTTATTAAACAAAAAACACTTAATTTATCGGAATCCTGTGGAAGTCGAAGTGTGGAGGGTGATGTGTTGTTTTCCAGGCTGCGAAGAGTTGGTTGATGATTGTAGAATCTGAAATGTTCAATCATGTTTGAAACTTCGTTTGAAAAATATAGGGCATTGGGAAATGATAAATAATCTAGTTATTCTCGAAGTTTTTCAAGTTTCATATTCAGGTATATCCCATTATCTGCAAAATGAAAAAACTGCAGAGGGAGCGTTCAATGTCTAGAAAACTCAACGAGCCAAAATTACAAGGTTTTCGTAGAAAGTGAGTCAGTGCTAACAAGCGATTTAGGAGCTTGACTTGACAATGACATGGCAATTACTTGGCAACTACTTATTCCTATCACTATCAATTTTCTAAAAGTAAGGATTTTCTAATTTATCAAGCACTGATGGAAATATACAATCAAATACATTTCTAGATGAATATGAGTAACAAACATGAATATAGAATTTTTCATTCGAATTTTTGATAGAATGAGTTCTTTTCTCACGAAATTGATTTGTTCCTACACTAGAGCATGATTTTAAAACTACTGGGACTTAGGAATCAAAGCTTTCATTCAAACCACCTTACCTTACAAATTTTATCAAAAATATTGTTGTGCTGCTCGTCCATCCCGCCATTTCAGTCGAAAACATCGCTTCAAACATCGAGAGCCCTGTAAAATAGGTTTACACTAATTTACTGAATTAAAAATCATCTGCACTCACCAAAAACACGTTTTTATATCATTAAGGTGCCTGGCGATGTGCACCGTCTCCATTCCAACACTTTGCATCGTCGATTGCGTGTTTTCTGTGAACATTTTCGATGAAAAAAGGCATAAAAAGATTTTAGGCCAAAAATTTCGAAAAAAAATGAAAAAGGAAATAGACGAGCAAATCTGCTCCAGTCGCAATTTTTTCTGTCCGCTAGCTGGCGGCGAGGAGATGCGCTCGATCCTCCCCTTTTTATGAGAATGCGAGCTGGCGGACAGCCTCTGCTAGCTTTCGACAGCTCGCAACCTCGCGGACGGCTGTCAGGACACTTTCTGAGTATATTTATTTATTTTTCTAGTACAAGAAACACAAGTTTAGTTGATAGGTTTATACTAAAAGTGGTGCTCAACAAGTAGTTTTATGAAAAAAGTGTATTTTCTAATTTTTTCTTCCGTTTATAACTTTATAAAGTACTTATTTGAATTTTATTCATTTCTACTTTACAGGAAAAACGTCAGCGAAACGATGGAAATATCGAAACAATTTATGAAGCGAATTGTATTTGAATGATTTTCAATCGCGAGGAAAACTGGAGGAAAAGTGAGTTTTTCAACTTTGTTTTTAAAAATTATATAAGAAATTATTATTAATTAATATTATTAAACGGTGATCTGTCCTTCTTGACCTTTTGTGCCCTAGATTTAATTTAAATAACTTGACGTGAGTCATTTTGCTCATTTCTGATTTTTCAAAACGCGTGGATTGCCGCCTTAATATTTCGAAATGTATCGTGAGTTTAATTAAAGAAAAGTGTGAACATTGAAAAGCTCTGAAGGTAATAGACATAAGATTGTAGTGAGATGATTATTTTGGTTTCAGTTTTGGGATACAATTTAAAATCTATAGAATCTCTAGTTTTTGTGATAAATATACTCAAACTATGTTAATTACAAGATATATAATGAATTTGATAAACAAATTTCAAATCACAAAAAAACTGGAGATTATCTAGATTTTATATTTTATCCCAAAACTGAAACCAAAAATATTCATCTCACTACAATCTTAGGTCTATTACCTTCAGAGCTTTCCAATATTCACACCTTTCTTTAAGTAAACTCACGATTATTTGTTATTTTTCAACTAAAACACCGCGAAGTTATTTTATTCCTAACCTAGTCCCGCAAGTTTTTTTAAATTTAAAAATCACTGTAGATCACGCGCGATTTCACTATCTTTTCGTCTCTTCTCTCTCGTATGGGCGCCAATATTTTGAAATAGCATTTTGAATCAATAAAAAACAACCAAAAGTTTCCAAAAAATTGAAGATATTTTTTCAGATTAGTCGTGGATGAAAATATTGGAGATGATTTTGTTGGAAAGAATGAAGCAATACATCAATTTTGAGCGATGAGATGATCGAGGAACCGTCGAAATTTCAAAGGTTAGTTCTTTTTTGGGGTTCACAGAGTGTAATTTACTACCCGAAAAATTTCGCTCATTTTTTGAGACCTGACACGATCTTAGGGGTGGGACTAAAATCGACGAAATTCAACGCAAAAACGAGAGATTTAGAGAAAAATGATTTTTGATCTACCCAAAAATTAATGAAAAATTGGAGGTCTAGCGATTTGAGGTAGTAAATTACACCCTGTGGGGTTAGATTGAGGAGTAAAGTTTTAGTCGGAGGGAGTTCTCTAGAGTTCGAAATATTTAAAACTGATTTGCATTTGAATCGAGGATGCTTTTGAAAGAAAGCTTTCGAATCTTCTAAAAATTTTGAGGTCGGGAGAAATAATATTTTTTTTTATTGAACTATGAATTAGGCATGTGTTGTTTCTAAAGGTTGTTAGAACTTTGAGACAAGAAGGGGGGATATATTGGGTTTTTTGTGGATATGGACAAGTATCTTGGTGAAAATATGAATTAAAAATGAAAAATAGTTATTTTACCAAAAAGTCGCTTGATGATAGCCGAAGTTATTTTTTATATTTTTGTTTTTTATCGTTTTTTGAAGTTTGTTTTTGTTATGAGATTTTTTGTGACTTGATTATTTTCTCTCAAACGGTGTAAAATACAAATCGATTTGAATCTTGCACTAGATGATTTTCTCATAGACCAAGGGTTTTCTAACGAAGTTCAATAGTTATTTTCACTGTAGGACACAGACTTCAGCACGCAGCCGAAGGCTAGCAACAAGAATGAAGACTGGCGGAAGCCGGCCGTTTCATTCTTGTCTTTTGCAATTCCCAAAGTTTAAAACTAACCGTGCGAATCACACAAAAACAAGCGAGTTTGAGGTCATTATTAAACAAAAGTTTTAGCAACAAAATTTATCGAAAGACTTGTGAAACTCATATTCTTATCATATAATAGATTTCCATAAATTTGGTTTCACTGTTCATTCAATCATGAGCAGAGACTTTTTAAGAGACGTTTTTTGCAAAAAGGTGAATTTTATTGAAAGGGCTCGGACAACAAAAAAGGTCGTAATTTTAGAATCGGCTCAAATTTTTTTTCTTGAAGTATGGATGTATGGTGAACATTTTCCACCATATAATTTTTCATAAAAACGTTGCACCAATTTGGTGGAGGGGGGTGAACACGAAAAATGGTATTTTTTCAAAAAATCAAAAATCAGCTTAAAATGCATAATTTTTAATGATCAAAAAAGGATTTTGTAGCTCTTGAGACGCTCTATAAGCCTGTATTAACGGAATTTCAAAAAAGTTAGAGGCAAAATAGCAAAATTGAGGAAAAAACTTTGACGCCAATTTTCACCCTTTAAACACAATTTCCGCGATTTCTCACTCGATCCATTAGATCCGCCTTGCAATTTTACGTCGGAATAGTCGATAAAAATGGAAAAAAGGGGGACCCTCAGAAAAGTTTTGTATCAGTTTTTAACTTCTACTCACGCGCGCAACACACATTTACCACCTACACACATGTGTATTGTGTGCATGCTTGAAACAAACACAATTACTGTAATTTTTCTTTTTTTTTATTTTTTGAGTAAAAATTAAGAAAACTTCACTGTTTTATCAAAAATTCAGATGTATAACAATGTTCTAATTAAGCGTAGAACGACCATTATTCATTCCGATAAAACATTTGTTTTTTATAGACTTTTTCATCAAAACTATCTAGATTTTGTAATTTTCATTCATTTTCTCAGTTAGTTTAAAATTATTCCTAGGACCAAGCCAGTCCGCACAAAAAAAAGACTCAAATCTCATTCCTTATTGTTGAAGACATCAAAATAAGTGGATCGGGTTAAAGGAGTCACTTCCGAGGTGCATATTTTTCGAAAATATCACTTTTTCAATTCCGCAAACTTTATAAGAGAATTAAAATTGAAATAAAATGCGTTATTAGAAACATTGAAAAATTTCTCAATGTTGGAATAATACCGAATCAAATGTTCTGTTAATTCCATTCTATCAGATTTTCATTCATCGAGTTTTCAGTTTTTTGTTGAAATATTGTAGTCGACAACCTCCAGTTTGCACCATAACCTCTATTTGAGAATGTTCGAAAGATGAATTTGTCATATGTTTATCAGGAAGAGTAAATCTATCAAAAATATATTGTGCTCAAATCTTGATTATGGCCTCAAAAAAACCTTGGCAGAGCACTGAAGAATCATAGGAGCTTTAAATTACACAATTAATATTATATTATATCTTGTCATAGGCGTATCCAATGTAGTTTCACAATCAGTATTGAACTAAAAAACCCTTATTATTGGTGACAATGGAAAGTTTGCGCCACCATAACAATAAAATGTTGAAAGAGAGTTGTGCACTATAGGGTTTCAGTGATACTTATCTCTTGTCTGGTTCTTTCATCTGCCGAAGTTACAAAAAAAGTATATTCAGAGAGTCCGCGGCTTATGAGTTTGCGGAATTGAAAAAAGTAATATTTTCGAAAAATATGCACCTCGGAAGTGACTCCTTTAACCCGATCCACTTATTTTGATGTCTTCAGCAATAAGGAATGAGATTTGAGTCTTTTTTTCGTGCGGACTGGCTTGATCCTAGGAATTATTTTAAACTAACTGAGAAAATTAATAAAAATAACAAAATCTAGATAGTTTTGATGAAAAAGTCTATAAAAAACAAATGTTTTATCGGAATGAATAATGGTCGTTCTACGCTTAATTAGAACATTGTTATACATCTGAATTTTTGATAAAACAGTGAAGTTTTCTTAATTTTTACTCAAAAAATAAAAAAAAAGAAAAATTACAGTAATTGTGTTTGTTTCAAGCTGCTATGCACACAATACACATGTGTGTAGGTGGTAAATGTGTGTTGCGCGCGTGAGTAGAAGTTAAAAACTGATACAAAACTTTTCTGGGGGTCCCCCTTTTTTCCATTTTTATCGACTATTCCGACGTAAAATTGCAAGGCGGATCTAATGGATCGAGTGAGAAATCGCGGAAATTGCGTTTAAGGGGTGAAAATTGGCGTCAAAGTTTTTTCCTCAATTTTGCTATTTTGCCTTTAACTTTTTTGAAATTCCGTTAATACAGGCTTATAGAGCGTCTCAAGAGCTACAAAATCCTTTTTTGATCATAAAAAATTATGCATTTTAAGCTGACTTTTTGATTTTTTGAAAAAATACCATTTTTCGTGTTCACCCCCCTCCACCAAATTGGTGCAACGTTTTTATGAAAAATTATATGGTGGAAAATGTTCACCATGCATCCATAGATCAAGAAAAAAATTTTGAGCCGATTCTAAAATTACGACCTTTTTTGTTGTCCGACCCTATTTGCCTTTTTGCAAAAAACGTCTCTTAATATACTTCAAAGGTATTGACCCCGTTGGAATGAAACATTTATTTTAATCAAAATATACAAGAAATTATTGACGAGAAAGGAAGACAGCAGATCTTGGTGGACATGAGCAATAAGCAGCATCAGATCCTGGAAGTCCTGGTCCTCCTGGGCCTCCTGGTTGTCCGTCTGGTCCTTGTGGTCCTGGTTGACCATCTCCACCAGCTGGTCCAGGTGGTCCTTGTGGGCCGTTATTTCCTGGTTGTCCAGGTTGTCCATTTGGTCCAGATGGTCCTGGATTTCCTGGTGCTCCTGGTGCTCCAGGTTGTCCTGATCCACGTTGTCCATCTTTTCCTGGTAATCCAGGTTGTCCTGGTCCTCCTGGTTGACCTGGTTGTCCATTATCTCCTGGAGCTCCTGGATTTCCTGGTTGTCCTTGATTTCCTGGTTGTCCTGGTTGACCTGGTTGTCCATTTGGTCCAAGTGGCCCAGCTGGTCCTGGTGGTCCAGGTTGTCCAGGTTGTCCTGGTGGGCAAGAAATACAATCAGTTTGAATTGGAGCACAAGTGATTGGAGCATAAGTAGAAGTGTTATCATCTCCCTTTGGTCCTGGTGGGCCTGGTAATCCTGGTTGTCCAGGAGGTCCTGGTGGTCCCGGTGGGCCTGGTGGACAATTTGGCTTTGGTGGTTCGCATTGACACCAGGCTGGAAGTCCAGAGAAATCTTGACGTTTTTGACGGAAAACGCTGTTGAATGGGTTGACACGTGGCTTTGATGGTGGAGTGACTGTGATTTGAATATCCATCATCTCATTCCATGCTGAATCGGTTTCAACGCGGAAAACTTGAACACCATCCAAAACCTATAATAATATTTTACTATATGAATTTCGAGAGGAAAAATGTGACATACCTCATCGTGAACTTCATTAATAGTTTGATAAAGAGAAGGAATAACAACAAGGCATGCAACAACAGCCAAAGTTGAAAAAGTTGAAGCAACTCCAACTAATACCTTTTCTTCAAACATTTTCAAATGAATGATATTCTCAATAATTCAGCCAACTATTTTATAGCAAAAGCTGTGTTAAACTTATCCAGTTTTTCACTTCCTCTTTTTTTCCAGAAAAAATTCTTTTACAAGGTTTTTCAGCAAAAAATATTGTGTTGTGTAATACATGAGGCATGAGACAAAAGAAGATATAAAAATGATTCATTCTTAAAGATTGTAAAAATAACAATCATTTAACCAACATTGTACTTCGATTTTGTGAATTCAACAATGTTATTGAAGCTATATTTTTACGGATATTAGTTAGTATAAAAATCAGAGAAATAGTCATTTCTGGAAGTTGATTTGTTGCATAAAATAATTTCACCCTGGGGAGAATTTCCGGTTTTATATCTATTAGAGTTTCAGCTAAATATAGAATACCCAAATTCAGTATAGCTGTGATAAATACATTGATATACGAGATATTTCGAACTTTTTCAATTCTTTGAATATTTCCATATCTCTTTTGAATTGTAAATGTCAAGAACAAATAGAAAATCATTGTTAGAATTGGAAATATATACATAGATCTTTCGAAGATTCTCGATGTTCCGTTACTACAATGATCTACTAGTCCCATAGATCCATAATAATTACGCTCGACAGAATATTCATAGTTTCGATATATTGAACTTGTTGTAGAGAATAACAAAATTATAATTAGTATATAGATATATCTTGATGTTTCGAACAAATAACTGAACCAATAGTTAGACAAAAAACATAAAAGTCTGTTGAATGCCAGTAAAAATATAACAATGTATTTTAGAGTATCTGTAGTCGCATCGAAATTCAGAGATATCGTAACCAAGGGTTCGATCTCTTTTTTCTTATATTCATATATAAAAAGAATATTGACAACAAAAAACAATAGTGATTTCAATATTATGACTACTGATAGAAATGCATGAATTTTATGGAATGAAAATTTCAAATGTTTTATTTGAAGCACGAAAAGAAACATCAATTGTATACTCAAATTCAGTAAAGAATTTCCAATCCCATAATAATCATTATTAGCGCTCGAAAACAGAATCATTTCCATATCTGTTCTTTCACCAACATTGTCCTGTTGTAAATGGAAAGTATAAAAATCTCCAAATAAAGGAAACGACATTGATTAAAAAAAAGTATTGAATAGTTAAAGGATAATTTGGTGTTTGATGAAAACTTTTTTCTTCACATCACAATATTTAAAAAAGATATACACTATAATTATTTTTATCAAAGTGATTATCTTTTCTCTTTCAAAATTATGCTCACAATCTATAACTAAAATTGAATTGAATTTTATTAGTTGAAAAAAAAACAATCAGAATGTACAAATAACCAGTCAATATAAAACAGAGACGATAAATTATGGCATAGGAAAAATGAAAGAAGAAAAACCACTCGAGATTAAATACCTAATTAATTAATTAATTGAAAAATCATATAAGTAAATCATTTTCTTTTTTTCGCTCGCCATTCCCAATCATCCGGTAGATCTCCTCGATTTGCAATTTGATTCGGATCAGCCATTTCAATTTGACACGTTGGTCCAAGCCAACCAGGTGAGCAAGTGCAACGGCCTCTGAAAATCATAATTCATGAGATTAGATCAATATTTTGTGAAGTAAACTAACGTTTTTGGATCGCAAGTCGCTCCATTGAAACATTGACATTTTTGCTGACACGATTCACCGTATCTCCCAACATTACAATCTTTTTCACATTTCGGGCCATGTTTGCCAATTGGACAAATACAATTTCCATCAATGGCATCACATTTAAAATCGCCACAATCGCATTTCTGTCCGCAAGCCGGGCCAAAAGTTCCGCTTGCACATCGAACTTCACATTTATCTCCCTCATATCCAGGTGGGCATAAACATCTTCCATCTGCACCATCGCATTGAGCTCCGTTCTGACAGTTACAAGATTGTGAACAATACCATCCGAAGAATCCAATCGGACAAGTGAATTGACATCGCGAGCCATATCGACCAGCCGGGCAATCACAGCATCCCTGAACTGGATCACATCGAGCTTGTCCATGACATTCACAATCCAGAGTGCAATTTAATCCATATTTCCCAGCTGCACACGGCTGTTCACAGTGTATTCCAGTATAACCCAAATTACATTTGCATTCACCGTTTTGTGGATTACAGTGACCATTTGAGCATCGGCATTTTTCTTTGCATCCCGCTCCATATCTTCCCTCTGGGCAAACCTGATCACATGAGATTCCAGTAAAACCCGGAGGACATCTGCATTGACCGCTGAGTCGATCGCAAGTTCCACCATTTTCACAATTACAAATTTTCTCGCAAGTTGGACCAAAGCGATTTGCCGGACACCTGACTTCACATTTCGTTCCAATATAACCTGGTGGGCAAACGCAAGAACCAGATGTGGCATCGCAAAGCCCTCCATTTTCACAAGCGCATTGTTCAGAGCAATCTGATCCAAATCTTCCTTGTATACATCCTACAATATTTTCAATTTTGAATAATTAATTTGGGTTTTCTAGCTTACCATTCTTACAATCCGGTCCAGTATGTCCAGGCTTACAGAAACATTTTCCAGTTATCGCGTCACATAAAGAATTCTCTCCGCATTTACATTTATTTGAACAATTTTCTCCAAAAGTTCCTTCAGGGCAAAGTTCGGTGCAAGAATGTCCAGCATATCCACGTGGACATTGACATCTTCCAGAAATATGATCGCAAGCTTTGTTGTTAGAACATCGACAACTTTGTGAACAATGTCGACCAAAGTATCCCTTCAGGCACGCTGAAAGAATTTATATCAAATATTTATTTTCGACTTGACAACAAAACACAAACCTCGATTACACTTCCTTCCTCTCCATCCTGGTTGACATGAGCAATGCCCGCTGACTGGGTCGCATTCCGCTCCATTTTCACAATCGCAAACCTCTTCGCATTTTGCGCCAAAATTACCGTGAGGGCACGGTTTTTCGCAGCGTTTTCCAGACCAGCCGGGGAGACATTGACATTCTCCAGTTTTTCGATCGCAACTTGCACCGTTTGTGCAATCGCATTTTTGAGCGCAGTTTTGACCGAACTGACCAAATGGGCATACTGAAAAGGGTACATTATTAGTAGATAGTTTTATACTCCCGTCTGACCCAATATAACTTACAAAACTCGCAAGATGGTCCTGTCCATCCATCAACACATTGACATTCTCCAGTGATTCGATCGCATTTCCCGCCGTGCATACATAAACAATGCTTCACACAATTTGATCCCCATAACCCTTCAGGACATTCCATCTCACAATTTTTCCCCATAAAACCATCGGGACAGTCGCAAAAACCACTGACACGGTCACAAGGAGCGTTGTTGATACACTGACAAGCAAATCGACATCCTTCTCCGTGTCTTCCAGGCGGACAAGCTGTGGAGCAATCCGGTCCAGTCCATCCAGCCGGACAACGACACTCCCCAGTCACGTGATCGCAGCGAGCAACAAATGGATTGTAAGTAGTGGTGTCGTCTGGAAACAAACTCTGTTCGAGCGAAGAAATTCCCTAACGAAACTCACTTGAGATCATACAGTCACAGATCGCATTACAACCATCACCATATCTTCCGTCGGGACAAGGCCTATCGCATTTCTTCCCGCGCCACCCCGGTTTACAAGTGCAAGATCCACTAATAGTATCGCAAGTCGCCCCGTTTTGACACGAACACATTCCTTTACAACCAGCACCAAAGAAACCAACATCGCAATCTGAAAGGAAAATAATTTCTGTACAAATCAAAACCAAATTATGTACAAAACAATATTTCGGGAGAACAAACTTTTCGCAAATTTCTAGGTTTGATAATTTACAAACTTTTACGAAACCCAAAAAAATCTCAACTCACCTTTATCACATTTCTGTCCCTTCTTCCCAGGCGGACAAATACATTCTCCATCATTTGGATCACAATGTTCCCCATCTGCACAATCACATTGCTTTGCACAATCCTTGCCATAAGTTCCTGGACTACACGCTTTTTCACATTTCTTCCCGCTCCAACCAGCCGAACATTCACATTTTCCATCTTTTGGATCACAGATTGCTCCATTTTGACATTTACACAACTGCATACAATCGATTCCAAATCGTCCAGTTGGACAAACTTCGCTACAAGTTGCTCCATAAAATCCGGCACTACAATGACAACTTCCATCTTTTTCATCGCATTTTGCTCCGTTTACACACGAGCAGGAATGCATACAATTTGGACCATAAGTGTTTAACGGACATTCTAAAGAATATGGGATATAGAGGATATTGTAGAGGGTTTAAGGGTTTTCGGAATTTGCTGGAGAATCGAAAAAAATGTTCCTTACTTTGAAAAACATTTTTTAATCAAACTCTCCCAGAAATTTCCCAAAACTCCCTCCGATAAAATACATAGTGCTCCTGAAAATCAAGAATACATAAACTAACTTTGGTCACAACTAGGCCCAGTAAGACCGGGTAGACAAGTGCAAGTTCCAGTCACATGGTGACACGGTCTATTTTCACCGCAACTATCACATTTTTGTTCACAATCGTAACCGAACGAGCCGAATGGACATGCTAGAAATCAGAGTGAAATTGTGCTTGAAGTTGATATCTTTTTCTCGAGGAATAGATTCAACTTCTTCTAGTTATGCTAAATAACTTACGTTTATCACACATTTCGCCGAAATATCCAGCCGGGCATTTTTTGGTGCATTCTCCAGTCACTGGATCACACCTCAAATTTCCTGATGCTGATTTGGAATTATCACAATTGCACTTCTGAGCACATCCAACTCCGAAAAGTCCCGGCGAGCACGATCTTTTACAATGATGTCCGTAATATCCAGCTTTACATAAACATTTTCCAGTTATTGGATCACAACCTTCCGAATTTTCTCTGGAACATTTACACGGGAATCGACAATTTTTACCGAATGTGAAATGTGGACATTTTTTATCGCAATATTGACCGTATCTGCCTTCGTCGCAAGTACAGTAACCAAAAATTGGATCACATTTTCCGCTTGAGCATTCCATTCGACATTTTAAGTTGCATTGAGAGCCGTAAAAACCTGAAAAATTTCTTTTCAAAATATTTTTCACCGAAATTCCATCTTACCATCCGGACAAGGTCCATCCGAACACTTTTCTGGATCTTCACATCGACAAGATCCAGTGGTCGGATCACACATCGAACATCCACATTTCTGCGCACAATTTTTTCCCCAAGTTCCATGTTCACAAATTTGCTCACAAGTCTCTCCAGTATAACCGCTGGGACATTCACAGTGAGCTAAAATTCCAGCTCCACGCATCGAACATTTTCCTCCGTTTTTACAGTCAGAGCAACTTAATTGACAACTTTCACCGAAGTTTCCGTTTGAGCAATCTGAAAAAATCGAATTTGGATGTCGAGGCAAAGGCCTGAGAATGGAAAACTAAAAAATCGATAGATAAAGCGAACACAATCAAAAAAGCAACCTCTAAAACTGCGTCGTCTTCCAAAAACCAGTGGCCGATCAGCTGGATAATTTTCAATTGCAGATATCATGTTATCAATTCCAGGATCATCAAATTGATTTTCATGTTCGACTTCGATCTCTAAAAATGCGTACAAAAGCAAAAACTAAACGATAGTCAGAAGAAAAAACACTTATGCAAGTAAACTCACCGATTCCATGATCTCCAGTTGATACTGAAAAAATGTGAGATTTTTTTTTAAACTTTGGAAAAATTATGAAAACTTACAAACACAAGTTTTGCGATCTTCCATCAAATCATATCCCATAAAACATTCACAAATATGAGTTCCATTTTGATTTCGACAAAGTTGCGAACATCCACCATTATTCATCAAACATTCATTGATATCAAAACATGAGTGTCGATCTTCACCCAATTGAAATCCAGCTTCACATGAGCATTGATAATCGCCTTCAATATTCGAACAAATTTGAGCACATCCTGCATTATTATTCACACATTCATTGTTATCTTCACAACTTTTTCCATCGTAGGATCTCATAAATCCAGGTTTGCATTGACATTCAAAAGATCCGGCGAGATTTACACAGATTTGAGAGCAACCTCCATTATTTGAAGAGCATTCATTGATGTCTGAAAAAGGAGTTGATGTTTTTGGCTGAAAATTGCAGTGTGATTTCTATGTGAATCTAAAATTATGAAAGTGAAAAACAGCTACGTGATTTGTGTTAGAATATCGTGAATAAACTGGTCAAAGTGCAATTTTCTAATATCACAACTACAGTATACCCTGACAGTTGTTGAGTCCAACAAGTTCAAAACCATCATCACAGTAACAATCAACATTTCCCGTTTTCAAATGCATACACAATCTATGGCATTTTGAAGAGTTTGGAGAGACGCAGGAATACATTTCCCACAAATTTGTCTCACTTGTAATTGATGCTTCTATAGGATTTTCTAAAGATATTTTCTTGTTAAATCGAAAGAACAATAAGATACTCTGAGCGGACCATGCCGATTCCTTGAATCCCATTAAAATCCTTCCCAAAATTAAAAAATTTAAGTTGCTCACCTTGGCACATTTTCTGATCATCTGCTAAATTATAACCATCTCGACATTTGCAAATATGTCCTCCGTCAGGTTGATCATAACAATCGTGTTGACAACCCCCATTTCCAATTTGACAACCAGCTTGAATTTCATCGCAAGATCTTCCATCTTGACTCAATTGATATCCCTCGCGACATTTACAACGATACGATCCTCTGTGATTCTCGCAAAAATGTTGGCATCCATTATCTTTCGAACATTCATCAATATCAACACAAGAAACTCGATCATAACTCAGATGAAAACCAGGATAACACTGACATTGTGCTCTTCCATGATTATTCACACAGTGATGCTGACATTTTCCATTTTTCTCCGCGCAAGGATCAATTGGTAGACAAGTTCTTTTATCATCTCCAAGTTTATAACCAAGTCGACATCGACATCGATAAAAGTTTCCATCTTTGTCGTCTTCACATTCTTGCGCACATCCACCATTATTTTCACTACAAGCAGTAATCTTTCCACATGTTCTACTATCAGATAACAAATATCGATTTGATGGGCAATCACATCTAAACCCTCCATCTGTATTTATACAACGATCCGAACATCCACCATTTGATGTTGCGCATTCATCAATATCTTCGCATTTGATTCCATCACTGGCAAGATCAAAACCTGGCCAACATCTACAATAATATGTTCCAATTGTGTTTACACATTCATGTTGGCATCCCCCATTTTCGACCATACATTCATTGATATCATATTGACATTTTGCGCCAGTAAAACCTTGAGGGCACTGACAAATTTGTTCGATTCCATCCTCTCCAGGAATACAAGTTCCACCATTGTGGCACAAATCGGAAGAACAGTTTGCTGAAATCCACATATTTCATAATTATTGCTATTATTTTCATGTAATTCCCTTGAGGGGTTTCGAATTTCGGCCCGTTTTGACCAGCTGGTAATAAAGTCAGCAAACACGCATTAGGTAATGCGAGAATCGGAACAACAACAAAACCATATTTGATTATTATTCTTATTATTTATGTTATTAGAAGAAAAAGAAAAAGGAAAGAAAGGAGATGTATGGGTTACTTTGCCTTATGTAAATAATTGTGAGAATTTATGATTTTAGGGTGATTTTTTTGGTGTAGGGTGAGAAACAGGAGGTGGAAGGCCTAGGGTTCTCCGAGCTAAAAAATTAAAACTCGTGAAAAGTTCAATGCTCTGAATTTTCAAAATACGTTCAAAGTTTAGAAATCCTAAAATTTTCAATTTGTAGTTTTGAAAATTTTGAGAAATATTCTGTTTCTGAAAAATGTTTCCCATTTCAAAATCCTCAATAAAAATTTCATACAAAAACAATTTGTTTTAAATTCTCTTCGCAACTGCTCTCACCTTATTAATCTTGTCCCACCTCATTCATCACCTCTCCCCAATTTTTTCCATAAAAATGCAAATGACGCCCCTCTTCCATTCCCATCTCTACACACCCTTTAATTTTGATGCGTATTGGGCATATGTTGCCAGCCACCTTTTGTTTTCCAACAAAAAATCTTTTGTTCGAAGGAATGGTTAATTATGGATTTTAATAATTGATTTTTCACCGTGTTCGGGGAAAAAGATGGATGCCATACTAGTAATGTACAAAATAAATAAGGAAGTTTCAAATTTTAGCGCCAAGCATTTAGAATTAGAATAAAATAGTTTTTCTAAATTAGACTGTAACCCTGGTAGATCAAAGTTTTCTCCTCTCATAGATACTGTAGAAATTCTGTTACGAGACCCTAGTTAACATAAAAAAAAATAATTTTCAATTGTGATTTTTAGGCCCCTTTCTATTCAGAGTTTTTTTCAAAACAATTATTCCAAATAATAATAAAACAACTGTCGTGTTGTGTCGACAATTAATTAGATGCTTAGCACCCGAAATTAACATAATCAAATACTCTTTTCCTTTTTTTTCTCCCACCCAGATGTCACAATTTACCTCGTTGACACCCGTCTTCTCCCGATTTGTGCACCCATCCTGGACAACATTCGGCTTTTGTTTGACGACGAGTTCGATTCACTTTTTTGTACGTGTGAAAGTAGACGGTTCTGGAAAAAGTTCAGTGTGATTTTTGAAACTTCTTTCTAAACACAAAATCCTGGTTACTGTAAAAATATCCTACCCATCGAATTCCCTTCCAGAAAAAGTGTCACTATTAGCCTGATGTATCTAGGTGACCTTTTAAACCAGAAAATATATCAAACACCTATAATTAAGTGTAGGCATTATTACGTAATTGCGCGAGGACATTGTCTTTGTGGTTTTGGTTTTGGTTGTCACACGCTTGCGACGAAAAACTGTCCAGATGGATAGGAAATATTTGAAAATTCTGATAAAAATTGGCGGCCAAATTTTAGTCCCTGGATCATATTTGTTTCATTATTGTTTTACAAAACCAGTAAACATTTTCTAAAACAAACACCAGCCAAATTAATAGAGTTAATTATTTTAGCGATAAGATAAGGTGACTTACTTATAATTTTAACTTATTTTATAAACTGGAAGATTTTTTAAAATTATCACAGAATTTTTTTAAATGATTTCAATCGAAAAATTGTATACCCAAAAACTAAAAAATTCGAGAATAGTTTTTGAAAATCACAGTTGCAATAAAAAATTCTCAAAATCCGAGACTTACTTTGGTTCCCTAACTGCACAACTTTGAAATTTCCCATTACAACCAGGTTTTCGACTTCGAACATATTTTGTGTAGGCTTGTATGCATGGCTGCTTCAAAGTGACAATCTCGACCTCTTCGTGCGGACAAACGTTTTTTCTGAATAATAATTTGATTGGAACTGGTTTCAACTTCAAATGCGCATTTTTTTGTGTTTTAGTTTTCTGATTTTCTACTGACATGAGTTTGCTTACCTAATAAAATACCAGAAAAAATATTGAGATTTTTTTAATCCAAAACTCGTCTATTTGAAATTTTGCTAAATTCTAAAATAACACAATTTTCACGTTATTCAAATTTAAATAAATATTTTTTTTTGTTTTTCAAATGTCCACGTGGCATATTCCTCTGTATATTTTTTCATACGGAATTTTCAAATTCCACCATTTTTCTTTCAAACATATTTGCATATAATAAAAAATGATTAATAGTAAAAGTAAACATCTTTTGAAAAAATATAGAAAGTTACAAAATTTTATGATCTTTTTAGGGACAAAATTTCATGTTGAACAAATATGAAAATCTAAAATTTGTTTTTCCAAAAATACAAGCTCTACAAGAAAAGCTTAAAAATTTCATAGTGGCTGAATAAACACAAACAAAGATGTATAAGTTACGCAAGACCTTTTTTAATCCCAATCTCCACCTGCTTCACACCATTTGGGTGTCAATCATAACTTGATCCCTCTTTGTTAACCCTTTGATGTAAAAGGGCATTTTCCTAATTCTTTTCACAAAAGCCGCCCAGATTTTTTAATTTATTCCAAAAGCAAAAAAGTTTTCATTTTCAAACGAGAAATCCCTGATGTATAAATAATATGAAATGTTGTATATATAATATTTCTGTGGTATAGAAAATAGAAAAACCTCATAAATTCACATGACCTCCCGCTGTTTCTTCTTCTTGAGTAAAAGAATTTATTTGAATTTCAATATTTTTTTGGGAAAAAAGGCACTTTAAAAGTTACTAAATTATTTATTTGATGTACCTTTTTTGTGTGTTCCAAGAATTATTTGGATGGTACAAAAAACATAAAATAAATGACAAATTGCTATTCTTCTTCTATTTGGTCAAGGATTATATATTTTGGGGACCAAAAATGTTGCTTGTGAAAAATACATCGAGGGGGGTTAACAGGGATCAAAGTGAGAAATGAGTACTAGTTTTGGCACATAGTTTGGGAAACTTTTTGAAATACTACTTTTCGAGCGGAACTTTCCAAATTCGCCTAAAAATTCACATGGCAAACTTTAAAAATGTAAGTTTTCACTCTAAAAATCAATATGACAAAATTTCAAAGTATAAATCATCGTGATAAAAAACTAAATTTTGAAATTTAATTTTTCGCGTTGAAAAACCACGCGACAAAACTACGAAATTCACAATTTCGAGCCAAAATTTGATTAAGAGTTACAGATTTCACAGAAATTATCAGATCTTTCTCTAATCAAGTTTTTCTTAAAAATCAGATGTTTTCAAAAAATTCCGATGTTTCTACGTCCCTCTAATTGTGAAACTATACAATATTTTTTTAATCAAAAATTTTCAGATGTTTACATAAACTTTTCTCTGCAAAACAATACAAAATTTTCCAAAAAAAAAAACATATTTCTTTCAAAACTCACTGTCCCAATCGTAATTCCTGTAGTTGAACATCTACTAAATTTCCGCAATCCGCACAAAATCGAAAAATTGTCAGAAAAATCCAAATTATTTTTAAAATCATCGCATAACTTTAGAGGTTGTTTTTTCGCTGAAAAAGAACATTGAAAATGAAAAAGAAAATGCAAATTTTTATCCGGTTTCTTCAAATAAAATTTATTTCATAAAAACAACAAAAGGTCTCGAGAAAAAGTAGAGGAAAACAAAACAAACCAACAAAAAAGTGGGCGTGGTTTAGGAAAAAGGGGCGTGGTTTAACGGAAAAAAGACCGAAAAAAAGAAGAAGAAAATGAAGAGGATATTCGCCTCATCGAATAAATACGTTGAGAAATTAGTCAATTGGAAAAATAAAGATGAATCTGGAAAAAAAGTTTTTTGCTGCCAGGTTTTTTTTTTCGATGAATGTTGCAAAAAAAGTTAGCGAGGCAGAACTAATTTATGGAAATTTTTCGGCAACAAACTTACTGAAATTTTTGAAAACTCGTTAGATTACAGTAACTACCTTCGTTAGCTAAAGCTCTAATTTTTAAGATCCAAAAACTATCTTCCTAACTAATATTAAAAAGAAACTAACTACAAACACCCGAAAAAACCAATATAAAATAGTTGTTATTCAAAAAATGCATCGAGCGTGAAGAAAAAATGTTTACAGACTTTTTCGTATCATTTTACGTTTTCCCAAAACTTGTCAAAGAGCATTTGGTGAGAGCGAAAGAGACGAAAAGATATTGAAATCCCGCGTGATCTACAGCGAGTTAATTTTGCGGGTCTAGGATTTGTGAAACCTTTTTGCGGGTCTGATGTATTTTTCACTTTCACCGATAGCCAATTTTCAAAAGGCTGACATGTTGTGGAATTCCTATTTTTCCAGAGAACTTTTGGTTTTCGCGATTTTCGATCGTCCACACAAAAAAGTTGCAATTAGCTTAAAGCTTCAAACTTCCGGCCATTCAATTCAAAAACCTATTCTTTATTTCCACACCAAGCTAAAAATGCGTGTATTGTTTGCGGGTGAAATGCTGTGAATGGCAAACACAAAAAGAAAGTATCGTATACTCTTTCTAACTCATGCCAGTCACTAACAACTTTTTTTGTATTGTTTTTACTTGAGTCATACCAAAAAATGTGTCTTTGTATAGCGGGTCCCGGGGTTTTTGCCTCACACAAAAAGTTGTGACAAAACAAAACAAAACATGTATTTTTTGATGTAAATATTATGTATGTAGTGGGAAAAAATAATTTGTGAAGGGACACACTAATGATGATACTTTCTCTTGCTGAAGAAAATCTTGAAAAAAAAGAAAAAGACAATAAGGTCACTTTTTATAGGGTTTCACTTTGAATTTATAAAATAAATATGTAAATTTGAACTGTTTCAAATTATTTTTGTAGAGACTTCGTGGTTACTGTAGGTGAAAATTGATGTTTTTTGACTCCAAACATGTCTAGGTCCACTCTCCTACCCTGAAAGTTCGCAAGAAAATTTCGAAATTTTTTACTATTTACTGTAACTCCATGTGGTTACCGCACCCAAAACTTTTTTCAGTTTTTCCAGTTTCCTTGTCAACCCAGTTTTGCATCAAAATACATACAACTCATAAAATAATTAAAAGTGTGCTTCTTGGTTGCTCGCAAAAAATGAACCGAAAAACAATTTTCAAGTTGATAATCGCAATTTTCCTGGACATTCCGCGAATTTCCTACCCAGCAGAAAATGTTCGTCGAAAAAATAGAATTGATAAAAATGGTGTTATTCTAACCAGCTAGGTAAGCAACTTTTTTTTGCCGATCGTCAAAAAAGATAATTTCCAAAAAAATGTGTATTTCGAAAAAACAACAAGATAAGGAGTGCAATCGTATAAAAACTCACACTTCCAACAAAAATAGTTAGTTCCATTTTATTTTTGAATAAATAAATAAAAATGACTCGCATTCAAGCCTACAGATTTGTGGCCTATTTTTCGGCCACTTTTTCGATTCTTACTGTATTTCTAGTTTGTCTTCTAATTCCGATGCTATCAAAATCTGTGAGAAATATGCGAGAGTCTATGATTTCTCAGGTTCAAGATTGTCAATTTGAGGCTCGTGAGATATTCCAAGAAATCAAAATTCTTCAACAAAATAATCGCACACGTCGACAATCCAATGGAAATTGCAATTCTTGTTGCACCGCAGGCTTGGCAGGTCCAAAAGGGCTTCCAGGATCCCCTGGAAAATCTGGACAGCCTGGAGCCCCGGGTACTCCTGGTAATCCTGGAAAACCCCCTCAACAACCATGCGATGTTCAAACTCCACCACCTTGCCAGCCTTGTCCATCAGGGCCTCAAGGACCGTCTGGGCCACCAGGACCTGCTGGAGATATTGGAAGTGATGGAAAACCAGGAGCTGCTGGGCAAGACGGTCCGAATGGAGAAGCCGGAGAGAAGGGACCATCGGGCCCCCCAGGAAAATCTGGAGCACCTGGAAGCCCAGGAAATTCAGGAAGCGATGCAGATAGCGAACTTATTCCAGGTTCTGCGGGGCCATTGGGACCACCCGGTCCTCCCGGCCCATCTGGAAATGCTGGACTTCCCGGAGATGATGGAAAAGCTGGGCCAGTTGGTCCAAAAGGAGCATCGGGAAGCCCTGGAGAGCCCGGACGACATGGATTCGATGGAATTCCGGGAGAAGTTGGGATTGCTGGAAAGAATGGAGAAAAGGGTATTTGCCCGAAATATTGTGCTGTTGATGGCGGCGTATTTTTCGAGGATGGAACTCGAAGATAATTCTTCTCATTTTAATTAATTGCTTAATTTTTCAAATTGAAAACATATCTCATTCAAGTATAAATACAATTTTTATCAAATAATCTGTTGGAATTTCGAAACTACATTTAAAATATTATAAGAATTCTGAAACGTAAAACTTTTGCTTTTGAAAACATAAAAAACTTATCGAGTTTTCTTTGAACATATTTTACTCTAAATTGCTATTTTTGCCACTTGGCTAAAATTCTTCTGTTTCGAAAATAGTCTTCAATCAAATTTACAATTGAAAAACTATACTGTACAATTGAAAAACTATACTTCTAGAAATCCACGTGGCATTTATCTGGTATTTTTAACTACAGTTTTTTTCCAGGCTTATTCCTCAATAAAATGAAGTTTGGTTCAATGAAATAAATATATATGACTATATATGACCTATAAAATTTGGGTTCCTGAAAAAGTTCCGCTTTCTAATTAGTCTTGACGAGAAATGAATATAAACTTTCACCTGAAGATTTTTCTCTTTCGGAAATTTGGCATTTTTTGAATTAAAATCGCCCAAAACTTGGTTGTTTTGATCATTAAAGTATTTAGGATTATTTTCATTTTTTTCTCTTTTCGTAGGTGTTTTTCTCAACTGTTTTCTCGGGAAATTCGGGCATCGTTTCTTTTATATTTTTTTTTGGTTTGTAAATCGCGTTGAAGCATTTCTGGTTAATGAATAAATTACACCCAAGATATTGTCTTAAAATAACTTTTTTCTGGACTTACGCTAAATTTGTTCGAAAAGTGAATTTGTCCTTGTAACTTAATAACTATCTTCTAAATAAATAAAAAGATTTACAACGTGAATTTTTCCGGATGACTTTCTCTGAAAAATTTCCCCCGAAAAAGAAAGGATAAAAAAAATGAACACTTTTTGACATTTTATGATCAACTTAGCCCAAATTTTATTGTTTTTTGATCGGATCCGGTCAGCTGCTGCCCTCAAATGCTAATTTTATTCATTTTTTTTGAAAAGTATCACTTTTGTTACATTTTTCCCTTTTTTGCCCTCACTCAGAATAATTTTTTCTATAGATCAGATAAGCTTTTCACACTTTTCGCACGAATCAAAGCGAAAAAGAAAAATCATTTTCGATTTTTACAGAAGCTGAGAGATGAGAAAGAATTTTGTGGCATTTTTAGTTTTTTGGCAAATTTCGCAGGGATTCGGGCTGTTGTGGACACTGTTTGGTGAGTTTTATCAAGATCTTTAGGAGAGCTATCTTTTTTTTTTTGGAATTCACTAACATTATGAAATTATGGATTTTTAGAATTTTCTCCAAACTTCCGAAACATTTTTCCATTGGTTTTTTTCGAAAAAAAACCGCAGAAAGGTACAACGTGGCTTCTCTGCTTTTATTCAAAAAATATTACCAATTTTTGGCATTTCAATTTCTTTATAAAAATATTTTAAAAATTCTAGTGCATTTTCTGAAAATGTCACAAAACTATCCAAAGCTCAAAAAAAACAGAAAAGCTCAACCTCAACATTCTTCATTCGTATCTAGGCTTCAATCTGGCTACACCTCAAAAAAATCAATCAAGTTTTTTTTCTAATCTACTCTACTTCTCATATTTCACTTGTTGAAGGTTAAATTTTTGAATATTCATTTTCCAATAAAAAAAATTAAATAATGTTTTAATAAAATTTCAAATTTTTCTAGTTAACATTTTTCATTTTTTGAAGGACTCGGATGTAATTGTTGTCAATGTCCAACCATTTCACCACAAATTATGCCTAATTTTCTTAACCCTTCGCCAATTCTACCGTATCCAAGGCCACCAATTCCACCACCACTGCAGGCTCCACAAAAAATTCAAGTTCCACTCAAAAATTATGAAGATTATTCTGCTTCACAGTTCCCAGGTCCTCCAGCTTCATCTCCAATAAATCGAGAACAATTAAATGAGCTCGAGGAGCTCACTGAACTTCGATATTCAACTTCACAAATTATATTTCCCCCATCAACAACTTCAATTCCAATTTCGAATTTGAATTCAAATTCAATGGAAATTTTGAAGAAATTGGAAGAGGAAATTGCTCTCGAAAAATATCGATTATTTTCAAAGAAACAGCGGAAGAAAAATAAGAATAAGAATAAAAAACAGAAGAAACTTCGAGTTTTCACATATCACCATCGTGGAAATCAACAGGGTATGAAAGCTGTAATGAGACCTGGTAAGATATTTTGAGATTTGAAAAACTGAAAAACTTGAAAAATCAGAAGAAATGTGTACTTTTTTCTGTATGACATCATCTTTGTACCTTTCCCGACAAATTCAAGATTTTTTGAAGAGCTAAAATCACCGCGAGACACCAAATTTACTTCAAATTATTCAGACCCCAAAAGCTCTATCTCCTCAAATTCCGATATTTTCCTACCAATCGAAATTGGCGTCCAAGATGATTTAGCAAATGAGGAACCTGCTGGACCTCCGCCAAATGTTCGAAACAAAATCAGCCATGACAATGACGTCATACATCGAAGATTTATGTTAACTTGACTTCCAAAATTTCTGCTCAAAATTGTTTTCCATTTTACGGTTTACCTATTTTTCCCGCCTTTTTTGTCTTTCCTGTCGATTGAAAAAACGAGTATGTATAGAGATGTTTATCAATTTCTACCATTTAAAAAGGAGTAACCTTTTGTAAATAAAAAAGTCAATCAAGTTTTTCTATCTAATTTTTGGTTAACTATGTTACTATTTTTATTTTTTGGGTTTTTAACTTTGATCCAAAGTTTAACAACCGAAGTTCATAATTCTGGAGTTAGCTCATCTGAAATTTTGGGAGCATTGGATGCTCTTCCAAAAGATTGCCATAAAAATGGGAAAACTTACAAAAAAGGCGAGGAATTTGAAATCGGACATTTACGCTACAAATGTCAGGATTATGGAGTGTATTCCATGGAAGGTAAACTTATATCCGGTGAAAACTAGAGCAATTAGAATTATTAAAAATTTTCAGGTTGCACTATGAAAGATGGAAAACCTTTGAAACTTGGCGAATCTGTAGTTCAAGACAATATTAAATATCAATGTTTGTCTCATGGATCTTCGGTTTTTTATAGAGAGACTGTAAGATTTTTGAGAAAAGTATTAACAAAATTGAGAAATTCGATTATTTGTTCTACTCGCTTAGAAAAAAAAATTAGCTTGAATTCAAGTTGGAAATTATTTCAGTAAGGGTTTTTCTAATTGTTGGCGATAACTAGGGCTATAATTTTCATGGTTTCCCTCTTCAAGTCATAAAATTCTAGACTTGCGGAATAATGGGTCAACCCGATTGCGATAAAATCCCTCTTCCAAAAGGTTTCGAAGAAGCCACCAAAAAAACGTCAACAGAACCCGTGGGAGCAACAAAAATCGGTGATGTTCAACTTCCAAAAGGTTGGCAAGTTGTGGATGGTGGATCAAAAAAGATAAACGGAACTAATTCTCAAGTTATCACTCATGTTTTTATGTTCAATCCAGTTCATCAAGAAAATAGAATTCGAGCTAGAAGACAATCTGGACATGGGATTGGGACAGTTTTAGGTGTTGAAGAAGTTGGAGCTGAACCTGGGAGACCTATGATGCCTATGGGAATGTTGATGGAGAATTCGAGAAAAATTGCAGCGTGAGTTGGGAAACAGTCGGACCAGATTCCTCTTAACTTCTACCATAGCCATAAATTCTCAAATCACTCGAAAAAAACAAGAATATGCCCCATTTCTCCTAAATTTTAAAAATAATTCCAGAAATCATAAAAAATCTGGAACCACATCCGAACATCAAAAATCCATGCTTTCGCAATCCAAACATGAGTCTGAACCGTAAGTTTCCTCCCCAAATTATATTTTTAAAAAATCCAAGGATTTTCAGATCTTCAAAAATTGTTTCCACTCAAACCGTCGGAGCCACCTTAAAGTGAGCTGACAAATTTTTTAAAAAGAAAATTTCATATTTCAATCGAGAATTTTTCACAGAACTGGCGATAAAAACGACCACGATTTGACCGATTTGAATGGGCGTACAGATCCCAAAAAAACAGACATTGCTCATCTTAAACCTGGAACTGTTTCGGGACAAAAATCCGCAGTCAATTGGCAAGGTCGAAAAATCATAGTTAACGGAAAGACAGTTGGAACTGGAGAGGGAACTTTTACATTTGGCAACTCGCCAACTGCTGCTCACTAATTTTTTTTCGAAATGTTTTTTTGCTCTCATTTTTAATCATGCTACGCGAGAAAAGTAAATATTACGTGACTTTTGTCAAATTATTTTTGACCAACAGAAAAAAACAGTCGAATAAAAGGGAAAGGAAAAGGAGAGGAGGAGGGAACAGGTTGTAGAAAAGTCTAGTCATTTTTCTCGGCCATGCGATTGACAAATTTGCTTGCAGGTAAGCAATTTTCGTGTTTTGGTGTGAAGATTTCGCTATTTTTTTGCGAAAAACATATAAATCTTCGTGATTCTTTATTTCTTGTGAGATCGTCGCAATTTTTGTGCCAAAAATCCACGTGGCAAAAAATATCTTTTTTCAACAAAAACTTTCAGCATAGATTAAAATTTATTCCAGCCTCTCAACATTTCAAACTTCTAATAGTTGGTGGAGGATCCGGCGGCCTTGGAACAGCTTCAAAATTCGCAAAATGCGGATCAGTGGGAATTATCGAACCACGCGAAAAACACTTCTATCAACCCGGTTTCACTCTAGTTGGCGGAGGTTTGATGAGTTTAGAGGCAAATGTTAAAAATGAAGCAGATTTGATACCGAAGAACACAACTTGGGTGAGAGATAAGGTCAAGAAATTTGAGCCTAAGGAGAACAAGGTTATTTTAAGGTGAGTCTATTTGATTGTTTTTTTTGCCACGTTATATTTAATTTTAGGTCTGGAGGTGAGATAAGTTACGATTATATGGTTGTTGCTATGGGTATCGATTTACGATTTGATCTCATTAAAGGAGCATTGGAAGCACTAGAAACTCCTGGAGTTTGCTCAAATTATCACCCAAAATATGCGCAAAAACATTTTCAAGAAGCTATGAAATTTCAAAAAGGCACAGCATTATTCACTTTTCCAAACACCCCAATCAAATGTGCTGGAGCACCTCAAAAAGCCTGTTATATCACAGATTCTCTGTTGAGACAGAGAGGAGTTCGGCAAAATGCAAAGATTATTTATGCGACAAGTTTACCTCGATTATTTGGAATTGAAAAATATTTGAAATCTTTGGAAAAAATTGCAAAAGAGAAGGATATTGATGTTAGAACTAGATGGAATTTAGTAGAAGTCAAAGCGAAAGAGAAAATTGCGGTTTTCGAGATGCTTGATGAGCCTGGGAAGTTAGAAGAAGTTCAATATTCTCTTCTACATATTGGTCCACCGTGCAGTGCACCGGAAGCTTTGAGAAATTCGGAACTTGCTGATGAGAAGACTGGATTTTTGGATGTGAATCCGAAAACTTTGCAATCGACGAAATTTGAAAATGTGTTTGGTGTTGGAGATTGTATGAATACGGCGAATGCAAAGACTGCAGCTGCTGTTTCGTCGCATTTGAAAACCGTGGGAATGAATTTGAAAGATGCGATGGAGGGAAGAAGTTGTTTTAGTGCAGAGGTAAGAACTTCTTTTTGAAAATAAAATCGAACTATATCTGAAATCACACATTGATTTTTAGTACGATGGCTACGCTTCATGCCCCCTTGTTGTTAGTACAAATCGTGTAATTCTCGCAGAATTCAATCCTCAAGGAGCCTGCGAAACTTTCCCATTCGATCAATCCAAACCTACGTAAGCCTAATATTTTTCACTGATCACAAAACGTCTGTTTTTTCTAGATATATTGCCTATCTCATGAAACGCTACTTCATGCCATTTTTATATTGGAATGGTTTGATCAAAGGACTTTGGAATGGTCCAGCAACAATTCGCAAATGTTTTTCGTGTGTCAAAAAATCATAGCTTGAAAATTTGTGTATATAATTAACTTCCGGTGATAAATAAAATATAGAAAACTGGTAATTTTTGAACATTGGAACAAAGCGAACAGAATACAGATTGATCTGCAACAAGACTTCGTCGGGATAAATGAGGAGTTCTGCCGGCAGACGGCGTGAGTAGTTATAGCCTTTCGGAGAAATCACACGTCATAACTCATGTTCAAAGTTGAACTGGAGTATTTTTCACAATACCATCGTTATAAGACGGTCAGAAACTTCTGGTAACCATACGAACAAGAAAATCAGTATAAAAGTTCAATGGGTTCTCTTGTATTTAAGATGTTTATATATAATTAATTTTTGCTAAAAAATGAAACTTGCAATTTCTGAACAAGATTTTCATGTGAATATATTGTTGATCACACAAACATCCAAATTAATTTTATGCTATAACTTAGTTCTAAACCTGCTGATTTCTACGCACAGACCACGAAAATCTAATTACAACTTCCAACCAGGCGCTCAAAAAATCAGATATAAAATAGCAATTTGAGCAGAACAATTCATTTCTTCCTATTTTTCTCTTACGATCGGAGAAAATGTCGTTCGCTTTCAATAATTCCAAGTTCGATGAACTTCCGATGGCTAATTCAAGTGTAATGAGTACAATTATGCAATCAAGCTTCTCTAATTATTATCAATGGGGTGTAACAATTTTCAACTTGATTATCCAATTAATCTTCTTAATTACGGTAATTTATCAAGGTTTGCATAAATCGAGCTCATTTTTCAAAATGCATATAATTCTATCAATCTCGATAATCATCAGATCATTTTTCTTGATATTTATCAATAATTGCATGTTATTCTCGAAGGATAGCTTATTGCCGGATCTCACTCAAGTCTCTCTCTATGCGGATTTCATTGTTGATACCTTCAAAAACATAATGATCTTCCTAATGGCTCTGAATCGTTGTCTCTCATTCATCAAACGAAATCTCATGGAATTTCTCTTCGATCCAAAAAGATATATCTTTTGGGTGGTTGTTAGTCTAATTTTTTCCATCGTTTTCAATGTTTATCAGATAATTCGCTATGGAATTGTTAGATCGTTTGTTGATGGATTGGGATTCATGGATTCTGCAACTTCTATGGATGATAGAACAACATATTATGCTCTTTATATGTTTCCAGCCTTGACAGTTCTCTGCTATTTAATCTTATTTTGTTATTTCAAAAATCTTCCCAAAAACAAAACAAGTCAAACAGGCACTCAAAGCACCGCAATTCATCTTTTCTCCTCACTTATTCTCAATCTTCTATGCTCTTTTTACGCTTTGCTATTTTGTGAAGACACTAACCGACTTGTCCTTAAACTTTATTATTGCGTCAACCAATCGCCGGAAATTGCATTACCTCTAATATTTGTGATTTCAAATTGGCGCATGAAAATTAAGCAGAGAACAGTGTTTTTGAGAAAGACTTCGAGTAAAAAGACGGCGGAATTCAGTTAATTCGTCAGAAAGAGACTGTTCCTTTTGTATATACAATGTAAATAATTTGTTTGTGTTAAAATGAGTAATAAATCATTTTTTGTATATTGGAAAATGAGCTTTGCTCGTACTTTAATATCGTTAGTGAGCAACTAATCTAAATTTTCAATGCAGCCAATAATCTTCGTCTTCATCGACCCTGTTTGAAAAATAAAATGTAAAAAAAAACTCATAACTTTTCCATTGACTTCCCATCTCAACATCGAATTATGATGATAACCAAAGCGAGCTGAGCCTGTAAATTGCAAAATTTTAAAACCCCTGAGAGTAGATTTTTAATATAAACTCACATTATTTCGAAGCAATCCAATTTGTTTTCTATAGAAATATTATAAATCCGCAAGGAAAAGCGGTGAATTCAATAATAATTACAGTTTTCAGCATAAATATCTTTATTTTCAGTAATATCCACAAGCAAACAATAATCAGAAATGAACATGAAACATTTTAAATTCATATTTCACGTTTCACGTGGGAAAAAAAAATTAAAAAATGAATAATAATATTATTACTAAACAACATGCATGCATACATTTGAGTAACCGGAGTGTTGTTTAGCAACTATACATAATAATACAAAACATTTAGCATCAAACACCGCATGTTTTTTCATGAAAAAGTTCAACAAAAAAAGCATTCAAAAATTGTTTTTTTTTTTGAAAAGAAGGATTACGGTACCTACTAAAGACGCACAATAAATGTTTGTGTGTGTTCGCCTCGAGACCCAAGAAATTTTAGAAGTGTACAAACATTTTTTTAAAAATTGAAAATCGAAAACATACTTTTTTTTACGTGAGTTGGCCGTAAAAGTTGGCCGTAAAAACTATGTATGCATTCTTGTGGAAAACTTTATGTATTTATGACAATCCAGATTTTCAACCTGTTATTTTGCCATAGAACTTCCTGAAAAATTTCAAAAATCCAAATCTGGCTGATTATTCTTGAGAGGATTAAAAATGACAAGTTTCCTCCGCTTTCCCTGGAGATTATACGTTTCTCAAATTTTTCTTCCTAGTTTTTCTTCTGACCAAAAACTGAAAAATAAATAGATGTTTTCCAAAAAGTTCAAAAAATTCTTCGTTTAGATATTCACACACTCAAAATTTCCGTTTCTTTCAATTCTGCTCCACCCTCTTTTCCTCCTTCTTCTTCTCCCTTTTTCCCCATTTATTCGGAACCCGAAATTTTTGCATCAAATCGTCTGCGTCTCTTCAATTTCTCTCGATCTTTCGCTCATCTCTGCGTCTCTTCAGCTCGTTATCCCTCCTCGTTTTTTCATCTATATACGTCTTTTTTTTTAGTTTTCCTTCTTGAGCAAAAATGAAAAAAAAAACACATGAATTTTTGAATTTTGTTGTTATTGTTGATCAAGATTTCTTCTTCTTTTTTTTCCAGATTTTTTTTTCGAAATCCAGGCGGAAATGAATTTTTTCAAGCGAAAATTCTCATTTTCCGAAGATGAGGGTGAACCAATGGATGATGTCAATGGTCCTCCATCTTCATTTTCATTTCACTCAATAGCCAATAAAGTCTCCAACACAATCAGGTTTGTATTTAAAAAAAAATCAGAAAAAACTGAAAAAATAATTTTAAACTACTCGATATAAAAACTCATATTTGTATGTGAAGCGATTTACCGGAAAATATCGTTTTAAAAATCTCGAACTTTCTATTATTCAAACTTCATCGATTAAATTTGCAGGTGAAAAAATTGTACAAGTACATTTTTTATTCATTTTTCTTTCTGAAAGCTTTTTTCTCGAATTTCAGTTAATTACAGCTTTTCTCTTCTCTATTTTCGTCCCAAAAAAAAAACAGAAAAAGAAGATAAATTTGTTGTCTTTTCACTAATTACATGTGTCCTCTTTTTTTTCTCCAAAAAAAAACAAAAATAAATTCTAGTGCTCCAACATCGCCTGCAAAAACTCGTGAATCTTTGGCTGCTGCGTTGGAGCGAAGTTTGAATCACGACAGAAGTCGCGGGGAGGCAATTATGAAAGATGCAAAGGTTTTGTTGGTTATCGATTCGCATCACGTGGATTGGTGAGTTGGATTTCTACTGTAGAACACTGTTCTTAATTTTTACTGTGGTTGTTTAGAGATTACTGTAGATTTTTTGGAAAAAATTATTTTTATGTTCTGAAAAATTGTTTCTACAAAGAATTATATTATTCAAAAATTTAATTTCATTTTGAAAAATATTAGGGTCTTCAATTTTTTTTAAAGATTTTGGTCCGAGTATTGTTTTGTGTTTTCAATTGGATAAAAAATGCATTGAAAACTTTTTTGATTAGTCATATTGTCGAAAATTTAATTTGCCAGAAAAACCTTTTCATTGACCTGGACTTTGAAAAAATAAAATGAAATTTAGAAGGAAAATGATGTTTCTAAAAAAAAATTATTTTAAAATTCAAAACCTATAAAACATTCTAGTTCCAAATTTTTCACATTCTTACTTTTTCTCAGAAGGCTCTAACGAATACTACAATCAATGACTCACAAAAAAATCAATTTTTCCAGGTCTAAATACTTTCGCAACCATACTTCCGAATTCCCAATCCGCGTCGAACAAGGCGACATCGATGAACTCGACGTAATGTGCACCGAAAAATCGTGTGTCGTCGAGATAAATCAAGTCGGCCGCGATTCTCGAAGCTTTACTCCAGCTGCTGTTTTTATTGGCGCCGGCTCAACGCGTTGCGCTCAATTGAAAACAATTGTCCGAGCTTTTATCGCGGCACATATTCCATTTTTGAATTCACATACATCTGCCATTGCATTTTTGGATAAAAATAATTTGAAAAAACAATTGAAGAAAATCACACTTACCGATGGAGCTTCGATGCCAATGCTTCCGATTATTCATTATCCACATTTTCATAAATTTGTAAGTTTTTTTTCAAAGTAAATGTTTAAGAAAAAATTTTAAACCATTTTGAAATATGTCCTAAATTTTGTAATAACATTTTCAAATCCAAAATGAATTTTTTCAGCATCAAAGTCAATCTGTCACATATCCTATGGTGATTTCTGTGAACGAGGGATTCCAAGGAATTGGAAAAATCAAGGTGAACTCACACGAAGAGTTATGTGATGTCGAAGGAATGCTTCAAATTATGGCAAAAGGTGACACCGAGGTCGAAGTTCAACCATTCGTTGATGCCAAATACGATTTGCATATTCAAAAAATCGGCAACGAGTATAAAACTTTTATTCGGCGTGGCATTTGCAAACACTGGAAGAGTAACGTTGGTTCGAGTGTTCTGGAACAAATAAATACCAACGAGAGGCACAAAAAATATATTCAAGCAATTATAGATCACGTTGGTAATATGCAAATATGCTCTATTGATATTTTAGTGTCGAAAGAGGGACGAGAGTTTGTGCACGATGTGAATGATGTTATTTGTAAGTTTCTAGAGGTCTTCGAGTTATGGTCAGGCTGGCCTTAAATCAAAATCAAATGCCCAAAAAACTTTCTAAACTTTGAATTTGCAGCATATTTCGGTGAATCTGGAGAAGATGATCGACGAGCTGCTAGTATGCTATTGCGCGCAGTTATTGGGCCTAAACAACATCCAACTCAGACACCACATCAGGAAAATGGACATGCCAAGCAAAACCATCACACTCTACCAGCCACCCCAGCTCAATCTCAAGTTCCCACATCTTCTGCTCCCTCAAAAATCCAAAACAATCACCAACATAGCCAAAGTCATCATGAAATCGAGCCACATATTCGAGATTATTCATCGTATTCCGCTCCTCCACCAATTCCCCGTGCACCTTCACGCGAATCAATTTCCTATGTCGACGACACAATGGGACAATTGAAAAGGACATTTGCCGGATTTTTCGGCGAATAATTGACACTTTTTTTCAAATTGCTCTTTTTGCTTTCACTTAAATTAATGGGAGATTTTGTAGAGAGTTGCTTTTTAAAATTTGAAGCTATAAATTATTTTTTCTTGAGTGAAAGTGCAAAAGGTCATTCGTATAAAATTACAGCCGTAAAATAGCTCTTGAAAAGTGCAAAAGCGAGCTAGAAATTAGGTAATTAAATTTGAATAAAATATTGGACGAAAAACTAATGATCAACATCTGATTTCTGCTTATTTCAAATGAAAATAACTTCATTATTCGAAGAATGTGTCTGAAAAACAACTGGGAGTTTCAGAAATAACATCAGGCTACGTAGAAAGTACACTGAACGTCAGAATTATGTCCGGTTACGTAGAAAGTACACAAAATTTTGAAAAACTCTGAAACCGCTAAATGTACTCCCGGGAATTTTGAATTTTACTTCACATCTTCGCTGCCCCTCACCCCAACAAAACATCCGGTTTTTGTTGATTATGCGTGTCATGTGAAAAATAACAAATAAAAAATTGAGAAAAGAAAATTTATTATCGGTTTCGGGTAAAAATAAACTAGAGAGATGAAAATTATAGAGATCAAAAACCGACCCGTAGTCAAGTTTCGTCAGAATTATGTATAAAATACAAACAGAAATAAGATAAACAGGCAAAACATTAGAGACTTTTTGTGCAACTTGTACCAGAAGGCGATGGACAACAATCCTTGTCGGGTCGATTATTACTGTCCGAATTCAAAGCCTCTGCCAAAAATCCCTTTTTCATATTTTGAATGATAAATTGGACGAATTTGAACCACGCAGTTGTTATACTTTTCTCAACAGTTTGTACACGTTTCACACCACCGCAAATCACATATCCATTTTTGTTGTCTTTGAGAAGAGCAGTGACCACCGAGTCGAGCAGACAATTTTTCACGCAGAGCCAGTTTTCTGCCTGAAAAACAATTGTTCAAAAAACTTTTAACATAAGTATTTCAACATCTTGAAGAAAGTGGAAACAAAAATAGAAATTTTCGGTTTGTAGAGCAATAATTCTCTCTTACCTGAAACCAAACCTTCATTCGAAAATGCATTGCTCCCAACTGAAGTGAAAGCTCTCTGATTTGATCAACATAATCATCATCCATCAATTTGGATATAACCTTGTTGAAAAAACAATTTACACCGTCCGCCACATTCCTTGCCCTTTTCATTTCATTCACATCTTCCACTGTGTACGTTGTGGCACCCAAAAAGTTTCCAGATTTGCATTCTGCAATTTTTCTCACAATTAATAAAAACTTTTGGTTGAGCTGGGCTGGGTGGCTAAGTAAATATTGAGAAGAAAAATATTTCTTGAACTTTTTTATGAAAAAAATTGTGACGTCATGAGCCTAAAGAGGAAATGCGTTCTAATGATAATTTAGATGTTATTCGCTTCAAGTTCAACTTTTTTCTTTCAGTTTTGTGTTTTCTAAATTCTAAGAAAACTGGAAAGCTAAAAATAATCGGATTTTTGGTTGATTTCTTGATAATGGTATATTAGTTTTTTATGACATTTAGAAAGTTTTCAGAAAGAAGAAAAATCTGAAATTGACAACTTGAAAAGGTTAGGAAAAAAAATAATGTGAAGATCAAAAAATCACAAATCCCTCAATTAATTTCATAGAACTTTTGCTGTTTTCTCTGGCATCAGGTATTTCGAGTATCCTCAAAGTTTAATTAATTCAATAATTTCTCAAGTATTGATTGGAAAATTTGATTTCCTGCAAAAGTGCAAAGATTTTTTTCCAGAATTTTCGAGGTTGACTAATCCTTTCTCATACAATTTTTTGTAGATATTCATTTTTCCTAGACTACAAAAATTATATCTCGAATCCGAATCCGAAAATCAAATTTTGTTTTTTTCGCTTAATTTTGACTCCGTGGTGTTTTGAAAGTCAGAATTGAAATCAAAACAAAAATCACATTTTTAATAGAATGAAAAACGTCACAGGTAATCCTATTATTCATCAAAAATAGCAAAAAAAAGAAGAAATGCCTACCTAACAAAGCCCTGAACCTTGTTCGATTATCATTCAATAATCTAGCAACCAACTCGCATCCAATATCACATTGTGAAGAAGCTTTTTCCCAAGTCGCACAAATAACTTGTCTCTCGACCATTGTAAGTGACATACATCGAGCATTCAATGCCGGAGAATCTGGAGTGACTCGAGGTTGTGTTGAATCTTGTAGAGTCATTTCCTGGAAAATGGTAACACTTGTTTGTTTTTTCTTGTTTTTTCTTGATGAGGGTAAAAGGGGGTGTAAAAATATAACTAATTATTAGAAATTTTCCAGGAGAAAAGGGAATATTGTTTTTGGGGAAAATGTGTGCAGGCTGCAATATTATTTCCTCGTTTTTCATTTCTCAAAACAACAGTGCATAGAAATTTGACACGTTTCGTGTCAAGTTATTCACAATCAGACAGAAAACAGATTTGGACTTATCTTAATTAAATGAGGCTTTAATCAATGCTCAAGCCTGGTTCAGGGTTCTAGGCGGGAAAAATTGTGTGTTAGGCCCTGAAACTCAGGGTACAAAGATTTTTGATTAAAAATTAATAAAAAAAATAAAACAAGCAGGTGAAATCAATCAAGATTATTCATAATTGTAGCCCAACAAGATCTAGCTCAAAAATAAAACCAACGACATTTGCAAATATTAATTAGGGGTTTAACAAATAATATGGTTTTTTTCTCAAACCGAAAAAAAACTGATGTCAAATTCCAGCCGCAGAGAGAATCTGAGCTTGGCGCAAAGTTCAAGGCGTTGAATAATTTAGAGGTTAACCTTAACCTAATTCGAAGAAAAGTCAGAGATTCTTTAAAATTCTTTTATGCTCTGTTTTTTGAAGAATAAGAAAAAATGAAAAAAAAAAGGAACCACCAAAAATCACATAAATAAACAATTTGCGGATCTTTGAAACTTTCAAAATTTTTTCTCGATTCTTGATTCAATTTCAAAAAAAATGATATCAAATTCAATTTGGCGGAGAATATCTAGAGATATCAGAAAAAGTTTTCATAACTTATAAATTTTTCATATACTCAAAAATAATTTAAAATAGAAACCACATGTTTCATAACACTTGAACCGTGTCTGAAAATTCTGGGAGGCGGGGCGATATTTTCTAGCTCCGCCTCCGCCCATATTTTCAGTGATGTTTGTTATTTTTTCTTTATTTTCCAAGTGAGAAAAAAGATCGGAGATTCAACGGAAAAAGAAGAAGATAAGTATCATTTCATGGAAAACGGAGGAAAAAAGAAATATTCAAATTTTGTCGGGGAGCACCACACCCGAAAAAAAACCAATTTAAATTTTTTGGTCCACGCACTTTTTTTCTAGGTTTTTGGTCGAAGTGAATAAACATAAAATTTTTATTCGAGAAAATTTGGGGAAAATTAATCTTTGATCTTCTCTACAAAAAGTTCTTTTGAGACAAATTCAGGTATTGAACTTGAGACTCTTGATTTTTGACATAGAAAAAACACTTGAGATTTTTGTTTGAAAATGAGAAAAACAAAAAATTTAATCAAAACCATCAGATGATCTGAATTATTTTTGATTCGTGTAATCAAATCATAAGTTTCTAGTTTGATTTTTAGTATAATTTACAGCTGCTTTTGTTCAGAAAACTGAAAAAAAGGCTAAAAATAAACATGGTTTCAGTTGATTTTCTGATAATTGTATAGCTAGTTTCACAGCGAAAAAAATCTGAAAGATCAAAAATGTAGAAGTTCCTCTTTGAAAGAAGAACTAACAAGGGAAGTGTATAAGGTCCCGGAATAAACTTTTAATGAGACTTGGTACCCATATAGATTCGAACTTGCTGATCTCGAATTCGTTTTCAAAAATTATGTCAAACATTTGCGGGCAAGAAAAATAAGAGCAGATGGCAGAGTGGTTAGCGATCTCGACTTTAAAATTTTAGGTTTCAGGTTCGGTCCCGGCCCGTGGCGAACTTTTTTTTTCAAATTTTTTAAATTTTTTGTTTCAAATTTTTTTTCGAAACCTGTGAAGATGTCTACGTACCGACTATGAATTATAATTTATTTGTCATCATTTTTTTTTCGTTTTTAAAATTCTCGTTCAAAATTTCACTTTCTGAACAAACTTTGCACTTCGTAATGGGTAATTCAATGACAATTGTACAATCCCAAGAAAGTATATCTCCCGCGAGAACTTCAAAAAGTTCCTAACGGAATTATTAATGTTTTGCGTAGTGTTGACATCATCGAAATTATAGTTGAAAACGATGAAATTCTGGAACGAATTGAAGATGATCCACCGGATGAAGGTAACTTGGATAGCTATGAATATGAAAGCTATAAATATAAATATGAAAGATCATCTTCAATTTGTTCTTTTTTTTGAAAAAAAATTTAAAAAATTTGAAAAAAAAAGTTCGCCACGGGCCGGGACCGAACCCGAAACCTAAAATTTTAAAGTCGAGATCGCTAACCACTCTGCCATCCGCTCTTATTTTTCTTGCCCGCAAATGTTTGACATATGAAACAATGAGAAATATGGCGCATTTTCGATGGTGAAAAATTCGTTTTGGGTGCAATTGTGGCAATTTTTGAAAACGAATTCGAGATCAGCAAGTTCGAATCTATATGGGTACCAAGTCTCATTAAAAGTTTATTCCGGGACCTTATACACTTCCCTTGTAAACTAAAACAATTTCCGTAGTTTGGTTGAACAAAAAAAGTTTTGTTAGAAATTCTTTTGTGTGAGGTTAAGTGACGAAAAAAGTTTCAAAAATCATTTTCTAGATTTCGAAATTTTGAAATTCTGCAAATTTCCATCTAAAAGTGGAGGAATAATTAGATTTCTTGAAATAAATTTGCAAAAATTTCCAGGAATTTTTTTGAGGTTGAGTGGTTGACTAATGCAGAAAAGACTTTTTTGATACAATTTGTTGTAGTTGTCTGGAATACGGTATTTATTACTTTACAAAAAAAGAACCTTCTAAAAAATGACAATGATCTTTTTGGCGAAATAAACGAGCACGTTATTTTTGGTGTTTTGCGCAGAAAAATGGATGAAGATGGTGATTGAACGTCCAAAAAACTTTGTTGCTCCTCCTTATCTCAGATTTCTTGCTTATTTTTCCTTCTCGGATGTTTGGTTTGTCTGCCCGAAGAATACAAATTTGTAATTTTCCAAATGCAATTTTTTTATCCCTTTCTTTATTCATTTCGCAAAACAACACATCTATAATATTTCAACTGGAACACTAAGAAAAAAAAAGAAAAACAACAAGCGAATAAAATGAAATGAAGTGAAAAAGGCACAGGTCACAAGTAAATTGAGTTTCCGGGATGTAGAAAAGCGAAAAAATAAAACAAAAAAGTATTCCGTTGCGGGGAATCGAACCCCGGCCTTATGGGTGAGAGCCATAAATCCTAACCACTAGACCACAACGGATGATATTTCCTCAAGTTGAAATTGTCAAGATAACAAAGTGGAGGGAAAAAGAAGATAGGAAATTTCGTTCATTAGAATGAGAAAAGTGACAAATTTTTGGGTTATTCAATTTGCCTCTTCTTTTCTTTTTCTTCTGCTTTTTGAATAACTAGTATGTTTTTCTTTCTCCCGATATTTTTTTTTTCAAAATGAAACTTCTTTTGTCAATCATTGGCAATAAATAATTTATTTTATTTTTATTGCCAGACAGGCCGTAGAGTAACTTTTATTTAATGAAACAAAATAAAATAAAACATATGTTGCAAATGAATATTTAATTGAAAAGTTGAATATAATTTTTTCATCTGAATAAACAAAACATATGTTTTTCAAAAGCTATACTCAACACAATTTTCATCAAATTCTTATCAGCAATTGAAGCAAATAGCGCTCGCCGGTTCCATGGTGTAGCGGTTAGCACTCAGGACTTTGAATCCTGCGACCCGAGTTCAAATCTCGGTGGAACCTTCTTTTGTTTTCTTCATCCATTTTTGTTGTTTTTTGAAGATGAAGTATCCAAGAGATTCCCAATGATATCAGATTTCATTTTGTTTACGGAACCAGCAGTGAGACAAAAAAACGGCTGCTTCATATTTGATTCATGAATGCACTTTTTGATGGTTCCATCATTTTTTGTGGTATCTAAAAGCCTTTTTTGTTCAAAGAGTTTGAACGGATGTATCTTTTAATAAATATGTAAATTATTATTAATCGAAAAAAGAAAATGAGAAAAAACCTGTGTGAGATTGAATCTGTCTGAAACTGACATAAATAACACAACACATTTAATTTTGTTTTCATTTATACATTTTCATAATATCTTTCTTGTTTCTTTTTCATTCCTATTTTTGAATTGAAATCCGATCCAATCCGAGCTAGATATTTGTCTTGGAAAAGGGTCAACTGCTGTCAAAAATCTGTCAATTCTCGCGCAAAAAGTATTAAGTATGTTTATTGTTTGACCCCTTCCACTAAATATGTGTCTTTTTGAAGTGGCCCATATTTATTATACATGTTTATGTTACTTTCGTTTTACTTACCTCATTTTCATTCGCAAAACTATTTATTTGAAATGAATAAAAATAATTTATTTATTTGACCACTGACCCTTTTTTGGTCAAACTAAGTAATTATCCGCCTCACTTTCATTTCAAACTAATTATTTTGCTACATTTCTGCTGACATATAATTTTTGTGTGTCATAGTTTCAAATTTCGGAACCTTTTTGAAAAATTTTGTAGTGGTTACTGTAGTGTTTTATATTGTCTCGCGAATACTGTAGTTTCTAGTAGGTATCTAAATAATTATTCTAGTGAGTACTGTAGAAGTTTTTCATGGTTCTTCTTTTCATGAAGATGAAAAAATCCTAATTTGATTTTTAGAATTGTAGAAATTTTTTTTTTATTATTGAGAAAAAAAAAATTGCAGTCCAATTTTTCCTTTATGTCATACATCTATTTTAAAAACGGAAGTTTCAATAATTAATCATTATAAAACATAATTTCCACCTATCACTTCGTCATATTTCACTTTTTTTCGGCAAGTTTCTCCAAAAAAACCTCAACAATTATATTTATTACTTTAGTTGGTTGGTGGACCGGATTTTGACTAACTAAAAGACAGTTCTCTCAAAAAAGCTACTCCATTTTTCTTCCTTCACAAAAACATAAATAATAAATACTTGAAAGTACGGGGCCTGGGTCATTGTAATAAGTGGCAAACAATAATTCATTTGTATTTTATTGGGTGATGATTTCTTTTTGGCATTTTTGTATTTATCAGAAAGAAAATCATTTTTATGATTTTTCTCAAAACTTTCTGCTAAAAAATTTTTTGTTTGCACAAAACTCTTGATATTTTATTTTATTTATAAAACAGATTTACTCTTTTGCTCTTTGAAAAATGAATTTTCAAATTTTTTTCCACTATTTTTCATTTTCTTCAAACTCATATTTTCACCCCAATAATCCGGGTTACCGTAGAAACTTTACTATGGACTCAGGCTTTCAATTTTCTGTAAATCAGAAATATTCAAAAAAAATCTTGTAGTTATGTTTGCACAGAACTCATGATACTTTTTTTATTTATAAACAGATTTACTTTCCCTCTCAAAAAAATAATATCGAATTTTTTTTTCGCATGTCTCATTTTTCACCCTTAAATAATTCATCGTAAGGTATTTATTTCATTTTTCCCGTCCTAACATACCTTTTCTTTTTCCATCGATTTTTCCACCAAAATGTTCACTTTTTTTCAGATGAAAGCTTTGATTTTTCTCATGCTCACAGTATTGCTCAGCTTATGTCTAGCTGATCCGGTCACCGAATCTTCAGATATCAAACAATCTTCAGCGCAAGCAGTTGCGCCAACTCTTCCCCAAGTTGCCACGTCACCACATCCGTTTTCGAGGCAGATCGCAGCACCTTCAAGAATCGCCAGAAGATCTATTACTCCAGTTCCATTAATTAGTGAGTTCAAAAAGAATTTTTGTTAAAAAAGAAAAAATTTAAAAAATATTATATTTTTAGGAGCTCGTCGTGTCACATCACAATAATCAATTGCCATCTCATTTTTAATTTTTATCGGGTATTTTTTTTCTCAAAATAAAGAATTTATATATTTCTTGAGTTTCATAAAAAGTGTGCGATACTTGCATTTAGGCCACGCCCACTTCACGGATAACAACCGTAAGTTCGATTCCAAAATTGTTTTTCGATCCAATGAAAAGTAAATCGGCCCATTTTCGGACCGTGTTCATATTTAGCATCAGAATGAACGCATTTTATACGTTTCACTTGAGGATAATCGCAACTTTCCGGGTTCAAACATTTCGAATTGAGTTTGCCTTGGATAAAGCCGGTTTTGTAGTAGATTTCGTTGTAACAAGTGCGAATTAGATTGAAATAGAAATTAGTGGGCATTTTGTGCAGCGAGAGGTTTTTGTGAATTCTGGAAAATGAGAAAATATTAAACTTCAACTTGGTTTTCAAAAAGAAATATGTATTTTTGCTAAATTTAATACTTCAAAGACCATAAAATGTGATGTATTTGCAAAAAATGTCAAATTCAGGTGACCGAATTTGAGAAAATACATAAAAATAATTTTTTTTAGAAAATCTTTGAGCAACTACAAAACAGAATTTTTTAAAATCCCACCTCTCAAAACCCGATTGCAACTTCTCTGCAATCTTCAACTTTCTAGCCGCATTCGAAACATTTTCCACAATTTTCACGTGTTTCATAAAATGACTTTTCACATTGATTCCCTTCTCAAAATCCACATTCCAACTAAAATGTATCCACGTGGAATTGAACTTCTCCGGTCGAATCACACTTTTTCCCATATTCACTTCAATATGTTTTTCCAGCAATAAATTGGTGAAATCAAATTTTCGCCGCATGTCTTTCATTTTATGAACTTGTCTCTCGTAAAACAGATAACTCTTTTGATCTTCGGGATAAAGTGAAAATTCATGGGTGAATTCTTGAATATAAGTTGGATGAGATTCAGGAATCAGAATATCATCCAAATCAAAAAATGCGATATAATCTGCAACTTCTTTGTACTGCAAAAGACAATCGGTTTGAGCTCCAGCTTGATTTCTCCACTCAACATTTCTCATTGGCTCCGATTCATCTCCAAAATCAATGCGATTCCAAAAGTCTATAGTAATCCAGCCAAGTTCTTCATATTTGGAGACCATTTCAAAATACGTATCAACGATACTAGTTATATAAAAATGTGCGTGTCCCTTGAATTTTCTAATCACATGAATGTGGAAGAGAAAAAGTTGCCATTGTTCGGCGACAAATTGCGGAGAAATACAGATTATGACAGGAGATGGAGAGGTGAATTTTGGAGAACGAAACGGGATCTCAATTTCCTGGGAGCCAGATTGGATTTTTAGGGTTTCCAGATTGGGGAGGGTATTGGTTAGAAGTACTGTAGTTATCAGACTGCACACTTGAATCCCGTCTCTGGAAAAATTACGATGGGAATTGGACTACTTGAACTTTTCTTTCAAATAATTTATGACGTGGCAGATTTTTTAGGAATTCTAAAAAAATGAATTTTAAAACTCACATCTGAATCCTCCCTTCAAAATTATCAAAAGTTGTCGAATTTTCTCCAATAATATGAATTTTCAATTTTTCTGGCTTATCAAAAGCATTTTGATCGATCACCATATTTATAGCTATGGCATTTTCACCCAGTCTGAATTAAAATTTTCAAATTTTCAGATACGAAGTTTCAAAAAAACTTACGATTTGGAATTTGGATAATAATAAGCTGAGTAGATGAAAATATTTGAATCATATTTGATTTCTAAAGGTCCCCAAACTTCCAAAATTTCTGGGATAATTTTGAAGAAAACTATGAAAAACGCTAGAAAAATAAGTAGATTTTTTGGATACCTGCGCATTTTAACATTCACAACTATGAAATAATAAATCTAGTCTAATCATTTGACACGATCTATAATTTTTTGACAAATTATTTTATGGTTCTTCATGGTTCTCGTTTTGTTTTTGACATGGTCCAGATTCGGATTTATGATAAAATCCCCTCTCAACTTTTAGTGCACAAGTCATGCAACCTTTTTTTCGAATAAAAAAAACTAGTTTTGTTTTTTTTATCCCAACGACTCTATAAAATGAAAACAACAATTATTTTTGAACAAATTCTTTTTTTTTATTTGAAAAAATGAATCATCAAATTTTTCTGCTGCTTATTCTCGTTATTTTTCTCGAAGTTAACAGCAAAGGTAAAAAATGATGCTGGGATTTGGATTTCAAAATTTGAATGTTATGCTCAACAAATGTACCTTTGTTTCCTTGAAATTCAGATTATAATTTTCAGCCACAAAATCTTCCGAGTCTTCCGAATCTTCAGAATCATCAGTCTCTTCCGAAGAAAATGCAGACAATTTGGAACTCGAAGGTTTCAAAATCGGAGATTACAATGAAACCTACAATATTGTGCATGACCAAAATTTAACGAAAACCAGAAAGCTCGAAATAATCAACTCGACAATTTACAGTCAATTCGACAATGAAACAGCGAGAGAAGAGGCTATGGCAAAGTTTGATAAAGCTATAGAGTTGGATGGATTTGCGCAAGAATATGTGGAAAGTGATGAGAAGGTGAGTTGATTTTGAAACGTAGAGCATGAGTTGATTTTGAAACGTAGAACATGAAGTTATGTTTTGTAGATCAAAAATATCACGGATTCAATTCAAGCCTTGGTTTCGACAGAGACTTTTAAGAAAATGAATGAAGATGATCAAAAAGCTGAGGTTACTTTTGAGTTACTGTACCTGCGTATCTGACTTTTTTCAGCTCGACAAAATTACCGCGAATCTCACTGATGATGATTTGGAGAGAATCGAAGAGTTTGAAAATTCTATGCAAAATCGAGCTTTCGAATTGGGACTTGAAGATGTGAGTTGTAATTTGATTTTGTATTCAAAGTTCCAATTTTTGTTGAATTTTAGGCCCCTGCTCAAAATGAGACACTTGGATTGCACACATTTGGAGCGCAGGGTATTTAACATTGAAGTTTTGAATAAAGTTTTGATTTTTTGACATTTTCTTCAAAGTTCAGTCACCATAACAACAAACACTGTAATTATCTTCGAATCTTGAGACTGTCTTTTCATATTTTTTTTGAAAAAAAATCAAAATGATATTTCTTATCTGTCTAATACTTTTTATCGTTCCCACCATTGCTGAAGATAATTGTAATCTTGGAGTTATCAACATTTTAAATTCAACAGTGATACCTGAATCTTGCAAAGAAATCTTGGCAAGAGTTCGAATTTCGAGTGGAATTCAGGATGCGAAATTGGCCGAGATTTTCAAAAATGTCCGGAAAATTGAGGGCGTTTTGGAGATTTGGAATAGTGATTTGATAGAAATCACATTTTTATCAAAGGTTGAAGAAATCTCGGGAGATTTTCTGGATAAAACTTTATCGATTGTGAATAATTCAAGACTGGAAAAAATCAATGTAGGTTTTTGGGGAACATAACATTTGTTAGTTAGTTTTTTTGTACCTGATCTAGCCAAATTCAAAAATATGTACATATATAAATTCAGATCAGCTCATTGACAATTGTAAATGGAATGTTGAGAATTGTCTCAAATCCTCTTTTGAATCTTCGCTCAAATTGTGATAAACTACAACAACTCTACACATCTGACCGTGTAATCAATAATAATTTGGATAATTGTGGCTGTGATATTCATCAAACAATAACTTATACAAATACTGAGATTCCGGAAAATTGCACAACAATTTATGGAAAACTACATTTTGATGGTGCTTCTCCACCTTACAGCTGGCTGAAACGCTTGAAAACTGTGACAAAATTGTATGGTTCATTGATAGTTGAGAACACAAATTTAGAAACTTTGGGATTTCTAGAGAATTTGAAAGAAATCATTAGCGATGAGGATAGTGCAAATGCTATTTTAATACAAAATAATGAGTATTTGGAGAGATTTGATTTGTTGAGTTTGGAAAAAGTTACGAGCAAAAACCCGGAGGCAGTTATTACCTTCAACAATTGTTACGCTTGTATTGATCCACAGTTTGTTAGAGTTCTGGTTCAATCAAATCTTGATGTTTGGTTTCCACAAGGTGGTTACTGTGATTCATCTAGTAAGTTTAGATTTTGAATGTTGAGTCACGTGGATTTTTAAATTCCAAAATTTAACTGTTTCATTAGATTTCTATGAAACCTGTTATTTACATAATAAAGAAATAACGCATATTTAAAATTGAAATTGTTTTCAGAAATAAATTATCCATCTCAATATTGCAATGGAAGTATTCTAGATATTCCTGATAGATGTACAAAGTATATTGGAAATATTGTTTATGCAAACCCTGACGCCGAATATTTTTGGAATGAATTCAATACAACACATGTTTCCTCAAAAGTTTTGGAAAAACTGAAAAATTTGGAACAGATTTATGGAACTGTTTTGTTTCAAGGAACCGATATTGAAGAGCTTCTTCTGCCAAATATTGAGGAAATGTATCAAATTAGTTGTAAGTTATTTTTGAATTCAACGGATATTCAGAATATATAGTGATTTCCAGATTCTGATAGCTATTCATATCCCTACACGTCATTCAAAGAACTTGAAGTGATCAAATTAGTTAGAAATGTCAATCTTGTTAAATTTGAAATCCCAAAACTTAAAATTGCTATGCAGCAGATTGCATTTGAGGGAAATGGAAATTTTACGGTGGATTCTGAGATGTGTTTCAATATGACGTTGGGAATGAATTCAAAGTTTTATATTAAAACAGAAGGTTACAAATGTTGTAAGTAAACTTTTCCTAACTCGAAAAAAGTAATGAAAGTCTGAAAATTGTCTGATAATTAATTTCAGATGAACTACTACGATTAGAATTAGAACAAAAAGAACAAACCAATTGAACACTACAATTATTCATTATTACAGTTTCTATATATATATATACACGCATATCGTGTTCTTTCAAAATTTACAAATAAATATGTAAAATATAAATATAAAGTGTTTTCTACTGATAGCACCCGATTTGATCTGTCCAAACCATATCTGTTGCATAGTGATAACTAATTGGCGTCATTTTTGGTCCAGAAAAATATGATGCATCGGAATGTATGCATGGATATTCAGGTCGTTGTGGAAGATGACATTCATCTGCATTCGGACAAGTTCCTTCCGGTTTTTCTTTTTTATCAAAAGCCCAAGAATAGAATCGATCATAGTAACATTTGAAAACAACCGGTAAATAAAAATCACTGTCAGGTAAACCATCTTTGATTTCTTGGATCACATGTGAACTATTTTTCATTCTGAAAAAATTTTCTGATCTTTTGAGATAGGATTTGAACATTTGAAACCTGTTTATAGATAAAATCTTAGAGTCACAAATATTTTTGGAAATTGAAACAAATGTGAAGAAGATGAAACAGAAAATGTTTATTTTCTGTACAAAAGGATGGGTTTTGGGAAATTGATTGAAGCCCAAAATACATACAGGTCCAATGTGTTTTTCTAACGATAGTCATAAAAAATTTTTTTTTGTTCCAATTTTGTAAGAACATCAAAAATCAATTTTTTTCACTTTTTTTCGATTTTCAGATTCAACTCAAATTTCTCTAACCTAATTAGTTTATTCAAGTTTTCCCATTATTTTTCTGATAATTAGGTTTTTTCTCAAAAGAAAATAAGTGGCAAACAAAAGAAAAGCTAGACCTGTATAGATAAAATCTTTGAGTCAGAATTGCTTTTTCTGGCTGGCTTACGTCAGAAAATCCAGTTGAATTGAAACAATATCCATCTCTCGAATAGTTTCATTCAATTGATCAAAAGTCATCTTCCACAATTGTTTGATATTTTCATTTCCATTTTTTTGAAGAGGTCTTTGAACGTGAACCAAATGTGGAGATTCGACTTCAAATCTAGAAACAAGTTTTGAATTTCAAAAATTTGAAAAATGAAAAAATACCTGGTTTGTTTTGGATGGTGCCATGTAAAATGAATCCACGTGGAATTGTAGTTTTCCGGGCGAATCACAACTTTTCCACTTTTCACCAATGGTGACGACTTTAAGCTTCCCACAATTTCCATGAAACTGAATTCATCAAGAGTTGAAGGTTTGATAAATTCATGTTCTCGACGGCCGTATGATAAAGCTGTAGCATCTGGTCGAACATTATACATATAATTGAACTCTTCCCAATAATTCATAGCAAATTTAGGAAATAGAATATCATCCATATCAAAGAATGCAATATAATCGACAGCTTCTTTATATTTCATAAGACAATCAGTTTGGGCGCCTGCTTGATTTCTCCATTCAACGTGAGGATTTGCATCAATGTAGGCACTTTTTGGATCAGGAAATTTTATACGAATCCATTTATCAAGAGTTATATAACCCGCTTTTTCATATTCCAGCATTAATTTATAATACGATTCGATTATTGAAGTAATATAAATGTGCATATGTGCTCCAAACTGTTTAGCAGCGTGTACATGCATTACAAAAAGTTGCCACTGTTCCGCGGCGAATTGAGGCGAAATGCAAATCATTACTTTACTTGGGGCCGTTGTTTTTGCATATTGGAAGGGCAGCTGCAAATTGTGGTTTCTGATAGGGTTTTAGAAGAAATTATGTTTTAAATGTGAAAAAAATACACAAGTTCCAAAAAAAAGTTCAAAAATAGTTCGCACCAAGCTTGTGAAATTGGGCTCGAACATTGTTATTCTTAATTTTAGAAACATTTAGAATTTTTCAAAAACTACGTATTTCATTTTTGACCAAAGCCAACTTAAAAAATAATTTTCATTTTTTCGGAATTTCTCAAAATCTCACAAATGTTTGCAATCTTGCCTTGGAATCTATCCAACCCAAATGTTTTTGATTTTTTTTTTGTTTCTTGTACTAATTACTTACCAACATGACCTCTCCATTTTCATCTTGAATTTCTAAAGTTTCCGGATTATCAAGAACATTTGTTAAAGCTACAGTTGTAATGTATCGACAAGTTGGCATCCCATCGCTAGAAAATCATAAAGTTGGGGTAAAATTGATTTTTAAAAAACTTATTTACACACATTTGATTTCTGGTTGTTGCTGTGATTTGATTTGTCGAATTTTTCGCAAGGATTGTAATTGGGAGATCGGTGATGTTATGACTCCATTGATCAGTTATCATAACTATAGACACTGCATTTTTACCAAGGCTGAAATTGGGAAAAATAAAAATAAAGTAAAGTTTAAATAAAAATCAGAACTTACGACTTGGAATTTTTATAATAATAAACGCTATTTATAAAACTATGAGCAGTTCTGAACTTTCTCATATTACTTCTTTTACTATCAACTAATTCAACAGGTTGTGATTCATCAAAACCATCACCAGATGATGGAAATAACACATAAACAGTAACAAAAACCGATAGAAATATGAATAATCGTTTGGTGTTATATGCCATTTTCTTCACATGAATTGAATTGAATTAAATGAAAGGAATGGTAGCCAGAAAAATATCGCCGGTAAGAATCTATAGGGGCTTTTTGAGAGGACGCTTCCCACTTTGTTATCTTCTCCAATTTGCAGGTTTTCCGAGGAATAGGGCAGAAAATTGTGTTCGAAAGGAGAGAAGGAGAGAAAAATCAATTTTTCTGTGATTTGAAGTATTTTTGATCATCGGAAAATTGTGAAAACTTGATTTTCTCATACATGTGTTGGAAATCAGAATTATAATGAATCAGAAAACAATCCGATAGAAGTAAAGGCACATAAATGTTGTATGATGGCTTTAATTCTTTGTATAAATAGTAAAAATCGCTGTAGAACCAAAATTAAATACATTTTTTTTACATCGGGCTCAAAACTATGCAATTGGGTTAGGCTCAGGTTGTTCTGAAAGTTTTCCGAGCAATGTACGCAAAAATCGAAAATTGTTCCGAAAAATATTCTGCCTTGGTCAAAAACAAGTCAGAATCTTCTCACACCAGTTGATCGTCTGTCTGATTGAATTGCTTAAGATAAATCTGAAAAGTTTTTTGTTTAATTAAAAAAAAATGTTTTTTTTTTTCAAATATCAGAAAACGATTTCTGATTTTTTAATGAAATTTGAGAATCCGGTTTTTCAAAAAAGGCGATAAAATCTTTTTACATGATCTATTTATATAATTTAAAATTCTTCATTTTTCTATTCATCTCCAGAAAAACTTCATAAAAGGATAAAGCAAGAGAAATATGAGCAATGATTCCCGTAAAACACAATCAACACGAAAAAATATCGTGTGTTCGAGCATAATCAGTTAGTTCGCGGAAAATGTGCTCACGCCACGAATCCACGTTCTGCTCGACATCCAAATTATGATCGTAGGGCATTGGTGGAGGAGCGTAGACCTTCAGAAAAATTCGGTTTAGAAAATAAGTTTGTTTCAGGAAAATAGGAAGTTACCTCAACTTCATCGAACCAAACATTAACATACGGATGCCGGAGAGCATCATCAACTGAAATTCGACGTTCTGGATCTATCACCAGCATTCGAGATAGCAAGTCTCTAGCCTGTCCAGCGGTTAGCCTTGATGAATCTGCTGCTGGTGGAAACATGTTATCCGAAAATAAAACATCGAAAGGTGTCGCCGCATATCTTGGTCGATTCTCAACATAATTCCTAACCGTCGGTTGTAACCGCTCCAAAAAACTGCGCTCTGGTGTCCCAAGTTGCTCGATAATCCTAGTCCACTGGTCAATATGATCACCACCTGGGAAAAGAACTCGCCCTCTAATCAACTCTCCAAATATACAACCAATCGACCAGACATCAACATTTTCCTTATATCCCATTCCTAAAATGACTTCCGGTGCTCGATAATATCTTGTGACTACATATGGTGTCATCATAAATGCTTCAACGGCGGTGCGAGCAAGACCAAAGTCAAGAATTTTCAAAGTGCAATCACTGCGTACCACAATGTTCGAAGGTTTTAGATCCTGCAAATTTACGGTCTTGTGAAAAATGAACTATCAGACTATTTCATCAACATCTCCAACAATCCCATCCAAGTTTCAAGACCCCCATTATCCGTACCCTATGAATTATTCCAGCGCTATGAAGATGCCGAATTCCGCACAACATCTGATACAACAAATAAGATAATCTTTCATGATCCAAATCCATTTGTATCACTTGACACAAATTTGCGTCCATTAACTCCATAACAATGTATAAATCATTGAATTCGTCCAACGATTTTTGCGGTGTAAAACAATTTAATATTCCTATGATCTGTAAAAAATAATATAAAAGTCAGAATCCAAAAATAAGTTGTTCTTACATTTTTATGATTCACTAAGCTCATCAATTTGAGCTCTCGATATGCTCTTTTTGCGTGTGTCACATTTTGAAAAGGCCGTGACAACTTCTTGATAGCCACTTGTTCATTTCTCACAGTATCCAATGCGGAGCACACAATCCCCTGCGCTCCCGAACCTATTAACCGTAAATTTTGATAGCGTTTCAGAACGACCATTTGAGCCTCGCCAATTGTCACCGCATAATAATTGTCGGGAACATGATGAGTTGATGGCGAGTCCATTGAAAGTCCGCTGAAGACAGAAAAAATAAATATGAATGAGCCCAGAAGTTGTATAGAAAATCCCCGGAGACAACTTATAAATCATATGAAGCATATTTTTCTCTTTTTTCTGTGTCTTGCGCTTTTGTACTAACAATAAAAAGTGTGCCTAGAAAATAAATTCTCGGAAAAACACATACCCGTGAACCGGACTGAAACCCGATTGACAACTGTCCAATGAAACGACGTCGTCTTCGCGGCCAGATGATGGAACTAGCCACTGCAAAACATATTTGGGAGTCAGTGAGTGTATTTTTGAATAATCATTTAAGTTTAGAAAATTGTACAATCATGAAACAAATTGAAGAAACCAGAATTGATATTCAAAGCAGTTCAAAAATTCAAAACTCACATTTCCGACAGATTCGATAAAACTATTGAAATGTCCACGTGTTCCACGTATCAATGATGACAACGACGAGGAGGCCAGAAGTGAATTGTGATCCTCGTCCACCACTACACTTCTACCTTAAAAAAAATAAAAATGATATCACAAATTGAATTGACTTAAAATGACGTGTATATAGTGCAGAAAAATGATGATGATAGAGAAAAAAGACGCTCGCTCTAATTGGACCTTTTTTCATTCTTTTTCTTCTTGTTTTTTTTGTTGTATTCTTTGGTTGATTTCTTAGGGTTCTTATTGAGGCTCGAAATTTTTTGAAGTCGGATCAGATTATTCAACAAGGAGACCTAGAAACCCATGAACATAATTTTGGTGACCCAGATAGTTTCCGGAAGACTACAAATAAGATTTTGAGGGCCTAGAATCCCCTGGCCTAGTAGATTGGAAAACATTTTTTACATTAATCCGTTTGATAAGTTCCAACAATTTTGGATACCTCGAGTCGAATTTTTTGAATTCGATGAAGTTCAGGACAAAATTGGCAAATCCCGATATCCTAAACTCTCCTTTTTCAACAAAGTCATACAAAAACAGAAAAATCTTCAAAAAATGTTTTTTTTTTTTAGAAAAAACAGGCTAAGAAAAGTAGTAGTAAAAAGAGAAGAGTCTCTGTGAAGAAATGAAATAGAGGAGACGTGGGGGTAGGAGAAAAAAGGAGCAAAAACGGAGAGAGCCAAATCGATTTCCCTCCCCTCTTCTTTTCCCTTCTTCTTCCTCTTCTTTTGCTTCTTCTTGGCTATTTTTGGGGCGAAAAAAGACCACACCACAGCTTACACCACAAGAAAAAGCAGCAAGAAAAAAAAAGGAATTTTTGGGAGGGCCCCCAGGGGACCATGAATTATTAGAATATTCAAGTAGAGTCAGAGATTCAGATTTATTGGCTTCCCAAAACTTCTTGAGTGGATAAAAAGAGAACTTTTCGAATGAAAAGAAAAGAATGTGTACTTTTAGGTTGTTACTTGAATTTAATCAGGATAATTGAATTTTTTCGGGGGCACAGAGAAGGGCACAGCCTAAGCTAGAATAGGCTTTTGTTCTTTGATGGGGTGAAGAAGAAGACAAAGAAAAGATGACGAAGCAATTTGCTAACATTTTTTGTAGTAATCAGAAAGCTCGTGAGTTTGGATAATTTTTTTGGATGATTTCATTAAATAATTCGCCCTGAACTTTTAGATAACTAGATCTTTCTGGATTCCAGTTACCTATTTATACCAAAGAAATTTTGAATTCTAGAGTTTCTAGATTTTTCTCAAAACTAACTAGATAACCTAATTTATATAGAACTTTTATACTTCTAAGTTATTCCAAAATTCAAACTATTTTTCATAAATTTTTTCAATTTTTCAACAACAAAAATATTTCAATAATTCTCAACATTTTTCCACGTGACCCAGAATTTCAAGTGCACTCAGTTTTAGTTTTCCATTTTCAAAATTTTAAAAATTCAAATCTCCATGGGAAAAAAGAAAAAGAAAACGAACCTGGATGTGACGAATAACTCGGTCGATCTTCCATACCTACAAAAATATCAATATTTTCTTATTTTTATTTTCCTCACACACGAAAAAAATTGACATTTATTTATACTAGATGTCAGATGAAAAAAAAACATCGAGCGAAAAAACGAGAGCAAAAAAAGGGAGAAATTTGAGATTTTGAGTGAAGAAAAGAGGAGTGCGCGACAATTTTGTGCTCTCATGATTTTCGCGTCAAAAAAAAAAAAGAATTTTTTTGGCGAAAAAAAGTAGAATAGAATTTTCACACACTAGAACTTGAAAAAAGTGCGATTTGAATTATTTATAGACTCATATCTTTTTTTTTGAAGAGTTCAACGAGCTACAGTAAGCTATCTAGAAATCCTTCTCTGAAAAAACCATAAAATTTTCTCACCCAAGAAAAAAGGGAAAAAACAAGAACAGGTAAAGAAATGTCCAAATCAATTTTCTCACTCAGTAGTCTCCCAAGAAAAATACTTTTCCTTAGCTCCCTGAAAAAAAAACAGAATTTTTCCAAGCAAATTTGATTTATTTTTGTCTTCCTATTCTTTTCAGGGTAAATAAAATGTGAACTTTTTTTTTCAAACAACCAAAAATGTAAGTTTTCTTCAGAACAAAAATGGATGAATGGCTGGGCAAAAATCAATGAGGAGAAAAATTTATTATAATCTGAGAGTCACGAGGAGCACACAAGAAAAAACTAGAAGAAGCAAAAGAAAAATAAGTGCGCGGATTAAATATTTCAGAAGAAAAAATGTGAGGCTTCTTCTTCTTCGTGTCGCTTTTTTGAACATAACAGAAATATGTGTATAGTTTTTTTTGGGAAAAAATCGCTTTTGGGAATTGTTTTTCAGAGATTTTTCGAGGCTATTATTTTTGCAGAACGATTTTTGAGAACTCAAGGATTTTTCAGATCAGAAATATTTTTGAAAAATTATTATTTTTTTTTTTTTAAATACTCGACAAACTATAAAGTTTTCTAGTAAATTTTGCTTTGTGAAAAATTAATGATCGAAAAAAAGGAGCTATTTTTCTTAACATGTTTGAAATTTAATTTCGAAAAATATGTAGGCTTCATTAAAAAATCATCAAAAATTTTCAAGATCAAAGGCTTCTACAATATTTTTTTCAAATTTTGCTATTTTGGTCGAGGCTCTCAAAAATTAAATCGCATCAAATCCAAGCTTCATCTATTTAATTTTTTCTAACATAAAAAATCTCGAAAATCTGAGACACGATTAAACTTAGAGTCAAACTACCAAGACAAAATCAAAGGGCATTCAAACGACTTCCGGATAACATCATACCAACATTTTGTTCAGCTATCTATCTAACTAAAAAATGTAATCGAACGAGAAAAATGTGATAAACAAAAAAGGCAAAATATTTTTTTGAGAGTTGTGGGGGGGGGGGCTAATAAAAACATGAAAGCTTCTTCTTTTTTCCTTCTTCGTTTTCTCGCGCACCAACAGAGGACCACTCTCGTCATCAAAGTCTCCTCAATTCTAATGCTATTTCTTGATATCTCGTTTATTCTATTTCTTTATATACATATATTTATATAGAATAGAAAATATTCACTGGACGGGCGGGCGGGCGGCCCGTTGAATGGACAGATGGATGGAAAATTGGAGCAAAATGAGGGAAAAGAAGGAGGAGAATGGAGAAGGTAATAAGATTTTGATGGTGCGGAAAATTGAGAAAGTCTGAAAATGAAACAAATTGTAGCATTCCTTTTAGACACCGAACAAGATGATCTAATGCAAAAATACTTTGACGTCCAAATTTTTGAAGCGCCTCTGGAGGAGCATTTCAAGGTTACTATCACCTACGGAAACATTTAATGAAGATAGATTTATTTTCTTATCTCTTTTTTTGTCTCTTTCCTCATGTATTACACAACACAATATTTTTTGCTGAAAAACCTTGTAAGATAATTTTTTCTGGAAAAAAAGAGGAAGTGAAAAACTGGATAAGTTTAACACAGCTTTTGCTATAAAATAGTTGGCTGGATTATTGAGAATATCATTCATTTGAAGATGTTTGAAGAAAAGGTATTAGTTGGAGTTGCTTCAACTTTCTCAACTTTGGCTGTTGTTGCATGCCTTGTTGTTATTCCTTCTCTTTATCAAACTATTAATGAAGTTCATGATGAGGTATGTCACATTTTTTCTCTCGAAATTCATATAGTGAACTATTATAGGTTTTGGATGGTGTTCAAGTTTTCCGCGTTGAAACCGATTCAGCATGGAATGAGATGATGGATATTCAAATCACAGTCACTCCACCATCAAAGCCACGTGTCAACCCATTCAACAGCGTTTTCCGTCAAAAACGTCAAGATTTCTCTGGACTTCCAGCCTGGTGTCAATGCGAACCACCAAAGCCAAATTGTCCACCAGGACCACCGGGACCACCAGGACCTCCAGGACAACCAGGATTACCAGGCCCACCAGGACCAAAGGGAGATGATAACACTTCTACTTATGCTCCAATCACTTGTGCTCCAATTCAAACTGATTGTATTTCTTGCCCACCAGGACAACCTGGACAACCTGGACCACCAGGACCAGCTGGGCCACTTGGACCAAATGGACAACCAGGTCAACCAGGACAACCAGGAAATCAAGGACAACCAGGAAATCCAGGAGCTCCAGGAGATAATGGACAACCAGGTCAACCAGGAGGACCAGGACAACCTGGATTACCAGGAAAAGATGGACAACGTGGATCAGGACAACCTGGAGCACCAGGATCACCAGGAAATCCAGGACCATCTGGACCAAATGGACAACCTGGACAACCAGGAAATAACGGCCCACAAGGACCACCTGGACCAGCTGGTGGAGATGGTCAACCAGGACCACAAGGACCAGACGGACAACCAGGAGGCCCAGGAGGACCAGGACTTCCAGGATCTGATGCTGCTTATTGCTCATGTCCACCAAGATCTGCTGTCTTCCTTTCTCGTCAATAATTTCTTGTATATTTTGATTAAAATAAATGTTTCATTCCAATGGGGTTATATTGAAATACTTTTGAAGTATATTAAAAATCTCTGCTAATGATTGAATGAACAGTGAAACCAAATTTATGGAATCAATCAATCACATCACATCAAAAATAACTATGGAACTTCGTTAGAAACCCCTTGGTCTATGAGAAAATCATCCAGTACAAGATTCAAATCGATTTGTACTTTACACCGTTTGAGAAAAAAAAATCAAGTCACAAAAAATCACAAAAACAAACTTCAAAAAACGATAAAAAAATAAAAACATAATTTCGGCTTTCTTGTTACTATCATCAAGCGACTTTTTGATGAAATAACTTTTTTTTCATTTTTAAATCATATTTTCACCCGGATACTTGTCCATATCCACAAAAAACCCAATATGTCCCCCTTCTTGTTTCAAAGTTCTAACAACCTTTAGAAACAACACACGCCTAATTCATAATTCAGAAAAAAAGAAATATTATTTCTCCCGAAATCAAAGTTTTTAAAAGAAAACTTCCTTTCAAAAGCATCCTCGATTCAAATGAAAATCAGTTTAAAAAATTTCGAACTCTAGAGAACTCCCTCCGACTAAAATTTCACTACTCAATGGAACCCAAAAAAATAACTAACCTTTGAAATTTCGACCATTCCTCGATCATCTTATCGCTCAAAATTGATGCATTTCTTCATTCTTTCCAACAAAAATCATCTCCAATATTTTCATCCACGACCAATCTGAAAAATATTTTCAATTTTTTGGAAACGTTTGGTTGTTTTTTTATTCTCATAGTCAATTCAAGAATGAGGGTGTTAAAAAACATTATTTGAACTTTAAATATTTGTTTCAATTCAAAATGAATTCATTAATTCATAAAAACTAACCAGTTCAAAGCTTGTGCGAAAGCGCTTTGCAATCCGCAATATAATCGATTTCAACATCTGATTGTGGTTGAATTTCCAACGCGATTTTCAAGTATTTTCGAGCATTTTCCTTGTCTTTGAGTCCAACATAGGTTTTTGCGATGTAATAAAAATTCTCAATCCATTTTGGTTCGATTTTATAGCAAGCTAGGAAATCTTCGAGGGCTTCTTCGAATGTATGAGTAGGAACTGTTGCGTAGAAAGTTGAAGCGAGCTGAAAACATCTTGAAATTAATTTTTTTTATCTAAAAAATTATTTTCACACGATTATCAGATTTTGAGTATGGATTCTTTCCAAAATACTTACCTTTCTCTCAAGCCATGTCAAACTTGCAACTGTGAACTTATAACGAGCACGCAAATGCAACAAAACATAATCATTTGGTTGCATCGTGATTGCTTTATCCAAAAGTGATTTGAATTTGTTACCCATTTCGATTTTCTGCTTCGTTGGAAGGGTTTAGCACTTTGTCCAGTCAAAACAGCACACCATTTTACTGATTTGAAATGTGTCGGATCTGTCTTCATTCCTTCTTCAGCATATTTTATTCCCTCATAGATGTATGCGATTCGCTTCGCCTTTGGAGAAATCGTCGATTTTTCGTGGCAGAATTGAGCGAGACGCCAAAGAACTTCAGGCGAATGATCACCTTTCTCATAGGCTGATTTCAATTTTTCATAACCGATGTCGCGTTTATTACTACCGAAACAGCTGTCAATTTCTGTGAAATTCTGAAAATACATAAAATATATATTTTGTCGATGAATAGAGCCTAGGAAAAACCTACCATCACTTCTTGCAAATCAATTCAAAAATAATGAGTGAGCGCATTTTTGTGAATTTTGATACGTGGTTGAAAAATATAGAACACGTTTATATTTTTCGAGTGTTCATCACCTGGTTTTTCTGCAAAAAGAAATTTCAGGTTATCGTCTTCTGACGCATTGTTGTGGCTTGAGAAAATGTTTAGAATATTCCTAATAGAATTTCAAACAGGCAGAAGAAGAAAAAAAAAACTCGAAAAAAATTAGAAAACTCAAAACTTCCGGGAAAAGCAACGCGGCCGAGGGACTAGAAAATCAAACATTATTCAAAAATATGTTTTTCTTTTTTTTTTCTTTTTGTTTTTTTTTCTTTTTGAGGTGCCCAAATTCAACGTGCGAAATGTGTTTTCGATATTTCGATCTTCGAATTGTTGATGTTCTAACCGTCAGAAGACGATAACCTAAAATTTCTTTTTGCAGAAAAAGCAGGTGATGAACGCTCGAAAACAATACAAACGTGTTCTATATTTTTCAACCACGTATCAAAATTCTCAAAAATGCGCTCACTCATTATTTTTGAATTGATTTGCAAGAAGTGATGGTAGGTTTTTCCTAGGTTCTATTCATCGATAAATTTTTTTGTATTTTCAGAATTTCACAGAAATTGACAGCTGTTTCGGTAGTGATAAACGCGACATCGGTTATGAAAAATTAAAATCAGCCTATGAGAAAGGTGATCATTCGCCTGAAGTTCTTTGGCGTCTCGCTCAATTCTGCCACGAAAAATCGACGATTTCTCCAAAGGCGAAGCGAATCGCATACATCAATGAGGGAATAAAATATGCTGAAGAAGGAATGAAGACAGATCCGACACATTTCAAATCAGTAAAATGGTGTGCTGTTTTGACTGGACAAAGTGCTGAAACCCTTCCAACGAAGCAGAAAATCGAAATGGGTAACAAATTCAAATCACTTTTGGATAAAGCAATCACGATGCAACCAAATGATTATGTTTTGTTGCATTTGCGTGCTCGTTATAAGTTTACAGTTGCAAGTTTGACATGGCTTGAGAGAAAGGTAAGTATTTTGAAAAGAATCTATACTCAAAATCTGATACTCGTGTAAAAATAATTTTTTAGATAAAAAAAATTAATTTAAAAATTATTTCAGTTCGCTTCAACTTTCTACGCAACAGTTCCTACTCATACATTCGAAGAAGCCCTCGAAGATTTCCTAGCTTGCTATAAAATCGAACCAAAATGGATTGAAAATCTTTATTACATCGCAAAAACCTATGTTGGACTGAAAGACAAGGAAAATGCTCGAAAATACTTGAAAATCGCTTTGGAAATTCAACCACAAACGGATGTTGAAATCGATTATATTGCGGATTGCAAAGCGCTTTCACACAAGCTTTGAACTGGTTAGTTTTCATGAATGAATGAATTCATTTTGAATAGAAACAAATATTTCAAGTTCAAATAATGTTTTTTAACACACTCATTCTTGAATTGACTATAGGAGTAACATTTCGTTTTCTACATATAAGAAGTTGTAAGTATTCTGAAACAGGAAAAGTATAAACTAAAACCGATTAGAAAAACATAAAAACCTTTAGTCGCTTTTCGATATCCATTAATTATAAAAATATTTGGCAATGGATCAATTACTGGGTAAAGTGCCAAAGTTATAGTAACAATACCACTCAAGTGTCCCAAATCTTTTCCAGCTATTGCACAAAGATGAATGCTTAGAACCGGAAAGTTAAGGAGAATGAGGGGGATTGTGGTTTGAGCGACAAGTGCATAGAAAAGTTGGGATTGCAAAACTTGATAAGATGTTGATACTGATTTTACCATGTTTTTTGATATTTCTTTATAACATGCGATTCCAAAGTAGAAGATTGATATCAGAGTTATGGTCTGAACATCTTTTGATTTGTATCACTTTTTCATGCCAAACTTACCAAATCAAAGTCTTGTATAAGATGAGATGTTATATCTTTCACTTGAATATACGGAGTTCCATTTTTGTCCCTTGGAAAGAAAAATAGACCCAGATACTCTGTTGTGTCGATATCAATATCCAAATCTGTCATAATGTGTTCTCTAACATGATCAGTCAAGGTTTGGCTAGGGGCCGCTAATACGTACGTTGCAAAGAACCAGACTGATCCGGAAATTAAGGGAATCGACATCCAAAATAAGATTTTGACCGATTTGAATGTTTTGAGTAAAGCACTACTGAAATATAAAATATAATATCGTGAGATAGGAAATTATTTTTGAAAACACACTTTTTGGCAATCAAGTATCTATAGTAAAACTGTAGTGAGAATAATCCTAGAACAGTTCCAAAATTAGCACAATACAATCCATTGAAAACATTTATCAACATCGGAATATTTTTGAAAAATGATGTCTCGGAAACCACAAACATAAGAAAAACAGATGAGTGGGAATAAAATATCTGTAAAAATACGTATTGTATTGTAATTGGTGAAAAATACTACCGGTGATGCAAGAAAATCCACAATCGAATAAATTATTTCGAAAGTTGAAGTGTAGGCGAGAAGATACTTGTAAGTTCCAAGAGCTTTGCATGATTTATTGGCAATTAGATGAATTAAGAAAGCATTTATAAGCACGGATATTGCAGTGCAAAAATATTGCACATTATGCTGGATATTTATCCATGTTCCGCCGTGCATTGTCAATTTTCTTCTGAATACGGTCAGAGATCGGAGTTTATATTTCTAGACAGTTGGGCGGTACGCTTGCTATTTTCGTGGAAATACGAGAACTTTTGATGATCTTGAATCTCCTGTGAATTGATAATTGTTATGGAGCTCAAAATACCACTTATCGGTTACAGTACAACTAGAAAGTCCAAATTTTCTTACAGAAAAATACACGTTGAGCCTAAGATTTTGAGAACCTGATTGTGAGACTACAGGCTTTCAAGATCCTTAAAAAGCGTATCGATTCATCCTAATTAGAGATTCCTTGTTGTTAAATTACTAGCCGTTATTTTTTACCAATTTCAGTTTCAGAAAAACAAATACACTTTTTTCAAGTTATCATTGTTTATTGAGATCTAAATAATACAATAATATTTACAAATTAAGAATAAAGCAAAAAAAAAAGTTAAACCTCGTATACAAAAATAAAAATGGCAATAATTAGTCAACTTCTTCAACAGTTGGACCAGATGGATAATTATTGTTTGAGAATCCAGAACTTTGTGGATTTCCACAATTTGATTGATTTGTTTGTCCTTGTTGATGCATTTTTGACATAATTTGTTGACAAACTTGTTTGATTTCTTGATATTTTGCATCAATTTCATCTTTTTCAGCCAAAGTATTTGATTCCATCCATTTTAATGTTTGTTCACAAATATTTTTAGCTTTTTCAACATCTTCTTGTGATAATTTCGAACCATATTCATCAATTGCTTGTTTAATTTGGAAAATATATGCTTCCAATTGATTTCTTGCTCCAATTTTTTGTCGTTGTTCTTCATCTTCTTTTTCAAATTGTTTTGCTTCATTTACCATTCGATCAATATCATTTTGTGATAATCTTCCTTTTTCATTTTTAATTTGAATATGATTCGATTTTCCAGTTGATTTATCACAAGCTGTTACATTCAATATTCCATTTGCATCAATATCAAATGTTACTTCAATTTGTGGAACACCTCTTGGAGCTGGTGGAATTCCACATAATTCAAATGTTCCCAATTGATGATTATCTTTTGTCATTGCTCTTTCACCTTCAAATACTTGAATTGAAACACCTGGTTGATTATCAGCATATGTTGAAAAGGTTTTTGATGCTTTTGTTGGAATTCGAGTATTTCGATCAATCAAATTTGTCATAACTCCACCAGCAGTTTCAATTCCAAGACTCAAAGGAGCAACATCAACCAATAAAACATCCTTGATTGAATCATCTTTAATTCCAGAAAGAATTGCAGCTTGAACAGCAGCACCATAAGCAACAGCTTCATCTGGATTGATTGAACAATTCAATTCTTTTCCATTGAAGAAATCTTTCAACATTTTTTGAATTTTTGGAACTCTTGTTGATCCTCCAACCAAAACAACTTCATCGATTTTTGATTTATCCAATTTTGCATCTCTCAATGCTTTTTCAACTGGTTCCAATGTTTTTCGGAATAAATCAGCACACAATTCTTCAAATCTTGCACGTGTAATTCTTGAACATAAATCAATTCCTTCAAAAAGTGAATCAACTTCAACAATCGCTTCCGATGAACTTGATAATGTTCTTTTTGCTCTTTCACATGCAGTTCTTAATCTTCGAATTGCTCTTGGATTTGATTGAATATCTTTTCCATGTTTTCTTTTAAATTCACTCATAAAATGTTGAAGAATTCTTTGATCAAAATCTTCTCCTCCTAAATGTGTATCACCAGCTGTTGATTTAACTTCAAATATCGAACCATCAGCAATTGTTAGAATTGATACATCAAATGTTCCACCACCCAAATCAAAGATCAATACATTTTTCTCATCATCTTTGATATTTTTGTCTAATCCATATGCTAATGCAGCTGCAGTTGGTTCATTTATAATTCGAATTGCATTTAAACCCGCAATTGTTGCTGCATCTTTTGTTGCTTGTCTTTGTGAATCATTAAAATATGCTGGTACAGTAATAACAGCATCTTTTATTTGATGTCCCAAATATGTTTCAGCTGTTTCTTTCATTTTTCCAAGTACCATTGCTGATATTTCTTCTGGATTGAATTCTCGTTTTTCTCCTTTCATTTCAACTTCAATTACTGGTTTTCCATTTTTTGATTTGATTGCAAATGGAAAATGTTTCATATCCTGTTGAACTGTTGAATCTGCGAATTTTCGACCAATCAATCTTTTTGCATCAAAAACTGTATTTTCTGGATTTCTAGCAGCTTGATCTTTTGCTGCATCTCCAACTAATCTTTCAGTTTCACTGAATGCAACATATGATGGTGTAGTCTTGTTTCCTTCAGAATTTGCAAGTATTTCAACCTGAAATTAAAAATATTTATTTTTCAAAATTTTATAAATAAAATAGACTTACCTTTCCATTCTGATATACTCCAACACATGAATATGTAGTACCCAAATCGATACCAATAGCTTTGCAACTAGACATGTTTGCTTGTTTTGTGAGCTTTGTAAATTTCAGAGAAATTATGAAAATACTACAGAAATCCGGACCTTTATATACACTTTTCCCCTTTTTCGAGAACCTTCTCAATTTTTCCAGTGTCTTTCTTTCTCTGTGTCTCTTCTCCTCTCACACTCTGCGTCTCCTTTTCTCGTGTTTGCGAGAATATTCTAGAAAAGGGACAGTTTTGTGCATAGAATTGAATGGAAATTCTGGAGTTTTCTAGAAATTCGGATTTTTTCGAAATTTGAAATGAAAGATTTAAAAAAATTGGCTTTTATAAAAAAAGTTTTCCGATCTTCAGGAAATTTTCACTTAAAAATAACGAGTTTCATAAAAGTTACAACCTGGTTCAATTCCTACTAAATGTTGTGACTATGGGATTCTGACATCGTAGAAATCAGGTCCATTGTGAAAATATATATGAAATTGTCGTAACATTAAAACTGCCAACTGGCAACTTTCAAAGTAGTTCCACAGAACTCCCCGATAAAACGACAAAAATGAATTATTTGAACTTTCCAATTTAATACGTGCCTATCAAGAAATTACCTGAATATTATCTGCTACAATGTTTTTTTTCAAAAAACAATTTCAGATAATCCCCCCTCCCAAATTCAACTAATCCAAAGAACACTCAAAGTTACAACGAATTCCCATCCGATTTCAACTTGAAGTGCCATAAAAGTACATTTCTTCTGGCTCCAATAGAAGATCAAATGTCCAGACATCTTTCCATTTAATCAAGAAAAGGTAATTTCCCCCTTTTTTCAATTTCGCCACTTTTTTTCCAATTTCAACTTTGACACCAGACGATGTTTGATTGCATTGTTTGGCCTGCAAATGGGCAAACATAAAAAAGCGCTATTTGAATTCTGCAAAAGTAGATCTGCTTCTGGAAAATAACGTTCAAACAACACACAATTGGAAATTAAAATCTAAATATTTCAATTAAAACTTGTTGATTTATCCAAAAAAAATTGTTAGAGTTTAGACATGAATGTTCAAAAATGAATATTGAAAAGCAAAAATATCAGATTTCATTGACGACATTCTTTGATGAATTAAAATTATGAACTTTAGAAGATCTTGCTTGTTTTCTTGGTTGGCTCATGAGATTTCTCACATCACAAATTAATTAATCAAATTAGTTAGAATTCGGTTCGTGAGAAAACTTAGATTCAAAAACATTGATTTTTTTTTGTTATTTTTGAGTTATATTTTTAGAGCTAGTTAGGCTTATAATTTATAGTGTGGCAAAGTTGACAATTTTTTCACGTGAAATTTTAGATTAGAAAATGTTTATTGTGGAGTTAATGTTAAACATTTGCAATGTAGATTTTCCCTTGTAATTTGTGCCACGTAAACTCCCTTGGATATCTCTTACAAATTCTGTCATACAAAAATTCATCAGATTTCTGAATTTAAAAAAACGGAATCTACTGATCTACTTGATCCGCTATGACTATATTTTCCCACAATTATTTTTTGCAATTTGTTCACCAAAAAATTTGTCTTCTAGCCTAGTTATTTTATAGCTATATTTATGATATCATCGATTTTCTCACGATCTTTCAAATTCCGGGAAAATGTGCGCAATTTTCCAGGAAAAGAAAAATGTATCGAACTTTCACATCGCGAACCAAAAGCGCACCAGCTTCGTCTTCAACTCATTCTTCTAAATCGGTAGGAATTTTTTTTAATCTGAAAATTTCTCTAGACACTGTTTTCAGTCAAAGTTTCATTAACTTTAAGGGCCTAAAATTCCGGGTTACTGTAGAATCTAATTTCAAGACTCCATTGTGAAATGTCCTTGATTTTCAGTAGATAAATTTTGTTGATTTCCAAACTGAAATTTATTCCACATTGAAAATTTTTCAGTAGCAGCCTGACTGGAGGCGTTTTCCATGTCTCCCATTTTTATGGTCCCAATCTAAACCACGCCCACATTTCTAACATTTGTTGCCTCTACTTGGAATAGCGATGAGCAGCAAAATGTGCTGGCTCTTTGACTGGGCTCGAATTTCTCTCTAATTACATAATACTTTTTTCTGTGAAGAAAAAACATTTTTTTGTCAAAGATATGCACTTTTTTTGTTGTTTTTTGTTTTCTCCTTCTGAAAAAAACACGTCGAAAATCATCTATGGCAAAAATTTAATTTCGTACTCGACACGAACACGTAAACATTTTTTCCAATTTCCTTAAAAAGTTTGTTTTTTTCCGAGTATTTTTTCTGAAAATCAGTGTCTGTCTCTCCAAAAAATTGTGACAAATTAAATTTCCAAGTTTTTTTTTGGAATTTTTCATGAATTATATGTTTTTGAGCTCATGACGTGGAATTTCTCAAAAAATCAAAATTAGTATCATGCGCATTTATTCAAGCATAGTTTAATATTTATCACACGACTGAAGACAATTTTGCAACTTCAATCTTCTTATTTTTCCTCGTTGAAAAACCAAAGAACTTTGAGATTAGTGCACGAAAAAATTGATGAGGCTCCATTTTTTTTTCGCTTTTTGGTGAAAAAATTTGTTTAGTTTTTTTTTTTCGAAAAAGTTAGATTTTTCGATTATAAATTCAAGAATTTGTTAGTATGTACATATTTTTTGTAATATTCTATTATTTTTCGAAAAAAGGGCAAAGTTTGAGCATAACCTGTGAGTCGAGTTTTAGAGCTCCTAATTCTAAGGGCGCCTCATAATTTTTGCCCACATTTTCCCAAATTGTTTCTCATTTGAAAATATTTATGTATTTTGATTAACTTTTCTATTTTTTCACGAAACGCACTTCCGGCTCAAAAAACATATTATTTAGTTTTTTCTCTAGTATATAATTTTATCACATGGCGGCCAAGCGACAAACAAAGTTCTTTTTTTTTTCTTGAAAATTATTGTCTGAAAATATGAATGACAAACTTTGGTTGAGATATTTTCTCAAGCGAAAAATCAAAACCACGTGGTTACCAAATTCATTTTCTCACAGACTTGTAGTTATCAGATCTACATACATAAGACATTTTCTGCTTACTCACTCTATTTATTTTGCTCAAGTTTAAAAGGTTAGGCTTTGAAATCTAGGCAAAAACTGTGAATTTAGAAGTCTCATAGGCCTGAGCTTAATTTTCAAAACCTCTTGCAGATTTTTCTTCCCAAGTAATTTTTGTCTACAAAACATAGCTATCACAAATACAAATTGATGAATTGAGATAAATTTTCTCGGCGTCTCACGAAAATTGTGATCTAGCACAACGTGGTTCAAATATATCTTCAATTTATCAATGTTCGTGTTTTTTTTTGTCTGTTTCAATTTGAGACAGACACAAATTATCTGGCGAATCCCTGAAGATTTGAAACAAAATGCTCTTCGGAGCACAGAAAAAAAAACATCAAAAGAACATTTAATTTTATTCCATTTCCTCATTTTTCTTTTCTGGAATTCATTTCGAATTCAATTGATACCAAAGGATCAGTCTTTTTCATTTGAATGAAACTAATTTATTTTCCATTTCCTTTTTTCGGTTTTCCAGCATGACTAACTTTTGTCCCCCCAGCAATTATGCTTTTTTTTGACATTTAGTCAAAAAAGCAAAGTTTGAGAAAAATATCGAATAACGGATTTTTCCCATTTTTCCTTTATTTATTCGACAAAACAAATACGTTTTCCAAAAGTTTGAGATTTTACGTGACTTTTGAAAATCCCAACTTTTTTTCAAAAAAAAAAAAAGAAAAACAATTTTTGTGCCTCCCAAAATTGCACATGCTCACTCACATACATTTATTGCTGTGTTTTGTTCCAAATTTTTTGCTGGCTTGAAAAAAATTTCAGCAGGGATAAGGCTTCGAACCTGCGTTGTAATTACGACTGGAAGCCTAGAGCTTTACCCATTTGACCATTTTTTTCTTGCTCCAAAAAGAACGAAGAACATTTTGATTTTCAAACTTTCCAAAATACTCGTGAGAAATCAACACATGAAAATTGTGTGGGCAAATGCAAAAAGAGAGCTCAAGAAAAATATGACTAGGATTAGCCTGAGGCTCCAAAATGATTACCACAATTTGTTGCATTTTTTATTTATTTGAAGTTAGGCTTAAGCTTCAACTAAAGCTAAAAATGGCAGGATTCTCATTGATACATTTAATTGCGTTTTTTAATCATACTAAAATTTTCTATCAACAAAAAAACCAAGATCTTTTTTCTTCTTTTTTTTGCAACACAAAAGGCAAAAGTGTGTGTACGTGACTGAAAAAAGTGTCATTTTACTCGGGGAGACACGCCCATTTTTGGGGGGCCTACTAGCAGTGAAATTTCACACATTCCTCCTTTTTTTCAACACACAATAAACAACAAGCCAAATAAAGAAAGTCCGTCGACTTTTGAGCTGAGAAATTATGATTCCGGTGGGTTTTTTCATACAAAAAAAGAGAACTTGGATTTTTCCGAACTTTTTTTCTAAAGAAAAATGAGCAGAGATAGAGCGAAAATTAGATCAAGTCCAAAGTTTATCCAAAAAATGAGTTCTTTCAAAAATCACGATGTTTCTGATCCATTTTAGGCAAAAATTGAATTTTGGATCTATTTTTCAAAATAAAAAAAATAAAAAATGTTTTCCACGTGGCCCGAAAAACTTAGAAACCATTTTCAATAATTTTAAGGCCATGTGACTTTGTGAAATTTTTTGTGACGAAAAATAAGCGTTTCACTTTTTAAAGTTCAAAATACTGATTTTCGTGCCAAAATCGTACGTCAAAAATTCTAAGAACAACCAAGAGCTTCTCGGATTAATTTTAAACAAAAAAAAATCTAGGAATGAAAATTGTTCTTTGACGGCAGAAAGTTTGAAATATCTGTGTGGACACGTTGAGCCAGAACTAATATTCCCATCAATTCACAGTAAAGGCTCCATATATCCACGTATTTTTTTTGAATAAAAAACAATCTTTGTTAGGTGACTCAGAATGAAACATTGAAAATTATATTCATACATTTTTTATGTTCTCTTATGTCTCACATTTCTCAAAAAAATGCTCCAAATATTCTAGGATCTTCATCAAATGGCTCCAGCAAACATTGCATGGTATCCCTTCACTTCAGAAGAAAAAGCAGAACTCGAGCACTCATGGAGTTTAATTGAAGCCAAAAAGACCATCATTGCTTGTGATATTTATGAGATGATTTTCAATCAGGTTAGTTTTCTCTTTTTTTTCTGTTTCCGACTAGAAAAAAACCTACTTCATCTTGAGAAACTTGATTTAATCAAAAGCAAGAAAGATTCAAATTTCCTGGCAATTTCCCGTGTTTTCCAGTGTCCAGAAGCTCGTCGACTATTTCCGAAACTCAAATTCGTCAACTCGAAACCGGATCGAAAACAAAATGAGTTCACATTTCAAGCGATGCGATTTATGCAAGTCATAGAGGGAGCAGTTAAAGCAATCCACCATTTATCGACCCTTGATGTGATTCTTGACAATCTCGGAAGACGACATGGAAAATTAGAAGTCAACGGAAAATTCAGATCATATTACTGGTCAACATTTTTGGAATGTTCGATTTTTTGTATGCGAAATGCGTTGGCGAAAAGATTGAATGATAAAGAAGTGGATCGAGTGATTTGTTTGTGGCGATTTTTGTTGAGAGATGTTATGAAGAAAATAAAAGCTGGTACTACTGCGGATATTGCTCATCGTATGCAACAAATGAGCATTGATGATTCAAGAAAATTTTCATTGCCCGCAATTCATAAGGAATCAAATGCTTCAAGTGCAGAGGTAGGAATACAGTCGGAGGATTTCGGAGTGCCAAAGGAGGAACAGTGGGATGATCTTATTGAGTTATGTTTCACTGCAAAATTTCAACGTGGAAGACTTATATTATCTACTTAAAACTTTAGCCACATCATAATTCTTTCCAAAAGAAAACACTGGACCTCCTTTGGGTTTTTTCAAATAAAAATCCCTTTGAAAATTTTATCAAAATATTTTTAGGTAAATAATAATAATAATCATAAACGACACTAATATCAATATTCCACGAATATAAATTTCAGACCGATTTTGACGATATTCTCTAATCAATTCATGTCTAAAAATCAAAGACATTTCGGGCTTACCTCATATTGTGGATGACGAACTTTTATTTTTTCCCCCTACTTTTATTTATTCCCATTTTAAAATATCGCTCATTTTTTGAATGAATTTTCAAGCAAATCTTCATTTTTAATAACCCGTTTTCAATATAAATTAAAGTTTTTCAGAGAAATTTGAATTTAAAATCCTATCATAAGCAAAATATCACCGTCTTCGATATCCAAAAATATCCCACCAATTGCAAAGTTTTCCCTCAATTTGCATAATTTTTCGATAATATTTGACCGGGTTTTTGTCGCGCAGTAAATGTATACTGAATGTTTGCAAATAGCTATTTCGACAAATGAATTCGGGAATTTCAAAAAATGATAATCCACTCAAATGTCGACGTTTTACACCAGCAGCATCTGCAAGGATTCCGCTTACCAAAACATCTTCGGAAAGTTTTCGGAAATTACTTGAACTTGCAAATTTACTTGTCATTGCTTGATTGACTAACATTTGAGGAAGGGTTTCACCTGAAAAAAAACTATTTGAGAAAAATACTCACTTTCTGAGTTTAAACCTCGCCGTATTCGAAAATAAAACTCATCGAAACAAAATCTAATTCTGAATTCAATATTAAATTCAGTTCTGTGATTTCTGTTTTTCAAATTTTTTTCAGGAAATTCGTATTCAAAAAAACGTGATCTTAATTTGCATAATCTTGTTTCAAACAAAAATGTGTTTTGATTTCTACAAAAACTGAGAACCAAATAAATAAATTTATTTGTGAAGTTTCTAAACCAAAGTGGAAAATTTTTCATCGGTTGACCCAGATTTTCTCCCAAAAACAGTATACCTGCCATCATATAAGTCCCTGTGCTACAGTAAGCCGGAAATAATGGATACGGCCAAACTTGCATCGGAATTGCCCATTTCGTCTCATTTCGTTTCACAGTTCGAGTAACATCGCATTTTCCTAAAATCAGCGGAGCAACAGTTTCCTCGCAAAGTCTCAAATAATTATCCAAAATTAAAACATTATCTATATCTGCTTTCACCAGGCATTTTGATCTTGGATGATATCTGGAAAAAGTATAAAGTGATTATCTGAAATTCCAGAATTTTTCAAAAAAATTTGAAAATTTCATGAAACTCTTTTTGAATCTATAGATTACTATAGTTATCGTAGTCCAAGAGTATATCAAAACAATTTTAAAGGTGAGATTGTGATCAGCTAGTCGAAAAAACTTTATAGAAAAAATCATTGAACCAGAAAATATTCGTCATTTATTTTAATTCAAAGAAACAAACCTCATTTTATAAGTGAGCATTGAAATGGTCTTTGAAGCCAACCCATAATAACTTTCAGTCAAATCAGCGATTATCAAATCATTGAAAATCTCCTGCTCTTTTTGTAGTTTATGCATTTCTGAAGCTGTCGGTCGTCCCATTAGGAATTCCACTCTCGCTCTTCTCGTCCTTGTGGTATTCGCCCAAGATAGCCTTACTTGTTGTCGAAGTTCAACTTCGGAAGCCATTGTGGTTACCAAAACCAACAGTGTAAAATCAGCCGATGTTTCGGGAAACATCAAGTATGTTGTGGAGAAATCGAAAGGGCTTGGGTCATCATCTGAAAATTTGTATTTTTTTTTGTAAAAATTTTTTTGATTTTGTGAACTTTGAAAGCCCATGTGCAAAAAAATTCCAAAAAAATCTTCAAAAAAAAACGAACCATCCTGAAAAACCACAACACTTTGATTAATCAGCAGATAATATTTGAAAGCGGGAAGACAAATGACGCAGGCCAGAAAAACGTAGGGTAAAACGGGTACCGTTTTTGACACTATCATTTTTTATGGCTTCAAATTTTGGCGATGTGATTTCTTTTTTTCCGAAAAGACATTTCTTTTCTTCCGAAATAAGGATTTGATCAAGATAAGACAGATTGAGATCGAGGTGGAAATATCGATTGAATTACGTGTTTATTATTATGCATACATAGTTCAGAAAAAAGGCAATTTAACTTGAAACCCGAATTAATTAGAGGCAATTAAAGAATAACAATTAATTAGGTAATTAATTAAACATCAGCGGCTATTGGAGTTGTATAAGGGTCTCGAACCAAAGTATTTGTTTCTTGTTTTGTAGCGGTGTAGGCGGCGAATGCATTTGTAGTTGTGCTACCAGTTGTTGTGACATAACATGGTCGAAATGATAGAATCTGAGATACCTTCATTATTTGAATGTAACAATGTGTTTTTTTAAAATAAAATATTTCTAATTCAATAAAAAGTAAGATAACGTGCATTTTGGATTAAAAAAATCGAATTTCCAAATAATTTTTGAAAATCAGCTAGAAATAAGCTGGATTCATCTTATCAAATACATATTTCAAAAAGTCTTAAATTTTCTTACCATAGAATGCAACGCATTTCTGAACGATTCATTAACAAGGGCATATACAATCGGGTTTACGCAAGTTGATGAGATCCCGATCAGATGCATAAAGATGTACCTTAAAAATTGAACATTGTTATTTGATCTATGAATTTGTGGATTTATTGATTATCTTATTCATTTTAAACTCACATTTTATGCGAATAAGTGATATATTCCAAACCATTAAGCACATGATACAAATTCATTGGCGCCCAACAAATCGCATAAGTTAGAACAAGCAGGCAAAGTAGAAGAAGAGCTCGACGATTTCGATTCTGCATGTGAAGTCGGCGAGTTGTATCAACTGTTCGAGAGGCTTTTGAGCGTTTTTGGATGGTTGTTCCAATTTGAATGTAGGCGTAGGCAAGTGCAAGAAGTGGAAGGATGTACTGGAATTTTATAAATTCATAAAATTTTAAATATGTTTCCCCCAAAAACTATTCCCTATGTTTTCCAATCCCTCATTTTTGATGCTCAATCTCGAAATTTCCCATTAAAAAAATCTTCGTCTAAAAATATTCCAACCCCATAAAAGTTCCTCATTCCATTAAACATGTCATAAAGTTTTTCTTCATTCATTTTGCAAAATAAAAATCCCACGCTATTCACAAAAAAATCACATGTTCTCTAACAAGCTCGGATAAAAGGCTTCTTGTTCTGACTCATACATCAAAAAATCGCTCACCTGAATTCCCACAACGACAAAAGTGTACGTGGTTTTGGAAATAATCGCATTATTCCAGGCTTCTTCTCGCTCTGCGCATATTTCGGGCATCTTTTTTTGACAATAATTTACCTGAAAAAAGTTATTCATCTGAAAATTGAACAAAAGATCAGGCCAATTTCAAAATTGGGTTTTTCAAAAACCTCTAGGCTGAAGTTTGGACCAAAGAAGGTCTCATTTTTGTAGACTCACCATATTAACAGATTGTCGATCAGTCCATGGATCAAAAGGAGCAAGTTTTGAATTAACAGTCAGCGCATAAGGTAAAGCTATTAGAATTGAGATAATCCAAACAAAAGAGTAACAAAGAAGTGGAGCAGTTGCTGCAAGTCGCCATTGAACTGGACAAAGAGTTAGAAGAACTCGATCCATTGCGATGAATGCAAGAGTTAGTGAAGAGACAAATGTATTGACGGCTTGAACGCCAGATAACTGGAAAAAAAGAAAATTATTTTAAAGAACTTGGATATAATAATGAAATTTCAAAGAAAAGGTTTTTTTTTCATGAATTCAAACTTCCCATTTTCTGTAGAACTCCCATGACAATTTCTCATTCACTTGTCAACAATTTTTTGTTTACTCCCCAAAACAAGTTCGTGTGACTTCCTCCCATAAAAACTCACCACTTTACACGACATATCACCGAATGGCCAAAACAAATTCTGACTCTGATAAAGTGTGACCGGCGCTGTAACAACACATAAAATCAGATCCGAACAGGCCAGATTCACAATAAAGCTGTTTCTGAGATTTCGAAGATTTGCAGTTCTGACAAATGCGAGAAGAACAATGAAATTGGCTAATGCTCCAAAAGTGCAAACAAGACCATAAAGTGCAACAATTGGAGAACCTTCGAAAGTGATTTTGTAGAGACTATTCTGAAAATATATTATTGATTTTATTGTTCATCTCATCGTTTGAAATCTTCAAACTACTGGATGGTTTTCTATTTTTTTGTGGTGAATTTCAAGATTTTTCAAATTTTATGAAAAAATCGGATTTCAGAATTCAAAAATTCATATTCTGACCAAATTTAGCGTACTCAAAACATCCACTGATTCTTCCACGTCATAACCTTATTCTGCACACATTAGGATTTTTGGAATAATTTCACAGATTTACCAAAGTTCAGTTTCTTCACTCATTTTTTGCGATGTTTTTTTTCATAAATTTTATTTTATATTTTGTCTGAATGTAAGGTTGTGGGCAAATCATGAATATTTCATGAGGTGTTAGAAGGAAAAAAAAAAAGAAAATCAGAATCTGAAGAAAAATAAATGAAGAAATTGGATTTTCAAAGGTCATTGATGAATAATTTGAATTAAATGGGTTAGGGTTTCAAAGATTGTGAGTGAGAAAAGCGGATGTGATCGATGGTGTTGGATTTTTCGCGAATATATTATTAATGTGCAAAATTAGATTTCTGATAAATTTGATGAATCAGAAATGGAATTTTCTAGTTTCTTAATGTTCCTGAGCCAAGAGTTTAATGAATCATAGATTTTACATACTTTTTTCTATTTATTCCTGGTTGAATAAAAGATTAACGAGATGCATTTAAAATGCATCAGGAACTTTTTTTTGCAATAAGGAAACTTTTTTGAAATTTCTAGGAAAAAGATTTTTCAAACTAGAAAAACCATTTTGCTAATTTATTTGACGTGGAATTTCAGGGGGCTCACTTTCATAACAGAATTAGGTTGTGCCGAATAAAATCGTGATTTTTAGTCGTAAAAACTTCAGAGTTGGCAGGTGGAATTTTAAATTTAAAAAAAGCGAATGAAAGTTGAACATCACAACTTATTTCATTCAATTTTTCGAAAACCCAAAAATGTTTCACCAACCTGAAACTCATAAACTTTATCAAACCAATCGCATTCGATTTCTGTCCAGTCTCCACTAGAATTTGCCCGCATTTTTATGAGCTACAAAATGTGAAATAATAATTTAACGAAAAATTGGATAAGGAAGAAAATGAGACAAAAAAAATGAAAAATGTGACACAAAATTCATAAATAAATGAATTATTCCGAAATTGTACGGTTCGCTGGGCTCGATCTTAAGAAAAATTACTAGAAAAACACTTCACTTGAAAAAAATGAGAGGAAAAAAAAAAAGAAAAAGTGGGCTCTTCAAAAGGAATTTTTTGGAATATCTAAGTAACTCAATTGACCTGGCAGCTAGAAAAATGTGAATTTTTGCGAAGCGAAAAGAGAAAAAAACAAGTTGACACGAAATGTCAGGAATAAATTAATTGAAATTCTGTCCTCTCAAAAATTGTGCAGGTGGAATTCTGAAGCAGACGAACTTTTTGTTTTTCTTGACACACAAAAATGAATTTTTCAGGAGGCGGAGCTATTCATAAAAGGGTGTGAGAAAAAAAATGGACTTTTATTTTGAGAAGGACAGATCAAAACACGTGCTAAATAATTATTTTCCGGCTTTGCAGAAACTCAAGTAAAAAGTAGTAATTAGTAGCAAAAGAAACGAGAAAAGTAGATAGGAAGGAGCTACTCAACAAAAAAAAATGGAATTACTCACATTTCGGTTTGGGTTTTGTGTTGAGATGTTCTAGAATGACACAAAAATGAGAAGAGTGAAGAAAATTGAATAGTCCGAGGGGTAATTGAAAGATTTGGAGGTTCGAATTCAAATTTGGATCCAGATTAGATTATGGGTTTATTTTCAGGCTGAGAGTGAGGTTTTTTGAGCGCGGGATTCAGATTGGTGAGAATGTTTTGAATTGACCTATGGATCAATTCATTTCAAGAAAAAATGACTTTCGCGACACTTTTTGTCGTGAATTTTTATTTGTTGTTTTTCGTGTTGTTTCTTGAATTTGAAAAAAAATCTTTTTTTTTCAAATGAATTGATCCACTAGAGATATACATAATTCCAGATTTCAGATTCCTAACAAAAAATATTTACCGTAATACATTCAATCAACAACAAAACTTAAAAAAGCCTCAAAGTGAATATTTTTCCATTCTCCCCCTCAAAATCCAACGTTCTTTATGTCAAATAAATTAATTGGCCATTGCCCTATAAACACGCCATTTTTTGCCATTTCTTGAATAAATGAAAATAAATGAGGTAAGCTGAGTAGCTGTATCATTTCAGTGCATCTGAACAAGAAAAAATTCGATTAGGTTGGAAAAAGAAATCTCACGAGACCTTGGAAAATCCAAAGTTCGAGCGCAAACAGAAAATTTCATTAAAAATTCTATACTCTAGACGTAATTTATTGGAAAAGTTCAAAATTTTTGTTGAATAATTAAAAATTGTGAGAAAAAACGAGGAGGAGGCGGAGGGAAAAATATAGATGAAATATAGAGATCTTGTTTTTTCGCTCGAAAAAAATGGGAAGAGGAAAAAATGAAATGTGATTAAAATGTGTAGTTTATTTTTTGTGGTGTTCACAATGCGGAGTGAAAAAAACAACAAAAAAACTTGTGATGTGAAAATGGTTGTAAAAAGGTCGAGCAGATGTTTTTCAAAATCAAAAGAAGAAATGTAAATTCAAACATTTCGAATTTGTTAAGCCTAACTAAGCCAAAGTCTGGATTTCGTAGAACATCTTATCTTGAATATTTTGTGGGGGTAAATATTAGGCTCCTAGAAAATATTATTTTAGTCAGAAATCATAACAAATCTTTGCATTTTACGTCACAACTCACATCTGGAATTGATAGAATGTAGCGAATAATCTCGAATATTCAATTTTTTTAAAAAATTAAATTGATTTTTGAAAATTTCATGAGATAATAATAATTCGAAAAAACATCTCGTGAATTTTAGAGCACTTTTTGAATCAAATTTTTGCTTTGAAATCCTCTGAGATTTTTTTTGAATCAAAAACCTTTGCGCCAACAAATCCACGTGGTATGAAACTTTTTAATCAGGCAAAAATCTAAGTTCTGGTCTAGACTCGAAAATCTTCGAAAAAGAGCAAAGTGTAGATGTTTCCACAATAAAAAGACTGAAAAACCTCAAAAATCATTTCCGTTTTTTCTTTTCACAAAAAACTCAACCCAAGTTTTTCAAAAATTCTTCTCAAAGAGATCATTCAGTATAATTGTTCTCTTTCTACTTTTCTCTCATTTTTCTGGAAAAAAATCAACATTTTTCCGGAAACCAGGAAAAAAAAGAAATGAATGATGTATTTACTCTTTTTCTGAAACAGACACAGCCAAAAAGAATTTTAAAAATTCATTGAACATTATTCTTTTTGGTCTGAAAAGCTACGAGAGAGAAGAATTTTTTGTCAAGAATTCATTGGAAACAAAAATATTGCCGTTTCGTTTCGATTTATTTTATGGTTTTCATGCAGAAAGTCGTTAAATTTGAATATTTCCAAGGAACCGTTTTTTGCTTCCAGACAGCAAAATAATTTCAGACAAAAAATCTGTTCTGTTTTTTTTTGTTTCTAAACAAAAAGAAGCCGGAAATGTCTAAACAAGTAAATAAATAAATAAATAGAATTTAGAAAACCAAAAAAAAAAGAACGAGGTCTCATCTGGAAACAAATTGGAAAAAATTGGAGGCAAAAGAGAAGTGAAAAAAAGTGTGCTATGATCGGTGAGAATTTTTTTGGTGAAGTGCCAGCGAAAAAGTTTCAAAGTTCTTCGGAGCATTTTTTTGAGGTGGGAAAATAGTGTTCAAAATACTTGTTTGGTTCATCAAATTTTTCAAAGGTCCATGGAGTTGTTATTAATTTTCAACTCTGATTTTTTTTTTGAAAATCTCAACGAGGTCTTGTTCCTCTTTGAAAAAAAACAAAGAAATAAATAACTAAAATCTAAAAACCCATCTCAGATCAAAAACTTCTAAATTATTCCGACTAATTTCTAGTCTAACTCGGAATTTTTTGCCTTAAAAAAGGTGGCAATTACCAAAACTTTCAGCCAACAACAAAAAACACGTCATCCCAAAAATTAGTTGCAAAAATTATTCTTCCACGAAAAAAAATCATAAGCTTCATCTTATAATCTCACAATTTTTTCTCTCAAGTCAAACCAAGAGAAAAAACTAATCGGAATCACCACAAAAAGACCTAGTCACAAAAAAAATATACGGGAAATCGACAATTTTCTCGTGGGGGGGGGGGAGGGTTTTTGACATATAATAATATCTCCAATGTCAAAAATCCAAGAACTTGAAAAAATTTGAGGAAAAAGGAGCAACTAAATTTTCGGGGCAAAAAAAAACAACGGAAAAACGAAAATACGACAAATAAGGATTCAATTTTCATGGAATCCATTCAAAAAAAAATTCTGTATTAGTGAAATCTAATACGAATTTTTAGGAGACTGACTGGCTGATTCAAAAAAAGAGCCGGCTTAAATGAAAATGATCCGGTCAACTAGAAGAACTGAACAGCTGTTGTTGTTGATACTTTTATTATCTTCCTCTTCTGCTAAATTGTTGAAGAGAATATCTCGAGGTCCAGTGAAATATGATAACTATACTTATCTTCTGTTTTCAACAATTTTTTGTGCCACAAAAATTTGAATTACTTGAAATTGAGATGAAAATATTTTTGACCTTATTGTGGTTTCGCAGCTTTTTTCAAGAAACTATATTCAAACGATCCAGACTCAAATTTTGGAGATAAAAATAAATTGCCATAAAATTCAGACTTTAGTCAGCTCAAAAACAAAACCAACAGATTTTTCAAAAAAAAAAAAAGAAAAAGACAAATTACATTTTGGTCGACCGAAATTTCAACTCAACTACCAAAAAAAAATTAATGAGAAGTGGAACGAAAAAAAATCGAATAAAAAATCTGACCTTTGGGATTTCTATTAACCGGAAGAAGCATTAGCAAAGTACAAAAATGAAATAAGGATTAGGAAAGGAAATCTTTGGTTTATCACTTTTTTAACCAAAAAAAAAACTTTTTGCCCAAAAATCACTCACCAAAAAATAAATAACAATACACGAATTATTTTGCATTGAACAATTTCAAATTCACAAATCAAGAATCATATTTTGTCGCTGATAAATTGTGAACTCTTCATATTTATCGGATAAAAACTGTATTTTCTTCGAGTTTGAAACAAAAAGAATTTATTCATAATACTTTTTGGCTTCATCTTGTTCAATTTGATGAAACATGTCATTGATTTCCTTTTCAAACCATTTTGCCAAACTATGTCTTTTATTCTTCAATGTTGGTGTAGTCAAACCATTTTCCGATGTGAATTGAACAGGTGTCAAATGAACTGCATAAACTCCTTCATATTTTGGACGATCGTGAGTTTTGGTAATCAACATTAGTTTCCTTTGAATCGCATTGATTAATTCTGGCTCTTTGCATAGTTCTTCGATCGATTTTCCAGTGATGTTGAAACGACTTTCAGCATAAGCAGTTAGTTGCTGGAAAATACAGAAATTGAATATTTGTGGTTGAATTTTATAAAAACTTACCGCAACATCTGGTGAAACAATTGCAACAAGCCATGGTTTTTGAACATCTCCATGAACATAAACTTGATTTACAAATCGAGAAGAAATATAAAGGGATTCAACACCTTCTGGTGCTACAAATTTTCCTTGTGGTAATTTGAACACATTTTTCATTCGATCAATAATTTCAAGGGTTCCATTACTTGTCCATCTTCCAATATCTCCAGTTTTCATAAATCCATCTTCTGTGAATGCTTCTTTTGTAGCCTTTTCATTTTTATAATAACCCTTTGTCACATTGTATCCTTTCACTAGAATTTCACCACCATTTTTATCCACGTAATAATCTAAATCTGGAACATCTCGCAATTTAATCGTTGAGCAAGGCAATGGTACTCCGACATTTCCAACACTAACATCACCACGAATTTGAACTACAATTGGACCGGAAGTTTCAGTTTGGCCGTATCCTTCAAAAACGTGACAGCCAAATGCACCGCGCATAAACAATAATGTGCGATCTTCACTTTTAGCTGCTCCCACTGTTATCTGCTTGAGATCCGGTCCGAGAAGATCTTGAATCTTTTTCAGGATTTTTCGATCAACCCAGGTATCACGAGTCGCAGTTCCTCTAAAGAATAGGATTTTTTAAATTTAAATATAGATGATTAAAGAAAGCCTACGAGGCTAGAAAAAACTTACGTTATTTTATAATGCAAAAGTTTATAACCAATCGCAGCTCGCAATATATTTCTCTTTATTGGTTGATTAACAAGAGATCTCATAATTCCTTTGTGAATTTTATCATTGACTCGTGGAACTGTGGCAAAAGTATTGACTCGAAGAGATCTAGCATGTTCCAAAATATGTTCGGGACTACCGCGGTAGAATCCGATTTTTCTGCAAGAAAAAAAGAAAATTAGAAAAGTGTGCGAAAAAACAAAAAGAAAACAACGATACTCCGTTTGCAGAGAAAACTAAACAATGTGCAAGCGGAGTGACGTTGTGTTCTTTTTATTTTTATTTATTTTTTTTGAAAAAAGTCGTACCCTCCAGTCATCAACGCGGATGTATTACAACATCTTTCATAAATATGCGCCAACGGCAAATACGACAAAAATCGTTCACCAATCCCCTTATCATATTCAAATTCTGTCAGTATTGAAGAAACCGAGCACAGATTCATATGAGTTAACATAACACCTTTTGGTCTTCCAGTTGTTCCAGATGTAAATGAGATTGAAGCAAGAGAATCAGATTTTGGTGGAACATGTGGGATTGGATCTTGAAGTCTTGATAAATTGACAAATTCGTCGAAATCGTATATTTTGATGTTTTGGGAAGTTGCGAGTTCTCGAGTGGATTTGGAAATTGGATCGAATTGCACAATTGTTTCGAGAGTTGTTAAGCGAGGTTTGGTTTCGATGAGCACTGAAAATTAATTTATATAAAACTCAATCCCTAATTCAAGTCACGATGTGGCAAAACGTCAATTTGTCCTCTTTTTTTCCGGAAGTATATTTTTCAAAAATGCCGCACTCACACTTGGTTTTATCCTCGGAATCCGTGAAAATCAATGGAATTTCTGTCAAATTGCTAATATAAACCATATCATCTACAGTAATCGTATCATAAAATGGTACTGTAACATTACTGAAATTATGATTAGCCATATCAGCCAACATCCATTCCGTCCGATTTTTCGAAAATATTCCAATTTTAGTATCTTCTCCAGCTTTCAACCCAATTTTTCTCATTGATTGAGAAATTCGATCAGCTTGTTTGATTCCTTCCGAATAATCGATCCATTTCCATTCAACTTCTCCATTCTTATTTCTCAAAGGTTCTCCAAACATTTTTCCTTTGTCTCCAGCTAGTTTAAGCCCATATCTTACTGTATCATAAGTTGTATGAATATTTGGAGCAAACGATTTCACCAAATCTTTATCTTTGAGCCAAGCAGCTTTTCTCGAACCATCTGGCAAAATAATTGTTTGATTTTTAAGATCGCGGGGTGGAAGATTTTTTGGCAAGAAACTGAATACGTGGCGACGAGAATAATTGAAAAGTTGATAAGTTTTTGATGAATATGGAATATGTAGACATTTTGACAGCATTATTTAGAAATTGTTGAAAATTCGACGTTTTCCTCTTTGGGCAAGAGTAAAAATGAAACGTATTTTTGCAAAAATTTGAAATGTCAATGTTTTACGTGGATTCCAACATTTCACGTAGAATTATAATTTTTTGAATTTTTTTTTTTAATTTCGAAACTTTGATGAATTTTTTCTTGGAAATTTTACTAATTTGAACCTGAAAAATTAACGTTTAATTTTGTATCAAACTATAGAATGATTTTGTTTTTTAAGAACGTTTTCAATTTTCCGCAACAATTTGAATAAAGAGTTCAAAAAGAGAACTGTTTGCTATAATATCCTTACTATATACAAATTCAAAACATTTTTTGTTTTGTTTATTCAAAAGTTATACTTTTCACATGTCCCTGACCAAGATCTTTCATCTCATATTTCAGAAAATTCCAAATTTCTAGAAAACTCCAGAATTTCCATTCAATTCTATGCACAAAACTGTCCCTTTTCTAGAATATTCTCGCAAACACGAGAAAAGGAGACGCAGAGAAGCAAACAAATAGATAAAAAGAGTGTGAGAGGAGAAGAGACACAGAGAAAGAAAGGCACTGGAAAAATGGAGAAGGTTCTCGAAAAAAGGGGAAAAGTGTATATAAAGGTCCGGGTTTCTGTAGTATTTTCATAATTTCTCTGAAATTTACAAAGCTCACAAAACAAGCAAACATGTCTAATTGCAAAGCTATTGGTATCGATTTGGGTACCACATATTCATGTGTTGGAGTATATCAGAATGGAAAGGTAAGTCTATTTTATTTTTAAAATTTTGAAAAATAAATATTTTTAATTTCAGGTCGAAATACTTGCAAATTCTGAAGGAAACAAGACTACACCATCATATGTTGCATTCAGTGAAACTGAAAGATTAGTTGGAGATGCAGCAAAAGATCAAGCTGCTAGAAATCCAGAAAATACAGTTTTTGATGCAAAAAGATTGATTGGTCGAAAATTCGCAGATTCAACAGTTCAACAAGATATGAAACATTTTCCATTTGCAATAAAATCAAAAAATGGAAAACCAGTAATTGAAGTTGAAATGAAAGGAGAAAAACGAGAATTCAATCCAGAAGAAATATCAGCAATGGTACTTGGAAAAATGAAAGAAACAGCTGAAACATATTTGGGACATCAAATAAAAGATGCTGTTATTACTGTACCAGCATATTTTAATGATTCACAAAGACAAGCAACAAAAGATGCAGCAACAATTGCGGGTTTGAATGCAATTCGAATTATAAATGAACCAACTGCAGCTGCATTAGCATATGGATTAGACAAGAATATCAAAGATGATGAGAAAAATGTATTGATCTTTGATTTGGGTGGTGGAACATTTGATGTATCAATTCTAACAATTGCTGATGGTTCGATATTTGAAGTTAAATCAACAGCTGGTGATACACATTTAGGAGGAGAAGATTTTGATCAAAGAATTCTTCAACATTTTATGAGTGAATTTAAAAGAAAACATGGAAAAGATATTCAATCAAATCCAAGAGCAATTCGAAGATTAAGAACTGCATGTGAAAGAGCAAAAAGAACATTATCAAGTTCATCGGAAGCGATTGTTGAAGTTGATTCACTTTTTGAAGGAATTGATTTATGTTCAAGAATTACACGTGCAAGATTTGAAGAATTGTGTGCTGATTTATTCCGAAAAACATTGGAACCAGTTGAAAAAGCATTGAGAGATGCAAAATTGGATAAATCAAAAATCGATGAAGTTGTTTTGGTTGGAGGATCAACAAGAGTTCCAAAGATTCAAAAAATGTTGAAAGATTTCTTCAATGGAAAAGAATTGAATTGTTCAATCAATCCAGATGAAGCTGTTGCTTATGGTGCTGCTGTTCAAGCTGCAATTCTTTCTGGAATTAAAGATGATTCAATCAAAGATGTTTTATTGGTTGATGTTGCTCCTTTGAGTCTTGGAATTGAAACTGCTGGTGGAGTTATGACAAATTTGATTGATCGAAATACTCGAATTCCAACAAAAGCATCAAAAACCTTTTCAACATATGCTGATAATCAACCAGGTGTTTCAATTCAAGTATTTGAAGGTGAAAGAGCAATGACAAAAGATAATCATCAATTGGGAACATTTGAATTATGTGGAATTCCACCAGCTCCAAGAGGTGTTCCACAAATTGAAGTAACATTTGATATTGATGCAAATGGAATATTGAATGTAACAGCTTGTGATAAATCAACTGGAAAATCGAATCATATTCAAATTAAAAATGAAAAAGGAAGATTATCACAAAATGATATTGATCGAATGGTAAATGAAGCAAAACAATTTGAAAAAGAAGATGAAGAACAACGACAAAAAATTGGAGCAAGAAATCAATTGGAAGGATATATTTTCCAAATTAAACAAGCAATTGATGAATATGGTTCAAAATTATCACAAGAAGATGTTGAAAAAGCTAAAAATATTTGTGAACAAACATTGAATTGGATGGAATCAAATAGTTTGGCTGAAAAAGATGAAATTGATGCAAAATATCAAGAAATCAAACAAGTTTGTCAACAAATTATGTCAAAAATGCATCAACAAGGACAAACAAATCAACAAAATTGTGGAAATCCACAAAGTTCTGGATTCTCAAACAATAATTATCCATCTGGTCCAACTGTTGAAGAAGTTGACTAATTATTGCCATTTTTATTTTGTATACGAGGTTTAATTTTTTTTGCTTTATTCTTAATTTGTAAATATTATTGTATTATTTAGATCTCAATAAATAATGATAATTTGAAAACCGTGTTTTTTTTTCTGATACTGAAATTGGTACAAAATTTCAGAATATTTTCAATTGCTCATATGTAAAAAACCAGTAGTCAATCCTACACGCAGAACAACAAATGTACAACAATGTATCTCAAAAAATATGTCATAGAAGTTGACTAACTTTTTCAGTCCTAATTTTTCTGTATTTTTAGTTTTTCTCCAATCTTTGACTAAAGTGTTTTTCTGTGCAATTTTGCGTCACGGTCTATGCAACTTTTTAGGGTATCGTATCATCGCCGTTTTCATAATAAAAAACATCTTTGATATCATTTTCATTAGGTGCAAAGAACACACAACATTTTTGAAAGATGCGAAAGCTCGCTCCACGGCAAAGCTTTTTGCAATAATATATTTACATTATCTTTTCCCCTCTTTTTTTAATATAAAAAAGAATAACATTATTTATGTTTCCCATAAAATAATTCAATAACCACCATCGACGAAAAAATTGCAATATTTTTCCGATATTTATTTTCTCTTTCTTTTTATCAATCTATCATTGTTTTTTTTGCAGTTTATCTATCATTTTCTGTGTTGTTTTCGTGTCCTTTTTCACACAATGACTATTCAAGTTCGCTTCATCGTTTACGGTAGGCTTAGAAACTAAAATTTAGAAAAAAAACCGAAAAATTTCAGTGTTGAGCACATCATGTATTACACTTTTATATGCCCTCCGCCTTGCATTTCACACCACTATTCTGTGCCAGCTGCATAATCAGACTTCTGGTAAGTTTTTTGTGGTAGTCAACTACTAGAATAATTTTGAAGAAAATTAGAATATGAGTTACGGTACTTTAGCCTCAATCCTTTCTTCTACCATTTTCAGATCACTTTCTGAAAGATGACGAAAAACGACAGTACACTTTTCAATCTGTTGGAATCGGGCTTGCTCTTGGTTTGATTCCCCTACATTTTCTATCCTCTCTGGGAACAAAAATATGTGCAACGATTTTTGGAATTGTTGGGATTTTGGCAGCGTTAGTTTATCCGTTTGCTCACGAGATGGGATTTTGGCCGTCTTTTTGTGTTCGGGTTTTACAGGTTGGTTTTTTTTCGAAAGGGAAATTCAATACATCCTAATTTCATTGTATTTCAGGGCTTTCCCCTTGTCATTCTTCTTTGGCTAATCGCCAAAGTAAGCAATGAATGGGTTCCAAAAAACGAAGTAGCAATGGCAATTGCTTTTCTAACCTCCGTTTATCAAACAGCTCCATTCATTGCTCAGATTACAGCAGCAGAAATGTGTCAATTATTCGGTTGGCAATACACTTATTACATTTTAGCTGGCCTCTGCCTTTTATCATTTATTGCATTTTATGTGATATATAGTGATGATGTTATGGATAATAAGTGAGTTTGAAATGTTTGATCTACAAAAAATTACAATCATTTTGAAACCCCATATGCCTCGGTCTCAGCGGAAATTTAACAGTGACCTAGATTTAAAAATATTACGTCTACTAAAAATTATGAAATCACAGTAGTGATTTTGAAAATGCTCCTTACAATACATATTTTCAGATTCGCCTCATTGGAAGAAAAAGAAATAATAACATTTGGCCGAAAAGAAATCTCTCAAACAAAAGAAATTTCAACCCCATATCTTCAAATTTTCCAAGATCCAACAGTTTGGATAACTTGGTTTTGCAACATTTCATTTTTCTCTTCTCTTCTGATTTTTCTACAGAATATGCAGATTTATATGAATACTGTGATGGGTTATAGTATCAGAGAAACTGGGCATTCTTTAGGTTTGCGAATTTTTCGGGGCAGGTTTGGACCATGAATTTTTGAAAGTCCGATTAAAAAATATGCCGACAAAATCAATTTAGGGTTCGCTCATGTATTATGTCTAGTTGCAAAAGTGATATTTGGAAAATTTATGGATTCGAGTAAATTGGAGATGACTGAAAGATTGAAAAGAGGATGGATTATTTTGGAAGCGCCGGCAGTTTTGATTTTGTTGGGACTTGTAATTTTTCCCGATGCTAGATTTCAATTGATTGCCAGTGTTGGATTTATAATGATTCATGGAGTGGCGATTGTTATTATTGTAAAAACACAAGCTTTCGTGAGTTTAAAAAAAAATTCCTAATTCTTCTCTCAAAAAAAAAATATTTCGAAGATCTAAAATTTTATTCGAAAACTATCCTAGCAAAATATCTCTCAGGATTTTCCAAGTACATGTTTGTTTTGCTACGTCATAACTAATTTTTCAAGCGTTCTTTGGAAAAATTGAATTTAAAATTTTCAATCAAAACCCTCTCGAAAAAACTGAAACTTTCAGCTATGCCAGTTTCATAACTCTATATTTTTCAGCGTTCCGCCGAACACAGTCATATTCTAGCAAATGGCAATACATTCGGCGTTGTTCTTTGCATTTTCCTTCAACCACTTCTAATCAAGCACCTGATCAAAAATAATACATTTGACGAGGTTTGTATGATAACATAACATGTTGTTTTTTTCAACAAAAAATTCATAATGATGAGAAAAAAATAGTTTATGTGCACTTTGTGTGAGGTATTTTGAAAAAAGAACTTGTTCAAAAAATCAACTTTTCACGTCAGACTCTGACTGAAAATTGTTTGCACACTCAACAAAACTCCGTGATTTTTCCAAACAAAAAAATTAAGTTATCGTTTTTTATGTGATAAGATAGCTTATTTTTCCACATACTCAACATGTAGTCTAATCAATTTCTATCTGACTGAAAAAAATTTCAGAGTTCAAAAATCTATGTCTGCCTACGATCATAAAAATAGCTAGCACATGTCAGTCAAAAAAAAAGACCACCAGCTTCAAAAAGTATACAAAATAATTATTATTTAGTGAGTCTGATAAGAACTCTAGTCAAAGTGTAGTCTGCTCAAAATGTGTTCGTGAAAATTTCATTTTTTTTTTTGAAATACAAAAGGAAAACACAGCTTCGAAAATAACAGTGCTCAAAAAAAAACGCTACGAGACCCCAGAAAAACGTAATTTTCTGTAGATCAAACATATTCCAATATTCCGGAGTACTGGGATCTTTCAACATAACAATCTCTAAACTTTCACAGTATGTTTTTCAGTGGTCCAATATCTTCCTAATCCACGCTATCCTAATAATCATCTCAATAATCCTCTTCCTTTTCGTCATCGACTCTCGTCCCGCAAAATGGACTCAAATCTCCCGAATTCCCACAGCAGATTCAGGTCGAAATAACACCCAGGAACTCCCATAGTATACAAAACTCTTATCACTTGCCATTATATATAAATGCCTCCATTCTTTCTTATCTGTGCATTTTTTTGCGGTGATTGCTCTTTTTGTTTTTTTTTGTTTTGTGTTGGTTGTATAATAAATGATCACTTTCTTATTCTTCTTTTTTTCAAAAGAACAACACACATAATTTTGAGGAAAAAAAACATTTTTGTTCGCAAACAAATGATTTCTAGCTTTCACGAGCTTTCACTCGAGATTTTCTAATGAAAAATATATTTTCTACAAGTGTTAACTGACTCGCTGATATTGATCCTCTTGTCAATAGTTTCATAGTTTAGTTCTGAACACGAGTTATGACGTGGCAAAGTTTAGAATGGTCGAACATCTAATAATAGGATTGTGATCAGCGCGTCTAAAACCTATGAGAGAATATATTTTTCATTAAAAATTAATTTATTACAGAGAACATCTTACTTTTGAACAAAAATGCCGGCAACTGCGGAAAAACGAAAATTATTAGTTGTTGGAGCTGGAGCATCTGGATTACCTTCTCTGAGACATGCACTAAGTTACGAAAATGTGGATGTAACATGCTTCGAAGGAACTGGGGATGTCGGAGGATTATGGAAATATAAGCCAGAGGAAACTGATCGTAAGTTGCGCTAACTAATCAATTAGCTAACTTGAATTTCAGTCTCATCCGTGATGAAATCAACAGTCATAAACACATCAAAAGAAATGACAGCCTATTCGGATTTCCCGCCAGAAAGTCGAATGGCAAATTTTATGCATAACACTGAAATGTACAGATATCTTTGTAATTATGCAGATCATCATCAACTTCACAAATATATCAAGTTTCATCATAAGGTTAATTCAATTGTTCGGAATTCGGATTATGAGAAGACTGGGAAATGGAAAGTCAACTATACTGATGAGTAAGTGGGGACATTTAAACGCGCTAAAGAAGCGACTCCTAATTTTTCACTATAAATCCTTATTTCAGCAAAGGTGCTACACACGAAGATGTCTTTGATGGAATCCTTTTGTGCTCTGGCCATCACACAACTCCCAATTGGCCAGCAAAATTCACCGATCAGGACAAATTCGAGGGGCGTATTATTCACTCGCACAGCTACAAAGATCATCGAGGATACGAAGATAAAGTTGTGGTTGTTGTGGGAATCGGTAATTCTGGAGGTGATGTCGCTGTTGAACTCTCCAGAATTGCTAAGCAAGTCTACTTGGTGACACGAAGAGGAACATGGATCTTCAATCGAATTTTCGATTATGGTGTTCCTGTTGATCTTGTTCTCAATAGAAAGTTCTTGTTCAATTTGAGAGCTATGGTTCCACAATGGATTGGAGATAGTGTCATCGAACATAAATTAAATTATCGATTCGATCATAAAGCGTACGGTTTGAAGCCAGAACATCGAGTTTTTGGAGCCCATCCAACAGTCAACGATGAGCTTCCGAATCGTATTGCTTGCGGAACTGTGAGAATCAAGCCGAATATCTCGAAATTCACACAGAATGGGATTCTTTTTGAGGATGGCTCAAAAATCGAACATGTTGATGAAGTTGTAATGTCAACTGGTTTTTCTTTCGAATTCAACCTCGTTGAAAATGGTGAACTTATCAAAGTCAAGGATAACCAAGTTGATTTATACAAATATATGCTTCCTGTTGAATTGGCAGATCACAATACTTTGGCTGTAATCGGTTTGGTTCAACCATTTGGCTCAATCATGCCCCTATCCGAAATGCAAGCTAGAGTGTTTTTGGAAGAATTTAGTGGCAAAAAAGTGGTGCCAACAAAAACCCAAATGCAAAATGATATCAAAAATAAGCGAGATGCCATGGCTAAAAGATATGTATCGAGTAGAAGACATACAATTCAAGTGGATTACGTGGATTACATCGAAGAACTTGCTGAACTTATCGGATGTAACGTGAATATTTGGGAACTTGTCAAAACTGATCCATATTTGGCCTATAAAGTCTTGTTCGGTCCAATGGTCCCATATATTTTCCGACTTAATGGCCCGAAAAAATGGGCTCATGCTAGACAGGCTATTTTGGATGTTGATGAACGTGTTCTTCAAGCCACGTGTGATAAAGCTTTTGTAGAGCCCGATTATTCTTTATTATACATTGTTGGATTTTTCTTTCTTGCTCTTGCTTTGTATCTTATTTTTTAATTTGAAATAAATCGATTTTTCTCAAAATATCTCTTTTATTTATTGGCTCTGTCCGCATGTATCCCCTTTTCGTCTCGCGTCTCTTCTATATACACTGAGCAACCCACACTCTCTCGTTTCTCTCGCAAGTAATTGTGTTTGTTGTCAACCGTTCCACAACACTATTTTTGACGTACACTAATGCACTTTTTGGATTTGCCTCCTAAATTTATTCTAGAAGTTTTTGAGAAACTTTCACCGCAGGATCTCGATAATCTTCGCCGAACTTGTCAGATAATTGGAGAATTTATCGAGGATAATCGAAATTTCTTACAATCGAGGAAGTTATTGCATTTGGATTTGGTTAGATTTTTTCAAGACAATTTTAAAAGTCGCTTCATTTTTTTAGGACGATAGAAGGATTCGAGCTTGGCATGATGTTTCATGGTGTGATCGAATTCCACGTCAATCTTTTGATTATTTGTCAAAATTTTTTAAAAATGTTGAAGCTCTCGTTTTGACAGTGGTAATTTCAATTTTTGTTTTAAAAATTTTCCAACAAGAAAAACTTACAGAATAAGTTGGACGAGGAGACCAGCGAGTTTTTGATTCGACATGCACGCAAAAACAACTTCCGATTCGAGCAATTGCGGCTTTTCCACTCGGTCAGTAAATCCCTTCCTGCAAAGTAAAAATATGACTCGAAAAAATACACAAACACACTAAATAAAGCACCCAACACACCAAAAATCAATAACAAAAAATAATATGAAAGTTGATATAGATTACGGTGTTCGTAGGCGCATGATAATATTTGAGTGTGGTCTCATAACGATGTTGCATGTGTGCCCCATTGATAACTATTTGAATTTGAATTTGTCTTTTCTTTTTTTTTCTTCTCCTTTTTTGTGCACCTCTTTTTTTGCGTTTTTTAGAGTTCCCGCATGTCGCTACAATTAAATTTCCTGATAAATTGATACATTATTGCATGCTTGCCAGGTTTTGATTTGTTTTTGTTTTGTTTTTCACTAAGTGCTCCCAATAATCCGAATTTTCGATAAATCCAGAGAATTCCAGTTCACCGCATCTCATGAAACAATCGCCAGGCTTCTCCAGTTTGCACATTGTCGAACCGTGAATTTCGAAGCGGTGCAAAGCAATTTGAAAGCCGAACATTTGAGTTTTCCAGGATATAAAAATGTAGGCCGTATTTCTTCCTGAAAATTGAAAACAATTTTGTTTAGTTGCGATCGATTTGTTTTGAAATGGATGATAGTTTGGAGCCTGAAGATTTTCAAAGAATTTTCGAGTTGGAAAACTGCGTAAATTTCATTTTCCATGGCTGCGATAACATTGACCAAACTTTTGTTCAAACAATATTCGAAAAGTTCTCGAAATCTTTGAAGAGAATTGAGGCCATTCGAATAACCGCTAATAAAAATATCAATTTTGATACTATTCTGGCTAATAATCCTAACTTGAGTATGGTTCAAAATGCAGTGTGGAAGTTAGAAAATCCGAGTTACGAAAAAGGTAATTCGCTATATTTTTTGGAAGAAACATTTGAAATGTTATTTCCAGCAATTATAACAGTTCGCCGGAACGCTTTTCACTTCTTCATGGCTTTCGAAGTCAACGACAAAAGGATCGAAGATATTTTATACAAAATTCCCATAATCGAATGAAATAAACTATTTTTATTTTCTGTCTGTTGTGTTATCTTATCCAAAACAAAAACACCGCCCTTGCAAGTATACTTACTTACAGAAAAACAGGGACCCTTTTTGCCAGGTGCCCATATCATATTGCTCCATTCTCTTTCTTCCACAAAACATTTTTTGCTCGCTTGGAGGAGCCTTGTTGTTGTAATGTTGACCCTTTCGTTCGACATAATCACCTTTTTTTCTGTTTCTTTTTGATAGATGCATTGGCCTTTTGCTGGTGATTCATTTTTCGCAGTTTTTTTTGATTGGATGAGATGAAATCAGTGCAGCTATTTTTAGTGATAAATTTAGTTTGAAATAAATAACACATTTTTAATACGTTAGAGAATTTAGGAAATATAAGGTCACGTGAGAGGTTTTTAATGTGAGATTTTATTTAGTGATTCATTTTTGATAAATTTCTAGTTTTTACGTGTGAATCTTTTGTATTTATAAAAATAAAGAAATTGTGCGGTTGGTTTTTGAGCCCCGATTCGAACATTTATAATTCTACCACGTAGGTTTCAGATAATCACTTGCTAATTATTTTATTTAGAAATTGAAGTTTGCCACGTGGACTTCTTAGGCCAAATTTTTAGATGGATTGAAAAATGTGGTTTTTCAAAACCCACGTGGCGAAATTCAATTTTTGTTTTCTTTTGATATTTAGATTCCCCAAAAAATCTTCCCAAACTATTTGAACTTCTACTTTTCATCCCATAAATTCCATTTTCCCAAAATTAGTCCTACTTTTTATTTTCATACCCATTTGTAAATTTAGTACCATACCATTGTACGCCAGATGTTTCCCAAAAGTACACTTCAATAGCACATTATATTATATCATATAATCGTAAAAGATACAGTTGGTCCCGCCTTTTTGCGCACCAGGCACCTTTTTTTTCGATCATTCTATAATAAATCGTGTTGCACTCTCTCTCTCTCATTTCGTATACTTTTTTCTATTTCTTCCCACATCTGGTGTCCGCCAGTTGTCCCAGATGCTTTTCGTCGTGTCTTTTCGTTTTTTGCAAACTTCATCTTTCGCTTGGTTTAGGGTCAAATTCGCTCTTTTCTTGAAGAGGCATCGAACTGAATGTTATCTGAACCCTTCTTTGGGGAATAATTCCTTTTCCTTCAAATTTTCGAGATCAAATCTTTATATTTCTTATCTGACCTTTCCCCTTTCGAACAATTCAGTTAGTGATTCCCATAGTGAAATTTTGCAGACTCCACCCGACCACCAAACAAAATGCGTCAAAGTGTGTTGTCGCCTCGCGAGGCGACTACACAATTTTGGCGTAATTTTGTTGCATTATTATTGGTGGCCCCACTATGCATAAAAACACAAGTACTAACACCATCGCAAATCACAATTTCACATCGGAAACCAATTCAAGCCACTTCGACTTGTGGAGAGATTAATGGACAATCGGTTAATGAAGTTTATTGTTCGTTGACTGGTGAGTTTATGGAAGTTTTTTGGAGAGCGTTGTATTTTCAAAACAATTTCGAAATCAAATTTGCCACGTGGATTTTTCAAATTGTCAAATCCACTTGGAAAAATTTTTGGAATTACTTTCAAAAGTCTGATCATCATTTTTTCACGTGAAATTTTAAATTGTTTGCCAAAATTTTTGGCCACGTGAAATTTCATTTCTTCAAAAAATTTCGATAAAAATTGAGACCAGCAAGTTTTTTAATCAATTCTTTCTACAAACTTTCTCCATGCTCCCGAAAATCATCTGAAAATCTTGCAGGATCTTCCCAATACACTCCCCTGTCCTCCTACTCCTACAAAGAAGACGAGCAATATGACTCAATGCAAGAGCTGCGAAATCAACGAGAAGCCTTTGTTCAAGGTGGACATGGTTGCGGTCATTGTATGGCTCATAGTCAAAACTCTCACCCGGCTTCAAATATGGTTGATGGAAATAACAGTTGGTGGATGTCTCCCCCACTTTCTCGTGGGCTTCAATACAACGAGGTTAATATCACAATCGATCTCGAACAGGAATTCCATGTTGCCTACGTCTGGATTCAAATGGCCAATTCGCCACGTCCTGGAAGTTGGGTTCTTGAAAGATCAACAGATCATGGAAAAACCTTCTCACCATGGTTTAATTTTGCGGAAAATTCGGCTGAATGTATGCGAAGATTCGGAATGGAATCGCTTTCTCCAATCAGTGATGACGATTCAGTCATCTGTCGAACTGATATGGCTAGCTTGCAACCTTTGGAAAACGCTGAAATGGTCATCAGAATCTTGGAGCACAGACCTGGCTCTTTGAAATTCGCCACTTCCGAAGGACTCCAAAATTTCACCAGAGCAACAAATGTTCGAATCCGATTGCTTGGAACCAGAACTCTTCAAGGGCATCATATGGAGACTGCACAATTGAAAGATCCCACAGTTACTCGAAGATATTTCTATGCTATCAAAGAAATTATGATTGGTGGAAGATGTGTTTGCAACGGTCATGCTGTTACTTGTGATATTCTGGATATCAATCGCCCAAGATCACTTTTGTGTAGATGTGAACATAACACATTCGGAGACATGTGTGAGAAATGTTTGCCTGGATTCGAGCAAAAGAAATGGCAACCAACAACTGCTCATAATAATTTCACTTGCGAACCTTGCAATTGTTTCGGAAGATCGAATCAATGTGAATATGATGAAGAACTTGATATCAATAAGCAATCTTTAGATATTCATGGAAATTATGAAGGTGGAGGTCGTTGTTTGAATTGTCAATATAATACTGAAGGAATTAATTGTAACAAATGTTCCTATGGATATTATCGACCTGAAGCTGCTGATTGGAATGATCTTTCTCCATGTTCACCATGTGATTGCGATCCAGCTAAACATACTGGAGCATGTGCTGAAGGAACTGGAAAATGTGAATGTCAAGCAAGATTTGAAGGAGAGAATTGTGATCGTTGCGCTAAGGGATATTATGATCCGCCAGAGTGTAGATTGTGTGATTGTAATGTGAATGGAACTCTTGGAGAAGTTTGCTTGGTAAGTTTGGGTTAGACTGAAAAACTCTTCCTAATTGTAAGCCAAAAATAAAATTTGAAAAAAATAATACATTTTAGTTTTTTCCAAACGTGAAATTTAATTTTCCACGTCACCAAAAACTTGGCTAATTTTCCTAATTTCCAAAAATCAATTCATTTCTCATTTTTACGTAATTTCCAGCCAGAAAACGGTCAATGCCCGTGTAAACCCGGATTCGGCGGAAAATTCTGCGACACTTGCGATTCCGGATTCACCAACGTCACCGCCGGTTGCGTCGAATGTGTTTGCGACGAAAAAGGATCGGAAAATTCGAATTGCTCGGCTTCGACTGGACAATGTGAATGTAAACCCGAATATGCCGGATTATCATGTGACAAATGTCAAACCGGATATTTTGGAGAGAGTTGTACTTGTGAGTTTTATTGTTAGGCTGAAGGAAAGCCTATAAATATTTTCTTTCAAAAATCCATGTTTTTCAGTCTGTAATTGTGATCCTGATGGAACTGAAGGTGGAATCTGCGATCAAAACAGTGGACAATGTTTGTGCAAACCTGGATTCTCTGGAGAAAAATGCGAGAAATGTGACACCGCCTTCTACGGATACCCCAACTGCAAACCATGCGATTGTGATGGTGCTGGTAAAACATCTTTGGAATGCGACGCGACCTCCGGACAATGTCCGTGCAACGGCAATTTTACCGGAAGACAATGTGAAACTTGTACCGCTGGTTTCTACGGATATCCAGAATGTCGTGCTTGCGAATGTTTGTTGTCTGGAGCCAAAGGACAAACCTGCGACAATAATGGACAATGTTATTGTAAAGGCAATTTTGAGGGAGAACGATGTGATCGATGCAAACCCAATTTGTACAATTTCCCGATTTGTGAAGAATGCAATTGTAATCCAAATGGTGTTACACGCGATTTCCAAGGATGTGATAAAGTGTCGCCGGGAGAACTTTGTTCGTGTCGGAAAAATGTTGATGGAAGAATTTGTGACAGTTGTAAACCGACTTTCTGGGATTTGAAATATCAACATGAGGATGGTTGTATCAGTGAGTTTTTATTTGTTGAAATTTTCGATTCAAGCTGGAGATTTTCTAGAATTCTTCAAAAATTTCGAATTTAAATTCATTTTCTCCTAGCAAATTTTCTGAATTTTTTCCACTTAAAAAATCTAAATTTTTAAAGAAAATCCAGTTTCAACAAAAAACAATTCTGAAAAAAAATTCTCGAAATTTCAGGCTGCGGCTGTAACACCAACGGAACAATCTCCGGTCTCAACACCTGCGACCTCAAATCTGGTCAATGTTTGTGCAAGAAAAACGCCGGCGGAAGAACCTGCGATCAATGCGCTGAAGGATTCTACCAACTCAACGCCTACAATCAATTAGGATGTGAACCTTGTCATTGTGATGTTGGTGGATCAATTCGTCCCGATTGTGACATCAAAACTGGACAATGTAAATGTCGCCCAAGAATTACTGGACTTCGATGTGATCGTCCTATCGAAAATCATTATTTCCCAACTCTTTGGCATAATCAATATGAAGCTGAAGATGCGCATACCGAAGATCAAAGACCAGTCAGATTTGCTGTTGATGAATCACAATTCAAGAATTACTCATGGAGAGGATATGCGGTTTTCTCTCCAATTCAGGAGAGAATTTTGATGGATGTTGATATTAACAAGGCATCGATTTATAAATTGATCTTCCGTTATGTTAATCCAACTGATGTTCCGATTAATGCAGTTGTTTCGATTGCACCAAGATCTAGTCAATCGCAAGATGTTGAACAAAGTACCAAGGCTACTTTCGCTGCTGGTTCGAAAGATCCCGCTTTCAAGGTTGTTGAAGTTGGAAAAAATCAAGGATTTGTGTTGAACCCAGGAAAATGGACATTATCGATTTCTACTAAACAACGACTTTTCTTGGATTATATTGTTGTTTTGCCAATTGATTATTATGATGGACAGATTTTGAAACAAAGAGCTCCACAACCTTGTGTTGTTAACAATCCATCAAATGTCACTTGCATCGATTCGATTTATCCACCATTGCCAAAAGCTGATCGTATTTTTGCCGACACTGAAAATATGCCATTCAACTATGTCAACGAGGATGGATCTACAACTCCCCTTGAACTTGTGCCAATTGAGATTTTGCCACATAAAGTAACCGGACCTGCTGCTTTTGTTAGAACTGATAATAGCAGTCGAGTTATTGAGGGAAAAGTGAATGTGCCAGAAGATGGAGAATATGTTGTGATTATTGAATATCATAATCGAGAGAAAGATAATCAACGAGTTGGTGTGGAAGTCTTGCAGAATGGAGAACTTGCGATTAATGGAAGCGCGATCATTCACAACTGCCCATACACGTGAGTTTTTTTGAGTCAGGAAGTTTTAAAAGGAGTTTACTAATTTTAAATTTTTTAGAACCTTCTGCCGTGAAATCGTCAGCGCAAATGATCAAATCGCCGCAATTCCACTCAAACAAGGAGAAGCCACAATTCATCTCATCGTAAATCCAAATCATGAATTTGGTCTCGCCGCGATCACAATCCTCAAAAAATCCGATTTCAACAATGATCATCTTCATCAAGTTCCAGTTTGTATTCGACACGGACCAGAAAGATGTGATGCGATAACTTATCCACCAGCTGCCAATACCGCTCCAATTGAAGCTGAAATTGGAGCCAACGAGGCGAAAGCTTTGAGTGGAGATAAGCTATCTTTCCCAGTCGCTGGATCAAGTGATATTTCGGTGGTTTTATTGGAGGATAAAGAAGGAAATATTGAGATTAGTGGAGCTGTTCCTTCAAGAGGACATTATATGTTTATTATCAATTATTTCAATCCGGATAATGCGCCGATCAATATTGATGCATTGATTCAGAATGAGCATTTTCAACAAGGTGACTGTGGAAAAGCATGCCCATACATAAAATGGGTCCCCAGAATTGGGGTGAGGGGCTTAACTTTTTTCAAAAATCTGAAGGGAAGGGAGCCTAACTTGGCCAATTTTCTGCTGATAATTTACCAAAATTCCCAGATTTGTCCAAAATTCGCTCAAAAATGTGAGGAAGGTGTTTAACTTTGGAAAATGTTCAAGGAGGGACCCTAACTTTGAAAACTGACTCGGGGGACCTATTTTATGTATGAGCATGCCGTTTGTTTTTTTGCACTTTTTTTTTGGAAAATTTTGAGCACCATAATTTAAAAAAAAATTGACTGAAAATTCCAATAATTTTAAAAATTCGGTCGAATTCTGAAAGTTTTTATTTTTCTAAATTTGATATGAAAATTAAAATATGAATTTTCTTGAAATGGCTTTTTCACAATTTCAACCATTTTTAAATTCTCAGTTTTTTTTTAGAAATTTTCGAAATAAAAAAAAATCAAAATTTCACATTTTCAATTTTTCCCAATCACCTTTTGTCATTTCCTCACACTATCTCTCAAAAATTTCCTAATATTTGTTTGTCCTATTTTTTGCACCATTTCATTTCATTTCCAGATACTCAGCACTATTATTCCCATTTTGTCTTCAATGGTTCGTGTGTCCTTTTTTCTAAACTAGCACAGTTTTTGCACCAAATCCTAACCCTAATCTCTAATCAGCTTTCTAACCCATCTCAAAATTTTCCCTCCTAATTTGTTATATTTTCAGCTACTGTTCCTTTGGCTTTCTGTCCATCTTCTGGATGTCGCGCATTGGTTTATGATAAAGAAAGACCAGATCTCAATCACTTTTTCATTGAAAGCAATTTCACAATCACATTCTATCCAAACGCAACTCAAAAAGGACCAATTTTCATTGATTCTATAATCGCCGTTCCTTATAATGTTTTCAATCAAAAACTAATGGAACCGGTGCCTTTGGATATGTCGGAAAGATTCAAAAAAGAATGCAACAAAGAATATTTCCGAAATCATCCGGAAGAAGTTTCGGATTATTGTAAGGAGAAGATTTTTGCGTTGACAACGGATTTCAATTCGGCTGCGCTTTCGTGTGATTGTGTGGCTCAAGGTTCGGAATCGTTCCAATGTGAGGAATATGGTGGACAATGTCAATGTAAAGCGAATATTATTGGAAGACGATGTGAGAGATGTGCGCCGGGTTATTATAATTTCCCAGAATGTATCAGTGAGTTTTTTTTAGGAGTGAGGGTTTTGGGTGGAAATATTTGAAAAGTTGCCTTCTTTCATGTTTGAATTATGAAAAAAAAATTGATGAATTTTCATATTTTTTTAAATTTTGGTTGATTTTTTTTCCAATACCCATAATTCAATTTTGAAAGTATATAAAGAAATGATTTTAAAATATAAATTGCAGAATGTTCTTGCAACTCTGGCCAACAATGCGACGAAAGAACCGGTCAATGTTTCTGTCCTCAACACGTCGATGGATTGAATTGTGAAAAATGTGTGAGCAACGCTTTCGGCTACGATCCTCTCATCGGATGTCAAAAATGCGGTTGCCATCCACAAGGTTCTGAAGGTGGAAGACTTGAATGCGATGCTGAAAGTGGACAATGTTTGTGTAGAGAATCAATGGGTGGAAGACAATGTGACAGATGTTTGGCTGGATTCTACGGTTTCCCACAATGCTACGGTTGCACTTGTAATCGCGCTGGAACAACTGATCAAATTTGCGATGCCACAAATGCTCAATGCACATGTAAAGAAAATGTGTATGGTGGACGGTGTGAAGCTTGTAAAGCGGGAACTTTTGATCTATCGGCTGAAAATCCATTGGGATGTGTGAATTGTTATTGCTTCGGTGTTACTGATAGCTGTAGATCGAGTATGTTCCCGGTTTCGATTTTACCAGTTGATATGTCTGCTTTCTTGACAACTGATGATAGTGGAATGGTTGATAATAAGGATGATACTGTAGTTTATACATCTGAGGAAGGATCGCCGGATTCAGTCTACTTTGTTGTTCCAATTGACACATCTAAAGATTATACAACAAGTTATGGATTGGGAATTAGTTTCACTCTTCAAAATACACCAAGAGGTGATAAGAAGCGAATTAATTCTGATGCCGATGTTCGAATTAGTGGAGCAAATAAGACTGTTGAATGCTGGAGTTCGGAAGCACCAACTAATCCAGAAGAAACATTCACTGTCAAGTGTGTGTTGGCAGCTGAGAACTTTATGAATCTCGAAGGAAAACCGGTGACAAGAGAGGATTTGATGAAGATTCTTCATTCTCTTCAAAACATCACAATCAAAGCTTCATATTTCAATAACCCGAAAACAAGCACACTTCATGAATTTGGACTCGAAGTTTCGAATCCGAATGGCGAAGCTTCGGTTATCAAGGCGTCGTCTGTTGAACAATGTCAATGTCCTGCTCCATATACTGGACCTTCTTGCCAACTTTGTGCATCTGGATATTATCGAATTCAATCGGCTGGAAACTTCTTGGGTGCTTGTGTTCCTTGCGAATGCAACGGACATTCTGGAACTTGCGATCCGAATACGGGAATCTGCACAGATTGTGAACATAATACTCACGGGGATCATTGTGAGTTTTGCGACGAAGGTCACCACGGAAATGCTACAAATGGAAGTCCGTACGATTGTATGCCTTGTGCTTGCCCATTCGCTCCAACCAACAACTTCGCAACAGCTTGTGATGTATCCGAAGAGGGACAAACTCTTCAATGTTATTGTAAACCTGGATATACTGGAGAACGTTGCGATCGATGTGCGGCTGGATTCTTTGGTCAGCCTGGAGTTCCCGGTGGATCTTGTGAACCTTGTCAATGTAACAACAATAATAATTTGACTGATTCGAGATCTTGTCATCCGGTAAGTGGAGATTGTTATCTCTGCGAGAATAACACAGATGGACGGCATTGTGAATGGTGTGCTCAATGGTATCACGGAGATGCTATTGGGGCTAGAAATTGCTCGAGTTGCTCTTGCGATCAATGTGGAAGTCAAGTTTGTGATAATAGAAATGGAGGATGTGCCTGTAAACCAAATGTCGAAGGAGATGAATGTGATCGTTGTGCACCAGATCATTGGGGATTCTCAAAATGTCGCGGGTGCGAGAGATGTAATTGTGGAACTGCCGCATTCAATTCACAATGTGATGGCGAAAACGGACAATGTACTTGTCGACCAGGAGCTGCCGGATCGAAATGTGAACATTGTGAACATGGATATTGGAATTATGGAGAACACGGTTGTGAGAAATGTGATTGTGAATCAGATCTCTCACTTGGAACGGTTTGCGATGTTCGAACTGGACAATGTCAATGTCAAGAAGGTGCGACTGGTCCAAGATGTGATCAATGCCATCCATCGTATTTGAGAATTCCGACAATGGGTTGTAGACGTAAGATTTTTGAATAATTTTCAAATTAAGATTAACAATTTTTGCTTATTCTAGGTTGTGACGAATGTGTTCATCATTTGATTGGCGACGTCGATAATCTCGAATTGGAAATTGAAATTCTTGGAACATCCATTGGAAACATCTCATCGGCTACAATTGTTGGTGCAAGATTAGCGAGAAGCAAAAAAGAGTTGGCGGATATTGGGGTGAGTTAAATTACACTTCTACTCTCAAAACAAATCTGTGTTTTTTCCAGGAAGTTGAAAAATTGTTGAACGATGAAGAAAGCATGTTTGGAAATGTTTTCGGAGATGCTGCTGAAGTTTTGACGAATGCCACACAAGTTGTTCATAAAGTTGATAGAATCGGATCATTGGCAAATATTCAATCACAAAAATCACATAATCTTACCACTGATGGAGATGCGATATTCAGAGATGTCATCACAAAATCTGAAAGAGCTCGACAATCTGTCAGAAATCTTTTGGATATTGCAAGATCTATTGGATCCTCTTCATCTGCTGTTAATGTTGATACAAAATTGATCGAAGAAGCGCAATCTACGTTGAATGAATTGGAATCTGCATCAGCGACACCGCAATCAGAAAAAGTTGAAAGTGTGCCGAAAAAGATTGCTGAAATCAATGAGAAGATTTCGGGAGAATCAGATAGACTGAAAATGTTGGGAGAGAAAGTTGAGAGTGAAAAGAATAAGACGGAACAATTGGCTGGATATTTGAATAGTGCACAACAGAAATTGAAGAAAACTGAAGCGGAATTGAGAAAATCAGAGACGGTGAGATTTTTGGAGGTCCCTAATGATCCTATTTTTGCCAAGTTATAAGTTATTTTCAAATTTTCTCATTTTCCAGGCCTCAAAAGTTGCTCAAGTCAACAAAATCACCAACATGGTCGCCGCAATCAATGCGGATATGAAAAAAGTGGACACATTGAACAATGATTTGAACAACACCCAACTCTCGATTCAAAATTTGACCGAATCCAACAATGAACTTCGCGAGCAACTCAATCTTGAAACCGCCAATTTGAATGAAACTAGAACTGAAATTTCCGAAGCGATGGAAGCAACAAGAAGAGCAAAACGAGAGGATGAAGAAGGATATAGACAAGAATTGATTCAGAAAGCTGGAGAACTTCGTGGAAAATCAGCTGGTTTGAGAGATCAATTTGATTCTGATCGAGTTGAGAGAGAAAGAGCATTTGCTGCCACTAATGCCTATTCGGATTTGAGCCAAACTTTGAAAAATGCGACAAATGAAGCTGAAGCTGCTATTGAAGTTGTTAAGAAGGAAGGAGAGGGATTGGAAGATCTCAAAACATCTCTCAAGAATACTGTCGAGGAAACCGGAAAAACACTGAAAATCAAGGATGAATTAAAGGTTGCAAATTTGTTGAAAGATGTTGAGAAGGTTCAGAGAGAAAATGATGAATTGGATGAATATGTGAGAGATTTGCAAAGAAGAAGAGATAATTTGAATTTGGCCAAGAACGAGAATTCAGAATTGTTCGAAACGATTTCCGAAAAGACCAAGGAAGTTGAGAAGGTTTTGGAAAATGTTGGAGAAGATCAAGATCAAGAGAAGATTGCATCATTGAAAAATGAGGCGCAAAAAGTTTCGGATAGACGTGCTGAAGCGATTGAAGGAATTGTTATTGCTAGATCAAATGTTGGAGAGTTGAAACAAGTTACACCTGGATTAGTTGCGGCAATTGCGGTTCTCAAATCGAATACTCAAGAAAAGACAGCGAAGTTTGACGCAGTTGCAGAAAAAGTTTCGCAAATTCGCGAGAAAATTGCTGTGGCCAGAGATGCTGCAAATCGCATTAAACTTGGAGCTCATTTCGAACGAGGATCCTCTCTTAACTTGAAGGTTCCACAAAGAGTTACAAGAAGTGCTGCACATACCGATGTTTCTTTCTATATTCGAACTGAACAAGAGCATGGAATTCCATTGTTCTTTGGAAATGAGGAAAATGTTGTTGGAAGTCGTGCGGTACCTACTGATGATTTCATTGCTGTAGAACTTGAATACGGTCGTCCGAAGGTTACTGTTGATCTTGGAGATGCGCCGATTGTTGTTAAATTGGACACACCTATCAATGATAATCAATGGAGACGGATTCATGTTGAAAGAATTGGAAAGACTGTGAATGTGACTATTTCGAAACCGAATAGTGAAGAATTAGCAGAAACGAAGAATGCGGTGGCTGTTGGAAATAAGAGTGTGTTGAATTTGCATCAGGATATTTCGAAATTGTATGTTGGAGGAATTCCGAGAGGAGCACAGGTGAGCGGAGTTTTGAATATTTTTACAAATTGAAAAAAATAGCATACAAGATTTTTAAAAATATCGCATTTTGCAGATCTCACGTGATATCTACAACCGCGAATTTGTTGGAGACATCGAACAACTGAAATTACACGGTGAACCAGTCGGACTCTGGAATTCGAATGATAATGGAGCCACAAATGTTCAAGGAGCTCTGAAACGGCCCAAGTTTGCTGATAGCGCTGATGAAATGTCGATTTCATTAGGTGGAGAAGGATATACAAGTTATAAACCAAATCATTGGAATCCAAGAAAGGTTACGAAGATCACTTTGTCTTTCTTGACTTTCTCACCGGAAGGATTATTGTTCTTTGTTGGAAAGGATGTAAGTTTTTGAGATCGGAAAGCCCGGAAATTACGAATTGTTTGAATTCGCTGTTTTGAAAATTAAAAAAAAATAGTTTAAAAAAATGTTTCTAAAAAAAATATTCCATTAATTTTCAGCGCGATTTCATGTCCCTTGAACTCTCTGAAGGAGCCGTCAAACTTTCAACAGATCTTGGATCTGGAGTTGGACAATGGACCAGTGAAACTTCGAATTATAATGATGGAAAATGGCATACTGTATCAATTGTCAGAGAAGAAAAACACGTGAAAATGCAAATTGATGGAGAATCGAGTAGTTCTTTGGAGGGAGATGTTCCTGGAAAAGATACCGAAATGTCAGTCACTGAATTCTTATATATTGGAGGAATTCCATCTGGAATCAATGTGAGAACTACAGTTGTGCCACTTCGTGGATGCATCAAATCTGTTCGGTTGGGTTCGGATGAAGTGGATTTGGAAAATAGTCATGCTTCAAAGGGAGCTAGAAGTGGATGTCCGATTAATACTGTTAGAACTGTTTCGTTGTTATCTGAAAGAACTTTGGCCAGTTTTGCAAATATCACTAAATCTGGAGAAGATGTTTCAGTGACATTTAAATTCAAAACCAAGGCAATCAACAATCCTTCAACTATTTTTGCCATCAATGATGATGAAGACGCAGTTTTGTCTATGACAATTGATTCCAATGGAATTTTGACAGCTAAATCTGGTGAAGATAGTGCAACTCTTGAATTGGCAGCATCACCGGATGAGAAATGGCACTATGTATCAGTTAGAAAATCGAAATCATCGATTAGAATTGATGCTGATGATTCATTCTCCAATGAAGTTTCGAGAAAACATCAAGATGAATCGAACACAGAAGTTTTGCTTTCTGCTGAATTCGGAAAAGCAACTGAAGACGCAAGTTCGTTTGTTGGATGTATTGGAGATGTTACGCTAAATGGAAAATTGCTCGATTTTGCGCAGGCAACTATTAAAGAAGTTGCATTGAATGGTTGTTCGTTGAGAGAAGACGAATTTATTAGCAAGGTAAATTTTGAATATTCAATTTTTCTAGATGATTAATCAATTGATTTTAGGCCTCCACGACTACAACTACCACAACTGAATCACCAGAAGATCGTCGAGTTTTACCGCAGGATTTAGAAGAAGAAGAAAACAATGCTGAAGTTACCACAACTCCAGAGCCAACTGAGCCACCAACTGAGCCACCAGCAGAGGTAAGATTTTTTGAATCGAAAAAATTTTGAGATTTGGAAAGCTCTATATTTGAAAAAAACTTCAAGTTTCAATAAAAAATAACAGGAATCTACAAATCCTCCAACCGAAGACGAATTTGTATCAATTTCTGAAAAACCGGACGTAAGAAATGCTAGACTTTTTCCTATGTTTCTCCCTTTTTACTTCTACTTTCTAACTTTCTCTATATTTTTAGTTCTTAACATTTTCGGCTTCTTTTTTTTCGGTTGTGAAAATTGGAATTGTTCCAATTTTCAGCTCAATTTTAACCCAAATATATAATTTTTTTGAATTTTCAGCCAATTCCTGAGGGATCTTGCGGTTTGCCACTAAACCCAGCCAAAGAAATCTTTGATGCTGATGGACACCATTTCGGAACTGAATTGCACAGTCGAATTGAATATGCTGCGCTTCCAGATGCAATTGATAAAAGTTCGGAATTCACTTTCAAAATCAGACCGACTGCATTAAATGGACTTGTGTTTATTGCGACAAACGGAAGAACCGATCATATTTCAGTGTATTTGGAAAATGGAAGAGTGATGTTCAGTTTTGATAGTGGAGCAAATAAGAATTCGCGAGTTTTGATTGCCTCTGATTCGTCAATTTTGGATGGAAGATGGCATTCGATTAAGGTTTCGAGACGTGGAAATTCGGCACATTTGATTGTTGATGATTCGAGTTTCGAACCGAATAGTGAGTTTTTTGGAGTAAATTTTAACTAGGAAATATTTTAAGTTTAGGAAATATTGAATCTTCAATTTGTCTTCAAAATTCATATTATTTTTTCCAGCCACTATCGCCACCCACAATGACGATTTAATTGAAACTGTGCCACCATTCTTCCTTGGTGGTTTGCCAACTGATATTCTTATTTTCGCCAAAGGACTTTCGCAAAATATGCGCGAACAATTCAGTGGATGTATTCGAGACTTCCGATTGAATGGAAAAATTTTGACTGGTGGAAATGAGATTGGTGTTGCACAATGTTCTGAATATCAAGAAAGAGGATTGTATTTCGGAAAAGATGGTGGATATGCGATTGTTGATAAGAATTTCAATGTTGGCGCAGTCTTCGAGATTGAATTTGATATCCGACCAAGATCTAAAAATGGATTGATTTTGTCTGTTGGAAACTCTGATTTTATTAATCTTGAACTTCAAGATGGTAACATCACACTTACCGCGAAAACAGCCGATACTAAATATTCAACCCAATTTGTTGTTCCCAATAGTAATTTCTTGTGTGATGGACAATGGAGTCGAATTTTGATCAAAAAACGAAATAAGCTTATCAATTTATCGGTGAATAATAAAATGAATTTGGCGGTTCTTAAGAAGGGAAATGTGATGAATACAAATGCACCATTATACATTGGAGGAGTGCCAAAAGGTGCACAGAATGATGGTGTCAAATCGACTGAACCATTTGTTGGATGTATGCGAATTGTTCGAATCGGTGAGAAGCCGAAGGATAAGAAGATTCGAAGAAAGAAGGATTTGGATTTCATGAGATTTGAGATTGAAGGAGATGTTTCAAAGAGTGGATGTCCAATTATCTAATTAATATTTTTTTTATTTTCTTCTATTAATCTTGCCACTAACTTTTTCTTGTAATATTTTAATTTTGGTAAATATTTTTAAATCGCAATCGGTTTTGTTTTTTTTTTTCGTTGAAAAGAAGGAAGTATTTATCCCGAATTTGGTTTTCTAAAAAAATTATCTCTCTAAAATTTGGTACTGTTTAACAAAATCTAAAAAATTTGGGAAACGTGAGCTTTTTGATGCGTGACAATTACGTGGCAAATATTTATTGTATTTTTTCTCCAGAAATATTCGCTCATTTTTGAGTTCTAGTTTTGCTGAAAATTGTGAGCCTAATGCTATTTTTTGAAGAAATTTACCTTCCAAGTAAAATTGTCGAAGTTACTGTAAGTTCAAAGGTTTAGAAATAAAATGTAGGATTTTTTAATACTAATTAACCTCTTCAAAAAATTCACTAGTTAAAATAGGAAAATAAATAGAAATTTCTTCTAGGCTTCAATTTTTCGCAAAAAAATTTTTTTTTTGTAGATCGAAAAAAAATTAAGCGCGAAACATTTTGGCTGTCTTTTTTTTCGAAATAAATCAATAAATCTTGTGGTTTTTTCTATTTTTTTTCGAATTTTTCTTGCTATTCTTAATTTTTCAGGTGAAAATGGTAGAAAAGATTCGATTTCTGCAAGGATTGTGGCCACCACGTGGATGTTTTGAAGAATCGTTGAAAAATTGGTGGATTTTGTGATTTTTGAGTCGAAGTTGTGAGTTTTTGGGTTTTTGAAGGGATTTTGAAGAAAAATACGAGAAAGTCAGGGTTTCTGATGAAGTTTGCGTCTTTTTTTTGTTTATTTACACATTTATTTTGTTTTCCTACGTTTTTTATCACCTAAAATTTTGTAACTGAAAATCAAACTACAAATTTTTTTTATTTTCAAATCTCAAACATCAATTGTTTATTTTCTATGAACAAAAAATGTAGAATGACTTCTTATCGGTCAAAAATTATCACATATTTTATTTGCCTAAACCTCACATTTTTCTTGCAAATAAAAAATCATTGAACACTTTTTTGTTTACAAACACGTTGAGAAAATTTGGAAAACCTCGTGGTTTTTGTGGCAAACACTGTGTTTTATCTAGAAAAAAAATGTGATTTGATTTGATCGAATTAGTTCCTTTCTTAATTGTAATTTGATCGGACTGAGACAATGTGGAAATATAGAATTTGACATTGAAACTTTGAAATTTTGAAACATTTTTTGTTGAAAAATAAAATGAAATATGAACAATGATTGATAAAGAATAGAAAAAACACAAAGTGAAACAAAAAAAATTGGTTTTTTTTTAGCTAATGTTTCAGTTTTTTTCATCTGAAAGCTAATAATTTGTTATCTTGCATTTTTGAGGATTTTTCAGAATTTTAAAACTGATATTATATTTTTTTGAATAATTTTCTGAATGCTATATTTCTAATCAAATCAATCCGAAGAAAGCCGTACTCATAGAATTCAAATATATCGAAAGATTCGCACAAATTTTCAACGTAATATTTCATCTCACAAAAATTTCACTCACAAACTCCACACAGAATCTTTCTGAACTTCGTACCCACATCAAACAAATACTCAGATTACCTATCCAAAACTGTTCAATGATCTCGCCAAGAATGAAATTGCAATAGAAAGTAATCAACCCCTTCTCAAACACGTGTGTTGATATCGCGACCATTGAACAGTTTTCTAAGTCTCCGCCCATTTTCGAATGGGTACAAAAAGGGAACCCAAGATTTACAACTAAATCCTAAAAATGGGAAAAAAGCGAGTTGCTGTAATTGGCTCTGGAGCATCTGGACTTCCATCAATTCGTCACGGATTGTTGAATGGATGCGATGTGACTTGTTTTGAGGCTTCAAATGATATCGGAGGATTGTGGAGATATAAATCGCATGAGACTAATGGTGAGCTTAGCTTTTTCTCGGAGCTGTTCAACTCCAAAGTTTTCAGAATCTTCTGTGATGAAGACTACGGTAATCAATACTTCGAAAGAAATGACTGCTTATTCGGATTTCCCTCCACAACCACATCTTGCAAACTTTATGCACAATTTGGAGATGTTGAATTACCTCAAGGCATATGCTGAACATCACGGATTGATAAAACATATCAGATTCAACCATAAGGTTTTGAATGTTGAAAGATCTTCAAGTTATGCAGCTGATGGTACATGGAAAATCACATATCAAACCCCAGAAGGACAAACCAAGGAAGAGATATTTGATGGAGTTCTCGTTTGCTCTGGACATCACGCGATTCCACATTGGCCTGTTCCATTCAAAGGACAAGACACCTTCAAAGGACGAATTATTCATTCACACAGTTATAAAGATCATCAAGGATATGAGGATAAGATTGTGGTTGTTGTTGGTGTTGGTAACTCAGGAATTGATGTTGCTGTTGAACTCTCCAGAATTGCTAGACAAGTTTATCTTGTCACTAGAAGAGGAACCTGGCTTATCCCTAAACTTGAGACTCGAGGATTGCCATTCGATGTTATCATGAACACCAGATTCTTCTCGCTTTATAAGTTGTTGCCACAAAGCTTGTTGAACACTTTTGTGGAATATCGCGTTAATCAAAGAGTTGATCATGATTTGTATGGATTGAAGCCAAAACATCGAGTGTTCAGTGCTCATCCATCACTCAATGATGAACTTCCAAATCGAATCGCCAATGGAACTGTTAGAATCAAGCCGAACATTAAAAACTTTGATGGCTATAAGATTAACTTTGAAGATGGAACAACTGTGGAACATGTTGATGAAATTGTAATGTCTACTGGGTTCTCTTTTGAATTTAATCTCATCGAACACGGAAAACTCGTTCCTGTCAATGAAAACGAAGTGGATCTTTATCAATATATGTTCCCGACTGCTACTTCGGATCATAACTCACTTTGTATTATTGGTCTGATCCAACCGTTTGGCTCAATTATGCCTGTCTCCGAACAACAAGCACGGGTTTTCTACGCTAATTTGGTGTCAGATAATAATATTATTCCAAGAAAAAGTGATATGGAAGAATCAGTTCATAACAAGAAATCTGCAATGGCTGCACAATTTGTAAAATCGAGAAGACACACAATTCAAGTCGATTATATTCCATACATGGATGAACTCGCTGAACTTATCGGATGTCAAGTTCCTGTTTTGCGAACCTGGCTGACTGATCCATTTTTGGCCTATAGATTGTTCTTCGGACCAAATGCTGGATATTGCTATCGATTAAATGGAAAACACACTTGGGATGGGGCTAGAAATGCTATCATGACTATTGATCAACGTGTTAGACAAGCCACAACTTCGAAACCAGCTTCATCCACCAATTATGGTTTTATTTTATTGGTCTCATCTTTAATCTTACTTGCAATTCTCTTCTTTACTTTGTGAGGTCTTATTTTGTATATAAAGGCTATGTAGATTAACACCCTCAAATGAATAAAACTTTATTTTCTCATAATTTAGACACGTGTAATTGTTGTCCAACCATTTTCGATCTGAATCTTGATTTTTGAACCATCGAAAAGATCAGAGACAGATGTTGAAGTCTCAACCTCGTCTTTCAATTGAACTTCCCATTTTGAGATTCTGAACTTGGCAAGGTTCCAGAGCTAAAAACATTTTTTTTTTTGGAGGTTCCAAATTGTTCAACTCACCTGGACCAAATTGTGGAGATGTTCCTTGGTTAGATTAGCAGGACCTTCTAGAATCACATCAGGAGATCGGAGCTTAGCCAAAGTTGAGTAGTCGAAAATATATGGGAAATCAGTAGATTGCTTGATGACTAGTTTTTTGGTCTGTAAAAATGCCAGATTCTCTCATAATAGAAAAAGAAAGTTTTAAAGTTATATACCGATTGAATTGCATCTGCATCAAAGTTGAAAGTTGTAAGCGAAGCCTTTCCCAAAACATCCAGTCTGAACTCTTCGCTTCCAATTCCCTGAACTTGAAAATCGTCGGGAATTGTGAAGGAGGAACTGGGATGTTCAATGACGAATTTTATTTTCTTCGGTTTCTGCTCGGAATGGGCTAGAAGTTTGGAGAATTTTGGCTTCATTTGGCTGCACAGGTTTTCCTGGAAATTGAGGATATTTTAACGGAATAAGGCCAGGTTTATTCAGATTTAGAGATTTTCAAACTTGAGACGACTTTCAGCAATTGACCTATTTTTCATTATTCTTTAAACCTGTTTTTAAGAGTTTAAAAAATTTATGTGGAATTTTTGACTTGAAAAATTACGAAGATAACTTACGAAAATCATTGATTCCACGGTGTATTTTGTAAGAATATATGCAAATTGTGTTCCTATATGTCTTGTGATAGAATTCGAATCAAAGTTCAATGTCTTCGGTGGTCCGTCATAAAGCGGTTTAATTAATTCCAAAATCTCTTCCTCTCTCAAATTTACTTCTCGGTTCATATGAACATAAGTTGACCATTCAGTGTCATTTCCGTTTGTCAATTTGAAATAAGCGTATTCTTTTGGTTGCTAAAAATTCAAGTGTCTAAAACAACATCTTCAAATAGTTTGTTACCCTAAAATATTGAACATGAATTTCATATCCGGAAGAAAATGAAGTGAAAAATAGAAATAAAAATAATATAGCTAGCATGACTAAAGCTTGAAAATGATTGAAAAATAATAATGAGAGGACGACACATGTTTGCAAAAGATTGATGGATATTTTTTGCTTGATCTTTACGAACACACATTTTTGTGTCTGGTTGTGTGCCCTTTGGAATTTTTGCAGAACAAAAAATTTTGAGGAAAAAGGGTGGACATGGTATTTTGATTTTTGTGCAAATGTTTTATGGTATTGTGTCTTGCCAGTTTTTCGGTAGATTGTGGTTAAACGTCTCCAGAATCTAGTTACTCTGAAATAATAAAAAATTTTAAAATATAGTTTCTGAAAGTGGTATGATTTTGTATTTCCAAAAAATTAAGATTATTTGTGTTCAGAATATTGACAGCGGGACAATTTATATAATCTCAGACTACTGCAATTTCTCCCTTTCGACGAGGTAACAATTTTCTAGTCTAGTTTAACTAACTCTTTTTGATCATACATTAATATAACCTGTAATTTAAGTCAATCTCATTTTTTTTACTTCATTCGTCTACATTTACTTTGAAAAAATGTCGTATGCATTTAACATAACTCCAGCAATTACAAATTACATCAACGGTGATTTCGAAACGTTTAATCCGACTCTCCTCATCGATTGTCATAAAATATGTTCGACTAATCTTGACACGAATCAAATTTGGACCGATTTGGTAACATCTAATTATCACGGAGTCACAACTTCATTGATTAACATATTTGTTCAAATTATATTTATCATTTTCATTATTTGGAGGAAGAACTTGTATGTATTTCAACAGATTCATTTAACTCTATCGGTCCTATTGATCATAAAATCTACTATAATTTTCACCTTGAATGTCATTTGTTTTTACGAATCAACTTCAGAAATGAAATCGATCATCAAGTTTTCTTTGTATTTTGACATCTTTGTTGATACTTATAAGTATCTTATCATATTTTTCCTGGCTTTCAACAGGGTAATATGTTTCGCTTCAATCAATTGGTTCACTCAGATTTTCAAAAAACCAACATTTTATTTAATTCTCATAATATTTGGTGGTTTTTCTGGATTGTACTCGGTTTTTCGCATTCGAAAAGATGATGTCCAACGAAAGTATTTACGACAAATTGGATTTATTGATTATTGTTTTGTGTCGGATAGAACTTTTGAGAGAATTATGTATATTTTACCTGTTTCCACTGTAATTTTTTATATTTACCTCATCAAAAAATTACGAAGTGATTATAATAATTCAGATGTTATTGAAAGAGTAAAAAATATATCATTTGTTAACATTGTTTCAACAAGTTTACTGAATTTGTTCATCCTATGCTATGCTGAATATTTAGATAACTTGGAAAACACTACCCTTTGGAATATGCAATTTTTTTATGCTCTCAATCAACTTCCTGAAATGACTATTTCAGTAGTTTTTGTGATAACAAATTTTTCGAAATTTGAAGGAACTTTAAGATCGAAGAGAACTAATAGAGTTTTTGTTAAATGAATCAATCGGTCATCAAAATCACAAGTATATATCATAATTATTCTTGAAATTTCAATTTTAAGTTGATTATTGGGTTTCTGTTGAGTTCCTTCTCAATAAATCAGTTGGTTATTCGTCATATAATGTCTTTAACCCAGAAATTTTTGTACAGTATATGTATATTAAATATTTTAATTTTGAATCAAGGAAAAATATAACATAGATCCAAATGTTTTATGCGTTCAATCAACTTTTTGAAATTATTTTGTCCCTCATTTTTTTCTATAATTCCAAATACTCATATGAGAATTATGAAAAATATCAACATTACCATAAAACTTAAAAATACCAGCTTCATATTTTTTTTTGACTTTCTAATATATTGAGCTTAACATGTTATTATTTTTGACATTTTCATATGAATCATATATTTTTTGGGTTCCTTTTTATGAATGAAGCAAATAGATATTTTTCATAATGTCTTATAATTTCAATTTTAATGGAACAACCATTGTTTTTCCTATTCTAGATTTGGCTACAGTTGATCAAACATTATCAGAAAAAACAACAGAGTTTGTTGATGGAAATTACTATGAAATGCTGATAACTTTTGGTAATATCATCACTCAATTCCTATTTATTATTCTTGTTGTTATCAGAAAATATACTTTTTCTTTTCACAAGATTCACGCTTGTCTATCGGTATTTATCATTATCCGAGATTGCATTATTGTGTGGTTACGATTATATTTTTTCTACATCACCAATGTGGAGTTCAAAGATTTCGTCAAATTCTCATTGTATTTTGATATCACTATAGATACCTTCAAGTATTGTGTGATTTTTTTGTTAGCTTTCAATAGATTGTTATGTTTTGTTTCGAGTTATTGGTTCACCCAAATCTTTGAAAGACCAATTTATCTACTAATTATTCTGTTTTTTGCTGCATTTTCAGTTGCATCTTCCATTTTACAAGTACAATCGACTGATATTACAAGGCTTTACATATTGAAAATAGGTTTCATCGATTATAGTTTGAAACAATCATCTCGGATTTTTGAAAGGAGTATGTATATTTTCCCAGCATTAACAGTTATATTCTATATCTATCTCATTTTTCGATTAAGATGTATGTATGGTGAAAATGAGAGAATAGCCAAAGTTAATAGTATATCAATTATAAATATTATGTCTACAATATCTTTAAATACTGGAATTCTCCTTTTCGCAGAGTATTTGAATTCTACACAGAATAAAGATATTCCAATGGTTCAGATGTTTTATGCGTTAAATCAACTTCCTGAAATTGCGTTATCTTTGATTTTCATTATTACAAATACTGATAGAAGAGTTATCAAACAGATTTCAGCAATTCCTCGAAGTTCAACAATTGTTGTCACATAATATTTTATTTGATTTTTCAAAAATTGTTCAATGTAAACCGAACTTTTTTTTTTCTGATAAACAAGTTGAATGCTATGTTTTCGATCATTATTTAGAAAAATAAAAAGTAATAACGATTTTCATTGAATTTCTGAATTCAGCTTCAAAGTTGTTATTTGTTCAATCGAATTTTGGAAATATTGCTATCCTTGATTTTTATGATCACAAATACCAGGGTTAGAATTTTGCAATATTATCGCGAACTAAATAATTGTTGTACTAAATACTTCTTTTTTTCGTTCTCTACAGTATACCTGGCTACTTTAACGTATAATCAGTTATCAGAAATTGTTTTCACTTTGCTTTTCATGATATTTAAGTTGAGGGTAATGGGCGTGTCTGTTTTTCACAGACTATAATTATTGAATGCGATTAGAAGTTCGCTGAAAAGTTTTCTGTCCGAATTCCCACGTACGATATGTCGTTTGTTTTCATCGGAAGTCGAACATCTTTCAATCCTCCAGCTAATATCAAAGGAACTGAAGTTGGAAGTACCTGGGAGCAAGATTTGATTGAATCGTATTGGGAAATACCTTTGGTTTCATTCATAAATTTGGTCTCTCAAATTTGTTCTATAGCTTTCATGATTTTTAAAAATGGAAAAAGCACGAGTTTTCACAAAATATCCAGTTTTCTCAATGTTGTTCTCATTCTGAAGTCAGTTTCAAGTCTTACCTTGAATTTGTATTGTTATACCGAATCTTATCTATCTTCTCATCGAATCATCAGCTATTTTTTGATTTTTGATTTTACTATGGAAACCATCAAAATTATTCTTTGGCTATTTCTGGTTATACATCAATATATTTATTTTACTGATTCAAAATTGTTTGGCTCAATTTTCAAAACGAAAATCTATATGATTTTCTTGGTTTTAATATGTCTCTTCGGATTTTCATTCACATATTTACGGATTTCAATCAACGAAATAACAAGGGGATATTATTACAGTTATTGGTTTATCGATTTCTCTGAAAATCCCAACCGGGTCCTTGAAAGAGTTATTTATCTCTTTCCGGTTTTCACAGTGTTTATGTTTCTTCTCACTGCACATCAAATAGGAAAATCTCGAAATCGTAATCAAGACATATCATTTATCAACATCCTATTTTCAACTCTCGTACATATTTTTGTACTATTCTACGCTGAAATAATTCGAGAGCTTTACAATAATTTTGTAATCGAAATTTACTATTTGTTAGTTCAGCTTCCCGAGATTATTTTCAGCTTGGTTTTCATAATTTGTAACTTGTAGCGAATAAATACATATTTTCTAAATTTAAATATTTATTTTTTCTCAAAAAGTTGAATTCTTAACTTGAATACTTTAAGTAAATTTAAATGAACTGCTGAAATATTTTTATATTTCAGAGATGTCATTTGTCTTTGTTGGAAAAGGTCCTTACTATAAGATCGCAGTAGCAGCAACTGGAGAAAATTTCAATATAATTTCTTATAAGATTTTCCACGCTCCATTCTCCAATATTTTCATTCAAATATGGTTGTTAACCATGCTTTGTTATAAAAATATCAAATCTTCTTTTCACTTAATGCAAACTATTTTATCGATTATTTCAATACTCAAATCGATTATTATAATAGCTATCAATATTCCTCACTTTTTTGATTCCACAGTTTCTATGGAAATACCTACTAGAATATCGTTATATATTGATTTCATAATTGATTGTTACAAAACAATTCTTGTATTTTTCATGATAATTAATCGATATTTGTTTTATTCATCGGCAAAGAATTTCAAATCAATATTCGAAACCAATTTATATAAATATCACCTTTTGATTCTTGCCGCTGTCGCTGTAATTTTCACAGTTTTTCGAATCGAAATCAGTGAAATCAATCGTGAATTCATTATAGTCATGGCGGTTATGGATTATTCATTGAATCTCAGCTTATTCATAGAAAGAATACTTTATCTTCCTAAAATTTTAACTTTCGTCATCCATGTTTTGCTAATTTTTAAGACTTTCAAATACGAAAACAAAACTCGACTTTGCTATATTCATATAATGTTCCAAACTGTTTCAGAATTTATTGTTATTTCGTATGCTGAATTTTTGAGATTCACAAAAACTTATTCAGTATCAGAACTAAGAGTATACTATTTAATTATGAACATTCCTGATATCATTTCTGCTTTGATTTTCATGTTGACAAATTTTCTAAAGTGAAAATTAATATGTGTTAATTAATTGTAGCTTACTATGATTGCTTTGATTTTTTGAAACATTCAATTATCATGAACTTCAGAAATTGTTTACTGAAGTTGATAAAATAAACTTACTTACCATAAACGATATGTCTTTTGTGTTTGTTGGAACTAAACATGATTTTTCTATTATGTATGATTATTATGGATACAAGATTGATAAGTCTTCAACATTCTTTCACTCTGACAGTGGTTTTGAAATAACATTTCCCGATTTGTTGAATCTACTCATGCAGTTATGCTTGATAACAATGATTTTCTTGAAAAAAATCGAATCATCTTTTCATTTTCTGCAAGTTGTTTTGTCGATAACATCTGTTTTAGAAACAATTACGAATTTGATGATCTACGCTAAATATATATTTGAAATCAGCCCTGAATACGAAAATAATGCTAATAAAATCACTTTATATATTGCATTCACTCTTAATACGTGTAAAAGTTGTCTATTATTTTTCATGATTATCAATCGATATTTATTTTATTCTTCGGCAAAGTATTATAAATCTATTTTCGAAACGTATAAATACAAAATTTATCTGATTGTTCTAGCTATACTTTCAGCAATTCTGACATACTTTCGAATAGATTTTAATAATATCAATCGAAACTTCTATCATTTTGTAGCTGTTGTTGACTATTCTCCAAACCCAAGTTTATTCATAGAGAGATTTCCTTATCTTCTAAAGTTTTTAACCGTTTTCATTCATCTATTGCTGATTTGCAAAACACTGAAGTTTGAAAACAAAACTCGACTTTGTTATGTGCATATTATTTTCCAAACTTCCGCTGAAATTATGATTCTAATGTATGGCGAACTAAGAAGATACAAAACTCACTCAGATTATTTAAGATTATTCTATTTCATGATACAGTTTCCGAATATATTTGGGGCTTTTATTTTTATCTTGACTAATATCAGAAAGTGAAAATAATATATTTGAATTAATTGTAGGTTAACCTAATTGCTTTGATTTCTTAAAACGTTCAATTATCATGAACTTTAAAAATTGTTTACTTCAGCTCTCAAAATGTATTTTTATTGAATTGAAGATTTTATGTCGTTTGTATTTATTGGAACTGAAGATAGTTTCTATTTGCTACAAGATGCAATCGAAATCGAGTCTCGTCAGTTTTTTTACTCTAGTAGCGGCTATGAAATTACCCTGCCTGATTTTTTGAATCTTCTTGTGCAGTTCTGCTTGATAACAATGATTTTTCTGAAAAACATTAAATCATCTTTTCATTTTTTGCAAGTTGTTTTGTCGATAACATCAATTTTAGAAACAATCACGAATTTAGTTATCTATGCTAAATATATATTTGATATTGATCGTGCATACAAAAAGGATGCTAATAAAATCACTTTATATATTGCATTCACTCTAAATATGTTCAAGAACTTGCTGTTATTTTTCATGATTATCAATCGATATTTATTTTATTCATCGGTGAAGAATTACAAATCAATCTTTGAAACAAATAAATACAAATACTTGGTTTTAATTCTGGCTGTTGGTTCAATAATTGTCATTTATTATCGAATCGAGTTCAATAATATTATGAGATATCATATTTCTTACACATCGGTTATTGATTGTTCACCAAATCCTAATTTATTCATAGAAAGGATTCTTTATTTTCCAAGTTTGTTGACCTTATTCATCCACGTTTTGTTGATTTTCAAAACTAAGAAATTTATAAACAAAACTCGACTTTGCTTTTTGCATATTATTTTCCTGATTTTTTTAGAAGTCACAGTTCTAATTTATGCTGAATTTATCCGATATCGAAAGAGACAAATTGTGAGATATTATTATTTTATAAGAAGATTTCCAGATGTTATTGCTGCATTAATTTTTATCCTGAGAAATTTTAGAAAATAGGAGAGAAAAAATAAAATGAAGTTTAATTTTCTTGAAATATATTTTATTAATCAAATCAAAATCAAAAAGAGATCAATAAAAGTGACTCGTATATATCATGCTCTTTTCTGTCAAACTGTAGTTTCGTCTTGAGCATTTTTGCCAATCTGATTATCATTCATAAATAAATTTAGACGAATTTCTGCATCTCTAGCATATGCAATTTTATTGTCATGTGTCTCATTCTCCAGAATTGTTGAAGATCCCACAGATCTATCAACCTCATCAGGCATCACATTTAATAATCTTCGATTTTGAGGAAGTAGAGGTTTTCGTAGAATTGAATCTAGATCTTTTGGCGAAGAAGCAGAGGAGATTAGGGAATCGGGTCGATCGAATATTTCGTGACTTCCGGAGACACCGCGGAATGATAGATTTGTGATTGATCTGGAAAAGAGACACAGTTATTTGTACATAGATGTTGTGGAAAAAACTCACTTTTGTTTGGTGGCAAATGTGTTGATGGCAATTTCAGGTGGTGGTGGGAATTCTTCATTACTGAAATTTCTCATCATTTTTCAAACTTGCTTGGTGGAAATCTTTTAGTTTTAGATTTATTTGTGTTCATGAGGTGAGAAAATTCATGCTAAAATTAAGGTTCCCAAATATTTTTTTTTTCTGATCAAAACCCCGAATTATAACTCACTCATCAAACGCAGGATTTGAGAGACTTTTTGGATAAATCGGTTCATCTTGAATTGTATATGTTCCCACAGATTGTTTGGACAAATCGATTCCAAAATCTCGAATCGATTTTGGTTTTGGTGGCAACATCGCTGGCAATCGCTCAGTTTTTGTTATCTCCTCCTTCTCAATTCTTGTTCTCTCCAAAAGTTTGAAAGATGCAGGCTCGTTGAAACTAGTCGGCCTTTTTTCAGCCTTGTCATCGATTAATGTAGTCCGTTGAACAACCTTTGCGGGAATCGGAATCGATTGAGATGATCCATGCGGTGGTGGAAGTGTTGATTTCAATCGATTCATTATCCGATCATCGGCAATTGTGCTTAATGTTGAACTAGAGAGTCTGTGATTTTTGACGCTGTTTGGCTCCAAATAATATTCTCCAGGAATTTCTTCATAAACTTCATCGTATTGATTTGCTGGTTTTGGAGATCCTAAGAAGCTAGACATATTGATAGTCGAATTATTTTCCACGTATTCATATTCAGCTCTTGGCGGAATTGGAGGTGGCATCTCCCTTCGGTTTTGAACTGGTGTTTTTAGCGCAGACTTCAGTGGTTTTTGACCTGGAACAGTTGGACAAGGAATCGCAGCTGGAACCGTTTGATTTGTCATCCTAGTTTGTTGAGTATTTATAGTAGCCGTACTTCCAAAATTGGTAAATTCTGTGATATTTGAAGTGGATGAGAATAAATCGCTCTGTCTTGATTTTTCTCGAGATTGCCGTCTGGATTTTCGATTGTTTTTCGAAAAATTTGGAACTGAAGATGTTCTTTTAAAATTCAAATTCTGATCGGATTTGACGTTTTTCAAATAATTCTTCTCCCATTGACGCAAAGCACTTGAGTCCACTTTGTAAACCGCGGAGAAACTTCGCTTGAAGTTTTGAGAGGAAGAAGAGAGAAGTTCAGAGCCGTCGTCGTTTTCCACGATCTAAATCCAAAAATATGTATTTTGTTGAGAAAAAAATCATACCTCAATCTTGACAAGTTTTGCTCTTCCTTTACTAAATGAAATCGAAGTTACACAACATCCTAGAATTGAGCAAACCCATTGTAATAATGTTCCTATGACGTGGCAATAGAATGCCCAACCCAAAACTTGTTCGTAGATCTCGCCTTCTTCTTCCTCTTTTATCACTTTGTTATCCTGATAATTTGCCCAAATGTAGAAAATCGCGGAACCCAGAGTTGAAAGAATGGCTGGAAGAATTTTAGAAAATAATCTAAATTTGTATGCCCTCCACAAAAATCCTAAAACTCACCAGAAATAGTAACCAGCACCGTACAAGCACAAATAAAAGTCCTATGGCAAAACGAACAAATACCCAACAAAATGGTGCAGGCCGAAAAAAGTACACCAACTCCCACACCAACCAACGCCGCAATTTTCCAACCCAAAAACAAATGTTGATACGCATCATTTTGAATTCGATTCTCATCGTGATTATGATCATACAAATCTTCCGGATCAATATAATAATCGAATTTGTAAACGCATTGAAGTTGAGGTAGATAGAACACATCAAATGGTGACCCTTGCATATCTCGCCGGTACAAAGTTTCATAATATTCACGAGTTCTACCGTAGTCAAAAGAATAGTCGCGTTTACAATCTAACCAAAGACCGTGATGATGTTCGGTTCGACCATTTTCGAGATTGGCATATTGCCAAGAGGGAGATATTAGAGCGAGAAGACAAAATGTGAAGGCTAGAAGGGATAGGGCGAAAAATATAGAGAGCGCCGTTTTTCGACCACATTTTCCCGATGAATCATCTTCGATCATCCCATCGAGTCAGGTCTGCAAATATTTTGGATTTTGGATTAATTTGGATTGTGATGAGAAAATAGTAAATAATCATATCAAACTTTCACGTAGAAAAACTTCAAATAAAAATAAATTCTTGATTTTCATATTATTTTCTGTAGGTGAAATTCTGAATTATTTTTTCATCCTCAAAAAATTTTGAATAAAATGAACACATGGGAAAATACTAGCTGAATAAAAATGAAAAAAAAAATAGTGGCTAAACTAGTTTTGGGTGGTTACAAGGGCCCATAAAATACATAAAAAGAGATTTATTCGAACTTTATTTTTTCTCATTTTGAAAAAAAAATGGGAACGCGGTGGGAAAAAATGGAAAAGTATCATAGAGAAATCTGCTAATTTGATAAAAGAAATTGTCAGAAAAATAAAAGGGCAGATTTTGGAGATTTGGAAAATTAGAGCGGATTCGGAAAACTGAAAGGCACGTAGAAAAACATTTGAAAGAAATAGAAAAAATCCAAAACCCTAGCAAAAAGTAGTTTCAAAAAATATTTCACAAAAGAAAAATAATAAAATCGAAATTGTTTGGGTGGCTTTGGTGTCTGATGGCGACATGCATTTTCAGGGTCATTCACAAATAGCAAAGACGAAAATGCGATTTTCGATTGATTTCAAAAATTTGGAAACGCAGACGGTCAGACAGAAGTCTGTTTTGTTCGTTGAAAAAAGGTGAAAGTCGGTCATTTGAATATAGCGGAAAAGTAGAGAGAGTGTAGATTCTGAGGAGGAGTTAGAGAAGGGAGAAAAGGACTCTTCACTTTGAATTATTATTATTAGGTGAAAAGGTGAAAGTTTTTATATTAAAAATGTTATTGTTTTGAATTTAGAGTGAAATTAGGTAAATCAAAACACTTTGTTAGGTCAACGAGGATTCTTGGGAAATTTGGAAATTCGGGGAGTCTGGGAAAAATACTTGGAGTTATGCCAAGTAATCTAAGCTTATGAAAATGTGATCAGCCTAAACTAGGTCTGTATGAATGGCTAAGCTAAAGCTAATTCTAGCTTATGAAAGTTTATCAACCGTAACCTAGCGTAAATCATATTTTTCCAGAAGTTTGGGAAGCCTAATTTCTTTATAGATTTTTTTTCAATTTTTTAAAATCAAGTTATCATTTTCAGTTTTTTACACTCCTTAATTTTATCGAATTTTTTAATTCTACAATTTCAGAAAGTATCATGAACCAAAAATCATTTAGTTTGAAGCTAGAAAAGTTCTAATCCAAAACTGTCATTCAAAAACCCGAAGGTCATTTGTTTTCGCACCCGAAAAGTTTAACCTATTTTTCACATAAATTTTTGCGATTAATGTTATTATTATGTGAATTTATATTGTTGTTTTCTTTTTCCTTTTTCTCTCCAAAATTCTGTGTTTCTATTCAAAATCGGATGACTCATCGGATAATTATAGGAGAAAAGGAGAGGAAAAAAGGAACGGAACGGGGTTGCATAACTATACATTTCACGGTATTTTGTTGGGAGAGGAAAAATAAAGGCTAGATCAGATAACAATTTGGAAAATCAATGGAATTCAAAAAATTTTATTTTTGGTTTAAAAAATTGATAATGTTTTTGCTACTGAAAAGTTCACATTTCTAAAAATTTTTGAGTTTTTGCAATGTTGATTATTTGAGAAAAAATAAAAATTTTGTCACGTGGATTTGTGTATTCAAAATTAGAACAAAACATTATGGCATGTGGATTATTTGTGAGCTTGAACCACATTTTAATACGCCAATTTTCTTCCGAAAAATACAACTTTGCCAAACTTCAAAATAATTTTCAAAAAATAAATTAACTTTCCATTAGAAAAAAAGCAAAACATTTGGAAACCCGAATAAAAAATAAATAAAAACACTCCTTGGCACTTTAGTGTGATAATCTGGCAAGGACGAATCTGTTGATAAAAACCAAAACGATCAGTTACAAGGTCACAACATTTTTCGGTTTTGGTCATATTTTTCTCGACTTCGGAAAAGGATATTAAGGGTGAGGTGAGGTAAAATAAAAACACAAAGAAAATGAGAGAAGAAGAATAGGAGGTATTTAGCCAAAATGTTGAAGGTCATTTTGAAATTTTGTTGGGTGTGGAATTGGGTTCTGTGTACTTTGAAGATTTGAGATTTTGAAGTTGAATTTGGCTAATTTTTGAAACATACAATTGGAAATTGTTGAAGAAAGCTGAAGGGAATTATATGGAAAACCGTTTTTGGGAAAGATTTTTGAATTAAATTTTTTCCAGTTGTAAATTAGAGTAATGAATTTGATACGTGAATTTGAGCCTGTATTTGAAATCAAAGCCAAATCCACGTATCATCTTCGCTTCAAACCTTGAGCCAAACATTTGGAGCCAATAATCCTAACCAAGTCACAATGTTTTTGTACCTGTTACTGTTCTATGCCTACGTCACAATTTTTATCATGAGATAAAGTTCAATTCAACTCAACTCAAACCAATTCAAAAACAAACCGACAAAACAGAAGAAAGTACATAAATGAATAATAAATTTTCAACAAAACACAAAAAATCTCTAACTATGCCCTTCCTTATCTTTTGTTTTTTGTTTTCAAAAAAAGTTGTTTCCTACGTAAAAGTAAGAGATCCTGATTGATAACAATAGTCTATTTAAATATGCAAATTTTGACCTGAAAACCGAAAAAAATTGGATTTGGTAGGATAGTTTCACTTTTTTACACTACACCTAACTAAAACTGGTTTTAGGCTTAGTCTAGCTTTTGGATGAAAATCTCAAGTCTCACTTTCTTTCTGTCAAAAAAAATATTGATTTTTCCTCATTAAAAATATTTTTTCCGTGATTTTTAGCGTAGCATTTTCAATATTTTCCAAAAACAAATATCATTTCTTTTTTTTCTTGAATCGAAATCCAGTTCAGCTTTGCTTATCAGACCGGTTTTTTCGCACAGGTTTTTTGTGTTTTGCGCAATTTTATTATTATATTTCGTGTAATTTGAAAAGATTTGGTTTTGTTTAGGATGAGAAAAAATCGATGTGTTCATTGTCATTCGAGTAATGTATGTCATAGTCATGAAAAGTATCGATTGGTTACAAAGTAAGTAATTTTTTTTGGAATTTGGGAATTTTTTGCCAATCTTTGGCCAGATCTTGGTTTTGTAGACTACAAATTTCTAGATCTCGCTTTGAGGCACACTTTTGGAATTTTTTCTGAAAATTTTGTTTTCGAAAAACAATTTTTTTTCAAAATGTGTTTTATTGCAGCATTGCTGAATCAAAAAAGTCAATAATTTATGCCTGTGTATTAAAAAAAAATTTTAAATTGTTTTCTTGAGTTGGGAAAAATCCGAAACTCTAAACCTTTTTCTGCATACGCTGAAAATTTTCAGAGACAAACTTCACAAAACCCTTTGGCTCAACGACTATGTTGTCAATCATTATCGACCGCCCAAAATGACCAAGAAAATGTGTGCGAAAAGGTGAGACTTTCAATAATGATCCTAAAATTTCCAGCCATGGAAGCTTAAAAAAATCATGTGCTGAATTGTTTCCGAATTTTCTGACAATCAAAAAACTTTGAAACCGAAGCTCTCAGGCCTAAAAACCTTTCCAGGGAGGATCATAGAGAACTAATCAAAATGTTTTACAGCATATTCCACATCAACAACGAAACCATAAACATCTGGTCTCACTTAATTGGTTTCATTTATTTCACCTATCAACAATACGATATAAACTATCGATTAATTCCAAGTCTTGGTTCTCACAAATCCGATCATCTCGTTTACTCATTATCCCTACTTGGAATGCAAATTTGTATGCTTTTCTCAGCCAGTTATCACACTTTCGGATGCAGTAGTATACAAATGCGCCAACAATGGTTGAAGATGGATATTTTTGGAATTTCCGCCGGACTTTTGGGCATGTATTTGGTGGGCATTTATACGGCATTTTTCTGTTTCAATGAATATATGACGACGTATATTTATGCGTGGTTTGCTATTTTTATGGTGACTGCATATGTGCCAACGAGACAGGATTTTTTCGAGAAAAAAGTTGTTGGTAAGTTTGAATTTCATAGTTTTTTTAAATATCGGATTTGAGAAATCAGGCCAGTTGAGGATTCAAAAAAAAAACATTTTCCAGGCAGTCGGATTGGTCTTCTTCACATAATTTATTGTATAATCATTAGTTTCGGTGTTTTACCTTCTATTCATTGGGTTATTTTACACGGTGGATTCGAAAATGGACATGTTATGGTGAGTTTTTGGGAACCTTAAAAAGTTATTGAAGAATTCACCTTTTTACGTTTTTCAGGGGTTTTTCTGAATTTGAAACATGTTTTTCTTTTACAAAAACGTTGCTTGTGCTAACTTTTGAAAAATCACATGTTTGAAATCTATTTTTAAAAATAGTTTTGCTCATATTAGAAAAAATTAGAGTAAAATTTTCTCACAGCCAGAATATTTCCAGGTTTAAGGTCCCAAAACGAATATCACAAAACCCTTATTTCTTTCAGAAATGGTTCCCCAACATAATAATCCTCTACGGTCTCATCGCAACCGCTTTCATTTTCTACGTCACAATGATACCTGAAAGACTGTGCCCCGGTAAATTCGATGTAGTTGGTTGTTCACATCAATGGTGGCACATGTTCATTTTAGCTGCAATGGTTTATTGGCAAAGGACTGGAAATGATTTATTAGCTGAATATCGATTAATTGATAATAGTTGTCATATTAGTATTGGCTCAAATTTCACATTATCTTTATGATATTTTCTCAACTGATCTCAAGCATTGTTTTTTTTTATTTATTTTTGCTTTAAATTCCCGGTTTTTCAGAGAGTTAATGAATTTTGTTTTTGTTTGGAAACATTTGGAACTTACTAATTTTGTCATAAAAACTGATATCAAATTTTCAGAAGTGTAATTCCAGATTTCGAAAAAATATTGTTTCAACTAATTTTCAAACGTGACATCCTAATTTTTTTTTCTTTTTCTTTTTTTTTTGAAAATCCGAAATTGTTCCAGGATGATTTTATTGTTAGCATTTTATCAATGGGAGAACCGGCACCGGCGGTTGTGGTGGTGGAAAAAGATCGGCTTCCCAAGGAAAATGATGAGATTATTGTGAGTTTGTCTAACTGTGTCTAGTGACCCTACTTAATCCTAAATTTTCAGCGCGACAGTGGAAAACGGTACAAATTGAGTCGAATTCTTGGAGAAGGTGGATATGGAATAGTTTTTGCTTCCGAAGATGATGGATATCAAATTGCGATAAAAACTGAAAAATTTAGTAAATCGCAGCTGAAAATTGAGATAATTGTATTGAAAGCGGCGAATTCGATGAATTGTAAACATTTTTGTGAATTATTAGATTGTGGAACGAAAGGAAAGGATTTCGATTGGATGGTTATGACGTTGCTTGGAAAGGATTTGCATAAATTGAGATGTGAATTGCCGGATCGGAAATTTGGATTGAATACGGCGTTGAGAATTGGAATACAGACTTTGAAGGTAGAGTGCGATTATGTTCAAAAAAACATCGACAGGTCATTTTTCAGGCCTGTGAAGAGCTTCACCGAATCGGCTTCGTTTCCCGCGACATTAAACCTGGAAATTTTGCGCCAGGCGTCAAAGCGAATCGTCAAAGCCGTACAATTTTCATGTACGATTTCGGACTCGCCAGAAAATACGTGGATAAAAACAACGCGGTTTTGCCAACTCGAAAAAGAGGTTGGCTGGCGTGGAACAACACGGTATGGAAGTCTGAATGCACATAAACGTTTGGATTTGGGTCGAAGAGATGATTTGGAGAGTTGGTTTTATGGCATAGTCGAAATGACACGTGGCACGTTACCTTGGAGAAATGTAACTGATCGCGCGGCTGTTCAAAAAGCCAAAGAGCTAGCAAGAACCACTGGAAGAGTTCAGTTTTTATTCGAAACACCTCAACAATTTGATAAGATTTTGACTATAATTGATGGATATGCTTTCGAATCAGCACCGGATTATGGGGCGATTTCTAAAATTCTGGCCGAAATTCGCGAGGAGCGTCATTTTCGTGATCGTGAACATTGGGATTGGGAAGATGAGACAGTTTCGACGACGGTTACTACGGTCACCTCATTTTCGGATAAAGAATGTCGAGCGGCTGATAAATGCTCGAAATAAAAAAGAGCACATTTTGAAAAAGAAGAGAAGAATTGATGTGTTGTAATTATGCTCATGATTTTAGGTATTCTTAATTCTAGACACAATGAAATTTTATGTCTGCATTGTTTTTTAGCATAGTATTAACAATGATGAGAAAATTCTCAAAACTTTTCTGAAAATCTGCAAAGTTCCGAAAAAACAATATTTTGAAAAATAACTTCATTAACTTTTGTCAAGTAAAAAAATGCGTTAAATTAAGGATCATTTCATTGTACCGGTGTTTTTCTTCTCAAACACCGAAGTGTAAAAAAATTATTATCAATCAGGAAAAAAATTAAATTAAACTCGTAAAAATTCCGACTATCTTTGTGATTTTTTTGAAACGTTTATAATCGATTCAAATGACTTCCAGCTGCAAGAAATGGAGGAACCTGGAAAACAAACTCGAATTAAAAAATAGAAAACAAGTTGACTTACATTGACAAGAGTTTCGAGAAGTCGAATCGCTTTTTTTGCAATGTCTGGATTTTGATGGGCGGCAAGTTGGCGGGTTTGAATTTCTAATTCATCGCGGCCTTTGGGACCATAAAGTGAAAAATATAATGTGTGAGACGGGTTGTGGAAGGGATCCTGGAAATTGTATTAAATTGTTTTGAGCAAGAACCGATCACAGTTTCCAGGAAAGTTTGGACCTACCAAATTATGTTGTGATATTCGATCGTAAGTCAAGTGCAAAGCGTCAACAGCAGATGTTGTGCACAGAATCCACGTGACAGCGCGAGTCAGAACTTCTTCTCTATCGGTATCTAGAATTCGAAGCAAACCTGACACGGATTTGTTGCCGAGCATGAATGGGACCATGTCTGGGCAGCAGGAAATATTGACGAGAAGACGAAGAGCGTTTAGGTTAACTTCACCGCGGACCCACAGGCGGTTCAGGCAGTGCGGAATGACTGGGACAAATTTTGGAATCTGGAAAAAAAAGTTTCATTTTATTGGGTTGATAAACTTGGAAGTCCAATTTCTGAAATTTTTTATTAAAAAGGAGCTTGACTAAAACACAACAGAAATCTACTTTTAAGAACACTTCTTCACCAGAAAAAAATAAACTTTCTCATAAAAACATCTATTTTTTCGCCTCCGGCACCAATTTGCCACGTCATAACTACTTTGAGTCTAAAAAACAAAATGTTTTGCTTTGAGAGACCGGAAACATGATCCCGGAAACTATGTAAAATGTGAAAAGAGTGAAACTTGAACTCTAAAAACTCACATCATCTTTATTAATAACAATAGATAAATTTGTCAACGCCTGCATAGTTACTACAACTTCCATCTCATCATCCGACGCTAATCTCGGTATAATATGAGCAATCGCTCCATGAATAACCTCTCGACTTTCACTAGAAACTGCCATATTTGCAATACATTGCAATAAAATGACACGTTTACTTCGGGGCCAATGTTTGGATTCGGGTAACATATCAACGACTCGATGAGTTATTCGAAATTCTCGCATAATTATTTGATTTCCTGGGAAAGCAGTGGCGTTTGATAGAACGGTGAGAAGAGGAAGGAGAAGTTCGGAAGTTGGATCCATGCATTGCAGGGCTGATTGAATCTGGAAAAAAAACTAGAATTGCTCATGTTAAGTAATAGTGCCATTTTTAAAAAGTTCTATTCAATCTTTCTCTTGTCCAATTTTTAAAAAATTGATGTTTCAGTCTCTAAAACACATGTACAATTTTAAGCCCCTTCCCTCAAAATGCTAATCCCACCTGCTTAGCATCATAAATCGTCCAAAGCTTCTGATGATGATATAATCGATCAATCAATGCTTTCAGCCTTGGAGATCCAACAAGTTCCGCAGCTGGATTTACAGTAATTCGCCACTCCTGATTACTTTCATCCGGATCCTTTTGAGGTACTGCCTGAAAATGGTTTTTTTTGTTATTAGTGAAAAAATTAGAACAAATCAGTTTAAGCTCCAAAAAGTAAAAATTCAAGTCGCAACGTGGACACGAACTTGCTAGATTTTAGAGCTCATTTTCTCGGCTCCACATGAGCTCCCGAGCTTTATACAGCTTTTTATCAACTCGCCGAGAACTTAATTAACTTTGTTAGCTATAGTTAATTAACAAGATTTTAAAGGAAATTGAAAAAAGAAAAACTAACTTGAAATCGACCAAGACGAGGGCTGGCTATTTCCACAACAAAACCCGAATTTTGTTGTCCCATGTTGTTTACTGAAAAATATGAAAAACAAAATTGAAAAATTGAGATGTGTACAAATATATAGGAAATAATTGGTATTTTCTATTTATTTTAGTTTAGCAGTGTGAAATTTTTCGATGGAAAAATAAAAAATAAAAACTGAGAACATTTCGAAATTTCGGGCGACAGATGTTGAAATGCTAGCCTAATTGGGAAATTTTGGAAGGGAATTTAATTTTTGTCGAGGGTTCTCGAAATGTTTTGGATTGATGACTCTTTTGGGAATTTTCGGAGGATTTTTTGGATACTTTGTTTCGGCTGGAGAAAAGTTTGCAAGCAAAAAAAAGTTTCTTTGGAATAAATTTGCATATGAAAATTTTTCGAGGAACTATCAATTTTTTTGTTTTTTTTTTCAAACAATTTTTTGAAAAAAATATGTTGAACAAAGATGTATCATTTTTCAACAATGGAATTTTTTCATGCATGGAAAAAAACAGTGGAAGAAATTTTTAATGAAAAATTTTCAAACAAAAGTTTCAAATTTTCGAAACTTTTCAAATATAAAAAAGTCTGAAAAATATTGAAAGTTCTCGATTTCATCCCATCAAAATATTTTCCTGAATTATCCCGTTTTAATTAAAATTCTGAATTTTTCTTAATTTCCTTCTAAAGTTTTCGCTCCAAAAATATCAATAAAAAACTCATTCCAGACGAAAAAAAACATCTCCGAAAAAATGTCAAAAGAAACACACAAAAAAAGAACTCATTGTCGTCTTTTCTTCAAGAAGAACTGAAAAAAACAACAAAAGAAAAACGGAAAAAAAGTATGCACAAAAAAAATAGAAGAAGGCGTGCTCTCCTCAAATAAATTCCGAATTCAGCTGAATGCGAGGAAAAAAGGGGGAAGAAATCGATGTAAAAACAGGGAGAAAGAAAAAGAGACGAAGAGAAAAAACACAGTGAAATGAGCAACAAATTGGGATGGATGAAGAGACGCAGATTTGTCCTATATTGAATTTCTTATTATTTTTAGTTAGGCTAAGTTGCGTTCATCGATAAACTTTCAATAATTTGATGAAGCGATAGATATTTTAGGAAATTCCTGCAATCAGGTTTTAGTTCAGGTTTATTAGATTTCTAGAGTGAGAACTCCTATCAGAACGAAGTTATGATGTGCTAAAATTTCCGGAATATTACTAAACCTACAGTAACCCACCGATGAGTATTTGAAATTTTTTTCGCGATAAATCTTGATCTACAGTAACACCCAACTTTATAGAAAAATTTTGTTTTCTTGAATTCTTCAAATTCCGAAGAAAAAATATAGCTGGAACAGATCAGAGAAAAATAAGCTTGGAAGAAAGCCAAGAAAATATGGAAAAATATATACATAATAAATAAATATTTTCTCAAGACCACAATGATAAATAGCCTAAGCCTGAGCTAGAAAAAAGTAAGAAAAATGCAAATTGTGGATATGAATAAATTAGGGCAGCGCAAATCCCTCAAAAAATCCACAACTTTTGAAGCAAAAAAATGGAAAAAGCATCGAATTTCGCTAAAAGTTTTGGTTTTCCTGGAGAAAAATTTCCCCCACACGCACACATTTTCTTTGATTAAATTTGGGGAAAATGAAAATGAAATAAAATTGATCATAAAGGAAGAATTATTGATTTTTCCGGGCATCTTCCATATTTTTTTTGGAAAAAAAAAATCTGGGCTAATGATGTATACAACTTGTGTGTTCTGACGAGCCTAAAATTTCCGGTCGAAGGAAGTTTTGGTGTGAGAAGAGAAAATTGGGAAAAACATGAGATGTTTTGGGAAAATACAAATAATTGGCAACTCATTTTATTCAGAATTTTAAGTTGAGTTTGGAAAACTCAATGTTTAGAATACATTTTCAATAAAAAAACATTTTTGAAGAACAAACAGTTTCAGAAATCAGTATTTCTTAAACTAGTCTATTTTTCAAACAATTTTTAAACAACTATCCTCTAACATTAATAGTAATTATGAATAAAAAACTTTACCCAATATTTTTCAATGAAGCTCAAATCTCACCTGTTAGTTTTGTTCCTCCCCCCCCCCAAACCTCAAAATAAACTAACTTGACTGACCCGTTCCGTGAAAAGTTGTTGATCTCTTCGAATGTCCTGTCCAAACGAAACATTTTCTTGTTTGGAAGCCTGAAACTTCGACATTCTTTTTCTCAAAATTTTCGCCTATTCTTAAACTTACATCAGAAAATGACAATTGTGGATTTTATGGGATCGCTGCATTCTGTCACTGTTGTCTCTTAAAAAAAGAAAATTAAAAAATGTACCAAACCACCCCATTAATAACATTTTCTGCCCTGAAAAAATCAGAAGAATCATTCAGTTCGAACAAAAATGTTCAATCAATAATTTCTTTTCAAATAAAAACATAAATATATATATATCTCTCTCTCTCTCTACCTCTCTCTCCATTTCCCACACTCTCTCATCTACCCTGCAAAAAACAACACAATAAACACGCTAAACAACGTGCACGCGGAGTATCGTTGTTCTTCTTTTATTTTTTTGCCCGAAATTTTTATTTTTTGTTTTTTTTTCTGGTTTTTGAGTGGTTTTTTCAGCGCAGAAAAAGTTATTAATGGGGTGGTTTGGTACATTTTTTAATTTTCTTATTTCTTTAGAGACAACAGTCATAAAATGCAGCGGTCATGGGCCCATAAAATCCACACTTGTCATTTTCTGATGTGAGTTTAAGAATAGGCGAAAATTTTGAGAAAAAGAATGTCGAAGTTTCAGGCTTCGGAACAAGAAGATGTTTCGTTTGGACAGGACATTCGAAGAGATCAACAACTTTTCACGGAACGGGCCAATCAAGTTAGTTTATTTTGAGGTTGGGGGGGGGGGAGGAACAAAACTAACAGTTGAGATTAGAGCTACATTGAAAACTATTGGGTAAAGTTTTTAATTCATAATTACTATTGATGTTAAAGGAAAGTTGTTTATAAATTACTATGTTTAAATGATTAGATAAAGCTTTGAATTACACTTGATGGTATAGGATCAGCTTCCAGACTGATTTTGTGGGTTCGAGTCCCACTGCTCGCTGTTTTGTCCCTATATCCGGTAACGCATATTTTCGGAAAAAAATATCCGCCGTTGTTACAAAAATCCGGAACAAATATTTCTATACGAATTGTACACTGGGCGGTTTTATTGAATGGTAGAAAATGTGTTGAGAAATCTGTTCCACCGAAAAAAAACAACAATCTCAAATTCCAATTCGAATTTGAGATGTGCTTTGTTTTTGAAATATGACCACGCAATATTGCGTGATCCCAAAAACCAGATAATTCTTCATTTTGATAAAAATATTTGCCACGTGGCAATTTACCTTCAGTAAATTTGAATCTGAAAGAAAAAATAAGCAGAAAAATAACCCGTTTATTATTTTTGTTTGAAAAATCAAAATCAAGACAAGAGAAGCTGAAAAAGAAATGAAAAAAGAAATTTGTTCATAAAATTGTACATTTTGCTGGGAAATTGGGAAAGAAGCAAAGACGTTGGGTGCCGTAAACAAAAAAATGGCCTTTTTCGTTGCCTAAAGTGAAGTGCACTTTGCAAATCGGTATGGCGATCAGTTGATGTCGTTGCTGGAAACATTTGGGATTTTTAGGTTGCTTTAGGGTTTTGAATTGGGTCAGCTCCAAAATTTCAATATTAAAATCGAAAACCACGTGGCAAATTTTAGATTTTAAAAATTCAAAAACTCACCCTGATCACTCGACAAACTCCCATACATTTTTGTAAATGTTGCGCGCAAAATTGTTTGGAAATATTGTTTATCTCCTGCATGGGATATTTTGAGATTGGAAGGATCTGAATTTTTTAAAACTTTTTTTGCGAAACACTTTTCTCACAACTCACATAATCCTGTTCTTCTTCAAAAATCTGTTTTCCTTCTGCCGCCATCAACAACTTTTCAGGAATCTCAGACTCCGTGAAATGCTCAGATCTCTCACTTTTGAAGTACACCTTGATTCGAGTATAAGTTCGAACAGATCCAGTTCCTCCGCAAGAAGTACACGGTTTCTTGCCACCGCCTTTACAATGATGACATTCTTTGACACCACGTCCGTGACACAAGTAACATAAATCATGAGTTCCGATTCCCGGTGGGGGAACTCCGGTTTTTGACATAAAGTGCATTGGAGTTCCGATGCCATAAGAATTTGAACCGTTTCGGACCATTGCGGTTGAAGAAGAAGCATAGCCTCGGGAGAGATCGGCCTGCAATTCAATTTTGATCAAATTTGTTGAATTTTTAGTTTTGGATTTGGGAAGGAAAGGAAGAAACATATTTTTCAAGATTTTATTCTCAAAAAGCAGTATCCAATATTATTTCAGATTTCTTGTGATTTTTTAGTTAGTCTAACTTACATGTGGAAAAGTTGCAATCATCGGATGAGTATAAACAGCTGGATGAGCTACACCTGATTTCATACCAGTTCCTCGACAAAATGAACATTTGTCTGTTCCACTTCCACGACAATGAAAACAGTGAACTGTGCCTTCAGAATTACAGCCAGAACAGACGTTGATGTGACTTGAGCCAGGCATTTCAAATACTCGGACCTGGAAGGTGAAGAGAGGGATTTTGAGACATTTTTAAATGATCTGATTTTTGATTGGTTTCCTAGATATTTTTTTACGAGTATTGGAATCGGATCTTTGCGATGTTTTTATTGAAATATGAACTTTTTTGGAAAATTTAGCACACCAAGTTTTTTTTGAATGAAAAATTACAATTTTTCAGTGATCACATTTTTTCTCTCATGACCAATTCTCTCTCGTTTTTCAACCTCATCAATCAAGTTTGGAAAAAAAAACTCGTGTCAAAAACCAACCCGATCAGCCAAAAAAACTAATTAAAAATTTCAATTAAAAACCAACCTGATCCACAAACAATTGAGCAGGCATCACTTCAAAATCCCACGGACTCAAACCACCTCCACCAATTCCACTAAAAGAACTTCCAGCTTCACCAAAACTTGCCAGATTTGCAGCTTCAGTGGCTTCCGAAGTACTTCGAGCTTCTGTATACGATTCAAGAGAGTACTGTATACAAGACATCATTTCGAGTTGATCAAAGTCCATTTTTTTGATCGATTTATTTTTCCAATATCTATGTTTTCGAACTTCACGTTCTAGTGCTTCTCGAACTTCAAATTCTCCGAATGGAATTATGTCATCGAAGTAGTGTTTATTTGAAGTGGCAGCTGAAAAATTCGGGTTTTTTTTTGGAACTTCTTAATTTTAATATGAATAGTGTTGATTTCCTAGAATTTCAGGTGTTTCAAACATTGTTTTTTTTTAGAAAAAAGAAAACTTTATGAAAAATCAAATTTTATCACAGAAAATCTTTCCATATATTTACTGTAATTATTTTTTTTAGAATCCCCTGATTATTTTTTCTCGTCAGAAAACATGTTTATATTTTCAAGATTTCAAATTTGAAAAATCAGATGTTTGGTAGCTAAAACAAACATAAGATTTTCAAAAAAAACCCCTAATCATTTTTTTAGTCAGAAAACACCTCATTATTTTTGTTTTTCCATGTTCCAATTTTCCAAAAACAAAAAATCGAAAACTCACTTGCACAATCTTTAATAAAATCATTGATAATATCAAGAGAAAACATGATTTTCTATATTTTTTCGCTTCAAAAAAAGGTAACAAAAATAAAAATAATAGAATTTCTTTATTACTATTTTTTGTTGTTGTCTGTTTGAGAGCCACAACAACAATATAATATAGAAAAATAGAGATATGTATGTATATTAGAACAGCTGCTTTTTTTCTCGTTTTCAAGTGAAAAATTGGAACATGAAGAAGTCAATTCGTCAAGAGAAAAATGAGTTGAGCCGAAGAATTTTTGAAAAGAAGGAGGAGAACAATTTGAGCCCGTTGGGATGAGACATGATATTTTTGAAAACTGGGGGATTTTTGAAACTTTTTCTGTCAGAAAGATTGACAAGAGAGAAAAACATACGAGATCGTAGGAGTTACAGATTTTTGATTCAAATCTTGAAAACAACTTTTTTCTGCCAATGATATTTTATTCTTAAAATTGAGAATTCTGAGATTTTCAACAAATAACGTCATCCAAAAAAAAATACTCTCATCTTGAATTTTAAATTTTCAAATCCCGACAGGCTCCACACGTGTTTTTTGTATTGTGGGGCTATTCAAGTTATTTTCTCAGCGCTGAGAAAACAGGAGAAAACCTATTCAGGTAGGCTGAGAAAATACGAAAAAAGTGAAGAAAATGCATTTTCTCCGCATTTCTCCTGTTTTCTCAGCGTGTTGAGAAAATACTTGAATAGTCCCATTGTCTTCTTTCTTCTTTTCAGAGCAGGTTTATATTCTTTTCAAAGTTTCATCTTTAATTTTTCAGATTTCAGAAAGTTTCAGATTCATATTTATTTTCAGCAAGGTTTTCCAATATTCTAAAGAGCTTCTCAAAATTTATCTGATCTCAAAAGTCTCACACTTTTTTTCCAAATCCCCTCATAGCCGTAAATCAAACCTTCCACTATACTATATTTTGCAACTTTTTCAAAACTGAAAAAAGTCCCCTGAGATTTGAGCAGTCAAAAAAAACCCACTCGAAAACTTTTTATGTTTCTCCATATCCTCTTCAGGTGGTAACAAATTGTTGAAATTGTTGTCGGCACTCAATTTGGCCAGCATTTTTTTTCTGAAAAAAATCGGAATTTTGGGAGAGGAGAAAATTAATGTTGAGCACAAAAATTCAAGAATTATCGAGAAAAAATTCGTCAATGTTTGTTTTGCCACAGAAGCTGCATTTTTCCAGAGATAAATTTGAGGAAAAAATTCAGGGAAAATTAAAGGATAGAAAAATATAAACAACGAGGGCTCATCTGTTGTCAATATTTTAATTTCTTTTTTTCCCGCGGTCATAAAAATGTGCCAGAAATAAAACGAAATGAACGTGTTCTGTTTTAACAAAAATTTAAAAAACAAGGGGTTCAAATATTTGTTTGAAACGTAGAATTTTTAGGTTCTGACGAAAATAGACAAGATTTTTCAAAAAAAAAAAAAAGAGAAATTGAATTTGCACAAATTTGTGCACTTTGAAAAGTTGAAACTTTTGTTTTTTTCTTGCAGAATTATGAAGTTTCAAGGCTTCACAGTATATTTCGCAAGTCTGAAAATTCTAGAGAACTTACAAAGCTTCGTCTGAAAATTTCGAAAGTTTTCAGCAAAAGGCCACGTGTTAAAGTGTTCTGAATGTTCCCAAAAGCTTATTTGGTCAAGGAGAAAATGAAGGCTTAGAAGTCAACTTATGATTATTCTCAGTCTGAATTTACCTAACAGACTAAATCCAGAAATTTAGCATACGGTTTTGACCAGCGAACACCCAAGATCAAGTCCAAATTTTTTTTAAATATACAAATTTTTTTAAAAAATATATGCAGAAAAAGGAAAATCCTAAGTTTTTCACTTCTAGGAAATGCAAATTTTCAGATGAAAATTCATCTGAAACATATAACCTGGAAAAAGTACAAAATTAATATTCATAGAACTATCACTCATGAATATTCAGAAAAATGAAACAAATTCTCACAAGAAAAAAAACCAATTAACATAAAAGTTAACGGAAGTCAATTTTTTTTGCTCCAAAGACAAAAAAAACGAGAAAAGAAGAATATATGTATATATATATATTGAGCCACACAGCCAAAAAGCTTTTGCTCTTTTCTTTTTTCCTCTTTTTCTCTGCACTCTCTCGTCATCTATTAATAGTGCCTGCTATTTCTTTGAATCTTTTATTTCTTTTTTCTTTTTGAATCACCAAGAAAAATGAGAAGAAAAAGAGGAAAAATGAAAATGGAAGAGCATTTTCGAATTTGAATGTGTTGCGAAAAAGAAAATCATGTTTCATAGATGTTTGGTTTTTTGCGCGACGAGAAAATGGGATTTTTGGAGCTGGAGTTGGAGCTCTGAAAAGAGGTGTCATGTTTTTTGAAGTGGTTGTTTACAAGTTTTTTTCGGGGAAAAAAGTTTGGAGAGCAAAAACTATCAAGTTTTCGTTTTGGAGGTGAAAATGTTGAAATATTGATTTGTAATTTTTGAATTTCTCAAAAAAAGTTCCACCTTTCTATTAGCACAAAAGTTTTTGTTTCAACCACTCAACAAAACACGCATGACTTCATTTTCCACTTCCCCTAAAAAATTGTCAAGTCCCTGTTTTTTCGAACATGGCCAAAAAGGGTTCAAAAGATCCAAATCGGATTTTCAACATGTCGTCAGATAATCTGTCAATTCTCTCATTTCAAATATTTTTTTCCAATTTTTTTTTTCAAAAATATGTTGAAAATCAGCGGGATTTTTCTGTTATTGATTATTCTAGACACATATGATTGTAAAACTTCTACACTTTCGACGGTTTCAACTTCGACGACTGAAGTTCCATCATCAAGTGAGGAATTTTAAGATTTGAAAAAATATGTTCAATGTTTTCAGCAGCCGATTTATCAGCTTTGATTGAAACTCCAATCTTTTTACAATTCGCTACGGATAGTCAAAGAAAAGAATATATTGGTAGGAAATTTAAAAATTGAGTTATGACGTGGCAATTTTTTGAAAATTTTAAATTGTAAAAATAAACGGGCCAATCTAAATATTACATTGAAAATTAAACTTTTTCACAGAACTCGAAAGCAACCCCAACCTAACCTTGGACATGAAACAAAAAGCTGAACTGAACTGGGCAGCTCGTTGCGGCGAGCCAGTTTATTCCAATTTCATGGCCTTTGTCCAACAAAAAAAAGCGCAAGACGATGAAGAAAATTTGCGAATGGATCAAATCGTTTCACAACTATCACCACAAGCTCAAGAAGCTGACAAACAAGTTCGCGCAATTTCCTCAGATATGAATCAAACGAAAAAAGAAATGGACACAAATGTTCAACTTCAGTTGAGTAAATTGCCGAAAAAAGTTTATTACGAGTTGACATTTGCTACCCAATAAAAATAAGCATCAATCAAATTTTATTCATTTATCTTTTCCCTTTTTACTTTTACTTTTCTCTTGACATAACTTATGTTTTATAAAATTGTGCAAATTTAACAAAATCCACATTTTCACTGGTTTGGAAATATCCAGTTTTCAAATTGCAGGTAAAAGTGAGCCGCCCAATTTGACCACTCATTGTTATTCTGTCCGCTGGAGATACTTCACTTGTGAAACAAGTTCCATCAGGTTTTATATAAGCTGTCATTGATTTGACTAAATTCGCAGAGTCCATATAAAGGAATGAGCCCAAAGCATTCGAGGATTCGATAAAAGTATAGGCGGTGCAGATGCTTGGACGACCATTGAATCCTGGACGAGCATCACTGTTGTATGGAATGTAACCTGCTGGAACTACTGAACTACACGATGTGTCGGCTGATGCAATTAGTGTGGGTGTTGTGCATGGACAGACATTTTTGGATTCGCTTGATACGCCGGTACACGGGCAACCGTAATTACTTGAGATGCATTTTCGAGTTCTGGTCCACTGAAAAAAAATTACTGGTTTTCTAGTTTTTTGTATCTTTTTTAGATTCTGCGTCCTTCCAAAAATCCCACCTTCCGGGCTTCTGAAAAAATTTAGGACTAGCTAAAAGATCGGATGTCATCAAGAAAGCTTCGGGAGACTTAATACCCACAAACAATAAACATACCGGGCTTTGTCCAGTACTCGAGCTGTAATCTGTCCATTCTGACCAATATCCGCCAGTCGGACAACAAGACAAAGAATATGCCGCATCAATTGGTCCACAATGATACAAATTATTATAAACCATCAGACTTCCAGTGCAACAATTTGTAGTGTTCACAGAGACACGTGGGAAATTGCAAGCTACCGTACCACACGGCGCTGTTGACGTGGTTGCTCCAACGCATGGGCAAGTGCTTGCATCTGATAGACAGGTTCTGGTACGAGTTATATTACTACAAGCTCCACAGGTTGTTGCGCAAGTTTCAGTTGATGTCCATGATGACCAGATTCCACCGGTTGGACACGTTGGACAGGTTGTATCGGCTAGAATTGTAGCTGGGCAGAAGATTGTGATCAAAAATATGAAGATCAACATTTTCTTTCACAAAATGTATGAGGTTGAGGTTATTTCAGCCACATATTTATAGTTTCAGGTTTTGGAATTTGCAAGTGAAATTGTGAGAACATTTCATTCATATGCAGATATTTTTGTTCGAAGTGAACCTGACAGAAAAGTCTGAAAATGCATAGGAAATATGTGAGAAGTTTTGAAACGGGCCAAATCCAATTTTTGGATTTTTCATTCAAGCAACGAAAATCGAGGTCTACTGTTATTTACCTTGAATTTTGTAATTCAAAAATCCTTCTTTCAACCCGATTCATAGTTTTCAGAAAATAGGTGTTAGGCTTAAAAAACACACGGCAAAAATTGGAAACTCGATACTCTTCTTTTTTTCCAGATGACAAATAAGGAATTTGAGAGCACATGGGAATTTGTTTCGAAATTTCATTTTTTTTCTGGGCGCGCGGCTTTGAACTTCTTTTTTGTCCTCTTAAAAAACACACAATCGATAACGAGCCAAAGTTTTTGTGTGTTTTTTGAAAAAATGTCCCAAAATGTGCCGCAAATTCAAATTGTAAGTTTATTTTTTTCTCAAAAACAACTTAATAAAAATTAAATACATTTTTAGACACCTTCTGGAGGAATGTGTAAATTAGAGATTCCTGAAGATTATAATGATGAAGAAGACACAAAATTGGCGCCAAATTCAAATTTAGGTTCAACTTCAAATTTGAAAAAAAGTATCTCAATGACGAGTATTCGGACAAAATTTCGAGAAAAACGCAAAAAATTTAGACGTAAGGAATTCCTATAATTCCTGTAAATATTTTTCAAATTTTCAGAGAATCAGTGTGCTGGAATTATACTCTTCCTAATTTTGGGCACAGTTTTCAATATTTTGGCATATTTTACGAGTGTTTGGTCGGCTCAATTGAATGCACAATTGGTGAAATCTGCAGTTGAAAATGAGCACACTTTGAAGTTCAAGTTGAGGAAAAGTGAGTTATCATTGGGCAAGCAAGGAATTTGATTTTTGTAACATTCGAAAATGAGTGGAATTAAGTGGAATTCTAGATTAAGTATTGCTTTTTTTTACAACTTTCCCAATCGATAATTCGTTTTTGAATAAACAAGTCACGTAGCAACATATGTTTTTATAATTATCAGTTCCAAAAAACCTATAATTTATTCGAAGTTTTGTTTTCAAAGCTGTTCAATTTTCGATGAAAGAATTTTTAAGGGATTCAAAACTTTGAGATAAAATCTGGAGTATTTTGATATTTCACAAAAGTTTTTCGCAGTTTCAAAATGTTCGAAATTTTGAACTCCGAAAATATGACCTTCAAATTTCCCTTTAAAAATTCCTACTATTTTTCAGAGCTTACTGAAGAACCCTCCAAGTTCTTGATCGGTCTTCTCAACTTTGGCGGTCGAGTTCTAAGTGCAGTCGGAACTGTAATGTTGGTCCAAGTTATTTCGGCCTACATAAAACGTCGAAGATATAATGTGATTGTTAAAAGTGCTGCGGAAGAAGCTGACACAGTTTTGAGTGATATGCACGGTGGGATCACTGATACGGCTGGAGAGTGTTGTTTGGCATGTTGTCAATCGCTAAGCTGAGATATTTTTTTTAGGTAATCTCTAGCTCTATAATTTTTTTAATTTTTACGGTTGTTCATTAGATCTCGGTGAGAAAACTTTATTTTTTATTTATGACGAGGAAGATTTACATGCTCCACTTGCAATACATGATTTGATTTGACAACTCTTTTTCTTACAACCTGGACACGATGAAACTGTTAGAACTGTAGAAGTTGAAGAAGATGCTGCTTTTTGTCGAAGACAAGCCTCTCGCTTTGATGTTTCACAAGCTTTGCAAGTTGGATCTTTGATCGCCGCGCATTTTCGAGTTTTGCAGCATGTTGCACTTCGCCGCCGATTACATTTCTGCGAAAATTAGAAAATAAAGTTCATGTTTGCTACCTGGTTTAAAACTTACGCTTCGATTATAAATTTTACACATCTCATCAAATGCGGAAATAGCATTCGGGCACGTTTCCGCCCTTTCCGCTTTTTCAGTCTGTTTTTCCGCGCAGTAATAGCTATTACACTTTCTTGAAACCAATAGATCATCAGCACAATATCGTCTTGCAGCAGCACGTTGTTTCCGATTATATTCTTCTAAATCCAGAGCGCAGCTAAATCCTGAAGCTTTCAGAATACAAGAATTCTTGGAGCATTGTCTTTTAGCTCCTGGTGAACCCTGACACTTTTTGCATTTTTTCTTCTTTGCTGTTAATGCTGCCTGAATCGCCACAGATGTTGAATTATATTTTACATGACATCTGGATTTTATCTCACTGTATTTACAAACAAAAGAACTGCTTGATCTCCTAGCTGGACAAGTTGATTTTGTTCCATTCACACATCGATAATCTAGGGAGAATGGGTTTTCTGCAATACAGTAGCCAACAATAAATGAAAAGAATATCAAAAATTTCATATTTGCAAACATTGTTTACATTTCAAGTTTATATACTTTTATGATAATGGTCAATGAATATTCAAATTTTTTGTTTTGTATAGATGTTTTACATTAGAAATTCCATGATTTTTTGTAATTGTCGAAGTATTCTTGAGGAGTTACTCGAATTGTATTCCTCAATGATTTCACATTTTGAAGATTGATACTCTTCTCTTTTGTAATCATCACAATACTGAAAAACACTGCATATTCTGGAGCAAAAATAGCTATCTCCATAGTCAAATAGAATGTTTCCCTGGAGAAATGCTCATTTAACATGACTCCTATGAAACTGCAAACTCCATAGGTGAACTGGCAAAGAAACATGAGGTAAACTGGAGTTGATATAAGGTTCAGGGAACGAAGAGATTCTTCAACTTGATATCTTTTAGTTAGCGTAGATCCATTAGTATGGTATAACTCGCGAAGATTTGCATAGTTTTTGAAAAGACTTCGGAAAACCAACACTGACACTAATTGAATAGTCATTAAAAGTACAAATGCGATTACTGTTTCGTAAGGGGTTTCTGAAAAAACAAGCATTTTAAACATATTTTTAAAATCAAACTAACCTGTACTAGTCGCTAGACAATAATAAGTTTTCTTTCCAAACGATGTACGAGCATAGACTAAAGATAAAAGGAAAAAGGTTAGTAAAAATTGGAAGATAATTATATAAATCCAGGATTGCTTATCTTTCTGATAGTTTCCAATTTTCTTGAGGGCTAACCATCTTTCGTAGACAATCATAGGTGTTGTACAAATAGCAAACCACATTCCGAAATTGAAACCGGATCGGAGGTAGAAGCATCGATCCGAAGAAGATATGATATCACAAGCGGATGAGACTCCCGGCAACACTATTAAATAATTATACAGTTCCCAACCATGATAAAATATTCTATGAAACAAGTGAACTATCAAACCCACACAGTGAGCTAGTAGAATAACTCGGGTATTCAGATGATATAATGAGTTAGTCCAGATTTTGAATATCACTAGGATGAGACAGGGAAGAGCTATAACTCCGATAGCTAATAAGACAATTAGGCAAGTTATGAGAGGCTTATAGGTAGCCACAGCAAACATAGTCTCACAATCCATCGTCGAACTAATTTGAAATGACATTATCAGAAAACGCAGACTTAATTGTTGAACTTTAGCGCGGAAAACAAAATCATGCACTGACAAGGACACTTGGGAATGATCTGGTGAGACGAAAAAAACCTGACTGACAATGACGCTATGGATTCATAGAAAAAACAAAATTTATTGCTACCACGCAAAAAAAAAACAAAAGAAAAAACCAATAAAAACACAATTATAATTGAGTGTTATCCCACGAGCTCTTGTAAATTTTGAAATATTCTTCGCTCTTCGTCTCGATTTTCTTTCTCATTGAACTTATCGAGTTCTGCCTAATTGATCTTTCTCGTCTTAACAAATTAAGTATAATGAGCAATGGAAGTTGTGGGAAGAAAACTGCACATTCCATAAGAAACACATAAATGTGCTCAGGGATACTTGCACTATAATACAATAAAGTTAACGCCGAAATTGCGAAGGATAACTGAGAGTAGAACATGGTTTCGAAGGGCTGAGAAAGGAATTCAAAACTTCTTAATGATTCTTGAACCTGATAACTTTTCGTCAAGCTTGAGCCATCTCTATGAAGCCGATTTTTCAATTTTCTATTAACACTTCGAAGATGTCTGTATGCTGTCAATGCGGCTAGCTGCATCAAAATAACAATTATACTAGCAACCATAGTTTTTACTGGGAAATGGATATTTGCAGCAAAGCAATAATTGCGTGCGTCATCGGTGATGACGTGTCCATAAGCACAAATAATCAAACTCATGGTGATGATAATCTGAAAAAAAAGTGATTCGTGGAATCAAACTTTGAAGCTTATTCAAGGAATCGTTTCACGAAGTGTGATATTTCAAATATCAACTTGTGAGTCATGTATAAAAACATCATTCTTTACTATTTTGCATCGACGCGATGCGTTTGACACACAGCGCACGAGATTCATTAAATTTTTAAATACCACTTGTTTGCTGATCCAACCTGAAGTAAAAGTAGACAAGTTCCCGTTTTCCGATCTTTATGATAATTAGCAATGTTATTAGTAGCAATATACCGCTCGATAGCAATCATTGGGTTAGTGCAAATACAATACCACAATCCGATATTTAGAAGAACTCGATTATAATAACACTGTCTGACTGATACAAGAATACTACAAGCATCAGATTTTGGAAGAAGTACAAGCCATCTGTACAAATCGAAACCATGTAGGTAAACTCTGGAAGCAGAGAAGCTGTCAACATTTTTTAACAAGTTCATCTGAAAACTTTTTCCAACAAACCTGTCGGATAAATGTACGATCAATGCAAAAGTATGAGCGACTAGGAGAACTCGAGTATTCAGATGATAAAGTTGATTTCTGGCAATCTTGTAGCCAATGTAAAATGCACATGGTATAACCAGAATCGATATTATTAGAATTGTGAACAATAAAATGATCAATGGTTCAAAAGTTGCAATATTATTCATTGCTTCGCACGGCATTTTGAGACGTATAAAACAATTTGATTTGAATAAAATGATATTATCAAAATAAAGTTAGCGAAATGCTCAATTAATCATAGAACTCCTCCCTCGAGGATTTTTTTTCGGAAAAAACGTGATATTTTTCCTAAATATAGTCAGAGTCAGATTACTATTGTCAAATTAAAAATAGATGGCAGAAAATAAATAAAAAAAACGTGAACATTTTCAGAGAACCCATGTCGTTGGGGGCGTTGCGGTCACGCGATGTGTGTTTCATTTTTGAAAATTTGCTCAAAAATGGGAAAAATTTATAAAATTCTGAAAATGAAGCACGTAGCGCGTGACCGCAATGCCCCCAACGACATGGGTTCTCAGGTAGCAGCTTGCCCATGGACTGCCCCTTACTTTGCCCTTAGAGCAGGTTCTAAGGGCTGCATTGGAGCATTCAAGGGGCAATCTTTGGGCATTTCAATTAAACAAGGACATCACGTTTAAAATTCAAATTAATTCAAGCCACGTAAAAAAAGCATTTTCACTAATTTTTTTTGTTTCCAGCTTGGAAAAATGGATCCTAGGCCCAAAATGGGATAGTTTGGAGGGGCAGCCTTCAACTAAATAGAAGAAAACATTATTATAAGTGTTTTTGAAGTAAAAGTTTTATTAAATAAAATAAAATAGGATAGATAGATGCACTTCAGATTGATCATACTCTGCTTCTCAAATTTTCACATAAGTTGATAATTTATTTTTCGACCGTCGTGAATTTTCTAGGTGATTTGACCGAAAGTTTATAATTCAAAGCTGCAATGGTTGAAGCAGTTGATCCAAAACAACTTTTTTGAGAATTTTATACATGGTTCGGAATCTAATTCATAAAAATCCATCCAAAAATAACAGTGATAATCCCAGAATCCGCTCAACTATATTTGAATTGATAACTTGCTCACAGTGATTTGCATAAAGTTACTGCTTCTCTAATAAGTGGATATTTGAGCGTCATCGAAATAGTTTGATTTATTCGCTATTTTCTTGGCTAACAGAATATCAAAAATGAGAAGAAATTCCGATTTCGAAACAGGATACGTATCAAAACTAGGTCACGTTATGAAAAATAGCTATAAATTTATTTTTCCTATTAAAAAATTTGCCCTTAGGGCTTGCCCAAGGTGCAATTATGGGGCAACCGCTTTCCTAAGGGCAGTCCATGGGCAAGCTGCTACCTGAGTTCTCTGAAAATGTTCACGTTTTTTTATTTATTTTCTGCCATCTATTTTTAATTTGACAAATTGTCAATGACAATAGAAAACGAAACTTGAATTTGAAATGAAAAAATAAATTAAAAGAAAAGAAAAACAATGGACGGAAAAATAATTAAACGTGACCCAATTATTTGACTTTCATTTTCAGAGAATTGCTCTTCTTCTGACCAAAATATATTTTCTAGACATAGGGAAAATCATTGTTTTTCAGCAGGAAATTTAAAATTAGTAGAGCTGCACTAATCCAACCGGAAAAACATGAACCCAGAAAATCTACAATAAAAAATTGAAGCAAAAATGAACGAAACAATCTGTGAAGAGAACGAAAAACATTGTCGTTGCGACACCAATTACAAAAATAAATAAATGTAGTTCCACAATAATTGTTGGGTTCGAATAGTCACTCCAAAATCAAAAAATCAAAGCAAAAAAAAAAAGAAAAGTAAAATTCAAAAATCAGGAAACGCGGGCTGGGTCTCGCAGCGAACACACAGTTTTATTGTGCGTCTTTGTGCAAACCGTATTTCATTTTTGTTTTTGTTTTTTTTTGAAAACTTTTTCCAACCGTTTTCTCCACACATACATGTTTTTGGTCCGGAAAAGTCAGGCATGTTCATTTTGCCTGCCTGCTTTTCGCCCGGCGAAGTTTTGTGCAGGCGTGCCTCGCCTCGCCTGCGATTCGAAAAAAATAAAAAAGCACGCCTCGCCTTCGCCTGCCTTCGCCGCGGCGAAAAAACGCGTGTGTGTTGTCTGTTTCATAAAGAAACGTAATTTATTTACATAAAAAACGATTAATTGACATAATTTCACTCATATTTTAACGTTATGTGCTAAGATTTCTTCTGAAACACATTATTATGATTAAAGAAGTGAAGAAAAGAGTCATTTTCACTGAAAACCTAGTTTTTTTTCACCCAATTTGTGAAAAACTGTATTTATAAACATTCAATTTCAGCAAAATGTTTTTGTAAGCTTAGAAATAAAAATATATCGCCTTACAGTTACATGAGAACATTTTAACGATCTGTTTTCCATCTAAAAATAACTGTTTCTTTTCCATATATACGTTTTAGTGAAAACTAAAGCAAAATCTTGATTAAAAATGTTGCTAATAGGTAGCTGAAACCCCGCCGACAACCGAATTTATGAAAAAATCGAAGAAAATTTAAGCTATTCTCACTTGCAAAATGCAACTCGCCCGGCGAATCGCCGGGCGACGCCTCGCCTCGCCTTGTTCGTTGAAAAATAAAAAGAGGCACGCCTCGCCTTCGCCTCAATTAAAAAGGCGACGCCCGGCGTTCGCCGGCGAAATGAACATGCCTGCGGAAAAGTATAGAATAGGGTCGTTAACTTTTCAATTTTTTTCTGAAAAATAGGTCCTTAACTTTTATGGAAAAAATTTCTATCAATTTTTCAATTCATTAAAATTATATCTGCATATACTTCTTCTTTCAAAGACGCGCAGAGTTTCAACAAAAAGTTCAAAACTTGATGCGTTATGCATCACGCGAAATACACGTCGTGCCACCACACAAATTCGAGGAGACGCAGACATTCATTTTCGGTTAGAAAGTCGCTGCGAGACCTCAACACATCAAAGGGCGACGCCGATGTGGTCTATAAACGCAGCGACAGACGAAAAAGCGGCGCGGCCATGCGCTATGTTTTGTGTGTGTGTCTGCTTGTCTGCTGTGTCTGCCAACAGCACACTGTATCGCCCGAGGGGGGAAGCAAAGGCGAGAGATGTCTCTGCCTGTGTTAAAAGTCTGCGTCTCCCAGAAATTTAATTTTTGTATCGGCTGGCATAGCGTGAATATTTCAACATCTCTCATCGCCGACAGTTCGCTGGTAGCGCCATACACCATATCTCTCATTGCAGCTGGCTCCGCCCACATTTCTTTTCTTTTGTTTTTCTTTTTTTTTCGCAGAAAATTCAAATCAAAAGCAAAAATAAATAACTTAAAGCCAACCAAATGAAATGAAATTTTTGACAGACATTCTTCGAGATATTTGACATGGATAGAAAACCCTCCAGCTAACATTGAAGACCATTTGAAGATTTAGGAGACATGAACGGAAAAAACCAGTGTCACACTGGTTTTTTCCGTTCATGTCTCCTAAACTTACTAATGACCTCAGAAATGAGCTGGAGGGTCTTCTATCCATGTCAAATATCTCGAAGAATGTCTGTCAAAAATTTCATTTCATTTGGTAAGCTATACGTTTAATAATTTTCCAATTTAGGTTTTGCATCGAACATTTTCTGCAGAAAAAAAAGAAAAAAGATGAGTGTGTGTGTGTGTTGCATAACAAGGGAAAACAAAATGGGAGAGATCAACGAGTGTATAGAGCAGGCGGTTAGCGTCGCGTTTTCTAGTCCAACTACGAAGGTTCGGTTTTTGGCTGGAACTTTGCTTTCGATTTTTTGGCAGTATTTCGGTTCCTTATTTCTCCGGTGGAGGGTCTTTAACTTTTTAATTTTTTACAAAAAGGGGTCCTTAACCCGGAGGGTCATCCGGTGAGAAAAACATGTATGTCTCCACAAAAAACAGATTTTGCAGTTTGACCAAACGACACTCCGTATTGCCCATTGTTTAGCAAACGATGTTTTTCGGGCGTGACACGTTGCTATTTTTAAATGGAAACATTTAAAAATGTTTCCATTTTCGATATTTGTTTCTTCGTCATTTCTGATTTTTGTTTTTCGTAAGAATTTGCGCCAACTTTTTTGAATGAGAATTTAATATTTTTCCCAATTTCAGATGAACATTTGCGCTGGAAAATGATGGATTTGATCAAGATGGAACGCAACAAGGAAAACAATAAATTTATGTGAGTGTTTCGGGGAGATTTTCAAAAATATTTTCACCAAGATTGTCTGATCATATCAAAATAGGCCTCTGTCGTCACATTGATCTTATTCTTCAGCGATTTTCTAGCCTAAAAATATCGAATTTTTCTATTTTTTCTCATTATTTCCAACCTGAACCTTGAATTTATTCTCATTATACAAAAACATCACAATAAAAGCCAACGAATATTCCGGAATGAAAATGACCATTTCCGTAAGGAAAAAGAACCAAGGTCGAGATAATTGTTGATTGAAAACGAAAAGTGTTAGGCTTGATGTGGCATAAGTGAATTGAAAAAAGAACATTGTATGGAATGGTAGGGATAGAATTTCAAAACATCGGAGTGATTCCTCTATTTGATATCTTTTCGCAAGCCGGCTTCCTTCTTTTTGCATAATTTCATTCATTTTCTCATTTTTCTTTCGAAGAATATTATAAGTTATAACAGATAGCAATAGAACTATAGTTGTTGAAAAACACGCAATCATTGTCATCACTTGAATTAGAAACAATTAAAATAGGTGAAAAATAATTTATAGTGGGACAGCTGTACTAAAACTTTACCAGAACCTTTTGGGGAAGCTTCTTCAGTAAAACCTTCTCAATATTTTTACCTGGAAATTCAGCTTTGGCGGCCAAACAATAATATTTGAAACCTTCTAATGATATCTGGCCATAGGCTATAGTTATTAGCGATATTGCTATGAAAAATTGAAACGCGAGTAGGAAAATCCAGGATTTTTTGTCGGTTTGATAAGTTTCCAGATATCGATAAGCTAAGAATCTTTCAAGTGCAATTGCTGGTGTTGAGCAAATGCAAAACCACATTCCGACATTTAGACCAAGTCGCATGAAAAAGCATCTGGAATTTTGGGCGTTTATTATATTTTAGTCTTGGAAACATTTCGAGCTAGGTTCCATATTTTGAATTTTTCAAGAATATTTAGATGAGCTTGCAATAAATGTGCTCGAAAATCCTACTTTCCCCCGTTTTTTGTGTACCAACCTTTCCGCACTGGATATAATTTCGCAAGCTGAACTATTTGGCATAACAACAAGCCAGCGATATAAATCAGAGCTATGAAGTACAATTCTGGTTGAAATTTTGCAATTGATTCCATTAATTCGCAATCCATTTTTCTTTGTCTTTGAACTAGGAAATTCTAGAAAAAATTGGTCTGAAAGATTTGAAAAAATATATACTTTTCTGAGAAAAAGAGCGGCTAATGAACTACAAAAAATATGATTTTTATATATTTTTTTCGAAATTTTTTCCTTCATTCAAAAAAGTCTGCGTAATAAAAATGAAAGATTGATAAATACTTCCGAGTTATTTATTACAAATGCACTAAATTGGAAAAAGAGTTAATTTGGTTTTGCGTGGGGTAAAAAAGTTTTGCAAAGATCTTGGATAAACTGAGTCATTTATTCAAAGAACTGAGTTGGATGGCACTTTTTTATATTAAATTTTGAATTTTTGAGAAAAATTAGTTTAATAAATGTTTTTTTTCTGAAAACAAATACTCGAAAAACTACGATGAAGTCAAAATTTGCGTCGAAAATTGGCTTATTTTTAATTTTTATGAGAAAATGTCTAAATATGGAATCCCGTAAAAAAAGTCTAGTTTTTTAGAAAATTCGGAATGATTTTCAAGGTTTCTGATGAAAACATTCGGATTTTTCAATGTGATTTATTAGGAAATATGTATACAAAATTCTTGGAACTCTTGTGAAAAAAAATGATTTTCTGCAGAAAGAAAATAATATTTTGTCGACATTTTTTGTTCAAAATTCACTTTTTGTGATCAAAATACAACCTTTCTCAAAAATCTTTTGTGACCTAATAGCAGCTGATCGAAATGTCGTTGTTCTTTTTCTTCTAAATCTGAACTTTGCTTATCTCCAAAAGTCAGTCTGAATGTTTTGAAAAATGGCTTTTGGTTGTTGTTCAAAAATATTCCGAAAATTCCAAGTCAGTAAATTTTTTATAGAACAAGTTTCAATAATAGTTACATAAACTGTTTTGAAATTAATTTTGGTAGAAATTGTGGGTTCGCTAAATGATGACCAACAAATAATGTTCGTTCTCTAAAATGTTCAATTTTAATAGTGGTTGATAAAAGTACCAATTTTCTTTTTTCTTTAATTACAAGACGAACTTTGCACATTTTCGAATGTTTGCCTGACAACCTTAAAAAATGTCTCATGTTTTTCTCTCAAGACAGAAAAAATGTGCAAACCAGAGTTCATTTTTGAAAAATGTTCTGCCGAGATAATAGAATAATATAATGCAGAACAATATAACAATTTCCCAACTCTTCCTAAAATAAAACTGAACTATGCTCAGACTTCAGAAACTACTGTACTTCAAACACTTACTGTAGTTCAACCTCAGGGCTATGATAACTGTAAGACATTCTTCATCTTGAGAAATCCAATATCAACTTGCTTACATTGATTGAAAACAATGAGGATTACTGTACCTCATAGATGGTGTGTAGGAAAAGTGATAAAGAGTTTTTTTCAGGCTTTGGTAAATAAAATTTCTTAAGTACTGTAAAAAGTGCTAGTTTTCATGTAAAAAATTGTTTTTCTACAGAGCGAATGTAATATTAAAAAATAGAGTATTTGTAACATCTTTTCCCGAGATAATAACACATTTGTGATCAAAATAACAATCCTTAACTGAGCTATGCTCTTATTATTTCCATAAAAAGTTATCTTAACTAATCCCAATTCAAAGAAGGTTCAACGAAACTATTATTTCGTCATGACTTTTAAGAAACATTGATTATTTTTGAATGAAGTGATTGGAAATGAAAATATCTCAACAAAACACTTTATTTTTCACAAATTCCATGACTGCTTATACAAATCAAAATAAGCCTCTGGTTTCACCTCAATTCTATTTTTCAAAACCTTCAAACTTTTTCGATTCATCGATTTTTGCTTGTGAATAAAAGTAAAAACAAAGATAATGGAATATTCCGGTGTGATAAGTGCAAGTTCTAACAAAAAATAAAATATGGGTAATCTAAAAAACTGGCCAAAAACAAGCAGAAAAACACATAAACAAGCATAAGTAAATTGTGAAATGAACATGGCGTAGTAAGGTTGAGCCAGAATTTCGAGGGATCTGCAAGAAAAAAATAAATTAGGAAGTTATGATAACATGTTTTATACCTTAATGATTCTTCCACTTGATATCTTTTCACTAAACTCGCCCCTTCTTTATGCAAAGTATCACGTAGTTTTGTGTTTTTGTTGACCAGATAATTATAGCCGAAAATTGATAGAACTTGAATTATTGTAGTTGTCGAACAAGCTATTATTGCGTAAATTGGTTCGCCTACAAAAACCAATTTTTAAGAGTTGATTAACAAATTAATCTCACTTGTATTTGCGGCTATACAATAGTAAGTTTGTCCACCGAATACTGTTTTTGAGTAAACGAGGCTTAGAAAGAAAATTGTGCCGCAAACTTGTAAAAATAGAAGCCAGATCCATGATTTGTTGTCTTGTTGATAGGTTGAGATGTTTCGAGTTGCGAGAAATCTTTCGACTACGATTGCTGGACTGCTGCAAGTGCAGAACCAAAGTCCGAAATTAAAGGAACCGAGAAAATACGCATCTAGAAAAAAAAGTTTTAGTGGAAAATGAAAATAAATCTAATTTTTGTTTTATTTTGACTACACTTTTACGAATGTTGTTTCTGCAACACGTATGAATTAATTTTTCTCTAAAAAATGACGAGACTTTTTTTTATAATTTTGAAGCGGAAAATTGTTTTATTTTCTGCAAGACTTTTCGAGAAATTTTTTGTCAACGTATTTACTTTCAATTTCAAATGAACCGTTTGAAAAAAGTAATGACGTGCTAATGTTAATAAAAACTACGTTTAATTATCAAGACAGAAACTTCTTATTTTTTGAACCTTATAATTCTAATATTTTGGGAATTTTCAAATATTGGTGGACTTGAAATCAAGTTTGGAATCGAAACGCAAAAAAAATCTATTGTGTTTCAATAGTCTTCTTCAATTCCAGTTTTTTCCACGTCATAACCAAAAAACCCCTCACCTCTCTGTTGTCGAAATTATTTCACATGCAGATGATGCACTTGGCAAAACTATCAGCCATCGAATTAAGTCCCAACCATGCAGAAAAATTCTAAATGTATATTTAGAAGATCTTTGATCAAGTCAAGACTGGACTAGTTGAACTTCTCTTTCAAAAACGTTACAGTAAAACTAGTTTTAACGTGTCTGATTTTTTTCATTCATGTTTTTTCTCATCACCAATCTCTGCAATTATGTGACAACGTATCAGTCTTACCTATCTGACAGATGAATTATCAAAGCTATACCATGAGCAATGAGTAGAATTCGAGTATTTTTGTGATAAAGCGGGTTTTTGTACAATTTCAAACATACATAAATAATTAGCGGAATAGCGATCGTAGAAGCAATAATTATTAAGATAAGCAGAATAATATGAGGTGTAAAAGTTGCGATTTCATTCATCAGATCGCAATCCATATTTTTCGTTGATAATTTTTCTCAAAGAAATGAAGCTTCTAATAATGAAGTACTAAAAAAAATAGATAACAAAACTTCAAAGTACAGATTTTTTCCTCCAAATGAAAAATAATTTGAAAAAACAGAGATTTTTCATTTAGCTCATTTGGGCGAAATCTAAATTGAAAAGTGTGTTTCTTTGGAGTCAAAAAGAAAAAAAGAATTTCTGAGAAAACGAAAATGAATGTCTTGATTTTTAATTGAACAAAAAAAGTGTGAGATACAAAGACAAAAAAATATATTTTGGACTTGGGGATTAGATTTTTCCCTTACAGTAATCCCGATGAACTTTTAGTGAATAGGTTCATTAGAGGAATTGTGAGATTAGGCGCTTTCCTATAGGAAGCTAAATATTTTTTGCATGCACGAGATGTGTTTTGATTTTTTGATAAAAATTTTATTTAAAAAAACATGCGACTTGAAAAACTGGTATAATTAATGAGCAGGAATAGGATCTAAAAATCATCAAAATTAGGAATTTCCCTGAAAAATAAAACAACTCACATTTTGGATTTATGCCAAATCAATCTTTTTGCCTTGAAAAATCGCTGATAGAATTTTCATAGTTTCCGGAGGTTTATCGAAATTCACATCAAAATATACAACTCGTTTTTCGCCATTCACACTAATATTTATCTCGATAGTTTCTTTGTTCATAATTTAATCGAATTTATTTTTTTAAAAATGGCTGAAAACTCAATAAAAAAGTAGGCGAAAAACGTGGAATGATTTAGGTCACGAAAAAAATTTATCAAACTAGTCGAGTTTTTTTTCAACAATAGGCAGTAGTTCACTGCGAGAACTACTTTTGGATTGGAATTTCATACTGTAACTTCGAAATCACAAGGCATTTTCTGTAGTTTTTAAAAATAACTTTTGAAAATATAACACCAAAGATTCCGAGCTGCACGTGGTACTGTAGCAGACTGTAAAGATTACCACAAAGTTATTTATTTGTTCATAGTTTATTGAATTTGTTCTAATAATGAAATAAATTAGGTTACGATTTATCTAACATGTTTGTTTTGAATAATTGAACATATATTTTTATTTTTCACAAATCGCGTATTTTTGAGTTTTCGAACATTGATAATCGTTCCAAACTCCTCTAACATATCCCCAATTGTAGCCACTATTCACAATTGAAATAGAGAACTGAATAAAAATGCTTTTTCATTGAAAAAATTGAAATTCGAACCTACCACATTACAGTAGGAATATGATGAACCGTCGGATTTATCCGGTTGGTTAACTGCCCAATTTGTATAACTAGAATCACCTATCCAGGCTTGCGAATCTGTCGGCAAGTTTGAGTTGAAGTTGAAGGCCTCTGAAAAATGATATTATCAAAATAAAAAAATTTGGCAAAAAAACGGAGCTCAGAAATTCAAATGACACTCTTCCTAAGTACGGTGTTTCTTTCAGTCGCTGCGAGACCCATATGTGCGTCTTTGACTTTGTTTCTCTGCCCAATGGTGTGGTCTCGGAACGGTGTTAGTGACGCAGAGAAATACCGTACTTGGGAAAATTGGGATTTGAATTTCTGGCTTCTCTTTTTTTGCCAAATTTTTTTACTTTGATAATATTGCAGAACTCTCTGAAATGTTTTATTGTTAGGGAAAAACTCACTTCTCAATGCATCATTTTCCGCCAAATTATCAATCACCGCCAATGTTGCACCATGAGTGGTGCAGCCTTTTTGAGCTTGGGTGAATGTTGCGACGCCTTTGAGAAGAGCGTAGCATTTCCCATTGAATTGGATCCAGTTGGTATCACAGGATGTTGTGCATTTGGTGGGATCGAATGGGGTTGTAAGAGCGGGAGTTGTGATAACAGGAGTTGTGAGGGCCGGAGATGTGAGGGCCAGGGTTGTGACGGCTTGGGTTGTGGTAGGACTTGTGACAACGGGAGTTGTGAGGGCCGGGGTTGTGACGGCCTGGGTTGTGGTAGGACTTGTGACAACGGGAGTTGTGAGGGCCTGGGTTGTCGTAGACTCCGTACTCGTCGACGTAGATTCTGTGCTAGTGGATGTCGATTCAGAACTTGAGGATGTGGGTTCTGTACTTGTAGATGTCGACTCCGTGCTAGTGGACGTTAATTCTGTACTTGTAGTTGTAGATTCTGTTGTAGTGGTAGTCGGAGTCGTGGTTGTAGTAGTCGGGGTTGTAGTTGTAGTAGTTGGAGTTGTAGTTGTTGTAGTTGGAGTCGTAGTAGTTGTAGTTGTGGATTCTGTTGTTGTGGTTGTCGGAGTCGTGGTTGTAGTAGTTGGGGTCGTAGTAGTAGTAGTTGGGGTTGTAGTTGTAGTTGTTGGAGTCGTGGTTGTAGTTGTTGGAGTTGTAGTTGTAGTAGTTGGGGTCGTGGTTGTAGTAGTTGGAGTCGTGGTTGTAGTAGTTGGGGTTGTAGTTGTAGTAGTTGGAGTCGTGGTTGTGGTTGTCGGAGTCGTGGTTGTAGTAGTTGGGGTTGTAGTTGTAGTAGTTGGAGTCGTGGTTGTAGTAGTTGGGGTTGTAGTTGTAGTAGTTGGAGTCGTGGTTGTGGTTGTCGGAGTCGTGGTTGTAGTAGTTGGGGTTGTAGTTGTAGTAGTTGGAGTCGTGGTTGTAGTAGTTGGGGTTGTAGTTGTAGTAGTTGGAGTCGTGGTTGTGGTTGTCGGAGTCGTGGTTGTAGTAGTTGGGGTCGTGGTTGTAGTAGTTGGAGTCGTGGTTGTAGTAGTTGGGGTTGTAGTTGTAGTAGTTGGAGTCGTGGTTGTGGTTGTCGGAGTCGTGGTTGTAGTAGTTGGGGTTGTAGTTGTAGTTGTTGGAGTCGTGGTTGTAGTTGTTGGAGTTGTAGTTGTAGTAGTTGGGGTCGTGGTTGTAGTAGTTGGAGTCGTGGTTGTAGTAGTTGGGGTTGTAGTTGTAGTAGTTGGAGTCGTGGTTGTAGTTGTTGGAGTTGTAGTTGTAGTAGTTGGGGTTGTAGTTGTAGTAGTTGGGGTCGTAGTAGTTGTAGTTGGGGTCGTGGTTGTAGTTGTTGGAGTTGTAGTTGTAGTAGTTGGGGTTGTAGTTGTAGTTGTTGGAGTCGTGGTTGTAGTTGTTGGGGTCGTGGTTGTGGTAGTCGGGGTGGTAGTTGTAGTAGTTGGGGTCGTGGTTGTGGTAGTCGGGGTGGTAGTTGTAGTAGTTGGAGTCGTGGTTGTTGTCGGCTTAGTAGTTGTAGTAGGAGTTGTCGTAGTTGTAACACCAGTCGTAGTCGTACACCACTCTGCACTATACGCAACAACAGGAGAAGCTAGAAGAAATCATCGTTTTTCTCGTCTCTCAACACCAGGGGTGGGGAAACTGGCCTCACGTTGGCCTCATGTTGGCTTTGGTGGTAAGAACATAAGCCATGACAGGTCCACGTGTAAACCTGGCTACCTGTCCTGTCCTGGACAGGTTCTTTTTTTAGTTGAGAAAAAATACGGCAAAAAAATAGGAGATCGCATTTTTATTTTTTTTATGCAGAAAAAAAAAATTGCTCTGTTAATTTTTGTTCACGCGAGGACAGGTTGGGCATATGGCTTTAGGACATGTTCAAGCCATGTTCGAGCCAGGACAAGTTTAGGCCATATTCAAGGACAGGACAACATGAGGCCATGACATTTTCCCCACCCCTGCTCAACACATTCAACTTACTTGATGAAGGATTATATTTACAAGTAGGAGTAGCTGTATTAGTTCCACAATCCCACACATCATCAAATTGACCAGGTGTGTAAGTATTCAATAATCGACGCAAAGAAGAGTCCCATATCTTAACTCACAATAATTGCATTATTTTTAACATTTACAAAATCTTACCGTTGCACAACTTTTTTCTGCTTCTGTTGATTTTGGATATCCTGGACTCCACCACATAAAATCCACTGATGTTCCATCTGTCCAAATATAAGTAACATTGTCACAACCGCGCCGTAATCCAATCCACGTGTCAATTGTTCCAATACCCAGCCAACTACTGGGTCTAAATGTGGATACAATCCATTCAGCTTCAGCTTGACTGTGAATACTTGCAAGATGAGCACCGGATTTTTGACCGGCACACCATGTCTCAGCGGCATACCATGTCATCGCGGTTCCTAGCTGAAAAAATTGTATTACAATCAAAGGAACATGTTATCATCAATCCAACCTTGTAGCAATAACCGTTACCAGAGTATTTAGTCCACCCAGAAGCACAAGCTGCTGTCGAATCCATCAATACCAAATCAGCAGAAGATGAATCATAAATCATACCAGAATTATTATAATTTTTTCCAGTGTAATTAGCTAAACTATTCAGGAGAATTGTATCATTAGAATCTTCAACTTTTTTGAGTTCGCCCATATTTTGATTCAAAAAGTTTTGCAGAATGTTAAGATCGCTTTGTGCGACATTGCAGAAAAATATTAAAATAAGTATAACGAGCATGCGGAAATAAAATGAATAAAAATAATAAAATAGAGTAGACTGTGTCAAAAAATGAGTCTTTGGACGAACGATGTGTTTAATCCCACACATTACATTTTATTTTGAAACTAAACCTTTGAACTTCGATTGATTTATTCAATTTTATTATTTCATTTCATACAAATTACGAACAATTGTGTCTTGACGCAGGGATAGTCGTTCCAAACTCCTCGAACATATCCCCAATCGTAACCACTGTTCACAACGGATAATGAAAACTGCAATTAGTTCAATTTAAGATAATTTCAATGTGTTCTTTACAAACGTACGGTATTACAATAGGTATATTCTGATCCTTCAGACATATCTGGCTTTCCAACTGCCCAGTTATGATAAGTCGAATTTCCGATCCAGGCCTGATCTGAGCTTAGAAGATTTTCATTAGAGCTGAAAGCTTCTGAAAAAATAAGTATGTTCTGAAGTTCTAAAAGTTAGGCAAACTTCTCAAAGCGTCGTTTTGCTCCGAAGATTGGATTGTTGCGATTTGTGCGCTGACAGATTGACATCCTGTGACGGCTTGATCATATGTAGCACGACCCTGTAGAACTGCGTAGCAATTACTATCAATCTCAACCCATCCAGAATCACAAGTTGAAGTGCAAACTGCGGAGGTGGATGTTTTGGATGTGGTTTGAGCGATTGAAGTTGACGCAGATGTTTGAAGTTCTGCCGACGTGGATGATGATTTTGAATTTGGAGTGAACGTCACAACTTGTGTTTGTGTACTGGTAGTCGTTGATGTTGTGGGTTCTGCCGACGTGGATTTAGAAGTTGAAGTTAAAGATAATGACGCCGATGTAGACGTGGATGTGGAAGTTGTACTTGAAGAATCAGTTGTAAGCGGAACTGTTGTTTTAATACTGGTAGAAGTTGACGTAGAGGGTAATGCGGATGTGGAACTTGAACTCGTAGTTTTGCTTGTGGTCGGAACCGTTGTTGTTGTGCTGGTTGAAGTTGACGTAGAAGTTAAAGGTGTGGTTGGAATCGTTGTTGTTGTTGTGCTAGTTGAAGTTGACGTAGATGTTGACGTGGAAGTTAAAGGTGTGGTTGGAACATTGGTACTAGTAGATGTTGACGTAGATGTTGAAGATGTGGTCGGAACTTTGGTACTAGTAGATGTTGACGTAGATGTTGAAGTAGATGTTGACGTAGATGTTGACGTAGATGTTGAAGGTGTGGTTGGTACTTTGGTACTAGTAGATGTTGACGTGGTTGTTGAAGTGGATGTGGACGTAGATGTCGATGTAGAAGTTGTAGAGCTAGTGGAAGTACATTGAATCCAAGCTTCTTGCGTTGTAGCTGAAACACTCGATTGCAAACCCTTGGCTTTTGCAAGAAAACACATAAATACGGCTTGCGGCATGGGAACCTGGTTTTAACATGTTATCAAACCTAACTTTTCGCGTAGAGTTTGAAATGCGACACTTTCTCTAATAAAAAGTTTGAAAAATCTTCATTTTTTTCGAAATTTTCGATTTTTCTAACATATGTCAAAAAAACTATGGTTTTTTTGCCTATTTGCTCGATTTTCTTTGTTCTCTGTGAGTGGAATTACAATTTTTCAAAGTTATTCAACATTTTTAAAGAGAAAATGGTTAGAACTAGAGTCTTGTCTTGTTCTATCACATATATCCAACGCGGAACTTCAGTCAATTAGTCTTCTGTTGGAAAAAAACCATGCCTTGTTTTTTGATCAATTCGAAACACTTTTTTAAATCGAAACATCGTGTTCAAAAAATTGCAACTTACTCAACGCCGGATTATATTGACAAAGTGGTGTTGCCGTATTATTAGTACAATCGAAAATGTTATCGAATTGACCCGGTGTGTAACTTGAGGACAATTTCAGTAAAGGTGTTTGCCAAATCTAAGATTAAAAAAATTGGTTGAGTAAGATACGGTTCCATTAGGAAATTTACAGTAACACATCGTAAATTTGGATCTACAGCTTCTGGTTGATCAGATTGCCACCAAATGTAATCGAAATCACTACCATCTGTCCAAACCCATGTTGAATTGTCACACTGTAGCAAAAGCATTTTTATATGCTATTGACTTTTAGAGGAACTTACCGATCTCTTGAGCCCGATCCATAAATCCTCATATGTTCCAAGTAGAAAATACGAAGTTGCAAAAGTGTTTGCCAACCATTCAGCTTGCGCTTGATTGTGCACACTAGCCAATTGTGCATTCTGACTCAAACAATAAGCATTGGCCGCATTCCACGTCATATCACTTGTTGTTTTGTAGCAATATCCGTTTCCTGAATATTGTGTCCAGCCAGAAGCACAAGATGCACTTGAATCGGATAAAACTAGATTTGAATAATCATCATCAGCTAGAACATTGGGAGAAGCCGTGCTAGTAGTAGTATTGATAAGACCATTCAAAACCGCCTCATCGTATTTTGCATTCTTCAACTCTTTCAAATTCTTACCAATTAGAGTTTTAAGAATGTTTTCTCGATTTATTGTATCATCTGATGTTAGTATTATAAATTATAAACTAATTTTGAAAAATCCTAAAGCTACCTGCACAACCAACAAAAATAAATGCAAAAAATAAAAGAGGTAACAACATTTTGAAAAATACAATGACAGATACGATTGTGAAATTTTTATGAAACAGGAGATTTTAGTTCAACGAAACAGTACAAATAGTGAACAATTGCGTTTTTTCACAAGGGAAATCGTTCCACACACCTCTAACATATCCCCAGTCGTAACCACTGTTCACTATTGACAAGGCAAACTTAAAAATTGATGTTTTTTCAATTAGGGTAATTCAAAGAAGAAGTTTAGAGCTTACACTATTACAATATTGATAAGACGATCCTTCAGACATGTCAGGCTTCCCAACGGCCCAGTTATGATAAGTCGAATTTCCGATCCAGGCCTGATCTGAGCTCAGAAGATTTTCATTAGAGCTGAAGGCCTCTGGAAAAAATTACAGTGTAAATTCACATTTCGTTGGGAGTTATGCTAACTTCTCAACGCCTCATTTTGGTCATAATTTTGAATAGTTGCAATTTGTGCTCCAAAGGATTGACATCCCGTGATGGCTTGAGTATAGGTTGCACGCCCTTTGATCAGTGCGTAACAGTTGGTGGCATATTGTACCCATCCAGAGTTACAAGCTGGAGTGCAGGATGCAGGAGTGGAAGTGAAAGCTGTGGAAGTTTGGGTAGATGTCGATGTTGACGTGGAAGTTTTGGTTGTGGTAGGAACTGTTGAAGTAGAAGTTAGAGATTTAGTCGAAGTAGAACTTGAACTCGAAGTTTTAGTTGTAAGCTGAACTGTTGTTTTCAAACTGGTAGAAGTTGACGTAGAGGGTAATGCGGATGTGGAAGTTGAACTCGTAGTTTTGCTTGTGGTCGGAGCCATTGTTGTTGTGCTGGTTGAAGTTGACGTAGAAGTTGACGTAGAAGTTAAAGATGTGGTTGGAACTTTTGTACTAGTAGATGTTGACGTGGTTGTTGAAGTGGATGTTGGCGTTGAAGTCGTCGTGGAAGTCGTTGTTGTCGGTTTAGTTGCTCCAGGAGCTGTGGATGTACACCACTCTTCAACATATTCGACAGGAGTTGCGGCTGGAAAGCAGAAATGTTGATTTAAAAACTAGTACATTCACAGGGGTTCTTAAAATTCTATAGAAAATATACTACGGTAACTACCAACTCAAACGCAACTACAAATATCAAATACAATTTTTGAAAAAATAAATAATGCATTAAATGAACGATCAATCATCACCACGGTAATCCGATATCCGATTGTAGTTTGTTTCATTAAACGTTTCAGCCTCATAGAATCATTAGAAACAACTCACTAGATGTTGGATCATATTTACAAGTTGGTGTTGAATAACCAGTTCCACAATTCAGCATATCATCGAATTGTCCAGGAGTATAGCCGGAAATCAGGAGAAGATAAGCGGTTTGCCAGATCTGCATGAAATCGATTAATTAGAAAATGACGTGAGGTTTACCGTGACACAGCTAAGCTCTGGGTCTGTAGCTTCTGGATATCCTGGCTGCCACCATTGATAATCTACAGGTGTTCCGTCAGTCCAGATGTATGTAGTGTTGTCGCACTATAAAAAATCGGCTGAATAGGACTTCCATGCACACCTCGGCCAAAATCATGGTGTCCACAATAAAAAATTGTACGCTAACTTTTTACAGTACAAAAATTGTGCATTTTTCAGTTTTTGTCCTCTAAAAATTGTTATTTTTCAATTTTTGAAAACTGAAATTCAGATTTTCAAAAAATTGTACTCTGGCCAGCCACGGCTTGGCCGAGGTGTGCTTCCATGACTGTTATGTATTATTATCCCATGGTACCCCTGAATGACAATCGCTCTTACCAATCTTCTCATCCCGGTCCACGTGTCAATGTGAGTTCCATCTAGAATTGAAAACGTGGCAAAAGTTGATACTATCCATTTGGCCTCATCTTGACTATGAACACTCATCAAATGCGAGCCATTATTCTGTTTAAAACAGTATTGTTCACCATCATACCAAGACATTGATGTATCACCAAATTTATAGCAATAACCATTTCCAGAATATTGAGTCCAACCACTCGCGCAATTCGCAGTAGTTGTGGAATCAGCTAGAACTAATTGAGTATCGGAAGAATCTGAGAGAACAGGATTATCTGTTACTAGGCCTCCAAGATCTGATAGCGATATATTTTCCTTCTTCAAGGATTCTTTATTTGATGATAGAAAGTTGATTAGAAGTTTGTTGCGATCTAGGGAAAATGTTGAATAGGGAAATAAAAGTATAAATATCAAGTTCATTTTTGAAATAACTAAACTTTTTTGCGTTCAACTATTTTTTCATAGTAATCCTGTTCGATCATTTTAACGAAACAAACAAGAATTACATTTTTCAAAGTTCAAGAATTAAATTTTTGCTAAAAATTATTTTATCAAAATCGAAATGTTCTTTGGACAAAGTTAGTGCAAGTACAAACATCTTATCATATAGCCCTCCAGCCGCTGGCTTAGCCGCTCGGAGCGAGGGGCTCGCCCGAGCCGCTGAGCGGCTTAGGGGCTTGAGCCATCAAGCGGCTCGATTGGCTTAGCCGCTGAGCCCCTCAGCGGCTTGAGCGAGCCACTGGCTTAGCCGCTCAGCCAAGTGAGCCGCTGAGGGGCTGAGGGGCTTAGCGGCTAAGCCACTCAAGCCGCTCGAGCCGCTGAGGGGCTTAGCCAGCGAGCCGCTTGGAGCCGCTGAGCGGCTAAGCCAGCGAGCCGCTCGAGCCGGCTTGGCTTGGCTCGGCTCGCCTTATTTTTTGAGAAAAACTGTTTTTTATATGTGAAAATTATGAAACAGTGAATTTTTCGAATTATTTTGTGTTCCGAAATTAATTTTTTTATTGGATTTTAGTCAATGGGTCATGGAAAACTTTTTTGAGTTTGGGAAAATTATGGGCGGAGCTTATTTTCAGCATTTTGGCTGAAAATATGCTGAAATTCGAAAATTTCAAAATTGTTCAAAAATTTCCGGGTTTTTTCCTAGTGATAGAGGATAATGTGTAGAGGAATTTTGTGCTAATTTTCGCGCTGAAAAAATGAGGGAAAAGATGATTTTCAGTTTTTTTGTCTGAAAATTGATTAGAAACACTAAAATAAATTTGAGAGTTTTCTTCGTTTTTTCAGCTTTTCCCTCATTTTTTCAGCGCGAAAATTAGCACAAAATTCCTCTACACATTATCCTCTATCACTAGGAAAAAACCCGGAAATTTTTGAACAATTTTGAAATTTTCGAATTTCAGCATATTTTCAGCCAAAATGCTGAAAATAAGCTCCGCCCATAATTTTCCCAAACTCAAAAAAGTTTTCCATGACCCATTGACTAAAATCCAATAAAAAAAAATTAATTTCGGAACACAAAATAATTCGAAAAAATTCACTGTTTCATAATTTTCACATATAAAAAACAGTTTTTCTCAAAAAATAAGGCGAGCCGAGCCAAGCCAAGCCGGCTCGAGCGGCTCGCTGGCTTAGCCGCTCAGCGGCTCCAAGCGGCTCGCTGGCTAAGCCCCTCAGCGGCTCGAGCGGCTTGAGTGGCTTAGCCGCTAAGCCCCTCAGCCCCTCAGCGGCTCACTTGGCTGAGCGGCTAAGCCAGTGGCTCGCTCAAGCCGCTGAGGGGCTCAGCGGCTAAGCCAATCGAGCCGCTTGATGGCTCAAGCCCCTAAGCCGCTCGAGCCAACGGCTCGCTCGCTCGCTCAGCCGCTCGAGCGGCTAAAAAACGAGGGGCTGGAGGGCTATATCTTATCACAATGACGTTTTTGTTTTTCAAATCTCTTTTCGTTTTTTGAAATTATGTCATTCTGTGTTTTGCTAATTAAATTTCTCAGAATTTTTTTTTACAAATGAGAAAAAAACCATTTTTTCCATCTCGAAAAATATCACATTTCTTGAAAATTTCCAAACTTCCCAAAAAAAAGATCTTTGAAAATTTTAAAATCCAGTTGAAAAGGTTAAAGGTAACCAACCCACCCAAAACTAGTTTTCACTCATCCAGTTTTCTCCCTTCTCTAGCTGATAAAAATCTTATTGACAAAAATAAGAAAGTGCACTTCCTCTGACATATTACACCACCCTTGTTTTTAATTTTTTCAGTCATTTTTTCAGTCATTCAGTTTTCATGTGTGGGATGTAATCCCACAAAAATAGAGTTTTTGAATATTCACATATGTGTTCCAAAAGTTCCGGAAATTTTTTTTTTTAAATTAGAACATTTAGACTGTAAATTCAAATTCAGAAACACCTAAAAGCTTTCCAGAACTCTGTTTTCAAACCAAAAAAATTGTTTTTTTTTGTCAAAACGAATTAGAAATTTTCGTAAAAGAATATAATCCTGTGTTTCATTTAGCGCATTCCCTTTTTTCCAAAAATAAATTCAAAAAAAAAACAGAAAAGAGATGTCTAATTATATCTCTCTCGACTTCCGATTATTTTTCCGTCTGTCAGCAGCTCAAAAAATGAGCTCCTTTTTTGTCTGAACTTTGGTGTTGATGTCAATTTTGTTGTTTTTTCCCTTTTCAATTTCCCTAGAGGTGAAAACTTATCCGTTTTTCTAAATGCCCCCACGAGATTTGTCACATTTTCGCTCTTTCTGATGCCAAGTTTCCCACGCTATTATAATTTCATTCCGCGTTTTTTTCTTCCGAATGACCTCATTTTTATTTGTTGTGTTGTTGTTGAAGGACTTCGGATTTATATTAGCTGGCTGAAAATTTTCTCGTACCACTTTAAAAATTTCGCTCGAAAAAAAATAATTCGATAATTTTCAGCTGTCAAATTGTTTTTGAAAAGTTGTACGAAAATAAGTACAAAACTTTTCTAGAAAAATCACTTCTTACATATATCTGCTTCACATTTTTTTACAAGACAAATTTTCTAAACTCTTGGTCCCACAATTTATTTTTGGCATAAGTTATTCAAAAAGCTTTGACCTTTGACTTGTTTAGAATTTTGATGAGTCTCTTTTTCTAGTTTGAATTCAGGATAAGCCTAGATTTCTAGGTTTTTATATTTCTCTAGTTAAGTTTATCCCATTCATTTCTGTCTCCATGTTTTTCTCATAATAAAAAGAATCTGAAAGTTCTCAAAACTTCTATCTGGAACTCATATTTTTCAGAATCTTCATCATTTGAACTCCAAAGTGATGTCATCGGATTATTACCTCAATGTTCCAAGATCTCATCAACGTCGAAGCAGTGAAGGATATTTGAATCTCAATGATATGTTGTCCAATTGTGAACAACAGGCCCCACCTGCCAGAGAACGTCTTCCGTGTTTGAGAAAACGACGTGGCACAAATCCATCATTGTTCGATGGACATTTGGTTGAAGCATTGAGGAAGAATTATGAGATGGGTAAGATTTTTTTCATTGGGAAAACAAGCCAAATTCGAATTCCTAAGCCTAGAAGTCTTTTTTTCAATAAAAGTTTTGGAGATGATTTTTTGGAACAGGAAATAATATGTTTATAAAAACATTTTGGCCTGGTTTGTGTGTAGGCTACAAACTGTTTTTTTTGGAAATAAATGTAGTTCAAATATGGCCAAAATGTAGTTTAAATCGGATAAAAATGTACTTTGGAATGTTTTTTTGGTCTTCCGATTTGAATTAGGGGAGGTGATATTTTTGAGCAAAATTTCAAAAACTTTAAATTTCCGGTTTTCAAAATTTGAGCTTGATATTTTGATCAGTTGAAAAATAAATTTGGAACTCTAGTTTTCTCACTGAAAATTCCTGGAATTTTTTATTCTTCAAACTCTGAATTTCCGGTTGTTGAAATGTTAAATATAAAACCTGATCAGCTATGATATTTCTGTTCTGTAATTTCAGTCTCGAATTTTCCTTATCCTTTTTTTAAATTCACTGTTTCCGAAACTGTCAGTAAAAACACAAATACTTGAAAATTTCAATATTTTGTTTGTTTTTGCATGAAATTTTGTTTGAACTTCGGCCTTTTTGAAAATCCTGTTAAAATTTTTAGTTGAAAATAATAATCAATTTTTTTGAATGAAACAGTTTTGAACCCGAATCGATATTTCTAGAAATCTAGACTACTGAAATTTTAGAAGCCCATCCCAAAATTATCTTTGGCTCAAACATTTTCCCACTGTAAAATATCTATCAAACTATGGTCCAAAAAAATTTGTATTTTTTCCCATGGAACAACATAATACTTATCAAACTTTTTGATCTACTTGCGAAACTCAACTCTACGAAGAAAATTACTTATTTATTTTCCCATTTTTCTTGTATCGGAGGTATAAAACCTGATATTTTTCAGAAAAAATTCAATTTTCTAATTCCAATTATACACTTTTTTAACCAATCAAGTTTTCTTTTCATTTTTCATTTTTTTTTCGAAAAAAACGAACAACAAAAAAATGATCCGATTTTCTTTTTTTTTCAAAATTTTTTCGCTATCGAAGGTCAAATCACACGCTGACCAGACCCAAAAATTTTTACTACGTATTTTTTTTGAATTTGAAAAAAACTTCAAAAAAGGTAAAAAAAAAAAGAAACTTGTCTCAAGTGGCCCAAAAATTAGGCCTCTTATGGTTTTTTTTTGGGCAAAAAGTGAAAAATGTATGATTTTCCTCCCAAAAATGACAAAAAACCAGATCAGATCAGGCTTATTTATTTTTATCAACATATCAGACTTTTTCACTTTTTTTTCGAAGATTGCGCAATTTTTTGCCTCACAGACTTTTTTTTATTATCTAGAGAGATCTGCACTTTTCGAATTGAATTTAGTCCAACCTCATAAAAAAAAGTTGATCTTTAATTTTTGAAATTTAAAAGTTTCAGATCATTTTGCCGATAACAATTTTCCTTGAATTTTTTTTATTAAAAAACGTTTCACTTTCATTCTGTTCGGATTTCCGGAGGCAGTTTAGCTCACAAAAATTGGCGTTTTTTTCATTTCTTACAGTAACCTCATGTTTTCTGGCCATTTATTTTTTATCGATATGAAAAAATAAGATCAGATAACCAGTTCCCTTATGCACTATTATATTATAGTAAATAAATAGTAAATTATATTTTTTTTTTGTTATTGATTTTGGGTAATTTTAGGATTATGTTAGTTTTGTGGTAAACAATACCTTTGTGTTATTTGAGAAATTTTGGGGAAAAATATTTCAGAAATTTTGCATGATCTAGCATTTTTACGATTTTTCCTTTATGAAATCTTATTTCGAAATTTTGAAAATAATATTAGGGAAAACTTAGCCTCATTTCTGAATATGATTTCAAAAAAATATTAAAAAGTTTTAACTTCAAATTAAAATTTTCTATTAACGAACAATTCATAAAAACTGTTTTTGTTCGAAAGATTGAATTCCAATTGTTGACTAGATTTTAGTTCGATTAGAGCCTCAACCTAGAATCGTGAATCTAGAACCCTCGATAAAAATTTTCTTTCCTTTTTCAAAAAATTCCTAATTTTTGTAATATTCTACAAAACTTTTGAAATGAATCCCATTTTCCATTAACATTCCGAAACTAATCCATAGCTATAATCTCAAATTTTTTCAGTCACTGCTCTTGCTGATATCGAAGATCGGAGCGAAAACGTCGAAAAAAAGAAACGGAAAAGTATTTCATCGTAAGTTTTCTTTTTTTTTCTCGAAAAAAATATAATTAATAGGTAGACCGGGTAACTATGGTAATGTATTTTTTTCGAAAAAAATCTTATGACTAAAAAATTTTCATTTCTATGTTTTTGAAAAAATTTAAACTGTTTACATTTGAAATTTAGCGCATTTTTTATCAATAGTTTTTTGGTTATTAAATTTAATTTAAACAATTTTAAAATTTTCATTGTTGAGTCATCGGTTTTGCTTTTTGAAGAAAAAAACGAAAGTTTTCTAGCGATAAAATCTAGAAGGCCTTTTGTTCTGACCCTTCTTTGACCTTGAAAAATGACGAGTTTTTCGTGGATTAAAAATTCCACTAATTCACTATCTTTTATTTTTTAATTACTAATTACTTGCTAGCTTCTGATAAATTTTCTAGAAAAACAGAAAAAAAACTTATCAAAAATTGGAAAAAGTATTACACTTTTCTGTTCCAAACAGTTTTATTTTATTATTTTTTCAAGAAAATAATATGATTTTTCTTATAGATAGATTTTCTGTTGACGTCAATGAAAATACAAAAAAAACTATTGAGGACAAATTTAATTCGTTTTTTTCTTCAATTCTTTGAGCTTTTTTAATTGGATTTTTTGTTGCATGTTTCAGTTTGCTATTGAAAAGTCTTGTGATGTTTTTTTCTGGAAATTTGGAAAAGTTAAGACATTTTTTGATAGATTTTTATTATTTTCAAATTTTTTTAGTATTACTGTAAAAAATTTTCATTCCATTTTTTCATTTTTCAAAAAAAGTTCCTCATCAGACTATCAAAAGATAAAAAGTGCTAACAATAAAAATGTGCCAAACACGTCAAAAAACAACGTGACCGCCCAAAAAATCTTATCTTCTGATTTTTTTCGAAAAATAACATTTTCAAAAAATATTTACTAGACCTAATGAAAATATTTGGCAAAAGGTATAGTATATGCCCTTTTTATCTTATTTTTGAAAATACTTTCAAAACTGTAAACACTTACTTATTACTTTTTTCGAAAAAAAAACCCTTATCGGATTACAATATTTTTGAAATTTTAATTTTGATTAATTTAAAAGTTAATTTTTTTCAGAATGGTCCGTGGTGGGCCGACAAGTCCACGAGGATTGACAAAATGGAGAAACGAAGAGAGCACTTCGATTTCGTCAGCAGATTCAGCTCTAGGTAAATTTTAAATTTTAATACGAAATTATGGAATTCGATTTCTAGCCTGGTTTTCAGATGATTACACTTCAAATGATCGACACGCTCGTTTCGAATGGTTGAGAACAGAAGTCAAATGTTTTGTCGATGATATAATTGACGCATTCGAATCCGGAGGAGCACCAGATGAAACACAAGTTGAGCAGGAAAATCAAAAATTGTCAGCAGTTCAACTTCGAAAAGATCTCAAAAGGTTCTACACATCGGTGACGCCTTATATGGAAGTTTTGGCTGCACTTTATGATCTAATCATGTGGCGGAATCCTTTGTCTACTCTTCTTTTGATCATTGTTATTGTCTATTCATTATTCCGTGGTTGGACAGTCGCACTTTTACTAACTCTCTTATTATTGCAACTATCAATTAACTATTTGGCTACGGTCAAAAATATTAACATTGGTTGGATGTTCATGCCACGAAAACCTGTAACATTGCCGAAATTTGATATCAGTGGAGCGCAACTTATTTTCGATATTGCAAAGCTTGCCCAAAAACTCCTACGATTCTCAACAAATATTCTTGAAAAAACCGAGAGTTTATTGATGTGGAAAAATCCAAAAGTTTCAAAAGTCTTCTATTGTTTGGTGATTTATTGGTTGTGTTGGTCGGTTTTGTTCACCACTGGAACTTGTATCGGTTGGACTGTTTTGACAATTGGTATCAGACTGTTTTTCACCACTTATTTGTTTGCCAAATTTCCAAGACTTCGGAAAAGATTTGATACCTATGGTTATTTTTATCGTAATCTTCCGTTGCGATCTGCCAATATTCCACATATTCCAAGAAGTCAACCATCAACTTCAAGATCGGAAACAGCAAGAACAATTGAAAGTGATGATAGATGTGTAAGTTTTGAGGGTATGGGTGGGTTAACATGAGTAATGTCTAATTTTTCTGATAAGCTGATAGCTTAATATGAGCAATGCCTCCCAATTAAACAACTTTTGTAGAACACGCCAATGAGCAGTAGCACAAGCAGGTTGAGCAGTTTCCTTGGTGAAAAATTCTCCTCACGCCTTGGCAGCAACTTCAATCTCGATCAAAGTGCCGCTGTCAATCTACTCTTGGGTCACAATCACAGTAACCGAAAATCCACTCCACCGCCCGTCGAAAACCACTTCCCAGAAGTTGAGGCAAATTGCGACGATGGCATCGATTCTCCACACGATTTAGCCCAACTCCACTCAACATCACAAACTTCGACGCACAGTGAAATTCTTCCGACGGAGATGCGAAATGTATCGACGATCACACCGCCGACAAGTGCATCAATTGAAGAAGAGGAAGAAGATGAGGGCACAGAATGTGTGGATGATAATAATACCGAATATTTGCCATTGTATGCGGATCCGATTATCGATAATGTCATAGCTTGTGAGTTCAGGGATATTCGGAATTCCGGGAAAAAAATGTTAAATTCATTTTTTTTTCAGTCAGAAGCTGTGTTATGAATGAGCGAGAAAAGATTTTCCCAATGGGAATCACTTCTGGAATCCTTTATCTAACTGATGCGTGAGTTACAACCAACATTTAATCGGAGCTGCAATATCCCATCTTACAGAGCCCTTGTATTCCGATCTCGCCAAACCGCTGATCATAAAGAGCAATTGATGATGCTCTTCCATGATATCTCAAATGTCAGAAAGGTTCAATCACTTCGATCAATGTCGCTTATCACAGGAACCCGTAAAAGTTTAGAAATCCACGTGGATGGCCGCAAAAAACCGGTATCATTTATTGGAATCGCGAAACGCGATGATTTTGTCACACGCGTTCAGCTGATGTGTCGAAATGCGGGAGCGACAGTGACTTTTTCGGAACCCTAAACGCAGACATGAACATAAATTATTTTTCACAGAGTCAGAAAAAATCTTGTAGTTTTGTTTTACGGGTAGTTCTTGTTTCGTTATTGATGTGTAGAAAATATCCCTGAATAAATAATATTTTTCACGTGAAATTGTTCTATTTTGAGATTTCAAAATTTTTGCCAATTTTCATTTTTGGAAAAATAATATCGAACAACCGGTTGCAACCTGTGAGTATTTATTGTGTGGGCCAATTTGACACAGCTAGAAATTTGAATTAGGATTGCTCGAAAAACTATACTGTATACTCTTTGAGAAAAAAACTCTGAAAACTACGCGTATTTTAAAACCTGGTGATTAAGTTTCCTGTATTTTTTCGTAACATCATACCACGCCTAGCTCAGTACAGATCTACCTTTTTAATAAAATCCCGATTGGGTGGTGTCTCGATGGAAGCAGCATTTTTAAAGGGGATTTTTTTGAAAAAAACTCGGGCCGATTTTTTTCACCCAGCAAAAAAAATCGCCCCGAGTTTTTTCAAAAAAAAATCGGCCTGAGTTTTTTTTGTTTGACAAAAATACCCGCCCAAATGAAAATTTCGATTTCAGCGGGTAGCTGACAAAAATTGAAATTTTTATTTTCGTGTATACAGTCAACAAAAAAAAGTAAACAGATTTGGAATAATCCAAAAATGTAAAAATGAAGTCGATGAGTTGGAACCTAAATGACACTTCCTCTCAGGCTTAGGCTTAGTAAGCCACCCAGAACCAACTTTGAAGCTAAAAAATTGAAAGAAAATTTTTAACACTGTTAAAAAACAAGAAAATTCAGAATTTCATCCAGAAATGAAATTATTGAGAAAAAGTCATGTCTCCAAACCATACCACGCCCAGGGGTTAACAAATGCACGGCGCCAATATTTTTTTCAAAATTTTGATGAAATCCACGACGCCAAAATTTTTTTTCTAAGTGAGGGGATTTTTTTTATTAGCTCTAGAACAAATTAATTTTTACAGATTCAAACGACTACGGCCCATTTCAACTTCAAGTTCCAATCTCAAGTGAATTTTAATCAAAAATTATTATTTATTTATTTCAATTACCACTAATAAAACTTATAAATTTGAAAAAATCGTTCAATTATTGTCTTTTTTTCTCAGAAAAATTTCAGAAAACGGAAACAAACTATATTTTCAAGACATTTACATTATCAAACTCAAAGCCATCATCTGTTTTCTACAGTGCCGAAAACATAAAATATATCTTGGCAATCGCACCTTCTTCAACAAAATGTGTGGTAGCTCAGTCGGTTAGGCGCGCTCTGGTTTTGTTCCGGAGGCCCCAGATCAACCCCCGTCTCCTGCGGAATTTTTTATTTTGCTCTTGAATTGTCTGAATTTCAGAGTTTGGTATATTTTCGACATTCTGACTGATTTTTTTTGATGAGATAAGGTTCTAAATGGCCTATACCAGGTGGAAACAAAAAACTGGACAGTTTTATGTGCACATTGAAGAATAAACCCCGACCGTGCATGTTTTTTCGCACATTTTTAAATAGGCCTACACAGACTGCACCAATCGCTTCGTTCTCGGTCGCAAAACGTGCACGAGCAAAAAATAATACGAATTCGTTTTTTAACTTCCAATTTTAGAGCCAAAATAAGGTTTTTATGGTCGAAAAACTGATTTTGAGAAATCTCGATTTGCACGGTCGAGGATAATTTGAGTTTGAGAAGGTTTCAGTCTGAAATTTTTGGTCAATTTGAAAGTTCTGCTCATTCTGATATGTATTCACTGTTGAAACAGAAGATTTGATGTCGTAGGACATGTTCTTTTCAGTTTTGAAAAATAAATAATTTAAAGTTGATTTGAACAGAAATTGTCTTCTTTATTCATCCATTTTCTGATGTTTCCACCTGGTTATGGCACTGGAGAATCTCCAAGAACAATATGTGATTGAATTGGACCTTTGATTCTGAAGTTATTCTCCAAAAACTGATATCCCATGCAACAACAACGTCGCTGTTGTACACACAAAAACATCGAACTTATCAAGGCAAACAAACAAGGCGGTTAGCAGGTGTGTGTGTGTGGTCTATTGGTTAATCTTTTGACTTTCAGTCTGACGACCAAAGTTCGAGTTCGACTTCCAGCGAAATTTTTTATTTATTTTTTAAAATTTTTGTCTTGAAGTTTTTGGGATAAAAACACACATGAAAGGAAAAATTGGGAGGTGTCGAAATCTGTAAAAAAATCATCCAGAAGTTTGTGCAAATTTATCGATCAGTTATTGATTTCAAATTGTGAGAACGTTGAGGTGAGATATACAATAAGCAAAATAGAGACAAAAGCAAAATCGTGCATTTCAAACGAAAAAATATCACAAATGAAAGCATGCAAACAACACATTAGAATACAAAAATCATTCCATAAATAAATTAATTCACTTTTCCCATGATCTTCCTGGGTAATATTAAAAACTGTCAGTAATTTTCATCTTCCAAATTGATCCTTTTGATGTTTTGGGTCTATATAAGCTTGTTTTCACCGCGCCAATCTGCTCAAGTAAATTTTTGAGAATTTTCCAAAAAAACACCTTGTTTTCACACCGCCAATAATTTTTCAAAAACCACCCCGCCAATTTTTATTTTTCATATGCACGGACCTGGGCGTGGTATGCTCCAAACCGAAATTTCTGGTCATGTCTATAATTATGCAAATAAAAAAAAAGATTCAATAATTTTTTATGAAAAATAGTTTGATGACTTGATCCATGGCAAAATTAGGAAGCCTTCCTGATTTTGCCACGAGCCATTTTTTGATCAAAAAACTTGAAATTTTTCATGAATTTGTTTTCCACAGAAAATTAAAAATAATCACAGAAAAAAATGGAACTGAAATAATAAGAAGACTGTTACGCCTGGGGGCTAACATCCCCTAGTAAAATATGAAAATTGGCGGGGTGGCTTTTTTTATCGAAAAGTTATTTGGTGTAAAATACCAATCGATCCTTATTTTGCACTAATTGAGATGAGCTCATCAACCAACTTTTTAAAATAATCTTAACAATCTTCAGTTTCTTGTGATGACAATACTCAAAAGATCGTAAAGAAAAAGTTAGAAGTGTGTCCGATTATGAGGCAGAGATCTCCCCGAACATAGTTCGAGAACAATTAACACTAACAACTACAGATTCCATAGATTATTTCGAAACATTGGTTGATGATCAAGTGCAAAACTAGGGGTCGTTTCCAAAAAAATTGCACAAGATGGCTGTAACCAGGGCCGACAAAGCTTGTTAAGTAACTTCGTTACGTAGGTTTGTAATGTTTATTCATCATAAAATATAAACATAGATGTATAAAGCAAACTAGAAAAAAGTTAAGTCCTGATTTCGTTGATTTTTGAAGATGATCGAGAGAAATCTATGCTCTGTATCCAGAATCTTGAGCAACTGGGGCTGGGGCAGCAACGGCTGGTGAGCAGGCAACTGGAGTTGGAGCAGCGACTGGTGATGGTGCAGCAACTGCAACTGGGGCTTCTTCGACTGGAGCAGCAACTGGAGCTGGAGCAGCTGGAGCTGGAGTTACAGCTTCATCTCCGTAGGCGTTTCTCTTGTTTCTGTATCCTGAGGCTTGAGCAGCTGGGGCTGGGGCAGAAGCAACTGGAGCGCATTCGACTGGAGCGGCAACTGGGGCTGAGGTGGCAACAGCAACTGGGGCTTCTTCGACTGGAGCAGCAACTGGAGCTGGAGCAGCTGGGGCTGGAGTGACAGCCTCATCTCCGTAGGCGTTTCTCTTGTTTCTGTATCCTGAGGCTTGAGCAGCTGGGGCTGGGGCAGAAGCAACTGGAGCGCATTCGACTGGAGCGGCAACTGGGGCTGAGGTGGCAACAGCAACTGGGGCTTCTTCGACTGGAGCAGCAACTGGGGCTGGTGCGGCTGGGGCTGGAGTTACTTGCTCATCTCCGTAAGCGTTTCTCTTGCTTCTATATCCTGAGTCTTGAGCAACTGGGGCTGGGGCAGCAACGGCTGGTGAGCAGGCAACTGGAGCTGGAGCAGCGACTGGAACTGGCTCAGCTACAGCAACTGGGGCTTCTTCGACTGGAGCAGCAACTGGAGCTGGAGCAGCTGGGGCTGGGGTTACAGCCTCATCTCCGTAGGCGTTTCTCTTGTTTCTGTATCCTGAGGCTTGAGCAGCTGGGGCTGGAGCAGCAGCAACTGGAGCGCATTCAACTGGAGCGGCAACTGGGGCTGAAGTAGCAACAGCAACTGGGGCTTCTTCGACTGGAGCAGCAACTGGAGCTGGAGCAGCTGGAGCTGGGGTTACAGCCTCATCTCCGTAAGCGTTTCTCTTGCTTCTATATCCTGAGTCTTGAGCAACTGGGGCTGGGGCAGCAACGGCTGGTGAGCAGGCGACTGGAGCTGGAGCAGCGACTGGAACTGGCTCAGCTACAGCAACTGGGGCTTCTTCGACTGGAGCAGCAACTGGAGCTGGAGCAGCTGGGGCTGGAGTTACAGCTTCATCTCCATATGCGTTTCTCTTGACAACTTTAAAACAAAACTAATTATAAGTATATAATACAATTGAAAATTAATAAACAAAATAAATTTGTAAAAAAACATACCAGATCTTGATGAAGCCAAAGCGACGAAAGCGAGAAGAACGAAAACCTTCATATTGAAATAGAAGACTTGACAGTGACAAACCATCCAACAAACATTCTTTTATACTCTCTCTCGAAAACTTCAAGAAACTCCTTCCCAATAAGAAATAGAATAGGGAAAAGAGAGTGTATCGTTAGCTACGAGAGAAGTTTCTTCATTTTTCAAAAACCGTACTCGTACGATCTTTCGACTCCGCCCACTTTTTCCGACGAACGTTTTTTTTGTTGAGAATTTCGGATGATTTTGATAGTAAAACAGTTTGGTTGTATTCTTTTTCATGTCTAAAAGTCGTTAAAAATCTTACTTGTCTTTGACCTGACACATAATTGAAGTCATAAAAACACTGCTAGTTGAAGATGAAACCAAAGAACTTCTGAGATTAAAAAAACATTTTATCAAAATCTGGTTAACAAGAAATCTCTTCTTTTAATCGAAAACCACGATTTTCTCGATGTTTTCACCAATCATATTTCATAAGATCTTATCAATGCAGGTATTTTTCATCGTCTCAAACCCTTACTCTACTCATCAAAACAAAACAACAAGTGAAACGGCCTTGTATCTAGTAATTTTTGGGGTCATTAGGATAGCAGTGGTCAGACAAAAGTCAAGAACTCGCGAGAGAGGAAGTAGTTTTGAATTATCAATCCTGGCTAGATCAGAGAAAATGAAAACAAATCGATCAAAGTACATGTACAAACATGTTTCATTTTTCTCGTTGCAAAAGTTTTTTGATCTCATGAAGAAGGAAATATAATTTGCAACTGAGGTTGTCTTGCACTCAAAAGATTGTAATCAGGTCTAATAATAAGTCGTTCGGTTCATTTTGAAAAAATAGACAAATAAGAGAACTTCCAAAAAATTTCAGCTTGTTTTCAAAACATATTCAATTTTCCACTTTTCACGTGACTCGAAATTTTTAATGAAAAACCGAATCCCAACCTTCAAAAAAAAATACGCCTCGAAAAAATCCGCAAATAACAAACAATACGGTACCTCCCTTGAGAAGTGAAACGGGAACCCCCAGGGGTTTTAGCGGGAACCTTGACATTAAGCCTATTATTATTATTTTATTCTTCCATTTGAGAACTACAAAAAACATTTAGGTCCCAACTCAGGGATATTCCTTCATGATCTATAACCCAGGGAACCCTGAGAATCTTATAAACTTCACTTTTCGGGCTGAGAATACTAGCCTCAATATCAAAATCCAATCATTGGAAAAACCCTCAAAAAAGAAAACCCGGAAATAAATTTTCAAAACGCCCATGTGTGCTGCTAACACGGCGACGCACAAATGCACACATGTATCTCTACCGTATAACGAACATAGTTTATTTTTCCGTTTTTGCATTTTCTGCAATTAATCAACTTCCCAAATCTTGACCATATTTCTTTTTACACATGTTCTCGAAAATAAATTGCCATTGTTTGTTCCAGAAACTGTCATCCAGAACAGTCAAATTGTGTCGGCAGCGGCGAAACCAACAAAAAACTTCTTCTCCCAACAAAAATTTGTTTTACTTATCATTCGTCACAAAACTGTTTAGATACTAGTATTTTCAGGGAGCGACGAAAAAAAAACAAAACAAAAATTGATTTGGTTTTATCTAAAGGTCATTCGATTTTGATTTGGTTCGGTCATACTCAAAAACTGTTTTTTGACGTTTCCATAGGGAATTTTTGATGAAAAAGTTTTCTGATTGGTGTTTGACCCACTGATCGTGCGTGAATAGCAAAACTCTGAATATGATTTTACCCAGTTAGGTTTTGAATCTGAAAGTCGATTCTGTATGAGAACTTTTATTTTATTTTTTTGCTCTGAAAATGACGATATTCCTGAACAAGGCTAATCGGTCAACAACTATTTTTGAAAAAAACCGATTTTTGGTGTGATCAGATTTCAAATTTATTCAAGACTAATGATCTGAAACCTATAACATCGGGGGTTCTTTTTTACCTAAAAAAAATCAACCTTGAATTTCAATTTTGGGACAATGTCCTCCAAACAAAAATGAGTTTCGCCATGAAAGGTCATCATCAAAAATGACAACAAAAAATAAGAATCGCATGAAACTGGTTTTCGAGAAAAATTAGCAAAAAGTAAATATTTCTTTGATCGAAAGTTTTTTCTAGGTAGACCGGTCAAAGTTTGACATTTTAAGTTTTATGCTTGAAAAATCCGGCCTTGACTTGGGGTAAAATTTGAGTACAAGGTGTAAAAAGTTCTTGAAATTACAGATTTTTCGAGAAATACGGGAAAAATTTGCCACGTTTTTTTTTTCAAAAATTTTCACACCTCGGTCAATCAGTTATCGGTCAATTTTGAAAAACAGATAAATTTTGAAAAACAGACAATTTTGAAAAACAGATAAAGTACTTTAGAGGCCCAAAGACTGAAAATTTACATTTTTTACACTAAAAAAGGTTAGCGTACAATAAAAAAAAGATAGCTTACAATCCACATTGCCACGTCATAGTGATCACCTCTTCTAGTTTCTGCGAGGAACTGTGTTGCTTTTTGAGCTCACCACGTCATAATTCGTATTTCCGGAAGAAATGTTCTCTAATTTTGAAAATGAAATTCTGTTTGCTACGTCATAATTGAAAAGCGTTTTTACTGTGGAATTTCATTAAATTTTTGAGTTATGAAATCCAAATTGTCACGTCAGCTAATCCAAAACGTCACCATAGTTTCTTCAAAAATTCCGAAGCAATCAATCTTCTCTTCCTTTTGCTATCATCGAGAAGAATTCCCCGAACTTTTCCGTTTTTTTTTCTTGTTTACAAAAAATTCGATGATCAGATCATGAACATTTTGTTTTCTTGTTTGTTTGGAAAAAAAAACTTTTACACAAAAATTTCACTTTCAATCAGACAGTTAGACACAATGTACTTAAAAATTGATATGAAATTTAGAAAATTCGCAAAATAATTAGTCATTTTTGGCTCTATGTGCTTTGAGCAATTTGGTCACTTGCTCCATTTTGCTCTCATCCAAAACTTTGAAAATGTCAAAGTTCTCTTTGCAAACTTCTTGAAGTTTCGATAACTCGCCAACCATTTCAAAGAGGATTATATTATCTGAAAAATATTGAATTTATAAATCAATGTTATGATGCTGCACAATTTCTAGAATTCAAGAAAATTGGAATTTTCTGAATGTATTTTTAAAATAATAATTTGCAACGTGAATTTTTAAACAAAACTTGTTTCGAAATAATTTTTACAATCTGATAAAATAATTTACCATAACTCCCATCCACTGGTAATATTGATTTATCAATATTTTTTGTCTCAATGTCATACGAGTCCAACAAATTCAAATCTTGAACATCTTTCAAAATCTCGGTAAAAGTGCAAATTCTCTCCGAAAAATCATCTCGACTTTCATCGGTCTCTCGAATTGAATAAATAAAAATTGGAAGCTCTTTTTTGGTAACAGATGGTGGTTTGAAAACTGGCAAAGATGATTTTGCAGTCTCAACACTGATGTTTTCTTTGGTCATGACTTCCAGATATTTTTCGTCCTGAAATTATTTTTAGTTTCATTAAAAATGTTGGCCAACTCACAATGCTTACAAATCCACCATGCATCAAAAAATTCTTGCGATTTCCTTCTGGCGTGAAATCGTGAGCGGTTTTGACGCGATTTGTGAAGAGACTTAGACCCGATTCACACATTTGATCTGGAAAATTTTGAGCTGAAATTTTTTAGAAGTACAGAACTCTGGGCTTGAGGAAGCTTCGAAACCTAGATTTTTTGAGCTGTGGAGAACTTGGAATTTGGCGAAGTTTTAATAAAACACTTCCAACAAAAAAATTATAAACTTCCATTCGAAAACATGATTTAGAACTGAATTCTGCATTAAATTTGAATTTCGATATAATTGTTCCTAACTTTTCATCAAAAACCGCTATTACTTTTGAAATCCTCATAAAACAGCGCCAATGGGTGAAAATGAATATCATCTGAATTTTCAATAATCGGTTGAGTTGGACAAAGAATTGCAATTTTAACATTGTGACAATCTCGAAGCCGAAGTTGTTGGCAAGCAGTCAAAATGATGCAATTTGTGCAGTCACGAATAAACACGCTGAAAATTGTAATTTTCAGCTGCTTTTCCAGAATCTTCCACTCTGGATTTTGAATTTTCTAGTACCCGATCAAACATTCATAAAAAGTTACCTTCCAGAACATGGCCCTAAAATGAGAAGACAATCTCGACAATCGTCGATTGTTAGTGAGGCGGTGGTTTTGAGCAGAAAGACTGAGGCCTCCTGAAAATTTCCATGATTTCAATTTTTTGGAAGTTTAAAAATCGTTACCGAGCAATTTTCAATTTGCATCGCATCTTTAGTGTTTCCTTCGCGTTTATGACTTTCTCCGTGGATGTTTGCGACTGTGTAATGAGAAAGATCCACGTTTTCTCGTTTGTCCCACGAGAAAACCGGTTCAGGCGGATCGACTCGAACTTCTGGAGGTGCTGGCGCCGAATCTTCCTCTTTCACTTTGTAGCGATCTTCTCGTTTGGATTTACGACATTTTGGAAAACAGCAGCTCATTTTCGACAGCTATATAATAAATGAAAAAAGGAAACACATATCGAGCTTCGCATTACGTCGGCATGGCAACGAGGTATGCGCGATGAGAAAGTTGACTAACATAAACCTTGATTTTTAAATCAACAATTTATTATCATTTAAAAGAAAATGGATAACAAACAAAAAATTTGATGATAGAGGGGATGGGATGTGGAAGGGAATAACCCAGCATTCATATAATAGAGATGCAGAAGCAGTCGGTTATTAGGATTTGAGGTAAATAATACATTATATGGATGGAATGATTTAATTTTGGGTTGGGCATTCGCGAGAGATGTGTCCGGTCTCTTGACAGTTGTAGCATCTCTTCTCGTCAACCGATCCGCTTTCTGTGCATTCACGCGAGATGTGTCCGTGGTTTCCGCAGTTGTAGCATTTTTGACCTCCGCCATTTCCACCGAAACGTCTTCCACCACCTCCGCCGTTGTTCTCGTTGCGAGCCGATGGGCATTCACGAGCAAAGTGACCGTAGCCGTTGCATTGGTAGCATTTGCTGCCTCCTTGTCTTCCACCGCCACCACCTCCGCTGCGTTTGCTTGGGCATTCACGAGAGATGTGTCCATGTTCCCCACAGTTGAAGCAAGCTAAAATTTAATATATGAATTGCGTCATCAATATTTCAAAAGTAAAGCTACTATTTACAAATTCAAAAGGCCCCTTTTCTCCGCTCAATTAACACATCTCCTCAACTCCAAATCTCCAGAACACCACCATGAACAGATAAATCTCAACATGTTATTCGTGTTAGAATTGTAGAGGAAAATGTATTTACCTAACTTTCAACAACACCCCTCAAATCAACACCACTCCACCTCCGCCTCCTCCTCGGTGTCCGCCGTCGTTTTCACCACGATTTGGGCAGTTACGCGAAATGTGTCCGGTTTGGTGGCACTTGTAGCACTCTTGGTCCGACATGCTGAAAATTAAATTAATTGTAAAAGGACACGTGGGGCAAAATCGATAAAGCAAATAGTCTTAAGAAGAAAAATTGAATAAACTTGTGATATGTAAGTTTTTATACACACTAATAACGGGAATAACAAGATATCCGAACTGGTTTGCAAAGCTAAACAGAAATAATAATCCTCAGCGCGCAACAACGGCTAAAAAGGAGGAAGAAAAGAAGAGAAAGAGAAAAATTGACCCAAAAATAAAGAGCTGGCAGCAAGCCAACATACATGTTAGATACGCAGGTTGTACGGTAGAGCGGCGATTCAAACACAACTAATTGTCATCTTTTTTATTTTCTTTTTTTTTTGAGCTCACTTTGTGTTTTTGTTTGTTTTCCAGTTTCTAATTGAGAAATCTTGCAGAAAAATGGATACTATGCGTGAAGAAAAACGAAATGCTATTCCAGCAATCGGATATTATCCACAAGAAGAAATCAGCACAGGAGTAAGTGAACTTTTCATAAAATATTCTAAAAATTGCGAATTTTTTAGACCACACTCATCGCCATGGAATATAATGGTGGAGTTGTTGTTGGAACCGATTCAAGAACCAGCGCTGGGTATTTTTTCAAGTTTTATAGCTTCAAAATCTAATGAAAATTCGTTTCAGATCATTCATCACTTCCCGTGCCACCAACAAAATCACACCAATCACTGATAACTTGGTTGTTTGTCGTTCTGGATCAGCTGCTGACACACAAGCTATCGCTGACATCGCCAAATATTATATTGAAACCTTTTCGATGATGGAAAACGAGAATGTCACTATCTACAGAGCCACTCAAATTTTCCGCCAATTTTTGTACAACTACAGAGACTCGCTTTCTGCATCAGTTTTGGTTGCTGGATATGATGATAAACTTGGGGGACAGGTAATTTATTTTTGTTGAATTGACATTTTTTCAAATTTTCAATTTTAGTTGTACGCTTTGCCAATTGGTGGATTTGTGACTCGCCAAAGATCGACAGCTTCAGGATCAGGATCCACATTTGTGCAAGGATTTTTGGACAGCAAATGGAGACCAGATTTGACTTTGGAGGAATGTAAAGCGATTGTGAAACAAGCGGTTGGTTTGGCTGTTTTCCGTGACGGTTCATCTGGAGGGGTTGTGCGAGTCGCTACAATCGATAAAACTGGAACCAAGCTCGAATTGTTCCGCCCAGATAAACCAGGTTTCCCATCTGTCGCACCACCAAAAGGTCATTTATCGTTCCCGGACCACATTGAACAATCTGTCTAAAAAGAGAGAGATCCGATTATTTTACTGCTTCATCATCATTATAATTTATTTATTTTCTTTTTCATCCTTCCTTCCGGTAACATTTCCTTTTTACTATTTTTTCATGAAAAATCCGTTAAACTTTCACTTTTTTTGAAAAAAAAACATAATTGCTAGCCAGGCTAGCCAATCATCAATCACGTCACGAGCCACTGATTTTTCATCAAAATTAAACAAATCCGGATTCCGAATTGTTTCGAAATACTGAGCCAACTTTATTAAACATTTATTATTAAGGTCATTTAGGCAGGTTTTTTAGGTTTCGGTGAAAGACAATTAGGGACTAGTTTTTAGGTGGGAAAATAAAAAATTAGAAACGGCAATCGACGAATTGAAGTATGCGACCAAGAATTGTCCATGTGTATTGACTTCCCCCAACATTTGTGCAAGTTGCGAGTAGAGAAGGAGCTGCCGAGATTGAAGCACGTTGCTGAAAATTAGAATAGGTTAGGACTATTTTTCAATACTGAATTATGACTTGGCCAATTTCTAAAAATCGAAAATTTTCAAAAATTAAGAGTATTTTAAAATTGTTGCTTTATAGCTCATTTTCAGAGTTGAGCTAACCGAAATAATTGCATTTCGAAATATTCTAGTTAGCCATTCAAAAATGACCATCACCTGGGACAACCGAAATTCTCCAATTTTTTTTCGTTAAAAAACTATACAATTTTGAAAAGATGATGAAAACAGATAGTTATAAATAGAGCAAACTTGCGCACCTGATCATATCCTTCAACTGTTGCAGTTTGACCGCCAGTTGTGCAAGTTATCGCAACTGTGGCTCCTTGAGCATGCGTATTACCAAAAGACACGTCACTGTAGTCAAATCTAAAAAACAAACTATATTCAGAATTTCTAAAGTTTTACGGAAAGTAAGTTAGGCTAAATCAGACCTGTATTGATCTGTCTGATCAACAGCTGAAACTGGATACAAAATCAAATCCGAGCATCTGGCTCCAACCTGAGCCGGATCGTTGCTTTGAACAAAGCCTGGCGGTGCGCAAGAATCGGAAAAACTTGCGAAAAATAGCAAAAGCAGCAAAATTTGTTGAGACATAGTGAAAAACTGCAACAAAAAATTGAATTATTTCAATTTCAATAAAATCAAAAAGCTATGAAAATTGAAAAAAAGACCGGTAGACTGAGGTTGGGTTATTTGATTTTATTTATAATTGGCCAGGCATTCTGGATTTTTGGTCGTTGTACAAAACTAGAATTATTTGGAAGAGGTGAAATTAGCCAGCGGGTGGGGGAAAAAGGAGGATAGGTTGCTAGGATGAGGGAGAAAAATGAACAAAAAAGGCAGGAAAAAAGGAACAATTTTTGAATATTATATAATAATAATAATAGTTTTGTGGGTAGGGTAGCGCGAATGAAAAGAGATAGTTTTTCTGAACCTGCAATATTTGATTTGAAATTCAATTTCAAAAGTGAAATCTTTTAACAGTTCGAAAGAAATCCGGAATTCCACAGAATCAGGAAAACTTATTTTTGATCAAAAATACAAAATTCCCTGATTTCTGAACCTTACAACATCATGAACTTTCAACAAAAATTGTTTATTTTCTATTCTTGAATTAATCCTCTGGAATTATTTGACATTATATCATACTTTGATATTGGTATAGATCTTTTATTTAGGCGAACTGAAATGCTTCAGATTTTCTAATTTTCATAAAAATCCTATAAGCAGATATTTATGTTAGTCATAAACACACCAGAAAACATAAAATATCACGTAAAATAACATCGCTCTGATTTTAGCAGATTTTTGCGATGTTTTTTTCGATTTTTCAAAAAGGCAGAAAACAACTTTTTATTCCTTTTCTCACAAAACTGAAATATTAGAAAGAATTCAAAAATAAATAAATAAATAAAAATTCACAGATGCAAAAAAGTCAACCCGTAGAACTATCTCAAGTTCGAAAAAATGTTGTTTACTGTTTCATCTCATTTTTCACAATAATATTTCCAATCGACATCATCTGATCCTCTTCTAAATGCATTTTCACAATATTTCCCAAAATTGGTACATTTTCAATTTTGAAAATATTCCCATTTTTAATTCTTGATGCCATTTGGACGCGAGTCGCAATGATGTGAGTGTTTGGAGATAATTGGCGTGAAAATGCAAACTATAATTAATTTTTGAAGTTTTCAAATTTCAATTAAAAACTCACATTTTTATCCGAACTATCCAATTTTTCGATTTCTCCACAGTGTTCCTCAATTCCTTCAGATTTTAAAATACAACCTTGTCTCAAATCAAGTTCTCTACATTGCCACGTGGCACTTTCCAGCTTCTCACAATTCTCCAAATTTACATTATAAAATTTGCCAGTTTCTAGTTCGGCCCAAAATTTTGGCATTTTGAAAAATTCATAATTTTTCAAATCACTCGAAAACTTTCCAGCATCTTCGATTCGATTCAATGAATAGATTTTTGGAGTCGAAATACAAATCTAAACCAAAAAAATGTCAAGTTTTGATTGTTTAAAAATGAATAAACTCACAGTTTGCGCTTTGAGATCCACAAAAATGTCTTGAACTTCTTGATTTTCTAGAAGTTTTCGGATTTCTGTCGATATTTCGGTAGGGAAATCGGTGATTCTTTTTTGATATGCCGAGTTTGGACCAACGTTATTGAAGCTGAAGAAAAACAATTTGTTAGAGTTTAGATTATGTCTGAGCCTAATTCTAGAAGTCTAATCCCAGGTCACGTCATAATGATTTTGGAACTTTTTGATCAAAAATGTTTGAACTTCTAAGCTAAGGCGACATTTTTTCAAAGGTTTCTTGTTGACGTGTTCCTGAGAAATGTTCCGAAAAATCACAATGATCATAGCTCTTTTTTCCAAACGTTCTTAGAGCTTCTCCTAATTCGAATTAGCTCAAATCGAAAAGAAATTGGCTGACGTGTCAGAATCGAAAGATTATCAATGATTTCATCAATTCTTTTTCTGTTGAAAAATATTCACATGACTTTTCGATTTACGCACTCTGGATTTTCTTTGTGCGACAGAACAGGGGATTAGATCGTATTGTTCATTTTTTGTGAAAAGAAGAATTTATTTTTGATTTGAGTTGAAAGGGAGGAAAATGAGCTGGATGAATAGAAAGGATGACAAATTTGTTCAGAAATAAAAAAATCATAATTTTTTATTAGAAAAACTCTAGGCAACACTGGAATATTCTCTGTATAGAACTTTTTATTTTCGATTTTGAAAGTTCAACAATTTTAAACTATTGTCATTCCGAAAAAATAAGAACTTGGAAGAGAACCGAAATGGCCTAGGAAACCAAGACTACAGTAGACTTCGCCAAATTTTGGGGTCTATTTGAAAAATAAAATGCGAAATTTATACGCTGGCTATTTGCCAACCAGTTTGATGTGCATGTGTCACGTCATTTTTAGTCTACTGTACGTGAGCGCCAATTCAAACGGGGGTTCTTTTATTTTCGGAATGACAATATGGTTTAGGGTTTAACAGCTGTTAAATATAGGCTTAGAATTTTAGGCCTTTCAGGCAAAAGTTTTTAGAATTAGAGTTCTAGGGTTAAAATTCTAGATTTGTCTCTAGGCTTAGGATGAACTATCTTGGCTTAGGTTCCAAAACTTTGTCTCCTAGGCTAAACCTACTTCGTTTAACTATCTGGACTCAGGCTTAATTTTTTCAAATTAAAAAAAAACCAACCTGATATACAAATCCTTTGACATTTTTGCGCAATAATTTCTCATCAGCTCAACTTTTCCAACCGGTTCAATATACAAATTTCTTCGACAAAATATTGAGAAAACCAAAAAGATCAGAAGAATCAAAATTGTTCGCGACATGTTTTTCTCTGAAAGTCAGGAGCACACTAGAAAATAAAAAAAAGTTTGGGAAATGCAGTGGGCGGGGCTTAGGTTGAGGGGGGTTGAGATGGATTACGGTAGACGAGTGCAAAGAGCATCGGAAGAAAATGGGCGGAGTTTGGATGAGAATATCCTGTTGAACTGTTGTTTTTTTTTGGAATATTTGAAATAGGGATAAGAGAAGATTATTTGTGATAAACAAGATAAAATTGATAATTTGAACAGACAATATGGTACATTTTGTGAGGGAGAGCTGTAGAACGAGGTGAAATTTTGGCCTGTTTCAGGATTCCACTTGGCCACATCACAACTATATGTTTATGAAGGTTTCTGAGAAATCAAAGATGGTTCAAAAAAAATTAAAAACGGTTCAAAAAAAATTAAAAACATTTCCAAGAGATTTCTAGTTATGACGTGGCAAACAGTTCAATTTTCAGGTTTCAAAAGTTATCAGAAATGTTTCATAACTTTTTCGAAAATTCCGCGTTTTCAGAGAAATGTTCTAAATCATTTTATCAAGCACTTTTCGCTGGAAAATTTATGATCAAGTTGAAAATGTGGTTTATGACGTCGGAAAAATTTGTTTGATTTACGATGGGAGTAAAAAGTAAAAATAAAAAGTGATACACCCATTTTTAATGATAAAATAGAAATTCAATTTTTCCACGTCAGAACTAACTAAACTATTCTGAACCTTTGAAAATTGCTGTTGCCATCAAAAACTAAATTTCTTTTTAGAATTTGAAATCAGAATAAAATATTAGGATAGTTTAGGATCAAGTTTGAAACATTTTAAACAAAACATTGATTTTCACAGATATTGTGCTTTGATTTTTTCTCACATGAACAGTTCAGAAGACAATTTTTTATGATTTCAAAACACAGTTTTTGTTGTCTCGATTTTTTTAGAATCTGAAAAATGTGATAGAAAATTCATGTAAAATTATAGGCGTTCAGGTTAGTGTTTTCCAGAAAAAAATCACCAGACCTTTAAAAAGTGAACTTTTCAAACAACTTCCAAAAAGTCTCCCACTCAAAATTTTTGACATATTCTCGATCAAACTACACACTTTTCCTGATTGACAATCTGTTCAGAAATGGCACATATGTCAACTAGAAAATGGCAAAAGACCTTTGAAACTTTGGCGGAAGGAATAAAATGTATGCTATGCATTTTTGATGAGCCTTGCTTTGGAAATCTGATTACCAAATCCAGAAAAATAATCTGGATTTTTTTCTGATTGTGAATGTTAATAGCATTTTCATACATCTCTTTCCATTTTTTATGATATATTTCAGATATTTTTTATGAAAAATTTCTAAGATTGAGCTAAAACTCCTAAACTTAAATCTGAACGTCTAACAACCCTGGGACCGTAATTGTTCAAACTCAGAAACCTAGGCCTAGAAGTCAAAAGCCATAGCCGTTAATGCCAAATTCATTATCCCATGTTCAAAAGTTGAACTCCGTAATCTTAAACCCCAACGCCTATGATCTTACAAGCCTAAAAGTCTTGTTAGCCTACAAGCCTGATCCTAAGCCTAGAAAAGTCCAATCACAGTTTCGAATTCCAAAAAGTTTCTAAAAATAATTAGATATTTTGTCGTCACATTACTTTGGTTTTGTATTTCAATACTTTTTTTTGTCGAAATCTATCCACTTTAACAAAGTTCAGCAAACAAAAAATTAGAAACTTTTTCGAACAAAAAAGTTTTTTGGGGTTTAAAAAATCCAATTACAAACATATCCCAAAATGTTTAGTGGTCAAAATTCGATTAAAAATGACGAATTTTTGCACATTTTTTCGCGCATAAATTAAATGGCTTCTTTTTTTTGTGAAATAAAAATAATCTTGGCCTTCTAAAAATAATAATTATCCAAAAAAAAATATGAGACGTGGGAGTCTAGAACAATGGGTGACATTTTTTGTTGGGATTTTCAAAAATAAATACATTTTTGACCTTTCTCTTCGGCAATAATTGTTTTCGGGTGGAACATTTTTCGAGCCAGGAAGTTCTGAAAAATGTGGGATTTTTCAAAGGGAGATAGTTTTTTGGGTATAGAGATTTTTTTTTCAAAATCAGGAAAAGTTTTTCATCATTCACCATGTCGTTCGACTTTTCTTAAAGGTGCGGATTTATTTAGTCAACCTGATTCTGAAAACCTGAAAATCTAATCTAGCGCGATTCCATTTGTTTCAGGAAGGACAACAAATTTTTTTTGATGAATCATCCAGTTTATACGATGTAATGTGAGAAGAACAATTAAAAATCAATCTGTCGAGTGAAAAATAAACAATTTTTCTTTTATTTTTCATTCTCTTTCTTCTATTTTTCATTTTTTTCTTTAAAAATGAAAAGTTTTTTCGTTGGTTTTATGGCGATTTTCGTGGCCGTTGAGTCGTTGACTTGTTATTCAGGTGAACTTTTTAAACATTTTTCATGTTGATTTTGAGCTCAAGTTTCAGAAGGGCTTTTAAAAATTTGAAAGTGAACTTTGATGGGGGATTTTAACAAGACATCTATTGAAATAATTTTAAAATTTAGCGAAAAAAAAGTTTTTTTTGGTTATGAGATTTTTGATAAAATTATTTGTTTTATCAAGGTCGAAACTATGATTTTACAAACACTAAAAAAGTTCTAATTTAAAAAATTCACTTCAAAAACGTTTATTGCCCTTTTCCCGCAGAAGCCCAAAAATTTCTCATTATTTGTAATTTTTATTAGTTTTCTTATCGATCAAGTTCAAAAATTAACCAAAAATCACGATGTTTTGAGAAAGTCCACTACACTCCAGACTTTTTTTAGGAAGCCGTGGTGAGCTTAAAGGCAAAATCACAGAATCTTTCGTTCAAGAAAAATGCGATGATTCAATGACTTATTGTATAGAATCTTACAACTCGAAAAAAGACGTAGTTACCGCAAGTTGCCAAAGACACTCCACTTCCAAACGAATTCTAAATGTTTGTCAGGTATGCTTTTTGATCCAAGATTTTTTTTTGGGAGAACTTGAAGTATCGAGAACACTATCTTTTTCGGAAAAAAAAATTAATTTCAAGACTATAATTTTGAGATCCATGTATTCTTTTATTAAAGATTTTTTCAGAAAGGAATTGAAGAACGCGACGAATTAACAATTCGATGTTGTAAAACTGATGTGTGCAATAATATTGGATTGTCGAAGAATTTTTAAAAATCGCGAGATGTTTTATGAAAGATAATTTATGTATTTGTGTTTTACAGGCGTAATACAAGGGTAATAAATTTTTCCACGATAATTTTCTAGATAACAGTTTTTTATGATTTTTTTATTGAGATGAAAAATCAGTAGTCACTTTAGGAATGTGCTTTGAAAAAAGGAACCAAGAAAAAACAACTCGCAAGTGGGAACATGTCATTTTTTGAAAACTTACCGGACTAAAGAATTTTTGAAATTTTTTCAATGTTTTTTGTACTCTTGGAGCTCAGAAACCAGCTCAAAAATAATCGGCTCGGTAAAGTGTCATAATCTGCACTCTATGAACTTTGTTTTTATAGTTTTCTCTAAAAAGAATTCATGGGTGGGGTTCGAACCTGTGACCATCTAGACTGAGTTGTGTACTCTAACCAGCTGCATCACACATATTTCTGAAGTTTACGGGCTCATTTTTTGGAGTAATTCCTCCAAAATAATGCACTCTGTGAACTTTGTTGTACAATAGTAAATATTTTATGCAATTTTCTATTTTATTATGCCCCATCTCTCAAAAAGTTGCTCGTGCGATAAGAAATCATGTAAAAATCAAAAGCAATAAAAAATCGGAAAAAATCTGATAAACCGAGGAAAGTTTCATTTTTGTCCATTTTTTTGCTCAAAAATGCTGCTCCCGTCGGCGCTTTTCATATTCCTCATAAGTTTTTCGGGTAACTTTTTTTGGAAGATTGTAAATTAATGAATAAAAATAAATTTTAGGCGCAACTTTTGCGGCATATGATTATGAAGTACGTGGAAACATCGACCTGATTTCAAAGTTTGATGTGGATGAAGAATATTTCGATGTGAAAGGTTTTGGAGCTAAACACGAATTAGCCGAACAACGATTTTTGGATATTTTTGGACAGGATTTTGATGGTTTTGAGATTTTTGATGTGAAAATTCACGGAGAAAAGACTGCGGTTTTCCACGCAATTCTATCATTGAAAAATGAAATTTCTCGCGAGACAATCATCGAAAAAATCCATGATACTTCAGACATCCAGATTTATTTCCTCAGAAGATCAGAACTCTCAACAAGAACAAAGTTCGGAAGATTTGCAGTTCCAAAACAAGATGACGTCACAGCTTGCGTCAACGGCGGAATCTTGTTGCCAAATGCAACTTGTGCTTGTCCACCATATCGATCGGGTCCAACATGTGCAATAATTTCCTGCAGAAACAGTGGAATTGCTGAAAATGGCAGATGCGCTTGCCCACCTGGAATCTACTCAGAACATTGTGAAGCTAGAACTTGTGTTGCAAATATCGCAAGTTCTGTAGATTTGTCGTGGCCAAGTGTAGTTCTCGTTGTGAACACTCGAGCTAGTATGGCTTACGATTTGAATACGATTATTGAGAATTTGCCGACACTTGTGGATGATTATAATAATAATGGAGTTTATCCAATGAATTATATTTTGACTGTTTATAGAACTAGTGGTGAGTTTGATCTTTAGAACTCCCTAAAAGTCTAACCATCCTGGTCCATATCCCAAGTCTAGAAGACTAGAACCGGAATTCTCAAAATTTCAAAACTTTATCAAAAATCCACGTGTTTGTTAATTATGCAATAGATACCTTATCTTATAGAACTTTTGATTATTTTTTGGAAAAAAAGAAAAAATTATGAATTTTCATGAGATAAAATTGCAAATGATGTCGTGAAAATAAATTTTAAAAATTTCATTCTCACGTGGAATTTCTTCGAATTTACAAAAACAACTCAGCACTTGACTCTGTAGACTGACTGTACAAATTGAAGAAGTGTGAATACAGCGAATAAACGATGTACCTACACTTTTTTTCCCGAAAATCGTAGGTTCATTTTATCTTCAGCGTAGCTACGAAAAAAATCAAATTCGTAGCTACGCAGATGATAAATCGTTATTACGCACACCTGAAATTCTGACGAGAGCTGCCAAGCGTCACACAATCAGAGATGAAAACGTAGGTACAGCGTATCTACGCTGTACCTACACAATTCTCGGACAGAAATGAAGTGAAGTGACCGCTCTATATTATTTTTGAATCCGTAGCTACGCCGTTGCTGTTCTGTAGCTACTTTGTAGATAAACGGATGTTACTTATGTGCAATTCTCTCTTCCCCGTTTTCGAACAAAGTATCAACGAAATTTGTACAGTCAGTCTACAGAGTCAAGTGCTGAGTAATACGATTATTCATTTCCAATTCTTAATTATTGACAAAAATGTGAGCCACCTTCCTTCGAAATCCCCCAAACTCAATTTAATCCTTCAGGCTCGGTCTACTTCATGGAAACCACCGTTTTCTCGCTCTCCGATGATCTCATCAGTTATCTTCAACATGTTGTTCTTGGCGCTTCCAGTGACGATCAACCACACATCGATGCTCTCTACGCTGCTCAATCTTCTAGCAACAATATTCGCCCACAATCCACTGTTTATTTCTTTGCTGATTCTGAGAATCGCGATGCTCCAGTTCCATCTACAATTTTGAGCCAGACCACCGAAAGTCTTTTGATTCAACAAACTCTCGCCTGGCGCAATCGCATAGTTTTGGTGATTTCTCAATGGCCAACTTCTCCAATCACTCCAGTTGGAAATTATTTCGATGTTCTTCGTCGCGTTGTCACCGCCACTCATGGAGATATCATTTCAGTTGATAAAACCGAATTGACTGAAATTATCAGCCATCTTTTCTATTATTATATCAACGGACAAAACACATTTGTTCAATATTACAATAATTTGAATAAGACCATCCCATTATTATCTGATATCAATTCAACAAATTCGTACATTTTGCTGACAGTTGAAAATGGTGTATCTGTTCCAAATGTTCAAGATGTTTCTGGAAATGTATTGACACCTGTGTCAAGTGGATCACGCTATGCACTTTATCGTACACAATTATCAGTCACTAGTCAAGTCACAGTTATTAGTGCCAATTCTACACATAACACTCGTGTTTGGTTCCAATCAACAGACACTGTTCTGATCTCATATTCCAATGATGATTCAATCGATAATGGATATGCTTATACTTTCAGCGCTTTCAATCAAAGACCAACGTTATATTCAACTTTTGCAGGAACTTCAAGTGTTCAAGTATCTCGTTTAGATTCTGTCACTTCTAAAGTCACTCTTGGAGCAGCAATTTCTACTACAAGATCTGATAGTTGTATCTTCCCATATCAATTTGATATTGTTCCAACTAGTCTTGATGGTCCATATGTGCATAATGTTGTTGTATCGACAGCCAGTGGAACTTATTATCGTGCAATTCCTGGATATTCTTTTGTCCCGCAAAATCAAACCGGACCAGCTTTCAATTGTCAAAACAATGGAACAAGATCTGGAACAACGACTTGTCAATGCACATCGAATTTTCGTGGGCAAAAATGCGAGATTCCAAATTGTCAAAATGGCGGAACTGTTGACAACTTCCCCAATGGAAATGGTAGAGGTTACTGTATCTGCCCATTCGGTGTAACTGGATCGTTCTGTGAAATTAGTGAGTAATAATTTTTTTAATAGGAAATTGTAATATTTCAATGCTCTTGGATATTAAAAAATTAATTAATTTCAGTAAACTGCTCTTCAATGTCTCCTGATCAATTCGAATCCTATGATAGAAGTTTTGCCTTGGTTGTTCAAAATTCTTTATCTGCATCCACTTCACTTACAGGACTTACAAATGGCCTCAAAATCATGTTGAATAACGGAAATTCAACTGATTTCAGTGAATTCATTTTGACAACATACAAAAATCGATTGGTTGGCAAAGATGTTTTACCAGAGGTTTATTCGTCGTCCACAACTTCTGCTGGAGTTTTCTTGAATCAGTCAACTTTCGACAATATTGGATATGCTTATTCGCCAGCTGGAGCGCAACCTGGACTTTTAGCACTTGAAACAACTTTGAAATCTATGAGTTATGATAAATCGTCAATTTTCTTCTTTACCGATTCGACATCAACAATTAATATCGGATCTGCCAACTTTTCTGATATTGTGTAAGTTTTCCGCTGGTTCTCTCGCCTTTTTCTGTTTGTCGCGCGTAAAAATAGATCAAAAACACGGAATTCAAGAAGAAAAACCATAAGAAAAAGTTTAAAAAAAAATGGAAAATGAATAAATTTTTGACTGGTATTGAAGCGCGAATAAGTTTTGCATTTCGATTTCTCTGTTTCTCTTCAAATTTGCAATTCAAAAAAGCGTGCGTTCTGAACTGTTTTTTTGAGCTAATGGTTTTACCTCTCAATATTTATCTGAATATTTCAGCCAAAATGCAGTTGAGCGTCAAATTGAAATCTCAATAATTGTCGTTGCTCCATACGGTTCTCAAAGCACATGCCTCTCATCTGGAAATTATCAAATCTACGAACTCCTCGCAATTCAAACCGGCGGAAACTTCATCAATTTGTGCCAACCTTACACAACATCTGGTGACCCGGTTTTCAATGTGAGATATCCTCACCTCAAGTTTTTTTCGTAAACTCTAATAATTTTCAGTTCGTTGCATCTTATGGTCTTAGCCACCATCACACCGAGGTTGTATATTACAATGTTATCCCAGATTGTACCAATTATTTGTCAATGCCTTTTTATGTGTCAAACGTTAACGCTGAAGTCAACATCGTTGTCTATTCTCGTTAGTTGAAATTTTTATCACTATTTTTATTGGAATATTTTCAGACTCTGCTCAAAGTTTTGCCGCGCAAGCTGTTGAATTCCTTCCACAAATTCAGCAAAACTTGACAGCCGATGCTCATTCGGTTCCATTTTTCGCAAGTTTCCCATTGAAAATCTCAGCTAATTCAACTTTATCGTGAGTTAATTTTTAAAAATGTTCTAGACAGAGTTTACCGGAAATGAATTATAATAAATCAAAATCTTTTCAGATACACCGTGAACATCCAAGCTTCCGCGCCAGGACAATGTTTCCTCAGAATCACCGAACGCAGTCAATTTTCAGTCTATCTTGGATTCTCACCAGATCCATCAGTTGATAGATATTCGAAATATTTGACATACGCCACTCATCAAACACCAGTTGTTCATTTGTCTTCAGTTCTTCAGACTGATCCACAAGTTGGTCTTGATGTCTATGACAACATCGGAAATATTTTATACACATCTGGAGGAGTCAAAAGAACATCTGGATGCAAATATGAATATGTTGAATCAAAACCGTTTGTGTGTGCGACTGCTGAATCTACTTTCACAATGGATGTTACAGTTGTAACAAGTCAGGTTACCATTCAACGAACTCAAAGAGCATACTGTGGAAACTTGCAAACCTGTCTGAATGGAGGAATCCAACTCGCCAACCAATGCGCGTGCCTTGATGGTTACATCGGTTTGAACTGTGAGATTCCACAATGTAAAAATGGTGGAACTGTCGTGGATTTCAAATGTTTCTGTCCAACCGGATATGATGGAGATCTTTGCCAATATATCCAATGCCACAATTGGAATTTTATTGAGACACATGATCCAAGAGAAAGTAGCTTCACACAAATCACTTTTGTTGTTGAAGTTAATACAAATACTATGGCAATTGCTAATAGTATTCTGAAATTAAATATGGCTAACTTCTTCAATGGAACTGACGATGTTAACAGGCCAAAGGTTTATACATTGATCACTTTCGATGATGTTGATGTGAATGTTGTTGTATCGAGTGCACACCGTGATGTTTTCCTTGCTGCTTTCAATAAAGCTATGACAATTGACACCAAGACACCAACAACTGTTAGATCATTGGCTGCGTTACGAAAAGCTTTTGACACTGCAGTTGATCTTCCAGGAACAATCAATCTTTTCACCTCAGTTGGTCCACAAATTGAAAATGTTCTTGACACTGTTAAACAACGTTTTGGAATTCAAGTCAATCTCATCTATATGGGAACTCAAGCTTCACAATATCTTCCAGGAAATATTAGTCCATATCTTGTTGCTCCAGCTCGCCAATCGAATGGTCGAATCATCACTTCGAATACTGCATTCACGAAAAATGTGTTGACTGCTCTTCAAAATGGTATCAATGAAAATCAATTGATTCTCGATGATGCGGCAAAAGATTGTTCGGGCACTTATGTCTTCACATTCCCTGTTGAATCGCTTGCTACCGGTCTTGTACTCGTTGGAACTGGATCAAGTATCAAATATGTTGTGAGAGATGAAAACAATAATGTTGTTGATTTCTCAAGCACCACAACTTTATCCGATGTTAATGCAGTTATTGCAAATATTAATACTCAAGGACATCAAGCAGGATATTGGAATATTTCTGTATCTGCCGCTGGATCATGCTATCTTCAAGCTAGAACAATCACTCCACTTCAACTTATCCCTGGATTTACCAGTGATCAACAAGAAGATTTTGTAAGCACTGTACCAAGAGTTGGAGCCGGAACATCATCTCAATCTTATGTAACTTTCCGTATTCAAGATAGTTATGACTCCTCAAAACCAAACTATGGGTCAAATGTGCTTTCGGTTGAAACAATCGCAACTGATCTCGAATCACCATGGCTTGCACCACAAACCGTTGGATATTATTCTGCACTTTCACGTGATCCTGTTGGATGTGCTAGCCAATATGTGACACCTCTTATTAGTTGGCCAGAAACTTATGAAAAGTTTTTGATCACCGGAGTCGATCAAAATCAAGCGCCATATCAACGAACATTCTTCTTCAACGCTGTTGCAAAATCAACAGATTGTTTGAATGGCGCAACTGTAGATCAATATGGTTTTTGCCAATGTGACTCAAATCATTCAGGAAGTTTGTGTCAACGCCGAGTTTGTCAAAACGGAGGAACAAGTGCTTATGGAACTTGTGATTGTCCAAATGGTTATTATGGTTTATACTGTGAGCAATGTAAGTTAACCTAAACTGTCTCAAAAATATAATAAGGTTTTTATTTTACAGATTTCCAATACACATCATCATGAAATATAGATTCAATCAATCGAGAGATTTAGACCCTCTTATAATCTGTAATTAACAAAAACACTCACAATTATATTAAATGCAATTACACGTAAATAAATGAAATTAATAATATATGTTTGTAAGGCTTAATCAGTTTTCATAGCACTTTTTTGATTATCAATGCAGATTTCCAGTTGATCTTCCTATAACAGGTTATTGTATTAGATTGATGTTGGTCTTTTGAACTCACCAAATAATGAATCGATTTGACATTGATACCAAGAATGATAGATATGACGATTGTGGAAATGAAAAAAACCAGCGCGAGGACCAAGAATAATATCGAATACATTTTATATTTTCTATAAGTCCCTCTATAAGTCTTGGACTCACAAAATTTAGGCTCACCTGATTAACACAGCCTCTTCGGACATATCAGGCCTCACTGGCAAAAAACCGTTGTAAGTTGTGCCACGATGAAATTCATTGACACGCTTCGCACCATTTTCTGCCGTATTTGCATTCGCATTATTATTTTCAGTCATTTTTCAAATCAAAGTTTGTTAGTATTCAAATGATTTATTCACAACCATTTATATATAAACAAAACACATTAGCATAATCCGATGGATTGTTGAAAAACACGTGAAATTATGGAGAGAAAAAAGGGCGACCCGTAAGTTCAAACAATTATGAAAGTTGATGTTTTAGGCTGAAATTTTGCTGTCACTTGTTGATGGTGAGATCCGCCACGAGAAGAGTTTTGCCATTGATGAAAGAGACTGGAAAATATCAAAAATTGGATTGAATTGTGTGAAAAACTATATAGTTTAGGTGTGCATGTACGCGAGAATGTTCTCGAACGCGGATAATTTTTGGAATATTAAAGTGTTTCTATCAAAAAATCATTTCTCACCTGAGCGTGTGCAACTTTTGTCGACACTGAAAATGCATTATGAATACTTGTGAAAGCGCAAAGGAACGCAGGAACAATAAATAATCCATGAATCAATCCCAATGTTACAACAAGGATCATTGTCTTCACGAATACTTCTCCCATATAAGTTGGCACAAATAAAAGACATAAGACAAATAATATAGTTGAAATGCCACATTGCAAAAGTGGGAATCCAATAGCTGCTAAAGATCGAGCAACTCGTTTGGCTGGAGTGGATTGTGGGTCATGAAGTCCTTCGCGGAAATAATGGAATGTGATATGGGCTGGGAAATCGACAGAGAAACCGATTGACATAATTGTGCAAGCCATAGAGATTGGATCGAGATCAATTCCCCATAATGAAAGGAATCCAAAGACACCAATGCAAATTGAAGTAATTGCCAAAGTTGCGACGAATACGGTGAAAATGTTATACATAAATAGGAAACAGACAATCATCATACAAATCAATGTGCAAACTGATGTTGAAATAGTTGCTGGTAGAATTGTTGATAATTGATCAACGAATGGAGCATAATCATCAAAGATTGTCACGTTCAAGGCTTCAAATTGATCTGCAGTTTCTCTCCAACGATTCAATAGTTCTTTTCTAACTTGAAAATCTCCCAGCTTCTCCCCGTGATATGAAACTGTCGCCCAGAATTTAGACAAATTTTCGTTTTTGTCGAATTTCACAAATCCATTCCAATATTGGAATTCTGGCCAAGCAAGGAATTCTCTCATAGCTGGTTTTGAGTATGGGTTTGCGAAAACTTCGACTTCTCCTTCTTCTTCTTCAATTTGCGATTCGGTGCGGAAATATTCATAATCTCTGGCAAAATAGTGACTGAACCGTTTTCCCAAACATTCTGGATATGATTCGAAAGACTCGATAAGTGAATCCATATAGGCAACGTTTTTAGGATCAGATAAGTTTCCAGGCTGAAAATTGTATACGTTTTAGAAAAAACCGAGATAAGCGAAACTCACGTTATTGACAAAAATGTTGACTGTTGTGTAATTTGGCAATACAAAAGTGTCTCGCAAATAATTAACTTCGAGTAAAGGCGAATCACCAATCACTAATTTATCAGGTGATAAAATAATATTAATACTCAAGGCTCCTTGAATCGAAACGTATAAATAGGTCAAAAAGCAGAAGAGAAGCATAACATGAGTATAAGAATTTGCAACCCAATCACAATATCCATCAAGGAATTGAGTGAATGCCTCATTTTTGAAAGATTGCGTCGAATTCTTTCGTTTTGTTGCGTTTTTACGCATCTCGAGATTTTCACAGATTGACAAGATTGCTGTGTACATAGTAATTTGGTATACGAAATCAAAGAGGATGGCGACAGCATTTCCCGCACAGAATAAACTGATTTCCGGTGTTGGAGTGTAGATACCAACTAGGAAAGCTAAAAGGTTTGTCATCGAAGTGATAGCAATTGATGGTCCAACTTCAATCAACATTCTTGCGATTCTAAATAAAAAAATGGTTTGTAACTTATTCCTCCAAGTTCTAATTCTAACTCACTTCTCTCTTTTGGTCATTCCACTATCTTCCATAGTCAATCTCATACAAGCATGAATCTGCAGATATGCGTCATCTACACCAATAGCCAAAATCAAAAATGGTGTAACACACAGAATTGTACCGAATCGGAAGCCAAACCAAAAAAGTATTCCCAAAGCAGAGGAAGTTGCGAGAAGTGGGCAGACACATCCAAGAATAGCTTCAGATACCTTGTGAACGGACCACTGAAAAAATGGTAAAGTGAGGTAGAAAAATTCACTCGCAGTTTAAAAATAGTTTCTACTCACCTGATCAAGTCTCGAACTGCTGAAATAAATAGTAATAATTGAGAAAACAGTCATAATTCCAAATCCAACTCCAATATATGGGAAAATTGTAAGTCCTGTTCTAACAATCTCATCTCCAGTATAAGTCAAAGACATAGCCAAAGGTTTCACGAATTTTGATTTGTATTCCCTGAAAATTCCAGATAAACAATAGACTCCCAGAAGTTAGCAAAACTCACTTATGAAAATAGTTGGAAATCATGCGTTCGTAATTTGCTGTATCTTCTTTACTCCAACCGGCTGGGATATTAGCTCGAATTTGGAGCATAACAATTTTGACATATTCTACATTTCCATCCTCATCAGTTCGAACACCGAAAAAATTTGGGCTCAAGTCAAGCTCTTTTCCAAGAACTTGCATCATTGGGAAAGTGAGTTTGAAACGGGAATCGGCGAATGAAATATTTTGGTGGGCCATAGCAAGACCATTCTGAAAATGTATTAATCTTGAAAGCGTATTTTAGCTTCGAATAGCTGATCCCTGTTTTTTTTTTTCAAAATATTCAAAATTGAAAAAATTGAATTCTTAGTCTTTAGTTCTGAATAACAAACCAATAACTCACATAATATTGTCTCACAGGCTCATTGATTTGACAAAAATCAGTGCACAAATTATAAAACCCTTTTCCTTTATAAGTCAAATTTGTCCCAACATAATCCAGGATTTCAACAAGTTCATTCATGGTTTCATATTCAGCCATAGATCGATTATCATTAGCTGTGACAAATAAGAAAACTGCGATCGGATCTCCAGTTGATGAAAAAAATTCCGAAAATACATCGATTTCATCCAAAGATCGAGCTCCGACTGGGGTATATCCTAGAATTCTATTTTTGATAAAAGTAAACTTTTTTGGTCCAGAGATTTTTACCAATAATATTTTTGTTATTCTGATTTTTTCAAAACAAAAATTTCACTTTTCACTCCTGCGGTTTAGTTTTCATTGTAGTTATTGTTTGCAAAAAAAAGAGGAGAGTGACCTTCTAAAAACCCACAATCATAAAAGTTTTGGCAACAATGTCTGTCATATCTTTTTTTTTGACAGCGGAAAAAATGAGAGAAAAATAAGTATTGCTTACCTGTCTTGATGTCGTCTTCTTGTTTGGTGAATAGGATTTTTGATGAACATAAAGCGGTGATCAGTAGGGTTATCTGCAAACTTTTTTTTGAGATGTGAAATATGATATGGGAAGAATTTTTTGGGGTCAAAATGTGTAGAGCGTATTTTTGGAGGCCACGGAAATATTTTAATTTTTGTTTTCAAATGGTTGAGTTTCGAAATCTCACGCTCGAAAAGTATATCTTGAACTTTATTTTCTCAAAATATAGCAAAAATTTATATCCCAAAAATAAATTGTTTCAGAAAAGATGTTTGAAATTTCCTCCAAGCTATATCAAAGTTTTGAGACAACATTTGCAAAAGTACATTTCCAAGTTTCCAAAACTTGAAAAATTTCTGAAATAAATCATGGAATTCCTTCACAGAGGTCAAAACTTTCACCTCCTCTCATTTCCCAAAAAATTATTTTAATTTTTCCTGGTAAAAGTTAAAGGTCAAGCAAATGACCTCAGAAGGTATGTTCTTGTTCTTTACTCTTAATTCAACTTTTCTCCAAATCATAACAAGTTTTTTTCCTTCTTCCATTTTCTAATCGCTTCCAATTCAAATAAGCGCAGACATAATAAATCAAGAAAGGCGCCCACGCAAAGAATAAAAGATAAATCCAGCCATGAATAAAAAAATGACGAAAAAAAACCTACAATCAACACAGTTTTATCATTATCCGCCACAAAATATCCAGTTTTTCGGAAGAAAATATTGAGCCAACGCACGAAAAATGGCGGATCGATGGAGGTTTTCGAGGAATTCTCGGATTGGGTCATGTTTGATGGTTATGTCTTTTTGATGGTTAATTAGAACAAATGTTGAGAATTTATAGGGTGGGCGGGAATACCTGGAAACAACTATTTTCACACAAATTTTTGATCTATGATAGGTTCCAGAGAAAATCTGGACAATGGGCGAGAAAAGATTTATTACAAAAAAAAAGAACAACAAAAACAGAGTAAGTCAAATTTATATGACTTGAAAAATGTGTCTAATTAAATATCCATCAAAATTTTATTTAATCGGAGATAAGGTTTTTTTTAGAAATACAAAAGCCACATCATAGGTTATTCTAATTCAACAAGTTTTGTAGTTAAAAATAACAACAACAACAAAATGGGAAAAGGTCACGATTCAGTTTTTTTTGAAAGGAAAGTTTTTGACGTCATCATTTGTGATCGGCAATTTTTGATGAACTACTTTCTAGAACCCACCCAGTAATTTCAGATGAAAATAGAACTACCTAACTCAGGACAGGAAGATGAAAAAACCTGGTTCAGAAGTTAGGTGAGACAATAGCAACCTAGGTTGGAACGTGGGCCTCATTTTTTACCTAACCTAGGCTGAGTGAAAAATGAGGAAACATCTGTCTACAGCCCGAAGGTCATTTGAATACAGGTAATTTGAGTGGGTGGATTTATGGGTTCGAAATTTGAAAAAAACATAAATGGGTGGGAGAAAATAGAAGTTCGGAATTTCGATTTTTCAGAAAGTCGAAGTCCGCATCGAAAAGTTTTTCTGAAGGTTCTGAAGGAATACAATTTTTTAAACCATGAAAATTTTTGCATGACTCGAGATCACTGTAGTAGGGTTACTAAATTTTTAATAGAAATAGGAAACCAGGAAGGAACTATTTGTGATTGAGGGAATATCTGACACTTAATGTCCTGCCAAGTGTTAAAACACAAAACAAATGAACAGGAAGTGTGTTCGTTTTGGAGGTTAAGCCAAGCTTATAATAACTTGATAAGCCTTCCCTCAACACAAAAATCCAGTCAGCATAAATGTTCTTCGCACTATAAAACTATACAATCAGATACAGATAGATATATAGATAAACCGTACAAACACATAAAACAATATCAAAAAATCGTATCCTATTATTTTTTCATCAAACATATCTAAATGATGACGTCAAATTGCTTGACGATATTTTTCATCGAAACCAACGACAAGAAAAAAAAATGGGAGAACAAAAAAACGAAGAAGAAAAATGGTTGGGTTAGGCGCGCGGGCGCGAGAATTGGAGGCGGAGACTTCGACTTGGAATACATACATATTTTTTCTCGATTTTTCTGATATTATATTATTGTTTTGTTTGTGACGTAATTCGTGGGATTGATAAAGAACTGTGTGTTTTTGGACATTTTTTTGAATCAGAAAATACACAGTTGAGAGAAAACTAAAATATGGTTCCAGAAAAGATCAGGTGTAAAACTAAACGTTTTTTTTGTAAAAAGTTCTAATCCATCAGATCAGTGACACTTCGTTGTAAATATAAACTTTGGGCTTCAGATGAAATATCGTGTAAAATATGATTGATTTTTTGGAATCCTAAACACATTCGGATTTGGTGTCACAATGAGGTTTTTGGTTGCAGAATCTTTATTTCAACTTTTTTTCAGGAAATTTCAATAAAATCGCCCATTGTACAATTTGTATAGAAATATTTTTTCCGGATTTTTGTGACAACGGCGGATATTTTTCCGAAAATATGCGTTACCAATATTTTTCTCAATGAAGCTCTAATCTCACCTGTTAGTTTTGTTCCTGCCCCTCCCCCAAACCTCAAAATAAACTAACTTGACTGGCCCGTTCCGTGAAAAGTTGTTCATCTCTTCGAATGTCCTGTCCAAACGAAACATTTTCTTGTTTGGAAGCCTGAAACTTCGACATTCTTTTTCTCAAAATTTTCGCCTATTCTTAAACTTACATCAGAAAATAATAATTGTGGATTTTATGGGATCGCTGCATTCTGTGACTGTTGTCTCTAAAAAAAAAAGAAAATTAAAAAATGTACCAAATCACCCATTAATAACTTTTTCTGTGCTGAAAAAACCCACTCAAAAACCAGAAAAAAAAAACAAAAAATAAAAATGTCGTGCAAAAAAAAAGAAAAAACAACGATACTCCGCGTGCTTTTTTAAAAACAACAAAATAAACAAGCTAAACAACGTGCACGCGGAGTATCGTTGTTTTTCTTTTATTTTTTTTTGCACGACATTTTTATTTTTTGTTTTTGTTTCTGGTTTTTGAGTGGGTTTTTTCAGAGCAAAAAAGGGGTGATTTGGTACATTTTTTAATTTTCTTATTTTTTTAGAGACAACAATCACAGAATGCAGCGGTCCGATAAAATCGACAATTGTCATTTTCTGATGTAAGTTTAAGAATAGGCGAAAATTTTGAGAAAAAGAATGTCGAAGTTTCAGGCTTTCAAACAAAAAGATGTTTCGTTTGGACAGGACATTCGAAGAGATCAACAACTTTTTACGGAACGGGCCAGTCAAGTTAGTTTATTTTGAGGTTTGGGGGGCTTCCAGATTTTATTGAAAAACAAACTATGAAATGTTTCATAGGTATGTATGTAGATTAACTTTCTCATAGTTTTATGCACGCGATTTCCAGTTTGTTTTGAAATTTTTTTTTAAAGAAATATTTTTTCTCACGTCAGCTTAGCTGCGAAAAATAGGGTTTTTCTTCAAAATTTAGAATTTTTGAGGATTTTCTGACTGTTTCGCCTAGGGGCACCGCTCCTAGTCCGAATATCCTCGAAAATTGAGCTACGAGATTACTTAAGAGAATCTAGAACATTTTTTGTTGCAAGAAGTTCTAATCAATCTTCAAGCTATACATTTCTAGATCAATGACACTGAACTTTCTTCGTTTCGTTGTAAATACAAAGTTCACATCAGTCAGGCTTAACATAAACACTCGTGTTGTGTAATTATAATTAGTCATTGGAATTTTATTACAACCCGCATTGCCCTTTGAAAGCTAATGGAGTTTTTTTTCGAAATTGGAAAAAAAACGACCCAGCCAGACATTTTATGTTCACTCATTTCATTTTTTTTGGTTTTCAAAAAACAGATCCACGAATATTTTTTGATCACTTGTTTTCTACGTCACAATTATAAATCTTCATTAGTAATTTTTTCGTGCTGTAATTTATAATAAATTTATGATTACAGTTTTCTAGTTTATTATTATTACCAAACCAAACTATTTTTATTTTTGTAAGGATCAGAAAACACCTTCAAGTTCCCACGCAAAAAAGAACAAGTTTTTATCCAAATTTATTCAGCAACACAGATCTCAAATGAGCCATGCAAAATGATTCATTTATTTGATCAAACTCTACTGAATCCTATGTCAACATCACAAAACCTTGATTTTTTTTGAGAACTTTTTTCGGACTTGGCTATTTTCTAGCTACAAAATGAACATTTCAAAATTTCGTAGACTACACAAATACAAACACCAAACTGACCAAAAATAGTGATTGTGGTCAGACTTTTTTGCGGTGTGAACCAGAACAATGCTATTACACATAGTTTTTGTATTTTTTTTCGAGAAAAGAGATAGCAAAAATATTTATTACATATTTACTTTCAAATGATGTTTATTTATTTATGAAAAATAAACGAATAAATTTAGAATTCAGAGAAGTACGAGTCCACCAATTTCCCGGGATTCTTCAGGTTTTGGGAAATTGTTGAAGAATTGGGAATCGAATGGGTCGCGGTCACGTCTCTCGCGGTTCTGTAAAAATATAAGGAGGAGGTGAAAATTAGTGAAAACTACGAATTTCGGAATTTACACTATGAAATATCATCGACTTTTGAGTTCATTACTGTGAATGACAATGATGTCAATATGGAGCGTCGTTGTAAAAATTAAAAATTCCAAAATTCTGAAATAACTCCTCCAAGTTTCATAAAACTACAAAACTTTTGTTATCAGTGTGATTTTCGATCTTGTAAAATGAACCTAGCAATTTCTGTTGTATTAATGAAATTAGGACATCAAAGAATACAGAACATCGTATCATTTTCTCTAAATTGTAATTTTATACAACCCAGCCCTGCAATTTTCGACCAAACCACGAAAACTTACGAATTTGTTAAACAAAAACTCATTTCGTCTTTTATGCTTCTCAATTCTTTTATGATAATCTTCATACTCTTTTTTTGTAACAATTCCATCTCCATTCAAATCAAAACCATGGAATCGTCTCGATTGATGTTCTAAATAAGATCTGTCGCTCAGCAAGAATTCAGTGAATGTTAATTGGTCATCAGAATTTGTGTCGATTCGTTTGAACTCTGAAAAATAGAAACTATTACGTTTTTTTGACCTCGAAGAGTAATAGACAGACGGAATTAATGACCCTTGAAGTGTTTGGAAAAAACATATGATTTTTGTTTTTTTTTCTTTCAATTTCACAAGGGAACTTTTTAAACTTTCACTGGAGATTTTTTTGAGAAATAGAAGTTTTCTAGTGAATTTTGATTCGTGGAACACGTATTAGTACAACTTACCTTTGGTATTTGGGTCGGTTTTGTCAATTGGAATTGGAGTTATATCAACTTTCGGAACTGGTGTGATTTGTGAAAACACACCAACAACCAGAAAAAATGATAATAAAACTTTTAGATGCAGCATTTTGTCAACTATTCTATTTGAAAAATAATAATTTCAGTTTATATACTTTTCAACTAGTTTTCATTTTCATTTCTACTTGTAATACACATGCGCTGTATAAGATTTTATTAGGTGTACATAATAATGTGTATAGTTTTTTATGATCCTCGATACGTTGAATATCCCCAAGGACTCAAAGTGAGAGGCACATGGTAATGTTGGGTGGGATTTTTGACCTCGAAGATAACCTGGAAACGGGAAAAATGATTTTCAATAAAAGTGTTGATAACTCACCTCGATATATGGATAAAAGGTATCAACTCCTTTTGAATCGTAATATGCTTTCGTTAAATATACAATTCGATATCTGCCAGCTACAAGATCAAAATTCGGGCAAACCCAATCAACCCTTCCATTGTCTTGTGTAAACTGATTTCCGATTTCTTTCCAAGCATCGTTTTCCAAAAAATATGCAATGATCTAGAAATTTTCTGTTTTACTGTTCAAAAAATTATTTTAAAAAATAACTCACCTGAACTCCCGCAGCTGGAGATCCTCCAGAAATATCTAGAACATGTGCGGAAATTGAGGCAGTTGGAACTTGAACTGTTTCAATCATCGAGATTGAAAAAATCGATAAAATCAAAAATATGAGCATTTTTTCTAGAGTGAGGGGTTATCAGTGTTTCCCAGAGTAAACAAGTGTTAGTTTCCTTGTTCGTAAGCATTTTTGCGAAATAAAATATGATAAGTGAAGACTTTGACCTCTAAACACGTGCGATTAATTAGTACACATACTCGAACTTATGAAAATTAAACTCAATTCACTTTCTCTAGAAACGCTGGAGTACAAAAACTTTGAAAAATGAAGATCAATTAATACATTTTATTGATAAATACATATTTTATGAGGTTAGAGCAATTTTTCTAATAACATCAAATTTGTGAATCATTTTTTGAACGGCATTTCGACCATTGGTTGAGTTTGTGCAAAATGAACAATCGGAACACCTCTTTGAACAAATCCACCAGCCGGAAATCCAGAAGCAGCTCCTTGATAAATCGACCCCATATTTTGAGGGAAGCCAGACATTGGACTCATCGTGTTTGTATTTGTGTTGGTGTCTGATGAGCATGTGCAATCGAGCGAATTGGCCAAAGCAATAAGGTTGGCTGTGAAAAATAAAACAACAATATTGAAATATTCATTCGTGGGTTGGCTCTCTGTCAATACAACACAAATTCCCCAATTCATTTTTATCGCATTTTTTCATTTTTTATATATTGTCAGTCAGTCAGTCAGTTAGTGGGTGGAAATCCGAAGCCCCTTGTTTTTTTTTTCAGTTGGGGTCAACAAAAACACGCAATCCAATTTCCCCAATTTTTTGCTGACTTCTACTTTTTTATTCATGTTTTTTTGTCAGAAAGTTGGATTTTTAATCCTACTCGATTTTTTTTTCGAAAAAAAATCATTTTTTTTCAAGAAACATTTTTGGAATTTTTGAATTCTTGAAAAAAAAATATTGAAGCTGTGAGAAATGATTCTGAAGCTTGAACAAATCAAAAATTTTGTATGAGCTACCTAAAATATAGGAAATATCCAAATTTCCAGCAGCCCAAATTCAACATTTGTAGTTTTAATCCTTTTTTCTTCTTCTTCCGAAAAACTCAATTCTCTCGAGAGATTATTTTTTTCAAGTTATTTACTTTTTCAAATTCTCTCACCAAAATTCTCAATTCCACTCTTGGCCAAAGCCTGTCTGTTGATAATCTCCTGCTGTCTGCGAACTTGATCCTGAAGTTGTAAAATTTGTTGTTGAGCAACTTGATTTGCATCCAATGTTGAGCCCAACGGATTTGTTAGAATCGGGTTGTTGAGGGATTTTTGTGTGCATTTGCAAGTGAAGCCGATGTTTGGGGCTGAAATATATAAGGGCTTTCTGTTTGGGTACGCACTTATTCTAGACTCTTACCACCCTGCATCAAAAATTGTTGACTCTGAAAGTTTTGAGGATACATTCCAGATTGTCTCATATAAATCGATGGGTCTAATTGTTCCAAAATTTCGGGTTTCTCGATTTTGGTCACGTTTTCATTTTCTTGTGATGAACCAAAGATCTGAAATGAAATCTCAAGAGGATTTTTTTGATTGGAAAAATAGGGGGAGGCGTGTTTTTATTTTTGAAGTTTTTGTGGTCTGTGGCTTGTGCTAACTCGAATTTTATGGGGTGTATTTGAAAAGGGAACTTTTTTAGTCGACTTCTAGTTGGATTTCAGATTTTTCCTTTTTTTTCCGGTCATACTACGTACAAAAAACTTATAGAAAGTTTATTTTTGAAAAGTTTCAGGCCTCAGGTGAAATTTAAAGTTTGAGTTAAGTTTTCAGAATTTTCCCGCGAACTAAAATATTCAAGCCTATAATTAATAAGCCTAATATGATATCATTTTATTTTTCAAGTTAGCTCAAATTTCAAACCTATAATCAACCAACCTTTGAAACCAGAACCAAAAAATGGAAAAAGACAAACTTCATTTTTTTCGAATAAAATAAACTGAACTAAAAAATAAGCCGAACACTTTTTATTTCCTAAAAATCTTCTTATATTTGCCCAACTACCAGTTGTCCAGTCAAATCCCGTTTTTTCTCTTCAAAAAAAAAATGAAAACCTGGCCAAAAATAGACTAGTTCCTTTTCGGATTAGTAGTACTTTTTTGTTCGGCGAAAAAATTTCTCTGTGAATTTCCGAGGGGATTTTCTTTCTCATAATTAATCGCGAAATTTCTTTTCATTTTTTTCTTGGAATTTTTCAAGAAAAAAAGTTTTTTTCCAGGTAACATGAAATTTTTGCTAATTTTCATCACACTTTTCCTAATCTGCCAAGGTTTTCAAGAATTCAAACGAGAGCCTGAAATTGTGCAAAATGGATATTTTCGGCAATTTGATCCAAGGTAGGCATAATTTTTCCGAAGCTCAAAACTGAATAACTTATTTCAGACCGGTCCCATTTCAAACTCGCTCGGCACGAATCCGATGTATGATGAATTTGCAAAGTTTCCAGCTCTGTCAAAATGTTCAAGAGAATTTTTAAGAACTGAATAAATTATTTATTTGTGAATTTTGGTATTCTTTGATTTACAGCCAAACCCAGAAAGTTAACAAATATCAATAAAATTTTCATTTTTCTCTGAAACTTTTTGGAGAAACGGTTTTTATGTGGGAGTGTGGGACATGTCTGTGAGAAAAATTTTTTCAAAAAATCAAAATTGTATTTTTTGTTGCAAAAAAAAACAGAAAATCTCACAAAACAATTTATGGATTTTTAGCTTTTTTGATGTCACAAAGTCGGGTACTATGTATGGTGTCCAAACACCTCAATTTTTGTTCGCTGGTTGGCTCGGAAGAAGTTGGCACAATATTCTCCATTGTGCTAAAAAAAAATTCAACAAAATTCTTGGATTGAATGTTCCTTTTCAAATTTTAAAAATACCTTCGATTTTCAATGGGAGTTGAGAGAACTCGAAAAACTAGAATTGAAATAAGCAAGAAGTAAAGAATTTTTATCATTTTTGGTTTCAAATGAATTTTGAGTTTTGATTTTCAGTTTTATAGTAGGTCAAGGGGGAATTATTAAACAATTTTTTATGTGACGAAATTTCTATCGAATTTCAGTGGGTTGTTACGAACTAGCAAATACATTTTGCTGAAAAAAAAAAATGTTTTTCGGTCTACAGTCTTTTTGCAAAAATTTTTTATATGCGACGTGATTTGGGAAAAATTTGAAAAATCCTCTTTTTTTCAAAAAAAAAATCTATTTTACCACTAGAAAATTGGTAGGTAATGAATTTATCATTCATGTGAGAATTTAATAGATGTGAGATGAGGTTTTCTAAGATTGGGATTCTTAAATAATTATGCTATGACGCGGATTTCTTTTGAATTAGGATTAGCACGAAAAGAATTTCATTAAAATTATGCATTTTTGATTTGGAACAATCAACTGGAATTTTAAACTTTTAGATAGTGTAAATTTATAAAGTCAGAATTGTTTTGAAAAAATTTATTGTTACAAAAATTGGACAGCAGCCTTAATATTTTATCATTAATCTCAAAAAATTTATGAATATTCAGATTGTTTGATGTTGCAAAGTCGGGGGCGTTTCACCGAGTTCAAACACATCAATTTTTGCTTCCACGTTGGTTCAGAAGAAGTTGGTACAACTCTTCTCATCGTGCTGAAATTATTTTGAATTTAATTGATTAATATCAGTATTGAAATTTGGAGAAAAATTACCTTTGATTTGTAATTGGAGTTGAGAGAACTTGAAAAACTAGAATTGAAACAAGCAAGAAGTAAAGAATTTTTATCATTTTTGGTTTCAAATGAATTTTGAGTTTTGATTTTCAGTTTTATAGGTCAGAGGAAAATTTTAAACAATTTTTTGTGTGACGAAATTTCTATCAAATTTCAGTGGGTTGTTACGAACTACAAAAACATTTTGCTGAAAAAAAATGTTTTTCGGTCGTCTTTGTGCAATACTGATTTATTTGAAAGTTGATATGTGACGTGGAAATTCACATGTTAGTTTTTGAATTCAGAAAACTCTTCAGAAACTGTTTTTTTTTTCAAAAATTCGAATTCTTGTGTGAACTTTCAAGGATTTCAAAATAATTATCGTATGACGTGGCTTGCAAAAAAAGTTTTTAAAAAATCATGAATTTTTGATTTTCAAAAATAAACGAAAATTTGGCATTTTTTGATAGACTCCCAGTGAACTATGACGTGGAATTCGGGATTCAGAAAAAAACGTGCGAATTTGAAAATTAATTTTTCTGGAACAAATATTAATTTGAAATTCTTTTCAAATTTTTCAGGGGCTATCTAAAAGTCAGTTTTAAAAACAATTCTTTATTCGAAAAACTCCAATTTTGAATTTTAATTGTCCTTCAAATGTTTGAAAAAATATCGACAGCTTCGTTTTTGGAGGGCACAAATTAGGCGAGCCAGGTGAAAATCAAATTTCCAGCTTTTGGTTTCTCTGAAAAATGTTTGAATAATTAAACTCCACCTGATTTTAGGTAATTGATTAAATGTTCAACTGGAACTTACTTCTCAATTTTGATTCCCGAATTCTCATTTTCAGAAAAAATAACAGAAGTAAGCAAAAGCAAAATTAGTACGATTTTTACAAAAATCATTTTTTGAACAATTCTCGATAAACCATACTTTTTATAGAGTTTGATTTTTCGTTGTTGCAAAATTTAAACAATTTTTCTGGTGACGAAATATGCTATCAATTTTCCTCATTTTTTATTCAAAAAATTGTTCGAAGAATCAACAGAAAAAAACAAGTCGACGTTGATTTTCTCACAAAATTTCATATAAAAATCCCTTCAGACGCCTAGTTTTCAAACAAAAATGAATTTCAATTGTTTGTCAATTCTTCTTATCGCTGCATTTTCCATCCAAATGGTGAACTGCATGTAAGTTTTTTTAAATTATTTTTGAAAAAATCCATAACTACGAACGTTACAGTCTTACAAATCCAACCTATCAAATTCCAGGATGTATTCAAGACAATAAAAATATATGTAATAAATGAATAAATGTTCATACTTTCATATGATGTGACATTTCTAAAGAAGCTTCTATTTATGCAGATTCTTCCAGTTTGAAGAACTTTGAATAAAATAAAATTCGGAAAGCAACTCAAACCTTGACACGTGGCGTGATTCCTTATTTTCATATGTCAAAAATTGCGTGAAATGTTCCTAATTTAATTAAATATTTTTGCATGAACCTTTTGCATTTGTTTTTATTCTCAAAAAAACTCAGATTTTCGGAGACAAATAGTATTCTTCAAAACTTTTTTTTAAAAAGTCGGTTCAGTCAAAAAGATCTGAAAAAATTTTCCAAATAAGTATAACTCAAAAATGTCATAAAAAGTTATTTATCGGCACTAATCAATACTTTCAGTTTATCTCTATTCTGCAGAATCCTTCTTCATTTTCAAGAAAAATTTGATTTGATTTTGTTTATCTCCCGAAATCTCACGAAGTTCCTTATTCGTCGGCATACATTCAATTTCAACCAATTTACTTTCAGTGATATTCGAAATTTTAACCATAACAAATGGTTGTTCGTATCCCGGTTGATTATAATATGGAAAATAGCAGGCTGGAATTCCATTTTCTGGATAATAAGCAAATTCCAAATCATCATCTGAAGTGCACTCGAATTGGATTCCTTCACCGCAACACAAATCATTTTCGGCACAGGTTGTGCGATTCAAAAATTTCGGCTCCCATCCAATTAATTTGTTCAATTTGAGCATTATACATGGTTGACCTTTGCTGAATCCAAAACCATGTTCGAGGCTTTTTCTAAAAATAAGAGAAGACAACATTTGAGAACAAGTTGCAAAAACTTACAAATCAAACTTGCAATCATTAAAACCAGTATATCTATCAAATTTACAAGCCTCCTCCTTTGTCAATCCTTTTTTGCTGCACAATTCCTTTCTTTGAGCTCCAGGCTTTTCATCCGAAATGTATTGCTGCAAAACTTTTTTCAACCGAATCAACGAATTCATATATGTACTAATATCATAAATATTGAATTCCATCAAATTTTTCGGTGTTTCAACGAAATGTTTTGGATTTGGATCAAAATTGGCTCTCGGAATATTGCCCAAAAATGAACCAGTTCCAAAATAATTGGGAAGTTTTTGATCCATTCGAGTATATTGAAGATAAACCATTCCACATGCAAAAGCTATGCAAAGTCCCCAAAGAAAAAATAAGTATAAAATCGAGAAGACCCAACCCCAGGGTCCAGTGTCGAATTCTGTTCCATCACTCATTTTTGGACCAGGGGCACGCGTTTTCTTTGGCGGCTTATAGGTCGAATTATTTGAAGGTTCTGTTTGACTTGATGGTGCAGTTCTAGATGATGGCGCAGTTTTGCTTGACATTGCGCCGGAATCTGGAACAAAAATAGTTTGGGAAATGTTTCCATTAGCTACAGTACCCTACAGTATACCCCATACTTACTAGTTTGACTCAACAACGGTTTTTTCTCCTCCTGATTATCTGATCTGTTCGATGCACCCGAAAACATTGCCGAAAAGATTTATCCGAATCCACACAAAATCCAAAATGACCAGATTTCCGACATTTTTTGGGTATTTTCGATTTTTTTTTGTGACACGTTTTATTTTTTCTAGGTTACGTTTTTTATTTATTTTATTTTTGATTGTGATTTTTTTGTTGAAGTTGAACATTTCTTTCTACCCGGAAAAGCTGTGTAAATATAAACATGAAAAATGGAATTATTGTTAGATTGAAAAAAATTGAATAAAAATTCCCTTTGTGATGCTACGCAGTATTCTATTATTTCTATTTTTAACCATAGCTGAAATTCTGGCTGAAAATACAACAGCGATTGCAATTCGACAAAAAAGACAATATTATGTTTGTGGAACATATCCAAATCAGTTCTACTCACTTTATCGTGAGTTTGAAACTGTTAGAGATTTGCCTCGTCATAACTCATATTCAAACTTGAGTTGCATAATTTTTCAGCATGCAGTGTTTGGACTCGCACAACAACTCGCTCCCCATATAATAATCAATATCAATGCACAAACGGTGGTCAGAAAATTGGAGTTGGTTGTTATTTCAACTATCAATGTACACCATATTCCTCAGGAAGACAAACAGTTTGTCTGAATAATTGTTGCTGCACAGTTCCTACTCCAATTATCCCAATCATTCCTGTAACAACAACAACAACCACACAAAATCCGATAGCTACTCTTGCATATTGTTATAATGGGCAGCGATCGCAGGTTCGATGTACAACTTCAACAGATTGTGCATCTGGACAGACGTGTATTAATAATATTTGTTGCTCGACGACTGGAAATGAGTATACAGGTGAGAGAAGAAAGTGTGCTCTAATGAGAAATTCGTTTCTGAATAGGAGAATTCAAAACTTTTAGACAACTTTGTTAAATAATTTTCTAGGAGCTTGCGGTGGACTATCTGCAGTTTCATCGTGCTCAAACAACCAATGTGGTGGTTTCACGTGCACATCATCAAATTATTGTTGTGAATGTCCATACGGAAGGACTAGCGGGCGCTGCACAGATGTAAAAACTTTCATAACTTGCTATTGAAAATGAAATCCCTGTCCTATTCGAAAGTTTTATTGCAGGGTTGCCCATCTGGTTATTCCTGCAACACGAATGGTTACTGCTGTGCAACTTGCTCATCCGGCCGAGTTCCCTATGGTTCATGTTTCAACGGTCTCTGCGCATCTGGCTACACTTGCCAAGCTGGAAATATCTGCTGTTAGCCCAAATTAGCAACTAATTAATTATCCACCACTTTTTATAACTAGATCAATAAAAAATGAAAGTTTTTTGTCTTTTTTTGATAGCATCTACCAGTTAGTTAGGATATTCCTTTTCTTTTTTTATTTTTTTCCTATCTCTTTTTTGTGGTTAATCATGCCTCAAAAAATCCAATATCTGAATCATGAAGAAGAAGTCGAACTTTCTCATTACCACTTAGAGATGCCTAAACATACCTATTATTTTTTCACATTTTGGACTTTTTGGTTGATTTTCACAGTTTATCTTGCGCAGAATCCGTTTTATTCGGGAAACCAAGTTCCATGGGATAATTGCGATCAGACAAAACAATGGGAACCACCAACAAGAAGTTATATCAATAAAGAGCAATATTTGAGTGAGAAGGCAAAGTGAGTTGAGAACCTTAAGAACCCTAAACTATTAAGGATAAGTTTTCAGAGTCAGACAGTGGCGAGCTAGAAATCAATTTTTTCGGGACAATAATTTTACAAGAATTGATTATGGAACTACGGAATTGGTTTATTGCAAAAATACTGTGAGTTAAAAGCGTTTTGTATCTGTGATAGTTTTTTAAATTCAAATTTGTATCTTAACGTTGCCTAGCTTCGTAAAAATAGGTTTACTACCAAAGAAAATGTTACGTTGTCCAAGTTTTTAAAACTTGTACTTCGCTGGGTGGCAAGGATTTAAGTGGATAAAAACCACTCTGTACAAACAAGAGTTTGACATGCAACAGATTTATTGAGCGCAAATCATTTTATAAGAAGATGGGGACGGTTTAAGACCGTCAAGAGACGAAACAAACTACAAAAATCTACAAAAGCAAAGGAAAACCAAACTCTCGAAAAAAAAACCAAAAAAATCTCTTCGAAAACTTGAAAAAGAAAGTAAAAACCGAAGAGGCGCACCACAAACGCGTCAGTGCTTTGACGTTAGCGCGTTCTGTGTGCACTCGCGGCTATTTGAAAAAGGTTTTTATTCACACGACTGTGACTCAAAAACACGGAACTTTGGTTTTCAAAAATTTCAACATATTTCCAGGAAAAAGAACAAATATCTTGCGATTTCTCCACCAAAACTGCCATTATCAACCCAATCCAAACATCTTCCATAAAATCTATTCTCCGAACTGTGGAACTCGATCCATATGTTGCATCAGCCCTCAGATTTGTGATTCTAGAAACTTTGAGCTTTAGAATGGTACAGAAAACCTTGTGGAAAAAATTCAGAAGTAAAATTTCAGACTTTTTCAATCATTCGCACTTCCGATGTTTTGATAAATCGTCCAGTTCTTCCAAGAGTTATCCAATTTTTATTCTCGATTTCTACTTATGTTGTTTGCCTGCAAGGAATTTCGCTGTTTGCTGTAACAGTTCTACACAGCGCATTTGATAAGCCCAGTAAGATAAGATAGAGATTTCAGAGTGTGGAAACATGGGCTTGAAAACATTTTTTGACGCAAATATTGACTCAAAAATGTATGTAATGTTCAGCCCCGTGAATCCCTGCTATAAATTTTTTCCATAATTATTCAGTGATTTCGAAATAGTTTTTTTGACTCTCAAACCCCTCAAATTTTCAGTCAAAGTTGCTCATCCCTATTGCTATCTATTTTTGGGAATCTTCACCTTCCTTGAAATGCTCATCGATCTTCTTCACGATTCAGTCGACATTCGAACGCATCCTATGAAATCTCCAAAATTCTACTTAAAATCCCTATTTTTTGTGTTCTTCTGCCTGGCTTTTCCAAGAGTTGTGATGAATTGGATCGAATTTTTTGAACATAAAAATTGTCATGCTTATGTTTCACTTTTCGACGGAATTTTGGAATATTTATGTGCCTTTTCGATTATTATTTTTACGCTGTCAAATACGTTGATGAATGTTCAGGTGATTTTTTTTATGTTAAAGTAACTTCTAAAACCACGTTAAATTTAAAAAAAAAACTAACAAGGGAACCTTTTTTACTCAACACTTCAAATCTTGATGAAATTTGGTCCATGGACAGCTTTTGGGACCATAAGAACACCCTAAAAATTTCAGTCTCCCAATGGACCTCTGAGCCAAGTTCTGGGCTCTCAAAAGTACAAAAAAGGCCTAAAAATGGTCATAAAAGTCATCATAGCTCCATTTCAAAAATTTTTTTGGGACAAATGAAGTTTCAGATATTGATCAGCATAGTCGATTACCTAAAAGTACATCAATAAAAAACTTTATTTCGAAAAATTTTGAAGTTTTTTATTTTTGAGCTGAAAATTCATGAAAATTCATATGTGCCCCCCTGCTCATTCTTTTTTTCAAAATCAAAAATTTTTCTGAAAATTCGATTTATTGATGTTTTTTGGGTAAATCGACCACGCTGATCATCATCTGCTACTCAGTTTTTGATAAAAATTATCGAAAATTGAGTTATGACGTGTTTCATGAGCCAATTTTGGCAATTTTTGAACTTTTGAGAGCCCAGAACTTGGCTCAGAGGTCCATTGGGAGACTAAAATTTTTAGGGTGTTCTTATGGTCCCAAAAGCTGTCCATGGACCAAATTTCATCATGATTTGAAGTGTTGAGTAAAAAAGGTTTCCTTGTAAATAATTAATAAATTTAATTCTAAATTCTTCCAGATGTACATCACACCCTCAATTCAAGACATCGATTACAGTTCGCCATATCCGAAAGAAGTTTATTATCCAGCTTTCAAAGAGGAAAAATCTCCAATTTATGAAAGCTTAAATAATTTGAATAAATAATTTGAGAAGATCCTGTATTGACACGAAAAATAAAATTTTGTAAGAAAATCTTTTTACAGATCGAAATTTTCTGAGAATGCTAAAACTTTTTGATCTCCATGTTGAGATATATGAAATCTGGAAAATTTTTTGAAGTTTTTTCCAGTTCAGTTTTCCTGTAGGAATAAAATAGATGTTGTTTAGACGTTTCTGGGATAATTTCATATTTGATTTCTGGAATTTTTTTGAATAAGTTTTGTTAGAAATTTTTTTTTGTATCTTGAGTATTCCAGGTTTTTAGATCAAATCAAATACTTATAATAATTCAGTAAATTTTAGTAAATTATGCAACTTCTGAAAATATTTTAGATTTATCTTGAAAATTAATCTGTATTACACGTCGACCCAACTGCTGCAATTATTTCAAGAGTTTTTTTTGTAATGGGTAATCTCTTAAACAGTCACCTATAAAATTTTGATCTACCATAATGAATGTTTTCCCTACATGAAAGACCTTAATTATAACAGTCCAAAAATCACAAAAATCATCGGTTTGTGATTTTTTTGTCGTCATAGATGTTTTTTTGATCTCCGAAATTTCAACTCAAACCCGTTTATTTTTCAAAATGACGACACTTTTTTTCGTATTCATTTTCAACTACAAATCACGAATTATTTCAAGTTTTTCACGAAATAATTTTTACGAAAAGTTCAAAAAAATTATCTAAAAAACTCAATTTCTATCTATTTCACTATTGGAAATATATAAAAATCAGATTAGACGGTGTATATTATATAAGAAAAAATTTCATGGAATTCCAAAAAATCATAGTTGTTTTTTGACTGGGATTTTTCCTCTTGACCTAAAAATTGAAGCAAAAATTTGAATGTGTTTGTAAATCGTAAAACTTTTTAAATATTTTTTATAGGGAAATAAAAAATTTTGAAGGAACTTTTGAACTTTTCAAAAAGGTAAGCGAAAATCGGAAGCTAAAAACCATAGTATTTTTTAAAAGCGAAATTTTTCAAATCACAGCTACATTTAAGTTGTTCCCTAGTTTCAGGATAACAATAAGCCTGAGTTTCAATCGATTCACAAAAATTCCGCTAACTAAAAACATCAAGATTTTTTCTTTGATTGAAACTAGATTAGATAGTTTTATTTGTTTTTATTTGTAAGTTTCTGTAAATTTCGAGATAGTTTTGATTTTTCAATTAGTTTTTAAAGCTGAAGCTTTCCTATTTTTATCATTTTTTACTTTTCAAAAAATTACATGTGAATTTTTTCTCTACGATTTTCATTTGATCTTCTGAAAAAAATATCCGATTTTCTGCGAACACGATTTTCCTCCAAAAAAAAGTTCATAGTATCAAAATGGTTGATCTGATGTTTTTGAGAGGGAAAAACGTAGAAAAATAAAAAAAAATTGGAAAAACGTAAAAAACGTTTCAATCATTTCTCATTTGAAAAAAAATTTCATTTCGAAATATTTTAGACGACGTCAGGGGCAAAAATCAGGTGAGAATTCAGATTTTTTGACATCTTTTTTTCTTGATTTTGCGCGCTGAAGTATATAGACGCCCATAAACACCCTAAAAATTAATTAGATACGCATCTACAATAATTCACAGTATCTCCCGAAAAAATCTGAATTTTCATTTCAAAAGTTCAGATCAAACATCATATTTCTCCGAATTTGTTCTAATAAAAATTAATATTTATAATATTTATCTAGATTTTTTGATTCTCCGAAGAATCGTTTTTATTGAATTAGCTGTCTGTTCCTAATTCTTTCCCTTCATATTTTTTCGTCTCATTTATATTTTCCAAAAAATATTTTGTTTGAAACAAAAACTCATGAATTTTTCATGATTCGACTTGGAAACAAGTGATCAACTTTTGTGTTTTTTTTCAGTGAAAAAATTGTTATAGATATTATATTCATGCTGTGTAGAAAATACAGTAACTCGAAAAATGTAGAGAAAAATTTACGTGGCATTCGGGTTGCTGTAGTTTCTTCTTATTGTGGAAAGTGCTCCTTGCAGACATGTTTTTTATCAAAATATTATAAACTCCCACAATTTGACCGCAAAAAGTTTAGTAACACAAATAGTACATCATATTTTTGATAAGAATTTGGGTGTGGAAAAACTTATTCTTATCACCAAAAAGTTTCAATTTTTGCTCAACCTAAGTTTATTTTTTGTTTTTTTTTTCAGAATGAAAAAGCGTGAAGATCTTCAAGGTCTCCGTGGTCTCGCAATTTGTGCAGTTCTAGCTTTTCATTTTTTCCCGAAATATTTTCCCAATGGATTTATTGGAGTTGATATGTTTTTTGTGCTTTCCGGATTTTTGATGACTATGATTTTTTGGGTCGAAAAAAATCGATAAATCATCAATTTCACAATTTTATTATCGACGAATCAAAAGGATTTTGCCACTTTATGCGATAATTATTTTGATTGGAGCTGGTTTCGTGTTCTTGGCTTTTCCAAAAACTTTTATTTCTATGAATATGGATTCGGCTTGGAAAGCTATATTTTTATATCATAATATGGCTGAACATTCGGATAAAAATTTGTATTTCAAAATGGTGAGTTTTGAGATTGGAATAGTTAGAGGAACTTCATAATTTTTTGAAAAACCAAACCAGAACCCCGAAAATTTTTAGCTCAACCAAGCCGAAGACATTTTCACACACACTTGGTCGCTTTGCGTTGAAATGCAATTCTACATTCTTGTCCCATTTATTTTTATCGCCTTTCAATTTTGCAAAACCTCCATTCAATCTTCTATTGCTCATATTATACTAATTACACTATCTCTAATTCTTCACTTAATTTCAAATGAAGAAATGTCATTCAATAATGTTTTTTGTCGTGTTTGGCAATTTATTTTTGGATCGGTCGCATTTTATTTGTCAGATTGGCTAATAGTTCAGGATTCCAAGAAAACATCAAACAACTATGAAAAACTTATTGAAAGTTAGTTGATTTTTTTTGGAACATTTCAAATTTTAAAAAATTTCAGAAGGAGGTGCTGAAATTGAATCTGAAGATGATCTCGAAATTATTCAGCGGAAAATTGAGAAAAATTTGAATCGCTTGCCTTTTTATTGTTTTTTGATGACTAGTTTAGTTGCATTAACTTATATGGCTTTTGCACCATTCTTGATCAATTCAGTGGTTTTGAGAATTGTGAGTGAATTAAATTTTCATGTGAAAAATAACCAGTCCACCGACACTATTAAACTATAATTCAAGCTACTTATTTTCAAAAATCTATTGATTTTCAGTCTGTCACAATCCTAACTACAATCTTAATAATCTCTGGAAGTATCGCTGAAATCAATCCAATGTCAAATCGTCTTCTAGTCTACATTGGTGATATTTCCTACAGTCTTTATTTAGTCCATTGGCCAATTTATGTCTACCTAAAATTCTGTTATTCCGAAGATCCACAAATTTTTATTCTCGGAATTTCATTCTCCGTTCTCCTGGCGATTATTATCATGGAGAGTTTTGAAAAATTCTACCTTACTCTAAATTTCAAGCAAATTTTTGTGCTCTTATCAACAATTTATCTATCAATTATATTTTTGATTGTCTATCAAGATGCTATTGAAAACTATGTGGAAAATGTGAAATATGGTCATGAACAACTGAAAAACTCTTTCGAAAATATCACTCTTCAAGAAGCTATTGTTATGAATAAAAATTGGGCAAGAAATGAGTATAAATACTTAGTTCTACCAATGTGCTACCCAAATAATACTGAACATGGATATTGTGAATTTGAAAATACAAAATTGACCGGCAAAATGAGGACAATGATTGTTGGAAATAGTTATACACCTAATTTAGCCGATTTGGTTTATGATTCGTTTGGAAAACATTCCAAGTTTATGGCAAAATATAGTTATTCTTGTGAGTTAGAAAATTGGATTGAAGTTTTCAAAAAAGGATAAGCCTTAAAAAATTTTATTGAAAATCAATTTCCAATCTCCAAATTTCAGCATGTGAAGTCCTAACAATTTCCAACGATCGATGTAAAAGCATCAAAGATGTCTACCTGCAAGAAGTTTCCAAAGTCTCCCCTGATGTTTTATTCATCATTGTCCGACCAAATGTCCTGATTTCCCCTCTAAAAAATGGTTCGATAACATCAGATCCAGTTTATAAACAAGCATTAGAAGCAGTCAAAAAATATGAGAAAATAGTTCACAAGAAAATCTACATTCTCGATTCAATATCACCTCCATTAACTTTCCGACTTTCAAAATTCGCAGAATTATTGGAGCAAGGAAAACCTGTGCATCAATCACAATACGCAACTGATTTTTCGTATCAAAATGGAAATAAACGGCTGAAAGAGATTTTGAAAGATTGCAAAAAATGTGAATTAATTGATGTTTCGCATATTCTTTTCAATGGAAACGACACTAGAAGTTATGATGAGACAACTAAACTAGGATATTATTATGATGGAATGCATTTAACACAATTCACCAAGCAATTGATATATCCAGAATTTGTTAGAATATCGGAAAAATTCGAGTATTAAGTTAACTTATAGTTTCTGAACACGTATGTATTTGTGAGTTACGGGTTGATTTTATGTATAAAATTGTTCATAAATTGTCCACACAATTTGGATTTCCTTGTGCAATGAATAAAACATAGTAAATAAAAAAGAAAATGAAAATAATAGGTGATGAGAATCTTTGAATTCGATCAACTCGATGATAAAGTCTATTTAGGCGATAAGATTCGTTTTCGAAGTTTGATTTTTCCAACTCGTTCTGAGCTTTTTCCGCATTCTTTTTCTACAACAAAAAATTTGTAGTTTTGAATGGCCCGGCAACGGAGATTATAAGCACTTTTAAAAATGTTCAAATGTTGATGGATGAAATTAAAAATGCACTTACTTCACAAAAAAACCGAAAACGGCTGGTTTGGTCAAATAAAGGGACAGCGAAATTCGCTGACAATGAGCGAATTATTTTCTTGTTGTCTCTTGTTTTTTTTTTCTTTTTTCCATCATTTTTTTCGCCGATTTTTTGAATTGAAGGTTACGTAAGTTGAACTCAATATTCTATTACTAGATTTTTGGGCCTAGATTTTGATGAGTAAGCCTAACTTTTTTTCAATTTTTAAAGGTTTTTTTTTCATAATTTTCATATATTTTTCAAATTTTACAACATTTTCCATCGATTTTTTTCAATTTTTCCGAAATCCCTCCCCAAAAAACTCACCAATCGCTTCTACTTCTCAAATCACACAAAAATCATCAAAAATTCGAAAATCCCAATCAAAATCCTCCAAGTTTTCCACGTTATTGATATTGAAATCCGATTGTCCATCAATATTTCCAAGCTGAAAATCAGAAAATTTGACCATTGAGTTCTGTTTTTCAAAAAAATCAAGAGAAAGGATCACATAAAAAGTATAACAGTTGGGAGCCCTGAAATTCTCTCCAAATATCACATAAAAAGTATAACAGTTGGGAGCCCTGAAATTCTCTCCAAATATTGGCACAACAATATAGAAAGTTTATTGAATTTACAACGACACTCCCGCTTGCCCGCTGTTTAGCGCAACACGAGAATATTTTCATTTTTCGTTTTTTTTCGCTGGGTTTTCAGTTTTTCGGGGATAATCAGTGCATTTCAGTCGAAAATTGAATTTTTAGATGTTCTACATTGCTGGAATTATCGCTTTCAACGGAAAATCCGAGGATTAACGAAGAAAGATGGGTTTTCTCTAGAGAAACACTGTTTCGATTGAAATTTCGATGAAAAATGAGTTTGGGTAAGATATTGCTGTGAAACTCTGAAAAATAGCTGGAAAATTGTTGTGAGACCCAGAAAGCCCTCAGAAATCTATAGAAACAGACATGGAGTTAGTAGAACTCAATGGTACATGAAAAATTCAAATTTTCTGATTTTCAGATTGAAACAATTGGATTTCGATATCAATAACGTGGAAAATTTGGAGGATTTTGATTGGGATTTTCGAATTTTCGATGATTTTTGTGTGATTTGAGAAGTAGAAGCGATTGGTGAGTTTTTTGGGGAGTGATTTCGGAAAATTGAAAAAAATCGATGAAAAATGTTGTAAAATTTGAAAATGTATGATAATTATGAAAATAATCTTTAAAAATTGAGAAACGTTAGGCTAACTCATCAAAATCTAGGCCCAAAAATCTAGTTTCAGTGAAAATAAAAAACTGAAAACAAAAAGATAAATGTGGCCGTACTATTTTGGTGGTCGAATTCCTCACATCTATCTTTATTTTATTCATTTTTTTATTTTTTCTGAAATTTATGTTCAACTTCAATTTTTTGTGAAGTAAGTGCATTTTTAATTTCATCCATCAACATTTGAACATTTTTAAAAGTGCTCATAATCTCCGTTGCTGGGTCATTTGACTCAAAATTTTGATTTTACCATTGCTCGACTTTGCTTGATTAGTGCTAATACTATAAGCGATTCTAATAATGATAACACTGTAAACGATTTCATCGCGGCAAACCAAACATCGATTGATGTCATATATGAAGTTCTGATCTCTTTATCACCTTTCTCCATTTGGACGAGCGTTAGAAGCACCTTAAAATCGTTTGTTTTTATGAATTAACTTCAAGATTATACATATTTCAAAACTAAATGATTTCCACCGTCACCAGTCATTTTTTCACTAACCGTAATCGGCGTAACAATCCTAACTTCTTCATAATTATACGGAACATACGGTGCAACCCATGCAAACATCATCGCCAACGTTGAAGGCACATACTTCTCAATCAAAAAATCTCGCACTATCCCGTTCCAAATAAAATATAATTCGAAGACATGAGGTGTCCACAAGTTTACCCTCTGCTGTACAAGTATCATGCGACATTTTCTCAATGTGCAATTCCGGTAATCTGAATAGTGAGTTTCGTTTGATGGGATCAACGCTTTTCCAATGAAATTGTAAAAATTGTCGAGAATATGCGACTGAAAATAATTTTTTGTGAACTTGAAAAGTTTATTAGAAGAACTTACTGGAACTCAATTTCAGATCGCATTCTTGTTTATCGTGAGGATATAAACAAAATGACATAAAGCACGAGCAAACCGAAGAAACTCGAAGTGTATAGGTTACCAATCCTTGTGGTGTAATTCGCATTCTGATATTCGGAAAAGACACATAGTGAAAATATGAGAATTTCGAATTCACGATATAAGGATCAGGCTTCCAGATTTTTTCGATGATATGTTTCTCGCGAATTCTGATTGGTTGAGTATAATTATTCACCAATCGGATATCAAACCATGTAAATTCCATCTCAACGTCCAGTGAATATTCCATAAGTTCACTATCAAAACTAGCAAGATACAAAAAGTTTAATGAAACCACAACATTCACCGGAATATCTGACAAACAATTTAGTTGACTTCATTTTTTTAAAGTAAAGTTTTACCATTAAATGCTAGTGGTGCACTTGTGTTATCGTAATTCACTTTATCTAAAATTGGAAATATATAACTGCTCCCTAAATCCTGATGTGTTTTCTCGCTTTTTACTTCAAGCAGTGTTAGATTCACTAACTTTTTTCTCCAAGCTGCGCGGTCTTCTTGACTTAGATTTATCACAAATTCTTCCTTCTCTAAAAATTTCGGATCCATAATTGCCAAATCCACAGTCTTGATTTTCGATTTTCCTGGGTAGAATTTCATTGAATCGTTTTGAATATCAGGATAACTTTCATTTAAAATCACTTCGACTTCTTCAATTTCCCGCTTCTCCTCGGAATCTTCAGGAAGACCCTCCTTTGAATCTCCAAATGTTTCCAAAGCTTTTTCTGAAGTTGGTTTTGTTGAAGGTGTTGTTGGTGGGATTCTTGAACTTGTAGTTGGTCTGTATAGAACATACTCCATCTTTTTCTCATCATAAATCATCTGAAACTCATCATCCTCTACATTTTCGATAGATTTTGGGGTGTCAATAGTGGTGACTTCATGAAAATCAATTGGCGAGATTTCCTGAGGTGTCTCATCTTTTTTCGTGAACACAATCTCACTCCACGCTCGAACATACACACTTTCCAAGTTTTCCTAAAATTGAATATTAAAATTTTCTAGAATTTTCTGAAAATTGAGAATAACTCACGGCCTTTTTGATCTCTCCGGGTTTCCTGAATTCAAATCGATTGAAATTCAGACTCTGCCGCGCAAAAATTGAATGTATTACTAGAAAAAATAAAACTACTAAATTCATCTAGAAGAGATAAAATGATGGGAGCGAAAAATAGGAGAGAAACCTGTTTTTTTGTCTTGCCTAATCAAATCATTTGAAATTTTTTGGCAATTATGAAAAAACTGTGTTTTAAAATAGAAACCGTTTGTAGATAATGGGAATAAAAAAATAGAATTTGAAAAAATCTTTTTAGAAAAGTTTATCTTCACTGGCAATCATGAAAACATAGAAAAGAACCCGTAAAAATCGAAAAAAGTGCTAAAATTAGTATACAATTATGAATAGACTTAGAAGTGCAGAAAATAAGGTGAAGTAGATATTGGAATTTGAGCTCGAATCATCTTCGTCTGAAAATGTAAAAAAAATAAATATCTTTGAAGAAAAATCTCGAAGTTGATAACACTTACCATCATGAATCACATACATAACTTGTTCATTGTTATCTGAAAACGGCGAATCTTTGGTATAAGTTCGTGCGGCAAATTTAGGACTATGCTCATTGCCAACAACAAGTTTGATTTTCATATTTCTTTCTGTACAAAGTCCATCCTTTTTCCGATCAATTCCATCGCGAGAACCATCAGATGTTGTGATCAAATAATAATTGTTCCCTGGTTTATATTCAAATCCTCCCGGTGTTGGATTCACCGATCGAATTGTGTGTCGAATTCCGCCCGATTGATTGGTCTCGTTGTCGCAGATTCCAAAAACTCGCGAATTTTCACTAAGGTAACAATGATTGTATTCCTCTTCGCTGACCATATAAATCATTGAATATTCATATTGATTTGATGGATCCGAACATTCAATGTGGATGTGATCATTGATTTGGACATTTATCACGTGATCCGTATTTGAGATGTCGAAACTGAAAAAAAGTAGCTTGAGCTATACCGAGCAAAATTTCTTTTCAAAGAAAACTTGGCACGTCACAACTCACCCTTCCCTCAATTTTCAAACCCTTCCTAATTACACCTATACATAAAACATAAATCCCGAAAAATCCCAACCCATCCCAATAAAAAAAGTATCTTTTTGCGGCGAAGTTCATTGCAGACAACAGTTTACAACCGCGTTCCCTTTGCTCGCACCCGACTGTAGATGATCTCAAGGTTGAATTTGTGTGTATTTTTCTCTCAATCAAGACTAGTATGTATCTACATAATATAATTGACTAACTAACTAACTGTATACAGCCATTCATCATGTTCAAGGATTTGCGCGCGCGGCGAAAACACAAGGAACTGTTTGAACTTTCACTCAAGATTTTTGGATAAAATACATTTTTTCTAGTGAATTTTGCCCTCTGATTACTATCCTGATATTCGAAATTACTCAGCTCATTTCTGAATGAAACTTAGAAACTTACATAGGATTGGATGAGTTCCATAAAATATCGGCAACTTTTCGAGTGTCACCAATTTGAATTAGTAAAATTATAAATATCCACCACATCACATTACAGCATTTATTTCGGCTTATTCTTGATTTGATTTGAATTGAAATTTCCTAGAAAATGGAAGAATAGGCGTATCTATCAAGAATCATATCAATTACAAAGACGCGCGAAAAAAAAATCGAAATTGGAAATCATAAAAAACAAAGACTAATGGAGGTCATTAAACAGAAGGAAGAATTGGTTACAAATTGGCGGATAAAATATTGGTTTTAGACAAGGAAAAAGGGAGAAAACACCTGCTTGACTGGGAAAAAATGAAAGAAGCCGAGATGGGAAGAAGGGGATTTAGATATCATGGTGAGATGGGTTTTCGAGAGTAATTTTCTGTTTTGATGAGAAGCGCGAAAAATTCATGAATATAAATTTGGGCATAAAATTTTGAATTTTATTTTCGGTATTTTTCGAAATGTCGAAAAAAATTTCTGAAAGTCATTTTGAAAAAAAATTCCAAATTTCTCAAAATTCCTCAAATTTTACGATTATTATGGTTTTTACGAGGCAGGTCAAACTATTTCAAAAAATTCCATTTTTTTTTTCTAAAGGACAAAAAATCTCATAAAAAATTCAATCAACAGAAAAAAACGAGGAGAAAAAATACTAGAACAAATCCTCGAAAAATATGCAAATGACAAAATATTTCTCCGTTTTTCTTTTTTTTCATTAAAAGGACATATATGTCCACGGCAAGTCTCCTCAATCAAAAAAAAAGAGGAGAGGAATCTATACAATTAGTTACGCCATATTTTTTCAAGAGCCTTTATTCTGGGGACAAAAAAAGCAGATGTTTTATTGGCCAAAAATAATTCCGCAAGCAAGCGGCATCGAACCCACAAGTAAAATTTGGAAAAAAATTCGAACCACTGTACCATTTGGATTTTTCTAGTTACTCAAAAAACTTCGTAGAAAAAAAAGCTGTTCGAAAAAGTGAAAAAAAAGATTGAAATCAAATAATTAGAGTTAAAAGTGAATAAATAAATGTAAAATGTAGATCAAAAAGGGAAAAAAATAAAAGAAAAAGAAGCCCATTTGAGGTCAAGAGTTTCTTTTATTTGTTCACAAGTTTCAACTAGAAAAATCAAAGGGAACGAAAAGATGAGACAAAAATTAGTGCCACTTTTTTTATGAGCTCTCATAAAACTTGCGGCCAGTTGTAATTATTTTCTTTTTTTTGAGTACTCGGGTAGAAAGTTTTATTTTTTTCAAAAATTTGTTACATAATCGTAAAACTTTTTCGCTGCTCCAAAACTGAGCAAAAAAATGCGCCAGGCAAGCGAGAGAAAAATGTAATTGGATAATCGTTTGCTCACATTTTCTGTGGTGGTTTCTCCAAACAAATAAACAAAAAAACATGCAGTGAAAAAAATGAAAATTGAATTTGAATTATATCGCGCGCGCAAGTTTCAAGATGTCCACTTGAAGCAAAAACTTTTTTTGCCATAACTAGCCGGATTTTGGGTAACTTGATATGTTTATGGGGTGAAATTTGAGTCATGTTTGACTTGCTCATCCCAGATCATATTTTATATTCATGTATCCGAACAAATCCCGGAAATGTAGATCAAAAACTATAGTAGAAGTCTAGGTCTAGAAGCCGGGATCTCAAAATTTAGGTCTGGAACCCTAGGAAAGCGAGAGCCAATTAATAATAGGCAAAGTCAAAAGCTGGAAACCTAAGTCATGAAGATTTCTGATCATCAAAAAAATTACAAGTTTTGGAATAACATGAAACTTGAGTTAGCTGAACTCATGTTTGACTTGCTCATCTCATCCTAAGCTTGAATCATATTTTATTTCATGTTATGTATCCCGGAAATTTCCAACTACATAGTTCAAAAAGTATAAGCCGACAATTGAAAAGAGAAGGGCTCCGGAAAAACACATAACATCATCAAAATCTCTTCACACAAAACTGAGATTGCGTGACCGGCTGCCGCCCAAAAGAATGTTGCCTAATGAGCTCCGCGAGCCTCTAAGCTTTTCATATATAGAAATGTATCAAAATATACTACTTCTTTCAAATACACACAGCATTTTGAATATGTATATAAAATCTTTTGGTTTGGACGAAATAAAAGGAGGTGACAAAATAAAATAGGTATATACTAGAGACAATTAAAAATGGGTGGACATACATAATAGAAAAAATAGGCAGAGGCTTAATAATTATACGCATATTCATGTTTTCTGTGTGTATTTGTTGCAATTATTTTCGAGAGTGTTCCGATATTTTTTGGACATTCACTTGCAATAATATGTATGAAATGACTGGATTTTTGAAGTGGAAGCTTTGCCAGATAATAATTTAAGACCAAAGCTTCGTGTTTAAGAATTGAATCTCGAGATGTCTGGGCTTAGATTTTCAGGCTTCGAGGAATGGGCTTTCAAAAAATCAGATTAAAAAACATTTCTCTGATTGGCTAGATTTAAAATTTTAACTGATTTTTGAAGCTTCCAGTCTTCACAAACATTTGAAAAAATTCAAATTCCTTAATTTTCAGAAAAAAAATTTAGAAACGCCTCTAGAATTTCAATTTTCACAATTTTCTGAACATTCAAAATTCAAATATACTCTTTTTCAAAAAAAAAAAACTCCTAAATTTTCCCCAAGAACTTTACTCCCAAAATCAAAACTAACAAGCAAAATCAAATAACACACACTCTTCTTCACATAATAAATACATACTTACAACATTTTCTATGAGAGAGGAGGGGCCCGGGTCAAAAAAAATGACACATGGTCCAAACCAAAACAACAACAATAACAATTGATTCGATTAATTTTGTAATAGACAGATGTCTGTAGAGACATCCCCTAATTAGCCTAACTCCAAGTTCAACTTTTTTCGCCATCATAAAAATGCTTGTCCTACTTTTTCGGATCAGTTTGGAAATGAAATATTTAACAAAAGGAATTTCAGTCCTAGTTAGTCTAGATCCAATTTTTTTTTCTCACTAACAAACCGTTGTCCTACTTTTTCTTCTCCGGATAAATATAATGGATAATATAGTTAGTTAGTAAGTGATAGGTGATTAATGACTAGGTCAAAATATTTTGCATCGAGAAAAAAAGAAAATCGGAAAAATTATACTGAAGATATATGTTGCGTAATATACATACAAATATGAGGGAAAATGGGAAAAAGGGGTGTGGTTTTGCTGGGGTGTGGATCTGATCTTGTTATGATAGGGTCAGATTATGGGAATGATAATTAGATATATAATTAGGATGATTGATTGGAAGTGACTGGAGCTTTGGATACGGTAGTTTAGTCCTAGGCTTATAGGCATAGACTTTTAAAAAATTTCGAATATTGAAATTAAATTTATGGTGAAACAATAAAATGTGACTCCGTAACCATTCTACTTTTAGAATTTATCAAAAAAATTCATCATTTTTCGAAAATTTTAATTAGGAAATTGTGGAGGACTATTTTGACTCAAGTTAGGGTAAGTCTTTTATTTTGGGGGGATTCACAAAAATGTTGGTAATATTATTCAAAGAAAATTATTATTCAAAGAAAAAAGGAATCCATATATAAAAATTCATCAATATAAGTTTTGAGAAAAAATGAAAAGTATCATCTCACATCAAAAATCAAGCTGACCAGAGCAAAAAATCAAAACAAACAAATACAACGTCCGCAACCGAACCCCAACCCAAAACACGACAAAAAACAAGTGAGTGAACCTTTCCAAAAAAGATATCGTCTCTCTATCCAAACAAGAAAAGACACTGTGAGACTCAATCATGTTTACCTGTCACAGAGGCAAAAAAGGTCATCCTAAAACATTTTCCCGAAAAAAGATAGGCTAATTTGTTGTTATGCGATCGCGCAAGCGTGTAAAAGATATGTGGACTAAATTTAGGCAGATCCTAACACTTATTTTTCGACCTTGAAGTGTGTAAAAATTATAAAAATTAAAACGAGAGTTGTGACGAAAGCTTCTAGGCTTGGACTTCTTTCTACAAAGTTCAAAAATATTGCCCCTACGTCTAAAAAAATTCGTACGAAAAACTATTGTCATTCCGAAAATAAAAGAACCCCCGTTTGAATTGGCGCTCACGTACAGTAGACTAAAAATGACGTGACACATGCACATCAAACTGGTTGGCAAATAGCCAACGTGTAAATTTCGCATTTTATTTTTCAAATAGACTCCAAAATTTTGCGAAGTCTACTGTAGTCTTGGTTTCCTAGGCCACTTGGGTTCTCTTCCAAGTTCTTATTTTTTCGGAATGACAATAATTAAATTATTTTTGAAAATTTAAATTGGAAAAAACATTCCGTAAAATTCTCGACCTTGAAATAACAAAGAAAAATATATCAACAAAGCAGGTGCTGTTTTTTGTGGAAGAAATAAGATGAGCTTCAGGACTTGGGTTTCTAGGCTTCTGGGCTCCGAGGCTTACTCTTCTAGACTTCTATAATCGGACGAGGGATGTTACTAGACTCAGAATTTTAGGTTTAGGCTTCTTCTCCTACGCTTATAATCAAATCTCAAAAAATTTTTTCGACCTTGAAAAATAAAGGTGTAGGAAAATGTATCGAATAGCCAGGTGCTAGTTTTTTTTCTGTTGAAAAAAATAGTTCTATTGAGCTGTCAGAATGAATATATCCCGCTGCGTTGAACATTTTGACAGTTTCGTAAATACGGAACAACTTTTTTTGTGTCTGTTGGGATATTCAAACATTTTGGGAAAAAAGTGAGAGATGGAGAAAGTCAATTCATAAAATATGAGGAATTTATGAGTCATATCAAACTTTTTCTCTATTCTTTTATAGAGAATTTCGCATTTTATACAAAAAATAAGTCACAAGAAAACCTGCTAGAAACTTCAAAGCGAAAAATGAAATGTCCGAAAAAGTACGAAAATTTTGACAAATTGTTTTTGGAAACCACAAAAAAACATCATCGTTTTTGAAGCAAAAATGATTGAAGGATTTTCCAAAATGTAGGTAATTTGAGAAGAAATAACTGGTTCCTCATTGAGTGACGAGAATATTTGTTTGGAATGGAATGGGGGTGAAAGTTTGTTGGAGAAATCAACTGAATTGTGGCCAATTTTAGCTTTTTGACAGTTTCAAGAACAGTTTGGGGACATTAATTAATTGTAAAACTTTTGATAGAACAATGAGAAATTTCACACAAAAAAAAACGCTGAAAATTGTCTGAAAATTTTGAAAAATCCGTTCGGGACACTGAGGGACTAGTTTTTATCGAGAATGGCCGAGTTTTTTTGTGTAGTTCTCGTTTCGATTCTTTTTTTTTTTTTTTTTGAAAAACGTGGAATTTTGCGGAAAAAGTGACTTTTTAATGATTTTCAGGTCAGTCATTTCAAAAAACATTAGAAGTTTGCTCAAAATTATGAAAGCTTTCGAAATTTGGTTATTCCGCTGAAGGCATCGAAAAATGGGGATGGACTGGAATATTCAATTAGGTGAGTTTTTTGGGTGGGAAGTTTTCTGAAAATTTTGACAAACTGAAAAAAGTGTGAATTAGATTCCCGCCAAATATATTTCTAAGCCACACACCTCATATTAAAAAGAAAACCGCAAAACAAGAAAAAACAGACATATGGGCGTCATTTTGGTTTTTCCAAATCGAATCCAATTTCCGTCTCCACCTGCACTACTTCCGCCAAAATAACCAAATTAGATAGAAAAAGGAAGAGATTTAGGTATATTTCGTGCAATATATTATATTATATAACATAAATAATAATTTCAAGGACAATTGAATCTGAAATTGAAATGTTAAATTTATAGAGTGAAAGCTAAAAAAAAGCTAGAAAAATAGATAAACTAAAACTAAAAGTTAGGGAAATTTTGCGGAAAAAATTGACACAGCATTTCACATTTCACATTTAAAATTATAATTGAAGTGCGAATTTTTAATTATCTCTATTTTCGAAAATTGCATGTGGTAGTATATAAATATTTGAGGGAAAGAGCGAAAGAGTTAATTGACTTTTTTATGTGCATTTTTCTTTTGTGGCGGCAAATTTGAAGAAAAATAGGAAAATGAAGAGGCAGGAAAAAAGTTTCACACACAAATTTCCAATTCTTTTCAATTCATTTCAGCAAATAAATATTTTGAGAAAAAGTGCGATTAATTTATTTTCTCAGAACTTTCGCCTAAATGGAAATTGTATTGTTCGAGATTTATGACTGTTTTATGGCTTGGGTCTCACCTCAAAAAACATCGAAGAATGAAAACTTGTTTTTTTGGATGATCAAACTTTTTTTGGTTCAAGATTTTCGCCGATCAGAAATGTTGATGGGTTTTGAACAAACATTTCACTTAACTCAGGAAGAAGGATGCGAGGTAGCGCGCTACTTGGCAGCAAGCTGCGCTATATCCGCTGCTACATCGCAAAAACTCTGCTGCTAGTGGTCATATGTTCGCTGCTACATAGCATTTTTGAAAAACCGCGCTGCTACCTGACTATACTTCGCAATAAAATCGCAAATTTCATTTAACCGCGCTGCTACCTAGCACTTTTTCATGCGACTCGCTGTCCGATAGCGGAATCCCGCATTTTCGCATTTTACTGCGCTGCTAGTCTACATCCTTCTTCCTGAGAAGGTTGAGCCAATTCTGAATATACGTTTAAAATTGCTACGTGGCCTCTTTCATATAGAAATTGATTTCAAATTTCATAAGTTTCCATAACTTATTTCCAAAATTCAGCGAAGTTGTTATAACAACGAAATCGTATCCAAGTCAGAGTCTATTAGAAAAATTTCTCTGATAGCATTTTCTCTCGTCTATAGAGTATATATATACTGATTAAAAAACTAGCCAGCACCCCAGCGCATATTAATTTTTTTCAAAGTCGTTGCAAAATCTCTAGCCGTCCAGTGGCTCTCCAAATTTCTTGCACTCTCTCGCCACCTGCTTGTCTGTTTTATTTTCTCTTTTTCTTTTCTTCTATTTTTGTTTATTTGGCGTTCTTTCCTAAAAATTGGGTATTTTTTCGAAAATGGCGGAAAAAGGTAGGTGAAATTGACACCTTTTTCGGAAGAATAAGGTAAATTGATATTTCAGCCAAAAAAAGTACGATGGATTGGTTGGACGATGCTCCGATGCCGCCACCAGAAAATATGCCATCGACTTCGGCCGCCGGCGAACGTTTTCAGCCGCAATATTTTGATCCGTAAGTTTTCATGAAAAAAAATAATTGAAGACAGCTGGGAGGAATTTTAATATCGAGACCACCCACGACGCTTGAACTCTGAACCGAAAGATAAACATTCTCAGAATTTTTGTGTTCAAACTGTTTTTCAGTTGTGTGCGGCGGTTGCGAGTTTGAAGTCGGCCCGAAATTTAAAAAAAAATAAAATAAATTTCAAGAACTTGAACTCTATTGGATTGAGATTGTGTAATTAGATTTCATTTTTGATCATTATCAACATTGAAAGTTTGCCATTATGACCCTCAGAAATCAGAAAACATAATGAAGTTCATTAATTTGATTGGAACATTTCAGGTTCGCAACATCGGAAGGATACGAAAACTATGATGATATCCCATTTCTAAAAGAGGAAGATGACGTGGATATGGTAGAAGTTTTCCCAATTTATGATCAGGACGACGAACAACCATCCTACTCTCCAGTTCCACCAACAGCAGAAGATTTCAGTTGGATTTCAGTATTTTATTTCGAAGATGATAAACGGGTTGGTGAAGTTTTCACTAGTGCCGAACCCCTCGTTACAATCGATGGTTTCACTGCGGAATGGACGAAAGATCGAATGTGCATCTCGTTGAATCCAGTCATGTCGCAATCTCCGAAATGCGATGTTGTACGCAGTCAATTTCACCGTGGCATTCAAATTTTCCGACGAGATACCAAAGTTATTTTGAGATGTTTGACGACGAGTCCGATTTTCGTACAATCCCCGCAGAGAGCATTAATGCATGGCGAAGCTTTGAATACGGTTTATCGATTGCAATCAATTGAGAATGAGGAGTCTTGTGAATTTACGCTTTTTGATGGCGATTTTTTTGATGAGTCGGTCGCACGGAAGAAACATTGTATGGATGAGGATTTTTACGCGATACATGTGAGTAACGTTTTTTGAAGAATACAAAATTATAAAAGAATGGATGAGAGTCTTAGCCACCTTTTCCCGCGTCACGTTTCACTCAAACCGCTTGCTCGTGTTGTATTTTATGCTCTACAGTACTATTCGCTCTGCTGCTTTCCCACATTGTAAAATAATGTAAACAATTGTATAAAAGGTGACATAAATTATGACGTGGTCAAAAAATACATTTATAAAGTTTTTACTATTTCCTTGGGGTCACTGATTTCTACTCATTTAAAATTCGAATTTCTAGAAAAACCCCCATATCTTTTCAGAATCAATGCATATCTCGTCTCTCAATCATCAAAGGATTCGGTTCGGATTACCCACGAAAACTAATCACTGAAACACCGTGTTGGATGGAAATCCATATGAATTATAAATTGCGCGAATTCGACGCAGTTTTAAGATCCGGAAAACGACAATTCCGCGAAACACTCGATGATTTAGACGACTTAGACGATTGAAATAAATAAAAAGGTACTCATTATCATTATTATAATTATTATTTATTATTTCCAAGATCCGTAAGCAGTTTTGTCATACATATAATTAAATTTTTGTTTTTGGTAAAGTATAGTGAATAAATAAACCCTGTGGAAATGAAAATTAGAACATTTTTTGCAACTTGCATGAGTCGATGAAATGATAAATCAAATCGCAACTCGCGGTTGGCGCGTACATTTGCAAAAATGCGCAATTACTTCGCGACCAGCTTGAGACATCTTTGATGCCGAAGTTTTTAGCGAGTTTTGCGATTTTCGAACAGCTTTCTTCATTGGCTGTTTGCATTTCCTGAAAATTTTAGAATAAATTGTTTGCAAGAAGTTTGCATGCATTTTTTAAAATCAATTTCTTACCTGCGGATTTGATTGCTCAATCGGTTTCATTTTCACTGGTTCTACTGCCGCTTTTGGCTCAACTGGAAGTGCCACGGGTTTATTATAAACCGGCGGACCTGATGGAGGAGCTTTTGGTAAATATCTTCGATACGGAACCTGATGTCTCAATCTTCTATGTGCTTTCAACGGTGACAAATCTCGTGTCACTTTAACATTTGAGTTTCGATGTTCATGCCTTCTAAATCCTCTTCGAAATGGTTGGAAATACTCGAAATCTTCGTAATCTAGATTATCCAGATCGTCATCATCATATTCTTGACGATGAGATCTACGACGTGGATAAAATGGGATAAATTCCTCCGATGTTTTTCTTGGATTCGGATTGTATCTTGGAGCCGAGACTGGCGGCAAAATCGAATCCACTGAGTTCATATCAGTAGAATAGATCTGAGCTTTTGTTGGAAGTACAGTTTCAGTTGTTGTTGCAATTGGAATCGAAGTGGTTGTCGGGTTCTCATGACTTCCTTTTTTCTTCAAATACATTTCTTCAATCAATTTATCAGTTTCTTCCTCGTTTAGACTGTCAAATGAGTGTTTTGTTGGTGAAGAAGATATGGTAGATGGGATTGGGATTGATGTAGTTGTGCTTGTAGATGTGGTGCTGACAGCCGCGTCATTCATTGCAATTGTCACTTTTCTGGCGGGTTTACGTCGGATTTCACGTTGAATCTGAAAAATACGTTGTTTCAAATGAGAAAAATCAATTTTTTGAACTCTGAATTTCACAAAAGATTATATTATTTTTGAATTTTCTGTTTTTCTGAACATGACGCATAATTCAAATTTTGTTTAGTACTAAAAATGGTTACGAATTAAAAATTAAAAATCTCCTCTCTAGAAGTAAACTTACCTCCGGCATAACCGTCGACGTAAATTGAGCTCCTCTCTTCGCTTCCACAGTTTTCCCAAATTTATCATAAGTCACATATTCTTCCACACATTTATATCGCTTCACGGTTTTCCCAGTTTTACTCAATGCTGAATTCAGACGTTGTTCGTATCGTTGTAAAATCGACGAGTTGGCAAATATCAGTGGTATAAATATTATAAAAAATAATAGAAATTTGGTCATCCTAGCTATAATACTGTAAGAATTTTCATGGGAAATTTAGAAAAAAATAAGAGAAAACACGGAAAAAGTGACAGGAAAAGTAAAATCTCAAAAATGAGAAGATTAATGGCAATTATGTTATGTTGCATACAGATTATCCAAAAGCGGAAAAAGGGAAAAATAAGAGAAATCCGAAAAACTTTGGCCTCTTCTTTCCCAAAAATAACATCAGATTTGTTCGGAAACCAATTAGAATTGACCTCACTTTTTAATATTAATATCAGTTGTTTTTTTTTCGGGAAGAAAAGACAAGAAACAAATTAATATTAATCGGAAATAGATTTTGATTTGATTTCGAATTCGAATTTCAATATTATTAAATGGGTCAAAAGAAGAAAAATGTTATTTAATTGTTCTCGAGGTTTATATGACTATTTATAAAAAAGAACAGCTAAAAGATTCTGGCTAATAAATCCGGTATTTTTTAAAAGAAAATATTGTGAAATGTGGCTAGTTTTGGTAAATATTTGTATTAAAAAAGTTTCTATTAAAATATTTTGAAACTTTTTTTGGAATCTAAAAAAATTGTTCAATTTTCTATTTTTGAACTACTTTGAAACTCTAGATTTCAGTGACCCTGGATTTCTTTGTTCCAAAAAAGGTAACCTTGTGACTTTTTGAAAGTCTAAATCTAAATGAGAATAAATAAATAAACTGTACCCCCTTATTTTGAAAAATGAAAGAAAATCCAAACGAAAACAATTAAATGCAAAGAAAATACCGCATGAATAACTAAAGGAAAAAGTACGTAATAATATGTCAAGTGGATCGCTCTAATTATACCATAAATAAAAGCTTCATCTTTTTCGTCCAGACAAAACAAAACAAAAAAAGCATTCATTTAATTTTTGCAGAAAGTATCGTCAGATTTTTCAATCAATAATGAGTCAAATGTGAAAATTGCCATTCTGACACGATTATATGAAATAAGATCAACATCCCAACCATCGGCATTTGTTCCAGTTGTAGTTCGCAAATTCACACCAAGCTCGCCAGCAAATGACCTGGAGAAATGACAGATTATGACGTTTCTTGTCAAAAAAAAATAAACTCACGAAATTGAGCAAGTTCCAGCAGCGGTATTTGAGATGAGAGCTCCATTTAAATTATTTCCACAACTTCCGAACCACCAACCACCATATGGTTGAACATCTTTATTATCATCGCTAACATAATCGAATTCATCGCAAGAGTCTCTGAAAATTAATTTTTTGAGAGGGAAACCTTGTTTAGCGCTAAAAATCAACGTGGAAGCTTGCGGAGTACACTTGAACATACTTTGTAGTCGGCAGGATATATCTATCGTGCGTGGCAAATTGCGCACCAATATCTTTTCCACTACTGGAATAATCGAGACCGATTCCTGGAAGATCAGCAGTAGCAGAAAGGGTGTAATTTGTGGAGCTGGCGCCAATCTGAAAAAATATATGGTGACAAATAATTTTTTTTAATTTTCTGATGCCAGGCAGGAACATGTGAGTTTTTATTGCAAAATTATCATTGATGACGTCATTGAAAATCAGATTATGTATGAAAAAACTGCCACGTCTTTTTTTTTAATACCGAAATTTGTCAAGTACATAGTAACTATATTTCACAATCTACTAACCTTAAAACTGTGATAAATTTGTCTCGAAGATAATGCATTTCCACAACAAACATCAATCAATAAAGTATATGTCTTCTGATTTGTCAAAACATTCATATTTTCCAAACCAAACCAATAATTCGAAGCTGCTGTTGGATTTCCAAATTGTTGAGTATAAGAATCATAAGTTTGATTGAAATCAGTTGAGGAATCAGAATTATCTCGACTTTGGATAACTGTAAGAATTCCATAACTCTTAACATCACAGAACACTTGAACAGCGGTAACACCATCTGGATAGATGGTTTGTTGAGAAGATGCAGTAAGTCCCTCAATTTCCGAGCAATCGACTGGCAATTTCGGTGTAGTTGTTGGCGCTGGAGTTGTTCCGGTAAACGCGGTTGTGCTTCCTGTGAATGCCGAAGTGCTTGATTCTGGCACTGAAGTTGTTGTTGAAACAACGACCGGTGGTGGAATATCTGTGCTCCAAGCGAATGTGATTGTTGTTGGCAAAGTTCCATCTCTTTGACTTGTGTATGATGAAACTCCGGTTTGTTGGGTGGTATTTATTTGAATTGTGTAGGAATCTATGACTTGATCGGTGTCAGAAGCAAGGAGAAGGTTGATTTGGAGGATGAAACCCTGAAAATTGAACATTTTTGTAGAGGGAAAAAGGGGGTTAACACATTTATCATTCTGTCAAAATTTTTCTAACAATAAATATTCATTTGATTTTCATTATTTTCCAGAGGAACCGAACAAAAATACTTTACTGATTGTGAGATACTGTAGGTTTGATCTACGTCATAACTCATTTAAATTTCCAAACTCACCCTAAATTCGGTATTTCCATAAGTTCCGGCATCACCCACCAAAACATTAATATTCTCCAATTTCCTTTCATATTTCGAATTCAGCACCGATGTTCGATTCACTGGATATTTTTCAAAATTACTCGAAACCCCTGCAGCTAACACCATATTACATCCAGCTCCAACAAATCCAAAATGTGAACAAGGCTGGCCGTTTGCCAAAGTTCCAGCAGGATTATCGATTGAAGTTATCAAAACTTCAAAATACGGTAGGGCTTGACAACATGTTGCAAGAAGTAAGACTAGTCCCAAAAAACTCCACTTCATTTTTCAACAGCAAAAAAAGTGTTGAAAGTGAGTTTATCAATTTTTCGGAATGTCATTAAAACGCTTAAGTACTTCTCGTTTAAACTAAGATAACGTATAATAATAATACTTATTATTTTATTTGAATTTGAAAATGAATGAGGTGTAAAATAGAAAAAAAGTGGGGGTATGTAATATAAATTGGGGTAAAATAAACACTCGTAATAATTTTTAAAAATACACATTTTGTTGTTCAACATAATTGATTTAGCATCCCGTTTATTGCATTTGCCATTTCTTTTTTGAAGGTTTTCTGTTTTTTGAAGGTTCGAACAAAATCTTCGAATAGATTTGGGCTCATTGGTGATGGAATCCATTTGAAAGCTTCATAGGCTAGACTGATCAAAGTGCAAATCTGGAAAATATAAGGTTTTTTCAAAATATTTTTGGGCTCGCGTCAGGCTTAAAATTTGAATTTTTTCTTTTGAAAACCAGAAATAAAAAATAAAATGTTGAAATTTCCAGCTCCGAAAACTAGAAGACTTCTTCTTTTTCAAATTTATCATTGAGGTTTCTTCATAATTTTTAGCGAAGCTAATTTAGTATTCAAACTTTCCAATTTTGAGCTTTGGGGTAAAATCACCTTGATGACAAATTTGTGAACTTGAACTTTTTATCAGAATCATCAAAAATTCAGAAGATCAAATTCTCGTAGTTTATAGTTCTTTGTTGAAAATGATGATTTTAAAAGTGAAATACTTTGTGGATTATATTGCAGGCCTCGCCCAAAAAAAATGTGTGAAAATTAAAAAAAAATCTATGTAGTTTTTTCACATAAAATCTGATCGTGAAGTTTGATTGCTCGCCCCAACCAAACCCCCTTTCATAAAACATACCTCATTATAATCATTTGTCCTCTGCATATTCATTTTATTCAAAATCGCCTGCAAATATTGCTCACACGTCCTTTCAAACAGCTCCCCCGTAATTTGATGATAACCATTCTGCACAAAAAGTGTACTAATAATTCCGGGCGACGAGAATTTCACCAATTGATTTTGATAGACTCGCGGATTCTGGGTGACCGCAAGCGGAAGCGGAATTGTCGTCTGCAGTAGATTAACCGGCGCACCGGAGGAGCTCATAATGGGCCTCTGGGTAATAATTGCGGGCGGTGGAAATGAATTGGGCGGGAAGAATTTCATACTATCCTTGGCGTATTGATGCAAAACATATGGTGACATTATAGCTCGAACTGCTGTGTTCAAAAAATTAAGCAAATATTGAGCGCCAAGTTGGACAGCAACATGATACAATTTTTTGATCTCATCACCAAATGGTGGATTTTCACCATATTTTAGATAGAATAAGCGATCTTCGCCAAATGATATTGCCATACAATCCATTGCACGGATTCCATAACTATAAGCATTGAGAAGAGAAGTTTGAGCTTCTTCGAGAATTGGAGCTTCTTGGTTGGTAATTTCAGCTCCGAGTTGTGGAGCAGAGTGGCTTTGGTGAAGTCGTCCATCGGGACTGAAAAATTGGGGTTTATTTTGATTTAGGTAACTGTGGGTTTTTACGTTAGAGGCTCTAACGGTTAGAGCTTACGGTAATTTTTACCGTAAGAAAATAATTCTTAGGCCACCCCCATAACACTCACCCAGGTAAATTCAAAAACTGCGTCTGTTGCGGTGGAGGAACACCCATCATTGGTGGCGGATGATTCTGATAAAACTGATGATGATAAAGCGGCGGTGGCGGAACACGAAACTGCATCAAAAACATCGGATTTTGAGGGGAATCTTCATCAACATTGAGATCTAGCCAATGTTGCATCACAGTGAACAACGGTTTAATTCGTTGCATCTGTCGGAAATCAGGAGTATCGATAGAGTTGAGCGCCTGCGCTAACATTTCTCGACTATCATCTCGACATTTCTCCAAACCACTGATTATTTCTTCGTCGCTTAATAAATAAGCAAATGGAGTAACACTTAGCGCAAGAAGTGCCGCTTCTTTTCTCATAATCGGGTCTGGCGAAGGTGTAGCTCTGTCTGAAATCGACATAACTTCGGAAGGTGTAAAATGAGCAATCCAAGTCTCTCGAATCATTTCAACACACATCGGTCCAATATCCTGAACTTGTCCAGCAATCCAACTCGCCGAATTATTATAAGTTCGAGTATTCCAACTTGGCGATATTCGATTATTCATTCCCATTGCGTAGACGGCTATTAGCACTGCGCAAAGATGCAATTTTCGATGCGTTGAGCCAATGAGCCCGTTTCCGCCGTAGGAAAACATATTCGATTGTTGACCGCCGGCTTCGTTCAGAATTTTTTTGGCGAGTTCGTTCATGTGCAGCACGTGGACTTCGGTTATTGAGCAGGAGGTTGGGATTGGGCGGCGTCTGCAAAAACTAAAACTGGGAATTGGGGAAGTTGAGAATTTTTGTGGTTGTGGAGTGAAAACAGCTAGTTATTTAAGGAAAAGTATCTTAAATTGAGAATTCCGAGGTGGTTTCGAATTTCCAGTCAAAAAATATCTATTTACCTGAATTTATTTCTCGCATCTCGATTCCATTTTTGTTGCTGATGTGGAACCATACTTCTATACGAACTTTCGGATAAACCAGTTTCACTAGAGCTCGAACTTTGCATTCCTTCATCTGATGTTCCGCGTGATCTAGAAAATTGGATTTTATAGTTTATAGAAAATTTAGAAATTATTTTTTAATAGAGTTTGTCTCAAAAAACAAAAAATTCATGGAAAATATTAGGATTTTTTTGAAAATATCCCGAACCAAATTTTGAAACGTTTCAGATTTAAAAAAAAATATGGCCAGTTTTCTTTTCGGCTATTTTTCAAAAAACTTCTTCAAAATTCTTACATAGATCCAATTGAAGCCGCCGCTGCTGGTATTGGAGCTGCTAGTGGAACCTGTGGTGCAACATTCATCCTTCTCATCTCATCCTCAATCTGCCCCACAATATTCCCATCCTCCTCCATTTTATACGGATAAACTGGCCGTTGTCGATGCTTATGATATTTCAAATATACAGGACATCGATCGAGAAAATATGCAGCATTTGAAGAGTGATTCGAATACATTTGATGTAAACTTGGATCCAACAATTTGTCCAAAATCAATCCCAATTTTTCGTGAGAATCTTTGAATCTGGTGAGAAGAATTGCAGCCAGGTCCATTTTTTCCCTGCGAATCGCTTCGCAATGAATCGGATATTGAGATTCGGAAAATGGTGGATTACATCCCAACAGATTCAAAACCACATGAAGACTTAGCTCATCATCATTGGGTTTTTGAAGGCGGCGAAGATTCGAATTCGGAGAATTGACTTGTAAATCATCTGCAGTTGGATGAAGGGTTTCGAAGAGAAATTGAGCCAAGGCGATTGGTGGAACATCGCCATTATTTCCGGCGTTTGTTTCAATCAGAGATTTCGCGACAGATCGAACCTGTTCCATTTCGATTGAACCGATTTGAGCAGTGAGAGTGAGTTGTTGAAGAATGGCAACGAATTCGGCGTCCTGGAATGTATGTGGATTATTTTGTGAGTTTTGAGAAGCGGATTCAATAAAATGTTACTTTTTTTCTATTTCTTGACTTTTTTACATTCATGATAATGTTTAAAAATAAAAAACCCCTCCTCAATTCTAAAAAAAATGCTCACCAAATAATACAACAAAATCTGCTGATGTTTTGTGGCCAATGGATATTTCGTCACACTCAACGCCTTCAGTGTCAACCAAAAAACTTTGAGATGAAACTGTTGGCTAACTCTCAACACTTTGGTCAAATACAGAACTTTTTCCAAAGTTGCCAACAATTTATTGGATTTTCGAACTTCTTGCTCAACATTTTGTTGTTCAGAAATGCTCGAATCAGTACTTGAATCATCCATAAAATATTCCGATTGTTCTTGCAAACTATCCAATAAATAATTGATTAATTGTTTCGAATATTCGATTGCATCAACTTTATAACCATGTGTAGAATATGCGTCGAGTTTCAAAAATTTCGCTTCAATTGGGTCAAGTGGAGTGAATGCGGCAGCCAAAACTTCATTGATATCCAAATCTACCGAATCCATCTTTTTCCGTCTTTGTGGCTGTGAAACCTGAAATTAAAATCTAGGTTTTCAAGAATTTAATTTATGCCACGTGGCAATTTTGGTGCTATAATTTTGATGAAATCGTATTTGTGAAATGAAAAATTATTCCACGTAAAAACTTGTTGTTATATATTTTGAAGTGAATGTTTTTTAACTTTTTTATGTAAAAATTTAAAAAAAAAACATACCATTTGTGGTTGTACATCACTCTCCTGTCCACTTTCCGTGCTTTCCTGATTTGTCACCGGTTTCTTCGTCTCATCATAAACAATTCTCCAAACCTTATCAATATCTTCACAATTCGATGATCCTGCCACGTCATGACTCTTTTTCGACCTCTTCTTCTTCTTTTTCGACGATGGTTTCGGTTTTTGCGGTGCAATTTTCTGCACAGTTTTATTCAAATTCGGTGCTGCCACATCGAATAATGCATCCATCGGAACACCGAAATTGATATTCTGCTCACAAAGAAAATGACACATTTGAAGAGCCGGATAAAATGCAGGAAAAAGATCGACAGTGAATCGCATATTTAATGAACTCAAATGTTGTTTATCCTCATTATTTATAAGACCTTGAAGAACAATAACAGTTTGATGATTGCTGAGAACTGTTGCATCAGTTGTATTTTGTTCGGCTTCGTCTGCGACACCACTGATTAGTGATTTTAGGCGATTAACAGCGGTTCGATGATAATCTTGAATATATGCGGCAAGCTGGAAAAATATGGGAGGTTTCGAGAGATCGGGACTTTCATCTTTCCGAATCTCACCCAAAAAACTCACTTGTGATCTATAATCTCTACTAGCTCTCGGATTCATTGCCACACATTTCCACAGTGTAACAACTTCATCACAAAGTTGCGAACAATTATATTGTGCAACAATTTGTGTCTTCAATATTTTTCCATTGTTCAATTGTGTCCAACATCCAGATTGTGCCAATTTCGTAATATACCACCATAAAAGAACTTGTGTATTTGATAAACATTCATCAGTTATAGTTCTTAGAAGTGCAACTGCATTATCATCAGATCGAACAAACATTTCTCGAACCATTTGAAGCAAATTCCACATTCCTTCGGGTTCTCGAGATCGCAACGGTTTTATGAGAGAATTCCATTCGATGCTTGTTGGATGTTGAGTTGTATTGAGATATTGAACATCACTGGAAATATAGTTGATTAATTTTTGGGGAGAGAGGAGGTTAGGTATGGCTTGGAAAGATTTTTTCGGTCATTTGGAGTCAAAATTCCAACCCAAAAACACTCACCAATGCACCGACGGCAATGGCAAACAATATTTACACAACAACCGTCGAACTTTATCTTCAATTTCCGGAAAATCAAATCTCGAAACCGGTTCATGTCCACCATCTGTTGGATCAGGCGCCCCGCCGATCTGATTAATTTCCGAATTCGGATCTTTGATTTGATCAATGAGGTTTTGAAATCCAGGAATACATTTTCTTGGAATATCGTTGATGTGCCATTGGACAAGTTTTCGAAGCTCAGAATCGCTCATCGAGTTGATAGCATCAGCGATAGTTTCGCTAAAAATAAATATAATTTCACTAGATATATTTGATAAAATATGACATAAGCTTTTGACTTAAAATCCATTTATATATATATATAGATATTTCAAAAAAATCTGGAGACTTACTTAAACTTGATTGAATGTCTCTGATGAATCCGATGAATACACAGCGCCACGACATGTTGACACCAACTTGATCTACACGAACATTCGCAAGTGCATTCAACAATTCGACAACGATCAACTTTTACAGTTACATGATAGGTTTCTTTTTCCTTAGGTGGTGCAGGTTTTGAAAGATCGTAGCTCAAAGGATTCGTTAGATTCAGATCAGCAATAGTAGTGTTTAAAACATTCGCAGATAATAAAAATCCAGTTTGAGAGACATCTTTAACTGCGCCTAATTGATATAAACTGTTTCCACAATTGAATTGCTCGCAAGTTCCATTTGCTAATGTACTATACATTCGAATTTCATCAGTTGATTGGGGAAAACAATGAACAATGAAGCTCAAAAATATCTTTTCTGGAATTGTTGTTGGCATCGATGCACCGCCTGTTGTTGTATCACTTCTCGAGGCGCGTATAAAATGATACATATCTTCGAGTTGTTGAAAAGACCATTTCTCGGCGCATACTCTTGCTGATATTTCACATAGACTTAACAATCCACCATCTACCCGTTTAGATTGTTGTTGATTGTGCACAATTGTATTAGTTGAAGCTGATGAATATCTTCCGGATGGATATTGATATTGATAGACTACACCGGAAAGACCTGGTTGGATTGCTTCGCCTGATGAGGGACAAGCAATCCAGCCACGCCAATTCTGATTCATTCCATCTGTTGATTCACCCCACGACGCTTGCGAATCCTCCTCAAATCGTTCGGAATCATCAAATGATAATTCGTCATCTTGTCTCATATTTATATTCATATTTGGATTTACATTCACATTCCAAGCCATATTTTCATTTACATACATTGACTATTATACATGTGAGGTTTTGTTATCTGAAAAATGATTTAATTGATCACAGGGGAGTTGAAAAAGGAGTCAGCGCTGAAAAGAAAAAAAATTCGAAAAGAAAGTTGGATTGTCCGGGAGAAATAGATGGAAAATCATCCCGCGTGGCGAGACCTGTTTTTGAGTACGGTAGAAGGATTTCTTGTTTTTTTTTTCTGAATTCTGTTTTTTTCGGGCTTTTCTGAATTTTTCTAGCTTTTATGATTTTTGGGTGGTATTCAGTGGGAATAAGTGGGTTTTAGAGAATCAGTAGATTTGATTCACATAGAAAAAATGAAGAAGAGATTTTTTGTGCTAAAAACGGAAAATGTTCAGAGAAAATCATGATTTTTCGTTTGCAAAGTTCATGGAAATTATGCTCAAGATTCGAATTTTTGAATTTCAAGATCCGAAAACACTTTCAAGAAGAAAGTTCGGATTTTCTTTGTTTTTGGATAAAAATGAATAAATAGCCAAAAAATTCCGAAATTTTCCAATTAAATAGAAAAAAACGATTAAGTAAAATGAGGATTTTTATAAAATCGAAATTCAAACAAAAAAAAATATCCATTGGTTGAATTCAATTTTTTTAGAAAACAAATCACCAAAACAAAGGCTAACTTCAAAAACACCGAATTTCACCATCATTTTTCCAAAAAAAAAATCTATTCGGCTTGGTTCAAACAAGAATTGAACCAGTAAGCCATCCAAAACGAAGCCGAAAAAAAGAAAAAGAAAACCGACCCACAGGAAATTTTAAGGCACACTCCTCCGTTCTCACACTATTTGTCAGTCCCCGCGTTCCGCTCGGTGCCTTTCACTCACCGTGTTGTGTGTGTTTTTGTGAGCGGATTTTGTGTGTTTTCTATGAGCGAGCGAGTTTAGCCTTGACCATTTGCATTCAAAATGAAACGAGAAAGGAAAGTGCGCTCTATGGGACAAAATTGTGGCGGGCAGAGGGGAAAATATGAAAATTAATGGGCTTTTATCAGTTTTCGAGGAACGTTTCGAACATCTAATTTATCGATATTTTCTCAAATAATTGTTTCTTATTTTGTCGGTGAATGTAAAACATATTTCCAAAATCCCACGAGAATAATACGAAATAAGGTTAGCGAAATTTTGAGAAATTATAGTAAAATTTGGGAAATTGTTAGGGTCGACAAGAGTAAGATGATCAAAATCTGAAACGTCAAAACTTTATTTTGAGCGAGTTAGTCTTTTTGGTTTCATTTTCTCTTTCTGGTCTCTCAACTATCAAAATTACAGAGTAATCTTTTCATTTGAATCTGAAACTGTTTGAATTCTCAATCGAGGTTTCTGATCTTTTTTTTAGTAGTTTTTGACATGCTAACCACGACTCTGTTGTTACAAACAGTCGGCTCAAAATCTCATAGAAAACATTTCTTCACAAATCTCGACTGAAAATTCAAAAATCTTCCTTGTAAACTAATAATTAACTAGTTAATTCGAAATATCTTCAGGAGAAATGTCAGCTCAAGCGAGTCGTTCGCGCAAATCCGAACAGGCACAACAAGAAGCCGATCAGGCCTTGCTTCAAGTAAGTAGCACTCTTTTTCTCTAGTTTCCCTCTATTTTTCTTGTTTACCAGAAAAATACTAGAAAAATAGTCAATGTTTTTCCCTTTTTTCATATATTAAAAATGAAAAATAAAAAAGAAAAGAAAAAAGTATTTTAGGCAGCAATAGATGACAATTCTATGGAACAAGATGAGAATTTCACGGTTATTGATAAATTGGAGGTAGGTAATTTTGTTGAAATTTCGAAATTTTAAGCTGCAAAATTGTAGACATGCGGTGTGAGCTCAGGAGATATTGCGAAATTGAAAGAGGCTGGATATTATACGTATGAGGCATTGGCTTTTACGACAAGAAGAGAGTTGAGAAATGTGAAGGGAATTAGTGATCAGAAAGCCGAGAAAATTATGGTAAATTATTTTGGGGAATGAGAAAATGGACCAAAAATAGAAATTTGTGAAAAATTGAAATTTTAGCTTCATAGCTTCTTTTTGGAAATCAAAAACTGAATATTCATATTTTCATCAAAAATTGGTCTGAAAATTCAAGAAACCGCTAGAACTTTGATTCAAAATGTATTTGGTAATTCCAGTTAATTTTTCACAGATATTCTAACAAAATTAAAAAAAAAACTAACCTGAAAATATGCTGGCGAAAATGGTTTATTATTGTCCCAGGCTGCAACAATTCATTTCTCACGTTCATAAAATTGCGAAATGGTAATGTCTGCCAGATTGCAATAATACACGAATGCAAGGTCACGCTGTGAAAATAATTTTTTTCAAAAATCAGGAAACATTTTTAACAGTATTTTTCATTGATTTCTAGAGTTTACCACCAAATTTTGGTTCACAAAATACATCAATCATTAGCTGGGAAACTCTAGAAATAAAAAAAATATGTAAATTAGTTCAGAGTCAAGTTTTGAGTTTTAAAATAAAATATAAAATATTCAATGTTTACCTTTTCAGAAAGAAGCAATGAAACATGTTCAAATGGGTTTCACAACTGGCGCAGAAGTACATGTCAAACGCAGTCAACTCGTCCAAATCCGCACCGGCTCCGCAGCTCTCGACCGACTTCTCGGCGGTGGAATCGAAACCGGTTCTATCACTGAAGTCTACGGTGAATACCGTACCGGTAAAACACAACTCTGTCACAGTTTGGCTGTTTTATGTCAACTTCCGATTGATATGGGAGGTGGTGAGGGAAAATGTATGTATATTGATACGAATGCAACTTTCCGACCGGAAAGAATTATTGCGATTGCTCAAAAATATAATATGGATAGTGCACATGTTTTGGAAAATATTGCGGTTGCTCGCGCTTATAATTCGGAGCATTTGATGGCTCTTGTTATACGCGCAGGTGCTATGATGTCTGAAAGTCGATATGCTGTTATGGTTGTTGATTGTGCCACTTCACATTTTCGAAATGAGTATACAGGTCGAGGAGATTTGGCAGAACGCCAAACAAAACTTGCGGCGTTTTTGAAGTGTCTTGCAAAATTGGCTGATGAATATGGAGTTGCGGTGATTATTACGAATCAAGTTGTGGCACAAGTTGATGGTGGTGGTGGAATGTTCCAGGCGGATGCGAAAAAACCAATTGGTGGACATATTATTGCGCATATGTCGACTACACGGTACGATTTTTTGAAATTTTGATGGAAAGAACAAATTTTTATCGAAAACCCTACATCTGTCAAGTTTGAGGTTATCCTTCTGAAACGTGGAAAAACTAAATTTTTCCTAATAAAATCTGAAAGATATTTTTCATTTCCAAAAATCCTTTTCATGGAAAATTCACGAAAAATTTGAATTTTATCTCATTTTCTCCAACTTCCTTCAAAATGCAGATTTTTCAACGATCAAGTTCATTTTGTCAAAAAATCCTAATCAGATTTGAAATTCTCAAAGTCTGTATATTCTAGACATCCTTTTCCACTGTATATCATCTCAAAAAAAGATATGCGATGAAAAAAAATGATTTTCATTTCTTCGAAAATTGAGTGATACAAATCTGCCTTTCTGCCAAAAATATGATAGACAAACAAATATGGAGATGATTTTTTGGGCATTTCTCAGATAAGCCTCTCTCCTTTCTCCCCTTTTTCGAAACAAAAAACCGGCCGTTTTCGATGGCGAAAAATTGGATACTTTCACTTGCCACCCGAAATCGTACCTAAAAACTGTTTTTTGGAGAAAGAGAGATTAATTTGATGATATATTAGATCATGGAACGAAAATGATCGAAATCGCGATTTTTTGATTGGCAGATTTTTTGATGGAAAATATTGGCTGGAAACATGTCTGAAAATATTTTTTGGGGGATTTTCGAACTCCAGAGTCTGGAAGCCAGAAAATTACAATATTTTGCATATAATTTTGACCACAAAATACACGTGGAGCATACATTTGAAAATTCAAGTTTTTCGGTTTAAAATTCATAATTGAAGCTTGGATTTTCACAAAACCTAGTTTATTCTGAATTTTTTGACAATACATTTGCTTTGAAAAGTTATTTTATTCGCACAATATTTTTTGCGGATTTTTCTCGAAACAAAAAAAAATTAATTTTAATTTTGAGATTTCTCTAGGCTTCACCAAAAATGAAAAGTTCTCTTCAAATTCTGATGTTTGATAGAAATTTCAATCACATGTGGAAACCATGTGGATTTTACAGTTTTTCCAGCAATTTTTTTCACGGATAAAATCAAAAGTTCTTTCTGGAAAACCAAACACCACGCCCAAAAAAAGTTTTTTTTTCAGATTATATCTTCGCAAAGGAAAAGGCGAAAATCGTGTGGCAAAAATGGTACAAAGTCCGAATTTGCCTGAGTCTGAAGCCACATATTCAATCACCAATCATGGAATCGAAGATGCACGCGAGGATTGATTTTTGTTTTCAAATTTTTAAATTCAAAAATTTTTTGAAAAAAGGGGTCTGACTTGATTTTTCTGAGAAAATCTTATTTTTGACAGTGTTTCTTGTGGTTAGTTCACTGAAAAATAGAGTTATGACGTGGCTTTCGAATTCCTCCACGTCATAACTAATTCTCAAAAATCATAATAAATCATATGTTTTCTTAGAAAAGTCATGTGAAAAAGTTCCTTTTTTCATTTTTATCTCAAAATATGGGTCAATGTGAATATATCTTGTTTTTATTTTATTTGATTTTATTGTTCTATTGTTTTATCCCAAAAAGTTCATTTTTCTCTGAAAATCGTTTGAAAATTAATTCACTATAATTAATCACGATTGAGTTCGTCTGAATATCTACGAAAAATCAATGATCCAACTTGTTCTATATTATTTTTTATCATACATTTATTGTATTTTTGATTAAGCTTAAGCCTATCATAATCCGGTTTTCTTTCTTTTTTTCTCTAAATCTCTCCCTCTCTTTTTTCCCATATTTTTTGGTCGCTAATTAATTAATTAATTATCTTCATTTTTTTGGCCTTCAGGCATCATGACGTGTTGCTCATCGAATTCCTCGCTGTCAGATTTTGGAACTTTGCAAAGATGTCCGAATCGAGTTGGAAGTATTACAGTAATTCTTGGACCAATGTTTAGTGGTAAAACGTGAGTTTGATAATTTTGGGGTGGAAATTTGAATGCGCATTCAAATTGCAGCGTTTTGACTCCACGTGACAATATTTTAAAAGTTTCCACTCTAATTTAATTCCAACAAAATTTGAAAGTTCATCTGGCACTGATTTTTTTTTCAAAAGTTTTTTTTCAGCACCGAATTACTGCGACTACACGATCGTCAAATAATTGCCAAAAGGACGTGTGTTCTGGTTAAATATGCTGGAGATACAAGATATGATGCAGAACTCGTTGCAACACATTCAAAGTGAGTCTATTTAATTAATTAGCAAAAAATCCAAAATTTCACTCAAAAATTCATTTTTTTTTCAAAAGTACGTGAGAAGTTCCAAGCCTTCCAAGATCAATTTCAAATCGCAGCCAAACACAGCGCTGATTAATGAATCTACAAATAACTAATTAATTATAGAGTCATTGGACAAGGTCGAACTGTAAAAGCTCATCATTTATCCGAAGTTCGCGCCGAAATCTTCGACGACGATGTGCAAGTTGTTTCAATCGATGAAGGTCAATTTTTCGACGATCTAGCTGAAACTTGCGAACAACTCGCGCAACGCGGAAAAGTTGTCTGCGTCGCGGCTCTCAACGGAACCTTCGAACGAAAACCGTTCCCTCAAGTTTCGCTCCTTCTTCCTTATGCAAATGAGATCAAACAAGTTTCGGCGGTTTGCGTTGATTGTGGAGCACAAGCGAATTTTTCATTCCGATCGACGATGGATAAAAAAGTAGAAGTGATTGGAGGATCAGAATCGTATGAGGCATTATGTAGGGAATGTTATGGGATGAAGAATGAAGAGAAAGAAGCTGAAGAGAAGTTCAATCGAATTGTGGGAAAGGTGAGAATTTGAGAGGGGATTGTTAAACATTTTAGCATTTTGATAACTAATTAGGCATATGCAGATAAGAATTCCATAGAAAATTATAACAAAAAATAGTTTCTTTTCGGAAAAAATCAGAAATACAACAACAATTTGATATTGCCTCTAATCAAAAGAATATTCTGAAAATTTTTAGTTTCAATTTTTTTATGAGAAGTTCCCATATTGTTTTTTCAAATTCTTCGAAATTAAAAAAAAGTTTCTTCTCAAAATCCACGACCTTGTCTTTTTTCCTTGCAAACAGAAAAAAATGCAATTTCCAATTTTCTATTATTTGTTTGATTTATTTCACAACAAAAAATACAAAAGATTGTTGTGTTTGACGAATTTGACCAATGAAAATCAATTTTCCATTGAAACATTTTTTCCAGGATGAAAATTCGGTTGTGAGTTCGAAAATCGACGAATCCGGATCGGCTTCGCCTCCAAGGAAAAAGATTGGACTCACAAAATCCTTGCAATCTCATTGATTTTTTGTAAATCTGAAAATTTGAATTGGGGAGGATTTTTGGGAGAAATTGGCTGGAAATTTTGAATTTTGAGAATTTTACTTCAGAAGTATTATTCGATAACTTTCAAAATGATCAAACGTTAGTTGTCACGTGGCAAAATTCTGGATGTTTTCTGTTGACCCTTTCGCCACGTGGAAAAGTATCTTTAAAAATTTCAGCCATTTCCAGCCGAAATCATTCGTTGTTCTTTTTTTGATAATTTCTGTAATTTATTGATTTTCTTTGTTATATTTTTTGAAATTCCTGACAATTCACTTTCGAATTCACTTTCACACACAAAATTGCTCACTGTAACTTTTTCTACCTTTTTTTTGGATTTTTTGGAGATTTTTCTTTAATTATTTATTTAATTTCATAAAACAAACTACACTTTTTTGTATTTTTTGTGTCAAAAATGACCCGCCTGACTTTTGGAGTTTTATTGGCCGAAAAGAAAAATGAGAGGCTATTTAAATACCGGTTTTTGGTTTGGTTTATGTTACACGAGAAAAAATCAAACTTGAGAAAGTTTCCGAGAAAAATATGAGATTGGTTCTTGTGGTTTTGCTGCTGTTGGGCTTGGTGGATTTTGGTGAAATGCAGTGTGAGTTTTCTGGGGGAGGGAACATTTTCGAGCTGAAAATTTGGAGCATTTTGAAATCAAACATGCCACGTGGATTTTCTGGTTCCGAAAATAGCAAAGTTTTTATGATTTTCAGATTTCGGCTACTCCTACCCAGTCTACACTTATCCAGTCTACACCTATCCAACTTATACATATTCATATCCGACTTATTATAACTCTGGCTACGGATATGGATTCTGTAATATTTGGTGTCGTCGAGCTCGTCGTCGAATGCGTTGGCAAATGATGTGGGGTGGAGGTGGATGGTATGGAAAATGAGCAACGAATATTTGAGCACCCTAATATGAGCAATATATAAATGATTTGTCTAATAAAGTTTTCTAGTGCCAAAGACCTACGTGAGAGAGCTTTAAAAAAAATGTATTTTTCAGTTCTGCTTTTCGTTTTTCTGATTTAATATGAGCAACCTATAATTAATGTTTGCTTGTATGCAAATTCTTAATAAATCCCTAATTTACTACCACCACTACTACTTCTAAAAATGACGTTTTCCACCTGTTTTCGTAATTTTCGGAATAAAATTCCTCATATTTTCCTGATTTTTCATTTGTTTTTCATTTCTAAAATAAATCTACAGTAAGATTGTCTGACACCAAAAATCCAACATTTGTGGGTCATTTTGAAAATATACTGTGTTTGGTCTCAAAATGCTCCAAATACTCTTGAGCATAAATCTACATTGCAAATTCCTTGAGAAACCTAAAATTAATTTTGAAATTACACCTGTTTTCGTAATTTTTGAATTGAAAAATATCCTCATTTTTCCTTGTTTTGCAGTGAACACAATGACAAGAATTCTAATTTTTCTTCATTTTTCTGCTTTTTTTATTTCCTGATCAAAAATAACACAACAATGAAAAAAAACAATTACCCCATGAAAAAAATTTAATTATCTCATAATTTTTCTTTATTTTTTTTATTTCTCATTTTTTACGTCATAATTTCTTGGTGCCGAAAAAAACACATTTTTTGTAGTAAAAAAGTGTCCACCTTTATTTTTTACGTCACCCTTTTTCATTCAAAAAATTTTTGAAAAGTTGAAAATGTGTGAAGTTGAGTGGAAGGAATTTTTATACGATTTTTGAACTTTATTTTTGCAGTTTTTCAAATTGTGAAATACTGTAGGGCCCAATTTGACACGTGGCATTTACCTCTAAATTTTGAAAAAATAGTTTGAAAAGGTTCTAAGGTACTGTAGTTTCTCTCTACGTGAAATTTTTTATTACTGTAGTTTTTTTTAGCTCGAATTAAAGCTTTGAAAATCCAAACTTTGTAGCTACAATTCAGAACATTTCAACCAAATTTCTTCAGAAAAATTTTTCTGATTTTTTTTTCTGCGTGAATAAAATTTGATTACAAATTTTTTCAGACGTAATAATTTTCTGACCAAATTTTCTTCTCATCAAACATTGCAAAATCTGCATTTTTTGAAACCACAAAAATGCCACGTGGCAGAAAACTAATGTTTCTTTTGGAAAAAAATTAAGTGACATGACGTAATGAAATAATCCACGTGGGAAATTAATTTCATTTTCCAAAATAAAATCTGATTGTTCTTTTTCAAAATGTTTCGATATTTTATATAACGTGGCACTTTACAGTAATTTACGAAAAACCAAAAAATGTTCCACGTGGCGAATTTATTTTTATTTAAAAAAAATGTTTTTCTGACACATGCATTTTTTTGACACCCTATTTTTTTCCAAGTGAAATTTCATATCGCCAAAAAAGTTACCGCTAATTTTTCATTAGAGTACCATAAAAACAAGTATTCGTCATCAAAGTCACATTATCAAAGATCGAACAAAAGTTTTTTTAATGAAAAAACACAGAAAAACAAAAAATTTTGTCCACTATGTTTGATCTGATATGATCTGGTCTGATTTTTGTTTTCTTCCTTCCTCCAACTTTTTTGACGAATTCGATTTTTGATATGAAAATCTCCAAGTTTTCAGGTTTTCCTACATATGCCAAACATCAATTCATCGATATAAAACATACAAACTTTGGGATAAAATTCAACAACTTCGAAAAAATATTCAAAAAATGCATTTTCCCGCCTCAATTGTTGTCTGTTTATTAGCATTCATCGCTGTTATAAATTGTCAATGTAAGTCACGTCTAAAAATGTACGCGTGGCTCAGACGGTTAGCGTCGCTGTTTTTACCAATTAAAAGACCCTGGTTCAATCCCAGCCTAGATGTTTTTGAATTTATTTGTTTTGCAGGGGGAGGTGGTCCAATGATGGGTGGTGGCGGTCCTATGATGATGGGAGGAGGCCAAATGATGGGTGGCGGCCCGATGGGATATGGAGGTGGATTTGGCGGAGGACCGATGATGGGAGGAGGAATGGGAGGAGGTGGGCCAATGTGGGGAAGACGAATGATGATGGGTGGAATGAATCCATATATGAATATGATGTATGGCAAGAAATAATTTTATTTTTTGAATTGATTGTTTATTGGAAAATGTATAATTAATGAATGTTTTGGAAAATGTTATTGAGAATTTTATGAAAATGAAAATCTAAATTGGATAGATTCAGAAAATTCTTCCTAGAAATCAACGTTTCACGGATTATTTATCAAAAATTGACCTGGCTGAAAAATGCTCTAACATGAGCAACCCCTTACAACTGTCCCACTTTTCTAAATTTCTGTTTTCTTGCTCCTCAAAAACTACAGCCAGCCTAATCTTTTGATGTCCTCATTCTTTTTCGATATTTACTCACATATGTAAGCCTCTGCGCGACCACAGAAATAATAAATAATAATAATAATCAGTGAGTCAGTCAGCGGAACAACAAACCGTAACAGAAAACTTTGGCTGGCTTTTGAGCGGTCAATCAATCAGACTCTTTTGTTTATTCAAGCTTTCTTCTCATTTGGAACAGAAAAAAGAAGAAAAAGAGGATACAACTAATAAATGAGTGAGGAAATGATGTTTGTTGTGATCACTCGACCGTAGTGTATACCATATTTTATTTTATGTGTACTTATTTTTGTTGAAAAGAAGAAGAAGAATGAATGGATAAAGTGTTTTTCAAGAGCAATTTTATAATGACATCTTGATTAGAGATGATATGACTTTAGAGAGTCAGGACTAAAAAAGGGAAACATCTGGAAAATATGAATAATCGGAACTTTTCTTTGCAGAATGATTTTTAAGAAAAGTTTGGAGAACTTTTTAAAAAATTGTTTTGTTGAGTCAAAACATCAAACTATTCTATAGTTTTTTTAAAATATGAAACGTGTATTTTTCAATTTTCAGCCTTACCAAGTTCTTAAATCGAAGGCAAGAACTTTTGAATACCCACCAAAAAATCAAGCTTCTCTTACACCCCCCCCCCCAAAATTTTTCCCAAAAATCCCCGCTCCCTTCCCCATTCCCCAATTCCCCACTCTCATTTCCAAAACACCAACAAAACGACTACTACAATATTCATTCTGTCTTTTCTCTCAATTTTTGCTTATAAGAAGAGTCCGAAGTGCAAATAAAGAAAGAACGGGTGGAGTTTACCTACTGGAACACCATCCTATATTTGACCTATCTCTAACATGCTCTCCTAGTTTTGTATTGTATTTCGTCGAATTCACCAGGTTGCAGCCTCAAGAGACATTTTCCCGTGTTTGTTCGGTTGGGGCTCTCTTTTGGCTCGCGCAGTTTATTTGGCCTGGTCACCCGTTCCGTTTTTATTATTATTATTATTATTTTCTTGTATATTACTTTTTACTATTTTTGTTTTAGAAAATTTTTGCAAATTTTTAAAAAGGTTGATTATTGAATTTTCCTGAATTTTGATTTTTCAGTAACTCAAAACATTTTCAGGAAATTCCAAAGTTTTTTTGAACTTTTTTAAAGATTAGGGCTCAAAGAGCTTCAGACCGTTTTGGTGTCATTTCTCCTACCTAAAGCTCCCTGTTCTCAGGAATAATCTATAAATTTTTCGAATTTTCAGAATTTAGTTCTGAAATTCTCTCAAATTTTCGAACCAGCGGACAAATATTACAGTCGAAATCTTTTAAAAACAGAACAACTTTCTATTTTACTTACAGTTTTCTATAGACGTTTTTTTAAGTTCCACATTTTTCAGAAAAAAAAATCTGAAAAATTTTGTAGTTTTTCTTTTTCAAAATAGAATAATTCTAAAAACAGTTCAGAAGAAGTTTCAGAATTTTAGTTTTCACTTAAAAATGTTTTTCATAATGGACTTCTACAAAATTTTGGAGTTTTTCCAACAAAAATCTAGAATTTCAAAAAAAATAAAAAGTTTTCCAGTATCTGTAATTTTTGTTATGTTTTATTTTTTCTTTCGAAATTCCAAATTTCTCAAAATAGTTCCCAATATTATTTTTTACAGTGAATGAAGAGGAGGTGGAACGGCATTTCGCCGTTAGCCCTGCTACTTCTCCTAACTCAAATCCCTCACAAAAATGCGCAAATCAATCAGAATGTGGGTGGAACGGCACAAAATCCAACTATAAATCAAGTTTCATCTGGTCAATTATTTTCGGGAACCGGCAACAATCCTTTCTATGGAGGTTGGTAAATAAAAACTTTTTTTTTGGAAAAAGGTGCTTTCTGAGTTTTGAAATAGAAAGAAAGTGGTGAATAGAATGATTCTAAAAATAACTTGAAAAGGGAAGCGGAACTTTTTTGGGAAAATTCAAGAAAAATTTTAGTATAGAGAATTAGAAATCTGGGATCTAAAACAATTCATCTCTCTAATTTTTCAGTAAATCTCGTCCCATTCGGCCCAGAAGCCGGTGATCTTGTCGTAAACCCTTCTATGCTCACAGCCGGTATGACAATCGATCTCCACATGTTTTTCCCATATTACGGTGGCCTCTACAATTACACCACAATCTCTGTAAATGGTTACATGGGTTTCGCGACAGTTTTAGACCAGGGTCCAACAATTAACATTGGTGATAGTACAGATTGGCCAAGACAGGAAGATCCAGCAATGATTGCTCCATATTTGTGTAAACAACAAGTTCCACAAACTGGAAATCCTGCAAGAAGAGCTGGTGTTTATTATCGACTTCTTCTTCGACAATCATTATTTGGAAGAGAATCAAATTCGAATACAAATTTGGGAGGAACAATGACATCTTCATCATTTTTCGGACAATCTGCATCATTAGCTTGTCCTGGAACTGCTGACACTTATGTTAGATGCGATCAAAACAGTGATTATTTCTTGGATCAAATGATGATTTGGATTCAAGAAGGTGTTGCTGGTGGTGCGATGTTCCGAGCTGACGCTGCTGTTGTTGTCACTTGGTATAATACCGCTTCTGCAATCTCCGGAAGATCTGACATTGATGCCGGTCAGACTGGAACATATCAAGCTATTTGGTTGACAGATTCGACTGCTAGATTATCCTACGTAATTCTCAATTATGATCGTCTTGGTTTTGATGCTCAAGATTTCCGAGCCAATTCAAGATCTGGAAGATGTCGCGCTGTTTTCAACGGAGGAAATCATACAGGAAGTGTTGAAGTTGATCCAACTCAACCATACAAAAATTCACCAAAAGTTTTGGCGCAAAGATCTGGAGTTCCACATATGGTTCGAGGAAGATATATGTTCAGAGTTGATGATATTGTTAGACCAGCTGGATGTTCAAATAAAACTGGTGGAACTTGTGAGTTTCGGGAATTTTAGACAATTTTTCACGCAAATATTTTTCTTCAGATCCCATTATGATCTACCCAAATATCGTTGATATGTTAGGAGAAATGACAGTTGATGTCAACGCGTGTTGTTTGGATCGTTCTCAAACTTACATTATGATGATTGAGGAAAGAGAAGTTGCCACGTGTCAAGTAATCAATCCAGCAATCGCAAGATGCAGTATTCCAAAGATTTATGATTGGGGAACCAAAACTGTCTATTTCCAACCACAATCAAGAGGTGCAAATGATGAAAAGGCTTTTGTAGGCTATATATATTTCGTTCCTCCTACTCTAGATCCGATGAGGTTAGACATTGGAAATATCTATGAGTGGTATAAAAATCCGATGTCAAATTATCTAATGCCAATTTCCTGGTATCCTCGAAATTTCACCAATCCCGATATTTTGAATAATGGTAATAATATGGGAGTGAGAATATCAGATGATTCAATGTACGGTGTTCAACTTGGATTATATATTGTTGGATATCGAGAATATAAGGATGATGAAATCAAAAAGTTCCGACCTGAATATCGAACATTGGCCAGAGTAACCACTTATAGCAATAATAATAGTCCAAACTATAGATGGTTGCCTCAAGAAGAAGTTATCAATACAAATCAAATTCAACAATGGTATTTGACCGATTGGGAAAGGATGCATACCTTATACACATATCGTGTCGGATTTTTCAAATTAGCACCGATTAATCCAAATGATCAAAATGGAACACATATTCTGCCTGGACTCATTTCTGCACCAATCTCTTTACATTGGTTATGGTCTCCGGATAATCCGCAATTCAATTCGCTCACTTTGAATCAACAAGATCGTGACATGCGAACTGAATTTGTTAAGGAAAAATCAAAAGATATGTGTATTGATTGGTACAACGAAGATGGTGCACTTTGGAACTTTATCAAAGATACTGAAACCAATACATCTTGTCCATGCGTCGAATCACAAGCATTATTGGATCTCGGAAGATTTATGCCACATCCAAGATGTTCGCAAATGTTCCGTGATATCACTTGTACTACAGTTATTGGTTCAAAGAATTGTTATATGTCGGCTTCGAATATTTATGCTAGTTATTCCGGCGGTGGAAATACTTTCCATAATCAGGATACCAAGTGAGTTTTGGGGTTAGGCCTTACAGCGATGCATATTTTCGAAACCTTCTAACTCTATCATTTTTTCCAGCCGCTTCATGACTCACTACGGTCAAGTCTGTTGTTACGATGAAGCTGGATATCTCATGCAAACTCCCTATCAACCAGTTATCAAAACGCAGCGAGAATATTTCTACAATCCCGGATATCCCTTACGTGCCTACGAGTTTGGAACAGCACCTTATATGGGCCAATTTGAGGTAACTACCTTCCCATTTTTAATATAAAATTAAAATTTCGAATTCAGGTTCCTGGTCTTTCTGTTTTCCACAACGATTACATGCCCTACTTCCTTTGCTGTAAATTTGCCGATTTCCGATGTCAGATGTTCTACTGGCGACGTCCTTCTTCAGCTTGTCAACAATATCAAGCTCCTGCAGTTGGACACGCTCAAGGAACTGGAGTTATCAAAACTATCGATAATGATAATTTCATTTTCAATGATCCAGGAATCTATAACTTCTTATATATTCCAAAGTCATTGAGAAATCCTGAAGTAAAACTTCAGGTGAGATTGGAAAGATATCCAGATCGGAAAGTGGATTTCGGATTATTGGGAAGATATATCTCACAATGGGAGTTGGTACAGCCAACAAATGCCACAGTTTTCACCGGAATTGCTCTCGAAGCCACTGGGACAGATCGTGTAATTGTTCAAACCAGAAAAGATACCAGAAGATTCCGTTATCGAACAAATATCATTGTTGGAAACATCTTACGATACTTCGATACAATCAGACTTCAAAGATTCAAGGGAGTTCTAGTCTATGTAAACAATGTGATTCGTGGTCAACCAGAAATTTATGTTGTGTTAGAAGAGGCTCAAATTGGTGTGAAAGTTACTGAAAGTTATGCATTGGATATTGATAGATTGCCAAATTATCAAGAAAGTATGGGAATGTTGGATATTATTTTATCAGTTCCACCACAATATGGTGTAAGACCGGATGGTGATAAAACACAAGAAATGCAATATAGAACACTTTATAATTTACCAAGAGTGTCTGGATTAATGAGACCATTCCCTGATCAAACAAGTGGGTCACTAAATGAAGGATTGACTTTGAATGATGTAAACTCGGAAACTTATCGACAACAAATTGTTAATAATTACTTGTTGACTGGAACTGGAGAAGCTGGAACACAACAAAATATGGCTGGAACTTTGCAACAAGGAATGCCGACAGAGAATATGTTTACAACATCGAAAGAGGAAGATCGACAGTTCGATGTGTTCCCGGAAGCTTTTATGAGATCACAACCAGTTTATGCAATGGCGCCGATTTATAGCACGTTAGTTGTTTTGGGGTGAAAAATTGAATAGCAAAATATGAAGGAGGAAAGTTTTAAAACTACATTTTTAGCAATTGCTTTCAAGTGAAGCGCTTTCCGATTCTGGGTCATTTTTTCCCAAAGTTAATTTTTTCGATTTCAAAATACACCCATAATTTCCCCAAAAACTCACATTTTTCCGGATTTTCAATAAAATTTTAGTTGAGAGTAACATAAGCATGAATGTTGAGCAATTCGACATTTTCACTGAAAATATGTTTTTTTTTTATTTTCTAGATAAAAGAAACCTTCGACTTACTTTATGATTTTTCGAAATATTCAAAAATTTAGAATCCGTTTAGAAGATGCGCAATTCGATGAAACATTTCCACGATTTTGAAAATCTGAAATGATCAAAAATATTTGTGGATAATAAAAAACACGTGGTCACTTTTTATTTTAAAAAACGTGAAATGTTTTATTAGTAGGCTTTAATATGAGCAATGTATTTTATTCATTATCAGTAATTTAATTTTTTCAGTGGCGCATTCCGTTTTATCCCACAAACCGGAGCAATGATCATTCAAATGCTCAACACATGTCGTGAACTTCAATCCAACGCCAACACTGATCTCCAACCCTACCAATCTCAAATTTCGCTGAACTATGGAATGCGTTGTCCAGATGATCCAGGAAGTATTTTAACAGAATGCGGTGATAGTGTAGCCTGTTTATATGATTACACACTTCTCAATTCCAAAGTGTTAGCAGAACAAGAAGAAGAGAGTTGGAATAGTTTTGCAACTGATAGATCAATTGCAATTCGTCAATACAACAGTTGCGGTGCAATTAACATTGAATATCCAGAATATATGATGAAAACTCCAGCTTTAGCTCCAGGATATTTGCAAGGAAATGTTGCTCGATTTGAATGTTATCAATCACATTGGGTTAAAGGAGATCACGAATATAAATGTGGAATTGTTGTTGATTATAACAGACCAAATGAATATCGATTTGAATGGAATAAAGGATCACAACCTTGGTGTAGATCAAGAATCAAGGAAAATTATTATAAATGGTTGGCCACAATTTTCGGAATAGTTGGAATTATCACAATTATTATTTTAATCTTCACACTTTGCTGGTGTATAAAACAAAAGAAATTGCAAGATGCGAGAAATTATGGAGGAACTGCTGCCTATAGTAATAACGCATATCAACCTTATGAAACGAAACCTCCTCGAACTTTATCTGTTGGCGATTTATCGAATGCTCCGAGAAATGTTACAATGCCATTGCCACGTGGCACAACAGCAACACCGGCAACTTTGGAACCACGTGGATTCTCACCAGCTCCGACTGCGACTGATATACGTGGATCACAAAATGGATTGATCGGATTGAACACAAGTGTTTAATTGATTAAATAATTTATTAATTAGGTTGAAACTGAAAGGGTTTATTAAATTATTCGAAAAACAATTTTGCAACATCTTTACTAGCTTTCAGTTTCTACCTAATTTTTTTGAATTGATTTGATAATTTTGATTATTTCGGTTGCTCAATTTTTCCTCAAGTTCTTAATTTTTCACTTTTTTTCCCACTCAGCCTTATACTTACTGTATATACATACGATAGGTACCTCAAAGATACATATTGTGTCTGAATTTAGTAAGTGTTATACACATTATCCTTTCATTGTAATAAATTATTGATTTTTCAAAAAAAAGTGTCTTTGAAAATAATTAATTAAAACATTAATCATAAAACTTGGTTTTTAGTGATATGAAAGCGATCATAAAAAGTAATAAAAACTTTTTTTGGAATGATAGTCATTTTCATTTTCCAATTTTTCACATTTTTTGAGCCGCACCCAAAAAATGTTGAGGAATTTTCTATCAATTTTTCTCCTAATTTCTCTAACTTCTGCCGATGACTCGCAATTCTTTCGAATTCTGATTCGAGAATTCGACAATCCTGCTGGCACTCATTTTTCCGGTCAATCATGTTCGGATTTCGGATTTGTTGGATTGGGTTGTAATACTTGGCTAGAAGCTGGGGTAATTGCTCAGGTTAATGATGTAGCAGTGACAACTTTGAATCAACAAATCAATTCGAGATATGAGACATCAGTGACTGGTTTGAATTTGATTGTTGAGGATGAGAATGCAGCTTCGTATAGCTTTTTTGAGGTAAACGGAACCGGGAGAGAACTCGTCCAAAATTATTGCGATTTTAGATGGAAAAAAATATATAATAAGCTATTGTTTTCTAACAGGGTTTCACTCTTCAAATCCGCCTCGCTTCCCAAAACACATTTGCCGACAATGTATTGATTGACTCATTCACCATCAATATTAACACCACTGATCAGACAGGAATCTACAGTTATACAAGTCAAAGAAATGGCACACTTCCAACTACTTTATCGATTGCCTGGTCTACAAATATCCCACCATTTGTGCCATCAACAACTTCAGCTTCAGAATCTACCACTGAATCGTTTACTGGATCTACAACAGCTTTCACAGGATCTACCACAACTTATATTCCTACAACTACACCAATTTTACCAAAAGATTGCTCTGAAATCCCGAATCTATCGATTTCTGGAGCTCAAACCATCTACCCAGATGGTGTTACCGCTGTTCAAGTGTTCTGTGATGTTAAGAGTTATGGAATTCTTACAGTTATCCAAAGTCGAGATAGTTCTGGTTCTTCAACTGATTTCAATCAAACTTATGATTCTTATACTCAACAATTTGGAAATCCATCAGCAGCTTCGAATTATTGGTTTGGTTTGGAAAATATGAATGTTTTGACAAATCAGAAAAAATATACTTTATTGATTGATGTTTGCTGTGGAAATACATTATCTTCGAGACAAATCTATCATGGTTTCAAGGTAAGATGAGGGGCTAACTTTGAAGCTTATCTCCTATTTCAGATTGGCTCAAACTCCACCAAATACAAACTCAGTGCCACCGCTGATCTTCCAGGAATTGGCCTCGATTACTCGAGTTCGAGAAAAGATATCGGATCTGAATTCAGCACTTATGATACCTACAGCTTGGATAAGTGAGTCTCTAAGTCATATCCACTCTAATTCCTTTTTTCAAGATCATCTTGCGATGAATTTGGATATGCTAGTGATGATGATGTGACAGTTCAACCATATGGTGGTTGGTGGTTCGGAAGTTGTGGAAATAATTTAAACGGAGCTCTTATCTCAAATACCAATGAAACATGCTCGATTTCGTAAGAACAATTTTAATTTAAAAATAACTCACCAAATGTTGTTGTATTCTAGATCTTTCGCCGGCGAGCTTGGTGTGAATTTGCGAACTACAACTGGAACCAATTCCGATGGTTGGGATGTTGATCTTATTTCATATAATCGCGTCAGAATGGCCATTTTTACATTTGACTCATTATTGATTGAAAAATCAGATGATTCTTTCTGCAAAAATTGATCTTATTAAATAAATTTCGAGAATAATTTTGAAAAATCGACAATGATACATTATTGGCGCAAAACCCAAGCGAAAAAGTAAAATTATTTTTCAATTCAGCGCAAAAATTCCGACTAGAAAAAATCGCGAAAAAATACGTTTCAAAATATTTTCAACTACAAAGCTATTAGACAGCGAAAAGGTAAGTTTCATCAGTAATGCCTCTTTGCTGGACCTTAAGTATTAAATAAATCTAAACCTAATCTACGCGCGAAAAAAGGAAGAAAATAAGAAAAAAACAATAAGAAATGTTAAGATAAATTAAACTATTTATGAAAACATGAAGAATAGAGGGGGACGCGATGTTAGAGAAGTAGAGTAGGTGAGATAGTGTGGAAAATGAAGAGAAAATTAGAGAGCGAATGGAGACGTATATTCAAAATAATATATTTTGTAAAAAGAAATTATTGATTGAGTAAGGAAACAAAAAAATTGTGGTAGACACAAGGGGGAAAAGGGTACACATTTTGTAGATCAAAACATTTTACGAGTCTAGAAATTACAAATTTTCTGAAAATTTCTGAAATTGTCCCCGAAACTCATACTTTAATTTAATTTCTAGTTACTTGATAACGATAAAATTATTTTTGAGAATTCATCATAAATATTTGATAATTATTTAATTGAGACAAAATGTTGAATCAAGTTTTTTGGAATCTAATAGTGTCTTCCTTGTCAGAACTAAATAATTCATATTTCCTATGTTTCAGAAAAGTACATATTTGCACACTTTTTCTTTTATCATCACTTGGTTTGGGTAGAGTCTAGGCAGACCAACTTTTTCACAAAGAAAAACTTAGAAACGTGGTTTCTGTTCACATAAATTGTAGTTTGTTATTTTGAATCGGTAGGTACGCCCATTTTTGTTAGATTCAAAAATTAATCCGAAAAATTTTTATCTTTATTGTTTCAGTCTAAAATTTAGATAGTTATGGGTATTCGTAAATTTTTCAAAGGTGAACAATTCACTGAAAAAATTTGTCTTGAAAACTATGTGGCTGTAGTGACTGGTGCCAATATTGGAATTGGTTTTGAAGTTGTCAAAGAGTTGAATTTGAGAAAAGCAAAGGTGAGCAATGATATTTTGATTTAAAATTGATCTATGATTTGTATTATTTATTCAGGTTTATATGCTATGTCGAAATGAGAAAAATGCACTTGATGCAATAAAACTTCTAGCAAATCTTGGTTGCGATTCTTCACGACTTTTCTTCATAAAATGTGATTTCCAAAGTTTTGAAAGCGTCAAAAATGCAGCGAATGAAATTCTTCGACTTGAAACTCGAATTGATATTCTGGTGAATAATGCTGCTGTTTTGATGACGAAATTCGAATTAACAAATGATGGGTTCGAAAAAACATGGCAAACCAATCATTTGGGACCGTTTTTATTGACTGAAATTTTGTTGCCAGCAATTAAAAAATCAGAAAATGGTGGAAGAATTGTGAATGTATCTGCTCTTATTCATGAGAAAGTTGAGAAATTGGATTTTGATAAAATTAATGATGAAAATCATTTTGGAGATTGGAAATCTTATGGCGAAAGTAAATTTGCAAATGTTAGTTTTCAATTCAGAAAAAAATTAATTGTTGTAGAGGGTTTTTCAATTTTCAACTTTCAAATGATAATTTCCAGATAGTTTTTTGACATTGTGAATCCCACTGGCCCTTAGAAAAATTTACATTTAATGAAGAAGCGCCTTCCAGATTCTTCACGCTCGTCAACTTACACGTCGCCTAAAAGAATCCAATTCTTCAGTCACCATAAACTCTCTTCACCCAGGAATTGTGAACACTGATTTATTGCGTAACACATTTTGGGCAAAACCAGTAATAATTTCAATTGCTCGATTTCTAGCCAATATTTTCTTGAAAACTCCACTCGACGGAGCCCAAACAATTCTATACGTGGCGTTGAGCAAAAACATTGAAGGAGTTTCGGGAAAATATTTTGTGTAGGTTTTGAAATGTTTCAGTCTTCATAAATTTGTTGTAGGGACTGTAAACTTGCCAATGAATCTGAATTTGCCAAAAACGATCAAGCCAGCGAGGAACTCTATAATTACAGCATCGACAAAATTTCCAAATTTTTATAAACAATTTTTCATATTAAAAATGTTTATTGTGCTCCCGGAATTCCGGGAAAATCCACGTCACATAATCAAACAACACTGATTTCCAGGAGCTTGCAAATCAGTTGTAATAACATTGCTCCCTTTTCTCAAAACACTTTGCATTTGCTGAAATTGAGTTGGTGCAGTTTCAACATCTGAAAGTGTCAGATCTTCACAAGTGTCAAAATTGTTGACTCGAATATTCAAACCTTCCAGAAAATCTTCTTCTTGTTCTTCTTCGTCGAGCTGAAAATTGAGGAATTCACAGAATTTCGAAATATTTTTTGAGAAACTCTCTTTTCCGACTCTCTTCTAAAAAACTTACATAAGCCTTTAGTGCCTCCTTATCAATGAGCGAATTTTTGATTTTCGAACTTTTCGGATCCATCGAAGTTATATGAACATATGGTGATTTATCACAATCAATTTGTGAATATCCACCAAAAGTATTTCGAAAACTCAATTCATCAGCCAATGTTCTTTCAGTGGTCCCATCAGAAAATATCGCAGGTCCAGCCAATTTTTTAACAACCATCGATGACGTCATCGTATTTCCATTTATTTCATTATCGATTTTTTGCAATTCTTTGTTGCTTGTTCCACTGATTCGATTTTGAACTACGTCGATTATGTTTGGAGAAATTGTTTCGTAGATTTGAGCAGATTTTTGAACGTGGTTGTACTAAAAAAATTAAGTTATTTGGAGGAAACTCAGAATTCCAGTTGAATAAAACATATCTCGATTTTCAAGTCAATTTTTCTCCCCAAAAAACCCACCAAATAATCATCCCATTCATCTTGTTGCTCTTCAGTCAAATCCGGACAACTTCCAGCTGCAGCCATTTCTTCTTCATTTTCCGATGATGATAATCCATTTGGATCTGATGGATGTGAAGAACACGGAGAAATCGAGTGAACTGTACTACTATTCACCATTGATTTTGTCTGGTTTTTTGAGCGACGCTTTCGTTTTTTTCGCAGTAAAATAGCTGCAATTGGCGGACCGTTGGTAGCTGGAAAAATAAAGAGAATAGAATGTGTGTGTTTTTTTTTTGGGAATTTTTTAGATTGAAAAATTTTGATATCAAGATTGAAAAAAAAACTAAAAATGTTCAGAACTTTTGGAGGATAAAAAAAATCAATCAAAAAATGAAAATAAAAGAAAATGTTGTATAATAATGGGGGTTGAGATGTGTGGATATTTTAAAGTGTTCCGAATGGGTGATAAAGAGAGGAAAAAGAAGAGGAGGACAAAAGGATAGAAAACAAAACAGATAGATAAAAAGATAAGTTTCGAGAGTTGTGTAATACTTATAATGTATATTTATTGTTAAATATTTGTATGTAGGTATTTATGTGATCTTTGGCACATTAGAATCGTATAGCATAATTAAAAAAAAAATTCACAACGACTAATCCTGAAATTCTAGAAACTCTCAATTTTCAGCAGAATAATAGCAACTAAAAAATTTCAGAACATTTCTTGATCTTATTTTTTTTTAGTTTTCAGAAAAAAAATTTTTAAGGACTGGAAATTTTTGTTTTTAACAATATATAAATTCACAGAAAAAAAAAATTTCACCCAGATATTTCAAACCAAAAAAAAACTCACGATTAATAGTAGTCATATTAGCCGTATATCCAGGTGGGATTCCATCAAAAGGACGTGGCATTGTTGGAGGTAAATTCTGGGGCAGAATTCCAAAAGTTTCAGCCAACAATTTAGATCTCGGCACAAATTCAGGAGCAGTTATCCATTCTGAAAAAAAAACGCAGAAAAAAATGAGCACGAAAAAACGCCATCAATAAATAGGTTGGTGTAGTCAAAAAAAAGGAGAAGAGGGTCCATTTAATGCGTTTTGCATCCGAATTACTCTTTTCCCCGTCGCCAAAAAAAAAGAGGAAAATTCATGTTCTTTTCTATTTTTAGAGGTTTTTTCACTTTGATGATGATGACACAAGAATATTAAAAACTGCTGAAACTCTTCAGAAAGTTCTGAAAAAAAGTTTTAAAAAAAATCTTGAAAAGACTCAACATTTTCATGCAGAAACCATTTTCAAAACATAATTTTTTCATAAATAAACTTTACTAACTTTCTGGATCCGGCGTCTGAAACGGCACTTTTTTCAACGGAACTTGATAATTTTTTTCGCTTTCAAAATATTCATTAGGCGGCCGATCGGCTTCTTCGAAAAATACACGAGAAGATGAAGACATAAGTGGAGCTCTTCAATTGTTTTTTTTTCTGAAAAAAATAAAACTTAGCCTAAATCTTGAGTAATATGTTATTCAATAGAAATAAAAATGATAAACAAGATGGTGAAAAGTTTCGGAAGCCGAAAGAGAAACACTGTGAGATTTTGAGGGACGCAGAGATGAAAACGAAATTTTTACACAATTTTTGGCTCATTTTTCTTCAGCTCTGACATAAAGTGTGGTCATTTTGATGACAGATTTTCCTTGAGAAAATTATGGAAAAAAAAGTTGATAGATTCGATCTCTTCAATTATAAAATGAAAAATTGAGAAATTCAATTTTGCCAATCTAAAACCTTTTCCCGAATAAAAATCACATTGAATCTGAAAAGTGAAAAAAAGCTATTTTGAAGCTATCAAAATTCTCTTCGGGATAACGTAGATACAGTAGCTCACAAAATTTTGTGCTGTACTTTGATGAAAAAAATCAACGAAAAAAGAATTATCAAATGAGTTTTTCCAGAAAAATCACATTTGATCTCAGAATCATTTATAATTTCTCTAACTTCTTCATGTTTCTGAATTTTGAATAACATTTTATCAATAAAATTCCAATATTTTCCCAATTTTCCATCCCCAAACTTTCTCGACTCCAAATTTTGTTTCAAACAAAAAAGCAACAGCCTCTCCTCTCCAAATCCCCCCATATTTCATCAAATTATGCAAATTTGATGTGTTTTCTTCCTGTTAACTGTATAACTAATTAATTCCACTTAAAAATTTTCTGACGCAAGAAAAAAAAAGTTTTTTTTTGAGAACTAGGAAGGAAGTATAATTAATCAAGATTTTTCAAAGATATCATCATCATTATTTTTTTTGAATTAGGGAAAAAAAACTTTTTTTTTGAAAAGAAAGAAAAATGTGACATTTATGGTCGTTAATTCTTTCATAGATCATTGAACTTTTTATGTTTTTTGTTTTGAAAAAATAACATCAAAAGTTTTTGATCTACATATTTAAATAGTCATTAAATCATTTTTATTCATTCTTTTTGAAGATTTCATTTCCAGTCTAGTTTTTGGTACCAATTTCAAAAAATCTACAAATTTTTTTCATTTTCCAAGAGTTAAAAAATCGTGCCAGGATTTCATGAAATAAAAAAAATCTGAAAATATCATCGAGGAAATCTAGAGAAGCTGAATTTTCAAAAATCCACATTTTGAAAACTACCATAAATTATTTTTATTCATGTTTTTTTTTGTTTTTTCATTCAAAAACAATACCGCCACTCTTTTTTTCTGACTAATTCATTCCCTTTTCACTCATTAAAAATATGATTGACTCACAAAAAAAAACATATTTTTTATTTGATTAACTACCTACCTACCACTAAAACATATGCCACCCTTTTGTTCCTCCATTTTTCTTGCTAATTTTATAAGCACTACAGTAATCCAATTCACACATACTTGTAGATTAGCGACAGTTGCGCCATGCGCTTTTATCGTGACATTTTTATGCAGATTTTATTGATGGCGTGGATTTTGTGGTGGAAAATCGGAAATTAGAAAACTTATTGCATTTAACTATGTGAAGTTTGGAAGTCAAAATTTAAGACCAAGAAACTTTCAGATGTTCTAGCTAGAATTTTATATCAATTTTTCGAGCTCATGTTTTCAGAAAAAAATTGAGCTCAAACTTCAGCCTATCTGACCCTTAGCCTAAGCCTTCAGCCTTTTCACGACCTTTTTTTCCAAAAATAACCTTCCCTCATTCAAAAAACCACATAAATTGCGCGAACACACAAAAACCCGACAAAATGTTTTTGGTAATACGATACGCAGAGAAAAACACATGTACTAACGAATTAGTAATATAAAAATAGTATATTGGTAATTTCCTGTGTGCCGCCAAAAGTGGGAACGGCGACTAGTGGAAAAAAATAAATTTGGCCTTTTAGGTTTTTTTTGCAGTTGTGGGAAAATGGCTGATTCATTTATTAGTTCAATTTTTGCCTTGGCACGGCATATACAAAAATGTGTTGGCATTTTGTTTTGAATGAGGAGAAGATATGAAAGAGAAGGAACGAAACATTAGAAATTCCTTTGTTGACAACCTAAAACAGCAGGAGGTAATGAATATTTGATGGATTTCCGAATTTGAGAATTCGAATCGCAATTATGTATTGCATTTTAATTTTATTTGTTTTGAAATGTAACAAATTGTTTTCGAGAAATTTGAAATTATTTGGAATTTTTGAGATGTTCGGAATTTCAAAAATCCAAAAATTTGCCACGTGTATTCTGCTCTAATCTCTTATTTTTCCACGTGGATTTTAGCCCCTAATTTTCTAAAAAAAAACCTCACTTGAACTTTCGGACCTAATAGTTCGGCAAAAAGTTGTCACATGGATTATTTCTACTATAAAACTAATTTCTTCAATGTGGAACCGCCCTCATGACAGTAATGTATTCTTGTATCGAAATATAATTTGGCCTAATCAAATTATAGAACATTTCTTTCATCTTTTTTTTATTTGCATGATTAAAAGAAGAACAATTTCGTGGAGTGTAATAAATAATACTTCCTATCTAAAATCACCTTTTTTTTCTTTTTTTGGGTGTCGGCTTGATATGTGTCTCTGACTGCGAAAACAAACAAACAAACCAACCAAAAACCCATGAGTTTTTGACACGTTTCGGTTTCCCTTTAACTTTTTTGGATATTATTTACCCATATATCAACGGGGTACTGTACTTGAACGTTCAATAAATTTTTAGTTTTGTTTATTTGACATGATTGTGTAAAAGGCGGCTTTTAAGAGTTAGGATAATTAGCTAATTAATTTGGAAAATCTTATAACACGATCTCCGCGAAATTTTTGGAGCTTGATTGATGATTTTGCTTGTGGGAAGGGAAATTAGGGTGATTGAGAAGGAGGTGTGAAATAGCACGTTTTGAAAAAAATCTTGAGATGGTCTAGTCGGTTAGAAAGGTGTCTATGACTATTAGAAGCTGGATCCAGTCGGGGTGATTGCGAATATTTTTTGGGATTTTTAATTTTTCGTATTCACAATTTTTTGGGAAATCAGCACAATTTACGAGAAGTCGTAAACAATTCAGATTTTTATTTTGACACGTGGTTTTGTGATTGTTTTTAGGAAGTTTGTGTCTAATCGTAAATTTTCAAAATGTTGATGGCTGTAAGTTATTATGTTGCAAACTCTACAGAACATCGCAACTTCCCAAAATTCTCACAAACTTTTCATGATTTACAACAACACATCAACATTTTTAGCAACACGTGGAAATTTAGGAGCATCGTAAATTCCTACAAAATTTTGCGCAGGGCCATTCTTGGTAAACCCAATTCAGAAATTTCAATTTAACTAATAAATACCGGAAATAGTTCAACAAAACTTCAAGGCTACACTAGAAAACACTGCTAACAGATGTTTTTTTTCTGGTTTCTCCTGCGGTTTTTAATTGACCCTATTTTTTCATATGGGTGTCGGATTTCTCGCCGATTTCAAAGATATCATTCATTAATCACACAGATTTCATTTCGATAGATTAAATAATCTATTTTATTCTATTTATCAAAGTAGGTCAAACTTTTTCTAGTTTTTCGTATGAAATTTTGTTGAAACCTAGAAAATTCTACTACAAAACGAAATGATTTTTTAATGTCTCAATAATAAAATTTGCGGTTCTTTTCATTTTTCTATTATATGTAAGTTAGATGTTATCTTCACTCTGTGTCATGTTCATTTTGATTGATATACTCTTTTTTTGAACAGACAGGTAGCATGTTTATTTTGTTTTGTATTGTCAAAAAACAATTGCGCAAGTTTCATTAAAGGCGCAATCGAAAATCTCTTTTCGGAAAGAATCAACCCGACTTTTATTGAGAAAACATTGATTTATGAGGATTAGTGTTAATCTGCGCAAGAGCTACCGGAACGGAATACGAAAAGGGGTAGAAACATGATACTTGACAGTTTTTCAAGTGAAGTGTGAGAAAGTTTTTGGTGTCTGGGGCTTCGGGTGATTTAGGATAGATCTAAAAATCAGGCTTCGAATTTTCCACCTGGTATTTTATGCAGTGTTTTAAGGAAGTTAGAATTGATTTATAGAATTCTGCATGTTCACAAAACCCATGAACATTGATATTATTATTTTTCGGAATATGTTATATATTGTGGAAATATGGGAAGACTCGGGATACAATTTGTTTCGAAAGAAATCGTGAAATTGTTCGAAATTTTCTCTGGAATTTATTTCCAAAGCATACAAAACATTCCTTATCGTTTTTTTTGGCTTCCGCCAGGTGTTTTACACCAAATACAGTCAATTTTCAATGAGAAATCATCAAGGTTTCCAACTGTGTTCACCCGCAAAAAAACGACAAGTTAATTTCATTTATTTTCGAGAAAAAATTTGATCTACTAGCGATATTTTGAAACAACTTCAATCCAAAAATATTTAGTTTGCTCTTTCATTTTTGCCGAAAAATTGGGACAACAAAAAACTTGTAGTTTACAATTGACACATCAATTTTGAAAATGTGTCAAGTACTCTTCATGTTTTTTTGTTGTTGTTTTTGTTTTTTCCTTGATTGTTTTCTAACAAACAAATAAATGTGTGAATTGCTCTTCTTCTGACAAACAATTCGTCTACTTGAATAAGAATAAAAAATGAACCGCGCCCTTTTTGCGGGTGAACACAGTTGGAAACCTTAACTAACTAAACATCTTATTCATTTGAAAAATAGACAATATTTTGGGGGGCCTAAAACACCTGTCGGACGATTGAGAAAAGAGGATTAGAAATATTTTGTTTTTCATTTGGTTAGATTAAGATCTTCTTCCTTTTTTGGTGACAGATTCACCATTTCGCACCTGCCATTTTGTTTTTCGATCCAGTTTTGTTAGCCGGCACAATTCCTTTAGGATAAATCTTTTTAAATCTGCAATTGTTCACGTGAACCTCTAATTTTGCATTGAAAAAAACTAATTTCCCTCTCTGAACATAAGTTATGACGTGACAAAATTTCGAAAATTTCAAATTTTGCCGAAAACCCGTTGAATCCACAATTTTCACTGAATTCATCCAATTTTGCCACGTCATAACTCATCTTCTATTTTCAAACCCAAATCAAATCTGTCACTGTTCCTCCCTAGAAATTCGATATATTTTCGCATAATCTGAGCAATATCAAATTTCTACAGATGTTTCTTTTTTTTTTACTAAGAAGAGCTCTTCACAGTTACTCCCCGCTCATCAAAAAAACTGTCAATTTGTTGATATTCCCCCCTCCCCCATTCTTCAAACCGACAAACAATTAGGCCACGCCCATTTTTCTAAGCCACGCCCATTTGTTGGATGATAGATAGACTTGAAAGGGTTAGATGTTCATTTTAGATTTTCTACTACCTTATAGAAGTTTTTTGAGCATTAGTAAGGTTTCCGAGGAGAAATTTCACGTCCTACTATTTTAAGATACACTTTGTTTTTATTTCTCATGTGGTATCCGTTTAAGTTTCTCTAACTCTGATATTTTTCAGATGACTGAAGTTAGTTGCTCATTTCAAGATTCGTATTGTATCGACGATTCACTCATCGCTTGCGAGATTTGTTTCGAGCCTTTCAATCACGAAAATCGGCCACCAAAATTGCTACCATGTGGACACAATTTTTGCGAAACTTGCATTTTCAGCATGTGCTGTCATCAAGAGGTTTGTTAGTTTCTGAGCGTGGGAATTTTGACAAATCGGGATGAATAACAATTTTTGAAATGAAGACAAAATTCAGTTCACGCAGAAAATATCTTTTTCTCTAAATTTAACGATTTTCCGAGTTTAACGCCAAAAAATCAAGAATTTCGCCTAAAACCATCAAAAAATCAACAGGGTACTGTACCTTTTATCAAATGTGTGCAAACACCGGTAGCTGCATTTTATTTGACGCGCACGTATTTTTAATTTTTCTCCTGTGCACAGAACGAAAATCTAATGTGTCTCTTTTCAGTACTACCTTCTCGACTCTATAAAATGTCCAACTTGTCGGCGATCATTTCCAACGAATACAGCACGACAAGCACCAACAAATTATGATCTTTGCAGTGAGTTTTACATATTTTTCACAAACACAGAAAAAAAATGGTTTTTATAGGGATTCTTGAGAATGTTCACAAGAAGAAGGAGCAAAATGTCACGGTGATTCATTTGACGACACCGAGAAAATCGCAAATCGAAAAAGAGAAAAAAGAAAAGAAACCTCGAACAATTGTGACTGCGAAATGTAAAAACCTCGCGGATAAAACCGAAGAATCAAAGCATCTTCGATGTTCAGAATGTCAGCGGAAGTTCAGTCAAAAGAATCTATTCCGAGTTGCAAGATATTGTGTAGATTGTACAAGCACAAGTAGAATGACTATCGTTTGTCTGGAATGTTGTGTAAATCAACACAACGGACATGAATTGTATTCGGAGGATCAATTGCATCATAATCAATTGAAAGTTTTATCGGAACTTCGAGGAATTCGCAGAAAAGTTGTTGATTGTTCAGAAGGATTTGATAAACGAAGTGAAGAATTAAGAGATTCTGGAAAAGATGTTTGTATCAGTTTGACATCGGAGAAACAGAATTTATTGATTTATACGTTGGCTTCGATTGATGATGTTGTTCGAAGAATTGAAAATGCTCCAATTATGTTCCCACCAGTCTTACAGTATGTTTTTTATTTTAATGTTTATCTAAGGGTGTCATCTGCCCCCAAATATTTTTATTAGTCATTATTTATAATTGTTTTAATGAATGGGGTGAAGGAGAGAGATATATATATATATTTAAGTTTGAATATTGATTTAGGCTTGAAAATTTTCATGAGGGTCACAAAAATGTTAAAATTCCAAACTAAAATTCGATCAATTTCCAGAACAATTCGCGACGAACAAATCCACAACTACCAACGTCTCTCAAAGTTGAGCAAAGTTCTCGAAAATTCTGCAACAAGCCGAAAAAACACAAAACCTTCGAAAACAATAATGACATCTTCCTCACCATCAACATCTGCTAATATTTCAACTTTATCAATTCGTCAATCAAAAGTCTCTTTGAGAGGAGACGATGTTCTATTTCATGATTCAATTGATTCACTTTGCCGACTTATTCCAAGTCATCCAATGTCTATTCAACTCAATTTTCATCATTCTACAGTATCACCGAAAGATACGGTAGAGGAGAGAAAACGAAAAATTATGTCGTGTGCGCATGCGGCTTCTTGTATGTTGGATAGGTGAGTTACCTAGATTTTCGAGAAAAATGTGGTATTACAAATCCCGACTCGATTCAAAAACTCCCAAAGTTACCTTCTCAAAAATATTAATAATATTTCTGCAGCGAAACAACATTATCTATGATCCCACTATTTGCTGATGTTCTCCTCAACTGCTTCTATCAACTCAATAAATTATCAAAAAACAAATTCGACGACAAAAAAAGTTGTCGACGAATCGATATTTGGAAACAAATTCAAATCTCATATAGTGAACTCCTCAACATTTCTGCCAAAAATTTCCCAGCTTTTCATCCGGAACGCGTTGATATTCTAGATGATCTCGCATATCTATGCCATCTTTATTCCGATGTTTGTGATCAAGCTACAGTCACAATTTGTATTATTGAAGCAGCTCGTGCGAGATCAGCCGATTCTTCAAGCTTAACTGAAATGGAGCAAAGAAAAACTGAGGAGCGATTGGAATTAATTGATCAGCATTTAACAGAGTGCAGAAGACAGCAAAAATTAGCGGAACTTTGCAAGACATCTAAAACAAAAAAGACAACTAAAACGCATGGAAAATTCAAAAGATTATTTGGAAGTTGCTTTATGCCAAAAAGCAAAAAGTGAAAGAAATTTTTAAATAGTTTAAGTAAATGAATAAGTGAATAGTTTGTATTTTGTAAATATTAAATAATAAAAATATGTTTTTTTTTCTTTGCGTGACCATAAAAAAACAATTCCCCGTCATTTCTTGAAACGATACAAATGCGAATAACCTATTGTATAGCGTTGTTAATATTTTCGATTTTTACCGTGCAAAATTGTGGAGCGAGATATATCTGTGGAAGTCACAAGTAAGACACTTTCTAAAACAATATTGAAAAGCGCAGAGAAGTTGTTTTTCAGAGATGAAGTATTTTCCAAGGAACGACCTGATACTGGTGATTTTCCGTTTTTGAAAAAAGAAGATGCTCAGAAATCTGGAGAATATGAAGATGAAGAAGTGGAGAAGAGTGAGAAAAGGTGGGTTGGTTCTCAAGTTGTCACGTGGAGTTTCAGCGGAAAATTGAAATTCAATATTTTGTGTTTATTCGCGTCAACCTATATTTGCTAGAAAAAGTTATCTCGATTTTTTTCAGCCCAAGCTCATTCATTATTCGAATTATTTATGCAAGTGTGAGCACCGTAATATCACTAATCCTCTTCATATTTTCGGTGTATATTTTGATCAAACCAACTTTCACAGTAACCCGAGTCCGAAACTCATCTCCCGGTGCTCTGTCAGTCGAAATTCCTGCTGTTCTTCAAATGTCACTTGTTAAAAAATATCAACCAAAAGATTCAATTATTTCTGGAGCACCGCTGGCTGCTGTAGTTATTGCAAATGATAAGAAAAAAGGAAAATCTCCATTGGTCGTCAAAAATAACAAAAAGGATACGGTCAAAACCAAATTGTGATTAATAAATTAATTAATTACTAGCAAAAAAAATTATATGAAGTTTCACTCACGATTTTCAATGAAAATAGAATTCTACACGTTGATCACGATCATGTTGTGAATATAATAGGTTTTTGTTTCCAATCAGAGTACCGCAACGAAACATTTTCGTGAAAAGGAGGAATCATAACGCAGTTGAAAGGATGGATAACTTCAAAAATTATGAATACATTGGGTTCACTCGCATTTATTTTGGGATTGCTGGTTATAATATTGGTATGCTACGTATTATTATCATGGTTGTATTTCATCTATTTTCCAATTGGACGAGCAAGAAGGAAGAATAGAACTAAATTGATGTGATCTTTTCTTCCCAGTCGGAATGTCGAATATTTCGAATCCAAACACCAAAAATCTAATTTTTATTATACAATTTTTTGTTTGTCAATTGTATTGTTTTTATTAGCAATTATAGTTTTATATCCATGCGGGATCATTAAAGAGGGGAGGGGGGTAAGACGACAAAATTTTATTTGCTCAAAAGATCGGGCCCTCTTAGCCTGAGCTGAAGCCAAAGCCTCAGGGGATTTTTCTCGAAGGGCCTAAAAAGGTCCGAAAAAAATATTCCATGAACTTTTTTCAACCTATACGTTGTCCAAACATTTATGGAATAATTTCAACCTATACGTGGTACCTAGTTTATGGAACATTTTTTCTGGACGTTTCCAGAGCCTTGTTAATTCACAAAATTTGACACATCATAACTCACAGTTAGAGTTAGGCGTAGGAACTTTTTGATAAAGTCATTTTTCACTAACTAACTCAATTAATCAATATTTATTCAAAGTACAACCATATCTTCACTATTTTTAGTCATCGAATCGGCTTCTAATATCGTCACTTTTTTGTGCCTTCCCATACTCGGTTCTTCTTCCTCGCAATTTTCCCGTTTTTGTGATTTTTTCGATTTTTTGTGACATAAACAATGAATTATATAAATTACGGTAGGAGTGATAAGTGATATTGGCAACACTATTATCAATATCAGAATCTGGAAAATTACTTTTGGGAAACGACGACGCAGTGGAAATAAATTTCATATATATTTTTTGATTATCTAGCATCATTATCTAGCATCCAACAGTCTGATGTCGAAATTCGAAGCTATATCATTAAGTAAGCCTAAGTTTTAAAAATCTGTTGATCTCACCTAGTTCATCATTCCAAAGAGATCTCTCAAAAGCAACAGTGAAAAACTGACCTCAACTTTCAAATGATGACAACAATCCTTATTCAAATTCCCGCAACATTTATGATAAGATAAAAAAGTCTCTTCGGGACACTTCAAACCAATCTCAAAAGTCGGGCACCATAAACCAGTAGGAATGTTGAAAATTGTTGTGATAGTTAAATTGGAATCCGTGAAATTAGAGAAAGAATAGATAAAATCAATGAATAATGAAAAAATGAGTAAAAGTAGCCGGAGAAACATTGAACAAATGTTTCGAGAGAAAAGGCGAAAGCGGAAAATTTTGAAGGGGGAGAAATCGATGTTTCGTGCAGATTATTGGAGCCAATTTGTGGCTGACTGGTGGAAAAGAGCATTTTTTATAAGGAAACCTTTTGGGAGCCAGAACTAGATGAAAAAATCGATGATAAACTTAGGGGGGGGGGTGATAACTTGAATGTAATTTTTAATTTGAAAAAAGTGGTCCCTAAAATTCGGAAAAAATCGCTCATCTTATTATAGTTCTAATATGTAAATTTTCTGTGAAAATTCATTATGAAAACTGATGTGACATTTTTTCTCTCATTTTTTTAATTCAAAATTTCAATTTGTTTCTCAAAATTGTTTTCTGCCAAGTGGCAGATCTTCAAAAAATATTTGATACAAAAACTTTATATTTATGACTCAATTTCTTTGTTTTCGTGATTCGGGAAAAAGAAACATTTGTTGGCAAAATATTCTGATTCACAAATTATCAAAAAACTATGTTTTATATTTTTTGCTATTTTTCCATGGAAACATTTTCGTGATATTTTATTTTTCTGTGCTCCTGGAATCATCAAATAAAGGTGGGAAATTGAATAGAAAAAATAAAAAAATAGCACCGAAAGTAAGAAAAAATGAACGAACAATCGCCATCAGATTATAAATCTGCATTAAAAAAAATGTAGAATTGAAAAAATGACTCATACATATTTGTGTTGTATACAAGCAAAAATGTTATGTATACTTCATATATAAATATTAATTTCCCAAAAGCTTGAAGTGAAGCCTCCACGTGGCGAAAAAATCCCCACGATTCTTAGCTCACAAGCGTTTGGCCAATATTTAGTCAAACTCGTACCATCCGAGTTTTTGACCAAAAATTGGCCAATTTTAGAACAAAATTTATTTGGTCAAACATTCCTCCACATGTGGCTAGCATACTACAAGATTCTGAATACATGAAAATCTGTATTCTCATAAATTTTCCAAAAATATGCATTAGTTTTTTGATCAACAAGTTGCCTAGGATATTTAAAAAACGATTAAGAAAATCCAGACTACTGTAACGATCGTTTTATTCTTAGTATTTCTTTTCGACAAAAAATATTATTTGTGCCGAAAATAAGTTCTTTCAGGATGAGGGATCGTCTTTTTTCCTTGCTCATCATATTTCTAGTAGTATATGCATTTTTTCTCACTTTTAATGATTCTGAACAATACCCACAAGAATTTTCGAGAAATGTACTTTCGGTGGGAAAACCTGCGCCAAAACAATACTTCGGATTCTATCAGACGGAACGGGATAAAGAATTCAAAGAAAAAAAAGTAAGCAATTTACTGTCGATTAAAAATAGTATTGTCGAAATTCAAAAATGTGGCAGCCGTAAAAAATAAAAACCAGTGCAAAGCTGAATGAACGACAAAGTCATTACTTCGTCAGTCGCGTGCGGCTGTGCGTCGCGGTCGAGAAACAATCTATATATCACAGCTAAAAAAAGATTTATTTTGTTACCGTGATACGGTATGCATCGGTGTTTGCAGACAAGAGAGACCTTGCCTGTTTCGAACAAAAAAAACGTAACTAAAGTGTTTAATATATTTTCTTCTTTTTTTTAGCTGTGTATCAATAATCCATTTTTTCCTTTGCATCTTGACCTCGACGCATAGCCGCACGCGACTGACGAAGTAATGACGTTGTCGTTCATTCAGCTCTGCACTGGTTTTTGTTTTTTACGTCTGCCACATTTTTCAAATTCGACAATACTCTAGACAAAAAACTTCGTCAGAGTGCTTAAGGGCTACCGTGGATCAGAAAGACTTATTTTGTTGCAGCTCCCCACTCCCGAATCTGCCTATCTTCTTTCCGCTTTCGAATTTCCCAATGAGATTTCAATTGTGCACACAAATCGAGACATTACTGGTGCCACCCTTTGGTGTCGATATTTCGACGAGAATTCGACTGAAATCTCATTTCCTCAAAAATCATTCACATTTCCAATTTATTTGGTGAATTGTCCAAAAGTTCCAGGAACTCAAAGAGTTTCTTTGAGTGTTTTTGAAAATTCGACAGATTTCGATTTTCCAATTCCTTTGGTTCAACGTGACGAAGTCGATTATGGCGCAGAAAAATATGAATTTTCAATGTGTGTGTCACCAATTTACGGAAAAGAGCCGAAATGGCTGATGATTTCGGAGCTCATTGAGCACTATAAATTACAAGTAAGTCATTTTTTAAGTAAAGTTGTGAGGCTTTGTGTGATTCCTTTCAGTATTTTCCTATTTCTTCAGGGTGTCAGCCATTTCTATTTCTATATTCATCTAATCGATCAATATAGTCGAGCAATTCTGGAGGAATATCAAAAAACTGGGGAGATTACTGTAGTCAATTTATTAGAAAAATACGATAGAGGTGTAAGCGATTGGCAAATTGTACAATATCGAGTGAGTTTACGCCAATAAAATATTTTGAAAAAATAATCGTTGAGGATTGTCAACTTCGCGCGAAATTCGAGTCTCGCTGGGCGCTTTTCGCTGATTTAGATGAGCGAATACTTATGACTGGTTATCCGGGAACAATTCTGAATTATTTGAGAGATTTGAAAAATGCGCAGAATATTGGAGCGGTCGTTTTTAGGCAGAGATGGATTTTGAAAACTGAAACTATGCCTGAAAAATATGTCAATGATAGTCATGTGAGTTTTCTTGGAAGCTGATAGGTAAAACCTTCTGGCACCGAACCACGGAAATATCTTCCAGCTCCTTTCCTGGCTCCCAACTCTTCGCTGGCATAACACATCTTCAGTTGGCCCTCCAGGACATACTGTCAAAACTATTGCGGATCCAAGAAAAGTCTACGAAGCCTGGGTGCATTATCCAAAACGATATTATCCGGGCCAACATGAATCACACGATGTAAAGCCGGAAGATGGTTATGTTAGGTGGGTGGAAATTCGGAACATTTTCTAATAGTCTAGAAATTAATGTTTTTCTTCTTTCCCAGACATTATCGCGATCAAAAAATGGGGAATTGGGGTAAAACGTGGATCAATGATGTCATTACATTCGGCCCGTTTTCGCTGACAAATTATTCCGAAATTTATCAGGAAAAATTGGTGGAAAATGTGCGAAAGAGAGTGGAGAATGTATACAAAAATTATAATTTGAAATTGGAGGATTAGGAGTATATTTAACATACGTGTGCATAAAAATAGATTTTTGACAGTGTTAAAAAAATCAGAAGGACTTTTCTTTAAAAAAGGAAAGATTTTTCAGTTGAATTCCAAGAGAAACAAGAATAAAGTTTTCATTGTTTCTCAGAAGGGAATGTAGATATCTTGTACGAAAAATGTTTTTGCCCAATAAAAAATTTGCTCACTTGGAAACAGCTGTATATTCGCGTGGATTTTCGGCCATCGAGTCCGGATTTTTATAAATCGTTTTCCTCAATACAATTCGCTTGAAAAAGTGCGAAACTTTGTCTTTCCACGAATCAAATTCCGGGTCATTCACGTCGATATTTTCGCGGAAAATGTTTTTGACATCGGCGGCGGTTAGGCGATGATTTGCATCGTATTCTCGGCAATGTTCAAATATCTCGTAAATGAATTGAGGAAGACCGTCCATGTTTAGGTCGAGTTTTATCTGGAAAAATTAGGGATTTTTTTAGTGGCGAGATATTTAAATGTTTCTTGAGAAGTTCTCATTTCAAATTTCAATTGAAAAAAATCGATTTTGTAGCTCCGAAATGTTTGGATCAAAATTTAAAATGTTTTTTCTCAATTAGCTGTGAAAATACAAAATGATTTCAAACTCAAAAAATACTCCCCGCCGAAAACTGCATAAAAACAATTGTTCGCTAGAGCACACATTTCCTTTTTCGTCCATACCTTATTAGCAATAATTGCTTTTCTCAATGCATTTCCGCCAAGTGTCGAATTTTCGAAAGGAATTCCACCATCATGAAAAATCTCATACATCAGTGCACCATAACTATACATATCAGATGCTGCACTATAAATTCCAGGCTTCAGAGTTTCCGGCGCCATGTACCTTTAAAAATTATTTTTATTTTCAAATAATGACAAAAGAACTAATTTTTAATCATATATTTGTTTTCTAGTAAAATTAAACACGTCATAACTCGTATCTAGAATTGAGAATCTTTTTAAAAAGGGGTTTGTTATCAACGTGTCAAAATTTACTAGAAAACATATAATCCAACAGTTTTCTATAAAATTGTTCTTACTTTAATGGTAAAGTACCACCTTTCTTCTCTTTGATAGTTACACCTTTACATGACAACCCGAAATCTGAAATTTTCAGCACATTTTTCTTGGTCAGCAAACAGTTTCTGGCCGCAATATCACGATGAATAGTTTCCTTTGAATGAATATATTCCAAACCACAAGCAGCATGAAATAAATAAATCAATTTTTGATCGAATTCCACGCCAGGCTTTGAAGTTAGCATATCTTCTAGCGATTTATTCTCACAAAATTCCATAATAAGCATAATTGGTTGTCTCATTGTGCAAACACCATACAATCTAATAACATTTGGATGTTTTAACGAAAACATAAGACGAGCCTCTTGTAAAAAATTTGCTTTTTCTTTACTCGAAAATTGATTTTCATGAAGTTTCTTAACAGCGACAACAAGTTCTTTACTCATTAAATCGAGTTTCATAGTTCCTTTGTGAACCTCTCCATATTGACCTTCGCCAAGTTTTTCGCGAAGATTTATTTGTTCATGATTGATCTGCCAACTGTGTTTTCCAAGACCATTTTCCAAACTTATATCCAAATATACAGGTATTTTATTTCTTCGATGATATGTTGCTAATTCGACAACTGTTCTAAATGCATATCCAGATGTCCAATATAATTTTTTGGTTTTTGTTGTTCTTACAAGAACATGACGATGTGATTTGTTCCAAAGAACTGAGATTACATAATGGACTTGTTTATTGAATTCAGTTTGTCGAATGATGAAATCACCATTACTTTCTAACATTGATTCGGCTTCTTCTCTCGCCAAAAATCCGTGATAATAATATAAATTATCAATGTTTGTGTCGATTCTGCCAATTTCATCTGTTGATACTTCGATTAATTGAACTTTTGGGATAATTCCAAGTTTTTTGGTGTCAACCGGCTTGACTTTGGTTAGCGTGAGCTTTTTGTTCTCGAATTTCTTTTGTTCTTTTTCTTTCGCCGAAATCTTCGATTTTCCATTCTGCAAAAATTTTATTAGAAGGAAAAATAAAACTTTCTCAAGAATAAGGAGGAAATAACGAAAACAATTTCACGTCACGTTTAATACATGTTTTGCGCCTTTATCATAACTAAAATTCCGCTTTCTAAAAAGCCAAATATTTTCCCTAGTTCATCTTAAAAAGGCGATTATCCTAAAAATCCTATGATATACTCAAAACTCCTTGAAAAACCCCTATAAACCTTCGAAAACGCGTTTTCGTCAACGAAACGTGGAAAGTTTCGCGAAAAAGAAAACAAACTCCGTGCCCCGCAAACACCGTGACGCACAAATGCACAAAATGTCTTTCTACAGTACCTAATTTTAAAAAAATTCCCCCTAACTTCTCTCAAAATGCGGATCACAGAAAACTAATTGGTTTTCCTGATCCTTCGCGACTAGGCGAATCACATGATATGTAAAACTCACATCTTTCGGTGCTGCCGCCATCAATTTATTTGCCGACGCTTTTTTCAAAACCAATTCGTTGCTCTTAGATGCACCAACTTCTCGTGATTTTGTATCATTTGTATTGGTTTTCGATTGAGTTTTAGTCTTAGTTCGAGTTCCATTTCCTTTACCTGACACAGTTTTTGTGCCTGTTCCAGTTCCAGATGGAGTCTTTGCAACATTCGGTGTGTTCACCTTGGTGTTCGTTGGCTCCGTGGAATTCGACGCTGTTTTTTTCAGCGTTTTTTTCGAGCCCGAACTATTTAAACCGGCTTGAAATCGATGAACTGGCATTTGTAGGAGATTAAGAATTCAGAAATACGCTAAATTCTCAGGATTTTTGAAAAAAAAACGGTGTTTTGTCAAGTTCACGCGGAAATCCAAATCTTGTTGAGAAAAACATTATTATGACGCGGCATTTTTAAAAGTTCTAAATTTTTAATGACGTATTTCTAGCCATTTAGAAAAATTGAGAAATGACGTAGCGAACGTGACAAACAAAACAAAATACCACCAAAAATCTTTATTCATTCATTTTACAAAAAAAAAGAATCAAATCAAAAACACCTCTAATGTTATGGTGTTCCCAAATTATCGAACACATTTTTACGATCTTTCCAAAGTGGAAAAACTTCAGATTTTCCAGTTTCCGGATGTGTATATCTGTATGTTCGATAGAAGCGCACCAAATCTGTCAATTTTCGAAATAATTGAGTTTGTTGTTTGTTGATGATTACAGTCCACCACAAACTATTATTTTCGGTAAGAATTTGTTGGACACGGAAGTTGAAAACCTGAAAAAAGTAAGTTTTGAGGGTTTGAGGGACATTTTGAGATCAAATATGGCTAGAGTTACTGTACTCTTATACTCACTTGATTATCGCTGTTGCGATGACAAATAAAAAGCGGAATCGACAACGGAACTTGATTTGTCGGCGCAACTTTCGCTACACGATAATACAAAATGAAATCGTCCAATTTTGTTTTTTGTGCCGCTTGCTTCTTGTTCAAAACACCGTGATAGTGTTGCTCCAAAATTTGATCTGCTGGGTTTGGTGACTCATTTGAGGCGCTAATTGACTCTGCACTATAAATCAATGTGGTATCCGGTGATTTTTCCGAAGGAACCGACCAATTTGTGTTGTCATGAGCCAAATAAACACGCGGTTTGTAGTTTGACGATGGGTTTCTGAAGGAAAATATTACTTTGAAGAAATTCTTGACTGACTAATTTTGGCTAACTCACCCAAGTTTAGATCTTTTCGACGAGCCAGATGATCTCATTATTATTTCCTTTTTTGATAGTCGTTTTGTTTTATTCAAAGAGTGACTCTAAAATAGCGAAACTCATCGAAAACTCTCTTTTTATACTAGTTTTCAATTTTTCTAGGTCACGTTTTTATATAATTTGGAATTTTTAATAAAAAACAATAAAGCATCAACTAATTCATTAATAATTAATTAATTACTCAATCAATTATTACTAATTGCAATTAAATACCCGAACACATAAAAAATATGAAACCCGATAAAAATTATTATTATTATTATCTCCATTTTCATTGTTTTATTTTTCAATAATTTCTGATCGATTTGTTGGAATCGCATTGAATTTGATGCTGAATTTCCGCTGTTTCTTTTTTGGTTGACTACTGTAGATATGTTTGCGGATGTCGACATTCAGCAGAGCGTACAGTACCCAATTTCCTGGAAGAGTTTTTTTTTTGGAATTTTGTGATAGGAATACTGTGATTTCTAGGAAGTTTTCATGTATTTTCGTTTACTAAAGTATTCAAACTAGCTCAAAATTTACCCAAAACCTTTTCAACTCACCAGCTGCGTTAACATAAGGCAAACAATTGGCAAAAAGTCGAATATACACAAAAACCTGTGATTCCATTTCCACTCCATTTTCCGAATAATTATCTAAATCTTTACCAGGTCCAATAATCTGCATAATATAATGTATATAATTTGGCAACATTGTAAATCCCCAAAACGGCGCCCAACAAACAAAATGAAATACTGCAATTCGCCAAACACTCTTTCGAACTTCTGACATATATCTTGGTTCTTTAGTTTTCCCAGATTTTTGGGTTGTTTGAGCTTTTCGAATCTTATATTTTGCTTTGACATGTCGAACCAATAAAATGTAGCAAATTGTCATAATCACAAATGGAATAACAAATCCAACGAAAAAAGTATATTGGGCAAACGCATTGAAAATATAATCAGGCATCAAAGGAAGACAATACCAAGAGTTTAAAGTTTCTTCCGGCATTCCTTCTGTAATATTTCCAAAAGAGCGTGCTTGAATATATGACAAATAAAAGAAATGAATTGTTGTTGGAGTAATAACTCCAAATATTATTCCGAAGATCAGAGGAACTAATGACATCCAGGCACGGTAGAAATGACGAAGTCGGGTGCAGACTACAATGTAGCGTTCAACTGACATTACTGTTAAAAGGATGACAGAAAAGAGTTTGGCGAACATTTCGAGAGATCGATTTGCGTAACAAGCCTGGAATTATTATACATAGGGAATACTTGGTTATAACATGGTACATTTGTGAATTTTTGATATCAAACATGATTCAAATTTTGAAATTTTTTTTGTCAGAAAATAATCTTCCTGTTTTTCAAATTTAATTAATCTTTGAACCATCACATCTCATAATTTCATCTCTCTCCACTATATTTTGGTCCCCCTCAAAAACCTACCACTTCTCCAAAAATCCATTTTCCATAGTAATTATAGCTAGTCGACGGCGGCAATGTCAATAATAAGATCAAATCCGAACAAGCTAATGCAAATATGTAAATTCTTGATCTTTGTGACACTGTTAATTGAACCGATGATGTGTTCCATAATTTGGCTCGAGACAATTTATAAATTATCCAAATATTTCCTGGAGTTCCGATCAGAAAAACAATCATGTAAGCGACTGTCATAAAGGTTTTTGCAACCATCATTGATTCTGCAACAAAATGATTTGAGAGCTGGGAGCTTTTTTGGAAAAGATTCAATTCAGGTTTTTGTTGGAAACATTAAAGTTTTGATATGTGGCTTTATCCGTTTTCACGTGTTTTCAGATTTGTCTGAAACTTTTCTACGTGAAAAACTTCAGAAAAATCTTCAAAAAAAGAATTGTTTACCACTTGGGCTTTTTTTTCCAAAATAAAAATGCAAAAAAAAATAATGATAAAAATTGCAGAGAAAAGCTTATTTTTCTACAAAAATGCTGCGCAAAAAAAGTTTTTTCACACGAATTTAATTAAAAACCAAGTTTTCTTTCTAGAGATACTTGTTTTTTTTTTCATCGCAATGTCTACTGAAAAATATATTATTCTTCTTTTTTTTGTGCTGAACAACACAAAAAACAGCTGCTGCCTAGTTAGATAAATAATAAGAATAATAATGTGATCATGAATAATATCGAAATTTTTTGTTTGGTTTGGTTTTTGGTGGCGGCTGAGAGATGGAGAAACTTGGGGGAAAAATTCATAGAACAGAGACCAGATTCTGGAAAATTTGACTGAAATATTCAGAAGTTCGAAAAGAAAGAATCTCAAATCTGAAATTTTGATCCTAAATTTGAGGACCAACATATTCGAGCAAAGCTTTAGAAAAGTAATTCTGATCCTGCTATAACCTTGAGCTTAAATTCTAGTCATAGTCAAATGCCTTTTTTTCAGAATTGAACCCAAATCCCAAAATCCACCAACCTTCATAAGATTCCTCGATTTCCTCCTCGCCCGCCGAAAAATTGTGACTAAAATTTCCACCGCCATCATTTTCCCTATCTTCTTTGGTTCCCATGCCTATCAAAAAAAAGTAAATAAAAATAAAAATGTTTTTTTTCAATCACAGAAAAAAATAGAAAAAGAAAAATCACAGACAATTTTTAGGGCAAAAATTGGTATTCAAATAAAAGTTTCAAAACTGAATTTCAAAAAAAAAGCAAATAATAATAATAATTTTTGGTCAACTAGAATAGAGAAAAGTATCATTTTTTGAAGATTTTTTTGGGAGGAAGATTTTCAACATTGAAAACCGATACTTTTTCAAAGACTAACATAAATACACAAAACGAAAAATATTGACTAGATTATACTTTGAGTAGACACTACTTGTTTTTAAGTTTAGATTTGTGCAAACCTGATTTTTCTAACATTAGAAGTCGGAGCCTGAATTCAGCCCAAAAAATCCGAAAATCGATTTTTCTCGGACCACCCACAAAGTTTTAGTTATTCTTGCTCTTTTCAAAAAAAGCTCAAAAATGCACGAAAAAATTTCCATAATCATATTCATCCAAGTGAATATTAAAAAATATTTGTTCGGAATTTTCAGAGGCAAAAAAATTTCAGATTTTTTTCCGGAAACACACACAAAACGAAATTTCGAAAAATAATGAATAATTTAGGCAAAGTCGATGGGTTCATTTCAAGATTTGTGGGAACTTTTCTGGGGTTTTGGGAAAATGTTTTTTGAGGGAAGGAAGTTAGGCTAAATCGGAGAAAAAATATAGAAAAAATAGCGAAAAAATGGAACAGGAAATGGGTATGTCAAAGAAAATTGCAACATTTTATTTATTTACATTTTTTGCTCGTGGAGCAAAAAAAATGAGACGAAAAATTTGCGAGGCAAAAAAATGACCAGAGTTTTTTATTGGGTTGTAAAACTTGTTTGTTGCCACGTGGATTTTTTGACGGAAAATTAAAATTCGAATGAAAAAATAAAATTTCTGAACGCCACATTTTCGTGATTTCAATTCAAAAAATGACTTTCTTCCAAAAAAAAATGAAAACAAGGATAATCTAGATGAATTTAGACAATTTTTTGTAAGTTTTACACAATTTCTAGTCTGGAATATTTTTCAGACTAAAACTATACTAAAAATTAGAATGGTCCCAAAAAGCATTTCCAAAATTAATTTGATTTTTTCGAAATAGAATTAGAGGTTTCCAAAAAATTTTATTTTCAAATTGAATTTTGCCACGTGGCAAGTTTTTGAATAATTTCTTTCGCGCCAAAAAAATATTCAAAAAATTATTTTTGACAAGGAACATAATCACTATTTTCTGCCAGAAAAAAAATTCCAAAAAAGTCCACATTTTATTCACACGCCCTATTTTTTCTGATCTACAGTATCCTCAAATTTTGATAAAACCTATAATTTTTGTGCAAAAAAATGCCATGTGACAGAATAAGCAATCTCCTACAGTAATTATTTTATTTTATTTTTGTTTCGAATCAGAAAACTTTTATGAAAAAATCCCAACCTCCTCATTAAAACTTTTTTAATGAGTTTTGAATTTCAAAAAAAATTGTTTTTTCATGGATTACGGTAGTTTTCCCCCTAATTAATCATGTAGATTAATTAAAAATTTCAAAAGAGCTTCGAACATTTTTTCGAGAAACACAAGTGCGAGAAAACCAAAAATGACGAATTTTTCAGAATTTGAAAATTTTTTTGAAAAAAAATAGAAGAAAATGATGGAAAATAAGAAAAATAAGAAATTTGAGTGACAGAAAATCAAAAATAGTGGAAATTTTAAGTTTTTTTTTGATTTTCAGTGCACCACAAGTTAGCCTAAACATTTCGAAATTTTCGGCCAATTTTTGCTACCTGGATTTTTAATAGGAAAATTCACATTAAAAAAAACTAACAATGATAATTTATGAAAATAACTGAAAATTGTTTTGTTTTTCGAAAAAACTATTGAAAATAAAAAATAAAACCCTTGAAAATTTCAATTTTCATGCATAATTTTCAAAAAAAAAACCTCCAAGTTTTTTAATGCAAAAAAAAGAAAAAATTATAGGTTTCATTAATTACAGATCAAAAATTATGTTGAGAACTTATTCATTTTTTTCAGCGCAAAAAAACTATGAAATTGTTTGTGAAAAACAATGTAATTAATTAAAATCTAATCAAAAATTCCTTCCGAAAATTTTGTTTTTTTTTTCAATTTTTTTCCGAAAAAACATCCAAAAATAAGAAAAAAGTATAAACGGAACCCAGATTTTCGCCAAAAAAAATTTCGGAGCCAAAACAACACAAAAACACACACATTTTTTGTCTTCTGAAAATTCTTTTTTTTTTCTCTGAAAATAATTAAGTGTGAGTATTTTTTGGCTTTTTTTGTGTGTTGTGGCGCCAAAAATTCAGATTTTCAGCAGAAAATGGGATTAGGTACGAGGAGAAAATACATGAAAAATTAATTTCCGGTTCGAATTTTGATTTCAGATTTTTTTTAAACTGAGTCATAGCTCTACCGGAAATTTTCAGACTATATAATTTTAAGAAACCAAAAAGCTTTTTTCTGTGTCTCGTCATGAAAAATAACCAACAAAAGCGAGATTAGAGATAAAAAAAAATGTGTGTGGTTAATTATGTGAAAAAATTTCAGATTTTCAGAAAAGGAAACTCTGAAAATTTTCAGTTAGATATTCTGCCTTGAAGAACGAAAATCTGAATGAAAAAATACTTTTTTTTTCATTTTTCACACGCAATTTTCAGAAGCAGTAGAAGTCAGCTGTCTGAAACAATTAGTCTGAAAATGGCGTGTCTGAAAATTTTTGAGCTGAAAAAATAGTGGTTCTGAAATGGGCGGGGTTCAAGATCAGGTGGAAATTATAGACATCCGAAGCCCTAAAATCACGGTCACGGCTGAAATTTGGGAAAATTTGAAAGCTTGGAACTTTATCTAACGAAGCCCTTTTTTCTTGAGCCTAATTTAAGATTTCAAGCAAAGCTTATACTTGAATCCTAATATTATCACTTGTAATAATCCAGCTTCTAATTCAACCCAAAACCAAAAAAAACATCGTGGGAGGTCTCTCGACGTGTGAAAAATTGGGAAAAAGGAGGAAAAATAATATTGGTTCAGAAGCACGAAAAGAACAAGCATGAGAACATAATGAATTATTAATGAATTAATTTTGCTATCCTATTTTTGATTGACTGACTGACACTGTTGTTTTTTTTTCGCTAAAAAATCAATTTTTAACATTTAGAATAGTGGAATCAAAACGCACATTGCAAAAAAATTAACGTGAAAATTCAAAACTCAAAAATTTTTGCTGAAATGTTCATGGTAACAAGGCTAATCAAAAAATCATTCAGGAAAATATTTTCTTGTCTGGAAAAAAACAAGTATTGTTGACTCGCGCGGATTTCTTGCACTTTTCCATCACTTTTTTTCAGATTTTTTGTGATGGCTGAAAAGCTGAAAATAACAATTTTTGTGTGACTGAAAATTATAGAGTATTTACTCGAAAAATTATATAGATTTGAAATTTTTTATGAACGCAGAAAAGTCTAGAACTTCTCCTTTTTTGAGAAATTAAATTAAATTGAGAAAGTTTTGGGGAGCTAAAAAATTTTATGAGCTATAAAATCAGGAAATTTCCATAGAAATACAATCTTCTTGAACTTTATTCCAGGAAAAAGATAAATGGATTCTTTGAAAATCAAAAACAAAAAAGGAAAACAAGAGACAAATAAGAACAAAAAGACAATATTTTTGATCATTCAAAAATAAAGACTCAAAAGTTAGGCTGACATAAGTCAAGGCTTGAGGAAATAGTTAGGATGAGGATTTTCAGAGTAGCTAGATTTTGAGTTAGGTTTGAGCTTCAACTCAAGAATTAGACCAAACTAGGATTCTTTGGGTTCGGGCTCAGGCCCAAATTCAGGCTCAAAAACAAGAAATTCAGAAAAAGACAGCTGAATAAAAAGTAGACACGAACTTCTTTATTTCAGATTAGAAACATCTGAAAAAAGTGGGTGTTCAACATTTTCAGCTGTTTTGGAAAATCAAAAACATTTTTCTGGGTTAGGCTAAGTCAGGCTGGAACTTATTAGTGATCTACAACATTTATGGAAGTTCAGAATTTTGGAGAAAACGTGTGTAGTTAGATTACAGTAATCCTTCATTTTTTCGGCGTCAAATGTTCAAATTCCAAAAAATTTCATTATTTTTTCTTCCCAAAAAAAAGTCCAAAAAAGTGGCTTAGAGGCCACTATTTTTTCTCACACAATTTGAAACACATTTTTTTTGGAAGTTTGTTTCGTGTTTTTTTGTGCCGAAAAAAGAAGAGGTCCTTTATTTGACCTGTGAGAAAATGTGCAAATTATTTGCTGCCGGTTTTATTATTGAACAAAAAATGAACTTTTGAGCGGAAATTTGGAATTTTGGCATTTTATATGCAAAAAAGTTCAAAAAACCTAATTTTCATTAGAAATTTCAGCGCTTTTGAAAACGAAATTGTCTCATTACAGTACTCCAAGACTAGACTGAAGTTGAATATTCTTGAGCACTTTTGAGCTCAAACTATTTTTTCCTCAACCAAAAAAAAATAAAAGAATTGGTCAGTTTTCTCTCGTCACCCGGGACAACTTTTCTATTATTCTATTCATTTTTTTCGCGCCAATTTTTTGAATGGCGAAAAAAAAACTTGAAAACCGTGAGTGAGAATAAAACAACAAAAAACATCATCATCGAATCCAAAAGTGTCTTCTTTATTTTTTTCCATGCTAATTTTGTACTTTTAGGGCTCTTTTTGTGTTATTTTTTTCTTATTTTCTAAATATTTTCCATTGAAAAATCTCAATCTTTTTGCTTCTGAAACTAGAAGTTGAAAAAAAATTGTGAAATAATTCAAAACTTGAAAAAAAAAGAGAAAGTTTCGTGAAAAAAACTCTAAATTTGGAACAAATCAAATTTATCCAAAAAAAAATTCCAGGTGTTCGAAAAATAATTAAATTTTTCAGACAAATGTCAGATAATTTCCGCTCGAAAAGTTTGAGTTTCTGAAGCAAAATTGGGGCGAAAAATTCAAAAATTACAGTAACCCAGAGATTATTGAACATTTTCAGATTCATTAGAATTATTTTGAAAAAAGCGCAGAATTTCTGAATTTTGCGAAAGAATTTGAAATGTGAGAAGAATAAATTGTGTCTAAGAATTGTGAAAAAAAAAGAGAAAAACAAGAAAAATTGTAATTTTTGTGGGAAAATCTCGAAATTTCTTTTTGACTGGAAAAAAGTGACGTAGATTTTTTGCGTCAAATTCAACATGAGGTCCAAAAAATCAATAAACTCGAAATTGGTCAGTTCTCCTCCAACCAAAAAAAAATGTCAAGTGGTCTCATTTCGCCCAAAATTGCATGACTTTTATACTTTTTGTGTACTTATTGGGAAAAATGTGAAAAATGGGAGGAGCTTTGAAAATTTTTGATTTTTTTTTCTACTGAAAAAAAAACAATTTTTTTGGTTTTTTTTTGAAGAAAAAATGAGCAAAATAATAATGAGTAGGAGCAAAAGAAGAGGAAAATAATTGGATCAAAGACGATTTTTTTTTGAAAAAATTTGAATTTGAGAGAAAACATGAGATTTCCGGTTAAATCAAACTTTGTTGGAAACTTTTTGCAGGAAAATGTTAAAATTTCAGAATATAACTGAAATATCTGTAATTTTCACCTGAAAAACTAAACAAAAAACAAACCTAAAATCCTTCATAATCATCCAAACAAAAATCAACAAAATCTAGAAATCCAAAAATCCAAAAATCATTGTGGATAATCCCTGGTCGAATATCCATGAGCCAACAAATTGTGCACTTTTGCATGACCGTGTAAACCGGACAACTCTTTTTTTGATAATGTGAATTTTTGTGTTGGTGGTGGTGGAGTTGGTGGAGTATCCAATTGGCGAACAGGAGGAAGAGCTCGAATCTGAAAAAAAAGGGAGATTTGGGGAACATTCGAAATAAAGCTTAAATTAATTTTTAAATCTAGAAAATCTGAAAGTTTTAAAAGAATCAACCTTAAGCCTAATTTCAAAAATAGGTCTAAATTGACCAAATATAGGTATCGAAAAATCGGAATTTTAGGCTTTATGTCTTAATTCCAAATATGGGCTCATTTGATATTAAAATACGTGGATTTGAGCCCTGAATTTCAATCCAAAATGCTCTCACTTTTCTTCCAAAATATCCATCTTTTTTGTGAAACAATCCACTCGACATTTTATATCCAAATCTTCGATGCATTTGAGCTGATCCATAAATTTTGTTATCAATATCAGCATGCGATAATCGTCCTACTGTAGCCATACAATTTCGGTGGAGCGAGAATTCGTGTTTGTGAGGAAGCTGGAAAACATTTGAATTTTTTCTACTCTCTGGATTACTGTACCCTTGTTTGCTCAAATTTTCACTGAAAAACATATTTTTGTTATTTAAATGTTCCTTACTCAAAAATTAATCACGCAATTTCAGAATGTTTTTTTCTCAAAAAAATTTGATTATTTCCTTGTTTGTTTTTTTTCTGCGTGAATAACTACAGTAATCCACGAAAAATTGCGTGCTATGAAAAATAATAACAAACAAAAATGATTCAGGTAATTTTGAACTTTTGATTTTTTTTTTAATTTTGGGGTTAGTGTCACGTGTTTGTTTCTTTGAGCCAAAATTAATTTTGATTATATTTTTTCCACGTGGCAATTTGGCCCAACGAAATTCAATAAAATATGATCCATGCGGAAATTTTGAGACGCTTGAGAGGGAAGACAGACTATGGAACACAGCAAATGTTCGAGAAGCTAAGATTTTGCAATATATTGTTTGATGATCAAAATTTATATTAGTCTAGACCTTGTGAACTTCTATTCAGCCAGTTTTTCATTCAATTTCATACGGAAATGTCAAAATTCCAAATTCTTATTCTAACAATTTTTTGCCACGTGTCATCTACACGAAGTCAAAAATACAATAAAAATATGGCTGTTGACTTGTACAATTCGATTATTAATGCTACTACAAGTGATGACCTTGTTAAAATCTTTGCTGATCCTTTAACTACGGTAGATTGTAATGGAATAGCAACTCATCATCGAAAAAATAGATATTTGTTGTTAATGAAAGAAATGATTGACAGAAAGCATACATTGTTCGGAAGCGATGCGAAGATTTCCAATTTCGTATTGCTTCAAGAGAAGGCTGGATATATTTTCATGGCTGAGAGAAACGTTGATGTTTACGGCAAAAAAATGAGAATAACTATCAAATTTTTGGTGTTCAAGAAGTATGGATTAAAAATTACAAAGACCAAGATGTTCTGTGAGCAGGTCAAATAATTGAGATATCTAATACATATAAATTTCAATTTCTCACGCCATGCCAATATAAAAACTATCTCTGTAAGATGGGAAGTTGAAGAAATCTCTCGCCCAAAATTCCAGAGCACAGTTTGCCTTGTTGTTTTCAATTATATTTTTTCAGAACTGAAAAACAAGTTCCTTATTATTGTTTCTTCCAACAGAAAAAATTCTCACGGAATCGCGTGATAACAATGAGAAAAAAACCGGGAAAAAACAATGATCTTAAAAAATTTCCTGATTGCAAAAAAAATAAATTCTGGGGGATTTTTGGGAAACAATCCATGTGGAAAACATTTCAAACAAGGTTTTCATTTGGAGGTTTTTTTTAAGTAATACGAAGAAAAAATTGATCCCGAAAAAAAAAGTTCTATATTTTTGTCAAACATTTTTTGTGCAATTTTGAGATTTGATGAACATCGCACATTTGTTTCAAAGTATTACCACCCCTCAATTTTCCCCCAAAAAATCTCACTTTCACAACGGTAAAATCTCCCTGATGTCTAACAATTGTCGCTGCTGCTCCAGCGGCTTGCACAAAAATTTCCGAATCATTTGTCGGATATCTTTCAATAGAATTTATCAATGTTCCAGCGGCGAGCGATCCAATTGGATAAGCATTTCCTTCGACTCCGATCACTGGATTTTCAGACAAATGCGATGTTGTTGAGATTATGTCACCAGCTCTGCAAAATATTGATTTTTGAAAAAAAAAGTTGTTTAATTTTATTGAGGTTTTTGAAACATTCAAAACAGTTTTGGGATCCGACTTCCTACTTTTTTATTTATAGCCGACCAAGAACTACTACATTTCTGTTTCTAGATCATCTCACGGTATTCTAGGCCAAATAATCATATAATATTTTGTTTTCAGCCCACCCAGACCTATTAATTAACATATTTTTCATAAAATAACAAGAAAACAACAATTTTCCGCTAATTGAAATATTTCAAAACTAATAATCAACCAAGAAAATGTGCTCATTGAGCCCATTTTCCACTCCAGAATTTCTAAAAACTACATTTTATTTTTATCCGATTTTTCCAATTTTTCTAGGAACTTTGACAATCATCCTAATTCTATTGAAAACCCCAAAATCTGTGGGTTCAGCAAAATGGTCAATGTTTTTATTGATTTTTTGGTCAATTTTATTGGACCTGATTCTATCGATTGGAACTCGACCATTTCTACTCATTCCATCATTGTCTGTTGGATTTTTCGGAGTTTTTGAAGAGACTTTTAAAATTCCAAAACCTTTTCAAACATTTCTAATTTGTTCGGCTATAGTTTGTGTTATTTCGGCGATTGTTTCATTATTTGCAAATCGATTTTATACAATTACAAAACAGCGGAAAAACACTTTTGTGAATTTCTTGATTTATTTAATCAATATTATTTTAACCACGAGTTTTATGATTCCGATTCTTAGTTATGAAGTGAAATATGACATTTTTGAGAAAAATGTTTCGAGTGTAAGTAACTATATTTTATCATATATGCCCTTTTTTGCCGACCATAAACCTATTGAGATCTCGCAGTCAAACTGAAATATGTTTCTCTGCATCTAGAAAATTTAATCTGAGAAATCTCCAAAATTTTCCAGATTCCCTGTCTTCCTCCAGGAATTAATTCTTCCAATACTTTCGTATTTTCTACCAACAAATATATAATAATATTACCCATATTCCTCTTCAATTTCAACACTTTCCTCCAAGGCGCATATTTTGTGTACGGAACAATAAACCACCTAAGTTTAGGAAACAAGAAACTCTCAAAAAACACCAAAAAACTACAATTATCATTTTTCATCTCACTCTGTATTCAAATAACAATTCCTATTACTGTTCTAACAATTCCAATTTTATATGGAGCTTTTTCGTTTTTCATCTATTTTTATAATCAGGGTAAGTTAGAGTAGAAAAACTTCAAATATAAATGTATTTTCAGCACTTAACAATATTGCTGTGATAATTTTTTCAATGCATGGCTCACTTTCAGCTATTTCGACCATTTTGATACACAAGTCTTATCGCGAATTTTTGTGCAAAAAGTTTTTGAAGACAATAAGGATAATTAAGAAAAAGACAAATAAAATTGAGAGATCCATCAATATTTTTTGAATAAATTTTTTGCCACGTAACACGGAAGATACTAAATTTTTTAGATAATTTTTGATAGGTTTGAATATTCAGAAATGTTCACTTCGAAAACTCCGATAACGAAATTTCCAATTAGCCACGTCATAAGCTTAATTGAAAAGTTTTTCTGAATTTCCAAAAACTATTCCGAATTTCCAGCTCCAATTTTCCCCCAAAAAACCTTGTTATTTGTTTAATTATAAAATTAGTAATACTTATTTTTCAACAAAAACAAAAAGTCGTCATTTTTCTAATAAGCATAAAACCAAAAAATCACAAAAGTTAATTATTTTCAAAATTTTGTAATGTCCTGCTCATCTCCAAATTTTTTCGATTCTCCTCAAAATTTTAAATACACCCTTCATATTTGGTCAATAATCTCATTATTCATTAATTTTCTCTCATTTTATTGTATAATTTTCAAAACTCCTTCAATGATGAAATCCGCTAAATTATCCATGTTTTTATCCGCATTTTGGGCAACTTTGTTGGATTTTGATTTAGCCTATCTTTCAACACCATTTTTATTGTTACCAACATTTTCAGGGATAAGCTATGGAATTTTGAAAGTGAGTTTTTATTGAATTAGAATCTATACTTAATAATTTCAATTCAAAATTTGCCGTTCTTCTTAAGGACCTAAAAATCAATGAAAAATATCAAATTTATTTGATTCTTCTGCTAATTACCGCAACTTCTTCCTCAATTGTTTGCATTTTTCAAAATCGCTATAGTATTTTGTCTGGAAATTCGAGTTCGGATAAACGGAATACTTTTATTATTTACATATTCAATTTTATCACTGCTTTTTGCCTTTTTCTTATTTGTTTTTATGAAATTGATAATCAGGATGAAATTTCGAGGAATTTGGTAATTCAGGTATAAATTTTTAGTGAAAAAATTTGAGTAAAATTTTTTTTCTGTATTTTCAGACCAAAAATAACTCCCCCTTAATTTCAGGCTCTTCCTTGTCTACCCGACTTTCTAAAACAAGAAAACATATTTGTTCTAAATCTCGATCTATCCAAAGCTACAGTAACTCTAACCCTTGCAAATTTCGGCGTTGTTTTTGAAGGCGCAATTTTCTGTCTCGGCACATTATATCATCTCAATTTGAACGATAAAACCCTATCGCAAAATACTCGAAAATTACAAAAATCTTTTTTTCGTGCTTTATGTCTACAAATCACAATTCCATTGATGGTTTTGACAATTCCGTGCACTTATTTTGTAGCAACGTGTGTTTTCGAATATCATAATCAGAGTAAGACTAACTTAAGAAAATTGAAAAAAAAAATCCATTTGACACATTTTCAGCTCTCAACAATTTGTGTGTATTTCTCATTTGTTTACATGGTTCACTTTCAACAATATCAATGATTCTTATTCACAAACCTTATCGATCTACAGTACTTTCGCTAATTCGATTCAAAAATATTGATAGTCAATCTCTATCGATTTTTGTGCATTCCCAAAATTCGAGACTATAATCAATAAACTTCTCATTTTGTTTTCAAAGAATGAATTTAAAATAAAATAATGTTTGATTTTCATGCCTAGTTAGACCTATTGCTCATTAACTAGAAAAATAATATATGATATACAAAAACATGTTACGCCTGACTAAGCTCCTAATTAATTAGGAACTGAAATTTTTGAAAATATTCATCATTTGATAAACAAAAAATCATAACTGATATATTTCGAAACAGAAAAATGTGCACAGAATCCACATATTTTTCAACTTTAGAATATCACAAATCAAGTCTTCAATATTTATCGATTTTTTCAACGTTCATAAATTGTTTTTCAATTTATTGTGTGATTTATCAAACTCCAATTTCGATGAAATCTGTCAAAATTCCCTTGATTTATCTTTGTTTGTGGTAAGACAAATTGAAAATATTTAGTTATGACGTGGTGAAATTGCCGGATTTTTGGTGAAGATTTTAAAATCGAGAATCAAAAAAAATTTTCAGCGAATCAGCATTAGATATATATTTATCGTATTTCGTAACTCCCTACGTTCTTTTTCCAACACTTTCAGGTGTTGGTTTGGGTAAGTTTAGGCCAAAAATCGTCCGAATATCGCAATAAATTTCAGGAATTTACACATACTTCAATTTCAAAGAATCGTACATTATTCTAATCGCAATTCTAATTTTCAACATAACAGCTTCTTCAATTGTTTCCCTTTTCCAATCACGTTATAATATTCTAAATGGTGGACATATTTATCGAAACTGTACTATTATTTCAATCTTTAATTTTATAATTGCCTCACTTTTGTGTTGTGTTACATTTTCAGAGATTCCCGATGCTGAAATTGCTAGGAGAAAGATTATGGAGGTGGGAATACTAGAAAAACGGAATTTCAGTTAAAAAAAACTTAATTTCTGAATCGAAAATCACCAAAAATCCTTAATTTCTCAAAATTCCAGATAATTCCGTGCCTTCCTTCTGAACTAAATACTCTCCCAATTTTCGTTCTTTCACTGGATTCAAAAACCAACGCAATAACATTGGGATTAATGGTCCTTATCCAATCTTCTGAAGCCACATATTTCATATTGGGAACATTGTATTATCTCCAATTAAACAACACAAAACTTTCAAAATCCACAAAAAAGTTGCAAAAATCGTTTTTCTTCTCGCTTCTTTTTCAAGTCTCAATTCCTTTGGCAGTTTTAAATATTCCTCTATTTTATGCCTCTTATTCTTTTTATTATAATTATTACAATCAAAGTGAGAAATTGATTTAATAACCTGATTCATGAGAAAAAACTGTTTCAGCTCTAAATAATATTGGAATATTTGTGGTTTGCTTACATGGTTCTTTATCAACAATTTCGATGATTTTAATTCACCGACCTTATCGAGATTTGATTTTGAGATGTTTTGAAATTCGGAGAAAAAATTTAAAACCGCGACATTCGAATGTTTCGATTCTTGTGACTTCAAGTAGAATTCTTTGAATAAATTATTATTTCTAATACAGAAAATATAGCTTTTCAGAGATTTTGTTTGAGAAAATCACATTTTTTGTTAACAATCCTTGAATTTCCCCGAAAAATTCAACTAACTTCATATTTTCAGTCGCTAAAATCCATCGTTTTCCCTCAATTCCAGCAACCAAAGCAATATGACAAGTTCGATTTGGATCTCTTCGAACTTCTAAAACACGTTCATCATAGGTCGAAATTCCATCCGATGGTCCGCGTCGATGAAAATCAATCATAAAATAGTCGAATTTCACACCTCCACCAATATGCTGATTCACTTTTCGACCGGTTTCTGGGTCTCGACCTCCCAATCTGGTAAAAAAAATAAATGGTTTTGGGGTTGATATAGCAAAATTTTTTAATTTTTGACATTTGGACCCATTTTTGAAATTAAGATTTTCCCGTGGAAAAAACACAAGGTGGAGAATTTAATTTTTATTAGGATCAAATAGGACCAAATGAATTCTAACAGAAATTTGTTTTATTTTCTAAACAGAATTTCGTTCTAAATTCCCAGCCCAAAATTCTCGCATACTTATTAATCCTCAATGGTTTATGCGTATATTCTCCTCCGGATTTTTCTTCCAAATCTTTCATATCCCACAAATGTCTTGGTAGTGGTTTTGTGCCGCGAGCCGGAAAATTTCGAGTTGAAATCAGGATTTTCGATGAGCAACTTGTGGCTAATCGAAGTGCACTCATTTCGCAGGCCAATGTCCCAATCATTTCTGCAAAAAATATTGATTGTATGGCTTTGGCTGGAAATGTCCATTGTGATCAGGCTTTCAGAGTTCCAAAAAAAAAAAAAAAAAAACGAAATTTTTTGTCCGAAAATGAAGAAACGACGTGAAATTGAGATAGCCTAGGTCTATAACAAGTTCCTGAACGAACATACAAAAATATGAGAAAAATATAAACCTGGCAAGAACAACCAGTGAAAAAATATTTAAAAAATATACAGAAATATTCGAAAAAAAATCCACTTTATTCGGTCTTCCGAACTTAAAATTCCACTTCAAAATTCCAACGAAGAACTTATTTTTCATAAGTTTTTCCTCATTTTTACTAAACAAGTATCCGAAAAAGCATTAGATTGATCCCAAATTTTCGGCGGAATCAAAAATACATCAGAATCTTCAAAAAATCGTTGAATCTTCGAATCATCAATATTTTTCATCAATGCCAAATTTATCGATCCATAATTATTGCCCAAAAGTGCGATTTTTTCGAAGTTTTTCGAGTTAAACTCTAAAAATTGCTCCAAAATTTCGTGTTCGCCGTGAATTATTCCGATAATTGTGTTTTTTTCGATTAGAATTTCGAGATCTGATTCAGGTCGAATATCGATTTTTCGAGATTTTAGCCAGGATTTTTCAGTTTCGGTGATGACTGGATCCTGAAAAATGAGCAATTTTTGGTTATAAAACCTAAAAGCACAAGAAATTGTACTTATGTTAGAATTCTTCAAAATAAATCTACCTGAAAAACAACATCCAACCCTCCCATTTCCTTCGCAAGTTCCAAAAAAAGAGCCAATTGTTCAGCTCCTGGCTCCAATGGTCCATCAAAATGCCCATTTCCCAAAATCACGATTTTCTTTGGCTCGAAATCTTCCAGCCTATCGCTGAGCCATTCTCTGAAACAAAAAATTGATGGTTTTTGTTCTGAATGAAAATTTGATGAAGCTTACACTAATCCACTATTTTTTATCGAAACTTCCGATTTTTTCATGGTTTTTTCGATGTCTTCCAAAGTTCCATCAACTCGAATATGTGCACCGCATTTTTTGATCTACAAGACAAGAAATCGTGAGTTTACAAAGCTGAAAGCGTTCAGATTTCAGCAATTTTTCGGGGTTTCGTTTTCGGAGTAGAGGGTCCAAAAATAGGCTGAACCTGATTTATACAGTGATTAACTCATTTCTGAATAAATTTACTGTAAAAAAGGTTCAACTTTGCCACAATTCAGCTCTGAATTTATACAAACATAATTTGTAGAACCCTTTTTCAGATCAAAAAAATAATAGAAATGCTAGATTTTTCTCAAAAAAAATCAATAAACACTATTTTTGAAACGTGTTCCAGATTGCTCAATAATTGATATGAATCTCGCGTGACCCAAAAACGAAAGCCAATAAAAAGCGTAGTGACTATCACTGGAAATTTAGTTTCGATTCGGTTATTTTCGGACAAAACAATGTTTTTCGAACTAATTGCTTCGCTTGTCGTCACTTGCCTCGTTGTGCAATGCGGAGGAAAGAAAAAGGTTGGTTGTGCTTTTCCCTACAGATATGCCTGCTTCACACAATGTGTTCTTTTTTTTTAGAAGGAAGAGGATGCGCCAAAGAGCGGAGCTGCTCCAGCGAGTGCTGCTGGAGCACCACCGGCTGATGCACCACCAGCCTAATTCGACTTTATCCAACAGTACCAGAAACACTGCCGTGTGATATAAAAACATTTTTATGAAGACTTACGTAGTTTTTGTGTTTTCGACCTGTGACTAATGTGAACCCGTCGTCTTCCATTTTTTTGTTCCTGGAAAAAATATTGGGATACGGGGTGCAATTTGGCGTTGTGATGTTCGTGAATCAAACCTAGCTCTTAGGATTAACTAAAGGGTATTTCTAAAAGTCACACCGCCGAACAAGATCATTCTGTCAAATTCTGCCTAGCTCAAATCAAATCAAACTAGAAATACTTGTTGCTAAAGATTAGGCTGATTCTGGCTTAGCCTGGGGTGATTTGGGCTTCGGTTAAACGTTGTGTTATCTAGGCATCGAAAACCTTGGTTTAGTCAAATTCAGAGCCAAAATCAACGGGGTCTCGCAGCTCTTTAGTAAAGGTCGAATTTCAAAAGGAAAATCAAATAAAATTTTGATCGCTACGAGACCCAAGGCGACTTTTTACAGTAATTTTTGAAACATAATAGAAATGTTTCAATAAGATAAGATATATCTGAAGGTGTGAAACCTCAATTTTCCAAAAAAGAAAAAAAAACATCAAATAAAAACAAAATCTATAAATATTCCTATAACAAAATACACCGGAAACCACAAAAAACAGAGAAAATCTATCGATTATCAATCAAAACATGTGTAGTTTTTGGTCGTTGCTTATTCTCGACATATAAGAATCGCCATTCCCAATCACCATCCCGTCTTTCCATCTCAGCTTGCGCAATTCCTTCACCTCGATCTCCTTTGACGTGGAAAAGCACACGTATACGTTGTCGCCCGTCTTTTTCGTATTTGTGGTGTGCCACGTGTCTGCGTCGGCCGCGGGCGGTTTCCTCGCCAAAACCGGCGATTGTTGGTCCGAAAATATCTTGGCATCGACCGTCTTCACGAACTATATCCAAAGCACGGTTGAAAATGGTTTGTGGGCTATCCTCGCGGAAAAATTCGCCAGCCAAAACGTAGACAAATGCACCAATCAAACCGACGCCAGCCACCACTGCGGTGTATAAAAATGTGTTGGAAGCTTTCTCTGCGACCTGGAACATTTGCAAAAACTCGATAAATATACTCAATTCAAAATAAGACTCACTTTTCCTCCGAAAGTTGTTGGCTTCCTTTTTTCGTGAATCAAAACCTCTTCTAAAATGGACTTTTGCAACGCGTGCTCTTCTTTTGGTTTGTCCAACGATTTCGGATCTTTTTTGAAGAATTCGGCAAGTTGTGGTGAAATTTCTAGTGTTTCTTTGAACAACTGCACATATTAAACGACTCCCGTATAGAGCCCGCATGCTGAAAAAGTTTGAAAATGGGAAAAGTTGGGAAGAAATAAATAAAATATTTTTGTGTGTAGGTTTACGATAAACAACAGGCGAGCGTAGTGTTGTAGTTTTATTTTTGTTATTTTCAATTTCGAACTTTTTGTTGTTCTTATTTGCAAAAAAACCTATGTTCACTCTTCTATAAAGAAAACGTTCAATGAAGAATCGAAATATTTATTTCTTGTCTATCAATTTCAAAGGAACTAATCGTCGATAAAAAATCAATAACAATAATGCTCCTATACTCAAAGTACACAATTGTAAAACAATAACATAACGATATCCGCTGTGTTGAAAAAGGAAAGTTATCAAAATCGATGCAACAAATGGTGTAACACTTGCACCAAACGATAACATTCCCTGCATTAATCCTTGATTTCTTGGTCCAAGAATTTCGGAATATAATGCAGCTGAAGGCGATTCCACAAATGGAAAAGCCACTCCAAAGAAAATTATGAATGCGAATAAATAAACTGGAAGTGGGACTCGTGTAGTGGTCGAACACCACGTATATTCAGGAAGACATCCTCCAATTTGAGTTGTGTTTGCGCCAGGAGGAAGAAAATCCAATGGTCCAGAATAGAACCACCAGGGATAATTGACGATGTGATAAAGTGTGAAGATTATGATGCCAAAGAGGATTTGTTTTCTTTTGTCCCTAAAAATTTTGCTGAGTTATTTGAGGTTTGAGTTAATCAACTGAAGAGCTCACATTTTCCCAATACGAGTTGATCCGATAGTAAAATTTATACCTACTGATACCAGGCATGTGATAGATTCAATTATTCCATTGTACAAAATTGCTTGACTATCCTTCCAGTCGTATAAAACAGTTGTTAATGGAGTTGCCATTCTGCAAAATTCCAATAAGACCACAAAAAATCCCTAGGGTTAGGCTAAATAACTCTTAGCACATTCAAACTCACACTTCAATATTTGTCGCTAGCATACTAACAATCATATAGAGATAAATACAAACCAGTGCTGGCAATAAATCATATTTTGGCACAATATACATCGCATCTTTCTCGTGCAATTTTTCATCAACAATTCCAGCATAATCCTCCTTGAAAAATATAATCATAACAATAGCTGCGCAGATACAAATCAGACACATTAAATAAGCAGCACCCGTATACATATTAATAAATATTCCTAAAATATGAACACCCGATTCACCCAATGGTGTAAAAGCTGCCGAGATAACAGGACCAAATGATATTCCACAAACAAATCCGGCAGTTCCGTAGGACACTGCTTTCATCCGATCTTTTGGCACCGAAGCCATCGCAGCATAAGATCGAAGTGCAGAAAGACTACCAGTTCCCAGTCCAGTTATTATTCTTGCACCAATCATATACCATTTTCCATTTGTGTGAATCAAATTTATCGCACCATAACATGCCTGTCCTAGAGTTAAAAATGAGTATATATGAACCAGGGAGGTCTTATCTATTTTTTTGCCTTGTGTTTGTTTGAACTCACTTACCGATTGATGCGATTATCAGACCGCATACAACAGGTTGTTTGCATGACATGGTTTTTTGATTCCAATAACCGTATATTGGGTTCGACTGTAATAGAAAAAATGTGATGTGATTAATCAGGTTTATATTGCGACCAGGAATTGATAGCGATAGATCAAATTTCAAGGAACAGTTTCGATAAAAGAATTATCAGGTGGAAAATTATAAGATGATGTACGAAATATGGAGAGAATTGTGTTCTTGTAAGGATATTTTAGTAGCTTGGGAACATTTTGAAAATGAATACGGAATATTTGGTGCCAAAATTCGATTTCTGGGAGACACAGAAAGATTTTTCGATTAGAAATTTGCTGTTAGATCTCAATACATCAAATCGACATTCAAGCGGGATCAGACAAGCGCTGAAATTGATGGTTCCATTTCTCTGTAAAATCACTTACAATTGTGCAACCAATATTACAAGCAGCTACAACCCATCCCAAGAAATCCATTGTCGCAGTTTTATCAAGCTGAAAATTGTTATACTTCAATGTTTTCCAGATTTCCTTTCCTTTTTCCTTACCCCCGATAAATATGGCCACATTGACATATAATATACAGACATCTGAATTCCCATCACAAACTGCATTGAAATCGAAATCCACATCGCTCGCCATTCTGTCACTCTTTCAGACAACGATTTTTGATGTCTGGAAAATTTGGGAACTTTTTGATAAGAACTCTTCTACAATTCAAAAAAAAAGTGAACTCACTCCGGACTGATTTTTTTCGACATTGGGTGGAAGATAAGCAAATGAAACTGACAGTTTTATCAGAAAGAATTGTATTTTTAGAGAAAGGGTGGGAGGAGGGAATGAATTGACGGTCAAAAATTGTTATTTTCTTCTTTCAGCAAAATTGAATTAAAATTCAGAATTATGTACCGGGAAACAATAACAGAAGGATTATACTTGTGTTATTGCAAATGTACAGAATGTGAATAGCGTTCAAAATCGTGATATGATAACATTCCGGTCACACTTCATTTTCTGGAAATTGTTGAAAAAATTATTCTGGTGATATCGAAAAATAATACTTTGAACCCGGAAACGTATAACAAATTGTGTTTCAATTTTTCAAATTGTCTTTCATAGATAATCCATAGTCTATTTTCCCTGAAGTTTTTGATATTGGCACAGTTTCCCGTAAGGTACTGTAGGTTTTGAGCGTTTTGCACTTTTTTTTGTTTTTTGAATTTCTTCGAAGGAACGGATATTTGTTTTATCAAAAAAAAAATTTTTTTACAGTAACCACATATTATGAAAATTCCAAAAGACCTCTGCAAAAATTCAAATCGTTGAATATTCAAATTTCTCGAACTTTTTGACAATAACACTCGGGTTATACTTTCCAAAAAAAAAATGACCAAAACATTTTGATAGCCAAGTTTTCTCTCGGAAGCCTATTTGTTGACAAACTCATAGCTGCAGAAGATTTGAAGCGGAAGAAGAAAAAAGTGCGAATTTTTATATACAAGTTTTATGATGATTTTCACCCACTAAACTTCTCTTTTTTCCAGCCTGATGACGTCAAAACAAAATTTCGAGAATAGAATCTTCGGATTCAGTGCTGAATCTCCAGACTTCTCATCTCATCTCATTTTACAATCCTGTCACGACTTCTTTTTTATATATTTTTTATGTAAAAACAAAGGCAAACTTTCATCCATATTATATTTTATATTCATTTTTTTTATTTTGTGTTTTTTTTTCTTCAACTTGTCCTCACATCGGTTTTCTTTTTTTATTCATCACTTGAGATGTCATGCATCTATCTCGAATATAATTGAATATAAAGCAAAGTTCATCATAGAGTATCAAAAACCTAGTTTATGTGAGTTGAAAAAACAAATCAGATTCATCTTTGACGAAAGAGAGGCAAAATGTTATTTATTTGTCCTCATCAAAAATTATTTATAGCCAATATTTCTGATGTTTCCATGGAGAATTGACATTCATTCATTTTATTTTTTGTTTTCTTTTTTCAGGATCATTCATCAAGTTCAAGTCCTTTCTGACAAATAAATCCTAGAACTCAAAAAGTACGCGGAAAGGCGAAGAAGAAGAAGAAGAATGAAAAGAAAATACATATCATCTATTCAAAATTGAATCTTCTCTACTCCTTTTTCTTCGTCGCGCCTTTTCCTTCTCAATTTTCCGAATTTGTTTTTTTTTGTCTGAAGCGTAGTAGGTCGTAGTATTACTGTGGATTTTGATTGTTGTTTTTATCTATTAGCCTGAGATCTGGAAAGTGTTGAGAAGTTTGGAGATTCTGATTTTTAAGAAGTTTAAGCATCCAGAAATGTTATGACGTGGATTTTCATGTCGTATCATTTTCAGATCTGAGTCTTCAAATAGCGGAAACTTATCAGTTTGAATTTGAGTTTCTACAAAATTATTAAGATTTAGAGTTATGAGGTGGCAAACCATAAATCCTCTGTGGAGTAAACGATAAAATTCACGAGGAAACTGTGCTTTTTAGATCTGACACATAGTCTCCTATTTTCTGTCGTGAAACAGGCTGCGATTTGAATTTGAATATTTTTTTTCCAAAATTATTTTCTTGAGTTATGACGCGGCACTAATTCCCAAATCATCTGTATCCATTGTTTTTATTGACATCAAACCTATTGTTCTTTTATATTTTTCTTCTCTCTTCTTCTTCTTCTTTAGCCCCTTGTTTTTCTCAAGAAAAAGCGAAAAAATTAAATTTTAGACTCGAAATATTCTTGCTGTCACTCCATTTTCTCATTATTTTCTAGCTTTTCACAAACGTTCCAAAAAAATACATATATTTTTCTAATTATTTTTCTCTGATATCTGAGAAGAAGTGAGAAGAAAAATAAAAACGAAAATGAAGTGCACATTTTTTTCTAATTAAAAATATTTATTTACATTTTCAAGCGAAGTGTTTAAAAATTCAAACATTAGTTAGATATTCATCCAAGATAACCTATGAACCTTTGAAAAAAATGTGACATTTTTTCAGGTTTTTTTCTAAACTCAAAAATTTTCTCGTGCCAGATCCAATTTTTATTGGCAGATTCGCACAGACTGACGAAAGAAACTGTACTTGCGAAAATGACATTTGAGTTTTTCTACGCTAATTTTCCACTAATGTTTTTGGTCTAAAATTCAGACCTATAATCAGTTGTTCTTTGTTTTGTTGTGTCCCGCAAAATATTAATGAGACAAAAAAGTTGAGCAAAGCGGATTTCGGTTTTCTTTTTTTTTCTTGAAAAAATTATACGCTTCTCTCAACTACGACAACACAAATAATCTGAAAATTCTCAGATTTTTTGCTTCTATCCGGATCGGATTTCTCAAAGTATCAACAATTTTTTCGCTTAAGAAAATACGTAGGATAACAAAAAAAAATCCGAATTTCGCTCGAGTTCGCGCACTTTTGTTTATTATTTTTGTTCGAATTGAAAAAAAAACTTGAAAATCTTATCGATTTTCAGAAGTACCACTTGACTTTTTTTTTTTGATGATGGGATGTTCGATTTGAGGCTTCTTTGAAATTTATGGCTTCGCAGAAAAAGTTTCATGATTTTTGGTTCAATATTTTTGATGGGAGCCACGTGGCAAATTCTTTTTTTGCTTTCCAAATTTTTTGGAACATTCTGGTTCTGGAAGAAATTTGGTCTGAAAATTTGAAAAATTTCTGACCTTGCTGAAAATTTAAGATGTCAAAATGTTTACCAAAAATGTTTAGCAACGTGAGAGGGAATGTTAAAATGTGTGTCTAAAAATTTTCGGCTTCCAAATTTTTAAGAGGCATTTGATCCACGTGGCATTTGATGCAATTCTCAGGTTTTCGAATATTTTCTAAAAATGTTCTAATGAAAAAAAAAATGAAAAAATATTGATCCCAAAAACTCAAAATTTGAAAAAAGCTCGAAATCGGCTAAATTAAATGCGATTTTTCATTTCATAAAGTAAAATTTTTGCTCATAGACAGCAACAGAAGAAACGTACCCATCCACACACAAAAAATCCAATAAAACATTTTCAAAACTCTCGTTTTTCGCGCCTAAATGATTTCAGCTCCTCCTCCCCATAGCCAAAAAATCCTCATTTTTCCACTCGCTTTTTGTGCTCTACATACTTACTTTTTTCCTTCTGCTGCTGTCTCTTTTTTAAGATTTTCATGTGTTTTTTTTCTCGGTGAAGTTAGGTTATTGAATTAAATTGTCGGAAACCACACAGGAAAACAACGTTTTTTTACATTTTGAGTGATTTTTTGGGGGGTGGTTAGACGAACTAAAATAAATAAAATTCAAATTTCCTTTCATTTCCTTTTGCTGTTTCTACTTCTACCATATTTTTGAGCTAGACACAAAAATATGAATTCTAGGTTGAAGTGTTTTTCATTAGTTTTTGGTTTTGTTGTCTTTTTCGTTTTTTGTGGTCTTGAAGTTTTCACCTGCTTATACGAAATAAAAATTGTTTGACTCATTTTCAACACATTTTTTTATAGAAATGAATTCCACAGAAGCAACAGATGACACTTCGAGAACAACACTGAAGTTGGCGTTGGCGATCTCATATTTGGTTTTATTTATAGTTGGAACAATCGGAAATGGGTAAGAGAATGAAAAAGTTCCCGGTGGATTTCGAACCTGATTGAGAAAGTATTAAAAAAAAATAATTAAATGTGCTCTATCGCAAATCCCCCATTCAATATAAATATTCAAATTTTCTAGCACCGTAATCTTGATGATCATCAATATTTTAACAATGATGAAGAAGAACGTGCAAGCTGGAAAACGAAATATGATGTCAAGCACGAATCATGTATTCATATATGTTTTAGGTATGCTTTTAGACAAGTTTTTATATGTGCAGCCTAGCTAGGGGGTCTTTTTTTGCAGGTCTCTCAATAGTTGATCTTCTTGTCATTCTTCATTTGCCATTTTTGGTTGCCGATCTTTTGAAAGGTTCGCGATAGAAGAACACACTAACAAAAGGCAGTGATAAATTGAATTTTTTCAGGACAATGGTTGTTCGGTGTGGCCATGTGCAAAGTTTATTGGTTCGGTGAAAGTGTGAACAAACTTTTGAGCTCGTTTTTGATGACAGTTTTGAGTTGGGATCGATATATGGCGGTTTGCAGTCCCGTCAAATCTATGAAGTAATTAGTTGTTTGATGCAAGTTTTCTTAATTAATCAAATTTCAGAATGCGGAGCAACTCTACAGCTCTAAAAGTTTTGATTGTTTGCACAACTGTTGCCACAGTTTTACTATTACCCGTTTTTAATGAATCACAAGTTTATCGGATTGATAAAATTCGGATGATACAGTTGCAAGAGGGAAGCGTGGAACAAGCTCATTCTGGTGAGTAGCTAAGTAGACATTTTGAATTCTGAGATTTGATTTGAAAATTTTTGAAAAAAAGCATTATTGAGATTTCAGACAATGCTGGTACGACAATCTCAAAATGCGTTTTCGATGCAGATGCAACATTCACACTCTACACATTTCTAATTGGTTTCATCCTTCCCGCATTTCTCATAATCATCTTCTACGTAAAAGTAATTCGTGCACTTCAAAAATCATCTCGAAATATTCGAGGAACCCGAACTGATAAACAAGATGCAACATCAAATCGAGTCAAAAAAGTGACGAAAAGAATTGTTGCTGTCATTCTTTTCTATTTCTTATGCTGGACTCCACAATGGACATTAAATATAATGTCACAATTCAATTTGATTGCTGTCTCTTGGATGACACCATTGCTTTCTGCAATGTTCTTTTTTGCTCATATTTTGGTGTGCTTCAATTCTGCTGCAAATCCGATTCTCTACGCATATATTAATCGAGAATTGCGAAGTCAACATGTTATGGCAATGCATAGAAAAAGACACTCTGTAACTCAAGAACAAAGACTAATGAATAAAAGAAATTCAAGACAATCTGATGCCTCTAAATTAGATGAAATTATAGTTAGCGAGGCTGGAAATACTCGATTTTCATCACTGAAATCATCGATTTTATCTAAATTCTCTAGAAGACATCGAAGAGTTCCGAATATTGTTGAAAAACATGTTCAGAATAATAGCAATTCTTCATTGACGGATGAGGAGAAAGATGATTTTTTGTAATTTTTTTGATTTGAAAATTTACATTTTTTGATTTGCGTGTATAAACTTGTCATTTTTTTTCAAACAAACACCACAATTGAAAATTTCAGAATAAGCCAAAACTCTAGAAACAATTACAACTCGAAGAAGGATTTTATGAGCTGGGCAAACGATGGTACAAATAATATGGTATAGCTCAAAATGAACTGAGAGGTCCCTAATTTTTTCAGTTTTTCATAATTCGTGATAAATATTCGGATAGATAACAATTTAAAATATCAATTTCGTAATTCCAAAATTCCAAAAAATATTTGTTTTCTTCAAGCCGGAAATTTTGTAATATTTTGACGCGACAACAGGATCTTATGAAATCAAAGGTACAAAAAAACTTTTAAAAAATGATGGAATGATTTTTCTCTAACAAAAAAAAGCACCATAAAAATATGCTGTCCAGTCTCCCTGGTTCACGTGAAAAAAAAAGAAAAACAAAATTTATTTTCATTATTAAAAAAAACACATTTTTGAAACGCCGCCCATGTTCGCTGTGTGCGATAGAGCGCGCTTCCATTTTTACTTTTTTTTTCTTCCGAAAATTTTATTTTTCTCTTTTTTGTTTTTCCTCTCTTCTTCTGAGTACAAAATTCGTTTCCTTCAGATCAATAAAATTTGCAGATGCTTTCGCGGGCTCTGTCTAGAAGTATTGCTTGCCGTACCTATAGCACCACCACAAATCCGAAAAATGAGATATTTATCGAGCGACTTTCTGGAAAGGATCAAGGCATCACACTAATTCAAATGAATCGAGCTCCACAGAAAAATGCGTTGGGCAAGGTGTTCATGACACAATTCCGACAAATTTTGGATGAAATCAAATTCGATAATTCAACCAGAGTTGTTATTTTGAAATCCAACGTAGCTGGAACATTTTGCACCGGGGCGGATTTAAAAGAGCGCAAAGAAATGCATGTAGATGAAGTTCCGAAATTCGTCGATTCTCTTCGCAACGCTTTCACCGATATTGAAAAACTCCCACAACCTGTAATCGCAGCAATCGATGGTTATGCTTTGGGCGGTGGTTTGGAATTAGCATTGGCTTGTGATATTCGCGTAGCAACAAAAAGCTCAAAAATGGGATTAGTTGAAACGAAATGGGCGTTGATTCCAGGAGCTGGAGGAACTCAAAGAATGAGTCGAGTTGTTGGACCATCAAAAGCGAAGGAATTGATTTATACAGCTGAGATTTTTGATGGACAACAGGCTGAAAAGTTAGGAGTTGTTAATCATGCTGTTGATGATTCCGTCGAAAAATCTCTAGAGATTGCGAGGAAAATTATTCCAAGGGTGAATATTTTTTGAATTTGAAATCTTATGGATCAATTCATCTGAAGAAAAAATGAATTTCGCGACATTTTTTGTCGCGAAATTGCAATTCGCGAAACGACACGAAATTAATAAAATAAACACGCCTGTTCGGCAGCGGAAATAAAAATTTCGGGTTACTGTACGCAAAAATGTGCATACACACTGACATGAAATTGCTCACATTATTTTTATTTTTATTTTTTTTTGTTCGTTTTTTTTCCGTTTCACTTTGCTAATATATTTATTGGTGTTTTCTGAAGAGAAATCAGTTTTTACAGCATACATTGATTATTTTTTTCTCGGAGAGTAATGGTTAGGTGTGTATTTGAGCGAATTCACTCCGGTTTTACTGAAATTAGTGTTTGAACTTATATTTTTTGCTGAACCAATTGTTTGTCTATTCTCTATGTAAAATGTTTAAAATTTTCGTACATATTTAATATAGAGAGCAACAGAAAAACATCGTATTTCTTTATTGTTGTACGTTTTCTGCGGATTGTCTAAATTAGTTTTTTTTTATAGATAATTCATGATTATAATTGGACAACATTTCAATATCAGGCAACAATATTTTTGTGGCTTGACTGGGCAAAACTCAACAAGACGAGCTATGTGACACCAACAAAATTAATGAATGGTTTATTCAACAGAACTTGAATGATTGAGAGTTTCATGAAGCGAGCAAGTTTGAATAAAACGACAGAAGATTTGGCGAATAACTTGTTGCTGTTATAAACAACTTCTGAATGCCATAATATCTCTGTGTTTCGGTAAGTATTTTAAAAAGGCATGTTCATTTCGCCGGCGAACGCCGGGCGTCGCCTTTTTTATTGAGGCGAAGGCGAGGCGTGCCTCTTTTTATTTTTCAACGCACAAGGCGAGGCGAGGCGTCGCCCGGCGATTCGCCGGGCGAGTTGCATTTTGCAAGTGAGAATAGATTAAATTTTCTTCGATTTTTTCATAAATTCGGTTGTCGGCGGGGTTTCAGCTACCTATTAGCAACATTTTCAATCAAGATTTTGCTTTAGTTTTCACTAAAAAGTATATTTGGAAAAGAAACAGCTATTTTTAGATGGAAAACATATCGTTCAAATGTTCTCATGTAACTGTAAGGCGATATATTTTTATTTCTAAGCTTACAAAAACATTTTGCTGAAATTGAATGTTTATAAATACAGTTTTTTCACAAATTGGGTAAAAAAACTAGGTTTTCAGTGAAAATGACTCTTTTCTTCACTTCTTTGACCTTAATAATGTGTTTCAGAAGAAATCTTAGCACATAACGTTAAAATATGAGTGAAATTATCACAATTAATCGTTTTTCATGCAAATAAATTACGTTTCTTTATGAAACAGACAACACACACGCGTTTTCTCGCCGCGGCGAAGGCAGGCGAAGGCGAGGCGTGCTTTTTATTTTTTTTCGAAAAACAGGCGAGGCGTGCCTCGCCTGCACAAAACGTCGCCGGGCGAAAAGCAGGCAGGCAAAATGAACACGCCTGGTATTTTTATATTGAAAATTCTTTCTAAAATCTTCAAAACATATGTTGACATTTCGTGGAAGCAGAAAAAAACCAAAAATAAAAATTTAAATTCCAAAATTCTCACTCTAGTTGTTCGAAAAACGAATGTATTCAGGCCTGAGTTTACTCGCCAGACCAATTAAGTCTGAAGAAAAATCACACTATCGAAAAATTACTCGCTACAGAAACCAACTCAAATTTCTATCACGATTAATTTTTCAAGGCCGAATACGATGTAAGAAAATATTATGTTTAGTTTTCACAGAAAAGCTTACTCAATTAACTAACTAGGATTAGGCTCTGGACAGCAAGATTATCACTAAAAATGAAATATTCCAGAGAAATACTAATTGTAAATTTTCCAGATAAATCACTTCACATCATCCTTCAAACATGCTCACCATCTTCCATTTGTCAAACGATGGATTTCATTTTTTTTTCTGCCATATTTTTTTCATAAATTAATTTATTATTATGTTTTACAATTAAAATGATTGCCATTCGCGAACTGGCGAGCAAATAATGAAGGTTCAATAAGAAAATGCTTAAGATTCTACCTAAGATCAATTCAGTCTCGTTTAAAATAAGTGCTGAACTTTATTGGGAATAATTGCTGAATCGAAATTTGAAGAAATTCCAGATTTCAATAAAAACCTGATGTTTTTCACCGAATATCTAGACACAAACTCACCAAAGAACATTTCTAAAGTTCCAGGGTCATTCAAAACATTGTTAATTGAAATCCGTTTTCAATTTAATGGAAGTGGGAAAAACAACGCATTTTTCTTTTGAAAACATCTTAAAATTGAGCTCAAAAATTTATAACCAAAGTTATTATCTCTATCTGAACAAATTAAACTTCAAAAAGTGAAATTCTATGATGAAAAAGCTGAAAATTCAAGCCCAGATAATCAACACAGCATTCAGTTTTTGAATTACCTTTGTAAAATATGATTCAGGTAACAGAAAACATAATGAATTTAACCATTTTCTCACGCACTCAATGTCAGTTCATGTTTTTTCACATCTAAAGTTATTTTATATGCTTATATTGTCGGAATTCCCTCTCGAAAATGAGCTAATTACCGAAAACAAATATTTGAAAAAAAACTATTTTTTGAATTTCCGCAAACGCACAAAGAAACATGCTATTTTTTGAGAAAACGGGTCTCGACACGATTTCGTAAAATCGCAGCAGGACCTTCGGAAAATACTTATTCAAAGAGATTCGGATGCGTAGATTATCGCTACGTTTTTAGTTTTTCAAGTTATGGCCTGGAACATTTTCGGGCCGCGCCGCCAGTTTCATTTTTGAAAAATTGATGACGTCACAAGCGTGGCCGAAGTTTCTTCTTCTCCGAACAGTCGTGTAAAAGAGGAAATTCTTTTTTCGTGTGTTGGGTCTCGCAGGGATTACGTGTCCCTTTAATATTTCTCCTTTATTTTTGTGTTTATTTCGTGTCGTTTCACGAATTGCAATTTCGCGACAAAAAATGTCGCGAAATTCATTTTTTCTTCAGATGAATTGATCCATTAGAAAAATATAATATATTATAATTTCAGGGCCCAGTTGCTGTAAAAATGGCAAAACTCGCAATAAATCTCGGTTCACAAACTGATATTAGCAGTGCTTTGAGTGTTGAGCAACAATGTTATGCTCAAATTGTTCCGACTAAGGATCGTTTGGAAGGTTTGAAAGCATTTGCTGAAAAACGCGAGCCGGTTTATAAAGGAGAATAATTTATCGATTTATTTGAGGCGACTAATTAAATATAGTAGATAGGATTTTGTTTGATTGAGATCTGTGATTTGTAGTTTTATGCATTTTTTTTAGAAAACAAAAATGAACTTATACTGGTATTTTTGAAAACAAGTTGAGTTTGTTTATTTTTGATGAGTAACCGTTTATTTCGGATAAATATCCATGTAGAAGCGGCTGAAGTCTCGGTAAGTTTATTAATTTGTAAAACTTTGATAACAACATAAAAAATGCGTTTTTTTTCAGATGGATAGTGTGGCGCATGTAGAAGCGGCTGAAGTCTCGGTAAGTTTATTAATTTGTAAAACTTTGATAACAACATAAAAAATGCGTTTTTTTCAGATGGAGAATGTGGCAAATTCAGAAGCGGCTGAAGAATCTGTAAGTTTATTAATTTGTAAAACTTTGATAACAACATAAAAAAAATAACGCATGCCCGTTTTTACAGTTCGCTAACGATTCTCTGGATAGGAAGATGATCGAACTTGTGACTAGTCGAGCTGTTACAGCTGAATCGAAACTGGAAGCGTGTAGATTCCAGCTAAAACGTAGAGAACAAGAAATCGAAACGTCAAAAGTTCTCAGAAACAATCAAATCGCCGCGTTTGATAAGACTCGTTCGGAACTCAAAGAAGCACAAAACAAACTGAAGGAATCGCTCGAAAATACGAAGAAAAAAGAAGAGGAGTTAATCGAATTGGGCCAAAAGTGTAAAAGCGAAATCGGAGAAGTCATCGAACAAAAACAAGATGTTGATTAAAAGCTCAAAAGAATGATTTTGAAATATGAAGCAACAAGAAAGGAACTGTGCAAAACGAAAACCGAGTTGGACAATACACATAATGCGATCAAACTTCTTGTCGAAGAATATAAATCCATGACTTGTATGGTAAGCAAAAAAAAAGAAGAAAATCACCAATAAAATTGTTGTTATTATTACAGGATTTCGACAAGTTCCACCAGCTTCTTGTTGACTGTTTAAAGTGCTCGAATTCCAATATGGCCTGTTGAAAGACCCAAAAATATTTTTTTTTATTTTATTTGTTCTCCGTAATTTTTTCCCACATTCTTTGCTATTTTTTATAAAGTGGTTTTGATTGTAACTGCATATATTTTCTCGTTATTCTAGTGGTTTTTTTTCCACTTTCTTTCCTTTTCGAGGTTGAACACACATTTTCTGATGATCTTCAACGTGTAAAATTTTTTTCATTGATCACTACGAGAATCCAAGAAATGGAAATGGACAAAAATGATCCAACAGTTGGAACTGGATTTGTTGATGCTTCAGCTTGTGGCGATGTTATGAAATTGCAAATCAAAGTTGATGATTCTTGCAAAATTGTTGATGCCAAGTTCAAGTTTGGCTACTGAATCGATTAATGGAAAAACCATTGAATATGCGTCGAAAATCAAGAATGACGAGATTGCCAAAGAACTTTGTCTCCCACCAGTTAAACTTCATTGTTCAAGTAAGTCTTAGGGAATTGTTTTTCAAAAAAAAATATGGGAAAATACATTCCAAGATGTTTGAATAGTCAGAAACGTTCCGAGTTTCTAAAAGTTCTACCAAACTTCTAAGAAAACTCCAACTCAACCAAACGTTTTCCAGAACCGTCGTTTGTCCATTCGTTGACGTCATCGATTGTGAAACCTACGAAATCAAGCCACAAGATGAAGGAGCTTATGGTTTATTCGATTGGGCTTTCAATTATAAACGTCTTCCGCTAACCAAAAAAGATCGACAAAATCCAACAAAACCATTCGATTCACCAGTTATGGCTGGTGGTTATTTTGCGATTTCTGCAAAATGGTTTTGGAAACTTGGCGGATATGACGAAGGATTGGATATTTGGGGAGGCGAACAATATGAGCTTAGTTTCAAAATTTGGCAATTTAATGGCAAAATGGTTGATGCTCCTTCTAGAAGAGTTGCATATATTTATCGATGCAAATATTTCGCCGTTTAAAAATGCTGGAATTGGTGATTTTGTATCGAGAAATTATAAAAGAGTGGCTGAAGTTTGGATGGATGAATATAAAGAAACATTGTATAAACATAGACCTGGAGTTGGAAGTGCTGATGCTGGAAATTTGACAAGAGTGTTGAAAGTTCGAGAAAAATTGCAGTGTAAAAGTTTTGATTGGTTTATGAAGGAGATTGCTTTTGATCAAGATAAATAATATCTTGATCAAGATAAATATACACTGCTCCACATAATTATAACCTCACTTGATTTTTTTTGAAAAATTTTGAGTTTTTTGGAAAAAGTTAGAAAATGGAAAATATGCCAATTTCCGATACTAATTTGATGTTTAATCGAAATTTTCTATCGTGGAACTCCCGAAAGAGAAATCTTGAATTTTTAAAATAAATCAGTTTCGCAATTGCACATAATTATAACCTCATTTTCTGAAATTCTAACTTTTTAGAAGCAAAACTTTGAAAAACAATAAAAATACCGATTAAACTTCAAGTTACTCAGGGAATCACGGGCGAGATCTACGCGATTCGCGGGCATCCAGCGTTTTGCGGAAACTTCGCGGTGGACATTTGCGAATTGCGCAAATTTAGCGGAGTGACTCGGTCGAAAATATTTTGTCGCGAGATTTCCGCAAAACGCAGAAAAGTTTGCGTTTCGCGTGAATTTCGCGGGCTGTCACGACAAGAGTGCAGAGATATGAAACACGTTTCAGCGCTATGATTCATGCGCGTGGATGGTCAAGTGGGTAAGAAGGATGTGTGTGAGCCAGAGAGTGTCGGATCGAGGCCGGCCGAGTGAGTATGATTAAAAGCGATTAGTTGTGTCTCGCGTGGCCTCTACTTTTTGATTTTTGAGAAAACACCGCGAGATTTCCGCGATTCGCAGACAGAAAACCGCGAAATCGCGGCGTGTTCGCGGCGATTTCGCGGATTTCTGGGTCCCGCGATTCGCGGAGATCTCGCCCGTGATTCCCTGAGTAGTATCGGATATTGACATATTTTCGATTTTTGATGTTTTTGCGAGAAACTCAAAAACTCGAATTGTTCAAAAAAAAAATGAAGTGAGGTTATGTGGAGCAGTGTATATAGCTGTGCCTCCAAAATCAGCTAGCTGCCCAAGGTTAGAAATTTTTTCTGAAACTTTTATTTTTTTTTGGCTGTGAAATCTAATGAAAAATAATTTATCAATTTTTGTTTCAAAAACTAATTCAAATTTTCGAGCGTAAAAAATAGTCTGGAAAGTTGTTTCCAAAAAAATTCAGCCTCCTGAAAAATCCAAAAATTCTACCCATCGGTACCCATAGATACCATACCCATAGAATGCATTCTTTTTCAGGAGACTTCGTCACATTGCATCTGGTCTCTGCGTCGACACTCAATTCAAAGACAAAATCAACGATTTGGTCTCAAAAAATGCGAATCAGATGACCCTGATAAAACACCGGGAGAGCAAGACTTGAAGCTTACAAGATTGCATCGACAGCGCAGTTAAAATTAAAGCTGCAGCTCCAGTGAAAGCTGTTGCTCCGGTGAAAGCTGTTGCTCCGGTGAAAGCTGTTGCTCCGGTGAAAGCTGCCGCTCCAATTGTTGTTGCTCCACCAGTTATTGCTCCACCAGTTGTAATCACCGCAACAACCGATGATTCAGTGATTATAATTGATGAAGTTCAGAATGGATGTGATATTCTTGTGATTCCACCGACTCCTGAACCAACATCTATTGCACACGAAGAGGAACATGTTGAACAACAACACGTTCATGAACAATCTCAAATTCAGAAACAACCACAAGCCGAACAAGAACTTCAAGTTCAAGAACAACCACACGTTCAAGAAGAGAATAAAGTTGAAGAAGAGGTTCAACAAGTTCCACATTTCAAGGAAGAACCACCAGTTCAAGAGCAATAAGTTGTTCAAGAAATTGATAAAGTTTCAACACCGGAAAATGAATCATTCGCCACATCGGAGACTAGAAATCAATCAATCATTGAGTTTGGAGAAGCTACACTTGGAAAGCTGGAGATTAGGGAATTTGTCCACAAAATTCGATCGAGACATTATATTCTTGCTAGCAAGAATGCCGAAGAAGATGTTCTCGAATCGATTCACTATGGATTCAAGCTTTGGGACAATTCCAGTAAGTTCTAGTTTTTTTTAAAACTCTGAAATCAAAACAAGTATAAATTTTGCAGATTTGAAATGTTCGATCCACCCAACTCATCACAATTCTGCAATCGGTCAATTCAAAGCAAAGCATAACGATGAATCGACAAATATCGAAGTTTGCTTGCCAATCTCCAACTCGATTCTTCGCGATGGAACCGGCGAAGAATATAAGGTTGCTCGAATCGATCTTCGCGACGAATTCGACTAATCTTCTCCCTTTTTTAATTTATTCATAATTTCGTGTAAATAGTTTTATTGATCCCCGTTGTCAGATAAATTGTCCCGTCCCGCCTCCACTACACGTATAATACTAATATTTATTTATTTTATTATTTTTTTTGAAATTCTGTGAAATAAAAATTGTCTTTTTGGAACGGTGGAAGTCAGGTTGTGAAACTGGGAAATTATGAATGTCCCGAGAAGTTGCCTTGTGAAACTTGAACATTTTTTTCAAGAATTTGTTATGGGACCATTCGCGAAGAAAAAAACGTGTTTCGAAAAAACGCAAAATACATTGAAAATGTCGAGAAACTGAGTTTCGCGACATGTTGTGTATTGTATTTTTATGTTTCAAAACACGTTTTTTAAAAGTCTTTTTCTTCGCGAATTGTCCCATGAAAGCATTCTGGAGATTTCATTGAAAGTTCTGTTTCCAAAATTTTATAACACAATTTTCCGTGGCAAAAATTCAAAGACGTTCAGAAATAAGTTTAAAGATAATTTATGCGCATATAATTATTATGAGAATGGAAACAAACCGGAAAATGAAAAAGATTATCATGCGTTTCTACTTAAAGGGATGCAATTATTTGATCTAATTCCGCATCTGAAACTCGCTCGAATTGTGTGTTTTGTGGCTTAAATTTAAATTTAAAATTGCTTTTAGACGTAGTTAAGCTTTTCATGAAAAATTAAAATATTCAAGATTTAAGGAGTCAAAGCTCCGCTCTAAGAGAGCTTTTTGAGAGTTTTAAGGATGTTCTAGTTTTAACCATGGTCCTTGATGACCACCTTTTATATGTTTTATACTTAACTTAACCTATAATTTATATGTAATTTACCTTAACTTTTATTCATTATTGCTTTATTTAACCTTTCATAAATTAGTAGTTTAACCTAGTGTATTTGGAACCAAGAGGGGTGTAACTCCTCACAGAATCCAGCATTTGCAACAGCCAAAACAGCCAAAAATACAGTAACCTTCAACATTTTCTTCGTCCAAAACAACTTTCGAATGCCATGTTTTTTGCCCAAAAAATGGGTGGAGCCTGTGGAAGGAGAAACTCGCCCCGCCCATCAGTAATTTTTTGTTTTCTTTTTTCTTCTGACAGCGGAAAAAAAGGGAAAAACCTGACACGCCTTTTTTGAAACAAGGAAAATTTGCAAATTTGAAGAGAAACTGAGAAAAAGACAAATCGAACTGCAAATTTTTTCGCGCTGCAATACCAGTCAAAAATTTATTCATTTTTCATTTTTTTTTCACTTTTTCGGCTGTTTCTCTCGCCTTTTTCTGCTTGGCGCGCGTAAAAATAGATCAAAAATACAGAATTCGAGAAGAAAAACGTAAGAAAAAGTTTTAAAAATGGAAAATGAATAAATTTTTGACTGGTATTGCAGCGCGAAAAAAATTTGCAGTTCGATTTGTCTTTTTCTCAGTTTCTCTTCAAATTTGCAAGTTAAAAAGGCGTGTAAAAATATGCTTTCCAATCTCCCTGGGTCACGTGAAAAAAAAAGAAAAACAAAATTCATTTTCATTATAAAAAAACACATTCATTTTCATTATAAAAAAACACATTTTTGAAACGCCGCCCATGTTCGCTGTGTGCGATAGAGCGCGCTTCCATTTTTACATTTTTTTTTCTTCCGAAAATTTTTATTTTTCTCTTTTTTGTTTTTCCTCTCTTCTTCTGAGTACAAAATTCGTTTCCTTCAGATCAATAAAATTTGCAGATGCTTTCGCGGGCTCTGTCTAGAAGTATTGCTTGCCGTACCTATAGCACCACCACAAATCCGAAAAATGAGATATTTATCGAGCGACTTTCTGGAAAGGATCAAGGCATCACACTAATTCAAATGAATCGAGCTCCACAGAAAAATGCGTTGGGCAAGGTGTTCATGACACAATTCCGACAAATTTTGGATGAAATCAAATTCGATAATTCAACCAGAGTTGTTATTTTGAAATCCAACGTAGCTGGAACATTTTGCACCGGGGCGGATTTAAAAGAGCGCAAAGAAATGCATGTAGATGAAGTTCCGAAATTCGTCGATTCTCTTCGCAACGCTTTCACCGATATTGAAAAACTCCCACAACCTGTAATCGCAGCAATCGATGGTTATGCTTTGGGCGGTGGTTTGGAATTAGCATTGGCTTGTGATATTCGCGTAGCAACAAAAAGCTCAAAAATGGGATTAGTTGAAACGAAATGGGCGTTGATTCCAGGTGCTGGAGGAACTCAAAGAATGAGTCGAGTTGTTGGACCATCAAAAGCGAAGGAATTGATTTATACAGCTGAGATTTTTGATGGACAACAGGCTGAAAAGTTAGGAGTTGTTAATCATGCTGTTGATGATTCCGTCGAAAAATCTCTAGAGATTGCGAGGAAAATTATTCCAAGGGTGAATATTTTTTGAATTTGAAATCTTAGAAAAATATAATATATTATTATAATTTCAGGGACCAGTTGCTGTAAAAATGGCAAAACTCGCAATAAATCTCGGTTCACAAACTGATATAAGCAGTGCTTTGAGTGTTGAGCAACAATGTTATGCTCAAATTGTTCCGACCAAAGATCGTTTGGAAGGTTTGAAAGCATTTGCTGAAAAACGCGAGCCGGTTTATAAAGGAGAATAATTTATCGATTTATTTGAGGCGACTAATTCAATATAATAGATAGGATTTTGTTTGATTGAGATCTGTGATTTGTAGTTTTATGCAAAAAAGAAAATATACTGGTATTTTTTAAAAATAGTTTTTTTAATTTTTGATGAGTTACCGTTTATTTCGGATAAATATCTGAGCTATTTATTGCTGAAAACTCTCATCAACAAAACCACGTGGATTTTTCTCAAAATTTTATTTACAGATAGAAAATGCATTTATCTAGTCGATTTTTGGGAGCACAAGCTGCTCAAAAGTGGGATATAATTGCATCAGTTGTTCTATCTCGACCTCCCGTAATTGCTCCAAAAATGTTGGAAATCGAAAAACGATACCAAAAGTTGCAATTGGAAGAAGAAAGTGAAAATAGTTTGATGAATAATTATGAATTGAAAACAAAACAGGATCAGAAGTGAGTTAAGATTTTTTTTTTAGTTATCTTTGAAAAGTGGGTTACCTAGTGTTTGAAAGTTCGGCTATCAAAAATCCAAATATTTTTCAGAATGTTGGCAAGACGAGAACAATTGTTAAAAGAGGGAAAGGAGTTATCGGAACTTGATGAGGAAATTGGAGTGACGAATGCGGTCAGAGAGGATGAGTGGAATAAAAAAGCAGAGGAATTACAGAAAAGGTGGGTGTTTTTGGCGGGAAATGTTGGACATAAAGAATTTTATGATAATTTCTGGATTTTTCATGGTTTTAAGTCCAAAAAAACACGAAAATCCATCAAATACTTCTTGTTCCGATTCGAAATTTTTAAAATTCTCCCACTTCCAGATACAATTTCTCGAAAATCGCCGAAGAAACCGATCCGAAAAGCTTATCGCGATTACTCGATCGAAAATTGGTGTTGATTGTGAAACAGAATTTCGGCGAGAAAAAATATTCGTCACCTTGGATTTTGCCACAAATGAAGAATAAGGAGGGAGAGACTTTGAGACAGGTAAAACTTTGAGACCAAACAATATTTCTTCATGATCTCATTCTAGACAGCCGAACGTTGCATCGGCGAAATCGCAGGCGGTGATCTTTCCGCAAGTATTTCCGGAAACGCTCCATTCTCCGTCTTCTCTCACAAATATCCAAAACCAATCACTCAAAAAACTGGGCAAATTGGTGCCAAAATCTTCTTCTACACCGCAAATTTAGCGCAAAACACAACGGATTTTGAGGCGAACAAGGATGACGTGGCAGATTTTCGTTGGGTGACCCGAGAGGAATTTTGGAGTACTGTACCTGGCAAGGAATATCGAAACGCTTCGAAATTCGCGTTTTTGGAGTGAAAATAGGATTTTTTGTGTATTTTTTGTTAGTAGATTTTAGATTTTTCTGTTTTTCATTGAAAAATTAATTGGTTTTTTTCTCGATTTTTTCAATTTTCAAACAATAGGTTTTTCAAACCCTTTGAAATATTTGAAACTTTATCAATTTTTATCATTCATTATCTTCATTTTTAGATGGATTCTGGAATGTTTCCGAAACGCCCGAATTTTCAAGAAACCGATGAGGATTTGCTGAAAATGCAGGAGGAGTTTGAAATGTCGAAAAATAAAAAATCGGTGGAAATTCATCGGATGAAGAAAAGGGTAAAATTGGAGGAGGAACAGATAAAAGGTGAATTTTTAGATAGAATTTTCAGTTTTTGAGATTTTACATGCTATCAGATTGAAAGTTAGGCATTTTATTAACAATCAATATTTTTCATGTTGGAACTTCTAACTGAAATAAACAAAAATTTAGTCGTAGGTTTCACTGAAACAATTTCGAAAACATTTTTTTCAGAATCCCTCCCAAAACAACCAACCAACGAAAAAAGCTGGTCGATTCACCATCGAATTAGATGATATTCGCGAAGAATCTGATGCTCAGGGAATTCTTTTTCCAATTCGAGAAAGGAATAATGATTGGCTGAATTCAGATAAAAGAGATGAAATTATCCGAAACAATTTTTCATCGTTCAATTTCTCAAAAGATGATGGATTTCCGGAATCTTTGGATTTATCAAGTTATTATTTGAATGAACCAGGAACTTCGAAACGATTGGCTCAACCTGGAAAAAGTTTTTTCGCCACGGAATTCGATAGAATTCATGGAAATATGGAAGAGAATTTGGATTTTGCCAGAGAAATTGAGGAATCGGAAGAGATTTCGAAAGATCAGGGAGATTTTGAAGCGGAAAATGAGAGTTATCTGAAGTCCTTGGATATGGAGAAGATTAATGAGTTGAAACAAGAGATTCAGGAACGATTGGATCCGAAACTTATTGATTTTTTGGCGAATCGCAGAAAGAATATGCAGAAAAAAGATGGGAAAATAGAGGAAAAACCAAAGATTTCAAAATTCAAAGCCAGAAAACTTGCGGAAAAATCGATAGGGAAACCGCAAGAATCTCAAGAGCCTAAAGAAGAGCTCCAAAATCCTCCAGAACCAAAAGAAGAGGACAAATCTGCAGAACAACAACAAATCACAATTCAAGATATGCTGAATGAATTAGAAGTCCTAGACGAGTTCAAAAATCGGGAAGATCGAGAAAAATATGATAGATTGGCGACGGATGCGATACAATTGGATTTGACAGCGAAATTCGGCCGGAATGTTGTATCACGGCAACAGAAGAATGCGTTGCGGCTGTTTGAGAATTGTAAACTGTTGCCGAATGAGTGAGTGAATTTTGGGCTGGATTTTAGGACTGGAAATTTCGTGTATTCCGAATCTGAATAAGAGGACAAAGTTTTCCAGTGCATTTCTTGTCCCTTTATGAAAGATTAAGTGATTTTTTTATCGAAAGTTGTTATGAACATCGTTCAATTTGCATTTCGAAAAAAATATCTCAACTTACAACTTAAATCTCAACTTGTTAGTGTAAATTTTGAAACGTATTATTTTCTAAAAAAAACTCACGTGTCTCTCTTTAAAATTCCTGATACTTTATGGGGTGATTCAGGTCGAAAAAAAAACTAAAAAAAAACATTTTTTTACAAAAAAATTCGATTCAGCAAATGTCAAAAAACTATATTTTCTTCTATTTCTCGACATTTTTTGACATTTTTTTTCATTGAAACATTTTCGCTGCGAGATATCTCTCATTTTTGTGTGGAAAAAAATATAGTTTTTTGACATTTGCTGAATCGAATTTTTTTGTAAAAAAATGTTTTTTTTTAGTTTTTTTTTCGACCTGAATCACCCCATTACAAAAATCCAAACATTTTTGCAGCTACGATGGAAATGATAAACTCATCGAATTGGCTCGATCTTCAATTGGCCAAATTCAAAATCTATATCTCGAGGAAATCGAATCATCTGGCCATCGAAGTTTCGAATTTGCCAAAGGCCTAAATCCAATAATTGATAATTGTTGGACTCTTATTCCAGTTCGTCGAGTTTTGGACGCAGTCGAAAAACGGCATGGCCAAGTTCTCGAAGATGATGTTGAAATTGTTCGTTTGGCTCTTTTGTGGACACTTTTATTATTCGTCGAAAAGAAATCCGCATTTTTTTGCCTTCTGTCAGCCAAATGAGATTTATATTCATTTGTCGGAAGTTTTTTTAATTGGACCTGAAATTTTGGCAGATGATGTGATTGTTGAATGTTGTGAGAGAATTGAAAGAGAATATATTGTAAAATCAGCTGAAGAATGTAGAATTAGTATTCGGATGAATGCGAAGATTGCTGGATTGGATGCTTTTATGCCGTTGTAAGTTTTTTGAGTTAATTTTTGAATGAAAATTTAGTATTTTTTGAAACCAGACAAGTCTAGGAGTAGAGATTTTGGGTTACTGTATGAACATGCAATTTCAAAACAATTTTGAGGATCAGAAAAATTTAAATTTCAAGCTTTATCAAATTCAGTTTCGTTTTGAAATATTAGAATTATTCCAGCTACGAAAACATGCTGAAAAACTACGAACAGTATTCTCTGGGAAATGTCCAATTTGCTCGTTCAATTCTAATCGCCGCTTATTTGAATACACCAATTGGTGACAGCATTGAATATCGATTTTCACTTTGGACACCAAAACGAAAAATCATTCGGCAAATGACAATTTCGAATCAAAATGCCACAGATATTTTGCCAATTATCAAAAAACAAATCGAAGAAAATGAGAAATTGATTGATGAACAATTTTATGTACAATATTGTTCATTATTAGGAGCTTATGTTGGAGCAATTCGAGATGAAATTGTGACGAAAAATCGAAATGAATTGATGTGGGAAATTGCGAGTTTTGAAATTGGAAGATTTATGAAAAGATTTGGGCAAAATAAAGGAGATTTAGAGAAATTGAGACAATTTGAATTGTTGGCCGATATTATTCGAAAATCGATTGGTGATAAATTGGTGATCTAGGCTTAGGCTTGGACCAATTTTTGTAGAATGTTGTTGAATTTGCTCGTTATATAAAAATTTTTGGATTTTTTTTTTAGAATTTTTTATTTAATAATGGTGTTTGAAGCACTTTGATATATCTTCTTATTGTTTTTATGATTAAATATTTTTTTGAAACAAATCTGGATAATCCAAGAAACTTACGTAAATTTCTTTGATAATCCCAGCCATCTCAAAAACAACAAAAATCTAGAAATGACTGTGAAAACACGTGAATTCAAAAATTATTTTATTCACTTTTATTTTTTCTTTTCAAATTCTCCTCATTTTTCACCCGAAACACTCCATTTCGCACCAATTTGAGCACCGTAAATATCACATAACTCATAATTAACAAACTAATTGACATAATTAATAAAATATCCACACAATAGTATTGAAAAGGTCCCATTTGAGCTCCGGGTTGATTCAATTGTTTATGCAACATTGGATTTGCCGCAATAAATTCGATCCATTCCAAAAATTGCTGTTTTGCTGGATTTGGACGTTCGGCTAGCATTTTTGCGATTCGCTTTGAGTTTGTGTAGAATCTGAAAAAGATTCTGTTGTTCTGTGATGAAATTAGGTAACCTTAAAACATGTCTTCTAGTTTTTGAGCCACTGATTTTTTCGTTTTTTTTTGTTGCGGATTCAGGAATTAGAAAAAAACACGAAATGTTCACCTCTCATCATTCAAAATCGCGTTCAATCCTTTCACAATATTTTCCTCACTCAATTCTGTTTTATCCAAAACATAAGTATTTTCCAATAATCTTCCTGACTCTGCATTATGTTTTTGATCTACAAAAAGTGGAATAGCTAGAATTGGAACTCCGGCATAACAAGATTCGAGATATGAATTTAGGCCAACATGCGAAATGAATCCTTTTGTTCGTTTGTCGTCTGAAAACTAGGGGTTTCATTTTTCAGATATCATTCCCCGGGTGAATCGCAGAATAGCCCCCCACCTCAAAGTAAGCCCCCACCAACAAGTAAAAGTCCCCACCGAGTCCCCACTCAATGGAAATGGGGACCTAAAATGATTATGTGGGGACTTATTTTTGGATGGGGACCTATATTGGGGTGGGACTTATATTTGTATGTGGGGGCCTATTTTCACATAATTTTAATAGAGTTGGGGGCTTTTATTTCGATCATAGGGTATTTCGGAAAAAAGGTCCCCACCACTATCATTTTGAGCCCCCACGTGTCAACTTAATTTTAGGTCCCCACCAATAAGATTTCTTACCATAATAAGGTGGGGACCTATCTCAGAAAAAAAATTACGCATGTGTGACAAGAGAAACACAAGTGTGTAACCACAAAAATACCGATGTGTGCACACACTGGGTACGCATCGGTGTGGTAGTCGTTACACACTGGTAGCGAGTGGTCACACACTGGTGAACCACTTGTCACACACTGGTAAATCGCTTGTCACACACTCGCATTTTACTTGTTGCAGCATCGCTTTTCGACCCTTCCCTACCCGTTTTTCACCAATCCGACCAAATTTTAAACATTAACACATTTTTCAAATCACTATTTATTAGTTAAAATAAAAATCATGAACATGTAGAGAATAACAACATGTAAAATTTCAAATTGAGTATAAAATACAAGAAATCTTAGAAAGTTAGGTATTTAAGGTAGGTTGTGATGCCTGAGAAGGTGTCGTTGCTGTTGTTGGTGGTTGACGGGAGATTTCTGGTGGCTGGAGTTTCAGTTTTTGTAGTTGATAAATTGTTGACTGAACCATGGCGGGGCGAGCTGTTGTTAGATCGACTCTGAAAAAGGAACAGTTTACATTTCGAATATTTTGAAAAACTTATTTTGGTGAAATGCTTGGTTTGTATTATTTTCTCATAGATTTTAAATTATAAATCCCCAAATTACTTTTGTTTCCTCTCTGAAGTTATTTTTGACGATACTTGTCAAATGATTAGAGTTTTTGTGATTTGGATGATTTTTTGGATCTCAAAAATTATTTTCAAATCATATAGCAACTTCACGACCATTAAAATTTACTTGACTAACCTTTGTATTGTTTGTTGAATTCCAATGACGGCGATTCCCATTTTTTGTTCGAATTCCCGAAAATAAGCAATTTTGAAAGCTGACCGGTTCTGAAAAAAATAGGGAATTGCTATTTAAGTTTAGTTTTTCAATAAAAACCAACCTGACAATCAGAGAACTGCACATGTCAACCGAAACTGATTGAATCCATTCCAAAAACTCGATTTCGATCCAAAACGGGACTGAATCGGCTGAAATTTTGAACAGTGTTAAAATAGAAACTGATAGAAGTTATAATTGTACACATATGAGAAAAGAAAAGTATGAGAAACCCCCAAAAACAGCAAAAAAACACAGGTTTAGACCGAAAATTGAAAAGAAAATGAAAATATTTTCGCTCGATGAAACGCGCTGCCCCAAGTGATTCACCAGTGTGTGACAAGTGTGTGCAGACTAGTAAAACTGTTGTGGGGACTTGTACAAGCGTGCGCAGTTTGTGTGCTGCCCGCGAATTCAAATTTATTTTTCACAAGTGTGTGACAAGTTAGGACACACTGGTGCCACTGGTATTGTTTCTGTACCACTTGTGAAACTGCTGTATTCAGTGGTGGGGCTTGTTACACACTAGTTGTTGTCGTCACACATGCGTAATTTTTTTTCTGAGATAATATGTCTGACTAGTGGGGGCTTAAAATGACATTGGTGGGGACCTGTTCTACGATTCACCCCATTCCCCTAACAATAAAACCTACTTAAAATATCAGTTTGCGGAAGCCAATTCAAAAAGTGTAGATTTGTCGTATTCCCAAAGATTTTCTCATCTCCCGGTTGTTTTTCATATTTCCATATAAATGTATAATCAGGAAATTTCCGAAAAGCATTTGCAAACGATTTTCGAATTTCTGGTGAAAATGTCGATGATTTAACTTGTGTTCCAAAACTAAAAATAACAACTCCACTCGTCGAAATCGACATAATTTTATCGAGCTCCGGATTCACTGGTTTTGGCGGTTTCATATTGATTCCTCCGATGTATTTGACTTTGTGTGAAATCGGTCGAGGTCTTTCGACCAGCTCATTTGCATTGACAAAAACTATATCGTAGTTTCGCGCAAGTTCGTCTAAGTTCATCGAAGAGTCCAAGTATTTGTGAATTATTTCAGCTTGTTTTCTTGAGAAATACGCATGCATGTTGTAATAGTTGTTAGTCCATCTGAGCAAGTTGAAAAATCGACCGAAGATGGTTGAGAGATCTTCGACATCGAATAATGCTGGAATTTGGGAAGGTTGGAAGGTTGAGCTTTGTTAGCTTCGAGATTAGTTCTAGGTTTGATAGTATTAATTTTTCTTGATCAAGTGATCGACTTTGATTTTAGGCTTATGTTTTTTGGTATAGTTAGTTGCAGGTTTTACAACTGTGAAATCTAAATCTGTTTGGAAATTTTACATCCGAAAATATATCTTTCTATTTTAAACCCGAATCCCAATTTTCTAAACTAAACTCACCATGCGTTACCGAAGCAGAATTGGGCAAACCCAACAAAATACTTTGATGATCCATCAAAGGCAAAGCACTAACAGAAGCTTTTGTTTTGATTCCATATTGTTCAAATATTGCAAGACCGCAAAATTCATAGTCTGATAACACTCCGAGATCGTATTTTTCTTGAGACATCCATTTATAAAGTTCGGGATCAGATAGTCCAACTGAAAAATTGGTTTTGAATATAGCCACGTAGAATTTTTGTGAAAAATCTAATATTTTTTCATTTTTCTATGAATTCATGATTTATTTTCAAAAAAATTTGATGGCCATCAGATTTTTAATAACCTATACAATGACAATTTAGCCTAACTCACTCTCACAAACTGCAGATGAAATGTTCTCAAAAACCTTATGCCCATCATAATTCCTCGGCGTTTTTTCGAATGGATTTAGAAGATGCGGTATTTTTGACCATGGACAGTCTGTATGATAACCGTAGATAAATCTTCGCCGAACTTTTTTGGTTCCATTTGATTTTACTAAACTGTTGGCTTTTCCCATAAGGACATCCTGGAAATGTGAAATTGTTGGTTTTTTTTCTGAAAAGTTTGCTCCAAGTGGGAATTGCGATGATTCTCATCACAATCTCACTCTAAAACCTAACTTCCCCCGTCCAAGTTCCATTCGAAAAACCTACAACAGTATGTCCTCGATCCACTAAAGTATCAACAATCGAATCCATAAAATCGAGGTGACTTTGACCCAAACATAAAACATAGACCAAAATATTCAAACTTGTCGCAAATTGAAAAATTGAGAAAAACAGTAAAAGTGCTCTCATGATTTTGTTCTGTAAATAGGATTTTTTGTAGATCTAAAGACAGAGAATTTTTAATTTTTTGTAGATATCTCTTCAAAAACCCTGTTGAAAATGAGTTATGATATCAAAAATTTTCGTTGTGGTTCAAAAACACGATTTTTCAAAAATGTTTCAAATTCGAAAGATACGGTTTTCAAGAAATTAAATTTTTGACAACAATTTACCAGGTTGGGGATCCTGTAATTTTTGAAAAATAATTATGATGTGGCAAATGTAGGACCACAGTAACCCCAAAGAAAATGACTAGAACGTAGTCATAAACTTTATCTACATATCAGAAATGAATGCGCAAAAAAAGGCTGGAGCATTTTTTTCTTGATAACAATAGAGCGTTCAAAAATGTCAATGATAAAAAATTAGTGAACATTTGAAACAGGAAAGATTTTTGATCAGCGAAAATTATGGAGCATTTTGGAACTTTTTCAAAGAAAATTTTTGATAAAAATTTGAATTTCTACTAAACTCTCAGCCTATTTCTGAAAAATGAAGAAATATTTTCATAACAATTTGGGAAGTTTTCGACTACGATATAGCAGAAATTCAAGTTTTTACAAAAATAAGTGCAAAATTTTATTATTTTCGATAGAAAAAAAACAAAGATGTTTAATGTATGAAAATTGAGAAAATCGAATCAATTTTTTCGACGAAACAAATTATAATCGCCCAAATTTTATGCTGAAAATTTCTGATAACAGAAAAAAATCTGAAAAACTGTTTTTTTATTGTTTGGGAGTTGGACTTCTTATCAAAGAGAAAACTTTTGTTTTTTGTTTTGGATAATTTTTGGGGGCTCAAAATACACAATTCTGAGTTTTTTGTTTTGAAATGAGAATGAAAATTGACCCGAAAAAATAACCTGAATTGTCTTGAAATGCCAAAAAATTCAAGTTTTCAATAATTATAATCACAACTTTTCAGAATAAATGAAACATTTCTGTAAAAATTGAAAATTTTTATTTTCTCAGAAAATAGTTTTTTTTTTCGAAATTTTTTAAAAAATTTTCGTAGATCAGCTTTAGAAAATTTAGAATTAACATTAGGTTTCTGAATCCAAAATTCGCAGCGAAAAGTTAAATTTAAAAGTATTGATCAAAAAATTAAAACAAAAATCAAGTTATCAATTTAACTACCCGACAATTTTGCAATCAAAAAACTCTCTAGTTTCGTGTCTGGCTCAATTTTGCACACACACACAAACACTCAAAATATACATGAAAATAATTTTTCTGTTCCCTAATTATTTCCTCGTTTTATCAGGCTTCATTCATAGATAACAAAAATTTGTACTATTTTTGCAAAAATTACAGTATATTTGTTTATTTGTGTTTTGTGGTTTTGCTCGCTGTCTAGACAGTTTTTTTTTGGAAGAAGAAAAATGGAAAATTCTTGCAAATTTTGACAGCTTTACTATGATATTTTTACTCTTATCTTGAGTTTTTTCACTGAAAAATGATGTTTTTTTTTCAGAAAAAAAATGAGCGACGAAGATGAGCACATTGTAATTGATATTGAAGATGATGATGATGACGATGATGTTATTATTGTTCCAAGAGAGGAAAAAGAGGTAGATTTTCAGAAGTTTTTGTTCAAAAAAATTCAAATTTTCATCGTACAAATCCGAAACCTTGGAAACTTTTCATAATGAAAATTTCATTTAAAAACTGATGAAAGCATAGGTTTTTTGCTGGAAATCAGAATTTTTTAAAACAATTTTCGAAACTTATCTGACTTTCCAAACAAGTTTAATTGAAAATTCGAAAAGTTTCTTATCCACCTTCTCATTTTTTCCACCTTTCAAGCTCTCAAAAATCCCCCAATTGTGTTTATTTTTTCTCAGCCAACTCCAATGGTCGAATCGGCTCCCGTCGAATTGCCAACTCAAACTCGTCTGAAAATCACTGTCAAGAAATTACACGTCACAGCAAAATGGAAATGGTGTGATGTTGGTGAAGACACGTGCGGAATTTGTCGAATGGAATTCGAAGCCACGTGTAATTCGTGTAAAATGCCAGGAGATGATTGTCCATTGGTAATAAATGGGATTTTTAGAATTTCGAATTAGAAAACGCTGTAGAACAGCTTCCAAATTTTTTACAAAAAAATCTCCGAATTTCCAGGAAGTCGGAGTCTGTCGTCACGCATTCCATCGTCATTGTATTGAACGTTGGACCGAAGGTGCAAGCAGTTCGCAAAATGGAGGAGCCAAAAACGGTCATTGTCCATTATGTCGTCAAGAATGGAAAGTTTCGTTGAGAAATCGTGTGGCAAAAAAGAAAAAGAGACAACAAACCACTTAATTTTTGTTTCCCAATTTATGGACATTTTGCACCCGATCTCATGTCAAATATGTTTTTGCTATTCACACGAAACACGATATTTTTTCATAAAGTTTCGAATGAAAAACATTGAAAACGCTTTTTTCTCAGAACTTTCAGTCGAGCAGATAATCGATTCCGAGTAATTTTTGTTGTTGACTGGTCGATTTCGTATAGGTAAAGTTTTTTTAATTGTTCTGCGGCCTTTTTGAGACTCAAATAAACTGAAATTATTATCGTTCTCAGCAAACTCTATCGAATGGTCTCTCATTTTTCGTGAAAAATCGCTTGGGACTGCTCACGGAAGAAACATCCAGAAACTCCGATTTTATTTTTTGTATCTGGGTTACTGTAGATTTCAATGTGTGCAGTTTGTGCGAACACCGTGGTTCTCAATACATTTAACTTGACGCCACAGTTTTTTTTTATTTTCTCAATTTTTGCAGTCTACTTCGATGTTCTCGTGGTTTTCTAGGATTATTCTTGTATTTTATTTCAAAAATGATGTATTTCTGTACGAAACTAGAGAAATTTCATTGAAAAAATCTAAATTCCCACGGTAAATTCAATAATGTTGCGTGAAATTGCGTCATCAATCCATTTCTTGAATTTTCCAATTTTTAACCTCGCAATGAGAACTGTTTATTTCTGGAAAAAATTCGATCTCATTGATAATACTAATTTTAAATACGAAGTTCAGAAATTATAACGACATTTGCCAGTTTTTTGGCGTAGGAATTTTGAACATTTTATGTTTAGTCTTAAATTTCCTAGTGTAACACTTTACCTAATTTATCTCATGCGTTATTTTTCATTCAAATATCCAATAATATTTCTTAATCCCGATAATCGCTTTCCCCTTCATAACAAATAACAAAAACGAAAATTCTTCCCAGGCGAAACAAGAAATCCTACTAGAAACTACTCCGATCTAAATTCCTCTCCCCCTAGTAACCAAACATACACTAACTCTCTAACTCTCTCCATCTCATACAATATCTCTCGCGCAAAAGCTCAGAGAGATGATGCAAGTGTGCTCCATTGTCGAGACCTTGGAAATTTTTCACATTTTGCACGTCTCCAAAGAAATAGCAGGCGCGCCTCAATTTTTTGTTCCTTTGGTCACTTCTCTTTTTTTCTTTTTACTTATTATTTTTTCCACCTAAAATCTTGTCGATTTTTCCTATTAACGAACGAGTTTTTTTACCTGAAGATTATCCAAACAGATAAAAAAAGGTGAGGTTAAGATTGATGAATTTGACATTGAAGTGAAATTCTTGTCTTGATTTTTTTTATTTTTTCAATCCCGTGTTTCAATTTTTCTTATATCATTTTATTAAAAAGTTTTCAAAGAATCATCTGATTCTCTCGCGATTTTTTTTCAATATAAAATCCTGATTGGGGGAACTGTGCACTTTGAGTTGTGCAGCAAAACTTCTTTGACTTTACACTTTGCGGTTTGTTCTCTTTCATCTCAAAGATATGATTTCTAGTAGATTTTTATTCACTTATCACGATCTTCCTGTCAGAATTTTCGGAAAATTCCGAACTTTGCCACATCATAACTTATTTTCAGAATTTAGCTATGCAGTTTCTGAAAACGGGATCATGATCAGCGGGTAAAAATTAACTAGAAACAATATTTCAAAAGAATATCCGATGAAAGTTCAAGTAGTTCGTTAGTCAAGTTAGACGAATTCGAATCAATATTGACCTCCTGACTTACATGATTTTTCACACTTTCTTATCATTGTTTTTTATCATTCAGTCAACCGTATTTTCTCGTCATTTTCCAATATTTTAGCCATGGTCATCCACCTGTTTCCTTGGGATCCATCAACTTCGGTCGCCAATTTGACAGACTCGCAAATTGTGCAACTCTGTAATTTGATAAATAGCACAAATAATGGAAGTTTTGTTGATGCTAGCGATGTTAATACATCTGCTGAACACGTCAGACCATCAAGTTTTTATATTTGGGGAATTGGTTTGGCATTTGTAACTTTGATCAATATGTGTGCGGTTATTGGAATTGGAGTTATGCGATATCTCACGAAGAGTGTTTATAATCAGGTGAGATTTTGCGTTGTTTTTTCAATTCAAAATTTTGAAAGGTCTCAGGATTTACAAATTCCAAAAAAAATCTCCAATTGAAAATATGGAGCTTCATGGTCACACATACGCTAAAAACTCCAGACTCTATCTCAAATTTTTGCAGATAATCACTCTATTTGTCGGTCTTGGTGTCGGCTCCTTATCTGGTTCTAGTTTCTACCATCTTCTTCCACAAGCCCATCCAAAACTCATAGACGAAGTCGACGAATTCGGCCATCCTACACATTCCTATTTGCATATGGCACATATCTCAATTCTCGGTGTTTACGCCTTCTTTTTCTGTGATAAATTGATCAAAATTGTATTAGAAGTTCGTAAAAAGAATCAACATATTCATCATAAAAGAATGGAAGAAATTGAATCGGAAAGAACAATTGGAGGAGATGAATTAGAAGCTGGAGAGCGAGAAGAGGAATTGTTGAGACAAACTTTGAAAAAAGGAGTGATGAGCAAAGCGGATTGTGATGAAACGGAAATGATGGCATTGGAAAAGAAATCGGGAAAATCTATGGGAGATCAGGTACACTTTTATTTGCTTTTGAAAAATGCGGGATTTTTTCTAAAATTCAAACTATTTTCACATTCTCCACGTACATACATCGGTTTCTCCCGGTCAGGGTCTCAAAATTAGCCACCCCCAGAATGTGAAAATACAAAAATTAGCCAGACCCCCTCAAAATAAAGAGAAAAAACTTGGTTTTTTGGGGGTAAATTGTTATTTTTTCAAAAAGTTAGCCGGTCCCCACCCCTTTTTTCCAAAGTTAGCCAGACCCCCTCCGGACGAAAATCCGGGGATACTGATGTATGTCCACGTAATAAAAACCAAAAAATTCCGCATTTTTCATTGTTTTTTCCTGAAACAAATAATGTATGCTGTTTTTATAGCTAAAACCAAAAGTGAAATTGTCAAAGCCTCAAATTGTACTTAAGTTTTTCTATGTTGTTGTTCTAGGCTTTTCTTGTAACCCGTGTGCTCTTTTTGTTGTTTTGAAATTTAAAAAGAATTTCAACCAAAATCAAAATTCCAGACAACACATACACTTTCGCCAAGAAAGTGCTTACCGAAAGCGGTTTGTACGTTCAAGAAAACGAGTGAGGTGATTACTTTTTACTGATATCTTTTGAGTCACTTTTTTTGGGGGAATATGCAGATCAATATTTTTTTATAAAACAAAAAAAGTCCCAAAACTTCTTTATTTTCTCAGGCTCACGGAATATGTGTCCACGATCATTCAATCGAATTTCGCAACGGTGATTCTGCCATTGCCGCCGTTGCCTGGATGATTATTTTCGGTGACGGACTTCACAATTTCATTGATGGAATATCGATTGGAGCAGCTTTTGCTGAATCGATTCATTCGGGTTTATCGATTTCGTTGGCGGTTTTGGCTGAAGAATTTCCGCATGAACTTGGTATGTAATTTAAAGTATGATATTCGGTCAGACTTCACTTCAATGAAATTTATATTGAACAATTTCTGTTCAGTTTTCAGAAATCTCAAAATTATTAAAATTTTGAAAAAAAAATTTCTATCGAAGAATTTTAGATCGGAAAAACCCACGTTGCAATTTATTGTTTTACTCTGGCTGAAACTTTGAAAAAATCAGTTTTTTTACAGGAGATGTTGCGATATTAGTCGCTTCGGGAATGTCACTCAAACAAGCAATGATATACAATCTTCTCTCCGCAATCACATGTTATATTGGTTTTTTCATTGGTGTAGCAATTGGTGAACTCGGTCCAGACACTTCAAAATACGCGTTCGGTTTGGCTGGCGGCATGTTTTTATATATCTCTTTGGCTTGTATGATGCCAGAAATGAAAAAAGCGATGGAAGAAGCATTGAATGTATCACTTCGTCATGGAATTTATGTGCTTTTCCTTCAAACAATTGGCCTTTTTACTGGTCTTTCTCTCATGTATATTATGGCCAGATATGGTGAAGATATATCCATTTGATTTTTTTTGTTAGGATTAAGGAGAGGAGTAATTAGATACCTTTAATTACACCACTTCTTCATAATCATTATCTAAAATTAATATCATATTAATTAAGACGATTTTTTAATAGTTCCCAAATTTTTAAGCTCATGTTTTTTTTTCTTCACTTTAGTTCAATTAATAGCCCACACCTCTTTTTGTTCCTTTTTCTGGCCCTGTGAAATGATAAATTTTGTTTTTTGAGAACTTATTATATGAAGGTGATCGATTTTTGAATGAAAATTTAAAAGAGATTTTCAAAATTTGCTACGTGGATCGAAATTCGAAGTTCAAATACAATTCTCCCAAAAATAAAAAAAAATACATTTTTTTGAACGTGACCCAAATTTTTCTCCTCAAAAAAAACCAACAGAGAAATCCAACCAACCATTTCTCAACAAATTGAAATTTTGAAAAAGCGCAAAAATAAGATGAATAAGTCGTATTATATTCAAGATGAAACAAATAATAACATGAGCAATGCTAAGCTCTTGCAATCCACGTGGACAAGTTGTTCGAAACCGAGAAGAGTTACTGTAATTATGAGAAGCGCAGAGAGGGTAGATAGAATATTTGGAGTGAATTGGTGCAAAACTGAGAAATTTATGAATAAGGTAAGAAATGTTTTTTTTCCCCCAGTGGAACTTTTTATCTGTGGTCCAAGGCCTCTTTTTGAGCCTGGTTGATTAATCCGTACTCACGCGGTCCGGGCGGTCTAAACCATATTATTGATTTTTCAGGTGAATGCGACTGATTTGAATATGCCAATCGATGCGATTTTGCACCCAGTTTTATACGATTTCAATCCACCAATCACAAATATTGGAAAATATACGACGCAACTCAACGCAAGAGCTTTAAAGAATCGCGGAATCGCTGCCAATATCATTTTCTGCTCGCCGAGTTTGCGTTGTGTTCAAACAGCGGCGGCAATTGCGAAAACTTTGGGAAACACTGCGAGAATTTGTGTTGAGCCGGGATTATTGGAGCCGCTTGAATGGTATAGAAATGCGGGAGCTGCTGAATTGCCCGACTTTTTTGCTCCACATCTTTTGGATGCTTATGGAATTGATAAAGAATTGTAAGTTATTTAAAAATTAGCAAAAAAGAGAAAAATACGGTATTCTACGCCATTTGTGTGCATTTGTGCGTCGCCGTGTTTGCAGAATATTGTTCTGTTTGGTGCAAAAAATTTAATTACAAAATTTTGACACGTGAATTTGACGCCAGTCAACCCCCTTGAATTTTGACTTCGGAGTTTCAGGCAGTTCTACAAATGATCTTTATCTTCAGAATTTGAATTGAAAAATTCCTAAAACCTCAAACATGCTCCATTTTTCAGCCGTCCAATATTTTCGATCGAAGAATTGACTGATGCATTTGCGATCAAAAACCAAGATCAATGCATTCAACGAATCTCGCTGGTTTTGAGAAAGTAAGCGATTTTCTGTAAATCTAGTCAAAAGGTATACGCACACAAGCCTAAAATTCAATATTTCCAGTATCTGCGGTTCAGATCGTAATACATCTGCGATTGTCGTTGCTCATGCAATCACAATGGATATCGCATCTCGAATCGGTCAACACGGCGATCAAATCGACCCACAAAGTCTTGATGAATGCACATCTTACGAGGAACCAATTTACGGAGCTCAAAAATGTGGTCTGACTTCAAAACTCGAAATTGGTGTCAAATATCCGCCAGGTTCTACAATTGGTTTGATTCGCATCAACGATGCTCCGCCGTATGTTTTGCAAACTGTCACTGATTTGATTCCTCCATTTAGTTCGGGTGGTTTTTCCAACAAAGTTTTGTAATTGAATGAATGGATTTTGATTTTTACACCTGAATTTTTGGCTTAAACATTTTTAAAATTCAAAAAAACATATCCTGACCTCAAAATTTGTCAATGTAGATCAAAATTTCTATAGATCAATTCCTAAAAAAGTCCGCGAATCATCAAATTTTCTAGAAGTTTCCAGAAAAAAAAATGCTTTTCACATCGAACATCACAAATCACAAGAACGAAAAAGTGAACTAGACATACTTTTTCGTTTTTTTTTGCCTAGCAACCAGATTATTTTTATTTTGATACTTTTTATTTATTTATTTATCTGTTTTTCTTATTATTTAGTTTGATATGGATGATGATGAAAGAAAGAAAGATGAAGCTGTGAGGAAAGTAGTCGACGACAAAAATTTGAAAATTTCGAGAGGAAATCGAAAACGATTTGTGAGTTTTTTGCATTTTTCGATAGAACCCATTTTCTAGCTTTTCTAGTGCAATGTTTTTTCAAAATCTCAATTTGAAAAACATTTTCACAAAAAAAAATCATCGCTGGTTTTCAGGCATCGACAGAATTCGGACATGTATTAGGCGAAGGTCCCACACCCTACCATCTTCTGGGCATCGATTTTATTCTTAGCCGATTAATGGGAATTGAAAGATATTTGGAAGAACCCAGGAATTATCAATCGACTTCTAAAATCGATTTCAAGAAGATTGATTTGCAGCAGGCATTGTATTTTCCGAGAAGTTTGGCACCAGTTATAGATGTAGGTCTTTTTTTCCGAAATTGGGTGATTTGGAGAAAAAAAAAAGAAAAAATGAAACTGCGTCTTTTTTCACAGGACTTCAACGATGAAAGAACACTAATTTCGGAATCGACAATAGCTACAATGTGGTTTCGTTTAGTTTCTCAATATTTTGAATGGATTGCCGGTGTTTCGGAGTTGTGTTATCTTGACGAAAAGGATAAAATTCAAGTAATTGTTAGCCATTTGTGCAAAGTTATTTGTTTTAATGTCGCTTATACAAATTATCAAATCAATAATGGCGGAGAGGATAGAGAACGATTCTGGTTTGGACGCGGATTTTATTGGGATTCTGCAAGATGTGTTGATCCAAAGTATGTTTGAAATAATTACCTTTTTTCTAATTTCCAGACGTTTCTTATTTTTTTTGTCAAAATCAACCCAAATTTTAAAATTTATAAAAGTCGAATAAAAAATCTGAATACATGTTCACTTGAAATTTTCTGTTAGTCCAAAACATTCAAAATTTTTCCAAAATTTCGATCTTTTCCAGCCCATATCTACCTATTTTTCAGTATGAACAAATTTGCTGAAAAGATGTTAAAAGTGATGAATTTCAACATTCTTCCAAATATTCGTCGAACTCAAATGAAAAAAGAGGAATTTGTGATGCTGAAACTCGTTTTACTCTTTGATGTTTGTAAGTTTTTTGTTTTTCTTTTTTGTGGGAGTTTTTTTTTGGACTCGAGGGTCACGCGATTTCCCAGAAGTTCATTGAAAAGAAAAAACTGAATCGTGGACTAATTTTATGGGTTTTTTTTTGAGGAAAATAGAAATATTGGGAAAAAATATAGTGATATCATGAAAAATAAAGTTTTGGCTAAATTTATCCGAAATTGTTTTTGTAATCAAGGCTTATCAAAATGAGGCCACTGCGAATATTTTAGACTGATTTAGGCCAAAATAGGGTTATGTGATAATTAAGGCTTCCCGGGACTCTTGAACTCGAAAGCTGATAATTTATTTTATTAGTCTTGAACTTCAGATAAAGGTTACATTAGATTTCAGACTTCTCTGCCAGTTTTAAAGAGCTTTTAAAGTCCAATGTTTCACCCAAAAAAATTCAAAAATTTTCCAGCACATACAGTAAAATTATCCGCACAAAGCCGCGAATTTTGTGCCTCTCGACGCAACAAATATCGAACACATTTAGTCGATTATATCCGCTCACAAGTTCCCATCGAAAGTCCTGAACTGAGTTTAGCCGACATCGATTCGGTCACTTTGAAACGTGCCCGATTGCTGTTGGAAATTCCGCAAAATGTCGAAATGATGGGTGAATTTGATGATGAGAGTTTGGCAGAAATGGTGAGGACGGATTACGGTGGAATGAATGGTGTGTTGCAAAATCAGATTCATACGGAGAGCAAGAAGAAATCCGAATGATTTATGTTTTTTGTGAATAACAATTTTTGCATTTGATTTTTTTTGCGGATTTTCTTATTTGGATAAATCTGCTTTTTTCCAGAATCGTTAGTTTTTTTTAATTTTCATGCTATATATTTTCAGGGCCTTATCTACTTTGAAGCGTTGTTGAACTTCCAGATTCGATCTAAACTTATGAATTCACTTAAATCTAGTCCGCTTGATATCTACTAGGCCTGGTCAAAAATTTGGGCTTAACATAAGCTCTAGGCTCATGTCATAATGAAAATAAATCTTGCAATTTTTGATCGGATTTCAGTCAAATAAAACTGCTGTTTTCCAGAATCATTTTCTTGCACATTCTATCATACTATATAGTTTTTCAGAGATTTTTCAGCGGAACTTTTTGTTATTACTATTGTTTCCGATTCGCTATTTTTGTTGGTTTTTTCAATTATGAAATGACGTGGGATTTTTGAGGTCTAAAATAGGACTAAATAAGGCATCTTAGGCACAATCTGAAATTTATTTTCAACGTCATACTTCATTTTAGATTTTCTCATTTTTGTGCTCCAAAAATCCTGACTTTTTTTGCAGCGAAAAATCCACTCAATTTTAGTCCTTCAAACTTTTTTTTTGGTTTTATAAAATAATTAAGTGGAGAGCCGCCGGATTACGCACAAAAAAGTTCGAAAAAAAGTTTGTGTGCAAATTCAAAAAAAAAATTCAATTTCCACAAAACCAAACACATGTGGCCTTTGAATTTTCCTTTAAAAAATTATTTTTTTGAATAAAATATCAACCCCGAGACCCAGAAAATTGGAGGAAAAACAAAAGGATCGAAATTAATTTATTTGGCTTTGTTTTTCCAGATTTTCAGGTTCGTTTTTGATGCGCCGCCAACAAAAAAATTCTTTTTTTATTTTTTGGCGTCAGAATATTGGAAGGTTCGCTCTTTGTTTACTTTTCAGATGACGTATTTATTTCGGAATAATTTTAAGATATTAGTTTTTTCTTGAATTCATTATGTTGCCACTAATCTCAAGTTTTGACACCAAGTTTATTCTCAAATTTTCAAAAAACCACGTGGCAAATTTCAGCACCAAAAAATCTTACTATTTCTAGCACCCCAAAAATATCGAGTTTCAGTAACTTACACCCCCACATTGTCCCAATCAACACATTTTTCTCTACTTTTTTTCTGAGCCCAAAAAATTGCGTCTTCTAAAAATACTCACATAATTGAGGTGTTTCCCGGAAGTTTAGGACATTTTTCATTGAAAAAATTGAGAATTGGAAAATTTGTTTGACCTAAGTCTAACCTAAAACTAAATTTAGTCAAAATTATCAAAAGTTCAAAAATCTGTTATTGTTTTTTTCGATGATGTGAGAAAATTGAAAAAGTTTCAAAAATACCTAGACTTAATGGGTTTCTCACGTGACTTCTAAACATTATGGACTTGTTTTTCGCAAAACTTTTTCTCGCGCGTCCAAAAAAACCCACAAAAAACGCGATTTACGTGTGCAACCCACCCAGCCACCCACCCAAACTCCGCCCAACTTTTTCCAATTTCCAGCCAAAAAAACATAAAATTTGTCGAAGCGCCGCCCATTTTTGCCTCTCTTTCAACATACATAAAAGTGTCTCGCGCGACCCATGAATATGTATATATTTTGACCAGATTTCCGATTTGAAACTAACTTTTCTCTCGTATCTTTTTGTTTTGGCCGTGATTAGTCGGGCAGTCTTGTCACGACTGCTCTGCGCCTTTAATTTCTATGAAAAATGTTTTTCTCAACTGAAATACTGTAATTTTAAAATCTTACGGTTTTTGCCGTTTTTCAAGGACTATCCTGTATTCTGCGTGCTAAGTCGTTTTAGAAATTAGGATGCACCTTTAAATAATCCTACAGTACATTATTTGAAAACTAAAGAAAAATGTTTCAATCAAAAACATGTCTACAGTACTTCATCCAGAATTATGAACCTTAATTTAACCATGCTAAAACTACTCTATTTGGATTTCATTTGATTTTATTTTGAATATCCTTTCAAACTACAGTACTCTCTTTTTTCCCAGATTTATTAATTTTCTACCAAAGAACTTTACTATTTCGTGACAAAACTTTTTTCCATTTCAGCTAAAACTTTTTTTGAAGCTGAAAATCGTGCAAATTCTTATTATTACTTTACTTGCGTGGTCAAATTTATTCACACGACGATTTTGGCGCTCAAAATAACTTTATAATCTCTAGAGTAATTCGTAATTTTTCAGAGACCACCCAGTAATAAAATCAGAATTCAAATTGAACTCAATTCCTTGCAGCTGCAAAATTTTAATTAAAAATTATATAATTGCGCAGGTGGAATTTATTTCAGACAAAAATCCCGCGCAGTTTCAAAAAAAAAAACAAAAATGTAAATTAGTGAATGATGTAATGCATAATTATGTCTGGCTGAAACTCCAAATTATTTATCTGAAATTCTTGTTATTTTTTTATTTCTTCATTTCCGTATAATTTTCCACACATACATACAACCATAAATTTTTTCACGCTTGACAAAGAAAACATGACGTCTGGAATTTTTTTATGTTTCAATTTCCCCTTTTTTTCCTCCTCCTACACTTCTGCATTTGACACATTTTCAATGAAATCTCCAAAATTTCCCATTGAATTTTAGAGAAAAATAATAATTTCCAGGTACCCCCGAAAAAAATCATGACATCTACAACAATTTGCCTATTCGTTCTTTTGCTCGTTATTGTGTGTTGTATGGCCAACGAAGGTTAGTTTACTTAACAAAAACAAAATGTTCTGCGGGCATCCGGTTTCGAACTCGAAACATTTTTATCAAAACTATAACCCGCTAACCACAAGCTGTTTTTTAACTTACAGGAATTTTCGTAGCAAAGAAAATAATTTCAGATGAATTCTTCTTGCGCAGCGCCAAATGGGCCAACAAAAACCTGAACCCAGTTGGTGGAAGTCTGATATCTGGCCGCGGACGTTTTCGACCCGGTTTCTACTCGAATGATTGGCGAGCTGCCATGGCCGAACCGAGTTTTGTGAAGAGAAGTTCGCCATCGAATTTTGATTATTGATTGATTTTTGATGCAACCAACAACGGGCCTTCTTCTTCTTCATCTTCTTCTTCTTTAAATGTAGATCTTTCACTGACACTTGAAAAAAAAAACTAATAATATTTTTATTTGACATCTGACTTACCGTAAATTATTGAAAATGAATGATTTTCGCTTGTTTTTTGGAGGTTTTTTGAGAAAAAAACAACAACACTCCGCTTGACGCAGTGCCCGCGAAGAAAGTGAAACTCAAAATTTTCTGATCGAAAAAAAATTTGGTCAGAAAAAGAGTATAATTTGAAGGAAGTGATCAATAAATGCTTAGCATATAATATATTATAATATGAATTTCAGACTGAAATCATGAATTTTGACTCGAAAAGAGAATTTTTTGAACAACTGGAAAGGTTTGGCTCGCAGTCAAATCCTGCGTAGCAACAAGAATGCAGACCGGCGTTAGCTGGTCGTTTCATTCTTGGACAATAATTTTTCTCATTCAAAAAATTCAAAAATCACGTCGTGCCAGAAAAATGGGAAAAGATAATTTCGTGGAGACGCAGAGATTTTGTGTGGTCTCGCAGCGATGCACCTGAGGGACCGGGGAGAGTACGGTTTGAAGCTTGGTCTCGCAGCGATTCACCTGAGGAACCGAGGAGAGTACGGTTTCGGCAATTGGTCTTGCAGCGATTCACCTGAACGACCGGGAAGGAGTACGGTGTCTTTTTTTCTCTGCGTCTCCTCGGATTTGTGTGGTGGCACGACGTGAAATCGCCACAACGAAAAAAATAATAAACCGCAAAAAACGAAACACGCGCCGCACACTTGCAATCCAAGCCCCGCCCAGTTTTTTCAATTTTTTTCACAAGCGTCTCTTCGTTTTTCCTCGTTTTCCCACCGAATTTCAAAAATTTTCAGTGTGAAATGGGTCGAAAAAAGAAGAAGGAGGCAAAACCATGGTGTTGGTGAGTTGATTTCCTAAATTATTTTAGGATTTTAATCGAATTTTCACAGGTATTGCAATCGAGAATTTGACGATGATAAAATCCTTGTTCAACACCAAAAAGCCAAACATTTCAAATGTCATATTTGCCACAAAAAATTGTTCAGCGGACCAGGATTGTCTATACATTGTATGCAGGTAATTTATTGATTTTTAGCTGAAAATTTGTGAAAGTTAAAAAAAACTATTTTCAGAACCATTTTTGATGAAATAAAAAGTTTCATATTTTATTCCGCTGTTGTCAACATTGACATAGCTCTACTCTAAATATAAGTTATGAAGTGAAAATTTTTTTAAACCTCCTATGACTCATATGTTGAGAAATGAAATATTTGACAAATTCATTAAAGTTCTCAAATTTCCAGGTGCACAAAGAAACGATAGACAAAATCCCGGCGGCCGTTCCAGGACGCGACAACATCCACGTGGAGATCTACGGAATGCAGGGTATTCCAGCTGGCGCGTATCGTAGCGACGATGAACCGGATGACAAGCGAGCACGAGTTGAAATGCAAACAATGCCCCCATTTTATCCACCAAACTATCAGCATCCAATTCCACCGCCACCTCCACAAAATCGAATGGCTTATCCGATGCCACCAATGCCCCCAGGTTTTGGTCGAGGTTTTCCACCGATGCCTCCAGGACCCGGTGCATATGGTCGACCACCAATTCCACAAATGTATCCGCCACGACCAATGCCACCATCAATGATGCCTATTCCACCAAGAAGTCGTTTCGATCAACCGCAAGAATCTTGGCCTCCGAGAGGCGCAAGAACTCCACCAGATGAATATTCAAATGAACCTAGTAGTTATCAAAATTATCGAGGATCAGGGGATTATGAAGATCCGCAACAATATCAGAACAATTATGACGCTGTGAAACAAGAAGAAGAGGTTGATGTCAAACAAAGTGTAGTTGTTCCAATTCCGGCGCCAGTTGCTGCTGTCGCTTCAAAACTCGGATCTCGAACGCGAATCATACATCCAGATGATCACGGAATTTCATTGGAGGAACGTCGTGTTTTACTATTAAGTCGGGCCAATTCAAGCGGCAACAATTCGTCCGCATTCCATCATTAACTTATTGATTTCCCAGAAAAAAAATCGTCTGTTTTCATTTTTATCATCAATTTCATCATATTATTATAAATTTCATTTCAGAGAAAAAAAAATGTTATTTATTCGAGTATTTATGGATGAGGGAAACATGGATTTTTTCTAGAAAAATGGAACTTTTCGATACATGAAAATGATAGAAAGTTTGGTAAGGTCCACATTTTTGGAAGTTTTAAAGCTGATCCACATACATAAAATGGGTCCCCAGAATCGGGGTGATGGGCTTAACTTTTTTGAAAATCTGAAGGGAAGGGTGCCTGATTTGGCCTATTTTCTGCTGATAATTTACCAAAATTCCCAGATTTTGTCCAAAAATGTGAGGAAGGTGTTTAACTTTGGAAAATTTTCAAGGAGGGACCCTAACTTTGAAAACAGACTCGGGGGACCTATTTTATGTATGCTGATCCATTCATTTTCACGTATTCCATAAAATTCCTATTTTATCAACAGCAAAAAATACTTGTTTCCCAAGCCCATATTAAAAAATGCAATTAAAAAGATTAAAATTAAATATTATGTCTAAAAATGTTTATCCCGAATTAATCCTCGTCGACGAACGAGATGGTACCAACGTTTTTCATATATCTCTTATATCTTTTGTATTTTCCAGATTGAGCAAGTTTTTCCTGCTCTTCGGCCTCTTTTTCGGCTTTCCAGATGACAAAATTCTCTTTGAGCCAACATTTTCGTTCGAGAAGGGTGTCGATTTCAAAGTCGGAAAGTCTCTGAAAAGAGAATCGGTTTTAAATTTGGGGTTTTCTGGAGAAAAAATAACTTTTGGAGAAAATAAAACTTCACGAACTCAATTCAAAAAAATCAGTACTAAAAAGAAGAAATAAAAAGGTTTTTGAACATCAGAAAAATGAGCTTCGATCATTGATTTAGCATAAATTTGAATTTTTTGCAATAAAAATACCAATTTTCAGTTAGAAGATTCATTTTTTTTACAAATCCAAATTTAGAAATCATTTAACTAAATTTTCATGGTCTAGAAAATCGATTTTTTGAATGAATATCCAGAAACACGACTTTCTAAACAAAAAAAAATCCAAAATTACCTCAAATTCTCCCTGCGATATTCCCATGAATTTTCTAATCAAATGCAATTTTGCCTCTTCATCATATTCTTCTCTTTTGATTGTAAATCTCCAATACCAAATACCCAACCAATGCAAATATTTCACAGAAGTAACTGGAAATATAATACAATGCCAAGCAAAAGTATCATAGATTGATTCTTTCTTGTATCCTCCTGTCACATCCAAATTTTCAATAATAATCTCCTTAATAACTGCATCATTATCTCTTCCCTTCACTTTTTTGAGTTTTCCTTTATTATCAATTTCTAATAATCCTCTTTCAATTCCCATATTCATTGCCATATTTCTATATTTTCCAACTGTTGTTGCATATTCAATCGCTTCAGCAAATTTATGTTTTGCGGATAAAAATTGGAATAAAGAAATCAATAAAATCGTTCCAACAATCACCAATCTAACATCAACTTTTGGTGCAACTCTCAATCGATAATATTGATAATAATTATAGAATCTCTCTTCTGGATGATCCAAATAATAATCATAACTTGTTCGAGCTTCTTCATCCTTCAAAGTCTCATAAGCTGTTGCAATTACTCTGAATCGTGTCTCGGCTTCTAGTTTCTTATCCTGTTCTTTGAATCGATCTGGATGATGTTTTTTGGCGAGGCTTCTGTAGATTTTTGCGAGTTTCGATTTATCGAATTCTTCTCGATTTATCTCCAAAACATCGTAACAATTTTCGAGCCCACAATAGAGTTCTGGAGCAAAACCGACGGATTCGACTTTTTCGGGGACTATAGCGAGAAGTAGTAGGAGACTAGCTGCCAACCACATGTTGAACCCTGGAAAAATGTGATTTGGAGAGCCATTTTCGATTTTTGAATAATTTTTTAGGTCTAATTGGAAAAAAAAACCTTTGAAAAATAAATTATCCAGGAAATTCCAAGAAAAATCCACACAAAACAAATATATCAAATGGTCAAGAAACCAAAACAAACAAACAAAAAAATGACATTTTTCAAAAAAATAGAGAAATTCATTCAAAATTTTCGGCGAAATTTGCAAAATACTCATGATAAAGCTCGTAATCAATGAATAAAAATGTAACAAGAACAATTCGTTCGATATTCTCATTTTCCGCAAGATATTTGGTGAGGAAATCGCCGACGCTTTCAGCAGCATCGTCATTTGGATAGCCGTAAACACCAGTGGAAATGCAGCAGAATGCCTGTAAACGATAAAAAATTGGATCCTAAATTATATATTTAAATGTAAAATATATTTTTTTAATTTGGAAAAATCGGTCATCGTTTAACCCTAAAACCTTCCAAAAAAGTTCATACCAAAGACTTTAATCCATTTTCCTTCGCGAGTTCCAACGAATTTCGATAACAATTCACCAATTTCTCACGGTCGCTCGACTTCAAACTGCTATAAACTTGCGGTCCAACAGTATGAATAATATTCTTGACATGCTCGATTTTACAAGCTGAAGTGATAACAGCTTCTCCAACCGCGCATCCATCATATTGTCTGCATTCTCGCTGAAGTTCCGTTTTTCCAGCGGCGCGATGAATTGCCGCATCAACACCTCCACCACCAGCCAATCTACTATTTGCTGCGTTCACAATTGCATCAATTTGAAGTCTTGTAATATCGCCGTTCCAAATACTTATACGATCCAAAATATTCTTCGCCACTTTATCTGCAAATTTCTTTCATTTTACACTGTTTTTCTACACAAATTTCGATTCTAAAAATTATGAAAAATAAGGCTTACATTTGGCAAAAAGTGTGGGAATCTCTTGAAGAGTAGACGGCATACCTGGAACATTTTAGGAATTCGAAAAACTACGCGTGGAAGTGGAATGAAAAAAGAAAATACGGGGACTAGAAATGTGCGCGTGGCTGGGGGACTAGGTTTTGCAGTGTATTTCTCGCGGAAAATTCCGGAGTTTTTTCTGTTTTTTTGTCGCGAAGTTTTACCCCTTAAAGTATAGATTTCTAGGAAAATGTCAGCGACGGTTGTTAACGCGGAAGATCAATTACTGATCAATAAGTTCGCCAGACTTTATCAAGAACAAACTCAACTAAAAATCGATATTAAAACCGCGGAAAACGAAGTGGCCAACATCAACGAGGCTGGAGATGAGATTCTTTTGCTCGATGACGCTGACGCCGCTTCAATTCCTCTTCAAATCGGTTTAACCTTCATCCACTTCGATTCGGACACTTTGAATGACCGATTGGAAAAACTCAAAAGTGAAGCCGAAGAGGTTTTGGGTGTTAAGAAAGCACGAATTGATCAAGTTAGTAGCGAAATGGATAATATTCGAAAAGTTCTTTATGGAAAATTTGGCGATCGTATTAATCTCGAATCAGAAAAGGATGAATAAGTGTTTTTTTGTTGAAAAAATGTTTGCGTTGCCCAGTTTGTTATTTTCATCGCTTTATTTTGCTTGATAAAAATATTTTCTTCTTTTTTTGCCTATTTTTGCAAGTGAAAAAATAGCGAGTTTCTATTCTCGCCTGATTATATCACTTATCAATGGTGCCATAATATTTATTATTTATTTTCCCAAAAAATTATTTTCAAATAACACATATTTTTTTCCTTTCCCATAACAATTAGTCGATTTCCCCCCGTTTTTTTGGCCCGGCAAAAAAAGTGGACTATATAGTTTTGTAGTGTGACCGGTTCGGTTCCAATTGTTATTCAGATATGTCCTGTTGTAGTGGTTTATCGAAAATTTTTGCGAGAATTTTGGGTAAGACAGGAAAATTCTGACTATTGCGCAATTTTCTTATCATTTTAAATAGCTAAATGTAGCGAGAATTTTTTGATAAGAAAATGTGTTTTTTTGAGTTCAGTTTCGTGAAATTTCACTTGAAACCACATTCAAAATTCTTAAAGTCCCGTATTTTTCACCGAAAATGAAAAATATTTTCTGTGCAATCACTGTGACGTAAAAATGCAGAACCGTTTCGTACAGTACTCAACTTTGCATATTTCTCAAATCTTCGGATTCCCCCGGGTAAAAAACATCTAAGTTCAACACTGTGACGGAAAAATGCACACATTAACCTACCGTATTAATTGGCCAATTTGCATTTTTTTAGCAATGTATAGATACTCATAATCTTATTTTTTAGAAATGGCAAAATTTAAAATTTCAATCGAAATTATTTTTTTGAGGTCACGTGTTTTTTTTTTCATTTTTCGTTTTTTCCCCGCAGTTGCCATGGAATCCAACACATTCCACCAAATTCTATCAAAAATTCGAGCATTTTTCGTAAACTCCCACGTGTTATCATTTCAAAGTTGGTGATTTTTTCCATTTCTTATCATTCCGCCCCCAAAAACATTTATTTTCGAAACATTTTTCGTTTTTTTTCCTCAAAAAATGTTTTATTGACCTTTCGAAAGTGGTTACAATTTACTTTTTCAACTAAATAACCAACACAAAAAATTGTTGTCGCGAGAATTGTCATCATCATCCCTGGTTATTTATTTATTCTTTCCGAGACATAGAATTTTGTGTCCTCCGCCAAGAAATCGAAATTTTTGTGATGTTTGACGTAGATAAAAAAGAGTAGAGGCGGGACTGTGAAAATAGTCATCATCATTTAAAAATTGTTTGTTTTTCACCTTTCTCTAATTTTTTGCCCTATTTTTGGATAGAATTATAGACAGAAAAATGAGTTGGGGTGAGTGTTAAAAACCGGTTCTATTTGGACGAAAAAACGAAGTGTTTGTTTTTCGAAATCATTTTTTGTTTTTATTTAATTTTGACCGCGAGGATAGGAAAATTAAGTGAAAAATTCAGATTTTATTGTGCATTTTAATAAATTTTGCCACCAAACTTCAAAATGAAATCTGATACCTGCAGGTGTTTTATTCATCGGAAGTTTTTTTGCAGAATATTGGGATTATTTTTAGCGAAAATTCTTAGTTTTCTGAATTTCAGAAATCTTCTCTAAATCCCGACTGAAACACCTAATTTCTGCGGCCAGTTTTATTTACACTTTATCCAAATTTTCTAACGAAATTCCAAAATATATCCTATCTATCCTAATCTTTTTTGGTCAGAAAACGATATGATTCCACCACCAACTTCCGAACAAGATCGTCGTTATTCTGTGTCAGCACCTTTGTCAAAAGATGTTGTTGATGCTTTGATTGCGTCGATGCAAAATAACTTGAAGTTCGAAACGCCTTATGTTTTTGTCGTTTTTGGAGCATCGGTAAGTCTTCATCTATGTTTTCATTCATAAATAATCCACAAAAAACTGCCAGAAATACCCCATATACCCTTATTTTCCAGGGTGACTTGGCAAAAAAGAAGATCTACCCAACTCTTTGGTGGCTTTTCCGTGACAATCTTCTACCAGCCAACATCAAATTTGTGGGTTATGCTCGTTCCGATTTGACCGTTCCGAAACTTCGCGATTCATTCGAAAAATACTGTAAAGTTCGAGATGGAGAAAATGAGAAATTCGTCAAATTTTTGGAACATTGTTCGTATGTTCAAGGAAAATATGATACTTCGGATGGATTTCAAAAATTGAAGCAATATATTGATGCATTCCAAACGGAGAGCAATAATCGTGAGTTTTTGGGGAAATAACATAATTTGTAGATAATTTGGAAAAATTTCTGACGATTGCTTTTGGTTCCTAATTTTTCTGTTATTTTTGACAACAAATATGCTTTGGTTTACTGTAGATAAAATCGTCTATATTTTCAGAACCTGTGAATCGCCTATATTATTTGGCTCTTCCACCAGCAGTTTTTAATGTGGTCAGCACTGAACTCAAGCAAAATTGTATGGATAATGGGTAGGTTTATTTCAATCTTAACCATAAGGTCCTAATTACTCTAATTGATTAGTATGTTAGATTAAGTTTGGCACCAAACCTGACTATATTAATTAATTAATTAATTAACTATTTTTAGCGATTCCTGGACTCGTGTAATTATCGAAAAACCATTTGGACACGATTTGAAATCATCTTGTGAACTCTCAAATCATCTCGCAAAATTGTTCAAAGAGGATCAAATTTATCGAATCGATCATTATTTGGGAAAAGAAATGGTTCAGAATTTGATGGTTATGAGGTGAGTTTGACTGAAATTTATATGGAAGTTCATTTATATTTCTTGAAACAAACCTCGCTCAAGAACCTGGAACATTGGGTAAAAATTGCCCACCAAGGTTTATTTACAAAATTTTTATCCATAAAATTGAGCTAGAAATAAAAATCGGGAATTCGAAGTAACTACGACTTAGGTTTTCAAGTAAAATTGCCCATCTGGATTCCAGGCATTGGGTGAGGTTTGTGGAATTTTGAAACAATAAAGAAACATTTAATTTTTAAAATAATATTCTCAAATATTTTGTTTTAGATTCGGAAATCGAATCCTAGCCCCATCATGGAATCGGGACCACATTGCATCAGTTATGATTTCATTCAAAGAAGATTTCGGAACTGGTGGTCGAGCTGGATATTTTGATACAGCTGGTATTATTCGAGATGTTATGCAAAATCATTTAATGCAAATTTTGACACTTGTCGCAATGGAAAAACCAGCAAGTTTGAATGCCGAAGATATTCGAGATGAAAAAGTAAAAGTGTTGAAAGCGACCAAAATTGTTGAGTTGAAAGATGTTGTTGTTGGACAATATATTTCGAATGCTGAATGTTCGCGTTAGTTTTTTTTTCAAGGAGAAGGGGTTGGCCAGAATCAGCAGAAAACTTTCTAAAAATTAAAAAAAACCGGGAAACCTATGTCCAAACACTGCAATTCGAAAAATCTTTTTTTCTTTCCAGATCCAGAAGCATCACAAGGTTACAAAGATGATCCAGCAGTTCCAGCGGATTCAGTCACTCCAACATATGCTTTAGCAGTTTTGCACATAAATAATGAAAGATGGGAAGGTGTTCCGTTCTTCTTGCGATGCGGAAAAGCTTTAAATGAAAAGAAAGCCGAAGTTCGAATTCAATTCAAAGAAGTCAGTGGAGATATTTATCCATCGGGCGAATTAAAACGAAGTGAATTAGTTATGCGTGTTCAACCAAATGAAGCTGTTTATATGAAATTAATGACCAAAAAACCAGGAATGGGATTCGGTGTTGAAGAAACTGAATTGGATTTGACTTATAATAACAGATATAAAGAAGTTCGACTTCCTGATGCTTATGAGAGACTATTTTTGGAAGTTTTCATGGGTTCCCAAATTAATTTTGTACGAACTGATGAATTGGAATACGCCTGGAGAATTCTTACACCAGTTCTTGAAGAACTTGAAAATAAGAAGGTGAAACCGGTTGAATATAAATTCGGAAGTCGTGGACCGGTTGAAGGCGATGAATTGATGAAGAAATATGGTTTTGTATTTACTGGAACTTATAAATGGGTTGCACCCAACAAATTGTAAAATACGAATATCCTTTATTGTTCTTTGTTTTTGGTTAGCAAAGTATTTAAGTGTAGCTTTTTTGAAAGAATCTCGCGAATGATTGAATAAATTTTCTGAATATTTTAAATGGATCGAGATCGTAGAAATTGTTGTGAGTTTAGTGGGATATTGGGAAAGGGGGAGGGGTTATTAGAAAGACCAGGGAAATTTTGGAAGAATATTGAGTTTTTGAGAAATCTAAATTGCCACGTGTCAATTTTCGGACTAAAAATTCCAAATTTTCCGAGGTCCCTCTAGATTTTACAATTTTAATTAATTAATTAATATATACATATATCACCACCATTGATGATCTTGTTGTGGTTGTTGTTGCTGCTGCATCTGTTGCTGTTGCTGCATATCCATTTGTCCATAAGTCGGCAATGACATCGGTCGACTATGCATATCAGTGGGAGTTGTCAATCCTCCAAATGGATCCGCACTTCGATTATGTGGCGATCTTGCAGTCGGTGTAATCAATCCACAATCATCATTTGATCTTGAATCTGCCGTCATTTCTCGAAGCGGTAAATTCATCATAGACATACAACCGGGGGACATTGCTGCTTGATGTGGAATTGGTTGAGGATTGGTGACTGAATAAGCACGGGGTGGTGAATAGGATTGTTGAAGATTTGATTGTTGATGCATCTGATGTTGTTGAGATGATTGAGCTTGTTGAGGATTGACAAGATTTTGAGTGTAATCGTTTTGTCGGGGAGAATACGCCTGGAAAATAGAAAGTTAAATTATGCAGGGGGAATCATATTTTGACTTTTCATTAAAAATTTGAATTATCAAATTCAAAATCTAGAACTCACAGCAAAATCATTATCCTGTGCCCATCTAGAAACAGATTCATTAACCGGTATTGGTCTAAACATCGAATCCTGTGGCAATTTCTGTCCTCCAACTCCACCAATTCCTCCAGCCACAATATTCGCAGCAGCCGCCAACATTCGCTGTCTTTTATATCTTCTTCGCTGCGCTTTTGCCGTCGTTTGTCCATTGTGATGTTTCAAAATGTGCTCTTTCAATTTATCGCGTCGACTTGATGCATAATCACAAGTTTCACATTTGAATGGTTTGTCTTCCAAATGAATTCGTTCGTGTCGAACCAAATGCGATTTTTCGATGAATCCTCGACCACAAACTTTGCACATATGAGCACGAACTGCCATGTGAGTTCGAAGATGGGCGGCGAGTTGAGATTTTTTAGTGGATGTGTAATCGCAGCCAGCTGAAATAAAATTAGGAATTGCTCAGATTAAGAATATACACTGCTCCACAAAAGTATAGCCTCACCCTCAAAATTTCCAAAAAATCGAAAAAATAACTTGATTCAACTTGATTCCAATAATTTTGAAATTATTGGAATCAACTTAAAATGAGTTATTCTACCCATTTCTCAACAATAACTGAAGTTATCTAACCCAAAAACCGATTTCCAGAGCGATTTTCTAAAGTGAGGGTATACTTTTGTGGATTGGAAATTTTCAATTTTTTGAAAAATTCAAAAAAAATTCTTTCCGTGACTTATCAACCCAAAATTTGATTTCTGGGATAAATTAGTGTCCCATTTTCCCATATTTTTCAAAAACAAACATTTTCTGAAAACTTTATTTTTTTCGATTTTTTGAAAATTTTGTGGGTGAGGCTATACTTTTGTGGAGAAGTGTATTTTTGGGGAATAATTCGATACCAAACAAGGCTAAAATTATAAGATTTTGAAGTTGGCTTTCAAAGTTTCTGAAAAATTTGATTTCTGGGATAAATTAGTGTCCCATTTTCCCATATTTTTCAAAAACAAACATTTTCTGAAAACTTTATTTTTTTCGATTTTTTGAAAATTTTGTGGGTGAGGCTATACTTTTGTGGAGAAGTGTATTTTTGGGGAATAATTCGATACCAAACAAGGCTAAAATTATAAGATTTTGAAGTTGGCTTTCAAAGTTTCTGAAACCTGACCTGAGCAATGTTTAATATGGATGTTCCCAGGTTAGCTATTATAAGGAAAAATGATGTTTGGTGTCGGAAAACCACAAAAATCCCGGAAAATCTTACCAATATGACAGAAAAACACATCTCCAGTATGTTGTCTTCTATGAATTGCCAAATTATCCGAACTCTTCGATGCAAATCCACAATCCTCGCAAATAAATGGACGTGGTTCATTGTGTGTTGCTGTGTGATGATCTAATGAAACGTGTTGCTGAAATCCTCTTCCACATTCTTCACAATGCAATGGTCGATTATCGAAAACACTGTGCATTCTTTCATGGGCAAATAATTGTGAACGGGTTCGACTTTTCCACGCGCATTCTCCGCATTTGAAGAAACGGTTTTCGGCTAGAAATAATTGAGGTTTTTGGAAAAATTATATATCATATCATAAATCTTCAAAATTGAACTGTTTTTTGGGTATAGATCTCAATTTTCTTAACTTTCGGCCGAAAAAAAACTCACTATGCGTCAATCGATGTGCCAAAAACTCCTGAATGGTTCCAGTTTGCCCAACAAATTGGCAAATATCACATCGATATGGTAATTCTGGCCAATGCTCTTGACAATGTGTATAAAACTCTTTGCTCCAATTCGTTTCAAATTCACAAATTTGACAACAATAGAAATGATTTCGATTATGTGTTCTTGCTCGATGTTTTTCCAATCCTTCATCTGTCGAACTACCAAATCCACAATAAATACAAACAAATTGTCCATTTTCATCTGATACTTCTTCACATTCTTCTGTTTCATCTGGATCGAATCGATCGCTTGGTCCATAAGTATGTGCACCTTCGAGTGAACTTGTCGCATAAACTCCATCAATATCATCGTCGTCAACCATTGGAATCACTACAAATATAAATTTTATTGAGAATGAGACATGTATTGCTCATATTAGCATAAGTGTTATATTTTGAAAGGGATAAATTATGAAAAACGCTTGAAAACGAAATAAAACACAATAAACTATTGATTTTCTGAGAGTGCATATATAATAAATAGAAAACATATCTACTATATATGTATACAAAAAACCCTGAAAATACAAAAAATGTAGCTATACTCCTTCAAGCAAAATTTTTTTTAATGAAAAGGATATTACTAAATTTCTAGAGTTTTTCGAAAATAAAAGGGTGTGAAAAATTTTTATTTCATCAGATGATGATTTTCAAAGTGCAACGTCACGAGACTTTCAGACGAGATTAGTGATGATTTTAAAGTTCTAAAAATACCCAAACCATACATCAGTAACCCCGGATTTTCGTCCGGAGGGGGTCTGGCTAACTTTGGAAAAAAGGGTGGGGGACCGGCTAACTTTTTGAAAAAATAACAATTTACACCCGAAAAACCAAGTTTTTCTCTCTATTTTTTGAGGGGATCTGGCTAATTTTCGTACTTTCACATTCCGGGGGTGGCTAATTTTGAGACCCTGACCGGGAGAAACTGATGTATGACCCAAACTCAATTTTTTTCGAAATTTTCATATTTTTGTCAAGGTTCAGGGGTCCAGATCGAACCACACAACTCACTTTCATTTTCCTGCGGCAAATCGTCTCGCGTATTTCTTCTCTTTGGTGCTGGTCTTTGTATCAATCTTGGTTTTTTGAATCGTTTTCGCTCCAAAGTTGCCAGCGCCATATTTAGTTTCATTTTGATTTTTGGCGTTCCATCATTGTCAGCCTCGATCTAAACAAAATGAGCTTTTTCAAAGGAATTTTTTGTATCCAAGAGTATAACTGCAAGAATTACTGTAGCAAATAACGTTTTCGGACTGCGAAAATACGGTAGCTAACAGAAACTCAATTTTTTTCATTTTGCAAAAACTACGGTAACATAGGACTATTTTTCGGACTAAAGAAATACAAACTACAAGTGGTACTGTATCCCTTTCCTCATATTTGGTGTCAGAAAATCCCAAAATGTTCTCACAATTTGTGCAGCAGTCGGATGTCCCTCAACAGTATAATCCTGATCATCATCTTCCATTTCATCACTCGATCCATCTTCTTCTTCATTTTCATATGCCATTGGATCATGTAACGGGGGAAGTTCACCTATTTGTTGACGGAGTGTCACCAATTGAGTCGAATATTTTTCCATCATCATATTATGCTCATCCCTGGATTTAAAATTTCATGAGATCATTTCTAAGGGATTTTCACCAAAGTATTAATTTAGTGAGAACTAAAAATGAGCTCAAATCAGGTGACAAAATCATACAGTAGCGGCGGAAAAGATACGAAAAAGTATGTTTTGGATCATAATTCAGCTTGGAGTGGTCTAAACCATTAGAAATTTTTGTCCGATGTGTAACACAGACCTAGAAACTTGAAAAAAACAACTTGGAAACTTTATGTTAATTTTGAGATGTTTCCATTGTTGACTTCGGAAATCGAATTTTTCGTATTTTTTGATTTTCATGTTCACCATCGAGAAATTTTTGTTAGAGGGGTTTAACTTGATGTTTTTTGGTTTCATTTAGTGTAATAAACCTTTATCTATAAAGTTGAGCCGTGAAACAAACCAATGTCATGATCGTTGAACTCCTATCCGATGGTATTACTGGAAACATCGGAAATTAAGATTGACGACTATAAAACTCAATTTTGCTCTATAAATGTGTTGCAATTGATTTTTTCAGATGTTTTCCACCAATTCCAATCATTTTTCATCAAAAACAATGATTTTCTAGCGATTTTTCCAATTTTCGGTGATGTCGATTTTTGACTGAATCTGGATTCACGTCGATCTTCCATTGATGAAAAATCACAAATTGGTTGTGATATTGGTTTTTGGCAAGCCAATAGGTCTATAAATAAGTTACAATTACTTTCTACACCTTAATGTTCTCTTAACTTCTCAGCGAAATCGCCAAAGTTGTTCAATTGAAAAATGCACTAAAAATACACTGTTTTTGATGAAAAAACAGTTTCTTCGACTTTGATGATCTGTATGTCAACTAACCATCAATATTTGATCTGGAAATTTTTTGTCCCTTATTTATAGACCTAGTGGTATGCCAAAAACCAATATCACAACCAATTTGTGATTTTTCATCAATGGAAGATCGACGTGAATCCAAATTCAGTCAAAAATCGACATCACCGAAAATTGGAAAAATCGCTAGAAAATCATTGTTTTTGATGAAAAATGATTGGAATTGGTGGAAAACATCTGAAAAAATCAATTGCAACACATTTATAGTCGTCAATCTTAATTTCCGATGTTTCCAGTAATACCATCGGATAGGAGTTCAACGATCATGACATTGGTTTGTTTCACGGCTCAACTTTATAGATAAAGGTTTATTACACTAAATGAAACCAAAAAACATCAAGTTAAACCCCTCTAACAAAAATTTCTCGATGGTGAACATGAAAATCAAAAAATACGAAAAATTCGATTTCCGAAGATCAACAATGGAAACATCTCAAAATTAACATAAAGTTTCCAAGTTGTTTTTTTCAAGTTTCTAGGTCTGTGTTACACATAGGACAAAAATTTCTAATGGTTTAGACCACTCCAAGCTGAATTATGATCCAAAACATACTTTTTCGTATCTTTTCCGCCGCTACTGTACCTACATCGGCCAAAAATAAAATTATTAAACCCATAATTACTATATAGTTTCAGCCAAACTTCTAATAGTAAGTTATTTTCAATTTCAAAAAAATAATGCTAATAATTTCGGAACCATTTGAATATTTCTTCTATTTTCTAGCAACTTCACAATGCATTTTAATCACTTTTATTCTTCAAAAATATTTGAAATACACATTTTTCTACATTTTCATGGTTTCTGGAATTTGTGACATTTTTCATTGCACAATCTATCTTTGGTTAAAAATTACTTATCCTAGTCAAACTTATATTCAAACTGCTAATTGTTTGCAATTTTTTGATTTTCATCTAACATTTTTTCATTATTTCTGCAACTTTTTGATGTCTATTAACAGGTATTTAAATAATTCTTCCTAATTTTCAAATAAATTTTTACCTTCTCTCTTTCCCAGATTTCACGCAACTTTTATGAATTATTCGAAATTTTGGAGTCAAAAGTTAGCAAAAATCTATCTAATTTCTATATTTTTATTAACTACGGTTTCTTGTTTTCCACTACTTTTCGAAGAAAAAACCATAGTTTTATCTGAAAATGGTATAATTTTACTTGAAAAACCAGGTTTAGCAATTCAACGAATTATTATTGGAGGCTATTTACTATTCACTGAAACAATATCAGTTATTCTGGCAATTCTAACAATTTCGAGATATAAGAATTTTCAAAATACCCATGATAAAAAGTTGATAATTGTTACATCAACTCATACATTTTCCACAATGTTATTATTGATTTATGAAGTTTCAATAGTTTTCAAGTTCTGCGATCCAATTTCCAAGTTTTTGGCAATTTATCGAACCAACATTGCATATTTGTTTCTTTCGTTGAATTTTTGCACAATATTATTGGCCGATTTGAGAATTCGCAGGGATTTTATTCGTATATTTTGGAGAAATAAATCAAAAGTTTTTGTGATTCGAACAGATACACATTTTTGAAATATGAGGAAATAAATATAATAATAGTTCAGTGTTTAACGAATGAATTTCATTTAGACATGTTTTACTGGATTCCTTGGATCATGTAATTCAGGTCTAATAATTAAATAAAGATGGAGGCTCAATTTTTCGGACATTCTATATTTTGGCCCGAATTTTAACTATTTACTTACATAATTAGCCTAAGTCCAATCAATTTTCCCTTTAAAAACTCACATAACATGAAGTAGCAAAAATCTGCTCGACGGAGATTTGGCCAACAATGGCGAATAATCCAACAAGAATTCCAACGTATCCGCAGAAACTTCCAAAAATTGGCAATGTTCCAACAATTGTCTGAACGACAATTCTCGCGTCGAAATTTCCTCACCAACCCATCGAACAATTAGTCTGGAAATAAATATACAGTCTAGTTATTTGTGGATTCTTTATCTGAACTTCTATAGAAAAACTCACTTCAAATGTGTATCCGAGGTAATAACATCCGAATATTTTGGATCATTAATTAATTTGAAAAGTTGTGGATAAGTGTAAGAAACAATATCTGTAGATTCCAAAAGGCATCGATTTATATTTGCATCGAAATAATCGTTGGAAGCCTGCAAAAAAAGTATAAATTTCTAGCGGAAATAATTTGTGTTTCAGCGTGAAAATATTACCTTTAAAAGCGTTGGCAAATTATATCTTTGCGCCAAAGTTCGAATCGATAAACAATTAGCCGCATCCAAATATCGATCCAAATATTCAGCACAATAATTTTTCAATTTCACAATCAAAAAATTGTTGGCTAATCTGAGCATTTCGGCGACCGAACCTCGATCAATCACGATACATCCACTATACATATAATTCAGGAAATTCTCGAAAATTATTGGATTTGGGCAGTTTACAGTGACCTGAAAATGGGGATTTTGGTCGAAAAATTCGAATTTTTCAAATGAAAACACATTTTTGAAAGATTTTGAGATCACTCAACAACTATACAGTAATCCTACTCACTTCTTCAGAGACTGATTTGGAATAAATTAGAATCAAGAAATGGCTTCCTCTTTCAATTTTATTTAAAAATATTGATACGTGAACTTAATTTTTTCAATTAAAAACGTGTTCATTCTTTTTTCTTTTGGAAAATTTCAGATTACAGTATGAAAATTCATCATTTCCGATCCAAAATTTAATAGTTTTTCAAATTTTTCTCTCCAAAATAATTTGCATACCTGTTCCTTGGTAATTTTCGAATATTTAAAAATCGAGTCAAAATACGGACTGCAAGATGCCAAAATATTTCGGTGCGCTGAGAATTGTTTTTCGCGAACCATCAGTGCCACGTCACAAAATCGTCCAGTTTCTCGTTGATACCGTAATCTTTCGAAGACTGGAAAACATATTGATTTAGCCAAAGTTCAAGGATTATTCAAACTCACATGAATTTCCTTGTGAATCCGAAAATGACATCGGATTCATTCCGCTGTTTTCGCTACTCGCAACAAGCGTCATCTGGAAATTGTATTTGTGTTTGAATTTTTGAAGAAAAAAGCAGAGCTAATGGAATATTTTTTCTATTTTCAGAACTTAGTTGTTCTTTTTGAATAAAAATTCTGTAAAACTTCATAAGATAGATAAAATCCGGTGAAAACAACCGAGAAATAAAAAATTCTGAAAATCCAATAAAAAACTAATCTATTTATTGATAAATACAATAATTTACACAAAACATGTCAATAATTTGTTTTCCCCAAATAAGTTTGAGCACAAAAAATAAGTGAAAATCCCGCAATCGATTTATAGGAACTTCTCAAACCATCTAACCATATTAATAGTATAATCTGATTCAACATTAACTTCTTCCAAAGGATGATTGCTGGTTGGATATGTCAAAACTCTCGCCGGAACCCCGCGAGCCACCAAATTTCTCAAAAATGCTCGATAATGCGGCACAACTCTTAAATCTTTTTCCCCATTCAATAATAAATATGGAGTTGTCGCTTGTTCAACATGAGCAATTGGAGAAGAAAGCAACATTTTTTGACGTTCTTCAAGAGTTGGAACTTTCTCAAAGTTAGGATAACTACCCATTCCCTCGTAAAAACACCATTCAGGAATATCTGTAATATCATGCATTGTTGAAATATTCAAAACTGGATTGAGTGCAACACAAGCTGAATAGAATCCAGGATATTGGCCGATTAAATGAGACACCAAAAATCCGCCATGCGATCCACCAAACAACACAACTTTGTCTTTCGAGATTCTCGGATTTCTTTCGATGGTTTGAAGAACCGCGTTATGAGCATCTTTTACATCCAAATCTCCACAATTTCCGGCGAGTTTTCTGATGAAATTATCTCCGAATCCGACACTTCCACGATAATTTACATTTAGAATTGCATATCCGGAATTGAGGAGTGTTGTTATATCTCGACGTGGCCAACTGGAAAAGGAACACGGAAATTGAATTATAGATTCAGAAAGATTTTTAGGACCAAAAAATGTTTCAATTGAAATTTGAAAAACGGAGAATTTCTCTAGGAATTTCTAGATTTCAGAATGTTTTTTTTGAAAATCTCTTTTTGCAAGAAAAAAAGCTCACAGTGCCAACGATACTCCATGTGGTCCTCCGTGTGGATTTATAACAAGTGGCAAATTTTCGCCAGAATTCGGAACCAATAAAATACCTTCGTATTTCTCGCCATCTCTTTCAAATTCAGAGAATTCCCATGAAAAATCGATGAGATGACGGCGTTTTTCGATTGCGTCCGCTTTGTCCAAACGAACCCAGACAATCTGAAAACGTGTGAATTTTAGATCTGGATATATTTCTAGCAAAAATTCAAACTTTTTCCGCAGCTCCCTCCTCCTCCAATTTTGCCAACAAAACATTTGGCGGGCGATTTGGTGCACTAACAATCGCCAAAATCTCATCATCAAATACATCCAACAAAACCCAACTTCCATGACATTTTCCCAAATTTGTCAGCTTTTCCACATTCCCTGTTTCAATGTTAATTGCAACCAATTCAAATTTACTCCTCCAAACAAGAGATAAAACAACGCGTTTTGAATCATTGGACCATGATCGAGCAGCGAGTTGAGGCATCGCAATTCCGGGAAAATCTTGAGATGCAAAATCGAAATACGCTACAATTGGCACCACAGTCTTTGGTTGTTCATTAGTCAATGGCCAATTGACTTTAACCAATTCTAGATTAGCCTGATGTGGACCATCTGAAGCCCTTTGGAAATATATCAAATTCTCGCCATTTGGACTGAAATTCAAGCACTCTGCAGAGATATTTTCTTCTCCAATTCTCGTTAATTTCGCAGTAATTAAATCATAATAATAAACAGCACCCGGTCGATTATTACAATAAACCCGTCCCAATCTTGGACTCTCATTTCCTTCATCCAATCCAAAAAACACAACTCCAGTATCATTTGGTGCCCAATTTACATAAATTGGTGAAATATGAGCGGGTATTTGATCTAAAGCAGTCACAATTCCACTCGCAGTATCAACAATACAAATCATCGGTCGTTTTACACTATCATTTTGTTCTCCCCATGATTCTTTCAATTCGAATTTTTTTCCAATTTTGCTTTCAAAAACCTTTTCCTCATTATCCCATTCAATATCCGCATCAAAATACTGTGCACTTTTTACATTTCTCTCGGCCACATACAAAACATGTCCTTCGCCATTTGAGAATTTTAAAGCGCCGAAAGGTTGACCAGCGTGGATTACACCGTGTTTTTTCTGCGATGATAAATCGGAGCAAAGTTCTTCGATGTGCTCTTCGGAATTGTAGATTTTCAGATATTGTTTTTTATCCTCGCCGCTTGGAATTGTGATGAGTTGAGCGATTTTGGAGTTGGATTTCGAGTAAGCAGTGCCTTGTGATCTGCAAATGGGGGATCATTTCGAAGATATTAAAACCCGCCGACAATGTTTTTGCTTGTGGAAGTTTTGGGACCAATAATGATGAATCAACAACAAAATTGAGAGTTTTCTCTAATTTTCGCCCCCTCCCAAATGCTCACTCAAAATTACAAAGTGGCACCGAAGTTGTGTCGACCAAATATCTCTCAATCAACCCATTTTCGCCTCGATTTCCAATCAAACTAACTCTTTGTTGTTTCGTTATTTTATTCAAAGCCATTGCTCGATTATCCCAAATTGTTGTGACCTGAAAATATAAAATGGATGTTTTGGAAATACAAACCGAGAATCTTGACTAGAAAATAATTTTTTTTCAGATTTTTTAAAATGAAAAATACGATTTTTGAAAAAATTTTATATTTTGACAAAAAAATTATTTCTTCGATTTTCTGGATGGAATACTACAATAAATTGAATACGTTTCAATATTTTCAGAATATAAAAAAGAGTAGAAAATATTTCGATTGGTGTTTTGTCGTATGTCTCATCAAATCAAAAATCCTCTATAAAATTTCGAGTGTTATTCTTCTATAGCCCAATTATAAACTATAAAATTTTCTCCGAAAAAATCTCAAAATTACCAAATTTTTCTCAAAGTCCAAACCCACCTTAACAATTTCCTCATCTTTTTTCTTAATAATTCTTCCTTGAGTCGGATACGGTATTTGTGCCAAATCTCCATACAAATCCTTCAATTTTTCCAATTTCTTCACATCATATTCCGCAGTCATTCTAGCGATTTTCTTCATTTTTTTTTGTTGAAAACAACTTTGGGAATTTTGAGTTTTGGTCAAAATTTGGCCAAAAATAGATATTTAATGGTTTTCAGAACCAGAAATTGATTTCGAAAAAAATTTTGGAGAATGCGATAAAATATATTTTTTTCAACAATAACAAAATTAACAAAATGTTTCAAAAAGATAAAATCACAGCTCCTCAATGAGCACCTTTTCAGGATTCCCAGAACTTTCAGCTTGGAAAGCTTCTGGAAGCTCATTCACTTCTTGAACACTAACATCTCGATTATCAACTCGACTATTTTTCTCTCTAAAAACATCCACATCAATCTCGATTCTATCTGCCTTCTGAACTTCTTGATTTCCCTGATCTTCTTCTCCAGCTTCATCTTCATCTTCCGATTCGGATTCCGAACTGGAACTTGAATCAGAAGACTCCTCAACTTTTTCAATGATAAATTCTTCAGCTCCAGAAGATGATGCCACCAAATTTTTGTTAGCTTCTTCCATTTGTGGCAGTAAATTTTTGAGGCGAGCTAAGAGCGGTGATTCGCTAACTGGGCCGATTTGTGGTTTGTCGGATAGGAATTGTGAGATTTTTGAAGGAGGTTGAGACATCTGCAAAAATAGGTGATTTTTTAAATTTTCAGGTAACCGAAAATATGAGAAAAAATCTGGCAAAACAATTTTAGCAAATGCAAGTATAAACCATCGTTAAAACGACTTATTATAAATACCAAAAAATTCAATTAAAGATTTATATTACAAATAAAAATCGAATAAAAATACCAGCAAAATCATCACCATACAAAGCAGTAAAAAAAGAAATAAATAAATTGATTCAGTCACAAACAAAGAATGTATAAAAATTGGTCAGTGATTCCCGAATCTTAAAAATCACCAACCACCATTAGCAAAGCTTCTCTCAATTAATCTAATTGCTGAACAATTCCAACATATTCATCAGAAATAATCGTCTCAAAATTCTCGCCATTTATAACCAAATGAAGAACTGCAGCAGGTGCCAAACCAAGTTGTGCCAAAGTCAAAGTTTCCTCATCAACTTGTTGATTTGCAGCATCTCGAAGGGCGAATTCGATAATTTCTTCAGATAAAACTGAACTCACAAAACTTCTGACAGCTGAAAAAGCCTCGTAGCAACTGAAAACTCCTTGGATTATCATATTTCCAGGAACTCGAATTCGAATCAAAGTGTATTTATATTTATAATTGCGTAATTGATCATCTTTTTGTCGCATTTCTTTTGTTCGCAATGTTAACATTCTATCAACTTGATGTTCTCTCGATCTTTGTTCTGCTTTCAATTCATCAGCTGATAAATTGAAAAACTCGTCAGCTAGTTTAGGAGAAACCAATTTTTGCCCTTCTTTCATCGCAAATATCTCCAAATTTCTTGCAACTTTTATAGGAACACTTTGACCATTTCTCAAGTTTTCCAAAGCTTCTACAAGATGAACATCCGATTGTCTATCGAAAACCAAAAATTCTTCGGATTTTTCAGTGAATCCTACACTTTCTAAGAATTTTCGGCCACCAATAGCGCTGGCAACACGCTCTTGAAATGCCTTGTTAGTGAGGCGGATTTGACGATATTTTTCCTCTCCAGGATGCTCCAAAATATTCTGCACATATTTACAAATTGTTTCGATTGCTGTCTGGAAATTTTTTGAGGTTTTTTTTAGATAACTGAATTTTTAAAAGGGAATGATTTTCTTGAATTCGACAAGCTTTGTTAAATTTGCCACATTTTCAAAAACTCACATCTCTTTGTTGTTGTTTATTCAATGAATAAAGCATAAGAACAGCCGCAATAATCTTATCCCCATCTTCATCAGCGCTTTCAACTTGTTCCCCAAGAAATTGCTCCAAATCTTTCATCAACTCAACTTTCGGCTTCACAACATCTTCACCCAACAATTCGCAAGTATAATAAACCTGTGTTATAGCTGACGAATGCTCGAATTCCCGAACATCTTGAGTTGGAGCATCTTTCTTATCGATTTTCAAATCTTCCAATTGTCTCCGCTCTTCCTCGAGTTCTTTTTTCGCGAGCATTTGAATACGTTTCTTACTTGCATCTTGTTGCGGTTCATTTTTATATAATCTTTTGAGTGCTGCCTGTGCAGCAATATCTGCGGCAGCAACTCTATCAATATTTCCACCTTGAGCACTGCCAGTTGTTATTGATGGGTTTGAACTTGAAGATTCTCCAGAGAGTCTCACACCTCCACCGCTTTTTTTGAAATGATTTTGAACCTTTTTCTTATTGAGAAACTTTTTGAAAGTATTCATTCTTCCTTATTTTCTGGAATTGTTTTTTTATTGAATAACAGAACAGTGAATTCTAAATACTTACTTTCAGCTGTTTTCGCTTTTTCAATACTCTCTTTAATCAATAATTCCTGAATAATCGGGGAATATCGTTTCCAAGCAATAATTGTGCACACCAAGAAGATGAAGAATAATAGAGTTAGAATCAAACCAAGGAAAACCTATGATAATTTTTTGCGAAATTTCGATTTTCGTGAAAAATGCATACCTGTCGCTTGTCCAATGAATATTTATCGCAGAAGAAGATAACTGAATGATAGAAATCAGTCAATTCAACAGCTTCCTTTTCTTCCATACAATTTACCAGCTAAAATAATCGTTAAAGACCAGCTGGTGGCCGAATTGCCGGCGCTCGCAGAAAAAATAAATTGTACAATTGCGCGTCGAACTCTGTGCATTGTGTGCATTTTTCAAAAAGCGTGCGCTGTTTTTGCTTTTTAAGACTCCGCCCATTTTTTGCGATTTGTCGATTTTTTTCTGTTTTTGGCTCCTTTTCAGGTTTTCGGAAAGAAATTCGAGTGCAAATAGGTTCTAGAAATTCAAGCAAATTTTTAGCTACCAAGCTGAGTTTTTTAAATTGTCCATAAACTTCTGGAAATCAATTTTTCAATATTTAGGATTTTTATTGAATAAAAAAAGCTACAATTAAATTTAACTAAACGTGATAATTGCCAAAAATAAATAAATTTTCTTCGTTTAACTGTGAAAAACAACGCCCTTCTTGTCAAATATTTCGTAACACTTTAAAGGGTAACAATATAACTATTTCGCAATCACATCGATTTTATTTTTCGAAAATGTTTGTTGTCTTTTTTGTTGTATTACATCATTAATTTTTCAACTTTACTTTATTTTTGCAGAACTCTCAAAAATGCCGAAGAATAAGGGAAAGGGAGGAAAAAATCGCAGACGTGGAAAGAACGAGAATGACTTCATGAAACGTGAGCTCGATTTGAAAGAAGAGGGCCAAGAATATGGACAAGTGTCAAAAATGCTCGGAAACGGACGTGTTCAAGTGTTCTGTTTCGACGGAAAACAGCGAGTTTGTCATATTCGTGGAAAACTTCGAAAGAAGGTTTGGATCAATGTTGGAGATATTATATTGGTCGGATTGAGAGATTATCAAGATGATAAGGGAGACGTTATTTTGAAATATACGCCAGATGAGGCGAGACGATTGAAGAACGAGGGATTGATTCCTGAAAACGCGAAATTGAACGAGAATGATGAACAAGATGAGGGAGAAGTCGAGTTCTGTGAGTTCTAGAAATTTAAAATGTGTTTTTCCCAATGACAAATTGTTATTTTTCAGTGGACACTGTTGGCGGAGATGAAGAAGCCGAAGCTGAATCTGAAGATTCCAAAGATTCGGACAGCGATGAAGAGAAATCAGAAAGTGAGTTGAACTTGATGTTTAGACCAGAAAACGTGAATATTCTCTCATAAAAGCAAATATTCCTAGAAAAAATTTCACATTTCGTAATAAAATTAAAAACGTGACCTCCACGCTATCATCTCCCCTATAAAAAAACGCTCAAAAAAAATGAATCTTCGCTGTCCGCAATGAACACCATGACGCAAACTTGCACAGAAACGCGATTGGGCAGCTTGCCAATTAAAGGGAGGACGAGTTGAATGGCTAACCGGGTCTCGTCGCGATGCACTGCTCCATCGATTATTTTCATTATTTTTTCTTTTTCCCCTTTTTTTGATTTTCGCCGCAGTTTTCGAAATGGAGGATGCGATTCGTAAGTGAAACTCAGCCCTTTCTACTCAACACAACCTACTAATTTCCAGGCAGAATATTTGCGTGTTCAGCACAGTTTGGTGTATCGGCAATTGTCGAAAAGTGAGTTTCGCGGCTGAAATTCTGACTAAAATATGAAATTCTAGAGAAACATTGATTTTTTCAGAAGAGCGCAAGCAATTTTCGGCGCAACAAAAACAGCAATCAGCCAGGAATTTGGGATTGGTGCCAAATACTGTGCAGGAGGTTATTGTGTGGGTGTCGACTTCCAAAGAATTTCCCAAAGTTCAGCCAGTGGTGAGAAATTCCAAAATTTCTTTTAGAAGCTCCTCAAAAACTTTTTTTCAGAAAGCCAATGATTTGCCGAAGAAGCCATAAGATCCTCTCATCCAGCAAAATCTGCGAAAAATGCTCAAAAACCTGCAGAACCCGAATAATCTGAGGGATCTGATGATTCAGAAGATGAATCTGAAACTGCTGAAAATCCAGGGAAATCCGAAAATGAAGAAGAGGATTCTGAAGAAGATTCAGGCGACGATTCAACAGATGAGGAAATTGAGCAAAAAGAGACGGAAAAATTGGGCCAGAAGTCGAACAAATGAAGTTATAATCTGAAAATCAAGAATCCGCTCAAAAAGCCCTGCCAAAGACCAATGATAAAATCGATAAAGAAATCGAGAAATTGGAAAATGAAGAGGATTACGAATTGCCGGAAATGAAGTGACAAATTGCACTTTTGAGATTGCAGAAGAAGTTGAAGGATATGAAACGTGAGAAATTGTTGGAAAACTAAGAAATCCGGAATGAGGAGAAAACGACAATCGCTACTGGAAACTCCGAAAGTGGAGAATAATGTGAGTTTTTTTTTGCAAAAATAACAATCAAAAAAGTCAAGAATCCACTTTGAAATTGATCAACTGTATTTACAGGGTGGCGCATAAATATAGGTGCATCGTTTTTTTGATGTGATAAACGTATTTTCAAATATTATTTTATGATATTTGGTGAAATCCGAACTAATAGGGTCCAAAACAAACACAAATGATGTTTACATCAATATTTCAAACTATCATGATGTTTGGACCGGTCGAGTATGTTGAGCTCGGGAAAAATTTGCACGCACCTATTTTCAAGTTTGACCACGTGTAACTTCACGTTGGGAACATGAAACCTAACATGTTAATACATCAAAATGTTCGAAAACTAAAGAGGAACAATGTTAAAAACATACCCATCATCAATAAATAATCTGCTTTTTAGAATTCATCAGTATTGAACACCCCCTAAAACAGAAAAATCAGCCATTTTTCGCTCGAATATTGTTTTTTCGTCCCAGATTTCATAATTTCACAAAATATGTTGTGATCGAAGTTGGATTCGGTGTAAAATGAGTTTTTTGATAGTTTCTATTTTTGTTACAAACATAAATAACGTTTATCTTACTTTTTGTGCCTTCAAATCTTTGAAAATCAAAAAATCTGAAAATTTGAAGTTTTGACTGAAATTCGAAATTGTTTCGGGACAACCAAAAACTAGGACTGTGAAAAACTCAAAATTAGCCTTTTTTAAAATGTATCAAAACTTTAGATCATACAAATTGACTGAAAATCAACTGAAATTCATGGGTGAAAAAATTCCTTTGGACCTGCGTGCTGATTTTCGAAATTTTGAAAAATTGAATCTAAGTTTGACAGGCTTTCCGGTCTTCAAATCAATCAGTATTGTTGAGAACACTTGAAGATAAGATAGATTAACGCATTAGCTTCAAAATTATGTATATAGACCCCAGAAAAAATTTTGAGAAAATCGCGGTAAAACCATATTAAGAAATTTGCATCATGCACCTATATTTATGCGCCACCCTGTACAATACCTGGAGAGCATGCTCTGGAAGCACGTTTCTTGTAAAAAGTACAAATCCTTTTGCTATACCTAGACATTTTCTGAGATGTTTCTGTCCGTTGATTAAGCGAATTTCAACGAAAAACAGTTTGCAACTGAAATATCGAAGTTTCATAAGATTTTTCGAGTTTTGCGATTAGAAGAGTGCAGAATATTTTAAATTTGAGATTTTGCTCGAAACAGGAATTTGTGAATGTTCAAAAACTACCAGGACCAGTGCATGTTCTCCGGGTATTGTAAAAAAAACAATTTATCCAACTTTCTTCTAATTTCGAAAATGATTTGCTTTACTTCTGATAAATATTAGGGAAGAAACTATTATTTTTAATTTTTAAATTAAAAAAGCAAAACTGATTAAAGTTCAAAAAATGCAACAAAAACTTCTCTATTTCTGATTTTTCAAAAACACTTTACTTGTCGTTTCAAAAAATAATGAAGTTTCGCAATAAAGCGGATAAGTTACATTTTTTCAAATTATGATTCAAATTTATTTAGGTGCGAACTCAATCGCCGTCCTTTACGATGCCGGAACATTCAACATCACGATAATTATAATTTGGTGTCTTGTTTATTTTTTCAATAAATATAAATATGATGAAATGACTATCCTTCATAATGTGGTTACTCGACAATCCTGGTCCCCGAAATCCCGGTTTCCGGGTTACCAAGTAAGGAGGGTTTACTTAAGAAATTATTCAACGGAGCAAGTTGGAAAATTGAAAAGCTGCTAAGGCATTTCTGTACAGGGTTGCGTCATTTTGGTGTCTTAATGGAAGAATTGTTCTCGAGCTAATAAAAATATTTGTCTGAATATTCACGTGAATGAATATATTTCAAAATCTGCACCAAGTAATCAGATGATTATGTCCAGGTGGTGAATAAATAAGTTTAGGCATAGCGCATTGGGTCCACTAGTTCCAAAAAAAACTATGACATGTTCATTTCAAAAATTTCAATTTTCTTCAGGCGAAGAAGAAGGAGACGGTGAGGAAGAAGACTCCTCCGATTCTGATGACGACGAAGACTCCGACGATTCTGACGACTCGGACAACATTCGAGAAGAAGATTTGGCCGCCGGTCGAGGTTTCCGAGACACTCGCGGTAATCGTGGCAACAAAAACAAATACGGTAAACGTCGCTAAATTCCACATTATTTTCGAATTATCATTTTCATTGTTTTTTCTTTCTTTCCCCCTATGTACGGTGATATATTCAAATATCTCTCGACCATAAGTTCAAGTCAATCTATTTTCCATTTTCTATCTATCTAAACACGCCCTTTTTTTGTCTATTGGATGATGATGAATAAATTGTTGGAAAAAACTATCAAATTTCACGAGCCCTCCATTTTTCCATGTTTTTATGAAAATATATGTACAAAACCCAAACAAATAAGTTCATGTCCATTCCTCTTCTTTTCCTCACCCGCCAGCCTCTCAACTTTTTTCTTCCCGTGACATATTTACATAGAGTGTGCACGCACGCAGTTTTTGCTGTATAATGTATATATAATTTTTAAATCCCCCCCGAAAATTAATTCCAGTTCTTCTCCATCTTCACACATTGTTCCCGGTTTTATTTTCTTTTCTTTTTTTTAAATCAGCTGTTTTCAGCTTTTTTCCCAAGGAAACCAGGCAATTAAGTCAGTCGCCTGCATTCTTTTCTTCCAATTATTTTCTGGCCGGCGCCAAGAAGCCTTATTTTTCCCATAGCAACACAAAACAACGAGGCTCGAAAAATGGCTACTTTTGATTCGCCTTTTTTTGTTTTACGTTTTTTTTGGCGGTGGGAAAAAACTTTATGGGAGCATTGATTTTTTCGGGTACCTTGAGCTGGCAGAAATTACGGCAAATGTTCAGTTTCAATTTTTAGCATGAAATTGTGTTTTCTGAAAAGTTCCGATAATTTGATTTCTAATTTTTGATAAATTGGAAACACGTGGTTTTTGCACTTTTTGCGCGATATTTGATTTGTTGAATTATCATTGTTTTGATTTTTTCACATTCCGCCTAGAAGTTTTCAAAAAAAAAAAAAATCAATGAAAATTTCTAGACAAATAGTACATGTGAAATTAATTTTCAAGAGCATGTGACGTTTTTCTGAATATTTTTTGGAACTTTAATTCTGAACCTAAATTTAGTTCTAGAAAAACCACATGCTCTTCTAAATATTTTAAAAACGTGGTCTCTGCTCTGAAAAAAATCAATATTTTCCCAAACAAAGATCTCATGCTCAAAAATCCCCCATTATTTTTTTCAGAAAAAAAAAATCGATTCTTCTCCCAAAATTTTCCCAAGCCTTCAAAAACTTACTTTTTTTGATGATGACTGAAATTTCACCTCTCAAAAAAGTAATCAAATTTCAGAGCATTTTAAAATTGAAATTTGAAAAACTGGTTTCAACAACGTGTTTTTTTTTGTTGTCAAAAATTTCAAGAAAACATTTGGAATCTTGTTTTGTTTTGAGAATTTTAATTTTTTCAATAAAAAACTGAAATTTATTCACAAAACAGTACCCACAGTTTCGAAATTAAAAACAACGGAAAAAAAATTTAAAAACATTTTCCGAATTTTACAGAACAGAAAACCTTTTTTCTCTGTGATGATTTTTGAAATATTTCCTTCAGGCTCCATTTTTTTCGATTTTTTCAAGTCAGTTCTATTTATGTAGTCACACTGAACAGAAAATATTACTCAATATTTGTGCTGTGCCATTTTTTGTGTGGTCTCTTCTCTTTTTCGCCCCGCTCTTTGTTTGTTTTATTTTTAGAACTTACATTAACTTGTCGTGTCGAACTCGAAAAACTTTCTTTTTTTTCAAAAATTTCGAAAACTTTTCATTTTTTTTTTCAAAATAAAAATCGATGTGTTTCATTTTCTATTATGCTTTTTCCATACATTCAAATCAAAAAGGACCAATTTTTCAGAAATTTTTTTGTGCCACAAAAAATGCGAATCGCCTGATCAAACAAAGCCATGGGTATGTGTTCAATTTTTTTCATTTTTTTTGGATCAAAATTTTTTCCTCTTAATACAATTTAATTTCCGAAATCAAACGTTTTTATCCACGTGGAGGTTTCGAAAAAAAAGAAGTTATGAAATTTTGTTTGTTTTTTGAGTTTAGAAAATGAGGTTTCTATCTCCAGAATCTTGCAAGATGGATTTCTTTCAGAAATTTTTCCGAAAACTTTAAACAAAAAAATTCAATTTTTTATTTTTTGAAAAATTACAAAATCTTGATCTTTTTGAAATATGCTTTTTGAAAAATTCCCATTTTTACAACATTCTAATTTCTAGAAAATGTATACTTTTTTGTAACTATGACTACATTAAAAAACGTGTATCCTAGGGACAATTTTTTAATTTCCGCCTCTTCGTTTTATTCGTGTTTTTTGCTTGCTAACTGAAGAAAAATGCCAGCTTCTGGTGATTTTTCGAAAATTAAAGTTAGACGAAAACCTAAGCCCAAAAAAGCCACGTCATCTACTGAATCTACAACTATTTCCAAAAAATCCAAGAAATCTACCGGAAGGTCGAAAAAGTCTACGGTTACTGTAATTATTCCTAAAAAGCCTAAATCGGAGTCTAAGCCTAAATCGAAGCCTAAAAATAAGCCCAAGAAAAAGAAAAAGATCAAAAAAGGTAAGAAACATACTTTTTATTTTTCAAACTTGTAAACTTGGCGCCAAAAATTAATTTGTGATATTTTTGGAACAACCTAGATTAACCTAGTTCACAAATAATTTTTAGAAACTCAAAAAAATCGACTGGGAGGTCTCAAAATATTCCATTACTGTAATTACTTCTGAAAAGCCCGATTCTAAGCCTAAAAACACTACATAAACCTGAGCCCAAGAAAGAAAAAAATCAAATTGGTAAGAAAATCGATAAAAGCAGTGCACTTTTTTCCCCTCCACCTCCCCTTTTTCAAACAAATGTTAACCTATCCAAAAATGTTTTTTCATATAAATTTTGCAATAAAACTGACCATGGATAGATTGTTTGCCTGTCGGTTCCCCCTTCCTCCATAATAATCCCTCGTCTTATGCAAATTTTCACCTTTTTCAATTTCCTCTAAAAATTTTCGGACGTAATCGTAATATACAAAAAGAAAGACCACGTTTTTCGCTTTTTTGCTGATAATATTTTTTTTTGAAAAAATAAAAAAAAATGATTATTTTTTTTCGCCGGCTGGCTGACTGGGCTGATTCACCCTTTTTCCATCAATTTTTCTGCCAAAAAAAGACAATTCGTATATTTTTCCTTTTTCAAACTTTTTTTTGGACAACTCTTCGATAAAAAAGTATTTAGATGAATCATCGAAAAAATCGTTTTCTGATAAACTTTATTAGTCATCCAATATTTACCTACAACATCGACAATAAAATAGATAAATTTTCCTGATTTTTTTCTTACAGTTTCAGCTTCAGTTGCACCAGAAAAATCGTCGGTTACGAACGCTTTTCAGGACACAAATAGTAAAATACAAGGTGAGTAAGTAATAACGTTTTATCACACAATTCACAATTTTGAGTGACGTTGAATTGTAAAACACAAAAATTTATTAGAAAAAACGCAGAGAACAATGATAAAAGTAGAAACATTTACTCAAAAAAAATTAATTATGGATCTTTTGGCGATCGAAAAATTTTGATTATGTAGTAAAAGTTTTATGTGGACAAAAACCCTATTTTCATACTTTTCGTTCCAAATATGTGAAATGTTTCCATTCTAAAGGCACATGCAAAATATTTTTAATCCAAATAATAATCTTTTTGTTAAATATGCGCTTTTTCAAAGTTTATTCTATTTACCCTTTTGTCATGGCAGCCTTATTTGTGTTATTTTTGAGGTATGTGACTTTGTGCCCCAAATTCCCTCACAAGACATCAGTCAATCCCAAAAATTATTTTTTTTAATTTCAGATTCGACAAGTCCTCAAACCTCGAACCCTCCATCAACACCATCCAAGAAAAAGTCGATGTTAAGTTGGCTGCCATGTTGTTCGAGTATAGCCGGAAACTCGAAAGATCAGAAAACTGTGACAGAACGAAGGCTTCGAGCTAACGATCGAGCATATAATTCACAATTCAAATATGCAGATAATTTGATCAAAACTTCAAAATACAATGCAATCACTTTTGTTCCTCGAAATTTAACTGAGCAATTCACTCGAATAGCCAATGCTTATTTTCTAATTTTAATGATTTTACAATTTATTCCTCAAATTTCTTCTATATCATGGTATTCGACTGCAGTGCCATTATTTATTGTTTTAGCATTTTCAGCGATTAAAGATGGTTATGATGACGTGGTAAGTTGTTTTTTCGGTTTTTGATGTGGTTCTCACAGAGCACATTTTTTGTTGAAAAAATATTCGTACACAAATAAATAAATAAATATACTGTGATTTCCCACAGCAACGACATATTTCCGATCGTCGTGTAAATGGTCGAAAATCATATGTTGTTAGGAATGGAACACTTTGTGAAGAAGAATGGAGCAATGTAAAAGTTGGAGATGTTATTCGAATGATGTCTAATCAATTCGTCGCTGCTGATCTATTACTTATCTCAACTTCAGAACCTCACGGAATGTGTTATATTGAAACTATGGAACTTGATGGTGAAACAAATTTGAAGACTCGAGGAGCTATGACAAATACTGCTTCTATGGGTGATGATCTAGATTTGATAACAAAATTTGACGGGGAAATTGTGTGTGAACCACCGAATAATAAATTGGATAAGTTTCAAGGAAAACTCATTTGGCAAAATCAAGAATTTGGAATTACTAATGAGAATATTCTTTTGAGAGGTTGCATATTGAAAAATACCCGGTGGTAAGATTTTTTCATTCAGAGATTTATTGTTTATTATCAACGATGAAAAATGTGGCAGCTCGTAAATAGAAAATTAGCGCCGATGAAAAAAATAATTCAATGTTTCTGGGGCGTTGAAAGCGCTGCGTGAGAGCGTTGCGGTTGGAAAAAAAAATATTTTGAATTTTCATGGAATTGATCAATGAAAATTTTTGATCTACTCTCCCATGTGTCTAAATCTCTCAAAACGACTCAATATTTCTTGATCAAAATAAAAACACTTGCGTTGCCGTTCTTTTGATTCGTCATCCAACCGCAACGCTCTCACGCAGTGCTTTCAACGCCCCAGAAACATTGAATTATTTTTTCATCGGCCCTAATTTTCTATTTACGAGCTGCCACATTTTTCATCGTTGATAATACTAAAACATTGAATTCAGGTGTTATGGAGTTGTTGTGTTTGCTGGAAAAGATACAAAACTTATGATGAATAGTGGAAAAACCAAGCTGAAAAGAACATCATTGGATAGATTTCTTAATATTTTGATCATGGGAATCGTACTGTTCCTAATCGCAATGTGTCTAATCTGCACCATTCTTTGTGGAGTTTGGGAATATACTACCGGTCGATATTTTACAATTTATTTGCCTTGGGATGATGTTGTGCCTAGTCCAGAAGAAAAAGGAGCGAGACAAATTGCATTGATCGCATTTCTCATGTTTTTCTCTTATATAATTCTATTGAACACAGTTGTACCAATTTCATTATATGTCAGTGTTGAGATTATCCGATTTATTCATTCTTTATGGATTAATTACGATCAACAAATGTATTATGAAAATGGTGAGAAAAGTGTGGCCGCCAAAGCGCATACAACAACTTTGAATGAGGAACTTGGACAAGTTCAATATGTGTTTAGTGACAAAACAGGAACATTGACTAGAAATATTATGACTTTTAATAAATGCACAATCAATGGAATATCCTATGGCGATGTTTATGATAAAAAAGGAAATGTGTTAGAGGTCAATGATGTGAGTTCACTTCTAAATGTTGCATTAAATATAATCCGTTTCTTTTTTCAGAAATCCAAACCAATTGACTTCACCTGGAACCCAATGTCTGAAACATCTTTCATGTTCTACGACCAAAATCTTGTTGATGCAACAAAACGGAAAGTTCCGGAAGTTTGCATGTTTTGGAGATTGTTAGCACTTTGTCATACAGTAATGCCAGAAAGAGAAAAGGGTCAATTGATCTACCAAGCTCAATCTCCAGATGAAGCTGCTCTAACATCTGCTGCTAGAAATTTTGGATACGTCTTCCGTGCCAGAACACCACAAAGTATCACAATCGAAGTTATGGGTCAAGAAGAAACTTATGAATTGTTGTGTATTTTGGATTTTAACAATGAAAGAAAACGAATGTCTGTTATTGTTCGAGATAATCAAGGAAAAATCAGGTTGTACTGTAAAGGCGCAGATATGATGATTATGCAGAGAATAAAATCAACAACACCTTCGATTCTACGAGATTCCACAACAACACATCTCGCTGATTTTGCCAATATTGGGTTAAGAACTTTGTGTTTAGCCTACAAAGATATCGATTCGAGATATTATGAAGATTGGTCGGTATGTTTCAAAATTCACATCGAAATTTCCACGAAAATTTTTCAAATTTTTCAGAATCGTCATCATCAAGCCTCTTTGGCAATGGAAAATCGTGATGCTAAACTTGATGAAATCTCGGAAGAAATTGAAAAAGATATGACACTAATCGGTGCCACTGCAATTGAAGACAAGCTCCAAGACGGCGTTCCCGAGGCTATTGCCAGATTATCTGAAGCTAATATCAAGATCTGGGTTCTTACTGGCGATAAAACCGAGACAGCCATCAATATTGCATATTCCTGTAGATTACTAACTGATGAAACCAGAGAAATTGTAGTTATTGATGCTCAAACCGAACCAGAAGTTGAAGTTCAACTCAAAGACACTCGAAATACTTTTGAAAATATTTTACGAACGGTGAGTAGTACTTTTTGAGTACAAATAAATGATTTTAAAAAATTCATAAATACCTGTTGAGAAACAGAAACCATCCACAATACGAAGGAGCAGTTTGATAGACACTTATATAAATGAAATTATAAAATTGTTAGATGAGGTATTTAGAGCTAGGATTTAAGTTTGGCTGATGTTTAATGAGTTTCTAATTATTACTAGATGCATGATTCAATTAGAAATATTTAAGATTCAAATTGATTCAAATTTACAGCCAACGTCTCCTGGAACCAAACCCCACATTGATATTCAAACAATTCACGAGGATTCTGAATTCACATCGTCGGGTTCTGCTCGAAGTATGGATAGGAATATAAAATCGCCAGTGGATTTGGAAAACTTGGAGCATCAAGATGGTAATGGCGGAGTTGCTTTAGTTATCAATGGAGACTCATTGGCATTTGCCTTGGGTGCAAGATTAGAGAGAACATTTTTGGAAGTTGCTTGTATGTGTACAGCTGTGATTTGTTGTCGAGTTACACCATTACAAAAAGCGCAAGTAGTCGATTTGGTGAAACGAAACAAAAAAGCTGTCACTTTATCAATTGGTGATGGGGCAAATGATGTTAGTATGATCAAGACTGCGCATATTGGTGTAGGAATTTCTGGTCAGTGAATTTATATATATTTTTTGGAAAAAAATATCGAGTTTTTGTAGGTCAGGAAGGAATGCAAGCAGTTTTGGCGTCGGATTATTCAGTGGGACAATTCAAATATTTAGAAAGACTTTTGCTGGTTCACGGAAGATGGTCGTATATTCGAATGGCCAAGTTCTTGCGTTATTTCTTCTACAAAAACTTTGCATTTACTCTAACCAATTTCTGGTATTCATTTTTTTGCGGTTATTCAGCACAAACTGTTTTCGATGCAGTTCTAATTGCTTGTTACAATTTGTTTTTCACAGCTCTTCCAGTTTTAGCTATGGGATCTTTAGATCAAGATGTTGATGATGCCTATTCGTTACGGTAAGTAAATTTAAACTCTAATCTTTCAATTAAATTATACGAAACAATTTTCAGTTACCCAAAACTCTATCTACCTGGACAGTTCAATTTATTTTTCAATATGCGCATTTTCATATATTCAGTTCTAGATGGAATGTTCAGTTCACTTGTGATATTTTTCGTGCCTTACGGTGCATTTTATAATGCGGCTAGTTCATCGGGAAAAGATTTAGACGATTATGCGTCACTTGCGTTCACAACCTTCACTGCTTTGATTGTTGTTGTTACCGGACAGGTGAAAACTTAAGACTTAGATCTGAAATTGACACATGAATAATTTCAGATTGCTTTTGATACCTATTATTGGACAGCCATCAATCATTTTGTTATTTGGGGAAGTCTTGTTCTATACTTTTTCGTTGTTTTCTTGATTTATGAATGGCTTCCGATGTCTTGGGTTCTCAAAACATCCTCCTCAATATCATACGGTGTTGTATACAAAACAATGGTCACTCCACATTTCTGGTTTTCAATTCTCATGGTTTCTGTAGTGTTACTCCTTCCCGTCATGCTCAATCGATTCTTCTGGTTAGACACACATCCATCGTTCGCAGATCGGTTAAGAGTTCGAAGAAAAATGGGAAAATCTGCAACAAAGGAGGAAAAGAAACCGCAATTCAAACGAACTGCTGCGACGAAGCGAAGTATGCGCGGATCGTTACGAAGTGGTTATGCATTTTCGCATTCGCAAGGTTTCGGAGAGCTTATTCTCAAAGGAAAACTTTTCAAAAATGTGGAGCAATTACGAGGACGTGGTTCAGGTTCCAAAATTCATCCGCAAGATGATGCCAAGCCACCACTTCTTTCATCTGTGCCAAAAGTGAGTTCCCCACGTCATAGCTATGAAGCAACTTTAATCCAAATTTTTTTTGCAGGACTTCCAAGGCTCCTCAACAAACCCTCCAATGTCTCTCCCCATCGGGGAACACAATCTAAACGTCAACACCGAAGATTGGTAAGCCACCTTGAAATTCTTACATCAGGTTAAAAACTTCTATAACTGTGTGAAGTACCTCCTCTCTAACTATATCTATAGCTGTAGTAATACTGTATAATAGGTCTCATAGCGAAAATCGTCCATCATATGTCAAAGAAGCGCCGACGCCGTATCAGGGAATAATTCTACGCGGTGATGGTCAACGAGTTCGTCCAATTCCAAAAATCATTACAGAGGTTTGATGTTGTGTGTTGTGTGGCTTTCATTTGTTTATTTACATATGTTAGTGTTTGTTTTTTCTCAGTTTCTGCTTACCTTTTGTTGAGGCTGATTTTTAATTTTGAAATTATATCAATTTTAAAAACTTACAGGAATTCGAACAACAACCAGACGTGATAATTGAACGGATGTGATCTTTGTAAATACCGCCATTTAGGCACCAATTCAAATTTATTTCACTTTACATTTTTTGTTAGCTTAGTCGGCTTTTTCTGTGATAATGGGTAACTTTTTCGTGTATGAATCAATTTTTGTTAAATGAAACTTTTGTAATGAAAAATTCGTACTGTTTTTGCAAGCAATGAAAAATAATATTTTCTCACCTCCTTTTCCCATCTCCAAATTTAGTAATACAAATAATAACAATAGTCAAGATGTGTGCTTTCTTCGAGAAGAAGAAACCCTCTCAAAAAGGTGCTCAAATTCTCACTTGTCCTCCTTTCTCCTTTCTTCTTCTTCGCACTTTTACTTATTTTTGAAATGCAATATTATTCGATATTTTTGATCTATCTTAAAATTGCCACTGTTTTGTGTTATTTTTGGAGTGATGTAGATCGGTGAGATTTTCAAAACCTTCTAGAATCGTTCCATTTTTCGTATGTTTCAGAACAACATCACAACCTTCTGCTCCTTCAAATCTCGGATGTTTCATGTGCACCCAACTTCTATCCGTGACAAAACATCGAGTCGGTTTATCTGAAAATCAGTTACGTAATCAGCTCTACGAAAAATGTCGAGTTCTTCCAAGTGTTTTCAAGGTTCGTCTCAATTTCTGAATGTCGACAAAAAATGTTTTATAGGATGATTTACAGGACCAGTGTTTCACATTCGTTGAAACTTCTTTACCTGAAATCTACTTCTCTCTAAACTACGATTTATCTTCAAAAGATGTTTGTGTACGTCTCAATTTTTGCGAGGAAACAAATCCATTTGCTGTCGGAGGACCTTTACCACCAATTGAACCCGAAACTTATTCAACAATCTTGACTAGTACAACTAGAACATCAACATTGCCATCAACTACAACTTCTACAACATCAGCTCCACCATCCACCACAACCACAACAATTGCACATACTGATAGAATTGGTCATAAAAATGTGCTCGAAATCCTCCTGCCTTCTGGGCTCAACAGAAATTCTATTGAAGTTGAGACAACTCAAAAACCTGAAATTGTGGATGACAAACGGATGACTTGCGAATTCTGTGAAAGAATGTTAGAAAATGCCAAAGATTATGCTGTAACTTCAAAAGTAATAAAAATAATCAAAAAATTGAAAATAAAAATCGCTAAGTTTTCAGGCTGACATAACATCCTTTGCAAATTCCGCATGCGCTTCTCTACCCAAAGGTCGAACTTCAGATCAATGCTATCAAATGGCGGACAAAAAGATAGCCGAACTTGCCAAATTTGTTGATCAACAAGTTGTTGATGCATTGTGGTGTGCGGAAGTTAATCGATGTTAGGCAGGGAGAACTTTTGTGTTTATTTACTTAATTTGTTTTTTGACGAAAAAACTATTATGACAATATATGTTTGTGTGTTTTAAGAAGTGGGTGGCAGAAATAATGTTGCCCTTTAAATGTGGATGTTTGAAACTGAACTTTGTTTTATGCGACTTTTGGAATCGTCGAAATTTTGTCCAAAATTAAATCTTAATTTTTGCGCCGAAAGTTCCTTCCAGCTTTTTAAGATTTTCAGATGACACGTGGCATAAAGTAGGTTGTTGCCACGTGAATATTCAAGAAAAAATCAGCTATTTTATCCACGTGTGCATAACTAACAAGAATTCCCCACCTACAACTTTCAAAAACCTTCCCTTTGGAAACTCACAACAATAACCTCCCTTCAAAACTCCTTCGGTATTCGATTCTTCTTTTTGATTCTGATGCATCGCTCGAAACTCAAATCGATCCTCTGATATAAATACATCCTAGTGTCACAAAGTTCATTCACGACCTCGTTAATTATTTCTTTCGTTTCCTGGAATTTATTTTCTACTTACTTTGATACTTCGATAGTCCATTATTCGAGCGTGTAGCTGTGGACTAGATGTTTCCAGGAACTTCTTGATCTCGCCAATGTTCATTCACGACCTCGTTAATTATTTCTTTCGTTTCCTGGAATTTATTTTCTTCGTTTTAAAAACCATGTGTGGGACGAACAAATAGAGAAAACGCGAGAGAAAAAACACCGAAATTTAAATTCCTTATTAAATTTCGCGGTAATTACAGTTTCGCGGCTTTTTCTTTCGCACTCTGCACGCTCTCTCTGTCTCTATTTGTTCGCCCTGAAACGAAGTGACCCAGCGAAAAAAACGAAAAATGAAAATATTCTCGTGTTGCGCTAAACAGCGGGCAAGCCGGAGTGTCGTTTTTTTTTTGAAAATTCACACAAAACGCGCCAGCAGCAAAACACTGACGTCTTTTTTATTGGTGCATAACAGATTTTCATTTTAATTTTTTTCAAAAAACTCAGAGAAGTTGGACGATTAATCGCCTAGTAACTTGAATTAGCTGCTGGCTAACCGATTAATCGCCTGTGTTAATTTAGTTCAGGCGATTAATCGTAAGTTCACTTTACTCGGCGATTAATCGTCCAACTTCTCTGAGAAGTTTAGAGTTTTCCTCGAAAAAAAACTCACAATGTTCCTAAACCTAAGACTTCGAATTTTCGAAGAATATTTATTGTATTGGTTATTATTTCCTGCTCGATTCCCCCGGTCCGATACCAAATTTGCCAAAGAAAAATGAGACAATTTGTTGCTTCGGGTAAATACTAAAAATGTCCAATTTTCAATTTTTTTCTTCTCAAGTAAAAAAAATAGAACACGTTTTCAAATCTCGAAAAAAAACTTCATTTTTATTGTTAAACATTTTTGAAAACAACATGGAAATTTTATCACTGTTAATTGTAAGTGAAAATTATTAAAGAGACATAGTTAATGTAAGATTGAATATATTTTAGGCATTCGTTTTTCGAATGGTCATGGTTTTGCTGATTTGTGCCAAGAAAAAAAAGAGATCGAAAATGTTATTAAGAGAGGGGTAAGACAAATTTCTATTACAAAATTCAACAAATATTCAAATAGCGTCATTTCCAAATTAAAGAACTCTCTAAAATGACTGAAAATTTACAATCTGATAACCTTGAGAGAATGTTCCAAACACCAAAAATCTTGGAATTCAAAAAAAAAACAGAATCTTTTTTGGAACTTTTTTCCCGAAGTTATCAGTAAAACATCCTTCTGCTTTTTCAAAAACTCAAAAGGTTCATTCGTTTTTTTAAATCTCAAGTTCGTATCTTGATAAATCGACATCGAAAAACTCGAAATCGGTTGAGACGCCAAAGAAGGTTCAAATCAAGGAACAATCGGAAGATGATAATACAGTGTATATGGATAAAACTTATCGAATGGATAATATTGAAGATAAGAGAAATCCGGAGAAAAAATGAATTTTTTTTGATTTCCAATATTTGAAGAGTCATCTGGAACAACAGATTTTCATTAAAATTCAAATTCTAAATTTCACGTAGCCTACATTTTTTAAAAATACGTATTCATTTTCAAATTTTTATTTCTATTTTTATCATTTTTGAAAACAACATGACAATTTTATCAGTATTCCTGTTAACTGTAAGTTTTGATCCCGAAATTACATAATTTCAAATATTTTGTTTCAGATTTGTATTTTTCAAATCTCTTCATTAATATTTTGTATCAAGAAAAAGCGACGGGTTGTAGATGTATTAAGTTCGTATAAAGACAAATCGGAAGTTGAAGTCAAAAAAGAAAAAGATTCAAAAACAAAAACGAATTCGGCTTCGGCTTCGGCTTCGACCGCTCCAAAATCATTTGAGAAAACTCAAACCAACACAGAGAAAAAGACGAGCGAAAAAGAAAAAAATAAATCAGTGGAGGATGATACTTTGGATACGATTGAAAGTCTGAAAACTGATAAGGATGAGAAAACAAGAATATAAACAAAATTAGAAAAATGAAATTATTTTGTTCGATTGAAGTGTTTTCAAACTAAATATTCTTTATTTCTAGTCCAATTAATTTAAAATGATGCAGAAAAACCCATAATTATATACAACACCAGCTTTTTCCTTTGACATTTGGTTCCATGTCTAATTTCAGAGCGTTTTCCAAATGATTGTCCTCGCGGCGTTGTAAACATCTGAAAAGTTTTAGATTGTTTCAGAAGAAGATTTATAACGTGGCAAACTTTTGGGGTTTTTTCATTCTAAAATTCTTTTAGAAGAACTTTCCCACGTCATAGCTCATTTTCAAAACTTGACAAAATTTGACAATAATCAAAAACTACATGATTTTTTGGAAAGTCTTTTCACTTACTCAGCCATTCTTCTCATACACGAATCAATTCCATATCCCGTGTAAGCACTTGTCTCAAAAAATGGAATATTGAATTCTCGAGCCAATTTATCACCAGCTTTGTAAACTGAACTTCTTGTCAAATCGCTTCCAAATAAATCGACTTTATTTCCTACCAAACACATTACACTCGATTCATCGACGCCCGCTTGAACTGACGCGATCCAATTTCGAACATTTAGGAAACTTTGTTCCGAAGTCACATCAAACATCAGTACAACTCCGTCGGCTTTTCGGAAATATTGTTTGGTGATTGATCGGAATCTGGAAAATGGACAATGTTTTCAGAAAATGACACTGCGCGCGAAAATAGTACCGTACCTTTCTTGTCCAGCCGTGTCCCACAATTGCATCGCAATTGTTCTTCCTGGATGAATTTTCATCGTTTTCACAGTGAAATCCACACCAATTGTAGCATTGAACAAAGGTTTGAAGCGGTTGTGACAAAATCTAAAGAAAAATTGATACTTGATTAACCAAGTGGTTCAGAAAATCTTTAGAAAAATATATTTAGTTTGAAACTACGTCGAAAAAAATTAACCAACCTGTGTAAAAAGCAAGTCTTCCCGACCGCCGAATCGCCAACAAAAACAACTTTGAAAATGCGATCAGGTTGGGCTAACTCTTCTTCAAATTCATCAACTTCTTTAACACTTTCTAAACCTTTTTCAGCTGCTGTTAATTCGTCGGCTAATGAGGAGATTTTTGGAATGTAGGGCTCTTGAATTGGTCGGAACAGTGGTTTCTGATATGAAAGAAAGTTATGGATTACTGTAGTTGTTTTTGTATAGAACATCAATATCATGTTAATTTTTCAACCCAATAACTCACTTTAATAACAATTTCCTGTGTTTCCAATTGACTTTCCTCATATTTTTTGATTTCTTCGAGTTCTTTTTGCAACATTTCAGTAACCGGGTCTTCAATAAAACTTTTCTTTTTTTCAATTTCCTTCATTTCATCTTCCAAACTTTTTGATTCATCGTATTTTATAATTTGAGTTTGGCTAACTATTGCTTTCAGAATCCGACAAAATGCAGATTCGTTGATTTTTTGATCACCGATGAATTTTTTGAGTCGAAGAAGATCGTCGGGTGGAATTAGGTCGGATAAATTTGATAAATCAGACTGAAATTTTTTATTTTGAGTTATAGAGGGAATTTGGGATTTATGATCTTTTAGAGTCTATTTTTGTGTTTTAGGCGATCATAAAAAATTTCCGAACAGCAATGAAAATGTGAATAATAACTCGTTGATACATTTTTTGTTTACAGTTATTTAAAAGAAATTTATAGTGCGAAATTGTAGTTTTCATTCATTAAAATATTCTTGATTAACTTGAGAATGAAAAATGAAATGTTAAAAATCACAAGTTCCCTAAGGGACAACAAAAAACATACAACAATTTCAAACAAAAACACTTACATTTGTCACAAAACCCAAATTTTGGGTATCACACAATTTGAACAATTTTCGTGTCTGAAAGAACATGTTTAGCCAAAGGGGTAATTATTATGTCAAAAATATACCTGCTCGTGAAAAATCGATTCTTCAGATGAGGAATTCGAGTGTGGGGAATCCATTTTTGAAGTTTTTGTTGAGCTGGAAAAATTTGGAATTCTTGAAACTGAAGAGTTGTTTTCATTCTGTTGGAAAGAAGTTACAAAAATACTGTCCAAAGAAAAAAATCTAAAAGATCAATTTTCGAAATTCCCATATTTTTTTTTTGAAAACATGTGTTATGCCACGTGGATTTTCTGAACTAAGAATCTAAAAATTTAAATCTTGGGAATTTCAAAAAATTCCAATAAAATTAACAATAAATTTTCCGAAATTCTCAAAAATTCTCCACAAAAGCCAATAAAAATCTCGCGCTAAAAAATATAAAAAAGACCAAAATGAAGAATAATTCAATTCAATTTTTTGTGTGTGTCGTTTTTTTCGCCCCCAAAAAAATATTGCAAAATCGATATAAAATTGGATGGCAAAGCTGAACAAATGGCAAAATAAATGTTTCACACGATTAATAAATCGTATTTTCAAATAAAATGAAAATTTGTGGAAAAAATTAACCAGAAAGCCCATTTTTCAGCTAACCAGTTTATTGGATTACAAACATAAGGGACACTGAAAAAAATGCGAATTTTTTTTGGACAAAAAAATTAATGAGGTTTTTCTTTTTCTCAACCCAAGTGATTGATTTGAAAATTTTCTCTGGTTGGAAAAAAACAATTTTTTGGTTGAAAAAATAAATTGAAATGAAATGAAATGTCAAAAAAGGAAAGGAAATTTGAAGCCTCGAAATTGAAAAAAAACGAGTGTTTTGTTACAATTTGTCATGTTTGTCTATATGAAGGATAATCTCAAAAAACCCAAAAAAAAACATATAAAAAAGTATAACTAAAAGTCAGTCATATGTTTTATTTATTCAGAAAAAAAAGAAAGATGAAAATTTTTTCGTGGAATTTAAATAAGATGAGATGGACTGGAATAATTAAGATGATTCGAATTCTCCAGAGAATTTGGGTTATACTGTAGATTTAATCTTTGAATTTTCAAATGCCTCTTATTTCCCAGTCATTGTGCAATGGAGCGAATTTGCGTTCTTTAGGAAAGAGAAACGTCGAGTGTGGCCTAGGAATGTGCTGTTTTTCTAGGCCATGTTTGCCCATTTTTCATTTTTTTTTCTGCGTTTTTTCAAGTTTTTCAACGTTTTCAGACATGTTTCGAACGTCGGGGAGGATAAAAGAGTTGGCAAAAGTGAGCAAAAGATGGGCAAGTTCAAGTAAACTTATTGTAAGTTTTTAAAAATCCCGGAATATCGGATAGAAAACATTTATCAGGTGACTCCTCAATGCCACCAACAAAAACGTCAAATTCTTTTCAAAATGGGAAATGATACACCGAGTCGAATTGTTGGATATTATGTGGTTTTTCCGGTGATTCCTGATGAAAGTGTGGAGAACAATAATTTCATGTATAATATTTCGAAAAATGAAGATTGGCCGAAACTTTCGAGTTCAACGCCTAAAGAAATGTACGAAGGAACTGTGAGAATGTTGATGGATTATGGAGCGACTGTGATGGAACACATGGAACATCTAGCAACGTGTGAGGCTTTTAATTTCAGTTCAGTTTCTGAATAATCAAAAATAATATTGATTTTTCCTACAGTGCCCGCGGAGGAAAGAACATTTCAAAATGTTGTTGAGCCATTGCTAACTGAAGAGTACGAAATCAACTATGCTTTTCAAACTCTGATGTTGAAAATGCTCACAGATTGGCCGGATTTTGATCGAAAATTGTTTGACGCAGATCTTCATCACATTAAAATCATGTGCGCGAGAGATCAGATGGAGAAATTGACGAATATTAATTTCCAAGAGGCTATCAAGCAACTTTACGAAGCTAAAGATGGGCTAACTGATTGGCAATCAAGATTGCTAGAATGGTATTTGTTAGAAATCAAGGCTAGTGGTTTGGATAAACATGATGAAAAAACGAGGAAATTGTTGGGATCTTGGTCGAAATTTATTGATGAATATAGAAGTAAATATATGTGAGTTTTTCAGGGGATTTTTCGAGGATGGAAATTTCAGCCGCCAAAATGTTTCTCTCTAAAAAACCCAATTTTTCCAGCACTGGCGTAATGTCAACCAACGATCAACAAACCTTTGTGATCAACGATAAAAAAGTGATCAAAGATGCTCCACCACATGTTCTTCAAAAACTCGCCGTCGATGAATCAAATTGGGAAACTGGGCCATGGCGCGGAAGAATGACTCCTCATACAATTTTCCCATTTATGCAATATTGCGGTGATCGACAATTGCGACAAACTGCTTGGGAAAAATGGACAAGTAAAGCTGGATTCGATCATGATTTCTATAATAATTCGATTAATATTGAGGAGTTGCGACATAATAAGTAAGGTTTTGGGGAGGGGGCTGTTAATCATTCTGAAAATGTCTTTAATGTCAGTCTTTTTTCAGCGAAGGTTTGGCCAAAACATTGGGATATTCATCGGTCGCTGAACATCGCTTGTCTAACAAAATGGCTGCCTCACCGGAAACTGTTAGAGGATTTATCAATGCGTGAGTTTGGGCCTAAAAACGAGCTTATACTTGTGAAATAATCAAAAAGTACCTAAAAATCATCTGAAAACTCTTTCAGTTTAACTCGTCGAATTCGACCAGTGGTTATTGATCGAATGTTATCCTGGAGCGCATTTGCACAAAGAAGCGAATTATTGATTGGTGATTTGCAAGCTTATGATATGTCATATATTTGTAGAAAAGAAGCCGAACAACATTATGAGTGGGTTTTTATTTTTGGGAAAAAACTGTTCTAAATGAAGAATTTCGACGAATAATCCTGCAACAATTAAAACTTTATATTTCCAGTGTTGACCCAATCGATCTAATGAATCATTTCCCATTCTGGCCGACTTTCAATAATTTGGTTCAACTTGTTGGTCATATTTTCAATTTGGAATTCAAAGATATCACAGAAAAAGCCGGATTAGAGAAAGCGAATCAAGAAGCTCGAATTTTTTCGGTCGATGATAAGTTTAGTGGACAACATTATGGAAGACTATATATTGATCCGTATGATAGACAAAATAAACGAGGAGGATGGAATACAATGTTGGCGAGACGTGGGTTGATTTTGAAGAGAAATTTCATATTTCAATTTCAATTCTTTTTTTTTTTCATTTCCAAAAAATTCCTAATTTTTTAGCCGAATCAAAAGAACGTGGTCTTGACAAAATTGTATATCTGATTGGTTCTGCAATTGCTCCAACCACAGACGGACCATCAGTTCTTCATCATCAACAACTTCAACAACTTTTGTTCCATGTGAGTTTAAAGCCTTCCTTCCGTTTCCCCAAAAACCTATAATTCCAGTTTGGTCGAAGTGTTCAATTATTGTTGTCTCAATCACCATATCGTGATATCGCAATACCATGGACTCCATTTTATGCGAGTGATTGGGATTCGGCAGATATGTTCCCAACTTTCCTTCAACATTTTATTTATAAACCAAATTTGTTGACTTCACTTAGCAGCCCGCATATTGTAAGTTGTTTTCCACGGTTTCTCCAATGTTTTCGAAAATGTATTTGCCACGTCATAAATCTCAACTCGCATTTTTTCAGAAAACCAGTCAAAATTTGAGTGAAAGTCAGGCGAATAGTGTAGCGTTGGCCCTTTCTCGTGCCTCACTTTGGGATACTTATCGAACTCTTTTCTGGTCAGATTTCGATTTGAGTATTTATGAAATGGAGGATCGCAAACAGAAATTCTGGTTGGATATGTACAAAGAAATGTATGCCGAATATTTTCCATTCAAACGCGCCAAAAATGACTATCAACCTTGCTCGTTTACACCAATTTTTGCACTTCAACCACATATGGCAATGTATTATCGAAAATTGTGGAATGAGGTGAGTTAGGGGAAGTTTTGGGAAATTTTCATACATGGAAAACTTTTTGCCACGTGGATTTTTATATGTGAAAATGACAATTTGTTTTGAATTTATCAGTTTCCACGTGTGATTTTCAATGCCGAATTCGAGAGAGAAAAAATCAGATTTTGTTTTGAATCGGCCTATTTGATTCCCCTAAAAATCCCAAATTTTCTTGCAGATGTTAGCCCTTGACATCCACGAAACATTCGACGCCGAAGACGACGAAATTCAAACCGGCGAACGCCTGAAAACAACACTTCTCCACAGTGGTTCAGGTGATGTTGCCAAAGAACTTTTCCGCCGATTCCAAGGTCGAAATCCGTCAGTTGGAGCTATTTGTGATTTTTATGCTCCACCAATGTCGATTATAGAAGAAGAATCTGAAAAAGCTGATCATTCATAAATTTGAGAGATTGAAGCTTGCAAAAAAATCGGGTGTTTTTTGTGTAGTTTTTTAGAAGTTAGGATGTTTTTTTTCTTGTTTTTTTTTGTTAATTTTCAGTTGAATAATATATTTTTGACAATTTTTAATGGCATTTCGGACGAGTTTCGGGTTGAAAAATTCCTAGCTTTTATTTTACATTAATAAAAAAACAAAATTTCGGTAAAAATCGATATTTTTGCAGATGGCTGCTGTTTCGACGACAAATTCCACGTCAAATAGTGGTACTGTAGAAACTACAGTAGTCGATGAGATTCCAGATTCGCTCAATCAGATATTGTTGATGATTGTCAAAAACTTTTTCTCGAATGTGAGTCATTTTCTGAAGTTTTAATCAATATTTTTTCGGAATTTGAAAAAGAGTTAAATTTGATCACAAGTGATCTGGAGTTCGCTACTAAAAAACTAGTTAGTCAAAAATCTCAAGTGGAAGTCCCAAAAAGAACTAAGATTTTTATTACAGGAGCACTATCTAGTTGTATATTATATAATGCGAGCCGAATGTATTCGTGAAGAAAATCTAAAATCTCGCCTTAACTTCGATCAAAAACAATTACGACAACTTCTGGCAACACTGAAAGCTGAAAAATTGGTGAAAGAACGACTTTTTTCGCAGAAAAATGAGAATGGCAGAAATGTTTCAATCATTTTTTATTTCATCAATTATCGATCGGTTTTGAATGTGTTGAAGTATAAAATTGATCATATGAGGTGAGGAAAGGCCGGGAATTTTGAAGGGAACATCATATTATCAGTCAATTTTGTTTTGCTTAAAATAATGTTCCGAAAATTAACTTCACGAATATCAATTTCAAAAGAGTTAGTCTAACTTTACCAAATCATAAGCATAGTTTTTTCAGACAAAAATTGGAATCTCGCGAGAAAAACGACACAAACAAGGCGCATTATAAATGTCATAATTGTTGTAGTACATATGATGTGAGTTTTGAAATTTGGAGGAACTTCAAAAATCTGAAATTCTTTAATTTTTGTAGTCTTTTTGAAAAATTTTTAGTTAGAAAAATGGTAAAATCGAATCTTACTCATATTTAAGCAAGAAAGGTTCCAAATTATTATTTTCTATATTAGCTTCAAAACTTCCCCTAAAATTCAATCTTCAGATGTTAGAAATCAATGGAATTCTCGATTTTGCAACTGGTCGCCTAACTTGTTGGAGATGTCAAGGAGAAGTTCAAGTCGATGAATCTCTAGCTCCATCGCAATTAACCAGAACTGCTGTGGCTAGATTTAATGAGCAAATGACCCCATTATTTTCGAGAATTCAAGAATTGAATGGTGTTCAATTAGCTCCGCATTTGTTGGAACCAGATATTACCAAATATTTGGAAGATGATCGAGGTAAATATTTGTGTCGAAATAAGGGTTTTCAATGCGTATCATTGCTCATGTTAGAGAAAAATGCAGAAAATTATATCCACAATAATCCTGAATTTCTTGCAGCTCGCGAACTTCAACTCCAACAACAATCAATGGATTTTACATCAAATGGTGGTGGAAATCGCGTTGCTCTTGGAGCAGTTGCTCATTCTTTCCAAAATGCTTCGACTTTGAATTATCAACACGGTGATCAAATTACTGTCGATTTGAATGCTGATATCAATAAGTAAGATTTTTTGAAGAAAAACTGGATTTTGTAGTGAAAACCAAAAATCTTGAGCCTAAATTGCTTGTAGTCTTCCTAAATCTATTTCTAATATATCGATTTTTCAGCCGGCCTGTTGAAGAAGCAAAAGCTATCCCAATGTGGTTGCAAGATAATGCGATTGGTGGAGATGTTAGTCACAATGAACAAGTTTTGAGTCAAGTGTGAGTTTTTTTCGGGGATTTAAATGAAATATAAACTTTCAGATCAAAAATGTTTCAACTTTAAAAAAGTTATATTTCCAGAAATGAACCTCATTCCTCGGAAACCTCAAATCCTGGATTATCAATTAATCTGCTAGCCGAATTCGAAGGAGTTTCAAAAGAACCAGAAGTCAAAAAATCGAAAACTGAAGATAATTCGGAAGAAAATGGAGAAAAAGAGGAAGAAAATGAAGATGAAGAGGAAGAAGAAGAGGAGGAATTAGAAGTTGGTGGAAGAAAAGTGGCATTCAGTGAAATCACACCGGATATGATTGAAAATGAAATGAGCGAAGAAGAAAGGCAAAAATATACCGAACTTGTACAACAATTGCATGTTTATTGATTTTTCTTCACATTTTTTATGTTTCGAATCAAACCTCACCCAAGACCTGGAATTCCAGGTGGGCAATTTTTTTGGGGTCTTTAAGGCGAGGCTCAGGTGGGCAAAATTTTTTTACTAGGCGGGCAATTTTTTACCCACTTCTCCAGGTTTGTGGGTGAGGTTTGTTTTGAATTTTTTACCTCGGGTTTTTGTCCCAAATGTTGATCTTTTTTATTTTGTGTAATTGAAAATTACTGTCGAAATTTATAAACTTATGAAATTATTTTAAAAAATTGGGAAGTCCCAGAAAGTTCCGAAGAAAATTATTGAAAAATTCAAAATTTCCACTAAAATATATGAAAACACATCATTTCATCCAAAATCTCATTTCAAAAATAATACAAAAAAATCTCACAAATTATCCTTTCCTTTGTGTCCAACTGGTCGACTTCTAAATCTCCAAGTCCATTCAAAATCCACTTTTTCCTTATCCTCCGGCAAATCATATCTTTCCGGATGTTTCAATATCAAATCCACAATTTGTTTTCCCAATTTCTCTTGAAATGTTCCACTAACATCAATATATTTCGATTCATCATAATTCGCGTAATGACAAGAAATGGCTTTTCGGAAACCTGATGAGCGATTTGCTCCCGAGCCATGGAAAAGTTTTGGATGGAAAAACACCGTGTCACCGGCATCCATTTCAACGTATTCACGTGGCGAATTCACGTCATAGTCTTTGATTGCATAATAGGCTTCGTTCACACCACCCTGGAAACATTTTGAATCTTTAGTGGAAAATGGATAGTTGGAATACTTTTCGGGATGACCTGTTTTAAACAATTGTTTGAAATTTGTAAAATGTTTTCCCTAGTTTTTGAAATTTTAAAGAAACAGGTAGATCAAAGATTGCAGAAAATAATTCAATTTTTGTGTTTTGTCATCCAAACCAATCTCACCTCCCAATCTGGATATCCGTGCTCCATCAATTTCCCTTTATGCGTTCCCGGCACCACCGTCAAGCATCCATTTTTCCTCGTAATCTTTTCCATCGCCGTCCACGCACAAATCGTCAAATCCGAAGGTCTCCATGGAAAATATGTCAAATCTTGGTGCATCGGATGTCTCGATGTCAATTTTCCAGTATCTGGTGGTTTATTGATCAACATTGTATGCATCGCTTGAATATTTGTTTGTGGATTTCCGATTAAATCTCGAACAATATCAGTGATTTTTAGATTTTCACAGTAAGAAAATAGGACTGGTTCATCACCGAAATCTTGCAATTTTGTTATCGTAGCGTGGTCTAAAATTAATATTCTTCTATAGTTATATTTCTAAATTTTTCTTACTTTTCTTCTTTCCTTGCTTAGCAAACGACACATCTTTCATAATCAGCATGGTTTTTGGCGGTTTCACTGTTTTCTTGCAAATCTCATTGAATCGTGTCGTGTATTTTGCCAAATCTTCTTGGCTCACACAATTTTTGATCATGATAAAGCCATTTTTGTTGTAGAATTGTTTTTGCTCAAGACTGAGCACTTTTCCGGGAATGGACCAATTTACGCCTAAAAAAAGAAAATAATCATTGTGGCCTAGAATTTTGAGGTGATTTCTCGGCCAAGGAAAAACCTCAAAAATGTTATGTTCGCTCTATTGCGAAAGTTTGAAAACAAAAAAAAAATACAAAAATTGCAGGCCAACCTACAATTTTTGTTCTGGTTTTTTTTTCTAAAGTTATCTGTTTTGAATACCCTGTCATAGTTTGGCCAATGCGCATTCAATTTTTTCTCCTTACCTCCAGCATTTCTCTTCGATTGCAAAACAACTAAAAATCTAGCACTTCTAAGCATTCTAGTATCTCGAATTAAGAAATCCCCACATTTCCAACTCGACCATTCTTCAGAAAAAATTTGAAATGTCACGTTTTATTTTACAAAAATCTCATTATAAAGAGAACAAATTATATGTCATTTTTAAATTTTTTACAAATTCGATCTGGTTCCATTCACTTCTCTCGCACGAACTTTCCAAATATCCGCAAAATCGAGGGTTACTGTATTCGGATCGAGACCATATTTCTTCAAGCGTTTTCTGGCGATCTCAATGATCTCTTCGGCGAGATTTTCTTGAGTTGTTCCTTCGACATTTACATATCGGCAAATATCGTCGTTTGCGTAGTGACACGAAATGGCTTTTCTGAAGCCTTCAGTTCGATTCGCACCAGATCCATGAATTAGAATCGGGTGGAAAAAGACGGTGTCACCAGCTTCCATTTCAACGTGGATTCGAGGCATTGATGGATCGTAGTTCTGAATTCCGTGATAGGCTTTGTTTACGCCACCCTGAATAAAAACTTCAGTCAATGAACTTTTTGAGATAAAGATTTTCGTAACACCCCTACATCAAAAAATTCGACTAACCTCCCATTTGGGATATTCATGTGGCAAAAGTACTCCTTTATGAGTTCCTGGCACAACCACCAAACATCCATTGGCTCGATTGATTCTTTCCATCGCAGTCCAAGCACAACAAATAAAATCAGCGGGTCGGAATGGGAAATATTGAAGATCTTGATGCATCGGATGTCTTGATGTCAATTTTCCATTATCTGGTGGTTTATTGATCAACATTGTATGCATAGCCATTAATGTTGATTTTGGATGTCCGATTAGATCTTTGACAACATCAACGACCTAGAAATTGTCAGGAGATTTTATTATTAGAAGTTAGGTTAATTAGATTTACCCCAGGATATCTGCAATATTCAAAAAGAACTGGATCATCTGCAAAATCTTGAATCTTGGTGATCGCTTTTTCTCCTTCCTTGAATTCCGATTTTGCAATTGATACATCCTTCATAACAGTCATATTTTCAGGCGCTTTCACTTTTTTCTCGCAAATATCTTGAAAACGTTTTCGGAATCTTTCGAGCTCATATTTTGGCACACAATTTCTGATAAGCAAATATCCGTTTTTCTCGTAAAATTGTCTTTGCTCCGAGGATAGAATTGTACCCTCGCGAGTGTAATCAACTACACCACCAGTTAACATCTAGAAAATATTAAAATTATTGATTATTGTCTTATGATATTTAGCTAAAAAAGTGAAAATGATAAATAATAACATTGAAAAATACCAAAAAAAAATTGATCTACCGCTAAGAAATGCAGATCAAAATTAGAGAAATGCCAAATAAATTAGTGAAAAATAATAAGTCAGATGATTTTCTTTTGTCCTCCACACCAAAAAACTAAACTATTCTTGTTATCTTTATAAACTTTTTTCTCTGCGTCTCCATTTTCTCGCTACACAGTACCCTTATCAATTTCTTTCTTGTTATGAATCTCACGTTGCATCAATCAAAACACGTGGAACCTGACCGGTATTCCCCAGAAATTTTATAAAATTCTATGAGATTTTGGATAACAAATTTTTCTCCAGCTGGAATAGTCTAGAGGAGCTTGAAGTCTTGTGGATTTTTTTTTTTTGAAAAATGTTAATGGCAATATAAATGTGTTGTATTCTATTATGAACTTTAAAGTTGTTTGGCAATAAAAATAATTTGAAGTCTACTTAACTTGTAAACAAAGATTGATAAAACAGCTGAAATTTAACTGGGTTAGTTGATTGCATTTTTCTAAATATTTCGGAATTTGAAATATTTATGGAAAATGTATTCTTTATGAATACAGATCAGAATACAAAACAAAATCACAGACATGACAAAAAATCTAATCTGCACTTTGATTTCCTCTTCAATTCCTCGACCAAATTCACTTTTGTCGATGTTTTTCTCAAACAGCATATTTTCTAGTTATAATTAAATTTATGAGCAAAAAAATGATTATTAACCTTTGAAGAAGAAAATACGATAAATAATTTTTTTCCGACAAAAAAAGTTGGTATAAAAATTATCACATTTTTTTCATCTATTCAAAAATTCCCTCAAATTTTTTATCGAATAACTAATTTTCTGGAATTTCTGAATCAAAAAGCGGTTTATTCATGATTCATTAGATCAAAAATACAAAACAAGAATACAAACGTGTATTTCATAAAAATAAAATTGTATGTGCACTTTAAATTCCGTCATGAATCAGTCCGTTGATCGGCACTTCTCGAACCTTCGCTCATATGCACTTTTGCTGTTGGTTTCATCTTCAAAACCTTTCGCAAATATCCAGTGATCGCTTTCCGATAACATTTGATAATAATCATATTTGGAAGAGGGTCAATTGCAGGATAAGCAGCAATTGTATAAGCCACGAAATTAGTTTTGAAAAATAGTTTATATTTGATCATTGGGAATAGGAAAAGTATTCCAATTGGGATATACATCAAAACAAGTGGAATGAATGTTTGGATAACTAACGCGTGAAACAATTGTCTTTGCAAAGCCTTGGTATTCAGGGAAACTGTAGAATTATTTGAGATAGACTTTCTAATTTGAAAATAACACCGAATACCAAAATAGAATACACATAACATTGAGGAAAGAATCATAAACCAGCAACAAGCAATACCTCCAAAAATACTGACATCAGGATGTTCGATGCCTTTATCATCAGGTCTATGAAAAAGAACACAGATATAAGAGGTATCTTTAGCTTCGATCAAATATTCATCAATAAAAGTTTTTCTCATATATTCATCACAAACATCATCGAATCGAAAATAGATATAGCATACCATTGCCCACCAAAAACCATACCACAATGGAATTATGAAAAGTGATATCACTTTTTTGCCCGAAGTAAAACGATTTCCAAATTCGCTAAAAATAAAGAAACACATTTTAAAAATTAAAAAAACCCAAAGTACATATTAACAGCTCCATATCGATATATAAAATGAACTCCAAAAATAGCCATCGAAAATCCAAAACATCCGCAATAAGTTACAATCAAAATGAAACTTTGCTCACGATCAAATAAACCATCTGTAAATTCTCGGAAAACAACAAAAGCCGAGTTATAGGAATGGACTTTCTGTAAAATTTTACTTTTGAAAATTCGATGTTTATTTGAAAGTGTAGGGTGATTGGAAGTACTTCCAAAAAGGAAATAGGTCCAGTTCTGAATTATTTGGAAGTGAGATTTTGTCGGAAATCACATCCTAAAAAATGAAAGAAAAAATTATTCAAAATTATTTTTGATTTGATGTGCCATTTCTCTGAAATGTGCTATGTTTTCTTTCAACTAACCGGTTCACTAATCATATCCCAAACCGAATAAATAAATTCGAAAACACAAATATAAACCATCAAATATTTATATGCGCCCAACTTTTTTGGTGATTTTGTGATAATCAAAAAAATCAATATTGAATTTAAGATAACTGAAGTTGCACAGCATGCAATCTGGAATATTTTCTGGAACATGCTCCAAAAATGTGTATTATCAGCAAGATTGGAATCTGATTCTGCCATTTTTCCTTGCTTACTGATGGGCGGAGCCTATTTCAGAAAGAATAAAAATATGGATAGAATATAGACGTACAAAAAGTGTACACGTTTTGAATAAAGTCTGAACACACAAAATTATTGCAGGGTTGTTTGATTCGATTTCGTTTATATGTAATTATCAATTTTTCAGTCAGCAGGTTTTCTAGCTGTTATTAAATTTCTTCGAAAAAGAAGATGGCTGGAAGTTAAAAATAATATAAGATCTTTGATCGGAAGTAAAAAATACCAAGGGATTCAGATTACTACTAATAATTAGTTATTTTCCAAAATATTCCGGAAAAATATATATAATCTGCAGGGAAAATACTCTTTCATCATCCTAAAGATCTTTGATCAAAATAGGTCAGCTGAGTTCAGCTCCGGCTAGGTCAAACTTGACTCATTTTTTCACCCACACTTTCTAACTGACATCATTTTTTCGAATAAAAACTGATTACTAATCTGAGCATTTCTTATCATTTTTTCTTTCGTTTAAATAGTGAACAAATGATTGAAAAAATGATTGAGAATGTTAATTTTATTATTTATATCATCATTAATTGGGCTGACTTCAGCTCATAAGTGGACAGATCAGCTTGTGCTTCAAAATATTTCTGCAACGTGTTATAATGATACAAAAACTTGGCTCAACTCTTTGGAACTTTTTGGATTAGTCTCAACAGAATGTCTAGTTTCGAAAAACTGTACATCACAAGAGTTGGCTATTTTGAAGGATAATCTTTATGCGGTTCAACGTGAGTTAATTACTTTAATTTTCGAAACTTTATAATAGATATTTCCAAACATTAACTTACAACATGTAATTTTCTATTTATGATATCATTTTCAGAATTAGACGCATTTGGAAAGTTTCCAGTTGCTGGAATTCTTGAAGCTACAGTTCTTTTTGATGGAAGTTATCAAGAATGTCAAAGAATAAGTGATGTTCGTTATAAAACGAACTATTGTTATCTAGTGATCAAACAACAACCTTTTCCTGTGCCTCTTCGATCAGCTATTTGTATGCCTTATTCTTGCAATAGTCAAGACCTGGTAACTATTTTCAATGGATCGTTTTATGATGTGGAAGCCGCTTTTTGCACAGAATATGAAGTTGAAAAGGATACGGCGTTTTGGGTTTACACAGGTTTTTTGATTGCTATAGCCAGTATTGTTATTCTTGCCTCATTTCTTGATTATTTGATACCCGCTGAAAAAAAGAAAACAAATATATTCGCAAGAATTTTGGGTTCATTTTGTCTTTGGGAAAATGCTTCTCAAATTCTATCCGTAAAAGAACAGAAATCTGGATTTATCAAATCACTTGATTGTATTCGTGGTTTATCAATGGCTTGGGTTGTAGCTGGTCATTCTGTATTATATTTTCTTCCACCAACTAATCTTCTACCACTTATTTATATTTATAATAATGTTTGGCATCATTTAATTTTCAATGCAATTCTATCAGTTGACACATTTTTCTTGATTTCTGGAATTGTTGTTTCATATATGTTTTTCAAACAAAAACTTAAACTTGAAGTTATGAAAAGTCCAGTGACGTGGATCATGTTTTATGTTCATCGTTTCCTTCGGTTAACTCCTCCAGTCATGTTGTTTATTGGATTTTTCACAGTCTATTCCGTTTATATTCAAGGACCAGCTTATTCTTCACTAGGAAGTGAGTTTTGCTTTTATACTGTAGATTTGTTCTAAATATCTATATCATTTTCAGATCCACAAATTGGCCAAGCTGACGCATGTAAAACCCTCTGGTGGCACAATTTACTTTATTTTAATAATTTCGACAATCAAGTGACTGGTCAAACTTGTTATGGAATAACTTGGTATCTTGCAACTGACTTTCAAATATATTTAGTTGCTCCAATTTTCATTATTGCTTTTTATATTTCCTTTAATATTGGGTTAATTATAACAACTCTTGGATGTTTGGCAAGTGTAATTACAACTTATGTTATGTTCAGTCTTTATGATATGCCAGCGGATGGAGATTTTAGACAAAAGTGAGTCAAACTAACTAATTATTTATTGTTAGCAATATTTCATATTTTCAGTGGTAATGATAATTTTTTCTTGATTCTGTATCAAAAACCATGGATTCGATGTCCTCCATATTTTATTGGAATACTTGTTGGATATATTTTGACAATGAGAAAACCTAGAATCCCGTGGGCTGTTGCTATTTTTGGTTGGCTCACTGCTTTTGGAATTGCTTGTGCTTGTCTTTTCATAAATTATGATTATGACAAAGGTTCTTATTGGAGTTGGCCAATTCGAGCAACTTTTTATAATTTTTCTCGAATTGGTTGGTCATTTTCAGTTAGTTGGGTTATTTATGCAAATCATTTTGGATACGGTGGACCTGTTAATAATTTCATGTCACATCCAATTTGGCAACCTTTTGGTAGACTTTCTTATTGTGCTTATATTGTTCATTGGATGGTTTTGAGTTATTATTTCAATTTAGGAGAACGTCCACTTTTCTATGTATCATTTTGGCAAATTGTAAGGTTGAAGTTGTATACTAACAGTCCATTTTATAATCATTTTTTCAGTTTTTATATTACGCAATTCCAATCACACTTCTTTCATTTTTTGTTGCATTTTTTGGAGCAGTATTTTCGAAGTTAGCACTGCAAAACTCGAAAAAATGTTATTTGATTCAATTCTTGGAAATAACAAAAAACGAAAACCCGAACCCGTTTCTGAAGATGTTACAAATAAAAATTGGGAATAATCTCTCTTTATTTGTAAATTTTCTTTGATATGAACTCTGAATAAACAATTATTGAAAAACTTGCATGAATAATATTTTTAATGTGTCTAACTTTTTGTGAAAAATGCGATCGTTTTGTGAATTTTATTTTGTCGTTAACTCTTTTTAAAGCCGACATTCTGCAGTTTCAGACCTCAAAATCTCTTATCAATTTTTCAAATGCTTAAAAAGGGAATGAGTGAACGAACATTTTGTTGAAAATGTTTATTTTTATAGTTTTATCAAATATTGGTCTAATTTTTGCTCACGAATGGACAGAAAATCTTGTTCTTCAAAATATTTCTACAACTTGCTACAATGACACAAAAACTTGGTTAAATTCTCTAGAACTTTTTGATTTTATTTCTTCTGAATGTTTGATTATGAGAAACTGCACAGCTGAAGAATCAGTTGTTCTTGAAGAACATTTTTATGCAGTTCAACGTAAGTCATGAATTATCGCTTGAAAAACAGTATATTTTTATTTAGAACTCGACGCATTTGCAAAATTCCCATCTGGGATACTTGAAGGTATTCTTTCAATCGATGGAAGTTATCAAGAATGTCAGAGAATCAGTAATATTCGATATAAGACTAATTATTGTTATCTTAAGATACAACAAGAACAATTACCTATATCTTTCAAAGTAGCTGTTTGTATGCCTTATTCATGTGATAATCAAGATTTGATTACTATGTTCAATGATTCTTTTTTCGACGTGGAAGACACATTTTGTTCGGAATTTGAAGTTGAGAAAGACACTACGTTTTGGGTTTACACAGGTTTTCTGATTGCTATAGCCAGTATTGTTATTCTTGCCTCAATTCTTGATTATTTGATACCCGCTGGAAAAAAGAAAACAAATATATTCGCAAGAATTTTGGGTGCATTTTGTCTTTGGGAAAATGCTTCTCAAATTCTATCCGTAAAAGAACAGAAATCTGGATTTATCAAATCACTTGATTGTATTCGTGGATTATCAATGGCTTGGGTTGTAGCTGGTCATTCAGTTTTATTTTTCTTCCCATCAGCAAACCGTATTCCACTTCTCTATGTTTATGACAATATTTGGAATCATATGATTTTCAATGCTATTCTATCAGTTGACACATTTTTCTTGATTTCTGGAATTGTTGTTTCATATATGTTTTTCAAACAAAAACTGAAACTTGAAGTTATGAAAAGTCCAGTGACGTGGATCATGTTCTATGTTCATCGTTTTCTTCGTCTAACTCCTCCAGTCATGTTGTTTATTGGATTTTACACCGTTTATTCCGTATATATTCAAGGACCATATGAGGCTTCGATTGAAAGTAGGTTGAACTATTTATTTTTAGAGAATTCAAATGTCTGTTGATTTTCTATATTGTAGAAATAATGTATTTTTACAGACCTGCAAATTGCACAGAGCGAAATGTGTAAACAATTCTGGTGGCACAATTTACTTTATTTCAACAATTTTGACAACCCAATAATTGGTCAAACTTGTTATGGAATAACTTGGTATCTTGCAACTGACTTCCAAATATATTTAGTTGCTCCAATTTTTATCATCGCTTTTTACATATCTTTCAATATTGGATTAATTGTAACAACTCTCGGATGTTTGGCAAGTGTAATTACAGCTTATATCCTGTTCAGTATTAATAATATGACAGCTGATATAAATTTTCAACATGGGTGAGCAAATAATCTTATTCATTTACTGAAAATTTTATTTTTAGTGGAATTGATAATTTTTTCTTGATTATGTATCAAAAACCATGGATTCGATGTCCTCCATATTTTATTGGAATTATTGTTGGATATATTTTAACAATGAAAAAACCTCGAATCCCGTGGGCTGTTGCTATTTTTGGTTGGCTCACTGCTTTTGGAATTGCTTGTGCTTGTCTTTTCATAAATTATGATTATGACAAAGGTTCTTATTGGAGTTGGCCAATTCGAGCAACTTTTTATAATTTTTCTCGAATTGGTTGGTCATTTTCAGTTAGTTGGGTTATTTATGCAAATCATTTTGGATACGGTGGACCTGTTAATAATTTCATGTCACATCCAATTTGGCAACCTTTTGGAAGACTTTCTTATTGTGCTTATATTGTTCATTGGATGGTTTTGAGTTATTATTTCAATTTAGGAGAACGTCCACTTTTCTATGTCTCATTTTGGCAAATCGTGAGTTGAAAATAAGAGTTTTAAAGTCAATTTTTTATAGTTTTTATATTACGCGATACCAGTCACCTTTATCTCATTTTTCGTGGCGTTTTTCTGGAGTTGTATTTTCGAAGTTAGCACTGCGAAACTCGAAAAAATGTTATTTGATTCAATTCTCGGAGATAACCAGAAACCAAAACCTGAATCAGTTGTTGAAGATACGAATAAGACATGGGAATAATAAAAATTAGACTACTGTGTTAAAAAAGCGTTTTTAATTTGTTTTTGAAAAATTTACAAGATTGTGTTTCTCAAACGAAAAAAAACTATGAGTTTTGAAGTAAGTTTTTTTCTAGATTTTCAGCTCGGAATACCAAAAACTATCTCTCCTGACAATAAAAAATATTTATCAGATTCAGAAACCCCTGCGCAAGGCCCAGAAATAAATTCTAAAATGATCTTCAATTTTTTATTTTCATACGTGTTCTTTTTTTCAACCAGAATCATTTTCAATTTTTCAAGAATGTCAGAAGAATCTCCTGAAGTTCTATTGATATCTTTCGCTATAATAACTTCTACAATTTATTTATCATGTTCGATGTTTCAACTTGTTGTAACAATTGCTTATGTTCTAAAAGTCAAAAAAGATTCGAAATTGAGTTTTTCCGAATTAACGGTAATTTTTGAAATATTTTTTGGATCGGAATAATTTTTTTATTTGGCTAGATATCTCAATATTTCTATGAAACACCGACAAAATATCGAAAGCGAAAAGTTTTTGTGGCTCAAAAGGGCAAACTTATTGTGCATGGAAATGAGAATGTTATGTCGAATCCAGATCCAGAAGAATAAGAGGAAAGTCGATTGTTTTTTTTTTCAAAAATTTTATGTTTATAAAGAAGTTATTATTAGAAAATTATCAGTTTTTTGTCAAACAAGTTGCCTCATGTCTTATTCGAACTTGAATTCGTGCAAATGATTGACCGCATTGACGACATCTGAAAACATTTTAAGGGGTTTCCTATAAAATCTGAAAATAGTACCTATGTTTTTTCTCGCCGGAATGAGTTTGAAGGTGGGCTCGAAGATTGCTCCGATCTGCAAATGATCGGCCACAGGATTCACAAGTAAACGGTTTTTCGCCTGTAAGAATTGCAATTTTGAGAGAGTCATGGACATATTCCACGTAGATTCTTTAAACCTTGAATTCTGAAATTGTTGGCAAAAAAAAATTAGTTGATAATCATTTACAGTTTCAAAAAAGAAAAAAAATTATGAGTTTATATTTTTCGTAGAATTGTTTTTCCTGTTCAAAAACTCCCATAATCTATCAATCTAACCTGTATGTGTTCTCAAATGTCCCTTCAACAGCCAAGGCCTAGAAAATGATTTTCCACAATCGTGACAAACACACGGTAATGAATGCGTCTTCAAGTGCATCTTCAAAGCTCCAGGTGATCTAGAAAAAGCGGAAAAAATTGAACAGGTGCTCTTGCAAATTGTGTCAATTCGCATTTATCAAAAAGACACCCCGCCGGATATTATTATTTGGTGTAAACTTTTTTCGTGTGTGTTGACGGGTGTCATCTATTTATTTATGAGGGTTCAAATATTCGGAAGAGAGGACGTTTGGAATTTTCTGTTTTTTCAGGAGCGGTCAAAGATTTGGCTAAATTAACACTATAAATATATAGATATAGGCGAAGGGTTTTAGTTAATCCTGAACTTTGGAAAACATTTCAGAATTTGGTGAATTTCCAGCGTCCTCACAATATGATCTTAATTTGAAAAGTAATAGAACTTTTGAGATTAAAAATACTCAACAAAAAAAATTTGCCACGTCATAACTCAAATTACCTGTATGTTTTTGGACAATGCGGACAAGATTGCTGTAACTTTCCTTCTCGATGAAATTGTAAATGTCGCCGAAGTCCAAAAAATGTCAAATAACTTTTTTGACAAAAATTACACTGGAAATTCAAGATTTTTTATAGAAAATTTTTGACACTTACAGTAAGCTTGTCCTCCTCCTCCTGAGCTCCAGAACTCGTTGGCTCAACAATATTAGGTGACAATAAATCGTCAATAGTCTCAAAAATACTTTTCCGAACTCTAGGGCTAGGTTTTGATTGAAAATCCACCACCTGCGACATCGGTTTTTTCAACTCAAAAAGAAATCAGAGAAGAATTGAAGGCTTCTCAAAATATACTAAAATACTATTCGTTTTTATCACACCTGTTTGATCAACAGGTGCCACCACCTGAGCAAAATGATGAGTGAGAAAATTTGGGAAGAAAAATCGGGGAGGAAGAAGATGCGAATAAAAAGGTAGACAAATGTTGCCGAATTGAAATATGTAATTGGAGGAACATAAACTTTCCTGTGAAAAAAATAAAGTTTGCTCTATTGAACTTTTAGGGGATTTTTGAATAAATCAATTTTCTTTTTAATTTTCTAACACTTTTAAGTAATAATAAAAATTCATATTCATTGTTTTCATAAAACTCTATCAATCTTAATTCTATATTCATGCAAACCTTCAGGCAATTCCAAATTCGCTGTGAAAATTCTCGAATTTCGATAATCCTGTCTCATTGGAACACTCATTTTCCATCCAAAAAATGATCCAGAAAGTTCAATTTTTTGCACATTTTTTGGATTGTCATCAGTCCATCTGAATAACACTTTAGATTGTCCGTTTTTCACCAAAACTTTTCCAAAATTCACATTCTCATCCAAGTTATCCGAAAATAATGGGTTATCATCAATGACTATATCAAAATCATCTTGAGAAGAGATTATTGATTTTGCCATTTCGCTTGGCGCATATTTTTCAGTCCAGTTTGAAGCGCTGGAAGATACCGATGGTGAGGCCGAAATTTCAGAGACATTTTCAGTAATACTAATAGGCGAGATCAAAGTTGGAGCCTTGATTATGAAACTTTCTTGATCGGATTCAGTTTCGAGATTTTGAGAGGCTAACCATTCCATGATATTTCCGACTTGAAATCTGATTGGAGAATTTTCTGAAATTTCGATATCGGCTCCTGATTTTCCGCGATCTGGTGTTTTTGGAATCTCAATGAGACTTGGACGATTTGAAGCTTTTGGAGGAGTTGAAGATTTTTCGATAGGTTTTTCTTTTTCTTCAATTGGAGCTGGAGTTGGTGCTTGATGAACCGGCTGGAAAAAAAGGAGAATGAATATTTGTATTTGGTTTGAAACATTTTTAGAATATTGAATATTGAATATAAATGTTAGAAAAATAATTTTGAAACTATTTTTTTCTAATTTGCAAACGCGCTCCATTGACAATTTTGGAATTTTTTTCAAGATTTCAAAAACAAAACTCACTGAAGTACTATGTAATTTATGCGAAGATGGTCGAATAAAAACACAATTAACTGGTTCATTCATTCGAATTTTGTGTCTTTTTGAAGGCGTTGAATTTCTACTATTAGATCTTGATGTTTTAGTGACTGAAACATCACGAGCCGATTTGATTTTTGTGAGCGATTTTCTTGGCGACAAACAACGTGGCGTTGAGATTGTGCTGTGAGTTTCGAGACTGGCGAAAAAGTTGCGAATCATTCGACGAGCTGTTTGAAAGGCCATTTCGAGTAGGTAATAGAGAAGCATTACGGTTATTAGGATACAGAAGATTCTGAAAAAATAGATCATTCAGGTTTTTTCGCATTAGAGCGCATTTGTTTCTTTTTGAGTAAGTTCAAAATAGCGCAAGACAAGAAGAAAGAGTTTTGAAGTTAACAAACTTACAATCCAACTTTTTTCCACCACGGTTCGTTTTCATTAATCTCATAAATCACAACATGCGGTGCCTCGGTAAAATAAAACATATCTCGAATGCGATTTCTCATCGATTTTTTCGCGTAAGTACAACCCAAAGTCCATTGTAAAAATTGTTTGAACGGTTTCAAATATGAACCGGCCATTTTCCTAGAATTCAACTATCCAAAATAGCTTGATTTTCTTTTTCTTTTTTTTATTTTCAGAAAATTTGGAAGGTCACGTTTTCTTGAAATAATACCCGTTTATTAGGTGAATTTAATAAAAATTCAAAATGAAAAATATTTGAAATAAATAAATACATTTGATTAATTTTTGAGCTGTTCATATTGGATCATTTGAAGTGGAATCATTGAAAGTGCATCGGATGTTTCAATTTCCGAAGCTTCCAAAAATGTGTAATTTTGTCTAACTAGACTTCTACCATCTGAATGTTTTAGAGTTAAGCCTTCTAGATTTCGCATTGGGGAGATATCGCGATCTTCGCCAATTCCGACAGCAATTATACTAATTGGATGAGGCGAAGCGTCGACCAACGAATCGATTGTTTTTCGCATTGTTTGATTATTGGCCGGTCCGCCATCGGATAAAATTAGAAGGACAAAGTAGATGCCAACTTTTCGGCGTGATTCAGCTTTTGCAAATCTGAAATTTTTCTGAGTTGGGGAGAATTGGGAAAAATTGTTTATTTAATTGCCCGATATTTTTTCTGATAACAATTTTTCAGAAATTTGTAAATGTTTTCTTGATCAGAGACGATCTACTTTAAAAAAATGTTTTTGTTCGAAAAACCTATGTTTTCCTATAAAAAGCTTTCTGTACAAAATTAATTCCATTCCAAAAAAACTCACTTTGAAACATAATACACAATTTCCGAAAAATCCGTGGGCGCAAATGGTTGAACCGACAAAATGGCCGTTCGATAAGAATCAATCAATCCAACCAAACCCGGAACTCGATGATCATCAACTCTTCCATTCAACAAAAAACAATTGGAAAAACTCTGATTCACATTAGCTCCAAAACCCAATGCTCCAATAAAGGGATTTTCAGGATTGGGCAAATATGCCATAAATGGCGGAGTGATATTCACAATTGTTTTGAGATATGGTGAAGCGCGATGTGGATGTATATAATGAAGAGATGATTCTAAAGTTGGATTGCCATTTGAAGCGGTTAAATCGATTGCTTCAGTTAGATGAATATTTGTTTTATTTTTCAATATATCGAAAAATGTTGGGCCTGTAGATAGTTCCATGTATTTTAAATCGATACAACATTTTTCATCAATCCTAGTTCCATTGAGATTCAGCAGCTAGAAAAATATTATTTATTTTCATCGCTATAAATCCTGGTTCCAAAAAAGCCAAAATTGTAATACGCGAAACATTTTTTTTTGGAATTTTTTCTGAAGTTTGAAAGTATCTACATATATTTAATTTGAAAAAAAAACGATATTCAAGGTTGAAGATCAACTAACTCACCATAAAAGAATTTTGTCCAACTCCTCTTTGAAGTTGAGTTAAAGTTGTTGAACAATGTCCTATAACCTCATCTGGATGATTCGGAATTTGATTATAACAATATATACTAATCGGTGCATCGTTGTAAATATTCAGAATATACAAAGGAATCGAAAAAATGACCCATTTCGGATTTTTATGGTCCCGAATTATCTCGCTTTTATGCAAAAGAATAGTTCGATTTGTAGTAGTGATACTCAAAATATAATAGAGTGCCAATGGTAAATCATCCTTTGAGTGAATATGGCTTCCGGTAAATTGAAGTGTTAGAAATTGTGAATAATATTGTGGAACATGAGCTGTTATTTCGAGTAGACTTCTAGTATTTGGGATGGGTAAAACAAGTTTTCCACCTCTGGCAAGAACCAACGATAAATCGAAATGACATTGTGCATAGCTACCCATAATTCTTTCAGTTGTCGAATTCAGTACATATAGATCTACTCGTAATCTTTTCATTTTTTCGAATTGAAAAGTGATGGGACATTTTTTCTCGAAATCCACATTCAAGTTATGGTAAATTGCTTCGGTTTGTCCAATTTGCTCAGAACTTTCGTCTTGAATATTGATGTCTTGGATGATTGCTTGAATGCCATCACAACCAGAGTAATAATGAATTCCCCTAAAAATCAAAATGTATCAAACAAATAATGAATAACTTATTTTTTCAAGAAAATTACCTGATAGAAAACGACAATTCGATGGCGAAGCCTGTCATTTTATTTGCGGCAACGAGAAGCATTCAATGATTGTTTTTTACACTATTTATACTCGATGGAAGAACGGATAGGAGAAGCTGAATGAAAAGAAATGTTATGAAATATTTTAAATTTCGAGGAAAACACGAAGCGCCTTTAAAAAAGTATACGGTGTGCATTTATATGGTGCAAACACTTTGACGTAAATATGCACAAGACTGTTGGGAATTTTTCATCATTTTTTTTTCTTTTTGCGCGCCTCACAAGTACAACTTAAGTTTTCGGCAATTTTGAAGCACAATATCGTTCTAAACTATTTGCCTGTATTTTTAGAGTTTGTCTCGCTACAGACGGCTCAAAATGAATCCTAATTTCTTGCAGGAATCCCAGTAGAAATCTGAAATTTCGCAACATATTCTCAATCTATCTAAAAATAAAAATCTTGTGATCAAATGCGATAATTCTGCAACCAAACAAAAACAAACACTCGAAACATCATATTGATTTTTACCAATGACTCACTTTTTCATTTTCCCATCTTTTTTCAATTTCACTCTGTTAAAATGAAAAACAATTAATCAACTACTTCAAATGATAGCGATTTTCAGTAAAACTTGTCTTTTTCCACAGAAAAGTCCAGTTTCCCCTTACTTTTTCAAAAAAGGGGCGTTCCCCGCATGCTTTTTCGCAACTCTCCGCACACTTTCGTTTTCGAAAAGACAAAATTATTTGCTAGGTGCATTTCCCATCCTAAATTTCGCATCGATTTTTTTGCTTTTTTATCGAATTTTTATCATTTTTCAATTATAATTTCTGGAGATAATGGCACGTGGACATCAAAAAATCCAAGCTCAACAAAAAAACCAAAAGAAGGCAGAAGCTGCGAAAAAAGGAAGTGTTGATCCAAAAGCAGCTGCAATGAAGGTTGGTTATTTAACTGTTTACTAAAATTATATTTAATTGAACTAATTGTTTCAGGCTCTCAAACATCAATGCACCGTATGTATGGCAATGATGCCCGATCCAAAAACTTACAAACAACATTTCGAAAGCAGACATCCAAAAAGTCCTCTTCCAGCTGAATTAGTCGAAGTTCAAGCCTAATTTGTTTTCTTTTCTACCATCCATCAACCTCGATTTTTTTTTGCGCTTTAAATATTACACCATGTTATTATCACCATGATCTTCTTGTTCCTCTCGGTCTTGATAGCCAAAACTTTTAGTTAATAAAATACTGGTTTCTTGGATATTTGGATTTCCTTGTTTTTTCTGTCAAAAAAAAGGTTGAAACCTTCAAAATATCTATTTTTCAACTGTAAACATGAGCTATGATGAAGCGCCGTAATTTGAAAATCACTCATATTTCTTGCAGATGGTAATTTTAACAGACACTTCAGTCCCAACCGACACCATAAAATTGACTCAAAACTCTGTGCAAGCATACGCTGGAACACAATCTTTGGGAAATGGCAAACTATATGTATCAGAAAGTACTTTGGCTTGGATAAAGGATGATAACAAAGGTTTCGACTTATCCTACCGGTCCATTATTTTGCACGCAATTTCCACAGATTTGACGAATTTCGGGCAAGAACATATTTATGTTTTGGTTGATGGCAATAAAACTGGTAAGTCTGAAAAGTTTCAGCTTTTATTTTACTCAAATTCATTCAAAAACTTATCATGAATTTATGTTTAGAAAATAGAAGAAGACGGCGTGCGCCACTTCTGATGACACAAAATGAATCTGCTGTACTTCAAGGTTGGTGCACGGCGTCTTCAAGAAGTATCTTTGATAAATGTTGATTTTTAGATATTCAAATGGCTAATAATGAATTGAATGGAGCTGGTGAGGAAGAAGAAGGAGAGGATGATGATAGCGAAGCTGGAAAAAGTATCGAATTCAGATTTGTGCCGGATAATAAGGATACTTGTGAGTTTTCGACTGGAAATCTGAAACTATTCAGGATTTTAAAAATTGTATCTCGGAATTGCTAGAAATCTCGATTTTCAATCAAATTTATAAACTTTTTCCAAATCAAGAATTTTTCAGTATCTGAAATCTACCACGAAATCTGTGTTTGTCAAGAATTGAACCCAGAAGAAGACGAAAGTTTCTCGGAAGATGATATGGATTATGAAGGAGACGAATTGAATGGTGGAACTGGAGCTGGAGATTTCGAAAATGGTGATGGACATCAATGGATCACTTCGGATAATGTAAGAACATTTGAAAATTTCACCTCGAACTGAAATCTTTAAAATTGAAGAAAGCTCAAAACTTCTCATCTGGGACATTGCTTGAATATTGAGAATTTTTGTGAAAATTTCAATTCTCACAGATTCAATTGATATCCAAAACTCTCAAATTTTCAGATCGATTCATCCGATCTTCAACTTTCTGAAGAAGGAATGGCAAATTTAAATCGAATGCTTGGCCGAGGAAATCGTGGAAATAATGAGGAGAATCAAGACGATGAAGAAATGCAGCAATAATTTGATATCCCAAAAAATTTTGGCACAATTTGATCTTTTTGTTATACACCGGTTATTATTATTATTTATTGAATGATTCCTCAATTGTTTTCTTTTTTCATTATTGCAAAAAAGTATGGTTTTTCATCCAGCCAAGATCTATTTTCTTAACCAAAGGAAGGGAATTCAGGTGAAAATTGATTTTTAGACGCATTTTCAGATGTTGAGAGTTGCGTTTGGTGCAAGTTTGAGAAGATTTTTTGCCTCGGATAGGTGAGTTACAAGTTTCGGTCAAAAACAATGAAATACTGCAGAATTTGAAGGTCCAACATGTTCCTTTGAACTAAATCTAGAAAATAAAAAAATATATGATAAAACCCAATTTGTGTAATTTTTTGAAGATTTTTTACAGTTTTCCAAAAGAACTATATAAAGTTGATCTTATCACGATTAGTTCTGTTCTTCTAGATTTACATTGAATTTTTGTTTGTTAATATTTGAGTTTTGCAGTTTAAAAAAATTTTAAAAATTATAGATTAAATTTTGTATGCTCACTCTTTTCGGCCTTAAAAGTTGTTTTCATTTTCAGAAAAGTAGTATTGTGTGCAAACGGTTCAATTGCTGCCTGGCATCCAGCACACGAACATCCATACGAACATACGAAACCAATTGAATCAGAAAATAGCAAAGAAACATTGGGAAGTAGTAGATTATCAGCAGCTGCAAAACAATCAGCCATTCCACGAGCGCCTGTCAACGCCGAATTGAAGGATATTTTCTATACAACCAAACACGAGTGGTATACTAGGTGAGCATTTTGGGGAGCAGAAAAGCTGGAAATGAAACCTTGGAAAATGAAGAAATAAATTACGTAGAGAATTAGGGTTTCACGTTATTTTATCGAATTTTTGAAAATGTCTTACAACATTTTTTTCGTGTTTTTTGAAAGTTCATTTTTTTTCTTCAAAAATTCTTGATGAACTTATTATAAAATATAGTAAATTCTAGTTGTCAAATCCAAAAATCAGACTTTTTGTGATTTTATTTTGATAATCTTCTCAAAAATTGAAAAAAAATGGCCCAAAAATATCTCCTGATTTCGTCAACTCTCAATATTTCAGATCTCGTGAAGAACGTCTCCGCCACGTTGCCGCCCCAACTCCTCGCCGTAAATAATCTTCTCCGCAAAAATGCGTCTCTCATTATCAGGTCTCATGAAATCTTATATAAATGTTATTGATTTGGGTATTATATCATATGAAGAAGGACTTCGACAACAACAAAAATATGTAGATTTAGTTAAGCAAAGTAAAAATAGTAGTGTTTCATTGTGAGTTTTTTGGCGGAAACTTTTTCAGCCAAAATTCATTTTTTCTTTTGCAGAAATTATTTGTTAGCATTAGAACATCGTCCAGTTTATACAGTTGGAATTCGAAGCAAAGTGTATTCTGAAGAAGAGGAAAATCGATTGAAAAAATTGGGCGCCGATTTTCATCGAACTTCTCGTGGCGGTTTGATCACTTTTCATGGACCTGGACAATTGGTTTTGTATCCGATTTGTGACATTCGACGAATTTCGACAAAACCATTGGGTGTTCGAAGTTTTGTAGAGAAATTGGAACAGGTAAGATTTTTGCAATTGAAAGTTTTTGAAAACAATTTTCAGAGAAAATTGGGATTTTCCAGGAAATATTGAAAGGTCCTATTGAACACTGTGTATTTTACCTCAAAATTTTCCCAAAAAGTCTAATTTTTGCAGACAATAATCGATTCGGCCACTAGCGGTTTCCAAATTGAAAATGTTGGTCGAACTGAAAACACTGGTGTTTGGGTGGATAAAATTCGAAAATTGGCGGCGATTGGAATTGCTGTTCAAAATGGTGTGACTTATCATGGTTTGGCAATTAATTGTAATACTGAATTGTCATGGTTTGATAATGTGAGTTGGATTCATTTTTGAATTTCTAAGCCATTCCTAAACGATTTCTAGATTTCAAATTTTGTATTATTTTTAAAATTTGAAACATGTTGAGTATTTCCGGAAAAATTTTTTTACCTAAAATTCCAACAAAATTGCTTTTTCCCTAACAAAAATTGAAGAAAAACAACCCATATATTTTTTCAAAGGTAAAGGTCACAGATGTTTATATTTTTCTGAATTCGAAAACTGGTTTTTATTTTTTGTTTCCACTTTTTTTGAATGAGAAAAAATGGGATTTTTGGTCATTTTTAGATGGATTTTGAGAGACAAAGTATGGATCTGAAAAAAATTAAATTAGATTTCTGAGCGAGATATGATTTTGGTAAAAAAAATACTCTCTCTTCGAGTTTTTTTCCAGATTTTCTAAAATTCCACGTGACACTTGATCCGCTTTTAAAATATGACTGTCAGGTTTCAAAAAGCATAATTATCTCAAAAATCCAGGTGACAAAATTTTAGCTCGAAACACACCTCGGCCAAACTCGTGGTTTCCAAAAAAAAATGTACGCTAACTTTGTACAGCTGCATGCATCGTTTGGTCATTGTATTTTGTCGCAAAAATTCAAGTTTCAAATTTTCAGATCGTTGGCTGCGGAATAGAAGGCGTCACCACAACTTCGCTCACCCAAGAAACCCAAAAATCGATAAGTGTCCAAGAAGCGCGTCCTATTTTTCTAGAAAACTTTGCCAAAAATTTCGACTGTCTTTTGTGTTAGTGTTAGTAGCTTTAGAGATTTTTTAGTTCTGTTTGGGTATTTTTTCAGAAAATTCCGAAAACCCTTTTCTTTTAATTTAGCGAGTTTGGTTTTTCGAAAATTTTATTTAAAAAAAAAAGTTTTTTTTACAAAAAAATCTATATACACGGTATACTTCGAAAATTTCCGATGTTTTAAATTAACGAACAAAAAGAAAATAGAAGATTGGAGCAACGATGGCAGCACACGAATATGAAGAAGCCGAGTTCAAGTTGAGCAATTTCAAAACCGAAGTCAAACCTCCTTTATCGAAAATATTGGTTACCATATCTTGCCATTTGGATTTGTTTTCATTGAAAGCTGCTTGACCGCCGTCGACAACCTGCAAAACAAATGGTTGAGATAAGTTGTGGGGACTATTTTAGAATCACTCAAAAATTTAATGAAAAATGTCAGAGTAGGTAAATATTAGTCTGAAAATTACAGTTCAGATGTTTTGGAAATAATGATAAACTTATTGTACTGTAATTTTCAGATCAACATTTATCTACTCTGAAATTTTGTTAGGTTTCTTTCGGCTTGGTAAATTTTTAGGTTTAACATTTTCATCCAATTTATCCATCAATTCCGAAAAAGGTTCAATTGTATCTAAATTGCCCAAAACTACCTGGAAAATAATATGTTTTTCTCTATTTTCCTCAAACTGGTTTCCTCTCACAAGGTTTCATAGAGCAACATTGATTTTTTTTCTTATTCTTCTACCTTCAAATTTTTCAAGGTTGAGGTCATTTTGTTGTTGTTTGATTGCCCTTGCTTTTATTTTCTCTATTTTTTGAAGCGAGGCAAAAAAACAAGCTCTTTGGAGGGAAAACGTACTTTTTTGAGGAAAAAAAGCAAAAAAACACCAGAAAAACGACTTGTTTTTGTTATCATTTTTCTTTCGTTCGAATTGAAAACAAATACTTTTCTTTATTTTTTTTCTCTTTTGAGAAAACAACAAAAACATGTGTTGTTCCATAAAAAATGCCAATTTCACAGTAGATAGAAAATGTTGGATTAACTTTTTAATTATTCTGAAAAATGTTGCAAATTGAATGACATTTTCAGAAATGATGGATTATTTTTAGAAAATGAGAGATTTTTGGTCTTGTAGTGGAAAAAAAACACAAATTCCTGATTCGGTATACGGTATTCGAAGGCGCATACAATTAAAATAAGAGAACTTAGGTCTTGTAGCAATGACAGCATCAAAATCTTGATTACCGTAGTCGTGAGATTTCAAGGCACAAAAAACATTTGGGCTACAGTAATCTCAAAATAGTTTTCCGTAAAGGTTCCATTTTTTTTGGATGATAAAAATGCAACTTTTATCTACAGTAACCCGGTTTTGGTGCAACACAACTTTAATTTCGATGAGCTAGAAACCCACCCCCTCCCCCATTCTCATGTTTAACTCACATTCTTTTGGAATCCAGTGATTTGTCCCAAGAACGAGTCAACATTTCTCAAAGTTTGTTTTTGTGAATCATTTGCCAATGGTTCAAGCATTTTGATTTTATCCTTGACTCCAACCAACAAATCCTTTACTCTTCCAATATTGGTTTCAAGACTTTTTTGATCATTTCCAAACAAATCCTTGACCGATTTGAAGGTTCCCGAGAAGAAGTTTCCAGCGTCCGAAGTTATTCCTGGAATAGTATTTTTATAGATACCTAGGTTTAGGGTTAGCATCACAGGGGAGATTTTTTAAGTTAAAAATATTGATGATTCCTACATCAACACTATAAAATCCAACTGTTTCAAAAATAACCTTATGGGATCAACATATTCAAAATTAAGTTCTGCTCAGAATATACACTCACAAAAATTCCAAGTGAAAGTTCACTTATTAGGTTCAAAATTATAGTTAGACTTACCATCAACTCCATCAAAGAATCCAGCATTTGCGACTGCCAAAACGGCCAAAAATACAGTAACCTTCAACATTTTCTTCGTCCGAAACAACTTTCGAATGCCGTGTTTTTTGCCCAAAAAATGGGTGGAGCCTGTGGAAGGGGGAACTCGCCCCGCCCATCCGTAAATTTTTGTTTTCTTTTTTCTTCTGACAGCGGAAAAAAAAGGGAAAAACCTGATATATATCTATTTTTTACACTGATTTTACGAGTTGTTCTTTCTGTGTGTTTTTTCACGATAGCAAAAACAAAGCAAATATTGTATGTTTTTGTGTCAGATGTTTTATTATTTGAGAAGAAAATGAAAATATATACAAAAATTATCAATTTGAGAAAAAATTATGAATGAAGACGATTTGAGTTGCACCCGAGTTGAAAATTGAAGTTTTTGAAAACGGCAAAAAATTGGCAAGAAGTAGAAGAAGAAGAAGTTGTTTATTCGGATTTATTGCGCGACCTCGAATTCTCACGTTTTTTATTGAATGACGAGTACTTTCTTCTGAAATCATGCGTCACAACAAAAAAAAAACAACGACAAAATTGGACAAGGGATTTGTTTTGCGGTTTACGGTTTAGAAATTGTTTCTTCTCTTTTTTTAGGATTTTATGTAGGTTTACTAGCCAAGCTACAAAGGGATTTGCATTTGCAGGTTACAAAGTTGTGCTCATGCACCATTCGGATACACTTAGATAAAACTCACTCGACTTTTCGCTGGCCTTTTGGTGAATCGAACATTGCTTTTAGCTTTTTGACAGGTAATTGTTTTTCGGCGTGCATTCCGTCGACCTGAAATTGTTTTTATTATTGATAATTTACAACATGATTTTCTGAACAGGAAATCTTTAGAGACTTTATTTGACGTAGGATTAAATTTGACGAAATTCAGCGGGAAAGTGAGAAAATTAGAGAAACATATTTTTGGTCCACCAAAAACAGTCTTTAATCCATTTTTATGTTTTGGATTTTTCATTTTTTTTAAATATTAAAAATGCTTACTTCGAAGTTTTTTTTTCCAAACATTCACATTTTCAGAAAAATTTGAAAGATGTTCGCTTCAAAAAAAAAATGAAAAACAATGTTTGCGTGACATTTTTAGTCAGCTAGCTCAGTCAAGTCGTTTTCTCTGAGTCTCTAAGTATTCAACATTTTCAGGCTCGAATGTTCTTTGATTTCACCTTGAAAAGCTTTTAGTTGAAACATATCTACTTAATTCAATCTTTTCTTCCTTTCTTTTTTGAAAGAAAAACCTAATTTGGATTATATTCGGAACATTTCTTCATAATTAAATTTTCGCACTGTTCCCAAGAGTATTCAAAGTGCAAATCAGAAAAATCATCTTACCGGATCCCAATGCAATGATTCAACAGATCCTGGTTCTTCTTCATCTGGCACAGTTTCTTCTTCACCTTCTTCTTCATCTTCAACAACATCTTTCCAATCACTCATAACTGGATGTTCTAAACTACTTCGGGTTGGTTTGGATTTGCTGGCAAACGCTCTTCGAAGTCGTTTCTTTGCTGATGACATTTTCGACGGCGATTTCCGATCTTCCAAATCTTCTGTCTGAACACATTTTTGTTCAATAATTGGCTGCGGTGTTTGAATCCGAATATTTTTGGTTTCAATTTCAACAATTGTTTCAGCATCACACATATCTATATATGTCTGAAGTTCTTCTTCTTTCGTCTGAATATGTTCAGTCTGACTGTCAGATTCATTTGTAGGAAGAGGTACTGTATTAGTCTCTTCATCGTTGTGTTCTAGAATAATAGTTTGTGTTTCAGCAATTATATTTTGAATCATTTCAGTTTGAGTTTCCACTTCTAGATTTTCAACAGTAATTTCTTCAACATCCGTTATCATTCCTTTCTCTTCATAAACCTTTTCATCAGTTTGATAGCCCTTTTCTTCTCTGAAAAAAAAACATAACTGGTAAATAGTTTCTCCCCCGAAGATTGTGATGTGAATGAAAACTTACTGAATCAAAATATCTGTCTGTGTATTAGCATCATGTGAAATCATCGAAGTAGCAGTTTCTGCCACAGCTTCTTCATACTCAATTTGTTTCTGCACCAAATCAGTGAGCAACTTCGGATGTTCTTCTCCCTCTTTGTTTTCTTCGATATGAAAAAGCTTAGGCATTCCGGATTTCTCATCCAAATCTGTTAAAATTGTGGGAACCTCCATCCCATTGTTTTTCGCCTTCACTTCAACTTTCTCCATTGCCATCTTCTTTTTATCCTTACTCAATAAAGGCATAAGGAACTTGGCGGTTTTATTGTTTCCCCACATTCTCATCATTCCAACCGAGGCACCCATTTGATCTCCCCCTAAAAAATCAGATTTTGGCTAGATATTTTTGAATCAAGTTTTTACCAGCCGCAAGTTTTTCCTGATACTCAATAATCAACTTCATCATCATATTCACATAAAAATCTTCCAATGCAACTTGAATCACATTAATTGTCATACTGACTAAAGAAAGTCCAACAATTACGAAAACAAAGCATAGGACCATCATGCTGAAATTTTTTTTTGTTATTATTTGGAGAACATTCAAAGAAAAGGAATAAGATCAGAAATACAGCTGGGTTTAAATTATAGGTTCCAATTTTTTGTGATATTTCCAAATCCCAAAATAAATATTTCGGTACTCACTCTCTTCTTGCTACCGAAATATCTCCCAAACCAATAGTTGACAAAGAAATGAACATGAAATAACAACTTTCGGCATAAGTCCAATCTTCCCAAAGTTTGAACAATGAAGAACAAAAGAATATCCAACCAATAGTAATTCCGAGTGCAACTTTCACACTCATTCTAGGCATTGCTCTCTCTTCCTCATCTTCAATCTCATCATAATCACTCGCATTTCTTTCACTACCCAATTCTGAAGCTATTGATGAAACTTCGATACTTGGAATAACTCCGGGATTTGCACCTTCTTCTAGTGTTGCTAATTCATCAATTTTTCCCAGATTCCCGTGATTTCTACGAAAGGTGCAAACTCGGAAAGCTCCAAGATAAGTTGTAAAATCTTCAAAACCTTTCACACAACCGTTGATGTTATTATAGAGAAATTTTCCCAAATCATTCAAAGTTATTAACATAAATGGAATTCCAACACATGAATAGATAACTGTTGCTATTCGACCAGCTGTCGTTGAACAAGCAATATCACCATACCCTGAAATTTGAATAGTTAGTTAGTGGCTAAAAGCAATTAGATTTTACTATTGATGTTTATTCAAAGGCACAAAAACTGATCTCAGAAAATAATTAAAAAATAATCTCGAGTGAAAGTTCAAGAAGTCCATTCAAAAATTCCTTACCAATAGTTGTGAAAAGTGTTCCAGCAAAATACATTGCAGACATAAATGTCCATTGTGATTCATTTTTCACACTAAAATTCAACTTCCTTTCGAAGTTATCCATCGCTTCTTCCAATGCTCTTTTCCGATTTGGTCGCTGTTTTGTTGCCGCATCGTGCAGAATCTCTTCTAACCGTAAAAATAATAATCTTCGCTCTCTTCTATAATTATACTCCTCATTTCTAGCTTGACTTTCAGCTTCTCCCGATTCGAGAAAATAAAAAATGATCGCACCAATCAACATATAAACCATTGTGAATGCTAGTGGAATTAAATATTTGATATGATAATCTTTATACATTTTATGCAATCGTTGACCTATTGTTAGTTTTGGTTTTTCCACTTCGTCATCTTCGTGAACTTTGCTCTGAAAATCAACAACTAATTTTAGAATAATGCATTTTCTAAAAAAAAATGAAACTAAAAACTCTATATTCAGGGCTAGTCGGAATCGGATTTTGGATTTTCAAAATTCCGAAAATTGCAGATTCTTCTGAACTGTAGTGTGTTGAAATTTTGAAAAATCAGAATTCAAAAAATTCAGAGAAATAGAAAATCTATTTTGATCTTGGAAATTTGGAACTATTGAAGTATTGTTCGGAATAAATAATCGGAACTCCAAAATTCTAAAAATAATTCGAGATTGAATACCTCTGTCCGTTCCAACCAGCCCTGTCTATATCTAACCAAAAATTGGGAAACATGTTAGAAATCTGTGGTCTAAAAAAAGATCACACAAATATTATTTTCAACAAACGCTTTTGAATTCTCTATACTGTGAAGATCTGTACAAGTCGGTTGAGATTTTTTTCTAAATCGAAAATCCTGAAATGGGAAACTGTCCGAGAAAAAAACTCACTTGAACAACTCGATCATCTTTTGGTCGATTTGTTGCGGAAGCTGCAGATGCGGATGTAGCTGTACCCGAAACTTGAGAAACTCGTCGGTTTCGTTCATTTGAGCTCTGGAAATTGGGAAAATTTATGGAGGTATGGGGTTTTCAATTATTCAGTTTTTAAAGTTGCTTTCCTTTCATTTATATGATTTTGAAGTTTAAAAAAGGGCCGAAACTAATTTTCCCACGATGAAATTTCGAAATTATGGACCACGGATTATTTGGAAACTTATCACGTGGTCCAGAAATTTGGAACTTTTTTCTCGAGTTCCAGAAATTTTTATGAACACTCTTTCAGCCGTTATATTGTTTCAAAGGTGTGTTCATAATATGTTTATTCTGCCTACTCTCAGACCTCTGCTCTACAGTAAAAAAATGTACAGTACTAAAAATACTCACCGATGAACCGGGTCTCAAATTCCTGCTTCGATTTCCCCCAAAACCGACAGATCGCAATAAAACTGGCATTTTTCAAAATTAAAAAAAATGCTCCACTTTCTAGTTTTTCTCGCGATTTTTTCTGTGAAAAAAAGAGAAAAAATTAATCAAACGATTGAATGGACTCGATTGAAGAAAGGTGCAATGTGAAACAAAAAAAAACGAGGAGAGAAAATAACTCAAAAAAAGTGTAGGAGGAAAAAGAAGAAAATGAAGATTTAATAGTGTACCTGTGGGTGAATTGAAATGAAGATTGGGTCAGATACGAAAAAAGTATAGATTTTTTGAGCACTATTTATTAGTCACAATTTTTTGATGGATCATTTGAAAAAATAAAATAATATGAGATTTCTCATTCACAAGTATCATATTTCTTTTTGACATGATTTATCTTTTTTTTGCTTTGTAAAACATATGTGAATAGATAATCTATAGATCAACGAAACTGAAAATTTCAAAAAAATATTAGTTAGAAAATAGGATATTTAGTTGTTGAAACTAAAAACGATGTTATGTTATACGTATATATAAATAAGTGTACATGAAAAGATACTGGAAGCTTGGAGAGAGAAAGAGACTTCGGACAAGTGATGTTATCAGCGGGTCGGTCGGTCGGGCCAAAAAAAATTGGGCGACAACTGTTTTTCGTTATTACGTGGAAAAAAGATAGAGAGAGAGAGAGCAACTAATGGCATAGTGGCAAAATGTTGAAGAGTTGAAGAGGAGGATGAAGAGAGAAGGAGTCTGGAAAATTATGAAATTTTTGGTTGGAAATTTTGAATCTAGAAACATGAAACCCATGTTTTGTAGAGTTTTCAAATTCAAACCAGTTTTGTAAAAATTGATGATGAAATTTATTGACAGCATTTTTTTTCTTATTCTAACATTTGTGTCTTCTTCCCCTCAGAATTGTGAAAATTTGGAATTTTCAGAAGCAAAATTTAAAAAAAAAGGAAAATGTGTGTTTGGTATACGGTACATTTCAAAGGAACATTGGAAACAGCTGCCGCGTCTCGCCACACAACGCCAAAAAATTTGAAATTTGCCCGCGCACTTTCATATTTCCATTTTTTCATTTTGCAATTGCAAAAGCACACTTTTCACTTTTTCAACGCGTTGGTGAGATTCTGAGGAATTTTACCGAAAAACTTACGATCACAACAAAACAGCCCAGTGAAATTAGGCTATTGTGAGAGTCGCGGTGACCAAACATTATCGCGTGAACCTCCAATTATTTCATTGAGAAAATAAAAAAATTAATTTTAATAAAGCTGTGAACTATGTGGCATTCATTTCAATTTTGGATCTGTGCGGTTTCATTACTCTTGCCATGTTGCTCTTTTCTATGTTTTGAGTAGTTGTCAATGTTTTTAGGCCAGTTTTGACATATTCTTATTCTTTTTATTTTCCCAGTTTGCTGTAAAAATCGATAATTTATCAAATTCCAGAGAATTTATGGAACGTCCACCTCTTGTCACGTCAACAAAACAAAACATCGAGCCTAGTGAGCCAGAAGAAGCATCGCCGATTAAAAGCGAACCTCAAGTAACTCGGCCACCATCAGCCAGGAAAGCGCGATTTTCTGCTTTGGCCGCTGATTTGCAAGAGTTCGAATATGATTGTCACACAATCCAAAATAAGCCAAAAGAAGCATACATGCGAGGAAGAAGTGCGAGATTAAGTATTGGAGAAACGCGTCCGTCAGTGTTATGCACTCCTGCTGGAAATGCAGCCATACAAAAGCTTCAACATCAAAAATCTTCTACTTCAATCAGTTTTTCACCGGAGAAGAATGATGTAACTTCGAGTACAATGCTTGGAGGATCTGCTGGAATGATGGATTTAACCATTTCTTCGATTGATTGCTCAAACATCACTTTAAAGTCCAAAGATCTTCAAGAATCCAAGAAAAAAGTGTTCTCTCCAACAAATTTTACACCAAAAAGCACATCATCTCCCAAAGATCTGGAAATGTCACCGGCAAAATTGGCAGCCCTCGAAAAATCCACTGCCAAAACCATCAAGTTTCAATTCGAGCAAAAATTGAAGAATCAAGAGAATGTGGTTATTCCGATGCCCAAACAATTTGTAAAATTACCCGTGAAATCAAATCCTAAACCTGAAGTTTATAAGGAAAATTCGAAAAAAGTTGATTTGATTATTGGTAATATGAAAAGTTTGAAAAATCGCTGGGAACTTTCTTCTTCAACGGGAACTCCGATACATCCAGATGCTCCTGAAGAAGAATTATTAGCTGCTGCGAATCGTATGAAAAATGTAAGAATTATTGTTTTGTTAGCTATTAAAAACAGAGAAAATTTGAATAAGACTGTTCTTGTGCGAAAAAAAAAACACATTTTTCCAGACTTCTTCTCATCGATCTGTGACTTCCAACAAATCAACTTCTCAAAATGAAGAAGAATCGGTTGCTTCAGAATCCGAACCACCAATAGAAGATGAAGTTTTCGACACAGAACCCAGAGATTTGTCAACTCCATCTGATGCGAGTCGAATCATCGATCAAGCTTTTGAATTCATGAAATATGGAACACCTTCGCCATGTCGACCAAGTCCTTTAGCAGTTCGAATTTGTCGAGATTCTCCGCTGGCAAGAAATAATGAGATAATTGAAGAGGAAGATATTCCGATGGGAAGTGATGAAGAAGAAGATGAAGAAACAAAGGCGCATGGAGATTTTTTGGAGAAAACTCAAGAAAAGGAAGAATATAACTTGCCATATTCAGTGTCGTTTTATAGAAAAATCCAAAAGGAGAGAACTAATTTGGATGTTAGTTCAACAATAAATCGAGCAAATTCGCCAGAAGAAGAAGAAGACGAACGAACTTTGTCGCCGGTATTCAAGAATTTGGCTAGAGATCAAGAAGATGTGAAGAGCAAGATTGAAGCGGAGAAGGTAAGGGTTTAAAGAGTTTGTTGAAAATAATTAAGTAATCTTCGGGAAAGAGTTCCAATAATGATAATTACACATTTAATACTTCACTATTAATTCAGTATTTCGTGATTGAACTTTGATAGTTTTTTCCCAAAATGTTGGCCGTTTCTATCCATAAAATTGAGCTAGAAATAAAAATCGGTAATTCGAAGTAACTACGAATTGACGATTTATAATTTTTATCCATAAAATTGAGCTAGAAATAAAAATCGTCAATTCGAAGTAACTACGAAATGACGATTTATTATTTTTATCCATAAAATTGAGCTAGAAATAAAAATCGTCAATTCGAAGTAACTACGAAATGACGATTTATTATTTTTATCCATAAAATTGAGCTAGAAATAAAAATCGTCAATTTGAAGTAACTACGAAATGACGATTTATTATTTTTATCCATAAAATTGAGCTAGAAATAAAAATCGTCAATTTGAAGTAACTACGAAATGACGATTTATTATTTTTATCCATAAAATTGAGCTAGAAATAAAAATCGTCAATTTGAAGTAACTACGAAATGACGATTTATTATTTTTATCCATAAAATTGAGCTAGAAATAAAAATCGTCAATTTGAAGTAACTACGAAATGACGATTTATTATTTTTATCCATAAAATTGAGCTAGAAATAAAAATCGTCAATTCGAAGTAACTACGAAATGACGATTCATTATATGAGCTAGATTAGAAGTTTCTAAAATTTTTTGCCGACTTAGGCTTTCAGGAAAAATTGCTCACCTGGAATTCCAGGTATTGGGTGAGGTTTGTTTTTTTTTCCTCAAAAACTTGGTCGAAAAAATCATTAAATTTTCATCCAATCAATTTTTTTTGTCTAAAAAATAATCATCTAATTTTTTCAGGAACGCCTAAAAAGTGCGATAAAAGTCGAAGAAGAGCACATTTCGCAATCAAAAAGAGCTTTGGCATTATGTCGAGAAACACGGGCTTTCAATGGATCAAGAGAAGAAATTGAAATGCAACGAGCATTGCTAACGGCGGTCGAAAAACAAAAAGCACTTTTTGGTGAATTAAACCGATTGGAAAATGATGGATTGAGAATGTAAGTGTTCGGAATCCTAAAATTAAATTTATGAATATAAAAAAACATTCAGTATTGATGGTCCGCTTGGTGATTTTTCTGTCGTTCAACTTTCGGTAACTATCGCCAAGGAGTATATTATTAGAAATGCGACAAATTCGAAAAAATCTGGTACGGTTTTTAAAAGGAAAATGAAAAGGGTATTTGAAATATTGAAGATCAGAAGAAAATTTAGCCAAAATTTTGAAATTATTATTCACTTTTTTGATATAGTTTTTTCACTAATAATCAAAAATTCAAACAACTTTTTAATTTTCATAAAAATCTTCGATTTCCAGCCGAACTCTACTACTTTATCGCACTTCTCAAATACGGCGAACAAGTGAAAGTATCACAAATTGCAACCAGTGAATCTGCTCTAATGCAAAATGGTGGAGTTATGGATTTCACGATGCCTCTCACATTATCGAAAATTCCACCAAATTTCGAAGCAACTCTTGAAATTTATGGACAAAAATCGTTGCGCGAATCATTGACTCATGAGGATAAATATAATTTGAAGGGTTCGAAAAGCAAAAACAAAGGAAATTCAATGATGGTTCCACCAGCTTTTTCATTATCGGTTACTGAAACAAATTTCAATTTGATTAAACAATTGAGTTTCAAGATTGATTGTCCAGGAAAACAGGTGGGAATTTGAAGAATTCTTCCATTTTTTAACTCACTAATTGTCAATTTTTCATTCAGAAATTCCAAATTTCTGACAAAATCTACCCGCTCGATGGGTGGATAATTGTAAAAGTTCGACGAAGAGTTTGCGAGCTAGTCAACTTCGAACTCGATGGTTTTTTGTCAATGTATCAAAGAACTTCGGAAGGACTTGGAAATTGGACGAGATATTGGTGTGTTCTTTCGGCTGGAGAAATGAAATTCTGGAAACATCCTGAAGATGAAAATGTTAAGGTAAATGAGTTTGGATGATTTTCCTGGCACAAAAATTGCGGAATAGCAAGAAAATCTGTGAATTATCATGGAAAACCTGAACATTTTTCCAGGAACGTCTCGTTTCAATCGATCTTGCAACATGCTTGGATTTGAATGGAGCATCGACAGTTTCGGATATTTGCCCATATCCTAATAGTTTTTATATTGATGTTTGGGTTCCGAAAGAAGAAGACGAAAAATCGAATGAGGATTCGATTAAAACTGGAAGAATGACAACTGATGATATTGAACCATTGAGGTACGATTTTGGGTTTTGAAATATTGGGGTTGACTAAAAACAATTTCTAATTGAAAATTCGAAATTGTTTTGAAAGTTTCCAAAAGGTAGAGTGTACAACTTTCAAAAAATTATGAAATCAAATAAAAGTTCTAAAATTTTTGAGCAACGTAGTCCAGAAATTTGGATCTATATGTGTGGTATATCGTTAGACCGACATTTTTGCATTCTTCTGAAAAATTGCAGAGTAATGCTAGCGGCTGACACTCAATTGAACCTCGAAAATTGGCTGACTGCCATCAATCACTCATCTCGCCAACTTTGTACTTGGCGAAATCCAATCCCATTGAAAAATCTGTAATATTTATATTCGCCTCTCAATTTTTTTTTCATTTGTTGTTTTCAAAAATTCCTATTTTTAAATTTTTTACTGTGAATATATAAATTAATCTTGAGCTCACAAACTTTTTAAAAATTTTGTCTCAAAAGTCAATTTGACCAAGTTCATTCTTTATTTGAATTTTTTAATTACCGGCAAAACAAAATACACGTTAATTTTTTAATTTACAAAAAAAGACTAGAAATTATCCATGAGACAAAGTAGATCGATATAAATTTCCCAAACAAACATCAGAACCAAAAACTGATGAGATATTTCGGAATTGTCCACAACAAGCAATTTTTCCATGATTTGATAGGCTAGGATTTTGAGCTATTTCAGAAGACTTTGAGATCAAATAGTTAGCATAACAAGGAGCACTAAATTCCGAATGAAGCATTGTTTGAATCGCTGACATTGTTGCAGCAATTCCGCCGATTATTGCGATTACTGCAAAAATTGGTCGAATTTTTGAAGAAAAATGAAATTTATGCGAAAATAGATTTTGATAGAAAAGAACTGACCTAAAATAAAAATATTGAGTGCAAACTTGGATTTATTCGATGCTTCAAAAATATCCTTCATAGAAATTTTGTCATTTTTTTCATCCTTCTTCTCTTCCCGCTTTTTTCGGATTGTTGTCAATGAAAAATTGAACAAAATCGGGAGAACTAAAGCCATTAAAGTGACTGTAGATCCACCTACAAGATCTAGAAGTACACCAAAATTTGGAATCGAGGCGGCCACGAAAACCACTGATAACATCATTGAAGCTCGTGAGAATACGCGTTGCCAACCGAAATCTGCGATTAAAATTTATATATGAATGTTTAGAATCCTAACAAGCCAAAACCGGTCATTCAAACAATCCTTACAAAAACCATGTTTAAAACAAACCGTGCGACAAATTCAATAATTCCTCGAATTCCTGATTCAACGGATTGAAAACGATGGTCAATGCCAATGCAACGTGTAAAGTGATAAGTAAGTTGACAGTTGTTTGTATAGCAATGTTCTGCAACAAATTCTTTATCATTTCTTGGTATTTTTCTTGGGTTGAGAAAACCTTGTCAAATTCTAAAATTTGATCCGCGAATTTTTCAAAACTACTGTAGCTCGAACATTTTTTGAGAACATTGTTTACACTTCATAACTCACTTGCAAAGATGGAATAATAGTATCGGTCAACGAACTTCCGTATACAAAATAACCCGACAAGCTAACTGGAAGATAAAATGAGAAAATAATAAGGAAAGCTATCGATACACTTTTTCCAAAATGATGCGGTTTTTTCATATCGTGTTGAATCGTGGGAAACGCACAATGTCCACCATAAGAAAACATAATTGTTCCAAATGACATTAAAGTTTTTGTTAGATCGAAAGTTGGATAAAATACATCCTTGCTACATGTTTCGAAATCTCCAATCGCTCCAACAATTATCAAAATAACTGATAAAGTAGTGGTTATCATTGCGGCAACAACAGCAAACCAGAAATCTTTGGGAGATTTGGGAAGTGTAAATGGGAAAACCAGTAGGCCGACTATAAAAATCATATAGCAGAATCCAATATGCGTTTGAAAATTGGCATGTAAAATGTTCTCGCCATTTTTTGCTGCGAGTAATACAAAAACCACTGCAGTTCCAAACTGTGTTACTTGCAATATTATTGAAACAAAATGCGAAAACTTTGGGCCAATAGCTCTAAGACCCATGGCTGGATAGGGTTTTCGACAATGATCGCGATATCTGAAAAAGAAATTTGTTTTGTTTTCGATTACTGGCTAAGGACCTACTCTGGGTAAAGCTCTTGAAGTATTGTCCAATTTTCAGCGAGTAAAATTCCAGTGTAAGTACAAATCACGCCCATTGAAATTAGGAGAAATACACCCATAACAGCACCTTGAATAAAAAAAAATGATGAAATGACGTGAAAAATAGGAGAACCTACCTGTGCTTAAAATTGCAGTTGGCAATGCAATAAGTCCCCCGCCAGCAGTCTCGCCAACAATGAAAAGAGCTGTGACTAAAATGCTCATTCCTCGATCATTTACATGTTTCTCATCCATTTTTACTGAAAATGAAGGCTTATAACCAACTACTGAAAACACAATGAAACTAATTAGTACAGTTCTACCAGTTGGCTGAACTTTAAGTACCTAAAAATGCAATAAAACTATTAAGTACCGGTTTTATTGGAACACTCGTGTGATTTACTATTATTGATAACATCAGAAGGCAAAAAAATGAAAAGTAAAAAGTCTAACATAACATGTCGTAAGATAAAAAGTGATATTAATTGATCAATTTTGCGACAGAAATTAATTAGCATACATGATCAAACTTGATTTTTGTCTTTTATCATTGATTCATCACGTGAAGATATTCAGGCGATTTTCGCAACTCCTTCGTCTTTTTTATAAGTTACTGTATTGGTTGGAGCTTCTGTCCATTCGGCTGCTTTATCGGTGAAAACAAAGAAGGATAAAATGTTGGCCTGCAAAAAATGAAATTTTAAAAAGAAGGTTCCACCGAGATTTGAACTCGGGTCGCAGGATTCAAAGTCCTGAGTGCTAACCGCTACACCATGGAACCGCTCACAGTGTTTTTGCCTTGTGGGTACTATAGTACCCCTATAGGGGCACTACAAAGTTTTTGACTTGTGGGTGTAATGAGTACACCTGTAGGGGTACTATGCAAACTTTTTTTTAGTACCACTATAGGGGTGTCAAAGTGGTTTTGTAGTGGTGTAGTAGGGGTAAATCAGAATAAGACTCAAGTTTGACAATTTATTTTCACAAAAACGAACAGAACAAGAGAATTTACATTAAGTATCGAATTGTTGATTTACTAGATTCGATTTCGAACATAGATTCCTGGAGGCGATGCATCCGTCCCACAAGGTAGTCGCTTCCAATTCATCTTGAGTTTATTTGATGTCGAAAAGACGACTGTTGGTGGACCATATTGGCATGAGTTCTGGAAATAAATTGAATTAGACAAAATATTTTGCTATAGGAAATTTTTATTTTCAAGTCAAGTCGGTTCGATGGCTTTTTATCGACTCGACTCCTATGGTCGATTGTCTCGTGGTGGATGTGAACTTTCAAAGACTTCTATGATTTCGAATAAGATGGTGAACACATGCCTAATCAAACTTTACTGGTTTCAACCAATTTCACCAATGTCACTATGTTCACTACACCAATATTCAGCAACCAACGAAATAACCATATGAAAAGTCCAACCATCATCAATCATAGAAGTCAGTAAAATACATCGGCAAAAGTCAGGTCAAAAGTTGTATTCTTCACGACTTGACGCAAATTCAAGTCGGTTTCCAACTACAGTGCAGCTACGTATTTTTATCGAACAAATCACTCACCATGTGCTCCAAGATGACTTGAATTCGCTGCTCTTGGTATTCCCCAGCTCAATCGACCTTTTGGGCGATTGTTCCTCCGTTGATTTGGATTTCGACCGAATGCGCCTTCTTTTGACATCTGAAAATAAGCAACCATTCTAATCCGACTTTCCTATTCAAATTAACAAACCTGAGTGTGTGTGATGACACAGATCGATGAGCAGTAGTTCTAGAGCATTTTGAAATCGCGTTAGATGAGTTTCTTCCCATCTTTATATTGTCATTTGTTGGCACATTTGCTGGAAGCCTTCTTCTTGGAGGAAGTCCTTAAAAATCGTATTACGAGTGAATTATAACGTATGAGAAACACGAGAATGACGAAATTAGGTATAAGGCATTTCAATTTTTAACTCTGAGAAGGATTTTTCCATTGAAACTCATTAAAATGTTGAATTACATAATGAAACTGAGAATAGCCTTGTTTTATTATTAAAAATTGAAAAACTCCACATTTTTTAGTTGTCGGCCTAAAATCCACGCCTGTTCGGCAGCGGAAATAAAAATTTCGGGTTACTGTACGCAAAAATGTGCATACACACTGACATGAAATTGCACACATTATTTTTATTTTTATTTTTTTTTTCGTTTTTTTTCCGTTTCACTTTGCTAAGATATTTATTAGTGTTTTCTGAAGAGAAATCAGTTTTTACAGCATACATTGATTATTTTTTCTCGGAGAGTAATGGTTAGGTGTGTATTTGAGCGAATTCACTCCGGTTTTACTGAAATTAGTGTTTGAACTTATATTTTTTTGCTGAACCAATTGTTTGTCTATTCTCTATGTAAAATGTTTAAAATTTACGTACATATTTAATATAGAGAGCAACAGAAAAACATCGTATTTCTTTATTGTTGTACGTTTTCTGCGGATTGTCTAAATTAGTTTTTTTTAGATAATTCATGATTATAATTGGACAACATTTCAATATCAGCCAACAATATTTTTGTGGCTTGACTGGGCAAAACTCAACAAGACGAGCTATGTGACACCAACAAAATTGATGAATGGTTCATTCAACACAACTTGAATGATTGAGAGTTTCATGAAGCGAGCAAGTTTGAATAAAACGACAGAAGATTTGGCGAATAACTTGTTTCTGTTATAAACAACTTCTGAATGCCATGATATCTCTGTGTTTCGGTAAGTATTTTTATATTGAACATTCTTTCTAAAATCTTCAAAACATATGTTGACATTTCGTGGAAAAAGGTTAGCAGAAAAAAACCAAAAATAAAAATTTAAATTCCAAAATTCTCACTCTAGTTGTTCGAAAAACGAATGTATTCAGGCCTGAGTTTAATCGCCTTTAATTTTTTTTTTGATTAATTTTTCAAGGCCGAATACGATGTAAGAAAATATTATGTTTAGTTTTCACAGAAAAGCTTACTCAATCAACTAACTAGTATTAGGCTCTGGACAGCAAGATTATCACTAAAAATGAAATATTCCAGAGAAATACTAATTGTAAATTTTCCAGATAAATCACTTCACATCATCCTTCAAACATGCTCACCATCTTCCATTTGTCAAACGATGGATTTCATTTTTTCTGCCATATTTTTTTCATAAATTAATTTATTATTATGTTTTACAATTAAAATGATTGTCATTCGCGAACTGGCGAGCAAATAATGAAGGTTCAATAAGAAAATGCTTAAGATTCTACCTAAGATCAAATCAGTCTCGTTTAAAATAAGTGCTGAACTTTATTGGGAATAATTGCTGAATCAAAATTTGAAGAAATTCCAGATTTCAATCAAAACTTGATGTTTTTCATCGAATATCTAGACGCAAACTCATCAAAGAACATTTTTAAAGGTCCAGGTCATTCAAAACATTTGTCAATTGAAATCCGTTTTCAATTTAATGCAAGTGGGAAAAACAACGCATTTTTCCTTTTGAAAATAGCTTAAAATTGAGCTCAAAAATTTATAACCAAAGTTATTATCGCTATCTGAACAAATTAAACTTCAAAAAGTGAAATTCTATGATGAAAAAGCTGAAAATTCAAGCCCAGATAATCAACACAGCATTCAGTTTTTGAATTACCTTTGTAAAATATGATTCAGGTAACAGAAAACATGATTATTTTAACCATTTTCTCACGCACTCAATGTCAGTTCATGTTTTTTCACATCTAAAGTTATTTTATATGCCTATATTGTCGGAATTCCCTCTCGAAAATGAGCTAATTACCGAAAACAAATATTTGAAAAAAAAAATATTTTTGAATTTCCGCAAACGCACAAAGAAACATGCTATTTTTTGAGAAAACGGGTCTCGACACGATTTCGTAAAGTCGCAGCAGGACCTTCGGAAAATACTTATTCAAAGAGATTCGGATGCGTAGATTATCGCTACGTTTTTAGTTTTTCGAGATATGGCCTGGAACATTTTCGGGCCGCGCCGCAAGTTTCATTTTGAAAAATTGATGACGTCACAAGCGTGGCCGAAGTTTCTTCTTCCCCGAACAGTCGTGAATCATGCTTAATGTGTGAATTTCGAAGTTCTGCTGGAATTTCTTGCTTGTTCCTAGGCGGGGAACATGTTTTATAAACTTTTTGCAGTTTGAACACTCAATTTCTCCATGAAACATGAAACAAACAAAACAAACGAAAAAAAAACGAAAAAAAATTTTTGACGCCACTCGTCCGTGAGAAGTACACACAAGCAAACACGCTGCGAGACCAATGTGATAAATTCCATGCGCCTTTACTTTTCATTTTCGCGCATTAAAATATCATTTTTTGGAGGAAATGACATACACCATTGAATTCAAAATGTCAAGACGAACAAAATGGTTATAAATTTAACATATATTGTCTCACTTTTAGTGGACTTCTCTTGGAGTGAAAAAATGATAATTTTTGACCAGCATTGATTGTTAGGAGCCAATAAATGCTCTCAGAAGCATTGTGTGTGTTTATATCGCAAGAAATGTGGATTTTCACTGTTTTAGAGATGCAAACATTTTCCCAGAATCGGGACCACTACTCAACCCCTACATGACCCCTACACTTGAAAAATAAAAGTTCATAACTTTTTCAAATTGACGTTTTTCTGAATGAAATTTTTCAGACAACAATTTCAGAACCTTTAGATTAGTTTGTACTTTTTAGTTTTTCTCAAATGAACACCACTAAATAATCTCTTTTGAATCCCTGCCAATTAGTGGTGCAATAGGGGTGCAATAGGGGTAAAAATCACCCCTATTGCACCCCTAAATCACGATAGGGGTACTATAGTACCCACAAGGCAAAAACACTGTGGCTGGGCGAGCGACGGCAAAATTTTTTCAATATTTTCGGGGCTAACAATTTCTTTCGATGATATGATGAATCGTTTGAGATCCAGTAGCCTAATTTTCAATTTTGAAATTTATATGGCTAAATGCGTTGAAACAAGTAAATAAGTTTGATCAGAAAGGCATTTCGCATTGTTTGTGAGAATTTTTGAAAATGAGGCACTCGTTTATCAGCCAAAAATCACTTACAATCACATTCAAAACTGCTACCGAAATAAAAACATGGCTCCATTGAGTTTGATTGGTTTCATCTGTGACAAAATAAGCAACGACAGCCGGTCCGGCAAATAATGCAAGACATTTTGTAAATTGAATTGTTGAAATAACAATCGTTGAGAATTGTCTGAAAACCCGATTTTTGTTTTTCTTCAAAAAAGTTATCAAAACCTTGCATGAAGAGTTCCACATTTATAAAATCCTCCACAATTAAAACTGATGAAGCATTCCAAGACTGCGAGAACAAATACAGCGGTATATTTATTTTCAGCCGGGACATATCTGGAAACGTTTTATTTCGTTGCAACTCAACTTTCTGAACTATTTTTTACCCAAATATAACGAAACATATTCCAACACATCCGACTGCAAAGGTATTGAAGAGTAGAATTTTTCCGAGTTCTGAGAGACATCTAGTTTTATCACTCAAAAATGCGCAGACAAATCGGAATGGAATATGAACAGCTATAAGGAGACCCAACCAGAAACCGATTTCTTTGATCTACAAAAGAACATTGGTACAATAAAATCTAGGTAGAGCTTACCGTGAATCCTAAAACACTTCTGAAATAAATGGGAGCATAAGTAGCAATCAGAATAAGAGTGGTCAATTCGGTGAAAGCACAGAGCCAAACACAAAGAATTGTGGGACTTGTGAAAATTTTGAAGTATGGAACTTCGATATTATCCTTGAGATGTGATTCCGATTTATTTTTCTGGATTTTTCCGAGTTCTTTTTGAGAAACACTTTTATGAACAGCTGGATTGTCATTATAAACAATTAACCAGAGAATGAAAACAATAACTGAACCAATAGCGTGGAAGTAGAAACTATATTTCCAGCCGAGAGATGATTCACAAATCTGAAAGAATCCAACAAGGTGAAAACTTCATGCGTTGGTATTGCAAAACGTGTACAGTATGTACTTGTGTATGAATATTTTATCAAACTCGGTCTAGTTACAACTCACCAATCCACTTGCTCCATTTGTAACAATCGACGCGATTGAGGTGAAGGATGTAAGTGCAGATATAAAAATTGCAGTTTCCCTCAAAGGTGCCCATTTTGCGATAACAATTCCAACAGCTGCAAAATCAGCAGAATACGCAATTCCCTGCAAAAATCTAACAAATAGAAATAGCACGGTGTTTCCTCCAGCTGTCATTGGAGTGATTGCAGTTGTCAAAGCCGAGAGCATTCCGGCCACAAAAAATGGAATTCTGGAAAAGATTGCGAATGGGAAAGGTTTTTTGAAAACTTAACGTACTTCGCGCCAAATTTAACGTATAAAACATTTACTGGAAATGTTCCAACGATTGTTCCAGCAGCTACGGCCCATAGAATATGTTTTTTCTCAGTTGGTGTATAATCAAAGGCGCTTTTCAAAGTCTGTAAATATATTTTGCTTCGAATTTAGTGCATTTTGCGGGATATTCAAGTATTTTTTATGAATTAATTTTCTCACCCCATTTGATGTTTCCACAGTTTCACTCATATCATCTTTCATACAAATAAATGTAAAATTAATGATAATATAATTGGAACAAATTGAAACAAGACATAGAAAACTGACAAGAACTACCAGAATACGGTAGTAGTTTCCACAAATTGGCATCTGAAAAAAGAAATAGCTGGACTTTTTATTCATGAGGAATAAATAAAAAAAAGATGGTTATCTTTAAAACACGAAATAATATGTATTGATTTGATTTTCGGTTGGAAAATAAAAAGTTTCAGAAAAAACAAAAAAAACACGTGTTTTCATCTTACCCTAACTCGCTAATTCTCACTAAAATAGTTGGGCAAACAATAATATTTATGTAGAATGATAATCGCCGTCCAGAAAGATCATCTATTCTTCACACTTTTTGATTCTGATCTCAAGTTATTTTAGACAGTTTTAAAAAAAAGTGTCATGCGAAAATCAAAAGGTTCAATAAAACAAAACATGTGAAGAAGATGAAGATGGAGAAAAATATTAATTGGATCTTGAAAAAAACGGAAGCCTGGAAGATGCGTAAGACCTTGGGAGAAGATTTTTCATCTTTTAATATCAAAAAATAAATAAATATTTGACTTGTTCTTGTCTTTGTCTTGCAAAATAAATTGATGAAGATGAAAAAACAAAGGTTGACCACTTATTAAATTTAATTGTTTTATGGTCAGAAATATCACGAAAAAAAAGTTCTATTTGGAATTTTTGGCTGAGTCTCGCAACGATCCAGTAAAACAGGTTTGTTTCACCTTTAAATGTTTTTATTCCGCGAATAGTCCTCACAGAAAGGCACAAGGAAATTATTTTTTCTGAAGTTCACAAATACTGTGTGAATTTTGTGAAAACATAGTATGTTAGAATAAGAGACGAAGAGAAGTTCCCAATAGTAAAAATTTTTCAGTTTTCTTTCAAACAAATTTGAAGATATTATTTTTCTTCTCTTTTTTTAAAGAACACGCAAACAGGTCACACTTTTTATCAATCATAGATTAAATGGATCATTCGAATTCGTCAGACTTGTAAAACAAAAAAATCAAAGACTTTATTTTTTACAACATAAACACACAACACACAAACCCGAATTGAATTCAAAATAACAAAATGTGTCTGTTTCAACTCAAATATTCGCCTCATTCATAACATCATTATGACTATCCAAAATATCATCATCATCCTCCAAATTCTCGTTTTTCATACTTCGCACATACAAGTCCGATGATCTGAAACAGGTTTTATCTATATCGATTCTTTTTTTGCACTTTTTTTTGTTTAACAAAGAAAAGGTCAAAACTTACCCAACAATAAAAAATGGTATTAATAGAAGCGCCGCACTTATAACATATAATAAACCGGGGAAAAACGACAATGTTTTCGGATAAATATTATTGTAGATTGAAGTTGCGACAAGTGATGAGATTCCTTCCATAATTGCGATTATTGAGAAGATTTTTCCTGGAAACATTTTTTATGTGATCCAAAATTTGGATGAAAAATCCCTCCGAGCTCTAACTAATCTAAGTGCACTGTTTCATTCGAAACTGGATTTCTTAATATAGATCAAATTACCTTGCTCATTCATTTCGATTAGGCTTGAAATGAAGGCACGGAATCCGGTTGAGACAAATCGATTGAACATGACGACGACTGAAAGAAAATAGTTATGACGTGGCAAAAAAAACCGTGAGCTTCCAAAAAATCCCATGTGACCCACCAGAAATCGCATAAGCCATAATATCATTCTGAATAAAAGCAAACATGAGCAATGACACAAATTTGAAGCTCAATCCAAGTGAAGCCAATAATCCATCAGATTTCACCCACATTCGGAATAATGGGTATAAAAATATGACAGAAGCTGTAGTGATTCCGTATGATAAACCAGAAAACCATCCATATTTTTTGTCACCCCAGCCTAATTTATAGCGAAGATATGAAAATTGGATATCTCCAAGACCAGAAAAAATCAATAATTCGATTCCAAAAGCAAATAAATTTAGGAGAAGAATTATATGGAAAGTTCGTTTTTTGGATAAAACTTTATAAAAATCACGAATTACTTCGAATATTTGTTTACCAGCTCCATTGATTAGTGCTGAAAAATTGAGATTAAAAATAATTCATACGGAACTTTTCAAATAAACTCACAAGTATTTTCATTGGGCGGTCGTCTTTCAAATTCCGTCTCCTTCGCCACCAACAACAAATAAATCAGTGCCAAAATCTGTAATCCAATGACTATCAAAAATATGGCAACATATCCGCAAGCTTCTCGAATTGTTCCAGACAATGCAAATCCAATAGTTCCACCGAGTCCAATCGCTCCTTCAATTCCAGCAATTCGATAACTTCGATGACGAATCAAACAAGTTTTTACGCCGTATGTTAAAGTTGTGGCTGAAAATGAGAAACTGAAGTTTCATTAGAGCTTTTTGATGTAATACAGTATTGTGGTTAGTTAATTTTAGGTCAAAAATTGTGAATTTGAGGCAAAAAAAAATTGCAGACTAATTTCAGTTCTGTGAGTTATGACGTGGCTCTCGTGAAGGTTGAACTCATTTTTAAAAAAAAACTTACAAATAATGGCAATATATCCTCCACAAATTCCGAATAACACATCACTTATCAGCAAATAATAAACACTTGAATGAATCAAAAATGATTGAACTATATAATTGATTGAACCCAAAATACATCCAACATATGGAATTATTAGCGGAATTTTTACACTCCAATAATCCGAAGCTGAAAAATTGATATTTCTCAGGTGACCCGGGGAATAGTTTCAGTTTCTTGTAGAAATCAAGAAAGTATGTGTTTTTTGTAGAATTACGATTATTCTTGATTTTTGGTTCTGAAACGAGTGAAAAATTGAAAATTAAAAAAAAATGAAAACTCCATTAAAGGTACACGCATTTTTAGCTCTGGTCTCGTAGCGAGCAAGCTTTTTTGTAGTTCTTTTGGAGAACTTTTAATTTTTTTTCAAGTTTTCAGATAAATCTAGGTAGTAAAATCTGAAAATCCAGAGAAGAATCAGAATAGATTAATCGATTTAAGAAGTTAGTTTTTCCCCCAAAGTAAGCCAAAAACTCACCAGCTCCAAGCAAAAGTGTGGTAATAAGCGATGGAATCATAAGTGTAAGTGATGAAATAAAATAAAAATGATTAGCGGCTGTTTGAATATCCTTATCGTTATAATAATTCGAAACATTCCGACAAAAAGTCACATTTTGCTCAAATTTATCCAAACACTCTTTCTCATAAATCAAATTTTGAAACACGGGATATTGCAAATCCGATCCAAACATGTACAAAAATAGCGGAATTTCCATGCCAAGCAAGTTTGAAAAACTCGGCATTGTTGGATTTCTGTCAAAAAATTGTTTTCGTTTCGTTTATTTTCTTTTCTGACCATGAAAACAAGAGAAACAACATAGGAAAAGGAGAGAGTTCAGAGAAAAAAACGAAAAATGTATAAACATAGGAATAAAAAAATCGAATTATAATTGGAAACCGGCTGATAAGAATAACATTTCGTCGCTTTTTTTGAGGTTTGCAAGTTATCAGTGGCTTTTTGGCTTTTCAGGTAACATCAAATTTTGATCAAGCCCAAATTCAGATCATACAGACCAAAAATAACTGCGAAAAAATATTTATTTATTTTTCCTATCATAATCTCAATCAAGTTCAATATTGCTAGAAAATCCAGTATAATTCAATGGGCGCAGTGTAACCGGCGAAATATCGTACATTTTCTAAAACGAAAATTTCTATGTTTTTCCGCAAACTTTCAAAAAACTCACATTTCCACTTCCTGGAACTCTAAAAGTCGAAAAACTAGCCAACGGCGGGAAATTCGAAATTGCTTTCAATCGTTCTTCCTCCAAATTATCACGATTTTTCGCAAATTCAACGCCATAAAATAGACTTGCAATGATTTTGGCTGAAAGTGCATCAACAATCATCAAAATATTTGAATCTTGTTTATTAGTCAGCTCATGAAATGCTCTTTTTATGTGATTTACCAAATCAACAAATTCCGAGTTTGAGGTCTAAAAAAAGGTATTTTTCAAAAATATTGGATAAAATGTTTCAATTTACTTGTGAAAGTATTTTCCCAAAACTCACGATAGCTTTCAATTGATTTGTCTTCGAATCAATATTTATTCCCATTCTCAAAAATTCATCCCGATTAAAAAACACATTTTTCACATTGTGCATTGTCGACAATTCGGGTTCGATTCGAATTTTCGGCGATTTTTCGAGTCCAATAAATTTCTGAATAATCGCCGCAGTTTCAACACTCGCCAAATCAGGCGTCGAAATTATTACAGTTGGTATAATTTTTCGCTCGATTATTTCGCGTCCCATCATTTTTGCCGTGATTTTTCCCATTTCGGAAAGTGGCGGATCAGCGGAGTAAGATTTTCGAATTTCGGATCGATTTGGTAGTTCAACTGGGCAGTTCTGAAAATCTATATTTAAAGAACCAGTCTCTTCGGCTTTTTTTAGCAAAAAATTATTTCTAGCCTCAAAAATGCAACTAAAAACCCACCACATCAAAAGGGATCAAATTATTCTCGGTTAAACCAGATCTTGACACCCAATCCGGAAAAACTTCGGAAATAGTTTCAGCACTTCTTAAAACAATAATCTCATCTCCATTAAAAGCAGGCGGTGCTCCAAGAGCTCGAAAATCGCCTACAGTATACATTTCTGATAATTTTGTCGATCGCGTCGTTTCATCAACCATTTTTTTAAATAAAATTTTTGAAAAATAAATGATTTCTAATATTTAATTTTTTTTAATTGAAAAAAGTGGGTCACGCTAAATATTTTTCCGTTTTTTGGTGAATTGAATACGGTAAGTACTTATGTAGAGATTTTCGTGCTTAAAATCCAAATTTCAAAATTTGAAAACTTTAGAATATGTATTTTTAATAAATAAACGTGAAGAAACAAATATTTAGAATAATAAAAATGAAATTTTCTGTAGTTTTTTTGTTTGAAGAATTTCGGATAAATGGATAGAAAAAATCATTTGGAAGGCGAATATCGATATAAGGAAGTGAAGCAAAAACTGATTTTGGTTCTGAAAAATTAAGTTATAATTTCCACGTCATAACTCATGCTGTAACTTACTTGGTGTAACATCGCTGAACTTTACAATTAGAGGTAGATGAATTGTTTGACCTGGATTGTAATCGATCTGAAAAATTCGATTTTTTTTCTTCCGAACTACATATTTGAAAGAATAATCTTACATAATCAAGTGATAGATCAAAACTTGCGCCAACAATTATTTCTCGATAATTTTTGATGGTTCCTTGTTTTGAGAAATAAATCAGAAAACGGGAGGAAACTGGCAGACGACAACTTTTTTGAGATGGCGATTTCTGAAGAAAAAATTGGGATTTTTGAGAAAAAAATGATTTTCGTAACTTTACAGTAATTTTTTTAAAAATAATTTTCAAAGATTTTTCAGAAGAAATTATTTTTTGGAAAAAAATCCAATTTTCTAACTAAATTACCAGAAAAGTTTGAAGCGGGGGCACATTTAGTTTTCAAAAAAAAATTCCATCTCATAATTTTTTGGACTCAAAAAATCTCAAATTTTAAGCTACAGAAATCTATCTACCAACTCACCTCCTCCCAAGTCACATTAATTCTATTAACCAACGCTGGTTGAGCATCATCCGAAGGCACACTCAAAATTTCCATCGGAAAAATTTGCTCATAAAATTTTTTGGCCAAAAATCGAGCTTCTTCACAATTCTTCGAATTCTCCAAAAAACAAGTTCCAGCAATTTCTTGCTTGAATAAAACCTGATTTTTTTCCGAAACAGTTCCCAAACAATTTTGCAAAATTGGTAAATTTAAAGGGACAGCAACCATGCCGCTAACCGAATAAATTGCATCATTTTCAGAATATCCCAATTTTCCTTGCTGGATTTTTTCGTCGACGAAAAATATATTGAAAGTTTGCTCGAAATTTTGAAAATTTTCAATTTTAATCGAATCATAGACAATTTCTACAAAAGCTGAAGATAAAGAATTTGTTGAAATGTTTTTGATAAAATAAATATTGGCAGTTTGAATAACTCCAAAACATCCGCTGGAATTTGAAATTGGTTCGAAAAATGAGCCCTGAAATGTTATATTTTCAGCAATTTTCTGGCCGAAAAGCATATTTGAATTGAGAAATTTATTAGATTTGCAATTTTCGATGCTTTCGATTTTTGCACGGCATTTTGTTGTGGTATTTTGATTTAGTTCTGGAAAAAAATCGTAAAATTTCAGAATTTTCGAAAAAAAATTTCCTAGTCCAGGAATGTTGGAACCACGTTGAAATGCTTCCAAAATTGAAAAAAAAACTAACCAATATTCCTCGTCCCACTACAAAAATCGCCATCTGATAATGTCGCTGGAATTTTAAACGCATTTTTTCTGCCATCAAGCATAACTATCGAAATATTCCTGTTTTCAGAATTTTTCCAGATTCCTTGTGAAAGTGAATATTGTTTCCAGTCCTCTGCATTTTGCACAATTTGTATTTTCGAATATTCCAGATTATCGTTAGTTTTTGCAATGCACAAAAGTCGATTTGTAGGGAAAATTGAGTCGATTCGATGACGAACTACGTTTGGATAACAAACTTCTTGGGATTTAATTAGTCTCGGGATAATTAATAGTAAAAATAAGGGGAGAAACATAGCCTAACTCTAAAAGAAATCAACAATTTCATGCAGATGAGTGGTTGCTATAGTTACCAGACAAGCAAATGCGCTCCATTTCAATTTCAAAATTTATTTCACTAAATAATAACGTAAAAATGTTTGGAAAATTGAGAAGGAGTGCGATAAAAATGAAAGTGGAGTGAACTACCTAAATTGACAAGTTTATAGGTAATTTAGAGTGCTTTGGCTGATTCGACTTCGATGTATTTGATCAAATCGGCACGTTCGTCAGCCTTCTTCAAACCGGCGAACACCATCTTGGTTCCTGGGATGTACTTCTTTGGGTTCAACAAGTATTCGAACAATGTTTCGCGAGTCCATGTAACTCCCTGGAAAAATAATTTGAGATAAGAAATTAGAAGAGGAAGAAGGAAATCACCACAAACCAGGTGAACAGAAGTAATTTGAACACATTTGTAGAGGGTGGGTTTAAAAATCAACAAAAGTAGGAGAAAGAGGTTAATGTCTCCGAAATTTCAATTGAAGAAGGTCTTCAGGGACTGGGTCATGTTTAGAGGGAAAACGCGGTTTTAAACTCACCTTGCTCTTGTTGGCAGCCGAATAGTCGAATCCTGGTACAGTTCCTGAAACACGTCCAATAACTCCGTGGAGGGTTGGTCCGGTCTTTGTGGCGGTCGAATCAACGACGTGGCATTGCAAACATCTTTGCTTGTACACCTTCTTTCCTTTTTCGTAATCTCCAGCTGGAATATCAGACATGATTGACCCTGAAAATTGGAAAACTTGTTCAATTTACAATTAGAGTAGGACTTGTTTTTTTTACAAAATAAAAATCTAAAAACTGGAGCGAACAAAATGAAAAATCGTACGTAAATGTGAAAACCGCCCATGATGCAATAGACGAGACAGAGAAAAAAAGACGAGAAAACCGCCTTAATACATAGAGAGCGAGAGACGGAGAGGGAAGAGTTTTGAAGAACAAATTTTTGTTTTGGAGGAGTGGGATATGTTTTAATTTGAAAAAATGAGTGGATAGTGGATTTTCAGATATTTTTGGATCTAAATTTTCAGAAATACAAACGATAGAAAAACAATCTAATAGGCTGGAAAAAATGTGACGATGTAAATAATATTTTTTTTTAAATTTTTTCACGTTTACAAAAATACAATTTTCGGTTTCATTTTTCGGCATTCCATATTTTGCTAATATTCTAAACAGGCAGTTCATTTCTAATTAGTTTTCCGAACGGAAATGACAATTATCATAATATTAGCATTTCTAATCTTAATTGCTCCTACAAGTTCTTCGAAATTCGATAAATTCTTGCAACATTCTAGTTTGACAAATGTAAGCAACGTAACTAAATTGTTTACTGATTCAGAAAACCTGCTAAATGAGCATAGCTTTTCTGAAACTTCCAAAAGAATTCGTTTCAATTTCATGCTATATAATGTCTATACCAAAACGGAATATAAAGAATATGCGAACTTGGTCGAATCAAGACAATTCGGGGAAAATGTAGTCCGGTTGTGCAGTGTGCTTGCAACTATTTATGTTTGTATAGCAGTCAAATGTTATAAGATGATGAAGTTATACCAAGAACTGCGAGCTGCTCAAGATTTTTGAAAATCATATGACGATGAAATTAGGTAGCCTATCAATAAAGAAAATTCACTTTCTAAAACTGCGTTGAATGAAAAAATTATCAGCAGGGACCATTTAAAAATGTGAGTTGCTTTCGTGTTTCCACAGGTTGTTATTTTCTACCCGAAAAAATTCGCGCAATTTTTGAGACCTGACACGATCTTAGGGGTGGGACTAAAAACCGACGAAATCAACGCAAAAATGAGAGATTTAGAGAAAAATTATTTTTGATCTACCCCAAAGACTATCGAAAAATTTGGAGGCCTAGCGATTTGGGGTAGTAAATTACACACTGTGGTTTCTCGAAATTTCTAAAATGTTGCACGGCAAAAAGAAATCCTACAGTTTCGTTTTCATTGAAAATGTAAAGATTGAACAATTTTTCAAAAATTTTGATATAAAAATGAAGTATTTTCAGAATTAACCGAAAACTTCGAACTAAAAAGAAACTGGGTTCTCTATGAGTTTTTTTTTAAATTTTGAGCACTTTGAATCGAAAACAAGTTATAGATCTATTGAAGATTTCTGAATACTTGCACCAATCTGGAGAAAATATTCTTTCATAGACATTCTTAATGAAACCTTAAAACCTAAAAATAAGAAACTATACAAAATATATTTTGATATGGATGAAACCTTTTTCTGAAACAATCAACAGTACTCGAGAAATGTTTGGGTAACAATTTATTGTAACAGAAGAAAACAATAAAACCACGCTTAAGCGAAGTGGGTTTGTGGGCGAGCAGTGGTGAAGAGGTTGAGGTTTCTTCTCTTGGTGATTCTGTGTGGGAGTGGGAATCGGATCTTCGAGTCGTGGAACATCTTGATTCCGGCACGCTTGGTGTCTTCGGCCTTGATGGTTTGGACCTTGAGGATGTGGATACGGTCGGCTTGGGCACGATGACGAGCTCCCATGTCACGGTAGGCTTGGGTGACGGCTCCAGCGACAGTGGTGTCACGGTACTCACGGTACATGTTGTGGTGTCCGGTACGGGAATCGTACTTCAACCAGACTCCGTAGTTCTTGACGGTACCTGGCTTCTTCTCGAAGATCTAAAAATAGTTTAAATTGAATCAATATTTACTTGAGACAAAACTCACTTGTTTAACTGAGAGGATCTCTCCGTTAGCCTTCTTCACACGACGAAGCATAGAGACGAAGTACCAGAATCGTGACTTGGCGATGATGTGGTTGGTGGCGAAGATTTGCATCTTCCAGATTGGTGTCACCGGTTCACGTTCGGTTGGGATTTTACGTCCAACGACGATGTACTCGTTCAAAGTTTCTCCGAGAGCCTTGGTTGGCATGTTTTAACCCTGAAAAATAAATGGGTTTTTTAGGATTGAAAGAGTTATTAACACGTTAACAGAGAATTAATAAAACATATTTTGACTAACAAAAAATTTGATAATTTTACGAATAAGAACCGAAATATACGAAGTCATGAACTTCCACGTTCTTCTCGCAGCAAAAATAGAAAAAGTTCCCATTTCCTAAAAATATTTTTGACGCGAGAAGTGTACAAAATAGTGTGTTCCGTGCAGCGTGTTTCAATACCGTAGTTTGCACACTCGCCGTCGATTTACTAGCGTTGTTCGTTGGAGCGCACTTGCATTCTTACTTTTATTTCAAAGAAAAACGACTATTTTTTTTTGTTTTTCGGGTAAATAAAAATGCCAAGAAAGAAGTCACTTGATCTCAAACATCTTGATGAACAAAAGAAGGCAGCGCTTTCCGATATTCATGATAAATTATACGATGTGAAAGAGAAACAAGATCAAGTTAACGAAGCTTTGGAGAAAATTCAAGGTTTTCTGAACAGGGATCCTCATATTGCAACGAATCAAAAAGCCAGAGTAAGTCTTTATTTTTTCTTGAAATTCCATATATGGATCAGATGTTATTTTAGAATCGAAGTATTAGTCTGCACTCCACGTTGTTGAAAAATACTGAAAATCAAGTCGATCTCCTGAAAAGCGTGTTAAACTCAATTGAAGAATTGCGAAAATCCGAGTACAAATCGAAAATGAAGAAAGAGATCAAACGACGAGATTTAATGGAATTAATTCAACAACAAGGCGAAACTCTGCCGCTTTGGGTAAATGTGAATAATGGATATCCAGGAGAAGGTGTCGGTGCGATTGCTTCAAATGAAAAATTAGTTGTGGGTGATGCTGTTGCCGCATATCACAAAGACAATTGGATTTTAGCCGAAGTTGTGACGTGTCATTCATTGAGTCGATTTGAATGTCGAGATGTTGATGATGAACAAAAGAAACTTTCTGTGTTTTCGAAGACAAATCTGATTTTATTACCAAAATGGCGGGCAAATCCAGGATATGACAAACATGCTTTATTCCCGGTCGATGCAATTGTTCTTGCACTATACCCCCAAACAACTTGTTTTTATAAAGGAGTTGTTCATGAGGTTCCAGCGGAAGCCACAGATTGTTATCAAATCGCATTCGATGATGCTTCCTACCCTTCCGGATATTCTCCTCCAATGTCGATTCCACAAAAATATGTGGTACGATTTCAAATAAGCGATGATGAACGGAGGAAGAAAGAAAACTCAGAGTAAAACAATTTCATATGTATATAAATAAAAAAATATTTATTGAAAAAGGTAAATAATCAGCCTAATCTACTGTCTAGACCCGTATATCTAGATCTATCAGAAAACATATTTAGATCGCATTGAACTTGGAATTTCCATCGAGGCGCAATCGAATTCGTAATGTCTCCAAATTTTTATTAGTTTTTTGGAGATTTTCAATCCATCGAAAAGCAGTGGTATTATCATTTTTGTATAAAGCACCCAATGCATAGATTATCTCAAAATCTTGTTCGTGAATACTCCGTCTTGCTTCGGTTCTCCGCTTTTTCCAATCTTCAAACCAATTCTCGTAATTTTCATCCATCTCTTCTTTTTTAAATTCTTCCAATGGTGGAAGCTTCGGTGGACCTGATAAAATAATATAATCGATTTTATTATCCTGAACATAAACAGTTGAGCGATCCACAAATATTTCATCTCCCGTTTTCAAATCTTCAATAAGTTTTTGCTGCGATAAAGATTGTGATGTTACCATCCATGCATCTTCAGGTAATTTTAACAATGAAATTGCAGCAGCTGGATCGCGGCTCATCATTTTCAAAGCAATTCCAGCCAATTCAGAAGGACTTAAGGATTTTCCTGGAAAATAAGGACTTCTCAAAAATACTCCAGTTTCCAAAAAATTACCTTCTACATGTCTTCTATCTAAATATTTATTAGAATGTTTTAATTTCGGCATCCAATATAACATTCTCTTCACTTTTTTCGTTGCAAAATTCCATTCTCCAAAAGCGTTCACAACAATATCATGAATTTCTTTGTCTGGTTGAACACCGTGCCATTCCATCTCATCCAAAACTTTTACACAACAGTTTTGTTGCATTGGATAATGCAGAAAGATTTTTTGAAACGCGGTTTGTGGAATCATTTTGCCTTTTGGAAAAATATCCAAAAGTGTTTTGTAAGTTTCCAAATCTTTGTGCACACCATAATCTTTCATATATTTTAGCGCGGTGTTGATGAATTCGACATGTGTTCGCCCACGTTTTTCTTTGAATTGTGCTATAATTTTTTTTCATATTGAGATAAGTACATAATTGAAAACAACTCACCAACGGCAGCTAGAAAACTTTCTCTATCCCGTTTTTCAGGTTCGACGCCTTCAAAGTGTTTTTGCACATGGACAAGTTCGTTTCGCGTTGTCAAACTTCTCGAGAAACTTCGCACAAAATTCGATATCATGCCTAGAACATTACAAAAATTATATTTGTCGATTAAACCTCGAAATTCCAGCAGAAACTCGAAAAAACGAAAAAAAAAAAGAAAATACGCCCGGGGACTAGGAATCTATGGCCGAACATTCCACTCCAAACCTAGGCCAGCTGAAAAATTTCATAATTTTTTGCCGCCTAAAATCGAAGAAATTCTAGTGTTTTCATGACTTGAAGAGCTCAAAACATTTCCAAAAAGACAAAGAATGTCGAAAAGTATTGGGAAAAGGTGTGGTGAGTTCTTGAATTATCGAAAAGTCTTCTAAATCCTTTTTTTTGCAGAAAACTTCATTCGTTTGTTGATTACGTGAAAGACTTGCATGCCAGAAATTTATTGAGAAACTCTTTTCCATCTGATTTGGGAACTAAATTCAATGATGAATTATCGTGAGTTTCCCTGTTTGTCTATAGAAGAAAAATCAATTGTTTTAAAGTTCTCTTCCACCATACGCATATGCAGGCTTCGATCCAACCGCAGAATCTCTCCACGTTGGCAACTTGCTAATATTAACGAATCTATTGAGAGTTCAACAATTTGGAATACAACCAATTGCTTTAATCGGTGGAGCTACAGCCAGAATTGGCGATCCGAGTGGCAGAACAACAGAAAGAAATACAATTTCAGAAGATATTGTTGAAAACAATGCGAAAAGTGTGACGAATCAAGTTTTGTCGATCTTTGAAAATGCCACAGATCAAAAACCGATTATTGTCAATAATTATGAATGGTTCGGAAATATGGGAATGATTGATTATCTTAGAAATTGTAAAAAGATGCAATTGGGTGAAATGTTGAGGATGGGTGCAGTGAAATCAAGAATGGAGTCCGGTATTTCATTTACCGAATTTAGTTATCAAACAATGCAGGCTTACGATTGGTATATGTTGGATAATAAATATGGATGTAGATTTCAACTTGGCGGATCGGATCAATTAGGCCATCTTGATTTTGGTGCACATAATATCAAACGTCTCACAAATCACTTTGCCGCAGGAGTTTGTTTACCTTTACTAGTTGATTCAGCAGGTAACAAACTTGGAAAATCCGTTGGAGGCGGTTCACTTTGGCTAGACTCCAAGAAAACTTCACCATATCATTTTTATCAATATTTCACACAATTACACGACGATAAAGCAGAAGAGCTACTTCTACAGCTTAGTTTACGATCTATAGATGAAGTCACAGGTATTGTTAAGGAGCATCGAAATTCTCTTGGAAAACGAGTCGCACAAATCGAGATTGCTGAAGAAGTAACGAAATTGGTTCACGGAAAAATTGGTTTAGATTCTGCGAAGCGATGTACAAATGCTCTTTTTGGAGGGAAAAATGCAGATTTTTCAAATCTTCAAAAAGATGAAATTTTGCAACTTTTCGGTACTACTGTAGATTTGAGAAATGTTGAGACAATTGGACAACTTGCTGATTTAACAAGAACAGATAAAGTTAAAGGAAGTGAATTAATGAAAAAAGGAGCATTTTCAGTGAACGGAATGAAGGTGGGTTGTTATATTTTTTTGTGAGAAGAAATGTAAAAATTTGAATTTTCAGAAGTTGGATCCCGCCGAAAAACTCGATAATTCACACCATTTGCCAAATAATCCTGGACTAACCTTAGTTTGCTGGGGAAAACGAAAATATCAATTGGTTCGATGGATTTAGAAAAAATATTCCAATTTAGGATAGTTCATTTTTAGGTAGTTTAAAATAAATTATTTTGTTTTTTTTTTTTGAATATTTTTTTCTTAATCAATCGTTTAAACGATTTCAAATATTTTTGTGATTTTTTTTATTGAATTCTTAAAAAGTTTCTATGTCCTATTTTTTGGGTCAGAAAGTTTTTAATTTTACTTTTCCCAAAGTCTCAGGTACTTTCGAATTTTATTTGGCTGAAAATAATTATTTTTGAGTCAAGCCAACTTTGTCCTCTGTAATTTCTTCTCCCTTTTCAATTTCCTCTAAAAATCCTAGTTTCTTCTAGTCTGCTCCATATTTGTATATGAGTGGAGCCGCGCATTCTAAACTTCAAAAGCTTGTTCTCTCCACATATCGCGATTTCTTACGTGCTTCTCGCAATCAACATCCTAGCATCCGAACGCACATTCGACAAGAGTTTCGTGCTTCCGCAACACGTTTTGATAAATCCGAAGTTCTCATCATTGAGCACTTTTTAAGACGAAGTCAAAGACAATTGGAAACTATAAGAAAAGGACAAATCGAGAAGATTTCTGTTGTTGAAAATCACAAAAACTAAACAAATAGGTACTTTTCTCTGAATGATCTGTTGTGAAAAAATTTTTTATGTAGATTTTTTATTTGAAAAATTGAGGATAAATGGCGAAATCGTGGCGAGACCCAAGAAATATGGGTTTATCATTATTCCTGCATTTTTTCAAATAGAAAACTACTGGTGAAAACTATATTTTCCGAATTTTAATTTTTTTCCACCTTCCCTTTTTTACTAATAGTTTTTGTGATATTCCTAACTTTTGCAATTCCAATATTTTGCATCCAAAAATTAAATCATTTTCAGAATGGCTGACACTCGTGAACTCCCAGTTTTCGCCTACATTGAAGAACCAAAACAATTGCAAGAAATTCGTGAATATTTGAACAAAAACGAAGCTGTTAAATTGAACCCAAATGGACCAGAAGACATCGCAGCAAATCTCATCGAAATTTGCGGAACTCTTCATTTATTGCCAAAATGGGCACAAGATGTTGATGTGATTTTGAACTCGATTTGCTCGTTGATTGTTATTGTTCCAGCTGAGAAAAGTGAAGCTGTTGTGACTGCGTTTATTAAAGCTGTTTCACCGGAACATTATAAAGGAGTTGGATGGGGAAGTCATGTACGTTTTTTTAATCGAAAATTTGAATCAGTTGCTTGAAAAACAAAATGCCACCAAGCCAAAATTAAAAAATGTTCTTTCAACAATCATCCAATTTCCATTTTTTAGGCTGGCCACGCCGTCCGCGTTCTCTCCAATTTGTTCCGCGGCTATTCAAACTTGAAAAATATCCAAGAAATGACATTTCGTGCTCTCATCGGAATGTGCTCCGAAGCGAAATTGATTGGCGAACTCGCGTGCGATTTGGAAACTTTGAATGAACAATTCACCAATTGGGGAACACCGATTGAAGGACAACGCGAAATTTTGAGAAGTGTTCATCGCGCTTTTATTGCCGATTCGAAAGCGGACAGAGCTGCTAATGTGAGTTCATTTAATTTATGGCCTTGACTATTATATTTTTCTGTAATTTTGGAAACAATTCCAGGATCTTTTAATATAAAGAAAATCGATTTTATTGTAGATCATGACAGTTCTTCTTGGCACATACACCGAAACCGATGCAGCAAAAGCTCGCGAAGATGCTCTTGAATGTGTTCGATCTGCAGTTGTTGATCCAAAATCCTTCTCTTTCGATCATCTGGAACGACTCAGTGCTGTAAAAGCGCTCAAAAAATCGGATCCTCTTATGTTCTCAGCTTTGGAACTTTTCGTGTCTGGAACATTGAAGGATTATCAAGAGTTTGTTAAGAAGAACCCGAAATTCGTCGCAGAACATTTGCGAGTTGATGAAGCGATTCTTTTGAAGAAAATTCGACTTCTCACTTTGATGTCATTGGCGGAAGAGAAAAATGTGAGTTACTCGACAATTCAAATTTCAGAACATTATCAGTGTTAGATTCATAAAGAATTTTAAGGGATCTCGAAAGTTCATGAAAATATAGAATTATAATTTTTACTGGTTTTTCCATATGACTTTCTCAATCGGACAATACTTCTTTTCAGGAAATCAAGTTAGACGAACTCGCCACTCAACTCGATATTCCAGCCGATGAAACATTGGAAGAATTCGTGATCGATGCTATTCAAGTTAACGCAATTTCCGGAAAAATCAATGAAATGACACGAACTTTGGTTGTCAACTCGTATCAACATCGAAGATTTGGACAAGATCAATGGGTTGTTTTGCAGGTAAGAAATAAGCTGAAAATTTTGGAAGTTGAGAGATAGTTGTTCCAAATTTTATAAAAATTGGCAAATTTGCCACGTTTTAACCTTTTGATAACTCATCCCTTTAATAGTTCATTCAAAATTCAAGCTACAAAAATAAAAAAAATAACACTAATAATATGAAAATTCCAGAAGCGCCTTGTTACTTTGATCACAAACTTGAAACAAACACACAACAATGTGAATGGAGTTAATCGACAAATTGAAGAATTATCTGCCTAGTTTCGTTTTTTTTTTCGCCCCGGTTTTTTCTCCATTTTTTGTGGTTTTCTGGATTTTTGTTAATAATATATCTTCTTCTCCCTCTTTATTTTCATTTCATCAATTCTTTCTTGAATAAATATTTTTGTTGATTTTTGTCTGAAAATTGAAAACTTCAGGAGGAAAATAAAAAATGACCGGTTACTGTAGCCAAATTTGTGTGCAAACACCGAGCGTCCGCTGCGTCAGATTTGACGACACATTTCTATTTTTTATTTTTGGGTTTTTTGGGCGGTTTGTCAGGATATCTTTTGTTTTTGATTGTTATAACATGTACTTTATAGATATAACTTTTTATTTTGTAGAAATTCAGATTTTTCATGGAGCTTTGGAAGTAAATTTGAATATTCCTCATAAGAACCCAGTATTTTAGGAGAGAATCTGCGGAAAATAGGTTTTCGATGTAGAATGAGATATTACTTGCACTTTATGATTAAAATATCGTAGATTTGCGAATTGATTTCGATTTTATACACGTAGCAGCACCGATTTTCGTTGAAGCTGTGATTCGATGTTCAATAGAAAGGTGGAATTTTCACCCGAAAATCTAAATTTTTGTTGAAAAGTTTTTCGAGAAATCTTGAAAAATATCGCATATTTTCGTCAAATTTCTTATGAATTATTCCTTCTCAACAAAATTGCATCATTTTCTAGAAAATTACTAATCCTTCATAAACATTCAAGGTTTGTTTTGATAAAAAAAACTATATCTAATCTACTTTTTTCAAAACCAACCAAAAACAGATTTGATTTTGACTCATATAAAATTCGTCACAATTGTTCTCTAGCCCCGTTTCGTTATATTCTTCTTCTTCCATTTCTCTTTTTCTCTTCTCTTCATCATTTTTTCGCGTGTTTGTGTGTGTTTCGAAATAGTTTTTCTCAGCGCTTTTCTCTCTTCGCAATATAGTCGAGCCGCCCGTCTTGTTAGAGAAACATGCAAAAATTTGAAGATACGCAGCATGTTGAAGAAAACGAAACACAAAAGGCTTCCCCGAAGTTTTTTTGAATTTGTCGAATGGTTTTTTGTTTTGATTATTATGATATCAGAAGATAAACTTTTATTTTTGATTTAATTTTTTTTTGTATTTTCTGACGTCATAACTTGAAAATGTTTGTTCTTCTGTGGGGAAACTCTTTGAAATTAGGTAAACATAGCCTAAATCTCGCTCGAAAAATATTCCAAAGAAGCTAAGCTTCATATTTTCCCCTTCTTCCTCATTCCATTCCAAACCAAAAAAAAAACAGATATTTTCTGGATATCTTTTTCCCTCTCTCCAAATTCCATGAATCTCTCTCTTTTTTTTTCTTATTTATCCCAACTTTATGTTGTTTTGACAAATAATATTCTTTTTCAATCGAAATAGTTATTCGTTTTTCATTATCATTTCATAGAATAAAAAAGTCCAACAAACCAGAGAACTTTTAAAAGAGAAGAGTTCAAACCTCAGAGAACGATAAGACGGAAAAAATTGAGAAGAAAGTGATAATCACAGTTCACGTTGAGACTTCTTTGTTGTTTGGGCAGTCTATCTTTTTTTTTGTATTTAGACTCCGAAGATCCATTTTGTTTCTACTTCGAAAAAAGAAACTGTTCTATTTTAGTTAATTTTTGACGTGGACGTATGTCTTATCAGTAATCATTTTCCGGTTTTTTTGTTCATTTCTCACAAAAAAATCGCGATCGATCGGGGATACTTGTAACTTGTTTGTTTATTTTGTTTATCTGCGTGCCAAGACCTGTCGTTTCAAGGAGCATGGGTTTTTCAAACGATGGGTCCAGGATTTCTCAATTTTCTCTAAGAAAGTTGACCTATCGCTAGGAAAATCCATACTCCTTGCACGCTCTACATTTTTGTAATTATACCAATCTTCCACATTTCATTTCAAATTTTTTGCAGTAAACCGTTTCAACAACTTGGCCCACCCGTCCGAAAATGCATCGCGCAGGGCTGTTGTGTCGTCTCGCCTCACCGAGTCGGATCAACGCATATCGTTCGGCATCAAGCAACAAATCCCCGCTTGCCACTTCCACAACACAAACACGCAAAAATTCTACGGCTGTCAAACACGAGCCATTCTTGAATGGCTCTTCATCGGTGTATATCGAGCAAATGTACGAGGCGTGGCTTCAAGATCCATCATCGGTTCATGCGTCATGGGATGCGTATTTTAGAAATGTTGAAGCTGGAGCCGGACCGGGACAGGCTTTCCATGCTCCACCGGCTTCGACACTTTTTGGTGGAGGTATCGCCTTGTCGTGAGTTTTTTTTCTGAAACGCAGAACAGATCCATATATTTTTTTGCCACTCATCTATGGTCATAGAATTTTCCTGGAACTGTTTCAAGACTTGTCACGTCATAATTCATTTCAAGAATTCAAACCCTGACTCTTTCCCAAAATTCAAAACCCAACAATATTTATTTCCAGTGGATTCTCAACCCCAGTTTCATCAGCTCCATCACCATCATCAGCTGTCAATGCCTCAACATCGGTTCAATCGATCTCGGACCACTTGAAAATCCAATTGTTGATTCGTAGTTTCCAAACTCGTGGTCACAATATTGCCGAACTCGATCCACTTGGCATTAATAGTGCGGATTTGGATGATACTGTTCCACCTGAGCTCGAATTATCCTTCTATGGATTTGGAGAACGCGATTTGGATAGGTGATTTTTAAAATATTTTTTAATCAGAAAATCCGATTTTTCGAAGGAAAAAATAATCTTTTTTGTCTAGGTCTCGAACAATCTCATTTCTATTTTTGTTTTCAGAGAATTCCTTCTTCCACCAACCACATTCATCAGCGAAAAGAAGAGTTTGACATTGAGAGAAATCTTGAAGCGACTTCGACAAATTTATTGCACATCGACTGGTGTCGAATATATGCATGTTAATAATTTGGAACAACAAGATTGGATTCGACGAAGATTTGAAGCACCAAGAGTCACCGAATTATCACATGATCAGAAAAAGGTGAGGATTTTTTGTTTTAGCTAGAAAAAAATGAAAATAAAATTTCGAATGTTTCATTTTTCATAATTGTTCCAAAAAGTTCAGAAAAAATTATTTGATTTTGGATTTTTCAAACTGCTGATAAGAAAAATAAAAGAACACGTGATCAAATGATAAATGATGATAATTTTTTTGCAAAAAAACAAAACACAAAGTAAAAAATATTGCGGAGAATATTTTTTTGAAGAAAATTTCATATTTGATTTAAAAATTAGGGAATTTTAAAATCACAGTTTTGAAACATATTGATCGATGTAATTTTCTGAAAAGAAAATTTTAATTTTGAAAACTAATGAAAAAATATTAATTCGGATTGAAGCCCAAAAATAAACCTTGAAAAATATTAATTTCAAAAATTGACCATTTTAGTATCAAAAACTCAAACAAATCTCAATTTTCAGGTTCTCTTCAAACGTCTCATCCGTTCTACAAAATTCGAAGAATTCCTCGCCAAAAAATGGCCAAGCGAAAAACGTTTCGGTCTCGAAGGTTGCGAAGTTCTCATTCCAGCCATCAAACAAGTCATCGACTCTTCTTCTACTCTCGGAGTCGATTCTTTTGTAATTGGAATGCCACATCGTGGTCGTCTTAATGTTCTTGCCAATGTTTGCCGTCAACCACTCGCTACAATTCTATCACAATTCTCAACTCTCGAACCAGCTGATGAAGGATCTGGAGATGTCAAATATCACTTGGGTGTTTGTATCGAACGACTTAATCGACAATCTCAAAGAAATGTTAAAATTGCTGTCGTCGCCAATCCATCACATTTGGAAGCTGTTGATCCAGTTGTCATTGGAAAAGTTAGAGCTGAAGCATTTTATGCGGGAGATGAAAAATGCGATCGAACAATGGCGATTTTATTGCACGGAGATGCTGCTTTTGCTGGACAAGGTGTTGTTAATGAAACTTTCAATTTGAATGATTTGACAAGTTATTCAACTCATGGAACTATTCATATTGTTGCTAATAATCAAATTGGATTCACAACTGATCCTCGATCAAGTAGATCTTCTCCATATTGTACTGATGTTGGACGTGTTGTTGGTTGCCCAATTTTCCATGTTAATGTTGATGATCCGGAAGCAGTTATGCATGTTTGTAATGTTGCAGCCGATTGGAGAAAGACTTTCAAGAAGGATGTTATTATTGATTTGGTTTGTTATAGAAGGTGAGTTAGATGTTTATTATTTTTTCAAAAAAAAAATTGGAAGACTTGATTTTTTGGTCTGTTTTTCTATTTTTTTAAAGTTCTTTAAAATTTTCGAAATTATCGAATTCGAAATAATTCGCAAAGGAAAAGTTCTGGAAATTCTTGTTCAAAAATATTTTTCGAAGAAAAAATCGAAGAATTTTCAATAAAAAAATTATTTTTATTCAGACACGGTCACAATGAACTCGACGAGCCGATGTTCACCCAACCATTGATGTACCAAATTATCAAGAAAACCAAAACCGCTCTCGAAAAATATCAAGAGAAAATTTTGAACGAAGGAGTCGCCAATGAACAATATGTTAAAGAGGAATTGACAAAATATGGTTCGATTTTGGAAGAAGCATATGAAAATGCGCAAAAAATCACATATGTTAGAAATCGTGATTGGCTTGATTCACCTTGGGATGATTTCTTCAAAAAACGTGATCCTCTCAAATTGCCAGCAACTGGAATTGAAAATGACAATATTCAACATATTATTCAAAAGTTCAGCTCGTATCCAGAAGGATTTAATTTGCATAGAGGATTGGAGAGAACATTGAAAGGAAGACAACAAATGTTGAAAGATAATTCGGTGAGATTTTTTTGAGCTTGAAATTTGAGTTTTCTGGTCTAAAAAAACAAATATATTTTCAAAAAATTGTTTTTTTTTCTCAAAAATTTCCAACCAAGAAATACCAATTTTGCAGCTTGATTGGGCAATTGGAGAAGCTTTGGCCTTCGGAAGTTTATTGAAAGAAGGAATTCATGTTCGATTATCGGGACAAGATGTTGAAAGAGGAACATTCTCACATCGTCATCATGTTCTTCACGATCAAAAAACCGATCAAAAAGTGTATAATCCATTGAATGATTTGGCTGAAAAACAAGCCGAATATACTGTTTGCAATTCTTCTTTGTCTGAATACGCTGTTCTTGGATTTGAACTCGGATATTCGATGGTTGATCCAAATTCGTTGGTTATTTGGGAAGCTCAATTTGGAGATTTTTCGAATACTGCTCAATGTATTATTGATCAATTTATTTCGTCTGGTAAGTGAAATTTAGAGGACACTCGATTTTGAATTTCAAAAACAAAAATATTCGTTTTTCAGGTCAATCAAAATGGATTCGTCAATCCGGTCTAGTCATGTTATTACCACACGGTTACGAAGGAATGGGACCCGAACATTCATCAGCCAGACCAGAGAGATTCCTACAAATGTGTAACGAAGACGATGAAATTGATTTGAACAAGGTTGCATTCGGTGGAACTTTTGAAGCTCAACAACTTCACGACACAAATTGGATTGTTGCCAATTGCACAACTCCAGCTAATATCTATCATTTACTCCGCAGACAAGTCACAATGCCATTCCGTAAACCAGCTATCGTTTTCTCACCAAAATCTTTGCTCCGTCATCCATTGGCTCGTTCGCCAGTTGAGCATTTCGAACCAGGATCATCATTCCAACGAATTATTCCGGAAACTGGAGCTCCATCTGAGAATCCACAAAATGTGAAACGTGTTGTTTTCTGTACTGGAAAAGTGTATTATGATATGGTTGCAGCCAGAAAACATGTTGGAAAAGAATCGGAAGTTGCATTGGTTCGTGTTGAACAATTGTCTCCATTCCCATATGATTTGGTGCAAGAAGAATGTCGGAAATATCAAGGAGCTGAAATTATTTGGGCACAAGAGGTTGGAAACTTGGGGGAAATTAAAAAAATTATATCAAACCTGTGGAAAATCCTTAATTTAGGACTAGTTTTTGATCTGTAATAAGAAAAAATTTCTAACAGAAAATGACAAAAACTATCAAGAAAATACAACTAAAATTTTCAATTTTTATTGAAAAGCCTGAAAATTAGATTAATGGATCAATTCATCTGCAGAAAAAATGAATTTCGCGACATTTTTTGTCGCGAAATTGCAATTCGCGAAACGACACGAAATTAATAAAATAAAAGAGGAAATTCTTTTTTCGTGTGTTGGGTCTCGCAGCGATTACGTGTCCCTTTAATGTTTCTCCTTTATTTTTGTGTTTATTTCGTGTCATTTCACGAATTGCAATTTCGCGACAAAAAATGTCGCGAAATTCATTTTTTCTTCAAATGAATTGATCCATAACATTTTTCACTTCATTTTCAAATATTTCACAAAAAATGGATTTTTTACGCCATTAGAACTTGTGTGTTGAATGGTCTAGCAAACATTTTTCAACTCGTCATATTTCGCAAATCTTCCAATTTTTGTTCCAAATTATAAATGTTTTCCAGGAGCACAAAAACATGGGAGCCTGGTCATTCGTGCAACCTCGTTTCAACTCACTTTTATCCGTCGATGGCCGCCAAACCAAATACGCTGGCCGACTTCCATCTTCTTCCCCAGCCACCGGTAACAAATTCACACATTTATTGGAACAAAAGGAAATGATGAGCAAAGTTTTTGATGTGCAAAAATCGAAACTCGAGGGATTCAAAGCATAAACATTTTCCAATTCCAAATAATTAATTAATTGATTAATTAAGTGTCTAATTAAGCGAATCTCCCTCGTCCCGTTTTCTCTGCAAAGGCTTTATTAGTTTAATTAGGGTAGGTATTTTTGTCAGATCCCCATCCCAATTCTTTTTTTTTCAAATCATTTTTTTCATGTACCTTCATTTTACTTTTTCCTTCTATTTTTTTTGATCAGGAGATTTTATACAGCAAGAACAACAAAAATGAATTTATTGAATTTTCAACAATATTCGACTTGAAACGAATATGTTCCTTGAATGTGTTCCTCTTCTTCTCTACCGTATCTGAAAACAATTTTTCTTTTTTTTTGTCTTGAAATCTTAAGCCTACCTGATACATGCTTCAAAAGGATTTTTGAGCTGATTCATGTTTCCTTTTTCTTTTACGCCCATTGATCGAAGAAAAACTTGGCGCCAGACTTCGTCGAACTGCAAAAATTTTGGAAATATTTAGGATACTGTATCGGAGTATTTGAATTTTTGAAGATGTTCTCAAAATATAATATAGTATTTCCTTATAGGATTACTGTAGCTATATTTTTTGCAATTTGTATTACTGTATCTGAGAATGGAAATCAAGAAAGTATTGGCTTTTCAAAAGATTGTTGTGCAAAAGAAAGTAAGATATGCAACTACGGGCTACAGTAACCCCACAACTCACTCGAATATATCCATCTTTATTCTCTGCACTATAACATGCCGTGATTTTTTGAGTTTTAAAAATAGCCGAAGTTACAACAGAACTGAATAATCGAACACCTTCATCATTAAATGGAGATCGACTCAATAATATATCGAGATTTTCGAGCCAATCGAATTTTTTGCTCAATGTTACATAGTTCAATGAATCGGTTCCACGTTTTAGATAACAATGCGCTTCACGGCGTTTTGTAGCTTGTTCACCTAGAAAATGAAATGAAGAGGGTTTGAAGGAGTTTTTATGAATTTTCTTTTTATTTATTCTTTTTTTTTTGAGGGTTTGAGCGCTGCAATTTATGGAACACTAACAAGCTTATTGTAACTTCAGGGATTTTTTTTCAAAATGGGAACCTCCTTTGACTTTGAGAAAGGACCACATAAAAAGTATAACAGCTGGGAACCCTGAGATTCTCTCCAAATGTTGGCACAAAAATAGAAAATTTATTGAATTTACAACGACACTCCCGCTTGCCCGCTGTTTAGCGCAACACGAGAATATTTTCATTTTTCGTTTTTTTTTCGCTGGGTTTTCACTTTTCGGGGGATAATCAATGGATTTCAGTAAAAAAAATGAATTTTTAGATGTTCTGGAATTATCAAGGCTGGAATTATCGCTTTTAAAGGAAAATCCGATCGATTATCGAAATCGAAGAAAGGTGGGTTTTTTCTAGAGAAAAAACACTGTTTCGATTGAAATTTTTGAGTTTTCAGGATCAAAAATGATTTTGAATGTGAGGACAACGATTATTGAATAAATAGCTGGAAAATTGTTGTGAGACCCAGAAAACCGTCAGAAATCTATAGAAACATACATGAAGTTAGTAGAACTCAATGGTACATGAAAAATTCAAATTTTCTTATTTTCAGCTTGAAATATTGATGAACAATTGGAATTCAATGTCAATAACATGGAAAACTCGGAGGATTTCTCAAGAATTTCGATTGGGATATTCGATGATGTTTGAAATAGAAGCGATTGGTGAGTTTTTTGGGGAGGGATTTCGGAAAAATTGAAAAAAACGATAAAAATTCTCTAAAATTTGAAAAATGTATGAAAATTATGAAAAAAATCTTTAAAAATTGATAAAATTTAGGCCAACTCATCAAAATCTAGGCCCAAAAATCTAGTTTTTTTTCAAAAACAAAAACTACTCTTTAAAAATATTAAAAATTAACGCTAGAAATCGATATGGTTTTTTGGAATTTTTTGGGCAAATGTTTCGATTCCGATTTTCCTAACGAGGGAGTTGGAGTTATGAAAAAATCCCATCAGCAAAATTTATTCAAAAAATGTAGTTTTTAAGAGTCTGCTTTTGAAAACTAGAACGTTTTTTCACATTCTTCCCCTACCCAAAAGTAGTTCAAACCTTCACAACTTGTATACTCATCCCATCTCATTTCAATAAACATATCAATAATTTCATTATGAGGTCCAATTAATTGAGCTCGACAATTTTCCAATCCACAATCCTCATCAAAATTTTTGGGATAATTTGTCTTATTCAAATAATCATAATATTTTTCACAATCGTTTTCTTTTTTCGATAAACAACTTTGAGGTGGATATAAACTAGCCATTGGCATAAAATGATATTTCCAATTATGTGATGGTCCAATTATATCATCATCATTTCCTGAATCATATCCACAATTATCATTTATAAAAGTTGGTTTTGATGAGGCGATTTTAATTGGTGGTAACATTGCCATTAACAGATAGAAATAATGTGTGTTCTTTTTTGATTCGGGATCATAACAAAAATATATTCCTTGATTACTCACATCACTCTGTGAAAATATTCAAATTGCAATAACAGTGTGAAGTTCACAAAACTCACATTAAAAATCGTCAATTTTCCCTCATTCTGCCAATACAAAATCTCATCTTTCAATATTTTTCTGATCGGTGCATCCACAACTGAACTAATATCAGGCGTATAAATATTCTGATCAAATTTTCGTTTCGAATTCTCAAGTGTTTTCCAATTCTCATTAACTCTTACTAATTGTATTGGATTTCGAAGAAATTCTTCAATTTCGGATGAATATCCCCATCTTTTCATTCGTCCATTCATTATATTTGCTAAATGACACATTCGACAAGTTAGATCAACTCGATCACCTGGCCAATAATATACTGGAATTATCTGCAAAAAAAGTGCCTCGAGGAAAGAAATACCAAGTGTCAGCGCCTCCAGAACATTTTTCTTAAGAGCTCTTTTCTATCGACCAATTTTAGGATCTAGGGAAGTTATAAATCCGAGCCTAAACTTAGATTTTACTAACCTTAAAATTATCCGAATGCGAACATCCTTTCGCAAAAAACGCTTTTGCCCATCGATTTTCCCAATACATTTTTACATCCAATGGAATATCGATTTTTCTCCAATCATGGTATAAAGGAGGCAACCAGCGAAGTTTTGATTCTGGTGTTAACCCAGAAATTCCTCGAATGAAAAATGGGATGAATAAGATGCCAGCGAATTTCCACATATTTTTTTTTTGAAAATACAAAATGAGAAAAAAAACTAGAAATGGTTGGGAATGATTTCACGTGGATTGGAAAATTATTTTTTTTAATTTAAAATCTCTTTTTGCCATCCCATAAATTTCTTAACAAAAAAAAGCAAAAATGTTTATTTTTCACAAAATCTTGATTTTTGACTAGAATTTAAAGACACATGAGAGAAAAAATCACAAAACAAAAACAAAACAATTTAGGCTATATCCGAATTGTCGGTGGTGGTAATGTATCATCCATTGATGTGGCTACCGTACTACTCAAATGAATCGGTGACGTTTCATTTGAGGTTATATAGGAATTTGAGGTTTCGGAATTATTGATCCATATTCCTTTGGCTATAGAGTACAGTAACCCGTCAATAAATCGAATTTCATCGGGATATAAATGATGCATACTTATTAGATTCTCGTGGTAGATTGATGGACCCTGAAAAATCATCATAATTTAATTAATTAATTAGGTTATTCTTGAAACGGATGTTTTTGGCAGATAATCAGTTGGAAACTAGTTTTGAGATGTTTTTATATATTTTTTCTGCTTTTTTGGGCTGAATATTGAAGTTAGGTTCATTGACCCTGGAAATAAAATAGATTTATATCTAAATAATATTTGATTGAAATTATTGAAATTAATTGATTTTTCAATATCGAGATGAGGAATAGATAAATTGAATAAATATTATTAATATATCGAGTGAAACCTGATTTTTGAAAATTACAATTTGACACATTTAAGAATAAATGATCGTGATCAAAATGAGTAACTTCAAAAAAGCTCATCAGGCCTAAAAATCATAAAACTTCGATTCCCAGAAACTTCCAATCACTGACTCACCCAAACTTTAATAGGATCCATCTGAAACGATTTAGTCAAATCAGCATAGAAATGTTGTTCAGGCCTCCACGGCAAAAATCGCTGTCGACCTTGTTCATCTCGAGAATCTAGTGGTAAAATCCCAACCGATGCCAAACATCTATTAATTTGGGCATTTTTTTAAAATAAAAAATGAACTAATTACCTGGCAATCGCAAAATCCTCCCATTCATGATAAGGACAGGCAATTTTGTCGTGGAATAGTTTTTCGGAAAATATTCGCATTGCCTCTCTACTCATCACATATCCACTTCCACCCGCATTGTAGCCAGTGCTCTGCAAATAAAACAATGCATTTTTGAAAATATGACTTGTGAAAATTGAATTTTTATGGTTCTCGACAGATTTTGTTAATGATGTCAGATTCAAATATTCAATTTTGGACCAAAAGTTCTCATTTATGTGACGCAATAAATTTATTTTCTAAAAAATGTCTAGTTCTCGTCCAGGTAACTTCAGATTTTGAAGCGAGAAGATAGGATCTACAGAAAATCTTTATTGTTTCACATTCAAAAAATATAGACCTTGGAATAATTTATTTTCTCGAAAAAATCAATTTTCACCTTGAATGTTTGATCTACAGAAAAACAAAGAAACTCCTATGAGATATAGCAAAATAACACTTTTTTCCTAGAAAATCCCATATTTTAAGGGTCTTTCTGTCATTTTTTCCCTTCCAAAATTACCGTTCTTCTACTCAATCGATATCCAATAAAATATGGTTTTCTTGGATCCAAAGTTGCCAAATATTTTTGTAAATTTTCAACAATCAAATACGTATCATCATCCCCTTTAAAATACCAATCAAAATCCTTCGACACATATTTATAAACATATAAAAGTGCTAGCCTTGTCTTCCAAAAAAGTTTATAATAACTTTCTGGAAGTCCCTCAAAAACTGTGTGAGAAGGCGTTGAATCATTCAAAAATCTTTCGGAATTTGTGAAAATATGACCAGCATCACATCGTTTCAACCATGTTTCTGAGATAGCCGGAACCTAAAAAACAATTAAAAAGAAATAAAAAAGATTTTGGGGGCAAGATATCTAAATACCCTAGTTTTATGGTAAATCGATGTTGTCATCGCCCAACATAAAAGTTTGCCGGATTTTGGTTGTTGTTTTGCCGATTCGGATAATCTCACATTTTTCAGAAGTTGTTCGTTGTAAAGTCTGAAAAACATTGGATTTTTCGAGGTGGAAATTATTGAGAAAAGGGGGACTGATTTAAAAAAAAACCATTTGAATGAATAATCAACAATGAACATAACTTTCCTAGAATTTTGAATCAAACTAAATAATCTTTTTAAATATTTGTGATCTAAATGCTGAGTTTTTAGAATATTTAGACTCCTGTGAATCAGAAAATTCACAAAAGCATCAAATCAAGAGATTCAAAAAAGTTTGATTTTTAATTTCAAAATGTTTTGTACCTAAATTTTGTGTAAAAAGTTTTTTTTATTTAAAAAAATGTTTTCTCCCCAAAACACCACCAAATACCCTCAGAACTCACTCAAATCCACTATCATCAATCGGAAAAATTGGAATCAAATCGATTCCCGTTTTGTATTGAACTTTGTAGAAAAAATATAAAATTAATAGGGATAAAAATAATAAAACATAACAATTTGATCTATTTTCGATAGTTGATTTTGAGGCGCATTGTCGAATTTGTCGAATGTGTTTCTAAAAAAATCTGTTATTTTTTTTAGAAATTATCATGAATTCAGCTATCTTTCAATTTAAAAAAAATCTCATTTGACAATACTGAAAAATTTGGAATTTTTGAAAAACTATCAAAATTACCTGTAGAATCGCCATTTTTATTCAAAAATAATAATGAAATAAATCGATATCTAGAGAAAATAAACTTGGCTAACAAAAGCTAACAAATCTCAGATTTTATCGATTTGAAACTCGATTTTTCATTGCCCACTCATCCAAAAATTTCACAACCGCAACAATGTTTTTTTAAATTTTTTACATCGAAAAATTATTATTTTTTCATTAAAAAATCAGATAAAACGAAGTTTTAGATATTTTAATTCAAAAAGTAATCAAACCTTAATTTTCTCTTTCCATTTATTTTGTTGATGTGAGCACAACATCCTTTGAAATCAATTATATACAATTTCTATAACATTTTTTTTGGATCGTTGTAGAAAATATTCAGATGGGGAAAAAGAAAAAACCGAAAAGAAAATATATATTCACTAGACAAGGTGAAATGAATGAATGTTATGCGAATTCTCATAAATTTTTGTAATGCAAAGATACGCAAAAAAGATAAACAGAGGATTTTTTAGGATTGGACTTTTTTTTATTCGGAAGGAACTGGATAGACTTTTTTTGTTTTCTAGTTAGAGAAAAAATACTTTTAAATTAAAAAAAAAATGCGGAGAGAACGAGTCGAATTTGATTCATCCGCTCAAAATTCAAAAGCTTTCTTAGCCACTGTCGCTTTTTTCAGACACAGTATAATTTTTGTTGAAAATGACCCATTAAATAGCCAAGTGGACACAATACTCCATAAATTCTTTTTTTTTTTATAATGAATACTTTTATTCCAGATCATGTCGAAATGGTTATGTGAAGTGTATAAATTAGAAGATCTTATCGAAATTTTGGAAAGAAAAAGTGCGAAAAGAAAGACATTTCAAAGGGATCAAAGAGAAGTTGCGAAAAGGTACGACCTTTAGATTATCTTGGGAAAAATGAGGAAAGGCATCAATCTTGTATTAGTGAGTTTTGATCATTTGAAAATTGGAAGAGTTTCAAGATATAAAAAAAAGAAAATCAAAATTATTAAAGGGTAGAGTAGTTGAAAAAATCTGAAGTTATTCTAATTCTAAACAGTATATATTGAAATACAGAAAATAAAAAGAAAAAATTGAATAGTTCTTTAGAAAATACAGAATTCTGGAAATCCAGAAAAACTTAAAAATTGATAAAAATCTGAAAGTCTAGACACTAGAACTTTCTAAAAAAAATTAAGTCAGAAAATTGAATTCTGGGAATGAATTATTATGAGAATCTCAAAGATCCAAAGAAAATTAGAACGATTTTCAAAATTCTGAAAAATAGAGAAAATATTCATTGTCAGAACTAATTTTAATAAGTCTCAATGATATAAAAACGGTGAAATTAGAATCAAGACCTGAAATTCAAACTTCCAGAATCGAAAGATCAGAAGAATCTAAACAATTATGAACATTCTAGCTAATTGGAAATTACTACAAGCGATGAAAAAAAGTGAAAAGTTGTCTCTGATCTAACAAAACAGCAAAAGCTTAAAGTTTCTAACCAAGTTTCACATCTTTCCATCAATCAATTTTACAAAGAACTTGTGTCTGGATGACCGTTCGAATCTCAAAAAATATGCTGTACATGAATATTACACTACCGAAAATTGAAAATAATGATCAAAAATGGCATCTTGCGCAAGACGCGATTGCGTCGAAAAATTCCGCCGATTCTTTCTGCCAGTTTTTCCTCATATTATCTGATTGCCGCGCCAAAACCGGACACGGTTGAAAATCGACGTAGTCAAAGCCAAAAAAAAAGGATCAACGGGTTTATCAGATAAAATTCAACAACACATCATTCAGCAAAAAAAATGAATGAATAAAAATCTCTAAAATTCTTCTTCAACTTGTTGTTCGAGTTGTGTAACAATCGGTAAGTAGGGAAAATCTTCGCGGTATGCCAAATTTATTTGAGCCTGCAATAAAACGTTTTATTGAAAATTAGTTTCAAAAAATCCCCACTAACCTTCGCATCAGCAGAAATACATTCTAATCGTCGTATAATCGTTCGAATATCACCTCGAGCTTCGGGTGTATGAGAAGTACACGTGGATAATAATTGTGAAACAGCCTCTCCGCAATACGGAATATCATCTAATTTTGCACTTCCATCTCGCATACTATCAATAAATGTTTGAAGTTGTCGAAGACTGACAAATGGTGTTCCACCTAATGAGAATATCTCCCATAAAACAACTCCCAATGACCAGATGATTGTTGATTCGCCAATTAACATCGGCTGATTTTTGAAGTGTTCGGGAGCTTGCCAACGGGTTTTTATTGGTGAATGTTCCATGTTCAGAGCGTGATGATCGGCTAAACCAAAACCGCCGATTTTCACGATTCCGCGTTCAGCAACCAACACATTTGAAGTAGAAATGTGACTAGGATATACATTCTTTTTGAGAAGGTGGTCTAATCCAGTACAACATCCGATGGCCATTGTAGCCAGGCGTTCTGAACTCAAGAAACTTGCGAAATTAAAAGGTTCGGATCCAAATCGAGCACATCTACTTTCTCGCAGAACTCCTTGAAGGGTTGGTTGATGTAATGGTTCCCACATCAACATCGTGTCTGCAATGTGGAATATGAGATTTTTTGAATACAAGATCAAGTTAGGATTTTTTTCCAGCTCGCAGACGCTGTCTGCGAGCTGGCAAACGTGCTAGCTGTCAGGGCATTTTGTGAGTTAATTTTTAGTAATTATAATTACCTGGTCCAGCTTGAGTAACTCCACAAAGTGAAACAACATTCGGATGAGCACCGGCGGATACATTGGCCTTCAATAAAGTAGTCAACTCATTTATTTGATCATCAGGTAATCGATTAACATCTGTAACTTCGAACATATTTTTTTAATCCCAAAAATCATCCCTACTTTTGAGAAGATAAATATTAACATCGTGAACAGATCCATTATAAGAATTGAACATTGCACGGTATATTGGGCCAAATCTTCCCATTCCAACCGATATTCCAATTTCAACTTTATTCGGATTGAATGTTGTTGCTGAACCTATCACACTTCGGAAATTATCAAGAATTTCAGTTTCTTCAATTCCACCGCCACCCACAGATGTTGTTCGTGAAATCATTGGATTCTGAAACACCATTAAAATTGCAATTATTTGTGCTCCTTCGGTGACACGTTATCATACAAGAATAATAATTCAAAAACTTTATTTATCTCAAAATATATCTCTTTCATCATCAAAATTATATATTATTATAATTATTATGCAAAATACAACAACGGTCACCGAAAAGTTCAAAAATTTAAAAAAGAGTTGGGAAGTGTTTCTGGTATGTGTACAATTAATTGATTAGTCATGATCGATACAAGGGGGGCATACAAATTGTGGTGTGTTTTAGATAATTCAAATGTATAAAACAAGAATAATAGGAGAGAAGAACCGTATTTGAAGTGTTGTTAAGAATTGATTGGTGTGTAATGAGTCTATTGTCGAAGATGCTCTTTCTCTCGACTCACCAACTCGGTTGATGGTGGAGCATTGGCTGATGAATAGCGATAACCATTGGCCGATTTTGTGGATTTGCTCTGTAAAAATTAAATATGACGTATTGTTTGAGGGTTATCCAATTTATTTTTTATTGAAAAAAAAACATCCAAGTCTCAAAGATCTGGAAGCAACATGAGACTGTGCAAACAAAAACTGGCACGTTATTTTCTGTGGTTTGCTCTTGTTTTTTGTAGCTCCAAATCTTGTTCTGAAGTTTTTTTCGAGTAAAAATGGATCATTCAGTTTCAGTTCTACAAGAATAAAAAATCTAAAGTATGGATGGAAGCTAAAATTGTTCTCTACAAGGAATTTCTACATGTTTTGTAAATGTATCTAAATTCAACTGTAATTTTTTTTCAACCTCACATACCTTGCAACAACAATATTTGTCTCGATAGAAAAGACAGATAATAATTAGAATGAACAGAATAAAAGATGCCAATGTGATGAGGAAAACAAGACGAACTCTTGGGAAATCGAAACTATCTGTGATTCTTGTAATGAAGCTTGTCTCGTTGTTCGACTCGGATTCTTCTTCAGAATCAGCACCACTTTCTGTTTCTCCTTCGACCAATTCTGTTGTGGTTGTTTCTTCATCATCTCCTTCTTCTTTATCATTTTCTTCCGAAGATGATTCTGGTTTTTCAGTTGTTCCATCATCTTCTGATTCTTTTCCAGCTTCAGTGGTTGTGGAGGCTTTCTCCTCCTCGTCTCCTTCTTCTTCTTCTCCACTTTCCTCAACCGAAGTTGCATTCTTTGCCGCTTCTTGTGATTTAAGTTTAGTTGGTTCAATATCAGCCAAATTAACAACAACTTCATCTTCTCTCTCTTCAGCTTCTTCTTTCGATTCTTTCTTTTTCTCATCTTCGAAGAAATCAGTTCCCCCTCTTTCTTCGCTGGTTGCACTGTCATCAGATTCAGTCACACTTTCAATAACTTCATCTTCTTCTTCTTTCACTTTTTCCTTCTCTTTCTCATTTTCCTTCTTTGATTCTTCTTTCTTTGGAGCCTTTTCAGTTGTGGTTGATGTTACTTTTTCGCTCAAAGGAGTATCCTGTGCAATATTTTCTTCATAGAGTTCTGGCTTCAAATCGAATTTCAAATGTTCAGATTCGGTGGTATAATCAAGGTCATAGATTTTCTTTGTCAACACATTGAGAATTCTTGATCTCTCAACTTTTGCGGTGTAATAGGTTTCAAGTTCATGAGCACCGAAGAAAACATCACGATCAAATTGAACCTCAGGTGGCAAGTCGTCATCATATTGATCGTAATTCTGAAATAAATTCGAGATCATTTGGTATATCTAGATGAATAAAACTTACATCACTATGTTCATAATCATCTTCAACCTCATTCTTCGTTGCTGGTTTCTCTTCACTATCCGTCATATCAACATCAACATTAGCTACACAAGTATGAACACCACTTGCTGAAGTTTCGAGTTCACCTTCGCAGTTTTCTGGATTCTTGACATTGAATTTGTAGTGAAGTTTCAAGTTTGTCACTTTCAAATTTCTCCAGTATGGTTCGAGCCAGAATGGTTCGATTGTAACAACAATTGACGAGTTTTCATTGACAGCTAATGGTTTTGGTGGACGTTGGATAACTAGAAAAATATGTAAATTTTTATTTTATTCGAACGAAATTTGTTTTTAAAAAAAATGTCTGTAATTTTTGAATTACTGTAGTTTTTCAGATCTTATTTTTAAAAATTCTGATTAAAAATTGAAATGAAAAATTACCATCACTGAAACATGTTTGAAATTGCTGCATTGTAATATTAGCTGGATGTGTTCGCTGATTAGTATCAGTATGACAATTTGCTGGTAATTGATGTGAACAACTACATCCACCATGTGATGTTCGAGTTGCTCTCGATTGATCACGATGTCTTAAACAGACACTGTAACCATTTTCCGTACATTGATCGCAAGAAACACACGCATCGGTTTTCAAAGTGTCATCGTTGACCAAATTTCGGAGGCCTAAAAATGACCAATTTCATAATCAAAAAATTTGAAACAATCCTACCATAATGCATTGATGTATCTGGGCACATTAGATCAAGACATCCACCTCCAGCTGCATTTTTCGATAAAGAAATGGCATTTGCTCCAACTGCGGCCAATATTATTATGGCCAAACAACCCATGTTTAACCCTAAACAACATAACTTTATTTTTGAAACGATTAACAAATAATTTAGATAAGGTGAAAAAAGTGTTATCGATGAAAATGGAAAAAAAACTAACTAGAAAGAACAAAAAATCGCCCTCGGGGGAGCCAAAAGCATACAGAAGGTGCGCAAGAAGAACAAATAATAGAGAAGGGAGAGAATAAAATAAGATGATGATGATGATGATGAGGATGATGAGAGCAGGTAAACATCGGAGGACAGACAACATGCAAAAAAAGTGATGAAAGCAAAGGAATTTACATATAGTCCACCCCGATTTTTTTGGCAACAAAAAATAAACATTATGATGATTATTATGCGAAAGAGCAGCGCGCACAGATTGGAGTGTGTGAGAACAGCTGCTTGTAGGAATTTTTGTCTCGGAAATTGTTGAAATTTTGAGGGAGAGAGTTTTTTGTTAGAATATGGATTGACAGATGGCAACATTTTTTAGACTGTACGAAAAACAGTTTACAAGGGAAGTGCATAAGGGTAGGTGTTGAACTTTTTGTGCAATTTGGTACACATATAGATTCGAACCTGCTGATCTTGAATCTGTTTTCAAAAATTGCCACAAGTGCACCCAAATGGTGTTTTGCGCCATCAAAAAATCACCATTTTTTTCTTCGTTTCATATATCAAACATTTGCAGGCAGAAAAAACAGGAGCGCGTAGCCGAGTGGTAAACACGCACGTCTCTTAAATTTTAGGTCATGGGTTCGATCCCGCTCCAAGGCAAACTTTTTTTATTTATTTTTTTTTCAAATTCATTTATGATAACTTGTCAAAACGCTTTATAATATTTATGATAACTGGTCGCAAATGTTTTGATTTGGAAAGAAATTAGTGAATGTTGCGTTCAAAAGGCAGATGACTTTTATTTGGAAACAAAAAAGACCAATAAGAATGGAATGATCAAGAGAAGCCTGGAAACGATGAATAAAAACTTCCAATTCATATCTAGTGCAAATCAGCTGGATAAACTCCGAGAATTTCATCGACTGGGGAAATTTTTTTCTAGAATTTTGTTTCTGACGAAAGTATTTTCAAGGTGAAATTTGAACGAAAAGATGAAATTATCTCCATTTGATAACTTCTGAAAAATTTTCTGAATTTTTTTAATGGTTATGTTTCCATGATTTTGTTTTTTGTTTTCATAAATGAATTTGAAAAAAAAATAAATAAAAAAAGTTTGCCTTGGAGCGGGATCGAACCCATGACCTAAAATTTAAGAGACGTGCGTGTTTACCACTCGGCTACGCGCTCCTGTTTTTTCTGCCTGCAAATGTTTGATATATGAAACGAAGAAAAAAATGATGATTTTTTGATGGCGCAAAACACCATTTGGGTGCACTTGTGGCAATTTTTGAAAACAGATTCAAGATCAGCAGGTTCGAATCTATATGTGTACCAAATTGCACAAAAAGTTCAACACCTACCCTTATGCACTTCCCTTGTTAGAAAAAACAGATCAAAGTTTCTTTGTAGATGTTGTTAGACGGAATAATCGAGAACACAAAATTTAATGAGAAAGAATAATAAAGTTAATTTTAAATGAATGACTTTCAAGATAGAATATCTCCAAAGATAGTGTTCACAAAAATATCTGGAACACTGGAAAAAAGTTCCAAATTTTTGAACCCCAAGAACACAGGTCCCGGTGAGAAATTCTTTTTGAGCTTTCACTAATTTTGGGATGCTCTTTCCGTTGAGTTTATGTCTTTCATTCTACTTATAAAAAAGTGGAGTACCACAATTCTGAAATCTGAAGTAGATGAGGCATTTTGAAGTTTGAGTTCAAGTCTATTCTTTTCATCAGTAAAAAGTTTGTCGTAAATCTATCATAGTCGAGATCTTTCATAAGCCTATGCCAGAGTCTAAACCTTGATGTTTTAAAGTTCAGACATGCATAAAAATGATCAATTTTCCAGAAAATTTAGAGATTCAAAAACAAACTTCAAAAATCACATTCTCCACAAAAAAGTGAAAAATCTGGAAAAATTGGGCATTCTCAATTTTCGAAATTCCTCAAGCCTAAGTACACCCTAAAAAATTCACACACACAAAAAAATTGGGGGTGATAAATGGCATTGTTCATAGTTTTTTTTTGTCTTCCGGCGTCTTCCCATACTCAAGTATATCATAATATTTGCCGCCTTTTTTTCGCGAATTTCTCACCGGAAAAATGATGATTTTCAAGGGTCAAAAAAGCTCCGGTTCTGAATTTTTGTGAATTTTTTTTGGAGGGACAGAAAAGCTGGGGCCTCAAACATCTCGATTGAAATTTGATAGCATGCCAAAAATTCTCATTTTTTTGGGCTTCATCATCTTAAATTCGATACCTTGAAGTATAATTGGAATACGCAGAAAAAAATGCAGAAAAAAAAGAGAGAAACTGTATGTAATTTGATAACTCAAACTCCAATTAAAAATAAAATAGAGAAAATGAGAAAGTAAAACAAAATGAAATGAGAAAAAAGTTTTTTTGGAGTACTGTGGGCACAAATCAAATAAAAGACACACACTGCGAAAGTTTTATTTGCTGATGAGCCACCGAAATTTGCAGCTTTGGCACCAAACTGAGTTTTGATCTACTAAAAAATAGCGAGTAATTAGAGGAGACTCCGAATTTAACTATCATGTGAGGAGGTATCACAAACCAAACCTATTTTTTGCTGTTTTCCTTCAGCAACAAAAATATTGTATTTTTTGTATAGAATTTGGATAGAATAGAGGAAAATGAGTCATTTTTGCAACGCAGAAAAATAATTAATTTTTTTGTATGGCACAGGTTTTTTCCATGTGTGTAATCACAATTGTAAATAATTAAAAAGACAAATGATGATGAAAAATATACTTAACATAAGTACAACAAATAGAAATATATATAAATATAAAATTTTTGCTTGTTGCCTTCCGAAAACGCCAGATGATATTGACACAGTAATCTGATATCTCACGCATGCGCTCACCATTTTTGGGTGGACCAAAAAAATGGAGAGTGAGAGCGAAAAAATGAGGAAAATGTGTGAGATTTTTGGAGCTGGGTATTTTTTTTTAGGAAATTTGTTTTGAGAATTTAGAATTTTTTTGAAACTTGAACCTTCATTTTCTGATTATTTGAAATGTTAAAATTCAAATTTTTATGTATGAAAAATTGAAGAAAAAATTCTTCCAAAAGCGATACAATTTTAGATGTTCTCTTTAAAATATTCCAAAAGGTTAAAAATTTATGTATTTCAAGAAATTTTTTGAATCAAGTTCATTGGGAAAGTTTCTGAATTTTTTGTCAATAATTTTTTTTCAGAATAAAAAACAAAATTTAGTTTCTCGAAAGAAAAAACACTTTCTCATAAGTCTTTCTAAAATTGCACCAACCTCTAGACAATCTCAAAAATCCCATCAAAACTCGACAAAAACATAAAAGATATGATCTAACTATGTAAACATCCAAATCATATATATTTATCAACACGAACACTTATCATTTACAATATTTCAAGTGCTTTAAAATTGTCTTCCTTCCCAGGGAAAATTAGAAAAAGAGAAAATGAAAAAGAAACCAAAAATCTTTGCCAAAATGATATCATTTTCCAAGTAAGCCTAAGCTCTTTTAGAAGTAATTCAATACAAAATAAAGTTTCAAAATTCACAAATTAGCCGATACAATTTAGCTTGAGGGAACAAACTGACAGGGTAAACTGAGTTCGGCTAACTAACTATACAAATAAATAATGGTATTTGAGTTGGGTGCTAAAAGCATCCACCCATCCCCACCATAATCTTTTATTTGTTCACCAGTTGTGTGTGTTTTACCGACAGACAGCTTCTATTATTTCTATTAGTATTGTTTTGGGTAAAAACGTGGAGAACAAATTGAAATTTCAAATATTGCACAAAAAATTATCGAACTGAAATTTGAACTTTTCTGGAACTAAATGAAAACAAACCTTAATGATAAGAAAAACTACTTTTTTAAGAACACATATTCCCGCAATTTTCGAAAGGAATTCAAGCTTTAGCTTTAGATATCTGTTTTCTAGAAGTTTTCGATTGACGATATTTTTTCTCAAAAACTCAACAGATTTTCAGAAATGTTTGAAAATTGCAACCTTTGACCTGATTTTTTTTCGAATTCTGTTACTTTTTTTTAAATTTTTGGACAAAGACTTCAACGGCTGGCAAATGCCTACTTTCATTCTTGTTACGAAAAAAGACTGAAATAAATTGAATTTTATTTAAACCAGTTTTCTGGATAGTACAAAAGGCGAAAGCGAACATGAGAAATAGTTCTTTGGTAAGTGTTAACACATATAATTTTCCATCAATTTTTCAAACTGCTCAAAAAATGTCCTTGTGACATGAATTTGAAGAAAAACGGGATTTTTGCGCGACACACTATTTTTGTTTTGGAAAATAGTGTTATCTGAAATGCTAGCAAAATTATGTTTCCGAAGGAATATAATGACAAATCCGGAAACTATTATAACTAGACAATCTATAGATCAAATTTTCAACCCATCGGAAAAATATATTGATGAATTTATGCTCACTTATGGAAACCGCCCGGATTTTCGCAGATCTGATTTTCATGTTTGGGATCAACATCGTGAATTGGGCAGGTTTTTCTATACCCTAAAGAATAGCACAAAACTTATTGCAACTTGGCAATATAATTCTTTTCAACATCTTCACAAAACAGTGGATTTTTCATTTGGTGGATTGCTTTGGATCAATCCGAAATATCGAGGAAAAGCTATTATGAAAATATTTCATGAAGATTTGATTGGTCAAAAAGTGATACGACGTCCTTTTAAATCTAATCTTGTGCCCGCATCGATGAATTTTATAACAAGAGTTTGCGATGGGAAATTGAAACATCATTTGAAGTATGATGTAACTTATTATAATCCAGAAGACCTAACAGTGCCTCAGAATTTGAAAATTGATGGGATTACTGTAAAGGTAAGAAAAATTAAGCGCGGAATACTGTAGATGAAAATTCATAATTTTTTGACAACATTTTTTGCTGAAGAACTCATGCGTTTTTTTATGTGGGTTGATCTTATTGTTAGATTATTTTTTGCGAACACTGTAGATTACTACAAGCTATAAACATCTAGGTTCTAGAATTCATTTTTTTGGATATAAAATCACTTTGAAATTCGTTATTCTGGTTTGTTTGCAGATTTTTTGATATAACTATGTTTTGAATCATCCCCTGTTAATTTTTCAGAACTTCGATGAATCACAATCTCGCAATATTGTTCAATACGATCAAGCAATTTTCCCATATAATCGTGAAAAATTGATGCTGGCTAATTTTTCGGATCCAAACAACATTGTGAAAATTGCCTATGATTGGGAAGGAAATGTAATCGGTTTTGGATATTTGGCATTATTTGATTCCGGTTTTGCAAGTATGTATGCATTATATGCTGATAATGTTAATGTTGCTCGTGCTATTTTTGCAAATATTTTGAAAGATGCACCGATGCAGAAAATCAAACGATTTGAAATTCGACAACCCGATACATCGGAAAAGTAAGATTGTTTTAGAGTTAGGTTCTTGATAACAAATCCAAATGTTTTCTAGATGGATTGAACCATTTGTGGTAAATGAGCAAGAAACAAAACATATGGCAACTTTAGTTTCAACAGAGGATAATATCGAATTCAATATGAACAAAATATTTATCAACTCGCATCCAGCTTGTTGTCCTGTTTGATATTTGAAAAATTAAATATTTTGCAAAAAAAATTTTCTAAATTTTTAAACGTGACATCATATTTTTGCGACCTTCCAATTTGATATGAAGGGTCATTTAGGCAAACAGTGTTATTCGAAATGCTCGCAAGAATTATTTTCCAACGAAATTTATCCACGAAACCTATAGTTACTCGAGAAACAGTACAACAAATTATTAACCCATCGGAAAAATATATTGATGAATTTATGGTATCTTATGGAAAACGCCCTGATTTTAGAAGATCTGATTTCAAGATTTGGGATAAAAATCCAAAATCGGATAGATTTTTCTACACACCAAAGGATAGCACAAAACTTATCGCAACTTATCAACTGTCATTTTATCCTAGTCTTCATAAACCATCTGAACATCTTTCATTTGGCGGATTGCTTTGGATAAATCCGGAATATCGTGGAAAAGCACTTATGAAAATATTGCAAGAAGATATGCTAAGTCACAAATTATTGCGTCGTCCATTTACAGCAAGTCTTGTTCCAGCAGCAATACATTTTGTTACAAAAGTTAGTGGAGGACCAATGCATCATCATTTGAAATATAATGTGACTTATTATAAACCGGATGATTTGCAAATTCCGACAGATTTGGATATTGATGGAATTCGTGTTGTGGTGAGTGTAATTGCGGATTGTTGTTCTACAATTTTATGAACTTACAAAATGAATAGTTATATTATTGTCTGCTCATATTCGAATTTAATTTTTTTTAGGATTTCGATGAATCACAATCTCGCAATATTGTTCAATACGATCAAGCAATTTTCCCATATAATCGAGAAAAATTGATGCTGGCCAATTTTTCGGATCCAAACAACATTGTGAAAATTGCCTATGATTCGGAAGGAAATGTAATCGGTTTTGGATATTTGGCATTATTCGATTCTGGTGTAGCAATTATGTATGCATTATATGCTGATAATGTAAATGTTACTCATGCTATTTTTGCTAATATTTTGACTGAAGCACCGATGCATAGAATCAAAAGCTTTGAGATTCGGCAACCCGATACATCCTACAAGTAAGAATTTTCAGCAACAAAAAATTATAAAAACCTCGAAGTCCCGATTTTCAGATGGATTCAACCTTTCGTAGTCAATGAACCGAAAACAGTGCACATGGCAACTTTGGTTTCCACAGAACCTGAAATTGATTTCGATATGAAGAAAGTTTACATCAACTCGCATCCGGCCTGTTGTCCCGTTTGATAAGAATAAATTCTTTGAAAAAAATACAATTTTTTCAAGTGTGACGGCGCATTTTCCCGTGACCGCCTACCAAAAAAAAACCATCATTATGATGGGTCATTTTGACAGATAGTATTTTTCCAAATGATCGCAAGTAGAATTTTTCAACGAAGTTTATCTACGAAACCTATTATTACTCGAGATACAGTTAAGCTTATCCTAAATCCACCCGAAAAATATATTGATGAATTTATGCTCACTTATGGAAACCGGCCAGATTTTCGAAGATCTGATTTCAAGATTTGGAATCAACATCCGAAATTTGAACGATTTTTCTATACACCCAAAGATAGCACAAAACTCATAGCAACTTGTCAATTAACTTTCTTCCCACATGTTCACAAACCGTCTGAGCAATTATCATTTGGCGGATTATTCTGGATTACTCCAGAATATCGTGGAAAAGAATTCATGAAAATAATGCAAAAAGATCTGGGTAGCAGCAAATCATTGGGGCGCCCATTTAAATCAAGTCTTGTTCCATCGGCGATGAAATTTGGGACTAAACTTGTTGGTGGACAAATCAATGAGCATTTCAAGTATAATGTGACCTATTATTTGCCAGAAGATTTAAAAATTCCAAAAGATTTGAAAAGCGATGGAATAAGTGTCAAGGTGAGTACTGTATAAACAATTTTGCAAATACTAAACTCCTCATCGTCAGATGTAAATTTCATTTATTTTTTGAATTTCAGAACTTTGATGAATCACAATCGCAAAAAATTGTCGAATACGATCAAAAAATATTCCCATATAAGCGCGAAAAACTAATGCTGGCTAATTTTTCGGACCCAAACAACATTGTGAAAATTGCTTATGATTCGGAAGGAAATGTAATCGGTTTTGGATATTTGGCATTATTTGATTCCGGTTTTGCAAGTATGTATGCATTATATGCTGATAATGTAAATGTTGCTCGTGCTATTTTTGCAAATATTTTGAAAGATGCACCGATGCAGAAAATCAAACGATTTGAAATTCGACAACCCGATACATCGGAAAAGTAAGATTGTTTTAGAGTTAGGTTCTCAATACAAATGTTTTCCAGATGGATTCAACCATTTGTGGTGAATGAGCAAGAAACAAAACATATGGCAACTTTGGTTTCAACAGAGGATAATATCGAATTCAATATGAACAAAATATTTATCAACTCGCATCCAGCTTGTTGTCCTGTTTGATTCACCAAAAATAAAATATTTGCGAAAATATTTTTGAATTTCAAAACCAATTAAAGAACTCAAATTTATTAACGACTTTTCAAACGTGACATTTGGTAACCATTTAATAGAAAAACAATAATTAGGCATCATTTAAATAAACAGTTTTACTAGAAATGCTCGCAAGAATAATTTTTCAACGGAATTTATCGACAAAACCTATAGTTGTTACTCGAGAAACAATACAACAAATTATTAACCCATCGGAAAAATATATTGATGAATTTATGGTATCTTATGGAAAACGCCCTGATTTTAGAAGATCTGATTTCAAGATTTGGGATCAACATCCAAAATCACAAAGGTTATTTTATACCGTGAAAAATAGCAAAAAACTGATATTAACTTATCAACATAAATATTTTCAACACCTCAAAAACCCATCTAGAGAACTCTCGTTCGGCGGCTTATTATGGATTGCTCCAGAATATCGTGGAAAAGCAATTTTTAAAATATTTCAAGAAGATCTATTTAATCAAAATATATTGCGACGTCCGTTCATAGCAAGTGCCCTTCCAGCATCAGTAAACTTTGTGTCAAAAATGTTTGATGGAAAAATTAATCAACATTTCAAATATGATGTGACTTATTATAAACCAGAAGATTTAAAGATTCCGACGAATTTGAAAGTCGATGGTATACGGGTTGTGGTAAGTATTTGGGATACTGTAGACTTACAAAAGTATTTCCTATTTAGAATTTCGATGAATCACAATCTCATAACATTGTTCAATACGATCAAGCAATATTCCCATATGATCGAGAAAAATTGATGCTGGCTAATTTTTCGGATCCAAACAACATTGTGAAAATTGCCTATGATTCGGAAGGAAATGTTATCGGTTTTGGATATTTGGCATTATTTGATTCCGGTGTAGCAATTATGTATGCATTATATGCTGATAATGTAAATGTTACTCATGCTATTTTTGCTAATATTTTAACTGAAGCACCGATGCATAGAATCAAAAGCTTTGAGATTCGGCAACCCGATACATCGATTAAATGGACTGAACCATTTGTGGTCAATGAGCAAAAAAAGAAACATATGGCAACTGTGATTTCTACCGAAAATAAAATCGACTTCGATATGAAGAAAGTCTACATCAATTCACATCCATCTTGTTGTCCTATTTGATTCATCAAACATTTTGTGAAAAGAATAAAATAATTTTTTTCTCAAAAACGTGACGTGTTCTGATAAGAATTGAATCCAAATGGATTTCATCATTTCTGATTTTACAACATTTTTGGAATGGAAGACAGTACTGATCGATTTTTAAATAGATTCAGTGAGTTTTGAAACTTTCTTTCAAGTTGAAGGTCTAAATTTTCAGAGAGAATAATTCTCGTTTTCATTTTCATAAATACCACGGTTTTGGTGGTTTGTTTGGCGAATTTTGATGTACAGAAAGATGGAAATGGTGGTGCAAAAAGTTTTATGGAGATAGTGGAGAATTTAGTGAAGGAGCAAAGATCAAAGCAAAAACCTATTAATTATTATAGTAGAAATGATAATAGTGATAGCTATCAACCAAAATTCAGTAAGAGAAGAAGTCCGCCAATTTTCAATGGTGAGTTATTCAACAACAATTTCCATTAAAAATGTACTTCTAGGTCCTCAGAATTCGAGACAAAAAGAAATCGTTGGTGCTTTTCTAAACAGCTGGAAAGAATATCGAAGACATGCTTGGGGAAAGGATGAATTGAGACCAATCACTCAAACCTATGATAATGAATATGGATTAGGTTTAACGATTATTGATAGTTTGGACACAGCGATCATCATGGGTTTGGATAAAGGTATAGATTAGAAAAATTCAAGATTTCAGTACTCAAACTAAACCTGTTTTTTCAGAAGTAAAAGCCTCAATTGAATGGTTGGAACATGATTTCAAGTTGAAAAATACATTTGTGAATACATTCGAAACAACAATTCGAGTTCTTGGAGGTCTGTTGAGTGCTTATCATCTCACAGGCGAACCTATATTCGAAAAACACGCAAAAATCATTGGCGATGGATTATTGGGTGCATTTGTTTTCACACCATTTCCATTGAATCGTGTCAATTTGGCAACTTCTACCGGAGCTTCACTTTCGCAATATTCAACACTTGCTGAAATTGGAAGTTTGCAATTGGAATTTCGAGAACTTTCGGAAATAACAAAAGATCCGAGATATGTTAATGCTATTGAGAGAGCTAATAAAATGTTGCTCAAGAATAATTGCCCTGGGGAAACTATGTGCTCATCAATGATTGATGTTTTTGCCGAAAAATTTATTGATACAGGTATTTTTTAACCTAGATGATGAAATATACAATTTTTTTAAAGTTAAAACGGTTGGCGCGAAAACGGATAGTTTTTACGAATACTTGTTGAAACAATATCTTCAAACTGGAGAAGTACAATATTTGAAATCTTGGAACACTGCAATTAATTCGATTGAAAACCAAGCGTATAGAAAATTGAGAAATAACAAAACTTTCATTATTGGTGAAATTGAAATGAGTGGAGATTTCAATCCAAAAATGGATCATCTCGCATGCTTTCTCCCAGGAAGTTTAGCACTTTCTTATTTGCAAGGTCATGAATTAGCTGGGAAACATTTGGAAATGGCGGAGAATATCGCTGAAACTTGCTATAAAATGTACAAAACGCCTACTGGATTAGCACCGGAGATGATATATTGGAAAGGTTCGAGGATGGTTGCCAAAACTTTTGATAGATATTCATTGTTACGCCCGGAAGCGCTGGAATCGTTTTTCTATTTATATCGAATTACGGGAAATAGGAAATATCAAGATTGGAGTTGGGAAATATTTCAAGCGATTCAAAAATACGCAAAACTTCCAACTGGTGGATATACTTCAATTGCGAATGTCTTTGAAACTGAAAATGTGGAACGATTCGATAAAATGGAAAGTTTCTTCCTTGCCGAAACTTTGAAATACTTGTATTTGACAATGGCTGACGATCAGATGATTTTGCCACTCGATCAATGGGTTTTCAACACCGAAGCTCATCCGCTACCAATTTATCATCGAAAAGAGGGAAAATAACGTTTAACTTAAAATTTCGAAAAAAATAAATTTTTTACCTCGGGATACTGTAGTTTAAAATGTGTGCAGTTTGTGCAAACACCACGCCGCGTCAAAGGATTTTCATTTTTATTTTTCAAAAAACCATGGTTTGCGAACTCGATAAAAGTTGGTTGGATCCGCCAAAACAAACAAATTTAAATCATACTTCATCGTCGACTGTCGCCGTCACTATTTCTATTTTGAAACAGGATGATTTAGAAGATCCATTTGGTAAGAAACAAAAATAAATTATTGGTTTTTGAAAAAATGGAATTTCTAGCTCTTCTGGATGGTGGATTAAAATTCGTCAAGCCGAATAAACGACAAAAATCAAAATCTCCTGAAGTGAACTTGAAGAAGAGAAAAATAGAAAAACCGATCGATGATAAACTTCGTCAGACTGTGCTCGATCGATTCAATTTTGATGTCGATATTTTCGAGATTTATCATATTTTGCGGATATCAAAATCGAATTTCATACCAATTCCTCGATTTTTAGCCATCTCCAATGGAATGTGCACCGCAGATGATAGAAAATCTGCAATTTTCTCGATTTTCTCACGTAGAAAAGAGCTTTGTATAAAATCAGAAAGTCTTCATCTAGCAATCGGGATCCTTGACAAATGCTTGGATAAATTGGCAGTTTCTCCGGAGACGATTTCTGATTTGGCTGTAGTTTCTCTGATTCTTGCCACAAAACAAGAGCAAGTTGAGATTCTCACGATAAAAGATGTTATAAAATTCGGTTTAATTCGTGGGAAATCAGTGTCGGAGATTTGCAAACTCGAGAGATTGATATTTACAACTGTGTCTTTTCATATTTCGTTTCCAACACCTTTTGCATTTATCAATTATTTGTTGGCAGTTCTTGACGCGAAAAAGATGAATATTAATTTAGCGCATGTAAGGTTTTGTGTTTTGATAGTTTCAAGTTACGAGTTCTGTTTGTATTGAAACCAAAAGTTTCAACCGTTGATTTAGCAAATAAAATGATTTCATCACAAATTTATTTTCCAGTATCTCATCGAACTCGCTTTATTATCTATAAATATTCGAAAATTCAAATCGGAAGAAGTCGCGCACGCTGCCACGTGTCTCAGTTTAGCAATCTCCTCAAAATCTCCAATCGATGATCTTCGCCAAACTGAGAAATCCTTGAAATCGTTTTCATTAATTGTCGAGGGAACTACACGACATATCATGAAACAACTACTCGAAATGTATAAATTGGCGCTCCACGAGGTTCACGAAATTTATGTGGAATTTGAGAGCAACGAACGGGATACTGTCTCAATGTTCCAAATCAATAGTGATTTGGAGAAATTTTTAATGAAATGAGGTTTTATAATTTTTTCCTGTGAATAGTTTCATGAATATTTTAATTTTTCACGTGACATTTTATAACACAAATAATGGTTTGCCACGAAGTCCTTTCATTTTTAAAATGTTACCCATTTATAATTCTGAAAAAAATTATCGGAAACAATTTAGTTACAAAAGTCAGTGTTTTTTTGCATGCTTCAAGTTTCAATTTTATTTTCAGAAATGCTCATTTTCTCTGTGCTCTTTTTCAATTTAATTATTGGCTGTCTTTTCTATGGACTTCCCTCTGAATCTTCTTATAATACAAATATTGATCTGAATTTTGAAAATATCACATTTTCTTCGATTCGAAAAGAAGATCAAGTTATTCAAGCATTTATTTTTGCATGGAATGGTTATAAAAAATATGCATGGGGAAAAGATGAATTGGAACCTTTGAAGAAAAATGGATCGAATTCTTTTGGATTGGGATTGACGATTGTGGATGCATTGGATACGGCAATTATTATGGGATTGAAGAAAGGTTGGCGATTTTTTAGAAATGGGGAAAAGTTTTGGTATAAAATCAGATAAAATGTGCGATTTTCAATGTTAGAAAACAATGTTCACTCGAAAACTGAAAACATTGCAAAAAAATTAAGTTTTCAGAAGAAATTTCGAAGAATAAAATTTTTTGATGTATGATGTACCAAAAAAATTCTTTATTTTTACATTTCAATTTAGATTCTCACTTCAGAATTCTGATTTCCCATTTTCCAGAAACCAACAAAGCTATCGATTGGATCAAAAACGACCTCGATTTCGATGTAAAAAATGACAATGTAAATGTGTTCGAAACAACAATCAGAGTCCTCGGTGGATTGCTCAGCTCATATAATCTAATAAAACATCCAATTCTTCTCGAAAAAGCCAAAGACCTCGGAGACCGCCTTCTTTCCGCATTCATCCAATCAACAAGTCCAATTCCTCGAAGTGATGTAAATCTAAAAACTCGAATTGCCTCAAATCCATCAGGTTATTCAAGCCTCGCTGAAGTTAGTACAATTCAATTGGAATTTCGCGAATTGTCGAGATTGACTCGAGATATGATTTATGAACAATATGCAATGAATGTGTCGAATTATATTCATCGAATTGGTTGTGATGGTTTATGTCCATATTTGTTAGATGTTAATGATGGAAAATTCATCGAGACAACAAGAACTTTAGGAGCAAGAGCTGATAGTTTTTATGAATATTTGCTCAAACAATATTTACAAACAAATGTTGACTGGTTTCGAGAAGATTGGAATAATTATATCGATTTAATCGAAAAAGACATCTACATGAAAATCGGTTCGGATTATGTTCTCGGAGAAATCGAAAAAGATAAAACATTTTCGGCAAAAATGGATCATTTGGCTTGTTTTTTATCAGGAAGTTTAGCTCTATCTTATCAGAATGGAATAAATTCGAAACATCTGAAAATGGCTGAAAATATTGCTGAAACTTGTTATAAAATGTATGATACTCCAAGCGGTTTAGCAGCCGAGATTTATAAATGGAAAGAAGAGAAGATTTCAAGCGATTTTCGAGATCGACATAGTTTATTACGACCAGAAGCCGTCGAATCTTTCTTTTATTTATATCGAGTTACCGGAAATCGCAAATATCAAGACTGGACTTGGAAAATCTTTCAAAGTATTCAAAAATACGCTAGAATTCCTGAAGGATATTCATCTGTTAAAAATGTTTATGAAACTGAATATATTACGCGGTAAGTTCTCTCTAAATTATTAATTAGCTTATAAAAACCTAATTATCTTTAGAATCGATAAAATGGAAAGTTTCTTTTTAGCTGAAACTCTGAAATACATTTATTTGACGATGGCTGAAAATCAGACAATTTTACCGCTCGATGAGTGGATTTTCAACACTGAAGCTCATCCATTTCCAATTTCAAAATGATGAATTAAGCTATAAAAGTTTTCATCTAATAAAATAACAAAAAAAAACAAGTAATCTATAAACAACTACACCCGTAATAAATCTTGAATTTCTCGATTTTTCGGCATCGATTTTGTGGCACCGACAATTGATGTGGAGATTTTTCCGCGCATGAAGATTTTTTCGGCAACTTCGCGGAATCGATCGATTGTGATGGCCTGCGAAAAAAAAACTTTGAGTTTCAGAAATTCTGAATTTTTGAAGAATAATCTTCAGGTAAAAAAGGTTTCTCGTCGTAATATTACATTTAAAAATTACTAGACATTTCAGAACTTCACAAAATCGGACCCAGTGATCCCCAACCTTGCCCCTTTGATATATTTTAAATGAAATCAATCGATCGAAAAGTTTCACAAAAAAGTGAACATGTATTTTTTCCATAACATAAGTCCGCATAACATAATTCAAATAACTCACATTAATCCTTTGCTCCAACTCATCCGAATCAATTTTTCTTCCATAACACAATAATTGTCTTCCAATATCCTCACAAATCGGCGTCGATCCATCGAGCATCAATTCCAAATTCGTCAACAATGTCTTTTTGCCCTTTTCAAGAGTTTGTGCATCAACTTCAGTTGCCAAATATTTCCATGCCTCAATTACTGCTTCAACAAGACTTCTACAAGCTGTTGGTTCAACAACAAAATATATTCCGATTATTCCGGTTTCTTTATAACAAGTGTTGAAAGCTTGGAAAGATTGGATTTCGGGAACATTTTGAAGGCGATTTGCTAATCTGGAAGGAGCATTTACACCGAATCCACGAGCTCTGTCGAATTCTCCAATCAGCTGCAAAATGTGGGAATTTTTTGGAATAAAAAGACTGTGGGGCTGTACATTGATCATCAGAAGACAATTTCTATATTTTTCAGCGTAAATTTTATCTTTGAAATTTAAAAGTAAACGATTTTCAGCTGATTCTCAAAAAATATCCCTTGTCCTTCCAAAGTGACTCACTGAATTAGCCACCATCAATGCTAAATTATCTTCATGTGTCCACGAAACACCTTCTACAACCAATGCTCCATAACAAAGTGGCATTTGATCAACAAATTTATGAAGTTCACAAGTCTCATATTTGGCTGGATGAAATTCAGAAGACGAATCGCCGTGTTGAAGTCCACCAAAATATTTTTCAGCAAGTCGAACAACTTCATCATGTCTCACACCTCCTGTTCCAACAAGAGTCATTCTTCCACTTCGATAATGTGTTTTGACATATTCTTGAAGATCTGATTTTGCGATTGAATTGATGTTATTTACGGGTCCGAGAATTGTGTAGCCAAGTGCGTTTTTGGGAAATATTCCAGTATGAAGTTCATCGAAAACTACTTCTTGTAAATTCTGTTCAACTTCTTCCATTTCGCGTAAAATTACACCTCTCTCAGCTTCAATATCACGTTTGTCCAGGTTGCTATTCAATAAAATATCCGAAAGAATGTCCACGGCTGAATTCAAAAATTAAAACAGGTCAATTTCAAAATACAATAAAAATAAAACTCACATTGATCTAATTTATCATTGAAACATTTTGCATAATAAGTAGTGTGTTCTCTAGAAGTATATGCATTCAAATGCGATCCAATATTCTCAACTTCCAATTCTAGCGAGCTCTTTGATCTTCTTGGTGTGCCTTTGAATGCCATGTGCTCCAGAAAATGAGCGGTTCCATTATTTTTATCGTTTTCATAACGAGAACCAGCATCTATCCAAACACCAATCGTCGCTGTTTGTCCACCAACATTTTGTGTGGCAACTCGAAAACCACTGGGCAATGTTGTTACAACAGTTTCTGGTGTGATTATTGATTTTCTGACTGGTGATGGGGCGACTAGTGATCCTCGGCGGGTTATTATATTCGATGCAAATCGTCTGTACATTTTCTGAAATTTTGTTTTGAAAGAATGATGCAAAACCAGGAACAAACGTTTTCGAATTTGAGAGGAAAAAATAAATGAAAATATAGGATGGACTAGGAAACCAAACTCGGCCATTTTTTTCCTTATAAAAAGCGAAATCTTTTTTTTTGAGGGTTTGAGCACTCCACTTTATGGAACACTAACAAGCTTATTGTAACTTCAGGGATTTTTTTCAAAATGAGAACCCCCTCCATTCTCTGACTTCGAGAAAGAATCACATAAAAAGTATAAACATGAATTCATAGAGCGAAGGAATTTTAACGGATTTGGGCGGAGCCCTGAGATTCTCCAAATATTGGCACAAAAAATATTTTTTGTGCTTTTAAATAGAAATCGGTACACAAATAGAAATTAAATTGAATGACTTTTACAACGACACTCCCGCTTGCCCGCTGTTTAGCGCAACACGAGAATATTTTCATTTTTCGTTTTTTTTTCGCTGGGTTTTCAGTTTTCTGGGGAAAATCAGTGGATTTCAGTAAACATGAATTTTTAGATGTTCTACAATGCTGCAATTATCGCATTCAACGGAAAATCCGAGGATTATCGAAGAAAGGTGGGTTTTTTTCTAGAGAAACACCGTTTCGATTGAAATTTTTGAGTTTTCAGGATATTAAATGTGAGGACGAATTTTCGATGATGTTTGTGTGATTTGAGAAATAGAAGCGATTGGTGAGTTTTTTGGGGAGGGATTTCGGAAAAATAGAAAAACTCGATAAAAAATTCTGTAAAATTTGAAAAATATATGAAAAAAATCTTTGAAAATTGATAAAAGTTAACTCATCAAAATCTAGGCCCAAAAATCTTTTTTTTCAACGCGCGCGCAGCCGAATTCATGAATTCAGCAAATTTTCAGCATTTTGTAGATTTTCCAATGAAAAAACACAATTCATTAGTATTAATTAGTTTATCCTTGTTTCGCCACTCTTTTCCATTCTTCCTTCTGTAAAAATCAAATAGTTTTATTTCTTTGATTTTTTAAACTCACTTTTCTTGTATAATGATCGATTTGAATTTTGGCATTTTGTTGAAGGGGTGCGCGAATTTTTGCATTTTTGATGGCGAAATTCACCAAAACTTCAGCCACATTCGAACCGCAGACAAAAACTACGTCGGAAAATTGGGCAAAGATTCTACAAAACAAAAATTAGAGTCTCGCGGCAAACAAAATAAACGCACTGTTCATATGTCCACTCAATTCTTTTCGATATTTCCTCAGATGTCTCATTATTTTTAGCACTCCACGAAGTTTTACTAAACACCGCCGCAAGTTTCATCTTCTGTATCTCATTTTGTGGCAAGAATCGAAACTTGGCCGCAGGTTCTGCGAATTTCGCAGTCACCTTCGGAATATTTCGATCTTGCCGCTTTTTATCGATCTCATTGGCAAATAGCAAAGTCGATTGATGAGGCGCGCAAAAAACTTTGAAATTTCTTTGAAGGCTTCGAAGTTCGTCGCCAAGATTTTCCGCTATTTTCGGATCCGAAAAGTTATCATCAAAAATTCGCACAATTATCAAATTTCCGACATCATCTTCGCGCGAAAAATTGGGAAATTCTTTATTCGAAAATTCGGTTACCGTATCAGAATCAGAGTAGATTATATCTTTGACATGAATTTTTGGATTGCTCGAAGTTTTCTCAGGTCTAAATTGATTTTTGAAAAGTTTGTCGATAACTGAGAATTGGGTAACTCACTTTTCATTCGCTTTAGATGAGGTAACAATTTTTTGATTCATTTTTTAGTTTTACCCTATTCAAGAAATGAGACAGAATTTATTAGGATATTTTTTTTGAATTTTGGCAGGTCACGCAAATAATATTTTTTTATGAACCTTGGCAAAAATTTTGATTTGAGCACACTGGAACCAGTTCAAGAATGAACTATTGAAACATGAAAACAAATATCTGTGAGTGGTTTTGTATAGCTCCAAAGTTGTCACAGATTGTGCAGTCACAGTGCTTTTGGAAGTATATTATAACAAATTTATTTCATCACAATGAATATTTGTACTAGAACAAGATTTAAAATTTTTCGCTATTATACAAACAAATTGATCAATACTTGAAGTTGAGCATCTCGTGAAGCATCGAATCACAATTTAGCACATCGAAAAATGTGAGCATCACATAATTGGTTGTCAATTTTTGCACACTTTCCATTATATAATTCATACTCATTAGAATTTCACCAACTCTTCTTTCTCCGCCACCATTTTGGTCGCAAAGAACAGAAAGACAATTGATTATTTGGTTTCTTTGTCGCTGGGATTTGAGTCGGCCTTCTTCAGTCATTTTGTAATAGGCTGGAAATTATTTTTGATAAAACGTGGCTCTTGAAAATATTTCAAAGAACATGTTTATTTCCCTGTTAACTCATAGCCCCTCTTACTCACTAACGTGCCAAACTGTCAATGCTTTGACCAGCACAAATTCTTCAAAAGAGATATTCAATCTGGAAAATGGTAGAATTGTTTCTTCCCAAATCGCTAAATTCAACGGCATAAGTGCACGGTATTTCGAAAAATCTTCATCATTTGTGAAATATTCTCGAGCATTTGGTTCTTGGCCGGAAATTGGAAGAGGGTCCATACAGAGATATTCGCCATTTGGTAGAATCATTTGACGATGAGCTTGGCCTAGTCTGAAATTTTAATATTTTAGTTGGGATTGGAATTAGAATTGGTTGTTTTGATTGGGAAAGGGCGAGACTGAACTGATTTTGATATATTTTTTGATAGTTTGAAAATATTGACAGCCCAAAATGCAAGCACTTTTTGTTATTTTTTCAAAAATCCCAAAACCCTCACGCTATCGAATAATGTGCCGACGATAGAATGAAATCAACAGCCAACACCAAACGGTAGAACATGTTCTGTAATATAAAAACTTGTTTTATGTATGTATTTGAACTACCGTATTACCTTCTCATTGCTGGTAAATGTGTTGAATTCTGGAAACCTTGTTGCATAATCGAACAGTATTACGAAATCATGCCTCAACATTCCACGAAAAGTACGGTAATCATGAGGACGAAGGTCGGAAAGGGAGTATGGCTGAAAATATGAGATGTTTCAGCATCCGAAATAAAATATCTCAACTTACACATTCTAAATTAGAATGACTGTCTAGAATATAATCCATAGCCGTATTTGTATACATAATTCTACGCCGAGAACTCAGAGCACATTCCATCGATTTATAATAATTTAAAATTGGAGGTAGTTCAACTAAACTAACAGGTTGATTGATGAAATTTGAGTTTGAAGATGAGCACGGCTGCGGTGAGCAATAACCATTATCAAATGACGAAGATCCCGAGCTAACAGGCTTTTCTTCCATCAGATTACACATCCATTCATCTTCTTTTTCTACTTCTGGTGTCATTGAATTTCTCATTGGCGATTGTCGAGAATCTTTTCGTCGGGTGCAAATGAAGTTCTCTTTTTTCGAGCGAACCACTGGAATTTGAGAGATTGTTAGGCTGAACTAGAAATACCCGGATGTTTGAGTTATTAAGACTTTTTATGACGTATGAATGTTTTGGTTCACATAGGATTTCAAAATTACCGGAAGTTCTCAATTTTCAGTAAAACACAGACACCGAAATTTTAAAACTTCGGAAATTTCAATAAAAGTGTTTCCAATCTCTTTTCTGGATAATTCTTGGTTCAATCTGCCCACAAAAACTCACAATCCGGTTTCATATTCGCCGCAAAACATTTCCTCAATCGACATTCTCGACAAACCAATCGCATTCCAAAATTGATCTCACAAGGTTCAGTGGAAGAACACTCGTATTTTAAGCCAAGTGCAATTGTTCTGCGAAAAAATGCGGCGCAAGCTTTACAACATCGCCCGCCAAAATGCAGTGTATACGCAGTCGGAGATTCACAAACCGAGCAAAGTGGAGCCATCTAAAATAGCTTATTTGATTGAGTTGTAATTAGTTAAGGAAGTAAAAACCGTAGTATTTTTTGGAAGAAAAAAAGATGGACTAAGTGCATACACTGTGTTTATATACAAAAAGGCAGCAGATACATCAATGTTCACACAAGAAAGATCAACCAATGTACAAGCGAGCCTCACAACCAAATTTCGATCGTTCTCTGTTGAGTTTACTCATACGAATTGGGTGTTCTTTGAAATCGGGATAAACAAAAATGGGCGGGATTTATTGAGAAAAATTGGGCGGAGTGAAGGAGAAGAAGTCGCGGAATGCGGAAAAATACTGTATGTATAGGAAAAAAACTGTTTTCGGTGACGTAAAATTGTTTTCAGAATTCGTAGATTTAGAGATAAAGCATTAAAAAATTTTAGGAGTTGTTCAAGCTCGTAAAACTTCGGTACTTTTAGGGCTTCATTATTTTTTCAAGGGCTTAACACATCATAAGATGGAAATTTCAAATTAACAGTTCCAATTACAAAAAAAAAATTTTCTGAAACTGATAAAATATAGTTTTACTCATACGAAAAATAACCAACAATTCAAAAAAAAACAAGCGAAAAAACACAGAAAAATATTAGTTTTCCAAATCTTTGATTTGGATTAGCATTCATTATTCAGAGTTTCATTGAAAAATGTAGAGCTTCTGATAGATATAAAATGAGTCACATTGATGTGATGTATTAAAGCTAAACTAGACTACTGACAAACATAAATTGCAAGACCATTGAACACTTTTTATTTGCATAGATATCTTTTGATTTTTAAAGATGCACAGAAATGTTTCTTATGTTTTGTTTTGTTGATCAGACCCACCCACCAAAACATTATAGATGGAAATCAAAAGATCAAAGATATTGCTTGGCTACATCATAGTTCATTTTCGAAACAAGTCAGTTTTGGTTGCTCGGGAGAAGCGATTGAATAAATAATGTCATGTAAAAGGGTGTACAAACATCATTGAAACAAACAAGAGAACAAAAAATTGGACACGGCTAGCGACAAAAATTAAGTAGATTGAAAACAAAAAAAATAACTTGGGTGTTCTTTGAGGCAGAGAACGTTTGTCATGTGAATAACTTTCGAAAATCTTTGTTTGATTGTAAAAAATAGTGTTTCAATAAAAATGTACGGGGTGTAAGTTACAATTAAATATATCAAAAGATTATTGCTACAGTACTCCCTGAAACGTTTGATGAAATAAATATCAAAAAAATTTCAAGAATTTTCAAATTATGTCACGTCATAACTTATTTTAAGAAGTTCCTGAAAACATAATCGTAATCAGCGGGTCAAGTTCTAACACAACAAATATTTTATCAGAAACTTCGAGTGAAAGGTTTTCTTTTCAGTTTTCTCAAAAAACCCAATTCTTTAGTTACATCGTAAAACCCCGCGGAACTGAAACTTAAGGTAAATAATACGGTAACAGACAATAACTTATGAACAAATATAAACATTTATTTATTCATTTGCAAATCATATGTTGGCAGAAAAAGAGAAGAACAACATCACTGAGACAATAGATAACAATCGACTACATTGTATCCGATTTTTTTTCATTTTCTGCGTCTCTCAGGAAATAGGAGAAGTTTTTACGCTGTACACCAATATGAGACGATTTTTTTGAGAAGAAGAAGATGAAAAGAGGTGCAGAGTTCAGATGAACTTTTAGAGGAAAAATTGTCTAGTTTTACCCTGGAATCACCGTAAAATGTACAATTGCTTTTTTATGGTTGAAAAAAAACTGTAAAATTTTGATAAAAATCTGGTTTCCAAAAGTTGAAATTTATTAAGAAAACAAAAGATTAATTCTTATTTTTCAAATCTAATTAAAAATTAGAATCACTGTCAATATGATTATATTCCACTGATAAGTTTTTAGAGTTTAAATGATTTTTTATAGAAAACTAGAAACATTTCTAGTTTAGACTCAGAGCAAACTACATAATCCGAATTTGCATTCTCCATTCAGAAACCGAAAACAACATGAACTTTTTAAAACGTATTTTTGAAACTTTTGTAAATTTTTCTGAAACTTCGTGATTAAAAGAAATAAAAATGTGTGGTTTCCTAGTTTTGAAATAAAACGATTAGAAAATTATTCGGTTTTTATTTATGACTGTTTTCAAAGGTTTAAATCCAACTTATAACAATTTTAATTCGTTTCTATTTTGGATTTTGAAAGTGTGTTGGGAAACTTTTGAAAAAATTGGATTTTTGTTAAGACAGAATTATGATTTTCAAAAACTACAGTAATAAATAGAAAAATATGAAAAATAGAAAAATTTCAATATCTTTGAAACAGAAACAGGAATTCACGGAAATTTGGCATTTAAAATAAATTTCAGCGTTTTCCACATCTTTTCTTAACAAAGTTGGAAAAAGACTTCTACATTTTTTTTAAAGAATAAAAAAAACGAAAAAGCACACAATTTTCATTTTGTATCTTGTAGTCATACAAAATTTGTTTAATTTTTGTAAATACAAATAATTATTACTGACAAAAATTTGGATTCTAAACTGTTCCACGTCATGATTTTCAAATTTTGTCAAGACACATTTGTTTATAGAAAATGTAAAAACCAAAAAAAGTTCCCAAAAATCCAAATATATAGTGTTTCAAACTGAAGTCATCCAAAAATTAGGTACAAATAATGACAAAAAAGTATTTGAGAATCAAAATGTTTACCGCAATCCAAAAGTTGTGCGCAACATGTTTTAAATGAAAATGATGACAAAACATAGACCACACTTTAGTAGATCATAAAACCGCATGAACTGTAGTTTTATGAAATAAAGTGTTTTATATTGTGATTTATATTAAATATGAGTAATACTTATGGACTTGGCTGATTCAGAAAACACACTTTTTCTAAAAAGTTATCCTTCTATAAACGTGGCAAGATTTCTCTTTTGTAAAAATGAAACAAAATAAAATGAAAGGGAAAAAAATGGATCACGCCAGATCTTATGAGAAACTGAACACAAACTACGATTTTCTGGAGATCGATTCTTTCAGATTTTTGTAGTTTTATCTGATTTATGGTCTAGAAGGAAGTGGAATTATCTGGGATTTTGGAAGATTTTAGGGACAAATCTAATACTCATTTTTGAAATCTGTAAATCATTTCCTAAGTTTCCTGATTTCCCGAAAAAATGAATGCTAGAAAGAAAATAATTGAACATTCACTTGAAATTTTGAATTGATCAAATTTTGATAAAAACTTCCACAATATAAATAGCATTTTATGAACATCACACTCCAGTCCAATTTTACGACGTAGGTGGGTTTTTTGTTTCCTCCCCGAACAAACTAATCAAATTAAATTAGTTCGATGGACATTGTACATTGTATCTCGGCTGTTTTTTGGTTGGCTTCTGGAGAAAATGAATACTTTGTACCTTGAAAATTTCTAACTAATTTTTTGTTGATAATCATAAGCATCGTGTACTACCGGAAAAAAATCCGCATACTTTGAGACCACATAAAGATAAAAAACCGTATTCGAGGAAAGTGCGCTCTAGTAATCAGTAAGAAATTTTTGTTCAGGTTAAAAAAATCGTCTTTAAAATTTTCAAGACGTTATAATGCTCTACTGTATTGAATAATTTTTTTCGAATATTTGAAAATTGGGAGAGAAACCCGAAATAAATTAAAAGAAGTTCATTCATAAATCATAAAACACACAAAACTCCATCAGCCGAATCAGAACATGAAGTCAAATATGAAAGAGCATCAGAACTTTGCTCAAGAAACGCTTGAAGACAAACAGCTTTCGATTTACGATCAATGCTGAAAACAATGTAATTTTTCTGTTTTTCACTGGAATTTTTTCTCACTCAAAGTTATCCAAAAGTTGGCTGCTAGCCGAGGTTTCATAAATATACTCGAGGCCATTATATTGCGTGCAAGTTTTGGTGGAATTTTTAATTCCTTCGGTGATTGTTGTGCAGTTGGCTGATTTTTTGCCATCCACCCAGATTGCGGCATAACCAAGAGAAGATTCGTTTTCAAAGAATGAAGCGGGGAAATCTATAAAATCCTCAAATTATCTCTCAAATAAAAAATTCGTACATTTTTCAGTAGCTTGTTTTGCTTGATCAAAAGTTAAGAAAGATCCAATATCAGCTCCAATCGATTGACAAACATTTCTGGCAGCTTCCCAACTTCCGAGATTTTCCGAAACCACAATTTGATAACATGTCGAATCATTATCAAAAGTTGTGAAATTTGCTGGACAAGTTGGTTGTGTTGCACTTTCCAATTCTGTTGCTTCACCGCATTTACAAGTAATTGGAGCGATGGTTGCGATTTTGCAAGCATCAGTAAAAACCAAGGAGATTGTGAAAAACGCAAAAAGTGCTGAATTCATGATTTCTGTCAATTTCTTCACCGATTGGACTATTTATAAGCGAATTGAGAAATAAGGTTCACATGGTTAATATTCTTTTGAATATTCATTTTTTTGAGACAACGTCCGGGTTCGGAAAAGTTCAAAAATCCAAGAAAAAAACGTTGTGAGAAAGTGAATGACGACTTGTAAAAATATATTGTTTATTTCAAAGTTTTAGGGTAAGAATAGGTATTTAAGAGGAATGTATTCCGAGAAGCCAATTTCTTAATCTCTCATTTTCTCGTTGAATTGTGTCTTTATATAGATCTGTCAACAGAAACGATGCGAAAGAAGATGAGACTGGCGAATTGATCAACAACTTGTCACAAATGCTCAACACCTGTGCAATTCAAAACAAAAATTATTGGGCATAATCAAAAGTTCTCGAACATGCTTTCAAATCTGTATTCAATTCATTTATCATCCTAAATTCTTTAAATGATTAACTAGTGCCTTCAAACTCAACTTTTTTTGGCTCAAAATTTGTAAATCTGGAAAATTTTCCAGTTTTACAAATCCATCATTTTCGAGTCAAAATTTATGATTTGAGTGTGAATTTGATATTATTTTATTTGTTGATTCAAAGCACTTTTTGATTGATCTCTTAAAATGTTAAAAATATTTTTTTTCTTTTATAAATCACGTGACCTATTTTACGTGGCATACGTGTATGGAAAATGCCAACCAGACCAAAAATCGAAAATCGATCAGTTCTGTATTTATAAAATGTCAGAAAGTATCCGACAACACAAAAACCAACAATTGTTTTTGGACCGATTTTTGGAGAACATTCGCTGGTCACTTTGATGAGTCAAGCTGGAATTCCACCCGATGTTAATTATGCCATGTTGGGATGTTATGCAGCGAAAGGTTTATGTGAGTTTGACATTTCGAAGTCTCTAGTTCCGCGCCAAAATTTCTACATTTTTTTTCGAAAAAAAAATTTCATTCAAAATGTAGAAATTTGGCTGACGGCAAAATTTCTACATTTTTTTTTCGAAAAAAAAATTCGAAAAAAAATTTCATTCAAAATGTAGAAATTTGGCTCATGGCAAAATTTCTACATTTTTTTTCGAAAAAAAATTCGAAAAAAAATTTCATTCAAAATGTAGAAATTTGGCTCATGGCAAAATTTCTACATTTTTTTTTTCGAAAAAAAAATTTCATTCAAAATGTAGAAATTTGGCTCATGGCAAAATTTCTACATTTTTTTTGGAAAAAAAAATTTCATTCAAAATGTAGAAATTTGGCTCATGGCAAAATTTCTACATTTTTTTTTTCGAAAAAAAAAATTCGAAAAAAAATTTTATTCAAAATGTAGAAATTTGGCTCATGGCAAAATTTCTACATTTTTTTTCGAAAAAAAATTCGAAAAAAAATTTTATTCAAAATGTAGAAATTTGGCTCATGGCAAAATTTCTACATTTTTTTTCGAAAAAAAATTCGAAAAAAAATTTCATTCAAAATGTAGAAATTTGGCTCATGGCAAAATTTCTACATTTTTTTTTGGAAAAAAAAATTCGAAAAAAAATTCAATTCGAAAAAAAATTTCATTTTTGGCTCATGGCAAAATTTCTACATTTTTTTTCGAAAAAAAATTTCATTCAAAATGTAGAAATTTGGCTCACGGCAAAATTTCTACATTTTTTTTTCAACAAAAATTTCATTCAAAATGTAGAAATTTGGCTGGTAGATTTTGAATTTCGCTACTTTTTGACACTTTTTTTTCTTGGCTCAAGTTGTTCAATTAGTCCAAGCCACTGATGCAAAATGAATTTATTGAACAATTTATCTACATTGTGTTGGGCAAACATTATTGACAGAAAACGGACTAGAAGTATGGTGACCAATTGCACCATTTTGAATTGGGCCAGATTCAACGAACTGAAATTAATTATTCCAAAATTTCAAGTAGCCACTTGAATCGAGAAAACTTACATTCCATGTTTGACACGATGACAGTTGCATTCCATTAAATGACATTGGCACATTTACAACTGCATTCAAAGTGGTTCCAGAGAGATTGACATATTGTGGAGAGGCTTTAAGAGATGAATCCAAAGTTGGTGGTCCATATCCAGTTGTGACTCCAGTTCGAACAGTTACTTGATTATTCATCACTTGGAAGATGATCACACTCAAGTTTTGCTGAAAATAATGAGAAATTTGGAAGGCGCACAGATAAAATGAATCTTTTTAACTTTTTAAACTCAAATCTCCGAAAATCAAAGCAGATGAGTTTGGTCTGCTATTTTCTTGTTACTAAATATTATGCCCAACCACCGTCAACATTAAAATATTACCATGCTTTGTCCAAACGCGATTGCAGTCCATTGATTATTTTGAATATTCCGATTGGTGAAACTTATTTGAATAGCATTATTCGTGTATTTCCAGCTTGCTACAATATTCGAACGCGAAAAACTGCAAGTTGCTGAAAATGCCGAGTTGATAGAAATTAGGAGAATAAATAGTTTAGCCAACATTTCTGTGTTTTGGAATGTAGAATCACAGAAAACTTTCTTTTAAATACCTAGTTTTTGCGGCTACGGTGGGCGTCGTTGGGAATTTTTCGAATAGAAAAAAACAAATATTAGGTTTATAAGACTGTAATTGTTTATGGAGTTCAGTTTGTTTAAATGATGTGAGCGGTTAGTTTGAGATTAGAAGTCAAATAGAAAATATTTGAAAAAAATGGGGCGAATTGGCAAATGTTTGGAGAGGATAACATCAGTTTCGAAGTTCTTTTTGGAATTAATGTTGAAAATGTCTGGGAGGGGGGAGAGAACTTGAGTCAAAAAATAAAAAGAAAAAATGTTTCAGTGCTCCCTGAATGTAATTATTTCTGATTGTGAGAAAAATCTCTTGGGTTCACTAATCAAAAAAATGATACCATAAATTTTTTAGCGTCCAAAATTTGAAAAAAAAATTCAGTGAAAAATCCTGGAGTAATAATCAAGGATTTTTTTCAGACTAAAAAAAATTGAGTTTTCTGAAAAAATTCCGCCATGAAAATTTCAAGCAGGGTAAAAAAAAATATCTGCAAAAAAATATCTGCAAAAAAAAAAAAAAAAATATCTGCAAAAAAGTCTGACTCAGCTTGCTAAAACCTTGATTCTCATTAGCCTATAAATATTGAGTAAAAAGAAGTCTAATATGGGTTTGAGTTATTTGGCTTGAGATAACAATTATCTTGAAGTCATAATTTTAGCTCTTGACTACTGCTTTCTTTACTCAAGTAATTAATCTATTAATTTATTTATTTGTTATTAATTACTTGATTAAACCTTTGTTAGAATCGGAGTAAGCCTGATTTTGAGCCTAGAAGTGAATATTGAAACCATACTTTGATAATTTTCGCAGTCTGAATCAACAATGAAAAATTGGAAATCCTCTGCTTTTCCAGGAAAAAAACTCTGTTGGAACTTTTGAACCATAATTCTTGAAATTTTTTCCAAGCACTTTTCCAATTTTACAAAAATTTCCAGTTTTCCCTGTTTTCCAAACTTGAGCCTCGAAACAGTTTGGCTCATTGATCTCTTTAATATTTTCTCATTTTCCTGTCACAAGTTTTCCTCACTTATAAATATTATGTCAATTTGTTCAACAACTACTGTATGTATGTCAATATGTGAAAAAAGTAACCATTATTTAAAAAATCGTTTTATTTATTTTTTTCACTATTTTTCTGTCATTTATGATGTATTTACACGGCAAACGAGTGAGAAATTATTGGCATTGAGTGGCACAGACCTTCTGCAAAATATAAATTTAGTATCTCAAGAAATCTCAGGAAAAATATAAACAAACCTTTTTGCTTGGCTTGTTATCGGATTTTTCAACATTTCCATTGCTAATCTTTCCCTTTTTGAAGAAATTCCATTTTTGACATTGGGTAAGTTGTTGTCCACCAAAGTTTGGGCTCACATTCAAAACTGCGTTGATAGTTTTGTCTTGTGGGAAATATCCGGAATAGATGAGTTGATAATTGGTGTTTGATGAATTGGTGTTGGTGAAAACTGGGGCAGTTTCTTCTCCAAGAGTTACTGAGCGAGTTGTGATAACATTGTTTGTGAGAAGGAAAATGATTGATGGGATGTTGTTCTGAAAAATTTCCGTTCTTCGAATTTTGAACTCTAAAGGAAAGGTTAAGATATTTTACTGTTCATAAAACCTTAGCCTAATCTTGAATTGCAACTTGAATTTCAATTCTATTTTTGAAGCTTTTAAACCACTTTTAGAACTCACCTTATCATTACCAAAACCGATTCCAGTCCAATGATCATTTTTCAAGTTCTTATTCTGGAATTGAATCTGAATCGAATTATTCGCATAAATCCAATGAACATTCAAATCTCCACTTGTGTATTTACAAGTTTTCGCCGATGCCAAAGCAACAAAACAAGCGAAGAAAATGAGTGAAATTGTCGAATTCATAGTTTCTCGAAAAAAAGATGACTTACTTTGCTCCCTATGGACACTGCTTTTATATGAGTTGCGAGTTTGTTGACATGTGCAATTTGTAGTGTTTGGTTAGAACTACTTAATACTGCCTCTTTTTTTAGTTACAGTACAAGAGACGCATGGCAATGTTTGTTTTTTTCTCAATTTTTTGATCAAACTTTTTTGGCGGATGAAAAGATGTTTTATTTTGATACCTTTTTTGAAGGGGTGTTGATGTTTGAATTGTAATGGTTTATAAAACATACTTCTCTCGAAAAAAACTCAAAAGTGTTCTTGCGTGTTCACTGGGGCGCATTTGAATATTTCTGATTTCAGCTATGATGTTTATACGGTATTTCTTTAAATTTTCAATTTCATACCTGCCTACTGGATCGCATTTGATTTTCTCTTTTGAGCACAACGTCTCGAGAAATTGCTCATGTTATTTTTCAAATTTTAAAGGCACTATTAATTCCGTGATGTTTTTTCACTCTCCACACTTTTCGAATTCAAACTTCATTTATTCCATAAAAATTCAAATTATCATCAAAATGTCACAAATTTGCTGGTTGTACATTGTGCCGCACATACGTTCTGAAAACAAATTGTGATGTTCATTGTTGTAGTGCACTTAAGCTTTTCGGTACAATTATCACTAAACCAAAGTTGCTTCTATTTTTTTTTGCCCGCTGTTTGGCAGCAAACAAATATTAGTTTTTTGATAGAGTACATAGAAAAAATGTTAACAAGCTAAAAAGATACCTTGATTTTGTAAGCTCCGCCATGATGCTTTTTCTTATGCTTTTTCATAAGATTCTTTCTGCTTCCTGGAATAATATCCCAATCAATACATTGATCCAAAGAGAAGTTTCTAGGTCCAGCAGATCCAAGAGGGCGAGTTATCGAAACTTGTAAAATTGTGCCGTCGTAATCAAGTTGAGGAATTTGAACATAAGAAGATTCATCATAAATAACTTTTCCATATTTTGGAGTGTATCCTGTGCGAGTTACAATTGATCCATTTTTATTCGAGAAGATTATTGCTTCGAGATTTGTCTGAAAACTTGAGTTTCACTAACAAGTGAAAATTAAGGACGAATTTTAAAGAAAATTATTTTCTACTCTAAAAACTATTATTTTTTGAAACAATTGGAAACCTTAGGGTTCTCATTGAAAATACTCGGGGGTTACTGTACAACATCTCCCGAAAAGTACTGTGGGTTTTAGCGTGTATTAAAAAAATAACTCACCATTCCCGGTCCGTTCCCAAAAGCGATTGCAGTAAATTTCGTATTCTTGAAATTTTTATGAACAAAATTCAAATTAATTGTATCGTTCCGAACTCGCCATGTCAATTGAACCAAATCATTTTCAAACGAGCAATTTGATGCAAAAACATTTTTGCACCCAAAAATAAAAAATGATAAAAAAAATGAGAAAAAAGGACGCATTGGTCAGTTGTGCAACAACCAAATGATCCCAATTTATTAGATATTTTATAGATAAGAGAAGAAAAGATGATCGGATAAGAAAAAATGTCAAAAAAACACAGACACTTTTGATTGATATCGGTTTCTGTGTATGCTTGGCTTGGGACAAATAACCGTTCGAGAAGTTGTATAAAAAAATGATAAGAATTTCCGAACGGGGGTATAGCTCAGTGGCAGAGCATTCGATTGCAGATCGAGAGGTCCCCGGTTCAAATCCGGGTGCCCCCTTGTTTTTTGAAAATTTTTGGAATCCTTTAAGTTTTGCTGAAACTATTTATTTATTATTTAATGTGAACACCAATCAATTGAATATCTCCTTGAATTATTAATTTGTCTATTTTGTCAGCTGGAAGACGATGATTATAAGTGCAATATAAAACATCGTTAACGAAGATCAAGAATTTCTCATCGCTCGCATACACCAAAACATCGAACGATCTTTTTGCTTTGAAAGGGAATTTTATTTTTCCCTCGTGACCTGTTTCCGGGGAAGACCAAGTTCCAGATAAAAGGCTTTTACGTGTTGTCTTCTGAAAAAAATTTAACCAAATGTTTTTTGAGTTTAAAAAGTGAACTACAAGACTACTGTAGAAATACTTCCAAAAAGTGATCTACCAAAGCCTAATTATCTTATAATTTTACCTTTTGAACGAAAGAAGGTGAGAACTGAAGTGCGATATCTTCACCATTGGCAAAGAACTCGATCGTAAAATCTTTTGGCTTTTTGTCCGCAATCGCCGATACAAAAAGTTTTCTACCGACGTAGAAATTTCCAGGAATATCAGCCGAATACGGAATTGTCTGTAAAATGCTCTTTCGTTTTAATTTTAAGTTCCAATTCCAGTTTTTCAAATCAAAATCAAACTCACATATAATTTTCCCTCCCAAGAAACGGCATACAAACGAATATCGCCTTGAACATAGATATGAGATATATTTGACATTGCCACGTAATGTTTAAAAGTAGCAATCAATTTATGCTCAACATAGATTTCAAAATGTTGATCGAAACAACGAATTCGAATGTCGAATTCATCTCCATCTTTATACGATTGTTTGATAAATGCTTCTTTTCCCCATTGATTGTCAATACATGCATTTAGATATACACGGCCTTTTGGGATATCAACACGGATTGCAAGAAGTCGATCATCCAATGTTCCATTTCCATCATTGTCCAATTCAACGTTTGGACCGGATGTCAAATTGACAATGAAACCATCGGAGCCTAGAAGTTATAGGTATTATTGAGAAAATTTGCATTGAATTGTTTTTTGGGATTACTCATATTATACTATTTGTGCGTCTCACAAAAATTATGATTTTGTTTTGCGGTAGTTTTATTTAGGCCACGCCCACTTTCGAAAATGGACTACGGTAATTTGAAAAATGTTTTTTTCGAAAGACGTGAACAATGAAATTTTTATACTTTCAAATGAAAGTATTTTTTTAAATAAATTTGTTTTTTAGTCTAAAAGTTAATATGAAACATGTTATTTACCTGTTATATAACCTCTGACAATCAAAGATTGCCCAGTTTGCAATTGATTTCCATCCAAGCGAGACAAATATGGAACTTCCTGCAAAAAAAAACAATTTTTAAAATACTCGAATCAATTTTTCACTTACAAATGTGTGATTTCTGCCAGTAATCGAATCTTTTCTGGTCAGAATTTTTTTCGGCTTCCGGAAGCTCATAATTCGACGGAAAATCGACGACATTTTCTGAAATCAGAAAGGAAAAATACTTTGTTATTTGAAGAAAAAACTACAAAAAATTATATTTTCCCAGAAAAATATGAAAAATTCGTGACAAAAATAAAATAAGCAATTTCACGCTCTCTTATTTTTCTTTTTACAAAAAATTTCAGAAAAAGAAATTTCTCTTCTAAATGACCAAAAATTAGTGTCAATAACATTCCAAAAAAAAGTATTTCTAGTTTTTTTTGTTGATCAAAATCGAAATGCCACTTTTTTTTGGTAACCACAACTATTTGTTATCATATTAATTGTCGTCTTTGTCCTTGGAAAAAGGAAGATTTTTAGATTTTTCTACCGTAAAAAATAAATAAATAAAAATAAAAAGAATTTACTTCTATTTCATTTCATTTCACCGGAAAAACTTTTAATTGGTTGGACTAATTAAAATGAAATATTTAAAATTAGTTTATGATTTGAAAGAAGTTGAAAACAAGAATGAGCCAATAAAAACAAAACTTGCTCCAATTATATGAAACATGTTGAAACTGTTATTAAAAACCAAAAATGAGATCAATAATGAGAAGAATTTTCGGAGTGTTAGAACCATTGTTACATTTAATGAAGTTGTGACAGATGAAAGTGAATAAACACTTCGAGTGCATAGAAATCTGCAAAGATATTTTTGATGAAAAATAATTAGGCTAATTAAATTTCGAGATGAATTATTAATTGGAATGTGTCTAAATTTAGAAGAAAAAGTAAGAAACTCATAGTTCGACCAAAGTTCGAGTCAATATTTAAAAAAAAATTATTTATCAATTTTCATGTAAAAGTTCACGTTTAATAAAAAATTATGAATATTTGAAATATTTTGCCTGGTTTTTCAATTGAATGAAAATGAAAAAATTGAACAACCGAAATTTTAAGATTCTAAAAATATAACTTTCATAAGAAAAAGTTTAGAATAAAATTTTCGAATTTTAGGGAAAATAGCTGCCTTCAACCAAAAAACTTACTGAAACAAACATATAATCAAAATATAAACCCAAGCTCTTGGAACAATCATATCAATTCCAAAAACTTCAAAAGATGGTGTAGAATTAGCCGACTCAAATGCCTCTCCCATTTCATTTCCAATCAACGCAAAAGCAGGAATCGACAAAAAATGCACAAAAAACATCATTTCTTCGTTGTGTTTTCCATGTTTTTGATAAAACGTTTCCTGATATAAACCCAAATATGCGCTCAAAATTAGGGCAAATGACAAAAGAGCAATTCCACATAAAAATGGTGGAATTGGGATAATCCAATTTGATGTATCAATTCCAATTCGAATCATTTCACTGTTCGGTTCATAACTGGCTAATGTGAAAATTATAATTCCAGCTGTGACAACCATTACAGCCATTATTTGTTTTATATTATATCGATAATTTCGAAGAATATAACCCATTGACATATTTGCTATTAGTGTACCCTAAAAAATATTGGATCAAAATAGGGAACATGTTTTTGAAATACTGAATGGGACCATGAAAAAAATAAAAAAGATTCTACGATATTTGTTCGATTGTGAGTTATTTTTTGAAAAAATTGAACTTTTAAAAAGATTTTTTTCGAAATTAAAAAAATTAAATATTTCTAAAAAAAACCCTCCAAAATTCCTCACCGACTTGAAAATAATAAAAAGTGGAAAATAAATAGCAAATTTGATTGCATAATTATTAGCCATATTTACAGTGAAGAAAATCGCGACAATTGATGCATAACTTTTGATTGGAATATGATTTGGAACCGTGAAAAATTTCGAATGAAAAATGAGACCATAAGTTGCGGTAAATACGAACGAAGCAAATGTGATGAGATTTAGACTGTTTTTGACGTATCTGGAAACAAAATAGTTGAAATATAAATTTTTAGACAATTATCAGTTGGATCTAGAAATTTCTTTTCGAGTTTTATTTTTTATCCATTTTTTTTTTAGATTTTTCACAAGATGTCTCGAGTTTTTTCAGACACAAAAATTTTCAGCTGGTTTGTGAAAAAAATTCTTGTTACCAGGTGAAACATTTTCAAACGCTGAAAATAGATTTTTTTCATCCCGTCTGCCACGTGGATTTTTTGAATTGAAAGATTTTAAGCTAAAATATGAAATTATTCTTTAATATTATCTAAGCAGTTTATTCCTGGGGCGAAATAAAATTTATTCCGAATATCAAAAAATACGACCAAAAATTACAAGAAAATTCAATTTTCTAAATTTCAATTCCAAATGTATTTTTCGAGTAAAGTTTAAAATTCTCAGCTCAAAAGTCAGGCCAACTCACGTCTGTAAATATTCAATTCCAGCCTGACATCCAACACATCCGACCAACGTCGACGAAATCACAGAAATTGCAGCCGGCATCACATTTGAGTTCCTATAACTCTTTCTTGGAAGCTGAAAAAATAGTTTTTCTTTATACTGAACAAATTAGAGAAAAAGAGGGAGAAAAGAAAAAGACAAAAAATATAGGGTTTCTTTTTGTCTATTGACTTTACGGATATATTTTGGCAGAAGAAAAAAACAAAGAAAATAAATTTGCATTAATTTAGATTTTGACGTGACCTAGATTTTTTGTGAAACCAAAAAAAATCGGTAGGCCGAAAATGATTTATTTCGGTAAACACGTAATTTTCGGACAAGTGATCTCTTGTCTTTCTTTCAAATAGAGGTGAGCAATGTGATCGGATAAATTCGAGAATGGGTTTGGAGTTTTAGAATACTGTAGCTTCTTTTGAAACTGTGTCACTACAGTACTCCTGAGCTTACTGTAAAATTCTAGAAAAGTTACTTCCTACTACAAAAAACTCTTTGAATTTACAGACAATTGTGAACAATAACCTGATTCAATAAAAAATAGAAAATGGCAGAGGATGATCAAATGGCTAATGTGAAATTCCAACCTGGCAAAAAGTTTGGAGAATGGGTGATCAAAAAACGGTTGGATGAAGGTGGTTTCGGTCAGGTTTATTTGGTGGAAAATGGAAAAAAAGAGAAAGGCGCATTGAAGGCGGAATCGAATGAAGTCGAAGGAGGATCGGCTATTAAACTTGAGACAATGATTTTGAAACAATTGAACAAAAATGGACCGGTTCCACATATTCCAACAGTTTATCATGCTGCGAAAAGGAACAAATATTGTGAGAACAACTTGGAAATTATTTAAATTAACGAAAGCTTAATTTTAGGTTATATGGTAATGATGCTACTCGGCGACAACTTGAAACATCTCAAAACAGATCAACCAAAAGAACGATTCACACGTGGCACATGGTCTCGTGTCGGAATTCAATGTCTATACAGTTTGAAATATTTACATGATTGTGGTTTCATTCATCGTGACATCAAACCGCAGAATTTCGTAATGGGACATCCAGAAGACGGTGCACGATCTCGTATGGTTCATATTCTTGATTTCGGATTAGCTCGTCCGTTTGCCAGTTTTGATGAAAAACGAAAAAAGTGGGTGGCGAGAAAAGCGAGAGGAAGTGCAGAATTTCGTGGAACACTACGCTATACTTCGCCAAATGTTCATTTACGGAAAGAGCAAGGAAGAGTCGACGATGTTTGGTCGCTTCTTTTCGTTCTCATCGAACTCAATGGTGGACTTCCGTGGCAAACCGAAAAAGAACGTGACAAAGTGGAGCAGATGAAAATGTCGTTGGATAATAGAACAGTTATGCAAAATATGCCAATTTGTATGGGCAACATTTTGCCGCATTTGCATAGCTTGGACTATTATCAACGACCCGATTATCATTTATTTTTCAAATCACTTTGGCAAGTTATGCTAAATGAGAAGATAACACCAACTTCGAAATATGATTGGGAGAGTCCGGAACAAGAGGAGAATGCTGTGAGTTTGGATAAGTTAGTAGGAAGGGAGGTAGAAAATGAGAAAATACTATATAGTTCTAAAAAGTGCTTATTTTCAATCCAGAAACATTCCACCCTACTCACCCTGTACTTCCAAAATTTTCAGAAAAAATTCAAACCAGCTGACTGGGAAAAACCGGAAGGTCCCTACTTCTCATCGGATCCAATTGGAATCAATGGACCACCGGAAGGCCCGGCTGCCAACTCGGAAAATCCAAACAATGATGGAGGTTTGAAAAGTGGAGAGGATAAATCAAAATCGAATAGCAAGGTAAGTTGAAAAAAAAATAATTTTTCGCCTCAAGACCCATTTTTTCTAGATGTTTGGAAAGAAGAATGAGTGAACTTTGGATTTTTGCTTTAATTTCATTAGTGAAATTTATCAATAAAATATTTCGGGTCTTGAGGCGAATTTCGGTTTTCATTTTTTTTTTAATATAAACCACGAAAACTTTCAGCCAGCAAAAAATTGGTTACAAGTTTCGCCATCACTTTTATCAGTTCAATCGAGCGGTGGAACCGTCAAATTTACTATGAAAAATGAGCATTTTGAGCCGATAGTTTATAAGGTGAAAATTTCGAATGTGGAAAACTATCGAGTAAATCCGGTTTTCGGAATAATTCAACCAAAATCATCGGCTGAGGTTGAAGTTGTTCGAACTGCGGGAGCTATTAAAATTGATCGTATTGTCGTTCAATTTGGAAATGTTACCAAAGGCGAAACATCGACTGATGCTCAAAAAGTATTCAGTACAATTAAGGACACTGATCGATTGACTGTTCCAATTAGCGCGGTTAATAAGTGATTTCCAACTTCTTTTTGGCCGTTCTCCAAAATAAAATTTTTTGGTTAAAAAAAATTTTTTTTTCTGTAAATGAAACGAGGCTGATAGTAAAAAACTTCGGAATTTTGAATCGAAATCAGCTGAATATTTTTTTAATGAAAAAAATTGAGCTCTACAGTACCCCAAAAACTCCCATTTTTCACAAAAAAAATATTTAAATAAATTTTCTGCAAATCAACAGTTTTAGTTCTACGAAAAAAATAACACACAGAATTTAAAAAATCCAGAAAATAAATAAATTTCATTCAAATCATCGATTAAGAAAAACACTGGGATGATGCAATCAAACAAAAATCTCGAGAAAAACACGGGATGCACGAAAATTATACTGTAACATTAAAGGAACACACAAAAAAACAAATAAATTATCACAGGAAGACGGGAAAAAAAAGAGTTTCGTAGGGTCGGTGGAAAATAGAAAAAATATACATTTTTGGCACACATAAAGTAGAAAAATATCACAACCAGCACAAAAAAGATTATGGGATAGTAAACTATGAACAAGAGAAATATAAGGGTAGATCAAATTTAAGTGGGCGAAATAAGTTGATCGGGTCTCGTTGGGATATCACCGACTACGGTATCTTCGTCTAAAACACTTTCGGCGTCAGGTTCGATTTTTGTTTCGTCAAAGTTTGGCGGTGCTGGAGTGGATCGACCAGATTGACAATCCTGAAACAGATTTGAGATTTTTTGAGAAAATTTTTGCACATGGATCTTTCGCCAAGAAGGGGTACTGTAGCTTCGAAATTGAGACAATGCCAAATTTGAAACTTTAGGTCTCCGAACTACAAAGAACATTTGCAAATCGGTTACTGTAGCTATGGATTTCAGGCTATAAACTTTTCTAAAATTCCAGTTTTCTAAAGAATATTATTCAAGTTCTACAGTAATTGCACAATACTGTATTTAAAATTTCGAAATTTTGCAGCGCGGTTACTGTACTTTATGAAGCAAATTACGTGGTCCGATTTTGTCAAGAATGGGTTTTTAGTAGTTCCTATCAGAATTAGCCCAAAACTTTTGCTCTAACAAACCTGCAACGCGGAACAATAATGTAACATCAACACAGCCAAAGCCTGCAATCTTTCATCCAATCCTTGAAATCTGGCTGATGTTTCACCACCTCCATTTTGCATAACATTCAATCGATCATCTTTGGTTTCACGAATTGCGGTTTGAATTCGATCGATTTGCGAATTAATCTTCTCAATTCGAATATCTGATGGAAGTTCAGAATAGATTTCTCTTCCAAGTTGTTTGGCATTTCGAATTGTTTGCTCATTATAAGCATTTCCTGGCTGGAAATATAAACCATGAATGAATGGAGAACCATCGAGAAAAGGTAGAACATCGGAAAGAACATCTTGAATACTAGCCATCGGACTATCTCGATCTTGATCTTCTTCCTGAACTTTTTGATGAGATTTTGAATCATTCGAACATTGTGACAATCTATCATTTTCCTTTCTTGCAGAACTCGAAGATCCTTTTCTCCAATTCGAAAACTTTTCGGTTACTTTTTTGAATCTGGCACGTTTTGAAATATCCGGTGTTTCGGGTAAATTGGAAGATGGTGATTGCATTACCAATTCCTCCAAAATTTCTGTAGATGGAGTTCCAGCTTCATTTGGTTCGGGGAGCGACAAATCTTCAAAATTCGCATCAGAAGTTGCAGTTTGATGAGGAGAACAGGCAATTCCTCCTTGATTCGCTTTGACTACACATTTATTGTGACAAATGACAAGACAACGCGAGCAGCAAGAAGCATTGCGGAGCCAGATTTTGCCACGACACATTGCGCATACGGTGCCTGGAAAAAATAATGGGTTTGGTGAGCTGACTTGAAAATAAAGTTAGAAATTGGAAGATTTTTTCCAGAAGTTTACCATTGTAAAAATTATTTTTAAATTTTTACGTAAATACAACTTCAAAACTACTGTAGTTTTGTAGTTCAATAGAACAACTACAGTATTTCTAGCTTTTTTAGTTTGGTTTGGAAATAATTTTCAGAATATTTGAAAATTCAGAACAACTGTTAGAAAAAAAGATTTTTTTTGTGGATAATTCACAGCTCTCAGAAAAAAATCCCAAAACCGCTCCGGATTTGTTCTAACTCCCTTCCTTCCCTATCAAAAAAGAAACTCACTAGTTCTTCCGCCATACCACAATTTCCAATCATGTGTCGACGGTGACAAGGCTGGTGGAGAAAAGGGTCGACCAGTTGGTGTTTCAGGAGTAACCTTCACCATTTCCTCATCACTTTCCTCTCCCGAATTCAAAGCTTTTCCAGTTGGAAGACCATTCGGGAAATATCGAAAACCCAAAGTGATATCACCAAAACAAAGTCGCGGATCAAATCCAGCATGTCGTGAAAATTCGTCAGGTTGCTGTTGTGATTGTGAAGTCGGAGCTTCGATGAAATTCGGCTGCTTCAGCACGAAAACTTCTCTATGGCAATTGGACAATGTCAGTTTACAATCATCGATTAATTGCGGTATATATAATGAACAAGTTCCAAGAGTAATTAGATCTCCTGGAGTTGAAGCAGATCCTGAAGAGGATCCTGATGCTGGAGAATCTTCAGATGTTACACATTCTCTTGCCTGAACTGTCACATTCAAATATTTCAAAACATCAATATCGAAATGCAAACTCTGTCCCCATAGAACATCTTTTTTGGAATTGCACACATTTCGTAGATCTTGAACGAGATTTTGAATTCGAATTGGGATTTGAACTAGTGCTAGAATTCGGTGTCAATACTCCAACCTTTGGCGAATCCTTCTTCTTCATTTTCTTTTCTTTTTTAACTTTTTCAGTTGCTGGTGATTTATCGCGTTCTCCTTCGCCAAGAAGAAGAGTTCCAGCATCAGTTGCATATTCAATACTTTCTCCACCCAAATCATTTTCTTTTCTTTTCTGTGGCATCAAATCCAAAACTCGTTTTTTGCCAGCTGCCAATGTTGCTTGAATCTTATTCCTTCTTGTGCTATTCTGCCTTTTTCGACTTAAACTCGAAGTTTCATCATCTTCTGGGCCTATATCGCCTTCGGTGTCGGTGCGAGTTGAGGCCATTGAGGAGAGTGAAACGACAGAACCGGTGTTCTGAAAAACATTGAATTTTTGCGAAAAGTTTCAAAAAGATAATTTATTGTTGAAACTCACTTCCGTAAACATAGACAACCCTTTCGCGGCATCCGCTTGTGTCAAAGTCCGATCTTTATCCTCCTTCTTGATAACATTTAAATGTGATGAATCTAATGGATCTCTACTTCGATTCAAACTTCCAATGAACATTTGAGAAATTGGTTCTTCGATTGCAAAATCTGAAGTGCTTGCCAAAACCGCATCGATAACTTTTGCATCAAGTCGACTTTCACTTTGTGTTCGTCTCAAATCGCAACTCGGTTGACTGACGAGCAATTGAGGAACTCGAGCACTTTCGGCACGTTGAACTGATACTGTCGAAGGTTTTTCGAAACGATTTGCATCTGCAAATAATAAAATCGAAAAATTACGAAGATGTCATTTTATTTTGGTACTGTAGTTTTGTAATTTCATAACAGGCTGACAAACTGTGAGTCAGACTACTTGAGATACAGAATCCGAGTTTGGGAATTCTAAAATGGTGGCTAAAGCCAAACTGCAAATCTTCATCACTAATTTTTAAAACTGCAAAAAAAACAATACAGTACTCTCGAGAACTGAAAATCCTTCGAAAAGTATAACAGAGAGTATTATTTACTAATGATCATTTGATCCCGTCATAAATTGATTGATTTTCAGCTAATCATTTTTTTTGACCACCTTCGTTCCACACATTCCTCCATCTTCTTCTTTATTTTTCTCCCAAAATGATAACAATCTTTTTTCCCGAAAAAAACGAACTAATAGGTTTCAGTATCTTCCTCCCGAAAAAAAATAAAACCGGTTACGCCCATTTTTCCAGTAATTACTTTACTATTTAAGGGTGTGACAGAGGTTCTAAACTTCATATCCAGTCATGGACATCGACTCAAAAATAAAAGCATACCGCTTTGTCGGTTATGCCGCATTGACATTTTCGACAATCGCAGTTCTATCGATCTGTGTTACTCTTCCAATGGTATACAACTATATTCATCATGTGAAGAGAAGCATGCATCACGAAATTGTTGAATGTAAGGCCGAGGCAAAGAAATTGTGGGGTGATGTTTACACAATTCCTGAAATGCCAGGAGCTCACAACAGAACAGCTCGTCAAGTTGGAGGAGGACAATGTGAAGGATGTTGTTTGCCAGGAGCACAAGGACCACCAGGAACTCCAGGACGCAATGGTCGACCAGGAAAGCCTGGAGCACCAGGACTTAACGGAAATCCAGGACGTCCACCAAAGGAGCCATGTGAGCCAGTCACCAAGCCACCTTGCAAACCATGCCCAGTCGGGCCACCAGGACCAGCCGGACCACCAGGTCAACCAGGAAACAAGGGACCTTTGGGACCACCAGGACCACCAGGACCAGGAGGACCAGGAGGAGAGCCAGGAAACAAGGGACCAATCGGGCCACCAGGGCCAGTTGGAAAGCCAGGACCACCAGGAGAGCCAGGACAAAACGGAGAAAATGGAGAGCCACAACCAGGAGCACCAGGAGAGCCAGGAAGACCAGGACAACCAGGATCAAAGGGACCAGCTGGACAACCAGGAAAAGATGGTGGACAAGGAGGACAAGGAGAAAAGGGAGCAAATGGAGAACCAGGACAACCAGGAAGAGATGGACAACCTGGAAGACCAGGACAACCAGGAAAAGATGGAAAGCAAGGAGAGAAAGGTATCTGTCCAAAATATTGTGCTGCTGATGGTGGTGTTTTCTTCGAAAACGGTCAACGTCGTTAGAACATGACACAATTTTAATCTAGTCTTGCATTTTAAAACTTTTTAAAGAGAATAAAAGCATTTTCTTTAGGTGTTGTGTTTGGGATCTTTCAGAAAAATTGAAACAGTACAAATTTCACTGATAAACTTGATATCTCGCCTTGGTGGCTTTTCGAAAATCCGAGAATCAGGCAAGAAAGATCTGTTAGGAAAAAATCGGCTCATTGTGAATGAAAATCGCAAGTAGAACTGTGAATGGAATCTCAATAAATCTACGGACTACTGAAAAATTCTAGGCCATCGAAAAAAAAACTAGACACAGAAAGAAACGAAACAACCAGGAAGACCAGAAAAATCATGAAGAACAGTAGACATCGGAAAAAAAACGGAAAAAAATGGTTACACTATGATTTGATTTGATAACAATCTATTTTTCCGGATTGAGAGAGAATGATTTTTCAGTTAGAAATTTGAAGCAAATAAAATAAAAGAAATTGGCAACGCAGAAAAAGCCAATTCTAAAACAATGTTAAATCCCAAAAACAGCTCTTTTGATATCAGAATTTGAAATCAAATTTCACCCCGTAAAAAACTTCGAAAAATTTAACAAATTCAAATCATAAAGTTTTCTCAAATGTTTTCCTTCTCAAAAAACTCACCAAGCGAAAAAATGGATGAGTTGACAGATTCCGTGTTCGTATCAATTACCGATGATTCGAAATTCGACACGCTGTGACGTCGTCGAACAACATCAGCTGCTGCAAAAAAAACGTTTAAAAAAATAGAACAAAAGTTCACTCAAATATTACACAACACTACACACAGTTCAAAAAATGTTGGAAAAAAGAAAAGATAAATCAAAAGTTACCTGGTTCCTCTTTCATCGAAATTGAATCCGAAGTTGTTGCTGCGAGACTCGAACTATCAGTCAATTCTTTTTTGACACTTCCAACAACTTCATATCCATCATCAACATCTCGAACATTACTCACGATAATTTCTTCATCTTCTTCTGAAATTGGATTATTTACACCGCATTTCAAATTTTGTTAGAGATAAAAGAAGGGTAGGAACATCAATCAATAAAATATTAGAACTAAATTCGAAAAAAATTAAAATAGAAAACTCTTAAGATGAACTTTAATTTTGAAGTATTTAGAAAAAAATTATTGAAGGCAATTTTTTTTTGAAAAAATGTTTCCCAATCAAAAAATTCGGCCCACCTTTATCTCCTTCCTCATCAATATCTTCCAAACTTCTCTCCACCAAAACCATCAAATCTCCAATTGTTTGTTGCAAAAATCGTGTAGCTTGTCGTTCGGATCGAATTGGCACATTATTAATAGCCACCAAAACATCTCCCGGTTTAAAGGCTGCTTTGTCCGCCAAACTATTATCCTCAACTGATAGAACTTTGACAGGGCTACTGTTTTTATCGAAAATAATTCCGATCGGATTTCCAACATCGAATCTTGAAAATGTCAACAAAACACTAACACAATGACCATTTTCTTCATTTTGTGTTATTGGTCGATGATCCATTGAAACTGTGCAAAAAACCTCATAATTTTTCGATTTATTTTCGATGAGCGATGTTTTCAGGCGACTACATTGGAGAACTGTCACTTCGATTCCACCTTCGAGTTTTACATGAGCAAGGCTGTCTGAAATTTAAGGATTTTGTAATTTTTTATTTTGCCAAAATTGTGCACGGTATAATTTTCCGGTCCAAATCTTCAATTCAAAATTTTTCAATGTTTTTTCTCGAAAACTCACTAATCGACGGGCTTGCTTGAAATATCGGATTCGGGAAAAACGGTCGATATCGGATTTTATAATTCGGCCAAACATGTTTCCTCTGAAGTGATCTTCTAATAGCTTCTTTGATAATCGGAATCAGTCTTTTCAATTGATGTCCTTGAATTTGCGAATTGATTTCGGTTTCAAAAATCGGCGGAGAAACGAAAGAAAATGTCCAATGATGATATGGCTGGCGAGATAGGATAACTCGAACCATTCCCGTTAATTTTGTGATCTGGAAAAAAGGGAAAATTGTTTATTGATAAGCTTTAGCTTTTTTTCTTCGCCCAACAGACCCCGCATGTAATGATCTCCCCCTCCCCAATATGTTGTTCCAGTGTGAATTTTCATTAGTTACCCGCCCAAATCGAAATTTTGATTCGAGCGTGAATTCGAAATTTCCAAAATGACCCCCCCCCCTCGAAAAATTTTTCCAAATGACATGATCTCCCCCTCACAGTTTTGGGAACAGTGCCATGTATGAACGGCCTAAAAAAATCTCATGAGTAAAATCTCACCTTAACCGAAACACTAGCCCGTTTTGTAATAATTGTGGCAACATCTATCGAAGTCTCAAATCCTCCGGAATAATCAATATCTAATACAAATGTGATTTTATCAAAAGTATTTTTATCATCCGCCATTTCAACGTTTTCGACGCGAATCGAATTGATGCTCAAAAATTTGGTGCCTAGCGAAAGTTCGCGGATTCGAATTTCTTGAATTAATCGACCGGCAGTGGAGCGAGTTGTTATGTCGTTCATTTCCATTTGTAGACGTTTCAGCACCCATCTGAAAATGTTAAAATAAATTGATTGAAACTTTTTTTTGGGTTTCCAGGATTCCTAGACCGAAAATTTATGTTATTCAAAAACACCTTCTAAAAGTGTATACCTTCTCAAAGCTCTTGTATCCTTATGCTCTTGAAACAGCATGTGAAGCAAAAGACTAATTGAATTGCAAGATTCCCATTTCGAAATGCCTTGTCCATCCTCACCAGACTTCAAAAATGCACGAAGTTCTTCAGGAATTTGAACAGGTCGATATTGCTCAATAAATTCTTGCTGAGCATTTGGAGCATTTTGTGGTGGAGCCCATGGATCGATAATCAATATATAAGCAATAATTAAAACCTGAACATTATAATTATAAGCTTTCACTTTTTCAAAAAGAAACTCACAATTGCAATTCCTACAAGTACGCCGACGAAAAATTGAATCATAGTTATTTTTTCGTCACACACAAAAAATTGTCGTCAAAAATGACGACAACTCCAATCTCCAAACCTCGTCTTTTCTTCAATGGTTTCTCACTGCAAACATTTTTCAAGAATTTTTCAATTTCAGCCAATTTTCTAGAGCAATGGGGCGAAAAAATCAATCGGTTTGTGAAAAAAAAAAACAAATTTTGTTTTTAGCCTAACGTGAGCTTATTGAATTTCAACAGAACGAAATTGTTTTTGTTCGTTTTTTTTTGAAAATTAGCGTAAATAAAAATATCAGGAAACTTTGACAATCACAAGAAAAACAATAAGAGGAGCATGAGGAAATGAAAAAAACACGAAGAGGAAAAAGCATAACAAAAGAGAAATGGGAGCAGAAGGGGACCAAACGAGAAGAAGAAGAAAAAGATGAAAAAGCTAGATGAGAAGAAGAAGAGAAATGAATTTTCGGTTATTTTTAGAGCATTGAGCTACCAATTAACTTATTGGGCTGAAAAAGTTGTATGGTTGATGTAATTACAATTCTATTTTGTTGGGGAATGAAAAAATTGAAAAAACTTTCAGACTTGAAAAAAACTGGTTTTTCAGTCAAATCAGATTATGTTGCGAACAAAGAACGGTTCTCTTATCTACTTTACAAAACAATTTTTCAAAAATGTGCAAGTTAAACGTCAATTTCGCTGAAATGAATCAATAATTTTCGCATTTTCCTCGAGGCCTCCACGAGAAAAAAACTGATGGCCGAGGTTTTCTCCGCGAGAACTACACACACATTTTTTTCTCGGCCACCTCATTTTTGCATTGTTTTTTTTGGTTGTGCGAAAATCGATAATTTTGTATATTTTAGGAACACAATGCCAGGTGAAAGTGATGGTTTGTCGCGTGAAGAGTTTCTGGTGCTCCAGGAGCAGCTTCTGAACTTGAGGAATCGCAATTATGAATTGCAGGAAGAATTGAAAAAGAAGACAAATGAAATTCAACAGTTGTCGAGTAATAATGCTTTTCAATTTGCAAGTAAAGTAAGTTTTTTGGAAAATATTTAATAAGCATATTTCAACAAAGTGTTCATTTTTAGTTGATAAATCGAAGTTCGAGTTCAAAAAAAGATGATGATTTCGAAAATCTCCGCAAAAAATTAGAAATCCAAGAGGAGGAATTCAAACTACAGCAATCTACATTATTCCAAGAGATGAATTCATTATCTGCAGAAAATGATAAACTCAAGAACCAGCTAAAATCACATCCTTTGGAAAAAGGACCCGAAAACAATTCGGATTTTGAAGAACAACTTGAAAAAATGACGAAAAAAGCAGAGGATAGTGAAAAATTGACCAGAGATCTTGAAGACATGTTACTAGAAAATCGCAAAAAATTGGAGGATTCGAAAAAAGAAATTGGGAGATTTTGGAGAGCTACAAAAGGAATTGGACAATATTAAAAAATACAAGGAAATCGATGCAGGAAAAATCAGAGAACTTGAAGATGAGCTTGTTCAGATGCAGCTAAAATTGACCGATTCGCAGGAAAATTCTGGAGAACAGGAGAAACTTGTAGAAGAATATAAGAACAGATCAGAGCAGCAGGAAAAGGAAATTGTGAGTTTTTTAAAATAATTTTAAAATAAGTTATCCTATTGAGATCGCTCTTAATTTTTAGAATTCACTAAAGATATGGTTATCTGAAGCAAACGCAAAAATAGAGGAAGAAAAATCGAATTTCGAATTAACAATCTTGGAGAAAAATGCGATGGTCGAAAAAATTCAGCTTGAATTCAGCTCAAAATCTTCGGAAGAATTCGAACAACGGCTTTTCCTTCTTGAATCACGATTCAAGCTAGAAATTGATGATTTGAAAAAAGAACACGAAGATGAAATCACAAAATTGGACCTGAAAATTCAAAAATTAGAAGAAAAAATCAAAGGACATGATGAGGAAAAACGAATCGCTCTCAAAAAACAAAGTGCAATTATCAAGGAGTTGCAAAAAACTGTGAAAGAGGAGCGAAAAAGAGCCGATTCTTATGAAAAGAAAAATGAAGAGAAACAAGGTTGGCATGTTGTTCAAGAATCTGATGGGCAAAGTAGTCATGTGAGTTATTTGATTTGAAATTTGGATTTGTCAACGCCTAACGGAGCCTAGTATTCTCTCAAAATACCGATTTTTCAGACCTATGATGGAAATGAGAGCATCTCATCACTTTCGGCAATTGAATCAGAAAATGTGGAACTCATCACAAGATTAGCCTCACTTCAACGTATAAATTCAGAAAACACCGATCGAATTCTTCAACTCGAATCCGAAAATAGTAAAATGAGTCGAGAAGTTTTTGAAAAAGGCGAACTTATCGAAAATTGGATTCGAGAGAAACCAATCTCTTCATCGCAAAATTCATCCCCACGAAATTTGACGGATTTTGGGTTCCGAAAACTTTTGACAAATTTGGGTCAAGATCAAGGAGCGCAAGATTTGAAGGAGATGAATAAGAAATTGCAAAGAATGTTGGAGGAGACACTATCCAAAAATATTTTATTGCAAAGGGTGAGGCATTTTTGAAAAACTATAAAAAAAAACAAAAAAACATCGGCGAGACCTAATAGACCTCTAATTTTTGTTTGAAACAGTAAATTTTTGGTTGATATTTCTCAAAAGTTAAGAATCATTAGGCCAGATGTTGGAAATCTTTATTGAAAAATATCTTTATTAGGAAAAAATTGACAGAAAATACTGTTTTTAAACATGATGATTTTGGAACAAGCTTTCCGAAAACCCTTGTTCATTTCATTTACCCCTCCCATAATTCCATATCATTTCATTAACATAACTGACCTGATGAGCAGCAGAAACCCGTTGTCAGACCAAACCTAACCTGAACCAATTGATATCCGTTTATCAGCGTTATTATCACACAGATTCTCAGAATTGTGGAAAAGACAATACAATAATGAAACGAAGGCCTAACTAATTTTTCACTGAATCTAAAAAAAGGTTGAGGGACTATGTTATGAGGACCCAACTAAATAATTTTCAAACATCCTTCTCCCAACTCTCCTCGTCCCACTAATTCGTATCACACGAAAAAAAGGAACGAGAAGAAATTGGATGAAAGGTGTTACTGAAATTCGGGGTGACTATATTATGAGGACCCAACTAAATAATTTTCAAACATCTTTTTCCCAACTCTCCTCGTCCCACTAATTCGTATCACACGTAAAAAAAGGAACGAGAAGAAATTGGATGAAAGGTGTTACTGAAATTCGGGGTGACTATGTTATGAGGACCCAACTAAATAATTTTCAAACATCCTTCTCCCAACTCTCCTCGTCCCACTAATTCGTATCACACGAAAAAAAAGGAACGAGAAGAAATTGGATGAAAGGTGTTACTGAAATTCGGGGTGACTATATTATGAGGACCCAACTAAATAATTTTCAAACATCTTTTTCCCAACTCTCCTCGTCCCACTAATTCGTATCACACGAAAAAAAGGAACGAGAAGAAATTGGATGAAAGGTGTTACTGAAATTCGGGGGACTATGTTATGAGGACCCAACTAAATAATTTTCAATAATTTTCAAACATCCTTCTCCCAACTCTCCTCGTCCCACTAATTCGTATCACACGAAAAAAAGGAACGAGAAGAAATTGGATGAAAGGTGTTACTGAAATTCGGGGTGACTATGTTATGAGGACCCAACTAAATAATTTTCAATAATTTTCAAACATCCTTCTCCCAACTCTCCTCGTCCCACTAATTCGTATCACACGAAAAAAAAGGAACGAGAAGAAATTGGATGAAAGATGTTACTGAAATTCGGGGGGACTATGTTATGAGGACCCAACTAAATAATTTTCAATAATTTTCAAACATCTTTTTCTCAACTCTCCTCGTCCCACTAATTCGTATCACACGAAAAAAAAGGAACGAGAAGAAATTGGATGAAAGATGTTACTGAAATTCGGGGGGACTATGTTATGAGGACCCAACTAAATAATTTTCAAACATCCTTTTCCCAACTCTCCTCGTCCCACTAATTCGTATCACACGAAAAAAAAGGAACGAGAAGAAATTGGATGAAAGATGTTACTGAAATTCGGGGTGACTATGTTATGAGGACCCAACTAAATAATTTTCAATAATTTTCAAACATCCTTCTCCCAACTCTCCTCGTCCCACTAATTCGTATCACACGAAAAAAAAGGAACGAGAAGAAATTGGATGAAAGATGTTACTGAAATTCGGGGGGACTATGTTATGAGGACCCAACTAAATAATTTTCAAACATCTTTTTCCCAACTCTCCTCGTCCCACTAATTCGTATCACACGAAAAAAAAGGAACGAGAAGAAATTGGATGAAAGGTGTTACTGAAATTCGGGGGGACTATGTTATGAGGACCCAACTAAATAATTTTCAATAATTTTCAAACATCCTTCTCCCAACTCTCCTCGTCCCACTAATTCGTATCACACGAAAAAAAGGAACGAGAAGAAATTGGATGAAAGGTGTTACTGAAATTCGGGGTGACTATGTTATGAGGACCCAACTAAATAATTTTCAATAATTTTCAAACATCCTTCTCCCAACTCTCCTCGTCCCACTAATTCGTATCACACGAAAAAAAGGAACGAGAAGAAATTGGATGAAAGATGTTACTGAAATTCGGGGGGACTATGTTATGAGGACCCAACTAAATAATTTTCAATAATTTTCAAACATCTTTTTCTCAACTCTCCTCGTCCCACTAATTCGTATCACACGAAAAAAAAGGAACGAGAAGAAATTGGATGAAAGATGTTACTGAAATTCGGGGGGACTATGTTATGAGGACCCAACTAAATAATTTTCAAACATCCTTTTCCCAACTCTCCTCGTCCCACTAATTCGTATCACACGAAAAAAAAGGAACGAGAAGAAATTGGATGAAAGATGTTACTGAAATTCGGGGTGACTATGTTATGAGGACCCAACTAAATAATTTTCAAACATCTTTTTCCCAACTCTCCTCGTCCCACTAATTCGTATCACACGAAAAAAAAGGAACGAGAAGAAATTGGATGAAAGGTGTTACTGAAATTCGGGGGGACTATGTTATGAGGACCCAACTAAATAATTTTCAATAATTTTCAAACATCTTTTTCTCAACTCTCCTCGTCCCACTAATTCGTATCACACGAAAAAAAAGGAACGAGAAGAAATTGGATGAAAGATGTTACTGAAATTCGGGGGGACTATGTTATGAGGACCCAACTAAATAATTTTCAATAATTTTCAAACATCTTTTTCCCAACTCTCCTCGTCCCACTAATTCGTATCACACGTAAAAAAAGGAACGAGAAGAAATTGGATGAAAGGTGTTACTGAAATTCGGGGTGACTATGTTATGAGGACCCAACTAAATAATTTTCAAACATCTTTTTCCCAACTCTCCTCGTCCCACTAATTCGTATCACACGAAAAAAAAGGAACGAGAAGAAATTGGATGAAAGGTGTTACTGAAATTCGGGGGGACTATGTTATGAGGACCCAACTAAATAATTTTCAATAATTTTCAAACATCCTTCTCCCAACTCTCCTCGTCCCACTAATTCGTATCACACGAAAAAAAAGGAACGAGAAGAAATTGGATGAAAGATGTTACTGAAATTCGGGGGGACTATGTTATGAGGACCCAACTAAATAATTTTCAAACATCCTTTTCCCAACTCTCCTCGTCCCACTAATTCGTATCACACGAAAAAAAAAGGAACGAGAAGAAATTGGATGAAAGGTGTTACTGAAATTCGGGGTGACTATGTTATGAGGACCCAACTAAATAATTTTCAAACATCTTTTTCCCAACTCTCCTCGTCCCACTAATTCGTATCACACGAAAAAAAGGAACGAGAAGAAATTGGATGAAAGGTGTTACTGAAATTCGGGGGGACTATGTTATGAGGACCCAACTAAATAATTTTCAATAATTTTCAAACATCCTTCTCCCAACTCTCCTCGTCCCACTAATTCGTATCACACGAAAAAAGGAACGAGAAGAAATTGGATGAAAGTTGTTACTGAAATTCGGGGTGACTATGTTATGAGGACCCAACTAAATAATTTTCAATAATTTTCAAACATCCTTCTCCCAACTCTCCTCGTCCCACTAATTCGTATCACACGAAAAAAAAGGAACGAGAAGAAATTGGATGAAAGATGTTACTGAAATTCGGGGGGACTATGTTATGAGGACCCAACTAAATAATTTTCAATAATTTTCAAACATCTTTTTCTCAACTCTCCTCGTCCCACTAATTCGTATCACACGAAAAAAAGGAACGAGAAGAAATTGGATGAAAGATGTTACTGAAATTCGGGGGGACTATGTTATGAGGACCCAACTAAATAATTTTCAAACATCCTTTTCCCAACTCTCCTCGTCCCACTAATTCGTATCACACGAAAAAAAGGAACGAGAAGAAATTGGATGAAAGATGTTACTGAAATTCGGGGTGACTATGTTATGAGGACCCAACTAAATAATTTTCAAACATCTTTTTCCCAACTCTCCTCGTCCCACTAATTCGTATCACACGAAAAAAAAGGAACGAGAAGAAATTGGATGAAAGGTGTTACTGAAATTCGGGGGGACTATGTTATGAGGACCCAACTAAATAATTTTCAATAATTTTCAAACATCCTTCTCCCAACTCTCCTCGTCCCACTAATTCGTATCACACGAAAAAAAGGAACGAGAAGAAATTGGATGAAAGATGTTACTGAAATTCGGGGGGACTATGTTATGAGGACCCAACTAAATAATTTTCAATAATTTTCAAACATCTTTTTCCCAACTCTCCTCGTCCCACTAATTCGTATCACACGTAAAAAAAGGAACGAGAAGAAATTGGATGAAAGGTGTTACTGAAATTCGGGGTGACTATGTTATGAGGACCCAACTAAATAATTTTCAAACATCTTTTTCCCAACTCTCCTCGTCCCACTAATTCGTATCACACGAAAAAAAAGGAACGAGAAGAAATTGGATGAAAGGTGTTACTGAAATTCGGGGGGACTATGTTATGAGGACCCAACTAAATAATTTTCAATAATTTTCAAACATCCTTCTCCCAACTCTCCTCGTCCCACTAATTCGTATCACACGAAAAAAAGGAACGAGAAGAAATTGGATGAAAGATGTTACTGAAATTCGGGGGGACTATGTTATGAGGACCCAACTAAATAATTTTCAAACATCCTTTTCCCAACTCTCCTCGTCCCACTAATTCGTATCACACGAAAAAAAAGGAACGAGAAGAAATTGGATGAAAGGTGTTACTGAAATTCGGGGGGACTATGTTATGAGGACCCAACTAAATAATTTTCAATAATTTTCAAACATCCTTCTCCCAACTCTCCTCGTCCCACTAATTCGTATCACACGAAAAAAAAGGAACGAGAAGAAATTGGATGAAAGGTGTTACTGAAATTCGGGGGGACTATGTTATGAGGACCCAACTAAATAATTTTCAATAATTTTCAAACATCCTTCTCCCAACTCTCCTCGTCCCACTAATTCGTATCACACGAAAAAAAAGGAACGAGAAGAAATTGGATGAAAGGTGTTACTGAAATTCGGGGGACTATGTTATGAGGACCCAACTAAATAATTTTCAAACATCCTTTTTCCCAACTCTCCTCGTCCCACTAATTCGTATCACACGAAAAAAAAGGAACGAGAAGAAATTGGATGAAAGGTGTTACTGAAATTCGGGGGGACTATGTTATGAGGACCCAACTAAATAATTTTCAATAATTTTCAAACATCCTTCTCCCAACTCTCCTCGTCCCACTAATTCGTATCACACGAAAAAAAAGGAACGAGAAGAAATTGGATGAAAGGTGTTACTGAAATTCGGGGGGACTATGTTATGAGGACCCAACTAAATAATTTTCAATAATTTTCAAACATCCTTCTCCCAACTCTCCTCGTCCCACTAATTCGTATCACACGAAAAAAAAGGAACGAGAAGAAATTGGATGAAAGGTGTTACTGAAATTCGGGGGGACTATGTTATGAGGACCCAACTAAATAATTTTCAAACATCTTTTTCCCAACTCTCCTCGTCCCACTAATTCGTATCACACGAAAAAAAAGGAACGAGAAGAAATTGGATGAAAGGTGTTACTGAAATTCGGGGTGACTATGTTATGAGGACCCAACTAAATAATTTTCAATAATTTTCAAACATCCTTCTCCCAACTCTCCTCGTCCCACTAATTCGTATCACACGAAAAAAAAGGAACGAGAAGAAATTGGATGAAAGATGTTACTGAAATTCGGGGGGACTATGTTATGAGGACCCAACTAAATAATTTTCAAACATCCTTTTCCCAACTCTCCTCGTCCCACTAATTCGTATCACACGAAAAAAAAGGAACGAGAAGAAATTGGATGAAAGGTGTTACTGAAATTCGGGGGGACTATGTTATGAGGACCCAACTAAATAATTTTCAATAATTTTCAAACATCCTTCTCCCAACTCTCCTCGTCCCACTAATTCGTATCACACGAAAAAAAAGGAACGAGAAGAAATTGGATGAAAGGTGTTACTGAAATTCGGGGGGACTATGTTATGAGGACCCAACTAAATAATTTTCAATAATTTTCAAACATCCTTCTCCCAACTCTCCTCGTCCCACTAATTCGTATCACACGAAAAAAAAAGGAACGAGAAGAAATTGGATGAAAGGTGTTACTGAAATTCGGGGGGACTATGTTATGAGGACCCAACTAAATAATTTTCAAACATCCTTTTCCCAACTCTCCTCGTCCCACTAATTCGTATCACACGAAAAAAAAGGAACGAGAAGAAATTGGATGAAAGGTGTTACTGAAATTCGGGGGGACTATGTTATGAGGACCCAACTAAATAATTTTCAATAATTTTCAAACATCCTTCTCCCAACTCTCCTCGTCCCACTAATTCGTATCACACGAAAAAAAAGGAACGAGAAGAAATTGGATGAAAGATGTTACTGAAATTCGGGGGGACTATGTTATGAGGACCCAACTAAATAATTTTCAATAATTTTCAAACATCCTTCTCCCAACTCTCCTCGTCCCACTAATTCGTATCACACGAAAAAAAGGAACGAGAAGAAATTGGATGAAAGGTGTTACTGAAATTCGGGGTGACTATGTTATGAGGACCCAACTAAATAATTTTCAAACATCTTTTTCCCAACTCTCCTCGTCCCACTAATTCGTATCACACGTAAAAAAAGGAACGAGAAGAAATTGGATGAAAGGTGTTACTGAAATTCGGGGTGACTATGTTATGAGGACCCAACTAAATAATTTTCAAACATCCTTTTCCCAACTCTCCTCGTCCCACTAATTCGTATCACACGAAAAAAAAAGGAACGAGAAGAAATTGGATGAAAGGTGTTACTGAAATTCGGGGGGACTATGTTATGAGGACCCAACTAAATAATTTTCAATAATTTTCAAACATCCTTCTCCCAACTCTTCTCGTCCCATTTAGTCGTATCACACGTAAAAAAAAGAAACGAGAAGAAATTGGATGAAAGATGTTACTGAAATTCGGGGTGACTATGTTATGAGGACCCAACTAAATAATTTTCAATAATTTTCAAACATCTTTTTCCCAACTCTCCTCGTCCCACTAATTCGTATCACACGAAAAAAAGGAACGAGAAGAAATTGGATGAAAGGTGTTACTGAAATTCGGGGTGACTATGTTATGAGGACCCAACTAAATAATTTTCAATAATTTTCAAACATCCTTCTCCCAACTCTCCTCGTCCCACTAATTCGTATCACACGAAAAAAAAGGAACGAGAAGAAATTGGATGAAAGGTGTTACTGAAATTCGGGGGGACTATGTTATGAGGACCCAACTAAATAATTTTCAATAATTTTCAAACATCTTTTTCCCAACTCTCCTCGTCCCACTAATTCGTATCACACGAAAAAAAAGGAACGAGAAGAAATTGGATGAAAGATGTTACTGAAATTCGGGGGGACTATGTTATGAGGACCCAACTAAATAATTTTCAATAATTTTCAAACATCCTTCTCCCAACTCTCCTCGTCCCATTTAGTCGTATCACACGAAAAAAAAAGGAACGAGAAGAAATTGGATGAAAGATGTTACTGAAATTCGGGGGACTATGTTATGAGGACCCAACTAAATAATTTTCAATAATTTTCAAACATCCTTCTCCCAACTCTCCTCGTCCCACTAATTCGTATCACACGAAAAAAAAGGAACGAGAAGAAATTGGATGAAAGATGTTACTGAAATTCGGGGGGACTATGTTATGAGGACCCAACTAAATAATTTTCAATAATTTTCAAACATCCTTCTCCCAACTCTCCTCGTCCCACTAATTCGTATCACACGAAAAAAAAGGAACGAGAAGAAATTGGATGAAAGATGTTACTGAAATTCGGGGGGACTATGTTATGAGGACCCAACTAAATAATTTTCAATAATTTTCAAACATCCTTCTCCCAACTCTCCTCGTCCCACTAATTCGTATCACACGAAAAAAAAGGAACGAGAAGAAATTGGATGAAAGATGTTACTGAAATTCAGGGGGACTATGTTATGAGGACCCAACTAAATAATTTTCAATAATTTTCAAACATCCTTCTCCCAACTCTCCTCGTCCCACTAATTCGTATCACACGAAAAAAAAGGAACGAGAAGAAATTGGATGAAAGATGTTACTGAAATTCAGGGGGACTATGTTATGAGGACCCAACTAAATAATTTTCAATAATTTTCAAACATCCTTCTCCCAACTCTCCTCGTCCCACTAATTCGTATCACACGAAAAAAAAGGAACGAGAAGAAATTGGATGAAAGGTGTTACTGAAATTCGGGGGGACTATGTTATGAGGACCCAACTAAATAATTTTCAATAATTTTCAAACATCTTTTTCCCAACTCTCCTCGTCCCACTAATTCGTATCACACGAAAAAAAAGGAACGAGAAGAAATTGGATGAAAGGTGTTACTGAAATTCGGGGGGACTATGTTATGAGGACCCAACTAAATAATTTTCAATAATTTTCAAACATCCTTCTCCCAACTCTCCTCGTCCCACTAATTCGTATCACACGAAAAAAAAGGAACGAGAAGAAATTGGATGAAAGGTGTTACTGAAATTCGGGGGGACTATGTTATGAGGACCCAACTAAATAATTTTCAATAATTTTCAAACATCCTTCTCCCAACTCTCCTCGTCCCACTAATTCGTATCACACGAAAAAAAGGAACGAGAAGAAATTGGATGAAAGGTGTTACTGAAATTCGGGGTGACTATGTTATGAGGACCCAACTAAATAATTTTCAATAATTTTCAAACATCCTTCTCCCAACTCTCCTCGTCCCACTAATTCGTATCACACGAAAAAAAAGGAACGAGAAGAAATTGGATGAAAGGTGTTACTGAAATTCGGGGGGACTATGTTATGAGGACCCAACTAAATAATTTTCAATAATTTTCAAACATCCTTCTCCCAACTCTCCTCGTCCCACTAATTCGTATCACACGAAAAAAAAGGAACGAGAAGAAATTGGATGAAAGGTGTTACTGAAATTCAGGGGGACTATGTTATGAGGACCCAACTAAATAATTTTCAATAATTTTCAAACATCTTTTTCCCAACTCTCCTCGTCCCACTAATTCGTATCACACGAAAAAAAGGAACGAGAAGAAATTGGATGAAAGATGTTACTGAAATTCGGGGGGACTATGTTATGAGGACCCAACTAAATAATTTTCAATAATTTTCAAACATCTTTTTCCCAACTCTCCTCGTCCCACTAATTCGTATCACACGAAAAAAAAGGAACGAGAAGAAATTGGATGAAAGATGTTACTGAAATTCGGGGGGACTATGTTATGAGGACCCAACTAAATAATTTTCAATAATTTTCAAACATCTTTTTCCCAACTCTCCTCGTCCCACTAATTCGTATCACACGAAAAAAAAGGAACGAGAAGAAATTGGATGAAAGATGTTACTGAAATTCGGGGGGACTATGTTATGAGGACCCAACTAAATAATTTTCAATAATTTTCAAACATCCTTCTCCCAACTCTCCTCGTCCCACTAATTCGTATCACACGAAAAAAAAGGAACGAGAAGAAATTGGATGAAAGATGTTACTGAAATTCGGGGGGACTATGTTATGAGGACCCAACTAAATAATTTTCAATAATTTTCAAACATCCTTCTCCCAACTCTCCTCGTCCCATTTAGTCGTATCACACGTAAAAAAAGGAACGAGAAGAAATTGGATGAAAGATGTTACTGAAATTCGGGGGGACTATGTTATGAGGACCCAACTAAATAATTTTCAATAATTTTCAAACATCCTTCTCCCAACTCTCCTCGTCCCATTTAGTCGTATCACACGTAAAAAAAGGAACGAGAAGAAATTGGATGAAAGATGTTACTGAAATTCGGGGGGACTATGTTATGAGGACCCAACTAAATAATTTTCAATAATTTTCAAACATCCTTCTCCCAACTCTCCTCGTCCCATTTAGTCGTATCACACGTAAAAAAAGGAACGAGAAGAAATTGGATGAAAGATGTTACTGAAATTCGGGGGGACTATGTTATGAGGACCCAACTAAATAATTTTCAATAATTTTCAAACATCCTTCTCCCAACTCTCCTCGTCCCACTAATTCGTATCACACGAAAAAAAAGGAACGAGAAGAAATTGGATGAAAGATGTTACTGAAATTCGGGGTGACTATGTTATGAGGACCCAACTAAATAATTTTCAATAATTTTCAAACATCCTTCTCCCAACTCTCCTCGTCCCATTTAGTCGTATCACACGAAAAAAAAGGAACGAGAAGAAATTGGATGAAAGGTGTTACTGAAATTCGGGGGGACTATGTTATGAGGACCCAACTAAATAATTTTCAATAATTTTCAAACATCTTTTTCCCAACTCTCCTCGTCCCATTTAGTCGTATCACACGAAAAAAAAGGAACGAGAAGAAATTGGATGAAAGATGTTACTGAAATTCGGGGTGACTATATTATGAGGACCCAACTAAATAATTTTCAATAATTTTCAAACATCTTTTTCCCAACTCTCCTCGTCCCACTAATTCGTATCACACGAAAAAAAGGAACGAGAAGAAATTGGATGAAAGGTGTTACTGAAATTCGGGGGGACTATGTTATGAGGACCCAACTAAATAATTTTCAATAATTTTCAAACATCCTTCTCCCAACTCTCCTCGTCCCATTTAGTCGTATCACACGAAAAAAAGGAACGAGAAGAAATTGGATGAAAGGTGTTACTGAAATTCGGGGGGACTATGTTATGAGGACCCAACTAAATAATTTTCAATAATTTTCAAACATCCTTCTCCCAACTCTCCTCGTCCCACTAATTCGTATCACACGAAAAAAAAGGAACGAGAAGAAATTGGATGAAAGATGTTACTGAAATTCGGGGGGACTATGTTATGAGGACCCAACTAAATAATTTTCAATAATTTTCAAACATCCTTCTCCCAACTCTCCTCGTCCCACTAATTCGTATCACACGAAAAAAAAGGAACGAGAAGAAATTGGATGAAAGATGTTACTGAAATTCGGGGGGACTATGTTATGAGGACCCAACTAAATAATTTTCAATAATTTTCAAACATCTTTTTCCCAACTCTCCTCGTCCCACTAATTCGTATCACACGAAAAAAAAGGAACGAGAAGAAATTGGATGAAAGATGTTACTGAAATTCGGGGGGACTATGTTATGAGGACCCAACTAAATAATTTTCAATAATTTTCAAACATCTTTTTCCCAACTCTCCTCGTCCCACTAATTCGTATCACACGAAAAAAAAGGAACGAGAAGAAATTGGATGAAAGATGTTACTGAAATTCGGGGTGACTATGTTATGAGGACCCAACTAAATAATTTTCAATAATTTTCAAACATCCTTCTCCCAACTCTCCTCGTCCCACTAATTCGTATCACACGAAAAAAAGGAACGAGAAGAAATTGGATGAAAGATGTTACTGAAATTCGGGGGGACTATGTTATGAGGACCCAACTAAATAATTTTCAATAATTTTCAAACATCTTTTTCCCAACTCTCCTCGTCCCACTAATTCGTATCACACGAAAAAAAAGGAACGAGAAGAAATTGGATGAAAGATGTTACTGAAATTCGGGGGGACTATGTTATGAGGACCCAACTAAATAATTTTCAATAATTTTCAAACATCCTTCTCCCAACTCTCCTCGTCCCACTAATTCGTATCACACGAAAAAAAAGGAACGAGAAGAAATTGGATGAAAGATGTTACTGAAATTCGGGGGGACTATGTTATGAGGACCCAACTAAATAATTTTCAATAATTTTCAAACATCTTTTTCCCAACTCTCCTCGTCCCACTAATTCGTATCACACGAAAAAAAAGGAACGAGAAGAAATTGGATGAAAGATGTTACTGAAATTCGGGGGGACTATGTTATGAGGACCCAACTAAATAATTTTCAATAATTTTCAAACATCTTTTTCCCAACTCTCCTCGTCCCACTAATTCGTATCACACGAAAAAAAAGGAACGAGAAGAAATTGGATGAAAGATGTTACTGAAATTCGGGGGGACTATGTTATGAGGACCCAACTAAATAATTTTCAATAATTTTCAAACATCCTTCTCCCAACTCTCCTCGTCCCACTAATTCGTATCACACGAAAAAAAAGGAACGAGAAGAAATTGGATGAAAGATGTTACTGAAATTCGGGGGGACTATGTTATGAGGACCCAACTAAATAATTTTCAATAATTTTCAAACATCCTTCTCCCAACTCTCCTCGTCCCATTTAGTCGTATCACACGTAAAAAAAGGAACGAGAAGAAATTGGATGAAAGATGTTACTGAAATTCGGGGTGACTATGTTATGAGGACCCAACTAAATAATTTTCAATAATTTTCAAACATCCTTCTCCCAACTCTCCTCGTCCCATTTAGTCGTATCACACGTAAAAAAAGGAACGAGAAGAAATTGGATGAAAGATGTTACTGAAATTCGGGGGGACTATGTTATGAGGACCCAACTAAATAATTTTCAATAATTTTCAAACATCCTTCTCCCAACTCTCCTCGTCCCATTTAGTCGTATCACACGTAAAAAAAGGAACGAGAAGAAATTGGATGAAAGATGTTACTGAAATTCGGGGGGACTATGTTATGAGGACCCAACTAAATAATTTTCAATAATTTTCAAACATCCTTCTCCCAACTCTCCTCGTCCCATTTAGTCGTATCACACGTAAAAAAAGGAACGAGAAGAAATTGGATGAAAGATGTTACTGAAATTCAGGGGGACTATGTTATGAGGACCCAACTAAATAATTTTCAATAATTTTCAAACATCCTTCTCCCAACTCTCCTCGTCCCACTAATTCGTATCACACGAAAAAAAAGGAACGAGAAGAAATTGGATGAAAGATGTTACTGAAATTCGGGGTGACTATGTTATGAGGACCCAACTAAATAATTTTCAATAATTTTCAAACATCCTTCTCCCAACTCTCCTCGTCCCATTTAGTCGTATCACACGAAAAAAAAGGAACGAGAAGAAATTGGATGAAAGGTGTTACTGAAATTCGGGGTGACTATATTATGAGGACCCAACTAAATAATTTTCAATAATTTTCAAACATCTTTTTCCCAACTCTCCTCGTCCCACTAATTCGTATCACACGAAAAAAAGGAACGAGAAGAAATTGGATGAAAGGTGTTACTGAAATTCGGGGGGACTATGTTATGAGGACCCAACTAAATAATTTTCAATAATTTTCAAACATCCTTCTCCCAACTCTCCTCGTCCCATTTAGTCGTATCACACGAAAAAAAAGGAACGAGAAGAAATTGGATGAAAGATGTTACTGAAATTCGGGGGGACTATGTTATGAGGACCCAACTAAATAATTTTCAATAATTTTCAAACATCTTTTTCCCAACTCTCCTCGTCCCACTAATTCGTATCACACGAAAAAAAAGGAACGAGAAGAAATTGGATGAAAGGTGTTACTGAAATTCGGGGGGACTATGTTATGAGGACCCAACTAAATAATTTTCAATAATTTTCAAACATCCTTCTCCCAACTCTCCTCGTCCCATTTAGTCGTATCACACGAAAAAAAGGAACGAGAAGAAATTGGATGAAAGGTGTTACTGAAATTCGGGGGGACTATGTTATGAGGACCCAACTAAATAATTTTCAATAATTTTCAAACATCCTTCTCCCAACTCTCCTCGTCCCACTAATTCGTATCACACGAAAAAAAAGGAACGAGAAGAAATTGGATGAAAGGTGTTACTGAAATTCGGGGTGACTATGTTATGAGGACCCAACTAAATAATTTTCAATAATTTTCAAACATCTTTTTCCCAACTCTCCTCGTCCCACTAATTCGTATCACACGAAAAAAAAGGAACGAGAAGAAATTGGATGAAAGATGTTACTGAAATTCGGGGTGACTATGTTATGAGGACCCAACTAAATAATTTTCAATAATTTTCAAACATCCTTCTCCCAACTCTCCTCGTCCCATTTAGTCGTATCACACGAAAAAAAAGGAACGAGAAGAAATTGGATGAAAGGTGTTACTGAAATTCGGGGTGACTATATTATGAGGACCCAACTAAATAATTTTCAATAATTTTCAAACATCTTTTTCCCAACTCTCCTCGTCCCACTAATTCGTATCACACGAAAAAAAAGGAACGAGAAGAAATTGGATGAAAGATGTTACTGAAATTCGGGGTGACTATGTTATGAGGACCCAACTAAATAATTTTCAATAATTTTCAAACATCCTTCTCCCAACTCTCCTCGTCCCATTTAGTCGTATCACACGAAAAAAAGGAACGAGAAGAAATTGGATGAAAGGTGTTACTGAAATTCGGGGTGACTATATTATGAGGACCCAACTAAATAATTTTCAATAATTTTCAAACATCTTTTTCCCAACTCTCCTCGTCCCACTAATTCGTATCACACGAAAAAAAAGGAACGAGAAGAAATTGGATGAAAGGTGTTACTGAAATTCGGGGGGACTATGTTATGAGGACCCAACTAAATAATTTTCAATAATTTTCAAACATCCTTCTCCCAACTCTCCTCGTCCCATTTAGTCGTATCACACGAAAAAAAAGGAACGAGAAGAAATTGGATGAAAGGTGTTACTGAAATTCGGGGGACTATGTTATGAGGACCCAACTAAATAATTTTCAATAATTTTCAAACATCCTTCTCCCAACTCTCCTCGTCCCACTAATTCGTATCACACGAAAAAAAGGAACGAGAAGAAATTGGATGAAAGATGTTACTGAAATTCGGGGGGACTATGTTATGAGGACCCAACTAAATAATTTTCAATAATTTTCAAACATCCTTCTCCCAACTCTCCTCGTCCCATTTAGTCGTATCACACGTAAAAAAAGGAACGAGAAGAAATTGGATGAAAGGTGTTACTGAAATTCGGGGGGACTATGTTATGAGGACCCAACTAAATAATTTTCAATAATTTTCAAACATCCTTCTCCCAACTCTCCTCGTCCCACTAATTCGTATCACACGAAAAAAAGGAACGAGAAGAAATTGGATGAAAGATGTTACTGAAATTCGGGGGGACTATGTTATGAGGACCCAACTAAATAATTTTCAATAATTTTCAAACATCTTTTTCCCAACTCTCCTCGTCCCACTAATTCGTATCACACGAAAAAAAAGGAACGAGAAGAAATTGGATGAAAGATGTTACTGAAATTCGGGGTGACTATGTTATGAGGACCCAACTAAATAATTTTCAATAATTTTCAAACATCCTTCTCCCAACTCTCCTCGTCCCACTAATTCGTATCACACGAAAAAAAAGGAACGAGAAGAAATTGGATGAAAGATGTTACTGAAATTCGGGGGACTATGTTATGAGGACCCAACTAAATAATTTTCAATAATTTTCAAACATCTTTTTCCCAACTCTCCTCGTCCCACTAATTCGTATCACACGAAAAAAAAGGAACGAGAAGAAATTGGATGAAAGATGTTACTGAAATTCGGGGGGACTATGTTATGAGGACCCAACTAAATAATTTTCAATAATTTTCAAACATCCTTCTCCCAACTCTCCTCGTCCCACTAATTCGTATCACACGAAAAAAAAGGAACGAGAAGAAATTGGATGAAAGATGTTACTGAAATTCGGGGGGGACTATGTTATGAGGACCCAACTAAATAATTTTCAATAATTTTCAAACATCTTTTTCCCAACTCTCCTCGTCCCACTAATTCGTATCACACGAAAAAAAAGGAACGAGAAGAAATTGGATGAAAGATGTTACTGAAATTCGGGGGGACTATGTTATGAGGACCCAACTAAATAATTTTCAATAATTTTCAAACATCTTTTTCCCAACTCTCCTCGTCCCACTAATTCGTATCACACGAAAAAAAAGGAACGAGAAGAAATTGGATGAAAGATGTTACTGAAATTCGGGGGGACTATGTTATGAGGACCCAACTAAATAATTTTCAATAATTTTCAAACATCCTTCTCCCAACTCTCCTCGTCCCACTAATTCGTATCACACGAAAAAAAAGGAACGAGAAGAAATTGGATGAAAGATGTTACTGAAATTCGGGGGGACTATGTTATGAGGACCCAACTAAATAATTTTCAATAATTTTCAAACATCCTTCTCCCAACTCTCCTCGTCCCATTTAGTCGTATCACACGTAAAAAAAGGAACGAGAAGAAATTGGATGAAAGATGTTACTGAAATTCGGGGTGACTATGTTATGAGGACCCAACTAAATAATTTTCAATAATTTTCAAACATCCTTCTCCCAACTCTCCTCGTCCCATTTAGTCGTATCACACGTAAAAAAAGGAACGAGAAGAAATTGGATGAAAGATGTTACTGAAATTCGGGGGGACTATGTTATGAGGACCCAACTAAATAATTTTCAATAATTTTCAAACATCCTTCTCCCAACTCTCCTCGTCCCATTTAGTCGTATCACACGTAAAAAAAGGAACGAGAAGAAATTGGATGAAAGATGTTACTGAAATTCGGGGGGACTATGTTATGAGGACCCAACTAAATAATTTTCAATAATTTTCAAACATCCTTCTCCCAACTCTCCTCGTCCCATTTAGTCGTATCACACGTAAAAAAAGGAACGAGAAGAAATTGGATGAAAGATGTTACTGAAATTCGGGGGGACTATGTTATGAGGACCCAACTAAATAATTTTCAATAATTTTCAAACATCCTTCTCCCAACTCTCCTCGTCCCACTAATTCGTATCACACGAAAAAAAAGGAACGAGAAGAAATTGGATGAAAGATGTTACTGAAATTCGGGGTGACTATGTTATGAGGACCCAACTAAATAATTTTCAATAATTTTCAAACATCCTTCTCCCAACTCTCCTCGTCCCATTTAGTCGTATCACACGAAAAAAAGGAACGAGAAGAAATTGGATGAAAGGTGTTACTGAAATTCGGGGTGACTATATTATGAGGACCCAACTAAATAATTTTCAATAATTTTCAAACATCTTTTTCCCAACTCTCCTCGTCCCACTAATTCGTATCACACGAAAAAAAAGGAACGAGAAGAAATTGGATGAAAGGTGTTACTGAAATTCGGGGGGACTATGTTATGAGGACCCAACTAAATAATTTTCAATAATTTTCAAACATCCTTCTCCCAACTCTCCTCGTCCCATTTAGTCGTATCACACGAAAAAAAGGAACGAGAAGAAATTGGATGAAAGGTGTTACTGAAATTCGGGGGGACTATGTTATGAGGACCCAACTAAATAATTTTCAATAATTTTCAAACATCCTTCTCCCAACTCTCCTCGTCCCACTAATTCGTATCACACGAAAAAAAGGAACGAGAAGAAATTGGATGAAAGGTGTTACTGAAATTCGGGGTGACTATGTTATGAGGACCCAACTAAATAATTTTCAATAATTTTCAAACATCTTTTTCCCAACTCTCCTCGTCCCACTAATTCGTATCACACGAAAAAAAAGGAACGAGAAGAAATTGGATGAAAGATGTTACTGAAATTCGGGGTGACTATGTTATGAGGACCCAACTAAATAATTTTCAATAATTTTCAAACATCCTTCTCCCAACTCTCCTCGTCCCATTTAGTCGTATCACACGAAAAAAAAGGAACGAGAAGAAATTGGATGAAAGGTGTTACTGAAATTCGGGGTGACTATATTATGAGGACCCAACTAAATAATTTTCAATAATTTTCAAACATCTTTTTCCCAACTCTCCTCGTCCCACTAATTCGTATCACACGAAAAAAAGGAACGAGAAGAAATTGGATGAAAGGTGTTACTGAAATTCGGGGTGACTATGTTATGAGGACCCAACTAAATAATTTTCAATAATTTTCAAACATCCTTCTCCCAACTCTCCTCGTCCCATTTAGTCGTATCACACGAAAAAAAGGAACGAGAAGAAATTGGATGAAAGGTGTTACTGAAATTCGGGGTGACTATATTATGAGGACCCAACTAAATAATTTTCAATAATTTTCAAACATCTTTTTCCCAACTCTCCTCGTCCCACTAATTCGTATCACACGAAAAAAAAGGAACGAGAAGAAATTGGATGAAAGGTGTTACTGAAATTCGGGGGGACTATGTTATGAGGACCCAACTAAATAATTTTCAATAATTTTCAAACATCCTTCTCCCAACTCTCCTCGTCCCATTTAGTCGTATCACACGAAAAAAGGAACGAGAAGAAATTGGATGAAAGGTGTTACTGAAATTCGGGGGGACTATGTTATGAGGACCCAACTAAATAATTTTCAATAATTTTCAAACATCCTTCTCCCAACTCTCCTCGTCCCACTAATTCGTATCACACGAAAAAAAGGAACGAGAAGAAATTGGATGAAAGGTGTTACTGAAATTCGGGGTGACTATGTTATGAGGACCCAACTAAATAATTTTCAATAATTTTCAAACATCCTTCTCCCAACTCTCCTCGTCCCATTTAGTCGTATCACACGTAAAAAAAGGAACGAGAAGAAATTGGATGAAAAGTGTTACTGAAATTCGGGGTGACTATGTTATGAGGACCCAACTAAATAATTTTCAATAATTTTCAAACATCTTTTTCCCAACTCTCCTCGTCCCACTAATTCGTATCACACGAAAAAAAAGGAACGAGAAGAAATCGGAGAAGTTAGTTCAAAAAGGGTTAAGCCTTATCAGTTTCAGGAAGTTTTGAAAAATGAGCTACCTATTTTCTACAGCTATCGCAAAACCCAAAGTAATACAGAGTCAGACTGGCATATTCAGAGTTATGCCGAATAAGAGAGTCATGAGAGGCTAGAGCAGTTAAAAAGGACTGGCGCACCCCCAAAGCTCACTTGTCGCGCCATCTCCTATCCTGTCCCATCGTGTCCTGAGCCAATTGATTGTTTCCACGGATCCGATCGTCGTTCTCGATTTCCGAATTCTTGACACTTGCAGAGGGCAATCGAAGTGGAATTCTGAAAAATCGATGGTTTTAGAACTTGTTGTAAAAGATTGTTGAGGGTTCCCGAGATAATAAAATTTCTAACGCGATAAAAGAGAGAAAAGAATGTTTTAATAGCAAATTTCAAACTTAAGGTACTCGATTTCTGAGAAAATTCTGAGCCGTGAAAATTGTTCACAAGAGACGATGGAACTTTTCATCAAAATTCTAGAGATTATTTGAAGTTTCATTTTGGTGTGTTTCTGATCAAACGAAAACTTTAATACAGTCAACATACGTAGTTAGGACCGCAAAAATCGAAATTAGAAAAATCTTCCAAATAAAAACGTTAATTTCCGATGAATTTTTCTAACTGGATTTTTGACTAGGTGGACTATTGTTAATTATTCTATTTACTAGGTCTGCCAAAGCAACTCTAAAATACGACGTTCACGCTACAAAATGACCTAGACCTATATTTTTCAATAGCTTTAAAAGAAGTTGCGATGGTTTTGAAAATGTCTATCACGAAAATCAATGACCCCAAAATTTTCTCTGATCAATCGCGCTGGAGGTTTTCTTACTAACAATGCCCTCAAGATTTTACATACTTTCCACATTGAAAAACCATACATCAGCAAAATTCGCCATCGACTGTCGAATCCTTGAGCATTTCGGGTGATCCTTGAGCATTTTGGGTATCCTAAAAATAGAGGATTGTTGAGAGTAACATTTCGAAAGAACCCCAATATGTAGTTTCTCTACAGTATCTGAGTGACGAAACTACAGTACTCTTATCTGTAGAAGCCCAAACCCAAAACTTACTTTTTTTCGATCCATCCAACCTCGAGCATAATCCGGCCAATAGTCCCAAGTGTTTGATGAGCAATGTAGATCTGACTGAAACTCTCACCTTATATGTAGTTAAAAACCACGTGGATTGATTCTTATCTTTCTAGAGTGTCACGTTGAAATTATTTCATCTTTAAATTTTTCTCATTTCTGAAAAAATGACTGATGGCCTACTTTTTTGACATGGATTTCAATTTTATTTGACGTGAATTTATCCGTTCATTTCCAAATTTTAAAACGATTCGAAAGGTTGCGATTTTTCGGAAATATGGATTCGTTGAAATTAAAATGAGAAAGATTCTTGAAAAAAGGGGGTTTTTTTTTTTGGAAAACTTGTGGTTAAAAAGTACCAAAAGCCTTATAATTTTTCAAACCTTACATTAGAAAATAGGTCTGAATAGACGCCTCAAATATCAAATTCAAAAACTCGGATCTTGAAATAATCTCATTTTTTCCAGGACATTCAAACATTGCTCGAGCGCACCGAAATGTAAATATATTCAACAAATCATGTAAATTAGTTTTTGTATATAATTAATTAACATAATTACAATAATGCATTTCCTCACTTTTTCATCTCAATAAAATTTGTATTTTTCGACGATTTCATTTGGAGGTTTCACTGTTATAATATCAGAAAATGTATATATTTTATGAACGAGAACATTGAACCTTTTCTGAATAAAAATATTTCAGAACTTGAAAAAAATGGAGATCGAAGTTCCTGGTGGATCTTTGAATCCAGGTTCGGGAGAATCTGGAGTTGGCGAAAGTGGAAGTGAAAAAAGTTTTAGTGTACTTCAAGTTGATTTGGCTGATGAAGAATCAGAAAGGGAAAATGAAAAATATTTGGATGAGGAAAAAGAAGAGGAAACCGCTGAACATTTATTGGAAAGATTGATGCAGTTACCTTATCAAGTTTTCATTTTGTCCGAATCTGGGAGGCCTATTTTTGTGAAGTGAGTAAAATTTTTGGGGGATTTTTTGATAACTCACTTTGTTTTTTAAATTTTGACAGAAACTCACAATAAGAACAATTCAAGGTTTCACATTTTAAAATACTCTTTTCTCCAAATTTTGACAGAAAAGTTGAATTTCTATTCAATTTCTGGTCAAATTTTTGGAATGCATCATTTACTTTTAAAGTTTTTTTTCCTAAGATTTGTTTCAACAAATTTATCACTAATATTAACACGAATTTTAAAACTTCCATTATCCCCCATTGAAAATTTCCAATTCGATGTTTTTCACTAAAAAATGTATCCCAGATCTAGTTTATTTTGTGAAGAGTCCTTCACAAATAATTTCATCAAAAATTTAAGTGTTTTCTCAGATTATAAATATGTTTCCCACAAATTTTTGTCAAAAAATTTCAGCTCTGGAAACGAGGAACAATTATGCTCACTTTTCGCTGTAATCGGAATATTTGTTGAGAGGATACGATTATGGGGTGATAATTTGATAACTATTTCGTCGAATAATAAGCATATACAATTTCTACACAAATCACCGCTTATTTTTTGTATTGGTAGGTTTATTATTGGGGAAAAATGTGAAATTGAATTTCACTCAAAAACTCTTACAATTTTCAGTTTCAAAATACCCCGAAAAATTGGACGAACAATTAGATGTTTTATTCGAACAAATTCTCTCGATTCTATCAAAATCGCAGCTCGAAAATGTATATAAGAAAAAAGGAGACAATTATGATCTTCGAAAATTACTTCGAGGCACCGATCGACTCATCGAATCAAGTGTTTCATCGTGGCGTGGATCTCCAATATCTTTTGTTGATTCATCGATTTCAGTAATTCCAATGAATCCATCGGATCGAGAATTTCTAGCGAATACAATGGCTGGAAGTTTGGGAGCTGCGAAATTGGAAGGTGCTCTTTTTGGAATTATGATTGCACATCGACAAATTGCTTCTTATGTGAGATTCAAGAAATATATAATGCATCCGAGGGATATGAATATTGTCATTAATTTGGTATCCGATAAATCTCTTCAACTTTCTGATGCCTCGACTTGGACACCTATTTGTTTACCGAAATTTAATGACACGTAAGGTTTTTGAACTTAGCGCTTTAGGTAGTTTTCTCGGAGCATCGTTTCAAATTTTCCACATTTTCAGCGGCTTCTTCTATGCCTATATTTCGTATCCTTGGCAATCTCAAAATATTCCCGCATGTCTCGTTCTTCTTTCTGTGAAACGAGATCATTTTGATGGATTGAATGAGGTCAAAAAATCGATAGTGGAAAAACTCGAAGGAAATTCCAAATTTTTTCAAAATTTTTCGGCTGCTGTGATTTGTCCCAATTTGTTCAATATATCTCAAATTGGAAATTTCAATGAATCGCTGTGGTCATTTATTTATTTGAATCATTCGTCGAAACAAGTTTGTATATCGGCATCGAAGTAGGTTTTTTGAAAAGTTTTTTGGTTAGATCTTGAAATCTCCTTTGTAAAGTTCCTAAGCCAATGTAATGTATTTGAGATACTCTGATCTCTTATGTGTTGTATGACAAGATGCAGTTCTTACTGTAGACAAGACTAGACAGTAAAGTCTTTATTATGAAAGAAAGAATAAGAATTAGTTTCAGTTCCGTAGAACCTCTTGGCTCTCCTCAACTCTCCAGATTACTCTAGTCGGTCTTCTTTTATACACAGGCATAATAGATGGCACAAATAGATAACCCAAATGACGTTGCACGTTCACGTGTATATCATAATCATTTCTATACACAACACCTTCCCCGTATACAATTGACGAGATATTTGTTGTCTCTTCGTCCAGATCACGAGTCACAGATGTTTCATGCATCAGGCAATGATAAACAATAGCCATCAACCAAATTGATCCACGATCAATAATCCCGAATCCTATTGACAAGATATTCGACTGTAAGATCCACTTAAAGATCCTGATCTTCACTGTAATGTTCCTATTACAGCTTCTGATCCATCTTATCCTGATCTTCAACATCCTGATTCTAGTCCGCCAAAACCATTTGTTGTTTTTGTATATTTCGACGAACCATTCCACTATAATTTCATAGTGTCTGATAGTCGCACTTTCATCAGCTTGTATCTTGTATTTGTCTGCATTCACACCTTCCTCTTCCCCTTTCGGAATCAATGAGGATATTTTGCTCCAACAATAACCAATATACTTGTCAGCAGCAGGGGTCACACCATCCAATGATGTATCAAGAATTGAACACGAGATAAGCTGATTTCGCATTGTATCAGCTGTGTTTCCATCTCCATTCAGCTTGTTCACTCCTTGTTTCAAATTATTGACAAATATTTCTGCTTCTCCATTACGTTGAGAATTGTCAGCTGATGTATAAGTGTGTTTAATGCCAAACTCTTCACACGTGTATTTGATTTGATCAGATACCAATTGTGTTTCGTTGTCTGCTACGAGATGCTCTGGAACTCCAGGCTCTTTTGATTTGGCACCGATCCAACACACTTTTACCATAATGTTGTCTTCCCATTTCAACTCCTGAATGAGATCCGACACACATTCGACTTGCTTGCAGCAATCCAAGTTAGTTTGATACAACCAAATATCGTCTTTTCCATCCACGATATATTGTTTATGCGAGTCTTCTTCTCTACTGATGTTTTCCACGTCATCCTTCGATGTTCTAGATAGATAAGCCAATTCCAGTGTCGCTCTCACGTAGACCACTCCTCCATCGTTCTCAAACGAATAGTGTATTGTTTCATTGTATGAATTGTATTCATACCAATTACTAGCATCCATCCAACAAACAGTAATCTCAATGTTGTCTTTCCATTCCAAATCATAACTCATATTCTTTGGACCCGTTGACATACATTCTTCTCGCCCACAGTGTTTCAAGTCATCGCCATTTCTCCTCTTCCCAATACAATCATAGAAGCTGCACTTGCGAACCAATACTACAATCAAACCAGATAATAATATCACTTGATGTATCTTGTCCACAAAGGACACCACAGTTCTAAATATTGCAACCTTCTCCCAGTATTTCAAGAAGTATGACCGATTCACTTCGGTTGTTTTCCACCAACTCCATAACTTCGATAATACGACAAGTTTTGACCAAACTGATGTCCGTATAACGAATAACACTCGATGTTTCAACATTCGCACGATAAACCAATCGTTGCTACGAACCATCGCATCGTTGTATATACCTCGAGATATTTCACCCATCTTGGTGTATCTATTGTATATACTATGGACTCTTTCATCCATTTTCATATTCGAGGTAGCCATCGTACTATTCCGATGTTCCTGCTCCTCTCGACGTTGTTTGGCCATATCAAGATTCCATATCTTGATCTCACACGGCAGCCCCATTGGAACATCAACCGATTTGACTCCAATATCCATAGCTACTTCTCCGCCACCACAACGTTTGGCACTTCCGCCATCAAACACATCCAACAAACATGACACCACTTGGTCCTCACTCTGAGTACCCCTCGCCACGGTCCAACACGAATCAACTATTCGCTCCTCCGAATGACGATCACCAAAGGATCCTATGCACTCCCGATATTCTTCATATCGTTCCAACAATGTGCGCTCTTGATTCTCCTTGGCCTTAATAGTGGACCCACAAACTGCCTTGAGTTTTTCCTTCCAACTATTCTTGGTGCATTTTGTTTTTGGTGTGTCTTTCTGCTTCTGACTAGAAGACTTCGTGTGTTCTCTATTCTTCTTCAACTGCTCAACTTCTTGTATACTTCCAGATATCAATCCAGTAGAACCATTGTATGATATCCTTCCACTTTCCCTTTCCATCGACGATATTGACGAGTTGCTAGTTCGTCTCTCCAGCTGTTGTCGAAGATTCATATTTTTCTTCTTCAACTGCTCCACACATCTCCGTAATTCGCGAAGAATTGTGTTTTCAGGCATGTGTTTTACCAATGTATTTCCATCGACGATTTTCATAGTTGTTGTCGAACTGGATCGCTGTAAAGATCCTGAACGACCTCTCATTCTCGAGTCTATACTTCGTGTTTTCGACTTCGTCATCCTGATCGCCACTGTAAAGTTCCTAAGCCAATGTAATGTATTTGAGATACTCTGATCTCTTATGTGTTGTATGACAAGATGCAGTTCTTACTGTAGACAAGACTAGACAGTAAAGTCTTTATTATGAAAGAAAGAATAAGAATTAGTTTCAGTTCCGTAGAACCTCTTGGCTCTCCTCAACTCTCCAGATTACTCTAGTCGGTCTTCTTTTATACACAGGCATAATAGATGGCACAAATAGATAACCCAAATGACGTTGCACGTTCACGTGTATATCATAATCATTTCTATACACAACATCCTTCAAAACGATATCAAATATGTGATGTGAAAGGCATATTTCAAACAATACTCCGCGTTTACATTTGCTGAAAATCTCTGAGATTTCAATGTGGAGCATCGTAGTTTTTTCAAGTTTCAAACAAAAATGTTTTTAAAATCAAAATTGCCATGTGACAAGTTTATGTGAAATTTTTCAATTTTTTTTATTTTTAGAAAATGTTTTTTCTAATTTCAAAAAGTGCTTTCTTGTTTTTTTCGAAGCTCATCCCTCTAAATAATTCACAAGTTTCATCCACCAAACTACAAAATCTCACGAGTTCTTCCACAAAAATGTGCTAATTCCTTTTTTTGCAGAGTTCCACTAATTAGTCGCGAAGAACGTTGGATTTCTCGAAGCGATATGCGAATGGCAGCAGCGACATCGACTAAAAATGCACATTTACGAACACTTTTTGTGCGCGGAACTAGACATTGTCTTTTTGTTTGGGTGAGTTTTGAAATTTTTCTGAAGAGAGAATCTACTGGGAAAAAGATGGATTTATGATCTAATTTATAGGGTTTCGAATTTCTGGTTGTGGAAATTTGAACAAATTGTTTTTTTTTCAGATAACCGATATGTTTTCGCTTCATTGTATATTCGGACCATTTGTCACTGCCACGTTGGCATTTCAGATTGTTGAAAAATTACTGAAATCGCTGAAAAACCACGAACAAAGATATTTTATCATTAACACCACAAGTTTCTAACTAACTCAACTAATTTATTATTTTAGTAGTAATTAGTGTTGTTTTCTCTAATTAGTTAAAATCGGGTTTTGAAAAGTTTTCTTCAAATTTTATTTATTTAGTATGTTTTTTGTGATATCTATTTTGTTTTTCCTTTTGACTCAATAAAATCTTATATTCATGTAAGTTTTCATGTTTTTTCTTTTGGTTTTTCGTGGAAAACGCGTCATTTTCGATGATTTTTGCAAGAAAGTTGTCATTTTCAGATTTCTCATCGAAATTAGTAATTCGTTTAGTCTGAATAACTAATGTTTTTTTTTGTTTGGTCGGATCAGAAAAATGTGAGAAAATAGGGTTTTCTAAAGTTCGAATCGAATTTCCGGCCGATTTTTTAGACAGGAAATGGCGCGAGTATTTTTGAAAAGTTCAAAGTTTCGAAAATCACGAAATTTCTAAAAAAAAATAATAATAACAACGATGGCTGGGATTCGGTCCCGCGACAAAGTTTTGGAAAATCTGTGCGCCTGAAATTTCATAGCTACCAAAAACCGTCCATTTTTGCAAAAACTCTTAATTTTTATCTTCTCAACCCTATATTTTCCATAGCCCTCTCTTCTCTTTTTTCTTCCTCAAATATATTTTTTCGCCTCAAAAACCAATCTATTTAGCTGTTATTGTAGGCATTTTCCAACCAAATAACATTCTAATCGAAGGCACAAATCTTATTTTTCTATTTTTTCTTAGCCAAGATTTTATTTTCAGCAAAATATAATTTCAAGTATCGAGATCAATCTTTTGAGTTTTGTTTACCCTGACCTTTATAAATTATTCTTTTGTGCTCCTCGAGTTTATTTTTTACCAAGAAGAATTACTTATTCTTTTTGAAACTTTTTTCTTTGAAAAGGCGAAAAAAACGCCTACCTTTTTCGAGTTAGCCCAACTAAACTCCGCCCATTTTCTCTGAAAAAACAGAATGTATAAAAGCAGAGAAGAGCAATGGATTCAGTTTATTATCTCTAAAATCTAACATCGTGGGAAAAATTCTTGCATGACACACAATCCAGCCAAGTTCTAATCCCGATTTCATTTTCTTATTGTTAGATTATTTTGATCAGTCCTCTTTTGTTTTTCATTTCTGATATGAATAATTGAATATTTTCACCTATTTTACCTGCTGAAAAGGTCTATTGTCTTTTAAAAATCTGACATGAAAAGAATATTCAATTCATCCATTATTTTTCTATTTTCAGGTAAAAATGAGATTTTTCATCGTGTTTTTCGTCTTGATTTCAACAATCAGCGCATTGCCTTTCTTCAATTCTCCATCGGTAAATTTCCAAAAAAAAAAGTTCAATTTTTTATCGCAAAATTATTTTTGTAGGGTCAAGCTCCAGCTCGTCAATGGTCCCAAGTTTACAACGGTGATTATGAGATGGAAGTTCCAGAAAATACAAGATATATCATGTCGAATCGCATGAGAGGATAATTTTTTGTTGAAAAAATTGATTTTTTTTCTCATGTATTCTGCAGAAAAAATGAAGTGTTTTATGAAAGAATGTGAGGCATTAAAAATCTAGCGAAAAATACTTGAGAAGGCAGAAAAATAAGTACAGGAAGAAAAGAAAAATTACAAAAAGTTAGAAAAATTTCAAAAAACTACAGACCGTTTGTCGCGTTGTTTTCCACGTGCTTGTTTGCGGTATTTGTCAGCGGCTTCGTGAATTGCCATCTGGAATAAAATTTCAGTTTTTTTCGAGGCGACAAACTTCGAATTCAGAATAAAATTTTGGCTAGAGAACTTTATTTTTTGTTCAGAATCATTTCAAAATTTCTTAAAACATTATTCACGTATTTTTTTCATTCTCAATGATTTTTTGAGAGAGGTCTTTTTAAATTTCAAGTTCTCAAAAACCAGATATTTCTAATGGTATTTTCAGGATTTCCTATATTTAATTTCATTGGATTCAGAAAAATAACAAAAAAATCCCTGACCCCAAATCAAATCAAAAACCTACCCTTTCGGCCTTGCTTCCTTCAATTCTCTCATCATTATCCAAAACATCTCCCAATTGAAGAACCTCTCGAATAACCTCATTAGTTTGCAAATGTTTCATAATTCCACCATGCAAAACCTCGCAACACAAATCATAGAACATTTTCATCGAACAAGTCTGAATTGCCAGATGTTCTTTTCCGAATTTAATTTTCACTTGTGGTGGATCACTTTCATCATTCATAAATGCGAAAATCTCTCTGAATGTGTATCTTTGAATTCGTTTTTCTTTTTTCGTTTTCTTTTTAGTTGTATCGGATACCAAATCATCAAGAATATCCAAAACATTATCGTGATTTGGGAATTTGTAATCAGGTCGGATATTTCCAAAAAATTCAAACAAAAATGCCAAAGCTTCTCCCGCAGATATTCGAATCTCAAGTTGTTCCGCTGATAAAAATTGGACAATTTTCGGCTGGTCAATGATAGCTTGGGAGATTGATTGATGATCTGCATCCAATAATAACAAACACCAAGAATTAATCGATGATGTGAATAAATCAGAATTCGAAGATGATTGTTTGAAAGATGACCATGTGAATTGACAAGCCTTCAAATTCCCCGAAATAATATCATCTTCCGAACAAGACATTCTTGAAACAATTCCCAAAGCCAAAGCACAGAAATGTCTCAATCCAACATCTTTCGATGAATCCATTAAAATGGCTCTCATTTGTGCCATTGGTTCCTCAATCAAATCATTGATCTCCTCTCCAGTTTGAAGCGAAACAAGAGTTAATAAATGAACCAGAAGTTTGGATTCTGCTGTTGTTTTGTTTCCTAATTTCGAGCAAAGGGCGAGAAGCGTCATTTTGTTTTTATCAACAAATTCTGGGATATATTGCGAAGTTAGGGCAAAATTCAAATTTGCAAGGGCGTGTGTGCGAATTGACAAACTGAAAGAAGTTGGTTTTTTTTGAAATTTTTAGATCTAAAAACTGTCAAAATGGGGTGGAATATTTCTAAACCTTCTATTTTTCATTTTCTCGAGCTCGGTCATTTTTTTCTCGAAGAAAAAATAGAAAACGTGGCTCAGAAATTAAATGTCGAAACGTGAAACTGATCATTTTCTTGATCATTTCTTGAATCAATTTTTCATTGTATGTGTACTGTGGGTTGTACAGAATTTCAAAGGTTAGTCAGACAAGAGTTATGTTTTTAACCTCAAAAATCACGATGAGTTTTTCTTCACGCGAATACCGGTCGAAAAACTAGAGCCGTAAAGAAAATCGCACCAAACGTTTTATTGAAAATAACTAACTTTTTGTGTTGCGCATTATCCAAATTCTCAATCAGTTTATCCATAACATCATCAATATCTTCAACATCACCACGAACACTGTTTAAATCGCCATCAATACTCAATTCACTTTCATCGCTATCTGACCCTGAAAAATCGTAAATTTTCACTAAAAATTGAATTTTAACACTTACCGCGTCTTCCAGAACGTGTGGGACCATTATACTCATCTTTTTCTTTGTTTTTATTACCTTTCTTGCCCATTTTTAAGTTGGAGCAACCTGAAAATAATGTTTTTTGCACTGAAAAATGAAAAAGCGTGACCAAAAACAAGCAAACGCGCTCCACCGAAATCAATTTTTATTTTCATTTTTTTGCGAAATTTTTGACGAAGACCTTTAGAACTCGCAATTTCATAGTTTTCAAGGGTAAAAATATTTTAAAATCAACCAAAAATTGTTTTGAAATATTTGAGAACTTTTGAAAACCTAAGATTTCTATTCAATTTTCTAAATTTTGAACATTTAGGCCATGGCTTCGAACCTGGATGGAATAAATAAAAAATGGTCGGAAGAATTGAACAATTATGTTGAAAATAAAGAAGCCAATAAGTGAGTTTATAAAGCCACGCTAAATACGCGCGAAGTTCAATAGAGCGCAATAAATGAAAATATTGCAGGATCTTGCCAGAGGCGGGTAAACGCAACATTCTCATCACCGCTGCTCTTCCATATGTCAATAATGTTCCGCATTTGGGAAATATCATTGGATGCGTGTTGAGTGCCGATGTTTTTGCGAGATATTGTAAACTTCGGGGTCACAACACTTTTTATGTTGGTGGAACTGATGAATATGGAACTGCAACTGAAACAAAAGCTTTACAAGAAGGCGTAACACCTCGAGAATTGTGTGATAAATATCATGCGATTCATAAACAAATCTATGAATGGTTTGGAATTGATTTCACTCATTTCGGAAGAACAACAACTGATGATCAAACTGAAATTTGTCAAGACATGTTCTTGAAATTACACAAAAATGGTTACACATCAACGCAATCTGTGGACCAATTGTTCTGCGCTCATTGCGATAAATTCCTCGCTGATCGTTTTGTCACCGGAATCTGCCCAAATTGCGCATACGACGATGCTCGAGGTGATCAATGTGATGGATGTGGAAAACTTATCAATGCCGTAGAGCTAAAAGAACCCAAGTGTCATATGTGTAAAAAACGCCCAGAAGTTAGACAATCCACTCACATCTTCTTGGGATTGGATAAATTGCAAGCTATGACAACTGCTCATTTAGATAAAGAATTAGCAAAAGAAGACAATCGCTGGTCAGCAAATGCTGTTGGAATTACCAAAAGTTGGATGAAACTTGGATTGGATCCACGTTGTATCACAAGAGATCTGAAATGGGGAACTCCTGTTCCTTTAGATGGATTTGAGAAAAAGGTAGTGCCTATAAAAAAAACATCATTCATTAGGAATATAGAGTAATTCTTCTTTGATACATTGCTCGCTTATATCTTCTGCTGGAGATTTCATTAACACATATCGATCCGTAATTCTCCCACTCGGTGGAGATACATTAATCTTTACATATTGTGTAAAACTACAAATCTTCTTACAATTTGGGCATTTCAATTTCAAATCCTGTTGCCTCAAACCAACAACTCGTTTCAAAACACTCATATTTTCTTCGCATTTACTACATGGCATTCGTTTGGGTATATTGTAGATGTTGTTGTTCCACAAGACTTGAATTGTCTGAGGTTGATTTTCATTGAGTGCGGCGAGAAGTTGATTTTCGATATCCTGAAGATTCTCGAAAATCATATTTGAAACAATAAATCGTATCTTACCAGTAACTTCGCCACATTTTGCTTCTTCCCTCGAATAATTACATTATTATCCGATGGAAGATTTCTATAAAAATCCGAATTTTCCGTGGGCCAGAAGAGTTCAGGAAACTCATTATCGATTTTAGCTTTTTCTTGACAATTTAGAGGTGATGAAAATATCTGAAATCAAGTTTTTTGTTCATTAATTTGTTCATAAAAATTTCTTCAAACTCACTAGTTTCCTCCTCAAATTTCGATAAAGTTCTGGATTTGAAGTGGACAATTTTTGATCTCCATAAATCTCCGGCAATCTTTTCAATTCAGCAAAACCCTCATATTTCTTGAAAACTGTGTCATGCTCAAAATTCTTCGAAAACTCAAAGATATCATGCATAAGTAGAAGATCTTCTGAATTTTCATCGATATGTGATTTTTCCACTGGTTGTTTTTCCATTTTCTTCAATACTGGCAAATCCTCAAACTTTTCATTATTTTCTTCAATTTCAGCTTTAGGTTTCAAAAATTCCGTTACTTCTTCATTTGTAGGTTCTGGTAATATAGGAGTAACAGTTATCTGCAAAAATCAGGATCAAACTAAGAAATTTGAGCCAAACTCACTAAACGCGACAAATCCATAGTTTTTTGAAAAATACATTGATTATTTTTTACGAGAACATGTGTATCTACAGTAACCAAAATTTCGCGGTGAGACACACAAAGTTTTGATTTTTGTGTGTTCCTTTAATTTGTGTTTGAAGTTTCGTGAATAATACTTATTGTGATTTTTTCTTTTCGTCTCTCAATTTTAGTGTAATTTTAAAGGCGTATTGAAATTTTCTGTATATGTGACGGTGTAACTTTAAATGTTTTTGTTAGGAAATTCCTCCATTTGTAATTTCAAGTGAAATTTTTATATAAAAATCTCAAAATATGCCACTAGAAAATTAAGAAAAGTCTTTATCCCGCTTCCGGAAAATCTTAATTTTTTCCAGGTTTTTTATGTGTGGTTCGATGCTCCAATCGGATATCTTTCAATCACAAAAACCGTGCTCGGAAATGATTGGGTGAAATGGTGGAAGAATCCAGACAACGTGGAATTGTTCAACTTCGTAGGCAAAGACAACGTGGCATTCCACGCTGTCATGTTCCCTTGTTCACAACTTGGTGCAAATGACAATTATACAGTCGTCAATAATTTGTGCGCCACTGAATATTTGAATTATGAGGACACGAAATTCAGCAAATCTCGTGGCACTGGTATTTTCGGAGACGCTGCTAAAGAAACTGGAATTCCTGCGGATATCTGGCGATTTTATTTGCTTTATATGAGACCTGAGAGTCAGGACACCGCTTTCAGTTGGGATGATTTTGTGCTGAAAGTAAGTTTTTTCACCAGTTTACCAAGAACTGAAAATTTCTCTCGAAGAAGTGTGTGAATTGAGATTTCCAATGAGAGTTTTTCACGCTTATTTTTACTTCAGGTCAACAGCGAACTTCTCAATAATCTCGGAAACTTTGTCAACCGTGCTCTCTCATTCCTCGCCAACAATTTCGATGGAAAATTGCCCGAAATGAATCTCACAGAAGAAGATTCGCAAGTTCTTGCTGACATCGAAGAAGAATGTATTCAATGGGATAAACAATTTGATGGAGTACACTTGAAAGATGCAGTCAAAACTATTCTCAATGTTTCTCGTCGTGGAAATCAATACATGCAGGCACAAACACCGTGGGTTTTGATGAAAGGCGATGCTGCGCAAAAATCTCGTGCTGGCACAATTATCGGAATCGCTGCAAATATCGCATATCATTTGTCAATTCTTCTTCATCCAGTTATGCCACAAATTTCTTTGACTATTCGACAACAATGTGGATTAGAGAAATTACCATTATTTTCTGCTTTTCCAAGATGTTATTTGAAACCTGGACATGTTATTGGAAAACCTTCGCCATTATTTGCCAAAATTGATGCAGCTCAAGTTGCTGAGTTCAAAGCGAAATTTGGTGGAGATGGAAGTGTTGCGCCGGTTGAGAAGGAAAAACCAAAGAAAAACGCGGGAAAAGCTGAAAAACCAAAGAAAGGAGATGATAAAAAGGAGAAGAATAATGAGAAAAAAGAAAAAGCTGGTAAGTTTGCACTTTTTAATTTTCTGGAACTTCTATCACCGTGTTTTCCATAGAACTCTTGAGAGATAAAATTGAGCGAATCTAGAATTGGACTTCGTGACTGTGATCAGCAGACTAAAAACAAATTGATAAATTATTTTTTCGCGAATCTCATTCTCTCAAGATTTTCCAAATGAAACACGGCGAATATCTTGATTTTGGAAAACAGAAAAATCCATAAATTCTGCAGGCCCATAGTTAAATTTTTTGTAGGGATGGAGAAGAAGGAGACAATTCAGACAAGGCTGCCGGATTTTTTGGATTTTTCTTTTTTTTTTCTCAATGTCTTTCTTTTTTGGCTTCTTTTTATTCTCAAACCGTTTTTCAGTTACCTTTTTAACCCTATGTGTTTTTCAGCCAAAATGTCAGCTCGCGTCTTCCCAACACTCGCCAAAAATGAGACAGTCATTCGTCAATTGTTGGAGGGAAATTTGAAGAAATTCGAACAGGCTCGCCAAATTTTCCAAGCTAAACAGTTAGCCCAACTCGAGGCTGAAAACAAGAAATTGGAGGCTGAAATTAGCTCATTGACAAAACAATTGGAACAAGCTGAAGTTGCTGGTGGAAGTGAGCATTTTTATTTGATAATTAGTGTAAAACAAATTAATTAAAAAATTGATTTTCAGTCAAACAAGTTGCTCGACCAAAAATTGCTGCATCTTCTTCAGCAGCTCCAGCTCCAACTCCGGCGAAAGCTTCAGCTCCAGCCTCAGCACCAGAAAAAGCTGCACAAAAAGCTCCAGCTCCATCCGCTGCCAAAAAAGGTGGAAAAGCTGCAGCACCTGCAGCCGCAGCTGATGATACAATTGACATTGGAAGACTTGACTTGAGAGTTGGAAGAATTGTGAAATGTGAAAAACATCCAGATGCTGATGCATTGTATGTTGAACAAATTGATGTTGGAGAAGAACAACCTAGAACTGTTGTTTCCGGTTTGGTTAGACATGTTCCATTGGATCAGGTGAGGATTTTCAAGCTGACAATGGGGGGATGCATTTTTATTATTCAAAATTTTGAAATGTTCATAAATTAAAATAAAATTCCAAATTGCCACGTCTGAAGTTCACGTTTTTTTTCATTTTTTTTTTCGTTAAAACAACTTTATTTTTCAGATGCAAAATCGTTTGGTAGTAGTTCTGTGCAATCTAAAACCAGCCAAAATGCGTGGAGTCGAATCTCGTGCCATGGTAATGTGTGCTTCTTCTCCGGAAAAAGTCGAAATAATGGAAGTGGATCCATCAACAACTCCAGGAACAATTGTAACTTGTCCACCATCAATTCATCGACCAGATGCACAATTAAACCCGAAAAAGAAGATCTGGGAAACTGTGGCTGAAGATTTGAAGGTTTCACCAGAAGGATTTGCCGCCTGGAAAGGACAACCTCTTTTGGTTGGAGGAAGCACCAAAATGACTGCACCAACTTTGAGAGGAGTTTTTGTTAAGTAATTAATTAATTAGTTGACTGATTATTATTTGCTTTTTTGGATTTTTTCTAGAGTTTTGGTTTGTTTTTCTTTTCTTTAATATATATTTTCACCGGTTTTCTTCAAAATATCATAAATTTATTGTTTGTTTTTTTCAAGATTTTTTTTTGGAAAAAATGCGTTTTTATCGCGCTTGGATATTTGATATTGATATTTTTTGGAAAAAGCTAAATTCTGAAATTCGTATTTTTTTTGAATAGAATGTTGATTTTTTAAACTTACCGAAAAATTCGGCGAAAATACTCAAGAAAGAATTTTCTTCAAAACTTTCTCCAAAAATTCCCTCATTTTTTCCAGAAAATGGGCAAAAAGAAAGCACTCGATGATGCACGATTTTCGCGAATCAAATCCGATCCGATTTTCTCGGGTCTCAAAAGCACCGAACGTAAAGTTGTGATTGATAAAAGATTTGCGGCTGCGTTGACGGATGAGAAATTTTCGACAAGGTCAAAAGTTGATATGCGAGGACGGAAACAAAAAAATATTGTTGGTGAGTTCGAGTTTCATTTCAAAATAAAAATTTTGGGGGAAAATCAATTAATTAGCATCCTTATTAATTGTTGATAATTGATGAATATCATTTTTCTGCTGTGCATTTTCATCAGTGGATTTTTTGGTAAAAAAACTAAAAATCTTTCATTTTTCTTAGAATTAGGCTCTACCCGAAAATCTCTTATTTAACTCACCTCATGTATGTTTGCCGATACGGTGTTACAAAATATAAATAAGTTAGTGGTGAAAATAATGGCATAAATAGAAATATACTGAAAATCGAGAACTCAACAATCGGGCTACTGAAATTTTTGAGCTGCGAAAACATCCGTAAAAATGCGCTAGCCAATCCGAAAAGTGGAACTATAGTTTGCCACGTCAAACATTGTAAAAGTTGAGAATGCAAATTCTTAGTCTCCTTAGATAGGTGATTTAGAGATTTGTTAAGCTTATGAATAATTTTCCGACGAATGAAAAATGTGATAATATATAATGGAAACCCGGAAATACTGGTATTCAAAGTTGTTAAAATACACGGAAAATTAAAATAATCATTAATGAGTGAAATTGTATTATCACTGAAATCATATTGAGGTAATTCAATTCGTGCATAGAATCTAGCGGTATCTTGATCTAATAATTTCGGAATTAATAGTATGAATTGAAGAAAACATGGGGAATAAATCAAGAATAATATCATAACTATTTTGAATCTCGAAACCGCCGAATTCCCCAGAATATAAAGTCTATAGCAAAAAGAAAACACCAAAGAAAAAATACTGTAAGGAATAAGATGAAGAAATAAACTGGTACCAATTCGACAGGCGGTTTGACCAAAATATTGACAAGATCCATAGTAAACATAGAAGTTTATAAACTTATTAGCAACTGGAATTAACCGAAGTTCAATGAATATGTCGGTCAAACATTCGAATAAATCAGTAATTGCAAAATTGATTATAATTGTGACATATGAATGCATTTGTTTAGGAGATTTGAAAATACAAAGAAAAATTAGGGAAAGATTTAGAAAACATCCAATTAGGCAAAATAAATAGTGCCAAATTGTGAAAAGAGTTTCGATCATTTTTTAGAGAAAATGTGACTGGCTTGGTGAGAGAAAATTAGATTTTCTAATTATCAGGTTGGAGAACTACACATGATCAAAGAAACAGCTTTGTAAGCTTGACGCAAGCCTGACATAAAATCATGAGTTAAATTTGGTTTTGAACTTTTGAATAAAATCTGACAAAGTTTTTTTAAAGAAAAATTTAATGAATCAAAAGATTGTCAATATTTCAAACTGAGAATTTTTTATTATCCGAAATTCAAAATAAAATTAAAGAACAGTTTGTTCAATTGTTGATTTTGTTTCCGTGATTTTGAGTTCCATTTCCTTCCTCTTTATTATTTTTTTTCTTCTTGAATAATCCCATAAAAGTTTGTCGAAACGGAGTTACAAAATATAAATAAGTTAGTGGTGATAATAATGGCATTAATAAAAACACACTAAAAATCGAGAATTCAATGAAGGGGCTGCTGAAGTTTTTAACTAGCGAAAATATATGTAAAACTGCGCTGGCCAATCCGAAAAGTGGAACTATAGTTTGCCACGTCAAACATTTCAAAAGCTGAGAATGAAGTAATTTGGTCTCTTTTGATAGATGGTCTAGAGACTTATTTAGCTTATAAATAATTTTGCGACGGACGAAAAACATGATAATATATAGAGGAAATCCGGAAAGACTGGTATTGATTGTTGTAAACATACATGAAAAATTATTATAATCATTAATGAGTGAAATTGTGCGATCACTGAAATCATATTGAGGTAATTCAATTTTAGCGTAAAATCTTGCTGTATCCAGATTTAATAAATTTGGAATGAATAGGATGAATTGGAGAAAACATGGGGAATAAATCAAGAATAATATCATAACTATTTTGAATCTCGAAACCGCCGAATTCTCCAGAATGTAAAGTCTATAACAGAATGAAACGACTAATGAAAAAATACTGTAGGGAATAAAATGAAGCAATAAGCTTGTACCAATTCGGCAAGATATTTGACCAAAATATTGACAAAACCCATAGTAAACATAGAAATTGGAAACTTTATAAGGAACTGGGATATTTGCCTACGTTGAATGAATGTATCGGTCAAACATTCAAACAAATCAGTAATTGCAAAATTGATTATAATTGTGACATATGAATGCATTTGTTTAGGAGATTTGAAAATACAAAGAAAAATTAGGGAAAGATTTAGAAAACATCCAATTAGGCAAAATAAATAGTGCCAAGTCATGAATATGAATTCTATCATTTTTAAGAAGGTTATAGATTTTTGAGTAGAAACTAATATTTGAGTGGGGCAGAAAATTTAATTATTGGCTTTGGCATAACGTCAAAAGCACACCTGATCAAAAAACTTTTGAACTCCTGAAAAATTAGTTTGCCGTTTCTATTTATTTCACAATCAGAGCGGAGTTTTGAAAAGCAATTGTTCAATATTTATTCACCAATTTAAAATCTATTTACAATTTTACAACAAATAATATCATATTTAATTATTGATAAATAATTAAGAAACAATGTTTCCTTTATTAGCAGTTTCATTTCCTTCCTTCTTTATTTATTTTCCGTTTTCTGAAATAATCCCATAAAAGTTTGTCGAAACGGAGTTACAAAATATAAATAAGTTAGTGGTGATAATAATGGCATAAATAGAAATATACTGAAAATTGAGAATTCTATAAAAGGACTGCTTATATTTTGCAACTGAGAGAATAGTCGTAAAAATGTGCTGGCCAATCCGAAAAGTGGAACTATAGTTTGCCACGTCAAACATTTTAAAAGTTGAGAATGAAGTAATTTGGTCTCTTTTGATAGATGATCCAAGGATTCATTAAGTTTTTTTATGATTTTATGGCGGATGAAAAAAGTGATGAAATATAAAGGGAACGCAGCAATACTAACATTGAAAGTTGTAAGCATACATGGAAAATTATTATAATCTTTAATAAGTGAAATTGTGTGATCACTGAAATCATATTGAGGTAATTCAATTTGTGCATAGAATCTAGCTGTATCTTGATCTAATAAATTCGGAATTAATGAAACTAATTGAAGAAAACATGGAGAATAAATCAGAAATAGTATCACTACGATTTTGCTTCTAGAAAATGATTTTCCATACAAAATATAAAGTCTATAGCAAAATGAAAACACCAAAGAAAAATTACTGTAGGGAATAAAATGGAAAAATAAACTGGTACCAATTCGACAGGCGGTTTGACCAAAATATTGGCAAAATCCATAGTAAACATCGAAATTCATAATTTTATTAGGTACTGGAATTATACGAAGTTGGATGAATATATCAGTGAGACATTGAAATGAATCAGTAATTGCAAAATTGATTATAATTGTGACGTACGAATGCATTTGTTTAGGAGATTTGAAAATACAAAGATAAATTAAGGAAAGATTAAGAAAACATCCGATTAGGCAAAATAAATAGTGCCAAATTGTGAAAAGAGTTTCGATCATTTTTTTGAATAACGAGATTTTTGAAATCTTAAAGAATCAAATATGATTGGTTGCTAGTTGAGCCAATAATTGTTGGTTTCGGATTTTAGTCACATGTGTAGATCAAATGTTCATTATATTTTTGAGAATTTAGAAATCGAAAATTTACTTATTAAGTATATGTATAATCAACAAAATTTCCAACCTAGCATAAAATCTAATCAAATACCAATTTTTCAGGAAATGACATGTTGGATTTGTACGAACTTGAAGAAGATCAACGAAATCAAACAACATCCACGCAAAAAGTTGCGAAAAAGCCTGAAAAAGTCACCAAGAAAAAAACAGTGCTTGATCAATTTTTCGATGAAGATGGATATGATGATGAAGAAGAAGAGGAAATTGAAGATGAAGAAGTTTCAGATGAGGAAGAAGAAGAAGATAATGGGATCAAAGGAGGATTTAAGAAATTAGATTTGGCAAGAGGTGAAGGAAATCTCGATTCATCTTCAGATGATGATTCGAGTGAAGATGAAGAAGAGGGAGAGGAAGAATGGGAAAAATCAAAGACTTCTATGCAATTGGAAGCGGATTTGGGACAATTGGATAAGTAAGTTTTGCGGGAAAAATGATAGAAAATAATTGAAAATTTCCTTCAAACATTATCGAATTCCAAATTTTCCAGAGATGCTGAACAAGTCGAATGGACATCAAAACGTCTCGCATTATGCAATCTCGAATGGGACCATATTAACTGTGAAGATATTTTGATGCTTGTCAAATCATTTTTGTAAGCCTTCCCTTGTTAAATGTGAAAATTCCAACAATAAATTATATTTTCAGACCAGCTGAAGGGTTCGTGAAAACTGTTGGAATCTACATTTCAGATTTTGGTCAAGAAAAAATCGAGTACGAAGAGAAAAATGGACCAAGTCTAAAATTGCCAAAACCAATAGAAGAATATGAGGAAGATGAAATGGATCCTGAAACGAAAGCCGCTGTCAGAAATTATTTATTAGATAGGCTCAAATATTATTATGCGGTGATCGAATTCGATTCAGATGAATCTGCGCTAGAAGTTTATAATGAATGTGATGGTTTTCAATTTGAAGAAACTGGGCTGAAAATGGATATGCGATTTATTCCAGAAGATATGGAATTTGAAGAAGATCGAATCAAAGAATTCATAAATGCTGAAGATGTTAACACTAAAAAATATAAGCCAAAAAAGAAACCGAAGAACTCAATTACGTCGACAAATACAAAGATAAGCTGGGACGAGGATGATCCGAGTAGATCGAAGAAGTTTTTGGAGGCTTTTGATGGAAATGAGAAATCTGGACAAGATTTGATTGTTGGATCGGATGAAGAAGGAGAAGAAAGTGATTCGGAAGAAGGAAAAAGGAGAGAATTATTAGGATTGTTGAAGGATGATGAAAAGAAAACAGGAATGAATGTAAGGATTTTTAAATCGAGGCTTCACCTGAAAACGCTTGGGTATTTTTTGAAAAAAAAACGAAAATAAAAATATGGGCTGAATTTCAAAACAGTTGTTTTATTATTCTAATCTAAGATTTTCCTTCAAAGTTTCCCCCGAACATTTATTTATCCTAACTCTTCTCATTTTCCAGATCGAATGGGAAGACGAAGATGGAAAACACAAAAAAGGAGTCGGTTCGGATTCGGATTCTTCAGATGGCGAATATGTGAAATGTGATGAAGATGGAGATGAAATTGGAATTCCTACGAAAAAGAAACAAGATGAGAGTGGTGATGATGAAGAAGAAATTCAAGAAAAACCCGAAGAAAAATTGAATGGTTATCAAACTTATTTAAAAAAGAAGAAACTGAAATTGGCTGAAAAGAAATTGCAATCTGGAAAAGGAAAGAGGAAATCTGAAACTATCAAATCAGCTGAAATTATTGAAACTGTTCAAAATGACTCGCGTTTCACTGCGCTTTTCACTGATTCGGCTTTTGCCATTGAGCCAAGTTCGAAGAAGTTTAAAGGATCTCAGTTGGCTGCGAAACAAGTTGAACACAAAGTTTTGGCTTCTTTGGAATCTAAATCGAAATTCGAAGAAAAATCAAAGCCGAAGGAGGATTTGGTTGCACAATTGAAAAAGAAGGCCGAAAAATGGAAGAAAAAATGAAAATGAAGTGTGGAATTTTGTTGGAATTATTGTTGTTGTTGATTTTGATTGTTTTTTCTTGATTATAAACTTTTATGAATTTTTCCGGAATTGAAAATTTAAATATTGAGTTCTAAACTGAAAATGTTTGATTTAATTTTAATTTTTTGGAAAAAAAACTCGATAAATATGAAGTTTTTAGGATTTCAGACAGAAAATTGAACTTTCAGTATTTCTGAAAAGTTTTTAGCTCCTAAACACGCTCCAAGTTTGAATTTTTTAAATAAATGTTTTCCTTTCTGAATTGCAGAGAGAAACAACGATTATTTTTAGTAAACATCAATATTTTCTAAAAATCCCCTTGATTTTTGTGCCAACGGACAAATCTTTTTCCAGAAATGAAAAAAAGAGACATTTTTCATCAATATTATCTATCACACCGAGACCGACATTGTTTTTATATTTTTTTTCCCTATAGGGATCTATTGATTTTTGATATTAATTGAAATAAATTTGCTGATGATGATTTGATACGATCGAAAAGACGAGCAAGTACTTAACGAACTGACAACATTTTCGCTTGCATTTTTTCAACATCCACCCGGCCGCAATTGCGGAAAAAATAATTTTCAAAAATTCTCCGCAGTCCAATAGAGCGCACATGCCCCTCTCTCTCTTATCGCATGATTCAAACTCCGCCCATTTTCTATTTTTTCTCTCATTTTTTTTTGCGAGGAAATTCTCTTTATTTTCAGCTCTCCAAAAATGTCGGATCATTCTGATAATGAAGAAGACGATGATTATCGTTATGGAATTGATTTAGATGACGATGAATACGATGTTCGACCAACTGTTATATTAATGGGATTGAAAAGGTAATTTTGAATTTTTCTGCTGAAATTCAAGCGAAATATGTTTTAGAAGTGGTAAAACATCAATCCGCAAGGTTGTTTTTCAAAAAATGTCGCCAAATGAAACAATGTTTGTTGAATCCACACCAAGAATAACAAAAGATCGTGAGTTTTCTTGAAATTTTTAAAATATTATTTTTAGGTGAATTTAGACTTGCTGATCACAATATCGTTGTCAAAAACTGCATATATATTCTGTGAATATGATTTATGACAGGTTGAAGTTTGGAAATTCATGAATACTAGTTTAAAAATAGGTTTTTTTAAATGAACATTTGATAGTTCAGGCCTCATTTAAGAATGTCGATTATCATGAACAATAATTTTCATTAATACCATTTCTTTGCTTGTAGTCAGAGGTTTTCAGACTTCCACGTCATAATTCATATTCAAATTTTAGGTAAACAGTTTTTGATAACGTGGTCGCGATCAACTAATCCTTTAGAAAACCTTCAGAAAAGTTATATTTTCATCAAAAATCTCAATTATTTCGCAGGAATTTGCTCGTCATTCATCAACTTCGAAACCATAGAATTTCCCGGTCAAATGAGCCCATTTGACTCGGAACTCGATGCTCGCGCTACTTTCAAGACTTGTGGTGGGTTCTTTGGTTTTTTCTTCTTCAAAAAATCCTGAAAACAAACTTTCCTTCGGAAAATCGCGGGAAAAAAAATGATTAGATAACACGGAAAAAAAGGTCAATTTATCTATTTATCAATAATTGAAATTTATCAATCAAATAGAGAAAAAATTGCAGAGAAAGAGAAAACTCGAAAGGATTTCAGTATATCAGAATTCAGAGGTTTGGTATTGATCAAGCCTTTTATTTTTATTTATTTGATGTTTTTTCTCTAATAATGGAAAAAAGGTTTTTTTGACTTGAACTTGGGGTTTTTGGAATTTTATTGGAGTTTGTGCCCGATTTTTCTTTCGAAAAATGTCTTCCAAATACAATTATCCAGAAAGAAAATTTCGAAAATTCCTAATTTTATTGAAAACCCCGATTTCAAATTCAAAAATTACCCTTTATTTCATCCAAACAAAACTCACTAACAAAAATGCTGAAAGCTTTTGATGCTTTTATTTTTTCTGTTGTTTTTTCAGAGACCATCTACTTTTTTGTTTTTCGAAAACTCATATTAATTTTCAGGAGCTCTTCTTTTCATTATCGATGCTCAATCAGATTATAATGATGCAATGACGACAGTCGCCGATTATTTTGTGGAAGCTTGGAAAATTAATAAAGCAATCAAATTCGAGGTTTTTGTTCATAAAGCAGATGGATTGACTGAGGAAAGTCGAGTCGAGACTAAATTTCATATTTATCATGCGGTAAGGATTTTGAAATTAGATGAATTCGGGTTTCAAAACTTTTGTCGGAAAGGTTCAACAAAGAGACTTCCAACAAACTTTAAAATTCCAGTGGTTTTTTTTTACTAGTTGAACACAATTTTGTTATGGGGCTATTCAGCGATTTTATCATCACGCTGAGAAAACCATTTTCTCAACCGTTTTTCTATTTTCTCAGCTGTCCTGAATGAGTTTTATCAACCAATTCAGCGTTGAGAAAATACGTTGAATAGCCGAATTTTCAACTTCTGTTGGCTCAACATGAGTTATGACGGAAAATCTTCTAAGTGTAACACGTCAGAACTAATTGGATTTTTGGAGATTTCAAGCATTTTAAAAAGTTTCTTCAAAATCTTCATTTTGTTGGAACTTCTCAAAATGTTTTACATAAATGTTATCCATTTTTTCTCCTGGATAGCGAAAAATTTGAGCTTCACCTTGATTAACAGAAAAACGTTTTTTTAACAAAAATCACGAATCTTGAATAACTCAAAGTACACTTTTCTTATCGCAAAAAAATCGACAGCACAAAAAATGGCTCAACAGAAATATATTTAGAAATTTTTAAAGGGGCCGAAACTAAACTTCTCTCAACCCAATTACAAGAAAATCTCGAAAATACCTTGATCTCGAAAAAACATAAGTTCAAGTTTTTAGAAATTCCCTACCATGAAATCCTGATAATTTTTTCAGGTTCGCGAAATGATCAAAGATAAGCTCGAATACAATCAAGAAAATGTGGATTCAATTACTATTACTTATCATCTGACCTCAATTTACGATCATTCGATTTTCGAAGCGTTCTCAAAAGTTGTCCAGAATCTTGTCAAGCAATTGCCAACATTAGAGAGATTATTAGATATCTTCAATCAGGGTTCAAATGTTACCAAATCCTTCCTTTTCGATATTGTTTCAAAGATCTACGTAGCCACTGATTCGGAACCAGTTGAAATGAACATATACGAATTGTGTTGTGATATGATCGATGTAACTTTGGATATATCGTCAATTTATGGGTTGGTTTCTTTATCAGAATTTTTTCAAACGAAAATTTATTCTTTTCAGAAGTGGTGATAATAAGCAGCCGTTTGATGACTCTTCTGCTGCAATAATTCGGCTAAGATCCGAACAAGTTTTATTCCTTCGACAAATCAATAAGCATTTAGCTTTAGTTTATATTATGAAAGAGGAACATTTCGATAAGCAAGGGTATATTGATTACAATTTCATGTGTTTCAAAGAGGGAATCGAGAAGGTGTTTTTGATGAAGAACAAAAACGGTATCAGAGATTCATGACTTTTTTAATCTTGTGCTATATATGTTTTTTTTCTTTGATAAACCATTTTTGTCAAACAATTTTATTTCCAATGCTTACCCAACAAAAACGAGAAGCATGAGGAAATATAACAATATGTACCAATTAGAACTTGCTGAATCCCTTCTTTGATGATCCGGTCTTGTTGACCTTCAAGACGTTGAATCTGACGGTCTTCGAGAGTGGGCGGCATTCTCCAATTGTGACGAGGTCTCCTGGGTGGATATCTCTGAAAAAAAAACAGATTTTTAGTGAAACAGAATATCAATTTCAACTTTTTTTTAAATTTTAAGTGTCCGGACTCATTATGTATTCAAGTCTAAAATCAAATTGAACATCATAACGAAGACGTGTTAATTTAGCGTCTAAAATATTGCTGAATTGTCTACTTTCAAATGAGCAGCGGACAATTGGATGAATGACGCATTGCTTAGATATATTTTTAAAAATTCGATAAAAAATCTTTGAATAGTTAATTCTCCTAATCGGCCGTATCTAGGAAATTTAAAAAATTACCTGAAGGCTGGGGAGACGTGAGCTGGGACGTTCTTATGTCTTTTCTCGTAACGACGGTACTTCTTGATGTAGTGAAGGTAGTCACGACGAACGATCAAGGTTCTGGTCATCTTGTTCTTAAGGACAACGCCAGTAAGGATCAATCCTCTGATTGGGACATTTCCAGCCCATGGGCACTTCTTGTCGATGTAAGTTCCCTCGATAGCCTGGAATATGGATATTAATTAGCTCAGAGAAAATTGTTTCTATTAATTCATTTGGATTCTAACTAAAAAACAAAATTACCTCTCTTGGGGTCTTGAATCCAAGTCCAACTTCACGAATGTATCGTGGAGTTTTCTTCGAGCCCGAAAGGATTCGGGTCTTGTTGTTGAGGTTGATGGTTGGCTGTTTCAAAAACGCCCTTTCTGTCTGTTCAGACATTTTCCCAGGTTCTGAAAAAACGAGATACAATTGAAAAATCCCAAAATCGAAATTTACAGAGAAAACGACAAAAGAAAATGATTTAACAAAGCGTTGAACGGAGAAAAATTACTCTAGCAATACAGAATCTTCTAAATATCAATTTCCAACCAAAAATTTACAAAAACCCGCTCAAAACCCGAAAAAACAGCGAAAAAACATGTAGGAAAAAGAAAATAGAAAAAAATCCGTCTGCTCCAGTGAGGAGTACTGTACTTCCCCTCTTCTTCTCTTCGCGACAAGACCCAAGCGAGGAGAAAATCGATGCGCCTTTATTTCTTCTTTTTATTTATTTATTGTTTTTTTCACGTTTTCTTCGGGGTTTTCGAGATTGAGAGAATATTTTGTTTCATAAAATTTATGGAAATGAAAGAAACAAATTCCCAATAATAGAAACGTAGAAAACCTGCAATTTTTCTGTAAATTTGGTGAAATTAAAAGAAACAAAACAAGATTAATAAAATTTAAAATTTTTAGTTAGTATAAAAGGTAAATTACAGTATATCACCAGTATATAATAAAAGTATATTTACTAATTAAAATATATCGTAACAAGAAGAATAGAGAAAATCACGAAAGAGAGGGGGATAATAATCAGTTTTAGCCAAAAAATCAAGAGAACTTTAGCAATTTAGGGAGGATTTAAGAATTAGGAGAAATAGAAAACCCGCTATATACACACAAATATGATCGATTCTTTGATTTATTGTTTGATTGAAAAATTTGGGAGGGATTGAGGAAAAATTGAGCACTAGTCACAGTTTAGGGAAAAATAAAATAATGATAATAATAGTTGCCAAGTGATAATTAATTTAATTTATTGATTTTTTGTTTATCTATTTTTAAAATTGACAAAAGCAATACTCTTCCTAAATGCAAAAACAAGAAATTCGAGACAAATTCAAATGAGTGAGATTACTTTTGGATTAGGTTTTGGGGGTTGGGGTTTTGGGTAAATTGGGGCGAGAAATGAGGCATATTATGGGCACCGTTTTGAATATAAATAAAATCGAGACGCTTTTTTTGAACAAATCAAGAAAAAATGAAATTTGGGTGAGAAGGCAAAGCGAATCGATTGATCACAATTGTATTGAGAGTTGTATTATAATATAGGATAGAATAGGATAGGAAAAATTAAACATCTAATGGAAAATGAGAAAACTAGAAACTATTTAATAAGGAAAAAGTGAGTGGGAATGGCACTATTCAACAGAAAATATTTGGAAAAAAAAACAAAGAAGGGTTATCAGGATTCTGTGTCAGCAGCTGCGGCGCAAATTCGATCGGTTACCAGACTGAAATCAGTGTGAATATCGTTGTCATCGTCGTCATCTGAAATATAGATTTTTTGATTATTGAATTTTTTTTGAAAAACTTTCAATAAGAAATGTTTGCTAAAAAAACTTACCAGAAAATTCAACAGTCGGCAACGGCTCATTCTTTCTCGGCGGTGAGTGCAAAAACGAGAAAACTCCATTTGTCTTATCATCGTCTAGCAAAAATGACATCGAACTCGATGCTCTCGGCGAAATCTCATTTTGCAAATTGTTTGCTTGATTTTGACTACTCGCCTCAACAGGTTCAACTTTGACAACAATTTTCTTTTCTTTTTTCGCTGGTTCTTCAGTCATCCAAGGTAGCAAAGCAGAGATTTTCTGGTTTGGTGACTTCAGTTTTGGCTTGACTTCTGCTACTGGAATTGTGATTTGAGGCATCACCGGAACTGTAGAATTCGTAACTTCTGGTGTCGCCGACAGAAACTTGGCAGGTGTTCTTGGTGTCATTGTCGAAGTTGAAGGGATCGATGCAAATGGGTTGAACCGATTGGTAAACTTGGCAGCTTTTGGTGTTTCTACCATATTTTCCGCTGATTTCTTCTTCTTAATCATCTTTGGTTTGGCTGTTGGATCAGTTCGAATTGCCATTGCTCTTCCAGAATTCAATCGATTTGTTGGTCGTGAAATTTGCACAATTGGTGGTGGAGTTTCTTTGATTTTTATCGAATATTTATCATCAACCATTTTATGGATAGTCATGAGAAGTCGAGTTTCAGATGTTGGTTCAAGCGATCTTCTTTTGACTTTTCTTGGTGTTATTGAGTTTCGCATAAATTCTGGCACTTTTCTCATTCGTAATTTGATTCGACCACCATTATCATCAGTCATGACTTGGACGAGCTGAAAGAAAAAAATAGATCAGCTATTTTTTTTTGTTGAAAAAATGTGACTTACCCTATCCTTCTTCACACCATTCGGTGTTTTGAATGTGCAATTTTCAACAGAAACAACATCACTTCGATTCCGTTTGGCTTTTGGTTTCACCTCCACTGATTTTCGTTTTTTCGTTGGAGCCTCAACAATTGGCTCAGCAATTGGTTCTTCAATTTCCTCGACTTCCTTCTTGATGTGAATATCAGTTAATTTCAGCGGAGGAAGTTTGATCTTTAGCTTGATTGGTTCATGTTTTGGATTTGGCACCGAAATCTTGATCGGAGGCCGAATAGGTTCTCGTTTCACAGATGAAAGTGTTGCAGACAATGGGGGAGGTCGAATATAAATCTCATCATCATCGATTCCAAGTTCTGGTGATCCTGAACCTTCCGAATCTTCGCAAGTTTCAGCAGTCGAACTTCCAGTTTTCTTCGGTGATTCAATTCTTGAATTCGATGTTGAAATCAATCGATGCCTAATTGACACAGATTGCGCCGGTGGAGATCTCAAAGCTGCTGGAACATCTTTTCGGGCTCTCGTCAAGAATTCCTTTTTCGATGGTAATCTTGCGGCAACTGGTGGATCTTGTGAAATATTCGATATCGATGCTTCGAATTCTTCATTCGGTTTTCTATAATTTGGTGTTTTGATAGCCGTTGGTTCCGAAGAAATTGCAGGTGGTGGTGAGCAGAATGATGGAATAGATTGTGGAATAGGTGATTGTAAAGTGTATGGTTTCTTTGGTGAGAATTTTGGCGATAAAATTGGTGAGATATAAGGCGATGGTATCCGCACAAAATTCTCATCAAAATCATTATATTCATAATCTCCATAATTTTCGCTTTCTTGAATTGGATTTTCAATCGGACCTTCCTCGCACAACATTCCATTTCTAAACTTCCGAATAATTTCACTGTTTTCAACAAATGCTTCCAAATTCTCAGCAGCCGCCTGTTTATCCTCTTCTAACTTCCTCCTTTCTCTTTCAGTTTCCAAAAACATCAACATATTATTTTCAGCCAAATCGGAGTGAATAAATGTGCCGCGCAAGCAGACTTCTCGTATCCGATTTTCCAGCGATTTTTTCTGTTTATCCACGTTGATATTGTGACGAAACCAATTGTCATCGACTGAAAGAATTAGAGGGTTTTTGAGATGAACCATTTTTTTGAAGTAGAAAAAACTTTAATTTTAAAAAATCCCTCCCTAGTAAAAATAAACTCACAATCATCAAACGCCTGTTGCGACACATCTGGCTCATAATACAAATGAAATGGCAACAATCGATTCACCACATCGTGCATATCTTCAAACGGTGTGAATTGGGGATTTCGAACAGCTTCGACTTGATGATCCAGCATCTGTCGAAGTCGATGTTCTCGCTCCAATTGACATTGTCGGGAGAATTCAGCAAGTTCTTCTTCTGTCGGTTCGACCAGCGGAATTTCTTCTGGTTCTTCGAGTTTTTTCACCTGAGGGACCTCGATTGGTTGTTGCTGTTGTTGTTGTTGTTGTTGTGGTGGTTGTTGCGCCTGCGCATTTTGAACAACTTGAAGAACCGATCCAATTGGAACATTCGGGAACATATTACTATTTTCCCTTGTGACAGTGATAGTTTGAACTGGTGATTGGGGCTGTGGTTGCACTTGTTGTTGAATTTGTGGTTGTGGCTGCGGAGAATTTATCGAAACTCGTCGATTATTCTGCCTTGACTTATTAGAACCCGGCCCATTGTTAAGCAATTGTTGACGAAGTGCAGAATCTTGCTGATTCTGTTGAAACCGTCTTTGTTGCTGCTGCTGTTTCACCATATCGCCAAGTGTTGTTGGTGGTGTCGATTCTTGGATTGGAATTGGTGGACCCTGCTGCTGCACAAAAACTTGTTGGCCTTGGAAAACTTGCTGTTGTGGCTGTTGCTGCTGAGATTGCTGCGGTGTGGATGGTCCTTGCTGATAAGCTACTTGTTGCCTATAAACATGCTGCCGTGAATTCATCGATGGCACTTTGTTATTTGGCGATGGTCCTTGTTGTTGTTGTTGGACAATTTGAATATTCTGCCCGTTTTGTGTATAGTCCATATATCTGAAATGATACATTTTGAAAATGAGAAAATATATTTTTCGAGTGTTTTTTTTAAGGTACGCCCCCATAATTTATTGGTTTTTATCGGAAAAATATTGTTATCAAAGGGGAAAAGTGAGAAACAGTGTGGTAAAAATAAAATAGCAGGGGAGCATTGATTTTTTACGAACTTTTAGGATTTTTGGGGTAAAAGGCTTGGGAAAAAAAAAATGAAAATGAAGATTTTTTGGGTGAAACTTTGAATATTTTTCTGATCTTCAAGACTAAAAACGTAATATTTGAAAACTCTTATTCGTTTTAATAGGAATAAATTTAGGTTCAAAAACTAAATTTTCAACAAGAATTTTGGCTTGTTTTTTTGAAGTTTTTTCTGAATTTTCTTAGACTCAAAAAAACTTCTTATTTTCAAAAATCAAAATCAGCCGGAATGTAAACTATTTTTCATAGCTAGATAATTTTAATCTCAAGAAAGACGTGATTTTGATATTTCAAAATACATTTATCTCAAAAAAAAACTCACTGTGCTGAACTTGTCGATGGCATAGTTTGCAATATCTCCTGTTGCTGCGATTCGGTTTGATACACAATTTGTGGTTGATAAGTCGGCGAATCTGGTGGACCATATCGATTTGCTGGAATAATTGTAGCCTGTGGTTGTTCCATTTTTGGTTGTTGTTGTTGTAGTACAGGAGCCACGTTTTTCGACGTTTGGTTAGTTTTTCGTTTTGGTGCAGCTTTTTTGGGTTGCACTGGAGCATGATTGATTTGTTGTGCTGGAGGTTGTGATGGAGTTGTTGTGAGGCTTTGAATTTGGGAGACGATTGCGGTGTTTGCTCCAGTTCTGGAAAATATTGACAGGTTTTTTGGGGGGTTTTTTTTGAAATTTTAATATATTCTTTTCATAAATTCCAAATATTTTCTGAAAAAAAATTTCAATCAATAATTGAGATTACAGAACAAAGATCAGCTTGTTTTTCTAAACTTTTTAAAAGAGCTAAAGCTAATAACAATATTATTTCAAACCAACACTTTAAATTTTCCCACAATTATCCCTCCCAAAAAACAAAACTTACGATGACAAATTCTTGGCAAAAACATTAGCCAATTCCGCTTGAATCTTATTCATCTTCTCCGTATTATCAACACCTTGCTCTTGCTCTTGTTGCAATTGTGCCATTGTGCTCATAAGCTGTGCAATTTTCATCGATTCTTCGGGCGTCATTCGAGTTTCTAATCGAGTTCCTGAACCTTCTGTAATTTGCTGCGACATTTTGTTGACTTTGGTGAGAACTGCGCCGACAGAATTGTTAGCGGCTGGTTGTTTTTTGCGGGTTGATGTTGACTTCTTTTTTGGAGTTGGTTTTTGTTGAACTTGAGCCTGATTTTGATTTTGTAGTACTTGTGGCTGCTGAGCTGGTTGTTGTTGCAATTGCATCATCATTTGTTGATCCTGATCAACAGGCTGCATATAACTTGTTGATGGCTGCATTTGCATTAAATGTTGTTGTGGTTGATATCCATCCATTTCAGCTCCCATTTGTGTTCCCATTTCCATTTCAGAAGTTGATGGTTGTTGATTTGAATAAAATGAGTTATTCTGATCCAAATTATTTAGATCAGTATATTGTTCATTCATTTGCGAACCGTTGACTTGAACAACTTGTGGTAACTCGAAACTGTTGTATTCCTGAAAATAATTCAAGAATTTATAAGTGATTGGGAAAATATATTTTGGTCAATATTTTAGCTCAACTTGTCAGTAATGATGTGGGAAAATTTCAAAATACAAGGCAGTCTATAATTATGAGAGAATTTTATCACGTCATAACTTTACTCATGTTTGAACTAAATATTAACAAAATTTGAACTCGAGAAAATGAGGAGCTTATCAAATAATTTTAAAAATCCCAACAAAAAACTTACAACACTCCTCGTCGCATGCATATTCCCATCATAACCGCTCGAATTCTGCATTGTATGCATACTTTGATAAACCTGCGACTGTCCACCATTTGGCACATCCGAATACTGAAAATCTCCCAACGGAACAGCCAAATCCGCACTATAACCAACATCGAGATCACGCATCGGCGATGCGCCATTTTCGTCTAACTGCAAAAAACAAAGCTTATATAAGAAAAATTATATTTATCTAGATGGAAGGAGAAAAATGAACCCATAAAATTAATGGGGTTTAGTTATTTTTATACTTTGTTTTTTTTCGAAAAAAAATAACTTGCCTCAATGTTGTCATAATATGCGCCGGTTGGTGGTGGACTATCGGTTTTGGTCAGCTCGTTTAGGTTGTAATTCAACCAATCATCGTCGTTACTGAAAAAATAGAAATTATTTGAGTGAAACTTCAAGAAAATAAATTTTAAACTATAAAACTTACCTTTGGAACATAGTTTCGTTTAATTTAGCGTAAATTACTAGCTATTTAACAGGAAGTAAATAAATAAACAACAACAACAAACAAAAAGGACGCTAGTTTAGAGGTGTGAATTTGGGTTAGAGCGAGCATGATATTCTTCCCAAAGGCACCAATTATGTTTTATCTCCCCTTTCCCTTTATTAAAACAACTTACTATGCCATTTCTGTTTAAGTCATCGCTCCCTTTCGTTGGTTTTTTTGGTGTGTTTCAACTTTCTTGGCTATCCAGAAGGTTGAATCAAAACACACGAACACTGAAAACATATTATGTTCCATAATAAATAGAAAATAAAAATCAATAACATTAAGGGGGAAGAATGATAAAATCGATAATAAAAAGGAGAAAAAGAAAAAATGTTAGAAATTCGATTAATATTATTTTAATTTTTTTAAATATTTTATTTTATTATTAAAAAAGCATGTATCTACGCGTAGAAGAAAAGAAAAGAGACGCAAATTGATTTTAAAGCAAGTGTGTATACGCAGATACAGCATAGTAGAAGAAGAGACGCTTTCTCTCGCGACTCCCTTTTTCTTCGCTATTCTCCACATACGCTTTTGTGTCTACCGCCTCTTCACCAACCTATACTATTTGTCAAGTCTATGATGTGGTGCGCTCATTGTCTGGGTACTCGTTTGACTAGTGGTGGAATCAAAGAGATTTCGAGAAATAAAGAGAGAAAGAAACACACATAAATATAAAAATACTCTTGGTATGTGTGTTTTTTCTTCCTTTTTATTATCTAAATGTTCGCAATTGTTTCGAATGGTCATTTTTCTTTTTTCTTGCACTTTTAGCATGGCTGATATATTTTTCAATAAAAAAACTCACATCATTTTGATTTAAACCCGAATTAAGCGAAGTTTCCATTTTTTTCTTCACAAAAAAATAAAATAAAAAAATAATAGATTACTGTAGATTTGGAAGTCCGCGGAGTGTTGTGCAAACACCACACACTCCGACGACATTCATTTTTATTTTTTTGTTCGAAAAAATTTTTTTGATTGGTTTTCGAAAACAACATTTCATCCTAGTGACAAAGTGAAATGAGGCGGGGGAATATATTCAGAGAAGGTATGAAATTCACGTTTACTTTACCATTCGCGTGAACTCGCCTCTTCTCACTCTCATTTCAAAAATATCAGCAAATCGTTTGAGTGACTTCTTTTTCTTATTTGAGCTTGTTTGGCCGTCAAAAACGTCTGGTTTTTCTGTGATTTATCTCAAATTCACATATTTCAGAATATCTAATAAGCTGTGAAATGTACTCGAATATAAACGAAGAGGAAATTATAAAAAATGTGGATTTGAGCATCAAAAGGAATGGAACATTCGACAAAATCAAGAAGGAAGTTACTGAGCGCTTGAAAGACTCCGCAGAACTTCAGAAAATAGAAGTACGTTTCATTTATTTTTTAATTTGTGCAAAATCCAGTGTTTATTTCAGAAAGAAATACAAAGTGAAATTGAAACCATTTTAAATAATTATGGCGATTTACCAAAAGAAGGTATTCACAGATTGGTGAGAAGTAAAATTCAAGAGCATTCACGATTGAAAAATGAGATCAACCGGCAAGCGAAAATTGAGTTGGATAAACCAAATATGAAGAAATTATTGAATGATTCGGTGAGAGAGAAAGTTTCCGAAGAAGTTGACAAATTCCTATAATTGAAGGTTATATTTTTTGTACAAAGAATTTTGTGATTATTGTTAAATACGGGTATTTGAATAAACTCTTATATGAAGAGATGCTTGTTTTCGGCAATATTTCAGAGAAAGTTGCATTTTTCTCACCACAATTTCCACCAGCTCCGAATTTTCAATCTAATATTTGCTCATGTGTTATCTCTCGCTGTCTCGCTACAAAACTATATTTATTGATTCATCATTTTTTTATCGAAATGAATGAGCCTTCAACTTTACTCGATTCGTACGATTTGAAATGTTTGATTTGCTCGAAATCCGCGCAAGGTTTTCGTTTTGGAATTCAGTCGTGTAGAGCGTGTGCTGCATTCTTCAGGTTAATTGATTTTTTGAACACTCGTGGTGTTGTAATATATGTTAAAATATATTTTTTCAGACGAACAACAGTTTTGAATCGAAAATATAAATGCGTGAAGAGAAAGGGAAATTGTGATTTGAATTCGGAAGAAAAATTGAGCTGCAGATATTGTAGATTGAAGAAATGCGTGGATCTTGGAATGACTACTGAAAGTTTGTGATTTTTCTTTCTTCCTTAAACAGCCGTGTATGTCAATTTTTGTCCAAAATTTTTTTCCCAAACTTCAGATAATTTTTCAATAGAAATTTGTGGAAAAAAGATTCAAAAAACTTGAGAATTAAAAATTTCGGCTCTATCGCAATATATGGGTCCCATGGAAATATATGGGTCCGTAAAAAATATAGGGGTCCGAAAAAACATATAAGGGTCCCTCAGAAATATAAGGGTCCGTAAATTTTTTTATGGGTCCCAAAAAAATAAAAGGGTCCGTGATTTTTTTCATAGGTCTGATTTTTTTGATTTTTGGAGCAAAATATGTGTGGTTTTTTAAATTTTCAAGTGTTTTGTTGTATTTTTCTTGATTTTTTGACGATTCTTTGTATTTTCGGGGGGTTTACTAAGCCTAAGCCTAATTATGAAGCTGAAAAGCCAAAAATAGAGTTACCAGAGGATTCAAAATTTCTCTATTATTTTAGGCTTAGGCTTAGTAAACCCCTAGAAAAATACTGACTGGCTAAAAAAAATGTGAAAAAATTACAAAAAATCACCAAAAATAAATAATTGAAATTAGAAAAAATACTTTTTTTATGGACCCTCAAAAAAAATAACGGACCCTTATATTTTTTTGGGACCCATAAAAAAATTCACGGACCCTTATATTTCTGAGGGACCCTTAAATGTTTTTACGGACCCATATATTTCCATGGGACCCATATATTGCGATAGAGCCAATTGTTCAAATATTCAGATGTTCGACTCGAAGAAACCGCTGAAATTGTCATTTCCACCTCACAATCAGAAACAACAAAACGACGAATTCGAGATCCTCCAACAATTGTCGATGTTTCACAAATCATCAAGAAGAGTCGAAATATTCTGGAAATGTATTATCTTCCTGATGACGATCTCTATAAACATCTGAATCCTCTTCAAAAATTGGCAGAAGTTCTCAAAAAACAACGAGCTCCCCAGAAAACCGATGTGATATTCATTGAAAGTGTCAACTTTTTAGAGATCTTTGAATGTTGGGAGTTTCAAATGAGTCAAACTGCCGAGTGGTTAATGAATGCGCAAGAATTCAGGGAACTTCCCAATCACGAGAAACTCGCATTTTTCAAACTTGTTTGGGCAGTTTGGCGAAGATTTGAAAGATATTCAATGTCAGCAGAGGTTTTTGGGCAAAGATCTTATGATGAAAAAATATTATTGAGATCTTATGATAAAGCTGCAAGATTGGGAAAGTGTAGCGTGGATTATTCAGCGATTACAAGTTTTTCATCACCTCGAATAGCTCAACTTTTTGGAGGAAAAATGCTTGAATATTTCGATGTTATTGTTAAACCATTTATTGATTTGAAGTTCAATTCAATTGAAACATCTTATATGTTAGCACAGATTTGCTGGAATTATGCGGCGAGAAGATTGCAGGGACAAACTATGGCCGCTTCGGAAAAGTTTTTAGCTGGAATTGGAGACAATTTACACACTTTTTATCAAGAGGAGAAAATTGAAAATTATGCGATTAGAATTACGAAAATGATGAAAATTGTGAACTCAATGCTTGTAAGTTTGATGGGATTGGATACTGTAGATTTGGGAAAATTTTAAATTGAGTCTAATTTTCAAGATGTCTAAAATGAGATCACCTTTTCTGAACATTTTTGAAAAAAGTCCGATTTTTTGAGAAAAATTCTGAAATTTGCAGTGTTCTGAAAAATATAGTGAAAAATTTCAGACAATCCAATTAAAACAAGAGAGCACAATGGATGTTGCAATGGTTTTCGATTTTTTCAATGTTCTAGTAACTGATCCAGATTTTTTTCGAGTTTAATCAATTAATTCCACGAATTGTTGAATATTTTGAAATAATTATCCGCTGTTGGTTTTTTGATAATTATTTGCCCATCAAATGTTTTCACATCATCACTGTTTTTTCTGAATATATATTTTTTGCGAAGATTTTCATGCATCAGAATCAGGAGAAATGGCAGGATTATTATGTAAAAACCAAGAATCTGAAATTACAAAAATGGCTCAAAAAATTAAAGTTAAGCCCACATTTTTGTAAATAAAGAGATAAATGTAATCAGGTTCTCCGTCGGAAAATGTTCTAATAAATATCCAAATAAGAATAGCTGCAAATAATCGAGTCAGAATTGCGATAATTGAGCACGGAATCAAAGCCATACACCATTTATAGGTTTCCAACATTTGATATCTTGATTCTAGTGTAATTTTTCCAATCATTTTTTGATAGTTTGAACGGGATTTTATGTAGGATTTGAAGAGCAGCTGGAAACATACAGATTAAGGGTGTTTCATTTTCAAGTATACTGTAGATGGAAAACTGTGCATTTGCGTGTCGCGCTGTTTATGTGTGCACTCAAAAACTCACTAATACCCCAACAATATCAATAATCATTATAATGAATGTGGATTCTCGCGGCATTTCCCAAAAATGTATCATATATGGAATAATAGTGGAACTCGCAATCATTACAAACATAATTGTGTAGAAAAATAAATAATGCTGGATTTTTGGTTGGGAAAAAGAACTGAGAAGATACGCTTTGAGAGACATGAGAAATAAGGAAATTGTTTGGAGAGATAATCCGAAATCATGAATGAAAAAATAGTGGAATAAATCGCCTGAAATTAAAGGGATATAAAAGTTGGAAGAGAGACGGTTTTATGTATTTGGCACTTTCAGAACACAGCCTAAACGACTGTAATGTTTTACAGATGTACTGTTGTTGAGTATGGTACAATGATTGGAAAATGCAGTTTCAAAATTGTGCTGTTTTCTTATTCCCCCTCCCCTTCCTGTAAAATTCAAACTTAATTTCTTTAAAATCTATTCTGCTATACGTTTGATTGGTGAATAACAATTCAAAAGCTGTAAACCCTCTAGACATAGTCATCAAATAATTGGAAAACGAAAAAAGAAATAAACAAGTTCGGCCGCAACTTCGAATTGAAGATGAATTTTGAATAACCAGGAAAAATAAGGTATTCGAAAATATTGCAAAAATACATGTTGTAATATCAAAAATATTGATAGATAAATTCAGAATCATGTTTTTGTAGGAATACTAAAAATAATATTTTTCAGACTGACATGAATAGAGATTTTGGATGAATAGGGACAAAATAGGGTATTGTTAGGTATTTTTGGTATATTTTTGAATGGAAAAAGTGCATTTCTAGATTGTAAATTGTGAACTTCTAAATTTACACGTTTGAATTCTGAAACTTTGAAATTTGATTTTCCAACTTTGCCACCCCATTACTCATATTAGGTGTTGTGATTTTCAAGTTCTGACAACAGCTGAGTTCTTTATTGAATATTATCAACTGACAAATTTTCACTAGTCCATCTCGTAGAGTCTTGGAACCATCATTTGAAAGATGTGGACAATCTCCATTGCTAAAAAAATGGTTTTTTTTTCATACTACATACAATCAGTATGGGAATACGAAAAATGATAAAAAATGATTATCATTTTATCAGTTTTTCCCAGATCATAATGTTTATCATTGTAGAATTAGGCCACAACTAGACAGTTCAAGATATTTAAAAACGTGGCCAATTTTTATTATAATTTGTTCAGTTTCATTTTTTCAATGATTTTTTACATCTGAATTATCGCTGGGCTTCAAACTTTTTGAAACGTTTTTTTCTGGTAGATCAAAAAATATTTCTCTAAAAATGATCTTTTTCCGCAAAATATCATTGTGATTGTAAACTTTTCCAAACCATACATTTTTATTGATTTATATTAAAAAAAATTTTTTTTGAAGAATGGAATTCGAAACATTGATCAATCCACCCGAATCAGTATTCGAACAAATTGTTTATTGGACAGCAAAAACTGAAGATTGGGTAGTTCAATTGACAGATTATAAATATTGGTCAACAAGTTTTGATAAGTTCTGGTTGTTTACAGTGGTCGAGAAAGGTAGGTTAACTCAATAATATCTGAAAATGTTGGAGTTCTGGAAGAGAAAACCAAATTACAGTACCTTTTTGTATTAAAAAAGGACGTCCTTGGTTGTTTGGGCCAAATCGGTTCAGATTCAAAAACTCTCTATTATTTAGGAACCACAAATCTGGTTGCTTCGTTGTCTTTGGCACGTTGGGATGTTCCAAACGACACTCCACTCTATTCTATTGGTCTATTTTATTGTCTCGAAAAATACCGTGGACAATCGATTGCCAAACAACTTTTTCAGAAAGCTATGGATATTGTAGGAGATAATAATGCAACTCTTACCGGATGTAATTTTTTTTTTGAAAAAAAAAGATTCTTTAATTGATTTGAAAGAAAAATCCAATTTTTGCAGCTGTGAGTATGGCTGACAAATATGCATCGGTTTTTGGATTCGATAAAGGTCCGCATTTTTGGCACAATTTAAGTTCTCTCAAGATTGAACAATTGGTATTGCCGGAAATCAATAATGATCAATTTGTTACAAAGGTAACGTTTTCTTCAAAAACAAAAAACAAAATGAATCTAAAAATCAAGTTTTTCCAGGACTGGTCTGAGGTTGATCCAGAACTTCTTAATACGTATGACTTGACAATTTGCTCCAGAAATCGAAGAAAAATCCAAACAGATCGGTTTAATTTCGAAAATTCGTTAACAAAAGTGGTTTTCGATCTCAAAACAAATCAAATTGTTGGTTATGCAACAATCCAAAAACTTGTCTCAAAAAATGCATTATTAGCAGCCCCATTTTATGCTGATAATCTAGAGGCTGCAAAAGTTCTTCTTTCCGATCTTCTTCATCAATTTCCACTTCTTTTATCTCATAAATCGATTTCATTCATGAATCCAGCTGTGAATCAAGACACAATTCGGTGAGTCATAGAAAGTTTTCTAAACCCCGTTAATTTTATTTTTTAAGGTTGCTTCAAACATTCGCTAAAACTCCAGAAGACGTTCAATCTGTTCGTTCTTTCAAAAGTCAATTCACCAAAAAATTCATTCAATCACCAGATGAAAAAGTGTACTCAGTCACTGATAGTGCACATCAATTTGTATAGTTGTGTCCTCAATTTTATTTGTTAGAGTATTTTTTTGCAAGTACGGTATTTAGCGGGAGTTTTTTCTAGCGGATTTTTTTTCACAATAAATTTTTTAAAAATGAACAAAATCCGAAATTTCATAATTAATAAAAATAAGTTTCACACGGCCAATTAGTATATAGTAGATAAGTTTCACACGGCCGAAAAAATCAAACATTTTTCTTCATTGCGGAATATCCAGATTTTAATTTGATACTAGAAGGGCTTCGCTGGCTAACGCCATCTACAGTAGTTTGACTTACTTTTGATTTATTTTCCGGTTAGGTAAAGATAAACATTGAGAAATGCCCAAAAATTGTTCTCTTTTTTCAGAAAACAGAAAGATCAGATAAGAAACGTGTCCTTTAATTTTTTTGGAATAAAAACGTGATCATTCTTTTTTACATGAAAAAAGTTTTGATTTTTCACGTGAAAACTCGCGCACTTTTTGAAAAATCGAATATTAGCGCCTCGATGGGAAAGAATTTAGGATAGAATAGTGAAGGTCCCATCAAAAATGGTCTTCTGGAAATTGAGAAAAGTCGAGCGACACATTTTAAAATCGAAAAATACATTGGAGTTTTAAAACTTTTCACTCTCCGCGCACTCACATACATTTTGAGAAAGAATGAATAGGAAGCGCACCGAGCTGCCAACATTTAGAAACTTTTTCTTTTTTTTATCATCAATTCTTATGCGCACAGTTTTGAGAACGGGACCCGGACATACTATTGCCAAAAAAATTTTCCCAATTAGTATATAGTAGATAAGTTTCACACGGCCGAAAAAATCAAACATTTTTCTTCATTGCGGAATATCCAGATTTTAATTTGATCTACCTAAAAATCAGTGCGCGAACAAATCATTTTGTTGTTTTTTCTTTTCATTTTCACTTTTTTTCGAGATGGTCTTGATCAACAAAAATGGCGTGGCTTGTATTTAATTGAACATAAACGTGATTTTCTTTTTTTTTTTAATTTTATGCTCAAAGCTTGCTCCTTGAATCTAATGCAGCCTCTGCACATTATACTATAATTTTTCGGAACTCAGGAGAAAAGTAACGAACAAATTCATCTCAAAAAATTTATTTGGAAGACTGAAGATGTTTCCCTCAACGCCTAGATAGAAAATCGCGCTCACATTTTTCGAAATCATTTTATTCAGAAGTTCTTTCATTTTCTCTTTACTTTCTTAAAAATCTCTTCAATTAGTGTAATGGATTTGGTAAATAATTCATGACCTGTCGGACCACAAAAACAACACAAACTTTCATCTCATCTTTTATCTTTCTTTCATTTTTCTTCTGATTTTTCCATCATTCTGTCATGTATCTATCTATGTATTTTGTTGCTATTTTTTAAACCTCAATCATCATCTCTTCATGTTGCCGAATATCAAATTACCTACGTTTTCTTCGAGGTTCTCTTCATCTTTTTTCCTATTTTTCACACCAGAATGTACTTTTTTCCGGATTTTTTTGCGAGCAAAAAAGCAAGATGAAATGAAATGAAATGACGTGTGATTTTCAGAAAAATTCATTTTGTCAAGTGCTGGGTGCTTGAACAAAGAAAAAAATGCTCTGAAAAATGGCGAATTTTCTCCGGATAATTTGTTTGTTGTTTTTTGCCATCATAATTAAGCGTCGTATTTTTTTCCTCATCTTCTTTCATTTTTGCTTTTTTTCTTCATCTTCTTCCAATTTCTCCGTGTGTTCCGCCTGACTTTCTTTTTCCTTCTTCACCCAGTATTATTTTTATATTTGTCTTGTCTTTTTTCAGCCAGCAATAAGTAGAAGCTTAGCTTCACCTTTTCTAGCCAGCCCTTTTTTCTTTCCTTTTTTTGGTTTTTTCTGTCGCCAGGCCAAGATCATCCATTTTTTATTCAATGAATTTATTACTCAAAGCGGAGGGAGGCGGAAAGAAAAAATGAAAAAAAAAAGAAAGGAGTGAATTATTAGTGTTCCATTGAATTTTGTTCTGTTGATAAAAAACCATTTTTATATACCCAGTTTTTGTTTTCAATCTGAAGTTATAGAAATTTTTAGCCAGAATAGCGAGCTATCATTTTTTTCTGAATTTGGAGAAATTTTCATTTTTCTTTAAAGTTTCAAAAAATTTGATCTGCAAAAAATGAGATTCCGATAGATTTTAAATTTGTATTTAAAAAAAAACTTCTAAGTTTCTTCAGAATTGTTTTCAAGATTTAATTTATTTATAGAATTTTTGAAAACGAACAAATTTGGAATTGAAATCTAAAATTAGAAAGTAGTAGAAATTGATTAAAATTTAATTTGAAGTTTTTTTTTGAGAAATTTCAGACAATTCTGAATTTTGTATTGGATATCGAAATTTTCCTAAAAAGTAGAAACTTTGATTTTCCAAAAATATTTGAAATCCAAAAAAATTGCAGTCAAAATTTGTTTTAATTTTTTGGATTTAACTTAATTATATATCTAATTTATTCCAAATCACTCAAGAATATGCGGAAAAAGTTTGGAACTCCATCGGTAAAAAAAATTCTGAAGTTTTTTTTTCAATTTTTTCCATAACTCTTGAAATGAATAAAAATCTCAAAACCTCTTTTCATAGTTGTTCTTGTGCTCTCTCAAAACATTTTAGCTGTGTGTGTGTGTGAATGAATATAGAATTAATTACTAGTGAAAACACACACATACAGAAAGAAAAAGACACTCATCCTCCACACATATATATCCTATATCTATCTATCTCTACTCTTCAGCTCAGCTCAGCTTTTCATTTCATTCCATTCCATTTCTTCTTCTTCTTCTTCTTGAGCTTCATCTGTCTTCTTTTTCTCTAATCTCTCATTAATTCTACCACTATTTTCAGCCTTCTTCTTTTCTGTCTTTTTCAGCATTCATTCATTCTTCCCGAGGTTTTTTTTGATAGATATTGATATTATTTTAACGTTTTTTTTCGCTTCGGCTTTTTGTTTGAGCTGTCAGTGACATGCAAAAAACAATGATCGATTTGGAGAAGGGATGAGTTTCATTTTTTAATTTTTTTTTTGGAAAAAAGTTTCGAATTTCATGTAACCTTGGGGTATTTTTGCAGAAAAAGTTCAACTTTCCGAAAAAAAACTAGATTTTCATTTCCACGTATTTCACAATTTTCGAATAATTTGCCCTTTTTTATTGAGAAAATTTCAAGCAGAATTCGAAAAAATATTTGTTTCAAGCCAGATTTTAGAAATTTGGAAAATCCGAAATCAAAAAATTTTCAACTTCCTAATTTTTTCAACAAAAAAAATTAACACTACATTTTAGGATTGTGTTTAGACCTCGAACTTTTCTGTAATTTTTTTTTTTTAATTTCAAAAATTATCAGAATTCATATTTTCAAATTCTTTCCCACACAATTTTTTCCCAGTTAAATCTGAACTTCTAATCTCCATATTTTTTTCTCTCATATTTTTTCAATCTACCGTATTCCTCTCAATTCCACTTGACTCTTCTTCTTGAAAAAGTGCGAATTGCGTTTCAAAATCAGATTTCCGTTCCTTTTCTCCCCGTTTTTTTTCCAGATACTTATCCTTTTTTGAGCAAAAATCTTTCGAAAATCTCATTTCTTATCGTATCGTAATCCTCCTCAATTTCATTGCCCTCCCTACTTATTTTCGGTTTCCATAGTGATTTTTCGAACAAAAATATTATTTTTTGATACAATTTTATTTTATTTTATTTCATTTTATTTTGCAGATATCTATCTTCCTATTTTTTGTCGCGGCGGCGGTGTTGAATTTGAGAAATTTCACACGGATATCAAATTGGGAGCAAGAAATGACTAGCTTCTGAAAAACTTTTCGCCCCGAAAATGTGAGTTTTTTTTTGTTTTTGAAATTTTTTAAATATGAAAATCCATAAGTCAAAAATCTTCTGATGGAAACCTTGAATCTATTTCTATTAAAAACTGTGATCACCTTGGTCCCGATTCCTCAACAGATTTTTCTTTCGAAAAAACATAATTTTTTGGTCAACCTGAATTACCCCGTACTATTTTCAAAAAAACATTTTTTTTTTCAAAAAATTATATATTTTTGTTGTTGTTTTTGTTCATCGGCTCAAATTTCCGGCAAAGCCAAATAATGTGTAAATAATATAAAATATCTCTAATTAGCTCAAAAATATCAATTAATTAATTAATTAATCAATATTTAAGATGTCTGAAAAAGCACAAAAAATTGAGTGAAAGAAAAACGAGAAACGGATCGAGTTTCAATATATATTACAAGAAAATAGTGTGGATTTCAAAGAGACGCAGAATACTTTTGCCTTTTCTCACCCCGTGCCCTGAATTTGAAGAAATAGGAAAAAAGTCGACGACTTTTTCTGTCTGATGTTAAAAATTTTTTTTGATAATAATTTTGAAAAACATCTGGAACGGAAATTAGTTTTTATTGAGATTTAGAGATCATGTGAAATTTTTTCATATTAAATTTTGAAATTTTAAGTTTGAGTTTCGAACCACTTTCGATTTTTTTTTGGAAATTTTAATCTGGTACAGTTTTCTTTTGGTAATTCAAAGTATCCCATTTGAAGAATTTCTCAAAAAAAAATTCAGCTCAAGAAAATTTAGAGCTCAATTTTCAAAAGAAAACTTTGAAAAACGAGAAATTCTGAAAAATGTTCAAAATTTCCAATTTTAATGAAAACTTATTTTGCTGATGAACTTTCAATATTTCTGACAACTCTTGAAAATAAAAATTTTGAGAAAATGTCTTTAGAATCTCAAAATATCATGTTTGATTTCTCAAAGATCATCTGACTCAGATCTGAATATTCGTCATTTTTCCAACAAAAGACGTCAAAAAATGTTCAGCGTGATGAATATTTAATGCAGAAAAATCGAATTAGAATAATTCGGAGCACTTTCATTTTTCCTTTTTTCTTCGTTCTTTTTTCTCAAGGCTCTCAAGTAATGTATGTGCTCCAATTAAATTTTCTCACAAAACTTTTTTGTGTGTCTTCTTCTTCTTCTTCTCAACTCGACAGACTCGTTTAAAAATAGGCAAAAAGGCAAAAAAACGGGGAAAAAAGACGGCTCATTTAACTTTTCCTCTTCCATTTTTTTCATTCGTCATTGTTCTTTTTTCCATTCTTTTTCTCATATTTTCTATTCACATGAGCTGAAAAAACCTTGTTTTTTTCTTTTTCCTAAAAAATTGGAATATTTATGTGTAATTTTCTTGCAGATCAATTAAAATATACTGTACCTGAAGTTTTTTATCTAACTACTTTTTTTCATTCCAGATCAATCATTCATACTGTAGTTGAAAGACATTATTGTTTTTCTTTTCGAGAAGGATTTTTGGGAGTGAGATCCAATGGCTTCAGTTGCCGCATGGTTGCCATTTGCCAGAGCGGCTGCTATTGGATGGGTGCCAATTTCGAGGCAGCCGATGCCACAGGCTCCCGTTGCTATACAGGTGAGAGATAAAAGTGGTAAAATATTTAATATCCAAAACTATCGAGTATTTTGTTTTAGAATTATAGTTTTGAAACAAAATCTGAAACAATTTCCATCCCCAATTTTCCTTTCAATAATCTAGTTCCAATTCAAAAAAATGTTCCTTCAGAATTGGAAATGCGCTAAAAATACGTTCTAGAAAACATTGAAATAATTATTTCTCCGCGGTAATTTGAATGTTCTCCTGAAAGTATTTCAAAAAATCTCGGAATTCCAAAACATTTCTTTAAAAACATATCAAAAATCAAAATGATTCTCGTCAGTTCCAAGAAAAACACGCAATTATCCGATCTATCAAAATCAAGAACTTGACACACTTCCGTTTGCCGGAAAACCAAATCGGAAATCATAAAAACAAGATATGACGTTCCACTTCAATTCTTGATTTTTTTTGAAACGCGAGGGGGAGGTTTATTAATATTGGTATTATGATAGGCTTTCAGAGAGGGTCATTTAGGACGATTCGAACTTATCCAAAATATCTCTCTTTTTTCCAGGCCAAAGATCTTGCCGTCGATCATGTTTCCGATGAAAAACTTGCCATAAATATATCAGGGCGACGATTTGAAACATGGAAAAATACACTAGAAAAGTTTCCCGAAACACTTCTTGGCTCCAATGAAAAAGAGTTTTTCTATGATGAGGATACGGGCGAATATTTCTTCGATCGAGATCCCGATATTTTTCGACATATTTTGACTTTTTATCGGACTGGTAAACTTCATGTAAGTTTTATTGTAAATTTGACATCTGATTTTCTGAAAAATAATCTAACCTAAAAATTTTGTAGTATCCACGTCATGAATGTTTGGTGGCATACGACGAAGAACTCTCATTTTTTGGCATAATGCCAGATCTCATTTCCGATTGTTGCTACGAAGATTACAAGGATAAAAAACGAGAAAATCAAGAGCGACTACTAGAAGAACGTGTTGAAACAGCAGAAACAAACACAGTCGAACTATCTCTGCAACAAAAAATGTGGGCCGCATTCGAAAATCCGCATACCTCCTCAATTGCCTTAGTTTTTTATTATGTGACAGGATTTTTCATCGCTGTTTCAGTTATTTGTAATATAATTGAAACAATTCCATGTGGCAATAATCTAACATGCGGTGAAAGTTATGAAGATCAATTTTTCGTTGTGGATACGGCTTGTGTTATTATTTTTACATTAGAATATTTTCTACGATTATTTGCGGCTCCAGATCGATGCAAATTTATGAGATCAATTATGAGTGTGATTGATGTGATTGCAATTATGCCATATTATATTTCGCTAGCATTGCCGGAGAAAAATGATGTTTCTGGATTGTTTGTCACTTTGAGAGTTTTTGTAAGTTAGAACTATATATTCAAAAACGTATTGAATTTGAATTTTTAAAAATTTTGTGAAACTTTCTATGACGTGGAAAGCTTTTCAACTTTTTTTTGAAATTTTTTTATTCAAAAAAATGTTTCGGAATCTTGAAAAATTGCTCAACCACCAAATTTTGCCACGACTGAGATTTTGAAAATGTTCAATTTGAATTTTACAGCGGGTATTTCGAATATTCAAATTCTCGCGTCACTCGCAAGGTCTACGAATTCTCGGCTACACTCTCAAATCATGTGCATCGGAATTGGGTTTTCTCGTTTTCTCGCTGGCAATGGCAATCATCATTTTTGCCACAATTATGTATTATGCTGAAAAGAAGACAGAAAAAACAAAATTCACTTCAATTCCCTCAGCATTTTGGTATACAATTGTGACATTGACAACTTTAGGATACGGAGATATGGTTCCAAATACAATAATGGGTAAAATTGTTGGAGGAATTTGTTCGTTGTCTGGAGTGTTGGTGATTGCTTTACCAGTTCCAGTTATTGTTAGCAATTTTTCACGAATTTATCATCAAAATCAGCGAGCAGATAAAAGAAGAGCACAAAAGAAAGCAAGACTTGCCAGAATTCGAATAGTTAAAAACGCATCAGGTCAAGCACTTTTCAATAAGAAAAAAGCGCATGAGGCTAGAATGCAAGCTTTCGAACAAGGACAGTTGAGTTTTGATGCGTTGAGGGATGAAGATATTTTTGAAATTCAACATCATCATTTATTACAATGTTTGGAGAAGGCCACGGTGAGTTTTTGGGGTGAATTCTTAATTCCAAAAATGTTGGGGGTTTTGAACAGTTTCCGTTCAACTGAAAAACATCTTGAAGGATTCAAATTTTGAAAAAAAAAATCAAAATTATTTGGTTGAATCTACAGTAGTCCACGTGGCAATAATGAAGTATTTAGTACTAACAAATATTTTTCTGAAGACTTCTTTTAAAACACCATTCAGAATTCATTTGTTCAAAAATATTTCGATTTTTTAGGAACGAGAATTTGTGGAATCAGATGTTGTATTCGAAGGTGGTCGAAATACACCACCACCAAGTGAAACTTGTTCGCTGCGCGGAAAAGCAAAACGCAAACGAAAACTTTGTTGCGTTTCAAAAACAAATGAGGAAGAAACCGAAGAATTGGATAGAGGAAATCGAGTAACTTTTAATAAAAATCTGAATCAGGTGAGATTTTTTGATGAGAAACATCAATTTTTCATCGATTTGAATCAAAATCAAAAACTCATTTTCAGATCCACGAACCACCTAAAGAAAACGATCATCGAAACGAGAATGACAAAATTGTGGTGTCCCAATTATAGGAATATTCAAACAAAAAACTTATTTTTTCAATCAACGGGTTTTTTTGCAAAGTTTTCAACGATTTTTCCTTGAAATATTTTCATTGGAGATGATGGAGATGATCTAAATATATGTATCAATTTTATTCAATTATTTTATATTAATTAGATGTATTTTTTTAATTGCACAAACAATAAATTATGATTTTCAAAATGTTTTTTTTTGAATTTCCGCAAAAACGTGTAGTCAGCGGAGCCTCGTTGTTTTACTTTTATTTTTTCAAAAAAAAACTTTGGGTTCTTATTTTTATCCAAGAGAAAATCCATTTTCAGAAAAAAATGTCGCAAAAACTTCGAAGGTTTGTATTTTGGATTGGTTATGATGGATCAAAATTTCCTGAAATGGCCAGAGGTGCAACAGGTTTCGGAGTGATGGATTTCCTATCCCAGGTATTTTTTTGCTAAAAATCTTGTCAAAATGTAAACATGGAGTATTTAGGTTGTTTCAGAATCTGTATTTGGTTCGAATAGAATGAGCAATCATACTCTTAAATTCTCTCCAAGTTCTAGAACCGATGCAAAAGTGCATGCTGTTCGAAATGCGGTGATTTGCCAAGTTCCACTTGAATTTGCAAATTTTGATGAGACTGCAGTCATAAAAAATGAATATATGAAAAGGTGGGAGAATATTGTGGAAACTGTAAATCCTGGTTCTCTGAAAATTCGAGATGTGCATCGAGTTTCTGCTGGTTTTTGTGTTCGCAGAAATGTTGGTTATCGAATTTATACCTATCGATTGGCGGTGGCAAAAAACTGGGAAACCTGGGAAAGTATTCGAGAAGAACCGAGCCTTGCTTGTTTTTCAGAGCAACATTATGCATGGAGGATTCCTCCGGGGTTCAGCCCAGAAAAGTTGGAGAAAGTCGGAAAACTATTTGAGGGTGAACAAATTATGGGCTCATTTTTCAAGCATACTGAAAGAGAGAAACGAAAGGAGCCGATTCAACCGAACGCTTTGAAGTATATTTTCCATGTTGGAATTTATCCGGGTGAAGCTTATTCTCTAGAAAATGATGTTTATGATTATTATAATGTTAAAATCGTAGCGAAATCATTTGTAAGAGAGCAGGTATTTTAAAATTAATTTTTTTTAAACATATAAAAGGTAATTGTTGCAGATTCGAAGAATGATGTCATGCTTGGTGAATTGCGCCTATGATCGAATGCCTGTTGAAAAAGTCAAATGGCTTTTGAAAAATCCTAAATCTGCAAACTTTTTCGATTCTGGGATACCTGTCGCTCCTCCAAATGGTCTATTTTTAACTGATGTTGTTTATGACCCTGAAATGTTTGTTAATCCTATCCCATATCATTTTCATTCATGGGATTATTGTTAAGCTGATATTTTTTATTTTTTTTGTTGATAATAAATTTGTTTTATTTTACGCGTTCAAATGTTCTCTTTCCAGAAGAAACAAAAAGTTTCGAGAGAAATGAAAAATTGTCCGAGAGAAATCCGCAACAGCTGTCCAACAATTGGTCTCGCAACGAACAAAAGGAGTGACGCCGCGCAATACCGTAGTCCTGCAGTTTAAAAAATATTTTTTTTGTTGAACTTTTTTTTGAAGTTTTCCGACTTTTTTCAACGTTTCTGAAAGTTTTGGGTGGTTTTTCTGGGTTTTGCAATATAGGTGGTCTTTTTCTCCACATTTTGACATCAAATTCATATTGTTTTATGTCGAAAATCCTCTTTGTTTTGAACTTTTAGGCCTTTTTTATTTTTTGTATTTTTATAATTCTCGCAATAATTTTATTCATTTTTTCAGGGTACTTTCTAGATAGTCTTAACGGCTACTTTTTTATTTCTCAGGCTTTTTTAATCAGCTTTTTTGTAACTTTATCCTGTTCTTTTTTTGGTTCAGTAAAAGTAAAGGTAAGGTTTTACATGAAAGTTTAATCAAAAAACGAATTATTTTTACAGATTTGTAGTAATGGAAGCTCAAGATAACAAGATTAACGGTAACGCCTCTGAGACTATTAAAGAAAATGGACACTCAACTAAGGGAAATGAAGACAAGTGAGTTTTTGAATAGTGCTTTTCTTCTCCACCTATCTTTCGTTGTAGTATAGTAAAGTTAAAGGTTCTTTTCATTATTAGCCGGAATTTACAGTGAATATACTCATAATATTTATGAGAATTACGACATTCTTTCCATTTATATCGTTGGGGAAATTATACAATTTATTCTCTCCCGGATAGCAACTGTTTCCATAAGCGACTATAGTTATTCCCTATTTCTTGCGCTTCAATAAAGATGTAGGTTCCGAAATTAAAAAGTGAAAATTGTGTAGATATTTAGATATTCAACAAAAGGTTTGAGAAGGCAATGTTCATTTTAATTTAGTTCTTCCAGGAAGATATTTGTTGGAGGAATTGCACCGGATGTCACAAACGAAGATTTAAGCTCCCACTTCTCTCAATATGGAGAGGTGTCGCAAGCTCAAGTCAAATACGATCGATCGAACGGAAGATCAAGAGGGTTTGCTTTTGTTGAATTCAACACTGGTGAAAGTTGCAAGTTGGCTCTCGCCGCCCGTGAGCAAGCCATCAAGGGAAAATCGGTAAGTTAACATAGTTTTTTTCTTGATCAAAAAATTAATAAATGAACATTATAGGTTGAAGTGAAACCAGCCAAATCGCGGGAAAACAAGAAGGTTTTCGTTGGTGGTCTTCCATCAGACTACAACGAGCAAGAACTCCGCACCCATTTCGAACAATTCGGAAAGGTTGACGACATCGAATGGCCATTCGATAAACAGACAAAGACCCGGCGAAACTTTGCTTTCATCGTCTTTGAAGAAGAAGAATCCGCCGACAAGGCCTCTTCTCAGACAAAACAAACCTTCGGTGTTCGCGAATGCGACGTCAAGAAAGCCGTGCCACAAGGAAAACGGTTCAACGGACCAAACGGCCGTGTCGCCGGCGGACGAATGTTTGGCGGAAGAGGAAACCAGAACGCCGGTTGGTATGCTGGATGGGGACAAATTGGAGCCATTCCATACGGTGGAGCTACTGCTTGGGGAGATTGGTATGGAGCCGCCAACAATTATTATGGAGGTCAACAACATCACAACAATCACCAAAATGGAACATCTCAAGGAAACAATTACAGCAATGGTGGTTATAACCAAAGTGAGTTTTTGTTTTTAGTTTTTAAAACCAATTTGAAAAGCGCTAGAAAAGCTCGTTTCGTTTTCTCGAGTTGGGCTATGTTCTTGAAGATCCTGTTTTTTCAAAATTGTTTTCTCACATACGTTCAATGTGAATTATAATTTATTCGCATTTTGTACTCGTGAAAATTACCATAATCTTTGAATATTTTATTTAAAAAAAACACCAATTTTTAGGAGGAAACAACGCATCCAACGGGTATGAATACCAACAACAACAGCAACAGACCCAACAACAACAAGGCGGAAGACCAAATGGAAATGCCAACGGTCAACGCTTCCAACAACAAGCCCAACCACAACAATTCTAGATTTTTTCTGTCGAGTGACATCCCAGAAAAATCCAGTGCTTCCCTCCCTCCATCCCAAACCATCTTATTTCTTCCATCAAATTCTCCTTCTAATCTTTCAAAACAACAACAAAAAATTAAATTCAAAAACTTTTGTCCTCCATTATCAACCGTCCCACCCTAAATTTCATCTCACATCCAATGTGTAGCAGTTCAAAACTCTTATTCTAACATTTGGCAACTCGACGTTTATTTCTTCTATTTTCTATCATTTTTCTTTATTTTTTCATCTAATTTTTCACCCCCAACACAATGTTCCCAGCAAGATCAGCGATAATAATACTATAATAATCCTTCTTTCGTAGTTAGTTTTCCCCCAAAATAGAAGTGTTATTGCCTGCTCCACCCTCAAGTTTGTTGTTATCCATTTTTTGTTTGTTATTTGGGTCTCAAAATATCTCATCGCATATTTTACTCGTAGCGAGTACAAAAGTGTGTGATCCTTTCTCCCACCTAGTGCTAGTTTCATCAAATCCAACCCGCCTTTGATTCCTCCCTCCCAACAAAAATTTCTTGCTCATTTTGCTTTCGCTTAGTTTGTTGTTGTGGTGCATTTTGTCAGGATCGAAACATCCCAAAAAATGCATCAATGAAAAATTCGATGAATCATTTTTGATCTATTCTAAAAATGTAAAATATGAAAAAAGAAGATGATTCATCGGATTTATTGTTATCAAAAGTTCTACTTTGACTTGACTCTTCTTTTGTTGTTTTTTGAAATGTTCAAGTCATTGTAGAACAAAGAATATCTGATGAATAATCAGGTATATATCATCTAATCTCAGAATAATTTGTCGTTTGCCAATTCACGATAACTGCCTCTGTAATTTTTCTGTCATCTGTTTGTATCGTAATCTTTTTTGTTTTTTGTTTGTTGAACAATTCTATCATGTTCCCCATTTCATTCTGTAGATGGTTTATTTTCTTGTAAAAACAGATTGATTATGTCCAAACATGTTGAAAACGTTGAAAATAAACATTCGAGGACAAATATTTTTCTCTCATGTACTATGAATTTTTTGTTATTTTTAATATGATTTTTTGAATCGAAATTTTGTGTGAAAGGTAGGTTACCTAACAAAAACTATCTGCGAAAAATAATTTGAATCGAGAATAATCGAAAGTTCAGGAAAAAAAATGACATCGGCCCTTGATGCTTATATGAATCGAATAACTACAGTAATCACAGGTGATGGACGAGTTATTATTGGATTATTAAAGGTAAAATGGTTTTCAATTGAAACTTAAGAAAATAGCAATGTGACTTTGGAAGTACAGTTGAATATTTCCAAAAATAAAAGATCCGTTTTTTACAAAGGATGTCTGAAATGCCCCGCCAAGACTAACCTCGAGTTATTGGTTGGCAAATTTTTCGTAATAAAATATTTACAAATGTTCCGGAATTCCAAAAATTAAGGTCACGTTAAAAAATACATTTTTGGATCAAAATATTTTATGTTCTTTTGTATCAAAAATTGGAAAAAAATACCCAAGACTGGTGTTCTCAAATAATTTGCAGAAATTTTTTTGTCTCAAGAAAATTCGATTTTCAAACATTTTGTCTGATTGTGAAAAATAGAAACTTTTTTCTTGTGAATTTGTTTTCATTACAAAAATCAATGAAGATTATTTAACCTGAAATTTAGATTTTTTGACGATTTCCAGATTGTAAATTCATATTTTCCAGTTGCTTCTAGCTGAAAATCTAAAATTACAAATTTTTTGATTACGAATTGACTTTTATTAGAGATTTCTTGTTTCGATTTCTAGAGTAGAAAATATCCATTTTTCACCAATAATTGCAATTCTCAAAACTTCCATGAAAATTCAATTTTTCCCAGGGTTTCGATCAACTCATTAATTTGGTTTTGGAAGACGCTCACGAGCGAATTTATTCCGAAACTGCCGGTGTCGAAACAGTTCCACTTGGTTTATACATTATTCGAGGAGAAAATGTGTGAGTTTTTCTATTAGCAGAGAAAGTGCGCTCCATCGCACTTCCTTCCAAAATGCTTTGAATATCGATTGACCTTTCCCTTTCCATTTCCCAATTTTGTTTATTGTTTGTTTGTTTTTTTCTAGCGCGGTTGTTGGTGAAATCGACGAAGAAATCGATAAACGCGTGGATTTGGAGAATGTTAAAGCAGCTCCACTTGCACCAATTTGGATCCCACAATAATCCTAAAATTGGGTTATTTCTTTTTTTCCAAACTTTTAATTTTTATCACCAATTTCAAATGTTTGATGTAATTTTGTACTTGTTACCCTTTTTCTATGAAGATCTCTTTATGATAAATATTTATTTATTTTTCAATTTTCTTCTGGTTTTCAATATTTTTGTGTTATTCTCACAAATCTTATTTTTTCTCTCTCAAATATTTGGAATTTTCTTAATAATTCCTTATTTTTGCAGGTTTTGTTCCTTGAATTTTGGATTTTTGATTGAGAAAAATAGCAGGATGAGAGAAGAGAGGGTGAGGATTTTGGAGGGAATTTGATGGGAAAAATAGAATTAGAACAGCTATGGATTTTTCAAACATCAGGTCAATATTTTTATCATTTTTCTAGCCATCCAGCCGTTCTCATCACAGAAGCAGTAATGGACATCGATCCGAAGGACGTGGAGATCGCGGAGATTCTAATCGAAAATCAACACAAATTTCAACATCATCAAGGCGACCAGTTTCACCATTGCGAAGTGGAGGATCAACAAGATCGAGAGGAGATGAAAACAGAGTGCCGGTTGGTAAAAATTTGAATGATTGATATAAACAAACACGGTCTTCTTCTTCCGCTTCCGATTATATGTAGTATGAACTCTCAGAACATTTCGGGATACTCTTAAAAATCAAAAAAATACTCTGAAATTCCAATTCAATCAACCACAGTCACAAAATTGTACAGAGAAAACGAAGCGAATCAACAACAACTTCACATCGACCTAAACAACAACAAGAGGAAGATCAGAATATTGTTTTGGAATGTGTGGATGATACGGAAAAGCCGCGACAGAAAATCGAGGAAGCTGTCAAGGATCAACGGGCTTCGAAGAGTCAAGTGGTTGGAAGATCGGATAATCGAGACAAAGATCGAGATCGGGAACGAGAGAGAGGCAGAAGAGACAGAGAAAAAGAGGTAAATATCAGATCTGTGAAGGAAGTCATTAAATTATCTGTTGATCCGAAATTTTCCAAGTTTCCGCTAATTTTTCGAATGTTAGCCAAATTGATCAGCATCAAAAGTGTTCCATTATATCGACTAAAAAATGTTGCCATTTTAGAAGCCAACCACAATCAACGTGGGTTTTTTGTGATAAGAAAGAGCATAATTTGATTTATCTATTTCAAGAGTTCAAATTTTGGGTGTGTTTTATATTTTATGCTCAAGTGTTCACTAGGGATCATATTCAAACTTGTGAAATATGTAAATTTTGAGAATTTTTGAAAATTATGATATTATTTCTCAAAGGCTTCTGTAGAGGACATTACGGGGAATTTCCTGAAATTCGAAATTGTTTTTTTGATACTCTTCCAGAAAAATAAATGAAAACGTAGCAACTCTGAAATCTAAATAATAAAAACGCTTCATTGCATTTTTGAAACGTGAACTATTTTTTTCAATTTCCAAAAAGTCATACTTCTTATTTCCAAACATTTCTACTTATACAAATAAAAGTATTTATTACCACAAAAGCTATAAATTTTTATTTTATTTTACACAATTCATTCATATAATTTTTCTCGTAAGCACTTAAAGTTACTGATAACACATTTTTAGGCGGATTATTTTGTCACCTTTCCGATTATTTTTGTACTTCATTTTCATATATAAAATGTTTCTTTTTCAGCGTCATTCAATGGAAAATCGTCGATCTTCGGATTCTAGAAATCGAGTTTCTTCGTCTTCGCATAGAAGTAGTCGAGATGATCAGAGAGTTCGAGAACGGGTTAGAGATCGAGAAAGTGAAAGAGGAGACAGACGGCGAGAGAAAGAACAAGACGAAGAACCAGAAAGAAAGAAAATTAGAAAAGAAAATGAAGAGGAATTAATGGTTATTGAAGAAGTTGATTGTTGTGAAGGAGATGAAGAAGAAGAAGAAGATGATGATGAACAAATTGTTGAAGAAGTTGATGAGATTAATGATGAAGATGAAGAAGAAGCAAAAATTGAAGAAAAAATGGAGGAAAATACAGTGGAACAGAAAAAAGAGGAAGTTAAGGAGAAGTGAGTTTTACAAAATATATTAATAGATACTAGAAATGATATTTATTGTAATAATATATATGAAAAATAAATGAAATTGAATGTTCGCAATTTTCAGCCTTTCCTCCGATGCTGAAGAATTGGACTATGATGAAGATGAAGATCTTCTTGATATTGATTTCAGTGAAGACACAATTGAACAAATCAAAGAAGCAGCCGCATTACCATTAGAAGAAATTGAGGAAAAAACGGAAAAGAAAGTGGAAAAAGAAAAAGGTTTGGTTTTGGAATTTATGTATGAGTTTCACAGTCTCATGAATTCAGTATCTCGTACGAAATTTACGATTGAATTATTTCAGAAAAGAGAAGCGAGAAAACATCGAAATCTGAAGAGAAGGAAAAGGAATCGAGGGAGCGAGATCGAGACAGAAATAGGAATCGGGAACGAAATCGAGAACGAGAACAGGAAAATCGAAAGGAGACTGGCGAAAAATCATCGAAAAAGGAGGAAATAATAACAGGAGGTAGTAGTTATAATCATTCTTTGGAAATCCCATCACTTCTAACGATGCGAATAGAAATGCCTGAAATAATATTAGTAAAAGGAAGAAATGGATCTTCTTCTTCTTCTCATTGTAGTTGTTCATCGACACCATCAACGTCTTCTTCTTCTTCTTCCTCGATTATCCCATCATTGATGGATTTGCCGACTAATCCCCCATACTTTTTAGCCTCCTCTTCTACCTCCACAACCCATTCCACTTCCCAATCTACTCGACAAAGGAGTCCAGCGAGACGAGAGGAACGACGAAGGGAATCGACAACAACTGGAACAACAAGGAGAGATAGATCGAGGGAACGGGATAGAATTAGACGACCAGAGAATATTGAAAAAGGTTGGTGGATTTTTGGGGAGAAAACAATAATTTTAAAACCTGAATAGATGAAAATTCAAATCAATAATTTGAAATCTCAGCTTCTTGTGAAAATTTTTCAAGCTGAATGGGTCAAAAATTCCCTGTGAAATCTAGACAATTTTCTCAATGTTATTCTTTCGGCCAAAACCCTAGAAGTTTATATTGGTAAATTTTTGCGATCTTAAAAATGACATTTTTGTCCTCAATCTTATTTCTATTGAAATTAAAAATGAGTCATTCCACTGAAAATTAAAGTTTACCATATTTCCAAAAATAATTCTAAAATGAAAAAAAAACTAGATCACGTTTTAATTTTTTTTTTACAAATTTTCCACATTTCAAAATTTTTCTACTTTTTTCAGATCGACGTGAAATCCGAAAAGCATCTCCTCCAATTCGTCGCCGTTCTCGATCTCGTGAAATCGAAAGGCGACGAATTCCAGAAAGACGATTATCTTCGAATGGAGCTAGTAGGGTTAGTTGTTTTGCCACGTCATAGCTATCTAAAGTTGATTGATTTAGTTTTTTCCCCAACCAAAAATTCAAATCTTCTAAATACCTGAAAATTCAATCAAAAAACTGTAATTTCAGCCAATTCCACGTCGTCGAGTTTCTCCAAATCGACCACGTCCTGGAACAAAAACTGTTCATTCATATCGTAATGGAATAAGTAATTAGTTAAGTAATTAATTACTTAATTAATTTTGCAATGTTCTTTTTTTATAATTTTTGTTATAATATTTTTACGGTTCAATAATAAAAAAATGTACTTTTTCCTATGGAAAAATCCTTCCTTCCTTTGTCTGTTTTTTTCGGAAGGAAAATGAAGAAGAGTCAAAATTCTCTTTGATATTTAATCTTTTTGACAAATAAGTTTTGGTCAGTTTGTTTTTGACAATCAGAAAATATTGATTTTTTTGATTCATGGGGTGAATGAGATGGAACAATTTTTAATTAAAAATTTTTTTTTTGAAAGTTGACAATAAATTGTGAACAACATTTTTTTTTTTATTCTCGAATTTTAATAGATTTCTGCACCCCGAAAATCACGATTTGATAATAGTTCAAAAGTTTTCAAAGCCCTGTTTCCAATTTATTTAAATTGATTTTTCAAATTTTGTCGAAAATATAAAATTTAACCAAATTCAAATTCTCTCTACACACAAAACCCTACAGTACTTTTTGGGAAAAATAGTTTTCTTCTCTTTTCTCTATTTATTTTCCTTTCGATTCCCATGACGTAAATCACGACTTTGCATAAATTAAAATCCAAATTAATTCAAATTTCAAGTGTTCTGTGTCTTCTTCATGAATATGGCTGAAATCAACGAACGTGCTTCTACGTCATCACCACCAGTTCCTTCAACTCCAGCTCCAGTTCCACATATTCGACAATTGGCTGATAATATGAACGACAAAGTTGGACAGTTTTTTGAACATCAAATTGAGGGTTCGTTTTTTTTCTGAGAAGTGGAAGGATTCTCTGGGGAATTTTTTGAATTGGAAAACAAAAAGAAAAAAAGATTTTTCTGAAAAACTCAAATTTGTTTTCTGAATTTTTTGTTGAAAATTTCCAAAAAAGGAAATTTTCAAAATAAATAAAAAACAAATTTTGTTTTCTTCAACAACTGGGTTTTATTATTTATGGGCAAAATTTCAGAATTAATTTTTCAAATTTTCAACCCTGTTTTTCCAGGCTCTATCGAGGAATACAAATTGCTCGAAAATATGAACAATGCAAGTGCTCAACGTTATGTTGATATGAAAACTGTGGCCGAAAAATTGGCTGGAAAATTGGATAATTTGAATCAGAAATGTGAGTTTGAATGGATTTTTAAAATTCAGAGAAATTTTCAGAGTCACAAATTTCTATAATAAAGAAAATTTCAAAACCTTGCTACTTTTTCACATTTCCAGTCAGACTTAAACCAATTCCAGACATTGCTATCGAACCCTACTTAACCCAAATCGATGCAATGGATGAAAGCACTCGACGTCTCGAAGAAGCAACTGCAATTTTGGAGAACTATGTCAGCTCGCTCGAAACCAAACTCTCAACAATCCAACAAAATCCATAATTTTTTGAGCTTTAAAATTTTGTCTGAAAATCATTTCTCACTTTAACTTAACTTATCTAGTCATCACCCATTCCTTCCTGCAAATTAAATGCACAAATAAATATTAATTTATATGAAAAACAAGTTAAAACGACTAGACTCTAGTCTTGACTAGAAATACGTGTCATCGACTATACTGTATTGTGCTCGACCAGCTTGTGGAATGAATTCGAGCCAATCAGATGGTGTGTTTGGAAGAAGACCCATTGTGTGAACTTTGTAGACACCCAAACAGATGGCTCCGATGTTTCCGAGAACGAAGATGATTTTGTGAAGAATCATTGAACCAGTGGCCGGCGACTGGAAAATTTTTATTGAATTTCGCGAGATTTTGCCACGTGGAGTTTGAATTTTTTAGAAAACAATTTCAAATGTGAAATTTTTCGAGTCAAATTTAATATTTTTTTTTGAACGACAGTTTTCGCCATTTTTTGAGCCGTAAATTCTAAAACTATCCACGTCATTTCAACATTGTTCAAAAAAAATTACCTCTAAAGGCTTGAAAATCGTGTTAACCGAAAGCAGTGTCTTGAAAGGTCTCCACAACATCATTCCAACCATCATAATTGGGAAAATCGATACCTGAAAAATCCCCAAATCAATTAATTTCCTTTTTATTGATTAATTTCAATTAACAACTCACTCCACCACCAGCCATATACATCATAAACATATTCATTGGCAGACTTTTGACTGGTCCAATTGCAGTATCCCATGCTCTTTTTCTTGCCAAATGCTCTTGTTGATTGGCTGAATTTTCGTTTTCAATATTGTGTTGAATTGCGGCCGATGTTGAATAAAAACCGGGTGGATTGAAAGAATTGTCCGATGTTCGGCAATTTCTCGAAGAATGACTATAGTCTAATTTCCATTGGGACAAAGACATTTTTCAATCTTTTATTGATTTTTTTGGTCGCTGGAAAATATAATTTTTAAAGATGAGAAAAAACGAGTTCACGTCAAAAAATTAAAGTAATTCAGCATTTGTTCGCAAAATTAATAAAATCATAGTTAAACCTATAAATTGTAAATATTTATATTTAAAAATGTTTTCAAACAATAGTTCTCGCCAAGGTTTCATACGTAGTATATACTTTACGAGAAAAAAAAATCATCGTTTGAAAAATCAACAATTCTATGAGGTAAAGTGTCTAGTGAAAATACAAGGTGGTGATTTGAGTTTCATTATTGATGATTATTATTATTTTCAACAGAAAAAGCACTGAAAATATGCCAAGTTTCGCCAGCAAAAAATAATTCATTTCGCTTGCAAAAAATCAATAATGCGTCAAGCCACACAAGACTGGCGCGTTTTTTTAAACCTCTCCGTCTCCTATTTTCTCACACTCTCTGTTCTCCCAAAAATATGTCAGTCTTTTATTTTCAGATTTTCACACAAAATTACTCAGAAAAGTTGGGCGATTAATCGCTAAGCAACTTGAATTAGCTGCTGGCTCGCCGATTAATCGCCTGTATTAATTTTGTTCAGACGATTAATCGTCAGCTCACTTTGCTTACCGATTAATCGCTCAACTTGTCTGAGTAGATAGAAATTTATCAAATGAATACAGCAAAATACAATAAATACATGAAAGCACCAATAAATAAATACAAGCACCCGTAATAAAGTTATTTGATCAATTTCCTGAGCCAACCCGGAATCTCTAAACGACTTTTTCTTAAAAACTTAAAAAGCGCCGAATTATCAATAGCGAAAATCTCATCCAATTCCAGCCGCGTTGCTTCATCCATTTTCTCGTATTTTCTACCTTTGCTTTCTCCAAGACAACGAGTTTTCGAATTTTCATCAATTTTGCAATGGAATCCTTTAGAAGGGCTAAATCGGATAACTTTTGAATAATCGAAATATGGTAAATCCAACCATTCGGTGACTTTTGAGAGGATCTGCAAATATTGCAATGAAAATTCGAAATAGCAGTCGAAAGATCAAAAACTACCTTTATAGGTTGATTCCGCAATACATCGCTATCAATAAACATAATTTGTGACAATGAAAAATGTTCCAACCATTTTTCCAAATGATGAATATATTTTCCACCAGAAACACATCGATTTAACAACTTTTTAGCCAGTGTGTTATTTTTCGAAACTTCAAAAATATGAGTCATATTTCCCAAATTCATAGCAGTTTCATCTTTATGTGCTAACATATGTTGAAACCAAGAATAGGCGCGATCCGCTGGATTTTGAAGAATAATAATTAATTTCGAATTTGGAACCAATGCCGATGCTTGTTTTGCAGCCAAAGGATTATCGAAATATGTCGCACTTTTTTCAAAAACAATTTCTGCTTTTTGTTGGAAATATGATAAATACCATTCAATTCCTTTCTTATAATTATTTCCACCGAAAAATTGGACTTCTTCAAAGCTTCCAGGAACATTTGAATTTTGAGAAACATTTGGGTGGATTTCCAAAAAATTAGCCAAAGCTGTTGAGCCAGTTTTTTGAGGGCCGAGGATGAGAAGATTTGGCAGTGTTAGATTGGAGCAATTTATTGAGGGTGGAGTGATAATTCGATGACGTGGATCAATGCATGGATTCTGAAGAAAAAAAACTTGTTTTGAGATGAGAACAATAATTTTTGAAATATTTGATTATTTCCGAAAATTTTAAATTAATATTGAAAATTTCGGAAAAGCATGTTTTTTGTTGAAATTTTCGAGCTTGAAATTACGATTTTCAGGTTCCTCGAACTAGTCCGATCTTTTGCTCTCTAGGCAGCGAAAGCAATTCAAGGAACCATCCTCACTACTCATTTCCCCATTCTTTAAAAACTCACAGTCCACAACGGCACCTTTTCCTCTTCAAATCTCTCAAAATACATTTTGGCCGATTCAATTGGCGATTGCCATTTGATTTTCAAATTTGTCCAACACCTCAAAAACTCGAATAAATTCTCAAAAGTGTACAAAGCCAGTCGATCATGCGCATAATTTTGTTGATGAGTCATAAAAATAGAAACCGGGTTCAAAAGTACGGTAAAAAACAGATCGCCTCCTCGTATCAAATTTTGAACATAATCGAAACCTCCCGGATATGTATCAAAAGTTTGAGTGTGTGTGTAAAGTCCGCAAGTTTGTCTGGGAAGAACTGATATATTTTTGTAGATGAATGCTTTGCGAGATGTTGATGGTTTGAAATGTGGATATTCTTCAGTCGCAGTTACGCTAACTTTCCAAACTTTTTTCCAAGCATCGTATAATTGTTCATGAACTGGATAAACACCATCGTGTTGAGGAGCGATTGCATAAGTGTAATTTACAGGAAGTCGCATGTTCTGAAATCAGGAAAATTGAGAAAATATTTAATAAAAAACATTACGCGTTTCATCAAATTCTCACCTCTGCAAACATTTTATTTTGAACCATAAAAGCTTCCAAATATGTATAATTATGTTCATGAGCATGATTATGTCTCCACATATGAGGAAACCATACAAAATTCGATGCTTTTTCAATCAATAATTCATCGCCTTTATCCTCGTTTTCATCACCGTTTCGAAAATAGCTTCCAGAAAATCCGAGCATGAAATGGAAATTTGAGATGTTGTATTTGTTACGGAACTTTTGTTGATAAGCTAGGAGATTTCTGAAAATCTAAGGGGTAAATAATTTATTTTACAAGTTAGATCTAGTTCAAGTTTTGAGATTCAAAATAAATTGACATTTATTTTTAAAATTCCCACGCCTGTAAAAACCCCCAAAAATCTCACATCACATCATCTTCGAGCATTCTCGTTCCCTGTGCCCCTACAAATATATCATCAATATCAACTTGAATAAATCGATCCAATGAAAACTGCATATTCTTCCCAATCGCCCACCAAATTGAATCAATAAAAGTCATTTTAATTGTCCAATCACTTATATTTCTACCAAATAATATTCGATTTACTCCATCTTCTATTCCAATATCATGAATAACAACAGCTCGATCTTTTCCATTTTTCGTCACTTTTCCTGATAAAATCGTCTCGAATTTCTTTGTATTTTCTTCGAAAACCACCCAATCTGAACTATTTCCCACATCTAATCTTGTTGTATTTTCTTTTGTGATTTTATGGATTTTTGAAGGATGCGTCGATAAACTTTGAATTTGTTGATTTTGCCACATCCAAAGAGAACTTCCTTTTATCCTAATTCGTTTTAATTGATCATTTGGTTTACTTGCAATAAATGAAATAACTGGAACTTTATAATCCATACAATATTTGTCCAAAAGTTGTCGATTCCATCGTGGCATATTCAAATATTTATAATAGTTTTCAATTATAATTAACGAATATCGTCCTTTTCTTGATGTTGTGAGAACTGGAATGTTTTTCGAAACAGCTTCTGATTTGAATGGAATTTTTAGAGCAGTCAACACTTGAGTTATCAGTTTTCCGTGCCTTGAGAATAATGAGTCTGAGATTAGTAACACTTTTTGATCCGTCCCATTATTTTGATGAAATTCCCAATTTTCTTCATCTTTCGGGGTCCAATCGGCAGGACATTTGTAGTTTTCAACATATTTTGGTTTTCCACGTTCTTTCAAGACATTTTTCGAGGGGATAATAAGACTATAGACAGCGAAAATAGATAAAACAATGAGCAAATACTTGATAAACCGTAAAAATCGATGATTGATGAATCCATTCATCTATGCATCTGAAAAAATCAAGGTTCACGCGTCGAAACAAGAAAAAATAAAAATAAATCAAATGTTTGCGCGTCACATGAAATGCATCTAGTGCGTGTGTGCACACAAGAAATGCGGACTGTGCATTTTAAACGACGATCAACGCCATTGATGTGTTCGAAATGCTGAACAAAATAGATTTTAAGAAGAAAAATCGGGGAAACTCTGGCAAATTTTTTTTTGAAAAAAGTGAAATCAATTGATTTAGCCAGAATTTTTCCGATTTTTTGAGACAACACAAACAAAATCGAAAAATTTGAGAAAAACAGAATAGTGGAAATAATTGAAGATTGAAATGAAAAGAAATAAAATCTGATTAGTCTAAATTTTTCATTATTTTCATTTTCAGTTCAATTTCAGTTTTCGATTTTGATTGTTAGTTCAAATTTCGCGAAATTTTTCAAAGACTCAAAAAAATCCAAAAATTTCCCAGGTACAAATCGCATGTCTAGAAAACATCGGAACCGCTGAAGAAAATGCCGTGTTGTATAGTATTTATTCTTGACACAAGTGGTTCGATGTCCACCAGAGCCAACACGCATTTCTCATTTTTCGATATGGCCAAAAATTACATTGAAACTTTTATCAAGGTAGGCGGATTTATTATTGATACGAAGAAGTTACGATAAAAGAAATTCTAATTTCTAGGGTCGAACTAAAAATGATGGAAGAGCGGCAATTGGAAGAGATGGTGATCGATATTTTTTATTGACCACTTCTTCAAAATATCCAGCTAATGTTAAGGTATATTTTAACTGGTGGAAATTTTCTAAAATTATTCATATTCTTTCTAGGTTTTGGGTGAAAAGGCGCCGACTCCGATTCTCGAAGAAATGAAAAAGATCCCTCTTCCTGTTGGAAATCATCCGGTTCATCCTGCAATTTTAGACGCATTCAGATTGATGCATGTAAATAGAGCAATGACAGGTTTGCATTTTTATTTTTTCAAAAAAAATGTTGAAAAATCTCAAATTTCCAAAAAACGGAAGTTTTAATTTTTTAGGGTTCAAAAAAGCCTAGGATTTCTGAATTACTTATCTAAATTTTGTGTGTAAATTTTAGTTATCTCAACTCTGAACATAAGTTTCAAAATTTCCAAAACCCTAATTTATTTGCAGGTATCGATGCTTACGGTTGTGGCCGAGCGCCTCAAAACACTGAACAAGTTCTCATAATTTTATTGACGGATGGAAGTGGAGTTGCAACAATTCCAAATAATTTCAAACTATTGTTCGATCCTCCATCTTTGGGAAGTGAAATGACTCAAGAAGCCTACAGATGGGATCAAAAACTATTCAGTGTTGTATTTCGAATTCCTTCGACGCCTTATAAACCAACAAATTCACAACTTTTGACAATTGATATTGATTTGCCGAATATTGAAAAACTTTGTGCGGCAACTGGTGGACGAAGTTTTTCGATTCTTTCAACTCGTCAAATCAATAATTCTGTTGATCAGATTTTGAATTTCGTTTTGGCTCATCGAATTGGAGTCAGATTTGATTGTCTAAACACAATTGCTGGTAAACAAACAAGTGACGAAGTTTCCAAATTACGCGCGAAATTCAAAAAAATATCTGAAAAACGACCAGTTACAAATCTAATATCTCGAATCACACCACAAGGAAGACCTGTTACTTGTCATTGGCAAATTCCGGAGAGCTTTTTTCCTGTGAAAAATATGGAAGCATTGCCACCGAGAACTGCACATCCTATTATTTTGATCGGAACCGAAGCCATTTCATTGAATGTGCGTTTTTTAGAGTTTGGAAATTTTTTTCATTAAAAAAACTTCAGTAAAAATTGGGGAAAAATCTTCTTCAAAATTTTCGAAAATTCTCTTATCTAAACTCATTTGATTTTCCAGTTCTGCTATGATATATTCGTCGATCGACTCGAACTCGAACCTTGTGGCGTCACAGAAATTGTAATGGATCTTCTCAAAAAACGTCCTGAATTCGCGATCCCTGCCTATATTTCAAATTCAAGTAGTCAAGGCGGAAATAATATTCCATTTGGATGTCTTCGTCTAAATCCAGATTGTTCTGGTGTTTATTTGATGTTGATGCCATTCAATTATCCCATTTTTTCACAATTAGTCGATGATCTCAAAATTGATCCAAATATTGTTATGAACAATCAATGGAAGATGAAACTTGATAGTTATATTCATAATATACCATTTTATTGTTTATCGGTAAGATTTTTGAATTTCTTTGCTTTTGTATCAAAAAAAAATGTTCGAATTCTGGCGCAAAACTTCTAAAGAAAATTTTGAAAATATAAAAAGTTTTATTTTCAAAACATTTCCCAATCTCTTTTCAGACAACTCGAAAAGTGTTGGAAAAATTCAAAGTGAAATGTGATGTTAATAGTTCAATGAGTAACACTTATGCAATTTCATTATTGAATAATTTGAATCGATTGAAAAATAAAGGAAAAGAAGAATATGATGCAGTTGCATTGGCTGCAAAACTTGGAGAATCAAAAGGTATTCGAATGTGGAATTCGAATATTAAAATTGAACGAATAACTTCGAGAACTGGAATATTTGGATTATGTGAAATTGAAAATGATGAAGAAGAGTTTGAGGAAACTGAACCGCCCGAATTAAAACCACAATTTTCTGGAGATAGCTATGTGAGTTTTAGAGTTTGAAAGATATATTAAAAACTTGTTCAAATAGAAAAATTCACCTGAAAAATTCATTTTTCATTTTGAAATAATTTTCTCGTCAGAATAATCCTAAATTTGAGTTTTCGAAAAATCTGCAATAGCGACTTATTTAAAAAAAATTCAAACGTGAAAAAATTTCAAACGTGAACTGAAAAAAAATTAGGAATTTCATTTTTGAAAAATTAAATTTCCTCAACCGACATGAAAAAATCTCTAGAAATCAATTGACATTTCGCAGGTCCAACTTTATGGTCCGGGCGTCGCCGATCCGGAACTCGACACAATTTATCGAAGTCCCTGGTCATCTGGAATTGATGAAATGGTCGCAAAATTGAACAAGTTTGTTTTTTTTATTGTCTGGAAAAAAAAGTTAATTAAAAATTCAGAAAATTTTTTTAGGTTTATTATTGAATCCGACCTCTGAAAATCATTGTTTCTATTAATTGTTCTATTTTTTCAGAATGCAAGCGAATGTTGATTTAATGTTTGAGCCATCGAAAGTCACTCTTCTTGATATGGCTAGAGTTGGAATCAAACCGCGTTTCAATAATCTCGAAGAACTTCACAATTTGCCACTCAAAACAATGGGAGAATATGAGCCATATCAAACGGCACGTGTAAAATATTATGGACAACCAATGAAAAAAATAGAAGAAGAAAAAGAGAGAACACATGCATTTGGAAATCCGTATAAATTGAAAAGTTTCGGCACAGGAATTGATGAGATTGTTGATAGCGCGGTAACGGATAATAATTCGAAACGAGAAGGAAAACGAGAAAGAGAAGGAGGTGTTCGAGGAGGACCACCCAGGAAGAAAAGGGGACCATTAGGAGTTGATGCATTTGATAATTGGAGAATTAGGAGATCGATTTCGAGTGGAAGTTCGGTAGCAGATTCGAGTATTTTGGATGATTTATTGATGGATGTTGCGACAACTTCGAATGGTGAAAGTTCAGTTGTTCATACCAATGGATTCACGAACTCAGAATCAGAATCAGAATCTGCTTCTTCCAATGGACAAAATGGAAGTGTTGATGAGTTAGCTGAAATGTTGAGTGTTATTGTGGAACCATCGGCTAAAAAAGAAGTACCTCAAATCAACGGGAAAATGCATAAAAATGGATTATCTCCTCCTTTAGCCACCAACAATTTGAAATATATCAAGCTTAGTCCCGAGGATTTGAAGACGAGAAAATTGTTGATTGCACAAACTGTCAGAAAACCGGCGAATAGTGAGTTTTTGAAGGAAATTTTGAGAAAAATTTGGAGTCTGAAGCCGAAATACTTTGAATTTTTCGGTCAACATCGGAATTTTCATTGGTTCAAGAAAAATTGATATAATCAAAGCATTGGTTTTTGTTGAAAATTCTGATCAAAATCCACATTTTCAAGATAAAATTTTTAACATTTTTGAAAAATTTAAATTTTGAAAATTTTCAAGCATGTTTTGCTTTCAAATTTCATTGTTTTTAAAATTTTTCTATTAAAAAATCCCCTCAAAAAATTAAGTTTCTCGCAGAATATGCGTTTTCAGGCTCCAAAATGTATCAAACTATTTAGAAATCTTTCTTGTCACGATTTTTTTTCATACTTTTCAAAAGTTTCTAGACAAGAATCCTGAAATCTTTCAAGAAATAATCCTATTTATTTTCAGAACGCGCATTCGAAGAAATTGTCCAGCAAACTCTTGGATTATCCCGAGAATGCGCTGAAACACTAATACGATTTGCAGTTCGAGAATCGAAAAGGTATCATTTTGTTTTCTCTGAAAAAATGTCCTCCAAATATTCTATTTTTTCAGATTCAAGCAAAAACAACTGACAGATCAACTAGAAAAACAATTAGGTTGATTAAAATTTGCCCACTTTCCTTCCTCCACTTTCCCCCAAAAATTAGCTCGATTCGGGTATTTTCATTTCGTTCCAAGCATTATTTATCATTTTTTTTTCAAACAAAAAATAGGGTTTTATAAAATCGGTGACTTTTTTGTTTTTCTCAATTTTATTTTTTTATATTAACCACATTTTTTGATGATCTTGTCTTGTAAAATTTAATTTTAGATGAATATTGTTTTTAACTTTTCAATGGTTCATGATTTTTTAGATCTTGAAGTTTTGCAAAAACAAAAATTATCTGCATCGGGGTAGATTCGATCTCGCGACCTTCTGAATTATGTTTTAAGCTAACCATTTGCGTGTGTTTTTTTTCGTGAAAACTATTTTCGAAACGTCTGGCGTTAATTAAATCGGCTCATCTTTGCTCACTCAATTTCATGAAACTCATGTGGAGGTCATTTCTCTAATCCCTCTTAATCTCGCATGTTATTTCGACAGCCATGTGTTTTCTGTTTGTCTGCGTCTCATCCATTTTTGTTTTCTTGTTTATTTTTTGCTTTTTTTCTCGCAAAACTAATATTTTCTCCTTTTTTTGTCTCTTTTCTTTTGGTATGTTTATAAGTGTTGGCAGAAAGCTTTCATTAATTCAATTTTGTGCCTTTTTTGAATGAAATGAAATGAAAGTTAATTGAAAAAGTAGCAGGGGTTAAATGAATTATTTTTTTTTTGGAAGTTACGAAGTTTGTCTGAATCTGAAAACAGTCAAGAATTAGCTAAATATTCAGAATCTATGCTAAAATTCTAAATATTTGTCTGAAATTTTTTTCGAGTGGTTTTGAATAAATTTCAAATCAGATTTTTAATCCCAATATAATTGAATAATTTGAGAATTTCTATAATTTTAAAATCATTTTGCAGCTGTAAAATTTCTCAGAACTAGCTCCAAAATACAGCTCAAAAAATGTCAATAAATTTATCCCCTGATTTTTTCACGCTTGCAAACCCCAAAGATTTTCAGACGAAAAAACTAGAAAAATTATCAACTGAGCTTTTCACACTCTAAAAATTTTCCGATCAGTGATTTTCATATAAAAACTAAAAAGCCCTAATTAAAATAATTTATCACCAAATTTTTTATGCTTCAAAAATTTCATATTAGTAATTTTCAGCTAACATTTCTGAAAATCTTCAGAAATTTCAACATTTTTGTCAAAAAAGAGTTTTCAAACTGGAAAAAAGTTGTTATGTTGTCTATCTGAAAGTGACACTCTTCATTTTCTTCTATATTTTCTCTTTTTTTCTATTTTCTTGAAAAAAGTAGTATCATTTCATTTTTTTCTTTGAAAAACAACCATCTTTACACATTTTTTTCCATCCCCCATGTGACCTTTTTTTCTTTTTTTCTCCATTTTTTTCTCCGGATATTCGATAATCAAATTATCTTATTAATAAATATTTTCGAGCCATCCGTTTTGGCTCAATTTTTGCTCATTTTTCTTGGGAAAAATTTACAGTAATAATTTGAATTTCAGAAAAAAAGCAAAATGGGTGGAATGATGTCGGGTGAGAGAATTTTCAGCGATTCGAAAGCAATTCATAATTTGGACAAACAGATGCTTCATAATCAGTGAGTTTTTTCAGCCCAGTTTTTAGAGCATTTTAGAGAAACTTCTAGCGAAATTAGTTGGAGGGTTTTGATCAGTTTGAAAAACGCTACAGGTTGAGATATTGAAAATCCAGTCTTAAATTTTTATTTAAAATTTATGACGTGGCAAAAAGAAACATTAAAAATCTGACGTCATGTAATTTGTTCTGTTTGTTTTTTCTTCTTCTTTGCATCACTTTATGTTTGGTCGAGATTTAGACTGTCTGGGAAACGTTTTGAATTTTTTTTGGAACTTGAGGATTATCGCGTGTTGAGACCATTATAAAAATTTAAAAATTATAAAGCTGGAAAAATTTTCGGGAGCTTTTATAGAGAAAAAACTTTGAGCTCAATTTTCAAGTACTCGAAAAAGTTTTGATCAATTAAACAATTGAATGGAGAGTTCAGTCTCAAAGGGTTTCTAAAAAATTTCACAGAAAATATTACATTTTGTTACAATTAGTTATGATGTGACAAATGTTTGGCTTCTCACAATCAGAATTTTTAATGGACTACAGTAACCAATTATTATTTTAGTTACTGTAGCCCAATTTTCTGAAATAATTGTTCTCAAATCGATGACAATAATTCGATTTGTCATACACACAGATGGGTCTACAGTAATCCAACCAAACTTGAGTTACAGCGTCTCCACTTCTAGATTTATCCAAAAAACCTCAAAACCAGACTAGATATACTTTTTCTATCCCCCCATCTATCTAATTTTTTCCAAAGTTCTGCAAACAAAAGAATCTGATCTTCATCCCACTTGAAACGTGTCAAAAATTTTATTTGTGTGTTCTTCCCAGAAATTTTTTTGCTCTATCGAAAAAGAAAGAATTTTTTGATTTTTGTGTGGTTCCAAAAAAAATGAGGAACTTTTTCGCAATTTAATTCGATTTCTTTTATATCAGATTGAATCATCGAAAAACACATAAAAATAAAAAAAAAACATTTGACAAAAAATCATAAACAAAAAATGAAACGATTTTTTATTTTTGCTCTAGTTTTGCAGATTTTGTGAGTTTATTCTTGGAGTTTTTGAATTGGATCAGGTTTCAAATATGTTTGAATTGGACTTGGTCCAAAATTTTTTACTAGAAATCGAACCTCCAAAAAGGACCAGGTCCACTTTTTGAGAACAATTTTGAATTGGACCACACATTGAAAATTGTGCCATTTAATCAGTTCAAATATATCGCGAAGGCTGTTTTTCTTACAAAAAAATCAATTTTTTTTTGCAAAAGTTTTCCCCAATCTTATCATCTTTTCACTAATTGTTTTATTATTCGATATCTTTTTTTCTCAAAAAAATGCCCAATTTTTTCACGAAAAAACTTGGAAAAATTGTGAAATCTCTCACAAAATGTTTGTAAGTTCAATTATTTTTTTTCGTTCATTCACACACAAAAAACTCATCAATCTTTCAATTTCTTCTTTTTGCGTTTTTTTTTCGAAAAAAAATTTATCGCAAAAAAGTTTCTTGAAAATTTATTTTATGTTTTATCAGAAGGCAGACATTTTTCGAGCTCCTCGTGTTTTTTGATAAGAAAATAAAAGAAAATTGTGAAACGGGAGGGAACTCGAAGTTTTTTCGAGAGACAAAAGTTTGATAATTTTTAAATTTTCGATATGAAAAAAAATTAATTTTTCTTCAGCGATCCAAGTTTGTCGGTTCCAACTCCAGTGGTTTCAAGAGAAATGAATGAGCAATTGAATTTCCCAAAAATCGAGCTTCATCTTCATTTGGATGGATCTGTTAGATTTGAAACGCTTTTGGAATTATCGAGGTGAGAATTTGGGGAATTTTAGTCTGTCAGGGGCTGGCCAATTCTGATCAGTCAGACCCCATTTCAAGGACCAGTGTGTTTAAAAAAAAATAGAAATCTGACTAAATTTTTTTGAGATTCTGAAACGGAAGAGTATTTTTCCAGAATTTGAAAGTGAACAAAATTTTTTGTTAAATTTTAAACATTTTTTTCAGATGTTTTTAAATTAAATGTTGAGCTCAAAAATGTACCGAAAAATCTGAAATAAAATATGCATTTAAATTCTGAAACTAACTTTATTAATTTTTGCATTTCCAAATTTTTCCAGACAAAAAGATATTCCATTGGCGAATGCGACAACCGTCGAAGAGCTTAAAAAAGTCTTGGTGACTCATGAACCAGCTAACTTATCAAAAGTCCTCGAAGCCTTCGAAATTTTCTTGCCAGTAATTCGCGGTGATTTGGCTGCGATGGAAAGAATTGCATTCGAATTGGGCGAAGATCAACATAATAATGGTGTCATTTATTTTGAGGCTAGATATTCGCCACATCTTTTGTTGTCACATGATCATCCGGTTAGTTTAGAAATGCAAAGGTTTTTAAATTTTTGAAACGATGAACTGGGAAGTTTTTTAAGAAAGAACTTTCTTTGGAAGTTGGGGTTTTTTCTTGATTTAAAAAACTTCTAGGAAGTCAACGCTTCTCACATTGTTGCCGCCGTCAAAAAAGGATTCGACAAAGCCGAAAAAGCCTACGGTATCAAAGCTCGCTCAATTCTTTGTTGCATCCGAGGACTCGACAAAAAATTCCCACAACTCATTTTGGACTTGGCTACCGAGTTACCACAACTCGGAGTTGTTGCGATTGACGTGGCTGGAAGTGCTCATGGAGCAGATGAACAATATGAACCAGAAGTTGTTGCCGCTTTTCAAGAAGCTTATAGACGTGGAATTCATAGAACTGTTCATGCTGGAGAAAGTGGAGGACCAAAAGAGGTTTTGAGAGTTAGTTTTTTTTTCAAATTGAACTGGAAATTCGCTTTAACTTTTCCAAAACATAGCTCTCAAAAAACTTTCGAGATACTAAATTCCTAATTGTTTATAGGCAATCGAGGATATGCACGCTGAAAGAATCGGACATGGTTATCGAGTTATGCGAGATGAACAAATGTATATCGATAATTTTGTGACGAAACAAAATGTTCATTTGGAAGCCTGTCCATATTCATCAGTTATGACTGGTGCGGTTCCACTTGATTGGCCAAATCATCCGATTGCTCGTTGGGCTAAGGATGATATTAATTTCTCGGTTTCTCGCGATGATCCAACTTGTTTTGATAATACAATGAAGTCTGAATTGACTTTGGTTCATGATCAAATTGGATTGACTGTTCATCAATTATGGAAAGCGGTATGTTTCGAATTAAAATTCTCTAACATAATTCAATCTCATAATTTCAGCAACTCAACGCGGCGAGATCAACATTCTTACCCGAAGCCGAGAAAGCTGAATTGGTCAAAAGAGTCGAGGCTGCTGAACCACCCAAAAACTGATAACCATATCCATTTTTCAACATTCCAATTCTTTTTCACTTTTTTCTTTCTCTAATTTAATAAATGAAATGATTTAATTGACAACAACTAAATAACAAAACTAAAAGAATTCGTCTACATTGGGGCTCCATTGGCTTGAGAGTTCAACATTTGATGTTCTTGGAATCGTTGAGAAACTCGTTGCGTCATCTGGAATTTTGTTTTGAACTTTTGAACTGATAAGAGAAATTTAAAATTTTCGAAATTCTTGTTATCTTTTGGGGTGAAAATGTTTTAGGTGCAAAGATGGGAATTAGGATTTGCATCACTCTTATCGAAAATTTACAAAGGAACTGTTTGAACTTTCACTCGAGCTTTTTTGTTATGAAATGATTTCTATTATTCAATAAAAAGCGTGAAAAATAAAAATAAGAGGAGACCGAGTATCATTTTTGAAAAATGAAGATAAATACATTTCAATTTTTTTTCAATCCAGTGAGAAAATTAACTGTTTCCACGTGGACGTGGCCACGTAAGAAAATTCTAGATTTTCTAAAGTTCTCACCTTCAAATATTTATCCAAACAATTACTTGCGCATTTTTCTTCTTTTTCATTCACCGTCCGACTTCCGAATTCGTTGACGCAAGCGGTAAAACAATTTTCGGCCACCAAATTATATTGAGTTAGGAAATCGCGGAAAGTTTGAATATTTTGATCCATCTGAAAAAACTAAATAGGTAACTTTGAATATATAATTTTTCTGCATACAATAAAACCAAGCAATCGAAGAAAAATCCCAGTTTCAGCCGGAAAACAAAAAAAAGGAAAATAGAAATTTTTTGAAAAAAAAAACTTGGAATGCGTCATGTTTGCAACACTGACGCGTTTCGAGTGTTCTCTGTGTCTCTCATTTTAACACACTCTCTCGTCCCGAAAATTTTTGATAATTTTTTTTCGAGCGCCCCGCGAAATTTTAATTTTTCAGATGGAAAATGTCTATAAAAGCCAGTTTTCGCGCCAGAAATCTCATTATACTCACCAATGGCTAACCCAACTAACCAGGCTACTGAAGAGCCGATGTAAGTTTTTGAAATTTCGATGAAAAACTGGAAATTATTATGATTTTTTGTAGGACGGCAGGAGAGAAGATTTCTCATAAAATGGATCAATTCAAAGAGTTTGTTTCCAGTGGATGTTGTTCCTGCGCAAGAAAGTGTCCTTCAATCGCTGTTGTTCTTGTTGGTGCTATCATCCTTCTTCTGATTTTGGCTGCAATTCCAACAGTTTTAATCTTCACCTCTTCAACTTCGAAACTCTCTTCAGATAGCAACGAACTTCCACAAATCATTAGACGTTCAAAATTCTGGCCAAAAGTTGATAAAATCAATATGGACGGTGATATGGATTTCCGTGGAATTTCACTGCAAACTCTTTTCCCACCAAATGTTTCAACTTGCTCAGGATTCGGTTTTGCGTGCACCGATGCTGTCTACAATGTTATTCCAACATCAAAACGTTGTGATGGGAGTTATGATTGTTCAGACAAATCGGATGAACAAAACTGCAAGACTTGTCAAACAATCTTCCAGTGCCCTTCAAAACCAATCGAGGAAGATCAGAAGTTCAAGAAATCGAGAAAGTTGAAACCACAACCGACTATGATTTGTTTGACAGCTTCTCAACTTTGCGACGGTGTTCAACATTGTCCAGATGGTTCGGATGAAACATCCTGGTGCAGTAAGTTGTTTTCTTAAAATTAGAATTTCATGATAATACTCGGGAATTTTTAGAATCTCAATGTTCTGCTGAAGAGTTCAAGTGTCCTGGACAAAACGTATGTCTTCCAAAAAGCGCAAAATGCAATGGAATTGCTGATTGTAACGATGGAAGTGACGAGAAAAACTGCAACAAATGTGAAGCTGGAGCACATGTGAGTTTTTTGTTTGAAAATATTGAGAATATTTTGATTTTTGAGAAATATACTTTTTAATCATCTGGTCACAAAAAATCGCCTAAACAAATAATTTTCAGAAATGTGGGAAAATGTGTGTGAAAGAAAGCGAGGTTTGCGACGGAGTTGCTCAATGTGAAGACGGAAGTGATGAGAAGGAATGTGATTGTAAATCATGTTCCGGATCAGACAAAGCACTTTGCGACGACGGAACTTGCATTCTTCGCACACAAGTTTGTGACGGAAAACGCGATTGTTCCAACGGTATGGATGAGATGGATTGCCCTGGATCATGCTTTGTCAAAGGATCAGCAATGAAGAAGCGAATCACTTGCAGCGACGGTAGAAAATACACCGAAGAAGAAGCATGTTCAGGCAATTTTGATGTTTGCTCATCAAATTGTCCAACAAAATGCAATTCGAAATCTGCATTCCAATGTCCAACCGATAAGAAATGCATTTCGCGTCTAATGGTTTGCGATGGAGTCGCTGATTGTGAAGATGCTGCTGATGAGAAGAATTGTAGTTGCAATGAAATTGAGGAGAATCGACAATTCAAATGCGATCGCAAATGTATCGATATTGCACAACGTTGTGATGGTGCTTTCGATTGTTTCGATTCATCCGATGAGAAGAATTGCGAAAAATGTGCTGGCAATGCATTCAGATGTGCCAAGGATAAATCTTGCCTTCCATCAAGCACAAGATGCGACGGAGTTGTTGATTGTTCAGATGGAAGTGATGAGAAGAATTGTTCATGTGAAGGTATGCATTTTTTTTAAATTTCATTAGAAACCTGTTAATCAAAAATGAGCAATATGTTTGCAGAATGCATTGGTGCACATTCCAACACATATATGTGCGATGGTTCATCAAGATGCTTGCTCCGCGACGAAGTTTGCTCTCCATATTCAATGTGTCCAAATGCAACACGCGCCGATAAAGCTTATTGTGCAACAATGGTGCTCAGAACACAAAATCGTTTGCCTTGGTAGAACTAACCGAGAGGATTTTCAAAAGCTGTAAATAATATCTACTTAACACCAAATAGTTGTTTTCATATATCTATATTTATTGCATACTTACTCGTATTTATAAAATTTTGAGATTTTCAAAATTGTTTTTTTAATTTGATACGTGAAATACGTGGCCTTTTTTCGTCATGATTTATTTTCGAAAAATATTCAATATTCGTATTTCATTGGATACAAAATGCCGTCGAAAGGTTGGTTTTTGAAAGAATACGTTTCGCGCACAATTTTTAGAACTTTTTTTCAAAAAGAGCTCTAGGCATTTTCATCAATAATTTTGAACTCAAACTGAGAAATAAGCCTGACATGATGCTTTTTTCGCTTCTCAATTTTTTCAACGTTGCAGATATTTTATCGATAATTCTGTTCATCAGTGTCATCAGTTTTCAATTTATTCAAGCCGCTGAAGTGGTTTGTGATGGACATGAGTTGAGTGCTGATAAAGATGAAGAACTCGAAAATCTCACCGAGAAAAAATGCACCGTCGTCAAAGGAAATATTATTCTTCGAAACTTGAAAAAACCCGTCAAAAGCACATGTTTTTTGACGGTTCGTCAATTGGAGGGAAGCTTGATTATTGAGAACACTGAAAATCTTCACAATTGGGTCAATCTTCAAAACTTGGCAATTATTAATTCGGGAAATGAGCCGGCTTTGATTATCAAAAATAATATCAATCTGAACTTGGGAATTGGCGCAAAATTGCGATCTGTTGAAAGCCAAAATAAATATACTTATATTATCTTGAATAATCAAAATGCTCCAATCGATATCAATACATATAATATTCTTCATTATGCCACAACTACTAGAGCTGCTTTTTTGATTGATTCGTTCATTCAAGTTGAACAATGCCGTAAAGAATGTAAGAATTTTTGTTTAATTTTTTTGTTTGTGACTAAATTTTATTTTTACAGTATTCAAATGGGTTTCAATTGTCTTGGCTGGTGTTGTCGCATTCGTTAGTGGAGGTTTGATTATTATCGCGTGTTATGGAAGAGAAGTTCCCCAAAAACTTTGAAAGATTAATGAAGATTTGAGTTTTTATACTTGACAAATTTTCACCAAGGATTCTGAAACTAGTCAAAAATAATCTAGATCAGGGGAGATATTTGTGCAAATCTTTTGTAACCCGTTTTTCGAGCCCGATATTTTTTTGGATGACTTTCTAGAATTGGTGTAGTTCTGTAATCAAGTACTGTAGTTTTTTCAAAAGTTTTCGAGACTTGAATTTTTTGTACAGAAAACTCGGAAAGTACAGTAATACAAGAATATTTTTCATCTGGACTTGGAATTTTTAAAACTACGGGTTCTGAAATTCGTATGAGAAGCAGAGGGTCCGAGAGAAAAAGATTACCAAAAACGGATAAATTTGAAAGACACCTCGGCCAGAATCGTGGTTTAGGGTAATCTCAAACATACTCAAATTCGGATGTAATCCAAATTTGTATTCTGGCTCGCAACGAATTGGCCGAAGTGTGAGAAATTTTCAAAAAAAAAAAACAAAATTAGAAGCAAACTTTATTTGTTGGTTTATGGATTGTACTCGATTGGCAAGTTCTTTCTACGAACCATACCATCTCCTTGGAACCATTCACGACGGAATTGTTTGGCAGCACCATCTGGAGTATTGGTCCATTCAACAGTGATACGATCATTGTTGGTGTCTTCTTGTCCGTATGCAAAAGCATCACATGAAACAGCCAAAAGGACAGCTTCTTTTGGGTCCAAAACTCCACATGGTGGATCAACTCCAAGTCTCTTCATGTTGGTTGTCTTGATACCGTATCCAATACGACGAGCAGATGAGTTGATAACCTTGATGTGGTAGGTATGTTTGTCATCATACGGGGCATTGAAGACGATCTTGGCATTTGGTTGAGTTTGGATATCTCCTGGTGGGACTGATTGAGCCATGTTTGAACTATGGGTTGATTACACTAATTCTAGAGCCTTCTTTTATAGCAAAAAGATAAGATCTAATGTGACGTGGAATTTGATGACGAATTATGTCACGTTTATATTAATTTTATACATTTAATAATTTTTCTCTGAAAAAGGCGTTCACACAATCAGGATTTGTGAGTTTTTGAGATGTTTGACTTTGCGGATCAGATTTATTGAGTTTTTCTCTCCAAAAGAGATTTTTTAACACTGTTAAAAATAGTCCTTGTGATCTACAAAACTACAGTACCCAAGAGGTTCAGGAACTATTTCAATAGGTTAAATTTCTAGAGTTGTTAACCAAGTTTCTGGGTATTTTTTTTGAAATTCGCGATAAAAAGGATTTCGAATTATTCTGGAGTCCTCGTGACAAAACAAACAACAAAAAATAAAGAAATTTTATTTCAAAAACCACATATTTTCAGTTTTTCTATTTGAGCGCTGCACAGAATTCACTCAATTTTCCAGTAGTTTCAGCATCCGATGATTTTGCCTTAATCCAATATCCAATAGCTTGATAAATGGCCAAATATTGCTCCGAATTTTCAACGATTCCAAATCTTTGTCCACGCAAAGTTTGAAGTAAATCACCAATTTTACAATCAACATTCTTTATAATATGAGTCATAACAGAATGTATCATAAGCATAGTTCCAGCTCTTCCAACTCCATTCCAACTACAGAATAAAATGGCATCACTTGCTTTATTCATCTTTTCACAAATTGCAATACAATCACTAACATTTGCTGGAACTTTTCCAAGATTCCAATTTGGTTGATTATAAACTGTGACAAGAGTTGAATTTGAGCAACCATCAGGAAGAAGTTCAATCATAATACAATTGATCTCTTTTCCAATTGTCTCCACTTTTTTGACATTTAGAAACATTTTTCCATAAGTGGCAAATGCTCCCATTGTTGTTGGTAGAAAAGTGGCAAGAGGAGTTGTGATATTATCAGTTTGAGCATAACCGAAAAAAACATGAAGAATTGTTTCCTGAAAAATTATTAGAAAATAAATTAGTTTCGATATTCTCCTGGAAAAACTCACATCGAAAATCATTCTCCAAAATTCTTCCAAATCCGAAGTTTCGGGAATTTGACCAATGATAAGATTTCTATTGGAATCTGCTGGATTCGAGATTTTCGCAGCGTTTATATAGCCTCCTGCTGGATTTTTGAGTTTGAGGCGAGTTGCATCGGTTATAGGCAATGCGGCATTCCGATTTTTCTTGGGATTTTTGAAAAATTCGGCGCATACATCTTCTTTTGGAGTGGTTGTTTTGATGGCAGCAAATTCTTCAGTGATGCGCGAGTTTTCTGAAAAAAAAGAGAAAATGAACTGAAACGGTAAATTTTGAAACAGATTACTGTACTCCTAAAACATTTTCCTGTTTTCACATAGCTTCACAAAAAACTTACGAAAAGCATTTTGTTGCAAAAATTTCTTGGCAGCAGATTCATGTGGCCAAGCAACTTGTTCAGTTGATCCAACAGAAGGATTTGGTGTGGAAGTTGGTTGATTTGTACTAGATGAAACTGGTCCCAAATTATTCGATGTTGGTCCTTTGCTTCCCTTCTTTCTAACCGATTTCTCTTTTCTTGTTGAAACTTCAGTTTTGGTTTTTCGTTTCGATTTTTCAAATTTCAGCGCATCTTTCAATGGATTCTTTTTCGTATTTGTATTCACACTTTTCTCTTGTTTCTTTTTCGCTGGATTTATTGCCGATCTCATCTTGCTTTCTTATTTGTTTTTATAATTTTTTGCGCTATGTTTTTCTATTATAACTTAGCTAGAAATGGAGCAGAGGGAAGTTGAGGAAGAACTGATCATTTTTTGGAGCAAAAAAAAAACTAGTTTTATGGGTCACGTTTTTAATTTTTTTATTTTTAGAAAAAGCCTTTTTTTCAATCAACATAATTTTTCTATAGAAAAATTTTTGAGCTTTATCCCTTTCTGATCTTTTCATTTCTTTCAATACAACCCTGTATACATACAGTAAAAAAAAGAGTTGACGTGAAAATTTCCAAAAACAAATAAATGAGTGAGAGAGTTTTGTTTGATGTTCGAAATACTAAAAAAAACTTCGTCCGTCGCCACATTTTTTTCACCGTTTCAAAGACTGTTAGATACTTTTGTCATACATAAAATAGGTCCCCCGAGTCAGTTTTCAAAGTTAAGGTCCCTCCTTGGAAATTTTCCAAAGTTAAACACCTTCCTCACATTTTTGAGCGAAGTTTGGTAAATTATCAGCAGAAAATTGGCCAAGTTAGGCACCCTTCCCTTCAGATTTTTGAAAAAAGTTAAGCCCCTCACTCCGATTCTGGGGACCCATTTCATGTATGACTTTTGTCATGACAAATATTTAATTTTTCCCATCTTTTTTTCTTCTTCCAAAAACATGTTGAGTAGAAAAATATGTGTCTTTTTGCAAAAAGAAAAAGAAGATGAAAAATTTGATTATGGAGAAAAAGTAGGTCGACGAGTGGGTCCTAAATGGCTCAATTTGGATGTATACGTCATTTTTTTGAGCTTTTTTGGCTCACAAGATTTTTTTTGGTTTTTATAGAATTTTTTTCAAACTTGGAGGCTTTAGGAAAAATTGATATTGAACCTATAATGTTTCCCAAAGTTTACGTAAATATTTATTAGTTTTTAAACTTTTGAAAGTTCATGTAGTTCATTGAACTGAAAACTCCTATATATATATTATACTTTTTACAAAAAAAAATAATGTACTTTTCGAATTTGAATGTTCTCAAGAATCTATTCCTTTTTTTCTTTTTTGGATATTAGCTTCAGAACATTTCCCTCGAATTGTGGATACAAAAATTCTATAACTCTTTTTTTTGGTATTAAAAATTTTAGAAAGTTCAAAGAAATCTTTCATATTTTCCAGGGTTTTCAAAACCCCTGGACTTTTTCTGAATTCTTCAGAACTCTTTTTCTCGCTGTCAAAAATCGTAGATTTTCTTTAAAACTCCATGGAAACTGAAAATTGTTTTCAAAAAATTTCAGAGAATTTTTTTTGCTAGGATACATTTTTCTAATGCCTCGGAATTTGAAAAAGAAGTATTAGTAATTGACTAAAACTGCATTTTTCAAAGTTCTTAGATGGAATGAGTGAAAAATAGGGGCTAGGTTTTTGGCAATTCAAATATAAAAAATGAATGTGTCTGAAACTGACTTGCGAAAACTTCCTTCTTCTTATGGACCATCAATTTTCGCTTCACATTTTCGAAACATTTTTTCTCAAAAAAAAACCCACCCACATCCACATGTTCTTTTTTCATCTCAACCTTTTGACTGACTCAATTCGACCCGTTTTGTTTCAACTCATAAAATATTTATTCACAACGAACGAAAAAAAAAAACCAAAATACATAAAATAAAATATGCAATACATGTTTTTCTTGTCTTTTTTGTGCTCCGAAAATGCAGGGCCAAAAAAAGAAGTCGAAAAAAGTACCTCCATAAACATTTTTTTCTCGGCCTAACATAAGCTTCTTTTTGTTTTTGTTTTCTTTTTTCCAAGAAAATGTACATTTTCTCCAAAAAATATATAAATAGAAAAGTTTATTTCTATTTTCGTTTCCCTCTTCTTCAGAACATTTTTGGGTCCGCCTCATTTTTTCCTTGTGACTCATTTTATTTTTCCATTGGTCCCTAGGTTCTTTGTGATGAAATTCATCTTTTTGTGACGCAAATATTCAGGTCAGAAGATTTTTAATTGAATTATTTTATATAAAAGTTTTCGAGTTTTCTCAGTTTTTTGTTATTCTGAAGCAGTTGGATTAGGCTTCCGAGTCTAGGCCCTTAGTCACATATTCTTCAGCCTAGGCTTTCATTATTAGGCTTATTCTTAGTTCAGGTTACAGTACTTTATTTCAATTTTTGTTGAAAAATCAGGAGGATTTCGCAGTATGTGGACTACTGTAATTTTTGTAGATGCAGCTATAGTAAAGATCTCTATTACGCTAAAACTAGCCTGTTTCTCAGCCGTGAGATTTTTTTCCTTTTTTGCAGTTCGGAGTACTGTATATTTTTTTTTTAGAAATTATTAGGCTTCTAGGCTTCCAGTTTCCAATATTTCCCAATTTTCTGAAATTTTCTGACCCACTTAAGAAAATCGAAAAAAATCCTGTGTGGATCATAAATTTTCACCCCAAATGCACCCGGCCTGCAAAATTCCCCAGGGACCGAGATTACGTCAAAGTTCGATTCTCGAATTTTCTCAATTTTTTTTCGAAATATTTCCGTCTTTTTTTATTCTTCGTGTTTTATTTTATTGGGGCGAACAAAGTTCGAAGCAGAAAAATGAGAAAAGAATAAAGAAAAAACGAAAGAAGATGTAATTTTCCATGTGTTTAGTTAGGCAGGCGAGAATAGCGGCAAGAAAAATCTATTTTTAGAATTTATGGATATTTTGAGGAAAAGAGGTGAATGTGAAAATTGTGTTGCTTTTTGTTGGTTAAACTTTAAAAGATGACTCAATTTTCTTATGTTAGGCTGAGCTATTTGGTTTGGGAATTTAAGATAAGTCTAGCTCGAAATAGGCTTGCGTTTTTGAGTAGAGATATATGCTTCATCTGATTTCTAGTTGGTTTCCGATTCTAGAATCAGGCTTCTAAGCTCCGACTTCTTGACTTAAGCTTCCAGTTTTTAGATATTTGCCACGTGGCGAATATTCCTGTAAAATTTTTCATATATTCTTACTCATCTTTTCAAATTATCATTTTTCATTTCAAATTTTCTTGGAAAATTCTGATCTTTGTTTCTGAGCGTCGAAAAATCTGAACTTTTCTGCTCCTCCAAAAACCAATTTATTTTTTATTTTTCACACCATCATAAACTTTTTGCGCACTTTTCTCTTTCTCTACACAAAAACTCATCCAATATTTCACATGACCAAAACCATTAATTTTTGATCCATTTTCCTTCGACTGCTGAAAATACATTTTTCGAACAACACTTCGTTTTTTGCGCCAAACAGCAATTAACTTTTTTTGCGCCTTTTTTGCTCATCCTCCTTTATTTTTCCTCACAAATTTTCTTGGTGAATCTTTTTTTTTCGTTGGGCGCAAAAATCCGATAAATTTTCGCTTCGTACTTTTTTCTGACATCACATTTTCGTAGACAAAGAGAGATATTTTTCGAGGAAGGAGGTAAGTTAGAACAACTGGTCAAAGCAAAAAAAAACCACGTGTTTTTAAGAATCTGAATGAATGATGTTTTTGTTGAAAAAAATTTGTTTTTTTCACTCGAAAGCACCAGAAATCGGATTTTTCTGGAAGAAACTTGAAAATTCCCAGATTTTTATTTTTACAAAATTTAATATTTTTCTGAAGTGAACTTACAAATTATGAGATCATCTTCTAATTTTTGAAAATTCCTAGATTTTCCTTATTGCTTTATCGTTTCTGAGAAACATTTCAAAATAAAAAATTCATTACAAAGCTAAAATCTTCAGTTTTCTTGAAAATTATTACTTTTCAATTACGTTCCAAATTTCCCAACATCTTGTTGAAGAAATTTTGAAATTAAAATAAGGCCAAACTAGTTTTCAATCACATCCCAAAACCTCCCGAAAATCCTGAAAACTTCCCGATTCCGCCGAAACTTTCTCTACTTTGAACTTTCCAATCTCAATTGATCTACATGATTCACAGAAAGTCGAAAAAAAACATCACATTTCTCTAGGTTCTCTCAAATTCTCACACTCTCTAATTTTCTACCACATGCTCTTCGAAGCTCCTTTGTGAAGGAAGAAGAAGAAGCAAATCATCACACAGTTGTTCTTTTTCATTTTCACTTCACACACGTTTTCTTCTTCAAAAAATCATTTCTTTTTTTTGAATCGAGATTTTCTTCAAAAACTTTTAATATTTGAATCTTGAAAAATATTCGATTTTCTTTCAGATTCTTCAGATTATTCAATGAAATGCGATCAAAAATTGTAGATTCACAATTGGAAAATACCAAGGTATGATTTGGCAAAGTTTTATTTAGTGACTGAATTTTATGAAAAAACCTGAGAATACATTTTATCTCTAAAAAATCAACATCTCATCCCAGAAATGTGTTGTCCAAAAATTAGTTGATTTGATCAAAGTTACGTGAGATAGCCTAACTCTTGCTCATCGCAAAAAAGTTATCTCTTGATTTTTTGATTGATTTCCCTGCCTCTCAAGAAACCCAAGTTTTCTTTTTCATCATTTTTTTTGTCTGGTGTAAAATCATGGCTTTTAGATATTTTTATTTATTGGAAAATCAGATCAGAAATTTTATTTGAAATGTGACTGCATTTTTTGTTGAAGTCGGACTATATTTCATTTCGTATTAAAATGGTCTATTTCGGGGCCTAAATATGGCTCAAATTTTACAAGAATCTGATTTTTGGGTCCCTATTCAGAATTCTTTTTCAACCATAATCCAACATTTCAATTTCAGATGCACACAAAACCCGGATTTTTCCGGCGCCAATGGCGAAAAGTAAAAAATGATTTTTCGGCCACACTTTTGGCACAATATCGACGATGTGTAGTTCGAATGAAAAAATGTCTACTGGACAACAATAACACCGAAGTTGAATCGCAACGACGAAAAAGTCAGGCAAAGTTGCATCCATTACCAGGTGAGCCAAGATTTCTGAACTTTTCCTCAAAAAAAGTTTTATTGTCCACTTTCACAATAAAACAATTGAGGGTAATTAAAGTTATACGAAAACAAGCGCCGAAAAGACAGCTGCCATCACATTTTCTCTTTCTACAAAATTTTTTGATGGAAATTTTCGATAGAGGAACTTTTCTAGAAGCCACGTGGAATTTAAGTGGAAATTGAGAAGTTACTGTTCCAAAATTAACGTAGAGTAGAATAACCTTATTCAGTGGCCTAGACGCCTAATACTTATAAACTCAGGCCTTAGCCTTCAAAAAAGGTTCCTGATAAGTTCAAAACATCAGCTGATTCGCGAGTGATAAAAAAAAATCACATTGCAATTGCACTTCCTGTTTTTCGCTCTGATTCACCTCTGTAGTTTTTTTTTTGCAACCCACTCAACAAAGATTACGAAACAGCAAAAAAATCTTCAATGAAACATTTTTACGTCATAAAACTAGAAACACATGTTGTTTTGTTCCAGATCGTCCCTTACGCCGAGTCGCATCAAAACTAAACCGAAAACCAACGAATGAAATAGAAAGACTTCGTAAAAAAGGCGATGATTGGACTGCAAATGATCTTTTCAAATTTCAATATTCTGATCCGGAAGAGGGAACACCGGAAGCAAGAAAACAATTATGTTACGATTGGCTTGATCGATTGCACGATATTTCCAAAAAATATTGTTATCTTGCATGGTACGTTTTTAAATACATATATTTACAGGAAGATGTTCTTTATGACTACGATGAAGAATACTTTTCATCGTGAGCACAAAAAAAATCATGCAAAGTGTAATAAAGTGTGGTGTGTTATTTTTAGTAACAATTGTCACTTCTACCATATGTTTTTTTTCGAAATTGATTGATTTTCGATTGAAATGTCAAGATATTCAGTCTCATAGAACTCTAAGGGCTGAAAAATTAGAAGCTTTTTAGCTCCAGGGATGATGATAACGTGTTAGCTACTAATTTATCTGCCATCATGATCAGAGCGTTGAGAAACAGAAAGCCAAGCCCTCAATATTATTAATGAGAATATTTTCTTTCAGGTATGAAGCTGCAATATATGCTTGTTACTATCGCCTAGCGCCAATTTTACTCGATCCAGTGGAAAAACAACGAATCTGGCAGGATGTAAAACATGAATATGCCGAGATTTTTATGATGGGAAGAAGAATTTGGAGAAGAGCGATTCACCCGAGCAGACTCCGTGTCTTCTATGATTTAGCTATGTTATGCGTACGATTTGGAGATGTTGAGAAAGATGATACAATTCCTCTCTTCAAGCATTTGATGTCGGATTCGACGAACTTTGATTTCAAAGTGTTGACAGAAACTGAATTTATCAAATCGTTGGACAAAGTTTTGAAGCTGGAAAACTATGTGATCGATCAATTTTACAAACGACGAAGATCTTCTGGATCAATTAGATCATCTTTCCGATCTCGAAGAAATACAGATTGTTCACCATCGAGACATTCAACAACATCATCGCATCAAATCACTCGAACACCATCCGATCGAACAAACCCAGATCAGGACGATGATTTGTGCAGTCTGACTGAATCTTTGAATCAAGTTTCGATAAGTCTACCAGCAACAACAGCTCCAGTTTTACAAGAGAAGGTGGCGCTCACAATTCCAACTATTGTTATTGAGGGACCACGACCTAGTTCACCTCGACTTGTACATTTCGATGATGATCAAGAAAATCGAGAAGAAAAAGAAGAAGTTTCGACAGAAGAATAACTTCAAAATTTGGTTAATTTCACATTAACGGGTTCAATTATTTTATTTGGATGATACTTAATTTGCTCCTTTTGTCTTAAATTATTCACTTTCGAATGTGCCTTGAAACAAACAAAACAAATAAATTCTTTCACGTAAAACGTGTTCTATTTTTTTCTGAAAACAATCGTGGTTTTTCTTTCATTAGTTCTAGCATTTTTTGAGATCATAGAAAAACGATTCGGTGAGGAGAGAAGTCTAGATTTATTTTCCAACTAAATTCTATTTAGTTCTAGAAAAAATGGACAAAAGTGCAGCTGCAGCATATGAGAAAATAGACAAAAAAGTGGCTGATAATCTGGAGGCCGCTCGTGAAATTCTGCAAAATTTACGAGAGGATGCCAAAAAAGCGGAGCCAAGAGCCAGGAAACCAACTAAAAAGCCCGTGGACGGGGCTTTGACACCAAGAACTAAAAGAAATCTGTTGTAAGTTAAGAAATGGAATGATTGTAAAAAGTTTGGAGATTTTTAGGGAGAAACCGGAGAAGAAAAATCGACCGGTCGGATTCAATGAATCGATGAAACCATTGGCAAGTATGGAGGATTTGTAAGTTTAGATTCAATTCGAAAAATATCCCGAATAATTGAGCCTGAGTTCCATAAAATCGAGAAATCAGACATATCTCGTTTCTGTATATTATCTCACTGAAGACATCTTATCATGGTGCACTTTAATTTTTAGAATCAAAAATTATGAATATAGTTCCATACAACTTCATAAAAAATCTTTGTAGGCATCGCACCAGAGAACGAAGTTGTCCACCAGATTCACTATTTCCAACTGCATCATACAAACCGATGTCGGAAAGATCTATCGATGTACGATTTTTTGATTGAGAAAGTTTTTGAAATTAAAATTGTTCGAATTTTTAGCTTTGTAATCAACGTCTTTCGGCATTCTCACCAAAAGTCGTTTATTCGAATACGTCACAAAGTGATTCGACAAGCTATTCAACAACATCAACAACAGCAACTATTACAAGATCGGACTCGAGTATTGATAAATTGTGAGTTAGAGATTGCCTCTAAAATTATTAAAGCCCTGATGGAATACCAAAGATGCCCTATGTTTTGAAATATCGTATCACAACTCCCACTCAAACTATTTTTACAGACTTTCGAAAAATAGAAAAACGTACGAAATGTTCCCAGCGGCCTCGTTCAAACCTGGAAAAGGGAAAAATCGTGTGATTCCGCTTTCTACTGAATCGCTCAAAGCGACTTCATCATCTTCAGGACAAAGTGTTGATTCAATCAGTATGTCGCAATTACCAATGACGTTTTTTTCAACTGACGGAAAGATGAAAATGCTTTTGGCGAAAAGTGATGGAAATGAACATGTTGCCGGGTTTTTGGCAAAAGTTAAACCGAATAAAGAGGAACCATCTTTCCCATCAATTCCGGTTCAACTTGCAAGTTCACATAAGGTAATTAATTCCCTTTAAATGGTAATGTATCATAATCTAAAATAAATTTAGATCAAACCACCTTGCCGTAACAAGTTCAACGCTGTTGTCAGAATTGGAAACACAACTTTGGATATTTCGGGAATCTTCAACAAGAAACAATTGAACGTTTCGAGTGTTGAAAAACTTGTGATTAATGGAAAAACCTATGCAAAATGATTTGAATTTTCCAAAAATAAACGTTTACTTTGAAACAATAACAATACCCGTATATAACAATAACAATTTCAAACATAAACATTTAAGCTGTTTCAGCTATAGCCTCTCCACCAGATGATATTGTCAATGTTTCAAGTTTTACAAAATCTTCGGGATCATAGATGACTCGCACAATTAAAGAGCAGCTCGGGCATGTTGCCACATCTTCGCCCATTTCGAGCATCTCTCTGAGATATTTTATTTTTTGGAGCGTTCATTTCTAATCTAGAAAATATTGAAATACCTGGCTATTTCAAATCGATCACCGCATGGACATGGATAATGATAAACATCTTTTTCTTCGTCGAATTCGAAATCTTCGATTTCTACTTCGTCGTGGAAAACTGCCATATCTGCCGGGTTACCTATAAATTAAAATTTTGCGTCTTTCAATTCATCACACAACACAAAAATCAGTAAAAAAATCGATTGCGAAACACAAAAAAAAGAAAAGAAAAAAAGTAAAAATAAATTGTGCAATGTTGCGTCAGTTTGTGTGTTTCAAATTGCAGAATTTATATGTCTACCGTACTCCTTCATTTTTTATTTTCGTTTTTTTTATTTTTTCAGTCTTTCGAAACTCGATAAACAACTGAAAATCAATTTTCAGCAAAATGTCAATGAGTGATTATGACCAACACTTTGATCCAGACGATTTTCCATACCAACTCAGAAGTACATCAACTTATACGCCAATAACTGAACAGGATAGTAAATTGAAGCATGAACTCTTATCAAAACTCTCGGAGACTTTGGCGGCATGGAATGCGCTTCACGAAAATATACATTTCGATCCATTGCCGATGATAATTCAGTAATTTTATATTATTTTTCCCACTTTAAATAAGATTTTTCTATTTCAGAATCGCTGAACTTATCGAAAAAGGAACTGAAGAATTTTTGAAAAGAGATCCAGATCCGCTGGATGATAGACATCCTCATAGAACACATCCTGAGTCAGCTTTTGGAAATCTTCTCAAAATATTGTTCAGAAATGATGATTTTATGAACAAACTTGTGATTTCATATATCCTTGGCAGAGATAACATCGAATTAAGTATTCAATCCTGTCGAGTTTTATTGGGATGTGTTCCAGGTCTTGATTCAAATGTTGTATTTTCTGTGAGTATTTGATATCTCTCAAAGTAAAAAATGCTCATAATAAAATATTTCAGGAACCGGATGATTTTGTTCCTCGTCTTTACGTTTGGGCAAAAGATAGTTCAAATGAAACCCTTCAAGCATATTCAATGGGACTGTTAGCAGCAGTTTTGGAAGTTCCTGATAATGTAACAAAATATCGAAGTGATAATATTGTTTTGGTTCCAATTGCATTGCGAAGATTGAAAGAGTTGAAAGAGAAAATGGAAGAAGAAAGAAGCTCGAAATCGTATCCGTATACAAGTTTTGCACATTTAGTAGATGAAGAGAGCAGTAATAGTAATGAAGCTTCAACAAGTACAGAGGAAGTGAAAAAGAAACCAAGAAGTGTGATAAAAACAAGTGATGAACCACCGAAAAAACGAAGAAAAACCTCGTCGAAAAATGGATTATCACAAACTCGCATTCCATCATTGAGCAATTTATGCTCGTTGGAAAATAGTAATAGCAAATGGGATATTTGTCAACCATATTTGATTGGAACACATAAAGTTTATCCGCTGTCTTTGGAAATGTATCAGAGACTTATTTTGCAATATTTAGGACCAACTGGAGAATATCAAGATGTAGGTATTTCTGGAAAATTAAAAAGTTTTTTTTTCAATTTATAAAAAATTGAATTTCAAAAGTTCCCAATTTTTCCAGCTCTTGAGTATGACTTATGAAGGAAATGCATTAGATTTGATTCTCTATTACATCGATTTGGATAAATCTTTAGATGTTCGATTGACATTTGACACACTCAAATATTTGACATGCTTATTGGTTCATCGAAAATTTGCTCTCGAATTTGTTGGATGTGGTGGAGTGCAATTATTATTGAAAACAAAACGAGAATCACTGGCGACTGTTGGAGTTATCACCGCATTGTATTATATCGCTTATAATAATGATGTTATGGAGGCGGTTTGTCAATTGGGTGACAAAATCATGGATGAGCTTGTTGAGTGCGTTTTTGAAGGGTTTTTATGATCCTTAATTTTTGAAAGAATTAAAATTTTATTTTGAAATTTAGCTTGATTTTTGTTCATTCTTCAAAAAATTGTTTTCGGGTTTTTGAAAGCAAATATTAAAATTAAAAAAAAATCAATATTTATTTCAGTTTCTGTTTATGGTGCCTTGAACATTGTCATGAAAATGGTCGTTCGAGCGCCGCCATGTTTTTCACGCACGCACTTTATTATAAAGCAATCTTGGAGCGATTTGATAGAATGGATGGACCCAGAAAATTGTATAATTATGTAGGTTTTTGGAACTCTTCATTTCCGAGTCAGAAATTCTAACTAACATAATTTCAGCTAGCAACTCTTTCGATGTTACAAGATGTTGCCTCGAAACACAGTTTCGATTTATCGGAAGAACAAGTTTATACAAGCACCCAATGTATTCGAAACGCTACAAATACATTTCGAACTTATGTAGCTGCACATCTTTATTGCAAGCTAGAATCAATCCGAAAAACAGTTGGCACAAAACTTGGAGGTCTTCAATTTCCCCATGCTCTTCTCACTGATATTCCAGCTGATAAATCAATGAAACAACTTGAAGAATATACTTGGGAATGTCAAAAAGTATTATGCGATGTTATTCGATTGTCCAATGCTTCATGGAGACCAATTGAAGAGTTGAGAAAACTTGGAGTTATTAAAACTATGCTCGCTATTCATATTTTGAGTCCTGACTGGAATATGACAAATCGATCGGAAATGACTGGAGCTGCGATAGAAGTCATTTCGGTTTGTTGTTGTTTGCCGAAAGTACAATTAGAATTAGTGGAAACACATACACATGTGCATACAACAGCTGATGGATTATCGTGGGTTTTTTTGGGGGAAAAGTTTAAAAATTCTTGAACAATTTCCAGAGTTCTTCTTCAAACTGGTAGAGGTATCCAACCTGAGGAAACTGCGGCGGTTCGAATTTGTGCTCTTAAAGTGATGATTTTATGCTTGAACGTGGATAAGGAGATTTATAAGGTAATTTTTATTGAAACTTTCATATTATTTTTTCTTACCCAAAACTAGAAAACCTCGAAATCTTTTCCAGAAACTAGATCATGCAAGACATCGTTCAACCGACGATAAAAAAGACAATTCTTCCAAAAAATCGACTCGAAATTCGTGCTCACCAGCTCGAATTCATTTGGAAACAATGTGGAGTGCATCACGAAAACAAGATGCAATTTTGATGTTAATTGATGTTTTGCATACTCGAACTCCGACAACAGATGCTGATTTAATTCGAACTCATGCTTGTACTGCTTTGGCTGGATTAGCGAGATGTGAAGAAGTTCGACAATTGTTATCCAAAATGCCATTGGTGGCTAATAATGAGTTGCAAGGTGAGCATTTCAAGTTTAAAAAAACAATGAAATGAAATACGTGGATTGTTGAAGTTCACGTTGAAAAGTATTTAGAATTTTTTTAATTTTTATGGTTTAAATTTGAAAACTTCTTCAAAGTCAGCTTGAATTCTCTTCTCCAAACTTAATAAAAAATTTCAAAAGTTGGAAATTCACCTTGAAATTTTCCTAGAATAAAATTAGAATAAGAAATTCATTAAATTTCATAAAATCCAGATTTTTCTATCGAATATTGCAGCTCTGATGCGCGAACCAGTTGCGGAAGACAAAAAAGCCGAACATCAAATGTTTTGCCGCGAAGTGACAGCTCTTCTCGAAATTGTCAGCGGTAAAACAATGCACGATCAAGTCAAAGATTTAACACAGGAAAAATTGCACAAACAATGGATTGTCGAAAATACAAAGATTAATTTCAATGAGAAAGAATTGTTGCAATTAATGATTCAATATTTGAATCAAAGCGGATATCAAGAATCAGCACAAATGTTGAAAAGAGAAGCAGATTTGCCAGATTTTCCTGGAACGAGAGCAAATAATAATGGAATTCCGGCGACTCCTATTAAAAGTTCGGAAACATTGCTGGAACCATCTACATCAACATCAACATCGGCTAAAAAATCTTCAAAACCACCAGTTTTTTCGTCGCCAATTGCTAGATCTTCTTCGATGGAAAATGATGATGTTTTTGCAACTCCGACGAGTGTTGTTAGATCGAGAACATCAGCGAATAGTGAGTTTAAAAATAAATTGAATGTTTTCTGTAAAATCTTGAAAATTTTCAAAATTTCATTCAAAAAAGTCCGGAAAAATTCAATTGCCAATTCTTATTTTTTTCCAGAAGCAGTCTTGAGTTTCCCAAAGAAATATCTCCAAAGTCCAATGAAGCCCCAAAAATCATATCCATTTTCTGGAAACGAAACAAAACCATATCGATCATTGGATGGAATTATCTCTGAATATTTGAGAACTCAACATTCTCGTTGCAAAAATCCAGTCACAACATGTCCTCCATTTTCCCTTTATTATCCACATCGTTGTCCAGATTTAAACACATCAGGAATGGTTTCAACAAATATTGCAAGACGACAAATGGACAAAGATATTCTTAATCCAAATAAACGAATTGTATCAAATTGGCTTGATGAACGATTCATTTTTAGTCGTTTTAGACCAATTAAAACAATTAACGAACACGATGAAACTTATACAACTTGCTCATTTTCAATTGATGATGAACATGTTATATTAGGCTTATTTTCTGGAGATGTTCATTGGATTAATATTGAAAGTGGAGCTGATGAAAGTGTTACAAATTGTCATAATAGTTCGATAACTCATATTGAACCATCTGAAGATGGAACTATGTTACTTACTTCATCTGCTTTTGTTAGACCACTTTCTGCACTTTGGAGACTTGGACATGCTATGGAATTACTTCATATTTTTAATGAAGATTCAACGGTCAAATTTTCGAATTCGAGTTTGGATAGGATTATTGGAACATTCTCCACTAAAGCTACACTTTATGATACAGAATCGAAACATGCTTTGAATAGTTTCAAATGTGGTGATTTTGATGAACCGAGACATACCAAAAATATTGCTAGTTTATCGCCTTGTGATCGATTGGTTTTTAATGATGGAGTTTTGTGGGATGTTAGAACTTCTGGACAACCTTTGCATGTTTTTGATATATTGAAAGAGAAGACTTTTAATGGATGTTTTCATCCGCATGGAAATCAAGTTATTATTAATACCGAAGTTGTGAGTTTTTTGTTGGAAGGGGAAAAATAAATATTCTCATGGCTTGGAAGAGTTGTATTTTTTGAAAGTCACGAGAAAACTTTTGGAAAACTAAGTTCTAACACCTTTTTTTTTTAAATGAAGCCTCCAAAAAGTGGAATTTTTCATAAAATACTATTCTAACCTTCTTTTTACAGTTTGACATTCGAAATTATCGACTTTTACACCATGTTCCGGCTCTCGATCAATGCAAAATCGTATTCAATTCAACTGGAAATATGATGATTGCTTCAATGTGTCAAGATCCAGATGCAGAACAAAATCTTGATACAATTGGTTCAACATCATTCAGAACTTTTGACACATCGGATTATTCAGTTATTACAACTCATGATATGAAAAAACCAATTCTTGGTTTATCAACTTCACATTCTGATACAATGGTTTCCGTTGTTGAACAACATAAACAATTAGCATCTGAATATATTGTTGGATCAGCTTCGCAATGTAAAATATTTTCAATTGGAAGACATCGTGTTGCTGGAGATGATGATGGAGAAGAAGAAGAAGAGGAAAATGAAGAAGATGAAGAGAATAATCGAAGTGATTCTGATGATTCAGTTGGAGTACATTCAGATGAAGACGACGATGGAAGTGACGATGAAGATCGAAGTAATTCAGATGAAAGTGGCGAAGATGATATGGATGATTATATTGATATGGACGATGATAGAAATAGTTTAAGTGTATTTGAAGCGCTTGGAAGATTGGGTGATTTGGAAGAAAGTGATGATGATTATGATGCGGAGAGTCGAAGTAGAAGTAGAAGTTTCTCAACTTCATTATCTTCGGATTCATCGGATAGTAGTAGTGGATGGGAAACTGCGAGTGGTGAGGGAAATGATGAAGAAGAACAAGAAGAGGGAGGAGTTCAATTTGGAAATATGGATCGATCGAATAGTGAAGAACCGGATGATAGTTATGAGTAAGTTGTTTAAACTATTCCTGGGAACATAGAGAAACTTACCTTTTTCTAGAAAAAATATAATTTCAGAGTTTTCAGTAATATCATTTTCCCTTCCATTTTTCTGAAAATATCGAAAATATTCTATTTTTTTCCAGGCCTGATCCTCAAAACGACATTGATAGTCGAAGTTCGACAGCTCTCAATCCACATCTTCGAAGACGTAATCAAAATAGTCAATAATCAAACTATTACAGTATTATGTAAGTAATTATTTGCTTTACAATCTCTTTTTTTCTTTATTTTTTGTTTCACCAGTGAATGTTGTTTTAGGCACCCCTATAATTATCCATTTTTTGTTGTTTTGTACTATAAAAATTGTTGATTTTGATCGAAGTTTCTGAATTTATGGAGAAGTTTCTATGAAAACTTGTCATTTTTCTCTCAAAATTCTTTATTTCGGTGGATACTTGTAGCGAGCCAATGTATAAGTTCTCATATAATCCTCATCGAACGAATTTGGTGCAGACATATCTGTGAAATGATGAACATCAAGTTCGAGACGTGGAATCATTGAATCTGCTTTCAATCCGCTCACCAAACCTTGTAAAGTATCCAAAGTTCGAGTTGTGTCTTGAACAACTGTTAGATCTGAAATTTAATTTGAGTTTTAGAGATTATTTTTGATAGAAAATTTGTTTCGAAATTAGAAATGGCTGAATTTATGTTATAAAACAATACCAGTAACTTTGCTGACTCGACTATCATCCACATATTTCAATTCACTTGATTTTCTTAGATTACTGTAGCTGAATGCTCTTTCTCGGAAAATCACAGCTGGACTTGGAGGTTTCTAGAAACATTTTTGTTAAGTTTTAAAAATTATCCGAAATAAGTTACCCGAAGCGTTGCAATTTCGCCTTTCTCAACTTTGATCGCATTGTCAACAAATTGACTCATATCAAAATTGGCGAGTTCTTCTTGTGGAATATTGAATTGGTCACCGAGATGTTTCACCAGAGATTTCATTGTCATTCTGAAATTTTCAATGTGGAAGTTGTGAAACTAAATTATTTACTAAATCATTTGTTAGACGTTTTTCTCATTTTTTGCTAATAAAAAATTTGTTTTGGTAAATGCTTTTCAAGTTTAAAAAATAATCTAATCATTATGTTTTAACAAAACGAGCCAGAATACAATTGTATTACGGTACGGAGGCTTTCGAAATTCAACTATTCTTAATTGTAGGCTGGGAAAAATGTGGTAATAAAGTCCCAAAAAAAATTTTTTTTTTGTTAAATTAAAAAAATTCCTAACCTAGTCCCACAAGTTTTTAAATTTTTCACCGTAGATCACGCGCGATTTCACTATCTTTTTGTCTCTTCTCTCTCGTATGGACGCCAATATTTTGAAACAGCGTTTTGAATCAATAAAAAAACAACCAAAAGTTTCCAAAAAATTAAACATATTTTTTCATATTAGTCGTGGATGAAAATATTCGAGATGATTTTTGTTGGAAAGAATGAAGAAATCAATTTTGAGCGATGAGATGAACGAGGAACCGTCGAAATTTCAAAGGTTAGTTCTTTTTTGGGGTTCGATTGAGTAGTGAAGTTTTAGTCGGAGGGAGTTCTGTAGAGTTCAAAATTTTTTAAACTGATTTGCATTTGAATCGAGGATGCTTTTGAAAGGAAGTATTTCGAATTTTTTTAAAATTTTGAGGTCGGGAGAAATAATATTTCTTTTTCTTGAAATATGAATTAGGCATGTGTTGTTTCTAAAGGTTGTTAGAACTTTGAGACAAGAAGGGGGATATATTGGGTTTTTTTGTGGATATGGACAAGTATCTTGGTGAAAAAATGATTTAAAAATGAAAAAAAAGTTATTTCATCAAAAAGTCGCTTGATAATAGTAACAATGAAGCCGAAATTAAGTTTTATATTTTTATTTTTTTGAAGTTTGTTTTTGTTATGTGATTTTTTGTGACTTAATTTTTTTTTCTCAAACGGTGTAAAATACAATTCGATTTGAATCTTGCACTGGATGACGTCATCACCCAATTTTTCGAAATAATTTACAGAATCTCTAATTTTTTGTGATATTTACATTCAAACTATGTTAAGACCTGCGCAGAAGCCGGTCGTTTCATTCTTGTACAATTTTACCCATTTCCAAAAATGCAATAACGCAATTTTTCCGCTTTGGCCGAAAAATAAAAAATCTAACGTTCTGATTTTTCAGTTTCAGTTCTTTCGAAAAAAAACTTCTAATCATAAATTTTACATTCCTATTTTTCTGTCTTTGTCTTGCCTTTCTCTATCTTCTCATATATGATGTTCTCGATGAAAACCGTGAAATTTCCTGATTTCTCGGGAAAAAAACCAAATTGAAAAAATAAACGAGAGAGTGTTGTGTGTAGAAGAGACGAAGACAGAAGGGGGAGAATGAGAGATAGAAACACGTAAGAGAGACGCCAGACAACACGACGGTTTGCGAATCTTTTCGCGAACCTCAAAACCATTTTTCGTTTTTTCACAAAAAATGCTAAAATCGTTCATACTTAACCAAATTTCACAATCTTTGCTGCAAAAGATGGCAAATTAACGAGAATAGAGATTGCAAGAAGAAAAACTTCAAAAACTTTTCCCCAAACACCGAAAAAATACGATTATAGGTTTTTCGGCTTGATTTCCCTCGATTTTTATGATGTTCGACTTGTTTTCCATGAATATTCATTTTTTTTTCTTTTTTAAAAAACGTGACTTTTATTCTGGGTGGTCATTTTTGACATTTCTAAAAATGTTGTGTTATTTAATTGTTTTTGCCAGCCTATTCTTTACTCAAAATGTTCTCTTTTTTTTTAATTAATCGTGAAAAAAAGTCGAAATTAAAAAAATTCACGTGACGCAACGTTGCCAGCAAAAATCGAGTCATTTCACATAAATCATGTTTTCTGAATCGGTGAGTTTTCAACAAAAAACAATTCTTGTATCAAATTTTTTCGAAATCCCTTAAAACTTAATTTTTTTACAGTTAACAATTGCACAAGAATCAGATATAATCGGCTCAAAAAGTGTTACAAAAGTGCAAAATCTTCCAAGTGTCGGAATCTGGAATGAAACAAATGTTCTTCTCAAAGACTATATCAAATCGTATTTTTCGAAGAAAATCAAACTCCTCAAATTCTTCCCAAATCAAACTTTTCCAACAAGAAAACGTGTCACAATTTTGACTCCCGAAAACAATTTATTGATTTATGAGACAAATTGCACGGGATATGTTTTTGTGATTGAAAATGCCAAAAAATTGGAGACTTCTTCGAGTAACAAAGCATATTCTGAATGTATTTTATCATTGAAATTTGAATTTGGAATTGTTAGTTTGGTTTTGATGAATCATCAAATATCAATTTGGCGTAGAACTTTGCATAATATTTTCGAAAATCAACAATTCGATCAAAGTTTATTATCAGAGATCAGTTTGTATACTGCAAAAGACGAATTGGAAGAATATGAAACTGATACTGAATTTGATTATACAGATCATAATATTAGTTTGAAATCAGCTCAAGGATATACAAATGTTCAAATTCCTAATAAAAATACTAGTGATGCATTTATTTTAACTCGAACAAATTCAAATAGAAGTTTGACATATTTGCCTTCGACTATTAGAAGTGCGACTTCGGTTAACTCAAAATTTGAGTTCAATAGAACGTAAGTTTTTATTTTTTTATCTCAAAATTCTATCTAACAACAAATTTCAATTTAGATTAACCGATTCAATTCGTCGTGGTCGAAAATGTGTTTCCTCTTTGGCCAAAAAATTTGAGGGAAAACTCAAAAAACATCAGCAACAAGAAAACGATGATATCGAAGAAGAAGAAGTTGTCGAATTGAAAACTCCACCTATTTTATTTCCAACTCTTCCTGTTAGAAAATTAGAAGATGTTCAGAAGGAAGATGTCAAAATTACTCGATTGGATTATACTCCGAGAAAAAATAAACCAGATTATTAAATAGAAAGAGATATAATGAAGTTTTTGTTTTTGAAAAATCTTGTTATATTCTTATTTGTAATTGTTACTTTTCTCAAGAAGTACTGTAAGTACTGTACGCGTAAGGTTTGATGTTTGAAAATTGGATCTACAGTATCTTTTTATTCTCAGTGAAGAATGTTGGTCTAGAACTAACTTTTTGTTGTGGTTTTTTACAAAAAAAAAGAATTTTCCCAAAAACTAACTTTTTTCCACCAAACCAAACGACAGCACTCGCAACATTTTCCATTTTCCTTCCAGCATAATGTATTTTCTTCAATAAATCGGCGGCAATTTCAATGGCCATAGTTGTCAATGCCAAACCAATTCCAATATAAACCAATGTAATAAAAAGATAATCAAAACTTTTTGGCACAAAATCACCAAGTCCAATTGTTGTCAATGTGACAAAATTGAAATACAGTGCATTGAAGAAATTCATCTCTGGCTCGTAAACCGACAGAATTTTTGCTCCAGCCAATAAATAGCAAGCAAATGTGATGCCCAAAGCTACAGATTCTTCAGTTTTTCGCGGTTCAGATTCTTCTTTTTCCTCGGGTTCAGCTTCTTCTTCTTCCTCAATTTTTTCTTCATTTTTTTCAATACTCTTTTTATCTTTCTCGCAAGATTTGGTAGATCTAGCCGACGTGTTTTTCGAAAATTTGGACAACAAAAAATCCGCTGATTTTTTCGATAAAGTTAACACACTTCTCAAGATTTTTGTGAGAAACATTCCGAGATCGGCGATTGTTAAAAGTGTAAATGGGACACCTATCAGACCATAGAAAATACAAAAAAGTCGACCTTCGAAAGTTTCTGGTGCAATATGTCCATAGCCAATTGTTGTGATGACTGTGAATGCAAAAATTACCGAATTTCCGATGGACCATTTTTCCGGTGGCTCTTGATTTTCTGAAAAACAAAGACAGAATCTATACAATTTTTCATCATAGAATCTTACCAATTTCAGCCGGTTTTTCTTCTTCGATTTTATTTTTCTCTTTTTTCACCACTGGAAACTGTACAGCCACAGTCAAGCCAAAATCGTCTATTCGGATTGGATGTCACAATGTTCGGTCCCTGATGGATGGCTCAAGGCGAGACGCCGAAAACATCGTGGCGAACGGCTATGGGATTGGATAGAGTCGGTAGTGATATGCTGAAACACGGTGGAGAAAAACTGCAGCAGAATCTTGCGAGATGCTTCAACAAATTGATTGAAGATGGAAAATATCCACCTGAATGGAACGAGATTCGCATTAAATTGTTGGAGAAAAAGCCAAATCCAGAAACCTTGAAAGATGTCCGCCCAATCTCCATACTATCAATCCCTGGAAAAGTATTCACAAAAATAATGACAAAACGAATGGCAAGAAAAGCTGAGAGCTATCTGGATGAGACCCAAAATGGATTTAGATGTGGAAGATCTTGCTCGGAAAATCTACAATCCATCACGTGCCTATGGGAAAAATGCCACGAATATGACATGCCGTTGATTCTCACTTTTATCGATTATCGTGCAGCGTTTGATTCAATTTACTGGAGTGCGGTACAGGAAGGTGTGTTGGAATCTGGGTTCGATCCACAATATATGGAAGCCATAAAAAGCTGCAACGAATTGGGCACCGGAGAGATCGAGATCTTTGGAGAGAAATTGAAAATACCTGTGGAAAGAGGTGTAAGACAAGGAGATTCGTCGTCACCTGCGCTCTTCGCAATTGCCTTACACAAACTCCTGAACGAAGCTGATCCACTACCTGAAGATGATGAAGAGGAGAATTTTGGAATTCGAGTCGATGGCAGATATATTTCAAGATTATTATTTGCGGATGATCTCGTTCTAATCGACAAAAACCCGAAAGACGCCTCAAATCGTGCCTCAAAAATTGCCAAAATCTGCGAAAAAGCTGGTTTGATGTTCAACACTGCCAAATCAAAAGTATTGAGAAATCAATGCGCCAACAATGCAAGTGTTCGAGTAAATGGTCAGCCACTTGAAGATGTTGATCAAATAAAATACCTGGGAAGAATCTTCAGGAAAGATGGCGCTTTGGACTCAGAAATAAATAACCGAATAAGAGCTGGCTGGGCGGCATATCACAGCATTGCATCTGCAATCAGCGAAATTTCAATCAAAGAGAAAAACCACTTCTTGAAATCCAGCGTTTTGAGTGCTATGACATATGCTTCAGAAACTTGGAACACGAAAGTTGAAGATATCAAACGAATCCAAAGAACAATCAACTATATATGGATTCAAGCAAACGCGGGAACTCCACCAAATTTGGAAAAGTTTATAATGAAGATAAAAATGCGCTGGGCTGGACACATTGTGCGCTTGCCAACTCAAAGAATATGCAGAATTATAACTTTATGGGAACCTCCGAATGGCGTGAAAAGAAGAAAAGGAAGACCGAAAAAGAGATGGGTCGATGACGTGCAAAATGAAGTCAAAGTGCACCAACACAACATCAACTTGCAAGGCCTCGGGGGAGGCGGAAGAAGAAGGATCGGGCTAATATCCAGTAAAATGCCCTGGTCACGATTGGCTAGAAGTCGAAGTTCCTGGAAACATCTGGTCCACAGCTACTCGCTCGAATAATGGACTATCAAAGTAAGTAAGTAAGTAAGTAAGCATTTATTTTAACTCGAACAAATTCAAATAGAAGTTTGACATATTTGCCTTCGACTATTAGAAGTGCGACTTCGGTTAACTCAAAATTTGAGTTCAATAGAACGTAAGTTTTTATTTTTTTATCTCAAAATTCTATCTAACAACAAATTTCAATTTAGATTAACCGATTCAATTCGTCGTGGTCGAAAATGTGTTTCCTCTTTGGCCAAAAAATTTGAGGGAAAACTCAAAAAACATCAGCAACAAGAAAACGATGATATCGAAGAAGAAGAAGTTGTCGAATTGAAAACTCCACCTATTTTATTTCCAACTCTTCCTGTTAGAAAATTAGAAGATGTTCAGAAGGAAGATGTCAAAATTACTCGATTGGATTATACTCCGAGAAAAAATAAACCAGATTATTAAATAGAAAGAGATATAATGAAGTTTTTGTTTTTGAAAAATCTTGTTATATTCTTATTTGTAATTGTTACTTTTCTCAAGAAGTACTGTAAGTACTGTACGCGTAAGGTTTGATGTTTGAAAATTGGATCTACAGTATCTTTTTATTCTCAGTGAAGAATGTTGGTCTAGAACTAACTTTTTGTTGTGGTTTTTTACAAAAAAAAAAGAATTTTCCCAAAAACTAACTTTTTTCCACCAAACCAAACGACAGCACTCGCAACATTTTCCATTTTCCTTCCAGCATAATGTATTTTCTTCAATAAATCGGCGGCAATTTCAATGGCCATAGTTGTCAATGCCAAACCAATTCCAATATAAACCAATGTAATAAAAAGATAATCAAAACTTTTTGGCACAAAATCACCAAGTCCAATTGTTGTCAATGTGACAAAATTGAAATACAGTGCATTGAAGAAATTCATCTCTGGCTCGTAAACCGACAGAATTTTTGCTCCAGCCAATAAATAGCAAGCAAATGTGATGCCCAAAGCTACAGATTCTTCAGTTTTTCGCGGTTCAGATTCTTCTTTTTCCTCGGGTTCAGCTTCTTCTTCTTCCTCAATTTTTTCTTCATTTTTTTCAATACTCTTTTTATCTTTCTCGCAAGATTTGGTAGATCTAGCCGACGTGTTTTTCGAAAATTTGGACAACAAAAAATCCGCTGATTTTTTCGATAAAGTTAACACACTTCTCAAGATTTTTGTGAGAAACATTCCGAGATCGGCGATTGTTAAAAGTGTAAATGGGACACCTATCAGACCATAGAAAATACAAAAAAGTCGACCTTCGAAAGTTTCTGGTGCAATATGTCCATAGCCAATTGTTGTGATGACTGTGAATGCAAAAATTACCGAATTTCCGATGGACCATTTTTCCGGTGGCTCTTGATTTTCTGAAAAACAAAGACAGAATCTATACAATTTTTCATCATAGAATCTTACCAATTTCAGCCGGTTTTTCTTCTTCGATTTTATTTTTCTCTTTTTTCACCATTTCAATATTTCTTGGTGGAATATCAGCTTTCAAATAACAATTATCAATTTGTTCAATATCTATCTTGCTCAAATCCAAATTTTCAGCACAATTATCTCGAGCCAAAATAGCGTTTATAGTTTGCTCCAAACATTTATGAACATTTGGATCCATTTCCGATAATTCTTCTCCTAGAAATATTCGTTCAACGCGGTCCGGGATTTCTCGTTTCATATGAGAGCGGCTGAAAATATTAGTTGTGATTAGATTTGGATTTTTGAGTTCTAAAGTTTTTTCTAAAATTTTTGAGATTTGACTGGAAAACTGAAATTCAAACTTTCATAATTTTTTAAATTCGTCAAATTCAAATTTAAATTAATTATCACTCACATTCTTTCCGGCGATTCTAAATATTGCATTGAAAGTGCTCCAAAAACCGTATAAATTGCGACTCCAACAATTAATGCAAAATGCACAAAAGCAGTTGAAACCTGCATAAAAAATCTCAATTTTTTGAGAAAAAAGCTATTCATTTTTTTGTATTGTGCATATTTTTTCCAAAAAATAAAACAACAAAAAATGCTTAAAACTTACACCTTCCAGCGACGTTTTCAAACTCTCCACCAAAAACATTTTTCTCTATTTTTTTCGAATAAAAAATATATTTGCAGAAAGCAAAAAAAAAAGTCAGGTACTACTAAAATATGAATTATGCCAGGATGTTGGGGCACCGCATTTCAAATAAAAGCCAAACTTTTTCTACTTATTTTTTTTTGAATTGTGAGGTTTTTGGGTGAGCAATTATATTTGCTCATGTTGGGATTTAGTCAATTGGAAAGTTTGGAGACAATTTGTAAGAAAATGGCATTTTTTAAAGAAAGTTTTGAGCTCAAAATTCAAACATGATTTATGACGTGGCAACATTTTTAATTTGAAAATGATTTTGAATTTTGAAAATTATAATGAAATTTTCATACGTGACCTTTTTTCATTTTTGATTTTCAATTTCTAATATCATTTTCATTTTTCACAAGAATTTCTGAAAATTCTTATTTTTAGCCACATTTTTCTTAAATTTCAGAGTTAATGACTCGAAAAATTCTGATCCATTTTTTCCGCATAAAAAGTTATTAGAGGAACTTTGAATTTCTTTTGAAAAAATGGCGCATACAGTAATCCTAATTACGGTAGCTAAAAACTTGGTATATCCAGATTTTCTTCAGAATTCAATTTTTTTTTTAACTCACCCATTTCCATTTTTCCGGGAACTCAAACATTTCTGCAACTTTTCTATTTTTTTCAAAGAAAAAATATACTTTTTTTGAGAAATGAGGTCACTAAAAATGGGATTATAGGTACTAAAAGTAAGAATAGAACGAAACTAAAAAATAAACGAAATTCGAATAAATCTGGATGAATAGATAGAAAAATGGGAGAACAACAGGAAAACGAGCAAAAAAAATAAAGAACACATATATATTTCATGTTCAATTATGGGTTTCGAAAAAATGAGAAGAAAATACGGTTTTTTAAGATGGCTAATAGAAACCTCTTATTTTAAGGGAAAAAAGTAGACTTCCAAACCGGGACGGTTTCTGAACCAAAAATTTATTTCTGATTCGGGTACAATTTTGAAATGGGTCTAAGAAAACATTGGTAAAAGTAGGTTCATAAATTTCCAGTTTTGTCTGGTTGAATCACGATTTGAAAAAAATCCTCAAAAAAATTTTGTTTTAGAAATTCTCATTTTTGAAAGCATTCATATTTCAAAAGAAGACGAAATAAAAAATAAATAAATAATTTTTCGAAGATGAGAAATATAAACCAATTCAATCTTTATGCATCTTGGAGACGACGGTTTTTGGTCCTTAATTTTTAAAAGTATTTTCTTTTGAAATTTAGCAGAAATACTTAATTTTTCAAAAAATTCTTTTCGGGTTATTGAAAGCTAGTTTTAAAATTTTCAAAAAAAATCAATATTTATTTCAGTTTCTGTTTATGGTGCCTTGAACATTGTCATGAAAATGGTCGTTCTAGTGCCGCCATGTTTTTCACGCACGCACTTTATTATAAAACAATCTTGGAGCGATTTGATAGAATGGATGGACCCAGAAAATTGTATAATTATGTAGGTTTTTGGTTCTCTTCATTTTCGAGTCAGAAATTCAAACTAACATAATTTCAGCTAGCAACTCTTTCGATGTTACAAGATGTTGCCTCGAAACACAGTTTCGATTTATCTGAAGAACAAGTTTATACAAGCACCCAATGTATTCGAAACGCTACAAATACATTTCGAACTTATGTAGCTGCACATCTTTATTGCAAGCTAGAATCAATCCGAAAAACAGTTGGCACAAAACTTGGAGGTCTTCAATTTCCCCATGCTCTTCTCACTGATATTCCAGCTGATAAATCAATGAAACAACTTGAAGAATATACTTGGGAATGTCAAAAAGTATTATGCGATGTTATTCGATTGTCCAATGCTTCATGGAGACCAATTGAAGAGTTGAGAAAACTTGGAGTTATTAAAACTATGCTCGCTATTCATATTTTGAGTCCTGACTGGAATATGACAAATCGATCGGAAATGACTGGAGCTGCGATAGAAGTCATTTCGGTTTGTTGTTGTTTGCCGAAAGTACAATTAGAATTAGTGGAAACACATACACATGTGCATACAACAGCTGATGGATTATCGTGGGTTTTTTTGGGGGAAAAGTTTAAAAATTCTTGAACAATTTCCAGAGTTCTTCTTCAAACTGGTAGAGGTATCCAACCTGAGGAAACTGCGGCGGTTCGAATTTGCGCTCTTAAAGTGATGATTTTATGCTTGAACGTGGATAAGGAGATTTATAAGGTAATTTTTATTGAAACTTTCATATTATTTTTCTTACCCAAAACTAGAAAACCTCGAAATCTTTTCCAGAAACTAGATCATGCAAGACATCGTTCAACCGACGATAAAAAAGACAATTCTTCCAAAAAATCGACTCGAAATTCGTGCTCACCAGCTCGAATTCATTTGGAAACAATGTGGAGTGCATCACGAAAACAAGATGCAATTTTGATGTTAATTGATGTTTTGCATACTCGAACTCCGACAACAGATGCTGATTTAATTCGAACTCATGCTTGTACTGCTTTAGCTGGATTAGCGAGATGTGAAGAAGTTCGACAATTGTTATCCAAAATGCCATTGGTGGCTAATAATGAGTTGCAAGGTGAGCATTTCAAGTTTAAAAAAACAATGAAATGAAATACGTGGATTGTTGAAGTTCACGTTGAAAAGTATTTAGAATTTTTTTTAATTTTTATGGTTTAAATTTGAAAACTTCTTCAAAGTCAGCTTGAATTCTCTTCTCCAAACTTAATAAAAAATTTCAAAAGTTGGAAATTCACCTTGAAATTTTCCTAGAATAAAATTAGAATAAGAAATTCATTAAATTTCATAAAATCCAGATTTTTCTATCGAATATTGCAGCTCTGATGCGCGAACCAGTTGCGGAAGACAAAAAAGCCGAACATCAAATGTTTTGCCGCGAAGTGACAGCTCTTCTCGAAATTGTCAGCGGTAAAACAATGCACGATCAAGTCAAAGATTTAACACAGGAAAAATTGCACAAACAATGGATTGTCGAAAATACAAAGATTAATTTCAATGAGAAAGAATTGTTGCAATTAATGATTCAATATTTGAATCAAAGCGGATATCAAGAATCAGCACAAATGTTGAAAAGAGAAGCAGATTTGCCAGATTTTCCTGGAACGAGAGCAAATAATAATGGAATTCCGGCGACTCCTATTAAAAGTTCGGAAACATTGCTGGAACCATCGACATCAACATCAACATCGGCTAAAAAATCTTCAAAACCACCAGTTTTTTCGTCGCCAATTGCTAGATCTTCTTCGATGGAAAATGATGATGTTTTTGCGACTCCGACGAGTGTTGTTAGATCGAGAACATCAGCGAATAGTGAGTTTAAAAATAAATTGAATGTTTTCTGTAAAATCTTGAAAATTTTCAAAATTTCCTTCAAAAAAGTCCGGAAAAATTCAATTGCCAATTCTTATTTTTTTCCAGAAGCAGTCTTGAGTTTCCCAAAGAAATATCTCCAAAGTCCAATGAAGCCCCAAAAATCATATCCATTTTCTGGAAACGAAACAAAACCATATCGATCATTGGATGGAATTATCTCTGAATATTTGAGAACTCAACATTCTCGTTGCAAAAATCCAGTCACAACATGTCCTCCATTTTCCCTTTATTATCCACATCGTTGTCCAGATTTAAACACAGCAGGAATGGTTTCAACAAATATTGCAAGACGACAAATGGACAAAGATATTCTTAATCCAAATAAACGAATTGTATCAAATTGGCTTGATGAACGATTCATTTTTAGTCGTTTTAGACCAATTAAAACAATTAACGAACACGATGAAACTTATACAACTTGCTCATTTTCAATTGATGATGAACATGTTATATTAGGCTTATTTTCTGGAGATGTTCATTGGATTAATATTGAAAGTGGAGCTGATGAAAGTGTTACAAATTGTCATAATAGTTCGATAACTCATATTGAACCATCTGAAGATGGAACTATGTTACTTACTTCATCTGCTTTTGTTAGACCACTTTCTGCACTTTGGAGACTCGGACATGCTATGGAATTACTACATATTTTTAATGAAGATTCAACGGTCAAATTTTCGAATTCGAGTTTGGATAGGATTATTGGAACATTCTCCACTAAAGCTACACTTTATGATACAGAATCGAAACATGCTTTAAATAGTTTCAAATGTGGTGATTTTGATGAACCGAGACATACCAAAAATATTGCTAGTTTATCGCCTTGCGATCGATTGGTTTTTAATGATGGAGTTTTGTGGGATGTTAGAACTTCTGGACAACCTTTGCATGTTTTTGATATATTAAAAGAGAAGACTTTTAATGGATGTTTTCATCCGCATGGAAATCAAGTTATTATTAATACCGAAGTTGTGAGTTTTTTGTTGGAAGGGGAAAAATAAATATTCTCACGGCTTGGAAGAGTTTTATTTTTAAAAAGTCACGAGAAAACTTTTGGAAAACTAAGTTCTAACATCTTTTTGAAATGAAGCCTCCAAAAAGTGGAATTTTTCATAAAATACTATTCTAACCTTCTTTTTACAGTTTGACATTCGAAATTATCGACTTTTACACCATGTTCCGGCTCTCGATCAATGCAAAATCGTATTTAATTCAACTGGAAATATGATGATTGCTTCAATGTGTCAAGATCCAGATGCAGAACAAAATATTGATACAATTGGTTCAACATCATTCAGAACTTTTGACACATCGGATTATTCAGTTATTACAACTCATGATATGAAAAAACCAATTCTTGGTCTATCAACTTCACATTCTGATACAATGGTTTCCGTTGTTGAACAACATAAACAATTAGCCTCTGAATATATTGTTGGATCAGCTTCGCAATGTAAAATATTCTCAATTGGAAGACATCGTGTTGCTGGAGATGATGATGGAGAAGAAGAAGAAGAGGAAAATGAAGAAGATGAAGAGAATAATCGAAGTGATTCTGATGATTCAGTTGGAGTACATTCAGATGAAGACGACGATGGAAGTGACGATGACGATCGAAGTAATTCAGATGAAAGTGGCGAAGATGATATGGATGATTATATTGATATGGACGATGATAGAAATAGTTTAAGTGTATTTGAAGCGCTTGGAAGATTGGGTGATTTGGAAGAAAGTGATGATGATTATGATGCGGAGAGTCGAAGTAGAAGTAGAAGTTTCTCAACTTCATTATCTTCGGATTCATCGGATAGTAGTAGTGGATGGGAAACTGCGAGTGGTGAGGGAAATGATGAAGAAGAACAAGAGGAGGGAGGAGTTCAATTTGGAAATATGGATCGATCGAATAGTGAAGAACCGGATGATAGTTATGAGTAAGTTGTTCAAACTATTCCTGGGAATATAGAGAAACTTACCTTTTTTCTAGAAAAAATACAATTTCAGAGTTTTCAGTAATATCATTTCCCCTTCCATTGCACCATTTTTCTGAAAATATCGAAAATATTCTATTGTTTTCCAGGCCTGATCCTCAAAATGACATTGATAGTCGAAGTTCGACAGCTCTCAATCCACATCTTCGAAGACGTAATCAAAATAGTCAATAATCAAACTATTACAGTATTATGTAAGTAATTATTTGCTTTACAATCTCTTTTTTTCTTTTTTTTTGTTTCACCAGTAAATGTTGTTTTAGGCACCCCTATAATTATCCATTTTTTGTTGTTTTGTACTATAAAAATTGTTGATTTTGATCGAAGTTTCTGAATTTATGGAGAAGTTTCTATGAAAACTTGTCATTTTTCTCTCAAAATTCTTTATTTCGGTGGATACTTGTAGCGAGCCAATGTATAAGTTCTCATATAATCCTCATCGAACGAATTTGGTGCAGACATATCTGTGAAATGATGAACATCAAGTTCGAGACGTGGAATCATTGAATCTGCTTTCAATCCGCTCACCAAACCTTGTAAAGTATCCAAAGTTCGAGTTGTGTCTTGAACAACTGTTAGATCTGCAATTTAAATTGAGTTTTAAAGATTATTTTTGATAGAAAATTTGTTTCGAAATTAGAAATGGCTGAATTTATGTTATAAAACAATACCTGTAACTTTGCTGACTCGACTATCATCCACATATTTCAATTCACTTGATTTTCTTAGATTACTGTAGCTGAATGCTCTTTCTCGGAAAATCACAGCTGGACTTGGAGGTTTCTAGAAACATTTTTGTTGAGTTTTAAAAATTTTCCAAAAATAAGTTACCCGAAGTGTTGCAATTTCGCCTTTCTCAACTTTGATCGCATTGTCAACAAATTGACTCATATCAAAATTGGCGAGTTCTTCTTGTGGAATATTGAATTGGTCACCGAGATGTTTCACCAGAGATTTCATTGTCATTCTGAAATTTTCAATGTGGAAATTGTGAAACTAAATTATTTGTTAAACGTTTTTCTCATTTTTTGCTAATAAAAAATTTGTTTTGGTAAATGCTTTTCAAGTTTAAAAAATAATCTAATCATTATGTTTTAACAAAACGAGCCAGAATACAATTGTATTACGGTACGGAGGCTTTCGAAATTCAACTATTCTTAATTGTAGGCTGGGAAAAATGTGGTAATAAAGTCCCAAAAAAAAAAATTTTTTTTGTTAAATTAAAAAAATTCCTAACCTAGTCCCACAAGTTTTTAAATTTTTCACCGTAGATCACGCGCGATTTCACTATCCTTTTGTCTCTTCTCTCTCGTATGGACGCCAATATTTTGAAACAGCGTTTTGAATCAATAAAAAAACAACCAAAAGTTTCCAAAAAATTAAACATATTTTTTCAGATTAGTCGTGGATGAAAATATTCGAGATGATTTTTGTTGGAAAGAATGAAGAAATACATCAATTTTGAGCGATGAGATGATCGAGGAATGGTCGAAATTTCAAAGGTTAGTTCTTTTTTTGGGGTTCGATTGAGTAGTGAAGTTTTAGTCGGAGGGAGTTCTGTAGAGTTCAAAATTTTTTAAACTGATTTGCATTTGAATCGAGGATGCTTTTGAAAGGAAGTTTTCTAATCTTCTAAAAATTTTGAGGTCGGGCGAAATAATATTTCTTTTTCTTGAAATATGAATTAGGCATGTGTTGTTTCTAAAGGTTGTTAGAACTTTGAGACAAGAAGGGGGATATATTGGGTTTTTTTGTGGATATGGACAAGTATCTTGGTGAAAAAATGATTTAAAAATGAAAAAAAAAAGTTATTTCCACATAGAAAAAAATAGAACAATTTTTGCTGCTGTGCGGTGTTTGCAGACTCGAAAAAAGCCCGTCGCGTTTTCACGTTTTTCCACGTGTCAAAGAAATTTCGTTTTTTTTTCCATTGAAATTTAGAGAGTGCGCCGCAAAATTGCAAATTTTGAAAATAAAAAGAGGGCGGAGTCGTGTGTCTTCACGCGGTCAGAACAATGAGTCCGCAATTTCACGTGAAAAAGAAAAATGTTTTATTTTTTTCTATGTGTATTTCATCAAAAAGTCGCTTGATAATAGTAACAATGAAGCCGAAATTAAGTTTTATATTTTTATTTTTTTGAAGTTTGTTTTTGTTATGTGATTTTTCGTGACTTAATTTTTTTTTCTCAAACGGTGTAAAATACAAATCGATTTGAATCTTGCACTGGATGACATCATCACCCAATTTTTCGAAATAATTTACAGAATCTCTAATTTTTTGTGAAAATTACACTCAAACTATGTTAAGACTTGCGCAGAAGTCGGTCGTTTCATTCTTGTACAATTTTACCCATTTCCAAAAATGCAATAATACAATTTTGGCCGAAAAATAACAAATCTAACGTTCTGATTTTTCAGTTCTTCGAAAAAAAACTTCTAATCTTAAATTTTACATTCCTATGTTTCTGTCTTTGGTTTGCCTTTCTCTATTTTTTCATATATGATGTTCTCGATGAAAACCGTGAAATTTCCTGATTTCTCGGGAAAAAAACCAAATTGAAAAAATAAACGAGAGAGTGTTGTGTGTAGAAGAGACGAAGACAGAAGGGGGAGAATGAGAGATAGAAACACGTAAGAGAGACGCCAGACAACACGACGGTTTGCGAATTTTTTCGCCAACCTCAAAACCATTTTTCGTTTTTTCACAAAAAATGCTAAAATCGTTCATACTTAACCAAATTTCACAATCTTTGCTGCAAAAGATGGCAAATTAACGAGAATAGAGATAGCAAGAAGAAAAACCTAGAAAAGTTCTCCCCAAACACCGAAAAAATACGATTATAGGTTTTTCGGCTTGATTTCCCTAGATTTTTATGATGTTCGACTTGTTTTCCATGGATATTTTTTCTCAACAAAGAAAAAAACAGAATTGTTGAAATTTTGGCTGAACAAAAAATGTTGTATTCTTGCATTATTGCAGTCTGGTACCATTAAAAAACGTGACTTTTATTCTGGGTGGTCATTTTTGACATTTCAATGAATGTTGTGTTATTTAATTGTTTTTGCCAGCCTATTCTTGACTCAAAATGTTTTCTTTTTTTTTAATTAATCGTGAAAAAAAGTCGAATTTAAAAAAATTCACGTGACGCAACGTAAACAATTGCCAGCAAAAATCGAGTCATTTCACATAAATCATGTTTTCTGAATCGGTGAGTTTTCAATAAAAAACAATTCTTGTATCAAATTTTTTTTTGAAATCCCGTAAACCTTAAACTTTTTACAGTTAACAATTGCACAAGAATCAGATATAATCGGCTCAAAAAGTGTTACAAAAGTGCAAAATCTTCCAAGTGTCGGAATCTGGAATGAAACAAATGTTCTTCTCAAAGACTATATCAAATCGTATTTTTCGAAGAAAATCAAACTCCTCAAATTCTTCCCAAATCAAACTTTTCCAACAAGAAAACGTGTCACAATTTTGACTCCCGAAAACAATTTATTGATTTATGAGACAAATTGCACGGGATATGTTTTTGTGATTGAAAATGCCAAAAAATTGGAGACTTCTTCGAGTAACAAAGCATATTCTGAATGTATTTTATCATTGAAATTTGAATTTGGAATTGTTAGTTTGGTTTTGATGAATCATCAAATATCAATTTGGCGTAGAACTTTGCATAATATTTTCGAAAATCAACAATTCGATCAAAGTTTATTATCAGAGATCAGTTTGTATACTGCAAAAGACGAATTGGAAGAATATGAAACTGATACTGAATTTGATTATACAGATCATAATATTAGTTTGAAATCAGCTCAAGGATATACAAATGTTCAAATTCCTAATAAAAATACTAGTGATGCATTTATTTTAACTCGAACAAATTCAAATAGAAGTTTGACATATTTGCCTTCGACTATTAGAAGTGCGACTTCGGTTAACTCAAAATTTGAGTTCAATAGAACGTAAGTTTTTATTTTTTTATCTCAAAATTCTATCTAACAACAAATTTCAATTTAGATTAACCGATTCAATTCGTCGTGGTCGAAAATGTGTTTCCTCTTTGGCCAAAAAATTTGAGGGAAAACTCAAAAAACATCAGCAACAAGAAAACGATGATATCGAAGAAGAAGAAGTTGTCGAATTGAAAACTCCACCTATTTTATTTCCAACTCTTCCTGTTAGAAAATTAGAAGATGTTCAGAAGGAAGATGTCAAAATTACTCGATTGGATTATACTCCGAGAAAAAATAAACCAGATTATTAAATAGAAAGAGATATAATGAAGTTTTTGTTTTTGAAAAATCTTGTTATATTCTTATTTGTAATTGTTACTTTTCTCAAGAAGTACTGTAAGTACTGTACGCGTAAGGTTTGATGTTTGAAAATTGGATCTACAGTATCTTTTTATTCTCAGTGAAGAATGTTGGTCTAGAACTAACTTTTTGTTGTGGTTTTTTACAAAAAAAAGAATTTTCCCAAAAACTAACTTTTTTCCACCAAACCAAACGACAGCACTCGCAACATTTTCCATTTTCCTTCCAGCATAATGTATTTTCTTCAATAAATCGGCGGCAATTTCAATGGCCATAGTTGTCAATGCCAAACCAATTCCAATATAAACCAATGTAATAAAAAGATAATCAAAACTTTTTGGCACAAAATCACCAAGTCCAATTGTTGTCAATGTGACAAAATTGAAATACAGTGCATTGAAGAAATTCATCTCTGGCTCGTAAACCGACAGAATTTTTGCTCCAGCCAATAAATAGCAAGCAAATGTGATGCCCAAAGCTACAGATTCTTCAGTTTTTCGCGGTTCAGATTCTTCTTTTTCCTCGGGTTCAGCTTCTTCTTCTTCCTCAATTTTTTCTTCATTTTTTTCAATACTCTTTTTATCTTTCTCGCAAGATTTGGTAGATCTAGCCGACGTGTTTTTCGAAAATTTGGACAACAAAAAATCCGCTGATTTTTTCGATAAAGTTAACACACTTCTCAAGATTTTTGTGAGAAACATTCCGAGATCGGCGATTGTTAAAAGTGTAAATGGGACACCTATCAGACCATAGAAAATACAAAAAAGTCGACCTTCGAAAGTTTCTGGTGCAATATGTCCATAGCCAATTGTTGTGATGACTGTGAATGCAAAAATTACCGAATTTCCGATGGACCATTTTTCCGGTGGCTCTTGATTTTCTGAAAAACAAAGACAGAATCTATACAATTTTTCATCATAGAATCTTACCAATTTCAGCCGGTTTTTCTTCTTCGATTTTATTTTTCTCTTTTTTCACCACTGGAAACTGTACAGCCACAGTCAAGCCAAAATCGTCTATTCGGATTGGATGTCACAATGTTCGGTCCCTGATGGATGGCTCAAGGCGAGACGCCGAAAACATCGTGGCGAACGGCTATGGGATTGGATAGAGTCGGTAGTGATATGCTGAAACACGGTGGAGAAAAACTGCAGCAGAATCTTGCGAGATGCTTCAACAAATTGATTGAAGATGGAAAATATCCACCTGAATGGAACGAGATTCGCATTAAATTGTTGGAGAAAAAGCCAAATCCAGAAACCTTGAAAGATGTCCGCCCAATCTCCATACTATCAATCCCTGGAAAAGTATTCACAAAAATAATGACAAAACGAATGGCAAGAAAAGCTGAGAGCTATCTGGATGAGACCCAAAATGGATTTAGATGTGGAAGATCTTGCTCGGAAAATCTACAATCCATCACGTGCCTATGGGAAAAATGCCACGAATATGACATGCCGTTGATTCTCACTTTTATCGATTATCGTGCAGCGTTTGATTCAATTTACTGGAGTGCGGTACAGGAAGGTGTGTTGGAATCTGGGTTCGATCCACAATATATGGAAGCCATAAAAAGCTGCAACGAATTGGGCACCGGAGAGATCGAGATCTTTGGAGAGAAATTGAAAATACCTGTGGAAAGAGGTGTAAGACAAGGAGATTCGTCGTCACCTGCGCTCTTCGCAATTGCCTTACACAAACTCCTGAACGAAGCTGATCCACTACCTGAAGATGATGAAGAGGAGAATTTTGGAATTCGAGTCGATGGCAGATATATTTCAAGATTATTATTTGCGGATGATCTCGTTCTAATCGACAAAAACCCGAAAGACGCCTCAAATCGTGCCTCAAAAATTGCCAAAATCTGCGAAAAAGCTGGTTTGATGTTCAACACTGCCAAATCAAAAGTATTGAGAAATCAATGCGCCAACAATGCAAGTGTTCGAGTAAATGGTCAGCCACTTGAAGATGTTGATCAAATAAAATACCTGGGAAGAATCTTCAGGAAAGATGGCGCTTTGGACTCAGAAATAAATAACCGAATAAGAGCTGGCTGGGCGGCATATCACAGCATTGCATCTGCAATCAGCGAAATTTCAATCAAAGAGAAAAACCACTTCTTGAAATCCAGCGTTTTGAGTGCTATGACATATGCTTCAGAAACTTGGAACACGAAAGTTGAAGATATCAAACGAATCCAAAGAACAATCAACTATATATGGATTCAAGCAAACGCGGGAACTCCACCAAATTTGGAAAAGTTTATAATGAAGATAAAAATGCGCTGGGCTGGACACATTGTGCGCTTGCCAACTCAAAGAATATGCAGAATTATAACTTTATGGGAACCTCCGAATGGCGTGAAAAGAAGAAAAGGAAGACCGAAAAAGAGATGGGTCGATGACGTGCAAAATGAAGTCAAAGTGCACCAACACAACATCAACTTGCAAGGCCTCGGGGGAGGCGGAAGAAGAAGGATCGGGCTAATATCCAGTAAAATGCCCTGGTCACGATTGGCTAGAAGTCGAAGTTCCTGGAAACATCTGGTCCACAGCTACTCGCTCGAATAATGGACTATCAAAGTAAGTAAGTAAGTAAGTAAGCATTTATTTTAACTCGAACAAATTCAAATAGAAGTTTGACATATTTGCCTTCGACTATTAGAAGTGCGACTTCGGTTAACTCAAAATTTGAGTTCAATAGAACGTAAGTTTTTATTTTTTTATCTCAAAATTCTATCTAACAACAAATTTCAATTTAGATTAACCGATTCAATTCGTCGTGGTCGAAAATGTGTTTCCTCTTTGGCCAAAAAATTTGAGGGAAAACTCAAAAAACATCAGCAACAAGAAAACGATGATATCGAAGAAGAAGAAGTTGTCGAATTGAAAACTCCACCTATTTTATTTCCAACTCTTCCTGTTAGAAAATTAGAAGATGTTCAGAAGGAAGATGTCAAAATTACTCGATTGGATTATACTCCGAGAAAAAATAAACCAGATTATTAAATAGAAAGAGATATAATGAAGTTTTTGTTTTTGAAAAATCTTGTTATATTCTTATTTGTAATTGTTACTTTTCTCAAGAAGTACTGTAAGTACTGTACGCGTAAGGTTTGATGTTTGAAAATTGGATCTACAGTATCTTTTTATTCTCAGTGAAGAATGTTGGTCTAGAACTAACTTTTTGTTGTGGTTTTTTACAAAAAAAAAGAATTTTCCCAAAAACTAACTTTTTTCCACCAAACCAAACGACAGCACTCGCAACATTTTCCATTTTCCTTCCAGCATAATGTATTTTCTTCAATAAATCGGCGGCAATTTCAATGGCCATAGTTGTCAATGCCAAACCAATTCCAATATAAACCAATGTAATAAAAAGATAATCAAAACTTTTTGGCACAAAATCACCAAGTCCAATTGTTGTCAATGTGACAAAATTGAAATACAGTGCATTGAAGAAATTCATCTCTGGCTCGTAAACCGACAGAATTTTTGCTCCAGCCAATAAATAGCAAGCAAATGTGATGCCCAAAGCTACAGATTCTTCAGTTTTTCGCGGTTCAGATTCTTCTTTTTCCTCGGGTTCAGCTTCTTCTTCTTCCTCAATTTTTTCTTCATTTTTTTCAATACTCTTTTTATCTTTCTCGCAAGATTTGGTAGATCTAGCCGACGTGTTTTTCGAAAATTTGGACAACAAAAAATCCGCTGATTTTTTCGATAAAGTTAACACACTTCTCAAGATTTTTGTGAGAAACATTCCGAGATCGGCGATTGTTAAAAGTGTAAATGGGACACCTATCAGACCATAGAAAATACAAAAAAGTCGACCTTCGAAAGTTTCTGGTGCAATATGTCCATAGCCAATTGTTGTGATGACTGTGAATGCAAAAATTACCGAATTTCCGATGGACCATTTTTCCGGTGGCTCTTGATTTTCTGAAAAACAAAGACAGAATCTATACAATTTTTCATCATAGAATCTTACCAATTTCAGCCGGTTTTTCTTCTTCGATTTTATTTTTCTCTTTTTTCACCACTGGAAACTGTACAGCCACAGTCAAGCCAAAATCGTCTATTCGGATTGGATGTCACAATGTTCGGTCCCTGATGGATGGCTCAAGGCGAGACGCCGAAAACATCGTGGCGAACGGCTATGGGATTGGATAGAGTCGGTAGTGATATGCTGAAACACGGTGGAGAAAAACTGCAGCAGAATCTTGCGAGATGCTTCAACAAATTGATTGAAGATGGAAAATATCCACCTGAATGGAACGAGATTCGCATTAAATTGTTGGAGAAAAAGCCAAATCCAGAAACCTTGAAAGATGTCCGCCCAATCTCCATACTATCAATCCCTGGAAAAGTATTCACAAAAATAATGACAAAACGAATGGCAAGAAAAGCTGAGAGCTATCTGGATGAGACCCAAAATGGATTTAGATGTGGAAGATCTTGCTCGGAAAATCTACAATCCATCACGTGCCTATGGGAAAAATGCCACGAATATGACATGCCGTTGATTCTCACTTTTATCGATTATCGTGCAGCGTTTGATTCAATTTACTGGAGTGCGGTACAGGAAGGTGTGTTGGAATCTGGGTTCGATCCACAATATATGGAAGCCATAAAAAGCTGCAACGAATTGGGCACCGGAGAGATCGAGATCTTTGGAGAGAAATTGAAAATACCTGTGGAAAGAGGTGTAAGACAAGGAGATTCGTCGTCACCTGCGCTCTTCGCAATTGCCTTACACAAACTCCTGAACGAAGCTGATCCACTACCTGAAGATGATGAAGAGGAGAATTTTGGAATTCGAGTCGATGGCAGATATATTTCAAGATTATTATTTGCGGATGATCTCGTTCTAATCGACAAAAACCCGAAAGACGCCTCAAATCGTGCCTCAAAAATTGCCAAAATCTGCGAAAAAGCTGGTTTGATGTTCAACACTGCCAAATCAAAAGTATTGAGAAATCAATGCGCCAACAATGCAAGTGTTCGAGTAAATGGTCAGCCACTTGAAGATGTTGATCAAATAAAATACCTGGGAAGAATCTTCAGGAAAGATGGCGCTTTGGACTCAGAAATAAATAACCGAATAAGAGCTGGCTGGGCGGCATATCACAGCATTGCATCTGCAATCAGCGAAATTTCAATCAAAGAGAAAAACCACTTCTTGAAATCCAGCGTTTTGAGTGCTATGACATATGCTTCAGAAACTTGGAACACGAAAGTTGAAGATATCAAACGAATCCAAAGAACAATCAACTATATATGGATTCAAGCAAACGCGGGAACTCCACCAAATTTGGAAAAGTTTATAATGAAGATAAAAATGCGCTGGGCTGGACACATTGTGCGCTTGCCAACTCAAAGAATATGCAGAATTATAACTTTATGGGAACCTCCGAATGGCGTGAAAAGAAGAAAAGGAAGACCGAAAAAGAGATGGGTCGATGACGTGCAAAATGAAGTCAAAGTGCACCAACACAACATCAACTTGCAAGGCCTCGGGGAGGCGGAAGAAGAAGGATCGGGCTAATATCCAGTAAAATGCCCTGGTCACGATTGGCTAGAAGTCGAAGTTCCTGGAAACATCTGGTCCACAGCTACTCGCTCGAATAATGGACTATCAAAGTAAGTAAGTAAGTAAGTAAGCATTTATTTTAACTCGAACAAATTCAAATAGAAGTTTGACATATTTGCCTTCGACTATTAGAAGTGCGACTTCGGTTAACTCAAAATTTGAGTTCAATAGAACGTAAGTTTTTATTTTTTTATCTCAAAATTCTATCTAACAACAAATTTCAATTTAGATTAACCGATTCAATTCGTCGTGGTCGAAAATGTGTTTCCTCTTTGGCCAAAAAATTTGAGGGAAAACTCAAAAAACATCAGCAACAAGAAAACGATGATATCGAAGAAGAAGAAGTTGTCGAATTGAAAACTCCACCTATTTTATTTCCAACTCTTCCTGTTAGAAAATTAGAAGATGTTCAGAAGGAAGATGTCAAAATTACTCGATTGGATTATACTCCGAGAAAAAATAAACCAGATTATTAAATAGAAAGAGATATAATGAAGTTTTTGTTTTTGAAAAATCTTGTTATATTCTTATTTGTAATTGTTACTTTTCTCAAGAAGTACTGTAAGTACTGTACGCGTAAGGTTTGATGTTTGAAAATTGGATCTACAGTATCTTTTTATTCTCAGTGAAGAATGTTGGTCTAGAACTAACTTTTTGTTGTGGTTTTTTACAAAAAAAAAGAATTTTCCCAAAAACTAACTTTTTTCCACCAAACCAAACGACAGCACTCGCAACATTTTCCATTTTCCTTCCAGCATAATGTATTTTCTTCAATAAATCGGCGGCAATTTCAATGGCCATAGTTGTCAATGCCAAACCAATTCCAATATAAACCAATGTAATAAAAAGATAATCAAAACTTTTTGGCACAAAATCACCAAGTCCAATTGTTGTCAATGTGACAAAATTGAAATACAGTGCATTGAAGAAATTCATCTCTGGCTCGTAAACCGACAGAATTTTTGCTCCAGCCAATAAATAGCAAGCAAATGTGATGCCCAAAGCTACAGATTCTTCAGTTTTTCGCGGTTCAGATTCTTCTTTTTCCTCGGGTTCAGCTTCTTCTTCTTCCTCAATTTTTTCTTCATTTTTTTCAATACTCTTTTTATCTTTCTCGCAAGATTTGGTAGATCTAGCCGACGTGTTTTTCGAAAATTTGGACAACAAAAAATCCGCTGATTTTTTCGATAAAGTTAACACACTTCTCAAGATTTTTGTGAGAAACATTCCGAGATCGGCGATTGTTAAAAGTGTAAATGGGACACCTATCAGACCATAGAAAATACAAAAAAGTCGACCTTCGAAAGTTTCTGGTGCAATATGTCCATAGCCAATTGTTGTGATGACTGTGAATGCAAAAATTACCGAATTTCCGATGGACCATTTTTCCGGTGGCTCTTGATTTTCTGAAAAACAAAGACAGAATCTATACAATTTTTCATCATAGAATCTTACCAATTTCAGCCGGTTTTTCTTCTTCGATTTTATTTTTCTCTTTTTTCACCATTTCAATATTTCTTGGTGGAATATCAGCTTTCAAATAACAATTATCAATTTGTTCAATATCTGTCTTGCTCAAATCCAAATTTTCAGCACAATTATCTCGAGCCAAAATAGCGTTGATAGTTTGCTCCAAACATTTATGAACATTCGGATCCATTTCCGATAATTCTTCGCCTAGAAATATTCGTTCAACGCGATCCGGGATTTCTCGTTTCATATGAGAGCGGCTGAAAATATTAGTTGTGATTAGATTTGGATTTTTGAGTTCTAAAGTTTTTTTTTGTTGAAATTTTTGAGATTTGACTGGAAAACTGAAATTCAAACTTTCACAATTTTTTAAATTCGTCAAATTCAAATTTAAATTAATTTTCACTCACATTCTTTCCGGCGATTCTAAATATTGCATTGAAAGTGCTCCAAAAACCGTATAAATTGCGACTCCAACAATTAATGCAAAATGCACAAAAGCAGTTGAAACCTGCATAAAAATCTCAATTTTTTGAGAAAAAGCTATTCATTTTTTTGTATTGTGCATATTTTTTCCAAAAAAATAAAACAACAAGTAATGCTCAAAACTTACACCTTCCAGCGACGTTTTCAAACTCTCCACCAAAAACATTTTTCTCTATTTTTTTTCGAATAAAAAATATATTTGCAGAAAGCAAAAAAAAAGTCAGGTACTACTAAAATATGAATTATGCCAGGATGTTGGCGCACCGCATTTCAAATAAAAGCCAAACTTTTTCTACTTATTTTTTTTTTGAATTGTGAGGTTTTTGGGTGAGCAATTATATTTGCTCATGTTGGGATTTAGTCAATTGGAAAGTTTGGAGACAATTTGTAAGAAAATGGGATTTTTTAAAGGAAATTTTGAGCTCAAAATTCAAACATGATTTATGACGTGGCAACATTTTTAATTTGAAAATGATTATAATGAAATTTTCATACGTGACCTTTTTGGTTCATTTTTTATTTTCAATTTCTAATCCCATGTTCATTTTTCATGAGAACTTCTGAAAATTCTTATTTTTAGCCACATTTTTCTCAAATTTCAGAGACTCGAAAAATTATGATCCAATTTTTCCGCATAAAAAGTTATTAGAGGAACTTTGAATTTCTTTTGAAAAAATTGCGCATACAGTAATCCTAATTACGGTAGTTAAAAACTTGGTATATCCAGATTTTCTTCAGAATTCAATTTTTTTTAAACTCACCCATTTCCATTTTTCCGGGAACTCGAACATTTCTGCAACTTTTCTATTTTTTTCAAAGAAAAAATATACTTTTTTTGAGAAATGAGGTCACTAAAAATGGGATTATAGGTACTAAAAGTAAGAACAGAACGAAACTAAAAAATAAACGAAATTCGAATAAATCTGGATGAATAGATAGAAAAATGGGAGAACAACAGGAAAACGAGCAAAAAAAATAAAGAACACATATATATTTCATGTTCAATTATGGGTTTCGAAAAAATGAGAAGAAAATACGATTTTTTAAGATGGCTAATAGAAACCTTTTATTTTAAGAGAAAAAAGTATGCCTCCAAACCGGGTCGGTTTCTGAACCGAAAGTGTATTTCTAATTCGGGTACAATTTTGAGATGAGTTATTTTAAGAAAACATTGGTAAAAGTTGGTTCATGAATTTCAAGTTTCTTCTGGTTGAATCACAATTAAAAAAAATCCTCAAAACAATTTTTTTTGAAAAAATTCTCATTTTTGAAAGCATTCATATTTCAAAAGAAGACGAAATAAAAAATAAATAAATAATTTTTCGAAGATGAGAAATATAAACCAATTCAATCTTCATGCATCTTGGAGACGATTTATTAAAAATATTTTGAAGAAAAGAGATGAAATGAATCCCGAAAAATATGGATGTGCACTTTTTGGAATCAGATTACCACTCGACTTTCAGAACCCATAGAATGAATATTTTTGCAATCAGTGCTCAATTCAAATTTGGATCCTTATTTTTCAGTTTCATTTTCAAAAATAATTTTGTTTGAAATTTGAATTGATCGAAAATTCAAACAGAAAAGCTACAGTACCTGTTGCAGTTCGGAAGAGTGGAAAATGTTTGAAATGCATTCTTGATACGTGGGCACAAAAAACTTGTTTTTTTGTTAACCACAAAGATCAGCCAAACTTTTCAAAGCGATTTTTACAGACTTTTCAGTTACAAATAAGAGAAAATTTTCTCATTTTGTTGTCAGAACATCTTTCAGTGGTCGAGTCAGATGAAAAAAGATTTCCCAAAGAACGATCAGACTAGATATTTGAGTTTCCATTCAAATTTCACAACACATGTTTCAAATACAATTTTTATTCAAAAAAAAGTTGTTTGAAAGATTCCTTGATTGAGTGTGATTTATGGTGGTCCCATGTAGCACGATTGATCGGTGCGAGCCTTGAAGACTTGGGCTCCTGGGTTTGTGTTTCCTCCCGATGTTTGTCCACCGCTGCTTCCTCCTTGAGCATAATCTTCACGAGCATATCCGGAGGATGAGGCATTGCTTCCCATGTATCCAGACGAATATCCTCCAGCAGACATATAAGCCGATTTGTCAGCCATTGCTTTTTATTCTTCTTTTGAAGTTGTGCTTCACAAGATGATTTAGTGGTTTCAATGACAGCTTTTATAGCAAGAATTTGAGACGTGGATTTGAGATGCCACGTTTCAGATAAGAAAACTAAGTGGTACACGTATCAAAACATTTATTTTTATGTTTTTTCTTATTTTGCGAAAAAAGAAAAATAAAACAACGATGCTCCGTATTTATAGCACCTGTTAGTTTCAGTTTTCAGACTATAACTTTTGAAAATATGTTTCAGGAAAATGTGAATAGTTGGCTATCTTCATCTCGACGAGACGAATCGAAAGGTATAAGATTTTGTAAGCTCAAGTTTTTAGTGATAAAAATAGCTTATTAATTTCAGAAAATGGTTCTCTCATGTGCTCGATGTAGTTCTCATGGTGAAAAATATAATTATCGTCAACCCACGTATTCAATTATCCAGCTGCGAAATTGTCTACTCATAGCTTTATTTTTGGATAGTTATCACAGCTCGTATTTGCTCCAAAATGTCGACTTTGGTGAATGTAAAAGATGGAATTCAATCAATCTCCTCGATTTTCTCATTTTTCACCAATTCTTTGGCGATTTTTCTGATCTTCACAAAATCTCCATCAAAGATGGGTGCCTATAAATATTTGATGATTTATTTTGCATTGGTTTCAATTGTGTTTTCAATGTTCGAATTTTCAGTAAAGCCGGTAAGTCTTCAAAAAAAAAATAGGAAAAGTATTTTTTATAATTTTCATTTCAGTTTATGCATACACATCAATCTTGTCTCATTGTTTTTGCGAAGCGTTTGGAAGGATTTTCGGAGAATACAAATTTGCTGATTTTATGTGAGTTGTTTTTTTTGTTGAAAATTCAAAACTTTTAAATGATAAATTAATTTTCTAGGCGCTGCTTGTGGAACAGTTTCAGTAACAATTTCAATTTTCGCAATTCATTTCATTTTTCGATATTTTGCAATTGAACGAAAAGGAAAACTTGCATATTTTCAAGGTTTCTACTTGATTTTCTGGATCATAGTTCCATTGATAAGCGGACTGATTTGGCTAATTTCAATTCGAGTTTTGTTGGGACCAAATGAAACAACAAGCAATTTTATAAGGCAAAAAATATTGGAAACTTATGGATTTGACATGTCTGAAATTGTATACGTGGCAGCTTTTTATGGAACTCAAAATGATTTGAAATATAATGTTATTGCTGGGATGGTCTCACTTTTTTTGAATTTGGTGAATTTTTGTAAAATGTTTGAGCATGACTGACTAAGGCTGAATATCTTTTGAATTTAGAGCTTCGAAGTTTCAAAATAAAATCTGAAAATAGTTTCAGCCTAATATTTTAAAAGGAATTTTCAATTCAAATTTTTCCAGACATTTTCAATTGGTATTGTATTATTCTGCGGTTTCAAAATATTTCGAAAAGTCAAATTGTTGGATAAAATCGAAGGCGAATCCAAATACACAAAACGGTTGCAAAAACAATTGGCTCGAGCTCTCGTTATTCAGGTGAACAATTCAAGAAAATACTGGTCTATAAATATCTCTAATATTTTCAGACACTTCTCCCAATTTGCCTAGTTATAATTCCTCTTGCCACAGTATTTATTCTCCCAATTTTCGACATTGGTTTGAATGGTTTCACAGAAATTGTCAATTTATCCACTGCAATATATCCAGCCGTCGATCCACTTCCAACTATTTTAATCGTTGATAATTATCGAAAATCACTCGGAAATTGTTTATTTTTTGCAGTGAAATCTCGAAAAATTCAACAAATTCCTGAATAAAAATATTTTCGAAAGTTTCAAAAAAATAAATAAAGAAGTGAAAGTTACATATTTTTGATATTGCAAAATGAAAACAAAAACAACAACAGCTAATGTTAGCCTAAGTCTGACCGGTTCAGTTACGGATTTCAACAATGGAAAGGATTGGATAGACATAAATAGAGAGAGAGAGGTTAACTAGTAGAAGTGGACAGGTTTGTTATGCATTTTTTGTATTGGAGAGATGTTGAAGGCAGAAAATGAGACTTGGAAGTTTTTTTTTGGAAAAAATGTTTTCAGAAAAAAAATATTGAAATGTGTTTTTTTTTTATTGATAAAAATGTCACGTTTTAAAAATGGAGTATTAATTTTTTTCGCAGCTCATTTTCTGAAAAAAATTCCGAATCAATGAAATGATTTTCAGAAAAGGAAAAGTTGCGAAAATTCATAATTTTTGAATGTAAATCCAGGTTTCTGGAGTCTGATTTGGATCTGAAAATCGAATCGCTGAAATTTTGTGAAAAAACTGTACATGATCTGAAGAAGCCAACCTCGGTTCAATTCAAACATTCTCAAAATTGATTCCGATTAATTGGATCCTGCCATTTCCTAAAAATAAAGTTGGTTATCTTCATCAACTTTTCTATAATCTCATCTCGATTCAATACCAAATGCAATACAATGCAACAACAAATCGAGAAGTAGCGAAACCAGCTTTCTCCCCCCTTTCATTCTTCTTCTTTTTCTCCATTTTTCCCTCCCGGGAAACATCATCATTATTCTCATCATCAATTTCTTTCTCTATCCAAAACAACAACACATAGTATTATAATACAATATACATAAGAGGAGAGAGAAAGAGATTACGAAAATACCAGTAGCAATACAAAATAGTAGCTAGGACTAGCCATCTTCTTACATAATTCTCGATCCTCCCGCCAGTCGAACATCAGCCAAAAAAGGAGAAAAAAATGAGAGGGAGAAAATAGAAAAACAGAAAACAAGCTGCGCTTCGCTTATCCACTTTCTCTCTGTATTCTGTTTTTTTTTACTTTTTGGTTCGGGAGAGAATCTCAAGTTTATTTCTGCTAATGGAGAAGAGATTACTGTATTTTTCTGGAACTTACATTTAGTTCAACTCTAAACAGTTTGACTTAGTTCTGAAAATCTGAATTAGAGAGCTGAGCTTTAATATCTTCTTTTCATTTTATTTCTTTTCAATTTTTTCTGCTGGTGGATTACTGTAATATTTTTTGAACTTCTATTTAGTTCAACTCTAAATTTTTTTTCACAGGGTAATCTCAAGTTTTTGTTCTTTTAGATTACTGTATTTTTTGCGTTTGTTCAAGTTTTCTCGGTTTTTGTGAGTACACTAGTTTTTGGAAAATCAGAAAATTTTCTGGATTTTTAGAAAAGTTTGTTCCAATCTCTTTTTCTGAACAAATCTCCGATAATAATAATCTTTAACTTTTCCTAGACAAATATATAAATAATAAAAACATTCCAATCACAAACCCAAGTAAAAAAAAGATATCAAAACTTGTAATGTCGTAATCACTGCGCGATAAATAATGATCGATTTGAATATACTTATTTAGTTACATCACATAATAACTTGTTTTGGATAAAGTTATGTGATCCTAAAAAAAATTACAGAAAAAACTGTGAAACTTTTTATGTGCCAAAAGTTTCATTGAAATTTTGTTTTCAAATTCCCCCATTTCCCACCAAGAAAGATTTTTTTTTGGTTTCAGTTTCAGTTTCACTTTTTTCTCCATTATTTGTTATATTTTCGATGCATTAGCAGTACATAATACCAAAACAACAACATTTCGCTTTTTTCTTTGAACCCATCGCTTTTTTCTCACACTGGGTAATCCTTTTTTGGGAATTTTTGGTTTTTGAGAAAAACTCTTGGGAAAATGAAATTTTCCCATGGAGTTTTAGTATAAATATGAGTACTTTTTTGACTTTGGGAGTTTTTTTTTAGTTTAAAATTTTTAAAGGGTTTGAATTGTATTTTTTTGTTACTGTAATTCATAGAAATTTTATTTTTTTTTGTCAGTTGGATTTTCACCTCCTGAACTGCCACGTGGAATGTTTTAAAAATTTTATAGTTATATTCATCGAAAGGATGTTGAATTAACCATTTCAAAATTTTTGAAACCCACGAGGCAAAATTTTTTCCGATGTAAAGATCCACGTGGCAATTTCTTACTTAAAAAAATGGCGAATACATTCATGAACAAAAACATCTTCAAGAATTTCCAGAAAAAATATTTCAAATTCTCTAACTAGAAAGAATCTAACTCCACATTATCCCAATTATTATTTTCTTCATTTTGATGTTCTCAATTTTTGTCATCATTCTATACACATTTTTGCTCCCATCTTTGCACAGTGAATCAAACAAAACCAAACCAAACAATATCATATGTCCAGTTGAAAAATAGAAAAAAAGAAAATTGCCAGCGGCACAAAAAATGGCCAGCCAGCGCCACCCGCGACAAGCACCGAAGAGCACATCAAAACAACACACAGCACACATACACAAACATAAAATATATAGCGACAAAAAAAAACACATAGACAACATATAACCACAAAAAATGTCTGCGCCACCTGCGTCTCTCGCTCCGATTTTTCTCCCCACAATGACCAACCAGGCAGGCAGTGTGAAACCGGGTGGTCGAGTTGCTCGCCTGAGGCCTTCGGCGTATCACTTGGTACCACCAAACAGCGAAAAAAAAGAAAGATGGACGCAAAAAACACATAGCGAAAAATAAAAAATATTGAAGAATGACAAAAAATTCGCGTTTTTGATTCTTTTTTATTTCATTGCTACTTTTATGACTCATTCATTTTTCTCGATTTAGTTCCTTTTACGATTCTGATCTTCTGTACTTTGAACATCTGCCTGAAGATAATTATTGAGATTTCTGAGAAAGAGAGAGAGGGTTGATACTTTTAGAGAAACATTTGAAAGTTTGGAGCTCGTGAATTTTTTTATGAAAAAAATTTTGAAGTGCAACGTGGATTTTTTCTTTGAAAGTCAAATTTTTCGGAATTTTTTTCAAAGAACATCTGCCTGATTTCAAAGGTGTTTTTGAAGAAGAGTCTAGTCTAGGAATTTTTTAAATACGATGACTAATCTCAAAGTGGACATGAATGTTTCGAGCTCGTGAATTGTTTTATGAACAAACTTTTGAAGTGCCACGTGGATTTTTAGAATGAAATTCAATTTTTTCGAGACTTTTTTTGGAAACATCTGCCTAATTTTCGAGAGAGCTAATTTTCAAGTGGGTAAAAAACAATCTTTGAATTTGGTTTTAGGTTTCATGTGATTTCTTGAGTGCCACGTGGAGTTTAACCAATCACGAGAACATCTCTTTGATTATTTTTTAACCTTATTTTGATCTTATGAATAGTGAAGTGCCATTTTGATTTTTTTCTAGAACTCTGAAAATTTTTCGGAAAACTTTGAGCACTGCACCACGATTTTTTTTCAAAAATAAACATAATTTCAAGTGCCACGTGGATTTTTTTTGTTGATAAAAAATACATCAAGAGAGATAGAAAAGGTCATTAGAGATGAGTCAAGTGTGCTGATGTCAGAAAAAAAAAACAAAAAAAAACATAATATATTTGTTTTGGAATAAATGCTCTGAAGTTCGGAAATGCCCGATTTTGCTGTAGTTCGGGATTCTGAAAATCTTGATTTGATTTTATCTTATGCTCCTGAACTTGACAAGCTAATTTTTTGAATTATCGAAAATTATTTCGATTTATCCTAATTTTTTTCTCAGATCTTCTCTGAGTTCTCCCTCGATTTTCAAACTCTACAGTAACTCCTTCAAATCATATACCTTCCGATTGTCTTTTCTAGTTTTATCCTAGATATTTTCTTGATTCAAATTTCATGATCCCTGAACTCTCGTCACATCAAATCTTCCTTTCCTGACATCACCAGTGGTCAAAACTATAATCTATTTATCCATCCTCTTCTCTCCTTTCCTTTCACATATTTTTCTAGTATTTCTTGTTGTTGTTGTTGTTGTTTGTGGTTCGTTGGTTGGATGTAGTATATTCATTCCTATGTGTGTGCCGGTCAGTGCCTTCCTTCGTAGCTCCGCGCCATTTTCCGTCGTCGCCGCCAAGAAAAAACAAAACAGAAAAAAAACAAAATAAGAACCTCAAAACAACAACAACAACAACAAAAGGAATAGGAATACTATGAACTTTTTTCGTTCCGGATATTCCTTTTTTCAATTATTTCATATTTCATTGTAAATTTTCAATACTCTATAGAATTTTTTTTGGTGTCAGGCAGTCAGAACTAAAAAAAAGGTGATGTCATAATATAGAAAAGGGCGGAGTCTAATTTTGATCTACTGTATTTTGTTGGAAAACGAAAACTGTGTGAATTTTGAGAGCTCCATTCTGGAATTTTTTGAATTGAGCTAGTAGAAACACTCAAGGTTTCAGAACTTTTCAGAATTTCTGAAAATCATAAATGTCTTCTAGAAGTTTCAAACATGATTTACTAGAATTAGAAACACTTGAATTTTAATTTTGAGATTTACACTGGGTTCAAAAAATTTTGGATCTTATTTTGAACTGTACTATTTTGAAATTATTTTTTTTGTATCAACTTTCGAAGCTTGTAATCCTTATTCTAGATAAAAATCTGATTTTTTTTCCTTTCCTTAGCGTGACGCTTTCTGTTCAAATTAATTTAATTTCAATTCCAAAACTCACCTCAATTTTTTATAACTCACCAAATTTTTTTTTCACCTATTCCACTTTTTTTCTGAAAATATATTCCAAAATTTGCTCGAAATTCTCACATTTTTCGAAAAAAAATTCACATTTTCCAAAAATTGTCATCCCTGAATTCTGAAAATTTCCAAAATTCCCAGGTTTCCTTTTATTTTCTCCCAGAATTTCAGTCCTCTTCTCGGTACCTCCAGGCACATTTTTTCTTTTCATATTCTCGAATTACTCTTTTTTTTGCTTTTCTTCTCCCTTTTCATGTGCTGGTCAGAGAAAAGAGCAAAAAAGAAGAAACACAAAAAAATGAGTGACCATTGCTTGGTTGCTAGAAAAAATGGCTCAGTGCCAGCCACAAAAATTGGGCGGTCCGAAAAATCCTGGAAGCAAAAAATATGATGAATAGATTTTTGATCTACCCGAACTCAAAATTATTGTGTTGTTGTATCCTTGTTTTTTTCTTAAAATTTTTGAAATTAAAATTTCGAAAAAAAAACACAAAAATTGAAACAATGACCCTCTTGAAACAAAAACAAACAATGAGAAAAAATTCGCTGAAATTCTATTTCTGAAATAATTTTGAACCAGTTTTGGTCAAACAATGGTCACTTGTTCCTTTCTTTTTTGCCCTCCTTGTTTTGTTTTTTTTTTCATTTTAAATTTTTGTGTTGCTTCTTTTCGGTGATGGTCAGTTTTGAACTTTTGTTATCTTTTTTTCGAGTCATGTGAAAGTTTTTCCTGGACAATGATAAGTGTTTGAAAAAAGGTTGAGGTCAAAAAAGTTCAGTGGACCTTTAGGGTTATTTTTAAGGAGGAAAACAGTGCTCTACGAAGATTCACAAAAACTTTTTCTGATTGTGAGATCGGAAACTCATTCTTGAAAGTTTTTGCAATCTTTGAGGATCTAGTTAAAATTTAGAAGATTGAGCTGTAAATCTTGAGCTTGTTTTGAAATCAGGAAATATTTTTTAATCGTTATATTTAAGGCAGGCTTTTCAACACCTGGATGATGTTAATTTTAAGATTGTTTTTTCTCTGAAGATTAGACTGGAAATCATATTGTTTTTTATAAATTATTGGTTGTGAGGCCCAATTTTGAAATAATAGGGTCCATAGTTAATTCCAAGAATCTGAAGATCTTTAAAAATCTCGCATTTTACAAAGTTTTGTGGCTTTTTTGAAGATCTAGAATATTTTTTCAAAATTTGGAAGTCTAGAGGTCAAAAAATTCCAGTCATAGGGGAAAAACTATCCATCACAATTAAGTTTTGCTAATTAAATTCTGAATTTCCAAAAAAATGGGTATTTATGAAATTATCCGATTTTGATTTTAGGAAACTGTTGTTCCAAAGTTCTGAAAAAATTCGTCACTTCAAAAAATGATTATCATTCATGTTTTCTCAATTTTTTACTACACATTCATATTTTCTATTTATTTATGTTTCTCCATTTTTTCTTTTCTTGATGTTGTGTTGTGATAAATATACATGTATTTGTGTGTATGCGGAAAAAAAAGAACGGCCGCGTCGGAGGGTTCGCGGACAGTGGGCGGAAAAGGCGCCAGCTCAATGTGCCAGCCAGTGTTTGTTGTGTGTGTGTGTGTGTCAAAAAAACCGTGGTCAGACGACCAGAAAAATTGCATAGGGACGGAGAGTTGGTACCACCAGTCACTTTTTTCACATGAAGAAAAAAAAAGCGAAGAGAGAAAAATTCCGGTTTTTGTTGTTGTTGTTTGTTGCAGGGAAACAGAGAGCACGGCTCTGGAAATGACCAGTTCTTTTTTTTTCGCAAGCATGAAAATGATGATGATGGTGGCACGATGATATACAAATAAACAACATATACATACACAAACAATTATTAAGCACAACAACAATAAAAATAGACAGATAGATCGGATATTTTTTCATGATCAGTGTTTTTTTTTGAAGTTATTGTATCTTCTTTTACAAATTCCAAATACATTTCGGACTTTTTGTACAATTCGAAGAGACTGTAAATTCCTTTTAAGAGTTTGTGGACCGTAGTATCCTAGAAGTTCTCTGAGCTCTTCTAATTATTTTGAACTTTTTGAATATTTTTCATTATCAGTGTTATTTTGATGCTAGTGTGTTTACGGTGCCAAGCCAGAAGCTATTTGACTATTTCTAATTGTCTTGATATCTATCTGCTTGTATCACATCAACCTAGAAGTACTTCAAACTTTTAGAAACTTTTTTTTTTCATAATCATTTTTTTTGGAACTGGAAACTTTTTCATGATTTCTCTGAATAAGTTTGGACGCTACTCTCGATTTTTTTTGAACTTAAACTTTTTGAGATTCGTTTGTTTTTGGAGTTAAAATTAATTAAATTGTTTCGAATTTCTCATTAATCTGGTTTTTTTGGAATTTTTTTGAAACTTTTTTTCTTGAGCTTCATTTTTTCTTATTTCTTGATTTTGTCTATTACCATGTCTCCAATATTTTCTCTCATATCAATATTCTCCCCAAACCAATTCACAACAAAAATCTCAAATTTTTCAGAAGTATCAGGAGCAAACGCCCACCTTCAACCCAGGTGTTTTCACACCAAAAACCATGAAATCCATAAAATTTGAAAACGAGAATGAAAAAGAGAATCAAGCTGAATATCAAAAAGAAGAAGATGAAGAAGAGGAGGAAGAGGAAGAAGAAGATGAAGAATTAATGGTTGATGATGATGAAGATGATGAAGATCGATTTGATGAAGAAATCGAGGCATCTGATAGCAGTTCATCTTCAGTGAATGCATCTTCGCCACATGAAACATCTTCAAATAGCAGCCATTCGCCATCACTTCAAGTTGAATCACCAAATGGTGGAGAAACACATTTACATGCAGAAAAACGACATATTTGTGATATTTGTGGCAAAGGATTTTCGTATTTTTCGATTTTGGAATCACATAAAAGATCGCATACTGGGGAAAAACCATTCAAGTGCCATTTTTGTGATAAGAGATTTGCACAGAAGGCAACTTTGCAGGTTCATGAGAGAACACATACTGGAGAGAGACCGTGAGTTTTGGACACGGGCTGATTGTGATATATTGAAGTTCAATTTTTTTTGTGATTTTCCAAAATTCAGAATTTTACTGTAGAAAAGAAAAAATCGCATCAGAAAGTAAAACTTGGGTGTAGTTACTCTACAGAAAATCAGACGAATACAGTAATAAAAACTCCAAAAATTTTTCAGTTACAAATGCCGTTATTGCGACAAAACCTTTGCCCAATACGGTACCAAAACAGTGCACGAAAAATCTGCTCATCTCGGGATTCGAAATTACAAATGTCCAAAATGTGACAAGTCCCTTTCTTCACCATCCGCCTTATATACTCATAAGAAAACCCACGGCGACAAAACATTCAGAGTGAGTTTTTCATCAATAATTTCAATCACAACCAAACATTTTTCAGTGCGAATTTTGCCCAAAAACGTTTGCTTTGAAAAATTATCTGAAATTGCATGTGAAACAGGTTCACGAGCAAAATGAGAGAAAACATGTTTGTGTATATTGTAATAAAGGATTCGCGTATGCAGGAAGTTTACAGGTAAATGTGAACATACCGGAAAAAAACACCGTAATCCATTTTTAAAGGTACATGTGCGAACACATACTGGAGAACGACCGTATACTTGTCGATTTTGCCCGAAAGCGTTTGCCAGTCAGGGAAATCTTCAATCACATGAAAGAACGCATACAGGGGAGAGGCCATATTCTTGTCAATTTTGTCAGAGAACTTTTATTCAGGTACAATTTTTGAATAATTGAACTTGGTAATTTTTCTGTATCTTGAAACTTCGAACAGGATTTGAAACTCAAGTGGTTGATAGAGCACTTCAAAAACCTTTTTTCCAGAAATCCCAACTAACAGCTCACGAATCAACACATCTCACAACATCTCCATCACATCATCACAAATTATCCGACGATCAAACATCTCCCGAAAAACCAGGCAACTACGAATGCACATTTTGTCATCGTAGATATCCATACGCAAGCAGTTTATATATTCATATGCGAAAACACAGTGGCGAAAAACTCCCATATCTTTGTAATGGTTGCGGGAAAACTTTCACGCAAAAAATGTCATTCGGAATTCATATCGAACAATGTGATGCGTATAAGACTGTGAAATCGAATATGTCTTCAACATTATCTAATGATGATTCAGATTCGGATGCTGAGGTCAATCGAATGTATCCAACACATCCGCATCCACAAATTATGCCAGTTCCACCACCAACAAATATTTATCAGCAACGTAAGACAATTCTCGAATTTTTGGGGATTCGGATTTTTAAAAATTCATTTAAGGGCTCGAGTTTGGGTTAAGTCTGATCCCATTGAATCCAAAGAAATATCATTTTTCATATCTCTTCTTTACCCATTCAAAGCAAAAACTACAATTCCCAAAAATATTCAAATTGTTTCAGCTCCTCCAATATCAATGCCATCAATTTGTAATTTGTCAGATATCAAATTAATTGGAAATCCTCCAATTAATTTTGGTTTACCTTTGGGTCAACCAATGTTTGGCCCACCTCAAACCACTGCAGCACACGCACCATTTACACCAATGGAGGTGAGATTTGTTTTGGATACTGTTTTTTAAAATTCAACAAAAACTGTTGGACACTATTCAAGAAGAGTGGAACATAATTTCGAAAAGATTGGCAACCTGCCAAAAAAAGAGTTGAACCCATACAAATTCCTATTCCAAGATTCTAAATTCCCCGATTAATCAAATAAATCTTATAGATAACACCAAACGATTTCGGTCCAATGACAGCTTCGAATCCTCCACTTCCACCACTTCAAACTGACATTCAATCATCTGATTCGCTTTCTGCATTTGCTCCAGTCACCAAATCTCATTCGAATTCCAATTCTCAACCATCTTTATCAACAAGTCTCCTTTCTACTCAACTTCTTCTTCAACAATTACACAGCACTGATCAGTTAAACTATCTTCTTCATCAGAATTTATTATCATTGGCTGCAGCAGCTGGAGTGAATTTACCTCCGGCACCTCCAACTTCTGCACAATACCATCATCCTCAACCTCCGACTACCCAAAATCTTGTTTAATCTTTCCTAACCTTTTTTGGAAAAAAAAGGAATTACATCAAGGTTTCAGCTTTGTGTTCCGCTAAATCCAATAACTCTAGAAGTGACGGGTTCAACTCCACCTCCCTGCAACTTTTTTTCGTTTTTCCGAAACCCTGATGTAATTCCCTGAACTACTGAAAAACCCTCATGATACTCAACTACGGTATTACTACGGTACCTTTGTCTTTCATTTTTTCTGAATTTTCAAAAATATATATATATTTCCGTCCAGCTACACCCTGCCCTTCCTTTTCTTTTTTTTTACATTGAAATACCCATTTTTGATCTCTATTTATTGTTTTCCTTCCCTCCTTTCTTCCCACATTTTTATCTTGCCCTTTTCCCCCAAATTGTTCTGGTCAACTTCCAATTCTTTTGGCACCTGTGAATTTTTATATCCAATTTATTTTGCGCGGTTTATTGTTTCCCAATTCCTCTAATTGTACTTATTTTTCCAAAAAAAAAAAGAAATATATTATATTATAGTATAGATTGACGGGGCGACACAGAGTTTTATGAATACATAATTTTTGTGAAAAAAAAAATGTGTAAATAAAAATGTTGATTAAAATTCTGTCTTTTTTAATGAACTTCTGACAGAAAATTATACAAAACTGAAAGATTTTGTGTGCATGGCACAGGTGGTTAGAACTTGCACACGCGAACATCAAATTAAGGTTCGAGTCCAGTTCCCTGTGAAATTTTTTTTATTTTACAACACAATTTTTGTCGATAAAAAAATTCATCTTGAACAAAATATACAAATTCTGCATATAAATATGAAACAAAAAGCTATTCATCATGAGGAAGTGGCACAACTTCAGAAGCCGGTGTTGGATTTCCGCCAACTCCTGCATATCGGAAAAGTGCCAAAGTTAGCTCAAGTCCGAAGAAACAGGCAGCATTTGCTGGGAAGGCACGAAGCATAACTGGCCAGAAACCTTTGAATAATGCTTTTGGTCCTTCTTCTCGAAGAACTTCTCGTAAAACTCCGCGAATTCCATCTGGATATTTGCCTTCTGGAGCGGTTTGAAGACGTGATTTTAGAACATCAGCTGGTATACAAACACCCCTGGAAAGGAGTTTTTGAATTCGATTTGGGATAACTTATTGTGACTTCGCTTTCTGATCAATTGAATTTCAGAAAATTTTGAAATTCTGGCTCAAAAATTTATCAGAAGGAAAATCAAATTTTATCTGGAATTTTCCTTCAATTTTTCAGATTTTAAAATTTGAACATCTCCTTTTTATTTTCTGATGAAAAGGTCGAAACGGTTTCCCGCGTACTCTTAACTCTCCCAATTGTGTTCTACTTCTTCCCACTTAACTCACTTTCTCTTTCCTTTATATGTTTTTAAACCTGCCTACTTTAGAGGCATACCACGCCCAGGGTGAGGCATTTGCACGGCGCCAATAAAAAATACGGAAATTCACATCGCCAATTTTAGATTTTCTTGAAAAACAGCGAATTGTTGCTTGTTTTTTCGTAAAAATTCGTACTTTTCAATCGAAAACGTTGTTTTCACCTCGCCAAAAAATTTCAAAACCCACAGAGCCAATTTTTAAATTTTATCTGCACGAAGCTGGGCGTGGTATGTTTAGAGGTATATTTTCCATATTTTCAAAGAAAAATTCTATTCCAAAAATTCCCAAAACCAACTAACCAATTAGCAATTCCAGCTAATCCTCCAGCCATCAAAGTTGCTCCAGGCGAAAGTGTTCGTTGTGATCCTTCACCCGAGAACTTCTTCTTCAAAAATTCATAGACTGATAAATAAGCAGCTGATGCTGGAATATCTCGAAGAAGTGTGGCACCAGTTCCTCGATAAATCGATGCGATTCCACCGGATTTATACAATTTTTTGACAACATCAACTGGTCCATCGTAATGCACTCCGGAAACAGCTGTACCCGCTGATTGTACCTGGAACAACAGAATTTTTCAAAGGGAATTTCAGGTTACAAACTTCTCAATATTTTTAGTCAAAGTTCCGAAAAGTAAGAATCTTCTCATGATTTTTTATTATAAGAAATTTCCCGGTTTTTTTTCGCAAAACTAGAGATTCCAAAAAAATGATCCAAATGCTCTATTAATTTTTCATATGGGTTTCATTTTTCTAAAACTTCTAGATATCTACACAAATTCATTTTTCAAATTTCAAAAAAAATTACCTGTAACAAACACTTTATTCTCTCTCCAGGAACCATAACAACAGTTGTAAATAATCCAGCCAATGCTCCGCTATTCACATTTTGAATAAATGTCATCTCTTGATCTAAATTCAAAATATTTAAATGGACATCATCAACCAAAAAAAAATCATACTTGGATCAGTTTGTTGGAGCCATTTTCCAACTGCGCAACCTCCGAAAAACACTGCGAAAAGTGGAGAAACTCCGACGAGTGGAGCAGCCATTCCCTAAACATTTTGAAATTAGATACAGTACTTTATTAATTAGCTAATTACTCACCTTGTATAATGCGAAAAATCCCTCTTTAGCAATGGTTTGTTTTGCACAATCAAGGGCTCCGGTGAAAAGTGGTTTTTGACCGGGTTTTGGAAGAGGCATTGTTTGAATGCGGACTTTGACAGTGTCGAATGGATGACCAACAATAACTGTGCATGAACCACCGACGCCGCCGGCGATGAAATTTAGAAGAACGTCCGACATTCTGCAAATTTGGAATTTTAAATTGTGTAAAAAGACACAGAAAAATTTGAGAAAACGAAAAAAGAAATAATTTTACTTTTTTTCGAAATTTCTGTTCATAAGGGTCACAATTTTCATTTTCAGCCTGAAAAGTGCTTTAATTTTATCAAACCCTAAACTATGAAATAAAACCAAACCAATAACCAACCCTTTTAAAACCAAAACAAAAAAGTTCAATTGCACTTTGCAGACAACATCAAAAAATGTTGATAAACAAGTTCTGATAACAAATGTTTTTATTTTAGGTCAACTTTTTTTCGTAAAATTTTATAAATATCAGGTTTTTATGGGAGGTGGAGAATTTCGGATAATTACTTAATTTCTAAATCAAAATGAATGAGCTATGAAAATGTTTGCCACGTAATATCTGTTCGAGTTCGAACAATTTTTTGAATGAAAATTTGGAACAAAGTTTTTTCTAAAAAATATAAGAAAATTGCTGCTAACTATTATAACAAAAAGTAGCGTCATTATACTATTTTTTATCAATCAACAACAAAAAACAACAAAAATATGAACACTGCTATCTGTTTTTTGTTGTGTTGAATGATGGAAAAAATCCAGTCGATAAGAGAGACAACGAGACGCAGGTACACAAAAAAAGTTTTTTGTTTCGCACTTTGTACCGTCTTGGCTACAATGTAGCCAATAACACGTGGCAACAAAAACGAAAAGATATTTCTTCAATCAAATAAACATGATTTTGATAATATTAAAATTATGTAAAGACATTTTTAAAGTTTTTATTCACAATTTTTTCTTGATTTCTTGCGCCAAAACATCTTCGTAGGTTGGTGGTGGTGGAAGATTTGAAGTTGATGGAAGTGTTGATGAGGAAGAAGATGAAGAAGGATGAGAAGAGGGATTTTGGTGCATGAAATTTGGTGGTGGTTGCATCATTGGTGGCTGCATTTGCATTTGAGGGCTTTGCTGGAATTTGGAGAAATTAATTGATTTTATTTTTGATAAGAGATTGGGGGATTTTCCTCAAAAATTCACTTTTCCCATAAAATTTTCTATGAGCCCAGTTTTCTAGGTGGAATTTTTTCCAATTGTTTATTTTAAAATAGTTGTCAAGTTTTTTTGGTTCAATCATATTTTTTTTAATTGAAATTTCTACAAGAAACTAGTCACATTTTTCGATTCAAATTCCCCGATAAAAATTATATGAAATTTCATTTCAATAAACATATATTTTTCAATAAAAGTCCTCACCGAGACAACAAAATAGCTTCCGGGAGCCGGCGGAATCCTGGGATCGTGAACTGCGTTTGTATAATCCGGCCCATCAAAAAGTCGCTCGAAAAATCCCGGATTTTCATTTCGAGTTATCACGTGAACCACATTTTGCGAGGTGTTCTAAATAAAAATATTGCGAAATTTTTTCATTTTTAATATTTCAAATTCCCGAAACATACCTGATAAATTGGCTGTGGTGGTTGTGGTGAGTTTGATATTGGGGCTTGTCTTGGATAGCCTGAACTTGGTCCAACTTCCTGCTTCTTCTCGCTCTTTTTTCCACCGAAAAACGGCATAATCGATAACAATTGTTCGATTATAGTTAGGCTAATTAGTGCCTAGCAACCAACAAGTTATATAAGAAAATCGGAACTTTTCTAGAAATATATGTATGTTTCAAAATAATAACGAACTCTAAATAGAGAATGAGAGAGAGTTAGAGAAACAGAGTATATTCTATTCAATATATAAACAAAACATAACAAAAAGGAGAACAAAAAAAAATAACAAATCAACTGACTAAATTAATGTGAATCACCGAAGTTGTGTCAAAAATCGAGATAATTTCCTGGAATTCAGATATCGATTTTTTCTCGAACATTGACTCGCAGTTTTTGTAATTGTATTGAACTCGAAGTTGTCGATCATTAAAAGATCGAGGTATGCTTTTTTTCACCAATTTTTTTGAAATCAAAAATTCGCCTTGATTATTTTTCCTTTTCAATTCAATAGTGCAAAAGAATTCGCGATTTTTGGAGATATTCGGATTTTTCCAGAAGATTTTCATCAGATCGTCGATTTCAAACATGATTTGGCTGCTCTGAAAATGCAGAAAAAATATATGTGGAATTAATCTCCGAGCCAAACTGTTCAACAATTTCCAAATGGCTCTGGAAATCTTCTGAAAAATCGGGCCAAAAATTTGCAGCCCTAATTTGCTCCCAAACATACTGTAGTCAATTCCACATCAACAGTCAATATTCGAGTAAAATATATTCTCTTCATAGGAAGCAGCGATAAATAATCTCGTCCAATATTTTCATATCCACCAGAATTTAAAGTTTGAGACCATGTCAAAGCACATTTCGGGTCTAAAATCAAAACAATATCTTGTAGTTCATCTCCTAGTGAAATATTGAGAAGTTCCGAGAATTCAGGAGAATTGTAAAGAACAAAATTGGTGAACACATCAAATTCATCCCAATCCATTCGATATGCATCATCAACTGAATCAACATTTTCCGAACGAAGTTTGAGGTGAAGAAATTTTGGTCTGAAGTTCGATGAAAATATTTATATAGATTTTTTAAAATCTGATCCAAACTCACTTTAGTTTCAATAACATGGTTCGTAGAATTTCGAGAGGATAAAAAACTGGAACTTTCATTTTTGATAATAAATTCGGGTCATTTGCAGTTATCATATCTGTTAAAACCATCACCAATCTTTCACAAGTCAAACTTCCAAAAGATTCCTCAAGAATCTCTAAAACTCTCTCAGATTCTTCCAATTCCAGCAATTCGTTTGCTGAATTTTCGAGAAATGTGGATGTTAAAACAATTTGTTCGTAATGCGATGATTTTGGGAGATCTGATAATTTTCCATATTTTCGAAACGCATGATTCACGAATTTATAAGATTCTTCCATGATTTCATTCATATTTTCAACAAGTTTTGAGACTGAAATAAGAACTTAGTTCTAAGTTATGTGTTTTATAAAGTTTAACTCACGATCCTGTGGAGGAACTCCAAAACTGTCATCTTCAATGGGGAAAAATTCCAAGCTATTAATATTGACATCTTGTTTTGTAGCCAGGAACTTCACAAAACTTCGAACTTCTCCAAGTTTCAATGAATTCCCATTAATCGCAACTTTGTGGTTTGTCAAGTCATAAGACTTCATGAGACCAGTGAGAATCCTGAAATACTTTGATATGGAAAATGACGGAACAATTCTGCAAAAACAGGTAAACTCACCATTTCCTATCATCAAATCGGACTTGATTTTGGACGCGAATATCTTTGAACTCTCTACACAACAATTTTTTGACGTGAATTGAGAATTTGCTATTCACAAGCTGGAAAATATTTCTCAAATTTTAGATGTCTCGGGGGCAACTCACTCGATATTTTAAAAACTCGCTCATCAATTCTCGCATATCACTCGTACTTTCCAGATCCGAAAATGCATGTTCTAGGATAAGTTGAAGCGGCAAATCTGCGGCGATGACTTTCTCCATTTTTTAAAGCTTCGAACCTTTCAATAAACGTGGATTTCCAGCGAAAATCTCGAATTTTTCGGAACCGGCCCATGAAAATGTGCATTCTGACGTGGCGGTGTTTGCACACAATTTTTATTTTTTTATTTTCAAATTTTTTGAGTCTTCTCTTCGCACCTGTTTGTGTTCATTCTTGACAGAAAACAGCATCAACTATTTAGTTTTGAAAAAATAAACCGTGCTCTCAAATGCATATTCAAATTTTTCAGAAACGTATGAATGCTTTCCACAATAACGATTATTAAATATTTTTCAATCTCCTGGTTTGTCATCTATTCAACTTTGGTTCTTTTTGGATCTCCATTGCTCAACGATATATTAGAAACAGTTGCTTTAACTGTAAGTTTTTTTTTACAATCTTCATTCACACTTCAAATTTAAAAAATAATATTTCAGACTTTCATCACTCTCGTCACAGTTCTCCCGATTCTCCGTATTGTTCCAAGCGAGAATCACCTCGTCGATATAATTTCGAATTTTCCGGACACATCAGAAACCTCGCCAGCTGAGATCACACGAATTTTAGTGGCGATTTTTGCAGTTTTAGGACTTTGGATCTCGTCTGCATTATATCCGCTTGATTGGGATCGTTGGTATCAACGTTATCCGATTCCTGGATTTTTTGGAACTTTTGTTGGAGCATTAGTTGGATTGGCAGCTGGAACTTTCAATAAATACACAGGTTTTTATTATAAAAAAACCCACTTGTTTTGTAAATGAACAATTTTTACAGGAAGACTATTTCCCGATTCTTCCAAATCCACTAAAAAACAATGGTAAAGCGTATGAAATCGCTCGCAACATTTGGTGCGGGACCATTTGCGACTGGTGATGCTGAAGGTCGTCTCGGTCAATATGATATTAATGATGTTCCAAAGTTACTCGCTATTTTTCTAGCAGAATTTGATAATGAAAGAGGTGCTTTCATAAAACACCAAGTTCCCGCAGATGTTGTTTCTCACAAACAATTAAAAGATAATTCGAGTTTGATTATTCCGAAGACTGAATTATTTTTGCATTCAATCAAAATTTGTTTGAAAAATCAAATGAAGATTTTGGGTTATCCAGTTGGATTGGATCATATAAATTATGGTCGAGGTCGTTATACTTTCAATATGTGTTTTGTTGTTGCTTGGGATTCAAATGCTGATTCAATGTATGAACCAATTGTCCAAAAATGTGCTGAATATTTAATCGAACTTGAGCAAGAATATAATTTTTTAACAAATAATATTTATCAAGATCAAGTTGTTAAACTGATCAATTTCATGTTTGATGGTTTAAATTCGAAAGGTGAAAGTGTTGTTGGTCTTCAAATCGACGATCAAAATATTATGCTTTATTTTAAACTATGCCCATCTTATCGAGGAATCGAACCACCGGAAGTAAATGCTTATATGGTTCCAATGTTTATACGAGATATTAATATAAATAATCGTATTATTGAAAAAATGGATGTTTTATCACAGAAAATTATTCCACGAATTGATGGAATTGCGACAGTCAGGGAGATTTCAAATTTGTTGCAATTGGATGTTTCGCTCGTGGCGAGATGTGTCAGGTTGGATATTTTGAAAAATATTGGGTTTTTCAAAAAAAAATCCACGCTAAAACTAAATTTGACGGATTATACTGAAACTCCGTCTTGTTCAACGTTTTTCCGTATAGAAAAAATGTTATTTTCTGTTATACTTTATTACAAAAATGTCAAAATTTGGAATTTTGAAGAATTTATTTACAAAATTAAAAACTTATGAACTAAGTTTTAAATTAAAACATTTCAAAGTTTCGAAATGTTTCAACCAAAAAATTCTAGTCATATTTATCTTTTCAGAAACTTGCATTTCTACGAATGTGTCAGTCTTGTTCCAATGTTTTTATATTCGAATACTTATGTGGCAACTGAACGGGTTCACGATTTTTATATGAATCAGACTGAAATTACGGTAACTCCTAGTTTCGGAAAAGCGAAAATTCAAGTTATTTTCTTTCAGGATTGTCTAGAATTTGTGAAAATTCAAGATTCGTCTTTACCTCTTCCCGAATTCTCCGATGTTTTTCGTTTGTATTTGAGTATGAAGGTGGGGATTTTGAATGTTTATTTAGAATTAAAAATTTCGAAAACCTTAAAAAATTAATTTTTCCAGTGTGGTCGAAAATTGTTGGACTGGGTGAAAGAAGAAAAACCACGTCAAATGAGAATTGATGAACATCGATTTGTTCAATTCGGAATGCATCATCAATTTCTTCGAAAATTGACAATTTATCCAATTTGTTTGATCCCGCCACAGGAAAAAACACCAAAAAATAAGCTTCTTTGTTCTTGCAATGGAAAAACATCGCTCGAAGAATTGGCATTTGAGAATAATCTCGATCCGGATAAATTGTACGATTTATTAGAGGAGAGTAAGAAATTTGAATTTGTGATGAAGTAATAAACTTTTTTTTAGACTTGGCTGAAAATTTGATGATAAGAATATTTTTTGACTTTTGCAGAATTATCGGTGAATTCTGTGAGAAAACCAAATTTAACTGTGATAATTCATTATGAGAGCAGAAAAACGCACACCAGGAAAATTGGGGAGAGAGAAAAATAAAGAGGAAAAGTATTATTGGCCATTCAGAAAAAAAAAATGAATTCAGAAAAGCAGAGGAGCAAGAATCAGGTTTTGGGGACCCATAAGAAGACAAGAAAATAGAAATCAAAGGAAGAAGGGGGTGAGTTGATAGAATTTGTGGAATTGAATTTTGGGTGGGTAAATAATATGATGATAACAAAACAGAAAGTTCGAGGGACTAGGAAAAGGCAATGCATTATAAAAAAAAGAAAGCCGCGGAAAAAAACACAGGGAAGATTTTGGAGAAAATTGGGGAAACTCAACAAAAATACACAACAACTCGCACACACGCTCGATAAATTTACAACAAGAAAAAATGGTTAAATTTGAAATGAAAATCAATCGATCAATAGAATAAATATAAAAATCTCTAGATTTCGAAACGAACTCGAAATCCGAACATTGTCCTGAAAATACAGTCTCTGTCACACACGCACTGGGGGAGAGGGAAGAAGAGCAGATGAGAAATGAATGAGAGATGATGAAGATATAAGAATGAATGAAGAATTGAATCTAGAATGGTACAGAAAAATGGGCCAAAAAAATGGTGTGAAATTAGATTGAAGCGGAGGAGCAGATTACTTCTTGAAATCAAAATTCCATCCACCTTCTGGAGCTGGAGGAGCCTCAGTTCCGGTTGGGCCGTTGAAGGAGAAGGCTGATGTTCCAGCAGCTGGCTCAGCAGTATTGACATCTTCCTCGTCAGAGCTGAAATAATTTTTAATTGAGAATGGAAATTTTTAGACAGAATTTATGACATGTTATAGTTTTTTCTCGCCATTTGTATCATTATTTGGTCAAAATTTAATCAATTGAAAACTTGAAAATTACCTGAAGTATGTATCGATGATTTCAAAAGCGAGTTTGTAGATATCCTCATTTTCATGATTTTGACAATTCTCAATTTTGTCAAGACCTCCACATTCTTCGATTTCCGAGGTCACTTGTTCAACACCATCTCCGGCCATCTTCAAAATATTGTTGATTCCATCAAGAACAACTTGAATTATTTGAGCATCAGTGCAACTCAACATTGCGCAGAATGGCCGAAGAACATTCAATTTGACCATTTGTTCGACTTGTATTGGTTTTCCAGATATTGTTACATTGGAAATCGCCCAAGCGGCTTCTTTTTGTGTTGGGAAATCTCCACGATCGAGAAGATGAATGATCATTGGCATAATTCCGGCTTCAAACACATCTTGAACTTGTTGTGGATTTCCAGCAGTTATGTTTGAAACAAACCAAACTGCTTCCTTGTTGATCTTCTCTTTGTAGTGGGCCAAAAGTCCTGGCATGAATTTGAGAACGCCGCTGTCGAGTACAAGTTGAGTTTGTTCGTCAGTTCCAGTGACAATGTTTCCAACGGCTCGGAGAGCAGCTGTTTGAACTTTCACATCGGTATGTCCAAGAAGTGGGACAAGATGTTCGACAACTCCATTTTCAATAACCATTTGAATATGATCATTTCCACCGTCTGTCAAATAAGATAATGCCCAAACTGTATCAATGAGTATATTTGTGTCTTCATGGTGGATCAAAAGAGCAAGAGCTGGCAAAATTGTTCGTACAACATCTGCGTTTGGTGCTGGCTCTTTGCATCTGCACAAATTGACAATTACCCAAGTGACATTTCTCAAAAATCCGATTGGAATTTCTGGAGTAATGAATTGAAGAAGTGGTTGAAGAATTCCGAGTTGAAGACAATAATCACGATAATGTGGGCCATCTCCTATGATATTTCCGAGCGCCCAAACTGATTGCTCACAAACATTCAAGTTTCCGCATGACAAGAGTTGAAGGAAAAGTGGAACAGCTCCAGCGTTAACCTACAATTAAAATTTCCAATATTTTTTGTGAAAAATTAAAAAAAAAACTTACAACTGCCTGTGTTTGTTCTGATGTTCCTGAGGCTATGTTCGTCAATGCCCATGCTGATTCAAATTGAAGATTTGGGCTGAAATAAGAATGTGATATTATAACTTTAGGAAAAGTAGAAAAACTCACTCTGTGCTTGATAGACAGTTAACAAGAACTGGTAAAATTCCACTGGAAATAAGATCATCAATTGGTGGATTACGATCAGTTGACAGAAGTTTTCGGGCTTGTTGAACTGCTGCGAGTTGTTCAGCGGGGTCGGTAGACTTGGCTGCGTCTACAGTAATTCGCAACAAATCTGTATCGAATGGACCAGCCGCGGCTTGAACGTTGTCATTGTCTTCTCTGAAACAAAATTCATTTTTTTTCAATATTATGAAAATCAAAATAATAACAACTTACTCAATTGCGACATTGATATTACGTCTTTTCGAAATAGCCTCTTCCCGTTTGTCTTTTCGAATACTCACAACTTCTTCATTACGTTTTTCTTTACCAATCTGCTCTTTAGCATTGTTTTTATAATATGCCTGTCTGTTTGAGCTCATTATCTACAAAAAATAATTTGATCAATAAGAAAACATATGACACGAACATAAGATTTGATAAAGCATTACGAAATCACAATATATCAAGAAAATCTCGTTTACCTAAACTAAAAACTAGTTTTTTCACATCACATGGGGTCGGAAATACTTTTATGGGCCGTGATAATACAATCATGTTTTTCTCCGAATCAATCTACTAATTAAAATCCCTGAAAACCACCCCAAAAACTCGTTAAAGCGGGAATTTTCCGCAAACGAAAAACAATTCGAGAGAAATGCAAACTTTTTGGTGCGTCGCGGCAAACAGCGCGTCGCGTGCGACAGAGCGCACATTCTTGTTTGAGCGACGGGGGAAGTTTGAAAATACATTTTTTTGGGAAAAATAGTTTTTGGACAAAAAAAACATGAAATTGCGTGAAATAGTTTATATGAAAATATCAAATTTCAATCATTTTGATCAATGTGTATCAATTTTTTATTACTTTTTTTCTATTTTATCCTTGGTTTCATCACAAATATCACGATGCCCAGCCTTAACACATATTCGTTGCAAAGATGGGTTAGGTTGCATTAGAAAATCATGGATGTGTGATGGGAAAATTGATTGTGCTGATCATTCAGACGAACCAGCACATATTTGTCTAAAACGACCAAATTTCAATAATCTGGTAGATTTCTTTAACAGTTTCCAAAGTTAATGAAAACATATTCCAGCAACTGATGGAGATTTCAAATTCTTTAAAATGCCCTGAATCTTGGTTCAAATGTTCCGATTCAAGCAAATGTTTGCGATCAAATTTAGTTTGTGATCAATACAAAGATTGTGGCGATGGAAGTGATGAAGCTGAATTTTGTCACTTTTTCAAACCTGCTTCCTCACCAAGTACTGTGTATTGACTGAATAAATCGTTTTGACCTCATTTCCTTGTGTTGTACTTATGTTAAAGGATAAGTGGGTTTATTTCATTTTTTTTCTTTCTAGAAGATTGGAATTCCGAAATACATTTTATTTTTGCTAGCGCGCTGACAAGAAATATTCAGAAAACTTGATGAATTGTTTTCAAAAAATAATAAATCATTTATTCCAACAAAAAAAGTCAAAATTTTTTCAGACAAAAAAGCCCCTGGATATAAATCAATTGGTCAGATCCCTATCAAATCATATTTATTGTTTTTTTTTTTGGAAAAGTCGGGAAAGAAAGTGAAAATAATACGGCCAAGATACAAGTTTATCTCACGAAAAGGGAAAATGATTACTAATCCTAATCACTGGTCATTTTAGAAGAGAAAAAATAGAGGAAATTTCTGAAAAATAACTTGGGGCGAACCGAGAACTCGCATAAATTTTTGGTGCAGAATTTCGAGCTTGTTTTTCATCGATTAATTGTAGCCCCTCAAATTACTTTGGTGTTTTTGATCTTAAAAAATTCCCAAACTAAAAAAAAAAGAATAAACTTTAGAAAAATTGGTTGAAAATCTATCTACAGTAATATGCCGAACGTTCGGGAGAATTTTGAAAAACTAGATTAGATATAACAGACTACTGTAGTTTCTAGCACCAAAACATCATTCAGCTGTTTTTAAACATTTATTGTAAAAACCCTTACACGTTCAATTCCTACAGTAACTAGCAAAGTTTGCCAAGCTAACAAAAAAATCAAAGAATATCTTCCAACCCATTACCCTCCAAGTCTTCGCCAATCAACCGGATCCCGAAAATTTGTCGGAATTCCAATTCCAAACCTTTCCAAAAGCCGAAAAAAAAAACATTTTTATGGGCGGAGCGATGTTTTTCTCGCCCGATCTTCTTTCATTATTTCTATTCCTATTCCATTTTATTTTTCTTCTTATCATCATGTTGATGCCCTTATTTTTATTTTTGCTTGTATCTCAAATTTCGACAGCTTCTGTTCAATCGGATAAAAAAGATATTGTTCTGAAATTATCCACAGATAAGGTGAGAAAATTAATTAAAACTTGTTGTTGTTTTTTTTTTTGTAAAAAAAACTGGGATGAATTTCTTGGGTCAAGGCCGGATGATGATATTGCTTTTGTAAGTGTTAAAATTATTTTGGGTTAATTATTCTATTGTTCTCACAATCAGAGGAATTCAAAAAATGTATTATATAGCTTCAAAACTTCGATCAACTTTCAGGAATTTCAAAATGTTGCCACGTCATGACTTGTTTTTAAATTAACAAGATATTTCATTAAAAACTCGAATATCGAAAAATGTTGGAATTCTTAAATCCCTTGAGTTTTGTACCTGAATTTTTCAAGAGACAGTACTTCTTGTAATTTCCTGCCTACAGTACTCTCATTTTCCGTCTCACAATCAAATATAAATTCCAGAACAATGATCCAAATTCTCATTTTTACGGCGAATGGTTGGAATCACCATGGGGTGATTTATATCAATTCCGTGCCGGCGACCAGACTTGGCTAACTGCCCGTGAACACTGCCTTTCGCTTAATTCGGATTTAGCAGTTATCAAATCAGCCGAACAACTCGACTGGATCTTATCGCATTATGCACCAATTTCGACAAGATTCTCACAAAGACTTGTTCAGGTTAGCTTTTATCATTTTTTCGTTGTTGGAAGTCAGTCTTTTTTTTTTAGATAGGATTATTGGCGACTGAAGGTGGAAGTCATGAATGGAAATGGGTCGATGGATCCGAATTGAATAATACTGTGTATGTTTGAAAAAAAACAGGGAAACTTAGGAAGTTATTGAAACGGGTCCAATTTTCCGGAGGAAAAATGAAAAAACATTTGTTTCAGAACTGTCTGGACAACCGGAGAACCTTACGATCATTCAAGTGAAGGAAAAGAAAAATGCGCGCTTCTGAATATTGAGCAACGTAAACTTGATGATGTTGATTGTGAGGCAACTTCTGATGATCATAGAGCAGTTCGGTATATTTGCGAAAGATCGAGTCAAAAACATGTCTCTCAACAGAAATCAAACAATTACATTTGGGCAAGAATTGAACAACTTTTCAACTTTTTCGGAATTGGTGGATCTGCAAATACTTCTGCAGCTAGTAATAATGAAACTGATTACGAGGATGAAGTTGAGGTAAATTTTGTTTTGAATAAGAAGATTTGATAATTGTGGAATTTTTCTAGAAATCAATGAACTCAACATCGACCACGAATTCCAATTCATCTACTGTTTTATTCACCGATTCTTCTGCTGAACCATCTTCGAGTGAAGAAGAAGAAGAAGTTATTAAAACATTGGCCGCACTTCCAGCGATTGAAGGATCTGGGGAAACGAGAGAATTGAAAGAACTATCAGACGAAGGAAGTGGAAGTGGAGCTGGAATCGAAGTCCAAGTTGAAAAACAGAAAATCGAAACACTTGATGAGAGCAAAATTGATAGAATGATCAATAAAATGGAGCAAATGATTAAAACTATTGATGATTTGGTTATAACTCCAGCGGCTTCTCAACGAACTACAGTAGCCACTTTACATTTGCCAACTGATCCACCAATTCTTGCAGCTGATGTGAACTCAAATAGTATTGAAGATGATTTTGATACTGAAAAAAATAAGGATATGCCAAAAGCGGATATTGAACCACCAACTAAAGATGATGAAGATGACGAAGATTGTGAAGAATCGGGAAGCGGATCAGGATCTGGTTCAAATTCAGGAGAAGAGCCAGAACTCGAAGGATCTGGCTCGGGAGAGCAAAGTGACAGCAAATCTACTAAAGAAACTCAAACCCATCAAGTTATCGAATTGTCACGAGAAAAAGAAGAACACGTCAAAGAGTTCTTGGGTGTTCTTCGACTTTTCTTGGATCGTGCTGATCATGGAGATCTCAAGAAATTGTTGAATGAATCGGAGGGAAAGACTTTGTTAGATCGCATGAAGAATTCGATTAGAGAGGCAAATCGAAGAGAATTTGAAATGTTGGAGAAACTCGAGGCTGATAAAAAACCAGCGGCTGAGGTGAGGAATTTAGCTCGAGAGGGGATGGGCTTTGAGGTCACTGGTATTCGAAGATCTAGGGTTAGATTGTAACACCGTGTATTACAATTATGGGGTTGATAAATGCATTTAACAAAGGGCATCCCAAACCTACAGTATCAATCAACCTTACTAAATTCTAATATTCAGAATGACGAGTCCACTCCAATGAGTCCAACAGAACAACGTGCTATTTACAAAAAAATTAGTTCTGCTGTGATCAAGGCAGCCAAAGAGGATGCCAAGAAAGCGGAAGGCACAAAAACTTTAAAAATTGGAGGTAAGTTCCAAAATGTTGTGGGGTAGTTGAACACAGGTCACGCCTGTTTTAATGAGCGGCAATTTCAAATTTTTATTCTCCTATTTCAACAAGTTACATATTTTCAGACGAAAAGTTCAAGCTCGCCCAGGACAAAATGTCAGAAGAGGACGAAAAAGAGGGAAAAGTTGAGATCTTACGATCATCTCGTGAACACACAAAAGAAAAGATCGGAAATGACGATTATTATGGAGATTATTTAGATGATAACAATGTGATAAAAGTGAACAAGAGAAAAAGGACTACAACAACAGAAGTTCCGACGACTACTGAAGTTGAAAAGACAACAGAAGCTCCAACCACAACTTCTACAACTACCACAACAACAGAAGCTCCAACAACGACCACCAAGAAATCCAATATCCCTGAAGCTGAAGAGGAAGAGGAGACAACTACCGAGAAGATTATAACAACTACAACTGTCAAAAAAGTCCCAACGACCACCACAACTACCACAACTACAACCACACAAAAACCCACCACAACGACCAAGAGATCTCCTACTACTGTGAAAACCAAGAAAGTCTCTGCGGCCGAGATCGAGAAACAAACAAAACTCGAAGTTCCAACAACTTCTACTCTTTTCCCACCGCTCCCAACTTTTCCAACAATCGCACCATTTACTTTTGCCACTCTTCCAACCCAACCGCCACCAAAAATCCCAACACTTGATGAAATTTTCGGTAACTTTAATACGCAATTCAAAAAACTTCTTCAGCCACCAACTCCATTACCATTGTTGACACCAAAAGCCTAAATAATCGAATTTTTCGCCATTCGGGTCTATTTTAATAACAATAAATATTTCTCTTCTTTTCTTTTGTCTCCCTTTTCTCAAACGAATTGCAAACATGTTGACTGACATGTGTTGTTAGCGCAGGCGGTTAGAGAGACGCGTTGTGTGCACAAGGTCGCTGGTTCGACCCCCACTAGCTATGATGACTTTATAGTTCAGCTTACCTTACAGGTGTGATGATAAATTTCGCCCCTATCAGAGCTTGTTTTTTTTTAATTTTGTAAATAGCGAAATAAAAAATATTTACAATGGATATTTTTCAGAAACAAGGTTACTTCTAGTAAAACATCTCGGGGGTTCCAAATTATACAGAAAATCAATATTAGTACAGTTTTTTACATATTTAGGTTGATAAATCGCAATTTCCAAACAATTTAAACGAATTCTCGACTTTTTGATATTTTCAATAAACATTTCCTCAATATTCTTGCCCTTTTCTTCAAAAAGATTTCCTCGAGTTGGAATATTCTTCGATTTTGAATACGGTTGAAATTCCACATTTTTTCCACTTTCCAAAATATTTCGAAGAATCCGAGTGGCATCAAAATGCATTCGAAATGGTGAAAAAAGACTGACAGCAACGATTTGCGGTGGTAAAGAAAATAAATCATTGAAGGGAGCTGGACGAATTTCAGACATTGAAACATTTTTGAGAATAACACCGTGATCTATTGAAAATAAATCAGCCATTTGATTATTTTCATTTTTATTGATGATTGTGGCTCGCTGATAGTTTTGAGTTATACAAGAATTTCCGATAGAAAACCATTTTTGAGGGAATCTTGGTAGATTATTCCAGTTGGATTTCGCGTAATTCTCAATATTCTCTCGTGTTTTAATCATTCCCTCATTCGTCAAATAAATCAAATTGGCATGTTCCACGTGGCAAACAATGAAATTTTTCGAAATTATTCGGATTGCCTAAAAAATTGACGGCAAAGTCTTGAATCCCAAGTTTTTTTTTAAATCTAAACTAGCTTCCTAGTGAATCCGGTGTTTATTCTAAACTTTTGTCAGAATTTTAGGAAATTAAACAAAATACATTGAAAGTCAATTTTTTGAACATTTTTGAAGTCACCAAACCGACATATTTTTGAAGAAGAATTTCAACCAACCTTATTAGCTCTTGGAAATTCTTTGATGAAAATTCTCGTTTCATCCACTTCCGCATCTTCATCTTCTTCTTCTTCATCATAATAATCCTCATCCTCCGAAACCACTTCATGTTTCATTTTTCTAGTCACCGGTGGTTCAATCAAACACCTTTTCGCCATAATATTTTCACACAGATTCTTTCCAGTCATTGTTGGATGAAACAAATTAATTGAAAATGGCTGATTTTCTGACAATATTTGACATCTCGCGAAATAATTCAAGCTTTCCAAGATTTTTTGAAATTCCTCGATTTTATATGCATCCATTTCTTGAATTCGAACACCTTTTACAGTGCAATTCAAAGCCATTGGTGGAATTCTTCCAAATTTCGGTGATAATTTTCGAATATTATTTTTCTCTACCATTTTTGTATCTCCAAAATCTACCAGCTTCACATAACATAACTCACTTTTTGTCAACATTTCAACACTTCCTCTAAACCACTCATTTCGAAATTTCACACAACAAGCGACACCTTCAAATAATTGATCATTTTCCAAATTTTCCGAGGATAAATTATAAATTTGATTCAATTGTTTTGTCATATTTTGGCGAGCAGTGTTGAGATATTTTGGCTGTAATTTTTTATTTGAAAGAATGAATATTTTTATATCGATAAAAAGACATCCAAAATTCGTTAAAATGTTTTGTTCCCAAAGAAGCTCAATTTTCACTAAAAAATCACCTGAATATTAATATTGAAGGGTGAATCTCCTTGCACAATTTTACAGTGAAAAGTTGGCAAATTCAAAAAAATCCGTGCCTTTTCTCAATTCATCTAACTCAAATTGCACAATTGAACTACTGCAAGCATATTTCCAACAAGTATTGCCATATTTTTCTTGGAGTTCTGAAGAAGGAAAATTTACACTTTATAATGTGTAAAAATCAAGCTCACTTCGTATTCTCCATTCTTTTCCACCTTCGACTTCAACAAGTTCCATCTTGGAAAAATATTCTTGTTAAATTCCAGATTTGAAACCAAAATAGAGAAAACTGAATTGAACAGCAAAAATTTGAAAAAAAGATAAAAAATCAACATTTTTCATAAAAATAATTTATTATGAAAAACTTTCCGGGTATTCAAAATTTCAAGATTTTACAAAAAAAAAAGAAAACAGAGAGATCTGTAAATATGTGGAAAATGGGTGAATAAATATAACAGAATGAATGCTTTTTGGTGATACATTTTTGGATGCAATAATTTGCACTTTTATTCTTCGCTGCGTTGACGTTTTCGTTTTGGAGATTCTAGAAAAAAAAACAATTTTTGATGAGAACCAAATTTTTAAAAGGGAAATACAGGGTGACAACAAATTATAGCGACAAATTCCACTAACTCTGGTTACTGTCGTACTTAACCGATCTCTATGAAAATTTTTTTGAGACTTTTCTGACTATCCAGGACCACGCAGAAAAAATATCAAGAGTTTTCGGAAGGTTCACAATATTTTTTCTGACCGTTGAAGAGTTTTGAAAAATATTTCCGTACTCGCTAGATATTTTGTTCAGCAAAAATTTTCCCTTGCTGATAAATTTCATATTTCTTGCTCAAAATAGTTTTTCTAGATCATAATACACACTGTTTCACAGTTATAACAATTTCTGATGTTCACCGGGGTTCAATTATCATGAATTTTCGGAATTTTGTGAATTTTCAAAGCCAGTCAAAATTTAAAAAAGTCCCAATAATATTTTTTCAACGAAGTTAATGTTTCAAATTGTTCCAAAGGTGTTTAGTGAAGATTCTTATATCACGAATATGATTTTCAAACATAAATTTTGAAAGAAATGCAACTTTTCCAAAAATCATAATTTCTCGAAATTCATCATTTGACTCTGATTATCCGTTAAATACTCTAATTAATGAAGAGGATTTATGCTCAAAATTTTTTTCGACAATTTTTGATAGTATTCAGACTATTTGCAATCATTCATACTTCTAAATATTGGAATTGTATCCACAGATTTCAATTTTATCGAAAAATGAAATTATGATACTCGCAAGTGGTGGTTCAATATAACCACATCTAAAAAAGTCCAAAAGTCGGGTAGCTGTAATAATATTCGTGCTGAACCTTCCCCAATACTTACTTTACCTAAACTAAAAATTATAGTTATGAAATATTACTTACAGACATGAAACAATTAGCCGATAAAATTTTGAAAATTTAAAAAATCGTCAAAAAGCGAAATTTTGAAAACGATCGTTTTCCAACTTTGTGAAATTTTCTGTGTTCATAATCAAAAACAAGTTAGTAAACTGATTAGGAACTATAAAATGATGGTTTTTGAGAAAATTTGAGCAATGAAATCATAAAAAATTGTTCCGTGATTACTGTCAGATCAGCGTATACTTTTGTCGCTATAATTTGTTGTCACCCTGTAGATAAAGGTGCAAATTGCAGGAATGAAATTCAGATTAAATCAAATGGAAATACAAACTCGATCATAAAGAACATGCATCTAAAGTTTTAAAAAAAATGCCTGAAATTTTTGGGAGAACCATTATGAAGTTCCAAAGTTGAACATGTTAAGAAAATTCAGACTCTGGAATTGAGAGTATTTCCATCAAGTTTCAAAAAATCTGACTCCTACTAATTTCCATAACTAGTTTAAATTGTTATTCAAAACCCACTCCAAAGTATATTTTTCAAAGAAGTGAAGAAATTACCTTCTTCCTCTTCTTCTTCTTCCTCATCATCATCGCTGTCTTCTTGAACTTCTTCAGTCGCGGTTTCTACTTCCTCTTCTTCAGCTTGTTCAACTTCTTCTTCTTCCTCCTCTTCATCATCAGATTCAACTTTTCCATTCGACTTTTTCTTCGATGAGCTCTTGCTCGGTGCTCTTCTCTTTACTCCCTTTTTCTCATTTTTCAATGATGCTTTATACGTCTCCAAGACATCTTTTGCATCTTTCAATTCCTTTTCCTCCATTTCAGTATGACTGACTGGATGATCAAATCCTTTCCAATGAACCAAATAGTAGCGTTTTTTTCCAACATCGCGATGCGCAAGAATTTCTTGAACAGTATAATCTTCTCCTGGATTATCAGTTTTTTTGGTGACTTTGAATTTGTAGTCAGCGAGAACTTTTGGGGCATCTTTCAAATCATATTCAGTCATCCAAGTTTTTTCGTCTGGATAGCCAACCCATGTGACAGCATATTCGATATAATGGTCGTCGTAAATTCGATGATCGACAATGTCCTTGATTTCATAATCCGTCTCATCTTCCTCTTCATCCGATGATTCCGATCGTTTTCTGGATCGTCGTTTGGTTCCAGATTTCTTTCCTGAACCTTTCTTCGACTTTGCCGCTTTTTTCGAGATCGCGGCTCCTCTTGTTGAGCTCTCTGAAAATTATACCAGTTGCATATCACCATGACAACGAAAGTTTTGAACTTTTATTTTCAGTAAAAGCCTGTAACAGTTTAGAGAACAAAACTCACTCTTCACTCTTGTGCGCTTTTCTTCGACAGAAATGTTGAAAAGCTCTGTCGATTTTCTGAAAAAAAAAGTAGGTGAAGAAGTTCAAATTCCGGAATTTCTCCTAAAACTGACCTGGCTCTATCGCTGGAGCGCGAAGCCGCAACTGCTCCTTTATTCTTGCTGGTGGAGCTTCTTCCCATTGTTCTGTAAATAAAATGTTAGCTTGTTAAATCGCAGTGAAAATCGGAAAAAAAAACGGGCATGTACGCATATTCGAACTCGTCGAACACCGAGAAAATAAAAACGCGGGAAAAAACAAACAACAGTTACTACGATACAACACGCTCACCAAACAACGTTTTGCCTGTTGTTTAGCGTGTACTTCTCTTGGAGTATTTTTCATTTTTTGGGATTTTTCATTTCGAAAAATGTTTTCTTACTGCTTTTTGGTGATTTTTAAAAATAAAATGTATAGTTTTGTTTAAAAATAAGCGTTGTTTCTCTCAGAATCCAATTTTATGTGCTGTTTTTGCGATAAACTTAACCTTATTCTTTCAAAATTTGTTAGGAAAATTATTATAATTTCAGACTCAGAAATGGAAGTCTCAACTGTAAATGATGTGAAAATATATAATTTGAGTGCTGGTCGGAGTGTTCCAGAATGGATGTCTTCTCGAGCACGTCGAAAATTGGAGCAACGAAATGCAGATGTTAGACAAAGAATTCAATTGATTCAAGATTTCGAGATGCCCGATGTCAGTAATACAGTTAACATTACACCAGATGGGAAATATGTATGGGCTTCTGGAAACTATAAACCGTGGGTAAAATGTTTCGATTTGAATAATTTATCGATCAAATTCGAGAGAGGATTGGATTCAGAAGTTGTGAAAATGATTCCATTGAGTGATGATTATTCAAAAGTTGTGATTCTTGAAGAAGATCGATGGATTGAAATGCACGCAATGTTGGGAAGATATTTCCGTATGCGAATGCCATGTTTCGGTAGAGATATGGCATTATCTGACGAATCTAGTGATCTATTTCTAGTCGGCTCGAAAAATGAGATTTATCGATTGAATTTAGAGCAAGGAAAATGGCTAACACCATTACAATCAACAGGAACAGCGTTGAATTGTTGTCAAATTGCAAAAGAACATCAATTATTTGTTTGTGGAACTACAAATGGAATTGTTGAAGCATGGGATCATCGAGACAGAACACTTTGTGGAACTTTAGATACCGGAAGTTATATCAATAATATGCTAGGGTTAGGATTTTCAAATAAATTGAAAATTTATTTATATATTTTAATTTTTTTAGGGAGAACGAGAAAGTTGGAGTGACTTCAATCGCATTCTCAGATCCTTTGCATATTGGTGTTGGAACAACAACCGGGCATGTTCTTCTATACGATCTTCGTTCAAGAAGACCTTTGCTAGTCAAAGATCACAATAATGAACTTCCAATCAAGAAAATTGAATTTGTCAAAAGGTAAGGTTAAAACGGTTGTGCATTTTTCTAACATACAATATGTGTTACACCATTTGATTCAGATTGTCATTTTATTTTTGCACACCATCTTCGCCCAACAGACCCCGCATGTAATGATCTCCCCCTCCCAAAAATTTTGGCTCTGTTCGGAAACAAAGGGGTTTAGAGAAAATAAAGGGTTTTTCAGAAAATAAAGTGTTTTTCAAGAAAAAAAATGATTTTAGGAGCCCGAAAAAGTAAAATGAACTCCTCAATAATAAGTCCAAAAGTTAGTCAATTTAATCAACTATCTTTTATCTGACTGAAATTTCTTAACTTGATGTGGATCTGTAGTTTACAGGACCTCACTAAACCTAAGCTTTGAATGCTAAGAAAGCTTTAAAAATTCAATTTTTATGTTTGTGCAGCTCTGGAATAAAGGCTTAGGCTTAGTAAATATCCAATAGACAAAAATTACTTTTCTTTTTCAGATATTTTTACCCCTATAAATCTTTTTTTGTTTTTCTAAAACCCTTTATTTTCTGTAAAACTCTTTATTTTCTGAAAACCCCTTCATTTTCTCTAAAACCCTTTATTTCCGAACAGAGCCAAAATTTTTTCAAAATTTTGATTTGAGCGTGAATTTTCATTAGCTACCCGCCCAAATCGAAATTTTGATTCGGGCGTGAATTTGAAATTTCCAAAATGTCCCCCCCCCCCCTCGAAAAATTTTTCCAAATGTCATGATCTCACCCTCACAGTTTTTGGGAGCAGTGCCATGTATGGTCACAACAATTTTAATTCTCAAAACCAATTTCAAGTATAAATGTATGAAATTAAATTTAGAAAAAAAGCAAAATTACTAAATATTTCAGGGACGATGGAAATGTTGTAACTTCAATGGATTCACGTATGATGAAAATGTGGTATGAGGAAGATGGTTCACCAATGGCGGCGATTGAAAATACAGTTCCATTGAATGATTTCTGCCGATTCCCTAATTCTGGAATGTTCTTTTTTGCCAACGAAGCTCCTAAAATGCTTCAATATTTCATTCCTCAATTAGGACCCGCCCCAAAATGGTGTTCTTATTTGGAAAATTTGACAGAGGAAATGGAAGAAACTGAGACAACTGTTTATGATAATTATAGATTTGTTACCAAAAAACAATTGGAGGATTTAGGATTATCTGGATTAGTTGGTACAAATGTATTGAGAGCTTATATGCATGGATATTTCATTGATGCTAGATTGTATAATAAAGCGCAAACTCAAATGCAACCATTCGCCTATGAGCAATATAAAGAGCACAAGGTAACTTTTGAAAAATCCTCCAACAAAATTTCTAATTCTATTTTTTTAAAGATCAAATCAATCATCGCTGATGAACGCGAAAAATCTGCTGTTCAAAAGAAAGTTGAAAAACTTCCATCAGTTAACAAAGCTCTCGCTGCCAGATTACGTGAAGAAGCTACACTTGCTGATAAAGTTTTGGAGTCTCGAAAAGAGAAAAGAAGAAGTAAACGAGCCGAAGGTGCATCTTCGATTTTGGCTGATGATCGTTTCAAAAAACTGTTCGAATCCGAAGATTTTGAGGTCGATGAAGAAAGTGATATTTTTGTGAAAAATGCGGCGATGAGAGCAAAGTTGCAAGAGAAGGAAGCACCAGAAGAAGAAGAAGAGGATGAAGATGAGGGAGATTCTGATGATAATAATTCAGAGGATGATTCAGATTTGGAAATTGAGAAAGATCAGCCGAAAGTTGGAGCTTGGGAAGAGGAAGAAGACGATAATGATAGTATGGCATCAGATTTGGAAAGTGCTAGTGAAAGTGACGATGAAGCTGATCAGACATTGAAGGTATTATATTTTAAACCAAAGAAACTCTTTCAGTGAAGAGTTATCGAAAATTTTGATCTTTTTGCTCTAAAAATGGAGATCCTATCCGGAAAATTTCCTGTGAAATTTTTGTATTTACTCTTTTGGAAGATCCTCTGCAGTCGATAGTTAAATTTCCCTTTTTTCAGAAAAAACGGGCCAAAGCCAGAGCTCAACGAAGAATTGAGAAAAACGCATCAAAAGCCCAGAAATACGAAGAACGAAAAGAAGCGAAAAAACAAAGAACTCAACAAAGACAAGCTGCAAAGCCTTCCAAATTCGTTCTTCATTCGATTGGAAATGGCGAAACTACAAGGAAATTTGTTGATGAAACTGTGGCTAGTGGAACTAATGTACTGAATGAGGTTAGCAATTTTTCTTTTTTTTTAAATTAGAAATTGAATTTTGTTCGGATTTTTAGGATCTTATGGCGCTTGGTGATCGTAAATTTGCTTCAGTGAAACAAGATAAGAGGTTGAAAAAACGAAATGAAGATGATGTTCCATTTGGTGGCCGTGAAATGACATTTACAATTAGTAAACGAGATAAGGATTTGAGAGCGGAGGCGATTAAGGCGAAACAAGTGAGTTCACATAAAACTGGAAGCTATTAATGTTCTATAAAAAGGAGTTTTGGTAATATAGAAACTTTCGAATTAGGAAGCTCTTATAATACAGCAGATTATGAACTTAACAAATTTTAGAATTGTGAAATTAGAAACGTTTCCAACTACAAAAAATCGTTTTCTAATTTTTTTTTACAAAACAGTCTCAAAAAATGCGGCCTATATTTAATAACATTTTCCAGAAAGCCCATATCGATGAACGTAAGAATGCAGCTCGCCGCCCTAATCAAATTGTTACCAAAGGTCTCAAAAAGTTACCCGGAAATTTGAATGTTGGAAAGAAAGGAAATGGTCAATTTTATTAGTTTTCAGATAGCTCTAATTGTTATTTTTTTGTTTCTGTTTTTGTTGGTTTTGTATTTGTTATTTTTTTGGTTTACATCCTGTGAATAAACGGACAAATTAATATGATTACTCTGTTTTTTCGCGCTCGCTCGCTGAAATAAAGAAAAAATGAAATTAGCTCGAAAATGGAAATTTTTTCGCATAAATTAAGTGTATACATGTCAATCCAAGAAAAAACCAATATGTCTTTTTTGGTAGGTTCTCAATTTCTCCCCCATTATTTTCTCCCCTTTTTACGCCAACCAAGCACTGGTGTCTTATTGATTCTCATCATCATCTTTTTCGAATTTAATTCCGGAGAAAATTCTCATAAGGTTTTTTTGGCGAAAAAAATATATGAATAAAAGTTGAAGTATGAAAAATAGAGTTTGACAGTTTGTCTTGTCTTACAGTTTGTCTTACAGCAAACGAGTACTGTACCCGCAGACAGTTTAGGGTTTGAAATTCTTCATTTTTTGTGAAATTAGTCTAGACTTACTAAATGACTGGGTTCTGATTAAATTATCATCTAGCAATTTTGAAAATTGAAAAAATGGTCTAGATACTTCTTATTTGAAACCCCGTGTTTTTTGGTGACAGCTGTGTGGTGGAAATAACTTACTTATAAATATAGTGCTTTTTTCGAGCCATTCAACATTTTTTCCATCTCGCTCAAAACTCATAAAGTGCAAGCAATTTTAGGAGAAGTTTTCGTCAAATCAAGCTGCCATTTTCTCAAACATTTTTTAATCGAAAATGAAAAAATTGACATTCCAATTAATTTTTCGGTCACGCAACGTTTTTTCAGAATAAAACAATTTGGAATTATTTTTTATTATAGTCTAGACTCTAGAGTTTTTTTTGAAATTTTTTAAATTCACATATTGGAAATATCAAATTTCTGAACTTGTTGTAGTAACATAAGAGTTTATAATTAAATTTCGAAAATTCTCTCTCGTTTTCTGTCTTTTTGGAGAGCCAGTCTCCCGAATCTTTTATATGAATCTCTTTCTTTTTTTGAATTTCCAAACAAACAAAAAAGTGTTCTTTCATCCACCAACACCAAAAAACGTTGCACCCTATCGATTTTTCCATTTTCGACGTCTTTTTCTTTTCTCTCATCTGAATTCCAACTCTTTTTCTCTAATCCTCTTCTATTCTTCGTTTGGCTTGACTACTATTACCTTGCTCTTTTTGCTATTTTCAGACCCTAACTGTTTCAGCTATTAGTCATTTCTTCAATCACAGGCAAATGCAAACTGACCGAATACTTGCCAAATTTGAAAAACGGTCCGAAACTTGTACGTTTTGGACCAGTGTTGAAAACGGCCGGAAACCACTCAAAAACCGACCGGTTTCTGACCGGTTTTCCAAAATTGACCGGTAACCGGCCGTGTTTTTTCACCGGTTTCCGGCCGTTTTTGTTAAATTTGAGCAGAAACCGGTCGGTTTTTGAGTGGTTTCCGGCCGTTTTCAACACTGGTCCAAAACGTACAAGTTTCGGACCGTTTTTCAATTTTTGGCAAGTATTCGGTCAGTTTGCATTTGCCTGTGAATTTTTCTGAAACTTTCATTTTTTCTTATTGAGTTAACTTTTCTACGATTCGTTTATTTCTCACATATCAAATATATAGTTCAAAAATTACGTTTTTTCTAATATCTCCGTTAATACTTTTATAGTGAGAATTCAGTTTATATTCTATTATTTTCGAATGCCTCACTTTTTTCCTTTTTTTTCTCCTCAGATTTTTGTCTTTCTCATTTTATTATTTTTTTGCTTTTTCTGTTTTTGAATCGACAAAAAAAAACAACAAGTACTACTAAAACGACATTGGCAGACAGCCCGTTCGATGAAAAAAGCAGCCAGAAAAAATACTCGAACTGGACAAGTTCCTTCCTTTTTGTGCTCTGCATATATAAACAACAACACTGCTTACTTACTTTTATTTTTTACTCTTCGTTTTTTTGGTTTCTCGCATATTCAGACTAAAAGATTCATGTCTTTAGAAGAAATAATCATTTTTCACTATCACTATCAAAAGTTTGTTGTTTCTAAATTTTTTATACGGATTATCACAGGATTTCTGCTTATTCCTAATAATATTATTCCTATAGTTTATATGCATTTTTAACGTCATTCATGTTTTTCTTAGTTTAACTCGATGCATTTTTTCACGATTTTTCACAATTTTAGGCTACGTGCATGAAAATATTATGCTATATTTATATATTGAATATAGAAAATCTTTCGGAAAAATATAAAACCCTAGCCATTTTCCGTATTCATAATAGATTAGTTTTTTATTGTTCGCTTCACACATTTTTCTTTTACTTTTTTACCCATCACTATATACTTGTAGTAATTATGAAAACACAACAAATCCATAATTTAATAAAACTTCTTCTTTTTCCTTTTTTTCTCGTCTTCCAACTAACTTTCATTCAATTATTCATGCTTTGCTCCGGACGTATTCTATTCTCATTTTTTTCGTCATTCTCGTCTTTTTATTGCTACACTGTAATTCGACACATATTTTCTCAGCCCTTTCGATTGACTCTCCACATTATCAAATTTCTTTTCAGATTGTTATGAGATTACTATAATCTACATTTCAATTATTTGAAAAATGTCTTCGTGGTTTTCATATTTTGGGTAATATCAAAATTTAGAAAAATTTTTCCCATCTGTAATATTATTTCAGATTCAATAATGGTCCACCCCTTGAAAATGTTGAAGAAGAACCCGAAGAACAGCCTTCCACATCAGTTGAAGAAACATGTGCACCTGTAAGTTTTGAAGAGATTCAGAAAAACTAATTTTCAAATAACAAGGTATCTTCGAAGTCCGTAGAAGAAAAATTAAACGAGGCAATGAATCGTTTACCAGCCGATCAACAATCGATTGTTCAAGATGTAAGTCACCGAGTTTTTATTTAGCTAAAAGTTCATGAATAATACTTCCAGGTATTACGGAGGGCAGAACATTCACGCAGAGAAGCCAAAATTGTAGTCGATGCTGAAATGCTCCGTTCAGCTTATCGTCGACAAGGAGAAGATTCACAAGAAGTGGATCATCGTTTCTCATTGGTCCAAATGGATTCAATACCAGACAGTAAGTTACATTACATTTTTCCAAACAAACAAATCTCTAGAATTTTTTCAAAACTGAATTATTTTACAGATATAATAACAAGTGAAATGCTCGAACAAGACATGAATCTTCAAAGCAAAATTGAAAATGAATCCGTAGAAGAAGATAGACATCCACCTGATTATTCAACGATTGGTGAAAAGCGTGCATCTATAGCCGAAATAACTACATCAAACTTACGGAGTAGATTACACAAGATGAAATCTCATCTAACTTCATGGTTCAATTCATTGGATTATGATGGTGACTATAGTGCTATTTTTGAAATAACTGGAAAACAAATTATTGAGGAAAAACTTGAGAATCTTACTATGCAATATATTGATGCCTTAAGCAAGGTAAGTAGAAAACAGTAGAAAAATTGAGAGAATATTTCTCGAAAATGGGTTTTAAAAAATTATTTCAAAATCTGAATATTTCAGGCTATACTGATATCATCTCATATCGAATACTCGAATCATATTTTATCATCAAACCCCGAATTTCAACTGATGTGTACACAGTTCTGTGAATCGATATTTTCTCAAGCATATCGCGATATAAAATATAATTTGATGGATGAAAAAACACGGTATATTGTTAACAATTATTGCGGAAAAATTGCAGAAGAAGCATTACACGCTGCCTTCTATTCGTTTATTTCAAAAACCTTACCATCAGAAACGGAGTGAGTTCACTATTCAATGAAAATTAAATGAATGTGATTTTTAGAACCGAAATTGTCACTCAACTATCAAAACTTCACAAATCGAAGTCTTTCGAAAACGCGAATGAGCTTGATTCGTATTTATGCAGAATAGATGTAACTGATGCAGAACAAGGTAAAATGAAACTAAAAATTATCATAAATCATTTTTTTTCAGACAAAGAATCACAATCTTCATCAATATACTGCTATGAACTACTTGACGATAATAAATCATTGAAATCATCGAATTCAAATCCTCAATCAGAACCGAAAGACGACGATTCATGGAGCAGACCGAGTTCATTTGATGATCCCATCGTTGTCGTTGAGGAGCTTTTCAATGTGCCCAATTATGATGATTTTGAAATCGTACAACTTCAGAGAGATTACGAGAAACCATTAGACGTAGAAGAAATAACTTTGACGGAAGAAGCATACTATCCTAAAACAGAAGACGATATCTACCACCGAAGTGATCCTTTAGAAAGGATAGCTGAATTAGATGAGGATCAACAATCACAAAACAGTTCCCATGACACGATGAAAGAACAAGACAATGAGAACTCCAAAATTGTATTGAATGTGGAAGAATACATTCAAAGTATGATCGAACAAGTTTCGAGTGAGATACAGGACAAAACTCCTCTTCCTGATATGCCAACTACCAGTCAGAAAACCGATGAAGAAAATTTACAATTCGAAATGTTCACACGCCAGCTTGTTTCTGAAGCAATAAAAAGGGCTGAAATCGATTTGAAACATGGAAATACAACTTCCAGTGGTATCAAAACATATAGATTATCCAAAACATCATTGGGAGATAATTTCATCAGACAGACAAATGATGATGGAAGATCGAGTGCAACATCTGGAGCTGATATTGAACAATTTTTCGAACAAGAATCACCGATAATTGAGAAACCAACAGAACCTGAGCTGACCCAAGATGAAATTGACCATATTGCATCTATTCAGAATATGGCTGAGAGAATGTCTATTGAAGTTGTGTTACCACCTATGCGCCCTCCAATTCCAGTCAGGTTACCAACAATCGATGAACCGGTTCAATTTACAAAACAAGTATCTGATGATAGAATATCGAGTGCAACATCTGGAGCTGATATTGAACAATCTTTCGAACAAGAATCACCGATAATTGAGAAACCAACAGAACCTGAGCTGACCCAAGATGAAATTGACCATATTGCATCTATTCAGAATATGGCTGAGAGAATGTCTATTGAAGTTGTGTTACCACCTATGCGCCCTCCAATTCCAGTCAGGTTACCAACAATCGATGAACCGGTTCAATTTACAAAACAAGTATCTGATGATGGAAGATCGAGTGCAACATCTGGAGCTGATATTGAACAATCTTTCGAACAAGAATCACCGATAATTGAGAAACCAACAGAACCTGGTCTGACCAAAGACGAAATTGACCACATTGCATCTATTCAGAATATGGCTGAGAGAATGGCCGAAGAAGTTGTGTTACCACCTATGCGCCCTCCAATTCCAGTCAGGTTACCAACAATCGATGAACCGGTTCAATTTACAAAACAAGTATCTGATGATGGAAGATCGAGTGCAACATCTGGAGCTGATATTGAACAATCTTTCGAACAAGAATCACCGATAATTGAGAAACCAACAGAACCTGAGCTGACCCAAGATGAAATTGACCACATTGCATCTATTCAGAATATGGCTGAGAGAATGGCCGAAGAAGTTGTGTTACCACCTATGCGCCCTCCAATTCCAGTCAGGTTACCAACAATCGATGAACCGGTTCAATTTACAAAACAAGTATCCGATGATGGAAGATCGAGTGCAACATCTGGAGCTGATATTGAACAATCTTTCGAACAAGAATCACCGATAATTGAGAAACCAACAGAACCTGAGCTGACCCAAGATGAAATTGACCATATTGCATCTATTCAGAATATGGCTGAGAGAATGTCTATTGAAGTTGTGTTACCACCTATGCGCCCTCCAATTCCAGTCAGGTTACCAACAATCGATGAACCTGTTCAATTTACAAAACAAGTATCCGATGATGGAAGATCGAGTGCAACATCTGGAGCTGATATTGAACAATCTTTCGAACAAGAATCACCGATAATTGAGAAACCAACAGAACCTGAGCTGACCCAAGATGAAATTGACCATATTGCATCTATTCAGAATATGGCTGAGAGAATGTCTATTGAAGTTGTGTTACCACCTATGCGCCCTCCAATTCCAGTCAGGTTACCAACAATCGATGAACCGGTTCAATTTACAAAACAAGTATCTGATGATGGAAGATCGAGTGCAACATCTGGAGCTGATATTGAACAATCTTTCGAACAAGAATCACCGATAATTGAGAAACCAACAGAACCTGAGCTGACCCAAGATGAAATTGACCATATTGCATCTATTCAGAATATGGCTGAGAGAATGTCTATTGAAGTTGTGTTACCACCTATGCGCCCTCCAATTCCAGTCAGGTTACCAACAATCGATGAACCGGTTCAATTTACAAAACAAGTATCTGATGATGGAAGATCGAGTGCAACATCTGGAGCTGATATTGAACAATCTTTCGAACAAGAATCACCGATAATTGAGAAACCAACAGAACCTGGTCTGACCAAAGACGAAATTGACCACATTGCATCTATTCAGAATATGGCTGAGAGAATGGCCGAAGAAGTTGTGTTACCACCTATGCGCCCTCCAATTCCAGTCAGGTTACCAACAATCGATGAACCTGTTCAATTTACAAAACAAGTATCCGATGATAGAATATCGAGTGCAACATCTGGAGCTGATATTGAACAATCTTTCGAACAAGAATCACCGATAATTGAGAAACCAACAGAACCTGAGCTGACCCAAGATGAAATTGACCATATTGCATCTATTCAGAATATGGCTGAGAGAATGTCTATTGAAGTTGTGTTACCACCTATGCGCCCTCCAATTCCAGTCAGGTTACCAACAATCGATGAACCTGTTCAATTTACAAAACAAGTATCCGATGATGGAAGATCGAGTGCAACATCTGGAGCTGATATTGAACAATCTTTCGAACAAGAATCACCGATAATTGAGAAACCAACAGAACCTGAGCTGACCCAAGATGAAATTGACCATATTGCATCTATTCAGAATATGGCTGAGAGAATGTCTATTGAAGTTGTGTTACCACCTATGCGCCCTCCAATTCCAGTCAGGTTACCAACAATCGATGAACCGGTTCAATTTACAAAACAAGTATCCGATGATGGAAGATCGAGTGCAACATCTGGAGCTGATATTGAACAATCTTTCGAACAAGAATCACCGATAATTGAGAAACCAACAGAACCTGGTCTGACCAAAGACGAAATTGACCACATTGCATCTATTCAGAATATGGCTGAGAGAATGTCTATTGAAGTTGTGTTACCACCTATGCGCCCTCCAATTCCAGTCAGGTTACCAACAATCGATGAACCGGTTCAATTTACAAAACAAGTATCCGATGATAGAATATCGAGTGCAACATCTGGAGCTGATATTGAACAATCTTTCGAACAAGAATCACCGATAATTGAGAAACCAACAGAACCTGAGCTGACCCAAGATGAAATTGACCATATTGCATCTATTCAGAATATGGCTGAGAGAATGTCTATTGAAGTTGTGTTACCACCTATGCGCCCTCCAATTCCAGTCAGGTTACCAACAATCGATGAACCTGTTCAATTTACAAAACAAGTATCCGATGATGGAAGATCGAGTGCAACATCTGGAGCTGATATTGAACAATCTTTCGAACAAGAATCACCGATAATTGAGAAACCAACAGAACCTGGTCTGACCAAAGACGAAATTGACCACATTGCATCTATTCAGAATATGGCTGAGAGAATGGCCGAAGAAGTTGTGTTACCACCTATGCGCCCTCCAATTCCAGTCAGGTTACCAACAATCGATGAACCGGTTCAATTTACAAAACAAGTATCTGATGATAGAATATCGAGTGCAACATCTGGAGCTGATATTGAACAATCTTTCGAACAAGAATCACCGATAATTGAGAAACCAACAGAACCTGAGCTGACCCAAGATGAAATTGACCATATTGCATCTATTCAGAATATGGCTGAGAGAATGTCTATTGAAGTTGTGTTACCACCTATGCGCCCTCCAATTCCAGTCAGGTTACCAACAATCGATGAACCGGTTCAATTTACAAAACAAGTATCTGATGATGGAAGATCGAGTGCAACATCTGGAGCTGATATTGAACAATCTTTCGAACAAGAATCACCGATAATTGAGAAACCAACAGAACCTGAGCTGACCCAAGATGAAATTGACCATATTGCATCTATTCAGAATATGGCTGAGAGAATGTCTATTGAAGTTGTGTTACCACCTATGCGCCCTCCAATTCCAGTCAGGTTACCAACAATCGATGAACCGGTTCAATTTACAAAACAAGTATCCGATGATAGAATATCGAGTGCAACATCTGGAGCTGATATTGAACAATCTTTCGAACAAGAATCACCGATAATTGAGAAACCAACAGAACCTGAGCTGACCCAAGATGAAATTGACCATATTGCATCTATTCAGAATATGGCTGAGAGAATGGCCGAAGAAGTTGTGTTACCACCTATGCGCCCTCCAATTCCAGTCAGGTTACCAACAATCGATGAACCGGTTCAATTTACAAAACAAGTATCCGATGATAGAATATCGAGTGCAACATCTGGAGCTGATATTGAACAATCTTTCGAACAAGAATCACCGATAATTGAGAAACCAACAGAACCTGAGCTGACCCAAGATGAAATTGACCATATTGCATCTATTCAGAATATGGCTGAGAGAATGTCTATTGAAGTTGTGTTACCACCTATGCGCCCTCCAATTCCAGTCAGGTTACCAACAATCGATGAACCGGTTCAATTTACAAAACAAGTATCCGATGATGGAAGATCGAGTGCAACATCTGGAGCTGATATTGAACAAGATGATACTTTTCACAAAGTTGCACCACCTATTCCACCGAGAAACGATAAAACATTTGTGCTCCCAAAACCTTTAAAAGAACCAAATGTTAGCTTTGAAAAAATAGTGATCCCTACACGATTAGTGATGCAAAGTTCCTCGGATTCTACTGTGACCTCAGAGCTTCAGATTTCATTAGAAAGAGATATTAGCTATGATAGAAATTCTCCACTTTTGGAATCTGAACATGAAATTGTTCAAGAGCCTGAGTTAACACAAGAAGAACTTGACCATATTGCAATGATACAACAAATGGCACAACAATCTTCGTTCGATCAATTTACTACAAGACCTCCAGTTCCACCAATGCCAATTAGAATTCCAACTATTGATGAACCAGTTCAACAAGTGATTTCACAAAAATCAGAAGATCAATCAGGAGCAACATCAGAAGCTGATATTGAGAGATCTTTCGAAAGAGATATTAGCTATGATAGAAATTCTCCACTTTTGGAATCTGAACATGAAATTGTTCAAGAGCCTGAGTTAACACAAGAAGAACTTGACCATATTGCAATGATACAACAAATGGCACAACAATCTTCGTTCGATCAATTTACTACAAGACCTCCAGTTCCACCAATGCCAATTAGAATTCCAACTATTGATGAACCAGTTCAACAAGTGATTTCACAAAAATCAGAAGACCAATCAGGGGCAACATCAGAAGCTGATATTGAGAGATCTTTCGAAAGAGATATTAGCTATGATAGAAATTCTCCACTTTTGGAATCTGAACATGAAATTGTTCAAGAGCCTGAGTTAACACAAGAAGAACTTGACCATATTGCAATGATACAACAAATGGCACAACAATCTTCGTTCGATCAATTTACTACAAGACCTCCAGTTCCACCAATGCCAATTAGAATTCCAACTATTGATGAACCAGTTCAACAAGTGATTTCACAAAAATCAGAAGACCAATCAGGGGCAACATCAGAAGCTGATATTGAGAGATCTTTCGAAAGAGATATTAGCTATGATAGAAATTCTTCACTTTTGGAATCTGAACATGAAATTGTTCAAGAGCCTGAGTTAACACAAGAAGAACTTGACCATATTGCAATGATACAACAAATGGCACAACAATCTTCGTTCGATCAATTTACTACAAGACCTCCAGTTCCACCAATGCCAATTAGAATTCCAACTATTGATGAACCAGTTCAACAAGTGATTTCACAAAAATCAGAAGATCAATCGGGAGCAACATCAGAAGCTGATATTGAGAGATCTTTCGAAAGAGATATTAGCTATGATAGAAATTCTCCACTTTTGGAATCTGAACATGAAATTGTTCAAGAGCCTGAGTTAACACAAGAAGAACTTGACCATATTGCAATGATACAACAAATGGCACAACAATCTTCGTTCGATCAATTTACTACAAGACCTCCAGTTCCACCAATGCCAATTAGAATTCCAACTATTGATGAACCAGTTCAACAAGTGATTTCACAAAAATCAGAAGACCAATCAGGGGCAACATCAGAAGCTGATATTGAGAGATCTTTCGAAAGAGATATTAGCTATGATAGAAATTCTCCACTTTTGGAATCTGAACATGAAATTGTTCAAGAGCCTGAGTTAACACAAGAAGAACTTGACCATATTGCAATGATACAACAAATGGCACAACAATCTTCGTTCGATCAATTTACTACAAGACCTCCAGTTCCACCAATGCCAATTAGAATTCCAACTATTGATGAACCAGTTCAACAAGTGATTTCACAAAAATCAGAAGACCAATCAGGGGCAACATCAGAAGCTGATATTGAGAGATCTTTCGAAAGAGATATTAGCTATGATAGAAATTCTCCACTTTTGGAATCTGAACATGAAATTGTTCAAGAGCCTGAGTTAACACAAGAAGAACTTGACCATATTGCAATGATACAACAAATGGCACAACAATCTTCGTTCGATCAATTTACTACAAGACCTCCAGTTCCACCAATGCCAATTAGAATTCCAACTATTGATGAACCAGTTCAACAAGTGATTTCACAAAAATCAGAAGATCAATCGGGAGCAACTTCAGAAGCTGATATTGAGAGATCTTTCGAAAGAGATATTAGCTATGATAGAAATTCTCCACTTTTGGAATCTGAACATGAAATTGTTCAAGAGCCTGAGTTAACACAAGAAGAACTTGACCATATTGCAATGATACAACAAATGGCACAACAATCTTCGTTCGATCAATTTACTACAAGACCTCCAGTTCCACCAATGCCAATTAGAATTCCAACTATTGATGAACCAGTTCAACAAGTGATTTCACAAAAATCAGAAGACCAATCAGGGGCAACATCAGAAGCTGATATTGAGAGATCTTTCGAAAGAGATATTAGCTATGATAGAAATTCTCCACTTTTGGAATCTGAACATGAAATTGTTCAAGAGCCTGAGTTAACACAAGAAGAACTTGACCATATTGCAATGATACAACAAATGGCACAACAATCTTCGTTCGATCAATTTACTACAAGACCTCCAGTTCCACCAATGCCAATTAGAATTCCAACTATTGATGAACCAGTTCAACACGTATTAACTCAAAAATCAGAAGACCAATCAGGGGCAACATCAGAAGCTGATATTGAGAGATCTTTCGAAAGAGATATTAGCTATGATAGAAATTCTCCACTTTTGGAATCTGAACATGAAATTGTTCAAGAGCCTGAGTTAACACAAGAAGAACTTGACCATATTGCAATGATACAACAAATGGCACAACAATCTTCGTTCGATCAATTTACTACAAGACCTCCAGTTCCACCAATGCCAATTAGAATTCCAACTATTGATGAACCAGTTCAACAAGTGATTTCACAAAAATCAGAAGATCAATCGGGAGCAACTTCAGAAGCTGATATTGAGAGATCTTTCGAAAGAGATATTAGCTATGATAGAAATTCTCCACTTTTGGAATCTGAACATGAAATTGTTCAAGAGCCTGAGTTAACACAAGAAGAACTTGACCATATTGCAATGATACAACAAATGGCACAACAATCTTCGTTCGATCAATTTACTACAAGACCTCCAGTTCCACCAATGCCAATTAGAATTCCAACTATTGATGAACCAGTTCAACAAGTGATTTCACAAAAATCAGAAGATCAATCGGGAGCAACTTCAGAAGCTGATATTGAGAGATCTTTCGAAAGAGATATTAGCTATGATAGAAATTCTCCACTTTTGGAATCTGAACATGAAATTGTTCAAGAGCCTGAGTTAACACAAGAAGAACTTGACCATATTGCAATGATACAACAAATGGCACAACAATCTTCGTTCGATCAATTTACTACAAGACCTCCAGTTCCACCAATGCCAATTAGAATTCCAACTATTGATGAACCAGTTCAACAAGTGATTTCACAAAAATCAGAAGATCAATCGGGAGCAACATCAGAAGCTGATATTGAGAGATCTTTCGAAAGAGATATTAGCTATGATAGAAATTCTCCACTTTTGGAATCTGAACATGAAATTGTTCAAGAGCCTGAGTTAACACAAGAAGAACTTGACCATATTGCAATGATACAACAAATGGCACAACAATCTTCGTTCGATCAATTTACTACAAGACCTCCAGTTCCACCAATGCCAATTAGAATTCCAACTATTGATGAACCAGTTCAACAAGTGATTTCACAAAAATCAGAAGACCAATCAGGGGCAACATCAGAAGCTGATATTGAGAGATCTTTCGAAAGAGATATTAGCTATGATAGAAATTCTCCACTTTTGGAATCTGAACATGAAATTGTTCAAGAGCCTGAGTTAACACAAGAAGAACTTGACCATATTGCAATGATACAACAAATGGCACAACAATCTTCGTTCGATCAATTTACTACAAGACCTCCAGTTCCACCAATGCCAATTAGAATTCCAACTATTGATGAACCAGTTCAACAAGTGATTTCACAAAAATCAGAAGACCAATCAGGGGCAACATCAGAAGCTGATATTGAGAGATCTTTCGAAAGAGATATTAGCTATGATAGAAATTCTCCACTTTTGGAATCTGAACATGAAATTGTTCAAGAGCCTGAGTTAACACAAGAAGAACTTGACCATATTGCAATGATACAACAAATGGCACAACAATCTTCGTTCGATCAATTTACTACAAGACCTCCAGTTCCACCAATGCCAATTAGAATTCCAACTATTGATGAACCAGTTCAACACGTATTAACTCAAAAATCAGAAGACCAATCAGGGGCAACATCAGAAGCTGATATTGAGAGATCTTTCGAAAGAGATATTAGCTATGATAGAAATTCTCCACTTTTGGAATCTGAACATGAAATTGTTCAAGAGCCTGAGTTAACACAAGAAGAACTTGACCATATTGCAATGATACAACAAATGGCACAACAATCTTCGTTCGATCAATTTACTACAAGACCTCCAGTTCCACCAATGCCAATTAGAATTCCAACTATTGATGAACCAGTTCAACAAGTGATTTCACAAAAATCAGAAGACCAATCAGGGGCAACATCAGAAGCTGATATTGAGAGATCTTTCGAAAGAGATATTAGCTATGATAGAAATTCTCCACTTTTGGAATCTGAACATGAAATTGTTCAAGAGCCTGAGTTAACACAAGAAGAACTTGACCATATTGCAATGATACAACAAATGGCACAACAATCTTCGTTCGATCAATTTACTACAAGACCTCCAGTTCCACCAATGCCAATTAGAATTCCAACTATTGATGAACCAGTTCAACAAGTGATTTCACAAAAATCAGAAGATCAATCGGGAGCAACATCAGAAGCTGATATTGAGAGATCTTTCGAAAGAGATATTAGCTATGATAGAAATTCTCCACTTTTGGAATCTGAACATGAAATTGTACAAGAGCCTGAGTTAACACAAGAAGAACTTGACCATATTGCAATGATACAACAAATGGCACAACAATCTTCGTTCGATCAATTTACTACAAGACCTCCAGTTCCACCAATGCCAATTAGAATTCCAACTATTGATGAACCAGTTCAACAAGTGATTTCACAAAAATCAGAAGATCAATCGGGAGCAACATCAGAAGCTGATATTGAGAGATCTTTCGAAAGAGATATTAGCTATGATAGAAATTCTCCACTTTTGGAATCTGAACATGAAATTGTTCAAGAGCCTGAGTTAACACAAGAAGAACTTGACCATATTGCAATGATACAACAAATGGCACAACAATCTTCGTTCGATCAATTTACTACAAGACCTCCAGTTCCACCAATGCCAATTAGAATTCCAACTATTGATGAACCAGTTCAACAAGTGATTTCACAAAAATCAGAAGATCAATCGGGAGCAACATCAGAAGCTGATATTGAGAGATCTTTCGAAAGAGATATTAGCTATGATAGAAATTCTCCACTTTTGGAATCTGAACATGAAATTGTTCAAGAGCCTGAGTTAACACAAGAAGAACTTGACCATATTGCAATGATACAACAAATGGCACAACAATCTTCGTTCGATCAATTTACTACAAGACCTCCAGTTCCACCAATGCCAATTAGAATTCCAACTATTGATGAACCAGTTCAACAAGTGATTTCACAAAAATCAGAAGACCAATCAGGGGCAACATCAGAAGCTGATATTGAGAGATCTTTCGAAAGAGATATTAGCTATGATAGAAATTCTCCACTTTTGGAATCTGAACATGAAATTGTTCAAGAGCCTGAGTTAACACAAGAAGAACTTGACCATATTGCAATGATACAACAAATGGCACAACAATCTTCGTTCGATCAATTTACTACAAGACCTCCAGTTCCACCAATGCCAATTAGAATTCCAACTATTGATGAACCAGTTCAACAAGTGATTTCACAAAAATCAGAAGATCAATCGGGAGCAACATCAGAAGCTGATATTGAGAGATCTTTCGAAAGAGATATTAGCTATGATAGAAATTCTCCACTTTTGGAATCTGAACATGAAATTGTTCAAGAGCCTGAGTTAACACAAGAAGAACTTGACCATATTGCAATGATACAACAAATGGCACAACAATCTTCGTTCGATCAATTTACTACAAGACCTCCAGTTCCACCAATGCCAATTAGAATTCCAACTATTGATGAACCAGTTCAACACGTTTTGACTCAAAAATCAGAAGATCAATCGGGAGCAACTTCAGAAGCTGATATTGAGAGATCTTTCGAAAGAGATATTAGCTATGATAGAAATTCTCCACTTTTGGAATCTGAACATGAAATTGTTCAAGAGCCTGAGTTAACACAAGAAGAACTTGACCATATTGCAATGATACAACAAATGGCACAACAATCTTCGTTCGATCAATTTACTACAAGACCTCCAGTTCCACCAATGCCAATTAGAATTCCAACTATTGATGAACCAGTTCAACAAGTGATTTCACAAAAATCAGAAGACCAATCAGGGGCAACATCAGAAGCTGATATTGAGAGATCTTTCGAAAGAGATATTAGCTATGATAGAAATTCTCCACTTTTGGAATCTGAACATGAAATTGTTCAAGAGCCTGAGTTAACACAAGAAGAACTTGACCATATTGCAATGATACAACAAATGGCACAACAATCTTCGTTCGATCAATTTACTACAAGACCTCCAGTTCCACCAATGCCAATTAGAATTCCAACTATTGATGAACCAGTTCAACAAGTGATTTCACAAAAATCAGAAGATCAATCGGGAGCAACATCAGAAGCTGATATTGAGAGATCTTTCGAAAGAGATATTAGCTATGATAGAAATTCTCCACTTTTGGAATCTGAACATGAAATTGTACAAGAGCCTGAGTTAACACAAGAAGAACTTGACCATATTGCAATGATACAACAAATGGCACAACAATCTTCGTTCGATCAATTTACTACAAGACCTCCAGTTCCACCAATGCCAATTAGAATTCCAACTATTGATGAACCAGTTCAACAAGTGATTTCACAAAAATCAGAAGATCAATCGGGAGCAACATCAGAAGCTGATATTGAGAGATCTTTCGAAAGAGATATTAGCTATGATAGAAATTCTCCACTTTTGGAATCTGAACATGAAATTGTTCAAGAGCCTGAGTTAACACAAGAAGAACTTGACCATATTGCAATGATACAACAAATGGCACAACAATCTTCGTTCGATCAATTTACTACAAGACCTCCAGTTCCACCAATGCCAATTAGAATTCCAACTATTGATGAACCAGTTCAACAAGTGATTTCACAAAAATCAGAAGATCAATCGGGAGCAACATCAGAAGCTGATATTGAGAGATCTTTCGAAAGAGATATTAGCTATGATAGAAATTCTCCACTTTTGGAATCTGAACATGAAATTGTTCAAGAGCCTGAGTTAACACAAGAAGAACTTGACCATATTGCAATGATACAACAAATGGCACAACAATCTTCGTTCGATCAATTTACTACAAGACCTCCAGTTCCACCAATGCCAATTAGAATTCCAACTATTGATGAACCAGTTCAACAAGTGATTTCACAAAAATCAGAAGACCAATCAGGGGCAACATCAGAAGCTGATATTGAGAGATCTTTCGAAAGAGATATTAGCTATGATAGAAATTCTCCACTTTTGGAATCTGAACATGAAATTGTTCAAGAGCCTGAGTTAACACAAGAAGAACTTGACCATATTGCAATGATACAACAAATGGCACAACAATCTTCGTTCGATCAATTTACTACAAGACCTCCAGTTCCACCAATGCCAATTAGAATTCCAACTATTGATGAACCAGTTCAACAAGTGATTTCACAAAAATCAGAAGATCAATCGGGAGCAACATCAGAAGCTGATATTGAGAGATCTTTCGAAAGAGATATTAGCTATGATAGAAATTCTCCACTTTTGGAATCTGAACATGAAATTGTTCAAGAGCCTGAGTTAACACAAGAAGAACTTGACCATATTGCAATGATACAACAAATGGCACAACAATCTTCGTTCGATCAATTTACTACAAGACCTCCAGTTCCACCAATGCCAATTAGAATTCCAACTATTGATGAACCAGTTCAACACGTTTTGACTCAAAAATCAGAAGATCAATCGGGAGCAACTTCAGAAGCTGATATTGAGAGATCTTTCGAAAGAGATATTAGCTATGATAGAAATTCTCCACTTTTGGAATCTGAACATGAAATTGTTCAAGAGCCTGAGTTAACACAAGAAGAACTTGACCATATTGCAATGATACAACAAATGGCACAACAATCTTCGTTCGATCAATTTACTACAAGACCTCCAGTTCCACCAATGCCAATTAGAATTCCAACTATTGATGAACCAGTTCAACAAGTGATTTCACAAAAATCAGAAGACCAATCAGGGGCAACATCAGAAGCTGATATTGAGAGATCTTTCGAAAGAGATATTAGCTATGATAGAAATTCTCCACTTTTGGAATCTGAACATGAAATTGTTCAAGAGCCTGAGTTAACACAAGAAGAACTTGACCATATTGCAATGATACAACAAATGGCACAACAATCTTCGTTCGATCAATTTACTACAAGACCTCCAGTTCCACCAATGCCAATTAGAATTCCAACTATTGATGAACCAGTTCAACAAGTGATTTCACAAAAATCAGAAGACCAATCAGGGGCAACATCAGAAGCTGATATTGAGAGATCTTTCGAAAGAGATATTAGCTATGATAGAAATTCTCCACTTTTGGAATCTGAACATGAAATTGTTCAAGAGCCTGAGTTAACACAAGAAGAACTTGACCATATTGCAATGATACAACAAATGGCACAACAATCTTCGTTCGATCAATTTACTACAAGACCTCCAGTTCCACCAATGCCAATTAGAATTCCAACTATTGATGAACCAGTTCAACAAGTGATTTCACAAAAATCAGAAGATCAATCGGGAGCAACATCAGAAGCTGATATTGAGAGATCTTTCGAAAGAGATATTAGCTATGATAGAAATTCTCCACTTTTGGAATCTGAACATGAAATTGTTCAAGAGCCTGAGTTAACACAAGAAGAACTTGACCATATTGCAATGATACAACAAATGGCACAACAATCTTCGTTCGATCAATTTACTACAAGACCTCCAGTTCCACCAATGCCAATTAGAATTCCAACTATTGATGAACCAGTTCAACAAGTGATTTCACAAAAATCAGAAGACCAATCAGGGGCAACATCAGAAGCTGATATTGAGAGATCTTTCGAAAGAGATATTAGCTATGATAGAAATTCTCCACTTTTGGAATCTGAACATGAAATTGTTCAAGAGCCTGAGTTAACACAAGAAGAACTTGACCATATTGCAATGATACAACAAATGGCACAACAATCTTCGTTCGATCAATTTACTACAAGACCTCCAGTTCCACCAATGCCAATTAGAATTCCAACTATTGATGAACCAGTTCAACACGTTTTGACTCAAAAATCAGAAGATCAATCGGGAGCAACATCAGAAGCTGATATTGAGAGATCTTTCGAAAGAGATATTAGCTATGATAGAAATTCTCCACTTTTGGAATCTGAACATGAAATTGTTCAAGAGCCTGAGTTAACACAAGAAGAACTTGACCATATTGCAATGATACAACAAATGGCACAACAATCTTCGTTCGATCAATTTACTACAAGACCTCCAGTTCCACCAATGCCAATTAGAATTCCAACTATTGATGAACCAGTTCAACAAGTGATTTCACAAAAATCAGAAGACCAATCGGGAGCAACATCAGAAGCTGATATTGAGAGATCTTTCGAAAGAGATATTAGCTATGATAGAAATTCTCCACTTTTGGAATCTGAACATGAAATTGTTCAAGAGCCTGAGTTAACACAAGAAGAACTTGACCATATTGCAATGATACAACAAATGGCACAACAATCTTCGTTCGATCAATTTACTACAAGACCTCCAGTTCCACCAATGCCAATTAGAATTCCAACTATTGATGAACCAGTTCAACAAGTGATTTCACAAAAATCAGAAGATCAATCGGGAGCAACTTCAGAAGCTGATATTGAGAGATCTTTCGAAAGAGATATTAGCTATGATAGAAATTCTCCACTTTTGGAATCTGAACATGAAATTGTTCAAGAGCCTGAGTTAACACAAGAAGAACTTGACCATATTGCAATGATACAACAAATGGCACAACAATCTTCGTTCGATCAATTTACTACAAGACCTCCAGTTCCACCAATGCCAATTAGAATTCCAACTATTGATGAACCAGTTCAACAAGTGATTTCACAAAAATCAGAAGATCAATCGGGAGCAACTTCAGAAGCTGATATTGAGAGATCTTTCGAAAGAGATATTAGCTATGATAGAAATTCTCCACTTTTGGAATCTGAACATGAAATTGTTCAAGAGCCTGAGTTAACACAAGAAGAACTTGACCATATTGCAATGATACAACAAATGGCACAACAATCTTCGTTCGATCAATTTACTACAAGACCTCCAGTTCCACCAATGCCAATTAGAATTCCAACTATTGATGAACCAGTTCAACAAGTGATTTCACAAAAATCAGAAGATCAATCGGGAGCAACTTCAGAAGCTGATATTGAGAGATCTTTCGAAAGAGATATTAGCTATGATAGAAATTCTCCACTTTTGGAATCTGAACATGAAATTGTTCAAGAGCCTGAGTTAACACAAGAAGAACTTGACCATATTGCAATGATACAACAAATGGCACAACAATCTTCGTTCGATCAATTTACTACAAGACCTCCAGTTCCACCAATGCCAATTAGAATTCCAACTATTGATGAACCAGTTCAACAAGTGATTTCACAAAAATCAGAAGACCAATCAGGGGCAACATCAGAAGCTGATATTGAGAGATCTTTCGAAAGAGATATCAGCTATGATAGAAATTCTCCACTTTTGGAATCTGAACATGAAATTGTTCAAGAGCCTGAGTTAACACAAGAAGAACTTGACCATATTGCAATGATACAACAAATGGCACAACAATCTTCGTTCGATCAATTTACTACAAGACCTCCAGTTCCACCAATGCCAATTAGAATTCCAACTATTGATGAACCAGTTCAACAAGTGATTTCACAAAAATCAGAAGATCAATCGGGAGCAACTTCAGAAGCTGATATTGAGAGATCTTTCGAAAGAGATATTAGCTATGATAGAAATTCTCCACTTTTGGAATCTGAACATGAAATTGTTCAAGAGCCTGAGTTAACACAAGAAGAACTTGACCATATTGCAATGATACAAAATTTAGCAGAACAGTCTTCCATGGATCAATTTGTTCCTGTGATAAAACCAATCGTTTCGCAAGTCCCTATACGATTCACATTCATGGGGAATACTACCACTGACAAAATGTGTACGAGTGAGCCGGAGATTCAAAGCACATCAGATAACCGACGAACATCCATTACGTATACATCTCATGTTTCTCCACAAAATCTTCGTGATTTACGTTCATCAACATCATTCCCTTCAAGTAGTTTAACCGATGAAAAACCAACAAAACGAAAATTGATAAGAGAATCAAGTGTACAAGTTGTGTATACAGATCATATTTTACGAGATATGCAAAGTGTGGAAAATGCTGACTCATCAACATCAGCTATACAAATTGAGCCAGAAGAAGATGAGTTGGTGCGAGACATCACAGAATATGAAATCGAAACATCATCTTTGGTCAACAAATATGTTATCGAACAGGCAAATTTCCAACAACTATCAAATCCAATTCCAACATCCCCAATTCGTCGAACTATGAGTGCAACAACTGGAGAATGCAGTATTTATACATCTCTCTTTGAAAACGAGGTTAAGCATGCACAGAGTCATGATCAAATTAAGAGTGCCCATCCTAATGCATATGAACTATGTGAGCAACATAGCTTCCGCGACGCTCAACCACTACTTTGCAATGTCGACTTTTTATGGCGCCTCAATTTTGCTGCAAATAGAATGACCGAGGAAATTGCCGAAGAGGTTCGTTTCAATTTTCTATTTTTTTCTCTTTTTTTTGGATGAACAAAACAACCCATAAATACATGTGCATGTGTGTGTGTTTGTGTAATGCAAAATTCAATTACAGGCTGGTAGGCAATTGCGTGCTCACTATAGAAATGTGGCCAATCCAAGAGCCAGATATTTCTCGGATACCTATATTGATACTGGATCGGATGACGAAGAAGAAGAATCGTGAGTTTTTATAGGAAATATTTTTTTGAAAAAAAGTTCAAGAGAACACATATTAGTAGCTTATAAAAATGTGGGCATAGTTTTTTTTTCTAACCAAGTCAACTAGAAAATTGATGACTTAAAAATGCAAAGTTTTTCACCGCGAAAAAAAATATTTTTTGCAGACCAATCGGATTTGTTGTTGAACCATTTGAAGAAACGCCATCATATGGATTATTCTCTTTCTTTAGTTCAAAGAAAAAGAGTATAAGTGACAGACCGAGAAGTGCACTTGCAATGTTTACATCTTCTCCAACTCCATCTGTTGGGCGAAAAGAATCGGAAGATCGTGGAGATATTATGAATCTTTTGAGAAGGTTAGTCCTAATTTTAAAATTTTGCACCTTTAATTTCTTCAGATCATCTGGAGCTGATTCGCGTGCATCGAATGATAGTACAAAACTACCAGATACCGCGTTGGTTGGATTATCCGAATCAGAGAAGCAACACATCATGGCTGTATTGAATAGATCTAATAGATCAGTCTCACCAATGACTTCAAGACGATGTTCGTCTGCTCTTCAAATTTTGCCAGAAGTTGGAAATTTATCAGATGCTGAGAAAGAGCATATTCAAAATGTTCTTGAAAAGGCTGAATCTAAAACGCCTTACATGATCAGAATACCTGTCAAAAAACAGATATCTTCTCGAACTGAATCAACAAACTCCAGAGTTTCAAGTGATGGAATCGATGAAGAAGTTACACAAGATGTATCAATTGATGAGCAAAGAAAACATGAACCAATTATTGAAATTCCATCAAGAGCTACAACTCCACGTAATAATTTGAGAGTTGTTCCACCACCAATTGCTATTTCATGCCCAACTCCTCCACATTCTGCGAAAACTGATTCATCAAAGCTTTCAAGTGGATCATCGGCTTCAAATACACAACAATTCGGTTTTTCTACTCCATCCATTTCTGGTATAAAGACATTCTTCGACAAAGCAAAAGATACTCTAATTAAAGAAGATTCTACTGCAAATGAAAATGTTCTTGAAGAAGTGAAGCCCCAAAATCCACCACAAAAGAAAAATAGTGGATTTGGATTGAAAACGTTTTTTGGAAAAGCAACAGATGTTGTCAAAAATGCTCTGTTAGAAGACGACAATGCGCTTACACAAGAAGAACTTGATCATATTGCAAGAATGAATAAATTAGCGGAAGAAGAATTGGGAACAACTCCTATTCCGAAAACTTCACAAGCTGAATTAACAAAGGAGGAGCTTGAACACATTGCTAAGATGAATTCATTGGCAGCACAAGAGTTCGGTGAGATACAAAATATTCTACCACCAGTTAAAGTTCAAGAACCTGAACTCACTCAACAAGAATTGGATCATATTGCCAGAATGGCGGCAATGGCTGAACAAGATTCTATGATGACTGGGTTTACACAACCTGTATCGATTCAACCAAACAAAAATTTAGAATCGGAATTGACGCAAAAAGAATTGGATCACATTGCAAAGATGACAGCAATGGCTGAACAGGATAATTCTATGAGCAATGTTAATCCACGAGTATGGGCTAGAGAAGATTCAGAAAATAGCTCAAAAACAGGTTCTGCTGAAGATGTTGATTCCATTGATCAAGACTTGACACAGGAAGAATTAGATCATATCGCAAGAATGAATGCAATAGCTGATGAAGATATGAGATTCTCAAGTACAATCGAGCAACCTAAAGTGAAGCAAACCGAACCGCAGTTAAATCAAGAAGAGTTAGATCACATTATGAGAATGGCTGCTATGGCTGAAGAGGATTCTATCAAAACCACAGTCGCACCATCTAAACCACATGCAGAACCTGAGTTGACCCAAGAAGAATTAGATCATATCGCAAGAATGACAGCGATGGCTGAACAAGATTCAATGATGACTATAATGGCACCTGAAAAACTAGTTGAACCAGATCTAACCAAAGAAGAACTAGAACACATTTCAAGAATGGCTAGAATGGCGGAAGAAGATTCTATGATGACTGAATTCATTCAACCTGGTTTTATTGAACCTCAGAAGCAAGCTGCGTCTGAATTGACACAAGAAGAACTTGCACACATCGAGAAAATGACAAGAATGGCTGAAGCTGATGCTATGATGACTGGATTCAATCAACCTGGCTTTATTCAATCAGAAAAGCACTTAGAACCAGAATTGACCCAGGAAGAATTAGATCACATTGCAAGAATGGCAGCAATGGCTGAGCAAGATTCAATGAATACATTCTCACAGACTAGAAAACCAGAAATTGGAACAGAGCTCACTCAGGAAGAATTAGCTCATATTGCAAGAATGGCAGCATTAGCTGATCAAGATTCGGTGCAAACTATTTTCTCGACTCAACCAGTAAAGCCTTCCGAACCTGAATTGACACAAGAAGAACTAGATCATATTGCAAAAATGGCTCAATTAGCTGAAAATGATACAATGATGTCCAATCCATTCCTACCATCGACCGAATTCAGGGAAACTCCAATTTTCAATCGAAAGGAAGATGAGGAATCAGATTTCAGTTCGAGAACAGGTTCACCAGAAGAGCCTGAAAATATATATTCAAGTCAAGAAATCGTTGAAGAAACTCCGATTCTTCCAACACAAACATCTGAAGATCGATCATCAGCCACATCGGGTGCCGATATACGTATTAGTTTTGAGGGAACATCTCCACTCATTCCAGATGAAATACTTGAAGAAGATAGAGAAAATGGAGAAGACATCAAAGAAGAGTCTGCATATGACAAGGTTTTTTTCGTTTTTTTTCCATATCTGCGTTTTTTAATAGCGTGACTTTTTGCAGGAACAAGATTTTGCCATTTCACCAGTTGCCTCTGGCGGTTCAATGAATTCACAAAAATCGAGTGAATTTGATATCAGAAGTATTGCCGAAATCAGAAACGAGTCTGATCATGATATTGAAAAATGGTAAGTTTATTCATTTTTCTAATAAAAATTAACTTCAGGCTATTAGTGAAAATTAATTCGTAATTTTTCAGGTATGGCGAACAACTTAGTTTCATGCGACAATCCATTGAACAAACTGATGAAATCATTGAAGATCAAGAATCGGACGAATATAATAAACAATATGTCGAAGAGCAGCTTGATCTCGGAGGTTTGTTTATTTTTATTTGAAAAAAAAACTTCGCAGAATTTTTTTGTAAACTTCTGAAATCTCAACTAATTTATTTATTTATTCAGCGCCCTTTTTTTCGCAAGTTTCTCAGGCTCACATATCAAATTGCCTAAAACAATTATCTCACTCCCTCCAAAAAAAGACAGAAATAATAAATCTCCCTCTCCTCCTCCCTTTCCTCAAAAGGAAGTGCCAAAAAAACTGCATTTTAGGTAATATTTCCATCGAAGAGACGGAAAAGATGGAGACAGCCAAAGAAACGAGATCGATGAGCTCGAACGAGCAACAAAAAGACAACAACTACTACTACGAATATGCACCATCTACGATCGATGCAAGTGGAGTTGAAAAAGTAGACGACGAAGAAGAGAAACTAGAAAATAGAGAACTAGGCAAAGTAGGGGGAAAAGCGGAAAAAGAAGAAAAAAGAGAAGAAGAAGAAGTTATTGGTGGTGGTCGTATGCTCAAAAAACGCACCAATTTTGGTGGATTCTTCACTAATTTTGCTAACGATGCGATTTCAAAGGTTTGTTGTGGAAAAAACTTCGATGTTACGTATATTCCCAAAGTTCTCTGGAAAAATCCCCATTTTTCCAAAGAAAAAATTCCAAATTTTCTAAAAAGCATTTTTATTATAGTTGTTGTTGTTGTTCAGAATTTTTCCCTCAGAAATATACATGTTTTTTGTATTATTATATGCTCAACAATTTCCGGCATATAGATAGACAGAAACAAAACAACAAAAAATGACAACTTTCGTAGGGCTCATTAATTTTAAAGTACCAACTTTTTTCTCTTTTCTGATAATTTTTTTTAGGCAAAAGAAGCTGGCGGTCAGATACAAGCCGCCGTGGCCGCAGTCGAACCAACAAAGGTAAAAAAGTCCCTTTCACCTTTTTTTTCTGAAAAAATCCTAAATCTAATTACAGCCATCAACATCATCTGTCAACTCCAATCATGGTGCATACATTAGCCAGAAAAACATGTGAGTGTTGCCAAAAAAACTCGAGATCCGAGAGTTGAATAAAAAAAAGATATCAAATTTCGAATGAGTTTTTTTTTGCAGAAATGAAATGCCAACTGGTCTTGAAGGTCTTTCCGAATCAGAGCGACAAAAAATTATGTCTGTTATGGCTGATGCAGAAATGGACTCATCGAATAGTATAATTCCGATTAGGCAACAAAATATTCCTAGTGTTCAATCTAGTTCAAATATCCCACCGGGTCTCGAAGGTTTATCAGAAGCCGAGAGACAGAAAATCATGTCTGTTATGGCTGAAGCTGATATGGATAATGCAAGAAGTGCAGTACCAAGTAGATCTCCAAGTGTTAATAGATTCCAATCATCATCACTTCCACCACCAAGGTAATTACTTATTTTTCCAAGCCAATTGAATCTTATAATTTTTTTTAGTGTTTCAATGATCCCACCTGGCCTCGAAGGCTTATCAGAAGCTGAGAGACAGAAAATCATGTCAGTTATGGCTGACGCAGAAACGGAAGTTTCTCGAAGTTCAGTGCCAAGCAGATCTCAAAGTTCTACAAGATTCCAAACACCACCATCGCAAAGGTGAGCATTTTTGAAATTAGAGTCACATTCACCTTAAAAATCAAGGGTATATTGGAATCAGTAAACTACTCCTACCAAATTTTTGACCACGTAAATAATTCATAACCTGACTTTCTTTAGCATGTCAATGATACCGCCTGGCCTTGAACAACTTTCCGAAGCCGAGCGTCAGAAGATTATGTCAGTAATGGCTGAAGCTGATATGGATGTTTCTAGGAGCTCAGTTCCAAGCAGATCTCAAAGTTCTAACAGATTCCAAACACCTCCTCCACCGCAAAGGTTGGTTCTTTTTAAAAAGATTAAACTTGATTTTTTTCTCAAAAGTTAGCGTATTGAAACAAAAGTTGAAACGATTTTTTTGACAACTAAAACATTTAAAAACTTCTACCATTACTTTCTCCAGCATGCCAATAATACCGCCTGGACTTGAACAACTCTCCGAAGCCGAGCGTCAGAAAATCATGTCAGTGATGGCTGATGCAGAAATGGAAGTTTCTCAAAGCGCGGTTCCAAGTAGATCTCAAAGTTCTACTCGATTCCAACCTTCGCAACTTCCACCACCAAGGTACATATATTCTTTTATGAAAAATGTAACTTTTGAAATCAATAATTCCAGTGTTTCAATGGTACCACCTGGCCTCGAAGGTTTATCTGAAGCCGAACGTCAAAAGATTATGTCGGTTATGGCGGACGCAGAAATGGATGCCGTTAAAAGTTCAGTTCCTAGTAGATCATCTACAGTTTCTGGCTTCCAACAACTTCCACCACAAAGGTAAAATTAAATAATTCGAGTAAATATTTTAATCTCAATTCTGATTCCAGTGTTATTCCACCGGGACTCGGAGATTTATCAGAAGCCGAGAGACAGAAAATCATGTCTGTTATGGCTGAAGCTGATATGGATAATGCAAGAAGTGCAGTACCAAGTAGATCTCCAAGTGTTAATAGATTCCAATCATCATCACTCCCCCCACCAAGGTAATTAATTTTTACTCTCAATTTGATAATTTTTAATTTATATTTGTAGCGTTTCAATGATTCCACCGGGTCTCGAAGGTTTATCAGAAGCTGAGAGAGAGAAAATCATGTCGGTTATGGCTGATGCAGAAATCGAAGAAGCGAAGAGTAATGTTCCAAGCAGATCTCCAAGTTTCAACAGATTCCAACAATTACCACCACCAAGGTAAGAGTTTTTCAAAAAACAAGACCAATTCAATTTTATTTTATTTAGCTTTATTCCAACAATTCCGCCTGGTCTCGAAGATTTATCCGAAGAAGAGCGGCAAAAGATAATGTCAGTTATGGCAAACGCCGAAATTGAGGAAGCAAGGAGTAATGTTCCAAGTAGATCTCCTAGCTTTAATGTGGTCAAACCAACTGGTCTTGAAGATCTAACCGAATCAGAAAGAGAGAAGATTATGTCTGTTATGGCGAATGCAGAATTAGAAGAGTCAATAGTTCCCCAATCTTCTGGATTCGGAATTACAAATCCATTCATCGCTGAACCAAATCAACAGTTCAGTGGATTTACAATGGAAGACTTGGAAAGATCTCAAGAACGGGAAAAACCAACACCAACAGGTCATTCAGGATTCCAACCAGCTGGTTACATGTGAGTTTTATTTATTTTCAAACATGAGCCCAAAATGTTAATTATAAACTTTCAGGGTGGAAGATGATGTACCCCCTTCAACAAGCACAACTTCAAAGAGACAATTATCCTACGAGTCAACATCTCCAACTCGAGAATCGGGATATGCAACATCGTCAACATCATACGAAAAAGAATTGGTAATTTGACTCTTTTTTTTTCGCTACGCTAATTGATGTGCACTTTTTCAGGGCGGCGGTGAGCGAATGTTGGGAGATCTTGAAGATTTGATGAAAATTCGTGAAGGAGCTTGTAGTCGTCGCGACAGTCGCGAAGGTATTCGAGAAGTTCGTCCAGAAGATGAAATTGTGCAAACTCCACCACTCGAAGATTCGGTTTCATCGCAACGAGATGATTTCGATTTCACATATTCGGATTCGAGATTTGCAGATATTGTCAAACTTCAAGAAGAGGAAGAAAAAGCTGCGGAAGAGCAGAAACAATTACTTTTGCAGAAGCAGAAACAAGAAGAAATACAGAAGCCTGAAGAAAAACCAAGAATGTGGACAACTGTTTTCGATGGTGATGAATCTGAATTACCAATCAGAGATTTTGTTGATTTGAAAGAACCATCTGGTTTTGATTTCCCAAAAGAGACGGATGAAGTTTTTGAAAAACCAGCAGAGATGAAGAGGATTCGAGTAACTAAAACACGTGAGTATTTTTGCTCGTTCTTCTTTGAAGAAATTTCAACCATTTATATTTTCAGACGATGTTGATATGGATGAGATATATGATAATGTGATCACGACATCAACAATTCCAACAAATGTGAATAGAAATATCAAAGAAGTCGAGTTTGATTCATCATCCACTACAAATAAACAAAAATTGCCAAAACTTCCTCCACAAATCAAAATCACACAAGAAGAAGAAGAAACTCGCAGTGATTCGGAAGAAGAGGAAAATTCAGAAGACGATGATGAATATCCAGACAAAGTTGTAGCTGCTCCATCCGCTCCAACTCCAACATTTGAAGAAGTTGAGAAAGAGAGAATGCGACAAGAAGAACTCGGAAAAGAGGTTTTGATGCAGATTCAAGCATTCGGTGAAGTTGCCAACGATGAATTTGATGTGAAGTGGGCTAAGAGTAGTTTGAATCAGAATATTCCACGAAGTCAGCCGATTGCTATTCCACAAAAGAAATTGGAAGAATCAGAGCAAGAAAAAGAAAAAAGAAAACATGAAATTCTTGATGATCCCAACTTACACTACCACGGTCATAATCCATTCCTAGATTCTCCTGATGAGGACGATGATGTTTCTGTGAACATGGAAGATGTCGAGTTTGCAGAAATCGCCAAATTCTATGAATCAGCTAATCAAATGATGCGAAGACCAGGTCCAGTTTATACAATCGCAGAGGATGAATCTGAAGATGATGGAACATTGATTAATTCAGAAAGTCGATTGATTGGTAAGATATTTTGCAAATATAATAGAAATTATTAAAATATTTTTTCAGCTCGAGAAAAACGACTAATGTCCAAAGAACGAGCTGAATCATTGATGCAAAAATATGAGAAGAAAAAGAAAATCGAGGTGAAGGCAACAACATCTGCGCCATCCACAAAAACAACTAATTCTTATGCAATCATAAGTTTCGCAGGTGAGCGCTTTTTCGAAAATTCGAATAAATCTTGAGAAAAAAACATTTCAGGTACATCAAACCCAACTACTACCGATACCACTAAATTCTTCGAAGAGCTCAAGAAAAAATCCAAAGAACCCAAAAAGGATATCCCTCCAGAAATTTCTGCATCAATCGATCGAACAATGGCCGAAGTCGAAAGTCTTTTGGATCAAGTTTATACAAGTTCCGATAAATCAAAACCAAATCTGTTGTTCTTTGATCAATCCAAATTCCAACTTCCAACAAAAGAAACCAAATCAACTGGAACTGAGACAAATGAATCAGTATCTCCATCCTTCCTCCTGCCATTGAAGCAATCAGCAGTTTTAGGAAGTTGTTTGGAATCATTGCAAAATGAGAACTTAACCGATGATGAAACTTCTCCAAGGTGAGTTATTATAATTGACAATCATGGTAGGAAAAAAGGTTATCTCCTAACTCTCAAATGTACCGTTGGTTCGAGGAACATTCGCTTTTCCGTATTTATTATAAAGAAATCAGATCCCCGGCCTTTTTTGGCCAGCAAGTATATATTCATGTTTTCAGAGGCCTCAAGCGCTCTCCTGGAATGTTACTTCCATCTCCAACATCCACAACACCGCTTCCAATTCATTCATCCGAAAATACAATCGGAGCTTCAACTTCTTCAATGTTTGGCGGAATCAGTATAACTGATCCTTTACCTTCAACTCTCGACGGTTTGACAAATTCATACAAATGGTTGCAAAATATCGAGGTTAGTTCATTTTCCTTTTTGTTTCAGGTGGTAAGTTTTTTTGAATTTCATGTTTTGTTATTTTGTTTTTCGATCAATTTTCCCATTTTGTCCTCACAAACAAAATTTTTAATTACAATGTATATATTTTTTATGAAATGAAAATTTGAGATTTGGCACATCGCCAAAACAAGCCGCCCTCTCTATTTTCCGACTCCACCCTTCTTCCTCTCTTTTCTCTGATTCTATGCTCTTTTCTGATGTGTATGCTACCTCTACATCAAGTATACTTTTTTGGCCTTTTCTTTTCTGGTGCAGTGGAGAAAAAAGAGAAGGAGGAGAAAAAAAAAGAGAAGAAGAAGCTTCTCATTCTAGTAGTATTTTTACTCGACCAGACTAGGCACTTATATATTTTCATATTATTTTTTTGAAGTTTTATTTCTCTCTAGATGATATTTTGAAACGGTGAGATTTCTTAGAGAGGGCGGATTGCTTGGATGTATCAAAATGAACCTTCTGAAAAATTTGCCGAAAATAAATGTATTTTTCACCTTCTTTATCAAACTTCAAGCCTCAAAACAAATAAATTTGCTATAGAGTTTACAATTCTAAAACTTCCACGAAAAATTCAGATTTTGCTAGATCCATTCTAAAGCTCGCCTTCCTCTTTTCCGTTTAGAAACGTTTAGAGCTCGGAGAAACAAAAATGCTCTCAGCTTGTCTTTTTCGTCTTCTCTTCTTTTTTCGAGGTGCTTGCTCTTTTTTGGAGACTAGTTTTATTGATTTTTTCGGACATTCTGAAGGAGAGATAAAGAAGCATAGCAAATAATTAGTAATTCTGCACTTTCCAAAAAAAAGACAATGAATTTTTTTTTCGCGACCAAAAATTAGGAATTCAGAAGGTTCAATAGATACAAAGTGCATAATATTTCAAATTTTTTGCAAACTAAAAATTTTAGGATGATGGAAGTGCTGGATCTAACGAAATGGGTCGTCGTAAATTACCATCAATTCCACCAAATTCATCAGCATTCCCACCTCCTCCACCAATCCATCAACAGCCTAGCACTTCAACTGTCTCTAGAATTGATGCAATCCTTCCAATGGATCCAATAATTCCTAGATCAGTCGCTCCAGTTTATATAACATCATCTTCAGCGCCAATCGATTCAAGACCAACATCATCTTTGTCAATGTATCAAAATGACGTGATTTTGTCTCGACCAACATCTGCAGCTAGTAATTATACAACAGCTTCGGCGATAAATCCAACAATTCTCCCCGGTGCTGCGTATTCATCAAAATCTTTGAGGCAACCAATTTCGTCTGGTTTACCAACAAAATCGATAACTACTTCGATAACTCCTGTGTCATCAATTTCAAAACCATCGAACTCGGGAGCACGAGTTCCAAATACTCTGGCTCGGGTTTTATTGAAAAAAGAATTGAAAGAAGTTCTAAATCAGCGAAAAGGTAGAATGGAGGCAACAGAAATCGAGGCAAATCAGCGACATTATAAAGTTCAGAAAATGTTAGTCACCGGACTTCTTCCTGAAAAACAAGAAGATGATATTCCTCGTGTTGTAAAATGTGGTCTTCCTGCTGATCTAGTCAAAGATGTTAATATTGCTCCAATTATTCCGCCAAGTCCAGCAGCTCGACGAGGTTATCCATCACCACCAGTCATCCGAAGATCAACCGTTTCACCAAAACGATACGAAGGTCAAAAATATGAGGTGAAGGACTTCAGCAAGAAAAGTATTGCCACACAAGCTAGTAGTACTACGGAATCACATCCAACTACAAGTTTGCGAGCACAAATTGATTTTGATCGAAGACCAACTCTGATGACATATGTGGGAAAAAGATCAGCTGAAACTCAGACTGAAAATGGTTATGGAAGTTTACCAAGACAACAAACCCATCAGTCTCGAAGACGAAGAGAACATCACACATCTTCTTCATCTTCCATGATTCATCAATCAACAAGTCTACCACATAATGATTTATTGGAAATAACTCGTCGATATTTCGAAGATTATGATCGTCAATTGAAAGATATTGGAACACGTCATTCAACTTCATCAAGAAGACGTTTCAATTTCCATGATGATGACGATCAAAATGATTATCGAAAAGCTCAAGTTATGAGTGAATTGGCAAAACGAAAAGAGAGAATGTGTGCATCTTGTGAGATTTTGAACACCAATACTGATATTCCGATGACATCGGATTACAGTAGTCATATTCCACATTATGGATCCTTGCCAAGAATTGATTATCCAAGAGGTCCTAGAAGTGATCTTCGAGACTTCACATACCGTCAGCAAAATCTACCAATGCAAAATTTGCCTATGCAAAATTACGCATATAATTGTGGAAGTCTACCTCGAAACTTCGAACGATATCAACCAATAGAAATCGAGCATGAACAATCTTTCGGAGCTCCTCCGCCATCAACATCAATGTATGATTTGGCAATACCATCTAATATGGAAGAGTATACACCAAGACCTCATAACAACATGATAAGTCAATATGCGAGCTATTTGAATAGTCAATTCATGAACCGAAATCAGAACAACTATTTATCACAAATGGCTCCATTATCTGCGCCAATTCAACAACAACAGACTCAATTACCTCATCCAATGCAGCCAATCACCCGATATGATGATCCATTGCTAATCCCAAGAGCCCGAATCAATTCTCAACCTCAACCAATGTCTTCCTATTCCCGAAATGATATGAACTATGGAAGTAGACCTGCGCAATCAAGTCTTCTTGAATATGGTAATCAAATTCGAAGTCATTATGATGTTCCAATCCATCAACAATCTATACAACAACAACAACCACTGATGTCAACATCGTGGTCAATGGCTCAACAATCACAAGCTCAACCATTAGTCTCCTCTTATCTTTCCGATGCCCAAGCACTTGGAACTACATCAGTAAATCGTTGGCCAAAAGATGATGCCTTATCTCGAATGTATGCAACAGTATCAAGAAGACCAAGAGGTGATCCTACTAGTCCGTCTTTCCTAATCGATGGTCGTTGATAATTTTTTAAATTAATTAATTTATTTTATTTAATTGCAATATACTTTTATTTTCTTGCCTACGTGTCTTTTCCTGCCACTAATTTCATTAATAAATTTATTGATCGAGTTGATATGAGAGAGAAAAAATTATTCCAGATTCATAGTTTGTAATTTACTACCCTAAATCACCGGACCAGACTTTGAAAATTTTTGCGGTAGGTAAAGATATTGTTTTCGAAATCGCTATTCTTTCCAAAACGTTGCTCAAATTTTTGTCAGGTTCCAAAATATTTGAAGAAATTTGGGGTAGTAAAGTACAATCTGTGAGATTCAATTTTTTGTGAAATTTTTTTCGAGAAAATAAGTTTCTCTTGGAAAATTTTATTTCACTAAAAATATTTTATGATTCAATTTTTGATCAAAAACCCAAATATTAGAAAAATTCCAAGATGAATTTTTCAAAAACGTACGTCATCATCAGGAAACCTGAACAAACAATATTATTTTCCAATTTACTCTCTCATTTCTCTCCATCTTTTTTCAATAAAAAATAAAACGGACATTTTCTGCACGTTTCCGATATGCAGTCATGTCCGAGTGGTTAAGGAGATTGACTAGAAATCAATTGGGCTTTGCCCGCGTAGGTTCGAATCCTGCTGACTGCGAAACTTTTTTGAATTAACGACCATCGATAAGGATCGAATTTGAATGATAATTTTTAACTTTAGATTTTTTGATTACAGATGTTAGCGCCAACCCAAATAATATCAGTACTGGTTCAAGTAACTACGCAAGACGTGCTATTCGCCCCGTATCTTACCGTAATCCACATTGCTCCAACTCAATGCCAGATCGTCGAATAACTCGAAGACATATTGATGGAAAATACGATGTGAAGCGAATTCTTCTAACTCGTCGATACAAACATCATAATGTCTATAATGATTTGGGTGTTCGAGTTGTTGGTGGCAAACGACAAAATAATGGAGAATTGGCGGCTTATGTTTCAGGTGTCAACAACACATTATCCAGCCAAACGCTCGGGCAAATCAAGATTGGTGAGATCTGGAAAAAAAAACTTCAGAGAATATAGAATTTGAGAATTAATTTTCAAAAAATTTAGGTGATGAATGCGTTGAATGGAATGGTGTATTATTGCGTGGTAAAACATTTGAAGAAGTGGAGAGAATTGTGAATTCGAGTCAGGGAGAAGTTGAGATGTTGATTAGAACGTGAGTTTGGAAATTTTGGTGAAAAAAGTAGAGTAAATTCACTAAAAATTAGTTGAAAATTTTCATGCAAAAACTTATGTTCTCGTTCAAAACATATCTTATGTCAAAACATAAATATAGCCTAAAATAACCAAGAAAATCAATAAAAACTACCAAAAAATGAATGGGTAACCTTAATGGGGCTATTCATGTATTTTCATGTTAAGAAAACAGGAGAAATGCGGAGAAAATACATTTTCTCCGTTTTTCTGTATTTTCTCAGTCTACCTGAGCAGGTTTTCTTCACTTTTCTCTCGTTTTCTCAGCGTTAAGGAAATAACATGAATAGCCCCAATAAGGAAATCAATTATTTTCACGGAAAACGCAAAACCCACCGGGAAATAGGTGCAACTTTTGTGTGAAAAAAAGAAAAATAATAATTTTGAATTTTATTTCGCTAAACAGCATGCAGGCGCACAAACGGAGTGTCGTATTAACCCCAAATGAGAGTACGGGCTTTTACAATGGAAATTGAGAGAGACACAGAGAAAAAAAAAATAATTTGCAGTCTGACGCCAAAAAATGTCAAGCAAAAATTGATTTTCTACATATTTTGTGCCTATATCTTTTTATTTTTGCAAAAATGTCATTTCTGAATTTTAAAAAGCAAATTTGCTTTGTATAATTTAGAAATAAAAATTTTTAACAGTAAAAAAGCAGGGAAATGTGAAAAATTTTGGCGTGACCTCGACCAAACTGCAAATTTTCTGTTTCTTTGTGTTGCTCTGGATTTGCAAAAAATTCAAAATCTACAAGGGCGTGGAGTGTCGTAATTCAATAATTTTCAGCAAAAAATCGCCCCTTGAATCCCAATCTCTTCACCGTCGTAGAGATGATTTCTCACCTATTGGCGAACGTGTTCCACCAGTTCCAATGCATCGAATCAATGGTGTCAACAACAATAACAATTATCATAGCTATACTTTGGGCCATCTCAATAACAATAACAATTCTTTGAGTGATTCATCGCATGGCGGACATATCCAAGTATCCTTGGCGTATGATGGAAATAGTCGACTTGTTGCGAAAATTCAACGAGCTCGCGGTTTACGGTCAAGAGATCCAGCTAGAAGTGCTCCGAATGCATTTGTCAAGGTTTATTTGCTCCCCGGTAGAAAGTGAGTTGCATAAACGTTGATCCCGATCGCCTTGAAAATTCGAATTAATTTTATTTTTAAAAAAAAATATGTGTCACGTGATCACGTGAAAAAATAATATTTCCGAAAAAGATGCGGAATTTTAATTCAAAATTTTGCAGAGTTTCCCACAAACGCCGCACTCGATTTGTGGACTCTTCTTGCTCACCTGAATGGAATCAAATTCTTGAATATCAAGTTGCTCCACATACAATCAATACAATGTTCCTTGAATTCACAGTTTGCGATTATCAGCGTGACGTGGATGATTTGCCATTGGGAAGTGTTCAGATTCCATTAGCTGATAAATCTGCCATAAATTCTGGGCCTCGTTGGTATCCTCTTCAACAAATCGAACAACAACAGCAACATAATCGAAATGATCAATCTTCAAGTGGAAATTATGCCGAATTACCATTGTCAACTCCGCGTGCTCCAATCACTCGTGGCTCTCATCCACAAAAATCACAAAATCAGCAAAATGGTTTCAATATTCGTCATCAGCAATATAATAATGAGCAAAATAATCAAGCTAGTCAAAAAAGTGGTCGTCATGCAACTTTCAATTATAATCCAGGTAAACTGAGGGTCTTTGAAAAACAGGGAGATTTGAGAGCGACGCAGAGAGAGAAACACAAAACGCACAGAGTCAAATTTTTACTTTTGATCATTTTGATCTACAAAAAAATATTTAAAAGTTTGAGGTCTAGTGAACACAATGTGCGTTAAATCCCGGCAGAATTTCTAATTTAAAATAATATTTTTCAGTTTCTCTAGATATTGGCTATCCAGCAATCAACTAGGACAAAAATAAGTCATTTATTTTCAATTAGCTCAACTTCAATCTCAATATATTTATGTTTTCTTTCCAAAAATCTACCAAAATTACGTGTACTCCCCTTTCCCCGGTTTCGCATTTATCTTTTTTTTTCCCGGAGCAATATTAATTTCGTTGTGTTATGTATTTATTAATTTATTATTTTTTATCTAATTTTCTATGATTTTATATGCCTTTCAATATTTTCAATCAAAAACTAATCATTTTTGCTCAAAAAAATTATAGATAAAATATTTATTATTTACTTCCTGATTTCATCAACCTAATCCAATTTTTCTCGAATTATTACTGCGAATTGTTGTCAAATTTTTATTTTTTGGTGGAACCAATTGATTCAACAATGCTCGACGGATTCTTCTGTAATTTTATGAATCATTTTTCTTCTCATCAGCAAAAAAAGTATACTTACGGATTAATAAATAAATATAAAATAGGGTTAATTGAATTCCAAAGCATCCATACAAAATGGCCCAAAAATACACCAATTGGAAGTTCCCATGGAATCGGTAAATATTCCCAAGTAATATAACCAAGAATGTGAAATATTGAAATGCAAAGAACCTGGATGGTTAAAGTGAATTCTCTTTTTGATAAAAGAGCAGCTTTCTAGAAAAATAGTTGATTTTGAATTTTTGGAATTTTTAGGGTAGCTTGATAGAGATAAATTTTGACCCAAATTGTATTTCAAGAAAAACGGATTATCGGAAAAATTATTTATATTCTTTTTCAAAGAGAAAAATTTGATTATAGATTATTTTCTAGTTAATATGACCGTTTTCTGATACTTGGTTGTTAAAAAAAACATTTTTAGCCGATGAACAAAAATTCCGAAAATTTCCAATTCTAAAAGTCACTTACGATCTGAATATATGAAAATATGAGCGCATGAGCCAACAACGAAAAAAGCACATCAATCAACGAAATATCAGCACTAATTGTTCTCAACAAAGCAGAATACGGTTTATCAGCCAAATAATGCCATGTATAAGCTGGAAATAAATAAACCATTTGGCTCAAACCAATAATATTCATCATGAAAATAATGATCCAGATAAAAATAATGAAACTGAGGTAGAAAAGCATCATATTTCTTGAGAAAATAGTTGAACTATAGAAATGTAGAACAATTGAGGAAATACGATTAAAGTTTAGGAGAATTGAAAGAAGAAGCATGACAACCCAAGAAGAATTCATTATAGCACCAATTAACTGGAAATTTATTTTTGTTTTTTTCTAAATTGTTAACTTTGCCACGTCATAACTCATGACTAAAGTTAAAATTCGAAAACTCACAAAATCTGGAATCTGCAAATGAATCCTTGAATCGAGTAAATAAAAAACGGCTGTTAAATGAATGAATAGCTGAATTGTATCGAAAATTGAGATCAATAGCATTAACTGAAAACGTTTTTCATTAATCCACCGAAATAAAAAAATTACCTGAAAAGCTGGAAGTTTTTTCATCTCCTGGTCTATGAGAAATACTCGCATAACTAAAATTTGCAGAAAGATGGCAAAACTACAAAAACTCAGGATAAATACGGCAAAAGGCACTTCTCGTGTCCAATAATCAACAGGTCCATATTTTGGAATCTCTACTTTGCCTAAATATTTAATTAATCAAATAATCGGCAAATACCGAATGGGTTCGCGAAATGCCTCCGGAGGCATTTTCGAATGCCTCCGCAAAATGCCTTCGCGCTACCAAATCAAAAAGCCTCCGCGAATTCCAAATGACTCCGCGCTCGATATTTCAAAAATATCGAAATGCCTCCGGGGCTTCAAAATGACTCCGCGCTATCAAATCAAAATGCCTCCGCGAATTCTAAATGACTCCGCGGTAAAAATTTCAAGAATGTCAAAATGACTTCGCGAACAAGGTGTACTTTTCAACACATTTTTGGCCAAAAAGTTGATTTTCAATGAGAATTATCATTTTCAAGGCGTTCACTAAGCCTAAGCCTAGAAACTTAGACGATAGTTTGGTTATACAAGTTCGGATATTAGGCTTAGGCTTAGTTAAACGCCCAGAAAGGTGCAGGAAACATTCAAAACTACATTTAAATACGTTAACTAAGCCTAGGCCTAAAGTTGGAACTTGAACAATCAAAATATTGAAAAAAATTTCTCCTTTTTTCAGACTTTAAAAAAATTTGGAAAATAACAATTGAAATTTGTAGCTCAAAACGTGTTGAAAGGCCTTGTTTCGCGGACCCATTTTGACAGTCTCAAAATATTCACCGCGAAGTCATTTAGAATTTGCGGAGGCATTTTGATTAGGTGGCGCGAAGTCATTTGGAAACCCCGGAGGCATTTCGACATTTTTGGAATATGAACCGCGGAGTCATTTGGAATTCGCGGAGGCTTTTTGATTTGGTACCGCGAAGGCATTTTGCGGAGGCATTCGAAAATGCCTTCGGAGGCATTTTGCGAACCCATTCGGTATTTGCCAAATAATCAAAGATGAAAATATTACCAATTCCAACAAACTCGAGTATAGTAGTTGAAGAGTTCATAAATCTATGAAAGTATGTGTAATAACATGGAATAAATTGGAATTTCAGTCTGCGGCGCCGAAAAAAATAAATGTGATTATATGTTTTTTTATAATTTTCAAGAAGTAAATATGTGTTTGGAGTTGGAATTGGGAAATTTATACCAAGAAAAATCAAAGAAATAAGTAATGTTTTAGAAAAATGTAGTTTCTCAAGTGGGAATATTGTTCCGATGTTTGGGTCAAAAATTAAAACACGTGGGGAAAGAAAATGGGGTGCTAAAAATAGTTGGAATCTGAGTTTGGAAAATCTCGTGGGACTTGAGTACTTCATTTTTGTATTAAAACAGGTTTCGCCGGGCTAGCGTTATTAAAGAGAAAGGAATCACGGGCTGAAAATAGTGATTTGAGAATTGTTTTGCATATTTTTGAAGAACTCTAATGTGTACTCAACAAGGTTAGCCAATAAGAAAATCCAAAAAAGTTCTTTTAAAAAATGTTCTTCAACATAATCCTATAAAATATGGAATCCAAAATCTGTCATTTTTTTCGAAAGTTTGTTCTGACTCATCGTCTTTGATGACAAGTTCATATTAAATTCAATTACAAGATTGAAACTTTTCACATCATAGTTTATTTGAATTTTCAGAGTTCATAAATTCAAAATAAAAATACTTTTCCAGATCTTAGAAACTACGCATAGCTTTTCAAGTTGATCGAAAACCCAAAAAACCGGTTTTCTTCAAATTTATCCATGATAATGAAAATATTTACACATTTTATCAAAATGCGTTCAAATCTTCTAATTTTCTTATTTTTTCTGACTAATGCAGTTTTTTCAATCGATAATATTATTTCACCATTTGAAAGATTCAATATGGAAATTGAGGAATTTATTCCAACAATTCAGCAAGAACTCATTTTTGCGGATTATCCTAATATGACTGATCAGGTAAATTTACTGGGGGTTCGGAATATTTTCAAAATGTCTGAAACTTGTCAACTCCAATTTCATTTTTTTCAGCAATCACAAGAACAAATTCGAACATTATTTCCAATGTTGAATCTTAGAATTCAAGAGCTTAGGAATGTGAGTAACCTATTTTCTCCTCAAAAATTCTACAAATTTTTTGAACTTCAAAATTTTCAGCTAGGCCTTGAAGCTGACAAAAATCGAAAAGAAGTTCAGCATAAAATGTGTCATTCCAAACATATTTTTTATTATTTGAAACTCGAAAAACAACTCAAAAAATTGCAGAAGGAATTGGTTGGTTTTAATATAACAGCAGAGGTAAAAATATATGATTTTTTATTTTTATTGGATTTTTCCCTATTTTTTTCAGAAATCACGAAAAATGCTCTATGATATTTATAAAGCAATCAAGGATTGGAAAAAGTTTTCGAGTAGACCGTGTTAGAATTTTGAATGAATTTTTTTTGTTTTGGGTGACGTGTTTTTTGAAACTTTGCTACAAATTAGAGATCCCACGGTTTCTGCAAGTGTTTTTTGCAGCTACAAGACATAAAATATTTTCCAAACCAGAATTTAAATAAAGCTAGCGGAATCTTTATGAGCAATATTTCAAAATCACTTCAAGCAAATCGTCGAATGCAATGCAACTGGTTTGTGTGGTCCAACATGTTTCTCCTCTGCTACCAAACCATAATAAAGTCCTGAAGCGCAGAAGGAATCCTGAAATAAGTTTTTTATAAGATTGAATTTTCCATTCAAGATAAATAAAATACCTACATGTCTGAATAGATCATTCATATTCTCATTATACAAAATTCTATCACTCCAAGCTGGGCAAAGAGTTCTCTCAAATTCCTCTTTTCCAGTTTTTTTGTTGATTTCATAATGTCGAGATGGCTGCAAATATTGATTTTTTTTGGTTTAAAAAGTCAAAAGGAGGCTCAAAGATAAAAAATTTCTATTCGAAAAAAGTTATCTCGTGGAAAACTTCCAGAAAGTGGTTTGAGTTCAGGAATTCAGATTTTCTAATTTTTCTACTCTCAAAATTCGATATTTTATCAAGCGTAAAAAGTTTCCAAGTTATGTCTCTTTGAAAAAAAAAACTAAGTTTCAACTTGATCTGAATCCAAAGTTTTTTTTTATAATTAAACATCTCTCAACTATTTTCTACAGTAATCATTACCTGGAAGAAGCAAGTTTCCTCCTTCAGACTTCCTTTGAAAGCAATACTTGCAAGTTCTCCATTATATCTTTTAACCATTTGACCTCTTCCAAGTCTGAAGAACCAATCATGAATCGAATGTAAATCAAATCTAGTTCTCTCAACAGTTGTAATATGTCTACAATTTCTATCAACATGTTCAATCGCAGATATATTTCCCTCTTCGTCTTTTCTCGCAATCGTTGAAACTAATTGAGTTTTGGCCAAATAATTGAGAAGATCAGTTTCATGAAGTTCAGAATTAAAAGATCCAGCTACAAGGATCGCGTCATTTCTCAAACCTTCTGCGTCTAATTCTTCTAGCAATAAATCGATTTGTTTTTCTCGTTTTGATGCAGCTTTTGTGATTGAATTTTGAGTTGTTGCTATTTCATTAACATCTTCAAATGGCAGAGAATGCAGATTCAGATTGACAAATGTCATTTCTTTTCCATGGATTCGGAATCTACTCAAGAGAAAACCAGTTCTCTGATTTGCCAAATCCCGAGTCCCATCGTCATTCTGAAAATCAATTAGATTTGAAATTTGTACGTTTGGATTTGTACATTTGATTTTTCACTTCATAACTCAAGTTTTACAGTGATATCGTGATCAGAAGTTTCAAATTTGGTTTTAGAACTCACATAAAAATCCTTCCTAAATGTATAACTTTGTCCAAATGTATTCTGTATAAACCCATCCGATTCTCTTTCTCCAATTCGATGATTATGTCCAGCTTCAACTTGGATGTAACCAGTATTTGAAAATCGATCATAATATTGGACATCGCGATGATTTTTGAACAGATATAAATTTCCAAGACCCTAAAATTCTCATTGTTTTTAAAGAAATAAATTCAGAACATTAGAATATTTCTCAAACCGTGTTTTCAAAAAGTACTTACGGTAAGTGTGGTATCAAAAAAAGCGCGCGAAGAATCAAAAGCTCGATAAATTTCTGGATCATCTGTGATACATCCACAAATAACTCGAGCAGCATAATCTGGATTATCAGCCGAATGGAGACCTTGAACATGAACAACTGCAAACTCGCATTTTTGCTCGTAGATTTCTTTGGCCACTTCTGAACACCAGGCGCGGATTAAATCATCCTGCAAAAAGCAATTGGAGAGAAATCAAGATTTTTTGGAATTTTTTTGTAAGTGATTTCATTTTTGCGTTGCGTTTGGTCGATTTTTTTTTACTTTTTCAAAAAGCAAACTTGAACACAAAAAAAGTCAATAGTTTTTGTGTTTCTGAAATTTCATGGTTTTTCACGAAAAAACTCACATCAGTTCCGATTCTCGAAATATCACCAGTTACAGTAACTTGTTTAATATATTCCGCCATATTATAAATCCTGTAAATAGATAATCAATCAATAATTAATATCTATTTAGGTTCTAATTTTATTTTCGCAATCGAAAAAGAGAAAATAAAAACTAAAAGAAGAGAACATCGCAAAACTGTGTTATTTTCCAATAAAAAAGGTTACGCCCATCTTTTTTCTGTTCTTTTATTCTCTAAACTAATTGAATAGGGTGTGGGAAGGTTGAAAATTTGAAATTTCGAAATAATTCCGAGGAAAAATCAAAACTCAAAGTTGACGCCCCATAAACCTTTGAAAAACCAGTTTTATTGTAGGCTGCAAAAAAAATTATGAGTCAAAACCTCAAAAATCGTTTCTTCCTTTTTTTTTTTGAAATTGTTTGATCAGAAGAAACAAAAAAGGTGGGTGTGTTGACAGAAAAGATTTAATTTCGAAGAAAAATAACATTGTGAAAAATGTTTTAGTTTATTTCGGTAAAAATACCAAAACCAACATAAATAACAAAAAATAACAATTAGTCAACAATAAAAAAAAACAATACCTGAAAACTTTTTCAAAAATAATGAAAAATTATCCTCTCAAACTAGTAACATTATTTGGATTGAGTCGAAGAATGGCGCTTTTCAATTGCTTTTTTCCGGTGATATCACGTCTAATTCGATTACTCAAATCAACCGGTGTTCTTTTTCGAGCAGGCAATGTGTTTTGGCAAATTAGCACTTCATTTACATCAACTTCAGCACCAATTACAGAAACATATTTGAAATATTGGGCGACATTTTGTTTGACTTGGTATGAAATATCATTGTCTCGAGTAACCAAGTTGATAAGAACCATACCTGAGAAAATGGGAGTGAAATGTGATTGCAGGATATTTTTTGGAATGAATATTAAAACTTCAACTTACACTTCACGTTATTTTTTATCACGAGTTCAAAAAATCCTTTTTGAAAAATATCTACTATCTACTATCTATCTACTATATCTACTATCTACTATCTACTATTCTACTATTTTTTATATACTAATTGGGAAAATTTTTTTGGCAATAGTATGTCCGGGACCCGTTCTCAAAACTGTGCGCATAAAAATTGATGATCAAAAAAAGAAAAAGTTTCTAAATGTTGGCAGCTCGGTGCGCTTCCTATTCATTCTTTCTCAAAATGTCTGTGAGTGCGCGGAGAATGAAAAGTTTGAAAATCTCAATGTATTTTTCGGATTTAAAATGTGTCGCTCGACTTTTCTCAATTTCCAGAAGACCATTTTTGATGGGACCTTCACCATTCTATCCCAAATTCTTTCCCATCGAGGCGCTAATATTCGATTTTTCAAAAAGTGCGCGAGTTTTCACGTGAAAAATCAAAACTTTTTTCATGTAAAAAAGAATGATCACGTTTTTATTCCAAAAAAATTAAATGACACGTTTCTTATCTGATCTTTCTATTCTCTGAAAAAGTCAACAATTTTTGGGCATTTCTCAATTTTTCTCTTTCCCTAACCGGAAAATTAATCAGAAAAAGTAAGTCAAACTACTGTAGATGGCGTTAGCCAGCGAAGCCCTTCTAGTTTGATCAAAAAATGTATTTTTTCAAGTAAAATTTTCAGAAAAAAACACAGCTTGAAATAGCTTTTCTGTGATTGAATTGAAGTTTTCATTCATGAAAATTGAAGAAAAAATGAGAAACTGATTTTGCTGACTATATACAAAAAATCTAGTTTGATTCGTATTCATTTTAAATGAAATATTTGGAATTCCAATTTCAAAATCGATCTCACACCCCCTTAAAAAATCCTCACCATCTTTTTTCAAACTATTCCTCATATTAGTCAATGCTTGTTCTGTCAAAAATGCGGGTGGAGGACAATGCATAGCTCGATCTTGATTATCAGCAACATCAACAAAAATCGCATCATATTTCTCCTCTTCCAAATCTCTTTCCGCAATATCTTTCACAAAAGTCAACGCATTCATTGTTTTCACATCAATGTTATTCGCTGTATGCGGGAATGCAAAATGATCAATGGCAAGTGAGACAACAGCCGGATCCAATTCAATTCCGGTAGTTAGAGATTTCGGGAAATTTTTGGATAAGTACGCAGTCAAAAGTCCTCCTCCTAATCCAAGAACCGCCATTCTCATTTGGATATCAGGTACACAAAGCGGTTCACGTGGATGTAATGCCAAACCAGCAAGCATCATTACATGGAAATCACAAACTAAATTATTCAAATCCACATATCTTTCTTCTTCATTATTTGGCATGGCTGGAATATAATTAAAATTATTTGCGCTAAAATTGCATAAACGCGTTTCTATACTTCTTCATGAAAAACACTCACGTTTCATATAAACTTCCGATTGAATAAGATTCAAGACGTTCAAAAACACCAATCGTCTGCTCAAATTTCCACAAGGCAGTAAAACTTCTTCCACTGACCATTTTCCATTGTACATTGATTCTCCAGTTGCAATGACCACTTTTGAATTTTCTTCGCCCACTGACAATATATCGATCTGGAAACAAAAAACATATATGAAACTTTGGTGCTAGAATTTCTTAAACGAAAGTTAATTGATTTTTTTCTGAGAAATTTTCAAAGATCTTTGAATATTTTTTTAGGTTTTTCTAAATCTTCAAAGCTTTTACCAAAAAATTAGCTCGAGGAAAAAAAGTATGGATCTATTGTGGGTGAAAATTGACTCGCAGATGCCTATCCTCCTTCTCTTTCTAAATAGTCTCTAAAAACCAACCCTTGTACGTTTATCCTCATCTCTACGATCAAGCTGTGTCAAGAAATGTCCAATCTCATCCTGAATTTCAGACATCGTTCCATATTCATGTTTGAGATTCAATAAAATAATGGCAATTCGATCTAATTCACATTGTTCTCTCAAAGAATATCGTCCTTTTGTTGTCACAAATGTCCATTCACATTCTCTTCCAATTGGCACAATAAATCCACCATAAGTTGAGCAAACAGCTGTTTTGAAATTATCAATAACATAAATCCGATATTTGGGACCAAGATCTGGATCGGCACCATTGAATTGAATCGACACCTCTTCTTCAAGATGACTCGAACATAAGCTGATAAATTGCGACATTTCTTGTTCCGCCAAAATGCCTTCTTTCAATTCTTGTTCTGTCACATTTGCACACTTTTTGGATCCACTTCTTTGAAGCTGAATTGGTAAAGCGCGAGGCATTTTTGCATTCATTTTATTGGCGACTAGAACAAAAACTGGCATTTGAAAACCGCAAGATCGATTTTCGATTTTTATCACTCGCAAAATGTATTGATTTCTGAAAAAGAATAATATTTTTGACCGAAATAATCAATGAAAACTCACGTTGGAACAAAATACTTCAACCAAAAATCAATAAGATGATCTTGAGCCAATGTCACAATAATATACCGTCCACCACATGTCAAAACTCTATTCACTTCGTTGAACATTTTTCGAACAGTTTCTTGATTTTCTGCAGTTGAATTTGGTGGTAAAAGTGCATCGTAGGTTCCTTTATCAATAACAACAGGAAATGATTCATCTTTCAATGGAAGCTGCAAAAATATCAATATTTTGAGAGAGGTCACGTTTGGAAAAAAATGAATTTTGAGAGGGTAAGGGATTTTTATGAATCTATGCGATCCTCTTCATATTACTTGAATATTTGATTTTTTCCTATTCACACCCAAAAAACATTCAAATTTTCAAAATTGCTCACATTAGTCGCATCAGCCTTTTCAAACGTCAAAGTACTTCTCGATTTATTTTTCTGCAATTGTTTCGTAATCACATTCTGATCAACATCAATACTATGAACATTTCGATATCCATTATCATAGAGTTGTGTTGCCAATTCTGAACTACCACATCCGATTTGCAAAATCGTTTCCGACACTTTCATATATTTTTCAATCGCGTCTTGAAGAGTGTTGAAATCTCCATACCTAAAAATTAATTATATTTGAAAGAAAACAAATAATTTCTGGGTGATTCAGGAAGAAAACTATGATTTTTCTCTATATTTCACGTTTTATCGAAAAATCTCGCCACGAAAAAAAAATCAAATCACCATTCAAACGGCGTTTTCCTACTGGCGAAAAATTTTTTCCAATATTCAGGATCTGTGAATCCTGAAGCTGATTGCGGCAGAAGCGACATTTCCTGAAAGAACGCAATTCTCTGTTTAAAAAAATAAATAGCAAGATGAAATAAAAATAGGACCAAAAAGGAACCATAAATTCGTTTTGAAAAGTAAACAAAAATCATTAGATATTTTTATGTGAATATGAATATTATGAATTTTTCAATATCAAAAAAAGTATCACAAAGTGGGACTAGTATATATATCCAAAATGAAACCTGAAAAGTAAGATGCTATAAATCATCATCCGTAAGTTCGTCAAGAAGTCCAGACATTGTTACAGTTCCAGTTTGAAGTCGCGAATTATTCATTCCGATTTCAAGATCTTCTTCGTCGTCATCTTCCAAATTGAAACCACCATTACTTCGAGCATCCAAAGGACGATATCCCTGCGAATTGTCTGATCGACCCCAGTTTGGATCTTTCTGAAAAAAAGAAGATGGTAAAATTTAGAGAAGTGTTATATTTAGAAGGAATCTTCAGAAATTCTTGAGGATATTAGAACTAAATATAAATTATCAAATACTTTTTGGAAAATGACATTTTTTGAATTTTTCGTCTAAAAAATTGAATTTAAAAGGCTCACCTTCATAACAGTATGTCGACATCCATAAACAAAAAACAAAATAACAATGCACATGGATGGTAAAAGAATAAACATAAAACCCATTGAATCAGTGATCGCATTGAAAGCAAATCCATGAATCGAAGTTTGCATATATCGATTCTCTTTCAAAGCTCTTTTCACAATTTCCATCGATCCATTATTCGGCGAAGGTGTAATATCCAAAACATGACACATTAATCCATACAAATCAACATTTTCAGGAATATCTGCTATCTGAAAATAGAATAGAATTGAATAGAGCGTTTCTGTCAAAATAAAAAATCTGAAAACGAACTGTGAAATTTTCCGAAAATGCGGGTCCTCTCATGACCAAAAATGCTCTCATTTCCGAAAAATTAGGATCCATTCCATGAGTTGATGAATTGAATTTCCTTGTTCCATTCATCCCGTATAATTTATTCATATCCTCTTTATTACAAGAAAACGAGATTGCTGAGCCAACCTTTGGCTCAAAAATAATTTGGCCAATTCGAGAACTATTCTGATAATGCCAACGTTCTGGGACATCTTTCAACCAATGAATATCCACGTCATAGTTATATTTCTTGACGGCGTCGGTGAGGTTTTTATAAATTTCTTGAGCGATTTCCGGAGAGTGTGGGTAAATCATATGATCACCCATTTCGAAGCCACGACCTTTTACATAATCAGGGACGCAGAGGATATGCTTCTCATCTTTGATCTGGAATACGAAAAATTAGACGCCTAATTTCAGTGATAAAAATTTACCTCAGCGTGTCCGTGATCTGCAGTTAGAATGATATTGACTTGATCTTCTAATTTATTATCATTAAATCGTTCAATAAAATATTCGAAGAGTTTATCCAATTCAGCTAGAGTTTTATTAAGTTCTCCATTATTAAAACCATTTGTATGAAGTGTATGATCTGGTTCCGCAACATACCAAGCAATAAAATTCATCGGATCACTATTTCTTGTAAAAAGTTCAATTACTTGATCAGCATCTTTCATCCAAGTTGACAATGTTCCATAAGTTGTCCAAGATTTAGCAACTTTTGGTTTATGAGGAATATAAGGAAATGGGGAATCTCCATTCGGCCAATAAATTGCTGCTGATTTTCGAGAACTTTCCCATCTTTCATTGGTCAACCAAATAGGATCGGCTAAATACCAGAATTCTTGCTGAGAAGCATTCACAACTCCTGGTTTTTGAGTACTGTTGAAATAATCGAAAAATTGTCTGGTTTCCGTGTCGAAAAAGTAGTTTCCCACAATTCCGTGAGCCTCTTCGAATAATCCGGTTGCAATTGACATATGATTTGGGGCTGTATATGAAACATACTGTGATTTTACACCAGATGTGAACCAGGTACTTCTTGTTGCCCATTTGTAAATATTCGGCACCTATAATCGTTCGAAATTATGAAAAAATTTAATTTTTTTAATTCATTAAATAACTCACCAATTTTTTATTGAGTAAATCATGTCTGAATCCATCAAATGATATTAGCAATAATTTCGGATTCTTCGAAATCGCTGAAGTCGAAGTTAGAAAAAACGCGAAAAATATCAAAAATATATACATTTTTACATTAGCTCTGAAGTGGCAAAAAGCAAGTGCTTTTTTTCGTAAAAAAAAACTTTCTTGTCAAACAAAAAATACGAACATAGAAAGAGAGAAAATGCGCTCTATTGCGAAAAAATTTGAAAAGAGAAAAAAAACAGAGATTTTTTGCAAGTAATGAGGAATTCTATGTAATCTTGGAGATTATTGAATCTAAATATATATCGTTTTCTTAATTAATTAGATTTATTATGAAATGGAAATGAAGGAAATTTATTTTTGATCAAGGAAAGTATGTAGTTTGATATCAATCATGATGACAAGCAAGAATATGGAAATAGTGGGCAGAATGAGTGCAATTTCGGAAAAAATGAAAATTTAAAAAATGTAAAAAATTTTCACGCGATAAAATAAATCTTTGATACATTTTAAAATTCATTTTGAAAGATAAATTCAATTTTTCTAATGAACTGATAATCTTTGAAATCCCAAACGAAATGACGAACGAAGTTCAGACGAGCAACAGAACGAAAAGCTCAAATCAAGAAAATGAAAAAATTGTTTGATTTTTTTGAACGTTTGAACGCGCGGCAGTGTGTGTACAGTACTTTTCTGCTCGAGACCATTAAAAGAAAAACAGTTGTGTGTCTTACTTATCGTTTTTTTTTCTTCAAAAATGTTTTGAATTTTTACTGTAGCTATCACATATATGTGCGCACATCATTTGAGAAGGGGAAATCTCGATAAATTAGAGTTTGGAACTGTTCAAAAATATGTTTTATTTTTCAATAATCTCAAGAACTAAATTTTAAAAGTAAGTTCATCTTGCAGTTATTTTTTTGGTGCATAAATTTCCAAAATGCTTCCCATCAAAACAAAAAAAAAATACAATAATCTGAAGATGACCTAAAAAACAGTTCATCCGAAAATATTTAAAACGTGACCCGAAAAAAAGTTCCAACAACACAAAAAGTTAACGTGGCTCGAAAAAAAGAACTTGCCAAAATGTATTTCTCATCCGACTTTCTCTAGTATCTACTCACTTATTCTTCACTATTCGAAAATGGTAATAATAATTGGAAAAACAGCAAACAAAAAAAAAATAGGGAAATGGTGTTTTTTTTTTCAGGCTACCCAGGTTACCCCAAAGCAATCGCAGAACAAACTAGCTGAAAATGGTTCAAAAACTAAAACAATGATAGACACAGTTATAGAGGAGGTGTCAGATAATGAAAGACGTGGAATGAAAGTAATTAACTAGTTGATTAATTAATAAAAATGTCAATATTTTCAGCCATTTTTATATGAACTTTCTCGTGTTTTGGGTTCCTTGGCAGCAGTTTTAGCTGAAATAGCAGCTATGTTATTTATCGTGAGTTTTTTCTCTTTTCTCATTTTGCAAATTCAATTTTTTTCGAATTTCAGGCTTTTGTAAGCACTCTTGCTCAAATGTATCAAGCTTATCAATCACTTCAATATTGGAAATCTTATGTGCAATAATTAATTAATTAGTCTATGAAAATAACATGATTTTCTTTTGAGATGTTTGATTTTTTGCGTGATCTATTTTTTTAATCGCTCTCATTTCTTATTTAAAAAAAAATGAATTCTTGCGCGGATCAAAATTCAACAATAACAGCGGTGGAGACATCTCAAAGTAGTTTTCAAATTTTATTTCCTAAAACTTAGGTGGAATAAACAATGTTATGAAAGAAAATCTTTGAGAAAGAAAATCGATTTTTCACAAAAAAGTTTGGAATTCAAGAAAAAAGTTATAAATGTTTTTCCAAATAATCCATATTTGAATGTGGACCACAAATTTGGAATTTTTCCTTGGCCGTTTGAAAAATTCATTTACGTTTTCATATGTTTAGAGTGATTTTTCGTATTATTCCATCATCTCACCCCTTTTTTGGGAAAATATGGAAATTTTCAGTCCAACCTGTGCAGACTGAAAATTCGACTGTGACAGATTCTTCAACTCGAACAGCGCGAGAACCATCATTTCGAAAGCCGGTAAACCTCAAAAATGAGCAAAAAGCTACTTCACCACGTAAGTAGCCTTTCAAGAAACCTACAAAAAATATTCAGAAAATTTTTTTTCCAGGTGAATCTGTTGTCACCGAATCTGCACCCTCAACTCGAACAGCTGTCGAAAATATACAGAGTCAGTTTTGTCACTTGGAAAACTGAATAACGTCTGAAGTAAAAAAATTTCAGAAATCGAGGAAAAACCAGAAAATGAAGAAGGTTTTCTCAAGTCGTTACAGAATTTTATAATCGCAGTTGCTAATTTTTTCTTCTGGTTGATTGTTTGGATTGCTGGAATGATTTTATCATTGTTTATCGTAAGTTCATAGGCTCCAGATTTCTCATTGATAATTTTTTTGCAGGGACTTGTGAATTCTATTGTGAGGATGTATCGAGCGTATCGAGTTTATAGATACGTGAAATCTTATACACAGTGACACAAATGAATTGTTTTTTTTTTTTTTGAAAAACGTGAATTGTGAAACGTGTTCTAATAAAATCATTGTGATATTTAAACGGGCGGTTTTCTAGGAATCTCCATTTATTTCTCACTTGATATTTTTCATAAGGAAACATGGTAAAATTCCTGACAGACTGTTTCAGAGACTTTGTTGCATTTTCAGAGTGTGCGTAAAGATCTAACACCTTCTCAAACTGCTGGAAATACACCAGTTCCGCAACCACCACGAACTGATAACTCGACTCGAACTGCCAAGGATTTTTCGCTCAGAAGTCCAATTGCACCAGCTGGAAGTACACCAATTCCTCGAGAATCTTCTAGCAGAGGAGCTACTCCAGGAGCTCCGGTTGATCCGAAACAGTTGTCTGGAAGAGGAGCGACACCGGGGGCTAAACAACTTTCCGGTCGAGGAGCTACTCCTGGTGCTCCATCTTCTGGACGTGGAGCAACGCCAGGAGCTCCTGCTGGAGTTAAACAACTCTCAGGCCGCGGAGCAACTCCAGGCGCCCCAGCTCAACAATTATCTGGTCGCGGAGCAACTCCTGGAGCTCCAACATCTGCCAGAGGAGCCTTGAAGCCAAACACAGCACAAAGATCAGCTCGCGGAGCTCCACCAACAGCTGTAGCACCTGGTGAGTTTCGTATTTCATTTCAGAGCTTTGCAAATCAAATGTTTCAGAAAAACCTGCTGAAGATGGAATCATTGATACAATTTGGAAAACTATCATCACAACAATTTTGGCGATTTCCGATTTTCTCAACTCGATTTTCGACGTAATTTCTAATAACTTTCTCCCCATACTACAATTTTCACCAATATTTTTCTAGACAATCGCTGACATCTGCGTAAAAATCTGGCGTGTTATTATGTTTGTCTGGCGAAAACCACATCACACCAAAGAACTCATCACCACAACTTTCCACCTGATTCGTGTTTCATATGACGCTGAAATTTGGTCATGGACTGAAATTTTCGAAGTTATCAAAAACACTTTGATTGCACCAATGACCAAAGGACCGCCACCATCAAAGGCCGATAAAAAAGCGGCAGCAAAAAAAGTGAAATGATTTTTGGAATAATGAATATATTTCTGATTTTAATAAATGGAAGTACATGTTATTATGCTTCTACTCTTTTGGGATTCTTCCCTTTAAAAAACGCAAAAAATAAATTCTCTCCTAAAACCGCAAACACCTTCACACTAACACCATGACGCAACCGTGCACACTGGCGACTTGCCAAGTGCAGCAAATGCGCTCTGTTGCAAACTCATTTCAATTTTCTTTTTTTTTCTTTGGGAACCCGGAAATCGGGATTTTGGGGACCCGATTGAGTTTTTCTAACTTAAACAGTTATTAATTTGTTAAGGAACCGCATACATTTGAAGTAGATTCATTTCATCTGGGATTTTAGCTCGGGAACCCTTAAAATTTCTCTCCATTAAAATTAATTCATCAGATTCAAATGGACACGCTTAGCACTTTCTGCGCAGGCCCCCTAGTAATTAATTAATTTTAAATTTTCAAAATTTGTCTGAAACTAGCAATAAATTCATTGTCAAAAATAAAAATGAACTTTGATAGTTTTTTTAGTCCACGTTTTTTATAATTTGATTCTCTCGAATTTTTCCAAATATAAGTTTTTATTTATTTCTCTAAAACTATTTAGAAATCAGAAAATCAATGAAATTATTTTAAGAAAAAATATTAAAAATATCAAGTCACAAATGTAATCAAAACTGACTTGTCAACTTTTCTTTATATTGTAATTCTTGATAAATATTTTTTTGTTTTGCAAAATCATAGGTAACAAGAAAAACAAAGAAAAATTAAAGCTTTTTTGTGAAAACAAAAATTGTTCATTTCGAAAATTTTTATTTATTAATGAAGACTGAAAAATTCCAATTTTTCACAATAACTTATGATGAAAATATAAGTGAAAATCTTGAGAATTTGCCAATAAAAGCAATTCCAATATATTATTATTTCACATTGATTTTACATTTTCTTATGTGCTTAATCTATATTCTGGTTTTGAAAAGTGTATGCAAAAAAGTGGCAACAAGCTCATTTTTCTACATTTTTCTAATAATTGGAATATTTTATTTATTATCTTGGTATACCTTTGAAATTGTAAACGTTATAATGTACTCAAATAATTTGCAATTTTTCAATTTTCGATATATTTTCTATGTTTTACATTTCATATTTTATTATTCAGTTATGCTTTTGAACTTAATTTCTGTTATAAACAGATTCACATCAACTTTTATATTTTATAAATTCATTTGGAAACGTGAATTTATAAATATTCTAGTTGTGATATGTTTAGGAGCTGGCTGCTTTGCTACAATTTACGAAATTGATTTGAAAAATTATTATACACTTTCATCAGATTTGATTTGGGAAGCAAATTATATTTCGAGTCGCTCAAATAATCTACGAATTCGAATTTTGTCTTCAAAAATATGCACCGATTTGCTATTTATTTTTGGAACAAGTATCACATATTTTCGAATAAAAAAATTGAATTTACCTAGTGAAAATGTGAGTTAACTCGAAAATTCTAAAGTTATCCGATTTATTTTTTTCAGAAGATTCTACGACTTCTGATGTTACATATCCCAATTCAAATCACTTTTTATATTTATTATTTTCGAATAATTTTTATTGCGACTGATGGGAGTTTTGATATGATTTTTGTGAGTTTTTCAGTTGAAAAAAAAAGTTTTGAGAAAAAATGACGTCGAATTCCCCCCGCAAAAATAATAGTGAAAGCCAATTTAATGGTGCAAAGTGCTCTTTGCATGGCTCTAAAAATAAATAATATGTGTGAAAAAACTTTGAGCCCTTCTCTAGAAAGCTCTCGAAAGTTTCGATTTCAGATCTTCCACAGAATTTCAAAAATGTTAATGGATCAATTCATCTGAAGAAAAAATGAATTTCGCGACATTTTTTGTCGCGAAATTGCAATTCGCGAAACGACACGAAATTAATAAAATAAAAGAGGAAATTCTTTTTTTCGTGTGTTGGGTCTCGCAGCGATTACGTGTCCTTTTAATATTTCTCCTTTATTTTTGTGTTTATTTCGTGTCGTTTCACGAATTGCAATTTCGCGACAAAAAATGTCGCGAAATTCATTTTTTCTTCAGATGAATTGATCCATAAATATTTTAAGATAGAAGAAATTGCGTTTTTCGAATATGTTGGAAATGCATTTTCAATTCTCGCAATCGATGAAACACTTCGTAGAGATGTTTTTGCAATTATTATGTGGCGTAGAAAGAAAATAATTGCTTCAACAACATTTTTTTGATTATAAACGAGAATTTGATTTCGATATTTAGATTGTTGTTTGATTTATCACGTGGAAAATGATCACGAATTTTTTGCTTGAGTTATGACGTGGCATAAATCGTCACATACAATTTTTCCAATGTGATTTTGCAATTCAATTCAAAATCAACAAACAAATTCAAACATCAATCATATTTTTATCACATTGACCTTCTCTTCTTCAGATTTTTTCATTTCCCCCCAAATGTATTCCCAAACAGGAAATTCTATACAAAATCCAATCCTTTTTGATTTTTAGACTTATTCTCAGATTTTTTCCTCTGGAAAAAAAGGTTTTGAAATGAAACCGGTCTCCAAAAGATGAAAAATGTTGATAAAAGTATGACGAATTTTTTGCATTTTTTTGGCAAAAAAGGAAAAAGGAAATTCTTTGGATAAATATGTGTTGTTTTTACTCGTTTTTTTTTTTCTTGGCGAGAAAAAAGGAAAACATTTTCTCACTTTTTTTAGTCTCGAATTTCCATGAAACATTTTTTTTGTGTTTGGAAAAATCTTGAGCTAATCTAATTTTATCCAAAAAAATGGGTGTTTTTTCAGTTTTTCATTATTTTTACTGAAAAAAAATGTGTTGTTTCTAATTTATTCAGGAAAAATCTGCTATCCAAGAAAAAAAAATATGCTAAATTCAAGTTTTAGAGTGAGGGAATAGCTAAAATTTCAGCATAGAGTGTGATCCGTTCGAAGCCTAAATCGTTTTGAAGGCTGCAGTTAAATTTGAGGTCTGATACCTTTTAGAGCTGTCGTCCAAGTTGAATCTGACCCGATTCAAAAGCTCACACCACTTCATTTACATTCTCAAAAAACCGAGGATGGTCATGATTAACCTTCTGAAATTCAGCCCGATCTCTTTAGTCTGATTCATAAACTTCATTTTCCTATTTATTTTCTTATTTTTCTCATTTTCTTCTTCCCAACCAACCCAGATGAATGAATATTCCATAAAAGGAACTGGGCAAAAATATAAATGGCGAAGCAGCGAAAAATGAGCAAAAAAAGAAAAGAAGCAAAAAAAGAAGAAGAAAAAAAGAAGAGGTGCTTTTTTTTCTCTCTTCGATTTTCCGCCATTTTCTCCCTCTTTTTTTGCGTTTTTTTTTATTTTTGTGTATATTTTTTTCTGCTGGAATGCAATGTTGTCCGTGTTTTTTGTTTCACCTTTTGTTATACCCGTTTTTTCCTTTTTTGGCGAAGAGAAAAGTTTTCGGTGAAATTAAAAAACATTTTTGATGCCCGAAAATTTTTTTGAAATGTGATGTTTGGAATTTTATTAGTATTTCTTATGTTATTTTGACGCGCCTAACCAAAAGAAATAGTTGGGCTAACTTTGAAGATGAGTTATGACGTGGCAAAGTTTGAATTTTATCTGAGTTTTTCTTTTGGAAATGTTTTTAAAATCTTGTTCATGTAGAAATGTTTTCAATAGAAGTTTCAATCTTCTCTGAAGCCATACATTTTTATTCAAAATCCTTTTTTTTCTTTTTTTTCGCAAAAAATTTTTTCGAAAATTAAATATCTGGCAAGTCGGCTTGAAATCGATGTTGAGCACTTTTGGCGTCAAAACAAATCTTAAGTTTCACTAACAGTATGCCTAAAAAAGTTTTTTTTTGAGATTCTGAGTTTCTAATGAAGCTCAAAAAAAGTTAGGCTAATTTCTCAAATTTTTTTTCTTTTTTTTGGCTTGAGAACTTTCTAATGTTTCCAAAAATGAAAATTGTCAAAAAGAAGTGCAATTCTCCTCCCTCGTTTTAGCCTAATAAATAATTTATGTTTAAGGATCAAGAGTTTTTTTCATTTATTCTTATTTTGTTTCTTGCCTGTTACGTGCACTTTTCTAGTTTCATTTCGTTTTTTGATACAAAATCCGATTTTTTGAAAGAAAAAACAGTTCTGGATCGTTGAATTCTGATCGGATTTCTGAAAATCACAAACCGAAGCGACAACAAAATAGTAGTATATAAAATGAGTGAAAAAACTTGGGTTGTTACGATGAACTTTTTTTTATTGAAACATTTCAAAATCCCCGCCCGCATACAACAATTTTGTAAAATGTATGAAAATAAAAAAATATAATTTGAAATAGATACATAGTTTTTTTCTACACCCAAAAAATTGGGATGATCTACGTTTTTTTCATGCGTCCAATTATCTCCGGATGTCTGTCACCTCTAAACAAATTTTGTAAATAAAAATAACTGGTTTATATATTTTTTATTGTATTGTCATTTTTTTTCATGTTAAGTTGTAATTGTTGTTGTTTTTTTTTTGAGGTGAAAGTTTTTGCTGGATTTTTAAAGGTTTTTCTGACTATGGGTTATGACGTAACGATTGTTCCAAATCTTGGAAAAATCTATTTTTTCATACGGAACTTGTTAAAAATTTCAACCAATTTTAAAATTTTTCCCCGCTGACAGTCAAATTTCATTTTTTTTCCAGAAACTTGGATTAAGAAAATTTTTTCTCTATTTTTGAGTTGAAACTATTTTTTTCACAAAAATTCCTAATCAAACAAAAAAACACAACAAAAAACAATAATCTGTTTATTTTTACTCATTTTTGTTGCTTCACAAAGAAAAAACTAGAGTCAGAACAAAAAAAAACAATTTTTGAAAATTGTTTGATTTTCTTCTTACTTGACACTTTTTAAGCTTTGACTAAAAACAAAAAAAAACATCTTTCAGTGTTTCAACAAAAATCTGAAAATGACATCAGAAAAAGTATCGAATTCCATTTTTCTCCCCGCTTATCAAATTATTTTTGCTTTTTTTCCTTTTCCGCTCTTTTTTTGTGCTTTTTGTTTTTTGTAGGGTTTGGTGTTGGTGTTTTGAGGATCTGATTTTTTTAAGATAAAAAATTATGATGTGGCGAAAATTGTTTTTTTTTTTTTGATTTTGTAATTCCATAAACTCGGGTTGAGAAACAAAAAGTGCCACGTCATAACTTTTGAAATATTACTTATAGGTTGGAAAAACTGAATCCTCGTCTGTTTTTATGATCACAGAATTTTCAAAATAAAAATAAGAAGGTCTCCAAAAATGATCGAAGTTTAGAAATCTTTCTAGCGTCCCCAAATATATAGATAGTACAATTTCCTATATTTCCCAACCCTATTTTTCGGTATTTGTGCAGATTTCACAAGATTACCGTGTTTTTGTTTCGGAACGCAAACCGGACATCACATGTTTTATTTTGGTATCAACAAAAATTGCGAAACTCTGATTTATTTATTTTGTTACATTTAACTTCCACATCGACACAAATTACGAATTATTCCATTTTTCCAAAAAATGAAATATTTCAAAAAAGTTTCAATCATCATTGTTGTTTTTTCTGGTGTCTTGACCCATTCTCTGCGTCTCTCATTTTTTTGTACTATTTCGCCACACTGTTTATTTTTCGCTTTTCCCAACTAAATTTATTTCCACTGTTCGTTTGCACACACCTTTTCGTTCTTCCTCCACTCGAAACTCATTTTTATCTCTCTTTTATTATTATTTTTGTGTTTTGTTTTGTTTTTTTTTGAAAATCTTGTCATTTTTCTGACGAGGAATTGAAATAGGCGTCGTCTTTGAAGTTTCATTTGTTTTGAATTTAAAAGTTAATGAAAATTCAAAAAATTCGGCCGCTAGGTGAACTCGAATCAATGTCAAATGTTGTTAACCGTGGGCGCTAACCGCTTTTTATCAATTTCTAAAAATCTAGGGTAAATTTTGATAGACTTTAACTTTTTTTTTCTGAAAATTCTCATTTCCGAGCGTCATAATTTTCTAACTTTTGAATGGGAAAATAAAATGAATCAGAGACATTTTGATAAAATTTTTATATTTTTTGAAAAATTGAATGAGTCATTCATGTTTTGGTCAGCTGTGTTGTTTTCTCCTCAAAAAAAAGACAAAAAAGTCAACAAATATTTGATTTAAACTAGGTATTTATTTAAGACATTTTTTGAAAGCTGGGTTAGAATTATTTGGAAAATTATTGAATTGATGAAAAAAAGGGTTTCCTCAATTTTGGAAAATTTTTGGTTAGATTTTTGACCTTTTTCTAATCCGTTTCAAATTGTTCGCCGTTTTTCAAAAATGACTTTCAACTTTCCATTTTTCTTTTAAAAGTTTTGGAGAAAATTTCAGAATTGTTTTTTTTTTCTGAAAAAAAATTGGAAATTCATGGAATTCTCGGATAATTCTCAAAATAGAGAAATTTTTCAAACCTCTCTTGTATATTTTTTTGTGGAAAAAACTGGTTCAAAAATTATTTCTGAGAATATTATTTGACGTGAACTTTCATAATCCACGTGAAAAATTTTAATTTTTCAAAATCAACAAGCTCATTTTTAATTTCATTTTTCGACACTTTGTGGGACGTGAAAACATGAAACTGGTATGTTTTTTTTTCCAAAAAACAATCCCCTGTACTTTTTTTGATCTACCAAAAAACATTTACCGCCCGCCATTTGTTTATTGATTCAGTTTTTGATGACTAATTTCTGTTGTGAAACAAACATTTTTTTCCAATCCCTAGAGCGTTTTTATGTAATTTTCAAAGAATTTTTACCCAAAAATTTCAAAGTACAAAATTTTTGTTGTCCAATAAAACAGTTGTTAGAAAAAAGGACCCCTTGTGATTTTTTTCAATAAGAAAAAGAAAAAATATTTTTTGTTCGAAAATTTCTATAAAATCGAAAAAGTATTCAATTTTTCTCTCTTTCTCGAAAAAAAACCCTGTTTTGTGATGATAATCATATTTATTTATATTATATTATTATTATTATTATAAACTCGTCATTTGAATAACAAAAGTATTTTTGTTTATTTATTTATTTATTTTCCCCGTGTTTTTTCCACGTTCTTATTCTTTTATACAACTTTCCAAATTTTTCATATTCTGTCTGTATTGAAAACTTTTGAAACCCTGATAAGAATTTTGAAATTTAGAAACAATCTTTAAAATTTGCCATACAACACTGATCTTTTGTGTAAACTTTGAGTCAAATGATTAATCAAATATTAAAAAGTTTAATTTCAGATCAGATCAAAAAGTTGGTGGCAAACGAAATCGAAAATTGGACAAGTTCGACAAAAGTTCAAGGTCGGTTGTTTATTTTTCGGGATGGTTGCAACTTTTTCAAACAAAAAAAAGAGTTTTCTTTTCTCTGGAAATGGTTACTTGAACACAGATGCTCGTTAGGTTAGCAACGCTAATTCAATTTTCTTTTCCCGCCATGATTTTTTTTTATTTCATAGCGATTTTCTAGAAATTGAGATCTTATCTTTCTGATAGAATTTTCTTTGTTTAGTTCTTTGAATTGTGACATCTATGGTTTTTAGACTTTTCGTCCAATTTTCCCCTGAGAAAGTTTAGCGAGAAAAAAATGTTTCATAAAAAGAATATTAACAATACAGTACAGTAACTTATGTAAATTTCTAGCACTTTTAAAATGTTTTATATCAAACATCACAAGATCAAATTAAATGATGAAAAGATCGGAAAAACTAGAAAATGTGATCTCTGAATTAACGTAGTGAAAACTATATAAATATTCGACTTTGGTAGTTGATTCAATTAAACTTTTGTCCGATTTTTTGATTCTTCTTTACATTTATTGTAAGTTAAAAATAGATTTTCGCCAATTTTTCGTGTTATCGGAAATAAATATTGAATTGATACCTTGAAACCAGTTATTGAACATTATGAACAGCTATTCAATTTTTTTTTGAATGTGAAAAAAGTTTTTGTTGATGTGGTTCCACTGAAACATTTTTTTGTCTGGAAAAAATGTGTTCTGATTAAGTTCTGGAGAATTTGAGAAAGAAATGAAACTGGATTTAAGATAATAATTTAATTAATTTCTTTCAAAAATTAACTACCAATGTTTCCTGGAAGTACCTATTGAACTTTTCGAATTTTTAATCTAGAACTGAACTTTGGAATAAGAAGTCTGATTGTTTCTGAATACAATTAGGTTTGTTGAAGTGTTTTCTTTAAATAGCCCTAATCGCTCATAATTTTCCCGCAATCAATTTTCCATCCAAATTCTCCACGACGAAATCGGAACAGTCATTTTTTGTCGCGAAACTTTTTTTTGTCCACGGGTGATAAATCGCGCAATAATTGAATCGAATGACCCTTTTATTCTCTTTTTTTTTAATTGTAAACTAACAAACACTTCAATCAATCAAATCATTTCCTTTCATAAACATACTGCTAACACGTGCGTACTTTGCTGTTTAAACCTCCTTCCGATCAAATCAGCCAGTTCAAGGTTATTCCGAAGAGAATCGAGAATTCTTTCTGTTGTGTATGAAACATGTTATGTTTTGCGCATATCGTCATTCGTGTTTGAACTTTTATCATTTGCTTCTTTGAATTTTGCATCTTTCACTTCATTTCATTTTTTTTTGAAAGATGACAATTTTTATCAGATTTTATTTGTAAATGTTTCGTGTCAAGTAGGTATTATGATGAAATATTTAAAGTTTTATTATTACTTATCAGAAACCTGAAATTTGATAGAGAGCCAGACTTGAACTAGAATGGAACTTATTCGTTTTGGAACAGAAAGATTTCATTTCAAACACTTCAAATTTTGTTATTTTTTTAATCAAAGTCTAAGCTAGAACAAAAATTAGTTTTAATCAGATTTTAAATGTCTGAACTCATAATTTCATAAATATTATTACTTTTGAAAGTTGAAAATTGCAGCCCTTTGAAATTTTTTATGAAAAACTTCAGACCAATTTCAAGCCGAAACTAACAAGTTTTCAATTTTTAGAACCACGGCTATCTATTTTCGTTAACTTTCCACAGTTTTCCTTCAGAACAGGAGTGCGATATATTTTTTATTTGAAATCAATCTTGCATGAAACTAACTTTCTCCTCCTTCTATTTTTCTTCAGAAAAAATCCCATAAAATGTTTTCGCGCATATTTTGCTGATCTTGCAAGACACTAAAAGTTCCTCCAAAATCAATTCAGTCTTCTTTTTTTTCCTCATTCTTTTTTCCGGCTAATCAGTTTCTTGCAACCTCGAAAAATTGATAAGTTTGCCATGTAATTTTCCATGTTTCGCTTTCTTTTTTTCTGCCCTGATAACATTTATTTTCGAGGGTGAAGAATTTGCGATGATTTTTGAGGGCTAATCATAGAACACTTGATTGATCGAAATATTAAGATGATATTATTTTAGAAAAGTTATTGCTTTTTTGTTTGTTTGAATTTGAGCTTTTTGGCGCCTCTCTGAAATTTTCGAGAGAGTTTTTGAATTTTTTAGAAACTTGTATATTTCTTGCATTTTTCTGTACATTTATTGTCATAAGTTTTGACTTCTTTGAAAAAATTGACAAACATTTTCTGATTATTTTTGGCCTAACATTTGTTAATTTCGAATATTTTGAAGTCATTGAAAAATCTAGATTTCTGAAATGGAAGTTCAATTGTCAAATAGAAATTAGTTTTTTTTTTCAAACTCCAAAATACGGTTTCAGAAAATTTTGTAAACAAAATTTCTAACGATAACTTTCGAATTTATTCTGAAGTTCTAGATTTCCCCGATAAGACTTTGAAAAATATCTAGAACAGAATTTCTTCATACTTTGATGTGTCACACTGATCTCTGATTGATCATTTTTGCCGTCATCAGTTTTCCTGCAAAACAGTTTCATCTCGAAAAAAAATTCACAAATTCATCGACATAATACGATAGTTAGGCCTAGAACACACATTGAAACACCGACGGAAATTTGAATAATCCCACAATGTTTTGCATATTATTATTTATCTTCCTATTGTCCTTCTGAATATCATAAAAAAGTTGTCACGAACTTTTATTTTCCGATTTGAATTGTGAGAAAAAACTGTTTCAAATTGAAATTTGTACAATTTTTTTATTTGAAAAAAATAGTTTGGATCGGTTTTTTTCAATGTTTCAAAAAAGTTCAAATGTTCTATAGAGAGTATGAAAAATTGGAACTTTTTTTTTTTGACTGTATTAAATTTTTTGTGTTTTCATGAGGTTAATAGAAACGGTTCAGACATAATCTTTTTGTTTGTAAAAAAATGACATCAAGTGGGATATAAATTGGGCGCGGATTAATAGTGACTGGTTTTTGGCAATAACTAAAATTTGAACTTTTTTTTGAACTTGTAACATTTTGCTCGGCATCTTGTAACATTTCCGAAATAATGTTTTAGTTTGAGCTCAATCTGAGATCAAATTTATGTCTGCGCCTCCCCGTATTTATCACTATCTTGTCTCGATTTCCTTTGGCTCCGCCCACTTTTTTGTGTCTTCCCCCCGTTTTCTATCTCTATATTTTTCGCCATTTCTCGATTAATACCTGTTTCGTTTTTACGTTTGTTTGTATCAATCAACAATACACACACACGAACAAAATATGGTTTTCATAGCCGAAAAGTTTTCTCTCATAGAATTTTCTGGGTTGGTTTCTGAAGAATATCGATATTTGTGAAGATTTCTGAGATCCAACAAGTTCAGATTACTGTACTGTAAATTTAAAGACGCATTTTGAAGTCAAATTATACCCGATCTACTGCGTTTACCTATTCTGAGTTTTGATTTTTTCTGGTATTTTTGACACTCAATAAGTATGTTCAGAGACACAAGTTTAGAAAATCCAGATAAAAATAATATTTGTAAAGTGTTCTGATCGTAGGTTGCTGTATATTTTTTTTCTGGAGTCTAGGTTACTGTAGATGGAATTTTTGAGCCCTGCGTGGAATTCGTAGTTTGGTTTTGGTCTTATCAAACTTTGATTTATCATATACGAACTGTGTCGTGTAAATTAGCATTGATAATGATTAGGGTGTTTCCGAAATATTTGTTGCGTGGTTGCAACTTTTTTTTTTTGGAATTTTTCGAAAATTTCGGTAGTTTTGAATATTGAAATTTTCTTAAGTAGAAATATTGTCAACTTTTGAATGTTTCATAATTTTTCGTCAGTTTCTTAGAAAATATTTGTTGAGATATTCTCAAACACTCTAGATTTATTCTGGCGAAGATTTCGAAATTTTCTTCTATAGCCTTTTTGAAATTTTCATCAGTTTTCTTCTGTACTTTGAATTGTTTTTTGTTTTTTTAAGTAAACCTGAAACTTTTTGAATAATTTCACACTGTAGTCCGAAATTTTTAAATTCTAAAAATATTTTCTTTCCGAAACCGAAAACTCTTTCGATCCGAAATTTAGATTTCTTTAAAATTCATATCCACTCAAAATTTAGTTGTTTTCAGTTCACAGTTTTTAAACTTCAAACGCTGGAAAACTAATGTTTTTAAACAAATTCTGGAACTTCCTCATTGCTGATAAAAATCAAAGTTTGAGATTTCTGAATTTTTTCCAGTTCTAGGAAAGATTTCAAAGTCATAAAAATTCACATTTCCCCGAGATTCCAAAAAACTGAGTTTTCAAATTTCAATTTATCAAGACTTATTAGAAAAGTTCTGAAATTTCTGATTGACTGAAAAATCTTTTTTATTTTTTGAAACTAAACTGTAAAGTTGAACAACCCAAAAAACCATTTACTAGAAATTTTAAAAACGTTTGCTCAATATATTTTTTTCACAATCAGTAAATTAATTAGAATGTTTCAAATTAATAAATCACTGTTTCATTCAAACATCAACTCCAGCCGCAAAAATCGTGGAATTTTTTCGATTCTCCGGAAAGCACTCCTCTTTCCTTGTCGCTCTTATCAGCTCCCCACCCGATCGTAAATTTTCGAAAAAAACGTACATACCTAATAAATCTAACAAATTGTTATCCAATAATTGTTGCCATGCACATACACAGACACACTTTCGACTCTCCCACTGATTGATGATAAAAGTTCATCATGTTTGATTTGATTTTGACGAAACGACGTGGAATTTTTGCCGCTTCTTTCTTTCTGATAAAACCACCGAAATTAGAGAAAAAAAAGACAGTGGCGGGTTGGCAGCCATGTTCATATTCTTTTTCTTTGATAACTGAATCCATACTTTTTTTTTCGTGGTTTCTTGCGAAAAGAATGTGTTCGAAAGGTTTCAGTGATATTTAAAATGACATGTGAATTGTTGTCGTGTCCCTTTTTAAGAAGCTACTTATGCAGATAACAACACTAAATTGTCTTGAACTCTTCATTATTTTCTCCAGGGAGTGTTTTTCTATTTGGCCATATGGTCTAATTGTAAGTAAGTTTCCCCATATTCTTATTTTCGATATCTCGGGATAGAATTTATAGAACTTTTTATAATTAATTATAGAATTAGAATAATATAGAACTAGATAGAATTTTTGGAACTTGAAATTTAAAAACTCAAGGAAAGTTCCGGACCGCGCCGCGTCTGAGAAAATTCCGAATTTTTTCCCGCCTAAAAGTATTCTGTCATTTTTCGATTTTGCAAACATCACGAGTTTCATTCTTCCGTATTCTTCCAACATTCATGATTTCACTTTTTTCGTCGCTTCTTAAAGGTTTTTTTTTCTGGAGCTACTTATACTTATAAAGATAACAAAACGAAGTGTTACATTCCAACATTTTCTGATTTTGCTCCCAAATCATTACTGGTTGTAGTTTTGAGTTTTTAAAAATTGGAGACTCAATTCAGAATTCCTGCAACTCTGAATCATTTTGTAGATCAAGGTTATTCCAAATTGGAAATTTAATTTGATATCCATGACATCACCTTGTTTTATTTATTTCCTGTCTGATAAAGAAAAGTTTGATCAGAAAACATTTGAAAAGTAAATAAATAAATAGGCTGTATATAGTATAATAACAATAATACTTTTTTTCAAATAATATTATAATCCCTCATTTTAACCGGACAGTCTGTTATAAAATAATAATTGTTTTTCCTTTTTTCTTTCCTTTCCCCTGTTTTGTCAAAGATCGTACTTTTTCATTTCATCTTTAGATTTTTGAAATCCCACATAGTTCAAAAATATTATTTGCAGAACACAAAACAAAAATGGATGATTATGAATATTGGGCTGATGATTATTTGGATGCTCAACCGAGTTATTCAATTCGACCCACTGGCAGAGTTGTGAAAGTTGAAAGGTTTGTATTTTGTCACGAGGTTTTTTTGTTTCTCGATTATCTGGTGAAAAAATCTTCTGTTGGCGTTTTGGCAAGATTGGTATCTATTGCAGGAAAAAATTCTTTTTATATTTTATTTGCTGATTTTTTTTTGGAAAATTGTTTACACTTCTCATAGTTTTAAGGGCACTGACCAAAATTTGGGATAGTTTTGTAGAAAACGATTTTTTCAAATAAGGATTTGTAATTTGAAGGATTCCAGGAATTTTTTTCAGAATTTTTGACACCTTATTTGAACTTTTGAATTTTTCCCGGACACGCTTCTTTTTTTTGCAAAAATCGGATTAGAAAATTTCAAAGATGAAACTATTATTTTTTCCAACAAATTACGAGTTGATAAGAGAAACAAAAAATGATAACAAGCACATTTTTACTTTCCAATTTTCTATGTTTTTGTTGCCTTCTTTTTATGGATGAAACTTGTCTTTTTGCTCAAGAGCTCACCTAATATCACGAACATCAAAACAAACATGAAAATAGATAGCCCCGGAAATAAAATGAAATAAGTGATTAAATAAATAAAATGATACAAGTTGTACTTGAATTTGACCAGCGATGAGAAAAAAAGAAACTTTTGAAGTCTACCGACTCGAGGGAAATTTTTATGAATTGTATTTTTATCAGTGAAAAATTTTGGAAACAATTTTTGTTTTGTTTTGACACGTTTTCTCAATATCATTAATATTATTATTATGATTAGACAAAATTGTTATCAATTGATATCCTTCCCAAAAATTGTTTCCAACAAACCCTGTCTAGTTCTTTTTCTCTCTTCTTCATTTTTGTCCATTTTTATATCACTCTACATACTCTCTAAATACAGCAAATTTTATTTCATTTCATTTCATTTCATTTTATTTTATCAACTTTTTTCTTTTTTTCTCACTTAATTTTTTTTAGTGATTTTTGAAAATTGTATAGAACAAGTTTTTTGTTTTGAATAATTTGATAAACAATTTTTGAAAATTGTTGATAAAATCAAAAAATCATTTGTTACAATATGAGAAATTGGATTATTTTCAAGGTTGTTTTTTTTTTGGTTTTTTCCAATGTTGTGTGGTTTTTTATTGATTTATTTCTTGATTGGGGAACGCTTGAAAATTAAGAAATAAAAATGGGAAAATTTTTGGAAACAAATTTTCTTATTAATTCGAAAGATTTCCAAAAATTTTGTGGATCATGTTTTTTATTTTAAGAATTTACATTTTTCTTGATTTTTTGGAATCTTTCAGAATTTTGTGAAAAAACACTTCTTCAAAAAATCAATACATCCGAATTTGTTCTAAAAATGTTTTCCAGTCCCCTATCGTAAAAAAAATAAAACATAAAAAAATATTGCAGAATGTCAGTGCCACGCGAAATCCTAATGGCGGCCCCATCCGGAAGTCCAGCGCACACCTCAACTTTCGTAATTCGAGCCACTGATAAATCAATAAACAATTCTGGATCAACATCTTCAGCTGCAAACGAGGCAATTTGCGCAGTTTGTGGTGACGATCATGCAAAATTGCATTACGGTGTTTTGGCTTGTTATGGTTGTAAAGGATTTTTTCGACGCACTTTGACTGGCAAATATCGTTATGCTTGTCGATTTGGTAACAATTGTATTGTTGACAAATGTAAGCGTCTCTTTTTCATTTTTGATTTCTCAAGGTTATTTTTATTTAATCTCTTATCTTACTCTCTTTTATTTATAGATCAACGAAATAGTTGTCGATATTGTCGTTTTCAACGATGTATTGAAGTTGGCATGGATCCAAAAGCAGTTCGACCAGATCGTGATTTGACTGGAAAACAAAAAGTGCCGCGAATCAAGAAAAAACAGATTGATGAGGAATTATTGAATCATATGATGAGATTGCAGGGAGATGATTGGAGCCGAAAATTGCCGGTTGAGACGCGCATTTTGTTGATGCAATTGATGAGTATTGAGGATAAGGTGATTATGATGGAAAAAAAAGGAAGGGGAGCCTAAGCAAGCTATGTAGCTTCTGTAACAATTTTCAGAATTGTGAAATTTTTAATCCCTAGGAATTGAATTCTCTAAAATTTGACCTAACCGTAATTTCTTCCAGGTTGTGAAAGGTGACAATAACATGAGTGCCCAAAACACAGCAAAAGATCCAAAAAGTATATCACTCCGCGAAATGTTTGAATCAAAACCAGCTCTCGATGGACGAAGAATGGAAATGAGATATGAACCATTTCGAATGGCACGAACTGAAGAACTCAGTGTAATTGCACATCGTCGAGCAATTGCTGCTGTTGATTGGGTTGATAGTTTGACTGAAATTGCTGAAACTGTGGATACGGAGGATAAAGTTGCGCTGGTCAAAAGTTGCTATTCGCCACTGACAATTTTCAATTTTTCCGCAAGAACTGCGCAGAACACAAAAAATCCGGATATTTTATGTTTGTGCAGTCATTCGTATGTTCCGCGTAGATTACCTCCTGAATTCAATGAGACTAATCATTTGTCGAATGTTTTGATCGATCGAACTTTGAATGAATTGGTCACACCATTGAGAAAGTTGAATTTGAAGGAAGAGGAAATTGTGCCACTCAAGGCTATTATTACATTGAATCCTAGTGAGTTGTGAACCTACAGTACCTTTTTGAGTACTTTTAGAGTTTTTTTTCAAAATGTTTATTTCTAAATCCAGCAAACGTTTCCTTCAAAATTATTTCTTCCAGATGCAAAAGGACTCTCTGATCATGCTCGAATTGCAATTTCTGAACTCCGTGATAAAGTTCAAGATATGTTATTCCAAATTGTCAAAGAACTTCATCCGATTTATTCAGCAAGTAGTCGATTTGGAAATCTTTTATTGCTTCTCCCAACCATTACAGTAAGCACAATAATAATACTTGGCTCAACTTTTCAATCTGTCATTTCCAGACGCTTTCCGGATTGATGTCTGAAAACATGCATTTTTGTCAAGCACTCGGTGGCCGCCAATCTGGCGACACACTTTTGGCTGAAATGTTTGGCGATCACACTTTTGATGATCAAATGATTAGCAGCAGTATCAGTCCACCGTACTTTGAAAACCCGGCAGAAATTAGTCTCGAGGTAAAGATATTTTTCGTGTTGCATAAATATGATGATGATTTTATTATCAGAAAAAAACCAATTAATGTCATTTCATTTTTATCAGCGATCCACGAGAAACGAATAATTCGTGGAAAATATTTGGGGTTTTACGATGGGCATGGAAATAAATGAGGGCATTGGCAAATTATAAATAGAAACCCAGGGGAAATTTGTATTGTAGTATTTGGGAAAAACGTTGGATCTTCTAGAAAAAAATTGGAAAATTCTCGATGATTTTTCAGACCTGAACTAAATCAGGTTCAACCTCATTCCAATCTTCAGATCGATCTGAAATGTTGTCCAAATTCCTATCAAAACCTAATTTTTTCTATTTCCAGAGCATTTCGCCACCTCTAACTGACGGAGTTTCATCAACAATTCGACGAAGATTAAGCACAACCAAAAAATGTGATGCCACAACACAAACTACTGATGACATTATTCCCTACCAGCAGCACCATCAAAATCATAATTATATGCCACAATCGAATTCGTCGAATTCACTGATCAATGCGGGTTATTCTCCACCAGTTGTGAGTTTTCAAAAAAAAATCGAATCAAACAAATTTTGAACAAGATATTCAAAACTTGAAATCCAAAACCATTTATATTCAAAATCTCAAAAGGTGGAATTTGAAATTCAAAATTCACAATATCAAATTAAAATGTTCCGATCCAGAATCTACAAAAGTCAATTTCAAAATTGCAGATTTCCTCACCATTCCCATCTTTACTTGATGATGTTGCTGATTCGACATTCACTGCAGATATCAATTTGTCAGATCTTGGAAATTGTGAAGATTTTCTATCACTTCTCCAATAACTTGCCCTATTTTCTTCTAGGTACCCCTACTTATCCCAATTGTTGTACATATCCCCATCAAAATTAAAACACAACACAAAAACCAAAAATATACATATTTTTTCACTTTTTTCTCCATGATTTTTTCTATACATAGTAACTTATTATACGCCCTGAAGCTGCCCTCAAATGACACAAAATGATGGTTTTCCCTCTACTTTCTCTCGTTTTTTCACTTTCCCCAGCCCAAAAGAACACTTTTTCTAGAAATGTCAGGTTTTTTTGCAAATTTTTTCGGTAGATGTTATTTTGTCAGATTACTAATAATAGTTTTAGATTTGATTTTTGCACTTTTTGGTCCCGGTCGGCCTCCCAAATATTTTTTATATATTAATTGTTTCAAATTTTATAAAGTTTTCAAATTGACGAATTTGGTATTGTTGACAGAATTTATAGAAAAAACTTAAATTGGAATATTTGAAGAACATTTCATTCAAAATTTATTCTGGAATTTATTAAAACATGTTCCAAATGTTTGTTTTAAAAAATCAAAAAACGTGGAAATTCTGAAAGTATTTCTTGTCATTTCGAATTTTTATTGGTTGAAAAACGATGAATAATTTAAAAACGATTGTATGTACAGATTACATAACACTGATGTGAGTATTTTCTCATGAATCGGGCATTAAAATTTAATTCATTTTTAAGCTAAAAATTGCCGTTGTTGTAATTTTGAGAAAATCTGGAGTCAAATCAAATTTGTTGGTAGATAGAGTGAAAATAATTAGAAATGCTTCAGTTTCAGATGTGATTCACCAAGAATTTTCTGGGTAAGTTTTGAAAATTCAAGCGAAAAAAAAAACAAAACATGCTAACATTTTCAGTTTTTCAATCAATTCATATTCTGATCAAAAAGAATTGAACAAACTTGTACCATGGAAATGTAATTTTTTACAAGTTATTAAAAAAACTCAAATTCGACTCGCCGCCTTTTGTGCGCTGGAGCGCGTTTTGTTGTTTGAGTGAAAACGCAATGAGAAATTCTCCTGTTCAATTCATTTCGATATTTTTTTATTTTCTCTTTAGTTTTCAGTTTTTTCTTTGTTTTCTAACTCAAAACATGCTTTTTATTGTAACTTGGGATTATTGTCCAGTATAGCGCACTTGTTCGTTTGAATTACTCTTTGTTACAAAACATATGTACAAGCTATAACTTCATTTTGAAATGTTTCTTATAACCTTGTTTTTACGTGTACTATTTTTGCTGAAAAATCGTTTCCGGTCGGAACATCAATTTTTCTAGTTTCAGAATGGCCCAAGAAGTCCAGTTAATCCAACTGCAACCAAATATGAATGGTTTCAACACAACAACAATTGTGCTAGACCCCGGACAAATTCGGCGAACTCAACAAGGCTCAATTCTAACAATGAAAGTCGCTGATCAAACAGGAAGTATAAATGCAACATATATGAATCCGGATTTCAGCGAAACTTGGAAGGGCGGTGATATTTTGCGTATGAAAGGCGCCTATACATCAGTTTATCAAGGCGGATTAACTCTTGCAATAGGCAGAAATGGTGATTGTAAAAAGATTGGCGAGTTTTTCATGCAGTTTTCCGAATTACCCGATATCAGTCAAATGGCTTTACCAGTTGGAACAACCGTCGATAACAAAGGAGCCCCGCAAAATCGGCCGAACACTTCAATGGGACGAGGAAGGCCCAGTTATTAACCTGATAATTTATTAATTGAACAGCTCAATCGGGTATATAAACTTTTTGTAAATATTTTTCGAAGTTCCTGCTGTCTCCTTATGGGTTCATTAACCATTCAAATATTTTCTTTTCCTTCCCTTTTTCCTTTAAAAAGCAAAAGAGGTTAAAGTGTTACATAAATCGATGTGCGCGAGAAGAAGAAGCTCACTAGTAGTAGTTTCTTCTCACTCACACTACACTCACAACACTGCAAACATATTCAGATGCGCGGCTGCCTTCTTTTTCTTCTTTTTTCACGAAAAAAGAAGAAGAAGGCCAATATTCGGTCTCTACGAACAAAAAAAAAGAGAGTTTTCCTCTTTTTTGGTGCCTTTTGTGCGTTTTTCCCAAAACGTTTCGTTTTTGTTTGTTCGTTGTGAGGAAAATTGAGATTTACTTCAAATGTTGGGTTTAAATTTTCCATCAAAAATTGAGGCAAAACCTAAGTTCGTGTTTAAGCTTCTAATTCTTCGCTTAAAAATTCGTAAAAACAATTTTCTTTTCTGTATCGAATGAGATTTTTCAGTCAAAGAAATTTCGTTCACGTTTAGAAATATTTTAAATTTTTTAGCTCACAATCAATCTCAAAAAGATATAAGGTTTCAGATTTCAGCACCAGAGAATCATCTAGAAATTTGACACCTGTGTTGCAAAATTGAATAGATTTTCCATGTATATTTATTATAAACCAAGTTTCCACTCACCTCCAATCAAATGTTTATTATCATTTCTTTTTTTCTCTAAACTCTCATTTTCTCTATTTATCTTATGACTCATGTCAAATCACAACTACCTTATTTTCAATACATATTTTCAGATCTAAAATGAACTCGAATCCTTGGGAAGTTTCGGAGACCGAATATCAGAAAAATGTGCAACTATTTAATCAACTTTCCGGTGGTCAGCCATATATGGATGCGAATACGGCGAGAAATGCACTAATGCGTAGTAATTTACCGCCGCAGATTCTGGCACAAATTTGGGCTCTTTCTGATTTGGACAAGGATGGACGATTGGATATCAGAGAATATTCTATAGCTATGAGATTGGCGTTTAATTGTATTGCTGGAATGCCTTTACCACCACAACTTCCACCATCGCTTTTGATTGTTCCAAGTAGAAGTGTACCATTTCAGGTATTGTTGGATTATGTTACTAGTTGATGGATTTTTAGCCATTATTTTTTAAAACTAATTAAATCATAAGTTATGAAAATATGATTTTCATGAAATTCTAACAAGGAAACTTTATCAGAATTCTCGTAACTCATTTTAAGAATTTATTTCAGCTCAAATTCTAAATACTAGAACATATATATTTTTAAAAATATCGACTGAAATTCAATTTTAGGCGCAAACATTGCCTAGACCACCTCCACCTTCTCAACATCAACAATGGATTTCAAATAGTCGACAAGGATCAATTGATCAAGGAACTCCAGAACGTAGAATGTCTCAAAGTTATCAACAACCATTCGGAGCATCTTATCCCACAGCTCCGCCAGCTCAACGAAGTATGTCAATATCTTCAGCTTCCGGTGTCGCTGCCAATAATGATCGAGGAATTTTTGAGGGACGACAACTTGAAAATTGGGCAATTCCTCATCACAACAAACTTAAATATAGTCAACTATTCAATGCGTTGGATAAGGATCGACTTGGATTTTTGAACACACAAATATCTAGAAGTGCTCTAGGTCTAAGTGGACTCTCTACACCTGCTCTTGCTCATATTTGGTTTTTGTCGGATGTGAATCGAGATGGAAAATTGAGTGTGGATGAATATTGTATTTCGCAATTTATGATTGAAATGTTTAAGGTTGGATTTTTTGAAATTTCTCTGAAAATTTGGTTGAAAAAATTTTCCAATTTTTCGTGTTTCCAAATTTGAGTCACAATTTCATCAATAATTTTCCAGGCTGGCTATGCTCTACCACAAATAACCCCTCCAGAACTCGTCAGAATGTGTGGAATTTCTCGATCTGCCAACAATACTCCCGAACTCGAGCCCGGTTCCGAACCACCACAAAAAACTCCAACTCTCAAAACTTTTGAAGATAAACGACAGGATAATTTGGCACGTGGCCAAGCTGAATTGGAAAGACGACGACAGGTTTTGGAAGAGGAGGAAAATCGGCGACGAGCCGAATTGGAAAAGAAGGAACGAGAAGAACAGGCGAGAAGAGAACGAGAGAGATTAGAGAAAGAGAGACAGTTAGAGATGGAGAGGGAGGCTGAAATGGGTACGGTTTTTTTGATTTGAGGGGGTTTTTTGATTTTGAAAATTATGGAAACATCGATTTTTATAATTAGGAAATTGTGCAGCTAAAATTTGGAATTTAAATTTATAAAAATGGAAAAAAAACAAAATTCTGATTTTTGATAATATATCAAATCTATTTTCTGAAAAATTATGTCCTTCCGGCTGAAATTTTGAAGTATTCCACATAGAAAATTCAAATGAAAATATTTCACTTTAAATTTGGTTATGAACTTTTTTCAGAACGTCAACGAATTCTCGCTCAACAACGAGAAGAAGCCGAAAGAATCCGTCGAGCTGAACTCGACAAACGTAGAGAAGAAGAGGAAAAACAGAAACAAATCCTTGCTGAAAAAGCGAAAGTCAAGCAAATGACATCACAAAAACAACAGGAAAGTGAACGATTGGCACAAAGACAGCAACGAGAAAAAACACTGTCTTTTCAATTACAAGCTTTGGATGAAAAAGCAACAGATATTGAAATCGATATTGGAAAAGCTAAGGAAAATGTAGCTGAAGTGACTGGAGGAATTGAGGGAATGAGATCTGCACGGGATGAAAAAGTTGGAAAGATCAAGGAACTTCAACAAGAAAATCAAAAATTGGCGATTGAATCACAAGAAATGGGACACCAGTTGCTGCAAATGCAAAGTACTCACAAAGAAACAACAAGCAGAAAGAATGAACTAGAAAATCTGAGGAAGAAAAGAGATGAGCTAAAGAGATTTGTTGAAGATTCAGCGACGAAATTGGTTGAAGCCAAAGAGAAGAATCAGGTTCTTCGCGAAAAATTGGAAGAAAATGAGGAGAAATATAAAAATGATGGATATGCGAAATTGTTGGCGAAACGAGAAGAATATCGAAAAGTTTTTGAATTGTTTGTGCATGCTCAAACACAAGCTCGTAGCAAGTTGGATCTTTTAAAAGCTCGAGAGCCTGAACCTGTAGCCCAAGTTGCATCTACAAATGGCTTTTCTGAAAATCCGTTTGGGGCTTCTGATCCATTCGCATCTGACCCATTCCCGAAATCTTCTGCCCCAACATCAGCAAACCCAAAAATCCCAATATCCGAGAGCAGGAATTCGGTCAACTCTCAGATTGATAGTCATGAAACTACAAAATGCCGTGCACTTTTCGCGTTTGAAGCAAGATCTGAAGATGAGCTTAGTTTCGAACCCGGTGATGTTATAATTGTTTTCCAATCACATAGCGGAGAACCAGGTTGGAAAGCGGGACAATTACATGATCGAGTCGGTTGGTTCCCTGAAGCATTTGTGGAGCCAATTGCAAATGTGCCACAAAACGTTAACGCACCGCCAATTCAAAATATGCCACCAAATATGACACCAAGTTGTTCGTTGGATCAGATTCCGGAAGAAGCGCAGGCGCTGAGAAAAGCGGAAATTGCAAAAGCAATGGGAACAAATGGAAATAATGTGGCTGGAGGTGTTGGTGAGTATATTTTTGAATCAAAAGTTATTTTTATACAACAATTTCAGAAGAAAACCTTAAAAATTTCAATTTTTGAAATTCAAATGTTTTTTTTTGACTAAAAAATTGGCAAAATGTTCCAAATTTACGGATTTATCCTGGAAAGATTTAATTTCAAAAAAAAAACATGGCGATTTGTCATTTTCATCGCCACATGGCAATTAAACAATTTTGAATTCATTTTTTCCGAAAACTCCTGTTATTGTTTCAGTAGAACCCGTGTTGTGCCAATGTATTGCTCAATTCCAATGGCGTGCCAGAAATGAAGATGATTTATCATTTGCAAAAGGAGATACTATTGATGTGAGTTGAATATTGAAGAGAAATTATTTGAAAAATACATAAGCTAAACATTTCCAAGAAATCAAATATCTGATTTTGCAGGTAATCGAAAAACAAGAAATGAAATGGCGTGGCCGAAAATCGACTGGAGAATCTGGATGGTTCCCAAAAAGCTATGTAAAAGTTGTTGGAGCAGATTCCAACTCACAATCTGCTACACCAACTGATACACCAAATAAAACTGTCCAATCACCAAGTTCAAATGCTTTGCCACAATATGATGTGGTTCCTGGAGCAATTTCGAATAATGCACAATATGATACGGTGCCAAATTCATTAGGTTTGTTTGTTTGAAGTTTTTTTTTAGCTTTCGATTAGAAACTTTCTGAATTCTTGATCTTATTTTCATCGGAAAAATTTTGGAACATAAAAATTGAAACATGAAAAGAAAAATGAATATTCTCCAAAACTATCCAAATCTTTTTTCAGGCTCCTCCTCAGATGATTGGTTCATTGCCACTTATGATTTTGAAGCGGCCGAGCCAACCGATTTAGCTCTAAAAGTTGGCGATCGAATTTTGGTGCTTGAGAAGTGAGTGCTTTTGACATTTTATTTTTATTTTCCTTTTTTTCTTCTTTATATTTTGTTATATTTTTCTTATGCCTAAAAGACATATTGACGGGTTCGTTTTTTTGGTGTTTGAATTTTGGGCATAAACATTTTGAAGAATTTTTAGATCCATCAAAAATTTTTACTCTCAAAAATTCCCCAAAAATCACATTTTTTTTCTAGAAATGATGATTGGTGGAAGGGTCGTTGCAATGGAAAAGAGGGAATTTTCCCGGCGAATTATGTGGAAAAAGCCACGTCACCTGGAACAGCAGCAACAGAAGTGACGTCACCAACTTCTTCAATTCCACGTGTCGCTGGTGATCCACTTGTGATTTGTCACGCAAAAGCTGTTGTTGAGTTTGTCGCATCGGCACCAAATCAATTGGCAATTAAAGTTGGAGATTTGATTAAGGTGAGGAGGGTGCTGAAAATTGCTGGAAAATGAAAAAAACACTGATTTTTGGCTGAAAATCTTATTTTTAAAACATATTTTCAGAGAGAATTGAAAGTTTGCAAAAAACACGTTTCGATTCTTCAAGTTCGAAGCCTTGAATTTTCTCGCAAAACATCCAAGTGACAAAATTTTAATTTTTTTTGAAAAAATGTTGAAATTTTCAAACACTAAAAGATTTTTCACGTTTTCTCCACGTTTTACCACATTTCTCATTTCTTTTAATTCTTAAAAAAAACATTTCAGGTTCGCGAAAAAAGTGCTGCCGGTTGGTGGGAAGGTGAAATTGAACGAGGTGGAAAATTGTTGGCTGGCTGGTTCCCGGGTGAATATGTGAAAGTTGTTGGTGAAAATGGTGCTGGAACACCAAAATTATCAATTTCTGGTCAAGGAACAGCTACTACGACTGCAATTGCATTGTTTGATTATGAAGCAAATCAGGCGGATGAACTATCATTTAGCACTGGAGATTTGATTGTGGTGGGTCTGAACAGGATTTTGAAATTTTCTGAAAACCTGGGAATTTTGGAATAATTCAATGAACTAGTAATGGGAACTTTTGTTCATTGGAATTTTAATTTTCTGATTTTTAGAGATTTGAAAATGTTGAATATTGAATCTTGCTCAAAACAAAATTCCAATTATTTTTTCAGATAACCGACAAAGTTGATTCTGAATGGTGGACCGGACACAAACACCAAAATCCCGCCAAATCTGGACTTTTCCCCGCCAATTATGTACAATTACAATAAGTCTAACCTAACAAGCCATAATTTCATATTTTAATTTTAGTTTGATTTAAATTTCGAACAACAAAAAATAATAATTTATGGGCATTGATTTTCATTTTTTCCCGAAGTTGTGAGCAAATTTTACACTTATTTTATTTATTTTTAAAGTTACCCTGAAGATTTTTCATTTTTTTTTACAAAAAATAATTAATTTTACATGTAGCATAATTTTTATTGCATGAAAATAGTGAATAAAATGTATTTATTGAAATTATACCTTGTCAATTCATTTTTGTTTTTTGGTTGAATTTTCCCATGCTTTGAAATTTAAAGGCACATATTTACGTTTTTCAAATTTTAAAGCTCACGATTTGCTGCTGAAAATTTTTTCGGCACAATTCCCAATTTTTGTCCGCAAACACTCATATTTTTCGGGTGTTTGCACTCTTTTCTTTTTTATTTCTAACACTCTCTTCACATCACACTCTCTCTCGCCGTTCTCTCTCCTGTCTAGGCAGCGTTTTTTGTGTTTTCGAATTTATTCTTTTTTTTTGGTTTCTCTGGGTGAATTTATAGATTTTGTAGTTCTGAAAATGAATATGAAGCTGAGAATTAGATTTTTGCAACTATTTTTAGGCTAAATTTTGGTGGATGGGCCTTTCTACTGATTTTGGGCTGAAATTAATTGATTAGTAGAGTTTTGCACGATTTTTGTTTTTCAACATTTTTAGCGGCCAAAATTTAAAAAGCTGTCTCTGGTCGTTTTTTTTCCATTTTCCACTTACTATTTTCTTTTTCAACCCCTTAAAAATTCCCCCAAAAATTGGCATAATTTTCAGAATGTCTTACGGTGACGGATTATCGGGTGCCGAATATTTGGCATCGATTTATGGAACCGAAAAGGACAAAGTAAATTGCTCGTTTTTCTTCAAAACTGGAGCGTGTCGACACGGTGATAAATGTTCGCGAGCTCATCACACTCCAACTTTTTCGCCAACCGTTGTTCTCAAAAATTTCTATCACAATCCAGTTGTCGATGTTCGTCAAGCTGATGCTTTTGATAGTGAGTTTTTTGTATTTGAAAATAATGAAGTTAAAAATTAATATTTTTCATACGTGAACTATGACATGGGAAATACACATTTTCATTATTTAGAAAATCTCATTATAATTTTTTGCAGAGGTCGGAAAACGAAATGACGACGAGCAAAGATATTTCGACGATTTTTACGAGGAGGTTTTTGTTGAAATGGAACGAAAATATGGAGAAGTTGAAGAGATTAATGTTTGCGAAAATATTGGCGAACATATGGTTGGAAATGTATATGTGAAATTTATGAAAGAAGAAGATGCGGAAAAGGCGAAAAATGATGTGAATAATCGATGGTAAGTTACACTTTTAACTGTGATCAGTGGGCTGGAAATTACTAGAAAAATTATTATTGTTTTTTTCACAAAAAATCTGTCATTTTTCAAAGAAAAGTCACCAGGTGTTCAACAATTTCGTTCACACATTTGGTCAAGTGGCTAAATGTGTGGATTCTTAAGAAATAGGTTAGGGGATCTAGTCCACATGGTGACTTCTGTATGTAAAAGGGGATAAATTCGCAATGACGAGAACGTGCCACTGCAAAATTCTATCGGTGAATTTGAATGGAGATACCGAGGCACAGGGGCCATCTGAGCGTTTTTTTGGAGATTTAGGAAGAAAATGTGTTCAGGATTTTTCTTACATAAAAATTTCGGACGGTTAATAATTCTTTGATCAAAACACACGTTTCTTTTAATCGTCGCAAAATTTTTACACAATTTCGCTTTCGTTTCTCCAACGGTTCCATGGTGTAGCGGTTAGCACTCAGGACTTTGAATCCTGCGACCCGAGTTCAAATCTCGGTGGAACCTTCTTTTTTCGTTTTTTTTTTCAATATTTAGTTTTCACCACGCTTCGCAGTCAAAACAGGTATTTGAAATTAAAAATGTTCTCATTTTTCAGGTTCAATGGTCAACCAATCTACGCCGAACTTTGCCCGGTCACCGATTTTCGCGAATCCCGCTGTCGTCAACACGAAGTCACCACCTGTAGCAAAGGTGGTTTCTGCAATTTCATGCATCTGAAGGCGATTTCCGGCGAACTTGGTGATCGATTATATGGAAGACGTGGAAGAAGAGCTGACGCTGCTGGACATTATCCATCTCAAAGAGGTGGAAATGGAGGAGGCGGCGGAGGTGGAGGTGGAAGAGATAGAGATAGAGATCGTGGTGGATGGGGAGGAAATGGTGGAGGGGGAGGTAGAGATTATTATGGTGGAGGTGGACGTGGATATGGAGGTGGAGGAGGAGGAGGAGGTGGCCGAAGAAGAAGCCGAAGTCGTGATCGAAGACGCTATTGATTTTAATTTTAAGTTATCTGTTTAATCGTGTTTTATTATTATTTTTATTGATGAATCTCAAGTTTTTTGACGAAAAATTTCTTGTTGTTCCTATTTGTTGAAATGGTTTGATACTATTTGAATATTTTAGAAAAATTGAACGAAATTTTGGGAAAATTTTTGAATTATTTGTTAAAACTTGGATCAAGTTTGACTCAAAAATGCAGAAAATTTTTTGAATCAATTTCGAAATCCAACACTCCTCTTCTGGAGAATGAATTCCCGGAAAATATTAAAGTTTCGTTGTAAAAAAGCACATTCTCGAAATCGATTTTTTCCTCTTTCAAATAAAAACATCTCTGTCACAGCTATCTAACACATTTTGCAGAAAAAAATGTCAAATTTTCCACATAATCGTAAACGAACTCTTTACGTCGGCGGAATTTCGGAAGAATGTACCGAAAAAGTGCTAATGGCAGCATTTATTCCATTCGGAGATGTTGTCGCTATTTCGATTCCAATGGATTATGAAAATGGAAAACATCGAGGTTTCGGATTTGTTGAATTCGATTTGCCTGAAGATGCGGCTGCTGCTATTGATAATATGAATGATAGTGAATTGTTTGGAAGAACTATTAGGTTTGTTCGAAAATTGAAGTTTTCGTGTGAAAAATTCGAATTTTCCAAATTCACGTTTCAAGTAGAGAAAAACAATGAAAATATCATTTGTTTTTTCAGAGTAAATTTCGCTCGTCCACCAAAAGCCACTGAAAGATCACAAAAACCAGTTTGGGCCGACGATGAATGGTTGAAAAGATATGGAAAAGGAGGTGGAGGCGCAGACAACGAAAATGGTGAAAATGAAAATGGTGCAGAAATTGGTGAGGATGGAGAGCAAAGAAGTGCACCACCAAAATTGCCACGTGTCTATTTGGGTGTGAAGATTGGTATTCGATATATTGGTCGGATTATTATTGAATTGCGGCCTGATGTTACGCCAAAAACTGCTGAAAATTTTCGATGTTTGTGTACTGGAGAACGAGGATTTGGATATGAAGGTATGCGATTTTGGGACGTGTGAAAATTGGGAAAAATTTGCAAACAATTTTTTGAGCCCACGATTTTTTGAAATTTTGATTTATTTTCAGATTTTGATTATTGAGATTTTTTATTTAAAAAATTTGAAAACGTGAACCTTTTTCTCTCTAATTTTTCATTTCTAGGTTCCACATTCCATCGAATCATCCCAAAATTTATGCTCCAAGGTGGTGATTTCACAAAAGGCGATGGAACAGGCGGAAAATCGATTTATGGCACAAAATTCGAAGATGAAAATTTTATTCTGCGCCACACAATGCCTGGAACTGTTTCAATGGCTAATTGTGGAGCAAACACAAATGGATCGCAATTTTTCATTTGCACTGAAAAAACGGATTGGTTGGATGGAAAACATGTTGTATTTGGGCATGTTATTGAAGGAATGAATATTGTAAGACAAATTGAACAGCAGGTTTGTATTTTCATTTTTAAATGATGAAATGCACAAAAAATATTCTGAATTTTCCAGGGAACCCCATCCGGAAAACCACAAATGGTCGTGAAAATTGTCGAAAGTGGAGAAATCGAGCCGGAAAAACGAATTGCGGCACAACGAAAAGCGGCCGCCGCAGCCGAAAATGCAACAAAAATCGATAATGCAGAAAATCTTCCCAAAATACCGTCTGATGCCTAATTTTTGTTTTGTAGAGGTGTGAAAATGATTTATTTTTGTTGTTATTATTGTTTTTTCTTTCTCATTTTATTTATTTTATTATTATTATCCGGGTTGTTTACTTTTTTTTGACTAAAAATCTCGAAATTTTTATGGATTTTTTGTTGGTTTTGTGATATCTGAAATTGTGTATTTTTACACTTGAATATCTATTCTTCAGAAAATGAACCGAGATTTAGAATTCGGAAATCTTGGCTGTTATCTTTCAGCTATTATAAATTTTGAGCTTTTTCAGGGGAAATTCAGTGCTGTATATTTTCAGAACAAAATTTAGAGCTCTAACTTTTCATCACTTTGCTCACACTTTCAAAAACTAAATTCCCAACTTATTTTTTTGCAGAATGTCGAAAACTGGCGGAAACACAGAACCAATGGCATTTGTCCGAAAATGGGGTGTTCAGGCAAATAATGGAGAAGATAATAATGGATTGAATACGATTCGAGAAGAAGTTGAGGATATGATGGCTTTACAAGGAATGGTATCAAATAGTGGATCAGTTGACAAAGGTTGGCATTTTTGTGGATTCGGGAAATGCTGAAAATTTCCGTTATTTTGAGTTAAAGATTGTTAAAACATTTTGAAGGATTTTTGAAGAAATCTCAATAATTTTGCGAATTTTGAAGTTATTTTTTTGAAAGTCAAAAAAGGAAAAAACAATAAAATTTCACGAACCTAAAAATTTGGAAAATAATAGTGTCTCTTTGGATCAAATTCACATTTTTGCAGAACGCTCTTCAACACCATCCCGCCGTGATCGATCGAGAAGTCGCGAAAAAGATCGCGACCGCAAAAAAGATCGTAAGAAGCGTTCTCGCTCAAGAGATCGAGACCGCCGCTCGCGTTCAAGATCTCGTGATAGAGAACGTCGTAATCGCCGCAGTCGTTCACCTCGTGAGCGCCGCCGTCGAAGCAGAAGTCGAGATCGCGAATCGCGTCGACCTTTGATGGTTCCGAATAGTCCAAAAGCGAATCGCGAACCAATTATCAATCCACTGGTTCGAGAAGATTTGCAGAAAGCTGCGCAATTAGGTGGAGCTGGAGAAGCTGCTGAATTATTGGCTCAAAGTGCACTTGTTCCAGTTGCTACAGAAAGGAAAAGGTGAGTTTTTGTGAAAGGTTTTAATTCTTGGTATTTATAAACTTTTTTTGTGAAAGGTTTTAATTTATAAAATTAATAACCCGTAAAAATCCTTATTTTTACAGAGAACGAAAAAGTCGTTGGTCAACCACGAAAAGTTTTGTTCCCGGTATGCCCACAATTTTACCAAGTGATTTGAGCGAAGACCAAAGGAACGCCTATTTGCGTAAGTTTTTTTCGGGGCTCATTTTTGTGCTATTCTCTTGGTCCCACCCCTTTCCCCTTCCAATTGCAATATCTACAAATCGTTTGGCTCGGTCAGGTTTGATGTATTTTTTCACCAATTTTTTCCATTTATTTTTTTTTACTAATTATTGCGGCCTAAATGGCCGCATCGTTTTTCAGTTCAACTCGAAATTGAGGATTCAACACGAAAATTGAGAATGGGCGAATTTGTGAATCCTGATGCGCATGAGAGGTAAGTTGTCTAACGAAACTAAATTTGGGCGGTAGAATTTGATTGCGAAAAATGTGCTGAAATTTGGGAAATTTTGAGATCAAAAAAGTCTATTTCAATCTAATTTCATGTTTTCGGCATATTTTTTAATAATCGTATTTTTAGTGGGTTAATTAATTTAAAGTTTACAGGATTTAATGTTTTCTTCTTCTCAAAATTTAATTTTTTCAATTTCCAGAAACGAATCAGTTTCAGTTCGAAGCAGATCAATCGTCCCATTTTATTTTTTATATTTTTAATTAATCCAATTTTACAGGATTCAATTATGAATAATCTAATTAAAAATTTCAGACTTAATAATTCATCCCAATTTCAGAAACCCTCTCCTTCCCCCTAATTACATTAATTGATTAATTAATTTGAAAATTCAGGGCAACTTCTTGGAATTTCCGAAATATTTATGCATTTTTTTGCAGATCTCCATCTCCTGAACCAGTTTATGATGCGAATGGAAAACGATTGAATACGAGAGAAGTTAGAAAACGACAAGAATTGGAGCAAACGAGACATGAGAAGATTCAGGCGTTGTTGAAAATCAATCCAGCATTCAAACCGCCAGCGGATTATAGGTAGGTTGTTTTTGGGCGCAGAAATTTGGAATGTTTTGAATTCTGGTGAATTCAAAAATTCAGCTTTTGAAAGTTTGCAGACCTCCCAATATTCGCCTTCATGACAAAGTCTTTATTCCACAAGAACAATTCCCCGAAGTCAATTTCGTCGGTCTTCTTATCGGCCCACGTGGAAACACTCTAAAAGCATTAGAAGCTGAAACTGGCGCAAAAATTATTATTCGTGGAAAAGGATCAGTGAAAGAGGGAAAATTGACAAATCGACTTGGACCGATGCCAGGAGAAAATGAGCCACTTCATGCATATGTTACTGGAACTGATATGGCTGTGATTAAAAAAGCTTGCGAGAAAATTCGACAAGTTGTACAAGAAGCGACTGCTTTGCCAAATGGAAATGAATTGAGAAGTTTGCAATTGAGAGAATTGGCATTGTTGAATGGAACATTTCGACCAGAAGATTTGGCAAATGGAGCAAGATGTTCGAATTGTGGATCAGATGAACATAAATCATGGGAATGTCCTGATGCACCAAATGTTACTAATCAAATCAAATGTGTGAATTGTGGAGGTTGCGGACATATTTCAAAGGATTGTAAAAATCCAAAAGGAATGTATCAGGTAAGAATTAGGGGACTTGCAGAAAATTGGGTCTGAAAAATTTTTTACTCAATTAATTTTTTTTCCAGGAAGCCGGAATGGATGACGAATATTCAGCTCTTATGGCGGAATTAGGTGAAGGCGGTTCAGCTCCAGTCAAAAGTAATTATGGTCTATCAAATGCGCCAACATTCGCTGGAACTGGTGCAAATACAGTAGCTATTCAAAAAAGAGATACCAGCAAAATTCGACCATTAATTGATCCGAGCGAACTTTTCGGACCACCAAAAACAGAAGATTCACATCACGCTCATCATCAACAAAACCAAGGATATTATGATTCATATAATCAATATTCGAGTTATGGAAATCAATATCAACATCAAGGATATGGTCATCAACAAGCTCAAGAATATGGTGATTTTTATGCGACGAGTTCTGGAGCTCGTGGAGGAGCCAAATCCAGTTGGTACACTTCTTCGGGTGGCGGATCGAAAATGCCTCTTCCCGTTCCACCGCCTGCTGGATTGGCCGGTTTTATGCCGCCCCCTCCTCCACCACCACCAATGACTGATTTGTCTCATCTTTTGGTGGCACCCGCGCCTCCACCGCCCCCACCAAGTTAATTTTATAAACAAAAATTATTTTTTTAAGTTCATTCCAGCAAAAATTTGTGTTTTCCTTTATGAGATGTTTTAAGACATGATAAATAATAAATATTTCTAATTTTAAATTGGTTCAATTATTTAATTAATTACGCGGTTTCAACAACCAAATACCTTGAAATTGTAGGGAATTTTTTCATATTTTGCCGAAATTCCACGTGGCAAATCTAGGTGCCGAAAAAAGAAAAAATGCTCAAAATTACTTTTTTATCTGAAAAAAGCATTAGAACCTTTCAAATATTCGAAAAAAGTAAATACCGTAATTTTACAGGTGGTATTTTCAAGCTTTTTTCACAGCAAACCCAAATTTCAGATTTATTTTCAGCACAAAAAATGAGTCGACAAGGAGCATGGGGACGGGTTTTGAGCAATTTTTGGAAATATGTTAGAAATGATATGTCGAAAAAGGTGAGATTTAGAATGAAAATATGAAGTTCACGTGGATTTTAAGCTCGAAATTTGAGTTTTCGAGAAATTTTGAACCAAAAAAACTTATTTCAAATTCAATTTATTAGTGCCAGAAAATCTAGAAAAAAAAAATTTTTTTTTTCAGAATTACATTGCCGAAGATGCTCACGGCAATAAATATTATGAAATTGCAAATAGTCGACAAAATGTTGGACGAGGATTTGAGCCGCCAAAAAATTCACCGAAAATTGAGCCCGATATTGAATGGCAAGCGTGGTTGAGAGGAACTCGCAGGTGGGACCTTTTTAGAGTAAAGAATAGTTTTTATTTCAATAAAAAAATTCCACGAAGAAAAATTTCTAGTTCTCAAAAAATGAATTCTCTTATTAAAAACTTTCTTTCCACGTGGTTTTCTCAAGAACAAAAAAAACCAATAATTTTTTGACCCCAAAAAACAAACAAAACTATTTCGTCCTATTTCAAAGATCACTGTCCAAAATGTGTTTTTTCTTCATTTTTATCACATTTTTTTAGATTTCCACCATCTGATCAAGAAATTGCATTAAATCGACAAAAACAACAGGTTTGTCATTTTCAATTTTTGTGGCCCTAATTTTTAAAGTAACTAAGTAAGTTACTTAACATAAGTCAGTTGTTATTTAGCCTAACTTCCCATTTTTCTTCAAAAAATCTCCCTTTTCTGTGTTTTTGTTCAGAATTCTCTCTAGTTTCTCTGCGTATCTTTGAGTGTAAAATCTCTCATTTTGGTCCTTCTCACGTACTTTTTCTTCTTTTTTTTCCGTTTTTTTGTGACATTCTTATCTAAAAATGTTTACAAAATATAATGTTTTTATTGATTTTGTAGCGAGAAAATTGAAATTTTTTGAACGAAATTGCGATTTTTGTGCCGAAAAAATAATTTTTGGGAAATATTTCACCTATAAAATCGCCATGTTCTTTATAATACCAGAAACTTTGCCTAGAAACCCCTAAATTTAATTTCAGGCTCAATTGGCTCAAGATTCCAACACTGAAAAACGTGCACCAATCGTAAATTCAGAAGGAATGGGTTCCGGAGATCACAAACCCCAAAAATTCCCAAAATATAAAGATCTAGAAGTGACGCCTGGTTTTAGAGAGGATAAAAAGTGAATATTTTTAGACTTTTTAGGTCTGAGTTTAGGCTTATCAATTTTGAAATCAGATATAATGATTATAAAAATTTATATTTTCCGTTTGCATTTTTGTCGTCTTTTTCGTAATTATCTTATCTCAATTAATTAATTGTTTTTTCTCTCATAATAATCAGAAATTAGGCTTACATATTTTAAGGTGAAAAATGCCGGGACTACAGAAAATTTTGAATGGAGTTATTCAATTTCGAAAAACTGTGCGGAAGGATTTGGTGAAACAATTTGAGGTGATTCGAGATAATCCGAACCCACGAGCCGTGTTTTTCACGTGTATGGATTCGAGAATGTTGCCGGCCAGGTAAGACGGGTTTTGGCGGGGAATTGAAGAACATTTGGAATTTTTTGAGCCAAAATTCGGCAGTTTTGATTGATTTTGCCCAAAATAGTAGTTTTAATTCTAATTTTCTTAAAAATCTATAAATAATCCAACTTTCATTAATTTTTTGAAAATTTCATTTAGCACTGAAAATCCACGTTATAAGTAAAAATTATAAAAATCCATGTTTTCTAAATTCCACGTCGTAACACCTGAAATTCAGACTAAAAAATTTAGACTCCTGCAAAAAATCAATTTTTCAAAATTTGGTCCTATAAAATATTCATTTTCAGAATCACATCAAGTCAAGTCGGAGACATGTTTGTTGTGCGAAATTCCGGAAACATGATTCCACACGCCAATAATTATGGTCCATCTGGATACGAAGTTTCGGTAACTACAGAACCAGCCGCATTGGAATTGGCTGTGAAACGTGGCAAAATCAATCATGTGATTGTTTGTGGACATTCGGATTGTAAAGCAATCAATACATTGTATAATTTACATAAATGTCCGAAATCTTTCGATCCAGAAAGTCCTATGGATCATTGGTTGAGAAGGTGAGCCATTTTTAATGAAAATTAAAAAAAAATTGTCTTAATTGCCACGTGGCAGTTAGGATTTTCTCAAACTACAGTAGTTTCCACGTGGCTTTTTTTATTTTTCAGAAAAACGGAAATAAATCTTTCATAAAACCCTCTAATCATTTTCAAATCTGATTGTTTGCCACGTCATAAATCATTTTTATATTGCAGACACGGTTTCAACTCGATTCGAAAACTCGAACAACGTCTCAAGGACAAATCAGCGGGTCCAATTGAATTCGTCAGCGACAATCCGTTGTTCAGGTAAGGTTTGAAATCAGGCTCACCTTCAGACCTAAACCCAGGCCTCGACGAAAACTTAGTTCTAATCTATGCAATATTACAGTTTCAAAGCAGTAATCGATCCGGAAGATAAACTAAATGTCGAAGACAAATTATCGCAAATCAACACACTTCAACAATTGGAAAATGTGGCAAGTCACGGATTTTTGAAAGAGTTTCTAGTTGCTCAAACTGTCGATTTGCATGCAATGTGGTTCGATATTTATACTGGAGAAATGCACATGTTCAGCAAACCAAATAAAAAATTCATTTTGGTCGATGAAAACACCGTTGAGGAATTGATTGATGAAGTTGATAAGCATGAAGCCTAATGTAAGCCAAAGTTTTGTATATTTTTTTGCTCATTGATTTTTTGGATAAATTTTGGAAGTTTCTGATCGCTTTTAATTTTTCATTTGTGAAATTTGAAAAATGCACGTCGTTAATTTCTAAAAATTACAAGAATGAAACGACCGGCTAACGCCGGTCTTCATTCTTGTTGCTACGCAGCCTTCGGCTGCGTGCTGAAGTCCGTATCTTACAGTAATATCTCATAAAGTTTCATAAAATTAGAATTGTGAAACTCGGGCCGACTTTTTTTCACCGAACAAAAAAACGCGGGCCGATTTTTTTCATCTAACAATTTTTTGATGTCTCGTGGCTAAATTAGGAATAGTTCCTAATTTTGCCATGGATGACGTCATCGATCAATTTTTCGAAAAAAAAACTTATTTAATCTTTTTTTGAATTAAATGTACTCGAAAGATGTTAAGGATAAGAATTACAATCAAATTCATGAAAAATCTCAAGTTTTTTGATCGAAAGACGTCATCCTTGGCAAAATTAGGAACGATTCCTAATTTAGCCACGGGTCATTTTTTTTTCGTTTTGAACATTTTATGCTCTCAGATGTTGAATATTTTCAATGTTCATAAAACGTAAGCGTAAAATTCTAATTGAGCCCAAAATTCTAACTCTTAGCTACTTCTGAAATCAAATGTTATGATTTCATGATCTCGAACATCTAAATCTCTTGAAAACTTCTCTTTTTCCAAAAATCCAATTTTCTTGAAAACCTCTTTCTTTTTTCCAAAACTCCTTTTTTTTACATAACACCTATTTTCCGTTCAGAGCCAAAACTATCTTTGTGATTTTTCCTAGGAGATAAATTTTCAGTTTACTTATTCTCTTGAAATCTGAGGGAATTGATTTTTTTTCAAAGACAATTCTGCTCAAAAAATATCAATAATTTTTGAGCTTCTGAATTTACGTCTTCAGATCCTCGAAGGATCTTTATGTTGAAATTCGTCGAAATCCTTTGATCACCAAAAAGTGTTCATTTTTGAAGTTTTTTGAATCCTAGAGCGATTCTACAGGTCTTGGGTGAAATTTGCTCCCAAAAGTGAAACCAAAAATCATCATTTCACTATTTACATTCCTAGGTCTATCACCCTCGGAGCTTTCCAATAATAATTTTATAGAAAAATTGAAAAAAAATCCAATATTATTTCTTTAGCTTCTAACTTCAAGAGTTTGTCTTACTCTTACAAATGCGAACCCTCTTTTAATAAACTCACACGCTTTTCTACATTTTATGAAATAAGTTAAAAAATGAATGCGGCAATTCAAATGTTTTTGAAATATCAGAAATGAGCAAAATGACTCACGTCAAATTATTTAAATTAAATCTAGGGCACAAAAGTAGGTCAAACGGGACAGACGGAACGCCGTTTAATATATAAGAAAGATAATTCAAACTATTTTGGAAAAACGTGCCAAGTTCTTACATTCACAAGAAAAATCCACGTTTCAAAACAGTAAGATACGCTGAGTACAGTAACCCATAGATGCAAAAAAAAAACTAAAAAATTATGAATTTTCATTAAAACTGTATCATTATTATGCTTTAAAATCATCATTAATTTCCGGATTGTCAGGCTTTTTCTTGAAAAATGTCATTTCAAAATTCAATCCATCATCCAAAATCTGAATCGTATCAAAATTCTGACGAATCTGCTCCTGAATCGTCGAAATCCATAAAACATCGAAGAATTTCCATGCAAATTTATTGGAAAAGTTAGCGTAGATTGAAGGATCCAATGATATTTGCGAAATTTCGGTTCCGCCTTTAATATTTTCAAAAACGAATTTGAAAAATGTGTGAATTTGGAGTGTGACATAGGATTCAGTATGGATTATTGTTTTTTCGGTATCCGATTGTGATTTCTTCTTCTTTCGAATATAAAAATTTGTGATTACTGTGTCGAAATAATTCGAAATTTCTTCTCTGATTATTGGTGTCAATTTTGGGATTATCTGCAAAATAAAATTTTGCCACGTGGATTTCCCCCGTCATAATTAAGGTTTTAATTTCACTTTGCCACGTGGTTTTTTAAAATTTTTAGTATTAAAAATTGTTTGAGAAAATCACAGAAACTTTCAAGAAAATTGAAAATGATCTAGTTTCCACGTGGCATTTTGAAATCATTTGGCCCTTTAAAAAACCCAACCTTCAAATTATCAATTTCCAAATGATCCTCAATAAGTTGAAATAAATCGTCTTTCGAAATGCACATATTTTCGTAGATTTGTTCCAACATATTTCTCAAATTCTTCCGTGCCAACATCGAATAACTCACTGGCCAAGTTTTTGCTAAAGTCAGAAATATCTCGCAATTTTGCTCAGTTTTTTCTCTTTTCTGTAAATAGAAAAACATTTTTTTGAGAGAAAAATTTGAGAAAAAATTCACCAATCTCCACATTTCAACTAAACATTCTTTTGTATAATCATAATCTTCGTAGTCATCAAAGTAATCTTGAATTTCTTCATTTATTATTTGCTTCCATAATTTGTTCGAGAAATTCTGAAAAAAATTAGCTGAAATTTATGATTTTTCTCAAATCTCACCTCATCAGAATATCTTGGCTGCCAGCATTTTTCAATCGTCGCATTCAATTCACTCTTCGAAATTCCCGAATGCAAATAAGTCGATACTTTTTTCAGATAACCATTGAAAGCTTTCCGAATTTCCATAATTTCCGTTGTTCTTCTTAATTTCAACGTGTTTTTTGGCAAGAAAAAATCGCTGAAATTTAAATTTTAAATTTCTCTGAATCTCCATGAAATTCTGAAAACTTACGAAGCCAAGATATACATTCTGGAACCAATTTCGAATGTTGACATTTTCGGCTAGATAGAAATTAAATAATCAAAACATTGCGAGAGATTTAGAATAGTAAACTTGCCTGACATTTTCGTTCGCGCGGTAGATCAAAAAAAAATGTGGGACACGTTCAAGAAACCAAATGTTTTCTTATCATTTTTTCTTGACATTTTCAAAATTTTCTTTATAAAAAGCCCTGCAAACATGGAAATGTTATCAGTAAGTGTGATTATATGTGTAATTCTATAATACCTGTGATTTTTTTGCTTTTTGGTCTTGTTTTATGCCATGTTGGTCCACCAATTATTAGAGGAAGGCCTAGAGGTGGATTTTTGGCATCCGATCCAGCAGAAGGGCCAGTAACTGAGGACCAATATATGGTTTATTCGGAAATTGTGCAAAAAGTGGATCATTTCAATGACTCGAATACAGCTACTTGGAAACAGGTTGGAACAATTTATAAAAATTATTTTGAAATAACGTTTTCAGAGATATCAATACAACTCGAAATTCTACAACAATCAAACCGGTTACGTTTTTCTGATGTTAGGTGGAGAAGGTTCAATAAATGTGACAAATGGGGATAAATGGGTGAGACATGAAAATGAAACAATGATGAAGTGGGTTGCCGAATTTCAAACCGCCGCTTTTCAAGTCGAACATCGTTTTTATGGAAGTAGCCAATATTCCCCAATTGGGTCAGTTTTTTAGTCATTCGATTTTTGAAATATCTATATGAGCTCTAGAGATCAAACAACTTCGAGTCTTCAATTATTAACAATCGATCAAGCATTAGCAGATATTAATGAGTTCATTAATCAGATGAATGCTTTATATTTTCCAAATGATCAACCGATTTGGATTACTTTTGGAGGATCTTATCCGGGAAGTTTGAGCGCTTGGTTTAGGGAAACTTATCCACAACAGACTGCTGGAGCGGTTTCTTCTTCTTCAGCTGTTCATGTATTTGTTGATTATTATGGTAAGGACTCTAGACTCTTTCTGTCAACTAACTTCTTATTTCCTTTAGGCTACGCCATAAACACCGAGAAAACCTATAGAGCAGTCAGTGATAGTTGCGCTAATGTAATCGGAGTCGCTTTCCAAAACCTCATTCAAACAGCCTATAATGGCGCAACTTCTCGTGCTGCCTTGAAAACCCAATTTAATCTATGCGACGATTTTGACGAATCCAATGTTTCAAAATCGGTTCAATTCTTCTTCCAAAATTTATATGGGTATTTCCAGGGAATCAATCAATACACTGGAGATAATCGGGTAATTTTAATCATAGAGAAAAGGTTCTTAATAGGAATAATGGATTTCTTTAGAATAACGCCACACGGAGTGGTTTGGGAGTTCCTGCAGCATGTCAAATTTTGAACAACGCAACTATCGGAGATGAAATTCAACGAGTTATTGGAGTTGTGAGTTTCAGAATTTAAAGCTTCTCTTTATAGAAACAATAATTCGTTTTCAGTTAAGCCTATATGATTCCTGGTATTCACCAAGTGATTCTGGATGTCGTCCGAATAACTACACCGCTTTTATTCAAACATATGCAGACACTTCAATGCCAAACGATGACGTTAGTAAGTGACGTTTTACTGTATTAAAAAAAACTCAAGACTTATTTAATATTTTCAGTCAGCACAAGAAGTTGGATTTGGCAAACTTGCACAGAACTCGGTTACTATCAAACTACTGATGGTGGAAATTCCGGAATATTTGGATCGACAGTTCCACTTGAGTGAGTTCCTCTAACCTCTCTGAAACTTTAACTCTGTCTATTTTCAGTTTTTTCGCTGATCAATGTATTGCTCTTTTTGGTCCCGAATACACACTCGATAAAACATTCGAGTTAATTGACGCAGTTCGCGAAAAATACGGTGGCGCTAAAAACTAACGTGGAACCAATGTTTGCTTCCCAAATGGCTCTTTTGATCCATGGCAAGATTTAGGTCACAAAATCCCGAATGACGAAAATGACGTGGATTCTTGGTTAATTAATGGAACTGCACATTGTGCTGATATGTATCCAGCTAGAGATTCTGATTCGCAAAGTTTAAAAGATGCTAGACTTCGAATTCATGCTCATTTAAAAACTTGGTTGGATAACGCCCAGAAACTTCGAACAAATTCATCGTTCAGCAGCATTTTGTCGAATATTTCAATGTTTTTATTAATCGCTGTTTGGAATTTACTTTAAGTTGAAAAACCATTAAAAGTTTTGTAAAATTATTTTCAAAAAAAAAATGAAAACTACATAATTTATGAAAAATTACCCATTTGCAAAATACAGAGATCATTCAATTCAACGAGACTAAAATTACAGAAATACTTCGTTATTACTCATGTTAAGCAGATACGGTTTGCGATTGAAGCGACGCAATTGTTGCATCTCGTTGTGCCAATTCCCGACGCAATTGTTCATTTTCGATTCGAAGTCGAGTTATTTCATCTTCCCAGTTTGAAACGCCCATTTCCTATAGAAATTCATTTGGGTTTTATTTTTTAAAAATATGAAGACAGCTCACATTTACAAGTTTATTCAATCGCTGAAGTTGTGTCTTGATATCTTCAACTTCACAAAGACCAGCATCAATTTGACGAGTCAGATTAATATTTGGACTTCTGGGGTTTTCAGCGCGGTTCGGGGTGTTTCTTCTGAAAAAACATTATCAATTTTGCTGAAAATATAGTTCGTTCAGAAATTTGTCACAGAATTATTTTGCACTGAACATGTTAAAAATTTCACCCTGTAATTTCAGGGTTTGGATGTGATATGGCTGAAAGCGAATTTTTGCGCCAAGATCCACCAAAAAATGACCTCACCTCAAAAACGAAGTAAATATAGGAGATATGAGGCAATCAATCATTTTGTATATGTTTTATTTATTATTACAAAATATACACAGTGTTTGTATGAATTGACAGGAAAAAAGAAAACGAAAACACAAAATTGCGTTGTCTGCGTCTCTATTTACCCTTGATATCTCTAGACTTACGTTATTTCATTCATTGCGGCCATCGAACTTCGATCAATTGAGATGATACTTTCGGATATGAAATTGTTGACTTGAGAAGTTGGCGGAAGTTGAGAAGCAGCAAAAGTTGTTGAGATACAATCGATTGATGAAGAGTGTGAAAATGTGTCACCGACTAACATAGGCTGGTCCCTAGAAATTTTGAGAATTTTTAGGTCAGAAAAAAGATGAAGTAAAGTTTCAGAGGTTACACGAGAAGTTAACGCTTTCATTTTTACTTGAAATGATCCGAGTTCATGGGCCAAAAACTGATGGAAAAGTTGAACTTCAAAAACTTAAATCCACAAAATTTCAGGTTTTTTTTAAATAAATTGTTCAACCCGTATATTCAACCCGTATATGTGCAGGGAATAGTAACATTTTCAAAATCGAGTAGTGAAAAAAAAGTAAAAACAGAAGAAGTATTGCGGAAATTCGATAAACTGGGAAAGATGCTCATCTATGGTGGACAAGAGAAGAATCCAATAAACTTTTCTCTTTCTTTTTTCCCCTTTTTCGCTCCACCCTAAGCCTATTCTTTTTTATTTCTCAAGAGCCCCAACAGCTGGTCCTTTAGCTCTCCTAATTTAAAAACGGAAAACATCGTAGGAAAATGGAAAATAATGAGGTTTTTCTTCAGAAGTTTTGAAAAAAAGGAAACTTACATAATATCATCGTCGATCAATCCGGTGTCATTTGCAGGAGCTGTCGAATTTTGATGATGAATTTCTGAGAAAAAATTAATTAAAATATGATGAGTAAGGAAAATTAGATATATAAATGAGATATATCATGGCAAAATGCTAAATTTTGACACGTGGAATTGAAATGGTAAACATTCAAGTAGGGAAAAAGGTCATTCGAGTCCCTCCCAAAATTTGCCACGTCATAACTCCAGGCCCTCCCAACTCACGATGTTCCAACGAATTTGCATTTCCATCCAAACCTTCTTCAACAATCGTCTCCGAAAACCGTTTCACACCTTGTCTCGGACTTTTTTCACTCCATCTCTCAAAAGTGATCGGCAAATTCTCGACCAATGGCGAATTCGCCACAACTGATGATTCGCCTTCAGCCAATGGTGCAACTTTTTCCGAAACATGTTGTCGACCAGTGGTTGTTGTTTTGACATAAGCATGATGCACTTTTTTATCCTACAAAAAAATATTGTATTTTACCCCAGGAAAAATTGAGAGTACGTTTTTGTCTTACCTTCCGATCTTTTCGCAAAAACGACGGTGTCAACATTTTTCCAGCATTTCGAAGCGACCTAAGAATGCTGAATATGCAACATGTTTCACAAAAAACACTACATCAATAGATTTATAAATAAATCTTCTGGGGGACTCTAAGTAAAACTCACTTTGATGCAATTTTTCCTTTTTTCGATTGATGTTTTGTCTGAGTTTCTGGACGAAGTTCCACGATGTGCATGGGGTTTTGAACTGGAGCAGCAGGTACCGCAGATGAAGACGAGGTGAGCGAACTCATGATTGGAAGTTGGGTGGGTTTTCGAGAACTAGAAGATCCCGAGGATGCCGATGATGAAGTTGAGGTGGATTTTGGGATGAGTTGAACCATTGGTGGTGGACTTGGAGCTGTGAACTTTGGTTCAGGTCTTCCTCTAGATGCCTCAGATCTTGATAAAGCCAATGATTCTGGTTCCTCCTCAATTGGTGAATTAATCAATCCTAATCCATCAATCCTTCTAGATAGAATAGGTTCCTCCTCCATAGTTGGTGTTAGATTCGTATCCATTGGAATCTCTTCTTCCGGTGAGGTCAGATCTCCAGAAAGTGTAGATTTTCTCTCCGCATTATCAGAATGACTAGTCTCCCTGGGCGATCTTCGACCATTGGCTCCAGCTCCCAAAACAAACAAATGTCTCGGCTCAGGTTCAGGCTCATTGAAAACTTTTCTCGAAGTGACTGGAGTTGTGGCAGTTATTGAGTAGAAATTCGCAGGTGGATTTGATTGATAAGAAGCAGCTATCGATTCACAATTAGTTTTCTCATCATCTGCATAATCATAATTATCTCTCTCTTCAGATTTCTTATTAACAATCGAAAATGTTTGATATTTTCTCATCATAACAGGTGTTGTTGTTGATAAAATATATTTTTGTGCAGATTCAGGTTTCCGCTCATCCAAACTTTTCTGCCTTTTTTCCGATGATTCATGTGATTTTCTTTCGCGACTTCGACCCCGGAATAATTCGAATTGCAGCCTTTTCAAATAACTGCTCTTTTTCGAATCACAACTTTCACTTCGTTTCACAGTATTTCGTTGAATCACAGGTTCAGCACTCATTGAAGTTGGAAGAGTTCCTTGTTTCTTTGGTTCAACAATGAATGTTTGATATTTTCTCATTGTATTAGGAGTGGTAGTTGTCAATATATATTTATCCGTCGGTGGTTTATCATATTCTTCCCATTCTCTTTGTTTCCTATCCTTATTTTCTTGCCTCCTTCGCCTTTCCGCCGGTGGTCCAACAGTTGCAATTGGCTCTGTTAACTCTCCCTCCTCGATATATGGATAATCCGGACTTCTGGGCCGATCTCCAACCGTGAAAGTGTGATGTCTACGAAGCGCTTCGGGTGTTTTCATAATCATCACAAACTTTTTTGGTTGATTCTCAGATTCAAAGTTGATTTCTGGTTTTTTGACTCGTTCGATTGATGTATCTCTCCGAAGTTTTGCAACTTTTTCGAGATTCTTTGTTTCGCTATTTGTGGTTTGATGATTTCTAACAACTTCTTCATCAAATGACTGAGTTCTCTGACCAACAATCAGAGTCCGATGTTTTCTTAAAGCTTCCGGGGTTTTCATTAACATCACATATTTGGTTTCAGGGACTTCTTCAGGGATTTCTCGTTCCTTCGATTTATCTCGCTTTAGTTTGACAACTTTCTCAAGATTCTCTGTTGCTGGCTCCTCTTCAACCTCTTCCTTTGCTCCAACAATCAAAGTTCGATGTTTTCTCAAAGCTTCCGGTGTTTTCATAAGCATAACATATTTAGTTTCCGGAACAATTTCTTCAATCGATCTTTCTTTCGAAGTATCCCGTTTCAATTTGACAACCTTTTCCAAGTTCTGAGTTTCGGATTGCTCTTCTCGTTCTTCTTTCGGTCCAACAATTAGAGTTCGATGTTTTCTCAAGGCTTCTGGGGTTTTCATAACCATAACATACTTGGTTTCCGGAACTGGTTCCTCCACTGATCTTTCCCTTGATGTATCCCGTTTTAGTCTGACAACCTTCTCCAAGTTTTCAGTTGTTGGCTCTTCTTCGACACTTTCTCTCATTCCAATTGTCAATGTTCGATGTTTTCTCAAAGCCTCCGGTGTTTTTACAACCATCACATATCTTTCGGGTGAAATAAATCGCTCCGGTTCAGATTTTTGTTTGACCAGGGATCCTTTTTTGGGCTTCACTTCACAATCTGATTTTGAATGTGAGATTCGAGTTTCCGGATTTGGCTTTTCACGATCAGCAATTGTGAATGTATGATGTCGTCGAAGTGCTTCAGGTGTTTTCACAGTTAGGATGAATTTCGTTTCGTTTTCTTTCTCAATTTTTGGGATTTCCTGAACCATGGTAAACTTTTCCGGAGAAGCTTCTCGTTTTTCGAAAAGATGTTGAACAACAACATCAGGTCTCGCAATTTCTTCCTGAATCACCACAATTTTCTCAACTACTTCATCAGTTTTGTTCTTCGAAGGATTTCCATTATTATCAAAATGAATATCCGGACTTGCACTTCGTTTTTGTCCTGGATATTGTTCATCGAATTGACGAGTTACGACAAGTACATCTTCTTCCAATTTCACACAGAACTCTTCTTTTGGCGCTCGAATTATTTCGGCGATTTCGGATTTTGGAACTAGGCCAGATTCGGAGATTTCTTCGATTTTGTCGTTGTGAAGTGGAGTAGGATCTTGTGGAATCGAGACCTGCAAAAACATGGCAATTTTTAGATATGAATTTGAGTTGAACAAAAAACCCTTGGATTTCAAAAATACTGAAAGCTATGAAAATGTCGATTCAGAAAAGGTTCAAGGAACAACAAATTTCTGATCCAAAAATTCAGAGTCTCACTAAAAACTACTATATTTCAAAGAAATATGAGCTATAACGTGGCAAAAACATACCTTTGAAGTGGAAGGCTGTGAAACATCCATCGACGACGATTTGATAACCCGATTCGCGTTTTGATCGATTCGTTTAGCAACAGTTTTCGGCTGTCGGATTCTGGAAAAATGAGCGGAAAAATATTTGAAGAAAAAAAGACGAAGAAGAAGAAGAATACCGACGGGTATTAAAATGACACGAATGAATACATCATGATGGATTATTATTATTCTTTTTGAGAGAAAAATGAGCTAGGAAAGGACAACGAAAAAATTGTTTTGCTTATTTTTTTGTTTTCTCAAAAACGAAAATGAGGAAATGGGGAACTTTTTTCTGGAAAAAAGTGCACCCACAAAAAAATGGAATTTGTTTGAGACCAAAAATCAATGTGGCTAAGTAAAGGAGAGTTTTGCGACGCGGATTTCCGATAAAAAATTTTATATAATGCCACGTGGCTTTTTGAATTTAAATCATCTGTTTTCGTTAATTTTTTTCATTGAAAAAAATTCCGAATTTTTTAAAACATGGATTTCACTTTGAAATTAAAATATTTAAACCAAAAATCCACATGAAAAAATTAGAAATTTGCGCTTAAAACCCATGTTGGAAAATCTCACCATGTAGATTTTCTAATAAAATGCCCAGACTCACCCAGAAAAACTCTGACTTGTTTTAATCGAACTTTTCGAAGAAGAAGACGAAGTCGAACTTCGGCCAATATTCGTAATTCGACTGAATTTGCTTTTCACACTGTGTGCCACATTCATTAGCGGACTTCTTGGTGTTTTTTGAGACGATGCATTTGAGGACATTTTTTCGACTAAAGTGCACGGAATTTGACGAATTTGCTGAAAAAACGGAGCACTTTTTGGGGGGAAATTGAGGAAAATTGAGAGAAAGAACTTTTTTAGGGGAAGGAGGAGGAATTGAATTTGGAACACAGAAATGTAATATGAGCAATGGTATTATAGGTGTGTAAGTAAACAAGTATGGAAAAATAGCAAATTCTGGAATTGACAGATTCTGTGTATTGGAAAACAAGTTTGGAATAATTTCATATATTTTTTTAGAAATGGTTCATTTATACTCAAAAAAATCAAATTTATCCCTACAAAACCTAAAAACGAACTTTTTCACAAAAAAAAAACAATTAGATTACTCGTTTTCTTTACTAAAAACCTCAAGTTTTTCTTTTCTTTTCAAAATTTACACAAAAGAAAAGCACGAAAGAAAAATAAAAAGTGTCGCCTGCTTTCCAACAAAAATCCTGAAGCTAAACATAAAATTGAATGGTCCCTGGAGAGGTTTTTTGAGCTCTCGCGCGCGCGACACTTTTTGTTTTATTTTTATTTTTGTTCAGGATTTTGCTTGAAAAAAAGAGAAACACGGAAAAGAAAAGTGATTGATGAACATTTTTTGGACACAGATTTTTGATACTTTTAAATTTGAATTTTTACAAAATCCATAGTAATTTCAGAGAGGGAAATCGAGACTGAAAAACTTCAATTTTGAAAATTGAAATCATTTACAAAATTTAAAACAATTTAATTTTTTTCAATCTGAAAAAAACGTGATCTCTTTCATCTCAAAAAACCACATTTCTATTTTTTAAATTCATTTTTAATTCATTATTTCCTGAAAATGTCCCAAAGCCTGAAAAATTCGCCAAAAAATCGAAAAATCTACAAAATTCAAAATGAGCCAAATGAGCCAGATTGTCAGCTGAATATTGAGCCAAAAGAGATAAGTTTTCGATGTTTTTGGCCGAATCCAGCGTATTCTGGATTGAGAATTATAAATGAGTTAGGCAAAAGACAGTGTGTCAAAATCAAATCGACAAATAATAAAATGTTTCGAATTCAGCCGACTTATGCTTTCTTGGAGGTTGGTTTTAGGAGTAAAAAGAGAGAAACTTAACTGTAAAACCGAATTCTAAAGTCCAAATGCAAAAACTAATAATTTCGTTAAAATTTTCAGCCCTCTCAAAAAATCTACATAAAAATAACAATAAACGACACATCAGTACAACTTTTACAATATTATCATTATATTGCAATTTTCCATGTGGAAAGTGAAGCAAAATCTCACTTGGAGGTAATTTTAATTAATTAATTGATAAACTATTAATAAACAAAATAATTTCAGGCTTTTCCGAAAGAAAATGCAAAATTTGATGGAGTTCTTCGAATTCCAATAAGTTTCGAAAAACATGGCGGATTTGATGAGAATTAATCCTAAAATTAAAAGACTCGAATAAAAATTATTCCAAAAATCAGTTTTAACAAAAAGACGAGCATGGTTTTAAACCTAATCCTGATCCTTGGCGAAACGCCTAACTAAGCAAAATCTTAAAAAAATTAACTCTGACACAGAAAAGAGCCAAATTTTGCTAGAATAATTTGTGTGTTTGGAGCCCGAATCAATAAAGGCATGTCTTTGCACAATTAATCATTTTTTTCGTGTTTGGTGGAATTTTTTTTGAGAAAAAAGGGAGAGTGAAATTTGGAATTAGTATAGGGAGGAAAATGGAGGATGAGAGAGGTTTTTATATTTTTTGAGCAAACAGTAATCTATGACGTGGAAATCATAATGAAGTTTTGAATCTGAAGACTTTTGGAAAGATCAGAAATTCAGCTGTTGAATTTTCAAAAAAAAGTCTGACTCGAGATTTCTTCAAAAATTTCTCAAAAATCAAACTCACGTTCGAATTTGAGTCCAAAACATCCGTCACATTTCGATTTTCAATAATCAAGTCATCAATTGGTTGAGGTGTTTGAACTTTCTGAAAAAAAACGTTTTTAATTCCAATTTAAACTTTCGAGACCAGGATTTCACAGTGAGATCAAAAAATGCCCAAAATTCAAAAGCTTACCTTTTCACTAATTTTCGACGCATGACTCATAATCGATTCATTACTTTTACTTTCCGGAATTGGTGGACATGCTCGATTCAAAGGCGGCCTTCGTCGAACACCAGTGAATAGTTTATTTGGTGGTTTATTTGAAGAAGGTGATGGTGGTGGACGATTTGATGGAATTACCATCAAAGTTGTATGCGTTCGAGGATACGGGTAAGAACCCGATGAAGATGAACGGATTATTGATTTGTTTCTGGAAAAATAAGAAATTTAGAAGGTAGAGAAAGAGAGAGATATAAATTGTATTTTCATCTGGGCACGTGGAATTTCCTTTGTGGAGGTGTTGTCACTTTTTTTTAACTTTCAAAAATGTTCATTTTATGGACCAGTTTTCCCAAAGATTAAATTCTGAATAGCCCTCTGAAAGTTCACCCTAAGATGAAATTGATTCAGCAAATTCTGATTGAATATTTGAATTTCTAGGAACATCTCAAATTTCAGAAAAACTTTTCAAATCTGATTTTTTCCCAAAATTCAAAATTCACAATTCATTTTTTTTCAATAAAAAACCAACCTCGGTGATTCCATGTTCATCCAAAAAAGAAAATAAATAAAATAAAATAACCTTTTCCTTCTCTTTTTTTCAAAAAATTCACAAAAAATATGGGTAGGCTTATAAATGTTAGTGATGGATTAAAAAAGATGGAAAAAATTGTCTTTTTCTCAATTTTTTGCTGAGTTGAGTTGAGTTGAGTGAAAAATAGAAATAGAAATGAGCAAAAAATGAGCAAAAATAATAATTTTTCGCTATAGAAAACTTTTTTCTCCTCTTCGTTTTTATGTTTATATATATTTTTTGCTTAGCTGAAAATGGGACGTTGGCCGGGTAACCGGAAAAAGGAAAAGCAGAAAAAAGGAGAAAAATGAGGATATAAAGATATATGTAGTGGCTTTTGTTGAGGCAAAAAAAACATCGTATAGCTAATAAATTTCGATTTTTAGAGAAAAATATATGTACTGTGACTAAAATGGAACAAAATCTACATATTTTTTTTACTTGGGGGCCAGAGAGTCTAGATTTTAAGTTGTTGCAATTTATACACACGTTTTTCCCATGCAATGAAGAGTCATGGTAAGCAGTGACAACGGTGTTTGCGGACATGTGTTTGCACACATTTTGTTCTCACACATCTCTAGCACTCTCTCGTTTGCCGCGCTCTCTATTTTTCATTTTGAAAAAAAAAAGAGGTACGGTATCAAAGGCGCATGTGTTTTTAATTTCGATTGGTCTCGCAGCGGAGGCTAACTTTCTTCCCAGGACCCCTAAAAATTCCAAACAAAGTCATTCGCACAGATCTCGATACGCTGATTTTCGCTATGTTTTTTGTTTTTGATGAAGTGGGGGTAATTACACCGCTAGGCGTTGCACCGTTTTTGTCGGATGCGCGATGAAAATTGCACAACTTTCTTCTTTTTCAAACGTGTGTGTATATAGCAGAATTTTTTGTTTAAAATTTGTTTTGAGCTTTTTTTGAATTTTCAATTTTTGGTGAAACGTGGAAAAATTCAAGTGTTAATTTAAATGAAAGCTAAATTTATTATGAGTTGAAATTCAGAACCCAAAAGTACACGTGGAAAATTCAGAGTAAATTTTTAGCGCCAGAAATTCCTAGTTTCAAAATCAGAACTCAATTTTTTTTTGTTGAAAACAAAGTTTGTATCACTAATAAACCAACCTTCTCCATGACAAAAAAAGCGTCGAAATCACCTCCATTTTTAATATTTTATAGTCGAGATATGTCTATATTTTCACCCATAATTTTCTTTTTTTCACTGAAAAAATCGATAACTTTTTAGTTATGAAAAATATAGATAGATATAAAATAAATAATAAATTTGTAGGAGAGAAAAAAAAAAAGAAAACGAAGTGTGAAAAAATGGCCAGCAAAAGGATCTTATTTCATATTCAGTGCGCGCGCGAAAATTTATGTATTTTTCTGGAAAAATTTTTCGGGAAAGAAAATTTGAGATTTTCGACTGAAAACAGGTGAAAATTGGAAGATTTTCAAGTGTTTTCTCGTTTTTCTCACATTCAGAATACCAATGAGTAAAGCAGAAAAAGCACGAAAAAATGCATAAAAATTGTAATAAATCTCGAAAATCCACCTTTTTCCCATTTTTTCATCGCGTCGCCAATTTTTGCTGAAGAAAATTAGAATCGAATTTTCTGGCGGAAAAATGGATTTGGGTGGCCTAGAAAGTCAAAAACATAATCTGTAGTTTCAGAATTCTTCCGTGGTCTAGAATCCCGAAACCTTTCTTTGTGTCCTAGAACCTCAGAAATGTGAAAATTCAGTAAAACGTCTAATTTAAATTAAAAAAAATCATCTTCCTTCATTTTTTGCGCGTCCCTTTTCACTATTTTTCCTGCCCAAAATTAGCATTTTCTTGCAATTTTTCCTCGAAAATTCAACAATTAGTTGTCTATTCAAATTTGTGACAGGAAATGCACTTGAGCGCAAAAATGTATGTGTGTCGCTTTTTGCGAACACTTTTTGAATGAAGAAAAAATGAAGAAAATGTAGAATTTTTCAGAAATGGGGAAGAACTTGAGAAAATCATTATAATTCCTATTTTCATAAAAGAGCAATTTCGCAACAATTTTTTTCTGAAAATTTCGAAACTAGAAATCCTAAACAAATCCCCAAAATTTTCCAAAATCTAGACCAGAAAATATGAAAACCAGAAAAAAATTCCAGAGCTAAACAAAGCCAAAAAAAATGTATCATATGTATAAAAAAGGTAAAAAGGAGCAAAAAGGGGAAGACAAAATCCATAATCCAAACAATAGGACTACTTTTTCGCTCTAGTTAGAGAAAATCATAAAATATGTACATAAAAAAATTAGGCGAACTCAACTCTAATCCTAGAAAAAGCTCTCAACTTTTTCCAAAACTTGACGTTCTTTTTTTCCCAACAAAAAAAAATTCCCCAATGACTCCTAAAGGAAGTGACAACGACCCTCCACAATTTACACCCTCCCAAAAATTTTGAACTTTCCCCGCAAAAAAATTGACCTACCTCGACATCACATTTTTTGGCGGCACAGTGTAGACATGATTTTTCGGCTGAAAAAAATGGTTTTTGTTGAAAATTTTTGAGAAAAAAATTAAATTGAAAAGTGAAAAAAATGTGTAATTCGATACTTTTTTCAGTCTCCAGGGTATTATAGTTTTGAAAGAGGGAGGAAAGGGAAGTTATTTGAATTTGGAGATGTTAAAGGCTTTTTTCGCTTTGAAGATGGGTGGGAATATTTCGGAACTTTTTTTGGAGCTATAAAATTTGAGAAGAAGCAAAAAAGATTTTATGAGTTCCGGAGATAGTGCAAGTTTGTTTCTGAAGCCTCTAGGCTTCAGTGGTTAGGATTGAACTTTATAAACATCACTTAAGTCTTACTCAAAAAATAGGATTAGGTAGATAGAGCTTATCCAAAACCTATGATTCACAATTGACAACTATTCTGATGAAAAGATTTTTAGGATTTTTCAGGGTCATGAAACCCCATGATTACTTTAAATAATTTGAAAAAAAAATTTTCATAATTTCTTTTAAAATTCGAAAAAAGTGTCTTCAAATTTCGAATTCCAAAAGTTTCCTGTAAAACTTCTAAGTTCTTCAAAAATTCTTTTAAATCAAATCTAAGCTGAAATTTTCATCTAATATTTTTCAAGTTCTGACCTTTTTCTCGAAGCTTCTGAGATGTTCTAAAACAAATTCAACTCTACCCCTACATTTCTAGGCTCAAAGTTCCAGAAGTGAGAAAAGGTTGCACGTCAACCTCAAAACGGGACGCGCGAGAAACTTGCTAACTAAATGTCAAAAAAAATGTCGTCAGTCCATAAATCTTTTCTCCTGCTCCAGCTCCTCCTCCTATTTCTCCCCTTTTCATGCTCCTAACAACTAAAAAAGGCACACAACACGGGGTGAGAAAAGTAGAAAACGAATATATAAAAATAAGAAGAAGAAGAAAAAGGAGAAGAAAAAGAGGAAAGCTTTTTTTCCTCTTTTCTTCAGCTTCTCCTTATTCAACAACACATAAAAGATTTTTCGAGCACAAATGATGACAAGTATTTAGCCTAACTCTTACTCTAAGCCTAGATTATTTCTGAACAAAATGTAATATAAAAATATATATATGAAATTTTAATTAATTAGGATTTTGCGACATGTGAACCGGATTTTTTCGGAAAGATTTTTCTGCAGATTTTTTTTTGAGGTTTGAGGTACTTAAAATTTTCAGCTCCACCCATGAAAAAATATGTGGTTTCCAGAAGTATTAGACAAAAATTTCAAGATTTCAGATAAATGTTCAGTTCTGGAAATTTCAGATTTCAAAAATTAAAAGTCGAGGATTAAAACAATTTGCCTGTACTCTCAACAAAAATCCTTAGTAACCAAAAAAATTTATATAAATTTCCCACATATTTCGATTCCTAGAGAAAGAACCAAAAAATAAATGCACAAAAAATAAATAAACAAACAGCAAAACAAAACGAGTTAATAGGATTGCTTGAAAATAGTCAAGAAAAGATGTTTTTCAGAGATTTCCTCAATTGTTTTCTATTTTTGTGCCTGTTAGGGTTTTTGTACTAACTAACTAGAATTGAATGAGCAAAAATCTATAATAGTAATAAAAATAATAAGCTGCTCTCGACAAAATCCTCAACAAAAAAAGAAAAGCGCATATTATTAAAAAATATGAATATATGGGGTTTATTAGAAAAAATGTGGGCGGGGAAAATTCGAGGAACCAGAATTTGCAGTATAAATTTTCTAGTCCCCTTGTTTATTGAAACCGGAGAAATCGAAATCTCAAAATTTAACAATGAAAAATTGAAACATCAGTTTAAGACTACTGTAGATTTTCCACTACAAAATTTCAGTCTCAAAAAAATTGAATTTCTAATGAAAAAAAAAACAATTACAGTAACAGTCATGAAACCCTTCTGAAAAATAATTTTTCCCTAGATTTTCAGAACTCAAAAATCACAGAAACTTGAAAAATTCAATCAAAAATCAAAAGTATTTTGAGAAAATTCCAAAAGTTCAATTTGTAATCTTAAAAATCACAGAAGAACTCGTACTAACTCAAAAGAAAAAAAAGAGTAAAAGCGAAAGAAGAAAACAAATCAGGAGTAGCACCTACCTTGAAGTAATTAGCATGAGCCAATTCATTGCCTTCTCCGCTTTTTCCGCCTCGAAAACGCATTTTGTGTCGATAAGTATCAAAAAAGGTGAAGAGACGAAGTGGAGGAGTGGAAAATGAGCAAAGGTAGGGATTTGTTATGCAACTGAAAGAAAACAAATTTTCATGAGGAAAAGGGAAAAAGGAAAAGGGAATTTAAAATTTATATGAAAACGAAAATTGACCAGTGTTTTTGACAGGCTTGGTTAGAGGACTTTTTAGAATGTAAAAATGATTTAAAATTTGAAAATTTGGGGAAAATGCAGGACACTAGGTTTAGAATTTCGAAAATTCTAGTCCTGGGGGTATTTTGAGGCGCGAAAATTTGAGATTACAATTTTTCCACATGAAAATGCTGTTTTCGACAGGCTTGGCTAGCAAACTCAAAAGTAAAACTGATTTTGGTGCGCAAAAAAAGAAGTGAAGATGTGTGTGTAATTCAATCTAAAATAGGCATTTTTGCCGGAGAAGAGGAAAAGTTGTCGCCTTCTCATTTATTGGTGGAAGAAGAAGAAGAAAAAGAAAAATCGAGGAAGAAGTGAATTATTTCGAATTATGTTTTATATATTATTATTATTGTCCGGGGAATTACGACGCATTTTTACGCTGATTTGAAGAATTTCATGAGGTTTTGAGTAAGTGAGCAAGAAGGAGCAAAAAGGGAAAAGAGGAGATATAATTGAGTGGAATTAATGATGAGGAAAGCGAAAGAGTGTTGATGAACTGATGGGGTGAAAAAAATAATTATTAGGATGTGGTAAAGTTTATAGGCTGCAGCCATCCAAAAAACTACACTCTTGAAGAGACAAAAAAGACACTATACAAAACTTTTCAGAAGTAACACTGTGGTAGATCAAAAACCCCGTAAATTTTCATGAGTAGATCAAAAAACATTATAAGTTTGAAACTAACGAAAAATTTAAAAAATTCACATGTACACCTTATACAAATGTGCTTCTATAAACTACTAGAAATTCAAAGTTTCAGAGAAAATTCTAGAATAAAGATTTCAGGATTTGCATACTGTATGCCTGTCTTTACTCAAGTTTAAATCTTTCAAGTAAAAAAAAATCAATAGTCCGATTCCTTATGGAAAGTCTAAATTTCCACACGTCATTGTCTCTGTTTTTTTTTGTTTTCGATCGAATTCTTAATTTGTGCACATATTTATCTCTTATTCTATGTATCAAAAAAAAGCTCGCACTAAAAACAATATGACTTTTTTTCCAAACCTATAAATATTTTCAGAAAATCCTCATTTGGGTGTGGTTCAGACTGTTTATTTGTTTTTTATTTAAAAAAGATCTCCTTGACCTCAAGTTCACTTTCTTTCTATTTTTATTTTCGAAATCATGCTGACGTCATCGATATTCAAACAAAATCTTTTTTTTTCTTTTTGATGTGTCATTATTAGCAAAAACCAGAACCAGATTGTTAATGTGAAAATGAAAATGCTTTTTATTTAGCAAAAGCTTTACACTTTTCTCGACATTCTTTCACAAAAGTTTTCTTTGTTTTTTGTTGGTGTTCGGTTACATTTCTCAAAAATAAAATCAAAAATAATCTGTTTTTTTTCTAGAAAAATCGGATAAATTTGTCATTTTTAAACACAGAAGCTATAAATTTTCTGAAAAAATTCCACAAATTCTTTTCATGACTCAATTCCAATATGTGTGTTTTTCCTCCCACCAAAAATAGTCAAATATTAACCCGTTATCAATATGAAAAATTGTTTCGCGAAACCGCAAGGCGAGAGTCTAAAAATGTCAATATTTGTGCAAAACGTTTGCATTGTGCTAGGCTTTTTTGTATTTTCTTTAAAACTCGAGTCGAGAGCTTCTCAATGATTCATTTTTGACCATTTTGAGACGAATTTAATTGTATAAAACTGGTTTTTTCTGTGTTTATTGAATCGTGGGAATTTTGTCGAATTATATAAGACAGATTTCGGTGTTGTTTAATGTTTTAGAATTTTTTTATCGATTTTCTATTATTTTTGTCTATCTACTCCAGTCACAAATCTGGAATTCTTTCATTTTCCGAATAAAAAAATATATATCCCAGCTCTTTTTATTCTGAAACCCCACCCAGCGTCGCACTGCCTCCCCAAATCTACGTGTGTGTGGAAAAACGAAAAATGTCTGGCACGCTCTCACAAACACACACTCTCTCGCACACAACTTTTTACTTTTATTTCGCGAAAACAGTGCATATTAGGAGCTGATTTTTATGTTTTTTTCATCAGAACCACAATATGTGTTATACATAGTTCGAAAGAGAATTTCTTCGGCTACAAACACATATGAAATGTTATAAATGAAACCGAGATAAAAAAATAAAAATTTCATGCAAACATGACATGGTTTTTTTGAATTGTGTGAAAAACCCATGTGTTTTTTGATGACCTGGCTCATTTTTTTAATATCGAATATATGTATAATCGAGTCGTAGTTTTGTTCAGAATCTCAAGAGCTTTCAGATGGTATAAATCAATATTTATGAAATTGTGAAATCATGGAGGAGTAGGGATTTTTCGTTTGTCAATTTTTAAAACGAAATTTTCCTTTTCATTTGAAAGGAACTCGAATGAAGTTTACATACGTTTTGTAGAGAATTTCTCGGGCTTCAAAATCATATATATTTCTATACACAAAAATGAAAATTGAAAGCACCGCTTTCGGTTGAAAACTTGTTGGGTTTGCACCAAACAAACAAACCGCGTTCAGTAGCGTTGCGAAAAACAGCGGTGAGTTTTCAACCGAAAGCGGTGCTTTCAATTTCCATTTTTGTGTATAGAAATATATATGATTTTGAAGCCCGAGAAATTATCTTCAAAACGTATGTGAACTTCATTCGAGTTCCTTTCAAATGAAAATGAAAATTTCGTTTTAAAAATTCACAAACGAAAAATCCCTACTCCTCCATGATTTCACAATTTCATAAATATTGATTTATACCATCTGAAAGCCCTTGAGATTCTGAACAAAACTACGACTCGATTATACATATATTCGATATTAAAAAATGAGCCAGGTCATCAAAAAACACATGGGTTTTTCACACAATTCAAAAAAACCATGTCATGTTTGCATGAAATTTTTATTTTTTTATCTCGGTTTCATTTATAACATTTCATATGTGTTTGTAGCCGAAGAAATTCTCTTTCGAACTATGTATAACACATATTGTGGTTCTGATGAAAAACACATAAAAATCAGCTCCTAATATGCACTGTTTTCGCGAAATAAAAGTAAAAAGTTGTGTGCGAGAGAGTGTGTGTTTGCGAGAGCGTGCCAGACATTTTTCGTTTTTCCACACACACGTAGATTTGGGGAGGCAGTGCGTCGCTACAAATACTGTTTTTCTCCAATTTTCCTCTAATCCCAAAAATGTTTTTTCCTATATCACATTTTCCTTAACTCTACTTTTTCAGATGAGAATAAATCGTAAAAAACGAGCAGTAACTTCTCAAACCTATCAATTTAATTTGGACCCATCAGAAGAAGCTCAAGGGCTCACCGAAACTTTGAAAAATGTCAAAATTGGCTCAGAACTCATGTTCAAATGCACAATGAGTGAAAAAATGAGTAATTTACAATTGCGTTATCATCAAGAAGAAATTGGAGAGTTCAGTGGTGATTTCACAAAAACGTATACAATTCCAAAATATCAAAGAAATCAGGCTGGAATTTATGAGTGTACTGGAAAACGACCGGATGGAAAATATCATTTTCGAGCTGTGAGAGTTGTTTCAGAAAGAGATGTGAGTTTTTAATAGGGTCGTAACAATTGTTGTTATCAGTTAGTTGAAGAAAAATGTTTGATGGACGTTCGTAATTGTTTCCGCGTTAAAGTACAAAAGTTTAAAAATAGTTTTTGGCTAACTTTTAATTATGACCTAATGATATTTGTGGAAAAAAATTGTAGTGTTCAAAATAATCATGGTCATTTGATAAACTCTGACATAATCAAATTTGCCACGTCAAACTTCCTATCTTAACTGAAAGTTTACAGAGGTGGGACTAATTATCAGAATGACACGTCATAACTATAAAGATTATAGTTTTATTTATTAGTGATCTGAGTGCAACCGGAGCATTAAAAATTGATCCACGAGAAAAAATGTTTCCACATAATGACAATAATTTTAAATTTCCAGAACAAAACCCAACTTCCAACCTGTACATCTCCTTCGGACGCAGAAATGTGCGGTTTGAACGGTCGATGTGTGATGGATAATAAATTCAAACTTTGCGAGTAAGTCCTACATACTCTTTTAAAAATTTAGAAAATTTAGAAATTTTATTTCAGATGTGACGACGGTTACATGGGTGAATTTTGCGAGAAAATCTGGATGACATCATTTGATGGTGAGCGCCAGTTAATTTCACGAATCCAACCCAGTGAGCAAATATTCTTGGCTAACAATTCTGTGATTGTGTCTAACCCTGTTTTGTTAAATTCCTTAACTAGGGGATGTTAGCTTCAAGGCATAACAGCCTCCTTGTTTAAAAATGTCCAAGTTTCTTGGCTTCGTTAAATTCTGATAAATATATATATATATATATTTATCAAAAGTTCGTAATTTCTTATCTACATTCGTACTGTTCGAAATAATATAGATTTTTCACGAAAAAATCAATAATCCGGGCATTTCTAAACAAACATCATCTTTTAATGAAAAGACGAAATAAAAAATAAATGATGAAGTTTTCAGTAAAAATGCTGCAAGTTGTCGGTGGAACTTTTACAATGTTGAATATTGTATGTATTCTCGTGGCCGTGATTCTTCTCTTGTTATATTTACGCGAAAAACAATCAAAGCGACGAGTTCGTCAGAAATTCGATGATTTTTGCAAAGCTATTGAAGATTGTGACAAAGAATATGAAGGTTAGCTTCAAATTAAGGAGATCTCGAATAGTCTTCAATATCTATATTTTTCAGAAGGTCTACGCATTGACATGGAACAGCAGAAAAAATCGAGTGGCTCATTTGCACGACAAAGTATGAAGAAAATGCGATTGGCTTATCAAAGAGCTAGATTGGATGAGACCGATCAGAATCCAAAACTTATCGGAAATTAAGAAGAGTGATTCATTTTCCAAATAAATACTAACTTTTAAAGTGCAACCTATAATATACCGATCTCGATAAATATTTTTCTTGAACAAAATTTGTTCAGTGTTCTTTTGTTTTTCGGAAAATCAAAGTGTGGGCTGGTCAGACAACCAATAAAATTGTGGGAATGAGAACAATTTCTTTTTGTGAAAAAAAAATTATGAAATTTCAAGAAAAAAGAAAGGTTTCTCAAATCGTACTTATTCGGGAATTTCGAATTATTGGGAATTTTTTTTTGACCTGAATCCCGTGAAGTTTCAATTTTCTAGAAAAAAAAGTTGAAATTAAATTCTAGAAATAAGAAAAACTTGAAAGTTAATGGTGGCTACTGAAATTGAGTTAATGTTAAAGTTCATGGCATCTTCAGAATAGGAACACCTTCTTGGAAAAATTATGCCCATTATTATACGAAAATTTCTCGAAATTAAATGCTGATCACAATTTTTATCACAAAAAACTGGAATACCTTTAACTGATTCTAACACCGATGCATATTGGTTGTTCGCGATCTTGGGCGCAAATGTGCTCAGGTGGGCAATCAGCAATCGAGTTGCAATATATAGGATCGAAGGAAAATGCCCAGCTTGAGGCGAGTAGGACGAGAAGAGAAACAATTGAGGCGATCCACATTTTTTTGTATGAAAAATGGAATTGAAGATGCTTTTTTATACGGAAAATTTAATTGATTCGATAATAAATGTTAATGCGGAAGTTTTTTGCAAAAAACAATGTTTGATTTCTGTTACAGTTCAGAGCTGGCAGACAGTTTTGCAAAGTGGACATCAAAAGTTTCTTATGTGTCTTTGGCTAATTTCAGATTATTGCTGAAGAATCGTACAGTAACCCCTTTTGATCATCCGGTGATTTGGAAAGCTTGTGAAACGTTTGAAGATGATACATTGTTTTTTAGGAAAAATATATTCAAAATTCTTCACTTTTTATGATCCCCTAAAAAATATATGTAAAAAGAGTCCAATTGTGGCGTAAAGAAGTGTTTGAAAGTAAGAACAGTGATATAATTGAGTTTCAAAACTTTATGGCCAAAGCTCTCGTCCTTCCTTTGAAGTTTTAGAAACTATATTACATAGTTTTTCATCAAGAAACAATGTTACGAAATCCGTTTCTCATTGATAAATATATATTTCAAAAACCATAAATAATATTAACCTTTTGAGTCTTAAAAAATTCCTCCTAAGGCTTCAAATCAAAAAAAATGTTGGTCAAACCAAAATTTTCAACACCAAGTCGTACATCTATTTTCTTTACACACTTTTCTTTCCAAAATGATCAAAAGTTCTCATATCTTTTTTGACCACCACTTTGCACGATATTTTCAATACAAAACAATGTGCGAACGGCAACAGGTGTGTGACAGAAAAGACCAGATCAATCGTTTATTTTTCAATTTTCACACCAAAATGTGTCAAAAAAAAGCCTATCCATAACCTTTTGCGCTCACTATATTTCAAAATCTCTAGAGGTTTTTTAATCGAAATATTTTTTCAATTGATTTTTGGTTTATGAATCATCATGACTTTAATTTTAGCCTTTGAAATAAAATAATAAATTATGATATTATTCAAAAAAAAACCTAATCAAACCCCGCCCATTTTTATAGTCTAGAAGGGGAAACACGATGTGTCACACATACATTCTTCCTCTTTCTCTTCCTTTCTTTTCAATAATTTGTGTATTTATTTATTTTTCGTGTGCTACTAAAAAGCGGGCAAGCGGAATATCGTTGTTTTACTTCATTTTTCAGCATTTTTTTCATTTTTATTTTAATGATTTATCAAATTTATAGATTATTTTTCAGCTAGAATGGAGCAAACTGGAAGAACAAATAAATTGAGCTATTCGCGCAGAGAATTAAAAGAAGATGCACCGTATGAAAACGAATGCCAATATATGTGCCTTTTTGAGAAGTTATTGAAAGAAAATATGTCGGATATTCAACTAGTCAGTGATGAAGAGTATGAAGAAGATTGTGAATTAATGGTTAGTTATGCGAATTGTGATTTTGAGAATTGATCTAAGTTGTTTCGCGTTTTTCAAATTTTTCTCAATTGTCATACTGAAAATCGAAATTCAAAACTATTTTACGGTCAGATTTTAGTAAATTCCTATTTATTGCGTTCCTTAATCAACATAGAATAGAATAAAACCAGGAAAAACAGGATATAGGTGCATTTTTTTCAGATAAATTTAATAAATAATCAGCTAAACTACAATAACGTTGTTTTTATAAAGAAGTGTTTGATTACAGAAACGTTGGAAATACCATTTATTTTTTTAGCATTCTAAAAACAATCCTGTAAATCAGGAATACACAATTTTTTGAAAACAAAACAAGATATCGAGTTGGGTTTCAAACTAATGACAAATATACTCTCTATTGACAACCAGCTATTAAAGAGTACATGTAATTATGCTCCCTACCCAAATACATTCTAATCTTTCCAAAATTGAAAATCAAAAACACTAGAATATGAGAATAATTTTCAGTGGAGCGAAATGGTTTGTCAAAAATGTCAAGTACATTTCGACACAACTCAACTATTCCTCGAACACATTTTATCATGCCAATTCACACGCAATGATATGTTTTGTTATGAAAAATATGGAATCGTCACAAAAGAAATCCAAGATGTTTTGAACGAAGCAAGTGAAGATCGCGCAAGTCGATCATATTTGTCGAAGTAACTTAAATCATTTACAGTTAACTTCGTATCAACAATAATTTTCAGATCACTTGCGAATGATGATGAGATTAAAATTATGATTCCAATGACTTCGCCACTCGCAACGTTTTTTCTTCGTGGAATAATGATCTATTTAGAAAGATTTCCGGCAGATAACAAAAGAGTTATTCGTGCAAAAATAGAACAAGAGGGAAAAGCATATACATTGTTTTTCACCGCAAAAATGATTCAAAAACAGTATGATGATTATGCTAAACACAAAGATAAACAACAGAAATTGAGGTAAATCCAAGCAATAAAGAGTGGCTGTCAGAACTAAAATTGTTTCAGAGTGCAACGCGAATTAACTCGAGCATGCCAAACTTTCAAACTATCGTGTCCAGATGTGGTTCTGCACAGTAAGCATAGACCAGCTGAAGTTACCAGAGATCTTGCAATAGCGTTAGGAATTTCAAGAAAAATAAAACTCACTCAAGAAGTGATTATGGCGGCGTTTGAGGAAAAATTTAAGAAAAATGAAGAGTAAGTCACAGAAAATTATTTACTATTTATTACCTATGATTTTTCAGATCATCTAAATCAACATCTCCTGTTGAAACACCAATTCTGCGAAATCACAAAAGCGACGAAAGTTCAGATACCTTGGATGATTCTGAAAATTCACCAGAATCTGAAAAGTTGAAGTACGCTAGAAGAAAGTTGCAATCTAATTTCACTTCAGATTTTTTGAAACCACTGTCTTCAAAGAGAAAAAGAAGTACACCAACGAAGAAACAATGATGATTAGGTTAAAATATTTAGGTTTTCAAATTCCGGGTCTTTCATTTGTTTTTTATTCCATATACTTTATTATTTTTTTCATAAATACATTTTGTTGTTATTTTTGTTGATTCAATTGATAAGAACGTTTAGTTTCTTAATTTTTGAACCAAAAAAACTAATATGAAGTTATATATCTACTTATTTCTATTTTCTGTTTCGGTAATTCGAGCAAGAGAAATAACTATTTTAAACCATTGCGACTTTCAAACTTGGATTGGTATAACTAGTGGTAAAACTGGAATCAGACTCAATTCTGGTGAAATCAAGAATATAACAGTAGCCGATAATTGGTTACAAGGACAGATTTGGGCGCAAACTGGATGTGATGAGAATATGAATTGTGAGACGGGAAGTTACTCATTAGAGGTGAATGATAATTAATAAAAAACGACCAATTAGGGTTAATCAGATATTGAAAAAAGTGCAACACGACAAAATTTTCGCTCGAAAACTTTTCGTTTAATTAAATTAATCTTATGATCTCTCTCATTATTCAATTTTAGATTTTTCAGAAAAAGTTCACAAGTTTACTAAAATCACACGAGATTTTTAAGATAAGAAAATATATCACAAAATGAACATCAGATCAAAATTTCCGCAGCAATTTCCTACTTCTTAATGTTGTGGAATCCATAAAAACCAGGACAATTCAAAATTCCCCACCCAAATACAGGAACTAACCTCAAAACCAAGAATTTCGAATCTTCCTCCAATCCTCCGTATCCACGCCACTAATATTTTGCAAGCATTTTTAGATGCCGATAGTTCAAAAAATAAAATAAAAAATAAAAAAAAAGTCACAAAACATGTCAAAAAACAATCGGTGAGAGTGAAAGAGACGAAAATATATTAAAATCCCGCGTGATCTACAGCGAGTTGAATTTGCGGGTCTAGGATTTGTTAAATCTAGAAATAAACTTCAGCTTGATTTTTGAAAACACATTTTTGAACGTTCACTTTGCCAAGCGAATAAAAGTCATCCTAAATTTTTTTTCGAAACAAAACATGTTTTCCAACCGCAATTTCAAAAATTATGGATCTTCAGACCCACAATTTTTGATGTATCTTTGATCTATTTTTCTCTAACAGTCTCCTTCACTCTCACCGATTCCAAAAAAAAATTTTTCAGAAAAATGAAATCTGTTCAAAAAACCGCCCGTTTCCACCTGTAACTATAGCAGAGTTCACTTTGAAAGGAGCTAATGATGAGGATTTTTATGATGTCTCTCTTGTAAATGGCTACAATGTTCCGATTACGATTGAAACAATTGGAGGAACTGGAAATAATTGTGGGAAATCTGGGGAATGTGTTCAAGATTTGAATGAGATTTGTCCGGATGAATTTGCAGTTAGAAGAGGTGAAAGACAATTATTTATTTCAAAATCTACAGTAATCATAGACTTTTTGGTATCGAAAAAATGTACTTTTTAGTGCGGACACCTACAGTGACATCGAACTCGATTAGTTTTCAAAATTGGAATTTTTCAGATAACCTCACAATCGGATGCAAAACATCTTGTTTAATTCATCAGAACGACGAAGAATGCTGTGAAAATCAATATGCGAATTTTGAAAGTTGTAGCTTAACAAAAACTTCGAAACTTTTCAAGAATTCCTGTCCAGGAACTTATTCTTTCGAATTCGATGATGTTCAATCAACTTTCACTTGCATTGGAGCCAATTATTTTATCAAATTTTGTTAAGAGTTCAATAAAACTATTCTGAGAATTATAACTCAAAAAGTAACAAGTTTTTTCACAAAAACATTAATTACGCTCTCATAATTATCTGTTTTTCTGTCTAAAATTTTTTCTCACATTTTTCTCTTTTAAAATGGAACATTGGGAATTTGTGCTAATATTTCAATTTTCAATTTGCTTTTTCGAATTAATCTGTCATCTAATTTTTATTCGAATAGTTTTACAAAAAAGTGGTATAAATAATTATGGGAAAAGTTATTTATTATTTTTATCCTTGGGATATCAACTTATTGTTTTCTCATTCATATTCTCTGTATTTTTTTGTTACTTTTCCACCGGTTCTTATTTTTATGACGATTTTAATTGTGGCAAAACTGATTGGCATGATTTTTTGAAAATGTTTCATCATACAGGAGAAGCTTTGGTTGGCTGTTTTCAAGGTTTTGCAAATTTTGATCGGCTCAAATTTTTGAAAAATCCAAAAATTTCGAGCGAAGCTAGTCTGTTAGGGTTTTTTATTCGGCTTATTTTGGGATGTACTGTCGGATTTTTGTATGCATTTTTGATGTATCGTGAGTTTTAATTCTGATTCTTAATTTCAAAAAAATTGATAATTTCAGACGAAGGAATTTTAAAGCATTCAGCGATTGGTCTGCTTTTCATCACTAATTTTATGAATGTTGTTGTGAGTTTTCAAAAATCAAAATCTACAATTATTGACTTTTTAAAGCTCGCGATCAGATTTAATGAAAAGCTAACTTTTGTATATGAAAAAATCTTTTTTTTAAAAAATGCCAGTTTGAATCCAACTGTCTGAAGAAAACTAACAAATTCTGAAGTAAACTCTCAAAATTTTCTCCCCAAAATTTCCGAATTCCAGATTGAATTTCATCTTTTCACCTTGTCCGCCAAAGTTTTCAAGAGAACCAAAGGAACAATTCCACTCGGCCAGCGATTTGAAATCTCTTCCTCAATTAAAATGATTCATTCAATGCTTCCGGCCTCTATTTGCAGTATTTTTTGCAAAATTTCCATATTTTTGCTTTTCGTTATTCGTGAAACTTTTTACAAATATGATGATATTTTTCCACAAATCTCTTTTATTATTAGTTTGGTAAATTCATGTCCTAATTTAGAGGTTTACTTGAAAAAAAAACTCATTCAGTTTTGGAACATCGATAGCACATTTTTTGCATGCGCCTTTATTTTTGTCTATTTTCGGCGGACAAAAATTCGTATAATGGATAATCAAGATATGAAAAATCATTTTAGACAACTCGAATTGTCTTGGAAATAAATATTTTTGGATAAATTTGAAGAAAAACAATGCATCGAGGTCGGCGGGCGAGCATGGCTCCCGCCATTATAAATTTGTTTATTTTTACTTTCCCCTTTCCCCATTTTCGGTCAATTGTACAACCCTTTGAAAATAACCCTAAAAAATTTAACCCTCTGAAAATATATATCCCTCGGACTTGAACAACCCTCAGAAATAACCCTCTGAAATTGAAATTTCCTGGAAAAGAGTGTTTTTTCCAAAGTTTTGTGAATTACAAAAAGTGAATTTCAGAAAACATGATTATTCATTCCGGATAATTACTAAAATAATGTGAAATATATACTTTTTCAACCTTTAGGTTGATAAAAAGTTTTTCTCAATATACGTTTTTAGTCATTTCTGTTAGAGTTATTCACAATAACTATGATTTACTGTTTTTGTGAGTAATTTTCAAGCCCTCAGAATCAGAGGGAAAAAATTCTTAGGGTTATTTTTTTCCAAGGGTTATGTTTTTTCAAAGGGTTACATTTTTTAGGGTTATTCTCAAAGGGTTGTACAATTGACCCCATTTTCCCATTGTTTCTTATGATTTTAAATTGTTGTCATAAATTAGTAGTTGATTTAATTTGTGTTCCTTTTATCTTTGTAAGACTACGATAGAACTGGGGAGATTCTCACCCGGGATCGTAGGTAAAGTAACTTAAACAATCCGAATAGTAGGCGGAAGAACAGGAGTAAACCAGTAGGGTTACGTCTTGTTTTCTAAATTAAACAACAACAATTATTTCCCATTCCCCGAAAAAAAACTTACCAATTCATATCCGCATGCAGAATCCAAAAAGGCATATCGCTATACTTATTTATCATCAAAAAAGTTTGAATTTCCGGTTAATATCAATCATTTCTTCTTCCGTTTCATTCAATTGTACAAATAGAATAAGAAAATATCTGTTTTTAGTGGTGATTGTTGTCAACATGATGAAGAAAAATCATAAATCTTCCTCCTCCAAAAAATCTCCTTCTCCATTTCCATTTTCGTCCATTTCTCCTTATCTTCAATGATTTCATCTTCTCAAAGTCCCTCTCCTCTTCTCCATTTTTTGCCTTTGAAACAAAACAAAAATTGTTCTTGGACCCTAAGACTTCTCGAATTTCCTATTCATCGCTCTCCTTTTTCTTTCTTTTCTTCTTTCATCTACTTTTCTTTTGATGGTTTTTGAAAATTGCGCCCGCCCACACAAAAATGAAAAAATACGAATTCGAAGCTCCCGCGGGGAGGTGTGTGCATTTGTGCGTGACGACGCACAAATGCGTACAAAAATTTATTTTCTTTTATTTTTTTTTTGCGCGCATCGTTTTTCGCGTTGATTTCGTTACTCAGATAGATCCCGGCTAAACCGCGAAGCGCCTTATGTAAGAATTAGATGACGTTTAAGATTTCATCGTAGCCAGCAAAATCTATCGAGCAAAATATCGCTCCGCGCACACTAAAAACCCCATTTAATGCATATATCCATTTTAAGAGTCTTTCAAAGGACGGAGGCTAAAAATAGAGTAGGTGTTTACTTCAGAATAGGAAAGAGTGGGAGTGAGGGGGAAAAGCAGCTCATTTCCGAGTAATATATTTTGATATATCCTGAAAATAAGGTCACAGGAAGTCGCGGGGGTTTTCATTCATTTTTATGCAAATTTTGTTTCAAAAAAATGCGAAATTGAATTTTAACTCGAGTTTTTTTAATTAAAGATATGTTTTTGGTGGATTCTGACGACCCGCTTATCATGACCAACTCTTCAAAGTTTTTCTCAACTCTGAATATGAGTTATGCCGTGACAACTTGTTTTCACAAGGCTATGAAATTATAATAGCACATCCTTGTTTAAGAGGGTAGATTACATAAATTTCGATTTCTCAAATATTGTTTTTGTTATGTGGAAAAGGTTGAAATACCATGACTGATGTTGCAGAGTTCAAACTTTTCTGAAAAATCTAGAAAATTTCAGAAAACCTCGTGAACTGAAGTACCACGTTCCGCCGAACAAAAATAATTTTGCGAAATTCAAAAAAAAGCTTATCTAGCATACCCACTCAAAAGGACTATTCTATTAGATTTTTTGTTAAAGACACGTAGAAAACTAGAAATCGTTCAAAAATTATTATTTTCATGTTTTTTATCATCTTTCAAATAGTGGAAGTACATAAACAAAATTGAAAAATATTGAGTTTAGCGAAAGTCAAAAAAAGAAATTGCCTTTTTTGAAATCGCTCAGCCGACGCGAAATTTGGTGTTTACACAAATGTTCGTGATTTGCCGCACATGTGTGCATTCTTAGCATACCGTACCACCACTTTTTATTCGTTTTTTTCTTTTTTCAAACGAACAACACACAACTTTGAAAAAATACGCGCGTTCAAATTTTTACGATTACGAACACACATTTCTAGTTTTCTACGTGTCTTTAAAAACCATTGCTAACCTAGTTATACGAAGTCGCTGCCACTTTATAATAACCCATATTCAAATTTAAACAAAAAACACTTTTTTACAATGATTATGTTATCAGCACCACTAGAAAATATTTCATCTAGCTAATAGAAAATAAAAAGGAAGTTGGTTCAAAGAACTATATTTATTTACACGAACTTTTTTTGCGAATCATCCCGCTAAATAGTCTGTTAGTTTTTCCAAAGATTTATAAATGCGTTTTCTCTTTCTCTCTCTCTTTTCTTCTTTTCAAAATTACTCCCACGCAACACCACAAAAAACTCTTCTCTCCCTGTGTGTGGCTCTTTGAGCATCAGTCAGGCTTTCTCCCTCCCTCCCTCCCCCATTCATTTTTCATTTCAATTCACATTTCTCATTTCTCTCCGTCTCCACCAAAATCTCTCGTCCACCTTTTTTGTGTATGTGTGTGTATATGTTTTTTGCTATTTCCAATTTTTTCTGCGCGACTTCACTCAATGAATTTCGTGTATGTGTGTATGCTCCATTTTCAGAAGGAAGAAGCAGCAGTTCAATTCATTTTTTCGCTTCTTTTATCGAATTACTCTCCGCCCACTTTTCCACGCAGCGAAGGAAAAAAAGGAAAAAAGTTTAGGGATTTTTTTGTGCATGTGTGTATTTTTAGCCATCTCCACCCCACCCCCTCAACGCCTTTTTTGCTCTCCTAGAGCATCTGCGGCTTTTTGTTGTTGGTTGGAAAAATGGAAAATGGTTTTCCCCCGTTTCTTAAGAGAAATTTTATGCTTTTTATTGCCTTTTTCCGTCTCTTGGGAGCTTTTTTGATTCAATTCATTTTGTTTTTGAATCATATAATTGAGTTTCGTCATCATTTGCACTTTTTTGGAGGAAGAATCATCAAAAGTTTGGATTACAACAGAAATCAAACTACGTATATTTCTATAGTTTTTGTACCAAATATGAACTATTCGTCTAAAAATGATATAAGTCCCGATTGTATCCTATCCGGAATAATTCACCTTTCTTTCAAAAATTAACTTACAGTTAAGGAAGCTTTCCCGATTTCGATTAGCCAAATCATAAACATTATGAATTTAAAAATGGGGAAGTGTTTCGGACAAGAAATGTCTTTTTGTAGAAAAACGTGATCTTCACGCGAAATGTTGGATTTTTTGCAGAAAAAAAATCATTTTTGATTTTTAGTTCTCAAGAAGTAAGTCGGGAAGGGTGAGATTTTTCGGGATTTTCAGGCCCATTGTATTTAACTCAGAGCTGAGTAGATGTGCTTTCTGTTAAATTTTCAAGTTTCTCTTGTAAAATGAAATCGAATTTCCCCAAAATATTCATTTCTTCAAAATTACGAGAAGATCAATTTTTTCTATCGATTTTTTTGTTTTTGAAAAATCTTTAAAAAAAAGTTTATGAGCTTTTCAGGGAATAATAGAAGTTTAAGCTTTTCAAACAATCTGATTTTCTCAGAATCCACCCTCGAAGTTTCTACAGTATTTCTAGTCACAATTTCTTTCTGAAAATCTGTATTCCTCTTCGAATTCTATTGCTGAAAATCTGAACTTTTCCTGATTTTTCTCTTTTTTCCCCCGTCGTACCAACCAACACGAGCCCCATTTCTGTTGCTGTTGTATTATTGATGTATCTGTCCAAATATTTATTATTGAACGACAAAAAAGAACAAGACAAGCAGTGCAGCAACCGCCTCCGCAAAATTTTCCTTTTTCTTCTCAAATGCAAATTGTTCTGTTTAGCCCCAGTCAGACACACCCATTTTCTTCGTTTTTTCTTGAACTAATTGCCCAATTAAAGTAGCACTGCCTCCCCAAAGCTACGTGTGTGTGGAAAAACGAAAAATGTCTGGCACGCTCTCACAAACACACACTCTCTCGCACACAACTTTTTATTTTTATTTTTTTAAAAACGCGCATTTTAAAAATAGGTTTTTCGTTTGAAATTGTTAGTTTCTGTTTTGATGTTTTATATTGTTTTATAGAGAATTTCATAAACTACTAAAACATGTAGGATTTCATTATTCGAACCCGTGAAAAATTTGTGAAAAAACGATGAAAACATACCCTGTTTTTTCAATTTCCTTGAAAAAAGGGTTGTTTTTCATGGGCTAGTTGTTAATTTGCCAAAAAGGGAACTTGAATAAACTAGACGTAGGTTTGTAGCAAATTTCAAGGGCTTTCAAATGATGTCTAACACATATTATGAATTTGAGAATTCAGGGAGGAGTAGGGATTTGATTTTGAACATGTGCGACATGTCGCCTTTGGGAAGAATCATTTTTAGGAATATTTTTGAACTTATGTGCCTTTGGGAAGACTTCTAATTTTCTTATTTATAGGAGAATTTTCTTTTTTTTACATTATCCTATATCAGTTTTTCATTTCATTTTTTCTTTTCCGCTGAATAATTCGCATTCTGAATTTCGGAAAATCTTTTTGCATTTAGAAATTTTATTGAGATGACATCAAATAAATGAAATAAATATATAGCAAAAAATTGAATTAAAAAAATAGGATAAAACAAAATATTTAGAATATTAAAATGAAAATGATGAAGATTTGAAAAACCTGTTATTGAAAACCAAGGATTTGATAGAAGCCCAACGTGAAGAGTATCTGGAAAACAAAAAAAAGGGTTAGTAAGCATTGGTAATTTTAAGTTACCTTCAATCAATCATCGAATGAAGAACATTTGTCCAATTCTCCAGTATCATACAAATAATTCCATTCACTCATTCTTCTCATAACAAGATTTGCTCTATCCACAACATTTGGAACATGCGAATAATTAGTATCGATTCTATTATAATGTGAATGCAAATTCTCGCCAACTTGTTCGGATGATCGACCCCAACTACCATGTTTTCGCATATGATTTGGAACATGAGCATGGAGCATATGTAATGATGGAATAACTGTTTCATTTGGATGGCATTCCCTTAAGGCATCCACGAATAAATCTAATAATTGTTCAAATTCCTTAATTTCAGGTTCTGAATATGTTTTTGTTCCGCCATAAGTCATAATTCTACCAAGCAGGATCATTACTTTTTTCAAACTGTCATATTTAGGAGTGCCCTTCAAAACATTCATAATTCGTTCAATATTAGGTGGTCTCAAAATTTTTCTGACTTGATTTCCAACCATTTCTTGGAAGAAAGCCCTTTGATCACATCCAATTTCTCTCAAAACTTTCTCGAGTTCTTGCCGAGTTGGACCTTTCAATTTTATCAGGATGTCTTCCATTTTTTCTCTTTCGGTAACTGCTTTATTATACTCATTCAACTTCTGATCATACATACGTTCAAATGTATTCTTTCTCATAAATGATTCCGTCAACAACATTTGTATGGTGAATTTTTTGCATAAAATACACGAATAGTTGATACGTTTCTCTCGAACTTCTTCTTCTGTTATCAAGAGCAAACATTGGGAATGGAACAATTTTTTACAATCACAGCAACTGATCATCTCGCTGGTTTTCGGAACCACTTTGTTACCAATACAATATACCGAAGAGCACGGTTTTCGGATCTTTCTATAATCAACTAATGCGTCGTACATTTTTTCAGCATCTTTCAATTCTTTCTCTCTGATTTTCAAATTTTCAAGTGATGTGGTTTCCTCTTTTTTGAGATTTTCTAAAATTCTTTTTTGATCAGCCAATCGTTCTTCGTTGATATCAGTATTATCCTTCAAATTACATTCTGCCAGAAGAGAATCATAGATATATTTTTTGAAAATGCGCAAAATGATGTGGACCTCAGGGGGCGCTAAGTTTTCAACATCGATATCAAGTAAAGGCGCACTTCCTAAAATCATTCCAAAGTCACCAGTTTTCGCATCAGTCCGCATTGAATCCAAAGTTCTTAGAATTGCAACATCTTTGAAATTAAACGTGAGAAGAGTAGATTTATCTTTTCCACGAAGACAGATTTTGATGTAACACTTATAACATGGGTGGTTTGAACTTTGACCCGAATGACCTACTGTTGCACTAATGAACTTCATATCCGCTAAAACATGAAATACAACTCGTCTTTTTTGCCCATTGAAATTGATAAACTTCAGCTGATTTATATCTTCAAACATGTGTGGTAAACGAGCTTTCAGTTGTTCATAAGTGTCGCTTCCAAAATAAAGTGTAATAATTGATAAAGAGTAAACGCAATTTGGGTTTGGCCCATCAGCGATCGAAATTGAACATTTCATTTCATCTCGTCCTTTATCGCCATAAAGATTCACATTCACCGGATCATCTGGATTTTCGTAGTGAACTCGTCCTGCGTTGTCTAATCTTTCCAGATGAATTTTCAAAAGGGGTTCAACTTTTATAATCATAATGCGAGGAACTCTCAATTCATTCTTATTTTTCATCACAATCTCCGAATCAATATTATAAAGATGAGATACATCGTGTGTTTTTGAGAGCTCTAAAACATTTGCCCTTGACGCAAGTACATCGAATCCCAGAATTTCATTTTCAGTTCTCTTGAAGTTTTTTAAAAATCCATCACTCAAATTGTGTTGAATTTTCAATGCCCAAGTTTGTGTCGGGGAAAATCTGGATTGAAAATCGGTATATTTGTCAGCGTGTGTAAAAGAGTATATCATAAAAATTTTTGGATTCTCGTCTCCAGCCCAATAAATAGCATCGTGGAGCCATCCCAACATTCTGTTATCCCGAGATTCCGAATTTTGCAGTGTCGAAAATGCTTTAAGAATTCTTTCTTCCGATGGTCCAGGTTCATCATCGTTTATCTCCGAATACTCTCTTTTTGGCCTTTTTGAGGTGGTTTTACTTATCTTTATATATTTTATCTCATCCTCTATTTGATCCACTTTTAATCTCAAAATATTGCATTGTTTCTCTGAGATGAATATCCTTTTTTTTGTATCATCGTGTTCCGATATTATTATTTCGATCTTTGCATCTTTTTCAACAACCTCATCAGATAATTGGATTTTTTCTTTTTTTATAACTTCTATTTTCACTATTGTTTCTTCATATAATATTTTCCAATATTCTGCTGTCGACTTCAACTCAGCTGCCTTTTCCGACTGCCCTTTTGCTTTTTTCACACAATCTTTCTCACGTTTGTTTCGGCGCGGCATTTTAACTGGAAATGTTCAAAATAAAAATTTATATATTTATTTATATAATTAGTTTATGATCGTGACCCTCATTTTTTCATATCATTTTTTTTATTTTCGAGCGAAATTAAATGCTGCAATTTTTCAAAAACAATTATTGGATTAACTAAACTTGCTGAAAACTTGATGAAAAGTGAGTTTAAAAACTATGTTGGAAAGTTTCGCAAAACAAAATACAGAACTATTAGTTGGAAACTTGTCTTTCAAAAATTGTAATGAATGATTTTCCAGATTTCAGTAATAAAACTGAATTCCAAAAATGAATTGGATCGCAATTCAATATTTCTTAAAGATTTCCTTGTTGCAAATATATGAAATTTATCGGTTCCACATTTTAAAAAATGACCCGGAACGGTTTCGGAAACATGGAAAACTTTGTAAAACAGATCAGGTGAGAACTCATTTTGAATTTGCTTTGCTAGTTTCCCTCGAATGTATTTTTTCTTGTGAAATTTTCAGAAAGTTCCAAACTATCACTGACTTATCCAAGAATTTCAATTTTTTGCATTTAGTTGAAATAAAATTTTTTAAATTTTAAATTTACCTCAAAAGGAGTTGGTTGAAATGAAACCGGCCGTAGAATCGTAATGGATTGTGATTTTAAATCTGAAACTTTTCGGTTGGAAGCATGAAACTTTAATACAGTATTCAACGGATGACCACAAGAAATAACTATTTGGAAGAAAAAATCAAAAGAAAGAATCTTTAAAAACTCAATAATAGTTATGAAACTACTGAAGATATAATAACATAAAAAACTTCATATTACAGTTGATGAAGTGTACTTTTCAATGAATTTAGAAATTTTTAGAAAAACAACATATAAAAAAAGATTATTCAGCGGAAAAGAAAAAATGAAATGAAAAACTGATATAGGATAATGTAAAAAAAAGAAAATTCTCCTATAAATAAGAAAATTAGAAGTCTTCCCAAAGGCACATAAGTTCAAAAATATTCCTAAAAATGATTCTTCCCAAAGGCGACATGTCGCACATGTTCAAAATCAAATCCCTACTCCTCCCTGAATTCTCAAATTCATAATATGTGTTAGACATCATTTGAAAGCCCTTGAAATTTGCTACAAACCTACGTCTAGTTTATTTATATTCCCTTTTTGACAAATTAACAACTAGCCCATGAAAAACAACCAGCAACCCGCAACCTTCCCAAAGGCGACATGTCGCACATGTTCAAAATCAAATCCCTACTCCTCCCTGAATTCTCAAATTCATAATATGTGTTAGACATCATTTGAAAGCCCTTGAAATTTGCTACAAACCTACGTCTAGTTTATTTATATTCCCTTTTTGACAAATTAACAACTAGCCCATGAAAAACAACCAGCAACCCGCAACCTTCCCAAAGGCGACATGTCGCACATGTTCAAAATCAAATCCCTACTCCTCCCTGAATTCTCAAATTCATAATATGTGTTAGACATCATTTGAAAGCCCTTGAAATTTGCTACAAACCTACGTCTAGTTTATTCAAGTTCCCTTTTTGGCAAATTAACAACTAGCCCATGAAAAACAACCAGCAACCCGCAACCTTCCCAAAGGCGACATGTCGCACATGTTCAAAATCAAATCCCTACTCCTCCCTGAATTCTCAAATTCATAATATGTGTTAGACATCATTTGAAAGCCCTTGAAATTTGCTACAAACCTACGTCTAGTTTATTTATATTCCCTTTTTGACAAATTAACAACTAGCCCATGAAAAACAACCAGCAACCCGCAACCTTCCCAAAGGCGACATGTCGCACATGTTCAAAATCAAATCCCTACTCCTCCCTGAATTCTCAAATTCATAATATGTGTTAGACATCATTTGAAAGCCCTTGAAATTTGCTACAAACCTACGTCTAGTTTATTCAAGTTCCCTTTTTGGCAAATTAACAACTAGCCCATGAAAAACAACCAGCAACCCGCAACCTTCCCAAAGGCGACATGTCGCACATGTTCAAAATCAAATCCCTACTCCTCCCTGAATTCTCAAATTCATAATATGTGTTAGACATCATTTGAAAGCCCTTGAAATTTGCTACAAACCTACGTCTAGTTTATTTATATTCCCTTTTTGACAAATTAACAACTAGCCCATGAAAAACAACCAGCAACCCGCAACCTTCCCAAAGGCGACATGTCGCACATGTTCAAAATCAAATCCCTACTCCTCCCTGAATTCTCAAATTCATAATATGTGTTAGACATCATTTGAAAGCCCTTGAAATTTGCTACAAACCTACGTCTAGTTTATTCAAGTTCCCTTTTTGGCAAATTAACAACTAGCCCATGAAAAACAACCCTTTTTTCAAGGAAATTGAAAAAACAGGGTATGTTTTCATCGTTTTTTCACAAATTTTTCACGGGTTCGAATAATGAAATCCTACATGTTTTAGTAGTTTATGAAATTCTCTATAAAACAATATAAAACATCAAAACAGAAACTAACAATTTCAAACGAAAAACCTATTTTTAAAATGCGCGTTTTTAAAAAAATAAAAATAAAAAGTTGTGTGCGAGAGAGTGTGTGTTTGTGAGAGCGTGCCAGACATTTTTCGTTTTTCCACACACACGTAGCTTTGGGGAGGCAGTGAGTAGGTTTTCTCTCGCTTCCGGAAATCAGATTTATTTTGTGCCTCTATTTTTTCTTCTGATCGCAACAATTGTGTTCCATCATTTTGTGATAAGATGAGATGAGTGACTAGACCACAACTGTTGCTCAAATGTACTCTTAAAAATATATGTTGGAAATGAGATGAGTTATAATAGCCAAAGAGTCGGCTGATTTGAACCCACGCGAAGCATGACAATTAGTCATTTTCTGGTCCGAAAGTTGCACTTTTTTAAGTTCTAAAATATTTTGATTTGAAGAGGTTTTAATTTTAAAAAAACTGCACAACATAGTTTCCAAGCAGTTTTTGGTTCATTTTGAAGTGATAAAACTAGAAAATCAAATTTTTCACTTGAAAGCTTTCTTGATTTCCAGCAAATCTTCTTCCACAATCCAATATCCCATAATTCGGTATATTTTAGCCGAGACTATAATTTTTCCACATGTTTCCATCTTCAAAAGTGGGGTTCCTTCTAGTTTTGGGTTAAGATCTGTTTCATTTTCTATTTTCTATGGTCTTCTGAAATATGACGTGCTATTTCAGACATTTTTTTTCATTTCATGGCTTCGAAGCTATACTTTTTCCCACGAAAAGTTTGAGCTTTTTCCATTTTTTGATAAAAATTGAACAAAGCAATTATATTTTCTCCGGTGTGAACTATGACGTGGCAATTTAGAACATTTTTATTTGGATTATAACGTGACTTTTTCGCAAAGCCACACTGTACACAATTGTTTTTTTTTATTTTTAGAAATTCCACACTGTACGATTTTTTCATTTCGTACAGTAGAAAAGATACAGATTCGGAAGTTTCCAAAGACACATTTTTTGGTTTTGGAAAAAAAAATTCTGTAATAGAATTAAAGTCATTCCAAAAATTAGTTATACGTTATTCTTTTATCTTCTTAATGACGTGGGCGTGAACCATGACGTGGCATTTACACAAGATTTATTTCGACAAAAATTGTAATTTTCGCGATGTGCGATTTTTTTCGTACAATAGAAAATATGCAACTTTTAAAATTTTCTGCACCGATTTTTTGGTTTTTCGAGTCTAAAAACACCACACTTCCAGAATGAAAATCATTCCGGAAATTAGTTATTCCTCTTTCATTCTTCTTCCTCATTGTACATATAAAAATTCGTATAATCACCATCATCATCAAACAAAAGACGAAAAAGACATATGTTTGTTTTTTCGCGTTTTTTTTCTTCTTTTGGTTTTTTCGTTTCCGCCGTCGGTTAACTATACAAGGAAGACATTTTTACACATACAAACAATGTATCAAAGTTGTTTTCTGATCAAAGAAAATTATTGTTTTCCTTGTCGTCTTCTTTTTCCTCCAACTTGTTTGTTTTATTGATTGAATAAAAATGGAATCTCTGTTTTTTGTGTTATGCTAATTGATTGGAATTAATGATAATCTGAGGATTATTTCTGATGTGAGGAGACAAAACCTTTTGATATGATTTGAATAATATTCAAAATATAACGAATAATCTCGCCCACTATTAAGGCAAATATTTGCTCATTTTTCAACCAATGATAGTCATTTTTTCGTCCATCTTTCACAAAAAAAACTGAAAATTTCTGCTATTTTTAGATAGTTTGATGTTACACTGTGTCTGTGTATTGTTCAATGATTATTATTACCTACATGCCATCGAATGATAAGGCGAAGACGAAAAAATTTTTGAGAGAAAAAAAACGTCGCAACAATTCATTTTTTTGTGTGTTGTTTTGTTTTTTGCGCGTACTTTTTACGTATTCTCATGATTTTCCTTTGAAAAAATGATCTTGGCTCTTTTTGACACCTGTTATTATCTAACTTTGACAGAGTATACGTGTACTTTCCTAGCCAAAGGGAAATGAGCTTTAAGTTATTTTTTTTGTAATATTTCGAGGCGTTGTGAAATTATTGATTTTTAAGGCTAAATATGAGAAATCGGGAAAAATCTCACAAGATTTCTCTATTATCTAAATTTTGATAAAGTCAGACTGAATTTCACCCATTTCCGGTTTCGTCATTTAACAACATGTAACAAACTTTTTAATTGTGTTTTTTTCTGTCGAAGAAACTTGTATGTTTTGTTAATGAATTTTATGAGCTAATCTCAGAAAATTTTCGTTATTTTTTAAAATTTAAATGCCCTAAAATAATACTCAAACTTTGAGAATCCTCTATCCCCCTTACAAAAGTCAGCCCTCCTCCTCCTCTAAAAACTTCGATGTTTGAAACTCCTACATGATAATCTGAAATTCATTGAAACTGACAATTTTCAGCTGTTCTCTTTTCCGTTCACATTTACTTAGTACTAAATCCAATTCAATTCACACAAAAAGCCATCTGCAAAATTGTTCGGACGGGCGGGCGAGCAGGCAAAAACTAATCCAATAGTGATCATCTGCCTTTTCATGTGTGCCCTTTAAGTGCATAAGCCCACTCTCTCACTCTTCAGCCTTTTCGTCGTCAATTTTATATATGTTCACCCCATTCGATTCCATTTATTCGGATACGGTATTTTATGTTAGTCAGAATTGTTGAATACGTCGCCCCAGGCTTTTAAACTGATGGTTCCAAAAATCGGCCCTCATTCACAGCCACGGGATTTTTTTAAGCTGGGCTTTCGTAGACAGTCCACACCCAAGTCGTGTCTCCGCCCACAATTTTTCGGCTTGATTGACTGCAGTCAGTTTTGAAATCACCAACCTCCGCTCGATTCCATTAATTCGTCCATCACATCGAAAAAGCACCGTAGTATAATTTATTTCCATTGTTTTCTGCCCACACACATTGAAAACGGGGCCCACACACATATACACATAATATAAACTAACTAATACATAAATATTCGATTCGCGCTTTCTTCGTCTTCTTCATACGTCGCATACCCCTGTTTCAAATCCGCCAGTGCATACCCCTATTTTTGAAAATTTTCGACGAAAGGGATAACCCCCCCCCTTTCTTTTCATTTTTTTTCTTCATTTCCAGCTATAGAAATCTGAAAATTACAATTTTATTGAGCTTAAGCTCAGAATTTGCATCAATGCGGCAAATAGTGAATTTTGAACTTGATTTAGGGGTAGCATGCTTTTATTAGACCCTTATCAACTATGCTCCACAATAAAATCTGAAGAATTAAGCCTGGTATCAAGATGGGACCACTATGTCATTTTTCACCTCGGTTATCAAAGAACACAGGGGTAAAAAGTCACTAGGGGTATCTTATGAATACCATGCCTTTATTAGAACCTTATTTTCATTAGATACTCTTACTGACTTTTTATCCATGTGTTCTTTGATAACAGAGGTGAAAAATGACATAGTGGTCCCATCTTGATACCAGGCTTAATTCTTTGGATTTTATTCTGGAGCATAGTTGATAAGGGTCTAATAAAGGCATGCTATCCCTAATTTTATGAGATATTTATGTGGAAACTTCTTTGAGGCTTAAATTGGTATCCCTATGGCAGAATATGTAGAGAAAATTATCATCAAAACTGAGAAAATTTCATAAAATTTTTTATCTCAAGTGACAACCCCCTCCAAAATTTAGTGTGAGGGATAACCCCTCCACGGGTCGATTACCCCTGGCATGCGACGTATGGTCTTCTTCTTCTTATTCGTCTTGGTTTTTTCGTATTATTTATTTATGAGCCGCCTTGTTTGGTTTATTCTTTTATTTTTTGCCGTCTTTTGTCTGATTTTTTTGTGACTCGGTCTTTGAATAGTTTTTGAGTTCTTTTTTTCTTTCAGTTTATTATGCAATCCACACAGCCGAGCACGTCGCAAAATGAAGAACATTTGACGGCTGAACAACTTGATAGGTGGGCCATTTTTGCGGGGTAATTTGGGAATGTTTGAGTCAAGAAAAGTCAGAAATTCATAATTATTTCTGAAATTTTCACCAAAAAATTGAATGATTTCGATCATAAAATTCCCAGATATTATATGTGTCAGAAGCAAAACAAAAGTCAAAAAATTTGTAGTGTTTTTTGTCCAAAAATAGGAAATCTCATGGGATTTTTTGTTTGATGAGGAAATAATATTTTTGTTATTTATTCTAAAAGGTTAGAAATATCACTTGGGAATCATTTTGGACTTTTCTGAAAAGAATTCAAAAATTATCGCAACATTTTCTGACGTGAATTTTTCGGAAAAATGATCATTTCAAATTTCAGGATAATCAAAGAGCAAGATGAAAATGAATTCATTTTATTGGATTGTCGATCGAATGGAGACTCGGTAAAATTGGCAACCCGGTAAGTTTTTTGTCTAATCCTAAATTAAAAACAGTTGAGAATGCCCGATTTTTGCAGTGTTCGCCTTCCAAATGTGCTACTTCGCCGTCTTTTAGCTGGCTCTTTAGCTCTAACCAATGTTTCGGCCCGTCTTCAAAATCCCACCAGCGCCCCACAAATTATATTAATTTCCGGCGAATCGGTGTCCGATGAATCGATTTCTAGTGCCCTCATCAAAACATTCCGCAATAATTCGTATCGATTTTCGGTGCTCTCCGAATCGGTCAATAGTTTATTGACAAAGTTTCCGAATTTGAGAGAATGCACCGATGAAAATCTGAAAAGTTACCCGCTGAGTTCGACAAATTCGGCGACGAATAGTTCGAATGTTTTGGAAGGACCACCTGTTGGATATCTGAATTTGAGGTGGGTTTTTGAGCAACAAATACATTTTTTAAACCCTGAATTTGCGACCAATTTTTTTTCTCAAAATTTTAATGTTTACGTACATAGCATTATTTTTCAATCATAAATTCTCTATTTTTTTCAGCTCATTACGTCTTGAATCCGACAATCGTGGAAAACCGAGAGCCGAATTTCCTGTCGAAATATCGCCATTTTTGTATTTAGGAAATGCGGAAACTGCGCGAAATCGGGAAACTTTGGAGAAGTGAGTTTTGTTTTAGATTTTAGAACTAAAAAATCACATTTTGATCTCAAATATGCTTTTTCGAATTAGAAAAATTCAATTTTCAGTCAAAAATTCATGGTTCTGTTCCAGATATTCAATTTCGTATGTGATAAACGTGACATCAAATCTACCCAACGCCTTCGAAACCGACCCAAAAATGCGATATTTACGAATTTCGGTCGACGACAATTCTTCACACAATTTAACAACATTTTTCACAGAAGCAATCAGTTTTATCGAAGAAGCGCGTTTGAAGAAAAGCGCTTGTCTTGTACATTGTTTGGCTGGAATTTCAAGAAGTGTTACGATTTGTTTGGCATATTTGATGAATACTAATAGGTTAGTTCGGCGGGTTTTCAAAGTTGGATGAAAATTTTGGTTGTAATATTTTATCACGTTTAATTGCCGTAACTAACTTTAAATTGATAAAAATGACAAAAGTTGTTTTTTTTTAATTTGAAAATTTCTGCAGATGCTCTCTGGAACACGCGTATGACTGGGTGCAAAACAAAAATGCGAGTATTGCTCCAAATTTTCATTTTATGGGTCAATTGACGGATTATGAGAAATCACTTGGAATGAACAGCGCTGTTGGGGTGAGTTTTTCTTTTTCTTTTTGAAATTTTGAAAAAAAGAACACAGAAAATGGAGACGATTTTTACGTTTTTCTTTGCTGTAGGCCTGCATAGAAAAAACTGTTTTCTTAATCTCTCACTTTTCCTTTTCGCGAAACTTTTTTTCAAGTCTCAAAAAACACTATTTTTTTCAATCAGATAGTGTTTTTCCCACAAAATTATGGCGCGAAAATGATGTCTGTGTTTTTCATTAAAAATAGATTTGACGGAAAATCGAAATCATAAATCGCTTAAAGAAAGTTTTCATGAAGAAAATGGGGCCTAAAGAATTTTAGAGAAAGATATTTTGTTCAAAAATTGTTATAAATGCAATTCCAGATTAGTTTTTTTTTTCAATAAATTGTATTTTGCAGACCTACCCATCCTCAAATGCTCCCCGCTCTCCATCTTGTGCCATCGAAGCCGCCGCTTCAGCTGGTCTTCTAACTCCGCCACCAACAAGTTGCTCAGCTTCGCCGCAATCTTCAACACATTCGGCAAAATCGTTTCATTAGGGTCTATCGCTGAAAATCTATGCCTGCTCGTTTTTAATGTGGCGAAATTTGGGGATTTTTGAATTACTGAAGACCAAGTTAGGCTAAACTGCGAATCTGATTTTCACCTGGATTTTAGGCTTGGGACGTTGAGTCTTGATTTTTTTTGCTCAGCCCAATTTGGCCTAAGCCAAATTTTCTGACACATTTTTTCCAAATTCTAGTACAAAAACCCCCAATTTCAGCCAAAATTCCCTAATTTTTTCGCACTAAAATTCCTTTAAAACACCTGCTAAAATGGATGTACAAAACTAACATCCAATCAATTCTTCTCTACTTTTTCGTGTACCATTTTTTGAATGTTTTATCCTTTTTTCCCACGAGCACAAATCCCTACAATTTTATCTTGTACAAGTTGACTTTTTTTATTATTTATACGAGTTAATTATATTAATTGTACACCAAAATCTCAAAATTATTCAAATTTCAATTTTAATCCTATTCATTTGCTTTTTTGTGCTCTCTTTTTCTCCATTTCTCTCTGTGAATATTTGTCACATTTTTGCCATGACCACAGGATTTTCAGAGAAAATAGTTCTGAAAATCGCCATTTTTTACCAACTCCCCCCATCCCTCGATCTTTTCTATATTATTTTATTATTATATGATTTTTTATGTATAGTCAATTTTGTGATACTTTTCTCTTCTCTTTTTTTGTTCAATTAAATTTTTTACAAAAAATTGTTTTTTATTGAAAAAATTGAATTAGAAATTCTAGCCACGTGGCAATTAAAAATTGAAAATTTCTGCGTTTTCTATTTTTTTTTCCCCCAAGAAAATCGAAAGCGATTTTTGTGAGGTGTGATTTATGAAATCTCGCAAGTTTGTTTTAGATAACACTAATTTTCGCAGTGAAAGTTTTCAGCAAAAAATCATATTTTTTGCTATTATTATTATCTCGCGGGATTTTCCGGGTCTCCGGAAAATCTTTTTTTTTGCTTGAAAGTTTTTCGTCTCCGCCCATTTTTTTTCTCGCGCGCGCTTGAAGAATATCCTCATTTTTATTGGAACACAAGATTTATTTTTTGAAAGAAATTAATGGAATGAGGAGATCTAATTATTGTTATCTGTCGATTTTTTGTGTTTGTAAGTTTTACTGAAATTAAAAAGTTTGCTGAAAATTTAATTTTTGCAAAAAAAAGATTCAGGTGGAAATTTTTTCAGAGAGTTTTCGAAATTTTTTACATGTTTTGCTGATTTGTAAGACATCTTTGTAAGACATGTTTTGTAAGACATGATTTGTAAGACATGTTTTTTTTTTCAGAAATATTTAGAATTTCTTGCGATTTTCACTCTGAAGTTCAATATTGTTCCGATCAAGTTTTTTTTGGTTTCGGAATTTTTTGAATGCAAATTTTTTTTCAGATTTTTTGAGCCTCGTTTTGATTTGCGAAGTTGGTGGAAATGGAGTGGATTTTAGAGAAGGTAATTTCAATTTTATCTTCTTCTTAAAATTTTGTTGGAAAATTATTTGCCACGTGGATTTTCTTTTCTTTTTTTTGAATTTTGAATGAACACTTTCTTCAGTTTTCCAAATTTTCAGCATTTTTCCTAAATTCTTCTCACAATCTAAATTTTAACGAAAAAGTTCAATTTTCAATTTTTCCTCGGAAAAAAGAATAAAAATCGGAGAATCCTCTTATGCCATTTACAAAATCTCGGGAATTTATTCAGCTATATCCTATTTTCACTTTTTCCCTCCAATTTTCCCTTCTTCCCCCTTTTTTCAACTAAAAATCATTTTCATTTATTTTTTTTCTGAAGTGTTGCGAAAAGTGTCAAGTATTCTCATTTTTTCAGACCAAAATTCGGCGGATCGCGAAAAAAAGTTGGTCGTTTTGGAGGATTTGATTGAAGTGCAACGGAAATATCGAGAATTGAAAGAGAAATGGACGAAAATCAAGGGAGAAGACAAAAATAATAAGCAGGAGGAGGAAGAGGAAAAATTCGAGAGGTACGGGATATTTCGGAAGGTTACTGTAGATTACTGTAGACTATACTATTTTCGAGTTAGAGGATATTTTATTTGAAAAGTGTTTTTCTGCTTGAAAAAAACTTTTTAGTAGATTGACACAAATTTTTCCAAGAATTTCAAATTCTGAACCAAAACTTTACTATTTTGGAGCACTTACTAAAAATTGATTAGTAACTCATACTACGTACAATTAGACATATTATGTTTTACATTTTATTACAAAATATTTTAATATATTGATCTTCATATTTCTATTATTAACTTCCAAAAATATTAATTTTCAGCACAACTTCTTTTCTTCCGAAATCAACAATAATTGCTGAAAATAACCTCGTAAACAGCGATGAAATGGACGACGAAGAATCATTTGTTGAAATCACCGACGAATTTATAGACGATATTTCGAAAAAATCACCAGCTGAACAATTGGAAGAAATACAACATCTTATTTCAGATGCTTTTCAGAAGAACAAAAATAACACTGAAAATACATCTGATCCGATTATGGATATGTTGCCAATTCCAGCTCCATCAAGATCTATGAAAATTGAAGTTCAAGAAGATGATCAGAAAATCCAGATATTGACAACTAGAACTACAATAAGCCCGGTTGTCCCTTCAACTGTCCCAGCATTTTTCGATATAAAAATCAAACCATCCGATGTTCCGATAGTTATTCAAAATAAGAAAGTTCCGAAAAATATTCTTCGCGACCCGGAAAACCTGGTTGGAAATATTCAGCCGAAAAATAGGCATCTTGGAGATGTTCCGAAAAAATTGCAAATAATCGGAGAAACCAGTGAGGAAGAGGAAATCCCGCCAAAACCAAGTGAAGAAGTAACCCTGGACCAAGTGTTGAGATCACAAAATCCCGAGAAAATCCTGAACCTTGTTCCCCTCCAAGAAATCCCCCAAAAAATGCAATCTTTCGGCACAACTTCTCGCCTCAAATATCAGGAAAAACAAAATTTCGTGGATCCAAAGCTGGAAAGTCTACTGAAAAATGAGGTGGCTCAACTGCAAGCAAACCTTCCCACCAGATTAATTATGACTTCGAATAATTCTTCGGGAGCTGGGAGAATGGGCATTTTCCCGACTTCCACATTTCCAAAACCACCACCATTGCCTCCACTCAGTTTTGGAATTGAAAGAGATCTAGATTCAAATCTAAATTCAGATTCAGAAATAGCTTTTCAAACTTCCACCCCGAAAAATCAAGATGAATTTCAAAATCGTGCGACAACTACGGCTGAAATGATGATGATTAAAAAGTTTTTCGATGAAGAGGAATCGGTTCCACGTGTCAAAACTGCAACAAAAAAATTAATCGATAATGATACTTTGGCGGGAGCACAGAGAAAACTGAAGTCGAAAGGAATTTCGAAAAAGACACCAAAGAAAATCAATGAGACAAGTATTTTGAAATTACCAGCTTGGGGAGCCTCGGAAATTGTTAAATTGGTGACGACAACATCAATGCCTACTGTAGGGTGAGTTGGAAACATTACTAAACGTGACCTAAAATAATATTCTAACAAAAATAAATAAGTCTGTCAAAAATATTTTATTTCTAAAATTTCTTGCTCAAATAAATTGACAATTTTCCAAATTTTGAAAAAGGTGAATGAAAAAGCAGACAAATTTGCCACGTCACAACTTACTTTTTCTCAAAAAAATTCTGATCTATTTTTTTCAGAACTCTTCCTCCGCCACCTTCAATTTCTTCTCAAAACTCTCCCCAAAAACGAGACAGCGACTTCCATCAAATCGAAATCGACAAACTAATTTTCAAAAATCAAGAAGCTCGTTCAGATATTCCTAGATGTTCTCGAATTTTTGGAAAAGAAATGGATTCTTTGCAAATTGTCCAAATTTCTCGAAATATGGGACTTTTCGACATTTCAAAAACAATCGAAGATGCTGAAACAACTGAAAATCCTATAATTATTGATGACGAAATCGATCGAATTTTGGAGGAAAAACGAAATTTGGTGGGAAAATTGGAAGTTCTTTTATCGCTTTCTGAATCGAGAGCACTCATTTTTGATCTTTTGGAAATTCAAAAATCGGTTATTGAGAAGTTGGAAAATGCTGCACTGGATATGATTGGTGAGACTAATTTTTGGAATGAAAATTTGGATTGAATTCAATTTTCCAGAGAATCTGATAAAAACCACAACAACTTTGCAAGCCGAAAAAAGTGTAGAAGAAATGGCGGCAGATATTGAGAGCAATTTTGTGACTGAAGAGAATAGCTCAAATTTAGAAGAAATGCCAGAACCAATTGTAAATTTCAAGGTCTGTAAATAAATATCCGAAATTCCCGAAAAATTCCCAGCCATTTTCAGACAAATCTAATCTCAGTGCCTCGTCCAAACATCAATGGTCTTTACATGTTCAGACGTCCTCTTCCAATTGCTCCACCAACGATGAAACCAATTCAGCAACTCGAATTATTGGCAACACCAAAGCCACAAGCTTCAGCTGCCAGAATTCATGTGCCAAGTTTATCAGCTCAAGAAGATATTATTGAAATGTAAGAATTTTTGAAAATCTACAAAATTCTGAGGGTTTTTGAGCCCAAATGAGCTCAAACTATTCAGCACTCAATCTTGTTTAACAATCCCAAAAATTTGCAGCCCAGCCGATGATCGCGAAGTTTGCAAACAAGTCGAATGCGATTTCGAGCAAGGATTGTGCAATTTCGAATCGTCGCACGACGAGACTACACGATTACACCACCAAATTCGACAGAAACGCTCATTTTCTGAAGATATTCTGGATGATATTGATAATGTTGCTGAGGATTTGTTGCCTTTCACTTTTAGAGCATGGAGTATTTGGACAGGAAGATGGGAAAATACACAGAAACAGATTGATATTGGACGTAAGTTTGAATAAAATCGCATAGAATTCCGAAATTCTCTCGAATTCCAGCCATCTTCAAACCTCAAAAATCCCACTTCGCCGGAGTTTTCTTGGAACCAGAACAAGCTGCGATTCTGTCAACTCCTTTGATTCTAACTGGAAGATCAACAACAATTCGATTTATGTTATTCGAAGCATCTCGTGGAATGCGACTTCGTGTTTGTTGTGATCGATTCTGTCCGATGGAAACTGAGAATGGATTATTTAGAGGACATCGAAAATGGATAAAGAGAAGTGTGACGTGTCCACCGAATACACAATCGGTTAGTGAAAATTAAACCTGCCACGTCATAACTCAAAACACCTCTATTCAGATCTCCTTCGAATGTCTAAATTCAGGCGCTGAACGCGGAGCTTGCGGAATAGACGAAATATTCGTCAAACATCCAAAATGTGCTCAATTTTTTCAAGGAGCCGATCAACGCTAAAATTTGATAATTTCAATATTTTCCTTCAAATTTGACGGGTAAACACGGTGTTTTTTGTAATAACAAATTTTCATATATTTCAACTAGAAAAAACATATATGAAAAAACTACGGATTGTGAAAAACGAAACACAGGATGAAGACAAAAAAGTATAGAAAAAGCAATAAAAACACGGGGCTTTTTAGGCCTAAGAATATGCATAAAACAGACTTAGGCTTAATAATCGTCTCCACGAGAGACGATTTCTTTCATTGTTGGACGCATGAGAATTGTATGTTCCCATTGAGCAGTGTAACAACCTTTGACATCACAAAGTGGTGGATATGGATCGACGATTCCCTAGAATATTTGAATTTTGGTGAGAATTTTCGAGCCGAAAAAAATTCTGACCAAAAAACTATGAACTTTTCAAATTGTTCTAAACATAACATTTTCATAGAAACATCAAACTTCGCACAAATTCTACCAAATTTTCCTTCAAAAATCTCCAAAACACTCACCTTATCACACAAATCTTTCAACGACATCAAATATTTGGTCTCTCCAAGTCGATCAATCCAACGACGACAAAAAGCGAGAGTACTGAAGTTCTTATCGATCAAATTCAACAATCCTTTCGATTTATTCAAACGAAGTGGAATTTTCTCATCGGCCAAATCAAAGTTCTTCATATAATGCGATGTTTCCATATCATCATGAACATATCCTTTTCCAGTTGATCCGAAAGTTTCGATCGCATAAATTTCGTTTTCTTCCATTTTTGTTTGTTCTCCGCCTTTGACAATTGGAACTGTTTTTCCAGCGTGGATTCTGGAGAAAAAATTGAATTGTTTTCAGCACGAAAGGTTTTTTATTTTCTTTTTTTTACATCTTCTTTTTTCCCACCCAAAAACTAAATCTTCCCGACTCACCTATATTGTGCAATCGAATGTCCATTCAAATTACGAATCGGTTTAACAACATAAGTTTTTCCATCCAATTCAACTTCATGAGATGTCATAACTTCTTCAACAACTTCTCCAACATCACAAAGACGAACATCAATTCCAGATTCACGAATTCCAGCATTTGTTGCTTCTTTTACAGCTTCAACTAATGGATCGAATTTTGGGTCGAAATGGACGGTGAAAGCGGAATCGATAAGACGACCGCGAACGTGGATTCCGTAATCGATCTGGACATTTTAATTGTTTATAATATTTGGATTCCAAATCTATCTCCCAAATTTCCATACCTTGCAAACATCACCATATTGAAGTACAGTAGTATCTCCAGCATTTGGTGTATAATGAGCAGCACAATGATTCAAAGAGCAACCAGTTGGAAAAGCCAAACCCGCTTCCAATCCATTTTCCTTGATCAATCTTCTCGATGTAGCCTCCAATCTCTCGCAAATTTCAATCATAGTCATTCCAGGTTTTATCCATGATTTAACATAATCTCGAACTTGTCGATGAGCTTCAGCAGATCTTCGATAATCTTGCCAAGTTTCTTCATAACTTGCATCCAATGCTTTCTTTTCCTCATTACTTTCTCGATCTGTTGCAACTCTTCCGTCTTTTCCTTTCAAATAATATGGTGTTTCTTCTTTTCCGTGCGGATAAATTCCATTTGGGAATTGTTCATCGATTGGTTTCATTGCATTGATTTCATCTTGCCATGCGTTTTTTTGAGCTTCGATTGTTTCGGTTTCGGTGACTTGACTGGTCGAGCCTCCTGTAAAAAATTGGTTATGACGTGGCAATTAGAAAATCCTGTTTTTTGGAAATTGTATTATTTTTATAGTAATTTTCAGGCCTTTTGTAACACTTCCCAAAATTTCAAATTCTTAAAGAGCTCAGAATTTTCGCTATTTTCAAACTTCATCAAGAAATCTTTCTCTCAAAGCTTCTTCGCATCATCACGGCTCCGATCCCCCGACATTTCACTTCAAAATCAACATTTTCCCACTTGAGCCATCTGTTTCTTATAATTTTCTCACCTTTTTTAACATTTTTCTTCTTATTTGCGGCCTCTTTTTCAGCAGTTTTCTTGTCGGCCACAGCTAATTCGGCCAAAATCGCATCGAAATCTTCTTCTGGGGCGGCGGCTGGAAAAATAGGGAGGTTTATAATATTTTTGACAAAGGAACTTGAGTTACTGTAATGAAAAAAAACAATTTTCGTCAAATAATCGGTCTGTGAAATTAAACATTTTGTCAACATTCAAATGAATCAAAACTCATTTCTTTAATCTGTTGTCATTTTTTAAACTCTAAATTTCAGAGATTATCAAGTTTTTCATGATAAAATTGCTTACCTTTCGCTCCTCCCTTCTTTCCTCCTTTTTTCGCATTTGCTGGCGGCATTACTTTCCTAAAACGGATAATTTAAATAACAATTTTTTTTTTCAATCAAGTGATTTAAAAATAAAAATATTTCAGTGTTTTCACAAAACACATAATTTTCAAAGAGACATTTCTTTCAAAAAAAAATCGATTTTTTAATTAATTAACAACATGCAATAACAAAAAAATATACAAAAAACCGGTGAAAAACGTATTCTTGAGATCATAAATTATCTGAAAAATTTCAAATATCACATAAGATCAATCAATAATTTCCCCTATTCATCATTTTTAGATACGAATCGAAAACAACACTAAAATCCACATTTTTTCGATATATTTCGGCCAAATTTTCGAAATCGAGTTCTGCAATTTCAGATTCTTCCGATTCCGATTCTGAATCCGAAATCTCTTCAGAATCCTCTGAATTCTCAGCCTTTTCTTCAACTTCACAAATCTTCAAATTTTCCAATTTTTCTTCAACTTCTTCTATTTCAGTCTGGGTTTCAATTTCAGATTTTTCAACTTCTACTTTCAGATTTTCAGCAGGATTTTCCATTTCAGTCTGAACTTCAATTTCCTCGATTTTCTTCATTTTTCTAGCCAAATCATAATTCCAATCAGCTTCTAAATCATCCAATTTTTCCTTATAAATATGTACACGATATTTCCAGACATTTGGTGGATCTCGAATTGGAACCTGAAAATTGAAAAGTGTAAATTGTCTGAAAATCGTGAATTTCATCATTTTCAGTGAATTTTTGGAGTTTCCAGCCAAACATATAGTTTTCTCAAAAAAAAGCTGATAAACTCACCACCGGTCCTACATTATTCCTAATTTCCTCGCCATTTTCGAATTTTCTCGAAAATTCTTCGAATTCTTTTTGTAGCCTAGCAGCATAATCTTCATAATTTGTTTCGGCGATCTGAAAATAATATATTCAAAAATGAAAAAAAATTGGATTTAAAATTTTTCAAGCGTGAACTTTTTATGTGATTTTGGAAGTCATTTTATAAATTTCAATTTTACACTAATAAGGTTGGATTTTTCTTTCGGGTTCTATTTAAATTACCAAACTTCTCATTCAAAAAAAAATTACCTGAATATGCTGCGAAGTCCTTCCACTCGCCACCAATCCTTCTCTCGATTCCCTTTCTTTTTTCCGATCTTCAATCACTTTTTTTCTTTCCGCTTTTTCTTTTGCTCGAATTCTTCTCAATCGTTCTTCAAATGGACATCTCATATTTTGATCCAGTTCAAATGGTTCTTCTTTTGTGTTCCATTTCGATTTCACATAATCCAGCCACACATTTTTTGGAATTTTCGTTTGAATTCCGATCATTTGTTTTTTGTTGTATTTTAAAATATTATTCTGGGGTTTTTGGGTGGTTTCAGGTTCATTTTGTAGCCCTTTCTCCAGATTTTGATTTTCCGATTGTTCGGAGGTTGTGGGCTCATTTTGGAGCACTTCATTGTCCAACTTTTCCTTGATTTTATACTCATTTTTATGGATTTTTCGGGCCAATTTTTCCTCAATTATCTCCAAAGTTCCTGATTTATTTTCCAAGTTTTCAGGCTCATTTTCAAGTTCTTTCTTCAATTTTTCTAGAATTTTATCTCCAATAAATGGTTCCTCTTCCAAATTATACTTCAATTTCGCATAACTTCTCCATTCTTCAACCGTAACAGCATCTCTAATACTCATCAATTCTCCGCGCATATAAAACTTTTGTTTGGCTTTTTGACGAGTTGGCACAAATTTGAATTTTGCTTTCGGTTTTGGTTCAGGCTCTGCCTTTTCTGGTTTTTTTTCAGGCTCAGATAGTGCATTTTTGAGCTCGTCTAATTGTGTGGAAAATGGTTTTGGTGGATCTTTTTTCGCATTTTCTTTCTCTTCTTCTTCTTGTTCTTTCTGTAAAATTAGAGTAATCGAAATTTTTTCAAAAAAAAAATTGAAAACTTCAAAAATACCCACTTTTCTATAATCCTCCATTTCCTTATTTTCAGCAACTTCTCTCAATTTCACCATTTCTTCTCTAGAATACTTATAATTCTGCACAATTCCAGCCACTTCCCGCTCCTCCAATAATTTCCTAACAGCTTCTTCCCGCTCCGGAACTTTATCCAAAAACTCATTCGATTTTCCCACTTTCTTTTCAAATTTCACGAAAAATGGGCATTTTTCGAAGAAATTTTGATTCACGGGTAAATCGTGGGGTAAACTATCGATCGATTTTACTCTTTTCACTTTTATTTTGCCTCTACAAGCCATTGCGGTGAAACATTTCTCGCTTTGTTCATTTTCTAGCAAAGTAATTGCTGCTCCTTGTCCACCGAATCTGGCGGCTCTTCCGATTCGATGGAAATATGTTTCCGGATTTATTGCAGTGTCGATGTTGACGACAAGATTTACACGATCAGCGTCGATTCCACGAGATGTCTGCAATTTTACTTTTTTTCTAAGAATTCACATATATTTAATTTTTTCTTGTTTTCTATCTCGACAAAAAAACCAAGTTTCTTCAGTTTTGAATATCAGAATTCTCTGTATAAAAAAACTTACCAAATCCGAAGAAACCAAAATCTTCACAGAATAATTTCTCAACTGATCAATAGCTGCTTGTCTCTCTTTTTGAGACATTGCACTAGACACAAATGTCGCCTGAAATCCATTATCCAATAGGAAATTGCATACTGGCGCGCATCTAAAAATAAATTAAAATAATCGTGGAAGAACGGTTTAAAATAACTAACTTCTCAACAGTGTCACAAAAAACGAGAGCCTGACTAAATTGCACAGTTTTCATCAACGAAATCAGCGAGTCAAAAATCGGCGAGCAGTTTGTTATGACGTATTGTTTGATGCCAACGAGTTGAACATCTTCCGAGCTAAATCTAACCAATGCACAATCTCGAAGAAATGAGGAAAGTAGAACATCTAGACTTCTCGGATAAGTTGCAGAGAAAACGGTGACTTGGCGGACTGGCGGAAGGCAAGAGATTATGAAGCTGCAAACATTTATTGATAAAAAATTAGGCTAAATTCGGTTTTTATCGATATAAATCAGCTTCTCGTGGAAAACTCACTGAATATCTTTCTGAAAGCACTCATCCATCAACTTATCCGCCTCATCCAATGCAAAATAATCAACAGCCGATAAATTCAACTCTTTTTTATTGATCAATTGACAAATTCGTCCAGTTGTTCCAATTACAATGTGTGGTGTATTCTTTTTCAATGTGTAAATATCATCTCGAAGTGGCATTCCACCAACAAAAACTCTACAAATAAGGAATTTGCCAAATAATAGGGATTAGAAAATTAAAAACTTACGCGATTTTCGCCATAGCGGGGGCAATTTTTTTGACAGTCTCTTTTATTTGTGTGGCTATTTCCCGTGTTGGAGCAACGATCAACTTCTGCACGTACTTTTGCTTGGTATCCACATTTTCCACAGCCAAAACAGAAAATACTAGCGTTTTTCCGGTCCCCGATTTTGCCTGAACTAGCATATCTCGACCCATCAAACCAATTGGAATCGCTTTTTCTTGAACAGGCGATGGTGTTTTAAAACCATGCGCATTTAGGCGTTCTAGAGTTTTTGCGGAGATCATCAATTGTTCGAATGAGCTGTTCGTTCGAACATCCACTGATTTTCCACGATCGTGGACTTCGACGATTTCGTCAAACTCCATTTCTGAGAAAAGAAACGATTTTTCAAGGAAAAGCGACTCGAAAAAGTTGAGAGAGGTTTTAGAGCTTCTGAGGATCTTGTTTTCTCAAAAAATAAAATGAAAAATCGGGTTTCACCCTGACAAACTGCTTGAAAAAAGTTAGGAAAGGTTTTCGAAATAAAAAATGATTTTTTGAAAGTGGGCGGGGCTTACTGGCAACTGCCGCACAATTGTTTGCAGACAGGCAAAGCTGCTCTATTGTGACGCGCCAAACCACCTTTTCAAAAAAATATTTTCTTTTTTTGTTTTGTTTTCCACCTACCTAAATCAATAAAATCCAGTTTTCAGAATGGCTTTATGGGTTGACAAATATCGCCCCAAGCAATTGTTTGGTAAAGATGGTGTGACTTTCAATTTGGAACAAGCACAACATTTGAAATATCTCGTGTCTGACAATAGTATGCCTCATTTGTTATTCTGTGGACCAAGTGGAGCCGGAAAGAAAACGAGGATTAAGTGCTTGTTGAGAGAGTTGTATGGTGCAGGAGCGGATCGAACTCAGTTACTTGTTAAAAACTTTGTAACACCATCGAATCGAAAGTTGGAAATTCAGACTGTTTCGAGTAACTATCATATTGAATTGACGCCTTCGTAAGTTGCCTTTGTTTCTTTTCGAATTTCAAATCTGTAGATTTTGACTTGCTAATCATAATCAAATTTTTAAAAACTTTCAATCTCAGCGTTAAATATAATGTATGTAGCGACGTTTGGGGCTATAGTAGGCTAGAACTGACTTACGAATTACAGAAAAACATTTTAGAAATAAGATCATAAGTATTTATGAAATTTCTAAAAATGGCAGTCGATCTAAATTTTTTATTTCTCACGTCAAAAATTATATTATTCCAGAGATGTTGGAATTTACGATCGTGTAGTTGTGCAAGATATCGTCAAAGAAATGGCTCAAACATCTCAAATCGACAGCGGTGCTCAAAAACCATTCAAAGTCGTAGTTCTTTCTGAAGCTGATAGTTTAACAAGAGATGCACAACATGGACTTCGACGAACTATGGAAAAATATGCGAATAATTGCAGAATTATTCTATGCTGTGAATCGCTTTCTCGAATCATTGAACCACTTCAATCTCGTTGTATTGTTGTAAATGTTCCAGCTCCAACAGAAAATGATATTTCATTGATAATTCGCGATGTTTTGAATCGTGAAAGAGTTGAGATGCCTGAAGCAGTTATTGAGCAAATTATAAAGAAATCTGAACGAAATTTGCGCCGAGCACTTTTGATGGCTGAGGCGACAAGAATGCAGAATGGAAATACAATTAATGACAATTTTATTGTGCCGAAACCTGAGTGGGAAACTTATATTGAAGAAACTGCAAAGCTTATTTTATCCAAACAAAGTAGCGAAATTGTTGCCAAGGTAAATAAATTTTGAATTGAAAATTATAGAAAAAAAAATGAAATTTTTCAGGTTCGCGAAAGAATTTATGAGGTGCTTTCGAGATGTATTCCACCCAATATTATTTTCAATGTGAGTTTTTAATCCAAGATTAGTGTAAAAATATTTTTCAATTTTTCCTTCCAGAAACTTCTTGAATTCCTTCTGCCAAAATGCGCCGATGAAATTGTCAGTGAAATTGTCAGCGAAGCTGCTTATTTTGAACATCGCCTTGTTTTGGGACAAAAAGCCATTTTTCACATCGAAGCTTTTGTTGTTGCTTTTATGGATATTTATTTAACACACTCTTCGAAACCTAAATAATTTTTGGAAATTTATTGTCTCAGGAAAAAATTAGCGACGGTGCCGCGACCTTTTTTCTTTTTGCAACGGTACCGATACCTATTTGCCAGAGTACCGCACTTTTCTTGTGTTCGGACTGGTACGGAACAAGTTCGGCACCCGAACAAACTCAAAATTTCCGATTTTTCGAGCTTTTGTACTGGTACCGGACTGATGTTGCTCTGGTACCGTACGGTTTTTGCCCTGGTGCAGCGACGTCGCGGGTACTGTGACAAAATAGGTTCGGTACTGTCGCTAATTTTTTCCTGAGGTAGGATTTTGGGTTTATTGGAAATTGGCTGGAAAAAATTGAACGTTTTATGCTGAATCATATTATCGATTTTCCCATAAATTTTCCAGCCATTTCCCAAAAATCCACAAAAATCGCCGTTTTTTTTCTCTGCCGTCTCTCTGTTGTAAATAACTATATGAATTCGTTTTCTCTAGCCCTCTCCACATTTTCACACTCTCTCGCCATTGGTTTTTCTGCCAATCGTTTTTTCTTTCACTTTTTCTTTTTTATTTTTTAGCTAGTGTGTGTGTTTCTATTTTTGTTTGAAAAAAAAAACACAAATTTTAAGAAAAATGCGAGAATCTTTTGCTGAAATGATGGAATTGAACAAAACAATCGATGCTGAAATTCCGAAAACTGTTAAAACGAGCAGCGCTGAAATTGGAGAAATTGACAGAAAAGTGAGTTTTTTTGGCCTGGCCGAGAAATTTGAATTATAAATATTTTCCATGTGGATTTTGGGCTGAAAATTTATTTTTACATGAAAGTTTTCATGAAAAAAATCTACATAGAAATTAATAAATTTCAAAAAAAATGATATTGATACCAATTTTAATTCCAAAAATTCTATTTGAATTAATCAATTTTCAGGTCACAAAAATGTCGGCCGATGCTCGAAAAATGGTTTATTCGTATCTGAAAAATTTGAAATCTTTCAACAAATCTCAACGAGTTCAAATGTATCAAGAAATCCAAAAAGTCTATGCAGAAATCGAGAAATTGGCAGATAAAAAAGTGAAATTGGCACAAGAAGCATATGACAAAATAGATGATAGTATAACTGCAATGGATAGAATAAATGATAAAATGGCTGAAGAATTCAAATCGAAAAAAGTGGAAAATGCGAAGAAAGAAGTGAAAAATGGTGAGTTTTCGGGAGATTTTTGGCGGCTATTCAAAATTTTTATTTCTCTAGAAACCCCGTCTCGAAAAGCCTCGACTTCTCGAAAACGCAAATCAACCACAATTCCTGACGCAAAAGCCGCAAAATTCGCTGAAAGTGAATCATTCGCCAATGAAATTCAAGAAATCACTCCACAAATTTATGGCCAAATGGATATGCCCGTAAATCCATTTGAACCAGTCTACTGTATTTGCAAAAAGGTTTCGTCTGGAAGAATGATTGGATGCGATAATTCGGAATGCGAAGATGAATGGTTCCATTTTATTTGTTTGGGAATTACGGAAGAGCCAAAAGGTGTTTGGTATTGTGCAAAATGTGAACCACTGATGCAAAAACAGAAGAAAAAATAGAGCAATAGCAAACATTTTAACAACAGTTTTTTCAATATTTTTTCTGCATATTTGACCAAAATTATCTTTTTGTGCATTTTTTACTGTTTATTTTCCAAATTTCAAATGCGGTGTGTGAAAAAACAATTTCTGCAACCCTTGCACATTTTTTCTTCGCTTTTCACATACTGCGTTAATTTTTCTGTATCTACATTTGAAATTGCGGGTTTCTATGTTCTTTTTTTCTGTCTAATATCTCATGAGATCTTATTTTTGTTGAAAATCCACCATTTGTCTTTTATTTTATGCTTTTGATTCTAGTGGAATTTTTGAAATGTTTTTTTTTTGAATGAAATGAAGTTTGGAATTTCGAATCAAATTGGAAATTTGGTAAAACAACAAACACAAATCAAGAAAAAACTTCTTTGTTGAAAAAAGAGTGCGGGAAAAAGAGCATAATTTGACAGTCTGTGTAAATCCAAATGTTAAAAAAAATTAAAGATCAAAAATAAGTTACAAAAAAGAAGAAGAAAATAGAAAGAGAAGGGGTAGAAAATATAGGGTTTTTGTGAAAAACACCAATTTTTCAAATTATTTCTAATACAAATAATTAGTGCTTCTTCTTGGCTTCTTCAATTTTGGCCAAATACGATTTCACACTATTTTCCTCAAATTGTTGCATTTGTACAATCCATGGATGCGAAATGACTTGTTGTAATGGCAAACGATCCGATGGTTCTCTTTTAATAATTGCGGCGATCAGGGATTTTGGCAATTCAGTGATTGTTGATGGGTACTGTAAAAATTATTTAATTTCAGTATTGCTCATGTTATTCCTGTGAAAAATCCACGTTTTTCAGACGTTTCGATATTTTTTCATCTTAGAAATAGTCTAATTATAAAAATCAATTTTTTTAATTTTGGTTTTATTTTTCAATTTCCAGCACCCTTTTTTTTGAAGAAAAAATCACTTACAGTAACTTTACAATCCTTAATACGTGCAATTAAAGCTTCACTACTGTGTTGAGCAAATGGTGCATATCCGGCCAACATTTCAAATGTCAAAATACCAACTGCCCAAATATCGACAGAATAATTGTGTGGTTCATTGGAAACCATTTCGGGTGCGAGATAATCCATGGTTCCGCAGAGGGTATTGCGTTTTGAATGGTCCGCTACGACACTCCAACCGAAATCGGCGAGCTGTAAGAATATTTTGGTGGATTTTGAGGTGGAAAATTGACAGTTAAAAATGAAAGTTTCCCGACCAAAAATAGATATTTTCCTATTATTTCCCTTTCAAAATCGTAATCTTTACCTTCAAATTTAATTTAGCATCCAAAAGCAAATTCTCCGGTTTGACATCTCGATGGATAACTCCTTTCGAGTGACAATATTTCAACGCTTCCGACAATTGCCTCACAAATTTCGCCGCCAATGGCTCATCAATTCGATGTCCTTGTTGAGTTTGCAAAAAATTGAAGAGTTCTCCACGCGATGCATAATCCAACATCACAAAAACGCGTTTTTCGTCGTGGAAATATCCGAAAAGTCCCAAAATATTTGGATGTCGAAGGTGATATTGAATTTCAATTTCGCGACGAAGTTGATGACTGACACCCAATGATAATAATTGACTTTTGAAAAGAACTTTCAGGGCGACAATTCTTTTTGTCTTTTTCTCGCGTGAAATAAACACGTTTCCAAATTTTCCTTTTCCCAGGGGACGCCCGACTTCGAAATCATCCAAACTCCAACCAACGCTTTGTTTTTGAGCTTGTGATTGTGCTTGTTTTTGTTCATTGACCTCGCTGTTTTGTTGGATCTAGAAAATAACAGATTTTGAAAACTCTTGTCTTAACTCCGAATTCGAATTATAAAGTGGGGAAGTTTGTGACTAACTAACTCTGAACAAAAAAGTATATATACTTCCAGAAAAAAACCAGCATTGCATGTAGTTATGGGCTTTTAAAGTTACAACCAATGTCACGTCATAACTCATATCGAAAGAAGTAAATACGTTTTTGACGACGTAATCTTGATTAGCGTGTCGAAAAAAACTAAAATAGTGAAAATAGCAAAAAATTACCTGCTCTGTGCTCACCGGCGCATCATTTTCTTTTCCAGACATTTCGTTGAGTTCCTAGAACCAAAAAATAGATAAATAACGGGTTTTCACGTGAATTTTCACGATAAATAAGAAACGCAAATGAGAATTTTGCAAGAAAATCGAAAACGCGAAGAGAAACACAGAAAAAGCGAGTTTACGCGGCAAACAACTTTTTTGAAAATATTTTTTGTTCCGCGGGCAAACCGCGTCATTTTGCGGAGTCTCGTTGTTTTACTTTCGTTTTTTTTTCGCTTTTTCTCAGTGTTTTTTGATGTTTCTTGTGAGAATCTTATATTTTTCAGCGAAGTGAATGCTTGGACCAACTGGAAAACGACTAGATTATATAACCTGGCATCAATATCATATGTATATGGCAATTGTAAGTGGTTTTTCCCTTTAAAAAACGCAGATTTTTAATATAAAAATTGTTTCCAGAATTCAGAAGAACGCTGTACTTTTGCGGAGAATCCAGTTGGTTGTCTAATCGTCGATCAAGAAAACTACATCGTAGCCAACAGTTTCAGCCAAGGAAATTATCATGAAAAACATGCAGTCTTCATCGCCTTGCAAAATAAGCGAACAAAATCGGCGGAAAATTGCATTTTATACACTTCGAAATTTCTGGAGTGCGATGAATGTGTGGAGAATTTGATCCAGGAGAAAATTGCGAAAATTTGCTATTTATCAGAGCCTGTAGAGAATAATTGGCTGGAAAGGCTGAAAACCGCAGGGATCGAGTGTGAAAAATATGTGAAGTCCAGGAAAATTGTGATTGAGATTTGAATTTGAAATATTGTATTTAGTAGTTTATGACTCGCTGATTGATTATCTTTTCGAAAACTATTTGACCGAACTCAACTTTGAATATGAATTATGACGTGGAAAAGTTTATAATACTTTGCAAAATGGTTTTTATCTGCTTTAACTTTTGGAAAATATTGTAAGTTCAAAAATAAGTTGAAAAATTCTCATTCCTGAAGTCAGTCTTGGCAATCATAATTTTCAAGCTTTGCCACGTCATAAGTCATATTCAGAAACGGGATCATTCTCAGCTGGTTAGGAATTACTAGATCACATTTGTTTCATTTGAAAAATTCTTTGTATTTAAATTTGCTTTATAAACGTGACCTAATCCAATAAACCAATTTTTTTGATCAGATAAGAATCTGAAAAAATAGAAAAAAGACAGTGAAAATAGAAAGGCTGTTATTATTCGATTCACCGCTTCAACTAAATCCGACTTGCAACAAGAAAAGTTGAGTTAGCACAAAATATGACGCATTTGAACTATGAGACTCGTTTGCCATTAGGCCAAGCTGTTATCGATCAATTTTTGGGTCTCAAACCTCATCCAACAAAATGTCAAGCGACTTATGTTTGGATTGATGGAACTGGTGAAAATCTTCGCTCAAAAACCAGAACAATGGAAAAAGTGCCGAAAAAGATTGATGATTATCCGATTTGGAATTATGATGGAAGTTCAACAGGGCAAGCACAAGGAAAGAATTCCGATCGATATTTGAGACCAGTTGCCAGTTATCCAGATCCATTTTTGGGTGGAAATGCTAGACTTGTTTTGTGTGACACTTTGGATCATGAAATGCAACCTACTGGTAATTTTTTTTTTTGAAATTTTGTCTCCAATTCAGAATTTTCTCATATATTTTCAGCCACAAATCATCGTCAAGCTTGCGCCGAAGTGATGAACGAAATTCGCGACACAAAACCATGGTTTGGAATGGAACAAGAATATCTTTTGGTGGATCGAGACGGACATCCACTCGGATGGCCAAAACACGGCTTCCCAGCTCCACAAGGAAAATATTATTGTAGTGTTGGAGCGGATCGTGCATTCGGTAGAGAAGTTGTCGAAACACATTATCGTGCTTGTCTTCACGCTGGAATCAATATTTTCGGAACGAATGGCGAAGTTACGCCTGGACAATGGGAATATCAAATTGGAACTTGTGAGGGAATTGATATGGGAGATCAATTGTGGATGGCTAGATATATTATGAATCGTGTTGCGGAACAGTTTGGAATTTGTGTATCGATTGATCCAAAACCATCGGTAAGATTTTGATTTCGAACATTTGAATACCTTCGGTCCTAACTAGAAACAGTTTGGAACAATCTCAACCTCAAGTTGAGGTCCTCAACTTCAAGCCGTAATTCTATCCTAAACCTTCTCATTTTTCAGATCACAATGGGTGACTGGAATGGTGCTGGCTGTCACACCAACTTCTCTACCGCTGAAATGCGTGCACCCGGTGGAATCGCAGCCATCGAAGCAGCTATGGACGGCCTAAAAAAGACACATCACGCAGCGATGAAAGTGTATGATCCACACGGTGGACAGGATAATTTGAAAAGATTGACTGGAAGACATGAAACTAGCTCAGCTGACAATTTCTCTTGGGGAGTTGCGAATCGCGGTTGCTCAATTCGTATTCCACGACAAGTTGCTGCGGAGAAAAAGGGATATTTGGAGGATCGTCGCCCATCTTCAAATTGTGATCCATATCAAGTCACTGCAATGGTTGCTGCTAGTATTTTGCTAGAAAATTAACCGCCCGTATTTTTTTTAGATTAGAAATGAATGATTTTAGAAAGAAGCTTTTGGCTGGAATAACTCAAAAAATATTGATTTTTCGGCTATATCGCATAAAAAAATTCCAAAACAATAACAATTTCATATTCCTCTCTAACTTATAAAAAAACTAAATTTTCAACAAAAAATCTTTAAGCCCTCGCCGAATTTTCAATAACTTTGGATGTCAAATTATTGGAATTGAAATAGACAAAAAGACAAGCGGCAGATAATCTCGAAATCAATTCTTCTCTTTCCAATCCATGCGACCATTCAACAGTTCCCCATGTTTCAGCTTGTGTTCTTTGTTCGAGAGTTGTAGCATCGACGGCTTGTTCAGCATCAATGTGATGACGAATTGCATTGTAGGCGACGACGAAGGATTTGATCTGGAAAACAATCAGAATATGTTTCGCTGAAATTCCCTGATTTATTTTTTACTCACCGATTCAGTAGCATATTGCAATCCAATCAATGCCGGAAAATTATGCGATTTAATCCATCGTTCAATTTTCTCTTTATCCTGTTCACTTGCCACGTCACAATCCAAAATATTTTGACTTGGTCGAACTTGAATATTCAAATCGTTGTTCAAATTATTAATTAGCGGTCGCCAATTTTCCTCTTGATATCTTTCCAATTTTTCCGATTCATTGTTGAAAAATAGAACAGTGTCGCCGTCAACATAATCGAGCACTTTTTGAGTTATTGATTCGCTAGAAAAATGAGGAATGTCTTCAAATATTCAGCTTTCATTTTCTAAATAACAATTTCTGAAAAAATTTACTTATCCGATTTTTTTCATAGAGAATTATCCAGATTTTGATTTTTTGAATGAAATATTACTTCTGGAAATTTTTTCAAAATTAAAATTTTTGGGGATTTTCAAAAGTCCACGTTCGAAAATTAGTTTGGCGAATAAAAAACTATTTGAAAATTTTTTTCAATTTTTTTTCAGAAATTTTTGCGACAGGAAAACTACGTTTCAAATTTTCTTGGAGTATTCCGCCTATAACTCTCAGCTCTAAATTTCCCTTCCCCAAAAAATGACTCACGTGGTTTGCTCCAACGGATTATCCTGAGCAGTGAAAGCCAAACCAGTCAACCGCATTTGTCCCAATCTCAAAAATTCATTTTGGGAAGCCCATTCTTCAGCAATCGCCAAGGCCAAAGGATAGGAATCGAGCTGAAAATGTAAAAAAAACCGTATTTCCTGACTGACTAAAAAAACAATTTTTATGCCCGGAAAAAGTAGCAATAATCGCATTAAAAAATACATAAAACTTTTTTTTCTGAACTAAAAAAGTCTTATCGTTTTTTAGTGTTATTTTACTTTGAATCATACAAAATCATACAAACAGCCTACACGAGAGTAAATAAGACATTTTCTACTTATATTTTTATTTATTTTATTATTTTATACATTTGCCAAAAACTTTTTGAGAGATATTTACATATCGATTATTTTATTATTGATAAAAATTCGAATATTCTTCCAACGGAAAATGAAAAAATGACAATTCACAACGCCGGACTTCATATTTTGGTAGTTTTTGTGTTTTTTGTGGTAAGTGAAATTTATCCTAACTTTCCACAAATTTTATTTTCAGTTCCTATTTTTGCTCTACTTATTATGCCGAAAAATCGACTCAGAAATGATTAAATCGCGATTTTCCTCTAGAAAATCATCAATTTCTTCGAAAGCATCACAAATTACTCCACGACAATGTGCAGTAAATCTTGTAAATACGAAAAATCCCACTTTTGTTTAAAAGAAAAACTTCTCCGAATAATCAATAAAATTTTAAAATTCACCTTTAAAATCTTTCCACCTTGTGTTTTTAGTGTCCGATGATCGAGAAGAATTTTATGAATTTGATTGCCTTTTTCATCAGATTCATTGACGATTGAAACTTCCTAAAATTTCAGAATTACATCATTTTTCAAATTTCCCGCCTAAAACTCACCTTATAGAAGCGTTTTGGTTTGCTGAGCGCGGAAGCATTACTCGCCACAAATCTTCTAATCGTAATTCCCAAATTCATATTTCTGAAATTGAAATTATATCAGGATTTTCAGTTGAAAAATCGAAAAAAAGTGCGAAAAAAAAGAAAAGAAAAAATACAGATGGTCTAGGAATTCTGTCGGTTTCTAGGCCATTTTGAATTTTTGTTTTTTAAGGCACTGCTGCAGCACAGTTTATTCTTGATTTTTGGCTAGTAGACTCAAAATGAGACAGAACATTCAGTTGATTGTTGAACAGACCCAATTCTTGACAATCAAGTCGTCCATATTTTCTCTGCATTTTTGTGTCACGGTCTTCACAACTTTTTAGAATATCGTTCAAAACTCTTTCAATTCATATTGACATCATTAAATATTTTATTCAAACACAAGATTAATATTAGTTAATCAATTAGGTCAAATTTCAAAAAGCGAGGTTAATGTGGAATAACTTTTAGATGACGGTCAATGAATTGACCGTGATTTCCAGCATCGAGTCGTAAGGCGTTGGGAACCAAGATGTTGCACGCAGTTTCGACCTGAAATATATGAATTTTTTGAACTGACGAATTATATTAGGAAAAAATTCTCAAAGTAATACCGATAATTCGGCATTTCCTCCTCCCATATCAGTTTGTACCCATCCTGGACAAAAAGAAGCTATAAGAATATTTGTCTTCCGCATTTCAATAGAAAATGACTTGGCAAATGAGTTCATCGCTGATTTACTCATTCGATACAAAACCAAGGGACCATTGAAACTTCCATCAATCATTTGAATCGATCCAGAAGTTGATGAAATATTGACAATTGCTGCGCGACTTGTTGAAAGTTGATCGCCATTTTCAAGGTTTGCCGATTTTTCGAGAAGTGGCAGGAATTTTTGAATCATTATCAATGGCGAGGCGGAATTCAGGTTGTATTGTTCGATTATTTTTTCACGGCTAACTTCGCTGGTAAATTCATAGGGTATTAGAATTCCGGCGTTATTCACAAGCATTGTCAATCCATCAGATCCTACAATTTTTGAGATATTGTCGACGGCTGAATCAATTGAGACATCGTTAGTTACATCAAGTTGGATGATTTGGATTCGAGGGTCCGCGATTTTTTTGAGCTCCTGGAAAATTTCAGTGGTTTTACTATTTAGAAATGAATTTGGCTTGAAAATTCTTTTTTTTTTCAAAAAAAAGTCCACTTTTTTTTTTAAATTTTCATTCTTTTTCAATTTTTTTCTTTTCAAAAAAGTTTATTTTTAAATTTCAAACTTTTCATGAGTTTTCGCAAATTTGAGCCTAAAAATACAAACAAACCTGCGCATTTTCAGGATCTCGACAAGCTGCAAAAATGTGTCGAATATTTGGGAACTCTGTCAATTTTTTGACAAATCCGAGACCAATTCCTCGATTTGTTCCAGTCACCAAAACACTTCTCGGCTCATGAATAACTTTCAGCTCGGCATTTTCAGACATTTTTGTATTCCTGGAATTTATATTTTGTATTATTGTGATAAAATGTAACAAAAAAATAATTTTTTCTAGGCAAATATGTAGGAAAATTATTAATTTTTGTTACATTTATTACAAAATATTAACCTGAGAATGAGATATACGAAACAAATGTTATTTTTTCTTTCTTGAGAAAAAAAAAGAAAAAATCTATATTTTTTGGGAAAAAAGAAAATGTGCATAAATAATAAGACGGTGTTGTGTGTATCCAAATGTGGGCCAATTAATTTTGGTCTTTTGGAACCTGTTTTGGTTTGTTTTCTTTTCTTTAAAAAAAGACATTTTTATTGTACAAAAACAGAAAAAAAGAGAAAGAACAACAATTAAATATAACCGTATATAATCAAAAAACAATTATTAATTAAAAATCACTTTTGGGAACAAAAAATCAATAATAAAATGACATTTTTCGAAGTTGCATCAAATCGTCAATAATGTGATATCTGCAAGAAAAAAATCTTGATTAATTAGTCTACAAAAGTATCAAGATAAGGAAAAAATGTCTGGAGTTTTGGGAAAAGTTGAGAATTTTTCTGAAAACTAAAACTTTCCAACAAAAATTACTGAATCTTCACTAGCCTTTTTCAAAAATTTTAGGCAAATTTTTTATTACTGGCTGAAAATACAAAGGAAACATCAGTTAACTTGTTTAAGATAATCTTCAAAATTAGATTACAATTTCAATTTTTCCAAATGATAAGGCCACGTGGAAAAAAAAGTTTATTTATTAATCTGAAAAAACAGCGGAATTTTTGAACCCGAAGAAAAAATGTCCGCATCAAAATGTAGGCCTAGCATTTTTTAAGCTTACATATTTGGTCTCAGAAAAGCTCAATTTTCAGACCAAAGCTTAGGCTCATCTAGTTTTTAGTCTCTCCAAATAACTCACCGATTTCCACCCAATCTTCTCGCCAAATCATGTTTATCACCATTCGATAAATGCAAATACTGCTCAACAACATCACCATCAACCATATTTCTCAAATTCGCTCCATTTTTTATCGGCTCCGGTGGTTTTGCAGAGCGTGCTCCTTTTGTGTGCAATCCAGCAATTTGCGGTGTAACACTTCCAATCAAAGCTTGCAAAAAATGAAGTCTTCGATAAGTTTTCTCCGGCAACGCTCGAATATATCCAAAACTACCATCTAGACTAGAAAATAGTGTCGTCTGTTTTTGATCAATCGATTCCAAATTTTGAGGCAAAAGTGAAGTATGTCCTTTGATTCGCAAAAACGCGTTTATATTTGTTCCAATATTCAAACTGGCTCTTAAAACCAATCTTTCTCCACCATTTGCTTCTTTCAGTTCGGGTGAATAATTGAAAAGTGTAACATTTCCGGCTTCATCGGATAACAAGAAACCCAGTTTATTTCCATCGACTATAAACTGAGCAACCATTGGTGGTTGTGCACATTTTCGATCATCTCGAGATGTTACTGACATTGCTTTGTAGTCTTCCTGAGAAATTGAGAATTTTGGGAAGAAGGTTGAAAACTTTTTGAAAGATTGATAATTTTATATTTAAAGATTTTAAATTTTAAAAATCACACAGGGGTGCGAACACTACATAAATTTGAATCGCGCGGGCGCTGGCGCATTTCAATTTTTATCAATAGAGCGCACATTCAACATCGACTTTTTTTTCTGTTGCAAAAAAACGTTTTTTCAAGTTTCGAAGAGATTTACGAGTTGATGGGTGTTTTTCACATGTTCTTGAGGAGTATCCGAGATAGAAAATCACATTAGAATTTTTTTGAGACCTCAACGATGAAGATCGGTGCAGAATGAAAGGTGCTGATGCCATTTGAAGACAGACCATTTTTTCATTTCAAAATCTGTTTTTTCTTAATTTTGGTTTTATTTCAATTTTTACATGTCAGGCTTAGAGTGGGATGTAATAACAATGAATTTGATGATATTTTCGATAGGTTTCTTGATTTTTAAAAGTAAGGTACCAGCGCTAGAACAGAAAAAAATCACTCAGAAAAAACGTTGAAAAGTTGGACTTCTCGATCTAGAATTTTGAAAAGTGTCATATTTTTTGATATTTAACTTTGTTCTGAACGATTTTGAGTAAAAATAGTAGGCTACTAATAAGCTATTGTCAGAGAAAACCCTCATAAAAGATGGTTACCTTCTTTTACTAGATAAATGTAAGAATATTTTAATAATATTTTGTATAATATCGATCGACAATCGAAGAATACATACAAAACTGTCGAAAAATTTCAGTATTCACAGTTTGAAAGACCCGAAACTATGATTTCGAGGGCATGGTTCAAAAACATCAATTTCCTGCTTCAGTAATTTTTAAAATCAAACTAAAAATATATAATTTTGTTTGTCTATCTCCTCACATGTAGAACTACTCCGAAAAAGTCGGTTTTGAACCGGCTTCTAGAAAAAAAAACAAAAAAAATTTCGGTGGCGAGAGAGTGTGTTTGTATGAAGAGACGCAGACAAACACACACCACACCACACACCTCGCGCATTTTGCTGGCGCATGTCGCGTTCGCACCCCTGTGAATCACAATGTCAAATTTCTGGCGATCAAAAACTCCATTCTCTCGGATTTTCCTCAAAGTGTACCAAAAAACCTTACCTGAAATCGAATAAGCGAAACACTTTCTTCAATATCACAAGCCAATGCAATATTATGAATCGAGAAAATTTGATTGATATAAAAATGCATGTCAAGGAAGGAAAGACCCATCAAATCACCATCTTTGTATTGCCACATGAAAATCTGGAAAAACCCGAGCTATGACGTGGCACAATTTGAAAACTCTCACCTTCTGTCCCATTCCAGTCACCAACAATCCATTCATCGCACACAATCCAGTCACCGGTCCTTTTTGCTCCGTATCATATAATACCTTCAATTTTCGATTTGAAGTCGGTTGTCCTGGTTCGGGAACAACTTCAATAACTTCACACAAAATAATTCTTCCACGAACTGATACTTCTTCTCCATAATTATTTACTGTTGCAATTGCAAGATATGTTTCGAGTCCAGACATTGTTGATTCAGATTTGAGAGCGACATCTTCGCAAGCGGTTACAGCTTCCATTTCTTCGAATTTCAGATCGGTGTTGGGCACTGCGTTCCAGTCTTGGGACGAGAAAAGCTGGAAGAAATTTGGGATTGTTGAAAAATAAACTAATTGTAGACATATTCAAAGTTTTTTGTCTTTTTGTTCTCTCTCCTCAAAAAAACCCTCTTGAAAACTCACATTCAACGTATATTTTGGCAATGCGGGCAACATAAAATTCTCATCCTTCTCATGAATCTCCTCTTGTTTATCATCATTAATAACAACCCAAATCTTATTCGATTTCACCGGAACCGAACTAACAACCGCATAAACATCCGGTTTACTCAAATATCTCACAAAATGAATGGTTTTTCCAATTTCGATTTTTTTCACCGGATATGGCATTTCGTAGTCAAAATCTGAAGCGAGTTTTGAGATTCGAAGTTCGGATTCTTCATCATTTGTCAGGTAAACGAAACCATGTTTCACATTTTCATTATTGAATGGAGTGAAGGCTCTGCAAATTAGGAATAGGGTTGATTTAGGCTATGTTGAAGAAAATAATATTCAACCCAAAACTCACTTGATATGTCCATCGATAGCCATCGGATGAGTTTGAATTCCGCCCCAAGACCCATAAAGAATCAAGGTTGGCGCAGCGCCAATCACAAATACACCATTTGTCTGAAAAAAATTATTCTGCATAGTCTACTAATGTTCCAGTTTTTCCCCAAAAAATACTCACCACTCCTGAAATCTTTTCAAATTGATGAATCAATTTGAATTTATTGCTCTCGGTTCCAATCTCGAATGGCTGTCGTTGTCCATCGCTTCCCAAATACGGAGAAATCCGCAAAAACACATTATGTGGCAATTTTCTGAAGGCCACACACAAATGTTCAGCAATCGAATTTTCCGCCGAAAACATTTCATACATCACAATTTGCTCATCAATAATTGCCATCAGAATCGGATGCGATTGATTGATTCCCATTCCAACAATTTGAGCCTCATAGACTCGTTCCTCCGGTTTCAAGATATCTGTGGTAGTTTGTTCTTGCGTACTTGCTGCAAGTTGTGCTTTTGCCTTCCTTTCTTTTTCCTCTTCTTCTTGAGAAATATCCAATAAAATCTCAGGAACTGTTCCAAATTTTCCAATTTGAAACGCGATTTTCAAATCGGGCAATGAATGAATCACAAGTCTCCCATTTTCATGTGCCAAAATCAACCAAAAAGTGACATTTGCCATGGGTCCAGTTGGATCAATTGCATCAGATTGTTCGCCTCCTTTATTTGACTGAATCGCATCAAATCCCAATCTTTTCCTTTTTCTTTTCGAACTTTCCGAATTCTTGCTTCCCTCATTTTCGATATTCACATTTGTCTTTGATGTTGATTCACCATAAAGCAAAAAATCATCATCATCCCCATATAAATCTTCGTCCAAATTATTTCCATCTTTTTTCAAATCATTTTCATTATTTTCTCCACCACTACTAACTTTCATCATTCCAGAAGTGTCACTGTAGATTGAGATTGATGTAAGAGTTGTAGTAAGTGTGTTGGCAAATGGGGTTGAGGAAAGATTGACTTCCTGAAAAATTTGGAGAATTTTTTTAAGCTTGTTTTTGTTAATTTAATTTTAGGTTCCCGTAACCATAATTGGAAACATGAATTTTTTCACCTAACTCCTAAAAAATTCAAAAGCTTACCGTTAATTGAACATAAGGACTTGTAGCTAATTGATAAAGTAGCAATCTTCCATTCTGTGTCAAAAGCGCAACATACGGATCAACAATCGAAGCCATAACAACCGGAAAATTCGAATTAATATGCAATTCCTGCAATTGTTGTCCATCGGCAACCAAAGCAATACAAGTTGAGGTAACTTGAACAGCAAGACCGCCTTGCAACAATTCGCCGGCGGCTACTGTAGGTTCGCTTGAAACAAATAACTGTTCTTCAAGTTCAATCATTTCTTCACCAAGTTCAAGAACAAGAGTAGAACGAAGTCTGGTGACTAGCAAATATCGATGTGATTCATCTTCTTTTCTTCCGATTGCCCACATTTGTTCAGCACCGGTAAGAACACTACTTGTAATGATATTTGGGCGAACAGATCGTTGAAAAACACAAAGTCCACCATTTTTTGCGTGTCCTGTTCCAGCAACAATATCAACTATTGGATCTTTATGATTTTTGTTTTTCAATTCTTGACTTAATTCGTAGGGGGCACCATAGCACATTGTTTTGACGGGTCCGACATTGAGAAGTCTATCGAGCTCTTTGAATTGTAGCGATTCTTCCACTTCATCACTGATTTCTTCCTCAACTTCTTCTGTTAATCCATCACCATATAATTCCAAATCATCTTCATCTACTTCAGCAACTGTTTTGTTTGTCATTTTCTGTCGTTTTACACCATTTTCAATTCGCTTCACACTATATTCCAAAAGTTGGGAATCTCCTAATCTTGAACCAAGGAACAAGTGTCCTGGGGCACACAATGTGAGCGTATAAGCGATAGACGTTTCAAAAATTTTATTGAATTCCAGCGCTTTGACAGTAGTTCCTCCTGCAGCGGTGACCAATTTCAGCAACCATAATTCACCTTCTTTTGTGCCAATAACAATTCTTCCATCTTCCATGTAAGCTTGAGCTGAGCAATCTAGAGTGATTTTCAAGTGTTGCATATCTTTCAACGGGAACTTGGTATAAGTTTCATAGCAACTATTCAACATCATTCCGCAAGGAGGAACTGCTTGATTCAAATAAACCATCGTATTCATTCCAAAAACCATAGCACCTCCTAATGGTTTTGGAACAGCTAGGAGAGTGTTACAATCCATTGGAAGATTTGAAGTTTGCCAAACTACTGCGAATTGTCGATCAACTATATTCACAGAAACACCCATTATACACATTGTATCATATCTAACACAAGCTCTTCCTGGTGTTGTTTGCAATGGTTCGTAGAGAAATAGAATTGTTGGTGAATAATATCCATCCAGGAAAATCATATCGACAACATTATCCAGTCTTTTATCGATTTGTTTGAGGGGGATAATGTAACTTGTGATTCGCTTCGAGTTTTCGAAAAATGGGAGAATTGCGATATGTTTACCATAGACCAGCATTGCAGCACATCGATTAAGCGGGTCGGACTGAAAACAACATTTTTTTTCGAAAAAATCTTTACATTCGAACTTTATCATTTGAGATTTTCAGAAACCGCTGAAAAAGTTCCCTTGTTTAAAAAAGTTCTTACTCGAACTATTGGATCTGGAAAATATCTGTTGAAACCATCCCTCAAATACTCGCTTTCAAATGCGTGAAGTGACATAGTTTGCATAACTCGCTCTTTTTCTTTAATTGCGATGATTGATAGTTTTGCATGGTCGAATGCCATAAGAATTGAATCTTGGTCAGGTAATTCTACAAGTAAAATTATGATTTCTGAAATGAATGGAAAAAAAACTCACGAGGAATTCTGGCAACCGCAACCGATGTGCATTTATTCAAAAGTCGGCACGAAAACATGCATTCTAGCTTGGTCTTCTGTTTCCATTCATCACCTCCCGGCTCCGGTTCCACTAACAGATATGGATTCGTCCGAAAAACTCGCAAATATTTTGCGCCAATCGTCAAAAGTTGGCGGCCTGTGTTTTCGCCGGGTAGAAACTTTCCATACGCGCTGAAATTGACGGTCGTTGAGTCGTCCGTTTCGCGGAAATACGCGTGCATTTTTCTGAAATTCTACGTCGGTTTTAGAGCTCGAAAAAGAAAAAATGAAAAAACGCGAAAAAATTTTTTTTTTGAATAATGTGCGTAAGATGTGTTGTTTGCGTAGTTACGGTGTTTGCACACTTTCGAATTTTTTTTTTGAAAAAAAATATTTTCAATTTTGTTGAAGGTTTTCACTTGGAAAAATAAAAAGATGAATCCAGTTTTAGGATTTTAAAAATTTGGAAAAAGTAGGATAATTGATTCTACTTTTAAGGTTTTCATATTTCGAATATTTTTAGCTAGATTTTCATAACTTTTCTGATATCTCAAAATGTTGTTTGATCTTTGTTTCTCTGCTCTTTGAACAACTAAAATCACACGCCCAATTTGAGTTCGTTATTTTTTGTCATCATTTTTTTCATTTTCGTCTTTCCTATTTTCTCGATCCATAATATTTTTTTAGGAAACATGGCGCCAAGAAGTGTTTTCATCACCGGAGCAAATCGTGGAATTGGTCTCGGACTTGTTCGCGAAATCCTCAAAGTTTCCGGCGTCGAAACCTTGATTGCTGGCGCCAGAAACGTCGATTCAGCCAAAGAGCTTCAAGAGATCGCTAAAGCTGACAATCGTGTTCACTTAGTTTCAGTCGATGTTGCAAGTGATGACAGTTTGAAAAATGCAGTTTCGAAAGTTGCTGAAATTGTTGGACCAAAAGGATTAACTTTGCTTATCAATAATGCTGGAGTTATCGAAAAATATGGATCGAGCTCAGCTGTTGATCGTCAAACTGTTCTTAAATGTATTGATGTCAATGCTGTTAGTGCACTTTTGGCTTCCCAATTATTCTTGCCACTTTTGCAAAAATCTGCGGGACTTGTTTCTGGCGATGATCTTACTGTTGATCGTGCTGCCATCGTCAACATCGGTTCTGATTGCTCATCTCAAACTCTCAATCTTCGTGGTTCAGGACCTGGTAATTCATTGTTGGCCTATAAAATGAGCAAGGTAATTTTATTAAAGTTATCTATCTGAAATTATCGAAGAATGTTAAGGTCGCGATGCTTAGTTTCACACGAACATTCGCCGCGGACTTCAAAGCTCAAAATATCCCAGTTTTGGTTACTTGTGTTCATCCGGGATGGGTTCAAACTGACATGGGCGGTGCAAATGCCGAAATCTCGGTTGACGAATCGGTTTCGAAGATTGTTGCTGGACTTGCGAAGCTCAACAACTCACACAATGGTGGGCTTTTTAATCGTGATTGGGAAGTTATGCCTTTCTAAAGTTTATTGTGATTTTTAAAGGGAGATGTAAATGAGTATATAAATTATAAGTTAGCGATTAAAGTGTATCTGAATCCCATCTTGAAACCTCATCTGGTTCTTCCTCAATTATTTGAACGGTTTGTTGAGGAATCGCAAATTTCACACGGTAAACCGCGTCTTCTCGCAACATACTTCGCATTGAAGTTCTAAAAAAATTTAGCTTCAAATAGAATGTTGGGATCTTTAATTAGGGAGTGTGGAAACTCACGCTTTCAATGGGTACATCCGATTGTCTAGTTCCGAATTCTCCATCTCCAATTTACTATAAGCCATATGTTTGGTGATTTGAGATGTGACTTTTCGCAGAGTCGAATCTTTGCGCATTTTTGGCCTGCTAAAACCCGCCTTGTGTTTTATTTCAAAACTAATTTTTGGTTTTATTTTTCTTATTCTTACCCCTGAACGAAGTTACTGATTATATGAAACAGATGCGATCGAAATGTGCTACTCAAAATCAACATTAATGGAAATGGTAAACTATAGGAAATGGCGAATAGCATGTTCTGCAATTACAGAAAATTTTCAGAGAAATTTTTAGATTTTTACCATGCGATGTTCATCGAAGACTTCGGAATAGTCAAAACCGTAGAATATCACATGATAGACAATACCAATATTTGCCACCGAATGCGAGATTATTAGAGATAGCAAAAGTGGAAGAAGATTAGAAAATAATGGGGTATGTTTAGCAGCGTATGGACTGCTCAGTTTTGGCAATATACATCTTTCAGCTATCATGAATGTTAATGTGCAAACCGCAGAAAAACAGTATAAAATTGCCGGAATTGTTCGAATCCAATCAGCCTTCAAATGATTGTCCTTGGCAGCTTCGGTTTTATGAGTTTCACTCATCATCACCATACGACCACTGGAACAAAAGTTTCAGAATTGGAAGGACGCAGTAGGTTTCACTTACTGAATTAAACATGCTTTGTAATATATAACATATTCGAAGCAAAGGGGCATGTTGAGAATTGTGCCGACTGGAAATAGGCAGAACATTTTTTGCCAAGCGACCCAGGAGAGCGAATTCCAGCGACGGCATCGCTAAGAAATGAGAAATTAAAAAAAATAAAAGTGACGTGACTTTTCAGACGTCCTCATTTCTTCAAATCATTTCACTATTACAGAAATATTGAAAATGGCAGCAGTTTTGTTTTTGGTGAGTTTTTTCAGTCTTCATAAGAGTTGTAAATATGTGAGAACTTACTCTTATACAATTCAACAACAATAAAAGTCGCATTGCAAAACATAAGCACAACGTGGAAATTACAAAATGTACAAAAGAAAGTATAATTGGCAACAAGTTGACAGCAATCCACGTACTCCCCCTGAAATTTTTTTTTGTATCTGGAATTAATTTTTTGAAATAACCTCTGATACTTGTCCGTTAGAATTTTCAGTGGAAATGGTGTTAGGAAAAACATGAATTGGAATATTCCAATAATCCTGATGTATGAAAAACTAGCAGTTGCTAATTTTGGGCGACCAGAGAAAACTACGTGGAGGCACATATTTGAAATTAGGCCTCCCAGAACCAGAGATAAATCGGAGAGCACGGTGAGCAATGTTGTTGTATTCTCCTTGAAATTTCGAAATTTTCTCAAAGAAACTCACAGAAAAATGGAATTACCTGCTCAGTGCACGGGTAAACCGGAGTACTAAAATTCGCCATGAATTATAGAGAAACTGAGAAATCGAAAAAATATGCCCCTAGAAATGAAATATGTGTGTTACAAATAGGGGCTAATTTCAACAAATTCCTTATCGACTTTTTGGAGAAATATAGTTTTAAAAATTTTTATTCATAAAAATAAAAAAAAATAGAAAAAAGTAGCGAAGTTGGAAATTAGCGTTTCCGTAAAAACTGAACACATCAAAAAACATAGAAATATGAATGAAAATAAAAATAAGTACGTTGAGCTATAAAAATTGAGATGCGCACCTGTTTCAATCAAATAATACACCATTCACATCTATAGAAAAAAGTGGTAGGGAGGGAGGGGAGGGGGTTTTTCGAATCTGAAATTTTGATTCTTTCGGGCCGGGGAAAGACTAGGCAAAAACATGAAAAAGAATAACACTAAACCTGACACTAAAACGGGGTTGGTTGATGGAATGGGGGAAAAGAGGCACTTGGTAGCATGACTTAGAGAAAACATGTTATAATTATTAGAAAAAAAGGGGAAATTGTTTAGCACCATTGGTACCCAGATTAGGTGAAAAAAAACTATAAATAATTATTTTGAATTTACGCAAATCTTATTCCGGATGTATCCTTCGTTGTTGGGTCCGAAGAATATACCTGTCCACCGGCTCGTAGGCCACCAGCCCCTGAAAAAGAAGTTAGTTGGGATGGGATAAGCGAGGACAGTTTAGTCGGTGTTTGCAATCAGGAAAAATCGATACCTTGTTATCTTGATACTCTTATAAGTATAAATATAAATAAATAAAATATCTGGATATATGATATATATAATTTCTATAAATAAACCGGTGGTTCACTATAAAGCTGATATTTTGATTTAACATATCTAGCGCGCAGTGGTCCTAAAAGACACGTATACGTAAAAAAAAGAAGGAAATCAAAAATAAAGAGAAAAACTCTAATCAGTGACATTTGGTGACAAACACGAACTTTTTTGTTGCTCCAGTTCTCGTGCGATTTTCAATCGTCGATAAGAAGCACGAAGTCGATCGGCTGTTGAAGTTGTCAATGAATTTGGATGAGAATCATCGTTGACAGATTGGAACGCTTTGACGACGCGAATCTGGAAATTCGTGAACACACGTGCCTCGTGCTCTATACAAAGGATGTTTGGAGAATAGAAAATCGATTCTATTCACGTACTTTTTGAGGAGAACAGCGAAATTTCATTCCGTTGTGCAATTTTTGCCGTTACAACAGAGCAATTCAATTTTTGTTGGTGAATACGTGAATAGAAGGCGATCATTCTCCAGAAGCGAATTTACTCATATGAAAAACACAACATACCTGCGTTTGCAATCGAGTCAAACCTAACAACCAGAGAACCTGTCCAGGCCGTTTCTCATCACCAGCTGATGTTCCATCTGGTTTCAATGGTAATTGCGATGTGCTGCTTGGAACATCATATTCACCGCTCAACAAAATACTGGTTGGTTGAACGTCGCCTTTTCCGAATCGGAACGATTTTGGCAGAATCGATGATGGAATACAGTTGATCACCTAAAGTGAACACTTTCTACTAACTAATAATAATAATGATAATTATTAATCAATGATAACACACGTGCTAATCGTGAATCAACTGAAATCGGTTAATGGTTTCTTTTTTCTTGCTCACCTGTCCCCAGATGAGTTCTCCAAGACCGCATGCGATGCAAACAATCCATTGAGTTTGATCAAGTGGAGCTGTTGAGAACCATTGACCTCCGAATTGAACAATAAGAATATGCGAGATAAGTGTAGTAATCCAGATAACACAGAAGATTGGGTTAGTGAAGATTCCCTAAATTTTTGAATTGTTTTATTTTCGTAATCATAGTGCTCTAAATCTTACCTTGAAGACATTTCTTTCACCGTGAATCTTTCTAGCATTTATCTCATTCACCAAAGTCATCAATACGAAAGCGTTGAAAACAATAGTGAAATGTTGACTTGGTGGAGAACCCAATGGAGCGTTACGCCCGGATGCTGTATTTGGGATAAGTTTGTCGCCCCAGAAAAGAATGGCGAACAAAATGGCGAGCTGGTAAACAGCGTGTCCAACAATATTTTTGACCATTGTTCGTGAAATGAGAGATTTTGTTCGACCATATGGTTTTCTGTTGAGCAAGTCTTCGGTTGGCATTTCGGTGGCCAATGCAAGAGAAGCCAAAGTGTCCATAATCAAGTTAACCCAGAGCATTTGAACAGCTTTCAATGGTGAATCAGAAATAGCACAGGCTCCGATAAATGCGATAGTTACGGCAACAACGTTGACTGTCAGTTGGAATTGCAAGAATTTAGCGATTGAGTCGTAAACGTTACGTCCCCACATAACGGCCTAGAAAAATTCAGAATTCTTTCAAAATCACAAAATACAAATTCTTACCTTAACAATTGATGAGAAGTTGTCATCAGTCAAAATGATATCTGAAGCCTCCTTGGCAACATCAGTTCCCGCGATACCCATAGCAAATCCAACATCGGCTTTTTTCAAAGCTGGTGCATCGTTGGTACCATCACCAGTTACTGCAACAACTTCACGACTCTTGGTAGCTTTACTGTCAATAATTCCTTTTACCAAAACATATTTGTCACTTGGTTGAGCTCTAGCGAGAACACGAAGTTTTGGCCAGATTTGATCCAATTTCGCTTGATTGACTTTTCCATCGGCATCACGAATTCTAGCATTGAAATCTTTTCCTTCCAAAGCCAAGAAATCGCCTCCAGGTTGCATAATTCCACATTGAGTAGCGATTGAGCGAGCAGTGTTGATGTTGTCACCTGTTACCATTCTGACAGTGATTCCGGCATTTTGGCATTTAGCAATAGCGGCTGGAACTTCTGGGCGGACTGGATCTTGAATTCCCATAACAGCGATAACAGTCATTCCTTCTCTGATTTTTTCCTCATCTTCCCAATCAATAGTACCACTATATTCCTCTTCATATTCCTCTTTCTTGGTACCAGCTGGTACCAAATCTTTGAATGCCAATCCAATTGTTCTCAAACCATCAGATGCCATTGGTTCGATAACATTTGATGTCATTGTAGCGGTTTCGGATTTAGTGAAATCTTTGATGTTTCCACCTTTACCGAAAATGTGTGTGCATCTGTTGAGAATAATTTCTGAAGCTCCTTTGGCGTAGATTCGATATTTTCCGCTTCCCAAGTCCAAAACTGTCATCATAGATTTTCTCGATGAATTGAATGTATAAACCTTATACAAATTCTCCTCTGGATATTGTTTTCTCAAATCCTCATAACTTCTTCCAGTATCCAAAATGAATCCCAAAAGTGAACATTCGGTTTTGTTTCCAAGTTGTTGTCTTTGCTCTCCTGGATTCTTTGGTGGCACAACAGTTGAACTGTATCCACTGTTCACAACGATTCCATGCAACAAAAAGTCGCGAGTTTTTGAATCCATTGCGTCGTATTTTTGAACTTCTCCTTTGTTAAATTGCTCATTGATGTATTGTTGAACACATGTCATCCGATTCGTTGTCAATGTTCCAGTTTTATCTGAACAAATTGATGTTGCATTACCCATGGTTTCACAAGCATCCAAATGTCGAACCAAATTGTTATCCTTCATCATTTTTTTCACTGAATATGTAAGTGCTAATGTGATAGCTAATGGGAGACCCTCAGGAACAGCAATAACCAAAACAGTAACACCAATAATAATGAAGTTTACAAAATGTGAGATATCGCTAGCCTGGAAGGAGGCACCTTCAATGGCATATTTTGAAATACAGTGTCTGATGATAAGGATAAGAACTGTGGCTGCAGCAACAATTGATCCAATATATCCGATTTGCAAAGCCAAGTTGGATAGTTTAGCTTGCAAAACAGATTTAGTCATTCGTCCAACTTCGTCTTCTTCTGGAACTGGTGGAGCAGCTTCAACAGCTTTTCCATTTCCATTCGGAATACCATTTCCAACTCCATTTGTAATAGTTGCAGTCTCCTCATTTTTATCCTTCTTTTCCTTTGCTGCACCCAACAAGCTCATAATAATACCAGTTTGACTGTTCAATCCAACAGCAGTCACTAAGAATCTTCCAGATCCTTCCATAGCATGAGTGCCGGAAAGGAGAACTGGATCGAAGTCTTCAGATTTACGAATAAGATCGGATTCTCCAGTCAATGAAGATTCATCAATTTTCAAATCGTTTGATTGGATGAGAAGACCATCAGCTGGTAAAAGATCACCATATTTGACGCGTGCCAAATCACCAACAACAAGTTCATTGACAACAATATTGACTTCTTCACCATTTCGAATAACGGAGAACTTGTGTTCGGTTTCGATTTTTGATTGAAGACCTCTGAATTGTTTCTCTTTGGTCCAATCGTTCAAAGCAGTGACCATAACGACAACAAGGACAGCCACCAAAATAGCGACTCCTTCGATCCAACCAGCCTCTTGTTCGGACGAATCGTTACCTTAATGTGAAATAATTGATTAAAGCTCGTGGAGTTAGGATTCTAGAAATTTTAGGAAGACATTTAGAAATTTCCAAGTTTTTTTAAAATATAGTACCAAACTTCTTCCGATCAGCCATGTTTTTAACTCACTTGCATGTTCCTCGGGTGGTTTATAAAATGAAAGACCCAACGAAACGAGTGCTGCTACTAATAGAATAACCAATGTAATATCTTGAAGTGCTTCCCACGCCAATCGGAAGAATGATTTGGATGGCGATGGTGGAATTTCGTTTTTACCGAAGGCCTCTTGTCGCCTTTGAAGTCCGGCTGGATCTGTGGGTAATCCATTGATTGGATCTGTTTTGAGTTTTTGGCATAGACCTTCGACACCACCGTATGTTGCATTTATCTGGAATTAATTTTGAATTGGATTGTAGTCAGGTCCAGAATTTTTCTAATTTCGTTTTGAATCAATTTTCAATGACTTTAAAATAACTATATTTTTGCCCAAATTTCCGATTCAGACATCTGATTTTTTCTCCTTTTTTATTTTCTCGCCCATATCAATTGCCGAAAAGTTACTGTTTAACCTTGTAAACAAAACTCGTTAACATTCTTTTATAGGTAATTGTACAATGTTATCGTTCCTTCCTTTTGAAAAGGTTAACCACAACTTTTTTTGAGGAAACTAATAAAATCAAAATTATTGGTAGAGGGAGGGAGAGAGAGAGAGAGAAATAGAGAAAAAAGAGAACCAGTTTCATTTGATTTGACATCTTTCAAACAAAACAATTAAATTGAAATGAAATGAATAGAAATTTTTGACAAAAATTTGTTATGGAATGCAAACAAATCAATACTGTCCTTTGGATTCAGATTGGGTTTAGACTCAAACTCAAGGCTGGCTCAACTGACAAATTTTCAACAAAAAAACTAATATCTGAGCTATATAAAATAAACCACCCTGTTTCCTGTTTCTAAAGCCCACCTTTTCCAACGCTTCAGCTCCGCGCAATTCCATCAAAGATCGCAGTTCAGCGACCGAACATTCATAATTATCTGCTTGTGGTGGCATCGTCACGCCAAGTTAGCTGAAAAGGTAATCTAATCCGTTTTTTTCACGAAAAAAAAGACGAAGATTAAAACAAATATGAAAATCTATGAGAAGATGGGAAATGAAACAAATTTTTGATATATTAGGTCATTGATTATCACCTATTTGAGAGAAATGCATTTATTTTCGCTATGAGATGAACAAAAATCGGGGGAGACAGAAAAAACAACAAAAATAATAGTAATCCGGTCGATTGATCGACAATTATCTATCTATATGTTGATTTTTTGCATTGGGTGGTGGCAAAAAAATTGGTTTATAAAAATATAGTATTTAATAATACAAATTTGCAGAACAAAGCAACAAAAAAGACTACAAATGTTTTGGGAATAACAAAATCGTTAAATCGAATGATATCAAATTTTAATGGGTTGGATACACAGCAAAAATATTTTGGTTTAGAAGTTTGGAAACTTCTAAAATAGGCTTCGTTTGGAAAATTCAGATTTTCAGTCAAAATTTGCGCGGGTTTGGAACAAAATTTCCGATTTAAGAAGAAAGATTTGTTGAAAAATTCAGATTCCAGCACATTTTGCACGCGAAAACATGCAAAAACCAGGAGGAATACTAAAAAGATGGCAGAAAAATTGTTTTGGCGCGCTCGCACCCATTATCTCATAATCCCCCTTTTTCTGCTTCTTCTACTTCTGCTTCTGCCTTTTTTGGCTGAAAAAATGCGAAAAAGAGAGAGAAATGGGAGGTAGAGATAGAGAAAATGCAGAAATTGAATGAATGAATGAAAAGGAATTTTTGATGGCGCCGCCGCGGACCTTTTTTTTGCACTTCTCAAAAGAAAAACTAACAAGGGAAACTTGTTTAGGAACATGAACTATTTCGAGCTTAGAAGTCTAGAAGCCTAGCCTAAGCACCTAAGCTTAGAAGCCTATCCTAGATACCTAAGCGAGCTCGAGCCTAGAAGTTTAGCCTGGACACCTAGATCAAGAAGCTTAGGCTTTGTAGTCTAGAAGTCTATAACCCTAACATCAAGCCTAGAATTCCAAATCTATAATTCCATTCAATTTTCAGTCTGGTATTGAAAAAAGGATTTGTGCTTCACTCAAATATTCATTGGGTAAAAATGGGAAAAAAAATTGAATTTTGCATTTCCAATTAGATATTTAGGAACTGCGAACTACAGTAGGACTTTTTTTTGCAAATTATGGCGAATTTCCGGAAAAATCCCATTATTTTTGATTTATCATTTTTGAAAAAATTGTGATGTGAGGAGAAAAAATTAACAAGTAACTTGGGAATAGAGAAATAAAACTGGAAATCGTTTTTGTCTTTTTGAAAACAGAAAGAAAAAAGAGAAGAGAAAAATAAAAGTGATTTCATATCATATCAGAAAGTCGATATTTACAAGTTTAAAAAGAAGACGAAATTTTTTTGGGCAGAAAAACATTTTTTAGGGGCGGAGAGAGGAAATAATGAAAACATAATGATTCATCAGTATGTTTTTTTTCGATTTTTTTGGTCAAAATATAGGCAGAAAAAAGAAAATATTTTATGCCAACCAATTTATATGCAAAACTGACTTGTTTATTTGCATCAAAAAAGTTGCAAATTTGCATTTTCATCTTCGTTTTTGGAAAAATGTTTCAATGATTTGATTTTGAATATTCATTTTTCAGCTGTTTTGGAGAGCTTTGAACAACTGACAGAATTTTTAATTAGAAAAAAATAAAATAGAGAAAAATAAAGTTTCGTCACTTTTTTATCACTTGGGGAGTTGATAAAAAATTACAGTATATAATGGCAATTTGAATTTTAGTAATTTGACTGACAGACCTTTCTCGATTTTTGGATTAATATTCTCATGGTGAAAGTTCTACGAATAAAAATAATTTTCAGAATTTTAATTTTTAAGATCACGAGGAGTTTAGGAGTTTTGAAAACCTAATTCAATATAAGATATTTGTCAGAAAATTACGAGTCTGAAATTTAGTTCGACGTTATTTTTTTTACATTTTTATCGTGATTTTCAAAACGAAAGTTTGTATCAAAAAATTCAGATAAGTTTAATTTTGAAAGTTCATGAATTTAATTGCAGGTTACTCTTGGTTTTCAGCAATATGTTGTTCCAGTCTAACATTTTAGTCAAAGGTAATTTTTTCAAAAGAAAATCTACAACATAGTAAAAAATGTTTTTCAAAAATGAAAAGTAAAACAATATGGAAAAATCCAGAAGTCGAAAAAAAACGAATTTTTATCATTTTCTGGTTGCTCATAGAAACGAGCTCAGCTGAGAGCTGTGAAAAAATGGAAATGCACAAAAAACACTCACTGATAGAGATTAGAGAAAGAAGAAATATGCGAGAGAATCAATCAAAACTGATTATTTTTCGCCTTCTTCTTGTTATTTTTTCGAGCTTTCTTTCATCCGGAAAGGAAAAAAGAAAATAATAATAGACATTTTTGAGGGTGGATTGGAAAGAAAAAAATAGTCACGAGAAAACATAATTGTAGCTTGGAACCTTAAACATTTCTGGACATTTTTTGAAAAATCGGTTAGTTCTACCTACCTACAGTAGCCACGGAGATTTTTTAATCTGAAAATTGGCGATGAGATTAAAAAAGTTTGAACTAATCTCATCGGAGCTCTTGAACATTTTTATTGAATTGAAAAAAAGAAAGAGATTTCTGAGAATTGAAAAACACATTTTTTGAGTGAGTCAGGAAAAATTTTGTAATTTCAAGGCACATTGATTTTTGAGAGGGCTTAGGCTTCCAGGCATCCAGTGAGTCTCACAAAAGCCTGAGCTTTCGTTCCAAGGCCATAAAAATTCTCAAATGATCAGTAAATCCCGATAACACTCATTCTTTCAAATAATTTTTTGTAGGAAAAAAAATCGACCAGAAAAACAAAAAAAAACAAATTATTGTATTTACAATACAAAATTTTATTTTTCTCAAAAAAAAAAGAGTAATTCGATTAGCAGCCCCCTAAAAAATAAAAAAAGTGAAAATTTTTGTGTTTTTAAAAACCGGAAAACAATAATGTGTACTATAATATGTAATGAAAAATTTCGGCCAACTTTTATATGTTACAAAATTGTTGCGTCTGCAAATTTGCATAAGTCTCGATATTTTCGGTGTATTTACGTCACCACCTACTCGAAATTCAATTCTTTTTTGTCCCAAGTCGTATAAATGTACAGTATGACGACGAGCAGAAAAAGTATACATATATTGAAACTTGGCGCAAAAAATGGAGAAAATTGGAAAAAAACGAAGAAGCTTTTTGCGCGTAGTTGGAACATAATCGCAGGAAATGGAGCAAAAAATGGGAGAAAACTAGGTTTTTTGAGGGAAGACGTAAAAATCCTAAAATGGTAGGGACAAGAGAAAATCAAGGAATTGAGCCGAGAAAGGAGTTCAGCTAACTTCCGGATGTTTTATCACAAGAATCAAAAAGAGCTCATCACATTAATAATTTCTTCAGAGGCAAGAGCAGACGAGATGAAGTTTTTCTCGTCCATGAAAAAATTTATTCACATATCTAACAAGTATATCTATGTCTTTTCACACGCCTCATCAAACAAACTGCAAAATTCGTCATTTCTTGAAATGTTTTCAGTAAAGAAGAAGAAGAAGTCAAATTCTTCCGGAAATGTTTGAAAAAAATGAAACGAAAGGAAAATGGAGAAGAAGAAGAAGCTGTCAAAGAAGAAAAAAAGTGCAAAGAATTTTTTTGTGTGCACGAAAGAAAATTGAAAAATAAATTGTGTTTTATAAGAAAAAACCCGAGTTTTTTCTGTTGTTGTTCGGAATGGAATAGAATGGGCGGAACCTAGAAAAACGATATTGGAGATATCCTTCAAAGCCTGAGAAGGTACAAAAGCCTATAAATTTGGAAGCAGAGACCCTAAACAAAGTCAGATTTATCAAAATAAATTTGAAATTGAAATTCATCCTAACAAAGCCTAGTTTATTTTTCAATTTCTTTGTCCACGGCCAAATAAATGAAGAAAAAGGCCTATAAATTACCAGGCTTCTAAATCAAAAATACTCCGAGCCGAGTGAAAATGCACAAAGAAAAATAAATTTACCGAATCCTTCATCCAGGGTCAAAAAAAACAAGAAGAAAGAATTATAAATAAAAGAAAAAGTTTTGAGAAATCTGAATTTCCTGTTTCAAAAAGTGTCCGATTTCTCAAAACTCATCAAAAATTCATGAAATTTTACAAACAAAGCACAACATAATTTTCAATTTGTTCCGGAATCAAGAAAAATCCTAATACACCAAGTCGAATTTAAACAATTACTACCAACGCTAACAGGTGTAAGGATAAGAAACTTCTTCCAAACTTTGGTGCCCAGAATTCGAGGAATTTTCAAAATTCCGAGCTATCTGCTCATAAAAATTGCATGCAAGCTATAAATTCCCAATTAAGTTAAAAACCGTGACCTTTTCCGTAACCCAAAAAACAAAACAAAAATAAAATAGACTTCTCCAGTCAGTCAGCAAGCCGTTCTAATTTCATTTTCCGTTTGTTTCGTCCTGTGAGCCCCCAACCATATTTGTCAATGGGATAATAATGACCTTCCCGTTTTTCCGTCCGTGTGCCTGCTCGGCGAGCAGAGAAAAAATGAGCCACAGAAAACTGGTCAATCGGCTTCTAATCGCGCGGAACTCACAGCAAAAAATGTGATGATGAGACACGAAAATTTATAAATGACATTGGATCGAGAGCAAAAAATGAAAGCGAAAAAAGTGTGCTACCGGAATGTGATGTTCGTACTTTTGATAGTTTTGGGGGAAAAGGGAGGAACGGAAAATGAGAATTTTTGGTTCCGCAAAGAATTTTTGAAGAGATAAAGCATTAGGCGGAGGAGAAATCGAATAATTAGAATTTTAAAGATGATTTTCAAAAGATATTTGACTGTGTAACAATCGTTTTTAGAGACTAGGCATTCTGAGGATCCAAAGCCCTCATCGTACTCGGAAGACCTCAGAAAACTCACGCGTGGTCTTCTAAAATCCCTCAATGTATCTCAATGCTCGGAAAATTCACATCGAGAGTCCAGGAACTGAAATGAGCCCCCAGATGCCTCTAAGAACTTCCAAAGTATCCCATATCTCACCTCGAGTACCCGGAAGTCCTGAAAATTGGTTAGACCTACATTTCAAAACTAGTAAGCGCAAAAAATGAAAGTGCAAATGAGCCCCAAAAAATCTCAAGACAGTTATAGGCAAGCAATTTCCGGACAACCCTATACTATAGAAACTTGATCATACTTCCTACGCCCAACAAAAAATCTCATGAAAAAATAAGCAACAAAAAATTGGCGGAAATTTCGGGTTTTCAGCTTGAGCGCGTTTTTTGAGGAAAATACATGCAGCCGTTTTTTTTTCATATGTATATACAATTATTTGTATCCATGTTTCATTCTTTCTGGGAGGCTTGAGGGAGTGAGTGGAAAATCCAAGAAACAAGAAAATAATTGGGTGTAAAAAATGCAAGTGAGTGAGAATAGGGGGGGTATATGATGAAAACGGAACATGGTCATTAAAATAATATTCATAGCTTTTTCTTATATGAAAAAGATGAGAATGTCGATGTGGATGGATGAGGCAGAAAAAACTGTAATAAAACTTTATTGGGGGAGTACTGTGGATGATTTTTTGAGTTTTGATCATTTAAATTTAGATGAAGCTTTGGTTAGGTTCAACAATTATGGAATCTCGATTTTTACGATATGAGAACGAATTGTTTGGTTCAAATTCAATACATCGATACACGTTGATCAAATCAAATCAAAATTAATATTTATTATGAATGGAAATACAGAATATTGTCGAATATATAAAAGGTCATAACTCCGTTAATTGTGAGTGGCATGACAATACCATTTGGAACCTTTGGATCTTATAATTTTGACCATTTGTACTTGTGGTGTGATGAGCTTGCACATAATTCTCATATAAGACCGAACCAATTCGGATTGCTCATATATTGCTGATAAATCATTTCAACCCACTACCACAATTCTGCGTCATTCTCTTCATTCAAAACGGACTTTATCTGTGGATTCCTGTTTCATGAAGGCTCCGATCAATTCGAAAAATTGTCGTAGTTTTCCTACAGTTCATGAAAAGTCAGATTTATAAACAAATCCAAGTAACAATGTCTTCCTATTCTCATACAGATTTTACGAATTTTTATAAATTTTTGAAGTTATAGGTAAAAAAAATTAGGCTAGACTTCTTAGACTTCACACCTATGCCTAACTAACTCCCTCGTTTTCAATAACTTGTTTTCTCGCAAGCAATTCAAAAAATTTATATATAAGGCATTGTATAATAGTAAGCAAATAGCGTTGAAAAAACTGGGGAAAATAAATTAAATATGAGAGAAAAATATCACATTATCTCGAAAACATAATAAAAATCGAATCGAATCTTGTGGTTTTTCGGTGGTGGTAGAAAAAAAAAACAATAATTACATACAAAAATCAGTGGACATGTCGTGGAACCCGTAGACAGAATTTAGCAGAAAAAATTAGAGGAAATTTGTTGATTTTATGACACTTGTGGAGGTGTTCTTCGTGAGCTATTCACTTCATTTTCTAGTATACAATTCCAATCATTCGAATCGGATGAGGTTGTGGTTTGTTGTGTAGAAGTTGATGATGTTGTCGGAATCGGTGGAGGGACAAAACATTCATACGGTGGTGGAGCTTCGTACATTTTTGGTGGTATTTGATCTACCGGACGGTATAAAGCTGCGGGTGAATCGACAGGTCGAGACATCACTGAAAATTAGATGTTTGATTGGGTAAGAGTTATGACGTGGAAAAAAAAACTCACTATGCATGCTTCGATACATTGGACATCCTGGAATCTTCTTGCACAAAATTGCCATGAAAATCACGCCAAGAGATACGACCAGCACACAGGCAAAAATCATCAACGCCAAATATCTGCAAAAATTAATTTCATTTTCTGATCTTTTCTCCCTCCCTCCCTTGCTATTCATATTTTTTTCGAAAATTTCAAGGCAGTTAAAAAATTCCGCTTCTCATAACAGGAAGCACAATTTCCGGCTTTTGATGGACTCGAAAATAAGTTATTATTATTGTTGTTATTGTTATGTTATTATTTCGTTTCTTTTTTGTGTACAAAGTTCCCTCGCAGACAGAAGAAAAAAAAAAAGAAAAAAATCATCGAGGTTGAGGTTGTTAACACGGGAAAAAAGCGAGTTTGTTTGGAATTAGCTAATAAAAATCATTGGTTTCGAATGTGTTCGATGATTGTTTTTGCTGTTTTATTGGAAGATTAGATAGGAACACGGTGATTATCTGATTTGAAGAGTTTTCGGGAACATTTTCTAGAATATTTATTGTGAGATCTGAATGATGTTCGCTTCGAATTTAATTTGAAAATCAAATTATTGTCATATAATGCTTCAATTCGAATTGGGTCTAATACAAAATCTCAACCTCATAAGTCAAGAAAAATCTATGTCAAGAATAATTTCCTCCGATAAGTTCACATCCCCAACCTCCGATGTCTTTCTAACCAATCTTTTTTTTTCCGAAATCACCACAAAAGTTTCAAAAAACCTCCCCGAGTTTGTTAGTGGCACATACATACACACGAAATTTTTCTGTTGCTTCGTTCGAAATTCCTCCATGTTTTTCAATGTGCTCTCCCTCAGTTGACCCAGCAATTTAATTAGCACCAAAATGTGCGTGTGTGTGTGTGTCTTCTTTGTGTATGTGGTTGCTTCTTTTTTGCCCCCGTTTTTTCCTTCCTTGACGAATTCAATTTTGGTTCGACAAACAAAAAAAAATTTTTGGCGGACACACATACAAAGAAGGCCTTTCTTGCTTCTCTCAAAGTTGATGAATTTCACCATATAATCCCCCGAGGAATTTTTGTTCATTTTTTGGTTACTCAGAATGAGAGAGAGTGAAACACGCCACACAAAAAAATGTGGGGCGAGATAAATTAATTGAATTTTTGTGCATGCAGTGTGGTCTCTGGGTCCAAGTAATTATGAGTTAGTGGCAGACGATAATTGAATTTTTGGGAAGAAAAGTAAAGTACAAAACTCTAAACTACTCAATGATATTGTTTTTTGGAAAAATGCGATCAAAGTCATCCGGGATAATAAATAAAATTCAACCAAACACCTGTTTGCACTAAAACAAGCTGCGGAAAACGAGAGGAAATGTTTTAAATTTCTCCGAAACTATCAAATTTCTTTTGACTGCCTAAAACATTATTTCCAGACTTTTTGTTTTGCTTTTCCATTTTTTTTTTGGTTTTCGTTTTCCAAAAAAAAACAGAACAGAACAACACAAAATAGGCTATTATAGTATTCATGAGTTTTTTGTTGTTTGCTGGACACACTGACCATTCATTTGTATATGTATATTTGTATATATATTTTTGGTTTCGTGTTTTTTGTTTTGTGAATGAACGGAAGAAGAAGAAGAAAATAGGAAACGCGTGAAAAAACAGAATAATAGATATAGTGAGAAAATTTTGGGAGAGGGAAAATAATCCATGGTATGAATAATCTTTGATCGAAATTGGGAATGAGGAATTTGAAAAACACTGGGTGGGTAATTGGAAAATCAAACAGAAGGACATAGGTTCGCGGGCCTGACAGCCTGACCTAGAGCTTTATCGTTTCTGAAGGCTCAATCATTCTTTCAGGATTACCCCCTAAACCAAAACCATGAAATCTTTAAATGTCTTGCAACTTTTCAGCCAAATAAAATTGGAATGCGTGTTCCAAATTACCTTTTCTACTTTTCTCATCAATTTTTTCTTCTTTTTTGTCTCCAACATTTCCTGGTTCAATGCATTGCTCATTGCAGAAAAATGTCTTAATTGCTCATCCATCAAAAAGTCATATAAAACAACTTTTTTTTTCATCTTACACAATTTCTGCATCACTCGAAAAAGTCGAGAATAAGAAGAGCGCAAAAAAATTGTGCGGAATAATTGAGTTAATAAGTGTGAGAAATTGCTCTCATAAATGTTTAATTCTTGCCGTCGCGCGTACTTTTTCAGTTTCTCAATTCATCTTTTTGACCTGATCTCTTGGGATTTTTGTCGCACGCGCCTAACAAAATTCATGGCGGTTTTTTGTGCCTCCGTGTTTTTCGAGCATGTATAAATCAAAAAAATCACTTTGGGGAATATATGAGGCGAGAAAAATGTTTTTTTCACTACTAGCCTTGATTTTTTGGCTCCCTTGGGCTTTTCTTATTTTTTTACAAGAAAGGCGTAGAAAAAGAAAGAAGAAGAAGAAGAAACTTTGTAGATGTGGAGAGAGAGTTTCCGGATTTGGATTTTCGAAACAAATTTGATTTGTCGACTTTTTTGTCAAGAAAAAAGCTTCAAATGTTTGAATGACCGTATATACTTTTCCGGCTTAACAATAAAAACGGATACTGTGGGGGACACCTCAGAAAAACGCTCAAATATTCATGAAAAATTGACCCTAAAACATAGGGAGACAGAGGAGGAAATTCATAAATTTTATATCGCGTGTAAGTGTGACACACAGCGAAAAACAGATGCTTCTTCTTGTCTTGTCAGAGACATCATCATATTGTTTTAAATTTTTGTTTTGAAGATTTTCAAGGATAAATAAAAAACAACTCACTCTTTGAAGAAATTCCGAAATTCAGCATCCGCCACTTCTTTCTTCTGTTTTTCAAATTCTTCCTCGCCACAACAATAGTAATATCGTTCTTTATGACCAATGGTGCCACTTGGAAGTTTTGATATACAACAAAATGTGGCTTTTGGATCATCTTTGAAAGCAGGACATGTTTTGTTGGCAATTCCGGGACCTGAAAAATATAATTGTGGTTTTAGGCGTATCAGAATCAGCTGGAAAAATCGATTAATCGTGCAAAATTATTGCGCCGAAAAACCTGTTTTTTGAATCAACAGCTGATTTTTTATTGTAATTTTCAAAAAAATGTGAAAATATTTTCCGCATAAAAAAGTTCGAAATGAAATATACAAACTACGGGTCACGTCACTGAAACCTTGATAAATTGTCCAAAAAACTGCGAGTCGCTGACGCAACAAACTACTGTAGCACAATTTTCAGTTGTATTCATGTATTTTTCTCATTTTTTTCACTTGTTTTCGTTTAAAAGCAAAGTTATTTAAGTTACTGCTTTCGCTTAATGTTGATGAGTTCTCAGATTTCAGCAAAATAAAGGTGTCGTGTGTTTTTGTGTGTACAATTTTTGCTTCACTTCAAAGATGATTGAAAACAGAATTTTTTCACCGAAAACAAAACAACGGAAAAATTCACCTTTTCTCTTGTTTCAGCCTTCTTTTTTGTCGTCCCTGCCCTTTTTTATTCCAAAAAAGTGCACTTACCTAGCGCTGGACACTGCTGCTCGCATTCTGCAAAATTGACAAGGAAAAGCGAAATGAAGAAGACTAATATCGAAATATGTTGTTGCCACCAGGATAATCGCATTTTCTGTTTAATTCTGAAAGAAAAAACAATTGGAAAATGAAAAAATACATACGAATAAGGAAATTGAACTCGAAAGGAAAGAGGTTAGAAAAAATAAACGAATAAATAAAAAAATTCAATTTGAAATAGGAAAAAGGTCACATGAATGTTCTTGCTACATACAAGAAAAAAAACAGTCACACAGAAAAATTTCGGGCGAAAAATGAGTATTTTTTGAGAGGCGCAGCAAGCAGCCGGCGGGCAAAAAGATACTTGTGTCTTTCGAAGAGACGCAGAGATTTCCGACCAACAAAATATATAGAGAAAATATAGAGGGGCGGAGTCTTGAGCTCCGCCCACAACGAGGGTTTTTTCTTACTTTTTTGCTGCTTGCTGATGCTGATGCCGGCATATGTTTCGTTTTTTTTATTTAGTTGTGCTTTTGCTTTTTTCTGATCAGTGAAGAAGGGAAAATAGTGGAAAGACATGAGAGAGAATGAGAAAAAAGGGAATTGAAAAATTGAAAAACATTGTTCGAAAAAAGTGTCAAATTGGAATTTTTGAATAAATTGAAGGGAAAATTAACATGAAAATATCAAACACGCTCTAATGACCACGTGGAATTTTGAGAAAAAATTGAAATATTTTGTTGGGAAATGATGTGAAATCGTGTCAGGATTCAAAAACCCAATCCGAGTTTCAAAACTCGTAGGAATTTTCGACATTGAATACGACTTCAAAAGCACAACTCAATTTATTAAAGAAAAAAAAACAATCAAGCTCATCGAAAATTTTGAAGAAAAAACGTTTTATAGAAATTACACTAACTCTAATGATTTTTGGAACGAAAAATCGCTGAACTCTTTGGAAAAAAGAAAGAGTGGAAATGACAATTGGAAATGAGAAAAAATCTTCTCTCGTCTCGCCAAAAAAAGTTCATAATATTTTTCGCTTCTTTTTTCCTCCCTCTCATAAAATCACTGAAAAATGATTGACAGAGATTGATCGGCTCTATTTTCTGGTCGCACCGGAAAAAATTGTCATATTTTTGGCGCAAAAAATTGGTGGCCACCCAGAAAATAAACGTCTGGACCAATTTTTCAAGTATCTACAGTAGATTTGGTTTATTTTGTCATGAGCCTAAGCCTAAGATTTTACCCAACTTGATATGAAATTTTCTTCACTGAAAAAATATTCAAGCTCTGAACCCAGAATTTTCGTACAAAAAATGGCAAAAATAAATAAATTCAAGAAAAAACATAAGTATCTTGCTTGTGTTGGTGGCGAAAAAATAAAACAATCGAAAATGGGCCGTTATTTTGTTCGTCCATTTTTTCATGCTCCCATTTTTTCCAGCACAATGTTATGTTTTTTGTGTGTATGTGTATGTGTGTGACAAAAATATATATTTATTTTTTCTAAGAGCGAAAAAGGAATAGAGAAAAATATTATATATAATATAAACATGAAGGCTGAAAAAACGAGCGAAGAAAATATACAAAGTTTTTTTTGTTCCAAAAAATGAAGAACTCACTGCTTATTATATGGGACCTTTGGGATTTTTGCACAAAGAGCACGGTGTATTTTTTTGATGATGAACTTTTTGAAAAAACAATTTTTGTGGTTGAAATTACACAAAAATGTAGTTTTAAATCCCTGAAATCGTATTTTCCAGAATTCGAAAAATTTATTTGAAAAATAGGGACTTTCATAAAAAGTGAATTTCTGAATTGCAGCCAATTTTGAAACGATTCAGGTAATTTTTCCAAAATTTCAGAATTTATAGGGGGTACTGTAGGTCTCAGAATCGAGCTTATGAAATATATTCTAAAAAAAATAAAGATTTTTTATTTTTAGATTTTTTGAGAATACTGTTCATATTAGTAGCTGTTTTTGAATTCCAGAAAAATTCCAAAGAAAGAAAATTTAGAAAATGTGAAAAATAAATCAGCATTGTATTCAAAAAAAATCCTACGTGAAATAATGAGAAAAACAGCTGAAAATCAAACTTTTCTTGAAAAAGTGCAAGTTAATCATAATAATAATAATAATCCGTGTGAAAAAACCACCCGAGAATGAGAAATTCTTCATCTTTTCTCTCTGTGAGAAATTCTCAATTCCAGCTTAATTGGTCTCAATTTTCACGCGCTTTTTTTGTACTTTTTCCACCAAAAAAACCAAACCAAAAAAGTACAAAAACATCAAAGCTCGGCTAAAAATTGGGGTGTGGATATTATATCCGTGCAAAAAAGTTCATTGAGTCGGAAATTTGTCATCAAGAAAAAAAGTTGTCATGGAAACTTTTTTGGTGGAAAAAAATCAAGGTGAAAAGTGAAAAAATTTAAAAATTCAAGTCCAAACAATGTTTATTTGGCCTGAAAATTGAATCTTTTGTCACGTGTATTCCTATCAAAAAAATGAAAAAAAAAAGAAAAAATTGAAAAAACTTTGAACAAAAAAAATTGCGAGAGATAATTACAAGTTTTATCATGAGATGAGATTCTGCTGTTGTCATGGAGTTTTTCGACTAAAATTTGAGAGGCTTCTTTTATTTCTATTGAATCTGAAAATTTATTGATCTACTCTAAAATAATGTTTGCTAATTTCGAAGGATCGGATTCGGATGAAAAATTTGCTGATGAGGATTTTCAAAAAAATCCACGTGGCACTCGAAGATCGGAACGTCGTCGGAGAGATCGAAGTTTGAAATACCTTCGAGCGATCAGCGCCAAAAAATCTAGAGAGGTAGAGTGGGTCGAATCTCGTGGAAACATTTGAATGCTTTTCGTGTTAAACATTTCAGAGATACAGTAATCCAAAAAAATGCGTGGTTATTTTGTTGTTTATTTGTTCAAGAACCACCGAAAAAAGTTTCAATTCACGAAATTAAAGTTCTTCTTTTTGTTTATGCCTTTTTTTAGATTAAACAAAGAGAAAAAAGATGTCACGAGAAATTAAAGTCAAAAATGACGATTTTTCGGGGAATAAAAATAGGAACGCAATGCTCTTTTGAAATTTTCTCACAAGGAATGGTTTTCAATGTTCCCCCAAGGAAAAAACCGAGAGTATGTGGAATGTTGAAGGTTCCCGTGGGTAAGAAAAACCCTAACGGGAATAAGGAGAAAAATGCCTAATTCTCGAGAAAAAATGTATTTTAGGTCGATTTTTACACCATTTTTTGATTTTTAGAGCATCTGTAACTCGATTTTGAATCTATTTCATGAACTTTTCAGTCGTGGAAGTTGTTCAGAATGGTCGATTACGTGTTTGTGAAACTTTTTATCAAAAAATTAGACATTTTTTGAAATTTGGTTTTTTCAGTCGGGGTTTTTCTGATCAAATGGTCACCAAAAAACACAAAAAATAATTTTTTCCATTTTCAAATGAACGGAACTTGAAAAATTTATGACGGTCAACAGACGTAATTTGGTCCGTAGAATCCAAAAATCATAGTCTCGATTCACACAAACTTCTCCTTCACAACGAAAACGTTGATTTTCTATGAATTTTTCAAACTAGAAATTTGATTTAGTGGACTTTTGGGACCAAAATTATTTTATTCCTAATTTTAGTCGAAGTAATACTAAAGTACGCCGTTTGCGCTACAAATGGATTTTTAGACTGACATTTTTCATCAATTTTGAAAAAAGTTTCGATTTTTCTAAAAAATTTCATGGCAAAAATCAATAACACCAAAATTTTCTAAAACAAGGCATTTTTCTCCTTATTCCCGTTAGGGTTTTTCTTACCCATGGGAACCCTCAACATTCCACATACTCTCGATTTTTTCCTTGGGGGAACATTGAAAACCTTTCCTTGTCAGGGAAACATTTTTCGATTTTGAAAATTGAAAAATATATCAAAAATGTTTGAACTCTCATGAAACATTCAAAAATTTTTTAAACGTATATTTTATGGGGTTTTTAATTTGTACAAAACAAAAATGTGTAACTTTTCAATTTTCAGCTACCCCCACCGGAAACCTTGGAAATCCCAAAACCCGTCAAAAAACCGCGCAAAAATCTACAAATCCTTTCACCCACAAACCTACCATCAAAATGGGAAACTGTTCGGCAAAAAACACCCGAAATATTGAGAATGGATCAAAAGAATCGAAAACTTCATCTGGATTTGAACAAGGGTTCAGAGATGAATGCTGCTGGAACTTCGACAAATCAGCAAGGAATTCAAGGTGCTGGTGTCAAAAGTTTCAGCGATGTTGTGAAAACGGCGATGGTGAGTTTGGGTCAGACAATGTTTTGAGGCTGTTCGGAAAATTTGGAAGCATTGAAAATCATTTAAAACGATTTTAAAAAATAAAATTTCCATATTTTGGACACAAAATCTTATTTAAATTTCGAAAAAAGTGACAAGAAAAGGGGATTTTTCATTTGTTGGGTAGATTACGGATAATCCGTCTCATTTTCCGGCTATTCATTGAGTAACTATAGTGACACATTTTCTTATCTATGTATATTTTCAGAAAAAAACAATTAATTTTGAAATGTTTTGCAGCTTTTGAGAAATTGGGTAACTGCCATGGAACACGATGAACGGGAAAGTGAGCCGGATCGAGAAGCGACAACTACGAATTTTGTCGAGGAAAATGAGGAGCGCGCGATTTTGGGAAATGATCATGAGAATTTTACGACGCCGCCGACGGGAATTGCGATTCTCAAGTCACTGATTTTGGATCGATTGGCGTGAGTTTTTATGGGGAAATTTGATGAACTGGAATATGAAAAACGTAGCTAATAGACTAGAAACAAAAACAGCAAAATTCATTTAATCTTCCAGAAAAGGCTACTGGTTCCACATTTCACAAACATCAAGTCTATATTATTATTGGACATGTTTAATAGCAACTGGTATACTCTACAATATGTTAGCTATGGTCATTTTCATCTTTGATGATGTGTTTTTGGGATATTTTGTACCCTGGCTAACTTTGAATTGTATTTTTGACGCACTGTTTTTGCTCGACATTTTTGTGCAATGTCGAATGAGTGAGTTTTTCACTGTATTACTTTTTACAAACGAACTATTTAAACTTTTTAGCATTCAATCACGAGGGAAGCGAAGTTCAATACACCAAACATTTGATTCGAAATTATCTTCGAACTTCGCGAGCCGTTCCGGATTTGATATCAATGATACCGGTTGATGTTATTCTTTTTATCAATCCAACCGTTTCATTAGTCAGAGCGCTAAAGCTGGTCAAAGGTAATTTTTCGAGAAAAAACTTATTAATTTCAAGCACCTTATATTTTCAGCCTATCGCCTGTTCGATTTCATAACACTCACCCAAAAAAGAACAGATTATCCGCACGCCGTCAAAATCGCCTTTCTCTCCACCGCCTGTTATATTTTATTCCACTGGAATGCATGTGTCTACTTCCTTTTCTCATTATTCGAAGGACTTTCGGAAGACGACACAAGTGCTTTCGGTTTTTCGTACTACAAAGTTTTCGACCCTCGTTTCCCAACTTGTCATGCTTTTTTTGATAACGATTGTTGGTTTAACGAGGACGAAGCGGGGACTTTAGATTTAGATGATGAAAGACCAAAATATATGGAAAAGATGTATGATTATTGGGTAAATCGACACTATAAACTAGAGATGGGTAATTTTTCGAGAGAATATAGCATGTCCTTATATTGGTCAGCTTTAACTATAACAACATGTGGTCAGCAACCATGGCCATCCACTTCACCACAAAATATGTTAGAAGTTGTAGACACTCTAATTGGTGTTTTGGTTTTTGCGACAATTATTGGAAGTGTTGGTAATGTTGTTACTCAAATGAATCAAAGTGTTTATGATTTTCGAGAGATGATGGATGGTATCAAGTTTTATATGAAATATCGAGTAGTGAACCTGGATATTCAAGAGCGAGTTCTGAATTGTTTTATGTATCTCAACACTCATAATCAATTATACGATGAAAAGGAGATTTTAGAGGTTTTGCCTCCGAGATTTCAGGCAAATATTGCTGAGAATCTGCATATGGATACTTTGAAGAGAGTTCAATTATTCGGAACATGTGATGCAAGATTCCTTCGGGAAGTTGTCCTGCTCGTAAAGCAGCAGGTCTATTCGCCAAATGATTATTTATGCAGAAAAAATGAGAAAGCTAAGGTACTCCCAAAATATTTTGATTGATGATGTTATTATATTTTTGTTTTTAAGGAAATGTTCATTGTCAAAAAAGGAACATTGAGTGTGATCGATGATGATACTGGCACTGAATTAGAACTCCTGAAAGAGGGTTCAACATTCGGAGAGCTTTCGATTGTTCATGTTCGGGGAAATCTATTGGGAGATCGAAGAAGTGTATCTTTAAGATCTGTGGGATATTCGGATGTTTATGTACTACATCAGGATGATGTGACAAGGATGTTACAAGAATATCCGACAGATCGAGAGATATTGTTGAAGAATGGTAAAGGGTTTTATAAAATTAATCAAAATGGAAGGTTTTTCAGCCCGTCATATGCTGCATTCTCGTGGGCTTCTAGAAACATCCGAACTTGGAGAAATGTGTGACGGTGAAGAAAATCTTGAAGACGATGCAATGATTGATTTGTTATCAGTTGATGAACAATTAGCCAGACTGCATAATATTGTAGGAGATTTGGATCAAGAATTGACTCATATGATCACCTCTTTTGCTGTACGTAGTTATCCAGCTAAGAATTTAAGCTAAATATCTTTTATTTTTCAGCACACAACTCTGTACTACAAACAACGAGTAACAGCTTTGGAAAACACCTTTAACTATAATCGCAAACGAATTCGTCGCGATTGCATTCGAGGTTTACTGTGATTTATGTTTTTATTGATTTTCAAAAAATGTGCCAAATGAAATTTTTATTCGTTAAAATCAACAAAATAGAGAATCAAAACAATTAGGCGACATTAATAATTGGGCCGCCACGTTGATGACCTCCAAAATTGTGATTGAAATATCCCAAAAAGTTTTGTGGGGATCTGCTGGGTGTATCGAATTCTTCGCCAGAAAATACGGTTTCCAAATTCCAAGTTCCAATGTCGAAACTTTTCAAAGCCAAAGTGCCTTGGTTTGTGTACCCAGATGGAAGTTGAACAGTCATTTTACGCAAACCAGGCTGAAAAATATTAAATTTAATTCAAAAGTTCTGGAATTTTTTTTGCAAGTAAAACTAACCGTTTGTTCATCGTTACAATCATGAGCAATTGTCAAAAATGGTCGAATAAATGGTTGATTTCCCGAAGTAGCACGAAGTCTGAATCCACCAATAACATCAGTTTGGGCTTGCTCGTAGATTCCATTTTGACGATCCCATAAAACCACTTGAACATTATTCAGTGGATTCAATCCACAAACAAGTCTTCCCTTGGCTTCGTAAAGGGCTTGATTGTTGTTATTATATCCGATGCCATCCCCCGGACCGTTATTGAATCCTCCTGGGCCTCTTGGTCCATTGTTAAATCCACCAGGTCCGTTGTTGAAACCACCTCGCTCCTGCTCGATTGCAAATCCATTTGGACCATCAGCAAATCTTCCACCGTTTCCACCTCGTGGTCCTCCGTTGAATTGCGCAGAAGCCAAACTGACAAGTAAAATACAAGTTATACGGAACATTTTAGAATGATGGTGTGATAGTGGTGGAGCATTGGTTTATATAGGGTGAATTTGGCGTGGGTACCGCCCATTTTGAGCTCATGGGAAGGTGTTGGGTTTTGGGAAGATTATATATGTCGGCACCTGTTAGAAAGTATCTAGATTGATCAAAGAGCAAGTTTATTTGGTGATTTGTTTGTTTACAATGCCAAAAAGATACTTCTAGATCAAAAAATCACCGAGAAAACAAATACGAAAAAAACCAAAAAAAGAAATTAGTTACGTCATGACTCATATCAGAGTTAATATAAGCAGAATTTGACTTTGAGATTGCGACAAGCTCGCAGATTACCATAAGTATATCATTTTGAGTTTGAGCCCAATTCAGCTCGCAGAGACTCAAGCTTGAATGACTGAAACAACTGGAACTCAATTTTCAGACACTAAGTAAATACTTTCAGAAATTTCAGAACGTATTGGTTCCGAAGGCCTTACACCTGATTGCGGAAAATCACGATTAATTCATTGCCCGCATCTTGAAATTCATTTCACATTAGCCATTCGCTTTTTAAAATTCGAGCTAATTAATCTTATGTGTTGAATAAAATCTTTTATCTCTCCCGGCGCATCAAAATGACGTCAATTAGATTTTAAAAAGTTTTCCGCGATATCTCGTCATAAACTGGATAAAAATGAATGGACAAAAGATGTTAGAATAGAATAAGGAACAAACATCATTCTTGATTTGATTTAGGTTGATCTAAGTCAACTTTATCACGTTTTTTCTGATTCAAAAAGTCGCAAAAAATTCTGCAAAAATCACAGTGCCCCGAACGCGTAGCCAGAGAAAAGTTGTGCGCATTTTTCGTGCATGTACGGTAGAGCGCACAAGCCTGTTTGTCGGTTTTTGAAAATTTAACACTAGGTTTTTTCTTGAAACGATTATAATTCAGTTATACTTGCATGAAAACTCCCAAACTGAGCTATATGTTCTGGAGAATAATGAGAGGAACGTTTTGATATTAAAAATGTGAAGATTGGATTCAAAATAAGTTAGTTAATATCTTTTGAAGAAAAACAATTCAAATTTTATGAAGGAAAAATGTGATTCGGCACTTGTTTCATGATAAATATGTAAACTAGAATACTTTCAAGGTGTTTTAAAAATCATTTGATCAAAATAAACTTCTGAAATCTGGTTTTTTGTTCAATTTTGGGCGAATTTCGGTGGAAAAGAAAATAACAAAAACGGCATAATTTTGAATTATTATTGATTCCACATACTTGAGGAGTCCTATTTCAATGTTTTGAAAGCAGTAAACTAGATTTTATCAGCTTTCCTGGGTCAAAAATTATGTTTTTGCACAAGGTATTTTTTGAAGAGCTCTTGTTCATTTCATTCTCAACCATTTTTCATGAAACAACTTGGAATAGCTTCAATTTTTCTTCCTCTGTCTTCTCCATATTCGATTTAGTTACAAAAATAACATTTCCAGCATTTTTCAGCAAGAAAACAAAAGCGCAAAAAAAGATGAGAGAGTGCGCTTTGCTGAAGAGGCGGATGAGAGATAGAGAGAAAACGAGAGAGTGTGTGGAGTGTGGAGTGCTGGCGCAATACGCGTTCGGGACACTGTGTTAAAAATAAAAACTGTGGCCTCCTGGCCGAAGAATTTCTAGTCCCCTGTGTGCAATAGAGCACGTTTGCTCTCTCGACAATTTCACAATTTTCCTTTTCTTTTCCGTCTTTTTCTTCCTTCTCGCTTGTGCACAAATTGAAAATGAACGGTGAGTTTGCAGACTTTTTGGCTATAATAAAAACAAAGAAGAAATGAATTCAGATCGACCTATCGATGAAGCTTTGCTTGATCCAGTAGTTCGTCTCAAGAAAATTATTGGATCCGCTGAGCAAATGAAAGTAAGCGCACAAGTTCCGCTCCTTCGCTACTATCGAAGTCTTTTGGAAATGGAACGTATGGCATTCAGCTATATTAAAGATATGAACTTGGAACGCGCCTTTATTTTGTTATATCGATTCTCTTGGTTTGCGATCAGTGAATTGAAAACACATCCGGATTATGAGCATCACGATTCAGCAGAGAAGAAACAAGTTATTGCAAGTTTGACGAAAAACATGGAGTTGGCAGATCAGCTAAAAAATGAGATACGGCAAGCTTATCAATTACAATCTGATTATTACAATTTCGAGGAGCAACAGCGAAAATTACGGCTCACGGTAAGATTTTTCCCGCTGAAAACAGTATTGAAAATGTATCTCTAAATATTTGCAGCACTTCGAAGAATGGCTTGCTACACGATCTGAAGCCCTCCTGAAATCCGCGGAACTATTGAAGATCGCAGAAGCCGGAACACATCGAATCGGTAAACTTTGCTTCTTGTTTGTAGTTTGCTCATTTCACGGCTGATTCACCCGCATTAATCCAAATAACCATAGCAACATTGTAGCAAACATCAGAAGCATAAATCATATTTTACTCTTTTTTTGCAGGAATGACGATGGGGCATGTTTTGCCTGTTCAATTGCAACCCGATGAAATGCACGCGCAAAATAGTCCACCAAGGAAGCGCGAAAAAAGTACGACACCGGATTCAAAGAATATTTCGCCGGATGGAGCGCCGATTGTGTATGTGAACCGGAAATTTTCATTTTGGGGGCTAAAATACCTTTTGTTCAACAGAATATAGTGTTTCTAGGCCAAAATAGACAGTAGAAAATAACAAGAAAAATAGAGAAATGAGATCTTTTTTTCGCATTATAAATGTCATTGAAAACGTTGCGGTCACGTGCTGCGTGTTTCATTTTCAAAATTTCAATGTTTTTTTTTCATTTTCAGAGAAATTCAGAAAATGAAAATGTAGCGCTTGACGGTTTGGGCTGGAAATGTTCTGCATAGATTTACGGAATAAGATTTTCTAAAATAAAAACCACAATTTCCCTTAATGTTTCCTAATTTTTCCAGCGATCCTCAAGTAACTACAGATGGAATTGATTTCGCTGATGTGATCCCCGCAAAACGCCCAACTGCCATAACTTCTCCCCCAGTCGTTCCCGGAACATCGAGCACTTCTGCCTTCAGATCTGTGAAACCGGATAACTTTGCTCAAGAATATCCAGGCCTCGATGATCCGCCAGAAGTTTGCAGATCCAATAAACCAGGTGCTCCGGTCACCGAAAGTTTCGGCAAAACAATGGCAGTTCCAAGTGATTTGGTGGATAAATTCCTGGCGGCCTGCGAAAATAATACATTGAGAAATGTGGAAACTTGCGGGATTCTCGGAGGAAGTTTGGTTCGTGATCGATTTGTGATAACTCATGTTGTGTTGCCGAAACAAAGTGGAACTTCGGATGGATGTTCGTCGGAAGATGATGTTGGAGTTGCCACTGTTTTATCATCCAATAATTTGTTATCTTTGGGTTGGATTCACACACATCCATCGCAAACTGCATTTTTGTCGTCGGTTGATTTGCATACACATCATGGATATCAGCAAATGATGGAAGAGTCGATTGCGATTGTTTGTGCACCATCGCATAATAGGTATAGTTTAGGAGTTCGAATTTGGGAATATTTTCTCTCTCTTTTCTAATTGGCCTGAAATCTCAATTTTTTTTTCAGCGTTGGAACATTTGTGCTAACTTCCGAAGGCATGACATCAATAGGAAATTGCGATCAACGTGGATTCCATCCGCACCCAGAAGCTCTGGATAAACTTTTTACCAGCGCCTCTCATGTTCATTATACACCTACAGTATCCGCCGAAATTGTGGATTTACGATAAATATACGGGTATCCATTTTGATTTTTTTCTATCATTATTCATAACAATATTTTTATTTTTTTTGTCTCCCAATCAAAAATAACTCTAGGTCATGTATATAATATAAATATAAATTATCAAAATTTTTGTATAGCGAAATCGATTATTTTGTGATTGTTTCTTTCTGGTATTTTTATACCCTAAAAGTTATATCTTTTGTTTTTTAACTCTGATTTTGAATTCAGGTCTAATAATTCTAGGCTTCTGTATAAATGGAAACTCGAAGAAGATCTTCGAGAATCGCCAAACTTGTGGAAGGAGTTGAGGAGAAAGTGGAGGAGCCAAAAGTCGAGAAGAAAAATGCTCCGAAAAGAGCTCGAGGCAAAAAGATTGAGGAAATTCCAGAGAAAAAGACGAGATTCGAGGATTTAGGTAACATTTTTAGTTTAAAAAAATGTAAAATTTGATCAGGAATTAAAAATTTTAGGATTTGAAAAAAACTGAATTTTTTTGCCACGTGGAAATTGAAAACATTAAGATTTTTACTAAAATACGACGTGACCTTTTGAAAGAAAACACGTGCTACTTTCTCTATGTTTAAAAATATATCATTTTGTGATTTTTTGAGTTTCAAAAATGACGATGTTACTGTAAGTTTCGGCTCCTAAAATATATTTTGGAATACTGTAGATTTCAGCCACGTGTTTAGAATCTGAAAACTGAAAAAATCTCATGTTTTTCCGATAAAAATATAAAATACTTTTGATGTTCTCCACCTCACAATTTCAATAAAATAAATCTTTCCTTTGAATATCCTTTTTCTCAGAAGATCCTTCAATCGAAGTAGATGTTCCTAAAAATGTCAAGGCTCCAAAAAACCCTGAGAATCACAATTCCGACAATTTCGCCAAACCAACACTTCCACTGTCAAATCGCCCAAGGCGCTCAATAACTTCTCGCCGAGTTTCTTATACTCCAGATCCCACAGATTCCATGATTCAAATGTCATCTTCATCATCTTCAGAAATAGATTCTGATTCGGATGAAAATGAATTCTCATTCAGTGTCAAACAGGAAAATGAGAGAGCGAATTCGAGAAATTCAGGCAGAAATGAAAAGCAAAATTTGAAGAGAAAACCTGTGAAAACGAGCAGTTCTGAATCAGATTCAGATTCTGGTTCTGGAACTGGTTCAGATTCCGAATCTGAAGATCGAGATGAAGATGAAGAAAAACCAGGGCCATCGAATGGAAGAAGCAAAGAAGGAAAAAGGGGGCATTTTGGAGGAAGAGGAAGAGTTGTTAGGAAAAAACCGACTGGAAAAGAGGTCGACCAAGGAGATGTTAATTGTGGGTTTTTTGATGTTCAATTAAAAAAAATGAAAAAAGTTCTGGAATTTTCAGCTTTTGAAAAATAACGATAAATAAAATCTTTCACCTTCATTTTAAAATACATTTTCCAGGGCCAAAATGTCGCAAAGCCTCAATCGCTCGTAAAACTGGTAATCCAACAAACTCCAAAAACGCCTCAACAAAATCGGGTCTCAGAATGGCAGCTCGCCCAAAACCCCAACAACCATGGAAGAAAAATCTAGCAGCTTATGAAAAAGATCGAAAATTAGCGAAAGGCGAAAGAAGAATGAAGGAATATCGATTGATTGCAAAAGCGTATGCAAAAGGAAAAATTGAGGAAGTTAGCTATGATGAATGTTTCAAAATTCATGAGGATATGAAAAAAGCTTATCACGAAGGAAAGAAATTGATCGAAGCTATTCAAAAAGAGGAAAGAATTCGAGAAAATCCAGAAGATCAGAACGGGGAAAGCTCTTCAGAAGATGAATGGGAAGAAATGGAACAATTTGAGCCGGTTATTGATGATTTAATTGAAGTTAACTTGGAAAATGAGGGAGAAGAGGGAGTTTTGAAGGATTGGTGGGTGATTTATCTTCGACAAGAAGTCAACAAACAAATCAGGAGAATGTGGGAGAATACGCACAAAATGCATTTGCTTTGCTATATGGCGCATTTGAATTTTGTTGTTAGAACGAGTTTGGATGAGGATTTGGTGCCATCTTTGATGGTTTCGCAGGTGAGTCGGGGAAATTTGGGATTTTTTGAAATCAAGTTGGCCACTGTAAATTATCGACCCGAAAAAAACTTATTTGGAGGCCGGAGGTCTAGAATTTTCTCCATAAAATTTGAAACAAGTTTTCCTCTTAATATTTCATGTCATTCTAAATCTTAAGCCCAGCCCAAATTTATTAGCCTAAATCTTTTTTTCCAGCTTCCATCTGGATATCTCGATTACATTGGCTCATCAATCCCAAACGATGTCCTTCAAAAACTTGTCAAATGGTATTCGTCGGCTTTTCGACCAATGCATGGTCAACTTTCTGTAACTGCAATTGATGAAGGCTTGAAAATCGGACAAGAAGCGAGATATCCGGAAACTTCGCGGCTCTCAACATTGGTTAATCATAAGGTTTTTGAGACGGATTTGGATCGAGCTGTTTTACTTTTTGCACTTTTTGTTGGAATGGAACAGACGGCGAGAATTTGTGTGAATGCTCAAGTAATTTCGAGAAAATGGGATAAGGAACAACAGGAACAATTGAAGAAAGATATGGAGGTGTTTAAAGGTACATGAGGGATTTTTGAACTTGTTTTTCTATAAAAATCAATATTTTTCAGAAAGATCCAAAAGTCCACCAGCAAAAAATGATGAAGAACCAGAAATCTCAGAAGAAAACAAGGAAAAATCGAAAAAAGGATCCAAGTCAAAAGTTGTCAAAAAACCAAAAGAATTCCGAAATTATTGGGTTGAATTATGGAACAAAACGGAAAGAAGATGGATTTGTATTGATCCATTGAATTCGATTTTTGATGAACCTCTGAAAATTCATGAAAGTGCAAATTTGCCAATTACTTATGTTTTGGCAGTTGATAATAGTGAGTTTTTTCGAGCGAAGAACAAATTAAAGAATTTCGAGGAATTTGTGCGAGATAAAAATAAAACTTGTCTTGTGACATTTTTTCCAAATTTCGAAAAAAAATCCCATTTTTTTCTGCAGAACGCGGAATTTGCGAAATCTCTCAAAGATATGCGATGGACTGCGTCAAACAAGAATTCCGCCGTCGTCGAACAGATCCAGGATGGCTTCGATGGACCCTGAATCTTCCGATTTTCGCCGCAAACATCGAGCGAAAAAAATTCGAAAGAATGCAAATGCAAGAAGAATTAGTGAAAAGACCATTGCCAACTACAATGTCCGAATATAAAAATCATCCACTTTATGTTCTCGAAAAAGATTTGTTGAAATTCGAAGCGATTTATCCACCTACAAAAGAGCAGAAACCTCTTGGAGAAATTCGCGGACATAAAGTTTATCCGAGAAGTACTGTTTTCACGTTGCAAGGCGAAAATAATTGGTTGAAATTGGCGCGAAGTGTAAAAATTGGGGAAAAACCTTATAAAATGGTGAAAGCGAGACCTGATCCGCGAATTCCGGCTGAGGAAAGAGTTGAGAAGTTTTTGGAGGTTTATGGATATTGGCAAACTGAACCATATCGAAGACCAGTTGTTAAGGTAGGGTTTTGAATTTTGTTCGATTTGGGCTCAATTCTAGATTTTCTCAATTTTACAGAAAGGAAAAATTCCTAGAAATGAATATGGAAATGTTTATATGTTTGCTGAATCGATGTGTCCAATTGGATGTACTTATTTGAAATTACCTGGTTTGGTTCAAATTTCGAGAAAATTGAACAAAGAATGTGTACAAGCTGTTGTTGGATGGGCTTTTGATGGAGGATGGACACATCCAGTGTAAGTCGTTTTTGGAGAATTCAGGGAAAACTAGAGATCAAAACCAAAAATATAGTTTCTGAGTTCTACTGAAAGGAGAAATATTTATTCTGAATGCCAAAAATTTTTTAAAAAATCCAATAATATTTCCAGAATGGACGGTGCTGTTGTTTTGGACGCGGACGCGGAATTATTCCGAAAAGAATGGCAAAAAATCGAGGATTCTCGCGCCGAAAAAGATGAGCAAAAAAGAAAGGAAAGAGTTATGGAAAATTGGAAAAAAATGATCAAAGGAATGCTTCGATTGAAATATGTGAGAAATGAGTTTGGTGTGGAGAAAAAATCGAAGAAAGCCAACCAGAAATGCGCTGAAAATGGAACTGAAAATGTGGAAAAAGAGGAAGATATTATTGATAATTCGAATACCCGAAAACCGATTGATGGATTCAGTTTGGATGATTTTATCAAGCCTAGAAAATGACTGAAAACTGTATTATAATTTTTTAATTTTTTTTGTGAAAAATTGGTGAATGTTCACCAAAAAATCATTTTTTTTTTGCACAAAACCCTTTATTGTTTACCTCATATCTTTTCTTACATAACCGGTACTTGTTTTTGTAACACAAAACTTTAACTTTAATTTTAGCTATACTTTAATGCCTTATCCCTATGAATCTCAACAATAAAATGTCATAATTCTTTTTTTTTTTTGGAATATTTGTTGATTGGTTTTTGACCAAGTTTTGAATTATCTGTATATTTTCACGGGAAACATTTGGGAGAATTTTATGATTTTTGAGCTAAATTCTAAAAATCCATGCCATTCAGATACATTTTTGCATGAAAAACTTTCAAAAAATCCTTGATTTTTCAGCCGTATCTCAATTAATACATATCCAGAAGATCTTCTAATTCAAGATCTTCTGCTATTTTGAATGTCTTCGAACCCAAATTGGTGGCCATACCGTCTCCCAATCGAAGAAGCTCTCAAAAAATCATTGGTTCTAGTTGCAGGCGTCGTTGTTGGCGCGAATGTCATTGAATACATCTGGAAACCTATGCAAAATTACGAAAACGATTTGGATAAAGGAAAAATCGAGTTGCTTCAAAAATATCAGAAAATTCACAATGAACGCAAACGCGGAGAAAATTCGGGATCAATATGAACAAAGTGAAGAGGAGGATTTGTTGGGCGAAGAGAATTTGTTTCGACCGATTTTTAAGAAATATAAAAAAAGAAGACCGATGCCTGATTTTTCAGGGGTTATTGGTGGGTTTTTTTCTTGTAGAAAAATTACAAGAAATCTGAAATTCCAAAAAATTCCGTATTTTTTCCAGATGTCCGAGATTCCCAAAATTTCACCAAATACGGTGTAAAATCTCGATTTTTGTTCGAAAATTCCGAAATTTTGGAGCAGGATCGAACAATTGCAGAAAATCTGGGTGAGTTGTTTTTTGCTATTCAATTTTTGGCCAAAAATTGTTCAATTTCTGAAAATCCCCAATTCCCATTTTTTCCAGGTCTTCGCCCGCTTCCCGAATGGCGTGTTTGCGAATTCCCAAATCGTCCCGGTCTCTATGTTCTTCCCGCAATTCTCCTCAAATCTCACACTCCAAAATGGTTGGAAAATTGTCAAAAATACGCGCGATCCGGTGAAAATAAGACGAATTTAGTGGCACACGGCGGAGAAATGAATGATACATCATTGAGATGGACAACACTGGGAATTGAATATGATTGGAATACAAAAGAATATCCGGCAGATGGAAAACGGGTGCCTGAAGAATTTGTCAGTTTGGCTAAATTGATTAGTGGATCGTTGAAGTTGGGAGAAATGCGAGCTGATGCGACTATTGTTAATTTTTATCCACCGAAGACTGCGCTATCGCCACACGTTGATAAGTAAGGATTTTGGGGATGCAAACATTTTACTTTGTATTTTTTCATTCTAAAATTTTCGCTTTCACTTTCAAAATCCATATTATTCTCCTCAAAATTTATATCTTTTTGTAACGTTTTTGTTTGGAAATCAAAATCTATTTTTAAACTTTTCTTGGTCCTTCAAATTGCCACCTACCCTTTTTCCTCTTTTTTTTTGAAAAAAAAAACTTTAGAAAAAAAAGAGGATAATTGTGTTATTTAGAAAAAACAAAATGAATGAGTTCTTCTTGGAAAATTATATTTCATAATCTGGTTATGTTTTTGACGCCAAAAATCATGATGCTACGTGGCATATTTCGGCTCCAAAATTGGAATCTGAAAAATTGAAACATTGATTTTCAGGGGTTCATTTTTGTGATCAAAAAATTCCGATTTTTCTTGAAAACTAGAGTTTTTAATAATATTTTTAATTTTTAAACCAAATAAACAAATCTTGAACATTTTCAGATCCGAACGAAGCAATGCCCCATTAATTTCTCTATCCCTCGGACAAACTGCCGTGTATTTATCAGGCGGTCTAACATTATCCGAAGAGCCAATTCCAATCTGGCTTCGAAATGGCGATATTTTGGTGATGCATGCTGCACAGCGTTTGGTTTATCATGCAATTCCATGTGTTGGTGTCAAATCGCAAGCGACAACTTTTGAAAAAACCGAATTTCCCGAAACAAAACAGGAGACTTTGGATTATTTGAATTGTAGTCGAGTTAATATTACTATGAGACAAGTTAATGAATATTAAGGGGAATTTGGGGTTTACTAGAATCCAGAAATTTTAATTGTTCACTCAAAAATTAGGGTTTTTAATTAATTATCATTGAAAGTTTGGAAATTGTTGGTCCCCAGATTTTTTGTTCTTTTTTTGTTGCATCTTTTTTTCTAGAAACAAGAAAATATTTTATTTTTCGACATTTTTTTTTACCAAAAATTAATGTTTTTAGATTCTATTCACTTTCGGCCCAATCCTTTGTAATATGGAAAATATCGACCTTTGGCTGGTTTGTCCAAAGAAGAGCCTGAAATTGAAAATTAAATTTTTTTTTTGAAAATAAGGGGATTTTTGAAAAATTGGAGACAAATTACAGAAATGCTGTAATCTTTATTTGAAAATTAGAAATTTTTAACCTAAAAAATTTGGGTTACTGTAGTTTTTTCTAGTTTAAAAAAATCTAGTTTTTAAATAAGATACATCAATCTTGAACTTTGAATTTTTTTAGAGTTACCGTAGCTCAAAGTTTGGCTCCAAAAATCAATATTTTTCATGAAAAAATTGCACATAAAAAATACTCGGATTTAAAAAATAAAAAACTCACGCAAAGCTCGAATCAATTCGTGATCCTCTGAAAAATCTTGAATTCCCTCGTTTGGCCAAGTTCCGTCAATTTGAAAATCTTGTGAAGATTGGGCAAATTTCGAAAATTGTGCCACAAACATCAGCGCGACAAAAAGATAGGCCAACATTTTAATTGGACGGCTGAAAAATTATGGATTTTTGCTGAAAAAGAAAAAAGAAGCTGCTAATTTTATGGGGAAAATGATAAAACTTAGCTAGGCTTAGACTTAGGCTAACCTATGAATTATTCATTAATTTAGAAACTTTTTCATTTTTTTTTCTGGAAAATGAGGCGGGAGAAAATCGTATAAAATCCATCAAAAAATGAAAAAAAAAACAATAAAAATATTTTTTTTTTTTTGAAAACTGCTAATTATTTTTTCTAAGCCATAAGTCTGGACCAAAAATAAGTTAGGCCACGCCTCCTCTGAAAATCTGCAAAACTAGATATTTTTGAGTCGAAAAAAAAGAGAAAAATGATGGATTAGGAAAAATTGATGAATAATGCATTGGAAAATGATAAATTCGAGGTCGACACGATTTTTGAGCCAAGAGTTGGGCTAACTTTTTGACTCGCTCACAATATAGAAAACATTATGGGTGGAGAGAAATTCGAGTAGACAATTTTTCGTCATTCAAGATGTATTTTTGGGAGGTGATTTTTGAACTTGTCGTCAGAATGAGCAATTAGCAGATTTTTTGTTGCAGAAAAAAATGAAACTAGAGATTTACTGCCACGTGCCAAATATGAATTTGTTTGATAATTTAAAAGATTCAGAATGTCACGTGGTAAATTGTGAACAGATTACTGTAGTCGTAGTGAACAATTTTGAAATTTCACATAGAAAACATCTACAGTTGTGGGTGGAACAATTATTCTTTGGTGCACAAATCAAATGAAAAATCAGACATATAGAACTTCCTTGAAATCTTGAAAAACATAATAAGAAATATGTTTTGGCGCGCTAAATCTACAGTAACCCATGCATATTTCCAAAAAAACAAATTTAATTGGTCTGATAAACCACACTGGAATTTTCAAATCACGCGATTTTTTAGAATAAAAAACTCAGATTTCCAGCTGAAAATATTTAATTAAAAAACAGTCTGAAAAAATCAGCCACCACTAAAAAATTGACGTAACTAAAGACCTTTTAGTAATCACCTGCGTTTTTAAACACAGCTAAACACCAATCAGCAAAAAACATTAAAAATCCGTGGGAAAAATATGTCAAAAGCAGGTTAATTGGAAAAATGGGGAAAATGACATGTTCTATTTTTTTGTAAAGAAAAACAAAATGAAAACTGAACTGAAAAAAACAAGAAAATTCCGAATAATTCATGAGTATTTTTTGATACAACTTATTTTAATCAAAATCTACGCCTGAAATTCATTCAGGTTAGCTGAAATTCTTGTTCTTTTTTTATTGATAAATTTCAAGCTAAAAGTGATTCGATGTTTCAGAAGATCTAAATGATTAATAAAATTGAAAAAATCCAGACAAATTTTTATTTCAAAAACTTCATAAATTAAATTTCATGCAAATAAATAATCACATAAATTATTATACTTTTCCATATCCTCCACCTCCTGGAGTATTTATAGTCAAAATATCTCCCGTCCCAATTTCCATACTAATTTTCGATCCAATATTTACAACTCGTCCAGTTCCAGATTTTTTCAAAGTGTTCAAACCGCGTTGGCCATTTTCACCGCCTTTCAATCCATAAGGTTGTAAAGCTCGTCGTTCGGTCAAAAGTGACATTGTGAGATTTCGAGTGAATTGTAGACTTCGAATAACTCCATCTCCACCTTTCCATTTTCCACCACCTCCCGATTTCTCTCGCAATTTCCACTCTCTCAATATAACCGGATATCGGCTCTCCAAAATCTCGGGATCCGTAATACGAGTATTCGTCATATGTGTATGCACTCCACTTCTTCCATCAAATCCTTCTCCTGCTCCCGCCCCACCCGCAATTGTCTCATAATATCCCACCTTTTCATCACCGAATACCAAATTATTCATACATCCTTGACTGGCTGCCACACAATCAAAAGCTCTGAATATAACATCACAAAGTCTTTGAGAAGTCAGTACATTTCCAGCGACAACTGGTGCAGTTTCAGATGGTGACAGAATAGTTCCAGGTGGAATAATTATGGTAATTGGTGCAAGACAACCATTATTCAATGGGATATCTTTGGCGACGAGACAACGAAGACAATATGTGATTGCAGACATTGTGACAGCTCGGGGAGCATTGCAAGAGCTCAAAGATTCGGGACCAGTTCCAGTAAAGTCGAAAATTGCGCTTCCCTGGAAATAATTGCGTTTTCACTGGGTTACTGTGAATTTTTAGGTGAACATTTACATAATTTTTTTTGGATTTCCAAATATATATTTTGTTCTTTTTTCTCATTAAAATCCACAGTAACTAATGGCTTTTTTCTTTTTCCTGCCGAAAAAAGTCCAACTCACATCTTTTTCATCAATTTCAATCCTCAACTTAATCTCCGTTCCATCATCCATAAAATCACTAGCTTCCAAAATCTTCGAATAATTTCCAAATCTCTTCAACATTTCTCGAACTGCTAGTTCGGCTGTATTCTGAATATGATTCATATAAGCGTGCACAACATCCAATGAATATTCTTCAATCAAATTTGTGACCAACGAAATGCCTTTTCGATTCGCAGCAATTTGCGCATTCAAATCAGCCAAGTTATCCGGAATATTTCGAGCTCCAGAGCAGCCTGCCACTTTTCCCGGAGCTTCCAGAGCCTCAATAAGAGCCTTCTCTTGAAATACACCATTTTCCACCAATTTGAAAGAAATAAACGCAGCTCCTTCTTGATTAATATGAGTTGCATTTGGTGGCATACTTCCAGGCACCAATCCACCAATATCAGCATGATGTCCACGATTGGCAATGAAAAACACGGGAGTTTTGGATGTTTTGAAGAAGACTGGGGTGATAACTGTGAAATCAGGAAGATGACATCCGCCAGCCAATGGGTGATTCGCTAAGAATACATCACCATCTCGAATATTCTCCAAGCCTAAATGATCAATTTGGAATTTCACAGTATATTGCATTCCTCCTAAATGTACTGGAATATGTGGAGCATTTGCAATAAGTCCACCATCCGGAGCAAAAAGAGCACATGAGAAATCGAGTCGCTCTTTAATATTTGTCGAAATCGCAGTTCTTTGCAAAACTCTTCCCATTTGTTCAGCAATTGACATAAATCGATTGCTGAAAATTGCGAGGCGAATTGGGTCGACTTGAGTGGATAGATCTTGTTCGATGTTTCGTTCGACAGTCATTTCGATGTTTCCCTCATTTGTTATTATGACGTGGCTTTTTGGCTCAATGACGATTGTGCTGCAAAAATTCAAAATTCAATCAAATTCATTGAAAATTTCAAGTTTTTTTTATCGAAAAATGACTCGTGGCTAAATTAGGAATGGTTCCTAGGTTTGCCATGGATGAAGTCATCCATCAATTTTTCAAAAAAAAACTTATTTAATTTTTTTTGTATTAAATGTACTCATTTTATATTTGTGATTTTTTTAGAAAATTATTGTGAAAATGTTTTTCAATTTTCAAAAACAATTTTCCCGCCAAAATCTACAGTAACCTCAGTCATTTTCAGTAAGAACAGCCAGCAAATGTTTGTTTCTAAAATACAAAACATACCTATTCTTATCAATAAGCAACGCGGGTCCATCAATTGTTTCGCCAGCTTTCATTTCATTCAACAAATATACATTTGTACTAATTTTTCCCTCCTTAAAATAAACTTGAGTTGTGAGAGCGACTTTCGGCGGAGAATCTGTAGATTTCTTTTCAATAACTTTTTCCACGTGGCAATTCGATTTGGCAACTGCACGAATTCTCAAATCATCAATTATAATAGTCCGATCTTCTAAAACAAATCCAAATTCTCTGCGATAAGTCTCCCGGAAAACATTTTCGAATTTTGCAAGATCTTCAAAATCTGACGAAATCATGATAGCCGAATCTGTTTTTTCATATCTCATATGCATAAAATAATTAAAATCGATTGAATTCTCCGAAAAACCTTGAGACATAAGTCTAGATTTAGCCTGATTTTTCATCTCCAAAAATTGTTGCCTAATGTTTTCAAAGTTCTCCTGGATATATGGAATATGGAATGGTTTCTGAACTTCATCAACAACATCAGCTAAGGCAATTCCATAGGCACTCAAAAGTGAGGCATATTTATGAATTCGAACTTTTTCGATGCCTAAAATTCGGAAAATTTTCATTAAATTGGGGAGGAATTTTTGGATTTTTTGCTGAAAAAATTAGTTTAAAAAATGTTCTCCAAAATTTGTTCTGAATGTTTAGTCAAGTTTTAAAATTAGAAAATTTCGAAAAAAAAACCACTTGGAATTTTCCGGATTTTTCAGTAAAAAATTTGACTGGAAATGTTTCCAAAATTTCAAAATTCAAAAAACTCACCTAAAACCCTTGCCACCGAACACGCATGTTGTCCACCAGCTCCGCCAAAACTCGCCAAACTATGAACACTCGGATCAAATCCTCTAGATTGCGTTAAAGTTCGAATTGGTCTACACATCTCTTCATTCGCAACAGCGATAAATCCAAGTGCCACCTGAAAAAAAAAAGAACATTTCTCTGCACCCTCTTCACTCTAACTAGCGCTTTTCTTCTCTACATCTTTTCACACAGCTGCGCCGTATGTTCTAATAGCTCAGTAGGGAGAGCTTTCGGCTGCCGTGGAAAAGGTGGCGAGTTCGATGCCTGCCCGATGAGATAAAAATTTATCTGAAGCCTTCCTATCGGAAGAAACCTGAGACACCTTTGGTTTAGGTGTTGAGGATGGTCTCGATAATGATAGGTACGTATGATACTGATTATGAGAGATGAGGGTTTAGGTTTTGCACTTATTTTTTTGAAATCTTTAAAAAAAAGAGCACCCCGTTAGCCTCATCCCACTTTATCCGAAAAAAATCCCCAGAAAATCACCTCTTCGGGTGTATAGAACTTCTTGGCCGAATTTTCATCTCCAGCTACAAATGCATTAATCTCGCGAGTCAATTTCGACATTTCCTCATATGCCGCTTCTCGATCCAACATTTTATCAGCATTCGGCCCAAAAATTCTTGGAAAATATTCAGGCAAAATTCGACCGAGCACCAAATTCGCGTCAGTCACTGTTAAATATCCATTCTTGCGATAGCAAACTGGACCAGGATGAGCGCTCGCAGATTCGGGGCCGACAACAAATAGACCATTTCGGAAAAATAGACGAGAGCCTCCGCCGGCGGCAACTGTACGAATATCGAGTTGAGGAGCTTGGATGGTGACACCGGCTGTGGTTGTTTCCATGACGTGTTCGAGAACTCCGGAATATCGACAGACCTAAAAAAATGGAAACATATTATTTTGAGTTAGAGAATTTCAGAATTGGATCGTTTTGCTTTTGGCTTATCTCAAGCTCAAGATTTCAGGTTAGACTCCTAGAAAATCTAAAAAACGTGGAATTCCCATTCCCAAAATCTAAAACCTTATTAAATTTCTAACATCGTCAAATAAACTTACATCAGTCGATGTTCCACCCATATCAAATCCAATAACTGGTCTACCATCTTTCTCATCATATGCCGTTCTGGCAATTCCAACAACTCCACCAGCTGGTCCAGAAAGAATAGCACGAGATCCGAAAAACTTGTCCATTCTGCATAGACCGCCATCCGATTGCATGAAGTTCACACTGGTTTTTGATAAATCCTAAAATTTATAATTATTTTATTATCAAAACATTTCTCTAGTACACCCAAAAAAACTGACCTGAAATCCGGCTTTAAAACCATCCAAATACTCAATAATTTTCGGGGTTAAATAAGCGTCGGCTGAAACTGTGAATCCACGTGGCACTGCTTTTATCATTGGCATAACTTGATGGGAAAGGGAAACGTGGTGAAAACCGAGCGATTGGGCGATTTTTCCGGCTTGGAGTTCATGATTTGGATAGCTGGAAAAGGAACATAAAAAGTTCGTTGTTTTTGCCATGAAAAAATTGCATATTATATTTTCCACTTTGATAAAAAAACAAACTCACATGAAACTATGCAAAAACAAAACAGCCACACTGCGAATTCCAGCCGCCTTGAGAATAAGCAATTTTTCCCTCAATTCTTGTTCATCCAACGAAGTTTCAACAACAACATCACAGCCATTTGTAGCAGTTTCAATTCGCGTATTCGAATTATCCAGCAATTTTACTTGTTCATGTATCAAAATTCGTTCCGAAACTTCAATAACATCCTCATATAGCACTTCCGGAATCTGAATATTGAACTCAAAAATCTTGGGACGCGATTGATTTCCGATGAATAGCAAATCTTTAAATCCCTTGGTCACCAAAAGACCAACTCTTTCTCCTTTTCGTTCGAGTAAAGCGTTGGTGGCGACAGTGGTGCCCATTCGAATCCATGCGATGTTTTCTGGAAAAAATAACAACACAGGTGGAGGGAAGTTGGCCAATTTTTGACCAATTTTTGGCCAATCACGGAAATTGGCCAATTTTTGGCCAAAATTTGGTCAAAAATTGGCCAAACACTGCTAGATGGTTGGCCAAAATTTGGTGAAAATTCTGATCATAAAATTTTTTAATTTTTTCGTTGATGATACCGAATGTTTGATGTTTTTTGTTGTTCTAGACAAAAAATGGACCAGTGCGGACAGTCTTTCAAGATTTCATTTCAGTTTTACATTCATGGGGGAAGTGTGTAAGAACCCCAATCCTTTTTGAATGAAGGATCAATCATATTGATTGTTTTACACTCTGAAAAAATTCCTGTTCTCGGTTTTTCGAGCCGACTCTCCGAGGTGCTCAAAAAGTCATTCTAACATGAGTTTTAGGTTTCCAAAAACGTTTTTAAAACCCGTGCTCTATTTCGTGCTCATTTCCTAGCACGTCGAGGTTTTCATCAGAATTGTCCAGCAGCATCTTTCTCGGCATCAAAAACTCTATCAAACTCTATATTGTTTCTGACTCAAGATCAAAATTAAAACGTCAAAATCCCTAGAAACCGAAAAGTTGAAAATCGGTTGAAAAACAAGGCGAATTTATAACCATTTTGTTCAGCTCGGAATTCTGCGTCGAATGGTGTACACCATTTTCCACCAAAATGATTTTAAACGGTTAAAAATTAAAGGCGCAGACATTTAAATAAAATGGTCCTGCAGCGAAATGTGTGTGTACTTCTCTCGGACGAAATGCACGCCTCAAATTTTTTTCTTTTTTTTTCGTTTTTTTGTGTGTTCTTCGTTTTGTTGAAAAATTAAGTGTTTGAAGCTGCGAGAAATATGCAAAACATGTTCCCCATCCAGGATCAAGCAGCAAATTTCATTAGAACTTGGAAATTCACACATTGAACATGATTTTAGGCAAAAAAATGAAAAATTTCGAGTTTTTCAATGTTTGATATAAAATAAGGATATTTTCAGTTTTATTCAATTACACCAACATTTTTTCATGAGTTTAAATGGAAAATTCCTTATCATAGCTGAAAATTGAAATGCCCTAGACCTAATTTCTCTTGAATTTCTCCTACGTTTTAATTTGCTACTGTTCTGGAATCATAATATGACTTTTCAGAGCTTCCTCCAAGAAGAAGAAGGTTTTCACCAGGTGCATCAGAAAATGGTAAGATGGAGATGGGCAGAAACTCAGAATTCAACTTCAAAAAGCCCAAGAAGGACATCTGATCAATCCGTGTCATCGCCCGCCCACACTTAGGTTTGTTATCTTAAATGAGAAAGTCGGATTTTGATGTTTCTTTGTTTTCAGATGAAAGTCGTCAACCGTTGTCAAAAGAAGACTCATTCGATCAACGGAGAAACTGTCGCCCAAAAGGTCGACTGGACTCGTGAGCACCTTGAGAAGCAAACTTTATCCGACACCGTCTCCTCTCAAGATGGAATTATCGACACCAAGGGTCACGGCTTCAAGTTAATCACCGGCAGATGTACACACCAAGAAACTTCTACTCGCCAGACACAAGAGTCCCCGAAAAGACAGAACCTGACACCCAACTTCCCCGAAAATCCAAGGATGATGGTCGACAAGATGCGTCTACCATAATAATCAAGTTCTTCTAACTGTTCTTTTTTGATTTGGTAATAAATTTTCATCGGTTCGAACATCGTTTAAAAATTATAGTGATTTGCAATTGAAAGAAAAAAAAATTTTGAAATTGGCCAAAAATTGGCCAACGAAAGTTAATTTTGTTGGTACGAGTTTGGCCAACCAACAGTTGGCCAAAAATTGGTCAAAAATTGGCCAAATTCCCTCCACCTGTGAATGTATTTGGCAAAAATTGGGAAATGCATTTAATTTTATTTTTCGTCTCAACAAGACAAAAACAAAATTAAAACATTAAAATATTCCCACGATTTCACGCTGAAAATCCGGGTTCAAAACCGACAAAAAGTTTTTTTGAAAAAAAAAGTTTTAAAAAAATATGTGTGTCAACACAGCGACGCACAAATGCATACATTTTCCCATAGCCTACAGTACCTGTTGGCAAAGGAACTCCTCTTGCGATCGATTTCCCTGTCTCAACTTCCAAAGCCTGGCGAATAGCTTCAGTCGGAGCATCCGAATAGTTTGCCGGATCCACCGATAGAACCTTCAAGACTCGAACATCTGAATCGGGTTTGAAAACAATGACATCAGTGAAAGTTCCACCGCGATCAATCGCAAATCCCAAAGACATTTCCTGGAAAAAAAGTTTTTCATAAAAAAAAAAACAAAAAGAAACATAGATATTTATCAATAATATTATATGATAATATGATGATAATTAGAGAGAATAGACGCAGAGAAAGGTCAATTTCTTCTTTCTTTGTCAATTTCTTCAAAAGTGATTTCTGATGCAATTTTTAATATTAAGATATAATATGAGCAATGAAACATGTTGTAACTAAATAAAATGCACCGATTGCACTCAAATTTCTCTAACATTCTGCGTCTCTTTTGAAAGAAATAATTTTAGGTGCAATATGAGATAGAGAGTGGAGACGCAGATGTTTTTAGGTCAGACTAGACTTTTGAACTTGACACCTAAAAATGTAAAAAGACTGACCAGCCTACTGTATGTTTCAACACCGAAATGGCTTGTAATTGGAAATTCCAGCTCACCTTTTCCCACCAGATACAATTCACTTTCTTGGTTTACTTTGATGTTCCATAGTTTTCAACAACTTCGTAACATTTTTAAATCCAAAATGAGTGAACCTAGAAAATAAATGTATTTTTTTCGAAAAAAAAGTGTTGGCAATTTTCCACGTAAAGTTCACGTTATCTTATTTTTTTGGATTTTTAAAAAAAATTTCATTCAAAACTCTCCGTCTTCAAACTCATCGCCCAATTTGATAAAAAATATTTTCATTATTTTTTGTTTCACTAAAGTTCAATTGTTACACTAAAACCAGCTAGTGTGACCATATTTTTCAGGAGTAAATAAAACAAAAAAAAAGTTGAAAAAAAGTACGATTTTCATCTTTATCATTTCATTTTTCTTTCATTTTCTTTTTCAATTTGGAAAAATGAGAAAATTTCTGATTTTTCTGATATTTTTGGTGTCGGTTTGCTGGGCTGGAAAATTGCCAAATTTTGAGCAACGAGCTGCTGAAATTGTGAGTTTGGATTAATTGGGTTGACTTTTTGGGTTTCTGAGACTAGCCCCAAATTCTACAGTAACATGCACAATTTACAGTAACCTAGATGATATTTAAAATTTTAAAAATCTCGAAAAAACCAGCCAAAAAATTAATTTCCAAATTTTTGCAGCTCATAAAACACGAATACAATTTCGACACTTTGACTGGAGAAGCGCGTAGAAAACGTCTGGAATTGGCGACAGCTCCAACTGAAATTCGATTTGAAGGCGATGTTGGTTTTTATAATGGAAATGTTAGGGATCGACCAGGACATGAACGCTTCAAAGATCCAGAAAGGGGATAATTTTTCGAGTTTTGAAAATAAATTTCGTTCTCGATTTGAAAAAAATAATGTTTCATTAAAGAAATATCCTAAATTCAAATTTCAGCAATTTTCTCATAATTGTTCCCAGGAATTTGAATATAGATCGATTTTTTCGGTGAACATAAACAAAACCTTCCAAGGATCATTCCAACTAGAAAGATCATTAGAATCCAGAACCATGGAATCGGAATTGAATTTTCTGATAATATTGAAAAATTTCTGTACTTCGGAGCTGATTTTGTTTTTTCAACAAGTTCATCGAATTCCCTCATCTCGACAAACCAATAATCAATTATCTGAAGAATTTCAGAATTTTTGGAAGTCAAAATGTTAGCCTAACTTCCTGCTCAAATCCATTTCTCATTTGCGGTCTTTTTCCATTTTCCTCGCTCCAATCAATATCAAAATAACTAGTTCCATTCGATATTTCCCAAATTTCCGCAGGTTTTCCAAATTTGATAAAATTCATAAAATATTCCGGATAAACTTCTGATAATTTTTGTTCATCTACAGTCTTATTAAAAGGATGAACACCCATGATATAATATAAATCATCCGTGTGAAGAGAATGTTTGGAATTTGAGTATTCATAAAGATAAGCAGGTGCTCCAATTTTTCTCATTTCTCTAATTCGAAATGCAGTGTCTAGGAAGAACTGTTGAGTATTGTCGGTGTGGTTGAATTCTTAAAATTTTAGAACAATTTCTATCAATCTACAGTAACCCTACCCTGTATTACTCACTCAATTTCCCCAATTTCTTATCCATTCTATACTTCGTATAAACCTCTTTCTTATTTTTAAAATCAATAATTCTTGCAAGTTCAGTCGATTCCTGATTTTTTTCAAGTTCATGTGTCACAACTCCAGTTAAATATGGCATAATTGTTGGATTTTTATAAAAATTTCCAATAGTTCCAGGTTGAAAGAGTGGTAATTCTTGAAAAACAGATTCAAATATATTTTTCGGATCTTCTTCCTCCATTTTTCTTTGAATTCTGAATTTTTTGAATCTTTACTTATTCAATATCGATATTACTAACCTGAGCAACTCTCGTGCATCCAATTTTTCCAAACATTGTAAAGAATCAGAATCTCTTCTGAATTCACACCCAGAAATTCTCAAAAATTTATCTGTCAATTTTCTGGATTCTTCTATGGATTTGAATGTGGAGGTCGTTGACATTGACACGATTTTTTGAAACTTTTTAGGAATTTTCGTGGAAAATAAAAGATTTGAAGTGATAGTTCCACCAAAACTGTGACCCATCAGAGTGATATTTTGAGAATTGCCACCAAAATGTTGGATTTCTTGATTGACAAAATCAATAGCTTTTAGAATATCAAATATTGCAATATTGTAAGGAACAACTTTTTGATCTTTGAAAATTAAATGGGAAAATATACCAAGTCGAAATGCTGGAATAACCAGAATAACATCTCTTGAGCAAAAAGAATCAAGGAGAAACGTGTCATTGAACATCACAGCTGAATCATAGTTCAGACCTCCGCCGTGAATGTAAACTGCAGTCGAGCAGTTTTTGGATTTCTGGAAAAACCTGGGAGGATTTTTGAAGAATAGAAAACACCTCAAGATCCTGTTTATGGTGATCTAGGAATTCCTCGGATGTTTTTATTGGCCTATACCCATATTCTTCCCCATCATTTTTCGACCTACCAAACAATAATCCGACACAAAAATATTCAAATACAAACAATCTTCATCGATCCATTTTGGTATACTTTTAGATGTTGTCGAATTTGTCATACATGCTGGACCATAAGCTGTGAAAAAAATTGAGTTATGACGTGGCAGTGTTTATTTTCAGATAGGTATATTTTCATTAATTTTTAAAGTTGTTTTTTTTCTTGGCCATATGATTTTTTTCTACATCAATAGAAAAATTCTCATATTTCACCAGACACAGTTATCACTAAAAGCAAATTGATAATTTTTGTGATTTCTAGGCTCCAAAATACATTTTTAAAAAATATTTCCGCGTGGCCAAGGTCTCACATTTTTTTGTTGGAAAACTCGGCTATCGATATTTCAAAATCTGTTTCAAAGTGATTTTCCTAACTTTCGAAAACTCGGCCACAAGTAATTTTTTTCTAAATCTCACCAGTTCCATCTCGAATTTCAGTCCATAATTCTGGATTTTCAGGTTTTTGAAATCTCAATTTTCCCAAAGGTGGTGCAGCAAATGGGATTTTCTGAAATTCTTCAAATATTCCACTAAAATCCTGTAAAAATCGCTCACCTTAAAACTATGATATAATTTGTGATTTCTCCAAACTTCTAAACCCTGAATTGATCCATATCCCGTGTTAATTATTTCAGAGTTAGCCCAATTAGCTAAATAAATAGTAAAAAGAATAATTAGAGAAAAAAATGGCAACATAAATTTGGGAGGAAATAAGAGGAGTCTCTCGACAAAAAATAGAAAGGTTTTGTTATCAACAAAAAATAATGTGATCAGAAAAACAGTCGAAAAAACAAACAAAATTAAGTTATGACGTGGAAACTTTGATCAAAGTTTTTATGGCTGAAAATCTTGAAGTACCCAAACTTTCAGGTTTACTTTTTCTGATTTCATGTGCTCGAAACGCTTATTTTTAACCTGAAACAATGAGTTATGTTGTGGCGAATTCATATTTCAAAATACTGAAAACGATAAAAAATGTATTCAGAAAAACAGTCAAATCAACAAAAAAAAAAATAACAAAAACAAAAATTACCGAAAAAACTTATAATTTGAGGCGATCTAAAATGTGTTTTTTCTTGGGCTCTTTCTTCTCCTGATCCTCTTGATTTTCACCAAAAACTTCATTTTCCACTTGATGTTTCTCAATATTTCTCTCAATTCGAATCTTATCCTTAACCATATTTTTCCTCGCTTCCATTTGCCAACCTGATTTCTTACTTCGCATTTTATGACGTGGCGTGTATTCAACTTTAACCGGTCGAATATACAATATCTTTTTCCGTTCTTCCTCTTCCAATTCCAATAATCCTTCATTGACTTTATTAATATCATCTGGATTGAGTGTAATAAGTTCGGGTTGGATTTTGTCCAAAAGTTGTTTGATTTCTCGCTCTTTTCGTTGATTTTTGGTCTCATATGGATTTGATCGTAAAGTATCGACATTTGGATCACCAGCTCCTGGAACCAACATAGATGTGAAACCTGAAGCATGTCCAATTCCTAGAACATCTTCCCATGGCACAAATTTCAGATCAGTTACTAGTCCTCCACAATTGTGAACGAGATATGGTTCGATACAGGATCCATTGTGCATGTTTTGGAACACCTAAAAGAAATTGATTATTTTTAAAAAGAAAACTTTGAGATATGTTTAGACGGTTTTTAAAATAATTTTGTTTTGTTTTAAATTTTTGAAATAGGTCTAGGGTTACTGTCAGCATGTTTTGACCCCAAAAAATCTATGGTTATTCAATTTTAAATTTCCAGACGTGACCTCAATTCAAATTTAACATTTCAAAACATTTTTAAATTTTCATTTTGAATTATATTTCTCACGGATCGCCTTTTCAGGTAAAAATAAAAACATCAGGATTTCCAGAAATTTTAGTTGAATTTTGATAAATTTCAATAAAAAAATTCATTTAATTTTTTGATTGAAAATTGATTTTTTCTGTGAAAAATCGAATCACCTGTACATAATTTCCAACAGCACAAGCAACATGCAACTTCTGCGAAATCGCCACATTTGCCACACCAAAAGGTAGTGAATAAGAATGAAGTTGTCGGAACATTCTAACATCCCAAATTCGACATTTTCGATCCAATCCAGTTGTTGCCATATAAGTTCCCTGTTCATCAATTGCGATTCCTTTAACAGCTGATAAATGTGTCAGAATTTTGACGAGCGGTTCTTTCGAATTTGGCGACCATAATTGAACAGTTCCATTGGTGTGACCAGTGTGAATTATTGCATTTGCCGGATTCTGAAATAATCAAAATTGTGTAAGCTTCACTTTTGTATCTGGCAAGTTGAACAATGTTGACTCAAGTCCAACTAACCTGACACAATACATCAAGATTTCCCGATTTTGTAGCAAATGATATAACTTCTTTACCAACTGATACATCAACATATGTCAAAAAAGAATTACGCGAACCGCCAGCCAACAAAAAATGATGAGGAAGAAATTCGAGTCGCGCAACATCATACATATTTTTCAAGCAATGCAATTCGGTTCCCAAATTATCGTAGATATAGGTATAATGTTTTTGAGCGACTGCGATGAAGTTTTCAGTATGGAGAAATCTACAAAAATCAATGTTTTTTTGCATTTTATCGTGAAAATAAAGCTCACTTCACATCCGAAACTTTCTCCATAACATTTTGCTCACAATGAAGATGCTTTGTCTGCCAATCGATCGATGCTAAATGTCCTTTTCTTCCACCAATCACTAAATGTCTACCATTATCTGTATAATCAATATGATATGGTCCAAATTTCGGGAGTTTCAGTTCAAAATGTTTTGTTGCAGCTGCCAAATCTACGTTTTGCTGAATTTCCTTTTGGCGGACACTATAAGTGAGCATATTGTCCTCACCATCGTCAGCACCCAAGAAACCTGTCTAAAAATTTTGTTTTGGATTGAAAATACTTTTAGAGTTGGGCTAACTCACATCTTCAACTAAACGCTTTTCAGCTTTTGCAGTCAATTCAATACGTTTTTCAAATTTCTCCTTTGTCAACTTCATTTTCTCTTGTTGTAATTTTGATCGCATCGAGCTTGGATCAATTGTTTTTGCTCCTGTATCATGTCGCAGTTTTTGTTGTTTAGTTAAGCCTGTGAACTTCTCCTCCGGTTTTCCCTTTCCATTTTGCTTGAATTCCTGTTTCTTTTTGGGAAACTTGCCGATTTTCTGCTTCATCTTTTTATAATCTTTCCAACTCATTTTCTCCGCTCCGCTTGCCGGCGTGACATCCGTCGCGGACAGATTGATTTTCTCTGTTTTCGGTGCCATTACTGCAAAAACAATTCGTTAGTAATTTCGGGAAAACAGGCAAAAAGCGAAAAACGAAAAAAATAATAAAAATACACGCGCGTCAAGTAAAATGCAAAGTGTGCAAACACGCTGCACTTTTTCAAACGTACCGTATATTTATTTCAAACCAAAAAAAAACTTTTTCGATTTTTTTCAGCCACGTCGCTGTTTTTCAGCCGGGAAGGGGAATTTTTGGCTGAAACGACGCTTTTTTGAGATGGAGGGAAGTATTTGTAGATATTTTGCAAATGGTGCATGCAGCAAGGGCGATAGTTGCAGGTGAGCATTTTGAGAAATGTTATGAAATTCAACTTTTAGGGACATTTTACAACTTGGAACTAATTAGCTTCATATATGGAATATACGAGTATTTTCTGTGTTTTTAGTGAAGTCTATAAGTGATTAGGGTTCAAAGAACGACCAAAATTTGATAAAATTTCGAAATATTGAAACAACTCCATTTTTAATGAAAAATGAAGTCAAATGAGAATATGAGGTGGAAAAAATTTAAATATTTGAAAAATCTACTCATAGTGTGAAAAGTTTGAATTTTCCACGTTATAACTCAAATGCAGAGTTGAGATAATTCGAACAAATCTCAAGGTCCAATATTTTTCAGATACTCGCACGACAGGAGTAAACAATCAAAAGATGTTTGTCAATTTTACCAAGTCGGAAAATGCTCCTTTGGAAATACTTGCAAATTTCATCACATTCGAGACAAAGGTCCCTCCACATCTTCGTCAACTTCAAGTACAAAAATGGTAAAACCTATGCAACTCGTCACCACAGAAAAGCCAAAACCAAAACCCGGTCTGAATACAAGTGCCCCCGAATTTGTGCCAAGTTGGAAGAAGAAAAATGTGATAAACTACGCGAGTGCGGTGAATCCTGTAGACGATGATGAATTAGAAGCTCGCCGTCTTGCCAGTCTTTCACTTTGCCCATATTTTGAAACGACGGGCGAATGCACAATTAGCCAAACTTGCCCATTTGTACACGGTGATTTGTGTGATCTTTGTAACACTTGGTGTCTACATATTTATAGCGAAGAGAAGATCAAACTACATAGAGATGAATGTTTGATGAATCATGAAAGAGCTATGGAGCAAGCTTTTATTGAACAACGATCCCGAGAGAAAACTTGTGGTATTTGTATGGAAAATGTTTTTGAAAAAGATCTGAGATTCGGAATTTTGAATGGATGTAAACATTGTTTTTGCCTAGATTGTATTCGACAATGGAGAACTAAACATACAACAACTGATTTGGATTCGAAAGTTGTGAGAAGTTGTCCAGAATGTAGGCAACATAGTGATTATGTTGTGCCGAGTGTTTTTTGGGTGGAAGAAGATGTAGAAAAAGATTTGTTGATTAATATGTATAAAGAGAATACGAAGGCAAAAGTTTGTAAATATTATACTGTGAGTTGGGTTTTTGATTGAGAAAATTGGGAAAATTCACGAAAGATATCTAGAATAAATTTAATGAAAATTTCCAGCTGAAAATCGGTTTTTCAAAAAGTAATTTAATATTTTTGCAGGGCAACAGATCTCTCGGAAATTGTCCTTTTGGCAACAAATGTTTCTACAAACATCAACTTCCTGATGGTTCAATTGATCCTGGAGAAAGTCCACATGTTCGAAGACGCCCTCAACTTGTTGATTTTCTTTTATCTGGAATTGATGATGATTCGGATGAAAATGAAGACGACTTGGAAACTATGGAATTACTCGATGCATTTGTTAGAAATCTTCGAAATATGTCCTCTAATTAAATTATTTTTCTTCTTATTCTTTCAATTGCATAAACTGGTAGATTTTATTATAGTTTGTGGACTTTTAAACTAAATTTAAAGTTTTAAAGCTTTAATTTCATATCTTATTTGTTAACGGGTCAAAAATGTGGAATTCCGTGGAAAAAATGTTTCAAAGAAATTAGTTGCCCCTTTAAAAAATAAATATATTTCTTTCAGAAAAATGTACAAAGTTGAATTAGATTCGAAAAAGGTTGTGGGCAAATGTGTAGACGCAATCAGGGAAAATACCAACGCTTCACTTTGCGATTGTCATCAAAGTTTTCAGTCGATTTTACGGATATTAGAACCATATTTAGGGTAAGTACAATAAATTTTATCTAGGGAGCAAGATCTGTGTGATGGTTCTGATTATGTTGTCAAAAAATTGAAAAAAAACTCCACCCACAATCAGAATTCCGAAACGGGCGGAGAGATGTTATCCCAAAGATAACAAATGAAATTCTGAATTATTTAATTAAATAAATAATTGTTTTTTCCACGTGAAAACGGTCATTTTTGGTTATTTATTATGTCCGAAAAGGTTGTTTTTTTTCTAGCCAAAAACATTTCTAGAGTATTTCGAGAAGAAAATCTTAAAAGTGATATGTCTAGTTCTAAAAAATTTGATTTTCTGGAAGCACAAAATGAAAAATTCAAAAACCGAACAAAACTACGAAACTCCGCAACAATGACGCAGTTCATTAGTTTAGTAGAGCGCGTTGTATGTGTGTCTGATACTCTTTTCTTTTCGTTTTTCTTGTAATATATATATATATAGAGAAAGAGTCAGAGAGCGAGAGAGAGAGAGACTGCCAGCGTGGCAATTTATATATATATTCAGTTTGCAGTTCGGAGTGGCGTCTTTTTTGAGTTCACTGACCATTCTTATTCATTTTTTAGTTTCTTCTTCTTTTTTCTCTCTCTCTCTCTCTCTGATTTTCCGGAAGGTTTGACTGTAAGTCGCAGGGATGCGCTAGTTTGGCTGGAAGGGTTTGTCTCTCAAATTAGAAGCTGGAAAGCTAATACTGTAAGTCGCAGGGATGTGCTGGTTATGCTGGAAAGTGGATTTAAAGTCGCAGGAATGCGCGTCACAGCCGGAAGGCTTTTTTTAAGTCGCAGGAATGCGCGTCACAGCCGGAAGGCTTTTTTTAAGTCGCAGGAATGCGCGTCACAGCCGGAAGGCTTTCTTTAAGTCGCAGGAATGCGCGTCACTGCCGGAAGGCTTTCTTTAAGTCGCAGGAATGCGCATCACTGCCGGAAGGCTTTCTTTAAGTCGCAGGAATGCGCATCACTGCCGGAAGGCTTTCTTTAAATCGCAGGAATGCGAATCACTGCCGGAAGGCTTTCTTCAAGTCGCAGGAATGCGCGTCACTGCCGGAAGGCTTTCTTTAAGTCGCAGGAATGCGAATCACTGCCGGAAGGCTTTCTTCAAGTAGCCAACGGGCCTACATTAATTTATTTAAAAATATTTTTCATAAAAATCCTTTTTTTTTCAGATCAGCAGATGGTTTCGCTGAAATTCAAGAAAACACGTCGAACTATGAGCCGGATATTATCACATGTTTCGATCGACGAATGCTAGATTTGATTTGCACAAAATTATATGATATATTTTTGGAAAAACAAGAGCTCAGTTTCTCATCAACGGACAACGATTCGGATTTGATCAATAATTTGGGAGCGTTTTGTGATATTGTTGAAAAAACTGATCCGAGAATTCCATTGGAAATATTGTCGAGGGATAATTATGATTGGTTGAATCAAATGACTACGGTTTTACAGATGGTAGGGAATTCTTTTTTTGAGTTGGAAAATCATTTCAGAACTTTTGAAAAAAAATCAGCGAAAAATTAAAAAAGTCAATTTTCCACGTCAAAACTCTAATTTTTGCAGGATCAAGATCCCGAAGTGCGTCAATCAATAATCCAAACATTCCACACAATTCTAACTCGTCTCGACAAAAAAGTCATTCATGCTCTCTGCGATACTCAACTTCCAATAGTTCTGGTTTCAATGACATCTTCCAGCGAAGCTCAATCGAAAATCTTTGGACATGCTTTGAAAGTGCTGACTCTACTCTACAGCACCGATATCCTTCCACCTCTAAGTCATCTGGATTATTTGAACACTTCCTATTTTAGCAGATTGTATAGTGTTCATTTGGTTTCGTCGGAAGATGTTTTGAATTTAGGTAGGGTTTAAAAAGGGATTTTTGAGTCCAAACAAGGTTCCGGACAGCCTGAAAATTCGAAAATTGACGATTTTTCATTTGTGTTTAGGCCATAAATACGAGGCCAACAAAAATGGGAAATTTTATAAAGTTTCTCGATGGTCTTGTTTGAACTCAAAAAACCTAAATTTGTTTTGATACTTTCCTAGATAATTAACCTGATTTCAGCCTCGAATTTATATCATTTATTAAAAAATGCTGATTTATCGATTGATTGTTTGATTGAACCATTCGTTAGAGAATCATACGGTTGTTCGCAATATGCCATTTTTATGATTGCTTCGCTGAATCGAATTTGCACAGTGAAACGATTGAAATATATTCAAGAAATTATTCGACTCGGAAAAGATGTTTTGGAGATTTTATTTTATGTCACCGATTTGAGAGTTTTGACACATATTTTGGCGCGAGAAATGATCAATAGTTCGGATGATCAGGTTGGTTACAAATATCACTATGTTTAGCTGAAAGTTCATGTGGCAATGATATTGGCGCACATTTTTCCACGTGGATTTGTTAGCAGTGAATTTCAAATCTCCCTCTTACTTAGAAAATGTTTCCTTCTTCATTTTAATTCGAAATGTAAAGTTTTTCTGAAAATTAAGAGTTCAGAAATTCAACCTAAAAAGCCACCAAAATTCGCAATTTTATGCACCGAATTTTTGGCCACGTAGATTTTTCAGTATTCAGTACTTCAAGTGTTATCAAACTTTTGTTTCCAAATGAAAAAAAAAACGGTGCAAAAATTCAGGAATTTAATTCAGGAACTTAAAAAAATGTTTCTCTCTAAAATCCCACGAGGCTAAAATTGTCGCGAAAATTCATATGTTCAATTTTATGAACTAAAATCCAGCGTCAAGCTCATATAACATTTTGGGCAGAAAATTTACAATTTTCAATTTCAGAACTAATTTTTTGCCTGTGGATATTTTGAACGCGCGCAAATTCAAGTTGCGTTTCGAAATTGTTGCTTCTGAAAATCCACTTCGCAATAAATTACCGCGAAAAATTAATTTTTAATTGTTAGCAATAATATTCAGAGCTAGTTTTTAAAATTTTAGTGTTCGAGCTCGAAATCCACTTCGAAAACATTTTGCAATTTTTTTCAGATCCGAAAACTATGCAATTCGATGCTTCTCTCACTCATAAATGAATGCCAAATTCCGACAGATGAGGAAATTAGTCAAGCGCTTACGGAATATAATTAATTAGCTAATTAGTTAATTAATTGAATATTTATCTATTTGAAATCATAGTTTTCATATTTATAGCCAAAATTATTAATTTATTTATTTGCAAATTCTTTTTAAATGTGCCAATTTTTTTGTAGTAGACCAATAAAATCCGATTTTTCCACTTTATAACTCATTCATTTCTAGCCCCATTTTCTTTTAGAACTCTCTACTCTTTATCAATATTTTTATTGATAACAAACCTCTATTTTTGCTCTCTCCTCTTTTTCTTCCTTAAAAATATGTTGCCATTTTTTTCTCTAATTATTCTTTTTACTGATTTATTTGCTAATTGGGGCAACTCTGAAATAATTAACACGGGATATGGATCAATTCAGGGTTTAGAAGTTTGGAGAAATCACAAATTATATCATAGTTTTAAGGTGAGATATTTTTACAGTATTTTAGTGGAATATTTGAAGAATTTCAGAAAATCCCATTTGCTGCGCCGCCTTTGGGAAAATTGAGATTTCAAAAACCTGAAAATCCAGAATTATGGACTGAAATTCGAGATGGAACTGGTGAGATTTAGAAAAAAATTACTTGTGGCCGAGTTTTTGAAAGTTAGACCAAGCGGAAAAATTTTCCAATATAAATTCAAAAAAAATTTGAATGAAAAAACGAAGCTTAACTTTTGAAAAAGTGAAAACCAATACCACTTTTGGAGCCTACAAGTCACAAAAATTATCAATTTTCTCTAAAATAAATCATCATCTGGTTTCTGGAACTATTGAACTTTTAGTTGTTTGTTTTCAAAACAAAACTCAATTTTTTTCACAGCTTATGGTCCAGCATGTATGACAAATTCGACAACATCCAAAAGTATTCCAAAATGGATCGATGAAGATTGTTTGTATTTGAATATTTTTGTTTCGGATTATTGTTTGGTAAGTCAAAAATATTTGAAAAAAACCATCCAGGAAACTTACACTTTCCTAGGTAAGGAGTCCCTCTAATTCTAAGCCTGATAAAAGAGTTTTACGATTATTTTCCGCGTGCCCTTCTAAAAATTTCCAAATTTTTCACTTTCAAATATTTTTTCTCAACTTTCCAGAGATCCAAAAACTGCTCGACTGCAGTTTACATTCATGGCGGAGCTCTGAACTATGATTCAGCAGTGATGTTCAATGACACAGTTCTATTTGATTCATATTGCTCAAGAGATGTTATTTTAGTTATCCCTGCATTTCGACTTGGTGTATTTTCTCATCTTGTATTCAATGATCAAAAAGTTGCTCCTTACAATATCGCAATCTTTGATATTCTAAAAGCTATTGATTTTGTCAGTCAAGAAATCCAACATTTCGGTGGAAATTCTCAAAATATCGCATTATTTGGTCATTCATACGGCGGAGTTATTTCATCGCAACTCCTATTTTCTACAGAAATCGAGAAGAAGTTCCAAAAAGTTGTCTCAATGTCATCCATCTCATTTTTCAAACCATTAGAGGAGTTGAGAGAACTTACGGATAAATTTTTAAAAATTTCTGGTTGTAAAGCTACAAAAGATTTTGATGCTCTAAAATGTTTGGAAAAACTGGATGCACGAGAGTTGCTCAGGTTAGTCTCAATTACATAATTTTTGAAAATTGAATTTATATTTTTTAGAATCCAAAGAAAAATGGAGGAAGAAGATTCGAAGAATATATTTGAATCGATAGTTCATTCTCTACCTTTATTTCAACCTGGAACCCTCGCAGATTTCCATAAGAACCCTACAAATATGCCGTATTTATCTGGAGTTGTAGCACATGAATTTGATAATAACGGAGAGGAAAGAGAACTTGCTAGTATTATTGATTTCAAAAATAAAAATGAGGTTTATAAGAAGTATAGAATGGATAAGAAATTGGGGAAATTGAGTAAGTTTTTCGCTTCGGAATTATTATTTTTGACGAGTTTTTTAACTCAAAAAATACAGTAATCACAGATTACTGTAGCTTTTTTCTAGAGAATTTCATAAGAGATTACAGAATTCAACACAACTGATCGAACTCAAAAATTCTTCCTCGATGTTTCATTTCGAATTCGACAAATGCGAAAAATCGGAGCGCCCGCGTATCTCTACGAATATTCAAACCCAGCACATGCCACGCATACAGATGATTTATCATATATTATGGGTGTACATTTATTCAATAAATCAATTGATGAACAAAAATTATCAGAAGTTTATCCGGAATATTTTATGAATTTTATCAAATTTGGAAAACCGGCGGAAAATTGGGAAATATCGAATGGAACTAGTTATTTTGATATTGATTGGAGTGAGGAAAATGGAAAAAGACCGCAAATGAGAAATGGATTTGAAAAAGAGGTAGACTTGAGATTTTAGGGCTTTTAAAATCTTGAAGTGTTTCAGATAATTGATTATTGGTTTGTCAAAATGCGAGAATACGATGAACTTATTGAAAAACAAAAATCAAAATCAATTCCGAAATTCAAACGTCTTCCAATATTATCCGCAAATTCAACTTCGATTTCTTGTCTCTCAATTCTACTGATCTTCCTAGCTGGATTGATACTAGGAAGATTATGTTGGTTCAGGCCGAAAAGTTCAATCTATGTTCAGATACCAGGGAATAATTATGAAAAAATAGTTGAAATTTGAATTCTCCATAAATATTTGGTAGTTCAAATGTTCTTTGTTGAAATTTGAAAAAAATCAGGAAGTAAACACCTATGATCATTTTTCTGTTCCTAATCTTGATTATAATTACAATATTTCTTTTCCTATTTCTTATCAATTGTTTGGTGTCATAGTTTGTAGCCTATTGTTATTTTTATTCTTATTCTTATCATTCGTTAGTTAGTGTAGTGAGCAAAAATGCACATCTCTCCCAAAATTTTAATTTTTGTGTTTATTCTATTTTCAATTTTTTCTCCCGGAGATTCTACGATCATCAAAACTGGTTTGGGTTCAATTAGAGGACTGGAAACTTATCAAAATGATAAGCTTTATCATAGGTTTAAGGTGAGTTTAACTGTAGAATAATTAATAAAAAAATAAAATAAATTAGATTTTTTGTTTAGAAAATCCCATTTGCTGCACCGCCTGTGGAAAATCTGAGATTTCAAAAACCTGAAAATCCCGCTCCTTGGGCTGAAATCAGAGATGGAACTGGTGAGTTTTCCAAAACTTAAACCCCTAGGTCATATTACCACCGTACAACCTAATTTTTAGCCTACGGTCCAGCATGTATAACAAATACGACATCATCAAAAAGTGTGCCAAAATGGATGGACGAAGATTGTTTGCATTTGAATATTTTTGTCTCGGATTTTTGTTTGGTAGGTCGAAAAATGGGGGTATTTCGGGTGGGATTCGTTTCTAGCCCATCTTCGATTTTTTAGAGTACAATTAAACTTTTATAATTTCTCAAACATTTCCCAGTTGTTTTTCCAGAAATCAAAAAACTGCTCAACCGCTTTCTATATCCACGGCGGAGCATTGTACTACGATTCAGCTGTTATGTTCAATGACTCATTTCTCCTAGATTCTTTTGCTTCTAGAGATGTGATTCTAGTTATTCCTGCATATCGACTAGGAATATTTTCTCATCTAACACTGCAAAATCAAAAACTTGCTCCCTATAATATTGGAATTTACGACATGCTTAAAGCTCTCGAATTCGTCAATAAGGAAATCAAGAATTTTGGAGGCGATTCGAAAATTGTCACATTATTTGGTCATTCATATGGGGGACTGGTAACTTCACTTCTTTCATTTTCTACAGAAATCAACAAAGATTTGAGCTTGTTTCAAAAAATAGTCTCGATGTCTGCATTTTCGCACTTTCAACCAACGGAAACAATAAAGAATCGGACTTATGATTTTGCTAGAAGATCAGGATGTAATACTTCAGATCTTGAAGTTTACACCTGCTTGCAAAATAAAAAATGGCCAGAACTTTTGCGAATCCAACAAGAAATGGAAGAAGACTATGGAACTTTGAACTTTGAAGGAGTTCTTCAGGAAATGCCACTTTTCCAGAAAGGAAGTCTGGGAGAATTTCATAAAAATCCGAAGAAAATTCCATGTTTAACGGGAGCGACAACTTTGGAATTCGATACGAAGCCAGATAAGATTGATATCACAGAAATTATGGATTTCAAGAATCCGGAGGCTATTTATAGGAAATATCAAAGCGATGTTGAGCAAAATTTATTGAGTGAGTTTAGTCAGGGGAAGTAAGCAATCGGATTTTTTAAATAACAATTCATAATTCTGATTTGGGAACGAAATCCACGATCACAGTCCCAAAAATGCTCTACAGTAACCCAAGATCTAAAAAAACCAAAATTTCAAAATTTAAGAGTTCCGGTGGCCATCCTAATTTGTCAAAAAATGTAATATTTCCCGAAAAATCACAATAATGATTAATGGCCTCAGGTGATTTTTACTCCTATTTTTTCCAGTTTGTATTCTAAAAAATCAAACATAAATCGTTTTTCAGAACTATAAACGAGTTTATTACATAATTTCAGTTTGAAAAATTGCGAAGTTCAAAATCTAGCCAAAATCCTAATCTTCATAAAATTTCAAATAATAACAATCGAAACTCAAGATAGCGAATCTTCCAGAATCTATAAAATGAGCAATTCGAATACTTTCTTCCAAATTTTTCTCCAAAAATAATTGAAAAAGTTTGATAACATCGAAATTGTTCGAATATCCTAATCTCCATGTGATTTTTCGTTTCAAATTTGATTTTTTTCTCCAACTTTGCACAAAATCATAAATATTTTCCTCTGTCAAAAATCCAATGTCAATATGAATTTCACAAGCCAAAATTTGCTGGAATTCCAGAAAATTGAGCTTGAGAAGTGGGAAATTTAATATTTCACATGGCTCCGCCCAAAACATCCTTGACGTTTCTGATTTTCCCACAAGAAATCCTCCCGAAACATTCAAAATTCTTCTGGATTTCACTAAAAACTTTGAAATATTTTTGCAATTCATCAAATATAGCTCCTGAATTTCGCGTAGATTTTGAATTTCGAGAAAGTCTTCATCGATAGCTCCATGAATTTTGAGAATTTTCAGCGAATTTCGATTTTCGCGCAATTTTTCATTGATAAAATCAACAGCTTTCTCATAGAAATTTTGAACTTCCACATGAAAATGCAGGATTTTCAGATGGAATTTAGGTTTCTCTGAAAATTCCACATAAAAATCATAGTCAGATTCGTGTTCACCAAAAAATATTCGACATAGATCTTTTCTCAAAATTATTTTCATTTTTCGAAATCTCACAATTTTTGTTGATTTTTGACAGAGTTTGGAACATTTTCCAAAATTATATCTAAAAAAAAAAGTTTTGTTTTTGAAATTTTCAGAATTAAAATAGAGAACTTGACTCACCTGTCTGAAAATTGCATTTTTTGAATAACTACACATCGAAGTTCAGGAGGAAGATGGGAGAATTTTTCAAAAATCATTTTTCAAACTGAATTTTGAACCAGTTAATGGTTCCGGAGAAATATTTATTGTTTGATTTTTTAGGTCACAGCCTCGATAGAAAATTAGGACTGAAAATCACGTAGGACTATAAATTTTGTATTAATTGTTTGAAATTATTTTTTGTTGTTAAGAAAATTACACTTTTTGAGAAATCGGGAAGAATTTCCACATAACCTCTTGTACTCACAATCAGAGTTGAGACAAGGAAATTTTTACAGCAGGATCCTAACCAGATCCTAACCAAAAGCTATTAGTAAAATATATTTAAACAAAATATTTCCTATTTCAGGCTTCAATCACTCTGAAGAAACTGTGAAACTCTTTGTCGACACCAAAATTCGAGTTCAGGAACTATTGAATGTCGGAGCCCCTGCTTACCTCTACGAATATTCGAATCCCACACATCCTCTTCACACTGAAGACTTATCTTATATTATGGGAGTTCATCCTTTCAATAAGACTATAGATGAGCAAAAATTATCTGAAATTTATCCGGAATATTTTATAAATTTTATCAAATTTGGAAAACCTGCGGAAAATTGGGAAATATCAAATGGAACTAGTTATTTTGATATTGATTGGAATGAGGAAAATGGAAAAAGACCGAAAATGAGAAATGGATTTGAAAAAAGAGGTATACCGATTGCGACCTCTAGTCTCTATGAAGCTCAGATTATAAATGAATTTTTTTAGGTAATTGATTACTGGTTTATCGAGATGAGAAAATATGACGCATCAATTGAGAAGCAGAAAAAAATCAACCCAAAATTCAAATCGATCGATCTTACACTTCCAGAAGAAAATAACAATTTGATTCTCTGGTTTTCTATAAGCCTAATATTTCTTATCGGAATTATAATTGGACGATGCTTTTGTGCCCCAAAAACTTCATCAGTTTATATTCAAATACCAGGAAACGACTACAGCTACGATTTAATAAAATAATATTTATCTACTTACTTTCATTTTTAGTCTAAATTATTTCAAGAAGAGCATTTCAAAATCATTGTGTCCTTCTTGTTATTATTTGTATAATATTTTTTTTCTGACAGTTTCTTATCAGTTGACCAGTAATACATGCTTTTTCTTATTTTTTTCGTCCAATTTATTGATGGATTTGTTGTTGACACAAATTATGGGTCAATTCGAGGGTCGGAAATCGAACAAGATGGACAATTATTTCATAGTTTCAAGGTATGTTTCAGCCTTTTCTTTGAATAAAATGATCATCCGATTCTTTTCAATGAGCTCCGACAGCCCATAATAACCTATTTTTCATTCTAGAAAATCCCGTTTGCTTTGCCGCCTTTGGGAAAATTGCGATTTCAAAAACCGGAAAATCCGAATGCTTGGCAGGGAATTCTAGATGGAACTATTTATGGTCCAGCATGTTTATCAAATTCTTCACAAACGAAAAGCCAGCCAATTTGGATCGATGAAGATTGCTTGCATTTAAATGTTTTTGTGTCGGATGTTTGCTTGGTAAGTCGGGAGAAGGGTTCGGCCACGAAAATTGTATTCATGGGCTCCCGAACTCTCCGGATTTTTAGATCTAGTTTGATTACAAGTATTTTCAGAAGTCAAATAAATCCTGCGCAGTTGCTTTATATATTCATGGCGGAAATTTGAACTATGATTCAGCTGTTATGTTCGATGATCCAACTATCTTCCGTAAATTCGCCGCCAAAAATGTTATTTTAGTTATACCTGGAATCAGACTTGGTATATTTTCACATCTAACATTTGCGAATCAAGAAAATGCTCCCTACAACATCGCAATTTTTGATATTTTGAAAGCTCTGGATTTCGTGCATAATGAGATTGTGAACTTTGGAGGAGATCCTGCAAAAGTCACACTTTTTGGACATTCTTCTGGCGGAGTTATTTCTTCGTTTATGGGTTTTTCGACTGAAATTAACCGAGATTTGAGCTTGTTTCAACAAGTTATTGCAATGTCTTCACTTGCAATTTTTACACCAAAAGAGTTGCCGAAACTTTTGACAGATGTGTTCGTCAAAAAGGCGGGGGTAAGTCTATTTATTTTAGATACTTATAGTCTATCTGAAAATTTGGACATTTTTTCAGTGTAATTCAAATGATGATTCTGAAATTCTGAAATGTCTTCAAAAAATGGACGCTCTTGAATTATTACGCATTCAGCGAGAAATGGAAACTACAGAAATAACAATGTTTTGGGGAGTTATTCAAGAATTGCCACTTTTTCAAAAAGGTTCACTTTCGGAATTCCATCAAAACCCTAAAAATATTCCATTTCTGATTGGAACAACTTCTAGAGAATTTGATAAGGAAGTCGATTTTGTACCAATTGGTCAGATTTTAGGATATCAGAATCCAGGAGAAATTTATGAAAATTATAAAAACGGATCAATTGGGGAAAAATTAAAACATTCTGATGAAACTCAAAGATTATTTGTGGATACTGTAGCTCGAGTTAGAATTTTGAGAGAGAAACATATTCCGGTGAGTTTTTAATTGCTCACAAATTTTACAAGGCTTCTAATTTCAGGCCTATCTTTATCAATATTCAAATCCGACACATCCATTTCATACAGATGATTTATCATATTTTATGGGTGTTCATAATTTCAATAAATCAATTGATGAACAAAAATTATCGGAAGTTTATCCGGAATATTTTATGAATTTTATAAAATTTGGAAAACCTGCGGAAAATTGGGAAATATCAAATGGAACTAGTTATTTTGATATTGATTGGAATGAGGAAAATGGAAAAAGACCGCAAATGAGAAATGGATTTGAAAAAAAGGTAGGCTTGGATTTTTGGGCTCAGGGCCGATGGGCTCGGCCTGAATTATCGGATAACATTACAAATCTGTTTCAGATAATTAATTATTGGTTCGATGATATGCGAGAACTTGATAAATTTATTGAGGCCCAAAAGTCTGTCTTGAAGTATAAATCCCAAACTTTTCCAATTCCACCATCAAATTCAGCTCTGTTTTCATGGATCTGGATTCTACTTATCTTCATACTTGGATTGATCCTAGGAAAATTATGTTTTTCTAGCTCGAAAAAATCTATTTATGTTCAGATTCCTGGAAACAACTATAATTATGAGAAAATTGCTGAAATTTGACAATATAAGTTACTTCGAAACTTTTTTATCTTTTCAAGATTTTATATTATTTTTTCAGCCATTATAAATTGATAAAACTGTTATCAGTCCTTATTTTTCAATATTTTTCTAACATGCTTCTTCTTTTATTTTTAGTAAATTTTATTGATGGATTTGTTGTTGATACTAGTTATGGTAAAATTCGAGGATCAGAAATCATACACGATGGAAAGTTGTTTCACAGTTTCAAGGTTTTCAAAATTTTTAACTTCGCATCAGAAAAAAAAAATAATGGCGTTCCAGAAAATTCCTTATGCTTCACCGCCTTTGGGAAACCTCAGATTTCAAAAACCGGAAAATCCTAAATGTTGGAATGGAATTCTAGATGGAACTATCTATGGTCCCGCGTGTTTATCAAATTCTACAGTTTCGCATAGTTCGCCACGTTTGATGGATGAAGATTGTTTGCATTTGAATGTTTTTGCGTCGGATTTTTGTTTGGTAAGTAGGGTTTCTAGAAGACAATAATGTTTTCCGGATTCTAAGGAATTTGAGAATCTCTAGAGTCTTGTGATCAACTGCAAAAACAAACTATATACAAACCCCAAAACCTTTTTTCCAGAAATCTGATGAATCCTGCGCTGTCGCATTCTACATTCACGGCGGAAATTTGAACTATGATTCAGCTGTGATGTTTGATGATTCAACACTTTTGAAATCATTTGCAGCCAGGGATGTTATTTTAGTGACTACTCAATTCAGACTCGGAATATTTTCTCATTTGATATTTGAAAATCAGGAAAATGTTCCTTACAATATCGCATTTTTCGATATTTTGCAAGCTCTTGATTTTGTGCATAAAGAAATTTGGAGTTTCGGCGGAGATCCTGCAAAAGTCACACTTTTTGGACACTCATTTGGTGGGGCCATTTCGTCTCTATTTCTATTCTCCTCTGAAATAAATCAGGATTTGAGTCTCTTTCAAAAAGTTATATCAATGTCCTCGGTTGCCAACTTTTTACCAAAGGAAATTCTGAGAAATTTGACGGAAGAATTGGTTGAAAAAGCTGCGGTAATTTTTAATTTGATATTTTGAAAAACAAAAATGTTTTCAGTGTCAATCAGAACATGATTCTGAAGTTCTTCAATGCCTTCAGAAAATGAATGCCCTTGAATTATTGAGGTAATTTTTATTAGCGATGAATTGCCATCACTTTGAAAAAAATCTACAGAATTCAACGAGGAATGGAGAAAAATCTATTAACGACATTTTGGGGTGTTATTCAAGAACTACCATTATTTCAAAAAGGATCTCTTGCTGATTTTCACAAAAACCCAAAAAATATTCCGATATTAATTGGAGCAACAACCAAAGAATTAGATGATAACTTGGATGATCTACCAATTTGTGAGATTTTAGGATATAAAAATGAGGAATTTATTTATGAAGTTTACAAAAATGGATCTAAAGAAAAAGATTTGAAGCATTCTGATCGAACTCAGCGAATATTTGTGGATACTGTAGCTCGAGTTAGAATTTTGAGAGACAAACATATTCCGGTGAGTTTTTAATTGCTCACAAATTTTACAAGGCTTCTAATTTCAGGCCTATCTTTATCAATATTCAAATCCGACACATCCATTTCATACAGATGATTTATCATATTTTATGGGTGTTCATAATTTCAATAAATCAATTGATGAACAAAAATTATCGGAAGTTTATCCGGAATATTTTATGAATTTTATAAAATTTGGAAAACCTGCGGAAAATTGGGAAATATCAAATGGAACTAGTTATTTTGATATTGATTGGAATGAGGAAAATGGAAAAAGACCGCAAATGAGAAATGGATTTGAAAAAGAGGTAGGCTTGGATTTTTGGGCTCAGGGCCGATGGGCTCGGCCTGAATTATCGGATAACATCATAAATCTTAATACTTTTTCAGATAATTGATTATTGGTTCGATGAGATGCGAGAACTTGATAAATCTATTGAGGCCCAAAAGTCTGTCTTGAAGTATAAATCCCAAACTTTTCCAATGCCACCATCAAATTCAGCTCTGCTTCCATGGTTCTGGATTTTACTGATCTTCATACTTGGATTGATCCTAGGAAAATTATGTTTTTCTAGCTCGAAAAAATCTATCTATGTTCAGATTCCTGGAAACAACTATAATTATGAGAAAATTGCTGAAATTTGAATAAAAACCAAATATACATTTTATTATGCCAAAAAAGAATAATTGAAACAAAATAAATATTAATAGTATTTCAAAACGACCGTATTCATAACATCACAAGTATCTTCAAGAATTATCCAAAAAGAAATGTTTTTTTTCAAGGAAGTTCATCAGTCGGAAAAATGGTGATTGAGTGTGGATGCACTTGATTTGGTTGAGAATTATTCGATGATTCTGAAATTTTGAAAATCTCAAGAAACTACCCATTTTTTTCATGCAAAAACATTATGGTTAGGTTTATCCCGGAAAAATTTGTTAGTAAAACAACACATGATAATAATAACAAATCGGGGGTAGGGTACATAAGCTTACAGTACTCCCGGGTTGGTTACTGTACAAATACAATCAGGATCAGAATCAGAGAAGTGTTGGTGAAACTCACGTTGAGCAAATAGAGAAAACACAAATCAAATTTTTTTTTTTGAAAAAAAAACAATCAGATGATACTTCCTAAATGTTAGTTGAATCATGTGAAAGCCTGATTTTTGTAATCTAAAAACAAAAATTAAAAATTACCTGATCTCGTCCAAAGATCTACACCATTTTGAGATCCACCATTTGTTGTTGAATGTGTTCGGAATTTTCCGCTGGAATTGTTTTTAGTTGGACTTCTTACAAAACTGTTTTCTCACAATCAAAACCGGCTAAAAGTTTTTGGTCTCCGAAACATTGTACAGTAATCAACACTTTTTTTAACCAATTTTTTTTTCAACCGGTTTCAATAAAAATCTAAAAAATTGAATACTTTCACACACCACGACAATCTACTTACTTTTCATAAAATTGTATGTATTGTAATTCAGACCTGAAGACTTTTTTGTTATTTTTTTAATTGTGTTAGATGTCCCTTTAAAATTTCGCAACTGCTCAAAACTCGAAAAACTCACTTTGACCGACTTCTAACTCGATTCAAACATTTATCAGGTGAATTCGCTCGCTCAATACTTCGTTGTTTTTTGTGTTTCGCATTGTGATCGGCTACATTTACACGACGCAGATATGTTTTTTGCTCAGACGGGTCCAATTCGCTCAATTTGTTTTTGTGTGGCGTCATAACAATCTCTTTTTTCGATTTTACCAGGCTACAAATACATGATTGAGTTCAAATATCGGAACGATTTTTTGACTGGGGAATTTTGATATCACTTGATTAATTAGGAAAATGAAGATTTTTCACGTATTTAACATCTATTTCCAGAATCATAAAGGACTCACTTAATCTTGCTGGCACTTCCGACCAATGGATGTACTGATCTTTCTGCAGATTCCATAGAATACAAAGGTGCAATTTTATCAATTCCCCAGAATTCATCCTTTTTCATTGTTGGCGTCTTTGCCATATGTTCTTCAACCATCGAATAACCCGTCTAGAAACTCATTACAGTTAGGATAACTTTTTTTCAGAAAGATGAAGAAAACATCGAAAAAAACTAAAATCAAATACTCACATCATCAGAATCTTGCTTCCACAGAGTGTCTACAATCGACAGACCGGTCTAAAACAACATCAAAAACTTAGGAGGATACAAAAGCTACAAAACATGCAAAAAATCTACCAATAGAATATTACAATACAATAACTTACGATAAGATTCTTATCAATAATATAATTACATTCCAAATCATCGTCATCTTCACCAAGAGGATTTAAAAGAGCTTCAGCAACTTTCATCCATCCCATATACACAATAAATTGTACCATTGTGGTAATAGGTAACCATAAATCGATTCCCGATGGATTTGGACCGGTAACAATAAATTGTCTACCAATAAGACAAATCATAAAATAAATTCGAACGGCGAGAAAAATGACTTGCGGGTAGACAAGAGGAACAGGAACCCAGTCGTATTTTAACAAACTTGCCAAACCGTGACGGAATTTGCTGATTTCATCAACAATTTTATTCATCAAATAATAACTCTCAACTGTCCCTTTTTTGTGACAATCATAAACCGCGTTTAAACTCCATTGAATTGATGTCCAATATCTGAAGAAAAATCTATTTGTAACTTGAAAAATTATAGTTATTTTTGGTTACAGTAGCTCATATTCTAGAAGAAATAATTTTAGAGTCTTCTTACCTGCTGTATGGATCCTTGATATGATCAAGAATCTCCATCTCCTCATGAGTCATCAAACCCGATGCAGCCAGAGTATCCATAGTTGGGAATCGCTTGCGAACCTGCATCGAAATATCGCGCAACACCAACGCTTGCGACAAAACCAAATATCTCACCAGATTTCGGCGAATAATTCGCGTTTCCTCGTCGCTGCCACGAATATAAGTCGCAAAAAGCAGTGATGCATCATCAATCCAACCGATTCCGTTTAGAATTGAACCCCATCTTGCGACAACAAATGAGACAAAAAAACCGAGAAGAAATGTTAGGGGAATATTGGCATCGAGTTTATTGTCAAAATATTTGACGAGTTGCTCAAAAACTGTTTGCTGAGTTGGAGTTAGCACATATCGATAGATACAACTGATTAGAAGAAATGTGAGGGTCCAAACTGATAATTGACCAAAGACCGCCTGAAATACTGTTTTATGTCAAGATATTTCAATTTTTGACAAAGAATTTGAAAATCCTAGGGCTTCATAACAGAGAATCTGATTATATTATGTCAAAGATCTTGTGTGTTTTGATGTTGATGCTAATTTATTCCGCCTGGGGGAAGATGTGTATTTTTGGAACAATTTGAGAGCAAAAAACATCATAGAAATTGAGAATGAAAATTCGATTTGCCACGTGGAATGGTCAACATTTCAATTCATATGAAAAGTTTCCCTAACATTATTTTTGCAAGTTTTTGCCACGTGGCACTTTTGCAGAACATTTGTTTATTATAAAAAATTGCGAAATTCTCAAAAAATCAGAAATAAACAAAAATTCTCCAGATGTTTTTGTTTTTTTTGTATACAAAAGATACAGTAACCTGAATTACTGTAGCTACAGTAACAAACCTTCCAAACACTTCCCCGCCATCTCAACAAAAGTGTGAAAAAACTCTGAAAATTCGTCTGCGAAACGTCCAAAGTATAAGAAATTGTCATCGCATGGATTTCGTGATTTTTGAGTGTGTCTGTCTGAAAAAAAGGAATAGAGAAAAAAATGAGAAAAAAAACAAAAGAAAAATATTTCTTTTTTTTGGCGGAAGAAAAAGAAGAAGCCCCGCCACAAAATTTCTTTTTGAATTTAATATAAGCGAAACGAAAAAAACAACATGGATTATTATCTGTGAATTGGGAGAAATGAATTATTATTCGCTGGAAAAATGGTAGACTAGAAGAAAAAAAGAGGAAAAAATGAATGAAAAATACAAATTGTTCAATGAAAAATGTAGTAGAAAGGGATGGATGAGAATTGTTATTCCTTAAATTTTTTAAACCAATCCGAATTTTATATCGCCAAAAATTTATTTTGAGAATTTATATCGAAATTTTAAAGTGTTCTTCTCCGGTTTGAAAAACTGTTCCCACGTGGCAAAGATTCTATCCAGCCGAAAAATGGATTTTAAAAAAATTTGAAATGTTTTGTCACGTGGAAAGTTTTTTGGTGCACTAAAAATGTTTATTTACAAATTTTTTCTAACATGATTTTTGGGGGCCAAAAAATCGCAGAATGCAAAAATGTTTCTTGAAAAATACAAAGTTTCCTCTAAAAATGCAAAAAACATGAGTTTTATGTGTTTTTTCGTTTTCTTCTTGAAAAAAGTGAACAAGGAAAAATAAAATCGGTTTCAAGGTTATTGGCTGATTCAGGTTGAAAAATATATATTGAAAAACATTTTTTGAACGAAAAATTCGATTCAGAAAGTTTATTAAAACTATTCTTTGCCAGTCAGAAGTTCAATCAAAAAATGCCACGTGGATTTTTGATATTGACAATTCATTATAATTCTTGAGAATAATATAGATTGAATTTTTCTAAATTTTAACTTGAAAATAATGTTTTTAACAATATTTTTCAACACACAAAAATATACATAAATCTAACTGAAAGGGAACCTGTTTTGTAACTCGAGAAGATCTAGCTTCTGAAAAAAAAGAGCGGCGGATCGGGCAGAAATTTGAAGATTTCTGATCATTTGACACTTTCTATGACGAAAAATCTGACAAATTTAGTTATAACAAAAAAGTCAAAAGAAAAAGAGGAGAATCTTTTATTCGCCGAATATCTAATGCACATTTTTAAATAGAACGTTTTTTCGTTCGGAGATCTCAGAAAAAGTTCATTTTTTTCGGGACCAAGACTCAACTCAAATTTTGTTACAAAATAGCCCAACAGAAGCCTCAGGTAAGCCCTAAAAGTCTATGGAAAAAGGGCAAAAAAGAAACAAATTACGAAAAAAATATATGGAAAAATATACAGCGGAAACTGGGATTTTGTCATTTTTTGGGTGATTTTTTGGATTGGATGCCGGAAAATGAATGTCAATGGCTAAGATTTTGACGTTTTTTTGAAGGGAGGGGAACATTTTTTTGTTTTTTTTTTGAGAATTATGTGGGTGGAAAATTTTCAAGATTGCAGAACATTTAGAAACTTTTTTTGGAATTTTGGATGAATTTTTGTTTTGAGATTTTCTAGAACTTTTTTCAACAACAAAAAATCGGAAATTGAATGACCTTTTCGGAAAAGTTCACATTTTTGACGCAATTTTTATTTGAAAAAAACTTATTGAAAAAAAAATTCACAACTTCCTAGAAAAAATCTCATGATTTTTGAAACTTGAGAAATCGGAAATTTGGAAATTAATTGGAATTTTTCTAAGGAGAAAAAATTGGGAAAATGTTTTCCAACAATTTTTTTCATAAAAAACAAAGATTTTCCAGAAACCCCATAACTACAGTAATCTTCGTATTTTCTCTTTGAAACGAAAAAAGCCAAAAAACGTCAATCAAAAAAGGATTCACATTTCAGAAAAAAAACAAAATATCAAAATTTTCCGAAAAAAAGTAACTCTTCCAGACAAACTTAAGCTAAATTAGTCTGAGAAAAAAACTGAAAACAAAAAAATCTTTTTCTTCTTGAGTTTTCTTGAGGACTCATTTTTCTCTCTTTTTTTCCAAGAAAAAAGAAATAGAAAAACTGCTGAATTTTTCAACAAAAAACCACTTGGCGACAGGGAAAAACTTGGAAAATCTTCAAAAAACTTTTTTTGGAAGAAACTTTTTTAAAATTCAAAAAGGTCTTCTTTTTCTTCCGGATACGTGATATTTCTGAGCAAAAGAGCAAAAATGATGTGATCCACAAGGCCAGGAAAAAGTGAGGAGGAATATGAATTATGAATTTTTTACATGCTAATTTTTTTATGCAAGAAAGTAAAAAAGTGTATTTTGAACCAAGAAGAGATGATATTTAAAGAGCCTCGGAAGTCGGAAGGCTAGAATCACTTAGAATTTTGAGCCTAGAAGCAGAAGATTAGAAGCCTGACCCTAGAACCCTGAGCCTAGAGGGACTCTAGTCCGATTCAGAAATTTTAAAAATGGAGCCTGGCTCGATTCCAAGCCCTGGTCCAATTCAAAAACTCCCACAGAAAAAATATGTGTTGGTCTTTTAAAGTGCCATTGACCGACTCAAGTTTCACTTCAACTTTGACAAAAATTATTAATAAATGTGTGAAATTTTGCACCTGTTTCGTCAAAGTTTTTTTTTTGACGAGACATAAAAAAGTGACAATTTTGGATGTAAACATGTTTCTTAGGGGGGACAAGAATGAGAAGAAGAAGAAGCACTTCACAAATTTTCCAGAAAAATAGAATAAAATAAAATAATCCTTGTTTTTTTTGAGCAAAAGAGGGGGATGGGAAATTTGATAATCTTTACTTTTTATTCGATTTTAAGGGGGAACGAACTTTTTTCAGGGCGAGGGGAAAAATGAAGCTGACAGAGCAATTTGAGGACTGAAAATTGAGATATTCTCTAGAAATACTGTCTGAAAATCGAGATCTGAAAATAAAGTTTGCAGGAATTAATTCATGTGGCAAAATGACCGTGTTTTTCTAACTCGAAAAAAAAGCAATGGAATTTTTTCCAAAAAAAATTTTATTTTTCAAAACAACGATAAATTCACGTGGCAAAATTTTGAATGAAAAGTTTTTAAATTTTTCTAATAAGATAGTTGCAGGTGAAACTTTTTGACGTCAAGAAGTTTTCTAAAACAACAAATCCATGTAGATTTTTTGGAAATCTGAAAGACAAACCCATCAAAATTTATAGCCCACCCTCACTAATTCAATAATAGCTCCAAAAATCCTTTTCCTAAAAGGCCTACAGTAATACTCTGAAAGCCAAAAATCGCCGCGCGCACAAAAATATGGGTGGTGTCAGAAAATAATAAAAAATGAATGGAAATAAAAAATAAGAAAAAATAGGAGGAAATCCATAAATATTCTCAACCCAATAATTTTCTAGATAGAAAAGAAAAAGAAAGAAACTGAACTACTCAACTACCGTAGTTTTTCAAAGGCGCACACATATTTGCATACGGATCTCGTATTGTGAAAACGGAATGAATCTCTCAACTGGAAAATATTTTTGAACGACATAAAAAAAATAAAAGATGGAGCGAAAAGGTAGATCAAAAAAAACAATTCATTCTTTTTTCACAATAGCGATGTTTGTGTGGCGGACGTTTTTTTTTTAAATTCTTGGCTGAAAAGTCCAAAAAACGCACTTTTTTTTCCGGGAAAAAGGATAAAAACAACATCTTTTGTTATTTTCTCTGCGCTGTGTTTTTTCGGGGTTTTCATTTCATTTCAAGCCTATTGTTAAAGAAAGTAAGGGGACAAAAAACGAGTAATTGGATTCTTAAAACATGTTTTCTTTTCTCGTTTTTTTTGTCGGGGCGTGTTTTTTTCTGTTGGAGTAGTTCAGGAGAAATTCGAGAAAGTGTGGGAAGTTTCAAAGTTTTTTTCAGCAGCAAAAAGTGTTTTTTGCGAGAAAAAATAGCTCACAATCAAGAATGCGTTTTGTTTTGCCACAAACAATCAAAAATAAAATGAACAGTTGTTTTATCCATGAATTTTGTGTGTTGCCAAATAATTTGACACATGTGTCCAATAAATTTGTCAAAATCTGAAATGTATAATTTGTGTTTTTTCCAGCAACAACAAACCCTGAAATTAAAATTTTTACATACAAAAAATGATTGATGAATTCGAATCTGAAATTTTGAATGTATAATTAAAATTATAATTACAGAAAAGAATTCAAGTAGAAAACACGTTTTTCACAAATTAAAATCTGAATTTCAGTTGAAAATAAAAATTTACAGTCAAATAAGTTGTCGAGAAAAAAAACACTCGAAATTTTGAATTTCTGGTTCAAAATCAGGTGCATGTCTCAAAAATTTATATTTTCTCAAAAATTACTTCTAAATAACAAACTAAAAATAAACAATTTCAGCAATAAAAGGTATTCAACCTCGAGAAATGATTTCTCTACACGAATTCAGTTTTCTAGTTCAAACTCTGACTTTCCAGAACTTTTCCTATTTTCCACATTATTCTTCGCCTCCAAAATCCCCCAACGTCCTGAAAAATCCACGTTTTGGCTGAATTCCACCCGAAATGTCCTATCTCCGCAAAAATCGCCAAAAGACACAACACAGATTGAGGAGACGCAGACACACATGTTCAAAGGTGCACGCATTTTTGCAAAAATATCTCGTCACGATGTGTTCTCTGAGTTGGCGATGTCTCACGAGTCTCTCTATTTCGCTCACTATTTCGTCACCTCGTTTTTTCTTTTTGAACGTGGAATAATTTTTCGCTTATTTTAACATTTCCCGAATTTCAGGCCAAATAAAATGCCGCTACGACTTGATGTAAAAAGAAAGTTGCTCGCCAGATCGGATCGTGTGAAATGCGTCGATTTGCATCCAACTGAACCGTGGCTTTTGGCTGCTTTGTATAATGGAAATGTGCATATTTGGAATTATGAAACACAACAACTCGTCAAATCTTTTGAGGTATTCATTTATTTAATTTTTTGACAAGAAAGAGCCTGACAAGGGATTTTTGATGAACATTTTCGTTGAAAATTTCGTAAGACTTGAAAAAACCGTCTGGAAAAACTACTATTTAGAAGGTCAAAAATATAATCTTTCAGGTTTGTGATGTGCCAGTGAGATGCGCTAAATTCATCGCGAGAAAAAGTTGGATCGTAACTGGTTCTGATGATATGCACGTTCGAATTTTCAACTACAACACCTTGGAACGTGTTCACCAATTCGAAGCACATTCCGATTATCTTCGTTCCATCGTAGTTCATCCAACTCAACCATTTGTTATTACTTCAAGTGATGATATGCTGATTAAACTTTGGGATTGGGATAATAAATGGGCAATGAAACAAACCTTCGAAGGCCACACTCATTATGTTATGCAAATTGCGATAAATCCAAAAGATAACAATACATTTGCCACCGCTTCTCTCGATAAAACTGTGAAAGTTTGGCAATTTGGAAGCAATGTGCCGAATTTCACTTTGGAAGGACACGAGAAAGGAGTTAATTGTGTTGATTATTATCATGGAGGTGAAAAACCTTATATTATTTCGGGAGCTGATGATAATTTGGTGAAGATTTGGGATTATCAGAATAAAACTTGTGTGCAAACTTTGGATGGACATGCACAAAATGTTTCGAGTGTTTGTTTCCATCCAGAACTTCCGTTGATTATTACTGGATCGGAGGATTCGACTGTTAGATTGTGGCATGCAAATACTTATCGGTGGGTTAGAAATTGAGTTGGATTTTTTTTTGGGAGAACCTTTGCACTCTAGCATTTTTGAATAAAAATCTTCGAAATTTTTTATTGAAAATAGAATCTGACTGATGTTTCGTATTTTGTTCAAAATATAACTGAAAATTTCAAGTTTCATCAATTTCACTGCTTTTCCTTTGTGAAAAGTGTAAAAACATGTCGAGAAAGCTTGAAATATTCTACTCTGAACTCAAACGTTTTGTTTTTTATAATAAAATATTTTTCAGCTTGGAAACCACTTTGAATTATGGATTAGAACGTGTTTGGGCAGTTCAAGCGCAAAAAGGTGGAAATACGGTTGCAATCGGATATGATGAAGGAGTCGTAACTTTGAAACTTGGCCGCGAAGAACCAGCTGTCAGCATGGATTCATCCGGAAAAATCATCTGGGCCAAACATTCTGAAATTCAACAAGCCAATTTGAAAACAATCACCGCAGAAGAATCGGAAGCTATTCAAGATGGAGAACGTCTTCCATTATCTGTAAAAGATTTGGGATCTTCTGAAATCTATCCTCAAACATTGGCTCATTCTTCAAATGGTCGATTTGTTGTTGCATGTGGTGATGGAGAATATATCGTTTACACTGCGATGGCTTTGAGAAATAAGGATTTCGGTCAAGCTTTGGAATTTGTTTGGGCTATTGATCCAAATATGTTCGCAGTTCGCGAATCAGCAACTGGTGTGAAAATCAAGAAGAACTTCAAAGAATATAAATCGATTCGCAGTGATTTGGTTATTGAAGGAATTTGTGGAGGACCTCTTTTGGCTCTCCGATCTGCCAATTCACTTTGTTTCTTCGATTGGGAAAGCGCTCAACTCGTTCGACGAATTGAAATCACAAGCAAAAGTTTATATTGGAGTGATAATGGTGAAATGGTGGCAATTTGTGGAGATGATTCATTTTATATTTTGAAATATAATGCTGGCGCAGTTGAGAATGCGGATGAAAGTGAAATAACTGAAGATGGTATTGAAGAGGCTTTCGAAGTTGTTGGAGAACAAAATGAAACTGTCAAGACTGCTTTTTGGATTGGAGATTGTTTCATTTTCACCACTGCTTTGAATCTTATTAATTATTATGTTGGTGGAGAAATTGTCACCATTGCTCATGTTGATCGACCATTGTATTTGGTGAGTTTTTTTTCGGATTTTGGTTGGGTTCAAGGTGAAATCTGAAATTTCTTAACAAATATCATTTTCAACTCTGAAATTTCAAAAAGAGTAGTCTTCTTTGCCATTTTCTATTGTTTTCTTCTGATTTTCCATTTTTATTAATTTATTTGTTTTCTAGTTTCAAAAAATTTCGAATATGCGGAAAATCATGCATTTTAATTAAAGTAGCTGAAAATTTCAAAATTCTGATTTTTCTGCTCAAAAACTATAAATATTCAGCTTTGAACCGGACTAATTTTATTTAAAAAAAATACGATTTGCCCCCAAAAATCATAACTCTAAAAATTTTCCAGCTCGGATACATGGCCAAAGAATCGCGAGTCTACGCTGTCGACAAAGATTTGAACGTAATCTCCTACAAGCTTCTTCTCTCAGTTCTCGAATATCAAACGGCTGTGATGCGAAGAGATTTCGACACTGCTGACAAAGTTTTGGCAACAATTCCAAAAGAGCAACGAACTCGTGTTGCTCATTTCCTCGAAAAACAAGGATTCAAAAAGCAAGCTTTGGCTGTTTCTCAAGATCCAGATCATAAATTCGATTTGGCTGTTGGATTAGGCGATTTGAAAACAGCTTATGATTTGGCACTGGCTAGTGATTCTGAAGAGAAATGGAAATCTTTGAGCAATGCGGCTACACTGAAATCGGAACTTTTGTTGGCTGGAGAATGTTTGGGAAGAGCGAGAGATTTTGGAGGATTGTTACTATTGGCGACTTGTGCTGGAAGTGCACCACTTCTTCAAAAGGTATGCATTGCTCATGTCAAGCCAGTTTTAATGAGGGGGAAGTCTTGGGAAATTCTTGTGAATAAGTTAAACTGTTTCTTGTAGTTTAGGGCTTAGAATTTGAGGGATTGCTCATACTAGATTTCACTTTGAAAAGGGGAAAATTGAAATGTTGACCGTTTTTCGTTTTCTAGTTTTGAATTTCGAAAAGTCACAAATATCGTCTTTTTTGCAGCTGGCCGATGATTCTGCTACTACCGAATCCTCCAACATCAATTTCATCAGTAATTTATTGTTGGGAGACATCGATAAATGTTTGGATCTTCTAATTTCCACCGACAGATTGCCAGAAGCCGCGTTTTTCGCTAGAACTCATGCACCATCGCAAGTTCCAAGAGTTCTAGAATTATGGAAAGCAAAATCATCAAAAGTTCATGAGAAATCATCGAAACGTATTGGAGAATCGTTGGCTGATCCAGTTAAATATGAAAATTTGTTCCCAAAGTATGCTGAAAGTTTGAGAGCAGAATCGTATATTCGACAAATTTCGCGGCTTCCAGTTCCAGCTTCAGCAAAAGCACCATCAAATGCGTCGAGAAATGTTGAATTGGAAATTGAAGAAGCGATTTCAGCTGGTGTTTTGTCGTTTACCAATGATGGACAAGCTGTCTTATCGAACTTGCCAGCTTCAGCAGCTCCTTCGCATTCTTCAAATGAGTTGAGAGCTTCAGCACCAGCTCCAACTCAAGCCAGACAACCATCTCCATCTCCTGTTCCAATTCGAGATCCTTCACCAATTCCACCACCACAAAAAGTGGAATCTGAAGAAGAGGAAGAAGAGCAAGAAGAAGTCCAAATTCCACATGAAGATGATGATGGACTCGCCTTGAATGCCCAGCCAGATTTGGTATCATCGGGATCTAGCCGTCCGGATGTTTTGCCGGAACGTGGATCGACAGCGCCGGATTTAGTGTCGGATTCGACTGCGCATCAGAGTGGAAGCGCGCCGGAGGTTGGTTTTTTGAGGGGTGATGATAAAGGAGTGTTGTTGGAAAATATTTTTTATTTTAGTCCTGAAGGAATTTGGGAAAGTGTTATGCTTTTTTGAATAAAATTGAAAAATCGTTTGCTTTTCAGGTGGTAAATGATACGGGTGATGTTCGATGGTCCGACGAAGAAGATTTTGGAGATGCGACCGATGGAAATGACATCAATTTAGACGAATTGAATCTAGACGATGAAGATTGACTGGTGGTCGATCGATCTGCATAGATTTTTTTGTTTTTTTTTCTCCCATCACAAAAATTCCCTATTTTTCCTCTACCCTGAAAAAGTGTGCCTTTTTTTGAATAATGTTAGCTAAAATAAGGAGCTCTCTCACTAAACAACAAAAAACGCAGATTGATCGAATAATATTCAACATTTTTCCATACTAACTTAACGTGGTGATGGTCCCTCTTTTTTTCTAACATTTTTCGGATTTTCATTCTTTTTTATTTTAAATATATCGCTTAATTGAGGTTTCTTGTGATATTTTTGCCCCTATCGCGAAAACTTTTCCCATCAAGTTGTTTATCGCATGCCAATCCCACCATAATTTATTGATTTTTTTTTTTTGAATAATTTATTTTCTGAATTTTTGCGGTGTTTCTAGGGGTTTTTCTATTTATTTTATGTCTTTATTGTTCTTCTTTTTTCCTTGATTCAATTATGAAAAAGATGTGTAAAATATGTTATTTTTTAATTTTGAGTTCTCTTCAGAATGAGGTACAGTAGTCCATTGGGATTTCCGAAAATTTTCAGAATGTTTTGGCGTTAGAAAGTCTACAGTAACCCAAATGTCTAAAGGCCACGTGACATTTTCGCGCAAAATCAAACATTTTCTGGCTAAAAATCAATGGTGTTTGTTGTATTGTTCCAAACAATTATTTCCCATCTGATAGTATCTAGAAATATTGAAATCCGGTTTAAAATTATTTCAATACCCGAAAATTATCTTTATTCACACATACACTCAAAACACAAATCAACAAAAAATTCGAATTTTTTTCAAATACGGTTTGGCGGCAAACTGAAGAGACGGCGGAATATTATCACAAGTCACACTGTGTTTCTCAAAAACATAACCCACAACTTTCGCCACATTTTCGCGCAACTTTTCCACATATCCCTCTGGTAACGTTACATGCATAAACTTTTCATTCTCCTTCATTTTTTTCGCCATAAAATCGGACCATAAAAATTTGGGTGATATTGTTCGATAGTGATTTAAAGTAGCGATATTCTTTGGAACCACTTTAACTTTGTATCCAGGTTCCATTCCAAAGGACCAATGTAAAAGTATTGCCTCCACTTTATCCGGTCGGACCATTATTTTTGGCGCTGCATAATCTGCTTCATATGTGAAGTTATATTTTGCTGATTGAATATCATTTGATACTTCTTCAATATTATTATATTTTTCGAGAGATTCCTCGAACTTTGCAATTTTCCGCATAGTTAGTACTAATTCTGCAGTAAAAGAATTCAGACTTTTGATATATTTCAGAATAGGTTGTTCTGTTGGAATAAGGAATTCATCATGATCAACATGAAGTAACCATTTTGATTGTTTCCGGGCACGATAAAAACATTCATGAATCTGAACCATATGTCTCATCATAGCTGCATTTGTGTATTCTGTATTTATCATTGATACTTCAGCAAATCCACTTCTTTCATATTCATCTAATATCATTCGAGTCATTCCATCGATTTCAAAAACAGAAAAATAGAACATTCTTGCACCAATCAATTTATGATGCTCAACAAATTCAGCGATTTGCATCCACTTCGCATCCATTCCATATAATTGCCCACTACAAACTCCTAATTCATATTGAGGTTCCTTATAAAGTCGATGGATAAATGGAACAGGCTCTTGAGGTTCGTCATTTTCGGTCAAACTCAAAGAAATATAATTGGCACCAGCTTTTCGTAAACAATGCACTGAAGTCATTGGAAAGAAAAATGATTTGTAGATGGATCCGGGGATTTCAACACGATTACAATCAAAATATCGACAATAAACTGGTGTTCTAAATAAGAAGTTATGTATTTGATTTGAACTGATTTTGGCTTTTTTTGAAAAAAAAACACATTAATTCAAGAAAGTTTCCATTTTCTAAACTAAATCTTCAAATCTCTTCATTTTCAGATCCTAATATCTGTGGCCAAAGAAACATACGCTGAAGACTAACCCCAACTGTGTTGTCCGCTGCCTTGAAGTTGTCACAACTATCTCATCTTCATAGAGAAATGCAGAAATTAGACGAAGTTGCCCGTCTTCCAAGCCTTCCTACAAAAAACCGTTTTTTTCTTTGCAATATAGTAAAAGAAGTGAGAGATGAAACAATGTAGATCGAGCCTCGATCATCGAGGGGAGAATTTTTCAACTAGGTCTCAAAACTTAAATTATAACCTACTCACACTGTTAGAAATTCCATATTTTGCAAGTGATTTAAGCTTCTCGATACGTGGAATTTCCGAAGTTGTTTTGTTGTTCCAAGTTTCGACTTCGCACTTCTCAAAGTCTTTTTTCTCATATACATTATCAACATAGACAACTTTTTCAGTGAGTTCGGATAAGTTGATTACAGGTTTTTTGTTTAAATAATAGAGAGTAAGAATGGAAATTAAAAGAGCTATATGCAAGAATATTTTGTCAAAGGGCATTTTACAGAAAAATCATTGCACAAATTGATTTTGTTTCATCTCCGCCTTCTGCAATTTCTATGATAAAATCTATTCTTCCGAAAAATTTTCGGAAACAAACGGATGATATTTTCAAATCCGGTTTTTTTTTCAAGTTTCTGTTCGAAAAATACAAAAAAAAGATGGAAAACTTAGACAAGCACAAAAAATTTCCCAAAAATTAGAAGTTTTGAATCGGCTCCGTCGAAGTAACATAAATCACGAATAAATAATTTTTGAAAATGGTCCAGTATTTCGTATAGAATTTTCAAAAGCTAAACCAACCCTTTAAATGAAATTTTAATTCTGAATTTTCTAGGAGAAATCCCGAATTGTGCTTGAAGAAAAGTCTTTTTCCTAATTTCCATAAAATTATTTTTCGATTCCTCGTTAAAATTTTCCCTCGAAACGTTTTTCCAAAATAATCTCAAAATTTCATGATTTTTATCTTTTTCTTCCGAATAGAAATCCTATAAATGATCCAAGACAGAAAACAAGAGATTTGAAAGTTTGATAAAAATTTATTTTCATTTTCAAATTATTCCTAGGAATTGAATTACGAAAAATACGAAAATGCTGATTATGAATGTTGATGCTAAAATCATATATCTTCTAATTTTAATACTGATTCTATTTTTTGGAATTCTGAAAGATACAACTTTGTTCCCTGAAATGAGCTCAGCGAAAATTGATGATCGATCGATAATTTTGAAATATTTCGAGAATTTTCAAAAAAATGGTGCTAGTTGGGAAAGAAATACCACTCCTCAACCCAGGATGAATTTTGATTATTTGGTTAGTTTTGGGCCAAACTTTAGTAATCGTATCTCGTAGGTAGATATTGAAGTTTGTTATAAAATGAGCAACATTATTCATGTTACTGTATATTTTTAATGTGAACCTGTAAAAGCTAGCATAATTTAGAAGTATTGTAGCCGCACTCCAACGTAGGGCGAAAAAGTTAGAAATTCCATAATTTCTGCGGTTTTTGATATACAGTGGATTTTATGTCGGAAAAATTTACAGTTAAAATTTTGGGGCCAATTTTTTTTAATTCAAAAAAAATAAAATGTTATTTTCAAGCTCGTGAAAACACTACAAAGGTCACAATGGAAATCAAAGGAGTACTGTAGAGTTTCAAATTTTTTCATTTTTCTAGAAAAACATAAATTCTTACAACTATTCAACAGTTCCCGAAAAATGCGATCATAGCCACGATTTCGATCCGAGAAAATTGTCAGCAATAAAAAATAATCATGGAAATTGTGAAGTTGTGATGTTAGTTCGATTCTGGCATCAACCCGATATTCTTTGGTTCAATTATGAGAATGCTATGAAAATGTGTGATGAGGAGAGAATTGTTAGAGATATTCAGATTTTCCCGTTCACATCGAATTTAGAAGAAAATGATATGAAATATTGGGCTGCAATGCCGAAATGTGTGAGTTTTTTTTTTGAAAAATCTTATCTATTTTTTCTTTAGAGCTTGAGACTCCAAATAATTTTTTTCCAGAAAATTGACTCGAACATTCTTTTGAAAATTGGCGGAGAATCCGATAAATCTCCAGAAGAATCGTTGAAAACCTACATCCCAGATCTACAAATAAAATATATTCAAAAGAATCCGGATAACTTCACAGATATTCTGATGAAAATCGAAAGATCAAATCCATCAATAATTATTGATATGTTATGGATTTCTCACGATTCAAACATCGACATTCTTGAGCTTCTAATTAACAAAACAATTCAGAATATGAATATCGTATTTTGTCAGATCAATTTAGAAGTTTCCAAGGAAAATGCGGAACTTTTCGAAAAGTTTTTGCACAGTTCGTATACACGAGCAAATTATGTTGGACTTCGACCAAGTTCGACGAGAAATTCAACCTATCGAAGTGGATATTATCAAAATATTATCGATCATCGGTGTATTGTGAAGTTTTTGAAATAAATTTGTTTTCTTTGTTATCGTTTAGCAGAGAATTTCTGGTTTGTGTGAATTGTAAGCATAGCATAAGTCACGAGATTTTGAAACAATTTGGATGAGATAAAATCCAATAATTTTATCTGATCATCTTTCCCGGAAGTTTTGCTGAAGATGAATATTTTGAAGAAAGAATTTAACTTTTCTTCAAAGAATAAGGTTCTTGAGATGCTCTAACTAAAGAAAAGAGGAACTCTTGCTAAAAATTTCCTATTTTTTTCTAGATAAAATCCAGGAAAAAAAGATTTCGAAAAAACAGAAAATTTTCAAGAAATTGTTCGTCAATGATTCTTAATCACGATATTTCTGGGAACCATTTCAACCTTATATTCAGGCTCCATACCATAAATATAAGGGTATCGGATTCACTTTATCTGGTCGGAATATAACATTAGGTGCTGCGTAATTTCAATTAAATCAACCTTTTGAACAATGCAAATTTTTATGTTATTCTGAAAAATTGAAAAATCAATTTCAGAATTTCGACGTGAACTATTCACGTTTCCCTCAATATTTTTCATTTCCGAAATTGTTCATTCTCTCTCTAAATTATTCTGACTTGAAAAATCCCCGATGAAATCTATGCTTCTGATTCGTTCCGTAGATATGCCGTGTTTCGTATACCGACAGAAAAAATCCAGGATAAATATTTAAAATTTTCATGCATATCCGGTTATTGATTGAAAGAACATGTTTTATTTTCACCCGAACAACAGAAATACATTATTTACAGACTCCTAATTTTTCTACATATGGCTTCGCAATTCTTCGATAATCCGGAGCAATTGCCTCACACGTCACATCATGTTTCTCAAAAACATATTGTATCACTTTGGCTACATTTTTGCGCAACTTTTCCACATATTCCACTTGCAAAGTTTCATGCAAAAACTTCGTCTTTTGCTTCATATACTTCGCCATAAAATCTGACCACAGAAATTTGCGAGAAATCGTGCGATAATGATTAATAATAGCGATATTCTTTGGGACCACTTTAACTTTGTATCCAGGTTCCATACCATAGGACCAATGTAAAAGTACTGCATCTACTTTATCCGGTCGAATCATAACTTTAGGGGCACCATAAGTCGGACCATGTGTAAAGTTATAATTTGCAATTTGAATATCATTTGATACTTCTTCAACGTTGTTATATTTTTCGAGAGATTCCTCAAATTTCGCGATTCTTCTTATAGCAAAAATCAGCTCTGCAGTGTAATCTCCGAGACTTCTTATGTATGAAAGCATTGGTTTTCCTGTCGGAATAAGGAATTCATCGTGATCAACATGAAGTAACCATTTTGATTGTTTTCTTGCTCGATAAAAACATTCATGAATCTGAACCATATGTCTCATCATAGCTGCATTTGTGTATTCTGTATTTATCATTGATACTTCAGCAAATCCACTTCTTTCATATTCATCTAATATCATTCGAGTCATTCCATCGATTTCAAAAACAGAAAAATAGAACATTCTTGCACCAATCAATTTATGATGCTCAACAAATTCAGCGATTTGCATCCACTTCGCATCCATTCCATATAATTGTCCACTACAAACTCCTAATTCATATTGAGGCTCCTTATACAGTCGATGGATAAATGGAACAGGCTCTTGAGGTTCGTCATTTTCGGTCAAACTCAAAGAAATATAATTAGCACCAGCTTTTCGTAAACAATGTACTGAAGTCAAAGGAAAAAAGAAGGATTTGTAAATGGATCCTGGGATTTCAACACGATTACAATCAAAATATCGACAATAAACTGGAGTTCTGAACGAGAATTCATTTAGACTAATTGTTTTCTGTACGGAGCTCACCCCATCTCATATCTCCTCTGCCTTGAAGTTGTCACAACTATCTCATCTTCATAGAGAAATGCAGAAATTAGACGAAGTTCTCCATCTTCCAAGCCTTCCTAAATAAATGTGACAGTGTTTGTAGATTTCTAGGATACCGTACTCACATTAGCAGTTACATTGAATTCGGCTAATAATTTCAGCTCCTCCACCCTCGGAATTTCCCAAGTTGTCTTATTATTCCAAATTTCAACTCGACACTTTTCGAAATCCTTTTCCTCGTGTATAAAAACATCATCAACATAGACAACTTTTTCAGTTAGTTCGGATAATTTAATTTCAGGCTTTTTGTTGAAAAAACAAAGAGTGACAACAAAAAATACGATGAGAATTAGTAAAAATATTCGGATAGAGACCATTTTTGACGAAAAACGAGAAATATTTCGTGAAAAATATTGAAAGAGATATTAAAACAGAGAAAAATCTCCGCCTTTTTGATGGTATCGAACTAAACATCAATGTTTTGAATAATGAAAAAAAAACATTGAAAATAAAAAATCTTCAAAAAAACATCACGTGTGACGTGGCAAAAAATAATTGTATTAGAGCGCATTTTCTATTTTTATGCGGTGTGTGTTAAGTCGCATGTTTTTTAGGGAAAACACGGATACTGGATTTTTTCTAAAAATTTTTCAAATAAGTAAAAATAAAGTAAAATGTGGCTATTAGGAACCATTTTTTCAACAAAAATCAAAACTTCAAAGTCAAAAATAGTTTATTTTCCCGTCGAATAAATAGCGTTATTATAAAAAAAAATATGGTCACAATGAGATTGAATGTTTTCTCTATACAAAAAATAACTTTTACAAAATTTCAACTCAAATATGTTTCAGTTGATGTTGTGGTCGAAAAAGTGGTTGCAGAAGTTTTTGGTGAACGAGTTGGTGTTACAAAATAAGTGACAACATTTCCGATGCGTTTTCCGAGTGTCAAATTTTCGTCGAGCGCCAAATTTGGATTTCCATGAGAAAATCGAGAGACTTGATTGAATTGGGTGAAAACAATTGTGCTGGCACCAAATATGTGGAATATTGAGAAGATGAACGAAGTCAATAATATTGTTTCGTTCAAGAAAACATGTACTAAAAAAGGTTATTTCTCATTTTCAGGTCACTTTTTACAGAAAATTGAAAATCTGTGCCAAGTCACACAGATAAGAAGCAAAAGCAGTAAAAACCCGCAAAAAACTCACAAGCTCCCTCATTCACAACATGATGATATATACAAAATCCAACAATGATCGAATAAACATAGCAGCAGACCAAAGTGAGGATGAGAAAACTCAAAAATAGTTTCATATTTTTCTGATATACGCATTTATAAATCCATGGACAATGATGATCAAAATCATGAACACATCGATCGCAAATTGAACAATGATGAGAATTCTGGGTTTTTGGGATCCAGCATGTGAAACACCATCGATCTTTGCTTCCGGATTCGATTTTTTTGATGAATTCGTCGTAGGGTTTTTCGGGATAAGCAATGACTCCAGGGTTCCAGAATAGGAGTCTGGAAAATGAAACTTATTCCTAGGAACAATGCAAGTTTATAAAAATTTCAAACTTACGTCCAAAAAACAAGTCCCGAAATCGCCCAAAGCAAAATTGTTGGCACCAAAATATACCAAGGAATAATCCCATTCGTATAAAAAATCCTGGAATAATTCTCATTCTTTTCTTAAAATTTTCTCAGAAAACTTACAGTATTCCAAATTCCGCAAAACCCAAAGTTTGAATATACGAAACTGGCAAAAGCATCATATGTTGAATCGGTTTTTTATAATAAATCCCGAAAATCAGCGCAATCATAATCGCCAAAACTGCAAAACCGGCTGCCATGTGAATGAAATATGTGGCAAGGAAAAACAAAATGACAGTGATTCCAATAATTGAAGCTGAGAATAGCATTTCAAATCCCCAATTTGAGAAAAATCGCATTTTTTTCGTGCCAAATCGTTTCAAATATGTATTTTTTGTCAATTTTTTCAAAGATTTCGCGGATTTTTGAGAGGTTAATTGAAGTGCAGTTTTTCCTTCCTGATTTCGTTTTTCATAATCGGCACCACCTACGAGAAGTTCTCTGGAAACAATATCGGTTTGAAAATCATTTCCAAACGTTTCCACACGATAAATTAACTCCAAAAACATTTAAAAGAAACCTACACCGCTCCCAAATGATTCTGTTTTCTAACCGAAATATGCAACGCAGTTTCTCCTTTCAAATCATCCGCAAAATCCAAATGCGCTCGACGGAACACAAAAATCTTGATGGGAAACATTCCATAACAATTTCGAGCTGCAATAAGCAATGCAGACTGTCCAAATTTATCCCGAGCATCTTTGATTCGATCCGCTTTGATTAAAATATAGGAAATGATTACGGAATTTCCAGTTTGAGCCGCTACATGCAGTGCAGTTTCACCATTGATATTTCGAATTGAAGGATCGGCGCCATTCTAAAAATAGATATTTTAAGGACGACGCGAAGCGAAAAATCAACAATTTTCAGTAATAAAATAATGTTTTTAATTTGTAGGCCTAAGCCTTTTTTTGTGAAAATAAATTGAAAAAATGAGCGTTCACCAAAGATACCCCAGGGACATTTTCGCTCAAAAAGGCACTGAAAAAATCACTAAAAGTACATGTTTGTTTTTTTTTGTTTTTCTCTATTTTCGTTTCTTTCATTTGAATTTCTAATTATCCGTTTCCCTCTTTTTCCTTTTTTTCAAACTGAAAAACTGAAAAAAAGCTGAAAAATCTATGGCAATAAGAAACTTTTCCAGTGAAAATTATTTTTTTGAAATTTTGTGCAATTTCTTCTTAAAACTCCTAAAACTTGATGTCCTCTCGAGTTCTATATTTTTTGATTTTCTGCAGCTTTCTCACACGGTGCGCTTTCATTTATTGTGTCTGACCATCGATGACCGTCAGCTTTCAAAAATTGATTTTTCCGAAAAAAAAAAATGTTTTTCTCATTATTGATCAACGATGAATTCACCTCTGATCAATTGAGTTCGGCAAAATGGACAATACTCGAAAATCAGTCGAGAAAAAAAGAAAAAGAAGCAGAGTCAACAAGGAGAAAAAGTGAGAGACAGAGAGGAAGGGCCACGACGCACACAAATTTAAATTTGTACAAGGGTCGGACGCATTTTCCTCCATGGACCGCGTTTTTTCTTTTTTTTTTGAAATTTTTCGACGGATCGTTTTTTTCTGGCGACGTAAAGGTTTTTTTCAAAAGAAAAGCGCACACATTTAGATGAAACTTCTAAAAATTGATATCCTTTCTTTACTTTGATACTCTATATCCATATTTTTGATTTTCTGCCGCTTTCTCAGAAGGTCCCGCCCATTTAGATTAAAAAAATCTCACCAAAATAAGTGTAACAACTGCTTCTAAATGTCCCACATGACATGCCCAATGCAGCGGCGTCGATTTCAAATTTCCGCCAATCACATTAATATTCGCCCCCTTTGTCAGCAAATATTCGATTATTTCAATTTGATTATTGATCGCTGCCCAGTGCAAAAGTCCACATTCTTCGTCGTCCAATTGATTCGGCGCAATTTGAAGGGTTTTGAGCAGAGTTATATTTCCACTCTGGCACGCTTTTACGGCCTTTTCGATTTTTGTGCCGCGCAGTATTTTGCTGAAAAAAAAAAGAAAGAAATGCTTTTTTCACATGTTCCTTTAAAATTCACTACGGTGTGTGCAAACACAGCGACGCACAAACACACAAACCGTAGTCAATTTTTCAAGGAACATGATGAAATGCTGTTTTCTCTTTTCTTTTTCCTGCGATTTTCAAAATTCGCACGAGTGGAAAAGGAAAATCATGATTTTCCTTTTCCACCACACACGTTTTTCCCATGCAATGAAGAGTCATGGTAAGCGGCGACAACGGTGTTTGCAGACAGGTGTTTGCACACATTTTGTTCTCACACATCTCTCGCACTCTCCTCGTTTGCCACACTCTTTATTTTTTTCTTGTGAAAAAAAGAGGTACGGTTTCAAAGGCGCGTGTGTTTTTAGTTTGAAATGGTCTCGCAGCGGAGGCTAACTTTCTTCCCAGGACCCCTAAAAATTCCAAATAAAGTCATTCGCACAGATCTCGATACGCTGATTTTCGCTATGTTTTTTGTTTTTGATGAAGTGGGGGTAATTAAACCGCTAGGCGTTGCACCGTTTTTGTCGGCTGCGCGATGAAAATTGCACAACTTTCTTCTTTTTCAAACGTGTGTGATCACAGGGGTGTCACAAGAATGTGAGGTTTTTAAACATTTCAAAATATTTTGAATTTTCTGCGGTAGTTATCTGATAATAATTAGAGGCGCTGAGTACGATTCCTCTCGCGAACCTATTTTTTTTGTTTCTTTGATTTTTTCACATTGTCACTAATAATTAATTTTTTACGTACTTCGTAGCGAGGTATAATAATTTGAAATACTATAATTAATTCCAGATAATTAGGTATAATCAGATCTTTCATCTTTTTCCCCTAACATTAGCTTTCTAAGTTTACCTCCTAGTTCTAGATGACGTAGTCGTCATTTCAGTCGATGTTTCTGATGTTCCTGATGTTCCGGACCAAGCGTCTTCCGATTCCTCATCAATAGTCGACAATTCTCTATCAAACATTTTTCCAAAAATGGGGCATTTTATTTTATTTTTTTGAGTTTTTTTTTTCAAGGGTTCACGTTTTTTCTTCTTTTTTTCGAGGATTTTCTATTTTTACTCCTCATTTTTCATGGCAAAACGAAGCAAGAAAAAATTGAATTGAATCAAGCTCGGTCTCTCGAACAAAAAAAACGAGAAGAGAAATCGCATTTCAGATCTTTTTATTTTTTTTTTGTCAGCTCGTTAGAAAGCTAAAAAAATGTTCCTATTTTTTCGAGCGAGAAAAAGTTGCGTTTATTTTTTCCTGGAAGATTTGCCAATTTTTCCCCAGAAAATTTGATTTTTTCCTCGAATTAATTAAAAAGTTAGGGAAAACAGAAATATGTTGATTTTTCAATCGGAAAGCCGGAAAAAATAATTGTTTGTTTTGTTTATCGAGTAAAAGTTCAAGTTGAAGCGAAAACACAAAACATCCTCAATGAAATTCAATTTTCGCGCATTTTTTCGGCTTCGCGGAAAGCGATAAATCATGTTCTAGAGAAAACGCCTAGGTAACCGAGAAAAACCTATATTTTTGTTATTTTTTCAGATGCTCACAGGAAATTTGAATTATTTTTAAGCTGATCTGAGCTGAAAATTAATTTCTAATATTAGAGCTATTTTTGGAAAATCTTCTTTTTGTACATTATTTTCATGTTTCATCTAAAAACCTCTAATCTTTTTTATACCAAATTCAAAAGCCAGAACTTTTTTTCGTGCCACGTCATAACCTTATTTTCCCCTCAAAAACTCCAAAATCTCGTCATATTTTCATTTTTTAATGGCTTCCAACGAAACAAAAGTAATCTGATATTAATTTTTTTAAAAATATTTTTCAGAATTCTTGAACCCCGCAATTTCCTAAACTTTCCAACGAAAAAAGAAAACATTTTGATTTTAAAATAACACAACACATTTTTGTTCAGTGAAACATTAAATAATTAATTCGATAAGCGATTTCTGATTTTTCTCGAGTGTTTTTAATTCGATTTTCCTAGTTTTCTTCCTCTATTTTCCCCCAAACACACACTTCAATTCCTTTTTTTCGGGTGACTTTTGAGCCTCAAGAAGATCAGGCAGGCAAAAATTCGAATTTTTAATTAAAATGTCTTTTTTTCGCACAACTTTTGCTATTTTCGGGGCTTCATTTAAATGCTAATTTTGTTTGCGTTTCCTGAAGGTTTTTTTTGGAAATAAGATCAAAAGTTGTTTTTTGTCAGCCAAAAACTGAGATGAAAAATGAAAAATCATAAATTCAGATTTTCGTTGCAAATTTTGAACCAAGAAATTAAAACAATTCTGTTCTCTTGATGAGGTTTTCCTAAAAATTTAAACTTTCAAGTTTTCTAAAATTTTGACCCAAAAGTATCAACAATTTTTTCTCTCCAATAAAAAACTGAAAAAAAACCTAAAAATCTTCTGGTTTTTGTTGTTTTCCAGTCAGACTCGAAAACAAATCGATTAATTACGTTTTCAATTTTTTCCAATTTTCATTTTTTTTTTCAACAACCACTTGTCCCACAAAAAATCTCGAGAAAACAAATCTCTTTTATTTTTCAGTCGATTTTTTCATTTCAAAAAAAAAGAAAATAAAATGAAAATTGTTTTTGTTTTTCGATTTTTCGGATAAAATCTTGCACTTTTTAAAGTAGTTTTCAAAGCGAGAAAGTTTTATTTTTATTATTTTTGTTGGAAAGTGGTGGGTGTCAAAGTTCTTTCCTTTTCCCAAAGCTAATAATTAATTTTGGATTTTTGATTCACCTAAAAAGTTCTTTGAATACATTCAATAAAAAGATATGAGGGAAAAAATGTGTAGTTCTTCCGGATAGAGTTTCACTCGATATAAGTTCGCTCAAAAGTTCAAGTTCATATATTTTTTGTACGCTCAAACCAAAAAAATCAGACGAAATTCGAGATGTTCCTCACTTTTTCGCCATCTTCTTCATTTTTCTCATTCTTCATTTTTTCTATTTTTATTTATTTTTTGCCATTTTTCATATATCTCGACTCCTATTTATTTATTTATTTCTCACTATTTTTGGCTCGATTTTGCATCCAATAGTAAAATGACAACCAAAACTGACGGCCCCATTTTAATTTTTCCCCGCGATGTTTTCCTCATTTTTGAGCACAAAAAACAGCGAAAACAATTGAGAATATCTAAAATAGGAAGTGCAGGAAAAGTTTACAGATGAATGAGTTTAATTGTTGAGTAGTGACTAAACTAGAAGAGAAGTCACTTTTTTTATTTGTTTTATAAATGTATTTTTAGAAAAAATACATATTTTCTATGAAAATATCGCAAATTTCCTCATTAATCACATCGATATAATTTCCGTTTTTCATCCAATTTTCTCGCATTTTTTTTATTAAGCTTTATTAAGCCTACGATTTTTCGAAGTCACAAGTTTTTTTTACGTAAAAATTGTATTTCGTAAACTGTCCTGGATAACTAGAGATATGTTTCACAGAAGTTTTTTTCACCCAACATGGTCCTGCGATTTTTTGATCTCAGTCGAATGAAAATAAATCAAACCGCCTCCCACGATGCAAAACAAAACAATTTGTTTGCAAAATTTGGCCACCAAAACAACAAAAATGTTTTTTTTTTGTAGTTGTCGGCTCAATTTCAGTCGTATCGGATTTCTATGTTTTTTTTCGCGCATTCAATTTTTGAGGCATTCAAAGATGAATAAGGCTGGCAATTAAATAAGTTTTCTCACTTTTTTTGCGTGCTGCTCGTAATCGTAAACAACTCTATTTTCTCGTCATATTTTATTTTTTTTTGGTGGTTTTGTATTATTAGGAACTTTTGAACTTGATGGTGACGTGTCCAAGTTTTGATTTTTCTAGGCTACATTTTTTAAAGGGGTGCGGCTTCTTGACAAAAATATTCCGAAAGTGAGTCTCTAGTAGATCTGTTCAGATTTATCCACACCCTGATCATTGGAGACCCTGATCATTTGGAAAATGATTTCCTAAAAGTTCAAAGACTCGCTTATAAATAAGTTCTTTTTTCACCTTTTGCTGCTTGAAAACAACTCTATTTTCCTTTCATTTTCTGCGCTCTTTTTCAGTAATGTCAACGTCAGAACAACAACAACCACGACGAGGGACATCAGCTTCTATTCAAGGCGGTGTTGCCATAAAAGTGCAGCCATCTGTTGGTGCGGAAAATCGTGGAGGTATTGAGTCGATAAAGGCAAAAAGATTTAGTTTGGCACATATTCCAAGGCAAGATCGACGAGTCACAATACGGCCATATGAGAGCTTCAGGTTGGTTAGAAATGAAATGATTCATAAAATTTATTTTGGTTTGTCAGAAATAAGGTTACGTCATAAATTAATTCTGGAATTTGATTTGATTAAATTTTTTCGCGAAATGAGTCAGCCTAAAATAAATAACCGGAATGGAATTAATTTCTTCGCGTGAGATTGGCTCATGTGGTTAGGGGTTTGCATGGGGATTTTGAGGTCCCGGGATTGAAACCCGATAAAGGCTTTGAGGAATGTTTGTGAATGAGCATTCCTAAAATCAGATTCAGTTGATTGCATTACGAATACAACTTCTAAAAATATCAATTTGAGAACTTGAATATATTCAAACAAGTTCTGAACATCTAGAAAGTTAGAAACTGTAGAAAAAAATAAAAGTTCAGTTCGGAATCGAACATAGACATGGGAGCTTGAAACCTCAGAAAAGCTTGAAACATATCTAATCTCAACATGATTTCCAAATTCTCAATTTCCAGAGAACGCAAAGACAGTCAAATTCAAGACAACATAACATTTGGCTACGCTGCATTGAGTACCGTAGAAGAGGATGCCAAAAAATCAATTGATTATGACGTGGAACAAGATGTGGAGCGAGCCACTTCACCAACACCATCTGTTTTTTCAATTTATGGTGATGAACCAGGTCCATCTAGTGTGAGTTCAAACCTTTTTTTCAAATGTGATTTAAAATTCCGAATTTTTAGACATGCGAGCAACCGGTTGGTGCACAAGCTGATGTTTTCATTTCATCTCTCCCTGAAAAGAAATTAACCCAAATTCGAAAATTCATTGAAAATCAGCCAAGAGAGGAAAACATGTACTTTTTATGGGTCAAGGATTCGAGCACAAACAAGATTACTGTAATATCACTGAAAACTCTCGAGAATTATTTCAAAAATGATAGTCGAGTTCGTCGGGTTAAATGGAGACATTTGAGTTCGGATCGCGTTTCGATTTATCGATATAGCTTGCCGGCAATTACTTATGAGGTATGTTTTTAAAAAAAGGGGGAAGTGAAAAAACCAAGGTATTGTAAAAATCCGGAGATCAAAAATAGAGCAGAACTTTTCTCACGTTCGATCGTTTCATTTCCAGAAATCAAAATTATGCAAAGAGTGTTTATGTCGTCACAAAAAGCTATGCCTTCTTATGGTTTGGCTGGCTTTTGTTTTATTTTTATGTTTGGTCGTAGTCCTGGGATCAATCTCTCCCGATGATCGAGCACATCCTTTCGCACATCATAATCGAAATAATTCTACACAAGTCAACACATCACTAACTGGTTAATCCAATACGCGTTAAAGACAAAGTATAAAGTTTTTATTTGATTGCAAATCATCCCCACATGAAAATTTGAGAAAAATATTAGTCATTTATCTTACATTTAATTAAGTAATTAATTTAACCTCTTGGAATTGCAGCAACTCCAGTTTTGTACAATTTCTCTGGTTCTCCAAGAACAACCCGATCGATGAATTCTTTTCCTTGAATGAAACAATGATCTTGGTTCGATGACTCGTATTTCCATCCACCGAATCTTCCTCGTGAATAAATTGAAGCCTTTTCGAGTTCAGTGTGTGCTCGAGCAAGTTCCCGATCACGATTTGGTGTTGGGATTGGGTAACCATACGGTAAAGTGATCGAGTAGACTGATTCAATAGCTTCCCGAGTGATCATTGATTTCAAAACAAGACCATCCAAAGTCTTCTTAACCATCTCTTCCTCAGTGATTGGATCATCAATAGGTCTAGCACATTCACACATAACTGACCAATATTTATCACTATCTGGTGTAACTTCACCATATCTGCTGAGAATTGTGACGCGGAAGAATGGTACATTCTTATCAGGGAAATACAACCAGGTGAATTTCTCCAAGAATGAGGTCATTGGTTTGCGCAAACCAACTCCGACAACAAAAACTTTGTTGTGAACAATATCCAATGGTGCGGTGATTCCTGTGTTGTTTACCAATTGATCGATTGGAGCTGTGTTAAGAAGAACATCATATGAAACCTTAGCTGCTTCAGTTTCTCCCTTCTTCAAAACTTCAACAGTTTTCTCAACATGATTGACAGCGGTGACTTTTTTCTCAAACTCAAACCATTCTTGTGGCAACTTCTTTGTCATCGATGTCCACACGTTTCCAGTTCCTCCGTATTTTGGGAATGTGAAATAAGAGTTTGGTCCCCAACCGAAGTCAGCATTTGCCAATTCGTCTTGATCCATAGCGCAAAGCTCCTCAAGTTTTTCTTGTGGGAGTTTAGCAACTCGGGTGCCAACCCAGTTTGGCGACATTTTCAATGGCTCGACGGTCCAGACTTTTTTGGTGTATGGCTTGAAGAATGATTTGAGGATGGTTGGTCCGAAGTGTTGCAAAACCCAGTCCTCGAAGTTGTCAGGGTTAGAGTCGGTTTGAGGCTAAATAATGAGAATAAGAACTGTAGAAATGACGGGAGAAGGGGAGAGTGAAAATACTGTGAAAGGAGAGTCACTTGCCCGTTCGGGAAATTGGTCAGGAAACGGGTGAACAGGTAACTAGGCCCTCTTTTATATTTGAACACTTACATTTTCATAACGTTCCTTCAAGTCGGCCAAACAACTATTCTTAACCGCATCTGGGAAAAGTGGAACAGCAAATTGAGCTGGATATGGGACAAGATGAATACCATCCTTATCATACAAATAATTCATATCAACCATACAATTTCTAGCCAACTTGTTCCAATCATCAACAGCCCATTGGGTAGCTTTTTCATAATATGGGAAATTATGGTTGAAAGTGATGTGACCTCCCATATCCCAGAGGAAACCCTTATCGTCTTTAACGGTGCAAGACAAACCTCCAGCGTAGGATTCCTGGAAAGTTTAGGTTTGTGATAATAATTAAAGCTAAAGTTACTTACTTGTTCAAGACAAACAAGCTCGACATCCTTGGCTGCCTCGTTTCCCTCATTTTTCAACTCGTTCAAACGATAGGCGGCTCCAAGAGCAGTTGGAGCAGCTCCAATGCACACAATCTTCATGTCTGTAAAATTTTAAATGGTAATGATTAAAAATTATTGATAAAGTCTTTTTCACGGCTCTGTAACAAGTCTGCTTTGTGAAAAGGGACATGAACAGTTTTTAACTGTTAAGAAAATAGGACTTTGAAAAGTCGTTTGGGGTATGAGGCGAAAAGGGCTTTATTGGACCATATGCCTAATTAGTGCGCTATGATAAAGAACAATAAAAATCTTAATAAGACGGATTTTCAAGAGAAAAGTGAAAAAGTGAAATCCAAAAAAAAGTGAAATGATAATGATCTGACCCAAATTCGTATTCGTTTTTCACTATCTTTTCTTTTCATGGAGAAATGAGCGATTCAGGAGGAATATTTATATAGAAAAAGTGATTAGAATCTGCGAGAAAACTGGATCTGCTAGAGGGCCCTCCGATTTTGTACTATGCCATTTTCTCTTTTCGGATAAATCTTGTTTCTTTTTTTCTAAATTGGAACTTTGAAACTTTTTCTGTCAGAAGAAAAGGAGACAAGGGATTGTTCTTTTAATGAAGAGTGTTTTGGTGATCTCTGTTTTTCTTAACGCTTGGAATAATTTTGAACCTGAACTTTTCTGAACTTTTTTAAATTTTATCTGATGTGGAGGATCTTTTTGAGCTGTCAGTTTTTTTCAGATTTTTTTTTCAAAAAAAAATTGGAGGGTTTTCGGAAAAAGTTTTTGGAGATAATAATCGAGTCCGATTTCATCGCCACATGTTCCAATTTGTTCGAAATGACGAGTTTTTTAAGGAGATGCGAAATATTTGGGCTTTTGGATCTTTTGGAAGAATAATTAGGATACTAACTTTCTACTGATTCTCTTTTCTGGTTTATAATTTAATTTCTACAGTAAAATATTAACTTCAGAGTTTCCAGTGTCTCTGAAATCTCTGAAAAGATACCCCCAAAAACCTTTATTCGATTAAAAAAAAATATCAAACAACAGGCATTACAGTACTTCGTTTAATTGTACTATCAACTTTCAATCCACTCGAATCCACTCTATTTCTCACAAAGCACTTTCGTCTAAAAATAGTCACATTCGATCGAATTGTATGATTGAAAATGAGGTAGACACAAGGTGGAAGCCCTGAAAACATGTGTACTTTTTCAATTCAACTATATTATATTCTACCATGATTTCCTATCCACGCTAATTGCGCAATTGTATGAAAAATCTGAGGAAGTGAATAATATTGCATATAAATGTATAAAAAACAACCGATAAAATGACAAGTACAAACAATCATACATTGCAATGTTATTTGTCGATAAATCTTTGAGACTTTCTGAACTCTTGTGGAAAATGAGTGATAAATTAGAAATGAGCAAACTGTTAAATAATTGCAACCAATGAAAAACATCACAAAGAAATTGTTGAAAATAAATCCGTAGACCGCATAAAGATTCGGAGAAAAATTGATTGTTGCCAAGGTGTTTGGATTCAATAAAAATGTTGAGATTGTTGGATCGTAAATCAATGGTTTGGTGAAAAATGTGAAATATATGAAGTAGAAAAGTGGCATTGACATGATTAGGTAAAGGGCTTTTCCATTGAACAAAACACGGCTGTAAATTAGAAAGAATTTCATTTTTTGTTGATTAAAAAATCAGGACAACACATGTTCTTATGACTTGTCAGAAAATTGTGATTGTGATTGTAAAGAATTGTGATAATTGTTAATTTTTCAAACTCTACTAACCCAACACTTGGCGCCACCAATTCACAAGTCCGATTAAATGCCAAAATCAGCACATAAAAGCAACTCATATGCCACGTGCCAAACACAAAACAACCCAACAAATATGACAATCTCATATCATAGCAAGGATGCAATCCAAAAATACTCCAATATCCCGCGTAATCCGCGCAAACTATTAAACTCAAAAAATCCGGAATTCCCAAGAAAAACATTATTCGATAACATCCATGATCCCAAATCACTTTATTTTCCCAAATTGTTTTTAGTACGAGAATGTAGAGAGTCTGGGTAATCAACCCTAGTGCTAAATATGTAAAGCCATGAGCATAGTTGTTTATGACGTGGATTGGAGTTCCAGTGCAATTGTAAAGATAAGGGCTGGAAAATTTAATATTTCTGTTGATCTTTGAAAAATCACTGGTTAGAATTCTGTTTATTCAAAAGCTATCACAATTTGGAGCTCTTTAACTCGCTGTGAGATACGATGTGGCAAAGTTTCACCCAGAAAAAATCTAGCTGTGAAAAAACTCACTCAAGAAGTGGAGCTCCAAAAAATACGTCAAGCAGCATACTTTCTCTGTCAATATAGAACAAATTTTCTGCCCAATTTTTCGCTTTTATATATTTTCTGAAGAAAAGTTCAGGGGAACTTTGATAAATAGTTGACTGATTTCGGCTGAAAGAAACCCAAATGTCCTATAGTTTCTGGTGTGAGAAAATTGGAAATAGAAAAACAATTTGTTGAGAAAGAAAAAGAAAATGTTCGAAAATCGGTAGACCAAAAACAATTATTTATTTTTGTGAGCTGGTAAATAGTTGATTTCTGAAATGATCATGTTGGTTTTTCTTAGGTTCAGAAACTGAAATCATTTTACAGGAAGTCTAGAAATATGATTATAAAAAATCAAGGTTTCTCAAATTACAGTACTCTTTTTCAGAAAAATTAAGCTACAGTAGTCCTATATCAGATTTTTCGAATAAAAACTTGCACAAAATTGTTCTCACTCGAAAAATAGGCTTCTGAGTGATCGCACATTATTTTCTGCAAAATTTTAGACGAACTGAAATTAAAAAAAATTAGTTGAACTGAAATTTTATGAACTGAAAAACCTCGTGTCTTGCTCAATTGTCAAAACGATCAAGATTGAAAAAATTACGCAGAGAGTCATGCTTGAAATCACAAATAGATTAAAGAATTGTTCTGATTTTATATATTAATTTCCGACAGACAGATTTATCTCATCATTTTTCGAATGTTCTGTATTGTTTTTTAAAAGAATTTTCCAGGAAGTTAGGTTATTAGGTTTTTCAAAGGAAATCTGTAAACAAAACAAGAAAAATAAGGAAATTATATTACGTATTTAGAATAATAGGCATTCGAATGCAATCATTGGTGATTGGAAAAAAACCAAGAAATTAATTAAACTGATTTCACATGTCTGAAACTAGATAAAAGGCCTAGATTTTCAAGGGCTAGATTTTTGTAGCTTCAGAGAGATTTCAAGCAGTACCTTATAAAATAATTGAAAAATTTAAGAATACTCGTGGAGACAAAAATGTTTTTGAATCTCAAACCCTATATTCTAGTAGACCTAAAAACAAGTTTTTACCTAATGAGCTCAAACATTTTTAACTTCTCAAATTTTTTTTAATTATTTGTTACTTTCTTTTTTTTAAGTTGATTTTTGATTCTCTCAGTTTTTGTCGCAGAATTGTTTACAAGCCAAAGATTTCTCAATGATTTGAAGAATAAAGGATGAACAAAAAAAAGATCGAGATCATAGAAAAATTTTTTACTGATGAGATCAGATTTTGGAATCTTGTAAGCGGTTTTTTTTTGAGAAAAAATCCTGGTTGTTTTCTAGTTTTTTGAGGGAATTTGAATTTTGTAGACAAACCTATCAGAAAAAAAAACAATCACAGTCTTTTTTTTTTGACATCAAGAAAAATTCGAAACCTGACTATTTCTGAAAGTCAGCTCATAGAAACTATGAAAAAAAAACAATTTTAAAAAGTTATTTTTGAAATTTTAATTTCCTGTGAGTACATATATGTATATTCAAAAAATAAAACATGTCAGTTTGAAACTTAATTCTGAATTTTTTTTCGAGAAATATTATCAATATATTTATTAAAATTTTCTAGTTTTTTCAAAAAACAAAAACTCAATAAATATTTATATTAGCTTATAAAAGCAGCCAAGTTAATAGTGAAAAAGCAAAAATCAAGAAAACAGATAGAGTTGCTGAACTTGCAATAACTTGAAAACGAATAAAAGCTCCCGTTGAATTCGCAGGCACATTAATTGTAATCATTTGTTGATAACTTGGTGAATATTGTGTAATAACTGGAGTATTCGCACTTGAATAATCATAAACTGCATTTTTTGATGCTTGAATATCTTGCTCAATTTCAACCTGAACATTTGGTGCAATATATACAATGTCATAAGTCACACCAATATTTGTATTCGAATCAGGAGCTTGAATTAAAAATTTCATGGTGTATGGATCTTTTCTTGAATTTGATAAGGGATACTCTGGATTCATAATTACACCGTTTGTCCACAGAGGATATTTGAAGTTTGTGGGAGATGATTCTTGTTTTGAAAGTGTTACTTTTCCTTCTGATAACACAAAAGTTCGACATCTGCTATAAACTTGAAGGTTTTTGTAATTTTTTGATGTTGAGGCGCTGATTGTTGCGAGTCGAAGATTTTCCATGTTTTGGTTTATGCAACCGGCAAAAATTTGGAGGAATCCATCGCCGCGCTGGAAAAATTGGGCTGTGAAATTTTTTGGTGAAAAAGTTATGATAAGTGTCTGATTTAAAAAAAAAAACTAATTTTTAAATAGTGGTACGATAGACGGCTCCTAGACACATAATATCTCAAGGAGAGATTTAAAAAAAAAACTCACAAACTCATAATCATTTACAAGCATCGGAATAATTCCTCCAACAACTGGACTTGTAATATCATGAAAAACTGTCAATCCATTTGTGGCTGATAATTCCAAATTATCACCATAAGGATGAGCCAAAGCTATAATTTCAGATTGTTGGAAATTATAAGAACTGGAGATCAAGATCGAGTAAATTCCAGTAAGTCCATGATTTGTATTCACAATTTTCATATTTGTTGCGTAGCAGGTAGATTCAGATTTAAGGACGTCGTAGAGGCTGAAAATTTTCAGTTTTATTGAAAATAAAATTGGCTTCGTAAATCCAAAAAATTTGACTAACAGCAACGTGGCAAAATTTTGTTTCAAAACTCACGTTCCCAGAAAAGCATCTCCCTCAAAAATCAGAACTTTATCCATTACAAAGTTTGTCAAAACGTCGCTAAAAGTCACAACTCGAATCGAAACTTTGTCCAAATTTTCAGTTGATTTTCTTGAAAAAGTCGAATTTCCAGCGAAATTTGTACTATCAATAATGGTACCAAAAATATTGTCAACTTCGAAATTTCCAGCATTGATATACGGTGTGTCTGAAATCAAATAACTCGAATATTCAGGCGAAAAAAAGTGCTTACAGTCAAGAGATGTGAAAATAATGAAAAATTGCTCGTTTTTGCTGGGATTTTGAATTTGGACATCGACGTCAAAGTTTGTTGGAGGAAGACTCCAAACTTGACCTGTTCTTGTGATGTTTGAAATTCTGAAAAAAAAATTAGTTTTATTTAATAGGGTTTCATATGAGTAAAAAATACTTTTTATTAGTTCTGTTCTACAGTATTTCATTAGAGAATTGAGATTGATTGGTTTTCTTTAAAACATTTGGAATTTTGACTTTTTTAGTGAAAAACGCCGGAGTTGCATTGAAGAGACCCCTTCACTTAAGCTGATCAACTGGTTATCATACTTTTCAAACACAAAAAAATGCCACGTCATAACTCACTCAATAATTTTTGATCCATACGCATAATTTTGTCGAACTGTGATTTTGTTTGATCCCGTCAAATTCCAACTCGCCAAAATTTCAGTTCGTGAAAATTGGCCGACTTTAAATTTCAAAGTGCATTGCGATGAAATATTTTGAGAAGTTAGAAGATAGGATTTTTCAATTACGATAGTTTCAGCAGGACAAATTGAAGTTGCAAATTTTGCCAGACAAAATAGCGAAAAAATGATGATATATTTCATTGGAAAGTTGCTTTGAATGAAAATTTTATCAGTTTTTTTTCTAAAAATAATGATTTTTGGAAGAAATTGTTATCAAATGAACAGAAAAAGTTCAAAAGAGCTAATGATTCATCTTTTGTTTAAAAAACAACTTTATCTTTGAAGAAATTTGAATTTAAGATGTTCAAGATACTCCGGAATATCTTCCTTCTTGGTTTGTTCCCCTTTGTTATCCAAGTTCAAATAGTTGTAAGCTACAAAAATTTTATTTTTGAATTGACGTCACAAAGAAAATGTGTTCCAATTTCAATGTCAATAGCTAATAAATCAAAAATTTGCATTTTCCAAAAATCCCATAAATTTTTGAAAAACAATAAAATGTCTCGCCCACGGAATATTCCTCATTGTATGAATCAAATTCAACCGAATCTCATTTTCCCTCGAAAATGTTCACTTTCTCAATTCTCTTTCTCTTCATCATATTTCCCACCATAAGTCCTTTTGGTGGTCAACATATGAAACAAGTCAATTTTGAAACTGATGTAATTTTCGAACAAAACATCAATTGCAAAATTCAAGAATATTGGTTCTACAAAATTCGATACTATGAAGCAGACAACTTTTCATGGACTCACGATGAAATGAGAACAACACAAGAATATCATTTTCGAGGACAAAATAATCGAACTGATTGGTCGAGAAATATGTTAAAAGGTGGAGACGCAGATTATACTACTCCGGTAAAACAACTTTATTTTGATAAGTTTTTTTAGAGTAAAGATTTTAGAACAATTATGAAATTCGTGCCGAGTTTACCCACAACTGCACCACTGATGGAAAAACAAAAATATACACTTATCAATTTGAGGATGTTGCAATCACAACTGAGTAAGTTTCCGAGTTATAGTCAGGTTTTTAAAAATTTTATTTTCAGAAAAATCACATTGTACCTCAATTTGACAATGGATGATAAAGAAAACAACATCGAATAAATTGATGAAACTGATTTTTCATTTTTGATGAATAAAGTTGATGTTTAGCATTCAAATTTCAAAAGTTCTTCTTCATTCACATTAAGTTTCCATAATTTTGATATAAAGTTGTTAATTTATCCGAGATCGAATTTCTTTTAATTTGTAACACTTTTTCTTTGAAATACAAATAATTTTATGATGCGAACAAGTTCAGAAGTTTGATTTTAAAAATAGAAGAACATACATATTCAAATATACGGATCGTCTTCGAAAAATACAAAATCTGTCAAGAAAACAGCTGCCATCAACATCAATTTGAAATGTATCGGAAGTCCTGGGTTAACTGGAAAAAAATGTTAATTTTCAGTGTATCTTATGGATTGTTACTTACAGTGCACTAAAAACATATCGGCATCAGTGAATGCTTGTTTGAAAAATCCAGGATAACAACGAACAATTTCGCCGACTTTCTGATCATTTCCAGTGACAACTGGAAATACAGAAGTTCCACATCCAGAAACACAAGAAGGATATACTACATGAAGGTCTGGACCACCACACGACATTCGAATTATCATTTGTTTAGCACAACAACCATCCACTATAACAACTCCGATCTGCAAAATAGTGTTGAGATTTTTGCTTTGTTTTTTTTATTATCCAAGAATTATAACGTCATCACTTACCAAATTTCCAATCGGATATTCAAGTCTAAAAGTGTCTCCCGAATTTGTTCTTCTCAATCCTCTCATAACAGTTTGCCCATAAAGATCCGAGAACATCATATCGAAATTTCGATAACTTCCAGCAAACACTCTTCCCAAAACACCTGATACTTCATAAGCATAAAGTATTGGTCTCATAAACATATCATGAACAATATATCGATTGCTGGTTTCAAAATCTGTCAATACTTCGATGACTTCAACACACTGAAAGAAAAATATTGTTGAAGTGATCAAAGATATTTCGAAACGTCTGAAACGTATTCTTACCTGCTGAACAAGAATACAAGTAGTTGCATTGATAACATTAAGCGCACCATGTGGTGGCAAATGAACCACAACTTGAACTATTGGTGGAATTGTCATAATTGGATTAGCGATTTCGAGAGGTGTATTTCGTGGTTGGAGTCTTGCACCGCCACGACGCCGTTTATTATTATTGTTATTACTTTGATGATGCCCAGGTTGATTATTATAATGTCCTCCGTGTTGATTTCCATAATTTTGTTGATGTGGAGATCCACTCATCATTTTGTTATTGATTGAAAAATTAAAATGAATGGATTTTCATTTTTTTTTCTGCTTTCGTTTACACGTGTTACACGTAAGAAATATTTTTTGTGCAAAATTTTATCAGTTTTTCAACATCAAAAACATTTTCAAAATTGATTCCCAAAATAAAAATGTTTCAACGTGACCCTATCACTTTTTCGTGTTTAAATAGTGTCTAGTTCTGGTTTCAGAATTAGTTCGTAATTCTTTGATCAGAGGAATCTAGTTAGGTAAGGAAATACTGTATTGGTATTCCCATATTTTTTAGTATTTTCAGAAGCCAAAAAATTTCGAAGAAAAAATGATGGATATATCAATGCTAACAGCAATTCTTCTAATCATTTCTCAAGTTTTATTATGTTCGAAGAAAAAGAAAAATGGAAAACCTGGGGTCAGTACAAAATCGAAGAAAGGTGGACCTCCACCACCGCCACCACCGCCGCCAGGCACAAAATCTACAACAAAATCACAATCTCCTGCAGTTGGAACATCGACTGGAACACCTGAAGCACCAAAAAAAGATGAAGAGAAAAAGAAGGAAGAAGTGGAAAAATCAAAGAAAGTTGAAGATAAAAAAGATGAGAAATCGAAGAAAGAGGAAAAAGATGAAGATAAAAAAGAGGATGAAAAGAAGGAAGAAGAAAAAAAGGAAGAAGAAGAAGAAAAGAAAGAAGAGAAAAAAGAAGAAATTAAAAAAGAGGAAGACAAAAGACCTGATCCAAATGAGAAGAAAGCTCATATTCAAGTTCAAGATAAAATGGAGTTCAAAGCAAAAGAAACTGAACAGAAAAAACTTGTGATCAAAAGTACGCATGATAAGAAAATTATGTTCAAGATAAAGTCATCGAACAATAATGATTATCTGTAAGTTTTCACTACTTTTGAGAATTTATTCAAAAATATACGTTTTTTCCAGCATCAATCCTGTATTTGGAACATTGGAACCAAATGCGTCAGTTGATATTGCTGTAACTCACAAAGCATCGACTGCAAAAGAAGACAAATTGGTAATTATGAATTCGGTGTTTAGTGGAAATGAAAAGGATCTTGAAAAGACATTCAAGATTTCGAAAATGACTGGAGCATGCCAGAATGTGAAATTAATCTCGAAATGAACACTTTTTTTGGAAATTTGTTGGAGGGGGGCTTTGGAAAAATATGGTCTGCAAATTGCTCAAAATGTCTGTGAACACGTACACATAGATTATTGTTCATTAGAGCGCATTTTCTTGTATGGTTGTGTTTGAGGGAAAACATGGGTATTAGAATTTTCTACTGAACAAGCTCAGCTTCCAAGCTCAATTTGAGAAAATAATAATCAAGCATATATCTTTGGACTTTTGCTTTAACAAATTCATTAGATTTTCAATATACGTCTTAATTATGATTTTGTGGATCCGACGGTTTTTTTCTTTTCAAAACTTCAAACGAAACTTCAAGATCTTCACTGACAACACAAACTGCAGAATTATTATCGAATTGACCACAATAATTTGAAGCAGAGAAAATCGTAATACAGCGACGGCCAGCAAAAAATTCATAACCATCTTGCACAACTTGATGAGCACGAACTATCAAATCGATTTCGAGTTGCTCGCATGCTTTATGAACCATATCTTCACCAAATGAAACACTTGCACCACGAAGATTTGGGTGGAAACCTTCTTGATTGTTCATTGGATCAGCCCATAATAAATCCATTTCTAAACCATCGTTACTTCCATCAAAAGGTCTGAAAGAACTTCTATAGAAGTTAAAATGTTTTTCTAAAAACTCACGCAACACAATTCTGCAAATCGTTCAATTTAGTCAAATGCGGACTTATTCCACCATGCATACAAAGAATCTTTTTACCAATTAATCCTGACAATGGCATCATATTCATCATATCAATCAAATCATCATAAACTACTTCACATCCAGTTGTTATTCGATTGAAAATGTCATCCTTGAAACCGTATGCTGAATTGATGTGAACACATTCATGATTGCCACGTAGCATAAAAAAATATTGGGATATCGAACTTTGTATGCAAGACATAAAAATAGCACTTCCAAACTGTTTCGACCTCGATCAACATAATCTCCGAGGAAAATATAATTCGAATCTGGAGGGAAACCGCATTTATCAAATAATCTTATCAAATCAACATATTGCCCATGAATATCTCCACAAATTCGAATTGGTCCTTCGACTTCAACCAATCTTCCTTGAAGTGTAAAAACCTTTTTGGCGAGAACTGAAAACACATTTTGGGTGGATACTAGAATAAGGTAAATTCAGAATTGGACCCAAAGATTCGGGCAAGGTTTTAATGCAAAAATCGGAAGATTTCAATCTTCATTCCAAAAACGTCTTCCTATTCAGAATTTTTGTTTTCACGGCCATTGCTCAAAACTCACATGCTAACCTCAAAATTTCCAAAGTATGAATATTTTTCGATACACCTTTACACGACAATATTTTCAATAAAAACCCCTCGACAAACCACATATTCTCAGAATCCGTATGTTTTTCGAAATGTTTCGATCGTGTTGTTCTATCCAACATTATTTCATGCATATCACTCAAATATTCGGATGGACCAAAACATGGAATTTCTGGTGTATTGTTCTCATTTTTCTTCATTTTAACTTATTTCGAGGGCAATTTGGTTTAGTTACCAATTCAACAATTTCATAAACTGAAGAAATTGGGATGAATGAACGAATATAGAAGCAGACATTTTTTAGTAGGCTGTCACGTAAAATATTTCAATTAAAAGTGAGCTGAGTTTAACAGTTTTGAAGACCTCGGGTATGTTTGTATGATTTCCCGGAGAAGTTTCTGGCAGTTTTTAGGGTCCTGGGATCAATTCGGACTTCACCCCCCCCCTCATTTTTAGTATTCAAATTTCGGCAAATTGTTTTCAAAAACTCCATTTATTTCAATCAATCAAATCAAATCTCAAGATTCTCAAAATGGTAGATCAATTCAGGAACCGTCATTCTTCTTCGAGCTCTGCAAAAATTGTATTTTCCAACAGAAGAAACGTATTTTTTAAATCTCACTTTTTTGGTGGAACTTCTTCAGGAATCGCTGTGAACATTTGAGAAGTTTCGGATTTCTCCATCGCAGTATTCATATCAGTTTTGGTTTCAGATTTTGGCTCTTGCTCTGAATCCACTTCTTCAATCTCATTTTCAGTCGCAACTTCAATTTCAATTTCAGGTTCAGCCTGAACTTGAACTTCTCTAGTAGAACTGACAAAATAGAATTCCTCATGATTTTCAATCGCTTTTGTTGCTTGATTAGTTTTCTTTTTCTTCTTGAAGAATGTATCTTTTCCAGCGGCTCCTCGTTTTTCACTAATTCCTGATCCACATTGAATTAGACAAACTCCTGAAAACATGAAATTGAACTAGTTTTTTTTGAGTAAACATACCAAAAACTGTGATAAGAACAAAATGATGAACAAAAATTAGAAACATTGTAGTGATGATCAAATTTGTGAGAAATGAAGGGAAAACTGTATTTTTTGGTGGTTTTTATTGGAATATTTTTGAAAAGGGTCACGCCTTGTATAAATAATGCACATTTTTAAAAATATTTTTGAATTCAATGTTTTTGGGAGAGATTGGAATTTGTCTAGGAGATATAAAATTCAAATTTGTCCATATTTATTTTTTGAAATCATGAATCGATATGTTTTGTCTTTGAGAATTCAACGTGTTCTTATAATATAATTTTCCCGCAATCAAAATCCATCATAAATTCCCCTTCCATAATCATTTTTTCAAAATTTATTGAAAATGTATCTAAACTTCTTCATTTTCTCCATACTTATCAATATCACAATTCAACTTTCTCTCGAAATCAAATGCATTTTCTTCTGCGAGAAATATCACAATAAAACATGGTCAATCAAAGCTGAACTAACTGATTATTCGGGAAACCCAATTTTTGAACAAGAAAAAGTTTTAGTTCCACCCGGTTATCATGAAGTTAAAACATCCGCGTATCCTGAATTATTTGGGCGGAACCTTGAAAATGTTGACAAAGGTTTGATTTACCGAATTCATCATACTTGTTCAAAAAGTGGAAAATTGGTTGTTTCAAAAAATATAACAGGAATCACTAAGACTATGAGGTAAGTTTTGTATATTGTTCTGTTAACTGTTTCTTATTATAGATATCCCGGAAAATTTTTCAATGAAACTTTGGATGATCAAGGATCGCTAGAGTTTTTGCAAGTGGAGGAACCTGAATATTCGTCTTTTAATGGATAAAAATTGAATATTAAGCTTCACAATAAATGTTTTTGTATTGGCATGATTGTTCTGTTTCAACACACACTCGTGATTTTTTTGCACATTTTTATACGTACAGGAAATCTGTCTTTTATCGATTATGTGAAAAACTTTTTGACAGCCAATTAAATTTAGAAAACTTCAAAATGTTTCCAGGAGAGACACAGGAATCAATAAAACTATTTTTGAAAAAAAAACACACAAATTTATTAGTTTAAAAAACACAAGATATTTAAAAAATATGTGATTGACTACAAAAACAATGTGAAAAAATATGAGTCATCAATTACTCAACGCAGGAGTAATTGGAAACATAGGAGAAAAAAATTTCAAAAAAAAATCGTGTGAGCGGAAAAAAATCAAATAGAAAAAAGTATCATCAAGTAACCAAGTTATTTTCTTGAGGGATTGAAACAATTATTTAGACTCCATACGGATGTTGTTCAATTCAATGTTTGACTCACGTTGATCTTCTAGATCCTCAAAACCGCCGATGAACCATCTCCAGAAGATAACAAACAGGATGAAGATAACCAAAACCAAAATAAAGTCTGAAAAAGCAGAGGGTTTTTAACACTCGCTGATAAAAATGCTTACAAGAGTTGAAAAGATCACGATTGTTTACTGAGTTGTCGGGTTCGCATTCTAAGATTGGTGTGAGAATTGTTGATGAAGGTGTGTATTGTATGTGGCACATTACCTTGAATAATAAATAAGAACTCGAGAAAACATTCAAATTTTAAAAATCCCACAAAAATTGAGAATACTTACTTTTTCGCCAATTGGTGTGAAACAATCGAAGTTGTGATTGATGATGGTGTTGTCTTGAATGAAGACAATGGTAGTAGGAATATCACAACTGATATTATGCGGGGTACAATGGTAGGAAAACTTTCCGTCGCTTGAGGTAGCCTGGAATTGATTTCGAATTTATCAAAGTTTGATTTATACGCAGCTTACCACTTTGTTGCATTGAACTATCTTGGTGTTCCAGTTGATAGCACCTTCAGCAGCTTTTTGAGTTTCAGCAGATACACATCCACAAAAAAATACAAAAATCGCGATCAAGCTCAATTTGATCATTCTGCAAAAAAAGAAAAAAAACTTTTTCATCAAACAAAAACTAAAATGAGGCAAATGTTTTGAGAACATCATCTTTATATACTTTTTGTGGTGTACAGTGCCCGCCCTAAATATCACAAGGGGCAGAAAATTGTAATTAGGGGGCAAAAGCAGCACAAAAATGCGCACGTTGTAAAGTAAAATGAAAAAGGCACATTTTGTTGATTCTCTTCATGGGAAAATGTAATGATTTTTGGAAAAAAGAATGTTTCAACAATAATTCATTTGAAAATCAAAACAAGTAGGAAATCAACAATGTTTGTCTTAATTATTTAGCTGATACTTTTACAGTAACCGATTTTCCAGTCATTTCCGATTCTTTGAAAGATTTAAACAAATCAGTTTCATCGCCACTTGAAATCGTATTCATAAAAATAAGTTTATCATCTTTTTTAGGAGCAGATTGTTTGTGAGTGACAGAAAAAACAAGTGTTGCACCTGGATCAATAGTCCCGTATACTGGAAACACCCTGAAATATGTTATTATTTTTATACAAATGATGTTCAACTAAATTCTATTGAACTCACTTATAATCTTTATTATTAGATGATCGAACTTTGAACATAACCGATTTATTGTGTACATTTTTCACTACAACATTTTTCTTTTCATTTCCGGCTGCTTTGAACTCCAAAACTGCACCTTCTTCGATTCGAATATGCACAGCCTTTTTCTTCAAATCCACTTTTTCTTCTTTCTTTTTCTCTTTCGTTTTTTCCTTCTTCTCTTCTTTCTTCTTTTTTTTCTCTTTTGGTTTATCATTTTTCTCTTCTGCTTCTTCCTCTTCTTCCTCTTTTTCTTCTTCTTTCTTTTCCTCTTCTTCTTTTGGTGGCGAAATTGCACTGGGACTTTTTGATGGAGCTTTCTTCGCCGTAGGTTTGCTGATTTTTCCACAGCAAATCACTTGCGACGAGAACATCGAGAAAATTACCAACACAAAAAACATCTGTTGAATATTTTGTTCTATGAAATGTACATTTTCAAAACCCTTTTTTAGTCAAAACCCTACCTGATTAGATTATGAATCACTCTAAAAACGTAATAGCGACTGGATCCAGAAAACAGTCCTCAAAAAGGTCTCGGTCAATGCTGGGTCATGATCACACTGATTTGAGAACGTTGAAATTTAACGTGACATGATCTACTAACCTCGGTTTGACCTGTTCTTAATTCTCTTTAAAATCAATGAGTATTGATTATCGTCTTCAGTGTGAATTTATCTAATAGAGATATCTAGTCTAGTCAGGTAAGTCCTCATCATAAAACCTTCAGAAAAAATTTTCTATTTATTTTAGAAACCAGAAAATTTCATTCCAACAAACATGTTTGATATTCTTGTCATTTTTGCGATTTTTTCTATTCAATTTATTTTGTGTGGAGAAAAGAAATCGAATGGGCCGGCAAAACCGAAATCTGTGAAAACAAATGAAGGTGGCTCACAAATTGGAAATGTGCAACCACAAATACCACAAACACCAACACCACAAGAAGAAGAGAAAAAAGAAGAGGAAGAAAAAAAGGATGATGGCGAGAAAAAAGAGGAGGAAAAGAAGGATACAAATGAAGCAAATGCTAGAATTGAGGAAGAAAAGAAAAAGGAAGAGGAAAGAAAATTGGAAGAAGAAAAGAAAAAGAAGGATGCGGAGGATTTGAAGAAAAATCAGGAAAAGGGTGCGCATATTCAAATCGAAGATGGTGCATTTTTGGAATTCAAGACAGCCGAAAATGAGCAGAAAAAGATTGCGGTGAAAAATGTGCATAATAAAAAGATTATGTTCAAGGTTCGGTCATCTAATAATACTGATTATATGTGAGTTTATTAACTGCTGTTAGTATTTATTCTGAAAATATTGCAGGGTGAATCCAGTATTTGGAACTATCGAACCTGGTGCAACATTCGTTTTTGCTGTCACTCACAAACAATCTGCTGCTCCAAAAGATGACAAACTCGTTTTCATGAATACAGTATTCGGTGGCGATGAAACTGATTTGGAGAAAACTTTCAAAGCTTCAAAAATGACTGGAGACGCGGTTACTGTCAAAATGTCGGCTAAATAACTGGAATGTTTTACTGATTTCCTACTTGTTTTGATTTTCAAATGAATCATTGTTGATATATTTCGTGTTGCAAATTATTTAGATGCCTCTATATAATCGTATCGTATCAATCAACAAAAATGTGCCCTTTTTGCTTTACTTTACAACGTGCGCATTTTTGTGCTGCTTTTGACCCCTAATTATTTTTGTGCGCCTTGTGATATTACACTGTACAGCAAAAAATAGTATATAATATATTGGGAAAATCTGCAGCCTCAAAGAATGAGAAACTTCTTTTCATGAAAAAAAATAGTTGTTACTGGCGATGAATATATTTTTTAAAAACACTTGAATATTACTGGAGAATCAACACTAGAATCAAATTGAACTGTTTCATGCAAAATTCGAATTTTTCAGAACAAAAATTAATCACAATTAGCGTGTCTAAAAATATCACAATTGATCATTCTTCCAAATGTGTCTTTCTTGGTTCCCAAATTATCAATATGAAGTTCAAAAGTTATGTTGAATTCTTTTCTCTCCACCTCAAATTCGCCAATTCTTTCACGTACTTCGTAAATGTTTCCATCGTCTGTGCAAGTATGATGAATTTTGGCCACAATTTCATAAAAATTCTGAAAAAATATTATTCTGGTAATGAATTATTATTTTCTCACATTTCCATATCCATCTCCACCAGTAATTTTTCCAAAAGAAACGCGTTTCTCTTTTATAACTCCTTCGAAATTCCTCCATTTTTCAGCAACAATTTTATCATCATATTGACTTCCAGTATCTTCTTCAAGAAATTCAATCGAATAACCCCAATATTTTTGGATGTTACAATTAATATTATATTCGAATCGTATGCGGGTTTTCAACTGATCAACGCTATTTGCGAGAAAAATTGGGAAAACAAAAAAGAGAAAAAGAATCGACATTGTTGAGTTCAGTTTCAAGAAAAAAATTGCAATGGGGATTTTTTGAAGGACTTGTTTTATTACTTATAGACATGTGGGAATATTCCCTATAAAAATTATAACTTCGGAATCCAAGCTGATTGATTCAGAGAATGAGCTAAAATAAATGCATGATTAAAAATAATACAGTTAAAGCCGGTTATATAAATTTTCAAACTTTAATATTTTTGTATTTTTAATAGGACTAGTAATCAAAATTATTAATTTTCAAAAAAAAAAAGACAACTTTATTTTTATTCCTCATCACTGGCATTCAATCTGTGAGGTTTTTTCGGATTTGAATTTGGTCGAAACTTCCATTGTCCAAAATCATCAAGAAATGTCGAAATAGTTGTGTTGAATTCGCTGAATGTGATCTTCAAGATTTTTTTCAAATAATTTCAGAACTTACACTGCATCGACTGGAATATGCGAAATGTATAACCTCGTATGTTTTTCTTCGAATCGAGATTTCGCGATTTTTTCAGTATAATTCCCACAATTATGACGAAGATTAAAGAAAAATTCATACTGTTTCTAAAAAATCAGTTTTTTATATCTCCAAACATTTATTATTGAGCAAAAAACTAACATCCCATATTCCATCACCTTCTGAATATTCAAAAGATTTCCATACAACTTCATCACCTTCAACATCAAACCATTCTCTATTTTGTTCAACCAAATCATTTCCAGTTGCATAATCGTGTTCATAAATATCAAAAGAATATGACCAAAATAGTTTTGCACGACATTTCAAATTTAGCTCAACATTTATAAAAGTTCCAAAAATACAATTATATGTTAGAATTGAAAATATGATAATTTTTCTAGAGAAGCTCATTTTAAATTGAATTGAACTTTTGAAGATGTTTTTTATACTGAAGCAAAAGTTGGAGACGATAAGATAAGAGACACATCTTGAAATAGAATTTTATGGTCTAGATTTATTTTTAGAAATTGATATTAGAACATGAGTTCTGTTTCAAGTGTCAATTATAAATATACTGTACGTAGATAGAGGGTTTATGATGGTATTCGATAAATTAATGAAATATTTTGTGATTGTTTGGAAAATATTGATGTAAATTTGTTTCGGAAATGAGCAAAAAAATGAGAAAAAGACAAGTTTTGAAAACGAATCCAAACGAATGTTTAAAATCAATGTTCAGTAGCCTAAAGATTCAAAATAATTTATAATTTTTTTGAAAAATAGTTCTCACAGTTTACATCTTGCAGACAATAGGAAAGTCTCATTTTTTCCTAAAAAATTCTCCTTAAAAATACAAACATGAAACAACTCTTATATCTCACTACATTATTCGTCATTTCCCACCAAATAGATCTGAAGTTCGAACTCGAGCTTTCTTGTAAATGGCAGGATGATTATTGGGCAACTGTCGATTTTTACCAGAAAACTGCGTTTTAGTAGGTTTTTGTATAGAGATAAGAATAAACTACAATGGAGTTTTAGTAAACGAGATTATGCGTTGTATCAAGGTGCAAATGGGAAAAATGTATCTTTGAAATCAAACAAAATTGAGGAGAATTATGGATATTTGGAAATTTATGCAATGGTTTCTCATAATTGTTATACACACTGGCCAAAAAAACCTGTAAGTTGGGATTTTTCCAACTCACCGTGGGGACCTCATCTACGGTCATAGGCAAACATTTAGATGAGCACATTGCTAAATCCTAACTTCAAACTATATTTCATCCCCCTTTTTATCTCGAAAAATAATTGTTACCCTTGAAGCTAACTGTTTATAATTGGATGTACAACAACCCACAACAAAAAATGGCATATTTTTATTTTCCAAAAATCGACGCAAGTTTGGATGATTTTACACTTCGCTTCAAAACCAATTTGGATGATTATGGAACATTTTAACAATTTTTCCCACAATAAAATGTTTTTTATTTTTTTGGATGTTATTATTGGCTTTTCTATTTTTCAACGAGAAATGGTCATCCATTTTTTCATTGTTTTTCTCCTTTTTGAATTCACAAATCCCACATATTTTGAATTCCAAGTAAAACTGAACTGCAAAATCCAGCCGAATTGGCACTATCAAGTTCAGTTTTGGGAAAATGATATTATGTAGGTTTTCAACATTGAGAAAACTTGATATCACTATTTTTCAGTTGGGATGACTTGCTCGTAAACTCTTCTCGCCACGAATTTTCCGGTCAAAACCTTGAAACTCAAAAGTTCATAGCTTATCACGGAGAAGAAATTATTTTTCCAAATAGAATAAAATGGGTATTTAAATCTTGCGAAAAACTGTTTTTAGTAAGAATACATTTTTTTTTAGAAATTTCACGAAATCTATGCTTATATTTATCACAATTGTACAAGGAAATCAGAAAATATTCAAATGCTTGCAGTTTTTTGGTATGCTGGTATTCCACAAATGATTTTGTAAGTAAATGTTTCTTCTGAATTTAAAACAAAAAAATTTTTTTAGAGATTATACAGTTGAGTTGGATATGGATTTGGATAATTATGGTTATGAAGTTTGACAAAAAATTCTGACAAAAAAATAAAGGAATTCAGAACTAGCGTACTGTAATTTTTTAGAGAGAATTTAAAAGCTTGCCTACTAAATACAGTATAGTTTTTTTGGTTGGCAAAAACAATGCAAGAATACAACGTTCACCCAAAATTTCAACAATTTTGTGTTTCTTATTGAACAGAAAGTTTATTTTTCAAGTGTTCATAGAAAGCAACTCGAATATTATAAAAATCAAGGGAAATCAAGTTGAAAAATCTATAATCATATTTTTTTGGTGTTTGGGGAAAAGTTTTCTAGGTTTTTCTTTTCGCAATCTCTATTCTCAAGAATTTGCCATCTTTTGCAGCAAAGATATTGAAATTTGGTTAAGTATGAACGATTTTAGCATTTTTTGTGAAAAAACGAAAAATGATTTTGAGGTTGGAAAAAATTCACAAACGTCCTGTTGTCTGGTGTCTCTCTTACGCTTTTCTATCTCTCATTTTCTCTCCGCCTCTCTTCGTCTCTTCTACACACAACACTCTCTCGTTTATTTTTTTTTCAATTCGGTTTTTTTCAAGTAAGCAGGAAATTTCAAGATTTTGCCGAAAACATCATATATGAGAAGATAGAGAAAGGCAAGACAAAGACAGAAAAATGAAAATAGGATTGTAAAATTTAACATTAAAAGTTATTTTTTCGAAAGAACAACGTGCCGAATTTTTAGTTACAGTTCTTATTTTCATTTTTCTGTCTTTGTCTTGCCTTTCTCTATCTTCTCATATATGATGTTCTCGATGAAAATCGTGAAATTTCCTGATTTCACGGAAAAAACCAAATTGAAAAAATAAACGAGAGAGTGTTGTGTGTAGAAGAGACGAGAGAGAAGCAGAGAAAATGAGAGTAAAGCGTAAGAGAGACGCCAGACAACACGTCGGTTTGTGAATTTTTTCCAACCTCAAAAACATTTTTCGTTTTTTACAAAAAATGCAAAAATCGTTCACACTTAACCAAATTTCACAATCTTTGCTGCAAAAGATGGCAAATTCTTGAGAATAGAAATGGTGAAAAGAGAAATCTAAAAAACTTTTCTCCAAACACCGAAAAACATATGAATATAGATTTTCCGCCTTGATTTCCCTTGATTTTTATAATATTCGATTTGTATTTTATTGTCAAATTAAAAATAGATGGCAGAAAATAAATAAAGAAACGTGAACATTTTCAGAGAACCCATGTCGTTGGGGGCGTTGCGGTCACGCGCTACGTGCTTCATTTTCAGAATTTTATAAATTTTTCCCATTTTTTGAGCAAATTTTCAAAAATGAAACACACATCGCGTGACCGCAACGCCCCCAACGACATGGGTTCTCTGAAAATGTTCACGTTTCTTTATTTATTTTCTGCCATCTATTTTTAATTTGACAATACACCGTTTGAGAAAACAATCAAGTCACAAAAAATCACATAACAAAAACAAACTTCAAAAAAATAAAAATATCAAAAAAATAAAAAATATAAAACATAATGTCAGCTTTATTGTCACTATCATCAAGCGACTTTTTGATGAAATAACTTTTTTTCATTTTCAAATCATATTTTCACCAAGATACTTGTCCATATCCACAAAAAACCCAATATATCCCCGTTCTTGTCTCAAAGTTCTAACAACCTTTAGAAACAACACATGCCTAATTCATATTTCAAAAAAATAAATATTATTTCTCCCGACCTCAAAGTTAGATTCTGAAACTTCCTTTCAAAAGCATCTTTGATTAAAATGCAAATCAGTTAAAAAAAATTTCGTACTCTAGAGAACTCCCTCCGACTAAAACTTAACTACTCAATTGAACCCAAAAAAAGAACTAACCTTTGAAATTTCGTCCGTTCCTCGATCATCTCATCGCTCAAAATTGATGTATTGCTTCATTCTTTCCAACAAAAATCATCTCCAATATTTTCATCCACGGCCAATCTGAAAAATATTAGCAATTTAATGAAACTTTTGGTTGTTTTTTTATTGATTCAAAACGCTATTCCAAAATATGGGCGCCCATCATGCGAGAGAGAGAGAGAAGAGAGAAAAAGACGGTGAAATCGCGCGTGATCTACAGTGATTTAAAAACTTGCGGGACTAGGTTAGGAAGTAGTTAGAACACCTTTCTTTAGGTAAACCCACGATACATTTAAAAAATTAAGGCGGCAGTTTTGAAAAATCAGAAATGAGCAAAATGATTCACGTCAAACTATTTAAATTTAAATTTAGGGCACAAAAGTAGGTCGAGCGGACAGAGATCACCGTTTAATATTATAAGAAAGATTTTTGTAATCGTGTAAAAATAAAATTTTGCATTTTGGGACCACATTCCCACATTTTTTCAGTTTAAATTTTTTGCATAAACATTTGATGTAAATTTCGTTTAAAAAAACGAAAAACTATGAATTTTTGGAAATCCGTTCCAATTGATGCGAAAAAAATTAAAAAATATTTTCTCTAGACAGTTTTAATATTAATTTTTATTCAAAAAATTCTCAAGTTATAACTCCGGCTGATTCATTCGGTGCTCAATTGCGTATCTGAAAAATCATCATTATGTCTTCCAACTTTTTAGTAAAACCTACGCCTGGTGTATCCAAAGCAACACTTGATTTTCCCCCTTGTGACTTCATTGGTTGAGATTTTAATTGTGATTTGATTGACACAGTTTTCAATCCTAAACTCGCCAAACTCGATCCTTTTTTTACTCCTCTTTTCTTTGCTGATTTTCCACCAACTGTTTTTGATACCGTAGTTGATTTTGAAATATCATCTTTCAATTCAACTCTAACAGTTTTTTCATGATTTGGTGGTTGAATTGCATTTCCATCTTCATCATATTCAGCTTCATCTTTCTCTTCTTTTTTCTTTTTTTCCGCATTTTTCTTCGCAATTTCAATCATTTTTGCTCGTTTTTTTCCCGAACTCAAAGAACTCTCCTTACTGTTATTTGGCTTGGGATTCGGTTTCGATTTATTTTTTTGTTGTTTCGAAATTTGCAGCGGTTTTGCAGTGTCCACTTTTTCATCATCTTTTGCTGTCGAGTTTGTTGTAGTTGTTGTTGTTCGTGTCAAAGTATTTGTTGCAGTCCCAGTTCCAGTTTTTGTTTTTGTATTGGGGTTCGATTTGGTATTAGTGTTCGTGTTCGTTTTTGTTTTTGATTTTGTTTTCGAATTTTTCACAGTGCTCGATTTTTTCTTGCCAAGATTCAGTTTTTGTTGTATAGAGTTGCATTGAGTTAGAACTTGCAATGAGAAAAATAGAACGAAAACTGAACAAAAGAAAACTTGGATTTTTATAAGACGTTTTTGAAAACTTACCAATATGATACACTACTCGTAAAATGTTATCTGAAAAATTATAATTTTCACACATTGTTGTGTCTAAAAAGAAATGACCAAAATTTTATTTTGTGCTCCACTTTTTTCTTGCCACGTTTTGCCACCAAACCTAGTTCACGTTTTTATAATTTTTGGTTGGAAAACGTGGAAAAAATCAATAAATTGGCTCATTTTTCAAAATTGTAAATGTCATTAAACTGTGAGTTTCATTTATTTTTAATTGATTTTTCAAACCAACCGTCAGTTTTATTCAGAAAACAAAGTTTTGTTCAAAAAGAAAAATAGAAACAAATATGTGTTTTTTCACTATTCTACTATCACTCATATTTATGAGTCATATTTCCTGCACAAAAAAGAAGAAGAATGTTCGAAAAGTTCAATGTGGTTCTTCGATGTCAGAAAGACGTGGAGGTGGAGTTGCGAAAACTCCAACACAAAAAAATTCTGGCACAAACACTGCGATTCCAAAATCACTTGCACCAACACAAAGACGATCAGCAACAAATGCACAATCAGCGGTTCTCGACAATACACAAGAATCGAATGTTCAAGATGTTGCTGTTTCGAAAGTTGGATCAAATACAACTGTGAAAAATAATCAAGGAACACAACGATTATCGAATCGATCAACTGTCAGATTATCGCAAAGTCAACAACTTAATGATGGGTGAATAGATTTTTGTTGATTTTTAGATATGAACTGGGTTCCTAGAATATCAAAAAATAGATCTGATTATCAGAACTTTCAAAAATTTCCCAAATCAAAATTTTGTATTTTTCAGCCCACAAGAACCCGAATTCTTACCATCTGATCAGGATGATGATACAATGCGATGTGTGAAAAGCATCAGAAGAAATTAATAAATATTTTTTCATTATTTTCAATTATCGAATTACATAATAATTTAATCATTTTCAAACTACCGTATAACACCAACTAACCGTAAAATTACTAACAATAAAATCAAAGAGATTACAGTAACCACAACGGCCGTAATTATTTTCCATTTTGCATTTATCCACCACAATTCTCTTTTGCTTTTTCGTGCTGTCATTTGAAATGAGGAACTCTGAAAAGTTTCAGCAACTTGTTCACCTCGAGTTCAATTAAAAAACATACCGCCGCCTGAAGTTCCTCCGATCTTCTTTGCATACTTCCTAATCGAAGATCTCGTTCCAAATATTTGTCAAGATTGTCGTATACTATCTAAAATTATGATGAAAGATTTTAACTCTAAAAAATAGGAAAATTGTTACGCATGTTTTTTCAAAGTCACCCCTAAAACTTACTGCTGATACTGTATTGACTTGCTCTTTGAGCACTGTGATTTTCTGTTCTTTTTGAGCATCCATTTTCTGAAAATAACATTTGTCAATCTGAAAATTCAAAAAAAAAAGTATGATTAATTGTTAAGCGCTTATCAAAAAGTGTCTGATTGTTAAAAGCAAAAATAACAAAGTAAACATTCAAAAAAAAATGAACATGAAATAATTCTCGCCCCAAAAAATATGAGTCAAAACTAGTTGGATTATTTATAACCCAATAAAATAAAAAAAATTCGTATTACACAAAAAATACATCGAAATTGTCTGCGAAAACTTTGAAGAAGAAACTCGTGGCCTTGTGGCCTAATGGATAAGGCGTCTGACTTCTAATCAGAAGATTGCAGGTTCGATCCCTGCCTGGGTCAAAATTTTTTATTTTTTTTGTATTTTGAAAATTTAGTTTTGTATAAGCGAAATCACTAAAAATAGGTGGAAAAAAAAATTTATTGGCATTACAATTGGGGTGAATGACCTCCGGAAGCGTTGAAGAACCGGAATCAACCTCAAGGGGCAAAGAAAAAAAAACGAGAGAAAAAAGGAACAAAAATCAAATATACACGGTGTGAATCATCTTTTTCATTTCTTTTTGAAAACTCCGGCAGCGCCCAAAATGATCAGAAGACAAATTATGAATACAATAAGAATGACGAAAATTGTGATACATGTCCATTTTGCATTCAACATACAAAACTTTCGCTTCACTTTTCGTGCATTCATTTTGAAGTTGGTACTCTACAAAAATGTTTTTTATAGCTTCTTTATAAACTAACACATACCGTAGCTTGTAAATGTTCTGTTCGTCTCTCAATATTATCCAATCTCTCGCCTCTTTCCAAAATTCGCTCGACATTTTCGACCATAATTTTTTTCACTGAATCCACCTGATTTTTTACAGCATCGGCTTTCGAAATTGTATCCGTTGAACTCGATTCATTTTCCATTTTCTGACAAAATCAAATTGTTTGAAATTGTGTTAAAAATATATAAGAAAGAAAGTAAGGCAGGCTAACTCTAGTAAATGTTTGCTGTGTTCTTTTTGTGAAAAATTGAGAAATGTAAATATTTGGGAGATTATTGATTGATTTTTAGGCACCAAATCGTAGTTTTCCAAAATTCACGATGAAAAATTGGATTGAAGGATGGTGGAAAGTTTGACTTTGGGTACAAAACTTCTAAAATCAAGTTTGAAAATAAGATTTGTAACAAAAATGTCATATGAATGTAAAAAAATCCAATTTCATAACTTCTATAAAAATCTGAGAAAAATGAAAAGCCGGAAATTCAGATGTCATTTTTCCCAACATCGTTTCCAGATCATCCTATTGGGAAGAGAAACAAAGTCAAAGACGCATCTTCTTTATCGAAGAGTTTCCAACCGACAAGGAAAATACATTAGTTCTCAAATATATACATTAGTTCTCAAATATATAGTGTAATTTGGAACTTTTTTGAGTTAAAAGTGATTTTCTGAGATGAACTGAGAAATCCTAGCTACCAAATTTTGAGAAATATTTACAGAACGGTCACTATTAGCGTGTACTGATGACGTGGCAATTTGAAAATCTGAAACGTATCATTTTTCTCGAACTTACCATCATTTTCGAAAAAAATTACTTTTTTTCAGCCAACAAAAATATAGGAAAATAGAATGTAAAATGAAAAATGAGACACACAGAACCTTTTCTTTTTCCCCTTTTTCTTTACTTTCTTTTTCCAAAAATATGCAATATTTGTTTTAAACTCTGACTACATACACTCATGACAAAAGTAAACTGGAGACAAATAAAAAATTGAATCGGGAAGAAATAATTGAGAAACAATGTACATATATGAAATAGCCTGTTGCATGTAAAAAAAATTATTTTTTCGGAACTATTTTTTAAAGTTTCGAGTTTAATATTTCAGAAGCCAAAACAAATGACGATTAAAAATTGAATGTAAATAAACTTTTGAGGTCAACCAGAGACAAGTCAACTTGATGTATTCATATTTCACCAGAAAAATGATGACGTGTCAAAGTTTCGATCAAAGAATACATCAAAAATCGCATGACTTTTTCAAAAACATCTGATTCTGTTTTTTCTCAATATTTCCAGATGTTTTTGTTTATTCTTTTCCATTTCTAAATCCCCATCTGAATTTCCTCATTTTCATTTTTTCTTCAAAAATCCAAGAAAACATGAGATTTCTTCTATTTCTTCAAATATTCTTTTTTCTAATCATAATACTAATGGCTAAAACAACAACCAAAAAAACCGGTATTATTGATAAAGTTAGTTAGTAGGGGCTTAATGTACCTTAATATAACAAATACCCTAAAGTTATGTATCTAATAACGTGTAATTTAACAAAACAACTTTAATTTGAGGTTCGTTCAATTGGTCGAAAACAGGCTGTCGGGGTTCGCGGAACATTATTATGTGGTGAAAATGCTGTGAAAAATGGAACTGTGAAATTGTGGGATAATGATATGTGTAAGTTATACAGTATTTGTAAACATCAAAAGTTAAACATTGTTTTCAGTGGATCCTGATGATTTGATGGCTGAAATAAGTGTATCGGAAGATGGAAGTTTCGAGATTTCTGGATATGCCGTTTCCATTACAAACCTTGATCCACAACTTCGAATCTATCATCATTGTTTGACTTCAGGATGTCGTAGAAAGGTCAAATTCACTGTTCCGAAAAGTTATATCAATGATGGAAAAAATGTGAGTTTTATTTCTACTTTTCGAAAGAAATACCAATATGAAAAGCTAGGAGAATAATTCTAAAAATCCTCTTGACTTGTTCTCAAGTATTTTCTTCCTACTCTAATTGATGTTTTTATGTAATTTAATTGTTCTATTTATATAATAGGTGACAAAATGGTTCAACATTGGCACTATAAATATGGAGATTGGTTTCAAAAACAAAGAATCATCGCATTGTATTGAATAATAAACAAATTCATCATTTTTTGCCTCTTACTTTTTTGTCTATTAATTAACTTACTTACTTATTATGTTTTGATAACTAGTTTTGCTTCTCTTTTCTTTGATTCATGAAAATATTTGATATAAAAGCTTGGCAGGTTCTTCTTCAAATAGTAGTTTCAAATAATGTCAGTGGACATTGATGCGCGGATCAAAGCCTACAAATTTGTGGCCTATTCGGCTGTCACATTCTCTGTTGTTGCAGTTGTTTCGATTTTCATAACTTTACCAATGGTTTATAATTATGTTAACAATGTCAAAAGACAAATCCACACCGATGTTAACTTCTGCAAAGGTGAGTTTCTTACATACTGTGACTACGTCGTGGCTTTTTGAAAACCTGTTTTTAGGATCCGCCAAAGATATCTGGTCTGAGGTTCATTTGATCAAGGACTCTCCAGCCAATAACACTCGTATTGCTCGTCAAGCTTATAACACTGGCGGATCAGCTGTGGGTGGAGGCGGTGGGGGAGGTTGTGATGGCTGTTGTAATCCTGGACCGCCAGGACCTGGTGGAAATCCAGGAAAACCTGGAAAACCCGGAAAACCTGGAGCCCCAGGAGCTCCTGGAAATCCAGGAAAAGGAGCAAGTGCGCCATGTGAGCCTGTCACTCCCCCACCTTGTCAACCATGCCCAGGTGGGCCACCAGGACCTCCAGGGCCAGCCGGGCCTCCGGGCCCTCCAGGACCGGACGGAAATCCAGGAAGCCCAGCTGGACCAGGAACTGCTGGGCCACCAGGGCCACCTGGGCCACCAGGACCTGCTGGAGGTGATGGATCACCAGGTCAACCGGGAGCACCTGGACAACCTGGACAATCATCAGATGGTGGAGCTGGAGCTCCAGGACCTGCAGGGCCACCAGGAGGACCTGGACCAGCTGGGCCAGATGGATCGCCAGGAAGTGGGTCACCAGGAGGACCAGGACCAAAAGGACCACCAGGGCCAGCGGGAGCTCCCGGAGCTCCTGGAAATCCAGGAGGACCAGGAACTCCAGGAAAATCAGGAGGAGAAGGAGAAAAGGGAATTTGCCCCAAATATTGCGCCATCGATGGTGGAGTCTTCTTCGAAGATGGAACACGAAGACGTTAAATTCGAAATTTTTGTTTTTGATAATAAACATTGCAATTTCTCAAAAACATTTTTAGTTAAACGTGTCTATCAAAACATTTGTATATTCAACTTTGCCATCGCTTTTGATTGAACATCCTTCCGAACTCTTTCCAATTCAGATTCATGAAATTCCACACAAACAACTGTTTCCTTTTCCGTCAATTCAGATAATACCAAAAACTCATTAATATGGCCATTTTTTATTTCACATTTTGATTGTGATAAATATTGTTCACATATTACAAATGAGTGTAGAAATAAAATATTGAGAAAAATATAGTTTAGAATTTGTGATCGAAATATTATAATGCTAAATTTTTTCCTAGTTAATTTTATTAGGAATAACTCACATTGGGTAACGTGGTTATTTCAAATTTTTGGAAAAATTGACAAATTTCTGCTTTTTTACGAATTTTCGGAAAATGAAAAAACAAGTGAAAATTAATGAGTTTATACGAAAGAAGAAGTTCGAATTTAACGTCTTCGTGTTCCATCTTCGAAGAAGACTCCACCATCGATGGCGCAATATTTGGGGCAAATTCCCTTTTCTCCTTCTCCTCCTGATTTTCCTGGAGTTCCTGGTCCTCCTGGATTTCCATCAGCTCCTGGGGCTCCAGCTGGTCCTGGTGGTCCCTTTGGCCCAGGTGCTCCAGCTCCTCCACTTCCTGGTGTTCCATCTGGCCCAGCTGGTCCAGGTGCTCCTGCAGGTCCTGCAGGTCCTGGTGCTCCAGCTCCACCATCCGAAGATTCTCCAGGTTGTCCAGGTCCTCCTGGTTGTCCAGGGGCTCCATCTCCTCCAGCCGGTCCTGGTGGCCCAGGTGGGCCTGGTGGTCCGGCAGTTCCTGGTCCAGCTGGGCTTCCTGGGTTTCCATCTGGTCCTGGAGGACCTGGAGGTCCGGCTGGCCCTGGGGGTCCTGGTGGTCCTCCTGGACATGGTTGACAAGGTGGGGGAGTGACAGCCTCGCATGGAGCTCCAGCACTCTTTCCTGGGTTTCCTGGGGCTCCTGGTGCTCCAGGCTTTCCTGGTTTTCCAGGTTTTCCTGGGTTTCCTCCAGGTCCTGGTGGACCAGGATTACAACATCCAGAGCAGCTTCCGCCACCTCCAGATGAGCCACCACCTCCCGATGATCCAGTGTTATAAGCTTGACGAGCAATACGAGTGTTATTAGCTGGAGAGTCCTTGATCAAATGAACCTCAGACCAGATATCTTTGGCGGATCCTAAAAACAGGTTTTCAAAAAGCCACGTCATAGTCACATTCTGTAAGAAACTCACCTTTGCAGAAGTTAACATCAGTATGAATTTGTCTTTTGACATTGTTAACATAATTATAAACCATTGGCAAAGTTATGAAAATGGAAACAACTGCAACAACAGAAAATGTGACAGCCGAATAGGCCACAAATTTGTAGGCTTTGATCCGCGCATCGATTTCCATTTTCGAAAAAATGGAGTGATACACTAAAGATAATTGGTTTCCGCTGACTTTTTATATCATTTTATTTTGAGGCTAACTGGTTATATAATAATATCTGTGGTTTTGTTTTTGTTGTTATGTTATCAACATCTGATATGCATACTGGTTTCTTCTTTTTTTAATTGCTAAGGTTCTTGAACGTTTTTTTTTTGCTAAATTGCCAGGATAATTATTGAGGTAAAAAATAATCATGAGAAAATGCGAGCTGCGAAAATTGTTAGCACTTTCTCATTTTATAGTTTGGAATAAGTTAAGCTCACATTCCGAATGTTCAAATTATTGTGCTATATTTCGTTTATAGTATTGGGTGAGTTTTAGAATATTCAGAATAATTTCAAATTTTTCTTATTTCAGCAAAATTTGTGGTTTCTCAAGGTGTTGAACAAATGAACAACGATTTGCCAGATGAATGTTTGTATAAAATTGGATGATTTTGAATAATAAAGCTTTTATCGTCAAAAAACTCAGAAATTATCCGGTATTCTCATATTTTTTTACATCGGGTAACTTTTGCAAACCATTATTCATTTGATCAACTTGACAGTTTGCAACGTTTACTGAAAAAATTCCAGATTTCAAATATCATTCAAGAAAATTTACCGAGGACCAGAAATACCACGAAAAATAGAAATTGTTTGAACATTTTATTTTTGTTTTGTGAGAAAACAGCTAGAGGTTTATAAAGAACTCGATTTTCTCATGGTTTATTTTTCGGAGACGTTGGTTTTTTGAACACAAAAATTGGAGTTTGGGAAGTTCAAATTTTCGGCATGAATTTTTCAAATTTCGGATTGAAATACAACGAAGAAGACCGATTCATAATTTTTCGAAGATTCTAAATCTTCAATCCCATTCGAAAGTCGAACCTTAAAGGATCCTACAGATTTTAATAGAAAACAAATTTCCACGAAAACATCAGAAATTATCTAGTTTACAAGTTGTTTTCCTTTCTATTTCTCTTCTTTTTTCAAAATAAAATATACTACTACTCGACACAAAAATGCACCAAAATGATAACATTTTCCCCCACTAAAAAAGATAAGAAAAAAACGCAATTTTATTTATTTTTTTCGCGAAAAAATGTTGAAATCGCATTTTATTCTATTAATTTTATTAGTTTTTTCAGCGGGTTTGTCTGATTTTTCTTTCGAAAATCTAGGGAAAATACATTTTCAGAAGTTTTCGGGTTTTCTGCTCATCGACGAGTTCGTCGAAACGATGTGAAAGTTTTGTCAGTGAAAACATTAGCGGATGGGACAAAATTCGAGAAAATTCAAGAATCTGGAACTTTACCAGCACTGCCGATCGATGAAGAAATAGATGATATTAATGATTCGAGAATTGGGCATATTGATGAGAGTGGAGATGTTTTAGTGCCAGTTGATGAGAATGGAAAAGTTTTACCAGGTATGCAGAAAGTTTAGGGAAAATTTTGAAATTTCAAACTGTTCTGAACTATTTCCTAATTTTTCTTAGACTTTCACAATTATTTTTCCGAATTGTTTTTTCTTTTCTAGGCTATGAATATCTTCTTCAACCAATAGTCGTTGAAGTCAGTGTTGATGAAACAAATGCGCCAAAAATCCCGAATCAAAATCAAAATGCTCAACTTCCACCATTACCTGGAAATCAAAACCGAGTTCTCGAACCATCTGATGAATTTGGTGTTGGCCAAGAAGATGAAAATATCCCAGCAGTTCCTGCATTGCCACCATCCGATTATACCGATTCTGGAGAATCTGATGAAAATTTGAAAGCTGAAGATGATGGTCGAGATGAAAATGAGATTGATATTCCGAAAAATTCAAATCCGTCGCTTCCAGTTTTAATTCCAGCAAAAGAAATCGATCCAATTCCAGTTCCAGTGGAAACAATTGTATCTGAAGAAGAAGATGAACCAGAGCAAAATGAAGAAGTTCAAAAGATTTCAGAACCTGAAACGGAACCCGAAGATTTTTCGGAAGAAGCAATTGAGAAAATCGCCGCTGAATTTGGACCTCAAGTTTTCGCCAATTTGGTGAATAAATCTTCAGAATTTTGGGCAGCACAAAAAATGGCTGAAAATGTTGAAACACCGTGGAGAATTCAACCACAAGATGTAGCGGCAGAAAAATCTAAAAACCACGGAGACACTGAAAAAACGGAAGAGGATTCTGGAAGTTCAGAATCTGACGAAAAAGTTGAGAAGGTTCAAGAAGAAAATAAAGGAGGCTCCGAAGGATATATTCTGCAAAGACCAGATTCTGAAGAAATTGAAATCGGTGGAGCACAAGATGATGACTTTGAAGAAGGTGAGAAACTATCTCACAATTTTTGAAACGAAAAACTTACAATTAACATTTTGCAGATTCAAGAGTTCTGAAAGACATTGTTCGCGGTGGAGTTGGTCCAATTCCAGATTCTTCGAAAAATTGGGAACTTTCAAAAATTCTGTTCGCCACTGTGTTACTCTACATTTTCTGGTAATTGCATTTTTTTTGTTATTTGAAAAAAATTGAAATAAAAAATTGCAAAAAAATTGTGCGAACTTCCTGTTCGAAAATCATTGAGCCATACCACAAACTCTTATTTTGTGGGATTTCTAATCCAATTTATTTTATTTCATTTTTTTATACATAGAAACCTTTTTTGATTCTTGAATCTTGGACTTATTGAGCAAAAAATTGGATATCCAAGTGTCATTTTTCTATAAAACGCATAAATCACAGCTGGAATGACACATTTTCCTATTCCAATTTTTCAAACCACAAAAATTGGTTTCATTTTTTCAAATTCCGACTTTCTTTCTTGTTTCCTATAGTATATCTCACAGACCAACTCATCAACCCGAAAAGTCAACATTTTCTGCCTTCCTCATTTTTTCCCTAAATTTTTCCTAGTTTTTTTTGGTGGGTGGGGGTGTCTTCTGGTGAATTTGGATTCAATTAATTTTCCAATTCTTCTTCCGTTTTTCTCTTTTTTGTTTCTTTCAATTTTTTGATGTTACTAGAAATTTTAGTTGAAATGAGGCGCCAAAATCTTCCCCCAATTTCGTGCCAAAACAAAACAACTAATTAAAAATTCCTCACAGATGTTTTTTTCCTACTTTTCTTTTCACAATTTTCCCCGATATTTTCAGGTTATTTATTTATTTTTCAGATTATCCTCAAAATATCCACATTTCCTATTATTATTATTTTCACATATGCTTATGTTAAATATGGTGAGTTCGACAGGAAATTAATCAAAAATGGAAACTGCCCCAAAAAAATTTCAATATCCAAAAGTGTAATATAAATATATCATGAATAAAATTATATTGGTTAGTTGGCTCACTTTTTTGTGAGGCAAAAAAAATAAAAGCGAAATTTTTTTGGAATAAATTTTGGAAGCTATTCATATTTGTTGAAGGGAGAAAGAAAATAAAAGAATGTCGAGTATGATGGTGAGTTTTTTGATTTGGAAATTGAAGATTTTTCAGAGTTTTTATAAAGCTAAGAACTGAAAAAGGTTTTTTATTCTGAAAATAATATCCAGAAATCCACGTATTTTTACTTTTGCCAGTAATTTTGAAATATAACTCGTATTTTTCTGAAGATGTACTTTCAAACGATTTTTTTGAGTTATTTCTGGCGCAATTTTTGTAGCTACAGAAATGGTGTCAACAAGAAGTGTAACCGTAATATTGTAACACAGGATTTGTCTGGAAGTTCTTGTAATTTTTAACAAAACAAATATCGGAATTATAATTACAATTGTCAGTAAATCTTGGAAGTGTAGCAAAAAAGTCATTTCTATCCTGCTTTACTAAATCAGTCGAATCATCCATAAATATTAGATTAAAATTAGGTTCTAGATTAATTAAATTTTCGAAATATTCGGATTTTAAAAAATCCGAAAATTTTCTGCATTTTCTAGAAGTAAATAAAAAATGGCCATCGCTTTTTAGCGCAATTTGTGCAAAAGACACCTCATGTTAAACTTTTTTCTGGTACAAATCTCATCACCACAAAACAACTAAAGTTCGTCAACCTAATTTTCGAATTCCACAGATCCTTTCTCTTTTTCTTCTATCTTTCTCGCCTTCCAATTTGGAGTCCCAAAACCCACTAAAAACACTTGAAAAGCTGTGAAAATTGAATTTGTTGTTTGTTTTTTTCTACTGAAATTTTCAACCAAAAAAAGTAGAAAATAACAACTTCCGTTATTCCATTGTGTGTGGTGCTGCAAGAAAAAGCGAAAAATTAGAAATTCAATTCATCAAAAAATCCAATTTCGCGTTCGCTACTGAAATATAAAAAATATTCGAAATATTCCACTAAAATTTGAAAAATGTCGTTTCGCAGACAACCATCTTTGCGTCAAAAAACCGGGGTAAGTTTTTGAACTTTTTTCTTCTTTGTCTTCTAGATTGTCACAAAAGAATGTCAGTTTCATAGCTGACTGCATATATAAAAAATACCCATGCATTTGACATGTATTTTCTATCGCCTATCCTCCTTCCAATTTATTTATTGCTTGCTTTTTTTCTTCTTTTTTAAGAGCTAGATTTCTCATCCCTCACATCAAGTCTCCCTATCCTAATTGTTGTTGTTTTATTTACTAGAATAAAAAATTCAAAAAACAAAAGGCCTCAGGCAAAATATCTAGTTGACTTTTTGAATTACTTATGTATGTACAAAAGAATTTCTCGAAATATGAACTTTTTCTGTTGTTTTGAAAGTCGCTCGGACACCAAATAATAATTATTTTAAAGCTGTATTTTACCAGAAAAACATTGGCAAAATATTTATTTAAAAAACCAGAATGGTTTTTAGGTTTAGAAAAAAGAGTTGGAATTGTTTGAAAATAATCTTCATCAAATTTTTATTAAACTTTAATTTTCTCAAAGATGTTTGTGAAAAATATTTGAGGTTTTTGAAAAAAAAACTACCAAAATTAGAAATTTTTTGGAAATTTGTGGACCATAGAATTTTTCGGAATAGCTCTCTAAAATTTAGAGTCTAAATTACTGAAAAATTAAATTCGTTCAAGATTCACCAGCACTATTTTCCAAAAAAAATAAATCCTAGAATTTCCCATATTTTGTGTCTGCAAAAAAAATCAGAAAAAAATCCCAAGGGTTAAATTATTCTTGTTTTTGAGGGTGGTTGGTGTCAAACAATTAATTTTCTTTCTTTTGCTTTTTTCTCTTCCTCTTTACAAAAAAAATAGGAAAACTTGTAGTGTTTTTTTATTCGACAACAAAAACCTAATTAACCTATTCATGAAGAACTTTTCTTTATTTTTTTTTCTTATTGCATCTATCCATATTTTTATCCCCATATAAAAATTCTTTCAACACAAAGAATTTTTCATCAGAAGAAAAATGAAAAAAATGAGAAAAATCTCCGCCTATGCATGCATATGATTCAATTCCTTCTCTTCTTCTTCTTATTCTACCAATTTGTTGAGGAAAATGAGCACCACAAAAATTTGCTTCACTTTTTCCCGGCAAAAAATTCAATTTTCTAACTCACTCACTCATTCAGATTTTTCTCTCCGCGCGATTTTTGGCGCCAAACTTTTAGGGGGATTACTGTAGTTCTAGCTACGTCACAAAAGTTCACTAGAAGACTCTTCTAATCCGTGACCAAGGATAATCCCCATTGAAAATTAGTTTTTGCATAATTTTTTTGGCTTTACATTTTTTTCTTGTTGGATGAATAGTAGTAGTTCTTTGGATTTCTCAGATTTTTCAAGATAAAAATAACAGTAGGCAAACATTTCTAGAACGTATAGGAGAATATTTCAGATTTTTAGAAGCCTTGGAAAAAATCTAGAAGTGTCAGAAAATTTTTCTGAAAGTTAGAAGAATCCCAGATAGTCTAGAAAATATTCTGCAATTTTTAAAAAGCTGGAAGATCAGTAAGATTTATCTCATTCCAAAAATACATTCTTTAAGAATCTCTCCCCCAAAAATTGGCTCAATTCCAGAATTAAATTAAATTATCTGTCGCCTTCTCTATGTCTCTCGTTTTTTGACACAAATCCAATTAATATATCCGCAAATAAAAAAAGTCGAAGAATTTTTCGCTTTCTTCGTTTTATTTTTATTCTAGATGTGAGCCAAAGATAACCTTGCTCCAAAAAAAGACAACTTTTTGAAACTTAAATAGATCAATAAGTTATTTTTTTTAGGACGTAATGTTGAACATTTTGATGTCAATGACGAAAGAGGGATCTTCGGATGGGCCTCAATTTATTGCACCAGCAAAAACGAGTCGAGATACTTTGATTACTACAGCTTATCGACTTCATAGAACTCGTTGGAGGATTCTAGATCCTTACAGGTAAGAAATTCGGAACTATTGGTGAAATTAAGAACTTACTTTAAAATTTGTTGAAGTTCTCCAAAAATACCACTTTTTTAAATTCCAAATAATTATCGGTAAACAGAAGTTTAAAAAAAACCAAATTCAGAAAATGAAAAAAAAAATGAGAAACCAAAAAAAAATAATTCAGACGCTTGAAAAACGCACTGAAAAAATTGCAAGAAGATTATTTGAAATCAAAAGAAGCAAACGCATTGATGAGATATGTTAAACTTGGTCAAAGCGTTCGAGAAGTTGCACTTTTGGAGAATCAAAATTGGAGATTGTTAAATATCCCAGCACAAGATGTTAATGAGGATTGTAATTGTTATGTTGTAAAGTTAGTTTTTTTTGGGAATGGGAAAAAAGAAAGAGGAGGTTCCCCGAGCCAAATTTTTAAAGTTTTTTTAGTTATGGTCCCTCATTGAAAATTTGTCAAAGTTGAACCTCGTTCCCACATTTTTTAAACGATTTTTGGATGAATTTTCGAATTTTGGCAAATTATTAGCAGAAAATAGGCCAAGTTAGGCACCCTCTTTATATTTTTCAAAAAATAATTAGGCCCTTCACTCCTATTCTGGGGACCCATTTTATGTATGATTCAGACTTTTCTTTAAAAAATTCACCAAAGATTTTCGACTGACATTCCTTTTTTCTCCCTTATTATCCAAAAAATATCCCGAAAACCCATCTAAAACTTACAGAATCGTTGAACTTCTCGAGGATACACCCACACAACTTCCACCAACTCGCGGAATTGGAGCACTTCTTCAATCAACCATCGGAAAACCAGCTGAATCGAATGTTGACACGGCGCTTTATGATTCTATAAAATGTCGAAAAAGTGATGAATTGGTTAAAGACTGTGAAACAATGTATAATTCATTGTTTCGATTAACAAAAAAATATTTGGGACTTCGAAGATTAATCAAGGTTTGTCAATTAATTAAGGTATTTTCTAGGAAAATAATAATGATGTTTAGGAACTTCACGATAAATATGAAACAACTCGAATGTTTCCAATTGTTCCGAGATATGCTATGTTGAAGAAAATGATAAAAGCAACTCTTCGAGCTCCAGAATTTGCTGATATTTGTCACGAGCAAACGGAATAACTTCTTTTTTTTTTTACTTTACAAGAAATATCATATTGATTTTTGAAATATTTTTACTTTTTCACAGGGGTTTTATTACTACCGAGAATTAATCACGTACAAAACATTTTATCTGACGACAAAAAACCTCCGCAAACAGCACGCTACGTGGCCGACAAAAAAAACAATAGCGTGTGGCCGGCCTCGCGAGATGTCGGTCGCTGCAAACACACATATAGCCCGACAAATTTCATTTAATTTGTGTGTCTTTTGAGCCAAAGGGTTTTCAATTTTCTTTTTGAAAATCTGAAAACCTAAGCTCCGCCCACATGTCTGTGCGGAAAAAGATGGGCGGAGCCTATTTGCTCGATTACAATTTTGCATTGACTCGGTAGTGAAAAAACCCCTGTGTTTTTTTTGAAATGAATAAAAACAATTTTACAAAAAAAACTATTTCAAATAAAAGGAATTCGAAATCTGAGAATTTTTTTGAAATCGATTATTTTAGGGACTAGTTAAAAAAAAAAAATTTTGCATAAGTGTTTTTCGAAATGGAAATCAAAACTTTTCATGATTTTTAATTGTAATTCAACTATAAACTCGTAACATAGGCAATATTTTTATCATTAACTCACCCTTTCAATTCGATCTTAAATTCACACTAATCATCCCATCCATTTTCATTATAATTCAATACTTCGAATCTAACAATTGATTTGTGATACATTTCCAAATATTTGTTCAAATTCAAATTTTGAACATGTTTCTTTTCCATCAAATTCTTCAAATCATGTTATACTTCTTTTTCTTTTCGAGGTCGATTGGAACAACAAAAGTTTTTGGCTCCGACAATTCCTCAATTTCCATAAATTGTAGACAATGAATATGAATTTCTGGATGATCATCATATAATTTCGTTACATTTTGATACTCTTCAAATAATCTATCGATTTCTTCACTTCATCTTCACATTTTTCCGAACAAATTTCGAATTTAAATTTTGATTGTGGCTCCATCTCATCAATTACCAATTCTCGCATCTCAAGCCGCAAATCGAACGAAGAACTTTGATTATTTTCCATGGAAATGAAATCTGTCTGGAAATATGATTTTTCGAATTGTTGTGGGGAAGATTTTTGAAACTCACATCTTCTACTTCTTCTTCTACGCGACGTTTTATGAAAGCTTATGCCATTTTTAAGAAAAAAAAGTCAAATATGCGAAAAAGACAAAAATTTTAATAATAAATTTGGAGAAAAGAAAATAAACCCGATAAAAATACGCCCGCGCACGTAGATCAAACATTTTTTCAAGATCAAACATTTTTTAGCTATTATTTTCTAAACGAAAATTGTACGGGGGAATTTATTGAATGTTTGGGAATTTGAAATTTGAGAATTGTTTATTTTTAGAACAAAATCTTTTTGAAAATAATTTGGATTTTCGGGTTAACACATTTTCGAACGATTTTTTATCGAAAATCCAATAATCTGCAAATTTTTAGAAAAAATAGGAAAAAACCGATTATTTCTCAACCAAAACAAATTCTCAAAAAATATCACATTTATTAAGTATTTTTTAAATATTCGCATGTTTCACTTTCAGGAAATAAAATAATAAAAATAGGTCTAAAAAATCACAGAGAAAAACAGGAATGTTATTTGTCGATTGTGTTTACAAAGCTTGTTTCTTGGCCAAATTTTCAGCCAATTTGTCCAAAAATTCAAATGTGTTCAAATAATCGCTTCTTGTTACTCCAGCCATTCCTTTGATGCAAATTGCCAAATCTTTTGTCAAGAATCCGGCTTGCATTGTTTCGATACAAGTTGCTTCGAGATTTGAGGCAAATGTGGCGAGTTGTGCATTATTGTCGAGTTGAGCACGGTGTGAAAGACCACGAGACCATGCGAAAATTGAAGCTGAAAAAATACGAGTCTAATTTTTCTTCGAATAATTTTGATAACTTCTCTAAATTTTTTTAAAAACTATTTATTGAAAAAATCTCTAAAAATCTGAAAATTCGAATCTAAAAATGAGTTGGAAAAGCTCAGGTTCACGTTTAGAATTTTCAACATTTTTTAATTTTCATTTTCCAATTTATCATGCCGAAGGAAAAGATTTCTGAAGTACAAACCTTCAAAAATTAGGTCAACACTTTTGAGTCGACTTGAAAGAGATCAAACTTTTTGATAAGAAAATCAAATTGGCATTCAAAAACTTTTTGTGAAATTCAAATTTGTGAAGGACAGGTTTAGAAACATCCGAGATATTTGTATTTGGAGAAAACACACAAAACAAGTAATTTTTCCAATGTTTTTGTGAAAATAATAACAAACCGCTTACCAATTGGGTTAGTAGATGTTTCTTGTCCTTTTTGATGTTGTCTATAATGTCTAGTAACAGTTCCGTGAGCAGCTTCAGCTTCAACAGTTTTTCCATCTGGACAAACCAAAACTGATGTCATCAATCCAAGGGATCCATATCCTTGAGCAACTGAATCCGATTGAACATCTCCATCATAATTTTTGCATGCCCAAACAAAACCACCATCGGATTTCATGGCTTGAGCAACCATATCATCGATAAGACGGTGTTCATACCAGATTCCGGCTGCTTTGAATTCACCTTCGTATTGCTGAAAATGTTGATTTTAGTATTGATTTTTGTTTTTGTCATAAATTTTTATTATTTTATGAAAGTTCTTATGTTTTTTTCTATAAGGAATTTCAGATTTTGAACTCTTTTCGAGTTTCCCGCTTATTTCTTTTACAGATTGCCAAATTTCTCTTCTCAAAACCATGCCGCATAGAAAGTGGGCGGAGTTCCATTTCTAATCTTTTTGACAGTTTTTCGAGAACAATAACGCCTCTTATCTTATCTTTCAAATACAAAAAGCATTATTAAAAAATTTGGCAGATTTTTTTCAAAAACAAAAAAACACTTACTGGATAGATTTCGGCGAAAATATCCTTGAATCTTCCATCATATTTCTTCAAAATGGTATTTTTGGTTGAAAGGTAGAGTGGGTATTTACGGGAAAGAGCATATTTGAATGAAGCATGAGCGAAATCACGGATCGATTCATCAGTATTATACATTGAAAGTGAGACACCTGGTCCTTTGAAGTCATAAACAGTTTCTTGAATGGTTTGTGTTCCATCAGCAGAAACAAATTTGATTTCGAGTTTTCCAGCGGATGGAACAACAAAATCGGTAGCCTTGTATTGATCAGCATGAGCATGTCTTCCAATAATAATTGGTTTTGTCCAAGTGTTAACCAATCTTGGAACATTGCTAACAATAATTGGCTCACGGAAAACAGTTCCTCCCAAAATGTTACGGATTGTTCCATTTGGTGATTTCCACATTTTCTTGAGCTTGAATTCTTCAACTCTTGCCTCATCTGGTGTAATTGTGGCGCATTTAACAGCAACATTGTATTTCAAAGTGGCTTCAGCAGCATCAATTGTGACTTGATCGTTGGTGGCATCACGATTCTCAATTCCCAAATCGTAAAAATGCAAGTTCAAGTCAACGTATGGCAAGATAAGCTTTTCTTTGATGAGATCCCAGATGATTCTGGTCATCTCGTCTCCTTGCATTTCGACAACATCTCCTCCTTGAATCTTGGTCATTTTTCGAGTAGAAAAACCTCTGAAAATTAAGAAAACTTTGATGAATCTCAAGGAAATTGTGAAAAATGAACCTGACAATCAATCTCGCATAACCGGCAGACAGCAAAAACCCGCGCATTTTTCAGTGTTCTCCAAAATTTCGCGCGGCGACAAAACACAGAAATAAAAAAAACATTTTTGTGTGCTGCAAACACGTGTACACGTTCACGCAACATTGCACAATTTTATAAATTCAAATTTTTTCGGGTCTGCGAGATTGATTGTTTAGAAAAGAATCAAAAGTGAATGATGACAAAATGGCACAGAAATAATAAAAAAATGTGGCCTCGAAATGGGCGGTGACACAAGGACAAAAAATATATAACACAAAAAAGTGGTTGATGTGTCTGCGTCTCTATTGTGATGATGTCTGCTCAATGTTTGTGTGGTCACCCACCAATAAATTGTTCAATACATATAAATAAACGTTCTTTGATTCAAAAAATGAGAGAGGTTGAACAATTTTCAGCGTAAAAATTGATTTTTGATGGTAAATTTTGAAAAATATCCAGAAAATCAAAATTTGCTGTAGAGCGCAATTGAATATTCCCACAGTTTCTCTTCCTTATAAAGCGAATTCACACAATTTTCACGCAAAAAACAATCAAAGAACCTCCAATGCCGAAAATCAGCTCACTCAGCAGAATAAAACGAAACAAAAAAAAATTTTCTAGCTGATAAAAATGTCACGTGACATATTTTTCCCGAAAAAAGAGGAGATTGAGATAACAATCGACCCAAGACTCTTATTTTCTTCAAGGTTGTTGTTTTTTGCGGTGAAGGGATAGTTACAAAAAAGGAGAGATGAGATGAGATGACCTAACTTGGATGCAAAAAAAAGAGAAAGATGATATAGCCTAGAAGACTTTGTACTTTGTATTTTTTGAAATGGTGAGAAAAAGTTAAATACTAGATTTCGGGATATGAAAAAAAAACAATTTTTAATATTGAAAAATATTCAAGAATACATCAAAAGAAAATGAAAACTTTATTCTCCAATTCTCGGGAAAATCAAAAGTTTTCAAACATTGGTCCCCATCTCAAAATGTTCAGTCTTGTATTATTTGGATGTTTCCCCTCCAAATATTCACCATCATTGAATTCTTCTTTGAACATCCAAACTCGAGATATTTTCTCTAAGCTGTAATGCACTATCGATGTTTTTCCATTGAATCGGTTTATTTTGACACTGAAATCTACTCGATCATTATCTTTGAAAACAAAGTTATAGAAATGAGCAGTTTTGAATTGATCTCGCATAAGTGAAATATGTTCTAAAAACGTATTTGGATTCACTTCAATTCTTCCACCTGGTCCACTGATTTTATAAGTTGGGAACACTAAATTTCTTCGTTGACTACTCTCATTAAGAGCTAAAAACGCTTTAAACAAATCGAAAAAAGGTTTTCTTGGATCATTTCCCAATGTCAATCTATTCGATATATTCGATCTCAATTTAGGATATAAATTCAAATTAATACTATCCTTTACTCTTTTTTCCGAATCTATTTTCCAACTTTTTCCATTTTTATCTTCATCAATTGCAATATATTTGACAGCATAATTTCCATCAAATCCACTTATTCGAAATTCCAAACAACTCTCATTTTCGAATTTGGCTTGATAAATAATTGCAGGTTCCAATAATTTTTTCATAATTTTAGCATGATTTGGAAAATCGCGATACGGTATGCAAACCAGATTATCATTAAAACCTTTTGATGTAAAATTCGCTGTGAGAAGTTTATATGGGTTTGAGTTTCCATTTAGATTCATATATCTTTCAAATAAATTATAGCCAAGAACATCGGGAGAATAATTGAAAGATTTTGCTGAATTCAAGAAAAATATGAGGAGAATTGAAATTGATAATAACATTCGGATGGTTCACGAATGTTATTTTTTCAGAGAAAACACATTTACATCTTGTTAACAATTTTTATCCCATATATAATAAACACTGTGAAAATCAACATTTTGATTTTTTTTAGAATTTATTTACATACCTTGATCGAAAAATCTAAAGATTGTAGTTGTTCAACTTTTTTCAGACAATTATGACGTGGCAACATTAACATTGGTCAATTTATTACAATAAGTATCGGATATCAATGCAAAGCTTAGTTTATTGGAAACAAAAAAGAATCACCCATCAATTTCTGATATTATCACCCCATCGCAAAACATCTAGATTTTTATTCGTCACAATTTTGTCAGTCAAATGTTCTCCATCATTGAATTCTTCATCAAAAAGCCAACCTTCTCCTACAACTTTTACCAAACGATAATGATAAACATATGATGTTCCATCATATTTCTTCACCTTCATACTAAATTGAATATTTTCTCTACCAATTATAAAATTGTAGACTGAACTTTTTCTCAAATCACCCGTAACTAATCTGAGATGTTCAGCCAGTTCAGAGAGTGTTGGTTTTATTGTTCCGCCAATTCCATTTATTCTGTAACGATTTGTTATAATATCTGTAAGATTGTCTATTTGTAATAATTGATTCAATAAATAGCCCAAATTCTTTCGCATTTCTGTATTCCATGGATCCATACTTTCAACTTTTGGTCTCAAAATATCCAAATAGTTATTTTTATAATCTTTCAAAAGTTGTTGATCTTCATATCGTTGTTCAGCAAGAATGAACCAATATTTATCTTTTTTTGGATTTGTAATCGTGTACTTCATAATAAATTCTGCTTTATAACTAGCCACACGAAATTCCACAAGATTAGGATTGATATGTTTTAATCCATAAATATACCATGGTTGTAATAATACTCGCATTGTTCTGGCATGTTTATATCGTTTTTCTACAGAAATAAAGACGTCGTCTTGATTTTTTCCTGATGTTGTGAAACCTGTTACTAACACTGTTGATGGATCATCATACTTTCTCAAGTTCATATACTTATTAAATACTTCTCTTGTGATGAAATCCCAGTCTTTAAGAGAAAGTATACAAATTTGAAATGAGAATAAGAAGAGTATGAACAAATACATTAATAGACTTAAATTCTGAAAGTCAATTGTCCTCTTTAAAGCCGAGAACAATGTCTAGACATAATTAATATCGAAAATCAAATTTTTGATCCAATGGAAAAATCTTCTATATATATTAAAAAAATTGGCCCGAGAATTATCAAAAAAAAATCGGCCCGAGATTTTTCAAAAAAAAAAATCGGCCCGAGATTTTTCAGAAAAAAAAGTTACAGATTTGGAATAATCCAAAAATGTAAAAATTAAGTCGATGAGTTTTTTTTAACAGTGTTAAAAAAGTTTTTTGATCAAAAAATGACTCGTGGCAAAATCAGGAAGGCTTCCTAATTTTGCCATGGATGAAGTCAACGATAAATTTAAAAAAAAAATCGGCCCGAGTTTTTTCAAAAAAAAGTTACAGATTTGGAATAATCCAAAAATGTAAAAATTAAGTCGATGAGTTTTTTTAACAGTGTTAAAAAAGTTTTTTGATCAAAAAATGACTCGTGGCAAAATCAGGAAGGCTTCCTAATTTTGCCATGGATGAAGTCAACGATAAATTTAAAAAAAAAATCGGCCCGAGTTTTTTCAAAAAAAAAAGTTACAGATTTGGAATAATCCAAAAATGTAAAAATTAAGTCGATGAGTTTTTTTTTAACAGTGTTAAAAAAGTTTTTTGATCAAAAAATGGCTCGTGGCAAAATCAGGAAGGCTTCCTAATTTTGCCATGGATGAAGTTAACGATAAATTTTTCAAAAAAAAAATCGGCCCGATATTTTTCAAAAAAAAATCGGCCCGAGATTTTTCAAAAAAAAAAATCGGCCCGAGATTTTTCAGAAAAAAAAGTTACAGATTTGGAATAATCCAAAAATGTAAAAATTAAGTCGATGAGTTTTTTTAACAGTGTTAAAAAAGTTTTTTGATCAAAAAATGACTCGTGGCAAAATCAGGAAGGCTTCCTAATTTTGCCATGGATGAAGTTAACGATAAATTTTTCAAAAAAAAAATCGGCCCGATATTTTTCAAAAAAAAATCGGCCCGAGATTTTTCAAAAAAAATCGGCCCGAGATTTTTCAAAAAAAAATCGGCCCGAGATTTTTCAAAAAAAAAATCGGCCCGAGATTTTTCAAAAAAAAAGTTACAGATTTGGAATAATCCAAAAATGTAAAAATTAAGTCGATGAGTTTTTTTTAACAGTGTTAAAAAAGTTTTTTGATCAAAAAATGACTCGTGGCAAAATCAGGAAGGCTTCCTAATTTTGCCATGGATGAAGTCAACAATAAATTTTTCAAAAAAAAAAATCGGCCCGAGATTTTTCAAAAAAAAATCGGCCCGAGATTTTTCAAAAAAAAGTTACAGATTTGGAATAATCCAAAAATGTAAAAATGAAGTCGATGAGTTTTTTTAACAGTGTTAAAAAAGTTTTTTGATCAAAAAATGACTCGTGGCAAAATCAGGAAGGCTTCCTAATTTTGCCATGGATGAAGTCAACAATAAATTTTTCAAAAAAAAAAATCGGCCCGAGATTTTTCAAAAAAAAATCGGCCCGAGATTTTTCAAAAAAAAAAGTTACAGATTTGGAATAATCCAAAAATGTAAAAATTAAGTCGATGAGTTTTTTTTAACAGTGTTAAAAAAGTTTTTTGATCAAAAAATGACTCGTGGCAAAATCAGGAAGGCTTCCTAATTTTGCCATGGATGAAGTTAACGATAAATTTTTCAAAAAAAAAATCGGCCCGAGATTTTTCAAAAAAAAATCGGCCCGAGATTTTTCAAAAAAAAAAGTTACAGATTTGGAATAATCCAAAAATGTAAAAATTAAGTCGATGAGTTTTTTTTAACAGTGTTAAAAAAGTTTTTTGATCAAAAAATGACTCGTGGCAAAATCAGGAAGGCTTCCTAATTTTGCCATGGATGAAGTCAACGATAAATTTTTCAAAAAAAAAATCGGCCCGAGATTTTTCAAAAAAAAATCGGCCCGAGATTTTTCAAAAAAAAAAGTTACAGATTTGGAATAATCCAAAAATGTAAAAATTAAGTCGATGAGTTTTTTTTAACAGTGTTAAAAAAGTTTTTTGATCAAAAAATGACTCGTGGCAAAATCAGGAAGGCTTCCTAATTTTGCCATGGATGAAAGTCAACAATAAATTTTTCAAAAAAAAAAATCGGCCCGAGATTTTTCAAAAAAAAATCGGCCCGAGATTTTTCAAAAAAAAAAGTTACAGATTTGGAATAATCCAAAAATGTAAAAATTAAGTCGATGAGTTTTTTTTAACAGTGTTAAAAAAGTTTTTTGATCAAAAAATGACTCGTGGCAAAATCAGGAAGGCTTCCTAATTTTGCCATGGATGAAAGTCAACGATAAATTTTTCAAAAAAAAAAAAATCGGCCCGAGATTTTTCAAAAAAAAATCGGCCCGAGATTTTTCAAAAAAAAATCGGCCCGAGATTTTTCAAAAAAAAAAGTTACAGATTTGGAATAATCCAAAAATGTAAAAATTAAGTCGATGAGTTTTTTTTAACAGTGTTAAAAAAGTTTTTTGATCAAAAAATGACTCGTGGCAAAATCAGGAAGGCTTCCTAATTTTGCCATGGATGAAGTCAACGATAAATTTTTCAAAAAAAAAAAATCGGCCCGAGATTTTTCAAAAAAATCGGCCCGAGATTTTTCAAAAAAATCGGCCCGAGATTTTTCAAAAAAAAAGTTACAGATTTGGAATAATCCAAAAATGTAAAAATTAAGTCGATGAGTTTTTTTTTAACAGTGTTAAAAAAGTTTTTTGATCAAAAAATGACTCGTGGCAAAATCAGGAAGGCTTCCTAATTTTGCCATGGATGAAGTTAACGATAAATTTTTCAAAAAAAAAATCGGCCCGAGATTTTTCAAAAAAAAATCGGCCCGAGATTTTTCAAAAAAAAGTTACAGATTTGGAATAATCCAAAAATGTAAAAATTAAGTCGATGAGTTTTTTTAACAGTGTTAAAAAAGTTTTTTGATCAAAAAATGACTCGTGGCAAAATCAGGAAGGCTTCCTAATTTTGCCATGGATGAAGTTAACGATAAATTTTTCAAAAAAAAAATCGGCCCGAGATTTTTCAAAAAAAAATCGGCCCGAGATTTTTCAGAAAAAAAGTTACAGATTTGGAATAATCCAAAAATGTAAAAATTAAGTCGATGAGTTTTTTTTTAACAGTGTTAAAAAAGTTTTTTGATCAAAAAATGACTCGTGGCAAAATCAGGAAGGCTTCCTAATTTTGCCATGGATGAAGTTAACGATAAATTTTTCAAAAAAAAAATCGGCCCGAGATTTTTCAAAAAAAAATCGGCCCGAGATTTTTCAAAAAAAAAAGTTACAGATTTGGAATAATCCAAAAATGTAAAAATTAAGTCGATGAGTTTTTTTTTAACAGTGTTAAAAAAGTTTTTTGATCAAAAAATGACTCGTGGCAAAATCAGGAAGGCTTCCTAATTTTGCCATGGATGAAGTTAACGATAAATTTTTCAAAAAAAAAATCGGCCCGAGATTTTTCAAAAAAAAATCGGCCCGAGATTTTTCAAAAAAAAAAGTTACAGATTTGGAATAATCCAAAAATGTAAAAATTAAGTCGATGAGTTTTTTTTTAACAGTGTTAAAAAAGTTTTTTGATCAAAAAATGACTCGTGGCAAAATCAGGAAGGCTTCCTAATTTTGCCATGGATGAAGTCAACGATAAATTTTTCAAAAAAAAAATCGGCCCGAGATTTTTCAAAAAAAAATCGGCCCGAGATTTTTCAAAAAAAAAAAGTTACAGATTTGGAATAATCCAAAAATGTAAAAATTAAGTCGATGAGTTTTTTTTTAACAGTGTTAAAAAAGTTTTTTGATCAAAAAATGACTCGTGGCAAAATCAGGAAGGCTTCCTAATTTTGCCATGGATGAAGTTAACGATAAATTTTTCAAAAAAAAAATCGGCCCGAGATTTTTCAAAAAAAAATCGGCCCGAGATTTTTCAAAAAAAAGTTACAGATTTGGAATAATCCAAAAATGTAAAAATTAAGTCGATGAGTTTTTTTTTAACAGTGTTAAAAAAGTTTTTTGATCAAAAAATGACTCGTGGCAAAATCAGGAAGGCTTCCTAATTTTGCCATGGATGAAGTTAACGATAAATTTTTCAAAAAAAAAGCGGCCCGAGATTTTTCAAAAAAAAATCGGCCCGAGATTTTTCAAAAAAAAAAGTTACAGATTTGGAATAATCCAAAAATGTAAAAATTAAGTCGATGAGTTTTTTTTTAACAGTGTTAAAAAAGTTTTTTGATCAAAAAATGACTCGTGGCAAAATCAGGAAGGCTTCCTAATTTTGCCATGGATGAAGTTAACGATAAATTTTTCAAAAAAAAAGCGGCCCGAGATTTTTCAAAAAAAAATCGGCCCGAGATTTTTCAAAAAAAAAAGTTACAGATTTGGAATAATCCAAAAATGTAAAAATTAAGTCGATGAGTTTTTTTTTAACAGTGTTAAAAAAGTTTTTTGATCAAAAAATGACTCGTGGCAAAATCAGGAAGGCTTCCTAATTTTGCCATGGATGAAGTCAACGATAAATTTTTCAAAAAAAAAAATCGGCCCGAGATTTTTCAAAAAAAATGTATATATATACAAACGAATATTCCATACGTATAGGAATTGTGTAGAAGAATTACAGTAGCCTAAGAATCTGTAGGCTCAAAATATACAAATCACATTTGTGTTCAAAATATTTATAAATAGAATGTTTTCAAAAATAATTTCGATAACAACCCCTTTTACAATAAGTAGACTAGTGCTGGAATTAGGGGAAGTTTAATTTTCAAAAAAAAAAAATCAATAAATACACGTTTAGAATTGGTGGTGTGTGGGGGGAGGGAATCTGTAAGAAAACTATATACAATTTGGATGAGAATTGTGAGGATGTGAGTGATTAGTGTCGAATTGGTGGTGAATATTGGAGAGAAGAAGAATTGTGATGATGTTGATGAATTTGTTCGTCTTTTCGTGAAGATGGACTTCTGATGATCGGAACAGATGTCATTGGATAAGCACCATTCATCTGAAATATTTATTTTGTCAAAATAAGATAAAGTTTGACTTACCACTGTATCATGTTCACTATTTGATCTTTTCACTTTGGTCTTCTTTCTCATCACCGTATGAAAAATAGGTGATTGATCTTCTGTTGGTGGCGTTGGTAATGGTCCCACTGCATTTACTGGTCTCTTCGATCCAGTCGAACCTGATCCATAGGAAGATGAAGATCTATTTGATGATGAAGTGGTTGAAGATGCAGGTGAAACAGCTCGAATTGATGGAATATCATCATCTTTTTCAAATAAATCATTTCCAAATTGTTCGCGCTTCAAAGCAACCACAACTGGTTCATAAGAAAGCAAAATATAAATTTTTGGGCCAAATAAGAATCCTAAAAGAATAGTTGCACAGGCAATTAGTTCGATAACAATAACAGTGTCACGGAATTCATAACCAATTGTAAGATATAAAGTGATCCATGCAATCCAACTTGCAAAACATCCAACTGTTGAATATAACAACCATTTTGTTTCTTTATAATTTCTCTTGATGTTCCGATTGAGAAGATTTAAAAACATTGCCATCAAAATCAATATCATTACATAACTATTTGATAGAACGAATTCAACTTTTCCCAAAGTGCACATCATTCTTTGATCGGTTTGATCAACAACTCCAATTGTTGACATAAATGGTTCCATAAACCATCTATTTGATAATGCGATTTGTACACCAACAATGAAAAATAGAAGTTGCCAATAATTCCAAAATGAGATGTGAACTGATGTTCCGAATCCGAGAGTTTCAGCATTTCTGAGTTGTGTGGCTTTGGCAATAATAACACCAAAACAGATTGCATAACCCAAACCATGAAGAATAACTCGGAATCGGCAAACAGTATCAGTTGGATCAAAAACAAAGAAATATGCGGTGATGTAGAGAATTATGATTCCTGTAAAAAATTTTTGAAATGTGAGTTTTATTTCCAAATAGGCTTGACATACCAATCAATAATGAAATTCCAAGTGACTGATTTCCTTTCACAACTCTCAAATACAATTTAGCCAAAACTAAAATCAAAACTGCAAATGCGATAACAACGAGTACTGTAATAAAAGCCAACAAAACATAATTATGTGGATGATGTCTCCATGTTCCACTAGAAATATGCTCAAATATTGATTGATATTCAATTTTCTCTGAACCATAAGTTGGTTGTCTTTTAATATATCCATCATCCGAAGATGAATCAATTTGTGCTTCTGGTTCGAAAACAAATGATTCAAGAGGTCTTTGGAAGAAATCACCATCCAAGAAACATTTACACATTGGTGGTTGACATTTGCTCTCAATTAATTGTCCACCTGATGCACTTCGATATTGTGTTGACATTCGAAGTCCAGTTGTAAGTGACCAATTAGCAATTCGATGATACGTGAAATGACCATTAATATCCGGAAGATATTCATAGATTTCAACATCATCTTCAGTTGATGTTTTCTTGAGTTGATTCAAAATTTGTTTACGTCCTTGTTCGTAGAATTCAAGGCAGATTCCATTTTGAGCAGGGCAAAGAGTCTAAAAAATAATTAGTTACAGTATGATCGAAATGTTAATTTTGAATTACTTACCTTATAAACTGAATCCATAGCAAATAAGAATCTTTCAACACCTCTTGATAAATAACCAGCTTTTGTCATTCGTCCCAATGATTCAATATTCAATAATTCATCACCTGAACACATTCGACCATAAACAACTTTTGATTTCTGACTGAGCGCGCAGCCATATCGATCTTCAATATAAGACCAATACCAAAGTTCGGGAAGTGTTAGTGGAGTAGTGGTTTCAAGCCACTCTTCAAAATCAGCATACAATATATTCTTTGGTTGAACACTAACAGTTCCAGCAAATTGTTCTTGTTGTTCAGTAGCGTGTAAATGCCAATCATGTGAATCACCCATCATAATATGAACATGTTCTTTTTTTACTTTGAAATTCTTGAGGTATTTAGCAGCGTCCCGCGCTGTTGCAAATACAATTGTCACATTTGTGGAGCTCGATGTTGTTGCTCCACCTCCATTGATATTAACAACTTCAGCCAGACAAACTCCTCGATCTAATGCAAGTCTTTCGAAACTTCTAAACAATGACATAGATTCAGGATCTTGTTCACTGATTGCAGCAGTTACAAATTGCCAAGACATACGATTTAGGAGTTTGAGAAGAGCCAAAGCTTGACTTCTTGAACTTGGAAGAGCTGTGAATGAATGTTGAAGTGCAGAATGTTCAGATTCTACAGAAACAAGTGATGCATCAGTGTCTCCAGATGAGAAATATCCTTTCAATGATTCTTGCGAATCACCTCTCAAAGCACTTGCATATCCAAATACTGATTTTGGAACAATTGTGATATTTCTTCCAGCTTGATTAAATCTGAAGCATTGTGTTTCTGATCGAACAATTGATTCAATTGCTTGTTTTCCGGATGAACAACTATCAATCAATAATGCTCCAAAGTCGAGATCTTTCAAAAGTCCCAATTGTGGGAATCTTTGTTTGAAAGTCCAAACAGTGTGTACAAATGCCATTGGAAGACTAATATCTGTTTGACTCATACTTTGACAATTTTGTCCATTATGAAGATCAAATAATCCAACAAGATATAATGGATAATGTCTTGGAATTGATAAGAAATGTCGATCCGAATTGACATTTTGCACATTTGGACATTGTCCACAGAATGGTCGATATGGTGCACAAATACTTCGAAGTTTTTGATCTTCAGATCGAAGTGATGAAAGAATCACAGTTGGTGGTGATCCAGTTGTAAATGATAACAATTTACTTTTCATTGTTTGATTATCATTTCCAATGTATATTTCAATTGCTTCAACAATCATTCCAGATGCAAGAAGAATATTTTCTGTTGAACTTTGATAGAATCTCAATCTTTCGCTATAAAATTCAAGTGGATCATTTTTCGTGAATTCATAATCAAGATCAAGGAAAGTGTTCATGATCAAATCTGTGCATTCGAGAGAAGCATGAGCACAGATTTTTTCCTGTTTCATTTCAACGATTTTCTTGGCAACCGCTGCGAATGCATAAGTCATTCGAATAACAGGTTCAGTTGTTCGAGCTTGAACATATCCTTCGATCATTGCTTCTTTTTCCAAATTGCAATCCTCGTTGGTACAGTTATGAACCTAGAAATATTAATTGATTAATCACAAATTAAAATTCACAAAATTCACAAACCTGTTCGATATACGAAGTCAACAATTGATAATTCTTATAATTATTCTTCAAAACTCGCACAAAATAATCGCGGAATTGTGGTAACTCTTTATATTTTGGTTGAAGTGTAATCAAAATCAATTTCGAATCTTTTTCCAAAACTCGATCTTGTTCTTCTTCATCCAAAACTTCGCCTTCTGTCGGAATACTCATCCAAATTTTATGCATCGCTGCAATCGCCGGTTTTGTGATTGTTTTTTGCATTTGTGATTTGTTGAGAATACTGACAATTATTGTTGAATCACTGTCTTCGAGAGCTTGTGAAAGGAATGGATGATCGATTGGAATTGTATCAGATACAAAAACATCGGCGTCGCGAAGTTGTGCGATAACTCGCTTCACAATTGGCGATTTTGAACCATCATCAACAATGGTGACAAGGTTCGATCTCATTTGATTCATCAAACTAGAAACATGAATTTTTGAAAACATTTGAGAATTGAAATTTGATGTTTCAAACGGTTCTTGCTTATACACAAAAAATATCATGGGTACAGTAATTTGAAAATTCATCCCTTTAATTCTCTCCTGATTTTTCAATTCTACTTGTAATCCAAAACTTTTTTTCTTCATTTTTTTGTGATTGACCTTTCACATAATTCAAAATCTTTTTTTATTTTCATTTTTTGGAACGGAAAGAAAATCATGATTTTATTAGGTGATGAATAATTGACATCATTAAACATACTTAATTAATGAGGATGTGTTTGGAACGCAGAAATTTTTCATTGTTTTTTTTTATTTACTAGGTCTCTCTTCAAAATTGATTTTTATAGATAGCCAAGATTTAGAAAGAACTTACCGAATCAAAGCTTCGACATAAACTCCAATAGTTGGTGACGTGGCAATTGTATAATCAACTTCTAATTCGGTCAAAGCATTCACTGAATCTGAACTATAAGCTGCAACAGGAATCGAAGAAACTGACAAAAATTTGCCGAGAGAAATCGATGATTCATAATCTTTTGGTGCAATTAATCCGAGTAATTTTGCACCAGGTGTTTCAGTTCGGCATTCTTTTGGTTCGTGATATCCAACAGAATCGAGAAAACGGAGAGATTGTGAAAGAGATTCGGCTGATCGTGAACAAGTATCACCAGCGTAGAGACCTGGAATAAAAAAAATGAAGTTTCTTTTTAGATACAAATTTTGTTCTAAATTCTATTTTTCTCAAATTTCCCTTACCAAGTTTTGCAGCATGATTTTGCTCATTTTGATTCCAATGAGTCAGCGCCCATTGTATAGCCACAATTTCTTGAACAGTTTCAGGTCGAAGTGTGGTACAATCAATTTGATGAAGTGGGAAACTTCCGCCGATTTGGAACTGTAATTCAAAATTTATATTCGAATTATCCGAACTCTCTAATTTTAGCTTATTGTTAGTTCAAAATTTGATCTACAGAATCCGAAAAATTTCTTAGATTCGATTTTTCACACTTTTTTTTCAACAAGAAAAGATTACAGTGGCTCAAAAAAAGAATATCTTACCTTATTATTTTCGGGCAAAACTTTAAATGGATCATAAACCGAGCATAATTTATTTGGCTCCAACGCCTCAATCAACGATGATAAATTGGCGCAATTTGCCCCGAGCACAAAAAATAGCAAAAATAACGCGATTTTCATTCTCATCGTGTTTTTATGCCATATCTGAAAAATTGAAAACTTTTTGCTTTTTGTTTTGAAACATCGAAAAAAACTTTGAAAAAATCAAGAAGACCTAGATTTTTTCGGAGAATTGTCAAATTGATAAGAAAACGAAAAAGAAGAAAAGATGTAGCGCGCAGGATTTTTTTGGGGGACATTTTGGAGAAAAAAAATAAAAGAAAGAAAGAAATACAAAAAGGGAGAGTTTACGGCGCCCAAAAATGGTAGGAAATTAGAGGAGCGGGGATCAGAGAGGGAGAGGGAGAGGGAGAGGGAGAGGGAGAGGGAGAGGGAGAGGGAGAGGGAGAGGGAGAGGGAGAGGGAGAGGGAGAGGGAGAGGGAGAGGGAGAGGGAGAGGGAGAGGGAGAGGGAGAGGGAGAGGGAGAGGGAGAGGGAGAGGGAGAGGGAGAGGGAGAGAGAGAGAGAGACGCAGAGAGACGAGAAGAAGGCAGAGATAGAGAGGCGAATAGATTTAGAGGAACAGAGAAGCGAGAGGAAGAAAGAGATAAAGGGGACGGGAGAATTTTTGAACTTTTATGATGAATACAGATTTCATACGAAACTTTTAAAGCTTAATAAATTTTGCCTTATTTTTTTGGAAATATTTTGAAACGTAGGTTTGACTGGGAATAGAAATGAATGTCCAGCAGAACTATTCAAACTCAGATATGAGATATACATTTTTTCGATAGATCTACAAAATTACGATTAACTTAAAAATTTCAAGTTCTAAAAAAGAGAAGTTCGGATTCGATTTGAAAATCCTCCAAAAACCGGTTGAAAATCATCCTAGAAAAAATCAAATTTTCAAACTCAAGACCTACAGTACTCTAGTACTTATCAAAGTAAACTACTACAGTACTCTCTTTGATTTTTTCGCCCTTGTAAACTATCAATCAAAAAATACACAAAACAACAATGATGATATAAAACATTATGAAAAATCTAATCAATTGGACATTGATAGAAATTCAAGAAACATTGTGGAGAAATAAGAGACACGGACACAATCAAAGCTGGTTTTTGACTAGATTTTCCGTGAAGAAAAGCCTGATAAGAGTACTGTAGTTGTCTTTTTTATTATTAAAACATCACAAAAAATAATATTTTTTTGTAAAGTTTGTTTTTTATATGTGTTAGGAAAAAGTATACAATGAATTGGAGAAAATTGGAAAAAAATATATATAGTTTTTTCAATAAAAAGTGTTTCATTAATTTTGTTTGTATTCACTAAAAATTGGAAATTAATTTTACAATCAGAAAAAAATTAAGAGAATAATGTTGCAAATAACTTTTATGTTTAGTGGGGCGGAATTAAAAGGGTATTCAATTAAAACTAGTTGTCCAAGAAATTTCGGACTTTAAGTAACTCAATTAGGAAACCTTAAAGGTTTTATGCAAAATTTTATGAAAAATTTCAAAATTTAGATTGTTTATAACATGTTTCAAATGGTTTTTTGAGAATTGAAAGTTCTATATCTAATCATCAAATCTTCTGAAATATTTAATACTTCAATTTCTAAAAATTTTCAATACAATTCAGAACTGTATACATAAAATTCACGTGCTTTTACAATGTTAGAGTTTTTATATTCAGAAAGCCTTCATCAGTTTTAAAACTAGATCTATAAATATTTTATTTTGGGAAATGTTACTAGAGCTCTTCATCCAGAAATTAAAATAAAACAAATTTGATAAACTTTTTTAGTATTGCACACTTTTTGGTAAAGTTTCAACGAAAAATTATAATTTGAAATCATTATTCCCATACTTTTGAAGTGTGAAAATTCAACTGAAAAAGGTCTGGAAGCAGATAATCTAATGCTCAAAGGTCCATCTGAAGATCGAAAACATTTTAAGTTTTTAAAAATGAAATATTCAATACTAGATTGTTTAGCAAACAATGTTGTTTCCAAAAACTTTTGCTTGGATTTTTGATTTCCAGTTACTGTGGATCAGTCTGTTGCGCCAGAAATTCTCAAGTGTGAAACCAGATATTCTCGCCAAGAATCACAATCACGTCATTAAGATTATAGATCAACAAATTTTACTGTATATATAACAGAGTTACTGTAGGTAACATTTTGAACTTTTATCAATTTATGAATGACAGAAAAACAAAAAGTTCAAATAAAGTTTCATCAACTTTTCTTCAATGTTTTTGCTCTTGCAAATTATAAAAGAAGTTAAGTTATCAATACCAAAAAAAATGATAACTAAAAAATCGAAGTTCAGTGAAATAAATCAAATGTTTTCTGCCACCACCACAAAACAATATGTACAATAAAAATCCAGGAAGAAATGAAAATAAAAGAAAAAAGAAAAAAAGACGAGTAGACAATACATTTCCCCATAACATAATGGACAACAAAAAAATCACAGTGAAAAAACGAAAACTTGTTGGCTGGCAAAAGGCTGCGCGAAAAAAGCCGCATAGGCTTCGGACAGAAAACAACAATGTTGTCTTGAACAAAAAATCGTGGATTTTGTATTTCGAGAAATGATAAGAATCTTAGAAGAAAGCTTTCGAAAGAGAAACAACTTTCGATTTTTCGAGAAAATTTTCAGAGAAAAATCGAATCGTGAAACTTTCTCGTGTTTTTTTTTTTGAGAAAAATAAATAGAAAAAAACAATTTTCGTGAAGAAATTCCGGATAAAAGTAGGTTAAGAGGAAGACATGAACTTTTGCAAGATGAGATTTTGGTACGAAAAGTTGTGAGAAATAAAATATTTAACTAGCTGATAATCTAGAAAAAACAAAGATTTCGAAGCATGAAGTTGTAGAATAAATCGGAAATCAGAAAACTATCAGAAGAATTTCTAGAACTACAAATAAAAAGCTCTAGCGTTTGGTTTTGGTAAAAAATGTTGGAAATTTGAAACTTCATCTGGATTCGGGAAAGAATTTAATGATCTAGAAATCTTTTGTAAAAAATAGCTGAAATCTCTGGTATGAAAAAAAAAGTTTGAAAAAAAACGGTCCAAAAAATAACCTTTGTTAAAAATTGCAATTAAAACTTTCCAATATTTTTTCATTCAATTTAGAAAAAAAAAATCAAGCGAAAAACAAAAAAGATGTTACAAAAAGATGCTATCTGCCCTTTTTGCAAAAGTCAATAACAAAAACAAAAAAGTTTCTGGTTTCAGCAAAATTAATAAGATCTTCTCCTCTTTTTTGTCTTCTTGCATAATATAATCTACTTACAATATCTTCTTCTTTTTTGTGTTCAAAACGAATCCAAAAACTGGAAAATCTCAAGTAACAAAAATACAGTGAAAATCCACTTTAACAACAACTAAATAAAAAAACCAATTTTTTTCAAAGAGAAAAAATTTCAAGGTTAAGAAGAAATGTAAAAAAAAGATGAAACAAAATATTTGTTTACATGTTTTATTTTTCCGAGATAGAAGAAATAAAAAATTTTGATAAATTTTTTTGAAAATGAAAAATGACAACATTCCGTGAGAATTAGAGAACACGTCACGAATAATTCCAAAAATCAACAATTTTCAAGAGATAATCCAACTTGTTTTAAGTAAGGTGCGAAAAGCTAGAAAAATCATTTAGATCAAAAACTACGGTATCTTTTCCTAACAAATCTACAACACTTCATGTTCAACACATAAATCCTTCAACAATAAATTTGCAACAAGCTCTCCAAAAACATAAATCCGAAACAGGTCATTTTCTGAACGAGCACAGCAAAAAAAAACTTTTTTTTTGACCAAAAGACCGAAGAGGCGAGACAGTGTGAAGAAATAAGATACGCAGACGAAACGGGTCACGCACAACAAACAGTAAAATGCGCAGCTTCCAATTCATTGTTGTTTTTTTGTTGTGTTCGGAAGAAGAACAAAAAATGACTGAATATGGAAAAAAAGAACTGAAGAGTGTGAGGAAAAATGAGAGGGTATAGAGAAATAGAGAAAATTGTATAATTATTCAGAAGAAGATTACTGTAGGTTTTGAAAATATGAAATTATTTGGAAAAGTGTAAGGAACTCAACTCATAATATGAGTTATGATGTGGCAATATTTGAGAAAAATCTAAATTTTACAGAGCTCCAACTAACTTCAAAAATAATTTTTATGATTAAACTATAGCAGCACGCATTGTTCAAGAGAGCCAATCAATAAACTTTGAAAATTTCGAAATTTTAAAACTTTGCCACGTCATAACTCATAGAAGAATTAAAGTTTTGGACATCAAAAACTACTAGGGAACATATTTCAGTAAAAGTCGCGAATGAAGTTGAAACGGCCCTCATACAAAAGAATTCAAATTGAGTTAGGCTAACTATGTGAATTTAAAGACCTTTTTTAATATTTAAATCTTTCAAAGCATTTTTTCAAGAATTTTCAAAACTTCTTCGAAATCCCCAAGTAATTTTGAAAAGTTCAGGCCTCTCTTCATTTTCAGAAACACATAGATTTTCAATTTAAAAATTTGAAACCCATCATTTTCAGTGACTGAAACGAAAATAAATTAAATGATATTTTTATTATGGTCGGATCCGAAATCGTACACTAAAAGTAAATAAAACGCATCATTTGAAGAAAAACAAAACAAAAGAAAATAAAAGAAGACGGGTTCAGATTTGAATTAGGTAAAGAAGGAGAAAAAGAAATAGAAAAAAGAAGAGCCGATAAGCAAATAAATAAATACATTGATAGATGGAAAGATGGACAATTCAAAAATGGAAACAATTAAGAACATTTTGAAGATTAGTGTAAAAAAAGGTGTCCAGATTTCTAGATTCATGAGAAAGGTGTTTAGAAAATCAAAAACTCAGAAAAAATTTTTAAACATTTTCAAAGTTTTAGGAAAATTTTTAAAATTTCCAGAATTTGAGAAAATTAGAAATTGTTCGTTCAATAAGATCCTATTTTCAAAAGGTCTCACATCAGATCACCAGAAAACTAACCGTTTTTAAATACTCTAAGAAATTAATTTTCTTCAAAGTTTAGAGAAATTCAAAATGTGTCAAAGTTATGCCAGGCCTATTTTTTCTATAATTTTCAAATATCAATTTTTTTTGTGAATGATTTTTTTTTCGTTTAATAAAATGACATTTTTATTAATTTCAAAAAATAAATTTTAAAAATTGAATATTTATACATAAATTTTGTTTTGAAACATTGCAGAAATGTTTTCAAAAAGTGCAACAATTTTTAACAACAAAAAATCTTCAAAACATCTATTTCGAGAAATATTCCAAAATTTTCAGTTGATTTTCAATCAAGTTCTATAAAATGTCTAATGACTAATACAGAAAAATAAAAATGCACATATTGGTGAAAACACATGTAAGCAAACAAGAAGCGACAACTCAAGTCGTTCTTATAGTCAAAACACAAAATATTCCGCCTGCGCGGACAGAAAAATAGAAAATGCGGCGGCGGCACGGTATGTTAGGCTTCTTGTATTTTTATTTGTTTTCATCTTTTGGCCGGATGCGCTTCTACAACTTTTTTCTTGTTATAGCGGCAGAGAAATCGGTAAAGAAAAACGAAAGGATAATCGGATTTAGATAGGTATAATTCAATTTACATTATTGTATAAACATATTGAGGAATAAGGAATGAGATGCAGGAATCAAGTTTTTTAAGTGGATCAGAATCAAAACAGTTACTTGATTTGTAAGTCTAGAAATCTGATGGTTCTGCAGATGGTTTAAAATATCGGAACGAAAATAAATGAGTCCGAATAGGTAGAATGAAAAAATTCAAATTTTCAAAAGCATCTGTGAAAAGTCTTCGAGTTAAATAATTATCGATAGAACTTGAAACATGATTCCATAAAACTTGAAAGGTTTTTATCAAAGAGGAGTGAAATGAATAATAAAATCAGAAGAAAAGAGAATCTCAAAAAAATTCGAGACGCGCAGGAAAAAGGTTGGACCGTGAAAAACAAGAACATTTGAAACTTATTCTAAAAAACGTAGCCAAAAATGTGAAATTTTTCTTCGAGTTCCACACGAAACCTATCGTTATAACTTCTTTATGCTCACTACTCCTTTTTTCATTCATAACTAGTACAATACCAATTCAAAAACACCATTTATTTTTCTCAATACAGTACAACCCCTTAAATATTACTGTAGTCATTCTCAAAACAATCATTTTTCCTCATTGTTTACCATGTTTTGTATTTCTTTTCTCTGCGTTTCTCACTTCTCAATACTCACTAATCCTTTTCACAGTAAATCTGATTGTCACGTTGGTGGTGCGAAAAATGTTGTTAACATTCAAAAACATTATGATTGTTATGATTATAAGTTTTTCGTATTTTTCTCTTGATAAATTTTCGCTGGATAACATTTATAAATGGTTCACATCGACCACTTTCAAAGAAAAAACCCCTTGTAAAAGCTGATTTTCGGTGATATTGATGATCATGAACAATGACGTTTTGGTGCCAAAAATCGAAAAGTTCAAAACCCAATATTCTTCCCTAATCAGCCACATTTGACTTGTTCTAATCAAATTAACAAGGTTCAACGAACCCCAAATTTTTCTCAATCTACAGCTACAGTAGTCTTTTTTCACATTTTCAAGGACGAAAAATCAACCAAAAAAATACTGTTTCGCGTCACTAATTTTCAACAAAAACTTATTATTCGAACCCGCCTTAATCTTCTTATTTTTCAGAGTTGCAATTTTATTATTTACAATATTTTTTATTTTTGAATTTCAGATTCAGAAAAAGTCATGAGAATTATTCTACTTTTGTTATTGTCTACAGTACTCACATCGTCTTGGGTTATTTATCGAAAAAGTCATAAAAAGAAATTGGTTTGTCGGGTGAGTTTTGGGAATAGCAGAGGTACTGTAGAGAATAAGTTGCCTCAATTTGAAAATAGAGATCGATATTTGCTCCACAAGATTCTATTACTTATGTTAATTGGATTAAAAAAATCAGAGTATTGTGGATTTTCCAAATTTCAGATTCGACTACTTTTTTACCATTTTAAACCCAAGTCTGGTGGGATCCTAATCAGATGCAAAATTACTTCAAAAAATGAAGCTCGGCCTAATTTTTTTCATATTGTCAATTCTCAGAAAAATACGTTTCAAAAATTGTATCATTTCTGTTAGCGATTGTTTATTTTATTAAGGTCTTTTTATTATCTCCTAATCAAAAAACTGAGATTTTGAGGGAAGGTTTTGGTTTATTTGAGAACTAATTCCGTTAAAAAAAATAAATTTAAAAATTCACAATTAGTAGATTTTAATATCAAATTTCGTAGAGAAAACGCGAACCTTCATATTTTTTATGAATTATATTTTCCCCCTTCCCTCCCTTCCAAATCCACCCAAAAATGCTTCCCACCTTTAAATCACGTGTCCTTCAATTTTGCAGGAAGAAACCGAATGGGATTCAAATAACACACTTTCAACAGCAACATCTTCACCATCTGATATAACATCTCACGCTGATTCAGATTCTGATAGTAGCAGTGAAGAATCGGCTGAAAATCGACGTGGTCGATCGAAAAGAGATATTGATGTTGATCCAATTCTGAAACAACCGATTATTTATCTTGGAGTATGTTTTTTTCTTGAAAATTCTTTAAAATAATTCAGGATTTCTACATATTTTAAAAAATTTATGTTTATATTTTTTAGTTTCAGAAAAAAAATCCTAGGAGAATTTTATTGATGAGAAATGTGAGTTTGAAAAAATGTGTGATGTTTTGATGTGTCGTTTTGTGTGGTTTTTGTGAAAAAATTGAAATTTTGGAATAATTTTATGAAAATTGCTAGTTTATGAATTGAATTTTCTCGAAATTTTTTAAAAATTCACTAATTTTGATAAATTGGTCAATCTACAGTAACTCACATTTTCATTCAGAAACTTTGATAGCGTCTATTTTTTACTATACAAATATTTGGAAATGGCAACCACAGCCGAATAACACGTCAACATTTAATTTTAAAACGTGAAAATCTTTCAGTTTTTTTTTAACGAATAAGAAAACAAATCTCTAACCCGTTTGAAGTTATCTGAAATTACTGAAAATATTTTTTAATAATTCAAAATTTACAGGCTCAAAGTAATAGCACTGTTTTCATCGACGACGGCGATTTTGATATTGTTTCTGATTCATTGAGTCGCGAAGAAATTGAAGCTGTTAAACAACAAATAATGAACACTTGTAATGCTTTAAATTCAAATTGATTTTGGTTTTGTAAAAAAAGACGATGAATGAATGTTTTAAACGATGATCCTTGATTAAGATCAGATTTTCCCTTATATTATACCAAACAACGAAACTCCAAAATTCCGTATATTTTATCCTAAAAAACAAAAACAGTACACCGTGAATTAGGCAGGCATTCTCAATGCTCCATCAAATCGAATAGTTTCTCCGTTCATATATTGATTTTGAATGATATGTTGAACCAAATGACCGTATTCTTGTGGATTTCCAAGACGAGATGGATTTGGAATCAATTGAGCCAAGAATGTTTTTACTTTATCGGGCAATGAGCTCAACAATGGTGTATCCATCAATCCAGGTGCAACTGTATTAAAACGGATTCCATCTCCAGCAAAATCACGAGCCAATGGCAATGTCATTGCAACAATTGCTCCTTTTGAAGCACTATATGCTGATTGTCCAGTTTGTCCATCGAATGCAGCAACAGATGCTGTATTTATAATAACTCCACGTTGACCATTCTCATCTTTTTCGTGTTCGGCCATAAGAGCAACACCATGGCGAATTACGTTGAATGTTCCAACAACATTTACCTGAAAATATAATTTTTCTCAAAATCAAATCGTTTCTGAACTGTCACGTCAAACGTTAATTTTCTTTTTTTCATATTTTCTCCACAAAATACTCACATCCAATGTTTGTCTAATTTTATCCAATTCAACATGCTTCTTCTTATTAACTGAATATAATTTGAAAGCATACGCAATTCCGGCACAATTTACCAATGCATCCAATCTACCGTATTCTGATCGAACTTTATCGAAAGCAGCTTTCACTTCTTCTTCCGAAGTTACGGATGCTGGTGTGAAAATCGCTCCAATTTCTTTTGCAACTTCAGCTCCTTTTGATTGTGGCAAATCCAAGATCGCAACTTTTGCTCCAGCTCTTGTTAGAACTTCTGCTGTTCCACGTCCCAATCCAGATGCACCGCCTGTCACAACAGCAACAAGTCCCTAGAAATAAATATTATAGGTTTTGTAGATGGGTTACTGTAGGGATTCAAAAAAAACGTTGACATTTTTTTGATTTTGAAGATACTGAAAACAATATTTCGTGAAATACAAACTTTCCAGTCAAATTATTTTTCTTTACGGTTTCAAAACAAAATTTCCTAATCCAGACATGACATTGTTTTCTTAAAGTAAAATTTTTTTTTTGATTTCCAACTTTAAAAAAAACTAACCTTGGTCGATCTGAGTGCTCCAGCCATAATTTCTCTGAAAAATTCTTCCAATGAATTTCAAAAATCTTCTGAAAAATAAATATCCAACGAGTTCATCAAACTCCACAACAACAAATTTCAAACGAAGCTCAATTTTTCCCAAATTCATTTCAAAAATAATTTTCAAGAAAAAAATAAAGAGGGAAATAGAGAATAAATAAATTAGATAAAAAAAAGAGATAAATAAGTACATGGAAAATTTCAATTTTGCACATGAGATGAATAAAAATCGGATGAAAAAAGGATAGGATAAAGGGTGAAACAATGACAAGAATTGGGTGAAGTTAATTAATTAATTAATCATCCATTTCATCATCATCAAAATCGTCTTCATCCTCCTCATCTTCTTCCCGTTTTACAGGTTTCGATTTTCTCCGAGATGATGTTGAAGATTCAGCCTGAAAAGAAAAAACAATTAAATTTTGGGGAAAAATCAATTTTTTTCAAAAAAGAAGAAAAAACATTTGATAAGAGATATTTCGCTTCTTTCTCTTTGCAAACATATCAAAAGTTCAAACATTCAATTTTTGAACACTGATCATTTGTAGAAAAATTTAAAATATTGTTTCAAAATGATATGTTTTGAATGAAAAATTCATAATTTCTAATTTCCTACAGAATTACCAAAGGTAAAAAATCACAAACCTTTTCCTCTGGTTCATCTTTTTTAGTTGATCCAGTTGTCGCTGTCGAAGTTGACGGTCCCGCAGTAGCAGAAGACGAAGAAGTCGATGGTCCAGCTCCAGCTGCTCCAGAAGCCAGGGCAGCAGCGGTTTGCTGTTTTGCCATTGCTTTTGCAGTCTCCGGTGGCATTCCCATTAAAATCATCAATTTTTCTTGTTGTTTTGTTAGTTCATCTTTTTGACCAGATCCAGCGACTACTTGTTTTTGCAATTCGGTTACTTTGATTTGTTGTTCATACTGGAAAATGGAGATTTTATTAGAAAATTTTGAATTCCTCCCAAGAAAAAATAACAAAGTTTCAGAAGTGAAAAAATCACGAAAATTCACAAAAAAAACTTCCGAAGTTTCAAAAAAGCCAAATTGTTCAACATTTTGGATAGTTTTTTTTTAAATTTTCCAAAAATTAATATTTACAAATAAACCCCGTGTTCCACTCACAATTCCGTAAACCTTCTCCCAAATACTCAGCAATATTTTCGAATCATTGTAAATATCACTATCTTCTTCATTATAAGTCTGCGCATTTCTGCAGAGCAATACAACATCCGAATTCAATTCTTCCATTGTCGCATATCTTCCAGTCTCAATTTTCTTTTCAATTTTTGCAAAATCCATTGGTTTTTGAATAATTTGATAATAATCAGGCAATTCTTTTTTAGTTGGTAATTCATAAAATGGTTCAGATATTACTCGATCATCACTTCCTTTATAATCCATAACAACTTTCAAGAATTTCTTCATAGTTTCTTGCAATTCTGGTGTTGTTTTCTTTCGTTTTGCATTTAATACATCATCCATTGTATCATCATTTTCATCCAAACCAGCCAATTTCCTCTTTCTTTTTTGTTTTCTTTCTTGAATTTGTCTCTCATTTTCATCTTCAACTTCTTCAACATGTTTCATAAATTGATCTTCAGACATCAAATCTCCAGAATAATTTACATCTTTTCGTTTTCTTCGATGATCCTTTGTCTCAACAACTTCTCGTCCTTCTTCTCTTGCTTTTTCCATTTCTTCAAATTCAAATGATGCTTTCAGAATATCTTCTGGAATTTCATGTTCTTCCAAAAGTCGAGGTTTTCTATGCAATTGATTTGCTTCTTCTCTTCTTCTATCAATATCCATGGATTGGAATGTATTGAATTCTTCTTCAGATCTTGCAACCATTTGATTAATTGTTTCGTCGTCTGGAACCTCTTCCTCTTCATCTTCTTCGCCATCAGCTCTGTAAATTATGTTTTTAAGATTGGGCAAAAAACTTTGGAATGAATTTCATAAAGCTGAACCAAAGTGCAATAATTAGTTTTAAAAAACTAACCTAATAATCTGTTCCAACATTTGTTTTCTTTCAGCTCCAGTCGATTTTTGATCGAATTTACCAGCTTGAATAACCTTTTCATCAACATTCAACTTATATCTCGCAGCCGCCAAAATCTTCTCTTCAACCGAATTTGCAGTAATCAATCGCAATACTCGAACCTCTTTCTTTTGTCCAATTCTATGTGCTCGATCTTGTGCTTGCATATCTTGATGTGGATTCCAATCCGAATCGAAAATGATAACTGTGTCAGCAGTTTGCAAATTCAAACCAAGTCCTCCAGCTCTTGTTGAAAGCATGAAAAGGAAATAATCGGAATCCGGAGCATTGTACATATCAAGAAGTTGTCCTCTTTCATCTGGTTTTGTACTTCCATCAAGTCGAAGATATTTATAACCTGCAAAAAGAGTTTCGAATAGTGAGAGAGAGAAAGAGGAGAATAAAAACTCACTTCTATGATTCAAGAAATCTTCGACAATTGTCATCATAGTTGTCATTTGGAAGAACATCAAAATTCTATGTCCAGTGGCTTTCAATTTCGGCAAAATTCTATCCAAAAGTTCAAGTTTTCCAGCAACTCTCATCAAATCTGATCCAGATACTTCATCGACCTGCAAAAAAGTTTGGAATTTTTAAAGTAAAAATTTTTGTTTTTAATTTTGTTTCGAAAAAAGCGACTTCCGGCTAATGTAGCTAAAAATTTTCGTAGCTATGAAATTTTTTGGAAAAATTCTGAAAAAAAACTGTATAGTACAGAACTTTTGAGAAAACTTAAAATAAAATTGTTTACTGACAATCATGTTTTTCATGATTCTCGAAATTGTTAGTTTTGCAGAGAGAAATGCACTGAAATTGGATTCGTCAATATCAAAATCAAATATTGATTTTTTGAAACGTAGTGAATTCGAGAAATGTTATGCCTTTGGGCGCCCAGAATAATTATTAAAATTTTGTGATCAACTCACTTTCCAAGCAGCTCTACACGAATCTTCAACGGTTGGGAAAAGGAATGGATGATTACACAATTTTCTCAAATGCACAACAGTATTCATCAAACTTCTAGCACCAGATTGCAATTTTGAATCCAACAATAATCCTTTTTGCATATGTCGATATAACACTTTTTGCAATGCTGATTGATCACATTTGATAACATATTCAGTTTTATCCGGCAATTGCGATTCGACTTCTTTTTTCAATCTTCTCAACAAAAATGGTCGAAGAACTTTGTGCAATCTTCTGATAATCAACATAGTTTCTTCTTGATTCAATTCAACTTTCTCTCCAGTTGTTGCAAATGGTGCATTGAACCATTGTTCGAAAGTTCCACAAGATGAGAAAATACTTGGGAGAAGGAAATTGAGAAGAGCCCAAAGTTCAGGCAACTTATTTTGCAATGGTGTTCCAGTCAACAATAATCGATGTTGTGCGTGGAAAAAGCTGTTAAGCATCAAAGTCAATTTACAATTATGATTTTTCAATCGATGTCCTTCGTCAATAATCATATATTTCCATCGAATTTTTCCCAATAATCCTTTTTCTTTGATAACATATTCATAAGTTGTCATCAAAACATTGAATGCTCCTCTTTTTATCTGATTCTCAACTCGTTTTCTCGCATCTTTTGTTCCTTTATAAATAATTGTATTCACACTTGGTGCCCATTTATTGAATTCATTCGACCAATTTGAAATTGTTGATAATGGAACAATAACCAAATATGGACCATTATTTTGTTTAACTTCCATAAGATATGTGATCAGTGAAATTGTTTGAATTGTTTTTCCCAAACCCATTTCATCAGCAAGAATTCCATTCAAATTATTATTATAAAGTGAAACCATCCATTCTAAACCTTTGATTTGATATGGTTTCAATTGCAAATGTTCATTTCCTTCTCCCATACTCGAATGTTGTTGTACAATTTTCTCTTTAATTCGATGTGCAATTGCATAATAATCAGCCAATTGTTTTTTGGTTTTTTGATCATATTCATCTTCTTCATTTCGAGCTTTTTCTAAGATCATCTTTGCTTTTGTTTCTTCATCCATTCCTGCATATTGATCATCCTTATCTTCTTTTGGTTCTTCAATTATTGGCTCTTCTTCCTCATCTTCATCATCTGATAAATTATCTCTTGGAACAGCTTCATATTCTGGATGAGTTTCAAGCCAAATTTCAAGTTCTTCTGGTTTCGGGGCTTGATCACCGGTTAATATTTTACCAGTAGAAACTTCACGAACATGAACACGAGCTTCATTATCTATAAAAAAATAATTTAGGATTTACTTTTGAATCCAAATTTATCGAATAAATGTTCAACTTACCATCAACACCTTTTTCCAATTTCTTGTCTTGCTTCTTTTTGGTTTTTTCAGTACTTTGATGTTGTCTAACCAAATTACACAAACTATCCACATATTCATCAGTTTGTTGCAACAAATAAACCAATCTTTGATCTTTTTTCTCATCAAGAAGTGCACGATAACCTTCTTCATCTTCTTGCATCAATTTTTGCATACGCAATTTCTCATTTCTAATTTCATCCTTCTTTCGTTCTCTTTCATTATTTTGATGATATGTCATTACAGCTTTTCGTGCTTTCGATGATTTGATCAATGCATTTCGATGATATTCTTTGAAATCTTTACCATGTTGAATAATTGCTTGCATAAGATCAATATGTTTTTGTCTTTTCTTTCGTTCTTGTTCCATTTTTTGTTGTTTTTCGAGTTTTTCAGTGACTCTTGCTTCTCGAAGTGATTGTCTTTTAGTTCTTCGATAAGCATATGGATTGAGAGCTGTTTCAAGTGTTGTATCCCTTTTCATAGTTAACATAACTTCACTTCGAACCTAAAATTATCTCATCTCATTATTTTTGTTCGATTTTGTGCAATGTTTATCTCACCTGAGTTTGCAAATTGACCAATCTCAAAGCTCTCAACTCAATTTCAGCTTTCAATCTCAAATTTGGCGGCAAATCGGCTGGCAAATTGCTCAAAGCTCGCATTCTCAAACCAATTCGATTTTGTATCATATTTTCTCGTTTTTTCAACATTGCAACTGGATCGACTCCACCAGGAACTGGAAGAGAAGTTGGACGATTTGACCGCATCTGATGCAAGTTGAAGATCTGCAAAAAGTTAAAATGTTTTTATTTCAAAAAATTCTTATGTTTTTTTTGAAAATAAAAAACAAACCTTCAACAAATCATATGGTAACTTTTCACCATCTTCAGATTCTCCAGGAACTTCATACGGTGGTGGCAAAAGTGTATTTGGTTTTGGTTTCAAAACAACCGCTTCGCTCAACAAACTTGGGGGAACAGTTTCATTTCTGGCCAATAATTTATAAGCCGAAACCTGTGCTCTCAATTGTGCAATTTGTTGTTGTGTAACTTCTTTTTTCTCCGCTTCATCTGGAGTTTCTTCGGATTGTTGTGGATTTGCACCCGGGGAAACTTCAAGTGAACCAGATTCAAGTTTTTGCTTGAGAAGTGTTGCTTTTGCGTGACGAGGATCGTTTTGGAGATTTTGTTCTTCCATAGCTGTGATCGCATTCTCAAGCTTGGCAATTGTTAGTTCTTGAGCCTAAAAAATAAGAAATGATTATTTGAAAATGAAACACAACGTTTAGAAATGACACTTGGGGTTCAGACGTGAAATGTTCATTGTTTCTTTATTTTTGGACTACCTATATAACTAAAAATCAATAAATGTTGCGAAATATTTTGAAATCCACAAGAATTATTTTCTCAAATCCTGTAGATCTTTCTTACCGGTGTTTCAGTGGCTGATTGTTGTCCAACAACATCTCCGGCTGGTTGCGGAGCTTGAGCAGTAAACTGCTCAAACGCCGGTTTTGCTGCGCTCATAGGAAACCTTTTGGAACTCTGCAAAAAAAATTTAGATTAACAAAAAACGAGGAAAAAACAACTTTTTTGAACGCGGGAAAATCGAAAAAAAAGGGAAGAATATTTGAATTCAAATAAAAAAAGAAGAGAAGAAAAATAGTTGGGAGAGAAATGCGACGCGGTTTATAATGGTCAGTGAACATGAGCGTCCTTCTTCTCTTTTTGTGTGCGTTCTTTCTCTTTTTCCTTCTATTTTCTCTATGTGAGAAGAAAAAGGGGGAAAGGAGAAGAACATCTGCTGGGTTGCCTAGGTGTTAGATTTGGAGTAAGTACTGGAAACGGTATTCGCAGTGGGATTCTGGGATTATTACCTGGATTCAGACAACACATAAATATATCAAAAGGATCGAAACCTATTACGTTTTCACAGGAAAAATTAAACACATATATTTTCATTCACAAGAAAGCATAAAACAAGATTCGTTAAAATATAAATACTTATTAAAAATCAAGCGCTCTTCGTTTTCCTTTACAATTTCTCTCATGAATCGCAAGAGTTCTTTTGGTCTTCAACATTTTTTGACACTTTCCACACGAACTTTCTGAACCTGCGTCTGATCCTCCTCGAATATCAATCGATAAATCAGTGGCAACACTTGAACATCTCGAAACAACAGGTGAAGCTGGTGGTGGAGTAAAAGGTGATTTTTCGATTGATAGAAAACTTGGGGATGGTGTTGTTGTTGAAATTGCTATTTGTGGAAAATCAGTTGATTTTGGGGCAGATAGAATTTGATTGATCAATTCGTTTTGCTGGAAAAATGAGATGATTTGAAAGTGTTATATCTGCGATTTGGGGAGAATTACCTTATTGCACAGTTGGGCGTAAATATGGTTAATTACGTTTAGTTGTTTTAATATTTCGGTTTCCATTTTGAAATTCAAATCTGAAAATGTTGATATCTGAACGTGGGCTCTTAGGTGATAATTTGAAAATGCGAAATGAAACGTTTAAAAAAATAGTTTTCATTTCCAGTCGTGACCTTTCAATTGTTGCTTTTGCAAGAAATATAGAAAATTCAATTTCAGAAAAAATCAATAAAAAAGCGAATTTTCGATCGAGCCGAAAGTTTGGTAAGTCCCTGATTGAAAAAATGGGTCAAAATTGAGTTTTTGATAAAAATATATTCAACGTATTCTCTCAAAACTTCGAAGAAAAACGAAAAAAAAACTAAAGAAAAAATAGAAATTTTCGAATGAAAAACTCAAAAATGCGCGAAACACGGTACCGCTGCGAGACCATTTCTTTAATTTTACACAATTTCCTTGAAACGGATGTGTGCCTTTGAAATTAATTTTTTTTTTTCATTTTTTTTTGTTTTTTTCCACTGAAAACTCGATATTTCCAGCGATGTGTGATGAATCAACGTTCTTGGACGATAGTTTTCAACCCGACATCCTTACGCCAAAAGCGATTGCCATGCGAAAAATTGAATTTATTTGTGCAGACGTGAAAGAACAAAGAGATCGTGGCGATGAAAGAATTGTAATGCGAACTGGGCTGACGGTTGACGATAAATGTCTGAAATATTCGAATAAAACGTACTTGAGATTGGAAATGGATTTGATGTGTTTATTGCAGATTTATGATTTATTATTTAATGATAAAAAATCGACAAAGCGAGAATTGTTTTATGAAAGAAAAGATGTTTATAGAAATCAAGGTGTTGCGGATAGATGTTTACAAAGATTATGCACACTTTTGGAAGAAACTAGAGCAAACTTAAATATTGTAAGTCCTCTTGAATAACATAGTTTCATAGAAAATTTCTAGCTCTCCTGCTCAAAGGGAATTTTGCGCGGCCCGGTTTCTTTTCTCACTCAATCAATTGGTATTATCGATGGAAAAACTCAAAATATTTTACTTTCTGAAGAATTATCCGATTGTTCGATTATAAATGATGCTCGCTTCATTTTAGTAATCGAAAAAGAGTCGAGTTTCCAGAAATTATTGGATGAACGCTTTTTCTTTTTTATGCCCGATTGTCTTTTGGTTACTGTGAGTTTTTTTGTTGTTGAAAAAAAAAGATGAAAATTAATTATTTAGGGTAAAGGATATCCCGATATTTGCACCCGTCTGGTTTTGAAAACATTGGTTGATAAATTGAACATTCCGATTTTTGGATTATTTGATGGAGATCCACATGGTTTGTTTTTTTGTAAAATTTTGAAACGCAATTCAGCTTCCCCAAAAAATTAACTTTTAAAATTATCAAATTTTTTAAAAAGCTCAGAATTGAAAAATATTCTGGTAATAATAATAATAAAGAGAATTTGTCAAGACGGACCTGAAAAACAAAATTTTGCAGGTATCGAAATCTTCCTGACATACAAATTCGGTTCTTCCAAAAATCATTCCGAATCTTCTGACGCATTTATCCCGGATATTGAATGGATTGGAGTATTTCCATCAGATTCCACAAGATTTCCAATATTTCCCGATCAACTTTTGCCACTTTCAAAATTGGATGTCACAAAAATCGAAACATTGAAAAGTCGAGCATTTCAGTTGAGTGAAATTGAAATTTGTCATGAATTGGAATTTATGCGAGATTTTGGGAAGAAAATTGAAATTGAAGCGATAAGTGGATTAGGAAATGGTTATTTGGCGAGAGAAATTATTTATCCGAGAATTTTGGATGCTTTTTCCCGGCGAACGTGTACAAATTTTCAGTTTTAAATAGTGAGTTTCTTTAGTTTTTCTATGTAATTATATAATATTATGAGTTTTGAAGAGTTTTATAAAGATTGTTTTTTTTTAAATTTTTAATTTCAAGCCAGATTACATAGAAGTTTTCATTACAATAAATAAACAATATAATAATAATAAACTCTTTTAAAACACAAGTAAAAACCGTAGTATTCGAGAGAAAAAAGTTTGACTGAGATATCACAAGTAATTTGATATTTAAAGTTCTGAATGTTCCTCTTCAACAACAGTTTCTTCCGGAGTTGATTCAACTTCTTCCGAAGCTTCTTCCGGTTGATAAAGTGGAGCAGAGTCAACTTGAGCATCTTGAGCAACATCTAAGTTTGATCGAAGAACAGCTTCAATTCGTTCAGCGAATCCAACTTGGTCTTGAAGAGTATAACCAGATCGAAGAGTGGCAGTTTCGAACAAAAGTTTAGCTGTGCTAACAGCGGTTTGATCTTCTGGATCAGCTTGAACACGTCTCAAAAGCTCTTTGACGACTGGATGTCTAGTATTGATTTCGAAGGTCTTCTTTTGTTTAGCGTAGAAATCAGAAGTAGCATCTCCAGCTTTAGCATAAGCTTGTGATTTAACAATTCTTTCCATATTTCCACTCCATCCATAAGAAGTTGAAACAAGAGCTGATGGTGATTTAACCAATCTTTCGGAAACAGCAGCTTTCTCAATCAAATCCTTCAATGCAGTTTCTTTCAACCAATCAGTCAATGGTTTATATTCAGTTTCCAATGCAGCTCTTCCTTCTTTTGCTTTTTCTCCATCATCAATGTTCAATCCTTCTTTAGCAACATTTTGGAATTTCTTTCCGTCAAATTCTGGCATTGATTGGAAACAATATTCATCAACAGCTTCAGTCAAATATAATACTTCATATCCATTTTCGAGAAGTCTCTCAACAAATGGTGAAGTTTCAACTTCTTGTCTTGAAGAACCAGCAATATAGAAGATAGCGTCTTGTTTTTCCTTCATTCTTTCGACATAAGCGGCAAGAGTTGTTTGTTTTTCTTTGTCGTTCGATGAGTAGAATCTGAAACAAAATCAAGTTATGGTTTTACAAATTTTTTTACTTCTTTATAAATAGTTAGTGTCTAATTTCCCCGTCTTATTTCGAGTGAAAATTCAGAAACTTATAATTTTCTCAAATAACTTCCTTACCTCAAAAGTTTAGCCAATCTCATTCTGTTACTTGGATCTTCCATAACTCCCAATTTGATGTTTGTGCTGAACTCCTTCCAGAATTCGTCAAATTGGGCTCCGTCCAACTTTTTGAGCATATCCAAAACTTTACGAACAAGTTTTTTCTTGATAACTTTGAGCAATTTGTGTTGTTGCAAGTTTTCACGGGAAACATTCAATGGAAGATCATCAGAATCGACGATTCCTCGGATGAATGAAAGATATTTTGGAAGCATATCAGCGAAATCATCAGTGATGAAAACACGACGAACATAGAGTTTGATGTTTTCAACGATTTTTCCGTAGTTCTGAAATTTTAGGTTTTTTTAAACATCAATTATCTTCCAAAAATCATTTCTTACCTGGAACATATCATTTGGTGATTTCTTTGGTACATACAAAATCGATCTGAATGAGACTTCTCCTTCGGCATTGAAATGAACATGTCCCAATGGATTTTCAGTTTCCTTACTAATCGATTTGTAGAACTCGTTATATTCTTCGTCTTCAACTTGACTTGGTTTTCTCATCCAAATTGGTTTGATATTGTTAACCTTTGCCCAATCCCAAGTGGTTTTTTCAACCTTTTTGGTTTTCTTTTCCTCTTTTTCTTCTTCAACAGCTCCATCTTCAGTTGGTGCAACTTCTTCTTCGACAGCTTCTTCAACCATTTCAGTTGTAGATTGCCAAAGTGCAATGTTGAAGTTGATGAATTGCGAATATTTGTGGACCAAGTTCTTCAAAGTATCTGGCTCAAGGAAATCAGCAGCTTCTTCTTTCAAATAAAGTGTGATTTGTGTTCCTCGTTTCAATGTGTTTCCTCTTGGATCTTTGATAATAGTGAAACTGGCTGAATCAGATTCCCAGATATATTGATCATCATCATTATTTTTAGTGGTAACAACAACACGATCAGCAACCAAGAAAGCAGCATAAAAACCAACTCCGAATTGTCCAATAAGATCAGATTGTTGATCAGAAGAAGTGGCTGAATCCATAAGTTTTGATAAGAATTCAGAAGTTCCAGATCTGGCAATAGTTCCAAGATTGTTGATCAAATCTTGTCTTGTCATACCAACTCCGGTATCAGTGATATGAAGAAGACGATTTTCTCTATCAGCCTTGATTTTAATTGACATTTCTTCAGTTTCTCTCAATTGTTCTGGATCTGTCAATGACAACAAACGAATTTTGTCAAGAGCATCAGAAGCATTTGAAATCAATTCTCTGAGGAAAATCTCCTTATTTCTGTAGAGCGAATTGATAATCAATTTCATCATTCGATTGACTTCAGCTTGGAATTCGTGTTTTTCAGCTTTTGCGCGGAGATCCTTGATTTGAGAAACTGAGAGACCATCGAGTTTGATCGAGTCAGAATCACTGAAAAATTAAATTTTAATTAAATGATACACTTTTATTTAATATTATGTTCCGAGGCTCTAAATCGTAATCCTCTCTCATAAATCCAGAATTATACATCTTTCCGTTATAATATTTAATCCTCGGAAGCCTCACAAAAATTGCATTTCTCATTTTAGAAGCAAAACTTTACTTATCTCCATCTCTTATTTTTCCCTAATCGACCTTGACACATATTGATCCTTATTTACCCAAAAAGCAAAAAAAAAGATCTAATTGATCTTACTTAAACAGTATTTAAAAACGACTAAGGCAGGAAGTCCTTTAATCATGGCAAATATTTGTCTTATGAATAAATACCAAAGGAATGGGAAAAGAGACAAAACTCGGTTTGACCTCTAAGAAGTCCGTTTGTTTGCACAGTTTTTTGAGAGGTGGGCATTTTTTGCTGTACTGGTATTTAAGAAGAAAAAGAAAAGAGAGATCTTTGTCTGTCCGGTGCGACCTGGCACGGTTCATTGACTAGTTTGAGTAAATATAATGAATATGAGGAAAAACTTACGTTGATTCTTCATCGGCGACTTTTGATGGTTCGTCGATTGCATCTTCGGCGAATGCTGCAAAAAATTGATTTTTCGGGAGGAATCATAACATAAAAACGGTTAAAACCCATATTCTCGAGAATTTTTGAAATTTATATATGACAAGGGTGAAGTGTACCAGATTTTCAAATTTTTAATCATACTCGAGAATTGAAATTTCTTTTCAGCGAGTTTCAAGATTCAAAAGGTGATCCTGAAACTAAAAATGGTGCAAACCGGATAATTTTGGCTCGGAGAAGGGTTACTAAACTTTTCTATAAAAAAATAGAGTTCTTCTTTTTTTCATTCATAGCACGAAGCTCTCAGTTTCCCTACTATAATTTCAGTTTTAATTTAAATAAATGATGTCAGTTTCGAATACTCCATCCTTCATTCTAAATATTACACATTTTTCATATTCGGTGAATAGAACTTTTCTAGTTTTCTCAAAAAGATCAACGGTCATTCTATCTTTAAAAGATGATACATCTCACACTTATTTATTATCATCATCATCTGTTTCAAGTAACAGGTTCTCCCTTTTCGAATCCCTCAAAAAAACTCACCCGAAACGGCAAAAAGAGCCAATAAGGCAAATCCAATGGTGTACCTCATCACTCGATCGAGGTGAAAATGAAGAAGAAGTGACTAATGACTGTGAGTCGAGTCCTAAATCGGTCCACAAAATTGGCTCCGCCTTCTCTCTCCGTTTTTATTATTTGTACTCTTTTTCTTTTTCTCGACGTTGCATTAGCCAAGAAACCACGCCCATGCAACTGCCGCACACTGTCTGACTCTCTTCAAATACACACTCTCTCGTTGGTTTTTGCAATGTGCGGCGCGGTTTTTGACAAGAAATGGGTGGCGCGTGTGATGACTCTGGCCAATGAGAGAGCGAGAAATGAATTGTTGGAACGTGGCTGGCCGGCGATTTGAATTTGAGAAAAAGAAAGAAGAAAAAATGGAAAGGGAACACGTGGAGCCTTTCTTGTTTTTGCATGATTTTGCATGCAAATGACTTATTATTTTTAGGCGTTTTTCGAATAGAAAATCTTCCGTTGTTACTTTTTTCTCTTCTTTATGTTGAAAAATTCTAAACATGACCAGAATTTTTATTGATTCTTCTAGTTTGCAAAAAATGACGAATTTGCATCCGGTTAACATTTTTCTTGAATACTAAATACAAATTTCAATTTTACTCTTGTTCTCTAACTAAATGTACGAATTCTTTTAGTTTGTTCAAATTTTCTCTATTTTTCAAGTAATCAAAACCTAAACGAAACGAAAAATGGCTGAAACAGTCCCACCAGTCAGCGACTCACTCGCTTCTAATACCACAAAATTCACATTCGAAGAACAAGCGACTGCCTCAGTCGCCCTTTATTCAATGTCGATATTCTGCATTATTGTTGGTGGAATTCGATCAGCGAAATATGTGGCGAAAATTGTGAAAAAGAACAAATTGATTGAAGGAAGTATTACAATGAAAGAAGCGAAGAAATTCCCACTTTCAGCATCGATGGTATTATTTGGATTGTACTTGTTCTTCAAGTTAGTTTTTTATTATACATAATTATGATAAAAAGTACACACTGAAACATTAAAAAAAAATAATAATTTCTCTCATAGAAAAAGGGGTTTTCAGACCATCAGACCAACGCTTCAATTGGGTTGCAAGTGTCGCCCAAAAATTGCAAGTTCCTCAAGAATATGTTGATAAAATCAATGCTACTATCATCAGTTATACTGCCAATTCTACTGAACCAACAAAGCCTCTTTATGAAAAGTGAGTAAATTATAGTGTAAAAGTTGAGGTTTGGAAATTTTGTTTTGGAGATATTGAAACAAAAACTCCAAAATTTTATGATAATAAAATGATATCTTCGAGAATTTCTGTGAACCTTTTAAAAATCTAGATCTTCACAATCCTCGAGTTGTCAACAAGATTAGAAAAACCTTTTTTTCAGAATCCTCAATAAAATCCCAGCCAACATTCAAGAACAAATTGTTGTGCCAGAATTTGTCCAAGGATATTTCCATTGGGTTGCTGAACGTATTCCACATATTGGAAAAGACGAAGTCATGATTCTTCTCACATTTTTGATTTGTTTCGAAGGATTGACTGCTCTTGCAACACTTGTTAAACCATTGATTTCCGGATTATTGAGAATTATCCCAGGACTTGGTTTCAATGCACCATATTTGTTATCATTGAAAAAAGGAACAAAAGAAATGGATGAAGGAGATATTGAAGATGCTTCAAAGAAAGATACCGAATATCTTTTCAAAGTTGAAATTGATAGACATGATATTTTTGCATTGATTTTCTGTTCACCAGTTCTTATTTCTCATTTAACACAAAGACATTGGATCACTAACAATTTAATTGGAATTGCCTTTTCGATTTTGGGAATTGAACGACTTCATTTGGCTAGTTTCAGAGCTGGAGCTCTTCTTCTTGCTGGTCTTTTCATTTATGATATTTTCTGGGTTTTCGGAACTGATGTTATGACTTCAGTTGCCAAAGGAATTGATGCACCAATTTTGTTGCAATTCCCTCAAGATATTTATCAAGTTGGACCATGGGAAGCTGTTAAACATTCAATGCTTGGATTGGGAGATATTGTTATTCCTGGAATTTTTATTGCTTTGTTGAGAAGATTCGATCAACGAGTTGTTCAAACAACAGCTGAAGCAAAGAATCCAAACAAGAAAGGAAGATATTATTTTGCTGTTACAATTGTTGCATATGCTTTGGGATTGTTGATCACAATGGCTGTTATGCATCATTTCAAGGTAATTTCTGAAAATGAAATTCGGAATTGTAAGAAAAAAATTATTATTCAAAAACGTGACCTTAAAATTAGAAATTCATTCTTATTTTTTTGGCCACAAAAATTTTTGAAACTGGTCCCAAAACTGTGAGAGGGAGATCATGACATTCGGAAAAATTTTTCGAGGGAGGATCATTCCCGCCCAAATCAAAATTTTGATTCGGGCGTGAATTCAAAATTTCCAAAAAAAACATTTTTTTTCAAAAATTCTAAATTTTTTTCAGAAAAAATTGAATACCGTTTCGAAAAAAAAAACAGTATTTTTAATGAATAAAAAATTCGAGCAAGAATTTTTTTTCGAAAAAACTGAAGCTTCTGAAAATTTTACCACAGTCCATTTTTGAAAAGTGAAGAGCGTGATTAATTTTGCGTTGAAATTCCTAATTACAAAACTTTCTAAAATTCGGCATAAAACTAGATAAATGTAGTGAAATTCTTTTTGAAAAAACCTTCAAATTTTTTCAGGCCGCTCAACCAGCTCTTCTCTATTTGGTTCCATGTTGTCTTTTGATCCCACTTTTGCTTTCTGCAATTCGCGGTGAAACTTCAGCTCTCTGGAATTACGATGAGGGAAAATATGTGGACAACGAGGAAAATCGCAAGAAAGTTGATCCATCCAAGAAAAATAACTAATCAAAACTATCCATGATGTTTCCCTATTTTTAGCATAATTTTCACCCCTTTTTTCTTTATTCTCTACTAGTCTGAAATTTGTTGTTTTTTTTTCTTCCCCGTATTTTCCAAGATTCTCGGGTCTTCTATATGCTTTTTCTCCTTCTCTCTCTCTCTCTTTTCTCTTTTTTTAACCCTGTCCCAGAAAAAACCAAAGGTATTGTTTATTTATTTTATTCATATCAATTTATTGGATAAATGTTGATAAGTAGGTAACCCGAAACTCCATCAGCCAAAAATATACATTCTTTTTATAAACTCATACTTTGAACCTTTGACTGACGTTTTTTGTTCTTGTGAACCAAAACGAAAGCAGAACCAAAGAGACTTAAAATAAATGCGAGGAATTGGAGAGATGAGGCGAAGGCAAATAAATAATAGGCCCAATCGTAGTGAATCTGGAAATTGTTGGGATTTCAAGAAAATTTGTGATCTTGTAAGCCAGCATAATATTTCAAAAAAAAAACTCACCAAAAAAGTATAGCCAGCAATCAATTCATATTGATTATCCTTCAATTCATAATAATAAGTATAGCTCAAAAATCCTGAACAACTACAAATTGCGGCTGCAATCAATACAACTGAATGAGCCAATGCTCCAAAACTGGTGAAAATTGTGCAAATCGCGAAAAATAGTGCCAGAATACAACAGAAAATTGAGGCGGAAATCAGAAGAATTGAAGCGAATTCGAAATCACCAAAACAATTTCGAGATGATTTGTCGTGTGTGTTGAGGGAATTACGATTTTCGGAACAATAAGCGGAGTTGATGTAACTTCGAAGATGACATGTTTTTGTATTACTGTCGTCTGCAAAATTGGGTTTAAAGGAATAGAAAAGTTTAGTTTTTGTGAGGTTTTCAATTTTCAGAAATATTTCTCTAATAGGCAAATATTTGGAAATTTCAAATTATGAAAAATGAATTTAATTTTCCCCAAGAAAAAGTTCATTATTGTTTTTTAATAGTGTTATTTTTCGGGAAAAACATCTCCAAATTGGAATAGTTTTCCCTTTTTGTTTGAAAAGAGTTATAGATTTCTTACAGTAACCCACGGGTTTCCTAATTCCATTTTTTCCTTCAAAACAAACCATCTCTCGAAATATCAATCGATTTCGGTAAATAACAGAATCGAATCAATCCATATTTTTTGACACCTTCCATATTATCCGAATTATATCGAAAACTTGCAGAAAATAGACAAATTAAAAGTAGAAGAACTGAGAAAATAGCAAGAAATGTTGAGAAACCCAGACAACAAATACGACAACGAGATGAAGCAGCCATCTGAAAGTAAATAAAGATAAAACAACATCTTCAAGATAATATGACTGCGAAAAAAATTTTCACAAAAAATGTTCGGAATTCTGAAAAAAAAAGGTTCAACATGTTACCACGAAACTTTTTACGGAAATTCACAAAAAATATTTCAACAAAAGACTATTTTCTACTTATATTTATGAAAAAGATCCCATGTGAAACTTTTTTTCAGAAAATTTCATGGTCTAAATTATTCCAGTCTTTCTAGCTAAAAAAGTATACAAACCGTGAAAAAGTGATATTAAAATGAAGAATGAATGAAATAAATAAACAAATAAAAGGTGTTATTAATATGAGTCATGTTTTGTTCATCTTCTTCTTCTTCTCCATAGCTCATCTAAAAACTACAGAAATTTTGTTTATTTTTCGACATTTTCATGTCAAAATAAATACATGATTCATGTTGAAAATGTTTTGGACAAATGTTACGATATCACGAAACAAACTACATCTCATGGGAATATCTATTTTAAAAAGCTTCTTTGAAATTTTGTGTTTGTAGAGACACAAAACGATTCCTGGAATATCGAAAATTGAGCTCACCAAATTTGAATTTTACCGCTTTTTTCATTCTAGATTTTTCTGTAGATTATTCGGATCGAAAAGAAGTTAGTTTTTTTTTTCATAGTAATCCGGACTACTAATGAGACCTAGCAAAATTTGGTTTAGGCCTTATATTAACAAGGGAACCTTTTTTACTCAACACTTCAAATCTTGATGAAATTTGGTCCATGGACAGCTTTTGGGACCATAAGAACACCCTAAAAATTTCAGTCTCCCAATGGACCTCTGAGCCAAGTTCTGGGCTCTCAAAAGTACAAAAAAGGCCTAAAAATGGTCATAAAAGTCATCATAGCTCCATTTCAAAAATTTTTTTGGGACAAATGAAGTTTCAGATATTGATCAGCATAGTCGATTGCCTAAAAGTACATCAATAAAAAACTTTATTTCGAAAAATTTTGAAGTTTTTTATTTTTGAGCTGAAAATTCATGAAAATTCATATGTGCCCCTGCTCATTCTTTTTTTCAAAATCAAAAATTTTTCTGAAAATTCGATTTATTGATGCTTTTTGGGTAAATCGACCACGCTGATCATCATCTGCTACTCAGTTTTTGATAAAAATTATCGAAAATTGAGTTATGACGTGTTTTATGAGCCAATTTTGGCAATTTTTGAACTTTTGAGAGCCCAGAACTTGGCTCAGAGGTCCATTGGGAGACTAAAATTTTTAGAGTGTTCTTATGGTCCCAAAAGCTGTCCATGGATCAAATTTCATCATGATTTGAAGTGTTGAGTAAAAAAGGTTTCCTTGTAAGGCTTGAGTTTATCAGCGAGGTAAGTCTGTATTAAGCATGAACTAATGCAGTCAGATGCTAATTTTTGCCGATGTTATAGCATCTCTAAAAATTCAAAATATTATGAATAATCTACAGTAATCTCTGTAAAGGTTTCCGAAATTCCAAATTCAATAGAAAAAACATACTTACCCCGGAATTTGATTGTTTCCGAGCTTTTTCTCGAATTTTCTCAATTCTCGCCCCAATATTATCAAGTTCAATCTCCTCAACGATCATATTTTTTCAAAAAAAAACCAAAATCAAAACAAAAGCATTTGCCCGCCTCAAAAATGCTCTCCCATACAAAAATAAAATAATGTATTTAATTTATGCTGATTCACATGAGAAAATCGGTGACAAATGAAAGAAATAAACAAATTATTGGCGCGTGTCCAAAACACGCCAAATAATACACCAAAAGGATTAAAAGAGCAACACAAGAGGAAGAAAAATAAAACAACGGAAAATGAAAAAAAATAAATGAATGAATGAAAGTAAAATGGAGACAAAAAGGACAACTGTTGTCGCTATTTTTTTTTTTTTTTTGAAAAAAACGCAATGACAAAATATATTGACAAAATGAAAATGAATTAGTGTTTTAGTGGAACAAAAAGATGCACATTTAGACACTTTGACCTTTAATCCATGTTGTTTGCAGAAATCTGAAGCAATTGGAAAAATCAAATTCATACTAAAACAAAACAGACAACAAATAAACAGTTTAACTAACAAGAAAAGTTAGGAGTAAAAATTTTTTGTAATTTTGAGAATCACAAAAAAAATCCATTCTTCAAGTTACCTACTCTTGTACAAATCAACAAATCAAAAATTACTATTCACATAGACTGTGAATGTTTCTCCAAAGTTGAACCATTTCCAAATATTCGGGATCAATAAAAACAAAACACTTCTCTTTGGCTCTCGATAATGCAACCAAAATCTGTTCACGTTGTGCAGTTATTGGCAAATGTTCAGATGACATTCTACGATTTTTGAGTTTGGTTTTCATAGGCTGTTCGGGATCAAAGAAAACTAATTCCCAATATTTTGTACGAGCGACGGTTACGAGAACAACCTGAAAACAACATACACATTTTCTGATTTTTAAAATCTTTAAAGATTATTTCAAAAAAAGATCAAGATTTAAAAAATCGGAATTGACAGACAAAAATTTTACACGGTGTATCACTGTTTTTTTGAAATTTTGAAATTTTTTAACTGATCTGAGAAGATTCCAGAAAAAAATCCGTCATGCTCTTTCAAATGAGCAAGACGTTTTTTTGCTCAGACCCCACCTTCAATAACCAACCTTAGCCTCTAATCCTTGACAACTTCTAACAGTCAAGACCGTATATCCAGGCAAATGTTTCTTCAATAAATTAACTTGTCCATTATAAAATGCCAATATCATAATGTCCTCTTTCTTCATTCCATTTTCCTCCAATTCTTTACATTTTTTCATGATTTCTTTCACTTCATACCAATTTTTCATGAATCTTTCTTCATAGATTTGATTTGTCTCATCTGGTGCAACCAAATTGAAAACAATCGATTTGCACAAATCTCTGGAATTTGTAGATGGCTCTTTCAAATAAAATATTTTCTTGAGAAGATTTGAAGTGTCCGGCTGACATCTGAACATTTGGTCGTGCTTAACCTGAGCAATTCCTTTTCCAATTATAGTCATAGATGTTTGGAAATAAGAACTGATTGCTGGATTATCACAAAATGGCTTGAATTGTTCTGAATCTCCAATCATTATGATTTTTGGGTAATTGTTCTTTTCTGAACATCCAGCACAAACTGTTGAAACTATCGAACAAACCGAAAACAACGATTCCACCGAGCATTTATCGATGTATAATCGATCGATTTCTAGTTTCAGCTTAATTTTTTCATTTTCGATTAGTTGTCCAATTTGAGTTATTGTTCCCAAAATTATCTTTGGTTTCCATAACTTGAAAACAAGTCTGATTTGCTCATTCGATGGATCTTCTGGTGCCGAATCAATCGAATATCCGATCTGTTCTCGAAGTTTCTCGAAATTTTTGAAATTGAAGTTTGTTTGAGTTACAGTTTGATGCATATAGTTCAACATTCGATAAGTTCGAGCAAGCAGTTCAAATTCATTTTTGCTGAAAATTAAAGCTTCATAGATATATGAGAAACATATATACACTCACCTTCTGGTTTTATCTGGATCTTGATCATAGTCCATCAAGTAATTCGCAAACACTCGTTCAGCTACTGTGGGCAAATCAAAATCCGTCAAATAAGAATTGCCATTCCTTTTTTGTGCCACAGAACTTGTAATTCGAATCACATTTTGTGCTCCAAATTCTTTTAGTTTTCTACAAACTGATACAATTGCTCCATTTGATTCACTAACAATTAATTGACATTTATCATAAAATATTGATGAAATACAACAAATTGATGATAAAAGTGTTGTTTTTCCACCTCCAACTGGTGCTTCAATTGACATTATTGGATTTCTTGAATGAATCGAAAAATAAACCGATTGTGTTTGTTCTTTTGTTGGTTCGTTATTTATCAGTTTTCGAAGTTCATTTTTGATGAATATTTTTTCTTCCTTACAAATTTCATATTCGAATTTTACTGGTGGATCGTTTCTTGAATAATGCATTATTTCCTCGAATATATCTTTTGGCTGAAATTCAAAAAAATATATCGGAAAATCATATCCAAAAACCCTTTTTCCTCACTCACCATTTGTTTTTTGCTAGGTCGGCAAGAAATGAAGTTTCTTGTATCTCCTGGGATCAAATGAGTATAGATCAATTGAGGTTCATCATTCAATGCCTTGCAAACTTCATCATACAATTTTCTTCCAATTGATTCCACATTGATTTCTTTCGATTCGTCAATATTATCAATTATTCGAAGATGACATGTCAACCCAACTCTATCGGAAGAAATTTTTTTCAAATGACCAACTACATACATATCGAGCCATGGTTTAGTTATTCCGTAGACTCGGAGCATTGCTTCTGAAATTTAGGAGTTTTCAGATTGAAAGACATGGGTATAAATGATCTGGCTTACCAAAATTGAGGGGAGTTCATTTTCCCTGATTTTTGAAGAGAACTTTCAATATTTGATTCTTTCATTCAATTGTTTGGACACATTTAGACCTTCATAAAAGTTTCCTATTTTTATAATCTAAAAATGCTCCAATTGGTCTTAGAATTAATTGGAAGATATCATTCGAGATAGTATAACTATAACTGCGAGGAAAAATTTCACAACAGTGTCTAAAATTCCAGAAAAAAGTTCTAATATTTTGGACCACGTGGTAAGTTTCCAAAAAGCTCAAATTGGGTTGGGTCCAAATTTGAATCTTTTCCAAGCCCGATATGTGGTTCAAAATTTTGGAATTTTTCTTGAGCTTCCCGATTGCAATATCTTTCTAACCTTCACTACTTTGTCAACTCACTTTTTGGAAAATATCTCTCCCAAGCGCTATCTCCAACTTTGAATTTGATTTCAATAAGATAATCTTCTGGATCAATAATTTTCCATGAGCAAATTTTCAATGGATGATTTCGAATATCCAACCAATTTTTCATATTCTCAAAATGTGTCAACGATGCTTCAATAATACTACTCACTTTTAGAACATTTTTCTGATTTTTAGCTTGCAAAATTGAATCGATTGATGTGAAACGTTCATTGTTGAATGAGCTTGTAGGCTGCCAATGTATAACTAATGGTGGATAATGATTGATTGCAAACTCATAGAGATATTTATGTGAATATTTGTGCAGTTTTTGACAGGCTATTTTTTTCCTCTCGTCAGGATGAAAAATATCGTCTTCAAGATTAGCAGCAAATTTTTGAGTTCCTTCAACAGGAATAAAAATATTGCATCGCCCAATAAAACTCTGTTGCATATTTTTTAATTCTTCAATTATAGGTTTTTCCACAAAGTGTGCAGAACCTCGATTCATCGGAATATTCAAACTTGATGCCACGAATTGTTCATACTCTTGTTGCTTTCTTCTATAATTCCACAAATATATCAAAGCATCGGAAGTTTCGATTCTTCTTTCAAAAACAATATATTCTCCTGCATAATATTGATTTGAAAATGAATAAATATCTGAAATTGCCACGATATCGCCAACAAGTAATTTATGAATTGTGCTGAATTCATCAACTAAAAGATCCTTTGATGATAAATTCAGGTGAATTTCGAGCAAATGTTTATAGTTTTCTTCGAAAGCAGTTTCGAAGTAAAAAGGATAACAAAGTACATTTGAGTTCCTGAAAATCAAAAAAATTATTCATCTGGAAAAATAATTCAGAATCAGAATTATGTACCTTATTTTATCAATTCTATAGAACGCATATGGATTTCTGAACTTCTCAAAATCTTCATTTGTACATTTCATAATGGGATTCACATCAAATCTTATAATCGGATCTCTTGTTCTCACTTCCACTTGTGGATTCTTATAACATTTTCGAAATTGCAAAATATCTTCGATACTTTGATCTGGAGCATTTATGGCTTCGACACCTGAATAGGCACGAAGTAGATCTTTGAGAGGGTCTTCTTCCATTTTCTGAAATAAAATGGAGTTTGGTAATAAATAAATAACAACAGAAACTCAAACAGAGCGATGATGTTGTAAAGTGGTGATGGTGATATTTTTGTGACAATAAAAGTTATGATTAAAAATTTATTGATTGACCATTTGGAGAAGAGCACTTTGGAAAATTAAAGTTAGAAGTTAAATGTGAATTGTTGAAAAATTCCAATAACTTTTTAAAATCGGATCAGGTTCCCCGAATTCAAAGTCCAAATTTTGGAGAGATAAGGGTCATTTTTTTGATAAGGACCATTTTTTTCAAAATAAGTCGATGAATTTCTGAACCGAACAGTTTTTCGGGTCTGAATCCGGATTTTTCTCAAAAGTAGGGAACTAATATTGATTGAATAGAAATCCAAAAAAACTCATTCGAAACGAAAAAAAGAAGAAGAAGAAGAAGAAGAAGCAAAAAATTGAGCAGAAATATATCAAAATCACGCGCGGGGAAAGACTAATGGTTGTATAAGTGACAAAGAAGTATAAAGAAAAACAAAAAAAAGAGGGAAATACTTTCGGATTGTAAAGGTTATTTATTTGAAAGAAACACGAACAATAGATTGAAAAAAGATTTTGACAACAAAAACCCATGGGTGCAGATTTGAAACTGAAACATATATCACGTCGACCCAACTGCTGCAATGGGTGTACGGTATTTCTGTTTTTCCACAATGTGCTACAAGATAAAATCTCACTAGAATTACTGAAACTCCTTATTTCCATAGATTTGAACACGCTGATCACGAATATGTAATCAATTTTCATAATGGTTCAGTAGTTTTTTTGCATTTTGATGCATTCTGTCTCAAACCCATTGCAGCTGTTTGTTCTTTTGTGGGTCGACGTGATATTTTATATTTTCTCAAAAGAAACTTTTGAAATGAAAAAACAATTTTAATCGTATTTTCATTAAATAAAAATAACAACAACAATTGAAAAAAAATTCAGATTTCCCGAATTTAGCCAAACTATGTTTGGGTTACTGTAGATAATATATTTCCCAGGAAAAAGACGCCTATAGAAAAGAAAAGCGTATGAAAACGCTTTTTACAGTAATCTTCAAGAATTGGATCTTTGACAGTTTCCAAAATTTTTTTTTGTAAAAAACAGTACCCCTATTTTCTACAGTACCCTACCGTCACCAAATGTATACCCAATACTTGGCAGAATTCAATAAGTATACTGATTTTCAAAAAACAAAAAAGAATTTCAGTTTTTGTCAATTTCCAGTATTATCGCTATTTTCCCACAATAAGAAGACAAGTTGTTTTCTAACAAAAATAATTTATTAAGAAGTAACAACCAATAATAAATTAAAAGACCCATATGTATAATTATTTACAAAGATTATCGATATTTCTCCAAATCTCAACTTGTGCACAATATTCCGGATCAATAAAAACCATACATGCTTCTTTTGCTCTCGATAATGCAACCAAAATCTGCTCTTTTCTTTCAGTTATTGGAATATGTTTTGCATCTGTATTTCGAACTCTTCCCTCATCTTTTGGTCGATTTTGCAACTCCCAAGAATGTGTTCGAGCAACCGACACAAGCACTATCTGGAAATAAAAAAAAATGAAATTTGGAATTTGTAATTAAAACTATTCAGCCACGTGAAGGTTCACTTTTCTGAATAAAATACAAATTTGAATACAAAAAATTTCGGTCCAAAATTTAACGTTGACAAAAAAAACAAACTTTAGCCTCCAATCCTTGACAACTTCTAACAGTCAAAATAGTATATCCAGGTAATTTTTTCTTCAATAAATTAACTTGTCCATTATAAAATGCCAATATCATAATATCCTCTTTTCTTATTCCATTTTCCTCCAATTCTTCGCATTTTTTCCGAATTTCTTCAGCTTCAAATCGATTTTTCATAAATCTAGCATCTTCTATACTATTATCATCCAAAGTTCCACTATTTTGCATACTCGCATATCCTTTCACAAATTTGAAGAACAAAGATTTCTCACCGATTACACTATTTCTAACTACTGTACATTTATTTTCATAGAAAACTTGATTCAGAATATTTGAAGTGTCTGGTTGGCATCTAAACATTTGATCATGTTTAATCTGAGCAATACCATTTCCAATAGTTTTCAACGATGTTTCGAAAAATTTTGAAATTGATGGATTATCACAAAATGGTTTGAATTGCTTCGAATCTCCAACCAAAATAACTTTCGGGAACATTTTCTTATCTGAACATCCAGCTCCAACCATCGAAACAATTGAAAATACTGAAAATATTGATTCGACTGAACATTTATCAATAAATACTTGATGAACATCAACCATAAGATCTTGATATGATAAAAGTTGCTCAATTTGACTTCCAGTTCCAATAACAATTTGCGGTTGCAAAATTTCGAAAACCAATCGAATTTGTTCTCTTGAAGGATCTTTTGGAGCAGATGACAAAGAAACTCCAATAATATTTCGAAGTTTTCTAAAATTATTGAGGCGGTAATTTGTTTGTGACGATGTTTGGTGCATATAATTTAGCATTTTATAAGTTCTCGCAATTAGATCAAGTTCTTCTCGGCTGAAAATAATAATTAATTTTGAAACTAGAAATAATTTTGTTTTTCAGATGTACCTTCTCCATTTATCAGGATCATCATCAAACTCCTTCAATAAATCCGAAAAAACCTTTTCCGCAATACTTGGCAAATCAAACTCAGTTACGAATTCTTCACCATTTCTTTTTTGTGCCAAAGAACTTGTAATTCGTATAACATTTCGCTGTCCAAATTGTTTCAATTTTCTACAAACTGATACAATTGCTCCATTTGATTCACTAACAATTAATTGACATTTATCATAAAATATTGATGAAATACAACAAATTGATGATAAAAGTGTTGTTTTTCCACCTCCAACTGGTGCTTCAATTGACATTATTGGATTTCTTGAATGAATCGAAAAATAAACCGATTGTGTTTGTTCTTTTGTTGGTTCGTTATTCAGCAAAAGTCGAAGTTTTTCCTTTATATATTTCTTCTGATTAATGTCATTTTCATAATCAAAATGTCTTGGTGGAGCAGCAGAATTCTTCGAAAATCTCATCATTTCATTAAAAAGATTATCAGGCTGAAAATCGCATTTTACAAAAAAAATTAAATTGTTTTTTTTTTCAAAATTACCATATTTTGCTGGAATTTCTCGAGTTTCGAAATCAAAGATTTATTTCGTTTTCCGTGAATCAAATGTGCATAAATAAGTTCCGGACGGTTTTCCAAACTTTCAATAACATCAGAATATAATTTTCTTCCAATTGATTCCATATCAACATCATTTTCCAATTCATCAATATTATCCAAAATTATTAAGGAAGCTTTTAGAATTCCTTTTTTGATTTTTTCTCCATCAGATTCAGTTTCATTTTGAATATGTTCGATGACTGCAATATCAAGTGGTTCAGGAATTATACCGTATACTCGAATCATTGCTTCTGAAAAAATTAACAAGGATTTATTTTGATTTTTTGAACCTCAATAAAAATTCACTTACTTTTTGGAAAATATGAATTCCACGCGCCATCTTGAACTTCAAACTCAAAACCAATTCTGAGTTCTTCGTCATCTAAAATTTTCCATTCAATAAGTTCCAAAGGATGACTTCGAATATCAAGTACATTTTTCATATTTTCGAAATGTGCCGTTGCACTTTCAACAATATTGCAAATATGGAAAACCTTCTTTTGATTTCCATTTTTCAAAGCTTCATCAATTGTTGAAAAATTATTTCGATTATGTGAATTTCCAGCAGTCCAACGAGTAACCAAAGGATGATAATTATTTTGTGCACGTGATCGATATTTATAGGAAAGTTGGTGAATTTCTCGACAGCATTCTCGAATATTTCGCACGCTATGAAGAATATCATTTGAGAAATCAGCAGCGAATCTTTGTGTTCCTTTAAATGGCGTGAAAATATCAACCCGACAAATTCGATGTTCTTCATTTTCAAAGTCGGGTTTCCTTATTCCCGAAACGAATTCAGCTGCATTTCTATCCATTGGAATTGTTACACTCGACGCAACCAATTTGTTCATTCGACATCCGTGTGATTCATAATTCCACCAATAAACTAATGCATCTGTATTTTCTACTTTGCGTTTTAATACAACATATTCCCGAGCATAGCAATGTTCCTGACAAGAATAAATATTTGAGATCGCGACAATATCTCCAATGAGAAGTTGATTAAATGAGGTATGATTTGGCCAAGGAGAATTTAGATCTTCAGAACATGAATCAATATATATTTGTGATAAAGACATGTGATATTCGGAATAAAAAGAAGTTTCAAAGTGAAGTGGATGACATGTCGATACATAAGATACATTATGTTTTGTATGAACTCGATAAAATGCATATGGTTTTTGAAATAAGTCTTCGAGGTGATAATTCTTGAACTCTATCGGGCATTGAAGAGTCCGTAAATTTCTTCTGTCTCCAATTCCGATATTTCTGAGAACCCTGTAGCATTGGCGAAAGTCCAAAATGGCTTCAATCGTTTGATCCGGCGCTCTTGTGTCCTGAGCTTCTCCGATGTAATAAGCATCAAGCAAGTTGATGAGTGGATCACCCATTGATCGATTCAAAACATTAAATTGCTGAAAAATAGGATGTTTCAAAGTTTGCGAGACAAAAAAACAATTGAAAAAATAATCCGAAAATGAGAGAGTGTAAACAAACACACAAACAATGAGAGCGCACAGACGAGAGAGATTGAAGGCGCGTCTGTTTATGATGAAATATCTTGAGACGAAAACTACAGTTGGGTTTTCAATGGAGGGGCCCACTTTTCAATTCTGTTTTTTACTTTTTTTCTTTTTTCTGAGGGTTTGTCCTAAAATTTTCCGTGTTTTTTGGCTCAGCTGTTTAGGAAAGCTGGGCTCCAACGTGTTCTCTGTGAAATTTCGTGTAGGGTGTATTGATTTATCGAATAATATTTTAGGATTTCTTTTAAAAAATTCTTGAGAATAGTTTTTGTATTTTTCTTCACATTTTTATCAATTCTGATGAAATCGAAGATTGTGAGAAGAGCCTTATTAACCATTTTCATTCTCTCGCATTTATTTCTCACTGCTGTGTTGCTTTCCACAATCGTAAAAGGTTATTTAGAGTTTACTCGTTTTTGTCTCGAGCTACTAGAATTTAAGCAATAATAAAAAAAAACGTTGAGTGAAATTCACTCGAAAGTTTGATTTTGCTCTGTTCGTTTTCAATTCAATATTACTCACATCACCAATCTTAATTTTTCAGGATGTCCGATAACTGGGGCACTGAAGCAGTCACTTACGACGCACCTGTTGTTGAGGCACCAGAGGTAATTTTTTATTTTTCTTCGCTACTTTAAATCAAAATCTATTTCTGAATTCTTCAGGTCAACCTTTTCGGAAAATGGTCCCTCCAAACCGTCAACGTCTCCGACATCTCGCTCGTTGACTACATTCCAGTCAAAGACAAGTCTGCCAAGTACTTGCCACACTCCGCTGGACGTTTCCAAGTTCGTCGTTTCCGTAAGGCCGCCTGCCCAATCGTCGAACGTCTCGCCAACTCTTTGATGATGCACGGACGCAACAACGGAAAGAAATTGATGACTGTCCGCATCGTCAAGCACGCTTTCGAAATCATCTACTTGTTGACCGGAGAAGTGAGTTCTTATTTTTGGCCGATTTCTTTTGAAAATTATTTTTTCTGCAGAACCCAGTCCAAGTTTTGGTTAACGCCGTCATCAACTCCGGACCACGTGAAGACTCCACCCGTATTGGACGCGCCGGAACTGTCCGTAGACAAGCCGTCGACGTTGCCCCACTCAGAAGAGTTAACCAAGTAAGTTCTTCAAACTTTATCCTTCCAAAATCTAGTATTCAATAAATAATTTCAGGCTATCTGGCTCCTCTGCACTGGTGCTCGTGAAGCTGCCTTCAGAAACGTCAAGACTATTGCTGAATGTCTCGCTGACGAGCTCATCAACGCCGCCAAGGGATCATCAAACAGCTACGCCATCAAGAAGAAGGACGAGCTCGAACGTGTCGCCAAGTCCAACCGATAAACAATATCTTGTTATATACATCTTTGTATCTTGTTGGTGTTGACTGATATAAAGATTTGTTTTGTTCATAAGCGACTTGGCGAACCACATGTTTTCATCAAACACTAGCATAACTAACATATTTGTCTTTCCTCTTTTTCTCTAGGTTCGATTTTTCATTCAGAAATGCGCTGGTCGCTTTTTCTCTTGTTCTTTTTTCCTTGTACAATAGTCGCTGTTCTAAACACGGGTCTCCAACTTCGCATTGATGAATTATTCGACACCCCCGGTCACACAAATAACTGGGCAGTTCTAGTAGATACTTCCAAATTCTGGTTCAATTATCGACATGTTTCAAATGTTCTTGCTTTATATCACTCGATAAAACGACTAGGAATTCCGGATAGTAATATAATTATGATGTTGGCTGAAGATGTGCCATGTAATCCGAGAAATCCAAGACCAGGAACAGTTTATGCATCGAGAGCTGGATCGAATTTATATGGAAGTGATGTTGAAGTTGATTATCGGGGAGAAGAAGTTACCGTGAGTTTTTTCTCGAAAATCGAGAACATTTTCATATTTCTATTATTAGGTCGAAAACTTTATCCGTGTTCTAACCGGAAGACATCATCCAGCAACTCCAAGATCAAAAAGATTGTTGTCAGATCATCAAAGTAATGTATTGGTCTATTTAACTGGTCATGGTGGTGATAGTTTTATGAAGTTCCAAGATACTGAGGAGTTGACAAATGTTGATTTGGCTTATGCAATTCGCACAATGTATGAGGATAATCGGTGAGTTATAAATTAAATTCATAAGATGAATAGCCCAAAAAACTTCTGGGAACCCCTAAAAATAAAATTAGAAACTTACCACATTTAGAAAAAGAAATCCCCTCTCGCCCTTTTTAAAAGCAACGTTTTTGCGTATTTCAAAAGAAATTGGGTGATGAACTCATCCAGTGCAAGATTCAAATTGATTTGTATTTTACACCGGGCCATTTTTTGAGCAAAAATTGAAATTTGTTTATCGATTATAGTAAGTTACTAATATTTGTAATTTACATAGTTTGAGTATTTATAATTATCACAAAAAAACTAGAGATTATATAGATTTTAAATTTTATCCCAAAACTGAAACTAAAAATAATCATTTCACTACAATCTTAGGTCTATTACCTTCAGAGCTTTCCAATATTCACACCTTTCTTCAAATAAACTCACGATACATTTCAAAAAATGAAGGCGGCAATCCAAAAATTTTTAAAAATTAGAAATGAGCAAAATGATTCACGTCAAATTATTTAAATTTAAATCTAAGGCACAAAAGTACTCAGAGATTCGCTGGCCAGCTCGCCACCAGATCGCTGCGGCCACCTGGAAACCGCATGGCCGCCAGGTCGCCTTGAGTTTTCCGGCCACGTGGACTGTGTGTTTGAAATCCTGGAAAGCTGGCGAAACGGTGGTTTGTACTCAAAACACTGCATTTTCTATAGTTTTTTCACTTCCTAAGGTTTCTAGTACTCCGAAAAAACAGAAAATGAGCCGAATTTTTCGAAAAAGCCTTAATTCACAAGTTTTTCAGACATTTTCATGAAAATTAATTTCGACGAGGCGAAGTGGCCACCACATGGTAGCCATGTGGCCGTGACCTAACCAGAGCCTGGCCACCTTGCCAGCAAAAAAAACCGGGCGACATGGTTTCCATGTGGTTCCCAGGTCAGCCAGCCTCACCACCTGGTGGCGAGCTGGCCAGCGAATCTCTGAGTAGGTCAAGCGGACAGCCAGATCAACGTTTAAAACACGTTTAGATTTTCCTGAAACTCCAATAATTTTTGCAGATATCATGAAATGCTTGTAATAGCTGATAGTTGTCGAAGTGCTTCAATGTTTGAATGGATTGATTCGCCAAATGTTTTATCACTTTCAAGTAGTTTAACACACGAAGAAAGTTATTCGTATGATATTGATGAAAATATTGGGGTTTATGTTATTGATCGATATACACATTTTACTGTTCAATTTTTATCGAAAGAAGTAAAAGCTTTGAATTCGTCAGCAAATATGCAAGATTATATTGAAGCATGTCCAGCGAGAAAATGTCTTTCTACTACGGGTAAGAAGATAACTTTTACTTTGAACATTTGAATATAAAAAAAAAATTGCAGGTGTTCGAAAAGACCATTACTCAAAGGATCCAACTCGAGTTCGTGTAACCGATTTCTTTGGTTCGGCTCGAATTTTTCAACATTTGACAGAAGAAATCGAATTGGATGATGATTTTTGGAGCGGGTAAAAAACTATTGAAAAACGTGTGTGAAACATTCACTTTAAAAAATATTCCAAAAATTTTGTAAATAAATCATTAATTTTTCGATTATATACAAATCAGGCAACAAAAACTTTTCAAATTAAATAGAGAAAAAGGGTGAATATTGGGAAAAAAAAACAATTACCTAGCTCTGCTAACGCGATAAGCTAATCCTAAATAACCGACAACGTAAAAGAAAATAATGAAGCCTGACATTATCATAAGATCCGGGTAGAACATATCAGCATTGAATGAAAGTTGAGCCAACACTGAGTCGCGATCCTGTAATTTTAAGATATATGAAAGTGTTTGAAATGAAAAAAAAATATTTTGTGAACTCACGGCATCAGTCCAACTTGTTGCATTTGGTTCATTTACACTATCCCATTGATTAATCGCAAAAGCTTCGAATCCATAACGGAACCATGATAAATATTGAATCCAGCTGATATAAGATGGAAGTGCTCCAACATTTGCATAAAGTCCACCAGTTAGTGAAAGTAGAGTTAACATTGGACCAGCTGTGGACATTGCAATCTGAAAATTTTTAATTTGAATTAAAATTCTTTAAAAAAATAATTTTCATATTTTATTGAAAAATTCCAGACAAAATAAAAATGTGTAAAAAATTCGGGTTTCGAATTGTTGTCTTTGTGAAAATCAAATTTGAGAAACTATGTATTCCAAAGCCTTGAATTATTCTGGGAAAGTAAGTCGAAATTTTCAAGTTTCCGAGCACAATAAGCTGATAAATGAACTTCCCTGAAAACCACAAATAAACTTACTGGAAGTGATGGCGAAATACAAGACAGCATAATTCCACAAGCCGACGATGATTGTTCAATCAAAAATGCGATCAAACACGCATAAAGAACCTGACTCAAAGATGATGAAAATCCGACCAACCAATAAGAAACGAGAAGCATAACAAGACCATCAGCAGTGAAAAGTGGTAAATAAGAAATGCAACGAGCAACATAGTAACTGAAAAAGGGTATATTACTGTAGATCGTGATGAGACCTACAAAAGCATACAGTAACCAAAAAATCTTACCTGAAAACCGAATACAATCCATCATGATATTCTCTAGAAACCAACGGGAAATCAGTTGGCAAAAAGTTCAAAATTCCAAAAATCGTAGAATATGTCAATTCACAAACCAGATAAAACAATGCTCCATTCAAATTTGAAATCCCAGTTAAATTCAAAGGACTTTGTAAATACAATAATCCAATGAAAATTCCCATAATTGTTTTTTGTATTACTTTTGCCCGAGTCAAAGATGGATTACGCCATGTATCGATTGTTGCTCTGAAAAACATCTGATTTTAGAATTTTATTTAAGAAAATTTATCTTACCTTTGCAAAAGTGCTCCAATTTGTGTGGAAATTCCCATTTTTCTTCTTTCAGTTGGCATTTCTCCTTCTCTAATCATTTCCAAACTATTATATAAAGTTCTTCCATAAACTGAGCTCTCGAATTTGGTGCAAATTACTTGAATTCTTTGACGACATTCATCTTCTTCATTTGGAATCACAGCCAAAGTATGAATAATTAAATCAGCTGGATTGAAATTGTGGGGACATGCAAAACCACTATCTTCGAAGAACTGAAACACAATTTTTGAAAATTAAAATGAGAGAGCTCTTATATTTTTGATATAATTTTAGATATTTCCTGTAAAATGTCATGAGATGGCAAAGTTGCTGTTTTTGTCTTACATTTTTTGAATGTTAGCCTCTATAGTTATTTTATCTGGAATTTCCCAAAATCTTGAAATTTTTCTAGAATTTTCTCTAATTGCGCAATTTTTTCAATGAATTACTATTGAAATTTATTTTCTTGATTTTTTTCGTGAGAATACACCAGCCTACTTTGCGATCATAACTATTTTCTCTGTTTTTTTTTGCAAATTACCTGAATAGCATCCCTTGGCGAACCCAAGAACGCAGTTCTTCCACCAGCCATAAACATAACTCGATCAAACATCAAATAAAGTTGACTTGATGGTTGATGAATTGTACAAATCACAGTTCGTCCACTTTTCGCCAAATTGCTCAAAACTTGAACAACAGATTCGGCCATAAAAGAGTCAAGTCCAGTTGTTGGCTCATCGCAGAATAGCACTGGTGGATTTGAGAGAAGTTCACAGGCAAATGTTAATCTTCTCATTTCTCCACCAGAAATACCTTTTGTTCCGCCGATTGAACCAATTCGAGTGTTTTGACATTTGAAAAGGCCGAGTTGAGAAAGAACACTTGTAACACGACGACGACGTTTTTCAGCATCGCCGTTCACTCGAAGTTTGGCCTGCAAAATTAAAAGAGATCTTGATCAAAAAGAAAAATCTTCTGATTTTTGATTCTCTCTATATTTGTTTTTTTTTTCGTTTTATGTTTCAGCTAATTAAATTAGAGTTGTTTTTCTGGTCTCCTAATTTATTTAAAGTCCAAATAGCATAAATTACCTGAATATTCAAATATTCTTTAACAGTCAAAGTTCCAACAAATAATTCATCTTGTTGCGCATATCCACTAATCGCTGTTATTTTTCTTCCCAATTCATGTCCATTCACTTTAACACTTCCACCAGTTTCCAATCCTTTCAAATTTCTCGAAAGCAACATATTCAAAAGTGTTGTTTTTCCGGCTCCACTTGCTCCCATCAAAGCTAAAAGTTGTCCTGGTCTCGCAACTCCTGATACATTTTGCAAAATCTCTTTTCCCGTTGATGTTGCATTTATGCTAATATTGTGCCATGTTAAGGTAACAGGATCAACTGCTTCTAAAGCACTGGTGGCCAATGAAACAGCAGCACCATATTCAGATTGACCAACTGACAGCAAACTACACGTTTCGTTTGCCATGAATACTGGAAAATGTGAGAAATAATGTTCAAAAGGAGCAGTCAACAAATATTCAGGGCTTCATTAGAAAATATCAAAAATGTCTGAAAACACACGTTGTTCTCGGGAATATAAAAATTCGGAATTTCTCGAAAAAACAAAATAAAAATATTACAGTAGGAATGCCCAAGACGCACACAACAATGTGTTTGGTCTCGCAACGATCGACCTAGTTTTTTTCATGTTTTTTCAAAAACCGTAGTTTTTTATTAATTTTTTCTCTACTTTATTCAATCAAAAATCATAAAGTACTTATAAGTAGTCAAAAAAAAACTAACCAATGAAAAATAATAATTTCCCTTATCATATCGTTGTTCGTTGATAAGAACAAGAGCTCTTTGCTCTACTCTTTTTCGATGTCTAAGATTTTTATTTATCAATCAAAAAAATTTAATGAAAGGGGGAATTGGAGATTTGTGAGAAATTCCAAAATAAAATAATTTTTCTATTTGCTCAAGACATGTGCACTTCATTTCATTTCAAAAGATTCTCATATGAAAATTTTGCATTTTTGCTTTGCTCATTTTTCATCTGAAAACTAAAATGTCATCATTCTGTGCGTATTTTATAGTTTTTCTTATTTTCCAAGAAATCACAATTGGTACAGTTTCATTGTTTGAGAATTTGAAATGTTAAAAAAATATTTTTTAGGACTGGCGATAGCCATTTATAACAAATTCTCACCTCAATGGTTAATTATAATTGTTTGTCGAATTCTACAGTATCCCACATGTTTTCTGGCAATTTTTGGAGTTCGAAAAAGTAATCCAGCAATGATTGTACCATTTATGTTATCACAGGTGAAAACAGTAATATATTTCCAAGTACAGTAACCATCTTTTTGCAGGTATCTCTTGGTTCTTATGCTGATTTGCATACTTATATTCAACTTGTATCACTGTGTAATTCTTCATCTTCAAAAGAATCTTTTGTATTTTCAAACCCCATCATTTTAATTGTCTTACCAGTTTTGATTTATTCTTCACTTTTAGTCATTTTCATATATTCAATGTATACAATTGTTAGAGAAATTACGGTATCACGTGGAATTGTTCCGCATAGTATTCAGGATGAATATATTTTGTAAATAATTTTCGAAATTAGTTCGAGCAAGTTGCAATATTTGAAATGAACAAAATGCATAAATTTGAAAAAAAAATTAATTTTTGAACGTGACTTATTTTTTTGAAACCTCAACATTTATTTCATTTTTCCTTCATTTTTTAATATTTTTTTCAACACCAAGTTGTCTTATTTTTTGCAAAAAATTATATACAAATATCTATGGATAAAGCAAGCAAAAAATTGAGTGGAAATTCAAATACGGTGCAAAAAATCATTGCAGTTCCCGATCAAAATTTGCCGAGTTCATACTATACTAAAAAGATTGTTCTACTGTGTATTTGTCTGAAAAAATTTGCGGAATATTGTTTTGTTCTGGCTGTCACATTTTTTATTGTTCCTTTGATATTGGTCTGGTTGTATCCACATATGGTTTTGAATTTGGAAAATGTCACAGGTAATATTCTAATAGTTAATTTTTTTGAAAACAATGTTTCAGAATGGAAAACATCACCATCTACACCGATACAAAAATTTCAAATGACAACAATCAAAATGGCTGGAGTTAGTGCACAAATTTGGTACAGAACTGGAAGCTTTAGAATATCGAACATTCATTCACCAAAATATATATCTCTGAACTCGTATAATCCAGAAAAACAAGGTTATAATATTATTTTCTGTGATCCAACTCAACACAGACATAATCGATTTACATATCAAGAATATATATCAATTATTAAAGTTTGTTATTTATGGGTCAAATCAAAAGTTGGAACAAGTTCAGTCTATTTAGCAGCTGACAATCATTTAGCAAAGTATATAAATAATTTTAAAGTTTTTGATCAATACAAGAAATTTCAGCATTGCTCTCGAAGCTGCTATTCATCTACAACCAAAATACAAAATCGATAAGATTTATCTGAAAAACCCTGTTGCTGATTTCGCGGAAAGATATCAAAATAATGGAATTCTTCAAGGAACTTTTTTGATACCATCAATTCGTCAAAGTGTCATTGAGTATGTATTTCGGAGAAGTGGATTAACATTTTCGAATTTTGATGAACGTCTTCAAAAATATGGAATTGGTACTGTTGTGATTAACCCTATTGATAACCGGGGCACCAAATCAGTAAACTGAACATATTTATAGTGTTTCATCAATAAACTAATTTTTCTAGAAAATAAACTAACTTTTTCTGAAATTGGAGACAGTTTTTGACAAAGTTAAGAATTTGAATACTTTTTTTCAGTCAAGAAAATCATTTCGAAATTTCCAGAATGAAATGAAAAAATCAATTTACACCAACCTCCCGAACATTCTTGAACAAAATTATTCACATGAAAATAACTTTGGAGCAAGTTAGAGCTCCAGAAAGAAGCGACTCTGGTAATCAGTTCCGAGTTTTTTCACGTCATAACTCATGTTAGGATCTTGTTAAGTATATCCCTTATTTCAGAAATCATAATTCAACGCCAGCATTTCTCTGGAAATATTCCAACAACCCCTAATTATTTACTTCTCTAGCAAAAAGCAAGAGCTACTGTACCCAATTTGTCTCTTCCGTGTTTTTTCCGAAGGTATATATTATTTCAGAAAAAATATAGATAGCAAAATATTAATTATATATAATTTATTATTTTCCACATTTCTCGTTCGTTTCGTTCTTAACTAGCTACTGGAACGCAGCAAAAAAATTCGCACATTTCTCAAACAGAATTTATGTATGTCTATGGGTGTTCTTTTTTTTTCTTCTTGGGAGATCGAATTATTCAAATTTTTCGCATCTGTGTGGGACCACACAAAAAACTTCTGAATGTGGAATTTGTTTCTAGGGGAGAACACGAAATTCAGAAAAAGAGGAGAGGAAAAAACAACTTTTGTGTTTTTTTTTTGACATCTTTTTATGCTAACTTTTGTGTTACCTTTTTGTTAGTCTTTTAGTCTCGAGAAATTGAAAACGAAGAGAAAACACATTTGTCTTCTAATTAGGCCTTCGAGATGTCTTCTTTTTAGATATGATAATTGCGGCTGTTCGCCACTTTTTTCGTGTTTTTGAGCTTTGGTTTTTCGAGATCCGATTGTTAATCGGAATGCAGGATTTTCGAAAGTTTTTCTTTCGAAACCACCTGGCGGCGAGTAAGCATAACTCTGGCCTGGTGTCCAATTCTTTCGATTGAGCCAAATGTTTTCCCCGATATTTCTACTTTGGGAATTCAGTTATTTTTTTTGCATTTCTCGATAACAATCATTGATTTTAAATTGCATGGAATAGAAGCGCTATGCAGCTCTTTAGACTTCTAGAAATTTCCTCGTGTTTTTTTTTTGAAAATTCAATCTTCGATTTATGAGCCATGATTTTTTTTTTTTGAAAAATCAATTTTCAAATTGAAAGCTCGCAGACATAAAGCTTTGCAGTTTTGTTCAAGAACAATTTTCAGATTATTTTAAGCTCCTATAAGTTGATTATCTTCAAATATTTCTTTCTCCTATTTCTCAACAAATTGCTGTACACGTTGAATTTTTAAATACTCTGTTTAGAGAAAATTGGCTACCTTCTGATCTCAGAAACGGCTCTTTATAATATATCAGATCTGAATTTTGTTTTATCATCATCAAATACAAACTCCAAAATGTGTTTTGAAAACAACTCTAAGAAGGACCTCCCTAATAAATGAAATAATAATAGTGCAAAAATATTTGTCATTTTTTATGAAGTCTTATTCCGTCGTTTTTGCTTGTCATGTTTTTTTCCACTTTTTGTCTTTGGTTGTTTTCGAAAAACACCATTTTTCTGTTGTTTTTGCCTCCTCCTCCCATTATTTTTCTCAATTTTGTTTTACGCAAAAATGCACTTTCTATGATTGAAAACTGAACTTTTTTCTTTTTTTTTCTTATTTTGTAGAGGCGAAGTGGAGTAAAAAAGTTCCAACTCTCGTAATTAGGTTAGCCCCCAAGTAGAATGTTTTTTTGGTCCTGGTCCAATCTTTGTTCTTCTTTTTCAGATTTTCCGGAATCTTGTTTGTCATTGAAGATTTGGGATCAAATTTCAAATTTCAAATTTTATTACATTTTTTCTATTATTTATGATGAATGCATGAATGAAATCCTATTTTTGTCTGAACTCCATCTTAATCTTTTTCTAATTATTTTTTGGTGTTCTTTTTTCTCGGAAGAGGAGGAAATAACGGAAATCTATATGTTTCCTTTTCATGTATGTGTCAAAAAATATTTTTTTCGTAAAATTGTGTGTTTTTGACATTCATTTTTTTGGTCTTTTCTGAAAAAAAATCAAGAAAAAATAGTTGATGATTCAATAAACATCTGTTTTATTCAGTTTTTTCTTTCATTCTTTCTTTCTTGCTAAATAAACATAAACATATCACAGATGTCTTAAAATCTTGAGATGTTTTTAAAAATTCATTTTCCTGGAAATAAAGTGTTTTCATTCATTCGATTCGAACAAAAACAAATATTTATGCTGCTATCCAATTTTTTCATCTTTGTATTTTCAAAGAAATAAAAAATTCCGCTCGCGCTAGAAATCGAACCTTTGGCCTTTTTCTTGATAACCCGGTGTGTTACCACTTGCGCTATTTATCAACAGTGGCTCTCAACGCGCTGTTTCCTACCAGAGTCGATTTCTAGACGTGGATCCTGGACAATTAAATTCTCTAGGCGTAGCTACTTGCCTTTCTACAATCGGATATTTCGCACACAAGCTCTAATGGCTTCAAAAATTATATAATGATCGTTAATTGTTATATTTACGAATTCAGCACATAATTCTTGCTTTTTGAAATCACGAACCTGACAAAAAATGATATTTTTACACTTTCTGCTGTCTAAAACACAAAATGTTTCATTTTATTTCATTTCCAGTGTTTTATAAATGAAATTGAAAAATGTGCGAAAAAATGCAAAAAAACCGGAAATCCGGAAAATATTTCTCGAAATTTCTAATCGAATAACTAGAAGAAGAAGTACTTTTGAAATTTTTCATATTTTTCCACGAAATGAAATGAAAAATATTCTGTTTTCCCGCATTTTCAAGTTTTTTGCACTTCATATTGTAAATACTTGTATTATTTTTCAAAAATCATAATTTTTTGTTTTGCAAAAAATTGGCTCAAATTTTCCTTTTAAAGATATTCCGATGATACTAATTTTTCGATTACTGTAAATTTGTATTTTTTGGATTGAACATTTTGTAATCATATACTGGAAGATTTTAGTCTGAAATTGGAAAAAAAATCAAACTCAAAAAAAATTTCAGAAAAATAGAGACTACAAAAATATGAGACCAAACACTAAAACGTTCTATTTAGCTCAAGTTTTTATAATCGAATTATCAAAATTCTAATTTTCCTCGAATATATTTATCATTCTTCTTGATTTTCTCTCTCTCTTAAAATTCAAAATAAGAAAAAAATAAGGAAGCAAAAGGAAAGTTTTGCTTCTCAAATATGCATACATTTTTTCTCGTTTTTCTTCTTTTTTTTGATCCATCATGCATAATGTGTTAAAGTACCTTTGCAGTTCTCATAAAAAACCCAATAAATATTTGGGTCGGAAACTGCTTTCATATGTTGACAATTTAACCAAAAATGCATTTTTCGGTAGTAATAATAAAAATAATAACAACTCAGAAGGTTAGATAGCTTATGAATTCTTGATTGAAAAGTCACGCGGTCGATTTTATGTGCTTGCTTGGAGAAATGATTTATTTTTATGATATTGCTTCATTTTTTGAGTTTCAGTGATTGTTCAGTTTTTTTTAAAAGAGGTTTTGGAACTTCAGAATTTATAGAATTTAGGACCGATCATATTCGAAATAGTTTTATTAGGCTTATCGAAAAAAATTCTGGCACTTCTAGTTTCTGTAACCAAAATTTTGTTGAAAAGTCCCTTGATGACTCATTCATTTTCCTCTTCGTCTTCTTTTTTATTAAAGTCCCCTGAACTTGTAATTACAACAACACGCAACGAAGCCAATTATGGCTTCAAAGTTTTTTTTTTGCGCAGAGCTCATCACAGGAGCAAAAAAATAGATGAAAAAAAGAGAAAATTTTGACGCGGTCTATTGAATTTTTGATGGATTGAGAAAAGAAAGTAGAGGTTTCTGGGCGATGAGAATTTAAAATTAATTATTTGGCAACAAATTTGGGATAGAAATATCTATTTAAATTCGAACTTTGGTGTCAAATATTATTTTTTGATGTTTTAGTTTTGATAGACTTCAAAAGCCAAATTGTTTTATATCGAAATATTCTTAGAAATGCTATTCCCTAAGAGTTTCGAACCAAATTTGGAAAATCAAAGATTTCTTCTTATTTTAGTAGATCAACAATCATTCGGAAAAGGGTCTAATTAAATGCGCGCAAGATAAATAAGTATACTTATACTTATAGACATTTAATTGCAGTGCTCTCTGAAATTTCTCCAACTAATTCAACTTCTCGTTATGTATTTATTCCGACGTTTTTTGTGGGCGTACGGAAATATTTTCAAACATTTGATTTGATGAATAATTAATCGCCGGGTTCATAACCGCCTCTTCAGAGAAAAGAAAAAAGAAGTTGTTATTTAGTAAAAAGTAAGAAATCAGAGTTCTTCGAGAGAACTACAAAAAATGAGGGTTTTTGATTTTCTCAGGAGTTGTTTGTTATTTGTTTCACGAACGTGAGAAGTACAAAAATAAACTTTTTGAGTTTTAGCATTGAAATATTGAACATGTGACTATTTGTGAGAACATCTAATATGGATTATTCTTAAACTATTTTTTTAAAGTCTCCTGTTTTTCTAAAGTCAAATCAATCAGATTCACAACAAAATTTTGACCACCATATTTTCTCTTTCCAAAATTACCCCCAAAAAATAGCTCCGCCCCCGAAATTTGTTCCATGTCAATCAACACATTTTTTCTCATCATCATCATCATTTTTGTGTGTGGTGTCAATTTTTTCTATTTCTAACCTAAAACGAATACAAATTGAATTCGAATTGAATATTCGTTTGCTTTAATGAGTCAGATTGTGATGTGTGTTTTGGAGCTAAAAAATCAGAGGCGCAAAATGTTTGCTTCCCAGGTTTTGAATTTCAATGGGGTCAAAAATTGGCGCTAATTTTTTAGCTTTCGCTAATTGATGGATTTCCGGTGGGAACTAGATTTTATAGCTTATACTTCCGGCTACTTTCTAGATTTCTAGAAAAATAGTTACATCACTTGAGAGAGAGAAAATGATGTTTGATCATTTTTCTCTGGATCCCATCTGGTTTTTTTTCGGACCCTTTTCTCTTTTTGAAAAATGTGTCCTCATCGAGTCGCGCGCGCAACATTTTTAAACCCGTTGTGAATCTCTATTTTTTGTTGTTTTGTTATTGCCTCCCTCAAGAGACACAATCCGTTGTTTTTTTTTTCGTGTTGTTTGACATAGAAATCTTCGTCGTGGCTCATTAAAATGCACATTTTATAGATATTTCTAGTTTTTCTAGAGATTTCTTTTATACGGAAATCGACTTTTTTAGTGCTAGATAAGTTTGTAGAAAATCGGAAATTTGAGAGTTTTGAACTTTTTTTTGGCTCTCTCTTTCTGACAAAGTGATGTGATGTCTACTAGAAACTGAAAGTTTTAGAAAAAGCACGAGAAATTTAATACTAGGTTTTGATTTTTGGAGGGTAACTTTGAAATTTAGAATTCATAGTTCTTGAAAAAAATGCGTTAGAACCACGTGTGATTTTCAGATAATTTCACCCGAGAAACTTCAAACTTTCGAGTACAGTGTAAACACAGAATGTCAAATGAAAAAAAAACAGTTTTTCACAGAATTTGCAAGAAAACATTCAAATTCCAACTGTTATCCCCTTGGCCATGTAACAAATTTCCCACATAAAATCTAGTGCCAAACTTTTTATTTCTCAAATCCTAAATTAGTATTCAACTCTAGATCAGAAAATCCTGACTTTTCCGAATTGTTCATTCTGTGTTTATGTGATTTTTGAGACCGGTGTTTGTGTTTTTCGAAAAATAGTTCGGAAACTCCTGGTTGTCACGCAAAATTTTAATTCCAAGAATTATTTTTTTCAATTTAGAAAATATTTTTTTAGTTTTGGTTTATGCCATGCAAAAATGTATTGATTCCTTACTTCAAAAGTTCCTGAATTTAATTTGTTTGAAAAAAAGTTTCCTACTTGAAGCAACCAATTCTGTGTACTAACACGAGTTTCAGAAACCACAACTCAACACCAAAAAACAGTCAATCCTCAAACATTTCCACTTATTGTTATTTTTCCCGAAAATATTTTTTGTTTTCAACATTATTATTATTATTCAATTATCCATCAGTTTACCAAAGAAAAAACGTCAACAAAATTATTTTTTCTTCTGTGCCAAAATGGTTAATTAACCTCATTTTAGTTAGTTTAGTGCTGAAACACTCAACAAGCTCCGCCCATTTTTCTGTTTCTCTCGAACTCTCTCAAGGAGATCTCGTATTTTTGACTCTCCCCACTTATTTTCGGGGAGAATAAGGCATTTTCATAGAATACCATCTTATTATTATTTTTTTGATCAAAAGGTCATTTTTGTTCCTTTTTTTGAAACTATCATCGTTTTTCTCAAAACTCTAATATTTTTAGAAAATGGAGTCTACTGAAAATAATACATGCAGAACAATACAAGTTTATGCGCCAGAACTATTGGATATGAAAATGTTGCAGATATTTTTCTCATTTTTGTATTTTCTCGTATGGGTGACGGCTATTGTTGGAAATACTTTGGTTTTATATGTTCTTTCTGTTACTCAGGTTAGTTGAGGAAGTAGATCCATCTTCAAAAAAAATGGGATGGGAACAATGAGAATCTAGTGAATGAATGAATATAATCGAATTTCCTTCCGTTTGCTGATGCAAGGATTATGCAAAAAATTTGGGGGAAACGCGGAGGAAGCTGATTTATGATGGGGAAAAGGAAATATTTGAGAAAACTAGATCGAAAAGTTCTAGATAAGTTTTCAGCTGCATAAGGTTATGAATAGTTTCACCTGCAAATATGCGACGTGATATTTAGGAAAAAGATCTATGCCTGAATGTAAAAATGAAGTCAAAAATTTTAACCTCAATTTTTTCAGCTGTAAAAAGTTCAGCACCTCAGAAAAAAAAACTTTTGCATTTCAAATTACTTGAGTTAGTTTTTGACACGTCATTACCAGGAAATTTCTGAATGAGAATATCTGAAAAATTATGTTTTGATTCTCCAATTCCCTAATTATTAGTTTTCTGATCAGTTTCCTTATTTGCAAAAAAAATTATAGGCAACAAATCGGTAATTAATTTTTCAAAATGAAAAATACTTATTCCATTTCTGAAACCAGTCAGATATATCAATTGATTCAATTTCTAGATTTCGAATCGAAGATTCCAAAATTTAAAGTCGAGATCCTGGAATGCTTGAAATTACTTTCCAAAACCTTGAAATATTTCAGGTCTCGTTATCAGTTCGAACTGTATTTGTTGGATGTCTTGCAACTTCCGATCTTCTTATGTGTCTTTTTTCTCTTCCAATTACAGTTATCACAACATTCACAAGAGAATGGGTTTTCCCCGCAATTTTTTGCAATATTGTTGGAGTTTTTCAAGGTGGAAGTATTTTTGTGTCATCGTTTACACTCACTTTCATTGCGTTGGATAGATGTATGCTTATTTTGAAACCGAATAAAGAGGTGAGTAAAGTTTAATTTAAAAATGAATCTGATGGAAAAAATAACTATGGCTATGAAAAAATCCGAAGATCATTCATTAAAAATTAATTAGCTCATACGAATTCTGTTGAAAAATGCAGGATTCTGCAAAATCTCAATTTCAGTCAAACACAATTTTTTGAGTGGGTTCTGTTTGTTTTACGAAAAATCGTATTGTTAGAATCAACTTGACCTTTAGATGATATAGCTTACATTTCGAAATAAAATAAAGTTCAAAGAATGGGTTTTTATTAGAAAAAAATTCCAAGTGCCACGTCATAAACATTTTTGTCTATGATTTCTGTAACTCAATATGCACTTTTACATGTATTTAGTAACCAGTTTTTTGACCAAACACCATATCCAAAAGTCTAGCAGCAAAAAATTGTGTAATATGATTTTCTTCGTTTTTCCTCTCCTTCTTCTTTCTGTTTTTTTTTACTCATCCATGGATTTTCATCTCATCTCATTAGTTATGAGATGTATGTTCTTTTGAACATAAAAAAGTAATAAGTATGTATAAGGTTGAAGTTTGAGATGTTAGTTTTACATTGATGTCACAAGAAAAAAGTGACAGTAGAAAAACTAGAATAATTATTTGATTTTAAAAATCCGAAGCGAGCAATCCAGCAAAAATTTTACAACTTTTTTGAACTCGTGAATATTTTTTTCTCGATTTCTTTAATCACGGTCAACTCAGAAATCAAAATCTTATCCGAAAATGAAGACGTTTCCCGATTCAAAAATTGTGAAACCTCAATAAAAAAGGAATATTTACAGATGGTGAATTATTCACGTGCCTATCTAATTGTTGGATTCATTTGGGTTCTTGGTTATAGTCTTGCACTTCCACTTGGCGTCTTCAGTAAAATCACAAGTTATGATGATCTTTGTGGTGCATATTGTGAAGAAGCTTGGCCCGATAAAAAATATCGACAAGGTTACGGTCTAACTGTTTTAGCCTTACAATTCGGAATTCCAACAATAATTTCATCAATTTGTTATTATATGATAAGTCAAGTAATGTCATCCCAATTAAAAAGAAGAAGAGGAGCAATGACAAAACTTCGACCAGAATCTGAGGTCAAATTAGTTAGTCGAAAAACTCGAGCAAATCGAATGATGATTTTTATGGTTGTTGGATTTGTTCTCGCTTGGATGCCATTTAATTTGATCAATTTATATCGAGATCTGATAGCGAGTGAAGAATTGTCAAGCTGGTACAGCACTGTTTTTGTATTTTGCCACGTTTGTGCAATGTGTTCAGCAGTTGTCAATCCAATTATTTATTCATGGTTCAACCCATCGTTCAGAACAAGTATATTAACGGTTTTGAAAAAGTATAGTGGAGGACAAAAAGGAATGGGAGGAACACAGAAAATGGTGAGGTTTTTTTTTTGAAAAAAAAACCAGATTTGATGATTCCACAAGATAACCTTGTTTGAATTTAATTCTAAAAACCTACACGGTGCTAATTTTCAGGCCCATATTAATCTCATCTAAAATTGTCATAAACGATACTTTATTTTCAGACCCGACCTGATACAAAAGTCACAATCGCCAACGGCAACGATTTTCAACAAGGCGATCAATATTTATGAAATCAGGTCTAAATTCCTAACCTAAATCTAGTTCCAATTGTTCTTTTCTTGCTCATTTATTTTCACCGGGTTTCTACGAAAATTTTAAATATTTATTTCCATAAATCTGATTTTTTGATTTGTTCTATGGAAAAAGTTTGTTTTGTTCATCAAAAAGCGATTTGCATGAATTATTTTAGGACAAAAAATGGTGTGTCCTCGAGAAAAAACAGTAGTTGTTTGAACTCGAAATTCTCGAACTGTGAATGTCAGTGATCAACAAGAAAATATCAAGAAAAGAGTAAGTTTTTACGGATTTTTTTTCAAAAGATTAAATTTTAAAAAATAACCGTAACGTGGACATATTTTTTATAATACGTCATTTAAAACAAACATTTTTGTCATTTTGCCATTTTGAAATTTTGAAAAAAAAACTAACTTGAAACGCGCATAGTTGAAAATCGTATATTTTGGATATTCTCATCAATTTTTCATTCCGAATAAAATAGAGGACATCGAGAAAAACCAATGAACCATGAATTATCGAATCAGAAGTTGTTGAAGATATGGCAAATCTCTTATTTTTGATTGATAATCTCTACCTGCAAAAAAGTATGGTTTTTGAATTTTGAAAAAGTGATTTACCATATCGATTTCAATTTGTCTCAAACATCAAAACATTGGAAAATTACATTGACAAATTATAATATTGCTTATGATAACCACGAGTTACATTGGGATTGTGAAATTGATGCTTCGATTTGAAATCACGAGCCTTTCGAGTTCTACGATTTCGATTTCAACGATGAAATTCAGCGATTTTTCAACTTCTTCATAACAACCTTTTGAACATCGTGAAAATCGCCTTTTTGTTTGAATATCCATCGAATCGATTATCATAATTTTCATTTCATGCGGCATATCAAACCATCCTGTTTTTTCCTCCAATTTCATTTTCTTGGCTGCTGACGCCATTTCTGCAAAAACTTAGAATTTTACGTCATTTCAATGGGAAATATGGCATAAAATGCGAAAGAAAACTGTAGCCTTGAAAAAAAAAAGAAAAATGTTTTTTTTTGAATTTAAAAAGTGGCGCGTTGTCAGCGTTGTCAGCGTTGCGAGCGGAGTGTCGTTGTTTTCTTTTTGGTTTTTGTCTCGTCGCAAACAAAACGGTTTAATTTACAGAATCGAACTAGCTGCTCGTGAAACACCATGGGGTTCTGTTTATATCGTCTCAATTCTTCTTATGCTTCTCGGAGTTCAAATGAGTATATATTTCACATCAACATGGCAATATTTATCGGAAACTGATCCGACTGCAACTGTTGACTTTTTTGGTGCAATTTTGGCTTTGACTGCTTTGGCTGGAGCGTTTGTGAGTTTTTGTTGTAAAGTTTCTGATAATGTTTTTAAATTCTAGGGAAATCCACTTCTTGGTTGGTGGAATCAGAAATCTGGCTCGACTCGTTATCCGGTAATTGTTGCTTTTGGAATTGCGGCGATTGGAAACTTCATTTATGCGTTTGCATATTTATCACCAAATATAAAATACACTATGTTATTTGCCAGAATTTTGACTGGATTTGGACCGGGAGCTTTGGGTGTTCTGAGAAGTTTTGTTGGAACAGCCAGTACAAAAGCAGATCGAATGAAAGCAGTTTCAATTGGAAATTGTGGATTTACTGGAGGGTTTTTCATTGGACCTACTATTCAGGTTCGTTTGATTATTCAATTATTTTTGAATATTTCCGATTTTCCAGATTTGTTTTATTCCCCTTGGCAAAATTGGTTACGAATTTTCAATCTTCCGTTTCAATATGTATACAACTTGCGCACTCTTCATGACAGTTTTCTCAATTTTTTCTGTCATTCTCACAATTTTTTGTCTCAAAGAAAACTATGTGGGAATAATAAGTAATGAGGACAAATCATCCGATCCATTCTTTGTTCTTCCGAAGTTTGATAGATCTCCAGTGTTTCTTTTATATTATATGTGGTGGCTATTATGTGGTACGGTATGTGTTGAAAGTATGGCTGCGCCGTTAACAATTGCAATGTATAGTTGGAATCCCGAAGATGCTGTACTTTATAATGGAATTATACAAACTGTTGGATGTGCTATCACTTTTTCGGTCAACTTTTGCCTGGCGAGTACAAAGCTGAAAGATGTGTGAGTTGGGGAGAGGAAGATGGGGGGGGGGGTCTGTAGAAAATTAGTTTCATCAGAAGTTGGAAAAATCAAACATTTCATACAATAAACTTGTAAAATCCCACGAGATGAAAATTTGACAAATTCTTAGAGCATCTAATTTTGTATCAAACTCTCATGTTCCAGTGATAATCGTATTCTTCTATTAGTTGGTCTATTTTTCTTTGCCATATTTTTCGTCTTTCATCTCCCAAACCCATTATATCCTGGTCCCTTGGATGGTCTTTGTGATTATGATTGGTGTTCTTCGACCCCACGAGTTCCTCTTTATTTATATTTATTTATTGCTTCTGTAGTTTTGGGTGTCGGATTTCCATTAATCTCATCTTCGAGCAGCTCTTTGTTGAGTCAAATTTTGGGTCCAAGAAGACAAGGAACAGCGCAAGGATTTTTCGCGTTCACCGGATCGTTTTCGCAATTTGTTGTATCATTGTTTTCGACGTGAGTTTTTTCTGAGTGCGAAATAGTTTGGAAACATACCAAAGGTTTTTCTGACAGAAATACATTTCAAAAATGTATTCTTTGTTGCTCAATAACGTTTCTCTAGGCCAAAAGCTTTTGCAATTGTGCGGCATGGTTTTCTTGAACATTTTTCAGAAGCCTATTCAATGCCAGCGGCTACAAATGGATAATGTGTTATCATTTAGCCGTGGTAACATTTGCAATCCTTGGTGTTTCTATTCTTTGGCCACGTTTGACACCATTGAAAATCACACCAACACCCGAAACACCCACCAAATACAAAAGTGGAACATTCTACAGAATGTAGAATTTTCTTTTCTGAATATCGATTTTTTCGCTCTGGTAGTGAAATAAGTATAAGTATGTATATAATTTTTATTTATTTATTTATTGAATTATTATAGGGAATGTGATGAGATTTTCTGACAAAAAAAATATTTTTGAAAAAGTTTGTGAGCATTATTGGGCTAAGAATGGCTGGGATGGGAAAAAATGGGAGGAAAGGAAGAAGAAATCCTGAGGGTATATAAAAATGGGATATAAATAAAATGTATGGAATAGAGGTAACATTTCTTTGAAAAAGTCCCTCTAAACCAATTTTTCAAAAAAAAAAGAAGAATAAACACATCTACTTACAAATATCGACTTGCGTCACATTTTTACACATTTCGCATACTACCTTACAACACCATTCAAATTTGCAATTGCATTTTTGTTGTACTTCTTGCGTATACGTATTATATCCACGACCGCAACACAAACTATCGCAACCTGCGGCACCGGAAGCGCCACGTTGGCAAATTCGACCTTCGGTGCCCAAAGTTCCTGCACTTCGATCATATCGACAATAATCTGGAGAATCATCCATGAAAACGAGATCTGTTGGAAGAGCACGAGTTTTTCGCTCTTTTCCTGCTGTTTCATCCATCATTAATTGAAGATTTCCTCGATCATTTATCTGTAATTAAAAAATGTATAATTAACACCTGGATATGCCGAGATATACTACTAACCTGTACTCGAATAGCTTTCTCATACTTATTCCTCAATATTTTTCCAACTTCATCCATTGATGGTAATTGCATCCAACATGTTTTCATATTACATGCTCCTGAAACACCATGACATTTGCATTTTGGCCTCCGTTGTCTCTTCAGAATTTTTCGGCCGGCTTCATTATTTCGTCGGTTCATCAGACTTCGTCCATTGCCACTGTTACGTTTAGGATCGTGCTCTTTTTCACGGATATCGATGAAATCACTGCAAAAAAATTGCTTTCAGTTTTATGTCAGAAAAAATATTTCGAGTCTGAATCAACTTTTTTTTCAACTCACCGTGAGAATTTATAACCATATTCGACATTATCACCACATCCTCCCCAACTGAAATCACTCTTCACATTTTTCGGTTTCTGTTCATCCGAACAACCACAAGATGTCAATTGTCCTTGTTTACATCGTCTTCCGATTTCATGTGTCACACCAGCTGATAATATGGCATAAGTAAATGCAGCTTCTCGTGTTGCAAACTTATGAATTGGTCCAAGATGTCCACTTCCATAATGTGTTGAACAATTCCATCGATGACCGTTGAATTGTTTTTGACATTCTTGAATGGCATTGTGAGCACCAGCGGATACAGCAGGCATGTGATCTTTGAATAATTCACAGACTTGAGCTTGACCTGGGGATAGACCTTGTAGTTGTTTGCAGACAGGTCGAGGAGCACTGTGACCAGCAAGAGAAGTCGAGAGTTGGGCTACCGATGACCTGGAATTGAATAGTTTTAGATAGAGAGGTGGAAGTTGAACGAGAATACCTATCAGAGGTTTTGAGTGAATCTTTAATGATCACTAAACTCGTATTTTGAGACTACATATAAGGGTTTCTTCTAATGAAACACGGGAAGTCATTTTTCCAAACCTTGGCAGAATTTTTTTCCGAAAAAGTTCACTGTCCATAAATTTTTTTAAAAAATTCCACTTTTCAAAAAACTCACCACCAGGCTGCATCCAAAACTGATCGAATTGGCGGCGCCCAAAACACCACCAATATAAAAACTAGAAAATTCATGAACCGCAGAGAATTTTGAGAGCTGAAAAAACAACACTAGATATTTGTCTATTTTGGATGAAAAAAACGAGAAAAGGGTGTAAAAAAATAAAATATATAGGGGAGAGCATAAAATTGGAACGGAAATTTAAGTCGTTTTTCTTTTTTTTTCGAGAATTTTTTGTTGCCTTGAGGATTTGGATAAAGGAAATTTGATACAAAACAAAGTTCTTGAAAATGAAAATGAGAACGAAAATGGAAATTAATCCGCTTAAAAATGAAAAAAAAAACGTTCTTTTGAATTTTTGAAAATTCGAAGGTTCAAGGGAGAGACCTGGCGTGGTCAAGTGGATAACACGGGGGAATTAGAAAATAAAGGTGCTGGTTCAATTCTCGCTTAGAGCAAGAAAACGTTTTTTGGGTTGAGAAAACTTTGCAAACAACTTTTGCTTTTTGCGCGCAGAGCAAATTTGACCTATAGATTATGTTAATAATAATAATAATTTTCTATGTGTATGCGTTTATGTTTATCAGTGAATGCAGTCAGTCAAGTTGAACAAACACTTGTCTCTTTGCGCCCTATTTTCATGATGACAAGTACATAAATAAAGTTCAGCTCTCATATAATTTCGTATAGTTCTAGTTCTTGCCAAAAATTAAAATGGTGCCAATAATGGTGGGAGGAGAAGGGGGCTCAAATGACCAATGAGAGAAAAGAGAGTGTAGAGAAAAATTGGGGGAAAATTAGTGAAGGAATTTTTTTTGAAGCTGAGGCCTTTTTGAGACCGGAAAAGGGAAATAAAGCGAAAAAAGAGGAGAATCAAACATCGTAGTTTTTTAAATGGAAAATTGGACAATGAGCAAATGTTCCAAATTCTGTAAAACCGTTGAGCTTCTAAAATTTATTCAAGAAACTGATATAGAAACCTGTTACCAAAATCTCTGAAAACATTTCTCATGATGAGATGCTCTCAAATATCGAAGCTCATACTGAACACCAGAAAAGTATATTACAATCCTGGAATTTCAGAATCTTTGAAGAGCAGTCAGTTTCCATATACCAAAAACTTTCGGAAAAGTTCCAGAAAAAAACAAAGAGATCTCAAAAACCATCCCATCAAAATCAATAAAACACAAAAAAAGAGCAGTCAAAATATTGTGAAAAGAGAAAAATAGGGGGGAAAAGAGAATGGATGAAGAAAAGAGTCCCTGATGGTAATCAGTCAAATTGGTGTCAGCACGCCACACGAAGAAGAGAACAAGAGACGAAAAAGATAAAAAGTGATCAATCACTTTTTGTGTCTTTTTGTCAGGAGGTCCCAATATTTGTATTATTATTATTATTATTTATATCATCATTAATTATATTGTTTTTACTATTATATAATGTTGTTACATAAATAATATTATATATTTTTTAAAGAAATTCAGAGAGTGGGATTGGAAAAAAGATCCGATGAGTTCTACCTGGCTCTGATAACAAATTATGTATAATTCTTGAGAAATAAGCTACAGTAATTCAGTGGAATTTTGCTTTTGAAAAATAGAGACTTTACATTCAAAAAATAACAATACTTCTAAAACAAACAAACAAACACAAAAAAATATTTTTGGTGTGAAAAGGGGTGTGTTTATGTGTCCACCCTCTCCTCCCACAAAACAAATAAAAACAAACTTGTCAATCATTGCTAAACAGAACAGATATTATTTGGATAATCTTTCCCCTTTTGATATTTGCCGCCAAGTGTTTTTGTTTGTTTTTTCTGGGTGTGAAGTGTTGTTGGGTACTTTGAAGTTCACACCATTTTCCGCTTTTTACATTGGATGGTGTTTTTTGGATTAGTTTTTAGGAAAGTTGAAGTTTCAAATTTTCTGAAAATAATAAATTGTCAGAAAGAAAGTTTCTGTATAAAGCAACGTTTCTAAAAATATTTCGCAAAACAATGAACATTTCCAAATAATTGTCGCTTTTATGGTTCGTATTTGGTGAGTTCACACAAGTCAATGGAAATCTTTATTCTTGTGGCATATTGTTTAGTTCAATGATTTATGACAGAAACTTTAGATGTAATAACAACATTATTAGTCCTTGATTCTCTTCTGAATTTCTTTGAAATAGCAGATCGATAGGGTAAAATAAAATAAATATTCAAAATAGGATCAAATAAAATTGGCAAAACAATAATTGGATGAATTAAATATTCTTGTAAATCGCTTTGATATCCAAAAATTAAACAAAAATAATAAAAACCAAATGATGGAATGAAAAAACATAATGGTAATAAACATTGAATTGTTAAACCTTTTATAAGACTTTGAGTTTGAATTTGAGTTTGATATGATGTTTGTTGCTTTATTGCTAATTGGATTTTTGTACGGAAATATAAGGCTAGAATTGGTGAACCAATAGTGGAAATAAGGGTACAGATAAGATTCAGGAAATTTGGAAGGGTATTAAGCTTCAAATAACCTATTAGAATCCCTGAACTGGGAATATTTCTTGGGTCTGGAATATTTATTCCGAGGGATCGAAGTTGGGTCTCATCCCGAAATAGGATTATGCAGGACAGAATCTGAAACCTTATATTCAAATAAATCATAATCAAACAGTGAAACAAACTCACTGAGCTAAAAATCGATGGGCTGAAAAATATGAAATAGAATAACTTCAACTTTCTTTGATGTGATTTTGAATAATCTATGATTTTTACAAATTTATAGAAAATTGTGAAACACAGAGATATTTCGACTGCTCCGCCAAATGTTTGATGTAGCATGAAAATCAAGAAACATACTTTCGGATCTTGACAAAATCCATAACTTCGAACTTCGACTGGTATTTGACTTGCAATAAGTCGAGTTTGAATAAAAGTTAGCATTCCACCAACTAAAAGTTCGAGTACTGAAGTTTGTATCAAAAGAAATTTCAAAAATTTGAAGTTTTTCGGAGATTTCAAGAAAACGAAACATAAAAATGTGATATGGAATATGGCTACAATAGAAAAAGTTATAGGATATGCAAATGCGAGAATATTTCGAATCGTGCTCATTTGAAAAAATAATATGAACTTTCCATATTAACCATGCATGCTCAGGTTTTGGCTACAAAAAACACTTCAAACTTCCTAAATTTACTGCTTCATTAGTTTATCATCAGCGGAAATTCTATTTGAAGCTTAATCTTATAAGTCTTGAAATTTCCTGATCAAAACTTCAAGTTTTTACCGAAAATGTGATAAAAAGGAATTTATAAACTTACTCTAATTGACTTCTGTCGATAAAAACATGTTTGTCAAAAATTTTTATGTTTGAAAATTTTGAAAGCGAATCAATGCGTTTCACATTTTCAACATCAATAAAACATAATAATCTCACAGTCTGTTAAACATATATATGTATCAATAAAACAAGAAGTCATAAATTTTCTGAAGACACCATACGTGATCATCAATCAATTTTATCATCAAACAACTCAATCAAAAACAAAGACCAGTTGACAATTCACATTGCATTCTCATGCTTAGACATTTTGAGCAAGGTATTCCGGCTTCATAAATGAATGCTTGAGGTTTGACAGAAACATCATATGCACAATACAAATATGAACCCAACGATACATGTTTTTGTATAACACATCCAACTTGAGATGCTTCAGCCCATATCATTTGAATTGCGAATTTCATCATTGGATTCAGATTCTCCCAAGTTTCGCTTGTAATATATAACATTTGATAATTTCCTAGTTTTATTAGTTCGGATTTTATTGGTTCCCATAGACTTCGTACAATTTGTGAACTTGTGAAATCATCGCGATAATTGTGAAAATAGCAAACATCTTGATTACATGCGTTATGAATTAGGCTCTCATTCCATTTCTGAAAATACAACATTTGAAAAATTAGAGCAGCCCGAAGTTTTACTTGCACTATTCAGAAGTAATCTAAACTTTGATGGGTTTCTCAACCTTCCCCGGTTCAGAAAACTCACCATTTTTCTCATGTTTGTTGCTGTTATTAATTGAAACTCTTCTCTCATTGAATTAGCACTTCTCATTTTATTATGAAGATTTATGATATCTTCAGAGAAAGTTGTCAATGGATTTTGAGCAATTGAAATTGAAATGAGAAAAATGAGAAAAATCGGGAGAATCATGGCTTCTTTTTTTTCTCGATGGAAAAATGTGAAAGAATGAGAATTTTTCTGATGGATTTTTCATTTCAAGACTGTCTAGACTGTCTGCAATTGTTTGAACAGAAATCGGTTTCCTGGTAATTTCTGAATTCAATTCTTAAAATAAAAAAATTAATTGCCACGAGATATTTCACGTCTCAAATAACTTTTTTTTAAACTATTGTTTTTAATTGTGTATTCTTTACCAACATCAAACTAAAAATTCTGAACGAGATATTTTTCAGCGATAATTGTGCAGAAAGCATGAGTTCTCACATTTTATAATAATTAGTGCGCCTATTTTCTGTTTTTTTCACATTTTTCCAAACTCATATTTAGTTTGATCAACAAGATTAGAAAAATGCTCCGTGATTTTCTGGAACTTGCCTATCCAATTATTTTCACTATTATATTTATATTACATCTTCTTCTGCTTTTCCTAATTGTTTGGAAATCACCAAAACATTTCAAATTTTTGAAATTTCTTTTGATACAAACTTCAGTTCTCGAACTTTTAGTTGGTGGAATGCTAACATTTATTCAAACTCGACTTATTGCAAGTCAAATACCAGTCGAAGTTCGTAGTTATGGATTGTGTCGCGTTTTTCAAAATCCAAAATTATGTTTCGTAATTTTCATGCTGCATCAGACTTTCGGCGGAACTGCCGCGATTTCGCTTTGTTTCACATTTTATTATAAATATGTGAATACTGTGGATCTGGCTTTTCATAAAAGAAAACATACATATTTTATAAGTTATTTTATGTTTTTCACACCATCGATTTTGTCATCAGTGGGTTTTTATTTTTGACGCTTCAATGAGTTTCAATTTTTCAGATTCTAAGTTTCATAATAATTTATCGAGATGAATTTCCAATCATTTTTGATGAAACCAGTTTATTGATAGGATACTTGAAAATCAACACTCTGCCAAATTTTTCAAATCTAATATGCAGTATAATATCTACCTTCGGTTCACCAATTCTCGCCTTATATTTCCGTACAAAAATCCAATTAGCAATAAAAAAACAAACATCATATCAAACTCAAATTCAAACTCAAAGTCTTATAAAAGGTTTAACAATTCAATGTTTATTACCTTTATGTTTTTTCATTCCATCATTTGGTTTTTATTATTTTTGTTTAATTTTTGGATATCAAAGTGATTTACAAGAATATTTAATTCATCCAATTATTGTTTTGCCCATTTTAGTTGATCCTATTTTGAATATTTATTTTATTTTACCCTATCGATCTGCTATTTTAAAGAAATTCACAGGCGAATCAAGGACTAATAATGTTGTTGTTACATCAAAAATTTCTGTCATGAATCATTGAGTCTTCGATCATGAGTTTTTATTTAATAATGAAAATTTTTATTATGTTGTGTAAAAATATGAAAATATTATCCGACATCATTTAATTTGGTAATAACCTTATCGCTTGGAACAACGTTATCAACTCCAGCTCCACCAGGCGCAGACTCCGCTAGAAATTTTTTGTTTGCTGGAAGATCAGAAGTGTAAACTCACCAAAGACCAACAAGAAAGCGGCAACAATTATTTTGAAAATATTCATTGTTTTGAGAAATATTTCTAGCAACCTTGCTTTTATTTTGAATTTTCTTCCCAAAATTTATGGTTTTTAGACAATAACATCCAAGAAATCAAAACGATTTTGATAAAAAAATCAACAAAAATAAGATCAATAAAATTATTGGTTTTCTTCGACCAAACAAACAAAATCTTCTCATGTCGGGAAATATAAATCTGGATTGGATTAGGATTAATCCAACATTTTTTGTAACTGAAACTGGAACAAAAGTCGTAAATAAAATTCTTCATTTTTCAGAAAACTACAATTAATTACAAAAAATAAAAACTTATGTATATATAATATATCACAATTTGAGCAACAGAAAACAATACATTAAAAAAAACAGTTAATAATCATCCTCTTCAGAAACTGATGTTATAATCCGGACTGGCATCAAAAGGCCATATTCTGCTCGAGATTTTCCAAATTCTTTTTCGAATTTTGATTTCATTAGGAGACGGAATTGAGCTTGAGCAGAGTTGCGCCGGAATGACTCAGGACTGAAAAACAGGTTTCAGATGCAGAGAGAAAATACATGTTGAAAATTTTCAAAAAAAAATCTGAAAGATATACGTTTCAAAAAATGTATTGTTTTCATTGCGTTCAAATTGAAATATTTGCGCAATAGAAAAATTTTATCATATAAATTAATTTTATTTTCGAAAATAAAACTAACCCTGGAGTTGTTGGTCTTGGAATCGCCAATTCTTCATCATCACAAATAATATGCTCAAAAACTTCTTGTTTCGAACAAAGTCGACGATAAACATAAAACATGAACATCACTGAAAAAAACAAATTATTTTTAAAAATTCACGTGAAAAATATTTAATCCCCAAACTAGAATTCTCCTATTCTGGAAGATAACAAAAGAAGGGATTATTTTTGACATTTCTGAAAATATTCCGAGGTTTCTTCTCAAAATTAAAATCGCCTCTCGGCTCGTGAGCCACGTTTTGAAGCCATTGAAATTTGGATATTATTAGAATTAGAATCACACTGTGTTATGCTCTATCAAATGATTTTTGTCATACAATATTTCTGATTCGCATTAAATTTAGTGGCAAAAATCTCGAAACTCACCAATAAAAAACATGAGAAAAAATGCAAAAACTGGGATTATTACAGCAACAACAGTTTGAAGTGATATGAAAGGTTTGTAGTTTGGTGGAAAATGAAAATAATCGCCATTATTTGCAGTCGAATCATCATCTTCCAAATTTCGATGATGATGATGATTTTCGGGACCCCACATTTCAGTATGTGTTAGGGTCAAATGTTTTTTGATAAAACTGATGGGTGGTTGAGCGTGGAGAATTTTGAAATCTGGAAAGATACACGTGGTTGTGAGGGAGCAACGTCGATTTTCCACGTGAATCCAAAGAGTAAATTAGAAACGCAGAACAATCGAGAAAGTTAGAGAAAACTATTTGAAAGTCTGAGAAAGTGTAAATAATTTTGAAATAATCAGAAAATTTTTTGCCACGTGGATCACATACATACGAGACTTCGAATTTCTCAAAACTTTTTCTAGTAGATCAAAATGGTTTCAATTGAATTCCAATGATAATTTTGGTTCAACCTCTAAGATTTCGTAGGTTTCAAAAATGCGGGAAGATTCTAACATAGTAAATCAAACAACTTCAACAGCTCTCAAAACGTTCCTCCGCCAACAAAAAAGTTTCACACTGACCAAATCTCAAAAATGGAGAACTAATATTTTATAATAAAAATAAAAGTGTTGTGGTCACGCGAAAAATTCCCAGAAATTCTCCCAACCAACCAACAAAAAAATTAATTTCCTGAAAATCCTGCAATTGACGTTGTTCACATATTATCTCTGTCGTTCGCCGCCAAAAATCAGACGGAAAGTGCCAAACACCTACGGGATTTTCGAGGATTTTCGATGAAAAATAAAGTGATTTTCAAAAAATATAAAATTGGCTTCAGATTGTTTTTTGAGACTTCAAAAATAATGCCAAAAATCGATAGACTAAAAAAATCTCTGACGAAAAAGCTGAAATATATTTTTTCTAGCATAATTAATTAGGAAATCGCTCATCAGAAACGACCTTTATTCGCAACAAAATCAAACATTTCTTTTTTTTTAGAAAAAAATATCTGAGAAAATGTTGGTTTTCTAATAATATAATGGAAAATGTTATTATGTTAGTACAACTTTTTTCATTCTTCAAGTCTAATGGAAAAAAGTCTAATTTGTTTTTGAAAACAACATAAGACTGTAGATGTCTAATGACCTTGTTTTTCTAGTAATCTAAACTAAACTCTAGTGACGAGCAAAACACATTTATGTTTAAAAAAACAGAGGTGAAATAAAAAACAAATTTATAGGAAATTAAAATTTTTGCGAGTTTAAAAGTTGACAGCAAACAAGTGAAAAAAATTAATTCCAGTTCCGGTTTCAGAAAAATTATATAAATGGAAAAGGCGAGGCGAAAATCGCCGGAATTGAGAGAAAAAGTGATATTATCGGCATTATCCTGGGAAACCCTTCTAATCCGTAAGCCTGCGCAGAATAAAATCTCGCGGCGAAAAAAAAATGATAATCTGACATATAACAAATCCTCTTCTCTCGTATTATATTGCATTGTTTGAATCAAAAAGAAAAAGGAATGTCGTTGATCTAAAGGTTAAAATTAGAAAGACAAAAGTTCAGAATTCAGGCTCTTCTCAACTTCTAAGAAGTCGAAACCGATTACTGTAGTTTGCAACGAAAATTTTTTGAAACAATTAAAATCTGCAATTGTTCGTCGTAGTGTTTACACACATTTAACGCGCGCAATCGCCCATTTGAAAACTTTTCTTTTTTTGTTTGCACACTTTTCGTTTCACTTTTTGAAGTCACCGCTTTCTAGATAACTAAAAAGGTGTTTTGTTTTCAGCAAATGAGTATGAGTTCCGATGAGTCGAGTTCCAAGGAAAACACATCGCACAGACTAAATTTGCCCAGTGACACAAGTTTCAATCCATTTGGCAAGCTGCAAACAATGATAGAGTGTAACAGAATGGTTTTGAGTAGATCTGTTGACAAATTAATAGAATCAGTAAGATCATTATTCCATAAATCAAATAATTCAAAGTATTTTTTAGTTCACAAAAGATGACGTCGACAAAAAGAAACTTTTCCTGAAACGTCGCCCAGAAGCAACTCAAGTTTTGGTATATCTCAAAAAAGTGCTAGAAACATTGAAAGGATTGGCGAAAGTGAATCCGATTGCTGTTACGAGTTATTTAACAATTTATGTACCAAGTTTGTCGAAGTTAGGAAATGCTTTTTTGATCAATACAGAAAATATGAAAAGTGGAGATACGCTGTTGATTTGTAATAATGTCGCTGATGTAAGCTATTTTGATGCAGTTTTGAGTCACAAAAATTCGTTTTGAACCCGATTATTTTCGAGAATTTGAAAATGTTAATCTCTGACTGAAAATTCACTGATCAGTTTTCTTTTGTTCTATATTTTGAAGTTCGGAAACCAGATTTACATTATTTAGAAATGAACGTCATAAAAATTGAAGTATTTTAAAATGAAACGTGAACTTGGATTATCTTATGAATAATGGCAATCACATAAAAAATAAACATTTTGAATTTTTCAGCTTCTAAACGAAACAGCCAAAAGTAGTCAACCTCCTTATACATCCGAACTTCTTCAAGAATGGTCACCTCTTTTTGCATCATTTTTCAATTCGAGTGTCGCAATTTTGAGGACAAGTTCTGTGAATCTGTGGAAATGTACATTTGCGACAAAAATCGATGGAAAATTGAAATATCCGAAGAATTTGACAAGAACATTTATTTTGGAAGCAACGAAAAAAGCGGGATTAAATGTGCCAGAAAATGAAGAAGAGGATGAACAAGATAATATTGTTGGGGTAAATAATAATTCATGACATGGCAGACCTTGTTGAAAAATTTAGCTTGTCAACATTAATATTTTCAGATTCACGATGAAGAAGCGATGGATGGAATTGAAGTTGTTCAAACGAATAAAACTCCAATCGATTTTGCAGAACCACTCATTCCATCATCATCTTCTACCTCAAAAAATCAAGAAAGTTTATCGAGTTTTGAACTTTCGCAACAACCTAACTTTGATAATTTGGCACAAAAACTGATTTCGGAGAAAAATGCGACACATTCGCTGCCGAAAACTCCGGAATCTGTTAAAAAATCGCGAAAATTCGCAGAAAAAGCTTTGATTGATGAGGATTCTTGCGATTTTGTGGTGATAAAAACAACGCCAAGTTCATCGAAAAAGAATCAGTTAACTGATCATCAGATGGAGAAATTCGAGGAATCCAGGTTAGATTGTATGGAGATTTTTATTAGAAAAAATAAATAATTTTCCAGAGATGGTATCAATTATGTGAATGAAGAATCTCAAAGTGGAACTCAAAAGGCAGCTGCAATTAAAAATGCTCTAACTACTTTCAATTTCGAAATCGAGGGAACTTCCACTTCCACAGCTACAGAGAAATCTGAAGAAGTTGTTGAAAAACCAACTGAAGTTTCTGAACCTCGAAAATCTGTAAAACGTCAAAGACGAAGTCTGTTTTGCGATGAAAAATCATCTGATGAACCGAAAACCACAAGAACAAGATCAAAGAAAATGAAAATCGATAATAAAGTGGCTGAAACTACAAAACCTGCTTCAATTTCAATCAAAGCTGAAATTCAAGATAGTCCTGAAGAGGAAACGTTGCCAGTCATGGAAATTCCCGAAGTCAGAATCAGTGTGAAAAAAGAAGTAGAGGTAAGAAAACTATTAATATCTCTGTATTTGTCCCTTTTTTCAGGATGAAAGATCAACAATTATTATTGAAAACCCAATTTCTATCAAAATGGAACCCGAAGAAGAATATTCATCATCTTCTTCTTCAATAACATCATCGCAAGAAAAAGACAAACAAAAACGAAAATCGCGTAATCCGAAAAAAGTTGAACAAGGTACACCAAAAAGGAGATCAATGAGAAGTTTGGCGGCTAAAAATATCGAAAAAACACCAGAGAAATCACCAGCCAAAGTTGCAAACTCACAAAAATCACCAGGAAAAGCTGCTAAATCTCCGAAAAAGGTTGTAGAGCCAGAAAAAAGTTGCTGAAACTCAAAAAGTCGCCTGAAAAGGAACAAATTGCCGAACTTCAAAACTCACCTCAAAAAACACCCGAAAAATTGCCGGCTCCTCAAAATACACCGGAAAAAATGCCCGAAACTCCAAAAACTGAGAGAAATATACCGAAAATTGCGACAACTCCGAGTATTTTGAGAAAAACACCAGTTGAAGGAACTCCGATGACAGAAAGAAAAAGAAATCGAGTGCATTTTGATGCGACTGAATCGTCGACCAAAAATCGCGAAATTTCACAATCACCACAAAAAGTTGGAAATGTTGAGGTAAGCATTTTAATTTTCGCAGAAATTTGAGGAACATTTTCTGAAGTCTTAAAAATAAATTCTAAAAACTGAGAAATTATTTGAAATAAATTGAGAAAAACATCGTTTCAAGAAATATTTGAAAATTTATGAATGGTCCGAAAAATGATAGGGTTTACCAATAATTTACTTCCTAATTTAAATTGTTTCAGAAACCTCCTTCATCTTCCACTACCATCACATCTTCTATTTCCACTTCCACCGTATCTTCTTCATCTTCCTCCTCGAATCTTTTCGATTTTGATGTTAATACAACATTTTGTCCAATTTATCCAAATCTTAAAGACTGTGAAGATCCTATTGAATCGATTATTCGACTTTTGGTTCCATTTTCTGGTGTTGTCACAGCAATTTCGATTCTACGAAAATCGTTCCATTCGGCTTATATTCGAACAATTGGACAATTTGCTGAAATGTCTGTTCAACAAGTCAATAAATTGAATGGAATTCGAATTCCAAGAGAGAAAACTGTGAGAAAAGTGAGTTTTTCAGAAATGTGTTTTGTTAGATCTGAAAGTTCAGATTTTTAAATTCTAATTCTGGCAGTTTGCCTTGTTTTCCTATTTTCTCCTGAAAACTTATTTTCAAATCCTTCTTTTCCAGGTTTTGGGTGATTATGAAGCGAAATTGACGAAACTTGCAAATATGCCAAAAATTGACGAAATTTCAACGGAAAATGTTGAAAAAGAAGTTGAGGTTGAAAAAGTTGTTGAAATGGAAGTGGAGAATATGCCCAAAAGCACCGAAAATCTTCAGGAAGTCGCTGAAAATAATAAGGAAAATGCTGAAATTGCGCCTGAAAAAATGGATGTTGAATCTGAAAGACTTGCAGAAAAAGAAGAAATTGTCGAAGAATCTCCAAAAATTCCAGAAGTTGTAGAAAAACCTGAAATTTTAAAGAAATCTAAAGTTCCGGAAGTTTCTGAAGTAGCAAGTTCTCAAGAAAATTTGCCAGCTCATAAATCTGCAGAAGGTTCACTTTTGAAAGGTTAGTTTTTTTTACTCAAAATATTTTTTTTCACTCAAAATTTTTTTCAGAAGCTGATGAATTGGACAAATTGGTTCGAAAAATCAGTCGGAAATTGGGGCGTGGCCAAATTTCAGCCACGGAAAATATTGCTGAAATTGACGATCGAATTTATGACTCATTTTTGGTTTTGAGAGGATTGGTCAAAGAACGTGGATTTTCGAATGTTTGAGAAGTTTTTTTTTTCATTTTTCACGTTTTCATAATTGCATAATTTTTGAACTACTTATAATAACTTGACTCATAATATCTTTTATTTCTTGTTTTTTTTTCAAAATGTTTCATTCTGCTATACATATTTGATACATTTTAACCTTGAAAATGTTGTAATTTTTGTTTAAAATGAGAAAAAAGTTTTGAATTTCGAGATCACTTGAAGGGATAAGTGGATTTGGCGCCATTTCTTGATTTTTTGGCACCACCCAACAACCAAATTTTTGAAGTTGACTTTGGAAAGTTTATGAAGCGGCAAATTTATTGGTTTGACCTGCTTCTGATTTTGGAACTTTTTTGCTTTGTTGGATTTGCGCCAGAAACTTTTTTGAAATTCGAAACTTTCCCCGCGCGCGGACAAAAAACCGTCTTGTTTGTTAATTAATTAAATGATTGCGTAATTTTTTTCTTTCAACACGAGTTTTCTTATTTATGATGAGAACGAAGTTTTTGGGAAACTTAAAATCACGTGATGAAAACTAGATTCAGGAGAAGCTGTGACGTGGAAAACTTTGACTACTGTAGTTTGTACGTTTTTTGAATTCTGAAAGTTATTGTAACTCTGAAACTTTTAAAGTAAAGCTCACGTGTAAAACCTACTTTTTCTCAAAAGTTTTAGCTAGCTTAAAACTGTAAAAACAAAAAAAATTGATGCATTTTGAAAAATTTTAGACTACAAACTTCATAAACATGCATAATTTACATGATGTTCAAATATCTAACCAAACATAATAATAATAATTTTCAAAAAAGCAAACATGTATTTCACGCGCGGTGAATTGCGCGGTAAAACTTTATTCCGCGCCGCTCAAACACATTTCATAGCGATTTGTTATATTTACTTATGCTTTAGAGGGAATCGTCGCAAAAGTGTCATTTGATCATCATTTTTGCTGCTTCGAGAAAAAGAATTAGTGGTGTGGCATTAAAAAAGTTCTAGTTCTAGTTTTTTTACGAGTTGCACATATGACTTGAAATTTTCCGGCGGAAAAGAGGAGGAGAAGGTATTAGTAATTATTGTTTGTTAGTAATTTTGTTAGGCTTCGAGTTTTCATTTCGGAAAATTTCGAAATTCAGAAGTAGTTGAAGTGTAGTTTTTTCAGGAAATTTCAGAGTTGTCATTGAACATTTTTTAATTGTGCGAATTATTTTTTATAGTATCTTATTTAATTTTATTTTTATTCTGACTAGACTCTTTTTTGAGCGTTAGATAAATCTTCTAGGCTACATCAGAAAACATGGATTTTGATTCCAAAATAACTACAGTAATCAAATGTTCCATGATTCTTCAAAAACTAGCTAACATCCGTTATTTTTTCCACTTTTTCTTTTTTTTTCTGAATAACACTTCTATTGGTCAAAAGCACTTCAGAATCAATATTAGCCAATTTTCTGTTTTTTCTTTCTTTGGTCTTATTACTGTAGATACATAACAGTATTATAGTCTAAATTTATTTTTGGCCAGCCGGCCACCTATTTATTTATATGTATATTTTTATAATCGTCGCATTTTTTGCCTCGTCATTCCTTTTTTTTCTTGCTTTCTTGCTTGCTGATCTTCTTAACGTTTTTCTTTTTTTCGGTCGGGGTCATCTGACCAAAAAAAGGCAAAAATGAATGAAAGAAAGAAGCTAAGCTGTTCATACACGATTTTTGTCGGCGTTGCCTTTTTGACTTGATTTTTGACGCCAATATTTGGTGGGTTACGGCACATGGAAACTAGATTATAGTCATCTGGATTGGTGTTGAACTATGTTGCCAAAAAGTTTCAGGGTTGAACATTTTCAAGCGAAAGTGTGACTTTGAATTTTTCTCTCTTAGAAATTTTTCTGATCTTCCAGATTATTTGTTGAAAATTTCAAAATTTAGAAATAATTCAAATATGTTGTGTTTAAGTTAAATTTAATTTCGACATTTTGAGTTTGTATAGTCTTTTTTTGAAAAAAGTTATTTATTCTACTCTCCAAAATCCAAATATTCAAATACTATTTTTTGAAATGTATCTGACAAAAAATTATCAAGAAAAAAAAATCCGTAATCCTTTTTTCAACCACCTTTCAAGCCCCGGTCACCGTTGGCACTAATTTCAATTTCAACTTTTGATTGAAGTTCAAACCTCCCTCTGTTCTCACTACAAATACAATACAAAAACCCATGTTTCGACAGACAGTTAGAGAAAAGAAAACATGTGAAAGCCAGATTCTTTTACCGAGATAAGGACAAGTTTTTTTTTGGTTGGTTCTCATTGATGCTTCTTCTTCTTCTTCATCTTTTTTGACTTCTTTTTGAATGTGTTTTTTTTCGGATGTTCTAGAAGAAGGAGAAAAATAAAATGAGAAGAGAAAGAAAATCTCATTTGATTTGGATTTCTCATTGTCAGATGTTTTTTGTTTGGAATTAACTGTTTTTTTGTGGCGGGAAAAGTCTACGTGGAAACTTGATTTTTGATTAGAAAACTTTAAGGAAATTCAAGTAGTATTGTTCGGAAACGTTGTTTTAAAAACGGCTAGACAATCATTTTTTTTCCTCAAAGCTTTTTGTACAAAAATAGTTCCATATTAAAAGAAATGAATTCTATGTTTTCAAATCTTCAAATTTTCTCCACCTTCAGCAGATTGGTGTAGGGATTAAACTTTCATATTCTTGTTCACAGGCATAAATTCTTGACTTTTTTTATTCAGAAATGCCTGTCGCAGAAAAAACAAATTCTCGCGTGAATAGGGAGGCGGGATTTATTTTGCAAGGTGCGGCACGTTTTTTTTCAATGAATAATTATTTCTGATTTTTTGCATTTCCAAATTTAGTGAAGAAAAAAAGATGAAATCGAAAAAATTATTTAAAAAACGTGAAACGTGTAATCGTGGCAGGGGCGGAGCCGATAGGAAAAAAAGTCAGAAATTTATGCCTGTGTTGTTCGACCAGTTTAAGTCAGAAGCTTCGTGGGTGGTCCCGCTGAAACATAATATAATTGCTAATTGTTCATTATCTTGAAGTTCATAGTGGAATTTAACAGCTTTGGGACCATTTTCCAGGTTTATCATTTTTTCTACAGAATTCCAAACGTTTTTTCTACAAAAAATGTTTCTTTCCTTTTCCCTCAAATTTTCACGTTTCACATTTTCACGTTTTATTCTTTGGGTCTCTTATTATCCCATTATCTCTCTATATTTCCATAAAAACCCGCTTCTCCCTTTTCATCTTCCAAAAAAAACCACACAAAACTTTCAACTTTTTTCGCAACGATGTACGTAATAGCGGTTGTTTCTGCTGCTTCTTTTTTGGCAAATTACGGTAATCCGACGAAATAGTGTGAGAAACTAGAGAGGCGCAGACATTTGTCCATTACCCTTGCGCCAAAAAGAATATAATCGCTTTATAATAATACCAATACATTACTGCTTGTATCTCTCACTGTTTTCTCTCCCTCATCTTTATCAATGACAATTGAGCTTGAGTTTTTGTCCTCCCATGTGGTCTAGTGGTTAGGATTCGTGGTTTTCACCCACGCGGCCCGGGTTCGATTCCCGGCATGGGAAGCTTATTTTTTCGATTTTTTAGATATCATTTCTTTTTTTTTTCAAATATTTCATATCTTTTTCATAGTTTCTCTAGATATGTGGTCTGCGAAAATGAATGATTTATTTATTATATTAGTATTAAACACTTTCACTTTTTCGATGATGCGTTTATCTTATTTATTTATTTGTTTAATAACAACAAAATTAATTAATTTGCTGCGTACCTCTTTTTATTCTTCGACTGAGTATCAAATGTATTTGCTATATTCACTGATGTGCAACAGTGCGCAACGCCATAAGCTGCTTGTATAACAACAATGCGTTAATAATTTTTGTAAACATTTTTGGAATTTTACATAATTTTTCTCTACGTCTCGTTCTCTCTAGTATAACTCGATTTAGCCAAAGCTATAAAATTTTCACTTTTTTGACCATTATGAGAAGTAATAGTAACCATAGAAACATCAAAAAGGTATTGTATAAATCTCATATTTCAGTATTTCTTATTGTTGTGTGTGGCAAAATTTGATCCAGGTTACTGTAGGTTTTAAGAATTTCTAGAAGTTGAGCTGAATTAACTATGAAGCTTATATAATTTTTTGGCAGGAACGACAACATTTTTTTGGAAACTAAAAACTCTTGAAATTCGGGAAAATGGGTCAGCCAACATTTTTATTCAAAAATCTGAATTATTTTCTAGATTTTCAATCTGAAATTCAAGGTTTGAATTCAGACTTCTGAAGTTTTCACCGTTTCCTAGACAACATTTTTTGCAATTGAAAAATTTTCAGAAAATTTCGGGTAGGACTTATTATTTTCGGAATCCTCCCTATTGATTCTCTTACCCACATCAAGGAAAAATCACTAAAATAACATCGAACAATAAAAATTAATTTTCAACCAACCGAAAATTGGTTCCGCTAGATAGCTGCGCTTTTTTTCGGTGCCTCCTGAACAAGGTCAGGTCAAAATCCCCTCGGTTTTTCGAAATGACAACAATAACAATAAAAATAAATAGTCTTCTCTTTTTCCATATTATATTTATGTACATTTATATATACTTATATGGTCATTGAAGCGCGCACTTTGTTCAGAAATTGAGATAGAGAAAAAAAGATGAAGAAGAAGAAGGAATTTTTGGTGCGCTCTTGCGAGAGAAGGTCTAAATCAACAAGCTAACATAAACTTTTGTTTTGAGCTTTTGCCTTCCAATTTTGGAACGATTTTATTGATTTTAACCGAATCCCAGACAGATGACCCCCATTTTTCTTATTTTTTACTCACCTCTCTTTAATTTAGCGAAACCACCGTGTTCTTTTTTTTTTTTGGCTGATTACTAGTTTGAGGTTAGTTACCTTGTTCTTTTTCTCTCACTTTTTATATCTTGCATGTTTTTTGTTTGTTTTGTTTTGTTACCTCAATTTGGTTACTATTTTTATGGTTTTGACACATATTTTATACTGTACTTGTTTTGTGGTCTGGTTAGAATTGGTAGGAATCTAGATTTAAATATTACATTTTTCAAAACTCAATTCTCAAATCCAAAAGAAAATCTAGACTTTTCTAGTATTCAGATAGTGTTTTTAATCTAAACTGACATGAAAAAAAAACTAAATCCGATTTTCGGAGAATCTGAATTGCAGATGCTAAAATTCCAAGTTGTGCAGTTTTTCAAATTTATAGATCTGTACTGTTTCAGAATTGATTGCATATGAGTTTTTTCTGAAAATGTATAGTTGTTAGAAAAATTCAAAGTAATAAAATTTTTCAAACCCGATCCTAATTTTTCATAGAACTTCGGCTAAGTTCTCGGGTTGTACTCAATTTTTTATCCAATTTTTTAGGTCAAAAATACATTTCATACTTTTTTTTTAAACAATTTTCTGTCCAATTCAAATTCCAACCAGATATTCTCCATCAAAAAATCTCAATATCTCATAAATTTTCGATCTATCAAACCTTCAAAAAGTCTCATTTTTCATCCAACTCTACTCTGTTTTTCTCTCACAATTTATAAGATGTTTTTTATATTAATTGCTTGGCTTGTCCTTTTGAAAAAGATTTCATAAATCAAAATGGTTTTTTGCCTATTTCTATTTTCGCCCAGTTGGCAACCTTCAAAACTCATTTCTTGCCCTTCCTTTTCCCTTCGAAAAAAACACCTCCGACGAAAATTAGTAGACTTTTCATTTTTCGCTTCTTCATATTTCGTGACAATTTTTTCTCTAATCTTGAAATTTATTTGAAAATTACAGATTCGAAAGAAAAAGGGATGCGAATTAGGACAAAAAAATAATGGAGACATCGACAACGAGACCTGAAAATGAATGGCTTTTTCCAAAAGAGGTACTGTAGTTTTTCAAGAGTTTTGGGTGAATTCGGAAAATTAATAAATTTTGGAAAAAAACGTGACCCAAAAATACAGATTATTTTTTTCATTTTCAAATCTCATTTCAAATTTAATTTCAGGTTCCAACAAGTTCAATAATTGGTGCATCTTCTTCTGTTTTACAACAACATCAACCTCGAAATTCGGCCGAACTTCCTCTAAATTTCCTCGCTGAACATTCGCTTGCATTGATTGCTGCACTTTTTGTAAGTTTTTTGAGAGCGGTTAGCAAAATAGGAATAGGTTGGGAATTTCGGGGGTTTTAGAGGCTACAAACCAATTACTGAAACATTTTTGAAGTTTGGCTAACATTTTTCATTGCATTTGTGATCAAATCAAATTTTGATCGATTATTTTTTTGAAACTTTTTTTCTTGAACAAAGGAATACGAAATGATCAGCAGGCCAGATAACTTTTTTTCGAAATTTTTTTTTTGAGCATTACACATCATTTTTTCAAACGTAATTTTTATATTGTTCAATTACTTGAGATACCATTTTTAATTTAGCTACCCATTTCTTCCTTAAAATCAACTCCCTCATCTAAAATTTATTTTTGCAGCTAATAGTTCTTTCGGTGGCTCTTCTTGCCGTTTTAATTCAATATCACTGCCAAAAAACACTACAACAACATTCGAAATCTCATTCTCCTCAACCACTTTCACATACACCAAGTCAATGGACAACGTGTAGCACAGGTTAGTCAAGACAAAACTCGAAAATCATAAATTCCCCAGGTGTGCTTTTTTCTTCTTCATCTCAGCTCCGCCTCAAAAAATCCTCATGAAATTTTTGGCTCCCAACTCCGCCCATATTTCATATGAAAAAGCTATATTTTATTTTTGGCGCGCAAAAAAAAACAAAAAAAAATAATGGGGAATGTACTAATATTGCCTATTTTCTCCTCACAATTTTTTTTGTTTTTTTTTCTTTTTTTGTGGATATATATATTTTTTGGTGTTCCTGGTTTTTTGTTCTTTGGAGAGAAAAAATGACTCAAAAAATTGGGATTTGAAAATTAAGGTGTGCTGCTGTAATTTTAAGTTTTGCCACGTGGTTTTTTTATAGTAGCTGTATTAGCTTCTAAATGAAATTGAAAAAATCCGGCAAAGTTTGTCGGCTTGAATTTTACGTTATTTTTGTGTGATTTTTTATCTGCAAAATTTACAGTACTCAAAAATGCTGATTTATTTTTCGAAAAAATTGTGCGAGTACCACGTGGATTCTTTGAAATTTCGAATTTTCAAATCCAAAGCTTACTGAAGACCACATGAATCTGGCCTGGCCCGATTTTGAAAAAAATTGGACTGGGCCGATTCAGAAATGTTAGTTTCTTTCTGAAAATGTAAACATATTTCCAAAATGTTTTCTCATCTACAGTATCTAAATTTTGGCGTTAAAACTAGTTGTTCCAATTCCATTTACGGAAAAAGGCGTTCGAACACAAAAAAATCTTTTTTTATTGTCATCTCTCCCTGTTAACAAAAAACTGTCGATTTTAGTATGTGTCCCGTCCCGTGCACAGATTATTCGACGGCATTTGTGACTCAAAAAAAACCAGTGTCATGAGCATTTTGCCATTTTCTTGCTCTACACGATTTTTTTCATCTTCATCTTCTTGTGAATGTTTGAGCATTTCAAAGTTTACACAACACTTTCTCTGCGTCTCTTCTATTATATTTCGTTTTTGAGACACTTTTGTACGATTTTTTGTGAGCAGCAAAAGTTTTTTTGTCGATAAGTTTTGTCGAGTTTTGTTTCTGGCTGGAATTAGTTTTTCGGAATTTTTAGATAGAGTTCTCAAGGGACCCACAAAAGTTTGGGGGGTTTTTTTGAGATCTTAATTTTGGCAGAGTTTTTTTTTCATTTTCGAAAGTTTTCAAAATCTGACATTTTATGAGGATTCAGTTTTTTTTATTTCTGAAAATCTGAATTTTCTGATCTGCGTCTTAGGCCTCCTGATTTTCGGAAGCTAAAAAAATAAGCTGAAAATCGGATATTTTACATTTACGCAAACAAATATTTGATCTCAGATTTCATTAATATTTATCTCTTCTCTTTATGTTTTCCTCTGAAATTTTTTGCGAATCTAAAAATAAATTTTCGAAATTTCGCTTCTCCCTAACAGAAAAAAAGAGTTTGTCAATATTTATCGAGGGTTTTTTTGCTTGTGTTGGAGTGGTATTTATCCAAAAGGATTAGATATTTTTGCGACGCGCGGGGTTTCTTCTTTTTGTCGTTTTTTATTGTGTCGCAGTATTTCGAGGAACGTTTGATGATGTTTGAGGTGATAGCATTCGAAATTTTGTTGGTAGCCCTTTATGGTCATATCCACTCATAGCATTTTAATTTTTGAAATTAGACCACTATCAGTACTTGACTAGTATCTAGTTAATTTCTAGAAAATCTCCCAACAGCTTCCAAATATCCAGTTTTCCTTGTTTTCTGAATTTTTAAAACCCAAAAATATCTCTTGTACTTTTTTTGCATAAAATCAGAACCTATTCATTTTTACCTACGTCAATGTATTTTTTATTTGAAAAACTTTTCATTTCTTTCAAAATATCTAGTTTTCTCTCAGAATTATGGGTGAAATATTCATAAATCCAATATTCGTTGAAAATTCATCGGATTCTGATTCGGAACAATCTTCATCAAGCCGTTATCGTTCTCCATCCTCACATCCACCAACTTTACCCCGACATCATTCATCAACAAGTGGTTTGTTACTTGAAGACTTTTAGAGCACAAATACATGCACATTATTTATTATTTATTTATCACGCGATTTACTTGAACTTATCAAAAATTCTTCGAAAAAAAAAGAAAAATATTGCCTGCTGCTGGAATCGAACCAGCGTCGCCACGGCCACAACGTGGAGTACTAACCACTATACTAAGCAGGCCGAGAGAAACGCTTGATAATTATCGATAAGTGTTCGCTTTACTTTTGTTCAAAACCTCGTTTTTTCTCGCTATTTTCCTTCTAAAAATAGCTTTTGGTTATTATTATTATTCAAATGATGACTAAGTAAACAAAGCACACCTAGGGCTTGATAATAAATAAAATATGATTCCTAAAGGGGTTATAAAAGAAACTGGAAAAGTAGAACTAACACGTTTTTCGAGAAAATATGAGAATCAAAAAAGGTTTGAAATAAGTTCCAAAATTTTCAAATGTTTTCAATTCTCAATTGTTTTTTGTTTCAGTATCATCAACATATTCTACACAAAGCCTTTTACAACTAATTGGTTCGGAGCTTCGACAAAGCTTGCAGGGATTATTATTGCCGTCGGAAGCTGTTGTTTTGGAGACGATTGTCGGAAAAGGTAAATCATGATTTAGAGCCAGCCATGATCTCAAAGATCACTAGAGGGAAAAATATGGAAAAAACAATTTTTGAGAAAAAAAGTAAAATATGCCGAAAGAAGGCTGAAAGAAACCTAAATAAAGGTGAATTAATTTTGTGTTTCAGGGTACTTTGGAAATGTTTATCGTGGAAGAATGCGCGATCCAGCTGGACGACTTATTCCGGTTGCGGTAAAAACATTGAAAGGTGATCGTGCTCGCGACATTGCTCATATCGAAAAATTCCTCCGCGAAGGTGTCGTTATGAAACATCTCGATCATCCGCATGTTCTTTCACTTCTTGGTATCTCAATTTCACCAGCCGGTAATCCGTGGGTTGTTTTGCCTTATATGGAAGGAGGTGATTTGAAGACATTTGTGGCTGATCCAAATAAAGCATTGTGTGTTTTGGAATTGTTGGATTTTGCACATCAAGTGGCGCAGGGAATGAGCTATCTTGCTGCACAACATTTTGTGCATCGTGATTTGGCAGCTAGGAATTGCATGTGAGTTTTCAGGATTACTGTACCTATCTGATTTTTCAAATATAAATTTCCAGGATTTCTTCCGAGCGAATCGTCAAAGTTGCCGATTTCGGTCTCGCCGTGGATCTTCTCGACAAAGAATCCTACATCGATGAATCAGAAACAGGTCCAGCACGTTTGCCGCTCAAATGGCTTGCTCCAGAATCGTTGCGAGATCGTAGAGTATTCAATTCCGCAACAGATGTCTGGTCATTCGGTGTTTTGATGTGGGAATTATTGACGCGCGCTGCGTCGCCGTATGGCGAAGTTTCGAATGCAAAAGTACGGCATTATTTGGAAACTGGTATGCGTTTGCCGCAACCAACGCATTGTCCTGATATTATGTGAGTTTTTATCTAAATTTTATATTTTGAAAAAAAAACTGAAAAGCTACGTTTCAAAAAATTCATATTTTCAAAGGTTTTCAATTTTAATCTAATCAATATTTGGAACCAATTGAAATAAAATTTTCCAGCTATGATTTGATGCAATGTTGTTGGCGTGCAAATCCAGATGATCGTCCAGATTTTGTATTTTTGTCTCATCGTCTACGCTCTCTCCTCCAAGAACACTCTCCCGATCCTTTCAGTCGACGAATTCGACCAGGTTCCGAACAATTTCTTCTTCCCGTTTTACCCGGACGACTTTTCACTAATTATTTTGCCGCCCAAATGCATGCCTAAAATATCTACTTAAATATTTTATTTGATTTTTTTCAATTGCACGGGTATCTTTTGAAACAACTTTTTTGTGAACTTGTTCTATATTTGTAAAAAGCTCAAATTGAGATTTGTCAGGTTTTTTTTGTCATTTTTCATTTATCTGAAATTTGTTCTAGAAACATACCAAAAATTTTCATGTCTTGTCTTTCTGTTAGTCATTCAATAAATTTTTTCACTGAACTTTGAAAAACACTCATGTTACGTAATATAATTAGAGTGTTTGTGTTTCAAACAGACTAATGAAAAAATGTGGGAATAAAATAAAAGCAGCTGAAATTATATCGCCAATTCATTTCCACATAAAAGTTCATATTTGTTTTCATTTTCATTTTTGTTCTCTGTTTTCTGAAAAAAATGGATCTTGAATGCACCAAAGAATCTCCAGCTTATTATACAATTTGTCTACATATTTTAGCTGCAATTTCATTTCCAATTAATTGTTTCGGATGTTATTTGGTTGTTTTCAGAACTCCTCAAAATTCTAAATATAGATATAGACAACTTTATTTACAGGTCAGTTTTAATCAAGGATACTTGGTATTATGCTACCGTTCTGTCGAGAGATAACTTCTATAAATTAGATGTCCTTTGTCAGATAATCATAAGTAGTGCCCTCTAAAAACATTTCAGGTGACTACATTTATTGTGGAAAATTATATGACATGGATTGCTGCGGGATATTATTTTTTCCCAATGACTGGAGGATTCACAACTTCATCTATCTCGGATAAATTTATGAGAACACATATGTGTGTTGTGTTTTACTTTTTCACATTTTCTTATGAGTTACCAGCATTATTTTGTTGTTTTCAATATCGAGCTGATGCGGCAGCTGAATTGAATACAGTAAGTAGAAAACAAGTCTTCTGGTACAAAATGATATTCATTCAGAAATACCGTATCCCGTCATATTTAACATATTCATTATTAGTTCTCGCTCATAGTTTTCCGATAATTATTGGTTGTCTGATGTATATTTCTGAACCTACAAAAGATGAACAATACAAAACATTACTCAATAATTTTCCAAAATGTCTTCATATGTTAGATCATCCTCGATTTATAGTTTATGACTGGCGAACTAACTTTTGGCTAATTGTTGCGGGAGCATCGACTATTATTTGGTTGGCATTTTTCACAATGTGAGTCATTCCTTTTGAAAAAGTATTCGTACAAAATTAGAAGGAATTGAAATGATTCCACCTGTTTGTGACACTTTGTCAGAATTGCTGATGGAATGAATAGTTTGTGAAAATTGCAAGAATTATGTAGACAGGTGCATTTGACCTTTTCTATCCGAGAGAAAAGTTGAAGTCGAACAAAGTACGTAAATTAAAAAAAATGATAATTTTACGAAATATGTAAATATTCAATTATGAGTAAATAAACTATACGTATACACCACTTTTTCAAGTCGAACTTTTAAAGTTTTATTTTCTAGGTACATTGGATTTTTAGCTCTATATACCATGTTAATTTTACAAACAATGCGAAAACATATGTCAATCGCAACTTTCAAAATTCATAAAGCGGCACTTGTGACAATAACACTACAATGTATTATTCCAATGGATGCAATTGTGATTCCCGTATCGTTCATATTTATAGTTGTTCTCAAAGAATTAACCGAATTTCAAGAAATTGCTACAGATGGAATGTTTCTAATATCATCTCATTCGTTGATTTCCACAATTGTTATGATTGCGTGTAATTCGAGATATTTGGATATTGTTCGTGGATATTTAGGAAAAGCTTTAAATTTTAGATTGAACGGGTTAATTGATGGCGTATCAACAACACATGCTTCGAATGAAGTTGTTCCAATTCAAAACTAAATTTGTATTTCTGTTAGTTATTGAATAAAGTTATTCACTAAAATTTTGATTTTTGACAAACTTAATAACACACAGACATAGAATAATTATAATTCGGCTCATTCAAATTATAGCTTGAAACAAAATAAAAAATGTAGTCATAAAATCAGCTGAAATTCAATTGCCAATTTATTTTCATTTAAAGGTTGTTTATATTTATTCCTATTTCTAACTTTTTTAGTTCTAAATGGATCTTGAATGCACCAAAGAATCTCCAGCTTATTATACAATTTGTCTACATATTTTAGCTGCAATTTCATTTCCAATTAATTGTTTCGGGTGTTATTTGGTTATTTTCAGAACTCCGCATAATTCCAAATATAAATATAGACAACTTTATTTACAGGTGAGATTTCATTAGGAAAACTTTTTAATTATTCTTAAAATTGACATTATAATTTATTATTTTTATTATTATTGACTTCCTGAATAATTTTCAGATAACTTCCTTCATTGTAGAAAATTATATGACATGGATTGCTGCGGGATATTATTTTTTCCCAATGACCGGAGGATTCACAACTTCATCTATCTCGGATAAATTTATGAGAACACATATGTGTGTTGTATTTTACTTTTTTACTTTTTCGTATGAGATGCCTGCATTATTTTGCTGCTTTCAATATCGAGCTGATGCGGCAGCTGAATTGAATACAGTAAGTAACAAATGACAATTGTCTAATATCAAAGCAAATTTAGAAATACCGTATTCCTACATATATAACTTTCCCATTGTTTATATTAGCTCATAGTTTCCCAGTTACTCTTGGATGTCTGATGTATATTTCGGAACCTTCGAGAGATGAACAATACAAAACATTAGTCACTAATTTTCCAAAATGTCTTCATATGTTAGATCATCCTCGATTTATAGTTTATGACTGGCGGTCTAACTTTTGGTTAATTGTTGCCGGAACTACAGCTATCATTTGGATGGTATCTTTCACACTGTGAGTGTTCTTTCAACAATTTTCGTAATAAATTAGACGGAAGTTGAATGATCTCACTTGACTCTAATTTTTTGTCAGAATAACTGATTCTATGTGTAGTTTTCGAAAAATTTGCAAAAAAAAGTATACAGGTGGATTTGATGAGAATCAGTTGAAGACATACTAATCTAAACCAGATATAAGAACGTTTTTAACTTAAATTCATATTTTCCAGATACCACGGTTTCTTGGCCCTTTATACCATGTCAATTCTACAATCTATGCGTAAACATATGTCGAACGCAACTTTCAAAATTCATAAAGCGGCACTTCTGACAATAACACTACAATGTATTATTCCAATGGGTGCAATTGTTGTTCCAGTATTCTTTATATTTATAGTTGTTCTCAAAGAACTCACCCAACTTCAAGAAATTGCTACGGATGGAATGTTTCTAATAGCTATTCATTCATTGGTTTCTACAATCGTTATGATATTTTGTAATTCAAAATATTCGGAGATTGTGCGTGGATTTATTGGGCTGGCTCTACATCAAGGATCAAACGCTACTATAGAGGTTATATCAACAACACATGTTTCAAATACAGTGCTTACATCTAGAAAAATCTCAACTCGTAATCGAATTTGATCATATGTATTAATTTCACTTCAAACATATTATTTGAAAAAATTGAAGTGTTTGACTTAATTTGTTTTTATATAATCATTAAAGGGGGTACGGGCTAATCAAAATTTTATGGAAAAAAATATACCATCTGAAAGAGGAGGTTTCGTTTAATATGTTCCCAAATTTTTATAATTATTTTTCACGTTTGAATACCATTTTTTCACGCGCAAAGACGAAAAAGTTGCGCTCGACCTCAGAGAAATAGCATGCAGACACGAGAGACACAGCGTATTTAGGCCCCGCCCCCTTCTGTGCGCTGTGTCTCTCGTTTCTCTATGCTATTTCTCTGAGGTCGAGCGCAACTTTTTCGTGTTTGCGCGTGAAAAAATGGTACTCAAACGTGAAAAATAATTATGAAAATTTGGGAACATACTAAACGAAACCTCCTCTTTCAGATGGTATATTTTTTTTCCATAAAATTTTGATTAGCCCGTACCCCCTTTAACTTTCACGAAAAAATAATCTAAATGCTTTATTGAAGTTTTTACAATAATTATTTAAACCGATATTTGATCATTTTTATACACATTTCTAATTTGAAAAAGAATAAATAAATATGGCATCAGATACGTGATCCAATAGAATGATGATTACCATTGATACTTTTTACTGTAACCGATACATTAGTGCTTCTGAAAAACTCTTTCACAATTCAGATGAAACTAGTCAACTCACTTAACAGTTTTAGTACCCTTCAAAAAATCCCTAACAATTCCCATGTATCTTCCATTACAACCAATCATTACAATTGTTGATACAACCGAATGAGCAGCAAGGAGAAACCAAGAATCAGTGGCTAGTTCTGAAAACTGATTTCAACTATGAGAATATTCATATTACCAGATAAAATACCTTGTAAAGCCGACAATTCTAGTAAAAGTATAAGACCAATAATAGAAAGTGGTGTTATGATAAAACTGGAAGGAACAACACATTGAAATGTGAGAGCGATAAGAGCGGAGCGGTGAAGTTTGAAAGTTGCAGCTGACATATGACTGCGCATTGCGTGTAAAGTTAGCATAGTATAAACAGCTAAACCAAATGCGTAACTGAAAAATAATGAATGAAACGGGTCAGTCGCGGCCCCTTTAAAAATTCCAAAGTTACAAACTAACCATGAAAATACAGCAATCCAAGTAACAGCGCAAGCTGCTGCAATAATCAATCCTAAATTTGTCCGCCAATCATAAACTATGAAACCGACATTATCAAAAACATGTAAACATTTTGGAAAATGTTGAGATACGTAAGTGTATTGTTCTTCGTAAGATGGTTTTGAAAGAAGAATTGAAATAGCAACAACAAATGGAAAACAATGACCGATTACTGTCATAACATATGTCAATAACGGTGGAATTTTTTGTCTCTATAAGAATTTTGAATTTTAAAGACACAAAAGCCACTGGAAAACACTTTCCCAGACCTCCTGGGTAATAACGTCAACGGATTTGCTTCTGATGATGTTGAATCGTGTTACCTACCGGATTCAAATCTGCTGCTGACGATGCTCGATATTGAAAACAACTGATTAAGGAAGGAAGTTCGAAAGCTAATACAAAAACTAAACCAACGACACTTGTATGAGCAGAAATGATATGACTCAAAAATGGTGAAGTGTTGAAACCACCAAACAATGGGTAATAATAATATCCACCACCAATCCATGTCATATGATTTTCGACAAGAAATGTGACTATCTAAAATGAAATACAGAGATTTCAAAGGATTCCCCCAATTGTATCTAACCTGTAGATAAAGTTGTCGATATTTGTAGTTAGAATTAGACGGTGATTTGAAAATAATCAAATAACATCCAAGAAAATTGATTGGAAATGAGATAAATGCGATGGAATGAAGAACACGTGTATAATATGGAGGTGGTTGTTTGGGACATTCCAAATCCATTTTGAAAATAGGAGAACAAGAAAACCGAAAAATCAAAAATTGAAATGAAGTAAAATCGAATAAAACATAACAAAAATCGGGCACTTTAGGAAGTAAAGTATGCAATTATGAATAAGTAAACGAGCGAGACATTGATAATTATCTGTCAGAATGATGCAAAAAATATTCAAAATTTTGCCGATCTTTCGACAATCGGATTGATCTTAGTTTCCATTTTCCATGGAATTAAACAAAAAATATCTCGAACAACTTCTAAATATCGAGAACTACAACAAATTATAACAATAGTTGAAACCATTGAATGAGCTGCGATCAGAAAAGTAGTATCAGTTGCTATTTCTTGATATTGCGATAATTTTTTGACTACGACAATAAAAATGAAGATAATTGGAGTTAGAACAAGACTTGATGGAATTAAAACTTGGAGGGATAAAGTGAGCAAAGCTGTTTGATGAAGTTTGAAAGTTGCGATTGACATATGTGTACGCATTGCTTGTAAAGTTCGAACTGTGCGAATTGCGAGGAATAAAAAATATCTGGATTGAGAAGAAGTTTGTATTTGAAAAAATTATAATTGATTTTATCGAAATCAACATTTCGCTACAATTGATTTGAGTATCAAATACCAGTAGAAAAAATTCAGAATGTTAATTTTCAATGGCAAAAAATCAGAACCGATTAAAAAAATTTGTTACCGTATAATTTCAATTCAAAAAATCCGGAAAACTTGAAAATGTTTCATTTTCTAGGAAAATTGGAAAAAAGTCGTAGTAACTATATTTATGTTTATGAAATAGAAGCAGCTGCTTTTATTCAATTTGAAAGGTCGACAGGCTACAAATTGAGCAATTTCATGATATTTTAACATTTTAGATAAAAATAATCATTTGATCCAGGAAACTTGAAAAAGCACGAAATCATTATTTTTAGATTTGTTATGGTTTTTTGTTTGAAATTTTAAATTATCCCAAACCCAAAAAATAACTCACAAAGCATAAGAAACAGTCCAAATCATAGTTGAAATTCCAGAAATTCCAAGCCAAAAATTAGTTGAATAATCATAAACAATAAATTCGGGATTCTCCAGAACATGAATACATTTTGGAAAATTCGTCGAAATAAATCGATATTGTTCTTCAGGGGAAAGTTTCGATAAATATAAAGATATTGCAATTACAAATGGATAACAATGACATAAAAAACAAATCGTATAACTTATAATTGACGGAATTCGACTTTTCTGAAAAAAAAACAAGTACAGTAGGGGTTTTCACGTGGCGTTTGTTGTATGTTTCCAAAGTGTTTGCAGATTTTTCCTAAAAAGAGAAGGATTTGAACTTACAGTACTCAATCTTTGAAAGGTTACTTTTTATTGAGTTTGGTAAACGAAAAATGAGTTGTTTTCATAAACAAAACATATTTTCAGAAAAAAGAAAAAGGTCACGTTTGAAAATGATAAAAATCGAATGTTTTTTTAGAAATTATTTTTCCAGAATATTTAGAATTTATATTTATACAAATGTTTTGTGATCTCGAATAAAAAAAAACAAACCTCATCTAATTCAGCCGCCGAATCAGCTCGATATTGAAAACAACTCAACAAAGCTGGCAATTCAAATGCAAATACGAAAAAATAAAAAACAACACTTGTGTGAGGATTTGTGACCAATGTTGTTATAGAAGAGGTATTGAATCCACCAACCATTGGAAATAAATAATACCCACCACCAATCCAAGTCATATAATTTTCAACAATTGATGTAACTATCTGCAAAAAACTGATAATTTTTCAACAATTTTTGCACTTATCAAAATAATAATAATAATATCCTATGTCAAAAAAACCCACCTGCACATAAAGCTGTCTATATTTATATTTCGAATTTTTCGGTGATTTCGAAACAATCAAATAACATCCAAATAAATTGATCGGGAATGAAATCAAAGCCAAAACATGAAGACAAAGTGTGTAATAAAATGGCTCTCGATTCAAACATTCCAAGTCCATACCGCATATATTATTCCAATATAAAAAACCTGGCAGAAAACACATTTTTTTTTGGAGAAAAATCAAATTACGCCCAAATTCGCGGATAAAAAAGATTGAATAAACTTTGAGTTAAACGGAGAGGTAATTCATCTTATAAAACACGAATGATAGATAAAAAATAAAGAAAAATATTTTCAAGGAAAGTTTCTATAGGAAACCCTCAAGTATATAAGTAAAACAGTGCAAATAATAAATGACTAGATAAAAAAATTTCGGGTAAAATTAACGGCCACTGCTATCTCTGAACCAAAATTGGAAGTCATAATAGGTTCGGCGAGAATATCTGTTCTAGAAGAAGAAAAAAAATAGAATAAAAAGAAATTTCCTTCTAAAAAACCTACATTGTCCCAATGTTCGTCGCTCTTCAGATGACCGATAACATGATCCACATATTCCAGCTTCACTTCACATAATTCACAATAATTCTGGAAAACACAGAGAAAAGCTTTTTCGGAACTGAAAACACTCAATGAAAAAACAACCATTTTGTGTTCGCCGTTAAATTTCACAGACTGTCAATCAATTTTGAAAAAGTTTCATTTTTTGAACTCACCACCAGCGCAATTTTCTCATTCAGGCACAATTTTTCATATGGTTCACGAGCAATCATTCTCTTGAACTCAACAATGAGACTTGGAACTTTAGATTCTTCAAAAACAAAAAAATTGGTTACAAAATTTTCTGAATCCCCACCATTAACAATTTGATTTCTTCCCAACACAGGACCATTTGGAATCGATAAAAGTGGCGCTGATACATTGACTCCACCCAAAATCAAAATATAACGAAAATCATCAACGAAGTAGACTGGCAGCTAAAAAAATATTAAATTAATTGAAGAAGTTCAAATTTTCCATCATAAAAAACCCACATGTTTCAAATGTTTTTCTGAATAAACGACGTGTTCGATGAAATGAAGTTTTGTTGATAGATCCACGTTGCACCATTGACAATAAAGCTGGAAAAATGAGATCTAATGAACTATTAAAAAATTGAAAATTTTAAAAATTACCATGTTTTTGAAAACTTTATCGTGCATCAAACATTTATTTTTGAAAAGCGATTTGACAACTCGAACAACTTCGTCCTTTTGATGACCTAAAAACTCCGACTTTTTTAATATAAAAAGAATTAAAATTATTACGTTCAAACACCAAATCATCATCGACTGGATTTTCAGCAACACAAAGTGGCCATCTTTCTATTTGAAGATTTTCTAAAAATAATCATCGTTTTATTTTGTTTTTTAATTTGAAATTTCGTAAAGAATCTCACCTTTTCTATGAGAATCTGGCAAATTTTTTGGCTTTGATTCGGTCGAAGTTGATTGACAGAAATCAAACCAATATTCAGCTTCGTTTCGATTCAAACCATTTGTATAAACCTGGAAAACAGGTTCTGTTTTCTCTTCGAATTTTCGAATTTCAAACCTGTGCCAAGTGTTCTCGTGTGAAAATATGCGCAAAAAAAGATCTCAATTGATAAATTTCGACATTGGCACCGCACACTCCACAACAATAAATCGATTTTTCATTGACAATCGGTTGAATCAATGTGAGCCGTGGTAAAGTTGAAGACTGTTTGTGGAGTTTTTCCAAAGTCAAAACAGTTTCAACGTCTGAAAAAAAACACTCGATTAATGTAATTATTATTTTTTAACAAATAAAAAAGCCTCACATTCACATTTTTGTCCTTTTACCATTTCATTCATCAATGGAAGTTTTCCAGTTAATGTTGTCAAACTTCTCAAACTATCGAAATAATTTACAGCTGATGCGGATTCGAAAAAATCATCAACTCCATCATATTTTTGATAACCCATTGGTGGATTCGGCAACTCTTCGCAAATTTCTCGCATTTTCATGATTTCTGCGATCATTTTTTCGAGAACCAAAACATCGAGAATCGAGATTGCTTTTTTGTTTCTGTAAATCTGCAAAAAAAGTTTTGTATTGTTTTTCTTGAAATGTTTGCTATGAAAATCTCACCTTATTAATATGTCCTTGTGACAAAAAATGAGCCAAAATCTCAACACTTCGAGAAGTTTCAAAATTGCATGTTTTACAATGATTTGCAGCCATCAATTCGGTCAAGAAAATATCCGATTTTTGCCAGTTTAATCGTTTTATTGTCTCCAAAAAACTCTCGGCGCGCAAAAGTGCCTCTTCATCTGAAAAATTAGCAATTTTTGTGATATTTTGAGCGAAAAAATTATATGAAAATCATACGTGAAATCGCATCGGGGACCCAAATTTCCCAACCATCTGAAAATGGAACCCAATGATCCGTGAGTTTATATTTCATATTGTTCAATGGACGACGATTTATGTAGATGTTTATTTGATTATCGAGTTCTGAAATATTTCTTGTTGTCAGCTGAAAAAAACCGACCAATTCTCACTGGTTTGTCGAACATCCCCTAACAAAACACTCTTTTCTCCTTGTAATCGAGTAAACTCATCCTCGTAAATCGAGCTGAAAAGTCGTATATCAACCAAATATTTTTCTCTTAATCTTTACAACTAACTTAGTAGCTCTTGTAGTATTGTTAAGCAAATTGAGTGTGACATCACAATTAGTCCCATTGAGAAATGATGATTGATCCATTCTTGAGATACTCCTGCGAACTTTTATCATGTCATCTGAAAAAGCTACAGTATTAACAAAAAAAGTAAAATCCAAATATTTACCTCTAGAATATAGTTTACTACTAGATCTGTCGAATCGCGAACTAGGTCTGGTTGTATCGGGAATTTTGAAGTATGGTTCGTTTTCTGCACGGCGATATGACATTTCTGCGTGACCTGCAAAAAAAAATTTCTTTAAAAAAACATTTGATCGAGAATCCGTCATTTCGGATTTTATCAAATAAGAAAAAAAATGGAAGAGTCTCAAAATTTTGGCGAGCAACAGGATAATTCGCATATTTTCTATGATCCTTTTACAATTTTGAAACCGTTGGCTTCGGCAGTCCATTTGGAACTAGATATGGTAAAATTTTAGGTTTTCGGCACTAAAACCCGGTTATTTTCAGATAAACTATGTTGTTTGCCTACTTTTATCATTTGCAATTGGTTATTGGTTCAAAACACAGTATTCGGGAGCTGATAGACAATCTAGAGCTATTTTTACAACTACTATTGGACTTGGATTTTGCTACTTTTGTTATGGAAAGTGAGTGAGCTTTGAGATTGATTTCAAATACAAAAATCTACAAGTTGAAACGTATTGAATTTTTTGCAGCGCAATAATCCATCTTCTTCTCAATGTTTTCGTGAGTTATGCTCTTATGTTAACTATTGATCCAAAAATAGTTCATAAAGTAGTTTTTGGATTTTCAATGGGATATTTGCTACTTATTCATTTTTATCGTTGGATGTATCAAACATCATATTGTATGGACGTAACAAGTAGTATTATGTTATCAGTTGGAAAAACAACCCTTTTAGCAACTGCAATTCATGATGGAATGGGAAAAGATCCAAAGAAATTAAGCGCCGCGCAAGAGAAAGATGCAGTTAAAGAAGTTCCGAATGTCATAGACTATGCATCATATATGTTTAATTTTCAGGTTTGAATTTCAAAACGAAATTCAAAAAATAAGATAAATCTTTTTAGACAATCCTTGCTGGACCGATGATAAATTATTCTGGGTGGTCACAATTTCTTGACGAAACACATATTCCACTTGATAAAACATCTGGAAAACCCTATGATCCTACTGGAACCGCGCTGGAAAAACTACAAATAGCCGTTGGTTTTGCGGTTCTATACGCAGCACTAACACCATTTTTCCCAATGTCGCTTACAATTGACCCAGAACTAAATCAACGCACTGTTTTCATATGGTGGATTTATCACACGATCAGTTGCACAGTTTTACGCTGTCAATACTACTTTGCATGGATTCTGAGTGAGTGAAAACGTGGAAAACACTTCGTTTCAGGGCGAACAAATAGAAACAGAGAGAGAGCGTGCAGAGTGCGAAAGAAAGACCCGCGAAATTTAAATAAGGCTGGCAACCAGCCAACTGCTGGGTCCTGAAGTGATGGTCCATGAATTCTCATTTTTTTTTTATTTCGGGGTTTTTTTGATGTCTGCGTCGCGTTTTCTCTATTTGTTCGTCCAAATACAGGGTTGAAACGAAGTGAAAAACGAAAAGAATGAGAACAAAATTTTGACTGAAAAATTGCCCCTCGGGTCAGACGAGAGACGACGGGAGTCTGATGACGTCATTTAAGACAGAGAAACCCATCGCTTCGAGATATTTCGAAGAAAATGTGTGTCCCTTTGAAAAAAACAGTAGTTTTGTTTGAAGGAACACACATTTTATTGAAAATATCTCGCCACCAAGTTACTTTTTGGGGATATTTTTGCAAAATACTCTCAAACGTTGTGCGCCTTTAAATTTTCTTCTACCGTTTTCAAAATATGTTTTCCAGGTGATGCCGCATGTAACGCCTCTGGATTTGGTTTCAATGGTCTGGATAAAGAGTCAAATGCACCAAAATGGACTCGCGCAACAAATGTCAACCCAATGAAAGTGGAATTCGCTCAAAATTATAAGGAAATTGTTGATAATTGGAATATGTCTACAGTTGCCTGGTTGAGACGAGTTGTATATGAAAGATTTGATGCAAAATATCGAACATGGGCGGTTTATGCGACTGGAGCAGTTTGGCACGGTGTTTCAGCTGGATATTATGTGTCGTTTTTGAGTAGTGGTCTCTACACTTTGGCTGGTGCAATGGTAAGTTTATGCGCATATGCTAGGGACAAATTTTCAATCAAATTTCAATTTTTAGTGGCGCCGCTGTATGCGTCATTATTTCATCAAGGATCCAAATGTGAAAATTGCTTATGATATTTTTGGAATTCTCTTATCTCGATTCATTCTTTGCTACAACCAATGGCCATTTTATATCATGAATCTTTCGCCAAGTCTTTTCACCTACACGAAATTCTATTTTCTGCCACAAATCATATCATTGCTCATAATATTCTACTTGCCCGAAGTTTTCCCGCCGAAAAAATCCGATTTGAAATCTGAAAAAACCGAGAACACCGAGAGAACTGAGAAAACTGATGATTTGAAAAGTGTCAAAAAATATTCATCGACAAGAACAGCCGTAGAAATGGAGAAAAAAGAGGAGAAAATTGAATAAAGAATTTTTCGGCGTGACCTTTTCGACCCATTTTATTTTGAAACGTGGATAGCCAGCTGGCATTTCGCAGCACTATTTTTTCCAGTCATTTCTGTGTTTTTCTAATCATGAGTTCAGATTTGAACGATGAAATTGATCCGAGCAATAGAGTATTTTATGATCCTGTTACAATTTTAAGACCAATTTCAAAAGCAACTGGTGTGAATTTGGATCAGGTTTGTGCTTTTGTTGTCAGTTTTGAAAGCAAGTTTCACGAAAAAAAATAATTTCAGCTCAACTTTGTCACATGTCTTTTTCTCGCATTTCCAATTGGTTTTTGGTTTCGCCATCAATTTCGAGATTCTCCAAGAGAAATACGATCTATGGTTTCAGCAGCAATTGGTTTTGCAATGTGTTATTTTTTGTATGGAAGGTAAGGCAATGAAAAAGTTTCTTGAAAAAATCATCAATGTTTCAGAGCAATTGCGCATCTTCTCATTCAAGGAATTGGCAGCTATTTGCTTTTGAAATTCACAAATTCTGAAAATGTTCATAGATTTGTTTTTGTTTTTGCAATGGGTTATCTTTTGCTGATTCATTTTTATCGATGGATTTATCAAAAATCATATTGTTTGGATGTTACTGGAAGTATGATGGTTGCAGTTGGAAAAACAACTCTTTTAGCAACTGCAATTCATGATGGAAATAAACTTGAAAATGGAAAAGAAGAAGAATTGACTGAAGGACAGAAAAATGATGCAGTTCGGGAAGTTCCGAATTTATTAGACTTCATGTCGTATATGTTCAATTTTCAGGAAAGATATCCTATTAGTTGAATAAATTGAACAATATTTTTACAGAGTGTAATTGTTGGACCAATGTCTCATTATTCAACTTGGTCAGCTTTCCTCGATCTCAAACATGTTCCAATCGATCCAAAAACAACGCGACCTTTCAGTCCAACAAAAGAAGCTCTTTTCAAATTTGAAATCTCATTAGGTATTTTCATTGTTTATGGTTTATTAGGCAGTTTTTTGCCGATGAGTGTAACTAGTGATCCGGAATATAATCGATTGAATTTGTTTTGCTGGTGGTTTTGGCATATGATTGCATCAACAATTCATAGATTACCGTATTATTTTTCGTGGATTATTTGTGAGTTTTTTGTGAAGAGAGATAGAGAGAGAGAGTTTGTGTGTGTGAGAGGGGAAAAATAATCAATGGAACTGGCTCGAAAAAGAAACAAATCAAAACCATCCAAATTCATATATTGTTGAATATTTTTATTCCTCCGGAAATTGTATATTTTTCCAGCTGACGCCAATTGCAATATTTCTGGTTTTGGTTTCGATGGAATTGAAGCATCAACTGATTCTGCAAAATGGTCAAAAACCACAAATGTTCGCCCACAAAATGTTGAACTTGGAAGAAATTACAAAGAAATGGTAGAGAATTGGAATATATGGACAGTTGCCTGGTTGAGACGAGTTGTTTATGAAAGAATTGAAGGACCATATCGAACATGGGCGGTTTATTTGACTGGAGCAATTTGGCATGGATTAGCTGTTGGATATTATTTATCATTTGCAACCAGTGCTTTATTTACGTTAGCTGCAGCTACAGTGGGTTTTGATATAAGATAAGATCTGACCAAAGTTAAATCGATTGTTTCCAGTTCCGCCGATGTGTTCGTCATCATTTCCTCGCCAATGCCAATCTCAAACTTGCCTATGATGTTTTTGGAATAATCATTTCAAAATTCGCTATTGGATATATTCATTATCCATTTTATGTTTTACATCTTTGGCCAAGCATATTTATGTATAGAAAATTATATTTGGCACCACAAATCATTGCGATATTGATTTATTTGTATCTTCCGATGGTTTTACCACCTTTGAATGGAAAACATAAAAAGAAAAGTGGAATTGAAAAGAAGAAATCTGGAGAATCAACGAAAACTGCGATTGATGGAGAAATTGAGAATAAAATGAAGGAAGAATGAAAGTAGGTATTTGTTGGGCTTTGAATTTTTGTTAAAATAATATAAAAATTGATGCTGAAATATATCAGTTTAGATAACTTCCATTTTCAAATTATCAAACAAAAATTTAAAAAAAAAATATTTTACAACAATTTTTATTCATGCTTATATTTTGTTGTTTTGAACGTGCGCATTGACCTAGATTCGACACTGAAGAAAAAAAAGCCATTTTGGATTTTATTATTACTTTATTTCCGTTTTTGTTTAGTTAGTTTGCCTTTGTTTTTTATCTAGTGTGATTTAAATTGTGAATCTAGTGTTCTGATCTTACTTCGATTAGTTGTTTGTTCAATTTATTCACAACTCAAAAATGTAACTACATTTTAGTAACTTTTTGGTGTAGTTGTGGTTGGTGGCAGGTGGCAGGATCCCAATTTCGATGGAGGACATCTGAAAATTTTTAACTACAAATAATACAAACATTTTCAATTTTTACCCCGCAGTGCTATGAGTTTTCTCATCGAACGGTATTTCGGGTCCAGATTCAGTAATAGTTCGAGTTGGGTTTCCTGAGACTCTCTGACCACCATCACATGAAATTTGGCTGAATTTGATTTATTGTTTAGCAGTGAAATACTGAAAATTTACCTGATAGCCAAAACAAATACCATAAGTATGATGAAACTTTTCATTTTATTTTGAAAAATAAAATTGAAAACTGTCTAGAAGCGGTGCAATTTTATAGATGTTAGAAATATTCTCACAGACGGCCTTTTTGCGACGAAAATTAACTATCCAATAGATTCTCATTCTCAAAAATTAGATACTTTTATTCAATTTCCAAAAAAATTATGCGGCCACACTTTTTCTTGTGATTGAAACATTTCGATTCGACGCATTGAAAACAAAATCACTATTTTCACTTCCCGGAATTCCATATAATCTCAAAATAGCTTTCCTATATTCGGGAGTTCGCCAAAAATAGATGAAAAAGTTGAGAGATGCGTTAATAATCACACACCAACCAAGCTGTTCATTGATTCGAGCACTAATTTCAGCAGGAATTGGCACTATCTGAAAATGTTTCCTTTAACTCTCGTATTATACTGAAACTGCCAAATAATTTTTAGTTTCAATTTCTGAAAAATGAAAAAATGCTTTGCCAAGTCATAATTATTAGTGATTTTTTGAATAATTCAAAAGTGAAAATTCTAGGGTTTTGAAATATTTTAATTCTTCCATTCAAAAAATTTAAATTTCCTGAATCTTTTCCTAATATTTTTCAACTAACCTGCATGAAAAATATGCAAGCAATTGTTACAAACCAAGTGCATACATAAACACCGACAACAATTGATAAAGATTTCATAAGTCGAGTTATCATTTGACATGTTTGTTGATGTGTATTACTTGCTCGCATTATTTGACATCTCAAATGCGCCATTGAATATACAATTATAACACAAATTGAGATGAAAAAATTGGAAGCTAACCAAAGTTTTCGAGAATTTCCTGAATATGCGTTAGGAGGTAGACAGACGACAACATCGGATTTATCTGAAATCAGTTGTTTATTATAGTTTTTAGACTGGAATTTTATAGATACCATCAAGAACATCGAGATATCCAAAAAATGTGATGATAAATGAAAAAATTAGGCAAGATAAAATGAGCATCACATAAATACTTTTTGGAAGAAATGAATACCTGGAATTTGAATTTAGAACAATTATTTTAATGAAAAATATTGACAAACCTCAAAGGATAAGAGACATTTAAAAGTCGATCAATTCCAATAATAAGGCCTAAAGAAGATTGCATATTTAGTGAAAATAGTCCATAAATCGAGAAATAAAAACAAAATGAGGTAGGAATATTATAATATTGAAAAATCATCAAAAATCGTAGGCTTGCCTAAAAATCATTAGGATAGAGATGTTGTAATTTTATATGAGAGGTTTTTGAATAGATTTTGAAAAATATTATTCAAAAAAATTTATCACCGGATGATATTCATTATAATTTCATTTCAAAAACTAATTTGCGTATCTTTTTTTTTCGTATTTTCAGTCATCAAAAGTTTAAAATATTGCGAATTCCCACACTAAAACTCACCAAATAGAAACCAATAACCAAATCGAAAAATGCCAAAATTCCAATTAATAAATTACATCGGCTATGTAAATTTTTATTCGCAATAGTTATCCAAACTATTGTAAAATTTCCCAAAATTCCGAAAACTATTAACGTTAAATTTGAATAAATCATAAGTTGTGAATATTCAGACATGGTTTTTTTCTGAAAATTAGTTTTTTTTCTGACAAAAATGAAATACGTAAAATAAAATTCCAACCATGAGAAAAACCTAATTTTCTCTGAAAAAGTCTGAAAAAACCACAAGGGAGACAGGTGGACACACATAAATTACATCACCCTCAATATTTATTTTCTTTTATATTCGGCATAAAAGTTATGATTAATCAAAGATCAAGATTTGTATTTGTGTTTTAGGTGTTTGGGAACTTTTTCTAAACGTTTGATTTTTTGAGGGAGAAAAAACTAGAGAGAATTTAATGTAAGTCAGGTGCAGTTTTCTAATCATCTTCTATTGAGTCAGAAAAAACTTGGTGCTGATTTTTGCAAAATGAACTTTGTTAATCTAGAAAAATGTTTTTCCCAGAAAAAAATGCTGGTTTGTTGAGAAAAACAATAATTAACTAGGAATTGTTTACATTTTTGTTGGCAGGCTGAAAATTGAATTTCTTTATCTTTGGCCAGAAATTATAATTCGCATGGATTTGCACAAATGAGGGTTTCAGAATTTCTAGGCCGCGGACAAATTGTAATTCGAGTTTCTCAAACTTCGTTTAGTTTTGAAAACTTTTGAAATACCAAACATTAAGAACTAAATAAAAATTCATATGAGTTATTTTCTGGGTTTTGTTGGCAATCAAATCTCAATTAGAAATTCTAGTATACAAAACATCTGTGAAAATTATTTTCACCTGTTCAAAATATTGTTTATTTTTAGAAAAACCACATTTTTCAAAACAAAATCTTTCTACATTATAACAAGCAAAGAAACCCCGAACTTGAATATACAGTCCTCCACATAATTTTAGCCTCACCCCCAAAATTTTCGAAAAATCGAAAATTTGATTTTTTCAGAAAAAGTTGCCATAGTCAAAATATGTCAAAAGGTGATACATAAATGTACCCTACTTCAAATTTCAGATAAAAATGAGGCTGAAATAAAAAGTTGATTTTTTTGAAAAATGGGTGTTTTTAGTTTCCACATAATCTTAGCCTCACCCTAGAAAATTGCTGGAATTTCAGGTTTTGTGCTTGAACTAAGTTTGTAATGGGTCTGAAAATTATAGTTGAATCAATTTCAGACAGAATTGAGCTGTAATCAACCATTATTAATTGATTAACAGTGACTGAGAACGCTGATAGCGTGGAGACTTCCATCAAAACAAGTTTTGAGTCAAAGTTGGTTCAAAATTCGATTATTTCGAGCTTAATTTTTAGAAAATTGGTAGAAAACACTTTTTTCAACATAATCTGTAAAATTCTGACCCGAATTGCAAAAAAATTTGAATTTTAGCTGATTTTTCGAAAATTTTGAAATTTTTTTAAACCAAAATTTTTGAGTTTCAGCCAAATTTCCGACATCTTTCTAAGTTTTCCAGTTGGATATTATTGATTTTTCGAGAACACGTTAATTCTGATAATTTTTCGAATTCTGACACTCAGAAATTCAAAACTGGAGTAAGAATCAGGTGAAAGACTGAACCCTGACTTTAATGAATTTTCGAAAATTTTTAAACTCAACATTGAAGAGCTTTCCTGGTTGAACATTTGGACATAAAATCTTTAATTGAAGTCAGTTATTAGTTTTTGTCAGTTTTTGAACCATTATCACTGATTTATACTGAAATTTTCAGATATTACAAGAGTAAACTGTTTTTCTCAAAATTGATCTGAAGTTTTGGATCAGAGATTACCGATATCTCACAATTTCAGAACGCCGAATTGAAGGATAAGTTTATTTCGGATGTAAGAGATCAGTATCTTGCTTAAACAAGAATATCCAACTGGAAAACTTAGAAAAATGTCGGAAATTTGGCTGAAACTCAAAAATTTTGGTTTAAAAAAATTTCAAAATTTTCGAAAAATCAGCTAAAATTCAAATTTTTTTGCAATTCGGGTCAGAATTTTACAGATTATGTTGAAAAAAGTGTTTTCTACCAATTTTCTAAAAATTAAGCTCGAAATAATCGAATTTTGAACCAACTTTGACTCAAAACTTGTTTTGATGGAAGTCTCCACGCTATCAGCGTTCTCAGTCACTGTTAATCAATTAATAATGGTTGATTACAGCTCAATTCTGTCTGAAATTGATTCAACTATCATTTTCAGACCCATTACAAACTTAGTTCAAGCACAAAACCTGAAATTCCAGCAATTTTCTAGGGTGAGGCTAAGATTATGTGGAAACTAAAAACACCCATTTTTCAAAAAAATCAACTTTTTATTTCAGCCTCATTTTTATCTGAAATTTGAAGTAGGGTACATTTATGTATCACCTTTTGACATATTTTGACTATGCCAACTTTTTTCTGAAAAAATCAAATTTCCGATTTTTCGAAAATTTTGGGGGTGAGGCTAAGATTATGTGGAGGACTGTATTTTCTATTCCACAACATCAAAGAATCAAACAAAACTAGACTACAATATACAAAAATAACCAAATTGTGGTCAATAAAATAAGCATTCATTTTTTCCTAATCTAATTTTTTTTGGCTGATTATTTTTGATATTATAAATATGTGGCTGCCTGCGCACTGATTGTCACCTTCATTTCGTCGAAAATCACAAAGAAAAAGCATTTATTTACAGAAAAAGATTAAATCATAAGTTAAATATGCAATTTGTTGTCATGGTTAGTTCAAATTTTTAAAAGAAAATAAATCCAGCCGAATATTCTATTGATCATAATAATCAGTCTCTGATTTTGTTCTGGCAACAGGTTGTTCTAAATCTGATGAACAAGTGTTCACCAAAAATATACTTTTGAAACTGGGTTGCAAGAAATTGTAGTCGATTGTTTTGTGGAATAACATACAACCTTTTGTGGTTGTTACCCAATTTACAGCTACACATTTTTCACGTCGTCGAATATGTGACCAAGAACATTCGGATTCACAAGATTCTGAAATCAGAGATTTGAAAATGTTGTAAAACTTGAAACATAATTAATCTTCAAGTTTTAAAATTCAAATTTCATCTTTTAAAAATTACGAAATATTCATTTTTTAGGAGAAAATAGAGATATATTCATCGTGTTAGTAGTTATTGTTTTGACAATTTATTGTTAAAAATTATTAAAATTCTCAAATAGTCCGAGAATCTGAGATTTCAAGTAATTTTAAAACCAGAAATCTCACCTAAATCATTCAATCCACCCACAATTGTTGCATCAAAAGAATTATAAACTGAATTATTGTATAATCGATAACACTCTTTTTTGGTTGATGCCGTGACTGAAGTTGTTGATGATTTTGGAATTGAGTTTGTTTTTGGTTGACATATATTTTCATAATAATCAAAATCACGAGATTGAATCAAAGGTTCAGAATTTAGGTGCAGATTTCCACCATTAAGAATGCAGGTCTGCAAGAAAATTAAATAACATCAAAAATATATTAATTTTTTCTCACCTTCAAATTAAAGCTATAATTGATACTTGCACAATATAATTGTTGTGTGTGCACACATTGTCTGATGCAATTTTCCAAAGTGAAGCCAGTGAATTTGAGTTCTTCGAACTTTGTGAAAACATAGTTGGCTGTTTTTCGAAAACAGGTTGCTAGAAAAAAAGTTAATTGGAGATTTCGAGGTTTTTCTCAAATCTACCGTAATTTGTATCATCGTTGAGAATTAGATCACTGCGTTGTTGACGGCGATAAAGAGAAGATGAATCAACGAGGGGACGAGGAGCAAAAAGACGAGCCTTGAAATTGAGAAATTGTCATAATTTCGGGATATTTATGGTGTTGAGTGAGAAAAACTCATTTTCTGTGAATTTCTCGAAATTTTATGAGCCTTTTTTGTAAAATATAAGATGTTTTTAATTTTAAAAAAATGGGAAATCTTCAAAAAATCTCTTTCTTTTATTCAAAAACTTACTCTTCCTCCACCATTATGCACTGACAGCGATCTTACTGTCTTCTGAAAAATACCACTTTTTCATTTTCAATTTATCAACAATAAAAACTCACACTGTAGACTGGTTCCCTTTTCTGCTCCAACTGATATTGTTTTACCGCATGAACTCTTCTTAATTCCAAACTTTTTCTTTGTTGTGGTTGGGATACGGTATTTTGTGGTACTGTAGGAAGTCGTGATTTAACAGCTAGCGGTGATTCAGTTGTTCGAAATTGCTCGGCAAAAATTCCAAGGCGAACTGGTTCGACCTCATTTAGACAGTTGTTTTCGTATAAATCGATTTGGAGACCTTTCGAAGTTCTGAAATGTTTTTTATTGTTCGAAATAATTTCAATAGAGATTTGTGAAACCTTACTTGATTTTCCGTTCATCTCGAGTATATTTTGATAAAACACAATTCTGTGTATTAACATTGAACATTGCTGTATGACACTTTATTTTGTGATTTGTTGGTGCATGCATACACTGTCTCAAACATTCTTCAACATCATCAACATTTTCAATCAAAACATTTCCTGATTTTTCCAAAAATTCATTGGAATGCAAAACGAAACATGAATAGACATCTTTAGTTCGGTAGAGCGAATGTGATATACTGAAAATTGATCTCTGTTTTTTTGGTGCATTGATAGGAAATTGTTTAAAGAAATTTTGAAAAATCAATTTGAATTGTTTTCAATGTTCGAATTCTTATTTGTCATATCGTAATTCAGACCCCGATATTTTCTGATAATCTCCATTTTCCTATCTTCAGTTTCAGACAGACAGAGATACAAAAACAAAAATAAAAAGTGAAATGATTTCACTTTTCATTTCATTTTCACACTGTTTTATTTTGTAAAACAAAAATTTTGCTTTTTTTCGTTTGTTCTTTCTAATCTTGATAAATCTCATTATGTGTTCGCATTTTTCCTCAAAAAGTGAGAAGATGAAAAATGTGTCTAGTTCCAGGTAGACAAATCACACTCACTTGTTTTCTACCTACTTAATTTATCGTTTTCAGTCATCAGATTCGACTGAAAAAATGGAACTGACATAGGCTACGACAAAAAAACTTGATAAGGAAATGAAGATTTTTGACTTTTCACTGATGTGTAAAAAATAATTTGTTGGTGGGCTGAGGGTATTTTTTTGAGGATTTAGGATTTTGTGTTATGGTCAAAGCATTCTGGAGTACGGAAAGAACATCATTTCAGTTTTTGATTTCTGTAGTTGTTGATGAGATTTTTGAACTAGCCCTGTTTTTGGGGGAAATCTTGACCACTTCTAAATAGGAGTCAGACTAGTTACGATTTTTTCAAATTTCCGGAGAATCTGAAAAATCGGACGAGTTTTTGAAAATGTTCAGGTTTAGCCAATAAAACTATCGAATTTCTTTTTAAAAAATAGCCCAATTTTCGTGATCCAATTCAGAATTTTGGTAAGCATTGTCAGGTTTTTGTAGATCCCAGCATTTTCCCAAATTATCTTCCCTACAGTAACCCACGCTTTAAAATTCGTTTTGATTCTTGATTACTTAAAAATTTCACTTTTTCTTTTCAAAAAAAGTGAAGTGAAGTGGATTTCTTGAAACTTTCAATGGCATATTCAAATGATTTTTTGAAAGTATATTTTCTGAAAAAATGGCAAAAATTCCACAAGGAAGTTAAACTACAAAAAAGCCTGTTTTTTTCACCCCACCATATAATTATCCTGACAACAATCTCCGTTTTTTTCCTCAAAAATTTGGAAATTTTATTACGTCACGATGAATCTTGACCAATTGGACAATTCTCAAAATGAAGAAAAAATAAAGAACTCACGTGAAAACTTGGGCCAGAATTAGGAAATGCCGCATGCCAAATTAAAAAAAATTAAATGTACAGATGGGAAAAAAGTACAAAAACTTGAGATGAAACAGCCGCCAAAAGCCCGTAAAAATCGTCTTATGTTCATTTTCTCCTCTCTTCGTCCAAAAATCTCCGCCTTTCTCTGTCATTTCACTTTTTGTCTTCCCTTGGCGTTTTAAAGGAACATTATTTTTATTTATTTATTTGTATGCCAACGAGTGCTTGTAATTGTATATAACTTGGCAGGAACCTAGTTTTAGTTTTATTTGTTTCAATTTTACAAGCACTAAAAGCTATAAACCCAAATTTAGGAATAAATAAATAATCAATTATCCCAATTTGAAGCTAAAAACCAGTTTTCTACATTAGTATATTCATTAGCAAAGATAATGTGATAGACCAAACAAACAAAACAAAAAATTCAAGCCACCTAGGGGACTCGAACCCCTGACCTTAAGATTAAAAGTCTCACGCTCTACCAACTGAGCTAAGGAGGCTTCTGGTCCTCCATGCCGCAATTGCTATTTTATATGTACGCAATACAATTCACAAATTCTTCATTTTCTTCCATACAGCACACACAATTTCAAGCAAGATCAAAAGAAAAAAGAGAGTCTAGAGAACACGTATAATAGATAGAATTAGAGAAACGTTTATTTTCTTCCAAAAAGTTCGTTGGCACGTCGTCGATATCTTGCATCAACCATCATGTCCCCATCGAAATCTGGTGCTGATCGTTTTCCTGAAAAATGTATATAATGTGAGAATTTTTTGGGGAAATCTGATATTTTCGCGCTTTTTCAAGAAATAATGGTTTGAATTTCGTTTTGGCGAATAAAAAGGGAGATATTTTTGCGCCTTTTCCAATGTTTGTTTAACAATTAGAAAAGTTTTATTGGCTTTTTGACCATTGATGTTTCTCAGATTATCTCAAATTTTCGATGAAACTGAAAAACCTCGGACAACCCGTACACAATTATACTCTCTAGGCGCTGATTCTTGACAATTGACCTCTCTAGGTGCGGCTACTTGATATAGAAGCTCGCAAGGCGCGGAGCCTAGACAGTTAGGTAACTAGGCGCTACTGACATTTGTGATTTATGACGTGGCAATTTGTCTTACCGAAAAGTTCTCTTCCTCGTCTTTTGATGAAAGCGGCTCTTTTGAACATTGGTTTGAGTTCCTCACTGTCATTTTCCAATTCTTCCGACAATTTCACATTTTCTAAAAAAAACATAATTTTTTATTTATTTTATGCATAAAAAAACAAAATTGCTGGAACCGTCTGAAAATTACAGCCTTCTCTCTTGTGATTTATTTATAATAACTACCGTATTCTTTCCGATTATTTTCTTTGTTTCGAGAGAAAATATAATTTCATTGGAAATTCATGCGCAATTCTTTTTTTGATAAACAAAACAAGAGGGTTTCTTCTCCAAAAAAAATTTTTTTTTGAGGAATCGTGGGAAAATGTACAAACCGGGTGATGTAAAGATCTTTGGTGTAAATCGGAAGGCGCGAAATCTGCTTGGCTGAAATGAAGTTTCAGAGTCGATCCAATAACGAGATGAGCTTGAAACGAGCGATGTTGTGAGAAGACCTGGAAAAACATTTAGAATCCAAGTTTGAGATCTGAATTTTAGATTTTGTTTTCAGCGAAGTGAGTTACAGTAGCAAAAATAATATTTTCAAAAATTCTTTTGGATACTGTAGCCCGCGAACCGGAAAATGTTTCCGTATTTTTTTCTACAGTAACTCGAATTATTTAAAAAAAACAAAAATGTAAGAATACCTACCATAATGGATAATCCTAAAGCCTAAAACATGAGTCCAAAAGGTCAAAATTGTCAAATTAGAAAAATCTCAGAACTCCGACTTATTGTAAGTTCCCTTTTCCCTAAAAGTTACGGTAACCGCTGATAAGAAACTATATTTGAAACTTTTCTTATTTATTTCAATTCAAGAATTTTTCAGAAGCTACAGTAACCGCTAAATTCCAAGAAAAAACTGACCGAAAATTACCAAAATCGAAAATCCCATCATAATTGCTTCTCAAACTCGGGTTATTTCTAGTTCAGATTTTTCCAAAAGCAAGAAAAATCCAAAACCAAAAATCTCAAAAATATTCGTTGAATTCGGACTGGTCCCATTTTATAGACATAAATTCTTCCGCGTAGCCACGCCCACTTTTTTCGGCACCAAAAAAAATTATTTCGCTTCTGGAATACGCCCACTGGAAGGAAGAATTGACGTGATAAGTGTTTGAAATTTGAGATGGTGTGACTTGCGGATAGAAAGTAACCAATACTTTTTTCATGCGAACTTTTGAGCTATTTTTGTCGCATCTAGAAAAATTATGAAATCCAGAAAATCCTCTCTCGTGACATCAATCCGAACGTGAACAAAAAAGACCAAAAAATGCTCCATTTAAAATTTTCTCGTCATTTCTAAATCAACAAAAAACAGTATATATTAGTTTCGGCAAAAATTGTTCAAAAATTGAATCAAAATGGGTCAACTAAATGCAAAACCAAAAGTGGCACCGAAACCAACTCAAGAAGCACCGAAAAACACGAGCGCTTCGGATAACTCGTTTTCAAAACCGGAAATCAAACCAAAACCGCCAGTCGATGATTGTTATGAAAACTTGGATAATTTGCCGACGCCTGAAGAAACTCCGGAGATGAAATGTGAGTTTTCAAGTTGACTAATTTCCGAATTATACCAAAGCTATTTTTTTTCTGAAAAATTATTGGATGATTTCATCTAGAAATACTTCAGCTCCTGCAACTGGTTCTTCAAGTCAAGAAAAACTTGATACTAAAAAATCAGCTGAAACAACATCAACTTCCAAATTCAAACTCCCACAAGATACAAAAACAAAAGCGGATCCATTTAGTGCGAGATATGATACACTTCGAATGATGCCTGATGTTCAATGGGATAATAAACCAATGACATCACCACGAAATGATCCAACACCTATTAAAGTTCCGAAAGATACTGTAACTAAAGTTGATCCATTCAATGCGAATTATGATACACTTTTGATGACACCTGAACCAAAATGGACTGAAAAAGATAAAAAGGAAAAGGAGAAATCGAAAAAATAATGAATAATGAAGGTTTTATTTTTATTTTTAATGCTCTGATTCAGATACGTAGATGGTACGGTTTTTCCAAAATTTCTTTTTGAGGGAAAAAATCAAAAACTTCCAAACTTATTTTCAAGAGAAGTTTTCTTTATATTTCAACACAGGTATTGTTTTCTGATGTACTAGATGTCCTTTTAGTATTTTTCTTTCGAATGATCAATCAAAGAAACATTTAACAAACACTGTGACCAAATAATATTTTCCAGGAAACAATGATAGATAGTTAAAAGGGGTTTTGATAACTTATTGTTCATTCTCTTTTTTCCTTTTTCGGAAAATGTGGTTGCTAGTTTTATTTTTTCTTAAAGTTTCTTGTCAATTGAATTCAAATGGAACTGAGTCTGAATCATGTAAGTCTTATATAAATGTTCAGGTTTGTTAACAATATATAATTCAGATTTGACACCATCGGAAGATTTTACGAAAAAATTGTTTGAGAATTATGATAATGAAGTTGCGCCTTTTTGTAATGATAAAAGTATGTCAAAAATTGAACATTTCATTTCATTCTCCATCTAAATTTCAAACTTCAGGTGGCATTGAAAGACAAGCATGGATATTGATTCTGAAATTTATCCGCTTTAAATTAATCGATGTTGATGAACCAAAAGAACAAGTAACTACAGTTGTTGAAGTTAAACAAAATTGGTTTGATCAACGAATATCATGGGATCCCGAAGAAAATGATAATATTACCCAACTGTTTATACGACTTGATAAAGTTTGGTCGCCTCCATTCACGGCATTTTCAGCGTAAGTATTTTATTGAGCTGTGAGTAGTATTGTAACAAAAAAATATAGGAGTGAAGTTGTTGAGCAACGTGATCAAGATTATCGAATGGCATCAATTCATAGTTATGGCTCTGTTACGGCTCATATTCCAGTGAAACTCACAATTAATTGTAAATTTAACATGAGCAATTATCCATTCGACACACAAATATGTGAAATAATTACGGGAATTCCTTCGATTCCAACACATCTTCACAAACTTTCCGTTGATTTCTCTCCAGCTTTGTCAGATAATCTATGCAATTTGGGAAACTCAGCATGGGATGTTATTGATATTAGAAGTGGTCTTGTCAATATCAAAAATAGTTATGAATTTGTGGATAGTACTCGAATTGGAATTCTGAAATTTCAATTGAAAAGAAATCCAACATTTTATATGTATATGATTGTTTTACCAATTTTCATTATCAATGCTTTGTCATTTTCTGGAGTATTTCTGAAAAATACAACAAAAGTTGATCGTCTTACTATTGGATTGACACATATTATGACAATGACATTTATATTAGGAATAATTGCTGATAAATTACCAAAAACGAATAGTGTTCCACTTCTCGGAAAATACATTATTTTCGGATTATGCACAATGATCATTGCCATGCTTATTTCCACATATCTCAAAAAAATCACCGAATATTTAGCAGGAAAATTAGGAAACACTCAAAACTCAATTGGGTTGGTTGAAAACGAAAAAGTGTCAATTTGATTTGGAATTATTTACAGAAAACATATTCGACGATTTATTGGAAGACCGAGTCGAATTATTTTCATCTTTGCTTTTCAAATTGCAAACATCGCATCGATTATCTATCTTTTGTATCGTTATTATGATTTCGAAACTCGATTCAAACTTCCTGAATCATGCCAAGTAAGATCAAAAACAATGGAATTTACACATGATGAAGAGGATTGTGGATGTTTCTGAATTAATTTTGAAGTTAAGATTCGATATCACTCAAAACTTTTTCTTCCAATTTCATGTATCTACACTACAGTACTCTTCGCATTTGATGTGAATGTTCATTTTTCAGATTTAATGATTAAAGAGTTTTTGAAATTCCAAATTTCTGGTCCAGGATTACGTGGACTTTTTTGTAAATTAAAAAACTAGTGAATTAAAATTTTCGAAACTTTTTTTGTGGACAAAAACACCTGTATATTTTAAAATATGAGGGTTATGATACATATACGAACGCTTTCAATATTTGAAAAAATAAACAAACTTCAGCGATATTTATTTGATAGTTCATCATTATAAACCAACTGAATGCTACTAAAATTTTCGTTAATTATTTTTCTCCAATTATTTCCTCATTATTCTTTGGCAATTCAATGCTATCAATGCAACTCTTTGACAACTTCAGATTGCGAAAAAAATTATGAAAAATTTGGAAAAATTTGTCGATCGAAAACTATTCAAGGTCGAAATTTTGAGGCAATTGGTTGTCGAGAAATTAAACAATATGTTGATGGTTAGATAATTTTGAAATTTTAGACGACACATTTTTTCATAGATCATTATTCAATCGATAGAAGTTGTGCCTATTTGGGAGAAAATGAGGAACAAAAAATCGAATAAAGGTTCGATGGGAGTACAGCGAGTTTATACACAGTGTTCGGAAGATAAATGCAATTTTGCGGCAGGGTTTTCTCCGAGTTGTCTTATCATTTTAATAGCTTTCTGTTTATTTTTGCTTTGAATGAATATTTTCTTCAAAATTTCACGTTGTTGAGTCGCGCAATCCGATTTCCAATTAATTTATTCACTGAATAAAACGATCTTAAAAAATTACGATAAAACAATATTAAGACAACATTGAGCCAAATATTTAAAAAAACTACGGATTTTTGAGATTACTGAAGCTAGGCGAAAAACTTGAGGGCAATCATGGAAACAGCGAAAACTGCGGCGAATTTGGAAGTTTCGGCAGAGTTGCAGCGTGGTTCCGAACATTGCGAGTAGATTCGTTGAACTCCCATCGATCCCTGAAATTTTAATTAAAAATTTTTTTAATCTGTTAAAACATTATCTTCTATGTTTTAGTTTCAGAAGTTTCATGTTTCATGACAAAACATTCCATTATGGGTGATTCAAGAAAAAAGAAAACAACTATTTTTTGACAAAAAAAAAATCGAATTTTTCCGTGTAAAAATTTTGTAGAGTGATACTTTTTTGTTCTGCGAAAAAAATGTTTTTTGATATTTGAATTTTTTCTCCAAAAATGTTGCATCATTATTTTCTTCCTGAATCACCTCATTAGTATTTTGACCACGGAATTTTCAAAGTTTTCAGAATGAAGAAAAAACCAACCTTGTTTGATTTTTTCTCAATAGTTTCCCCGAGATATGCGCATTGTCTGTCAAGCGAATATTCTTCTGAAAAAAAAGAATGAATTTGGGGTCAAAACAAAAGTTTGGCATACCGTGGACATATTGTCTAACCACGCGACATCCAATTGGTTCATTTTTGACTCCATTAAACACTTTTACTGGACAAACCTGAAATGATCAAATATAATTTTTAATTGGAGACTCTTGGTGTTTGTTTTCCAAATTAATATAATAATTTTTAATTTAAAATAATGACTTTTTTCCAATAAACATTTCCCACGATTTTTTTAATTCTTCATATCAAATATTTTTAACTGATTGTGAGAAATGTTTCCCTAATTATAGGATTTTTCAAACTGACTTCAGAAAAACTTAAAAATGTCCTCCCATCCAAAAAACTCACTCTTCCAAATTTCTCATATTTGTGCTCACATTCCGGATTAGTCAAACTATTACATTGATAACATTGGAATAAGCAAGTTGCAATTGCCAATGAACTGAGAAAAATGGCGATTTTTAGTGAGGTTGAAGCGGCCATGTTTCCTAAACAAAAATCTATAATTTTTGATAAAAGTGTAAAACGATGCTAGAACATATGCTAGACGAGAAGAGAACACATGTGCTTATTGAAAATAGCTGAAAATCTGGGGAAATAATAGGCTTGAAAAAAATTTCAAAAAATAAAAATGGGTTTTACTATATTCAAGGCGCATTGAAAAACAAACGTGGGTCTCGAGACGATGCATCCCGCGTGTTCGTTTTTTCAAAAAATGTAATTTTATTTTTTTCTTTTTTTTTCATGAAAAACGTTTTCTGTGGGGAAAACTGGTTCAAAAGAGTGAATAGTTGCGACCTTCAAAATCTCTTTTGACAAGTGTACATTTCAATTTATTTCAACCACAGAAAATAAATCAAAATCAATCAAATTTTGAGTAAATTTGATAAGCAAAACAAAGAAACAACATTTTTTGTTTAGCCCCGTTCCAATTTTTTTTAACTAGAAAAGAGAAAATAAAGTTGACAAGAAAGATCGACCAATTTGTGCTTCTTCTTCTCTTTTTTTGTGCTCGTTTTCCTGCTTGCTCCAAAAAGTTTTAGTTTTAGTTTTAGTTTTGGCAGAGAAACCAGAGAAAAAACAACAAAAAAAATGTTTTTTTTTGAAAAGAAAGAGAAAAGAAAAATTTTGAGAATATAATTTTCAAAAATGCGTTGTTCAATGAGTTTCTAGTAAAAACTTTGACAAAAGTTGAGAAACAAAAAAGTTTTGCGGAAAAGATTTATAGAGCTCTTCAGAAAACACAAGTTTTTTTGTTTTGTTTTTTTTATGAGAGAAAATGAGGAAAAGAGAAGAAGAAGAGAAGATTAGGATTTTCACGGGTTTGGCGCAAAAAATTTGACATATTTTGCTGATTGATGCTGTTTTATTTTTAAAGGAAGGGGGCAGGTTTCCTTGTACATGAATTCCGAGAGAAGTACACACGAATAAATTATGTGTGCGATAGAGCAACCTTGATTGCCCATGTGTTATGTTTTAACTATTATTAAAGGTTTGTATTTATTCCGTGGACCTTATGATAAAGTGATGATGAGGAATAAGGGCTAACGTAAATATTCCACTTTTCCAAAAACTGTTTTGCTCGAGAGCACAAAAAAGTTGAAACATAAAACATGGACAATCAAGTTTGCTCTATCGCACACATCGTTTATTTTTGTGTGCATTTCTCCCGGAATTCTTATCCTAACATATTTGAACTCATATAAAAAATTGTAAAAACAAAAAAAGAAATTTCGAGGAAATGTCCTCATTCATAACGTAACCTAGTTACGGCCGGACAAAAATAAATCGAAATTTTTTTCGCGTCAAAAATCAGAACTTTCAAAAAAGAGAGGCAATGAAGGGTAAAAAACCGACCGAAGAAGAGAAGGAAATTGTATCCGAAACTCAATTTTCGCGTCAAAAAATGTGTTTTTTTTTTCATTTTTTTTCGAAAAAAAAAAAATAAAACGGGGTGTTGTTGGTGTCTCCCGAGGGGCACAAAATGAAGAAAGATAAGAAAAATTGAGAGGGGAAAAAGACATTTTCTGGGCGGAGCGTTGATTTTTGCGCGCGCTTTTTCTTTTCTTGTTTTGTTTTGTTTTTGACAAGAAAATGGAAAAAAAGAGAGAAACAAAGCATTGAATGAATAGGTGAGAAAATGTATAGATTTTTTGAAAAGAAAAAGTGCAAATATTTGGCGCCAATAACTATTTTCTCATGGTTTTGCGGTTGTAAACTGTGTATGTATGTACTATGAATAGGAATAATTGGGCGCCCGCCAAATATTTTTGTGGTGAACAAAAAATATATTTGTCATAAAAATGCATGTCAAACAACGAATACCAATATGTTTTTTCCTCCATCGGAAAAAAAAACCAACGACAGAAAAAGTTTTAGCTGGAAGAACTTCATCAAACATTCATGCAAAAAATGGCTCGTTCGGAAGAGGAAACGAGAGACCAAGCGAGAGACACAAAATTGGATTTACTTTGAATACTAACTTATGTGTTGTTGGAAAAAATGAGGGGAAAATTATCACAGAAATCTAGCTATGGGATTTTTTTTTGTTGAACACTTTATGTTTGGATCTAATTCCTTAGATTTGAGTAGTTTAAATAAAAAATTGGAACATTCGAAAACTTTGAGACTTAATTAATATTTATATTGATTTTTTTCTTGAAACATATTGAAACTCACTCATCGAAAAATTAGGTTTGTTCCTCTAATTGTAAGCCACGTGTATTTTTTGTATAGAATTGAACATTTTTCATGACTTATTGATTTTTATTGGAAATTTTTGACACGAAAATATTGATTCAATAATAAAAATAATTTATCGAAAAATCAAATATTCCGTATCTCAATTTTCTTTGTATTTTTATTATCAATATTTCCTTCCAAATTAGTTATATCTTGCTCAAATTCTAAAAAACAAAATTGTCTATCTGTCGCTCGACACATTTGATTCAAATAAATCCACGATTTCACATATTTTCCATCATTCGTACAATCATGTTCAATTTGATAAAACATATAACGATAATCGCTTATTTCAAATTTATTCGATAAACTTCCATGATATGTTTTTTTACGAAACTGCCACTTTTTATTCTTCCAACTGTATTCGTTGTCAATTCATCATTCATCGTTCTAATCAGAAAAAAAACCAAATTTTAAGAAAAAGGTTTTGATAAATCTCTCACAACTTATCCTTATCAAAAAATTGAATAAAGTAAGAATAGAAAGGTTTTCTCAACAAGGAACATTTTAAAGTTACGGTAAATCGAAAACCGAATGTTCCGTTATACCAATCTGGTTCAGCTGAAATATGAGTTGCAAAAATAGAAATTATTACAATGCAAATATTATAAAACGTGTCACAGATATTTTGATGAGCCTAGACATTCATTTTCTCACATATCGAGACTCTTTATAAACCCATGTTTATGGTCAAACATCAAAACAATCAGAAGAATTGATATTTCAGAAAGAAATGAATATTTCTCTCATCAAAATTCTTCAATGTTTCTCACTTTTCTTTATTTCTCCAATATTTTGTACCAACATAACATACAATCAAGCCGTCGATACAGCGTTAAATCAAGTTTTTGGACCACCGCCGCCAGTTGAAAACGATAAAGCAAGTCGAGTTCTGTTTGCTATGGAAACCGATATAAATCTAAAATCGGAGAGAAGAGTCAAAAATCATTTGGCACCAGGTTTCAGAAATGCTGGAAGAAATAAAGAAGTACAAGATTCCTCAGAATTCTACAAGGCAAAGGTGGAAAATAGGCCACTTTCAATTGATAGATCATCAGTTAAAGAAACCATCAATCCATTAACTGGTCAAAGTTTCATTGAATGCGTCGAAACTGACAAATTCGGCTCATATTCTGCCAGTTATATTGCAGAAAAAGGAGCGAATGGTCTGCTTAAATTGACAAGTGGAGTGGAATACCATTTCTCAGATACAAATACACCTGGAACATCTAGATCTTCTTTTGATCCGTCAAGTTTATCACAACCATCTACATCTAGCGGATTATTTCCGGGAAGAGGACGTGGATAATGTTTTGTTCGACAGAATGAATATTGCAATTTCATTTTGTTGATAAATTTAAAAAAAAAAGTTGCGGGCATACCATTTAGAACTGTACAATTTCAATCTAAAACATGAAATTCAAAAAAAAAGTGATCTATCGTTTCGAATTGAACCGCGGGAAAAAATTTTCAATCCAAAATATTCGAAAAACACACGCTTGAAACAATCAGAAAAAAGTTCCAGAAAGTTCGAAAGATTGTGATTTGAGGTGAATAATAAATTGCACACTGTAGAATTTTCACCAAGATCAAAAAATTATATGTATCTTGTTCTGTAGAGAATATGAAAACATTTGCCGTGGCAATAATAAATAATGCTCTGGTGATTTTTCGGGTATCCTAGCTATTCTGAAGTTCATTCGAGCTTTTCATCTCATCTCATTTTGCCAATAGAACATGATGATTGTTTTTCGATTTGTTTCTATTTTGTTTATTTTGAACTCGGTTCACTCGTACATGCTGATATTTTTTGGAGAAATTGGACCAAATATGAATTGCACAAAATATTCGACGGTTGTTTGGGATACTTGTATCACAAATTGTGATAATAATGCAAATTGTTTTGTGAGTTTGAAGAAAAAAAAATATGAAGCTATTGAAGAAAATCAGAGAATTTACCATAGATATCGTGAAACGTAATATTTACAGTTTGCCTACAGTACTCCTACTGTTTCATGTAATACTTGTGGTTATGGAGGATTTAAAGGGATCACTTATTCTTCCGAAAAAACCAATTACACTCTTGCACTCAAATCGCATTCAACCAATTGTTCCTACAATCTCGAAATGTTGAACTTGCAAAAATTCGACGTTCTAAAACCATGTATTGGTAATTATCTCGTCCATATACGAGGAAATAATGTGATATGCACTCAAAGATTGTATTATACTTATACAAACAAACCCACTGCCATGAATTTTTGCACTCAAAAATCATATGGATATGGTGGACAATTAATCGGTTTGGATACTGATGAAAATCGAGTTGGAGCTAGTTCTACAACTTCCACGGCTTTAGCAACAACATCCAGTATTTGGATAGGATTGGAGCTCAAAAATAGTGTCCGTGTAAAAACCTTGATTTGTTCGACAAACTAATTGTTTGCAAAACTTTGCAGGTCTGGACATGGACTGATCCTTGGATGATTGGGCCTGGAAGTATAAAATGGGCATCGGGACATCCAATAACTGGAAATACTTGTGCATCTCTACAATTTGGAACCGGCCTTTTACAAAGTGACAAATGTTCAGCAGCAACTTGCACATCACAATATTGCCCAAATACGGTTTTATGCGGTTTTATTATGCAATAAACTACAGATTTCGGGTTGCCAAGTGATGTTTTTTGTAGAATTAAAACATTTCGCAGTTTGTGTTTTGAATTGTCAAAAATTATTTATCTAGGGCGTTTTTTATTGTTAGTATTTTTTATTTTTCCAGGAAAATGCACAACAATTTGTTGATGATTTTCATAGATATCGCATTTTCAGCCATCAAAATGAGCTCTCTACGAAAATCCAACTCACAATCAATTTCCCAAAAAAAATCCACCTAAACTCTAAAAAATCTTCATTCTCTCTACAAAGACGAAAAACAAGAAAATAATACTGTACACGAAATTTGGAGAAAAAACGACATCTAAAAATAAATATTTACAAGCAAATTTCGAAGAAAATAGGCACTTGGTGAACAAAAAATAATAATTTGAATTTGATTTTGAGACAAAACAAAAACTGAGTGAATACCCTGACAAAAAATGAAAATAAATAAATTTGGCACAAAATGAAAGTGGGGGCAAAATGGCATGGGGTTTGAGGGCGAGAAAGTTAAACTTTCGAATTTTCATAATTTGCCGATAATCCGGGTTTTTGTGAACCATAAACACAAACCGAATTATCATCATAACCAACAACAGTCATTGATCTGCAAAAAAACTCATAAAATTAGGTCTGAAACACGGTTTTTCTGACAATGAAAAATTTCCGTTTTTTGGCTCGATTTTTCTTACCTCATTTGATGCATAGTTAATGCTGTAACATGTGGCGGTTCTACAGTAATATTTCTCATTTCTCTTTCTCTTCGTTGTTCAATTTGTTGATGTGAAGATGATCTTCTCGAGTTATCCAATCTCAAAAATCCAAAAGCTGATTGATTTCGTTGAATTGATTGTTGAGTTGGAGAAACATTGGATTCTAATGAAGAAAAATTGGAATTCGGTTCAAAAACTGGTTGATTTGGCAGAATATTGGCAATTTGCCGACATGACGTCATATCATATAAAAGTAATTTTGAACCAGAAGCTGAAGCCATAAGATGAGAATCATTGTGAACAAACATTTGACTGTGTGAACCAGTTGGCCAAGGAGTTTCGATAGTTGCTGTTGGCTCCTGTAAAAAATTGGGATTTTTCGAAAATTATTGGGAACTCGAGCAAAATACTGAAATTTCAAACCTATTTTCCAAAATATAACATTTTTCTAAAAATTTCAGCATAGCCCATATCTATTTTTTTTACCTCAAACATTCGAACATCCCATTTTGCAATCAAACCATCTCGATTTCCAGCAAATAATACATCATTTTCCATTTCTCTTTTTCTCAATGTTAATGACATAATTGATGGAGCATAAGATGTGCTCGGTGGTTTTGCTTGCAAAATTGGTCTTTTCGGTGTCCGCATATCAATCACATTAATAAATCCATCCGAATTTCCAATTGCAACCAAATTACCATTTCCTTCAGTTTCAACAGAAATCGCAGTCGGCACCCAATTCCGATCATTTCTTCCATTTTTTCCACTTTTTTTCGTTCCAGCTGAATTTGTCACCCAACCATATCCGATATCTTGCACATTTTTCTCATAATGCGCATCCCAAACTCGAATCGATTTTGGTCCCGTGCAGAACACTCGTCCAGTTTTCTGATTCCAATCAAAAAGACAACGATTTGTTTCATCTGATAATTTCATTTGATCGGAAAGTGGAAATGAAGCTGACAACATTTCTGGCAGTTTTTCATATTCTTCGGACCACGGAGTGAAACAAGGATCCCAAATTCGAACAATTCCATTTCGACTACAAGTCAGAAGCATTTCGCGAGACATTTCATTGATCAAAATAAGCTGAGACACATTTTCCTAAAAAAAGAACTTGGGAGATTTTTGTAATTTTGAAATTTTATTAGAAATCCCTATTTTCACAGAAATTTTGAAGATTCTTTAAAAACTTCAACTCTTCAAAATTGTTTTTATCTTGAGAAGCTTCCAAAAAAATTTAGTAACAATCCAAAACCAACCTGATTAAATGGATTCGAACCGGTCAAATCAAACTTCCTAAATGCTCGATTGTCAACATCTTGTCGAATAATCGTAACAGTTCTTCCATCCGATGCATACATACATCTGCGTAATTTCGAAGTCACCAAACTATGAATCGAATGAGTTAGACCAACTCGCCACAAACACGTGTCATATTTTGTTGATTGGAAGTTTGCAGTCTCAATATCAGCACTTTGTCTCATTCCTTCCAAAGCATGAAGTGCCCAATCAGTTAGAGATGTTTTCGTCAAAATTGAATCATCATTTAGGATTTCATTTTGATTTGGATCTTCCTGGAAAAAATCAGAACATGTAATTTTCTTCAAGATGGACTGAAGATTTTCTCGATGAAAAAATCAAAAATTCAAATTTCTGATTTTATCGGAATAGTGACTAGCTGAATTTTTTCCTTCAAATTTTCATCTGCATTTCCCCTTTCTCTAAATCTACCCACCAAAAGCGGCAAAATGGGTTCAACAAATATGCGACTACACCATTGCACAAATTGTGTCGAAACAATCGGATTTTCTATAACTTTCCGCAACGTTTTCGAATCTTCTTGTTTCGAGAAATTCTTATTCCATTGGGTATTTCGTTTTGGGGTGAAAGATTTCGACAAAACATCAGTGAAATCACGGCGATCTGAAGTTCGGAGATTCGACTTTATAGTTCGAAAAAACAACTTACTAATTATTTCGGATCTACTTTCTGTCGATGTTTCATCCAAATTTGAATTCGTTATGGTGAAATCAACTTTTGCTGGTACATTTATCGGTTTTTCACTCGATTTACTTGTGTTTGATGGTGAAATTGTTGGTGACAAAACTGCAAAAATATTTACAATTTCAAAAAATCCTTCAAAAACTAACTACTATGTGAATTAGCAGCTCCAAATACATTTCCATCATTTACAGCCGGACTTCCAACCATAAAAGTCACTCGATTTTCTCGTTCTTTGTCTCGCAATTTTTCCTCCATCAAATTTTTTTGAATTGTCGCCGCTAATTCCGACATTCCGCCTGCTGTTTTTTGTTGTGAAGATGATGATTGTTGTGGTGGAATTGGTGACGAAACAGTTACACGTGATGTTTTTCGAGCACTGTGACCGATGGCGATTTTTTGATTGAGTTGTGATAATTTGTTCTGCAAACAACTATTTTATTGGATTTTTTCAATGCGAACTTCTTTACTAAAATTTTTTGAAACGTAAATTTTCGAGTTTTCCAAAATTTTGTTTTGAAAAATTTCATTACAACAAATTGACATAGTTTCATTTGAAACTTATTTGAAATGAATATAAGTTATAATAATAAAGTTTCAGAATTAATCTTCACCTGCAAACTCATTTCCATTTCATGTATTCCAGCCTCAACATGTAATACAATTCTCTGTGCCATTCTAGCAACTCCTTCAACCGGATCTAATGATAATCTGAGCAATGCCAACCAAGTTCTCGCAAATGGCTCATTGAATGTTTTGGCTTCCAAATGTTTAATCTGAGCAAGTGCTCTTTTTCGGAATTCCAAATCTTCTGAATCTCTTTCAATTGTTCCAGCTACATGTGCAATTGTTGTAACATTTCCTTCGGCATCATTTATAACATCTTCTTCTAATGCATTATGGAATACACTTGTTGATATACGTTTTCGATTTATTGATGAATCATGTGGATCACTGCGAAAAATAGAGCTTAGATTTGAAAAAAATGTGTTTCTCATAACCAATTTTTCTATGATTTGAGAAAAAATTTTCTAGCAAAAAATTTTAAAAAAATTATTAGTGTAATGCATTTTTTAAAAGGTTATCTCACTTGAAAACTCTCCTTTTCGCCCTTAATACTTACCCCAACTCCCTTTTCTTTCCTTTCGAAACCATTTTCGAAGATATATCATATCCTTCTTCTTTTTCATTCGAATCATCTCGATGTGGAATTGTAATTTTACACGGTGTAATAAGTTCGTAGAGCAATTTCACAAATCTCCGCTCGAAATCAAAAACAAACCATTGAAGTGCAACAATCAATTCTTCTCGAACAATAACAGATCCATCAAAAACACAACGATTACAAAGTTCATCAACCAAATGTTCATCTAAACATATTTTTTTTGTTGGATAAAATACTTGGAAAACAGTTATTTATCTCACCAATCGCAGCTGCATGTTCATTCAATTGCGACGAATTTTTCAACAAACTTCCCAATGCAAAAACAGCGGCAGCTCGAACTTCTGGTGCTGTATCTTCTAATTCTTGAACAACTTTATCATAAGAAACTAATCGAACAGCTTGCCATCTTGCAGCATCATGATCAGACCAAAGTCGACCAAGTCCAATAAGAAGCCACAGTTTGAGAAGTCGACATTTTGAAGCTTCAGCGTCGAAAAGAAGTTCAGTGCATAGATTTACAAAATCTTTTTCGGTTAGATGTTCTTGAGCTTTTCTGGAAAATATAGGAGTTGGTTAATTTTGTAAAAAAAAAAGGTGACTGATTGTGAGATTTTTGAATTTTTTAGAGGTCGCTTTTAAAAAATTTTCACTGAAACCTCCTTCTTTCAGCCCCTATAAAACTCACTTATAATTATTATGTGTCAACATTGCCAAAACAAATGCGGGTACAATTTTCTGTTTTGGTGAAGTGTCTGGATCATTCAAAATTGTTGTAAAATACACATATCTCAATTGTCCTTCCTTTTTCTTTCCCGATTTTTGATCTCTCGAACTTTGAACTTGTGCTTGATTTTGATTCTGATTTTGGTTTTGATTATTTTGTGTCGATGATTTCTTCTGTTGTTGTTGAATTTGTTGCTGCTGCTGCTGATTTTGTTGTTGTGATTGTTGTGGAACAGTTTCTCCTGGCAAAATAACCGCAGCTTGCATATATTTTTGCGGTGGTTGTGGGGGAGTTGCAGATTGTGATTGTGGTTGTGATTTGGGTTGCGGTGATGGTCCAGCAATTCCAGCTCCACCACTATCGTCGCCATTTTCTTTGAACAATTCAATTTGACAGGTTGGATCGACAGCCAATATTTTTGCCCAAATAAAAGCGAGCCATGGTCGCATTTCTCTTGTATTACTCTGTAAAAGTCGAAGAACGTATGGAAATATTCCGACTGACAGAGAATATCCAACAGCCCAACGACCAAAATCCAAAAATCTTGCGAGCAATTTGAGAGCTCTAACACGATGAGTTTGACTAAGCAAAACTTGGAGCACAACAGGCAGTTGAAGTGGTGGTTTTCCTTTGTCAATTCCATAGTCAAGCCAGAGCTGAAAATATAATTTTTTTTCAAATTTTAAATTAACATTTGAATTTTCAGCTGCAAAATGAAACTATTTAAAATTCAAAATTTTGTTTGAATTTTTACAAGAAACCTGAAAAATTCCGAAAAGAATTCAAGTTTTTGATTAAAACATCAGATTTTCCCGCTGCTCAAAATTCTTACCTCAAAAGCCATAAGTTGCTCAACGAAAAATCGATTGCTTGCATTATCATTTGTATCGACATATGCTCCAAAATCGATAAGCGCTGAAAATTTAAATATTCAATATTTCTTCTGGATTCAAAAAAGGAACACTCACTCAAAAATGGAAAAAATTCGCTTCTCAACAAAATTTCGCGTCCAGCATTGATAACAGCAGCCGTATTTCGAATATAGATCAATTCCCAAACATAATCAATAACCATGTCAAGAGTTGAATCCCAACAAGACCATAATTCGTGTTGTGATGTATTTTTGATATGTGGCCATGAGACGGGTACTGTAAAGGTAATATGGTGTATTTAAAAAATCAATTTTCAATTTTTTTCCCATTTTTGTCTTCGTTATATTGCGATAAAAACGCTATTTTATGTCCGAATTGTAGAACAAGGATTGGAGGCCGAGGAGTTTATTGAGAGAAAACAATACTCGATTTTTTTCCCATTATTTCACCGCTGAAAAAAAACTCACAAACATCACTATCACTCATAACTCTTTGAGCCAATAAAAAGCTTCTGAACAACGAAGCCAATAACAAATCCTGTCTGAAAAGACGCTGAAAAACTTCGCGATCAATTGAAGTAAAAGCAATTGTATCAGTTATGGCAGTGAATATCCAATTCAATTCTCCCAAAACAGTTCGTCGTTCTCCCAATTGTCCAGGTATTAAATCCAAAACATTTTCCGGGAATGATTTTCGTTTTCCAGTTTTGATTAAATACCAAAGAATTGCAGTTTGTACAGGAGTTGTTAAACATGAAGTGAAAAGATCAGCGGGAAGATTTGGATCAGACATTGGAAGAAATTCACCAGCTCGACAGGCTGCCAAATGAATACAATCCTGCAAAGAAATATAGATTTTTTGATAATTAATTTTCGAATTTACCTGCAATCCACCTGGATAAGGTTCTGGGAATCCAGTCCTGCTTGCTTTTTCAGCTTCACTCATTCTTGACGAAATAATTGGGAGATCTTTGTTATTTTCTTGCCACGTGTCGAAACTTTGTTGCCAAGTTCTAGAAAATAATCTATGAGTTTATTAGAAGATCGAGGTTGTTGAGAATTTTCAAATAAAATACGGTTATCAATGTGAGAACTCAAAATAAGATTATTCGAAAAACTCACGACTCATGATCATTAGCAAATCTCTGAAAACTTTTAATAATAGTTTCAGCCGAATGACATTCCCAAACATAAACTGCGGGTGCTTCAATCCATCCTTGTAAATCATAAATTGAAAGCGGAATGTATTGTGTAAAACTTTTGTTGAAAACCCAAATTTCACCATTATCAGTTGGCCGTGGAACACCATGTCCATTATAATGAAAAAGTATTCGATCGCCACCGCTGACACGTCGAAGATTTGTTGTAATTTTACGAACATCGTCGAGTGGTGGATCACAAGCGATTTTGTATCTGAATAATCAATATTTCTGGTATCTAGACGATTTTTTTTCAAAATAGTTAACTAACTTTGCTCTTGGCTGCCATCGTTCATAATTTGTTCTCAAAGCGCCCGCAATTTTTTGTGATGCTTTACCTGATCCACATTGATGTGGATCAACCCATGCTAATTTTCGTGCACATGGATCTGTTCTTGGCGGTGTTTCTGGTGGATCAATTCCAATATGAAGGCATAAAATAATCGCAACACTAACTGTTTTCATTCGCTCTTTTCCATGATTTTTCCTGGAATTTTTCAAATAGCTTTAATAATGGGAAAAATGAGTGTGACTTCAATGGTTTCACTCACATTTAAATTTCATTTCGAAGATTTTTTTTTTGAAATGACGAAAATTTGAAAAAATCAGAGCGTGGAAATACAATGTCACGGTTAAATATTTTTTTTTAATTTAGAACCTCATTTTTAAAATCAGAATACTGTTTTACGAGACAGAAAATGATTTTGAGCTCTGGAACGAGATTACTGACTATTAAGATCGGCCGAACTTTAGTTCTAAACAAAAATCTTTTTTCAAAATCTCACCATGATTTTTTATCATTTTCATCGTCTTCCAAAGTCCCCCGAATTTGCTCAATATGTCTAGGTTCTTGAAAAAACCGCGTGATCGATTCACATTCTTCTTGTGCAATTTTCATCTCATCGTCCAAGCGAGAATTGAACGCGATAAATTCAATAAGCCGTTTATCATCCATTTTTCCGTATATATAGCTGTAATATCTTTTTCTCGCCGAGTTTTCAACAAGAAACAAAAAGAAACATGAAAAAACCAAGAAATAAAAAGTCAATCGTGCAAGTGTGCTCTATAGCACTGTGTGGCGGCATTACAAAATACGCACAAATGCACACAAAAATATTCATTTCCGGAGGGAAGTTCAACATTTTCATTCATCTTTCTTTTTTGGTGTCGGTGTAGCGGATTTAGTTGGAACCATAAGTGACGAATCTTCTGCCGAACTCTTATTTGCTTCAGCCGCAAGAATACCCAATTTCTGACGAATCGATTGAATTGACATATCATCATCTCGCAAATTGACTGCTTTTCCAGGAATTTTTGCACGTCTGCTGGCTCTTCTCACTGAATCCAATGGATCGATGCTTTCCATGCTGCTTTCTCGACTATTTTGACCTGAAGTATCTCCAACTGTTTGACAATATTTCGTATCGTGACCATGCATAACATTGAAATCAAGGAATTTTCTCAAGCTAGGAATTGTTGAAGAAGAATCAGTAGAACCAGCATAAGCATGACATAATCCTGAAAATTCACAATAGTTTTTTTCAACTTTTCAGAACTGACTTCTATGTTTTCTATCTTCCGGATCAAAAAAGTTCAATTTCTTTCTTCTTCCCTCTTTTTCAGCTTTCATTTCATTCAATCCCATTTTCGGTTTCAATGTCATAATTTGCAATTTCAAACTTCTACTAATTTTTGCAATTGATGCTGAATTATCATTATTTCCAGAATAATGTGGTGCTGAAAATATAGTGAGAAGTTGATTATCAAATTGAAATTCATGTCCTGCGATTTTCATTTCGTGTGCTCGAATTATCAAATCAATCGATAATGCTGAACAAATATCATGGACAGCAGATTTGCTGAAATATGTCGAGATTCCACGCTTCTGAAAACAAGATTTGTGAATGTATCTAAAATGTGAAAAACTTACCGTATTGAATTTACATTCGTCCGATTTTCTATTAGGATCCGCCCACAAAAGATCAACAGTCAGACCATCTTCACATTCAGAAAATTTTCGTGGTTTCTGAAACATTTAATTAAAATTTTAAAGATTTCTAAAACTCAAACCTTCAAATTCTCCAAACTGGCCCAATTCTCAATTTTAGAATTGACTCCACCATGCATACATAAAATCTTCCGATTAATATTAGCACAAATCGGCATCTCTGAAAACACATCGTTCACAATTTTCCACATCGAAACACTTCGTTTTCGCGACATTTCTTCTCGAAAACCATATAATGCGTTGACTCGACGAACTTCGTGATTTCCTCGAATCACGTGGATTTTATCAGGATAAAGAATTTTCATGCAAAAAATCCAGAAAATTGTTTCGAGTGAACGAGTTCCACGATCAACAATATCACCAAGAAATAAATATTGATAAGATGGAGGACGACCGATTTTATCAATAAAGCTGAAAAAAAAAACATTTTTTCGAATAATACATGAGAATATTTCAAACTTTCATTAAAACGTGGCTTCACTAACCTTAACATATCTGAAAGTTGTCCATGAACATCTCCAAAAACGATAACCGGAGAACAAATTTCGATCATCGCAGGAAGCGGCTCGAAGATCAGTTTCACCTACAAAACATATTTTCCCCCTGAAAATCTTTAATATTTTCTACAGTACCTTATTCAGAATATCCTCCAAATCCTCATCTGAAAATCCTTCACAACTTCCAAATAACTGAATTCTTGTTATCATTTGTTTAGCCAATTCATGAGTTTCAGATTGTTGCTCCTTTAAAAATACAGTAATACTGTACGTATTCTACAGTAACTTACTTCTTGAAACATTTTTTTGTTTTTATTTTGCGAAAATTTTCGAGTGTTTCAAATATGAGTAGAAAAATAAAATGAGCATTTTTATCATTTTTTTCGATTTTATATTCACGTTTTTGCGAGGCCTCCTGACGTGGAATTTCGTTTTTGTTCCAGAATTTATTTTTGAAAAAAAGGTCCCCGAAATTTTCAATTTTTCTCTCAATACTTCAAGTTTCAAAAACCAACATGAAATCTGAAACATTGTTCATTTTCAGCCACAAAAAATCAGTTGTCGGCTGACTATTTTTTCCATATGACCAATCTGTTTTTCTGCTTTTTTTTTTGCTTTTTCTTCTCAATTTTCTTCTTTGTGCTCTCCACCAAAAAATTTTTGTGTAACATTTTTTTGACTGATTCATTTGAGGTGACCTCAGAGTTATTCATTATTATTGACAAATTATTTTATTATTCACAATTTGGAATAATTTGAGATGATTTACTTATTTTTGCTTCTTTTGTTTGGCGCCAATTCGAGTGATGGACGAGGTTTGCAAGTTTTGGGTTTCTAGGCCAAATTTTGAGTGTTAGCTTCATTTCTTGTTCTATGGAATATTATTTGATATACAAAAAATTTTTAAAAATTGCAGTTACCTCAACTGCTGCACCTGCTCAAACTCATCCTCTTCACATAATTTCTGCAATTGATAGTAATCTGAATGTTCAAATAAATGTGGATCTCAAAGAAAACTCACCGGGAACCAGTAAAGTGAGAATACATATTAAAACTCTAGATTCCAAATCTTGTAACATAACAACTTTAGGCGTTCAAATTATATTACACAAATGATTCAAGTTTGTCGGAGAAAAATTATCAGAGTTGGACAATTCAGGAAAAACCGTCGGATTCGAATTTCACACAGTTTATTATTGATGGTAAGATTTTTCGGGAACTTTAGGAAGTTTTGGTTTGGGTTACTGTACTTGAAAACCAACAATTAGAGATGTTAGAAAACTCAAACTTTTTTTGATAGTTGGGTTTGAAGTAGAGTAATCCAGAAAGTATAAGCAACAAAAACTACAGATTACAAGTTCTTTATTTTTCTAAATAATTTTTGGTTCACTAATTTTTTCCAAGAACTTTCTTGACCATATCAGTTACATCATCTACAACTGGTAGAGCTTTTGCTTCTAATGGCATTGAATATGGCATTGGAACATCACATCCAGTAACTCGCATCATAGGTTTTTTCATAGCCCCAAATACCTTCTCATCTTCCATACATCTTGCTGCAATTTCTGAACCAATTCCACAAACTGGCCAACTTTCTTCAACTGAAATAACATGTCCAGTTTTACGGATTGATTTAGCAACAGTGTCGAAATCTAATGGACGAAGTGATCTCAAATTCACAACTTCCACATCGATGTTATGATTTTCTTTGAGAACTTTTGCAGCTTCCATTACAGTATGCATAGCTTTTCCATATGAGACAATTGTGAGATCAGTTCCTGATTTTTGAATTTTTGCTTTTCCGATTGGAAGAACGAAATCAGGAGACATAACTTCGTCGGATACTTCGAATTCTTTTGGATACATAACTTCGGATTCAAGGAAAATCACTGGAAATATAAGTAGCTCTTTAAGTGTTTTTGATTTATTTGAACTCACCTGGATTGTCATCTCTAACTGCAGCTTTCAATAATCCTTTTGCATCTTCTGCATCATAAGGCATCAATACTTTCAATCCTGGACAATGTGCATACCATGCAGAATAATCTTGTGAATGTTGTGCTGAAACACCAGGTGTTCCACCATTTGGTCCGCGAAAAACAATTGGAACATTTAATCGACCAGCTGACATATAATATGTTTTAGCAGCAGAGTTAATAATTTGATCAATTGCCTGCATTGAAAAATTCATTGTCATAAATTCACAAATTGGCCGCATTCCATTAAAAGCTGCACCAATTGCAACTCCAGCAAAACCATTTTCAGTAATTGGTGTATCGATTACTTGTTGATCTCCATGCTTTTTCCAAAGATCTTTTGTCACCTAAATTTGAAAAAATTGCTTTGGTTTTCTTGCTTGTGAGTTTACAGTACCTTATAACATCCATCATATCTTCCAACTTCAATTCCCATCAATAAAACACTCTTATCTCTGGCCAATTCTTCATCCATCGCCATATTCAAAGCTTCGCGAACTGATAAAGCTGAAAACCAATTATCTTGAATACAATACTACTTATCTTTTGATAAACTCACTGCTCGCAAACCGGCATCTTTTAGTTGAAAAGTGAATCAAGTTTCGGAGAGACATCTTATTGTTTCACCGTTTTGTTTTCGAAATCTATCTATTCAAAAAATAGCGCGAGTACTGGGATTTTTGGATTTTGAATTTGTTGGATTTAGAACACGTAACGTATTTTTTAGTATTTATTTCTGGAAATCTTTTTTTATACAAAATGGATTATGACCTTGTTCTGCTACTCTAAACAATCAATAGTTTTCAGCGACAACCGAATCAACTTTGAACTCCACAATCTACCGTATTCGAGCTACAGTAATCTACACCGACGACACTGAATCTGAACCAAGTGAATCAACAACAATTTCAATTCAAGATTTAAAATCAACCTCCCCATTGATTCTCGACACAAAAATTCTCTCGAATTCTACCGTACTTATCACTTTTTTGCCTGGGCAAAGTATGAAAAATGTCGAAAATTACACAGTATCCTATCGAATAATGCCACTAGGAATTTGGGAAACATTTGATTTTTTATCGGATGAAACAGGAACTTTTATGTTAGAAGATTTGGAACCAAATATGCAATATAAAGTGAAAATGAGATTGATGTCAGGAATCGGAACAGAATCGAATTCAGTTTTATTTATTACAAGTACAGCAGGTTAGTATGTTAGAAAGAAATTGAGAAAACATTCAACAAATCGATAAATTTTGTAGCATTGGCAACAATAAAAATGGAACCTTCTCAAGAAATATCGCTGGATCCAAATGACAAAGAAAAATTAATTATAAAATGTACAGTAACCTCAACTCAACCTTGCACAGTATTTTGGAAAGTGAACTCTGAACCAGTTCCGAAAGACACATCTGTCTATAATATTAAAACTCAAGAAGAAGATAAGGGAAAGTATTTTTCAACGATTGAGACAAAAACGAGGTTGGAACAACATTTTTAGCTGCCAAAAACACGTTGTTTTCCAGATCTCGTTCCGCACTTTATACTTGCGTCGCCAAAAATGACGCAGGCGAAACATCGCAAAATGTAACTGTAACAATAACTGGACCCGGAAGCCCGCCAACTGAAATTGGATTGAAAGCTGAAAATGATGGATATACAGTAACTTGGAAACCACCATCTGTGAAAAATGGAAAAATTGTGGTTTGTTTTTGCGAAACTTTTATAAATAATCAAATTGTGGTTATAGAGATACATCGTGTACTTTACAACTCAAAGTTTTTTGCCCGTGCAGTTTTGGGAAAAACGAGATTTGGATGGAGAACAATTCTCAACACATATTCCATTTGTAACAACTGAGGGATTTTTTGTTAGAATTCAATCTGCGATTCGAAGTGGACCTGGAATAATTTCAGATATTGTTGGATTGGCGCCAAATGGTGGGTTTTTAAAAAAAATTCCAAACTAACAAAATGGTATTTTGGAAAAAGTTTTGAAATTTCAGATTTTTCTGAAATTCTTCAGACTCTAGAGTTTCTTTTTCTGGAAATATTTATATTAAAATTCCCAATTTTTTCAGCCTCACCAATAAAAATAACAATGACAATCGACGGAAAATCTGTAGAATCTGCAATTGTCGAACCTCGAACCGATGTTGAAATATTTTGCGATGGCACCGGTTTTCCCAAACCTTCTCTGTCGATGGCAAAAAGTCAACAGCCAAATCCAAAAAACGTTGAGGTACAGTAACTAATTATTTTATTCTTTCTAAAATCACAGATCTTTCAGCCAGATGCTTGGATTCCATTGAAAGAAAACGAGGGAATTGTAGCGAAAAGTAGCAAACTTTTAGTTTACACATCAAAATTTGTGCACTGTCGAGGAAAAAATAATTTTGGATCAAACTTTTCGACGATAGAACTTGTCGTGGAAAGTGAGTTTTCAGTGTTAACAACCAAGTAAATTTTAATTTCTAATTTTTAGAACCTGGTGATGCTCCTTCTGAAATTCAAGTTTTGAATATAAACCCGTTGGATGCTACAGTTGTTTGGAAAAATCCACAATTTCCAAATTTGCCTATCACAGTATGTAATTTTCCTAACCACAGATTCACTAAACTAATCATCCACTTTATAGCGTTTCACAATTCTGATCTCAAAAGAAACAACTGATGATTTGAACACGTGGCAACCAATTACACATGAAGTTCAAAATGAAACATTTGCCCAAGATCAAAAACATATTTATCAACAAACTATCAATATTCAAAATCTTGACAAATCTTCAACATATTTTGTTCGAGTTCAAGCTGAAAATCGAGCTGGAGCAGGGCCAGCTTCGAAAGCAATTCAATTTAATACAACAGATGGAGGACCAAATGTTCCACCAGAAAATGTTCGAGTTATGGCAAATGAAGCTAATTTGGTACATATTTTATGGGATGCACCCAAAACACCGATCAAGATTACGGTTAGATTATTCTCCAATTTATAACGAATAATTTTTGTATTCTTTTTTTCAGGATTATGCAATTCACTACACTCGTGATACGGCTGAAGATGATTACATAAAATGGCAAATTGTATATGTTCCAAGTATTGAAGGTGAAACTTCATATCGGAAAAAGTTGGATTTTTCAATTTTGGCACCCAAAACGTTTTATCGTTTCCGTGTTATTCCGAGAAATTTATTTGCCAATGGAACTCCCAGTCCACAAGTTCAATTTGAGACTTCTAAACGTAAGACTTTTTTATTTGAAAAATCGCATTATTGAATTGTTTTTAATCGTTAAAAACAAACTTTTTTCTCACTAATTGAACAAAATCTTAATTTATTGGAAAAAATTTCTAATTTTCTGAAATTTCATCCAACATTTTAGAAATCCCAATTCCAACTGATCTCCAAATTGAAGTCAACAAGGATAACTCGGTGGATATTCATTTTGAGGCGGCGAAACAGCAAAATGAGCGATTTGAAAAATATGTTGTAAGTTTGTCGACTTCTCCAGTTGGAGCTGAACTTTTGGATGAAACAAAATGGACAAATATTCGAGCAAATGTTGATTTTGATGAGATTAATTCAATGGTGAGTTGAAACGTTCAATGCTTATTTTCAAATCTGATGAAAATTCTTGCAGGTTCATATCAAAATCCATGGGGATGATCTACTCAAAAATCAATCCTACAATGTTCGAATTTGTCCAACAAAAAATGATGTGGATTGTGTATTGAAAATGACTTGGTCACCAATCGCTCAGTTTAAGACAAGTCATGGAAGTAAGGCCCGAAAACTCTGTATTCAGAAAAAATCTGAATTTTTATAGAAATTGAAACATTGGCATATTGGGAAGCTTTAGAAAATGAGGGTGTTTTGAAGTTTGATCCAGATTTGAATGAGAAAATTGAAGTTTCTTGTGTGGCGCGCGGAAATCCAATTCCGAAAATCACATGGAGCTGGAATAATTCGAGTTTGGGAGATGATTGGGAAATCAAGGAAGAAAATATAAATGCAAATCATCAACGGTAGGTTACTGTAGGATATGAGAAAATTAATAGAACATTTTTCAGAGCCACCGCAATTCGATCTCATCGAACTGAATCTGGTCAATTAACATGCCGTGCTGAAAATGAAGAAGGCAACGCTGAAACTTCACTTGATATTATAATAAGTGGTCCAGGAAGTCCACCAACATTTGTGAATATCACATCCTATCAAAATGAAATTCGACTTTCGTGGCGAGAACCTGAAATTTCGAATGGAGAAATTGTGAGATATGCGATTTATGTGACAAAAGATAAAGATGAAGAGGATTTATCTGATTGGCATAAATTTGAAACTTCCGAAACACAATGGGATTTTCCAAATTTCGGAGCTGAAACTGAACATTTCATTAGGTTTCAAGCTTTTTCGACAAATGGAGTTGGAATTATTTCGGAAATATATAATGTGACAAGTGATGAATATTGTGAGTTTCGTTATCAGAAAATTGTGAAAATGAAAAATCAAATTTAGATGAATCGATAACTCTTGAAATTTTCGATTCTAATGAATCTGCAAATTTCGAAGCTGATCCGAATGAAACAAAAGATCTTATTTGTCGAGGATCTGGAAAACCAATACCCCAAATATTCTATAAATTTGAAGATGAAGAAGACGAACAAAAAATCGATGATTCTGAACTAATAATTAGGAGAGGTGGAGATGAATTTGAAGCAAAATTGCCAGCAAAAAGTTCGAAGAAAAATTTGACTGTAGAATGTTGGGCTAAGAATAAATATGAAATTGTGAAAGATGAAAAAACAATTTTTGTGAAATGTGAGTTGTCCAGAAGATTAGAATTAGGATGAATCGTAGAACTGTCTCCTATCGATATCATTTGAAATCTTCACAAGTCAGATTCATCTTCTCATGGACAGAAATTCTAAATCTATCAATCATAACCTATTTTCAGTGCCAGGAGATGCTCCAAAAAACTTAAAATGGTGGTTTGAGGAAAATAACGACACTCATATTTTCTTCAGTTGGGATCCTCCAAAATATCCAAATGGTTTCATTGAAAATTATTCGATATATATTGGACCATTTGAAATGAGAGTTTCTGGTCCTCCAGCAAGATATGGCGAAGTTTTGCCCAATATTAATTTCACAGTTCGAATCGCAGCTATAAATGAATATGGAATGGGTGAAAAATCGATGCCGGTTTTTGTGACAACACCAAATCGTGGACCAAAAACACCGCCTGTTGTGATAAAAATTGCACAGGAAAATGAAGAGACTTCGAGAGTTTATGTGGAATGGATTGGACCAACAAAACCTAATGGAATAATACAATATTTCACAATTTATACAAAACGAAAAGGCGATGAATTCATTGAATGGCAGGTTTGATTTTTCGAAGTTTTGGTTTGGAGGATTTTAGAAACCTCTTTTAAAAATTTCAGAAAACTACACATCAATTCAACGCAACTTCTACAATTTTTGATTCTTCAGCTGGTTTTGATGAAAACGTGGATTATGAATTGAAAATGACCGCAACAAATGAGAGATTCGAATCTCCATTTTCTGGAATTCATGTTTTTCGAATAGGAAACAGTTCTGACCAAGAAGAAATTCAAAATTCAAACGAGATCCTTGAATTTTCAGCAAGTTTTAGAGATGATAAAATAGATGTTGAGATTTTTGGAAATTCATCTAACTTTGATGAATTTTTGGTGAAAATTTGGAGAAATCAGACAAATTTATTGGAGCGGAAAATGAATGGAGATAGGAAATTCGAAGTGAAATTAGAAGAAAACGATAAAGAGTTAGTTGTTTTGTATGATTTTCGAAAAAACTGTCTTTCAGTCTTGAAATCTCGATTACTGGAATTCGCAACAATTTGGAAATCATTACATCGGATAAAATCATAATTTCAAGTCAAAAATCATTGAGTGAGAATTCGGATTTGTCTGAAAACTCGCCATCAAACAACACAAATGTGAAAGATAAACGATATCAGATTAAAGAACCACCATTATGAAACTGAAATTTTGTGGAGAGAAATAACGGGTTTGCAATAATGTGTCTTTCTAAATTTTATTTTGATAAAAACTTTTAATTTGAAAATATGTTGTAAAATTATCAGAGAAAATTTTGTTGTTCACCCTCAGATGACAAAAAGTTACTGTTTTATACTGTAGATGAAAAAACATAATTTTTTTCGTTGAAGCCCTATGAAAAATAGTCGATATTTGTGATTAAAAATACGAATAACTTTCATAAATATCTACTTACATTCCATCAATTTCCCCACCAAAAGCTTTGAAAATTTATTAACTCACCCATATAACAAAAAGATCACACGAGCAAAACACCACACATTTTACATAGATTTTAAAGGCACAGCTTCATCCCATGGTCCATGAATTGTACATTTTGCACTTTGTTTTCTAACCAAAATCCAAGGACAGATGAAAACAACGAAAATATGGAGAAAAGTCCAGAAAATGGCGAGTTCGGTTGAAAATTGGCACATGAAAAATGTGGAAAACCCGGCGAAAATTAGAGATATTAATTGAGATGTTTGAGGAAATTTTGCAAACATTTGAAGGCTGAAAAAACATAATATATTTATATGAAATTAATAGAATGACATACCGAAATTCTGAAGCATAAGAATGAAGTGCAAAAGCAATGACAAGAAGTGAAAAGGCTTGCCAATTATTCTCCAATCGAGATAATAGAAAAATCGCGGAGCACAATCCACTGCTCATTGAAATCGGATAAGAAACTCTGAAAATTTCCCAGATTTTTATTTGACAACAAAAAGAAATTTAGAACCTACATTGGTCCTTTTACACCATAATCATGAAAAATTGTGCTGATAATTGCTGAAATTATTGAAACTGCATAAATTGTATCCGTACTGATTGATGTTGTTAAAGTCCTGAAATGAACATTTCGAGGTAATTTTTGGTGCCAAAATCTTATGATGTTTGAGGTTTTCCACGGCGCGAAATAAGTGCGAACATTAATTTTTAACGAAAACCCAAGCAACCCATAATTTTTTGTCTCAAATGAAAAATTGAATTATTTTCTTTCTCATTTTCATTTTCTTTCTTTCGCCGAAAATGTTCCCCCACAATTTTCTGTTTTTTTTCTACCTTATAACTGGTGTGAACGCATATCCGAATAAAATCAATGTAACCAATGTTCTCCCATGATTTTTCTTATCCAACTGTTTTAGCGCCAAAATTTGACAGAAGAAAATGTAGGCGATGATGACGCAAAGGAAAACTGCGTCCAATATTTGAGATGGCCAATTTTTGTGGAGAATCTGAAAATGTTCAGAAATTTAGTTTTTTTTTCAGAAAAAAGTTCAGTTTTTCTGTCAATAATTTAGCATTCTAGTCACATTTTGTCCAACTAATTAGGTAATTTTTCTTGGAGAGGTTTTTTATTAGAAACAAACTTTTTTCTTGAAAGTTGTTTGACTTAAGTCCAAAAATTGACCTTTTTCAAGAATTAAACTACACATTTAACTTTGAAAAATTTTAAAACTGTTTTCTCTGTTTTCAAAAATATAAAATTTTCCCTTAAAGACCCAATATTTCTCCCAAAGTTGTATCCATACATTAAAAAAGAGTGCAAAATACAATGATATGACATCAAAATGGCACATCAAAATAATAGTTCCCCTCACAGCTTCCCAATATTCATATCGTACAACCGATTGATTTTTCCTCAGTTCACTCAAAAATTGTTCATCTCCACCCGAATAATTGTCAGCGTATTCATTTTGTCGACGATACAAAATTTTTTGCCAAGCCATAAATACATAAATATTCCTTCCTCCTTTTTTTCTGAAAAAAATTTAGTTTAGTTTTTTTTTGTAAATAATAGAATAATCAGCCATTTTTTTACGGATGCTTTCGTTCGTGAGAAAACTTGAAAAAATAAGAGAGGAGTACTCTAAAATATTGTTATTTTGAATTTTGTATCTTTTATATTTTGTCAATAAAAAATTTTCAGAAAAAAAAATGATTTCAAAGCTCATTTTGGCAATTTTCTTTGTTTCTTGCGTGGCTTCAATGAACCAATTGGACTTTTTGCTTCAAAACGCTGCTGAAAACTATCAAGCTGATGGTTATCCAGTTCTTATCAATCACGCGGACAAACGGTAAAATTTACCAAAAATTCATTTTACTTTCACTATAATGAAACTGAAAATTTTTACAGCGTTCCACGCGGTTGCGTTTGCAGTGGATTTTTGGGATGTCACGGACCCGGATGTATGCGAAAAATGCGACAATAATTGAAATATATGTTTTGCTTGTGGTCCCTAATAAAAAATTGATGGTTTTTGAGTATTCATGATAGAAAATTTCAGGAAATTCAGCAAAAAAACAGAAAGAAAAAGAATGAGAAAAACAAATTCTCAGAGAAGTTGGACGATTAATCGCCTAGTAACTTGAATTAGCTGCTGGCTGACCGATTAATCGCCTGTGTTAATTTAGTTCAGGCGATTAATCGTAAGTTCACTTTACTCGGCGATTAATCGTACAACTTGTCTGAGTTTGAAAAAAAAGAAAATGAAGTCCGAGAGAAGTACACGGTGTGAGTCAACAATAGAAAACGCGCTCCACCGCACTCTGTTTATTTTTTTCTTTTTTGGCCGTCTCGCTATATTGCTCTTCTCATTTTACATCATACGTACTTGAATAAAACAATTTTTGTTTATAAAAAAGTTATATTGACTTGAAGACCTGTATTTAGCTCAAAATGTCGATGCTCTTTGGGTTTGGACAATCGGCAGAAATACAAATCAAGTTGAGTGATCAGGAAAATCGAAAAGTAAGTGGTTTTTGATAAGCTTTGAACGTTTTCAATACTGGTTTTTGTCTTGGTTTAGACAGTGAAATCGCGTGGTGAAGACGGAAGTGTTTTTGATCATTTTTTGTTTTATGACGGTGAAACAATCAGTGGAAATGTGCATGTGAATTTGAAAAAAGCCGGACAGAAATTTGAGCATCAAGGAATTCGAATTGAATTCATCGGACAGATTGGTGAGTTTTCAAGAGAATTATGAAAATAAAATTATCGGGAAAAATAAACTATTTCCCGACAAAAATATCTAAACCGCCCGTTTTTATTTTTTTTATGAAAAAAAACCGAAACTGATAAACATGTAGGAAATATTCTGAATTTTCACAATAACCAATAAAACTGTAATAATATTTTACGTGAACGGAATGACGCGAAAAATTTTTTTTGACTCGACACATTTTTGTTATTTTTTTAATTTTTGAAAAACACCTGGAAGTTATCTAAATATCGATTTGGTTTTTGAACTCTGAAAATTCTATATAAGCGTGTGAACACAAGATTTTGCTGAAAAATATAAAGTCTGTGATGATATTTTTTCAGAAGTCTATTATGACCGAGGAAATCAACAAGAATTCATTCTTCTTTCACGCGAACTTGCTCGCGCTGGTGATCTCACACAAAACACAGCATTTCCATTCGAATTCAATTCTGTTGAAAAACCATATGAAACATATATTGGGACAAATGTCAAGTTACGTTATTTTTTGCGAGTTACCATAATTCGAAGATTGACTGATTTGACAAAAGAAATGGATTTGGTTGTTCATGCATTGAGCAGTTATCCAGATAATGATAGTAGTATTAAAATGGAAGTTGGAATTGAAGATTGTTTACATATCGAATTTGAATATAATAAGAATAAGTTAGTTGTTTGAGATGGAATTTTTACAAATTCTAATTTATTTTCAGGTATCATCTTCATGACGTAATTGTTGGAAAAATATATTTCCTTCTTGTTCGCATCAAAATCAAATATATGGAAATTGCAATTTTGAAACAAGAAATTGTTGGTTCTGGTGTTAATACATTCAAAGAATCTGACACAGTAGCGAAATTTGAAATAATGGATGGAGCTCCGGTTCGAGGAGAATCAATTCCAATTCGATTATTTTTGGCTGGATATGATTTGGCTCCTTCGATGAGAGATGTTGGAAAGAAGTTTAGTGTAAAATATTATTTGAATTTGGTATTGATTGATGAAGAAGATCGACGATATTTTAAACAACAAGAAGTAACACTTTGGAGAAAAGCTGATAAAGCGATTAGAAGAGTTGGAAATGGTGAAGAAAATGGTGGAGAAAATGATGGAGAAGAACAACAGATTTCGGGAACACAGAAATTTGAGAAAAATGGTGAGATATTTAGGATATGAGATTCATTTTTTGCAGTTAAATAGACAATTGTTTCGGTTTTTTCTCAAAGCTTGGTACCAAAAATAGTTTAATATGAAAAGAACCAGTAAAAATTATTGTGAACATATGAAAGTTCAAAGTTTCGATCCAAAAAACTGTTTGTTTTTCAGAGCCAACAATTCAAGCGATTCCTGAATCACCAAACAACACTAAAAATGGATCATCAAGCGAAAATTCAGACTCTGAATCATAATTCTCCGCATTTTCCCCTAATTTTCTTCCCATCCTTCGACACATTTTCTCATCTTGCCAAACTGTGATTACTCTTTTCGAAAACACAAAAACACTTGTGGTTTTTCATCTTTCCATCAAAAATCTAACTTATTTTCTTTTTTTTATGTTTTATATTTTTATAGCACCTTTTTTGAATCGACTGAAATTGAGATTTTATTGAACGAACGTTTGTTTTTTACATGAATACGTATGACTATGAAATCGAGTTTTGATAACTCTGATATATTTTTATGGCCGCAAAATGCATGGTTGAGAGGGATTTAGATTTACAGATGAACAAGGAACCGCATGATTTTCGAGACCATGCTGCACATATGCAATGGACTGTGAGTTTTTGAAAATTAATTTTGGCGGGGGAATTTTCGTTATGAAAAGTATGCATTTTCAACTAAATTTTGTGATTAGTATTATTTTCAATGTGTCCCAAAAAGTGAAAGAGGCAACATTGTTTTTTTTAAATCTTTTGGCCGAAAATTAAAATCTGGGGATTTTTCTCAAGTCATTAAAAAAAGTATGCTAAATTTCATTTCAAACGCAAATTCGAAAAAGGAATTTGAAAAAATTCCCAAAAAAGTTATGAAAAATGTTAAAATTACATTCGAAAACTTTTTGAAATAAAAAAATTCTAAAATTTTCATACCGAAATTTTTTTGAAACTCAAAAATTTGCCAAATAACAATTTTAGGCAAGAAATCTTCACTCCAATCAAAATTTCAAATTTTCAGCAAGAACGTGACAACTACAAAGCAAATGTTCCTCTAATTCCCCAAGATATGTCAGCTGGCTCAAGAAATGTGTCAAATACAAGTTCTGTACTACAAAAAGCATTGAATAATCCATTGGTTCCAATTGGAATGGCAACTACTGTTGGATGTTTAGTTGGTTAGTCATTTTTTGCCTTGAAAATGATATTCTTCACAAAATAAACAAATTCCAGGAATGATGGTTGCAACACTTCGTCGAAGTTCAAAAGATGCTCAACTTTTCATGAGAGGTCGTTGTTTGGCACAAGGATTCACAGTTGCGGCTCTCGTTGGTGGAGCCATTATGTTTGGAATTGGAGCACCATCTGAATCAGCACTTCGAGCAACTCCTGGTAAAATACAAAATAAGGCAATGACTCCGCCACCAGCAAATTTGAATTTAGAGCATAAACTTTAAAAAATATGATTGTTATAGAGTTAGAGTGTTTTGTTTTGTTGTAAATATGAAGAATGAAATTGTGTATTTTTTATGAGAAAAAGTTTTCCCATCAAATTGAAATTTTCTCATAACGAACAATCGGCCACAACATACTTCTGTCATAATCTGTCAAATCAATCAAAAAACTAATTCGAGTATCTTGATTGAGAGGAACTCTATACTCCCTATCATAAACTTTCAATTTTCTATCTAGAGCCTTGTAATTACAGTTATGGGTAATATAAAATATCCAGTCATATCCTGATGATTTAAATTCATCACCGTCTTGAAATCCTGTGTATGAAAAATGTGTTTGAATTGATCGATTGTTTTGAAAAGTTGTGGAATGGATCATTTCGAGTTCTGAATTAAAAATTGATTATGAATTTCAACTTCGATATTATTCTCACAAATAATCATATTCTTTGAGTTCAATGTTTAATGTTGAATTCGGATAACCACAAAAAACATCATATTCAAAAATAAGAGTATCATTTCGAGCTGAAGATGCGCTTGAAAAAAGAAGAAAAATCAGGAGAATTGAAAGCGAAAACATTTGAATCATCTGTGAGAAGTTTGGCTGGTTTAAAAAGAGAAATTCACAATTTTGGCTGGTAGGGTAATAAAAATGGATCCATGAGAAAATATAAATATTTGGATTTCGAAACATAAATTTTTTGAAATATTTAAAATTTTGTTCATTCATATTCTAGCGGTCAAAAATTAGGGGATAAAATCAGATTTTGTTGAAGGACCCTAAACCCCTCTCGTTGATCTTCATTAGAGCGCACTTGTATTCACTCAACACATGTTCCACCTCATTTTATTATCATAAAATGCACACTAAACTACAACAGATGTTTTGTGTGTATTTCATCTGCTTCATCATCATCATCGACATTTATCGAAGTCGAACAAAAAATTTTTGCGCAAAAATTTTCTCATTTGCTTTCCTAGTACATAGGTATTAACACGAATATATGATAATAAATTGGCTGCTAATCTCGCGCGCGGATTAGTGAGTCACTTTTCATTGATTCATTGCCGAAAACCGCCAGCTCTCTCACTCTTTTTCAGACGAATTTCAGCAAAAAATAATAATTTCTACCGTAGTGCACATTGAAGGCGCACACAAACATCAACTTGGGTCTTGCAGGGTTAGCGCGCGCATTTGTGTGTTCAAAAAAATATTTTCGTTTTCGTCGAAAACTTTTCGAATTGAATTGTTTGCAATTGAGAACCTGTCATTTTTGTTTTGTTTGTATTTGTTATTAAAATGATGAAAATCAATTCCGTTTTTTTCTTCTTTTTAGGATCTTTCGGTAATTATTAAAGAAAGAGTAATTATGTATTTTTGAAAAGGAATGGGCCAAATTAAGTGTCCTTCCTCAATTTACTCACTGTGACCTTCTTCTTTTTTCTAATATATAACATGCAAAACAAAATCGATCGATCAATAAATCGCCGCAAACACACGAAGAAAAAGAACGCGTTGTCTTTACTTTTTCTCTCTGTTTCCTCTCACTATTCTATACTATTTCATTCGTTCACTTTTTATACATATATTATATATTATTATTTTATGTTACGAAACTTTTTCCTGTTCGTATGTAACAATAACGTGTCCTTATCAATAGGGCGCTATTACTAATTGCAGATTTTTTATCTCAAAAATTTCGTACTGACGTTTTTTGTGTTTGGCCCGTCTGTAAACATTTCATGTTTGCGTCGGCTGAAAGCAATAAAACATTGAACACAAACATTCATTTTTTGCTTCATTTTGATTTTCAAACACAAATTGACTTTTTTCATCAAATACGAAGGTTTTTATGAGATTTTCAGCATCTGATTGTTTTTTTCTACATTTATATTGTTTCTCCTGACACAAGGGGTATAAAATGACGTGGCAACTAGGGAATCATCATTTTTAGTAATAAATATTTCAAATTAATTATAAAAATTGTCTAAAAATGTTGAAACGTGAACTTGTCGAGTCCTCGTGGCTTTTTCGAAAAAAATTCATTTTTTATTTATTGCTGGTAGGAAAATGGAAAATCTTTTGCTGTTCGCTAGGAGACCAAACGTATGTGGGACTTTTGGACTCGAATTTGATTTTATATTCGAATTTGATTTTATTTCTGGGTTTTCCATGGATATTTCTGGGTTTTCATGTAATTTTATTCAATAAAATTAACATGAAAAAGGTGGTTTTTCTAAAATTTTCATGAAAACTGCATTTTTTTTCCTAGAAAATACCACTCCTTTCACCTAAAAATTCTAGGATTTTCCCAAAAACCTCCCTCTAATCATCCTCATTTTTTCATCATATAATCATCATCATCAATAATAATCCTGCTCTTTTTTCTTCCTTCAGCTCTTCTTCAACTATCACCCTTTTTTTCTCTCAAATTCTTTCACTATCTTGTTTGCCCCTGGAGATAAATGAATTAGGCTAAGTTTCTCGGGTTCTCGTTTTTTCACACTTTTTGAGTTTTTTTTGCTGCCATTTTGTCTAGTTTGCACTTTTTGTTGAGGATAAGATGAGGATTTCTTTTTTCTTTTCTTTTTTTTTCATTATTGGAAATGTCGTATTTTTTCTTTTCTTGGCTTAGGCTATTTTTGGATTTGGTATTTTCTATTGAAAATGGCGGATTTCTATTCTATTCTATTCTGAAAATCTGCTGCTAATTTGCCCTTTTATTCAAATTTTGCTTTTGTATAAAATTCCGTTATTTTCAAGTTTTGACCCCATTTTCGACCTCCCACCGCGCAAAAAATAAGCGGATTATTTTGAAAAAAACCATCTGAATTTATTATTTTCGTGAGAAAAATATCGATTTTTCCCCAAATTTTTAGGCAAATAAAAATGATTCACTTTTGAAAAAAAATGATAAGTTTCCTATTTTTATACATTTTGTTTTTCTGAACAAAATTAATTTCGACTCTAAAATCTCTTCTGCTTCTTCTTCAAATATTCAGCAATAGAGCGCACTTTCCTCACTCACACGTTATATTTTTCTCTGAAAAAAGTTCCTTTTTATTTGATTAAAATGTGCATTTTTGATGATTTATCCATCTCATTTCTTTATATTCTACCAAATAACTTTTTCTCATCTTTCAGACACCGAAAATATTATGCGAGAATATAAAATTGTTGTACTTGGATCGGGAGGTGTTGGAAAATCAGCATTGGTAAGTTTAAAATCAATTTCATTTTGAGCTCAAAATCTCTATTCAAAATATTTTTCAGACTGTTCAATTTGTACAAGGAATTTTCGTTGAAAAATACGATCCAACAATAGAAGATAGTTATAGAAAAGTAAGTGATTTTCTGGAAATTTCAAGAAAAATTTGTAAATGTTTTCAGCAAGTTGAAGTCGATGGACAACAATGTATGCTAGAAATTTTGGACACTGCTGGAACGGTAAGATTTTTGGGAAATTGTGATTTTTGAACATTAAAAAAACTGATCGTCTCCCGTATGATCATATTAGTATTTTCACCAAGTCTCTCAATTTTTTACTTCGAAAATTTATTCTTCTGGGATGCTTTAGTTAATTTTCAAATTAAATCTCCATTTTTTTATAGGAACAATTCACAGCAATGCGTGATTTGTATATGAAAAATGGACAAGGATTTGTATTAGTTTATTCGATAACAGCACAATCAACATTTAATGATTTGATGGATTTACGCGATCAGATTTTGCGTGTTAAAGACACTGATGAGGTTAGTTTTTGTGAAATTCTTTTGAAAATCTTCAAATCTCATTCTTTTTATAGGTTCCAATGATCTTGGTAGGAAATAAATGCGATTTGGAAGATGAACGAGTTGTCGGAAAAGATCAGGGACAAAATTTGGCACGACAGTTTGGAAGTGCATTTTTGGAAACATCAGCTAAAGCTAAAATTAATGTTAATGAGGTTGGTTTTTTATTTTTAGAAAAAGAAACAATTAAAAATGCAAGAGAAAAGATCTGAATTTTTACCCCTTTTCGAATCATCAATAATCAACCAAATGTTTATATGAAAAACAAAAAGTACAATAGGACAAAGTTTATTTCTTCTTTTTCTTGTTTTTTTTCCAATTTGAATAAAAAACACCTGGAAAAACAAATTAACGTTTAACAAAAATTGATCCGAATTTGAAATTAATATTTTCTCTTTTTTGAAATGTCGCAATTGCGACATTTTCACGTTTAACAAAAATTGATCTGAATTTGAAATTAATATTTTAGGTGTTTTATTTTTGAATGAAATCTTAAAGAAATTCAATAATCTTCAAATTCAAAATACTTAACTTAAATTTCTGAATTAGCTGATCTTCAGAAATGAAAATGAATCATGAAAATCTCTGAAAAGTTCACTTTTTTAATAGTATTTTCTCCTTGAATCCGAGAATTTTAAATTAAATCGATAAGGTTATACAATCAACATTTGAATTTTCCAGGTATTTTATGATCTTGTTCGTCAAATCAATCGCCGTTATCCAGAATCAGGTCGTCGAGCTGGAAGTTCAAATAAACAATGTTGTTCATGTGTTATTATGTAAGCTGATCATATTTTTTATTCGAAAATTCTTTCCACCAAAAAACCAAAGAGCCCGAAAAATGACACCTGTGCCTTTTTTTAAAACTTCTTTTCATTTCTTCCTTTAACCACCCCAAACAATTTTCAATTTTTTTCACCTTTAAAAATTCCATTTTGTTCCATATCATTTTGCGAAAAACCCACCAACCATTTTTTTTCTTTTTTCTCACTAATTTATTTTATTTTGCTCTGAAAACGTTCAGATTTTTACCCTAAGTTTCATTATTATTCCACATAATAATTGTTTTTTTTGCCATTCGGGAAACTTTTTTGTGAATTTTACATTACATTACACCATTTTGAAACGAAAATAATAAAATCGAATTTTTATGAGAAGAAGAAAATTTAAATTAATAACCCATACAACCTTTCAAAATTGGAAATTCTCGTGGAAATTGTTGTTCGACTTTTGGAATTATAGCCATTGCGCAATCAACTTTGAAACAAACCTGGAAAATATTTAGGAATGAAACAATTCTAGGCTGAGGGCCTAAATCAAAACTTACAGCAAGTTCAGTTTGCAGAGATTTTGCAGGCGGTGTTTTTGGTAAAATTCTAGCCATACAAGCTTGTCCTCGTTTTTTCAGCTTAATTTGAGTAGCGACATCGGTTGGAACTTTCTGAAAATCACAAATGATCACTTATTCTCTTTTATTATAACTCACATAACACGTGGATAAATCTAAAGTTAAGGCGATGAAAAATAATAGAAGTAAAAGACGAGAAGAATTCATTTTTAGATAAAAATTGAAAATCTTTCGAATTTTATGTTGGAAAAAATTAACGAGTAAACAACAAAATCAAGTTTTTTGTGTAATAGAAAATATTTTTGATTCTTTATTTTTCAATAATCACAAAATACAGTAACCTTTTGAGAAATGACGTGGATTTTTATGAACTTTTACGAGATCACGTCAAGAAAAATATCATTTTAAATTGTGACTGTAGGAAAAAATAAATAGAGTTTCGAAATTTTAATTATGACTGGCCGTAATTTTGGCCGTAATTTTATCGATTTTTTGAAGCTTTGAGAAAATCATTCTCTGTGAACTTTTTTTTTTCATTTTGGTTCTGAAGAATTCTCAAAAGACCGTGTAGATTTCCAATTTTCAATCGATATTTGATCTTATTATTACTCAAAATACTTCATTTCATTTACAAAATTATACATCTCAAAATATAAACAGAACAGTCATCAATCAATAAATCAATGCTTTTTTTGTCCACTAATATGCAAAATGCCTTTGTTATCCAAGTTGGATTTGATCGATTTTGGATCAACATTTTTTGGCATTTTATAGCAGCGAGTGATTGTTCGAGAAACATTTCCGAATTTGTCATCTTTGGTCGAATGTTCCATGTGAATTTCGAGAATTTCACCAATGTTTTTGACCTGGAAAAGAGATAAAAATAATTTGTGAAAATTGGGGTTACTGTAAGGATTTAACTTTTCAATTACATTTTTGAGAATTTCTGATTACAGTATGAAAGTTTCAGATTAAAACTTGAAGCATGGGTTACTGTAGATACGAAAAATTTGGCATGGAATTAGTATATTTTTTCTAACTTGATAAGATTCCCAAAAATGGTCCAAACAGTAATAAGAGTACTGTATTATAAAATTTGGTTGAAAAAATTGGTCAAAAACAAGTTTTGGAAACTTGCTATTTTGACAGTAACCCTCCCTCTCCTCGAAATTTCAAACTAACCTCAATTTCTTTTGGCAAAAAATGATGAGCTTCCAATCCGACTTCAAAATGATCATCGTCATCGTGAACTTGAACAACACCATCGCCAGATTGAAGTGGCCAATCCCATTTGGCAGTCACATCATGATCCACAGTAACATTCATTTTCAGAATTTCAGCTAACAAGTTAATTGTTGAGATTTTGTGAAGATTGGCTCGCCTTTTTATATCTTTCTCAATATTTGCACTTTTTCTATTTTCACATACAAAATAGAAAATAAAAAATGGAAAACAAAAAACATACCACTTGACTTTACACACATATGTTTGTTGTGAGGGAAAATAGGAAGAAAATCACATTTTTCCACAAAATTCCAGATGTCCGACAAAACAACAAAAAACTATTTTGCGAAAAATCACGGAACAAAAATGTTTTCTCGAAAAATAACGCTGATGCACATGATTTTCGGGTTCAGGTTGAATATAAAAATAGAAAAAATCACGTTTTCCAGAAGTTGGTGTCAAAAAAAAACAATAAACAATTTGGACAACCCACGAGATTTTTGTGATTTTTGGAACCAAACAGCTTTTTATAAACAACTTCTTGAAAGTGGATCAGAAATTACCAAAATGTATTTCTTTTATTAAAAGTGATATTATAAATACTTACAATAAATACGAGATCATGGCTTTTTGAATGAGTGCGATTTTCCTTTTCGAGAAAAAAATTATCTAAAATGATGTAATCTGGGGGGAGGTGTTCTAACAGTATTATATTTCGATGAATTTGTCGATTCCGAATATAAACTTCCTTCACGATCATTTTCTTGATAATTTGAAGACGATTTTTTGAGCCGTTTATAGCAGGTTACGATAAATGCAATTTGAGAAAGAATAATGAGAACACCAATTATGACAACTATTTCTAAATGCTGTTTTTGGACACAGAATTTTTGCGAAGATGTTGAGTATTCTGGAAAAAATGTTGGATTTTGTGGATGCACTGAAAATGTTGAAAAATTTTCACAAAAATTGTACCGACTTCTCAGCATACAGTAAACCTAATCATTTTCAGCTATGTTTATTTCAACAAAAATTCTACAAATATTCTCTAGAAAAAATATTATCCCAGAAATCCTAGTTTCCCAATTAATATATGCATGTTTTTCTCTCTCAAAATGTGTCGAAAACAAAAAAAAATGAGTGATGAGTTAGAATACTTGTTCTTCTTTTTTCCTTCTTATTCGTTTCCCCCTTTTTTTGGTTTCTTATTTTTGCTAAACAGCCTTTTGGGAGGTACAAATCCCTTTCAGCTGTCAACAACTAAACCAAAAACAAAAAAGAAGAACATTATAAATTATACAATTTTTCCGGTCATTTTTTCCTTGAATTCTTTCCCCATGAAAAAATAACCTGATTTGGAATTGACCAATTTTTGCCGTTTTATTGTCGTGATTTCCATCTCATTTTTATCGAGAATCGTCAATGTTCCGGCAACGATTTTCTTGCGATTTTTTCGTTTTTCTTTTCCATTTTGCAACCATTTTTCGATCGATATTTCTCGCTTTTTTCGGCCAAAACTGTCGACGTTTCGAATTTCCAGATCATCGCAGATTACCTGAAAATCACTTCGATTAGTAAGATTAGAATTCAAAAGTTTGTTTTAGAAGTATAATTTCATAATTTTTTTTCTGAATTAAGGCATGTTTTCTAGAAGAATTTTCGGAAAATCAAATGTTACTAAATTTTTAAAATGTACTAAATTTTTGCTAAAAAAAAAATGTTTCTTTTCTAATAAATCCATTCTCGAAAAAAAAATGTATAAAATTATCGAAAAATTTTTTTTGAAGAAAGCTGAATTTCAGACGATCATCTTTGAATAAAAATTTACGATAACTTCTAAAAATTTTAATTTTTGGACACCAAAACCGTCATTTTTCCGACCATCCGTTGTGTTTCTTTTTTTCTTTTCCTCTCCTAATCTTTTTTGCAATGTTTATTTTTATTTTCATGTTCATGTTCTTTTCTTCTTCTTGTCCTTGATAACCATCTTCTCAATTTCAATTCGTTTTATTTCAGATGGACGTGCGCAACAAAACAATCTTCTTTGCGCACGCTTTGATCGATGGTCAACTTGTCGATGACGTGGAGATCCACGTGGATTCTGATGGCCGAATTCAAAACATCGCAACGAATCGAGTGAAACCCGCCACATTCGCAATTGATTTGCGACGCCACGTGGCATTGCCTGGTTTCGTCAACACACATTCTCATGCATTTCATCGATTTTTGCGTGGAAGAAGTGAAATCGGAAAAAGTGCGGCGGATACATTTTGGAAATGGAGAGATAATATGTATGGATTGGTAGCCGATGTGGATAAAGAAAAGATTTATGAAGTAATATATTGTGAAGATGAAAGTTAAAAATAATTTTGATGATTTTTTTCAGTATTGTCATACAACTTTTACGGAGATGCTGAATTCTGGGATTACATCTGTCGGAGAATTTCACTATGTTCATCATTCCGCCGAACGGTAATATATAACTGTTGAGAGATAAAGAGAAAGTATTCAAAATTACATTTTTGATCGAAATTTGATTACTTTACTCATTTCTCGAAGTTCCAAAAAATCCAAGCTATTTAGAAAAATCTCCTTTTATCAAAATTCTCACAATCACTACTGTACCAAATCGAAAACTTTTCCAATTTCCAGATTTGACTTGGATTCAGCAGTGATTCAAGCCGCAATCGATTCTGGAATTCGTCTAGTTCTTCTTGAAACTCTCTACGAGCGAGCCGGTTTCGATTCTCCACCAATTCATCCAATTCAAGAAAGATTCATCTCAACCCTCCCTGAATTCCTATCAAATTTCGAAAAACTTCGGAAATCCACAAAACATCCACGTGTCACAATTGGTGTTGCTGCTCATTCAGCAAGAGCAGTTCCATTTGAAACTATTGAAAAACTTTTGGATTATGCACAAACTATTCAAGTACCATTTCATATTCATTTAGAAGAACAACCAAAAGAAATCGCAGATTGTCAAAAAGAATTTGGTGGAAGTGGACCAAGTGATATGATTTTATCAAAAATGCGAGTAGATCAAACATTTACAGCGGTTCATGCCACGTATACACCATCTGCTAATATGCAAAAATTCGCGAAATTAGGTGCAAATGTTTCAATTTGTCCATGTACTGAAGGATATCTTGGAGATGGAATTCCAAAAATCAATGACAAATTAGATATTAGTTTTGGAACTGATTGTAATAATAGAATCGGATTTTTAGAAGAAATGCGATGGGCATGTTTCTCACAACAGGTTGGTTTTAATCAAAATTTGGAATTATTCCAACTCTGAATATACTTTAGATGCTCAACAATTCTCGAAGTGTTTCTGGTCTTTCACCCAACAAATTGCTTCGTTTTGCGACTCAAGGTGGAGCTCGAAGTCTTGGACTCACAAATACAATCGGATCTTTGAAAATTGGCGAATTTTTCGATGCGGTTATTTTCAGCCTAGATTCTCCTGTTTTGAAATTTACGAATTCATCGGAAGAGATTATTGATTCAATAGTTCTTTCTTGTGGAAATCGCGAAATTTCTCATGTTTTTGTTAGTGGAAGAGATAGGAAAACTTGATTTTTTTTTGAAAATTAAAAAAATGAATTTTTTGTAGTATCAAAAATCTTACCGGTGGACAAGATTCAACACAAACATCAATCGAACATTTGATTCGAACTCTTCTCGATCCATCAAATCGAAAAACTTTCATTTTTGTTGAGTAAATATTATTTGATTTGATAATTGGATCACTGAGAAGACGATTCCGAACTTTTTCTTCAGGACATCTGCAATAAGAAAAAACACTTTTCCACGTCATAGCTATGTATAACTAACCCCTGATAAATAATTTTCAATGGTTCTGGATGCGGTGCAGCGCCACCAACTCGTTCCGCAATACATTCATTGATAAAAAATCCCAAATTTTCATCATTTTCTTGCTCGATAACAGTCCATTTTAATTCGATTTCTTCACCAAGTGGAACTGTGCTAACAGCTCGACCATTTCTCACAATTTCCATTAAAATTCGCGCACTTTTTTGATCTCCTTCGTATTTTGGTGCCAAATCAGCAAGTTGTTGTTTATCGAGAATTTTTGAATAATCGCAAGTGATTTGGAATGATTTATCACTGGATGTTACGATTGATGGACTTTCGAGCGAATTTCGTTCGACCACAGCCGTGAACTCCCATTTTGCAGGTTCCTGGAATAATTTGAACATTTTTTGAGCAAAATGGTGTTTATGTATTTTCATAAATTCAGCCAAAAAAACGAAGTACTATTAATTATGTTATTCATATCCTTCCAGAAACGTTTCCCCTAAACCCCTAAAAACTTACGATTTGAGTTCCTCCACATCTCGGGTTGCTCTCTTCTTCATTTGGAAATGGTATATGCAATTCCGCAAAGTTTTCATTTTCAAATCTTTGTCGACAAGAAGAATAATGATCCTTGATATATAGAGTTCCCGAAGTTGGTTGCTCAAAATGAATCGATACTGAAATTCCAGACATTCGACATTCTGTTGATAATCTCGCTTTGATTTTTTGAGCAGGATTTGCTGAATTTTCATTGAAATCTTCAGCATCATCAATAACAGTTCCTTCAACTTCTGATGTCAATTCTTTTTTATTGTCGAAAATATCTTTATGTATTGATTGAATTGCTTCAAGATCTTTGTTTTCTTCAATTTTAGGTGATAATGTTGATGTAGATATTTCATAATTTATTGCACCTTTTGCTACATTTCTGGAAATATTTTAGTTTTTCAGAAAATCTAAAATGTTTCACAAACCTTTCCAATTCTACCGAATTTTCAACAATAGGTGGCGGTTCAATTGGTTCTACAACAACAAAGTTTGCAGGCTCAGCTGGATCACAAATCTTATCGTAATAATCAGTGAAGTTTGCAGTGACAAATTGATCAGGTTTTGAGAATTGAGAAACATCGGATAATTGACACTGATCATCCAAATAAAAATAAGTTACACTTGCACATCTTGCACCATCTTTCATACATTGCGCCAAACATTGATGAGGTGAAAGTGCAGTTAGAGTTTTATAATTTGATATCATCATTCGATTTGCGAGAAGTTCAAAGCTAGCTTCACCACATTGTAAATTTGTTTTCAAACAAAATTTTTCGAAATATTCTCCACTCGATAAAGCAGTCAAATCGAATTTCTTGTTTTTATCAGCTTCTAGAACAACTACAATTTAGACTTTTTTTTTTAAATTTCAAACTCACTATGTCCAATATATCCAGAATCTGCAGACAGATGACATTCTTGTTTCGAATTACTGTAGGCAAAAGCGCGACATGGAAAATTCTCTTCACCGATTTTGTTGTTCTGACAAAGTTGTGAGCACTGTTGAGCTTCGCTACTTTCCACAATTATATCTTTCGTCTCATCGATTGAATATTCTTCTGTTCTAATCCAATGTAGTGTTTCTTGAGTAGAGGAGCAGGAAACTGGAAAAATCAGTTTTTTTTATATAAATCCAATAACCTAAGAAATCCAAAAACCTAAGAAAGAACGAAAAAATAAGAGTGAGTGTCAACACTGACTTCCCACAAACACCAAATCCTTCGAGAAATCTTGTAAAAATAAAATAACGACACTCCGCTCAGACAGTGTGTGAAAATTAAACAACAGGCAAGCTGAGTGTCGTTTTTTTACTTTTATTTTTTCCTTTTTTGGTCTGGAAGCAACTAGTATTTTTTAACTTTTTTTAAATTTTCAGCAAATAATGACTTTAGTTACTGTAGTCTGCAACTACTGTGCAAACACTCCCTCTTATTGCACACGGGGCATTTTGATTGACGCGCACATATTTTCATTTTTGTTTTTTTTTCGGAGCACACGTTTCTAGATAGTTTTTCCAGAATGTCAGCTAAAAAGCAAAGCGCGATCACTTCGTTCTTCACACGAACTCCTAAAGCTGAAAATTTGGAGAAAAATGAGAATGAAAATCCCAAGAAACCAGCAGAAAATACGCCGCAGAAAAAACGAGTTGAAGAAAATTTGAAGAAGAACAATGGGGAGGATTTGGTAGAAATTATAGAAAAATTGCCGGAGAGAAAACGTCAAATGGAAGTAATCAATGTGAGTATTTGAAACTATTTTTCGTTTTGCATATTGAACAAATTTTTAAAACAAATGTTTACATTGTCAGTTGACTTCGCCGGAAAGAAAACGCCGCAAAGAAGAGACAGAGGTTATTGTTGAGTCATTTTCCGATGTTTCTTTGACAACTGGTTGGTTTAATGTTCCCGAAAAATTTCGAAAAATTATCATCGATATGATGGATTCAAAAACTCGTTGTCTTTTTGCGATTTGCTCGAAGAAATGTGAAGAAGAAGCGAAAGCATCGAAAAACTATTTATTCAAAATTCGCGCCGATGGAGAAACAATGGCTGAACGAAAATTGCATGTTGGACATTCTGTTGTTAATGGGTCTTCTGATTTTGATTATACACTCGAGTTCCACTTAATCAGAAAAGGAAAAACCAAGAAGAACCCGAATCCAGCGCATAGTACAAAAATTGTCTATAAAAAGTTAGTTTTTTTCAAATTTATTTGATTATCAAATTATGAGACGTTTCAGAGAGCGTAATGGAAAAACTATGTGGGAAAAAATCGAGGAAGGCATTCCAAGCGATGTTAGAGTCAAATATCTGAAAAAACTTGTGGGAGGAGCTCGAAAATCTCTCAAAGTCATCGAAATCGAAGATAAAATTGGTTCATGCTATTTGGCCGATGTCAAAAATTGCCCAAATCTTGAAAAGGTTTTTGTGTCTAATGGAGATGTAATACACGAGGATTTCATGACAATCAAGCAGGTAAATGACTAGAAAAATCAATCATTTATAAAAACTGTAATATTTTTAGATCAAGTCAATTAAGGAAGTTAAAATTCGAGAAACACCTTTGAATTTTCAAGACTTTCTTGAATTCAAAGGAGAAAGAATCTCATTTCTCTCACCACGATTCAACGAAAAGAGATTGAATGATTATTTAAAAAAGTTGAAAAAAGGAGAAGTTCATCGAAATGCGAACTATATTACAATCAATTTCAAGCTTCGCAGAACTGAATTATCACCAAAAGATGTTAAAGAGGGAATCAAAACTTATGATAGTCGACCAAAGCGTTATGAATACAATTTTAAAAGCTATTTGGATTATGAAAGAAATGATGAAAAACACTTTATGGAAGTTTGCATGAACCGAAGAAATGTTTTCATTTCGATCTTTTCTGTTAAAGAACTTGAATAATTTTTACTGTTATTGTTTTTGTTGTTAAAAATTTGTTGGTTTTTTTTGTTACAGCATAAAATTGTTAAAGATGTTTGACGAGTTTTGAAAAGTGGTCTTGCACCAATTTTATATTTTATAAATTTTTCTTGTGGTTCAACACATTTAATTCATATATTTAGGTTTTCGAAAAATGCCGAAAAAATCGAGAAAACGAAAGTTAGCGAAGAATGAGGTGAGCTTCCAAATCTTTGAAAAACAAAACACATTTGTTGCTTTTTCAGAGTTCTGGTGATGAGAATCAAACTAGTTGGTTCGATTTACCGTTGGAAATGAGAGAGCTGACTATAAACGAAATGGATATCAGAACTCGGTGTAAATTTGCGCAATGTTCGACAAAATGTGAAGATGAAGTGAAAACATCAAAGGACTTCGTGACAGCGATCAAAATAGGCAGATGCCAACATCCACAAATTCATATCGGACTCGGTCGAACACATTATCATTATTGTTTGGAATTTATCGATATTCATGAGTTAACTGAACCTCAGATAATTGTCGTTTATAAAACGTAGGTTATTTTTAGAATACAGGGTGACAACAAATTATAGCGACAAAAGTATATGCTGATCTGACAGTAATCACGCAGCAATTTTTTATGATTTCATTGCTCAAATTTTCTCAAAAACCATCATTTTAAAGTTCCTAATTAGTATACTGACTTGTTTTTGATTATGAACACAAAAAATTTCACAAAGTTGGAAAACGATGGTTTTCAAATTTTCGCTTTTTGACGATTTTTTAAATTTTCGATATTTTATCAGCTAATTGTTTCATGTCTGTAAGTAATATTTCATAACTATAGTTTTTAGTTTAGGTAAAGTAAGTATTGGAGAAGGTTCAGCACAAATATTATTACAGCTACCCGACTTTCAGACTTTTTTAGATGTGGTTATATTGAACCACCACTTGCGAGTATCACAATTTCATTTTTCGATAAAATTGAAAGCTGGGGAAACAATTCCAATATTTGTAAGTATGAATGATTACAAATAGTCTGAATAATATCAAAAATTGTCGAAAAAAATTTTGAGCATAAATCCTCTTCATTAATTAGAGTAATTAACGGATAATCAGAGTCAACTGATGAATTTCGAGAAATCATGATTTTTGGAAAAGTTGCATTTCTTTCAAAATTTATGTTTGAAAATAATATTCGTGATATAAAAACATTCACTAAACACCTTTGGAACAATTTGAAACATCAACATCGTTGAAAAAAAATTATTGGGACGTTTTTTAATTTTGACTTGATTTGAAAATTCACAAAATTCCGAAAATTCATGATAATTGAACCCCGGTGGATTACTCATTTGAACATCAGAAATTGTTATAACTGTGAAACAGTGTGTATTATGATCTAGAAAAACTATTTTGAGCAATAAATATAAAATTTATCAGCCAGGGAAAATTTTTGTTGAACAAAGTATCTAGCGAGTACGGAAATATTTTTCAAAACTCTTCAAAGGTCAGAAAAAATATTGTGAACCTTCCGAGAACTCTTGATATTTTTTCTGCGTAGTCCTGGATAGTCAGGAAAGTCTCAAAAAAATTTTCATAGAGATCGGTTAAGTACGACAGTCACCAGAGTTAGTGGAATTTGTCGCTATAATTTGTTGTCACCCTGTAATTTTCAACACGGGTTATTTATTCGAGTCTCGAATTTCGAGGTTTTTAAAAACTATGTTTTCTAATAGAATTTTCTCCTAACAACTTTCTTCTTTTTTACTAGAATTAAAAAAAAAGTCGTACAAACATTATATTTATCTAATTTATTTATTTGTTTCGTAAATTTCTAATTTTCAGAGTCTTTCGACATTCTGATTTCTTCAAGAATAATGGTAATCACAAAAAAGATGTGAAATGGATGAAAATGGAAAGTGGAAAAGCTGAAGAAGTTAGAATGAAATATTTGAATGATTTCGTTGAAAATTATCGGAAAACAATTGACACATTCGAAATAAACGTATGCTTTTTTTTGTTAATAACCTTCAAATAAATGTTTTTAGGATCATAAATATTCAAAATCAAATTTCGATGTGAAACGATTGGCGAATTTGAAGCGTGTTGAAAGTAGTTCAGAAGATATCAGAGAAAAAGGAATAATGGAATTATCACAAATTAATAAAATTGATATGTGCCTTTTGGACAGCACAAAATTTACATTTGAAGAAGTGCTAGATTTCGAAGGATCATTTTATCAAATTGAATCGGATGATTTCGACGAAGAAAATATTGAGATTTATTTGAAGATGTGGAAAAATGGAGAAATTCATAGAAACATGGAATTCCTCAATGTTAGTTCAACTACTCCGCGAAACGATTTGAATTGTGAAAGACTTGCAAAAAGTGTTGATGGTTTTGATTTTTATGATGAAGGTGACGATATGTGAGTTTTTATTTTCGAAATTCACAGTATTTCAAATTTTATTTTCAAAGGTTTACTTTTCGTTTTCTTTTAAATTATGAAAGAAAATCAAAAAGTTATTGCGAAGTTAACTATTCTTCACACTATTTTACTGTTCAAATTGAATCAAACGGTTACGACGAAGTTATAAAAAATCGAGAAGCTTTGATCGATTGATTTTTATTTTCCCGAATTTGTTAACTTTTTTGTTTTTGTTAAATTTTTGTTGTTTTTTATTGTTAGATTTATTGAATTTGAACATTTTTTATCGTCAATAAATTTCTGAATCGAGATTACGATATGAAAAACTTGACAATTTCTAAAAAGGGAAAATTTCAAAAATCTGACCAGGGCTGTGAAAAAGGCCTTGTTCGGCCTCAAGGCCGCATCGAGAAATTTGGAGAGGCCGGCCGGCCGGCCGGAGAAAAAAAATAAATTGAAAAAAGGCCGGCCGCCGGCCTGCATAGAAAATTTCTCATTTTCATTGATTCTGGTGTGACTTGAATGGTGGGAAGAATTTATACAATTCTGTTGGTGGGATAGTGTTTGTGTGATGATTGGATTGGTGAAAAGGCATTGGTGTGGTATTGGTGTGATATTGGTGGATGCCTCCAAACAAATTACACCAAGAGCAAAATTGGCGCCAGTTTCACCAATCACATCAACTTCGTCATTTTCCCCATTGGTGCCAACTTCACCAATGGTGCAATTTTCGCAATTGGTGCAATTTTCACAATTGGTGCAAACATTATCATTGGTGCCAACTTCACCATTGATGTAAATTTGAAAAATGGGGCCACTTGCACCAATCACACCATTTGCACCAATGGCGCCAATACCACACCCAGACTATCCCACCATCACACCAAGATCGAAGTTTCATTCAGAGCAGGTTACAATTCAGTAAAACTGATTTCTGAAAATTGTCATCCTTGAGGCTTCAAGCCTGAAGGGCTTCCAGCCTTTATATTTGAAAGGCCAAAAAGCCGCGAAGGCCTGAGGCCTCCGATTTTTCAAGGCCGGCCGGCCGGCCGCAAAAAATCGAGGCCTTTTTCACAGCCCTGAATCTGACTCACCATCAGCGCAATTGTTTTCGAAATAATCCACCAAAGTGTCCTGTACATTTTGTCGAAACATATTTGGAAAAATGAATTTCGTATCTCGATTCATAATACATTCTCCAGTTTCATAATAATACATAACGGATTTGCATGTGAATATTCGCAATAGAGCGCATTTGGATAAACAATCTGATAATCCATCAACATTTATAACATGCATTGAATGTCCAACGAGAATTGATTGAGGATATCGTTCAAAAGAATATGGAGCAGTGCAAATTGCTTCTTCCAACAAACAAATTTGCTGGAAAAATGAAATGGATGGGACAGCTTTGGCTAAAACAGATGCTCCAAATGGTTGGCCATCATCAGAATGATGTGAGCATTGAAGAATTGATGAATCATATTCGAAAGAAAGACATTGTTCAACTGCTGTATTCTCGGAACATGTACGAGCACATTCATTTAATGTAACATCTTTGAGGACTTTGGTTGAGAATTCCATAAGACGAGTTGATTCAGAACGAAGATATGTGGTGGCATTTGGCGAGGCGCAACGGGACGAAGCTGCAAATTAGGTTAGTGATATTTATGAAAGGGGAGAAGCACAAAAATGTTATATTGAATATTGAAATTACAAGGGGCCTAATATAAGTACAACCTCAAAAAATTCTTTAAAAATCTTGGATGCAACTCACGTTTTTTAAATGGTCTCTGATTTCAATCGTATTCAAAATTAGAAATGCCCAAAGTAAAATTTCAATTCTCACGTAAAATATAAGGAATGCCTCATTATTTTTGGAAAAAAATTATAGCTTGAAAATTTTATCGATACGGGAAATAATTCAAAACTTCCAATTCAAATTCAAATTACTCACCCAAAACACCATGCACCAATAAGCCCCACCAAAAAGTCAAAATCATTTGGTGGTTTTCCAAACAAGCACAATTATTTTTTCACACTTTTTCCAAAAATATTAGCACCGGAAAAACATTGAAGACTAGCCGAGAAATCGAAATGTGAAAGTGACCCAGATAAAATAATAATAAGTATAAAAAGAAGGAGAAGAAGCAGAAGAAGCTAAGAAATAAGGAAAATACAAAAGTTTCACTGGATAATTGCACCGAATAGGTATCCCCCCTTATTTAATTAGTTGGTTATTCGAAAAATGACAGAGAGATATATGCTGTACAGTATATTTTTGTCTCTTTGAGGTAAACGTGTTTCGGAAAAAAAAGAGGGAAAGGGGTAATTATTTTTGTATATCTGCCTGCAGTAGCAAGAAATATGGAAGAACAACAAAAATACTTGACGGGTTTGGTTTCTGGCGCGAAAGGAAAATTGAGATATATTGTGTGTATTTTTTCATCCAAAAAAAAATTAACAATTTCGACGATTTATTATTGAATTTCATATTAAATGACAAGAAGATCAACATAGTTTTGAATAAAAAAAAATGGAAGAATCAGTAGAGTTATCCTCTTGTCAATGCAATATTTATTCTTCAACTCGTCGATTTTTTCTAGACTAATCCATTTTTGATTGACGTCGAGTGTTACGATTTCTCAACTCATCCAGAAACATGTTCTGAAGGAATTAAGATTTTACATGGGAATTCAAGAGGAACTCACTTTTATCTCAGCTTTGTTAACTTCATCTGATCTGGCAACACGTTGTTGTTCAATTTTCATAAGTGATGAATTTACTTGATCGATTCGATCGACAATGTTGAACACTGATTCTTGCATTTGATCTACACGACGGTTCAGGCTGAAAATTAGGGATCAGAAATCATGCATGACGTGGAAATTTGAATGATTTTTGATAAAAGTTGCAATTCGATTCTTCCCACCAAGAAAAACTAACTTTGCATAGTCTCTATGATTTTCCAAATAATGTTTCCGATGTTCTGTTGATTGTGCAACTTTATCCGCAATATCTTCAACAACCTTTGGTGTGATTTGATCATCCATTGATGTTACATTGAATCTAGTGAACGCGTCATTGATATCCTCTTCAGCATATCCGGATCGATATAAAATTTTGCGGAATTCCTCATAAGTTATATCGTGAGATTCTGGAGCTTCTGGTTTTTTGTTCGATTTTGTGAGACGGTAGATTTTCTAAAAATTGCTGGCTTGATGTTTTTCCATGGAGATTTTTTAACTCACATTCATAAACCAATCCAAAATACCTTCTCCTTCTTTCTTTCTCGCTAATTCTGCTTTCACTTCAACGTAAGAATCATTGATGATAGCCAAGAACATGTTAAGCAAAATGAAGAAAACGAAGAAGACATAGGCAATGAAAAAAGCTGGTCCGAAAAATCGGTTACAATTTTCAAGAGCGCTGAAATCGAAATCTCCCAAAATCAAACGAAGCAATGCAAAAACAGCATTGTATAAGTTGGAATAATCAGAGATTTGAGTACCGAAAACAAGATATCCGAATTGTGCAAAAGCGAAGAAAAAGACAGCAAACATGACAGCAAATCCACCAAGATCTTTTGCTGATCTTGTGAGAGTATATGAAAGTTGAGACATTGTTTTGTTAACCGAAATGAATTTGAAAACTTTGACCCAAGCGATGAAAACAACAAGTGCTTTGATGTTCAGGAAAATGTTTTCGGCTGCAGTGACATCATCGAAAGAAGCAGTTTCCAGACCATTATCGATTATTGTGTTTATTCGATTTGTTGCAGTATTGGTACGTTTGATTGAGAGAAAAATCGCGGCGACAGCGAACTGAAATTTGATTTGATTTGAAAAATCAGGAGCTTGGAAAATATTAAACTCACTCCTAGCAACATGACATCAATCAAATTCCAAAATTGTGTAAAATAGAGTAATCGTTGTTTCGCGACTGCAAACATCTCTTCGAAAATGAAAAACAATACAAAACCACATAGAATTCCTTCGAAGACGATCATTTTTGTTCCATCGGAATCAGAATAACGAATAAGATTGTAAGTCATAAGTTTGGGAGAGGTTAACACACCACCAGAAGCAGGAAGTTCGAATAGAAGTCTGAAAGTTGGAATAACTATGTTTTTCCTATGAATAAAGACTCACTTGATGATACAAAACAAATTGATATTTGCATTATAAAGTGAAATATCAATAATAATTGCCCGACTTCCTCTGTCAATCCATCTTGCTTCTTTTAATGTTTCAATAAGTGATTGTGCTTCAGTTGAGCCAGTAATTGGAAGTCTTTGAACAAATCCACCGCCTCCATAACTTCCAATAGTTCCGCTTGTTGTCAATGTTTCAAGTTCAGACGCAGTTGCGTAAACGAATCTAGAAATGTTATGCCTGGCTCCTAGAACTCTACACGTGGATATAAAACTTACGCGTCTCCATCGCCAGACGTAATAGCTTCTTGATCCTCATATTTTTCCTGATAATTCGCATAACACTCTTTGATTTCTCTTTGGAAACTTGTCATAACTGTGCAAGAATCATTCACAACTTTCAACATTCGAATTCTAGGTTGACCCAAAATCCGATTCTCATAATAGATCATGTTTTCCGAATCTGTTATGTTGTTATTTTCATTCCAATAAATGCCAGGAATCAGAATTTGCTCAATCCACTGAAAATTGTTAATATTTTTAGAAGATTGATTTAGTTCAACTTACATCCCAAATATCATCCATTGATGCAACAGTTCCAAAAGTTAGACTTGACGAAGTTTGCGATGATACAAAAAGATCACTCATAACTTGGGTGTAGTAGTAAGCTTGGATGTTGTTTTGAGCAAATGCGACTGGAATATGAAACAATAAAATAGGATCGGACCGGATTTCTATTGGAATGGCACCTTTTTGGAAGGTATTGAATTTAGATTTATAACTAATTTCCGAAAATACCGATTAGATATATAAAGAAAATGATAATTTTCAAGTTTTTTCGTAGTTTCAGTCATTCTAAATATTGGCCACCAACTCAACAGTTTTAGAATAAACTAACCATATACCAAAACAATTAAGAAAACAGCATACGATCCAACTTCCATAAAAGAACTTGCTGTTAATTTGATTTTTCCATCTGATTTTTCAACACCAGATGCCAGTAATGCTTGGGTAAACGAGATTCCTTGTTTTGGTTGCGGATTCTTGATCTTCGAATTCTCATATTCTTCACTTGCCATTGAGTTCTCGAAACTTGGCGCCACCACATTTTCAGCTGTTATCGGTTGTGGCGGACTCGAATAATCCGCCTTACCGTAATCCATTTTTTCTTCGAGGAAACTCGGAGGAAAATGGAAATGTATAAAATCTTGAAAATGTTTCTCTTTCTGAAAAAAGGAAAACCATGGAATCCTCCTAGCAACCCGATGATTTATGACAAAGTACGGTAGATTTTTATTTGATTTTTGCTTTTGTTTTATTTTCAAAATTCAGCGGAATTTTCAAGGGATCCGTATTGTTCTGTCCCTCCAAAAGTTCCAACAAATTTTAGAAAATTCAAAAATTCAGTTGTTATTTAGTTACCTTGAAAAATCAATCAAGAATAATAATTATAATTTATATATTTTCTCGACTCGATAATTATACCTTTTTCAAACAAAATTTTTATTTGAAATGAACATTTGATTTATTTTCAAAATGATCAAACTCCATCCAAACAATAACAATCATCAGGAAGAAAAATTTGAGCTAATTTTTTTCGAGAAATCTTTGGCAATTTGTTTATTTTTCTTGGTTTCGGTTCCTTGACAAAATATTTACATGTGTTTTCAATTTGACGGCGACGACATCTGGAAAACATATATTATGTTTTTTGGTGGACAAAATAAAAATGAAAACAAAACATGATGGCTGGAGTACTGTAGATTCGATTTTTGATCTATTTGAACGATGAACTTAATGCTAGTTGTTTGGATTACTGTAGTCAGAGCTTCGGAATTTTTTGGACTATCTTTGAAATTCTTGAAGCTTTTCAAATGATGATGAAGAAAATTATAGAAATCTAATCCGAAATATCTAAAATTTTCCGCTTAGACACTTTTCGGTTTGATTTTTTGATTTCTCAAATCCAGCTGTCTTCGAGCCATTTTTTCTAATTTTTCACGTGTTTTTCTTACTCATCCGAACTCATCGATGACTAATCAAAACAACACCAAATCTCTCGTAAAACACTTCTATCTCTCTTTCATTTTTCAAAAACTCCGCCCATTTTCTTTTTTCTTCCTCTGACAAAAGATTGTGAGACGCAGACAGAGACAAGGAAAAATTGGGTATAAAAGTGAGGACAGATTCTTTGTGCTCTTTGTGTGGAAAAAAAAAACAAATGTTATTCTATATTTCCGCTGTTCTTTTGATCGTTGGATCGCAGGTTGGTACTTTTTTTTAAAATAGAATACATAGATTGAATAGACATAGGGAACAAAATTTCTCGTTTTTTCGTGTGGTGTTTGTGTATGAAAAAGATTATGTATTGATTAGGTAAATAACTACTGGTTTAGGACTGAATTCAACCGAAGTTCTATTTTTAGCCCTAAATCTTTATATATTTTTGGCACATGAAAAAATAAGAATAACAATATAAATAGATATTTAGTACAGCACATCGTAGTTCAAAACGATAAATCGGTCGAATTTTAATTAAAAACACCAACTGTTTAAAAATAGATTACGTGTGTTACACAACATTTTGTTGAAAAATAAAAACAAGAAAAAAGATAAGATAAGTTTGATACAATTTTTAAAATAGAAAAAACTGTGTTCCTAACTCAATTTTCACAATTTTAGAATAATATATTTAAACTTTGCATTAAAGTTGAGACAGAAGCATATCCGAGATTGAAAATCAAGTACGTCGTTTCGTCCAAAAGAATTTTTCCCGGAATTTTTAGGCTGCGGTCAAACGCGATACCGCTGTTCTCGTTCCATCAAACAATGAGCATTTGGGACTTCGCGATAATTGTTACATCAAATCCGGCGGTGGATGTAAATGTGATGTGAAAGAAGGACATGATGAGATTATTACCAGAGAATATGAAGATGTTGATTTCTGCAGAAAACCAGTTGAATGTAAGTTTCTAAATATCACCAAAATCTAAACTGGAAAATGTTACGTTTCAACAATTTCATTGATTTTCTATTCGAGTCTCTCAAAATGTTGATGGACGAACGCAGGAATGTTTCACTACCGACACTAAACATTCAATCTGGTTTTGAAAAAATCCTGTGAATTTTCTGTACATTTTCTTAAAAAAACGATTTCAGTGCAAACTGCTCAACACAAGAAGGAACTCAACGCTGAAATTAAAGAGAAATTTGGTGCATTCAAAGACAACTGCTTCCCAAAACCATCAGGTGGATGTAAATGTAATGTTGATTTGGGACAAGGTGAAACTGTTCAAGAATACACCGCTGATAAGGATTGCAAGAAATCAGTCGAAGGTGAGCAGCATTTTTTTTATGAAAAAAGTTAAATAAAATGAATTGTTTAGCTCAAACCGCCGAGCACAAAAAAGAATTGAACGAGGAAATCAAGGAGAAATTCGGAGCTTTCAAGGAAAACTGCTTCCCAAAACCATCGGGAGGATGTAAATGCACTGAAAAAGATGCCAATGGAAACGAAGTTGTTAATGCTTATAACAATGCTGATCAATGCAAAGTTGTGAGTTTATAAATCCACCTCATTATCAGTGGAGGGAAGGGAAGAAATTCATTCTGAAAACCATGAGAATTTTCAGCGTACCAAACGTGAAGTCCAACATCAACCTCGCCAACAACCAACCAACATTGCTCGCGCCAATGTTAAAGATGTTCCACGTGCCGGTTCCCCAACCAACACTCAACCAAACTATGATGTTCGTGATCCAGTAAGAGAAAGAGCTCAAGCCAATTATGCTGCCGTTGTTGATGAATTGAAAAACAAATTCAAAGGATTGAAAGAAGGTTGTTTCCCAAGACCAAAAGGATGTTTGTGTGTTATTGGAAAAACACCAGAAGGACGTGATATTACTGAAAGACGTATGAAAGATGTTGATTGTAAATGTAAGGAAGGAGAACGTGGACCAGAATGTCCAGCTGCTTAAGCCACATTTTCTCCAGCGTTTTTTTAAAAACAAATATTTTAACCACATACATAAATTTTTTTCTTTTTTGAGAGAGAAAAATTGTGAGATGATTTACAGAGAAAATTTCAGATCCCAGAAGTGGACTAATTTCAAATCGGGCTAACTCTCAAGGTGCCGTCTGTGGCCACAGTATCACTGAAGACCTGGCTCTTTGCTACAGTGGTTCTCTATCCGTGGCTTCTTGCCACACTAGCTATCAAAGCGCCGTATTAAGTCACAGTAGTTCAACAATTTCAGCATGAGCCAAAGTTTGTAAATTTTTTCTGAACCAACCTCTAATTATTGTCCAAAGCCCATTGATCAAACTTGAAACGTGAGCTTGTCAATTTTTTTTCGTTGAATTCATGTCAGTTTTCTTTTCCAGAATTTTTTTGAAACTTTACACTTTCCAGCAACTGTTATGTTCTGTCATAATTTTAAATGCTTTGTCTGAAATTAAATAAAATTTCAATTGCCACGTCACATGTCACATTAAAATAGGAAATAAATTTAAAATTTCCATTTGAAACCCAAACAAAGGTAATTTATTTATCCCTTTTCTATTTTTTCAAAAACACCAACAACAAACAAAGGTCATTAATAACCACTGTTGGCTCGTTTTTACGAATATCAAATTACTCCAAGAAGAAGAATGTTCTCACCGTCTTGAATTTTTGAGGGGTTCCTTCCTCTTGACTTCATTTATTTCATTTATTCATGTACGAATGTTCAACTTTTCTATTTTTATACTAATAATATTGTTCTTCAAGAATCCAAATGCAATAACTGTTTCTGAAAAACTCAAGAATGTATTGCTTGAAGGATATGACACATCAATTCGACCAGTTATGAATGAAAAAGATGTTTTGACACTAAATATATCAATGAATTCACTAACAGTTCTCACTTTGGATCCAGATCAAGAAACTGTTGTGTTTTCTTCTGAATTCATTCTACAATGGCAAGATCAATTTCTATTTTGGAATATGTCAGAATATAATGTGACATGGATTAAATTGAAAGCTGATTTTGTTTGGACTCCCGACACCGTAGTTTCAACAAGTATTGAAAATACACCATTGATCGAAGCATCTGATCGGTATATCAATTTGAGATATGACGGAACAGTTCGACAATCTTATTACGGTGTTTTCACAAATCTATGCGATATGAATGTTGATAAATTTCCATACGACAAACAAAACTGCAAAATTGCTATAGGACCATGGTCATATATTATTCAAGAGGTACAATGTGTCACTGGACCAGAAATTGGGCCAGATCAAAACTACTTTCTAGTAAGTTTACATTAAGAAAACATAATGAACTGCATACATATAAATATGATGTTAAGGGCAACAGTGAGTGGGATTTCTTGCGAATCAACACATCTATCGCTCAATCTTTTGATAAAGATGTCAACTTTACATATTCTGAAGTTCACTTCCAACTTCATGTAAAGCGTCGTCCTCAATTTTATATTTGGGTTCTTCTGATTCCCACATATATTATTACTGTAATTTGTTTATTTGGTTTGTTTACACCAACTTTCAATCAAGGAATGAGAGAGGAACGAGTTAATCTTGGAATAACTACATTGTTGTCATCCGCTGTTATTTTACAAATTGTTGCTTCTTCGATGCCAAAAACTTCCGAACTTCCGTTGCTTGGTATGTTCTATTCATTCCAAGACTCTAACTCTTCTCTTGTAAGCTAGAATGTTTGGAATTCAAAAAAACATGTGAAATTTGAGACTTCTGTGAAACTTTCATTGGTCAGAGAAACAATAGTAGTGACCTCTCACTTTTCAAAATCTCAAGACTAAAAATCAGACATCTTCAAAGTTCCCGCCTGAAATCTCGTGGGATTCTGACTGCTAATTCGAGTCACGCCTTGATTTATACGGTAACCTTCAAACTACAATTTCAGGCAACTTCATCCTTGCTGAAATTTTCGTCGTCGCCATCGGCGTACTTTTCTCCGTCATTGTCCTTTCTCTTCATCACCGTGCTCACACTCGAGAATGGAAACCACCAAATTGGATTTTAGCGATTCTCAGATTTACTGTCAGTGTTTTCCTTTTTGATGTTTATAGAACAGCATACTTTCAGGGTTCCCGAAAGTTTTTGACAAAACATATTTCTCGAATCAGTCACAAAACAACTTATGATCGTGCAAGATTTACAGGAGAAAAGTGAGTTGCAGAAACTATCGGAAAAAATAAGACGAGACATTTTCCAGCGCTCATTTGGTTCAAAACTTGGATGATGCTCTAACTTCGGTTCGAGATTTCATCAAAGAAGAGGATCGAGATTTGTTCCGCGAATTAACTTGGATTAAGTTTTTCGACCGACTCGATTTTTTACTCTTAATTATTTTCCAAGTTGGTAATGCTCTTGTTACAATGTTCCTTGTAATAAACTAAAAATTTGGATGAATAAATTCATTTCATCTCATCTATAAAAGCAATAAATCGAGTTAGAAAAACATTTTTGTCGAAAACTGTGCTAAAATTATTATAAACAACAAGCACCAATACATAAACCAGCACAAAACGCTGCGCAGCAACTGAAAAAAAAAACATAGTGAGGTTTTAAAATGAAAAAAAATATAGTGAGTTATAGAAGTACTTACTCATCGTTATGATGATGATGATGACCAACATAAGGAGCTCTGAAATTTAAAGCTGGGGAATTTGTCTGAAAAAACGGGGCCCGCCGCAGAAAAGGAAGTGAAAATTGAGTTGGCTAGAATTACCCAGGTGTCATTTCTATTCAAAACTATTCAAAACTTACGGTTGCACATAAACTGGTTGTTGTTGAATAACTACAGGCTGTGGTTGTGGCTGTGCTGGATACGGACTACCGTAGTAAACAGGTTGAGCAGGTGGATATGCTGCATAACCTGGTGATGGTGGATAAGCATAAGCCATTTACTTTTTGAGAAATAATTTGGAAATAATTCAATTTCGAAAATATTCAACAAAGAAATATAGGTCACGTGTATTTTTTATTTCAAACACTTTTGTGCTCTAGATTTAAATTAAAATAATTCGACGTGAATCATTTTGCTCATTTCTAATTTTTAAAAACGTTCGGATTGCCGCTTTCATTTTTTGAAATGTATCGTCAGTTTACTTAAAGAAAGGTGTTCTAACTAATTCCTAACCTAGTCCCGCAAGTTTTTAAATCACTGTAGATCACGCGCGATTCTTTTTGTCTATTCTCTCTTGTATGGGCGCCCATATTTTGAAAGAGCGTTTTGAATCAATAAAAACAACCAAAAGTTTCATTAACTCAGGCAGTAGAAAACTCCGGAGGGGAACCAGAAAACGCAAAAACTCTGGAGATAGGCCAAAGTGGGTACAGAAAATCGAGAGAGCGCCTGTTTTTTCTAGTTTGTCACGTCTTTCTAGTTTGATTTTGGCGATTCTCTGGAGCAAATCGCTGTCGATCGAACGCGCTCCATCGAATGATGACAATGACGAGTCATTTTTTCATTTCATTTATTTTTTCCGTTTTTCTAGTTTTTGCTATTTCCTTTCAAAATCACTCAATTTTCAGAGTTTCATAGTCTGATTTGATAATTTTCAGACAGTTAAAATCGGCCAGAAGCATTGTGTGCCCTACGACATCGTCATAGATAAAAGTCAACCTGGACTTGGGATGAAATTAGCGATTTTTGCTCCTGGTGAGTGAAGTTTCTTCAAAAAAGGTAAATACTGGTTTTATTTGTAGATTCAACTGGATCCCGTTGCGCCAGGAGAATGGAGAAAACAAAGGCTCGCTCGATTTTTATTCCTGGATGATAGATTTGTAACATTCCGAAAACCGTGAATCACAAGATGTCTTCTATTTATAAGGTAAGTCATCAGAGAGAAAATTTATGTTATCATGGATCCACGAATTATACGACCTCGAGTGTTTGCACATTTCTCCGGCTACAGTACATTTGTGCGCGGCAAATTCAAACGCATGAGAATTTTTTTGAAATTTTTTTTCTTTTTTTCTGTTTTTTCATTTCGTGCATGAAATATGAACGTAAACGAAAAAATGGAGAAAATGACCATTTAGTATATGAAAGAGCATGAAAAGTTCTACAAATCGATATCTGTAAAAGTGAGCAAAACGTGAAAATGGCCGAGGCACAAGCGATAAAAGGAAAAACACACACAAACAAGGCGACACACAAGTTTGAAATCAAGATGTGAAATTAGGTTTTTACTCATAGAGGGTCGATTGAGATGTCCAATATAGCATTCGAAAGCAAATTTTATGGCGGAAAATATGTGATGAGTGTTGATTGTCGTTGCGGATTTCAATCACGTCGTGCCACCACACAAATTCGAGGAGACGCAGACATTCATTTTAGGTTAGAAAGTCGCTGCGAGACCTGAACACATCAAAGGGCGATGCCGATGAGGTATATAAACGCAGCGACAGACGAAAAACCGGCGCGGCCAAGCGCTATGTTTTGTGTGTGTCTGCTTGTCTGCTGTCTCTGCGAACAGTGCAATATATCGCCCGAGGGGGAAGGAAAGGCGAGAGATGTCTCTGCCTGTGTTAAAAGTCTGCGTCTCCCAGAAATTTGATTTTTGTATCGGCTGGCATAGCGTGCAATATTCAATAATGTATGGCCACCTCGAAAAAGCACGTATTTTGTCATGGATATGTTTCTTGTCAATAAAAATTCTATAAATCCTGGATAAATATTGCTGAAAATGTTGAAAAAAGTTTTCTCTTTCTATTTCAAGGTATTCATGATTGAAATAACTGAAGAAATTGCTCTGAAAATGTCAAAACCTGGAAAAAACTATTTAATTTTTAAAGAAAAACTGATTTTTCACCGTTTTTCATTGAAATTTGTTCAACTTTAGAAATTTTTTCGATCATAAAAAATTTCATTGTCAAAAACAGAGAAATACTTCGTGAAAATATACAGAATTTCTTCCAGATTGTCACAAAAGTTTCAGTTAACTTTAGTTTTCTATTTGCATATTTCTCTCACCACTCTCATTTCAGCATTGTCTCTCAGTTCTCAGATTTTGAGCTAATTTCTGGAAAAATATTTGAATGGAAGTAGATTCACAAAGAAAAATAGTTGTATTATCGATAAACATCTCCAAATGAAAATATAAATTGATGATTTAAAAATTTTCCTACTACAAAAAGCCTCAAATTCTATATTTGACATTTTCAGAGCAATTTCTTCAGTTATTTCAATCATGAATACCTTGAAATAGAAAGAGAAAACTTTTTTCAACATTTTCAGCAATATTTATCCAGGATTTATAGAATTTTTATTGACAAGAAACATATCCATGACAAAATACGTGCTTTTTCGAGGTGGCCATACATTATTGAATATTGAAATCCGCAACGACAATCAACACTCATCACATATTTTCCGCCATAAAATTTGCTTTCGAATGCTATATTGGACATCTCAATCGACCCTCTATGAGTAAAAACCTAATTTCACATCTTGATTTCAAACTTGTGTGTCGCCTTGTTTGTGTGTGTTTTTCCTTTTATCGCTTGTGCCTCGGCCATTTTCACGTTTTGCTCACTTTTACAGATATCGATTTGTAGAACTTTTCATGCTCTTTCATATACTAAATGGTCATTTTCTCCATTTTTTCGTTTACGTTCATATTTCATGCACGAAATGAAAAAACAGAAAAAAAAAGAAAAAAATTTCAAAAAAATTCTCATGCGTTTGAATTTGCCGCGCACAAATGTACTGTAGCCGGAGAAATGTGCAAACACCCGAGGTCGTATAATTCGTGGATCCATGATACGTATATTTCTTAAGTGTTTGAGCTTTCAAATTTTCCAAATTCCGAACTTATAATCTATCTCATCCCAGCTCTCGAAAAAACCGTTCAACATTAGAAATTACACAAAATCATTCACTGGGTGAACATATCTTTTCAAATCTATTATCATTTTCAATTTTTCAGCATGAAACGTGTTCATGATGCCTCTACACAATGCTGAATTTGTCAAAAAATTGCTCAAAATGACAACGAACAGAAGATTCCGTCAGAATAATTGCGAAATCAACACCAAATCTACATCAAAATGCATGCCTAATCTTGTGATGCTCACATTCTACTCGTTTGGACAATGGATCAATCAGAAAAAAATTAATTTCTCCTTTTTGATGTAAATGAATATTGATTTTTGAGAGTGAAAGACTAGAATGTATTCGAAAAAAGCAGGCGACAAAATCAAAAAAACTCTAGAGAATCGACAAAAAAGTTCCGGAGAATCGCCAAAGCGTACCGAGAAAAGGTCTGGAACCGGGTTTGGAGCCTTTTTAGCGACGTTCTCGTTCCATTTTGGCGAAACTCCGGAGTTTTCTACTGCCTGAGAAATTGAAAATATTTTTCAGATTGGCCGTGGATGAAAATATTCGAGATGATTTTTGTTGGAAAGAATGCAGCAATACATCAATTTTGAGCGATGAGATGATCGAGGAACGGACGAATTTTCAAAGGTTAGTTCTTTTTTTGGGTTCGATGGAGTAGTGAAGTTTTAGTCGGAGGGAGTTCTGTAGAGTTCGAAATTTTTCAAACTGATTTGCATTTGAATCGAGGATGCTTTTGAAAGGAAGTTTCAGAATCTAACTTTGAGGTCGGGAGAAATAATATTTTTTTTTGAAATATGAATTAGGCATGTGTTGTTTCTAAAGGTTGTTAGAACTTTGAGACAAAGAGGAGGGATATATTGGGTTTTTTGTGTGTATGGAAAAGTATCTTGATGAAAATATAATTTAATAATGAAAAAAAGCTATTTCATCAAAAAGTCGCTTGGTGATAGTGACAATAAAGCTGAAATTATGTTTTATATTTTTTTTTTGAAGTTTGTTTTTGATTTTTGTGATTTTCTATGACTTGATTTTTTTCTCGATTGGTGTAAACTACAAATCGATTTGAATCTTGCACTGGATGATTTTCTCATAGACCAAGGGTTTTCTGCTCCATAGTTATTTTCGATGTGATGTGATGTGATTGATTTTTTCACAGAACATTTTCAATGTATTATGTTGGAAGACCGGCGGAAGAACGTCGTTTCATTATTGCTCAATTAAAAACGAGATCTTCATGTTTTTATTGGCAAAAATCAATAAAACTAATAATAATAACTAATTAATAGTTGTGTTCCTAACAATACAATCAAAAGCATTTTTATAAACTTGATATCTTTTGAATTTTGGTCCGATTTCATCGCAATACATTAATTTCTCATTATAAACACATTCAACTCGTTTCAATATATTTTTCACAAGTTGTCGACTGAATTCTTCATTCAAATGATTCACCGTGAAATCTGTCAAATGTCTATGCCATCCTGAATTTATACCACTTTCATTATCAGTTCGATAATGCCGCAAGTATGCGAATTCCGGGTCGACTTTTTTGATACATTTCTTATGTCCATAATTTTGAGTTACATAATGATAAAAAACTCTGGCTGCAATATCCGAGCGATATATTGATTTGGAATTCCGGAATTTTTTTATAGAAGTTAAATTATGTCTGATAAATTGCATATCTTTTTCTGTTTGTGAGTTGTTTATATATTTTTGAGGCATTGTTTCATTTTTCAAAACTCGTGCAACTGGCAACCAATATTCTGTCGCAGCTTCGTCTGAATTCAGAAGATCTTCTATTGTTTTATTGTTTGTCAGAACGAGTCTCTCATCAAAATCAACATTAATAACCCATTTTGAATGAAATTTCGCGCGTTGATGACATTCCTAAAAACTGATTTTTTATTGGAGAATATAAATATATTCATTCAAAATTTCGAACCGTCTGTTGAATCATATGAAATTGCCAATCTTCTTTTTTATATTCAGTATCTACAGTTGTTACTTCAATTTCTCCTAATCGAATATAATCATTTAATATTTTTCGATCATATTCATTTATATCAAAAACAGTGAAATAAAAATGTTTGACTCCAATAAGTTTATAATGTTCAATATATTCAGCAATTCCTAACCATTTTGATTCATTTCCATAAATTGGACCAACACAAACTGAAACTTCGTGGATGGGTTCTGAAATTTGAAAGTTGATTCAAAATTAGAAAAAACTCTTCTACTAACCTTCATAAATTCTATAAATCATAGGGATAGGTTCAGGTATCTCGTTTCCATCTTCTAAATCCAATGACATATATTTAGCTCCATATCTTCGAGGACAATAAACAATATTATAAGGGTAATATCTAGATTTGAATCTTGTATCTGGAATTTCTTCTCGATTACAATCGAAGTAGACACAAGTTATGTTGGTGCTAAATGATATAGAAAGATATATTGTAAGTTGTTTTTTTTTCGGGTTTACTTTTCAGAATGTTGAACTGTTGTTGTAACCGCAATATGATCTGGATAAACAAATGAATTAACTAGTCGAAGTTGACCTCCTAACAGTGTATCCATAGCTCCTAAAGATTGGATTGCGTACAATCGATTTTCTTCTGAATGCGGAATATCTTTTGTGTTAACACGATTCCAATCATCGATATAGCACGTTCTACTATAATACAAGTTTAGTTTAAAAATGTCTTACTGACTTTATTAACCTATCCTTTGTTGGTTTGGAAAGTAATAGTATAAAATCGTTAAGACCGAATAAAATCACAGAAATAGAACATGCCACAAAACAAATCTGGAACTTTTTCGACATTATTCTGATTTGATTTTCTGAACTCATCTCAGTATTTTATATGAACACCTTTTCGATAAGATTCAATCTGGTATGTGTAGTGTTTATCCAGTTAAAAACTGGATGTTCTCTTGAACTTTTGGAAAAGAGATGTTTTGAAATCGTTGTTGGGAATGCATTTTTGAGGCGTTCTTTTCTTTTTTTTTTTTTTTGAATCCCAACTCTAAAAATATTTTTCATATTGCAAAACTTCACAATTATCTTCAGTTCTTTGAGTAACATAATTCTCTTTCTGAAAAGTAAATTCGAATCACCCTAAAACAACAAGATCATAACAATAGTGAGAAACACGATGGCATACATATAGAAGACAACCCAGACATATTTGTTGACAGATCAGTTGCGGACATCAGTCACAACGTCTGAACAATGAATATTAAAAACCTGTTCTTCAAAATTATTCAGAAACAAGGAATGAAATGTCAATGAAACACTGCGCAAATTTTCAAGAATGAATTTTTTCAAAAAAAAATCAAGAATCTTATTTTCTGGCCATAATTCTAGTTTGTTCAAAAAACCAAGCAAAGAAGATAGTTTCTATGTATAGATCCCACATGTAGATATTCTTCGTGCGTTTTCAGTTTCCAGAAAACTTGAAGTTGGATCTTATCTATAATTTTTTTAATCCGAATAATACGATCGTGAGTTATTCGGAATCTTTTAGAAAAAATTCTGCTTATTTGTCAGCTCCTTTGAAAATATTTCTATTGATTTGAAAATGTATTATTTTCTTAATTTCACATCAGAATTTTCATTTTAGAAAAAAAGTTGATCGCATCCTCTAATCAATTGAAAATGCCTTTTTTGAAAAAATCAGTTTTTTGGCCATACACGTTTCTTTTGTAAACCCCGATCAAGATATAGATTCTATGTGTAGATCCAAGACGAAGATATCGTTTATGTGTTTTTAATTTCAAGAGAACTTGAACTTTGATGAAATAAAAAACAAATAAGTATGCATTTATATTTCATTGTCTATCAATGCAATTAAAAACATCTTTTGAGAATTTTACATAAGTATTAAAATATTTCGGTGCAATTTCATCACAAAATAATTTTCTTTCATTATAAACATATTCGACCCGCTTCAATATATTTTTCACTAATTTTCTGGAAAACTCTTCTTCTAAGGCAGTTTCTTTGAATTTTCCAGATTCATTTTGCCATCCTGAATTTATTCCTTTTGAATCAGTTCGATAATGACGGAAATATGCAATCTCCGGACTGATTTTTCTTGCAAGAAATTGTTCTGTATATCTTCGAATTCCGTGATGATAAAACACTTGAGCCATTTTGTCAGGTTTATAAATTATTTTCTTATTGTACCAATTGACATCTAGTGTTAGATTATGTTTGATAAATTGCATATCTCGAATTGTTTGAAAATTACTGATATATTTTTCGGGCATACTTTCATTTTTCAAAACTCGTTCCAAAGCAAGTCGTAATTCAATTGCAGTTTTGTCAAAATTCAAAACATCTTGAATTGTATTATTGTTTTTAAGAATAAGTCTCTCATCAAAATCAACATTTATAACCCATTTTGAATGAAATCTCGCACGCATATGACATTCCTGAAACAAATATTTTCATTTGAATAACCTTTTTATATTTTTATGGACAACTTACATTAATTTGAATCATATGAAATTGCCAATCTTCTTTTTTATATTCAGTATCCAATTGTGTTACTTCAATTTCTCCTAATCGAATATAATCATTTAATATTTTTCGATCATATTCATTTATATCAAAAACTGTGAAATAAAAATGTTTGACTCCAATAAGTTTATAATGTTCAATATATTCAGCAATTCCTAACCATTTTGATTCATTTCCATAAATTGGACCAACACAAACTGAAACTTCATGAACTGGTTTTTTATAAATTCGATAAATCATTGGAATAGGCTCAGGCATTTCAGAATTTCCATCTTCTAAATCCAATGATATATGTTTTGCTCCATATCTTCGAGGACAAAAAACAATATTATAAGGAAGATATTTGGATAAAAATCGAGAATTTGGAATTTCTTCTCGATTACAATCAAAATATACACAAGTTATATTATCGCTAAAATAAATTATGGATAAAAAAGAAAACAATTGATAAACTAACTATTCAGAATGTTGAACTGTTGTTGTAACTGCAATATAATCTTCATATACAAATGAATTGACTAATCGAAGTTGTGCTCCAAAAATATTATCCAATCTTGGATCCGTCAAATTTTCTCTCGCCCATTTTTCATGAAATTCTGAATTTGGAATTTCATATGTAGTTTTTCTATTCCATTCATCGATATAACATTGGAAATCATCAGAATCACTGAAATTTCACAAACAAACTTCAAAATACATGAAAAATCGTTTACCTGTCAAAATTTTCAGATGAAAATGAATTTGAAAAATAATGGAAAAAAACAAGAAATAGTATGATAAATGTGATTAGTAATATTCTTCTTTTCTTAGAATTCATTCTTATTTCATGAATGTCGTTTGTTAACGCTCTGATTTATATGAACTATTGAGAACAGAAAAAAAGTGTTTAGAACATCAATCAGATAAAAGGATGCGAAAAATCAGATAACATTCGAAGCGTTGAAAATCCGGGCGAAATAGAGAACCAGCTTTCCGAATTCGATCATCTGATCCGAACTTTAGAATTGTGTCTTTTTGAAACAGACAAATCAACATTGAGAATTTTAAGGGGTTGAGAATTGCGACCCAAGAAATCGGGCTTTTTTATTTCTAAATCGGACTAGGGTCACCACAGCTCACAGTTGGAATTGGGCCGGGTTTTCTGTGTGAGAAATGAGATCATTGTTTTTTGAATAGACAACGACATCAATTGAAAACGTTTTTTTAACCTAATTTTTGGAAAAAAAATATTTCGACATTCAATAAAGTGTGTTTCATTTTCACTTTAATAAATTTCTGACAATTCGTAATTCTAAAATTTTTTACTCCCAGTTACATTTTTTTGTAATATAAAAAAATATTCAAAAGTCTTGTAGATGTTGATCACTTGCTTTTCCAGCCTACTTTCAAAACACAGAGTTAAACATATTTATTAAATTTTCATATGCGATAAAAACAATATCAATCAAATAACGAATCTCCATTTCTAACAATACAATCATAAGAATTTTTAAACTTTTTATATTTCTCGAATGCTTTTCCAATTTCATCGCAATACATTACTCTTTCTTTATAAACATATTCAACCCGTTTTAATATATTTTTCACTAGTTTTCGACTGAATTCCGTATTCAAATTAGTAACAGCAAAACCTGCCAAATGTCTATGCCATCTTGAATTTATTCCATTTCCATCATTAGTTCGATAGTGTCGCAAATATGCAATTTCTGGGTCGACTTTTTTAACTAATGTTTGATTACCGTAATTTCGAACAACACTGTGATAATATATTTTGGCTGCAATATCCGAACGATAAATTGGTTTAGATGATTTGAAGGTGACTGGTGAAGTTAAATTATGTTTGATGAATTGCATTTCTTTTTCGGTTTGAGAGCTGTTGATATATTTTTGAGGCATTGTTTCATTTTTCAAAACTCGTGCAACTGGTAAAATATATTCTGTTGCTTTTTTGTCATAATTTAGAAGATCTTCTATTGTTTTATTGTTTCTTAAAACCAGTCTTTCATCAAAGTCTGCATTAATAACCCATTTTGAATGGAATTTCGCACGTTGGAGACATTCCTGAAAAAAATAGATATTCAATTTTTATAAAAACCTTTTGTGTAAAATTCAAACCGATTGTTGTATCATATGAAATTGCCAATTTTCATTTTCATATTCAGTATCCAATTGTGTTACTTCAACTTCTCCTAACCTGATATAATCATTTAATATTTTCCGATCATATTCATTTATATTGAAAACTGTGAAATAAAAATGCTTAATCCCAATTAGTTTATAATGTTCAAAATACTCCGCAATTCCTAACCATTTTGGTTCATCTCCATAAATTGGACCAACACAAACTGAAACGTCGTGGATGGGTTCTAAAAATTCAATGTTACTGTATTTCGACAATTTGTTGTTCAGAAGTATTCACTAACTTCGATATATTCTAAAAATCATAGGGATAGGTTCAGGTATCTCGTTTCCATCTTCTAAATCCAATGACATATATTTAGCTCCATATCTTCGTGGACAATAAACAATATTATAAGGGTAATATCTAGATTTGAACCTTGTATCCGGAATTTCTTTTCGTTTACAATCAAAGTAGACACAAGTTATGTTAGTGCTAAAAAATATTATTGAATTTATATGAAGAGTTTTTTATTTGAATTGTACTTTTCGGAATGTTGAACTGTTGTTGTAACTGCAATATGATCTGGATAAACAAACGAATTAACTAATCGAAGTTGACCATCAAAAAGTGTCAGCATTTTTCGTAACCCTTCATTGGCAAATAACCGATTTTCTTCAGAATGTGGAATATCTTCAGTAGTGATACGATTCCAATCATCAATATAACATGCATCTCTATAATATAAACTCGTATCAAAATTTAAAAAAAAAAACAATACTCACATTTCCGTTGAATCTGAAAATAATTGTTGAAAATCATGAAATGCGAATAGAACCAACGCTAGAACACTAGGAACTAAACAAAGTTGAAATCTTTTCCACATTATTCTGTTTGTTTTGATTTTCTGATCTTATTTCGCTCCTTTTAAACTGACTCCTTCTCGATAAGATTTAATCGAAAGTCTGTAGTGTTTATCCAGTCAAAAACTGGATGTTCAGTTGATCTTTTGAATAACCAGCATGTGTTGGGTTTGTCAAATTAAAAAAAAAGAATTCTGACTATTAACATAATTTTCTGTGAAGGCGTTTTCAACTCAAAAAAAATAGAAAGGGACTCTAATTACAAAATTCCAATGAAAAGTTTTATATACAGGCTAGCGTTTTTCAGAACAAAAATGACAAATTTGGCCTATTTACCGGTGCAATATTAAATTTAAAAAATAAATATAAAATTATGAATGTTGATCTTGTTGTGTTCCAGAAACATCCGAATCGTATTCATCTTTCACAAAATTTGTAGAAGAAGCTGTTGATAAAGAAAGCGATGGTGTTTTGTGAAGATTTCGTGTACTTGCTGATGTTTTCATATCACGCATATCTTGCGAGATTGAGAAAGAAGACGAATGTAAACGAGGTCTACGTTGTAGACTTGTTGCTTGGAAGTTTGCATCGTCGTATTTTCTCAATGTATGATCTCGATGAAGATTTGCCATCAATGGAGATTTGCTAACTAGTCGTTCTTCGGTTGTTGGGGAAAGATGACATTCATTGGGTTTCCTAAGATTTTTTGAGGGTTGCTTGAAAAATAAATAAAAAATTATCAAGTTTTTTTTTGAAAATTGTAATTTGATTTCTCAAGTGATTCGGTATTTGAAAAAAAATTGTATTTTTCTAAAAACCAAAAAGTGTCCCCAAACTCACAAAACAACCTTCGGAATAACATCAATCGAAGTATCAGGCAATGAATAAGTCGATACAAATATATCCGATATTTTTTTAGTGTGCTTACTTCTTAATATCTGCACAATTTCATCAGAAACATGTGAAATCGTATCAATTTTAGTCTCCAAATCATAAATCCGACCTTTCAGTGAGAAATTCTCCTGCATCAAATCGTGAACTCTTTGACATGTTAGTTCTGTTAAATCGGCAGTGTTCAAAATTTCACCAGTATCTTGACGAACTCGTTTAATTCGAGTTAAAGTATCAATACAATCTTCTTCAAAATCTTGCATCTTTTTCATTTCATCTTCACTGACCAGCAGTTCTTAAATTAAAATAAGAAAGCTGTTTTTGAAGTGGAAAAAAATATATAAACTTACTAATTGAATATTCCGAAATAATTCGGGAATTATTTTTACTATGACTTATCATATTGTATAAATAAACTATAAAATTGGCAACATGAGCAATCAGACTAAAAGGAGGTGGCAAAAATGGACTGTCATGATATTCCATAAGTTGTTGATATCTTTGAAATAACCAAATTTCTTTGGATCTTTCGATTAGGTCGTTGTAAATATTGCTGAAATTTCAGAAATACTTGAAACTTTTTTTCAGAAAAAAGGAAGGATTTTTTGGGCTTGGGTTGGTTTTCTCATTCAAAATTCCCAAATAAGTTCCAACTCACTTAAAAATGGCAATCAACAAATTGAGCAACAAAACATTAGCAACAAGCAAAAATCCAACCATCAAAAAAGGTGGCACAAATCCACCAGGCACACAATTCTGCCCTTCATCGCCACAAGTATCAATTTCTCCAGCATAAACTTCTCCGTATAACATGAAATATGGTTTGTAGAAGATGTTTCTAACTGAAAGCCAATTGAAATCTAGATTTGGATATGTAATAGCTTGTCGATTTACACCAAATGCCATTAGAGTTACCAAAAGAAGAACAAGAATATAACACATTGACCAGACCATTTTAGCAGCCATTTGAATATATGGACCAAGAAGAGGGTGAACAGATAGATATTCAAAAGTCTGCAAAATCAGAGATCAGGGAAACGATGAGAACAACATAGTTGTACATAAGCTTTTTGAATCAGTTCCAGACTTATCTGAGCTTCTAGTCTTCCCAAATCTTACCTTCATATAAAAAAGCACATTTGAACAACTCAATAAAACTCTTCCCCAAGTTTCTCGATAATTGATATTTAATCGAAACGCGAATCCAACATGGAAAAATAATAGAGCAGCTGATGTCCAAATATTATACCATTTTGAATAAAAACTTCTCATTTTCTCCGATATTTTTGTTCCATCCGAAGTCAACATTTTTCTCAAATGTTCCACAGACAATGTTACACAATAAACAAAAGTCGCCCATTCGAACATTGTTGCTTCAATTGGAGTTTTGATAAGTAGAATAAAAGTTTGAAGAGTGAGAAAAGCTAGAAAAGCAATACACCATGACCAGAATTTTGTGATTGGTGCAGAATAAAAAGCTTGGAATTTTTCGATCACTGATATTTTTTGTTCCTGTTTGAACATCATACTTGTTGAACTTCCATAAACACTTGCACCACAACTATTTTTTCTTGATGAAACTATTGTTACTTTTTTGGGTTGAGCCAATTTTTCTTCATTGATTTGATGTAATTTGAATGATGATCGTTTTGTTGTCTGTTGTATACTTACAACACTGTCATTTTGATTCTCCTCGAATTTTTCCTCAATTTCAGTCACTTTTGGAACAACTCTTTTCGGTTTGAAAGCCATTTTCAAAACTGCTGGTGGAAAAATAAGAGCTGTAAGGACTCGAATATTTGATCCACTTCGAACTCGAAGTGATCCATGCCAAAGTTCAGCGAGCAGAATTTGACAGCACGGATGAGCAAGAAAAGATTTTGTATTTGCAAGAACTGCGAGTGATAAACAATTATGATTTCCCCAGTGTGGAAGTTCCATTCGAAGAAGTCGAAGAGTCCATTCATTGTCATTTCGATAACATTGATCAAGAAGTTCAATTGCATCTTCGCGACAAGCTCTAGAAATTTGAAATTTTAGAACCAACACTTCAACCCAACACTATAAACTTACATCGCATTCTCGAACAATTTTTTCGATTCTTCTACATCCAGATATTCATCTTCTGCAATTTTAGCAGTCGCCTTATACAATCTGACAGCAATCAAACATTTAGCCATCGCATCTTCTCCATGAACCCACATACATTTTGCCATATCATGTCTTCGAGTCAAAACTGCCCAAATCAATAAATCATTGAAAGGATACAAAAATACAAAATCATCAGATTCAATATTTGTGCTAACTTGATCATCATCTTCTCGATTATTATTTTTTGGTTTGAATAAATCTCGTTGAAATCTTTTCTTCTGATGAAAATAAGTATTCTGATTTGCTCTTTTATATTTATCATATTTTGTCTTGAAATTTCTAGAAGTGTAATAATGTTTGAAAGCATTTCCCATCAATTTTTCAATAACACTTCCAATCAAAGGAAGTGTTAAATATGTATGAGCATCGACAGAATTGAAGTCAATAAACCAATTTCGAACACAATGTGGACTTGCAATATCATCCATGTTATATAGATTTTCCATAGTATTGATTGTCAAAAAACTACTCATTGAAACGCCATTTTCAAGAAGACATTCAACAAAATCAACTCGATCAAGGTAAAGAGCATCATTCATTGCTTTTTGAAGAACATCGCTCGACCATTTTCGACCATTTGAAAATAGACAACTTTTTGCAAGATCGACTCGATTCCATGAAAGAGTTAGAGCCAGCTGCAAATACACCTTTTGAAAACACAATTTTTGAATCGCAATAGTTATATTCAATTTGAAAAATTGACAAAATTATCTATCACTAGTCCAAGTAGGAAATATCCATACCTGTTCATCTGGTGGCAAATTTTGTTTCTGCAAAACTGTCGACAAAATCACATAATCCACATCTTCTTCTTCTTCTTCGCCACATCGGAAAACACGCAAAAGATCTTTTCTTTCAGCACATTGTTGAATTTTTTCAAAAAGTTCTTCGTGATTTTGTTCCGGGAAGACCATTTTGACGAGCATTTGGAGACGATTTCCAACTTCGCTTGCAAACGTTCTGAAAATCTCAAATTTGAAAAATCAAACATGTTCCTACAAAAACTAACCCATCTGCATTGATATATCTTGCAGCAAACGATAACAAATCCGAAGCTCTTCCACTTCCATCACAAACAATCGCTGGAATATCAGGCTTCATTGTAACATAGTCATGAATTGCATTTATCGAACTAATTCCTCCTTCTAACAAAGTACAAACAACTGGAACTTTTCTTCCATTACAACCATAAGTTGCAATATGATTTTCAAGATTTTGTCGAAGATGAAGATCAGCTCCAAATCTTCCAACAGTTCCATTATCCGACAATAGAAAATATGAATGTCGATCATTTAAAATTCCAACATTTGCATTTACAGAAAGTGAATGAACATCATAAGAAACCATATCATTTTTTCGAATCAATCTTTCTTTTCTTTTAATTACACCCCATGGTGCAATTCCAATTGTCACAATTTGTGATCTCATTCTTGCTGATATTCCAGCTTCATCTAATGCTTTTGCAACATGTCGAACACATCCAGAATCAAGTCCACTTGTGATAATCCAAGCTCCGGTAGTTTGAGCAGCTTTGAGCATACCTTTTCGAAATAATCGACCAAGACGTTCTTGAAGTCTGAATCATTTCAAAATAAGAAGGAAGTGGGAAGGTACTCACTCAAAATTGCTCATTCCTCCATGAACTGTGATAACAAGACGCGGAGGTTCCAAACCCCAAACTTTTTCCATCAAATACATCACATCCATCGGATCAGAATCGTAAGAAAGTCGAACATATTGTGCTTTATGAGCATGAGCTCCGCCCTGAAAATTTACGATACTTCGATTATCCAACATTAGAATAATGAAAAACTTACCTGGAAAACAATAGTTCCGAATGCATCAGTTGTGGAAGTTTGTGTATTATTAGCAATTGTCCAAGTTTCGGGCTCATCTAATTTAAATCTGGGAAATCCGAAAAATCTAGTCTGACTTGCTTGTGAATGTGATGCCAAAACTCTGCCACATCCACATCGATCTGCATCTTTTGCCTGACTCACAAATCGAATACATTCTCGTTTCTCAAATGTGTTTTCGATCCAAGGTTGAGATAGTTTTTCAGACTGTAAGAAGTGTTGAAAACAAATTGAGGGAGTATTTAGACGATGCATTTTTTTTCAAACTATGAATAATAGTATTTTAGGAAAGAGAAAGTTTTGAACTTTTGTTGGTCAAAGTCTCAAGGTGATTGGGGATTTTTTTGAGAAGAATGAAGAGAAAAATTTATGGAATAAAAAAAACATTGATTTTTTTTTTGAAAAATGGAATGATGTTTGGAATTAGAAAAAGTTTTGGAAACACAAAAATTCTCTCTTTTTCTTTTCACTACTGTAAATTTTTTGCAAAAAAATGGAACAAAAATATTTAAATTTCTCCCACTAAACAAAAATTGCGAAATAAATAAACTTTTGATTTTTCTTTTTATTTTTCAAAATCAACAAAATATTCATAACTTACCAATTCTCTGGCGAATAAATTTGGATTTTCCAACAATTTAATTGTAGATTTTCGTGATACATGATCCGATCTGAATGACGATACACTATGAATTGTGTTTCCATTACACACAGAATTACGTGGCACATTCAACAAACGCAAAAATGAGGAGGTTCTTCTAAACATAAGCTAACAATAAGTAGGGTAAGAAAGAAAACGAGACAGATTCTAAAAAGACTTGGGGAAAATAGCCTGGAATCAGGATGACCTCAAATTTCGATTTCGATATTCTCCTGCTCGAAAGTAGACTCGTGAAAAAATAGGATTTTTTAAATTAAACTCTCAAAATTGGATTTTAAGGATGCCTGAATTGAACCAGAAAGCCAGGTTCCCCAAGCCTGTTTCTAACACAATAAATTTCTAATAAAAAAAAGTGGACCATGTACGTTTCACAAGGAAAATGAAAACTTGAATTAGAAACTTGAAAATATTTTATTTTTCTTCAACCTTCCAAAAATACAGTAATTTTGTCTAACTCACTTTTTCGTTTCATTTTCTACAACATCTTCATCATCGTCTTCCTGATTTCCAGCTTCTTCTCCATTTTCGTCTTCAAACTTTTGATCTTCTTCCAACAACAATTTTTTTGACTCATTCATTCGATTCACATTCGATATGAAAAAATGACACAATTTTTATATGGTATAAAAGTCAATTTTTTTGAACTATGCAAATTTGGAGATTATCAAACGATTTATAATAATTTATTATTTATTTATTGTTTTTCGAATCGATTATAAAAATGAAATGAAAAAGATTGATAAGGAAGAAGGGTTGGCGGAAAATCCACAAAAAAACAACATCATGTTTATTTTTTGCATTAGTGTTTAGTGTTAATTAAGAAAAAACAACAAAACACATGGAAACTTTTTTTGAAAAAAATGGGAAAATTGAAAAAAAAAATGATAGATGAAAAATGAAAACTAGTTAGTTTTGACACAGAAGAAATTAGTTGATTATGACAAATTATTTGGGGTTGATAAAGATTTATTAGTTAAGAAAATTGGTTTCTGGAACTGTTACGTATGAGAGTTTGGCAAATTTTAAAACGGACAAGAAAAATCAGGCCAGGTTCAATCAATCTGACCAAATTTTTAAAATGTTTATATCTGAATGATCATCTTAATTAAATTTTGGACTCAAACTTTCTAAGACAGTCACAGAAAGTTGGACCATCATTGATATTTTTACTCAAAATTTCGGGAATTTTCAGACAACATGGGTTTTCTTGGAAGAGCTAACAGCCCTAATTAGATTTTCGAAATGACATTGTTATTCTCAAAGTGGCCACATGGTTTTTTCGGTGAAACATTTTCAGATAATGAAAAAAGGAAGCATTCCAGAAGGAAAAAGACTTGGTTGAAAATTTATCCATGAAAGTTGAATACCAAACATACTGAAAAATCGTATTTGAAAGAAATTTTTTAAATCAATGAATTTATTAATCCGGAAACGGTGCTGAAATAATTTCAATTTTAATATTTCTAGCAAATTAATCAAAAACAGAAGTTGCAAATATTGAACACAACGCGAATTTGTGTTGCTTTGAAATACTTTATTGTAAACATCAAAAAATGTCGAAAAAAATTAATACTGAATTTTGATTTAGATTCCAAACACAGATGGTTTTTTGTAAGCTCCCTGAAAAGGTTGATTATTCTCCACAACATATTCCAAATGTTTCCCATTCAGAAATTGCTTAATTAATCAATTTTCAGGTTCTAAATCAAAAACTCAATAAAATATCTCGAACAAAGTATTTTTTGTTCGGTCCGAATTTAATTTATAGATTTTTTGTTTTTAAAAGATCATATCTTAATTTACACTTCACATTTACTAAAACTACATGTCATATAAAAATGAATTAAAAATTCCAATTTTTTATTTTCCATGTTTTCTGCCATCTCGCGACAATTTCTTTCATTCAATCTCTTGATAAATATCTTTGTGAATTCAATTGAAGCCATATCTGATGAACGATTGAACACAATGTTAAAAGATGACTTTTCACAAAAACAGAATGTGTTAGCTAATGTGAAGTAGTTTTTATTAATTTTTCAAAATAGTTTCAATTTGAATTCCAACTTGTTTTTTTTTTTTGATAGAGAATACATTTTCAGAATCGACTTCCCTAAATATTATCTGATGTGATCCGTGAATATCGCATCCCGTTGTATATTTCATCCAGTTCTTTCTGATTTGAATCACAAAACGATTTCCTTATATTTTTGCAGAACAATGAGATTTCGAATAATAAAAGTGCAGAGAAAAATCAGTGTCATATTCATTCTAATTACTCTACTAATTCTACGCCAAATTTTCTCAATATTGCTGCGAAACTACTATGATAGGTAAGTGAATTTTAATTTTATTCATCTAAAAATTATATTTTTTGTGTAGTGATTCGGAAACTTTCCAATGTTATATCGATAAATGGAATCGCAAAAATACATATGAAATTCCAAACTCAGAATTTCATGAAAAATGGGCTCAGGAGAATTTGACATATGCAAGAATGGATAATATATTTGGAGCACAACTTCGATTAGTCAATTCATTTGTTTATGAAGATTATATTGCAGTTACAACAACAGTTCAACATTCTGAATAGTTAGTTTATCAATTGTATTCTTTTTTATCCATAATTTGTAGCGATAATATAACTTGTGTATATTTTGATTGTAATCGAGAAGAAATTCCAAATTCTCGATTTTTATCCAAATATCTTCCTTATAATATTGTTTTTTGTCCGCGAAGATATGGAGCAAAATATATATCATTGGATTTAGAAGATGGAAATTCTGAAATGCCCGAGCCAATTCCAATGATTTATCGAATTTATAAAAAACCAGTTCATGAAGTTTCAGTTTGTGTTGGTCCAATTTATGGAAATGAATCAAAATGGTTAGGAATTGCTGAATATATTGAACATTATAAACTTATTGGAGTCAAACATTTTTATTTCACAGTTTTTGATATAAATGAATATGATCGGAAAATATTGAATGATTATATTCGATTAGGAGAAATTGAAGTAACACAATTGGATACTGAATATAAAAAAGAAGATTGGCAATTTCATATGATTCAAATTAATGTAAGTTGTCAATAAAAATATAAAAAGGTTATTCAAATGAAAATATTTGTTTCAGGAATGTCATATGCGTGCGAGATTTCATTCAAAATGGGTTATAAATGTTGATTTTGATGAGAGACTCATTCTTAAAAACAATAATACAATTCAAGATGTTTTGAATTTTGACAAAACTGCAATTGAGTTACGACTTGCTTTGGAACGAGTTTTGAAAAATGAAAGTATGCCAGAAAAATATATCAGTAATTTCCAAACAATCCGAGATATGCAATTCATCAAACATAATCTAACTTCAAAAATCAGTCAATACAATGAGAAAATCATTTATCGACCTGATAAAGCGGCACATGTTTTTTATCATTATGTCATGCGAAGATACACAGATCAAGAATATATGACGAAAATCGACCCAGAGATTGCATATCTTCGACATTATCGAACTGACGCAAAAGGAATAAATTCAGGATGGGAAAAAGAATATGATGAATTCAGAGAAACTGCCTTAGAAGAAGAGTTTTCCAGAAAATTAGTGAAAAATATATTGAAACGGGTCGAATATGTTTATAATGAAAGACAATTATTTTGTGATGAAATTGCACCGAAATATTTTAATACTTATTCTAAATTTTCCAAAGATGTATTCAACTGTGTTGATAGACAATAAATTGTTTTTAATGATATTTGGGGCATTAAAACTTCGGAAGTAAAATTTCTTCAAATCAAATCAAATCATAAATTGATTTCACATATTTATATATTACATAGTGAACTTCTGACAGAATCCATAAAATGAAATTTCTTTACTTTCTTTCCATTCCATTTCTTGTCGCTCACGACCTCGATCCAAACATCGAAGCTGAAAAGTTTGAAATCAGTTTAATCGAACATCATCGAGCCAAAAATACCACTATAATTCATCCAAATTTTATTCTGGAATTTCCAAATGGTTGGAAAGTTTCGAGAAATAATTTTATTAAAATGTTTCTGAAAAAGAAACCAATGGAAAAAATCGAAGTAACTGGATGGTTTGCACCGAATGGATTATTGGTCATGCAGAAAAAGGATAAATCTGGAGGACCGGAAAAGATTAGTGCGAATTTCGGAAAACCTGATAGCAGTATTAAAGGAGGATATGTTTGTATAAAATTGTGGGAAGTTTGAAATAATTCGTTTTATTTTTATTTTGAATAAAGTTTCAGTATTCAACTAGAATTTGGACTTTGATGATTTTTTTTAGTAAATCCAAAAAAGGTTCCAAGTTTTTTATTTTCTCTAACTTCTCTGCATCTCTCGAACATTTATTCTGAAAACTAAGTATTATGAAATCTTGTTCTGCCAGCTCATCCAGATAATCACTCTCTTCATTCCCCCAGAAATTTCACAATTTTTCCCCCAAAAACTTCATTTTTCTTTTCTCTTTAACCACACCACAACTATATTGTATATATTTTTTCAAAAAAAAAAAAAATCATATTGTACAATATATTTATTTACATGTAATTTTCGCGCCAAACAATTCCTTTCTTCTTTTTCTCCATTTTTTTCTAAATAACTTTTTTCTGTGTCTACCCGCAAAGCAAAAAAATCTCATTTATTTGCGCATGTACTATACCAACTTTGCAGTTGCCACAGGGGTTTATTTTTGGGGGCGTTTTTGTTTCGAACAGTTCGACTAAAACTTTTTGGCGCCAAAACTTTTTTCTAAATTCTTGACTTTACAGTACTCCATTTGTTATTTATTGTAGGGAACCAATTTTAGATCGACAGTATTCGGTTGGATTGTTATCTGAATTTTTTTTTGAAATTGTTGATCCACAGTACCCATCCGAGCTAGTGAGCTACAGTAGTCTTCTAAATTTCACAGCTCCAGTAATTTTGGAAATTTTTTGATCCACAGTACTCCATAAATATATTGAGGTTGAGTTACACAAGATTTCAAAGCTACAATACATCTAAAAACCTACTATCTTCACATATAAATTCTGAATAACCTTTATTTACAAAAATGCCCCATTTTTTCGCCAAAATCAATATTCCATGTTTTTTTTTGTTATCTCTCTCATCTTTTTTGTTCTTGTCAAAAGAAAAAAACATTATCCTCCGTTCCACTCGACTTTTATCATTTTCAATCTCATTTATTTTTTTGTTTACACAAAATTTCGCAATTTTTTCGAAGCTTCCAAAAACTCTTTGGCAGAGTTCCCAGTGAGTAATTCAATTCTACAAACCAAAAATTTTTAGTCCCAAGATTGTTTCAGATCTCAAGTAGTTTGGAAATTTTTGGGATATTGAAATAGACTCTGTGAATTTGCACAACTCATTGTCAGCTAGGCCACACCCATTTTTTCATAATAATAATGATATTGTAAAATAATCCGATTATGCGAACCACTTGTCAAAAATTGTGTGTTTGTTCAGCTATTTTTTGCTATTCGAAATAGAAAAATTGACAAAAAAGGCGCCACGAAAAAATCAATGAGTCATAATTATTTTTTCTTCCCAAAGGTAACTTTTTATCACTTTTTCTCTTCCATATCAAAACTTTTTGATAAGAAAACATGTGTTTTGATTTTTTTCGCAATAAATTCATAAATAATTAGATTAAATCGGAAATAAATTAAATTAATCCGTGAACTAAATTTGGGTCAAAATAGTTTCATCTTTTCATTTTCATTTCGTTATTTATTCATTTTCAAACAAAAAATAAAATTCGAATTCAGGACAAAATGTTTCGCGAAAAAGATGTTTCTTGCCGTTTGATTCGACCAACAATTCCAGAAATCCACGTGGATAAATTGGTACTTTTTGTTGAAAGATGGAACCCGGATTGGGAAGTTGATGCAAGTATTCAGGTAAGATATTTTGAAAAGAGGGGGCCTCATAAGGGAAAAATGGAAAATTTAGAGAATTTCTGAATTTTTGTTGAAAAAATCACACTAAAATTTTTAGAGTAGAAAATGCAAAAAATTTTCTTGAAATAAAAAAAATTAAAATTCTTTCAAGAATTAGCAAATTTGGAGCTGGGAAAATATAAGAAATTTTCAGAAAGCTGGTTTCTAATATTCCAAAATATTGCCAAATTTCAGCTATTTTGTGAAGTTTTTGAAATTCAAAAAAATTATGTTATTTTTCGTCAGGCTTACAGAATCGCGGCTTCTCGTTCCCATCTGATCTCAATTAAATTTCAGATTTTCGATGAAGGAATTGCTCAATATATGCTAACCGATGTTGAATCTCATTATAAATATTTCGCCGCTTTGATCCTTTCAAAACCAAGTTTGCGATGTCAAATAACCAAAGAAGAGCCTCGAGATATTTTGGAAGAACACGAAAATCATATCAAACTTTTTGGTGGCGAAAAATTGAATCACGAATCATCGAGAATGATCGAATATTTGAAAGATGTTTTGCATAAAAGAGGTTATCGATTTGATTGAACTTGTTAATTGCCTAATAAAAATTGTATATATAAATTTCGTTATTTTTTTCATGATATTTTTTCTCATAGAAATTTGGGTGCCTGGCAGAGAGGAGTAGATGAGAGACGCAGACAGAGAAACAGGCGTTCTTTCTATTTTCTTCTTTTCCTTGTTTTTTATTTTCATCATAATATTGACCACTGCTGGACTTTTCCCTTTTCCAGATGTTTCTTTTTTTATTCTTGAAAAAAAACCATTTTTTTGTTGAAAAACTTAGATTATCTTTTCAAAAAAAAAAACAGTAAGAGGAAGATTTTTGTTTACCTCTACAAATAAATAATCAAAGATGTCCACCCCCAGGCGTTCGTTTTTGCTCTTCGCGAACACATTTTCTATTTCTCAAGTACGTATAGTTAACCCCGGGTGGCTGGTACCACTTGGAATTTACCGATCTATAAAACTGTGATGGTGTCAGCAGAAAAATTTTTGTTTATTGTTGATAATAAACAATTGCTAAAATACAATAGCAAAAACTATTTCTGGGCCTAAAAATTGAAAAAATAAAAGTAAAACAACGATACACCGCAAATTTACGTTGCATTTCTTGCCCGCCAATTTTTGTGTGTTTGAAAAGTGTGGATTTTTTCTTCATTTTTTTGGCGTTTCAGTGGATTCAAGTGATTCTGGTAGGTTTTCTGGTTATTTCTTCGTTTAGAATTGTACTATATTATGAAATTGATGAGATTTCTTCTTGAGGTTCCTTGTCGAAGTTCAGTTTTGAAAATTACAGATTATTGATTTTTGGTTTTGAATATATACAATTTTATCAAGTTTCGAGATGTTTTTGATAAAAGAAAAACGGTTTTGTGCCTGAAAATTTAAAACAAAAAATTAGTTTTACGTGAATTAAATTGCATTCTTTGAACTCTTCTAAATTTAGGATTTTCAGATTATTGGCTTAGTTGGGGATACTTTTGTACAAAGTTTATTTATTTATTCATATTTCTTTGAAGGAAGGGATTTTTCGCAAGAAAACAAAAAAAGAAAAAACTGTTGAATTAAGTTGCATTAAAAAATTCCACGCCCTATTTTTTCACGTTTAAATTCTGAATATTGTTTTTTTTTCATTTTCGATATTTCAAACAACAGAAAGAGGCTCGTGAGTTTTAGGGAGGGAAAGAGAGTTTGAAGCACAGCCAATATAGTTCTACAGGATTTGGTTTTAGCATTAGCTGGCTTACAGCCTATTTTGGTCCTCTGCTATTTCTCTGCTCTCTTTTTTTGTGGATTTCATATTTCTTCTGACAGAGACACTTCCCCTCCTTTCTGGTCCCTCTGAAATCTACATTAACAAAAATCTTTGCTTCATTTTCATGTGCCAAATCAGCTGCCAAAGGGCATCAGGTCACATTTTCTCACAAATCTTCAGAAGAAGAAAACAGCTGATCCGGTTTTTCGCTCTTCTACTTTTTGTCGAAAAAAAACATCCCTGTCTAATTACCTCTTCTTTCGTATTTTTCGTCCTATTTATCTAAACGTGGTCTATGCCCATAAGCAAGGTGGAAAAAAGTATTTGTTTGCCAGAATGTTCCTTTTTTCCAACAACACATAAAATAGAAAAATAACAAAAGTACGATGGAGCGAAGTTGATTTCGCAATATAATAATATCATCATGGTAGTATCTAACTTTTTGAACTAGTCAAAACATCTGCTGTTTTTATACAACCATTTTCGGACAGCGCAGGCTGGCTGCGTTTCTAATCTAGTCAACACGATTTTGTCGCCTGTCTGACCATTTTTTTTGCTTTTTCATTCCTATGTCCACTTTTTTTCTCCTCTTTTTCCACCTACAAAGCTGCGTCTTCTTTTTTGTGTGTTTTTGTTGTGTTCATTTCTTTTCTTTTTCGCCTCATTTTCTCTTTGGATGGATAGTTTTTTATTTTGAACGAATCAATCGTGTACTTATTTATCTTGTGAAATAAATCAATAATTTGATTTCTAGAATTTTCCGATTTTTCAGACACACAATGGGAGAACCACGATTATTCATTTGTCTGAATTGTCAGGTGCCTTTGCGTTTGGAATTGGCGCAGAGAAGGCCCGAATCTGCAGATCCAGAGAAAAAAGTGAGCATTTTTATTTGAAAATTTAAAAAATTTGAAGCACTAAAAAATCACAACCAATGTTTCGAAAAAAAACGAAGGTTTTCGAATTTTTATGTTAGAAAATTGCGCAATTGAGTTTAACAAAAATTTATCCTTGAAATTTTCGAAAATTCAACGTGACCTTGATTAATTTAGGCCGTGAAAATCATTTCTAAAAATTGTCTGACAAGATATTTTCTCTTCAATCCGGTAGTATTTCATGACATTTACGATTTTCAGAATGAAAACGACATCTATGATTCATTCAGTGGAACATCACTAAATCTTTTACGACTTCTCGGAGATGCCCAATTTCCTTCAGATGCCCCAATTTGTCGAGAATGTTCAGATGCTTTGTTGAAAGAAATGGATGTTAAATTAGCATCACTTGAAGATGAATGTTCAAGTTATCGAAAATATATTGAATTTTTGAAAGAAAATCATCCAAGTTCAAATGTTCCTGAATTGAAAACACAACTCAAAAACCTGGAAGACGAAGAAAAAAGTTTGGAAGCACAATTAGCCAAACTTCTTCAAGAAGAAGAACAACTCGATAATGAACTTCAAGACAAAAAACGACAAACTGAAACAATGAGCAAAGAAGCTGTTGATCTTTGGAAAACATATCGAGATAATTTGAGAAAAGTTATTGAAACTCAAGATGAAGTAACTTCACTTGAAGCCGAATATCATTATGCTGATATGCAACATCGAAAATTGATTGAAACAAATGTTTTGGATTTATGTTTTCATATTTGGATCGAAGATAAAATAGGAGAAATTAATGGATTTCGATTGGGATATTTGAAAGAAACACCAATTGAATGGGTTGAAATTAATGCTGGATTAGGGCAAATTGTTCTATTGATTGAGGTATAGTTTTATTTTTATAGCCAAAAGGGAGGGGGTAGGGGTAAATTGACAGCAACAAGATTTCGATGAGAAAATGATCTGTAAAGTTAAAATGATAAAAATGGGCCTGTGCATCGTTTAAAAAAGCTTCGAAGTTCTAAAAATAATTGAAAACTTGAAAAATTCTGATATAAAATACGCCCGACCCCGCGAACCTTCGCATGAGAAACCTTGAAGTTCGCCCAACGAACTCAAACATCAGGCAATTTTTTTTGAATAGAAAACTGAACTTTGTCTGGCGAACGAATGATACTTTTCGACGCTATTCGATCGACTTTTCAAACAGATGCTCCTTAACTCGGTTCACAGACCCATTCTAGAGTTCTTTCAATTTTCATTAAAATTTTCATCGGTATTTTGTTGGAATTTCTTCATTGATTTTCCGAACGTGATCATTCGGATGGTGTGTTTCGAAGGTACTCTGAAATCACGTCATTTGCTCGAAAAAATTAATAATGCTCATTTTCTTCATTATTTTCAATTTCAAATCTAAGTCCAAATTCATTTCTAATAAATTCATCTGCCGATGACACGAAACCCAATAAATCAACAAAAAGATGATAGGTTTTAATAAAATTGACCAGTCTTTTTTCGTTTTTCCCCTCCCAATCTTTCATCTTTTTTTCTTTTTCCCAATTTCGAACGCATCCGATAAATTGACGAAGATTTTCATCAATTTGTCTATTAAACGATGAAAAAATATAGATTTTACAACTAAATTGAAGAAATTTTCAGATACTTTTCGAACGACTGAAAATCTCACATCATGAATTGACTCCAGTTGCTATGGGAAGCCATTCTTATATTAAATATCGAAGAAATGGAACTGAAGAAAAATATGCAATGTATGGACAAGGAACACCATTTACTGGAACATCGAATATTGATCGAGGAATGAAGAAGTTTTTGGAATTGATGGATTTTTTGCATAGAAGTTTGTTGGTGAGTTTTCTTTTGTATTTCGAAGAAATGAATGTGGAGACTAAAATTAAAGAGAAAAAAACAATTTTCTGGGAACAGTTTCAGAAATCAGAAATAAATGTTTCGCTATAAAGTATTTTTTATTTAAAATTGTTTGGTTTTAAAAATTAATTACTCGAACTTCTCAACTTAACCTTTTAGTGTCGAACTTTCAATTTTAAAAGAGCCTTCGATCTCTAAAATTATGTCTTGGTACTTTCAAAATCGTAATATGACAAACTAGACAATATTGGAAAATCAAAATTGTAAATTTAGTGCTCAGAAACTCGCGAAAAGTTGCAATTTCGATAATGTAGTGAACAACGACTCTAGCCGAGATTCTCAGAATTTTTGCAAGTAAAACATCACCCTTTGCGAACAAAATAAGTACAATTTTATCCCAAAATCCTTCTCAAAAATACCCTTTTTGTCGACCAATGGTTAGTCTCCCAATTGTCAATTTGCCCTATTTTTGCCCTACTCAAATGAAAATGCCAACTGACTTCTCTCCCCTCTCTGAAAAAATTGGCTGTTTTTTAACACAATTTCTATTTTTCTTTTTTCTGAAAACCCCGCTATTTTTCAGGATCGCGATCCAAAATTCAAAGCGGCTTTCAAAGTTCATTCAGATGGTTTGGTGGATAATGGTGTGAAATATAATTCAGTTATGATGTTAAATACGGATGTTCGATGGAGTAGATCAATGATTATGTTATTAATGAATTTGAAAACGGCGTGTATGCAGGTTGATTCGTTAAGAGTTGCTTAAACTCACTCAGGGATTTTTTTGAGATAATTTTGTTTGTTTTTTGTACATTTCGCAATATTGCTTGCTTTTTTATTTCATGTAAATAATATTTTCCACTTGATTTATGTTTCTCTAATTTTTGTTCCTCAAATTATGGTACTTTTGACCATTTTTTATATCTATTTTCTTTCTCAATATTCTTCAGATATATCGATTTTTGCAGGTTCTGAAGAGAATTTCGATATCTCTTCACAGTCCGCGAGTATCGTTTTGCGGTCCCGGTTATTTAGTGCCTGAAGGCGTCGGAAATTTCGATGGTTGAAGAGAAGAAACAGGAGGAAATTGATAAAAAGGAGAGGAAGAGACGAGATAAGGTTTTTGGGATTACGGTAAGCAATTTTTGATTATGGATTCTGGCACAGAAAAACTCAAATTTCTATATGGATTTGAAGATATTGCAGTTTCAGCTCTGCTTTCTAAAAATATCTCATTTTGAAATTGAGAACTTTTTGACGCAAAAACTTCCTGAAAAGTAAATTTCATAAAATTCCACATGGAAATGCTTTCTGAAACATCTCCAGTCTTTTTTCCCCAAAAATGTCAAATCCATATTAAATTCCCAATTTTTTTCCAAAGTTTTTATGCGGAATGTATATTTATTTTCGAGTTTTGACGTATCTTAACACATTCATGAGGTTTATTCTTTCAATAATCAAATCATTCGGCTGAAAAATTATCTAGTTGTTTTTGCATTCACATTTTTGAAAAAAAAAGTAGATTTTCAGAAATGAAATAATTAGATTTTTATTTCTTACGTTCAAACGTGACCCATTTTTTATCTTTCGAAAAAATCTGAAATTAATTTATTTCTTATTTTCATCAATTCGAAATTCTCGATTTTTCTAAAATGCCAATCAAAAGATCAATTCTGTGAGTTTCAATATCGTAATTTTCACGATAAAAACTATTAATTCTTCGATTTCTTGAGCATTTTCTGCGTACACTTGTCCCTTTATCGCCTCGTGATTTTTATCGAAAAAATCAATAATCTGGCGCCATTTTTCCTCGCAATTTCATTTTCAATTTCGAATTCTTATCTTTTTTTCTTCAAAATTCTTGCATGTTTACCCCCCGACCTTTTTTGTAGATAATTTTTGCCCAAAAAATCCGTTTTTCTTTTAAAAAAAACGATGTAAACACACATTTTTTGCGCAGCAAACATCAATTTTGTTCGTTCTCTTTTGTTTCGTTGATCTTTTTTCGCTATTCTCTTCAATTTTTTCTTCTGTCACAGACCACGAATTTGCCGCAACTCTGTTTTTTCATCTGCGTCTCTCCATCTGATTTTCTCGCCGGGTCAAAATTTCCCTTCTTTTTTTTCCAACTTTTTTCTCTATTTCCTATTTGTCATCATTTTTTCCTGAGCCAGGTTTTTTCCAGAAAAAAAAAACAATTTTTCTCACGGCTGCTATGGAGATTTTTTTTATTGATTTGTTGCAATTTTATTTTCGATAACCTTGAATTAAATTTTTAAGTGTTTTTTGTTTAGAGAAACAAAAATAAATTAGTAAAAATCTTTGGCCAAGTTTCATTTAATATTGTTTTTCTCCGCGTCTCTCGATTTCTAGTTTTTTTTGCTCGTTGCCCTTTTCTTATCAGGACAAGTATGGTTTTTTGGCAAAATGCTTATCGTTTTGTAAATAAATTTCTGGGTTTCTCGATTTTCAATGATCTCTAATTCTTGAGTTGGAATTTCTCCGCGTCTCGGGTTCCCCACAATCTCTAACTTTCTGATTTTCTGATTGAGTGAGTTTTATCAACGCAAATGCAATTTTCTGCGTCTCTGCCTCTAAATTATCTTTGGTCGTCTAGATATTCAAAATAGAAGTGCAGTAGAGCAACTTTGAAAATTTCGAGAAAAAACTGTATGCTATCTTCCCGTGTTCTTTTTTCTCTCCACTTATCTTTATCTACCGTTTTCCTGTTTTTTTGGATGATGCAAATTGTCTGTTTTACTAATGAGAAAAGTGCAAACACGCTCCAATCACAATTTCTCGTTTTCTCTGCGTCTCTCTCTCACCTTCTTCCATTTCCACGTTTTGATCTATGAAAAAGAGCTTATCAAATGTTGGAAAAAAGCCTTTCATACAAATAGATAACTTTTTTAAAATTCTCCCATATAAACCGTTTTTTTTTTCGCGGCAACACAATTAATTTTTCTGACAAAAGTCACGTTCGTTATCGAAAGACCGTATTGATGTATGATGTCACGGATAGCTATTTTCTTCTTCTTTTTTTCTCTCTTTTTTTCTTTTCTCTGTAGTACTTTTGTAGAATGACAGACACACATTGAGAAAATAGTCTTTCACAATTGTTCGTTCTTCTTCTTCAAAAAACATATATTTGTTTTTGATCAGACTAGACTCTAGTTTTATTTTTCAGTCAATCCTCATCTGGCTCGTCGTTTCTTCGCCATTCGTCACCCAACCAGAATTTCGACATTTTTTGGCGGAACGAGCGATTTTTGAGCGAAGTGTTGATCGGATTGCGGAAATTACGGAAAGAGGTATATTTTTTTGGATTTTGAAAATTTTATGAGTTTGGATGAAGAACAGTATTTGTGACAATAAATTAAATATTGCTTAAATATTTTCATAAGTTATTTTTTTTCCGAAGAGTTCAAAAATTTTTTAAATTTCAGTTCTCAGACTTTCTTGAAAATTTTAAGATATTTTTTGTAATTTGAGAAGTGTTCATGCTGCTCATTTTTTTCGAACAAAAACAATGTTTCTATATTATCTCATTGAACTTTTCAAAGGTTCTTGTGTTTTAGCCAAGTTAGGGATTTTTTATAAGCCTAAATCTAGGCCTAACTCAGAACAGAATGTAGTCATCAAACCCCTAAATTTGAGCCTCGAAAATTTTTAGTTTCTCTGAAATTCCAAAAAATCACGTTATCATCATCCAACTATACGAATTTTCGAAAAAACCAATTAATAGTGCAAATTTATTTTCATCCAACCTGCGCAAAATAAAAAAAATAATTACTCATGTATCACATGCACTTTTAATTATCACCTTCCAACTCACGAAAAACAGGAATCCTTTGGGAATATGATTTTTTGCAGCACACAAAATGTTCTCGCAATCAAATAATCAGGAAGGATATTCGGATTATCAACAAAATCCAAATCAATATTCAAATGATCCCAAAATGACGCCAGGTTTCTATCGTCCAATGGGAATTCGTTGGAGAGATGATCAAAGTTTGATGCAAGTTCAAACTATGCCAATTTTAACTGAACACAGATCAGCCTCGCCATTTGGAACAAGAAGATCAAATTCACCATCAAGACCAACCACTTCGAATCGTTTTGATACATATTCATATGATTCGCCATCTTTGGAAGATGCTGATTTGATTGATGTTTTATGGAGAAGTGATATTGCGATTGAAAAAGGTGTTAGACAAGTTGCACCGGCTGAACAATATGAAAGAGATTTGCAAATGTTGACTGAGAAATCAACTATTACTGTAGGTTTTTTTTCAAAAGTTGGATTTTGGGGTTTAAAAATGATATGGGTTATTGAAAAAATTATCCATTCAACAAAAAATCAAGGCATAGGCAATTCGCACACAAAAAATTGTGGCAACATTTCTCTACATCCATAATCGAACCAAGTTCCTCGTTGTTCTTGATGAAAAGCCATATAAACACAATCGACCAATGGCTCATTTGGTTGAGTCGAATCCCAATTCAAATAATCAGCTTGTGTTCCATCGGACCATTTGTAGACTTGATTTGTGTCATTTAGCTTATTCAAACCAATCCAAATGTTGTTTTCTGTAAATGAAATTCGAAAATTGCGATGAAGAAATTGGCCAAAGTTCGAAACAATTTTGTTCGAAATTGGGCTAATTTTTTGAAAAGCGGGATTATAGAAATTCAACGATCAAAATGAGTCTCTAAACAACCCAATATTTTTAAAATTAAAAACCGTTCCAAACAAAAATTTGGTCCTTTTTTCCCTGTGTCAAATTTTTTTTAATACCAACTTTTTCGCAATTTGTGAATAAATAGATTTTCTGATTCATCCTTGATACTCGCCAAATGTCCTCCCATACTTCTACAAAAGTTTTCTGCTGGAATCCACATCAAATCAACTTCGAACAGTTTGTACCAATGGTCTTCATACATTTGCCAACCCTGCAAAAATGTTTCCTTTCTTGATTTCTTGGATTTGTGGTGAATCATAAATGTACTTTTCCATCATTGGATGATTTTACGAAATGCCGAAGGATGATTTTCAATTAGGATGTTTTGAACTATTGGAAAGTGCATGTGATACTCTCGTCAGAAGCTCAACCAATTACTAAAATTAGGAGTTATGAGTAGTCAAAATCACGAGACCTCTCCAGAGACAATCTATACTTTTTTCAAAGTTCTCACGTAATCTTTCATCGGACAAAGAACTCCACAAAAAGCACATTGTATTTTTATCAGTTTTTATTCGGAAAAATGATGCTATCTTTTCGTGTATTGAACTATTGGTAAAGGAAAAGTCGTAAAGTCTGATGGAGAAAAAATGAGGAAAAATAATATTGAGTCATTTTTGGGTCAACGCCTTTTGATAAAAAAAAAGTAACATGCGTCAGAAAAGGATTATACACAGTGAAATAGATTCAGAGATTGGACTGTTTTAATGGCTACGATGGGACTGAAAAAAGGATTGGAGCTAGAATCGGGATATCGGAAATCTTCTAAACTTCTGTAAAACTTGGGGGAGAATCGCGGAATTTTATCTCTGATTTTCTATAGATGATTTTCTTTTTTGATTTTGAACTCGCCCATATATCAAACGGTTATCCTAAGATTGATCTTCGATGACTCGACGAATGATTTTTCATTCGACCATCAAGTCTTCTTATTTTTCCTATAAACTCGGTCTTAGTTTGAGCCTTAACCTTTTCAAGCCTACAATTGGAATGTTCTCATCGTTTAGTGATTTATTTTGTTTCATCCCAATCGAAAAAATCAGTGTCATTTCATTTCATTTTATCATTTTCGCCTATATTCCCACTTTCTACCAACCAACTTTGTCTAACTTACACTTTGTTGCAATGCTAATACTGTCAATAATCGAACATTCATATCGAGATTTATTGCGCGAGTTCCTGCGATTGAAACTGGCACATCTTTGAGAGGCGATGGTATCACTACTGAATAGATTCTTGAAATCAACAGTAAAAATGTTAGAAACAGTTTCATGATTTGTTTAGAAACAACTAATTTTGTCGAAAGGGCGCCAAACTTTATAGGGAAAGTATCAGATTTCGGAAAAAATTATAAACAATTTATATTTTCCAGGGTTTGACAGCTGAAGAGCATCAAAGATATGAAGATTTGTCGAAAGGAATGTTTCAAGATTTTTATCCAAGTTTTGCATCTTCACAAAATAACAACAATAATTATCAAAATACCCACAATAATAATTTGCAAATGAAAACATTGGAAAATCGAGTTGCACCAATTCCAAGCGATGAAGATTTGGCTGCATTATTGGAAGATGTTTCAAAAGAAGAATCACAATTGAATTTGGTATTTGATCAACAAAATATTGTGCAGACACAACAATCACAGCAGCCAATTTTGCAAAATGTTTCATTGAGCGAGGGAATTGTTTATTCGCAAAACAATTGTGAGTTGGATTTTTAAAAAGATATCTGAAACATTTCCGAAATTGTAAACTAAAATTTCAAAGCCCCCAAATATTCTTTCAACCAAATTAATAGATTCAAAAATTTTCCTAAGACCTGAGAATCATAAAGTTAATTTCCACTAATGAGATCTGTCACTTGTGAATAGTTACATTATTAGAATCTTTTCTCGAAACATCATTTTTGTGCTACAATTTGCCCTCTTCTATCTTCCCACCCTCATAAGCCTCATAATAATCATCGCCCAAAGGTCTTCCCACTTTTCTCCTTTTTTAAAAACAGCACGTTTCGTTCATTTTCCTGATTCCTGATATACGATTTATCAGTTACGAAAATGCACAGTTTCTCCGACTGAACGATAAAACTTTTTTCGTTCGAACGTCACTTTTTTTGTCATCATCAAAAATCTTATCTTTTTTTGGGTTTTCCCCTTTTTTATTTTCCTGTTTACAGTAACCGAAATGAGCATGTTACGAAGTGATGAATTGGCACCAACTGCTTCCAATGAAGATTTGCAAGCTGAGACGTTTTTCAATTCGACTGATTCGAATACAATGCAACAATATTTGATGCCGGCTGAAGCTGAACCTGTTGATGGTATGTTTCAAGATTTGAATAGTTTTTTAATTGTCCGATTCAAACAGCCGAAAAATTAGATCATCTTGGTCCCATTCAAAATCCAAAAACGCCCGCCATTTTTTGCCTAAAAGTTAGCTGACCTCGAGATCAAACCTATAATTATCGCTTTATCCGAGCTCCGCCCATTTCAGCTCTAAATTTTAATTAGCTCCGCCCATTTTTCGCGCACCTGACACATCTCCTCAAGGGATTTTGTTGCTATAAAAGGAGTTGTACTATAGTGAAAAGTACACACACTTCTAAGCTTGAGCTTCTCTCGCCAACTCCAACTTGAATCTTCAAAAATGAACTATTTCAACACTCCCTATGATTTTTCGGCGGCTTTTGCCAACTTCCACCAACTGGATTTTTCAGTCTTCCCACCATCGCAATTCTCCTATATTCCAATGATCAACGACACTGCGCACGAACAAGTTTCGAATGGAAATGTTGATTTTGATCATAGATATTCGAGAATTCCACCAACCGCAACAGCAACAGCACCAACAAGACCAGCTAATCATGATCAACTTGGAGCTGCGATTTCAAGTGCATTGGGTGGAGCTGCAAGAAATGGAACAACACTTTCAAGTCCACTTTTTGATCCATATCATTCGATGAGACAATCGTTTTCTGATGTGTAAGTTTTTTTTTAAAATTAACCAAGGTCCCAGAAAAATAGGCAAAAAACAAGAGATATCAATATTATTTCTAGAAATCTTCTTGATCTACCCAAAAATATTCTAGTTTTGACTATTCCATTTGTAATTCGTGACTAAACTAGACAGAAATATCATCCATGTTTTTCTTCCTCCTAATGTCATCATTTATTTCGAAATCGTTTTCATTTTAATTTTCACATCTACTTAGATATTGTCAGTCCGATATTTTTCAGCCACTTGGAAGAGAAAAGCCGACGGCCTAGAAAACCAAATTTTTTCTCTTTCAATACAAAATATCAGAGCGCTCTCGAGCAGCCGCAAAGTCTACTGTATTTTGGTTTTCTCTTCCACGGCTCTTTTATTTTCGGATTGACAATACCTTTTTTTCCTATTTTTCGGCTCTGTTTTGAAAATGGACAACCAAAGTCCTATGGAATTTATTAAGCGAATTGTTGAGAATTTTTGTAAAGTTGAAGAGAAGAAAACATGGTAGGCCCTATCATAAAATCATTCGACTGAAATCAAATAAACTATTGATTTTTGCAGTGATACGTCATCGACTTGTTCAAGATTGTCATCGGAATCACCAAGATATAATAGAGAGGAAGGAACGAGTCAAGGAATTCCAGCTAGCAGGTAAGAAATAGAGTTATGACGTGGCAAATTGACACTTTGCTGGAATTACGAAATTAGCCAACAAATCAATTGATTTTTCAGATTCTATGGAAAATTGATTCCAAATGATTTCACTTTCGGTCGTCAAACTTCGCCAATTCGGAAAATCTCACGTGTCATTCCATTGACTGGACAACAACAAAGAAAACGTGGAAGACAATCAAAAGATGAACAACTTGCAACTGAAATGGCACTTCCAGTCACTGCTCATCAAATAAGCGAAATGAGCCTTTCCGAATTGCAACAAGTACTCAAAATCGACACATTGTCCGAAGGTCAAAAACAATTGATCCGCAAAATTCGTCGCCGCGGAAAGAACAAGGTTGCCGCGCGGACTTGCCGTCAAAGAAGAACTGATCGACATGGAAGAGCCATTGATATGAATTATATTTAAAGTTTTTATTGGTTCTCCTTACTTTTTACCCTATTATATACCTCGAAAGGGTCTCGTAATTTTTAATTATTTAATTCATGTGAATTTATATTTGTCTCCCCGTGTTTTTAAAGGCCTGGAGCCTTTCTTTTCTCCCCATACTATTTTTTAGAAACGGGTAGAGCTCCGTTGGACTCTTTTTTATACCCGAATGATCTGTATTTGTTATGAGTTTTTACAAGTTTTCGAATATCCCATTTCTCCCCCCCAGTGAAAATGTACACATGTTTATACCCAATCAATCTCCCCTAAAGTTTTTTTTCTATTGCGATTTGATTTTTGATTTTTAATGATTTTTTTGGAAAAATAAAGTTTGAAAAATGTATATAAGTGAGAGAATAATTATGGTTGCATTTCTTCGTCGATTTGCGGCGGTGGAGCACAACAGCAAGGTTTACGATTGAAGAGGGATTTTTTGACGAAATGAGAAATACGACCAGATTCGAGCTCATCGCCAATGGCTTTGGCATCCGTGACAATCTGAATAAAAATTGAGTCTGGTCGAGTCTGGTGTTTCAGTTTTCAATTGTTGAAAAAAATCAAACTCATTATGAAAATGAGAATTTTCAGTACATGTTAAAAATATGAACAATTTTTAGATAAAATTTTCTAACTTTTCACGTCGACATCGAAACTATAATTGGAAAATATTACGAAATGTTCAATTTTTTGAAGTTCATAGTTTTTCAAATAATATGTCTACAGTTCGTATTTGTTTCAAATTTACTCAAAAACATACCTTATCCATTGCATCCAATGCTTCTGTGCTTTTATCATTCAACTGGAATTTCGTGTTGAGCTGAAAATTATCAATATTTATCTCACTCTCTTTTTTTTCCAGAAATCTTACCGCTCCCAATTTTTGTCCAATATCATGCATTTGATTATTGATAAACTCAACATTTGAAAAAAGTGGTGAACTACTCAAAGTTGAAATCCAATAACTGTTCCAAAGAGCCGAAAGAATATGGGCATCTGCAAAAATAATTGATTTTTTTGGGAATAAATAGACATTTCGCTAAAATTTTGAAAATCGAAAAACCTCACAAATTTGTTAAACTTCTCAACTTTAGGGGTAATTTGAAAAACTGACCCAATTGTGACTTGAAAAAGCTGACATCAAGTGGATAATATCGTTTACAATGCACACCGAAATCTTCAATTTTATTCATTGGAATCGATTGATATTCTGATGGAACATCATCTGGTGGACGATATCCTTCAGGATAAGTTCGGAAAGCACCGATATCAACTTTTCCAGCCGACATTGTTCGAAGTGGATCGATAACTATGGCAACCCAAGGCTCTTGGAATTTTTGATTGAGAGTTTGAGTCGAAACATCGATTCCAGAAAGCCAGCAGCCATATCCAGGATGAGAATGATACCAACCAACAACCTGAAACAAAGATGAGTTCACACAAAGTTTTTATTTTTCACAATCATGCTAATAACAATCGATTTTTCAAAAACCCAACCTTTTCCTTTCTTCCTTCAGTGTCGCATAAATCAGTATAAACTGACATATACTCATAAGCTTGTGCTTGTGCATTTACTCTTGTTTCAGTTCCTTCAACTGGCAACGCAAAAGCATCCAAAATAATAAATGAATTCGCATCAATTCTTCCTTGCAACAATCCCATAATTTCCAAATTTCCACCACGTTTTGCATGCATTGTCATTTTCAATAAAGCAATCGCCGAAATCTTAATTTGCTTGAAATAATGTGGATCTTTATCCCAAGGTTTCGCATTTCTCATCTCGGTTTGCATATTTGCATTATATTCGAAAATCGAGTCGACATTTTCGATTTGATTTGATAGCTCCCAATTGCGTTGCGGAACAGACGCCGAAGGTTTCGCGGCATCGACTTCCATCTGAGAAGACATCAATTGAACACAGTTTTGACCCAGTGTTAGTTTAGAGAACGAAGAACAAGAACAAGAAAACGATGAGAAAAATTGGGAGAAAACAAAAAGAAAAGTAAAACAACGAGACTCCGTATGCCTGTTGTTTAGTGACGCGGAGCTTTGAATTTTTATTTTTCTTCAAAAAAAAACATTTTTGAATTGAAATTTCTAAACCGATTTTCATTTTGAATACCTTAGATTCCTAAAAAGAAGATTTTTGAGCTGAAATTTTGTCTAAAAATACCATTTCCTGTAAAATAAAATTATAACAAAAACACAACTTTTTTGAAAACAGGTTCATTTAAAAGGGTCGAAAATGGCACAGGTTTTAAATGAACACAAATGCGAGTACGAAAAAAGCAGCAGAAAAAAAACGGGAAAAAGGAGAGGAAAATGAGAGAAAAATATGGAAAATAATTATTATACAAGTAAATTTTTGGGATTTTTTGTTGTTGAATTTGAGTTGAGTTCCTAGCAAAGAAAATTGATTGGGGAGGGCAAAAAGAGACAATAAATAAAAATATGTATATATAGATATATATTTCAATATATATTACATATAACAGAAAATGTGTCTTTTTGTGGGAAGAAAGAGAGAGGGAGAACCCAGAGATTTTTTGAGGGAAGAAAACCCGTGATTTTTGGCGGTTTAGTTTGGGCAAGAATTTGTAAATGACCGGGGCGAGGAAAATAACAAGAAAATTGGGAAAACCATGAGAAAATGATGGAGAATTGTAGTAGGAAATGTGGAGATGGTTATTCAAAACTCATCAGCTGAAGAATCTTCGGCAATCTGAAACAAAAAGGATTTTTTTTGAGAATTCACAAATAAAAAAAAAGTAAACCTACCAATGCTCCTCTTCTGGCTGCTGTTGATCTCAATGTTCTAGTTTGTCCCAAAACCGACGAAGAAGAAGAGTTTGAAGAAGTCGCTTTTGCATTTCTATTTGGTCTTTGATGATGAATCTCAATTTTGTCATTTCCTGTATTCTCATTATTGTCTAATAAATTAAAGTTCAATTTTGGAGCTCGTTGAAGATTGAGTTTTCGACAACTGCGAAGCAATGGTGGACAAGATTGTGGCCTGAAAATAAGACAAATATTGATTGGAAATATGACAAAAAAATTGAAGTGAAAAGGGGAAAAGGTGAAGCTCCAAGTTTTTTAAAAATGTTTTCGTCAAAAAAACTAACATAATATTTTCTGCTGCAGCTGCATTAATAAGTTCATCATTATCATCTGAATCCATACATGCCTCAATTCTTCTCATTCTTTCATATTTTCTTCTTTGTTGACTATTATAATCGCCACTTCCTCGATGATTATTTTCTCGAATTCTTCTTGCACTCGGTGGTGTTTCTGATCGGAATCTTAATGATCTTCTAATTGGACTTTCTCGCAAAATCGGCGAACTTGTTGTGAATGAATCAATTGTTGATGAATTCGATGAACTTGTTGGCAATTCATTATCATTTCGTGTATCTTCATCCTCATCATCCTCATCGTCATCCATTTGGAAACGTGGAATCAGTGGGAAAAGTCGTCTTTGGAATGAGACGTTTTCTTCGTCTGAATAATCAAATGGTGTGATATTTGATGCAGCCAAAGTTTTGGCGAATCCAAGACGAGATGAAGATGTTTCAGGTGTTTGAATGGGTGTATGTTGTTTTGAAACAGTTTCAGCGCATATTGAAGCACGTCGATCACATATTGCAGAAAGAGCTGGATAAACAACTACAGAGAATAATGCCATCAACCATGTTGTTATAACAAATGACCAATCAGCAATTGAATGAGCCTAGAAAAAATATATTTTGAAAAATTTCGAAAAAAAAAGAAAAACTTACCAATTCAACTGATTTAACATATAATGTTCTTTTCCAAATTCTTCTTCGAATTCCATTTTGTTTCAACAATTCTTTTGTTGTTGGTCTTATTGATGGAGTTGATGATAACATCCATTGAATAATGAATCTCAATTCGACAGAAATTCCAACAAAAAATCGATCAGGAATTTCGCCGTTTCGAATTTGATGCCAACTTTCACCATTTGATGGAATATCTAAATCAGTGGCTGCTTCGAGAATTGTAACTCCTAGACTGAAAATGTCACTGGCTTTGCTTGGTGCTCCATTGAGAACTTCTGGTGCAAGATATTTACTATCGCCTTCTTCAGCAGATGCCACGTCATTTTTCTGAAAAAATACAAAGGTTTTATATGGAAGTCTGGAAATGTATTTTCAGAAGGACGAAAAAAAAAGAAAAACTTACATTCTTCAAATTGATAACTAGCCCAAAATCTCCCAATTTACAAACACCTTTTGATGTCAAAAAGATGTTGTCTGGTTTAATATCATCATGTATCATATCATTCATATGTAAATGATCAACAGCTTTCAATAAATCAATAAGAATATTCCAAATCATTTCCTCTGGCAATGCATGTCTTTCCATACATAATTGCAATAAGCTTTTCTCGCATAATTCTTGTTGAATATACAATCTTCCGCCTTCTTCCCAAGCTTTCACAAATTCGACCAAATTTGAATGTTTTGGTAATCTCATATGATTCTCAACCTCTCGATATTTGCTAGCACAATTTTGTCGAATAACTTGAATTGACACTTTAATAGCATAATTTCGACTATCTTCCATTGATTTGACAGCGAAAACTTCGCCAAATGATCCTTTTCCAATAATTGATGAGATTTTGAAACATTGTTCGAAATATGTTAAATGTTTCTCTTTGTTATAAATTGGACTATGAAGGGGTTCTGTTGCTCCGGATGGAGTAATTATTCTTGGTTGACGAATTTGAAATTGTGAATGAAGACTTCGCATTGGCGGCGCAGTTTTTGCAACTTTTGGGGCCGGTCGACGAAATAATGGTGTTGATTTTTGTTTTTCTCGTTTTGTCGAGAGTGGTGAGTTGCGTAAAACACGTGGAGTCACGTAAATTGGAGGCGTAATGTTCGCAGGAATCGAGTCATCTGATTCATCAACCATTTTCACTGGATGCCTGAAAATGCAACGTTTTATGAGAAGAAATTAAAAATAACTAAAATGGTAAAATTTTACGAAAGAAAATAACGTGACAGTACTACAAAGAATCATTTCTGGAAAAAATGAAAGCGTGGAGAAGACAATTGTTTTGAGTGAGTTTGAATGAAAAATTATTATGATACAAAAAAGACATACGATTTCGCAATCAACGGTTTTGCAGATATTGATATTGAATTCAGAGAGAACTGTATGAAGTTTAAAATACAGAAAATCGATGAGTTTTATAGTATAACGTTGAAAAATTAAGAGAAGCCTAAAATTTGAAAGTAATACAGAATTACTATTCACCACGTAAACTATAACAGTGTAACTAACGAAGAAAGTAACAAAAACAGAAGATTCAAATAATATTCACTCAAAAAATAAGAAAATCATATCAACAATGAAAAACCAACTAAAAAATAAAAACAACCGACGCACCGCAAAAAAACAAACAAATGAATGGGACAAATTCAAATGAGATGATTGGCGCGCTGTTCGGTAGAGCGTGTTTGATGTTAGGCTCCGCCCATATGACGACACGCTCCGCCCATTTTTTGGTGAAATCGACGCCAAAAATGTGTGAAATGTTCGAAAATTCGCACATTTTGGGAATGTTTATTGTGGTGTGAAGAACTAGAGTATAGTTTAGGTGGAACAGATGTTGTTTTAGTGTTGGGAATATGGGAAAATGGTCGAATTAGACAGGAAAAGTGTTTTTTCGACGCCAAATTCCACGTGTCTTTGACATGGGACACAATTTTTTACGTTGAAATTTTATATTTCAAAAAAACTTTGAATAAAGAATTGATGAAAACAAAAAATTAATTAAAGTCCAACACAAAGTCGCTGACCAATCTGCAACAAAAACTTGATATTTAGAAAATGATTGAAAAATTTAACAAAAACCTGTAAAGTTTCGCATTTCAAGCCAGGGTTGACAAGGAAAAATTCAGTTTCAGATAAACCATTTTCCGTGTAAATTTTCCAGCAGAAATCGCCTTCTTTTGTGCTATACATCTTTTTGCATGTCGGTTGTAAACAAATTCTTTAAAAAAACTTCTATTGATTGTTTTTGAGAATTTGATTTTTTCTTTAAAAAAAACTCACTTTTTTCCAACCCAAAGTGATTCACAATTCAATTCCGGGTTCAATTTTTTCAGTTCCTCAATCGATTTTTGATTATCTTTTGAGATGAGCCAACAAGAATCTCCTGGTTTTACCACATAGTTTTCACCACAAATACTTGAGACAGTATTCGGGAAAATTATGAGAAACACGAATAAAATCTTCAAAATCATTGTGAGAAAACTTTGAAATAGATTTGCGATGTTGTTTGAGAAAAAAAAATGAAAAGTTTATGCTAAGAAAAAATAAACAATTTGAAAAGAAAAATCTAAATTCTAAAATCCGCACTTTTTACACATCAAATCAATGATTTAGCAGTTTGAAATTTCAAAGCATTTCCACGTTGTTTGATTCGATTTCGAATTGGTTCTGGCAATTCTCCAAGTCCTTTTTTATTCTGAAATATTGATGATTTAAAATAACAATTACCACCAAAAATATAGAAACTAACATTTTGAAAAGTTTCCAATATTGATATAAGTGTTCTTGTTGATGCTAATGCAGTTCCATTACAAGTATGACAATAAAATGTTTCTCCATCTTTGTTTTTCATTTTAATACCTACAGGTAAATCTTCTTTTTCTAGTCACAAATATAACATTTCTTACCTAATCGCCTTGCTTGAAAATCTGTACAATTACTCGCCGACGAAACTTCTCCATACAATTTTCTTCCGGGCATCCAAGCTTCAATATCATATTTTTTCGCAGCCGATGCTCCAAGTTCTTCAGATGGCATTTCAAGTTGTCTAAAAGGGAATGATTTCGGAAAACAAAAAAATAAATACCTGAAATGTATTCCCAAAGTTTGAAATGTTCCTTTTTGAATTTCAACCAAATAATCTAATTCAGCTTGTGATTGTTCAGGAGTACAAACTACAAACATTTCGACTTTTGAAAATTCGTGAACTCGATATAATTTTGCTTCGCTGGCTGATTTTGAGATCTCCGTTCGGAAACATCTGAAAGATATGAAATTTGTGGTTTGTGTTGCATTTACCATGTCTAATTTCTACAGTAATCCTTTTTCCTCAACCCTGATCTTCTCCAAAATCCTACTGACCTACTCATTGAAACCAATCGAATCGGCAATTGTGATTCCTCAAAAGTTCGTCCTCTCAAAAAGGCGGCAATTCCCATTTCAGCAGTTCCCGACAATTTCAAATGCGATTCTTTTGAATTTTGCAATGAATATTGTATTGGATGTTCAGATGTTTGCATCAATCCACAAGCCGATGTAATTTCTTCAGATACAATATCAGGTACTGTAATTGGCCGGAATCCAAGTGCACAAACTCTTTCATAGGCGTATTCGAGAAGCGCTTTTTCAAAAGAAGCAAGGGCCCCTGGAAAATTGATCAGGTGTTTTTTAATCAGAATTGTTCCGTTACCTAGGAAAACATAACTTCTTTGCCCACAAGCCTCATTTGGATGTAAAAGTGCCCGCCAAGATTGCACCAATTTTTCAGCAGTCAAAAGTGCTTCATCTTCTCGTTTTTCACCCCATTCTGCAATTGTCTGAAAATATAAAAACTTATATATTTTAAGCCAAAATTATTTGTTGTTGAAATAACGAAAAACAAACTTTTGCTTCATTTTCTGATCCTTTTGGTACTCCATCTTGTGTCATATTTGGAATAAGCAATGCTTCTTCATATAATTCATTCCATAATTGTTCATATTTTGTTTCGTCGATTTTTTGAGCGCCGATTTCAGGTTTTCCGGAATGCATTAATTGTTGAATTGTTGACCATTTTTCGCGAACTTTTTCAATGTTTCCAACACCTTTTCGACTTCTGTATTTTTAAAAAATTCTTTTATTTTGTTTTATAAGTTTTGAATATTCAAGCTCTGATCTTATTTTTAATGTCAATATAAATTAAATCAATTTTTCTATCAAAACTCACTGAATATTCTCTTTGATTGCCTCCAAATTTTTATCATCCAACAAAAATTCAAAATTCAAATCGGGTCTCAAAATTGGCGGAGCTGATGATGTTTCAGAAGTCGATGCTTCACTCGAGAATCCACGTGTTGTTTTTGCGGCTCGAAAAAGCGATTTTGCATGTGACCCAATTATTCGTCGCATTTTTTAGGCTGAAATTGATTTTTTGAGGAAAATCTGAAATGTTTCACGAATAAATATGGAAAAACGGTTGAGAAACCGTGGAAAAATGGAACATGGAATTTTTAATAAATAAAAATTTATTTTTGCCTATCAATAAATTGTCGATATTTTTCCAGTGCGAGATCAATCATTTGAATACAGTGTTCGGTCTGAAAAAAAAGGATTTTGAAAGGGAACAAAATGGAAGAGAGAAACTCACATGTTTTTTTCCAACTTTATCAGCTCGATATGTTGTCAACGTTTCAACCATTCGTTTCAGCTGAAAACAATCAATTAATGTGGTACAGTGGACACCCCAGCCCATGAATGTCAGAAGTTATCCCAATCAAGTTTCTAGGCTCATTTTCGGTAAGAAAATTTTTCCATAAAATAAGGTCCTCTCAAAAAAAAACCAACTTTTGCTTCCATTTCTGGCGTTTTTGGTGGGAAACTCGTCCAAAAATGTCGACAAATTTCCCGTGTCGCATTTTGCATTTCTCTCATTTCTCCCAATTCCACATTCGTCATTTCCCAATTTTCAGCTTTTTTCACATTTTCCGATATTTTGTTATTTCCATTACTCAAACCATCTTCAAAAACCATCGTTTGTTCGTGTTCCATATCTTTTGGATTCAATATTTTTTCATTCGAATTATTTTGGAAAAATCGAAGGACAGTGTTTTTATATGTTTCTGCCTCATTTTCAGAATATTCTGGAATTTCAGCCACATTTTTCTCATCAATTTTCAGATGTTGATATTCTTCACTTGTCGAAGTTTCAGCCAAATCACCCGATTCGAGACGATTTTCAGTTTCAGCAACAACTCTCTGCAAAATAATTTATAAATAACAGGATGTTTTCCTTTAAAAAACCTCACATTCAAAACGGCAAAACCTTGTTTCTCATTAGTTTTTGTTCCAGCTGCAATAGTTTCAGCTCCTCCATCTTTCCAAGAAATCGCCAAAATTTTTTCCGACAAATAATTGCATCTTTTAATCAAAGTGGCTCGAACAGACTTGGGAAGCGATTCAGATTTCTGAAATTCTTCATTTTGAGATTCAAAAAAAAAATAAAAATAGACTTACATATGTGAAATCTCTGAAACCATAATCATCCAAATGATCCAAATCAAATCGTTTTCTCAAAATTCCTTCAGCTGACAATTTTTTCATTTCTTCTTCGTCTGATTTGACACAATCCGCAAATGGATCTTTTGGATTTGGTAGAACTTCACTGAAATTAGGAGGGGGTTTTCAGAAGAAAATTAACGTGGTCACAGTACTTCAAAAACACGTGGATATTTGGCCCACGTGTCTTTGCGCCAAACCTAGTGTTTCAAAATTTTTACAGTGAAATTTTAGGTAAAAATCTAGTTTCGACAGTATCAAAATTTTTGTTTTCAAATTCTACAAGATATTTTAATTCGATTTTTATTTTGTTCGAATCCTCTTTTTTTCCAACTCAAGTACCTTTCTCGATGAAAATAATGCGATTGAAAAAACTTGGTCCAAAACGCGGATTCTGTCATTTCATGCGGAACCAATTCCAAATGTTTCTTTTCAACAGCCGGATAAGTGACAAAAATGGCCTGAATAATTTCCGCATTCAAATTCAATTTCACACCATTTGTTCCTTCTTGTTGTGCGATATTCGCCAAAAATGCTCCATTTATACCGATTCGATCCTCACTTTGACCTTCCTAAATATTATAAGTTTTTTGAAGAAAGAATAAGAAAAATAAGATTAAAAAAACTAACTTTTTTATAATAATCCTCCCAGAAATCTTGGGGTAAAATCAGTTTTGTGGCCACCAGGCTTTTATATAATTGTTCCAGCGTTTTATTTTCGCGAAGGATTTTCTGTTTTGCTTCAAGTTCAACGGCGATCGATTGTTTCTCAACAGAGGCAGCTAGCTACAAAATAAACACATGAATCATGGATGAAATTTTTCCGGCCAAATTCCTTACCTGATTAACCCGTGCTCGATGACTAATCAATGCTTGTTGTAATGTTTCTTTAACACTATCCCGTTCTTTTGCCAATGTTTCTTTATCATGTGCTGGATTCAAAAATACAAAAGTCGCCTGTTCTTCATTTTCCAAAACTAATTGAAGTTGAACTTTTGATTTATGTGGCGGAGAAACACGTTGGCCTTTGATATGAATAAATTTGAGAGTTAGAACTTCAGGACTCGCATTGTCACGCCATTCAACATATTCTCTAAATACAAAAATTGTGAAGAACGTGGTTTCAGATAAAAAAATATATGTACGTTTCAAAATTTTCGATTTGGCACTGGGTCGAACTTTCTCGTTAAAATCTTCAGCAAATGTCTCAAAAATCTCACCTAAAAATAGTTAGTCTTCCAATCGGCGATTTTCCATCTCCCGCTTTTTCTATATTTTACATGATCAATTTGCAATAACTCGGATGACATCTGAAAGTCACTTCAACCACAATTTCAGCCATAAAATAAATGAAAATATTTCACAGTCGTTCTAAGGTACTGAAATTTTTCATCAAAATGAATATTAATTAATTAATTAACAGTTTATCAAAAAGTACCCGAAATGTAACAATTATCATCGATCGATCAAATTTAATTTTTGAATCGCTGTTGTGCAGAAGGCGGAGGCGTTGCTGTTTTTTCAGCACCATTTTCAGCCAAAGAATCCAAATTAACATAAAGTTTCGCTTTTTCCCCGTATAATTCGCGACCAACAAATTCGCGTCGTGTTTTTGCCACGTGTTTTTCGTATTTGTCGCAGAAAATTGAGAGCAAATTGATGTTGAGATCTGGAAAAAATAAATATTATTATTGAATTACAGTTTTTGTAGGTGTTGATTTCATTTGAATAAGAGATTTTCAAAAAAAAACCTGAACTTTAAAATTTCGGCATATAGAAATGAGTATACAAAGAGAAAGAGCTATCAAAGTAGAATATTTTGCAAAAAATTATTTAAAAATTTTGAAACCTATATTTTACTTGATTTTCTGGCCGGAAACCCTACGGTTTTTTCAAAGTGAAAATATTTTTCCAGAAATCAGTTTCCCGTTTCCCTTTACCTTTTGCGGAATATTGTACATGTTCTTCTTTTTTCTTTAATTTTTTCTTCATTGGTTCATCCTCTTTTTCATCTGAGATTTCACCATCTTCTTTCGAAAAAGTTCTCAATTTTTTCAAAAAAGTTTCCTTATCATTTTTATCAGTTGATTTTGCATGGGAAGAAGAAGAAGAAGAATTGAACATTCGAGCAACACTGAAATTTTTTTTAAATAATTAAAACAATTATTTTTAATTTCTTGAACAAACCTTTGATCTAATTCGGTATCCGAATCCGGCGAATCGTCTTTAATCAATAAATCAATTCCAAGTGTTTTCTTGAATATTTCATGAACTTCGATGTGTTTTTCACTGAAATCTCGATAATTTGCCAAATATTTCGACAATTCAACAAATGCAACTCTCATTTGTTCACTGCAATCTGCCAAATTTTTGATCGCATTCGCTTTTAATTCAACTGATGGTAGAACAAGATGAGTTCCATTTTCACGTTTTTCGTACAATTTCAGAATATTCTGGAAAAAAACATTGATTTTGTAAATTGACTATGGAACCTTTTTTTTAGATATTGAGAAAATACGTGAAAAAAGACTTACCGCTCTACAATTTTCAATATCGACATCACTCAATTCATCCTTCGTAATAATTGTTAGCAAAGGTTCAAAATTCTTAATCACATGCGGTTGGAATACAAATGTGTCCTCAAGATGAAGTGGAACATTTCGAGTCAATTTTTGTAATTTCAGCCGAGGTTGTTTCATATTAAATGGATCATACTGAAAAGAAGAAACATAGAGGTTTTGAATAGAACAAAATGAATACTTACAGTTTTCGAATTCGATTTCAAATGATTAATTTCAACCTTTTTCAATCTCATTTGTTGGAAAATATGTTTATATTGTAAAGTATTCAATCGATCAACTGAAGCTGATGGTTCACAAGGCAAAAGTCGATCAATATTTCGAGGATGTTCTGAACAATATTGTTTTTTTGAAAAAGAAATATCAAATTAGCCTCACTTTTTGGTATGAAATCGATTTCATGTATAAAAATCCGCCCATTATTCACTTTCAACATATGTGAAATCAAGAATTTTCCAACATTATTCGGATATTTTGCAACTTTTCCAGTTCTTTCCAAATCCAATAAAACACTTCTTCCATCCATTAAAAATTGTGTCAAACAAGCCGATTGTCGTGTATATGCTTGAACAGAAGTGCACGGGACAACAGTTCGATGATTTCCGAAAAGAGACCATTTGATTTTTGAAACTGTTGCCCATGCTAAACGAGTTGTTTCATATGTTACACCTTCTGTTGCAAATCCTTTTGTATTTTTGTCCTGAAAAACACTTTAGATTTGAGATGATGATAGCAATTTTGGATTTAATTTAGTGATTTTTTTACAACCAAAACACTCCTGATTTAAGGGGTACGAGACTTATCGTAACTTCAACGAATCCAGATTTTCTAATAAATCAACTTACACATATAACTCCAAGCCTTTTCAAAATCGAATGAACTGGTTTGACATGAAACAATTCGACGTCATAAATTGCAGAGCTGAAAAACAACATTCTCTCCCGATTTTACTATAAACAAACCTTCGATTCTCTTCTTTCATTGGAATTTTGGTAATAGTTGTTGAAATGAGTCTAAATGCAGATATAATCATTGAATGAATTGCTTCAGCCATAAAACCAGCACTTCTTGAAATAACCCATGTTTCCAAAACACTTCCTTCCGAAAATTTCAGAAGCGGTTTTGTCTTTACATTACATTCTTCTCCCAACGCATAAAAATTGACGATAAATAATCGAATTTTTGAGATTTGTTTAGCTGGTGTTGGGAGAGTTAGCGATATTTTATTTCGGGCTTCTAACAATTTTGCGACTTCCGATTGCAGTTTTTCGACATCATCTTGTTGAGTATATCTGCAAAAACACTTATATTCGGAAATTGACAATTTCGCGAGTACCTCGTAAAAATGATAATATTTCCAGCACTATCTGGCTCAATTTTCTTGAAATTCTCAATTTCAGTATCCTGTTTTTCTTTCAAATTCTGTCCAATTGCATCAATTGCCAACATCAATCCACTAATTGGTGATACATTCTTTTCGTCTTCATTTTTCGATGCTCCTCTCACATTTTTCAATAATTCCAACATTTCTTTTCGTGTTGATAATTTCTCACCCCATTCTGAATCTAATAATCTGCTTGAATTACCACTTGATGGAACATCCGAAACTGCAAAACGAATAAGTGGTTCGCCTAATGGAAATGTATCGGAAATGATTCGATGCATTTCGAAAATACCCTCGAGACACCATGACCAGATTGTTTTCTTACATGATGCAACCTGGAAGAGTTTTTTTTCAATTTTGTAAAGCAGTTTTACCCACATTTCTCTTCCCAAAAATCACCAACCGTTTTGATTTTAGATCCTTCTTTAATATTCAAATCAAATTGTTCATTTGACAAATCATTAAATTTCGAACTTCTATCCAAAACTATGACTGTTTTCGAAGCTTTCGGTCGCATTGCTTTTTCATAATAACTCATCTAAAACATCAAGTATTTGAGTTATTCAAAATCATAGATAAATCAACATGGTTTGAACCACTTTTCGAAAAAAAACAAAAGAACAAAACAATTTGTAAATACATCAATAAATATTCATGGCAAAAATTAGACCATTTTTGTTGTATAAGTAGTTTTGTTCAACATTTGATCAACCAACAATTTTTGGTGTTTCCAATAATTATGGCGGACTGGATCCAAGCTGATCAAATCTGTGTAAAGCTGAAAAAATTCATTGATCGTTTTTGAAGAAGAAAAATAGTGCAATCACCTGTTTGGCTCTTTCAGCAGATTCGACAGCTTCGATTTGTTGATCAATTTTTTCAAGCATTATATCAGCAATAAAGGCAAGCTAAAAATTAGATAGTTTTGTTTTCAGAAAATGATAAAATAAAAATGTACCAAAAATGAGCTTCTTTTTGTTTCTTCGGTTCTTTCATACAAATCTTCAACAAACTTCACAACTCCAGTATCAGACAATATTCCATTTGACAATAATAATCCAGTCAAATAATTCCATGCACTTTCATTATTTGGCATTCCTTCAATAAATCGTTTTGCCAAATTGATTTCAATATCAATCGTCTCTTTATCTTCAGTTTTGTCAAAAATTGTCAACAAAAAATAGCGATAATTGTATGCTGAATTGTTTCGTGGATCTTCTAAAAGAAGACGAAGAGAGAATGACATTTCGGAATCCAACAGATTTAAATTATCTTTGAATGTTCGAATAACCCATTGACGATGTTGCCAAGCATGATAATTCTTGTTTTCATCTTGAATTATATCACATGTGAAATCGAGTTCGTAAGGAGCTGAATTTTCACCAAGCCATTCAACAATTACTCTTCGATGATGCCAAACTTGATAATTTTTTGGAGTTTCTTCGATAATTCCATCAAGATATTTCATCTCTGCGTTGAGATCAGAATTGAGTTCTTTCAACACTTCTCGACGATATTGCCTATAAATACATCGTCAAAAGGGACTCATCATTATTTTTAGAAATGCAAAATTGCAATTCACGTTTTTCGTGTGATGAAATAATTTTATAGCGTGAACTAAAAAAATTGAACGGGTAAATACTATTGCAAAATTCTTGCATTTTCGAAAAGAGAAACATTGCATCTCTGGACAAAACTGCCATTTTCCTGGTTAGTTTCCCGTTACTTTACAAAAAATAACTCACCATACTGTATAGTTAGCTGGGTTCAATCGAACACAATCCTCCAACAATTTCAAAACTCTCTCCGATTTCTCCTTGATGATCAGAATCGCTCGGAAGTATGCAAAAACATCGATGACTGCAAATATTTTATGATATTTCAGAAAAATCAATTAAAACTAACAATCTTGCGATGCGGCGATTTTCACAGCCGATTGTTCTTCTTTGCTCGGATAAATTGGTGTAATATCCTTCCACTCCTCATTATCTTTGTATAATGTTGAAGAATTGATATATCCTTCGTCGGACATGCTGAAAATGCTGAAAATTCGACGGGAAAACAGAAAAAAAAAATAACAAAAATTTCGAACGTCCTGTGTGCAATTGTGCGTCAATTCCGCAAACACTGCGGGTCTCTTGTCGATTTACGAGAATCCAACTCGACTTTTTCGTTCCTTTTTTGCACCCTTCTTTTGCTTTCTTGTGGTTTTCAAGAGGTTCTCACGAGAATTGAACTTTCATAGAAGAAATATGGAGGAGAACGATGTTCGTAATATGGGCCTCGAACAAATGAGTGAGTTTTATATTCTATAGTTCAAAAGGAAACCATTTAAAACATTTAAAGGACGTGAAAGACTTATGCTGGCGAGCGAGTTGAAATCAATTGAATCACAAATATCCGATCTTGCATTCAACAACTATGGAACTTACGCTGACGCAGGTCGTGCAACTCATGATTGTTCAAAAACTTTCGGAGAAATGCGAGACAAAACTGTTGATTTGTCAGGCCAAGCGGATGAGTTGACACAAGCTTTTTCAGACTTTCGAACTAAATCTAAAGTTCTTGCGGCTGAGCAGGAATTGACAAAGAAGGCTTTAGATAAAACAAATCCAATTTGGGAACTTTTATCATTACCAAGTGTAAGTTTTTATCTTTCTAATCATTCTTTTCTTTAAAAATTCGGTTTTTTTAGAGAATGGATGTTTGTATTCGCGCTGGTTATTACGATCTCGCCTATACTCTAACCAACTATGGAATGCAACTTCAAAATCAATCAAATCTCTACAAAAATCCATTGATCAAGAAAGTTGCTGATCGATTAGTCGAAGCTCGTTCTTATCTTCTCGAAGAACTTTTCAATAAATTCGCGGGACCATTGGATTTGGCTGAATCTATTAAAGTTGTGAATAATGTTAGAAAAATGCCATATCTGACTGCAAACCAATTGAGAATTGCTGTTTTACAACATCGAGATATTTATTTGGATAAATTGATTTTGGATATTTCGGTAAGTGTTTTTTCATGACCATATATAAAATAGGTCCCCCGAGTCAGTTCTCAAAGTTAAGGTCCCTCCTTGAAAATTTTCCGAAGTTAAACACCTTCCTCACATTTTTGAGCTAATTTTGGACAAATCTGGGAATTTTGGTAAATTATCAGCAGAAAATTGGCCAAGTTAGGCACCCTTCCCTTCAGATTTTTGAAAATGTTAAGCCCCTCACCCCGATTCTGGGGACCCATTTTATGTATGTTCATGACTTTATTTTCAAATTTCAAAAATCAACATTTATTAACTTCAAAATAAAAATCAAATCAACATTTTTCAACAACCAAAAAATAAGATTATTTCTTATAATTGTCTCCGGAAACAATTCTCAAATATTCTTTTCCACTGGGAAGTGGAACAATTTTCAAATTGCTGTTATCTCCTCCACACAATTTTTCGATAACTTCTTCGGTTTTCAAACCTGGTTGCGCAATTACTGGTTGACCAGGAATCCAATTGACTGGAGTTGCTAAAGGTGCTGTTGTTGCAAGTTGAACACCATCAATCATACGAAGAATTTCGCTAAAAAGATCGAAGGAATTTGATTTGATGAAACGAAACTTGAAACTCACTCAAAATTTCTTCCAAATGTTGCTGGATACAAAATCTTGGATTTCAATTTCTTGTCGGGTCCAAAAAGCATAACAGCTCGAGCAGAAAGCGCAATTCCTTGACAATTAATCTCATCTGGATCAATCATTCCCAATGCAACATTGATGGAACGATCAACATCGGCGATGATTTCGAATGGAAGATCTGAATGAAATAGAATTCGATTTTTAAATTTATTGTTAGAAAAATTGTGAACGTTTCACGATTGTTTACTAATTATTTTTCTAAATTTTTCGAAAATGCTCACCGCTTTCAACTGCATCTCCAGCAGCTCCTTGTTCATTTCTTTTCAAATATCCCCAAATATCTTTTGCCCAATTTCTATGCGCTTCTGCCGAATCAATACTAATTGCAAAAATGTGCACATTTCTCGCCTTGAATTCGTCAGCTCTTTTGAGTAATTCAGCTAATTCTGTTGTGCAAACTGGTGTAAAATCAGCTGGATGTGAGAAAATCATGAGCCAAGAACCATCAGGAATTGTTGAATACAATTGCTCATATGAGCCCAAATTTGTGGAAAATTTGAAATTCGGAACTGTGTCGCCAAGTTTCATTTTTCAATTCAACTCTGAAAAAAATGAAATTCATCATGAAACAAATTAAACATTTTCAGGGAAATTCCGATTCAATAATTCAATCAATCGAAATCTACCGTACTTGTATGTATGACACTTTGGTTTTATATTTGGCTGTTTTTCCGGAAAACGAAGTTTTGAGAAAAGATGTAAGTTTTTATTGAGGAAATTGAAAAGAAGCTGATTTTCTAAAGAAAAATGAATTTTCTTATCAAAAAAATGAAGGATGTTTTGATTTTAGAAAAGGGGAATGGGAAAATTGAACAACATTTCGAAATTGATATTTTTGAGATTAAAAAATATCAGATTTAAAAAAAATCGATTCAAAACAGGAGGAAAAGATTTGATTTTGCAGCCACTTTCTGATCCACGTTGGGAATCTTGGCCAATTCTTCCACCTTCTTCAATCTTATCACAATGGGCCAATTCAAATATCAAACGATTGTTGGATTCAATTCAACGAGCTGATATGAAATCAGCTATTGATTTTTCAACAATTTGGTCAAAATTAATGACAATGGCTGCTTCTTTTGGTAGAATGGGAATTGATTTTCGACCAATTGTTACTCAAAAATTGACAAAAATTATTGAGAAGCGATTTAGAATAAGTGTACAAGTCGCGACAAATCGGTTAGTTTTTGATGGAAGTTTTGGGGGAAAACTATCAGAAAAGTGCAATCTCCAAGAGAAGTACGAAATATGTAAACGCACATGAAGAAATAGAAACGCGCGGGAAAATGAACATAAATCAGTAAATATTTCAAAATAAGCTGATGATTTGATTTTTTTTTTTGAAAGCCGACTCGGAATGCTTAAAATTTTAGAGCTCATTTCTATTTAAAATTATTCAGAAAAATTGCTTATAAAAAATCGAATAGTTTCTGTTTTTCAGCCTAACCCAATCATCACAAGATATTGTAATGATCGGAATTGATCCATCATCTCTTCCACAATTCGAAACCTCTCCTGATTCTCCACCAGTTCCATCAGCTGAATTAAGTTTGTGGGATGATTTGACTATTTATGCCAATTTTATTGTTGATGCTCTAAATGGGTTGAGATTCATTTTGAGTCCAATTTTGGTGAGTTTTAATTTTTTTGCAGGCCTGAAACCTTGGATTTCATTTTAGATTTCAACTGTTGTTTCATCTCTTCGTGATTCAATTCGCTCGATTTTATCATGGCTTTCAAGTTCTCATTCAAATTCTGCCAATTTCTCTCGTGCAATTCGAATTGTTTGCACTTGTTTGGCACCGTTTTTCGAAAAATGTGTTGCATTTTTCTTCCCGCCAAAAGTTGTTATGCAAATTTTTGGATCGAGTATTAGCAAAGAGCAATATGTAAGTTGTTTTTTTGTTGATTTTATATTTCGAAAATCGGGTTAATTTCCAGCTTCAAATCATTGAATTTGATATTGAAAAGTTAGCAGCATCTTGCGATTCGGCAGAAAAAATTGAGGAAATTGTGAAACCACTTTTGACTAAAAAATCACTTGCTGATTTCGATTTGGATCAAGTTTTGATGAAAAAGAAGAAACCCGATTTTTTCCTGGATCAAAATGAAGAAATTTCTGGAAATCAAGCGGAAATTCAAATTCAAAAGCCCAATCAAAATTTACCTGCGATTTCCGAATCTCACGAAGAACATCATAATGAACATCACATGGAAAGTTCGGAATCTCATGAAAATTTGAGATCAAAAATTATTGTTCCGGGAGAAGGTTCTACGCAAAATTCTGGATATTCAGAATCGGCAGAAAGTTTAGTAAAGAGTTCGGAATCTCAAGAATCTGTAGAAGTTCCAGTTGTAACAACAATATCTCAAGAATCAGATAAAGATAATCAAATTGAAAGTTTGGAATCGAAAGTCTACGAAAATCAAAAGAAGAATGTGGAACTTCCTACGAAATGTTACGATGTTGAAGAAGATCTTTCATCTAAAACTTCGGAACTTCCAGTTCAACCTCAAAAAATTGAGAAAGTCCAAGAAGAGAAGACTTCGGAATCTTCAGAAGCTACTGATGTTCAAGTTGGATATTTGGAACCCATAGAAGATACTCCAAAGTTCGAAGAGGAAAATTTATGGAAAGATTCTGAAGATCTAGTACTTCCAGCAATACCTTCGGAGTCTGAAGAAACTCAAGCTGAAACTGAAGACCTGGAAATTCATGAAAATCCAGTGACACCTTCGGAATCTCATGAAAAAACTGCTGAATTTTCAGCGGAAGAGAATCCCTGGAAAGAATTCGAAGTTCAAGTAACACCTTCACAGTCTGAAGAAACTCAAGCTGACTCGGAAGATCTTGAACATCCAGTGAAAATTTCAGAATCCCAAGAAAACCCTATTCAAATTCAAGTCGAGAAAATCTCCTGGAAAGATTTTGACGTTCCAGTAACACCATCACAATCTGATGAAACTCAAGCGGATTCTGAAGTTCCCGAAAACCCAATACAACCTTCAGAATCTCAAGAAACCCAAGAAGAATCAGAAATTCAAGATAAACAAGATGCTGAAAATCAAGGTAAGATTTTCAAACTTGATCCAAATAAAATGTTTTGTATTTTCAGAAGGTTGGGGATGGGGAGAGGAAGAAACACAAAGAAATGAAGAAGAATCTGAAGAATGGGGATGGGGTGAAGATGGAGAAATTGAGGAAAATATAGAAGAAGATGAGACTGAAATTCCGGCTGAAATTCCAGCAAAAACTAAGAAAAGTGGAAAAGATGATTGATTGATTCAGAAAATGTATGTGTATTTATTTTAATTGAAATGTGATGTGCTTTTTATAATTAATGCATGAATTATTGAACTAAAAAATGAACAAATAAAAACTTAAAAGATATCAATCTCTAATCATAAACAGAATAGAGTAGACTTCAAAAATTCAAATTCAAATTTAAAAAAATCAAGCTTTATTATTATTAAATAATCAATAAAAATCTCTCAAAAAATTAATTTAAAAATATCACAGAAAAAAAGCAGCAAAATGTACAAAGTTTAGGGCCAAACACTAAAAAAGAGATCATAATTTTTTGGATCTTTCACAAATTTCTTCTAAATTCCACCAATTTCATCCCTTTCGTCTGAATTTTCAGGTAAATTTCCACCATTTCTTTGAAGAAGTTCCTGTAAAAATATTTACTTTTGAAATGGTTGAAAATTTGAGTATAAAGCCTAAAGCCTAAAAACACGGAAAAGCTCTATTTTTGGCAAAAGTTGGTTATCAATGGAGCGCGATTGACAAAAGGCAAAATTTTAGAATGATTTTTGAAGAAAAAAAAGTTAGATGAATAAGCTCCGCCCACCAAAATAATATTCGTGGAATTTTTTCAGCTTACCATTTGAATCTAGAAAATTAGGAACAAATTGTAACTTTTTTCAACAAATAATTTTTCAATTTAAAAATTTTGGGATATTTTTCACAATAACGAAATTGAAAATGATAAGTTTTCAGCCATTAATTTAGAATTGTCCTATGTAAATTCGGAGAAATTAAACTTATAAATGAAATTCACATTTCTCAAAATCACATCCGAATTAAACGAAGGTTTCGAAATTTCTGAAGCCTTTTTTTTAAATGAAAAAAAAACTCACAATTTCCTCGGGTTCAACTTGTTCACCATTTTGCCCTTTTCGATTATTTTCTCCACCATTTTTCATTTCTCCTTCTTCTCCTTCTTTTTCATTTCCTCTCCATCTTTGGGCAATTCCTCTCCAAATACTTCCAGGCAATCTTTGATGTTCTCGAATCATCGATCGAATCTCTTTCTTGATTGTTTTCCGAACTTCTTCCGGTGTAACCGTATCAAAATCGAAATATATCGGTTTTCCCAAATGTGTGATCATTTTGACAGGAAATCCACCATAAATTGGGCAAAGTGGCGCTTTGGTTTTCTCGTAAATCCATCGGAAAAAGCTTCGACCCCATTCAGGAGTTCGGAATGATTCGCGACAATTTTCGGTGAACATTGGAATGACCGGCTGGAAAAATGTGATTTTGAGGTTCTGGAGCTCAATTACTCGGCTCACAGGCATACTTCAATGTGCCGAAAAATGTTCTTTTCAAATTTAAATTTCTTACCGTTTTACTATTTATAATAACTTTAGCAAAACCCAATCTCTTTCCCCATAAAATATCATAAACATTTGGATCCGAAAACAATGCTTCTCGAACTCCTCCCGGTGCAATACATAACAAATTGCCTTCTTGCAATTCTTGTGTACATGCCTCGACAGTTCCAGCTGTTATCGAAAACATTTTACAAAGTGGCCGCCAACCGGGAATTTGAAATATGAATTTATCGCCAACGCAATGAAGTGAACGATTTTTGTGGATAACTAGTTTGGAGATTAGATAATATACATCGAGTGGAAGACATCCATGATAATAAATGAAAAGAGCTGGTCCCTCGTCTGGCACATTTTCGATTCCTCGAAGTTCGTAACCTGGAAAAAGGACAGGGTTTACGGGTTGGATTTTTAATAGTTATGTCTAAAATTTTCTGATTTCCAGGAGAACATATTTTTAGATTACTTAAAAAAACCAATATTTTTTGATCTGAAAATTCGAAAAAGTCGTTTCATATTTCCACGTTAATTTTGATTCCTCGAAATATTTCTAGACCCCCAGGAAAAAAATTTAAAAAAATTGTAATTCAATTTTTCAAAAAACAGATTTATGTTGAAATTCAAATTGGATTAAATTTTTGATGTCAAATTTTCAAGTAATCCATTTTGACCAAAACTTGAACGAAATCTAATTTTATTGTTTTTTTTTAATCAAAAGTGTAACTTCCTGTGTTGCAGAGCATTTTTCACATATGCGCTCTACTGATAATCATGTGTTTTTTGTGAACTTTCAAACATTTTCCAAATTTTCTCAAATAAAATATAAATTTCACCCGATATCAAAATGCTTACCATGCCAAACGTGTCCAACACCATCCCAAAACGTGGCAATTGCCATTCTTGCCCCATTCCAATAACTTGTATGATATGCTTCACGAATTTCATGTCGATGCCCATAAATATGCACAAAAATCACACAACCATAAATGAAAAAGACCAGAAAAATTGGGAAAATGAATAGAATTATGAAAGGTAGAAGAAGCCATAGAAGATACTGTAAATTATTGATTGAAAAACATTATATTATATGAATATTGTCATTTTTTATGATAATTTTTGGAATTTCACATTGAGTTTGGGTCAAGGGGAAGAGAAAATCTAAATTTTTCAACTTCAAATCTCATACCTCTGGATCAAATTCCAAGCCTTCAAAAATTCGCTGAAGCCATGTCAACATATATAGTAAAATAAAACAGAAATACAAATAAATACAGAATGAATATAAAAAGAAAAAGGAAGCAGGAGCCAAAAAGAGAGAAAGAAAAGAGAATTAGAGAAAAACAGAAATGAAATATAATGAAGAGGAGCGGTTAGAGATAAGAGAGTGCAGAGAGCACAAAATTGGAAGCTCGGTTTTTTTTTCAATTTCGATGGCTATTTTTCAGCCGGAAAAAAGTGAAAGTGCTAACTAATAAAATACATTTTTATGTGCCAAGAGAAAATGAAATGATTGAAGAAAAACTGGTTTAAAATTGTATGAAATTCAGTATAAAATCTCGAATTTTTCACAAAGAAAATATCAAATCATGAATTTCCTTCAACTTCTCATTGTTTTCGCAGCAATTTTCGCCACAGTTTTTGCAAACAAAAATCAATCTGATTATGTTGAAAGAGTTCCAAGAAGTGCATATTATCATGCTCCAAGAGGTAAGAAATATAGTGCTGATTGAAAAAATTAATAATTTTTTTAGTTGTTCCTCAACGCCCTCAATATTATCAAGCTCCAAGATATTACAACAAATATGGATAATTTTTGAAATTTTATTTCCAGAAAAAAATAAAGATTTCGTAATTTTCATTTCAAAAAGTTCAACTGAAGTTTTCGTAGCAGAAAACTTTGAATTGTCACGAATTTTCGAATTGACGTTTGGATACCTCTTTTTGAAAATTTTTTTGTCGGAAAAAAAAGCCCACCTCAAAATATTCCCAATCAATATAATCAATAGCCCACGTGATCCAAATCAATAATACTTCGATGTGCGGTTGCATAAATTCGGGCCAACCAAATTCTGAAAATTTCATTCCAGATTAATTTTCTAGATAAACTCAAGAAAAAACATACCGTGTAATGCTCGTATCCATTCTGAAATGGCCATTTTCTCCAAGTCGAACCCGTCTTTTCTTCTTCTGTCTAAATAGAAGAACAATTTGATTTTGCTGAAATTAAAACAAAATACTTCAGAGGTATAATAAGTTAGGATCAATTAAGAACCTTTTTTCAATAGACAATAAACATTTCTCAAAAATCTCTAAATTTTATTACAAATTCTCCTAATTATCTTCTAATTTATCCTCATCTTTCCATTTTTTCGTGTCAAAAATCGTGAAAACTCCATCATTCAAATATAATCGAACTTTTGCCGTTTCAAAATCTTGATTCTCATCGGGTCGAATTGCTAAAACATCCATAAAACCACAATCTAATTGGCCAGTGACTGGAATTCGTAGCTGGAAAAATGAAAGTGATTTTGCGAAGGAAAAGAGGATCATTTTTTGCAAATTCAACTTTTCTCTTATTATTTTAAGGTTCGAAGAAATGTTCACAATCTGCTAGCTTTCAAAGATTTTTTGTTAGAAAATATGAACTTTTACCTCTCTGAAAGAATCTATAGGATCTGAGCCTAGATTTATTTATTGTAAAAAAATTCAATTCAAAAAACTCACCCTACTCTTCATTTTATCAACATAATTATGATATCGATCGGATAATTCAACAGTTCCAATTTGAATTGGTGCACCGATGGCTTCCTAAAAAATTTGTTAGTTTAATTTTCTCCTTCAAAAATTTCAAACTCACTAATGCTTTTGGATGTTCCATAACAATTCGGAGTCCCTCATTATAATGTGGCAATTTTCGAACTTTCCACTGCACCTGTTTTTGAGCCAAATATAAACCCGTTGAACCAGCAACAAATACACCAGCCGCCAATTTCACCAATGTTGCATTTTGAACCATCTAATAGCTTTTTCTTAAAGTTCTAATTGTCAATTTGAAAAAAAAATGGACAAAAATCGCTGAAAATTGTCAAGAACCCGAGTTTAGTATTAGAAAAATTTACTATTTTCGTCTAAAATAAAAATTTATGATGATTTATGTAAAGTCCATGCACAAGTTTGTCCAATTCCAGCCATTGATACAACTTTCCATCCCAAATCTTCCAATTTATTCAAAACTCGACGGGGTGACCATTTTGTGATATATTCCTGGAATAAAATTTTGGGGAAATTTGGGGGAAAAGTTGAAAAATGTAATTCTCGGGTTGTGGAATTTTTGTATCCGGTTTTTTTTAATACTAATTGAAATAACAGAAGTTAAATTTAAAAAAAAATAAATTCTTTGGTCCAAAATTTTACTTGAAGTTCGTACAAACCAGAAAACTGATAATTTCAGTTTTTTAAATCATCTTTCAACAAAAAAAAACGTTTTTTTGTTAGATAACAAAAAAACAACAAAGCTAAAAACCACTATTTTCATGTTTTTTTTCTCTGCGTCTCTTTAGGAAAGCATTTAGTTGAAAGAGATGTTGGAAATATGTAGAAAAACAAAGCAAATAAATAGTTTTTCAAGGTTTTTTCGATCAATAACAAAAATTAGTTTTTTTGTTTTTTTTTTGGTTGACAAGACAAGGAAATGGGATTTTCTTATCAAAAAAATGAAACAAAAATAAATATTACACACCTTTTGTGTAAAAAGTGTGAAAACGGAACAAATAGAAAAGTACAGTTTTTAAGGAAATTTTTTGAAAGAATTTTTGAATTATTTTCGGACGGGGAACTTGAAAAAAAAATCCGACATGTTTCGCAAAAGTCAAAATTTTACTATATCTTCACGACCGGCACAATTTTTTTTAATATGAAAATATCACAAATCTCAGTAGATTTCTAGATTCTCCCTTCCCTTTTCCCGCATAAACCCTCCAACTAACCATAAATTCATTTCCCAATTGCTTGGTCAATTTTGCTTCTAAAATAGCCATTAATTCAGCATCACTATCTCCATCTCCAACCATTGTTGGTCCACATTCCATTCGAATTTGTGTTGAAATTAATAAATAAGGCATTTTTTCTTTTTTTTTCACCAAAATATTTTTCACCTACTTATTTTTTGACCCAAAAATCAATAAGAAATGATACAAAAACCGGTTTCTTGACAATTTTTAGCGATTTTTATTGTTGTTTTTTGTATGACAAAAAAAAAGAAAAAAGAAAGATAAATCTTGGGGACTTCAACCATTGTGAACAATCTCGAGAAAAAAGGTAAAATCAGATATACTTTATTTTTTCAACAAAGAAGAAAAACAATAAAACAATTTGCTCAAGCTTCAATCGGATTCAAACTCAAACCTTCATCTTCGTTGAAAACCGTTTTCGCAGTGATTTTTGGGCCAGATTTCAGCCATTCTTTTTTTCTCCTCGAGCAAGGCGTTTTGGATTTCGATTCTGAAAATTAATACGGTATTTTGGGAGATACTTTAGTTTATTCTAGCGAAAACTAGGGAATAAATATTGCACGGTACATTTCAACCAATCACAACTATAATTTCAAACAACTTCCGCAATTTTCAGCAGGTTCCGAAATGTTTTTTTTTTAATTTAAAGAAAACTCACAATTTCTCAGCCTTTTCAACATCTTGTTTAGTGATTTCAGGTAAATATTCACTCCAAATAACACTATTTGTTGGTTGATCAAAAACAACTTGAAGACGTTGAGTATTGACCAATTCCTCAATAATATTCATAGTTTCTTCATCATTTTTCAATCCAGCCAATTCTTTAATATCTTCCAATTTAATTGATGAATATAATTTTGCAACACTAATCACACTTTTCAATCGCATCTCCATACAAATAAGTTCGGCCAAATTCAAATTCTCATCTTTTTCCAATTTTTGGCGATTTAAATTGATAAATGTTTCGATTTGTTTATGCGTATTTTTTCCACGTTTGAAACGAACTTCAAGCAAATTTCGAAAATCTGCGTTCATTTTTGTTTTTGCCAATCTCGTTACAGCTGGTGATTTATCATTTATATCATTTACATATCCATTTATCAAAAGTGATACCAATATATATTTTTTATAGGCTTCGATTTGAATGTCTGTTGCATGATAACTTGGAATTGAGACACAAGTTTCCAAAAGAATTTGAGCTTTTTCGTAGTTTTTCTGAAAGAAATGACACATTTTTAGGTTAAAAAAATGTTTCAAAACAAAACCTTCTCAATCAAAATCATTGCTCCATAATAAAAATATTGAAAAACGACTTTTGGATTGATAAACGGGTTTGGTGGAGCAACAGCCGCAGGTGTGGGAGCATTTGGTTTTAACAACATTTTTCCTCGCAAATCTTTCTCGAAGTTTCTTGCTCGATTTGATGATCCCTCGATTTGTGGTCCGCCGGATGAAGTTGAAGATGATGGATCATCGCAATTTTGCGATTCTTCGTTGTTCTGAAAACGGAGGATTTATAATTTGGAGTATTTTGGTGAAAAGTTCGATTAAATCATACTTCGACTTTCAATCATTTCATGATTTATTAAAAAAAAACAACTTATAAACTTTATTGAATGAGTGTTTTGAATCTGAACTTCGTGGCGTCAAAAAATGCCTCACCTCATTCACAAAACTATGCGGAATATCATTCAAAAAATCTTCAACAACATCGAAATTTTTGGTTCTCAATGTGCATGCAAAAAGTGCGGCATGACAACTTGTGATATATTTTGTTGATTCTTCTTTGGGAAAAAGTTGGCGAAGAGCGGAAATCGCAATTTCTTCACCGATTCGTGGTTCGTTCTTTTTCTCAAGACAATAAGTAACAATATCACGGAGAAGAGGGAATGCTGAAAAAAAATTGTTGTTTGAAAAAAATATTAGAACGATTTTAAGGAATAGTAGATATCAGAATCTTCTGACTTGAATCAGGGGGGTTATTATTTTTGCTCGAAATTCGTTTTTTTTCTAAGATGTCGACTAATAACTCACTGATTTCTGGAACCATTCTCAAATGTTTTGCATTCAATTGTCTTCCATCCAAATAATGTTTCAATAATTCGACAGCTCGATCTGTTCCAACTTCATAACCTGCAGAAAAAGCCCAATTTTTCAGTTCAATTTCAAGAATTTCCAACTTACACTTTGCAAAAGACATATCAAACAATGTTTTGATAGCTGATAACATTGCAGAACTTCCAACAGCCGGATTACAATGCAAAAGAAAACTTTCGATATCTGAACTTCGTTTCTCGAAAATATCTCTGTATTTTCTTGCGATTTCAGCAGCTCGCGCACCGGTTTCTGCAAAAAACAGAGTTATTCTCCTCAAATTAAATCACAGAAATATCACAAACCATCCTCTTTTTTGCCCAAACAATTAATCAATTCACATAAGTGTTCCATTGTTGTCACATCATTCGGCAAAGAATTCGAACTACTTGAGAAAAATTTGGCAAATAATCCCGACATTTTTCTGAAAACTTTATACATTTTGTTTTTCGTATAAAAATTAGTGCAAATTAAGAAAGAAGAATAACAGAACGACAAAACAAAAGAAAAACGGTTAAGACGAGTAATATTCTTCGTCATTTGGCGCCAAATTTTGAGCATCATCATAAAATGGAACTTTGTCCAAAAATGTGTGCATTTTTGTCATTTGCACATTCATTTGCTCGAAAAGTTGTTCAATTATTTTGTCCGATTCGATTTCTTCTTCGGATGTGAACTGAAATAGATATTTACATTAGATTGTCTAGATTTTCAACAGTAAACTTACTGAACCTAATCCTAAATCCACTCCAGCTCTTCGCTCTTTTTCAATATCATGAATCATCAAATGAGTTTTTGTTACATCTTCATGTGCTTCTTTCACTCGACACATTGCACTAACTTGTGGCTCAGCAAGCCAACGCATTTCTCCATTTCGAAATTCTTCCAACAATTTCAGCATGCTTTTTTCTTCAAAAAACGTTGAATTTTCTTGTGTTAAATTTTGATTTTCTCCAGCTTTTTCTCCAGTTTCACCAGTAACTAGAGTCTCATTCATTGTCAACGGATCCCATTCATATAATTCAGCACCTCCTTCATGTCCAAATGGCAAAAAAGTATCGGATTCGAACCATTTTTCCTCAACTTCTGGGCTTAGTAATCTGTCAGGTCTATTCACTTCTTCGGCGAATGCGATTTTCTTCTCGGGTTTTGTTGTGAATCGATGGAAAAAATTGGATATCGAGTTAGCGGTATCTTTTCGTTTTCTGATTGGTTCCTCCAGAATTTTCAACACTTTCTTTTTCTTCTCCTTTTCTTTTTCCTTATCTTTCTCTTTGATTTCTTCATCCAATTCTTCTGGAGCGATATAAGATGAAGACAGTGTTGCGGTATATGATAATTGATTGTTAGTTGCAACACTTTCTTCATCAATTTGACTTACAGCAACTTCAACGGACAACGGATCCATTTTCAGAGCAAAAACAGGAAAAAATAGAAAAATCGGAAAAACAAAAAACAAAAGTAAACTACGACGCTCCGCTTGCCTAGTGTTTAGTGAGGCGGTAATTTGAATTTGGTTTTTGTTTCTTTTCGACGTTCAACAACGTCTACAGTAATCTTTCATTTATGATAATTAACGATTCTGAAGAGAAATGAACCAAAACCTTGAAATTTAAATAAAATTCACGTGAACAATAAAATAAAAAAGGTTAGAACGTTCATAGTAATATTCATTTTGTATTTTATTTGTTTTAAAAAGTATCCAGAAGAAATAGCAATATGAAGAACATTATCGTAATTTCGATTTTTATCATAATATTGAGTTGCTGCAAGGCAAATGATATAAATCCAAAATGTGAAACGAATAAAAGAAATGTGACAATAAGGAATGAAAATAAGCCAACAATGTTGATTTTTGTTATTGGATTCAAAAATCCACAAAGTGAAAGAGTGAGTTTGAGAAGAAATATTAAAGTGGGAAGTTTTATTTTTCAGGCAGCCAAGGTGTATTACCTGATTCAACAAGTGTATTGTTCAATTCCAAATGTGAGCGGCCTTGATTATGGATTGATTTTATATCCGAACACTGCTATTCAATCTTTCACATCTTCAGACTTTCCAAACACATTGTTAAAAGCTCAAAAGAGTGGGTGATGTTGATTTGCTATTTATTAATGAGAACTGAATAAATTACAGACACTGATATCGCCAATTGTGAAAATTATAAAGAGAGTCTTAAAAATGTTGGTTCACAAAGTGCATTAACAAATTATAAACGCGTTGAATTATTTATTGTGATGGATTCTGATGTTGTTTGTGATTTCTATACAGAATTCAAAAGCAAAAACTTGGATTCTAAATTTCGTTTCAATGCGATTCGATTCGATTCCAAAGTCATTAATGGAACTTATTCTTTGAATTATCCAAATATCGAATCGATTAATATTAATGGTCAGTTTTTATTCATCAAAAACTTGAATTCAAATTCCAAATTATTTCAGAAACGAATGCATCTTCTGAAGTCAAACTCGCTGCCTTCAATTTCATTGGTGATATTTTTGGAATTCCTCGATCGGAAGAAGAAGAAGAAGAAGTAGTAGTAGTGGAAGAATATGATGGTCATCGAACAGTTGAATATATTGTGATTGGTTTGATAGTTCTTGGATTTCTTATTGGTGCAATTGGCATATTTTTCATGGTTCGAAATTCGAAAAGAAACGCGAGAATAAAAGAGGAAACAAGAGTTGCTGATATTGAAAGAAGAAAACAATTAGAAGTGGAAGCGACGAAGAAAAAAGAAGCATATATTTTGAGATTGTATGGACCAAGAAATAGTGAGTTTTTGAGAATTCTGCAGCTTCGGAGTGAGAAAATTTCAGATGGCGTTCATAAAATCGATCTTGATGATCTACCATCAGAACAAGACGCATATGATGAAGGAAAATTGACACCAAGACCGTCACACACTGAGACCAAAACTGAGATCAAGAAAAAATAAAGAATTTTGGACCCCCAGTTCACCTCAAAAAAATATGTTTTTGAAAAAAAATAACAAAATTTATTTAATGTTTAATCATAAACTTCCACAAATCTTCAACATGACTTGATCCTGCTAAAGAAACAAAAATCGCTGAAATTGCTGGTAAAACCATCGCCGGCGTAGTTTTGGATCTGAAAAAAACGTGGACTTTGTAACAAATAATTTCTGAAATTTTTTAAATTAAAAAAGAGAGAGAGAGAGATCCCATTTATTTTTTTCAAAAATCCAACTAACCTCCAAACAGCAAAAAGCATTGTTAACACTAAACTTCCAAAAATGGCACTGAAAGTAGCGATAAAAAGTGAAGAATCATACATTGATGAATATTTCAAAATCACATTCAAAAATACACCTGGAACCATTATATCCAATGTTGCCAAACTTTGAATATGTCCTTTGGTATCACGTGGAATTATTATCATTAATGGAGCGCGATTGTGTTTTGTTACAGTAGCTGAAATTTTCAAGGCTTCTGGATGGGTTAATTTTCAGAATCTTTAACTTGTTTCGGGAAAAAATTTGGAGTTCTAATTTCACAGCGTTTTTCAAGATGAATGTATTTGGAAAATGTGTAAAAAAAAAATAATAGCTCATTTTTCTGAAGATCAATGTTTCTTCAACAAAAATGTTCAGAGTTACTGTAGATCACATAAAAATTACTTCTGATTTTTGGAAATCACAGTAAACCCCCGTTCGTGAAAAAGAAACTTACAAAGCAAGTCAACAACATATAAAAAGAACAAATCAAAAATAGCCATTCCAATCACAAAAATAACCACAGTTTGATAGCTAACAGCTTGAATCCGCGAGCAAACTACATATATCGAGGCAAACGCCAAAATATCATTTGAAATCCAATTTCCATATAATTCATGAAATATTCCGAACAAAATTGATAACAAAATTGAGGCATACATCATTGATTCTTCATGATAATAAAAATAGAACGCTGAAATTATGAGATTAATTTAAAAAAAATTGAGAATTTGAAGGAAGAAAAAACTTACACAAATGTTGACTGAAACTTTCGAGCATAATAATATGAATACATCCAACGCAAGCCCAAATTGGTAAATGAATTGCGAATAATTCAGAAATTATGTCCAAAAAACTTGAAAAATTATGTTTTTTTTTCAATATTTTTCAATTAAAAAAACTCACTCTAATTTCACAAAAATACGTGGAGTCTCAGCTGATCCTGGGAGCAAACTCATAACACTCATTGAATATGAAAATAAATCAATCTAAAAATGGAAAAATTATAGGAATACTATTATTTAAAGAGACATATATATATACCTCGCCAAATTGTTGATAAACATTGGTTTCTTGAGGTTCTTCATTGCTCAAAACAAGCTGAAAAAAAAGGGTTTCGGTTAAAAAAAAGATTTGTGGGAACGGCTGAAATTTCATGAAAAATTTTCAATTCTGAGGTTCATCTTCTAGTTTTGAAATTCTGGATGAAAATATTTTTTAAATAGAATTTTTTTAAATCGAAATTCAAATTGTCCCCCCTCAAAAATTCACCTTATTTTTTTCCATCGACGATTTTCGACTAGTTTTCTGACTAACAGATTGTGAATAATTCGAAATTGGCGACAAACTTTCCTCAATTTTCGGCACATTTTCATGTTCTTTTTCATTTTCATCATTTTTTTCTCGACATTTTTTCCTCTTCTTCAATATCCGATAAAAGTCGCTTGATTCTTGCCTGAGTATCAAAATCTTCACAAATCGACATTTTTCGACTTGGAATTTTTTCGCGTGAAACTTTTCGAGAATTTAGAGCAGATGAGCTCTGAAAATTTGGATTTTTCATTTAAAAACAGTAATTTTCAGTCACAAACCTTGACCCTCTGAATCTCCAAATTTCGTTCATTTTGTATTTCAACACTTCGTTTCGTTCCCAAATATACAAAAAACAACAAAATCGATAAGATCAGCGGAAAAACAACGGCATGCGTTTTTTCCATGAAAATTACTGTAGTTGTGTCAAGCTGGAAAAGTTTCTTACAGTAATTTTGGAGCCAAAAAATGCCACGTACCTCGAAAAAATAAATAGTTGATGCTCTTCGACATGATTGATATAAAACCACTGATGAAATCACGAGTAAAAAAATTGATGCACCAATTTTTTTGGCGCAATCTTCTTGTAGCATTTTTTCGTGTGAATTGGAAAAAATCTAGGCAAAACTTCTAAAGTTCATAAGTACGAAATTTCTACTTTCTTGCCCAAAAAGTTGAAAAAATACTCTAAAAATCGATAATTGACCACGAGGAGGACAAACTTGTTTACACTAAAGACAAAACAAAAATAAAGAACCAAAAAACAAAACGCGTTTTATTTTGTTAAATTTTACCGAGATAAAAAACATATTTAAAATAGAACAAGGAGAAAGGAGATTCGCGGGAATTTTGCAACAAAAAATATCTCGAAAAAAATGCCGTTTTGGAATGGGCTTTCAGAATTTAAAATTTAAGAAAAGAAACAGTTTTTTGGAAAAAAAAATAAATAAAAGAACAAAAAACGATTTTGGGAGTGATTAAATATAATTATATTATTAATCGCGTGGAGATTGGGAGCGACTGCGGCTTCGTGAGCGAGAACGGCTTCGGCTTCTCGATCTTTCTTCCTTTTTGACTGGACTGCGAGAGCTGCAAAAAATTATGAACTTATTTTTATCTTCAGAATTTTTTCAAAACTTGAGAAAATTCTAATAGAAAACTAACCGAGTTCTGGATCTGGTGCGGCTGCGTTCACGGCTGCGGCTTCTATCACGGCTACGATCACGTCCACGTGAACGAGAGCGACTGCGAGATCTCGATCTTCTCGAGTATGGTGATCTGGAAAATACGAAAATTATTTACTGAAAACTTTAAAAAATATCTCCCAATTCTCTGCCATTACTTTCCAACACGACGATTTTTACGAGAAGATGTGATTGAAAAAATGGTGATTGTGATGGTGGTTGTGGTGTTGAGAAGTAGAAGGGCGTACGCAATGAAGGCGTAGGAAGTGATGAAGAAGAGAAAAAGGAGAAGAAGAAGGAAGAGAAGAAGGATGAGAATAATGAGATGAAGGGAAGATGAGACTTTTGGCGGACGGGGGATGAAGTCCGCTAAAATAATCAATGTTTTTGGTTATATTGTGATTATGAAGGGGGCTAAATTTTTTCTTATACCTAATCAATCCCAATTTTTTCTCCGAAAAATTATTAAAATTTCGAAAACCGAAAAATATTTTTAAACGTGAACACTCCTCGCTGTTCAATAGAATATCATTTGAACAATTTTCAATAAAACAAACCTATCACGATCTCTGCGATCTCCTCTGTCGCGTCCACCTCCTCGGCCGCTCATTTCTCTTCCATTTCTCGGGCGTCCGTGTGAAAGCTCAACTCGAGCGCGAACTCCGCAAATTCTCCTATAATACAATAACATTATTTTCGAGAAAACATGTAGAAATAAACTTACGATCCATCCAAAGCTTTCACTGCATCTTCAGCATCGTGTCTATCTTCAAACTCGACGAAAGCGAAACCTGGTGGTCTTCTGGCAACCCAAACTTTGCGAATGCGTCCGAAACGATAGAACACGTCTTCGATTTCTTGAGATGTGGCATCATTTGGAAGGCCTCCGACATAAATTTTGGCGTCTCCCATTCTGCAAAAGATGGAAAACTTATATTTGAAGATTCGACAGAAAAAAACGCACAAGAGAGTAAGAGAGAAACGGCGTCCTATTTGAGTACAGCGAAAATGGTGAATTAGCATCACATTACATAATACTTAATGCGATTTGTGAGGAGATAATTCCCTTTTCAAATGAAAATTGAATCGGAAAATATATTTTTTCCGTGAGAATTCATAATTGTGATTTGAAAATGAAAACTGCTCGACAAGATTAAGAGATTCGCAAAACTTCATAAGTCAAAAAATGGAGAACCGAAAAATTTGTCAACGAACTTGAAAAGAATCAAATAAAGGCATTATTCATAGTTTAAAATCTACTTGAAAAACATTGAAAAAGAATGTTTTCATATTAAAAACTTTCAAAGTTTGAAAATATTCAAAAACTCCGTTTTCTCTAGTCGATGAAAACCATTGCAAAAGTAATTTTCGCATGAAAACTGTGGATGTTTGTCACATCACAACTCTCCTATCAAATATCAACATCAATTTTTCACTAAGTACACCTGCAAAACCACAAAAACTCAGAAAAAAACGAAGAGAGAAAATGAAAAATTGAAAAGACAAACGCACACGCGACGCGAACGCACCGCCCTGTCAATAAACTACGGTAACACACAAGTCAGCTGTGCAATTTTTTTGAATTCTCAAAACTTTCGTTATGAAACCTTTATTTATTTATTTATTCAATGCACAACAAAGAGCACAACAAAGTGCGAATAAACAACACGTTTCTGCTGATGGCCCGCCACCGCCTCCATGTCCTCCATGATGATGATGACAATCCTCTTGAACACTGGAAAAAAATCAAGGAAAAGTTTTTTACCGGGGGTTTAGGCTTACATAACGGTTCTAGGTTGTGGTTGGGCTGTGTAAATTATAGGTTGTTGTTGCTGTTGATAATAAAAAACTGGTTGGGCTTGGCCTGGCTGGGGATATTGCTGAAAAAGAGTTTTAGTGTAAAAAAACACAATTTTATGATTTGTTTTCCAGACGAATCCTTTTTTCAATTTCTCAATTATCAGTCATAAGGATAAAATATTTTTCTAACAATAAATTCAAAATAATTTTCAAAAAATCAATATCTCATTGAAGAATGTTTGCTCTCCCGTCTTTGAAAAAACAATAATTACTGTGATTATTAATGATTGTGAGAATAAAATATGAAGAAAAAACACACCATTCCATAAGGTGGAGGTGGCGGAGGTGGTTGTTGCATTATTTTCTGAAAAACATATTTTCACCGGTTTTCAACAATACAATACGAAAAATCGTGTTCAAACCATTCTATGAGGCGGCGGTGGCGGAGGTTCCATTATAATTTTTTATACAAAAAATTAATGAGAAGCAAAGGAAAAAATTAAAAGAAAACCCAAAGATGATAAAATACTCTCTTATCATTTTTCGTTTGAAATTCTTACCAAATATGAATCACATTTATTTGCTCAAAAAAAGTCGAAGAGCATGACGAAAAAATGTGACGAGTATTTCTGGTGCCAGGCTGGAATTTCGAAATTCTAATCTCAAAAATCAATAAATTATTTATTCTAAACAACAAGTCTATAACTGCTAATTTTTCTCCGTTTTGTGTAGTACTCTCGGAAAAGCCAGAACGCCAAAAGAAACGAGAAGGTGCAAATCAAAATATATGAACAAGTTATCATGAATCGATTTGTTTCCAAACTTTTTTCGGCTGCTAAAATTCCAGAATTTCGTGTGTGATAAATCATTGCTCCAAGAGCCCATTGCATTTCTTCGCCATTTATTTCCAAAACGCTCTGAAAAAAAAAACAAGAGTTCAAGAGAACATTATCCGCAGAAAACCACAATTTCAACGTGGGGGGGGTGAGGTAGCTCAGTGGTAGTGGTTGGCTGCTGGCGATCTCAGGGTCACGGGTTCGATCCCCGGTGCCCGCTCCTCCTCGATCCACCCAGTCGTAAGTGGGTAGTAGTTCGCTACGCAAGGTAAATCGGTCCCCTGCGGCAACAGGGTGACTTAAATTCCCCAAAATGGCCTATAGACGTACACCACCCGTACTCCGTGTCCGAATCGTCTGATCCGCAGTGTCCTAATAGGCGCTCGAATACGGATCTACCTTTACCTTTACCTTTACCTTGCTGAAAAAAATGACGACTTTTTTTCAGACACAAAATATTGATATGAAAATTATCCAGAAAATTATAGAAAAACATTTTCAAAATTTTCAGAAGGCGATATTTAAAATATTAATATTATTATCGAGATCACTTTCCAGATTTTCCGTGAGAACAAGAAAATCCGAAAATTCCCAATACACGACTTGTTTGAATTATTGAACCTCAAAAAAGCACCAACCTGAAATCGATTATTCTCCTCATCAATTTCAAATCCATCATGTAATACAGCAATTGTCCAAGCTGCTTTGAAACAATTAGTTTCCATTCGACTTTGTTCAATATTTTCAAATCCACCATTTTGTTTTTTTCGTTTAATTTCTTCCCAAGATTCCGTACAATATTCATTAATATTTTTGACAAAATTAGTATAATTATAAGTTCCATGCGAACCTGCAAAAGTTCATAAAACCAATTTTCTGACATCAAAAATTTGTCACGAAGTGTTAAATAACAAAATTACGGTATATTTTGCGTGTCAACTTTCTCTTTCATTCAAAAATTCAAAATTCTCACCAAAATTCCTAGTTGTATACCAATATTCGCTGAATCCAAACATTTCCATTTCAGCCAAATCAATTCCTTTCGGCGTTTTCAAATTCAAAAGACATTTTTCAGCTCCACATTTTTCATTTCTCACCGAATTTCTCACTTTTTCCACACATTTTGTCCATTCTCCACTTCCTTTTGTCTCTATTTTCAGATTTTCTGGAGTTATTCGAACTTTTTTGTAAACCTTCTGGACTGCATGGATCAATTGGGGACAACAGGGATTTTTCATATTTCTCGAGGCCTAAAAAATCCAATTTTTAGTGGCTTTAGAAAAAAATTACAAAGAAAATTTTATTAAGAATACCGTAATTCTAAAATTTGTTATCTAAAAATAAACTCAAATTTCTAGTTAAGAACGTTTTTAAGAAAAAAAACAAAATTTTCCGCTTTTCGAGCGGAAAATCATCTCAAAAACATGATTCTCTCAATTTTATACAAAAACAGATCTAAACATTTTTTCTAAAGATCATCAGAGGATTTTCAAATGATACCTTTAGAGCTTGTGTCAAGTAGCCAAGCCTATAAAGTCTAGTTCTCAGGTGGCAGGACCTAGATAGTCTAATTATCAAAGAGACTGGTTTTTAGTCTCCAAGTTTGATTTTCAAACGTGTTTTATATAATTGCTGTAATTTTAGCTAACTCCCAACTACAGTAATCCAAAATGTTTGTTAAAAATAAATTCAAAGTTCTTGCTCAAAAATTTTGAAAAAAAAACAAAATTTTCCGCTTTTCGAGCGGAAAATCAAAGATTTTCCTATCTGAAAATCTAACAATACATGATTTTCTAATTTTTCAAAGAACAATCTTTGGAAAATTGAAAGAAAACATTTTAAAATTACAAATTTCAGTACAGACTTACTTGTCTAAATTATCAGTCATTTTTCACCGTATTTTGTGTGTTCTCTTGCTTTTCTCACAATTAAGAAATGTTTGAAAAACATGTCAATTTTCTCTTTTCAAAAATCTCACCTTGATTGGCTCCAAAACCCAAAAACGTGGCTGAGAAAATTTGAAATTTGATAATTGGACTCAAATTAATCTCGAAAACATTTTCATTTTTCTCCTTATTTTCGCCCTCAATTTCAACAGCAATTTGAACACTCGCACCGCCCATATCAATCATTCCAACTGTTTTTTTCGCCGCCTCATTTTTGGTTCCAAAATTTCCCAAAATATAATTGACTGATATCCAACTGTAGATTCCTTCCCAAGATCCATCAATTATTCGAATATTTTCGGCTTTTATTCGGAATTTTGTGATTGTTTGAAGATTTTTTTGAAGATTTTCAATTATTGCTGATTTTTGACTGGAAATTTGAAGATTTTTAGAGGAGAATTCTGTCAATTATTTAAAAAAAAAAGCTGATTTTTTGAAAATTTAATTCAAATTTCCAAAAAACCTGATTCAGAATTCGGATCAAAAACTCACCCTTCTGGTAATAATCGCATTCCCGCGGTTGCAAAAATAAAAAGCGGAGTTTCTTCAATTTGTTCTAGTGGGATATTTGCTTCTGCGAATGTTAGCAGAGGTTCAAAATATTCTGAAAAAGTAAATTTTATTGGTCTTGGATCTTGAAAATGTTAATTTCAGGGTTTAAAAAATGTCGTGCGACATTTTTTTTGTTTTCAGATAATCATTGGTTAGCTTCGAAAATTTTTTGTTTCGATGAGACTTAGGCTTATTTTTTATAGATTTTTCTTTGAATTTTTATATTTTTATCACTTACCCACAACCTTTTCTGGATGATTTCCAAATGAACTCAAACCTGGCGATACTTTTCTCACCACTGGTTTCCCATTCCTAACTAATGTATCGATTTTCGCCAGATTTTGTGAATTCTCCGAATTCTCAGCAATTTTATATACAAAAATTCGAGTTCCACTTGAACCTGCGTCACAAATCACACCGTATTTTTCGCGAGAAGAACCTGTTTGAAAATTTGAATCTTGTTTCTCACAATAAATCAGAAAAAACGTACCCAACGCGGTTTCCGGTGTGAAATTGGAATTCGATAGAAATATGAATATACAACTTGAAAATATTAAAATTGTGCCAAAAAATAGGGCCAATTTCAAATAATTCATCGATCGATCCAATTTCCCTTCTAAATCTGCCATTTGTTCGAAGAGAAAAAATAGAAAATGAGAATAAAAATAAGAAAAATGAAAATGCTTAGATTTTATCTCCGGATTCACGTTTTTTTCTCATTATTTCGTCTGCAGAAAAAAATGAAAATCTTATAAGAATATTTCAGGGAAAGTGAACAACGATGGAACTTTTAGCCACCATCGCACCATCAACTTCACCAATCAATGAAAATATGTTTAGTATCGTTGAAACAACGCAAATTTGTATTTGGTGTTTTACAGTGCCTTTTTATGTGTTTATCACCATTTTTATGGTGGATGCACAAAGAAAAAGAGCCAGCGAGTTGACAACTCCATTTTTCAAACTTTGTATATCAACGGCGGTCATTGATTTACGTTAGTTTTGGGTGAAAGAAGAAAATAGAAAAAAATTGGAAAAAAAGAACTAATAATTTTTAAAAATAAACGTTCGCGGGAAACAATCGTGGCGAGACGTATTGTTGTTTCATTGTGTGCCTTACTGTATTACTGTAGTTTTTCTTTTTTTTTCACAAAAATTCGTTTTTTTTCACCCGGATCCGCGCGGAGTTGGGGAGTCTGTGAGATGAGTTATTCGGAGAACTTTCAAAAAATAATTTCAGTTATCTTGTTCACCAATTATTTTGGTGTAATGTTCCCAAAACGTGGTTATTTCACAAATATTTATATATTTTTGGATGATATTTATTCACATACATATTTATATATAGCTTGGTCAACTGGAATATGTCAAGCGATGTCAGTTTCAGTTTTAGCAACAAATCGATTATCCGCCATGATTTTTCCAAATAAATATCAAAAAATGTGGCGAAGACTTTGGCTTCCTATTTTGATTCAATTTTTGCCAGGATGTTTGATGGGTGTTCTAACTTTTTTCAATGAAACTCAATTATTTTTGAATAGTAAAGGAGGAATTGTCCCAAAGTTTTTGAAGTTAGCGAAACTTTTATTTTCAAAAAGATTTCCCAAATTTTCCAGCACAAAAATGACAAATGTATATTTCCTAATTGGTGCTGGTTTTCTTTTCCTAAATTGTGTTTATCTAATTTTTGCATACATGTATTTATTTTATATTCTGAGAAAACGAAACAATTTACAAATTTCGAAAAAAGTTTCAACAAATCAGAAAGATTTGGTTAAAAGAAGAGAACGAAAATTATTTATAATGAGTTCGATTATTGGTGAGTTTTGAGGGAAATCCGCAAGTAAAATGCATAAATCTTGAGATTTTTAGTCGGTGTTCAACTAACTGTTTTGATATTTTTCGCCATGAAATTATTTTCGTGGTTCAATTTAACAATTGATGAATTTTATTTATTCTACAATGCTTTGAGGTATTTTTGATAAATCGAAGACGTTTCCAAAAATATATTTTCAACATTTTCAGTGATTTATTCGCAAGTATAAATCCATATTTATTGTGGATATTCTCAGATTCTTTGCGAAAATATATTTATAAAAGATTGGGAATTTTTCGGGGAAAAATTTCAGCCACAACTACAAATATTACGGTTTCAAAAGCAAGTTGAATCGATATTTCTCAATAATTATAACTTATTCATTTCTTATTTTCTACTTAACCTTATAATTATAATTATCAATAAAATGCCATTTCTCACAGCCCCCAAGAAAATAATTTTTTCTAACAATAAAAAACAATTTTTAAATGGATTTATCGCAATTCCCTGTTCAAAATAATTCGACAAACTATTTGAGTACAAATTTTACAAATATTGTTGAAATTATTCAACTCATTTTTTTCTGCTTCACAGTTCCATTTTATAGTTTTATTTTGGGATTTTTGATTGATGCGCAAGTTAGAAAATCGAAAGAATTGAACACGCCATTTTTCAAACTTTGTGTCTCAACGGGAATTATTGATTTAGGTGAGTTTTTTCAATGGATTCAGAATAAAAAATTCGAGCAAAAAATACTTCAACTATTTACGGTACAAAGTCTAATGTTCTTATGAATTTCTGATTGTGAGAGTTCTCAGAGTGAAAAACTGTATCAAAGAAATTTCATGAAAATTGTTTTTTAGTCACTTTATTCGCCAACTATTTTGGTGCAGTTTTCCCAAAACATGGCCTTTTTCTACCATTCTACATATTTTGGGATACAATATATTCTCATTTTTATTTTTATCTTGCTTGGTCAACTGGAATATGTCAATCAATGTCTGTCTCACTTTTAGCAACAAATCGATTATCAGCGATTTTATTCGCAAATAAATATCAAAAAATGTGGAATTCTAAAAGGATGCGAAGAGCATTTGCTATTCAATTTTTTCCGGGATTTTTAATGGGAATTTTGACATTTTTCAATCCAACACAACTTTATCAAAGTGATAAACATGGAATTGTCCCAAAATTTATGAAGTCAGTTTTGAAAGAATATTTCGGAAAAAAAACAATCATGAATTTTTAGTGCAACTTTAACCATGGTATATTTTTCAATTGGTGCATTTTTCTTATTTGGAAATTGTATTTATCTTATAATTGCTTATTTTTATCTTTTTCGAGTCTTACGAAAACGTGACAAACGAGAAAGATCAGAATGTTTCAAAAGAGCAGATATTAGATTATTCACAATGTGCTCAATTATAGTTGCAGTTCAACTAACTATTTTATTATTTTTTGTCATGAAAGTTATTGGAAGATTCAAGTTATCGATTGATGATTTTTATTTTTTCTATAATGCGTTGAGGTTATCCCTAGATTAATTTTTTTGATGCAAAAAAAATCAATAACTTTTTCAGTGACCTATTCGCTAGTATAAACCCTTATTTATATTGGATATTTTCAAGATCTTTGAGAAAATATATTTATTTTCGAATTGGAATAAATTGGAATAATTTGGATGGTGCAAGAATAGTTACAATAAGTAAACACCTTTGAAACAAAAAAAAAATGAAAATGAATGAAAATATTTTGTTTTGTTTGATCAGATGGTTTTTTATTTGAAAAAATATTTTTTGTGATTCAAAAAGAAAGTCTGAATTGATTTATACATAAATCGACTATATTTTATTCATAAAATCGTTTAAAATCTAATAAAGTTCAAAAAACAAACAAACCACACTTAAATATTGTGATAATTTTTTAACATTAGGGCGCACAATCTCTCTGACCTTTGATGACCGCCACCTTTCGAAAAATGATTTGTTCGAAAAAAAAAATTTCTCCTCATTCGCCGCTGATCAATTCAGCAGAATGGATTTCAAATTTTTTGTTCCCTTGAAATAATCAATATATTTCAGCTAAAATCCTGCGGAAGGTCATCAGTTTATCTTTGCCACAAAGTTCAGCAAACTACGAAAGCAACAAATTGGAAAATTGCAACCGACCGTAAACCTCACCAAAATGTTCCCCGTGCCCAAATGACTCATTTTCAAAAAAAAATTTTTTTTGAGTAATCTGGTCCTTTAAAAGTGATTTTTGGGCCGAATGGGTCTCACCACGATGTTCCCCATATCGAAATACCCTTAAATTTCAAATTTCATAAAAATCGATTTTTCATGCATACTTCCTTTAAAAGTCAGCTTCATAATAAATAACCCTTTTTTGACATTAGGTGAATCGGTTAAAACTTTTTAAAACAATTTTTGTATATAATTATTCTGTTATAAATAAAAAATATGAATTAAAATTTTTTCAGATCTCAAGAAATTCCGACGGAGATTTCATATGATGTAGAATTCAATGGATATGGACTGGATGATGATTCTACAATTGAGTGAGTACATCTTTAAATTTTTTGTTCCCTTGAAATAATATATTTCAGCTCAAATCCTGCAGAAGCTTATCAGTTTTTGTTTGCCACAAAATTTGGCAAATTACGAAAGCAACAAATAGGAAGATTGCAAGAAATAATTAACATCATTAACACAGAAACAGCTGATTATATTGAGAAAGAAAGAGAGAAATGTAGATTCATAGAGACGGAAAATTCGGCTATTGCTGGTAAGTTCTTCGTATTGCTTTTTTGCATGTTTGATTTTGCAAAAGTTTTCGGTGTGGTTTCATATTCAAAGAATCTGAATTTATTCCGACCTTGCACGACGAAAAACAATCAAAAACTGAATGGGATTTACTGAATTGGGTGTAAATTCTAAACAAACCCCATTCAGTGTAATTTATTTTTGAAAATACATTCCTTTTTTCGAACTCAATTCAGTGATTGCAAATTTCAGGGCAATTATCAAAATTTTGCACCCCATTTTTACTCCATTCAGTCTTAGCCGTTGATTTCGGTCAAGTCAGATAAATTTTATTCTAATACATTCCATTGTTAATATATTGATTTTCAGAATCTTTTTATAATTGTCTGGCGTTCTTCAAAAAAACAAATCAAATTCATCCGCTATTTGCCGGTTCGAGAGGTTAGTTTGTTTTCTCGTGTTTGCTGTTCAACAAAAAGTGTACTTTTTCAGCATTGTTGGAATCGCACGGTTTGGAAGACGCAGAGCAGTCAAAATTTTATGAAAATATGCTTCGTCAACACATTCCAAATATTAATCAACATCAACAATTCCAAACGTTTCTCAACAACAGCAACAACTCCGTGGATCTGTTCCTTATCACAACCCCAGATATCAAAATCGTGAAGGTGGTGAAAACGAAGAACCACGAAGAAATTTTCGTCATTTTGTTCCATCGCGTAAACAGCCAGAGGAAGAGACCAGTCACGCGACTCCTCGCCGTAATCTCAAAAGAATTGCCCCAGGTAAATGGAAATTTATTTATATTTATATATTTTAAATTTTTCAGAATCAATCAATCCATGGAATTTCTAATTTTTTTTTTAATTTTTTGTCCCAGCATGTAAGTTCCCCCCCCCCTCAACACATATTTTTTAAAACTAATTTCACATTCACGTATCTTTTTTATTTTTTGTCTATTTTTATTTTTTTTTCTTACATTTATTTGTCCGAAAAAGATCCTTACTCCCCGTGTTTTTTCGTCCAATTACATTTTTATCATTAATTCACATATAATCTCACATATGGGTTTTCAAGAATAAAGTGATGGTGATTTAAAATATGTTTTATTTATGACGTCTTTATGGATAGGTGTCAGAACCCGAAAAGCTGATTGTGAATTTTTTGAAATTTAGTTCTATTCTAGGATGGATTTCGAAATTGGGGAGGGAATTCGAGTCGATTCACAGATCGCTACGATTTTATACATTGGAAAAAAAATGATGGATATGGTGAACAAGTTTGGGGTGGAGTTGAATGGGATGATGAAAAACGAGGGAAACATGATGGAATTGTCAAAGGATTACGGTATTTTCAGAAAAAAATTTGGAAGCTCTGGGTATTTTTAGACAGGGAAATTTTTTGAGCCTGTGGATTTTCGAAGATTTGGAATTTTTTCAGGATGTAAACTTTGAAAAAAATTCGACCGAATTCTATTTTTATGAAATTTTGTGAAGAATCATGGTTATTTTTGAGAAAACAATCTGAAATTTCACTTTATTTTCAAAGCAAAAATGAAATCATCATGATGATTTAATCATGGTTTTTTGTTAAAATTTTTTTTTTAAATGACCATGTTGGATTTTTATTTCGAAAAATATTTTTTGTGATTCAAAAAGAAAGTCTGAATTGATTTATACATAAATCGACTATATTTTATTCATAAAATCGTTTAAAATCTAATAAAAATTCAAAAAAACAAACACACCACACTTAAATAAGAACATCGAAATCGCGGAGTTCTTCATCAGCTGGTAAAGTTGCGGCAACTCTTTCTCTCGCAATCAAATCGGGGCTAATTAGCGGAAGTCCAGCTTTTTCTCTTCTCGCAATTTCCAAATGTGCCTCTCTCAATGCCCATTCTCTTCCCATTGGCCAATCTGGTCGAGCAAACATAATCCAACAAGTGAACCATGTTGTTAAAACTGTGAAAAGAAGGAATGAAACTTGATGGAAACGAGTCCAATCTTTATGTTCATCATGAGCAACTTGAGAGAACCAAATCCATTCGCGACGCTGAAATAAGAAGATTTTAGAAAAATAATGAAATCAGAAAAAGCAAAATTCCAGTTATTGTTTTACAAAAAAATAATCTAACAACGAATCAAAGCTCTAAAAAATAATCACCATTTTTGCTCCTTGATCTTTAGCCAAAGGTCTTCTCCAACCATCTCCGAACAACCAATCCAATCTTCCACCATTCAATTTTGGCCATGGGTTTTCATAAGCATAAGAATCGCTTCCTGGCCGATAATCATCAGATTTTCGCTCAATTTTAGCGTCTGAATGAGAATGTGATGAGGCGAATCTTCTGGCACCCAAAGAACGATAGGTTAGAATTGATTGACTACGACCAAGTTGGAGAAGCATCTGTTGAAAATGGCTATTTTTAGTTTACATAATAAATTCATTAACAAATTGAGAAACGTTGTGAAAAAAGACAATATTTATTAATTTTTCAAAAGAGAAGCTAACTTTATTTTAAATGAAAATTCAGCGATATAAAAAACACTGTATTACAGTCCAAGATTTTCTCTAACTCTTCTAACTATTTTCAATAATTCTACAACGGATTAACCCTCTGTAAAAACCCAAAAACGTTGAAAAACGGTGGAAAAAAAGAAAAGAAAAATCGGGCCGGCTAGGGTGTGCGACAGAGCGCGTTTTCTCTTTTTCACTTTTTGCAGAGCTGTGTAGTTCTCTCGGACAATACTTAAAGTTCCCTAAAAAAATCTAAAATTCGTGTTTTCAGCATGGATGACTTTTCTTGGACAGCTGGTGTGAGTAGAGATGATGCACAACGATATAGTCGGCAAATTCTCGTCAATGATTTTGGTGTCAAAGGTGACGTATTACAAGAAAAGAAAATTATGTTTTGAGAAATTCAATGTTTTGGAAAAAACAATTCTGGGTGAAACTCCATCGACGTGACATGACGCAGTTCTCAGAATTAATTTATTGGAATTTGATTTTAATTTAATTTTCGTAAATTTTTCAGCTCAAAAATCTCTGCTCTCCTCAAAAGTGCTTATAATCGGTGCTGGTGGCTTGGGATGTCCTGTTGGAATTTATTTAGCTGGTGCTGGAATCGGAACAATTGGAATAGTTGATTATGATACAGTTTCAATCGATAATTTACATCGACAAATTGCTCATAAAGAATCAGAAGTTGGAAAAAGAAAAACGGACAGTTTGAAAAATTCCATTCTCGCGCTCAATTCAAGAATCTGCGTCGAAATTCACGAAGGAACATTTGACTCAAAAAGTGCAATGGAAATAGTGAAAAACTATGATATAGTTTGTGATTGTTCTGATAATGTTGCAACTCGATATTTGGTTAATGATGTTTGTGTTATTCTTAATAAGACATTAGTTAGTGGAAGTGCTCTGAGATGGGATGGACAATTATCAGTTTATCATTTTGGCGAAGATTGCCCGTGTTATAGATGTTTATTCCCAAATCCACCAAATCCAGAAAATGTTACAAATTGTTCAGAAGGCGGAGTTCTAGGGCCAATTGTTGGAATTATTGGAAGTTTACAAGCATTGGAAGTTTTGAAGATTTTAGGAATGAAAGAAAGTTAGTGTTTTTTATTGAAATCCAATACTAATACTTCAAATTACAGAAAAATACGTGTTATTTCCAGGTTCTTACGCTGGGAAAATGTTTTTATTCAATGGACGCGATGGAAAAACTCGCACAATTGGCTTGCGAAAACGCGATAAAAATTGTGCAGTTTGTGGTGATTCACCTACAGTAATCAAACCAATCGATTATGTTCTATTTTGTGGAGCTGGAGCTCATGACAAAGTTGAAAATTTGAAAATTTTGGCGGATTCTGAAAGGATTTCTGTGGAAGAATATCGAGATTTGAGGCGAATTGAGAAACCGATTTTATTGGATACGAGACCGAATTTGGAATTTGAAATTGCTCATCTACCAGAAGCCAAAAGTGAGTTACGAGAAAATTGAGTTTGTTTGGATTAAATTTTTTTTAAAACAATTTTTCGGCTCAAACATTTTTATTAAAAATGTTATAAAATTAAAATTTTCAGACATAACTCTATCGGAAGTCAAGAATCTGGAAGCCGAAAAAATCGCTCAAACACTCGAAGCCACCAACAATCGTGATATTTTCGTAATTTGTCATCGAGGAAATGATTCACAGCGAGCTGTTGAGATTTTACGTGATAAGTTTGCAAATCACAAAATTCGAGATATAATTGGAGGATATGATAAATGGGCAAAAAATATTAATCAGGATTTTCCAATTTATTAAAGAAATAAAAGTTTGTTGCAATTTTAGAGTTGAGGCAAAAAAGTCTAGAATTTCCAAATTTATTAAAACTTGTGATCATCAAAAATGATATCCGAAGGAATTTATGCAATACTTGTTGGATCCGAAGAATCTCTTGGAACAACTTCTTTCCAAATGAACCAACAATTGAAAGCAAATGAAAATACACAAACCCAATTAGCGAGCTGAAAATAACATTTTGGAAATCAGAATTTTTCGAAAAATATACCACAGAAATAGCTAATTTTCCATTATTGACATCTCTCGAAGTTAATTGAACAGTTTGATTTTTCCAAGGTTCTTGTGCAAAACGTTCTTTCAAATGCTCTTCGCTGAAAAATTAATCAAATATTTTTGACCCCTAAATGTCAAATAAAACCTTGTGGCATTTCCAATTGTATTTGATCCAGCCCACCAAATCGAAGAGCAAAAAAAGAATAAAATGAAAAATAGAGCAGTGATTCCCAAATCCAAAAGTGCAATTCGTTTTTCGGATTGATATTGTGACCAAAAAATGACATAAACAAATGTTACAATAATAACATAGATTAATGAAGAAACATTGACAAAATAGAAAAAACCGGCGGCGCTGGAAAAATAAATATTTGGGTGTGAAATTTAGATAGTTCAAATCAGTTTCTCACCCTCCAGCTGAATCATCAGAATCCCACAAAGTTTGTTGAGCATTCGAACAGTTTTTGATTTTGAAGTTTGAAAGTCTAGAAAATTTTGAAATCTCAAATTTTCTGATATAGAAAAACTAACGAAAAAGTTGCAACCGATGCTTTGATTGTTTGATTATTTGGTGGTGTTGGACAATCATAATCAAAAGTTAGTCCCCAACTATTTACAGCCGCAATTGCAATTATTATGAAAACCTGAAGAGAAAAATATTTGGAAAAATGCTTTTTTTAGAAAGTCTCATAATTTTTCACAGGTAAAAATAACAATTCAAAAATTTAGGATTATGTATCGCAGAATTCAAAAAAACCCAAGTAAATTATGACGTGGCAAAGTTAATATTTGTGCAAAAAAAAAACTTCTGCTTGTAAAGTTTTTTTTTTTCGAAAATTTGTTAAAATTTTGGCACAAATTTTCTTGCCAGTTTTGTTATTAATGATCTCGGGTCAAATAGTTTATTTTATGAGTAAACTTTTTAGGTTTTTCTCTTTTTTAAAACTTTTTTTCACTAGAAAATTCACGTGGTTTTGGAAAGAAGTCATTTTTAATTGTTCTAAAAAAATCCAAGTCTCTCGAAAAAAAACTCACAAATTCAATAACCCTTATAAAACCAAGTGGATATTTAAAAGCCGACAAGTTCAAATGAGCCGGTAGCATTTTTCTGGCTGAAAACTCTGTAAATCTTGCGAAAAAGTAAAGTTTAAGGGAAAGGTGGTAAACATAAATAGGTTATCATTAAAAAAGTAACATATACAGAGATAAGAGGAGAGAAAATCGATAAAAATAGTGGAAAAAAAGAGAAAAAAACTGACAAACAAATCATGTTTATTCAGTTCACCAAGTCAGAAAACACATATTAAAAAAATGGATTTTTGGGGGGAAAAATGAATTTTTCTAGGTATAAAATTTGAAGAGCAAATAAATCTTGATGAAACTAAAAAATATTTTATCTGAAAAAAAGTCTGAAACTCGAAATTTTCTTCTGAAAAAAATCTAGCTCGATCCAATTACAATTGTCGAATCTTTGAAGGAATAGGCTGGCACATGCAAATTCAATGGAGCTGGGCCCTGGAATAAAATAAACATTATCAAAATTCTTTTGATAAGAAAAAAAATGGAATTTTTATTCTGAATTATTTTCATTAAAATATACTATACACACATTTTTGTTTGGAAAAAACAAATTAGAAAAACATATTTCATTGAAAATATTTTGAATGAAAAATTACAATAATTCTATTTTATTATAAGAAAAAGTAATACATTTTAGGGAGTTTTTTTCATTTCAAAAAAAAAACTTTCCAACTACAAGTGCGAAACTATACAGTTTCACCTTAACTTGTAAAAGAGAAATTGAGAGAAAAATATCGATTTTTCATTGAAAAATATGGGAAAAATCCAGTTCTCAAATAACAAAAAGACAGTTTGAAAAATGTTGTCAAACAAACGTTTTTTTTCAGGAGTCGCTTCCTTTGTTTGGTATAAAAATCAACATTAATGAAACATCTTTGGAGAAAATTTGATTTTTTGAAATTGGAACTCTGATTTCAAGAAGTCTCGATATTTTAATTTATATTTTATGAGAAATTCAGAATAATAATTCAATTTTCTGTATCAGAGGCCATAGCTGTTCACCGTGTTTCAGCTAATCCTTCAATTTCAAAAATCTTCAAAGTCACCCGATGCGAAATTGAAAAATTCAAGAAAAATTGGGAAAAATACCAAAAAACTCGCAGAGCAAGGATGTATTCTCTTCATTTACAGAACTTGTATATCCGAGTTTATTTTTATGGTTTTAGAACAGAAGAAATTGGAATCCATCAAACCCAGAATATTTTTCTCAATTTTGGTGCAAGATGCAATTTTTTTTCTTAAATTTTTATTTGAAAATACCAACCTTTCTGATTCTTCCGGAAGCATCGTAGTGAGAACCGTGACATGGACAATAATATCCTCCAAAGTCTCCGGCGTTAGCTGAAAAATTGAACTTTCAGACAAAAAATATGAAAAGTGAAGAATTCAAAAGAAGGATAACTTTTGATTTGTTTTCTGTTTAATTTTTGGATTTGAATCTGAAAAACTGAGAAAAATTCTAAATCAAAGTTTTCGAGATAAATGCAATTTTATGCCAATTGGCCAAAGTCATGAGATTGAAAAAAATCGAGATTTTCAGAACGGCCCTCGAATTTTAAAAATTAAAACTATTTAAAATAACTAACCAATTGGGACACAACCAAGATGGGTGCATACTCCAATAACAACAGACCATTCATCTTTTTGGACACGTTCGTCATCGTGTTGTGGATGACGCAAATCGGCGACTGGGACAGCCTTTTCGCTAAAAAAATTTGAATTAATTTTCTGAGAATCCGAGAAATTGATATTTTGCATAGATACAAACATTTTTTGTGAAAAAATCGATGATTGAATAAATTTCTCAAACTCACGCAGCAATTTCCTTCTTGGTTCTATGTTTAACGAAAACTGGCTTTCCACGCCATTCATAAGTTTTAGTTTGTCCTTCTGGAATATCATTCATATTGATTTCAATCGAAGCCAAAGCTCTTTGATCAGCAGCCATTGCTTTGTAAGCAACAAGAGTTTGAACAACTTCTTTTCCAGCCCACAACGACAAAACTCCTCCAGCTCCATAATAAAGAGCTGATGAAAGAGCACGACGTTGATCTTCAGTATCGCGAGCTGGAACTTGTGGATTCTTTGTTGAATCACGACGATAAGCTGAGAAATCCGGGAATGAAACATCGGTGTGAGCGAAACGGCGGGATGTCACTGAAAAAAAAAATTTTTTGTAACTTTTATGAGAAAATAAATATTTTTCAATTTCTGGATAGGGTTCGCAAGACCACGGAAATTTATCTACTATATACTAATTGGAAACATTTTTGCAGAGACTATGTAGGTGATTCGTTCTTTCAAACTTTTTCATGTAAAAAGAATGATCACGTTTTTAATAAAAGGTACACGTCTCTCATCTGATCGTTCTATTTTAGTCAGAGAGGAACATTTTTGGTCATTTCTAGATTTTAGTTTATTATATTAAAATGAGACTAACAAAATTGGTTGAGATAGACTTAATGAGTTTTTCGGGAATAGTGTCTTAGAATTGAAATGTAATCACAACTTGATTACTGGAGGAGATAATACCAAAAAATGTATTATCTCCTCCAGGAAACTAATTGAAATTTCCAATATCAAATGTTCAATCACTCACCATTAATTCCCTTAACAGCCAATCCACTGGCGTAGACTCCTGATGTTGCACGGCTTACAGCATCTTGACGAGCTTCAGCGGTTGTGAATTCGGCTGGAACTTCACGAGCAGCGGTGACAGTGCTGGCTGGAGAAACAGCGACAAAGTTGGTGTGTGGTTGAGCACCAGTGATCTGAAAATATTTGGATTTAACTTGAGAACTAAGATTTTTATATTGAAACAAACAACTTTTATTGAGTAATCTCTAAAATTTCTGTATCAGAGGCCATAGCTGTTCACCGTGTTTCAGCTAATCCTTCAAATCCAAAAACTTCCAAAGTCACCCGATGCGAAATTGAAAAATTCAGGAAAATCGGGAAAAATACCAAAAAACTCGCAGAGCAAGGATGTATTCTCTTCATTTACAGAAAGTGAAAAGGTGGATTATTTTGAGAGTGTTATGAAGTTCTCGAACAATGTTCAACATTTTGAAAACAGGTTTAAATCCAAAAAATTTAAATTCATCGAAATCTCATTTTCGAACTTGAAAACCGTGATAATGGCGAAAATCTTGCTTCTTCGAAACTTTGAACTTCTCAGCACAAATTTTCCAACATTTTTTCAAATTCATAATAGTTTTTCACAGTTAGAAAACCGTTTTTCCTCAATTTTCATGGCAAATTGAATTTTCTTCCTAATTTTACAAAATTAGCCAAAACCACCCATTCAAAAAACTTACAACTTTAACCGCGAATCCTCCGGATCTCGAAAGAGAAGCCATGACCCAGCTGATATCTGAAAATCACAAAATATGGCTGAAATTCGAAAAAATATGTGAATTTTTCAACGGGCGGACTCTCTCGCTCATAGAGACGCAGAGAAATCAGAAATACGCGCCGCACCGAAAAGAGTTCAACAGAGCGCAAATGTCCGAGTCTAAAAAAACGGATATTTTTTTCAGTTTTGTTTTTTTTTTCGTCCTCGGCGCCGTAATAATCTCAGATTTTTTTCACACAAAACAAAAAAATGACAAACGGATACGCCAACAGCTGGTGCATTTGCCGCTACTTTTTCAAAAAACACATTTATTTACGAAATTTTGAAAAAATACGACAAACTTTGCAAAAATGGTGAGTGCTTTTTTATTTACTTTTTTCCCAGATCAACAACAAAAATACTTTGTTAATTAATCTATGTTGTAATAATGGCCCAACACATGCTTTCATTTATTTTCATTTTTTCCCTATGATTTTTCTAGTCTATTGAAGAAAAAAAAAGAAATTGGTTTCAGATGGGAAGTAAACGCGGACGTGGAGGAGGTGCCAATTCGAATCAAGAAAGAACCCGCACACATTTATTTTTTGGAAAGAAATCAGAATTGCAACATCAAAAGCGGAAAAGAAGAGCACAAAGTAAGTTTTTTATTTGAATAATAAAAAAAATTAAAATATAAATTTTCAGACAAACTTCACGCTACAATCAAAGATAAAAAAGACGAGATGGTGCAAGCTGGAACAAGTGAAATTGATCCACTTCAATGGACTGGAAATCAGCGAGTTTTACATTTTGGACCAATGGCTCAAAGAGATCCCTATTTTTATTATTATCCAAAAGGTTGGGATATTTTGTATCCAGCGACGTTTGGATTTTTTCCATATAGAACTTCGTGAGTTTTTTTTAAAGTTTACCTGAAATTATTTATATTTCAAATGAAAAAAACGAAGAATTGAGCTTTTCTCTATTTATTATCGCTTAAAATGATTACATAAAAAACATAGAATTAATGAAAGTTTTCAATTGATCGCATTGCAATAATATAGGATTGACTGAAATGAAATTCCAAATATTTGCTTTTCAATTCATGATTGAAAGGCAATAGAAAAATTTGAACAATTTGAAATGCGTGTACATGTCGCTCCAAAAACGATCTTGCGCACAAAATTCCTTCGATGTAAATCTTGAATTTTCGAATTTGATCCAAAAGTGGAAGTTGCATTTTTTCTTCAACGACTCCTTTATGAATTATTTCTTGCATCATTGAAGTGCAAAGATCGAGCAGAAATTGTCTGACTTGCTAAAATAATTAAATAATAATTTGTTTTAATATTGAGAAAAATTAACTTACGGATTGTTCTTCTGATAATTCAAAGCTTGGTGCTTTTTTACCATCCAACATCATTAAGACACGTTGCATAGCGAAACTGACTGGTTTTTGTGCTGCTGGCATTTTCTAACTGAAGAATATCAAGTTAAAAGAATAACAAGACAAAGGTAAACTGATTTTGTATTGCTCAGAGTTTCCTTTATATAGGGTGTTTTGACTACATGGGTTTGTAGACCACGCCTATTTTTTGTGCTAAACCACGCCCACTATCCCCTTTTTGGTGTTATCATGTGAACATGAGGTGTGAAAATAGGTGATATACTGGGAAGCGTGGCACATAATTTTGGGAAAATTAATATGGGAATCTTTGAAAAATAGTAAGGTGTTAGAGAATATTGAGTCGGAAATTCAAAAGATAAAAGAAAACATAATAAATTTCCAATTGGATTTAGCTAAATATTTCAGCTTGTGCCATACCCGATTTTTTTCCAGAAAATTCCGTGGATCATCGTCGATTATTTGCTGCACTGCATTTGGTTTTTTCCTTCTGTTTGGTGGTCTTTTAATGTCACTTCTCGGTTATAAATATCTTTATACAACACCATTTTGGACATGGGAATATGAGAAAAAAATTCGACCACCTCCAATTCAAATCGCTGGTCCTATTTTATTTTTCATGGGAATTGCATTTCTTCTATTCTCATTTATATATTTTCTATGTACTACCAAACTATGCGATATTTCTCTACATCACACGAAAAAACATGACGATCCATCAAGAGTTACAACAATTACAACACATTATATTCCATCAAAACTTCCGCCGATTTTCGAAAAACATCCATATCAACCTTTGCCTCCTCCAGCTTATCCAGTTTTAGAAAATCGACATGCAAATTCAAATGTTGTGAAACCGCACGATGAAAAGAAATTGTATCCGCCTGTGTGAGTTTATTCAAAATCTCATAAATTTAAGCTATTATTCTCAATTTTAAGCAAGCGTAATTTTGTCATTTCAGAATTCCCGGATGTTCAACTCTAAATTTGCACAGAAAATCACCGAACAATATATTTGTAGCAAGCCCTTATAATACTTTGAGAGCCACAAGTGTTGGAAGGTTCGTGTTTTTTTAAATTTCTGATCAGAAAATATTTAAAAATTGACTGAAAACTTTTGGATTTCGAGTATTCAATAAATCTTTTAAAAATATTTCAAAAACAAATTTCAGATATCAATCTGGTCTTCTCGATTCGAATTCAATTGTCGAAAATAAATTCGGAAGTCGCCATACATCAGTAACAAGTCAAATGTCAAATACACAAAAAAGATCGAAAAGTATGGGACCAGCTGTAAATCGAAGTGGTTCATCGAAAAGTAAAACATCAAAATCGACAAGAAGACGAGAAAATAGTCAAATCTAATCACAAATTTTTTTGTTTAGCCTATGGATTTTTGTTTGAAATAATAAAAATATTTTTATTGGAAGTCATGTGTTTCTTGTTTTTCTAATATTTTGAAGTGCGTTTTGACTAATCGCTTTGATATTTTTCTATTTCGCAACAAACTATTTATTTTTTTATATTTATTATGAAATTTTTGGTCGCCCCTGGAAACCAGTTTTATTTTGTAATTCATGGAGATTTAGCTAAAGAACTTTGATCTCAAAAAATGTGAGGTGTTAGATTCAATCGATTTCTGGCACCAAAAAATCTGATATCCAAATATTTGCTCAAAATAAAAACAAATAATAGTCATCGTCTTGTTTTTTTCGGTTTTCATTTTTTTTGTTAAAGTTTCATCATTTTTTGTTTCAACAATCCTGTTTTTCTATTTGTTGTTGCTGTAATTTTCAATCAAAATGAATTTCGAAATTTTGCAGCTTACTCACATATTTTTATCATTTCAAATATAATGATTCTTATCATCGATTGATTTTGTCGAACAAAAAATAAGTATGTCAACTCGTCGACACACGGATAGTGAAGAAGAACCAGCAACACCAACAAGTGCTCCACCACCAAATAAACGCTGTAATATGGAGGAAAATGGATCAGAGGCTTTCATATTTGACGAGGTATGTGGTTTTGAAAATAATTTTTTAGCTCGAAAATTCGGATTTCCAGCCGAAATTGTCTGAAAAATGTGGCCCAACAATGCGAAGATTTCGAGAGAAACAAGTGAGAAATATAAGTTTTGCAATTCCCGAAGGTTATAATTATGATAAATTAGAATATCTCGGCGGTGGAACTTATGGAAATGTTATGTATGTTTGAGTTTTTTTTAAGTTCAAAAAATCAGGAACATTTTCAGAAAAACGACGTTTAAGCGTGAAAATGGAAAAGAACAAACTGTTGCTATTAAAAAACTTCGCGAACCATTTCACGATCCACAACAGGCTCGGAAAATTTATCGAGAAATCGAGTTATTACAACTAATGAGACATGATAATATTATTTGTGCATTGGATGTCTATTCACCTAATAATTTTGAAAATTTCAAAGATATGTAAGTTTTTCAGAAGAAAAAATAATACAGAAAAAATAACTTGATTTTTGTATCGAATTTTTTTATTTTGTAGATATATTGTTACTGAATATGCTGGTCAATCTCTATTTCGAGTTTTGAAACATCAAAGAGATCGAAGTGTTCAAATTCTCAAAGCAGATCATGTTAAATTTATAACATATCAATTAATTCGAGCTCTAAAATATATTCATTCTGCAAATGTGATTCATCGAGATTTGAAACCTGGAAATTTGGCACTAACAGATGATTGTGATTTGACTGTATTGGATTTTGGATTAGCTAGAACATTGGAAAACGCTGATACAACATTGACAACTTATGTGCAAACACGGTGGTATAGAAGTCCGGAAGTTATTTATTGGAAATTTGGAAGTTATAGTAATTCTGGTGAGAATTTTAATATTTTTGGATTTTTCGAAATTGATAATTTTTTAGCCGATATGTGGTCCGTTGGATGTATTGCTGCTGAATTACTAACAGGCGAACCATTATTCCCAGGAGATGATGCTAATCTACAATATCAGCGAATAACTCAACTATGTGGAAGTCCTTCCGAAGATTTGCTGAATAAAATTGAACGAGATAATTCAGCAGCAATGCGACAAGTTATTCAATCTTATAAACAACACAAAAGACAAGATTTCAAAGAATACTTCAAAGAACACAGACCATCAGAAGACTTGATCGATTTTCTGGAAAAGATATTAGTGTTAGATCCGGAACGTCGGCTGAGTGTTGAAGAAGCAATTGCACATCCATATTTAGCTGAATTCTCATTACCTGATGATGAACCAAGTGCTGGTAGACATTTCGATTTAAATGATGGAATTATGAGAACTGGATCTGAATGGAAGAAAATTATATGGGAACAAATTAAAAATTTTCAACGACTTGAAACGTCGCCAAAAGTGCCACAAGATTAAAAAAAACGAAACTCAGCATTTGACATATTTGTATTTATGAAGCTTTTATTTTTCAAACATCTATTGTTTCTTTATTTTCAATTGGTTTTTAACCGTTCTCACATATTTCACAAGTTTTTTTTCGAAATTTGAAAACTCACATTGTTCCATTTCAGCTTCTCCTATTTACTCATGATTCGCCTACGATTTTCTCAATATTTTATGCTTTAAATGTCAGCCACAGCTGATGGTGTATTTTTTGCCGATTTTGGTCCTCCGCCATTAGAAGGACCACCTCCCGAAGGTTTTCATGAAATCGAATTGAACAAAACTAAATGGGTTATACCACATTGGTATGGAAATTTGAGGCCGCTTGGTGAAGGAGCATACGGTGTTGTTTGGTGAGCTATTTTTTTTTTGAAAATGAAAAAAAAAACATTGTTTATGTTTCACGTTAAATTCATAATTTTTCAAACGTGAGTTTTTGAACCTCATTTCTGATTTTTAGCACTGCTGAATATGAACCAACTGGAGATCGGGTTGCAATCAAAAAATTCTTCCGTCCATTTCAAAGTACAATTCACGCAAAAAGAACTTATCGAGAATTGAAACTTTTGCGCACTTTGCAACATGAAAATGTTTTGGAAATGATTGATGTTTTCACTCCGGATCAAGATGTTAATTTATTAAACAATGTGTAAGTTTTTTTTTTGGTGAAACAACTTATCGAAAACCCATGTGGATTTTCGTTATTCACCATAATTTTATTCCAGATATTTTGTGTCAGTTTTAATGGGTTCCGATCTTCAAAATATTCTCAAAATTCAACGCTTAGGCGATGAACAAATTCAATTATTGATTTATCAAGTTTTGCGAGGTTTGAAGGTTGGTTGATAAGAAAAAAATAAATGAAGAAAAATAACAACAAAAATTTTATACTTGTGTGTATTTTATCGATTTTTTTCCAATGAATTGAGAAAATTCGTCATTTTTATTAAATAGTTGCAATTTAGTTGTAAGAGAGAACCAGTTTTTTTCAGTATATTCATTCGGCTGGAATTATCCATCGAGATTTGAAGCCAAGTAATATTGCTGTTAATGAAAAATGTGAAGTGAAGGTTAGTAGTAACTGCTAGATGTTTTTTTGAAAAATAAATTTTCTTTAGATTTTGGATTTCGGACTTGCACGAGCTGCTGATTCTGAAATGACAGGATACGTGGCAACACGTTGGTATCGTGCACCTGAAATTATGCTAAATTGGATGCATTATACACAAACTGTTGATGTTTGGAGTGTTGGTTGTATTTTGGCTGAATTGGTTTCAGGAAGAGCACTTTTTCCAGGAGATGATCGTAAGTTTATAAAAAAAACATTATTCCTTGAGGAATATGATATTTCTAGACAATTTTATATTTCATAAAATCCGTCTTATCCTCACCCTCAAATTTAAGCTTAAAAAAATAATCTTCTCATTTTTTGCAGACATCGATCAATTGACCCGAATAATGTCAATTGTCGGAACACCAAACGAAGATTTTTGGTCAAAAATTCAATCAGAAGAAGCTCGAAATTATATTAAAAATCGATCACCAATGCCAAGACAAGATTTCAATATGTTATTCCCGTTAGCCTCTCCATTTGCAATTGATTTATTAGAAAGAATGTTGGTTTTGGACCCGGAAAAGCGAATATCTGTGGATGAAGGATTGAAACATGAATATGTTCGAGAATATTATGCACCAAATGATGAACCGGTGGCTGATCAACAGGTAACAAAACTTTGAAAACAACTCGTTTGGGGGAAAATTATAAATTCTCAAAAAAATTAAATTTTTTATTCTCGCGTGACCTTTTTCATCATCTTTTGAAATTTATTTTCCAAATTTTTTATGAATACAATATTTTTTGGAATTACACGAGATTGATCTCAAAATCTTATTCAATTTTTGATCATCAATTTCTTATCTTCAAAAAAACCCCTTCAACAGGAAATGACGTTTTTTCAATCGAAAAGCGTCTTTTCATTTTTCAATTAACCAAAAATTTGTTATTTTCCTTTCTTTTTTTGCCCAAAGAATGCTACAATTTTTTGCACATTTTCTCGGAATTTATTTTTTCTTTTCTTGTATAGTAGAATACACAAGATAATATTACTTTTTAGTTGGTTTTCTTTTTTTATTATAATAATCCTATTGTTTGTCCAATTTATGATATGAGATAAGAAAAAATATACAGGAGCAAAGTACATTATTTGAAATTTCTATAATTGTATTTTTCAGGTCCAAATTGATCCGGCTGAAGAAAATGCGACAACATTAGCTGATTGGCGCGAATTAATTTGGAACGAAATTCGACTTTTCCAATGTTCTGCGCGTCGTTTGAGTTTTGTTAGTTTACACGATGAGTCTTAATATTACAGTACCCACAATGTTTTTATTGATCTCCATTTTTCTTTTTGATCTCATTTATTCATAAATTTATATTTATTTATTGATATCTATTATTTATTTCTATTTCTCCGGTTTTACATTACCGTAATCATATTGATCATATTAGCAATGTTTAAAAACTTCAATTAACGCAATCTCATTTTTAAAGGATAAATGAACCTTGTTCACCCAACACCAAGACCTGGTTATTATGTTGTGGAATTAAATCGAAGTGTTTGGGTGGTTCCCGAATATTATATTAATTTGACACCGATTGGAACTGGAGCATATGGAACTGTTTGGTGAGAAACTTTTTCATTCCTTTTCACCATTTTTGAATTTTCATTTTATGTTGAAAAAATTTAGTTTGAAAAAATTATTCTGAACTTTTAAATTTTTTGAAATAATCAAATTTGAGACGAATTTTGCGAATATTTGTGATTCTTTAAATTTGATGCTTTTTTTCGTCAAAACAATTATTCTACAAAATTTTTATTTATTTTTTAGCCGATTCCAAAAAATTTATTCTGATTCAAAATTAATTCCCTATATTTTTCAGTGCCGCTGAATGCACCCGAACTGGCAAAAAAGTTGCTATCAAAAAATTCAATCGTCCCTTCCAATCTATAATTCATGCAAGAAGAACTTATCGAGAATTACGATTATTGAGATGTATGAAACATGAAAATATAATCGATCTTCTCGATGTTTTCACACCGAATTCACAAGTTTCCGAAATCGATGATGTTTATTTTGTTTCAATGTTGATGGGAGCTGATTTGTCGAATATTTTGAAGATTCAAAGGTTGAATGATGATCATATTCAGTTTTTGGTTTATCAAATTTTGAGAGGATTGAAGGTTTGTATACAACAAAAAATTTGAATTCAATTTCATTAGAATTTTTCAGTATATTCATTCTGCTGATATCATACATCGAGATTTGAAACCTAGTAACATTGCTGTAAATGAAGACTGTGAATTGAAAGTGAGTTTTCAGATTTGAATTTATGGCCAAAAATTTTCCAAAGGAAATCTTAAAATTTCAGATTCTTGATTTCGGGTTGGCTCGTCAAACAGATTCAGAAATGACAGGATACGTGGCAACACGTTGGTATCGAGCACCTGAAATTATGCTAAATTGGATGCATTATACACAAACTGTTGATGTTTGGAGTGTTGGTTGTATTTTGGCTGAATTGATCACTTCAAAAACACTGTTTCCTGGATCAGATCGTAAGAATTTTTAAATTTTATAGCTTCCATATGAATGAAATTTCAGATATTGATCAATTGACTCGAATTATGTCAGTTGTTGGAACTCCAGATGAGGAGTTTTTGAAGAAAATCTCATCGGAAGAAGCTCGAAATTATATTCGGAATTTGCCGAAAATGCCTAGAAGAGATTTCAAGAAACTTTTCGCGCAAGCAACTCCTCCAGCTATTGATTTATTAGAGAAAATGTTGCATTTGGATCCGGATAGAAGGTTTGTTTTGAATTTGAGAAAATATTGAGAAATTCAGTAGTAGGGATTTTTCTGATGAATTTTCTGAGGGTTCAATAATCGACACTAATTCTCATAATTTTGACGTTAAATTTGTATATCAATTCACGAATACTATTTTAAAACCGAAAAGTCGGAATCCGACTGCTTTTCTCGTCCCAAAATCTTCTTTTTTTTATTCAAACTCAGAAATTTTTTTGTACCGGGACAGAATTTTTTAAGCACATTGTTCGAGTACTGTCTATATTTTGTGCAGATGATGACGTCATGACCTGCACAAAATATAGACAGTACTCGAACAATGTGCTTAAAAAATTCTGTCCCGGTACAAAAAAAATTCTGAGAAAATCTCCCATTTCCAGACCATCTGCAAAAGAAGCAATGGAACACGAATATTTGCAAGCATATCACGATGAATCAGATGAACCAGAAGCTGGTGAAATGGATTTAAATGATGATGTTATGGCAAACACAATTGATGAATGGAAACAAATTATTTGGGATGAAATTGCCGATTTTGAGGTATTTTATTTTTTTTGGATTTTAATTTTAGTCTGAAAAAAGTAGAGAATGAAATTATCGAACTTAATGATTTTTGGCGTGAACTTCGACCACAATTAAAAGTGTCATAAAAATTATCAAAACATAAAAATTTAATTGGATTTTTATTTGTAAACATAGCTACTGTCCGAATTTCCTTGTCTCCGAGACTCACAAAAATATTCAGATAAAAACTCTCATAGTTTACATAAATGTAAATATTTATTGATTTTTTTGCAGAGAATTCGACAGGAAAGAGAAAAAAGAAGATGAAGAAATGGAAGAATTTTAGAAGCTTTAAGGTTTTAAGGCCTTATGGATCTTACAATTAGCCCCTACGCCCAAACAAATAAATTTATACAAAAAATCTCACGCTGCTATTCAACTTACCCCAATTTTTAACCCAATTTTTCATGTTTTTCACCATAGGTGCTCTGAATTTACACTATATTTCTACACTTACAAAGAATACATTTATGAAATTTTATGACTTGTGTTAGATTGAGTCATTAATTCTCAGGCTCCGCCCACTTCTTTTTCTCTTTTTTTTTGCTTTTTTTGTTGATAACAGATTCTATTTATTTATCACAATAATTTATCAATTTTGTTTTATTATATTTTTATTCGAAAAAAGAAATTATTTTCACTTGAAGGATGATTTTGCTGATAGTCGTTGGAGTTTTTTCTGCCATTTTTACGTATTTGTGGAGATTGTGGAGTTTGAGAGAAAAGGTGAGCTTTTTTTATTCTTTGAAAAATACCAAATTTCGAAAGCTTTTTTCCAACATTACAAAGTTATGGAAAAAAATGGGAGTGCGTTTTCAAAATATTAAAGGGTTTCAGTTTATTCAGCTGACCTTGTGCTAAATTGGTAAATAAGTTGATTCTTTAATGTTCCTCATTTCAAAAACTTCTAAATTGAGTTTTTCTTCTAAAACCCACAAAAAATGTGATTATAAAACGTGAATAAGAGCTCTATCGTAAAATAAAAGCTCTATCGTACATTTAATTTATTCATGTGTACTTCTCGAGGAATTCATGTCCTAACATTTTTCAATTTCAATCAAACCACTTGAATCAGAAAAACAATGATCATGAGATGTCTTATTTTTTTTGAAACCTTTTTTTTTGTATTTTGGTCAATTATCATGTGACTTTTCTCTCATTAGTTGGTGTCTGGAAAATTCTAAAGAATTCACATTTATCATTTTTTTTCATCGTTCGGAAAGTTGTTTTTATCATTTTTCTCCTCTTCTTTGAAAAATCATCAATTATAAAGTTTTTAAAATAAAAATCTTTTTTTTCCAGCGACAATCGGAACTTCGTGAAATTGTTGCTCGAAAACGAGCGGAACGAGATGAAAGTGTCAAATTTGCACAGAAAAGTGCCGAAAAATTGGAAAAATCAAAGTTTGACCAAATTTCGGTCATGAGTTTTGAGGAATTGAAAGGTTCGTTGAATCTATAAATAAAATTTCAAAAAACAAAAAAAAAACATTTTTTTTCAGAAAATCTTCAAAATGGTTCAATAAGTTGTTTGGAAGCAGTTCGAACATATTATCAAAAAGCAATTTTGGCAAATAAATCGACAAATTCGATTTGCATGTTTATTTTGGAATCGGAAAAATGGGCTGAAGAATGGGATGAAAAAGCGAAGAATCAGGAAGGTTTTGTGAAACCTCCACTTTTTGGAGTGCCATTTTCGTTGAAAGAATGTGTTCCGATTAAAGGATATGATCAAACAAGAGGATTTGTGCAAGATACTTTTAGGTAGGTTTGGAACTTTTTTTGTTTTAGAAGAGTACTGTAGCAACTTTATTCGGGATATTCCTGACAATGAAAGACAAGTTTTCCACGTTCTAACCTTTTTCTAAATTTCTTTACAGTCCAGTTTCAAATCAGTTTTTTTCAAGAACTTATTTCTCAAAAAGTTAAATAAATCTAAAAGCACGTTATCAAAAATAATATTATTGAATTAAAAAGACGTGAGAAATAAAAAAAGTAGGTCAATTGACGTGGATTTAAAAACAGTATAGGTAGCCATGTCGTCAGTTGCGATGCGTGTGAGCGACACGTTTTTAGAAATGAAAATTTGGAAAATCCAATGGAAAATATCGAGGTCAACACGCAACGCAGAACCGCATCGCAATTGACGACATGGCTACCTACTCAGGTAGCAGCTTGCCCATGGACTGCCCCTTACTCTGCCCTTAGAGCAGGTTCTAAGGGCTGCATTGGAGCATTTAAGGGGCAATCTTTGGGCATTTCAATTAAATAAGGACATCACGTTTTAAATTCAAATTAATTCAAGCCACGTAAAAAAAGCATTTTCACTAATTTTTCTTGTTTCCAGCTTGGAAAATTGAAGCCTAGGCCCAAAATCGGGCAGTTTGGAGGGGCAGCCTTCATCAAAAAGGAGCAGCCTTCAACTAAATACAAGAAAACATTTTTATAAGTGTTTTAGAAGTAAAAGTTTTATTAAACGAAATAACATGGAGAGATGCACTTCAGCTAGATCATACTCTGCTTCTCATTGTAAAATCAAATTTTCACATAAGTTGATAATTTATTTTTCGAGCATTCGTGAATTTTCTAGGTGATTTGACCGAACTTGTATAATTCAAAGCTGCAACGGTTGAAGCAGTTGATCCAACATAACTTTTTTGGGAATCGGATAAATTTATACATGTTTTGGAACACATCTAATTCATAAAAATCCATTTAACAATCACAGTGATAATCCCAGAATCCGCTCCACTATATTTGAATTGATAACTTGCTTACATTGTTTTTCTTTTCTAATAGATGTTTGAGTGTCATCGAAATAGTTTGATTTATTCGCTATTTTCTTGGCTAACAGAATATCATAAATGAGAAGAAATTCCGATTTCGAAACAGGACACATATCAAAACTAGGTCACGTTATGAAAAATAGCTATAAATTTATTTTTCCCATTAAAAAATTTGCCCTTAGGGCTTGCCCTAGGTGCATTTATGGGGCAACAGCTTTCCTAAGGGCAGTCCATGGGCAAGCTGCTACCTGAGTATACTGTTTAAAAAAAAGACGTCACTTGACCTACTTTTTTTATTTCTCACGTGTTTTTAATTTAACAATATTCAAAAAAATTTAATTTCTATAATTTTTTGCAGGCCAACACCAGTAGATTCAGTTCTTGTCGAACAACTCAAACTTCTCGGAGCAATTCCATTTTGTCAAACAAATGTTCCTCAATCTCTTCTCTCATTCAATTGCTCAAATCCAGTTTATGGTCTCACAAAACATCCATTAAATCCAGAAAGAACACCCGGAGGATCATCTGGAGGTGAAAGTGCACTTTTGGCTGCAAATGGAAGTGTTATTGGAATTGGAGGAGATGTTGGTGGATCAATTAGAATTCCGTGTGCATTTACTGGAACTGCTGGTATAAAGCCAAGTCATTTGAGATTTTCTCATCGTGGAGTTTGTGGAAGTGTTCCAGGAAGGCCTTTGATTAATTCGAATGATGGACCAATGGCAAAAGATATCAAAACATCTATTGAACTTTTGAAAATCTTATGGAATGATACATGGATTTCAGGTATTTTGAATACGGTTTCCAGAAGAATTTGTTATTCATTTTTCCTTTTTTCAGATCAAGATCCATATGTTCCACCAGTTGTTTGGAATGAAAAAGAGTTTTCAAAAACAAGTCCACTTCGAATTGGTTATTATATTGATGATGGATGGTTTACACCAACACCAATGGTCCAAAGAGCAGTTTTAGAAGCGAAAGAAATATTGGAGGCTAAAGGACATATTTTGGTACCATTTAGAGTTCCGAATGCATACAATGTTATGTTTATGTTTTTGCGAGCTGTTTGTGTGGATGCTGGAAGCTTTTTGTCGAGAAAACTGATGAATGTAAGTTTGGACTTGGAACTGGAACTTGGAGCAGGGAGATTTGAATACTTCGAAAATGTTTATCATGAGCAATCCATAAATTTCAGGATATAATCGATCCACTTCTTTATACTCAAGTTCTTCTTTGGATGATTCCACTTCCAATTCAACGATTATTTGCATGGATGGCAAATGTGTTTTTCCCACGACTTGGAAATATAATGAGAGCAATGACTTTGAATACTGCACAACTTCGTCAAACTTATGCTGATATTGAAGCATATCGAAGTGAATTCACACAATTAATGAAAGACAAAAATATTGATGCTCTTTTGTGTCCACCTACAGTAACCCCTGCTTTACCTCATGTTATGGCATCAAAACTGTTTACCGCAACAAGTTATACGGGAATATTTAATTTGCTTGATTTTGCTGCTGGAGTTGTTCCAGTCACTCGAGTTTGCAAGGAAGATTTGCAAAAATTGGAGGATGAATATGAAGAACATGATTTGTGGTATAAAATTGCGAAAAATGGATCGAGAGATAGTTTGGGATTACCAATTGCAGTACAAGTTGCAACACCTCCTTTTAAAGAGGAAGTTTGTTTGAGAATTTTGCGGGATATTGAACAAGATGCTAAATTTCAGTGAATATTTTTTTGTATTTGAGTGCATAATTTTGAAATGAAATATTGAAGTTTTGTAGTTGATTTTTTTTAATTTCAAAAATAAAACTCACAATTTTATCAAAAATTTATGAATCCAATCGAAAAAATCTACTTTTTCTTTGCAGATTCTGGAGTTTTTGCTGTCGATTGAGTTGTTGATGGAACTTGAGCTTTTGGTGTAGATTGAGGTTTTGATGCCGGTTGAGTTGTTGGTTTTTTTGGTGGCTGTGGGGATGCTGGGATATCTGGAGGTGTTAACATCAAGGATGTATTTTCCTTCTTTGGTTTCTTTGGTTCAATGTTTACAATAGTTGTCAGAATCAGCACAATCTGAAATAAAATAGAGAGGGCTTTGAAAATAAAGCTTTTCGGAATTCACTCACCAATGCGTTTAATACAATAGTTGCACCAAAACCAAGGTGAAAATAAGCCAATCGACCATTCGGTTTGAATTCATTTTCATTCTCTTCATCATCTTCAAATGCTGATTTGGGTTTTGTTTCCGCTTTTTTTCGATGAGAACAATCTATTATCAGAATTGTTCCATAACCTCCAGGCATACAAATATCAAAAACACTGAAAATAATCATTTCAAAAATCTTACTATAATGGTAGCTACAGTACTCATTGGCAGCTAAATCAGATTGGGATTTCAAAAAAAGTACTGACACGTGGGTTTTTAAAAGACAAATTCTCTGTAAACTTCTAGATATCTTACTGTGTGTTTGAATGATCGAACTTGGCACCGGGTAATGTTACAATTTTCTTTTTTCGACTTGCCGCATTCATTGTCCACATATCAACTTCAAACTCTTCACTCAAACTTTTTCCATCACTATAACAAACTCGTATTTTATTTACATAATCTCTTCCATCGCCATTACAAAGTGTCAAATATCGTTTTGTTGTATTTTGTCTTCCATCTTTACTCTTTTGTAGAATTGGATAGAAACGCTCGAATTGTCCCATTTTTGTGATGTAAACTGAATTGAGATCTGAGAATCGAAAATCATCGAGACGTTTTTGATCGGCTGGATCACAAGTGTCTGAAATATTTTTATGTTTTTGGTATTATTTTGTGCTTTTACGTGTCAACCCAATTTTTCAACTTTCCTATTTATTGTTAAAAAATCAAAAATCACTCGTTAAATTTTTAAAAGTGTGTTTGTTTCCTATCAAGGATGACCAATTCCAAAAATTTAATTTTTGAATTTTTGATCTAAACAAAATGACGTGAAGTACTTTCGATATCAGTAAAAATAAACAAAGAGTGACTTTCTGAGTGAGTACTGTCCTCTCAAACTCGACGTTGAGATGACTTTTTTTTTTGAAAATCGACTTGGAAATCTAAAATAGTGAACAGAAATGACAAATTCTAGTGGCGAATTTGAATAAACAAATTTGATCAATATAAAATCTTGACATCCCAATTTTCGAACTTACGGTAAATCAATTTCATCTCCTCCTCCGCGCGATTTTCAAAAATGTATAAAAATGAAAACAATATTAGAATTTTCATTTTAATTGTTTCGTTTCGTTTGAAAAATAAAATAAATCAGAAATGTCCATTCTCAAAATTTCAAATTGCTCAAAAGGGGTCACGTTTTTCATTTTCCCTCAATTATTATTTTATGAATGTTGTACATTTCTTTTTTTGTCTAAGAATTTGCGCCTCATGAAACCCCATGAGTAATCAAAACATTTTGCGAATTTCGCCATAGTCAAATGTCAACATTAAGATGAGTCACAAGTTTTTGAAAAAAAATCAAATATATAAATGTGAGACGAAAACGAGAGAGGAGTTTGTTATCAAATCGAATCGAAAAATCAACACTTTCATTTTAGCACTTTTTTTCAACAATAAGAATAATACAAAAATTTGATAATAATGGCTATTACTTGTACTGATATTCCAAAATTCCTTTGCGCACTTTTGCTTCCAGTAAGTTGTTGTTTTTCAGTTCTTTAAACTTAATTTCAATTTTTTAGCCAATTGGAGTTTGGATGGAAAAAGGATGTGGAGCTGATCTTGTTATCAATATTGTTCTAACAATTCTCGGATTCATTCCCGGAGTTATTCATGCTTGTTTCATTATTTGCTGGTATTAATTACGTTTGTATTATTTTATGAATTAATTATTTATCAAAAATATATACATTGAATTTTCATTTTTTTGGAAAAATTGGGGGAAATTTTGGAAACTTTAATAGAACTTTATGAATTTTTGGTGGAAAATTATAGCCATCTGTGGTTTCCGAATCGTTTTCAGATGATGATGGAAAGCCACGTTGCTCTCGAGTTGCTCCTAAAAATATGTAATGAGTTTAAGTTCAGAAAAAAAGCGGTCTAAAAATTTGAATCAGTTTTTTGAATTAATTTAAAAAAAAAGTTTTTTGGAAAGAAAAATGGAACAATTTTTGGATCTGATTTTGCTCTACAGGTTTTATTTGTTTTTTATGGTAATATTTTTTATCAATCGGTTTCTACAAGGAAAATGTTTGTTTGTATCAATATCGTAATTTTTGACAAAAATTAGCATTGATTCTAGTTTCAAATTTTTAGTTTGTCAATTTTCAACGTGGTTTTAGTTTTCTCATATTTTCTAAACAAACCTCCTGTGATATTATCCAAAACAAATGCAATAAATCCCCCAACCAACATTCGAATCTTCAGCAAAGTTCCAAAAATATCATCGAAATTCCGAAATCCCGTATTCAGCTCATGTTTTTCAAAATGTACTGGAATAACCAATCCCAAAATCACAGCACTTCCAATAATTGTTAAATTTCGAGATAATCGAAGATCCACTGCCTAATTTCATTATTGAATTAGTTGTCTGTCATTTTTTACCTGCAAATTGCTCAAAGTAACTCCATTTATCATACAAACACCACAAGCTAATAATCCACCAATAATTGCATCCGGAATCATTGATAAAAGTGCAGCAAGTTTTGTGACAATTCCAGCGAAAATCAATAATACACCAGCCATTTGCATTGTCACTCGACTCACAACTTTTGTCACTGACATTATTGCAATATTTTCAGCGTAAGTTGTGACACCACATCCAACACCCATTAATGCAGCCAAAAAACTGCCGAAACCTTCGATGAGAAACGCACGATTTATTGAGGATTTTGGTGGACGAGATTGTTCAGAGATTTTGGCGCAGAGATCTGAAAATATATTTATGCATGAATGCAAACTAATTGGATTCAAATGATCCAAGTGAACTAGTTTGAATGATTTTTTTCAAAATAAAAACAAATTTAAAAAGTTCAACCTCCAAATAAATCAGCTCCCAATAAAATCCTCACTATAATCTCCAACACTTTCAATTGTCGCAGCCAATGCAGATGCAATGAATCCCGCAATTAACGAAGCCTCAAATCGCGGCATTCCAAATTTCCCAGGAAGTGGAATTTGAATCCATGGCGAGTTTTGAAGAATCATCAAACTCTCATTTTTATCTGTTCGGGCTGCTCCACCCTGAGGTTCTAAATCTGTCATTGTTAAAAATACACAAATAATCCAAGCTAGACCAATTCCGATAAGATATGGAAATTGGCTGAAGATTTTTTGATGGATAATACGAAAGTGTTTCTTTTCAAATGACCAAACTGGAATTGGAACTTCAAAATTTTCGAGAAGAATTACGAAGATCAATAAAATCAAGACTTCCCTGAAAAATGGATTCTTAGTGATATCCTTGTCAAAAAACTGATCTTCACTTACACCACAGAAATCCAATGAAGTGACATTTTTTCTTCAATATCTGGAACTGTTCCAATTGTCAAAAGACACATCAATGGGACAATTGTAATAGGTCCAATATATTTGGAAAACAATCCAATTAATCCAGTAATTCCTAAAAATGGCATAACAAGACTGGAAATTAGGCAACAACCAATTAGAAGTTGCATTAGATCTTGCCATTGAACATCAGGGGAACATGGATTTGCCACGTGGAAACTGTGTAGAGCGGGAAGAAATGCGAATGAGGGACCGTGGAGAATTGAGAGATGAAGTCCGAGAGTTGTTTGAAGAATTGTCGCTATTCCTGAAGTGACAAATGTGGCCGAGATTAATTGAACTCTGCAAAAAAATTATCTTTTTAAAAATATGATCAATTTTGAAAATCTACCGTAATTCCATAATTTGATTATTTGCTGCACAAACAGTAGTTGATACCAAATACGGAATAACCAACAAAGAGGACAAACAAATCAACATTTGTTGTGCTCCAAAAAACAAAATTTCCAATTTACTTGGAACATCATTCACTTCGAAAACCAACATCGAATAAACAAAAAAGACTTTTGAACTTGTTGTTTTTCCAATTTATATAGTTTAAAAATTCGAACAAACATCATCAAATAAATAGTTTTTATGGGTATGATTTTTGATTCACAATTTCGTGTTTCTCCGCCTCGATTCGGTTCCAAGAATTTCAAACTTCGACGGAAAAACAGGAAAATATGTTAAGAATGGGAATTTCAATATAAAATTATTAACATAACTCGGAAAAACATATCCATTATTTTCAATCGGAGTTCTGTCAAGCGAATTTTCATCTCTGAATCCACGTTGCAATCTATTTGCACCGGGTGTTATATTATCCAGAATACACGCCAAAAATCCACCAACCAACATTTGTGTAGTTGAAAGAGTTTGCAAAACATCGTTCAAAGTTATGTTTTGAGTGTTCCATGGATTTTTGTTGAAATAATCTGGGATAACAAATCCCATTATCACTGCGATTCCCATAATTGTCAAATTTCGAGATAATCGAAGATCAACCGACTGAAAATATTTGGTTTCTCGAACAAGATTAAAATCCAAAAATTACCTGTAAATTACTCAATGTGCATCCATTAATCATACAAACTCCCATCGCGAAAATTCCACCAATAATTGCTTCAGGAATCATTGCCAAAAAAGCCGCGAACTTCGTAATTATCCCAGCAATTATCAGAAAACATCCAGCAACTTGCATTGTTATTCGACTCGATACTTTTGTCACAGACATAATTGCAATATTTTCAGAGTATGTGACAATTCCAGTTCCGATTCCTAAAGATGAAGCAAGAAGACAACCAATACCTTCAACACAAAAGGCACGATTTACATTTGATGCTGGAATTCGATCTTGTTCTGATATCTTGGCGCAGAGATCTGAAATTAATTTTGTGGATTTTTCGAACTTTATTTTGGGAAAAAATTTTTTGAACAGAGGAAAACATGTTCAAAACTGGATTTGATAATAAATTTGAACTTTTTAATGTGGAAAAAAGGTCAAATCATGTTCACAACATTCAAAACAATAGTTCAGGAGGACACAAAAATTTGACAGAAATTTCAGCAATCTAAAATAAGTGGGAATGTTTTAAAGACACATCAGCCACTGGAAAAAACAGATTTCCCGCATTTATTTTCAAATGACAAAAACAGCATGTGCGCTCTATTGCTTCGTTGTGTGCAAACTCTTTCGAAAATCCCGTCGGCTGAGCGATTTCAAAAACAATTATTTTGTTTTTTTCACTTTTGCCAGACTCAAAATTTTTTCTTGATTTTTATGAATTCCGATTACTTGAAAGGTGTTATGAAAGAATAACAAACTCATTTTCTGTTCATTTCTGGTGGATTGAAATTTTTTTTCAGAATTCCAACTCACTATAATCTCCCAATGATTCAATCATTGCTGCCAAACATCCTGACAAAAAACCACAAAACAAAGCCACATTGAACTTTGGTGGACCATATCTTCCTGGAAGTGGAACTTGAAACCAAGGAGTTGTTTCCAAAACCGAAAGTGATTCATTATTATCAGTTCTCGCATTTCCATTTGGAGGCTCGAGGTTTGTAACAGTCAAAATGAAACAAATAAACCATGCAATTGAAATTCCAATCAAATATGGAAATTGACTCAAAATTCGTTGTCGTGTCATGTAAAACTTTTTTTTTTGAAAATGAAAATGCGGGGATCGGAACTTTCCATTCTTCCAAAAGAACGATGAAAACAATAAGCATCAGGAATTCACTGAAAATAACATTTTTGTTAGAATATGAAAACATTGAAACCAAGAAAAGAAAATTTACACAATGGAAATCCAATGAAGCGCCATTTTTTGTTCAATACTTGGAACTGTGCTTATTGTTAAAAGTGTCATCATCGGAACAATTGTGATTGGTCCAATGTGTCGAGATAGAAATCCAATCAAACCAGTCAGGCCGAGAAGTGGCATTAAAAGCACAGCTAACATACAACTTCCTGAAATCTGTGGAAAATTATTTTTAGAAATTACATGGGTAAGTGAAGAGTGGAAAAGTTGACTTTTTTCAAAAATCTGATTTTTGAGCTATTTTTTTAAATTAATTTTTGAATGCATAACTCCCAAACTTTTTTGAAAAATATGACATACGTACCAATTGAACTTTATATTGCCATTGAGTTGTATCTGTATCAGTTGTACAAGGAAACGATTCTTGAAAAGTTTGTAGAGCAGGAAGAAATGCGAATGAGGGACCATGCAAAATCGATAGACGAAGACCGAATGTTGATTGAAGAATTGTAGCAATTCCCGAAACAACAAAAGTGGCAGCGATCAATTGAACTCGAAGAACAACTGAATAATCACCAGCGCATAACATATTTGCAACAAAATATGGGACAACTAAAAGAGTTGATAGGCAAATCATCATTTGTTGAAAACCAAATAAAAGAATTGCTGGGATTGTTGGAATATCATTTACATTGTAATATAATTGAGAAGACATTATATTTTCAAAGGGTTCAAAAATAAATTGGAAATTGAACATAATTGTTATCAGTTGTGGAATGTAATAAAAAGAGCAAAGAACTGATGAAACTTTGAACAAAACTTGATCATCTCGCAGGAAATGCTCTGGAAATCCAAAATTTTGAAATCTTTAATTTTACATGATAAGCTTATGGGTGCTTGCTTCTGTGGAGTGGAACTATTACTTCAGAACACATGTGGATTACTTGGCAAACCTCAGAGAGCTCGAATATATTTCTTCTAAAATTTTGACTTCTACTTTCATAATTTCGAACAAAAATCGAATTTCTCTCGAAAATCATATGAAGATTGTTGCACTTTCTCACATTAAAATTCTCGTTTTTTTTCTCTGTAAAACCAGACATTCAAGAAAACATGACATACTTTATTTTCTGATGATCAATGATTTCTTCCAACGCTTTTCAAAAAAACTTTGAAATATTTTCTGCAATCCTTCGTCCTTGAACTCGATTTCCTTCCGCTCTTTTTATCTTCTCCATATTCCTTTTTTCTTGTTTTTTTATCATATGTAATCCTCCAACCAGATGTCTTTCTCCATTTTTTCGAAACCAGGAAGTTCAAACGTTCTAACGAATTTTTTTTTCTCGGGGCCGCGACGAAAAAATCTCTTGGCAACCTTTCAGACACCCTTTTTGTTTCTGTTTCTTCCATTTATTCCCCAGACAAATCAATGTTTTTGTTGCTTTTTTAGTGTTCTTTTTTTTTCAGAAAAACCGAAAGCAAGAAAAAATAGATTTCTTATGTCAAAAAAAAACTTCCTTTTTGTTCTTCTATTTTTTTTGTGATGACCTTCTTGATAATGTTTTTTTTGTTGTCTGAGAATTTTTGAGGAGGTGGTAGGGGCTGGTGAAAAATTGGCTCGAATTATTATTTTGTTGTTTTTTTTTGGAAATCGTTGGGAATTTTCGTTCCGAGACCACATGATTTATTTCATTCTTGGTTTTTTATTAGCCTAATATTTAAGCCTTCTTTCTTACAGTCTCTGGTTTTTGATCATTTACGGGTTTTTTGAAATCAATTTGAAAAAAAGGTTTCGTGGTCATAAAATCTGTGGACAATGAGGTTGTTTCACTAATTCCTGAAAAGGGGGTTTTTTGGGTTTCGCTGTAGATTAAGATCATTCTAAAGATTCATGTTGTTCTGTAAATAAGGTAGAAATCTCAATTTTAAATGAATTTTTGAGCTTGTCTGTAGAAATTTTTTCTACAGTAATTCTAGAAAATATTTATTTAAGGATCACAATGGATCTTGAGAATCTCCAACTTCAGAAAATTCTGAACATTAAAACGAAAACGAGAAGTAATACTCTGCTAATGTGTAGATCACATTCAATTTATTACTGTACCGTACTTCAATTATCGGGTTTTAGAATATGCATCACTTTCCCAAGCTTATTTTTTTTCCGATGCCGTTATTTTTTATTTGTACTAATGATTGTGAGAAAAATGTTCTAGTAGATCGAGAACGTTTTCATTGTCCTATTATTATTAACGAGTTTTTCTGGAATTTGAAGAAGACTGTTTTAATTCTCTCAATTAATTTTATTCATTCGGGTTACTGTACCTACAGTATCTCTAACGTCTACAGTAATTCCTAAAACTATTTCTCAATAATCTCTGTATTTTGAAAATTTCAATTTCCAGAACATTCTGAACATCAAGAACAAAAATTTGTTGTACAAATCCAAAATAAAATTTGGAATTAGTAATCCTCATTGAATACTCCTCACCTACCGTATCTCTTGAATCTACAGTACTCTCCCGCGAATTTTCTGTGAATTCTGAAAGTCACGTTTTTTATTCTCGTCTCTTTTTTCTTTTGTGGCAACAACAAAAACGGTTTTGGTTATATCATCAATCACATGACACATCGGTTTTTCTGAAACAAAAAAAGTTGCGCGCCATAAATATTTTTGTTGTTTCCGTGTAATTCAAAAGAACTTACTTTGTAGTTTTTTTTCTTCGATAAGAATTTTCTAGAATGTTTTTTTGAAAACATTTTAATTTTGTTTCTTAAAGAGTAATTTCAGACTAGTTTTTTTGTCATTTTGTTCAAAATGCACTTTTCTTCGTTCAATTTGTTAGGTCACGTGGTTCTTTTTCTTCAAATAATTATTCCGATTTATTTTTCGACCCAAAAACTTTCACTTATTTATACATATTCCCGACAAGGTTGAATGGTCATTCTCATTTTCATTTTCACACGAAAATAACTGTCAGTGTTTGGTGTTTTAATCCGATTTTTTGGATTGTTATGTTTGTATGCAAAAACATTTTTATTTATTTATTTTCAGTTTTTATAGTTTTGTGTTGACAGAAACAAATTGAGTAAATAAGAAACCTTTTTGTTTACTTACTTATTTTTGAAAAAAATACATTTGAAATTACAATTTTTGATTTTACAGTACAAACACAATGGGCAACTATTTGGGAGCTGAAAAGGAAGAAAGGTAACATTTTGTACTTTTCTTTATAAGTGGCACTTCAATTTTTAATTTTCCCAAAGATCAAGGTCAACTGTCTCTAGTTTGATTTTTCTTTTTTTATATGGTCAATAACAGATTTCTCGAGAGTTTTATCAAATCAAAATGATTCCGGTTTCTTTTTTTCCCAGTCAAACCATTTCTTTTCAAAATTAAATCAAAATCAAAATCATTTAGGTCAGAATGGTATTGACAGCAGACAAGGCTGAATTTCAATTTCAAAAAAGAATAAAAGTAAAAAAAACATTTTCCAGACAAACTGTGATTTGTCGACGAGTGGAAAATTATCGACATATGAGTGTAACACCAAATCAGGAGAACACATCTCGAAATGAAGTTCAGACACTGGTTACAATGGGAGCTGTTGTTTTAATTTTGACTATTATTGTGCTGATTGGAAGGGCAAATAATGTGAGTTTGAGTTTTGATTTCAAATATTCTTAATCGTGGTTTTTGAATTATGAATCAGGGAATGTCCAGAAGTTTTGAAAAATTCAGAATCCAAATTAAACAAATTCTTGTTTAATTATAGCGAATCTATAATTTTTGAATTTATCAAACTTAGATCCCTAAACTCTCTTTCCAAAAAATCTTCTCATTTTCACAGTCTGCATTCGGAGATCGAGAATACATCCTTTTAACCCCAACATTTTGGTTATTCTGCATACTTATGTTTTCTGCACTTTGTCAATTAATTGATGTAATTCGAAAACGAAAAATTCAACGGGAGTCAGTTGCAAATGTTCAATCTCTTCTCGTAGAGATGAATTTTCCTGAATCATTTCCTTGTTTATTAGCTGGACCACATGATGAATGTTGTGGTGGAAGAGGAATTGTGCAAAAACCATTGCCAACTTATGATGAACTTGTTGTGGATGATGAGGTTAGTGAATTTTAACTGAAAAAACTTCGAATTTTTTTATATTTCTATGTTTATGTGAATATTTCTGAAAATTGTTCTCTCTTCCGAAATTTTTTCTCTGAAAATGAATTTTGAACTCCAATTTCATTCAATTCATTATTTTCCAGAAATTAAAAAAAAACGAAAATTTAATATTTTTTCTAAACGTGACCTCATTTTTTTTTTCATTTTCAGAATTTTTAAAAAATTTTCAATATCTGAAAAAAAAATTTTGAAACGTGACCTCAAACAAACACCAATTTTTCATTTTCTAAAAAATACTCCACATTTTCTTTCAATAAAATTTTTTTCAGACTGCAAAACCACCAACCTACACACGAGCTCTCACAATGCTTCAAGAAAAACAACAATTTTCCTGAAACACCCTGAAAAAAAGAAACTAAAAATAAAACAACAAACGGGTTTATTTCATTCACAAATAAATAATAAATACTTATTTCATTCCAAATTTATTCTGATTTATATTTGTTTTTTCCACCTTTGACGATATAAGATTTGAAGAAAAAGTTGGCAAAAAGCAAAAAATATGAGGAATTAAGGAAAGTTGAAGTGTGAACTTGAATAATTGATGAATCACATGGATAAACATCGAGGAAATAATACACATAATAATGATAGATACTTCCAATAAGAAAAGAGAGAAATTGAACAAGTTGAAGGCTTGTAACAAGTTTGGCAACAATTCCAGGAACTCGAAGATGAAGTGATCGAGCAAAATAGTAACTGCAAAAAAAATATATTTTGGAAATTGATTTTCCAAGTCATACTTTCAAAACGTTTTTAGGATCCTACATGAATATAGATTAATTTTATTATTTTTTAGAAAACTTTTCTCTAAAAACCAAAAAACTATGATTATAGGTTTTTCGCTCATATTTTGAAATCCGACGTTGAATTTTACAATTCTATTCTATTTTTCTGTCTTTGCCTTGTGTTTCTCTATCCTCTCATATATGATATTTTCGATGAAAATCGCGAAATTTACTGATTTCACGAAAAAAAAACCAAATTAAAGGGTTGGTGCTTTCCTGGTGAAAAAATCGTCTGCAAAAAGGCGTCACCGTGTTATTTTCAAAGTTGTGTGCAAACACACGCACGAAAATTCAAAAACGAGTTGTGCGCTAGAGCGCATTTACTTGCTTTATTTCGTAGGTTTTAACTCGCTTGTGTTTTTGAGGAAAAACATGGGCTGAATTGATACTAGAATTTTTTCTAAAACTGGAACCTTCCAGGAGCACCTTATTCCTATCTAAACCAATCAAGATTCCCTGGCGGAGCACCAACCCTTTAAAAAAATAAACGAGGTGTTGTGTGTAGAAGAGACGAAGACGAAAGGAGAGAAGATGAGAGATAGAGACGGGTAAGAGAGACGCGAGACAACACTGCGGTTTGTGAATTTTTTTCCAACCTCAAAACCATTTTTCGTTTTTTCACAAAAAATGCTAAAATCGTTCATACTTAACCAAATTTCACAATCTTTGCAGCAAAAAGTAGCAAATTAACGAGAATAGAGATTGCAAGAAGAAAAACTTCAAAAACTTTTCCCCAAATACCGAAAAAATATGATTATAGGTTTTTCGGCTTCATTTCCCTCGATTTTTATAATGTTCGACTAGTTTTCTATGAATAATTCTTTTTTTCTCAAAAAAAGAAACACAGAATTGTTGAAATTTTGGCTGAACAACAAATGTTGTATTATTGCATTACTGCCTTCTGGTATTTCTAATACAAAAAATCATTGCATTCTGGAACCATTAAAAAAACGTGACTTGTATTCTGGGTGGCAATTTTTGACATTTCTAAAATTGCATTGTTTTTGCCAGCCTACAAATTTTACAAATTGTAAAATCTGTCATTTCAGGCCCTTTCCATTTTAAACTCACGGATACATAACCGCATGAACTGCAACATTTATAATTCCTCCCGCTCGAAATTGCGAAGATGGAAGTGGATATTGATAGACGCAAAACATAAAAGTTGCCATATGATGATACCAATGAAGGAAAATCAAGGGTTTTTTGCGAAGAACAATGAAAAATGTGTCGATAAATTCAACGGCTTTTGATAGAACCAACAAATAAAACCAGTATTCTTGTGAAGTCGACATTTTCGAAAGCGATTTACATTGAAAACCGACTGCAAAAAAGAAAAATTTTGAATATTCAAAAAAAATTGTCCTATTTGTCAGAAGCTTTTCCAGGTTTTCTGTCATAGGTATTTTAGATGTTTATAAACTATTTAATTTCATGAATTGAATGAACTACAGTAGTCAAAAATCGATTTTGATAATCGTTTTTTTTTTGAAAAAGAAGTTTTTCTGAATTTTGCTGTGGAGATTCTAGAAATTTCAGATTTTTGATGATCGAAATTTTTTTCTAAATTTACAAGTTCCGAGAGCCTAGAAAAAAAACTAAGTTTATTCTGAAATTTTCCACAAGATATTCTAGCCAAATCTTGGAGAAACTTCCAGGAAGCCTGAATCGGACCCGAAAAAGGGCCTTTTTCGATAAATATCTATAATTATCTCACCCATAAATCCATCTCTCCGAATAAATTCGAACGATGGAAACCACAATTTGAATGAAGCGACAATTGAGAAAATCGAAATTATCAAATTCCAAACTTGAAGTGCCCGATCCAATTTTAACGGTTCCCGATTTCTCATGAAAAATTTCAGCAAGAAAACCGAGATGAAATAAGCAAGTGTGATCTGGAAAAATACATCTAAAATTTCCTGATTGGATGAAAAATTACTTACAATAGCCGCAAATACAGTGTGATTGCGGACTGTTTTTTGAGCTTCAGAAGCAGGAAAACCATTTTCGCCATAAGTGACAAATCTCCAAATTTGTTGCAAATCCAATTTATTCATTATTTGGTGTTGGATTGATTCTGAGAAATGAGGCAAAATTCGATGGCAACGTATCACATCAAGATTATGTGACGTGTTATAATTTTAGGAGGTCACGTCTAGCTGGATAATAATTTGAAAATTTATCTAAAAAAGAAACAATGAAAAAAAGAAAACAAATGACAAAGTGATATTTCTCAAAAAAAAAAAAATAAAACTGAAAAAATACGATGTAGAGAACCCGAGTTAGAATAAAAAATATCTAATTAGTCTTCTGCTTCTTGTATTTATCTTTTCCTCCCTTGATGACGTAGGATTTGAGGAAGAAATTGATGAAAAGAGCAAGATAAGAGACATCCATGAAAACGGCGAGTTTGAAAACACTTGGATCGAAATCACAATCAGATCCATTGATATAAATCAATACTCCAAGATGTGCCAAAACTCCGCAGGAAATAATGAATTGGACAATTTGAAGAGATGTAATTGCTTGAGCAACAGCTCCAGGCACACGGATCTTCATTGATCGGAGGAAATAATAGGAATACATAAAGGCGTGGACACAGAAGTTAAGATAAATTCCATATCTGTTGAATCCTGGATTGAGTGGATGTGAATACCAAGCATAGATCATTGTAAGAATATGATGATACCAATGAAGGAACATCAATGGACGTTTTCTCAAAACAAGGAAAATTGTGTCAACAAGTTCGAACAACTTGGATGCCATGAATAACCAAACCCAATATCCGTTTTCACCCTTGATGAAGTCATATTCATAACAATACGATTCTGAAAACAATATATATTTTCTTCGATCAAAATGTTCCCATAATTATCATTCTTTAGTACATTGGTCTTTGCTACACTTTGAATGTTATCAACAAAAATATTTGAAGAGAAAAAAAACGAAAAAAATAGATTTTTTGCTGAACGATCAAAAAACTTACGAACAAGCCCTTTATTGAATAGCACTGAGAAGAATTCTGGGGTCATTTTGATAGCTCCGATAATCGAAAAAGCGGCCAAAATGAAGTTCCAGATGTTCAATGGGATTGTCAATTGGAATGGTTCACGATTTCTCATCAACCATTTTGTTCCGAAAACAACCACAAAATAGAGAATGGATGCTTGGATTGTGACATCAAAGTGATCGGCGAAGAATTTCTGTCCTTCTCTGTATGGAAAGTTTTCGGGTCCGTGAGTAGCGAGATTGATGAATCGTTTGGTGTCAAATTTGACGTCCAAAAGACGTTGAACCAATGGATGCTGGCTCATCGTTAGATTTATTTTTACCTGCAAAAACAAAAAATTAATCAAGAAAGTGCTTTTTAGTTAATGTAAATAATAAAATTGGCAACACAAAACAACAAAAATGAAATTGTCTTTTTTCTATCTCATTTTTTCTCACTCGCACAAAACGAATGAAGAGACCGCCCAATCACCCCATATCGTGCCAAAAGTTCTATGTGTGTATGTTTGTAAGTGTAAAAAAGTGTCTTATCAAAAATAATGAAAAGAAAAAGAACTTCTACGAGATTGGTAACAATGTAGCGAAATTAAGTTATCGGAATAAAGTGGGATACAAAGAATTTTGAACAAATTCTAGGAGAAATTTAGTAAATTTTCAAGTTTTCAGAAAAATTGGAGCGAAAAAGCAGAATGAAATGAAGAGGTTTTGTGAGAAATATCAGGAAATATAATCAGAAACATTATTAATACTCTACAATCATTCAAAACGAGAATAAGGCAGAAAATTTCAGCGAAAAAACTGAAAAAAAAACAAAATTTCAAATATTTTGCACCGCAAACGCGTCAACAAAAGAAGAACGTTACCGAACAACACTGACGCGTTTCTCGCAATTTTCATAACTTTTTCTTTTTTTCTCTTTTCTTTTTGCAAGTGAAACTTTCGGGCAAAAAGCAGGTGAAATTTTAGAGTTTATATATGAATATATTCTCAAATAATGGGCCATTTTCACTTCTCTACGGGGGAACGGACGAAGGACAAAAATTGACGAGAGCTCAAGTTATTCATAGAGGTTTGTTTATTTTATTAACACATTGATTATTTTATGTAATTTTTATGTGATTTTTAGATAATGAGCGAGCAAATCTTGAAACGATTTGTCGACTTGTAATTCGAGCATTGCTTGAAGATGCCATGGAGAGTTCCAACCGATTAATCGAAGGAGATTCGCAAACTTTGTCGGATTTATTAATGATGCTTGAGAAAGTGCTTTTTCATGGTTTCAAATCATCAAGTAAGATTTTTTTTCCGGTTTTCTGTTCAAGAATATTTTTGGTTTTAGTGAAAACCGCCCTGATTGCTCTGCGAACTCCTGATGCCGAATTATGGACAATGATTCAAAAAATTGGCAGAACATCTGAAATTCTTCGAGAATCTGTGCAATGTATTGATCGTCTTGAATCTCTGATAACTCCGATTTCAAAAATCCGCGCAATTCTTCGTTTAACAATGATGCAAAAGAAATTGAGTGATTTATTCGATGGAATTATAAATTTTTCATTGATCAAAGATTTCTACGAAAGTTATGCATTTTTACGACAAGAAAAAGCAGTTGTTCTTTCTGGTGCTTTAGTTGGATTGCGAGTTATTGAATGTAATCTAGTTTTAGAATATGACAATTTACAGGTAAGATTGAATTATTTCTATACAGTTTTCAAATGAATTTCAGGAACAACCTCTGAGTGTCGATCTTTCGATGTATGTAAAACTTCCAACAATTAGCAACACAAATGAACCTATTGAAAATGGAAATTTGAAAGATAATGAAAGAAAACGATTGCTAGATCAAAATAACTTTTTGGAAGAACGAATTCGATATCTTGAAGCAAATTTAGAAGAAACAAAAAGAAAAGTCGAAGTTGTGAATGATTCGAACAGTTCGATAAGTATAGACTCTTTTAGTGCTGTTAGTTATAGAAGACCGTCTGAAGATGATAGAGATAATGAAAATGAGAAACTAATTTCGAAAATCGTGGAACTTGAAGATACAAATAGTCATCTACAAGAACAAGTCAATGATAAATCAAAAGTTTGCACAGATTTGTATGACAAGTTACGATTATCTGAAGAATGCATCAGAAAATTGGAAACTGATTTCTTGAGACTGAAAAGTCATTACGAGGAAGATAAAAATGCTTTGTGCAAAGAGATTGAACATTTGCAAATTCAAAAAACAAATGTTAGCTCGGAATTGGATGCAAAACAAACTTCAGATGAAGAATTGCGAGTCGAATTTCAGAAAAAGTGTGAACAATATAATACTGCAATTGCAAATCTAGAAGAAAAACAAAAACTTTTGGTGAACGCAGAAACTGAAATTATAAGATTGGAAAGTGAATTGAAAGAAATGCCAGCTTTGAAAAAAGAGAAAAGCGATCTTGGATTACGATTGCGGTTTGAAACTGAAAGAGCAAATGAAAATGAGAAAGCGCTTGAAGAATTGGGTGGTCGATTAAGTGAATCAAAACTTCGAATGATTGAATTAACTGAAGAATTATTGCCAAAATCAGATGCTCAATGGGCGAAAGATTCAGATGTTTCGAATTGCACTGCGTGTACTGAAGTGTTTAGTATGACGAAAAGAAAACATCATTGCAGGTAAGAATATTTTTTTAAAAACTTTCTTATCAATATTTTGCATCTGGATACATTTCATTCATTTTTTCAGCCGATCTTTTACCCAAAAAATCAGTCAGAAAATTACGTTTCAAAAAATTATATCCAAAATTGACAAAAACTCTTCTTCAATAAGAACAACAATTTTTGCAGAATGTGTGGTTCAATTTTCTGCGCAAATTGTAGTGAAGGTCGTGTCAAACTTCCATCAAATCCTCGTCCGGCTCGTGTTTGTGACATTTGCTATAATATTCTCAAAACTCGAAATAATCCAACCGTGTGAATAGTATATTTATTTTCATTTATTTGTATATATTTTGACAGTGCCTTATTGTGATACATTAATTATTGGGTCTCATATTTTGGTGATGTGATTGATGAATTTCGCTTTTTTTATTTTGGGAATTTTTTAATTGATGTACAAATGTTCGAGAACATTGAGATATTTGAAAAACTGTAAAAGTAAAATGGAATTTTAATTCATTTTTTTGCAGATGTCCGCCCGACTTTTGAGAAATGTTCTAACCACTGCTGCCAAACAACAACAACGTACAATGTACGAAAATCCATATATCAATCGATTCAAAGCTCGCTCAAAGGTTTCGGAGGATTTCCACAAGAAGAGCACAGGAATCACTGGATTGTTTGTCAACGAAAATCCACATCGTGCGTTGACTGTGGTTTATGGCAGAATTTTGAGAGCCGTTGAACAAATGCCACAAGATTCGGCATATAGAAAATATACCGAAGCGGTGAGAATTTTGAAATTTTTGATTTGGTCATGCTTAAAAAAAACTAAGTTTCCCTGATTATCAAAATTGTTTTTGAGAAAAAGATAAAAAATCACAATTCTAAAAATAATGAAATTTGATAAATACTAGATTATCACGTCTCATATCTCAAAATTTCAGATTGTCAAACAACGCTTGGCATTGGTCCAATCTGAAGACAACATTGAACGACTCGAGCAAAAAATCGGCATGGGACAAATCGAAGAAGTCATCGAACAAGCCGAGTTGGAACTCGAAACAACTCGAAATATTCTCGACTCAAAAGCCTGGGAACCACTTGTTGAAGCAGCTCCAAAAGGACAATGGGCGTGGCCTGTTTAAGTCGAATGTATTTTTTTTTGAGAATGTGTTTTTATTGTTTCAAATTAGACGATACAACAAAAGGTAACGAAATAAATACAGAAATAAATAGATTATTTTGTTCAATATTTTTTGGTGTTGCGCGAACATTTCAATTCGAAAAATGATGGTTTTTTGGAGGATTCTGAGGATGAGGGAAATGAATAAGCTGTTTTTGAACCCCATTGTTTTGCAAGTTCACCGAAGTAAATATCGCGCTCTTTTTCGACTTGACGAATATCGACTTTTTGAAGTTGGGTATTGAGAACAAGGCACCAAACAATTGGAGAAAAGAAAACATAGAATGGAATTGCCTGGAAAAAAGTGAATATTTGGAATGTGGATGATATATTTATAGCTGGGAGATTTTTCAAAAAACAAAAAAGGTGGGAGATTTTTATGGGGAAAATTCCAAGTTCATGGGTAAAATCTGAAAATCTAGCAAACTGAATTCATTTTAACACAAATACATATAATCTTAACCATAAATAGCTTGTCTCAAAAGCCAAAGTGCACCATTAAAAATGGCGACACCAATTAACATTGCTGGCAAAATTGGTGGAAGTGGAAGCTTTTGATTTCCATGTCCATGATCTGCCAGAATTTCTTTGCAATTCAAAACATCTTTGAAACTCAAATCGATTAACTTGTAAATGCTTCCAACTTTTTTCGCGGTGAAATTCAATGTTACTTTTTTCTTTGTTTTTGGATCTTCTAACGAAATGACTGCCTCTACGTTTCCAGCTGGATTCAGTTTCGAACTTTCTATTTTCGCAGTTCTGACTTGAAAAGGATGTGCATGATCGTGATCTTTGAATTCGGTGAAATTGATTTTCTGATCACACAGCGAAATTTGCAAAGAGTTATCGAATATTGAGAAAAGCAATGTATTGTTTTTGTTTTTTGTTGATTCTTCGATTGTTTTGAGAATATTTTGAGCAATTTCATTTGCGTTTTCAGCAGCGAAATTGAAAGAAGAAAAAGATAACAGAACAACTAGAATGCAGAGAAGCATTATTTTTCTTTGAAAAAAATGGTTGCGAGCAAAGTTTTTATAGTTTCGAAGATGGAATTGATGATCGAATTTTTCGATTTGAACAACGACGAAAATTTTAAGAAGACATTCGTTGTTAAGAAGAATTGAATTTTTCAATCTCAAATTGATAACTATATTCTCAAGCTTTGCAAAGATAGATGATTATAAAAATCACCCGAACTTTGTCCCATTTTTATCACCCCTCCGAATCTACAAAAAATTTTCAAACTCACATTTGTAAGCAAAGACTGAATTTGTGGATTTCCTAACGATTCGAAATGCGAAAACACAAACATCGAGACGAGCGAAACGTAGAGAAAACATAACATGTGCAAAATTGCATGAGGCAACATCAATGTAAAAGCTCGGTTTAATTCAGTTCTTTCAATTTGCTTATTCACATTATATTTGCACTTTTCCATCGAAAATGCGAATTCCATGTAGATTTTGAGGAAGATGAAACATAGAAGAGATGTTACATCCATTCCAAAGTAGAACTGCAGAAAAAATCAAGTTTTGTGGGTTTTTGAGTTAGAGTGACCTACTATAGCATGATTTTCTAATTTTTCAAAAATTAAAAATAGCATTCTTTCATTTCCCGCGGAAAAAAATGAAAAAAGGAAAGTTCACGTCCTAAATTTGTTGCACATTAAAAACATTTTTCTCATTTTGGGAAAATAAGGAATTGCCACGTCACAATATTTTAAATTTGAAAACCTACAATGAAAATTGATCCGAGAACATCTCGATTTTTATTTTCCAAACTCGCACAATTCGACAAATATCTATCAGATTTCAAATCGATTGGAATTGATGGATAAACTGCTCGAAATCCCGCAATATACTGAAACAATACAATTTTTCTAATTGTTTTCCCTAAAAGCTTCAAATTCCTCACAATCAATACTCCAAGACATCTCGAAACAATCTTTGTGTCTTTCAACGATTTGAAAATTTGTCGAGTAACAATTTCGATGACGACTGCGATGAAAAACAATTGGAAGACTAGAAAAATATAGGTTTTCCTTTGGGAACATGTGATAAAATCATTAATTGTGGGTTGACTCTTACCTACTGTAGACCATGATTGGATAACTCGAAACCAAATGCAAATTCGAACAGGGACAAGTAAATTGCAATCGGAAAGATAGAATCGGGAGAAGAGGTGATAGATCTGAAAAAGGGTACTCTTATGAGTGAACTGATATCCTAGAGATCAATCAGCTGAGTACTGTAAATAAACGCTGTATTACTAAAATATTGGTTTTTCGAAATCTACAGTACTTTCACCACATCTACTCAGATTTGGAAAAAAATGTGGTAAACTGTGACAAAATGTATACCTCAATCGAGCTGAATGACAAACAATACATCATAGTTGTAAATCGATAAAAATTCATCAAACATTTGATATTTGCATGCAGATAAACTCGACGATATCTTCGTTCCCAATAGACAAAAATCAAAGGTGCCAAAACACATAAAATAGTTTGAAGAGCTTGGAAGAAAACATAAACAAAAGTTGAAGAATGTTCAACTTCAGCCAAATATTCAACAGAACAATTCATCGCTGAAAAGTAATATTTTTGTTAATGGTTTTCGAAAAATAATGACTAGAATCTATACGATTTTTCAGAAGCAGAAGCGTGGCTGATGATTTGGTTAGTTTGTGGTTTGCTTTGCTAATTGGAGTGACTAAATATCACCGCATTTTGGTTGGAAAAAAGAAGTGTATAATTTGGTAAATATCAAACTAGAATCAAAAACCGGAAGTGAATTTTTCTTATAAACAGCTGATAAAAATAAATAAATTGAAAAATTCGTGGAAACTACACGATTAAAAAATCAAAGAGAGAAAGAAAACGTGACTCTCAATCTCAATCTGAAAAAAAATAAATTATGGCTCTGAAGAAAATTTTGGAGTACTAATACTACAATTTTTGCAGAAAGGACTCTAGAGAGTTCGGAACACAAATGAATAACAATTAGAAAAGCTGTGATTTTTTTAGCCAAAAATATGATGTGAATCATGGAAAAGCAGGTACTAGGAAGTATTTGACATTTATTTTTACGTAAAAAATTTCAGCTGTAGGCAAAAAATAAATTGAAATATTTGATGAGATGTACAAAGTGCAAAAAACATTTTTTTCTTTAAAAGGAATTTATTGAGATAAACAATATTTAAATGATAAATAAGTGAACAAATGGGTACATATTGGGGTTCTCACAATTTAAAATAATTATAGACTTTTTTGAGGTTTGATTATCAAAAGTAGAGTGATCAACATCAAAAAATCTCGAGAAAACAGACACAACGAGGATATTTTGGCGGCTCGTCAGAGCCTAACAAGCATCCGATTTACGGCACCATACTGCCAACGAAGCTCAACAAATCTCAATGAATTTTGACGCACTGTAGCTAGAAAATGTCTTTCCCCGAGCCAAAACACAATTAAAAAATTTTTTTTGAACCCGATCTTCAAAAAAAAATCATCATAACAATATCAGAAATTAATTTCTTGTTTTGAAGCAAAAATACACCTGGGAGTTGAGTTATTTTTATCCTATATGATTTTCTGATTTCCACAGTAATCCTTCGCCTCTTCTACAGTACCCCCAATTTCTTTGAAACCGTCCAAAAATTATTGTTCGCTTTTATCACGTTTTCCATCAGTCTAGGTATATTTCTCTAACCACAGAAATATAAAAAAAAAACACACGATAAGATAGCGTTCTTCTTTTTTTGGCAATCTTCCCGATTTTTATTACCCAGCCCAATTACTTATTTTTTTGGTTTGGCATTGTTTTTATTTTTATTTGTTTTTCTGAATTTTTTCTACAGTTCTTAACAATTTTTCAGATGTCTTCTTTGGCTGAAAAGTTTGATAGGGATGGATTTGTTGTCATTGAAAATGTTTTCAATGACGATGAGATTTTGGAAATGAAAAAAGAAATTGAGAAAATCGTGGATGGTATGGATTTATCCGAACATCCAAGATCTGTATTTTCCACGTATGATGAAGACAAACATGCTGCTGATGATTATTTTTTGAATAGTTCTGATGAAATTCGATTCTTTTTCGAAGAAGGAGCTGTTGATAAGAATGGTGAGCTAACAGTTCCAAAAAACCTGGCAATCAATAAAATTGGACATGGATTGCATTTTCTCAATCCACTTTTTCAACGAATGACGTTTCACCCAAATATTCAAAAAACTTTCCAAGAGATCGGATATAAGGTTCCGGAAGTTGTACAAAGTATGTATATTTTTAAACAGCCAAAGATTGGTGGAGCTGTCACAGATCATGTTGATTCAACATTTTTGCGAGTTGATCCAATTGATCATTTAACTGGAGCTTGGATTGCTATCGATGAGGCGAGTGTTGAAAATGGATGTTTGAGTTTTATTCCGGGAAGTCATAAAGGTTAGTTTATATTTTTTTTTCAAAATTTTGAATTCTATTTGAGAATGAGAACTCTTAGGTTCAACTTTCATTTTGAAAAAAAAGTTTTGCATAAGAATAGAATCCCTTAAAAGTAAATATCTTCAAATTATAGCACCTTTTTTCATCAAAAACAAGAATTTCCCCCTGATGTTTATAACTTAAAATTAAAAAAGTTCATGTTCAAATGTGATCATTCGGAAATATCAAAATTCAACAAAACAGTTGAATTTATCATACTCTCTAATTTACCCAAAATTTTTGAAAAAATTTAAACATGGGTTACAACTTCTTAAACCACACATGAAATCAACTTGAGATCAAACACTCAAATATAATCATTCTTGCAAAATCACAGATGACAAATCCTCACAAAAGCTGACTCACCCAATTTGGAAAATGTCAAAACTTCATGAAAAACAAAAAAGACCCATAATTATGTAATTTTTGATTTCAGACACTTCAACATCTGATTATCAATTCAAACGAACACATGACACAAATGGAGGAGCACTTTTGAAATTCTCTGGAACACGGCCAACTTATGATCAATCAAAGTTTGTGCATGTTCCAATCGCAAAAGGATCGATGATTCTGATCCACGGACTTGTTGTTCACAAATCTGAAGCAAATACATCTCCAAATTCTAGACATGCTTATACAATTCATGTTATGGAGAGAGAAAATACTAAATGGAATCCAGATAATTGGCTACAAGAAACTGATAATTACAAATTCCCAAATCTTTATAACGGAGTTCAATAAATTATTCTACTAAATTATATTTTGATTAATTTATGACAATGATATAACAGATGTTGTTAATCTCAAACGTTTTTTTCTTGATAACCAAGTTCTGTCAATTATATATTTGCGCAAATCCTTGGAAAATATCCATAAAAGATAAGGATTTATACCAGCGTAAACATCGCTAAGCGCGTTATAAATAAGATAAAAAGTTTCTGCACCAAGTGGAATTATATTTGTAGCTCTAACAACGAATAACATAAATACAGTTATTTGAATAGCAACAATAATACTACTCATAATGAATAATCGAAATTCGCTATGATTTTTCTTTGGTGGATGTTTTCTAATTCCAATTCGATTTACAGAATTTTTGAATCGTTTTTGATTTTGTTGACGAAGTCGATAGAAAAGATAACAATACGAAGAAATTAGAAATAAAACACAAAACAGGAGAAATACTCCTCCAAGTGCAAAAAACGCATTAGTTAATGTATCATTAGTAAATTTTGAAACAACTCCATTTTTTTCAGTTCTATACAAAACTGTTGGATTGAAATAAGTAGCCATTCCAATAGTCAGCCCAAAGAAAAATTGGATTGAAATTGCGATTGTCAATTTATATCCTGACCATAACTCTTTGTAAATATCGGGAAATAACATGGCGGATACTCGATTTGCTGCCAATACCGAAACTGACATCGCCTGACAAATTCCTGTGCTCCAGGCAAAATATAAATATAAATTAGTGTAGATGACATCAAGAGACATGTAAATTGAAACACCCCAACCCCATTTGGGAAACATTGCACCAAAATAATTGGTTAAGAGGGTCCCTAGAAAGAACACACAATTTAACATTATTAAAATTCTGTAACTTACATATATCAACAATTGCTGTGGAAATGCATAACTTGAAAAATGGACTTCGCAATTTATCAGACTTTTGTTTTTGCGAATCCACAAGAAAAAATAAAATTATCAAATAGAATGGAAATGTGAATGATACAAATATAAATTGCACGGTTTCCACAAAATTTATAATTTTCTCATCAACTTTAACACCATCTTTAAATGGTGGGAGCAAAGCCAAAGTGCAAATGTTCATTTTTTCACCAAAATTTGAGAAATAGAAAAATCTTTTCTAAACTCACATTTAGTGTAGATATAAAAACTTGAAACCACTAATTTTCAAAAGTTTGGGAGAGCTATGATTAATCTCAAAAAACATTGAACATTTTTTCTTTAGTCAATGATTTTTAATTGTGTGAAAGAAAATACTGGAATTTGGAATACGAAAAATTTGTGAATTATGTATGTGAAAATGTGTCGTAGTGCTGTTTATTTTATAGCTAAAATTGAGATAACAGAACTTGAGGCTTTTTTTGATTTAAGTATTCCGATTCGTTGAAGAATATATTTTCTGAAGGCTTTCGAAAAAATCCAAAGAAGATAAGGATTGATCCCAGAGTAAACATCACTGAAATCAAACCCATTTCGATATAATTACACGATAAAAATAATTACCTCGCAGCATTATAAAAAAGATAAAATGTATCAGAGGGCAATGTTACCAATTGAGTCGCTTCGAGAAAAAATAAAAAACAAACCGAAATCTGAACTCCAACAACAATATTGCTCATGATAAATAATCGATATTCACTTTTTCTCGCTTTCTCGCGTTTTCTCTGATTCATCATTATTCGAATTCCAATATTTTGTTGGTTATTTCGAAGACGTAATCGATAGAAAAGATAACAGTACGAACAAATTAGGTAGATACAATTGGCGAAAAGAAATAATCCACCAATGATAAAGAAAACTGTAGTCAACTCACCACTATTATGAATTACTGTTTGAAAATGTTCAAATTCAAAATGACTTACTTGGTGAAAGCTGGGACAACTCCCAATTTTTCAGTTCTGTATAAAACAGCAGGATTGGTAAAAGTTGCAAGACCTATTAAAAGTCCAAGAATAAACTGTAAACCATAAGCAATCTGCATACGTTTACCATTCCAAATCTGAATATTTACACATTTTGTTCTTCGAGAGGGACATATTAAGTCTAGAGAAAAAATAATACCTTCTCATATGAATCTGGAAACGTCAGAGCAGTTAGTCTATTCGCAGCTAGAACCGATACTGACATTGCCTGGCAAACTCCAGTACTCCATGCAAAATATAAATAAACATGAGTGTAGAAACTACCAAGACCAATGTAAATCGGAACACCCCAACCCCATTTGGGAAACATTGCCCCAAGATAATTCGTGGATAATGTCCCTGAAAGTATTAAAACATGGTGACAAAGTGATTCTAAACATTTTTATGCTCACGATAGTGCTACCATAAAAACTTCCAAAAAAATTAACTAACATAGATCAACAACTGCTGTCGAGATACATAATTTATAAAACGGACTTCGTAACTCATCAATATGTTTTGCTTGAGATTCAAAAAGGAAATACACAATCATGCAATAAAATGGGAATGTGAAACATACGAATACAAATTGAATTGTTTCAACAATTTCAGTGATCTTTTCATCTACAGTGAAACCATCTGAATACGGTGGGAGTAGTTCCAATGAACAAATATTCATCACGAGATTTTCGAAAAGTTTGTGAACAAAGTTTATTGCTCAAGAAAAATAAAAGTTACCCAAACTAATTATATATTACAGAAAAAAAACTTTATTGAATTGAGAACACAGAAACAATGGGACTTGACAGTTTATGAAGACCAAGTTGACAGCAAATATATTTTCGAAGTGATTCGGAAAATATCCAGAGTAAATATGGATTGACACCAGAATATAAGTCGCTTATCACGTTGTAGAATAGATAAAAAGTTTCTGAAGTTAGTTGAATAATATTGGCTGCTTTATTGAAAAATAAGAGAAATACAATAAATTGGATACCAACGATTATTGTGCTCATCATGAATAATCTTTGCTCATTTCGTCGATGAAAGTTACTTGCTTTTGCTTCGAAGAGTTTATTGTTCCTTTTTCTCAAAATAAAAAGCAAATAACAATATGAGAAAACAAGGAATAAACAATTGATAACTAGAAATACTCCACCAATTATGAAAAACTGTTTTGTCATTGTTTTACTGAAAATAAAATTGATTTGCAGTTTGTGAAACACATTTACTCACTTCAAAAATCTTGGAACAATTCCATCTTTTTCATTTCGATAAATTTGCGTCGGATTGAAAAATGTGGAAATTCCAATCGATAATCCAATCGCGAATTGAATAAAAATAGCCATTTTTAATCGAGTTCCACACCAAAAACTACGATATTTATTTGGGAAAATAATTCCAGAAAGACGATTTGCAGCAAGAACGGAAACCGAAATTGCTTGACATATACCTTAATACCAAAAAGTTTATGGCTACATCGTAGTCTCAATTAGCATACCTGTGCTCCACGCAAAATATAGATAGACATGCGAATAAAGTCCAATTCGTTCAAGCCATATATAAATCGATACTCCCCATCCCCATTTAGGAAACAAAGCTCCAAAATAATTAGTGAATAATGTCCAAATATCAACAATTGCAGTAGAAATACACAGTTTGAAAAATGGGCTTTTCAAATCTTTCAAGTTTCCAAACTGTGCTTTTATGATATAAAACATGATTAAAAAATAAAATGGAACTGTGAAACAAACAAAACAAAATTGTAAAGTTTCAATTTGACTTTCGATTTTTTGTGAAACAATCAATGCCGAAGCATTTGTAACAACTAACTCGAGATCTTTGATGTCCATATTCAACTCACATTTAGACTGAAATAAAAAAGAAAGAACTGAAAACTTTATTCAACATCTATAATTATAAAATGGTTATCACCGAGTTCCCGCCTGCTATATGACTTTGGTTTGTTTGTTTTTTCGACTTCTTCACACCCAATTCTTGAAGAATATATTTCCGAAGAACATCAGAAAATATCCATAAAAGGTATGGATTTATACCCGAATAAATATCACTTATCGCATTATAAAAAAGATAAAACTCTTCGATTGAGATAACAACAATCGAGAAATTATAAATGATGAGCAAGAAAAGAGCTGCAATTTGAATTGCAACTGTAATTGTGCTCATTATGAATAATTTAGCCTCCCGTTTTCGAATTCGATTTCGCATTTTTTGTAAAACTCGAGTTTGCATTTTTCATAGCCAAACTACTTTTTCGTAAAATATAAAATAAATAACAATATGCAATTACCAAATATGTACATACAACAATCATAAAAACACCACATAATCCAAAGAGATAAAATGTTACAGTTTCACTGAAAACATAAAAGACAGTTAAATCTCTGAAAACACTGAAATAAGTCAGAATCAAAAACTCACTCAACAAGTTTGGGAACAATTCCATTTTTTTCACTTCGATAAAGTTTAGCAGGACTCAAATAAGTGCAGAATCCAATAAGAAACCCTGGGATAAATTGAAGCGAATAGGCTATTTTCATGCGATTTGCCGACCAATATAAATAGTGTAAATTCGGAAAAATAATTGCAGATAAACGATTTGTTGCCATTATTGAAACTGACATGGCTTGGGCGACGCCGGAAAACCAGGCAAGAAAAAAATAAGGACGGATATAAAAGTTATTGAGATATAGGTAGAGATTGAGATTCCAACCCCATTTTGGAAACATTGCGCCGCAATAATTGGTGAAGAGGGTGACTGGAATATTCAGACATGTTTGAAAAAATGTAATTGCTGCTTTTAAAATTATAGCTGGGAAACTTAATAGAATCGTGCCATAATTTTTTCAAAAGAAAAATTAATTGTAACAGAAATCTCGCGAGTCTCCCGAGCTTTTCAAAATATTCTAACAAGCTCCGAAGTTCAAAACGTATCATTTTTACTCCACTTTTTCATGATTCTTTAAAACTACATAATAGTCAAGTGTAGGTGTAAGCGATCAAAAATCCAAGAAAACTTATTATTGTTAACAACAAAACATGAATATTTATAAAACATATTAGGAATTGAATAAGTCACGTATTCCGAGCAAAAAACTTTTGGAAAAAAAGAAAACTCACAAAGATCAATAATGGCAGTTGTAATACAAAGTTTGAAAAACGGTGTGCACAACTCATCAATTCTTTGAAATTGTGCAACAATCAGATAAAATAAAATTGTTATATAAAAAGGAACAGTGAAGCATACAACCACAAATTGAACTGTTTCAACACTATAAATAATTCGTTCGTCAACCGGATCAACTGTCTCGGGAACAAGTGATAAATTTTCCAATTTTAACATTCATTCACATTCATTCGATACTAAAAAAACATAGACGAATATTATAATAAAAGGATATGAAAATTGAGCAAAGCAAGAAAAATATAATTGAATTTCTGTTAGTTATTATGGCTATAGCTAGAGCCCACTAAAAAAGGTGATCAGACCAATAAATTGGTGGTTATGGGTTTTTCGTAGAACTTCTGAATTTTTGTGTGTCCTGTGATTGGGGTTTTGCACCTGTGCTTTTGAAATTTGTCAGAATTGGAAAGTCACGTTTTCAAAAACACAATGAAACAATTTTGAAGTTCGATGAAATACGGAGACTGCTGGAAAATACACTAACAAGGGAACCTCTTCAGCTCGCGGTCGAGTTTTGAGCTGAAAATTTTTTTGGGGGTACTTTGAGATGTTCTAATGGCCATATAAAAAATTCAGCTGCTGAACTCCACTCTGAGCACAAAAGTGAGCTCCGAAGTTTGAGCATTTTCAAGGGCACACGCGCCAGTTTTATTCTCTTTGAAATTTCAACTGCAGAAAAAACAACTAGCAAAGCGCAGCAGGTTAGCGGATAGCCCCTTGAGGCAATGCTGTGGGGTTCGACTCCTACTCCCTTCAACATTTTTTAATTTTTTTTTTCTTTTTCAAGAAAATGACTTTGGAGTACTGTAACTTGTTTAAAAATCGATTTTTTGAAAATCTGATAATACGGGGTTGTTCTAGAGGGTCAATTATATGGAAAAATGAGTTCATATAATTTTTCGAGAAAATGCATTTTTCTTCAAAATTCATGGTCATCTGGATGGATGAAAATTTTCGAAAAAAAAATTTTTTTTGAAATAAGTTCAGTTTTTATAAAATTGATCTTCCTGAACAACTCTGTAAAATCCGATTTCCATAAAAACGGTTTCTACGAAAGTTATCGCTTGCGAAATTTTTTTCTCCAGAACGAAGATAGGATAATAGGGAGTTTTTCTCGAATTTGACTGGTTTTTAGAATGTTGTAAATTGAACATTTTGAAGTTTCTATCAAAAAATGATTTTTTAAATTAGAAATGTTGGTAAATCATTATATTTCTCCCACGATTTCAATTGCAATTGCCCGACAAGTGAAGACCTTATAATTTGGGAATATGAATCCAAATTTATCATGAGTTTTGAGAGCTGTTGGTATAATTTAACATGTAAAGTTCCCAATATGGTTTGTTCTCATTAACTTTTGAGAAATTGGATGAAAAGGACGAAATTCTAGAGAATGGCAACATAATTCTTCTCTTCGACCATTAACTTTTCTAAAAACCGTTTTTATGGAAATCGGATTTTACAGATTTGTTCAGGAAGATCAATTTTATAAAAACTGAACTTATTTCAAAAAAAATTTTTTTTTCGAAAATTTTCATCCATCCAGATGACCATGAATTTTGAAGAAAAATGCATTTTCTCGAAAAATTATATGAACTCATTTTTCCATATAATTGACCCTCTAGAACAACCCCGTATTATCAGATTTTCAAAAAATCGATTTTTAAATAAGTTACAGTACTCCAAAGTCATTTTCTTGAAAAAGAAAAAAAAATTAAAAAATGTTGAAGGGAGCAGGAGTCGAACCCCACAGCATTGCCTCAAGGGGCTATCCGCTAACCTGCTGCGCTTTGCTAGTTGTTTTTTCTGCAGTTGAAATTTCAAAGAGAATAAAACTGGCGCGTGTGCCCTTGAAAATGCTCAAACTTCGGAGCTCACTTTTTTGTGCTCAGAGTGGAGTTCAGCAGCTGAATTTTTTATATGGCCATTAGAACATCTCAAAGTACCCCCAAAAAAATTTTCAGCTCAAAACTCGACCGCGAGCTGAAGAGGTTCCCTTGTAAGCGTGTTCAGTTTTCTTTGCCCTTTTTCAATAATCGGAAAGTTATTAAATATGATGTACTTTCTGATTTGATTTTGTTTTGATATTTGCAGCTGTTTTGTTGAAATCGAGGATTTCTTTCAAAGAAATACGTTTATCGAGTACAATAAAAATATAAATAAACCTTGAATACGGGCAAACTAGGCGGTACAATAATGATGTCTATGCGTATTCAAAAATAAAATCAAGTGAAAAATAGTCATTATATACATACAAAAACTGGGGTGTTGTTTGAAAGACATGATCGTATCGTATCGGTATCGGATTGGCAATTGTTCGATCGATTGATTTCGGATTTAGAAACGACGGGCCTTCTTGCGGAAATAGCAGCAAACCATACATTGTTGTCCATTATTTTGTCCGACTTGGCAAACTGATTGTCCTGGGCATTGGTAGTTTTGGTTGCATGATCCGATTTGAACTCCTCCTGTGCATCCGCATTGTGAGTTTTGTGGAGCTTGAGTTGAGACATATGGAGCTGGTGTTGGCAAAGTGGCTGGAGCCGATGTGGTATCCCAAACACAGACTTGAGCGTTGACATCAAAGACAGTGGCTGGAGCACATGGCATTCTTTGCCATCTTCCACAGAACAAATTATTTGGTGCTGGTTGACATTGGAGGAAGTGAGTTTTGGATTGTGGATCAGTGGCCAATGGATCAACCATCCATGAGCAAATTCCTTGGTATTGAGCGTTTTGAACTCCTGATCCTTGAACAAGTGGACATGGTTGTGGTTGAACAACTGGAGATGCTTGTTGTGGACAATATTGTTGTTGAGTAGTGGTAGTTTGACAATTTTGTTGAATTTGAGATTGTGAGCATTGACATTGTGTCATTTGATTTGGTGCTTGAGTTGTTGTTGTAGCAGCATCTTGTTGACAGCAAGAGATCGAAACAAGAATTTGTTCATTTTGTGGAGTGGTTGTGGAACATGTGCAAGCTGGTTGACTTTGTGGGCATGGGCATTGTGGGTATTGCGAATATTTTTGGTTTTGAGTTTGACGGGTCTTGCGGACGGTTCCACGTGGCGATGAGATTGGCTCGAGGATTTCCGGTGATGGGCAGACACAGTTTTGTTCACCATTTGGGCAAGCGCATTGTCTTGGTGCCTCACGAGTCTCTTCTACCAAAAATTGCATGCTTGATGTTGGTGGACAGAAGTTGTATTCGGTGGCATTGGCAGATTCGCAAAGTTCCTGAAAGAAATACAAATTATGAATGAGTTGAATAGAGAACATTGTTGACATACTTGTTGTTTGTTGACCGATCGAACAGTCTTGCACCGTCTTGCTGAAGCGACAAACTCGTATCCAGGAAGGCATTCACGAAGAAGCCAGATACCAAGATCCTTTCTATAATAAGCAAAATATGAGCTATATATAAATTTAATAAGATGAATAATATTGAAATATATATAGATGGCAAATATTAATGAATCGAATCGCAAGATTATTTTCATTTTCAAGTGTTTTTCGCGCTCATCTTTTTTTCAAGATGATGCCAAAACAAAAGAAAGAAGGATCAAAAAGTTCGAAAGAAAGGAAACTGACCTGTCAGCAGCGAATGAGCTTTGTCGAACACATTCTACATATCTGGTTGGATCACCGGTGGCTCTTGGGAATGATGGAAGTTGACAAATGTCACCAAGAATAGCTCTCCAGTATTGGGGAGTTTCTTCACCGCTTTTTGACTCGCAAGCGACGAGTGCTACAAGAAATGAAAGTAAGAAAAAGACCAAAAATTCAAAAAATGGTAAAAATCTAAACCTGCAACAGCACATGCCAAAATAAAAAAGCGTGCCATATTCCAAGTAGTAGTAATAGAATGTGCTACCAGAAAATGTATGTGATGATCGACGAAACTTTGCTAGCTTTTATAGTCGAAGCGCGGCTCGCCTGCCGTTGGAGCACACATGCGCAGCGAACTGGGCGTGTCTCCAAAACGCCAACGCCCATCCGGAACTCGAGTGTGTGTTTCTCTCCCTTTGGCTTATGAATTGCGCGATGCGCGCAACTATTTTTGTGACGCGCGTAAGGTAATTGTGTGAACTTGTTAGACAGACATAAGAGTTCGAAGTTGAAAATAGAGAATTTCAGAAAGTTGGGAAAAGGTCAATCAAAGACCATGTTCGAAAAAAAATCATATGTTTATTTGTTTGTTCAATGGTTTGTCGATGTTTGTTTGGGTTCAGGTTGCAAATCAGGAAATACAAATGTCGAACAGTCAGAATGACGACAGTTTCACTGATCATTCATAAAATATAGTCTAACTTTGGGAAAACTTTGATAGAGCATCAAGTATCATTGTGAAAATCCAAGGAGGAAGACTTTTAAATTTCAACTTTGGATCAAAATTTAGAGATCAACATGATGAAACCTGGAATCAGATTCTGAGGTACTGTAGAAATGTTAATAACATTTTGTTTTGTTTGTTTCAATATCCATCGATTCTTGAAAAATTGCCCAAATTTGATCATATATGTTTTTTTCAAAACCGAAATCAGGTTCTAGGGTTATTAGAACTTGAACCTAGAAGCTTTCAATGATATTTAGCCCCCTTTTCTTGAAAATTCTCATTTTCTGTGATCAAAAACTTCTCAAACGTGTTCGGAGTCCCGTTACCATCAAAATACCGTCAAAATCCAAGATAATTTTCAGAACAAACCAAATACTTGGAAATGGATATAGTTTGGTCACTCAAACATATAATTTATCTCTTCTTATCTCAAACAACAAATCATTCAAGAAGCCGCAAATTACTCATTCATCCATTATGTCAATAATTGCACTTATCATCTCTGATCAACACAAATTTTGATGAGCGTAACACAGTTTTGTGCTTCTTCTTCTTCTTCTTCTCATTGCTCATTCTCTCATTCTTCAAAAAAAACATCCAGTTATCATCAAGTGCGAACAAGGAGGAAATGATACTTTTTTGTGTGTTTCTCTTCCTTCTCAGATATATTGTATTTGTGTGAGTGAATAAGTGTATTATGTTTGTCATATCCTGAAGAAACGAAGAAGATGCTTGTGTTATACAACACAACGATATCCACTTCATACAAATAATATGTATGCGCGAAAAAGTGTGTCTGTATGCGCAGGATTTTTTTTCCAACTTTCGCATTTTTTTGTCTATGGCTCATCGGGGAATGATAAGCGTTTTCTGAAAGTTTTTTTTCAGAAAGAAGAGGAGTCGAACGCTGTTGACTTATGTGATGAAATTATGCGATGATGGGTGCGGGCAAATAGAAACAAGATTAGTTATTCTAAAGTGTTCGTGTATGTGTGTGAACCAGAAACGCATAGATTAGAGATTGTTGCGAATTCTTGTTGATCTTGTTAGCTGTTTTCATGATCTAAGAATGATCAGAAATCCTTCATTCGTTTGTTGAAATTTTTCTTCTGAAGATTTTGAAACATGAGAAAATTTTTCGACCAAATTTCATACTCGGTTCAAAAATAAATCTAGAAATTTTCACGTGACCTAGTGTCGCCTCAACATTTTCATTTCGTTTTTTTAGTTTCCAAAAGTTTTAGAACATTTTGTATTTTCTTGTTCACAAACATGGAAATTTTAAACGTCCCTCGATTTTTTCTACATTATTTTTCTCAAAAAACTTGCCAAGTATATTTTTCTTGAAATACTTGAACTGTTTTTTGGTAAAAATAATCGTTTTCAAAAATTCAAGTGCCTTTTTCAGGAATTCGAAATTATTATAATTACTTTTAGAAAAAAACTTGTCTGACTATGTTTTCGAAGTTCAAGTTTCAATTTTTCCCAATTTTCTCCTTTCACCAACACCAACATCAAAAAAACTTTCCAAATCTCAACAAGAAACAACAAAATGATCGGTGGTCATTCAGACAAAAAACAACAAAACAAAAAGAATCTCGGATTCTTCTCCGGAAGACAATTCAAAACTCAAGTGTCAAGAACAATGCAAAAGTTTGTTTCTGTTTCTGCTTGCTTCTTCTCGCGTTTCATTTTTTTTCATGTAAATCTCAGATTGTTTCTCAAGTACTTTTGTTTGAAAATCTACAGTGAAAAAAATGACGAATCAATCTCGTGCCGTCCGGAAAATAAGATCAATCACAATTTTTTTTCGATAGAAAAAAAGACGAGTCTTTTTTGTTTTTCTTGAGTATCGAATTACCAACAATACACGTTTTTCTCGCGCATTTCATTTTCACGCATTTACAACAAATGGAACACCACACCAAAAAGAAAAAAGCAAGCAAGCAAATAACAGTAGAAGCCAGCATATGTGTTTGTGTTTGATCTATTGAGCTTGCCTTGTGTGTATGGTCAAAAAGTATTGTTTTTTCTTGTTTGTCGCGAGGCGGATGCTTGATTTTTTCTAGTTAAAAATGTGGAGAGAACTGATTTTTTTTGGGGAGATTTAAAGATAGAATTCCAAAAATATTCTGGTGTATTGATAAGATTGGGTGTGCTGACTGGATTTTGTTTGTTTTTCGAAATGGGTTCGTTAAAGGTTCAGGTTAAGGTTCAAAAAACACTTGCACTCCAAAAAAGAAATTGGAAGAGGTTTTTCTGTGGGAAAATTTTGGAACCACGTCATAGTTAAAAAATTCTTCATAACTTTCCTCACATTATGAGTCATAGATTTCATCAGCTTGTCAAAAAAAAAACAAAAATTCTAGTTTCAATTACTGTTTACCAAAAAATCTCAATTATACTTTTTTTTTTTAAGTTTCGAGCAACACACGACAATTACTTAATTTCCTGTTTCTTTTTTCTTTTTCCCAGTTGCTCCCATTTTCTTCTCCTCGATTTTTTGTTGTTAATCAGATTATCATCAACGGGAAGTGTGTGAAATGACTGGATTGACTCTTTTTTCCTTACTACTGATGTTTCTTAGAGGGAACAAAAATCAGAGGCACTTTTTAATGGGAAAACTAGAACTAGAACTTTTCATGAGTCATGTTATTTATTTGCTCACCAAATATGCAAAAAAAAAAAACACTTACAATTCAAAAACCTAACCTAAAAAACTCTCGAGTTCAACTAGTTTGCTCCAAATTTGGAGCTCAATATTTGTCTACAAGAGCACCAATTAACAAACTGGTAATATATGTCTATCTAGAGAAAAATTCCAAATTGAGAAAGAACATTAAAAAAAGTTGCAACATCAGAAATCAGCAAACTTTTTCGCTTCCATTTTTTTGGAGCCTGAGGAATGTTGTGCTCTTGACATGATTATGATGATGAAATGTTTACACAAACATTTTTGTAGGGAAACTGACAAAAAAATGTGGTTTGAACCGATTTTTTATTGAACTCGCTGGTTCCGGAAGAATTTGTTGGATTTGGCAGGAAAAACTCACAGAAATCAAATGTTATCGTGGGGTTCAGAAATATTCAGAAATATAGATATCGGTTTTGCATGTCTAATTTTTTCGAAAATGGTCATTTTTCATTTTACATAAATTCAGAAATGAATTCCAGCTAGACAGGTCACGTCTAGGATATTTATTTTTCCTAGAAGAATTTTTCATTTCTGATTTTATCATAAAATTTCGAATTCTGAAGAATTTATTCTAACTGAAATCTTTTCAATCCCAAAGTTCCGAATTTCAAACATAGATCGATTGACTGTATGCTTATACTCAGAAAATGTCCAAAATTAATTCAACCCCTCTCAAAAAAGCCATCCTTCTCCTTCTTTTTCTCCTTTTTTGTTCTTAGAATTAGCCATAGAAAATCGTTATCTCATATTTCTACTACCGGTCTTCGTGTCTTCTTCTTATTCTTCGAGATTTTATCGGTTTGGCTGTTGTTTCAAAAAAGCTTCTTCTCAAAAATTCCTAATATTTTTTTCGCTTAAATCAATCAAAAATGCTGATATTTCGTCGAATAAAAACACGTAATCGTCTCATAATTCTATTTATTTTCCTAGCATGTTTGACAAGTTTATATGTTTTGCTGCTGAAAATTCGAAAAATGATTTTGATATCTCAAATGGAAGAGAATTCTAGACATTCGGCAATTATCAACGATATTTTATTTTATAATTCTACTCATTCAAATTCTTCCAAATCCACTTTTATTTTTCTAATAACTAGTCAAATTTTGAACTTTTATTTACCTCTAACTTGCCATTCAAACGACGGGTATCAAGAAGAAATCTCGAATGTTAGCCTAACTCGAATTGGTGAATCACTATTACTCGCAAAATGTGCTGCTGTAAATGATCCATTATTTGCGTCAGTTCAAATGGATGATTTTAACTTGCAGGTTAGTTTAGATTTTATCTTACTTACTCTGGTGAAAATCGTAAAAACCACAATTAAACAGATCGATATTCCGGTTCAAGAAAAAGAAGTGGAAAATAGAAACGATCATGTTATTTGTATGTCACATTTGGTGTTATATGAAGATGGTGCTTCGATTCTGTCACTACTAAAACATTTTAGACATTCTGCTTCGAGAATTTTCATATATGCTGCTAGTTTGAGGTTTGTTTCTTTTAAAAGTTACGTGGGATAATTTTTTAAATCTTCCTTTAAATATCGTAATTCAAGTTATCCTGGGCCCTTTAAAATTGAAGTCAACTCACCAATTTTTTTTCAGCGATGAACTTTACAAAACTCTTCTCGAATATTCGAACAAAATTGAAATAGTTCCTTGGATGCTTCCCGAATCAAAAAGACATGATGACGATATGGAAATCCTACGAGTTGATCCTAATTTTGCGAAAGCGGCAGCTCGCAGCAGTCTCAATCATTGTTTTCTAAAATATGCGCCAATTTCCAAGGAAGTTACTCTAATTGATTTGGCGACCTTGAAGTTTAATTCCATTTCTTTCAATCCAGACTTTACGTTGAGGTAGGTTGAACATTTTTTTAATTCGATTGTCGATTTTTTTCTGGAAAAAAACACTTAAAGTTCATCAAACATACTTAATTGCTTAATGGGATTATTGTTCAATTTTTCAGTGAAAATGTCACAAATGAGATAAACGATGGTTGGAAAATCGAAAAATTAACAACTTATCGAGTTTCTATGAACTCTCGTAAGTTTTTTTTCTGACTGGAACAAGTTACAGAGTGGCATTATGAACTCTTGTTTTTTTAAAGTTTCAAGCGAGAAATTTTCTCAAGAAAAAGATTTGAACCTAGAAATTTGAAAAATGTTATTTTGAAAAGTTAATTTTATTTAGTTTTTCTGTACCAGTTGACTCTACTTTCCATGAGCCACTCTGTAATACGTTTTTATATGTATAATTTCATCAAAAGTCATTTTTGAACAGAAAATGATGTTGTCCTGAATGAAAAATGTTATGTTCGACGCAACAAAAAATCAACAAAAATAATCGAAGAATGTGGAAACTTGACGAGCCCAAACTCTAAAGATATTGCAACTTCATCAAGATCAATCTATATACCAAAAGTTATTCAATTCGATAATCTGAGTGTTTACGCAGATGCTCTTGGAAGATGCACTTCTTATAAATCATCATATGAGGAACATCAAAAATTGATGAAATTTGAATTCGAGTTAGAAAACCGGGTCTCTTCAGAAGTTTGTGAAATTTCTTTGATTCGTGATGATTTCAAATGTCGAGTAGCAATGGACTACAATAAAAAAATGTTCAGGTTTGTTCGGTTTCTGGGCGGTCTGGAAAACAGTTTTTTTCTTTAATTTAAACCAATTAAGAAACCGTATTTATAGAAGGAGGACTCGTCTACTCATCAATCGAAAACGAACATTTCTAAGGTTCAGAGATGGTTGTCACTCATGATATTTCTGATTTTCTATTCTTTTGTCTGTGTGGAAAAAAGAAAACCAATAATAATTTTGTACATACTTTGTTTCATTTTCTATTTCAAATTTTTTATTATTCAGAAAAAAATGGTTGGTGAGAGATTTAAGGATAAGGTTGCATTGATAACTGGTTCAACTTCTGGAATTGGTCAAGCTGTTGCTATTTTATTTGCCAGTGAAGGCGCAAAAATTGTGATCCATGGAAAACCGGAAGATGGTTTGGGAGCAACGAGAAAATTATGTTTGGATGCTGGAGCTGCTCCTTGGGATATTATGGAAATTCTTGGAGATGTCACTGACAAAACATTTGTTGACCAACTTGTTGATGAAACAATTAGTCGTTTTGGAAAACTTAACATCCTTGTTAACAATGTTGGTGCCCTTGTTCTTGATCCAACTGGAGCGCAAGGTTGGGATATGTCAGTTGATGTAATGGACAAATCAATGAACTTGAATTTCCGACAGTGAGCTCCTTGATTTTTTAAAAAATCTATTTGCGAAAACATTTTAGCGTTCTCTTGGTAACCCAAAAAGCGATCAAACATCTTGTCGAACAAAAAGGGGATATTGTGAATGTCTCAACATTTTTGACGACTCCAACATTGGGAATTATGTCAATGCCATATTATGGAGTTGCAAAATCCGCATTGGATCAAATGAGCAGATCAATGGCTCATGAATATATGTTGAAGGGTGTTAGAGTCAACACTGTAAAGTAAGTCGTTTTCTGAAAACGATAACAACTATGTTTGATTTCCAAAAAAACATTAAAGCGTGAACTTTTTGTGGAAATTCGAAACTTTTCATTCTCATTTCTATTTTCTCCAAAAAAAACTAAAATTTCTAGCCCCGGCCTGGTTGCAACATCATTCTTCGCAAGACTCGGGCCTGGAGCTGAGAAAGCTAGAAAGATGGAAGCATACATTGCTAGCAACCCTGACTTTATTCCCTTGGGAAAAGTTTCGACTCCGGTAGATGTTGCAAAAACTATTGCATTTCTAGCTGACAGGTTTGAATTATTTTTCAATGTAGCTTTATTTGATGTGTGATTTCAGGAATCAGTCGGAATTGATTGTTGGTCAATCAATCTACATGGATGGTGGATCCAGACTTTGCTGTCCAATTGATATGTCAGATTTCAAACAACATATGTAAACTTTTGTTTTCAATTGAATAATTGTGAAAACAATTTGAGAATGAGATGCATTTTATATTTTATCAATTTATTTGTCGAATTTCGAGATGAATATTTGTAGATGTATATTTTTTTATTTCTAACAAAATTTAAAAAATCGTTCAGTTTCGAAATTTGAAACTTAAATCACAAATTCATAAATTTTCCAAAAACCTTTTATAGTAGAACAAAAATATTTTTCGTTGAGTCCTTTCAATGTTTCTATCTCACTACACCTAAATTCATTGCCAGACTTTGTTTTCATAGAAAAGTGCATTCTGTGAACTAAAAGTCACCTAAATTCAGTTGACAACTTTCAAATTTAATTCAATTTTGCCCAACTCTGATTTTAAATTGCGGTAGGTTATTATTTTTAATTCGATTGTTTTTTATTTGAATAAAAAACACTTATTTGAACAAATGAGTGCGATAAAATAATAGGTTTATGGGATAATCGTGTACTTTTCGATGAAAATGTGACAAATGAGATTAACGATGATTGGCAAATTGAAAAAAGTGACACTGGCTAGAAAAATTGGAATTGGCTGAAATATCGATGAAAATTTCAAAGTGAACTTTAATTTGGGATCTTGTACAGAATATTTGTTTTTGCAAATTTGAAACGAATAATTGTCAATTCAACAATTTTACAGTCGGGAAGATATCAGTGAAGTAGCCTTTATTGACTCATCACAGTGAATTTTTTTTAAACGCCCAGACCCGCCAAAAAACAGTAGTTGTTTTTTCAAATGTGAAAACAATTTTGAAATTATCACCACAATTTTTGTTCATAATATCGAGAGTTCTCTTGAACCAGTTAAGACTATTTCAAAACTTTAAAAAGTCAATCCGAAATTTTTTGACTCTGGGAAACGAAAAAATAAACATTTCCTTTTTTGATAAAAATTATCAAAGAAGTCGACATCTATCTCCAAGGACGCAAATATTTTCGAATTCATCATAGCTCGGTCTCATAATCTCATTAAATTTCTCTGATTCGTGATGGTTTCGAAATCGATTAGCGATGGATTATAACAAAAAAATGTTCAGGTTTGTTGTTTTTGGGCGGCCTGATTTATGTATTTTTTTTTCAATTCTAACCATTTCACAGGGCTATTTATAGAAAGGGGATTCGTCTACTCATACATCGAAACCGAACGTTTTCAAATTGAAGAGATTTCTAAAATTGTTCCGTTTTTTTCAAATAATATTTTTTTATTTAGAGAACATGTATGGTGAGAGATTTAGAGGTAAGGTGGCTTTGATAACTGGTTCGACTAGTGGAATCGGCCAAGCTGCTGCTGCTTTATTTGCTGGCCAAGGTGCAAAAGTTGTAATCACTGGAAGATCGGAAGAAGGTGCTAAGCTGACTAGGCAACTATGTTTAGAAGCTGGAGCATTACCATGGCATGTTACCGAGATTCTCGGAGATATCATGGATGAAAAATTTATTGATAAACTTATTGATGAAACAATCAAGAAATTCGGAAAACTCAATATTCTTGTTAACAATGCTGGAACTCTTGAATTGGATCCAACTGGGGCTCAAGGTTGGGATATGTCAGTTGAAGTTATGGATCGATCAATGAACTCGAATTTTCGATCGTAAGTCTTTCTTATTGTTTCTACAAAATAATATCGCATCTCGATATTCTGATATTATTAACATTGTTGGTAAGGGATCAATCACTGGAAAAATTGAGACTGTAACAATTACAATTAACCCCGGGAATTTTCCAATTTCAAAATCTATAAATGTGCATAAAAACACAAATGATACTGGAATATGCATTAGAATTATAGGAATAGATGTTTGAGTCACCAAAGATATGAAAACTTGAAGTTGAATACGATGAATATGTCTAGAAGAGGTATTTATATTTTGCCGAATTCGAATATAACACAGAATTCCGAAATAAAATATGACTATCATTGATGAAAATACTAATGTCCAAATAATTGATAGACCTTCTACTGCAGTCCAATCTGTATATCTTGTCCCATTTTCATCTGTTGGATAAAAATGAAGACCGATGTATACAATCTCTCCAATTTTGACATCATATATATTCATTAAACTTGGTCGTAAATATTCGGAGAAATTAGGATTAGGTGCACACAGAAAATAACAAACACAACCCCATATAATACCGTATATTAATGGTAGAGAAATCCAGAAAATAATTTTACAAGATCTGAAGGTTTTCAACATTTTTGTATTTCTTTTGATAACAAAGTAACGATAGATATATTGAATTGCGAATAATCCCATAAATGAACCATACATTCCACACCAAATATTGATTAGAATTCGAGTTAGCTTAACATCTTTGACCCATGAATTTTTTGAGATAACAAAAATAATATAGGAAGAACCGTATGAGTGAACAGTCTTTAAGAAAATGATATTAGATATAAAAATGGAGTTTACCTTACCGGTGAGATCAAAAGTTCTAAATTCGAATATACGATTTCTGTCAATGACATATAAATCATCAAAACTCGATAAGCTCCAAATCCCACTGGGGATTTGAATATTATTAAGAAAATGAGCCAGGAATTTAGGAAAAGCGAAAGTATCAGGCATATTTCTTGTAATATTTCCCGAATTATTTCCCATTGCATTTCATTTATCTATGAAAGTAGATGTTCTGATTTGTTATTACTTTGTTTTTGAGTTATTTTTAATTCCCTTGATGTTTAAGAACATCAAAATTTCAGAGTTCTTCTATTAACAAAAAAAGCGATCAAACATCTTGTCGAACAAAAAGGGGATATTGTGAATGTCTCAACATTTTTGACAACTCCAACAATGGGAATTATGTCAATGCCATATTATGGAGTTCCAAAAGCAGCATTGGATCAAATGAGTAGATCAATGGCTCATGAATATGTGTTGAAAGGTGTTAGAGTCAACACTGTGAAGTTAGTTTTGCTAGAAATATTTGAAAATGAAAATGGTTTTGAAAATGACACATTTTTGAAACGTGAACTTTTCGAGCCAACTCGAAAAAAATCATTCTTATTTCTATTTTCCAAAATCATGTTTTTTTTAATTAAAAAAAAACTACTATTTCCAGTCCGGGCCTTGTCGCAACATCGTTTTTTGCGAGACTCGGAGTTGGAAATGAAAAAGCGAGAAAAATGGAACAATATATTGCAAGTCATCCGGAATACATTCCTTTGGGAAAGGTTGCGAGTTCAGAAGATGTTGCAAAAACTATCGCATTTCTAGCCGACAGGTTAGAGAAATTTATTGATTAAATAAAATGAATTGTTTTTTTACAGAAATCAATCGGAATGCATTGTTGGTCAATCAATTTATATTGATGGTGGATCTAGACTCTGCTGTAATATTGACATGTCTGATTTCAAAGAGCACATGTAATTTCAAATAATTGGGGAAAATAAACACATAATATTTCAATTTGTTTGTCCGATTTCAAGTTCAATGAATGCATAATCTTGATTTTGAAAACACTTTAAAATTTTCAACAAATGCTTTGAAAATTTGAAATTTTAAAAATGTCTTTTAAAAAAAGCAGCAAAAATTTAAGGTTATTCTTATCTCACGTGAAAATCAATGATGTGGCTGTGCCGTGTGACGTGGCAGAGGGTATAAAATAGGGCGCACAGGAGTGAGAAAATCAAGAGAGCTTCTATTTCTCATCATCTACGCGGTATATTTTGTCTAGAGAATGTCGTTGACTGCCGATCCACCAGCATGTACAGTACCAGCTGCCGGAGGTTCATCCACTCATAAATTGGTGAATGCTGGAGCCGAGAAATTGATCTTCAAGGTGAGTGTGGGATAGGGTACTGTATCTAAGAGTGAAAAGAGGGTTACTGTATAAGAAGTTGGGCTAATGTTTTAGCTGACATTTATATATCGGGATACTGGGGATTACAAGATTACTTTTTGGCTAGGCTTCATGTCTCAAAGTGATACTGACTACATCAATCCGCTTGGATTACACAGTACAGTTGCATATTTTCAGATCAAATCATCGAATAATAATGAATATCGTATCACTCCAGTGTTTGGTTTTGTTGATCCATCTGGCTCAAAAGATATTGTTATCACACGTACAGCTGGTGCACCAAAAGAAGATAAATTGGTTATTCATTTTGCTCCAGCTCCAGCTGATGCAACTGATGCTCAAGCTGCATTTGCCGCTGTTCAACCAGCTGGAACTGTTACAATTCCAATGTCTGCAACTGCTTAGATCAATCAAAACCAAACACCAAAAGCCGCCTTTTTTGAATTCAAACAAAACAAATAAAACAGTTTTTGAAAAAAAAGAGTTTTTTTTTGATAACTCAAAATTTGGTTTATCTCAGTCAGTTTTTGGTATTTTATTGTTTCTCGAAGCGTAGAACTTCCTAATGTGTTACTACACTTGTTTTCCAAGAGAAAATATCTTCTAGAATCTTCAAAAATTAGGGTAACCAGCAGAACAAACTAGCAGAACAAAACAGAGTGATTTTTTGAAAATTTTGGATCTTTCAAAACACACTGTTTTTCAAGCTATCTGACGAATTTCAAGTTCAAGGTCCGTTGTTTGTTGCACAGTTACACAGAAATGCAAATAATTCACAGTAGCTTTTTGTTAATCAGAAATAATGCACAATTGTTCGAAGTGGATCAATTACAGGAAATTTCAGGAATTTTCCTTTTTTTATCCCATTTTCGCGCGTAGGTTAAGTTTTGGCTTTAAACTTGAGGTCACGCAAAAAGGCAACTGACAATGAAAACAGTTGTTTTAAAATTTTTTTCAATATCCAAAGAGAAAAATAGTTTTAAATACTCACATCGATTTCTTCCAATTGACGTTTTCTCTCAGGCGATTTTTCTATAATATCCACAAAATCTTGCCCATTGTTCTTTTCCTTCCATTGGCGCGAATTTTGAATAAATCGTTTTTCGATGATTTCGCTTCTTCTTCTTCTTCTTCTTCTTCACATTTCTTCGAGCAAATCGCAAAAAGAAAACGAGTTTTGGAATCCATCACATCGATGATCATTTTTCAAACATTTTCAGGAACATTGCTGTCAAAGAAACATCGGAAAATGACTCAACAATAACTTCTGTCTCTTCTTTGCGACGTTTTCTTTCCGGCGAAGTCAACTGACAATGTAAACATTTGTTTAAATTTTTTTCAGTATGCAAAACGAAAAATAGTTTCAAATACTCACATCGATTACTTCCATTTGACGTTTTCTCTCCGGCAATTTTTCTATAATTTCCACCAAATCCTCCCCATTGTTCTTTTCCTTCACATTTTCTTCAACTCGTTTTTTCTGCGGCGTATATTCTGCTGGTTTCCTGGGATTTTCATTCACATTTTTCTCCAAATTTTCAGCTTTAGGAGTCCGTGTGAAGTACGAAGTGATCGCGCTTTGCTTTTTAGCTGACATTCTGGAAAAATTATCTAGAAACGTGTGCTCCGAAAAAAAAACAAGAATGAAAATATGTGCGCGTCAATCAAAATGCCCCGTGTGCAATAAGCGGAAGTGTTTGCACAGTAGTTGCAGACTACAGTATCTAAAGTCATCATTTGCTGACAATTTAAAAAAACTGCTTTGCTGAACGAGTTGGTGGCGCTGCACCGCATCCAGAACCATTGAAAATTATTTATCAGGGGTTAGTTTATCGCTATGACGTGGAAAAAATGTTTTTTATTGCAGATGCCCCGAAGAAAAAGTTCGGAATCGTCTCCTCAGTGATCCAATTATCAAATCAAGTAATATTTACTCAACAAAAATGAAAGTTTTTCGATTTGATGGATCGAGAAGAGTTCGAATCAAATGTTCGATTGATGTTTGTGTTGAATCTTGTCCACCGGTACGTGTTTTATAATACAAAAAATTCAAATTTTAATTTTCAAAAAAAATCAAGTTTTCCTATCTCTTCCACTAACAAAAACATGAGAAATCTATGCCCGTCGAAAAAAAAAATTACCAAAATGTTGAATAGTTCAGTGTAGAAACAGAAATGGAGTTAGCAGAACTGAATGGTACATGAAAAATTCACATTTTCTGATTTTCAGCTTGAAATATTGATGGATTGGATTTCAATGTCAAGAACGTGGAAAACTTGGGGGATTTTGGATATCTCAAAGATTTTGATTGGGATTTTCGAATGTTCGATGATTTTTGTGTCATTTGAGAAATAGAAGCGATTGGTGAGTTTTTTGGGGAGGGATTTCGGAAAAATTGAAAAAAATCGATAAAAAATTCTGTAAAATTTGAAAAATATATGAAAATTATGAAAAAAAAATCTTTAAAAATTGAAAAAAGTTTGGCTGACTCATCAAAGTCTAGGCCCAAAAATCTAGTAATAGAAAGTTGAGTACGTAAACTTCAGTTCAAAAAAGCGGCGAAAAATGACGTGGCAGGAAGCGCTGCAAATGTTTGATATACTCGCATTTTAGATAAAATATCTGCGTTTATTATTTTTTATTAATTTTTCTTTCTTTTCTTATTTAATCGAAAATTTTGTTTTCATGAGTTTTTATTCTGTAAAGACACTTGGGAGTTATTTATAATGTTACTGATTATTTTAAAAGCTTCACATTACTTTTGAATTTTTTTTACGGTATACTGAGAAATGTTTATGAAAAAATGATTTCACGAGTTATCTTCATTCGCGGTAATTTTCGAAGGCGGAGCAGTTAAATGATGTACTGTGATTGAATTTATCTGTTTTTGGTTCATATCTCTTCGACAACATTTGAAAATAGCAAAACGATAATCAGGAATAATCAACATTATTGGAATTGGATTAACAACAGGAAATATAGCAACCGCTATCACAACCAGAAATGTTAATATCGTAGTATCAAATTGTAAGAATGCAAAAAGAAATATAACTGAGACGGGTGTATGCATTAGAAAAACTGGAACAAGAGTTTGAACAACAAGCGAGGTAAAAACTCGCATTTGAAAATTAGTATTCTTTCGAGAACCCGCGTTTGATTTCTTTTTAATTTTAGAATGACATGAGACACCAAAATATATAATAATTATCAACGAAGACATTAGGAAAGCCCAAATTATAATTACACCGATGATAGCATCCCAATCAATGATAGTTTTCCCATATTTATCCGTTGAGTAAAGATGAACACCAACATAAACCACATCGTCCATTTGAAAACCGTATACATTCAAAATATTCTGTCTTAAATATTCTGTGAATTCAGAATTTGGAGCAAAATAGTAATAGCATACGGTACCCCAAACTGTCATATAAATTAGAGGAAGGGACATCCAAATTATGATTTTATAAGAATTAAAAGTGTTCAACATTTTTGTATTATTCATTATAACAAAATATCGATAAATATATTGAAGTGCAAACATTCCCATAAATGTTCCAAACATGGCACACCAAGCATCAAGAAGAATTCTGATAACTTCGCGATTTTTCAGCAAAGTATTATTAATATTAATGAATGCCGCGTATGATGATTCAAAGGAATGAATTGTCTAAAAATAAATACGAATCTATTAAATGAACTGTTGAATACTTACTGGTGAGACAAAAATAATAGAATTTGAGTAGATGACATTTGTGACTGATATGTAAATCATCAAAACTCGATAAGATCCAAAACTTTTTGGAGATTTGAATAAAATCAGGAAAATTAATTGAATATTCAAAATATAGGATAGAGCCAAGCATATCTTTTGAATAGTTTTTAGAATATTGTCAAAATTACCAGCCATTTCAAGTAAGATTTCGAAATTCAGAGTGAAAACTAAAAATTATTCATGTATGCAAAAAGTTGTGAATTTATGTATCTCTGTAAAAAATTAATGACAAATAACATGTTTATAAAAGGAAAACAAATGAAGCAAAACAAATGAAAATAAATTAATGATATGATATTTGGTGTCGAAATTTGACGTTAACTTTTGAGATAACAATACTGAAGTTCCTTATTTCCATTTCTATAACAAAAGGGCTTGACGTGAGAAGAGGATTGATAAATATAACTTTGTCGACTCAAAAAAGTGCAATGCAATTAAATTACGTAAAGTTTATTAACAAGTGAGCAATAATGACATAATCAGTATCATGAAACTTTTTTTAAAAATTGAGAGAAGTTCTCACTAAGTTTGCGTGTTGAACTTCAATTTTTGAACAGTTGAATGTTGCACAATATTTGATGTGATTGTCTTTCCAGTCACAACTTTCCAACAAACTTTGTAAATTGCAACACGATAATCAGGAATAATTAACATAATTGGAAGTGGATTAACAGCAGGAAATACAGCAAGTGATATGACAACCAAAAATGTCAGTACTGTTGTATCTATTTTTAAAAATGCAAATAAGAATATGATCGATGCAGGCGTGTGCATTAGAAAAACTGGTACAAGAGTTTGAGCAACAAGTGAGGTAAACACTCGCATTTGAAAATTAGTATTTTTTCGAGATCCACCTTCTGAATTTTTCTTGATTTTCAAATAACATGAAACACCGAAGTAAATAATTATAACTAAGGAAGTCATCAGAAATATCCAAATTACAACTAAACCAGTGACAGCATTCCAATCAACAATGTTATTTCCATATTTATCAATTGAATAAATATGAACTCCAAGATACACAATATCATCCATTTGAAAACCGTATGTGTTCAATAAATTTGGCTTCAAAAATTCGGTAAATTCAAAACTTGGAGCAAAACAATAATAACAAACGACACCCCAAATTGATGTATAAACAAGTGGAAGTGACATCCAAAAAATGATCTTGTAAGATTTGAAAGTGTTCAACATTTTTGAATTGTTCATAATAACAAAATATCGATAAATATATTGAAGTGCAAACATTCCCATAAAAGTTCCGAACATTGCTGACCAAGCATCTAACGATATTCTGATAAATTCTTTATTTTTCAGCCAAGTATTATTTATGTTAATAAATGCTACGTAAGATGATCCAAAAGAATTGATTGTCTGAAATTAAAAGGAACTTTGCGTAATTTCTTGATGAAAACTAACCGGAGACACAAAAATAACAGAATTGGAATAAATAATATTAGTCATAGATATATAAATCATCAAGACTCGATAAGGTCCGAAACTTTTTGGAGATTTGAATAAAATCAGGAAAATTAATTGAATATTCAAAACAAAAGATAACACCAAGCAGATCTTTTGAATTGTTTCCTGAATACTATCGAAATCACCAGCCATTTGAAGCTAGACTTGGAATCTCAAGGTTCGTTATCTTAAATGACTGTCATCAAGATTGCCCATTCAAAATAGTTCTGCATTTATCTGTAAAAATGTAACACACTATTGGTTAATGACGACATAAAAAATATTTGCAAAATAAAAACAAATGAAGCAAAAAATAAAGAAAAATAATGAATTTTGCTATTTGGCCTAGAATTTCTATTTTCTAGTTTCAAGATTTTTATAAAAAGAAAATCGATTGCGCAAAAAAATTTTAATCGAATGTTGCCGACTCAAAAAAGTACAACAAAAAAAAATAAAATTATATATTATTAAACGAGAATGATATAAAAAACCAGAATTATGAAACACAAGCTTTTAGAAAATTATTCAATCTGTGTGTTGAATTTCAATTTATGAACGACGGTTGAATGCTGAACTGTGTTTGATGTAATTGTCTTTCCAGTTACAACTTTCCAAAAAACTCGATAAATCGCAATTCGATAATCAGGAATAATCAAAATTATCGGAAGGGGATTAATAGCGGGAAATACAGATACTGCTACAAAAATCAAAAATAATAGTATTTTTGTGTCCAATTCTAGAAATGTGAAAAGAAATATGACAGAGACCGGTAAATGCAATAGAAAAACTGGAACTAAAGTTTGAACAACGAGTGAAGTAAAAACTCGCAATTGAAAATTGTTATTCTTTCGAGATCCGACTTCTGACTTTTTCCTGATTTTTGAATAACACGAAACTCCGAAATAAATTATCATAATTAGCGATGACATTAATAGTGCCCAAATTATCAAAATACCCAAAATTGCATCCCAATCAGTAATTTGCATGTCGTTTTCATCAGTTTGATAAATATTTGCACCTACGTAAACTATTTCCTCCATTTCCAAATTGTAAGTTTCCAACATAGATTGTCTTAAATATTCTGTGAATTCAGAATTTGGAGCAAAATAGTAATAGCATACAGTACCCCAAACTGCCATATAAATTAGAGGAAGGGACATCCAAATTATGATTTTATAAGAACTAAAAGTGTTCAACATTTTTGAATTATTCATAATAACAAAATATCGATAAATATATTGAAGTGCAAACATTCCCATAAATGTTCCAAACATGGCACACCAAGCATCAAGAAGAATTCTGATAACTTCGCGATTTTTAAACCACGAGTTATTGATGCTGACAAATGCTATATAAGATGAATTATATGAGTAGACTGTCTAAAATGAATATATGAAACAATTTTCTGAATAACATGACAAAAAACTTACAGGTGAAACAAACATCTGTGAATTCGAATATATAATTTCAGCTACTGATATATAAATCATCAAAATTCGATAGGAGCCAAAACTTTTTGGAGATTTGAACAAAATAAGTAAAATTAAACCAATATTCATTAAATACGATAAAATCAGGAAAACTTTTTGAATAATCTTTTCAATATTTTCCAATTCGTTTTCTCCCATTTTTCAATTTCCAGACATTATTTTTCTATTATAATCTGATTTTCCAAGAACTTTGTGGCTGAAAATCTGATTATTATAGTAATTGAGTGATAAAGATCAAAAACAAAATCATTTTGGAAATCACATTTATCAAAAAACTTTTTCTGTAAAAAGTAATCGGTTAAAAAAATAAATAACTTTCTTTATACGATTAATCATGAGAAAATATTTACGAAAAACAAAGAAAGCAAAAAAAAACTCATTTTAATCTAATTAAAATTAGTTTATATTTTGAATTTCCATTTCTACTTCTCTCTTTTTCGATGTTTGTTTTTTATTTAAAAAACTTTGCAAAGTTTTGAGAATGGTCTCTCGATAATCAGATATAATTAACATTGTTGGCAAGGGATCAATTGCAGGAAAAACTGCAATTGATATAACAACCAATCCTGTGAATTTTCCAATACTTATTTCGAGAAATGTGAACAGAAAAACCATTGAGACCGGCAAATGCATCAAGGTAATTGGAACAAGAGTTTGAACAACCAAAGAGATAAAAACTTGCATTTGCAGATTATTATTCTGCCGGGAACTTGTTTCGAAATTTTTCCTGATTTGTAGGTAACATGAAACTCCAAAATAAATTATTATAAAAAATGAAGACATAATCATTGTCCAAATTATACCAACACCAATTACCCCATTCCAATTTATATATTTCTCCCCATTTTCATTCGTTGGAAAAAAATGTACACCGATATAAACGATAGGAGTCATTTCCAGATTATAGGTATCATGAAAACTTTTACTCAAATAATCGGTAAACTCAGGATTTGAAGCACAAAAATAATAACAAATTGTTCCCCAAACTGTGCCATATATTAAAGGGAGTAACATCCAATAAATAATTTTATATGATTTGAAAGTTTTCAACATTTTTGTATTGCTCATGATAACAAAATATCGATAAATGTAATGAAGAGCAAACATTCCCATAAATGTTCCATACATTCCACACCAAGCATCTATAAGAATTCTAGTCAATTCTTTATTCTTGATCCATGTGAGATTTATGTTTATGAATGCGGCATATGATGATCCATAAGAGTGAAGTGTCTGTAAGTCCATGTTTTTTCAATACGTAAATAGTATTACTTACAGGTGATACGAAAAGTTCAAAATTAGAATATATAATTTCTGTAGAAGCTATATAAATCATCAGAACGCGATATGACCCAAATCCTTTTGGCGACTTGAAAATAATAAGTAGAATTAGGCAACTATTCAAGACATATGAGATGCCGAGACAGACTTTTTGAATTATTTTTTGGAAGTTCTCCCACTCACCAGACATGTTCAGTCTTAAAAAAACCAGGCTTCTGATTTAAAAATCTAGAAGAATCCCATAGGATTCGAGGTTAATTATTAAATGATTTAATAAATAACAAATAGTGTCCCAAAAAAATTTATTAAATCTAAAAATACCCGTAAATATCATATTATTTGAAATAATATTCATTTTTTCTCTACTAAAAAGTGATCGAACTCGTGATGTTTATCAGGCCATGGAATGCTGAAATTATTGTTTTTTTGACAAAATGTTTCTAGGCAAATAGAACCACTCACTTTCTCCCAGCAAACGTCAAATGTCGGATTTTATCAACATTTTTAATCGGTTTTTCAAAAAATGTGACGATCCAAGCGATTACAAGCATAAGTACAAATCCAACTCCAGCATAGGAATAAGTTGAAATTCTTGAAATGAATAATGTATTCGGATTTCCAAAGTGAGCATCGTAATTTGGATTTGTTCGAACGATGAAGTTAGTGTGACCACATCCAGCAGCTCTGAAAAATATTTGTTCTATTTTTCCGGAAATAGTTCAATAAAAAACTGACGTAGTATTAGTTGGCATAAATAAATCATGATAAGGATCCTGAATATAATTAGCGACGCAGATCAAAAGACAAAATAGATTTGAAATGACAAAAGAAATTAGACATGCTTTTTGGCCTGATCTTGGGAAAAACATTGCTAGAACAAAAATCGCAACCATAGGTCCTGACATAGCTCCCATCACAGAAATACAAATTCGAAGAATTCCACCAAGATATTCGGCAGTAAATGCGAGACTAGTTGAGATAACTCCACACAAAAGAACAATGGCTTTGTTGAGACGAGTTGCCTGAACATCAGTGATTTTTCCGTCAAGGCTGGTTTTCAGAAAATCTTCGTAGATTGCGGCTGCCATTGAATTCATTCCACTTGAAAGTGTGGAAAGTGTTGCAGACATTATACAACTGACATATAACCCGAATAATCCAGGAGTTGGTTCTTAAAAACAAAAGGGTTGTTTTGAAGTTAATAAGTATCTTGAAATGTTTAATTATAAACGAATTTGAAAAAATATGTTTTCAATTTCATTTTACTTAAACTTTCCAAGAAGTTCAGATTTTCCCATATTGAAAAGATGTTTGATTGACTAAACTTTGGTTTCTTGGAAACTGATAAGATAGCTAGACTATCTTTTTACCACATAAAAAAAATGAATTTTTCCTGAGCTAGAAATCGGGAATATATCTAAAAAGTGAACTATTATTTCTGCAAACATGAACTTACGCAGAATATCTCTAGCAAACAAAATCGTAATATGATCAACATCCTTGATTTCTCCAGTTTCCAAAGGATTACAATTATAAAAATACGCCAAAGCAATAAACCCAACAAAAGTGACAATTGAGCATAAAATAACAAACGGTAACATAGTATACTTGATAATTCCTTGCGCTTTTTCCAAACTCGGTAAACTTGAATATCTTTGAATTGCTAATTGATTCACACCAAATGATGCCAACCAAACAACAGTTCCTGATAATACATTTATCCAAAAACTGTTATATTGATCTAATCTCCAATTGAAACTTGCTATTTCTGATATTCTTCCAGAATCCCAAGCAATATCTAGAACTCGGGAAAATCCACCAACTCGTGGATGATTAAGACCTTTGATAATTAGGGTGAATACTCCTGAATACATCAGGATTGCTTGAAGTGAATCAGTCCAAACCACTGCTTTTATACCACCGATGCAAGTGTAAATAGTTGTGGTGCATCCAAATATCTTCAAAGGATTTTAAAAGTTGAACATTGTTTTCTTCAACTAGTTGCAACTCACCAAAATCAGGCACCATTTATCGATATTTATTACCGGTGATAGAGCAACTGATGGTGCATAAACAACAATTGCCATATAAACAATTGTAAACAACAAGAATAATCCAGAAAATAACCTTCTAATAAGCACTGAATTATATCGATGAATGAAATATTCGTGAAGACATGTACTTTTCATTTTATAAAATACTGGAAGAAAAACATAGCAAGTTATGAGAGAAGAAACAACTCCAATCACAAAATTCAGCCAAATTTGAGCTCCACGTTGGAACATTTCGGCAGGAACTCCGAGCATTAGAATTCCGGATAGAAAAGTGGTAAGAAGGGAGAGGGCAACTGGGAGCGGGGGAAGATCTCGACCACCCATTAGGTATTCTTCTTTGGCGGTGCGACCGCCGCGTCGTAAAAGGTATCGACTTCTAAATATAATTGGGTGTGGAAAAGATCGAAAGAGATCTGTTTCATGTTTTTTTTTCTGAGAAGGAATCTGATTTTTTCTGAAAAATTAGTTTTGAACTCTTCGATGGTGTTTCATTGCGATTTTTTATTTCCCAAAAAGTTATCTCTCACGAAAATCTTGTAACCATAGTTTGGAAAACCAAAGAAATGTTTTATTGATTTTGGAAATATCTCAAACAATGGCTACATGGTTTTTTTAATAAAAAAAATTGATTTTCCGAAAATCTAGCCCAAACCTTCTAATACCCAAAATCAATTCCATCAACTCACTTGATCGCATGATAAATTCCAGTTCCAAGTGATAAACCAATACTAGCTGCAAAAACGGCATAATCCAACCAAGAAAGTCGTACATCTTTGGACATTCTTGTTTTATTGTTGTTTAATTGTCCAAAATCAAAGTACTACCTAAAAGAAATAATGATGGAAGTTTTCGGTAAATATGATTGATTAAAGAGAATTGCCAAAAAATAGATAGAAGAGACAAACATTCCACCTTTTTTTCAAACAAAAAAAATTGGGAATGGAATGGAAAAATTTTGTGTAATTCTTAGCAAAGTTCAAAAAATCGAGAGCAACACATGTATCCTCTTATCATGTGTTATCTGAAACACTTTTGACAAAAAGGTTTTCTTAAAACCTGATTGAAAAAATACATATTTTGTATCTGATCAGTGCAATTTTTCTCTCGTGTCAAATTCAATTAAACAAAATCACAAAAAGAGCCACGAGAGAGATAAAAAGATAAAAAAGATGAGATTTATAGAAAAAATCAATAATCGAGCAGCATATCTCTTTTTTTTGTTGCAAAAACAAAGTGTAAAATAATAAATATAAAAGTAGAACAATAAAAGTTGTTCTTATCAAATCGCCAGAAAACCGAGTAGAGTACAAAGATTTTCTTTATTTTTTTGGGTTGTCAATATTATTATGAAAATTAAAATATTATGCTTCGGAAAGATTTCGAAGTTGATTAAACATTGAATTCTGTTCGTTTGAGGCCTCCTGTACTTTGTCGACGGCCTCGATTGAAAGTTTGATCTGATGGTAAAGCTTCTAGACTTCGATGAACTGTATTTACATTTGAGCGAGAGCCCTGAAAATATTATATTTTTATAACAATATTACAATATGACACCAACCAGTTCGGCCATATAATCATCTTGAATATCATCCTCACTTGATGTTCCTGTTAACGTAAATCTTGGAACTTCTCCTCCATTCATTTCTGACAGTTTTCGATCCAATAAATCGCTGAATAATTTGTACAAAATATCAATATTTTCTCCGCTCTCCACATATCGTTTCAATTGTGCATCTTTTGGTGTAACTGTCATTTGTGAAGAAGGTTGCACTCTATTTTCAATGTTTCTTGCATTACTCTTGATTTTTTCTAGTCGCTTATTTTGAATTGTTGATTTAGTGTTGGCTAGTTTGATTGCGTCTTCAAGGGTTATCTTTTCGTATGCGCGGATAATTGAAGTTGCGTCGAAACTTTGTCGTTTTTCGTGACGCATCAGAACGGGTTTGATCACTTTTGCATTGAATCGTTCGAAACTGAAGAAATTATGCAAAGATATTTGTGGGGGAGAAATTTTGGTTTTATCTTCAGAGATTTCTGAATCGAAATTGATCAAAATTTTTGAGAAATTCATACGAGCAAAATCATCAAATTGCGGAATTTCTTCCTGTTCAAGTTTCCAAAAATAACCTACTTTTCAATAAACGTATAGTGTCCCTTCATTCCTGCAATATCTTCCACACCAGACATCATATAATCCAAATATTTCAAATAAACACTTTCAGCCATAGTTGGATCTCGATCTTCCTTTCTTTTAACTTTCAAACAATTTACCAATGGTTTGATTGTCATTCCCTGCAACCATTTTTAAAGATTATTTTAATTCAAAACGGCATTGTTTCTGAAACCTGTAGGAAAACTGTGAAATAAATCACTACAATTGTAGCTGTTATGAACATGGGCTTGGCTTTTATTGAGGCTGGCATTGAGACAACTAAACCATAAGCGATTGCACCACGCAATCCACCATAACTCAATATAAATTGATCGACAATTGAGAATTTCTTTCCGCGGAGTTTATTCAAAACGAAACATTGTCCAACAATTCCAATCGCTCGATAGATTAGACAAAATGCTACTGTTGCAATAATAAAATATAAGTCAACATGATGATCGGATGAAATTGTTGAAAGTCCGAGAAACATGAAGATTACAGTTTCGGAACTTTGGGCTAACATTTTTGTAAAATATTTGACAGAATTTACGGCTGATGGCGAAATGTTTCCTTTTACATATTGTTTCATCAACATTCCACAAACTGCGATGCTAAAAAAAATACATTTCGAGATTGTTTTCTCTTGAAAAAATATCACTCACGCTATAATTGAAGACAATGAAACCATTTCAGCCGTCAAATACGCCATATACGGTAAAACAAAAATGAAAACGGGGGCAACAATCTTGACATCAAATGAATATTTTGTTGCTAAGCTGACAACAATTGTAAATATAACACCGATTGCAGCTCCACCTAATGCAACTACGAAAAATGATAAACCACCCATTGCATAATCGAAAGCAGATAAATTGTCAGCTCCAATGACTGCGAAACTTTTGAACATTTGATAGAGAACCTGGAAGTGAGAGAAAAAATACACTTCGATAATTATATTTTGCACTTACCACAGTAACTCCATCATTGAACAAAGCTTCCCCAAAAACATTGATAAACAAAAATTCATTAACATGAATCTCCTCAAAAATCGCAATAACAGCAACCGGATCAACAGCCGATATCAATGCAGAAAACACAAAAATCTCAAATAACGAGAACTCGACTGTAAAAACACCATAACCCGCCATAAACATCAATGATCCTCCGATTGCAAATGTATTAAATAATGTGCCAACAACAGAGAACAATAAAACCGAATCAAAATTCTCAAAAAGCGCTCGATTTGGCATAAAATAACCCGCATCAAAAATGATTGGTGGTAATAAATAGAGAAAAAAAGTGTGCGAATCAAGTGATGTTCCAGAAAGTGAAGTTTGATTCAGAAAATACCCAATAGCAAGTCCAACAATGATTAAAAGTGAAGAATCCGGAAGAATATGTGAGATTGGTTTCATTAATTTGAATACTGCAAACAATTATAGTTTTGCTGAAATTTAGAATAAATAACTCACAAATTTTGGCTAGCGATGCGACGAGCAACCAAACACTAATTAAGTAAACTGTATGTACATCATCCCATTTCCATGTGAACAACTGAAATAAAAAAAAATTCAATTTTTTTTATTTTAAAATTTTAACCTCATCCAGGTTATACTCATGACCCATTAATAAATAATAATAATAATAACTATCGGAAAAGAATACAAATTTTTGAATGCCGACATTATCTTTTTATCGTCGTCAATTTCAATTTCGATTGATTAATTGGATAAGCGAAAGGAGAAAGGAGGAGAGTAGCAGCAGAAAAATCGAAATTCGATTATGTGTATTCAGTTTTTGATTTATGCGATGTTTGGATTTGGGTACTAAACATCTGAGTTTTGGACTTTTTTAACTGTTTCAAAGAGGTTTAAAATGAAAAAGTATTTGAGCTCAAACTTGACGGATTTTCTTGAAACTAAAATTGTTAAATTTTAGGCCAAGTTAGTATTTGACAAAATACATGAAACATGTTTTGAGGCTAGGGAACGTTTTTTGTGTGACGCCTTGCCCATAGGCTGTATGTGCGTTCTTACGGTGGTTCTCTATCAGCTGTTGATCTATGTTTAGCAAAACTATCAATTAGCTTTCCTCAAAATGGCTTCCTTAAACCATCGAACCAAAATGATGTCACTGATCATCTACAAAAGATGAATAAAATCTGGCTGATCATCAAAAAATCAAATCCCTGAGAAAGATCGAAATCGTGGGAAACAAATCGGGCTGACCGGTCAGATCGCAGATAAATTTTTTGAATTACAACATTTTTCGTTGTTAAAAAATCAGTGAAAACTAGAATTTCGACGATTTGGTCATTGGCCAAATGATATCACTTTAGAAAAAATCGAGGAGAAGCTTAATACATAACTAGATAGAAAGCTTATCGTTAGAAGAAAAATAAATCACAAACCTCTCCAAAAAATCTGACAGAACCCATGATTTTTAAGTTGAGTCATTACTCAATAAAAATATAAAACTTTTTATTTTCAATTTTTTTTTGATGGTGATAAAAAAACAAAAATATTTACATACCGAATAACCTCCTCCCCTTCCATCTGTTTCGATTTTATCAGCTGTCGCATAACAAATCAAAATTAGGAGAAGCAATTTTTGAAGCATTGCTGGAAAAAGTTTGGAATTTTTCGATCTAACATTAAAAAAAGAAAAATAAAACGTTTTTTGAAAATGTCACATGAAAACGAATGATCACAAACGGTTTCGAATTATTTGGAGATTATGGTAATTTTTCGAAACTCGCAAAAAACACTGCATTGTTACGTGGGAGGTTATCAATAGACTAAAAAGTGATTTTAACCTTGAAAATTATCTTCAAAAAACGAAAAATGGAAAATGAGAAACTGAGACAGAGAAATTTATGTGATCTTGACGAAAACATATCAAATTAAAATTGACATGACTTGTTTGTTATTTGTTGATTTGTGTTCGAATTTCGATTTTTTATTTTCTTTTGATGTGACAGATAACACGATTTATCATCATCAATGTTTCAAGTTTTTGGAAACAAATTTGAAAATATTTTCGTTCAGAAAAGTTTTCTTAAAAAGTTCGATTTCGAGACCCTAATAATTATGTGACTTGGTTCATTTTCTCGATTCAAATTCATCAATCAACCTTACAATTGAATCATTTTTATTCTTCTCGAATCATTATTTTCTACAGTTTTCTAGCTTTCAAAGTACAACAGACTGGTCAACAATCTATCCATAAAGTAGTCAGTCTATGCTCTCTAAACAAACATTAACAATAAAAAAATAAAAATGTTAACACCAAAAAAACTGATAACAGGGAATCCATTCTGACATTTTTTCCAATTTTCAAAATGTCCGAACTTCACTATCATGTCAACGAAATTCCGGGCTTGACTTCGATTTTGTTGTTTGGATTTCAGGTGAGAAATTGAAACGAACTCTTCACCTTTTTTGAAATTTCCGTAATTTGTTTTTGCAGCAAATGATGATTTGTATATCGGGCCTTCTTGTTATTCCATATTATGTCGCAAATATGGTTTGTGCTGGTCCGGAAACTTTAGCTCTTCGAGTTCAATTAATCGCCGCAACATTCGTGACCTCAGGAATTGCGACACTTCTCCAAACAACTTTTGGTATGCGACTATCTATTCTTCATGGTCCTTCTTTTGGTTTTCTCCCAGCGCTCAGCAATTTTCAGTCAACGTTTCCCTGTACACCTGAAACTGATGTCTCACAATGGAAATTGAAAATGCAATTGATTTTTGGTAGTTGTCTAGTCTCAGTTCTTATTATTCCACTTCTCGGACTAACTGGGTTTATTGGAGTTATGTCAAGATATATTGGACCAATCACAATAGTTCCATTGATGTTATTACTTACATTAGGATTTGTGCCAGATGTTGAGCAAAAAATGTCACTTCATTGGATTTCTATTGTGTAAGTAGTAGACCAAGTGTGAGTCAAATTTAATGAAAAATATTCAGAACTCTTGTGATCCTGATAATCTTGGTTGTTTTACTTGAAGAAACCACTGTTCCAATTCCATATTATTCCACGAAATTGCGCAAATTCATCACAACAAGAATCCGAATTTTCAGCCAATTTCCATATCTGATGGGAATTTCAATAGCATGGAGTATCTGTTTAATTTTAACAGTTTCAAATGCGCTTCCAGCTGATAGTGCAGCACGAACTGATAATAATGATAGTCTTCGAGTATTTGAGCAAACACCTTGGGTGCAAGCACCACTTCCTGGTCAATATGGAAGTCCAAAATTAAATATTGCGTTGATTTGTGGTTTTCTTGCGTCGTCGCTTGCAACAATGATTGAAAGTATTGGAGATTATGGGATTTGTGCGAGAATTTCAAAACAGAGTCGACCACCAGCAGATAGTATAAATCGAGCATTTGTTGTTGAAGGAGTTGGTTGTATGTTAGCTGCGTATATGGGATTAGGTGCTGGTGTTACTACGTATGCTGAGAATATTGCATTGATGTCGGTGACTAAGGTAAGAGAAGAGGCATAAATAGTCTTTCTTGTTTTTCAATTTAAAAAAAAACTCGTGATTGTTTTCCCATAGAAATATATCAAAATTTACCTGATGACGAAAAAGTTTTTCTGCGACAATTATTTTCTATTGACATGGGAGATACTGAAGTTTTGGATGTTTGGATCGGAAAAAATGTTAAAAATAAAACTGAAACTTTCAAAATTTAAAAAGATTTTAGGGTTCCAATAAGGTTTTTGAAAATGAAAAAAAACATTCAAAATAAAAATTTGTCCAAAAAGAAATTCAAAAATCAATCAAAACTTTCCTAACCCTGCCTTTTGTCAACATTTTTTCTCTATTCAACATTTCCAAAAAATTTCTTAATTTTTTCAGGTGACAAGTCGTATAACAATGCAAACTGCTGGAATAATGTTAATAGTCGCTGGAACATTTTCAAAATTTGCCGCATTTTTAGCAATGATTCCAGAACCTGTTATTGGTGGTGTTTTAGCAATTGGTGTTTGTATGATCAATGGTGTTACTTATAGTAACTTGCAAACTGTTGATCTACGTCTTTCTAGAAATCTAACAATTATGGGAATCGCAGTTATTATGGGATGTGTTATTCCACTTCATTTTGAAACATATCCACTACAGACAGGAAATAAAACAATTGATGAAGTATTTGGAACACTTTTAACTATCAAAATGTTAATTGGTGGAGCAATTGCATTTGTTCTAGATAATTTGACACCTGGTGCAACAAGAAAACAAAGAGGATTTATTGACGAAGAAGATGAGGATGATATTAAAATTGATATTGAGACAAATGGTTATATATTTCCATCAATGGTTAATCGAATACTTTTGAAACTTCCATGGTTATCATATTTACCAATTTTGCCAAATTATGAAGTTTTGGAAAAAATTGAAGAAGAGCGACGAAATTTGGTAGAAGATGAAGATAAAATTACGATTATTTGAAGATTATTGTTATTGTTGAGAATCAAAGATTAAAAAGGTGACATTTTTGAGATAATGAAAATTGTTTAGAACTCTGAAGTGTTTTTAAAATGTTCGTAAAATTTAAAAAAAGCAAGTTGTTTAGCGTTTTAAGAAAAATTCCCAATTTTCTGAAAAAAAAATGTTTTTCATGAAAAATATTTACTTACATTCGAGATCATTTGACAAAAAAACGAGGGAATGGTCCACACAAAATAGTCTAACCGGGTTCAGAAAAAAAAAAAACAAAATAACATAGTTCAAAATATCATATCATATCAAATCATTTTTCAGATTTCAAAAAAAAAGAGCTAAACTTTGTACTCTCTTTTTTCAAAGGAATGTAAATATATACAGAATTAAATTTTTGAGGTTTCATAACTTCAACAATTATTTAGCGACTTGTGTAGTTGAAGTAGCAGTTGCCGATGGTTCAGCAAATGGATCAGTTTTATTACCTTCTGAGACAATTGGTGCAACCATATTAACGAATTCGTCTAAATCAATTTGTTCATCACCATCTTTGTCGACTTCTCGAATGATTTCATCAACTTCTTCCTCGCTGAATCTTTCGCCCATTGTTGTCATAAAATGTTTGAATTCTTGTGCAGTTATATACCCGTTACCATCTTTATCGAATACCCTGCAAAAACGAAACATTGAGATAATTTGGGGATTTTTTTGTTTCGGTGTTCAATGTTTCTTCGAAATTTTTGATTGTTTTTTTTTGCGTTCTAACTTTTTGAAATTCCTATTGATTTTTTAGATCTTCATAAATAATTTCAACAAAAAAATCATTTGAAAATTCAAATCACAGATTTTTTTGAAGCGATACTAACATAAGAATTTGGATTATTGACAGTTTTATTTTTGAAATTCATAAACTAACTTGAAAGCTAATCGTATCAATTCCTGATCGGTTTCCTTGTTCATTTCTTTCATCATTTTACAAAATTCCCCAAAGTCAATTTTTCCATTTCCATCCACATCATATTCATTGACCATATTGAGAAGTTCTTCTTCGGTTGGATTTAATCCAAGAGTTCGCATTGCGACACCAAGTTCTTTGATATTCATTGTGTTATTGCCATCTTTATCAAAAAGCTGCAAAACACTTGTAATGATCGCTTGAATTTGGCAAACTTTATTGATAAAAAAACAAAAAAAAACTCTCTTGAGATCTTTTTATAATTATAATTTATTTTTAGCCATGGTATAAATTTTTAGAGAAGATCAGAGCTTAAAGACACATCAGCCACTGGAAAAAACAGATTTCCCGCATTTATTTTCAAATGACAAAAACAGCATGTGCGCTCTATTGCTTCGTTGTGTGCAAACTCTTTCGAAAATCCCGTCGGCTGAGCGATTTCAAAAACAATTAATTTGTTTTTTTCACTTTTGCCAGACTCAAAATTTTTTCTTGTGTTTTATGAATTCCGATTACTTGAAAGGTGTTATGAAAGAATAACAAACTCATTTTCTGTTCATTTCTAGTGGATTGTGTGTCTTTAACAAAACAAGAGAAAAATGACATCAGAAATATTTCGTTGTTTTTTTTTTTTGCTGAAAGTCAGGTGTTACAGTAATATGCATATAATTGTTCTACACTGATTAACTTTACTGTTTTGAAGTTGAACTTTAATCAACAATTACATTATCTTGAACATAAAATTGAATATAAATTCTACAGTACCCATTGCTCACCTTAAACGCCTGCGCAAATTCCTGCAACTCTTCTTGAGTGAATTCATCGCCTTCCGAACAAACCGATTGATTTGTGCCTTGTCGATGCATTTCAGCTCGTTTTTGTGCTGCAAAAATTGAAATAAAATCTATTTTTATTTTTTGTCTATTTTTATTTTTAATATGTATTGTTTTCGAAAAAAAAAACACAACAAACTGAACAAAAACACTTGTCGGCCGGGTTTTGCTTTTTGTTTTTTTTCGTCTTCTCAAAATGAGGTTTTTCAGGGGAACAATCAAAGATCGATGAAAAATAGAAGACAAAAACAACATATGGCTTGACGCAAAAAGGTCACACTTTTTCCTGGATTCGAAATGAAAAATAGAAAAAAAAGTTGGATTTAATTCAACGAGCTCTCTATTTTTCTGGTGAATGGGAAAACGATTCGTGGAAGTTTTTTGAAATGAGAAAAAGAGAAAAAAAGGATCAACATGAATTATGGACAGAAATAGGAAAAACCATTTTATGACCTTATCAAACTACAATTGAAGCCTTTTTATGATTAATGAAGGTCTTCGAAATTTGGATAAAAAATCAAAATACTTTGACCCGGAAGAAAATGTTATTTTAACATTTTTCTCGGAAAAGATACGTCTAGTTCTCAAGTTTCAAAATTGACAAGACAAAAAATATCAGTTAGTATTTTTGAACTAAAAACTGACTTTTTATATTGAAATCATTTATTTTTTCAACAATGCATGAACATTTATTGAAACGTAGAATTTTCAAGTTTCTGTTTGGAAAAAATGGAGTCAAAACATATTTTTCTGATGGGAAGATTTTTGAGCTACGTTTATGTTATTTACAGTACACTTTGAGATATCGTTCATTTAAAAAACAAATCACAGTAAGTCAATTGGGGGAAATAATGTGGATATAATTTAGGTCTTCACATTATCCTAGGACAACATTTTGTTTAAACTGCATTATTTTATCCACAGATTTTTGAAACTTACAGTAGGTAATCCAAAATACGAAAAATAAATGCTAATCCTTAACTAAATAATGTTGAAGCTACAGTATTCCTAGTTTTTCTCTGTTTTCTTTCAAAAAAAAATATATAACAAAACTTCTAAGCTTTTAAACATGTAGAAAAATGAGAGTGGACTATCACTAGATGTTCAGTTAATCTATCAAAAATCAAAAGATGTTTGATGTTTTTGTGCTCTCAACTCACTCAGAACAAAACCGCCTACTACGTCAAAAAAAGAGGTCTCTCGGGAAGACAAAATCGAACACCTTGTGGATCAGAAAAAAAGATGAAATTGAGCGGGAAAAAAACGAGGATGAGCTCGGTGGAGCAGAAAAACGGAAGGAAAGAAAGAAAATGAAAAGTTGGCGAGCTCGAAAAAAAAACGATGAAAAAAAGAAGAAGATAAGTTTTATGAGCAAAAAAATTGGGTGTGTTTCTTCTTGAGCTTCTTCTTCTTCTGATGATGATTATTTTTAAAAAATGAGAAAAAATAGGAGGAGGAGATTTTTTGAATATAGGGATAATATCTATATTATCGAAAATCTCATCGGTACCACGCGCTCCACCGAAATAAACACGCAACGCAGACCGCGCCGCGCCGCAACACACACAAAGAAGGGAACGATTCAAATTCCCTCCCTTTTTTGTGTGTGTTGTGGCGCGGCGCGGTCTGCGTTGCGTGTTGATTTCGGTGGAGCGCGTGGTACCGATGAGATTTTCGATAATATTCTTCTTAACAATAAAACTATCAGAGATTATGATAATAAAAATGATTGGATTTGGATTTCCAAAAAATGATACTGGATAAAGCAGAGATCCTTAGCTAGGTTTTGCAAAAATGATATTCTAAATATTTATTTCTGTATGTGGTAGGTTTTTTTTTGAAAACTAAACAGACATCTAGACCTTTTACGTCAGAGCCTGAAGATATACAAAATACAGAATTCTTCAGAAAATCTCGAGATAATCACAACTTATCCCAAACATCTTATTATAAATATATCTATACAAGATTTACGATTTTTTTTTGAAGAAAGTGTGAAACTTTTTTTTTTCATCTGTCAGGTGTTCCATCAAAAACAAACTGACAAGATCATTATTAAAGATAATAAATTTTTGTTGTTTTTTATTTCGAAAAACTTGATGTCTCCTGGGATAAATGTTCCTTTTTTATTTATCAAACTCACAAGATGGCATGAGAAATAAACGGCGAAGATTCAAAATAAGTAGAGCTAAGAAGTCTTTCATATTTGGGAATATTTCGAGAAAATGAGAATGAAAAATGTGAGTTTTCTCCGATAGAAAACATTTTTTGTATTTCTTATGAGTACAAACTTACATAAATCCAAAGAATTTGCGGATTTGAAGGGAAGCACGGAATGTACACATACGCCGCTTGCCATTACCGGTTCTATCACATCTTTTGAAATTGATGAACCATTTTGTCTGAAAAATTAAAAAAAATTTGAAGATGAAAAAAAGAAAAAATTTTGACCCAGGCAGGGATCGAACCTGCAATCTTCTGATTAGAAGTCAGACGCCTTATCCATTAGGCCACAAGGCCACGGGGAAACCGATTGTGTTTGTTCATGTTGAACACGATGCTTTTCGATGTGTTTACAAAAACTTACTTTGCTCGAAACCCTTTTCTTCGCGGGCCAATTCGATGCATAAACTTATTGAACAGCGAAATTTTGACGTGTAGATTTAAAGTAACAGAAAAAAAAAGTTTTTTTTTGTTTTTTAATTTAAAAATAAGAAGACGAAGAAGAAGATGAATAAGAAGAAGTAATACTAAAAATAATAATAATAATGAATAAAAGACATTTTTTTCTCATTGCTTTTTCTTTTCGTCTTTTTATATTTCTTGCGCAGTAGAAAAAACGAGAATAAATTGGCCAAATTCTTTTGGCCGCGGGCCACGATTTAGAGCATGTAATCGCACAACAAAAAAGGTGAAGGCTGTGAAAGAGTATGGGATATTGAGAGAGTTGACAGAGAAAGCACAAAAAAAAAACGAAATATTTATAGAGGGAAGAGTTTTTTTTTCGGTGAAGCGCCATGTTTTTTTTGGATTGTCGGGAAAAAATGGATACTTCGAAATTTATAGCATTTTTGTTTATTATTTTTTGGAACAATTTTCGGATGGTTTTGTAATTTTTGAAAATTGGAAATTGAAATTATTGCGGGTCTAGACTGAAATAAGTAATTAGATTTTTTTTGTTGAAAATATACTGAAATTCTGGAACGCTCTAAAACGAAGTTTCTCACAAAACATCTTAAAAACTTGAAACGACAACTTTTTGATAAGAATTTCTTACTCAAAACTACATTTGAAGATCTACTTCCAATGCCTTCTGATTACTGTATATTTTTAATATTTTTATTCCGAAGTTCAAAAATTCAATCGAATAAATTATTTAATCAAAATTTCAGTCCGAAAACTTCAAATTGTTTCCAAAAAATAAAGGTTATCAAAATTTCAACAATTCTAGACGTCAAAATTTCCAGTTCTGGTACTGTAAATTAAAAAAAATTAGTTCTCATCAAAAATGCGAACATAAACTTCAACACAAAAAAAAGCAAAGAACTTTCTCATATTTTTTCCGGCCAAATTTATTTTTTTTCCAAAACCTATTCTAGCCGAAAAAATCGGCAAGATCTCACTTTAAATCTTCACATTCACATAAAAAACTCATGTAAATTTGAGCCTATTTTTTCTTTTTCCTGAACTAATTATTTTTCATTTTTTATTATTTTCATCAAGAATTCAGATTTATATGAAAAGGAAGGAAATCCTGAGTTGTCGAAAATTTTTGAAAGAGAAAAAACCGTGTAAAAATGCATTGTTGCCAATAGCTTCTTTCTAGAATGTGTGACATTTTTGTCGTCTCAAGAAAAAGGGGGAAAAAAAGGAAAAAAGTTTCAATTTCACCTGGCTTTTTTTTTTCGTTTTTTTTTTGGCTTTCCGGAAGACGTGGAAATGGAAATACGCAATTAGATTAGTCTTTGAAAACAAGAAAAAGAAATAGAATTGAGTTGGGTTGAGGCTTTTTTGGGCTAACAAAGTGCCTTTCTGTTTTATGGTGTTTTTTTGTGTTGAGAAAATGAATTTTTCCAAGTAGGTTTTGTTACAAAGTTGAAAGTTTTTGACTTCAAACATTCTAGAGTTTGATTGCCTAAAATTTCAAAAATTTTCATATTTTTTAATAATAGAAATTTATAGGGATTCTGAATATGTAGATGTTTATCAAACTTTTTTGAAAAATGATTTTGTGAATGTCTTGAGATTTTTGAAACCTAAAACTCAAAAAAAAAACTTGAATCTGTACTAACCAACTTTTTCAGTTAAATATTTCGCAAGAAGAACTGGGTTAAAAAATTTTGGCTAACAAAATATCTTTTCTCATTTTTGAAAAAAATGAATTCTGATAAGTTTTAATTTTTCTAGATCCGGAAATTTAGTCATCACTTCCTGAGCTTTGTTTGAGCTAATCAAGAAAGCTCAAGATTTTCAGAACATGTTTTTGTGAATTATAAATTTTTAGATTTGGATTTCCTGGTAAAAGACCAAGAGAACAAAAATTTAGAAATAACAGAACTTTTCTGAACCGAACTACAGTAATTTGAGAGAAGAGATTTCTTGAACTGAAAAGTCAGAACTACAGTAACCCTATGGTATTAGGTTTTGAAGAGTCTGGCTATGTTTCCTTAAAAATTTAATTGTTCCAAGAGTATTCGAATTGTTGAAAAATTCTCAAAAATTCAGTTTTTTTTTCTGAAAAATGAAAAAATCTTCGTGATTTTTCAAAAATTGTTCTTTTCGGGTTCTCTTGGAAACATCAGTATAGTTTGGATTTTTCCGGAAGAAATGATGACTAATTTTCGATTTTTGACTCTTTGATCTCAAAAAGCATTATTTTGTGTTTTCGAAAATAATATAAATTTCTAGAACTTTCAAATTAATAGAAGTCAGATTGGAGAAGATCTTATTGTTAGAAAATTATTAAATTCCTGATTTCTCAACTTCTTTCTATCTACGTCAATTCAAGAAAAAACATATATTCAAATATTTTCAATGAGAACTCATATGAATAATCCTAACGAGCACAACTATTTTCCAAAAAAAAAGAAAATTCAAAATTCAAGATCAAATTCTCTTTTTTGAAACTTGTGACGTATGAAAAAGGGGGTGAAAATTGAATTTGTTAGTCCGTTTCAAATATCTTCATGTGTGGGAGTATATAAAAATTGAAATCCACTTATGAAAAATAGAGTGAATAAATCTAATTCTAATTTGATTCTTTTTGACCAGCTCAATGATTTTTTTAGATGAAATAAAATTCTGGAGTAATTCTGGATAGAAATGGCTCTTCGAAAATTGTTTATTTTTTGGTAGGTGAGACAGATGTTTTCTCAAGGTTTATACAAAAATTGCGATTTTGTTTATAGATTTTTTTGGATTTTAAAATATCGAGAGCTAAAAATGAGTGAAATAGAGATTTAGGAATTTCGAACTTATTTCTAGGAACTTTTAAAATCCTAAATTTAATTTTTATTCAATGATAGATCCTTTTAATCTAAATTTCTACTTTTTTCCGTATATCACATCTAAAAATATCAGATTTTTAGAAGCTCAAAACTTGTTCTCTGAAAACTTTTAAAAATTTCACTTCAAAACTTCCAATAATTTTAAATAAATTTTTCAATCCCAAAAAACCCTCCCAGACCCTCCAAAAATCATAAAACAACTAACGTGTTCAAATTTCGTTTCGCAAAAACATTGAAACTTTCATCGATTCTCTTTTGTCGCGCCGCTTTCGACCGACCGAATCGGAATTTCTGCAAAAAAATCAAATTTTTTCTCCAACAAGAATAGCCCATAATTTTCACCGAACCTTGAATAGGAAATCCAGTTTTACAGATATTGTAATCTCATTTTTCTTCCTCTTCTCAGCTTTTGCTCTTTTTTGAAGTTGACACGGCTTGGCTCAAGTTGAGAGAAAGTTGCTCTTTTCTGAAAAAAAAAACTTTTTTTCATTTTCATTTTCTTCACAAATGTCAAATGTTTATAGGAAATATATTAGGAAATTTTCGCAACAAAAAAAACAGAAAAAAACGAGAGAATTTTTATGTGTATGTGTATGTATGTAATGAATGAGCAGATGAGGCAAAAAAATTGGAAGCTGAAAAAATTGGAAAAAAAAAACGGAGAAAAAATGAAGAAGCAAAAATATGTATGTGTGTGAGTGTAGGTGATATTGTATTCAACAAATATGCAAAAAAAAACGAGAAAAAGAGGCGAGTGTTGAGTGTTAGTAGTGGACATTACTAATAATCCATTCATTTCACTTTTTTTTTGGTTTGCGCGAGAAAAAAAGCAGATTTTTTCGCTTTGCTCTGCGTCTCTTGGTCTTTGACTCGTTGATAAGGATTTTTCGAAGCACTTTTTGGGCGATAAATTTTTGACGTCGTATTTTCCAGAAACTTTTATTTCAGCGTTTTTTTTTAGAAAATGTAAAATTTTTGAAATTTTACGGCATTTTTCAGGTTCAAATTAATATTTGACTCTAGAGATTCGTATTTGCGTCATTGTTTTTTGATAGAGATTTATCTACGTCATGATTTTTGAAAGAATGGGGTTGGTTTTGTATTCATAGATGTACCTCAAAATCGAATACAATTTTTGTCAGATAGTGGAGTTTAGAAAAAGAACTAGATTTTCAACAGAAAAAAAAGGATTCACAGAAAAATTACAAAAAAATCAGTTCAAATGTTTAAAAAGGCTGCCAAGAGAAATATAAGAGACGAAAAGATATTGAAATCCCGGGTGATCTACACTAGTTGAAGTTGCGGGTCTAGGATTTAATAATTCAAAAAACTGATTTTTGAGACATAATTTTGAACTTTGGAGTACATGTAGATCAATTCTAGATTTTCGTCTTTTCCTAAGACTTTCCCAACTCACATTTTTAAGTTTATGAAAAAAGTTCATAGGAGTATTCTAGTTCTAAAAACGAAAGGATATCACCATTTTTCAAATTTGGAAATCAGATAACAAAGAAATGGGTCACGATTTTTTTAAAGAAAAATTATGATTTCTGAACTTTTAAGCCCAAGAATTGATCTAAAAACAGAGAGATTCAGAAAAGTTTCTAGATCATATTTCAACTTACATTTTGAATTCAATTAACACAATAAAATTGTCCCGTTTTTCTAGCTCAATAACTTGAAAGAAATGATAAGTTCCAAATTTAAAATAAAAATAACAAAATAGGCCACGTTTTTATTTTTTTTATTTTCGAATCGAACAGACAAGATTTTTTACGTCATTTTTTTCCGGGATTATCTCATGCGTAAAGTTAATTTGATTTTTCTGATCTCAACATTTTTTCTATTTATTTTTTCAAGAAAACAATTATTTTTCAGAAAATCATGATTTTCGATTTTTCGAAGGCTCAATGATCAAATGAAAAATTCAAAGACACATATATTTTTGCTCATTATGTATAATGTAAAAAAAACGAGAGAAAATGAATAATTTTTTCAAATGAATGACAAAAAATCTCTCGCATTTGGCACGGATTATTCATTTGGAAGAAAAATGAAATCATCATTCAAATCCAAAAAAAGATATGACTTTTTAGAAACAAAAATATTATACAAATAAATACACTGCATTTTTTGGAAGAGCTTCTTTTTTCCTAGTTTGGCGAAAAAAAAGAAAAGCAGAAGAAATTTGATCTATTGGTGTGAGAAACGGAAAACGCAAAAAAAGAAACAAAAACATAGTTAGTTTGAACTTTGAAATGAAAATAACTAGGAAAAGTGAAGTGGATTTTTCGAATTGAAATATTTTTGAATTTAATTTGGGGGTTTGGCTGATTTTTGAGGGGAGGTGAGATTGATTATAGGTTTGGAATGTTGATGGATTTTTTGTAAGGTTTTGAAAAAAAGTGATGTTATAGATGTGCGCAAAAAAAATAAACATCACGTGGTTTCAGTTGTTTCAAAAAGTTTTGAAAAATGTCAACTAGAATATTTTAAGAAGACAAATCAGCAGCTGAAAATGTGAAAACATTTTGTTTGTAGAAAAGCCAAGCTTGTTTTCAGAAAAAACGTTTGGAAACTATTGATTCTGAAAAATTTTAACATCGATTGGAACTGTTTTTTTAGAATTTATTTTGAAATTCAAAACTTTCTGAACTTTTTATCACAGCACGAACCCATATTTTTTAGAATTCAAAGTCTTACTTATGTTTCAAAAAACCGCGATGTTTGAGGATTTGGAATTCAACGTTTTTAGGCCTGAAAAATTCCTAAATTCGAAACTCTCGATTTTTCAAATCCAATTTTTTTTAGATAATCTTCTCTTCCCATCCAAAAAAATCAAAAAACAAAGAACGAAAAAAAAATATTTTTCGAGTTTCGGAAGTCGACAGCGGGTAATAAAAAGGAAATGAGATGGAGTGTCTCCTTCTATTTTTGGCTGGCCCCAATGTTTTTTGTGGCAATTTGAATTCAGCTTAAGCTTGGCTTGTTCATCATGAATAGTCGATGTAGCAAATTAAGAGAGACGAGCTTCCAATGAAAAAAATGGCGCACAAAAAATTCTCTCCATTTTTTCAGTCCGAGACACAAAAAACACGATTCTTTTTTCTTTCTCTTTCACTTTTCCCCCTTTTTTTTTCGTGTAAATTGAATCAAGAAGTGAGAAGAAGAAGAAGTATATGTATATGAATGAATGAATGAAAAAGCACTCTTTTTTGCTTGCTCCCCGAGCAAAACAACACACAGTGAAAAAAAATAAAATTGGGAGAAAAAAGGCAAAAAAAACAAGGCAGTCGCGCGGCGATAGCTAGAAAAAAAGAAGAATAGAAAAATTAGTAGTTTTTTCTTTTTCTTTTTTTTGCACATGTATGTGACTGGAATTGAATTGGAATTGAATAGATATGAAAGAATGATTGGTGGAAGGAAACAAAACAAGAAGAAAAAGAAGGAAAAAGGAAACATGATGACGGACGTTTTTTGACACGGTGTTGGAGAAAACAAAAACAAAATACTAAAAAATGATATGTTATGGAATACTGTAGTTTTTATAGCATTGAACAGACTTGAGATTTTGAGTTTTTTTTTTTTAGAAAATCAAGAAAATTTGTTCAAGTTATTTTCGAAAATCTGAATTAGGTGAGAAGCGGAAATCAAGCATCAATACATATTTTGTACCAGAATGTTCTCATCAAAAGTTCAGCAGCTCTCCAAAAAATCCCCAAACTCACGCACTTTTGTTCTTCGATTTGTTCGTTTTCTCCAAATTTTCTCGACAGAACAAAGAAAAAACTTTTCAAAATTGCCCTCCCAAAAAAAAAACACAAAATTGGACCATTATTTTGCTCTTTCGAACAAACAAAACAAAAAAGTTCTCTATAAAAAATGCCACGGAGTTCCAGACAACACAAAAATAATTCGAATAATTCATAATGTTTTCTCTTTTTTCCTTTTAGTTTTTTTTTCTAAAAAAAAGAGAAAAGAATTTTGACGAATAAAAGAAAAACGAAGAAAGTGAACAATTGATAGGTCCCAATGGGAGAATTCGAGCAAAGATCTTGTATTTATTATGTTTATGTTAGAATTTTGTGTTTTGATTATTAATAAATATTATCATCTTGAATATTTGGAGCAAAGTTTCAGAAATCTTCAAACTAGCCAGAGTGGAAGTGAAGATCTGAACGAGACATTCACATTCTTCTCAGTTTCGACAATCGAAGATGATGATGTGGCATTCTTTGAGGACTTTGGGATCGAATGAATTGCTCCGTCAGAGACTGGAATCGGAATCGCAACAACATCATGAACAACTTTACCGTTTGCATCGACGAAATTAGTTTGAAGAACTGGACGAACTTTGAGATTCACCTTCTCATTTCCTTTTGATGTGAATTTCTGAAAAAAAGGAGTTTTGGTGGCATAGCACAATGTGTTACGGGAAACTGCCAGTATTTTTAATGGAAACCTTTTATGGTTTCTCAAAAATTGGTGATTTAATCAAAATTTCAAATTCGAAAAAATTCTTGAAAAATATGATTTTCCCTCACTGCCTTTTCAGGTTTTATTTGCTAACCTAACAGTCTTTGCATCCTCACAAATCAATTCCAAAGAAAACTTACTTTTCTAACATCTTCCGGCGACAAAGTAACTGCAACATCAGTATTCACACTTTCAGTTGTAGAACTTGCTCCAGCTCCTCCTCCAACAACAACAGTTTTTACAGGTTTTGCAGAGTTTACTTTTTTGCTAGATTTTGTTAAAATCAATGGCTGTGCGAATTGATTTGCTTTGTCAATATTAACTGCGGTTTGTTGTGAATTCAAAGCAGCCATCATTCGGGATCGAATTTGGAGATTTGGTGGAACTGGGTGATGCTGAAAGTTCGTGAATTTTTATAGAAAATATTATATTGATTCTCACTTACCTGTTCAACATTTCCATCTTGGCTAATTTGTTTGGCTCGTTTCAAATTGAGCCCTTCTGGTGGTGGAAGAGCAACAACAAGAGAAATTGAAATTGTAAAAAAAATAATCAAGATTCTTCTCATTTCGAATCGAGGAAAAACAACAATGAAAGCTAATCTCCGGGAAAAATTCTGGGTGGAAAGTGATAAGACGGGTTTTTTATTGGATTGGAAGAGGAGATTTGATGATTAGTTGGCTTGTTCGAGATGATAAGAAAGAAAAAAACGAAGTTATGTTTGTTTAAGTTGGGAACATGCAAAAAAGTGTGTTCTAAACCTGAAGTTAAGAATTTTTTTTAATTTTCAGGAGTTTAAATTTTATGAAAATCAAATCCAGTTTTTAAACAATAAATTTTGCTTTAACTTTCAGATTAAAAGTTTTTTGTTCATGAAATTCCCAAGTTCCAGATCGAATATATTTTCCGTCAAACTTTTTTGAATCAACTACAAAAAGAATTTAATTAGGATCGTTCGAATTGTTAATAAAATTAGCGACAATTGGAAATTTGATATCTAGCAACTTATCTACTGAAGTAGACAAACAGGAGGTGTAAAGTTGCGCAACATCAATTTTGGCATCGATGATTTTCAAGTGTACTTCTGTACAAAATTCAGAAAACATCCACATTTTCCTCGCTGTCATTATAAATCATTCTCATTTATGATCATTCGAACTTCCCCATACATCTGTTGAAGATCAAACAAAGAGTTCCGAAGTCATATTTTACTCAAAAAAAGTTCAAGTTACAAACATAAACATTTCGCGAACAAAGAGAAATAACTTATAATCACAGCATCTGTTTTTTGTCAAATTTCACATTGTAAAACATCCACCACCATACCCTTCCTTAAGAACCGCCCATCTTTTTGGATATAAAATAGAATGGTGAAGGTGGATGGCACCGAAATATATTCTACAACAAGCTCAGCCACCGCTTTCTGATATTTTAGAGATTTCCTAGAATTTGAGAAGGTAACTCTGTAAATATTAGAACGAGGTGGCTTTTGAGCAAAATTTTATCTATTTTCATTACTGTTGTGTCTACTACCATTTCCTATTTTCTAGCTCAAAATCAGATCAGCCACCTTTTTCTAACATTTAAGTGACTTCCTCGAACTTGAAAAGGTAGCTTCATAAAGGTTAGGAAGAGGTGGCCTCTGAATATACTTTTTCTATGATTCCTATTATTCTAGGCTCAGTCACCATTTCTTTACAATTTGACGATGTACCATGAAATTGGCAACAGGTCGTTGTTGATTTGTAAAGAGATGGTGCTTCGAGCTAATTATTTACAAATATTATTTCTAGCCCGGCTCAGCTACCATTGTTCGATATTCCAGTGAAACACCTGGAATTTGAAAAGGTTTGACTGAAATTTTCGAACACCGGTGGCTTTTGGAGCATTTTTTCAATTATATTTAATATTATTGAGCTAAATTCCCATTTCTTCACAATTCGAGGCAATACCTTGAAATTTAGAAAAGGTATTGCAAGAATTTGCGAAGAAATGGTGATAGAAGCTGATTTTTCATTTTTATTCCTAGCTGTGCTCATCCGTCATATTTCGATATTTCTGTCAAATACCTAGAATATAAAAAGGTATGACGAAAATTATCGGAATCTGATGGTTTTTTGAGCGAACATTTGATTTTCAATATTTTTTGGTAAATCTTCTCTCGAAATTATTCGAAACTTTTGAGAAATCAATGAAGTACAATGTGATAAAAAAAAATGAAGAACAAGAAGAGTAAATGAGAATTTTACAGAACATTTTTTAATACCTGGAATATGAAAAGGTATGGCAAAAAATGTCGGAAGTTAATTACTGTGAGCCTAATATTGACTTGGAGAATGCTCGATATATGTGAATATTTTCTTTTAAGTTTTGTCAATTGAATCTTGAAAAATATTATTAAAATTGCTTGGATTTCCACAAAAATCGTAATTTTTTGCATCAACACCAAAATTATTGATTTTCTGGTTGACCATGACGACAAACCCCAATTAGTTATTCAAGAAATTAAAATTTTTGAATCTCTTTCTGGATTTCCAAATTTCGGCAACAAAAAAGTTTCAAAGCAAACAAACATTTTTGATTTCACAATGGTTTGAATATTTCATCACAAAATTTTTTTTCTTTGATAAGAATGTTTATTTTTTCATTTTTCTTATTGAAATTTTCAGCCAAAACATGTCACTTCACCAAACAACTTCGGGTCTTTTAGGAACTCATGTGAATTGGGAAGATATTGAGGATGAGATTAGGCAAAGTTTGGGAACAAATGCCAGATTTGGTGACAATAAACAAGCGACTAATATTGGAAATATGAAGGTAAGTTATGGGGTGAGTCAATTTTATTTTTTGTCAATTAATTGACACAAAATGTGAGTCATTTTTGTGCGATTTTTTCACGTTTTTGTCGATTAATTCCATCTTTTTTTGCAATTAATTGCATTCAAAAATGAGGAATTTCAATACGAAATAGAATTTATTTGACCTCTTTTTTGAAACGTGTCCCAAATTCACTGCTTATTTTTTGGATTCATTTCGAAATGAAAGAAAATTGAAGGAAGATGATTTTTTTGTTGATAATTCCAACTCATATAGGTCACGTTTTAAAATATAGGTCAAATAAATTCGAATTTTTATGCAATTAATCGCATTTTTTGCCAAGAAATGAAAGCGATGAATTGACAAAAACGTGAAATTAATCGCCCTAAAAGACTCACTTTTTTTGTCAATTAATCGCAAAAAACACGTCGATTAATTCGATTGACTCACCCCATTATTAATTTTTTGTTTATTCATGATAAAAGTTTTAAAAACTCGTTAAAAAATTCCAAACGTAGCTTGAAAATAAATTCTCATAATAAAAAACACTTTCAAACTTATTCGAAGAAATTTTGTTGAAATTTCCAAGAACCGAAATTCAAAACGCAAATAATTTTCTTATTTTCAATCCCGATTTTTTTTTTCAAAATTTCAGGGCTTCACGTCAAAAACTGCGCTTATCGAGCCAGATTGGACTCAAGATTCGGAAATGCTTCCCAAAAAATTTGTAGTCAAAATATCATCTCTACTAGCCATTTGTGAAATATCAAAAGTGCTCAAACATGGTGGCGAAAATGGTTTTTCCGAAGAAAAATTAGAGAGTTTTTATAAAATAACAAAGGATCTTCATAATCGAGAAGTGGAAGCATATGAATTTTTATCAAACATTCCTGAAATTCCTCTACTAAAAATATATTCTTCTCGAAAATTCAGTGCGGAAAATCCACTGAAAGCATTCATAATTTTGGAATATGTCGAAAATGTCAAACATGTGCCAATTTATGAATCGCTCGAACCTTTGGAAATTATCGAAATCGTTCAAAATATAGCAAAATTCTCGAGTGTCGCCGAGATTTTTCCGAAAAATGAGCTGAAATTCGCGACGGAACCAGAATTTTGGGAAAAAATATTGAGAGAGTTTGGAGATGAAAAAGTTTCGGAAACTATTTTTCTAATGTTGAGGCAAGATTTTCCGGAAGAATATGAAGATAAAGTTGAGGAGTTGATCGATATTTATCGATTTTTGATGAGTCCTGAATACCTTGCAAAATTACACGAGGTTTCAAAGTTTTTGGGTGAGTTTTAGGGAATCTACAGATTTCAGGAATTTTTCTATGAGTGTTTGTGTTACAAATGAACTCAAAAATGCTTTATTAACCTATTGATTTCGGATTTCCAGGATTTCCGCTAGTTCTGATACACGGTGATTTATGCATAGACAATTTATTATTTTTGGATGAGGGCTATTCTCCGAGAATCATGCAACTTTATGCAATTATCGATTGGCAAACTGTTAGTTTTGGCTCACCGGCTCAAGATTTATGCCGATTATTTTTGTCAATTTTAACAGCGAAAAATCGGCGAGAAAATTTAGACTATCTGCTGGAAATTTATTATCGAGCATTTCTTGAAAATCTTGAAAATTTTGGGCTGGATAAGAAAATACCATTTACTTTTGAGCAATTGAAGAGCAATTATCAATTATTATTTCCATTATTGACTATAATGGTTTTGCCAGGGATTTTGAGATTTACTAGTTTTGTACATTGTTCGCAAGAGGAAACAATGAAAATTCGAGATTTGGCAATTGAAAAATCAGTTGGAATGATGGAAGATGCTATTGAAATTCATAGAAAAAATTTGATCGAATTTTCTGATTTTTATAAATTGTGAATGAAGTATTTTGCAGTATTCTTATGATTCAAGAAAATTAAGAGTACATCTCTGATTCAAAATTTCATTTACATGTTGATATTTTTTAACACGAAGGAAAGTTCCCGAAACCAACCTGTCATTCAACAATTTCCCCATAATTTTCTTCCCATAACCACAAAAATATGTTCTCACTCTCAGATTTTCGAAAATTTAACACATTGGTGACAAAACGTGTCATTGATATGAACAACATCTGTTATTTTTCCCTGATATTAGTGTGATCCACCCAAAGCTCCGCCCATTTTCAGCCAATATAAAAGGGCATGGTGAACTAGAATAAAATCCTATCGACTGGTTTCAGGCTTAGCTACCATTCTTCACATTTTCTTTTCAATTACAGAAAAATAGAATTGCAAAATAAGGATGTGTTAGAATGGTGGTACATATGAGCTACCTTTTTCTACTATTTTAAATTATTCCTAGCTTGATTCAGTCACTATTTTTCTGCATTCTTTGTCGAATACCTGGAATATGAAAAGGCATGACAAGAACTGCATGAAAGTAGTGACTTCGAGTCCAATTTCTATTTCTGTGCTCATTCACCATTTTCTGACATTTCTGTTGAATACCTGGTTTTTGGAAAGGTATCACAGAAACCTGTCAGAAAATGGTGGCCTAGAGCCAACATTAATGCACGGTCACCAATTTTCGACATTCTATTTCAATACCTGACATAGGAAAAGGTATGGCAAGACATGTCGGAAATTAGTTACTGTGAGCCAAATTTCAAAAAAAAAAAATTACGAAAAAAAATCCCACCACAAAAACTTGAAAAAATTTCGATTCTCCGATTCCGACTAAAAATATGAGAAGACATTGGAACTTGTCTTAATTTTGAGATTCTGGTTCTAAATTTGTCCATATTTCCCACACACACATTTTCACTAAACTTTTATCAGCTTATTCTTTTTCAAAAAAAAAGTACAACAAAAAATAGTGTGATAAAAACACACTTGTCTTGCATAATATCTATTTGTTTTTCGTTACGTTTTTGTTACTATTTTTCCATGTTTTTCAATATTTTTCCAAAAATACACCTCCTTCTTTCTTATCATTTTTGCCGATTAATTTTCTCCTATAAAAAGTTTGCCTGAAATTTTTTGACACATTTCCTCGACTTTTTTTTGAAAGCACTCACTGCTTTTGTTCGTTCACTTTTGTTTGATAAGGACTACCTGATCGGCATTTTCTCGATATTTTTTGATTCAAAATTGTTTCCTCTTTTTGTATTTATTCTATTCTGAAATTTCTTGTCTTGTCACAATATTTTCTTCTTTTTTTTGTGTTTCGGGCTCTTTTTTCTTGTGACAACAACTGGTGAGGGGGGTCGAATAACAACAAAAACATGCGGTATATCAAGATATAACAGATATAAAAACATCAAAACGTATCTTTTTTCGCGGATTTTGATGATCGAAACGATTGAATGAGACAAGAAGGAGGAGATTTCTCGAGATGAAGAATGGACCAATGTTATTTTTAATTTTTTATTTATGTGTTGTTGTTGTGATCCTTCATTCGTGCATCTTTTTTTTGATTGAGAAGTGTCTGGTCTCCACTGATTCTTTGGTCCTTTTTTTGAGGAATTATTGGAACTACAGTAATCTTATAGATATCGAGAGTAGATCTGTGATGTCTGATATTTTATGGCGCTGATTGTGAAACTGAACTATTGTCTCGGTAACCCTGAGGCGGAAATTGCGGCGGGGAAGTGACTCGGCAGTTTTTGGGCAGGAAAAAGGCACGAACCGCCTTCACTGGCAGGTTTGAAGCATGACAGCGGCAAACCCGCCAGTTCTGGCATCGCCTCTTGAGCTGTAGGCGGAAACTGCCTTTTCCCGCGGCAAACATGCCGTTCAATTTCAAACAAAACTGCGCTCATTGCCTGTTGTTTATTTCGAATTTTCGAAAATATTTTCTATTTTTTTCTCCTAAATTTTTTGTTTTTTGCCTATAAATCGAGCAAAACTTCATGACGAAGAGAGAAAATTCAATGATCGAGTAAGTTGAAATGTGTCTTCAATGAAAAACTATATATTACAGACCGCATCATCTGGAAATCGTTGAATTTTGAGAAGAAACACACGAAAAATCAAAGAAGTGCCGAGCGATGTAGATGGCTACTGGTATGAATGATTTCTTCATTTTGACAACCGGTATGTTATTTTCAGGGACTTGTTTCGATTAAAAAAAAACCATGTTTACAAGGGAACCTTTTTACTCAACACTTCAAATCATTATGAAATTTGGTCCATGGACAGCTTTTGGGACCATAAGAACACCCTAAAAATTTCAGTCTCCCAATCGACCTCTGAGCCAAGTTCTGGGCTCTCAAAAACTCAAAAAAGACCTAAAAATGGTCATAAAAGTCATCATAGCTCCATTTCAAATTTTTTTTGGGAGAAATGAAGTTTTAGATATTGATCAGCATAGTCGATTACCTAAAAGTACATCAATAAAAAAACTTTATTTCGAAAAATTTTGAAGTTTTTTATTTTTCGGCTGAAAATTCGATTTATTGATGCTTTTTGGGTAAATCGACCAAGCTGATCATCATCTGCTACTCGGTTTTTCATAAAAATGATCGAACATTGAGTTATGATGTGTTTTATGAGCCAATTTTGGCAATTTTTGAACTTTTGAGAGCCCAGAACTTGGCTCAGAGGTCCATTGGGAGACTAATATTTTTAGGGTGTTCTTATGACCCTAAAAGCTGTCTATGGACAAAATTTCATCAAGATTTGAAGTGTTGTGTAAAAAATGATCCCTTGTCAGTGGAAAAGGTTAATTCAGGTTCAAACTTTTCTGAAAAATCTTTCGGATTTCTAAATGAACATTTTCAAGCTAGTTTTCAGCTCCCAAAGTCTTAATTTTCGTAAATTTACATAATCTGCCACATTATTAATTTCTTGTCAAAATACATATTTTTTCAGTATCGTCCAAAATCAACATCAACCAACTTCACTTGAACATGAATGGAATTCGTCTAATTTTAAATACAATTTTCGTTTTTGATCATTTTTTTGTTATCAATAAACTATGTATGTAAAACATGTTCGCTTATTGTTGAAAACGCCTAGGAGCAGCTATAAATAAACGCAAAGGCGCAAACTGCCTCATTAAATCGGCATGTTCCCGCCGCGCTAACGGCGGGTACCGCCTGTGTAGGCGGGTTTGCCGCAGGAAAAAGGCATTTTACGGCTGGTCAATCATTTGCTTGCCTGAAACCAACGGCCGAATCAGCCTTGAACGCGCCGCAGTTTTCGCCTCAACCTTTCCGAGGTTCTAAATGTTTTCTTCAAAAAATCCAAGATTTTGAGAATTCTCAAGATTCCTGCTAACTAATTTCCAAATGATGAAAAACTACTCACCAAAGTCGACATTCAAGAACCGGATAACTTTCTCTTTGTTTTTTTTAAAAACAAAATCATAGTACAACCTCCTAGCTAAACTCATCGCCTCAAACCGAAAAACAAATCAAATATGTTCACATAATTACATAATCCCTCCATCCGGTCAAAATGAGACCAGTGTTCCAAAAAATTAATTGTTTGCATCAATCAACTCTCCCTTTTTCCCCTTCTCGTACTTTGTATTTTCTTTGCTCACAACATTTTTTATTCCGATTTCAACGAAACTTTCACATATTTTCCACATTTCATCTCATTTCATTCGATTCCATGAAAATCATAAAAAAGTTTCAACCAGCAGATGTTTGTTGTTTTTATTTGGTTCAATCTCTTTCTTTCTTGACGATGAGCTTATGTAGAAAATAGGGAGTCGTAATTATTATGAGCACAAAATAATTATTTTTGGCAACATCTGCCTGTTCCTTGAGAGTTTTGAGGTAACCTTTTGTTATTTTTCTCTTGACATCAGCAAAATGAAACTGGACACCGTTTCAGAGTAATCTTAGCCTAGACATGTTTCATTGTCACGATTCGTGTGGGTGTTCAACTAACTTATAGTTATGGTTTTGTGGTTCTTTGATTTTTCTTACGTTCAGAATCAGAACACAAGTCTATTTCGTCTTTAATTGAAACCCAAGTTTTTTTCGTAGAATAATACATCATAACTTTCTGTTTGTCAAGCTCAAATTTTAAAATTAGATTTCTCTCGTCTTATCTTTTCAAAATTTATTCTCCTATGAATATTTTTTTGTATTACAGATACCAAAATGCGTTTATTATATCCAATTTTCGTATTCACGATTACCCTTTTCTATTCTACATTTGCCTCCGAATTAACAAGATGTTGTGCTGGTGGAACACGACATTTCAAAAATAGTGGAACTTGTTCGAGCATCAAGAGTGAAGGAACAAGTATGACGTGTCAAAGGTAACTTTCCACAGCAGCAAAATTGAAAATGTATCTCTAAAAATATATTTTTTAGATCAGCCTCAATTTGTTGTCTCCGATCCCTATTAGATTCTGCGTGTGATGATGGAGCAAATCTGGCGAGAGACGAAGAAAGTTGCCCAGCCAGTATAAATGTTTTGGCTGGAGGAATCAAGAAAGAATGTTGCGATTGTTGTATGCTTGCACAAGACCTACTCAGCCGAAATGAGCCGTGTGTTGCTCCAATCGGTTTTTCGGCTGCTTGTCTTCGTAGTTTCAATAAATGCTGTAATGGTGATATAGAAATAACACAGGCCACTAATCTTGTTGAAGATCAAAACGAGGCAACAATGATACATTTGGGAAGTGATCGATGCTCTCCAGTTTCTTGCGAACATCTTTGTCATGATCGCGGAGGCGATACAGTCGAATGCAGTTGTCGAGCTGGTTACGATTTGGCCCCAGATGGTTATGGATGCGTTGGTAGGTTTTTTTTCAAAATGAATTATTTTACCCTCGCTTTTTTCCAACCCTCCTCCAGATCGCAACGAATGTCTTTCCTCTTTGAAACCTTGTCTTCCCTCTGAAGAATGTCACAATACCCGCGGTTCCTATTATTGTCAACGTAGAATTACTCGGCTTATCTCTTCCCCCAGTCTCCGAACAAATCGTGTAAATAGATATCGCATGAGAGACGATCCGAACAGCCGAACCTATTCTAATCAACTTCGAGAAGCTCAAGGACATCCAGAAACCACTTGCCCGTATGGTTGGACCTTCCAGAACAATCACTGTGTTGGTAAGTTGAATTTATCCTATTTATTGATTTGAATTTAACCTTTTCTAACCAAAGAGTGCTCAATCCTAACCCATCCCTGTACACTTTCCCCAAATCAACATTGCATACCACACAACAATTATGGCGAAGGAATTTGTGTTTGTAACCAAGGCTTTTATTGGAGCACTGTCAATCATTTGTGTGAAGGTTTCATCTAATCATTTTTTTGTTGAAAAATTTCTAGTTTGATTGAGTGAGTGTTTAGATATCGATGAGTGTGCTACAATGATGGATGATTGTATCGAGGGTCAAAGATGTTTGAATATCCCAGGAAGTTTCAAATGTATTCGAACATTATCGTGTGGAACTGGATATGCTATGGATTCCGCGACTGAACAGTGTAAAGGTGTGTGCCGTGTTTCTCTAGAACTAATCATAATTTTCTTGCACAAATCTATAACAAAATCCCATTAACATTCTTATAAGTTATAGACGTTGATGAATGTAACTTGGGTGCTCACGATTGCGGAGTTCTTTACCAATGCCGAAACACACAAGGAAGTTATCGATGTGATCCGAAAAAATGTGGAGACGGTGAATTACAGAATCCACAAACAGGAGAATGCACATCAATTACTTGTCCACATGGATATTATCCAAAAAATGGAATGTGTAATGATATTGATGAATGTTCACTTGGCGATAAATGTAGTCCAACGGAGGAATGTGTCAATACTCCTGGATCTTATCGTTGTCAACAAAAAGGAAATCTGTGCACTTATGGTTATGAAGTGAATGAAGCAACTGGTTTCTGTGAAGATATCAACGAGTGTAATCAAGGTGTTTGTGGTTCAATGGAGTGTAGCAATCTACCAGGAACTTATAAATGTAAATGTTTGAGTGGATACGAATTTAACGATGCCAAAAAGAAATGTGAAGATATCGATGAATGTAAGAAATTTGCTGGACATGTTTGTGATCTATCAGCAGAATGTATCAACACGGTAATTTTTTTCGACAATATTTTCTCTCGTATAAAATTGTTTTCTTTCTTTAGATCGGATCATTTGAGTGTAAATGCAAAGAAGGTTTCCAACTTGCTCCAGATGGTCGAAGATGCGAAGATGTCAATGAATGCCTGACTGGAATTGCTAGATGTGAACAGAAATGTGTAAATATTCCAGGAAGTTATCAATGTATTTGTGATAGGTATGTTTTATTTCGATTCAGAAACTAATTTTCCTTCCTAATTTGTAAATTTCAGAGGTTTTGCACTGAGTCACGATGGAGCTCGATGTGAGGATATTGATGAGTGCTCAATCTGGGCTGGAAGTGGAAATGATCTATGTATGGGTGGTTGTATCAACACAAAAGGATCATATCTTTGTCAATGTCCAGCTGGTTATAAAATCCAAGCTGATGGGCGAACTTGTGTTGATGTGGATGAATGTGAACTTGGAGAATGTTCAGGTGATGACAAGATCTGTGTGAATACTCTTGGATCATTCAAATGCCATTCAATTGATTGCCCTCTGAATTATGTTCACGATTCGCACAACAAAAAGTGAGTTTTCTGAATTCTTCTTTTAAGAACTTTGTTTTGAATGAAAGCTACTAACATTTGTGAATATTTTTCTAACAGTCGATGTAATCGTCAACCAAGTGCATGTGGTTTGCCTGAAGAATGTAGCAAGGTTCCAATGTTCATCACTTGGCAATTTATCTCGTTAGCTCGGGCGGTTCCAATTAGCGCACACCGTCCAGCTATAACCTTATTCAAAGTTTCTGCTCCAAATCATGCGGACACCGAAGTTGCATTTGAGCTCCAACTCAAACAAGCAAGCGTTGGTATGTTGCTTTCAACAAAGTTTGAGTTTTTAAGTGTTGTGGAATGATTAATTTTTCAGACGTATCAACTGTGATGCCAGCGATTCGTTCAAATTTCCTCCTTCAAAAAGGAGACAAACGGAATAGCGCTGTTGTAACTTTACGAGATAGTCTCGATGGTCCTCAAACCGTAAAACTTCAACTAATCCTTCGATTATCTAAAAAAGGCAAGAGCTATAATACGTATGCGGCGAATTTGGTGGTCGATGTGGCCGCTCATAAACGACACAACACTGTACATCCGCCATTATCGAAAAAGAAACGACATACTCGCGAAAAACGTCATTTTTGGTTGACGTCGAATTAAAACCGCGTGCCTGCATGTTTTGCTGTGATTTATGATCTCATTTTTATAATTTAATATATTTTAATTGTTTGGAAACTAATAAACATATTTTTTGCTAACCTGAAAATGCTACGTTTCATTCTAATACCAAAGAAAAATGCGTTCAAAATTGTACGATTCCTAAATCGTTTGTTTTTTCACAAAACAAACAATTTTGCAGTCTAATCGACGATGGCTATAGTTGCATAAAAGTTTGCGCTAAAGACGATGGTGAATGTCTTGGAAATCACACGAAAGAAGTGTTATATCAGTTCCGAGCAGTACCATCGTTAAAAACAATAAGACATCCAGTAGAAGTTTCGAGAATAGCAACCCATATGGGTGTACCGTTTTCAGTTGATTATTATTTGGATCCAAAAAGTCGGCGACACTTCAAAATTGAACAAGAGAGGAATATTGGTAAGATTAAATCCAAGCTTGCTCAGATTAAAGTTGATTCTTTTTTAGGTATTGTTCAATTAATAAAACCGATTCGTGGTCCAACAGTTGAAACAGTCAAAGTTAATATTCACACAAAATCAAAAACTGGTGTAATTTTAGCGTTTAATGAGGCAATTATCGAAGTATCCGTATCAAAATATCACTTCTAACCAATTATTTTTCCGTTGCGTTCCCAAATATTTATTACTTATATATGAACAATTTAATAAAACCCTTTTGCGTCCACCTATTTTATGGTATTAATTATTGTGTTCGTCTTCTTTTCCCTCTATTTTTCCGACCTTTCATCGGTGACAACAAAAAAGGAAAGAAAGAAACAGAAAATTGTTTCTCTTCCATGAAAAATATAGATATATATTTCAAAAATATTTGACTGTATAATTGCCAGCCATCAAAAATTGGCAATCACATTTGGTGACGTTTTTTTGTTGTGACCGTAGTATTCGTTTTTTTTTCGTCGTCTTCATATTTATTTGCAACTGAATCGTGACAACAAATATGTCGACAGAACCCATCACTTTTGAAGAACCTCTTCTACCTGTGGAACGAAAAGAGAGCACAAGAAAAGGTAAGCAACAAATTTCTGTCAAGGGTGTTTTCAGAATTAATGAAAGTTTTTGACTCACTTTATGAGTTTTGTTTTCAAACTTATTGAAAATTGGAAAAAATTCTGAACCTTTTCTTAACACATTTCCAAAACCAATATCATGAATTTAATTCCAGAAGACCAGACCGAAAAACCTCGCGTAGCAGTAACAGCCGAAGATCTACTAGACCAAATCGGAATGTAAGATCTACCCACCTATTTTCTCCATTTCCCCTAGGAAGATCTTTTCAGATGGCATCCATATCCCCTTTTCATAACTTTCTCAATGGCATTTCTTTGGTTTCTCTCGGTAATGTGCACAATGTCACCATCTTATATGGCTCCAACAAAACCGTGTATCGAAAATTGCACATTTCTGACAGTTCAAGATGAATTTCACACAAGTTACAACAATTCGACACTTTTAGCTCCCGGTGAAATGACCTCCTCGATTTTCTTTTTAGGAAATGGAGTTCTCGGTCAAATTTTCGCAATTCTAGCAGATCGAATTGGCCGCCGGCCAGTTTTAGTCCTATGTCTTTTTATATCCGGAATTTCTGGAATATTCGCCTCATTAGCACCAAATTATATAGCAATGTTAATTGGTCGATTCTTTCAAGGATCATGCTTCACAGTAAGTGCAAATATCAGAAATCTTGAAATCCCTATTTTTTTCTTAAAAAAGGTTCTGACAATGGTGAATTGGGTGATGTGTTGTGAAAGTATTTCATTCTCCGGTCATGGATACGCTTCAGTTCTCTTCGGATGTTGTTGGGTATTGGGATATCTGGTGATTTCCCCATTAGCTATGTTATTCACAAATTGGCGACATGTTCAACTATTCACATCGATTCCAACACTTCTTTTCGGTATTGTAATGTTCTTGTGAGTTTTTCCTCAAAAAACTTCAAAAATGAAAATTTGTTGCAGCACTCTACCCGAAAGTGTCGCTTTTCTTGTGATGAAGAAAAAACGAGACGGTTTAGTTAAATGGGTGGATATGGCAACTCGAGTTAGTCAACATGACATTGATGCAGATTTTGATCAAATCGTTGCAACCAATAATACAACCGAAGATGGATCATCTCAAAGCCTTTTAGATATTTTAAAATTCATAATTCAAGGCAAATCGATTCTCATCAATACAATTCTCGAAACTTGTATTTGGGTTGTTGATTTTATGATGTATACAGCATTATCTTTGAGTGCTACAAGTATTGACAAATCAAACGAGCACGTTTCATATATATTTTCGGGAATTGTCGAATTACCAGCATATTTCATATTGCCTGCAGCAATCGATTGTCTTGGAAGAAAACCGACAGTTATGGCATCACACATGATTTCGGCGTTTGCTTTGTTGTCAATGTACTTGTTCGATTCAGGTATGTTTTATCTGATTTAAGTTTGGCGAAAAAAAATTGAAAGAAAATATAGATGATTAATCACTTTGTTCAGATGATATCTGAAATTTTCTCTGAACAAGAAGGAAACAAAATCACGTGTGCGCCTGATCTGTGAAATTTCCCTGAAAATAATACCATTTAGGTAACTAAAAACAATCTCGAATTCCAGACAACGATAAATACATCTACATAATAATCTGGCTCACTGCTAAATTTGCCGTCACCTGTTCTTTCATGTTATGTTTCGTCTACGGTGCTGAATTGTTTCCCACCAAATGTCGAAGTATCTGTCTGGGAATTTGCGCGACAATTTCGAATTTCGGTGCAATGATGGCTCCACACATCACAATTATGGTAAATATTATTTTCAATCAAAATCAAATGGCAATTTTTCTAGGACGAACGCCTAAACTTTCCTGGACTCCACAATCTTTTCTATGCTCTTTGCTCTTTTGCATGCACAATTTTAATGACAATTCTACCAGAAACCAAGGAAAATCTAATGAATCCAAGTCAACAACAATCAATTGCTTGAAAATTTTTCACAAAAATGTATTTTTTCTGTTCGAAAAAAACACAATGTTTTTTATTCCAAGAATATAAACCCGTTTTGTCTATCTACAAATCGAAAAAAATTCAAATAGTATGAAGTGGTTGTTCTTCTCGATGATGTTTTTTTCGGCGCCGAAATCGGAAAAACGTGTCGGTTTCAGGTTGGAAAAATTTGAAATATACAGTAATAGCGATAGAAAGAATAAGAATAATGACACAAATAAATAAGATGAATATGAGAATATTGACGAACTGGAATCATACGAAGTTTTGGAAAAATATGTTACAATTTGGAGAAAACTTTGGTTCTTTAAGTTTTTAATTAAATATTCTCCTTTGTTTAGTACCAGCTTTAAAGTAGTAACTTAAAAAATTAGAGTTTAAAAAGTGTTTGAGTGAAACATTTGAAGAGACAGTTATTTCATTAGCTTACACGTTTTAAATCTCACCTGTCTATTTTTTTTTTCAAAATCCTCCCAAAAATACTCACCTTGTGCGGTTCATTATCCTCATCGATATAAGTTTTTCGATAAATTGGAGTTGTTGTCGTCATTTTCGATGTGATCTTCTTTGTTGATATAATTTTCCGTGTTGTTTTTGTAGTTTTCATAGAAGTCGCTTCTGAAGAAGTCATTTCAGTAATTTCAGCTTCTGTCATTTCTTCTTCCATTTTTTCTTCCTTTTCCGAAATCTCCAAATGTTTCGTCGAATTATGTACATTCTCAACAAATTCCATCCAATGTTTTGTTTCATTTGTCGGATCCAAACATACACTTTGATTAGTTCCAGGCAATGCTTCACCCATCCAAACAACTCCATAATTATTTAAATTGCAAAAAATTTGATCAAAATCCTCGATTTTTGCGCGATTTTCGGGTTTGATTAACCATCTTTGAAAATCAGTTGGTGTTTCACAATCGCATTGAAATCTTGATGAATTTCCGCCAATTTTTAGTTTTTTGATATTTTTCAATTTTTCGAGATCCATTGTTGTGAGATCGATAAGTGGATTGTCATGAATTGAAAGATGACTGAGATAAGGGAATTTGGATGCAATTTCTGATGGAATATTTCGAAGAGCAGAGGAAGAGATTTCGAGATGTGTCAGCGATTTGAGAGATGTTAGCATTCCCTGAAAAATTATTGTTTTATAGATTTTTATAGCAAAATTCTATTTTGAGTGGAAAAACATAATTTTTTGACCGAAAAACATTGAAAAGATTTTCATTGAGCCAACTTTAAAAAATATATTTTTCGTTGAACTATTCTTTGAATTCGAACATTCCACTTCATATTTTCTTTTTTCCCTCAAAATGTTCCCTTACCACTTCTTCCAGCATCATTTTCGAATTCGAAATCGACAATTGTTTCAACGCAGGCAATGCTGACAAATTTTTCGCTTCCAAAATCCGCCAATTCGTATTATTCAAAAATAATTTAGTGAGCGGAGTTGGCAATTGTCCAATTTTATCCAATCGCAAATTATCGCAAGATATCACATTTTGAGTGTTCTGAAAAAATGTTTCATTTTTTCTTTTTTCGGTTTTCCTTTTTTGAAACAATTTTTCTGATAAAAGTGAAAGTTTCCAAAACTTCCTGATTTCTTTTCTCTTATCATTTAATAGTTTAAGTTTTTTCTGGAAGTGGAACCGAAAATGACTATAAAAGGGCGAAGGTAATCAAAGAAATGTTATCAACCAGCCATGGAAGACAACAAGATCAAGGTAATTTTTCTATTTTTCTCTTTCAAAATAAATTTTTTTCAACTTTTTAGGCCTATCGCCTCATCGGTTATGCCGCAGTTTCTCTTTCGGCCGTCGGAATTCTTTCGGTTTGTATAACTTTGCCATTAGTTTACTCCTACGTTAGCAACTTGCGCACTCAAGTTCATTCCGAATTGCGTCAATGTCGTGAAACTGTCAACTCGGTTTATGCAACTGCGGTCGCAATGCCATCAGTTTCGGGAAACCGTACAGCCCGTCAAGTGGGATACACAGCCGACGTTACTGGAAATCCACAAGGGTCACAAGACAAATGCAACGATTGTTGTTTGCCGGGACCTGCCGGGCCTGTCGGTGCCCCTGGTAATCCAGGACGTCCAGGAAGACCAGGAGCTCCAGGAGCTCCAGGAAACCCAGGAAAACCACCACAAGCACCTTGCGATCCAACAACTACTCCTCCTTGTCCTCCATGTCCAGCTGGACCACCAGGAGCTCCAGGAGCACCAGGAGCACCTGGAGGTGAAGGACCACCAGGACCACCAGGAAACAACGGACCAGATGGAGCTCCAGGACAACCAGGACATCCAGGAAGCACAGGAATTAATGGAAAGCCAGGACAACCAGGACCAAGAGGACCACCAGGGCCACCAGGACCAAGCGACGAGCCAAAACCAGGAGCAGCCGGAACCCCAGGAAGACCAGGGCCACGTGGACCACGCGGACCAGCTGGACTCAAAGGCAAAGATGGTGGACCAGGAGCTCCAGGAGGACCGGGACCAGCTGGAGAACCAGGAAAGCCAGGAGCCGATGGAGCACCAGGTCAACCAGGAAGCCCAGGAGGAGATGGTCAACCAGGAGAGAAGGGAATCTGTCCAAAATATTGTGCTATCGATGGAGGAGTCTTCTTCGAAGATGGATCTCGTCGTTAGATTTTGTTTTTTCCAACTTTTTGGCAACAGTAAACTTTTTCAAGCAGCAAATTGTGTTTTTTTTTGTTTTTGTTAAAGGGAAAAAGATACGATTCAGTAAAATTTTCAGGAAAATAATATTTTGTCAATCGAAGATTTTGATCATAATCCAAAATTTGAAAAACTTGTTTTTGCAAACGAAAAATATTACCTTGATATTTGAAGTGTCAGATGATCTCCAACAGTTACAAGAATCGGGACATTCGAACCGACATTTGCAATCCGGTTTCTCGCAACAATCACAACCATCTTCACACATCTGAAAAATTTAGATGTTTTTCGAACATTTTCACAAATTAAAAAAAAATCAATAACTGGAACTTTCATATTTTTTAGTTTTCAGAAAAAGTTTTTGATAATTTTTGAAGATTTCATGAACATTTTGTTCAAAACGTGAAACTCCCAAATTACTAAATATATAATTTACTTCCAATCTACTCACATTCGAATATTTACACAATAACTGATTCCTCGATTCTGCCAACATCAATAACATTTCACTGAAAGGTTCAATAATCTCTTTACATGTCACAGTTGGCAAATCAACAATTGTAATATTTTTCGATTTCGAATTAGTCATCCATTTGTGACTACAATGACAGCCAAGTGGGTTTTTTGATAAGAACACTTTCATTTGTGTTTTTGATCCGCGAAGACTTGAGAATCGAAGTTCTTTGATTGTGTTATTTCTGAAAACAAAATAAAAGTTTTTGTGAAAATACAATTACAAGCTCACTTTAAATCCAGCAATACCAGATGTTTCATATGATTGATCGATCCTTCATAAATTTGATTCAATCGATTTGAAGACAAATCCACGTGTTTCAATTCGGCGGGAAGAACATTCACACTTCCCGAAGCTGATGAAGATATGAATTCGATCATATTTCCAGCCAAATCCAGTCTTTTCAAATTTCTCGCACTTCCACTTGTATAATGAATATTTGATATCAGATTGCGTCGCATTGAAAGATCGGTAAGGTTTTCCGGAAACCTTCGAAAATCAATATTTGTAATTTTATTGTTATTCATTGTAATAACACGAAGTTTCACCAATCCAAGAAATGTATTTGTCAAAAATCCGATTTCATTGTCGCTCAAATCCAAATGTATCAGCTCGCTGAAATTTTTTCAAAATTAGTTCCGAGTTTTTCATTAATAAATAGTTAACTTACTGTAAGGATCTGATCGAATGTGGTTCAATTTTCAATTTATTTCCCGATAAATCCAATGTCATCAACTTTGGAATATAAGCGAAAACTTCGGCTGGAAGCTCTCGGATATTTGCATTTTTCACAATCAACGAGATAAGTTGACCAAGCCCAGCAAAAACCGAATTCGGAACTTTGTCAATTTTACATCGATCAATTTCAAGTCGATCCAAATTCACAAATCCTTGGAATAATCCAGGAGTTGGGGTGGAAACTTGTGAGAAGAAATGTGGACAACGAATTGTGAGAGTGCGAACAAGATCTGGTCTTTGAAGATGGCGAAATGTGGTCGTGTTGAGCTGAAAATCATTCATTTTCTTTTCAAAACAAACATTTTTGCGCGTATGAAAAAAAAACTGTTTGAATTTTTGCGAGCAAAAAATGAAAACTGAAGTGTTCGTTAGAGCGCACTTCCATTTTTACTTTTGTTTCCCAATCTTTTTTGTTGTTTTTTTTTGTTTTCCGAAATATCCCTTTTTCCCACCAAAAAAACAACAAAGTATTTTTGAATAGTACACATAATTTTCGCATGAACAAATGGGTAAATTGCGAATCATAATTAAAACATCAAATCGATTAGTATCATTTTCATTCATAGTAAAAACCAGTTCCTCGCTCACCTGCTCCCATTTGCAAATTAGATGTACTTGCGATTTTTGCTCATTATCCTCATAACATTGGCACCTTTCAGGGCATTTGAAAAAATACGGTGATTTTTGAAAAGTTTCAGATGTCAAAATCGAAGTGAGTAGAATTATAGTTAGCAACATGTGCCATGAAATCTGAAAAAACTAAAGATTTTTAAAATAGATATATGAAATGGAGAAAAAACGATGATCTACTCCTTGGAGGGTCATAAATGCCCCCATTTTGATTTTCGAAGAAAAAAGGAAACGACAGTAGTCAAATATAAATCAAAAGCCTTTTTTTCGAGTTTCCGCTTTAGAAAATAAGAAAAATGAACGCGTTTTGGTTGAGCGAAAAATAAAAATAATTTTTAGAGTGTTGTTCTTGGCGCGCAAAAAGAATTGGTGTCGCTCGCCCCTTCCAAAAACAATTTCTATTGCCGTCTTTTTGGACACGACATTCATCTTATCTTTTTTCGATGGTCCCTAAAGGCACATGTGACTAAAAAAGGAAAGAAGCGAAAAGGAGAAGAAGAAGATCGAGATGGATGATATTAGAAAATTGGGGGAGAAGAAAAAAACATGAGAATCTGGGATATGATGATGATGATGAGGTTTGGTGGGTTTGAGTGGGTCAGAATTAATTTTGAGCGGCGGGGAGGAGGCTCTGAAGAGAGAAAATTAGAGAGAGAGAGAGATAGAAGAATTCGTGATGTGGGAGATAATGAATATTTTATGATTTTGGCGTGACGAGTGGAGAAAATATGGAGTTTGAAATGGAAAAGTTAGGTTGGGATTGACGATGAAACTTAGGATTAAAACTTTTGATTGGAAGAACTGCTAGACAAAGAATTAAAAAAAATTACTTGAGCCCCAGTCAAGAAATTTTTAAAACTCACTTTTCATTCTCAATTTGAAATTTCCTGCTGTTTCGATTTACCAATTTTTCTTGAACTAACAAAACACTTTTTATTTCTCTTTTTTCATTTGAAAAGGTTCACGTCCAAATACCCATTTTTCTCAGCCCCTCATCTTTTTTTTTTTTTTTTGAAAAAAAATAGAAAAAGCAAAGAAAATCACTGGAATTGAATGATTTATGTGAAGTCGTTTGAATTTAATCCTATTTCAAAAATGAGAAAAAAAACTACCGTAACCCATAGTTTACTATGAAAATAATTTTAAATAAATTTTGACTTTTTTGGAGAAAATGTTTCTAAATTTTAAAATAAACAAAAAACTACACATTTGATGATGATTCATATGAATTGAATGAAATTGAATTGAATAAACAAACTTGACAAAAAAATGCCACCAAAAAAAGTTCAAAGTTGTTTTTTTCGCTCCGCCCAACATTTTCCGGGCAATCAGTGTTCCATGCACTTTTTCTGGGTTCAGACATCAATTGAATTTCTACAAAAAGAGTGGAAGAAAGTTCAACAAGCTTTATTCAATAACCGTAATTTGCAAGAAAAAACATGAGATTTTTCAATGAAAAATTTAAATTTTGTTTAAAAAATATTAGTTCATAAATACGATGCTTCAGCTTCAGGAGGATTTGGCATCTGAAAATTGTTTTTTTTTATTTCAATTAAAATATGAAATAAGCTTACTCTAATGAAAGAAGTATTTGGTTGTTTGGTTTCTGGTTTTGCCGATTTGTCGCCTCCGATTTTGAGAGTTTTGATGAGAATTTCACGGAACATTGGGTTGAGCCAGGCATAGAGAAATGGATTGGTGACATTGGTGAGCATTGAAATTCTGGAAAAATTAGGAGTCAGTAATTTTTTCAAAACAAAATGGACAAAGACTTCAAAAATAAATCTTAACCGTAGGGATTTTTGCTATTATTTTTTTCTTTTTTAAATCATTTACTTGAAAACATTTTCAACTTGAAAGTTAATTTTAATTATTTTCAAAAACGAGCCAAATTTTTGAGAAATATGAGAAATTCAGTAAAAATGTTCAACTTACAAATGAGCAGTCATCGAAACAACATAAGTATGATCACCATAATCAGAAGAGCTGAAGTACAATTCATTATATTCAATAATAAGCGAATAAGCATTTTGTGGCAACCAAGTGAAACCAAATAACAAAACCATTGATGCCAAGATAGTTGTTGTTCTTCTTTGTGATGCCAAAACTGCTAATCTTTGTCGACTTTCTTGTCCTCCACTATTTATTGAACTTGTTTCTGGATTCATTGCAATTATTCGACTTCCATTTCCACATGAAGTACTTTCCAATAATTGGCTTCGCTCCGACAATTTCTTCAGTTTATTTTCAGCTCTTTGTCGAAGTCGCGCAAATATATTATAATAACAAAATGCCATTGTTGCAAAAGGAAATAGAAATTGTGTGATGAGAACCAAAAATGAATAACCTTTTCGAACTTCAGCCAATGGCCAATGTTCTGAACAATATTCTCCACATAATCCAGATATTTTCTCAACATCCATATACCAACCATAAGGCATACAAACAACAACTGATATCACCCAAATTAATAATGCAATCATCATTGCGCTACGTGAACTTAGGGTATGTTTATGAGGTCGAACAACCAAATTATATCTGGAAAAAAAATGATGAGAAAAGAAGATAATAGAGGATTAATTTTCTGAAATTCCATTCTCATTATTTTGAAAATTAATTAAAAATAAACAACTCGTCAGTTAATAAGTTTTGACATTTTCAGAAAAAAGAGCATAGATTAGACGATCAAAAATTTACAATATGAAGTCAATTATGAGTTAAGCTTTTCATGGAATATTCAACGATTTGTAGCATTTTGGACCAAAAAATCAAAATTTATCATTGAATCTGTTACTCCCTATAGATATTTGGAGAGGTCAAACTCAAAAAAGTCTCTAGGTTTCATTTACCCCTTCTAAAGAATTCAGCCAATTTTTCATTTCTCACCTATCCAACGCGATCGCCGAAAGCGAAAAAGTCGACACAAAAACCGATGCTCCTTGAACGAGTGGAATCAATTTGCAAACCGGTGAAGAAAAAAACCATTGTTTATAGACATTTGTGATGAAAGTAACTGGTAGAGAAGTCAAACACATCAAAACATTTGAAGCACATAAATTCAGAATAAATATATTTTGAACAGTTTGAAGTTGTCGATGTTTCATTGTCAGATATCTAAAGTTTGAAAAAAATTAAAATAATTTTCATATAACATTTTACAGAAAACTTACAAAACCGCTGAATTTCCCAAAATACCAAGCAAGAAAATATGCAAATACAATAATGAGAATGGCACCAAAACTCCTGGATGATTTGTCAAATCTGGATGTGCATCGATATACCGTGTACATGTTTCAGTCTCATTTGTCATCTGAAAATTTATTTTTTTTATTGTTGGGGTTTTTTTTTCAGAAAAAAAAAACATTCGCTAGATCTAATTATCCTCATCTACATGTATAATTTGAAAATTAGATTCAGATTAAAGGCGAAACGGGGAAAAACAAAAGAGCTTTTGCTTTTTTGAGATAAAGGTGCACTTAAGAAAGATCTGACGTGAATGTAGAAAAAGCAAAACGAAAAACAAAAAGAAAAACAACTTTTTTTTTTGAAAGTCAAAGAAATTTGAAACTTTTCCCAACTGACTGAACGACTTGTCAAAAATTGAAAACAGAAAACACACATCTATGGTGTATTGTGTTTTAATCCAACAATAATCCGGAACAGAAATAAGGAAGAGAAAAAAGTTTTGTGACACCTTACGAAAGAAATTGCATTAATATTTTGGGTCTTTTTTGTGGGCTGAATGACAAGTGGAATTTTTTGGGTGGGAGTGGCTGACTGGAAAGAGCGTTTCAATGAGCATTTCTTGGAATTTTTAGAAATAAAATTGTCTGAAGTTTTTAAATGTCATACCGATTAATGAGACCTGGCACTCTGAGTCGATTTCCAACATGTTTTTGACAAAATTTCAAAATTAAATGTCCTGATCTTTTTGACTTTTATCAACTAGGGTTCTCCAAAATATTCACAAATCTGAACTCTTGAATAATTTTCTGACCTTCTCGACTCAGCGGAAGTTGGCTCATTCAAAAATATTTTCCTCTCCCAATGAAAAAACGGTGGGCGGACCTATTTTCACACCAAGCCCATAAAAATGTTGCACTACAGTTTTTCCGAAACAAAAAACAAAAGCTCGAATTTCTTGGAATAGGTTTCTGGTTCACTATACTGACACTAACTGAATATATATTTTTCGATGGCACTTCGAAATAAAAAAACCGGAAGGAAAAATGCGAGAAAAAAGAACAAAAAGTAATGAGCTCAAATGGGAAGGAAGAAAAAAGGATGAGAAGAGCAGCTACTTACTCTTCGGTTTATTTAATTGACTAGCACCTTTTTTCGCAAGAATTGGTGGAAAAAATGAGAGAAAATTGGATGGCGGAAATAAGTGTTTATTAGAATATGATATCATGGAAAGTTTCAATATTTTTTCATAAATTATGAGAAAATTTTAATGGCTTTTCCATGGGAATCAAGGAGAAAAATTATTACGAATTTTTGTCGGAACTCAAAAAATTGCAAAATCTTTGAAAACCAATTTCTCACAAAAAAAAAACATGTTTCTGAATTCAAATTAGTCTGGAAAGTTGAATTTGTTTTCAGAATTTAACTAAACGAATAGGAACATTTCAGACTTGTTTTGAAGCCCTAATATTATTTCGGTTTTTGATTCATAGAAATTGACTAACAAGGAGGGTAAAGTTTTTTTTTCATTTTGAAAGACGTGTTGGAGTTCTGCCTAGAACATTTTACAACGTTGGAAGAAAGAAAATTGAAATAAAAGGTTTTCCACGTCAGAACTACTTTTCACACTTTTTATGACAAAATTTAAACACTTCATGTTTAAAAAGAATAATAACGCTATTTGTCAAAAAAATTGTGGAAAAATTATCAAACTGAAAAATTCCAACCAACTCAAGCCTCAAAAGACAGAAGCCTTAACGTAACCTATAATAATAAATCTTAGAAAACAGCCTCCAAACTTCACACGCACTTCCATTTCTATTGTCTACTGAAAAATCGTGAGATCTTTTCTCAACTGACTGAACTGACTGACACCTATATTTTCTTCTCTAAAAAATCCCATAAAATCAATTGGCTATTTGTTTTACATGAAAATAATATATAATAATAATAATAATCGTTTTAGAAGAAGAATAAGAATGGAAGAAAAATAAGAAAAGTGGAAAAACTCATAAGCATTGAGCTAAAAATTGATATTTTGCTGGAAAAAAACAACAACTTAAATATTAGGTATTGTCTGTCGTCTTTCAACAAGAAAAAGACGACAAACCAAAACAAACTTGGAATTTCTGAGAGCTCTAAAAAAGGTGGAGTGTTCTCATTAATCTAAAAGAACACATTAAATATAAATATATCAACGACTAATGTATTTTTATGGCACAAAATTTGATTAATGTTTTGTCAAAACCCACGCGTTTTCCTTTTTTTTTTTTTTGAAAGAATTCTTCACTGGAAAAAGTTTACTTTTTCAAGAAAATAATACAAAAACAAAAGATTTTCGGAGGTTCTAAAATAAATAAACATTTTTTTCGATTTTAACTAACTCGAAAACAAAATAAGAACGTGACTAATTAGTGAAAAATATTTATTTCAAAAATTTACCGGAAATGCACTTGATTATGAATTTCAAATTCACATTTGTTGAAAAATAACAACAAATTAATGATTGAGCTTTGAGATTCGAGAATTTCAGAAAAAACAAAGGAAATCGGGATTCTAATCTTAAAAAAAAGAATACACGGAAATAATTTTTGAAGAGGAAATAAATTTCTGGAAACAGATTAGCGGAATATTTCAGACTTTTTGTTGCTCGGTTCAATGAACAATCAATTTTTCTGTCCGAAGTTTTTCTTCCGAGAAAAAACTTGACTCGGAAAAAATCGGAAAATTAATTTTCCGATTTTTTTCTCGAGTAGGGTTTCGTACCAAATTTAGATTAATTTTTCGAGGAAAAAATGTAACAAATTTCCTTGTTCCTAATTTTGTCTCATTATCACATAAACCTTCATTGAAAAAATAATGATGTCAAAAATCTGAATTCAAAATTTGAAGCTCTGAAGTTTTTCAAATGTTTCAATAGCAATTTAAAAAAAGATACGTTCCTATGACAAATTTTTTAAATATAAATTTTTCCTGATTTTCTTGAGCTAGAATTGTACTTTTGGCAAAAGCAGAAATCAGGGTCTCGAGCCCTTAACTTCCAATTATGTATTAATCTCACAATCGAGATTTGGAATAGAAATTCAAAAACTTCTGAATATACACAAATGTTCTCCACATCCAGACATAACTCAATTCAAGTTCAAAAACACGAAAAAAAAACAAGTGTACATATTTTTATGCGAAGCATGGTTCAAGGTCATTTCCGGTTCATGATTAGCGAACGAAAAAATTTTGTTGAGTGGGAGAAAAATAGAAAGGAAAAACACAACAAAGGAACCCGGAACAATTTGAAAAAATTGAAAATTTACATGAAAAAAAAAATTAAATTTAGGTGTCATCTCGCAAAATTGTTGTCACTTCATGAAATTTTGCAGATTCATTTTCTATTATTTTATTTTTCTTTATATTCTTCTATTTCCTTCTTATTTTTTGCATTCTATCTATTCATTGTTTTCTATAATTCATTTAATATTCCAGCGTTTCAAGAGATCACAAGAAAAAACAGAATATTTCAGACAGAAATATTATGACAACATTTTTTCTCAAGTACCATATTATTTTCAGAAATAACGAAGAAGAAGAAAAAAAAACAATTTTTTGCTGAAAAACATATGAAATTTTCAGTAGGTTTGACGACTTGTTCAAAATGTCAAAAGTTTTCACAGGAAATGTTTTTTTGCAGGGAAAATGCAGTGCAAGTTATGGAGTTGGAAAAATCAAAGGTTTTGAAAACGACAAACTTTTAGTTTTAGACTTTTCATTGAAGTTACTGTGAAACAAAATCGAATTAAAAATCGAAAAAGTTTAAAGGGCCGTGGCAAAATTTTCACAAAAAAATCCTTTACAGTAATTCAAAATCTTGAATAATTTGAGAAACTACAGTAATCCAAAATTTCTCGAATAACGTGCAAATTTTCTTTCGAAAAACTCAACTACAGTAATCATAAATATTTGCGCGAATAATTTTAAGATCAACCTTTTTGATTTGCATGTTTCCCACTCAATTTCACTATAAATTTCGAACTACAGTAACCCCTTCTTAACTCTAAAATACTTCCCAAAAAATCAAAAAACAAAAATTCTGCGTCAACACTTACAATTAGTTCATCTACAGTAATCTCCCCGAACTAACCTGATGTAAATGCATCAACTTCCGTCGCATTTCTTGAATCATTCTTTGACTATCACCTTGTCGTAGAATATTTTTGAGAGCCTGAAATTTGAAAAATTACTGTAAAATTTTCAATTTAGTAAAAAAAGGGTGGGATTTTTCAGGTGACGACTTTTCCTTGAATACACGAAAAAACATCGAAAAACAGAAATATGTTCAGAAAAAAACATGTGAAAACAAAATAAGAAAAAAAGGAGCGAAAAAAAACAGATGAGACTGAATATCAAATTTTGTTCTACGAACACAATTTGAAGAATGAGAGGAAGATGGAAATATATGAATTTTCAATGCTTTTCTATATCTTGAAAAAATTAATCCTGGCGGAATTCTCTAGATAAATGTCTGTATTTTTGGAGACGACAGCAATGAATAATAAAATGTGTTATGATGGATAAGAATATGCTGTTATTTTGAACAAGAAGAAGAAGAAGCTAGATATCTGCTGAAAATAAAGGCTTCTTTTTCTATAACTCGATTTTTTCGGTATCTTTATGCAGAAAACAAGATTTTAGGACATCCTTTTACCATCTAGAAAATCTTGAGAAAAACATGCCCGAAAAAAGTTCGGAGTTTGTGTATCAAATCCGTGAATTCGAGACAAGCAGATCTTAAAGATGTTTTGAATCGAATCAGAGTGGCCACTTTTTAATAGTAATCAAATCACAAACTAAAAAAACGAAGAGGCTTGGATAATTGAGAAAATTATTGAACCGGACCATTTTTTCAATATCGTTTGGCCCAATTCGAAATTCACCAAAAAAAGTTCAAAATAGTTTTTTTCCCGAAAAAAAATTAAAAATTCTGATGAAAATCGAGAAAGTCAAGTGAATATTCAATGCGATGTAGAGATTTTTTTTTCTTTTTCTTCTCCAAAAAATAGTGAGCGAGATAATTCATTTTCCCAATAGAGCCTCATAATTTTTTCATTATCTCATTTTGTTCGGATGAATGCTTTTCGAAATGGACTTCTACATAGATTTTTCTATTACTGAAACTGAAAATACAGAGATCTCTACAACACAAAACATGTGTGATTTGGAAAATGGAAATGAGATGAAATGAGATGAAAAATGACTAGACAATGGAAAATCCCCGGATTGAAAAATTGAAATTAGAATTGATCCCTGAAATGGAATTGTCTGCGTAAAAATAACAAAATTCAAAATGACAAATTCCATTTTTTTTTTGTAAGAAAAAAATTAATTAGATTAGGGTTTCTTGAAAATCCGTTCGCGAAGTTTAATCGGAGTTCAAAATTGTGAAACCTGACAGTTGATCAGAATCAGGAAACACACTCTGATGACAAGGAAAATGCATATGAGATGAATAGGAATGATGGAAAAACTGAGATGCAAAATTGCTCTATATTGAAAAATGTAAATAGATTTTCTCTCACACTACTTATTTTTCATGGTATTTTACTATTATCAAAAAAACAGAAACATAGAGAAAGAACACTGATTTTCAGAGAAGCAAAATAATTTTTCAGAAATGAATTGAATAGACAAAAATCAGGTCACGAAAAAATCAAATATTCACGGGAGACATTTTTCTATTCAATTCAAATACAGGAAGTCATTTCATCTAAAAAGGACATTCTTTATCTAGGAAACCCAAACCCCAAAAATCCCGCAGAACTCACCAAGAGATCCGGATTCTCAACATTTTTGATGTAAGACATGATTGTCACCAGAGCTTCGTCCTGAAAGAAAAAAAACTAAAAATATTGAGAAAAAAATGAAATCTGAAAAGGTTGTTTTCAGCTAGTTAGACTTTGAGAAAAGGCAATAAAAGGAAAACAAAAAGAACAAGGAAAAACCTATTCTTCTTGATTCGAAGCATTTTCAATATTTATATTCATTTGTGTGAGCGATTGGCCTATTTTTCATTTTCAAGGGGTGAAAAAATAGACAAATATAGATTGTTTTTTTTTCTCATTTCATTTTCATTATTATTTTTGGAATTCAGCTCACGATATGATTCAATTTGAAGAAGTAGAAAAATAAGTAATTGAAAAAGCTTCACCGGAAATTCATTTCTCTGTCAAACAAAAAAAAAACATATGAAGACTTTGAAATTTCCCAGAAACTAAAAGCATTATATCTAATTATATGTTTTTTGTTCGACAACAGAAAAGAAATGCCGTGAAAAACTACGGTATTTAGCTCATTTTTTGTTCGTAATAACTAATTAAAAACGAGTGAGATAATGGCTTTTTGCAGTCCGATAAATAAATAAAACGTAATGTTTCAAAATATGATCTTTGCCAAATTGAAAATTTCTATTTCCTTTTATGACTTGCAAAATGGTCTGCTCATTGAATTATTTTTTGGTCCCAAAGGACTTCACTTATTTGAAAATAAAAATTGAAATAAAAATTTCAGAGCGCCACAAGTTTTCAAGAAAACTGAAAACTTTCAGAAAGTTTAAATGAGATATTTATCTGACTTGCAGGTGTTCGGAAAAAGTCAGACTATTTTGAAATTTGATATTTTTGACAGAATTTTTGAAATGACAGTGAACTTTACGACGTCACAACTTTTATACAAAAAGTTTTCAGGTGATGCAAATGTTAATGTCACAACAAAAACAAAAATTGAAGGTTTTGTAAGAAAATGAAAAATTTGAAAAGTTTCAAGTCTAAATTTGGTCTAAATAACAGCCTAATTCAATAAATCAAACTTTTCAGCGTATAATCAACTTTTTGAATGAAATTTAACATTTCTGATTCCGGGTGATTTTGTGGGTTAACAATGTGACGCCGCTAAATTTTTTGACATTGTGATCAGCGCACCCAAAATTATCAGAAAAGTTAGAATTCTTGTGAAAACTGAATCACATTTCGGAAAGTTGTAAGCCTAACAAACACTTGTGAACCGAAAAAAACACCTACTCGAAAATTGTCAATCCTAAACAACCAAAAATATATGTATTGGCCTAAACTAAGATTGTTTGAATGACTGCAAACTATACACAATGAATATATATTGAGTTGATATTTTCAAAGATCACAAATTATATCTTTAGTTTACTACAGGGAAACAAATACTACCTAATAATTATTTTCGAACCGGAACTCTGGAAAATGCAATATCTCATCTTGACCGAAAAACTAGACCGAACTTTTAAAAAATAGCTAAAAGTTTGTGGTTTGACCTCTTGTTTAAAGTACGCCTGAGTTCTCCAAAAATAGTTTCCCACATAAATTTTGGGGTAAAGAATGGTCCTCGCAACTTGTCAATATTCAATTATTCACCAACCTTCTTTTTTCCCATTTTCGAACTAAATAATCTACATATTTTATTGTTCTGCTCTATAGAAAAATAAAATAAAAATACTATGTACAATCAGTTGTCCAACAAATTGCAAAATAATTAGTTCGTTAGAAGGATTAGACGTTTTTTATTTTATTTTCGAACTCACCACTCGACTTGGCATGATTTTGTTGCTTTTTAAGAAAGATTGAATAATGTTAGTTAGCCGAAAAAGATGTGCACGTAGCGAAAAACAGAAATAATGAAAAACAATGATGAAAAAAGTTTTCTGTCTTTTTTGGTAGAAAAATGAAATGAGAAGGTGTGGCCAGATTTTTTAGTTTCTTGACGAATTTTCTTTTTATATTTCGCAAAAAAAAAATTTTGAATGAGATTTTCAAGCCTCACTGATTTTTTGATGTTTCATGAGAATATTCATATATTTTTTCCATCGTTTTTTTCTCAAGATCCCTAAATCCAGAAATACTTTTTCTCATGAATAGGTTAATAATTTCTTGAATTTTTAATGTCTGCAGAAAGTTCAGTCACAAGAAAAAAGAACTTTGTTGAAGGCAAAAAAAGAAAATGAGTAAGAAAGAACTTTGGATTCAAAAGCAAAACCACCTGGAATATTTATTCTTGGAAAACAACTAGAAAAATAAATAAAATTTGTTGAATAATTTTAATGAGATGGATGCACTTACTTCATTTTCCTGGGAAAATTGAAATATATTTTCAACGAAGAAAAACTTTAAGAAATCACGTTCTTTTTATGGATGCCAAAATAAAGACGAGATGGGGTCGATGGAAGAAAGCGAATTTAAATTCAAATTCCTGGTATCAGATTTCAGAAAAAAATTTGCAACAACAAAAATAAGCTGTAAAAATTCTCATGTCAGAATGAAAAATCAAACTGTTTCAACTGCCGTTGTCTAACTTTGGATAACTCAACTTGTATTTAACATGAATTTAAAAAAATAGAGTGAACGTTGAAACAGTTGTCTTGTCACCCAAATAAAAACAATTCAGCTGTTTTTCATCAAATGAAAATGTAAAAAACTGGTGTCAGAAATCATATTTCAAAAAAAATTGCAGACTCTTTTTTTCCAAAACAGCTGAAACATATTAAAAATATATACGGTAGCTATACGAAAATGCTAAATTGTGGGAAAAAGTTCAGAGATTAGGCGATTTTCAGATTGGAATTCCGAGAAAATGGAAAACGGAGAACTACTTTGATATGTGTAATTGTGGGAATATTCTCACAGATCAGAATTTCCCTATTTTTATGCTTGAAATTTCAAACACCAATCGAGAAATCCAGAAAACTTAACGATGTGTTCAAATATTTATTTATTCATAATCTATTAGTTTTTAATCTACATAGATGTTTTCTCAAAAAAAGATATTTATGTGCAGAAATGACATAAATAATGAGAGAAAAAATGGAACACCTACGTGATGGCAGGTGAAATATTCATCTCAAATTCCAACTTTCTCTAGAAAAAATCACACAAAAACTATCCTAATCATAGGCCGAATCATGCAAAAATTACATGTTATTGAGATTCAGTGAGAAAACATTTGAAAGGACATTTTCCCTTTTTTTGAACTAGAACTTATGTATGTACGTTTCAGATGTGAATGCATAGAAAATGAATTTTGAGCGAGAAATTTTAGAGATAAAACATCATGTAATGATGTCAGCTTTGTGAAAATTTAAACAAACATGTTTGAGAATTAAAATTAATGTCTGTCCGGATTAGATATTTCAAAATTCCTAATTTGTGGAAGATCTTTGAAAATAAAATTATTTTAAAAACTCACTCATAGCTTCGAAATATTCAAAAAACAAAAATAATATAGCGAATCATCAAAAACGGGTTTTCAAAAAATAAAAATCGATAAATGAGAGAAATTCAAACGTGGCGCCACGCTAAACAACTGGCAAAACGGAGTCTCGTTGTTTTATTTTTATTTTTTGTTTTTTTTTGCTGTTTGTTGGTTTTTGTTTGTTTTTGGCTAATTTGTAGGTTAGAATAACGTTTTTTTAAAAGCTGTAATAGTTTAAAAATGTTTTAAGACTATAGGATAGTAAATTTCGCGGTATGCTTTTCAGAATTCATAAGAAAACGAACAAAAAGATGAAATTTACAAAAACGAATGAAACGTGACTTATTTTTTTCTATTTAATGTTGCTTCATGAATTTAGTTCCATTTCTGATTTTAAGGAAACTAGAAATCAATCGGATTTCCGGATGACCGCATAGCGGAAATAGGCAAACATCAACTCGTTCAAAGCAAGTCTATGAGATGTTTTTACAGAAAATTGAAAATCACGGAGATCATGAAAGAGATGGTTTGGTAAGAAGGTCGAAAAAGACGACACAAAATGAAATGGTTGTTGATATGGAATTTGTGTGAAATATATGGGAAATTTCGACAGAGTCAGCGAAATTATGGAAAATCAAGTCAATTGGAACTGAAGTCAGTTTATTTTTGGGTCAGGGCTGAAATATTGGGATAAATTTTTATTCAAAATATTCAACAAGGTATAAATTAAAATTATGCACGTTAAAATCGATCGCATTAACTAGAATCTCTAATCTGAATCATCCTGTAAGTGCATTTTAGGGTCATTGTCGGAAAACATCAAGTATTATTTTTTTCGCCAATGTTTTTTTGCTAATGTTTTTGCAAAAATAGGATTTGTCACTTTTCTTAGAATTTTGATCTAGTATGATTGATTAGAAATTAGCGAGAAAATAAGCATTATACTTTGGAATAGCCAAAAAATATAAGCTGATTTTGAAAAAAAGAGAAGAAAGAAATTAAGAAATGAAAAAAAAAACAAATATAAATAAAGCGGAGGATTTAAAAAAAAACACTTAAAATAGAGCACCGAAAAAACATGAAATTCAACATTTTCAACAACACAAAAATGCGTCTTTGATCCGATTTTGTCTAATCTAATTCCGTGTTTCCGACAAAACTCAATCAACATTAGACTAATGGACTTTCATAAAAGAAAGCAGAAAAAAGAACACTATAAAATATATTCAAAGCTTTTTCTGTGTACTAAAAAACCACCCACGATGTGTGTGTGAAGAAAAAAGGGCTGAAAGCGGCAAGTTTTTTTCTGGTCTGACAAAGTTTAGAACAGAACCCTTGGGAAAATGTTAGATTAAAAACATTTAAAGTAAAAATAAAAATAAAAACTTTGTTGAGCAGAGATTAGATTAGACTTTAAGAATCAGAAAAACAAAAATCAAACAAACAAAAAATAATGACACGTTTTTTCTTCTTTATCTGAAATTACGCAAATTATCGTGTCTGTGAAAAAATACTACTAATCGAGAAAAAAGAACATGTTCTAGAATATTCAATTAAAATAAAAAAAACTCGAAACATTTTTCTTTCTTCTTTCTTTTTAGTATTTCATAGATCAAATAGGAATCTTTTCAAAGTTCAGTTCAGAAAAATTGATTTCATTCTAAAGTCTATAAATTATTTTCAAAAAACCAAACGAGTTCAGAAATTAGGGTAGAATGATTTTTGAGCACAAGTCAGTGAAATATGAGAAATCTTAAACTTCCTGGTGCTCAGATTCAGATAGATTTTTTGCTCTTGCTCCGAAAAAAACTTGTCTAAAATACCAATCAATTTGAATAGCTTTAATCAGACGATTTTCGAGCTTTGAAAAAATATTTGAGTCATGAATGAAGTACATTTTTTCAAAAAAAAAAAGTGGAACTCTCATGTCAAATAAAAAAGATAGAGAGAAGTAATTTGTTTTTGAAAAAGACTGCATAATTAGTCCGCAGTAGAGATCATTTTTCACAAAATATTTATAAGTTCTATATTTTGCAGTCTATTGAGAGACTAAATTTTCACCCACTCATTCTTTCACTCTATCACGAGTATTAAAAAATGAATAAGATCTTGTGGAAAAATATGTAAACACAGCTGAATTTATTTCTCAAAATCCTTTGGATTTTCATTTCTGATCTTCCGACATTTGATGTTGTTAATTAAAGTTTCAGACACTAATTATGTATCTCCACAGGAAAAAGTAATTATTTTCTATTTCAAGAGCATCCGATAAAATTCGTCGCTTTTTCTAGATGAAATAACCTTTTTCTTTCTTTATTTATCTGAATAAAGCTTGAAAACCCATCAAATCGCACGAACAAATAATTAAATATTTATTAAATTTTTTGAAAGAAGTGAAAAATAAATACCAGTGCATGCATGTAAAGAATTTTAGGTGAAAAATAAGGAATAAAAAACTAACAATAAAATGCCTAACGAAGATTTTCTATAACTGCTTGTTTCAATTCATCGACTTGACTTTGTAATTCTCGAATAACTGAAATCATTTGTTCCATATGATCTTTCATTTGTTTAACTTCTGGTTGATCATTGTCCATATCTGCGTCTTGAAGTGATAAAGCTTGCATTCGAGGAAACCAATCGAGATTTCGATCTTTTACACATTGTGCAACATAACTTTCGGGGCCAGTGAAATCAGTTTCATCCTTGATTTGTAGCATTACAATATAATATAAGTAGTGCCAAATATTATGTTCAGTTTCACGATGTGTTTCAAAAGTAACTGAACGATTATCGAATTTTCCACGATCTAAACCACATATGAAACAATTATTTCGAAGAACTTGTTCGTTTTCATTTTTCTCTGCTCTCAAATCTCCAAATGTATCGATGATAACTCCGAAAATCAAATTCAAAACGATGACAATTAAAACAACAAAGAATGTCATATCATAAGCAACCCGCCATGCGAATAATTCTTCCCATGGTGCTGGATTTCGTAGAACATCTCCGATTCCTCCGCCATTTCTCAATCCAAGATACATTGTTTGTAAAATGCACATCCACAAAGTTTCACACGATTTTACTTTTTTCTCGTCTTCTTCACTTTCAATTATTGCGGTTTCTGGAACTGGACAACCTGTTGCAGGACATGTGTCGATGTCCAAATCAGGAGGGACGGAAACTGTTGGCTCGGCTTCGATTGGGTCGATTTCCAAGAAGAAATCTAAAAAAAAATGACGATTTGGGAATTAAATATGGAAAATTTAGCTCTTTTCAAACTGTGAATGAAATTAGTGTTGTTGTCGAATACTTTTCCCCTCGCTCACCTTCCCTGAAGTACAAGAATCCAACAATCGAAAACAAATACAAAAGAATCAACGCCAGTAATCCTGTCCAAACAATCGATTGATAATTTCTTGTAACAGAAGCGATGACATTTTGCAAAGTTTCCTCGCTAACAACAATATCAAGAAGCTGAAAGTAAAAAAAAAGTCAATGATTCATCTCGTTCTAAAAAACAACTTACCAAGAAGCAATAAATGAGCGGCTTGTAAATTCCGGCTAAACAAATTGCTAAATAAATCAAAATATATAGCAAACTTGTATTTTTGAGCCGTTCATCCCATTCTTTATCTTCCAGTCCTTTGTTACTAACAAAAGCTACAATGTGCACTATTTTGTTGACTATTTGACAAATTTCGAAGAAGAATAATGTTCGAACCGGGCCGACTATACTAACTAATAAGAAGCATAAACTGGCCAAAAATAGGAGAAGACATTTTGGAAGATAGGTTCTGAAAAAACAACGTTGATTATTTGTTTTGAAATCTGCGTTTAGATTACTTTTCATTTCGTTGATGATGAACAATGAAGATTGAGGCAAGAACGGCGATCCAACAATAGAAGTTTCCGAATGAGATCGAGGCTAAAATTAAATATATCTTGGAATTTATTCAAAATTTTGAGAAACTTACGATGAGAAGCAGGGAATGGAAAATAGCAGGCGACTAGAGCATTGACAATAAAAGCAAAATAAAATGATAAACGAGTCCATAGATTTAACCGGAAGGCACACCACGATAACCATTGACGATCTTGAAGTTTTCGCTGCCAAATCATTTCTTGATACATTGTTTCCCAATGATCGAAAAACTCGGTGACTTTTGATCCTTGATTATCCCGTTCAGTATTGTTATAAACATGATCTTTAGTTTCTTTGGTAAGATATGAGCAAATATCATTGATTGGAAATACGACTCGTTCCAATGTTCGATCCCTTCGAACGATTTCAATCTGAGCTGTCCGATCTTTATAATAATTGAGAGCTTCACGAGTGATAATATCTTTTTTCTCGTCGTTTCCATCAAGCCAAACTTCCAATTCGCTGTCATGAATTGCAAGTTGATGTGCAAGAATATAGATGTTGTGACCGACTTCTCGTGGATCAACACTTGTCAATTCGTCTTCATTATATTTTTCATCTAGAAGAGATATTGATTTTTTGTCGTCGTGAATTGATACAGTTCCAGTTGCATCAACATTGATTTCTGGTAGACTTACTGAAAATCAAATTTTTTGTACTTTTCTTTAAAAAAAATAACTCACAATTGTTCACGGCGATTGATGGACTGACTGTAGTTTTCGGAGCATCTTCAGTTCTTCTAAATAGTTCTCGGCTAACAGTTTTCAACATATATTGATTCGATTTAGCCATCTCATATGCTTGTCGAATTGCATGAACTAAATGCTTTGGTCCGCCAGTCATATTTGCCATATTTCTAAGAACTCGATTGGCATTTTCTCCATCGTGTCTCGATTCCATAATTGCTAGCAACAACTTTGATGCCTGACTCTTGATTTCCAATGCGAGTTCCATATGATCATCAGCAAGCGGTTTGATATCATTCAAAACCAGAGAGATAATAATATTCAATCCGTTTTCTTGCATAGCCATTGTATTTTGATTTTCATGACACGGACCTTGACAAAACTCGGTGAGTGTTGCCAATGTTTGAGTGATCAGCGAGAAGTTGTGCTCGCCAATTTCACCGAATACACCGAGACTTCCTTTAGTAGAACCGCAAACAGTGTCGAGGAAGCTAAGAGTTTCTGAAACGAGGTTCACCCCAGTTCGATCCGATTGTTTGCGGAGGAAGTTCTGAAACAAATACTTCTAATTTGTTTTACCAATTTAGTTTACCTGCAGAAGACTGTTGTGATTCTCACAAAGAAGCTGAAGAACTCGAAGAATCGGTTCAATCATAGCAACTTCTGGCGAAAGCGCATCAGTTTGTCGATCTTCATCTTGATATGGCGTCAAGTCGGGTACTGAATGTGTCAAATCGTGGCTCATTTGAGACACTTCAGATATCGATGGATGTCGAACTTGTGGCACTTCGAATAGTGCACCATTGAAACCAGAATCACCTGCATCAACCATCGGAACAACTACCGTCGATGCTAAAAGAATCTTTTGTTATTTCCAGAAAAAGATCCCTATTTGTTTTTCCCAGAAAAGGTTATTGACAGAGGAGAAAATAAGGAATCCCGAGAAAGTTTATTGGTTTCAGAAATCATGCAAAATCACACATCGTCGACGTCGCGTAGTTTCGGATCGTCTCCGATATTTCTTTGTTGTTTCGTACGGTGAAAGTCTATTTGAAGACATGACAGCCGCATCTGCTGACTTTTGTCTAGTCAATCTTCTTCGTACAGAACCTAGATTTTTCTCTGATTTTTCAACAAATAAGGGATTTTTTTGGGACAGAATGGATGGACAGGGATAACTCATTGATTTTCACTTACATCTTCTACTGACATTTGTTGATAGGGCTGTAAGGTTGACATGTTAGTGTTACGGTTCAAGAGAAGTTTTCTTGCCAGAAAAAAAATTCGAAAAAACTCACTTGTCTTTGGTTTGTTATCGTTGCAACTCATCATATCACTTTTTAGTCGATTTTGCGCAGTTTTGATACGATTTTCGATGGCTTTGAAAAATGGGCCGTGAATATCTTTCTGCTTCAAACGATAATAGAAAGAATGTTGAACTTTATCATTTCCTTCGTGAAGCAAAGCTCTTGCCAAATGAATAGCTTTCAAGAATATCTCTCTACTCGGATCCAGAATTATGATATCGATTACTAAATCGGATGCTCCTGCATCATTCAATTTACACTGAATGTCATGAAGATTCCGTTCATTGATATCTTTCTCGATTTTTTCTGGATGACTTGTTACAGCATCTGTCAAAGCTTCATCGATTTTGGATTGTTGTTTATCGAGTTGTTTCTTATGTTTTCCAAAATATCTTTGGAGTAAAGAGTTTCGCAGTTGATGTCCCTAAAAATTTAAATTGTTTTGCAAAAAAACAGATTGAGTTTCCAAAGCTTTTTGAACTTAGAAATAAGAAAAAAGGTGGCGATAGATCTAAAAGTGGCAAGCTAATACCTTTTTGTTGCTACTCGAACAAAATACACGTTGAACCTGTATGAAATATGGAACTGGACGAGGACACCCGAAGCTACCCACAAAATTTCTCAGAAAAAAACTAACCTGTTCGGTCAACTGTTGTTTCGAACAATCACACATTTTACAAAGTGTCTGCAAAACTCTCGAACATAGATTGTCTTGTTTATTTTGCATCAATGTTTTACAATGTTGAATAAGTTTTGCGATAACACCACCCGATGCACATTGAAGTCGCAAACTCGAACCTTCGGCAAATAACAGTTCTGGTGTATGAAGAACTTCGACAAGAACACTGCCTTCTGCTGCGTGAAGTGGATGTAGATAAAACTTGAATTCTCCTATCATCATATGATAACAAGTGACAACATTTGCTGAAGTTGTGTCTGATACTGTTGTCGATGTTCCATACGCTGTTCTTCCGGGGTTCAACGAGTTTTGACGATTTAGTCTCTGAAAAATGTATGAAGATAGGTTAGTTGTTTTCACTGCAAAAGAGATAGATTGTCATGCTTGTTTTAGTTTTTGAAAGGATATTCACACTAGATACCACGAAAACGTCTCACCTCAACGACAAGCGTTATAATTGGCTGAAATAAATTTATGAAAAAAATCAAACAAATATTAACAAAGCGATAGATAAAATCACACTGTTTACCGTTGAAACATCCGAGTCTGAATCTTCACTCTATATGAACAAAGTTTTAATATATATTTATAGAGTGTTTGGTTTTCTTTCATACTATTTTTCTACATATTTCCTCAATAGCCTTAAAACTCACTTTATTTAAAGCAATAAGTTTTGTTGAATTTGCTGCATTCACCCATCTTTGTCGAACTGAAACTGCATTTATGATTTGAGCAGCGTTTAATTGAGGTGGAAGAGTGATATTGTGCTCATCGGCCCATTTTGTCAATCGTTTGATACATTCCGAAATACGATACCAATTTCGACTTGATCGAGAACTTCGAAGTTGTCCACCTTTTTCCAAAAGTATCAATTCTTGAATAACTTCCGAGAATATTTTCTTGTGATGCTAAAAAATAACTTTTATAGAGTCGGTTTTTTTTAATAATAATTTTTTGAACGGAACTGTCATTTGTAATAATTCTCCAATAAAAACTTACATGAACATCAACTTTAGCCTGTTGTAGTGCAGAATATGGTGCTTCAAAAAACTTGATCATAACTTCGGTCACAGTATGACAAATGTATTGTTCAAGTGCCATAGCATCAGCTTCTCTTGCGAAATCATTTGCTCGAAGTTTTCGAATATCTTCGAGCATATTACAAAGAATTGAATCTACATATTCAGTTTTGTATGCATCTTTCATTTCGGCATCTGTGTCAATGTAGCAATGAAGAAGTAGTTGAAGATAGACAGATTTGATCTACAAATAATTAGAGTTTCGCTTTCATTGAATCCCGGTTTAACTTACATCAACTAAGCAGTATTTTGATGTCACAACATGAACAATATGATCCATTGGAATTTGTGATGCGCATTGTAATTCAGTTCTCCCATTCTTTCCTTTTGTGCACATCGCAATCAGTCGAACCAACTCTATATGATATTTGAGCGGACAATTACTATCCAAGTATGCTGGAGCATTTTTCATCATATTTTCGAGTTCTTCGTAGGATGCATTATCAACATATAATTGTCTGACTTCATCCGAAGCTGCACAAATTTCATTTACAACTTTTTCTTGACAAGATTCGATTTCTTTTTCATAAACACAAACCAGTGATTGAAGAAGTTCTAGGAAAATTGGATGTCTTTGTTTGTGCTCAATCAGTCCGACAATATGAGCAATCAACTCATCGGGAACATTCGATGCAAGTTCTCGATTATTTTTGAAAATTGAAACAAGTGTTCCAACTTCTTCAATTGTTTCAACTCGCAACATTCCTTCTTTTGCATCTTTGTCATACGATATAAATTTGTATAATCGACTCTGATTTTCTTTGTTTCCTCGACAAAAACTTCGCAAAAATTCATGAGATAATGTGATAAGTTTTGGCATTTCAGAATCATTCTTCTTGTCATATGGCACACTGATAAAATTCAAGACTACCTCGTAAACTCGCATATTTTTCAATAATTGTTGATTCATTGTATCAGGTTTTTCTTCTTGATAACATAATCGTTTCAATCTGACTAACATTTGACGAATAAGTGGATAGGCAATTAGTGGAGCTTTGTCACTTAATTCTTGAAGAGCAATCGCTGCATCATTACGATCATCTTTAATAAGAAGACGGTTCAAAAGTTTGAGACACTCATTTTTCAAATTTGGATAATTTTCATCGATCACAAGAAGAACTGCATCTCTTGAATCTTTTGATCCAAAAGCTCTTGGTGAATTCAAATTGTGTTGTTCTAGATCTTTTGGTGTAGTTTTCTCATCTTTCTCCAATTCTTTTGCCTCAATTGAATGATGTCTGTCTCCGTGAACCCATAATTCAGATTTCTCAGTCAAGTTCTTCAAAATGAATAAATCGCGATCAATTTGTCGATAATTTTCAACATCATCATTCGAAACGAGCAATTGAACTTGTTTCAAATCCTCTAACAATTCTTGATATTGTGTAAAATGTCGGAACATAACTTTCAAAGCAATACTTGTCAACGGTGGAAAATCCGACATCGTCATTTGTAAAAGAATCGCTAAAAGAAGATGTCCATCACTTCCATCTAAATGTAATTCATGTCCAGATGAATGATAAATTGCGTCGTATAATTCAGAAGCCATTCTCTCATTTATACTTGCTGAATGCATCAAAGAACCATCTTCATCACAAGGAAATTGAGTTTTGAACCAAGACAAAGCCATTGTAATTCGATAATCTCGACGAACATCCATCACAAATTGAAGAATTTCTGCGACAATTAATTTGGTCTTGACAATCAGAGCTCGACCTTCTTTTGTTTTCCCGGGTTCTTCTGTTGACAACGATGCTGCTTTTGGAAGATCTTTCAGATTTTCTTTGGTGTTTCCTCGAATCATATTCTTTGACATATTCCTAATTGCATTCACCATTGTATGTCGATGATGTGGTTGTTCATTGGGTGGAACTTCATTTACAATTGCGAGAAGATTTTGTGTGAGTTGAAGAAGTTCGTTGAATGAATAAAAACTGAACTGAGCCAATGCTTTTGCAAGATTCACAATTTCATAAGTCAGTTTGCTTGAATCAACACTATGTCTTTCTTCCATTGATAATTTCCGAAGATCCATCAAATAATTATCAACAGTTGTCAAAACTTTATGCGCAATTGTATTCCCAATTCTCATTCGGCTTCCATCGGAATACGCTTCCACGGATACACTTTCATAAGTTTCAACATTCACATTTTCCGGTATTTTCCACCATAATCTTGCATGTCGAATCGCAGCCATCGGACTTCCTCGAACAACGTGGAGATGAAGCATAAGTCTTGTAAAAGATCCACGAAGATCGTGTGGAAGTCTTGAATCCGACATACATTGTAGAACAAGTTCTGCAGGAAGTTGGTGAGAAATATTCATAAGTCTTCGCTCTGGCGGTGGATCAATGGCTAGATATTGTTGTTCTTGACACATTTGAGAAAGAAGATCAAGTTGATGTCTGAAATGTTTCAATTGAGAAAATTCTAATTAAACCTCCAAAACTTACCTGTAGTATTCCAATGCTTCGGCGTCTTCATGATTAACTCTAGATCCATCAGAAATATCAATGAGCTTTTTGAAGTTCGGGGCGAATCCAACTTCAACCTCGTAATTTGCACCCATTCTTGTTTCCATAAATATATCACGATGTTTTGCAGATAAAACTGAATTACAAATAAGTTCTTGAATTTTCTTGTTGGCTTCTCCACGACAAACACAAAGATCAGCCAAGTAATCGAGGAATCTGAATTGAAATTTGTTCATTTAAGATAAATTTTATAAACTAATAGATCACAAATCACTAAACAACGACCTTAACTTACAACTTAAATTGGCGATTTCTGTATTTCAAAAAATTTAAATTGTTTCCCTAACTCTCCCGGAAAATACTCACTTTCCCTGTCGATTATTCCTAACAAGCTCAACAAATCGTTCAACATGCGGTGTTTTCACATATTTTTCCAATAATTTTGGATTATTATGTAAAACTGCAGTCATCGTATCTTCAGCCATCAAATCAAATCCAATCTGTTCTTGAATTTGCCCGAATTTTTCAGCCAAAAATTCTTGATTTTTCCGATAATTGACTTGTGAATATTTGAGCAAACAATAACATAGTTGGAACATTGTCTTGAATACTTCATTTCTTGTATCACTGAGTTCAGATGGAGAACTTAGAAGTGGAGCAATTTCTGTGCAACCTTGACGTGGTAAAAATGGAGCTTTGAGCAAAAGAAATACTTGATCTAATACTTCTTGTTCTCGAAGTAGTTTTTGACGATCACGAGATGGTGAGAAATCTGTGATTTTCAAAGGATCAGCAATATGATCAGAAGTGTTGGTGACAAATAAAATACATTCGATTAGAAGTTGAGTTGTTACACTGAAACACGGTTCTCTTTTTATTTTTATTGAAAAAGCAGCTTACTTTAATGACTCTTTTGAAATAACAGATCCACTTTTGATCAATTTTATAAAACTTCGAAGTGCACGACATGCATCATTTGCAAAATCCAAATCTCGAACTTCATCTGGTGTGACAGGAAGAAAACAGAAAGCTTCTTTGTCAATTCGAGTTGCCTCTCCGATTACTTTCACCCAACCTTTTTCATTTTTACTACTGAAATGTAGATTTTGTTTTTCGGTCGGATTTGTTGCGTGAACCCAAGTGTTTGTATTATAATGTAGAAGTCTTGCATAAGATCGAGGTTGAACATCTTTGGTCGGTTTTGTAACTGTGACTGGATCAAGTTCAAAATTGAAATCTTTGGTGCTTTCCGGAAAATCGGTTTTTGCTGGACCGAGAAAGTATGTAATGTTGGCCGGATCTATGGCATCGATGTTTTCGGGCGGATCACCGTATAACGGACTGCTAGTTCTGAAAGAAGAAGAGTTATTCAAATAATGATAACATGAAGCTGGTAGATAGAAAAGACTTGTAGAATTTCTACTGAAATCAGCCTAGATTTCATGCTGAATTGTGCATAGAAACAAAAAATTCAGAAAGATTTCTCAAATGAGAAAGATGTTATAGATTATATCAACATAAAAGATAGATAAATACAGTAGTTAGAAAGTTTAGTGAAACTCAAACTCAAACTCATTCACACTCAAAAACCAACCGCTCATTATAACCTTTTGATGATCTTTGAGGTAATAGTGGGGCTGAAAATGTTTCTAGTTCTTTCAAAAACTTGCTCACTTTGAATAAATCAAACTCGCACGTCTTCCATTCATTCCTGGTTTCACAGCGACTTGAGTTGTTTTGTCAACCGTCAAATACATATCAGTTGCCAAATGTTTGAATCGGAATGATTTGTTCCATTTCGCAGTTCCTCCGCGATACGCATGAGTTTGAACAACTTGAACTTCCCAAAGTGCTCGAGAACTTGTTGCATCGGCTGCCGATGGACGATTTGTCATTCGAAGAAATACAACATCTTTAGGTGGATTTTGTTTAGGAATTGTGTCGAGAGTCAGGAATGTTTGTTGATCAGCGTGGAATAATCGAACAACATCTCCTGATTTCACAGCATCTGCTTGATTTTCATTGTACAATAAAAACATAAAAACCTGCCATTCTGTTGGCTCATTCAAACAATTCACTTCGGCCGCTGTTTCACGATCAAGAAGTTTCAAATTTGACAAATGAAGTTGTGGTTTACAATGACTTGATTGATTTGTTGTGACTGCCATTGGAATCAATGATATTTTATCGCCAGCGCTTACATGATCTCCAGCTTTATTGTGTTTGTAAGCAGGATCGATGACAAAACTGCTGCCTTCATTTCCAGCACGATCAAGATAGACCTAAAACTATATTGTTGCAATGAAAAGAAGTTGTTAGAACTTTTGTTATTGAGAAGATACACTAACTTACTCTTCTATAAGTTTTAGCAGAATGTAAATCCTAGAGAAAAAGATACTACGGTTGTTTATCTACTGTTTTAGAGTTTTGATTGATCTTTTTTCGAAAATTCATTTTTTGAGAAATTATGAGTGGAAAATGCTCACCTTCATTGCATTTCTTTCTCTCTTAGCTGGCGAATTTTTCTGCACAGTCAAATATTTATTCGATTTCACATGTAACAATTGTACAGTATCACCATATGTCAATGATTTTCCCATTCTCTTCTCAAATTCCGAATTGTTTTCCTCTTTCTCTTTATCGGCAGCAACTCTCAATTTATTCATCATATCATCATCGAACATCGAATCACCAGTTTGATATCGTTTTTGTTCAGTCCACAAATGTTTTTGAGCCGCGTATCGATTTACGGGGCATATTTTAAAGAGACAATCGCGGAACTTTTTTGGAGGACAATCTGGCCGACCTTCGCCGAGTTCAACGATGCATCGATCATCGACAAGACTGGAAAAGTTGATTCTTGCTTAAATTTTTTTTCGGATATGAAAAACACTAATTTCACAAAAATTTTTGTGATTCATATTTTTGATCTAGAAAAACCATCAGAGTTGGTAAGGTAACCTAATATTTAAGATTTCCGAGACAAAGCTCAAACTTTCTGAGTTCGATATTTTTTTGACTCACCCCAACGTCGACAAAAATCCTCTCTGATCTGGTTTTGTTGCTGATTCTGTATATAATGAAATCGTATCTCCGATATGCAAAACTGACGTGTTTCCCTGATCCACACTTCCAGCCATTGTTAGTTTTCGACTAGGAAATGCCATGCTAAAAAATCCAAATTTTCATTCGAAAATAAATGTGGAAAAACCTTTTCCTCCTTGTCTCTTCATTTTTAGAACTCATTGTTTTTCACATTTAAATTAAATTTAGATTCAGAATAATAAAAATGATGTGTGATGAGAACAGAGAAAGAAGCACACAAAAAATGATTTTTTCCCTATTTTTCGTTGTCAAACAAAAAACCCCTTTCAAAAAATAAAAACAGTCAGCGATGATTCAGAATTTTTCTAGCCTTTGCTTCCAAAACTTTATTTTTTGTTACAAAACTCACCCATTATTTCGTTCAAGAACCCGTCGCCTATAGTCATAATCCATAAATTTTTCTAAAAAATTTCAGATTTTTGTCTGAAATTTTTTGTTGTCTTAAAATCGAACAAAAAATTGGGGAAAAGTGTTGGAGAGGGAAAACAATACGAAAGATGATGAAAAGATAAAATCGAGTTTAGGAGAATTTTTTCGTTTTTGAAAAAAAAAGGAAAAAAAAACGAATTTTTTTGAGACATATAAAAAACAGACAGAGAATATGAAAATATTGATCGTTATCAATAACAGCGAAAAAAAATGATTTTATTTTTTATTGATATAATTTTATGCAAAAAGTTAACCAACACATGAGAAAATTTTGATTTTGATGGTGGAAAACTGGATTTTTCTCAATAATTGAACAGAAATTTTGAGAAAGTTTGAAATCAAAATTGAATTAGAGGCTGATTTAAACAAAAGAAAGAAGAAGCTGATAAGAAGCAAAATGTTGCTTTTTTTAGTGTTTGTTTAGTTTTTTATCTGATTGTCTGCAAAAATTAAGAATGGAAAAATGTGTGAATTAGCGTTTTCTAAAAACGTGGATTTTTCGGAGCGGAAGATGAGCATTTTTTATATCAAAGTTATGGCCTTTTTTCATATTGGAACCATTTTGTTGAATTCACTTTTTGGAAATTCAAATTGGGACTAAAAGTTCTGAAATTTATAACAAAATAATGCCAGAAATTTGGATCGTTCTTGAGAACATTTCACGAAATCATCACAAAATTTGAGCTCATAAATTTTTCAAAAAAAAAAAAAAAAACAATTGGCGAAAATCTTGAAATGAAAAACGTGTCACGTTTTGCCACGTCTTTTATTTTTCAATAAAGTTCTAATTTAAAAAAAATTTTCATTTTTCGTTCAAATTTCACAGAACAAACAATATAAGCTTTTGACTACAAAACGAATTTAATATGTTTGATGATAAGCGACAAAAAACTGTCTCTGACGCAAAAAAATGAGATTTTCTTTTTGATATTAAAAATTTCGAATCGAATGAAAAAAAAATTTTTCTCACAACTGTTTTGTTAGAACAAAAACTGTTATGTGAGTGATATCAGAAAATAAAAAAGAGTGTTTGTATGTGGGGGAGGACAGTTAAAAAAGTGAAGAAAAATGAAATGAACTTGTGATAAGAATAATCTGTTTACAAGAAAAATGGATATTTTTTCGGAACCACTTTATATCTGATCAGATCAGACTTGTGAGCAAATATTAATGAAGAATGTAGGTTTTGAGATTTGAAAAAAATAATGTAAAAAAAAGTCAGTTGTGTTTTGGTAGAGCTAATTTATTTGAAAATAGAAACAGTCATATTAGACCATTTGATTATATATTTTAAATACACTTTGGAAATCCGAACAATGATTCATTCTATTTGATTTTTAAATGGACTTTTCGATGAGAACAATTCAGGTTTTTCTTTCAAAATAAACTCACCTCGTTTTTCGAATCGCTTCTAAATCTTCAAAATCAAATGTCATACATTTCGTTGACAATGGCGTCTGGTCTTCTACAAAAAAAATGATTTTTTTTCATGCCGAAAAGAAATTTTGTTATAATTTTCTCCAATCGCAAAAACTATAAAAATTTTACATTTTTTTCGCTTTTGCAAAAAAAAAACCGCTGTGCTTTTATCTCGACAGAGAGAACAACCGCAAAGTGTTCACATATGTCTCTGATTTTTCAAGAAATTATGAAATTCATTGGAAAATCTGAAAACCAGTGTGGAAAAATTTAAAAAAATTGAAAACTTTTGTTTGTTCAAACAATTTATACACGGCATGTTGAAGAGAATGCGAAGAAAAAACACAAAAATCAATGTAAGCCGCTTATATTTTTTGTATTCCGGCTGGCCAGCCCAAAAAATCTATTATAATTATTTTTGGGTAAAAACCCCACAAAGTTTTCTCCTGAAACCAAAAAAAAATTAAATTTTCTTCCCATGCATGAATTTGTTTGTCTATTTATTGACATGCAAAAAATCAACAATATACTTTTTTCGAAAGGAAGAAGAAATAAATATTGTACAAACATGTGAAAAAATGAATGAATGACGAAAAAAATGAATGTAACGGAGAAAGTATGAAGAATAAGAAGAATAAAGATAAGGAGCGAATTTGACGAATTTTTTGAAGGATTTTTGATTTGATAGAACAAAAATATCAGATGTTCAGAGATAAATTCTAATTTTCTAGACCTATAAATCTTTGGTTTACAATTAGATGAAAAACATGTTTTCATCACTTAAGTTTTATGATCTTCTGTCTAAATCTCATATATTTCACACTCACATTCTTGGTCTTAAACTACAAACATTTTGTATTTAGATGTTCAATTTGGCAGAACGGGAATGATTTTTGTTTAATTTTGTTCGTGCTACCCACAGAGTTTTTATGGTTTCAAAAATGGGAAAAATCTGAATTTTTGAATAAAACTAGGGTTTCTGTAGTATTGTAGAAAATTTGAATTCTGGAATTAACAGCTCCAAAATTTCAAAAAAATTTTGAGCAGAAACATTCTGAAAAAAAGGCGGCTCTAAGATTTCAATTTTTTTCTCAAATATATAATTTTGAACATTTCTTGATTCTCAAGACATACAATTTTAGATTTCAAATGCACAAAATTTGGGCTTTGAAAATTGAAGTCTAAAATATAATAATGAAATATTAGACATGAATTTCTCGGAACGATTTTTGAATCAAAACTTAAAAATCACGTGATCTTCTGAAGAAAAAATGCTCACCTTCATCTTCAGCTGAATTTTCTTTAATTTCCATAAACGAAATTTTCCTCCGAATTCTTCCAGGCAATTCCCTCATTTTCGTGTCTTTCTCTCTCAAAAAATACAAAAATAAATAATTTTTTGCCCGAAAAAAAGCAATAAGCAAAATTTGACGAAAAGAAAACGAACGAAACTAATCAAAAACATAACGAGGAACATATATTGATTTACATTGAAATTCCAATTTACATTTAAAAAAAAAACTTTTTCTCATCTTCAGATCGGAAAAATTCATTTCATAAAAAAGTGAAAAACTGTCATTTTTTCCTCAAACATTTTTGTGTTGTCAATATTTATTCTGTAAATCAATCTTTACTCAAACCATGCGATTTTTTGGAATTTCAAAATTTTAAATTTAAAATAAAACTATAATAAAGTAGTCACACTTATCACATATTGTTCTGGTGATAGAAAAAAACAATGAAAAAATGAATGAATAAAAATAGAAATAGAAATCGAGAAAACGAGAAAAATTGGCGACGTCAGAAGACAGATAGACTTGGTTTGAATTATATTATAATGTGATAACGGTTGATTTTTGCAAATTGGAATTCAAACGTTTGATTTGATGAACCTAGATCAGACATGTTTCATTGTAGTCGAATTTTTTGAACATTTTTCATCCAGGTGACTAATATTCTATCCAACTGATCATGAAACTAATTCCACGTGGAATTTCAACAACAATTTTAGTTTAAAAAATCCTCGTGATTATTTGTTTTGAAAGCATTTTTCAATATCAGATATTGAAATATTCTAAAAAAATGTTACTTCATTTTTCGAATCGAAAAATTTATCATTTGTTCTCTGAAACTGAACATCCAAAATTGAGAATTTTTTACAAACCTTCAATTTTTCAATGTCCAATAATATGTATTCTTCATTAACCCCTACAATTACCAATCTATTTTTCCTAAGAGTCACCAGAAATTATACGCATTTTCCGTTTCACAGAAAAATCCAACATCTGCCGCCGCCATAAAAAACCATTTTTCAAACAAAAACATCTTATTTCTTTTTTTTGGTTGTTCATTCGATTTTATTTTTCTGCCCGTCCGTCCGTTAGCGAAATTTTATTAGGGAAATTAATTTTCATCGATTTTAATTGTGTTTTATTGAAATTTGAATGATCCAGATGCATATTCTAGTTGTTTGTCCAAATATTCAAGAATATCACTTTCTTCAAACAAATTTTCGGATCCTCCAAAAAATCTTCTCGTTGACTTTGATTTGGGTCGCTTGTATGGAAAACGAACAGAAATCGATTCTGAAAAAAAATCCGTAAAAGTATTTCCATTAACAACTCACCAATTCCAAATCGCAAAATGAGTCCAAAACAAAAGACCAAAAACACCATTAAATATGGTGGCCATATCAAATACAAATTCGGCCACACATTTTCCAATTCTCGATCGAATTTTCGAACAATTCGCGAGTGAATGTCTTGGAGAATCTGGAAAAGTTCGGAGTTTTTTGGGATATAATTTTGGAGAGAAAACTCGCAGTATAAACAGGATTCAGCTCATCGTAGTGATTATTCATTTTTCAGAATTGAGGTGAAAAAAATTGAAATGATTTCTAATTTTCGGTTTTTTATGTGTCACGTTTCACGTGAAATAATTTTATTTCAGAAAAATTTTCAAGCTCATTAAATAACATTTTTTTGTAATTTGAGCAAACTATATTTTTTCTGATGAACTTTGGTTTTTATCAACAATCAAATTTTTAGGTCAAGCTTTTTTTTACCACGAAATTATTACTGTAGATTTCTTCGACAAATGATCAGTCTACAGTAACCCGAGAACATAAATCAAGTGACTTTTCCTTTCCTTTTTGAAAAACGATAAAATACCACGGAAACTACAGTAACCCAAACCCATAATAAGCCCCATTCCATTAAGAAAAAAAGTTATTCGTCTGTTTTTCACTTCGTTTTTTTCACTCTCCCACTTCTAAAAAGCAATTCTTGTTTGTTGGCAAAAGTGGTAATGGATATGAAATTTTTCTGTTGTTTTGTTACTACTTGGCTCTACAGGAAACGAAGCAAAAATTGCAAAAAACAAAACAATAGAAATGTTCTCACATATACAACTTTTCTTTTTGTGTGTGTTTTTTTTCAGCCAGATATTTTTGACGTCTTCTTTTTTCATTCTTTCTGCGCCAAAAACAATGCAAAGAAATGTGAATAGGAAATTTATTGGTCCTTCTTTTATTCTTCCTTTTTGCTTCTCTTTTTCTTCTTCTTCTTCACTTTTTTTCACACCCGAAAAACAAAAAGCATCCAATTTTTACGCCACTTCTACAATAAACCTACCACCACCAAAAATAAAAAAAACTTTCAGTTCTACTCATCCATAAAAAGACGGAAATTGATTTCCGGCAAACTTTCTTATTTCATTTTTCTTCTTTTATTTTTTTGGTCCTACCGATTTCTAAGCCTAAGAAATTTGATATACACACTTCATTCATATATACTTATATAGATATGTTTACTTTTCAATTTGCATTCTTCTCATGACTTGACTTGCGTAGTTTTTTTCTCTCTCGTTTTTCGAAATTCAATTTTCCGAAGCTTCGTTTCTCACTCGGATCAAAACGAATTTTCTCACTCACTCACTTATTTATTTTTTATTCAAAAAACTGCTCTCCTTGAACATTGAAACCAAAAACATCAAAAAATATATTCTGCCCTCACGCAGGATTGAACTACGGACCTTTGGTTTACAAGACCAACGCTCTGCCACTGAGCTATAAGGGCGACGCAAATCGTGAATCACATTTTTGTTATCAATTCGATGATTTTCTTCGTAAAACATTTTTTTCGCAATAAAAAAGAAAAAGTAATAATTTCGCAAGCTCTTGAAAAGTTTGGTGCTCGTTATTATTCCAGATTTTTTATTTCTTGCGCGGCCACCAATTTTCTTCTGCCCTAGTGTTCATTCAACAAAAGGGTCAATTATTTTTCGTTCCGTCTGATTTTTTCCGATTCGATGATTTGCACATTTTTTGTGCAAATAATATAATACTACTGGAAAAAATGCCGCCGTCGCACAAAAAACTTTTGATGAATAGATAGATGTGTACTTAGGAACAAAAATTCGATGAATAATTTATCACGGCTTTTAGCGCGGAATTTTTCTGGATTCTTTTTATGTGTGGTCCTTGGTTTTTGATTTGTATTCACCTGAAAGTGGTTTATGAAATAAATTCAATTATTGAAACAATTTCAAGTCACGCGATCTACAGTAACCCAAAAATAACAATAACGAATTTTTTTCTCACGTGACATTTTCTTTTTTCTTCAGAAATTATTTTTTTGAATTATTTATTTTCTTATTTTCATGCCAACTGAACTCACAGAATTCCTCAATTCACAATATCGATATAGGTGAGAGATTCCAGAAAAACGGAAAATCAAAAATATTTGGAGGTCTAGGATTTTTAAAAATCTAGAAATGTTTCTTATTATTTTTATAACTACATATCTTGACTTTTTTATTTTCTCTCATTAGATAAAACTATCACCACTGTCATTTTTGTTCAGGATCGTAAAACCAAGATTTGGTTTCAAAGAAAAACCTAGAAACCCAAACATTTTCTTTTTTAATATAAAAGGCCACATGAACTGACAAAGTCTACTGTATTTCGATGTCCTCTTCCACGATTCGAATATTTTTGAATTTACAATATCAATCCGTAGCCCCGCCCATAACTTCGAACGCCCCGCCTCCATTTTTTGTCTTTTTGGCACTTATCCCCTCGCTTTCTTCCTCTCTCTTCATTTTTCTCTTCTTCTTCACACACTCTCATTTTCTTCCTTCGTTTTGCTCGTTTTTTATGTGATGTGATGTTTTGTTACAAATTTTTTTCGAAACTTTTGAAAATCTCAATTTTTGTTTTCAGGTATATAGGATCAGAATATTTTGAAATTGGTCTGGTCTGGTTTTTGTGGCCACGAATTCAGCCAATGTGATAGTCGGAGTTCGAGACATATGCGACTAATATGGTTATGGAAGCTGCTGCTCGCAGCCACCATTTTTTGGAGCATTCAACAAGTTCAAGGTATTTTTATTTTCTTATTTAATTGGTTTAAACTAGTGATCTGAAAATACCTGATTTTTTATCATGTTCTTTATTTTTTGTGTAAAATTCAGTCATTGAGGATTATACAAATATCTAATCCGCTAATTCGATCTATATTCATTTTTGCCACGAAAAAAATATGCGAAAACTACTCATTTTTACGAGAAAAATAATAATAGAGCTAATCAAACCGCAATTCCTAGATTAGGTTCATTTCCATGTTTTTTTCATTAAATAGAAAATAAAAATTACAAGATAAGGGAAAAGTTCTTTTTTTTCCAGTCAATCGCAGAACAGTTGTCGATCATCATTAATTTTGTTTTCTTTGTGACTTGCGGAAAAAAGATTCGAAACATATGTCGCGGTTTTTTTTTCGAATCTTCTCGCATGAGACATTTTTCGCTGCTGAAGGCTTTGGGGAAATTGTTTCCGAAATACATATGTAGTAGTTTTGAAATAGCCAGAAACAAAAAAGTACAAAACAAATTGCGACAACGCATGCAACCCAAAATTGGGCATGCATTTTTGATGGTTTCGATGAACTCTTCTTTTTTTTTGGAATAAAGTGCATAGTTGGATAATTTTTGAGTTTTATCTGAGTACACTGGAAGGAAATCAAGAAATACTTATATTTATTTTCTCACGTGACATTCTGGGAATTTTTAGATTTCATTTCTTTGACTTTTAGGATCACCGAACTTGAATTTTCAAAAAAAGTGAAAAGATTATTCAACCAAATATCTTTGATGAAAAAATGTTCCTAAAATATGATCCTGAATAATCTTCTTTATAAACTTCCCATAAAATCAATTTTTGAAAAAAATGAAACTAAAAAGACTTTCCAAACATAATTTTTTCTCAAAAAAATTAACAAGTTTTTTGAAAGTTGGATAAAAAAAGGAAGTGACAAAAATTATTTGCAAAAAGTCTGTCATTCCGAATTTTTAGCCGATACTAATCCAAGATTTTCCAAAAATCTTTGATAAGTTTTTTTCCAAACATTGCTGACTCTTCAAAAATTCCGGGTTTTTTCCAAGTCATTTTTAAATTTTCCCAATTTTCTTTTTGTTCCTCGAAAAAACTCTGCCTCAATGTTAATTATTTCGGGGTTGTGTAGATAGTTGTAGAGTAAGAGTAGTATATTTTTCAAACACACACACACAAAAACAACGACATAATGAGTCCCTCCCGAAATACTTTTTGCTCTCTCTTTTGGCTCATTTCATTTCAATTTCAACACATGTTTTTGTTTATAAAAAATGTGGGTGTTGGTTGTTGAGAGGAGGGTGTGTGGAGTGGGGTGTAAACTAAAAAAAATTTGGTGAAAGTTTCCTGCTCTAGAAAAAAAGAGCAGGGAGCCATCAATTTTTCAATTCTCATTCCAACACGAAGACACAACAAAAAAAGCATCATAAAAACATTTCGTCTTCCATCTTTCAATTCAATAAAAAATCAACCACGAAGACAAGAAAATGAAAATGAAAAATGTTGGATAATACATCAAATAAATTAGTCATTCTCAGGCTCGCAAAAAAAATCGAGGAACAAAAAATGTTGGCCTTCATGGCGGTGATCGGATAATCTGCCGTGGGAATTTTTATTATTCTTTCCTATGATTTTTTATTTTATATTTATTTTCGCAATGCGAGTGTAGCAAAACTGAAAACTAATATTTTTGGAAAAACGTTTCAAGGCACATTGATTTTATGGGGGTTTAAGATTTCATGCTACTGTAGTTTCCCAGGAAAGAATTATTTATTGTATCTTCAAAACAGTATAGATATTAACTTTAGATGTTTGTAATTCAACGATTTTTAGAATTCAGATATTTTTCGGTTACCTCAAGTTTAGGCCAACGCTTAGGACTTTGAAAATATAAATGTCAACTATTGTAACATCGAAAATTTGAAATTACATAGTAGCAATTGAACCTGAAGGCAACCACTGATTTTTTGAAAGCCTAGAAAAATTAGAGCTCAAAAAGTGCATTCTCAGAAAAAAGCCCACCCAGCGTTTTTTTTCTCAATTTCATTTTTCAAACTCAATTCCAATTCCCATCTTATCCCATTCCGCAAACTAATATCTAATCTATATTTTCTCGCAAAAACCATCGGACACTTTTCTCTAGAAAAAAACTTGATAAAGCGTCTCATGTCCCCCGGGTCCATTATATCTTTTTTTCGGCCGCTGCGTCTTTTTTGACTATGCAAAACAAAGTATCCTTTCATATTTACTACTTCTACGGGGAATCGGAATGGAATAGTTAATTATGTTGAAAAAATAATTATGTATTCAAATCAGAATCAGAATGAGAATTATTCGTGGAATTATGAGAAAAGTTGAAAGAACTAAAACATGGCTAGAAAAAAGGAAAAGAGTGAGCAAAGTTCGAAAACTAGAAAAAGTCTGCTTGAAAAAAACGTGGCACGTATAAACTTGGAGAAGATCCTTGATAATTGAACTTTCTAGGCGTGATTACCTGACCACTGGAATTCCTAGACTCTAAAGGCAAAACATTTTTTTTTTGATGAACTTTAAAGTTTATAATTGAAAAATGAAAAGTGCCATGTTTATTTTTGACACCCACTACCTTAGCCTAGATTTAACTAAACCCATATTTTTTGCAGGAGGAAGTGAAGTGAAATGTTTTTGCGATCGTCTGAATTGTGAAGATCAAATGTTGTGTCAAGGCCAATATTGTTATATCGGGTTAGAAAAAATTGATGACGGTGAGTTTTTTCCTCGTTTTTTTAACCAAAAAATACATCAGAAATAGTAAAAGAACTACTACAATTTCCATCCGTAACCAAGCAACTCTATAAATTTTTTGTATTCTTCTCGAATAATTATTTTTTCTTTTATGTTCCTCTCTTTCTCCTTTCGTTTTTGTTGTTATTTTTCACTAGGAAATACATAGTAAGTACATTACATTTTCAAGGCACGAGAAAAATAAACGAGGAGCCAGGAAAAAAGAAGACACATAGTTATCGAAATATTCATCTTTTTTCGGAAATCCCGCGGGATTTTTTGAGAAGATGTCGTTTTTTTTGACATAGTAGAAGTTGTAGAAGGGTGGAGTGGTGTGTAGTAGAAACATAAAGGGAAAAGGGATGAAAGACACATGTTTTTAAGAAAAAAAAATCAGGAAGACAATTTCTCGCTCCGAAATTAATATGGGATTTTATACCACGTTGAATTTTTGAATTTGAACTTATATGAATGAATTTCTGCCATTAAAATCTATTTTTTTTTTCTTAAAAAAAATTAACTGAAAGCTAAAAGAATTTTTAAAATTCCCACCTTCAATTTAATTTTCGTCGAAAACCTCCACCAAAAACATTGCAGTATTTTCAGATAAACCGCGACTACGACAATTTTGCGGTTCCAGCGATTATGTACCATATTTGAACAGTCATACAAATTGTCAAGGAAACATCGAAGGTTGGCAAGAAGTTTGCAAATGTTCCGAAGATTTTTGCAACACTTTTGCATTTTTGCGATCTTCAATTGATTCGATGGTTGATAGTAAAGATTTAGTAGCGTTTGAAAAAGTCGAAAGGAAAACTGAGGCGCAAACACCGCGATCTGTGAGTTTTTATTTAGTAAAAAATTCCTGCAATAAAATTTTAAAAGCTCAATTTTATACAAAATTATGGAAAACTTTGAGCTCTCACTTATAAATTTTTTTTTCGTTAAAAAATCCCAAAAAAAATTATTTTTCAAGTTTGGAAGCCCGTGTCAAAATTATCCAAAGCCCCTTCCTATATTTTTTTTCGAAAATGTTCAACAGATTGTTTCAGCATGATGTTGTAATGCGTGCTCAAAACAGCAACCTCATCGTTCTTCTAGTAATTATTCCATTATCAGTCGGCGGTTTTGCCGTTTGTCTAATATTTTTGAATTATCATTGCAAAATGTGCTGACCTTTCTTTCTTTCTTTCTTACTTCAAATTCTTCTCTTTTTCTTTTCATTTTTCTCAAAAAATGAATCGAAAAAGCCGAAGAAAAACAACATTTCTCCAACTGTGATATTATTTTTTTCAAAAAAAAATTCTCCATTTTTTCATTTCATAAAGTATTATTTTTATTTTTTATTCAACACACCTTTTTTTTGAAGCAGGCACCCTGCGGTGAAATATAATTGTAGGGCATTTGCTTTCGTGTAGAAATACTTACTACAAACGGGTCAAGAAGTTGGGGAATTTTAGGCTACTTTTTTCGAAACCGCCCACGAATAGGTTCCAGTGAATTTGTGTAAAACAATCTTGACTTCAATTCCATCCGAATCAGAATCGTTGAGGATTTTCCACGGATCAATCTGGAAATAAATGTATATTGGATTTAACTTTATGGAATTAAACTATATGTTTTATAAAGTTTTTTCAAAAAGAATTTTAGTAAAATCGATATAAATTTTCAAATAGAAAAAATAATTTTGAATCCCAGAATTCCAAAGAGGTTTTCAAGATTTATTGGAGAACCAGCAAAAATCCTTATTTTTCATCCCAAAAAGTGACTTTATGTCACCAAAAATAGTAATCTTACAATATTTCCAACAATCGGATGATATGCTTCAGTATTTGCTCGAAATTCTTCGTTATTTGCAAATCTTATATTCTGAATACGAACAACCAAACCAATCGTATCTTTGTGGAAATAAATAATAGTCAATGGCTCGATTCTTTCGATAAAGCTCACAAACTTCCATTTATCACATCCTTTGAATTTTACGAAATTCGCGCGAAAGAAATCGCCTCTTTGAAGATGAAGAGCTCTTTTAGCTGAATCGAAAACTATGGAAGATATGTGTTCATCGGTTAACCAACAAAAATATGACTTGATATTTTCTTCGGAATCTTCGACTTTGGTGACAACTCCAACGCATTGTTTCTGGATCTTCTCCGAGATTTTTTGAGATTTTTCCTTTTCTTTTTGTGGATTTTTGACAACGTTATTGTTTTTCTCTTTTTGCACAATTAAGTGCTTTATGGACGCGATTGCCTTATCGACTTTCGAAGGAACAACTGAATTTTCATCAATGATTGCACCCCAATGACAAACTGAGTTCTCACCAACTTTGAATTCTTCTGATAATCTGTGCAAAAAAAATTGAAAATCGAACGAATAGTTGAACTTACATAGTAACATTGATTGGATGTGATTTATCGAGTTTCGAAATTGTTATATTATCATCAACACACGCGACTCTTCCAAAAATCTTTGATTCAAAAAATACAGATCCATTTTGTTTTCGTAAAACTCCACAAGTTCCTCTTCCAACTGCGGAATCCAGAGTTTTTCCGAGAACTTCAAAGTGCAACCCAGATTTGTGCTTGATCATCTTGAAACTTTCTGGAGAATAGTTTTCGATATCGACTTGACAAATACTTCCCAAATCCAATCCACTTTTTTTCAAAGTTTCTTTTTCGACTAAGTATCTTTTCGATCCATCTATTCTAAAAAACAGATTATTCGAATTCACTTTTTCTGTTCTTGATAACTTACGAGATGAGAAGAATCTTGTCTTTTTGAAATTGTTTGATCGCAATCATCATTTCTTTTTCCACCATTGTTGGCAAGTTTGATCCCTGAAAGATTTTGAACTTCTTCTTCTTTGAACAAATTTGAAAATTTTCAAAAACCAAAAAAAAAAAATAAAAAAACATCTTTTTAAATTTGAAATGTTCGCCTTCTGAAAGAAACACTGCATCGTGACGAGACCAGTTTTGAAAACGTTGTGTGTCGTTAAAAAACTACGGTGAGAGCTATTTTATTTTTTTTTCATTTCAAGAAAGTTTAGCCGAATTTCGAGCTTTACAAGCAAAATCAACGTTGACAATTTCCAAGTGACGAATTTATGGAAAAAAATAAAAAATAGATATTATTGAATTAAAAATACGTGAGAAATAAAAAACTAGGTCAAGTGACGTGGATTCAAAAACAGTATAGGTAGCCATGTCGTCAGTTGCGATGCGTGTGAGCGACACGTTTTTAGAAATGAAAATTTGGCAAATTCAATGGAAAATATCGAGGTCAACACGCAACGCAGAACCGCATCGCGACTGACGACATGGCTACCTATACTGTTTTTAAATCCACATCATTTGACCTAGTTTTTTATTTCTCACGTGTTTTTAATTCAATAATACAAGGTATTCAATTTTTGTTTTGTTTCAAATTTTCATTTCTCGTTTGTTTTTTATTGTTTGTTATAATCAATCTTAGCCAATTAATCAATCAATAACTTTCGAGATCGCCCAACAAAAATTCCCAGCATATTTTTGAAGAACAATCAAAACTTTAATAGGTTCCGAAACATCACAATCATCCAAATTGTCCCAAACATCGACTATATTTCCAAAAAGTGGGTGGAAAGCTTCTGCATTTGCACGAAATTCAGAATTATTTGCTGGTTTGATGCTGTGAAGTTCGACTTCTAAACTTATGGTATCCTTAAATAATTTGAATTTTGTGAGCGGTTGAGCGATTATTTCGATGAAACTGACGAATTTCCATTTTTCGGTCTGGAAAGGTAGAGTTTAAAAATTTTATTTTAAGTTTGAATATTCAAAAAAAAAGCTCGAACTGTCAAATCTTGACATTATCACTTACATCTTTATATTTCACAAAATTTGCATTGAAATAATCGCCACGTTGCAAATTCAACAATTTTTTCGGCTGATCAAACATGACAGAAGAAATATGTTGATCAGTCAGCCAACAAAAATACGATTTCACATTTTTGTCGTTTGTTTCCACTTTTGTCACAACTCCGATACATTGTTTTTGCACTTTGTTTGGTTCGGTATTCTCCTTTTTCGATTTTTGTGGATGTGATGGTTTTGGAATATATTCGGTGTCGATTCGTGCACCCCAATGACAAATCGAATTTTCGCCGATTTTGAATTCTTCCGTGATTCTGAAAATTGAGGGTTCATATTTTGTTGATTAAAAAAACTGTCATTAGTTGATGACTATAATTTATTTTTAAATTTTTCATATTTGATAATTCTTCTAAATAACTTACAAAGTGACAATAATCGGATGTGCTTCATCAAGTTTCGAAAGCGTAACATTTTCATCGATACAAGCAACTCGCCCAAAAACTTTTGAATCAAAAAACACTGATCTATTCTCTTTTTTCAAAACTGCGAATGTATTTTTGCCCTCAACATCCGTTTTTCCAATCTCAAAACGAAGATCCGATGAATGTTTGACGATTTTCAATTTTTCAGGTGCAAAGTTCTTCAACTCAATTTCATAAATTTCTCCCAAATTGATATCAAATTGTTTGTTATCAAGAAGATGACGCATCGAGCCATCGATTCTAAAAATTCATTTTTAATTTCTGGAAAAAAACTTTGAAAAAAAACTCACGAAATCAGCAATGTTTTCTGATTGTTTAGTAGTTTTTTTATTGCAATAAATTGCATTTTCACAACTTTTTCTTGGAAGTTGGCAAGTTTTTCTGGAAAAAATTAAAATTATGCGATGATTCACGAAAATGAAATGACAGTTTATTAATGTTTAAAAAAACCGTCAGTTTATTTTCGTGAATCACCACAGGCATAAATTCTTGACTTTTCTAATTCAGAAATGCCTGTCGCAGAAAAAACAAATTCTCGCGTGAATCGGGAGGCGGGATTTATTTGGCAAGGTGCGGCACGTTTTTTTCAATGAATAATTATTTCTGATTTTTTAAATTTCGAAATTTAGTGAAGAAAAAAAGATGAAAACGAAAAAATTATTTTAAAAACGTGAAACGTGTAATCGTGGCAGGGGGCGGAGCCGACAGGAAAAAAAATCAGAAATTTATGCCTGTGATCACAAAAATGAACTGTACAAAAAAAGAGAAGAGCAAACGTTTTGATGTAACATTAAAAGTTTTTGATAAAAAAATGAGAAACTGTTTCTTCTTTTCTTTTTTGATAAAAAAAGGAACATAAAATAACATTTTCTCATAGATATAAACTTACGAGTTGTAATAATAATATAAAAATATAGATTTTATATTGTTTTTGGATAAAAATAAACACACCGCACAGAAAGGGATTTATAGTTGCGAAATATATTTATGAACACGTTTCATTGCTCATGTTATTGATAGCATCAGAGAGGTAGAGTAGGCATGTTCTGAAAATCGGATAAACAATATTTGAGTTAGGGAAAAAGCTGGGTTTTTTTAGTAATCAGAGATTTACCGGCACAAAATTGAAGTTGTACAGAAAATCAGTTCATCCTCAAAATATTCTAAAAATTTATTTCTTTGAAATTTATTTTTCCAAATGTTCAAAATTATACATTTCAGTCATCGAAACAAAATATTAATGTATTCAAATCCTTGTCGATTTTTATATATTTTTCCAAAATGATTCCATATTGTCAGTCCAGTGTAAATGCATCCAACAAACCCAATAACTGGTACAATATGTGCAATTATATCAACTCTAACATTTGGTTCGACCTATGTTCCTTTAAAATGGTTCGATAAATCTGATGGTTTATATTTTCAATGGATTCAATCAATTGGTCAATTATTAATTGGAATATTAATTCAATTATTTATTGAACCATGTCCTTTACATCCAATTGCAATGTTAAGTGGAATGTTTTATTCGATTGGTAATTCTTTGACTGTTTTTATAATGGATGGAGTTGGATTAGCTATTGGATATTTGCTGTGGAATACGGTCACTTGTTAGTTTTTCAAATAATACTGCAGAAAAAAGTTATTTATAAATCATTGAGAGGCAATTAGAAAAATAGTAATTTTTACTGCATTTTTAGAAGTACAGTAACCCTAAATCAATTAATTTTTCCGAGAAATTTTTTTATAAATTTTAAGCACTTTGGAAGGAACTGTGGGTACTGTAGATATTTTTTTCAAAATTAATTTCAGTTTTCTCACATTTCATGAAGATTCTGAAAAATAAACATCGAAAACATACGCTTTAAAATACGGTTTTCACGGTGAAAATATTAGCTCTGGAAACTAAATTGAAATAATTTCAAAAACTGATCCAACTGTTTTTTTTTCGAATTCCTTTAAAAAATTGCAGGTGTGTGTGGTTGGGCTGTGACTCGTTTCGGTCTTTTCGGAAATCCTCAACAACTTCCTCATTCAAATTGGCTCAATATTCTCGGAGTAATCACAGTTTGTCTTGGCGGTGCAATTTATGCTCCCATAAAACATGTTCCAACAAAAGTTCGGCCATCTCCGTGGACAGAAATTGATTCGGAAAAAGATCAAGAAAATGAAATAGTTTTTCATCGAGAAGTCAGTTTTTCTCGTCGATTATTATGTTTGGTTCTCACAATTTTTGTCGGTTTTCTTTATGGAAATTTTTTGACACCAATTAATTGGATAATTGCAAATGAAGTTGGATCGAGACAAGATGTTGAGGCTTATATTTTCAGTTATTGTGTTGGATCATTTTTGACATCCACGGTTATTTTTATAATTTATGGATGTATTAAGAAAAATCAACCATTAATTAATCCGGAATTATCATTACCATCGATTATGTCTGGATTATTATATGGAACTGCTATTACTACTTTTTTCATGGCTAATCAACATCTTGATCAGGTAAAGGAAGTTTTCAGGAAAAAATTGAATTCAAACCACGACGTTCAATTTTTTAAAACTTGTTCCAACCCTCTATTTTCTTGTTGAATTTTCACAGTTTTCATTTCCTGAAAAACTTCAATATTTTTTCAAGTTCGAGAAAAAAAAACTCACCAAACATTTTGCAGGTAATCGCATATCCAATTCTCTCAAAAGCTCCCGGAATAATCGTCAGCCTTTGGGCAATATTTCTTTTCAAAGAAATTCAAGGAAAACGCAATATTCTTCAATTATATCTCGGTATATTTGTCACACTTTTGGGTATTGCATTCATCTCAATGTCAAAAGTTGAATTTTGACGAAATAAATCAAAAATGTAAAATTTCATAATAAAACAAGAAGAAATGACAAAAACTGTATAAATACAATGCACAATAAAGGAAAAATAAATAAAAATTTCTGTAATTATTAAGATCACGGAAACTTTTTTTTGAAAACTTTGTTCAAAACTTGAATTCGATCCGGATTATCCAATATTTGTGAAAGCATTGCTGGGAAAATATCGACAAATAATGAAAAGATTTGTAGGAAAAACTCACGAAAATCATTAAAATGCGCGCTTAAATTTTCGTATAAAATTGTCCAAACTTTTTTGTCGGCCTCTGTTAATTTGCACAATTTTCGAAGTTCTTGCATGTTTAGAGAAAGTCGTTTCGAGAGCTGAAAAGAAACAAAAAATTTAGGTTAGCTATGAAAAATTTGGAAAATAAGGTTTCAAAAAAAATGAATCTTTGAAAATCTAAATTTGGTTTTTCATATCACAAACTTGATTCTTGAGTAATGTTTTTCGAGAAAATATATTTTTATGTGAACTATTTCGTAGAAAAAACATGTCATGAAAAAACGCACCAATTTTTCGACTCTCTGTTTCCTGACTTCCCAAACGGCTTCATATTGAGAAACCGACAAATTAGATAAATTCCATTGAAAATAAAGTGATGCATGCATTGGCATTCCATACCATTTTCTCCAATCTATATGCCTTATTTTCAAAAACTCATCATATGCCTTATTTAAATAACTCAACGTTTTTTGAAGTTGTTCATCTCGATAATGAGGTTGAAGTTGATTCAAATCAACAGTCCATTTATAATTTCTTGGATAATTCTCTAATCTCGTTGATCCAGATTGTGGAGAATAACAATCTATTCGGTGTGATCTGACACAATCTTTCATGAAACCGATTTCTGTATCTTCTGAAATATTAGATGTTTTTTTTAATTTGAAAATAAAAATGGGAAACCAACTTCTCTGCAATTCGTCTCCACGCATTTCCCAATATTCTCGAGTTTGATTTCGTTCTCTTTCCCGGTTTTCATCATATGTTGCATAAGCCATTTGCCTAAAAATAGATGATTTTCTAACAAAGAACAACTTTAGAAATTTTTCAAATAAGTTTGGAAAGTTTTTTTTTAAAGCTCCAGTTTCAAAATTACCATTTTTAGAATTGTTTTTAAAAAAAACCTACTTTGTTTGATTAGTCGAATTCGTTTTATACGATTTCCTATGAGCAAATCGACCTCCTTCAAGTTCATCATATCTTTTCCATTCACTTCTACCACTTCTATCTCTTCTATCATTCCACGTTTTACTTCCAGAAACTGCATAATTTTGTAGAAATTGCTCGGCTGCAGTCTTCGATGAATCTTCATTTACCAATAGCTGAAATATTTCATTGTGAGAGATTTTTTTCTAGATCTAACTCACAAAATCTGCTAAATACGATCCTGAACATGAATGATTTTTCATCAATTGCTCCATATGTTTCCTGGAAATGCATTGGAATTCCAACTTATTTTTGTCTTAATTCAAAAACTAACCTTTCAATATAAGCTTTCCGTTTTTTCTGATCAATTGATGGAACAGTGACTGGCCAATAAACACCTTTTGATTTTTCGAAAGGCCATTCATATTTCTTCTCAAGTTCTTCGACTGAAATTTCCGATTAATTCCATTCTTCCCGTTCAACTGACTCGATTTCATCAACTTTTCCAAAAACTTCTTCAAAAATTGCTTTGTTTTTCTCTCTTCTTCCTCTTACAGCTTGTTCGAATTCTTCAATAAGTTTTGAAACATTTTGAAGGATTGTTGTACGATTTTCTGAAGAAAAAAAAATTAAACATGAGAAAACCAAGAATATTATCCAAATAAAACATACCTGCACTCTGATTAGATTTTCCTCGATCTCCAAGTGATTTTCTGAAAATAACCATTTTCTCAATGTGGTTCTTTCAGAAAAATCTCTAAAACTCACGGATTAACATCTGACAATTCATCATCACTAGATGCATCGAATTCCCGAATTCGTGGACAGAATTTTCGTTTTTTGGCTGTGGGTCCACTCATTGTATTTTCTTTTGATTTGAGAGCAAAAGAGATCCTTGGCTCATTTGGTTTTTCAGCTGCAATTGTTCGACGTTTCATGAATCCTTGATTTCTAGGTTCTGTTTCAGGTTCCATTGCTATCCTTGCCAAATCTGTGATATCATCCATCAATTCATCATCTTCTCTTCTCCTTTTTTGTTCTTTTTTTTGCTTTTCATTCTAGAAAAACACAATTATTACATATTAAAAAAAAAGAAAAAAATTCTAACCATTTCCACCATTTGCTGAAATTCTTCCTCTAGAAGCACATCCATATCAAAATCAGCGCTAACTCGTAAATCAAATGATTTTATTTTTTCAATTGGACGTATAGCAATCTTTTTCTTCTTCAAGATCATTTCGAGTTTCCGCTGCAATTTTTCGAATTTTCATAAATTCTTGATTCTGAGGTTCTATGGTAGATTCCACTGATTCTTTGAGCAATTCTGTAATCTCCTTCATCAATGCATCATTCTCTGCTTTTCTCCTTTCTTCTTCTTCCTTCTTCTGCTCTTTTATCTGAAAAAAAATACTGTGAAATTATCAAAAAAAAAAAACAATATTCCGAACCATTTCCATCATTTGCTGAAATTCTTCCTCTAGAAGAATATCCATATCGAAATCATTACAAACTTTCAAATCGATGGCTTTTATTGTTTTGATTGGACATGGGATAATTTTTTGTTCTCGGCAATCATCTGGTGTTTCTGGTGAATTGGCAGCAGCTGAAAATAATACAAAAATAAAGTAACTATGAGAACGTTTGAAATTTACGAGTTAAAAAGTCATGAAAAGGGTCGATTTCCTTTTCGATAAACAATGGATCGGTCGAGCAGCACGGTGTATTTTTCCAGTCAATAAAATCGAATGAAACTTCGGGTCTTGAATTATTATAAGTTCCTGGAATTCGAAAATTCGAAAATCCTTCGAAAATTGGAGATGTTGATTCTTCATGGAACATTAATAATACAGACATTGCTTCTTTTTCTAAATCACACGTTTCTTCAATATTTCTTGATGTTGAACAAATCTTCTTATTTTGTTTCTCAACTTTCTTCGGAGATTCAGTTTCAATAACATAACATGAAGGTTTTGCGAGAGAATCGATACATGCATTTTTATTACTGCAGCGACCAGGACAAAACTTCTCAGTTTTCGCTAACTCAGCCAAAATATACAATTTGTTTTTCGCAATTCGCTTCTCGATAGTGAAAACATCTATAAATTTATGAATTGATGGATAATACATTTAAAAATGTTAATACCGGGGATCTTGATATTGATTTCGAAAACTTTGCTGAGAGCATCACGCATTCGTTTTTCGCGGGCTTCCGCTTTTTCAATCTGAAATTTTCAATGTTTTTCGACAAACTATGTTTTTCAACTAACATCTTCTCGGGTCAGCATAACAATAGATTCAACTGTATCGATAGAACTTTTTTATATCTGAAAAAAAAAACTTTTGACGGCGAAGCAGGGCATTTTAGAAATATCATTTCTGTCAGCAAAAAAAGGAAAAAGAAATTATGAAAATTAATATTTTTGAATGAAAAGGAGGACGGAATTGCTGTCCTACTTGTCCTACCCGCTGAAGAAAAACTGAAATGCCTGTTTTTCTATTTTGCTCATTTTTAAGTTTTTTCAGTTTTTCTACTTTTTCTTTGTTGTCGGGTATCACATTATTGATTTTTAAGAGGGAATCAAGTTAAATGAACTCATCAAACTTCCGTTTAAAAACATCGGGTAGGACAAGTAGGACAGCAATTCCGTCCTCCTTGAATGAAAAAATAAGAGTGTGTGTCAACACCGACTTCCCGCAAACACCAAATCCTACGCGCAATCTTGTAAAAATAAAACAACGACACTCCGCTCAGACAATGCTTGAAAATTAAACAACAGGCAAGCGCTCGGCTTAAGCCGATATCGGCTCGAGTGTCGTTTTTTTTTACTTTTATTTTTTCCTTTTTTGGTCTGGAAGCAACTAGTGATGCAAATTAATAATATTAATAAATATTATTTTTGAATGCGCGCACACGTGTTCCCAACGAGACCAAGCACACGGAAAAGTAAAGCTCCCTTTAATTCATTTTTTATTTTTTCAAACATTGAAAAACATTCAAATTCAAAGAAATCACTTTATTTACACTTAAAAAGCAGAGATGGAGAAACTAAGGCTGATTTTTGTTGTTTTGAGACCATGATCAATTCCTAGAATTAATTCACCGCTATATACATTGAAAAATTGAGTAAGAAAAAACAAATATTTAGAATATATTTTAACCGCGAGTTTTTCTCATTGGGGCTCGTCTTCCCATCAATTTGAACATTGCGCAGTATTGCTTGAGCTCGCTGAATTTTTAAATTTATTATTTCAATAAATTAATTTTTTGTAGAACTCACTCAACACCTGCGTTTACGGAACACTCGCAAAGTTCTCCAGCTTCACGTTTCCAGTGCATTTTCTTTGTGCATGCACGGAATGATCTTTTGGCTTTTGCTTCAGCCACCAATGGTTGGCATCCTTGTCGATCAAAACAGAAACCATTCGAGTTTTTCTCAAGGAAACAATCTTTGACACAAAGTGCAAAATCGCCAGTTGCATCAAGAATATGTTTGATTGGCGCAATCATTGTTTGAATGGTGGCTGTTTGGGTGACAATTGATTTTTCGGAAATTTTGAAGATCGAACGAATGTCAGTTTTCTGGATTTGTTGACCATTCGAATGACTGACACAGCTGTAAAGTTCAAGGTTGGTCATTTTATTTTGTAAGTCATTAAAATTGTTTTGCGAACCGAACACAAGCTACATTCTAGCCTGAACACTGATTTGTAGTATTTGTGTTCAATATAAATACTTCCGAAAATCAAAAAAATAACTTACGCTTCAACTCGATTTTCGAAACATGTCAAAAAATCATCCAAAATATTATCCTTTTCATCGAAACATTTTTTCAAATCACTTGGTCTTTGTGTGATTTTTGAGAACTTTTGGAAGCATGGAACTGTGCAATCTTTAGCCTGTTTTTTCATTTCCTCAACACAAACACGTTGTTCTCCACATGAACATTGTCGAACTGTTTGTCCACTGATTTTTGCACGGTTTAGAATATCCGCGCCTTGATCAGCAACCTGCAAAAAATAGTTTGTAGTGGTCATCAACCAACTTTTCTTCCTATTATCAATCTCATCATTCTCTTTTTTATCATCATCATAATCACACATTTTTTCGAAGAAAGAAAGAAAGTTACGAAATCAAGTTTTCCCCCAAAAATTTTATGTGGTTTTTTCTCGTTTTTTTCCGGCCAGTCAGAAAGGGTTCAACAACAAAGAAACTGAAAACGACCTCGAGAAAAATTTCAATAATCCTTTGGGTTCCGAGACCTGACAGGAAAAAACCGGTAGTGTTCGGGGGTCAGACAAAACATGTGTGAAACACAATGGAACGAAGTTATTTTTGGATTATCTAGATGAGATGACAAAAAATCGTGGTTTGTGTGATTTTATGATTCTGAGGGTCACATTTTTGAGAATATTGGAATGTGGTTTCTAATTGAAGTGTTTCTTTATTTCGAAAAATTACGAAGATTTCCTTCAAAAACTTTGTGTCGTTTTAAATAAGAAAGACAAAAAATACGTAATTTCTTTTATTTTATCGAAACCAAATAATTTGGCCAAAAAAAGCGAGAATAGGAGCTCAACTTCCATTTTTCGCGAGTACAGTATCCGTGATGATCCTATGCTCAATTTAATTATTTGGAAACAATGTTACCGACACAGACTTTATCCGTATTCCCGAAATATGGAATTTAAACTTATGTTTTTCGCTTTATTGTCAAGTTACCACGTGAACTTTTTTTGAAGTTAGTTTAAAATTTCACTTCAAATATCTTTCAAAAAATATTTTTTCAAATATGATAAACTCAAAAAATAACTCACTGTATCAATGGGATTCGACGCATATCCAAAATTCACCAAAACTGTCAAAATAATCAAAAATTTCATGTTCTTCACAAGTTTCAAAAAAACGAACAAATGTGGAATTTTTCGAAATGTCGCGCTTTTTTCTTGTCTTTTTAGTTTCGTTTTGTCGTCGTCTTCGGTTTTTTCTTCTCGATTTTTTTTCGTTTTGCCCCGCCCACTTTTGTTCGATTAACAAGAAGAACTGAACAAAACTGTTTATTTGGTCACAAAAAACAGAGATTTTTTGGAACTCGTGATATCTATATGATTTTGGTTAACAAGAGATTAGCGCAACGATCATATAATAACAGGAAATGTTTTTGGTTTGGAAGAAGTTGAAGAAGAAGAAGAAGCATTTGATGTTGGAATGTGGATTTTTGCACGGGGTGTGGCAAGGAACTGTTTTTTGAATGCCAAAAATTGATAACTTTATGTCTCATTGCATTTTCTGGAAAATAACTACATTTTTCCGGAAACCCGTTTCCTATTTACTGAGAAAAATCATCGAAATTCAGGAGAACATTTTATCTCAAACATTGATTTGATTTGATTTGAGTTGAGTTGAATCCAACCGGTTTTGTTTCCAAAATCAGAGACTAGGTTTGGTTATTTAATGAGCTCATCACTTGAGATAACTCATGTTTTGTATCTTCTCACCAAATCCAAAATCTTTCCGAAATCGACCATTCGTATTAGTCTTTGGTTAGTTTCTCATTTCCGTCTCGATCTTTGACTCAGTCAACCCTAAAATTGAACCGAATCAAATCACTTTCTCGAACTATTTTCTTGTTGACGTTTACCAATGTTTTTCTCTCATATTTCTCAAAAATATTGATGACAACATTTTTCGTGTCAACAACATTTTCTCTGATTGTCTATCATCATTGAAGTCTCACAAGATCGCTAGTTCATAAATAAACAACACTTATCTCTCGGTTTCTGATCATCCGATGGTTTATGTTAGGGTTTGACCTGTCCGATTCGATCGCTAATTCGATTTAATTCGAGACGCGCTTAGTTAGGGGAAGTTGTCATTTCTTTTTTTTTTCGGTTAATTTCCGTCCAAAAAGAACGTCCTTCGTTGGTTGGTCAACACTTGAAAGTTTTTTGTGGCCTTGCTGGAGGGCAGACAAATACTTTGAAAAGACAAAGACAAAAGCTTGGTCAGTTTTGATGATAATAATGATGTTGATGAAGATTACAACGCTTTGAAAAATAACAATAACTATCTGATAGGAAAAAGGAAATAAGACAAAAAAAAGAGATTGATATGGGTTTGATCAAATAATTTTAGAGATCAGGATTAGTCATAGATAGGGTTGTGTTGGTAATAAAATATGTGGAATAGCATAAAAACTACAAACTACAGTACTTTTAAAACCGAACACCGTTTTCAGAAATATTTAAAAAATTTTGTTCGTTTCATAATTAATATTAACTATTTTTTCAAGTTCCACGTGGATTTTTGTGCCAAAGATTAAATTTGAAATTTTTTGAAAAGATTTTTCATTGCGCACCCAGATTAAATTTAAAAATACAATTCCATGCAAATATATTTTAAAACGTGACCCATTTTTTCTTGCCACGTCATACGTCGATGTCGATCACACCGCTCAAAAATTGATCAGTTTTCATAAATTTTATATTCAAAACCAGTCGGTTACAAGTTGTTGTTATACAAAAAAAAGTCTCATTTGAAAAATGTCAGCTCGAGCAAAAGAAATCGAAGAGAAGAAAACCGAAAAAACAATCGGAGCTGATGGAAAAGCGAAAAATCGAACAATCTCAGAATGTGCCGATGTAAGTTTTGAGAAAAAAAACAAGATATTCAGTTTACACATATATATTTTTTTAGAACAAAACGCCGATTACTGAAAAAGACGATAATGCAAATCCAAAACCAAAAAAGAAGGGAAAAACGAATCGAAGTGTGACTCGTCGAAAAAATCAGCTCATCGATGAAAAAGATTATCGACCAACCAATAAAAGACCATCAGCTTTGAGTATTCGAAATGACGGAGGAACCATCACAGTTGGAGATACGCAGACAGTATCAGCTCATGGAAAAGTGGCTGGATCGACGAGAAAAGGCGGAAAAAGTGTGGGAAAACATCGAGATACTGATGGATTGATGGAATTAGATTTTCGAGATGAAACTGATATGAAAAAAATGTTGAATATGCAGTCAAGATTGAATAAGAAAATTGAGGAAGCAAAAGCGATATCAGCAATCGAAAATACTGCAAATCCACCAACAAGAGAAAGTATTGATTATATTGAAATGATCGAAAGACATTATGAGAAAGTTATTTCTGGAGTTCACAAAATCACTTATAAAAAATCGGAATTTCAAACGGTTATCGAAGAGGCTTCGCGTATTTTTGCGGAAGAATCTGCATTGATCGATGTTGATCCACCTTGCGTTGTTGTTGGTGATTTGCATGGACAATTCAATGATCTTGTTAATATGTTCATTTTGTTGGGAAGACCACCACATACAGTTTATGTTTTCACAGGTAAATTTCGAAATTGGGACGTTCTAATAAAAATCAGAAGTTTCTGAATCACAATATAACAAATTTGTTTTCGAATAAGGAAAATAGCCCAGTATTCGCAAGTTATATTTTTCAAACTAATGGGGTGATTCAGGTCGAAAAAAAAACTAAAAAAAAACATTTTTTTACAAAAAAATTCGATTCAGCAAATGTCAAAAAACTATATTTTTTTTCTATTTCTCGACATTTTTTTACATTTTTTTTTCATTGAAACATTTTCGCTGCGAGATATCTCTCATTTTTGTGTGGAAAAAAAATATAGTTTTTTGACATTTGCTGAATCGAATTTTTTTGTAAAAAAATGTTTTTTTTTAGTTTTTTTTTTCGACCTGAATCACACCATAAAAAAAAATAATTTTTTCGAATTCTCAAATTTCAGGTGATTATGTTGATCGTGGAATGATGAGTATTGAATGCATCATGCTTCTCTTCTGCTATAAAATAGCGTATCCCGACAACATTTTCTTACTTCGTGGAAATCATGAAATTGCTCGAGTCAACAAAAGGTATGGCTTCTACGATGAATGCGTCTCATCGATCCCGAAATATGGTGAAGAAATCTGGGCACAATTTCAAAGATGTTTCAATAATCTGCCAATTTCTGCACTTGTTGCCACCAAAATAATGTGTATGCATGGTGGATTATCTCCGTCGCTGGTCGAATTGAATGATTTGAGATCTCAAAAAAAGCCAATTCGAAATCCATTTCGTGGACTTGTTAATGATATGTTGTGGGCCGATCCTGATTTGTCAGTTTTGGAATGGAAAATTAGTTCGAGAGGTTCGGGTTTTGCGTTTGGTTCAAATGTTATTGATGATATTTGTACAAGACTTGGAATTGAGTTGATTATTCGAGCACATCAAATGTGTTTCGATGGATATTGGACAATTCCGGGAAGCAAATTGATTACCATATTCAGTGCACCAGTTTATTGCAATTTGTATAAGTGAGTTTTTTAGAGCGAGGGGGAGGGTGGGGTCAAAATTGTTCAGAAATTGATTGCTTTTGAAGACGGGTAGAAAACATTGAAATTTATGAGAAAAAATCCAAACTACGTTGATCAGATTTTCACTTAGCTGTTCTCTTCAATCTTTTCTCTTCTTTAAAAATTTCGTATTTCATCCCAGAAATGCTGGCTGTGTTTTGAAAATTGACGAAAAGCTGACAGTTCAAATAGTTGCATTCGTTCCCGAATCAGATACAGTTGAAGCAATTATCAGAGAGAAAAATCGAGTTTGGGATGCCGCTTTTGATAGTTTTGGTTTTCAATTAAAATAAAGCACTTTTTCCTATTCGAACACATTTTCTTTTCTTTTGGAAAATGGAATTCAATTCTTTCCGTTTCCACTTTTCTCCTCTTTTTTTGTTTTTTGAAAAATCAACCAATTTGATTGGTAATGTTTCTCTACGTCATCAAGAATTATTCGATTTGTATCTTTCAAGTGGTCAAAACTATTTCGAACACTTGAAAAAAATAAAAAGTCGCCAAAATATTTCCAATTTCAGGGAAGTGGAAAATGGAGGGAAATTCTATTTGGTCGGAAGACGAAAAATGGGAAAAACTTACTTATTCTTGATTTATGAATGCACATTTATTCACTTGTATAGTTATTTTTTCCTTTTCCGAGAAAAATGGGAAAACAGCGAGAGTTGGTATTTTCTTTGTTTTTTTGGAAAGAGATCAGTGACAGATTTTTTGCCGAAGCTGAATAAATAGAAAAGTTTTAGAGTGTTTTGTTTTACAATTAATTGTTAGATCACTTCCATAGTGTGTGGGTTTTTTTTTGAAAAAAAAATTGATCAGCAAAAATAATTTTTGCAGTGTGACGAATTTATTCATTTTTGAAAACAATATTTCTATTTATAAGTTTCAGAGTAAACCGCTAGCTTCGCTAAAAATGTAGGATAACAATGTTGGGAAAACCTTAGTTTTGAAGTTTCTCCAAGAAAAATTTCTTCAACATTTTACTTCACTTAGATTTTGAAAATTGTCTCTTCAAAAACTTTTTTTCCAGTTTTTTTTTCAAAAGAAAATATGAGTATCAAATTTCACCCAATTGTTGACCCCATCAAAAACAGTCATTTTTCAAATCCAATTTTCCTGGGAAAACCTCAACCTCAAAACACAAATTTTTGTCTCTTTTTTGTTGCTTTTTCTCGTGATACGTTTTGGCTCTTGATGAAAGAAACAGAAGAAGAAGAAAAAAAACACAAATTCTCTTTTGTTTGTTTTTTTCTTGACTTTTTCTCATTTTCTCCGTGCGATTGTGAGATTTTTATAAATTTCAAATTTATATAACTTTTTTGTTGCTTGTTTTCTCGCTCTTTTTTTTCGAAATTAAAAATATTGCAATTTTCTCGGTTGTCTGCGAAACAGAGAAAAAATCAGATGAAAAACAAGACAATTTGAAATTTAGTCTAATGATGTCACGAAAGAAAAAAAAGTGACAAATTATGTGTGAAAAATAATAATGAAAAAGTATCATTTTTTTTTGTTCCTCTCAATTTCTGTTGCATTTTTCTTTTGAAAATAAATTCAGAGAGGAAAAAGAAAAAGAAAAAAGAAAAACACATGTGCTCTTTGATTTTTCTGTTTGTAAATTGTTGAAAAGATGGGATGGCCTAAAAAACCAAAATTTGTCATTAAAAATTGAACAATTAGGTATTTTTTTTTTGTTAAAATTGATCAACTGAACCTCTAGATTTTCAAAATAAAATCTCCAGTTGTTTCATTTGAATCATTAAAATTTGAGTGTTTTTTCTAATAAATTTGCTTATAAAAAACTTCTATCAACTTTTTCTAAAAATATTTCCTTCATTTCCGATAATCTGTTTTGAAATTCGAACTAAAAATTTGCTAACGAACGCCTTTTTCATCGTCACACCCACTGCATAAATATCTGCTTCTCTCTTTTTTTCAGGCGGAAAATGCTTCTACTGAAAATCCTTTTCTTTAAAAAAGTCTGAAAGTGTTCGACTTTCAAAAGACCCCAATCAATCAAACTTCCTCTTTCTTGAGTTTATCTTTTTGTTCGGAATTTGTGATATATTCACACAACAAACAACACATCAAAAAAGAAGAAGAAGCAGAAGAAGGCTTTTTTCAGTCAACCAAGCCAGCCTTTTTTCTCTTCTGCTCATTATCGATTTTTTGTCTCGTCAGGTTCTCTTCTTCCGAGCTTCATCTTTTTCTTTTTCTCTCTTTTTTCTCTCGAAAAATTTTCTCCTTTTTTTGTTGTTTGTTACTCTTTTCCCATTTTTCTTTTTTTCCCGCATTTCCTTCCGATTTTATCATTTATGTGGGAAAATTTCAGAAAAATAATAATACTAAAAAATGAAAAAATCCCCTTTGTTATCATTTTGATTAACCAAAAACAACCAGTTTTTTCTGCCATCTTCTAGCCATTTTGACCCTTTTCTATTTGTTTTGGAATCCAATTTATTTGGAACTTTTTTCTTTTCTCCAAAATGATTTGAATTTGAATTCCGATTTTTTGCAGAGTTTCAAAAACTCTCAAAACGAAAAAAATCATCATCACCACGTTTTTCCTCACCTACGATTCCCGTCGTCGAAATCCGAGGTTAGTTCCAAGATTTGAATTTTGAAAAGTCATGCATTTTTCAAAAATATGTGATTTTTTGAACCAGAAAACATTTGTTCACTCTCAAGATTTTTTGCTACAACAAAAACCCACTCCAAACTGAAGTTCGTTATTTCTTCACACTTTTCAAGTAAAACCACGCATGAACTTGATTTTCGATCTGAAAAAAATGATTTGAGATTGAAGCCTTAAAATTTTGTGAAATTCAGCTTCCATTTTTTATTCAGAAGATTATGAAAATTTTGTTCCAAAAAATCTGCTTGAATTTGACTTTATGAAAATATATGCTCTAACCAAGCTCTGCCTCTTTTGATCATTTTCACATATTTGGAAAATATGATAAAATTATCAAAAGTTCTATTCCGTCGTTCAAAATGAAATGTCTTATTATAAAGTGTGTAAATGCACTTTTTCTAGTCTATAATTCTCTAAATCTTTCACGTTCGTGTTGAATTTCATCGATTTTAGTCCTATCCCAAAGATTGTATCAGATTCCAGAAATGCGGCAAAAATTATGTGAACACTTTTACATTTTTTCAAATTGCACTCATCTGTTCAATGTTTTTTTTTGTTGCAACTAAGCTCCTCCCATTTTCCATATTTTTCTTTCTCGCTCGCCCGCACAAAAAAAGTACAATTTTGAAAATCACAAGGAAAACCCATTTATCCTTGTTTTTGAAACAAACCAAACATGTTTTTGCCGTTTTCTTGTTTACCCAAAAACATACTTTTTTGTTCTTTTTGCAAAAAATCACATTTTTCCCACCGAAAAGAACACAAGTTCAAATCAAGTGTGATTTTCTGTTTTGAAAAATAGAAAAGAGGAAAAGAAAAACAACAGCCGGGTTATAACCGAAAACTCTCTTTTTTTTCATTCGATCAATTTTTCTTCAGTCATGAGTTCAAGCTTTTGGTTCCTTCCTAGTTTTGTTTTTTTTTTTGAGAAAATGACCAAAAATCTTTTTTGTGGGTTTTGAAAGAATTGAAAAAAAAAATTCCATGAATTTCTGAAATTTTCCTCTGAAAATATACAAGTTTGATGAGATGATTTTATTAATTCATCATCATGCGAAAGTCGAACTTTTCTTTTTCTTTTTCCAGACTTTCACATAACTATTTTTATTTTTCTAAATAGGATTTTTTGTTGCGAAATGATTAGCAATTTTCTGAATCAGATAGCCTTGAAAATTGCATTTGTTAGTGTGAAAAAAATATGACGTGATCATTACTTTTGAACTTTTTTTTGTCACCGAAATTTATTGGATGAAAAATAGACTCGGCTCTCATGTTCTGTAATTAGTGCTCGAATTCTGTAATTCAAAATTTTCGAACCGGATTCTGTTTCAAAATCATCTCGTCTTTTTACGATCGAGATTTTTTTTCCAGATTTTAAACGGACTACTGAACTTTTCTAAAAAATTTTTAGAAGCACACCCTTAAAAGCCAATTTTTTGAGCGTACAAACCATACCATCAAAAAATGATCTCTTCAAAAAATAATTTGGCTGCGCTAACTCACAATTTACATAAAAAATTGTTCAGTTATTTTTAAAATGGGCTTATCAAAATTTTCAAAAATTTTTTTAAATCTCAATTTTTTGTAGGATTCTTCACTCGACGTACATGATGCGAACGGCGGCAGGTGCATCAAATCGATTATGGGTTGGACCTTTGATGTTGGTCATTATTATTGCTTTGATCTATTTATTGTCTTTGATGCCAGCGACGCAACCAATGGTGAGTCAAAACTTTCTTTTTTTGTATTGTTTTTTTGAAACAAACAAATAAAAACTTCAAATAAAAAATGATTGAATCACAAAGAAATCAAATAAAAATAATAATTTTATATGATGAATCACCTCCAACAATTTTTTTTCGAAAAAAAAACTTGGATATCTAATTGAGTAAGAAACTTGTCATCATCGCGTGGGTTTATGACATTTTTCTCGAGATGATCAATTATTTTTTCTATGTACTTGCTCATCATTTTTTCAAAGAAACAAAATGCAAAAAAGTAGTATATTAAAAATATTGAAACCTCATTAGAAACCGGACGGAAAAAATCTTTGAAAACATTTATTTAAAAAATATGAAGATTGTTGGAACTTGGAAAAAATTTGAAATTAAAATTAATATGAGGAACTTTTGTTTTACCGAAAATACTGAATAAGGATTTTGACATTAATATGATCCTTTTTTATTTGAAAAATTCTACTGAAAAATTTCGACCCTAAATTAATATTGAAAATATTTCATTTCAAAACAAAACACAATTTAATTTTAGTCAAACAACGTTTTGATAATGCCACCGGAAAATCCTCAAGAATATGCAATGAAAGGACAAATTCATTCTGAAATCGAAGATCGAGGATATAAACATATTAGTGGAAGCGAAGTATCGAATTGTATTAATGGACGAACGAATGAAACTGATGGAACTTGTGTTTGTCTAAATGGTTACAACGGCAAAAATTGCGAATTTCATGTAAGTTTGGAATTTGTGGGAGAACGTAATTGTAACTTTTACAATAATTTTTTTTCCACGTCATGAAGTTTATCATCATATTTTTTTTCAAAGCTACCGTAATTTGAAGAATCCAATTTTCGTGCGTCATCACATTTTTACTAGATGTTTTTCTGAAAACTAAATTTGTACTTATTACGATTCAAATTTTAAGACGTCAGCAAGTTTTTGAATAATATTTTTTATCCAAAGACCGAATTTAAGGGGGAGAAAATATGTGACACTTCTCGATTTTAATTTTATCATTGAATCCCATTTACAAACTTCAGATTTGCTCAAACAATGGCGAATACAACTCAACATCTTCTCGTTGCTCGTGTCGATCAAATTTTTACGGACCAAATTGTGCATTTGAATGTCATGGAATATTCAACCCAATAACTATGAAATGTGAATGCGAAAATAATCGAGAATGCTCAAGATGCCCAAATGGTCGATTGAGTGATGGAAAATGTGTGTGCCCTCCTGGGTTCACGGGACCATCTTGTACGATTTGCGACCCACAGAGTCCCTATAACTGTGAAGCTTTATTCAAAAGTCACAGAGCTGTAAATTCACGTTTGACACTTTCTGGACTATCTTTTTGTATTATAACTGTTGGATTGTTGTGTGTTGGTGCAAGAAGAAGAAGATCACAAATGGCTCCGATGAGCGATGAAACCTGGTATCGTGTATTTCATCCAAACAATAATCGACCATTCAGGTAAATGTTTTGATGAAATGGAAAGTTTTCTTGGCTCGAAAAAATGCACCAGCTGGAACAGCTCTGAATTTTATCAGAACAATTCTGAAAATTTAATCTTTTTTGTTCAGTTATTCTTACAATTAGTTCAAAATTCGGTCCCCTTTTTTTTGCGAAACATCATTATTCAATCGAAGAACAGTCTAGTTAATAATAAGATAAGGTTAGGGTTGTAAAATTAAATGCATGAGCATGATAATTTGCAGTCGACAAAAAAATGACCTCATTTTTTTCTCACTAAATTTCTCATTTTATCGTCAGTTTTATGAATGGTCAACAACCACAAAACATGAAATCAAATGCTTACAAAATATTTTCATCATCACAAAGAAGAACAAGACCAAAAGTCGAAACTGGGTTGAGAGATCATAATGTTTTTTTGTTGACTTGAGAGTGAAACCCGACGTCAGACAAGACAATTTGAAAAAATAAGTTCGCATAAAAGTTCTCATTTCTGATTTTTCAGTTCAAAATCTAACCCATACTTCACAATCTGAAACTCATCTAAAAAATTTCCACCAAATCAATGTGTTTTTCCAGATGTCGACATGATTATATGTGTGGAGGTTCATGGGTTCCAAGAGACCGTGCTCTAATTGTTGCTCCTGGCCGTGTTTCAATGTCATCCACTACAACTCCTCGAATTCATCGTCTCGCAACTCCTCCACCAAGTTATACATCAGTCGATGAATCAGCCACCAGTGATATTCAAACACTTCCACCAACTTATGAAGAAGCGACAAGAATTGAAATTGTTGATGAAGTTATGCCAACTGAAGTTGTTATTCCAGAAGAAGATTCGAATGATGAACAAAAAGATTCGACGAGTTCGACTGGAGAAATTCACATTCAAGTGGAGGATGATCGAGAAAATGGAGAAGATCAACAAGAAAATCACGAATAATGATTTTTCCTAGAAAAAACTCACGGGTTTTGTAAAATTTGACCGACTGATTTGTGTACGGGTTTCTCAAAAAATCATGACATTTTTTGTATTTTTTCCAAATTTTTTCCCACCAAACCAAAGAAAACCACAAATTGTAGATAGATTTGTTGATAATTTGATTATAATTTTTTGAATGAATGAATTGATTAACTATTTTGGATGGGATGGGAACATGCAATTTCAGATTATTTTTACAGGAAACAGATCGACACCAAAGCGTCACAGGCAGCTGAAATTTTCAACTTTTTCTGGCAAGAAAAACACGTTCGAAAAAATCAAATTATCAAATTGAACAAGTTGGCTTGGAATTTCTATTTCCTATTTATAATCTGAATTATTATCAGATGTACAAAGTGAAACAGTATTTTTTTGAATTTTATCAAAAAATCAAACCTATTGTTCGGTATTTTTCAAACATTTTTTTGTTAGACTTTTTGTTGAAAGTATGTAAATTATTATATTTAAACTTCAATTTTTCATTATTCTCGAAGTTTTCTGGGTATTTTGATACCTTCAAGATTCATCATCGAAAATAAAAATGCTGAACTTTATACAAAAAGTCTAATCCAACTTTATCCAGTCTGAAAAATCATTGAAATCAAAAATTAATCCCCTGATTCATTGTCCAAAAAATGCTCAAAAATAAGTTAATCCCACTTTTTTGTGTTTTCAACTCTCTGGACCACTGAAATTAAAAAATTGAAACCCGATTCGAGAGACCTGACGTATCTGTTTCCTCTTTTTCTTGTCTTTTTTCCAGGAAATGTGGAAACCATCTATTTTTGGGCTCATTAAACTAGAACTTTTTTAGAGATCACTTTTTTTTTGAAAATTTTTAGAGGGCGTGTCTCATTTCGGAAGTTCAAAATGAAAATATAAAAAACCACTTGATTTTGAATGAACCCTAAAATATTTTGTTGATAAGCCTAACAATCGTAAAAATTTTTTATCACTGGTTTCACGAGAATTTGAAATAATTTGTGCGAAAACCTTGAAAATAATTATTTCCTGAGACATTTACATTTGCCATTTCATTTCCTTCATTTTTTATTTTTCGTTTTTTTAGAAGTGGGCGGAGTCAAAACGGAAAAGCCCCTCCTTTATTTTCTACCGTAATCTGCAAAAAAAGAAATATATAAAAACTCAAAGTTTTTTCCGGATTATTTGAGGAGAGAAAAATGATTTTTATATTTTTATGTTTATGTGGAGTTATTTCGGAGGCGAGAATTTTGATACAACCAAATTCCGAGAAAGATTATGGACCGATCACATTTGATTTTCAACAATTTCTATATAGGTTGGTGACTTTTTTGAATGGGAGCTGTGGGATTTTTGAACATTTTTTATTTAAACTTTTTTAATTAAAGTTTCATTTTGAAACAGTAAGGTAATATTAAATTTAAAATTCCAAGAGAATCGTGATCCTTTCTAAATTCTTTAATTTTCATTGAATTTTTTTCAAGATAAAAGGTTTTGAAGTTTTTCAAAAACTATTTTTCAACTAAATAAAATTTTTTTTTGTTTTTTCTCAAGTTCGAAACATCATTGCAAAAATCACATTCATTTTTTTCAATTCATGCATCATTTTTATGTTAGTATTTTTTCTAACTTTTGCGTGGGGTGAATGAATAATTTCTTTCAAAACTTCCTAAAACCTCAAAGTCCAATAGTTCAATTTTTCAGCAAAGGATTGGCGAGTTATGATTATGCTCGATTTGATTTGGGAAAATCGGGAAGTTTTGGCGGACGCGGAAAACTGGATCCCGAATTGTACGAGACAGCGAAACCGGGAAAACCCGGCAAAATTCCCGTCGTATTTTTTCACGGAAATTCAGATTCAGCGCTGAAATCCAATGATTTTTCAACGGGTTGGACAAAAACTGTCGAATATTTTTTATCGCAAGGTTATGAGATGGATGAATTGTATGCCACGTCATGGGGTAATACAAATACAACTGCTGCGGTTTTTCGGTAAGGAAATGGGATTTTTACTTGACTTGGACTAGGAAGAATTAAAAACCAAAGCTTCCATGTGACCCAAGAAAAAAAATTATTTACAATGACAAAAAATTGATAACGAATTTTAATGGTCACTGTTTTTTTGTTTCGAAGAATGTGAGCCTGGTCTTTGGGGTCAGATAAGAATAATTATCATCATCTCATCTTCTGAATTTTATTCATAAAAATTTAAGGCGGTCAAACGCGCACAACTCTGAAATTTTGCAGATTCCACGATTGTCGTACCGTAATCCGTTTGCGTAAATTTGTCGAAGCAGTGTTTGATTACACAGGAGCTCGTGAAATCAACATAATTTCGCATTCAATGGGAGTAACTTTAGCTCGAAAAGTGATTCAAGGCGGATGGATTCAAGATGAAAATGAGAGTTGCAACATTGGAAAACCAATGACCAACAAAATTCGAGCAATTTTAGGAATTGCTGGAGCAAATTATGGACTTTGTGCGTGTATTGGACATTCCGAAAGTGTAGTTTGGCCAACTTGTAATAGCGATGTAAGATTTGAACGTTTTGAAGTTATATTTTTTAGAAAACAATAAACACAAAAAAAATTAAAAAGTTATTTTTGGCTGGTCTTCCAAGTGGGTGTAAAGAAACCTGTGGGTGGATAATTATCCATTCACCACAATTTCCTATTTGACGTAGAAAAAAACGGAAGTTCACACAAAATTCGGAAATGTTTCAGAATGGATTATGGCCTGGAGAGACATGTGTGAATGCGAATTTCGAAGGTCTTTGTGCTGCTGATCCACTTCCGGGGCCATGTAATGGACTACAGTATTCGAAGTTTTTGACCGATTTGAATACGATCAGATATAAACCGGCGTTGAATATTTTCAGCATGTATAGTACAGGTGGGAATTAAGTCTTGGAAAAAAACAAAAATGAAATTCGTGATTCTAAAACTCCTAGAAAGAGTTCATGTAAATATTTTGAGAATTTTTTGTAAGTAATTAATTTAAAATTTTAGAAGACGAATTAATTGATTTACGAAGATCAATGGGTAAGTTTTAATTGTTGTCTGGTGTTAATTGGGAACTTCTCTAATTTAAAAAAAATTTCAATTGAAAAATATTAATAAATTTTTAATTACAGGTGATATTTTGATTGGCAATGGAAATTTGGTTTGGGGCCGCCCGACAAGTGAAATACCATGGTCAGATGGTGTGAAAGTGTATACAAATTATACACATATGGAGACTAAACTAAATACAACAGCAGATCAATATCATATAATCACATATCTTAATATTCCAAAAAATTAATGAATTTTGTGTATTTTTTAAATCAAAAGTGATCTCAAAGTTTATATGTTTTTATGAAAAATAATTATAATTTATGGACTGATAAATTATTTATTTAATTAATAAAATAATTAATAAAAATTCTGTATCTGTTTTTTGACTGGTGTTTCTTTGTTGAAAGTGTAACGAAAGTGTCAGGTGGTTTCTCATCTGAGCTTTTAGTCGATCATTTGGGAATTTCTCAATTTTTTGTTGATCAAATGTTGAGACAACTTGTTATTTTTGGTGTATTGTTTGGTGGTGGTTGGATGATATGTTATCCGAAAATTCCGGAGATTGATTTGACACCAGCGCAGGTAAGATGTATACTTTAACTTCTAGATTTTTCAGAAAGAAATTGAGAAACAATGAAATATATTGATTATATTTTCAGGTTTTTTTTAGTTCATCTCAGACTTAAAATAGTTATATTTTTATTGTCCTTATTTTAAAACCCTCCTCCGTTCAAATCTTCCATTGTTTCAGTATAATGGATCTTGGTTTGTCATCGCGCGAAAACCATCAAAAGTTCGATATTTTCTACCAAAAAACTTGACATCAAGCACAATTTCACTGATTCTCCAGCCAGATAATACAACTCTAAGCTTTACCGAATATCATATGGTGTAAGCCGAAAATCCGAAACCCATTCAATAAATTATTCGAATTTCAGAGATGATAAATGTGAAACTTTGACAGGAGAAATGAAGGAAAATGAGAAAGGATATATTTTGAATGTCAATAGAACATCTGGAGATTTCGTGGAAAAATGTAGGGAAAAATATATTTTTTTCATACTCTAATGTTTTTGCAGTATACCTTCGGCCAATGTATCATGGTTATTCTGGAGAGCAAAATGAAGAAATGAATATGGTTTTGTATGGATGTTTGGATGGAATTAAAAATGGAGGATGTAAAGTTGGTGATGAAGTGGTATTGATTATGAGTAATTCGAGACATCCGCAAACTCTGCAACTTTTCAAATCTGCAAAAATTATTGAGGATGAGGCTTGTATTGATATTTTACAATTTAATGCGCTGGATACATACAGTAATATTTTTTCTGAATTGTGACTGAATAGGAAAGGGTTCAAAAACATATATCTTTTGATTCTAGATAACTTTTCTGATTTTCAAATATAATTTTTTGATTCTAGCAAACTGTGGTGATATAGCTGTAGATGAAGATCAGAAGTTGCGCCACGCCAAAATTGATGAAGACAAAACTTTTGTTGATGTGGAATGTCGTTACGAAAACCTTAATCCAAAACCGAACAATATTACTGGATTTTTTGTAAGCTCTTTCTCTGTTTTTCCTCCTTGAAAAAATTCCTAATTTCAGAAAGAGCCCAGAATTCTAACAGTTGTTGCATATATTGATCCAATAATGTCAGGTGAACAAATTGCTCATATTAGTTGTCGATATGATACAGAATATACTGCTGAATGTGAATGGATTCGACAAGATCAATGTTTTAAAACAAGTTTGGAACAAAAAGTTAAAAATGGAAAAGAAGTTGAGATCAAATCGACAATGTTAAAGAAAAATGGAACAAGTGTTGATATAAATTGGAGTGGAAAAGTTTTATGGGAAAACGGAGATGAATATATTTCGGTAGAATGTTTAGCTATTGCTGATGATGGAGCTTGTGATTCTTATCGGGTTTATGTTTGGTCGGATGAAGATCATATGGATCAACCAACTATTGCACAGATTTATCAGGAATTGCAAAGCGTTTGTATCGATCCGACAGATTTGATTTTTTTGAACACTTTTCGTGAGTTAAAAAATGATCGTTTTTTTTGAAAATTCAACTTCTACATATAATTCTCAAATTAATGTTCTAGATGAATGTATGGAACCATCAACACATACTTCAAAAAATCAATGCTCTGTGCAGAATGGTTGGAGCCCAATAACAGTCGGAATGCTCCAAGGAGTATGGTATATCGCGGCTGAAAATGTTGGAAATCATAAGCTCATTTTGAAATCAAGTGTAATTGAATTGAAAATTAATGAACATCTAAATAATACACTTGATTTGATATATTATGCTGGAACTGAACCTCGTGAGAATCGGCCATCAGTTTGTGTAGGACCAGGAATCGGAAAAGTCACACTTTTGACAAATGGATCTATAGGTGTAACTTATGATATTGTTTATTCGAATGGTTTCAAGTATACTGTAAATAGTGAGTGAAAAACACTTCTAATTTTTTTTTTAAATTTCATCATTTCAGCAACTCACGATATTTTATACCTTGACAATCAAAGAGCAGTTTTAAATTGGTGTTATCATCAAAATGAAACAACTGGTGAATGTTCCCAAAGAGATGTAACATTTATGATCCGAACAAGACATTTTTCACACAATGATTTGTCAATGGTTGAACCATATTTGGAGAATGTTTGCACTGACAAGAAAAGCCTTCGATGGCTAGATCTTCATTCACAATGCGGTATGGAAATCTCGAAATCAACTTTACTTCGACGCGAACTCATTACCCTTACACATTTTCATGTTCTTGATATTTTGACAAACGTTCAAGAGCCAAACTGCACCTATAGGGAGATAAGAGGAGTAAAAGCTGATTTGTTGTCTTTGGAAAGAGCTGGAACGTGGTATTTGATGTCTTTGATGGATGAAATGTCAATGGATACTTATGCAATGGTTGGTAGATTATATACTGTGACAAATACAACAGCAGTGTTGAGATTATTCCAATCAGCGTAAGTTGGAATATTTTTGAATTGTTTGCATACTTATATTTGAATTTAGAGCTTATCCTGGAAAACCTCGGAATTGTTTTACACGAGCTTTTACTATTCAAGAAAAACAAAATGCGACTGATTTTTGGTATGAACTTCACTTTGAATCGACTACAAAAATCTCAACACTTAGTAAGCCTTCCAAAATCTAGAAAAAAAAATATTAAAAAGGGATTTTCAGTGATTTTCCGATTTTTATTCTTCAACAAACAAGTTGGTGTAATATATTCGTGTCTTGAAAACTATGCAGATGGAAAGTATGTCCCTTTTTCTCTAAAAAATAATAAAGACAAAAACTAATAAGCTTGCTCAGTTGCTCATCTCATTTACTAAAAAAAAACTAACCTTATTAGACTAATTAAAATAATTAGTCTAACAAAAAGAGTATTGCAGATGTAAAGAGAAAGCAATTTATGTGATCTCACGTCATGAGACAATTGATAATGCAGAATTGACTGTTTTGGAGAAAGTTGCAAAATCAGTTTGTATTGACCCGGAAAACTTGTATCATACTGGAGCACAGGGTGAGTTTCGAAAAGAATATTGAAGTTTAAAATTCTGAATAGATATAGAAATGAATCATTTCATAAAATATATGCGTGACATGTGACGTGGCAATTTGGAAATGAAATTTCAAATTATTTGAATTTCTTATTTCGAAAATGAATTTACTGTGTCAGTTTTGAAAGTACTTGTAAAATCTTCAATTTCTCCCTGCAAATTTTTAACCATGTAAATAAAATATTTTATTATAAAATTTCAGAAAGTTATTACAAATATCACATGTTTGAAAGGCACGTCGTAATATGAGATTCTATAAATCATGGGAACCACGTATCACAAAAAAAAATATGAAAAAATCTAATAAGGTTTATTTTCCAGATGAGTGTATCGTTGATCTGAGTCGACTCAAACCTCCAGCATGTAGTTCAATCGATTTAGCAAACAGCAATGCCGAATGGTTTGAAATGAATCTGCAACAAATTGAGGTTAGTCATTCATGGTTTAAAAATAACAATTTTAAAATATCACGTCGTGAACATTACACAAGTGTCAAAAGCAGTTTTATTGCACTTTTGGTTTTCTTTTTTCAGACCACCTATTCAAAATTCAATTATCATGTAGTGGCAAGTTCTAATCCAAATCAAACTACATTTTCAATCAAATTTGACGGACAAAATTTTCAAAGAATCACTGAGCAGTAAGTCGCCTTTTTCCTATTGTTGCCAAAAAATGTTTCCTTAAATGGAGCAGAGCGAAGATCAACTTTTTTCTATGTGTATGGCTTTGGAGAATATTTTATATTTTTGTGGGAAAAAGTTTGGTGCACTTTCATTTTTTGGAACATTTTTTAAAGTATGCGAGAGTGAGAATGCACTTTGCAGAAGGGTTTCAATGTAATTGAAAACTTTTGTGAAACAAACAAAAAACAACAAACCTATAAAATGTTTGCAGAGATGGTGGATGTTTGTCGTCGCCAGTGAAATCGATCAAATTCTCATCGCGTAATAGAAATTTGATAATGTTGAGTGATCAAATAATCCTAATCCATATTGCTGGAGTTCGATCGGATTTGTTATTACGAGAAGCTCAAATGTCTGGAGTTCTTCCATGTTTACATACACTTCCACAGTCGAATAATTCGAATGTTATTTGTACACTTCATAAAATGCCCGATTGTCACAAAAATTCTGGAAGTGTCATTGATACCAGCTTAATCGATACATCTGTTGAATATAATTTATATGCATCAGATCCATATTTTGTTCGACAATATCGATGTAAATTTGAGAAGAACTATGATGATGAATTCTTGTACACTTGCAACAGCCAAGATTGGAATTTCGGATGCGAAGATCCATCAAAAGGTGTTCTAAACATCTTCAAAAATGGCTCGTTCGTAACAATTCCAAACAAAGAGGTAGCACCAATTCGAGTTCCAGAATCGGAAATTTTTGAAAGAGGCAACATCACAATTACAAATGATATGATATTAATGGTGAATAATGAGCACTTGGTTGGCACTGCATATTCGATTTGGTTGAAAAAAGATTTGATATGGAATGAGAAAATGGCAGAAGTTGTTGAAAAAAGTTGTGTTTGGGTATTGGATGCGCAAAAACGAGAAGAGAAGAAGAATGATGATTCACAATCGACTTCGTGTTTTTAGTTTTGATTTTTGGCATCAACATAGGTGACAATAATAATTGAATGCAACAACCTGAAATAAATTGTATTTATTTTTTATATTTTTGTGAAGCGAGAGGTGATTGCTCTAGATTGCTTCAAATTCTGAGGTTTCAAAAAACTTTCAATTGACATTGACGAAAAGCATGAAAAATCTGACAGTTTATTTTTCAAACAAATTCCCTTTGACTTACCATAACAGTTGCTGCTCCAACCGTCAATGGAACCACAACCAATAGCAAAGTCAACAAAGATGTTTTATTTCCGGCATGACTTCCATCGCCTTGATTATATGATGGTATCTCAGGCGGTCTTCCATCATCTGGCCGATCCATTCGATGAAATACCAACGGTGAATCATGATTCGATTGTCCGTGCGATCCGTCCATCAACAATGCCTCATGATTTTCAAGTCGACTGGAATGATCATAAACCATCTGTGGGTGTGGAGTGGGATGAATATATTGTGGTGCGGGAGGAGAAGCTGATGAGGGAGTTCGTCTGCAAACCACACCAAACAAACCATGCAATAATTTTGTTTTTTTTTTCTTGTAGATCAAAAGTTCTCAGACCCCTTTTTTTCGGAAGAAAAAAAAGTTTTCAAAGAAGAAAAGAAGAAGAAAAAAATTATTTTTTTTCAAAAGCTATTCAATGCATTTTTAAGCAACAACTTTTCGTTGCGTGCTTACGAGTGATTATTAGTTTTTTTTTCTTTTTTTTTTCAAAAATGAATTTTTTCATTTTTTCTGAAGTGGAAATCCCCCTCCTTCTTCGCATTTTTTGGATATGAAACGAAACGAAAGGAAGCAGAGCATGAAATTGAATTTATGTAGATGTACGCGGATTTTTATTTATTTTTATTTGTATTCTGCGTATTTATTTATTTATTTGTTGGAAGAAGGAAGAAATAAAGATTTGTTTTTCTTGAGTTTTTTGTATTCTTGCATTGAAAACAACACTTCAGAAGTTAGTTACACACATAGATACACCGAAGAAAAATCAATCAGCCATAACAAGATTTGCAGGGTTTTTTTCTCGCCTGTTAGATGATGAGATGACAACATTGATGTTGTTGCTCTTTTTATTGAATTTCGCTCACTCGCTCGCGTCTGTCCTTTTTGTGTCATGCATCAAAAGAGCAAAACGACATTTAGTGTTGTGCTATCATAGAAAGGAATACAGAATATCAAAGAAATCAGTATATCTACCTACCTTGTATGGGTTCTGAGGAAGGCAAATGTGTTGCAAAATGGTTGATCACATGCACATAAATCGGTCCATTTTTCATCTTCGTTTCTGGAAAAAATATAACATAAACTAATTGCTATTTTTCTTCTAATTATCTACATATTTCTTCACTCTATTTCGTTCGTTTCATTTTCGTTTCATTTCAATCCAATCCCCTCTCATTTTTTTGTTATGGCAAATTTGGTATTCTCATTCATTCATTCATTCGTGCGCAGAGGAAAAATAGTAGTAATAACTATAATAATATTCACTCTCTTTTCTTTTTGGAAGGGGCATATTTTTGAAGCCGAAAAAAATTGAAAGAAAAAGAACTAGGAGCCGGCGACCGCAGCTCGGGTGAATAATTAATCGGTATAACCTTCGTAGATACACTACTTATTTATGGTAAAGTATATATAGTCATTTGCAAAAATTTAGAATGAAGAAAGACTTTTTTCCTTTTTGAGATTTGGAATGTCAAAGCTTAATTATAGGTTGGAACTTTGTGACTAATCTAAGTACATACATACTTTGATTGGTTTTTGAACCACTTCAAAAGTCATCATTTCTGAGAGGCATCGTGATTTTTGAAACCAGACTCTACTTTTGTAAATTGAGTTCTCACGATAACCAAAAATCAAAAATCTTCGAGATAAAGTTTTCGGAATTTTTTTCCAAGTTTTGAACTGGACTTCCAGTATGAGGAAACGGTTTCCAAAAATATCTCAATGACTAATCCTGATTATTATTGGATGTTAACAAAAAGTTCCCTCGAGTTTCTTGTTTCAATTCATCTCCGAAATCCAAAACTCGAGTTCCTTTTTCTTATTTCTCAACTCCACTTTTCCAAATTGTTTATACTCAATTTCTGCACTCTTTCACTTTTTCTCCATACTTTTCTCGGCAATTTTCCCCCAAAAAAAGTCCAAAATGTTGTAACCTACACAACTTTTACTCTTTTTCCTGCTCTCCAAGTTGAAAAGTTATACATATTTTTCCCATACTTTTTTCCAGGTTCTTCTGGTTTCAAGTGTGTGCTTCTTCTTTTCCTTCTTCTTCTTTCGCATACTAAATGCATTAGTCCTTTTTTCCCCCGAAAAAAGTCGGGTAATATGAGAAGAAGCGGGAAAATGAAATAAAATAAAATAAAATGTTTCTTTTAATGTGATTGGTACATAAATTGACTTCATTCAGGAGCCGATGAAATATTAACGTTATTCCAAAGATTTTTGTGGTTTTCGAGAAAAGTTTGAGTGAAAAAAAAAGAATTGTTGAGAGCTTCTGAAGCACAGCAGAGCACTTGCTCTTTTTCAAGAGCTTTACAAGAAAAAAGGTGGTGAGAGGAAATTTAGGGTTCCGTTGGGAATCAAATCAAAAGACGTTTTTGTTTTCGCATAGCTGCATACTAATTTGATTTTTCACGTATCTATGTGTGTGTGTATGTCAAAACTCAATTTGTTTATTTTATATATATAAATTTGTATATCTAGATTTGGAAAAAGAAGAAGAAATAAGGATGCAGAAACTCTTTTCTCGCTTCTAAATAAATAGTTGTCTCTTCTTCTTCCTTTTACTACTTCTCCTTTTTTGCTTCTTCTTTTTCTTCTTCTGACAAATGATGCGTGAAATGATACATGTTGTTGTTCTGAGCCAAAAAAAGAAAGAGAAAAGAGCTGGGTGGACTGCAAAAAAAAGGAGAAGAAGAAAATGAGAGGAGCTGTATATGTATATGAAATTTTTGTCAAAAGTTGATTGATGAATTCGGACAGACTTCTTCGTTCAGATCGCATTTATTTTTTGACTGACTGACACACGAACACTGTGATTCAGAATGACAACACAACACGCTTTGATTTGAAATGGCAAAAAAGGGAAGCGAGAGAACGAGTGACGCAGAGAATTTTTTCGAAAGAATATCCATTTTGTTTATTCCGAGATTTTCGAATAATATCGGATTACACCATTCCACCAGAATCCAATTGACCCGAGGAAGGGAAAATATTATTTTACGATAATTGTGGCTGCCTGCGTCTCTTGACTAGTGATTCTAGGTGAATCATTATTCTCTGGAGAGCTCAAAAGTGTCGCAATTTTGAAGAGTGACCTTTCTCTAAAAGTCTCGGACTGATTTCTAAAAAAAAGTACAACATTTCGCGTTTTTTTAGCTTCCCCGAGACCACCAACGAAGCATCTGACTTAAACTTGAACAAAACAAAAGATAGAAATGAAATTGTATGAAAAACAAAGAAAGCTCAAATCGTACTGTACTTGAAGACCGCTGAACGTGGAGAAAATTTCAAGTTTGAAAAACATAGAATTATATCAGTTCGTATTAACTTTTAAGTTTTCGGAATATTTTTACCTTGTTCTATTTTCTCAATAAAAAATAATTCTCACCTATGACATCCAACAGTGGCTGATCCACAAGTTCGTATAACTTGATTGTTTTCTCTCAAAATTCCAACCATACAAACTTGTCCCTCACAAGAACCATAAGGAACACAATGATCATCGGTACAATAACATTTGACACTTTCCACAAAATAATTTGGTAGCGAGAATAAAAATATCAATAGAAATATGAATCCATTTGAAAACATTACTATGTCATGACAGATTTTGTGTTTGAAGGTGGGAAGATCTGGAAATAGGAGACAAATAATAAAAAGAAAGAGGAAATCCTATTTTAAGAAGGGCAATCTTCTGGAGAGTACATTCATGAATGAATAAATGAACGAATGAATGACTGAAGAAAAAATGAGAAAACAACGAGGAGAAAAAATTGAAATTGAAAAACATGTGTTTTTCCAGCCAGATGTTGATCAAATTATAAAATTTTTGTTTTTCCCAGCCACCCCAAAAAAATACCTTTCCAAAAAAACCCAGATCTAAAAAATAAATGTGAACTACTCTCTCTCTCTCTCTCTCTCTCGTTTTTTCAAAGAAGACAAACTCCGCCCATTTTTTGAAAACCACGCCCATTTTTGCTTCTGGCTCACTTTGATTTTCTTTCCTTCTGCTTCTTCTTTTTTTTGATGTCAGTTAGTTAGAGGAGCAAAAAGGAGCGGGAAAAACAGAAGGTAATTGGCATGTTTTACCCAATGAGAGGAATTTTTCTTGAAGACCGGAAAATGAAAGCGATGAAATTTCAATGAGGAGAAAAGGAAAAAGAGGAGGAGGATTTGTGAAATTGGCTAGAATGAATTGAAAATTGAGAATGCCAAAAAATTGGAAAACCACGGAGTTGTCAGAAATTAAATACAAAATTGCTAAAACTTATCGATGAGACCTTGAAATATGAAGAGCTTGAGAAAATTGAAAGTGTTTTAATTTATATAAAGCGAAATCCAGTTTCAATTTTCTAGGCTTGCCTACTTGAGTGTTTCCATGTCAAGGCGATGCTCCTTGTTTTAGTGAATCTCTCGAAAATGGTCATTACCTTAAAGAATTTTATCGACAATAATTTTTATTCCTTCGAAAAACTTCAATTGTACTATAAGGAGTGCCGTATTTTTCACTGATTCTGAACAAAAATTGTAGTTTATATAAAATTTTCAGAGAATTTATTTGTTATTTCGATAGAATTTTGTTATTTTCCCAGAACCGAACGACATCGTATTCGAACTTTTTGTTTTGATAACAAGACATCGCTGGCTGATTCGCACTATAGAATACCAGTTAATTATCGAAAAATCTCATGTGATATTTTTCTGCAAAAAAAACACGAAAGCGTCAAGAATCTTTTCCAATTCATTTGCCAAAATTTGATGGAGCGGAAGTTTTTTTTCGAGAGCTCACCAACGAAACTAGCACCTTTTACGAACAGTAAAAAATGATTTACGAGCTGCTGGAAAATCTCCATATTCATCCATTCTCTTTTTTTCGAAAAAGTTTTTGTGGAACTCTGAAGAGACGAGACGAGACGAAGACGGAAATTGAAAAGTGAATATGTAATTTTTGTCGAGACTAGGTTGGCTTTTGGAATATACATATTATATAACTCCCCAACTTACTAACCTATTTTTTGCTCTGCCCGAGCAAAAAATAGTATAAATAATATTATTTTTCATATACATCCACCACCGTCGCCACAAAAACAACAAAGTTTTTTTTGAAAACAACGAGGAGGAGATATTGAAATTATTATTATTATTCTTATTAATCAAAAAAAAAACAAAACAAATATTTTTTCCTGGCGCGGCGGTGTTTTTTGTTGTTCGTGTGTGAAAGTGTTCGTTTGGGGGATTCTCGAGAACAAATTTATGATTTTTTTTTGTTGCGGTTTTTTGAGAGAAACAATTGAAAAATATTAGTTTTTCGCGAGGAGAAATTCGTATGTGCTTTATTTATGACGTCAAAATTACGAGGCGGGAAAAGTTCGAGTTTCGAAAACTATGAGTCATTTTTGAAATTCGACACGCGACTTCCGTCATCAGCAGAGTTTGATAAAGTACACGTGAGAGTTTGTCAAGAAGCTTGTTTTGTTTCCAAGATGTTTTTCTGTTCGTAAATTTTAAACTGGGCCCAAATATGGTTTGACGCTCTTTTATTGAAAATGTATTTTGTCAGTATTTCCAAGACTAGAACAAACCCGTGAACAATTTCATTTCATAGAAAAACAAATCATAAAAAAACATGAAGAGGCGGAAGAAGTTCTCGTTTTTTCTCCGACATTTTACGAAAAGGCACACGATAATTCGGACGTTCGCAATCGTTATTTTTGATCCAACAATGATTCAAAAGAACATTGGCTGACGGCCGAAAAGATGAGCAAAGTTGAAGATGAAGGCGTAGAAAATTATCAAATTCTGTCGATAATTCTTTCATTTTTACTGGAAAATTGGAATTATAAATTTAATTTGTAAAATTAAGATCAAACTCACAAACATCAGTCCAATCAGCTCTTGCTGTTTTTGGCTCAAATAACAATTTATTGGCATCAGGCATCGTTTTCCAATTTGGCCAATTTGTTTCATTTGGTGTTCCAAGAATTCCAAAAATAATTGAGATTTGTTCGAGTTCACTTCTTCCAGGAAATAACGGTTTTCCTCGAAATAATTCTGCTAAAATACACCCAATTGCCCAAATATCCACCAAAGGGGTGTATTTTGTATAAGAGAAAAGGATTTCCGGAGCGCGATACCATCGAGTTGCAACCTGAAATTTCGTATCCACTTATGTTCTTTTGAGAATCTCTTTCTATCTCTCATATCAATTTGTTCTTCTGAAAATTAGTTTTAATAAAATAAAATATTTTGTGTAATCGTTTCTCTCTTGTTTTTTTTTTGCCTAACCCGGGGCAACCCAAACTCATAACAATTAATCACACACGCGTTTTTCAAAGGACAGCTGAGAGTCGACCGATTTTCATGTAATCATCAATCTTGCTCACAAAATGATGTAGAGCTCGGAGCACACATGAAAAAATAGAAAAAGAAGAAGAAGGATATAATATGTAGAAGAAAAGCAGGTTGAAGTTGATGAGTGGCAAAAATAATAGAGGAAGCTGGATAAGTGACAGGTTGGAAGATATAGACTAATATATGGGACGTTTCAGATTCGGGAAGTTTAGGCTATCTAGACAGAAGAGTATTTTTTAAACATTTTTGTTCGCATATTTTTCTGATTCGAATTTTTCAGGAATTTCATAACAACTTCCAAATCTTGAAGTCTAAAAATGTTTAATTTTCAGTGAGAAAATTCTGTAAGTTCCCAATTAAAACTCTATTTTTTTATTAAAATTTGGAACTGTAAAAGCTCTTTTGAGATTCTTTTTTTTAAGTCTTGGAACAGCTCCCAAATTTGATAAATATTTTTTTTTTCAAAGTTCTAGATAAAACATTGTTCGAAACTCACATTAACATCGTATTCCTCTTCAAGATTCTCTTTTCTGTAAATACAAGCTTGACCAAAATCCGCAATTTTGATAATATTTGCAGAAGTAACAAGAATATTCTCCGGTTTCATATCCTGCAAGAAGTCTGAATTATTTTTGTAATCCTCTTTTGTTACTAACACGATGCATGATATCTTTCGAATGCATATGCGAAATACCACAAAGTATTTGAGAATAAAACCATCTGAAAAAACAATTCGTTCTTCGAATTATCAAGAAAAATTTAGATAACCTGCAAAATTGTTCAGTTCTCGGCCGTTTTTTATCATCAATAATGTTGGCTAATGTATATGGAACTTCTTCGGTGACAATTGAAACTAAATCAGATTGAGCAAAACAATCAATATATTTTAGAATCTGCAAAAAAAGCTTCATGAAAATGGTGTGCTTTCGAAAAATCTTACATTCGGATGAGGCGCCAAACATCGAATTGCACTGATTTCTCGAGAAAGTTGAATTTTTGAGACATTTTGGATTATTATACGTTTGATCGCCACTCGTCTTTTAGTCTAAACATTGTAATTGAATAAATTTTCCATGAAAAGAATATTTAACTCACAAAACTATCTTTTGCCACAATAACAGTTCCAAAAGCACCTCTTCCAGCTACTCGAATGGTCTCGTAACGATTTGACATACATTTATTTGTACATTCAAAATTAAAAATGAAGAAGAATTTCAATTTAAATGAAAAAATATTGTGAAAAATTTGAAAAAGAAAAAATATTTCTGGTTGCTATGGTGATACTTTCGCGGGGTCGAGGAAGGCACTTGGAAAAGTGGAGAAGCGTTATTTTGAAGAAGTAAAAGGACGAATTTAACGAGGATTTAAAACCGGAGGGAAACATTTGAAAACTGAGAGTATACTAAAAATAAAAACATGACGATCTCGTGTTTAATTGAACAAGAATGAAAGGACCGGCTTCCGCCGGTCTTCTAACATAGTACATTGCAAATGTTCCGTGAACAAAATAATCAATCACATCACATCGAAAATACAGGGTGGCGCATAAATATAGGTGCATCGTTTTTTTGATGTGATAAACGTATTTTCAAATATTATTTTATGATATTTGGTGAAATCCGAACTAATAGGGTCCAAAACAAACACAAATGATGTTTACATCAATATTTCAAACTATCATGATGTTTGGACCGGTCGAGTATGTTGAGCTCGGGAAAAATTTGCACGCACCTATTTTCAAGTTTGACCACGTGTAACTTCACGTTGGGAACATGAAACCTAACATGTTAATACATCAAAATGTTCGAAAACTAAAGAGGAACAATGTTAAAAACATACCCATCATCAATAAATAATCTGCTTTTTAGAATTCATCAGTATTGAACACCCCCTAAAACAGAAAAATCAGCCATTTTTCGCTCGAATATTGTTTTTTCGTCCCAGATTTCATAATTTCACAAAATATGTTGTGATCGAAGTTGGATTCGGTGTAAAATGAGTTTTTTGATAGTTTCTATTTTTGTTACAAACATAAATAACGTTTATCTTACTTTTTGTGCCTTCAAATCTTTGAAAATCAAAAAATCTGAAAATTTGAAGTTTTGACTGAAATTCGAAATTGTTTCGGGACAACCAAAAACTAGGACTGTGAAAAACTCAAAATTAGCCTTTTTTAAAATGTATCAAAACTTTAGATCATACAAATTGACTGAAAATCAACTGAAATTCATGGGTGAAAAAATTCCTTTGGACCTGCGTGCTGATTTTCGAAATTTTGAAAAATTGAATCTAAGTTTGACAGGCTTTCCGGTCTTCAAATCAATCAGTATTGTTGAGAACACTTGAAGATAAGATAGATTAACGCATTAGCTTCAAAATTATGTATATAGACCCCAGAAAAAATTTTGAGAAAATCGCGGTAAAACCATATTAAGAAATTTGCATCATGCACCTATATTTATGCGCCACCCTGTAACTATGGAACTTCGTTAGAAAACCCTTGGTCTATGAGAAAATCATCCAGTGCAAGATTCAAATCGATTTGTATTTTACACCGTTTGAGAAAAAAATCAAGTCACAAAAAATCACATAACAAAAAAAACTTCAAAAAACGGTAAAAAATAAAAATATAATTTCGGCTTCATCAAGCGACTATTTTTCATTTTTAAATCATATTTTCACCAAGATACTTGTCCACATCCACAAAAAACCCAATATATCCCCCTTCTTGTCTCAAAGTTCTAACAACCTTTAGAAACAACATATGCCCAATTCATATTTAAAAAAAAAGAAATATTATTTTTCACGACCTCAAAGTTTTTAAAAGATTCTAAAACTTCCTTTCAAAAGCATTTTAGAATCACTTCAAATGCAAATCAGTTCAAAAAATTTCGAACTCTACAGAACTCCCTCCGACTAAAACTTCACTACTCAATCGAACCCAAAAAAAGAACTAACCTATGAAATTTCGTCCGTTCCTCGTTCATCTCATGGCTCAAAATTGGTGCATTGCTTCATTGTTTCCAACAAAAATCATCTCCAATATTTTCATCCACGACTAATCTGAAAAATATTTGCAATTTAATGAAACTTTTGGTTGTTTTTTATTGATTCAAAACGCTATTTCAAAATATGGGCGTCTATACGAGAGAGAAGAGACAAAAAGATAGTGAAATCGCGCGTGATCTACAGTGATTTAAAAATTTGCGGGACTAGGTTAGGTATTTTTTTATTTAACAAAAAAAATTGCGCGGTGTTTTAGTTGAAAAATAACAAATCATCGTGAGTTTACTTAAAGAAAAGTGTGAATATTGGAGAGTTCTGAAGGTAATAGACCTAAGATTGTAGTGAGATGATTATTTTTGGTTTCAGTTTTGGGATAAAATATAAAGTTTTTTTGTGATTTGAAATTTGTTTATCAAATTCATTAGATAGTTTGAGTATATTTATCACAAAAAACTAGAGATTCTATAGATTTTAAAATTTATCCCAAAACTGAAACCAAAAATAATCATCTCACTACAATATCAGGTCTAAGTGAACTCTTTTTTTAAGTGAACTCACGATCGAAAAATTAAGGCGGCAATCCAAGCATTTTGAAAAATCAGAAATGAGCAAAATGATTCATGTCAAAATCATTTTAATTCAAATCTAGAGCACAAAAGTAGGTCAAGCGGAAGGACAGATCACCGTTTAATATATAAGAAAAATATTTTAAGTTTATGTGATGAGTACAATCGATTCAGAAAAAAACATAACATGATTCACATTTTTTTATTATTTGCCAGAACTCTTCTTGCACCGCTTCATTTTCAAAAAAATAAACAAGGAGAAATAAAGGAAAAGTCTTTAAAAAATCTTTCTATTTTTTTCACGTTTATTTTTTGGCGTGAAATAGCCTAGATAGATAATATCTCATTTTGCCACTATTTAAAGCCAACCAATAAGCAATTTTCTAATTGAATAATTGTATTCTACTCGGAAGAAACATTATTAACAATGGGAAAGCAATCAAAAGGAGTCAAAAATAATCGCGATGTCTTGCCTAGTGCAAACAGAAGATCGACAAGAAGATCACAAATCGGGCCGGAAGGATTTTTCCAATTGGATAATAAAGGGAAATCGATGAGGGTCAATTACCAGAATGGGTTTCCGGTTAAAAGAAGATCGAGATCTGCATCAACCCGCTCTCGATCTCGCTCCGAACGCACCCGTTCCCATTCTCGCACCCGTTCTCATTCCCGTTCTCATTCCCGTTCTCATTCTCGCTCTCGTTCCCGTTCGGATTCTCGTCGCGAATCTCGCGTCGAAAACAAGAAATCGAAACGTGACGCCTCTGCAAAACCCTCAAAGTACGTTTTATTCTCGAATAAAAATTCGAAAACTAATTTATTCTTCTTGCAGAACCGCTGCAGCTTCAACTAAAAGTGCAAAAGTTGTTCGCGAGAAATCAGTTTCGGAGGAGTCAGAAAGAGAAGAAGATAAGAAACAAGGAGCCGGAAAGAAATCTTCGACCGCTCGAAAGTCTTCGGTTGCTGTTCGAAAATCTGCTGTAGCGAAGAAAAACAAAAAAGCCTGAGATTGAATAAATATGCTGTGACAATTTTTTGTATGAAAAAAATCGAAAAACTTCAAAAAAACGATTTCCAAAGAAAAACCAAAGAAAACATAATTTTCAATCATAAGTTGAAATAAGACAAGAAAATACAGAGCATCATGGTATGAAACACAAAACAAATAGTTTTCCATTTGAAATCAACATAAATTTTCTCAAATAACCAGGAAAAACTCGAAAAAACAGATAAAAACCGTTTTTTCGAGAAAAAAACATTGAAATAAAAGTGAAAATGGAAGTGCGCTCCATTGCAAATTTCGCACATTTCGCACGTTGTCTCGCACTCTCTCAATATTTTGCTTTTTGCAAAAAAGGGTGTGTGTTGTTCTTTGAAATTTCTAGAAGACGTACCAATTATGTATTTGTCAACAAGGAAAAATATCCTGGAGATTCATTAGCACGATTACCGTAGTGGAAAAATGTAGAAAAGTTAGCAGAAACCAGAAAAGTTCCACGTAAAGTTAATTATTGCGTGAACTTATCTCATTTCTGTTCATTTCTCTAAATAGAAAAAATTTAAAGAATTTATCAGTCGTTTTGATTCTGTTTTGACCTCCAATTCCCATATTTTCTTGAAACTTTACGGTAGGTCAAAATTATCATGTGTCTCTCGTGTCTAAATCTCTCGTGTGAGAGATTTCTCGTTATATTTTGTTGTTCATAGTCAGGGCTGGTCGGAATTTACGTGTCGGCATTTCGCAATGCCGACTTCTTGTGCCGAAATTTTTTTCGGCATTCCGGGGACTATGACATAGTCCCTCTCCGTGTATCTGCAATTTTTCTCATACAATGTTCAAAAATTGATTCACGATTCCGTCGTGACATCACCCAATCGGGATTTTATTTAAAATGTAGAAAATCATCAAAATACACAAAAGATTTTATCAAAAAAATTCGAAAATTTTGCAAATTCAAACTTGTTTTTAATTCGTGTCAAGACTACACCTGCGCCTTTGGTGCTGTGGCATTTTTCACTTTTCAATCTCTTTTTTTCTCACCTTTTATTTATCATGCTTCATGCATGGATGATAGTTTTTCACACGATTGAAAAGAGTGCAATTGGTATATTTGAGGACGCCCAATAGAATCTTCTTTTTTTTTGTTTACTTTTGCCGACTTTGCATTAAGTTTTTTTAGTGTGTGGAAAAAGTATTATTTGAGTTTTTGTTGAAAGGAAAATAGATAGGTTGATTAATTTTCGAAACAACATGTGTTCTTCTTTTTCAGTTTTCTTCACAGGTGATTTCTGATTTTCTCAGGCCGGAAATCTGTTGCTCTTTCAAATTAAATATGTATCATTCATATATTTTACGACTTCGGTGTTGTTTGATTTGTTCCACAATTAACTAGAGATAATATTCAATCGACCTTCACCTCTTCTTTTTTTCATTTTAGAAATGAAAAAATTTCAAGGCCAACTTTGTTTTGAAATATTTCGTATCTATCACTTCGCCTCATTAACCTCCAATTTTTATTTCTCTTTATTTTCAGCCACAACATTCGTCTGCCAAGTTTTAGTGTGACTTTTCAATCGAGAAAAAATCGAAATCGTAATATTTATCAATCGAGAACAAACGGAAAACTACACATTTTCTCGGAGACGCAGAGAAGAAAGGGGAGAACGAGGGAAAGTGCGCTCTAATCGAGGTTTGGTTTCGTCATTTTTTCATTTTGTGTTTTGTTTTTTCGAGACCGCATAAAAACAATAAAAATAAACGTTTTTTTTCAGCCGTTTCCTCGTTGGCGCGGATTCGAAAAGGTTCAAATAAGTTTTGTGAGTTTTTTTTTGAAGATTGGGAAAAAATGACGTTGTTTTGAAACAAAATCCCTTGAGAAAAGTTTGAAGAGTAGTTTATGCGCTATTTTTCGTTGTTTCTGAAGTTGCACCGAGTCCCAGGTGATTTTCTATTTTTCTACAAAAGTACACATTTTCACATGTCAGGTATTTTTAGAATACTCTGAATTTGAGAGTCTGAAATATTCATTTTTTTCCAAATTTCTATATCCTCTAAAAAACTTTCTTGGCTTTAATTATTGGGAAAAAAGAGATCAAAACGGAAATTTGTTTCCTTAAAATTTCCATGACAACAAATTCACATAAACGCGTTATTTTTCCAGCACAATAGGGTGCTGCATTTCATCGCAAGACACTCCACTTCCAAAAGAAATCGAAGAGGAACAAAATTTATATTCGAAATCTACAAATTCATCTAGAAAACCAACATTGCTCAAAAATCTAGATCGGATTATGAAATTCCATGATTATCCAGTTACGCAAGATTATCGAATTAGTAGAAAAGTGAGTTTTTTTCAGAAATTTTGAAAACGAAAAATAAAATTCAGGTTCTTGGCGTTGGTATAAATGGAAAGGTTGTGGAGTGTGAAAATCGTGTCACCAATGAAAAATTTGCGCTGAAAGTCTTGCGAGACACTGAAAAAGCGAGACGAGAAGTCGAATTACACGCTTTGGCATCTTGTCATCCGCATATCGTTGAAGTGAAAGCGGTTTATAAAAATGCATATAACAATGTTGATTGCCTTTTGGTTGTTATGGAAAATATGAAAGGAGGCGAATTGTTCAATCGAATTCAAGAACGAGGACAAAAAGCATTTACCGAAAGAGAAGCTGCTGGAATTGTTTATGAAATTTGTTCGGCTGTTCAACATTTGCATCGAATGTCAATTGCGCATAGAGATTTGAAACCTGAGAATTTGTTATATGCGTAAGTAGTTTTGACATATTTTGGTTGAAAATTGAAACTTTTGTGATGACTTTATAAACTATAAAATAACGTTCACAAAATGTTAAAATGACACATTTCTCGTCACCTTATTTTCAACTCTCCATTTCCATTTTTTGCAGCACAACTTCAAATGATTCGCCACTCAAACTCACCGATTTCGGTTTTGCCAAAAAGACTGATGAATCAGAACCATCTGGTCTTCAAACCGCCTGCTTCACTCCATATTATTGTGCTCCAGAAGTTCTCGGAAGTGAAAAATATGACAAATCGTGTGATTGTTGGTCGATTGGAGTTATTATGTATATTTTGTAAGTTTTTTTTCGTGCATAAAATTCGAGATCCTTTCAAAAATTGTGGGATATCATGAAAAAATACAAAATTTCGCTTTTTGGAAAGAAAATTAGTTTAACATTCCCGAAGTCAAAGTAAAAAAAACTATAGAATTATGATGTTTGGTTTCCAGATTATTTTGCAAAAAATTCTAGTTTATGCAAATGATTCTCTCAAAATGTGATCTCACAAAACAATATTTTAGGACCTAATTTTTTCCCCATTGATGAACAATTTGGCTCCATCCTAATTTCCAAAATAATATAAGGACCTGAGAAAATAAGAGTCCGACTAAGAGTTCTCATATATCGCCGGAACCTGTCATTTTCATGGGAGGAAGCCAAATTTTTTTGAATTATTCTCTCACAAATTACACATTGTTAATTATATCGAAATATTTCAGATTATGCGGATATCCTCCATTTTATTCACAACACGGTCAACCAATGTCACCAGGAATGAAATCAAAAATCAAATCCGGGGAATATTCATTTCCAACTCCCGAATGGGATTGTGTTTCTGAAGCGGCAAAAGATTTGATTCGCAAAATGTTGACAATAAATCCATCGGAACGATATAATATTGAACAAACAATGGCCCATAAATGGATATGTCATTATAAAAAAGTGCCAAATACTCCACTTTGCACAAGTTCTGTTTTGGTCGATCAAAAAGAGCAATGGAGCGAAATGCAAGATGAAATGGAAAAAACATTGGCATCAATGAGAGTTGGAACCGATAATATACAAATCAAAAATCTGACTGATTCAAATAATAAATTATTGGCGAAACGACGACAGAAAAAAGATGAGGATGAAATAATTGAAGAAGATGAAAAAATGAGTAGTTAGAACTATTAAAATCGCCTCTAATTGATTCCTAACAGGTATTTTGCTCAGTTTTTTCTCACGCCCTAAGATTTCTCCTTTCCCCCCAGAAATATTGTTGTTATTGTCTTTTCAACCAAAGTAAGTGTATGTTTTACATAGTTTTTTTTTTCAAATTAATTTTCAGATTAACCAGAATAAACTAATTCAGAATTAATTGATTAGAAGTTACGACATCACAGATGTACGATTTTTCATTAACAAATCTTTTGAAAACAATTCGGATCGTTCCCTGGGACCCAGGGCCTGGGTGTAGAAATATTTCCGAAAACTTCTACTCTGAAGTGCGTCATCCGAGTTTATGTTCAAAAAATTTAAAATTTATGTTCAGAAAAGGGAACATAAAAAATTCGTTGATCTTTTTTTTGCTCCCATTAAAGTAACCATTAGTAACTCCAAGATTCCATTTCCTCCCCCATATTTCTTCAAACAGAACACACAAAATGTTGCTGTTCACTTGTTTCTTCCTAGTTCAAATTATTTTTCCATTCTCATTATCCCGCGGTATTGTAATGTATGGATATCCAACTTGGATTGTTTGCAAAGTTACAACTTCTACCGCAACTTCTACAGCTTGTTTCGAAGATTTTGAAACAAGTAGCTATGACTTCGGATACTTCAACTCCAGTGCAAAAACTTGTTGTAAAACTAATTATGAATTGTTGATTTGGGCAAATAATGGTGGAAAAACCGATAAAATTATATTTAATATTGACGATTCATCAACAAGTTGTTCTGACAATAATCCATTGATTTATGATAACACAAATGCAGGAAACTCATTATTTCGAATCACTTATAATGCAACATCTAAAAATATGATGGTTCAAGGTAAATTTTAGTTATAATATGTATAATAAAAATCCAGTGCCCGTATCCAATAAAGTTCGCTGGACCCGGCGAACTTTGTTGGATAGAGGTACTGGAATAATTGTTTTAAGCTCGAGAATGCACAACTGATGCAAATTATTATTATTCACTTCGAAATGGAAAAACACAATGTTGGGGTTTGTATAACATCGATAACAGTTATAATGTTGATCAGAAGATTGAAATATTGAAACAGAACAATTTGAAGCAAACCTCGCCTTTAGATATTTTGTTGATTAATCGACTTGTTCAAGGAACCATGGAAGGCTCTAGTACTTACAAAGTTGCCATCGTAATGGATGGAAAACGAACAGATTCTTGTAACACTCTTTCAAATTTGAACACTGCTGCCTGTAAATTTCCAAATGGATTTAATATTATTGATACACAAAATCCATTATTATCAAGTTATCCATTTACTTCAAATCCAACAATGTCAACGAGTCGAAGATGTTTGGCAATGTTTTTTGATTCGGAAAAATCGCCGTTGAATCAAAAAGTGAACTTTGTTGATTGTTCACAAACAACAGCTGATGGTTATACTTATATACATGCTGTGGCAAGAAAATGAAATTCATTTCAAATAAATATTTTGTTGTTTTAAAACTTTTTTCAAGCAGAACTTTGTACAATTCTAAAACTTGAAAAACTGTCGGAAAAGGCTTGCCTTACTTAAAAAATAATAGCAAGATGAAATGGAAAAGAAGTTGGTATCAATGAGAGTTGGAACCGATAATATACAAATCAAAAAATCTGACTGATTCAAATAATTCAGAATTAATTGATTAGAAGTTAAGACGATTTACGATTCTTTGGTTAAAAAATTCTTCGAGAATCCCTCGCTGAAAATTATATTTCCGAAAACTTCCGTTCTAAAATGCGTCATGCCAGTTTATGTTCAAAAAATTTCAAATTTATGTTTTTTAAAAAGAAACATGAAAAGTTTCCTTGATTTCGTTTTTCCCATTAAACTAGCCAGTAACCAGTAGTAACTCCAGGAATCTATCTCTCCTACATTTTTCTAAAATACACAAACTATTCGGAACACACAAAATGTTGCTGTTCACTTGTTTCTTCTTAGTTCAAATTCTTTTTCCATTCTCATTATCCCGCGGTATTGTAATGTATGGATATCCAACTTCGTTTATTTGCAAAGCTTCAACTTCTACCGCAACTTCTACAGCTTGTTTCAAAAATTTTGAAACAAGTAGCTATGATTTTGCATACTTCAAGTCGAGTGCAAAAACTTGTTGTAAGACTAATTATGGATGGTTAATTCGGGCAAAAAATTATGGAAAAACTGATAAAATGATTTTTAATATTGACGATTCATCAAAAAGTTGTTCTGACAATAATCCATTAATTTATAATAACTCAAATACAGGAAACTCATTATTTCGAATCACTTATGATGCAAAATCTAAAAATATGATGGTTCAAGGTAAATTTTAATTCTAATACATATGTAAAATAAATATCTTGGAATAATTGTTTCAAGCTCGTGGATGCACAACTGATACAAATATTTATTATTCACTTCGAAATGGAAAAACACAATGTTGGGGTTTGTATAACATCGATAACAAATATACTGCTGATGATATGATTGCACAACTGAAACAGAAAAAACTGAAACAAACTTCGCCTTTGGATATTACTTTGATCAATCGACTTGTTCAAGAATCCATGGAAGGACGTAGCACTTACAAAGTTGCAATTTTAATGGATGGAAAACGGAAAGATTCTTGTAACACTGGAGCGCAGTTCTTCAATACTGCTTGTGATTTTCCAAAGGGATATGATTTTGTCGACACAGAAAATCCATTGTTATCAAGTTATCCATTCACTGCAAATCCAACATTGGCAACATTTAAAAGATGTTTGGCAATGTTTTTTGATTCGGAAAAATCAAAATTCAATCAAAAAGTTGACTTTGTTGATTGTTCACAAACAACAGCTGATGGTTATACTTATATACATGCTGTGACAAGAAAATGAAATTCATTTTGAAATAAATGTTTTGTTGTTAAAGACACATCAGCCACTAGAAATGAGTCAGAAATGGTGTTGTTATTCTTTCATAACATGTTCTAAGGAATCGAAATACATAAAAATAAAGAAAAAATTTTGAGCCTGGCAAAAGTAAAAAAAAAATAATTGTTTTTGAAAACGCTCAGCCGACGGAAATTTTTTGACGGTGTTTGCACACACTCCGTGACACTTTTGTGTACCGTATTCCTTTTATTTATTTTTTTTATTTTTGTTCAATTTTCCAATTTTTACTTCGTCTTTTCCCGATTTTTTCATGTTTTGAACTGTTTTCATTTCACAAAAGATGGAGAAATGCGATTTTTGTTTAAAACCGACAACAAGCAATAAAAAATTTACATACTCCAAAGAGTTTTATGCCATATTCGCTGCAGGAATTACCGCCGGAAAGTTGTATACGCCGGATATCAAGCGATTATGTAATCTGAACCGAATCAAGATTTTGATGATATCTTCTAATGCCCTCAAAAAAACCAAAAACGTTGAATTTCAGCCCAAAATGCAGTGATCCGGAGTTGAAGATCGAATTGGATGGTTGAATTTTAGGAAATTATGTTGTCGACCTACTTCCAGCAATTAATTGACAGACAATTTTGAAAAAAATCACCAAAAACTCTCAAAAATCGTGAAAAGTCCAATTTCAACACTGAATTGATGTAAAACTTCGAAAAATCTCAGAAACCCCTAAAAAATCTCAGAAAAATCAAATTTCGGCAAGAATTGTGTGCTCCAGAATTGAAAATCAGATTGGATGGTCGAATTCCGTGAACTTGGATTGTCAAGAAACTTCCAGCACCAAATTAATCAAACAACCTCGAAAAAATTCGAAATAAATCTCCCAAAACCCTCAAAATAACGAAAAGCTCAAATTTCAGCCAAAAATCGTGTGCTCCAGAGTTGAAAATCAGATTGCATGGTCAAATTCCATTAACTTGGATTGTCGAGGAACAGAATTCATCGAAAATGTCAAAAAAAAATCCAGAAAAATCTGATTTCAGCCAGAAATTTGTTGAAATAACTCGAAATGTAGAAATCCATAAAAATAAAATTCTTCTCCGTAAAATTCTGCTTCGATTAATATATTGATCAATGAAATTGGTTCAGAATGAGACGAAAACGATCAATCTCAAAAACGCCAAGTCTCAAATTGAAAATGTGTGTTTGCAAGTTTGTGTGCATTTTCCCTTTCACCGCCTATGCCTCTTCGGTTTCTCATTTTCATGACTATGTATTCACAGCGAAATGGGCAGTTTTAGACGGGCTTTCAGATCAGCACAAGACATCCTGATGAAATTGGCGTTCTGATTCATAAACTACAAACAAACGAAATCCTCGCAAAAAAAAACAATAAATATTCTCCGAGAGAAATACATAGACGTGTGTGCAACAGAGCGCACATGCTGTTTTGTCATTTGAAAAATATTGCGCGAAATCTGTTTTTTCCAGTGGCTGATGTGTCTTTAAAATTTTGAAACTTTTTTTCAAGCAGAACTGTTCTAAAACTTGAAAACCTGCCGAAAAAAGCGTGCCTTAATTAAGAAATGACAGCAGATTATGAATTCGAGAAGATCGTGGAACTTCTCACGCCAAATGTGTCTAAACATTCACAAAATAACTATGAAAGATGAACCTTTCCCGAATTTCTTTCGAAAAATCAATGTTTTATCTGCTTATTCATCTGATATCAATTGTATTCGCTTCTGAAAAAGTCAGCATTTCTATAACAGATTATTGTGAATCGGAAAAATTTTCGGATTGGATTGTTCGTGAATTTAAGCTTGACAAGTTTCCAACTAAAGTGTATTGTGAGTTTTCTTTTCTGTATGGGTTTTTTTTTGGAATTTAGAGAACTTTCTACCGCTTTAACTATTAATTTGAACTCCGCCCATTTTTCTGAAAGCTAGCTCAATACAGTTATTTCAGTATCATTCAACCATTGTTGTGCAGTTCATGATGATTGTTACCATCAATCTCTCGGCAAAGAATGGTGTGATAAAAATTTCGAAAGATGTTCTTCACTCATGATTGAACAGGTCAAAAAGTATTCAATACTTTCTAACTCGCGTATTTCAAGATTCGGAACACTTCAAAAAACTACTCATTTCTCGAAGGAACATTATAATCCTCAAAAATCAGATAATGATGAATATGCTCCGGTAAGTTATCGAAAAATTGGGAAGATTTATCCAGTATTATTCAAATATTGTCGGACACAAATTTCAACTTTCTCAAGTTGTGCATTTCGTTTCGATGAATGTGTTTTTGAAGATATCGTGCCAATAGCACATTGCAAAATATATCTCGATTTTTGTTTGCATTCTTCGAGAGAACAAAGAGATCAAGATTATGCGTGTGATTGTGCAGTTCGTGCTGTTCAACTATCAATTGATGTCCCTGCAAATTTGCCATCAAACAATCAATCAATTGTTAGGGAAAATAGTATGAGTTTTGGACTTTTGGAATTTGCCTAATTAAAATGAAATATTTTTAATAATTATTTCGAGTTTTTTGTTTTCGAAGGTCTTCCAAGATTTCGCGTCGGCCCTAGAATAGAGACCCCCCTCTCCATCCTAAAAGCGCTTTTGCTCGATTACTGTAGATTTAATCTTAAATTTTATATAGAATCTTTTGAGCTAATAGAAGTCATTTGGTTACTGTAGTTATAATACTGTTTCCACAAGCATGAAACCGTTTCAACCATATCAAAACTTTATTCAATTCCTCAGATTTTCAAAAATTAAATTAATGATTCACATTTTGTTCCAGTTGTCTCAATAAATTGATTAACAACAATTTGAACAGCTCTAACAGCTTGATTACAAATTGCATCATATAATCGATAAACAAATGTTCGATCCAAGCATTGATCCAACTTCAAATAACAATTATATTGATCGTCTGATAAAATGCAGTTATCAAATTCAAAAGCACAACTTGAAAATGTTGCATTTTGAGCTTTGCATTTAATATATAAAGTTGGATAAATTTCAGCAATTAATTGATTTTCATTGACGTTATAAGTTTCGTATTCACGAGTAAAATCTGATTTTCCGTCTTTTGAATATGGTTCGATTTTACTTATTAGTTCGTATGATTGTTGATATTGTGAAATTACACGCTGCAAAAAAATAGTTTCAAATTTCCACGTAACATTGTGCAAAATGGCTCATCATTTGTATTTAATTATGTATATTGCATCATGTTAGTTCCTGAAGATTCGAAGAAGTTGCCGCAAACATTTCCCGCTTAGAAAATAAAAACTCACATGAATACACCATTCAAAATAATAATCGCAATATTTAGAAATTAACGAGTTATAACAATCCTCATTAATTGCACAACACTCATTATAATTGAAAACTGCTTGCTGAGAATGAAAATCTCGATGAGTTAACAGAAATGCGGATTCGGTTTTACAATACCAACGATCTTTTGAGACTTTTAATTCATTTGCAAATGATAGTGGAAAAATCAAAAGGATCAGGAAAAACATTGGGAGAAAAATTAAAATTGTAACAACATTTTTGATTTTTCAGAAAGTAAAGATTTTATTGGTCTGAGCCATATTAAAAATAACTTTCATGTTTTCGTGAATTGATGAAAATGTACACTAGAAGAAGTGATTTCAATTTCTAGCTATATAAAATCAACAGAAACAAACAATTTTCAAATGAAACTTTATTTCAGAGAAAAATACAAGAGTTTGTTTATGGATTGTATTCAATTGGCAAATTCTTTCTACGAACCATACCATCTCCTTGGAACCATTCACGTCTGAATTGTTTTGCAGCACCATCTGGTGTATTTGTCCATTCAACAGTGATACGATCATTATTGGTATCTTCTTGTCCATAGGCAAAAGCATCACATGAAACAGCCAACAAAACAGCTTCTTTTGGATCCAAAACTCCACATGGTGGATCAACTCCCAATCTCTTCATATTGGTTGTTTTGATTCCATATATGGACGTATGCAACTCAAAAAAGATGGATTTTTACATGAAGACCGCTTTTGCTCTTTCACAAGAAGTTTTTTCTGATAACTTCTTGACGATCATGTTAACAGCAAACTCAGGCGCCGAACAAAAAATTTTTTGTTTTCATTTTTTGTGTCATGAAGTTCGAAAGAACTCTTCATGGATTTTTTTTTGTTTTTTTTCGTAGAACAATTGATGTATTTAATTTTCAAAGTTTATAGCACAATCAAAAGTTTTATTCAACATAAAAAAATTGAAGATTGAAGAAAAATGCATTTGTGGGAGTGATGGTTGAAAACAATGATGATGATGACGCAATGGTGTGATGGTGAAGACGGATTCTGTAAGTTTATCATTTGATTATTTGATTTGATTTTCTATTCTCCCTTTTTTTTTTTAATTTTTATACCCACTTCAAATAACATGGCTGAGAAAAGAGCGAAAAATAATCGGTGAAAAAATGAGAAAAAAAAAAGATTTCACGTTTTTAATTTTTAATTCGAGAAATTTCGCGTCAACCGAACATCTTGCTCGGGTTTTTCAAATCATTCTCCAGTCAAAATTTGAGACAAAAAAAGATTTCACGTTTTTATTTTTTAATTCGAGAAATTTCGCGTCAACCGAACATCTTGCTCGGGTTTTTCAAATCATTCTCCAGTCAAAATTTGAGACAAAAAAGATTTCACGTTTTTATTTTTTAATTCGAGAAATTTCGCGTCAACCGAACATCTTGCTCGGGTTTTTCAAATCATTCTCCAGTCAAAATTTGAGACAAAAAAGATTTCACGTTTTTATTTTTTAATTCGAGAAATTTCGCGTCAACCGAACATCTTGCTCGGGTTTTTCAATTAGATTTTCACAGAGGAAAAATTGAACCAGTCTTGATTTTTCGAAAAATAGCGGTTAGGAGTGTATATAAATCAAAACTTTTGTAGGAAAAAATAAAGGTCAAAGCGCCGAAACATGTAAAACTACACATGTTTCTGAAACATGCGATTTTTTCTGGCACATGTTTGGATCTGACCCATGCAAATTCACAAATGTTCAATGGATCTAACAAATTATGATTTTTCATTAGCCATTTTTTCTTGCGATGAAAAGCTTTTGAGTTATTTTCAATCATCGCCCGCTATAAGTTCCTGATTATTTTGAAAATTTGAGAAAAATAAATAAATCGGCACAGAGATGTCGGATCTGCAAATCAATAGGATCATCACGAATCAATCGTTTCATCTTCGATTTTTTGAAAAAATTCTTAATCTGACCATTTTTATAGTTATCACACGGTTCGACAAACAATATTCATTAAATCCATTAAACATTTGTCAGTTCGCATGGGTCAGATGCAAACATGTGCCAGAAAAAATCGCATGTTTCAGAAACATGTGTAGTTTTTCTCAAAAATAAACCTGGTCTGATTTATTTCTGGTTTCCTATTAAAAATTTCACCGAGTCGAAAACCCTTCAAAATTTGGTCCGATTAATCGAACCTGGCCCGATTTCTGTGGTCCATTTCAAAATGTTCCGTAGCTACTGTCCGTTCGCCAGCGAAGGAAACGCAGGCAAACGCGCCCCATTGACAAACGACACTTTTTGTGCGCGGCGATTCAAATATGAATTATTTTCTCGGAGTTTTTTCACGCAAATTTCTAGTTTTTTAGGGATTCAATCAAATCAGATTGCATTATTAATTGAAAACAATGCGATTTACAAAACTTACAAACTGTTTCCATTGAAATTTCCATAGTTTTTGTCAACAAACTGCGAAAAAACAGTACTATTTCAGATAAATCTTAATTTTTCAGTAAAAATCCTGTGATTTCATTAACAAAACGCCGTTTTCCAGTAAAATCTACTGGATCAAAAGTTTATCAACAGTAAAAATAACAAAAAATAATGAAAACTTGAATTTTTTTGAAAAAAAATTGTGCAATTGTTGAGTCTGTCGAAGATAATGGCGCCAAGTAGAGGAGATGAACCTGAAAATGTTCAGAATGTTGAAATATCCAGAAAAATTCTGATTCATGATTTTAGAAAGCAATGTCCACCTTTTTGGTGAATTTCATACGGTTCGAACTTTATCTTGATGAAAATTAACTTTTTGAGTATATAAAAAGACAAATTTGTATTTTTACTTGTCAAAAATGAAATAGGATGTATAGCCAGTTTAGATAGCTAGCATTGCGATTTGCAATAACATTTTCTGAGTGAAAAGAACAGACTTTTCGAAGATTTTCCAGAAATAAAAACGTTTTTTGCAGTTTATCTCTAAAATTTGTCAAATCAAGCCGAATGAGCGCTTAAGATCACTTACCTCACTACTCACATTGATAATCTTCCTGCTACAAATGTCATATAATCAATTTTTCTTTCCGGCTGGCGATTTTTCCCGAAATTGTCATAAATACCAACTAAAATAATTCAAAATTGCGACGAGACTGCTCCAATATTGATAGGGAAGATGCCCAATCCTCCTCAAATGCATGTCTTTGCCTCTTTCACATATATTCATACCAAAAATCGACTTTCTGTGCAAATTTGAGCCAAAATCGTGCAATTTTCGAACATCTGTAAAATCAAAAAATATGCATTTTGAATACTCTTCTATACTGCTAACTTACCTAGAGATGACAGAAAGTTCGAAATACCATTCGAAAAGATGGTTTTTTCGACACTTTTCGGTCTCGGAAAATCCTGGAAATTGAAAAATTGCGTTTTTTATCACCAAAAACTCATAAAACAAAACAAATCACATGAAAGGTGAATACTCTACCCCCAATTCATCTATCTAAATCAAAAAAACTCTGAATAAGTTTCGAAAACAACTTGAAAACACAAAAAAATCGAAATTTCCGTTTTTTCAAAAACAAAAAAAAATCGGGGCAGCAGAAAAAAGAAGTGCGATGGGGCGCGTTTCCTTCGCTGGCGAACGGACAGTAGTTCCATGAATGATGTTTCAAAATATTTTTTTCAAAGTATTTTCCATGAAAACTTTGTTTTGTTTCTAACTCACTTGATCAAGCAAAACGACTCCATGTCGCAGTCATAGTTTCATAAAAATCCTTCGCTTATTAGAAATCGATGAGAGAGATGTTGCTATGCTGAAAACTCTCAGAAATGGTTGCCTCGAAAAATTCAAATGATTTTGCCAACAATTCTTTTACGTTCACGTCAAAAAATTGATTTAATTTTTCCAAATTTTGTTTGTTTGCTTGAATTTTAGAAAAAGAGAAAAAACACAATTATTTTTTACGTGAACGTAAGAATGAATGTTGGCAAGCCGCATTTCGATTTTTCGAGAAAATCATTTTTGCGACCGTTTCAAATTGCTCTTCAAATCAATGCTTCTGATGGATCTGTGATTCGAATTTGAATAGCTTTGTTGAATAAAGTGGGTTTTTTCATATTTCTTTCTCCTATGGAGTTTCTAGATATTCTAATTTTAGAATTGATTTCTCAGTACTAACGAGGGACTGTGTGAGCAGTCCTCCGGAGATTTTCAATGAAACATAGATGTTTCTTTACAGTTTTTCAAGCTGACAAGGGAACTGTTTCAACTTTCACTCTAGATTTTTAATGAAATATATGTTTTCTAGTAGTTTTCAACACGCAGATCACGATTCCGTTGTCTAAAATTGCAGAACTCAACTCCTAACATGAGTTATGACGTGTCGAAGTTCAAAAATTAAAAAAATCGGGACTTTAGATGATCAGAAGTCGCCTTCCAAATGACGGTCATGGATTGTTCAGTAAGGTCGATTACATAAGTTTCGAAGGTTCATAAAAATATCCAAAAGATTTTTCAACAAAGTTTTAAATATGCAAACCACTAAAAAACGAAAACTTTTTTCACCGAACAAAAAATGTTTTTCAAAGTTGATCACAAATTGAAAACATGGAGTTTACTTATGTAATTGAGCCTACTGAACAACCCAATGCTTTTGAAATGTTTGAACTTCGACACGTCATAACTCATGTTAGGAGTTGAGTTCTTTAATTTTAGACAACGGAATCGTGATCAGCGTGTCGAAAACTACTAGAAAACATATATTTCATTAGAAGTAAAGAGTGAAAACTGAAACGATTCCCTTGTGAGAAAGAACATGTTTTTAGTTCTTGCTGAACGAGTCTCTGAAATCTAAAGGCTCCACGGATTGAGTCACAGCAAGAAATTAGAAAATTTTGGAATTTCTGTCAGAATTTATTTTTTCCTACAAAAGTTTTGATTTATATACACTCCTAACTGCTATTTTTCGAAAAATCAAGACTGGTTCAATTTTTCCTCTGTGAAAATCTAATTGAAAAACCCGAGCAAGATGTTCGGTTGACGCGAAATTTCTCGAATTAAAAAATAAAAACGTGAAATCTTTTTTGTCTCAAATTTTGACTGGAGAATGATTTGAAAAACCCGAGCAAGATGTTCGGTTGACGCGAAATTTCTCGAATTAAAAAATAAAAACGTGAAATCTTTTTTGTCTCAAATTTTGACTGGAGAATGATTTGAAAAACCCGAGCAAGATGTTCGGTTGACGCGAAATTTCTCGAATTAAAAAATAAAAACGTGAAATCTTTTTTGTCTCAAATTTTGACTGGAGAATGATTTGAAAAACCCGAGCAAGATGTTCGGTTGACGCGAAATTTCTCGAATTAAAAAATAAAAACGTGAAATCTTTTTTGTCTCAAATTTTGACTGGAGAATGATTTGAAAAACCCGAGCAAGATGTTCGGTTGACGCGAAATTTCTCGAATTAAAAAATAAAAACGTGAAATCTTTTTTTGTCTCAAATTTTGACTGGAGAATGATTTGAAAAACCCGAGCAAGATGTTCGGTTGACGCGAAATTTCTCGAATTAAAAAATAAAAACGTGAAATCTTTTTTGTCTCAAATTTTGACTGGAGAATGATTTGAAAAACCCGAGCAAGATGTTCGGTTGACGCGAAATTTCTCGAATTAAAAATTAAAAACGTGAAATCTTTTTTTTTCTCATTTTTTCACCGATTATTTTTCGCTCTTTTCTCAGCCATGTTATTTGAAGTGGGTATAAAAATTAAAAAAAAAAAGGGAGAATAGAAAATCAAATCAAATAATCAAATGATAAACTTACAGAATCCGTCTTCACCATCACACCATTGCGTCATCATCATCATTGTTTTCAACCATCACTCCCACAAATGCATTTTTCTTCAATCTTCAATTTTTTTATGTTGAATAAAACTTTTGATTGTGCTATAAACTTTGAAAATTAAATACATCAATTGTTCTACGAAAAAAAACAAAAAAAAATCCATGAAGAGTTCTTTCGAACTTCATGACACAAAAAATGAAAACAAAAAATTTTTTGTTCGGCGCCTGAGTTTGCTGTTAACATGATCGTCAAGAAGTTATCAGAAAAAACTTCTTGTGAAAGAGCAAAAGCGGTCTTCATGTAAAAATCCATCTTTTTTGAGTTGCATACGTCCATATATCCAATACGACGAGCCGATGAATTGATTACCTTGATGTGATAGGTATGTTTATCATCGTATGGAGCATTGAAGACAATCTTTGCATTTGGTTGAGTTTGGATATCTCCTGGTGGAACAGATTGAGCCATTTTTGAATGATCGGTTGATTTTTATGAGCTTTGGAGCTTCTTTTTATACTAAACTTTATCAAGATCGAGAAACGTGGATTGATCAACGTGGAAAGATAATGAGAAAATGTCACGCTAAATTTTCTTCACTTATTTTTTTCTCATTTCCAAATATTTTCACGCCTGGAATTGTCTTTTTTTCACAATGTCAGCATATTTAGCTGACCTTCTATTTATTTTTTCCTCCCCTTCTTCTTCTTCTCCAAATTGTATTTGTTGTGTCTGTGCCTATAATTAGTCAGACAGTCAGTCGACCCCAATTATTATTACTATTACTACTTTACCTAACTCGACATTTTTTCGCGCAATGAAGTTTTTCTTCTCAAAAATTATTTTTCTGCTACTTTTTTTGAAAGCCCACGGGCAATATGTGCAACCACAATATGCTGAAATTCGAGGTAAGGATTTATTGTACTTGGAGACATTTTTCAAAAATTGAAAAAAAAACATTTTCAGCTGTTTCTGCGATGTGTAGCTCAGATGGTATTACAGCAAGTATAGATTTTGATAAACCCTTCACCGGAAAAATATATTCGCTAAATTATGCAACTGTTGGCGATTGCTTATATTATAACAATATCGATCGAGATACAGTACTCTTTTCAATTCCAGCTCATATTTGTGGAACAAAATTGCAAAGAACCACTAGAAATGTGAGTTGAAACATTTTACAGAAAAAATGACCTTATGTGTCACTTTTTAATTGTTGTAACTCAATCTTACTTCCGAATTATTATTATAATACTATTATAATTGAAATATTTTTACTTTTTTCTTCACCATTTTTCTTTGTTCGTTTCTCGAAGAAAAGGTCAGTGAAAGCTGGTAATTATTATGTATAGAAGAAGTCACTAACCAAATATGTATAGTTAGGAAATGTTTTCAGAATATCGATCAGATGGAAAATCGGGTTTATGTTCAAATGGATAAAGATACTCAAACTTCAGCTGATAAACAATTTTCTTTTGTTTGTAAATTGACAGATTCACAAGGACTTCAGAATGTCACGAGGTTTTTTAACATGAAAATTTTGAATTTCGAAGCGAAAAAATGATTTCAGCGCTGCTGCCAAAGATGACTCAAACACCGTAAAAGATTCGTATTCGGATGTTCCTCCAATTCGCCCAGTTGCAAGTAGTGTTAGCACCAAAATGCATTCACCAATGATGTCACCAATAAAACCGGTGAATAGAAACAACTCTGTAAATTTAAAATTCTAAATTTTCAGACCGAAGTACGTCAAATCTCGGCGTTCTCCAAAGATGCTCATATTTTTGGGAACTGGCCAATTCCTGGTTCAAAACCTTATGAAGCATCAATGCAACCAGTTTCAACATATCCTTTGGCACCAATTTCCCCAGAAGTTCATCAATCTACTTCAACTATTCACCCACCAATTATGGCACATGATTCTCATCCTCAAGTTGCAGGTGCTCAAGGAGAATATGTGACTCGTCCAATCTCAACACCTTTTATGAGAAGTCCAATACTTGCTCGAACCTTTACGACTGCACCGCCTGTTACAGCTTTCACTTTATTCCCACCTGGTTTTACATTATTGCCAACAATTCCACCACCAACAACTTCGCCATCTCCAATTATTCCAAATATTCATTTTAAACAAGGTGTTGGAGTGCCATTCGTGCCAGGACCTGCACAAAAAACTGAGAAAATTGTAGATGCTGATCATTGGAATGATCCGAATGCGTATGCGACACCTCCACAACCAAATATTGGTGGAAATTCGAATCAGAATCCAACAACAAAGTTTTATAAAGAGGAACCACCAACAGCTTCTGCACCATTCTCATCAGATTCTAAAATCAATGTTGATACTCCAAAACCATCTGATCAACATCACATTTCACCAATCACTACATCTGTTTTGAAAACTCATCAAGATAGTTTTGTGGAACCAGAAGTCACTTTGGAAATTCAAAGAGGCGAAGGTAAGTTGGGAATTTACAAAAAATATTAGTGGAAAATTTGGATCCTGGGATTAATTTTTGGGTTAGGTAAGTTTCGAAGAATTCAAAAAATTAGGAAAGTTCAGAAAACTTGGGTCTTGAGAGGTTACTGTAGCCATATAATCAGTTCTGTTGAATAATTAATTATCTCACAATCACAAAATCATACAAACCCGTGTTTCAAAATCCAATTCAAAACTTCCAGGACCATTTGCACCGCCTGTCACGACACCAATAAAAATAGGAGATAACATTTCACTTGTCATCAAAGCCAAAAGTTATTTGAATGATTCCGATGATTTTGATATGTTTGCTCATTCTTGTTTTGCAACCGATGGAAAAGGCGATACAAAAGTTCAAATGATTGATGAAAATGGGTAATTATTAACACTTTCAGCAAAAGTTTTTGAAAATTTAAAAAAAAAATTTAGATGTGTGATTCGGCGCGAATTTGCTTCAGAACTTCGGCGAGTAAAAGATCCGGACAATATGATGTTTTACTATATGATGATCAAGGCTTTCAAGTTTCCAGGTCCCGATGATGTTTATTTTTCGTGTACTATTGAGTTCACACCAATGACCAAAGCACCTGTAAGTTTTGGGAGAATTTCAGCTCAAACGCTTTCACATCGAGATATATGTTTTTGCAGAGAATTTGCTCTAAACTTCGACGTCGCCGTCAACTTTTCAATGGAACTTCTTCAGAACTTCGATTATTTGATAGTGTCAATGTTAAACTTTTAGATGATAATGATAATACTGAAATTCAAGATCCGGAAAATCTGAAAATTTCCGATGGCTCTTCAAACTGCGAACTAAAAGAGGAAATTTATTTGACAATTATTGTGATACTTATGATTTCAACAACAATTTCACTAATTTCCAACATTTTCCAATTTTCTAGAAATATTAAAACTTCACGGGTTAATTCAAACAATTATTGATTTGTTTTCGATTTATAATAAACTGTTCTTTCGTTTCAAAATCAAAAAATACTTCATTTGTACAAAAGCGAGCAAAAACGATACTATGCCAAAGACAAAAAACAAACAGCAAAAGAAAAAAAATACCCAAATATTCACAGAAAATCCTGAAAAAAATTCGACTTCGAATTTTTTAGCGAGCACAAAAATAAAAATAAAAATAATGAATGCATGTGGAAAAATAAAAATGACCCGTTCAAAATGCGGAAAAATGTTTTGTTTGTGAGGAGGAAAATTGGTGTGTGTGGGCCTTAGGCTTAGGCTTCTACTAAACTGTCTAATTGGGAATAAGGAGATGAAAAATACGTATGTATGAAGAGAGTTATAAATATTGCGAAAAATATTTACACGACGTTTCGTTTTTGTTTAGAAATGCAAACGTTGATCGGCAAGACGATTGTGTGGTTTGATACTTCCATAATAACGGAGCAAAAAGTTTCGAATCTGGAAAAAAAATGAGGTTTTTAAATGTAGCTTCAATACAAATTTTCTAGGTCCAGAAAAAAAAAAAACATTTACAAAAATTTCTCAATTTTTTGGAACATCTTAAATCGAAAATAAGAATTTTCCGATAAGAATTTAGATTTGTTTTTTGTAAATTTCTAAAAAATTTTCTTTTTTATGAAAATATTTAAATTTTCCTTTAAAAAAAGATAAGTTCTGAGGTGAATTTCAGATCTTTTTTAATTTTCAAAATTTCCAATATTTTTGAATTTTTCAAAAAAAGTTGAACAAACCTGTCGTCTCGAGAATTGTCCACCCGAATGACATGTCGGACACAAAAACGGTGCTGGGAATTGCATTTTGTGGAATTGCGGATCTTCGGTTTGATCACCGTGTAGCCGATTGTTGACAATATTATGTGCACGCCATAAATATGTCATCATATCATGCGGATGTCGAACTCGTCGTTCGTTTAAGGGGAATAATTGGGTTGTCATATGCATAAAATGATTTCGACAATGTTCACAACCAAAATATGATTTGACCCATCCTTGAATTGATTTTAATGGAGCAATTGGATTGACATGATCATCTTTGATTGTATCGATATAAGTATGAACGGTTAAAGCGTGGAATGTTGTCCACAAACCGCATGTGTAACCTCTGAAAACAATATCAGATTTTTTTTTTGGAAATTCAAATCGGTAATATTTAAAAAACGAAAACCTAGAAAAATCCTTTCAGCTTTTGATTCTCACCTAAACATCGGCGATGATCCTTTACAATGTTGCCACGTGGAATTGACTGGGAACGGACTTGCGTAAACTCGTTCAACACTTTCGAATTGTTGTCGATATTCATCGCTGGACACCATTCCAATCGATTTTCGACCTTCCAAAAATTCACGCATATGAGTGAATACCAAACGGGCTCGTTCACTGTTGCGAAGAATCTGAGAAATTTTGACATTTTGAAAAGTTTAGCCTGTAAGGTTCAGGTTTTAAAGTTCAAAAAATTCTGAAATCAATTTTTTAAAATTTTTTCCTGAATTTTGTATTTTTTTTGTTGAAATTCAGGCTCGAAAAATTCGAATGCTAAACTTTGAACTTACCACAGAAGTTGTGGCTCTTTTGGCTCTCGATCGTCTCACATCATTTTGGAATGACAAAACGGGGAAATGCTGAAAAAAAGAATATATGTTTGTAAGTCCAAGAACTTTTAGATAATCTCAACTCACATTTGATAAAAGTGTAACAAAATCGTACAAATTCGTAAAATTAGCGCCACGAATAGCTCCTGGAACTCGTGTAACTTCATCCAATAATGCCATTCTCATCGCTTTCAACATATCAGTTTCAGATACATAATACATATCTCGACATCTTTCCGGATAAGCTTGACAATCAATTAATGGTGTTTTTTGAGTGGTTGTTGTTGGTTGCAAAGTTGTTGTGATCAATGGAACTGCCTCAATTCCAAGTTTATTGGAATCTTGAACAATTGCAGCATCAAGATCCGAATATGTTTGATTATTGAATCGTTGCATGTAAAGAGCTTGTTGATGATCACGACGGAATAAAGCGACTGTTGGGAAATTTCGAATTCCCAACATTTGAACGAGTGGCGAATTTGAAATTGCGCGTCGCGAACCCATTACTTGACGACGTGATGACATATCCATAATGAACTGAAAAATGGAAATGTTAAGAATTGGTTCCTATTTTTCCCAAATTTTAATTCGAATCCCTTCTTACCTGTGCACCAACTCCATCATATTCCTCAAAAATGATTGCCAAATATCTAGCAGATGGTCGAACTCCTTCCCAAAGTGCTCCATAAGTTGTCTGTCCATCGACCGAAATATGCGCAAGAATCGGCCAATCAGGATATCGATTGAACATGTATTCATTGGTCACAGTTCTCAATAAAGTATCACGAATTTGTTCAGCGGAATGGGGAGTTTCGAACATTTTTCCTTGTGCAGCTGACGTGGCTGTTCGAGCAAAATACTGAAAAAAAAACCCCGGATTTAGCAACATTTGAAAAAAAACGTTGAATAGTTTACAAACCTTCATCATTGGGAAGTAAGTGACACCATTTTCGCGACAAACGTTGGTGTTATAGCTGTCGGCACAATTGATAACAGCAACATTGACAACTTCATGCCATTCGCGAACCAAACTGGCAAATTGACGGAAATATGGCGCAAAAGCGCGACAATGTCCACACCTGACAAAAAAATAATTTTCGGTAAAAAAAAGGGAAACAACGATGCTCCGCAATTTCGTTCGGGCGGTTGGCTCGATAAATGTTTTTGTTTTTTTTTGTTTTCAGAAAAAGTTTTTCACAAGTTTTTTGGTGGAACTCTAGACTAACTCGGACTATCATGACATGGAAAAATCAATAAAACTTTGCAAGTTAATTTGTATAGAAAATTTTTGTATAGACGTGTTTTTTAAATTTATCCCCACTTTCCCACTAAAAAAAACTCACCAATCCGCATAAAATTCAACCAAATAGGCATGATCCGAGAATACTGTATCATTATAAGTCATCTGATCTAAATGCATAATTGGCTCAAATCCCGGCGTGTATAGTGTTGGATTTTTTCCCAATGGAACATACATCATTGAAGATTTGACCGATGAACATATTGTTGGAAATGTGAAAAGGAGGAAAATTGTGGCAAAAATGGTGGTTGGATATTGGTGGAGGAAAAAGGTGTTTTTTGTGGGAGAATTGGCGGAGCAGCTGGTTTTCCGCATTCTATAACATTTAGAAATGATTATTGTTTACAAGAAAAATGAAAATGGAAATTTAAGAAAAAGTAGGTCACGTGAAAAATATTTTTGAAACTAATGAAATTCAATTTATTTTAATTTAATTTGATGAAAATAAGGAGAAAATCTTCCCAAAAATCTCAAGTATCGAACAAGTTGGTAAAAGATATATTTAGCAATGAAGACAAAAAAAACGATCCTCTCGACATAAAAAAAAGTTGGGCGGAGACTTTGAAGAAGAACTGGTTAGGGATTATGAGAGTTAGGCTAACTAACCAAGGAAAAAAAGTTGGACATGATGAGAAAAAGAAAATATTTGATTTGACAAGAGACACACAAAAATTGATAAAAATAGAACAAGATCTAGTTTTTTAGCGAGCTCAAGCTCAAAAAAACTTTTTTCAAGATGAAAAAAAAACTTTTTAAGCACCTGTTTCTTTGTTTTGAAGAGATTGAAAAAATAAATAAATCAAAAATAGTTCGGACAAAAGAATTAGAATCAGAGAATTGGAAGAGGAAAAGATAATCTGAAAATTGCCCTTTTTGAGGCGATGAAAAATTTCGGAAAAACAATACCTTGCAAAAGCAAACATATTCAGTTTCAAAAAAAGAAGTTAGTTGGGTTATGGTAGATCAAAGGTTTCTTGATGCTTTTTAGGATAATTAAAGGCAACCAGACAGCTATTTTGTTTTATTTATCGGGACACCGAAGAAGTCTTCATAAAAATATGAAAGTTCTAATAATACAGCACGCAAAAGTGCGTCGCGGTGTTTACATACAATCAGCTGAACGTGGAGGCAATTTGAAATCTTCAAAACATAGAATCAACTAATATCAGATTTTTCAAGTTCTTGGAAATTCTTTTACTGATTCTTTTTATATTTAACTATTTTCCACAAAAATCTTTAAAGGTGTGGTTCGACAAGTCTCAAAAAAACGCTCTGCAAAAATATGCGGTTTGTGATGTTTGGAAGTACGCAAAGGCATCAAACATGACGACAATTTTTTTCTTTTCCCCCTCTCAATGTTTCAACAGAAAAAAAACGTCTCTCGTGTTTTTTTTTTATTTTTTATTTGTTTTTTCAAAAAATTCAAAATTTCAGCTCTTTTAAATGGAAACGAAATTGAAGAACACGCGCGGAGAATGTGAATTTGACCCAACACTGGAGGAGATGGAAAAGCACCGTAGATTGATGAACGAACGAGAGATTGAAGATTCTAAAAAATGCCTGAAAAAGTTGTTTAAAGAATACGAGGCAACATGTTTATGTGGTAAATGTAATAATTTGGATGACATGGAATATTGCTGCGCGAGTATATTCCCATCAAATGTGAAATTTCAAGCGAACATAGGAAAATTGGTGTCGGAAAAACTCGAAGAGAAATTTTGGAAGGGTGAACACAACAGATGTATTGTTGATTGTGATAATTTCGAAAAATATTTGGACGAGGAAGTGGGTTCTGTACAGGAAAACAATGAATTAATGTATTATTTCAGACTTTGAAAGTGTTCAAAACTGGATATAAGTTTGGATTGGGAATTGATGATAATTCTTGGAAACCAACGTGAGTCAATCTAGTTTTTTTTCTAAAATTCATAAGAGTTTATTATAGGAATTACCGATTTTACTCATATTCAATGTTTGTTGCGGATCTCAACTTGAAACTGAAAAAGAAAAGGTTGCCATTGCCTGCTTGCATCATCAAAAGAGTTCGAGAAAAATGGCCATCCTCCAGCTACACCGGTTTTTTATCTGGTTTCACTTTTAATTATGAGAATGATTGTGATTGATAATTTCTTTTATGGGATTTAATCATGAAATTATTGTAATAAAAATGAAGAGTTTTTAGAAAAAAAAAGAAAATTGAAGAGTTTTTAGAAAACAAAAGAACATTGAACAGTTTTCAGATAAATAAAAGAAATGTGAAAAATAAAAGAAAATTGACGAGTTTTTAGAAAAAAAAGAACATTGAAACGTTTTTAGATAAATAAAAGAAAAGTGAAAAATAAAAGAAAATTGACGAGTTTTTAGAAAAAAAAGAACATTGAACAGTTTTTAGATAGATAAAAGAAAAAGATTTAATCAGCTTCATCTGGTTCATCTGATTCTTCTGCATCACTATCGCTTTCGCTTTTTTCTGAACTTGATTCGAATTCGTCGAAAACTTGCTGAAGCTAAAAAATCACGATCATTTCGATTGAAATTTGAAAAAAAGATATTAACTCACCCTTTTTTCAAAGTAATCTTTGTCGGTCAAATTCTCTAAAGAAAATTCTTCGTCACTGGATTCTTCTTTTTCCTCTTCTTGCAAATTATTCGACTTCTTTGAAAGTTCTTCACCTGGAAAAATATGTTCACTGAATGTTAAAAGTAAAAAAAAACTTACCAAAAATTGAAAGTGCTGCGTTTTTGATTTCGATTCTCCAAGAGTGGTCAGACGGTGATTTCATCTTTTTGACTCGTTTTTGCTGTTTTGTTTTGTTCATCGAGCTTTTCCCACCGATCACAGTCCTTCTTCCCTCCAATTCTTCAATTTTTAAATGATTCCAGTGAAGAACTGCTAGTCGTGTTGTAGTTTCATGTGAGCTACTGTAAAAAATTGATAATTAGCTACAGTCAAACTTTTAATTTTAAAACTGTCCTACATTTTTTAGTGTCATACTTTTCAGGCTTTAGATTTTCATATTTTTCGGGCTGAAATTCATATGGATTTCAAGCATTCGAGATAAAATGTAGGGAAATTCTTGAATGTCAAGTTTTGTAGAATTTGCTACTGAATTTTTAAAAATTTGCAATCTCAAAAAGAAAAACCCACAAATATTTATCTTTGGGCGCATATTTTTTCGATAATGCGTTGAAGCTCTCGCATTCACTTGTCATAAAATGTGCCGAAATTTGACCAATATCATTCAATCGATTTCCCTTCACAAAAATTTTTCTCAAAGCTTCCCAAGCTTTCATATCCTTCACATTATTAGGATTCAAAAATCCAACGTGACTTGTTGAAGTTGGAGAATGCCGGCATTGATTCACTTTGGTGAATTTGTACCATGTGATATTTTGGAAATTCGAATGTTGATCGAGACAATGTGCGAAGCTTGACATAACCAATTCTCTCGCAATTATTGGATCTCCGCCGGAATTTTGAATGGACGAATATACATTATTAATAATTGCCTGAATCCATGGTTTAATTGGAATCATCTGCTTCTGATCTTTCTTCGGCCAAATGTCCATAGTGAGATTCCTGATAAGATGCCATAGATCAAATCGATGAATGATTTTTGGAAACTGATTTTTCATGTTTGCAGCCACAGCTAAATCGCGATCAGTCGTCAAACTTCGAATTGGATCTACATTAACGAAAGTTTCCTTCAACATATCAACCAATTCCGACAAACACTGTGACTGAGCAATAGGTTCCAGTCCTTTTGATCCTTCTATAAAATTTGAAAAATTGTTCGATTTTTCTGGTTTGAAACTCACTTCCTGCTGTTTTCCTCACATTTTTGTAATGTAAAACGAACTTTGTGAGCGTGCAAATGATAATGTACCGGCACCAGAATGCGCAATAACCGCGAGAATCGTACATTCCATCACCAGCCGCATCAATCGGAATATTCTAAATTGTAAGAAATAACACTTTTTCATTTCACGTCATTTTTATGATTAAAGATTATATTTTAGTAAAATTTCAATATTTTCTCCTCAATTTGAATAATTTTTAAAAACTGTTTCAGTTTTTTGATGAGTTAGTTTTTCTGGGAAATTAGAGGCAAACATTATCAAAGTTTTATCACAATTTCCGAAATTTTTGTGTTGGCGTTTTTTTTTTTACAAATTTCAGAAAAGCAAAATTCACAAAAAAAACTTACGATTTGTTTTAAAATCTTGATAATTTTTTGTCTCTGCTCCATGAAAACCTTATTGATCGCTGGTACGACTCCAAGCCTTCTGGTTTCATAAAAAGTGGTTTTTGAAATAAATGGTGCTTTGACTACGCTGAAGATTGACATGATATTCTGAAAAAATCGAATTTCATTTTTTTCTAGTTATAAAGATTCAAAACATACCGAATACGATAATCCGATTGTAACAGCGGCCGTTGTCAAAGAAACATTCAGCTCAAATCTTTTCGAACTTGTATTGTCGTTTTTCTTCACTTTCTGGCTGGTAGACCATCTCCAAGTCCTGCTACATTCACACGTGCAATCAAATGTCAAAACAGCTCCGAATTTCGACAGTTTGTAATTTGCAATTGAAAAGCAACTGTAGCATTTTAAAATCAAGGGCAATAAAAGTTGAAAAGAGACGAGCACAAAATCGATATCTGACTCCTTCTCGTCGACTGTCTGGTCAAAATCATTATCAAAACTTTCATCATCCAAAATTTGTCGATATTCAGAAGTGCTGGGTTGATAATTCGGATCTTTTACCGCCTCGACTTGTTGCTGAATCAAATCATATCCGCTTTCATCTGACAAATTTGATAAATCTTCATCATCATCGGTTTTTTCTTGAATTTCTACAACTTCAGATACATCCGCTTCTTCTTTGTATGATGTCGAAGTTGGAGCAACCGCTTCTTCTTTGTCCGATTTCGAAGTTGGAGCAACCGCAATTTCTTTGTCTGATTTCGAAGTTGAATTTGTCATAACCACGTTTTCAGCAAAGTTTGAGGAGAATGGCAGAGGTTTTGGTAATGCCAATGCTGGGACACGTCCAAAACTATCTCTAACAAAATGAGATCGGCAAATGTAAGGGCGACCATACATTCTTACATTTTTCGCAAAATCAACTCCCAATTTTTCAATCCATTTTTCCAATTGCTTCTTACTCGTTGTTACTGCTTTCATTTCGAAATACTTTCCTTTCAGACCACAGTATGTGCAAAAATGATCGTTCATCGTTCTTTGGCTGTAAAATACTCGTAAATATGACTTCAAACTGAAAAAAAACAAAAAAAAACAAAAATTATTTGC